GTTTCTTCCGTCACATTCCCATCTCCGTCCACCGTGAGGGTACCGACAAGTCCGTCACTCTTCTTCACTACGCCCTGATCATGTTCATCGTCGGTGTCCCCGTCGGTCTTCCCGTTGTCACAACCACCACCCTCGCTGTCGGTGCTGCCTACCTCGCCGAGGAGAAGGCTATCGTCCAGAAGCTCACTGCCATCGAGTCCCTCGCTGGTGTTGACGTTCTCTGCTCTGACAAGACCGGTACCCTCACTGCTAACCAGCTGTCTCTCCGTGAGCCCTACGTCGCTGAGGGCCAGGATGTCAACTGGATGATGGCTGTTGCCGCTCTCGCCTCTTCCCACAACCTGAAGTCTCTCGACCCCATCGACAAGGTTACCATCCTGACCATCCGCCGCTACCCCAAGGCTCGTGAGATCCTCAACATGGGCTGGAGGACCGAGAAGTTCACTCCCTTCGACCCCGTCTCCAAGCGTATCACCGCCGTCTGCCACATGGGTGGTGACAAGTACGTCTGCGCCAAGGGTGCCCCCAAGGCCATTGTCAACCTTGCCAACTGCGACGAGATCACCGCCAACCTGTACAAGGAGAAGGCTTCCGAGCTTGCCCGCCGCGGTTTCCGTTCCCTTGGTGTCGCTTACCAGAAGAACGACGGTGACTGGATCCTTCTCGGTCTCTTGTCCATGTTCGACCCCCCTCGTGAGGATACCGCCCAGACCATCATTGAGGCTCAGCAGCTCGGTGTTCCCGTCAAGATGTTGACTGGTGACGCTATCGCCATCGCCAAGGAGACCTGCAAGATGCTTGCCCTCGGAACCAAGGTTTACAACTCTACCAAGCTTATCCACGGTGGTCTTACCGGTACCACTCAGCACGATCTCGTTGAGCGTGCTGACGGTTTCGCCGAAGTCTTCCCCGAGCACAAGTACCAGGTCGTCGAGATGCTCCAGCAGCGTGGTCACTTGACTGCCATGACTGGTGACGGTGTCAACGATGCTCCCTCTCTCAAGAAGTCTGACTGCGGTATCGCTGTCGAAGGTTCCACCGAGGCTGCTCAGGCCGCCGCCGATATTGTCTTCCTTGCCCCCGGTCTTTCCACCATCGTCCTCGCCATTAAGATTGCCCGCCAGATTTTCCAGCGTATGAAGGCCTACATCCAGTACCGTATCGCGCTCTGCCTGCACTTGGAAGTCTACCTCGTCACCACGATGATCATCCTCAACGAGACCATCCGTGCCGAGCTTATTGTCTTCCTTGCCCTCTTCGCTGATTTGGCTACCGTCGCCGTTGCTTACGACAACGCTCACTCTGAGCAGCGTCCTGTCGAGTGGCAGTTGCCCAAGATCTGGCTCATCTCCGTCGTCCTCGGTCTGCTCCTTGCTCTCGGTACCTGGATCATCCGTGGTACTCTGTTCCTGCCCAACGGTGGTATCATTGTCAACTTCGGCCACATCCAGCCCATCCTCTTCCTTGAGGTTGCCCTTACCGAGAACTGGCTTATTTTCGTCACCCGTGGCGGCAAGACATTCCCCTCGTTCCAGCTGGTCATTGCCATTCTTGGTGTAGATGTCCTCGCCACCCTGTTCGCCCTCTTCGGATGGATGTCTGGCGAGAACTACCAGACTAACCCTCCTACGAACAACTCCAAGTTCCAGGAACGCGGCTGGGTTGATATTGTCACCGTTGTCCTTATCTGGGCTTACTCCATCGGTGTCACGATCATCATCGCCATTGTCTACTACCTGCTCAACCGCATCACGTGGCTCGACCAGCTCGGCCGCAAGGACCGCCACAGGAAGAACCCTCACATCGAGAACATGATTGCTGCCCTCAGCAAGCTGTCTCTCGAGCACGGTACAGACAAGCACGGAGTACAGCGCTTCGTTCTTGCTGCCCGCGCTGCCGAGGAGGAGGAGGACGAGTAAATGTAAATTACGATGCATGGATGCATATGAGAAAGATGAACGGCTTATGTGGTTGGTTTTATGTACTGGCCATGGGTGTGATGAGCCCACCTCTTTAGTGAGGTTAATAATCAGTCGCCGTTTTTTAATTACTCACTGTATACCAAAGAGCATATTTCTTTGTTAGTAATTGATACCGATCGAAGTTAAATCATCTGTTTGCCATTGAACAATTGTGACTGCCTCTCAATTCCTCCTACAAAGCCCTATTCCTCTCACTATTCTTGACTAAACTGTTCCCTTGCAATCGTCAATTGGAGCCTCGCCCATACTGTATGGTCCCGTCATGGCACAAACCCTTCAGAGGCTAGTGGCGTTAACGACATGCATATCGGGCGAATTCACGGGTGTCAGATTGCTGCTCCACAAGCCTCGCAATATTCACTCAGCCTTACGGCCTATCAACCATTCGAGTCTGTGACAAATGGAACGATAGCTGATGGCAAGCCAAGCACCTCCTCAATGCCTAAGCGAGTCTGCAAAGTGTATCAAAGTGCGCCTCGAGCTACGGTTTCGAGGCAGGGTTAGTTATCGACACCACCCGCTGTTGGTGGTTGGTCGACCGCAGTCGCAGCTCACAGCGTTGCAGATTGCCGTCTGCAGCAGCTCTGGGGGGATTGAAGCTGCCAACGCCCCCAAGCGGGGTAGATCAGCATGCACTTTCCTCGCAGCCAATCCTGCCCCCTCCATGCTCCCAGTGCTCTGGATGTGACTGATGGCTCAACACGCGATGCGACGGTTCTGCTGCACGATGCGAAGCCAATTGCTATCGCAGCCGCTCGGCGGCGTGCGTCTATCAGCGTCCAGCCGTGGGTAGAGCTTTAAGTTTGCGAATTTCAGCTCGAGAGAGCGGAAAAGATAGCGAGCTACATGGATGTGATTGGCCAATTGCTGCCCGTAGGGCTTGGAGACGTGCATGCAGTAGCGCGCACGCTTGGTGCATCTTGCATCGTGGGGTAGCTGCGGCTGGTGGTTGGTGAGTGCAGGATTAGCTGCGAGTGGATGAGCTTGTGGGTTTGGCACGGGAATTAGGACATGGAGTCGCGGCTGGGCAGGCGCATTCATTGAAGTCTGTGATTCCGTGATCATCAGGTGAGCAATCGCGCATGGAGATGTCTTTGTCAGAGAAACTGATGCTGTTCGAGCTCTGGCCTGCTGGAAGCTTGAGAGTGCGCACGAAGCTTATCCACATGATGTCAGCTCGCGACGTGCATCCTCATCTGACGTTGACATCTGTCGTGGCACTGTTCGCTCGGGCGTTTTCTTCCTTCAACGGCGTTGCTCGCTCCGCGGGCCTCCGTATCGCAGCTGTCATTGCTTAGAGGAGGTTGGGCGGCCCCATTTGAGTCCGAGCGATATCAAATGACGTATCCTTGCCATCGTCTCATCATCCATGCTTCGCGGTGCATCTGCAAACGGCTCGGGCGTTAATCATCATGGTGATGATCCGTCCTTCAGCACAGGGCCTTCGTGTTTCGCGCGAGTCGCAGAGCTTGCTTATCCTGTTACCGATGTACGGTTGTTGATACGGTCGCGCCTCCCATGTCATTGGGGCGTGGGCAACACGAGAACGAACATCGCTCAATAATCTATAACGCCGAAGCGTATTGCCAAGATATGTGGGATTTCGACCCTGATGACACTGCTGCTTGATAGCAGATGAATTGCTTATCTTGGATAATTTATGCAGCGTGATGTCCTTAGTGGGGCAGGTACGCTGTGATCGCGACGGTGCGGGTACTTCCTTCTACAACACCAGCAGATTTCGTGATCGTCTCCAAGCATTGCATGCATCGACGTCCGAAGGATTCGATGCCTCAAGATGCTGTGTGGGGTATGTGTGCTGACGTATGTGTACGCCATGGCTACGCATCTCACTTCGCAGATTACCGCTTCTGTTCATTGCTCCGCGGTGCCCTTGCTGATCGATGAGATACTGGTTACTGGTCACGGCAACGCTTGAGGTATGATAAGCTTTTCTAGTGTGCTTGCAAGTATGAGATAGGTGTAGGTACATCTGCGGTGGTACGACGATCTGTCGCCATACTGACACGCTGTCACGAGGTGAGCATCTTGTACAGCTGATTGATGGTAGTGATCACTACACAAAGCAAACTATTGACAGAAATAGTGTACGGACAGCAAATACAACCACGATAGGAACAACACACGGCGTTTTGATGTGATATTTCGTCTACTCAAGCACAGAACTACAGAATATAGACACGTGAGCCAGGACAAGATTGAGGTCGCAACATGCATGCCTTCCTCGCACCTTTCTGCGACGCTTAGAAGACGGATACGGCGCGGGTGAGTCAGTAAGCTCTTTCCGACATAAAACAGCATTCAGATTGTCTTCGAAACCATTCGTCGATTTCCTCCTTTTCCCCGCAAGACAGTCGAAAAAGATCTTGAAAGGATGGGTGATGATTCTCACAAGTTTGGCTCAGGGCAGCAGTGTTCCGGGGAAAAAAGAGGAACACATGGTCGAATACGGTACCTGTTCTGAAGTGAACAGAACCATACATTGGGTTGCCTTTGGCGTACTTTGGTTCAAGAAAAACCACACATCTGAGAACCGATCAACGCTTACGTACAAGGACCTATGGGCGGAAAGTCAGCGAGGGGCTTCAGAGCATTTCGAGACCAATGAACATGAAGAATAAGAGCAGTCAGGTATTCATTGTAATCGACGCATCTTTTGAAAACAGGTCATCAGCACATACGAACAGCGTTTGCCGATCTCAAATATTTCACAATGTGGACGTATTCGAGAGGCCGCCATGAATGTCGACAGAAACAGATGTAGCACTCAGCCCGAGCCGAATTAGAAGACACCATACGACTCGCTCTAGCCGAGCAGCCACCAGGCATGTTGCAGACAGTGTTTAGCTTAGAGATGATGGCTTTTGGGACATGTGCCATGCTTTGTAGTATTTTGAAATTCTCGCGGGCAGACGTTGTACGAGGAAGGAAGGAAGGAAGGCAGGAAGGAACAGAGCATTAAGATGACCATAGATAAGAAGGATTTGAACAGAAGAGCCCAGGGCTTTGACTAGAGGTGTCAGAAGATAAGTGTGTCGTTCAGTACAAGTTATCCTGTAGGACCCGCAGACAGGGCGGCTGCAAACGCACACTGTCTAGCTGCATGGTATAATCACACGTCCAACGAATCCCACAGCTCGGCGCTGTACATGCTCAAGCACTGCTCGCACTTCCCGCACTTCCCACACCCGGGCGGTATCCTCATCCCCTTATAAACGTCAAACACCCAATCCTTCATCTCGCCTCTGCGCTCCCACCACGGTCCCGACTGCAGATCCCATTTATCGGGCGCAGTCGGGAAGCTATGCTCGTGCATGGCTGGCACGCGGTTGGTAAGGGTATGGATGTCGATGCCCGCCTCTCTACCCACTTCAACGAGTTTCTGGAAATATACTTTTTCAGTATACGCCCCGCCGTTCTGGTGCCTCGAGTTTCTGTACTGCCTCTCGATGTCTTCAAGATACACAGCTTTGAGGTTGCCGTAGAAGGACTCGTACGCGGCAGAAAGCTTGTCATACTCCTCTTCGTCGGCGGAATCCCAGCCCTCCATCCAGCGATGCGACTGTATGACGTCGATGAGGGCGTCTTCTAGCCAGTCCAGAAACTGTCCCTTGGCCTGAGTCAGGAAATACTCCTCAACTTTCCCCCAGAGCAGCAGCCGCTCCAGTGAGCTGGGAAACGCTGTTTCGCGAAACCACCTGATGAAGCTTTTGCGTTGTTCGGCCATCTTGCTCTCATCTCCGCTCGAGAAGTACATGCAATCCAGCTCGATGTCTGAGATGTTGATGGCGACGGTTTGGAGGTTGTTTGCCCTCTCGAGCTCCTCGTTGCGATAGCAAGTGCATCTGTACCCATGGATCTGGCGATGGCTGTAAGGGCCATAGAACATAAGAGTGTGCAGAGAGGCGGACTGTTCAGAGCAGATGCCATTTATAAGCGCGTCGGCATCTTCCATTCGATTAGGAGCACTGGTACCAGCACGAAGTGTGAAAGTTTCGAGTGCGATCGGCGCTTGAACAAGCGCGCGACGGAAAGAATAAGGTAAGTCATCACAATCATCGAGGTAGATGTGCTTGACAGTAGAAGAACGTGGTGGCACCAGCGTAGAAAAGTCGTACTCTATTGGATCATCCTCATCTGGGCGCACAAGGCCGTTGTAGTATATCGAGCTGAGTCGACGTAGACGAAGCAAGATAGAGAAGACCTGCATGGACGTGTCTGATGCGTCCGAAACATCGTCTGTGGGTGGTATTGTCATCCGTGTCTCTGATACGACGCCGACAGCGACATTTTGAATGCTGCAAAGGCCGGGAGGCCAGTGGCTGCCGTACAGGATGCTGCCCTGAATCACCCTCATGAGCCAGCCAAGCGTCGATTTGCTGTGATGCTCTTTCGTTATGAACTTGACATCCTGCAGTCGTGGGCAATATGCGATCAGAAGCATTTTCAAAATCCCGTCAAAACCATCTTTGACCTGATCGCGGGCCTCCACACGGATGTCCTCGTCACCATTTTCGACCATTGCATCGAACTGATCTTCGATATCTTCAAGATACTCCTCGATCTCGTCGTCCTGCCATTTCCACGACGTGCCATCGACATTTGTGCACGCTTCGTGCAGTTGCTGGTCGAAGCAGAGCATTTTCCAGTCCAGCCAGCTTGTACGATCATGCCAGATCTCAATAGATCGAACATGCCAGATCAAGATTGGGTCGGCGCGTCCAAATGCGCTACGTAGCAATAGTGGGATGGTAGTTGGCGAGATATCTGATGCAACCCGGTACTTGCTGTAAGCCTCCTGGTGACGTTTTAGGGTTCCGCTGGCGCAGGCCGCGATTCTCTTGCATGTACATGCGAAATCTAGATGTGACTCGGGAGGTACAAAGTCGATAATGAGGTAGATAAGATCAGTGGAGAGGCCCGTAATGAAGCATGCACTATCAATTGTGTTTGAGTCCAGCGTTGACTCCCCGGGTCGCGATTTAACAATGCAATCGCTCGCACTCGGTAGCGACATGATCGATGCTGGGTTTACTGACTTGTCGGTGAGGTGTTGCTACTTGGCAAGGGACGTTGGCATCTTAAGTTGGTCGTGAGGCGGGAAGTAGCGCTTGGGCCTCACCTGATGCCTAGATAGCTGAAGGCATCTATCGTTCGCTAAGTATGAACTACTAACATCTGGACTTTCAGACGCAGGTAACGAAGAACTGGTTCGCGAATCCTACCATGAGCTCGGTATCGTACATCCTTAATCCAAAGTTGCTACAACCCACATTGTATATTATAATCCACGATATGGTATTCCGTGCGTGGTATCTATTCGTGATTCATAAATGTCGCATAAAACATGGTTCTGCATCATGCGCTGTACGAGCTGACATAGTACTGTATACACATCAGCCTTTGCTCGGATTCCAGGGAACATGAGGCTGCACTCGTACCGTCAAGACAGATTCGTCGTTGCCATTGTCATTCGGCAGATAGACGTAAAGGATTAGAGCGTGCTCGTGGCAGAAGCCTGTCCATTGTTAGCAGATGGTCAGACATGCTGCACCGAATGCCGTGAAGCAAACTACTCACAGGCAATAACTCTCCCACCAAGTCTCCCCACACTCATCACCTTTCCCCAATCGCGCCCATCTATCCTGACTGTTGCCCAGCCTTCCTCACTGCGTCCATCTGCAGAGCCCAACTGCTTCATGCGCGTACTGGGATGACCAGCAAGCCCATCCTCGCCTCCTGCAACCTGGGCAGGATCCAATTCTGGGTTGCTCAAGTCTGTCCAGACAGATGAGATGCTCATTGCGTCGGATTTGATGCTCATCTTGAGACAACCATGCATGTTTGCAGAGACCTCCAGCCGTGTCCTGGTCGCCGCGGTGCCCGATCCTGGCTTTGCGTCCGCGAGAGCCAGCTTTGTAAACCTGTCGCTGATACTTTTGAGCTGCATCAGCGGCGGTAGTATGATGTGCACATCTGGCTCCCGAGTGTGAGGCTCGTGTATGTTGGCTACTGTGTCTGGGGCAAGCACGCGCACGGGTATCTCTTGCGTGACGACCGTCTCGCGGTTGCCTCCGAAAGTATTGTCGAATGGTGCATCGAAACCATCGTCGTTATTTGGGCCTGCAGTTGGGAAGGCGCCGTACGAGTTCGAGGACGTGGTCGTGACGATAGTCAAGGCAAGTACGGGCATATTGTCCTTCTTCGTGAGGCGTATCTGGGCGGATGTGGCATTCAAGGCCGACTTAAGGGCTCGGTTGAGCGACGTGAGCGGTACCTCAAGGTTGATGACATTGTTGGCAGCAGACTGTACTGAGATGGTCTCGAAGATGGCGTCCTGAGCTGCGCGTCAGATTGCAGGTTGGGGGAGAGAAGATGGTGCGCTTACAATGGAAAGTACACTGTACTCTGTTAGAAGTCTGCAGACACACGGAACCCCGCAGAAACTCACGCCCAGACCTGTGTGCCCTGCTCAGGTATGATGGTGAAGCACACCTGCTCTTCGCTGAGCTTGACCCATGCGAGCGGCCCCAGCGAATTGAGAGATGCGGTGAGTTCTTCGAGGTGTCAGCTGCGTATCAGCCATCCAAAGAGAAGAATACGCACTTGTGAAAGTGGGAATGTTCTGTATCTGGGCCTTGAAGCGCATCGTGTGAGTTGGTGGAGGGGCGTAGACGCGTCGCGTAAATGTTCACGAAGGTCCCGAGGCACCGAACGTCATCGTCGCTGCCAGACGACGTAACCTAAATCTCACATTTCGCATGTGGAAGGAGTCACACAATTCATGGAGCAGCGACACCTGTATCAAGTTTGAGCTTCCAGACGCTATCTGTTCACGATCCTAGACGCTATCTGATAACGCTTCCAGCCACTATGTGATGAAGCCCTGGCGGCCAGGACTGGTTGTACATGAACTCGACATCCGCACGATCCACGATCCACGATCCATCACCACTATGGCCTTATTTGTGCATAACCTTGCTGAGGTGTTGGCGGGAACCCGCCTGGCATATGCTGGGCATGACCATACCCAGGTGACGGCATATCGTGTCCATACCCGTTTACCTGGCCTTGGTGGTATGCTTCAGGGTCTATCATGACACGCCCGCCCTGCTGAAAGCCTTGCGCATATGGCTGAGGCTGCTGAGGCTGGTAGCTCACCGGTGAAGGCACAGGTAGATTCATCATGCCCTGTTGTCCATGGCCCGCGTAACCACTAGCCGTTGGCATCTGCTGCTGACCGTAGCCCTGCGAGTACGCGTTCTGCACTCCCGCCGCCGTGCCCGAGAACGCTGCATGGGCCGCTGCGTTCGCGCTCGCCGCTCCCGAACCATCGCCTGCAGGCACCGCCTTGATCTCGTCGCCCGGCGCGCCGACCACATAGCCCCATGTGCCCTTTGTAAGCTTGTCTAGCACGAACTTGACTCTCTTGCCAATGTCCCGTGGCATCTTGGTCTCGCATTTGTCCAATGCCCAGGAACATGCTTGCACTACGTCCTTCCACGCCTGCTTCTCGTACGTACTGAAGACTGGGTTTCCATGCTCTTGGCGCACCCGCTCGAGGACGCCCATCATAAGGCCTTGGATGCGGTTCCTTATGTTCTCTTCTGTGACATCTTGTTTCGGCAGCAGGACGAAAAAGTTGCTTGGGTGACTTGGACGTAGGCGCGAAGTGGTAAAGCCGATGTCGACTGGTGCTGCAATGAACACTTCCTTTGCTGCAGCTGCAGGACTTGCTGGACCGACTGCCAGGCGTGCAAATGCTGCAACACCGTCATTGTTGGCGCAGTATGCAGTCTTGAAGAGGGAAAAGGGTGCATCCGCTAGCTGGACAGCGTGATGTACCTCGCGCTCTTTGCCTGCCGCCTGACACATTTTCTCCTGATAGCTGCGCGGGTCGACACAGCGACGTGCCCAATGCTTACTCCGGGGAGCAAGATGCTTCTTCACCATATCAACAACGTCGCTACCGTAGCGAGCCTTGCTCGCGCCGTTGAGCCGAAAGGCGAAAGTGACGAGCTCGTCTTGCGCGACGTTGAGGTGAGTGTGCAGCATCCAGGAAGGGAGGAAAGTGTGGATGTAGTACGCAAAAAAGTACATGTAAGTCGACAAGTGTTGGCTCGTGATACTTTGTGTGCTGCTGTCAAGAAATAGGACAGGGATGCCCAGCTTCTTCGCATAAGACTGTAAGCGTACCAAGTCATTTATCGTGTTCTTTTTGCCTGCTGCTGATGGCCTGACAATTGTTGCAAGGTGTAGTGAATTCGTGACACTTATACCTGCGATAGTATTGCGTATTTCAGGCCTTGTGGTGTTGATGAAGGTCAGCAATGGCGAGACAACTGCGCCATGATGCCAGACGATCTTGTGTGTTTTCGAAGCAGAAAGCGCACGTTGGATGGTGGTAGTCACACGCTTGACCACACTCTCCACGTCGTCATTACCATTGGGGCGGTAGCACCACCCACGGGCTACAACGATACTCGCGTTCGCAAAAGAGTAAACTGCTCCCTCGAGATGTTTGCTTCCCGTCTCACCAGTGAGGTGCTCGACGAGTCCTCGAAGCCTTTTGAAGTGAGTTTCATCCCTGTCATCTTCTGCGATTATGACCATGCCGCCTTTGATACCCTTGACCTCATCTTTAGACTCTCGAACACCCAAGTCGCATAGCTTTGCAAGGACACTTGTCAACTGCAGCATAACGTCAATGTCACTATCTGTCTCCCAGACATGTAGAGCCTCGGGGTCACAGAAGACATCGAGTGTATCGTCAGATGCGGACGTAAAAGACGACTTGTGATCTGAAGGAATCGAGGAAATGGACTCCCTGAAGCTGGCCAGATTACGCGACCATGGACCAGAGAAGGACGACATCTTGTCCCGCGGACGACGGTGTTTGCGCTTGCGGTGGCAATGCGGATGCCGCTTGACTCGAACGGCGTTGGATTCCCCGACAGCGAGTGGTATCTCTTGATCCGGTGGCTGCTTGCTGGGCGAGCGGAGATGTCGAAAGCGCTTCCTCCACAGTTGAGGGATTGTACGTTGCGGTAGGTTCTGTCATGGCGGCGTGGGAGAGTGGTCGAGGAAGCGCTTGATGTATTCCATAAGAGTCTGTTTTGTAAAGTGAAAGGACGCGGAGTGAAAGGGAAATTCTTGCTTCGCACTATAGAGCACGATTCAATGGGAAACAGAACATGGCTAGCCATAATCAATGTGTCAATCGCGAGATTTCGAATTTGTCATTGGAAAACGCTCTGCTGCGTGAAGAGAGGTGTGTGAGTATGACGTTGTTACTAGAGATGTCAATTTGAAGACAGAGGTGGCACAAACCATCGTTGATGCCAACGCAGCATGGACACAACTAACACCCAATTCCCAGGGTTTTATCAATATTCACAGTCATTACCAACGCCGGACATTCTGATGCAAAGTAAACGTCGAAACGACTCATGATCCCACACCTTCGCCCTTCTTGGCAACATCCTCTTTCGTTAGGACTTCCACCTTTCGGCTCAATAGGCCACGAAGCTCTGGACTGATGACTTTCGCATCCGTGTCGTCATCTGTGCTTGTTTGCTTACCCTTGTCGGTGCCAGATGACGAAGCTTGTGACTCGGTCTCTTGCAGCTTAGGCATGGGTCCTGGCCCTGAAGCTATCACGGCTGCCTGCTTCCTTTGCCTCGCCTGCGGAGCAGAGGGGAAATTCCCTTTCTTGTCAACTGTTTCAACAGTTCTCTGGAATCTACGGAAGAGAGACTCGGCGCGTACAAGCGTCGACTCCAGGTCCATGGTACCCGAAAGCTCGTTCACTGTTACGAGTCAGAATGTTCGTTTTGTGCAAACGCCAAAGCAACGTACCATATTTGAGCACCTCGTCAAAATGCTTCAGATGCGCCATTATAACGTCGCGATGTTTTTCCAAAATTGCAAGTGCAATGAAAATGTGGAAGTTGCTGCTGCAGTAGTCTGTCCATAAGGACTCCCAAAGGCGCAGAACGTCTGGCCACTCGAACTCACGCTTGTACCAGACGAGAAGCATGCGGAAGAAGAAGAAGAAATTTGTGGAGTCGGCGGATTGTAGGTGGAGGTAGAGTTTGGGGTCCATGAGTTGTACGAGGTGATCGAGGGTCGTGAGTTGCTTACGCATGCCGGATTGATCGCGAAGGAAATTTCGTTCCTGCGTGTGCGTCAGCTGTGAAATCTGTTACGAGGAGGACAGTCTTACCATTCGATCCATAAATCCGACAAAACCCCAGAATGCAATCGCATCATCCTGCATAACTGCATAAATGGGTGCAAGGAGATCGCTCATACCCTGAACGTAGCCGAGATCCTTGTTGTACTCGTTATAGGTCAAGAGCATATCCTTCATCTGTTCCAGGTGCACGTTGGTGCCCACCTCGGCAAAAGGCGAGTCGGGGTCAGGATGAGGTATGTCCTCTCCTTCGAAGATTGGAATGGTTCGGTCTGTTCGGTGCACATCCTTCTCTATTGAACGCACCCCATCGAATGGGGACAAGTTAGCCAAGTCCTGTACAGATATTAGGGTGTGTGGTAAGACAAACCTATGCGGTTCTTCTGCTCCTTCCACCACTCAGCCTGCTCTTCGGTCTGTTGACCCTCGACCATTCGCTCCCACCAAGCACCCTTCAGGCGGATGTACTCGTCTCGACGGCTGTTAATATTCGCACGGCGTTCCTCCTCATTGCTATCCCACTCATAGACGCCAAGAAGGTAGAGCCACGCCTCTTTTCGTACGCCATCATCAGGATCGAGACCACCGTGAAATATCCGCTCCTTGACCTCGTCTGGCGTCAACTGTAAGCGACCAGTGTCGTCGAAGAAACCCTTCCACTCCTCTAGCGTGACTGGCTTTCTGCGGTCCGCCATAGTCATCTTGTCCATGTCGAGGATCTCGAAGTCGCCAAGGTCGCCCTGTTCCATCGCCAGAACATCTTTCGCTGTCCATATCCTCTGGTTTCGCTCCCGCTCGCTTTGCTCAGCTATACCCATAGCCCATCTAGCCAAGTATATGCGTGCACTGTCAAACTCATCTTGCAGGGTCTGTACTTCTGGATTCTGGATCAGGCGCCTAACCTGAGGGGGTATCTTGGGGTTCTCTGCTACGGCCTGCGCCGTCTTCCTTGTAAATGTTGTGACCTGACTGAGCTTCTCGAGGATGTTCCACCTCGCTTCCTTGAAGGCTTTTGTGACTGGATCCATGCCCCCGTCGCGCTTGCCTTGTGTTTGTGAAGAAGAAGCCTCGCCATCCTTGTTCTTCTTTGCAGATCCTGGCGCGTTCTTACCAAACGATTGCTTGTCGTCCTCGGTGGGCTCAATAAGGTATATACTAGGGTCGGCACCAGATCTTTCGACTGTCACATAGCGTTTCAACCATCGCAAGACCTCGTCGCCACCCCAGAACATGCCGCCGCCATCGCCGAAGGGGTCGAAGGTTTCTTTTGCAAGCTTCTTCCTCTGCAGGATGGTGGACTGACATTCACTGTCGTGGAAGAATAGCGCAGGGAAGCTGTCGCCTGCACGTGTATTCACTACAACGCTGCCGAACCACCATCCTAAGCTCGGTGGGCGTACCAGCAGAGAGTATATCTCGCTCACAGGGATAGCGAAGGCATAGCCGGGCGTGACTGTGTGTGAGGAGGTAGTTGGCGGAGGAGGGACGAGGTACGAGATCTTGGGCGGGGCAGACGAGTCTGAAAGGTCGACCTTCACGTAGGTGTCGTAGGCATCACCCAGGGCGGACTCGGGCATCCAGGCAAGGAGCAGCGACGAGGAGCTGACGCTTTTCGACGACGCAGACGACGTAGGGCGGGCATCATTTGTGTTCTTGGCCGACTTCTGCTGAATAAGTGCTACGAAGCCTGGAATGTTGTCTTTGGCGGAGGGTGAGGGGTGGACGTATACCTGCGCATGTTGGGTCAGCGTCACGCCACAGACAAGCATGGATGTTGTTCACGGACTTTGCTCTTAGTGTACAGTAACTTCACGCCTTTCCCGCTCTCAGTGTGTCTTATCGTGTTGTACTCGCCCTCATCGTCGTCGCTCACATCATAGAACGACGCGGACGGCGAGGGCGGGCTCGGTGGTGCCGGAGAGGCCATGGCGGGGCAAGCAGGCTGCAACAACCGCCAATATCGACGTGTGTAACGTTTCGAGAATTCAGGAGAGCGTGCTACAGGTATTTTGAGGAATTTCAGGCGGCACGCAGCTCATGGGGCAAGAGCACATGGGAGTGGCTGCTGCAGCAGGTAGCAGCGCCGCAGCAGCTAGTCAGCGGGACATGACGTTGCTTGTGTGGCGCACGCGGGGAACGCGTTCAATCAAGATGCGACCGGGGGCGAATTTCCTTGAGCACGAAGTAGGCTGGTAAGGGCAAAGCTTGCGAATTTGGTCATGTCGAATATTGCTCTATGTGCAGCCAGCGTAAAGCAGCTGTGTCCTCCGCAAGAGACTCCTGACGCCGTGCTGCTGAGTCGCAAGCTATGCAACGTCCAAAACCGTGACTGCCCTGCAACTCCAAATGCGCCGGTGCTAAATGTACAAAGAAGCTCAACGCATGCGCGGCCCGCTCGGCAGACCGACGCGTCCGCCCGGTGGAGCGCGCTGTGGTGCGCCGCCATAATTCGTGGGTGCGTAGGGATCGTAATCGCCAGACTGCTGCCTCCCTCCACCGCTGCTGCCACCCGAGTAGCTGCGCTCGTCTGGGTACGGCGGCCGGCCGCCGGGCGCAGGCCTTTCGTAGGAGCCGCGTGCTGATCCTACCGACGATGTGCTTTGCGCCGGGCTGGCCGACCTCCCGGATCCCCACAGTCGTTGCTTGAGCCGCTCCTGTGCCGTGGTGCCTGAGCCTGCACTTGGTGGCGGAGAAGGGTCGGCGCCTGCACGTCCGCCGGGCCCCATGGAGCTCTGGTAGCTGCCGGCTCTCTGGCTTGGTAGCGGCCTGCCCTGGCCCTGTGGCTCTGGCGTGAGCGAGCTGCCCATGCGCCCCTGAAGCGGTCGCGCGCCTGCTCCAGCCGCGCCGCCGCCAGCGCCGCGGCGCAAGGACTGCGGCTGCTGTGCCTGTTGCTGAGGTGCCGGATTGTCCCAGAGATCACTCAGTCCTCCCCCGCGTCCCGTGGGTGTGCCCTGGCCCTGCTGCCGCCCGGCTGAGGACACGAATTGCTGCGTCGGCTGCGCCTGCGGGGCGCGTGGGTCAGGTGGCAGCCATTGCGGAAACGGCCGACCTTTCTCTGTGTAGTACGCGCGCAGGACCCGCGAAATGTGAGAGTCTTCTTCTATGTCGCCATCATTCTCGTCGGAGAGCAGCTGCCGGCGCAGATTGGTGTATCGTGACGTGGTGTTGGTGAGCAGGTTGTTCAGGTACGACGACATGGTGCTGCGAAGACGGCGTGAGTGCCGGGTCGCGTGCGTGGTAGGCGGTCGAGGTACCTTTATTAGGGTGTATGGGTGCACATGGGCTGGCGGGGTCGCGCCTCGAACCAAGTGGTGAGGAACGGCCGCAAGCTGTTTCCACCCTCGGCGCCCAAAACACCGACCAACCCTTCAAGCGAGATGAGCTGCACATCCTCACACTGCTTTGACTTGCTATTACCCCTAAACTGCCGGATATCTCGGAGCACAAGACCATATTGCCGCCCGCACAAGAGCTCGCAAGACGCTTCTGAGTCGAAGCAGTTGTTGAGACCTTCACCTTGCCATCCAGGCAGCTTCGAGGCCCATGTTTCGAGGGTGCACGATGCAGGGCACGCTACCAATCGTGAAGCGCGTACAAGTACATGCATAGACTTCGACAGGGAATCACAGGGAAGTCTATTCGATTCGAAACAACTTGAAACAATCTGGTAGACGTCATTTGCGTAGATGGGTTGAGCATGAACGTTACAGCGCACTGGCTCTGACCTTTGGCGGTGAGATGTAGCGAGTATGCACACCTCCTGTTTGATACGGGAAGAGCCATACACTTCAAAGGGCCTGATTCGCCCACCGTGAACTGCCAGCCCTCAAGGCAAACACAAAGTCACGTGTCGTGAGTTAGTTCCTCCAAAGCTTGTGGATCACTGCAATGTCTTTCTCGATATACAGGCACGAAGTCGAGGTCAACATCTTTCCTGCTTGACAGTGCGCTCCAGAGACATGGCGGCCCAATTCGATGCCTTCCCCAGTCTTTCTGCAGAGCTTCGCGCCACCATCTGGAGCCTTGCCGCGCGAGACGAGCACAACGGCAAGCATTGTGATGGGCGACAAATCGAGTTGTACAACCATGACCCAGATACAGAATCGGTCTCTGTCGCTATATCAAGCCCCTACCCGACGCTCTTTGCTGTGTGTCGTGAAGCACGCTACGAGGTCGCAAAAACAACACAGTGCAAGTGGATATCAATCTTTGCTCGCTCTAACAGCCCGATAGAGTCAGATCATACAACAGGATTTGAGATATGCATCAACTTCGTATTGGATACGATCAATCTTCGCACTCGCTTTGCCACGCCACTCTTACGAACCCCTTTAACAATCCGCCCCACCCAAGAGCAACGTCAGCTGGAAGCGCTTGCTCGATTGCTTGACTACAGGACCATTCAACGCATAGAGCGAATTGCCATGGATGCAGAACCCCCTATAGCTCCGTACAGGCTGGACTTCGATGCATGGTGGAAAGGGGAAGGTCTTGAGCTTTTCTGTTTTGGCCGATTACAAAGCGTTACTATCAGCACGAGAGAGAAGTCTGAACACTGCTCTAAGGACTATGCGAGATGGCTGGAAGCAGCAGTAAGAGATCAAGTGCACGATGCGTGGGCTGAGAGGAGCCAGATGAATGTGCCGAGGATAGAAGTGCTGAGCGTGGGTGGAAGCACTGCATGACTACAGGTCTCTTACCCGAGTTCACCATCCGACAGCCACATGGAACGGAAGAGGCTTGCTATCAAGGTCAGAAACCGTCGTATTGAAGGGCGGTCCCCCGCCGTGGCGATGGATAAAATTAGACGACAATTGAAGCTCAGAGCAAAAGGATGTTACCATACAGGCAGAGGTCAGCAACCAAATCAAAAGCAGTGGCATGTGTAAGTAATGTGAGCTCACATTTAGATTCCTTCGAGCCGCTCACTTTATGCAGAAGTAATACACTACTTAGCCTACAACAAAATCATACATGGCATTATCATATACCTCTTAAACTGCGGGATGTCTTTCAAACGTCTTCGCCTCTTTGCTTCTCTCGCAGTCTCCTCGATCTTCTCGGTCCCGTATCCTCAACCACTTCTGGTTCTTTAGCGTCCTGGTGGATTCTCTCATAAAACAAGAAACTTGCATTGAACGCACTACCCCTTACCACGGGATCTGTCGCAATGACGTTCACACCAGCGCCTCCAGACCAGCCTGTTACCGAAGAATCGTTCACCCAGAAGTACTTGTACGGCGCAGCGCTCTCCCTGCCCTCTCCATCTGCTGTCGGCCTGACTTTTCTACTGCGCCCGAGGCTTGGGGCGCCGGTAACACCAGCAACGTAATGCCCACTTTGTACCCTTCCGCCGCTGTGAAACACGCCGTTCACAAGTCTGTACCGCAGTGGGACCGCACGTGCGCCCTCTGGCACGGTAATATGTGGAGTCAAATCCAGAAGGTCTGGTATATCGACACGAGTCGTCAGTTTCCGCCTCATATCAGTACGATTCAGAAGTAGGTGCAGATACTCTGGAGCGGCGTCAATGGTGCGCTCGGTGGCGGCAGCCACACCTTCTGGTGCATCGCATGGTTCCGCGTGAGGGCAGGGAAAGATATTAGCGGGATCACTGAAGTACGTGGCAAAGCGGTGGCGCTCTAGGCCTTCGTAAACAGTGTCATTTCCGCCATCAAGGACGTCAAGAACGTCAAATCGGAGACCTAGACCATGTGTCCCCTCTCGGATCACAGATCTTTCGCAGTTCAAGCACGTCGTGTTGAAAGTCTCCGACAGAGTGAAGAGTGCATCGAACTCCCTTTTGAGCCGGGGACCGTGACGCTCGTTCCTGAAAGCATCAGCATTGTACGAGCATACAAACAGATTGCCAACTCACATGTCTATACTGGACTCAATACCGTTGAAGACGAGGGAGATAAATTCTTCTGCGTCCTGCTGGCCAGTCATGTTCGACCTTCGCGCGTTTCGCCTGAACCACCTCACCCCCTCTAGACTCCGGCTCTTGCAAGCAGCAGCCGTTCCCTCAGGCTCGAAGCAGAACTTCCTCTCCACCAACCGGTGCAGACGATGGATAGCCGGATGCGACCAGTCAAACGGCAAAGGTAATCTCTCTGCTGTCGTGCCGATCGAAACATCGCCCCAGTAAGCATTGACCAGTGTTTTCAACAAGCACGAGAAACAGCCGAGTGCTAGCTCTCCCATATTGACTAGAATCGGATCCTCGCTCTCTTTCGCGTTGAGGGATGCGTTTGGATCGGTAGCTGAACATGGCCAATGAGCGCCCGGTTCATTGTGTTTGCGGATCCAGTTCAGAAAGCGCGGGAGATGCATGAGGCACTGCAGTGCTGCGTGTCTATAGCAGTAGTTCCCTGCATTATTCAGGCCTCGTGGACGCCGGTTAGTACGAGTTATTGGCCAGGCTCTTGATAGGCCTAGGGCGATACGTTTGCGTTCTCGCTGCAGTGGTGTTTGGCGTGCTCTGGGCATTATGATTATTGGTGTACTAAGATTGCCGACCGAGAAAGTTTGCAAACACATTGTGGAAGCTTGACCATCTTGTATGGTGTCGGTTCCAGACAAACGTGGCTTAAGGTGTTTCTTTGTCCCCTGGTCAGGTTGCGCGGACCAAGATGAACAAAGACCTTGTCATTGACGGAGGTGGTTGCATCTTGTGCCTCTCAGCTCGAATAGACAGTAATTTCTACCAGTCATGTCCAGAGCCGTCCGTATGTACTTTGCAGAACACCAGTATGCACAAAGCGAATGGGTTCTACAACCATACTTGTACTAGTCTTATGTTCACAACCCTTTGTCAAAGCAGACCTGCCGCAACGTTCAAAGGCTTTCTCTTCGCGCTAATAGTGGTCATACAATAGCATGATTTCCTCCTTGGTGGCGCTCTGCCCACTACTTGCGGCTTTGACACGATCCGTGTAGATGAAAAAACACAAAGGCATGTTGACTTGACTTTTGAATTGTCGCCATGTTCTAAGAACACTGGCTGTCTGTGTGATATGATTGGACTCTTTGTTCGTACTGTCACTGGCACGGTTGCACCAGTCGAGCAATCGTTCGAGAGATCCTTGTCAGGTACAATGTGCTTACCCTTGCATGTTGAGCAAACGGTTTGGCCTGCGTTATTGATGGCTTCACCTGCCCCCCGAGACCACGATTTCCGACTACTAAGCCATTTCACCCTTCCGCTCTTCCCTCAGAGCATTCTTCACGATTGCGCCACACATCTTCGCATACGGATTCGTCCTCACGCTCATCTCTCTCGCAGCCTCGTCGCCATACCGCGCAGCAGCAGCGAAATCCTTTGACGCCAACTCCTCCAACTCGCTCTTCTCCAAGCCTTTCAGTTGTGTCCCTGTTTCGCTCGCTTTCAAGTATAGGAAGGCGCGATGCGAGTATGCTGTGCGTAACATGCGCGCTTGGTACGCTGACACTGGGGCTGTGGGTGAAGATGCGGGCAATGAAAGATGAATGGCGCGTGACAAGTCTGTAAATAATGTTTCGATGTCTGATTCTGATGCGGAGAAGATATTGCCGTCTTTTGGTAGCGATGTCTCGATTTTTATTCTTCGGAGCATGGCGCGGTTGACAAAAGCGCTCGGATATGTCGGATTGGTGGCAATGATATTGTTGAGACATTCGATCTCTGAATGTATCGCTTCTAGGGTAGAATCACTTGTAGTGCGCCTGACGATGTCGTTTTGTTGTGTTTCGAGGATGGATAGTTGTGATGAGGAAATGCTAGGGTGTGGCGGTAATGTGGTGTCTATGGCGGATGCATCTCTCGACTTTGCGACAGATGATGGAAGAGTTTCTGGGTCGAAGAGCGCATTCAGAATACGAGCATCGTTGGCTGACAACGAGGTGTTGACGGTTTCAACGGCCATCGGAGCTGGTGCTGTGAGTCTTCAAGATGTGGCTTTGTCTTCGATAGCGATTTCGCGAAGTCAAGTGCGTTTGGGAGCAGACTGAAATAGTCAGCTGAGTAACGTCCGAAGACTTCTGTGGCTCGTCGCGGAATCTGGTTTTGATACCGTTCGATGTGAAAGTAAGGCTCGGCTCAAGCGTCACGGAGCCGGGCAGCAGCGGATATTGGGGCCCGTAAACCTTGAACGGCTAGCGAATTGCCCGAAAGAACACCACACCTGCTGGACACCAGTCCATCAACACCTGCACTTTGCACAACATCAAAGCCGAAATGAATGTCGAATGTAGTCTTGCATCCATTGCGATTAGTACGCACACGGCCTATGCTGACAAGAACATATTTCGCACTCGAGTTCCACTTGGGCGGATAAGAGCGGATGGACATCAGCGGACAAAGAGTGTCGCTTCAGGAAGGCACCGCACGTGCTCTCGGCATAAGGATCCTGATGACGGTGCGTGAGCAAACATTGCATGGATTGCTGTATCTCGGTTCTTGAAGGAAGGGGTGAGGAAGCACTGGTAAGCGTACTAGATAAAGGCAACGACGGATCGCTCGGTTCAAATTCAGCAAGCACGCACTCACTCTTCTCACATACACTCGAAAATCCGAAGTTGAAGTCCGCCCCATACAACATACAGCGATATTCAACGATGGCTCCCGCGGCTATCTCGCCTCCCGGCTCCCCAGTCCCTTCCACCACCTCTTCCTCAGACTTTGCGTCATACCGTGGATATCACCATGTTCACTGGTATGTTGGCAACGCTAAGCAAGCCGCTTCCTTCTACATATCACGTATGGGGTTTGAGAGAGTCGCATACCGCGGGCTAGAGACAGGGTCGCGAACAACCGCCTCCCACGTTGTACGAAATGGCAATGTGACCTTCATCCTGACATCGCCACTTCGATGCCTTGAGCAAAGCAGCCGCTTCAGTGAGGAAGACGCACGACAACTCAAGGAAATTCACGAGCACCAAGAGCGCCACGGTGATGCCGTGAAGGATGTTGCCTTCGAAGTCGATAACGTCGATGCGATCTACAACGCCGCAGTCTCTGCTGGTGGTATCTCTGTTGCCGAACCCCACGATCTATCAGATGAACACGGCACAGTCAGACTAGCCACTATTCGCACATATGGCGACACAACACACACACTGATCCAAAAGTCGACATACAACGGCATTTTTCTACCAGGGTATCGGGTAGAAGCCAAGGCATCAGATTTATTGAACCGCTTCCTGCCCTCTGTGACCCTCGAAGCCATCGATCACTGCGTCGGTAACCAGGACTGGGATGAGATGGAGGACGCATGCGACTACTACGAGAAGGTTCTGGGTTTCCACCGCTTCTGGAGTGTCGACGACAAGGATATCTGCACTGAGTACTCCGCACTGAAGTCCATTGTTATGAGCTCGCCGAACGAGGTCGTCAAGATGCCAATCAACGAGCCTGCGAAGGGGAAGAAGCAGTCTCAGATTGAGGAGTACGTCGACTTCTACGGCGGTCCGGGTGTACAGCATATTGCACTACGGACGGATAACATCATCGGTGCTATCACAAACTTGAAAGCAAGAGGCGTAGAGTTCATCAAGGTCCCCGAGACATACTATGACAGCATGAAGATGCGCCTAAAGAAGGCAGGACTCACGCTGAACGAAGACTTCGAAACACTCAAGAGCTTGGACATTCTGATCGACTTTGATGAGGGCGGTTACTTGCTCCAGCTCTTCACCAAGCATTTGATGGACAGACCAACAGTATTCATCGAGATCATTCAACGCAACAACTTCAGCGGGTTTGGCGCGGGTAACTTCAAGAGCTTGTTCGAAGCAATTGAGAGGGAGCAGGAGCTGCGCGGAAATCTGGTTTGAGAGAGCACATAGTGACAACCAAAATTCATTTTCCATAGGGTGGCATTGATGGCGTTATCATTTGCGGTATACCAACATAGTAATGCATGATGAATCACTCAGCTTCACATAGACTTATCGTGACACTGGTGGAGCTAGGCAAGCTCAACTTGTGACTATGTTCCGTCAGTCAATACATCGCACCCTGTGATGATAGTATCTGCACCATTTTGCCCGTTTGGTTGATGATGTTCGATCCTGTGCGCTGTCATGTTTCATGCATTATCCAGAAGTCTCAAGGCTGATACCATGGGATGAATACGGAGATGACGCTTCATGGGGGTAAACAAGAGAATACACGTATTCGCTCCAACCGACGAGGCGTCAGGGATGTAGAGAGGCCCGTGACATATGGAGTCATTCAATCGTATCGTATTTTCTCGTCTAACAGTTCGTCGCCACCCAACGCCTCTAGGTATCTCGATTCAACGACTCCGCCCATGCTAGATGCGAAGCTGCATTCTACTTGCTTTTGCTGAAACCAAGTTCGTACAAGAAACTCAGCACGAGCTGACCATGCTGGAGTACATGCTTGGGGTCAATGTGCTCAATGGTGTCATTGGCAGTGTGAATGTAAGGGTTGCGATACTCAAATGCAGCCTCGAAGATAAAAGAAGCTGGGAATCCATTCCTTGTGGCGGAACCGTGGTCAGAGCAAGCGTAACCGCAGACACTGTTAACACGCTCAATATCAGTGTACTAAGGTATCAGTTAGTCATGTTTATCTCATGTGCAGTTAAGAGTAAAGCTTACAGTGTCAATAACACGACCAATGTACTCGTTCAGCTCCGGATCAGTAAAATCGGTGATCACACCAAAGCTCTCAGGCTTGCCAGCATTGATTGTACCCTTGGTGTAGCCAACCATGTCCTGGTTCAACATGGCCCACACATCTCTGCCAGCATTGGCATACTGGGTGAAAATGTCTTGGCTACCACGAAGACCGCCCTCCTCCGCCGCATACCAGTGGAACTCAATGGTGTTCTGCAACTTGCTTGGGCCAAAGTCCTTGTCAGCCAAAAGCACACGGAGTGATTCAAGGAGTAGGAAAGAGCCTGAAGCATTGTCATCCACTCCCGGGGCGCGTGCCTCGGTCCGGTTTGCGCCGTTCACGGAATCCAGGTGGGCACCAACGATGACCGTCCTGTCACTGCGCCCTGGGATCGTGACGACGATGGACTTCTGGGGCCAGAGTGCGTGCGGGAAGGCCTTAGCAGTAACGCCCTGCTTCTTGGATTTCAAGACCACATCCTGGACCTGAGCGAGCAGCCACTCGGATGCCTGAGTGCCTGTGACAGTTTCGGAGAAACGCGTATGGTAGGTCGAGTACTGTTCAAGGTTCTTCCGGATGTTATCCCACGTGAGCTTGGGGAAAAGGCGCCTGATATTTTCCTCATACTTGAACTTAGATGGATATGGAGCTGGGACTTTGACTGCCTTGACCTCGGCGTTGAACTCAGTGATGTCGAAGAAATGGCTTCCACATCCTCCGTTCTACTCAGGTTAGTGACAGTAGAGTACCGAGTTTGCAATAGCTTACCGAAGAAAGCTCCCACCGCTCCTCCTCAGTGATCTGCACGGTCTGTCCAGGTGCTGTCTCGATGGTGAACAAAGCTCGGGGCTTAATTTGCTTGGGCTCCGCGATGACAGCGGTCACACAGGCGGCGGCAATAAGAGCAATGGCCTTCATGATGCGGGATTATTGACAGAGAGCCAACTCTGTAAAGATGTCTGATCTAGGAGGTGCTCAAGAAGTTGTGGTCGCAGCGACGCCCCGATATAAATATTGCCAATAGCTTTTCGGTCTGTTGCGGATAACAACCGGTCCACCGTCAGCAGATCCATCGCGTAACACCATGCTGTTCGTGATGTCCTTGTAGCAAACTTGATAATACCAAGATCAGGAACACACAGAGGGCACCAATGAGGAATTGTGTAGGGTCCAGGGTAGTTCTCGGCGTTCTTGTCCATGCGGAGTGTACGGCGGATTTCCTTGTCGACTGCCTAATGCGATTTAGCGCCTATGATTGCGGACGCTGACAACGAGCATGTTTTGTCCTATTGCTGGATGTTACTATCTGATGGCTGTTGTTAGGTTCGCACGATGGAGGCATGCCATATTGCATTTCCCGTATAGGCAAGATGTAAGGAAAGATCGCGGAAGTGTATTGACGTGAAGCGAGGAGTTGCAATCACGCTAAGGACGCGCTCCGTACGCGGCCCGCCATACCTTACGCAAAGCTTCAACGTTACGCGTTCTTAGGGAAGTTTCTCATCCATACATTAATACTGTTGATCCGATGTTCTGTTCTCGTAGACTTGGACTCAACCCAGACATGCTTTCCCTTGTTCACCTGTGGTCAGCTTGCACTTGCACTGCTAAGTGTGAAAGTGCATGCGGCAATTGGGGCACTTCAACGTCGATACATTGTAATGCTCCAACTGGGCGGTGTGAATTCTACAAGCTCGAAGGTACAATCTTTGCGGACTTCATATCTGCTTGCAGCCTTCTTTCATCTTGCCAATCATCCGCGCACTATGCACCTAAAAATGGGCGGTGACAAGCCGTCCTCCGCCCACTGCCTTCTACGGCTCGGCTCCATCTGCGCGAGCTACTATGTAGTTTTCAAAATTCTCACTTCCAAGTTGCTTGTTGGGTGCTGATAGCCTGATGGCTGGGTTATGTCCCGTCTATTTGACTCGGTGGATCCACGACATCGCCACCCACTGCAATGTTGGCTATGACGTGACACGATATTGCAATAGTGGGCTGTGATGCGGTTGTCACGCACCCATAAATCTATACACTGCGTATGTGAACCTAAGAAACCGTTGTTCATCTATGGCAGCTCGTAGCGAGGGGAGTCTTCTCCTTGGTCCAGGAGTCTTCCGGATAGGTTGACGCGTGAGACGGAGCGCCAGTTCAAACCTATCTGACGCTTCCAATGGGAGATCTTTTTGCTTACGCGCCTTCATTGTTGCAACTCCTTCCCCACGTGGTTTAGTTCTGTGTGATACTGACCATAAGTGTGCAATTTATCTAAGACGTTCGACCGGAGTCCATGTTATTCTGTCGACGACATCATCGTCATCAACCAAGGCAAGATACGTCGATTGAATAACGCGGATGCATTGTACGTCACCTAGCCTGCAGTATATGATTTGAATTGAAGGTCATACGTACAAGACGTCGGTGTTCTCTGGTTAGACGCAATATCGCGCAAAAGACTAGCGGCTGGTCTTCACTTCACGTCGAATGCAAACAGACCAGAGACTATGACGCGCTGGTGGCCCCTGCACTTGCTTGCTGCCTACAAACAGTCACACACGCGGCAGAATTCACTTCTGCTCAACTCACACCGGCAATCACTCAGTTCTCTGGTCAACTTTCTTTGGACTGCGCCCGGGTTCATCCCCATCCCATCTTGCCATGCCTGAGTTCTCTCAGTTCTACTCTGCTACAGAGGCCGAAGCAGCCGCTAATCTCCGCCTACTATTCACTCGAGAGACAAGAGCAGCACCGCTTTTCAGCAGTGACGATGCAGAGCAACTGACAAATCTTCTCAACGGCGTTACAGCGTCAACAGCTCGCCCGCGCAACGACGCCAATCAGCCGTTCTTCCGAACTGTACCACCTGTACAGTCTATAGAACAGTTGCTAAACGTGTCTGCTTTTAATGTGACCCAAGAAGAAGTACATCGCGAGAAGCATCTGCATTACGAGAGCACCTCTGAAGACTCCGAGAGTTGGAAACTCAGGAGCCGTACACCGAGCTCGGATGAACCATCGCCACAGAAGTACCAGATTCCTCTGCCGACTTCGAGTGTCAAAATTGAGGCGTCGAACACCAGCAATGGGTCAGACGATGAGCTGCCGCACATGTAAGCAAGACCTCTTCGAAGATACCATTGGTACCTGAGCAGCATACTGATGCTGTATAGGATTGAGCCGACAAGCGATACTCACTCAAAAGGCTGGGCAACCACACCCAAGTACCATGCTACCTATCCGCGAAATGTGCTTCAGACTATGGACACACAATTCTCCAAATGGTCGTACGATCTCAACGAGGGAACGACAGCCATACCATTTGTAATGGCGCAGGCTCCAACCGATACACACGAAAGGCTTGCAAGTGTCGACAGAGAGCTTTGGTCTGCTGACGCTGAGGACGTTACCAGAGATGTTGGAGATTGTCAGACCATAGCTAAATCACTCATCAAGCGCGTTCAGAAGATGGCCTCCAATGATACCAGCTCATCCAAAGCTCTCAGAGGGGCGAACCACGACAGCTCAGTGAAGGCCGATTCCCTCCCCAGAGACGGCTCCACATCGAAGCGCGCGGCACTCATCGCAAAGAGCAAAGCCGTCAAAGATAGCTCGCTTGTCGCAAGCAAATCTGTCAACCAAAGGCGATCCGCTTTGCACAAAAATAGGAATCGCAAGTCGATCATGTCGTCGCCGCCACCAACATCAACACAGGTGGAGCCAGCCCAGAAGCCCGAACCACAAGCGGAGCAAGCCAAATCCAAAATGGTTCTCCTGAACTCAAACGAGGAACGCCAACGGCGTGATTTCGATTCTGCTCTACAAACTCGACGTATAGATTTTGAAGACAGACACCATTTGGAGGCGCTGATGGAGCAGTTGGGGAACCCAATGAACACAGCCAACAAAGGACGGGTTGTCAAAGATGTTGATGTCAGTGTAGGGCATCTACCGGGACGTAATTAACACTGACATTCTGCAGAAAACAAACCTCAAGGAAGGTGAAGCAAGGCAGACTGGTAGATTGAAGGGCAAGGCAAGGAAGAAAGGAAAGAGTAGTGTCGCACGATAAGCGCTCACTGTGAGCGCTACCAAGATACTGTTCAGGATTCCATGACGAATTCCTACATATGTCGAAACTCAGATCTGAATTAGAGAGTGGATATGTGAAATACACTTTGCCGTTTGTCTGTGTAATCCTGCCTGGCCGTAAAAATTGCTCGTCAGGGTCAAGCCAAAGCCGACCCGACCCTGCCCCGCGTTAGCCGGTTTCGTAAGCGGCTCAGTGATGGGAACCGTCGGAAAAGTGCGCACAATGGGCTTTTCGTAAAAGCGATTGATCGTGAATCAGCAGCTTTGGATTGACTGTAATGCTCTAGTCAGACTAAGCAGTTCAGTGCTGTTCTTTTCCAGCTCAATTGCACTCGCAAAGAAAAGAAGAGCCCCACTAGCTTCGGCATTTCACGCTTCGGCACCCACGCTCCTCGAGTCCGCCGGCGCTTCCCACTCCAGTCATTGCCGCCGCCAGTCTTAACAGTCCGGTTCCTGCGCCATCCGCGCATCACTCCACCAGCCTGTGAAATGGCCACAATACAGGCACCCAACGCCCTGGGTGCACAGGACACGAATGCGACCACTAAGAAGCGGACCCACCCGGAAGACTTCAAGCGCGCCTATAAAGCATGCATCAACTGCCGACAGCGTAAGGCAAAATGTATTCTAGGTACTGGCCCAGATGGAGGTGAGCTAAAGCCACCGTGCCAACGATGTAAACGCGAGATGCGAGAATGCGTTTTCCGATCTGAACGATCTTGGGTCAAGAGACGGAAACCGGGGGAGGCGAGAGAAGAAGAGGATGAGGAGTCCATTTCGAGACCTCAGCCACCTGGCCCCAGCCCATCTGTACCTGTACCTGCACCTGTACCCGCTCAGCCGTCGCCAGCCCAGCGATCGTCCATCTCGGGCCATGGATTCACGCCCGTACAAAGCCCTTATATTAATGCACATTCACATCGCTCTGATATCCTGTCGCCACCTGCTCATCTTCGACGGGTGTCATCGTCTCAGCCAGACCTTGCTCACTCCGTTATGAGAACTGTTGTCTCCAGTGGCAGTGATGCGTTGAACCTGCTCTTCGAAGCAGCGCATCATCGCGATGCTATCGACAACCAAGAAGCGAACGGATCGCAGGCATACGAAACACCCAGGTCTGGACCGTCCGGTGGGTACGATGCTGGCTCACCATACCACACCTTTCGAGCACAGCCTGTACAGATGTCAACGCCGTCGCCAGAGACGTTGAAGATATGGACGTCATGTCGTTTCGTGCAGATGGGCTGGTTCTCCGCGCACGAAGCTGTGACCTATGTCGACTTATTCTTCAAGAACTGCTCGCCACTATCACCCATCCTCGGCGAATTTTACTCACATCACGACAACCACTACTCGCTGATAGCCCTGGACCCTTTTCTCTGTGTAACAATTCTTATGATTTCGTCTCGTTACAACATCTTGCCAGGAGTCGGTGGCGCATCAAGAGGCTATTTCGTCCATGATCGATTATGGGAGCAATGCCAGCGCTTCATCATGAAAATCATGCTCGGCCAGGTCAAGCCCTCAAAAGCACAAAGCCGAACGATCGGATCGATTGAAGCGCTCTTACTGCTATCGGAATGGCATCCACGCGCATTGCATTTTCCTACCGCAGCAGATGGGTGGGATTGTGAGCTGATGATCGGCGCCAACAACACAACAGCCGAAGGTGCCAAGCTGTTAGAAGGAGATACAACGTCAAGTAGATGGCTCGAGGATGTGATAGAGCCTGCAAAACGATCAGACCGAATGTCGTGGATGCTGATGGGCTCCGCGCTATCATTAGCCCAAGAGTTAGGTCTGTTCGAAGATAACACCAGCATCGACAAGGACCAAAGATCTTATCCCAAGTCATCAAGCGAATTCTTGACCTTACGTCGAATTCGAGCCCGGAAGCTTCTTTATGTCTTGCTTGAGCAGCTGTCGTGGCGCCTCGGCTGTACCTCGATGATACCCCAAAGCTTGAACCATGCTCTGATGGAGAAAATTCCAGTTGACTCGGCGACAGGCGCTGTCGAGCAATGGCAGTCGTTCATGAGCGCATGGGTTGAGCTCACCAAACTCGCGCGTTCCGTGTCTGATACAATCTACCCCTCTGCGGCGACGACAAAGAGTCTGTTACGCACTGGGAGGTACATCGGACTGCTTGAGCATTTCCAACCCCTGCTCACTTCGTGGAGGAAGAAGTATCTTGATCCTTGCAGTAAGTAAGATGCTTATCCAGGAAGCTCCGACTGACTTTTGCATAGGACTGAAAGTAGGACTCCACGACATGCTCACCATTGAGTACCAATACGTCCGCATCTACACTAATTCTGTGGGCATGCAAGCTGTTGTCGAGCGCACACTTGCCGAAACAGACACTGACGTGCCCCAAGACGAAATCCTGCCTATGAACCTTGAACCCAGAGATTATGACTTTATCCAAGAGGTGGTTGATGGTAGCTGTCAGATCCTGCAGAAGGTGGTCCAGCTATCAGAGTCAGGCGCTCTGCGGTACTCGCCAGTGCGGATATTCTTGCGAATCACTACATCGTCAATATACCTCATTAAAGGTCTGAGTTTGGGCTCAAGGAACCAGAAGCTGCAGTCGTCCCTTGACATCTTAGATGCAGCGATCCGCGCTTTGCGAGCTAGTAGGTGTACTCGGCTTTCTGTCAACCAGCATCTACTAACATCTACACAGGCGTACTTGATGACATGCATCTTGCCTCACGCTACGCGACCCTTCTCGAATTGCACGTCGCCCGACTACGCGACAGCTTTGTTGTGTCCTCACGCCCCCCACGAATCCCATCTCGTGCGACATCCGCGGAGCGCAATGGCACCACAGGGACCATGGACTTTCTTAACAACCACGCTGGTCAGTCGGCACTTGCTGGGCTGGCAGGTGATGTGACGGGCATGATGCCTGATGACGATTGGCTTGCGCTGCCCTTCGATCCGGCGATGGCGCCCTTTGGGTTGGACAATCAGCAGAACTTCCAGAGCTTTGATGATGGAACATTAGATTTCATCTGGAATTTGCCAATGTAGGATGTGCATGCATAGAATAGTCTCATTCTACAATTCGCAGGAACTATGGTAATAGAAGGCTCGACACCCCATCCTCACTTTCGCCGCTTCTCGAACCCAACATCCTCCCAATCCTCCTTGATCATATCCGCGCCCTTCTCCGCAAGCATGTAGATTGACGCCAAGATGTTAGCATCCGGTAAGACCGGAACAACACTGCAATCAATCACCCTCAATGAGTCCACACCGTAGACCTGCAGTCTTGGATTCACAACCCCGCCGTCTTCGAGGGGCAGCATTTGATTCGTACCTGTAGCATGCCAATTGGGAATCGTGTTTGCCTTAATATACTCCAAGATCGCCTCGTCATCATCATCTGCCACAGCCGGACCGGGACTCACCTCACCAGAGAAATCGCCGATGGTGAACTCCTGCAGTGCGGGATGGCGCAGAATTTCGCGCAAGAATTTGAAGGATGCGATGCCAACGGCGCCATCTGTGGAATCGGCGTAGTAGTTCGAGTCCACGAGCGGCTTGTCGGACATACTTGCTGTTCGTAGTGTCACGGTGCCGCGCGATAGCTGCACCATGCTGGATGCTGTGATCGAGATGTACGACTCGTTTGGCAAGGGGGCCCAGAACGGTGTCGGGATCCACGGGTACCAGACAGACTCAAATAGGTACTCGATATGTGTTTGGTTTGCAAGGCCGGCGTCAATGATGGCAGAGGCATTGATGTCGCGCAACTGTTGCTCAGTGAGCTTTTGGAAGCCATTTGTGATTCCAGAGGGTGCCGTGTATGGGCCTGTCAGGTTGGTGTAGAACAGGGTTTGTGCTTCTCGCAAATTTTCGGGCGAGCTGGACATCTCTGTTGTTGAAGCAGAAGGCTCGGCACGCGCCATGATGCTGAAAACCGAGTGGTCGTTGAGGTGTTGGCCAACGTTCTCGTTGACAACGACGGGCTCAATGCCGACTTTCTCAAGCTCAGCGGCGGGCCCGATACCAGATACCATCAGGAGCTGTGGAGAGTGGAAAGCACCCATGCTCACGATGACTTCGTTCCGCGCCCTAGCTTGGCTGACAAAACCAGTTCGCTGATCAATATAGCTGACGCCAAGAGCACGTGGGTTGCTGGTTGAGTTCGTGGAGGTAGTGTTGCTAGTTGGTGGGGTGCTCATAACAATTCCAGTGACCGGGGCATCGTGAAGTACTCGCAAGTTTGTGCGGTTCCTCGCTTGCTGATAAAAGCTGTCGTAGCTGCCGCTCCGACGTAACCTACTGTTGACAGTTGCCGTTCCATGCTTTATGCCCACACCATCTCCAGTGTTGAGATCTTGAACGATAGGAATGTTCATTGCTTCAGAGCAAGCGACAATGAAGCCGTCCGTTGAAGGAGGTACATAGCCTTGGAAACCGAGCTCGAGGGGGCCGCCTCCATAAGCGCTGGCATCAAACGTCTTGAAGTCTTGACTAAAAGCAGCAAGCTCTTCAGTCGAGTTGGGCGGGTTCATCTTTGTACTTTTGCGGAATAAATCGTAGGTATCATCCCAGCCCCAGCCAGGGTTTCCAAGTTCGACCCATTGATCGTACACGCTCGCGGATCCACGGGCGTAATACAGTCCATTCGTGCTACTCGAGCCGCCCAACGTTCTTCCGCGAAGGTACTGAAGTGTCCTGTTATTCAAGTGCCTCTGCGGCTGTGTATCAATTCCCCAGTCGATTACGCTGCCTTTGATAAACTGGTTGCCACCAGGAGTTTCGTACGCGCGCACCTGCTCTGGGTTTGGGCCAGCTTCAAGCACAAGGACCGAGAACCTCCCAGACTCCGTTAGACGGTTTGCAAGCACCAGACCTGCCGTTCCACCACCCGCAATGATGAAGTCATACTCTTCGTTGAATGATGGATCCTGCTCCGCTCCATCAGATGGTGGGTTTTCACCTGACGATTGGCGCCTCGCGTGCCGGGAATTGTGCAAGTTATAGCTTGGCCACGCAGAAACCGTGCTGGACAACACGAACAGAGTGAGTAGGAGCCCGGCAAATATTCGCCCTGCTGAAGCACGTGACATATCGGAACTCTGTTAGACGATATCCAAGGGTATGAACAGTCTCCACTGGCAGGAGTAGGCGAAGGCCGTAAGGAAGAAAGGTAGTGGAGCATAGATGACTCTTTATACCGAGTACTCTGGGGCAAGCAGTAGCACAGTTATTTAGTTGCCTGCCAAGTCGTGTCGCCCAAGAAATGCAACCCACGGTAAGCCGGCTGGTAGTGGACAGAAACAGGTAAAGAGACATTAGGTCTCTGCTGACCATCTCGATCGAGGCAGTGCATGAGCTATTGAGTCCTGCAAGTAATGGCACAGCAAGATGCGGCCTCATGCTGCTTAGTAGATTATTTGAGCACTTGAAATGCCTTCGAAACATTTCCCGGAAGCCGACTTCGATCAATTTGTGTCGATAGAGACGGTACTCAATTGTGGTACAAGTCACTGTTTTGAGCCCAAACAATAGCCACTGACGCAGCATGCTCTACGTAAGCTCTATACCATCTACACTAGAGCATGTGGCTTTGCATAGCGAACGTGTCGCTAGTATCTTAAGAAGTTAGCACGCCATGGCACCACCGTCATTCCAAGCCTGCGGACATGCGAGATCACGGCTCTACGGCGATCTGCGAGGTACAATGAGACTGACCAGCAAGCCTTGGCCAAATATGATTCTCAAGTTGGGGTAGTCAGGCGTACTGCCAATGTTACTCTAAAGGCTGAGGCGTCTATTCGAGTGCGGGGAAGTCAGCCAGTGCAGGAGTGTCTGACTTGAGAATGTCTCCAGGACCGATGTCTAAAACCCTGGACAGTACACAGATGCTGTTGTTCGGTTGGCTCGCGCACGCTTGCGTGGAGGTAAAAGTGATGGGATGGTGTGCTTGTGACGTCATGAGTACCTTAGTAAACTTCAACTGAAGAGCATTGACGATTTCGTGTCACAACGACTCCCACGACCTTGTACATTACGATATGTCTATAATACAATCATGCAGCTGTTCCAGACAGCACGGTGCATCTCACTAAGGCAGGTCGCTTTCTATACATTCGATATTGAGTGTTTGAGACTCAGATCATTCCCTGGTGGCAGCCTGATGATCTTGCGAAGAGTAAGGTGGCACAGCTGAAGCTACCGCTTCGGAAAGAAATTCTCGTCGTGCGTGATGGCTAGTCCAAACAATATCGCGAACGGAGCAACAATAACGGCCGCACGCATCCCAGAGATCAATGATAGTCTTAATCTCGTGTGTAAGCCGCTGGAACATCACTTGTAACAAGTTAGTGTAGGTATGGCTGACACATCAAAGACCCATAACTACGCGTTTGAGTAAACCTTGTGTACTGGAAAGAAACACAGGTAGTTCCGCTAACGACGACACCTTGTTTGGATACAATAGTAATCTGAGCTCGCGCCAAGCATATTCAAGAACAGCACATTTCGACCTTTGATTGAAGCCAGACCTCGGCAGCTATAAGCAAGGACCTCGTTCACGAATATCTTGCGCAACGACATTCATCACATACAAGACACTGAAAGGAACCAGCACCTCTTAACGCTATGACAAGTCTGACTGGCACCCCGGCGTGTCTTCAGCTCTAGTCTCCGCAAGTGGGTTACAGTATAATAGCCTCTGAAGTGTCGTTACACGTTGTCTCTCAATCCAGGGCTGTCGCGATGAGTGAGCCTCGCAAACCGAAAGTTTGGCAACGTTTCAACTGCTTGCACGTGGACACTTAGACTCACGTGACTTGACCGGCAGCATTCACTTCACCGTCGAGTAAAACCCTAATCTTGTAAGTCGCCAGGCTCACGTGGAAAGAAGAGTTAAGGACGGCGCTGCGATCTGCTTTGCCATCTCTCTTACACCAGGCAACTTGCCTGTTGGCATCAGCATTACCTCCCGTGCTGCGCTACACTCACTCGACCGCCATGTCATCTACAATGTCGCCGGAACATCTTGACGCCGAAGCCGACGACTTCTGCTACGCTTATTCAGTAACGTCAGTAGCACCTAACTTTCCAACGAACATAACATCACCATCGCTATCTCTTCACCGGAGCTATTCAGGCCACGACTCAGCCATATTCAACCACGGATGTTTAAACAACAGTCTGGCAGGCACTAAAACCCAATCTTTGATGGTTTATACTCAAATCCAACACGGCGCTGCCCCCAAGTCGGATGATGTTGTAGGACAGTACCTCGCCCAACGAGCAGCACTGGCAAATATCATGGAAGGCCTCCAGGCTCCAGGATGGAATTACGTCAATGTATCTGCGGGGTACAATGCTCTGGACCAGCCAAAAAGAGTGAACTATGACTCATATGCAAGTGAGCAGCCGTTCCAACGACGGTATCCCGATCTGGAAGGCATTCGCCACCTTCACACTCTACACAGCTTGCTGCCCCACATTCAGCCTGTGCGGAAACTGAACGCTCTAAGCAGCCTTGAACTCGACATAATTGAAGTCCAGACTGATAATATTTTCTGTCGCGCAGTACCAAAGAAAATGCTTGTCCTCTTCCTTGGGCGCGATGTCGTTCGCAAATTCCTCCACACGGTCCAGCGTGAAAACAACGAAGCCTGGTTGGGGATACCCACCCAACAAATCTTTCGCGTACCACAAAATATTGCTAGTTCAGCTGCAATCACTATCCTGGTGTCCTGGATGTTACGAGCATGCAAGTTTGCCACCATGCATGCCATGGAGCCGATCCGCATACCGAACAATCTACTCGCCGCCTGTTCGCTTGCTCGTACCATGGAAGCATTTGGCTTGCACAAAGATGCGAGCCGTGTGGATATCTCCATATCTCAACAGTTTCTCAGGCGACCGTTGTATGCGGTCGAGATAGAGACGCTGTGGAGATGCCTTGGCGAGACTAGCAAGTATGTGTATGGGTGCGTTAAGGCTTTCAGCACCCAGTCGCGGAACCCAAAGATGAGTGAAGAATTTCGGATTCTTGCTGAAAGATGTCCGAGATTGCATGCGAGGATTCGTGACCCCGCCCTGAATGAGGAGTATAGACCTCAGTTTGGAAGGAAGTGGTTCCAGAAGCTGACAAACGAGAATGCCCAACACGTTCAGATAGGCATTTCGGGACTTGGGGTACGAACAGACAATGACGCAGATACACGTTCATGGCATAGTTGTGCTGAACGTACTCAGGCCCTTGAGATACACACAAGAAGCGTGAGAGCACTGAACCCGTGCGCGTCTGACTTCTGGCCCATGGGTACAGAGTGCTGATGGGCACTGAACTGTAGTTGCCGGTATAATCATACCTGGTACATTTCCCTTGCAGAAACAGCGAGCGTTTGGTCGGGCTAAATCGGTCACTTATCAATTTTGCTTACAGAGGGTGGCCAGTTTTGCGCTCATTCCGAGAACGGGTTGGTCTTGGCTATCGTCACGTTGTACGCCTACGACAAAGAGACATCACAATGTTTGCTCAAATTCTCGGGCTGAAGATTATTCACATCTTTGTTTACGAACAAATATATACAATTAAATCGTTCGTCCGCTCTTCTGATTGCAGTTCAAAGGCCTCTATGCTTCGTCAAGAACCACAAGCTTAAAGACACTGGCTGTAAAAGTCATTCTGCTTCTTGCACGTGGTCCCACTAGCACATGTGACAGATCCAGTGTAGCCCGATCCGCCGCACTGCCCCCAAGCAGCGACCGTAGCGCCACCAGATGCAGCGCCCTTGGTAGCAGTAGGCTTCGCGACAGTCGTGAGGGTGGTCTTGACAGCTGCGGCCTTTGTGGTGGTAGCGGGGGCGGTAGCAGCCTTGGAGGTAGCAGCCTTGGAGGTAGCAGCAGCCTTTGTGGTGGTAGGAGCAGAGACATTGTTCTCAGTTGCTCCGGATGAGGCAGAGCCCAGGTTGGCGGGACCAGCGTTAGCCTTGACGTGCGCAGCGACCTTGTTAACTGCGAGAGGTGTGACATCATTGCCCTTAAGCGCGGAGATGAACGACGTTGTAGAGCCACCGGTCAGCTTGCCGGAGGTAGAGTCGACGCTATTTTCGAGACAGACGCGGCCGAGTGCAGAAGAGCAGGCAGAACCGCCGTTTACGACAAATGTGCTGATCTTGGCTCCCTTGTCGGTCACGGGCTGCGAGACACCGGAGAAGACGTTGCCTTCGATGAGGGCCTGAGCGCCAGTATAGGCGTCGAACGCGTGGCCCTTCATGTTCTCGAAATAGTTGTTAACGGCGTGGAAGGTACCAGTCGTGCCGTCCTGGCCAAGCTTGGGGGCGCGGCCTGCAACATTGTGGAGGTAGTTGCGGTCAAGTGTGACCTTATCGCCTGTTTTGTGTTAGACGTAATGGTCGTTGAGACGTGAGAAACAGAGAGCTTACCATCACCGTAGAACATCATGGTCCAGTAGTGGTTATTATTGCAGCTGGCGGAGGTGGTGGTTGTACCATCGAACTCGTTGTTCGAGACAGTGAGGCGGGAGCCAGCGTAGTGGGAAACAAGGAACATGCGGCCGACAAGGGAGAACTTGTTGTGATCGACCCAGACACCATCGTTACCACCCTGGAAGTCGAGGGCGTCACCGCCCCATACGACGCCAGGGTTTATGTTGGTGAACTCAATACCTTGGATAATGACGTTCTTTGCATTCTTGATGAGAGAAAGACCCTTGCCCTTCAGAATACCCTTTCCGCCGACACCCAAGATGGACTTGTTGCTGCCGACCTTAAGAGCTGTGGGTCCAGCAAGGTCATACTTAATAGAGCTGACAGGCACGTTGTCATCTGAAGCGGCGCAAGAGAGCTCGCCAAGGTAGAATTGACCTCCATTTGATGCCGAACATGAGCGGCGATCACAGCCAGAACCGGTCGCAGTTTTGCCAGTGAAATCAAACTGTTTGTTGATCAAAATGACGCGTGCCACATCGTCAGAAAGGTACTTGGCAAGCTCATCAGCAGTGGTAGGAGTTACGGCAGTGGCCGATCCACCACCGGTGACACCAGCAGCAAAGCCGTAAGGCTTGCCAGTCACAGCCTGAGCTGAGGCGCTAGCAGCAGCAGCGAGAAGGGCGGCGACTTCGAAACGCATATTGTTGACGTTGGGAATTGATTCGTTGTGTTATTGAAAGAGGGTTAAAAAACGTTCACTCAGACCAGCCGAAGATTCCGCTTGAGGTGAGAAACGAGAGAAAAAGAGAGAATATCGGAAAGGTACCGAGAAAAAGAGTGTTGATTTTGATGAATGAGAGTGGATGGAAGTTCAAAGGCATCGCGAATGGTCGTGGTGTTATACATCCACGGCAGCAAATTACAGGGCTGTGAGCATCTTCCTAATAACGGCAATGTACCCAAAACGGTATTGACAGATGGAAGCGCCTTGAACACTCAGGGCTAGTGTGCTGTCGTTGATCTTGGCAGTGTGTTTTAGGCGGGCGTCCTTTCCACATCGGGACTGACTGCGGGACTGTTGACTTAACCACGATCGTGGCGCACGACATAAACAAGTCGTGGAGGTAGACAGCAGGTCGGTCGCTAATCGACCAGTGCTTAGCAGCAGATGGCCTTAGGCTAAGTAAATATCTACTCACTACGAAAGTATTGCTGATAGTCTTAATCATCACTGGCAAGACGCCAAACATGGCAACGCCACATTCAGCCCAGCCACATCACACGGGTGGCTTGAAACAAATGCAGGCTCCACGCATGAATCGAAACACGGAGCTTGTACCACAACAGGTATGCATATCGAGAATTCAGGTGCCCCTATAATGGGAATTGCCGATACGGGTATGCGAACGTTTGTCGGCACAGCCAATAGCCGCAATTTGAGCAAGCATGCTGGTCGATCAACTACGGAGGGCGATATAAATGGCATTTGTTGTTGTGAAATAGATACCTTGCAGACTCTGAGATAAAAACTTGCGGGAGCATGTATCCGTCGTTCATTTATGAAGATTGCTGTGCTGGCAGCAAGACGGCAAGTGAACCTTCCAATGTCGTGGTGCACCATTCACTCAACTGTCCAAAGCATACCCGAGAATATCTTTTACGATGTGTTTGACTCGTGCTTTCGTCCACCGAAAGGATTTCTTTACCTTTCGAAGTCGTCGCTACTACATCTGAGCCTCTCATGACCGGCCATATTAACTATGCCACTCGACTCAGGCAAGAAACGCAGTTCGCATGAGCACAGGAATCCACAAACACCCGCAGAGCAAGGGGCCTTGCCCACCGAATTGAATCCTATACAATGCGCATGGTAAGCAGCGAGTTCCTCCCCGGGTCCCGCTCTACGATGATCCCAAACATGTTGCCTACAGCTGACAGCAGGCAGCGGCATTCTCCGAATTGCTGGGCTTGCATTCCTTCGTGCGTACTGCACGGGTGTCTCTACCGCAAAGGCCAGAAAGTTTCAGCTAAAGCTGAACAGGGTGAATTCAACCCATATCCGGGACGAAGAGTGGGGCTGCATCGTCCACTATATATCTTCGTCCGCGTCTGATGATGGAAGAGGACTGAAACATAGAAACATAGCAATAGATTCAAACTCAAGTCATTCGTCGAATCGTCTTATAGAAGGTCAAGGAGACTTAGTTGTCGAGGGCTGGAGTTGCGTTATGGCTGTCACTGTCTTACGCAAGGAACTGGCTGTAGACAAGCTAGAGAGCCTGTAACACCCAGAGAAGCCAATATAGTGTATGTTGTCGCTTACTGAAAAGCTCGCGCCTCTACGACATCGAGGATCACAGTGTGGTAAGTAAGCCATTGAATCTAGCTGCGATCACGTCGGCAAAGGAAAAGCGAAAGCTTCCCAGATTGGAACCTAGATCGTAAGACATGCCTGAAAGATGTAGGGATTCGGGCGGAGCAAAGCTTAAGTCTGGAGATTCGTTCGCGACTGCTATTGTGCAAGGATTTGAGAGCCTCACTGCTCCATGTAACTTAATACAATGGTACAAAAAGAAACGGATACAAGCACTTCCCTGACCTTTCCGAGTGACAAGGTTAAGATGGATATGAAAGTAGCTTAGATGGAACAATGATGGTGATTGTGTCGCATCGGTGTGTCTGAGGGAGACCTGACCTAGAGTAATGCTGTCACCAGCTGCCCAAATCGATGCTTTCTAAACCTTGGATTAGATATTATAGTCCTTCAGTACCTTCACAGTGAGAGGTGAAGTGAAGGAAAGGCTCTACCTGGAATAATCGGAGCGGAAGAACGTGTAGTCTTGGCAGCCGCACATGCACATGTCTACATTCACTGTTGAGCTAAACTGTATCGCCAACTCATACTGATACTATCGCTAACTTGTCCTTATAACACTGGTAGCCAACATGATCCAAGACTGCTTGTCGCTGCCGCGAGAGGCCAGCACTCGTGCCCGATGTAAATCCGGCCTAGATCCACTTCGCTTCGGTGTTCTAATAGGTGACATCGGGCTCCAGCAGCTACTGATTCTCCCTCTCGATCAGCGCAGAGATATATCAGAGCAGGGCCCCTTCATCGACTGGTACCTGGGCGACACACGTGTCTATAAGCGCACCACCCGCACCCTACTCTTCGCATTCTGCCCAGATATTGGTAGACATATTGTACCTCTGGATGGCCGGTTTATAATTCGATTACCGCAAGGCTTCAGTAACGTATTGGCCGTCAAGCTCGCCGTACTGTACATGGAGCAGCATCTACTCAACCCAAGGATCGGAAGCGCACCATGGAAAGTTGGAGACGACGTTGCCACATACATCTACCTTGCCGAACTATTTGCATTCATCGGCATGCCAGACACCAGCCAGAAGATTGAGAGAGCTGTGCTCCGTCGCTTTCGAGGGCCGTCTTTGCAGATTGAGCAAATCCGTGCGATCTGGGGCCGCGACAACCACACTACTCCTTCAAGGTATGCGGAGGCAATGGCAGACAATATCATAACCTTCATGTGCGTACCCAAAATGCACCTCTTTGCCATCGAATACGATATCGACCCTGATCAAACGTACGAGCAGGTGGTGAAGAAGGCGATAAGACGAATGAAGGATAATCATCCAGAGATTGAGGGGTCGGTTGAATGTTCCACCTTTCGAAGCTCTTTGACTAACTGTTTAGGCGTAATGACCGACGAGCACGATACGAGACGACGCTCCTGGAACGACTACTGGCGGCGCCTGCGAACATTGCGCTGAAGCAGCTGGTGTGGACTGCCACCACTCGAGCGCCAGTCGAGCCCGAAAAGCTCACCGAGTGGGTCGAGATCAGGGCTGTCAAGGGCCGTTTGCAATCGCAACCTCGCCTCTCGGGAATGAAGAAGATTGCGTTCGCATCGACAAAGGTGGCGTAAGATCGTGGAGCGTACTGGAATCGAGTGATTCGCCACTAAAGTTTGGACGTTGGTAAACAGGATTGTGTAAGTCAGAGAGATCTTTGACAGGATGGGTTTGGATACATAGCCATGAATGGCTCAAGTCAATGCAACATGTTCAGCGGTGCGTCGTTACAGCACTTGAACAACCCTGTTTGGACCGCGCGTGCCAACTATTCGGCTATCGGACCATCCGCGATGTTCCTCTAAGACATAAGGACTATGCTGCGAGAAGGTGTCAGCTCGCATAGTGATGTTCGATAGATGGCCAGTAAACGGTGAAGGTCCTGCGCAGCTGATGAAGTCTGGCCACAGTTGCCAAGCCTCGAGCCATCAGCCACCGATGACGTACCCCGCGCGTATCCACCTGCTGCATGGCGCGTCGACCATCGATTAGTGCACCTGCTATATGGCCGTGACAACCGACGAACATTCCTTTTTACCATGTCCCCAGCAGTATACCGTGGATACCCCAGATATCCAACATGTCGTCCTCCTCCACTCCGCTCGCGCCCGCGCAGACGCACGCCCTTTTTGACATCCTGATTCATCACCAAATATACGCCGAAATCGAGGCCTTCAAATACCCCTCTACCATCGACCAATATGGATACCCTTTCCGCAAAGCCGACGGCGTGCAGACGACAAGTCCACTGCTGCAGAACATGCTCAACAAGTTCGCGCTGACGAACCCCGCGCTGAAGAACCTGGACACGGTCTTTTGGCAGGACAAAATCCAGACGCTGGTCGCACGTATGGCAGAGGCAGAGCTGAGTGAGAGCTACGATAAGGGCGCGATTGGGTCAAGAAAAGCGCTATCCACAGCCGCGAGCAGTATTCTAGAATACGTTGGCAGGGGCATGCTGGGCGGGTACCCTGTTGCACAGAAGGAAGATGACGGCAAGAAGCAGTATGACACCAGCAAGCCAGAAGACGTATTAGAGGCATGGGAGGAATGCGCGCGCAGCTTCATATATGGCGACCTGCTGGATCACCTGCTTGAAAAAGTCACAACAACGGACAAGCTGGAAGACCACACCAGCCTAGTGCAGGCAGGCCACGAGTTTATCCTGCTGAACATTGCCTCGTTCATCCACCATGTCTTTGTTATGTCGCCAGATGGCCAATACCTCGTCCGTCTGCTCGAGAACATTCACCGCCTCATCCCATACTATATGATCAAGCAGACCCTCCGCGTCGGCAACGCAGCGTCTATGATCAACGGCATGGTCAGGCTGATTCTCGCAAAACTTTCCGTCACCGCCATGACCAACTGGATAGGTCTCACCAACAACTCTAACGATGGCATGAACCTGATGCAGCAAATTATCAGCACAATTCTGGCTTGGGACACCGCCGAGTTCCAGAAGAGGGCATCGAAGCTCGAGTCATCGCGGGAAGCACCAGATAAGAAGGTCATGAAAGCAATAAAAGCACACGTCTATGCTTCAAGAGACAGGCATGAGGCAGCACGCAACATGTCCATCCAGGAGGGAAAATCTATCATTGCTATCATATTGGAGACGGCCGACAAACCTATAAAGCCTGATTCTGTCAAAGATCAGCAACACGAGATAGCCATGGAATACTATGGTACCTATCTCTCCATCCGCGATCGCGAAGAGATAACGAAGGTAACCTGCAAATCAAATCCCGACGTCCTTACCTCGGCAGTGCGCGACTGTGTCTCTGCAATGGACCCTGTCATCCGCGCGATACACAATGCTGTCGATCTCTCCAGTACCGTCACTGACGCCGAGAACTTCATAACCGACCTTATCAAGGCATCGAAACCAAAGAAGAAATCTGGTCGCAAAAGTCGCGAAACAAGCAAAGAGCGCGATGCCAATACCAGCAATGTCGACACAGCACCTGCAAGCGTGACAGACACAGACAACGGCGACGCGCCTACCGTCGAAGATTTCGTCGTTCTGTGTCGCAAACATGCGCCCTCACTGCACAGGTTCCTGCACCAGGTTACGAAAAACGCTCCGAACCTAGCACAAGACTACCTTATCTACGCAAAGCAGATGTTCGGGGAATTCAAGGCGGATGCTGAAACACGTGAAGGTGGTGCAGGCAACATGACAGCACCTCTAAATGCCTTATTCGAGACACTTCCCCATTCCAAACAGGACGAGCTCAAGAAGCTGCTCGACGAACACGCTGCCCGTCTCTCCGAGCTCAAAGGCACGAGCCAGTCGCGTCTCGAGAGCATAATGCGCAACGGCGAGACAAAGGGTTCTACACATGGACCGGGTATGTACCTTTCACGCTGGAACTCGCTGCTTGACAGCACCCTGATTACCCCCGCTTCCATCTCGGGGCCAGTACGACGCGGCTGGGAGGTAAAGGGCGAATTAGACGGTAAGGGTCTAAAGACCAGCAGTGCGCTACAGAACTCCAAGGGCGGGAAGACAGCCAATGGAGTCAGCATGGCAAATGGGCTAGGCGACGCGCAGGACCGGAAGGAGAGGAAGAGAGACGGCATGGAAGAGGACAAGATGGCGACAGTCTGGGAAGCTATGCGAGATGGGTGGGTAAGCGTCTGCAGAGGACTGGAAGTTATGGGCAGCGACTGAGCGACTTACCACTACTTTACGATTATTCTCAAGACGGCTCGCACGTTCAGCGACATTCCGATACGGCTCTTTCATATGACAACGAGTTGATGATGGCATGATGACACGACATAAGGCATCCAGACGGCATAAGGCATCTAGACGGGCATGATTTTCCTATCAACATGTATAATAATGACTGCTGTGTACGGCATGCAAAACTTGTACACAACACATAAGTGATGTATGCGGACAGTTTCCGTTGTACGAGGATTCTCAGCCTGACGTAATCCAACCAAATCCGATGTGTTTCCGCCAGCCTCACCCCGAGCTCTTTCGCGCAACCTTCGTTAATGGCACTGTTGACCTGGATTGAGTGGCCAGTGGCACGGGGATTCTTCCAGCTCAAGCTCAGATCGACACGGAAGGGGTGGAGGCTCGTTCCGAGGCCCCTTCTATGTCAGTTCCAGAGTGCTTGAACTGCAGGTAACACAATTCTGTATACCAAGGAGCATCAGCAAGAGGAGAAGTCAAGTTTGAAATTCAAGCCGGTTCATAGCGTATTATACATATTCTCATCAAAATCGTGTCAATAGGAAACATTAGGAATGGTATCATCGTCCAAACTCCACTAAACCAAAGCCAGACCCCCATCCTCAAGCAACGTGCTGCCTTGATATTACTCTTAACAGACTCGCTCATAATCATCCTCGCTACTCCAAACTAGAGATTTTGTATCATACCAAGAACATGCTGGCATGCAAACTCTCCACATCAGGGACCCTGAAGCCCTCCTCGCCATCTTCCCAGGCCACAATCCCAACGCTTAGCGTCCAAGCCACAAGGATTAGTCTTGCGACCACCGCAATCATATCGACACTGAATGGTAGCTCTGACTTCAGAAGCGCCTCGACCTGCTTGGCAAGATTGTGTTCAGGGAAAGTCATAGACAATCGTGCCGAATTGGACGTCAGGGTGCCATTGGATCCAGAACCTAGACTCGAGCGCAGAGAGCGATGTACAGATGGCTGCGACGCATTGGAGACGTGTCGGCGGTTACTTCGAGCGACGGATCTAGGGTAATTTGTGTCCTTGATAGTTGGAGCGGAGTTCGGTGATGCAGATACGGATGCAGACGTGTAGGCAGTTATAGCATCTGCGTAGGAGCGGGAGAGTTCTCTCTTGGTTGCTTCCTGGACTGCTGAGAATACTTCATGTGGTTTCAAATCTGGTACGAGAGCCATGATTCGCTGCAGAAGCGTGACGTAGCGCTGCATACGAGCGACCTTATCCGCTAGGTCTTCGGTAACAGCGCCGGTCGCTACCTTCCCGAGGCGCTCACGTTCGCGGAAGAGTAATCCAGTATTTTGAGTCTCGTAAAGCGGGCCAAAAATGTTAAGATGCGGTGAATGCCGTTGGACTTTGTCCACAAGGCCTTCCAATCGTTGCAAGAGGCGTCCTGGGTGAAGTCCATCCGAAGCAATAAAATAGATTGAACCAATAAGCGAGCTGGAAGCTAGAGGTACGAGACCACCAGAAAATGGAAGAAGTGCAATGGCTTCAATGAGCGGAGTTGCTGGGCTAGATTTTGTGGAGGCTTCAACAGCGTATATGGCCAGTTCGCGTGAGTTTGGGAGCGTAGCGAGAAACTTGGCTGATGATGCTTGTTGTGATCGTCTCCGTAACGTGACCGGTACGCCTGATCGTATGGCCTCGAGAGCATCATCTGTCAGGAGGATAGAACTGGTCGACTTTGCATCTTGAAGAAATGGCAGGGAACCGCATGCGAGGTGCTTTGCAAAGAGTGGTGAGTGGCCAGATTCACTAGACAGTAGCTGAGAGGTACTACGCTTGTGTCGTTCGAGAGAAATCATATGCCTGCCATCTTCGATTAAGGTGGACCTGATCGAAATACCAAAGGCTCCTTTATCGATGGTGTTGCTCGAAGCACTTGTGATGGAGCTGCCCAACAGCACGGACAGTGCAGCAAGCTCAGCAGATTTTATCGTTACACCCATGTGAGTATTTTGGTACTCTGCTGGCCGACCGTCTTTCATCCATGCACGTTGGACATCGCCTATGGCGCCTTGTTCGATGAGTCCTCTGTTAAAGGGAATCAGCAATGGTGTTGGCCTTTTGACGGAGAGACTTCTTCCAATCCCTCTCTCAATTGATGTGATATCCAAGCTTTTTCTTTGTGTTGATGGCACTATATCCCCTCGAACGGGGTAAGCTCTTTTGTGTGATACCGACGACACCCTCCTAGGACCGGTCGCACCGCGCCTCGCCGAGTTGATGAAGTTGCCAATCTCCCCGGAGTATGGCGTCATCGATCGCAGTCGAAGTTCGTTGGCGAACATCTCGCAGATTGCTTCGAATGAAACTTCGCCGGGATGACCATGCGGGTTGGTGACCAGCGCGGAGGTCCAGAGGCCCTCATCCCCGGCTTTGACCATACCTGCTACTGTGGGGACCCATTTTGTAATCTGACCCTTTTGTTTTGATGCGAAAAGATGTCTCCATGAGCTAGATTTGCGAGGTAGTTGGTGGGATTCGCTGTCGTTGCCGTCGACAGTGTAAATGTGCTGCTCTGTTTTGGACTGTCGGTGCACAAAGAATCGTGAAACGAGTGCCATGACGATGAGGGAAGGGATACCGAGTCCAAGGCTCAGCAAGATCACTTTGGCTGTGTGCATCGCCCTAGATGCGGGTCTTGTACTTATACAAAAGCTGTGTTTTGTTGTGGGTCTTGCTTAGGGAGGAAATGGTCATGCACGAGCCAATCGGAAAGCAGCGTCGTCCCTGCCTGTCACCTGCGCTCGCGCCTTCGGACGGTCTGGGCAACTGCTTCTCACGGAAATCTCACGCATCCGCTGGCGTTAGGCAGAGTCATCGATCGGCGCGAATCATGCGCTCGACGATTGCTACGTTTGTCAGAAGACATCCGCGCTATGAACACAAGGAGGCGCATCAAGATGGACCACAGTAAGAAACAGTGATTACAATGCTACAGCGCATGCTCTTGCGAGTACGCAGTAACCAGTCCACTCCAAGATTACGCCCAACTTATTCAAGATTGGGTTTCGTTCATACCAGCAGCGTACCAAATGTAGTTGGTTGATTTTTGGATGCGTCGCTTGTCAAGATCTTCCCGTAGTCCCCACTCCTCATTCCAAAATTTGCACTACAAGGAACAAGAGTGTGTATTCCAACAGAATAGTAAGCAGTTGTGACAAAGGGTGCCGGACATAAGTGAACGCCGCAAGTCGGTTTCTCACAAATGAGCTCGAATGGTCCAAACCGCACAGCTGCAAAATCTTTCGAGATCGGACAAATTGGAGCCTTTGCGATTCGAATAAAGTGACGTGTGCGCCTGACAGGATGCTCAGTAGGATGATGGCTGTTGTTTCGCGCGTGCTGTGGGCCGTGGAAGCAACGCCGAGTCACAGTAATGGATACGGGTACTCGGAAACTCAGACCCACGAGCCGCTCGAACTGTTTCGTCCGCTGTTGACATCACACTGTCCGTGTGACGAAGGTTGTGCTGCTGAATTGCCGCAGAAAGCACGGAACCCGGGATCCGCGAAACTCCGCGAAGCTCCGCGAGCCGAACGAACTGAAGTCTCACGCGAGACACGCACAGCTCGCTCAAGTCTCCAGACGTCTAGATGCGTGAGATCCAATAAGCTCCTGCACTTTTAACAAGGTTTTTTGCGCTGCAATGATTGCTGTGGGACGCTCAAAAACAAGCACGATCATCGTACGCGTAGCAGTCATGATTAGGCACCGTCGAACCCACACAGAGTACGCCTCAGGCTTCAGTCTTTCTCGTTGCGTCATGTCTGCTGTACTCGGTATGCGGGCCGCTGCTGCACCTACAGCGCTCACCCAGTAGAGAACACCAGACATATTTTTCCACACTTTACTGGTGTCGGCCCGCTGAAGTGTCTCGTACAATGCTTTGGTACGATGAGGTCTGACGAATTGATCACCACCATCCGGAATAGCGAATGTCATTTGGGTTGCAGAAAGATCTGCGTAGTTTGGATCAGCAGCCACAGAGAATGGAACGCCCATTGCAATTGCAGTTGTGTAGATCAGCGCCGCTATGCGACATGCTTCGTATACCCAATCCCCAGACACTGACAGGCCATGCGTATGGGCAGAAGGCAGGGCAGCTAATCGCGATTGAATAGCATGAACTGTAGCCTCGTATGCTTCATTAGGAGGACTCAGCTGTGCGATATCTATTGCGTCGACATCGTGTATGGTGTTCAGAGCAGTTTTATGCGCCACAAAGGTATTTGTAAGATCTCTCATGTCGACCAAGATTTCCAAGGTGGACGGCGAGCATTGAGGGTCATCGGGGATTGTAGAGAAAGTCTGCGTCGGGCAATACAATGGCGATTCTGGCAGTGCTACCCCTTCACTTAGAGACCGGTCCGTGGGCAGGTTGCCTCGAAATACTGGCAATGTCTCGGCTTCGCAAAAGATGTCACAGTGATAACAACAACTATTTCAAGTCAGCTATCAAGCGTCTGGTGGGGAGTGGGTCAGGACACGTACGCTACAGCCACTTCGGCTAAAGCTCTTTCATTGAAGAATGTGGACAAGCCACCACGTCGCGATATAATTGTAGCAATACCGTTCTCGTGGATCCGGAGAGTCTTTTCATTGCACAGCCACATCTCGCCTGCGAACAAGTGCAAGATAATTGCAAGGGTAGCATTGTCGAGCCGCAATATAGGATTGCGTAAACGCTCGTTGATCATCTCAAAGGTTTCGTTTTTTACCATGGTAGTCGTTGGACTATCACCGGAATAGTCATTGTGCATATCGAGCCATGTTGATGCCAAAACTGTCGAACTTAGGATAATATGCGGGTGCGACAGCATCAGCGGTAACCATTTTTCCGTGGTTGAATCAGAGGCGAATGCGCGCATACCTGTACTCATTAATAACCACTACCAATACACTCAATGCCAGCTTACATTGACGTGACAGATACATCGCATCCAGACGGCGGTCTCGAAACTGCGGTAGCACATCAAATGGGTCTTGAGAAGCTGCGACATGATGAAACTCGGCTAATCCAACAACAATCCTTCGGATCAGTCGCTCTTCGTGCCTCTCACTTTCTTCGTAGTCGGTTACTGCTTGTTCGGCGGTGGCTGGCGTCTTGTAATCTGCGGCTGCAGGTGCAGTGAGCAGCCAACTTGAGCGACCGGGACCAACGGAGGGACTTGAGCCAGAACCCGATATTCTTGGGTCCGATTGCGTGTTTGAGGATGCATGCTGCGGTTGTCCATGACGAGTGTGAGTCGGAAGGTTCAAGCTATACTCAAATCTGGCGGATGCATCGCGAATTTCAACTTTCGCTGGAGAAGCCGACGCCAAATCGGCTTTCTGCTTATTTTTGTCTTTCTTCTTGCCTTCTTCGTGTCTCCAGTGTATCATCGCTTGCGAGCGCACGCTCCTTTTCGCATTTTCATCACGAAACTGTGAAGGATTGTTTGCAATGAGGAACTGGAGCTGCGGTGGGCCTTCACGCTTCGCTCTTCGGCGTTTGAGCTTCGTCTTAGCTTGAGCAGTTGTGTCAGGATGAGCTCGGGGCACTATGAGTAGTCAGAGGAGTATCTGGGCACCAGGGCTCCCGTTAAAGATACCTTCACCCGTAACACTGGGGTTCTCCGAAGCCATGGTAATGGCATCACCTTGGGCGAAAGGGCCGATAAGAGGAGCAGACATAGCCAACGATAAATGAGACAGAATGTGAGCCTCCTTTGTATGAGAGGTGCATGTTTGCTGCATGCGTAAGGCCCGCAGGCGGGGACCGTGGGGTCTTAGAGACCATCCGTCAGGCGGTTACACTCTTTGGGTGATTCGCTTATGCAGGCAAAGTGGGTCCGTGTTCATCCTCAAAGCCTCACATCTATGGGCCTCCATTGGTGTCAAAAAATGTTAGATTAGGTGTTGTCTTTGTTTGTAGGGACCAGTGGCACAATTGCAGCATAGTGATTCAGATAAGTTCGAGACTAGTACGTCATAGTTCTTGAGCTAGGCGGGTCTGCCGCTGCAAGGCCCGCCCGCACTTGCCGAGGTCGCTTAGCTAGTTTGTTTCCCCTCTATCGCCTTGCCATCAGCTCCGATACGGTCGCTGCGATGATTAAATTACTCCATGCGTCTCGCAGACTCCAGAGAAGAGCGGTATGCTAGTCTAGACTGGGTAGAATTACTAAAGATTGGTGTTGGACAGAGCTCACAGCATGAAATGAGAGAGCTAAGAAATGGCTTTCTACCTGTCTACATCTGAGCCTGTTCTGAAGAAAAAAAAAAGAAAATCCAAGAACCTTGCTCTTTCGGCGTTCTTCATGTTATGTCGAAGTCTGCTGCTGCTGAACAGGCCGAATACCCTCTTGCAGGCCAACCGTTAGCTCCTACCACTAGTTTATGATTGATGTTTGGGTAACATGTGGTACCGTATGTGGAGCAACGCTGGTGCATTCTCACGTTCATTTTTACGGCAATGTATGTGATCGCCAATTCAGCAAACATCTAAGGTTTGCTTCACACTATAGTTGAATTCGCAAAACCAAACTCACGATTGAAAAAGGGATGTCTCTGGGTTATAAGATCATCTAGGGGCGAACCACAACATAGGCTAGCTCACGAGGCTTTGCAGCAGCCTTAAATCACTTGTGATCCCGAACTTCTGCCTCTTTCGTAATTTGTGTTTGACTTGGTGCATGATAGCTGCAATTTCTTCTTTTCATCCAGATAACAGTATGACCTGTCTCAAGGAGGCCAAGCTTTCGGCATTACCGGCTCACAGGCAGATGAGGTAAAGGTTTATCCGTGACGAAGTTACCTTCTCCAGGGGAGCGACCGAGTCTGCGGTCAGCCTTGGAGCTCTCAGCCTCGTCAGTAACCACCCTTCGTTCTCTGCCCTCCGAACACCGTTGCAGGAACAACATTCTACCCATCTTTCTCCATTCTGCAGTCTTCAGCTCGTACCTGATTCTCATCTTCAGATCCTCGTAACCTTCCTGCTCTAATAGCCACCTAATCTCATCCGCAAGTGCATGTGTACCAGCCATGACACAATCAAGTATGAACCATACCATAGCATCTCCGAAAGACGTATACTTCAGCGCTCCTTCGTAGCCGCTCCAGATTAGCTCCACATCCTCATCAGTGATGAAAAACTGCGGGTTCCCCATGAGATCCTTGATCACTAGATCCTGCATATGCTGCGCATCTACATGGAGACAGAAGAAACGACACGCCAAAGACGTTGCGATGCCTTCCTTGATGCTGGGCGGCGTACGGAGTCCGCCGTTGGGACGAAATGATGCGTTTTGACACCAGCGGCGCATGTAGCGAATCACGCGGATGATCCCGTCTTTTGAAGCGCATGCCGGGGGTACAGCTATGGTGTTGTTGTGTAAAAGGGCGGCAATGGTTTTTCTGTTGCAGAAATATTCAAGCATACACAGCGACACGCTTCGTACATACACTTCCCCGGCTTGTTGGCCTATAATATCCAGTTTGGAACTATTGAGAAGATTCTGGAGAAACTGAACACTGGTATTTTTTGCGTTGCTGTGCATTGATTTGGTTGGGTCAGACGCAGCAGGCTTTCTGATTCTTCCTGGATAAATCTTTGTCCTGGAAGTTGATGGAAATCTGCTGCTTGTAGGCACTGGGGCGAAGGCGTTCAATTCTGCTCTGTCCGTATCGAGGTTTCTTTCAATACCGTGATACGACATATCTCGGGTACCTTGTAGAAAATAATGCTCGTCGGCTACTTCGGTGACAATCATTGCAGTATGTTTCGATGCTGGCGCAGGATTCACCATGATCGGAGCTGTCTGGTAACCTTCGTTCTGGATGGTTTCTTGGAAAGCCTTCCAGAGTTCCAGTACGTCAGGTTCAACACCGTGAGGGTTCTCTGATGCGACAGGTACAGAATCGTTTTCAGGTGTCGTCGTCAACGTGACAAGTGGCACAAGGGAAGTCTTGTGGGCGTTTGATGCAGGTTCACCACGAGATTCATGCAGCGGAGCTCCAGAGTTTCGTGGTGGACTGTTCGAAAACTCTCGCAGGAAGGAAGGCCTGTTTCTCTCGAACACTCGACCTCGCTCGTGACAGTGATTTTCCAAACTCCACATGATGTTATCTGCAATCTTGTATCATTGATATGTGTGCGAGATAGAATACGATAGATGTTTCCCTTTTGTGTTCTGTGCATGTGAATGCCTGCCGTGATTCGGATATCACAAATTTCCAAGTCTAACATTCATGTAGGCTACAAACGAGCTACGTTGCCGGAGCATGATCTAGAGCTTAGAAGCTAGCCCACACACGCTTCAAGAAACTCTTGTGTTCAACAGGCTCGATGGCTTCGTCCTTTCCGTCCAAGTCTTTCCTCATGCCAGAATTCAGGTCCACTTCATAGCTCCTCCACCATCTTGTTTTCTTCCACAACTTATATGCGAAGAAAATGAGGCCGAACAGTGGTAGTAAAATGTATGCATCGACGAACATGCCAGCGTCGAAGGGTGACAGGGTGGTCCAACCTTGGACAAACGCGAGGAAAACGTTTGCGAACAGACCGAAGTAGGCATTCCACGGATGTAGAGCTGCTTTGAAAGGAAGCTCGTCGGGTGACCGATTCTGTGCCTTCCAGGCCTGTCGGAACCGGATATGTGTAAATGAGATACCTGCCCAAACTAGGAAAGTCGAGACACCACTCAGGTTAATGATGTATGAGTATGCTTTACCGCCACCGGTGGAGATGTTCATCATGGAGAGAACGCCGAATAGATTGGTGAGGAGGATAGCGTAAACGGGCACTCCGCGACTGTTCGTCCAACCAAGGAACTTGGGTGCACCGCCGTCTTTGGCCATGAACAAGATCGTACGAGATCCGATATAGATGGAGCTGTTGGCTGCCGACACAACAGTGATGAAGATGAAAGCGTTGATAAGATGCACGCCTCCCTCCCAGCCAGCATTCTGGATTGCGATTGTCATCGGGCTTTTTAGGGCACGGCTCTCGCCGTTGATCAACCCCTCCGCGTTTGAAGGACAAGTGAGGCCAAAGAAGAATGCAACACCCATGTAGACGAACAGGATGCGCCAGATAACCTGCCTGATGGCTAAGGGTACGGCGACACTCGGATTCTTGGTCTCAGTCGCCGCGACTGCAACAGCTTCCACCCCGACATAAAAGGTTGAGGCGAATACGAAGACTTGCGCGACTCCTCGAAATCCATTGGTAAATGCTCCCGGGTCTCGCCAATATCGGAAGCCGAGAGCTTCATCTTGTCCGATCAGTCCACCTGAAGCGTAGATAATTGAGAAGATGAAGTAAGCGCAGAGACCAAACAACTTGACCAAAGCCAACCAGAATTCAGCTTCACCGAAGGACTCGACTCCAAGCATCTGAAACCCGAGGAACGCGAACCAGAAGATGAGGAAATATCCCCACAAAGGTACCTTGTCACTCCAAAAGACAAGGAGTGAGGAGATCACGTTGTACTCATTGGCAAGTACGCATCCCCAGACGAGCCAGTAGTTCCATCCCATCGCGACGCCAAACGCTTCGTCAACGAAGCGTTTGGAGAGAGTGATGAAAGCGCCACCCGTAGGATAGAGTGTCGTCATTTCGCCTAAGGACTGCGTAATACTCCATGCAATAATACCGATTATACCGAAACCGATGAGCAAAGCAGCAGGTCCGCCATTTGAGAGCGCGCCTCCAGTGCCGACTAGGATGCCAGGACCGATGATACCAGCCAAAGCCATCATGGACAAATGTCGAGTCTTGAGTCCACGCTTGACACCCATCTCAGGGTCGATGCGCTCGAAATCCTCGTCATGACCATAACTCAAGGTCGGTGACGCATGTCCAGGGTTCTTTGGCGAGTCGAAGAGCGCCATGATGACTTTTGCGACGCGCCGAGGCAGATAGGACTGTAAGACCTCAGGAATCCATCGAGGTTATATAGTTCAGACTGTTATCAACTTGGCAGGCGCAGATCCAAACCTGCCTAGCAATGCTAGCCCTCCAGGGCTGAGATGGCGAATCTGCGAACGTAAGTACGTTAACCAAAGGACCATGTTGGTAGCCGATGACGCGATCCAGCCGCCTAATAACGCGATGTCGTGAAGCGACAAGGGCGTGCAAAGAGCACGCACGCGACAACTTAAGCCTCTGGGCGTAAAATCTCGAACACACGACAGCTTCTACGACGCTCAACAAGGTCAAAATGAGTAATTGTGGGCTGCTAATACCCCATGGAGAGATAACACTAGTGGGTCAAATGCGGATTAGCGCTCGCTCTGCATGCACCTGCCACCCCCACAACACACGAAAGCATTCACGCATTCGGCCCATCAAAACGAGTCACCTGTTGCTTTGTACAGTTATGGCTGTTAAAATCACGACATTGTTTCTGTAGCCGAACGCGCCACAGGAGTCCTTGAAGTAGGGCCATGAGTGTAAACATAACTCTATTGGTAAATGTGGGACACAAGTCTAGCAACATCTGGCTATAAAACTTGAGTATGGTTGAGCCAGCCAACCTTGTCGAAACCAAACAGCAACACCCTCTCATCATCTAGAGCTTGCGCGAAAGCTCCATACGCTTCTTCAGTCTATAGGCGATGGCTCGCTTCCTGGCTCCAGTGCTCTGAGTATATGCAACACTGCCACCGAAGGGACCAGCAGCGGCGCCATTCCGGACACGCATAACGCAGACATTAGGAGTACCGGCGACGGTGGCATCACAAGTCATACCCGCGGGCATCTGAACTGTCATCTGAAACTCGGTGCTAGTGGCTAGAGAGATACCCTGGACACCTAGACCAGGAACGTCCTGAGTGACAGTCGCGGACTGCATGGCGGCTTCATCGGTCTGATATGGGTCAGCATAGGGTATTCAAGGGGAAAGAAGATTACTTACGCCTCCACTTGTGCCATCAACGTCGGCAGTGAACGGACCAGCACCGTCCTGGTTGATCTGGCGGAGAGTCATGGTGACTGTGCCATCATCTGCACAAGTGGGTAGACCACTGGAAGCTCCTGAACCCTGAGCAGCGGCAACACGGGCCTCGGGCGGGCCTTCAGCCTTGGTACCACCACCGCCGAAAAGACCAGCGATGCCAGTGGCGCCACCGCCACCACCAGCCGCACCAGCCGCACCAGCTGCACCAGCCGCACCAGCTCCACCTCCTCCGCCGAAGAGACCGCTCAGGAATTGACGTTTACGCGCACCAGCACCACCATTCTGGGGAAGGTTGTCCTCGACGCCGACACTGCCTGAGGCGCCTTGGTTGGTAGGTGGTGTAGCGCCAGCTCCCATGAAAGCTGCAACCATGACAGAAGCATCTACAGGACCGTTGCCCTGAGTACGTCCAAGAGGGGTGGCCTTGCCGCTGGCAATTTCGCGGTCGCGAATGATTGCGGTGTCTGCCTGAGAACCGCAGCCGCTGGAGAAGTCAGTTTTGAACTATGATTCAGTTGAAATCCACATACTTCGATGAACAGTCACGAGGTGTGCCATCAGCAACTGTGAGACCAGGCATATTGACACCATTTGCTCCTTGGATCTCGGTGACAACACCGTGTGCGGAGACCGAGGCTGCCAGAGCAGCAACAAGTGCAAATTGTGAGATATACATGGCTTTTATTAAGAAGTCAAGCTCAGCTTGAATTGTTGAAGAGAAAAGAGATTATAAGAAGCACCGGGCTTGAGAAGTGAAGAAGAAGAATGAAGGCGAGTTTGCTTGCTGATGAGCCACAGATAGAGCTGCCAGCACACAGTCTTATACCTGCCTGCAAACCTCACGATATCCTACCGAGACCCAGCTGTGCCTACTTTCGGCGACCAATGACTTCACAACTCCACCCAACAAGCAGAAGACAAGCTCGGTATTCCCTGTCTCTTACAGCGGCACACTACGATCATCTTGGCCATAAAGCAGGGCATGCTTCAGAATCCCGATTTCCATTGTTTTCCCATCAGGCTAAACGTGCTTGGCTGCAAGCAAGCGTTTCCCTATGAGCTTGGCCAGGGTGCATGATGAGTCTACAGGCTCCTGACAGGTGCCGACGCCCGGCACGAGGTTTCATTGTGTGCCTGGCGAACCTTTTTGCAGGCGCCAAGGCAGACAAGATCAATGCTCAGTGCCGAAACACAGAAGAAGCTTGTCCTCAGTATGATATTGTAGAATTGCTCAGAAGTATGTTGGGCAATTGTCGTTGAACCGTTCACAGCCACACGTCAGGGAATGCCTGAAATGAGCATCGAGATGAGCTATCGCATCTGCAGTCTCCACTTTACACCGCAAATCTCGAGTCGACGGCAACGCCACACAGCCATCACCCAAACTCTGCACGAAGCTGTCAGATCCATCACAGCCAAGTATAGACAAGCAAAACAGCCAAGCTCTCCTCTCCACCACACCTTTCCTTCTAGGATACTACCCTAGTGCAAATCAAGCGAAGACCAAGTTTATGGCGCTGCAGTTCCAGAAAGCCGGGGGAAGATTCCTTTTCGTTTTCGCGGGTGCGGGTGTACGGTGTTGCAGTCTTGTCGCCCTAGCGTTTCAGCAAACACCCAACCCCAGAATTCTGGCGATCTCAAACATCTCATGCACAAGATATGAGGTTTTCGCTGAGGTTTCCAGCGCTTGCACTCCTCGAAACTGCGGCACAAATCACTTCCGAGGCAGGCTGGCATCGTGAGCGTGGCTGTGTGGAAAAGAGAGGCGAGAGAGGACGGCTTGGAGAAGCAAGTGCGATATGCGAGGACTTGGCCTGTATCAGCGGATCAACAATCTCAAGGAAGTAGACGGTAAGACCAGAATGTGGCGAAGAAGGCAGTTCTCGCTGGGTGGGTGTGATGGCCTAAGAAGGTTACAATGTGGCGAAGTCACCCTCCAAAGGACAGAGACCAGGAGCCACCGATTTCCAGCGCTCCAAAGGAAGTTCTGAAGGAATACAAACAAAAGCGTGCGATAATTCGATGTACACGTGCTAGGTATGGTAGTAGCGCGTAGACGGAAGGAGGCAAGACGTGAGCACCATACAAATCTTCAGAAATTGCAGAAAACATCAACGGATTGTGATAAGCGGTTACCTAGCTGAGCTCGTTTTGACAACAAAAATAGCAGCTTCTAGTCAATCCGCTCGACGTCGCGGCCATCCACCCGAGAGCTATAGCGTCAGGAACATACATACCCGCTCCAATATCGTCACGCCACACGCCACGGTCCGCTTCGATCGACAAGCCGTAGCTCTCGTAATTGCTTACAGAACAAATCTACGGCAATGAAAACCGGGGCACCACCTCGTGTTGACAAGGATCGACGTGCTGCGTCAGCAACCTCGTGCAACTTTGTGCGGATCCCGTCACCCGATACTCCAGAAAGTTTTTGAGAAATCGATCACAGCAGCGTTATTGACCTCGTAAAAGATGAGCTTAGCTGCTTGGGGATGTTGATAGAGCGGCATGTTGCAGTGCAGCCTGTCTGTAGCACAACCTCATGAGCCATTCATAGCATCAACGCGCACGAACACGAAGGAGGCAGCATACAAAAGGACCTCTAGCACTCCTACAGTGCCTCATAACAACAAGATCTTCATCTTTGCACCCAGAACACTATACACTCGTTCCTACCAGACCACCCGCAAAACTCATTCACCATGCACTTCTCCACACTCATCACTGCACTCGCTCTCACCGGCGCCTCAACCGCCTCGCCGCTCTCCACGCGCCAAACCGCCGCGCCCCTTGAGCCCTGGAAAGTCTCGGGCGTGTTCAGCTACAAGCCCTCGTCGCAGCCGGGCCCGGACAAGAACTCGCGCGTCTCGCTGCGCATCGAGGACCCCAACACGATCCGCCTGATGCGCGCCTCGCGCTTCGGTTTCGCGGTGCTCACGCCGCTGACGGCCGACTGCACCATCACTTGGCCGTATCCCGATGGCCAGCCGCCGTTTGGACAGGAGGTGCTGTGTGAGGGGGATTCGGCGGGTAACTTCAGTGTGGCGCTGGTCCCAGGCAGTGGCGGCGAGACGGTGTTGGATTTTGGAGTAAAGATTGTGGAGCGGAGGGAGGTGACGGTGCTGGCGAACAACTACTTTTATCGCCAGTTTGAGGGTGAGGCGAGCTTCAAGGTCGGTGAAGGTTACGAGGGAAGCTGTGGTGAGGCGGGCGTGTGTGCTGGGCAGTTGGAAGGGGAGGTTGCGGTTGTGCAGGAGCTGACGCAGAGCGTTGGTAGCTGTGAGCAGTACGGCGGTTGCACTTAGTGGTGGCTAATTCAGCTGTTCGGAGAAGATAGGTCAGTGGCTGTTAGAGACATGGTTCGAAAATTGAGTACGACAGATACCGGACGCAATCCTGATATAGTGTGTCTGATTAATGTATTTGTGTCTTGAATCATGCCTGAAATTTTGTGTACCAAACAAGTTCCTAATTACCTGCAAATGCTATTACACCTAAAGCTAACTGAATTCTGAGATGAGATCGGTGAAAGCGATGAGCTGAGTTGCCATTGCGATTGTCCGAACGAACCTTCCAGTGCCGACATGCACCTCCCTATCCTCGTAAGTATGGTTCGTCCATTGCTGTCCGTCTTGTGACGACTTAGAGAAGCGGTCGAACTGGTGGATGCTTGATCGGGCAGATCTGCTAGGCTCGGCAGTCGTATAACGACTCTTATCGTGTGGGCAACAGTTACTATATATACTATTTATCAGAAGTACGTGGCAAGGTGCTAACCACGGATTCACTCATCCATCCATAACCGGACAGTAATCATGATACACAATAGCATAAAGAAGGATATAGTAATAAAGACATACAACATAGATCGATATCCTCTCAACGATCCTGGTGTGCATATGTCTAAATCGTAAGGTACGACATGCAGTCTCCAGCTGGCTGCGGCACTTGAAGATCGCTTTCAACATCACCGACTATGAGAACGTTGCTAGGCAGAGACTACACGTAAATCGTGCTTTCTTATAATGCTATTTGATTAATTTGAACTCCTTCCCAGATGCTCGGGGGTATCAATCATACCAGATGCTTTTAGATGGAGCGCCAGATTGCAAGATGCAGTGCCGCCGCCTGATCCAACGCCAAAAGAAGGTTGAAACTACATGCTATCATTACACTGAGACCAAGGGGCCGTGGAAGTCGCGCAGTGTGGCGACGAGATCGTCTTCGCGGAACAGCTGCAGCGACAGTTTTTCTTGCACTTCCTTCCACTTGCGGAGAGCGTCCAGTTCGCCTTTGCTGAGCCACTTTTCTTCGTTGCCGACCACGTCGGAGCGCTCGGCTTTGCTGAGGAGTGGCTGCACTTTTTCGCGCTCGAACTGGATGCGCTGCAGGATGCGCACCATGCCTTTGTATGTGTCATGCAGCAGCTTTTCTCTTGCGCGCTGCCGGTCGTACCATACGAGATGGAGGGAGTGTTTTGCTTCTCGTCTCTCCACCTTGGGGATCTCCTGGGTCTGAACGATGCCTTGTACAGTCAAGTCGTTGACGATGCCACGGATGTCGTTTGCGGACATCATCATGGCGTTACAGGTTGCGCGCTCATCGAGCTTGCCCTTTTTCCTCAGGGCGCGAATGAGTTTGATGCCTAGTGTGCCCTTTCTTGCGGAGACTGTGTTCTCGATTTCGATCTGAATAAGCTGCTTTGCAATCTCCTCAAATTCAATGTGCCATTGCGAGAGTCCTGCACGAGAATGCCATGTGACGAAGTGCGTGGGATCTTCAGAGAGCAGCTGAATATGCTTGTCGATGATCCGTGCCTTCTCGTCCATACTGAGAGTAGAATGGTCAATGGGCTGGCTGAGTATGTTGGTGCTGCGAACATGACCCTTCCTGGTGATCTGGACCACTGCATTGGGATCCAACCCTTCGCAGATATCGAGCCCTTTGCTTACTTTTTTCGCGACATCGCGCGCCGTGACAAGGTACCTGGGATCGATGTGGTTGTCTCCACCTTCATCGCCAGCTACCGGGGGCTCGGGGTATTCCTCGTAGCAACGTGGAGTGTTCGCCTCGAGGAGACGAAGCATGGTCTGGTAGATGTGGGCAGTGACATGACCCAGACGCTGCTCGACCAGCTGCACCAGCTGTTCTGTGCGCATCGCGACAGCGATCTTCTCGGGATTCACTCGAATGACAAGTTTGTCCTCGGGCGCCGCACCGCTCGCGCTGGAGTACCCGTTTGTGCCGTTGATCTTCACCCGCTTTGTCGGATTGCTGTAGTCCTGATCAGGTTGACGTCGTCGCGAGAACCTGGGAACCTCCAGCCATTTGTCGCGCATGTTGCGTTTCCGTTCGAGCGTGTTCCTGAGACATATGGCTTTGTCTTTGATACCGGTCGGCTGCTGGCCAGCAAGGTCGTGCTCGATGGTCTCCTGCTGAAGAATGTCGTGCATGTCTCCTGGGGACAGATACTGGGACTCAGTCATGGTTCGGACCCAACCGCGCTGAATAAGCTGCTCAATGATCTCGTACAGCTCGTCGACTGATGCGATTTCACCATTGTCGTCTGCCTCTGTGTGCTCGTGCTCGCCGTTCGTCGTGCCATTGTGCGCATGGTCTCCATTTACCACAGGCTTCACATCGTCGCCGTTAGCCGCGCCGTTCGTCTTCGCGGACCCGTTGGGCTCATTGCCACTCACACGCTTCCTCTTTATGCCCGTGCCGTTTACAACTCCGTCGTCTGAGTCATCGTCGCTGTCGTTGTCGGTGGGGAAATAGGCCTCTCTAAGATCCGCGATACGCGTGTGGCCGAGGCGCAGCAGATTGGTCATGACGTTGGCGGCCTTCCTGCCGAAGCGGTCCTCGACCAGCTTCGTGACCTTGCCGAGACGCACGAGGGCGTACGAGTTCTGCCAGTCGATCTCGTAGTACGTGGGCTGCGCATCGTTGCCGGAGTGGAAGACGAGGTGCTGCTGGAGCAGAATGACGAGGCTGTACTTGATCTGGCGGCCGTTCAGGTACGACGCCTTCGCGATAGCCGCGAGCGTCTGGCGGCCGTGGCGCGCAAGCACCGAGTAGACGCGCTGGTGACGTTAGTGGTGCGCGCGAGGCAGGAGCGACGCGCACGTGACGCTGGCACTGCACTTACCGCTGCAAGCTCGCCGTAGACATCCTCGACCAGGTACGTGCAGAGCTCCGCGAGGACCTGGGTCGGGTTAGCTGGGGCCAAAGTCCAGGCGCACGGCGGGCAAGGCTTACCGGAGTCTCGCGCTGGGTGTACGACATGACGGAGCCTAGATATTTGCCAGATATCTAGGGGACTTCGGGGCTACCGGAGAGACATTGGGCGGGTTACTGAGTGCAGGCTGGGGCGCGCGCAGCTGGAAGGCAGAATTTCTGAGGCGGCGGGCGGGGACTGGCCGGCAGCCAACCAGCGACGTGCTCGCCGTGCTGACCGGGCCTTGGCGCTCACATCGCAGCAACATCTTTGCACGGCCGGTCCATCGACCTCCATCAATTGCCCTTCCCCCCCAGCTCCACCGCCCCCCGATCGGTGCCTCCTCCACGATGCTGTCCCGCACTACCGCCTGCCGGGGCGCGCAACGAGCTGCCCGCCAGCTGCAGACACAGAAGCGCGGGCTCGCGGCCCCGGCCTCAGGCTCCTTCCAGTACCAGTCGGGCGAGGCCAATGGCGTCAAGTTCGCCAGCAGAGACTTTGCCGGCCCGACGACGACGCTGGCGCTGGTCGCAAAGGCCGGCACGCGATACCAGCCGCTGCCCGGCCTGACCGAGGGCCTCGCCAACTTCGCATTCCGGGTAGGCTTCCCACGGCTCCTCTCGAGCGCCCTGTATCGCACCGGCGAGCTCTACTGACGCCAATTGCATCACAGGCCACCGAGCGCCGGTCGACCCTGCGCATCGTCCGCGAATCCGAGCTTCTGGGAGCTGCCCTGACCACCCACCACTCGCGCGAGAACCTGGTCCTCGAGGCCAAGTTCCTCCGCGCCGACCTGCCGTACTTCGTCGAGCTCTTGGCCGAGGTCGCCAGCCAAACCAAGTTCCAGCGTGCGCCTACCGTGCCAATTGATGGGGATGCCCGCTGACTCGCACAGCCCACGTTTACAACGAGGAGGTCCTGCCTCTGATCAACTTCGCCCACCAGCGCTTCGTCCACAGCCCCCTCGAGATGGCCGTCAACTCCGCCCACAGCCTCGCCTTCCACCGCGGTCTCGGCAACTCGACCGCCTCGGCCTCATCCACGCCCTACACCAAGTACCTCGACGCTGACACCATCGCCGAATTCTCCAAGAGCGCATACGCCAAGTCCAACTTCGCGGTTGTTGCCAACGGCGCCGACCACGGCGAGTTCTCCAAGTGGGTTGGCCAGTTCTTTGACGGAGTCCCTGCCTCTCCCGCGCGTCAGCTCAGCCAGGGCACCGAGCCGTCCAAGTACCACGGCGGTGAGGAGCGCCTCGCCCACGACGGCGGCAACGCCTTCGTCATTGCCTTCCCCGGCTCCAGCTCGTTCACCGGCGAGTTCTACAAGCCCGAGATTGCCGTCCTCGGCTCTCTTCTTGGTGGCCAGTCCGCCGTCAAGTGGTCGCCGGGTTTCACCATCCTCGGACAGGCCAAGGCCACAGCCTCCACCCAGGTCAAGACCACCAGCGGCATCTACTCCGACGCTGGTCTTCTGTACACCTCCATCACCGGCTCTGCTACGGCCGTCGCCGAGACCGCCAGGGCTGCCGTCGACGCCATCAAGAAGATCGCAGCTGGCGAAATCTCCAGCGAGCAGATCGCCAAGGCAAAGGCCGCCGCGAAGTTCAAGGAGCTCGAGAACGGTCAGGACATCCGCGCCGGTCTCCAGCTCTCTGGCAACGGCCTTGTCAACAACTCCAAGGCCTACCAGATCGACGAGGTTGCCAAGGCTATCGATGGTGTATCAGATGAGGCCGTCAAGTCTGTAAGTATTTCAGAAGCTCGCCACTATCCACAGTATGCTGACATACCATTTAGGCCGCCAAGACATTACTCGAGAACAGGGCTTCCGTCTCTGCGGTCGGCGACCTCTTCGTTCTGCCGTACGCTGAGGAGTTGGGTCTTAAGGTGTAAATACAGTCACGTTGAGGAGCGCGTTAGATGCAAAATCTCGTTTGGTCGGGACTTGTGTAACATCATCTTGTGATAGTCCCAATTTCCAGATAGAGTATTATATCGATTCTCATTTGTTCATCTGCACCCTTCTACTCGTACATTTGATGCGTTTATAGAGAATGGAGTAGCAATGAATGACTTTATATACCGACCATTGGCTATATCATAATTGACATCGCACTTGAGCATCTTGTATGATAATTCCAGAGCGTGAACGGCTGTTCTCACGTGCCAACGCGTTGCGTTTCGACGATGCAACTGCCTCACGCGCACGTCCCACGGCACCGTCAACACCACTTCCCCAGCAACCACAACATCAACGCGCAGGCGCACACCACACATACCGCCCCACGCTCTCACATCCCCGCATCACATCATGCCGCAAACTCTCTACCCCCGCGGCACGCTCAAAAAGATCGTGAAAGCGCACGCCAATCGCCCTCTAAGCAAGAACGTCGACATTCTGGTACGTCGCCCCATGAGGCACATGCTCCCTTCCTTCCTCTGTTTCTGCAGTCTCGGAGGTCACCGGCCCGCGACTAACGATTGCACAGATCTACCTCAACTATATCCTCTTCATGCAGGAGCTCATGCAAGAAGCAGGCATCAAGGCGAAGCAGTCCGGCGAGCGAGGCGTGAGCGCGAAGAGTATCAAAAAGGTCAGGGAGGGGTGTTTGAGGAGGTGTAAGGGCTGAGTCGGTGTGCTGTCGGCGTTTGGAGGAGTTATGATTATGATACCCCGGCGTGCCGCACAGTACGGCACGCTCCCATACCCCTTGAGGGTGTGTTCAAACTATCGATTCTTCGTATTTACTGCTTCACAACCTTGACTACAATCCACCCCTCGGCATACCTCTTCTTCGCCGCGCTCTCCGGAATCTCCGCCCGGATACCCAGCGCTCTCACGTCTCCGTCGCTCCCAGCTTTCCGCACCGCGTCCTTGACCCCCGCCGCCGCGACTCCAAGCGCAACGCAACTCGCAAGCAGACTCTGCACTTCGCTGCTCCACACGCGCTCCACGCCCGCACACCGCGCCGCGCCCGCACCCAGCCGCTTCAGCTCCACAAACGCCTCGCGCGCCGCCCTGACGTTGCCGTCGACTTCAGCCCACAGCTCGCTGCCCTCGTTGCGCAGGTCCATTGCGAATCCGGGATCGGGCGCCGCGTACGCGCCGTAGGGCTGCGTGTGCGCGTGGAAGTCCTCGAAGGGCGGGACTTCGGAGGGCTGCACAGCTAGAAACGGTTTCATGCGCAGTTCGTAGCGCAGGCTTTCGGAGCTAAAGGGTCGGGCGGGGGTGGGGAGGAGACCGCAGTAGCCGGCGATTGTGTAGAAGCGGGCGAGAGCGAGGCTGAGGGCGGCGGTACCGGTTGCTTCGGCGGCGAGGCTGTCGAGGTAGGGAGCTGCGTCTGCGACGTCATTTGCGAGGCGCAGTCTGCGCTCGCGTAGGAGCGATGTGTGCCGTGTGTGGTGGTGGGTTTGGATGCGTGAGAGTAGTTCGCGGCGCCGAGTGACGATGAGCGATAGGAAGAGATACATGCCTGAGAACTCATCGGGGAGGTAGATATCCTGTTCGAAGCCGAGGAGGATGACTTTCTCGATCATCCACAGCTTCTTGTGGTACACCCATGTGGAGAGGGAGAATTCGAGGACTTGGTCGAAGACCGAAAGTTCGGATGCGGCGGACGCGAGATCGGTGTCAACGATGCTGGCGTCGGCTTGAAGGAGGTCCCAGGCTGTGATCACGTGGGTGAGCATACGGCGGAGACGGCAGCGGTTCTGGCCCAGCGCTACCCAGAGATCAAGATACGGCTGGCCTGTGCGGTCGACAAACTCGTCGATGAGCATGGCCATTTGTAGTCGTGGTGGTTTGGGGAGTAGAGGATTTCGAGGCGGGGATAGTGTCCAGTTGGTGGGATCGAGAAATGGCGAAGAAGGGAAGACCAGCGTCTTGACGTCCGCCAGTGGTAACGAGACAGCAGAGTTCAGGATTTCTGGATGGAAGAGCAGGGACGACAGATAAGATCTCGAGTATGCCAGTGGCGCGGGAGATCTTGATGCAAAAGTCCAGAGGAACGACTGGTACTCCAGAGGATCTTGGGGCAGATCGATGAATCGAGTCGCTTCCTCGCAATCGACGCAGAGATGCTGAAGCAGATCCAACGCATCCTTGAATTCGAATTCGACAATGGGTCGAGGAGGTACAGTCGATGCCAGTCTGCGTTGCATCTTCGTACTGAAAGCTCCAGGTACAGACTGTCCAAGCTGGTGTGTAGCTTTGACCGTAGTCATACCTGAAAGCACTGGTGACCATGAAGACGACATTTGCTCGAGCGGGTGGTCTAGGTCCAGAGCTCTGAGATAATCTTGTCTGAGTTTCAGTCTGGAGATGATAGCTGACCGAAGTGCATCATTGAGGTCGAGGTCAGTGCTATTTCCTGTCAGCACGATCACGCGTGTAGCAAAGTAGGGCTTACTCTTCCATGACTTCTACTGCTGCGTCGAGCTCCCTCAAGAAGACGTCAATTGGAGTACTGACAAAAAGCACTCGGTTGTAAGTCTGTGTGCAGAAATCTTCCTCCTCGAAATAGTCTCGACTTGTGATCTTCGCTATCACGTAGTCGCAGCCTTTGATGAGCGCTAGACAATATGCTCTCAGCACTTGTAGTAATGCTTGCATAGAAGGACCATGTGCGCTTTCGCCGTTTGGCATGAATTGAGACTGCTCGAGTGTCTTAGGCTCTGGCCACAGCAGCCTGTCGATGTAGACTGAGGTGAAGAGAGTTTGTGAGAGAGGGTACCCCGTGTGCCATGCCATCTCGTAACAGAGTAGCTGGTCCATGATACCAATGATCTCCTCTGGCAGTAAAGCGCTCGAGGTATCGTATTCATCCTCAAGCGTCTCCCCTGGCGCGAGAAACCCGCTGTCCATTTTGGGATCCATAATCTGAAAACATTAGGTTCTCGATTTTGGTCGCGACTGGTCATGCTTACCTCGATAGCCCCAATGGACTCAAACAGTGTAAAGTAGTCATCTTTGACGAGCTGTCCGACTTCTAGGGCTGTGGGCTGTTAGTGTCTTCGTTCCAGGTCCAGTCGTGCGATCGTGCATGCTCGACGGTTTTGGAAGGCACAATATGGTGATACCAACTACCCCACCATCCTGACCATGCAGGTCCATCGGGAATCTTGATGACAGGGGCATATACATACCGTCGCTGGCTTTCAAAAATCTCTCTGTGATATCATGGATCTTCGGTTCCGGCGCGCAGATAGGCTGCCTGAATGCCTGCCTGAACGGCAGGTTGCTTTGCAGGGTGGCATTCACGTGTGAGGGGCCTGCGCATATTAGCAACAGTCATTTGCACTATAGAGCAGTGTTATCACCAGCTCCATCATGACTCGAACAAGCATCAGCATTCTGGAGCGAGGCGGTGCTGTGGCGGTGAGAGCTGTCTGCCATGGTCGTGGAGGAGTAGTCCCGCGCCGAAGCGGCTGGCGGGAAAGTTTGAATGGCTTCATCACCTCGAGCTGGTACCTGAACATCACTCTCAACTCTCACGAACGATTTCATGTTGGAGTCACGTCACAATTGCGATGGACATGTGCGCGCGTGCAGTGGGTTCAAATCAGGTTATGTATTGGCTTTGGCCTGTCCTCCAGAAAGCTTCCTTTGGCATTGATAGTACATGTATGCATTCACACCTCAGCCCTCTTCCCCCCAGACTATGCGCAGCGCATTTAAGCGGAAGCCTCAGCCTTGGCCGCAGCCTGTGCCAGAAGAGCAGCGTCGTTCAGCTCCTTGACATCGCCCTGCTTGCCGTTCTGCCCATCATTAGCCCCAATCGCGCCGAACCTGGTGCCTCCCTCCGTTGTAGACTCACCTCCCACTTGGCGAACCTGAGCTCACTGACACCCCTGCGCTCAGCGGCGATGCGCTGCTCCTCCTTGAGGGATCGGCGGACAACGCGCGATGCGACCGAGATGTAGCGGTTGTAGCTGTTTGCAATTGTTAATGCGCCGTCCTCGGGGCCAATTGGTGCGGGGAAGCGTACGAGAGACCGGCAACTTTCCAGGTGGCCGACATTGTGATGGTTGGATGCGGGTTGACGGGGCGGTGGGTGGGCTTGCGGGTCGCGGATGGGTTGGAGATGTTGAATTGAAAGTTGCGGATGGCCGCCGCTCGGAGCAGCAGCTCGGCCAGCACGTGACTATAGCAACACCTCTATCTAAGTAGGGCTCTAGCCATGTCGTCCGATCTGGGGGCGTTTCTAATAATACAACTACCTCTTGTACATTCATAATTCGGAATGCGAAATCTCAGCCTTCACGGCATACCACGGGACATGGACAATAGTCATCAGGAAATGAGCGGTTCGCTGCCTTTGCACGCAAAGAACAACATCAGAATTATTGGCATCTTGAAGTCATGTTCGTCGTATTTTCGTGGCTGGTTACTCGTATACCACGACGGCTGGAGCGCAGATAGCCGTCTCTACATAGTCTTAAAACGGCCCAGTGGTCTCCTACTGAAGTCAATGTCCCCTCTAGCTTGCAGATCGTCCGAGCGCGCCTCATATGCAGCCTCACTTTCGTCCTTGCTCTACAAGTCTGTCTCCATAGCCTCACCGCCCTCCTCGTTGCCACCCTCGGCATTCTCGAACGTGGTTGACAGCCACTCTGCAATATCCTGGCCCTCGTGCAGCGCAAAGTTCTCCCCAATGCCGCCAATTCCGACACTGGTGTTGTCAACTGTGAGTTCCTTGTCCTGAGACAGCGACTCCTTGAGTGCCCTCAACGCGTGCTTGATGAGCTCTTCTCTGCTAGCACTGTCGAACTCGTCGAGGTGTCTCTCGAGGTACGTCCTGGCCATCTGACTCCTGGCACCGATACCGCAAGCAACCATCTCCTGTGTGACACCGCTGGGCTGGAACTCGAAAAGGTGAGGGCCCTTTGCATCAACACCTGCAATGAGTAGCCCGACACCATATGGCCTCTTGCCGTACTGCTGTGTGTTTGTCTGTGCGCGGTCCGCAATACGTGATACGATCTCAGAAAGGGGAATGGCTCGGTCGTAGGTCAAACGGGAGGCGAGCGACTGCTGCTTCATGAAGTTGGAGAGTACACGGGCGTCGGAGGCGAGACCGGCGAGGGCGACACCGAAGTGCGAGTCGATAGGGATGACCTTCTTCTGGTACGAAGAAAGTTCCTCTGCATTACGCTGTAATGGATGTCAGGGTTCACATCCTCAAAAGCAGTCCAGGCTACTCCACGAACCTTGACTGCTGCGAGCACAGCGTGTGTCTTGCTGACGATGCCGACGACGACCGAACCCTGCTTTACGGCTTCTTGTGCATATTCGACTTGGAATATGCGGCCTTGCGGTGAGAACGTCACCGAATCGTTGTCGTAGTTGTTGCGGAACATGGTGGAGGCGCGACTTGCGGGGGTGAAGTGAGCTTAGGTGGGGTTCGTGGTGTTGTGCAAGGTTCAAATGTCTGAATATTTGCTGGCAGTAAGATGGGGGCGTATAAGCCGGAGACGTCGAGGCACTAAGGAGCTTGGTGGATGGAAGCTGGTATTTATTGCAGGCAGCTGGGGTGACGATAGCTCGGTACTGGTAGCTCTTACCTTCGATATCGCGCTAAGTTGGGACTGCCAAGACCAGCTCCAACCTCGCGCCGTATCGATCCAGGCTGTTGGAGCAGGCAACACCACCAACGACAGCAAGAAACCACTTGCGCAAGCACTCGGCACTGGACAAAGCCTTTTGATTCCGCGAGTCTAATCCCCAAACACTTCGCACCTCGCACGACGGACCAAACATGGCCGGCATCAAGACGATCATCGGGTTGAGCTTCGTACGTTCCCCGCCGGCGCATAGCCACGCAAAACTCCAAGAGACCCTCCAGAATCTAACGTATCACTCTAGGTTCTTGCGATAGGCTTTCTCCTCGTCATCCTCTCTGCGGCGCTGTTCCACAACTACCTTACGCTTCTCGTCGTAGCGACCTACGTAATCGCGCCGCTGCCCAACTGGATCTGCGGGCGCGCATCGAACCAAGATGATTTCATGGAGAGCTCAGGGAATGGTGTCATTGACTTCGGAAGATTCCTCACTGGGTTTTTCGTCGTTATGGGAATCGCACTCCCTACGCTCCTCTGGCATTCGGAGCAGATCGCAGGCGGCGCAGCAGCCATGTCCATCATTGGCGGTCTGACCATCTATGCCACCATTATCAGCTTCACGCTGTTCTTCCATGAAGATCAAGACTTCTGACTAGCCGGCGGAAACGGGCCATGAGAGGTCGCAGCGATATTAGCACGTAATGTGGGCTAGGAGAGCGCCGGGCGTGGAAGGCCTCGGTATGTGATTATGAGGCATGTGGTTGTACGCGGCTGAGATAGGGGATTTACCTTTAGTTTTGTTGTATACTCTGAGCGTTCTTGTATTGTCATGTAGGGTACGACAGGGGGTGCAAGTGTTGTGAACGGCTCACGCCGAGAATATCATTAATTTGAACCGTCAATGTGACAGAACGCCACCTCTGGCACTAGCATCATAAAACGCTCCAAACATATGCATACAGCCATACACAAGACATCAACACTGCTTTCCGCTTTCATAATCATCATACCCTCCCTGGTTCGCAGCCTTGCACGATACATGTGCTACTCGTTCGACGATCGCTCTCAAAGCGCCAAATTGTAGGTGTACTCGTCCTCCATGTTCTGTGCGATCCAAAGCACAGCGGAGCTGCATCTTGTTAGCCTTACTCTCTTACTATGCCCACACCCAACATACCTTAACATAACCAGCGCATTCGAAACGACATTTCCAACGCCCATCCAGATCGTTGGCCAAACATAGCCCGGCACGATATACTTCATGACCAGCACGACCACGCTGCCCGCCAGCCCGCCAGCCAGCAGCGCAAAGCCTAAGAAGAGCACCAGCCTCGCCTTCCAGGCAACGCCGTTGCCGCTATAGCTGAAGCTGTCGGCAGACAGCCGCGACTTGTCGATCGAGTTGATGACGAGCATGCCCAGAGCAGAGCAGATGCCAGGTATCCAGTCGATGAAGGTAACGTGAACGGGCGGGTCGGAGGGGTTCATGATCGACTTGGACCAGACGGCGACATCGATGAGCGCGTAGAAGCCAAGCGCAAACTGGACATATTATTAGAATACGAAGTCAGATCTTGGGCGTGTGAGATGCTGCCTACCAGAGCTCCTGCAGTGTAGACGCCGAAGGTGCGCGTGTTTGCGCTGTTCAGCCATGCCGGCTTGGGGAAGCGAAAAAGACGGTTTTCCTCCATCGTACCGATATGGTATTGTGTATGCGCTGGCGTGCGTGGGTGTCGAGGTGTGCTTGAAGCCTGCTGTAGGAGCTGCGGTCGCGGCAGGCGCGAGGTTGGCTGAGCTTGGCGCTTGACGTTGCCGGCAAAAGTGGGTCGCTGTTGCCGATCGAAAAAGTTCCTGGAGCGAAGTTCGAAGCGCGTCCTCACAATTTATTCCACACCACACAATGGCGCCCTCGAAACCCAGCAGCAAGGGCAAGGCCGGTCCCAAGGGGAAAAGTGCCGGCGCATCGAAATCTAAGGCCGGTGGCAAGAAACCAGAGGGAATTTCCAAACGCCGCCAAAAGTCACTGTCTCTTGCGAAGCCCGGTGGCGAGCAGAAGACTAAGTCGAGTAAATCCAAGGATGGCAAGAAGAAGAAGCGCGTCTATACTGAGGCGGAGCTCGATATCCCCAAGCTGAACTCGATTGTACCGGCGGGCATTGCGAAGCCAAAGGGCCAGAAGAAGGGCAAGGTGTTTGTCGATGATCCAGCAAGCATGTTGGCGATCATGAGCATTGTGAATGCGCAAAAGGAGGGGCACATTGAGAGCAAGATCATGCGCGCGAGGCAACTGGAGGAGATTCGGGAGGCCAAGAGGAAGGAGGCTGAGGGCAGATTAGAGGACAAGAAGGCAGATTTTGTGAGTTCACTTGCGTAGGCTGCCGGTATGCGGGGAGCGTGTGCTAACGACATTTTAGGAGGAGAGGAAACAGAGTCTCAAGAAGAAGAAGAAGAAGTCTTCGCATGACGACGCCGAGGCCGATGAACCTAAGAAGTTGACCAAGAAGGATGGGAAGTTCAAGCCCAAGAAGAGGGTGAGCTTCGGTTGAAGAGGGGGTAGTGAGCTGTTCTAAGAGTCTACGATGTCTACAAGTCTATGATACCCGATTCCGCGCAATGCAAGTCTAAATCGCCGTCTACGCCTCCGGCAGGACCAGTCGTCTATGGTTGGGATCAAAGATGGGATACACTTTGTTGGGCGCGTCGACCTTGTCTTCCTCGCGCTCAACTCCGGATACTTCGTGGTCGATGGTGCTGTGAACTTTGTTCAGGAAAGATGCGGTAGCCGTTGCAAACCATCTGCCACCTCCGAGCTGGAAGGACCCAAGATGACCACCCCAGTCGGTGGTGCATAGCAGTGTGTAGGGGTTCTGCTTGAACTCTTCGTACGGAATGGCAGCTTTGGAGGATATCTATACGCATAGTCAGTAAGACAGCCAGTATATCGCACACATGATTCGTCCAATGTTCACTTACCGGATCGTCTTCAGCATTGATCCCCAAAAACGGTATCCTAACCGCAACCAGAGCATCCACACTCTGCGCGTCCCTGTAATACGCTCCCTCCGTCGGATATCCCCACGTCGGACACTGCACGTGTCTATCGAACTCGTAAAGGTACTTGCACTTCTCAACCAACTCAGACTTTATATCCTGGTTCTGCAGCATCTGCTCCTTGTGTCGCTCATACAGGCCCATCAGATTCTTCCCCATGGTGCGCGAGTACACATGGACGCCCAGGTATGTCCTGTTCAGCTCCACGTTGCACAACTCCAGGTTCCAGGGGTTGGAGTTGGCCACCGCAGCCTTGAGCACGCACTTGTCGCCTTCCTCGCCGCAATAGTTCGTGAGGATGTTGGCGCCGAGTGAGTACCCAACGGCGTAGAGCGGCCTGTTGGGGAAGAGGACTCGCAGCTCGTTAATGACTTGCCTGACGTCCCAGGTTGCTCTTGCGTTGAATAGTTGCGGCGTAGTGATCTTGGACAGGGCGCAGCCGCGTCCGTTGACTACACAAGCTTCCCAGCCAGATGCTGTGAGGGGTGCGAGTGTCTCGCGGAGGTAGACTTCGTGGCTGCCGCCCGTGAGGCCATGGAGGGCGATGAGCATGGGTTTGTTGTCATCGCTGCGAACATGGTCCCATTCCTTGTCAGAGTAGAGGGTGGTACGCTCTGGTAGCTCGGAATCTTTCGCCGCGGCTTCTCCCTCTTCTTTACCAGTCACAAAGTCTACGGCGAATGTTCCAGGGTAAACAGTGTGATTGGATGTGTAGATGTGACGCTTGTAGTAAATTGGCGGTCCGGGATCCTTCCATGCCGTGAACATTGTCTGGAGGTGTCCGTTGAACAAGAACGGGTTCAAGCGACATGGTGCTATCGAAGCTTGGGCGATCTCTGGAAGAGAAGTGTTGGTTCCGTTCTTGGTTATCAATGGGATTGGCGAGGCATGGTGTGTGTAAGAAGTCTTGCTATGACCAAAAATCCACGACATGTTGTCTGGACCCTGGTTGTGCTGTGAGATTCAGACGTGTCTTTTCTGATTCTGCTGGAGCCTTCGAACCGTGACGCCAATTGGTGGATGAAAGTCTGGTACCTTGGCTCTCTATCCAATTAGCCTCTGGGATCTTTTGCATGTATTACTGCTCGATACAAAGCACAGTATTCAGGTGGCGAGCAAAGGAGAAAATGCTGCCACTCGACATTTGAACAAGACATACCTCGGTTTGCAGGGATGGCTCGTCTAATCGATATGCGCGCGTCAGCCAATCAGAATAAACCTCCGCGGTCCGCGATCGCGCCTGACACTGAGCATCGCGACTTTCAACACTGCCTTCGTAACCCCACAAACACTCACGATGTCATGACATAGCACAATGCCCGGTGATTGCACCTCGCCGAAGCACACAATACAGCCATGGATCCACGATATAATCAGCAGTATGGCTACCCGAATCGACCGAACGCCCAGTACCCTCCACAGCAGTCGCAGAATGGCTACCAGCAGTATGGCCAGGCCCCGCAGCATCCCCAACAATACCAGCAGTACCCTCCAGCGCAGAACCGCATGCACCATGGTTACCAGCCGCAGCCGCAGCAACCCCAGGTGGTCATATCACGACCGCAAAGCCAGCAGTTCATGACAATGCCTCAGCATCAGCAAACATATCCGCCGCAACAACAGCAAATGTATCCGCCACAGCAACAACAAACATACTCTCCACAGCAGCAGTACCAGCAGCGAGCATATCAGCATTCTCAGTACCAGCAGATGCCTCAACAACAGCTGCAGTATCAGCAGTCACCCCAGCAGCCGCAGCAACGGCAGCCGCAGCAACGGCAGCCGCAGCCGCAGCAACAGCAGCAGCAACAGCAACAGCGGCAACATCAACAGCCGCAGCAGTATCATCAGGTTCATCCATCGCAGCCTCGACCGCAACCTTCACCGCAACCTCAGCCACAAGCACGAGCGCAGCCGCAAGTTATGATACCTCAGCGATCCCCCAGCTCTATGCCGTATCACCAGATGTCCAGTCCGCGAACATCAAGCCCGAGCATCAGGCAAGTGCAGGTACCGATACAGCGCATAGGTAACGGTGGGATCTCGCAAATGGATGGTTCTCAGGACATGTACCGACGGCAGAGCGCGCAGCAGGTTCCTACACCACCTGTGTCTAGGCCAGTACAACGGCCTATCTCGCATCAAGAAAACATCCAGAGACCACCGCAAAGACCACCAAGTACACCGGTGCAAAACCAGACTCTGCAACAGCAGCAAAGGCCACCGGGAAATCACATTATGTCTAATATCGAGCAGCAACAGCGACATCAACAAAGAGCTTCAATCAGTCAAACCCAGATGAGTATCGAACCTCAGACTCGCTCCGTACCGCAGGTACAGATTACCCCTCAGCGCACGCTGCCACAGGCATACCAGCAGCCTTCGCGACCGATACAAACTACACCAACACAGCGTACGCCCTCGCATCAAGCACCATCACAACAGCCGAGACCAGTGCAGGTCACACCGACACAGCGTACACCTTCACAACAGACGCCATTACAACAGCCACGACCCGTTTCGACTACACCCACGCAGCAGACGCCATCGCGAGACGCTCCTTCTCAACAGTCATCTTCGCAACCGAGATCACATCCCAAAGTGGTCATTCCTCGACCTGCGTCGCATCAGCTTACATCTCCCACAAAATCCGCTCACCCACAACTGCCACACAAGGCGGCACCCGTCGATCTATCCATCATGCTACTTTCAACAGCCGATGAGTACATCGCTGCGGCACGCAGCATCGGGCCGACAATAGCACGACAGAAGAGAAATATCGATATCCGGCAATACTACAAGCTCATGTCGACTGCAATGGGGTGTATGGACGCTGTACTTAGAAAGTTCAATCTGCAGCCGCGAGAGGAGGCGAAATTGAGATTAAGATATGCAAGCTTGCTCATTGAAGAAACAGACAACACGACTGAGATCGATGCAATCCTATCCAAGGGCATTTCGCTATGTGCGCGGTGCCGACTCCAAGATCTACGCTACAGCATGCTGCACCTCCAAGCTCGTTACCAGTACCAGACAAATCATCGAGCGGCATTGAAGGCTGTCGACAAGAATATCTCGGAAGCCGAAACATTCCAACAGATTGCCTGGGTGTATGCATTTCGATTCCTGAAAATCTCCTTGCTGTTGCAGAGCACCGACCGTGTTGAGGCAATACCTGCGCTCCAGCAACTGCATGCTATCAACGCGTATGCAGAGAAACGTGGCGATACTGCAGTAGCCTTTACCTGTCATGCTTTGGAGGCGATGGTTCACCTGCGATCCAGTGCTCAAGACCGCCTGATTGAAGCCCAACGAGCGATTGCGCAAGCTCGCAGCCTGCAACTGACGATGTCGGCGAAGCAGCAAGGATCATTTGGCACCCTTTTCAGCGTTATCGACCTGGCTTGTAGCGTACACCAAAACGCACCTGACAGCGCGAAATCGACTTCCCTTATACAAGCCACTGCAGACGAGAACGATGATGGTCTCGGGACCGAGAGTGGTGTTTTCACCGTGACACTTGATCGGACGTCGGGTGGGAATCTTACAACAGACACTGGCGGCATTTTCAGGAGAAATGTTGATGGCCGCGACGAGCTGGTATTTACCTGGCTCCCAAGAGAGGATATTAAGGCATTGTGCTTCCTCATATGTGCCTTGGACCAGAGCATGCATGAAAAATCACTTCAGCTGGTTCAAGAAGCCCGTTCCCGAACTCGAGACTCGATGCGCAGGCAATCGTCCTTTTGCTTACCTATATCCACGGCATGTGCGCAGACACAGTGGCGAAAAGTGCTGGATTGGCATGCTACATTCACCCTTGGGCTTATAGCAGCACATCGAGAGGAATACACGACTGCCACCGATGCTTTAAGCTCGCTTACGAAACGCATCACGTCTGCTCCCTATGTCAACCAGCAGGATTACACCCAATCGCTGTCATATCTGGAAGCCATCATCGACCAGACAAACGGTCGTTTCGATGCTGCGCATGCTATATATACATCGGGTGTTCTCGTACTCACTGACAAGAACTCCGTGCCGACGCTGACAAGCGAGCTTGCTATACTTGCTGCTATGAACCGGCTACTCATTGCGAGGGATCCAGCCAATTCAGATCACGAGAATGTTGGCGCACTGTTGTCAAAGTTACGATTGGCATGCGAAGAACACCCCAGCCAATACGTTCGCATGGCATTCACTCTCGTCAACGCCCTGTGCACTCTCGATCCCTCCATTAACCGCTTGAAAACTCTAATGAACAATGCGACGCAGAAATCTCATGATCTCTTCAAACGCACGCATAATCGCGAGTTTGTCGTCATGTCTTTATGTTATTTCACCGCACGCTTCTTTATCGAGCCTGTCACCGACAAATCGTCATCCGCTGCCAATGCGGTGCGTCAACACGCCAAACACAGCAATAGGCCGCTGTGGATGGCGGTCGCTTGTGGTCTCATGATCAAGGTATTTGAACACCACAACAGTGTTGCAGAGAAGCAAAAGTATGAGGAAGTGTATGAGAAGGTAAGAGTGAAGCTACCTGCACCGCTCAGAGGTGATGATGTTGATGCCGAGGGCGAAGACGATGATGGAGATATCATGCTTGTGGGATAGATTATCATGTACGATACTATGGGAAAAGGTGCATGTGTTGGCGTTCTATATCAAAAGCGATCTGTTCTGCATACATGGGTATACCTGGGATGTCAAAAGTATGGCGAATAGATGAATCTTTTGCTACTCCTAGAATTAGCGGAAGCTATTAGTGACTTCTGAGGAACAAGCTTTTAGATAGTGCAATACCTAATGAGTTTTTGCAACAGTCGTTTAGTTCTGATGGTGAGGCTTTGAGCATCGATGATGACTAAACAGCGCTAGGGCCGAGCAGTATCACGAACCTCAATGTACACGTTCCTACACGTCATTCGCATTGATTCTTGACGAACAATACTGGCGATGGCAAGCGAGGTGCCAGACTTTCGGACTTTGCAGTCATGGGAGGACGCCTTCCAATACCCAATACCGACGGTGCGGAAACTCGAACAGCAGCTCCGCACCACAGCCGATGACAACCGCGAGAAGCTGCGATCGCTTGTGGGGTATACACAGCTCGATGTTAGCCAAAACTGAATCTTGAATTGACAATTTCATAGGGCAAGCTATCGGAGCCTTCTCGACACCGCCGAAACGATTATCCATATGGAGACCCAAAGTGAACAAGTTGAATCTAAGCTTGGTCGTGTCGGCCAGAACTGCAATACAAGAGTCTTGGACAAGATCTCCGGAAATGCACTGAAGATGGACACATATGGCAGAGGCAGTGGTTAGTTATTGGTACATCACAGTTGGAGGAATCTCTTGTTGATATGGGCCTGCAGATGTCGAGCGATATACGTTTGCATCCCAGCTCTCGGTCCTCCGAAATGCGCCAATTGTCAAGACACGGCTCATGCGTAAGGATGACCAGCACCTCCTCATCGCAAAAGTCCTTGTGATATCTCGCCTTATACACAAAGCCCTCAGTCAGTCGGAGGCCAAGCCACCGATTGTGGATCAGCTATGGGACAAGCTACTTTCGGCGCGCAGAAAGCTATTACGACGTATCGACAGACGGCTCGCGAGTGTAACCGGGGAGACTACAAGTTTGGTGGAGAGTATGTGCGCGTATGCATTGGCCACGAGCTCAACGCCCTCGGACGTCTTGAAGCATTTCCACAGGGTCCGTAAGGACAAGATGGTGACCGACTTGAAGAAGGGAGGTGACGAGCTTGCTAAGCGGGGCATCAATGCTCTGCGCCTCTGCATACAGACTTGCCTGGACACCCAGACCATCTTTCCAAGACGATTAGCTGAAGCTCTTGCAAAACTGAAAGCGCATCCTTTGATTCAAGACCCAGAAGTGCGCGAACTGTACGAGCTGAATCTGGATGTTCACGATCGGTGGATTGGCGACGAAGTGCGAAACTACACACCTTGGCCACGCCACGACGAACTTCAGAGACCAGAAGCAGAGAGGCTGTTGCATCGCTGGTCCAAAGATACAATCGCAGCTTTCCTGAAGGAGGTCAAGGTTGCCCTTCAAGACGAGAATCGGTTAGCAGAGGTTGCGAGCCTGCGACAGGAACTGATCGAAACTTGGATGTTGTCCGGTTCACGTATGGCAGGAGTCAAGTTTGCACATGTACTAGACGACCTGCGAGACACCATGAACGAGAAACTGGAGGCTATCGTGCGAGCACGTACAGACTCGCTACAGGGCGTAGTAAAAGAGCTCACTGGTGGCCTGGAAACTCTGGCAATCAATAATGATTCGTCTGGCCTATCGCTTTGGGCCAACACAAAAGACGGTCAAGATTTGAGCAATGGGGCGCATGCGTTCAAGTCAACCATACTCAATACGCACCAGGGACGAGACCAATCTGTCCTCGACGTGACCGCTGCTTTCGACGAGTGGATGGATTCTGTGCTCGAAGTAAAGGGCATAGTAAAGAGTATGAAAGAAGCGCGCTGGGACGATACTTTCGCAGACGATATCGAAGAAGAATGTGATGATGACGATTTGGGTGATTCTAAGCAGACGTTACTCAGCGCGGACGACCCACGGTTGTTGGAAGATGTCACCCAAGAGGCCGTTGGCCGTTCGTTACAGAACCTGGGCAAGAGCTTAGCCCAGATTGCACAAAGCGTAACTGACGAAAAGGCTGACGAATCTGTGCCGAAGGCTATATTCGTCTTGCGCATCGTTCGTGACTTTGGCGATCGGATACCGCGACTACGCCTACAGGAGAAGTCTTCGACTTTCCCTACGCCATTCACATCAGAGGTCTTGAAGCCACTTCATGACATCCTTGCTGTATATGTCGCTCAGTCGACAGTGCCAGCTTACGAGGCCTCTCTTGACTCGACGATAAAAGACGGTACCCAAACACACATACTGTGGGAGGGACATCCGCCTATACCGAGCCAGCCGTCACCCAGCGCCTTCAGATTCTTGCGAGAAACCAACCGTACCATGGCGCGCCTGGGAAACGATCTCTGGGCTTCTACTGGTGTCGCCGCGGTCAAGAGCAAGATATCATTCGAAGTTACACGGGTGCTGAAGAAGCATGCTAAGGCCATCACAACCGCCAACCCTCAGAAGGAAGTCACGGCTGAAGAGCAAGCCGATACAAAAGACGCTGACAGCGAGGAAAGGAACGATAAACCCATTGCTGCTGACGTAATATCTGTTCAGGAAACTGAGCTCCTTGACCAAAGGCTCAAGCAATTAACTTTCGATGCGCTCTACATGCAGCGATTCTTTGGTGACGAGCCCAAGGCACTGCTAGCTATGGACGACCTGATTGAGAGGATCGATCTCACAGATCCGGACATCCAAAGGCTGAGGAAGAACGCAGTGGAGTATGCCAAGAAGACATATCTGCTATTTGCTTTACTCGCATGAGGCATGCTACATCGTATGTTGGCACTAGAGAGATTCCTGCAAATCGCACGCTTCCAACGGACTCTTTCGGTGCATGACGTGCACAGTCGTATCGTTGCTAGCTTCACGGCGGGAATCTTCCCGAGCAGGTATCGAGCCGTATCATATGCAGGAACAGATCGCTTCGAGCTACTCTATTTGCACGTCGCTGATTGTAATGTTAGTGGCTGTTAGCTGAGCTGCCCGAGGAAATCATTAGCAAGTCACAGTACTTGTGAAAGCATGACCGAGTGGATCTTTCTATTCCAGGCTGAAATGTATCCAGTAGGCTCGCCCTCGATTGCATTAACGCCTGATATGAATGGATATCTTGAACATTCACGCTAGATCTTCTTCGTGTTCTCCTCATACTCTGTTACACCTCCCTTCTCTCAGGATTCATCCATCTCGTCCCCTTTGTCTCCGCACTTTAGATCCTCCACTTCCTTCCTCAACAACTCTATCTCCTCTTCTTGCGCTTTCATCTTCTCCAGCGCCATCTCAATCAGCCGCGCTTTGTTGACTGTCTTCCTCTCCCCAGGCTTCCCCTTCCCACTCCCTTCACTCAAGCCGCTCAATCCACTCATCCCACTCGTCTCACTGAACACACTCTGTCCATCAACTTCCTTCGGATCACCACGCATGACCACGAAACAAGTCGTGCCCGTACCAAACGTCACCTCGCCATCCAGCAAGAACTCAGCAAGGTCCACCATGGCCGTTTTCATGCGGTCGCGCCGCGCTTGCTCGGCTGCCCGGTGCGTCGCGCGCTTCATCATCACACCCGTAGCCATCGCGGTGCTGAAGTGCAGACCCATTTCCAGATGCTGGCCAGACGAAATGAGCTCGTAATTTGACTTGGAAGCCAACAGGTCTGCCTGTGGAGTTGTCACGCCGCCAGCTGCTGTGGGACTGTGAGTTTGGTGATCATGAGGAGTGGGAAAGGGGGCGCACCATTGCTGTCTGTTGTAGCTATCGAGGAAGTGCGCCGAGCTATTGGTACTCTCTTTGCTTGTTGTGGGGGCAGGCTTGATATCTCACTAACTGTCGACAATGTGCTCGCTGTGTCTGCTGCAATGCTCGGGCTCCTGATGCTCGCGGCTGAAGTGAACGGCTGCTTGACTGGCCGGATCGGGACTCCGGCTTGAAATTGAGGCTGCTGTTGCTGCTGCTGTTGAGGTTGGACCTGGTTGTACTGTGGTGGTGCTTGGATCTGGTGTATTTGGGGTACCGGCTGGGCTTGGGCTTGTGCGCTTTCTCGTACTGGGCTGTATCTTCTCCTCTTTTTGAACAGTTGAGGCCATGTTCTGCTCAGAGGGCCGCGGTGTGAGTGTGTGTCGGTTTCCACCGATTGCTGTGCCTGGTAAGGTTGCATGGCTACCAATGGGGTCGTAACATTAGAAGAGACAGTATGGCCGGCTACGGATAATTAAGTTACAGTCCAGATGTGTGAAACGATATGTTATCGACGTCGTCCAGTTGTTTATCCGAGTCGGAACTCCAGAGATGCAAGTGATTACACGTGGAGCACGTGTTTTAGCTCGTCTGACAGGCACCCACTCCTGAGCTTCAGAGCAGTCGTAGCCCTGCAATCATTCGCCGATTTGCCCAGACTTGCTCTTTCGCTGTTCTGTATCAAAGAAGGGGAACGCAGATCAAAGTACCTCACAGTCTTCGAGACAAATCGTAAGATACCACTTCCACCATTATCTGTCCGACCCGCCGACACATTAAAAGCAACGGTGACACCCACATCCCTTCCACTACCCCCCGAAGCATGTGTGGAAGCTAACGCTTGGCGTTCGATGCTCCGCGATGTTGCATGCTCCAGCCAACCGGAGAGTGAAAGCGACCCACGTGTGGCGCCAAGCCTCAGCAACGCCGCGCAGGGTCGTTGTCAGAGCGCCACGGGGTTGCTGATCAGCCCAGTTGAGCACCGAAGGAATGCCCAGATGAGTTTGGTCTGGCGGTGGGAAGGTTGCCACTACGAGAAGCACGGCAGGGAGATCGAACGAAAGTCGCCTTGGTGGAGCAGCGTTCCTAGCTCCCGCGACCTACGGGCGGCGCCCCAGATTACTTCGTGGAGCGGCTGGTGCAAGCGGTGAATGGATACGAGCCTACGATGGCATGTATAGCGACGGAGGATGGGCAGCAGTCTAGACGGGTTTCAACACGTGCGGACCCAAGTCAGGGTTCAGATGATAGACTGATGATATCTCCAGGGTGGCGGATAGCGACACCGATGATCATAATAGTCATCCTGGAGGTTTCGAAACCTGTGAGATCGAAGGTAGGGTGGGTGGGAATGAGATGCGATGAAATTTGGGTATCGGCTTTTGTTGCTAATTGAAGGTATTGGTACAGGAGAATTACTACATGGTGCTGACTCTGCTCACCATCTCATGGCTATCCTCGCTGTGCTTTTTCCTCGAGTGCACGCCAGGCACATACTCCAAATCCTCATCCTCAAGATCTGTGTCTAGCGCTTCTTCGCTGAGCATCTTAGGATTCAAGGCAAACGCCCCCTTGGGTACGAACGTACTCGTCATGACAAGTGCTGCGATGATAGTGAATTGAATGCCAGCAACATTCTGAATCGCAGGCTGAATGTGTTCATCGTTCGCGGAAGATACGCGATCAATATACGTGCCCAAGCATACTGATGCAATGGCATAGGTAACGATGTATGAGCTGTAGAGGAAAGCCATCACGGCGCCCAAGGCTGATACATTCTTCGTGTCCGATTCGAGGCGCGCAAGAGAACTATGCACAAGGTGAGCGGTATACGTGTATGAGAAACCCGAGACGCTCTTACGCTTGAATGTATGCGGCAAGCGACACATCACCGGCCGCCCAACCGAAACTGATAGGAAGGAACGTCGCTGCAACGATCCATGCCTGTCCCACATCGCCCTGCGGTGGGTGCCAGAATGGCAAATACCAAACGATCAGAAGCGCTAGGGCGTCGACGCGCAGCCAGGGCATTGGCGTTTGTACAAGATTCGTAAACATGAACACGAACAGCGCACCAAGCAGTTCACCAAAGTTCGATCCACCAACCATGATTTGTGCCCAAGCTGAATTACCGAGATATCGGCGAGCGATTGCGGGTGCGATTGCGTTCTCGAGATAGCGGTGGCCATAGAGCGCGACTGCGTAACCAGGAAGCAGCCATATAAACTTTCGGTGTGTAAATATGATCTTGCCACCCGTCCAGATCGATTCGAAGAACAAGTAGAAGCCGCTTCCGACAGCCTTGACATATGTTGGCTGGCCTTCAAGGAACAAACTGTTTTCGACTGGAGGTCCTGCTTCTTGAATAAAGTACCAGAGAAAAGAGGCTGCGGCGAAGAATATTGGCGTGATTATGAAAGAGAAGTTGTTGCCGAAGTGCGGGATCAGAGCAAGCGCTGTGCAGAACGCACCTGCTGTGCCAGAGACTTCGTAGAAGATGTGGACAAGCGAATCCATACGTCGCAGCTTCTGAACATTGCCGCCCACGAGATCTCGAGGGATAACTCGTCGAATGAGTTCTACCATGCCATAAACAACACCGCACACACAATCTGGATGCCGTCAGTGTCCGTGATCTGCCAAGTGCACACCTCTTGGTAGACTCGAGGTCTGCAGATGCTGATACATCCACTTACAGATTGGAATCATGCCGTCAGTATTGTAGTCTCCGTAGTAGCTGAAATCTTTGTCAGGGTGTCCTTTCGGGACAAACCTGCCACCAGTTGCTGCGTCCAGGATGAGAAGTACGCTACTCATCACTCCGAAGATCAGGATGGCGCAAGCCAGAACGTTTTTTGTTGGGTATCTCTTGATCAGCGGGGATATGAGAATTGATCCTACGCACTGGAAAGCCTGGTTCAGACCGGTCAAAATGCCGACTCGTTGGAACGTAATGGAGATATGGGTCCGCTTCTCGAGCTCATCATAACGATTTGTTGCAAGTGCAATAATCGAGCCGTTGAATGCCTCAAGTCCGAATTTGTACATCATGATACCGGCGATGTATATGGCAATATTTCGCCGCTCGATGGGTGTGTAGATCTTCCATGTTTCGCGGATGACCGCGATGGGCCGGAACCTGGCCATATCGGTGATGTGCTACTGTCTGTAGCAGCAATTCCAGAAATGCGGAGACGTGGTTTATACACCACAATAGCCGTGGTGTTGTGTTTGTGTTATCAGCCAATCAGGACAACCGACGGTTGCATGTGCAGGATACAGCCTTTTCCAAGCAGAAATGGCTGCGATGCCTGCATGGGTGACGAGAGCGCATTGTGGGAAGTGCTTGTCGTCCGTATCAGCTGAAGAGGGCACCGCAGTGGTTTCATGGCCAAGGTGTGCCACTGAGGACCGCGCCCAAATGCTAACTTGGCGGGTTGCTCCGCGTTGTCCAGTCAGGGTGTAGAATGCAGCACGTGGACGCTCCCCTGGCCACCAACACCGACATGGGTTTGGCGATGTGCATGAACGCATCTTAGACTTGGACTGTGCTTTACGTATGGACAGCGCTCTTTAGCATTATCATTGTATTTGCTGTATGGCACCAATGGGAAAAAGAGATCTCTTTAAGCCGGTAGAGTAAGCTGAAAGTCAAAGGTCATCGGAGGCTGCCAACTTGTTCTTATGCTCTGTGATCGGACGCAATGGCACGATTGATAGTAGTAATGTGATAGTTGTCATCGAAGCTGGAGCAGCCTCCTGTGAGCTTTGCGTCCGTGTTCCCTAGCGAGAAGGCTCCTGAATCTGTGGCTCTGTCAAGCACACCTCTCGAATGCATCGTCTCGGGAAGACGCGTGCTTGTGGCAATTGATGCAGGGTGGGTCGATTGATCTATCCACCTTGATGGGTTCCTGCAGTAGAACGTGTTGGGCGGATGTACTGTACACGTCTAAATACGCCAAGAGGATGACTGTAAATGGTCATCCTCGAACTTTGCACGAACGGCTTCCGTAAACACCGACGCCTAGCATCTAGCCTCTGGTGAACTTGACAATACCGGAAAGCTTTAGAGTTATGTCTTAACTTGATTTCTGGTTACCGCCAAACCCAAGTTCGGTAGCATCAGAGCATGTCATCTTTTCCGGGTGTGAAGTGAGCGACAAAAAGTATCGTAGTGGCAGGAGGTTCAGATATCGGCCTCTATATGTCATCAGTGACTGGGTAGGTACAAAGGTTTCATAGCAAAGCTGACCTCTACGCCATATCCATCCTCGATCGAGGGTCTGCTGTACAGCAATTGGTGTGTTGTCAGACCTGCCGCACACCAGCAGTGTACGTTGACTTTTAATTCATTAAAAATTCCGTCTGAGACTCTCCAATCTCCACAACGGTATCGTTACGCCGTCAACTCATTCGGAGTCATCTTCCTTGTAGCGTCGTGCGTCTCTAGCACGTTCAGCCTTCTCATCATCTTCAGCTTCTCGTTTCGCTAGAGACTCGCGCAGTCGCTCCTCCTGCTTCCGCCAGTGGCTACCCTCCTCGTAGTCTTCGCTGATACCCAGTGCTTTCCTCATCCTATCACTCTCTTCTGCCTTCGCCTTCGCAAGATCGTGGACCTGATGTGACTTCAGTCGCTTGGCATTGGGGCCGAGGTCTTTCCCGTCTTTTCGCTCTTGGTCGAGCTTTCGGCGCAGGGCTTCGCATTGATCGTCAATCTCGTCTTCGTCAACACTGCCCACAGTCAGCATGCACACCATACACGTGCACAAGGCCGCCGTACCCTTCTTCTTCGAGCTTGTCTTTTAGCTCGAAGACTTTGACCTCGACGTCACGTTTCGCTTCGTGTTCTAGGATCTCTGCGTCTGGCTGGCGCGGTCGATGTCTTGCGTAGTCCAGGTCCTTCTGATATGGCGCGACCTTGTCGCGGGGTCGGAGCAGCGAGCGGTTTTTCTGGACATAACCGGAGGTTCCACTGCCTCTTGGGGTCGTGAGTCCAACGTTGTCGGCCATGATATGTGATGTAATTATTCGAGTGTTCGCGCGTTCAAGCACAACGATGCGGAGTTCGGAGGTGCCGTGCTTCAGCCGCGAGCAGTTGCCCCACCAAAGATTTCACTGTGAACCAAATGACGACTCACCCAACATGAGGTCCACACATCGCAGCACATGCCGCCCGCAGCAACATACGCTATACCGCCCACCATGAGCACCCAGAAACCGCTCACTGAGCTACCGTTTCCCCCGATCACCAAACAACACATCCTCAACTGCTCCTACCATAACTGGCACCCCAAATACCGCACGATTACACCGAAAGCACGCCTTGTTCCACTTCCTTCCGCTTTCATCGACTATCTCAAGTCCGATGGCATAGTTCTGCCCCCAGAGGAGGCAGATAACGCTACATGGTCCGATGACGACAGCGGCATCTTCTCAGGCGCAGACAACAACGACGGCGGCGAGGAGGAAGATGCAGATCCTAGTACTCACTGGCGCGATACACACGAGGCTATTGAGACAACTATAGAAGAACTGGGAGGCAAGGTCGCGCCCAAGCTGAACTGGAGTGCGCCAAAAGACGCGACATGGATTGCGGCTACAAACAGTATGGAGTGCTCGACACCGAACGACATCTACCTGTTGCTAAAAAGCAGCGACTTCGTCACACATGACCTAGCACATGCCTTCGACGATACAGTCAACCAGTCGACAACGCCTGACCCAGAGATAGCGTACCACCTCGTTCTACGAAAGTGGATCAACCTCAACCCTAGCGTTGAGTTCAGGTGCTTCGTGCGAGATAGGCAGCTCATCGCACTGTGCCAGCGAGACCTGAACCACTTCGACTTTCTCTTCGGCATGCAAGACAAGCTGCGACAGCGCATACAAGACTTGTTCGACTCCAAATTGCGAGACTCGTTTCCAGATCCCAACTTTACCTTCGACGTATACGTTCCGCCGCCACACGACAAAGTATGGGTTGTAGACTTCAATCCCTGGGCTATGCGAACCGATCCTCTCCTCTTCTCGTGGATGGAGCTGCTCACCATGGAGGTGCCTGAGGCTCAGAATACGAATGAGGAAGAGGAGGTGGTCCGTATACCCATCGCTCCGGCCGGAGGTCCTACAGTCATTTCTTTAGATGATATTGAAAGCGCAAGTGACTCGGATAGTTCTGACGGAGACGACGTGGAGGAGATTTGGCGGCCAGAGTTCAGGCTAGTACGAAAGGACGACCCTGAGGCATATGGATTCACAACGCCACAATACAGCGCACATAAAATGCCCAGGGATGTTGTAGATGCAGCCAGCGGAGGGGAAGGGATGATGCGCGAGTTTGCCATGCAATGGCAGGATGCGCAGAGGTTGGCTGAGCAACAAAGACAGGAGGACAGCGAAGAAGACTAGACACTACACCAGAAACCAAACTCAAACAGGCACTGAAGACAGCCAACCTATGATAGCCATCTTCTCATGCACTTGTAGGTAACCTAACGATCAGCAATAGCCACCCTTTCCTTGCAACACAGCCAGGTGGACACTAGGAGGTTTCGACGTTGGTGGGCAAGTACGACTCTCCAATGTTCTAATTTCGACGAAGGCTTTCAGGTAGAGTCAATTTGCACAATCCTTGATGAAAGCACCAGTCAGTGCAGGGCCACAATGTATCTCAGTTGTAGTGCGCCACTACGCAACTTCTGTCAGAAGCGTCCTGGACCTATCGTGTAAATTGACACCAGATGGCTGCTGCGCCCGACTCGTACGTCTTTCTAAAGAACATGCAGGACTGCTACTCTGGACCCTGAATCTTGTCCGGTCAAGATGGAACTTTATGAAACGCAAACCTGTTCGCGAGACAGCGAAACCCTTCTGAAGCTCCACTGCAAACGAACTGGATCTTCCACTAGAACCCGTTTATGCAAAGCTGTTGAAGCAAGTCTGTGTTGTGGAGACATTTTCATTGGCTCACGGAGCTCGCGATGTGACGAAGGAGCGGTGGGACAAAATTGTGCATGGTCATGACTCGCACTTGCCTCGCCTCGCCGCGTTGCCTCGACATCATTCGACACGGACGTCCTCGCTGTCCACCCCCGCAGTGTAAACAGAACCAGTTCCAGATTACAGTTCAGCTCTCCACCATTTTCAGCGGCTGAAGACTTATTTTACAATCGATATTACCCTCTTGGTGCCCGCTATAACTTTTGGATCACCTCACAAATCTCGGATATTCGCAGGACATTACAGGATGGACAGCAAGGATGACCCACGGGTGCCTGCATGCCCCCAGGCGGTCAACGCGCACTGCAACTTTCTTACACTCCCAGTCGAGCTGCGTTGCTATATATACGATCATCTACTTGCGGAGCCGCATGCGATCACCATCTCTGCTGGCTACACCACCGTTTTCGGCCACCGCATACGCGACAAGGCGCGTAAAGTCAACGTGCCAGGCCTCCCGTTCGACCTTGCACCACTTGTGCGCAGCAATCACGACACCACGCTGCTCTCCGTCGCTGTACCGCCGGAGGTTGCTCTCGAAAAGGAAGACGCGTACAATGGCGGTAAGCCGCGGCTGCAGCTGCCAGGCGCGCTCGCTTTGCTAAGGACGTGCCGTATGGTCAACGATGAGCTAGCGGACCACATGCGCCGTAGGAAGGCGCGGAAAGCCAGAAATGCGCACGCCAAAGACAAATCTACTGCTGCGGACGATACTGAAGGACTGAGTCTCTACGTGTCTTATCCGCACGGCGTTCTGGTGCTGAACCATCTGTATCCGTCCCTCCTCAAACAAGCGCGCCGCGTCTACATCTCTGGATACTACGCGAGTGCCAAAGAACCCGAGCTGCCGCTCAATGCATCTATCGACTCGAGTGCAGACCTGAGCCTAACACCGCAATCCTCATTCACACCGACGCCAGTACATTCAATGGACAACGTAACGGAAGCCCCGACAGCGAACCATGCACCGCGTCTGCGGTCAAGCCGAACTCGCCTTCGTCTCGACCCACCTCTGCAGCAACAGGTACCGCTTACCAAATCAGCGAATACGTTCCCAGCCTTCGACAAGTCAACATCTTCCGCTGCCCTTTCAGCACTTGCAGACACACTCCGCATCCTCTTTCCCTCTGCATCTGCACCTACTGCATTTACTCCATCTCCTCTTATCTCACTACAAGCGCGCATGCTATACCCCGGTGCCGAATCCTACTCTAGCGTCTGGAGCGACGAATCGAGCCCTGTCAGCCACTTGTTACGTGGTATATGTGGTGGCAAGATTGATATGCAAGTCAAGCGCGGGAGCTTAGGGTGTGGGGTGTCTGTGAGTGTGGTGCCTCAGCCGGAGAAGCGAATCGTGAGCACGAGCTGGGAAAACTGGCGGGTCATCGAGCAGGCGCCTGTTGGGTTGAACGGGCGTATGATGGCTGGAAGGGGGCGAGAAGTTCGATTGAGTGATCTGGACCAGTTTATGATTGAGGTCTAGGAGGCTGAGGAAAGGTGGCCGCAATGGTAGGTGTGTTGTTGCGACACGAGAAGAACTATGAAGCTTGGGTACGATATTGGGTACGATGTTGCATTATGATGACTACGACGAAAGGCTTGAGAGACGGCTGCTGGCAGTCAGGGCATCATTATGAGGGCCATGCGCTCCAGGGACTGTAGGTAAGCAGTCCAAGGTACTATTTCCATGTCTCAATATCAATGTAAAACCAAGCAACACGACAAGCACTCTCCATGCAACTGTATCCTCCAAGACCTGTGTAACACCAAACCCAGCTGGTTACATGACCTATCAGTACTCAATTGTGACTACCGTCCCTCCACCACTCCTCAGATCCACCGCATTAGCAAACTTCACCCTCACCCAATGCTCGTCATCCTTCGCAAACTCCACATCCATAAACACAAATCGCAAATGCTCGGGAACAACCAAGTCCTTCATTCCATCCTCATACACGCTCAGTCCCATCTCTTCCCTGGCAGCACTCTGCTCCAGTCTCCAAGCCGCCATCCCGATCTTGCCCGCCGCACGCCCGTCAAAGAGCCCTTCTCTGCGTGGATGCTTGAGCATGAGCTGCAGCGCATTCTTTCTCAGCGTAACGCACGACGTTGGCGCACTAGTGCCGATGAGCCACAGTGCGGCCAACGGGCCTGGCGCGGTGGAGTAGACGGGCGTAGATGATGGCGTCTGTGAGAGGAGGTGATCGATATGCGGCATCATGTCTGTAAAGAGCTGAGCCGCCTCATAGGTTACTGCAGAGAGCGGGCTCGTCACGTCAAAGTGCTGCTTCAGAGGGGTGACGGAGGAGCGCAGATAGTGCTGTGTCTGGGCGAGCAGGAGCATTGTTTTGGAGGAGGCTTGTTGCGGTGAATCAATGGTGGGCGTGGTGGCGCGGAGAGTGTTGAGTGTTTCGGTGACATGCTGGAACCGAGAGACCAAGGTGTCGTGCTCGTGTTGGATGGCGTCTCGGTCGGTGAGTGGGCGGACTACGCAGCCGCGATTGAAGGCAAGAATGTCGTTGAGAAGGGTCTCTGTGTAACAATGCAGCTCAGACAGTGCCCATGGTGAGCGGATGTCAATATTGAAGGGATCTGATTCAGCCATAGATGCAACGACAGGCTCCCAGTTTTGGATGTCTGACCAGTTCATACTACTCCGTGCTTGGATGTCAAGTCCAGTGAAGATAGATCGTAGTGAGTTGATATTCACAGGGTGGCTGGTCCTGTCATCGTAGCTCTCTAGCTTCGTATCTTTCAGCATGCGTATGCCGCTCCGTAGGTGATTCAGTGCAGCTCCCCGCTGGAGTTGGAGATTGGCCATGCTGACAAACAAGATACAACAAGTCATCGCCGTCATCTTATCCACCACACCAGTCTTGTAGTGTTCAGACTGATCTCGAATCAATTTCTGTATGGCCTTGTTTGATTGTATCAATGCGAATTGGAATCGCTGATCTGCAATGTCCTTATCCATGTACGACGTGGGCTCAAAGAACCTCCTGTACATGGTGCCAAGGGCGATGATACAGTGTTGTATGGAAGCATGTTGATGGGCGGCTTGCAGGACTTGACGCTGCCAGAACGCCGAATTGGATGATCGTGCCAGCGCAGGACCAGCATGATTCACGTAGAATTGCAGATTGATCCGCTCTTCGTCAGACTCTAGACGAAGTAATGGTAACAAGAAGGACGGCGCGCCGAAGGAGCGAGTCTCTGATGCAAAGTCGACGACATCCTGACCTGGAGTCGACAGAGGTGGAGAAGTCGAGTGCGTGGTTGCAGGTGGCGTAGTTCGCCTGGGTGCGAAGTTGATATCATAGCCATCACACGTGCGGCCTGTAGTCGTGCATCGGTTACAGAAGGGTTTCGATTCGTCACATTTGATTCTGCGGATTCTACCAGAGAAGTATCAGTATCCTCGTGCAGCACATTTCTGTATGGATCGACGGTGTGGAAGAACAGTGCAAATTAGGAGGAGATTGGAGCAGGGGTTGTAGACGCTGTAGGCTGAGATCTAGACAAACAGACTGCAAAATCTTCTGTCTATCTTGATCAGCCGTCCAAGGTTTGCTGAAGATCTTCAGCCTCTGTCTCGAAGCATGGGCTGTCAGAGTAATATCAGATTATTCTGCAAGATAGAATCATGCAAGAGCGTGACCGAAATCAACACTCACTTGCATGTCTTGCAACCCGTTCTGGTTTTGGGTTTGTATGTTCTCGTTCGAGGCTTTGGTTCAAACGTAATAGCCATTACTGGCGGATACCTGCGATGCTACTTGGTGTGAGACCAAATCACGTGAATACGCAAAAGCCGATGTTGTCCGCAGAACTTTTGGTCGAGCGGCGAAAGGAAGCAAGAAGGTTGCGATGTTTGTAGATGGTGGACACTCTTGATGCTCCTCCGAGAAGGCAAGGGCAGCTCAGCCAATTACCAGACGAGCAACACCACTGCAACGAGTCTTGCCCTTTGCTATTTCTGGACCTCAGCTCCGCTTGCTGGGGTATTCGTCCAGGCAATTGCCGTTGCACAAAAACTTTTGCTGCCTGTCTTGCCCGTCTTCTAAGGAAAGTGGGTCGATGTGAAAAGTACGTGTGAAAAGGCCGTGCAGAGTGAAATTTTCGGTTGGCCGCTGAGCACGGGCCTCGCACACTCGACTATATAATCCCTCCAACCTCCGTCCCTCTTTCCTCTTCCTTAGTTCGACACATACTTCATAGAATCATTTCTATAGTAGTCGTCCTCTTCTGAGCTTCCTACAGAAGCCACAGATTCTCCAACCTGGTTGATGACTTTCAGCCTCGGTGCCCCGGAGTGAGGCCTTATTGCACCTGCTTCGGCGGGTGTGGCGATGATCTTCAGCCAACTGGGCTCGTACTTCGGTCGACCTGGACGGCAGGGCGTTGATGGCAATCTGACAGGCCTTTTTTCATTGATATGTCCGGCTTGCTGGGCAATCGAGGAAGATGCTGAGGCAGCTCGCAGGTCCGCCAGTACTTCTCGCGATTCGCAGGGAGTTCGCGATGCGAGAACAGTTAACCATCCAAATTTGTATATCTCTTGAGCCAATTCAGCCTGTGACTTAAGAGCCGAGCGCTGTACTTTTCACTTGATCAACACCTTCAGGTGGAGTCGGTGCGACGATGCGCTCACGGGCTGGAAGGCTGAAATACGTAACATCAATACCTGTTCTAGGGATTTCAAACAAACACAACCAGACATCTGCATTGTTGACGAGCTTGGGTGTGATCTATTGCGCGGAAAGACCGCTTCTTTTCCAGTGACGTGCATGTCAACAGCAGAACCTGGAGCCGCTGTGGGGCACGCCTCTTCTCAGTCCAACTGCTTCAAACGGTAAGCTCAAAACGCTATCTCATCGCAGTCGCAGGAGGCAGATCGCGGTTCACGTTTGGTAACAAGTTCGAACATGTGCCGTGATTCCAGGTTTGCTTCTTCCAGACAAGCGGCCTGAGTCAATCTTGGTGGCAGTGACATGCGAACCACCGCGTGCGCATGTAGGCGCCTGCAACGGCTGGTGCAGCTGCAGCCAAACAGCGTTCACGGAATCGTAAGGTTGTGGAGGTGGGGGGTCGACACTGCATAAGGTGCGTCGGGGATCATGAGCAAATCTTGCATGCGGCGCACATCCACTGGGCGATACGTCGAATGGGAAGAAAGCTCGCACAGAAGGCTTGACAGCGTCCAGAGGAGTAATCATTAGAACGTCTGCGGCGGCTGTTTCTCGTTTTCAAGATGTGGTTGTGTTCACGTTCATCGCCTCGGTCAACCGTCGGACAGTGCAGGTGCGGCGCCGAATCACGATCAGCTGCTTTCCGATTTCTTCCTCTGCATCCACGGATCCGGCACGAACCACTCCAACAACCATTGAAGGAATCCGCTCTCCACTTCCCCGCGATCGCGTATAAAAGACCTGTCACGCCCCGCCATTCCCGCCTACACCGTAGAGCAAACCGCCTACTGCTCCAAGCGTAGAGTTGCGAAGTTGTGATCTGCTGTTACGTCACACGCACACTCGCCCGTAACCGCACAAGTCGAACGAGCACCTCGAGTCATTCGTGGGAAGAAACCGCGCCGCCCTGTAAATCGCGCTCAAATAATCAGTCCGGCATAGCCTGGTGAAGGACTCACGGAGGTTTTCCAAGCATAGAATTGCATACTTGGAGACGAGCAATCGTTGATGCACGAAGACCGCCAGTACTCACATACAGGGCGGGAGGCCTCCGAGAACACCATGACGACCAACAGCCCGTTCTTCAGCGGCTTTCTAGCAGCCTTCCGTGCCCAGCCCACTGTACAGAAAGCGGGCGCATCGCAGGCCGCGTCGGCAACCTCTTATGCACACACTGCAGCAACGTCTCAAACACAAGGGTACGACGCCTCGAGTACCACACGAACGATCACCACCAAGACACGGTCGCCCTCGCCCGGTGCGACGACCACGGTAGTCCATACCACAGGTCAGTTCCAGCCCACCAGGCAACACGCGACTCCGTACCACCGTTCCACGTCGCCAGTTCATACAAAAGCATTTCCGATCCCAGGCGCCTCTCAACGAAGCAGGAGAGGGTCTGATAGCTCTTCTGATGGTTTCAACGAGATCATGGGCGCCGAGAAGTGGTACATTGGCGGTAGAACAGCGACAGGTGAAGAGAAGTTCTACAAGCTCGGCATGGTGAAGCGTCACCGGAGCGCGGATCGTCTCAGTCTGGACAAACTCAGTATATAAGAACAGAGAATCTGTGTTTATACACATGCATCACCTGGCGTTTGCGGCATTTCCTGGACTTCTCAGCAGTTGCGAGATCTCCAACAGGCGTTCAAGGGAGCACCACATATCAGGACAAAGGAATAAGGGCTATGACCCAACGATACCAATACATATACGCGTTTGTGAGCTTCACTGCTCATCATCTTCATGTCTCTTAGATCATCATGTGGTCGTTCTGGCGAACATGTTTCTCCACGTGAAATTTGCCAAGCGCCGAATAACCGATTCAGCCTTATTCCCGGGACCCGACACTAAGCCAGTTCAGCAGCATCAGCACCAGCATCAGCAGAAAGAGCCGCAACCCCCATTACTACGAGCAGCTCTTTGATAAATTTCCCGATGGCCTCAGCTATCCGTGTGAAGATTGAAGCGGAATAGATAGCATTACTCCGACGTTCTCACTACGCTACTCCGCTTTGCGGTGACTGGTCACAATTTGCTACATGTCTTCACGGAAAAGCTGCTCTGATGACGGTAAATTGCCCCAAGCTGCGGATAAGACCAGCACTAACGATGCAAGATACGACACAACATGTCCACCTTACAGATCTCGACTCATTTGAGTCACCGTCTTTCCTGCTCCTCGCTTGATAAGACGTTTGTGTTCGCTGGTCGAAGCATTACTGCATTTTCATACACCACTGTGACGATCAACCCTTATTCCAAACTCGCTTTTCATGAGACCAAATCATGGCACCTCGAGACGAACCGATCTCAGCAACGGCTGCTATGCCTCAACCGAGTGAAGACTTCGAGAAGCAAACACAATATGCCTCAATTATCCCCAATGGAGACCGCCGTCTTGAGCTGCAACCCACCATATCGTCCATCGGCCACGATGACATGACCCATGCAGAACCAGTGATAACAGGCGACATGGACGAGGCTTACAACCGGTTCTCTGAACGACGGAAGGTGGCTATAGTTGCCGCTGTATCGTTCTGTAGCTTCCTCGCCCCCATTTCATCCACCACCGTTCTATCGGCTGTCCCAGAAGTGGCAGCGACATACAACACGGACGGGTCTATCATCAACATATCGAACGCGCTATATATGCTCTTCATGGGTATTAGCCCGTGCTTCTACGGGCCTTATGGAAACATTTATGGTCGAAAATGGGTATGCACCTATCAAAAGCAAAATATGTCGTGGCTTGTTACCTTGACTTACTTGTGCCTCAGGTATCAGTAGCAAGTGCAGCACTGTTCACTGCTTTCTCCATTGGTACAGCTTTGGCTCCTAATTTGGCATCTTTCTTCGTCTTCAGAATCTTGACTGCCTTTCAAGGTACTGCCTTCCTTGTCATCGGAAGTGCAGTAATTGGCGACATCTATAAACCAGTAAGTGAACTCCCAACAATCATGTCCTCTGCTGTTCGAGTTCCCAAAACATCACAACACATCACAAGACGACCTATTTTGCATTGGGCTTGATCGCTTGTACCCAGTAAGAGGGATCAAGCAATTGCAGCAGGTAACACCCCAACAGCCCTCTGGTCTTGACTGACATATGCCCCCAGACCGATCGTGGTACTGCATTAGGCTGGTATTTATCAGGAACACTGATCGGCCCTGCACTGGGTAAGTATCTAGACCACAGATTTCACACACACAGCTCATCCACCCAACAGGCCCATTCATTGGAGGTATCATCGTTACCTTCCGTAGCTGGCGCGACATTTTTTGGCTACAGACAGCCCTTGCTGGCACAGCAGTGCTCCTCTGCTTTTTTGTTCAACCTGAGACCATCCACGTCAGGCGTTCGACCGAGCTTGAGGGCCTAAAAACATCAGAGAAAGCGCGAAAGATGTGGCAATGGCTCAACCCATTCCGGGTCATCAGCTTGTACCGTTATCCCAACCTTTTTCTGGTCGTATGTTTCGCTGTTGATTCTGCTTAAGCAAGACGCTGACCTGGCACAGGCTCTTTCTTCCTCTTCGCTGGTGTGGAACATGTACTCCCTCCTCACACCTATTCGCTACGTTCTTAATCCACGCTTCGAGTTGACTACACCACTCCAAGGATCCTTGTTCTACATTGCGCCAGGCTGTGGATACCTCTTTGGTACTTTTTTCGGTGGACGGTACGCAGATTACATTGTCAAAAAGTACATTCGTATCCGGGGCCACCGCGAGGCTGAGGACCGGTTGCGAAGCTGTCTATGGTTCCTCGGCGGTGTCATTCCAGCATGTATGCTGATCTATGGATGGAGTGTCGAGAAGAGAGTTGGCGGCATCGCGTTGCCAGTCGTCATGATGTTCTTGCAAGGTGTTGCACAGTTGTTCTGCTTTCCGAGCTTGAACACATATTGTCTGGATGTCATGCAGGGCCGATCTGCCGAGGTAGTTGGTACGTGTCACCGTTTGACTCCGTGAACGCGATTCTAATGTTAAACAGCTGGCAACTACTTCATGCGCTACATGTTCGCAGCGGGTGGTTCAGCCGTCGTTCTTCCCGCTGTCCGAGCTATTGGTGTAGGGTGGTTCTCAACCATCAGCGCGCTGTTCCTGGTACTTGGCGCGCTCGGCACATATGCTACTGCACTATACGGAAAAGGATGGCGAGAAGCTATCGACGCAAAAAAGGCGGCGAAGAAGGTGGGCGAGAATCAGGCGTGAGATTTATCATGTTCAGCTTATATATATGCTTGTGATACTGGGGGTTGTAGCATAGACTTTCTGATGTTTTGTTGTTCAGGTAACAATTGCTTTTCGGATGTAGGGTTGTAACTTGGAGGGCATTAGAGATGAAAAGGTAGGTTCACGGATCACGATGGGACGAAAAATTATCAGCGTTATATACCCAGATAAGTAGATGAAAGACTGGAAAACCAACATCAAGAATCTTCAGCGAACAATTGCAGTGACGACAGTTCATATGCGACATTGACGGTCGCAAGGCTTCGCTGACCATCATCCCGCAAAATCCCTTCCCCTCTGATTGGCCACCCCCTCCTTGGCATCTCAACCCAGCTTCTCAACTTCTCACGCAACCACCGGTATCGTCACCACATCGCAACCCACACCCGCAACGATGCACGTCTCCGAGCCCGCCCGCCCCGTCCAGGGCAAGTCGATCGCCGCTATCGTAAGCTCCCCGAATACTTTGCGCAGCCATTGGCCTCTCTGAGGCGCCATGGAGCCGCGAGAGGATGGTGCGAGGACGGAAGCTGATAATTGGACAGAGCCAGCGCAGCCCATACAAGGCCTACAGGAGTCCCTTTGGTCCCCAGTACGTACACAAAGTTTCCTACCGAGGGGTTCGGATGGGCGTGGAGTGCAGGAAGTGGAGGCAACACGGAAGAGGAGGAACGGGCTGGTCACTCACAACGCATTGGCTCTTCAGAAGAATCGCTGCGCCGCTGCTTCATTTCTGCCCAGGGACTTGAACGGAGGCTTGAACACGATACGGAGATGACCGCAGACGAAGGAGCTCGGAGCGGACTTGATGCACGCATGGGAACGGAGTTGATGCACGCATGGTCAGTCAGCTAACACCGAGAACAGGTACACCATCCAGCGCAACTTCCACGGCATCACCGCCCGCCACCTGGTCAAGTTGTACGTAGCTACTTCCATCTGTTCGTCTCCCCGACCCCACACTCACACTTAATAGCGGTACCCTGGCTGCCGGCTTCGGCGGCGTTGCTGGATTCTTCGCCTTGTTCTTCTTTGCCGAGGTCCCCAAGGTTCGCGATGATATCATGATGAGGACTCCCCTGGGCAGCTTCTTCAAGAAGGAGATCGCTCCTGAGGACAACCCTTTCTAAATGCTCTGATCCACGCAGGACGGGGTGTATTATACGAGGCATGGCTTTAGCGCTGGACTGAGCTGGCTTGCTGTATATTAGCGGCTGCAAGTGTGGAATAGACTTTCTTGTGTTCACCATGTCAGACTGGCTGCAAGTGATACAGACGTGTTGTGATGGTGTGATGTCTGGCATTGCTTCATTCCTGTGTCGTGATCATGAGGTAGTGCTTGCTTGCTCTAACATGCTCTATTCATCCTTAATACCCAGATGTGTCGTCATCTAGTTTGTGGGCAGTCTTCCCACGACCTCCTCCATCTCCCGGTCAGTGTAAATCCTGAAGCCCTTGTCCTTCGTCACGCTCGCGAGCTGCACATTCTTGCTGTCTAGCTTCTCCTCCATGACCTGCTTCAGTGTCTTGAGGACAAGGACCTCAGCTTCTGGCAGCGTGAGTGACTTGTGGAACTCGTTCTGCAGCTCAGCCTGCGCGCCTTCAGATCCGGAGCCAATTGCCTTGGCGTCGTAGCGGTAGAATGTGCCGGAGGGTTCAGCGTGATACCTGTCAATGATTAGATGATTTCCTTCCGCTTGATGCGCAGTGTTGTGTAACGTACAGACTTGGGCCATCCTCATCGTACCCGGCAATCAACAGCGCAACACCGAATGGTCTTGACATGATGCTCTCCTCGCCGTCAGCGCCCTCACCGAACCGCAGTGCCAAATCGCATATCGCCTGCGTGCAGCTCTCTACCCTTAAGGGCTCGGCGTAGTTGAAGGCGTGGTTCTGGCTCTCGACTCGTGCGTGCTCGACCATACTGCGTGCGTCGGCTTGCAGTCCGGACATGGCGCATCCAATGTGGCGGTCAATCTCGACAATCTTCTCGACTGAGCTGGTCTCAAGCAGGGTGGATGTGACGCGCTTTTCGACACCAAGGATCACACCCTCGCCTGTTGCAACACCTATCGCTGTGGACCCGAGCTTGATGGCCTCGAGGGAGTATTCGACCTGGAAGAGACGGCCTTCCGGCGAGAAGGTGTTGATGCCACGATCATACTCGCTGCGTGCTATGAACTGTGCTTGTTAGCCACAGGTAGAGCTTCGGCGGGGCTCGGGCGAGAGCATACCATGTTTGCGGTGGTTTAGAGATGTATGAAGATATTGTAGAGCTGCACAGTGAATCCTGATGTTTGGCTCAACTGTGCGTAGTCGCGGTAGGGGTTCGCAGTGGCTGAGATGGGCGGCGGCGATGTTGTGTTTGTTGGCGTTGACGCGGCGTATGGTGCCTGGTGCTCTGAGAGCTTGACGCCAAGACCCACCACTAGCTCAAGATCGAGCCCTCCTCGAGCTCCGTTGCCTCAGGGCGTACTTACTCCACGGTCAATTTCTTGCCGAACGGAAGATCCAGACCCGCTTCCAGAAGCCAGTCACGTTGCTCTCGTTGTCTCTGCAACTACCGTTTACCAAAAAGAGTATATACGCAGTAGCCCCACCCCACCGTGGCACCGGCTTACTGAGCTTTCGTTCTGATGTATTCATCATCCCTTGATTTCGCAGATACTAGCGCTGATTTGGCGATACAAATATGTATATAAAGCTCGTGCGGTCCTCTGTAATACCTAGCTAGCACTTGGGTTTCTTTAAAGGTTCCACGATCAATCGCTCTTGCTCGAATTGTCCAATGAAATCTACAACAGGTTCTTGATGTAGCCGATACCACTGCCTGATGCAGGTATAGAGCTACCAGGTTTGACGACCCGGCTGTTCTTCGTTGAAAGCCCACAGAAGATCACAACCAGCAGGATCACGATTTTGAGCTTCGTCGTACCATCGCCAAAGGAGCTAGACCCCAGTGTTGCTCATGTCTCAAGATGGCCTCAAATACGCGCCCCAAACATGAAAAGAAGAGGTGGAAGCAACTGATCAGCACTTTCTTCTAATGACATGGTACTGCAGTACCCATGCCAGACAGACCTTCTGGACAAGTCAAGATATCCTGTTGTTCTTTTGGGAAAATGGCGATGACACGGGATCAGCGAGTCAGCCCAGGTTTAGGTGAGCATGGGCTAACTTGGTTGGACATTTAGCGTGGTGAGTAAGCATGCAAGACTTCAAATAGAAGTACAACCGCTGCAGTACCCTGGTAAGCATGCCGATACAGTCCTCACTAGCCTAGGTTTATCGGTTTGTGATTGGTAACCCTTTACGCTACAGTGTGGAAGGATTCACATCGGTTACGGACGACCAATCTTAGGTGCAAGTCTACGCGGGATATGCCATGGCGCAATGCCTACATGTGGTCCTCCTGCGCCATCTGACAGAATCCGACTGGCCGATTTCCCAAGGGAAGCCTCGAAACGGTGGCAACGACGTACGGAAATGACCTTGCGTCTGGGCAATCGGCGTCGTCTGGACCACGGAGTAATCTGTCAAATCCGATCTGTGGAGAACATAAGCTGTAGTTGTCCCATACATCTCAGCTTGAGATTGAAGAATTCTCAGCCTGCTGTCAACTATCAAAGCCAAAATGATCACGAGAAAGGTGGTCAAACAGGGGCTGGCCATGCTCATGCTGGCAGGCGATGCAGTTGCTCAATATCCATCTACGTGGATGCCACAAGACGTTGTTACATATTTCTGCTCTCGCTGGTATCATCAGTGTGAGTGCATCCGTATATATCCTGATGTTGGGTGCTGACCTCGGTAGCCATCGTCAAGGATGATATACTATACCTATATGGCGGTGCACAGACGGTACGTGACCATGAACTCAGCTTGCTTCTCTTCTCCGGATACTGAGACGATCTTCCCTCGCAGTTTGTTGCACCAGGCTCCAACACAAATTCGAACAACAATCCACTTGGTTACAGTAAGTCTCTAAATTCTGGAGGTGTACTACGATCGATGAAACCCTCTTGGAATCAGGTTCCTAAAAATTTTGCTGACATTTCCAGATCCTTTTATGTTACAACTTGATCTTAGACAGTCGTGGGACTGGTTGACGAATATTTCATGGCATGCCTTCGAAACCACACCGAATCCAAGAACTGGCGCCAGGGTGAAACAGGCTATGGTCAAAGGATCGTTGTTCCATGGTCCCTACAGCAGTCCTGAAATCTGGACATATGGTGGAACCCTGTTCAGAGGTAACGATACTTTCCTCATGTCTGTCAGCCCGAACGCATTCCGCGATCAGAGCAACGTCTACCCGCTTTGGTCATTCGATAATAAGACCAATTTGTGGAATCAATATGATATCGGTACCCTAAATACTCCAAGCTACGGGTCTTCGACGGAGGCTCCTGATCAAGGCTTAGCATTCTACCTTCATGGACAAACAGACAACGGTACGAATACCGACGCCAGACTTTCAGGCGACATTCAAATTTTGCTCGACGGAATGATTGTCATAGATCTTGCGCGCCACACATCGAGAAACGTTTCGACAACGGGTATGAAGGATCCGCAACCTCGCCTTGGTGGCGGTCTGCAATACGTTCCAGGCATCGGAAGAGATGGACTGCTTGTAGCACTGGGTGGTAAAGTCCTTGATGGAACCCAACCTGTGACATCGCAGAGTCGCGGACGATTACTGAGCTTCGACGATGTCGATGTTTTCGACCTTGCATCATATACTGCAGCAAATGGCAATAGCACCTGGTATACACAATCGACTTCTGGCGATATTCCTCCGGCACGTATCAACTCTTGCACTGTCCTCGCTTCAGCCCCAGACAACTCATCGCACAACATATTCCTATATGGAGGCTGGGATCCAACAGGTGACAGCATCAAATACTACGACGATATTCATGTCCTTTCACTACCATCCTTTACATGGGTCAAGGTCTTCCAGGGTGATTCCCCTCGATACGGCCATACTTGCCATCTCGCAGGAGGGCGTCAGCTTCTCACTCTGGGGGGAAGCACGCAACACGGGGAAGATGTAGACATTTGCGATTGGGAAAGCAAATCTATTGCCATCTTGGATCTGCCGACAATGACCTGGGGCAGCATCTTTTCTGCAGGTCATAAGCCATACGAACTGAGCGATGGTCTGGTAGCCAAGCTTGGCGGTTCAGCGCAGGGGAATGCCACAACAATAACGCCTGTTCAGGGCTGGGCATCAGAAGACTTTGAACATGTCATGCGCATCTCCAGGACCTATTCAGATATGAATGGAACAATGGAAGTCTTCGACCCATTTGCACCGCAGACATCAGGGACCAGTCCATCAGGAACAAGTTCACCAGAAATGGTCTCATCAGGGATGAGTCCCAAAACTCGAGCCGCGATTATCACTAGCGTAACAGTTGTTGGTGTAGCTATTCTCGTAGGCATTGTGTGGCTTATCTGCATGAGGCGTAAGAAACGCATCAGCGCTGCTCGCTCAAATAATGCCTATGAGGTTGAGGAGAAGCCCAAGTTCGAATTGCCACCTAAAGAGAGGCCATTGTACGAGGTGACTGGGGAAGGGTACATGCATGAAGCCACGGATGGGACCGTTAGGTTTGAGGCGGACAGGTCGAACGTCGTGCCCAACGCAGTTGAGTTGCCAGCCGAGTTGCTAGCCGAACTACCAGCCGAAGTGCCAGCCGAATTGCCAGCCATTAGCTATGGCGAGAAAGAGAAAGAGAAAGAGAAAGAGAAAGAAACGTGGGAGTCACCTGTTACCACAACACCTAGTCGCACCGTTACCAAATACGTCGAATACGACAAGGACGGAAACATTATAAAAGATAGAAACGACATAAACGACGGAACGCAACAATATAGAAAATGAACGACAGCCTTTACTGTAGTATAGATTCGGATACTATTGGTATAATTTAGAAGTAAAGATAATTATAGATCTGCTTGATATCAAAAGTTCTCATTCAGTACTTCGTTACTAAACCTCGGAACGAGCGACGGAAACCCTTCCCCGCTTCTTCTGATCATGATAAGGCCTCATTGCAACAACACACTTACTTCATAACAACACAGGTAGTAACAAGAACTCCTCAATATTGGCTTTTGTGCCTCTACATACCAAATCACGATCAACGCCATGTCAGAAACTATGGTTAAAAAGGTCGACATGCAACCCCCACCTCTGCATGAGCTCTCCAAAGTCATCCAGATTGGATTGGCACAAAACTTCAAAGACATCTCAGTATCAGTCGAAAGATGCCCAGACCTAAGGCAAGTGCCATACAAATTGGCATTCGCGGGCTTGAGCGGATCTCCTCGCATTGCCGACGTGGGTGGACAGCCCAACTTAGCACCTACCCCAGACTTCACCAAGAAGTACGATCTGCTCGAGATTGCGAAACTGATGGACATGCCACGCGAACAAGGTGCGCTGCTGGGAGCTGCGGCTGGGCCATTCCACGTGGTTGGAATGAACTCAGAATTGATGCCGAATCTGCGGTGGGACGCGAAGGAAATCTTCAATGAAACACATTATGCAAAAGTTCAGGACAATGGAAGAATGCTCTGTGAAAAGCTACCTTCCCATGATTGCGCGCTGATGGCCAATCTCTTCGGTAGTGCAGGGCTTCCGGGCGATGTGCTGCACATCACAGTATCCTCACGAATTGGAACTCTCAACTTTACCGAAGCGATTCGAGAGGCGCTGAGCAATACATACAGGACGCGAACCGTATCACTTGGGGGCGTATTTGTGATCACGAAAGGGAAAGCGAAGTTGCATGTCATGCCCGACTTCGCGTCTACTCCTCTGATCACCGATGAGCAGAAGCAGCAGTGGCTGAAGTTCTACGAGACGGACGCTCCGCTGGTTTGTTTGAGCGTACTACATTCACACGATCCAGGGCTGGATTTGAGGATTGAGCACACGCATTGCTTTTCAGATCGCGGCGAGGGAGGTCATTATCATTATGATACCACACCAGAGGATGTAGAGTACGAAGCGTGGTTCAACGTCGCGGAAGTCTTGTATCGAATCGACAGGCCGTGAATAGGATGTACCAGATATCTCCGTGAGGCTCGAGATATTCTGTCCGTAGCACCTAGAGCTGCCCGCCATGAGACTCAGAGTGGCACTTCAGTTGGGCCGTCGCACATATGTTTTGCATCATGCCATCCCGATCGGAACTAGCTCTAGTGTGCATTAGGTTTCTCGTATCGCAGGCTTTGCGCAGCACCCTAGACCATTCCTATTTTACCCATCATAATAACATCGAACACCTCCTTCTGGCTGCTCGGTGCCACGCTGCCGACGTAGGTACGCCGATACCACGCGCTACCACACCGGCCCGCACTGGCGCATGAACCGTTTCTCCTGAGTTCGGACCAGAGTGCTATCCACGTCATCATTCCGCGCAGCCCCATTCCTAGCATCAGCGGCGGCGAGCACTGACACTCTCGCTGAGCCTCATTCTTGCAATATCCATCATCTCGAGGACAGCCATGGAGCTGGGCCTCCATGATGTTATCGACGACGCTCTGCAAGTGACTTTCTCCGTCCTGAACCTCCTTACATGCCATCCCTGATCTACGCGAAGCTTTTTGTTTTATTTAAACTTCGTCGCGACCTCATTCGGCCCATCTTGAGCTTTCTCTGGGGCGACCTCCGCAAGCGACTTTCAGCAGTGGAGACGTTCGTTAGGACTGACGAAATTGTTCCTACGGAGGTTGTGTTATGTACGCCCTCACCTCCTTTGCGAAGGGCTTAGCAGCTTCATGCATAAAATCTTTCGCTTTCACTGTTAAAGTATCACGATAGATTGTTTATGGACCTCCCAGATGTCAATCTTGCTGTCGGTATTACAGGCTATTTTAAACCGGGAACACCAGGGCAGGCGCCAACATGAGGACCTGACGTCGCCTTCTAGAACCGTTGAGAGTTTGGTCTCCACAACAGACAATGACTAGCCAAGCCGAGGCTGTATCAGAATCTCGTGGTGGTTAAGAGCTTGTACTTACAGTAGCATGAAGATTATCGATGCAAGAAAGAAGTTGGGGTCATGTTTGAGGCGCAAGAAACCAAAGTGAATGCTGTCCAAGGAACATTCGGGCAATCGACCATATGGCCTAGCAAATAAGGGTGAGTACCCACGGGAAGTGCGGAAGCCCTTGCCCTGCCGATCCGCAAGTGCTTCTTTCCCGATGAGCAATTAGCTCGTGCCCGACCCTTGCCTTTCACTAGGTAAGCTCGAGCGCAATGTACTGATCGAGTATTTACTTCACTCATTCCTCGCGTCTTTCGGCGTGATTACCCTGACCAACTCTTCTTGTACTTCGACTTCCATCTTCTATACCTAATTACTGCATTGCCAGCCTTTAATTTTATTTCCTGCTGTCAACATGCGCGTCACATCTTCCGTCATCGCCTCAGCGGCGCTTCTGTCCACTGCCAACGCAGCTATCAAGGGCTTCAACTACGGTGCTCAGTTCAACAACGATGCTCCAAAGCTTCTTGTCGACTTCGAGTATGAATTCAACGCCGCCAAGAACCTGCCCGGTACCAATGGTTGGACGAGTGCTCGTCTCTACACCATGATTCAGCACGGAACCTCGAACACTGTCATCGAGGCTATTCAGGCTGCTATCAACACCAAAACCAAGTTGCTCTTGGGACTGTGGGCCTCTGCTGGCCAGGAGCAATTCAACAACGAGATTGCTGCGTTGAAGGCGGCCATCGCTCAGCACGGCACTGCTTTCACTGACTTGGTCGAAGGCATCTCGGTTGGCTCTGAGGATCTCTACCGCATCTCCGCCGACGGTGCTGGAGGAAATCCTGGCACTCAGCCTGATGTTCTTGTCAACTACATCAAACAGACTCGTGCTGCTATCGCCGGAACCCCTCTGGCTGGCGCTCCGCTGGGTCACGTCGACACATGGCAAGTGTACATCAATGCCAGCAACAGTGATGTCATCAAAAACTTGGACTTCATCGGATTTGACGCCTACCCGTATTTTCAGGGTGCCTTCGCCAACAGTGTAGGCAATGGTGCCGACCTGTTCTTCGACGCCTATAACCAGACCCGTGCTGTTGCACAAGGAAAGCCTATCTGGGTGACTGAGACAGGATGGCCCGTTAGTGGCGAGACTGTGGGCCAGGCTGTTCCCAGCGTTGACAATGCACGCATTTACTGGGAGGATGTTGCCTGCAAGCTGGTCAATGACAACGTCAACCTCTACTACTACCTCCTCCAGGACGTTCAGTGGGGCAACCCCAGCCCTTCCTTCGGCATCAAGCCTGGGGGTGATCTCGCCCAGGTTGACCCCCTGTTCGACCTGTCGTGCCCTAACGCGGCCAAGAACGTAAGCTATCCTCTCATTTTTATTCTCTATTCTGCACTGTCACCTTTATTGTTTGCATTTCTTTTCAATCGATTGTTCGCTACTTCTGTACTGTCATACTTCCTGCATGTTGTACGTTCAGGTTCCACACGTCTTCGGTCAATTCATACGCCCGTACACTCTTCAGCCTGGGCACGAGAGCCCTCAGGTTGGATTGCACGGGCTAATGTCAATGCGAAGTGGAACTGGCCGCTACCGACTGCAAGCAGTAGCAGAACCTTGGGCGTAGCGAGTAGTTCGACCAGCTTAGGAGGTTTTACTCAGCCAAGTACCTCTAATGGCGATTGTTGATATGTCAGAGTACGTGCTAACGACGGAATAGTAAAAAGTTCGCTGTCGACAGCCGAACCTACCATCATCACTGCTCCCTGGATCACATCCAATAACCCAGCACCGACTGCACTTGCTCCTACTGCAGTCATGTCTGAGTCGCCCATAGAGTTTCTTCCGAAACCTAGCAATGGTCCTGTCAGTCTGCAGGATCCTTTTGAATCTCCAAGCTTGATCGTCCCCATCGACAAAACCGACCCTTCCAAAGTTGTTAGCAACGGCTATGTTGCACAGCTATCGCTGTCCATGTCGACAGTCTTCGTCTTTGATATTCGCCCCGAACACCAAGGCAAGACTTGCAATCTGGTCTTCCATGTACCGCCGGCCTTCTCCTGGCCCGACATGTCACCTTTCAAGATTCGCTCACCAGGTGGGATCATCGTATCTGGTGTGAACCAGCAAGTAGTTTCGGCCCAGATAAGTGCAAACGATATTGGTAGCTTGGGTATGGTTGGTTGGGTACCATTCGTCCAGCCAGCCAACCAATACGAAATCGCCAGCGTACCTTGCGCGGCGGGTCAAAGGGTTGCTTATCAAGCGGAGTCTGCCGGGGGTCTTGCCATGGATTTCTTCCAGATGACGACACCACCACTGGGCTTGTTTGTATCGGTCTATTGAGCTCGATGTATCGTTCGAGCAGAGCGATGGTAGTTTCCTGTCTGTTCATATAAAGTCTACTTTAGACTACTTCTCCGTAAATATTTAACTTCATGTTCTTCACCTGCTATCCTTAAGTTAACCTTGTTCTCCTCTCATCATATATAAGATCGCGATCTTGTGTCAGATCTTCATGGAATCAGGCTTAACTTGGGGATCGCTGTCGACATTGCATGTATTAATGGAGATAGACAGTGACTTTTCTACAGTAACCTGATGAACCCTAACTACACTACAGCACATGAATCCTTCACATCTGGACCATTCAACTGCGTCAAGTTCTTCTCCACCTTTGAGCCCACACCGATATCCCTGAATGCTCCAGCTTTCAGCCCCGACCTGCTCTTGTCCAGCAGACTGCTCGCCTTGGCCAGACCCAACCTTCTCTTTAGCTCAGCCCAGCACTTTAGATCGAGAGTGCGCACGAAGATGGTTGCGACAGTACCAACAAGAACGAGAAAAAGTAGGGCGCGTAAGACGTAGCGCAGGACCGCATGGCACGTATGTCCGCACCAATCGTCGGAGTGGGAGAGTGTTGCAAACATCCAAAGCGGTTTCTCCTCCGTGCGCGTGACAGCAGCAGATTTATTCGACATGACCGGTCAGGGCGTGTAGGGCGGCGGTGCAACGGTATTCCTTGACGTGTAGCTGCACAGGCACGCTATGTCTTGCGGTGTGGGGCGTGCCTTGAGCAGGATCAAGACGTAGCGGAGGACGGAGGGAGGCTTTGCGGTGGTTGAGGATCTGAGGATGCGTGAGGACCGCATTTAGGTGTTGCGCCGTTTGCTGGCCTGCGGGGTTCTTTGTTGACGGGGCTGGGCTCCGCTGGGCGCAAGCCGGTGAGACTGTTGCGTGGCGTTTGTAGTCGAGTGGGGCAGGCTTGCGCTTTGTTGGTCTGACTGTATACGGGAGGGGAGGTAGTGATGGTGGTGAGACTACGGTGTAGTGTTTTGCTTGGGTACCTGATAGTATGCGCAGTGGAAGTCTCGGATGGAGGGCGTCGCATTGGTATGGGAGGTAGCTCAGCCCGATACGTGCAGAGCACAGGCGGCCTTTTTCATTGACGAGTAGTTTCCATGTTCGATTGTTCCTTCTTGATGTTCGGGTTTGCGTTCACATGCAGGACTGCAATTGCCGCATTCGGAATAAAGCACTGCGCGCAGCAGCTTCGCATTGTTCTCTTTCCTTGCATCTGCAGGTCAGCCTCATCATGTAAGGTTCCAGAAGTCTTGACCATTTTGTCTCTCGTCAGCATCGCTATGATTTGATGGATGGGCTCCGGTAAGGCGGATCAATGTCTTTCCTTACAGAGGCGAGGCTGTGGTTCCACAAGATGTTTCAAGCTGTAGGGCTAGACATGGGCTGGCCTCTTGAGTCTGGATTGGAATCTTTACGGATGGGCACTCAATGTCGCATAGGCTAAGCTGCAAGCCGTTCAAAATGGATACCGTTGACCAGGTCACGATACGGGATATTGGTACTAAAAGGAAAGGCGTGAGGCAGGTGCAAGGGTCTCGGAATGTCAACCGAAGGAAATAAGCTACTAAGGATACACAAGATCGATCTTGATGATGGAGCGATTTCGCTGCAATGTTGAGGACTTCACAGAAGCTGAAGAGTTTCAGATTCAGCTCATGAAGTTCAGTGGATAAGTTACTGATCGAAGCCAATGCATTCAAGTATGGACAGTAGCAATATAAACATAACTCCAATAAGCAGCGCGAAAAGCGAACATGTGAACGTCCAATCTAATCAAGCAAAATCAGCAGAATATACACGAACAAACTCAGCAAACTCGCTCCACACCACCACCACCTTCGTACTTCAGCCGCCACGCCTTCGACCTGCTAATTTCCGCTGCGGAACATGCTCCACATGCTCTTCATGCGCTGTACCTGCAGGTCCGAGAACCCTTCATAGCACTCGTCAATGGAGTAGTCCATGTAGTTATGAATAGGGTCGAACTCTCCGGGCTTCTGTTGGGCAGGGCAACTCTGCTTCTTTGGATCCGTGGGACATCCGTCAGTCGCGGTGCTCTCAACTGGTGTGTCGTCGATGAAGTCGCCAGGGCCGTCACATGAATTGCCCTCAAAGGTGTGCAGAAGACCCAGCCAGTGTCCAGTCTCGTGCACGGCGGTCTTGCCTTTGTTGAATCCATCCATCAACCCGTCGGGCATGGTGTTGGCGTTGACGTTGCACCCATCATGAGCAAAGACACTCGGGTCTTTGCCGTTGGGTCCAAGGGCGGAAGGTAAGGTGCATTTGCCGAGCACACCGCCCGCCAGGTCGGTCTGGAAGTAGATGTTGAGTGTTTGGTAGCTGCCCTGACGTAGCGACTTCTTCATGTCGTTGTCGTCGTCAGGTTTACCTATAGCCCAAGCGTCGTTGGTGTTCCACGTCACGTTCTGCAGTTCAAACTGGATGTTGTACGGATTGTAAGATGCATTCATCGAGTCCAGCTGGGCTTGAGGCATAGCATTGGTGACGGAGTCTTTGGCGGCATCAGTCATGATAATGTGGAAGACGGCTTGAATCTTGACAGGATCGTCGCGGGCTGCAAGCTCGGCGGCACGAGCGGCGAGGCTGCCTTTTCCTTTGCCATCGTGGAGTTCTCGGATGGTGTCCAGATAAGACTGGTCTGCAGACTTGGTGCCCGTGCCGCAGTCGAAAGGCTTGCCCGACGCATCGGATGGATTGGAGTCCGCGGCGGATGCTAGGAGGCCCAACGAGGCAAGGAGGACCGGGGCGCGCATATGAGCGGTTGGTAACGAGGGTTGCACGGAATGCGGGAAGATTGCTAAAGTGACTTGTGCGTCGATTGCTTGCTGAGGAGAATGATTGTTTTGAAGGTAAGTTGTGGAGCAGCGATAATGAATGTATAGCGCGGATAGCCACGAGGCTTTTATTCTTCGTCTTGAAAACGTTGTACATGTTCTGGATTCCTGAAGTTCCAGAATGCCCATCTCGGTCTATCCTGATATCCGTCTGGATTCTTACCCGGCCCCCGTTAGTAGGATGAATGCGGCCTCATCATAAGACCTGTCTCGGTACCACGCCGTTCGACAGCATTGACGTGAAGCTTGTCTCCTTTTGAAATCGGATTTTCTAGGTGCAATCACGGTAGAGAATCAGTCGAGTATGACATGCTTTGACCAAACAAAATAGACTATGTTCCAGTCTCTCGCTCAAACACCATAACTCCGGGCTTCTTGGCCTCATGATATCCATACAATGACCAGCATCCGTATCCACGCGTGAATCGGTACAATTGGTACAATCGCAAAAAGAGGGAAACAAGTCAACCAAACATTCTGACAACAAAGACGTTGTGGCAATTTCCGTCACTACGCTCCACCGGCGCGCCCGGTAGTCGTCGCTGTGCTGGGCTGATCGTTGTTCCACGTGAGGTAGGTGTGGTCGCCGAGTTTTCTAGATGAGTGTCAGCAGTCTAGAGCGGCGTGTAATCAAGCGCCGAGTAACTGACCTCGGCTTGATGAGATGAGTGGCGAGGAAGACGGCACCGAGTAAGATGCAAAGGCCTCCAACGACGATGTACGCAATGCCCAAAAACGGGTTCTTGCCACCCATGACGGTGCGCGTGGAGATCAATATGGACTTGGTGCCACTGTATGCCTGTACCGGAAAGCCTAGAAACATGTGAGCTAAGGAAACCATTACGTGTCGTGCTTTGTGGGCTGACTTACGGTCGTAGATCTTCAGCCGGTAGTTGCCCGCTTTCAAGACATCATTGTCATTGCGCTGGGCGAGTTTGCTGAACGTTGGCAGACCAGCTGTTCTCATCCAGACCTGGAACGCCTCCCACGTGTGAAGATTAGGCAGCTCGGTCAAAGAGTCGTAGCTGCCATCGACGAACTGCTCTTGCCAGTTCGGCGGGGGCACGACGTCGGAGGGCTTGTAAGCTGTCTTGCCGTACAAATCGCCCTCGTGCGCCCACGAGATTCCGTCCGTCGTCATATTGTATACACTAGGGCTGTCGTCGTTCTGCGATGGGTTTGTTGCGTTCAAAGCGGTGAAGGTGTCATTGAACATGGAATTGGCAATGAGACCACAGGGATAGTACGGCTTGCCATCGACAACATCAAGGGGCCCACAGTCGCCAGAGTTGATGTCACTCGCAGAGCGAGCCGTCCCCTTCAGCTGCTCTATATCCACACTCCTCACGTAACGTCGGTGGTTCTGGTAGAAGTTGGTGAGGCGGTAGTAGAAGAGGATGGGCGGCTGGATGTCATTGGGGACCTCGAAGCTGAGGATACACACGCTGGTGTTCTGAACCTTGCCTGACGGCCACGTGTAATTCTCCCAGGCCTTGCCCCACTGCGGCGGCGACTTCATGGCCGTCTTGAAAGACGCTGAGACATCGCCCGAGGGAATGTCGGCGAGGGTACTCTCGGCGGACGGATCGAAGTCGGCATCGGTGAGGGGCGCGGTGGTGTTGCAGAGGGTGTAGTCAATCGAGATCTCCTGGACCTGGCGCGGCTGTCAGCGGTCTGCAGGTGCACAGGCAGTAGCAGGTCTTACCAGCGAGCTGGCGTAGAGCAGAAGCCCGCCTATCGGCGCAAAGATGATGCCGACGACAAAGAAGAGTGGAAGGACGGTCTTCGGGGTTAAGATGGGTCTGTACGCGCATGGTCAGTCGCTGTTCCTCACCAGATGCGCTCATTGCACACGTACTGCCACGCCTTCAGTCGCTGCTGGCGAAACGCCGTATCTGCCATGCATCAGTATCGCCGCAGTGCGCGCGCCGCGGCCAAGCTTACTCGGGGGTCTCCTGCTCTTCGTCTTCTTGGTCTCGTCGCGGTTCGGGTCCTGGCTGGAAATCGAGTCGCTGGCCTCCATCTGCTGTGTCTGCGACATGTTGGGCAAATCCGCGCTGTTCCGCGGTGGCAGGCGTGGGTGCAAAAGTCGCAGTGGTGCTGGCGGACGCTGACGACGTTGCTGGCGGACGCGGACGCGGCGGACCAAATTACACGCCGAGCCGCCCCGAAATAGATCTGGCTTGTCCCCGCAGCCCGCTCACCGAGACCCACCGCCCATGCCCGCTGCATTGCATGAGCCCACCGGTTCAGCGCTGTCTGTGGACGACCACGGTCGTGGTGCATTCTTGCGCATCTGCGCGTCACAGGTTGCCGCAGTAAAATGTCAGTGCATGTATGCAACTTGGATGGTTCATGTTATGAAAAGCATTGCTATTCTAATAAGACTATCTACCGACAGTTCAGGTCCACAGGCGGACGACAACAATATGTTGTGGAGGGGGGTATCGCATGATGCAGGTAAAGGAAGATGATGGGAGTATTCAACAAACGCCGAGGTTGGGGAGGAACCTGTCCAGACCGGAACAGCCTGTCCATGCCACACCAGAAAAAGCACAAAAGCAGAAACGCCGTCGTGAAAGGGAGGACCGTGGTGATCAACTCCGTGATGCGATAGTCAGTCGTCAGCATGACTGCGACGAAGCAACCCCGTAACTCCGTATGCAAAGCGAAAACCGTAAACAAATCATAGTCCGCAGCCCGTAGGCTCTTGCGGTACTCATAGAAATCAGACAACATGAAAGTAAAAGCGTCAGTAAATGCGGCTAGAGATACTGACGGAAGTAGTCGGCATCGAACCATCCGACTTTGTCATAGGCTTGCCAAAGCTTGCTAGCCTTGTTGACATCGATCTTGCAAGCTTGCTGGGCGTCGGTCCTGCGGAACTCCTTGCCGATCTTTAGGGCATTGATGCGAGCCTGGAAGACACGTCGCTTGCTGCAAAGATAGGTGGCGCAGCTGAGGCGGAGCGTGGAAGCAAGCTCGAGCTCAGCCTCGTGTAGAAGGTGGCGGTCGGCGTCGTTGGAAAGGTCAAGCTTGTTGCCTTTCCACTCAGCCTTCAGCTTCTTCTCATTGCCAACGAGCGTCGCGAGTGGTGGAGAGTAGTCGGGGATGGCGTTGTACTCAAGGTCATCGCGAGTGGTTGTGGGACGCGGAGTCTTGGGCGAAACGCTGCCAATGTGCTCCTCGAATGAGTTGAGAATCTGAGCCTTGGGCGTACGCTTAGGCTTAGGTTCACGAGCAGGACGAGAAGCCACCTTGGGCAAGGCAACCTTTGGCTGACGCGATCTAGGGGCGGGTGCAGGGGCAAGTTTCTTTGGCGAAGGGCGCTTGTAGATACCGCCAGCTTGTACAGCGGGTTTACTGTAGCGTTCCTCAAATTTACGCTCCTGTGCACGCCATGTTTTGTACGCTGTCCGGTTCTTGAGAGCCTGGCTAAATACTGTGGCCTGGAACTGTGCAATGAGCTTGTAATCTTCCTCGGCTGGCTTGCTAGAGAGCTTTGCGTAGTTCGTGGAGTTCATGTGTTGAGCAATCACCTCCTGTGACGATGGCTGTGACGAGAACAAAGGCACGTCGGGAGCAAGGGCATCTGTTGCTGACTCCCTGCGAAACAATGGGGGGTCCAGTGTGCCCTGCTCGTTAGCATTGTCCATGTTCTCCTTCTGGGATTGTGTGTCGAATGGCGAGATTGGCGGCGAGGCGTACGCGGGCATCTTGAACATTGGGAGCTGTGGGAGGTGAAATTGTGTGTTGACGCTGGAGTCGACCTTGGGATACTGCAAGGCTATTGAGGGGACTGCAGAGCCGAAGGAGTTGGAGCGCTCCATCTCTGGTGGAGACAGGAGTGACGAAACCGTAAGGCGATTGGTTGGGTGTGAATTATTCATGGGGTTTGCCATTGTTTGCAGGAACACGAAGTTTGCTGGGAGCAATTGGGGGCGTCCGGGGTCTTATAGTCGGATTTAGGCAGCAGGGTTTGTGTGCGTGTGCGGTGGTCGGAGGTATGGTTGAGTAATTATTGGCGAATTGAATGCTGGATGTGTTGGCTACAATGGGTGGCGAAGCAGGCGGTGATATGGCTCGTTGAATCGTGGAACGCGGTGGAATCCAATTGACGGGCGAATTGTTGCTTACACCATCTGACAAGAGGTACGGAGATAGGGCGAGAAGGTGCAAAGCCAGCGGAAGCTTTCCAAGAAACACACGGGGCAGGCTGACTTATAAGAGAATACACGTTCTGCTAGGCTGCGACAAGGAGAGTCATCCGTCCTTTGAGACACTGCCGCCCACTGCGGCGAACAAAGAGGGTGTGTGGTTGGCGCGCGTGCCATGGTGCCCTTCAGGCATCATCATTCGCATTCACGGCCGTGGAAGGGCGACGAATAGGGAGGCCCAATTGCAAGTGTGTGACCAGGGCTAGGCAAGCGTGCGCAATGGGTCACTGTCAGAGAGGATTACTGAGTCACTGTTGGGCTTGGTGCTGTTTGCGATGCGCTGGGTCGCTCCTTCCTGGGGCGACGCTCGGGCGCTCTGTCCTAGCGAACGCGGCTAGGCTTGTCGTCGGTGCGTGAAGTGCCCGAACGACAACCGCGACGCAACGTCAGCCATCACGCTTGCATCTGCTTTGAAACTGCCTTCTGTTGCTGTTGCGCGATCAATTGAGTTTGGCCAGCTGTTGCGAGTCCTGCAAGACTTGGTCCTCTGCCATTGGGCGCAACACCCTCGCCAAATCGAGCGTTTACGTGTCACAGCGCTGCCTGCTGCTCACGGGCAGGCTGCCTACCAATGCTCCCTATTTGCGTCCCTGCTCTGGGTCCCTGCTCTAGACTCCCGGTCACCGCTTCCGTCATCTCCAGTTCAAGTCGCCTGGCGTTTGCTTGAATTGCACGCTACAGGCACCGTTCTTACGAGCAGGCTGACCGCCATCTATGCAAAGATGATGGTTCCACACTCGCTCCACATTCCATAGCAATTGCTCTTTCAAGTTCATGCAGGCTTTCGCGCCATTGACAAACCATCGCTCGACTTGCCAGGGGTGCGAGGAGCCCAATTGCTTTCACTCCACCTGCCTACCATGGCCGGTGGCGACCTAGCAGGAACTTCCTTTGCAGATTCGTTCGCACACCGCAATCCCGCGTCGGCGCTGCCCGAGGTTGCCGCCAACCTGCGCGACTGACTGTTTGGTGTCAATCCGACCGATGGTTCGAGGTCTTGTGATACGGCTTTTACCACAGTACCAGTATCAGACCTGGATGTGGTCATCGCTACCAGCCACGGGGCTGCAATCAGCGCTCTGCAGGGTTTAATGCCAGGACGATATGTCTTGCCGCGAAACTGTGTGCCACACATTGCCTGTGTCAGTTGTCCATCTCTCGCAGCGCAGCAATGCAATTGCTCAATCGCCAGCATGGCTGCTCACGGGACGCACACCCATCTCGTCATCTGGCATGTGAAAGTCGCCAGACCTAGCTGGTCAACAAGGGCGAAACACCCGTCGACTGGGGCGGTTCACGCGTCGCCCACTGTTCCCTGAAGATGCAGGTCACGAGTCGCTATTCATCTCACTCTGGCACACCATCTTTGGTAGTCCGGCACAGCCCGCAGATGTCCACATGGATGTTTAGGGGTCCTTATCACCCCTCCCCCACAGTCCCGCAGTACGATAAGGGAATGTGACCCCTCATCGTCTCTCCACCTTGTTTTGCGAGGTTGGGCTCTTCGCGCTGCTGCCGAAGCTGTCGGCACAAAGGCCATCACGCAAAGCCGCCAATCACCGCATCATACCCCTCAGTTGGCCCGCTGAGCAGTGAGGGGCAGTGGTGGTGGGCGAGCGCTTATCGATATGGGCAATCTACCCGCAATATCTCATGTCCGACCATGTCCACGGCAGTGTTGTAGGAAGTCGATACGACAATCCGGCCCTCCTGAGCCGTGGCTGCCGTGCTTCATGTCGAAAACGAACCTGGGTATGCGCGACACCTCTGCATCCGCGATCTGCACCGAGCACGCTGCAATTGCGTCTGCTGATAGGCCAATTGCGACAGATGACCCTGTCATCCGTTTCCTGGGCTGTGCAGGATGCAACATTCAGAAGACCCTGCAGCGGTCTCTGGGCCTGCCGCTCATGTGTTGACCACAGGATTTCCTGTCCAGACCCCTATACTCGTATTATCAGCTGCGATCCTGTCATTTCCACAGCTGGAAGTGTCGTCGATCCAGCGTTCTAGAGGACGCCTTGTATCACTGTGGCAGCCGGCTCAATTATTGATTGATGCTCACCCCCACAACTCAAGACCAGGGCCGGGACAGATGAGCGCTGACTGTATTTGCGAGCATGTCCGCATCTGGGTGCTATCGCCCAGGCTATGATTTGTGAACGAGTCTCGATCCATTCCTCCAGCCTCAGTATCCTTACCGGCCCAGATATCCTCGGACGAATCGAGTATCCGACTATGACGACACCGCAAATGCTCACATGAGCAGTTATTTGCAGCGGCTTCGAACAGCGTCCTTGGCAATTGAACTTTCTACTTTAAATTCACGCAATCAAGCGGTTAGTGGGGGTAAGTGCCTCGGTGCTTTGCAACAATCGCGCATCTTGAATGTCATCGCGCATTACCGCATTTGGCCGACGAAGTGGCGGCAGCATGGAAGCACCTAAAGTGGTATCATGGCATCACGTGGTCGCGCGCGAATCAAGCGTAACACTAACATGATGGCTTAACTCTAATTCGGCTATTCTTCGTGTCTTCCTTCACCGACTTACGCCAAAACCAGACATTGGCAAGCATGCCAACGTCTACTAGATCGTAATGTCAACGTCGGCATTGCCTACATCTCGCTACTTTGTAACACAGCTGCTCAACTCACTACCGTCATTTCAGCGGGATAATGCGGAACAAACCCCGCTTAGCGATGTGCCAGAGCCGGTGAAGAAGCAGCTGCTCTCGCTGCAGGTCTTGTTTCCCAACGAGTTCCTGCCAGCACTAGATCTCCTTGACCGGAAGCTTGTCACTCGCTTCAGGATCGACATTCAAGCGTCGAGCCCTGCCATGCCAGTAGCTCAAGACGTGCAGATGCAAGATCTCCGCGAACCATTACGTGAGGCGACCGGACCTGTTACACCTGGACGTCCCGCAGCATCTGAGACTCCTTCCAATGACATCGACACAGTCCACTACGTCCGCTCCGCCCAACAACGCTCCTCCCGCTTCAGCACATCTTACGACAGCACTGCGTCCTACGAAGTCCGCCTGCGCGCGTGGAATTGCACATGTCCTGCTTTCGCCTTTGCTGCGTTTCCGCCAATGCATCCGGAGCCTGCTGTGCCTACATACACACCTCCGTCCCCCACTGGAGACGATGCTCTGCAAGATGAGGATAGTGGAGCGGAGAAGGTGGATGATCTGGAGTGGATGTTCGGTGGTGTGAGTCTAAGTGACGGTATGCCGCCGGTATGTAAGCACTTACTTGCCTGTGTGCTGGCGGAGAGGTGCAGTGGTGTTCTTGGAGATTGTGTGGAGGAGAGGAGGGTTAGTATGGAGACGGCGGCTGGGTGGGCCGCGGGATGGGGAGACTCATGATTATTCACAGGACGTGTATGTTTAGAGCTCTTCAGGTTCGGGACAGATTGCTGCATGAGATGCTATACCCTGCCGTAGCAGCACGGCTTGTAAGTTCAATTGACAGGACACTCCATACATCATAAGCATATTATGATACTAAGGTGATCGTTTGACGTGATGCATTATCGTCTCGAGTCTATCAAGTCATGAGCCATGTATCTTTGGTGCAAACTGTCTGCCCAATGTCGACTTTCTACGCCGTCCAGATGGCGAGCATGCAGCACCAACAGACCGAAGCAGAGCTACTCGAGGTGTATATTTCAGCACGAGCATGTCCTCATCTTCATGGCTTCTTCTTCTCATCCTTTGCCTTGTCCTTGCTCTTGTCGCCCTCCTTTGCCTCACCGTTCACAGCGTCGGGCTTCTTCTCCTTCTCGCCGTCCTTGCCTTCATCCTTCTTCGCCTCTTTATCTTCCGCCTGCTGCTTGTTCTGGATCTTATTCTCGATGAGGTCGTGGAATGCCGTGATGGCGCGAATCAAACTCGAGAGGTAGATAGCCATAAGCTGATCGTTTGTCTTGATGCTCATTGCACGTGCAAGCTCGCCGTTGTCGATAGCGCCCGCTGCGCCCGCCGCTGCGCCGACGCCATTTGTTGCTCCGCCGACTGGTGCCGGCTTCGGTGTGGACAGGTTCGGAAGGAGATTGAACACATCTTGTAGGTTTCCAAGGATTGCGTGGTTCACTGGTAGATCTTCGTCAAGGACCTTCTGCAGGTACTGCCCAATATCGCGCAGGCGCAAATGCAGGCCTTGCAGCGACTGGAGTTGTGAGGTTATGCGCGAGGAGAGCGTGCCGACCGCAACATCGCGGATATCACGGAGGAGATGCTCGACACCAATCTCCTCAGCTTCTTCAGCTTCGATTATCGAGGGTGTGTGGACGAAGGTCTTGGAGGTTGTTGTGCCGTCCTAGAAACTTGTCAGCATACTTGTGGCAGTTCAGACCGGTGCATCACTCACGTCCTTGATCTCCTCGACAGCGAAATAGGCGTCTGTTGGGACGCCGACCTCCTTCGGCTGCACGTCTATAATGACAAGCAAAGGGTTTGGTGTGTAGCGCTTGAACAGCTCGTTGACCTCCAGGTCTGATGCGCGCAGCTTGGGGCCTGTGTGATACCAGCCGATGAGCTTCTCGCGTGCGTTGATCTTCTTGAACATGTCGTTCATCGACTCGACATAGTTGTGGTCCAGAAACCACACTGAAGGGTCCTTCTCGTCTTCCTCAAATGGTACTGGAAGCTTTGTTAGCCTTGTCGAGCTGCTATGTGACCTCCCCGCCCCCGCTGCAGGTGCTAGCGGCGAACAGACGATTGGCGTCTACACACCGGCGAAGCTGTTTGATACTCTGACGTTCGTGCCATCATTCTGTCCCAGAAGCACACCGACAACTCGTTTCCGTGTCCCCTTTGCCTGGCGGCCGTAGTGATCTGCAGCGGAGAGGAGCACGAGCGGCGCAACCGACACAGTGCGAGTCACGAGTGACAGCGTCTCTGCTGTCGTGGCGGGCATCGTCGGTGTGTGCGTATAGTCGTTGGATCAGAGATGGGGGAGGTGGGTGAAAGAGGCGAGGTGTGTCGGGTGTGTTGGTTGCGGGCGCGTTTGCGGTGGTGCTGATGCGGCTCTGAGGATGTTCACGAAGTCGGAAGCCACAGGTACGCGGGCCCGAGCGTCTAGCTAGAGCAACTGCGTCACGAATCGAACACTGGCTTGGCTTACATGATACTTCCACGTTAACGATACTAGAGACCTTGCTGCCCTCAGGCTGCTCCGCCTTTAGATGGAAGTTACTGGTGAATTCACGAAGCGCAAGACTGTTCTTGAAAACGAGGGTGGCAACGCAATCAGCTTGTAAGTCGTGTCATTAGAGTGTCAAAGCATGCAAAGTAGCTGGTATCTAAGAAGTTCTTCGTGCTAGTCAAAACAAAACGGAGCTGTGTTGTTACAAGGTTGTTGTTGAAAAGTAGTATTGGTCCCACAAAAACTCGTAGTCCTCAATAACACCGCCAGCGATGTCAAGCAGGGGCTTGCTCTTCAGTTTCCGAGTGATCGCGTGTATCCAGGATCTGTATTGGTTAGCTGTTGAGCTCTAGGCCGGGGGCAATAAAACTTACTTCGTGATGTTTTCATAAAATGCACCGCGCATTGTCCACCAGCCGAGCGCCCAAGCACGCTTCTTCAGCTCATCCCTCTCGAGTCCAGTCAGACCCCGTAGACCACCAGCAAGACGTTCCTGGAAGTCTTTCTTCGCAAGTTGTCTGGCGCCATACTCGATGCTCACTCCGATTAGCCATGGTCGCCAGCTCTTCCTGTCGCCGCTGAAGTGCTGCATGGCTAACGCATATGCAACTGGCCGCAGGATGTACAGCGCCTCTGCCAGCTCGCCCTTGCCACTGACACGATGGAGCAGAGCCTTTGGTGGCTTGATATCGTCGGCAGTAAGGACCTTGGACAGGAGGTAGCTTGATATGTCTGATGTATCAGGGAGACTGGGCATTGAGAGGCCCGTCCTAGGCATCGTCCAATTCTCTGCTTCCACCGAGCGCTCGCTTGGTGGGGTATCCATGCCATCGGCAGACGCTGATGAGTCCTCGAGTGAACTGGGATCAATCTCTCTTTGCGGCAATGGTGGAGATAGTAGCGGCCTCGAGTTTGTCAGCCGTAGCAGAAGCAAGCGGCAGACTGCCTTGATGATCTCTAGGAGCACGACCACACGCCATCGCATCTTCTCGCCCTTCCTCTTCGCCGCCATCTCCCACAGCAACTCGGTATATTGGATCATCTGGAGTACCGTAGCGATGCGCTTGTATGTCGGCGACTTCTCAGTCCAGAACTTAGTGTAGCGGTGGTGTGGGGTGAGCACATGTCGACGCGTCCCAGGCATTTGCGCCATTGCCTTTGCGAGAAGAGTGTCATGATATAACGAAAGGCATTGTACGCCGCAGTGTACTGTGAGCTGTTAGTCTTTACTTTGGTATAAAAGGAAAGCGGCAGAATGTACGTGATTCGGAAGCTATCTCTGATTCTCTGTAGCGTCCTACTTCATGTCAGTATGCTTCTCAGCCAGATAGAGAGATGCTGTGCGCACCAGGGATAATGTATGTTAATGATCGCAGCGCCGATTCGATCTGTGTTACAGCGCTGCTGTTCTTAGTGATGAAGTCAGAGTACATGCCCAGCCACTTGGTGGGCTGCGACAGCACCTCGGCAGCATTCTGCGTCGCTTCTTTGATCATCTTCGCAGTCGCACCCGTCCGTGGGTAAGTCAACAGCGAAGTCGGTCCCAGAACATGAGTTGGTGTTGAAGGGGTCGTGCTGGGGCTTGCGCGATGCCGAACGCATGGAGTGAAGTCATCTCGCGCGGCTGCCGAGGTCCCCTACCCCGGATCCACCATCTCCACCGCGTCCAGTCCCAACGTCGCAACCATGTGACAAGACGCTTCAAGACAGGCTCAAAGACATATGATAGATGGTTATAGCGATTGTCAACTAAGAATAGCTGGTTTTTTGTTGTGCCCCTAAACGCTAGCAATGCCTGCGCTGTTTCCAGTCTCCATTCATGGCAAGATGCAAGTCGCCTCTCGCATAGTCAGGTGCATTCCAGTTTAGTTTGTGTTCATTGTTCATGATGCATTTTGAAAAGGGCGGTCGTCTGCTACAAATAGACATATTTTGTGGAAACATGTGACCACGCGTTTTGCTACACGCGAAACCATACTCTTTTCAGCTCACTAACGGCCACGTCCGTAAAATCCTATACTGAATAGAGGATTTCTAAGCAGAATCGTGTGTTTGCGCCTGGTGCCTGCATATCAAGGCCATAAGGGCGGCCCCAGCAACAGATAAGTACAAATATCGAAGGAATTTTCCAATCAAGTTGAAACTTAACCCCAACTTTCCTCGCACCAATCCATCTTTCCACGCTGCAAGATGACTACGAAAACATCAAGTCAAAAAGTTTTGGTCCCAGGTGTACCCATTACTGGAGACCAGCTCTCACTCTTCACGGCCATCAACACCTACGTGCATACCTACATGTCACAGTATGACAACTCTCACGACTACCACCATATCCTACGTGTAATCTCGAACGCGAACCAGATCCTCCAAGATGAAAGCAAGACCAACTCAGCGATCGTGTACGACACCACGGGTCTCTTCCTAGCCGCCCTTCTACACGATGTCGGCGACCACAAGTACGCGAAGCCCGGCGAAGACACCGAGAACCAAGTCCGCAACATTCTCCTTGACCACGGCGCCAGCACAGATCTTGCAGCAAAGGTCCAGATTATCGTAAAGCACGTCGGCTACACCAACGAAGTGCGTGACCCGCAATCAGTCACCGATGTCCTTGCGCAGTACCCTGAGCTCGCGATCGTACAGGACGCAGATCGTCTGGATGCCATTGGCGCTGTTGGTATCGGGCGCTGCTTCTCGTTTGGGGCGGCCAAGTTTCCAGACCAGCCCATGGGACGGGCAATTGATCACTTTGAGGAGAAATTGTACAAGCTAGAAGGCATGATGAAGACGCAGGCAGGAAAGAGCCTGGCAAGGAGAAGAACAGGTTTGCTGAGGGAGTTCGCGAACGAGTGGAGGCAAGAGGAGAAGCTTAGCTATGAGCTGCACTAAGCTACCGGATTACTAATTCACTGGTTTCTGAGGAGCGTTTGGAAGGAAGCTGTGACTACCAGATGGACACATAGATGTTGTCAATGTGCTAGCAACGAGCACATATCACTCACGATCCATCCTTTCATAGGTCCAGCTCTGTGTATCCAAATCACAAATATGAGTCACTTTGGACCCTATCTTTTCGTAGCTAGACTGTGACTAGGATCATCTGACCGCGTTTTGCACCATAGAAAAGTAACGAGGGGGGAGACAATGTGGATGAAATGCAAGATGCACGAATTGGAGCGAACTACATGAACGCCCCTTGATTTTGTTTGTCCTCTAGAGTTGAGTTCTCACTGCTCCCTCTCTGTGCTGGGGTTTGCGTTCGTCGTACTACAGATATCTAGGCGCGTGAAAGAGATTGAACCTTGATTAAAGATCTGTAATAATATAATGAAGAAACCCTGATCGTCATGCTGACTACGCTCTACCGCAGATTGCTACTGCCATTGGATCTTCCCTCTCCAGAGCCGTTGGTCGGGGGCGTTGCAAGCTGCACCGGGCTCGGCTGACCACTTGCTCGTAGTGGCAACTTAGCATCATCCGTAAAAAATCCAACCGAGCTGTCATCCATTGGTGTGACGTCGGTGTCCTCCATGTACATGGGCATATCACCCGCTGGGGGCGGAGGGGGAGGCGGTGGGGCTGGTGGATCATCTGTCCGCGAACGCATGTTGCGAGGGGAATCATCTGCGTCGTCTTCCCTCTTACGCTTCAGCTCTGAAGATGAGTCGTTCGGAGAAGCATCGATGGCAGCTATTGCTTCCTCCATCTCGATTTGCGGAGTATCTGGTGTTGCGCCATCATCGTCTGGTACCGCATCCCCTCGTGCTGCCCTGACCTTCTCACGCTCCTCCTTTTTCTTCACTGCCTTATCCATGAAGTCCTTCACATAGTTCTTCAGCGTCTTCTCGTGCTTGGAACTAATCTTTGCGGCTGGGTCTTTGACGCGACCAGACTTGTAATCTCCTCTGACAAGCTTCTTGGCTACCTCTTTCGACAGTCGCTTGAGGTCATCCTTTTCAAGCTTCTTGCGATAATGTGCAGCCACGGCCATGACATGAGGAGAGAGCTGTCGTAGTCAGTGATCTGAATCAGCGTCGAGAGATCATGAGCTTACAGTCGCCTCGTATATCCTTTCCTGCTTCTCTTGAGGCAAACTACGCCACTTCTCACTCTTCTGTTTCCTATCTTTCGATTCATCGGTGGTGGGCTGTGGGGTTGTGGAGGCTGATGGTACGGTGGGTGTCACATTCGCAGTGATGCTAGAAATGATGTCCTGTAGAAGCTGTGTATCTGTCTTGGCTTTCGGCGGTGGAGGTGGAGGCTGGTTGGCTGGCATAACTGGTCGTTGCCATTGCGTGGTCCCCGAAGAGTTGTAGTAATAGGTAGATCCGTTGTCTGAAGTGGCTTGGAACCAGCCAGGAGGCAGCGGGTTGAAAGGTCGCGGTCGCGCAGCTGGACGAGGGCCCTGGAAGAACCCGCTCGCAGGCCCTCTTGGTGCGTTGATGACACGGGGCCCAGATGGAGCATTCAAATTAGCTGGACCCTTTGGCGCGGAGGTCAGTGATGGTGATTTTGACCTGGATCTCGATCGCTCACGACCTCTTTCGCGACGCTCGAAGTGGTTCTCAGTACGGACGGGTGTGCTCGCATTCGGATCCCGCTTCATACGCGGGATCCGATAAGCAATCTCCAATTTGCTCCACGCTGCGAGTAGCTCAGCAGCAGACCCTTCAACACGCTCATCTCCGCAACTCTTGAGCTTTTCCACTGCCTCTTCGATCTTTGAGTCCTGAATTTTGTTTCGAGTTATGCGTGGCAGTTTATGCAGAATGTCCAAGACCTGCATTACAACATTGAAGTCGTCTATCCAGGTAGTCAAGGTCTTTTTGAGGGTCTCGTAACCGTGCATTCGGATAATCCGGTGGCCGACCTTATCGTTATCACTTTGCTGTATACGGCTCAGAAGCTTAACGGCAATCCACTTCTCTGTGCACTGTCGGAGAGCAGCCATAACCTTAGGCACGCCATCATCCTCGAGTGATCGAGGCTGCAAGTCATTTACGTATTCCTCGTCGTCCTCGCTCACCTTCTTCTTGCGAGCCTTCTTCGTGTGAACCGCTGTGTCCCACCCATCACCGTCATCGATGCCAAGCGCTTCGATGGTGGCATGCGAGAGCTTAGTGGCATTGTCAGACTGAGTCTTGCCACCGATGAAACCCGAACAATTGGGCTCGCCGCAGTAACAAGGTTGAGGATCCGCTCCATACCGGTCGACATTGTAGTTGAATACAAGCTCCTCGCCCGCCTTGATCTTGCGTTCGGCGAAAATGCCCATGCGCAGTTTGTCTCCAACCACCCACTTGTCAACAAAACAGTTGGGGTTGCAAGAGTGGTTGCAGAACCTTCCCAGGTTCCCCTTCTTAGTCGCATCAACGAATTCACCCTTCGTCAAGGACATGAAGTAGAAGTGCTTGATGCCTTCTTGGTCGTACTGTATCATGCGCCGACGGAAATTTCGCTCGTCGATAACCTCGCCAATGTATTCGAAGATAAAGTCTCCTGAAGCAAGGTCCTTGTTGGCTCGCAAGCCGAACCCCTTCTTGTCCGTCTTGATGACTGTAACATCGGCGTATTGTTTGCGCAGAAAACGTTGATTTTGACACTTCCGTCCACAGCTGCAGTCACCCACGCATTCCATCTTGGTAGCGCGATTGATGCAGTCGGAATCTTCGCCGCAGGCATCGTTCCGTTTTGTGACTGCATCTGTTGCACGTCGTCAGCGTAATGCACGGCCATGACGCAGGAATAGCCAAAGGGACACTTACCCCATTCTTCGCCACAATCGCATTCGAGGGCTGGATCGGTGGTGCCGATAGATTTATTCGAGTACGTGCACTCTGGGAGAACGACAAAGGTCTCTTTGGCCGCTGCCGTAGAGTCCGGGAGGTCGAGGTAGAGCGGCGGCGGGCGCGAGATGACTTTTTGAGAAGCGCTGCGCGAGAGCTTGAGGGCTCGGCCTCCTGGCTCCATCTTCAGCACGATGTCCCCTCCAACGACTTCCTCTTTAGTGCTGTCGGCCGGTGACGACGCTCCGGATTCGTGCTTTGGCATGGGCGACTGGGTCATTGATCGAGACGGCTTGAGTCGGGGGGGGATTGCGGAGGGCGTTTGGGGGTCTGCGTCCTCCGCCTTTACTTGTATGCCATCGCTCTCACCCGCGCCCGGGGTCGCGCCCTCCTCTAGCTTCATGTCGCGCAACTCAGGCTCGAGCCGCGACGATTTCTGCTCGCTCTCACTGTCCGACATGACGTGCAACCGTGGCGGCAGAATGCGTGGTGGTCGGGCTTTGGAGTGGGAGAGTGAGGAGTCTGGTCCTGGAAAATCAGACGCTAGTGTTTCTACGACACAGATGCAAAGGAGCAACCATAAGCCCGTTCACTGCATGGCACCCTGCGCGATGGTAAGCAAACACAGGCGCACTGACGCTGGTCTTCTGCGCGTGAAGATTTGCGCGGGGCGTGTCTAGAACGGCGGTGGGTTTGGAGATTGACTGGAGCAAATCTTCACCCTTGTTCGCCTTGGAGGGTATTTCCAAGCGATAATTCCTCCTATATGTCTCTGCACGGGAATCGCATGTCGCGCGCGACAATGGTGGTTTCAGAGAGAGGGCGATTGCGGTATGGGTTCGAAGTTGATGCTGTCGACATGGAGTTACACAATTCGCGGTGATCGATGGAGCTGGAGGCGCGGCAGACTCTCTATTGGGGACGGGCCGCAGTAAAGCGTGTCCAATCGTACTTGGTAGTGAGGCTGCGCTTCTATCGGTGTAGCAGTGCCTTTCGCGCAGGCTGTCCGGCTGTGAGCACGCGACAACAGTGCTCCGTGCAGGTGCTGGTTGAAGGCGCTGTTCGCAGTCACCCTAATCCGGTTAAAGCCGAGGCGCGCTCTTTCCGGCCTACTCGAACTTCAAGATTACCGAGTCTCAAACAGAGCTGCGGCGATTGGCTTTGACTTCGGCTCGCACTTTACCGTTGCCTGTGAATTGTATGAACTATAACTGGCTGTTTTCTGCAAGCTACGCAAAGACCTCGCGAGTGGACAACATGTACATCCATATCACCCGTGTATGCGATCACGTTTGTTCTCAAACGCACGCTTTCCCCACGTCTTGTCACTTCTGACGCCAACACCATGACACCCAGTAAACCAGTCAGGACAGAAGTTCATGTATACCGCCATTTCTACATTTATCCACTGATCACCGGCAGATCAGCCTTACCTGGCTCATAAGCGTTGGGACGCCTATAAGCGCATGTCTTTGGCAGCGGTGCTGTTGTGCGAGCATGCCGGTCCATATCTGGACATGTAGTGTTCCCTTCAACTAGCCGAGACGGTCTCCCGTCAGAAGATTCCCTTACTTACATTCGAATCAACCGCGAGGCAATGAGAAACAGGAGCCTCGCACCCTTTGCCTCTATGTTGGCAAGAGTTTGGGGTACAAAGACTTAACACCTGTTCTTCATTGCTTATACAGATACGTGTTGTGATCCTGTAAAAGCAGATCCCGACTCTCGTGTTGAGGTCAGCTTCAACAACGTACACAGCGCCATACACACACAACTCTCGAGGTTGGGATACCATGCAAACGCTGCCTGATGTACTGTACGTAGCAACAGCCGCGGTAGGTACTTGATTTGTTTTCCAAGTTGTGGAACCAGCCGAATCTTTATAAGGCTCCAGCTACGACGTCTTAGCGTCATGCATGGCATCTCACTTTGCGCATCAATTGTTGGGACTGGAGTAGCACGAAGCTCCGCGATGTCTGTCTCTCAAGCTTTCTAATAAGCACTGCCTGTAGAGGTTGTTGCTGTGAGTAAGGTCGCAATTAGCAATCTGTTACGGAGTCGAGGGCGCCTTGGTATTCACTTTCATCTCGAAGTTGCAAGGCAAAAAGCAAATACGTACCTAGGTACAGACGAACAGGCCCAGTCCTGGAACTTGGTACGCCTCAAACACCTTACCCGTTGCAACCCACGATGAGATCGGACGACAACGCACGCAGCAACGAACGATTTGCTAGCCTCCCGCTTAAGTAGTGCCAAGTCAATACCAACCGCATGTCATTATCTGCACTAGACAAGAGATCCGCCCGCCGTGTGCCGCCATTCACAACGCTTGGACGGCAGCCGTTTCGCCAACGGCATAACGTCTTTAGGCTCCGCGATGACCTCCACCCATCTAAAACAATAGCATGAGAAAGGTTAGTTTGCCAACAGTATTCCGATGGCGACACCAACGCCAGCCGGCAAGCTTGCGCCACAGAACAACATAAGAGCTGAGTAATGATAACCGCCCCGCCCCGAGCAGCCTCGCTGTTGGTCACAATAATGGCGGATGCATGTGAAATACAGTGAGACTTTTTCAAAATCAGCGCTTTGGTTGGTGCTACGTGGCGCGCAAATGCAGGTGCGAGTTTCTGTCACTGGTAGAATATAAGAATGCGCACAATGCCAGCCATTAAGCTACACAGCTGCAACCCTTTTATACTGGGTAGCAGCGCACGCCACTGCCCTTTACAAACCAAAGTGCCGTTGACCGTTTTGGTGGATGGACCAAGAGACAATAGGGCACCGTTCCCGGCGCGGCTAGTGTCAAGGCGCGGAAGAACACGTCTTCATTACCTTCCAGTCGACCATCTCGGAAACGAACATTGCGCTTTTGGCTGCATTGACTGCATCCACCGCTGAGGATGCTGATGCACTACCCAAAGTCCTCAAAGAGGATCAGCGCATTTTGTCGACCTGGTCCACGAAACATGGAAGGCCCGAGCCAGTAAGATCAGTCTGCGGTTTTGTGTCAGGATTGTTCCCTGGTGAGACGTGCAGGGGTCACTAGCGATTGGCTGGCGAGGCGTCGAGGCGTTCTTTATCGACACTGAAGGTTACCCTGGAGGTAGTGAAGTCGAGAGGGGAAAGCCACCCAAAGGTCTATTACGTCGGCGTCGTTATCGAATCTGCACTATAGTCTGTCCACAATCGAGGACATGTGCAGCTGCTGCACGGATCTTAGAAGGCGAGGAATGTTGTGAGAAGGCAGGACCACCCGTTAACTCGCGCTAAGTATGCACGTAACATGTCCCTAAATTTCAAGAGCAACTGACCCTCTCTCCTAAACCCAGCCTCATGCTCTCGTCTCGTTGACAACAAACTTTTGCCTACGCCGGCATGACGAACAGTGCCCACCGTGGGTCCTTCTGATGCTCTTTTCTTCTCACTCGTTTATGTTTCGTTTCAAGACTCTCGTTTGTACTATTCCTTGTCAACCCTGTCGTTCAACCGCGCGCGAGGGTGTTTCGCGCCCGCATTCTGCACTCACTATACGGCCTTGTGATCGTCCCATGCTCCATTCGTCTGCGTGCAGTTAACCAGGATCCGCCGTGACTACTTCTTATCGGCGTCTGCCCTTGGTATCATTTGAGAGGCACAATATGGACCAGCCCGCAACAGAGAGACAATGGACCGAGCATGAGAAGGTACGTTCCGTCGCCGAAAGTGGATCTAGTCCACACGCTTCTTGCGGAACCAAGCTGACCACTCCCATCAGATATACCTACTCGCCGAAATATTAAAGGCTGCTCCGGTATCTTCTCATGTCCTGTACGGCTTCATCCGCGACTATCAGGTACAAGTGCGATGGACCGATATGGCCCTTCCGTCTGGTACGTGCGCATAGCGTTGTCACTGCACTGCTTCTTACGTTGAGGGCAGACGACAGATCGCAGTCTCATCCAGTGCTAATTACCGTCTCTTAACAGGCCGCTCGCTCAATTCATGCCAAAGAGCATACGCTGACATCGCCACTTCTAACTCTGGCGCTGCCTATGGACGTCCTCCACTTCCAAACCCGGGCACGTACCCTGGGTCTGAGCTCGCCAGAAAAAGACCTTTCTCTCAAGAGGTGGCTCCACTCGGTCGCCTTCTACAACCTCGTCCACCACCACACCCGTATGCAGGCGAATACATGCCCGTCGGTAGTCCTGCGTATGCAACCGCAGCCAGCGCTGGTAACGAACCTGCGAACAAAAAGAAGCGGGGGAGACCAACGAAAGCAGAAGCACAGCAAAGAGCACAGGAGGCAGCAGCACGCGGCGAACCCTACCCACCTCCCCGGAGAGGGCGGCAGTCAATCACGGCGCACCCCGAGCCCTCCTCTGGGCTCAGCCCCGAACAACGACCGCAAGCGCACACCCCGCCACAAACGACGGCACACACGCTGCCCACGAATACTACGACTCCTCAACATCAAATACATACCGAGCAAAATTCTGAATCTTCTTCAGGCAAAAAGCGGCGCGCGCGCCCACAGCCGTTAGAGTTAGAGAAACCCCAACGGCAGTCCAGCGAAATGCAGTCCCCTCTCGCCTATGGATCCGCGGATCTCACTCGCAGCCACACGTATTCCTCTTACACGCCTATTTCCGCTCCCTTGCCATCTTCAGCAGACTCTAGAGATAGAGACACGCGTATGGAAGGGATTGAAGAGGCGCAACCGCGAACTACGACACCTCATTCGTTTAAAGACACAGTCGGCATATGAAAGCGTTTCCTTCGTCTCAAAAGCACTCACGGCGGCAATTCTGTTTTGAAAGCATTCGACGACATTCATGCCATTACGATGACCGAATTATGCTACTACATATCTTATGGCGGTCTTCTGCACGGTCCTTGCAAGCTTTTGCACACGATCACGAACTTCAGTTACGCGCATCATTTTCAGTTTCTTTTGCGTCTCTCATGAAGCGTCTATTCTATGGATTTCTTCGCGCATCTGCACTTGTTTTCAGCTTCTTTTGGCCAGCCCGCTCTGACAGATTGGCCTTGCACTTCAACGCGCTTTTTGCAAACGCCGAGATGTCAAAAGCAAATTACCTAATGTCTTATTGTTTACATTTACGAACTTGAGGAATATATCAGTTGGTGTTCGGTGGAGCGGCACAATTACTTGCCATACTCTCTGCGATATGTACTATATATACATGGGCTTCGTCCCGCCATACTGCGCATCAATTCCCTTCACGGCCTCTGTACAAAACATTAAACAGTAGATTATCAATGCTAGAGTTCAATCACATCCTATCGGCACAACTCAGCGCAGTGTTGTCGACATTTCAAGTACGCATCATCCTGTACAAGGTTGCACTTCGGTTCTGCAAGCCAACGCACAGTTCGCGGTGTCCAGTCAAATAGCAAAAGACACTTTCTCACAGCATCGGATTCATGCAGTTTGACAAGTAGGGTAAGAAAAAGGTGGCTGGGAACCCTGCGTTCGGCTGCTTAGACGACGTCAAGATCAGCCCAGGCGACACAGAAAGCAGATCTTGTTTCACCCTACGAGCCTAAGTCACCACCTCAGTGGCACGTTTACCTCTCCGTCGCGGCTTTGAACGCTCTGAGGTGCAGGGGAGTGACTTGCGATCAGAAAATACTGCACATAGGCGCGCGCGCATGATTACGAGCTGCTGTTTTGAGAAGATGTTGTTGTGTCGAGATAACAGACAGGATTGGCTGGAGAACGGCTAGGCCTGCATGCTCTTGCATACGGTCGGCGCTGTTGCGGCTATGCGCTACTGCAAAGCAAAGGAGGTACATGATGCCCGACTTGGTAGAGCTAGCAACTCAACGGGGTGCAGAAAGCAAACTGCTGCAACGCGGCCCGGCGATGTCACCGGCGGCTCCACGGTAAAAAGGGATGCGATTACAGGAGAACCGGACTTGAGCCAAGCAGTGGGAGATGGCGTTGGTATCGGTATATCTCAAACATCTCGAGCTACCCAACCGGTTCGGTCGACCATTCCAATGCTACCGTAGATTCTCTTATAACTCGTGTAACTCTGCTCATGTCCAAGCCGCTATAGCCGAAAGGGCAGTTCCAGCGACCAGGGTATTGGGGCGCTATTGCGGGCCGAGGGAGGTGATACACAATCCTCATGACTTGCCTTTTATCGGATGAGGAACCATAATGACTTATGAGGACGAATCCTCCTCGCGTATCGTCGTATCTCGACACTTCTCGATGGGCCATGGGCCATGTGTTCGCGAGGCTGTGATCTGCACTCGAGAGGGTCGATCGATCTGATGAAGCGACACAGCTTCGCTGTAGGACACAGACAAGTGGAACGACTCAACCCTCGTCGCATTTGTCAGATGTCAGAAGCAACATTTGGCAACCTGTCGGCCAGCGGCAGGCCGTTGTGAGGTTCCTGGTCTCTAATGCGATGGTTCCCATCGAAGCGCAAAAGCCAAAGCGCACTTGGGTTAGCGGCTGTTCCTGGCTAGCGTAAATGATGATGTCGCCTTACATTCATGATCATTTATCCTTTTAGACATTTACACAGCACCATCACCTGGCGCATAACTACCTCTATACGTACGGTGTTCTATGATTGCATGCGATTGCAGTTCCGTGGCTTTATAGTGCCGCTCGCGCGACGACTCGGTGTCGGACGCAACCATGGCAGTAACCCCCAAGCGCAAGCGCGGCGCTGTGTCGTACAAGGAGCCAAGCAGCGATGAGGACCTGTCTGAGAGCCCGGGGTATGAGCAATCATACAGAAGGAAGCGAGTAGCACCCTCTCGACGATCTGCGAGGCACCAAGCCAACGATGACGGCTCGAATCGGCAGACGACACACGAACCGTCTCCTGCGCCCGAATCCTCGAGGAAGAAACGTGTCGAGCCACGAACTAGGCGACATCGTAAGGTGTCTTACAAAGATATAAGCTCAGACGAGGAAGACGATCCTGATGCAGACTTCGAAGTTCATGAAGAGCATGTCAGGATCACACAACGCAAGGCCAAGGCAGCAACAGAGCCGTCACCCGCGATCGCAGGTGAGTGGTAGGACCGGGGAGAAGTCCCGTTCGAAGCAAAAGATGGTTTTGGGACGAAGACGGAAGCCCAACCAGGCAACAGACGCTGTACCTGAGGCTACCTCGATTCCTTCTGACGGCAACATGCCAGCGTGGCAGTCCTTGCCATACCATGTTCTCCTCCAGATTTTCGTGTATGCATCACATCCGTTACATGATGAGAACATGAAGTCTACGGCGTCAATCTCGTGGCTGGTCCAGTTGGCGCGCATGTGCACGACGTTCACAAAACCAGCCTTGACGGCTCTATATCGCAACCCACCCATCTTTGCCATGAAACAAACTCGTAGAGATCTCGTCCATCACCTTATACAACCACCCAGCGGGGCGCATGAAGATTTCCAAGTGATGCCAAAACGGTTGACCTTGGACGCAACTCAGATGTCTACATTGACAGACCCAACGCACAGCACTGCTGATCTGGTAGCACTCGTCAAATCTTTGACTACCCTACGCGAGATTGACATCTTTGACCCCATCGACAGGCCGCCTTTTCGCGACAGGCTACGCCGAGTTCGCCGGTGGGTGCTACCTGATGAACTTTTTGCGGCGCTGCGCGAAACTCAGTTGCGACTCCGGAGCTGGAGATGGAGCAGTGCATTCTGCCCGCGTGGCCCTTTGTGGATGAAGAGCATACATGCGGATGCGGCCTTTCAGAGCCTGCGTGAGCTTGCACTAGTCAAGTACCATCCTGAGCCTTCCCGCGAAGAGGAAAACGAGGATGACGGTAATATGGAACCTACCATGGAAGAACTCATTGGATCTGCATTGGCTGTTCTCCCCAACCTGAGGTCGCTGAGCTTCGAGACGTGCGGTATCGTCAGAGGCCGTCTACTACCACTTCTACCAACAAATCTTGTTAGCTTGAGTATCATCAATTGCGGAGAACTACTCTCTGATGCCTTCTCAAGCTATTTGATATCCCATGGTGCCCATCTGGAGGAGCTTATACTGCATCACAATCAGGCGCTTGATTTATCATTCCTCGTCGACTTGAAACAGTCGTGCCCGAAGCTAGAGATTTTACGCATGGATACGACGTATTATAGCTCACTTGTCATGTCGTCTGACAACGAGCCTCTATATGAGTCCCTGCTCGGCGAGCATGAGGTCCCCACTTGGCCGTCGACATTGCGTATTCTGGACATGCAATATTTGCGCAAATGGGATTCGACAGCAGCTAGCAACTTCTTCAAATCCTTGATAGACGCAGCGGAAGAGCTACCAAATCTGCAGGATCTGACTATCATTGCCATGGTCGATACTGATTGGCGACAACGCGCGGAGTTCAGGATGAAATGGAGCGCTACCTTCCAGGCTGTGTTTGCCAGAAAATGGGAGCCTCCTAGCCCTCACCTGGCGTCTCTCAAAGCCTTCAGGCTATGGAAAGAGAAGCAGGCCAACTCTACCAAACAAGCGCAACAAGTCGAGCAGGAGGAAAAAATCGACTCTTTCATCGAAGGCGTTTCAGAGGTGTCAGCAAATGCTCAGGCCGCCGGAGAAAGCGAGAGCGATGTGCCGCTTTTGTCAAGACGCAAGAAGCAGGTCGAGCAATGGGGCTCGACACGCCTTCGTTCACGAGCCAAGGCCAACGCGGGCTACGACGAGGAGTCGGAAGAATCAGAGTCTGAACAGGAGGATGACGACGAAGCACAGCCATCGTTCGTGCAAGGCCGCTGCCACACGATCGTCTTCCGCATCGATAATTTCCGGCCACGAGAAGAGATATTCGCTGAAGCCGACTTTCTCGACGCGGAGCCTAGTGACGATGACGAATGGAACGGTAATGACGAAGCAGGCGAAGAAGGCGGGTATGCTTGGTAGGCGGATATGCTTGGCAGCGATGCAATGGCGATGGGCATTGGCATGTTTCACGGATCAAGTTATCGGGACATTTGGGACACAGGGCATCGGGCTGGCGTTGGATGATTTTTGGATGAAGTACCCTGACATTTGCATGACCATTGGGTCTGGGTTAGGCACTGGCGTCGGGCAGCTATGGTCCCCAAAGTGCAGGCAGCATAGAAGGCTGAGTATATTACAATTCACGGACCATTGTCATAGGCCGGACGTTCGACTGTGACGGGTGTTTGGCCAGAAGCGTGGCTTTGCAGGCCTTTGCTGTTCCAACGAAGCTGAAGCTTCGGGGCGGAGCCAAACCGCTGACGCAGGCCGGACAGGGATGTTCGCATGGGGGTTTGAAGGCATCACGCTCCAGGACCGCTAGCAGACTGGCCCGCCGCTTCTGCTCCATCTGTTCCATATTAGGCGCCGTGTCTATGCCTTGAGTAGCTCCTCCCTCCCCGACTTCCTTCCTCGCGCACCGCACTCAAGCAGTCTCCCTCTCGCCGCCTCCTACCTACCCCGCGCCGCCCACAGCCCAACATGGCTGCGCCCACGCCTCCGCACCCACCCGTCTCCCCCGACTCAGGGCCAACCGACCCCAACCTGCCCAAGCTGCCTGCTGGCTGGATCGCCCAATGGGACAACTCGTATGTGCAAGCCAGATCGACGCGCCGCGCTGTAGCTCGCTCGCCACAGCGCGCGTGGCTGCCCCGCAATCGCCTGCTAACACATATGCAGGAGCCGCAAGTACTACTACGTCCAGATCAGCACCGGCGTCTCGCAATGGGACCTGCCCACGACTGAAGCGCCCATCGGTGGCAGCCACCAGGGCACGCCTGCGCAGAACACAAACCCCTACAACAGGCCCGCCGGCTCAGAGGGGCCCGGCGACGTCGGCGATGGGAGCCGAGGCATCGGCGGCGATGGACAGACCGGCGACCGCTCGCTGGGTGGCTTCGCCATGAACGCGCTCATGGGCAACAAGAAGCAGGGCCAGGGCAGCGGCGGGTCGAACAACCTTGTCGGCCAGCTTGCGGGCTCGTTCCTCGGCGGCGGAAAGCAGAACCATGGCAGCTCTGGCCAGAGCAGCGGTGGCTCTGGTAACCTTGTTGGCCAGCTGGCCGGGTCGCTGCTTGGTGGAGGGAAGAACAGCAGCTCTGGGAGCCACGGCAACCAACAGTCGAGTGGTGGACTCGGCGCGCTGGGCGGTCTGCTCGGTGGTGGCAGCAGTAGCAGCAACAACAACAACCACGGCAGCACTAACCAGAGCCATGGCAACCAGTCATCGAGCGGTGGCGGCCTGGGAGGAATGCTTGGTGGCTTGATGGGTGGTGGATCGGTGAGTGCTTGGAGCCTCTCACTGTCAGTGGAGCTTTACTGAACGCGCACAGCATAACAAACCTTCCAACAACGACTTCGGCTACAGCCACGGCTCAGGTGCCTCCTCTGGCGGAACATACACTGGCAGCGCACCGCCAACATCGTACCAGCCCGGTGGCCAGCACGGTAGCGGCCACCAAGGCCAGCAAAATTACGGCTCGCCCTCGCCCGCACAGCAACATGGCGGCTATGGCGGCCAGCAGCAGCACGGCGGTCCCCCCGGTCAGTATGGAGGAGGACAACAGCACGGCCAACAAGGCCAAGGCCAAGGCCAATATGGATCCCAAGCAGGATACGGCGGTCAGCCCCAGCAGCACGGACAGCAAGGTCCAGGTGGCTACGGCGCACAAGGTCAGCATTGTGATTCCTATCATCTGCTCAAGACACAAGCTAACTGACACAGCTGGGTACGGAGGTCCCGCACCCCAGGGTGGTGCTCAGGGTTACTACGGCGGCCCTCAGAACTACGACAACCATCAGCACAACCAGTACGGAGGTGCACCGCAATACGGAGCCCCTCCAAACCAGGGCGGCGGTTACGGTGGCCAGCAAGGCGGTAGCCACGGCGGTCAGCACGGCGGTGGCTACGGCGGTGGCCCACAGCAGCCCGGGTGGTAGCACCATAACCCGGACACGCTGCTGAAGAACGCTGGGGCGGACAGGAGATGGTACAGAATGAGCAGAGTTGGAGAAATAAGTTAGCTTATGTGGAGGCACGGAGAATTGAAAGAGGCTCAGCTGGAGCAATAGGATCAGTCGATCGATGCGTTTGACAAAAAGACTGACGCTGTGGGAGGAAAAGGGAAGCCAGTCCCAAGAGCAGACCTTTCTTTCACCGGTACGGGAATGTTCAACGAGCTGATAGACGGTCAACATGCATTGCAAGGCTGGGGGGGGTATTTCCATTGACTGCGCGTATTCCATTGCCATCTATCTACGTCGAGACTCCGCTTTAGTTGAGTGTGTGACGAAGATGATATATAGTCCGCATCAGCACCGCTGGCTAGCAACCTTCATCACAGCATGACTAGAATCCATGATGCTCTACGCAGCTGAGGATCTCGCCCCGCATGTATTGCTGTAGTGAAGGCCTCCTGGCTATACAGCAGATGCGCACCAGGAATAAATGGGCGAGCACCTGAACATCAGCGCCCTCATGTCGCTGCGAAGCGCTATACAAAGTGTTCATGCGAGACCACCCGTGGGAGAGGCTAGCAGCAGCACAATGAAGATCACCGTTGATGTTGCTTTCGTCGTTTACTGTCATCTCTTGCCGTGATGGGCTTAGAGTCTGTGCTTCGTCGGATGTGGGGCACGACGACCGGTGGTCGTGAAGACGATGGTCGCGGTCGTGTGGCGTATGGTTGCAGGTGTGGTTACCGCAGTTCTGGGGGGTGATGCTGGCAGCTTGTGCCTCTGTGCACCCATGTGGAGCGACGAAATGGCTTCTAACCTGGGTGTGCGAGCGATGCCTGCGCTCTCCATATCCTGGCCTCACTTCGTCGTGCCGTCGTAGATTTTGTCTTCCGAGAAGACGGATCGGCCGAGTCTCCACAGTCCCGACCTGACTCCCCGTGATCCGTATCGAAATCACATCTTCCCTTCCGCCTCTGCGATTTCAGTAAGCCGCCCCGCGCTCCCCGAATAGCTCCTCGCCACTGCCCCGTATGAGCCCCAAGCTCCCTCCCTCAGCAACAACTCTCCAGGCCACGCTGACTCTCCCGCCTTCCTGGACGCCAGGTACGCTCGCCGCATCACACCCGCCAATCCAGCCACTCAGTCCTGCGCGAAAGGCCCTTGCGTCCTGCCGCGGGATGCGCACGAACGCGCTCCGGCCCTGCGTGTGGAGGATATCGATGGGGACCGCGGAGCCCGTGACGCCGAGGTACGCCGTAAGCGGGTGGAGAAGAAGAGCCGAGACGGTGAGAGTGTCGATGTCGCGCGGGTCCGGGGAGGCTGCGGAGGCCGAGGGTGGCTGGGCGGCGGTGCCTGGCGTGACGAGGGCGAGGTGGAAGTAGGACCATGTGGGTTTGCGGAAGGTGGTTTGGTGGAGGATGTGTGTTTCTTTCTCTTTGCGCTTGCGCTTTTTTGCATTCTGAGAGGTGGAGGGGTCTTTCGTGTTTGCTGTGGGGGCATCGGCCATTGGTGTGTCTACGCCCTGTATGTGTGCGTGTGTAGTGTCCGCAGCGTCTTTTGCGGTGAGCGACGCTGTAGCAGAAGCTGTGAGTGCCTTTGACCGTGAGACGGGCCCCATTGTTCTCCGAAAGTACTTGCGCCGGGACTCGCTGTGTGCGCGAACTCCGATAGATGTAGGATGAACGTGACTTAGAGCTGGAGCTCTGACATGAACTTTTGAGCGGAGTTTACTAGCGCCATGTGTTATTACCGGGAATCTCAATAGCATCCAACTATAATCAATGCCGCACATCGATCTCACGCTCTGATGTTTAGCTATTACAGACCACTTCTCGCATAGAGGAATTTGCGGAAAAGAATCAAACTTCAATCCAATTCCAAGTGCCCGATCAAACCAAATAGTTCATTTTATCCTGGAAGGTAACCAGCTCTAGCTTCATCTCACTACCGATATACATTGAATTTGCTGTAAAGAGTCGCTATCACAGGATGTGTGTGCAACATCTTCCAAGTGTCGTGGTTTTCCATCCCATGATCAGCCAGAGGTACCCAAGTTTTGCTACAAACCATCCTACCACAAAACAAGAAGAACAACATGTATACTTCGTACTATGGGGTATACGTCGGTATCAACACAAGAACAGTACTGCAGAAGCTTTACATGAAAAAGACTCTGCATATCTACAGTCTCTGCTTACGCTCGTCGAAAACCTCTATTGCCCGTAGCTTCGCCATTGCCACTAGGAAAAGGTTGTTGGATTCCTTCAAACAATTTTTCCCAGTCGCAAGACCACAGGATCCGCAGTGGGCCTTTCGGCAAATTCTGGTTCAATGTCTTGACGACCCATGTTATTTGACCAGTGTGCTCGAAGAGTGTAGGTAGGATGGCGAGGAGTTCTCTGTTGACAGGATCTCGGAAGGCAGCAATCATCTGGTCGAAATCTGGACGAATTCCATTCATAGTCGTTTGAAGTTCTTGCACCTGATCGGTAACACTCTTGATCTCGCTGGTGACAAGCTTGCCTAATCGATCGCTAGTGGCTTCAATGTCTTTCCTTGCTACGGCATACTCTCCGGGGATTTTGTCGACTGCCGTAGTCAAGTTCTTGAGTGATGCCTCGATGAGTCCCTCAGCACGGAGCCGTTCATCATGCTCCCAACTCGCCTCGTTCATAAGTTTGGTGCGCGCATCGTGTTCCGTCTTGAGCTTAGTGTTAAGTTCAGCCCGTAGTTCATCGACTGACTGTGTCAAAGACGTGCGCACTCCAGTCACTAACTCCTTGACTGCATTCAACTCTGCTGATGTTCCGGAATTCGGTGGAGATCGGACAAGGGCCGTGATCTGCGGGCCCATTTGCGCAAGTGCACCAAGTGTCTGTACAGCATTTGGGACTCGGGTGGTGATGTCTGTGAAGCCCCGCAATTGTGCGACCTCATGCTGTACGGCTGCGAATTGCTGGAGCAAGTTTGCTGGAGGATGATGTTGCATGAACCAATGGACCATCTTCTGATGGAGATCTTCAGTAGATATATTGTCGTATTGGCTCTGCAGGGTTCGCACAGCAGCTTTCACGGTGTCGATTGCTTGAGTTCCGGTTACGATATCCTGCTTTTTCGCCACTTGTTCTCTTAACTCCACAATTGCTGCCGCACTGTGCTGCTTCACCTCTGCTTTGATAGAGTCCTGCAGGTCCTGCATGACACTAAGCTGCTCATGCACGGATGCTTTGAATGGATCAAAAACCTCATCGAAAATGGTGCGGGAATCCTCCGAGATGGATGCAATGTCGTTTCCGAGACGGTGCAAATTCTTGTCCATTTCCTCAATAACATCCTGATGTTCCCTAACGACGTCGCTGAGCCCACCATCTCCTCCAATACGGTCTTCGACTGAGCGTAGTCTCTTTTGCACATCTTCCATTTCGCTTGAGCTGGGAGCTATGTGATTGTCGTTGATCCGACTACTGCCAACGTTCTGATATGAATTTGCAGCGAGGTTTTGAGCCGTCTCCAGCTGCGTGACCCGATTGCTGATCTTCGCCTGCTCCGTTATGGAGTTCTCAATCCGAGGTCCAAGGTTTTCCGCATTCTTTGTTTGAGACTTAAGGCTCTGAAGGTCTTCCCTGAATGCTTTTCTTTCATCTGATAGCCCTATGCACTCATCTTGGAGTGTCTGCTGTTGTTTGGCCCACATTTCTTGCTCAATGCGTAGCTCATTGACCTGTTTAGCGAGTGTGCTATGTTCGTTAAAAAGATTGGCTTGCTCTCTCTCTCTCTCGCCTTGAATTGGACACTGAGCTTATTGTGCTCCCTCTGTAAAGCCTCTTGGGATTTGGACTGTCCGCTAACTGAGATTGATGATTCGCTCTGGAGTTGACGGAGTTGCTCGCCCACATCCTTGCGATCTTGCGCAACAGTAGTTTGTAAGTTGTTAAAGTCATCCTTTGTGGCTTGTACGTCCACCTGTAGTTGGACAAAGTCACTTGTTTTGACTGCTGACTTTGCATTTTCGAGCGCACTGAGTCGGTTCGCAAAATCTGTCAACATGCTACTTGTTGCCGCTGCTTGTTGCTGTTGCTGGACTAAAGTTTCGACGCGAATACTTAATTGCTTGAGGTCAGACATGAGCTTTGTGCTTGTTATTTCTGCAGCAATTAGCTTCGCATTTAGTGCCTTGACTTCTGTGGTCGAGCTGTTTGTCTTTTCTGGCTTGCTCGCAGCACGTAACGCCTTCTGCGACCGCAAAGCCTTCAAAGTGTCCATCGGTGAACTCTTTCTGGGAATCGGCTTCTGTGCCAATGGCAGCATATAAGGTACAGTAGGAGCGACTTGCACTGGTGTTGTAGACCCACTGTGACTCTCTGTTGATGGCGTGACGACCATGGGGCTATGGTCTGTATCACGTCTCCGAGGATTTGCGGCACTCTGAGATCTATCATGGTCATGAAATGCATCGCCAACGCTTCTTTGTCTGTACTGCTTAGCATGTCGTTCGCTTGCTGACATAAAACCAGGTCTCGTCCCGACACACCAGCAGCATACTTCTTCATGGAATGTGGAGGACTGGGAAGAGCCCCGGGACGTGGTGTATTGGCTTACTACATCATTCTGTCAGTTACGAAGCCCGACCCTAATTAAGAAGAAGTCTGACCCTGTCTGCTGCGGAAAATTGCTCGGATTGACGCCTCCGTTGGATCGGAGGACTTTTACCTCGAGACCGCGGTGGGGCAGGCCTCTTCCGCCCGCCTGTAGATTCAGACATTTCGTACTTGTGCTCTATGTCGTCAGATCATTAGCAATTTAGTCTTGAGGAAAACAAGTGACACGATGCAGTAGCCTAGCGCATGTGCAAACAAGCACTTGGCAGCGACAGCCAACATTTGCAATGGCTTGTGGGAGTTGGCACGGTTTGGCAGGCCTATCGTCTGACAGGCTGTAGAAATCACACTGTATTTCGGCTACAATCGACTTACCTCGTGACTGTCGGCGATACGCAAGGGTCAAAGCGCTTGGAGCCGTTGATACGAAATACAAGTCGAATGTGCATGTCGTGCAAGCGCTAGGTAGCGATAAAGCCCCCGGGGCTGACGTCGCAGTGGTTACAGTCTGCGCTGAGGTTGAAGTGCGGAGAAGTGCAGGGATACTGGTGAGGCAGAGAGTAAACCCTATATGTAGGGCACGGTGAAGGAGCGCGTCGCGGCACGCACCGCTAATGGGTCCGTGCGGACTAGAAGTGAGAGCTCGCATCGCGAGAAGTCGCGAACGAGGCGCAACACCGTTTCCTCCCCAACACAACATCACACGTCGAAATGGCTGTCGTAAGTCATTTTGCAGACTACTGTAGGCCTCCACTGATGCATCGCAGCCGATCACAACTATCGCCGAGAGCAAAGAGCTCCGCGGCCTCAACCTCATCGCGGCGCACTCGCACATCCGTGGTCTGGGCGTCGAGCCAGACACGCTCGAACCGAAAGTATCGTCGCAAGGATTGGTTGGACAGGAAAAGGCACGTAAAGCTGCTGCGGTCATTCTGAAAATGGCTCAAGAAGGCAAAATTGCCGGACGCGCAGTCCTGATTGCCGGGCCACCAAGCACAGGAAAGACAGCCATCGCAATGGGCATGGCACAGTCGCTGGGATCAGATGTCCCATTCACCATGCTTGCGTCGTCCGAGATATTCTCTTTGGAGATGTCCAAGACCGAGGCGCTTACACAGGCCTTCCGCAAGTCCATTGGCGTGCGGATAACGGAAGAAAGCGAGGTCATTGAGGGCGAGGTCGTTGAGATCCAGATAGACCGCAGTGTCACAGGAGTACGTACAAGAAGAGTGTAGGGTCCGGGCTCGTACTGATAATGTGTAGAGTAACAAACAGGGCAAGCTCACGATCAAAACCACCGATATGGAGACCATTTACGACATGGGCACCAAAATGATCGATGCCATGACCAAGGAGAAGATCATGGCGGGCGACATCATCTCAATCGACAAGGCTTCAGGCAAGATCTCGAAACTCGGCCGCTCCTACACACGATCAAGAGACTACGATGCGATGGGTATCGACACAAAGTTCGTCCAGTGTCCCGAAGGCGAGCTTCAGCAACGGCGCGAAGTGGTGCACACAGTCAGTCTGCACGAGATCGATGTCATCAATTCGAGGTCACAGGGCTTCTTGGCCCTTTTCTCCGGCGACACGGGCGAAATTCGGAGCGAAGTGCGCGATCAGATCAACACAAAAGTGGCAGAATGGAAGGAGGAGGGCAAGGCTGTGATTGTTCCCGGTGTTCTGTTCATTGATGAGGTGCACATGCTCGACATTGAGTGCTTCTCCTTCGTCAACAGAGCTCTGGAAGATGAGCTGGCGCCTATTGTCATAATGGCAAGCAACAGAGGTAATACACAGATCAGAGGAACCGACTACAGATCGCCGCATGGACTCCCGCTCGATTTCTTGGACCGCGTAGTGATTGTCAGCACACACGCATACAATTCAGAAGAGATGCAGCAGATCATCTCGATACGTGCACAGGAAGAGGAAGTCGACATTTCTCCCGATGCACTGGCTCTGCTTACCAAGATCGGGCTGGAGACCGGATTGAGGTACGCCAGCAACCTGATTACCACCTCCGATTTGGTACGCAAGAAGAGGCAAGGACCAGAGGTCACCATAGAAGACGTTCAGCGCAGCTTCTCGCTGTTTTATGACCCTACACGAAGTGTGAAGGCAAGTTTGATCTATCAGCCCAATCGCTCTATTGATTCTAATGCGATGCAGTTCGTCAGCGAGTCCGAGAAGCGTCTAATTGGCGACGCAGGTAACGTGTCATTCACCGTTGCCAACGGCACTGAGGCTATGGATGTCTCATGAACGCAAGTAGCTCCCGTTCTTCAAGAGTGTGATGGATTTGGATGAGTCAAGCGTTCGAGCATAGAGCATCCTCGCCGCGTGGTATGCAAAAGTCATGACTTGTAATAACAGAGCCTTTGTTGTCCCCAGCTAGTCGGAGCAGAGCTTACGTCCAACTCTTTGGTGAAGGCAATTTTCACGATAGAAGCCTGTGTGAACTTGCCGCGCTTGGACTGGCTGACGTGGACATCATACGCTACCTGTAGCTTATTATTGCTTAAGCAGTAGCACATACTACACGGCGTGAAACTTGCATTGTTTAGTCTCATGCGACGCAGTGGCGGTTATTGTGAAGATGAGTGCGATTTTCCTGAAGGTGTGTTCAGTAAGGCCGGCTCATTGCCAGACGGGGCCAAGCAGAGTCTAAATCATGACATGTTGAAAAGTCCAAATGTGAAAACGGTGCCTTCGCACACATACGTCACGACCACTTCCAGCCTTAAAAGCGGGGGGCGCTGACGAGGCAATCAAACGGGAACATCCCGTTAGGGACATAACGCACGCGACATGGCTGATTGTGACAACAGGGGTTGCGTATGCCTCACAGAACTAGGCTCAATTTCCCCCATTCACCTCATATTCATCAGAGCATAATCTAATGCCACAACAAAACCGGTTTATGGGCTACATAAGTCTGGCGTTCCTGCACCACCATCTCTCGAGCGGGAAGGCAAATCTTGGTATGGTTCCATGGCTCCGCTGTCGTGTCGTATCGCAATGCTTGATATTTAACGGCCGCGCGTAAGTGGCCGTCCCACATTTAAGCAAGCAATCCGTGCTCGGCACTCGGATCTGACGGCGCTAGACTACCTATTGTGTCGACTTGTGGCTGGAAAGTGCCGACTACTCCGGGGTAACATGGATAGAGGAGACGCGGCGGGAGAAGGTGGGCTTTGTGGGTAGGTGACATGAAGATTAGGCGTGCGCGTCGTGTAAGTTGTCTCATACTCCCTTCTTCTTAATTCTCCATGCTGCCTGCTTGATTCACATTTCCCTGTTACTGAATGCCTATCTGTTGGTTGCACCTGCCGAATCAATTCCTGTACGCTCTTTCACACACGTCAGATAAGCGCGCAACCTCTTCCCACAAACAACATCCCTTGCCGGTTTTCCACATCAACCCACTTATTCCGACTGCTTGATACTCTCTGCTGGCGTCTGACGACCATCTTCTTAGCATCTCATCGATACTGGAGTACCAGGTAGTGACACAGCTTCGCCATGAGACTATCGATATACACAACGGCAGCGGCGCTGTTCGCAAACACCATGGCAGCACCGACATCGAAGCTTGACAGCATGGCAGCACCGACATCGAAGCTTGACAGTTCAGCCACCACATCTGCACATTTTGGGAGCGAGATGGTAAGGAGAGACGGCGGAGATGGCAAGTACTTTCACGAGCCCGGGTAGGTCACCAAACTTGATGAGGTCATCGTTCAGGTCACTCATGCTCAGTAGAGGCGATAATACGCTCGGCCATTATGACAAACGCTACTTTCACGGCGTGGTCTCAGACGAAGAACGAAGAGACACACAAAAGCACATGGTGCGCGCGTATCTCGACTTCTTCCGCTTGAACGATCTTGACACATGGATTGCCCACGGGACGTTGCTTGGGTGGTGGTGGAATGGCCAGGTACATGAATTGTCTCTGGTAGAAGCTTCTAAATACTAACAACCGCAGCGTTTACCGTGGGACTTCGATCTCGACACCCAAGTTAGCGGCGCCACCCTTCACCATCTCGGTGAAGCCTACAACCAGACCAACTACTCTTATACTTCCGACGACGAGCAAGTAAAACGCACCTTTCTCCTCGATGTAAATCCTTGGATCTGGCAACGCGAGCGTGGCAACGGCATGAACATCATTGACGCAAGGTGGATCGACGTCCGTAACGGCCTCTTCATCGACATTACCGGTCTCTCGGAGACACACCCAGACGATCAGCCTGGTGTCTGGAGTTGCAAAAACTATCACCGCTACCGTACCGACGAGCTTTATCCTCTGCGTGAAACAATGTTCGAGGGCGTCATAGCGAAGGTACCATATAGTTACGACAAGATTCTAACGGATGAGTACAAAGAGAGCGCGCTGGTAAACACTCAGTTTAATGGGCATGAGTGGGACCCCAACGCCAAGGTGTGGGAAAAGACGGAAGAAACACTGAGAAAGGAGGAGGAGGAGCAGAAGAAGAAGAAGGAGGAAGAAGAGAAGAAGAAGGAGGAAGAAGAGAAGAAGGCCGTCGAGCAGGCACAGATGGCGTAGTGGGCCAGCTGGCCATAGTACTACATTATCATCTTGGGTTTCATGATTAGCGTTGCATTGCATCGCGTCGGCGTCCTGCGAAGTATTGCTGGTCTAACGTTCATCAAGCCTTGTTTGGTTTAAGAAAAGAGATACCCCAATGTCATGTCCGTACATTTACAGATATGACACCCTACAAAGTCTTTATACAATAATATGACATAATATTGTAGCAACGGAAGCCCATATACTACAACACCCCACCTTACAGTTACAGGCCTGTGCCTCAACGATTGTTGTGAGCACATCACCTACCAGCAAAGCTGCTCGACAACAATATTTCTTCGTCAATTCGCCAATATTCCATCCGCCAGATGCATTACTTCGCATTTCGTCACATGCGAGCAACGAAGAGCAACGAAGGAGACAGGTTCTACCGCATGTCGAGCCCTCAGCTGCGTTGGCTCAAATTGGCCAAACCCTATATCTTGTCAGAACCAAGACATTCGTCTGTAGAATTAGTACCTCACATATTACGCTGAATATCTGCGCGGCTGCACAGTTATATTTATGCATAAGCTTCAAGTTAGAGTCAAGCCTCCAAGAAGCTTCGGTGCCGAACTGAGGAGCAATGCGATAGCCGCAGCACTCTCATTATCTAAGTGCAAGTTCTCGTACTAACGCTGCGTTCATGATTAGATATGGGACGCAGACTACACACGACGATAACACGAGCAGATGCTGCTACATTGAATTGAACAAGATATACGTATCAGGTGCGGTATAATGAAGTGAAGGCTTACATACGAGATGGTGCGTTTGAAGGTGAAGAATAGATAAACCGGTTGTGCGCCACAGGCTTTAATCGATTCTTAGTGTGCGTTTGTAGCTTACAGTCTCTTGATTCCGGTACTAAACAAGGCATGACGTAAGATTATTTCCTGTATTTTGCACGCGGTTTGTTTGTTGCTCGCTTGCTTGCAGCTTCCCTCGTTACACAACCTGCAGGCAGACATAACCCTGAACACGACACAACACGATTTAATTCAAGAACCGTACGCCGCGAATTCCACAGTCTCCAATATCATACGCTGACCTAACCTAAGTCTCATCATGGCGACGTCAAAGCCTAGACGTGGTCATGAAGTCGAGTCACTCCACAACGCAGCTTCGACAGAAGCGCATGCCGAACCTCATGGCGTCCTACGACTCCCAAACGAGCTTTTGGACGCAGTTGTAGTTTATTTAGACCAACCCTCTCTCTGCGCACTTGTCTTGACCTGCAAGTTGACAAAACGATCAGCCACGGAAGCTCTGTATACGGCTTACATCAATCGCGACGCTCCGTCAAAGGCACCTTTTCACTTGTCTTTGCGCACTCTGTGCGAGAGCTCTGAACTCTGTGCCATGGTCAAAGAAATGGATATCCGAGGTTGGCGATCCGAGTTTGAAGTCGCGACCGGTCTTCCATGGTCAGGCGTCACCAAGACCAAAGAAGGAGACAAGGTTCGATCAAGCCGCACTGGACCCGTTTTTGTGTCAACAAGTGTCTCATCGACTACCAAAGAGAGACCACTTAAGTTGTTCGAGAACACCGCTATGAAGATTGGTCTTCTATCAGTGCACAATACTCTTCCAGTCAAGCCGCTGAAGAAGACCGTTGTTGTAGGGTCGACACTCGAGAAGGACGAGGACTTCTTACGCCTATTGAGGCATGGCGTCGAGGACGCACAGGTCATACTGATGCTTGCCTTACTACCTGGTCTTAAGCGGCTTCACATTGATGGCATGTCCATCTATCCAACCCTCGATTGGCATCACTGTCTGCGAAATTCCGATACCGCGCTCCGAGCTCTCCGGGAATTGGACTTACGGGGCAATTCGTCTTCCTGCGGATGCGTAACTCATTGTACGACTATGAGCTTCTTGGAACATGTTCCAAATCTTGAGCGCTTACACGTCTCCCATATCGACGTCAAGGACTCCCGCCAGGTGAAGGAACTGATGTCGAACAAGATGCTTCAAGGTTTTGTTGCGACAGATTGCCGAATCGATCTTCAGATGCTCCAAAACATGCTCTCTGGTCACAAGCTTGTAGAGTTTCGATACAGGCCAGGTCTTGGAGAATTTACTGCAGATGATGTAAACGATTTTACTGAAGATCACATTGTTGACCGTCTACGAGACTCAATGAGATCCCTACGGAAGCTCACTCTATGGGCGACCCGACCGAGTCAAGCTTCGCGCCTCTCACAATTCGACAGACTTGAAACTCTGGAGATGCCGTTCCATCATGGATTCCTGAATGAAGCAACCGGACAAGATTCGCACAGTATTGCCAAGCTACTCCAAAAGCGTATCTCAAGGACCTTGTCAAGCTTGACTCTTCGCTTTGTCACCCCTTCAACGACGGTTCCAGAGACCATGAAAGTCCTCAGGGATCTCAAGCTCCAGGGCCGTTTTCCGGAGCTGAAGATCATCCGACTGAACTTCTGCCGTTACTCCAGAGACCCATGGTTTCCTCCGGTACCCTACGACAACCTCGAGTCAGAAGCCCTAGAGGCGTTTGGGCACATCTTTGAAAACACAGGCTTGCAGCTTGAGCTCTCCCAGACTGATTAGAGCGAACGGTTTCCATACTGTACTGATATTGCCGTGTGACTAGAATTCTGCTTGATGGGTTCTTGTGAGCGAGTGAGTCATGCACTCGAGTCACTGGAAAAACAGGCTCTAGGGCCTAGGCATCTAGTTCCAACAGCACCATTCGTGGATCATTCGCGCAAGGAATAACTCTCTATCAAATCACGTCACCCTCTACTCATCGGACGGAAGCGACGTGGCTTAGCTAGACAGGATAAGTAGCACGTCAACCTGATCATCTTCCACCTTTGTCGCAATATTGGAGTATTGTTAACTTTCCAGTTGTGTTCTGCATGCCACTCGAAGAAACTCTGGAGGACATCTGCGCGTAGGTATCACCTGCAGGAATTTAGCCCCAGTGTCCAGGAAATTCTCTCAGCCTATTCATCTGGCCAAGGAGTAAATCCTGAGCATGCGATACAATTCATGAGTGCTGTAGGTGCTTTAGTGCTCGCTCTAGACCATAGAGGCAATTGTCGTCCGAAGTTGTGGCGCTTTGGCTGACGTGAGTTTCTACCTTCCGTACTGAGAAGTGAGGACATGCGCCCGCCCATACCCCTCGATGAGACACAATGTTATTCATCAGTATTGAGAAGCTGATTTCCCATCCTCTTTCTGTCAACCTGATAGCAATTCCATTCAATCCCCCTATCTCGAATTGTTACCTTCGTCGCGCTTTCCGTCAAGGACGCACCTTAACGATGTGAAGGATCATGAGAATGGACCGTGCACGTAAGCCTTTGTCTGAATGAGGCATCAATCCTGGTAGTATTAAATGAGGTCGCGCCTTGGACTCACAGCTCAGGTACCCAGCTCCGCGCGGAATTTCTAGGTGTCTTACATTTCTGCGTTGTTGTTTGTCTATGATCAGCACTGTATCTCACAGGTTGTTATGACTATCTTACGCGCCCTCAGAACTCTAGCTTTGGTGGGCTGTAGTTCCGCCTTTGTACTTCGAAACGACCGTACGTACGCGATTGTGCATTTGCACGGCCCCGATAGGCACCCGTGATACAAAAATTGACTATTACGCCATAGCACTGCTTAACTCGACGACCGAAAAACCTGCGATCGCGTTTACTGCTTCCACATGGAGGTCAAAGGTACACGGCGAGAGCAGCGGGGACGGGTGGGATATCATGACATCTGGAAGCGACAGCAGAGTTCGCACAGAGCCCATAGCCACTAATGTTGATGTTATCACATCTACCATTGCAGTAGATCTGCAGACAAAAAGCTCTGTCGAGATCATAGACATAGGCACTGTCATCAGTGGCATGTGGCCCGACCGCACTGTTACGCTTACAGTGCATTGGGAAAAGTCGGCTACTGGTTGGGGGGGCACAACATTACTACCAAGCTCCCCTCCGGTCCAGGAGACTGCGCACGTTGAGAGATCCACGGATGGATGGGGAGATGCCCATCATTTGGATCCATACAGTTCTCGAAGTTCCAGGTCGGTCACGGTGGATGTGTCGGATCCGTGGACAAGTAATTTAAGAACACAAGCAACAGCCCCAGGAAGACCTCAAAGTTCTCAGGCGCGGGTCACGACAATACCGAGCAAGGTCATCACTGAGTTCCCACTACCTCCCGCTATAACCCACGACGGGGTAACGATCCAGCCCATCGCTGTGACACACAGACCAACTGTCAATGCGCCGGATGGATCACTGGTGACAACGGACGATGTCAAGTTCCAGGTTGTCATAGGATCTTCCACACTCAGCACTGATACACTTATTACCATCAATAACGTTGTGGTCGGCCTCACATCCGATTCAGCTGGCTCCACTGTGATCCATGTCGGCGATCTGACCACGACACTGCCGAAGCCTACTGCAGGCGAAGTACGTACAGTCGCCAGAGTCACGCCAGGACAACTTGACATTGTGACATCCATCGTTGGTGGAACTACAAAGTATGTCATCGCTGGGCAAACGCTGGCGCCCGGGCAGCCTGTGACAATTGATGACACGCCGATCTCTATCAGTGTAGATGGTGGTATAACAGTACTTCATGTTGGCGATAAGATGGCTACTTTAGTAGCGGCTGCTTCTGACACGCAGATCCTCACAGACTGGCCTAGTATGAGTGTTGGAACCCAAGGGACTATCCCACACACAAGCCCAGTCAGTTCGAGTCCAACAAGCACGAGCTCCGCGTTGTCACGGTCAAGCATTGCGAGCGTATTTCTGGCATACTACACGTTGGGTATGGTCATTTTCGTAATCACTACCTGATTTGGATCGGGAAATTTGTTTGAACGAAGAGAAAACTTAATTTCAAGCCTCGCGTCTACCTAGTAGCCGAAAATGCGACAGCTTGAGAACCATAAATGATGACATGGGGGATATATATGAGAACTGACGACAAAAACTGAGAGCAAGAAAAAATACAAAGAAGGACGCTACACTTCTCAAGCGTATCCGTCTACAGCGAGTCTTCCAGCAACACTTCTTTTCAACGGTGCCTCATCACTGCACACCTTCATGTAAAGGTCCATACCTGTGCCCTTACCCGGGCAAGTAAACACCGGATCCTCGAGACCCAGCTTCTGTAATGGATAATCAACGTAGTACGACTGCGTTGGGCAATAACTTCCGGCCGCGCAGTTTGCCTTCCCACACTCTTGCTCTGGGCTGTCCATTGCCAGACCCTTGTCGTGCCCAGGACAGTCGTTGGCGCTCTCGCCCTTTGCGCAATCGACGAAGGAAATATCGTACCAGATATCACCACCCGCAATGCTGTACTCAAATTGTGTGTGTTGGCCGCCAACAAGCTGGTTGGTCTTGCTGATCTTCAGCGAGGAGCCGCAACCGTTGCAGGCGCTGCGGAAGGGCTCGGAATACTTCGTGCGAGCGGGAATATGGATTGGGCCTGAGGAGTAGCCCTGGTCGACGCTCCATAGCCAGATGTCGTACGAGCAGCGGTTGCTAACAATTGCATTGCCAATTGCGGTTGCAAGACCGGCTTGCATTGCAGTAGCGAGTATAATAAATTTGGCCAGCATGATTGATATTGGAAAAGAGTGTGTGAATTTGCTTGTTGAATCAATTTGTTGAACGAGTGTAGGATGCAATGAAATGAAAGACTCTTTGAGATAGGTATCGATGGGTAATGAGCGAAATGGGGTTTCTTAACATGGAGTCAATATCAAGAATTTGATTCAGAGATATAAAGAGTGATAAAGCAGAAATCGAAACTCTGGTAGACAAAGAGTGTATGCAACCGCGAAAGAATCCGACACAGTGCTCAGTGACTGAAAGACGTTATCGGCTATCCTTTTGACCAAAATTTGAAGACAATGGACGCGTCTTGGGCTATTCTTGGCTAAGAGCCCATACCTCGACACGCTACACAACGAAAACAAAGACAGGCGGTCTTTGTTCAGCTCAGCCCAGCATTGTTACTGATGACGGATAGGAGATTACGATGTGGGTGATCTTGGATTTGATCGGTCAGGCAAATGATGCAGGGCGTTCCAATCATGATTTCAAGCTGTTGTGACGATATGGAGACTTGGCTGCAGCTTCAGGTGGCATGTTTTTTGGTGTCAGCAGTCGTGACGTCTGTTTCCACGGAGTATACTATACTAACTTTGTCTTTGACTGAACGTTCTCGTGATGTCAATCTAATGGTTATATATGAGCTTTATGGGCTACCATATGATACAGGAGCAGCTTTAGTCCACTTATGATACACGTGGCTTTCGCCTTCAGCTGAGCATTTCGTGTTCAGGCTACTCGCACTGGGGGTACTGGGCGTAGGAATAAATCTGGCTCGACTCTAGTAGTCAACTCCGCAGCAATCAGAACATACGTAGAAAACGACATGGTAAATACGAGCCTGATTTAGATGTCGAGAACCCATGAGTTGACGCAACGTGGAAGCTGCAGGTAGTGAGACCTGCATATCTAGAACATCAACGCGATTGCAATGACCGTAAAGCACACTATAGCAATATTAGAGAAGGAAGACCTGCCAATCACCACTCCGAAGATACGAATTGGTATGTGGACCTGAAACATAGGCGGCATGATGATTTGGCATGTTCGGGAGGAATGCCACATGAAAGATTCAGCTGTCAGCTGGGGTCTCGCGAAAGCACACATCGATTACCATGATATCTTCTTGTTCTCAAACAGCTTAACATCTGAACAGCATAGACAACAAATTACTGTTGTTCATGTAGATGTCTTGATGGATGGCCTTTGTGCCAAGACGTCTAGCCGAGAGCGGAGGGATGTTGAAGGCGTGACCTCGAGCGACGACCTCGTCTCATGCAACACATCGACGTTCTGGATTGAATGAAGCACGCGACTAATGAAACAGCAAGGCCGGCACCGCGAGACACTTGCGATGGGTGATGTCTTCGTGTTGACGCGCGCGTACTGTTCCCCACTTGCAAACTCAGCTTGCCAGCAACACGATGTGAGCGAGGCTTTTTCAAGCGACCGAGACGCCGATAGGAAGAGGCCTTCCAAACGCTAACGAGCATACAGTCTCGTTCATGTACTGCTTCTAGCAGCGGAGATACCCACCATCGGCCATACGACTTACCTTTTCGTCCAACACATGTAAGCTAATAGCTGCGACCTGGCCCAAAGACGCGCTGGACAGTTTCTTTTGGTGACGCGGAGTCTTAGAGGCCGGATAGTCCGCCCGTCAAAGTCATCCACGTGCATGAGCCGCTGCAGTCTTCGGTGAAAAGTCGTCATGATGCAGATTGGACGCGCGTATAATATGCTGCGGGCAGACTCTGCACGCAAAAAGCGAATCGTTACGAAGGCTTGTTCCGACAACAGTGGAGCTAGGTAAGTAGGTAGCCCCGGAAGACCACCTATTTCACAGAAGGGCGATCATGGTAGGCATTACCGAGCTTCGGGATGCACTACTGCAGGTCCTATCTAATCGATACTGGAGCGTCTTATCCTCCACACTTGACACAGTTCCAGCGTCTCGATTTACGGTCGATCAGTGACACGATGATTGTGATCCCACCTGATGCGTGAGTCGGGGCTTCAGCAGATGTCACGCCAGTAGAAAGGTGTGGATATCTCCGCAAGGTTACATACCTGGATCAGTTAGGTGTGCATGCACTACGAAAAAGTCGACAAACAACATCTTTCTGATAGGCTCGTCGACAAACTTTTCAGCGAGACCGCGCTCAACACCAGTGCAGTTTCCTCGGCTCAACTCAATTGCCGCCGGGAGGTTGACTCGCAACACTACTGCTGTACAGTACAGTTGACCTTGAGATTGACCAGGACCATTCATGAGATGTCGAAGCTCGAATAATATCTTCTTGCTGCCTCAAGTGCGGCCAGAGGCCGGTGCTTCATCTTGTAGGAGATGAGGTTGAAATAAAAGCAAGGTCGTGCGACAGCGGGTAGCAAGATTAAACTTCGGTGGGAGTCCTTGCAACACCCCTCAATATCACCATTCGATTATTCGTCACGTCCCCATTTTTCACAGGTCGAGAGATGACGTATTCCACGAACGTCAGGCAGATTCTCAAACCATCAGCTATCGATGGGAAGCCGCTGTACTCCACAGGATGACTGGCAACAGGTGCTTGACCACGTGTCGCTTTGCCGCTTGAAAGTGGTTGGTGACACGACCGTCCGTTCACCGGAGTGTCATGAGGCGCTGTGGTGTTGTTTCGTGTCCGCTGTCGTCCGGCGGCTCAGACTCCATAGCTAGAAACGGCCAACGGGCTACCTACCGCGAACATCTCCCATCTTCCCCGGCCGACGTTGCCAGCGGGATCTTGAATCTTCAATCCAGGTCGACGTTTCATCGAGACTATCGTCCCGTGTGCAATCCCATCCCGGATCCACCTCTGAGGGCTCGACCTTGAGTCTCGAACTTCTTTGACATCTCCGCACAGACTGGACAATCATCTCCGCCACCTGCCGAGCCACAGGTGTTGAGCACCCAGGCTGAAACCAAGAGTTGCTGAGTCGACCTGTTGTGCACGTTTGCACAAACGGTCACCAACGTAATAAGGTGCCGCGCTAACTGTCAACTTGAAACGCGGCCCAGTCCGAACCACGGATGTCCTACGAACGACCAATGAACAAGACGCAACGAGTCGAAATTCACGAGGACTTTCCTCCCCAGAGTTAGCGCTTCGTCTAGACTTCCTGAACCACGCGTTTTGTGAACACACTTTGTGCATTTACCCCTGCGCAAGCCTATGATCGCCCGTTGTTGCCCCTGATGCCCGCCAGGTCCGGCTTTGTCAACGAGGCAACAAATCGAAGCGCCCGACACACGCAGGAGGGCACGATGTCATTGTTGCGCTGCACTTTTCAGACACTCCGCTGTATCATAATTCACAGCCAGTCCGAACAAACAAAGAAGTGGACTCCGAAACAATGAGCGTGGTCAGGCGCACAAGTTCAACAAGGACGCTGACAATGAACGTCAAGCCGCAGGAAATAAAATGAAAGGACCCAATCCGGTTACCACAGACTCAGTGGGGTCACACTTTTCGGCTCGAAGGTGTTAGGGCCAGGCACAAGAGCATCTGCGGAGACCGGGGCCGTGGCGCTCGCATTCATCTCGCGCAAGCGCGGCACGGTCTTAGTGCCATGTGCGTATAAAGTATGTGATCCCCTCCCGCCACAACTTACCATTCCAGGTCTGCGACTTCCAGGTTATCGACGAATACACTCATTCAAGTCACTCTTTGACACCACGTTCACTAAGCCCTTCGGCATACACTCACTCAACGAACAATCCACAAAACCAACTTCGTCTAACCGACCAGTTCACTCAGTCAACTCTTCCAACCTCAACCAACAACTTCAAAATGCGCGCCTCCACTGCTATCCTCGCCCTTGCCGGCTCTGCCCTCGCGGCCCCCAGCTACGGCAGGCCCGAGTACAAGGAAATCAAGAACGTACACGTCGTTTACGAGACTGTCGTTCACACCGTCTACTTCACCGGCAAGCCGGAGGTTGCTAAGCCCACCAAGGTCTCAACCCCCGTCTACGAGGCTCCTGCCGTAACCACCATTGTCTACGAGGAGAACACCCCTACTCCCGCACCCCCTGCTCCCAGCAGCGTGGTCGTCGAGTACTCTGAGGCCCCTGCTCCTGCTCCCTCCAGCACCCAGGCGGCTACCTCCGCCGCTCCCGTTCCCACCGCCTCCGGCTACCAGGGCGTTGTCGACACATGGCGTGCGAAGATGGGCCTGAAGCCCCTTGCCAACGACGCCAAGCTCGAGGCCAACGCCATGGACACCGTCGTCTCCTCCAACGGCCAGATGGTCCACAAGCTCAACCCAGGCTCTTTCGGTCAGGTCCTTGCCCCCGGCAACGCTGACGACTTCGAGCACGTCTTCGTCGGTGGCTGGCTTTGCGAGCTTCCCGGTCTTCCCGGTCTTGATGGTGTCTGCGCCACTGCCTCCGACGGCTGGGCTTACAACGGCCAGACCGGCCACGCTGAGATCCTCACTGCCGACAACTACTCCAAGATCGGTTGCGCTCTGCACGCCGGTATCTGGTGCTGCGATGTCGCGTAAGCGACATGCGCAACACAGATGAGAATCCGGGGGCGTTGGAGGCATCATCTTGGCTTGGAGAACAGCTCGCATAGCACGCGCTGGACACTTTTCACTTCTTCTTTTATATCGTACAGTCTCTGTACGTTTCTTGTTCACCTTAGGGGCAGCATTACGCTGCAATTGACTATTCACGAATTATGATCCCAATTGGCATCTTATCTATCGAGTGACACCATATGTGATGTTATTTCATTCCCCATCTTCTGCCATCAAATCAACAGCTCGAACAGCATCCGCAGGGTCCATTGTTCACACAAAACTATCCGATGAGGGACGGGACTTCTGTCCGAGTGGAGAGGAGGAGCCTGGCACCCCTGACAAAACACCCCAGCGGCTGCGGAAATTAAGCGTCAGACGCCTGGGCGACCGAGGTCCATGCACAGCACCGTATTACACAGGCCAAGCGGACCCGACTCGATAGCTACCACCGAATCGTTAAGCCCCAGCCCCGTCACTTGGAACGCGAGCTGAGCGACTAGAATAGGGTTCTAGTGCGCAACGCCCACCACACATCAAAGCGCCCTCACCACACATCGTATGCTGAGCCACGAGCCCGGCGCGTCGTGTTCTGGTGCTGCACAACGCGTGGACACTTGTGCACGGGTCGTTCGGTACGCCGCCTTGCAGTCAGCCGGCCACCCCGGCAGCGCGGGCGCCCGACAACACAACGAGACCCCAGCGCTGTGCTCGAGCTGTGTCCATCACAATTTCGCGACCTTGCGACCTAATTTACAAGGTTGACATCAGCGGCGATCGAATATTCTGGGCTTCGTTGACAATCTGCCGCCCTGGCTGGCGATCATTGCAGATGCATGCAGCAGAGCCTCTGCTTGTTACCGGTTTCCGGACGTGGAGGGGTGGAATTGCCTTGACGTCGTTGCCGATCTGATCATCCTGCGCTGAGTTCTCTGCGAGCTTGGACATCGCAGTGACAAAATCGCTCGGCTTCTGGAGAACTCTTTCTCACCTGATCATCACAAAGGCCTTTGGAGCAGATGTGCCAAGCTGTGCAAGACTACCGAGTATCTTACTCTAAAAGTAGAGCTGCCCCAAGTATTGAAAGCTTCCTAACAATAGTATGCAGGCGAGTAGTCCACAGTATTTGCACTCCTTTTCTGCAGCGTGATGGAAGACTTGACCCCTTCGGCAGTCGGGTAGCGGCCATGCATTTAGTGGCGTTAAGGTATACCCTTACGCTACGATGTGGACATTGCAGCTATCGCATAGAATCAGGGAGTCTGCAAACTTGCGCGCTTTCGTTCGTGACGTTCAGCACGGGGTACTTTCTTGACCTTCCCGCATCTGGGCATTTGTAATTCTTGGACGGAACGAGCCTAATGAAGCGTTGGTCTTGTTGTGTCGAGGACTCGCTCGACTAGCCTTTGGCTTGTAACGGATGTTGGACAGGCCGACATGGCTCGTGAGCTGATTTATGTTCGTCTAGGTAGCAATAGGTACGCCATAGTAGTGTGGGCGTCGCAGACTGGACATCGTCGCCTGAGCCCTGCAGCATATGAAGTGTCTTTTGAAAGCTGGCTGTCAAACGCGTTAACAGTAGCACCGAACTTAAGGATTGTTAGGTTGATACAGGGTTGAGTTTGGATTGACTATTATATACAAGGATACGGAGAGAAGCCACAATACCGTTGACGATTTCTCGCAGTTGTTGCTTCCAGAGGACCTGTTCATGTCGAGGTCCGCGTTTATCGATCGCAGCACTCACGATTACTGCCCGTGAAGGAGGGAGCCAGCTGTCCCTGACAAGGTCGATATTGATACGACCCGTGGCATTAATAAGAAGCCAATTTCATGCTACCTGCCTGGTATAACATTGTGTCCACACTCGCTGATAATTTGTGTCAACCTATGCCAACCTATGCCGAACAGTGGCGGCCTGATGTGTTCCTCAATCAAACACTGTATAACTCCTATCACGTCAATATCCTCACCTAGAAAAGAGCCCGACAAACAAAGACAGTGGGGATGACCAAGCCCAAGAGGAAACAACGTGTATCTTCAAGCACTGCCCTTGTGATCGCGCGTCAAGTATATCCGACATCGAGCGTGACCACCACACTTCAAATGGTGTATTTAGAACACAGACCGCAACTCATGTAGTACCAGCCTACAGTAAGACATGGCAGGAAATTGATGATGAAGCCTGTATCATCAGGCAAACTCTGCACAACGATCGTCTGAGCTATGTTCGATTAATGTCAGTAGTTAGGGGCAATCACTCTCGATAAGGCCCACAGTACCGGACCCATGGTGTCTGGACAAAGCTCTTCCAGATATGAGGGTCGAAGACCAAGCACGCAGGACGTGCGTTTTGAGCACTTTGAGCACCAGTCGCCCAGGAGGAGACCAGGGCTACGACCACATTGTGGTGCTGCTTTTACGATGTTCCTCCAGTTACTACGTTAGCACTCCTGGTCAGCGCTTCTGAAATTATTGTACCGATGATACTGGAGTGGCACTCTCCATAGCCTCACCGGAAACCTGTGGACTTGCCTTACCCTACCTGTCTCCGTGAAGTCCTCGTGAAGAAGTATACATCAGATTGAAATCAGTAGAGGGCCACACGTTTTTTCTCGAAATGATAACACCAAAGGGATAGAGGATCAGGCTCTAGGATGGCACGGGAGCCCCGGCTTCATCTTTCATTGTTGATGGCATGCATCTTTTTCATGACCTGGTCATGAAATTCGTATGTACCTGTTCTTCAGGCATGGCCTCGAGCTCATGCCGATCCAAGAAACTCCAAAGTTCAAGCACTAAGGCGTTGACTGTGTAAGAATGCCTGTCCAAGCCGCTCAAGTGGGTGTAAGATAGCAAGAGGACGAAAACCTCATTGGTCAAAATCAACGCTCGAGCAAAAGAAATTCCATCCATACGTCGAGACCGCACAATTCTCGCACATCCTTAGCGACAGTCAAGATGTTGACTCCGTACATGAGCACGTCTACTGTGCGGCAGGCTGGTCGAACTGAGCACCGCCGCGGGGCCCTCCACGACCGCCACGGAAGCCAAAGCCTGCTCGACCGCGACCACGACCCCTGCCACGGCCTCGGTAGCCACCTCGGAAACCATCAACGCTTCCTTGGCCGAAAGTCTCCATATTCTTGCTTCGCTCAGCCGTACGGAACTCCTGGCCCCGGCGTCCGGCAGCGTCATCTCGATCCTTCAGCTCCGAAGAGATGTTGTCAAAGAAGCTAGAGGTCTTGTTGTAGGCAGCAGGAGCTGGAATCACAACGTCATCTGAGGCATCGGCGGCACCGTTCTGTCCGTTTGCCGTCGCATCGATAGTCGTGGGTACACCTTCGCCAAGCGGCGACCCCGACGCAATGGCTTCCTTGACCATGTCTTGCTTGTTGAACTTCGCGTTCGCAGCATCGAAGTCGTAGTCTGTGGTGGGTACTTCCATCTTCGGCTGCTGTTGTTGAGGCTGCTGCTGGTGATGAGAACCCCCTCGTCCTCCTCGACCGCCTCTGCCGCCCCGACCACCAAACCCAGCACCTTGGCCAGGGTTTCGCGGCTGGCGAGCGTGCTGCTCACGTTCACGCATGCCCTCTACCTTCTGCGCCAGGTTGTTTGTGGGGTCAGCCACCGGGGCCTGGGTTTGACCTCGGTTCTGCATGTTGAGCTTGGCCATAGCCTCGGCGACGGCAGCAGTAGCTAGTTGAGTAGCATTGTTCTGCTGAGCAGCGGCCTGCTGAGCCTGCTTCGCAGGCGCAGAAGCCTGCTGTTGTGCTCGAGGGGCCGATTTCTTTGCGTTCGGGCTGGCAATAGGCACCGCTGGGATGATGCGGCCACCCTTCTGACCACCTGGCGTCTTCTGCGCACCACCCTGCTGTACGGGCTGGGTGTGCGGCGGTGCCAGAGCAGCTGCAACGTCAGGCTTCGACTCTACGGGCGGCGGTGGGGCCTGCTGAGCGGCAGGTGCGGGCGCAGGAGCTTTTCCAGCCTGCTTGGCATCCGCCTTGGGCTCAGCTGGTTTAGCAGAACCGTCAGCCTCGGCAACGCTGGGCTGCGCAGGTGACTGTCCCTCGTTGGCAGAAGGTCCAGCTCCTGCTGCGCCTCGAGGACCTGTTGGTGGCTGGTTTTGGTTCTGGTTCTGGTTCTGATTCTGGAAGCCAGGAGGACCCATGGGCATGCCAGGAGGGAAAGGACCAGGAGGGCCGTTGTAGCCTTGTCCCGGTGGGAACCAGCCCGGAGGTGGAGGTCCATACGGCGGCATGCCAAACCCTCCAGGGCCTGGTGGGAACGGACCTGGGCCGCCAGGAAAGCCACCCTGTGGAGGAAAGCCTCTTCCATATGGACCTGGGCCGCCGGGGCCGAAGGGAGGGTAGCCACCAGGAGGGAACTGCCCTTGCTGTGGGAAGTTAGGCGGCCCTTGTTGCTGGCGCTGTTGATCTTGTGAAACGTCCTGACGCTGCTGGCCTTGTTGTACCTAATGCGCACGCAAAGTCAGCCAAGGAATATGCAGAAGCTGAACAACAGGTGGGGTGCGAATGAGGTACTCAGAAGGAAGGCAACGGAAAATATCCACATGGTTTTGCGCTCTCGGTGGTTTGTATGATTTACATCCGAAAATTTTACATCACTGGACCAGAAGGTGGGAAGAGGGTGGTGAAGACTTACTCCGATGATGGCTGGGTCCTGGGGCATAGCAGGAGGGGCCTTTTCTTTGGTTTGCTCCTCGATGCGCAAGTCTTTTACATCACTGCCTCTGAACACAATCTGCTCGTAGATGACATCTGATGGCGGGTACTCGTCTTTGCCACCCTTGCGGCCCTCGGTACCAAAGGAGCGCACATTGTCTAACGAGACTGTAGATGCTTCTGAGTTGATCTCAACGAGAGTACCGACATAGCTGCGACGCGTTAGTGTGTGCGCCCAATGGCTTCTCGATGGATGCTTACTGACCGGATATCGCTCTTGGAGATGAGCGATATGCGAGAACTACGCGTGGCACGTCAGCGGGAGCTCCAGCGTGATGGAACCAGCTGCGACTGACCCGATGAACTCGGACATGGCGACGGACTGGGTATCAAAACAGATGTAAGAGATGAACTGAAGCTCAATAGAAGAAAGAGAAGTAAGGGAAGTCGTACGGTAGTCGTGAAGAAGGGGTGTTGGGGGTGGCTGTGGTGTGAAAGGGAAGAGCTTGTGTGGGAAGAGAAGCTGCGATCGTGGGGCTGGTAATAGAAGGCCTTGGCGGTTTCCGTTAGCGAGCTCTGAGCTTCGGTGCCGATGCCACCTTTACCCCACACCTCAGCGTCGCTGAAGCTGATTGCTATGAGTGCTGCTGCAGCCGACAACGGAGCTGCCGATGGGCTGAATGGCGTATACGAGGCTCTGGAGAGGTACCACTGGGACGACGATGTCGAATTCCAAGCTGGTCTCAGTGCCATCCTCGGCAGCAATAGCTCGCCTGAGCAAGCGGCCGAGCTAGCTCTGCGAGCGCGTTGCTTCTACTATGCTCGGTATGTAGATGTGTGCTTCGCAAATGTGCAATAGTCTGATTATGTAAAGGAAGTTCAATACTACAGTCGATTTTGGAGCGTACAAAGCGTACCGTGAGGCCCATGGTCGACCCCCACCACAGACAAATGGCGTACAACCACTTGACTTCAGCGAAGCTACCTATGAGATCTCGAAAGGCACAGCTCCAGCGCCTTCGAACAATGCCGCGGCGAAAGATGCGCCTAGTGGCGTACTGCCAGGGCCCTCTAGTTCAGGTGAACCGCCAGCACCGTACCCCACCTCCTTCGCGCATATCGTAGAACTCATCACGACTGGGCAGCCGATTCCTGGGATCAAGGATATCCCGAACACTATATTGGAGGGGCAGGGTACACCGGCTGAGAAGCCGAGGAGGAAGAAGCCATGGGAGAAATTATTTTAGCATATTATAGCATATTATCTCCTATCTGTGTCTGTCCGAGTGCCGCCACCTCACTTGTGGGTAGCTATGTGTCTCTGCAGGTTCCCCTTATGCTTGATCACGCGGCCGCATGTCGGACAAGACATGTCCTCAACAGTTAGGTTGCCCGGGCAAGTATCACCTTCGATGTGCCTCTGCAAGTTCCCCATCTGGGAGAACACTCGGTTACATCCACCACATTAGCCAAGGGAGGGGCATGAGAAAGGAATTACAATGGGAGAGAAGACGTGAAATTATGATACCAAGAAGGCGATATTTGCAACGAGCCTGTCCAGACAAGCCGATGTGTATACAGATGAAAGGAAGAATATACACGCTCAGCAGGAGCTACCGAAGACCATGTACCAAGGATGTCGAAACATTGGGGTATATAGCAGGACCAATCCAAAAACAACCAAACTCCAGCTTACAGCACGGCCTCGAGTATTTTTTCTTTTAGGTTCTTGACCTCCTCCTGGCTCTCCCACAATCTTCTCTGTGCATCTTGGAACTTCGCCCTCCATGCCGCTGTTGCGTTTTGGCCGGGTTCCACGCGGTCTGTCTCCTGTGCACCTGCTGTCGAAGCTCTGTGATCAGCGTCCTCAGCCGTGGCATGTAGACCTTTGGCTGTCCACTCTCCAGACAGCCCACCAAACGACACCGCAAAGGAAATGTCGAATGTCTCCTTGATCGTGCCAGAGCCATTGATGGTTTCAGCATCGTCTTCATTATCCTCGATGGGACTCTCATACCCATCGCCTCCAACGCGGAATCGTACACATTCGATGCGCTTCACGCCTCCACTCGGCCCTCCGAGACCTATACCTGTGGCGCTTGACAGCCCGAGACAGCTGCTTATCGCAATGCCCAATACCTGATCGCTCATCACTTTTGCTGATGACGCGTTGCCAGCTGAAGGCTTCGCGTAGAGTGGCAGCAGGACTGCCGAAGCCAGACTTTTCGCCTCAGTACCTCGTAAGCGCTTGCGGCGACCAGTAAGTGGCGCACGAATGAGTTCGGCAGCCAAGGCACGATTCAATGTCTCCAAAGACACCGATGGCAGGGAGGGTGTCGGTGTAGACGTTGCGACTTCGCTTTGGGGTCGTGGTGGTGGCTGCTGTCTAGCCGGAGTTTCGATTGGAGTGAAATGCCCATGGAAATTGAGATGGCTGTTGCTTCCATATGATTGTGCTGAAAAACTTCTGTCGGTGCTAAAGCTGATTGCAGAAGATACTGCAGCGGTGCTCGGAGTGGGATCCTCCTCCCCGTTGACAAGTACAGTAGGGGTGATGAGGCGTACAGGGTTACCAATATTCTGTGGAACTTGGAGGCTTAAACGTTGTCTTTGGGTTCCACCCGCACTTATAATCGGCGACTCTCCTGTCGAGGGTGGAATTGCAGAGGCTGGTGTTGGTGGAAATCGGAATATGGGCTCAGCTGGGGGAGACCTAGATTGAGGCCTCTCTACGATTGGTGTCAGTGCACCTGAGTGCTTCTGCACATCGACAGGTGTCCCTTCTCTGCTTGGGTTTACAGGAAAGGTGACAAACGGCCCATCTCGAGTAGAGCGATTGCTAGGTGGTCGGCCTCGTGGTTTCCCGCCAGGCGTGGTGCTGCTCGCAGACCACGCTGACGACACAGCTGGGCCGTGGCGTCTTCGTGCGCGTGGTCTCGCACTGGACGGTGTGATCGCAGAATGAGGTTCGTCGAAGAAATGATGTGCAGAAGATGGCGTTACAGCTGACAGCGGATGGGGGGTTGCTGGCTCCTGCGAATTGAGTCGCCAACGCAATTGTTGCCCTCCAGACATGGGCGACGCAGAGTAGGGGGTCAGATTTTCGTGCTGTTTCATACGGTGCGAAGCGTTCAGGACAGATGCAGGCGTGATTGCCGATGCAGCCGTCCACGGGTCGTGTGGTGTCAAAAAACCGCCCATATGGTGGTTAGGATGCGCACTGGTTGGATAAGCTGACTGCGGCTGCAGTGCATTACCGAAAGGTATCGAGGTATCCAACTGAGGTCGCTTGCGCGCAGGCGTATCAAGTTCAGCCTCCATCTCCTCATCTGCGTCATCAGCTTTGCGCCGCCCACGTTTAGGCTTAAACTTTGGGTCAAGTGCTCGGAGAGCTAAATCTTCTTCCAGCGGTACACCATCGCGGCCTTCTTCCGGAAATGGGTCGTGTGGTGGAGGTATCTGTAGGTAGTAGGGGTGTTGTTTGCCTAGCATGTATTCGAAGAAGGCGTCAATGTGCATGGCGCGCATCCATCGCTGCTAAAAGTCAGCATCTGGTCGTTGCGCGATCGATGCCTATCAAGAGCGAACGTAAACAACGTCCTCTCGACAGCATATGCAGAATGAGTGCACCATGTGGCTGCCTCGTCGAGCGCGTGCATCTGTGCAGCACCCCGTCTTATAAAGTGGCGTAAAATCTCCTTACCTTTAGTCTCACAGAGTACTGCTGGACCTTTTGCGTGCTCTGGCCTTTGTCCGTGTCTGGCGGCGACACACCAAGGTCCAATGCTAGTTGCGTCCAAGTCTTGATCTCTCCCGTACTGAACTTCCCTATCAGCTCGAACAGAGTCCATGTACTGAACGCATTTCCATCACTCTTTGGCGGCGTGCGAAATAGCTTCACGAGCTCAGACGTGTCTATGGAGAGGGCGAAGCTAGGATTGCAGTACAAGATGAAGCTAGCAAAGGCATCGTCGATGGTGTCGTCGGACACGCTCTGCGGGGGCAGGCCGCGGTCGTCGGGCGCATAGCCGGGGCTTGCGTGCCCTGTCTGGCTGTTGGGGGATACGGCGGTGGAGAAGCGCGGCGAGGCATTCGAAGGCGTTGAGGGCGGCTGCGAGGTGCGCGTCATGTCTCCATAGAAACCGTGGGCAAGGTGCGCGCTGCTGAGCGAGGCATTATCGGGCTGGAGCAGGTGGTCGTTGACAGCGTGGGGGATCACAGCCATGGGCGCATGTCCGTTGCGGTTCCCTGTGTTCCGTTCAAGGGCCGGATCAATCGCTGGTATACCAGCGGAGGGGTGCCGAAACGGCTCGTAGTTGGCGTCGCCATAGTCGACTTGCATTGTTTGGTTACTACAGAGGCAGCTTAGCGCTCCATGCGCGTTTCGTGAGGTCCGCAAGTCGCAGTCGCGGTCGCGGTCGCGGTCGCAGCGCAATCGCGACAACAAGTACAGAAGAGAGGGGAGCGCAACACAGTATCAGGGTCGCGTAGCCAGCGCGAGAACGTCAAACGACAGGATGCGATGCGCCCAGCGCTGTCGCTGAGTTGCAAGGCCCTCAAGAGAGGCAGAGATGAAGTCGCAGCGGCGCGTTGGGTCTGAAAGCGTGTGGACAAGAGGTAATTTGCGATGTTACGGCGGCTCGACACTGCCTGATTTACTTGTTTGGGTGCATTTGGGGACATGCTACAGCTGAAGTGTGTTCTAATTATAAACCGGTCGTCCCGCCCGTTCTGGTCAACTGCACAAAGTGTCACAGCTCTGGCATGTGTGGTTGGCCAGAAAATCCGCCGACGGCAATCCTGACCACACAGCTGGTTTCTCTCGTCTGTTTTCCGTTTCGAATCTGTTCATACGGAGTACTCGTGCGAGGCCAACTATATGACAGGGCTGTCCCCTAAGCTCTGGGTGGTCAGACTCCGTGAATGATCTGCCTGAGCATGCTTGGTACAAGATGGAGCAGGTAGAGATCTGCTCTGATCATACCACTAGAGAAGTGTAGTTTGAAGCATGCTTTAGCGTTCTTGTCTATTCTGATTCTAGGGTATCCATCGTGCAAATAAGGATGTAAGCTACGTTGTGTGAGTAGAGCGCCATATGGGAAAGGAAGTCTGTGTCCTCGCTATCGATGTTTTATTCTATTAAGCTATAGCAGAGACTGTGAGCCCGAATGAAGGATCCTAGCCTATGCTTATATACGTTGATACGGTACAGGGACGCAAGTTGAAACATGGGCCACCGCATCAGTATGTGTTAGGGCGATGATGCTGATGCCGAGGGGTTCGTGGTGACCTCTAGCGTGATCTGATCTGCCGGCCCCACATCACTTTACGCGGGTCGCGTCTGGCGTGTGAACGCGTCGTGTGTCTGGCGCAGCATTCATCTCCAGAACATAATGGCTGCAGAACAGAGACTGCGCAGCCGGCAGGCTCGTATGTATAAGTCGAATTGCTTTTAAACATCTGAGTCCATTAACATGCTCCAGATGCCCCCGGCGCAACCTTCCTCGCCTACACACCGAACGGAAAGAAACTCATAACAGCCGGAGTCGACAACTATTGTCGTGTCTTTACAACTGGGTCTGATGACGAGCCCATAACCGTAGATGACTGTCAAGAGAACAATGCGGCGGTTGTGGCTGGAGTGCGTATACATGCATGTGTGGACGACTGCAATCGCTAAGAACAGCGCAGAATGGCTTCTTCATCACAGGCTCAGAGGACGGCACAGTGAGCAAGTACTCACTGGAAGGTAACAAGTTCGAGGAAATACTCGTCAGGACGACATTGCCTGTGCGAGATGTGGCGTTGAGCCCCGACGGGAATTGGATCGCTGTCGCGAGCGAGTAGGTTCCAACCCTTAACATGTTGCGCCAATGCTAACAGCCCCAGTGAGCTCTCAGTAAATCTCGTCAACACCAAAGACATGACTAAGGTCCGAACCCTACGCGATCAGCCACGTGCCGTCAAGCACGTCTCGTTTGACAAGAAGGGCGAGCATCTGGCCGTTTCTTGCACCGACGGCAACATATACGTGTATGACCTCGATAGTGACACGCCTGAGATGATAAAGAAAGTAGATGGCATGATCAAAAGCTTGGAGACAGAATCCGAGTCGAGCGCAAAAGTACTGTGGCATCCGGATGGCAGGGCATTGGCTACGCCTACTGCACTTCGCGATGTGCAGGTTATGTCCACAAGCGATTGGGCACGGCAGCGCGTTTTTAAGACTGGGCATACAGCAGACATAACGGCGGCATCTTGGTCCCCCAATGGTGCTCTTTTAGCCACAACCTCGCACGATCTCGATCTCAAGCTGTGGGACACCAAGACACAAAAACTGTTGAAGAACTTCGAGGATGTCAAGGCGACGATTCTGGCTATGGTCTGGCATCCCACCGAGAACATACTTTCGTACACCAACAATGAGGGCGAGCTATTCATCCACACGGACTTCGTACCAGAGGAGCATCTGCCACTACTCAACAAACCAACCGTATCCGCACCTTTCTTCCATGACCCCTCAGAAGGCCGCGCGAGGATTGCACCCGCGCCTCAAGCAAACGGGAATATGCGAGAACTGCCTGGGCGACCACGACAGAGAGACGGCACACCAGACTCCTTGGACGACCTTCTCGGTCCTGACTTCAGAGACAGCGAGGCCCGAGAAGATGGCGACGAGGATATGGAAGACTTTGTCGTTGACGATGATGGTGCGGGATACGCGCAAGAAGTCAATGGCCATGGGAAACGCACCAATAGCCACCTCAACGGTGCTGAGCCCTCGACCAAGAAGCGTGCTACTGGTAGTGCACTGTTCCGACCACAGATCCACGAGCCTTTCCAACCAGGCAGTACGCCATGGAGAGGCAACAGGCGACTGCTATGCTGTTCCTTGACTGGTAACGTCGAGACTGTATCTCAGGAGGGTAGACACCACACTGTGACCGTCAACTTCTACGACCAACACACTTTCCGCAACTTCCATTTCACAGACATCTTTCTCTACGACAAAGCCTGCCTGAACGAGAATGGAACACTATTTGCCTGTCAACCCAACAGTGCTGGTGACGGGAACCCAGCAATGATCTACTACCGCCCGCACGAAACCTGGACAACACGAACAGACTGGCGCACCAACCTGCCCACCGGCGAGTCCGTGACTGCAATCGCCCTGTCTGACTCGTACGTTTGCGTGACAACAAGCACAAACTACGTCCGTATCTACTCGCTCTTCGGCCTGCCCATCCGTGTATATCGCCAAAAGTCTTCGCCAGCCGTGACCTGCGCCGCATGGCGCGACTACATCCTAACCATCGGTAACGGCCCCATCCAATCCGACCTATCCACCCAGCTCCTCTACACAATCGAAAACGTGAAACACGACACCATCTACCAGGACTCCGACATCCTCGCACTCCCACCAAACACCACGCTCGACTCCGTGTTCTTCTCCGCATCAGGCGATCCGTACATCTACGACTCCTCAGGCGTGCTGCTCACGCTGCTCAACTGGCGTGTAAATGGCCAAGCGCGCTGGGTTCCAATGCTCGACACAAAATGCCTCTCGCGTCTCGCAACCGGCGGCAAGGAAGAATCCTACTGGCCGGTTGGCGTCGCGCCCTCGTCCGCCGGCGTGCTCAAGTTCCACTGCATGATCATCAAGGGCCGCGAAAAGTACCCGTCGGCGCCGGTGCCGCACCTGAGCGAGTTCGCGTTCGAGATTCCGCTGAGCAGCGCCGTGGACCGCAAGAAGGCGCTTTCGGGACTCGACGCTGAGGAGCTGAGTGATGATGAGGAGGGTTCCGCGGCTGCGAAGAAGGGAGAAAGTAAGCAGCAGGAGCACGAGCAGGCGTTTATTCTCTCGTCGACGCTGCATGCGCAGCTCTCGTCGACTCTGTCGCACACCCGGCCTTCGGCGAGCCAGAAGCAGGACCTTACAAATATCGAAGTGGCAATTGATCGCGCATTGCTGCAGCTGCTAGGCCTAGAGTGCCTGGCAGGCGAGGATCATGGCATGAAAGCTCTGGAGATTGTAAGCTTGATGCGCGATGCGAATGGCAAGATGCTAGACCTTGCTGGCAAGGTAGCGAGCCGATATGGGAGGGATGTTCTTGGGGAGAAGATCAGAGAACTTGCAGAGAAAAGAGCTGCTAGCGGAGGGGACAATGAAGAATACGAGTATGCTTGAGAGTCCTTTCCCAGCATAATATGTCTCTGGTTAGCGTCACTTGAGCGAGTTCACTTTGAATGCATACGATCTCAAACAATACATCTGCCACAAGTGATTGAAAGTGCAATTTGTCGTGCATTAGTAAGAGAGTAATAACAGAGAAAGAGGACAATCCATCCCAAAACGCTTTGATATGTAAGCTAGCAGTCCAACAAAACTCCTTTGCTCGCCATCGCCAAAATGCGGTGTTGCTTCGATAGCGTAGCTCCGACCAGAACAACCAAAGGTAGTGATGCAGAACCGAACTGCTTTGCACAACGCCGCCGCGCTCAGCGCAGAATGGCTTAGTACTCGGCCTCGAGACCCTCCTCGCCCTCGAGCGAGTCGGCAGCGACCTCCTCGTAGTCGCGCTCAAGCGCTGCCAAATCCTCACGAGCTTCAGAGAACTCGCCCTCCTCCATACCCTCACCAACGTACCAGTGGACGAAAGCGCGCTTGGAGTACATGAGGTCGAACTTGTGCGACAGAGCGGACCAGGCCTCGCTGATAGCTGTGGTGTTGGACAGCATGCAGACGGCGCGGTTGACGCCGGCGAGATCGCCGTTGGGAACGTTCTGGGGAGGCTGGTAGCAGATACCGATCTTGAAACCAGTTGGGCACCAGTCGACGAACTGGATAGTGCGCTTGGTCTTGAGGTGGGCAATGGCCGCGTGGGTGTCCTTGGGGACGACATCGCCGCGGTAGAGCAGGCAGGTGGCCATGTACTTGCCGTTGCGAGGGTCGCACTTAACCATCTGGTTGTTGGGCTCGAAGCAGGCGTTGGTGATCTCCATGACCGAGTTGGCCTCGTGGGCAGCCTTGGCGGCGGAGACAACGGGGGCGTAGGCAACGAGAGGGAAGTGGATACGGGGGTATGGGACCAAGTTGGTCTGGAACTCGTTGAGATCGACGTTCAGGGAACCGTCGAAGCGGAGCGAGGCGGTGATGGAGGAGACGACTGTTGGGCTTGTCAGTCACAATGTCAGCGAGTGCAGAGCATATACATACCCTGAGCGATGAGGCGATTCAGGTTCTCGTAGTTGGGGCGCTCAATGCCGAGGTTCCTGCGGCAGATGTCGTAGATGGCCTCGTTGTCGACCATGAAGGAGCAGTCAGAGTGCTCAAGGGTGGTGTGGGTAGTGAGGATGGAGTTGTAGGGCTCGACAACGGAGGTGGCGACCTGCGGCGCAGGGTAGACACAGAACTCGAGCTTGCACTTCTTGCCGTAGTCGACGGACAGACGCTCCATCAGGAGGGCACCGAAACCGGAACCTGTTCCTCCACCGAACGAGTGGAAGACGAGGAAACCTTGCAGACCGGAGCAGTTGTCGGCGACGCGGCGGACCTTATCCAGGACCTGGTCAATGAGCTCCTTTCCGACTGTGTAGTGGCCACGGGCGTAGTTGTTGGACGCATCCTCCTTGCCGGTGATCATGTGCTCGGGGTGGAAGAGCGAACGGTAGGTGCCGGTGCGGACCTCGTCGACGACGTTGGGCTCCAAGTCGGCGTAGATGGTACGCGGGACATACTTGCCCTGGCCTATGGTGTGTCAGCGGGGTGCGATCGGCAGCAGGCGGGCGACGTACCAGTCTCGGAGAAGAAAGTGCTGAAGCCATGGTCGTCGTTCTTGGCCTTGCGCTCCTCAGTGAGGTAGCCGTCGGGCTGGATGCCGTGCTCGAGGCAGTAGAGCTGTGGCGGTGCGTTAGTAGGGGCGCGGTGAGGCGGTCAAGGCAGCCGCTGGCACCCCTCCTTTTCGCATTGTGGGCGACGGAGAGGTGCAGGCGGCGGACCGGTGGGCGTAAACGTACCTCCCAGCATGAGTTTGCGATCTGGCAACCGGCCTGGCCGACTAGACGCGTGCAGTGTCAGTTTCGATGAATCTTGCCAGGATGTCCCGCCCAAGACGGGGGCGGTCAGGGCGCGTGCGCGTGTGGGGGTTTCATACCGTTGAGGGAGATGACTTCTCTCATGGTTAATAGTGTGAGAGGTGTGAACTGGGGGAGTTGGATTCCTTCTGCGCAGGGGCTGAAGGTGCGTGACGGGAACTGCGGGTGGGGAGCAGCGGAGTCGGTGTCGAGTGTTGTGTTGGCTGTCGAAGATTTAGTGTGTTTATCGACACAGAAGGAGCTAGCTGGTAGCGGAGACGGGTCCGTGCCTGCGCTCGGGTGACAGACCACCACAACCCCATCAACACCTCAAGACCCCCGAGTGAAGCTCTGTGGCCCAATGCAGCTGCTCTGGCCCACGTGAGTGCCTGCAGTTGTGTTTGTTCAGCGCTCCCCTTGCGCATTGTGCTGTCCGTCAAACATGCGCGTCATAGCTGCCCTGTTCTTTATTGTGTCACCGGCTTGGACGGTATATGCCAACGTCGAGAAGACCATCTTCCTGGGGCCCAGCGCTGTGACTCTCCCTGATGTCCGTCCCAGCCTAGACAGCCTACGTCTGCAATCGCTGTCAAGCCTCGAGCCTGTTCTGCCAACGCGGCTCTCGGTGCAGTTCCCCACGCGTGCGGAGCCCCACGGCCTGGAGTCCTGGTATCTTCTGAGCGGCTTGGAGGAGGGCAGAAGGTACGAGGCCCGCATATGCTGGCCCGCCACCGTAAGACACACACTCAAGACCGCCGGCGACAGCCAGCGCTGACCTCAGAGCAGTCGCCAACCAACTTCTGGCTTGACACCTACTCGTTAGACGAAACCTTTGCTACTCCAGAGCTTGTATCGTCTCTTGCAAGCTACAGTGATCAACTGTGGGATCTAGCAGCTGCAAGGAAGACGGACAACCTGAAGACCGAAGGAGGAGCACAATCGATACTTTTCCTTCGGATTCAGGCAGCAGCGTCGTACTATTCGACCAACCGCACGTTAATGGACGATCCGCCGCCAGTCGATGTCGATATCAGTAAATCACACATTCGCTGTATTACTCTACGTTACTAACATATCCAGTACTTGACCCCTTTCTCTTTAACGTCCTACCACATTCCCTCGCACCAGTCGCCATCTACATCGTAATTGTTGCAGCCGCAGCTTGGTTTGTGTCAGGATACACGTACAACTGGCTACGCTCGGTGGCCGAGGCGACGCCCTCCAAAGCGCATTCAGACTGAAGTCTTTCCAACTTAAGCGAATCCGTTCTCTTGAAAGCCATGGCATCTGCTGCTGGCGCTCCACCACCACCACCACCACCACCACCACCTCCGTCTCCGCCCCCGCCCCGGCCAACACCAGCGTCCCCTTTCGATCATCTTCCGGCCGAGCTTCTACTCGAAATATGGGAATACCTCAGCGTCAATTCGTCAATGGGGTTTGCGCTTGCGTTATTCCCGACACTGCGCCGCCACGGTCTTATACCTCAATTGACTTTATCGACTTACATGCGTATAACGCGTGACGACACCGAACGTCGCGCCCTCGGTACATCTAGCACATCAGTTTTGGGGAGACTACCGATGGAATTGTGGCTGCAGATTGCTGAAATGGGAAATTCAAAGGACAACATCAGCCTGCTGTTCGCTCTTGCTGGACAATTCTTTCAATTTCAAGAACGACCAAGCGATGAGACGAAAGCCAGGCTACATGTCTGGGCTCGACGGAAGCAGTGAGACGAACTTCTCGAACTTCTCGAACTTCTCGAACTTCTCGAACTTCTCGAGTTCTCTCCAAAGCACAAATTCACGTACCAAACGCTGCATGCTGTACAGAGCATAGAACGCTAGCCTAGGAGCGTTATATTCACTCCAGGAGCCACGCAATTGAAGAGAAGCGAGTAGTGGGGCGTCTACGAATTGGTGGTCGAGTAGAGACATGCTATGGCCTGCCAAGTGGTGCTGATATGGAGCATGTCCATGCTGCGCCACAATACAATAGATATATCCTATAAATTCTTATGCTGTGACAAACATCGTATGTTGTTACATGTCTGTCTGAAATCGGTTTGTAGGCGATGACGTAAACCCTCACCCCACTTTCGGCCCCTCCAGATGTCGCCTTGCGCGAAGTGAGCCCGGCACCGTAAACAATCTTTCATCTCCAATTCAATTGTCCTATCATCCTGTTCGCACCAGGGTCCTATTATCTGGTCGTAAAAGTCGAAAGCCCTAAAACGTTCACATCCAAAGCGCCCAATTTCGACCAAGTTCTATAACCATGGCGAAGCTCAATTTGACTATCCCCAATCTGAAGCTGAACGATGGCGTCCCAATTCCAATGCTAGGCTATGGTACCGGCACAGCTTGGTATAAGACCGGGGAGGAATCCAAGATCGATCAGAGTATCATTGATGCTGTAAAGCTGGCCATCAAGCTGGGCTATACCCACCTGGACGGAGCAGAAATGTACAAGACGGAATCAGAGCTAGGTACAGGTATCAAAGAGTCTGGTGCTGAGCGCGAGAAGCTATTTGTGACCGGTAAGGTCGACAACGACAACATCCACGATATCGAAGGTGCCCTGCGAACGAGTTTGAAAAAGCTGCAATTGGATCACGTTGACCTGTAGGAAAACCTGAGTCCCCCCGAGTACTTCGATCTGTATTGACCAGATACAGCTACCTGATTCATCAACCATGGTTCGCGAAGACCGATGAAGATATCCAGAGAGCCTGGGCGCAGATGGAGGCAGTTCAAGCCAAGGGTCTTGCACGATCAATTGGCGTTTCCAACTACACCCCAGCTCATCTCAACGCCTTGCTGAAGACCGCAAAGGTTGTTCCGGCATGTAACCAAATCGAGTTTCACCCTTACCTCCAGCGTACCGAGCTTCTTGCGCTGCACAAGCAGCATGGCATTGCTACTACGGCTTACGGCCCCCTCACTGCAGCCACCAAGGCTGCTCCGGGACCATTAGATGACTACTTCGCAGCGCTTTCAAAGAAGTACGCCGTCAGCGCAGGAGAAATTTCTCTAAGGTGGTGCATCGACCAGGACATTGTGCCTATCACAACGTCGTCGAAGGAACAGAGATTGAGTGATTACCTGAGGGTTGCAACGTTCAAGTTGACACCCAAGGAGATCCAGGAGATCAACCAGATCGGTCAGCAGAAACACTTCCGTGGCTTCTGGCAGAAGAAGTTTGAGGACAGCGACAGGACTTAGTCGTATCATTACTCGATGATGAAATATGAGCACGTATCCCTCTAGCGCGAATGCATGTACTGCATGGGAGTGACCCCCAATATCTCAGAGTCCGAATGGGTTGCAGATTGACATCGACCGTAAATTTGTACCACTATCCAGTATAGAGCTATATGAAGTGTAGAGTGCTCCAGTATGCAGCGTGGTTCATGAAACTACGACGGGACTCAGGGGGCATATATCGGAGTCACGTGTTTCTCCTTGCTGATTTGGAAGTATAACACTAATACCAAGATCAGGAGCCATATGTGTGATTACGCGCCATCGTCCGATAGTCTTTATTGTGCATACCTGGAGCTTGCACGAGCTGTGGTGACGGTCTGCATCACGTTAGCGTACTCATGAGTAGGTAACTAACTACCTAGGTCGCGCCTGCTCGTCGAGCTTGGCCAAAACTTTCCGCCGCGTCCACCTCCACCACCTGCACACCCCAATCCCATCACGCGCAACCTCCCGCCGGACCCACTGCAGCACACAACTGCCGTGCGCAGATCTGTTCTAGTAACTTCTTGCAGACTGCCCATACTTTCGCTACTGTTGCGCGATCCTGCGACATTAGCTCCAAGGGCTACGTTCCTTGCTGCTCGCACACGCTGCAACCCCCACAATGTCGGGCGCAACAGGTGCAAAGGGGAAGAAACAAGCGAACAAGAACGCCTACAGGCGCGCAAAGAAGAAGGCGCAGCTCACTGTGAGCCCGGCACACCCAAACTCGTTTTGGACAACGGTACTCATCAAGCGACAGGAAACACCCTCTAACTCTACGCCTGAAAGCAAGCCCGCTGAACTAGAAAGCGACACAAATAAGGATGCGCATGCGGTCAAGTCCACGGACTTGGTCAGCCTCGACGACGTCTCGGACCAATTCGACATAGACGACCCACTCTTTGAGCAGTACAAGAATGTTTTCGAAAAGTACAGAGAGCGGACTGAAGAAGATATAGCCACAAAGGACGATGAGAAGCCGGAGATCTACTACAGTGACAATGACGACGTCAGTGAAGCAGAAGAGGGCGAACCGAAAATTTCAAAGAAGCAGCTCAAGGCGATGAAGAAGCTCTCGGTCGCTCAACTGAAGTCTCTGGTGGCCAAGCCAGAATTGGTGGAATGGACAGACGTGTCATCCTCCGACCCGCAGCTGTTGATTGCTATGAAGGGCGCGAAGAATGTCATACCTGTACCTACGCACTGGTCTCTCAAGCGGGAGTATCTTTCATCCAAGCGTGGTATCGAGAAACCGCCGTTTGCACTACCAAAGTTCATCCAGGAGACTGGTATCGCTGAGATGCGAGATGCTGTCCTTGAGAAACAAGCGGAGATGACAATGCGACAAAAGCAGCGCGAGCGCGTACAAGGAAAGCTGGGTAAGCTGGATATCGATTACTCAAAGCTGTACGACGCTTTCTTTCGAAGACAGACGAAGCCCGAGTTGACACGATATGGCGAGGTGTATTACGAGGGAAAAGAGTTTGAGACAAATCTTGTGAACCTGAAGCCTGGTGAATTGAGTGAGGAGCTCAGAGAAGCGCTCGGTATGGCACCAGGGCATCCGCCACCATGGCTGATTAACATGCAACGCTTCGGTCCATCACCTTCGTATCCCAACTTGCGCATCCCCGGTGTAAACGCACCAATTCCTCCAGGAGCTTCTTGGGGGTTCCAGCCTGGACAGTGGGGTAAGCCACCGACAGACGATGCCGGCCGTCCGCTATTTGGTGGCGATCTCTACGGAACCAGCATCCTCGAAGATCAGCAGCATCATTCCCATGACGGTGAGCCGGTTGAGCGTACGACATGGGGTGTTCTACGAGCCGAAGGCGAAAGCGAGGACGAGGAGAGCGACGAAGAGGAAGATGACGATGATGAAGAGGAGGATGAAGAGGAGGACGCAAGCGGCATTCAAACGTCGATGACTGGTGCTGCGTCTGCTATGCCTTCTGAGATTGGCGGCACAGAAAGTATTGGCGGCGAATTCACGCTTCGTAAACAGCGCAAGGGCATAGAGACTGAGGAGCCTGGCGCCCCGCGGACCGCCTACCAAGTCCTTCCAGAAAAGAATATCTCAGCAACCGGCTTCTTCGGCGGCGAGCACGCATACGATCTCGACGCGGCCAAGAGGGACCGCCTTGGAGCTAATTTGAAGCGAAAGGCTGGGGACGTTGACATCTCTGTGGATGTCGACCAGCTGGCAGACAGCGACAAGTTGGACAAGGACGCTTTAAAGAAGGAATATGAGTCGAGGCAACGAGCCGAGGCCGCAGGAGAGTGGCAGAGTATCGACCAAGACGATCTCGCGGACATGATAGCAGCAGAAAGCAGGAAGAGGGTCAAGAGGGAATCCGAGCGTGGCAATAAGCGGTAAAAGCAAGAGGCGGCCTTCTGTACAAAAGCAATTTGGCTTCGCGATTAAGCAGCTCGACTTGAGCCGGCGTTATGGATATCCATGGGTTTCAAAGAACAGTAGCCAGCATTGGGATATGGCGTTTTATGCGGCTACCGTCGAGACGGCGCAGAATGAACAGAATCGAGCTCGAGAACCCCGGTCTCAGGACAAGAAGAAGCTTGCAGTGATGAAAGATGTTTCAAGCAGAAAGACAGAGTGAAGGAACTGGCATTGCAACGAGCTGGCGGCGCCGCCAGGATTGCAAGGTATCATCAAGAAGTACAGACAGACACCTGACAAAGGAGGCTCCAGACTCAGACGACGTGATCCGGGAGATAAACGTGAAGAACACTGCATGAAGCCCACGAGCAAGACGAAGGATAGCGTGCACCGCCAGCCGGTGATTGGAGCATCACCACTACAACTACTGACCGCTACGCCAGGAAGAATTGAAAAGAGCAATCTTCATTTGCAGAAGGACTCTTAGAGCCAGGTCATCGCCAACGCTCGTGATGCGCAACGCGTTGCTGGGGTTGCGTACACGTGACACAGGGTCATTCGCGTGTCAAAGGCTTAGCTCGAACTTTCAACTTTCATTGCACGCCCCGACCGCCTGCATTTGCCAGCCACGACCACACTTACTTGTGAAGCCGCACGCAGCAGAAACATCACAACTGCTGCACAGGACTGCCTGAGATTAACGAAATCAACGAAATCAGCGGAATAACCGTTTGCATCGCAGCAATGGACCGCGACCGCGAGAGAGACCGTGATCGAAGGTTTGTCAAGCCGACAGCACCGTATGCGCGACAACATAGCACGCCAGCTATACCGTGCACACACCATGCACACGTATGATAGCCGCTGACAGTTGCTGTAGAGACGATCGGTACTCGAACACGTATCGACCGCGCTCCCGATCTCCTCGTATGGACAGCTACCGTGGAGGTCGGTCACCGCCGCGCCGTAGCTCTCCTCCGCCGCGTCGCAACTCCCCCCCACCACGCCGCAGCTCTCCTCCGCGACGAGGCTCCCCGCCGCGCCGAGGGCTCGCCTCAGCCGACACATATACTCCCGGAGGCAGCAATCGCCCGTCACGGCCCCGGAGTCGTTCGCCGGCGCCCCGGAGACGCTCGCGCAGTCCGCGCCGAGACGACAACTGGAAGCCCAGGCCGCGCTCGCCAATTCGTCGCGCCTTCTCTCCTCGACGAGAAGGCTTCCGGAATGACCGTGCGCGGTCGCCGAGGAGGGACGGGTATGATTCATATACTCGCTCGCCGCGCCCGCGCGATCGTTCGCCGCCGCCCAGAACGCGTGACGCCTCACCTGCGCGAAGTCGGGGCATGCGTTCACCGGTGCGGCCGACTCGATACGACGAGTCGCGCTCGCGCATCAGCAGGTGTGGCCCGCCATTGGGAGCAGACCAGACTGGCGCTAACCTTGCCAGTCCACGACGCAACTCACCGCCTCCTCGTGACATGCGCGATTATCGACGCCGCTCGCCTTCGCCTAGACGCGAACGAACCGACCCATATACGGCAGACACATGGCGCAACCGCAGATCCCCATCGGCCAGGCCTGCACACCCCTCCAACGAGGCCTCGGGCGTGCAGTCTGCGGCGACTTCACGCAGGTCCTCTCCTCGCCCGACTGTGCATCCTAGCAGAGCTGCCCTTGTAGACGACAGGGCCGCCCGAGAACCTGTGTCTGCCCCCAGGTCGCCGTTCCGCGAACGCGAGACCAGTAGAGCCCCTCGCGACAACTTCCGCGAGCGTGAGAGGGAGCGATCGCCTCCTCGACGTCGGGAGCCCAGCCCGATCCGAGACAGGAGTCCACCGCGGCGGAGGGAAGCTAGCCCACCCAGAGGACCACGGGGCGACAGAGATAGGGAGTTTGCGCCACCTACAGGTCCTTCTTCAGGCCGCCGCAATGGCGATGGCGACTTCGCAAGGGCACCACCAACGGGACCGTCGAGCCGTAGCTACCCTTCGCCAGCCATTTCCCCCCCTACCGGACCTGTCGTTCCGGTGTCGACCGCACCTCCAACTGGCCCTCGTGGAGGAAATCCAGCACTCAGTGCGCCTACTAGACCACGCGGCGGCGGCCGTGGTGGCTATCCGTATGACTCGCCGCGCGACTTCTCTGGTCCACCCCGCCGCGGGTCTTGGGGTGCCGGACCTCGTGGCGGTGGTGGCTTCCGCGGCGGCTTTCACGATGGCCCTGCTGCTGGTCCTCGAGGGTCTATCAGCGGTGCAACGTCTTATTCGGCTACCTTCAGGGGATCCAGCAATTCGACTGCCACGACATATCCTCGCACGATGCGCTTCCGTGATCATCTTGGAGACCTGTCCAAGGAAATCCCTGGTGGACAGAGAGCGCCGGAGGTGTACGACAAGAGCAAGATTCTGAGACTTGAGGAAGAAGCAAGGAAGTTGCGGGAGATGATCGAGAAGAAGGAAGACGCTAAGAGGGCGAAGCTGAGAGAGTGGGATGCGCTGGAGAGGGATGCCGAGACGGCTCAGCTTCGCGTTGATCTTGCTGAGCAGTCACTGAGGAACCTGAACGGCGAGACGGAGGTTGGCGGCGCGGCTTTCTAGTTCTGAGCGCGCCTCAACGACAGCAATGCTCTGCAATCAGACGGAGCTGAACGGATGATGTTTGCCATATTTTGTATGATGGGCTGGACCAGGCTTTTTGCATATATCGTTCATTTTGGAGCATTGTAGCGGGCGCTGGGACTCGGTAGCATGTCCTGAACGTTATGTTCGTCTTCTAAACTTTGCTCTCCTGACTGCGCTGGCTGTTGTGTGGAGTGTGCGCGATGGTCACCCACCTCGCGCGGCGATGGGGCTGCTGGCGGATTACCTCCCACGTCGATTGGCCCACGCGTGGATGCCCACGACGGATCCCTGCTCTGACTCGCAGCTACAGGCGCGCTAACTTTTTTACTCGACCTCTACGCCTCCAACGCCCCGACCGAGGTCTTTCTGAGCGGTCGCAGACATGGTGGGCAAGAAGGTACGATGAGCGTCGCAGCACGCCACCCGACGGCCGGCTAACACGCGCACAGGAAGCGCCAAAAGTCAAGCCCAAAGCTCCCCCGCGCGGGGCAGCACGGCCGAAAGCTCCCGCTGCAGACGGCAGTGCGCAGGAGGCGGATGCAGGCAGTGGAGGGCCAGTGGGCAGCGATGGGGTCGCCGTAGCAGAGGCACAGCCGCCCGCAGACGTCGACCCCGCTGCGTCCGCGTCCGCCGAAGCAACGCGCAAACGCAAAGCGCCACCACGCCCCCAGCCCAAGGACGAATTCGCCGCCCTCCTCGAGCCCTTCTACTACGGCAAGCGCCTCGACGAGCCCATCAACACTGCCCGCGACAAGTGGAACCTGCTGCCGGCCTTCCTCAAGGTCAAGGGCCTGGTCAAGCAGCACGTCGACTCGTACAACCATTTCGTCGACGTTGACCTCAAGAAGATCATCAAGGCCAACCGCTTCGTGCGCAGCGACTTCGACCCCAAATTCCTCCTCGAGTACACCGACATCCGCGTTCTGTCGCCGAACCGACAGGAAGAAGACGACCTCGACCACCACCGCAGTACCATCACTCCGAACGAATGTCGCCTGAGGGACATGACATATGCCGCGCCAATTGTGGTTGACATTGTCTACACAAGAGGCAATGCGAAGGTCAAGCGGACGGGCATTAAAATCGGCAGGATGCCCATCATGCTGAAGAGCAACAAGTGCGTCTTGGCTGCAAAGAACGACCGCGAGATGGCCGTTATGGAGGAGTGCCCGCTGGATCCTGGAGGTTACTTTATCACGCGTGGGCAAGAGAAGGTCATTTTGGTGCAGGAGCAGCTGAACAAGAACCGTGTCATTGTCGAGAGCGCAAAGGGCATCATGCAGGCCAGCGTTACGAGTTCGACCCACGAGCGACGCACAAAGACCTATGTCATCCAGAAGAAGGGCCTCATGTTTTTGAGGCACAACACTCTTTCCGAGGAAGTTCCAATTGCGTTTGCGCTCAAGGCGTTGGGTGTGCACTCGGACAAGGAGATTCTTCTCATGGTTGCTGGAGACGACAGCGCTTACCAGGATAGCTTCGCCATCAACTTCGAGGCGTGTGCAAGAGAAAGCATTCACACCCAGGAGAAGGCCCTGGAATACATCGGTCATCGCGTACGATTGACAAAGAAGCCAGCCGGAGCCTCCCGCATACGCAACTACCACCTCGAGGCCATTGAGTGCTTGTCGAATGTCATCCTTCCGCACGTCCCGGTTGTGGGCACCAATTACCGACCAAAGGCCTTGTATGTTGCTTTGATGGCACGAAGGGTGCTCATGGCCATGCAAGACCCCAAGCTTGTGGATGACCGCGATTACGTCGGAAACAAGCGTCTCGAGTTGTCCGGGCAGATGTTGTCCCTTCTCTTCGAAGACCATTTCAAGCGCTTCAACCACGACTTCAAGCTCAGCATCGACAAAGTTTTGAAGAAACAGAACCGCGCTCAAGAATTCGACGCTTTCTCACACTTTAGCGTGCACAAAAACCACATTACTATGGGTATTGAGCGCGCTATTGCTACTGGAAACTGGAGTTTGAAGCGTTTCAAGATGGAAAGGGCGGGTGTCACGCACGTTCTTAGTCGACTGAGTTACATTGCTGCACTGGGTATGATGACGCGAATCAGTTCGCAGTTCGAAAAGACAAGAAAGGTGTCCGGTCCTCGTGCATTGCAGCCGAGTCAGTTTGGTATGCTGTGCACATCTGATACTCCTGAAGGAGAAGCGTGTGGTCTCGTCAAGAATCTAGCATTGATGACGCATATCACAACCGAAGATGACGAAAACCCGGTACGCAAGATCGTCTTCTTGTTAGGCGCAGAGGATATCTGTTCGCAGACTGGAGAAGAAATTCACGCCGAAGGTGTCTACTCAGTGTGTCTGAACGGTACACCGATCGCCGTCACAGACACGCCAAAACGATTCCTGAACAGCTTCCGAAAGCTCAGGCGAATGGGTCGCATCTCGGAGTTTACCAGTATTCACATTGACCACGATCATTGCGAAGTTCACGTGGCAACAGACGAAGGCCGTATTTGTCGACCGATGATCATTGTAGAGAACGAGCGTTCTAAAGTTACATCACGATATCTCAAGGCTCTACGGAAGGGAACTATGGAATTTGAAGACTTCCTGACAAGAGGTCTTGTGGAGTATCTGGACACCAACGAGGAGAACGATACCAACATTGCATTGACCGAAAACGAGATCAACCAACACACAACACATCTTGAGATCGAACCGTTTACCATCCTGGGTGCCGTCGCTGGTCTTATTCCCTACCCGCACCACAACCAATCGCCCCGTAATACCTACCAATGTGCCATGGGAAAACAAGCCATTGGCGCCATCGCTTACAATCAGTTCAACAGGATAGATACACTTCTCTACCTCATGGTCTATCCACAGGAGCCCATGGTTAAGACCCGAACCATTGAACTCACCAAGTATGATAAGCTTCCTGCTGGCCAGAATGCCACAGTCGCAGTCATGTCCTACTCAGGTTACGATATTGAGGACGCCCTCATTCTCAACAAAGCTTCCTGCGACCGTGGCTTCGGTCGCTGCCAGGTTATGAAGAAGCATGTCACAGCCCTCAAGACCTATGCTAACGGCACATCTGACCGTATTAACGCTGGCGCTCTGGATCCGAACAAGTCAGAGCACCAGGCTATCGGCGCTGACGGTATTGCCCAAGTTGGTGCCCGCCTGGAAGCCGGCGATGCATACCTGCTCAAGAGTCTGCCCGCTGATACCGCAGGCCCGGCCTCGAATCAGTACAAAGACAAGCCTGAGCGATACAAGCTGCCCGACTGCTCTTACATCGACAAGGCGTGCATCACCGAGAACGAAGCGGGAACCACCCTCATCAAGCTGCTTTTTCGACAAACCCGACGACCTGAGCTGGGCGACAAATTCTCTTCTCGCCACGGACAGAAGGGAACAACAGGTCTGATCGTCCAGCAGGAAGACATGCCCTTCAACGACTACGGCATCTGCCCCGATATCATCATGAACCCCCACGGTTTCCCATCCCGAATGACAGTCGGCAAGATGATGGAACTGCTCTCTGGCAAGGCAGGTGTTCTGAACGGCACACTGGAGTACGGCACCGCATTCGGCGGATCGAAGGTCGAAGACATGTCCGAGATCCTCGTCAAGAACGGCTTCTCATACACCGGCAAAGACTACCTCACGTCCGGCATCACCGGCGAGGCGCACCAATTCTACACCTTCTTTGGCCCAATCTACTACCAGAAGCTCAAGCACATGGTACAGGACAAAATGCACTCCCGTGCCCGCGGCCCGCGTGCCATTCTTACTCGTCAACCCACAGAGGGTCGTGCGAGGTCCGGTGGTCTGCGTCTGGGAGAAATGGAGCGCGATTGTCTGATCGCGTACGGGGCGTCGCAATTGCTACTCGAGCGCCTGATGATCAGCTCAGACGCGCACGATGTCGACGTGTGCGAGAAGTGTAAGTTTGATAATATATGAACCATGTTCTACAAGGACGTATGCTAACAGTGCAATAGGCGGTCAGATGGGCTACTCAGGCTATTGCAAGCTCTGCGAGAGCGAGAAGGCGGTGCGCCGCATCACAATGCCGTATGCGGCGAAGCTGCTGATCCAGGAGCTGGGCAGCATGAATGTCAAGGTGACGATCGGTCTGGAAGACGAATTTCCGAGGCATCTGGATTAGGCGAACGGAGGCGCTGGGCGGCGAGGTACGAAGTACGAAGTGCTCCGGTGTTTGTGGGTGCATAGCGCGGGCGCATCTGATTTTGATTCTGATTCTGATTTAGGGCTGGGTTCGGAGGAGGCCAATGGCGCCGTGCGATGAATTTATGATGTAAATTTCTTCTACTTACGGGTATTTCGAGGCACGTCGCTTCCTGATCCAGGTACGCGGGGAGGCCGCCAGTCGTGAAGCTGACATGCTGACAGGCCCCACTTGACTCGCGATCTCGACTCTTCCTCCGTGCCCGGACCTTCTCAGCCCTGACAATAATATTTAATGCGGAGACACATCACTCGCTCACAAGCCTGTCCTGACGGAGGCCCTGAGGTCACAAATTTCGCCAGACCTGCCTGGTTACTGATACGACACGCAACGAGAACGCTCAGCCTTACGTGGCTTTCATCACAATAACCTTGAGGAGTCAGTTCGATAAGACTTACTCTAAAAATCAAAGCCCGCGCACTCAATTGTTCTACTCTATACTTGACGCTTCAATCAGGCGCTACGAGACGATAATGTGATGGACTTGTTGGATACGGAGCAGTCCCCGGCTTCACCCTTGTCTCTTCGCACACCCTACTACAATTATCATCTGCAGCTGCTCAACAGCCATTGACATACAGTGTTCTTGATAAATCACTGCGAATGCTGGCGCAATGCTGTTTTCAACCAAATACAAGAAATACATTCACCAGCCGCTAGTGTACTGGAAACCGCAGATACGTCTTCTCAAGATCAAACCAGACTTGTACGGCCCCATCCGCTGCGAGGTTGAGATCTTCGACTTGGACACGGCGCCGGCATTTGCAGCATTGTCCTACACGTGGGGCCCCGAAAATCCAGTCTACGATGTCGTCGTTGATGGCAGGACTTTGCCCGTCAGGAAGAACCTTCACCACTTTTTAAAGTGCAGACGCAAGGAGAAGAACAAGCACTACTTCTCAGAGAAGGATCTGTATCTCTTCATTGATCAGATATGCATTGATCAGTCTGACCCTGAAGAGCGGAATCGACAAGTGCAGCTCATGTCGCAGATTTACTCCAAGTGCTGGCATGTCATACTCTGGCTCAACGACGAGGAAGGCCAGTGTTTGAGAGAGGCACGACATTTCGGTCATGTGTCTAAGCGAACCTTGTCGCTGGCGAAGTTGCTGAGTAACGACTACTTCACCCGTCTCTGGATTGTTCAGGAATTGTTACTAGCACGGTCGGTTTGCGTTTTCACTCCCGCAAATACGTGGCTGCAATGGTGCGACATAGTGGACACTACACTAAATGCCATGTCAAGCAGCTCAATGACTGCTGAAGAATCAGCGGCGTGGAGACTGGTCCCAAGGAACACTTCGAGACTGATACTCATGAGAGACGTATTTTCCCGCGAGAGACGGACTAGCCTTAAAAGGTTGATAAAACCAAAGAAATCAAGTTGGCTTCGCCTCGCTGTAAAAGCCGGAGAAGGAATGAAGACACAGGAGCTGCTGGAGGTCCTCCGTTTCAGCGCCAACATCTGCCACGAACCCAGAGACAAGGTTTATGGCCTCATGAGTCTACTCGAGGTCGAACATCAGCTGACTGTTGACTACAACAAGTCGATCTACGAGGTATACAAGGATGCGATCATGGGGCTCTACCGTGTCGTTGAGCTTGAGGATGAGGAGAGCTACAAGCGGTGGATCAAAGCGACACAGCAACTGGGTAAAGACATGGGAGTGGACGACAGCGATATAGCAGAGCTGTTTGCCTTACTGGAGTTCGCTAATCTGATCCTGCCAACTCGAGGGCACTTGACTGATGGAGAGGCCAGGCTCCCGTCGTTAGTGTCGATGGTGGGCGTTGTAGTCAGTAACACGCTAGGAACTGACGTAGATTCGACGTCTAAGAGATTTGGAGCAGACGGTCTGACCCACCACAAGGAATTTGCGACCAACCAACACACAGGAGACATCAATAAGTCCGGATTGAATGAACCTACAGTCAGAAGCTATTTAGGACTACCGCCGGGCCTCCGCAGAAGCAAGGGCCCCGAAAAGAAGGAAGTCAGGAAACCCAAGACCAACCAGCCAGAAGTCGTCGTCAACTTCCAATACAACATCGTTCAGGAATTATCCCACTACTCAGAGCAAGGGGAAAGCGAAGACCCAATATCGCAGGAGAAACGCTGGAACGCATTCACAAAGCAGATCACAGATGTCGTCCAGCTCCACGACAAGGGCCTGCAACTATCGTGGTACTTCCTCCACAACGGTGTCATATTCCGCTACCGGACTACGCCCAATTGGGAGGCTATCCTCCGACTTTCTCCCTCTAGAATGGCTAGCATCGTGAAAGAGTACGAAGATGAGCGCGCCACTGACGAGGAGCCGGCAACGCCAGAAGCACAACCTGTACGTGTCGTGCAGCATGCCTCGGAAGAAGAGAAAGAGCAGCACGTAGCTCTGGTGGTTGCGATGCAGATTTTCAAGCTGCTGCTGTTCGTGTACCTTGGCGTCACGGGTTTTAAGTTGGTGAAAGCCATGGTGCGGTGGTGCTTTGCGGATGAAGTAAGGCAGGTTGTGTCGGTGGTTTCTGCGCTTTGGGGCTTCTATCGCGTTGCTCGGCGGAAAGAGCCTGGTTCAAGCAAGGGATACTGAAAGTAGAGACGTTGGTTCAGACTTGGTTGTTGAGCGCGTATTTGGAGGCAATCGCAGATTCAAGCGCACTGAGAGCCCAAGTCTGGCAATGGATACTTCTCGACACCAAGCGTTTCAGGCAATCTCTGCACAATCATTCATTGCAGCTATCCTGGAAATGACCTAACCTACAAGCTCAGTGTCCGTTCACCCCGTTCGTCCCCGCCCCTATCGCTTCCTTGATCAAGTCTGCTCCCTTCTCAGCAACCGCATATACCAAACTCACGATATTCCCCTGTACATGCAACGGGAAGATACTCGCATCCACAACCCTCACATTCCTCGTCCCATACACCCTCAACTTATCATCCACCACTCCGCCCTTCTCACGCGGCAACATCGCACAGCTCCCCACAGGGTGATACTCCGTCACCGTGTTCCCCCTCACAAACTCCTTCGCCTCGTCCAGCGTCCTCGGCAACTTCCCACCCGTCGTCGTCTTCGCGATGATCGGCGCGCCCTCGGCGTCCCGCCGCAGCGCCGACTTCAGCGGCTCGACCTCCGTGAAGCTGAGCGTGTGCAGCAGCGCGCGCGCCATCATGTCCACGTCCAGCGGGTGCTTGAAGTACGCCGGGTCGATGGCGGGATGCGCGGCGGCGTCGGCCGACACGATGTGCACGTTGCCGCGCGACAGCGAGCGCGTCGAGCAGCACCCCAGCGTCACCCACATGCCGTCCTCGTCGCACGGGAACAGCTTGCTCGGGGTGTCCGCGTTCTGGAAGTTGGCGCCGGTCGGGAGCCCGACGATCTGGCACACGGCTTCGCGCGGGTTGAGCAGCTGCGAGGCGAGCAGCGGGTCGCGGCCTGCGGGGTCGGCGTCCGGGTTCGCTTTTTGGAACTCGGAGACGAGGGATTGGATGTGCGCCTCTGCGTTTGGGAAGTCGGGCTGGATCTTCTCGAGGGAGGCGAAGCCGGTGGTTGTTGGGGCGCCGACGAAGGGCCCGGCTTTGTGCTCGATGTAGGCGTTCAGGGCCTGTTGCATGATCTCTGGGTTTCGGTAGAGTGCCTCGGCGGAGGGTACTTCGTCGATTGTTCCCTGACCATATTAGTACTCTGATAGAATGAAGATGTTGAAGCCTGAACTCACCACCACAGCACCTGTCGCTGTGTGGTCATTGAGGTTCTCCCCGACGCCGGATAGTTCGACGACAACCTCTACACCGGCCTTCTCCAAAACCGTGCGTGAGCCGACGCCAGAGAGCTCCAGGATCTGCGGCGAGTTGATTGCTCCTCCACTGATGATCACTTCTTTCTTAGCCTTGACTGTGTGTGTGGAGCCATCAACAATGAACTGGACGCCTGTAGCTTTCACATCGCCTTCAGATGTCTCAAAGTCGATCTTAGACACCAAAGCATTGAGCTGCAGCGCCAGATTGGGCCGATCGGCATTGGGCTCATAGTAGCCTCGTGCCGCATAGCTTCGTCTCCTGTGCTGAGGATCGATAGTGTTCAGCTGGTTAAAACCGCCAATGGCAGATCCAGTACGAGGGTCTTTTGCCTCCTTGTATCCCGCATTGAGAACAGTCTTCGGCCAAATGTCCTGCATGGGCGCTACATCTGTCTCAGAAAAGCAAATCTGTGCACATTAGAAGGGCCTAAGTAACGCTTGTCACACTTACGTGGATTGGGCCCGAAGTGCCGCGCAGTGACTTGTCGAGGTACTTGTTGTTGAGGCCCGCACCCAGCGTTTCCGATGCTGGATGGTACGTCTCGAACTTCTTGTAGTACGGGATCAGACTGTCAAAGTCCCACCCTTTGTTGCCAAGCTGGGCCCAGTTGTCCAGATCCTGCCGCGAGGCCATGCTGAACATGTTGTAGTTGATTGCTGAGCTGCCGCCGAGGACTTTGCCGCGAGCCCAGCCATGAACCCTGCCGATCGTGCCTTCCTGTTCATGGCGTTAGACATGCGCCCGTTAAATTGAGAATGAGAGATGCATACCTGCGGAACGGTCTTGTAATCCCAATCGTACTGCGGCTTGCCCCACAACTGCGTGAACAGATTTGGGGCATCAATCAACATGTCGTCCAGGCCATTGCCACCAGCCTCAAGAATCGCGACAGTCACATTGGGATCCTCACTCAGCCGAGCTGCGATAACGAGACCAGCTGTGCCACCGCCACATACAACGTAGTCTAGGAGCACATTGTCAGCATCAGGCCACTACAATGATTGAACAGTAGCTCTTGTACCGTAGCTCTTGCTTGTGAATTCCTCAACAGTCATTCTTGGTTATTTAGATCAGGATATTCCTGAGATTCAAGAGATCGTTAATGTGCACAACACTTTACTTTATAAGATCCGAGAGAGCTGAAATAAGCACAGTAAGCAGACATAGCGGAGCCTAGACCCACTCCACATGTTGAACGTCGCTTCCAAAATGGGGGAATGCTCCTTTGTTGCATGCCAATTAGGTTTGTTTTCTTCAGCTGAGAACGCGGGGAGCAATGTACCCCGCGGTTACCTTATGCAAAGTGATGCAGGTGATTCGAACGACCGCATCCATAACGGGTAGCGTGACTAGTCGGCGCTATGGAGTCAGGCTAGTTGTTACTGGATGGATTTGGCTTGCCGTTCCAGAGGGCACCGGTGACAGCGCACCTGCGCTAAGGTTATCCTGTCTTGTAGCTCAGCCACCACGAGTTGCGCTCCGCCACACCAGAGCTTAGGTATCAACCAAGATGGTCACCATGTTTTCTTCTCGTCGTCTGAACCATATCATCAGTATGGGCAATGTCCGCCAACGAAATAGCGTCATCTACACTCTACACCCATGAGCCGCTAAACACGGAGAGACAGCAGATACGCCTGCTCAAGCTTGCAAAAGACTGTACCGGACCACTACAATGTGTAGTCAAGATCTTTGACTTGGACAATGCACCCTCATACTCTGCACTCTCGTATAGGTGGGGATCACCCGTAACAGAACTCGAAATCTTTCTGGATGGCCGGTCTTTCCGTGTCCGCGAAAACCTCTTCCACTTCCTGCAGACATTTCGTCGTGAGCAGGAGGCGACATATCTCTGGATCGATCAGATTTGTATCGCACAATCCAATGTCAAGGAGCGGAATCACCAGGTCAACTTGATGTCTAGGATCTACAGCCAATGTCGGTCTACGATTATATGGCTATGTGATGCCCAGGGCCTCTACTCTCGTTTCGCAGCAGACTTCAATACCACCGGAAAGAGTGCCTCTTTGGCTCCCCTCATCGCTGATCCATACTTTACGCGGCTTTGGATAGTGCAAGAAGTGCTGCTCTCACCTCATGTGCGAGTGCTGGTCAGTGGTAACATTTGGGTGTCGTGGGACGCCATGGGAGACTGCTTCAAGACCAAAGGTTGGAAGCCGACACCTGCGAAAGCACTAGTGCTACCACAATTCGGCCAGGAAATCCGGCCGTCAGAACTAAGCTGGTACATACGCAGGTTTAGCAGCAATGGCTGCGAAGATGCTCGCGACAAGGTGTTTGGACTCCAAGGCCTGGTCCGTCCAGAAAAGCGCCTGAATGTTGACTACAATAAGCGGCCATTTGAGGTTTGGGTCGACGCCGTTCTTGCGTGTCCGATTCGTAAGCAGTTTGAAGTTCTCTGGCATCTTGGCGAGGATATGGGTATTGAGACTGCTGATATTGTCAGCTTGGACTCTTTCCTGGCACTGATCTTGCCCAATATACGTGCACCCGAATCCAAAAACACCATGTTGATATCTTCAATCGGCATTCACACGGATATAAAACCTATAGAGAGAAAACGACCCCCCGTCGCAAGGCGTGGAAAACGGGAGAGGGCAGAAAAACCAGACATACGACCTAAGGTCTGGATACACAGTATGGACAGTGAAAATGCATTTCTGAACCCCCGAAAATCACATTCAGCCTGCAATCGTTGCGAGACATTCCGGATGTCAGGCACAGAGTTCAACTCTTCACGCGGCCCCTGGGACATCGTGGAGGACATAATGAACGGTCAGTCTATAGAATGCGGCCTAGAGGCTCAGGAAAAACGCTGGGCCATGCTCGAGAAAAGGCGGCAAGGCCCTGGATATCGGTCATTTCCGAGGGTATATGTCAAAAGATGGTATTTCTCCTATGGAGAGAAGACATACAAATACATGTGTGCACCTGACTGGGAGGCTGTATGCCAACTGGATCCCTTATTAATGAAGTCAATAGCAGAAAGACTCTGTGAGACCGCGCTGAGGGAGCAAGAAGCTCGCATGGCTGAATTGGCAAAGAAAAGTCTCATGCTTCACCGCCGGCGCTCCTATTGAGATTGTGGTTGTTACGTAGAGGGTATTGTCGCGGGAGAGCACGTGGAGGTATAATGGAGCCACCCAGATGTGCTCTGAGTGGCTCAGGAGCGCCCTCGTCATCACGGAGGCGCTCATCAGAGCTGCCCAAGTCAGTGAGCATGTGACACATGACTCAGACGCTCCTGGAGCTGGAGGAACGTAGCTCTGAACGCTCCCTATTTAGAATCGTCCCATCTGATCTTGTAGCAGATCAGTGGTCCAATATATCGATCACCTGAATACGCTCTTTGCTTCTCGATTCCTTCACAGATGTTTATTTTAATGTGATCAGAGCGACCTTTCACGGTTTCCCTGCGACAAGCTCATATTCATTCAATCGCTAGATGGAAGCATCCGACTCCCAGGCCACCAGGATGAAGTTGAAACCCCCGTCACAGCACCTTAATGAAATCCATTCCTCATTCCCTTCCTGCTCCTCGGCCAAGTGCTGACTGTTTAGTTGCTGATGTTCGTTAGTAAGTTCGCGCTTTTGACCATCTGCTACAACACTCGCCTTGTGTAGATACATCCGCGGCTCTATAGCTTCACATCCATCTATTTCCCCTTGACAGTGCGTACGACTAGCTTCCCAGCCGAATAACAGAGGCAGAAAATTGATATCGGCGCGCCTACCAAAGTGCCAGGCATGTTGAAGATTATACTTGCAACATCGGTCTTCGTCCCCATGATTTCGCCGGCAGCAGGTAATGGAAAGTTTAAGTTTGAAGGTAGTAAGATTGTAAGTTCCGTGGAATAGTGTTGATGCTCTCGAGGAGAAAACTCACATGTTTATATAATCGTCCTACATTCTAGCCACGGGCAACGCTTTGACGGTGTGCTTTCTACCTCGTTACCATGTGAATCTGATGACGCCCTGACAATGCTACAGGTAAGAATTACTAAGGCTGAACAGAAGGTCATCACCACTGTTCCATCCGTAAGTAAGTGTTGGCACGAAGGACGCCGTGCTTAGGTAGGCGGAGCTGAACTTCTGACGAATTGAGATCGGGCAGCTGCGCTCTCATTGTGCCCTCAGACCAAGATAGCTGACACTCCCGATACTTTCAGCTCACGGCTACCGCACCCGAGGTGCACATTGGCCAAACAGCGGAGGACCCGGCCTTGGAAGTCGTCACATGTGGCAGCGCCACAAGTACGCAGTTGCACACAGCCTCGAGACCGAGCTTACGACTCGACGAATAAGATCGGTATTCCAAATGTCTGCATAGCCAATGCTTTCGGTCCCGAAACTACGATGCTCTCATGAGGGGTAGGCACAAGGCTGAACAAGTCTGATTTCGGCCCCACCCGTACGACTTCCCTCAAAACGGTGTGGAGGGTCTTAGTCGCATTCGCCCTTGATCCTAAGTGGCTTGGATTGCTCTCACGCGATGGTATGAGGTGATGTGGCTGTGCGTTCAGAATACCGGACAAGCGCAGATATGTGACTTCAGGTTGTGCGAGTTTGCAAGGGTCGGCATCGGCTCACAAACTCAGAAGGGACTTCCCGGCAAGCGCTTGTGTCTAGAAGTCACTATCGGCAGTGACAAGGTGAGATGGCAGTAGGAAGATCGATCCACCGAAGCTGTGTATGCGCTGGGCTTGCCAAATCCAAGTCTGCAAACGCGGTGATCGCAGTCGCTCGAGTCCTAGCCCTGATGATTCAGTCAGATGTGATATATCTCTGGGCTCTGCCAATTGCCACGACAGCTTACCGGTGCACTGAAATCTCCGTTACTGACAGTGAAGGCACCTGGATCACCGGTGAAAGGCAGAATCGCTCAGTGCTAGTCGTGGTCATCCTCCGAGAGGACCTCCCAACTGAAACTGCTTGCGTACTGTTCTTCTGGCGTGAGCTATAGTGCTTCAAGCCCTCTCAGCAGTGTGAACACACTCACAGGCAAGCAGTGAAGCTGGAGATCGGTCTCGACGAGGGCGCGTGCCTGCTGACCTTGTCAGTGCGCGTTTGCACGCGACTGCAAATTCTCCAGGGCTTGACATCATCGGTAAACAACGCGTGTATCTCACCTCACCTCGCAATCGATCACGTAGGCGGGGACAAGGCAAAAGAGAAGCTTCTTCTTCTTCGACTGGCTGCACAAGGCTTGCCAAATCAACGAAAAGTCGCGTACACCAGAGGTAGTGCTATACCGGCGACACTGTGCTGATGAGTATGAGCAAGCTCAGTGACCCGTCAGCTGTTGTCAAAAACTGGAATAATCGTGAACCTCAATAGAGGTGTTCAAGTCGATTAAACTTGAAAGAACAGATACTACACTTGATCTAAGCCAAATGGCAAACTGTAAGGTGTCAGCAGAAGGAATGTGAGGGTGGGTTGTAAGACGGACGAGATGCTGCAGACTTGGTTTGGGGCGGGGGACGAGTTGCTTAACTGTCCAATGCTCTTGGCGGAGCTAACAATGCTCTTGGCGGGGCTAATCCTATTTCGGCATAGCTCCAGCAGCTCCAGCAAAGGGTGCAAGGTTGGGAATGAGTGACCGTCGATAAGCGGGACTCTCCCAGAGCGCCGACGTCAGTGTCGAGGAGCGTGCATGATCTCACGCGGAGTCTATCAAGATGGCCGAAAATCCCAGCTCGGGCTTCGCAATACGCACTGCATGGTCATTTGCTATCTGACCTGGAGAGCTTCCTCATTCCTGCATCGCATACTCTGATTGCACTCAATGGCCTACTCTTTCTTTTGCACAGTATATCTGCCCTCGATCTCTTCGAACTGCAGAACAGCATTACAGATGCTCTGCGTGCGACTGCTAAGGATCAAGATACAGTCGCATCAGAAGTCAAGAAGGGTAATAACAGCACGCAGTACCTTGAACTTGGTCTGTTATATCGATTAAAACGTACCAGTGAGACGACACAACACCTTGAGAAACCAGACGCATAGACTTTGGGATGACCTGCGACTCCTGCACTGTGCTTTCCTGGCCAGACGTTCTCCTGCACAATGCTCAGGACTCCACACGCACCAAGAATCACCAGCATGGAAACAGACTGAGAACTACCCGAGACGACGAGACACCGATTTAGTCTCTAAGTTTGTACGATACCCATTGCCACTTCCAGGGCACCTAAGACGATCTCGAGGACTCAGGTCAGTGAACATTGTCACTATTCGAAGTAAGGACTGATCCAATAGCGACAGGCAATTACAATGAGCGAGATGCTCAAGCACTTCTTTTCTCACTCGGTATCTTCATACGTGATGTTTGAAGCGCGAAGACTCGCCATTTCCTGCCTAAGATCATCGCGGCTCAGTTCGTACTCTACTCCGGGTTTCACAGTTCATGTATTACGTTGTGAGCCAGATCACATCACCAGATTTCAAGGCAGCGATGACAACGACTGGCTAGGCTGGCAAGCTTTTAACATCCGGTCAGGCAGACACCAGGATAATACGACATGTCTCGTCGAATACAGTTCATCAAAAAGGGCTGTGTATGTATAAATTGTGGCGAGCATCGTGAAAAGGTCTGGAACTGGGAAGGCCTGAGAGGCGCAGGCCATGCAGCATGCACGACCAAGCAAGGTTGTACGCCACGACCCCCACTAGATTATGCGCAGCCTCGCACTCAGCTGCAAGCCATAAGCTGCAGGCCCTCAATAATTGCCAGCGCATGCGCTTTGCGTTCCTAGGACTCTGACACTGAATCTCCCGCGAAACCACCTGCGAGCGCGGTGCGGACCTTCGCGAAACCTCCCAGCGACTCTGGACGCACACTCTTCCTAGCATCGGCAGCAAGGCTGCGACCCACTATTGGACATGTCAGACGGATTCCATGGGTACGAGTACCCGGATCTAGATACCACGCAGAAGCAAATCCGGTTGCTTCGACTCCGACACAGAGCCCATCACGGGCACTTACCACAATATGAGCTCCACACCTTCGACCTGGAAAACGCGCCGAATTACATCGCATTGTCGTACACTTGGGGCCCCGCGTTCCCCAACTACCCCATCCGCGTCAACCGCCGCAAGCTCCACATCCGGGCGAACCTGCACGCGTTCCTCCAGGGCTTCGCGGGGCGAGGCTACATCTGGATCGACCAGATCTGTATCGACCAGTCGAACCCGGAGGAGAAGAACCACCAGGTGCGCATGATGGCGCAGATCTACCGCGACTGCGACTCGATGATCATCTGGCTGGGCAGCAAAGACCATGCCTTCCGCGAGGCCGCCGACGAATTCATCTACAAGCAGCGGCCTCACTCGCTCAGCGTGCTGCTGCACGACGACTACTTCACGCGTCTGTGGGTCGTGCAGGAAGTGCTGCTCGCCCGCGCCGTCCGCATCATCTGCCGCGGCATGTCGGGCCATGTCGAAATCCCGTGGAACGACGTGCACGCCGTCGCCACGGGCAGCGCGCGCTGGCTGCAGCAGCACGGCCACACCAAAGCCGTGCTCGCGCTCATCGCCAACCAGGGCATGAACCGCTACGAGGGGCTGCGGCTGACCATCGCCCGCTTCGCCGGCTACGAGTGCGAGAACCCGCGCGACAAGGTGTACGGGCTGCTGGGCATCGTCAAGCCCAAGGAGCGGCTGGAAGTCGACTACACAAAGTCGGTGCAAGACGTGTTCCTGGACGCGGCGCGCGCACTGCAAGCCTCGAAGCTGGACCGCCCGGACCGCGTCAACTGCAAAGCCCGGCTGGAGTTTCTCGCGCGCAAGATGGATCTCGCGGCGTCCGACAGGGGGCTGACGGGCCTGCGCGCGATGCTGCAGGACGTGTTTGGGTCGACCAAGACGGCGCGGTCGCTGGTGGCGAAGCTGCCCAAGACGGCGCGCGTGCACACCATGGGCTTTGATCCGCAGCGGTCGGGCGCGAGTCTGGACGACGATGCGGCGAAGCGGCGGCTGGCGCGTTGGTGGTGCGAGTTTGAGGGGAAGCGGTACTACCACGCGTGCTGCGGCTGCCAGTCCAAGGGCATGTGCGGTTGCAACCCAGGCAGGGCGGTTGTAAGGAAGACGCTGGCGTTCCCGTGGGTCGCGGCGGGCGTACAGCTTACTGCGAAGCAGAAGCAGGCACTCAGCGGTGTTGCGAAAGCCACCGGCAAAGATGCATCTGTGGAAGACGCCGAGGCAGAGAGCGACGACGAGGAAGACGAGGACGCAGCCGGGGAAGATACATTTAACGGTACGACGAGCCTGGATGCAACCGACGACGTGACCGAAGATGCACTCGACGGTATGACTAGCCTGGATGTGACTGACGACGAGGACACAATCACCCACCGAGCATCCCCAGGCTCCCTGCACAAAGCAACATCAAAGCTCAGCGTCTGATCCCTGTCCTTGGTGTTGAGTGAATCACACTACCAACCAAGTCGAACAAGTCCTACATCTCGTCGCACGCCTATCGCCACCTCGAGTCCAGTCGAAAGCTACGATGCAGGACGCCGTCGGAACATGGTTCGTCTGTGCGTGGCGTGCGCGTCTACAGCACCAGCTGAAGCAATCTCAACGCCTCACTCATTCTGGCGGCCTGTAGTGCCATAGCTGCATGCGCCAGCTATGGCGACAAGTGTCCGCTCTGCTTGCAGGGGGCGTGGTGTGCGTGATGCGAGAAGGCTGCATGAGCAGGGCAGCGTGGGCCTGGGCACATGATTGCTGGGTCGTGGAGACCACTCGCGTCAGTGGGGCGAACGAAGCGAAGGACAAGAAGGTTGAAAGAAGAAGAGAAGAAGAAGACGAAGGAAGAAGGAAGAGGGGTAGGAGGAGCGCAATCAATTGATGATAGAACTACTTTTGACGCAGACCGTCGAAAGCTATAGACTCCAACACAGCATCACCGCCAATCCCAAGTCCCCAATTCCCCAACGCCATAACTCCACGCATAGACTCATCAAATCTTTCCGCCTTCCTTGCACCATGACTCCCCCGCTTACTGCTTGATAACAGCCTCCAACCGCTCCAACAGCATATCCGCGTGATGCTTCTGGAAGATCAACATCGGCCGCAGCCTCACAGCCTCCATCCCGCTGCCGCCAATATTCACGCCGTGCGCCTTGGCACTGCGCAGCACCTCGTCGCGCCTGGGCGTGTCCCACGCGATGAACGTGCCCTGGCCCTTACCCCTTAGGTTCTGGATGTCCTGGGGATACCGCTCGGCGAGGCGCTGCAGGCCCGCGAACAGGTAGTCGCCGGTAGCGGCGGTGTGGGCGACGAGGTCCATGCGCTTGATTTCCTGGATGATGGCGCGGAACAGCAGTGCGCGCGCCGGGTCGCCCATCCAGGTATTGAACTGGCGGTAGGGTTTGTTGGGGCGCAGGGCGTCGTTGCCGTAGTAGTAACCCGCGGTCTGGGCTTTCTTGGAGAAGGTGACCATGTCCGGGGGCGACGAGAGGTTCCAGTGGTCGTGGGCCCAGAACTTGCCGGTGGCGCCGACGCCGGTTTGGACTTCGTCGACGATGAGCAGCACGTTGTTGCGGGTTGTGAGCGCGCGGAGACCCTGGAAGAAGGCGGGCGAGGCGTGGTTGTCGCCGCCTTCAGACTGGATGGGCTCGATGACTACGGCAGCGACGGGCTTGGGGAATTCCTTGATGAGGCGCTCGGTCTCGTCGAGGCAGCGTTGCTCTTCGGCGGCGTTCTCGGCGGCGAATTGGTCGAGGGGGGTAGCGGAGGGTGGGGAAGGGCGCCTGGGGCCAGTCGAAGGCGGGGATGTCGAGCTTGTGGATGGGCTTGGAGCGGGTGGTAGACAAGCTGCCGAAGAGGCGGCCGTGGAAACCCTTCTTGAAGGACATGATGGACATGTCGGGGGCGCCTGGAGACTTGTTGTCCATGGACGAGCTGATATCAGCCTCGGAGAAGTCGGCGTCGTAGCTGCCGCGCTCCTGCTGGCGCTTCCACATGAAGGCAGCCTTGTACGCGAGCTCGTTGGCGTCGGACCCGGCCTGGGCGGTGAAGACCTGGTTGAGCCCCTTGGGCGCCACGGCGAGGATGCCCGTCTCGAGGATGTCGGCCCAGTCGTGCTGCGGGAAGTTGCCCAGCGCTGGGCGGTTGATGATGGCCGACGCCATCTCGGGCGACGTGGCCGCGAGCTGCAGCGCGGGGTTGTTGTAGCCCACGGGAATCGACGCGATCTGCGCGTACACGTCGAGCAGCACGTTGCCGTCGAGGTCTGCAATGCTACGTGCTTGTTAGCCACGCTACGCCTACTCCTGTCTGCGGCACGTACTAGTTGCCGTAGCTCTGCTGGTAGTTGGCCATCATGTTCAAGCTGCGTGTGTCGGTGACTTTGCTGAGGCGCTCGATCGCAGCCTTGCTCTTGGGACCTGGAATCTGCGTCTTGACGATGGGCTGGCTCGGCTCATCAGGGAAGAAGGCCTGCTCGCCTGCGTCGGTCGGGACGGCAGCAGCAGCGGCGGCGGCATACTGTCGTCGCAGCGCACTGGACGCTGTCTGTGCAGTTGGGCGGCCAAATGTCGACCGCGCGCGGCCTGCTGTACGGAGAAGGGAAGCCATTGTGAGGTTGGAATGTCGAGGAGCGGCTATGTGCGGGCTCTCACAGAAATATATCCAACGCTGAGGGGGAGCTCGAATGCGGGGTGGACCACAGCTTCGACCCTGTTACGTGATGGAATGCTTGTCGAAGCAGCTGCTGTACTCGAATGTCTTTCAGGGAACAATGAACGGTGCGGCCGGAGATAGCGACCCCCAGAAGGGCGCAATGCATCTTATACTCCCCGCAGACCGCTATCAATCGCAGCCGTTGCAGTTGCATGAAGTATGGCACTTTGCCCGAAAAGAGCTACTCCACGCGACCCCAAAGCTTAGCGTAGCCAGGGTCCGTCACCGCCTAGCCACTCTGGGCCACAAACGCTGGCAACGTGATCGCTACACGCCAGTGTAGGCCCCATACACGCGCTACACGCTCCAAACAAGCAAGTGACTCCGGCTGTAGCCAACGACCACATTCATTCCGAGCACCGTCTTTTCCGACGGGCTGTTGGGAGACTCCTTGATCTTGTGTCACTGAGCGTCTCGTTCGGAGCTTCATTATCGTCTCGTTTATCAGTGGACCAAGAGTGGAGTCTGTTTGGTTGTCGTCCAATGCATTGATATCCGCCTGCATCAGGCAGACCACTGTCTATCGTACCGCTCCCATCGCACTCATACCTATCCGTAAATGTAGACTGGCCCATAACACCGAATCAAATAGCACAATCAGAGAGGCTTTTCCACCTCGAGGGTATCACCGTCGCAAGATCAGAGTCCTAGGTCCCATGTGCCGAAGCAATATGCACTCGCCAGATAACAGAACACCGCAAGCATCGCTTAAGCAAAAATAGACAATGTTCGTGGGGAGAAATGATGGTGTACATGTCGTCATCGATCAATACGTTTGTTGCCGCAGCCTACGAGGGCTGGTCAAGATTGACGCGCAGGGAGTACTTCAGCCCTTGGTTCTCGCAGAATTCGCTCAAGAACTTCAGTCCGAACCGCACGGCCTGGATCGGCGTCGTGTCGCTGGAAATCGGTAGGAAGTAAGGTCCCGACAAGCGCGCTCCGCTGACCTTCTCCGCGTCCTGGACCAGCTTCGCGTTTGTTTCTCGCCCGGACCACGTCTTCTTGTATATCGTCTGGAGGTCTTCGACAGGCAGCGCTATCCTCGCATCCTGGACATGCGCCACCATCATTTTGGAGTGGTCTGCCAAAAGCGCAAAGTTCTCCGCAAGAGACGTATGTTCCCTCGCGAGCTGGGCGGGTGCGATATCTTGAGGGGAGTCGTGGGTCTTCGTATTAGTTGCACGCTGCGATACCAGCGAGCAGATTGTCGAAGCAATGACCGAGCTCAGATACGAGCGCAAGCCGTCAAGGTGTGCGAAGTCTTTGGTGAACCGTGCGTAGGACAGACACAGAGGAAGAAGAGTCTTCCAAGTCTGTTCTACCTCACCTGCCCGTCCGCGGAAGTTGAGAGAGAGGTCTTGTGCGTAGTATGCAGCCATGTAAGATCTTAAACTGTCAGTCATGTCGTGCCAAGATAAAGCTATCAACTTACAATATGCACTCCAAATTCGTCACCGCCGCGCGCTTCTCGTCTTGCTTTGTTGTCTTGTTTCCCTTTTCTGTCAGGATTTTGGTGGCTTCGTGTTTCAACGCGCGGCCCATTTGGTTGAGCTTCTGTGATGTTTGGGCCATCAGGGAGATTTCGGCTTGCTTCTTCCCAGTCAAAGGCGCAGATGTGGGCATCGACCTCACATCGGGTCTAGCGTTGGCGGGTGTACCACCCGACCGACCTGGCGTTGCGTCCTGACTTTCAGAGGAGCCAGTGCGCAGCATATTGATAGCTTTGTGCTCCTTCTTCGGTGTCTCGTGCTGCAGCTGGCTCTTTTGCGCGCTAGATCTGTTAGGTACAGCAGAGGATGAGGTAGCCTGCGGTGTTGGAGTTTTTGGTCGATCTTGTCCGGAAAGTGCTCTTTGCCGCTTGGCTGGCACTGCGAGTGCGACATCGTCGTCGGCGGCCCTGGGGCGCTTCTCTGCGACCTTCGCGGCCGGCGGTGCAGGCTTGCTGGGCGTGGGTGTCGACGTTGTTGACGCTTCTGGCCGACGTGCGGCGATCTTGGGTATAGGCTTCAATTTCTTCTGCACAGGATCCTCCACAACTTTTGTGCGAATCTTGACTGGAGACTCTTTTGGGGGAACCGGACGCTCTTTCTTCTCCGGCAAAGCTCGTTTCGGCGGTAAGCGGAGCACCTGCTTGACGGTCGCCGCTTTCGCTTTCGAAAACCTTAAGGTGACTATCAAGGACGGCTCCTTTTCCTCCGTTTTGGCTGGCGGCGCAACGTATGGTGACTTTCCGCTCACGGAGACGGCTCGAATGCGCTGTTCTGTCTTGACAGTCTTTTCTGCAAGTTGCGGCCTCTCCTTCTCCTTTGGTTTTGGTACTGAAAGTGTCTGGCTCTTGGGTTCAGTTGACGATGCTGACGCGCTTGACACTGCTCGTGACCTGTGCTGCTCCAGCCTGTCCAGTTCTGCCTGTATACTTGACGGTAGAGTAGGCGATAGGATGCTCGGTAATCCGTACGGGTTGCTCAGAGGCTCGTGTACTGGTGATAGCATGGGAGGTAGGCCATGTGGTGTCGAGTTTGAGGGACTCGATTTGTCCACGGTTCTTGAATCTTCGTCTTCTATGCGCTTGACTTCTGCTGCGGGAGGGCGAGGGGGCAGCGGGTGGTGACTGCTTGATTGGGTGTCGTGCTCAGGTTTGCGCCTGTTGCGGTCTTCAGCCGCACGTCTGTCTATGTCAGCTATGTCGTGGCGCGTGATCAGACCAAAATACTCTTTGGGTGCCTTCACATCTGCCGGTTTCTGGGCGGGTGCTGGCTGCTTCTCAGGCTTCTTCACGCCGTTGCTTTTCGCAGGCGGAGGTTTCGAGGGCGGCAAACTGGGCGAGGCGAGCTTGGAGCCGGGGGTGGGAGTTATGACGCCGTTTGCCTGCTTGTTCTTATAGGCAGACAGGCTAATCTTCTTCTTGGGGCCCTGGCTGGCGGCGTTGGAGGCCTGCGAGGCCTGCGATCGGGGGCGCTCTGGCTCGGGCTCGTCGTCCTCGCCGGCCTGCAGCTCGAAGCAGTCCTGGCACGGCTCGCGGTAGAGGTAGGTCCGGTACTGCATGTTCTCTTCGTCGTACTTCCACAGGCGCCCCAGCATCCAGGCATTGGCCTCCTGCTGCGAGTGGTAGCGATATGGGTCCAAGGAGGGCGTGGACAGGATGTAGGGGTTGGGCGGCACCACGGTCTTGACGCGCTTGAAGATGCGGTCCAGCTCGTCCAGCTCGTCCTGGTCGTCTTGCGAGCAGTCCTTGCGCTTCAGCGAGCGCGCGGTGGGCACGTCGGGCCGGTCGGGGGCTGCCATGGCGAGAGAGGGCGCGGCGACGGGGCGCGGCGACGGGGCGCTGAGCAGACAGGCGCGCGGGCGCAGCGGTGGGCGGGCGGCGGGCGATTCGTTCGGGGGGCGTGTCCGCAGGCGCGGCTCATGGAGCACGCGCAGGTGGGGCGGGTCGGGGGCGGGTGATGCGCGGGCGAGGGTGCAGCAACGGTCGGGCGCGGGGCGGCGCGGGGCACTGCTGGAGCCAGGACGCGCTACGAGGCCGTCAGTAGGGACGCTGCGAGCGCCGGCGACGCGCGTGGGTGGGACGCAGCGTACGGTACCAAAGATGGGCGCTGCTACCTCAGCGTCCGGAGCGCTGTGTCGCTGGTGCCGCCGGGACAGAAGCCAACCATTGCCCAGACGCAGGCCGGCAGGAGTCCGCGACGCGCTTCTGCGTGCTGGCCGGTGGAGAGGCGGTGTCAGCGAGGGACCTGCGCCGGCGGTGGGCTGCTGGATGATGCACTGCTTGGCGGTGGATACGGCCTCGTGCTAGCGGGTGCGAGGCGGGTTCGGCTGACCAGGCGCCGCGAATTGTTGCTTCGCTGTCTCACCGCGCTGTCACTCCTCACAGCACACGTCAACATTCACTCTGCGAGTTTGCCTTCACTTGGAGACCAAGCCGCCGTCGACGCGCGCCCGCTGGCCATCGCCGGGCTGTCTCGCGCACCGGCCTGCAGTGCCCCAGCCCGTCTCAATCGCCCGTCGAGACTCAGGAACGCCCCGAGCCATCGAGCGAGATCTGCGCTAAGGGACCATCTTCCCGCCCGCAGTGCCGTTGGCGAACTCCGACATGCATCCACAACAGCAAACAACGCCTTGCTCAACTCGCTTGCTTGTGCCATCACTGTAGACCTTCTGCACCATAGAGTTTCATTTGTGCTATTGATATCCTGCATCAGAGAGCTCTAGAGTAGCTGCCTCGTGCTGCAGTCTCCAATGCACTCCCATGGCCCAGCGCCTCCATCTGAGGCTCCGACGCAGGAAGCTTGTTCTGCGCACACCACCCATGTCGGTAGCTCGAACCTCCCTGTTCCGGTGCCTGCTCACAGTCTGACGCAAAAAACTTTGTCCTGCATGCCGACACCGAATGCAACCACCATCTCCTTGATCCCATCGATCTCAACGAGCGTATCCAGACGACGCCCAGCCGACTCATGCCACTGCATGATGGATCAGGGCACCGTTGCTATGGCAGCTGTCATGTCTCGTCATCGGGCTGTGGGAGCTGAGTGAAAGCGCGTCACCTTCCTCATGTCGCACAATAAGGTTTGAACCAGAACTCTGATGCTTCGCCGAACGTGCTCTGAACCGTCTTCGACCTGGACTGCGGGTGAATGCAAACTCAACGTGAACTGCTTGACTCGCAAAGCGTCTGAACAGCTACGGCACTTTCCCAGAGCTTCTGACTTGCTGAATGCATGCCGCGCCGGCACACTGTATCAGCCCGACGCTGCAACCCCATGCACATACACTCAAAGCTCTTCATCGTCGGTTTCGTCGTCATCGTCGTCTGCTGGCGGCGGCGGCGAAGGTTTCTTGACTAGCCCCTTGCTCCGCGTGCCTGCTCTGCCGAATGGTAAGGAACGCGGCGGCGGCGGTCCGTTGCTTGATGGATCAGACTCGTTCGTAGGTTGCGCAGCTGTAGAAGTTGATTTAAGTGTCTCAGGTGACCCACCTTCTCGGCCGCTGTCAGACGCCTCAACTTCGGACTCCGTTTCAGTGTCAGACCCGTGATCTGGCGTGGCCCGGCCAGTGGTACCGTCGTCTTCATCTGGTTCTTCCGACCCCGCTTCATCGGCCTTGATTTGATTTTGGTCGCTATCGGAGTCTTGCTGCACAGCGACTTTGGCAGCCCTGCTCGGTGCTTTCCGCTTAGACGTCCGTGACGGACCTGCTTTGCGTGGTGTTTCTGTCCTAGCTGACTGTATCGCAGTTGCTAGAGGATGTTGGGTTAGCCAGATGCTGATACATGGGGCAGGACTGCGTACCTGTAAACTTGTCGACTTTTGCGCTCGCGAGCAAACGACTCTGGTCTCGGATCTTCCTCTTTTTCTCGTTTAGCAGCTCCATGAACTGCTGCAACATGGCTGTTTCAGCCTCATTTTTAGTTTTGATAAAGTCATCTAGCTGAAGATTGAGCCTTGTGATGGTGTCCTTCTCGCCGTCCATCCGCGCCCTCACTTCGGCCAGCTCTTGCAGCGTCTGGGAATGCGCCTGGGCAGATGCCTGGGCCCACTCAAACGGGTTGAACTCGAACTCATCATCTCTGGGCAGTATGATCTCACCCCAGGTGACCTACGTCATGTTAGATTAGACTCAGCCGCGATGATGGTGTCTTGCCTTGATCCCTTGAACATCTTGCCGAATAGAGACTTGGAGATTATTCTTTTTCAATGCGTAGACCATGTGCACGCCTTCGAATAAATTGGACTGATTTGGGTCTGGCTGCTTCTGCAGCAGGAAGTGAGCCAGGATGGCCTCCCACTCTGCGTCGCTGCCCTTGAATTTGTGTTTCAATTTTGGAAGCTGGCTGTGTTTGACTGCATCCATGTCAGCATAGCAACGGCGTGGCTGCAGCCGCCCTTACTGTTTGCGACGTACGGGCTCTCGCCTTCACACCCAACCAGCCGGACATCGAGTGCGTGGGCGCCCTGTTGCAGCACCTCGATGACCACGAGCTCGCCGCGCCCGCTAGCCGGCGAGACAGGTACGATGCGGCGATCCATGATGTCGTGTGCCCTAGCTCGCAGGGTTCTAGAAATAATAAACAGCGGGGCTGGAAAGGGCAAGGCGCGCAGGCTAGGGCTGTTGCTGTTTGGCAAGGCGAGCAAGCTAAGGCAGGCGCTGTTTGCAAGGGCAGCTCCTATTTGGCTAGGGCTGTTGTTGTTGTTTGGCCGCAACACAGGCTGCGCCGCAGAGTGCAGAGCTGCAGAGCACCAGGGAGCACCTCCAGTTCCAGTGCAGAAGGTGAGGCGCAAGTGCGGACGTGTGGCGGCGTGTGCTGCACCAGGCGCAGGATGGTCCCTGTCGGCGAGTGCTAGACGACCCTGGAGCGGTTGCTGGCCGGCCACGAAAGCGCAATGCAGGAACACGAGGCGGCTGTTTCACGGGGCAAGCAGCTATCGAAACAGAAGCGCACGCTTCGCAAAGCAGCCGGGCGAAGTTAAATACGCAGCGCCAGTCACAGCAGAGCGGGGCGCGGCAGTGCTGCCTTGAGCGGCGGCGGCCAGGCACACGACGCACGCAGAGTTTGGCAAGGCCGCGCCGTGTTTTGCAGCTGCGTCGGCGCTGACGTCGCGGAGCTGGTGCGCGTGGCCGCGGCTAGGGCTAAACCGCAGCCTCCGCAGCGCCGACGTCTATAGATATCCACTGCACCGCAGTGCGGGGGATCTTGCAGCAAAGCGTTCGCGGTGCGTTCTGCGCTGGCTGAGTGTTTATTTGGGCACTCACGGCCACTCGGTGTGACGAGCGACAGGGATTACGCGTTGCGCTTGCACTGCTTTGGCCGCAGCGTGGGCCTCCAGAGGCGGGAAAGAGTGCTCGCTTACGCACCCTGCAGCAAGAACGACGACCAGCACACCAGCCTCCTCCACCCTGCCCGACAAGTCTCATACACCACCACCGACACCGACCGTCGACGTCGACCGCGTCGCGATCTGCCGACCCACTTGCCATGGCTGCTCCGAACCGCAGCTTTGCGGGGCGGATAGCCTCGATCAACTCGATGGTCTCGGGCATCGAGAACTGGGACGACGCCGACTTTGAGGACAGCGACGGGCTACTGTTCAAGGCCTCGACGGTGCACTCGCTGTCGTCGCGCCTCAGCGTGCGCTCCGAGTCCAACACGGGCGACGACGACTGGCAGGTGCTGCTGGCCCCCGACGACGACCTGGCCACCAACAAGGCCATCTTCTCCGCCAAGCAGGCCGGCATCCCCATCCCCACGAGCGTGCCCGCGTCGGCCCTGATGGGCGGCAGCATCAAGCGCCTCGGCAAGCCGCGCTCCAGCAAGCGCGTCGAGCTGGACGAGGACTGGGGCAACGACCTCGAGCTGCCGGACCCCGCCAGGGGCGAGCTGAAGCTGCGCGCCCCCATGCCGCACACGCCCGACGACCACGACGACTTCGGGGACGACTGGGGCGAGGGCAGCCTGGGCATCCGCTTTGCGGGCACCAGGCGAGACCCGCGCGGCGGCCGCAGCTCGTCGGCCTCGGCCATGAGCCCCAGCATGGGCAGCTGCATGACGCTGGAGAGCGAGGACGACGACCTGACCGGCCTGCTGCTGCCCGTCGAGCCCATGGACTTCAGCGCCCGCCTGGCCCGCCTCAAGGCTGCCGAGCAGCCGCCTGCGCCGTCGCCGTTTGCCGGCCACCAGCACCGCGAGCCGCCCCCCACATCAGTGCCCGCCGCGGTCCCTGCAGAGGACGTGCCCGTGCCGGCCGAGGAGTCCGTCCACCAGGAGCCCCCCGAGGATGATTTCGAGGCAGACTTTGACTTGCCCGCCAACTTTCCTCCACTGGCACTAACACACCCCCATGCACATTCGCCGGCCGTCACCCCGTTCACGTCTCCGCCGCTTGAGAGTGAGGCTGCATCGTCGCCCGTGCCCCTGTCCACGCCGGCCGACGAGGAAGAAGACTTCATGGACGGCCTCGACTTCGGTGCAGGGGAGGTCCTTGACCCACGGAAGCTCACGCTAAACCGCAATATTGTAGTCAAGAAAACAGCTTCCAAGCCAGCCACGCCTCCTGCTGCACGCCCTACTGCCTCCATCACCTTCACTGACAAGCCGTCGTCGGGCTCCAGAATACCTCGACCACTACCCACCTCGACGGCACGCACCAGGCTCACTCCCGTCTACGAATCCGGCGCCGCCATGCCCGTCAGCACCCGGCCAATGCCCACTACCACTAGTGCACAGTACCTGAAGGCCAAGCGCTCCGCGCCGATGCTCCGGAGCTCCAACTTCCAGCCAACTCCACGCTCCAGCGCACCCTTCCTGCCAGCCGGCAACTCGACTGCTCAATCACACCATGTCACAAACCGAAACTCACAGCCCCACCTTCGACGCGACTCCGACCCTCGCCGACCGCTGTCGCCGTCGATGCGCTCACACTCGCGCATGTCGCTCACCGGCCAAATGGACCTACAGACCCCCAATCGAGCCACATCGCGAAGAGACCAGGCCCCGTCTGCCCTCGGTCGTCATCCTCCGCCTCCAAAGAAATTGACAAAGCCTTCGCGCAAGCGAAACTTCGGCGACGGCCACGAGCTCGATCTCTTCGACGACCTGCCAACATCTGTCGTCAAGGAGAAGCAGTACGAGAAGACACCTCGCAACTCTGCCAGTAACAAGACACTCCGGTCACAGAACAGCACTTCTCGTCTGCCCATGCCTGACCGCATGACCACGCCGCTGCCTCCTCAGACACCCAAGAGCCCACCAAAGACAGACAATACGCCACGATTCGCTCGAGACACTGCTTCTAGTAGGAATGCCCGTGAACAGCGTCTGGCAGGTACAAGATCGCGAGGCGAAGGCCCGATCTTGCCCCCAACTCGACCCGTTAGCTGGCAAGCACAAGTCGCTGCCCGGAGCCCACACACAAGTCCGACGGCTCTTCGCAAGAAAGGGACGGGCTCAAAGCCACAATTGATTAGGCAAATGACTCAGCCCTTCACACAAAGTAAGCTCTGCCTACTGCATGTCTCATCACTGGCACTAACATTCATCAGCCGAGAAGGGAATGGTCTACAACCCCTCCATGCAGCGTTGGGAAGGCAACGAGGATGTTCTCGTCTCCTTCTCCCAGCCCAACAATTCCACCACAACCCTCGCCTTGACCACAGCGAGCACACCTACTTTTGCGCCACCGGGCATGTCGCACGGCCGTGCGCACGACCGCTCGCAATCCATGTCGCATAATCTCCTATCATCGATCCACTCTAGGAATCTTTCAGCGCCACGTTTGATGAAAGTGCCTTCCAATCCGGCACCAGCGCCGTCACCACCCCGTCCAGCTCTGATTTCGCAGATTTCAGCGCCTCGAGGTGTTCAATATGACGGGCGCATGGTATTTGATCCGGTGAAGATGACTTGGCTCAAGGCTCCGCGACACTCGACTGGCCCACAGTCACCCATGTCAGTCGGAGAGGGAGACGAAGAAGAAGACCCATTCGCCGGCCTGGACGACCTCAAAGACAACGAGAGTGTCGTCGGTGGCAACAACTACGGCGGTGGTGCAGGCGGCGCCACCAACGCTGACGATCCTACATTTGTCGGCGAAGAATTTGACGTTGGCCCCAGTTTTATTCGCAGACAGCGCGAAGAGGAAGCAGTCTGGCGACGCAAAGTCGAAGGCTGGGTCGGCGGCATCCGCGACTCAGGCGAGGCTCGCGGTGGCTGGCGATGGGCGATCCGCGAGTTCGCCTCAAATGCCTCCGCCGGCGCGTTCGAAAACTAAACGCTCTGTGATTCGCGTTTACCATACTCACGACTTTACGATTGCATTGCACATTTGGATATTGGGCATATACCCACAGGCAAAAGGCGTCTGTACACAGTCCTCTCAGATATCCCCGAGTGTTATGACGGGTGCCTGGATGCGCGCCTCACTCTCTACGACATATTCATGACTTATGACTTTTTCTGCTTCTGCATGGAAGACCTGGGCTACTTAGCTCGAGATAGAGGAAGCTTTCAGGGTCAAAATTACCACAGCGACGTTGGCGTTTTGCTTTAGCCTTCTGCAACGACCACTAATAACACATAGGGATCTTGGAATACATACGATATTATTATTGATGCTGAAACGTGCGTGCCCTGTTCCTGTGATGGTGAGGCAGCTGCCTGGGTCTTCCCGATTGGCAGGTGGGGCTCATGTCCGCAAGCGCCCATTGACGCCCGATGCAGGTCAGCTGCGGTCGTAACAGTCACACGTCACCCCCGTGCCCCGCTCGTCCCCTATATAACACCATGTCTCGGTCCAACGACCCAGGCCACTACTTCCAGACCACGTACGGCTTGCGCCCTGCCAGCTGGAGGCCCAACGCTAACGGGCAGCAGCTCTGCGCTCAACGAGACGGCGCGCAAGGCCGCCAAATCGAAGAACGACAGGGGCAGCCCGTTCAAGCTCCCTTCCAAGATCCTCGCCGTCGTCGCCGACCCGCAACATGCAGACCAGATATACGTTGCCGAGGCCGCCGGCAACGTGAAGCGGATCAACATTGAAGTCGGTCATGCCTTCGATCCACGTCCCTAGTCCCCTCCGCACGCAGACCTGCATCGCAGAGCCAGGGCTGACTGTACTTCTCCTCAGACCAAGAAAGTCATCAAGACTTTTGCTGGACCCGTGGCACCGCTTACGTCACTTGCTGTCTCGCCGCGGTCTGACACAGTGTACGCATCATGCTGGGACAAGTCAGTGTGGTCATGGACCCTGTCCACAGGGAAGCTGGCAAAGCGATTCCAAGGACACAGCGACTTCGTCAAAGCTGTGCTCCCGTTCGTTCTACAAGACAAGGAGCTCCTCGTGTCTGCTTCTGCGGACGCGAGCATCATTGTTTGGGATGCCGCTACTGGCAACAAGCTCCACACTTTGAAGGGACACACACGAGGCATTCTTGCACTCACGCTTGATGTCACAGACTACGATCCGAACAAAGACACGGCAACTGTATTCAGTGCTGGCAGTGACCGCGAGATTCGACGTTGGAACATTGGCTTGGCCTCGGCCTCAGAACTTGAGCCCTCGCCGATTATTGCGCACGAGACGAGCATCGATGCTGTGCACTTTGACTCGGACGGAGATCTCTGGACAGCTTCTGCGGATAAAACTGCAAAGTGTCTTTCGCGAGGCAGACAGTGGGAGGAAGATTCGGCGTTCGAGCACCCTGACTTCGTACGCGATGTCGCTGTCGACGAAGACGGAGGATGGGTTGCCACAGCTTGCAGAGACGAAGAGGTTCGCGTATGGGAGAAGGGCAGTGGCAAGCTGCATCACGTCTTCTCCGGCCATTTTGAGGAAGTCACTGGACTAATCCTGTTGCCTGGCCAGAAACTTATCAGTGTGAGTATCGATGCAACCGTGCGACAGTGGAGCCTAAAGGCGCAGGAGCTCGCCAAGGCAGTTAAGGAAGCCGAGGACGAACAGCTTGGTCAAGTCAAGGACAAAGAACCAGAGAATAAAGAGGGCATGATGACCGCCGAAGAAGAGGCAGAGTTGGCCGAACTTATGGGAGATAGCGACTAGCGACTAGACAACTGCGGCGAGCGGACAAGCCATCGGATCGGGCATTGCCAGCAACTCGCTGGCACCTTCGATCGACGTCTTCTCCGGTCGCCCTAGGTAACAACAACGATGCGAGACGACGGGACGAGCACGGTTGTGCAAGACTCTACTGACGCGTGGTTACTGCCGGACGTAGTAGGGTCGGTTCCCAGCTCCTTCTTGGACTCACTTGGTATCCCCCATACCCTATGCTTCCGCGATATGTGGTACTGTTTACCGTGGTAACTAGCTTCGTGCTGCTCATCAGGCAACATCCACCCTGATACAATCCCTCGCTCCGTGACACATTCATACGACGACCCGCGCACCGGCCGATCAATCTTGATGGCCACGAATCTGGATTCCTTGCGACGTGTCATATGCTGCCCTTTCTTACAGCTATGGTACAGACCCTGACGTTGCCCTTAATACCTTTGCACTGGATAATTCTACGCGTAACGCGACGCTTCTTTGCCGACTAACGCGCGTCTTGTAACTCCCTTTACCCATCATTCCTCACTTCTTTTACTCTCCCCGCCTCAACATCCTCCTCGATTTTCCTCAACGACTGGAGAGTTACCCCCCGTTGATTGTGGCAAGGTCCGAACGATTCCATTCCATGGCGAAGTGATCCGATATTGCCAAGCCCGAACCAGACCTTCTACTGCAGGGTTATCAACCCCATCACCAGCGCGGCCTTTTCAGGTCAGTGAGTGTGAGAGACGCCAGCAGTTATGAAGTCACAGACTCCGATAGACATTTATGTCCTTGGCATTTTGCGTGGAAGCACTCTGGTTTGAGGCCCCGGCTCCAGAAACATGTAGGGACTATCAGGGCTTAACCGTACTTGACTGGGATGGCAGAGTGTGAGCAGAGCAATACTGCTCTCCACCTAACGAGGAAAGAGGAGTATGGACAACACCTCATTACCAGACCAAGGACGTTAGCATATACCGCAACGGGTGTTTGAGCAACCTCACAAGGCCATGGCTCGAGGACCACCCTTTCCTGGTATACAGCAGAAGATGTCTAGGATTACGCTCTGGACGTAGCAGGAGTTGCACAACACTTGGTCGCACGGCTAGACGTTGGAGGGCTACACAACTACCTCGCACAAAGATCTTCGAAAGCAGCTGAACTATAACAGGAGGCCGCTTTGGCTACAGCCCTTTGAGGCTAACGGGTCTATGGTATGTGTCACCCACCTGAAAGATCCCCAAAAAGAGCTGGCATGGTGGGATGGCACACCCGTGAGTTGCAGATCATGCGGTTGTCGCTCCAAGGCACTCCCCGAAACTAACCTCCTAACCTATCGGGGGTGCTTTGGACCGGCTGATCGTGTGCTCGACTCGAATTACTACGATCGGGAGATCATACTGTTGTTACAGTATTATCTGTCGCTCGTCCACACCTTGCATTTTCAATGCCTCTGGGGAGCGAGGAGCCTGCTTTTCAGAGGGTAGCCTCCATCACCAGTGCCCTCCTTTTCAGGATGGAGTGTGTGGTAGACGCCTGCGATATTGAGACTCGTCTCGAGACTCTGATAGACCGAAAGGTCCATGGCAGTGGAAAGACAGTCACTCTTTGCTCCGAGGTGTGAGCTCCAGATCATTGATCTGGGGCGTATCGCGTAAGCGTACAGAGCTTTGGCTCCACTTTGGTTTTCCGTTGGCTTCATCGACTTTACGTCGAATTTTGTTCCTTCTGGCTTGAGACGAGGTCCTGCCTCATTGCTCGACCTCTGACGACCCCGCCTCGAAGAACCTGCATGACAGGGACTCTTGCCCCCACCACCAATGTCTCTCTTCTCAGAGAGGATCGTGTGGGAGATGCCTACGAGATTGGACCTTCTCTCGCAGAAAGTTCTGACAGACCATCATGGTCCATGGCAGTTCGTCTACAGGTACCTTCGCTGCAGTTCCAATTGATTTGGGTTCGCCCACGTTCCTGTGGAGGTTATACTTTGCGTCCAGATACATCGTCTCTTTCGCTAGAGCACCCGCTCGCGCCCTACCCCGTCCCGTCGTCGATCGTCAACGAGGAACTTGCACAGCAGGGGAACTCCCGCCACCAGTGTCTGCTTTTTCAGGCGGAAGCGCGTGGAAGACGCCAATCGATGTTGAGATTTCGTCTCTGCTCTCGAGCAGAGGTGTGCTCTGACAGACCGCTAGGTCCATGGCAGTTTGCTTGCAAGCAACCTCCGGTCCCGTTCCAGGAGGCCTGGGAAGCTTGCCCAAGCGCCGCTTCCCCGACCTCCTGAAACCTCGATCCGCTTTTTGTTCCTTCGATCGTCCGTCCGTTCTGACTATCTTTAGTCCACTTCTGTTGGCTCATCGCATGACGCTGTCTTTTCGCTTCGCTTCTGTGGTCGTCGGTTATAGCGAGGCAGATGCTTTAATTTGTCTGGAGAAATTGGGTCAGGCATGGAAGTGCTGGTGACCGCAAGAGATGGGCGGGCGGTAGAAGTCGGACCCTTGCGCCTCCTCGTGGTGCCGCCTGGATAGTCGACTGCTCTCATATGCGGGAGTGGAAGATGAACCAAATGCAAGGGACGCAAAGCACGGTGAGTCGTAGTGCAGAGAGCCAGTCGTTTGGGTTGCTTTGGGCATGCGATACTTTAGATCGATCAATCAATTCATCTGATCGCATACCACATGTCCTCTTTATTTGTTCGCACACCATGGCCACCTTTAATACATACAAGTCTATTAGCAAGTGCGTTCTTGGTCCGCTCCTTCCTCTTGTCTCGCTCGCCCGCACGTCAACTTTCCCCAAAAAATTCTGTTTCAACTTCACCTTCACTTCTCACCATCAACAACCCCGCCAAGCCACCGACCACCGACATGGCCTTCGCCCAAACCCTTTGGGCTTCCCTCGCTCGCACTTACGCGATGCCCAACCACCTCGCGCCTGCAGTCAAGATGGGCGATGAAGTTGCGCGTCTGGCTGGGCAGCCGTGCTCGCCGTTTGAGCAGGTGGGTCAGTCACAGCAGTTGGTTGAGTCGCAGCAGCAGTTGGTTCAGTCGCAGCAACCGGAGCAGTCACAGCAGCTACAGACCACGAGCTCCTGGCCTTCGCACCCACAAAACGACTCCCCAGACTTGACCTTAGCCAGCAGCCTCTCCGCCGAGCAAGACCTCTCCGCCGAGCAAGACCCACAGTATAACTTTGCCGCAGTACCGTACCACCCCGCATACGCCACCAGATACCCACCGCTTCCGTATTCTTCCCCGCCTCAAGACTTGTCCGATATAGCTAACGCCTGGAGGTTCTTTGATTCAGAGCTGACAGCGCCTGGAACGCTGCCTGACCCAAGCTGTCCGTATGGTCCCCCTCGAATATGGCCTCGTGGTGGCGTTTCACAGCCCGTGGCGCCGAGAACGCTGCCCTCGATCAACATGGCACCTTATTCGGGCGGGATGTTGGGTGGCCCTCCGGGGTGGCCTCATGGTGGTGTACAGCCAACGCCGCCGCAGATGCTACCCTGGAGCAATACCATGCCTGGTTCAGGCTGGACGTATGGTCACTCTCCGATGTGGCCTCATGGTGGTGATGCCTATGCGTACGCGTACTGGCAGGCACACCAGCAGCAACTCTGGCAGCAGCAGGCACACCAGCAGCAATTTTGGCAGCGGCAGCCACAACAGCAACCGCAGCAACCACAGCAGCCGCAGCAACCACAGCAACCGCAGCCGTTGCCTTACTCTGCCGTCTTCTCCTCATCAAACCCACCAGTACCTCCACCAGCTTTCTTCCGTCTGCCGCAACATGTGCAACAATCGTATGCGGTAACGAGTCAGCACAACACCTGTGTTGTGCAGCAGTACAATTCAACTGACTCCCAGCAAGCTAATCAAGTACAAGCAAGCTACCTCAACTCGGCTGGTGTACCGTTCGATCTACATCCGTCCCGTGGCCTCTCACAACCCACCTGGACATCAGATGGACAACATGATGATGGCATGTTCGCAAGCCTTGGACAGCAATCAACATCGCGAAACGCGTCCTCCAGCACGCACGGAGCACGTACAGAAAGATCGAAACCGTTATCACCTCAACCAAAGGAAGTGGAACCCCCAGTAAAGAAAGAGTTTGCCGATTATCGGTCTTCAAATAAAGACGACGTTCAGATCGTCGAAAAGTCAAAGACGGCTCTGGTGCCTTACGACGTGAAGCCCAGTGAATCTCGAGCTCGACCGTGTCAGGATCGACCAAAATGCGATCGCGAGTATGTGGAATGGGACGAGCAGTATGGATTCGGTATCGCAGTTCCGCGGCCAGAAGATCCCCCCATACGCAGCGCATCTACTGCTGATAAGAGCGCTTCTCTTGCGGACTGTAGAGGCAGAACAAGCACAGTCTGCACGCCTCGAAACCGCTGGGATCTTGTTCCGCCGCCCAGCCATCATCAAGCTGTCCGCAAACTTGCTGACGGTTCTCGCAAAGCACCCTCTCGCGTTTCCGACAGCCACAAACCTCGTCTATGTCCAGCATTGACCATTCAGAGGGACACAGACATCAGGTCTACGAGCACCTCAGGCTATAACTCGAACCAGATGTTAAGAGACACACCGCTACCATACAGGTCTCGACATGTGCCCCTTGAGCAGCTCCGCAACGTTGCTGAGACTGTATCGTCTTCAGAGGACAAACGATCCTCGTTTGAAGCAACCCATGACCTGGAACATGGCAGATCAACCGCGCAAACAAACGCAATGGCTGGCAACAACATAAATGAGCACCTCCCTCGCGCTCTTAGCGAAATTCCCCGCCATTCTGCTTTAGCAAGTACACAGAATTCGACAAGCGTACCACAAACGCAGCAGATAGCGTAAGTGACACTAAAAGATGGTACTGAGCGGCTATGGAACTGACTTTGACGTAGCATCAGATCACGCAGTCTCCGTACTCACTACCGCTCAATGACGGACTCGTCGTCCCCGTCTCCCCCGTCGAAACGAGCAAAAGTAGATCCAATGGTCACCTCCAACACTAAATCGTCCAAACCAGACAACAAACGCGGATCAGAAGCGATGCCTACTCAAAAGACTGGCGGCTGGAGCAACTTTGCAGCACACATTGCGAAAGACGACAAAATCATGGCCGGGAAAGCACGCGAAGACCTTGAACGCAAAGGAGGCGAAACCTTCCGCCCAGAATACCGAGAGACATATAAGGATTCGACTGGCAAAGAGCAGACTACCCTGCATAAGAAGTCTGGCGGTGATTCTCGAAATCAAAACACGGCGAAAGATGGAGTAGAAGAAACCAGCGATGTTGACGAAGTCGCTTACTATTCGGACTCGTCCGACGGCGGCGTCGCGCTTTCATCATCTAACCTGGATTCTGACGCTTGGATTGACATCAAGACTGGTGATGAACATGCAAGCTGGAAGCGGCAATGAGTGCTTTACGAGGCTAAGATTGGACTTTTGTAGCGGAAACAATGATTTCTTTTCGTTTGAGGCAGCCCGAAGACAGTTACCAGGTACGAGCCAACGGGTGAGAGCCGAGGCTTTGACGCCGACTGTAGAATAAAAGATTGGTATGGTATTGGAGAACACACCAGCCTAACTGCAATCCGAACTGAGCTTTAAATAACAAGTTTAACACTCTTTGACTTGGTGTGTGACCTGACTGGGTTGGATTGCAGCACTACTAACACAAACACAACAAGCTCTTAACGACATATCCATGAATCTGCATAACTCACTCATATCTCCCGACTAACCCAACGAGATAGCACACAGCCACATCAGATATCGCATCGGGCAGCTCGATGACCAGCACCTAGCCGCTACTCTAACACCATGTCACTCCTAGACTTACCTGCACACTCACCCATCCTCTACACGACAGTCCTCCACACAAACCCGCCTCACGCAAAGCCTCTCCTCGCCGAAGAAGAGGAACACATGCTCCCACGCCCGGCTCTGTCTAGCACAGCAGTACCCGCGCCGCACCCGCGTCCAGACGGACGCTAGACACGCGTGCGCTCCAAGGCCGGAAAGGCAGTGTGGGTATCGCTGTCGTCGTCATCATCATCGCTGTAGTCATTGTCTTCGTCTTCGTCTTCGTCGCTGTCAAACAAGCTACATAGATCCCACTCATCGACGCGGGCCTGCTGCCGGACTGTCGGGGACACACTCATGTCGGTCTGCAGAGCTACGGGGGGCTTCTCTGCATCGCCAGCATCTCCGCCGTGACACGCAGGCGGCGTAGTCGGCGTCGACACAGCAGAGTGGTACACAGACCGCGACGGCAGCGCAGGCGGAGGGCGGGAGTGTCCTACCTTGACTACCGGGGCGCACGCCGCACCGACGGGATCTGAGAGGTGTGGTGCAGCCGGGCGCTGTGCCGCCGCGTCAGTGTGTGCTCGCTCCGCATCACCGGTCTCACCTCCAGCGAGCTCGCGGCGCGGGCGAGACACCAGGCGCCCGTTTATGCGCGTGTCGCTCCCGACGGGCAGGTGGCGGCACACGCCCTCGCAATTCTGGGGGCAGGAGGGGGGGTGCCAGGAGGAGTAGGGGAGGCTCGTGAGGTCGCAGGAGGGTTGTTGGGGGGTGGGGGCGAGGGGCGGGGTGCTGGTGAGGGAGAAGAGGGAGCTTAGGTAGGTGAGATCGGGAAGGCAGGAGCGGAGCATGTTGGATTGTTGGTACGAGGGTGGAGGGTGAGTTGGGTCGCTGTGGGATATCTGCTGGGATGGTAGCTGTGGGACTGTTGGTTTGGGGATACGAACGGATGGTGGGTAGCGGTTTAGTTGCTGGGAGACTTGGGCTGAGTTGACGTCCGTTTTAACGTCTGCTGTTGTTGGAGACATTGTGCTGTCTTGCCGGCCGTCTGTTCACTGACATTGTGTTCTCTTTGTGGTGGGCACCAGATGTTTCAGCGAGAGACAGTTTGTAGAGCAGCACGGAGAACAGTAGCCAGTGAAATCATTATGAAACAACAAGTTGCAGTGACTGATTCTATTTCTCAAAGGCCAAGAGAGGCGCGGGTCCGACGGAGATATCTGCCTCACGGACTGCTACGCAGCGGCAGGATCACAACGGATCGGCACCGGAGACATGCGAAATGCTCCCCTTCGGTGTTGCTATTCTTGCGTGCGGCGCGGAGTAGGATCAAACTTCAGCAAGGGGGGCCAGGATGCAACTCCCAACAAGCGGCATCTCCAACCCCGCAGTTTCTAGGATCAAACGAGGAGACGTGTTTGCAGTACCTATTTTTCTTCTTTTTCACCCTATTCTTACCTCATTCTCGTGGTGATGGAGGAGGCGCGTGCCAGCGCACCAGAGGCTACAAGCCCAAGTCACTGTGCCGCAGAGCGACTCAAGGTGAGACGAGGCAACGTACGGGCATCAGACCATACTGATACACAGACACATTGAGAGCGTGTAGTGGCTTGCAGGTGTCGTTCCACGTGCAATGCGTGTGCTAAAGCGTCCCTGTTTTCGGTGCAGGTAAATCCAAAGGAGCCACGGTGGGTGTCACATCCAATGGATAGAGTGTGGCTTGCGGAGAAGGTTGCAGTTGTCTCAGAGTGAGGTGCGCCTCAGTGATGCTACACTGTGATCGACTGGTGCGCCATGGGCTCATGGAGGGTGCTTTGGACCAGAAGTGGAGCGTGTGTGTGCATCTGATTGAGGCAGATGGTATGTGGGTCCGTGAATGTGGTATGATGCAAAGAGAAGATTTCCCAACTCGTCGACTCGAGAATTTCTTCTGCCGAACCGACGGTGCAGCGTCTCGGATGTTACAAGTGCCGGCGCCCCCAGTTGCTGGAGTCACAGTGCCACTGACTATGGTCTCGTATGCTGTCTCCCACGCGTGGTGGAGAACGTGTGAGCAAACATCGCTGCGGCGCCGCAGTAGGGATTGTGCTGCGGCAGCAAACCGAGCGTTGCTTTTGACTTCAGCTGTTTAGCGCCCAGACCCGCTCTTTAAGTGGAGTGAACTCTCCGGTCTTAAGACGCTCGGTATTCGAAATGCAACGGGGATGATGCTGACAGCGGGCAGATGCTGGTCCACCCCGCGGCAGGCGTGTTAGCGCGTCGGCCATCAGCGAAGACAGTGATCACAGTGATCAACAGCACGCAGACACGGTCGGACAGTCGCTCGTATGCACTGCTGAGTGCACTGGAGTTGTCGGGCGAGTGTCGGGCGTTTGTGCAAGAGCGAGTCGTGCGGCAAGGCAGGCTGATGTGCACACGAGTCGGCTGGCGGGAGATTGCGCGCGCCGTGTGGTTGGGGCGGGCTGCATGCGACCATCCGGCACGGCGCTCGACCAATGGGGCTGTGGGGGCGGTCCACCCGACCCAGCTTGGCGCGTCCAGCTCAAGGGTAGACAAGGGCAGCAGGGACCCGGGCCACGGTGATGCTGACTCCTTCCAAAGCAGAGGGCCGCCGCTGGGAAACTCCAGGCTGCTGCACGGCTATTGGTTCTCAATGCGGCAGCCGCCCCAGCGGTTGTGGGAAAGCGCCGCTAGGATGCCGGCTGGGCTGCCCGCCAGATTGCAGTCGGAAATGGTTCAGCGTTCGCTGCGTTGCGCACACCAGAATCAGGCCATGTCTGCTGCAGCGTGTAGCCTGGCTTCCCGCGTCGGGTTGCACGACAGGGTGCGACAGGGTGGTCTGGCAGGTTGGTGCGCTGGGCTGCCACTGCCCGCCAGACGCAGCGGCTCGACACCAGACGGCCACACGGAGCCGGCAGCGCACCGCCAGCTCGCAGCAGCTGGGTGCGGTGGGACGTCGCTGGTGTCGCTGGACGCAGCTGGTGACGCACGAGCAGGGCGCTGCACCGAAAAGCAACGCCGGGGGCACCGCCAGCTGCTGTTTGTTGGCAGGCTATGTGGCCGCGCACATGGCTGCGCTGGAGCGTTGGCAGAGCGTGCAGTAGCGACGACTTTCTTTGCTCCGGGATGCGGAAACGAGCAAGGGCCCGGCCCAGTTGGCTCTAGCCAGAACCTTGCGGGAATGGTGCTGGGGCCGTCGTCGACTTCGTTTCGCGCGCCGTACTTAATGTGCCGTCCGCAGTGCAACGCCAGGGTGCTGGCAGCCTGAACCCCAGACTGATCCAGACGGGGCGGCTCTGCCAGCAGCGCGCAGCACCGCGCAGCAGCAGCAACGCCGCTGCAGCAGCTGGGGCTGTGCTGGGCACTGGGCGCTGGGCGCTGGGAGCCGGCATCCTGAGGACGCACTGCGCATCCTGCTGGGGGCAGGCCGGGCGTCATTGGCGCCAGTGGGCCCGCGAACCGTTGAGGCCTGGGACAAAGAGACGGCTCGGCTAAAGCTGGAGCGCTGGAGCGCTGCGAGTCGAGAACGGGGCTAGCCCGCATGGGCGGTCCCAGCCCGCGGCGCCCGCCCTCTCTGCTGGGCGCTGCGTCTCGCTCGCTCCTGCTGCCACCTCTCACCCACGACATCGTGAACTCGACGGCACCAACGGGAGAGCGACAGCAGCGACCGCAGGCCTGCAGCCATCCTTGGACCATCACTGTCCACCACCCGCGGCCTCCACCTCCCCTCGCTGCACCGCCTCCGCCGTCACTAGCTGGAGCAGCAACGCTGTCGATCACCCGCACCGCACCCATCACGCATCACGCACACCTCACTCCCAACCTCAACCATCCTCGCAGCAGCCTGCACCGCCGTGCTCGATCCTAGCGCCGCCTGCGCGACCTCCAGCATCCATTCGCCGCTGGCCTTCCAAGCGTGAGTGTGATTTTCCATGTTTCTTTCGTGCCTTTCCCGTGACGTCGGAATGCCCGATCGCTGGGTCTGGCGAGCCAGTGCTGTGGTCGCTGTTCCTGTCACGCTCACGAGGCTGCTGCGCTGCAAACGGCCATTCTGAGTGTTCCAGACTCGACGTTCCGTGGTCGAGGTTCTGACATTTCGTGTTCCTCGTTTGCTCGTCATTTTCCAATTGTGTGGTCGGCGACGTAAGTGCACGCTCCGTCGAACCTTCCCTTGGGGAATGTGCGTGCCGGTCCCTGTCGTCTCGCAACCTTGGAATACCTCCACCTCAACGCGAATACTGACTCGCCCCAGCCAGCACCGCAACCTGCAATGTCGTCCCTCACTGTGATTCCCGTCTCCAACGAGACGAAGAACACTTCCCACCGCAACACCAAAGATGGCCGCCGCATTCGCTATGAGATGCAGGTGATCCAGCAGCCTGAGCGCGCCCGAGCCTGTGGCAGCGGCGCCAAGTCGAGTGCCGACCGTCGCCCCGTGGATCCCCCGCCGATCGTCGAGCTGCGCATCTTTGAGAACGACCAGGATGTCACCTTTGCCTACAACGCCAACTTCTTCCTGCACGCCAGTCTCGAGAATGCTCGCCCTCTCGCTGCAGGCCGCACTGCGCCTTCCATCTCAGGCACTCCAGTCCTCACCGGCACTCCAGTCGCCGGCATGGCCTACCTTGACCGCCCGACGCCTGCTGGGTACTTCATCTTCCCTGATCTCTCCGTTCGTCACGAGGGCAAGTACCGTCTCAGCTTTGCCCTGCTTGAGAACCTCAGCGAAGTCAAGGACCTCGATCCAGATGACCCCAATGTCATTCATGACGGCAACCGCTTTGTCACCAACCGATGCGAGGTCAAGTCGGCGCCCTTTACCGTCTTTTCTGCCAAGAAGTTCCCCGGTCTGTCAGAGAGCACTGCCCTCAGCCGCATGGTCGCCGAGCAGGGCTGCCGTGTGCGCATCAGACGCGACGTCAGGATGAGGCGCCGTGAGAACAAGAGCTCCAAGGAATGGGATGGCTATGACGAAGACAACGAGTACGGAGGGCAAGCACGACGCACTCCCACGCCAGAGACCTATGGTGGGCAGCCCGGCATGCCAGCGCCTGGCGCGCCCATGGATGAGCGCCCTCGTTCCGTGTCCAACGCCAGCAACTCTTCGCTCGCTCCACCCCGCCGTCCAAGCATGGACGAGATAGCACAGGGCTACCAGCAGCCAAGCACCAACTACCAGCAGATGCCTCCACCACAGAGTACTGGTTACTCTCACATGCCGAGCCAGTCCCAATACCAGCCTCAGTACCAGCAGCAGCAGCAATACGCGCCTCCGCCAGGTGGCCACATGATGCAGCCCCCTCAACCCTCGTATTCCCAGCCGCCGCCACCGCAACAGCCTCAGCATCAGCCCCAGCCTGCGTACAACAGCTACGCGTCTCACAACCCTATGCCCATGAACCAGTCTTACGGCTATCCCGGTCACCAACAGCCCCAACAGTCTCACTACGAGCCCCGTCAAGAACCACCTGCTGCACACCATCAACCGGTTGATTACCGCAGACCGTCTATTCTCCAGCCACCGCAGCAATACGCGCCTTCAAGCCAGCCGCAAATGATGTCTCCTTACAGTCCAGTCGATCCGTACCAGCAACGATCGCAGTCCATGAGCCAGCCGACACAACCTATGCAGACCCCTACCCGTGCAGCTTCGATCTCGGGCCCAGGCAGCATCCACGTACAACCCATCCATCCTTTGCCGACACTGAAGACACTTCAACCACCGATCATTGCGGACAAGCTGGAACCTGTCTCGCCTTCGTACACTTCGCCTATGAACTCCATGTCTTCCGGTACAATGTCTGCCAACTCCGATGCTCCTCACTCGAACTATGCTCTGCACAATTACCCTGCTTCGAGCCTGCCTCCAATGGCAAGCACTACGGGCCAGAAACGATCATTCTCAAACACATTCGACCAGAGTCATGTCACCGGACGCTTGACACAGGGTGCACGACCTGTGTTGTCCGGGCCCGGCTACACTTACGACGAACCCGATATGGAAGAGCCCATGGACCGAGCTGCTATGAGCTACCGGCGCGCAGACGGCACGCAGCGTCAACGCCGTGTCCCGGAGGTGAACGTCTAGGTCTGATCAACTCTTGCCTTGGCCCATCGTGCCTTTCTTCGATCTATTACTCTGCGACTGAACCTTGGAGTACCGGTGTCTGGCGCAACCCGACTTTTAGCTTTCGCAATATCGATATACCCGAGAATAACCTCTGTGCAATCTCGCGACATCTCCTTGTCTGTATTTTGTTGTTACTTTTCCTTGGATGATTATTGAGCGTGTCTTGGCGACCAACTTTGTTTGCGTCATGCTGTCTCGTGTACACACACTCCTTGCAAAAGCACACACACTGCACCTTCCCTAATGCATTGCGTTTCGTTCTTTGCTGTTGGTTCTGGAAAATGGAGCTCACTATATGAGCGCAAGCCCTACGGCGCTGCACTACACTGTCACGTTCGTATTCCTATCATATGTCTTCCCTATACATTGGTGGCCTTTTGCTAAGATCGGTGGCGGTTGTCTGCAACACTTGCTGGACCAAATTGAGAGGCTGTAGATGGATATGTCTGTGTGGCATCTGTGTTGCGCCAGTTGGCTGGTCATCAGTAGTCGCACGTAGCCACATCAGCACTATACAAGCAAAGGAGTTTTTGTTCAACACTCGATCCCTAAATACGACATTCCGCTGCCGATCGTTCACATCGTGTAACAAACTGATTCGCATGCTCTCTACCAATGATAGAACTCCCAGCACAGTGTTTGTGTCAGAACGTGGCAGCGTTCGGCCGCCGGCGCAGACCCTGGTTCGGTCATCATTCTAGCCTAGTCCGTTTGTTTACATCGGCGCGGGGTAGCTACCATTAGCTACCCCCCAAATCTCACGCAATTTCCCAATCATGACCGCAAATGGCAAGCCTGACAGACAGTTTTCTGCTCCAGTATCAGAGATGGGGGCCAGCGTCAGCACTTGCGGGATAAGACCATGATGGTCCACGGCCGATATGTAAAAGTGGATAAGGCGGAGCTGTATATCTACTCCACTGTCAGATCGGAGTGCGTTCAGGGCAAGCGAGATCCAGAGCACGTAGATGACGTGACCGGAGACGCAATTACATATAGGACCCCTCTTTAATTCGGCAGGCTCTCTTTTGTTGTCGCTGCTCAGCCGAGGACAACATCCATAGACAACCCTTCACCCTTCAAGACCTGCGTATCGTTCACAATGGCTGAACAGCTGTCCAAGAACTTTGAGACGCTGCAATTGCATGCTGGTAAACACCCCAGATCTTGTGAAGGATCTACTTCTAACAGCAGGCTTCAGGCCATACTCCAGACTCCGCCACGAACTCACGCGCTGTGCCAATCTACGCGACCACGGTAAATCAATATTCGGTGCGAAGAGTGCGTAAACTGATGCTAAAATCCAAAGTCATTCACTTTCAATGACTCCGCTCACGGCGCGAGATTGTTTGGCCTCAAGGAGTCCGGTAACATTTACAGCCGTATCGGAAACCCAACTGTTGGTATGCGCTACAGACTTTCAGTACAGCGACTTTCGAGTAACTTGTGTATAGGTGTATTCGAACAACGTATCGCAGCGCTCGAAGGCGGTGCTGCAGCTTTGGCCACCTCGTCTGGCCAGGCAGCGCAGTTCATTGCTATCAGCGCCCTCGCGCACGCCGGAGACAACATCGTTGCTACGACAAATCTCTACGGAGGCACATACAACCAGCTGAAGGTCTTCTTCCCTCGATTTGGCATTCAGACGAAGTTCGTCAACGGTGACAAGCCAGAAGACTTCAAAGCCGCGATCGATGACAAGACCAAGGCCATCTACCTTGAGTCTATTGGCAACCCCAGATACAATGTACCGGACTTCGAGAAGATTGTCGCAATTGCACATGAAGCCGGCATCCCGGTCGTCGTGGACAATACATTCGGCGCTGGTGGATACTTCATTCGGCCCATCGACCACGGTGCAGATATTGTCGTCCACTCGGCGACCAAGTGGATTGGCGGCCACGGCACAACGATTGGTGGCGTGATCGTTGACAGTGGCAAGTTCGATTGGGCTAAGAACGCAAAGCGCTTTCCCCAGTTCAACGACCCCTCGGAAGGCTATCACGGCCTGAAGTTTGTGGACACATTTGGCCCCATCGCCTACATCATCCGCGCCCGTGTCGAGATCCAGCGTGATCTGGGTGCAGCTCTTAACCCTTTTGCTGCCCAACAACTACTCATCGGCATTGAAACACTCAGCTTGCGCGCGGAGCGCCACGCTTACAACGCGCTCAAGCTCGCAAAGTGGTTAGAAAGCAATGAAAATGTGAGCTGGGTATCGTACCCCGGTTTGGAAAGCCACCAATCGCACGAGCTTGCAAAGAAGTATCTGACACGTGGGTTTGGAGGTGTGCTCTCGTTTGGTGTGAAGGGAGGAGGTTCTGCAGGGAGCCAGATTGTTGACAACTTCAAGCTGATCTCAAATCTGGCAAACGTTGGTGATTCGAAGACGCTAGCGATTCACCCATGGACCACCACGCACGAGCAGTTGAACGATGACGAAAAGGAAGCTTCTGGTGTGACTGAGGTAAGATACAAGTTGATCCCGAGCCTGAATGAGCCCTACTGACGGTCGCAGGACCTTATCCGCATCTCAGTCGGCACAGAGCATATCGACGACATTATTGCAGACTTCGAACAGTCGTTCGAACAGTCAGCCACCAAGCCGGACGAGAAAGGCGTACCTGCCAATGCAGAGAAGACTGGGGATACTGAAGTGCCTGCTTCCATTTCTGGATCCACCTAAGCTTCTGACTGCTCGAAATATGCTCAGAGAGCACGCCTAGATACCATGTTTAACCAAGTAACCATCTTTGTCATCGCCTAGTTGTTTGGATGTCTTGATTATTTGCTGCTTTCAACCACTCACCCCAGTCAGCCCACTCCAGCCCTCAGTCACCTGAACCAGGCTCTCGATGTCTTTGCATCCGACCCCGCAATCCAAAATCGGACCGGCTGAGCTCTTTGTTGTATGCAGCTCCGCCACGCATATCAGCCGCAAACCTATTCTCGCTAACTGAGCCAATAAGCCAGTCTCGGCCGTAAGCATACACCCTCACTTGGCTGTTGACAGACCATGCATTGGCCAATGAGAAGCAAACTCACTCGGCTGCTTTACCACTCGAGCATTCCGACTAGCACACACCGCCATAACTAACTCTCAGCGCTGTGGCACAGTCAGATGGGGCGTTCTGCTACCCAGATGCTGCGGCTTGTGTAGTGAATGGGCTGAGAGCGACGCTAGACTGGTGCGCCGCATAGCCTGCGATGGCGAGTATATAGATGTTGTAGAACGACCGTCTATCAGTCTCATCATCACAATCAGTCAACAGTTTCCTATCATCTCCTTTTCCTTTGGTCTTTTTCCTTGGTCTATTTCCTTGGTCTCTTCATTTCCTACCATCTCATCTTCCAATTTCTCATCTCTTTCGAGCATTTCTTTAATCCCTCTACTGTCCCACCAATTCCCTTAGTCTACTTCAAGATGCAGTTCCTCACTTCCCTCTCCCTCGCCATCTCCCTCGCCACTCTCACCAACGCCGTTCCAACCCTGACCGAGCGCTCCACCAACTTCTGCCCCGGCCAATCGCACCTGACTCCCGCTATCCAATGCTCGAGCGGCTTCAGCGGCTGCGTCGACTACGCCCGAGGCTCGGCGGTCTGCACCGGCCCCAAGCGCTTCTTCAACGACTGCTCTGGCGCTCCAGGGCTAGGCTCGTTCTTCAAGTGCGCCAACGGCTTCGCTGGATGCAGCACGAACCCGGGTGTTTGCGATACTGCGCCTTCTACCCGCTCAGTTGCTCCCGGCACTTGCGCTGAGGGTCAGGGCAGCTGGTACGTCTGCGCCACTGGCTTCAAGGGCTGCAGCACCGACCCGACCGTCTGCGATCCCAAGCCCTCAAGCTCCAGTAAGGCCTCTCCGGGCCAAACTACTCCTGCTCCCGGTACCTGCGCTGAGGGCCAGGGCAGCTGGTACGTCTGCGCCACTGGCTTCAAGGGCTGCAGCACCAACCCGCGCATCTGCGACCCAGCCCCCGTCCCACAGGCCCCCGCTGGCACACCTCCCTCCTCCGACTGCCCCGCCGGCTCCGCGTTCTACGTCTGCGCCAACGGCTTCCGCGGCTGCTCCACCAACACCGCCGTCTGCGACAAGCCCGCCTCCGTCCCCATCACCACGACCCCCGTCGTCCCCGCCCCCAAGTCCGCCCCGATCTGCGCCGCGGGAACGTGGTACGCCAGGCCCAGCGAGTGCGCCAGCGGCTTCGTGGGCTGCACAGGCGAGTCCAAGGTCTGCGGTGGTGAGAAGAGGTTCTGGGGGTCTTGCCCGCCGAACCATGGAAACTACTTCAACTGCGCGAACGGGTTTGTGGGTTGCACGACTGACATCTCCATTTGTGATAAGAAAGTTTTGTGAGGTGATGGTCAGCGATGGGATAGTGATTGTCTTGTGGCGTTGGGTGGGTTCCTCATAGAGTTTTAGTTTGTGGTCGATTCGGAGTTTCTTCGTGAGCGTATATTGTTTAGTCGTATTGTGATTTAGATGTTGTAATTCATGGCTTGACTTGGCTAATACAATCTTATAAATGAGTCTATGTACCCCTTTGATATACACCTCGCTATGCCGTTCTCCTTGAATATGTACATCTGAAACCCGTAATAACGAACCTTGCCTCAACCCCCGGCCTACCAGAGCCTCACCCTTACACAGACATCTTGCTCGCAAGTGTCTTCCAGAAGTCGCACCTGGCACCGCGGCCACCCTCCCACGACAACGCATCGACAACGCTGAAGTCGTTCTGGATACCGGGCATCATGAACTCGGTGACGTTCACGCCGTTCATCTGAGGGCTCTGGTACGGCACTCCACCGGTGGTGTTCAGATTGATCATGCGGCTCTCGCCATCGTCGGCCCACGCAGGCCAGGTGAGATTGCTGATGCCCTGCGCAGTTGCGGGCTTCGCGGCTCGCACAAAGCCGCCCCAGATCTGCCTGAAGACGGTGGTGAATATATCGGGCTGGTTGGGCTGGGCGGGGCCAAAGTAGGCGTTGGGGTCGTCGCCGTGCAGCGCCGCGGGCACCGAGTACTGATAGTGGTGGGAGGTGCGGTTGTTGCGTGTGTAGGCCGAATTCATCCAGTACGCGGGGCAGACGAAGGTCGCCTCGGCGTAGAGGTTGTAGGCGCGTTGCTGGACGCCGGCGCCGTACTGACTGACGTCTAGCGCTGTGACAGGGCCAAGGCCAGTGGTTGCGTAGAGGGCAGTGTCCGTGACGTTAGATTCTGGGTAAACAGCGAGAATGGCGTCGATATCAGTAGACTCCAGGTATGGGTATGCGCCCTGGAGCCAGGTTCGTAAAGAGTCAGTGCTATTGATGGGGGGGACGAAAAGAGGACCCTCGTTGGCGTTGTTACCGACGAGGAGGTGCTCGCCATTCACGCGTTTGGCGAATAACGATTCGCTGGGGAGGGTGGTGACGAAGCCAGTCTCTGGCTCTGTGACAGGAAGAAACGCCCAGGTACCGTAGAAATTGGCAGCATTCACGTCGATGTTTGCAGATTGCAGTGTGACGGTGTCTTTGCTGCGCAGGCAAGCGAGCGTGTCGGTCGAGTTACCACATCCAGCGTGGGAAGCAAAGCTTTCATATCTCTCTGTTGGAATAGGAGCGTCAAAATCGTACTGAGGTGGCAGGTAGGGTGAAGCAGATATGATCTGATAGTCTGTCAGCAGTGTATGATGCTACCACTCGAGATACTTACGCCTCTGAACAGTGATGACCCTAGAGTGCCATTCTTTGCAGTGCCCAAGAGCATTGTTGCTCCAGCTCCAGCACTCTCACCTGTTATGGTGACTCTGGAGACATCGCCTCCAAACCGGCTGATGTGGTCTTGCACCCATTGCAGGGCGAACGCCAAATCAAGTATACCGGCATTCACGACACCGTTCTTTTCAACCTCAGCCGAAGAAAGGAAGCCAAACGCACCGAGCTCAAGGAATGTTAGTGTCTGCCTTAAATTTGTGGTCTCAAGAACTTACTCTGTATTGTAATGTAACGGCGACAAAGCTGTTATCGTTTGCGGTGACGATGTGACTCATATCTAGGTCTCCGCTGCCGCCACCGTATCCACCACCGTGAATCCAGACGAGCACTGGAAGGTTCTTACCTTCCTCGACGGCCGGAGCCCATACATTTAGGAAAAGACAGTCCTCGTCGCCAGATGGTGAATCTAATTGGCCAAAGAGATTAAAAGGCCCAGCTTGAGGACAGCGTGTACCATAAGTGGTAGCATTCACTACTGCTCGGGACACAGCTGGTACTGATGGAGCTCGCCAGCGGAGATCGCCAATTGGAGCTGCAGCGTAACGAATGCTGGAAGCAGAAGTCAGTGTATCATTCGAATGTACGGCAAGGCGTGAAATACCCTTTCCAGGCATTGAGCCCCGTAGTCTCGTTATGAGCGCCCTGGTAAATACCATAACCCAAGTCAACGACCAGATCTTGGGCATTGTAAACCGGTGCTGCCAGAGCTGCTGGTACACTAAGCAGGCAGAGTACTGCGGCCGTAGCCATTCGTCCCATTGAAGCCATTTTCAGCGTGGATATTGAATTGGTTGGATGCCACCCAAATGGAGGCTCTACAGGTGTTTATGTATCCTGCTTCACTGAACAAAATTCGGGATCCGTCCGTGAGATCGCCATCCATTAGAGTCTCTTCAAGGTAGGCTTGCATGGTTCTGACCTATCATACCACCAGGACAGCTCGACCAACGTGTAGCTCGGTGCACCAAGCACCAACTGCTTCGACGGATCATGAATGCGCGTTTCCTGCTGCATAAGCGTGTGACTGGTGCGAAGCCCGAAGTACCGATATTTGTGTGCATTTGCTCGAATTTGACTTGTTGTAATTAGCTCCTCTAATACATTGTTTTCTGTATGATCAATGCCTTTTCCTGTTAGACTGTCCGGGCTAGAGGAACATCCAGTGCGTGCCTGCCTGCCGAGCCGAATCTAGTAACCGTTTTTTTCTCGGCAGATAATGACGTTTTGTTTCGCAACACTTTTACGCATAGACGAAATTTGTATGGGAGCTGCTTACAAAGCTCAGAATTACCAATCTTGCCAAGCTTACTAAGTATCTCCCAATCCCTGTCTCAGGTCTGGGTTCACAAGTAACACCGCCAGGGGCCGTCGCACTTGTCGGAAGCCGAGATCTCTAATCACGCAAGCTGCCGAAATGACACCGCCAAGGGCAGTTGATGCTGAGATATAGCGTCTCTCGCTGGTCAACTAGGCCGACAGACAAGTAACAAGCAGCCTCCAAATTCATATCAAATACCTGGATCTGCGTGGACCTTCCGATACATTGGAATCTCTCGCAAAATGGAGGTCTGCTATCTCTAGGGCCAGCCTGAACACGAGAAGGTCGTCGATCAAATGCAGACCATAATAAGTGGCCAATTGCATACGTCCAAAAGCATTGATGGGGCCATATCGTATAGTTATTACAACTAGACCCTGTACGTCATTGCATCTAGTACACATTAACCGTAGCGTTCCTGGTATTCGGCGCCGGACAAAAGGACGAAACATGCAAAGAACTTTGAGGATGACATGATCCACGTGGCCGCCCGCGCCGCCCGCGAGTTGCGTGCTACCGGCTGGTGTCGTGCGTCAAAAACTCGGCAGCTGCCACTTCCTGGTTGCTGCCCTGCCGTTCTTGGCTGTTGTCAACTTCAAACTGTTTTGTAACATATATCTTCTTCCCCTGCATCTCGCTCTCCGAAGGCCCTGATGTGAATGAGTGGGCATGACTGACGCTCGACTGGCTCGTCAGCTTTTCTTCGTCATCGCCGGTTCTTCGGATGCCTTTGCTGACGAGCTTGTGCAGCCTGTGCCTGTTTCCAGTCGCCGAATCCGAGGTCCGTCCCCTGCTGTCATGTAGGCTACCAAAGACAGGAATGATTCTGACGATCAAAGGCTTAAGGGCCGGAAGTGATGCGCATACGATACCAAGATTGGCTTCGATAGAACTCCAGTATGCAGTTGGTGCACTATAGTATGTCGCGTCGTCCATATGTTTCTCAAACACGGTGAGTGTGGTGACTCGAATAATAGAGACGACGCATACAAACCATCCTATGGTAAGGATGGCGAGCAGCGCTAGCTTTTGGCGTTTCGGTATCTGTAAACTCCAGATGCCTCGAACTGGGATAACAGCGACCATGAGATCCGTTATCATGTTCGCGGAAGCATTGACATACCACAACCTGTGCTTGCGTCAGTAAAGTCCCAATGCCCATATATTGTTGATATCAACACAGTGCCTAGGTAGTAGGCTAATGATTTCTTTGGTGGAACATTACTTACGCCATCTGGTCCACACATTTGGAACTCCCTTTTATCAGTACGTTCCAATATGCCTCGACTGGGACGCAAGAGAATATGGACGTGAACAGTAACACCACTCCCCACGAACCAACGATGGCTAGAGCCACATAGACAGGAACGCGCAGCTCGCGTATCGTGAAGATACGGTAGTATTGCAGCAATATCGATATTTTGGTGGCAGTGAGGCTCATGTTATATGCAATGATGCTGAAGAACAGATACTTGATGCTGTTAGCTCAGACCGAGTGCAGCCGCCGCGTCTTAACGAACCTTCAAGCCCTCAGAGACTTTTTCTGGGTATGGCACAAACATTGCATGCTTCCCGCTGCCAGCTCTGATCTCTGATACATGTTAATGCTTGGCCGCTCGAGGCTCATTTTCAGAACTTACGAAGTAATTGGCAAACACATGTTATTATCATTAAGGCCTGCGGGTATCTGTCAGTATTTGACTACGTTGATAATAGACAGCAACGCACCATAGCAATCATAATGGTCCAGTCTTCCCATCCAGTTTTGTGATATTTCATCCGCGTGTACACCCGCAGGCATATCGAAATGAATGCTATCGATGTAAATGTGATGATAATACGCTGGCACAAGGGCCCTTGATCTTGCGCCCGTAACACGTCCAGCTCTTCAGGTGTGTACTGATCCATAGCTGATCAGGCTGTGAGGGTCGTATTCCGTGTACCAGTCGTTGAGGAGGGCTGGAATCACAGAGATTTACGGAAGCTCCGCCGACTAATGGCTGTGTAGATGTTTCGTTAGGCTGAGTGTAGAGAAGGTCCACAGGTTGGGGCCCACAAGCAATGTATACCTAGGTGTTGGAGATCCCCTGTCAATCACTCGATGTCTCTAGAGTATCCCGAAAGTGTAGCGACACGCTTGCGACTGTTCGGGGGGGAAAGCGCCTCACGCGCGGGGACACCATCAGACAGGCGCTGCGAACGGTCAAAGTGCGCTGACCCCAGTCTTTGAGCTAGCATGGTTGAGACGTAATTGATAAAGATGCTGGACCGGGGGTGCGGCTGACAGGAATATGACTCGATGACGACGCGAGTCGCTAGGGACAGCCGCTGTCACGTACGACTTCATTGCATGGCAGTGCTCAGGTAATAGTCGCATGCGCTCATCGCGGGATCGGAAGAGACCCGCTCTGCCGCGTCGAGTGGTGCATGCAAGACATGAGTTTAATGTAATTAGGTACACTTGTCCAGACCCAGCTGAGCCCATGGTACAACATGGTCGTGACCCAATGGTTCACAGCTTCATTCCTGTCTGCGTTCCTCCACACCGCCGGGTTTGTAAAGGGTCCCAAGGTTTTGTTGCTTCGAGGAGTCTTCTCGGCTCTACTCTCGACTGGCTCCAATGATGCCGACATCCTGACATCTGGACTCAGCCCTACGGGCGATTTCTTCCGTTTCAACGAAAAAGCAAAACAGCTTCGTAACATCAGAATATGATGACAAGTTTCTGAGCTGAACATGCATCTAGTTGCAGGCGGGATGAAAGCATCTATAGGTAGGCTGTAGAAGCCGATGTCAGTAGCTCACTGCACAAGAATCCTTCAGGAACACAATCGGAAGTTTGTGGATATTCAATGTAGTTACACACATGTTATCGAAACCTTAATTTTCTGTCAGAAGAGATCGGCTAGCGTCGCACCGTATGCATAGGTAGTATTCATTTGATGGCCGATCTCATGTACCTCGGCCCCCTGTTTCGATCGGACATCGTACAGGCTGTACGTCCACAGGTTTCACGGGTAAAGACTGCTGGTTGTTTAGATCCGTACAAGAAGAGATGAGATCTTGGGAATCAAACGGTACCAATGGAGTCGAAAGGTTGGCATGTCTGTCGCGTCATGATCTGCATGTCGCAACATGCCTGGCGAGTGCGCAACTCTTGTCCCGTCTGCTCGTGATAGATTTACGAGTAAGTGCCTAGTGGATACAATCCTTCCCCCACCAGCTCGTGTATCAAAAGGATTTAATCCTAGTTACTGTAGTTTTGACAGTCAGACCACTCTTTATACGCCCACTCATACTCACGAAATGGGTTGCTCGCAGCCACAGGGCCATTCAAAGGATGTTTTGGCTTTGCGCTTGCCCAGAGTCCCGCTGAACCTTATCTTCCTAATCCACCACGCTAGGCACCCGGGCCGTCAATGGGGACTGGTTGACACGCATCCGATGCGGGTGCACGCGCACAGGGATAGGCTGTGAGCCGTGAGGTGGAACCAAAGCCCCGAGCTGACGCACATCCGGCCTTAAGCCACCGAATCGTGCCCTAGAAGCCTTCGAAACATCTCATTTCTCCACCAACACTCCTCTATGCAGGCTGCCACCCCAAAATTTAGCTATCCACGGGTGCCTGCAGCGCTCCAAGGTGTCTTGACTGTAGCTCGTTACTCACAATGATTGTGAGCTTGAGCGTGGCCGTCGGACCTTGTTATACTTAGACAATATAACAGCCGAAGAAGAGCCAACAATGGACTACCAGTAGTGTCTGCTCCTTTAATGTGCAGGTAAATTCGGCTTAGCAATAACAAAAGCCTATCATGGCAATGCAACCTCTCTGGACACGATAAAGCATATGTTCAGAAATTTTAAACGTGTGGAATCTATGTAACATAGAAAACAAGAAAGGGTATATTTGTCCGAACGAATGGATGCAGCTCAATAAGCTCGTGAGAGATGATCGATTTCACACACTTTACGGGCGGCAGGGCGACCTTTGCTGTCAAAACTATCCTGCTAGCCGTGGTTACATCCATCCATGGCTCCCTGCTGCGCGCTATTTCCACACTGAGCATCTCTTTCTTGCTACGCTCACCTCCTTCGGTCGAATTCCTTCGGTCTTTCCTTTCCTTGGCCCACACTCATCAAATCTTATCCATCAGGGCCGGCAAAGACCCTCGGATGTAATACGTCAGTCAGCCATCACAAATAATTGACTTTGATCTGAGTGGACGACATGTTTGACACCCTGGGAGACAACCTGCTGTCTTGAACAACCCTTGCCAGGTACAAAGTCCAGGCTACGATGTGTGACCATCGTGACGAGGTGCATGTTGCAAATCGAGAGCCAAAGGTTACCAAGTGAGCAGAATCAAAGGGTGGTTGTGGCCCCCCGAGCATCACCACGTTTCCACCTCCGCGCCTTCATCTCAACGCTCGAGCCTGATCTTCGCTATGCGGTTCATCAACAACGACTCGGTTCTTTCCATCCGAAGCTCAGACGAGACTGCCGCTACCGGCCAGGCATGCTTGACGCGTGTCACAGTGGAGACTCGAGCTAAAACATGCAGCAGCAACGGTCGCCTAGGAAGCGCAATACGTGCAGTGTCAGAGAGCAATACTTATCTGGTTACACCGTACATATACGACTCGTGTCACGATCGCTGCCTCAAGATATTTACAGCTGACACCGAGGAAGAGTACACCTGTTGCAGAAAACTTCCTCCACGCGAAGGAGCTGAAAAGCCCGAAGGATACGCCGACAAACTCGAGATGACGGAAACTCCACGTCTTGGGCAAAAACAGGGATATCCAAGTTTGTTGGAGTAAGGACGAGTACATGTGATAGTCAACGGTGTTTTCCATTCAAGTACCTAGGTACGAGGTACCGCTTGAGGTGTTGCAGAGACCTTCACGAGCACTTCCTGAAACCCACGATGGAGACGCAAGTATGCGCGACCCCGAAGCAAGCCGTTGGTTTCAACACAACCTGGACGCCCACACGGGAACCCACATGGAGCCCGTAGTAGGAAACCATAACCGTTTGATGCCAGGTACCAAGAGGCCGATTGACGCCAGATACCAACAAGCCGAGTCATCATCGCGCGCCGACTCCACATCCCGAGAACGACGATGCACAGTCCGTGGGTGCCCCACGAGACGAGTACAAGCGTCTGAAGACGATCGAACAGGCCTTCCGTAAGAGAGACGCGCCAGACTGGGCAGTGCCGGGCTCTTGCCTGTTGCCGAAATGGAAGATTGTGCGGCAGCTTTCCTGTTCGAGGCGGTGCGGGGATTTTCCCGTTTTGGTTGGAGTAAATAGTCCCTCTTGAATCCTTCGTAATGTGTTTTGGGTTCGTGATAAAGCACAAGGCCGTGGCGTTGCCGGCTTACCTGCTATGATGGGCGATTCGTAAGTAACAAACCTGACCATCGCCCCACGACTTGAGTTGGGGAAATTCGAGGCCATGAAGCACATCGACCACTGAGTTTTTCCCGAAGAAAACGTGCGAGTCAATGTTATCGTTCTTGAAGCGCCTGGAACGAGATATGAGCATGATGGTTGATAACGATCTATTCATCGACATGTGCGGAAAAGTTGTGGAAAATATATGCATAAGCCACAAGAAACAGAGACACCTTGGCCTGCCTAACAGATACGCCTTGAAATGCATGAGGATCTCATCAAACATTCAGACGTGAAAAGGAGCATTAAGGACTCTAAGAAGACATGCCACCGTCAACGCAACCAGAACACGTAACCCCCATATCATAGTAATACACCCATTGAAATCCAATCCCAAACAGCCATTTCATGCCAGTAATGACTACGCTTAGTTGAGCTGCGGGTTTGTTGTCGCCCGACGCAACTTGTACAGCGGCAAGTAGTCAAAATCGTCTTTCTCGGGCTTGTACCGCCACGCCTTGAACTCGACGCCGTACGGCTTGGGCTCAAGCTGGTACAGCATACCCAGCGGGCAGTCAAGGTCAGCGACATCTTCCCGGTTAAGACCCTGGAAGTATGCCAAAAGAACTCTTGCTACGGAGCGATGTGTGATGAGCAAACAGTGGTCTGTCATGCGCTCCAATTCCACGATGACGGGGCGAATGCGGTTGATCACGTCGAGGTAGCCTTCGCCGCCGGGACCGGGATAGCGATATGCAAGCTTGTCGCGGCGCCGGCGCAGGTACTCCTCGGCGTGCTTGGTACGGATTTCGTCGTATGTGAGGCCCTCCATGAGGCCCGCGTTCAGTTCGTCGAGCATACGCATTTGCTTCACCTCAAAGTCCTCGTCGCAAAAATATTGGCCGGACTGGACACTTCTTTTCAGCATGGACGTCCAGACGCAAAAGTTGTTTTGCTCGAAGTCGCTGCTGAAGTAGGGGTTGGGCGGAGTATGGTCCCCAGGCACTGGAGGAAAGTGTGTATTTGCCATTTTGTCTGCTTGGCGGATGGCCCATTCTGCGCGCTGCTTGTCAATGAAGCGAGTCATGGCTTTGGAGTATTTGCGCCCATTCTCAGAGAGATCTGAATCGCCGCCAATCTTGCCAGCGAGATTGTCGAGGGACTCGCCGTGGCGCGTTATCCAGATCATGCGGGGCGCGAGATTGAAGTTGAGGAGATAGTAGACTGCTTGGCCAGCGAGGAAGCCTTTGATCTGGTGCGAGATCATTTTGCGGCCAACATCAACCATTTTGACATATGGCATGTTGTTTTCTTCCTCGTAGTCCCCGATAGGAACGTAGTTTTTCTCATAGATGGCGACACGTTTCTTAAAATCTTCGAGCGCAGCGTAGGGGTCTTTGTCCTGATAATCTGGTCCAGATAGCTTCAAACGCATGTTTGACTCCAACAGGCTCTTGTCCTGGCAGACGCTCTCGACGAACAGAACGTTCAGCTCTGGGCCAGCCCTTGCGCGGATTTTCTCCATAATCTGCTTCCTCCGTCCAAGGGTGCTGTTAGTCGCGTCGAAGATGCCGACTGAGCCATTGCCATTCAGGATGTAATCGAGAAGGTCGTCCAAGGTTTCCATAGCGCACTGCTCTCGGATTTGAGCGCCCTTCTGATTGTTGGGATCGAAGAAGTCTGCTGACTGGTCCATGCCCTCGTCCTTTTCCTCCTGTCCGCCTCCGTTCAAATCCGGCTGCTCCGGTGTTGCCGCCTTCTTGCCAGGTGCTGTGACTTCTACATGGGGTACATCGGCCTCCTCGACGGCGGTGGAGTTGGTCGGGTCGCGGCGTGGATCTTGGAGGTCCAATGGGGCCATTCCTCCATTGTCTGCAGCTGCCGACTTGCCGTTGATCAGGATCTTGGCTGCAATCTGAGGAAGGGTGTCCTTGTGTTGTTCTAGCGCGTGCCTAACCCCGGAAGGAACCCTCTCTAAGCTTTGCTGCGACAGGCGAAAGCCATGCCCGCTGGTGGCCACACGGCGTTTCTCTCCCACATTGAAAATCTTTGTATCGTGCTGCAACCAGTTGAGGTATCTGGTCATCTTCTTGGTGATGTAGGACTTGCCACGTGCAGGCAGACCCACCATGACTATGACGAGCTTGGAGCCGACATCGCGCGACGCAATCTTGCCGTCAGGCGAGACCTTCGACTTGGTGAGGCCGGGGATGTCGAGAGTGGTGGGGCGAATGCGGGGCGTCGAGGCAGCGCTGCTGTTCCTCGTCAAGGCCCTGGGTCTGTTAGTGCGCAGCGCCTCAGCAGATTGAGCATCTGGGACGCACCCCTTGGGGCTTGGTGGCTGCGACGGCGCCGGGGTGTCGCTCAGCGCGACGCCCACGCCATCCTTCACGGTCGCATGGGTGTGGTGGAAGGTGCCGCCGGCGGACGTGGGTGGAGGCTTGAGCTCTCCACGGTGGGCGGCTGAATCTCGGATGGCCTGCACGCTCTTCGGGGGACCTGCAGACGGGATGGTAGGTGCGGGCGCAGACCGCGGGGCAGGCTCAGCGTTGCTCGTCGACGGGTTCGTGGGCTGCGCGTGGTCCTTGGTCGGGTTGAGGCCGCTCATGAGAACGTTTCGCGCGTCGGTGAGGGGCTGGCTGGAGCGGCGGGCGGGGTTTGCGGGAGTGCTGGAGGCAGATGAGCGTCGGCGCTGCTGATGATGTAGTAGCTCGGTCGCGCGAGGCGGCGTTATAGCAGCCATGCCCGATTAGGAAGTTCCGCTAGCACCCAGTAATCCGGGAACCACAGCTGCTGTGACGGCCGCGGGCGTGGAGGCTCGCGGGTGGGATCGTGTAAACAGAGGCTTGGATACGTCCTGGGCAGTGTGCAAAGTGCTCGAGGCGACAGAAGCGGGAGGGCGTCTGCGGCAAGTTGTTCGGAGGCGGCGGCTGGCGACGCGCTTTATTGTATATTTGGGCACCGTGCCGATGACTGAACTTGTGGTTCGCCGCAAAAAACTAGACGTAAGCGGACGGAGTCCAGGGACACAACCGTAGGCAGGCCGTCAGGGTCCTGAGCGCGACAATATAAGTTGCCTTAATTCTTATCTGCGCTTTGATAGCGACGTTACTGTGGTTGATTTGCAGCTGCTGTGCTCAACTATGCGCGGTTGCGACCAGCTCTACAAAGCGCCGCAGACGTGGCAGCAACGCTGGGGGAAGGCAGTGATGCAGTCCCACCAGATGACCCAGTGTCTGTCGGCGTCCGTCACGTCTCGAGCCGCAGCGTGAGCACCAGCAAACAGACGTACGCCGAGACACTCAGCGCAGTCAACACGCTCACCACATTGCCGCTCGTCCTGAACTTTTTCCTATGGAGACCATCCTCGCCTAGTTCTGAGAAGAACTGCTTATTGCCTGTCTTGTGTCAGTGCGCCCGGGCTGCGACGTCATCCTCGAGTTCCCCAACGCACCCTGCTGCCGTCTGAACAAGCTGATGAACAGAATGCCTGCCCCATAGACTGCGAATAGCGCACCGATGGAGTAGAACTCAGCCGTGAAGATCTTGAGCACGATCAGGGCGAACGAGAACTGTCCGATGGCCGTGCGGATGTAGGCTCCCTCGAACGTTCTTTGCGCTGCACGAATCTCGACCATTTCGGCAGACGTGAGAACGACTGAGCGATAGCGGTCGGCGGCATGGCGGCCCTCAAACATAGTGGCTAATGTTGGAAGATCACGATTCCCTGAGGAGGGTAGTGGTGTGTATGGTAATTGATGTCTCCTTCACGTGGTAGTGCAGTCGATAAGTCAGGTGCCGAGGCTGATTGCGACATAATCGTGCACTTGCACGATGCAGTTCGGAGGTCTTCAGCTCTTCTAAAGCTATCCAAATTTTGTAGCGATAGATGCTATAGTCTTTCTCCTTGTTCTCAGCCTTCGAGATTTGCGCAGATGAGGTCTGAACGCCTCCGTTTGTTGCAAAGCCAGGATTGAGTACATTGGCCACCTGCACTCGACCGATTTCCACACCAAAGCGTCGCATGATGAAGAGGCCCAACATTTCTTCATCGACAACAAGTCGCCTGGCCTCACCATCGCCTGCACCCAACCTCTCCCTTATTATTTCCCGCACCTCGCGCAGTACATGAGACGGCTTGCTCAGCTGTTTGCTTCTCAGTGCACGGCCACACTTGTGCGGACCTCCGGCGGTTTGTATGCAGCTGTTCACGCACCTTCACCAACAAAGCTGACCGCAGCAGGCAAAGTCGATCTAGCAATACGTCCTTTGCCAGAACTGCGCCCGAAGCATCTCCATTACCTCTAAATTCTTGTCTACCACGCCGCTGCCACCCTCATTCTAGCCTTGGAGGCCCTTTCTACGACATCTCTCACGCAGAATCGCGAGAAGAAGCAGAAGGCGACGAGATGGGCGACTCAAAATCTGGGGCATCCACCACTTCCAGTGGCAAACGGAAGAGAAATGCGGGCCCCGCATTCTATGCTGTCAGAGTTGGTCGCACACCAGGCATATACTACAGCTGGGCCGACTGCGAGCTACAGACCAAGGGCATGAAGGCCGAATGTATATTACCTCTGGTCTGTTCTCACGAATGATTGACTGACTGAGATCAGACAAGAAGTTCGATTCTCTCACCGACGCCGAAGCCTTCATGAAGGGTACACACAAGCCAATGCCCAAGCCTGGGAAGACGAAGTACTATGGCGTGGCCATCGGGCATGTTCCTGGTGTATACACAGACTGGCCATCAACACAGGCACAGATCAAAGGTTGTAGCGGCGGGCTGCAGCAAAGTTTTGCGACAAGTGAAGAAGCTCAAGCCTTCGTTGATGAGCACAGGCGTGATCAGAGTGTACCCATCAGCTTGCGAGGCGACCTTTCTGAGGCCTCTTCTGCAGTCGGTCAAGGCTGCAAGGCCAGTGAACCTGTTTCGAAGAAGGCGAAGAAGAACAGCAGCTTATCGGCGGCAGCAGTGTCCAATGGCGATGCTGTGTACGAGCCTGGGATGGGTCCACTGCCAGAAGGCGCCGAAGACGGCTTCGATCGCACTATAAAGATGGACCTTGAGAGTGGTGCGATTAGACACAAGACCGAGGCGGAATTGAGTGCTACAAAGAAGCAACCAACGGGCGATTTCACAGGTCAAATCGTGGTCTACACAGACGGCAGTTCACTTGGTAATGGCCAGACTGGGGCCGTTGCCGGTGTTGGCGTGTACTTTGGCACCAACGACAAGAGGTAAGCGACTGCATACCGCCCAGCATGCACTTGCGCTGATTCGCCGAGCAGAAACGTGTCAGAACCGTTGCGAGGAACGAAGCAGACAAACCAACGCGCTGAATTGACAGCTGTCGCTCGGGCCCTCGATCACGTTCCTATCGATCGAGATGTTTTAATCTGCACCGATTCGTACTACGCAATACGATGCATCGCTGAATGGTCACCAAAGTGGCTTAGAAACGGATGGAAGAATTCGGCCGGCAAGGATGTTGAGAACAGAGATCTCGTGGAGCCTATAGTTTCGCGAGTCTGCGAACGTGAGGCTTGCAAAGCGAAAACAAAGTTCCAGTGGATTAAAGGGCACGCCAACGACCCGGGCAACGTCGCAGCTGACCAGCTGGCTGTCCAAGGATCTAGACAGAGTACTCCTCAGCTCAGAGGCGAGATCGAATTCTCGACCACACTCACGAGCCCGATCAAGACGAAGGAAGAATGGGAGCAGATAAAGAAACAAGAGCGAGAAGAGAAGGAAGAAGACGCGGCTTACGACAGTGCGGCTGCTGCACAATTGATGACCCAGACCTCGTCGCACTTCACGGCTGTCAACGCACCAGCTCAGAGTAGGCCCATCGCGATTGTCGCACCACCACAGACAGATGTTGTCGCTGTGAGTGCTAACGAATCAGCGACAGCCAGCACGTGATGGCTACGTGGTCACTTTTCTGTGATTGAACCCGTCCTGCTACTACCTAGCTGTGTACTACCATATCTGTTGCACAATTCGGCATCGTTCAGTTTACATCGAACTAACCAACTTTGTTGTTGGAAAAGTGGGAACACAGACGCGACCAATCGCGTTGTAAGATGATGCGCATGACATAGCTAGGAGGTCTTCGGCTCATCCTGAGCTACTTGTTTCTTGTGGTGAAGATGGTATAGCTAGGATTTTCGGCTCATCTCAAGCTACTTGTTACTTTAGGTGAAATACAGTATAACATTTCACGCGCTTGACATTACGATATCTACACAGGAGCACTCTGAAAGCCCCATTTAGTGTTTGTTTGTAACCCATCTGGGGCCAATGTACGAAGTCAATAACAGGCACGACGGCATTGCGACATCGAATCCTTGTATGTCGTTGCCCCGGATTGCGGCATAAGCCGAGGCATCGTGACTGCCCAATCTAGTAATTTGTCCTGCTTTAGATTGTTTGTCAGTCCGACTGGCCACATGATATCCACTTCGAATAGCATATGATTGACTAACAGTATCAAGGACCACACTGCGGTGAGGAAAGGGCTACTAGTGAAGTCGATTCGACCGAACAAGGCGGAAAGGTCAGTGGAGAAGTGCAGACGCGTACCTGCTTATGTGTGGAATCGCGGTTGCTAGCATATTTCACACCGTAGATAGTCCAATAAAAGTCCACCGGATCCACGATCCGAGTCCTTTGCAGAGTGAAGGTCCGTCCCGAGGTTCTTGTTCAGATCAGAGATTGATGAACTACGGACAAGAGATCATTTTTGTACAAGACCGAGACTTCTATGTGAGAATAAAAGAGGTCAAAATCAGCACTCATGTCTTCTGCATAATTGCTTGTTCCTTCCTTAATCTTTATCGTTCAAGTCTTACTTCATCTCGAACACCCGCAATGAAGTCCGTCCTCTTCACCCTTCTGGCTGCTGCAGCCCTGGCTTCAGCGTCGCCGATCGAAAATGATATCCTTGAGAAGCGCGCAGTATCCTGCCTGAAAGTCGGCGCCACAGCAACAGCGACGTGGACGAATGCTGCAGGGAAAACGTGTCGCTGGACAGGTACTGTTGGCAGTAACTTTGGCACAAACAGTGTTACGGGAGGAGAGTACGTATACAACTTCACAGGTCTGACATGATTCATCCCATGAAACCATGTCGTAGGAATGAATATCTGGATTGAAGCTGACAATTCCAGCTACTCATGCAACGGCCGCTGTGGCGCGGGATGCTCTGGAACCGCTGTCGGAAACGCGTACACGCAGGACTGCTTCAGTCATGATGTCTGTAGCTGGTTCAATAATGCCTCTGGCGGAGCAAGGTAGATTTTTGAAATCCTCCCCAAAGTATACCTAGGGCTAACGACGACCAAGCGACGCGAATTGTGGTGCAGCATACAATGCTGCAGTCGATGATACACTTTTGGGCTCTGTGAATGGATGTGGACAGACGAACCCAAGCAATTCGGCAGTAAGGCCTTCGACAAGTCCCACTTGTTCATAAGCTGGGTGTGAGAGTGTCGGGGAACCGTACGATAGTGTTTGGGCGAGAACTACGCATGATGACCATTTGTGCACATTTCCCCTGGGTGATATTCCCCTCTTTCACATCCAATGCTCTTTGATTGGTTTTGTTCCCAAGACCTTGCATTGCTCCGCGTTCATGTATTGCCTGGCGTAGCAGCGACTTTGTTCTTTCGGGGGGACTAATATCAACCCTTCTTACAACGCAAGCTCAAAATCGGGAACTGTTGTTGATAATGGCTAACACCAGATTTGAGAACAGATTCTTCTCCTTCCTACTCTTTATGGCTCAAGAGCTCCGCATCCACAGCCTGATGGGTTTGATCGTTTACGCTTTGTACAAGACAGCTCACTCTCTGTTACTGAAGGTGTTCTACCTGTTGCCATATCAAATCGCTACAAACGTATGGTTGGCCGGCTTGATATCCTTCATCCTTGGTTGAATGTTCATCAGTCTGGTCCCGCCGTGGAACAGTGATTGTCAAATATGGTTCAGGGTCCTTTACCAAAACGACGAACCAACCATGGATCAGAAACCATGGCCACTAATATGAGGAGAGTATATATACCTGAGAAATATTCCCTCTTCATCTACATACCTTTTCTTGTCCAAGCCCGATACGAAGAGTTCCCAGCATGGATCCAAGCTCCCTCTCATCAGCTCTGGCTGCACGCCAGCTGCTCATACCCACCTTCTCGACCCCTGTAATGCTCGATGCCTCGCCAATCGTCAGCATTTTGCCTATCACGACAACGCCGACGGAGCACATGGAAGGGGTCCCTTTCGTTACTGGGCCTGGACCTGCCATGGTTTCGATCGCGGCGCCTTCAGGGCGTCCCTTCACCCTAGGCCATGGATCTTTTCTGGTCTCGCTTGTGAAGCCTTCGGGGCTTCCATTTACTATGGGACATGGTCCTGTCGTTCTTCCGGCCGCGTCGCCTTCAGGGCGTCCCTTCACTTTGGGTCACGGCCCCGTTGTGTTCTCGAAGCCGACATCTGCAGCATCACTGCCGGCCTCGACACTCTCTACACTTGTGGAGCCTTCTTCGGTCAGCGAACTCGCCCCGTAAGTAAATCTCGATCTCTTGACGTGTAATGCCCTGCTTACCAGACCAAAGCAACGACATCAAGCTCAAGAAGTCGCTGCCTTCTCCGAGCTCCAGCCAGCCCACCAGGCCAACGTGGTCACATATTCTCCCGCTGATTATGTTATGGATCGTTCTCCAGTGTTTTTGAGTATGGAGTAGGAGGGTGCTCCCAGGCGTTCGAGCCGTTCTCTCGGGTTGTAGGATGCTCCATGTAGTAGTTCACAAAAATATCACCTTGCTCCTAGTGAAAAGATCTTTACCAAGTGCCAGCTTCTATCACTATCGTAGTCGCAAGTTCTGCGTCAAAAATTTGTACGCCTGAGGGATACTTACACATTTGCCATTCATCCTGGAACGTGAGAGCCGTTTGTGCAGCATGGTGTAGATAACCTACTCAAGCGAAATGTAGACGTTCAAATGCTTTTCATAACTCATGTCTGTTGATTTTTCCAAGCAAGAAACTGGCGTAACAATCAGACTTTAGCGACGGAGAGATGTGTGAAGGTATAAGATGCATGTTGTTAAATAAAAAGGTGACAACATGTTCGCGTCACTTGCCCCACTAAAGATTACCTGTATGAGGCAGGCAGCAGTTGTCAGCCATTCCTACTCCTGATCACTATCCCTACCTTTCAGTCGAAATTCGATGTGGCTCATCCGTGTAGTGCGAGAATTGAGTTGTAACTCTGATTCGCTGTCAGTGAGTGTCCTTGAAGGCTGCCTTTCGAAAGGATTTGTCCTCTCTGCTCACCGATGCAACCCGGCCATCAACACCAGAATGGAGCGCGAAATACTGGAAGCGAGATCGTCATCTGCGCGATGCATCACGAAAGTTACGGTTTTGGGGTTGTCAAGAAATGCCAATGCAACATTCTAACACCAATGTGGAAGGTACGAAAGGTACCTGACATTAGGCTCTCTTTTACCACATGAAAATCCCGTTCGAAGAGACAGGCCACCAGGTAATTTTGCAAGGTTGCTCGCTTGGAGAGCCATCATCGCACGCAATTGTGGTGCCATTGCGGTTGCTCTAGTCCCTTCAGGAAAGCTGTGAATGTAGTCAAGTATAAAAGAGAAAGAGATCTCCTACGCCGAAGATTATCGCTCGTGCCTTTGCTAATTATCCAGCAAGATGAAGGCGTTCGTTGTACATTCACTTTTGGCATCTCTTGCGGTCGGTGTCGCTGCGGCTTCCAGCGGCGCCGTGTCATATGCCGGCTACAAGGTCCTGCGAGTCAATACGTTGGGCCGTGTCGCTGAGGTCCAAAAGAAACTCGCGACCATCTCCTACCAGCAGTGGGAAGACACCGATACTCACATCGACATTGTCGTCTCCCCGGACCAGTTTGAGAAGTTCGAATCACTTGACCTGAACTACCGCCCATTGCACAAGGATCTTGGTAAATCGATCGAGAAGGAGGGAGAGCAGAAGGCCTACCGCAAACGCGACATTGATGACCTCTCTTGGTACGATGCTTATTCTCCATACGCGGAACACGTACAGTACATTTCCGACCTTCACGCAGCTTTCCCAAACAACTCCAAGCTGGTATCTTCTGGCCGTTCATACGAGAATCGCACCATTCAGGGTATCCACCTCTTTGGCGATGCAGGTCCAGGAAAGCCCGCAGTGCTCTACCATGGCAATGTACACGCACGAGAATGGATCACCTCGAAGACCGTCGAATACCTCGCACTGCAGCTTATCAACGCCCACAAGAACGCGACAAACACGACCCAGTCAATTCTGAACACGTACGATTTCCACATCTTCCCTGTCGTCAACCCTGACGGCTTTGTCTACTCGCAAGAAAAGGATCGTCTCTGGCGCAAGACTCGAACGCCGCCTCACCCAGGCCAGAACCAGACCTGCTTTGGCACCGACATCAACCGCAACTGGGAGTACGGCTGGGACGCAAACCCGCTTGGAGCCTCGAAGAACGGCTGTGCGCAGGCCTACAGGGGTGAGAAGCCGTCCGACACCATCGAAAACCAAGGTCTTGATGCGTACGTCCGCAAGCTGCGCGACACTGTTGGTATCAAGCTGTACATCGACTGGCACAGCTATGGGCAGTACATTCTCTCGCCCTTTGGCTCCAAGGAGGAATGGTATGCCCCTGAGTTGGGCAAGTGGACCAAGACTGCTTCTGTTCTGAGCGAGGTCATCCGCGACAGCTCGGACAGGCGAACGACCTTCACATTTGGACCCTCCGGCGCTACATTGTATACGACGACTGGTGCCGCACCGGATCACCTTTATGCTATCGGTGGCGCAGACTTCTCCTATACCATCGAGCTTCCCGACACCGGCGACTTTGGTTTTGTTCTTCCCCCGGAGAGGATTAGGGGCGCTGCAGAGGAACAGTGGGCTGGTCAGCAGGCCCTGTTTCCTCTCTTGGACGAGGTTTTCTTTGATGGACTTGGTCCAGCCTAGAAACTCAGATCGAGTCATGTAGTCTGTTGCTCCTACGAGTGACTGGCAATGAGAAGATATTACACAATTAGCGCTGTCTTGCAATATGTGAAATTTGTGCCCGTGATTGTCACACTCGTAGAGTGTTTGAATTAGCATCAACAGCAAAAAGATCTGGTTTTGCAGATATGCTAACATCTAACACATCTTGTTAGTCTAATTAATAAGACTTTCGTTTCTTACAAGGAATCATTTAGTATAGGATCCTCCATCGGTGCAGGGCTGATCACCTGCCAAGACGAGATGCATTCCTGATCCGCGCCCCTTAAAAAAATGGAATTCTTCGCACTGCTGCGTGGATCAAGCCGGCAAAAAGAGTGCCCATTCTCGGAATCGAACCGAGGATCTTCTCATGTCGCAAGCGTACGAGTGAGACGCTGTACCACTAAGCCAAACGGGCGTCTCTGAGTCAATATATTCAACCGAGCTTGTGCCGAAGTGTCAAAATACACAGGCCATATAGTACGGCAATCAGAGTGACTTGACAATCGTTTCATCGGGTTGTAACTTCGTGTTTGATTCAGAGTAAAAGTCCAGTGCTATGCATCAAGGCCAAAGTGAGGGGTAAGTGGGGCTCCATCAGCCGGTAGAATCTCGCCACTCTCATAGGCTACTACGCAGCGACCATCGTCTTCAGAGTCTCACCCCACTGCTGATCCATCAAAATACTTCTAACACGCGCTTCCAACCACTCCGTGTTTCCCCAGAAGCCCCAGCTTGCTTGGAACCGGAGCCAATCCACGAGTGCAATCTCCCAATGCTGTACAAAGGTTTCCCACTTGTACTCCTTCTTACTGATGCCCCTCAAGCCATTCCAATATCTCTCCAATAGTTTCCTCTCACCGTCCTGCATCTTCAGGGTGTGTGGCACATGATTATCGACCACTAGCATGCTGAGTGGTATGGAGCAGGTGAACAGCTTCGCCAGATCGCAGACTCCAAGTCCAAGGCCGATATACTGAAAGTCGTAGAACGCTACTTGCTCCCCTGACTTGCTGGTGAAGAGGTTTTCAGACTTGACGTCGCCGTGGATCAGCGTCTGATAGCCTTCGATAGGACTCTGACCCGACACAGATGGCGATAGAAACGTAGCGGCTAATTCGGCAATAGACTGATCTTGGCCTTCCAACGGTTTGGTCAATGGGTCCGTCCATTCTGAGTCGTCGTCTACTAAGCTGTTGTACTCGTTCCGTCGTGTGGCTAGGTAAGTGTCTGCAGGCTGTGTCAGTACGAGTTTGGTAAAATTCAAGTGCACTATGTGGGAGCCAGCACTGAACTTACATCCTCCGTTGAGCCAAACTGTTTTCTCAACTGCATCTTGGCCGTCTTGTTGGACTTCTTCCAGCGGAGGCAGTACAAGCTTGGTTCGATCAAAGCTGTTCACATTCGGCCACCAGAAACCATGAAAGCCAGCCAGCCAGTCCAGAGCAGCACCAACTTGAATGGTGGACAGTGCACCACGCTTCTCGCCAGCCACTGGGAAGTCCTGCTTCAGATCATTCAAGATCATAGCCGTTGTGGACGTGCCATCTTGGTGATGTTGATTGATGCTTGCCAGACATGTCGCCACGGGCACAGATGTCGGAAGCTGCGGCGCCAGGTGGCTGTAGAAGTACTGTTCGACCTGATAACTTAAAATCTTTCTAGAGTGACCCTCATCTCCAGCTCGCGTTGGCGGTGGTGTAATGAGCTTGAGGACATAAGGATGCGTCTTCTCTGAGGCATCAGTTGCACTGATGCGGCATATTTGTCCATACCCAGCCCATAGTGACTGGAGCAACGAGATAGAGACGACGTCGAGACCTCTCTTGGCAAGCAAGGCAGAGGCGACTTCTCTGGGTGATTGCGAAGCTGGCATTGGCTCTACCGAGGGTCTCCAAAGCTTCTGGGCTAGTAGTACAACGCAGATAAATACCGCAAGTTCAATGCAAAATACCAAGCCTCTTCGCTGACGTGGGAGCATTCAGTGCAAATTAATCGCACTGGGAGGCGGGGCACTTACGGCTTACAATCGATGATGATTGTAACAAGGCACACCTGAAAACGCACATAAAACTTGACGTGTATGTAGTATAGGTGATAAAGAGCAGAATCCTGGGTTGTACTTACGTTGTTGGTACGTACTCGAGTGTGAGGCTCACAAGCGAAAGAAGACAGGGGACACCAGATGCACGGGCCACATCCCACAGATCCGCGAAGTCCTTCGTGATCGAGTACGAAACAGAACTGGAGAAACAAACAGCCGATACGTTAATGAATAGTATACATAGAGGAATATCACCACTATATGCCAAGATCTAAGGTTGACTTGATCGGGATGGCTCTCGGTGCTGAGAAGTACCTAGTAAGAAACGCTCCACTGGAGATTATGAGAACGAATCAATGTCGTCAATGAGTTCAAACCTAGCGCACCTGTCTATAATAGAGTACGGTGCAAGCTCAGCCTCTCACATCAGCACCGACAATACGATGCGGCGAAGGGCCTGACCACCGTCAGCATCGCTCGGCTTCCAAGAGTGGTAAGGCTGTCAGATTGAGGCACGGTCTGCCGTTATCCGACGGCAATAATAAGATACGCTGATGCCCTTCTTTGACCCGCAGTAGCGACCCGAGAGCCTGCTACCTACCCAAATCTCCCCAAGATGGAAAAGAGTGCTACTGAGAGCCTCCTGGCCGAGAACCGCAATGAGAAACTAACATCTGCACCGGAGCTGCGCGAATATCGACCTGTCTACTGGCTTCGTTTGGTCCTACGAATACTGTCCTTGTTAACTTGCGCATTAATTTGCTTCAGCCTGATCGATGCCATCCGCAACTATCGAAGTACCAAACATGTCAGAAACCCGTTCCACGAGGGTAGCGGGAGCCTTCCCGTTTGGCCCGAGAAAGAAGGGCTGAAATTGTATCCGACGTATGTCTTGTTGGGCGCGGCAATTGTTGCAGGCGCATTGAGCTTTGTTCTGGTTATCGCAAGCTTCACTAAAGTCGTAAGTATTCTCTGTGCTGGACGATGGCTGATACAGCTGCTGACCAACGTCTAGGTACGAAGGATGACGAAGGTGGGTAATATTAGCACAATAGTCGTGTCGTCGATTTGTCTCGTGCTGTGGGTTGCGGTGACTGCATACTATGGCACTTGGGACACGTCCGAGACCAACTGGGATCTGCTGTGAGTCGTGGCGTACTCGAAGAGCTCTTCAATGCTGAATTATACAGATCGTGGACATGTACTCATCGTAACTACGAGTATCAGGACATCGACTTCAGCGAGACGTGCACAGCGATGGTTAGTGGATGAAGCTGCTTTGGAGTAGAGCAGAGCTTGGCTAATGGTACCACAGCGATTTTCATTCTGGGCTGGTGTTGGTCTGGCTGGATTGGAGGCACTAAATCTGGGCATCTTCGTGATTTGGTGGCTACGAACGCGCGGATCCCGTGAATATTCGAAGGTATGAAGCGGTTATGGTAGGAGCTCCGAAGAGAAAGCGCAAAGACCCGGAACGGACCGAGTCTCAAGTAGCGTCTACGCGTTACGTCATACACGTGGGCCTGAGAATACATCAACCTCAATGCCGACGTGCCAATTTAATTCTCAAAAGTAATCGCCATTCAGATGAGGTTAATGTGTCGTCGCGCACACTTGCAAGTGTCGCAGACCAAGTGTTTGACATGCGAGTCATCACGCGAAAGTCGTTACTACGACATCATGACCCCACACTTTACAAATGCCTCGGCGCTTTCAAAGCTGACTGAATTCAAGTATAGATTTGCGGGGAAAATGTAATCACGTCGGCCCTTAGCGGGGTGGATCTTCTGTCTATATTTCCTGACTTTTTGCGATCTTCTCTGCTCTTCTCCGTGCTTTGATTGAGGAGATTCAGCGAGACACAATATCACCATGGCTGATCCTAAGAACAATGCGAATTCACGATTAACGCAGATCACCGACTTCTTGACCATGAACAAGACTGCGAACACGATCCCGTGGGATCCGGATTCCACTAAATTTCCCACCAGGCAAGAGCTCCCAGATATCCCCGGAGCACCCAAGGAAGCTGCATGGACCTGGGGCCCGGATGACAATGTAAGGTCCGTTGTTGTACAGTACTTGAACATCGCATACTCACAGATCGTAGATCGGTCGACTGAACCTTCTCACGCCCACACGCGTAGCTGCCGCAGCTAAAGAGATTCGATCCGGTGAAATCGTCCCCGTCAACCTTCCGCTGAACGTTCCCGGCCAGCCCGCCTTCGGCCGTGAGGTGTTTAAGCATGAAATCAAGACTGTAGTCGAAGGAATCGTATACGATGACCTCTACCACATGAACACACAATCCGGCACGCAGTGGGACGGGTTCCGACACTTCGCCCATATCCCCACAGGATCCTTCTATAACGGCACCAAAGGCTCCGACATAGCCGGCCCGGCCGCAAACCACAAATGTTCTATCCACCACTGGGCCGAGCATGGTGTTGCAGGGCGTGGTGTGCTGCTTGATTACAGGGGATATGCGCATAAGAAGGGTATCAACTATGATCCGTACGACTACTACCCGATCTCATGGGAGGAACTTTACCAGTGTGGAAAGGATCAAGGGATTGACATCAGACCTGCGGCGCAGGGTGGTGATATCAAGATCGGTGACCTATTGTTTATTCGATCGGGCTGGAAAGAGGCTTACGATAGTAAGTCGGACGAGGACAGGACGAAGGCTGCGACGAGACATGGGCCAAATGGGGATCCCGATATGCGGTTCGCGGGCGTCAGCCAGGAACAGAAGATCCTGGATTGGCTGCATGACTGCTATTTTGCGAGTGTGGCGGGCGACGCGCCTGCGTTTGAGGCGTGGCCTACGCATGAAGATTACCATCTACATGAATACAGTAAGTGGTTCCTACACTTTGGGCACATCCAATGCTAATTGACTTAGTTTTGGCGTTATGGGGAATGCCGCTTGGTGAGATGTTAGATTTGGAGAAGTTGGCACTGACTTGTAGGGAGAAGAACAGGTGGTTCTTTTTCTTTACCAGTGCACCAGCGAACTGTCCGGGTGGAGTGAGCTCGCACGTCAACGGCACTGCGATTTTCTAATATTGCAGTATACTAAGATGAATCATAAATTTCTACACCTGTGACAACTTGTACACGTGCTCAATCACAGCAACGAGGGTGTGCTATGAACTTGTCGACAGTGATAAGGGATAGTCAGACGCCGAGCATGATCAGCAGCCGCATTCACGGTTTTGAAAGGATCTCTTCGCGCTTCTTGCTATGTCTACCTATCTTTTCTTCCTTGCATGCTCCAGACACGCCCGAAGAGGAGAAAGTAAAGGTAAGTCTCGCACAGCTGAGAGAATCATCAAATCGGGGGGTTGACAGCCTGTGGAGAGAGACTGAGTGACATTGTACTTCAATATGAACAAGTCGTCAAGCATCGAGATCATAACAGCATGGATGTGTTTTGCAGACTATGCGACTGCCGTGCGACGTACGTTCCATACCGTCTTTTTCATGCCTGGTGCCACAGGCTCCGAGGGACCAGCCTCTTCTGCTTCTTCAACTTCAACCGTGGTCCAAATTTTTGGGTCTGGCGGCGCAATGTGCTCCATACTTTCCAATTCATCCCAAGCTCCTCGCGTTGAATCCGCATTGTTCGCATTTGTGTGTAATCTACTCCCGTTCAGGGTTCGATCAAGACTCGTAAGACCGAGAGCGATAGCGAGGCGGCTGCGGCGAGAGGAGCCAATGGTTGTTGTGTGACCATCGGAAGACGTGGGTTTGGGTTCAGAGTTCTGATGAGGATGTCCGGCTCGGCGCTTACGCCACATATGCCAGATGATGGGGATGTTAGTACAGATAATGCCGCCAAGAGGCTCGAAGACAGAGTACGCGCCGAGCGGGACGTAGTACCAGGTGAAGTTGGGATTTCCGTGGCCGAGAACTACAGTGAGACGGATTGAGGAAACAACACAAGTCCTGCCACGTAGTTAGTTATTAAACTTCTCGCAAATACCGCAAAAGGCTGACACTTACGCAAGGCCAATACAGAAAATCAAACTCAAGAGCAGCTTCTTTTTTGTTTGTAGCTGTAAGTGCCAGATCATGGGGACTGGCATCAAAAAGATCCAAATATCGGTGATAAGGTTGGAGATGTTGGTGAAGTAGGTGAAAGTAACAATGGTCAAGCAGGTTCCTCCCACAGTTCTATCCCAGTAAGCCCTGAGCGGCCGACAGACCAAGAACAGTGTGACTGTGATGCCGATTCCCCAGGCGATGACGAAGGCAGCGGTCGCGACGACGATATTGCGGAAGATTGGGTGGACGAAAACCCTCCAGTAGAAAGCAAGGATGCCCAATTTGACGAATACCAGCGCAAAATCATAGAAATGACTGAAGATGAAGTCGCCTTTGCGGACCATCATCTGGTCATGTTCGGAGACGTAAATGACATGCCTACCCATACCGTGAGGCGGACCTGCAAGCGTCAGCCAACATTACTTTCTGGCACTACGCGACGGCAACACACCGTAGCCCAGTCCGCTGGCGCATTGTCCGATTAGACATATCTAGTGACGGTTGTTAGAATCTGGCGGCACCATGTGTGTGAGCGTGTATACCGTTGCTATAGTAATGAGATAATCGTCCAGGTGAATACCGTTATGACCGACCCTTTTGGCGTACAGTCGCAATACTGTGCTGATGATCGAAGCAGCGATTGGGACACTGTAAACCCAGTGGATTTCCGATACCCTCGAATCGCTCTCATGCATGCTTGCCAACTCCGCCGGAGTGAATGGAGAGGCCATGTTTCATGCTGCTGCGCGTCTGTCTTCGTCTATCGATGGATGTTGTATGGGATTGTGGTGTGGCTGCAAGGCTGACAAGGCGGGGCGCCTTCACATGATGCTTAAAGCAGCCAGCAAGGAGAGTTCAGGGGAGCGCAGCCAAGGCCAGAGACGACGCACTCTGCTGTTGAGTTGGGAGAAGACAAAGGAAGGTTAAGGCATTGCTGCGCACCGTGGTTGACATATGAACTAAACAGCAGCGGAAGAACCGGTCGAATCATATGAGAAGAACGGTAGCGATACTGCGCCATAGGCTGGAAAGGGCCGGGTTTTATTGCATGCGCAATCAAGCTTAGGGTCACGTATGTCACTGAGGTTCTGGCCGGAGGCTTGCGCAGTAGCATCCTGTACCACGCATTCAGAAGAGCGGACACGTCTGGGCTCGCATGTCGATCGCTGCTGTGTCTGGTTGCGATGAGCTGTGCAGCGGCGCCAGTTTGTGCAACTTCGGGAGGTGTGGAGGCGGGAGTCGAGAACCTCGCGGGAACGCTTCGGTTAGGGAAACGAAGGGGGACGGGGCCGCTTGCCACCGGCACTGAGACAAGCTGACAGCCCGTCGTGCCAAGGCCTTACTACGAACCCACAAAATTGTGGGCATGCGACAGACATCATCACACTGTGGTAGATTACTTGACATGGTCCAGAGGCTCTGAATAGTTGAGGCTTGCAGAGTTATAAGCACTGCGTGCCATTGCGTTGTTGTGCAGCGGTTCGGATCGCAGCCGAGTTGGGCTGCAATTGTGGCTTGCTCTAGCACTGGGAGGAGGGGAAGCCGTCATTGGATTCTAGCGCATGGCAAAGTTGCAATCTCCGCACGCTCGCTGCGGGTAGAGTCTTGACATCCATACATTTCTACTGATAGCCTACAGCTCGTGGATTTGCTCGCGCAAACGCTTCGCCGAACGTTCGCTGAAGTACACAAGTGGCGTGAATCATGCCGTGTCTACACGCCATCGTTGAAGGTATAATCCTTATCCCATCGCTGTATACGTCAATTCTCGGTCACGGCCGTTGATGCCGGGAGGTACTCACCTTATCCCACGGCTTACTGGAATCCACGAAACGCAGATCAGTTCCGACTCTGATCACATTGTTTGGATCGTAGTTCATCGTTGAAGCATGTATCTTCGCGTTTTAGTCTCTGTCACAGCGTTGGGGTATAAGCAGACTCACGGCGAAAGGGTTGTGCAGCACGACATCTCCAGCTTCGTACGATGTTACCAACCACCTGCGGTCAAATGTTTCAGAATACTCCCTTGCCCCATCTGCGAGTAGGCCAGTGGAAAGCATGTTTTGATTAAAGGCATACTTCGCCTCCTCGTCTGTGAGACCACTTGCCTTTGCCTTTGCTGTAAAGTCTGCTTCCACTTCTCGTCCAAGGGTGTGGCCTACGCATGTCTCAGTCGAGCAATCCAGCAAGTTGGTTAGCATACTTGCCGTTCTCCAAGTATATCAGGCCTCCACCGGTAAGGCTAACGTCTCCCATTGGTACCCACGCGGTCACGCTTGTAGGCTCGCCGTATCTTAAGAAGATCTGATCGTAGTGTACACCGATTGCTTTGTTGCCTGGAGTGTTGTTGCGAAGTAGGCTTCTCCTTACAGCTAATGTATGCTCGTCACCCCAGCCGGTCATACGCGCGATGAAGGCTTTCAATATTGCATGCTTGCAGAACTTCTCCTTGTACCAATCTGCGTAGTGTGCTTGAAGAGCCAGGTCCACAAACTGCTTGGCTGTGTCCTCGCCGGGCCTTCCATTACCACCAGATGCACCTGATCCGATACCTGGATAATCTGCGGGATCCTTTTCGGGATTGAACACTCCTTCTACGGGTTGAGTTCCTGGCTTCAGGACGCCGCTTGGAGCTAGCATGCTGAAGTATTCCTCGCGAGCCTTGAGCACGTCGTCTCTTGGTAGTAAACCCTTCAAGAAGACGTATCCGTCCTCATTATATCGGCTTCTGAGCTCTTCCATAGGCATGTCCGGCGATGATTGTCTCAAAACGCCCACTTGTTCTGGACTGAGAAGGCCATCATTCACGTAGAACTTCTTTTCCAGAAAGCTCGGGACATTTCGTTCTAGTGGTAAGGCGTGAGGCATATCGTGTGAGCTGTGTGTAGAAAAATCGTAAGAACAAGGAGAGAGCTGCTTATTCTTTCCAGCGACTGAGGTATTTCACGACCATTAAGTATGATCACAATGTGGCGGAACACTCCACTATCGTGACAATACTTAATGGGATTGGTTCCCACGTTCGACGAAACGATTCTTAAATGCGTTGATGCCATGTGGGGAAGCGGGGCAGAAATGTATCTTAAGGAGGTTTTGAGCAATAACGTTGTGGTAATTTACGTAGATCCTGACTAAAGCGTGCATTGTCGTTGGCTGCCAGCCTGCATTTTCGGCGAATTTTGTCCCAATGCAGACATCAGGGTCCAGTTTTATTCAAATCCTCCAAGCCTTCGTAAACGAACCACGCAGCTGCAAAACCTGGTGTCTACCCTCGCAGACGGGTAATTCCCCCCGACAACGACCGTTCGCCGCCAGATGACGATTCTGGACGGCGACTCAAATGCCATGGTATGATCAAGCGTATTCGAGAGTGGAATACTTGTTATCTGACCTGGGTAGCAATCGTTGTCGCACGCGTCACTATCGCTGTAAGATCCCAGCCAGAATTCGAAATAGCAACGGCTAAGGGTTTTGTAACAGGTGATGGTGCACAGCCAAAATGTGGACGATGCGAGCATGCCAAAAAATCATGCGTGTACGAAACAGGTCGCCGGTTCAGACGGTCATCCATCCAGGAGACCTTCAGTGAGAGCCAACCCTGGGTGTCTATGCCTCCTCGAAGTATGCTGTCAGCATCTGATTCAAGGGCTTGAAAAAACTAACGTCTTCCAAAGTACAATTCTTAGATGAGTCGAATGAGATTCGGTCGCAGTATTCAGATGATGCATATTATCCGTTTCATAGTCCCCTTGCTGCTCAGGCCTTCTCACCGCAGACCCAATCTTCCCTTAGCGGGGGCAACCATACAGGTACGCCGCCGAATGCAGCAATAACACCTACGGAGGGACTCACAGTCTTGTCGCTGCTCAACTCTGAATCCCCGGCACAAACACACACGCCTGGTATTCCTTCACCATTCGATCATCACATGCAATCCAGCATCTCTCAGCCACATGAGTCCCGCACTTTCGTCTACCAGCAAACACCAGGTGAGCCAATTCTCTGGCCGCTCGAACACGAACAGGAGGCCATGCTGCTCCGACACTACATTGAAAATGTAGCGCTATTTGTAAGTACATATCGGCTATCTGGCTACGACACCGCGAACATTTCTGCTCACGCCCACTAGTTCGACATGATCGACAACGAGTGTCATTTTGCGATTCATGTTGTGCAGAGAGCGAAGAATGACAGTACTTTGATGAACGCAATTCTAGCTCTGTCTGCTCGGCAACTTAGCCGGACTACCGACTTTGATCCATACATTGCAGACGCATACTACCAACGATGCTTTGATACGCTGATTCCCGCGCTCAATAATAACAACATTGCCAAAGAGGACGAGTCGTTGCTCGCGGCAACCATCATTCTACGGCTGCTTGAAGAGATGAACATTTCGATCGTCGGCAACGACCCACAGGGTCATCTCTTCGGTACTCAGGCCATCATTCGTGCAGCCGAGCAGTCCTACGCTGCAACGACTGGGCCAAGCTCTCGGCAAGCAATATATTGGGCCGCCTTTCGTCAGGAACTCTGGATATCCTTGATGACGCAACGTGCTTTCCAATTACATATCTTCCCCGCTGATCGTTCTCTTGAGCCTGCCAACGACTCTATTTGGGCCAATCGTACCATCGCACATGTTGGTGACGTGTGCAACTTTGCCTTTGGAGAGGACAGACACAGCGTTACACGCTATGGTCAGCTTATCGACGAAAACAGAGCTTGGAGGACACGACGTCCTGACAGTTTCGACCCTTTTTACTACCGACAGGATCGGGATGGCAGCGGCCGCAACTTCCCCGACATACGCCTCCACGAGAAGACACATGTCATGGGTACACAATATAACACACTTGCTCACATGCTGTTGGTCGTGCATGACCCCACTATTCCCCAGCTGGGCCCAGCTCACAAACAATCTCGTGCAGTCGTCGATAGAATGGTGCAGGATGACGTCCGCGCACTTTGCGGAGTTGCACAATCAAACGAAAAGTACTTCCCATGCAAATTCGTCGCCTGTTTTGCTATCGCCTTGGTAGGCGATCGCTTTCAGATGCGGGAGGATCAGGAACGATTGCGCGATTTCTGGTATGCATGCGAACGCTCACACGGGTTTCCGCCAACGACAACGATTCATCAATTAGAGGAGTCATGGGGGTGGCACAATGATTGAGAATCATAAGTGTCTCTACTCTTCATGATTCCAGAGAGCGTTCCAAGATGACGCACCACGATAGCCAATTGCTTGGACTGCACCATAACAGCAATAGGCCTGACACCTGAGTAAACCGGCGTCCCAGTCAGCACACGGTTTACGAATTGCGTTTTGTCTACCCCAAGAACTTTCGGTTTACTATCACATGCAGTCCATAATCCTCCGCTATCGTCACTGACAGTTGTCACTTGCGAGTACCCATCTACCGACAAACGCGATGTCTCGAGAAACAGGGCGGCAGGAGTAGAGTTACAAATGGATCATAACAGTGAAATGGTAGACAGCAAGAACCAGGTATAGTGGCACGTACGGAGCTTGGTTAGCTAAGCGATGTCGTGCCAATGTCGAAGTGATACACTTCGACACACCTGTTCTAAGTCCCGATTCACGCTACCGTAATTCGTGTCAAACAAACACACTAGCCAGTATACTATGTAACGTCAGCAAACGATCATGATTCACAATCGAACAGCATCACTTTTACATGTTGCTGTAGCTGCTACCTCTATCATCATTGCTACTGCTTACTGTACAAGGATGCGAAACGATCTCCGTCTGCAGTAGGAAACAGTACAATAACATGCCAACGCCAAAGTATTGCTCATTATCACGCGTACTAAAAATGTTCAAGGGCAAGGGCGCATCTGAAAGCAAGGGCGACATCATAACCGGACCTGCATCGGACGATCACACAAAATACGATCAAATTGCATCGTGTAATGAGCCGACTCGTGGATTCAGCGTTCACAGCAACAAATCCCCGCATTACACGTCGCCCCCGGTATCTGGCAACTTCATCGTAGCAGAAGTTCGTAGTGTGTCAAACAAGGAAAGTTCACCGCATACACCTTCTAGCGGCCCAGATATGACAAGCACCGGATTTAGCCACTCTCATGACTTATCGATACATCACTCTAGGCGAGGTCTATCCATATCATTCGGGGGCGGAGACTTATCATCTGACCGGACAACGAGTCGACCGCTGACAAATGGAACGAAGGGACCAAAAATGCGACGCGGGTCGCATCCTCCCGTCAATTTGGTCCTCGGCCAACAGAATCCTAATTCCTTATACTTTTCTCGGCGCTTTTACAACCTGCCACAAGAAGCTGGCGCAAAAGGTGCTTCCGATACCTTAGAAGATAGTCTTCTCTACGCTCCTGAACTCGACCCACAAGTCTTTGATATGTACAAAACATACACTCATACCGGGAAGATTGATTTCAAGTTGCCAGGAAACATCAAGGCAGATCACATATGGATTGCGTGTTGGCCTCTCATGAATGCATTTACGCTAGGCTGTGTCATAAAAGAACCTATCTTCGCTGATACGGTGATCGACATGTTGGTCAAAAAGCTGACAGTAGGTGTTCAACCAGACGAAGAAACTGTGAAGCATTTGTTCGGCGCTGGAAAAGACATACCTGATGCACTGAAAGGACTTGCTATCGACCGATTCCTTGACGCTCAACAGCAGTCCTCTACGCTTCTCGACACCTCTAACTACCCAAAGCCGTTCGAGCTTCTCGCTCTACAAACTGCATTACGACGCTTGTCCTGTGACCACAGCACGACAGTTACACCGGGCTGCAAATATCATACTCATGGTACAGAGAGAGCTTGCTACAGGATTAAGCCCACACCGGACGAGATATTGAAAGCGCGTGAGATACTGAAAGCGCGCAAGCATGCAGAAGCTCGCCTGGCTTCTGCTCAAGACGCGAAGTTCGTCAAAGCGAACATTTTGCGCAACGGAGTCGACAGTATCGACTGGGCGCAGGGCAGGGTGGATGCCAATGGGACTCGTTCAAAATTGCGCTCTGCATGAGGGAACGCCGGAGGTCACGATAGATACTGTTTCTGCTCAAGCCACACTATGTAAATTCCATTCTCCCTGCTGCATAACATACCGTCATGCGTTGAAAACACTTGCTTCGCACCTAGGCACTCTAATATGGTACGTCTTTCGCTACGCTCTTCCAGAAATCGCACCTCCTACCACGTCCACCCTCCCAGTCCCTTGCATTGGCCAGGTTGATCTGATTGCTAACTCCCGGATCGCTGTATACATTGTAGAAGAGATCTGCTGTGGCCTGGACAAAGGTCGCTACGCCACCAGTTGCATTCAGATTCATGAGCACTGGCTTCTGTGCGTCCCAAGCCGGCCAGTCGATGTTATTGCTCCCGTATCCACTCGCGGCTGGTACGGTGCTGTTTGCTACACCACCCTTTGCGTCCTCAATGGAGATCACAGGCGTGTTTTTCGTAATGAAGTTTCCCCAGACCTTGCGGAAGGCGCGCTTGAAGCTCGCTCCTGGCGTGGGCGTGCCGGACCAAAGTGCCTGCAGATCATATCCGTGATAAGAAGGCGGCGCACTGAACTGGTATTTCCAGGCCTTAGGGAAGGCTGAGGCGGCCCAGTAGCTGTTGCATACAAAAGCGTACTCAGCAAAGACGTTGAAGACGCGCTGTTGCTGGCCGGTGCCAAAGGTGGATTGATTGACGGCTGTGGGAATGGATGTGCCGGTTGTTGCGAAGAGAGGAGCGGCTGGGTTCACGTCTTGGGTGTCACCTGCGTAGGAGTATTGCTTTTCGATGGCGGTCTTTTGAGATCTAGTAAAGTGGGGGAAGGTAATGTCGATGTACTTTCTGAAGTCGTTGAGAGTGCGAGTCGTAGGCGGGCTGAGAGGAACGCCTTCGTTCGCCATGTTTCCGGACAGGACTCGTACACCCTTGACAGCCCTGCCGGCTAACTGCTGACTGGGTGTCTGCTGTACAAATGAACCATCAGTGACCGGGAGGAAAGCAAAAGTACCGAATGGGCCGGCCTCCGAGACCTTGGCACTGGCGTTCTGGACTACGACAGTGTCAGCAGTGCGAAGACACTGCAGTTTGTCTTTCGAGCCTGAACATCCTGACGCTGAAACGAAATCTTCGTAAGCCTTAGAGGGCTGATCGTCGTTGTACTTGTACTGGAATGGGATCCAGGGGCTAGCAGTGATGACCTTGAAACGTAAGCAAAGACCGGCAACAAATGGTGTTCTGGAGTTGACACCTACGTTCTGGAATAGATTTTCTTTCTGCTTGCCACCATAAGCCATGCTCTGATACAAAACTGCAGCGCCACCGGCGCTCTCACCAGCGATCGTAACTCGGCTTGCATCGCCACCGAACTTGCTAGCATACTGCTGGACCCACTGCAAAGCGAAGTTCATATCGAGTAAACCAGCATTGAGTGCGCCTCCCTTCTTGACATCTTCAGAAGAGAGGAAGCCGAAGGCACCTAAGCGGTACTGGATGATGACACTGATGAACCCGTTGTTGTTCTGCTTCATGAACTCGGTGGGGTCAAGGCCAGTAGCACTGAATAGCCCGTAACCTCCGCCATCTAGTCGCAATTAGTGTAGGTCAAAGCTGCTGCGTTGGAAGACGTACGAATCCAGAAGAACACGGGCAAGTTCTTGGCGTTGGCGGGCGCATACACGTTCAAGAAGAGGCAATCCTCGTTTCCGAGGGCCGAAGTGAATCCATATGCGGCAGGTGTCTCTGATGAAGCACCAGTCTGTGGACAAAACGGTGGGTTGCTGGTAGCATGGATGACCGAAGTCCTGTTTTTCGCTGGAGCTTGAGGTGCAGCGAACCTCAGTTTGCCGAGCGGTGGTGCAGCGTAACGAATGCTACCCATAACATTAGCCTGCAGCTTGACTACTTCGAACATAGGAATGTACTTACCCTTTGAAAGCATTAATGCTGTTGGCGGCATCGAGACTTCCTTGATAGACCGCGTAACCAAGATCGACAGTGGGTGCATTCACAGCACGTGGGATTGGTTCCGTAGCTACGGTCGCAGCAAGCAGTGCAATTGCACCTGCAGTCAGCCTCATCTTTCCTGATATGCCCTGCTCCTGAATGCTTGTGAGAAACAGGTGCTGTTGGCAGCAAGCGCAATCCCTGACCCAAGCAAGCCGATTGATGAGCTGCAGATGGAGTGAGAACCGGGGTTGTGGGAGCGACCTGCACAACTTAATCTAGACGCACTCCCCTATCCGCAATTTGACAGGGTAGCTCGGCGGGCCAACAACTCCCGGTCCTAGCGAAAGGTGGAAGCAAAGTTAACCCAGTATCGACGGATATGGTCAAATGCGTGATGGTGACAATGACGCGCCAAATAACATGGCGTTCGTCTAAACCTTTCACAGGGCAGGAACGCCGTCAATGACATCCTTCGCGATCATGCAGTCGAGGGTAGCTTTAGTGGGTGAGCATACCGGTGCTATGCGGCCCATGAAGCCTTCCCTACCAACGGGCTGGGGCATGCACGTCCGTTTGCGCTGATTCGCAGTCCCAGCCGCGGTGCCCCTCCTCTTCCGCTCCTCCCGTCGCGCCGTCTTTGGACTCGCAGCTAGGACGCTATTGAAATGAACGGTCTTACGCCCCCATGTACCATCTCTCAGTCTTTGGGCTCTGGTCTTCCATCGTGAGCTGGGGTCTTGCGAGTAATGTTTTTGTCTCGAACGGTTGCACAGCTTCATGCAGGCTCAGCGTGTCATCGGCACCTTGCGTCGCTTAACTGCGTCTCTTCTTGCTAAAGTATTACGGAGCCCCGGATCTCGTGCAAGGGTGTGGTGGTTCATTTCCGGGTCGGCTGAAATCAAAAGGCGGCTCAGCCTGTTTAGGCGTAATGTTCGGCTTTTGTGGGAGGCTGGACCGAAAGGTACATCTCAGCCTCCACAATAACAGGTATATACGTGAAAGCTGAAAGTCACGACCATGTCTCATTCGAAGATGCGTTTCCGATGCGTGACATGGACTGAGTCATGCAGCCACGGTGCGCCTCGCACAAGCTGCAGCCATGGCGTGAGGGATCTTGTGATAGTCAGCCGCAGACCATGGAGGCATTCATACAGTTAAGCGGTGCATCGAGGGACGTTGATTTGGTGTTCGATGCAGTACATATAGCGCATGCGAGTCTGTACAATGGTGAATGATTTGAGCGCAGCAGAAAGTGGGTAACATCGCAGGGCGCCTCCCGGGATTGCTTTCGCCCAGCTGGTAACGAAGACGATCTTTCCGAAGAATCAATGCATTTCATCTAAGTCTCCTTGACTGGGAGTTCGCGCTTATATAGTGCGATTCACAGCTATCTGATCGTTCCTCATTGAAGCTCTCCTTGCATGGAGACGATGGTTTTGGACCCAGACAGATCCAGACTTGTGCCACAGTGAGTAGTACTAATAGGAAAAAGAAACTCCAAAGTCGACGCTGAAAAATAGACGAGAAAGATACGGTACCGAGGCACGCCTGGGTCGCCCTTTAGCAGCGTCGAACGAGTGGAGTCTTCTCTAGCACAGCCACTGAGATTCTACACCACGACTAGATACATCTGCTTGAGCGCAATTGCAACAACAAAGAGGCTGCCTGTTAAGGTTACCGATCAAGCGTCTCTAGCCTTGCAGCCCGGCCGAGCCTGATTGTAGTGACTTGAGACTTGCGAGATACTTCAGTTGTATCATGTCAATCATTTTCAGATGTTGTTCGAGGTGTAGAACACGTGCAGATTGCATGGGACAACGAATAGTATAGTTGAGGTCTGAGAGCTTCTACTATAGGAGTACATGGCTCTGGAAGACGCGATGTCTTCGATGTTTGTGAAGCAAAACTGTATATCATCAAACCTTATGCAGGCCTAACATCTGGCTTGCCTCAGACTGTTCACGCTGCATGGCTCCCGGTATTTATGGTCATTTCCCTTCTAGAATTCTGCGATCCTAATACAATGATCCCCTCTGGTTAGGCAGACTCGATGGAAGTTTTCCTATCTCGTGAAGTGGGCGATATTCTTAAAGGTCTCGAAGGTAGCGTAAGGATTTCCAGCTCTCTGCCAGGCAGCATAGCGCTTGACAAGATTTACGTCAGATATGAGGTCCTCTCCTGACAAAGGAATATCCCGAATGCCAGCACTGGTAGTAATACGAGCGAAGAACTTGACATCATCATCATCTTGGCCCTCCGGCGAGGACACATGCTTCTTTTGTTTAGTAGAGGCAGGCGTCTTATCTAGCTTTGGAGACTGCGATAGAGGTGTATCTGTCTTTACCATGGGCGGAATGATGCTCACTATCTCTTCGGTGGTTACTTCAGTCTTCTGGTCAAATTCGCGATCGGCCGTAGTTCGTGTATAGTGTAAGTTGCCGTTTAAGGCTTCAGTGGCACCATTCGATTTGGCACCGGAGTTGAAGTTGGTAGGCTGCTTGTAACCACTACCACCCAGAAGCACGTCAGCGGTAGGGTCCCAAGGTGTCGATGACTCCAAAGCTGAGGCGGCAGATTTTCTGGAGCTGCGACGAGCAGGAGTCTTGACCGGAGTCTCAACTGGGATTGGAGTTGCAACTGAAGCATATTCCGGAGTAGCAATGAGTACTTCACTAGAGTTCTCCGACTGTAATGGTGTTTTTCCCCCTTCGGAGCCGTGTTCTGACACTGGCTCAGCAAGCGTTCCAGATTTGCGCGGCCTGCCGATCAATCCACCTCGCGAGCCGCGAGTACGTTTCGGGCCGCGTCCTTGGATGTTTGACTCGCTCTTGCGCTTCTTATGTGTCAAACCTGGAGGAAGTCGATCAAGGCTGGATGATACAGCTTCAGCGTCAGCGGCAAGAATAGCTGACATCGGTGACTGGAGGTTTGTGTCTGGACACTGCTATCAGTAAAAGAACTTCTCCGCATAATTTGAATTCAAGCAAAGACTATCATGAAAACGCGTGCTTACATACCGTTGAATAGAGAATTAACGCTCTTTGAACTTAACAATGTGTCGTTACCCGCTTCGAACGATCTCGCCTCGACCGTCTGATGAGGGGCTGGTAACATCTACTTTTGTTAACATTTGAGCAAACGACAGTTGGTCAAGTCACAAACCAGAGATGGTTATGGGTGCCTTCACACCTTCATCACTAGAGACATTCTCATCCTCGCTTTCGCTTTGCATGGCAGTCTTAGTTCCTGCTGGCTGTTGTTAGTGTACCTGTGTCTTGATCTATTGTGCCGTATGGATGGAATATCACTTACGTTTCTGTATGGATCTGGTTCTGAGACCTTTCCTGGCTGTGGTAGAGGAAGGACTTTTGTTGTTCACGAAGCGTCCATGAACACCACGCACTTTGCCAAGTCCCGTATCACGCATGGCTTCTGCTGGTGACATGGCGCTGTTTACATTGCCTTCGAAGGCAAGCGCGCCTGAAGTTTCGATCTGAACACCATCCTCTAACACGCTGTCGGGCTGCGAACTGGGAGATCGGTCTAGGCCTTTCATGGTCAGCTAATGAACTAAAAAGTCGCGATGAATATCATCAAGTTGCAAGACAACAAAGACATGTGCGTAACAAGCAACGCGCAAATTCAATACTCGTTCACATACTTGGAGACAGAGAGAAGTCTCGGAATAACAAACCTTGACGATGAGCGTTTTGCTCGGTTGCTCGGTTATTAGGAGGGGTCCGGTCAGCTTGCTGTGGCGACTTCTGTTCCTGAGTTTGATGACCATCAGAGTTTTTCGCGCTCGAGACCATGCGTAAATCCGATGTCTGCGAGGTGTGATCTGAAAGTTGTTAGCCAGTGCGTCGCAGATTCAGTGCATGATTCCTACTATGTTGACCCCCTAGCCCGTTCATTGGAACATCGTGAGCCCGACCATTGGTAGTTGCTTGACTCTCTGTAACAGTATCAGCTCGGAGAATGGCTTTTCTGACGGCTGCTGATGACATTTTCTTCCAGTTTTGATCGAAAAAGGGCCACTTGTCTACTGCCTTCCCGGTCAAGTGCCGCACCCTTCGGTACGCCTTATCCAGGTTGGCAAAGCCCTCCGAGTCGCGAATCAGGCGGCCAGTTTCAATTAGTGGCTCTTGAAGATATTGTTGCTTTATCCACGCAGCCAGTGTAGTGTCGTCGCTCTTTTCGCTCTGGCTGAGGTATTTGTGGATGTCGGTAAGGCATTCAACATCAATGAAGCCACCCGTTTGTGCTGGGGGGTTCATGGCCAACACATCTCCACCATCAGGGACATGGCCGTTCATAATATCCGATGTCATGTCGAAGTAACCGATCGCAGTGCGGTACTTGGCTGTTACCTGGGCGAACAAACTCGATGTGGGGTCGGGGAAAAGCCACCGGCGAAGCCAACCAGGTCTTGAAAAGGTAATATAAGCCTGCAAAAACAGAACGGCGTGGTGACCCGTCAATAGAGATTTCGAAGTCTCAATATCAAGTGGATTCAGTGTGAGTAGCTTTGCGTGTACTTGATCCACAAACAGCGGCGCCGCAGTACTGCAGTACAGGGTGCGACTGTCAGGCCACTAGGATGCAGAATACGCTGGCGATCCTGACGAAAAAGTCTGTCGAGGTACCCTTCGGCGGCTGCGCAAATTTGAAGTAATAGTTATGTGTGGCGATGGTGGGTGGAAGTGGTAGTTGAGGTACATTTGTCGGTAAAGGTGAAGCGTCGCCGTAGTGTCTTAAAAATCCCCGTACCTCTTATCCCGGTTGCACGTGATGTGAGCTTCCGCCACCGAAGCAACCTTTGACGATGGTCAACAGTGTCTCTGGGCATCTATGTCTGATTGTGAGCTCGCAATTGTGTGATACATATTATTTTTGCACCAGGTTGTCGCCCCGCGCCAAGTTGCGTGTGCGAGATTGATGCTTACACGCGACACCGGCGTCTTGTGCAGGCATGGGTCAAACTAGGTATATACTCTGACTTCCGATTTTGTTGCCAATTCAACCTCACAAGCATCAAAAAGTATTGATGCAGCCGGTTGCTGTGATCTATCGAGCGGCAACAGACCTCGCGCTCCTGGGCTACGACCGCCTTTTCCGAGAGGGGCAAGATCTCACCGACAAAAAGCTCGAGTTCATATCAAACTTACACCACATCAAACTGCATTATAGACCGAGTGCTATCATGGGTTCCGTTTTCTTTTATCTAGTGCCATAGCACGCAAACATCTGTTTTACCGAGAAGCATCAGGCCATCCTCTTTCAGATTGACCCCAAACGACAACGCCATCATTCGAGAAAGTTTTATTCAAATCACGCAAAATTCCATCAGGCTTGGCGTTAGTTATCTACCGCACGTGTCTATTTTTGTGTAAGCATCGAAGTCTTTTTCCTCTTTGTAAGTGTTTGCGTGGGTGACACTCTGGGAACAGCAAGAGAAGTACGTCTGGATCGTGGAAGCAACGGCAAAACAACTGACACTGCATACAGTGATTACATCGAAGAACTGCATGTGCGTTGAGAGTGTAGTTGTCAGTCGATATTACATGGGTACAAGAAACCTTATCTCAAGATCACATCGAGTGGTCAGGGCCTTTGCTGCTATCATACATGCTATGGTTGCCAAGACGTAAGCTGGACTCATTGCTTGATGGCTCGATGGTTCACTGATAATAATGTAAAGAAAGGGGGCAAAGGAGAGAGGAGAGGAAAGTGCGACAAAATGACGTACGACCGATTAGCGCCGAACCCTACCAGCCTCCTAGCAGTGGTTCTCTGGTCAGATCACTCTTCTCTTCTTGCATTATTAGTTCTGTCCCTTTTACAGTGCAGGTCGTTATGCTATTATAGTTACTCACGCACTTGCTGATCTGTTTACCAAGATTGCTTCTCATCCGTACACCAACCCGACTTGTGAGACATGATTGTCGCTGGCCAATTTCAAAGCAACCGTTCCGAAAACCCGATCTTCTTGATTACTTCAAATTATAGCGTAGAAGCTGAAAATTGAATACCTAGTTGTATGCCGACTGCTCAGGTATGTGAAAAGACTCCTACACCCAACTGTCTACGAAGTGTCGCTCAGGACAGCCTCGACAGTCTTCATCACATCTAGCAGCTCTTCATCCATGAGCGGTTTGCCCACGATCTGGATATGTGCCGGCATCCCCTCAGAGACCTCGGGGTCATCTGATCCGTGTCAGTGCTTTCTACAATAGCTCGATAGCTGGTATACTCACAGGTCGGCTCATACACAACGCCCTTTTCCACGAATTTTGCATCCGCGATTTTGTCTGCTTTTCCATATGGTAATATACCCGCAGGATAATCCAGCAGATTCGCCAATGCTGTATAAATCGGCAGTCCATACGTATCATGCTTTGGTGCAACTGTCTGATACCCCGGCATCAGGATAGCGTCCAGATCTTCACTCACGAACAGGCTCTGGTATTTCCCCAGCACACTGGCACGCTGTACGTTCATGTCCCATAGTGCGTCTAAAGTCGGCTGCCAATCTTTCAGCTCTGGCCAGCCGGAGATCTTCAGACTGGGAATCAGATCTTCACCCGAAGCTTTCAAGTGTTTGAAGGCTGTACCAGACGGGTCCAGCATGAAATACTGCCATGCTAATTGGACATCGGTGTACATGTCCCCGATCTTTTCGTCGAGAAGAACAACGGCGTGACCTGCAGCTTCCAGATTCGTGACCGCGGAGTGCAGTGCTCGCGCAATGGGCGGATGCAAAGGTCTGGACGCAATGCCTCGAATCAATCCAAATCTGAGTTTCTTGTCCCGAAGCCTGGCGTCTGGAGTCCGCCAGGGAATGTTCAGCGCCATAGGGTCCAGCTTCCAGGGTTGAGAAGTGATGACTGTACGAAGGAACAACTCGTAATCTCGAATCGAGCGTCCACAAGGCCCTATGACGGGAAGTATCTGTCCTGGACTTCCTACTCGCCCTGGTGGCACACCGCCCGCAAACGGTACGCGTGATGAGCTCGGTTTAATGGAACTGATACCGCAGCAGAGCGCGGGTATGCGATTTGACCCCGCAATGTCAGTCGCGACACCTAATACGCTACCTTTCATAGCGAGCAGCGCCGCTTCACCGCCTGTGCTGCCTCCTGCAGTCATGGTGAGGTTGTGTGGGTTCAGAGTGCGACCGAAGATGTAATTGTGAGAATCTGCAGTCATCATGGTCTGTGGGATATTTGTCTTGACGTAGAACACTGCGCCAGCATCAAATAGAATCTGTACAACAGCGGAATTTGAGGGGGAAGGTGGATTGGTGATGAAGGATACATAGCCGATTGTGCTTTGTACGCCTCTCACGTTAAAACTGTCCTTGAGAGATATAGGCAGACCGTGTAGAGGCCCTATCGGTCGACTGTGCTTTTTGAGGTAGGCATCGCACTCGTGCGCTCTGTTGAGAGCCTCTTCGAACATGATCTCTGTTAGACAATTGACAGTTTGGTGAGCAATGGCAGAGCGTTTGCAGAACGCTGTCACAACTTCCCCCGAACTAAGCTCTCCCTTTGCCATCAATGCAACAAGATCAGTAGCATCGTAGTCCTCGGTGATTCTAAGCTCTTTCTCTGTCAGGATATTGCTAGTTCGTGGAACGTTGATGACAGATATGGGATTCGTTTCGGTGTACTGCGAGGCTTGCTCGATGGGGAGCAGCCACGTTTTCGGTATTTTGTTGAATGTCGCGATCCGTTTGGAGAGAGCCACCTGTTTCCAGCCTGCCACCTCAACTGGCGGCTCTGAGTTCGACATTGCAGGTATGGATGTTGAAATGAGCCTCGTTTGTTCGCTCGCGGCTCCTGCCTCAAGATAACGGGTAAAGTATAGTAGCTAAACAATCACCTAACACTCATTGAGGAAGATCGCAAAGTACAGTAGGATATATAGGCTCGGGCCGGAGATCACATGGCCCGCCCCTCTCTGCTGAGATGTGGGGGACCTCTGTGGAGAGCCGATCATTTCGGAATGAGTCCGCGTTTCCCGATGAGACTACGTCACAGGAACTACAGCATACTGCAGTGGGCTATAGTCGGCAAGTATCGCTGCCGTGAGCAATTAATACAGTCCCACTGTGAAAAGGTACGTGTTCTGCTGTCATGACATCTTGCACTCACCACAGCCAAATACAGAGACACTCTTCTTACCGTAGCCCGATCTCAACTCTGCCTCTTCTCATTGGGTTATGTATTCTTGAACCGAGTGTTTCCAACATTTTCTGTGGCTTATTGGCTACGATGAAGGCTGCTAGGATTCTATGGAAATACCACAAGGCTGGTCAGACGTGCCCGGAGACAATAAGGCACGGGAAGTGACAAACCTTTGGGGTCTTTGTGCAAACTTCGAGCAAGTCAAGCAAGAACATCATTTACTGCATTTTCGACTATTGTTCACCAGCCACGCTCCTGATCCAGTCCACAGTCTCCTTGGGCTTAGACAAGAACGGCGAATGGTCACTATCCATCCTAACAAGATCCACCTGTGCGCCTTTCTCTTTCGCTGCATTGACCATGGCCTCTTGGAACGGCGCAGGAATAGCCCTGTCTTGCTCGCACAACAAAAAAGAACTAGGAATAGTCTTCCAGCTCGCACCCGTAGTAGGTGTATCGAAGGTTGCAAGACTGTGAGTCTGGAGTTGCGAGAACCAGTATGCCTGTTCGCTTTCCGGAAGAGTATTGTAGAACACGCTGGGATCTTTGGCTGTGATAAAGGGTCCCTGACCCTTGTCAGCGAAGGATTGACATCTTGGGATATTTTCAACCTACATCCACCTCGGTCCAAGGCGGGTGGTCACCCCCAATTGCGCCCTGCAGGCTTATACCCTCATCAATCATGAATGCACACATGTACCCGACCTTCACGACCCCGCCTTTCAGACCTTTCTCTGCTCGCTCCTTCTTACTGTAGCCTACAAGGGCGCTTCCAGCAACAGTCCCACCCCAGCTGTGGCATATGACTACAACGTCGTTGCCATTTGCGATGGCATCGTCAACAAGTGCGCGCGCAGCAGCAACATCTTGAGCATCGTCTGTAGGCGGGGACTGGGACCCAACAGATGGGAGTTGTTGAGCATGCACCACATACAGGTGGTGTTGAAGCAGGGCGGTTATCTTAGCACAGTAGGTGGGTGAGTGCCAAGCACCATGAAGAATGACGATGTGGGGTTTGGAAGTCGACATATCGAGCTGCAGGGGCGAGATGTCCAGTATCGTTGGTGCAGCATATAAGTAGTTTTGTGATAGCCGTCGGATGTTGCCTTTAAGTGTACGACTCGTAGAGGTGTCGGCAAGAATGACAACTACCCGATGTTTTTGGCAGCTTACCTGATGCGGTAAATGCCGATCGGAAGCACACAACTCGGTTACCTATCATGGTCACACCACTTGCCCAATGCGCAGTGTAAAGTAAGCTTAGTGAGATCGACTTGCACCTACAGGCAAAAGTGGATGGTAGCCCCTAACAAATGTGGAACTGGGTATATCATTCATCCAACCATAGCTCTTGCCGTGATCTTGGTACGTCTCAGGCGCCTGTGTTTACGACAAGGAATACGGCACGCGGAAGAAGCAGCTCGGTGCTTGCTGCGCTGGCAACTAACGGGAGAAGAATCTCCACCAAACGAAGACTATTACAATGAATGCGAGACCTCCAATCGGGCCGTACTATGGCGTGTCAGTTTACCGCAGTGCTGCCAGATATACAATTGACTAACCTGCTTCAGCAGCAGCTCCCAGTTGATCCGCACAGCTGCTTTCTTGTACTTTCTGCTGTCTTCTCGCAGTCTGCTCGAGATATCGCCCATGCGCTCTAAACTGTCCCCTCTGTATAGTAGATCTTCGATGTTCTTCGTCATGACTTTGGTCACGTCCTTGAGCTCGTCGTTCAGCTTGTCCAAGTTCTGTGTCGCCCGCGAGTCCTGGTATGTCTTCTTCGTGCGCTGAATGAACGTGTCGAACTCGACGAATGCGTAAGGCCGGCAAGTTGGCGAGAGATACTGTTGTGGCTGGTAGGTAGTGGCGAACTCTTGCGAGAGATCAGAGAGGTATGTGAAGGCGAGCTTGCGGGGATAGGAGCGGTCGCATATGCAGAGAAAGCAAAGGTCGCCGCTGATGATATAGCTAGTAGGTTGTTTCAGCACGCAGAACGATACGGTGGATGCTCAAGGGCATACTGGTAGGTGTAGGAGCCGCTCTCGATGCTGGCTTGAGGTTCAGAGTTGCGGCTTAATCTGCGCTGGACAAGCTTGACCTTGCCCTTGACTTCGCTGAACTCGGCGTCTTCTTGACCATCATCGACCGAGGCAGTCAATATCAGACCTGCAGGGTATCAATATCTGAACAATGACGTCTGCCGGGTCCATTCGCACCGTCGAGTCGCGAGATAATCGTGTGCTTGATCATGACTGCTTTGCAGGCAAATATTTCGCTGGTATGCAAGTAATCGGCCCTTACGCGTAGAGCAGTCCAAAAGTCTGCCTAGAGGGTGGAGAGGTTGCGACGTTGAGGCTACGTGTCGAGGCTCAGACTGGCGACTTGGTCTAGGGGTGATGATGCGGAAAGAGCGCGGAGGTGAACACGGACCACGTCAACACACCACCTCGTCTTCACCTCCAGTGTAGGCGACCTGATGACGTGCTGTTACAGAGCCTCTGCTAGAGGGTTAATACTTATGGCAGTACTATACAATAGCAAAGTGCATGTGCACGAAGCGCTGCACAAGGAAGAAGTAATGGGACTTGGCGCGTCAACCGCCTCACCAACGCGCGAAGCGAATGCTCCTACTTTCTACAACCCGTGATATTTTTTGCATCATTTGCGAGAACACGTTAGACGCGTCGAAGTCCCGTCTTCTTGCAGTTTCAGCGATCTGGACTCGACCTGAGCGCGTAGAGGCCCATCGCGCTCCCTCACTCTTGCCGTGCTTCAGCTTTTACTCGCTCTCGTGCACTTCTATTGTTCTATTGAGTTTCCAACAGATTGTCAGACGTCGGATGCGAGCTCCTCAATAGCGCTCGGACGTTGTTCACTCATCGTGCATCAAATATACAGTGAGTCTCTGCCCTTGACATCAACGACCGTTCTCGTCGTCACGTCTTACATTCGACACGCCATCTTAACGCCCGCAAGGTTCGTTCTTTACCTCAGCGCAGAACACTCAAATCTAGTCGACACGCGGGATCTACCCCGGGACGCTGCGTTTGTTAGTCTCGTTGTCAAAGGGGTTCGCCAGACAAAGCCAGGACGGCAAACAGCACCAGTCCTATTGCTAAAGATAACAAGTCACTCTGCACCTCACCCTCACACAAGAGCACGCAGGTACATATTGAGCAGGTCGAAAGTTTCGGCTTCTCATATCCGATTCGCGCAGCGTGACGGACGAAGCGACTTCAACGGTCTCCATTGGCCCAGACAGTGACAACACCTTGTTGACAATGAGTGCCAATATTGTGTCTGGCCCCTCAACTTCCACAATTCCACAGGAGTCTGACCCAAGTACCAACGGCGATCATACGCACGAAACAACAATGACGACTTTACCTGATGAATCTCTGGCAGCTATGCCCAACGCATCCGATAATAGCGTGCCGAAGCGATCGTCCAAGAGGTCTCGAGTAGAAGATGGTGATGAGAAAGATACTTCGCCAGTACCGAAGAAGCCTGCCAGAGAACCAGAACCGGAGCCAGAACTGACGGTCAAAACGTCCCCTGCCGGAGGGGAATCACCCAATGGGACGACTGCGGGTGACAACGAACGCAAAGAAGATGAAACCATCAGGCCAAAAACGCCAGAATTGCAGTCAACAAGGAATGCAAAGCCTGTGCTGAAGAGAGCAGTTGCGAAGCCGAGTCGTGGCCGCGCCTGCGCCACTTGCAAGAAGCGGAAAGTAAGTCAGAAACGTTCAAGTTAGACGCCACTTCACTCACCTTTCGACAGGTGAAATGCAGACACAGTGCCACCGGAGACGAAGACGGTACAGAGACCACCGGAGACGAAGACGGTACAGAGACCACCGCATTGAAGCAGTCAGGCATGGCAGGAGGTATAGACGAAGTCGAGGAAGCATCAGAGGCCGTACAGACATCAACGGCAAGACAGGCCTCGAAGAAGGTCGAAGATGTGAACGATGGTGCCGCAACCCTCGAAGCATCCACCAAAAAATCCAAGGCAACGAAGAAAGCCACCCCGAAGAAAATCAGAGCTCCACCGGAGCGTATCAGCACACGCAACCGTAAGGCTCCCGAGCGTTTGGACGACGTTCAAGAGCAACTTCCATCAAGATCAATGCCAGCGAAGAAGACCTCTAGCAAAGTCTTCGATCCAGTATATATAACTACAAATTCGACGAGTCGTCTAGGCAAAGCCGACATGTATCACATGCTGACCGAGGATGAGACAGCGTGGTCAAGTCTCTCGGCTGAGCAGCAAACTAAGCTTGTCTCAATGCTTCCAGACACCGCGGAGAATCAGCAGCTGATAGAGAGGATACAAGCTGGTGCGACAGAGGACACTCGACCACAGTACCTCAGGGCCTCAGACGTCTTTCGTACAGAGGTCGCAAAATTTCAGGCAGATCTGAAGAATGGACATCTAGCGAAGACGTGGCAAGCTACTGCAGCACAGGCTGTTGCTGAGCGCGCAAATGGCGAGAATGATGCGTGGAAAGCCGAGGAGGCGGAGCTGTGGTGGGGCCAGAAGAGCAAGTAAAAGGTTTTGCATCAGTGTCTGACGCGACGAGCCCAAGAGAATCTCACTTAGACACAGACAGGAGATCGAGAAAAGTAGAACCGTTCCAAATGAAACATAGCTGACACTGTGAAATGTCTAGCATCGCACCTTCCAGCCCTCAAGCAAACACGTTATATCACATGTGTCCGTCACGCACCTTCCAGCACCGCGTGAACACTCCAGCATCTATAAAACCACCCTGCACGCGCCTCAACTAAGCATATCCCACGAACGCTCATATGTCGAACACCCAACCCTCGCTCAGCCGCGCCCAATACCTCGCCAACAATCTCGGCCGCGTCATTCTCACCAGCGCCTCAGAATGCTCCATCTGCCAGGAACCCTATTCGGACGAAGCCCCCAAGCAGCCCGTCATCCTCCCTGAGTGCGGCCACATTTTCTGCCGGTCCTGCATCACGGCCTGGTTCGCCAGCGGCGGGCGCAACGCTAACACATGCCCCGTGGACCGCAGAGTACTGTTCCAGAATACAGCGGACCCTCCGACATCCCTTCAAACGCGCCCTCAGGAACTCCCTTTTACGTCCCATCAAGCATTTCCTTCAGGACTCGGTGGAGGACTCCCTTCAGCACCCCGTCCAGCACACACTCCAACGCGCTTTCAAGCACCTCCTCCAGCACCATTCCAGTCGGATGTGGCAGACGACGTGCGTGAATGGCAAATGGAATCTATGTTTGGGGATTGTCCGACGCTGAGGATCGACGAGACGCTGACGCACGCCGGGTGTCGAATTGTGGTGACAGGGCTGCAGTTTTCCACTGCGGAGATGCTGTTTGAGCTGGACCGCTTCTCGGGAGTGCGGGACGTTGGGAATATTGATGTCGAGCTGGTGAGGAGCTGTATCCAGGGGAATATTCCGTTTGGTGCGAGACTGTCGCAAGAGTGCTGGGACGTGCTCTATGGGCATGCACGGTGGATGCTGGCGTGGCATCGTATGAACGGGTGTGCTCGCTTCAGTCATACGGAAATGGATGGTGGAGATCTTGATGATATGGTTGATGAGTTGTATGCAGCGTCTATTCGTGCCAGGTGGTAGGTGCTTGCTATTCTTTAGAGGGGACCGAGGCTCATTCATGGTCATTCATTGGATATCTCAGAGGGAAGAAGCATGGAAAGCTTCTAAGGAGCAAAGGGTATCATAGCAACTAAGAAAATACTCTGTATAGGTCTGGGACTCCTAAGTCCAAATTCTTAGTCCCGTCTTCTCTCGGCCTTGTATGGTGATCTGCTCCTCGAATCTTGCCTACGGCGGCGATCCCTTGAACGCGATCGTGTTCTATGCGGTCTGTCCTCAATCTCTTCCCCTCGTCGAGGCTCGGCGCGGTTGTCTCGTCGTGCGTGTTCGCGGCTGCGTGAACGTTGCCTTCGCTTGTCCCGCTCTCGATCGCCGCCTCGCCGCCTTTCGCGAGACCTTGAGCGGTCATGGTGTCTATGGCGGCGGTCTCTGTCTCGTGAGCGGCTCCTCGAGCGATGTCTTCTCCGCCTTTCGCGGTCGTCGTCATCCCTGTGTCGTCTCGACCGATCCTTCTTGTCTCTCCTCTTCGCCTTGTCATCATCATCGTTGCCTCTCGCTTTCTCTTCGATCGCCTCCTTCACATCAGCCTCTTGCGCCCTCTCTCCCAAGGGTGTCAGATTGGCGTTGTTTCTTTCTGGCACTGGGAGACCCATGGCTGCGAGCATGGCGTCCTCCTCAGCCTCCTTCAGCTTGCGCTTCTCCTCCTTGAGACGTGCAGCCTCGGCTTGCTTCGACTCGTCGTCGCCTTTCGCATACCAGTTGAGATCGCGATTTTGCTGCCAGCGACCGACAGGAGCCATGATCGAGTGGCCCAGGTAATTCTCGCGCTGCGCATCGTTCTTGACATCTTCCCACTTGAACTCGGCTCGGCCGCCACTGTGACAGCGTTAGCTCCAGTATATTTGACTTCGTGAGATACAACATACCGGCTACCTTCTTTGCGCACTGTTTGAAGTAGATCCATAGCGAAGGGCGTTGTGATGGCGTGGTGCAGATAAGTGGGTGGACGAGAAGGGAAAGTTGCGGCGAGGTGACGGAGGTGCCTCAGCGGAGCTCGGACCTGAGCTCTTTCCCACAGCTCCAACTCACCACTCTCTTTGACACCACCCTCGACCGAACGCCAAGATGCCAGCCGTAATACCGCCTCTCGATGAGCAGGAATACAACGACCCGCAGATGCCACTGGCGCATCTCGACAGCGACAACAATGCCATCTTCTATCTCATGAACTCGCCCTTCTTCGATGGAGCAAGCAATAACAGCGCCGTATATTCGACAGCACAGGGCCACCCTAATGGCATGCAACTGCTCAACGACCGCCCAACATACGAGGCAGAGCTCCGGAAATACAATGCTGGACTACAGTTCATCGTGGCAGGCGAACCTAAGGCCGAGGGACAGCCATGGCTCATACAACGCCAGCGCAAGGCCCTGAACAGAGATGGAAACCCGGAGACTGTGAACGAGGGCAACTTCTACACGCAAGGAACACGACTCCTCATGGCTCCCAGCATCCTCGACGTCGTCCAAGCGCGCCTCCTCACTGTATCAACACGCATGCAGCAAATGGCCGAGCTCTCCAAAACCATGTCGCACTGGTCCCCAGCAACGGGCCACACCTACCTCCCGCCGTCCTACGACCCTCCTAAGCCCGAAACAACTGCCAGTCGCATCGGCAGCCCGACCCTCGCCGCCACCGACCCCGACGCTGGCCCTGCCAAAGACGCACCCGCCCCCATCGACCCCACCGCCTCCACCACCGACTTCGACGACGCCTTCTTCCTGCACTCGCTGCACCTGACTCACGCATACGGCGACGAGTACATGGACGAAAACCCTCTGCTCGGCGAACCGGGCGCCTTCGTCTTCACCAACTCGCGCAGCCACATCGACGCGCGCAACAAGGCAGCCGAGCAAGCAAGCCAGACCTCGCTGGCAGCTGTGAAATCCGAGGCGCAGACCGCGAGCGTGGGGCCCTCGGTTGCGGCTACGCCCAAGGGCGCGGCGACTCCCAAGGGCGTGGCGACGCCGAGGGGGGTTGCGACGCCGATGGCGCTCGATGCGCCGAGTCGGAAGGGCAGTGTGGCGGGCTTGCCGAAGGAGGAGAGACGCAAGAGGAGGAAGAGCAGGGGGTTGGCGAGTCCGACGACGCCGGCAGCGCCGGTGTTGTGAGGGTGCGTTTGTGGACTGTTTGCGTTTGCTGTGATACCCAATACTATTCTCTTCCTCGATATGTGTGTGTGTATGTATGTGTTTGTGAGTTGTGCCTTGCAAGATTGCCGACATCAGTGATGACGGAAGGTGCTTGATAAAGAAAAGCATAGCACTACATGTGTGTAAGATGACCACTACAACGTATGGAATCCAACTGACATTAGTCTACGGGCGTCACAGATTTCCTACCAAAGTATTGTTTGATCAAGAAATAATATATCAGATTCTGTGTATTCCATTTCACCACTCGTACTACATCCACCCATTTTATCACAGACATCTACTACATATATCCACTTATTTCCTTGCGCAGCCTCTATAAACGCCCACTGCTGCAAACGTGCAGTGACCGTCGCGGCCTGCACCGTACGCCATAAACACATGATACTACGCCACGCACCCGATTATCACACTGTGTCGGCCGTGAACCCCCTTGTAATCTGCCTGCGCAACATGCGATACTAAGGGGTAGGGAAAAGAAGTGGTGTTTGTAAGACACCGAGGCGGGCGTCGTTTCTTTGTTGGCGCGCGAGATGATATATGACAGAACTGTAGAAAGTATGGTATATGAACAATAAAACATGTCGGTCCGCCTGGTGCAGGTGCACAGGCTTGGGGAAATGAAGATGCGCATTGTGAACATTACAGTCGTAGGAGTCGTTTAAGAAGATGCTTCCTCAGCTTTTGCTCCCTCACTGACGGAGGGAAGCGTCTTGGAGGTCGAGGTCGCAGAATGTACAGGTTCGTCAATAGTCGACGCGGAGGTGGAGGGGAGGGTGCTGCTCTGCGGTGACTGTGCCGAGCTGGAGCCCAGCGTGGGCGATGCAACTTCACGATCGTCGGCGGGAGAGTCGGCGCGATCGAAGCGGTTCATTTTTCTCTCAACCTACAGGGGTTAGCGACTTCGTGAACGGTGATGAGAGATGTTGCTTACCGATTGGATTTGCTTGCCTGAGATGATCTTCTTGGCCTTCTCCAGCTCTGGCTTCAGTGCATCAACGAAGATTTCGTAGTCCGGGCGCGTCAGAGTCTCGAGCATTTTCTGAATCACATAGTTGCCATACCCATCCTTGAGAAGACTGAGCAGGTTGTTTTCGCCGCGCTCGTTCTTTGTGATCACAGTGGATACAAGTGCACGACGCTCTGCCTCCGACCCGCAGACTAAGCAGCGCTCAACAACATTACTGGCGAACTTATGTTTGCTGAACATGAGGAATTGGTTCTTGATCAGGTTGATCATCTTCGCGCGGTCCTCCGGCAGACCATGCTCAATGACATGCTGAACGACGTAGTTACCGTAAGAATCGGTGATGAGCTTGGGCCCTGCGGCATGAAGCTCGGTGAGGATGAATCTGCGCTGCGGCTCGGGGATCTTCTCTACCAGTCGCTGAATGACGCGGCAGCCGTAAGAGTTGGTGGAGAGGTTGTCAATCTGGCCTCTGAATGAATCAACGATCGGCTGGATGTACTCGATAGGGACGCGCTCAACCACCCTTTGAATAACGTGGTTGCCGTTTTGGTCCTTGACTGTCTTGAGAACGTCTTTCTCCAGTTCTTTCACCATTTCAGCTTGCTGGTCTACGAGCACATGTTCGAGTGCTTTCTGCACAACCCGGCAGGCGTACATCTGGTTTGACAGGGCGAACACATGACCTTTCATCTTTGCAGCTAAGACGCGTTTCTGGACCTGGTCGCCGTGCTCGAAGAACTTCTGGATGACATAGTTTCCAAAAACATCTTGCATAAGCTGCAGTGCGTTCTTCTCGAGTTCTCTGAAGATGCGGTCCTTGACCTCGCTGTTCGCAGTCTCCAATTTTTGTTGGATAAAGCGAGATCCATGTTGGTCTCCGGCAAACTCGACGACATTTTCATAGATGTCAGTCAGCTCCCAGCGCTTGTTCTGCTTGCTCTCCTTCTTAAAAGAGTCGAGCACGAGACTCATGGCACCAATGTTGTCCGCTGGCTGCTGCTGCATGCGGGGCCCTCGAGGTGCCTCGAGAACAGGCATCATAGGCGCCATTTGCACCATGGTCATGTGCGGCGGCAGTGCAGTTATGGGCATACCATTTGGAATCGTGTACTGGTAGGCCTGGGGATTGCGCAGCTGGTTGATCGGCAGCATGTGTTGATACTGTTGGTAGTATTGAGGCGGCGCGACATTGCGACGCTCCTGCTGGATTTGGTAACCGGCCAGCTTGTTCTGCACAAGTGCGATGTTGTTCGGATGGTTGAGTCCCTGGTCGCCGCGATAGTTCGGGTTCAGGTAGTCATGTACTGGAGGCGTATGAGCGTGCGAGTAGAAAGGGCTTTGTCGGACTGCAGCGTTACCATTTGGCGCGCTACGAGTATCGTAGCTGACGGATCGGAACTGCACGCTGGCATCGCCGACTTGACTGTTGGTGAAGCTGTCAGGTGTGTAGGTTCCCGAAGTACGGAATCCCTGCGTCTCGGGCTGGACTGGCAGTTGGCTGTCCGGATACAGATCGCGAGGGTCAGTCAGTGCTTGACCTGCGGGTGTGAAAGCCGGAGTGAATGCGTTGATGCTGAATGAAGACCTGTGTGCTCCAAGACGGGGTTCAAGGTCCTGCTCGAGTTTCATCTGGACTTGAGCAAGCTGAAACGACTCACTCTGGATGGAGCCATTGCGCTCCTGGAACGGACGGGCATTGGCATGGGACAGCGAAGAGGTCTGACGTGCGCCCGGCTGTGACAGTCGAGAGAACGAGTCGGCGTAAGGATTGAAGCCACTGTCGGCACCGTGTCTTGAGGGCGGCAGACTGCCACTGCGGGAGGGGGCACCACTGGTCGTGCCAAAGTGATCGGAGCCACTTGCGCTCCGTCTGTCGTCGATGGGTGAGTGAACAGGTCCGTCTGTCCAGGGCAGGACAGAGTTTTCGGTTCGCTGTGGGCTGAGCTCGGTCTGGCCGAACCCAAAGTTGGAGAAGCCATTGGTTAGAGAGTCGACGTTGCGCGAAGTGAAGTTGGAGGAGGTGGGGTCGAGATGTGGCTTCAAGGCTCGTTTGCCCTGGCCGTGGTTTACTGACGTGGCGCGGGACACGGGGAAGAGCGACGAGGGGCTGTCGCTATACTGTGGGGTGTTCTGGTTCTGTGCAACAGATCGCTTACGTACAGGGGACGCGCCAGAGCTCCTGATGTGTGAGTTGTCTCCCCAGACATTGGACGGGCGACTTTGTCTCCACTCAGACTCAGACGAGGAAAGGAGAGACCCTGAGCCAGTCTTGGTCTCGGCGACATCGGCCGTCGCGCCAGGGAGGGCATTGCTGTCTGCGGTTACGTCAGAAAGCTGGTCGGCGGTGCTCCAAGGGAGCGTACCTCTGGGCCGTGAGCCGTCGCGGGGCGCGGAGCCAAAGCTGGAGCCAACGGGCTTCGAGTTCCAGATGCTGTTGCCCCATGTGTAGGCCGAGCGGTCGCTCTCGGTGTTGTTGAGCGAGATGCCTCCGGCAAAGTCGCGATTTCGTGTCTGCGGCGGGTCAGCCATACTCCTAGCCTTGCTCGCAGGCGGGTGCTGGCCACGTACGCTGCCTGCCATGGTGGCCATGGTCTAACGGGGGCGGCGATGTGAAGCGGAAGGCGGCGGCGGCGGTGCGCAGAAGGCGGCTGCTTGGCGGCGAGGATTGTGCTGGCAGCGGGCGGCGAAGTGTGCTAGGGCAGCGGGCGGCGTGAAGCGTGGTGGTAAGCTGGACTAGCTGGGCATCAGCACTCGCGGCGGCTCTGCGGCGGCGGGCACGCGACTCACCTGCGCAGACAGGGCAAGAAATATAGACGGAGGTGTGTACAGCGGACGGGCCGGCAGCGAAGGGAGTGCCGGCTGCGAGTCCGTGGGCGAGGGGGCACGGGTAGTTATGTGCAGGTGTGCTCACGCCCTTTGGTGGTGCAAGGTGGGAAGCTGCGTTAACGGCAGAGCATGCTAGACTCGAAGCGATGGTACTGCGCGCCAGGCGGGGAACGCATCAGGGTTCTGTCGACACGGCGCACGGCGGCGGGGATGCAAGGCAAGGGCGACGGGCTCTTGCGCGGAATGCACGCGTGGGGTCGCTTTATACTGGCGCAGCGGGCGGGCAGGGAGAGGCAGAGGGCCGGCGGGAAGCCGCGAGGACTGGCGACGCTGCACGCGGGCGCAGAGTGGGTGCGAGACGTCGGTGCGAGGACGTCTGCTGTCGCGGCCTGCCTGTGCGGTGCAAAGGACGCGGCGTGGCGGCGCTGATGAACGACCGTCGCAAAGGCCCAGCGACGATCGGCAACTACGCACAAGCGTCCGCTGGGGAAGGGCGCGCTAGGGTTTCAGCGCCAGGCTTCGCCGTGACAAGCAGCAGAGGCCGACGTCGCCGCGCAGGACGCCGCTGCAACCGTGCCAGCACGCACAGTCGGCGCTGGTGCAGTCACTGCAGTGCACGTCGCAGGCGCTCACGGTGCTGGGAGGGCTGCTCGGCTGGCGCTGGGCGCTCGCGTGTGCAAAGGGCGAGTCAGGGATCGATGCGGCTGCGCAATCCGGGCGATCAATCTGAGGTGCTGGAGCGAGACAAATTGAGATGAGACAGGTCGTCGGCCCTGACATGGCGAGGAACAGCGCAGGGTTATGTACAGCTGCGCCGTGTTTCACGACGCCCTGCCGCCGTGCCGAACCTCTTCATGCTCTGCCCCGTTGCGCCCGCCCAGCCGCTGCTAGCTCTGCGCTGCTCGTCCAGCTGCGTGGAGGCCGTCTTGCACGGAGGCACCAGCCAACGGTCATCCACCCTGGCTCCACAGCCGGGCCCGCCGCTCGCAGTCGGCCTGGCTGCGTGTCTGGAGCCACCGGCGTGGCTAGCGTCGCCACGAACGCCTCGCCGCCTTCCACCGTCGCTACAACGCAGAGTGCTGCATCTCGCGCAGTCTCGCAGAGTGCTGTCCATCTCAAAGAGGGCGTCGCACGGTGGCAAGAGCGCCGATGCACCAGGGCCCTCGTTGCGCGTCACATGGATCGCTGGTCGCCGGGCGCTCCACCGCGCTCGGCTCCTGCAATTACGTCTCTGCCTGCAGCAGAAGATATGTAGCTATGCATACACAGTACATACATAGCTACCACACAAGGCTGCAGCTCGCCTCTCGCGCCCACGGCCGGGCGTTGCTTCTCCACTCTGTATCGGCTTGCTTGCTGCCGTGGACCCATCGTACTCATGGCTAACCACCGCAATGCGCCGCCCCGAGTCAAGCCGTCTCTTCACTGGGAGAACATTGCTGGGTCACCGGTACACGCGCTCTGCTCTGCCTCTCTCTGCCTCGATCAAGACGCCACTTGCAGCTTCACCGCTCCTCGCGGCTGCCTGGTCGACGCACTGTGGTGTCACAGCCAACAAGTGCATGCAGAGTGCAGCTGCCATCACGTGAGCTCGCTCGGCCTTCCACCTGGAACGTAAATGAATGTGGAGCCTGGGTGAGAAGAGCTGCCTGGTGCAACAGCCTCAGGAGTCGAAATGTCACACATCTTGACAGCCGCCTTGGCTGTTGTAGAGCGAAAGCGTCAAACGTTCCAGCGTCTCAACCCAGAGCCAAGCAGGGCAGACGTTTGACGGCTTTCGGGGTTCATGGCCTCGTGGCGAACAGTGAGATTTTCGCCCACTTCCCTCGGCGGAGCTCGCAACTGCAAACATCGGAGAACACCAGCACCGTTCGGGTCCGAGAGAACGTTGTTTGTTTGACGACATGCCGCAAGGCTCGTCATCGGCTGGCACGTGGCATTCACTTTCCGAGCTCTTGACAATGGGAGGCCAGGATTCCTCGCCCGCCGCATTCCAGGTTGCCGCCTCAACGTGCATCGCTGGCCCATTGTTCAGCATCATCCTGACAGTACCCGCATCTACGGGCGCCGTTCGTCTCAGCCTTCACTGTCATTTCCCCGCGATCTCAACTGTCACAGCCCAGACAAAACGTGGAGTGTCTCGCAGGCAACGACCAGAGCGCAATGCCGAGTGTAGTCGTGTAGACGGCAAATGACAGTGAGAGCAGCTGGGCGTTTTGCTGTTGCGTGACCATTGTTGATCGTCGACAAAGGGCAATCCTCCACGGCACTAACTTTGGACTCACTAGTCAGGTACACTTCTGGACTTACCCCTTGCACTTGTCCTCACTCGGCCATGCTCAAGGCCGATAATGGCTGCCCGTTTACAACCCCGTACTCCATCCTACACAAAAGGAGGTCATGCGCCAGATATTGATTTATCCATTGGATATCCTCGTTGCGTACTCGTTGGACAGCCTCAGCGCGTCGACATCCAGGAACGGGACGACTGGCCAGACTCTGCCGTCATTAATTACGACCTGCCTCTAGCGCGGCGCTTCCAACTTACTTTCAGTTAGTGTAACGCGTTGCGCCCCACTTTTTCCTTCGTTGACGGTGAACAGCCTTGACTTGCCCTGCGCCAAACAAAACTAAAGCGCGCCTTGCCCTCCCAACTCTTTGACCTCCTTGCTCCTCTCACGGTCCTGCCCATTGACACCAACCTTCCCTTGCGGTACTGCATCACTCTTTCTGTAGTATTAGCGTTCTCTCTTTAGACCTTGTGTCACTCGTTCCCTACCGTAAACCCCAGTAACGACCGCGCTTCTTTAGGTAGGTTCCGGCTTCCCCAGACCCAGCTGCCGCCCGTATGCCGAGGCGCACACTAAACATCCACACGAGCTTTTAGCTTTGCGGAGCAATGCGAGCAATGCTAACATGGTCCAGCGAATACGATCTATAATCACTATTCACTACTACAATCGCATCAACTGGACGCCATCTACACGCTATAACGAATATACTACTACCACCGACTATCCACCATGATGAACATCAAGAACCTTACCGCGCGCTCCGAAAATGCCGACGGTTCCAACGACATGACCATTGCCCTTCTCACCACCTTGTCTATCCTTGTCGTGCTCGCCTTGGGCCTGATAGGCGCACTCATCTGGCTTCGCAACGTTCGCCGCGCCAGGAAGGATGCCGCACATGACGCACAGCTGCCTCTTTACGAGAAGCGACAGTCGGGTCGCCGACTGACCATCACTGCCATGCCGTATGGCAAGGGTCGCGAGTCCGTCGTCGTCTACTCGGAGAAGCAAGACCTTATGGACAGCGCTGCAAGCTCGCCCACTAGCCCAGTACCCGAGATTCGCATCACCTTTCCCGACGAGGTCGATGAGTCCGGCAAGCGCCAGTCCGGCCGTGTCGTCGTCGTCCGCGTTGGCGAGCACAGCGTTGGGTTAGAGCCTGTCAACGAGGACTTGCCCCCATACCAGCGCGATTCATCTGATCGCTTCGACTCGCTAGACCTCGACCGTATTGGAGGGCTGAAGGAGAAGGACAGCAAAGACTACGCCTAAACCTTGCAACTTCACCGCCAATGCTCGACTGGACTGCTACCAAGGGTCCAGCCCCCCGGGCTATCTTGAGCCGTTTGGCTACGACCTATTTTGATGACGGCAACAAGCGCTGATTGTCGATTTCGAGCCAGTGCCATACCAGTCTGGGAGGCGAGGCATGGCTTCGAGCCATTTGTAAATTTCTTGGAGTTGACTGGCCCTATATACCCTTCGTGTCTGGCCGTCGCTCTTCTGGGGTTATGTCCTCTTACATAACTGTTACCTGTTATTCCTAATGTATGATACGCCAATCTCTCAAGCGTCTGTAATTGTGCAGCACGAGAGCAAATACAAAATTTGACAATGACCAATATGGGTGCATCTTGCCGCAAAAGTGATGTTAAAACTAACATGGGGCTCGCAAGATTTCGCAGACTGTCTTTCAAGGCCATGGCCGTGTTGAGACTCGCGTTGCGCCTCGTGCAAGCCAAGTCCAGCCATCACCGCGGTTCGAGTACCACGATGGACCCGCATGCCGCATGAACGTCGGAGGTCTCGGCGAAATTGGTCTCCACTGCGACCAAAACATATCGCTCACCTCTGCGCGAAGCTCAGCACAACACCTCTCGTCCATGGGTTCTCCACTCCTTAAGACCCGTTTCTAGTGCGACTCCGACTCTCAGGCCCCTGAGCTTTTTGACATCATCATGGAAGGCGGGGAGATGTTCACGTCTATCGAAGACATCCAAGCAGAAGCGAAAGCCAGAGCGCAAGCGCAGCGTGCGGAAGATGCGCAATTGGGTGGTCCGAAGCCGACGACCACAGATGTGAAGACTGCGAAGAAGGCTGGCGAAGTCCACTTCAAGGCGCAGCATGGCCTTGTTGTTGCTTTCTTCAGCTTCATCCTGTACGTCCACCGCTTGCGAGCAATTGCATGGAGCTGACAGCGACCAGTGCCCTCCACGTTGTCGGCATCTACCTCTTCACGACCGGCTTCCTTCTCACGCGCCTTGTCCTCCCGCACACGTCCGAATGCGCCGTCCCACCAATTGAGCTCACAAGGGGCTATGTAGCCGGCGATGCAGAGAAAGGCTGCTGGCATCCTAAGACCTACAGTAAGGCCATTGTGGTCATTGTCGATGCGCTGCGATACGACTTTACGGTGCCATTTGAGGCCCAATTCGAGCCCGTTGACATCAAGGCCCAAGCCGACCGCGCCCAAGCCGCTTCCTCCGAGAAGAACATTGCACCTCGGCATTTCCATAACGCCATTCCTGTTTTCTACGAGACTGCGAAGCAATCGCCGAAGAACGCGTTTCTCCTTCCTTTCATCGCAGACCCACCTACAACCACACTGCAACGATTGAAGGGGCTGACAACCGGAACCCTGCCCACATTTGTCGATGCCGGAAGCAACTTCGCAGGCACTGCAATCGATGAGGATAACCTGGTCGCACAACTGAAGGATGCTGGCAAGAGGGTTGTTCATTTGGGCGACGACACCTGGCACGCACTGTTTCCTGGGTACTTCGAGCCGAACCTTACCCACGCGTACGATTCGTTCAACGTCTGGGACTTGCACACGGTTGACAATGGCGTTACCGAACATATTTTCCCGCTCTTGAAGGGTGAGAACTCGACAAAATGGGATGTTATCTTCGGACACTACCTGGGCGTGGACCACGCGGGGCATCGTTATGGACCAGACCACCCCGCCATGGGAGCGAAGTTGAACGAGATGGACGCCGTGTTTCGACGTATGATTGAAGAGCTCGACGATGATACGCTTCTTGTGGTCATGGGCGACCATGGCATGGATGCCAAGGGAGATCATGGTGGTGAATCTGATGACGAGATTCAAGCCGCGCTGTGGATGTATTCAAAGAAGGGAGACTTTGGTCGCATCGATCCTTCTTTCGTACTCCCACCTGCACACGCAAAGGACAGATCCGTTGCGCAGATCGACCTTGTGCCCACTCTCTCGTTGCTCCTCGGCCTGCCAATCCCATTCAACAACCTCGGAAGGCCAATCGATGAGGCTTTTGCCAGTGCCAAGGTGAACGATTTCGAGAATCTGGCTACCGTCAATCGTCTGGCAAGCGCTCAGATCCATCGCTACCAGGGCGAGTACGCCCAAGTTCGTGGCCTAGACGAAAGTACCTTCTCCACCTCCCAGTCCCTTTGGCCTATCGCAAACGAAGCATGGTCGACTGTCTTCCAGCGAACATCTTTCGGTGGAAGTTCAGCGAAGTCGGAACAGATGAAGGCTGCATACAAAGCCTTCGCTGCTTACCAGCAGGAGAACTTGCGCATCTGTCGCTCTCTTTGGGCACGGTTCGATGTGCCCCGCATGATCAACGGTGTCCTGATCCTCGGGCTCAGCGTACTCCTCATTGCCCTCTACGCTCGAGGTTTGGTCGGTGACCGCGCTGAGGTTACACCTGTTTTCTTCACGAGGGGCCTTTTGGGCACTGTCCTTGGTGCTATCCTTGGTTTTGTCGCGTCGATTGTCGTGCCCGACACTCCGAAGGAGCATGTTGTCACCTTTGCGGCAGCCGTGACTGGCATCGTAGGCGTGTTGTCAGCCTTCTTCTCGCTCCGTAATCGTCTTGCATCTCCACTGCCCAACAGCATTTGGGGATGGACTAGTTTCATTTTCACCATCTCTCTGTCCGCAGGTTTCGCTGCCAACTCCTTTACCATTTGGGAGGATGAGATTCTTCTGCATTTTCTTACGACGTTCGGCATACTTGCTCTTATTTCCTCTTTCCGGCAGAAGAGTATGTCCGACCGCACCCTTGGTGTCTACCACTCGATTCTCTTCACTGTCCTGTTGCGTGTAGCAAGCTTTTCTAAGCTTTGCCGCGAGGAGCAGATGCCGTATTGCAAGTCGACATACTATGCATCGGCTCTCTCTACCACCTCCGCGCCATGGCAACTCATCATCCCGGTCGTCGCTGCGCTCCTCGTTCCTACCTTCATCAAGAGCTACTATGATGGAACCAAGAGCTATCAGAACATGGCCGTGATGTGGATCGGTCTTGTTCTGCGCTTTGGCCTGATGCTTTCAGCGGCATACTGGGCTCTGGACGCGGCCGACGACGGCGACTGGTACCCATCGTTGTCCGGCATCATCAAGATTACCAAGCAAGCTCTCGCTCAGGGTGTACTCATCCTGGCATTTGGTATTGGCTATGCACTGTACAACTGGTCTAAGCCACTCCTTAACATTCAAATCAACAACCAGGGTCAGCCCAACGAGCAACTCATTGTCCACGGCTACGCGAACGTCCACGGCAGCCGCTATGCACTGCTCATCACCATCTGGTATCTCGCCGTTGCGATCCTCCAGAAACCCATGGGCGCAGGTGCAATCGGCATCCTCGTGTGGCAACTCTTCTCGCTCCTCGAAATCATCGACACAAACAACCTGCGCCAGTCTTCCATCGGCCCCATCGTCCTCGGCCTCCTCGGCTCCTTCCACTACTTCAAAACCGGTCATCAAGCCACCCTCTCCAGCATCCAGTGGGAATCCGCCTTCATCCCGCTCAAATCAATCCGCTACCCTTGGACCCCCATCGTCGTCATCCTCAACACCTTCGGTGCCCAGATCCTGTGCGCCATCGCCGTCCCCGCACTCGTCCTGTGGAAGGTAAATCCCAAGCAGAAACGCCTCTTGAGCACGGTTGCCAAGGCGATCGCGACGCACATCCTCTTCTACGCTGTCGTGAATCTGGCGACGACGATGTGGGCCGGCCACCTGCGGAGACATCTCATGCTCTATCGCATCTTCAGCCCGAGGTGGATGCTCGGCGCCGCAGTGCTGGTCGTGGTCGACGTGGTGGCGATTTTCGTGGGGCTGTGGGGATCCAGAATGAGTATTCTGAGTGTTGCGGAGGTGTTTGGGTTTGCGTAGGCAGACAAGCAAACGAGGCAAGGGGAGGTGTTGTGTAGATACGGATATTGCATTGCATGCGTCTGGCGACGCCGGGTGTCTTGTTTGTTATAGCATTGAGACGGTTGTCTTGCGGGCACCGTCGTTAACTAGCGTTTTCAGAAGTTCTGGTGCCGTTGATTCTCCCTGCTGTTTCTCTCACGTGATTGCTCCCGCTCCTTTACCGCCCATCTTGATGTTACGTCAGCGCTTGCGGCGAGGTCAGGTAAAGGTAGCTCTCTCAGGCCTTCCATTGGCGTTAGTCATTGGTATATATTTCGATCCCCTCCTTCTCTCTTTCTCTTTCCTCTACCACAGTTGACCGCGTCTTGAGGCTCTAAGTACCTCATACTTACGAGCGCAAACAACGCTTCTGGCTACGCCCATACTGCTCGCTGGACCGCACGCGCGCTACGAACGAGATTGAGAGGACGCTCGCCCAGCAGGTTGGAAAACCCACCCCAATCATTCGACCACACTGACTGAGAGTAGTTTTCGCGCCTGTCCCAGTACAAAACAACGTACTGGAGGGAGCGTCAATAGCCTCTAGGCTCACCATGGCATCACTCACGAGGCAGGACGAATTGATTGACGATTCAAAGAACGACAATCCTGTGGAAGGTCTGAAAGGTTCGGCGAGCCTGAAGGACAGGTTCACGTTCCGATTGAGCCGTCTGCTGGGAAGAAACGTTACTGTGAAGCAAATTACGAAGGAGATCAGATTACACATTGGGCCCTTGAGAGGCGCGGCAACATCAACCGCAACGTACGACAAGCGCATCCGCGAGTTTGCAAGAGACCTCCAGGCCACAATGCGGAGGATTGCTCGTTCTACAGACGGTAAACTGGCACGCTTGGTTCTGCATGCACAGCTAATTGATCGCAGAGAACGAAGACGCCATCAGTGACTTGTGGGATGTCGTACTCGTTTACGCGTCCCCAAACATTCACGAGATAGTGATGTCCTTGAAACGGATATTTGAAGAAAATAAGAACAGATTCGACGCAATGGTCGCACGAGTTTGTGGCCTGGACGACGTTTACCGCCACGGTTCGTCGCATGACACCGTACTAGGTGATCGCATCATTCGTGTGCAAGGACTTACGAATAGTTACCAAGGAAGTCTTTCAGAACAGCACGAGCTGATAGACAACGCATGGAAGATAATACAAGAAGTTCCAAACTCCGATGTAAGGTTGAAGTCGCTTCTGGGAGGCACATTCTCTACCAGGGTTTATGACCAGATCTGCAAGCTCAGTCATCCAATGAGTACAAATCACACTATCACACGAGCGGCAAGATCCAACTCGGCCTTCCAAAGTGTGAATGTCTGTTTGGACTCGCCACGTCCACCACCACCGCCATCATCGAAGGCGATGAGCCCTGCATCAAAGAATACTCTGACTAAGCGACAACCCCAACGCGTCCAGCCCAGGACGTCTCCGACTACTAAGCGTCTCTACCCTCCTCCTCCTCCTCCTCCTCCTCCTCCTCCTCATCAAGGGACCATGATGGAGACCATTTGGCGATATCTGCCAAAGGCGGACCACGGTCTAGGTCTGTTAAGGCTCCAGCCTCTCTCGAAGCAAGCAGCAGCACTGTTGATCGGATGCTTGCTTCATAACATCGCTATACCTCCAGGGTCCGACACATACTACATATTCGGCTTCGTGACCTGCCGCGACGAACAAGAAGAGCGCGCCCTCGCAGACCACTACCGCCTCCTTCTCCAGACGACGCTGGCCCCCACTACCGTCTTCAAGGGCATCCTCGACGCTCTCGAGTACCATACACTAATGGGTCTGCTTCGTAACAGAACCAACGAGGGCATCAAAACTATTACCCCAGCACTCAACCACTTCCTCACCACCCCGCCTGCGTAGCGACCCTCGGTATACCGCCTAATACAATTCATCCGCGACCGCGACAACGACGAGCCGCTGCCCTGCTTAAAGCGGGACTACGGATTCGTGCTCTGCACGCAGCGCGAGCACGTGGCGAAGCTCAAAGCGCTGTACACCATGATCATCGACAAAGCGGGGCCTATGAAGCTCCACAGCGCGTGCACGTTCGGCAGATTGTGCCAGCTTGCGATCATGGAGCTGGGATCCGTGGATGCAGAGGCGCGGAGGCTGCTGAATAATGACTACGCCATCTGTCCAAACGCGATTGGCTTCGATGACGGTAGAGGCTTGGGTGACCGACACTTGCTGCCACTGTTCAATAAGGTATGAAGGGCTGAGTTGGACTATTCTTGAGCGTACAATTGGGATCAGTTTCTTTCCAACGAGGTTCATGACACCTCAACAAGGCTGCCATCTGCTGGATTAACGAGCTGGATTGATTGCGTAGTTCTTGCTTTCCGGGAGTCCAAGACAGCGGGTTATGGGTCTTGGTGTACGGGCAGTTCCTGCACGGCGATGCAGCGAGCGAGTGCTCTTCTCTTTCCACTGTGGGTCGCTACTGGTATCCGAGTTCACAAGCGGTGATGTAGGTACCAAAGCTGGCACGTACTATCCGAGAATTGATTAATCTTTAAGTAAAACAATGAAAACTATCGTACTAGGACCCCATTCGAGAACAACACGTGCTTTATTTCTGGTCCGCAGTATGCATATATAGCATCTCCTGGCTGACGTAGACTTTTTCTCCGTGTCACAACCTTCGCCCGACTACTCCAACTTTCCGCACTATCAAAGCCTTACATTGCCAACAAACAATCACTTTCTCAATGTGGCCATGCATAAGCACTCCATACAGCCACACACAAACATATCTATCGCAATAGACGAGTAGTATGACGAGCAAACAGCCAAATGAGGCATCACAGCACTGTCTTTCACAACACGAAGCCTCAACAAAATACATCTCAAAAGAGAAGTACGATCAAAACAACTGACTTCATAGTGACGTTATACAGGCAAAATTGGCGCACAGATCCTATCTATACACCCCATCGTACACAGTGCCACCACCTCTGCACGAGCCACGAGCTATAAGCCATGAGCCAGAAACCATGATCTCCCATGTCCAACAACCAGTACAGAACCCGCATCCATCTATCTATACACACCATCGTACAAAATATCCAAGCATCGAAGCATCAAAGTATCACCGCCTCGCCATAAGCCCTGAACCACGAACCCTGATCCCCCATCCCCAACTAGCCAGCCAGCTACACCACACTTCCCGGCTTCAACCCACCCTCCCTGGCTGTGTTGGCGCGCCCGCCCGGAGCCAGCCCGTAGGCGGCTACAACGGACTGACGTGCTTCAAGCCGCGAGAAGGCGGGGATGCTGGGTGCGCGGCGCGTGCTAGTGGTTTGTCGGGGACGGGGAATGGGGTTTGGGGTCTGGGGGCTGGGGCGAGGGGCTTCTACTCTTTCTTCTCTTGCTTTGTTTCTCTCTTGTCTGCCGCATATGCACTCTCTCCTTCTCTCCATCGTCGTCGTCGTCGTCGTCGTCGTCGTTGTCCACACACACCTACTTGGTGTACGATCCAGTGTATGCCGTGCTGCGCGGTGACTTGCGCGGCACGTACTTCAGCTCCCTGGGCTCTCGGTCGCCAGTGCGGCCACGGCCACGGCCGCGCTTGAGCAACGGCCTAGGCGTGCGGGCGGGAGTGGCGGTCGGGGGCGAGAGGCGGCGGCGCTTAAGCGCGTAAGCATCGGTGGTGGAAGGTGACTTGCGCTTCTGCGGGGTCAGGGAGGAGCCGGACGACGATGAGGAGACTGAAGCCGCGGGCGAAAGCGACACCGGGGGGGAGGGGATCGAGGACGCTGGTGCGGGTGAGAGCGCGGGCGCGGCAGGCTGCTGGGCCGGCGAGGCTGGCGAGGCTGGGGATTGCAGCCGGGGGGAGAGGCTTCGGCGCTTGGGGGCGGGAGCGTCGGAGGCGGAAGGCGATTTGCGCTTGCTTGGGGTCGGAGAGGAGCCAAGCGAAGAGGATGGGAGGGAGGGGGCAGGCGAGTTTACCATGGGCGACACTGACATCGATGAAGAGGGCATCGAGGGCGTAGGCGAGCAGGCGGAGAGCGCAGCTTCCTGCGACGAGCTGGAGGAGCTGGAGGAGTACTCCAGCGGTGCACTGGTCGACCAGTGTCCAAAAGGGAGTTTGGGTGCAGACTTCGCTGCAGCTGGCTCGAACGCCTGCTCCGCCTCAGTGGGAGCCCGGGGATCCTCAGTGATCGAGGGCGATCCTTGGATCGGCGACAGTGTGGTGCCGGAGCACCTGTTGCCATGCAACATGCGCACCACGGCTGGCGCAGGAGACGACCGGATGACGCCGTTGGAACGACCCTTCTTTGGGCCGCCCTTCGACGCCGCGACCATCTCCTGCAGCCAGCGTGGTTCGCTGTTGTCATAGGCGGGCTGTGATGGCGGCAGCTCGAGGTCCTCAGCTGAGGAGGAGGAGGAGGAGAAGGAGGAGGAGGAGGAGTGGGACGGCGAGCCGGGAGGGGAAGCGTAGAGGTCCTCGCTGTTGTAGTCGAGGCCGAAGCTTCCCTGCTCAGGTGCGTGCATGGGAGTCACGCGCTGGACGGGCTGCTTGCCCTCGCCCCTCGCCACCTCTTGGAGGCCTTCGGCAGAGTGGACGGGGGCAGCGGCAGCCTCGTCAGTCATGTCGAGGTCGACATCGGACTCGTCGCTCTCACTCTCGTCTGAGACGGAGGCGTTCTCGAACTGGAGCCACTCCGGGTCGGAGGGTGAAGGGGGGAGGAAGCCGCGCGGAGTCGGGATGAAGGCGGGGTTCACGACTGCTCGACGACGGGGTTTTGCCGAAGCACGATCCTTCTTGACGCGCTTCTTCACAGGCTCGTCAGTCGCGAGAGGCACATGCTCGCGCTTCACCTCCTTGGCTGCCTCGATCACCTCATCTAGGGTGAGGTGCTTCTTCACCAAGCGCATGACCTCGGGCTCGATGAGGTTCATGAGCTGCTGCGGGTCATGAAGAAGTGCTTTATAATGTGGGCGATCTTCCAAGAGCCGCACGATGTGGTAGACGGCAAGCTGGACCTTTGCGCGGTCGCACTTGTTGCGGGTGAGGTAGGCCCAAAGGGCAGGGCATCCCACAGCGCCAATCGCCACACCGGTGAAGAAAGTGCGGAAGTGCGAGAGGAGGACAGGGAGCTGCGCTTCACCGAGAATGAAGCGGGAGATGGCCTTTGCAATCGCAGACAACGGGAGTGTTGCGGACGAACTCATCTTGGAAGCGATGGGTGTTGATGATGCTATGTCAGGAACATTAGTACAAGCTTATTGCAGATGATGTGAACTGTAGTACCTTGAGAGTGGGGTGAGGTGACTTCGGTTGTGGATGCGTCTTGCTCACAAGCTTTGTGGTGAGTGTGCAGGCGGAAGAGCTGCGACGTGGACAAACACTGAGCTTGAGGGAGCGAAGGTCTTGGATACTGGTGTACGAAAATGCAGCTTCGAGAGAACGGTGCTCAAAAGGTGCGATCGTCAGTATGTACTGTGGGTGTGAAGCTTGTGAACGTCGTCGGTGGAGTGGAAGTAGAGGAAACTCTGCAGGCGGCTGTTGTGTGTAGAAAGTCAGAGGAAATCTGAAGGGGAGTGAAGGAAGGTCGATTTGTTTATATAGTGGGGCCTCGAGCGTTGGCGGGCCACTGTTGCGTCAGTGAAGCGCGCCTTCACTTCGAGTAGCTTGGGCACACTGTCGGTGACGAGGCGGCGGCAATCGGAGGGAGCAGATGTGCAACAATATCAAGTTCTCGGTTCAATATTAACTCAGAAAAGTGTAAAACGGCGGTGTTTGTGGGCACGAAGCGGTGTCGACTCGAGGACTGTTTGCTCACTTTACTGCCATGTCTGCCTTCGCACTGGTCAGATGTGGTCTTGCGTAACGAATGTTTCGATTACTGTTCAAGTAGATCTTTCTCTGTGCTAAAAAATCGCTCTGCCAGATCCCTATAACAGATAGATGGTCAACAATGACCTTGTCTGTAGTCTGATATCCGAAGCAGTCTAGCGAAAGAATCCTTTCAAACGAATCAAGACATGAGATACCATATCTGGAAACGGTTATGATTTCAAGACACAGCACATATTCTTCGACACCAGTCAGCCCACATCACCACATGATTTATCCAACTCACCACCTACTCTTCCATCCAGATGCTCCTCACACGCCCTTGACCCTCCCCCTCCCCATCTGCCCCAACCCAATACTCTCCCTCCCATACCCGGCACCCACATTCGCCCTCTCCCCACCGAACCCGTATCCCCCACCATGCATCCCCCCGCTCCTATCATGCTGCAGTGCACTGCCGTACACGAACTGCGAGTCCACGGTGCGCGTTTTCCACGGCTTGCCCTTGTACTTTTGCGCGAAGAATTTGGCGAGCAGCACGCCGATTACAGCCCAGAAGATGGCGAGGGCGAGCATGAGGGGGACGAAGAGGGCCATTTTGGTTGGTGGTTTGGGGTTGAATTGGGTGGCGGTTGGGTGGATGGGATCTCCAATCGTCTGTGTGGTGGTGCAGCGCGGGTGCAAGATGAGTATAGGTGTTTTATGAGTAGTTTTATGAGTCAAAAAGGAGAGAGAAAGAGAGGCTGGAGGTCGTCGAAGATGCGGAGCAGCGGAGGTGGTCGACTAGCGCCGTCTGGGGACGTCCCGAGGTTTGGCGCTGTGGGGTAGCTGGGTGACGTGCAGGAGAGCGGTTCCATGGCGTCCGATTGGCTTGTGTATCTGCTGGACGAGAACGCATAGAGCCTGGTGCTCGAGTATCGGGAGCAGAAAGACGCGTCTTGCGAGAAGAAGTAGATGAATTTGATTAAATAAGGCCCAAGAATTGGGATATAAGCACATGTATGCAAGCTAACGCAGACATTGACCACTCAAGCACTTTGAGGGCGATCTAACAGAGGTCTACGAAGCCGAATCGGCACCTCTACTTTCTTCCTCAACCTGCTTCGCTCTCTTTGCTCTCTCCTCTGCCGCCTTCGCTAGAACCTCTCTCCGGTTCAGGCTTCCAGTGGCGACGCTCCCACCAGCGCTGCTAACTAGTGTACCTCCGTCTCCTCCACTTCCCAGCACGAACTCACCCCCAGTCCATCCACCATGATCGCACATATCCATCTCCTCCTCACTCGGCTCATAGAACTCCTGGTTACTCACGCTATGCCCTCCACTCCGCCAGTCATCCCTCGCAACCTCCTTCTCAATCTGCTTACACAGGTTCCAGAAATTGCGATCGTGCGGCCCCCACACATTGTGCGCCAGCTCGTGACACAGCGTGTTCCGAATCGTTTTGTAGTCGCGATACCCGTCGTACGCATCGGTTCTCAGCCGCAGCTCGATGACCTCGCCCTTGTTGCGGTTCAGCCCCAGCGTGCGGCTCTCTTGGGTTGTGTGCATGGCCGGGTCCATCTCGGTGAGCAGCGGGACGCTGAATTTGTGTGTGCGCATCGCGGCCTTGATGCCTGCGTCGTCGCGCAGGCGCTCGAGAAACGCTAGACTGCGCTCGGGCCGTGGAAGGTACGGTAGGGGGCGGAGGGTGTGGAATGTGTATTGCGCCTCTTCTTGGATGCGTTTGTAGTCGCGGTTTCGCGCGGGTGTGGCGGCTTTGATGGGGCCCTGTCGGCGTGGGGCGGACGCGGCGGATATTGTGGCGTTGAGAGAGGAGACTTCGGCAGTCGTGCTGCCCATGAGAGTGATCTTCTTGGTGTTGAAGTCGCTCAAAGGCAGCGATGGATCCTTGAAAGGCGGCTTCTGCAGCCCCAGCTTGCCGCCAATGAGCAGCTTCTGATTCGACGACGGTATGTACAGCTGCTCCGCTATTGTGTTCGAGAGGTCTGATATTGTGGCATCTTGTGCGAAGGAAAGTGGGACTGGCTTTCCGTGGTGTGTCAGTGTGATCTGAATCTCGTCGGCGTTCGCATTATCGTGTGGCGCGTCCATGGCGACGCCGAGGTGTTCGTATTAAAACAACGTGAGGGAGCTGCTGTGCTGTGGATAAGTAATGGTATTAGTAGGTGATCAAGATATGAGGCTTCGCAGCTACTTGCTGATGATTAGTCGTGGCGCTCGGTCTGTCGTGACGTTCGCGACGCTTCCATGTGAACGCCACGGAGATTTGTCAGCCTAACTCCGACCGATGTTGAGCTCACGATGGACTGGAACGCTGAAGCATTATCCACACACCAGTCAAATTATGATTAAAGTGCCGAATTGTTCTGTGCCTGGCACTGGACAACTTGACCGATATATACAGATGACATTATTGCACAGCAAGCGAAGAACTCTATGGGTATCGAATGAAAACCATGAACGACCACGTCATGAGATTACAACCAGGTATTCTCAAAAGTTTTAATGCGCTGATATCGAAAACAATGCCGTCCACCCATTAATGTTTCCTGACACCACAGCTTGCGGCCATCTATGCCGTCATAACAAAGTCAACGCAGTTCTCGTAAGTTTGCTGCGCGGCAGTTCCGAACCAGAACCACTGCATGGTGCATGCTCCCGGCTGTGTGCACTGGCCAGCAGCCAGATCTTGAGGCATGTTCACACTGAACTGTGTGTTGTTGAGAGGGAGTTGCGCCAAGTTCTCGTCTGCGTACGAGTCGAAAACAAGCAGTGTCTCGATCATAGTGTTGGATGCTGTGTCGATGATTGAAATGTTGCAAGGCCCCTCGTGAGGAATAGGAAGAACGGCAGAGAAGTTGACCAGCTCTCCTGGTGCGTATTGCTGGACATTTCGCTGGTTGTCGGCGAACTGCGCACCCTTGCACAAGCCGATGTTGCACTGCGGCGAGCCGTTGCTGGGAATGTTCTCGAGGGGACCAGTGCCGTCGGCGTTGATGGCTGCAACAGCGGCTTGACCGCATACCTTGGCCATTGCTGGGCCCGGGAGACGGGATGGAGGGCTGGTGATGTTGCCATGGGCCAAAACTGTGGCGGCGAACAAGCCAATACTGAGGAAGGTGGAGGGGAACATCTTGTTTAGATTATTATTAGAATACTGAAGAAGATGTATTTTATAAAGGTTCGTGATGAAAGAGAATGTAATGCAGTTAGCGAGTGACCAGCACAAGATGGAATTAGATTAGTTGGTGATAGAAGTCCTACAAGACACTCGGCATGGTTATATATTCTCTGGGCACGAAACTCCAGTGCGCGGAAATGTGTGGATAGCAGTCGTTCCGAGGCTAGGGGAGACACGGTGCAGTCCGAGTTTGTAAAGGACATTCTGAAACACGATGCAGGTGGCCGCAAACTCATGCTTATCGGCGCACGAACACCTGGGGCTCGAAGGACGGATCGCCCATGATCAGAGAAATTTAGGATGATCGATCTACATGCCACTATGCATTTCAGCTGCAACGAGTCGATGGAAAGATGAGTGGGATTGTGAAGGAGTGAATACGCGCTTCTGACGGCTGCCTCTCGCAAGCCAAATTTGTGACGAGGATTCCGCGTCCCGACTTGTTTACGACGAGGATCGATTGGATCTCATTGTGGATACTCAGCAAGCTTTGCACATGCTTGTCTTGCTTAAGTTGTGTCGTTGGTGTTTTGGCTTGGCCCGGAAGCGGGAAGGAAGCAACGCGCTCGCACGGGCCTTCTTTCTCAGGGCTCAGCTCTTGCAACTTTCTACCACACCATCATTCGTAATAGTCTCGTATTCCTTCTGGCTTCGCATTTGCCAATGCCTCTTTCAATACTCAGCTCGCTATGTGAGTTTGGCTACGGTCCAATGCATCACCAGACCTCGTCTGCGCATGCTGACAGCATGCACGAACGTCAGCCTAACAGGCTCTCACCGCGTTGAATAGAACGAAGAAGCGATCGGCTTAACTCGTTATGAACACCTTTTGTCTTATCGCAATGTCTGATGTCCCTAGAGGACCAGATGACATTAATCTCAGCGAGAACGTCGATGCGCCACACCTTACATTCAGCTGCCAGGACAGGATGGGCGCATGATCTGTATGATTTCTACATCCATGACAGGAACAACTTTATCCTTGCCCTTATTAGGCTGATCCAGCTATATATCCTCGCCAGTCATTGGTTGACTGTCGAGTAATCGTCCACAAACACTACATGAGTGTGGTGTAGTATGCCATCGGGCATTACTTTTGGCGGCTGACTAGCTATCGCTCGTCCTGGCCCCCAGCAGTTCGCATTATTGCCTTGTCAGCATGGCATCAAGGTTTCGCAAAGATGGCAGCTCCCGTTGCTGGCTGAGCGGTGTATCGCAGCCCATCAGCTGGTGCCTTCGTATGTTTCCCTGTACATTGTTGTAATCTCAGACATATATAAGACCAGCCTGGATACCGTAGCACGTTCATCGATCTATCAGCCCTCTCGTACCCACATTAGTAAACCCTTGAATATTATTCTTAGCCAAGTAATATCCATCATGTCCCACGCACACCACGAAGCACGATGCTTCGTGCCTCCTCACCCCTCCCTGCTGGCGCGCACGAAACGGCTGCAATTGCAAAACCCAAACGATGCTGCTACTCTGGCAAGAGTCCAGACCGCCCTCCCCCGACAATCTAGCCTGCTCGGTCGAGACGATGGAGCCATCTTTCCCAAATCACATTTCTCACCGCAAGCGTCCATTAAGACGATGGCTGCTGCAGCTCTTGAACGAGCACCGTTGCGTAACGCTATCAGGTGAGATTCTTTGTAAACACACATCGCTGGAAACAGAGCTCAGTGCCCTAGGATCATCGTCGTTGTAGTTGAATTTCAGGACGTGAAGTGCCCTCCGGAGACAATCGATCGTACGAAGGATCTCTGGTTTTCTACGAACAAGATTCCCACTGGCTCCGTGACGGATTTCTACTCGGAGGTGTCCAACAACGCTGTCTCCTTGACCGGTGAGGTTGTTGGGCCGTTCACGCTGAGAGAGAAGATGTCCCATTATGCCAACGATCGTGTGTTCTTCCCTTGCAATGATATCTAGATGTGAGCTGACTCAAAGTAGAGTCTGGAATGGGGTGGCCAGGCCCGAACTCGCAGACGATGGCCGATGAGGCTTTCCTGGCTGCGAAAGACCAGGTTGACTTCAAGCCGTATGACAATGATGGCAATGGCTACGTGCGTGCTCTCCTCCCGTCAAGCCGCCTTCTCACTGAAAACGACTAGGTCGATGCTTTTGTGGTCGTTCATGCAGGACGCGCTGCAGAGGAAACCGGCCTCGGAAGTGACATCTGGAGCGTCAAGTGGGTTCTCCCGGAGGAGCGGGAAGCAAATGGTGGGTTTCCCCTTACCGTCAGCTGATACATTGATAACAACAATCTAGGCGTCAAAGTATTTGGCTTCCTCACGGTACCGGCAGATGCCAAGTGCGGCGTGTGTGCACATGAGATCGGCCATCTGGGTAATATGTACACTCGCAGTGTCGTGTCCAATCACTAACGAATAACAGTCTTCGGCTGGCCAGACTTATATGATACCGACAGCTCATCCGCTGGTATTGGGAACTGGTGTCTGATGGGCTCCGGCAGCTGGGGCGGTGGAGGCGACCGGCCTGTCCACCCTTCTGCATGTAAGTTTAACCTCCATCCTCAAGTATGGTTTTGACAGCGCAGGGTGCAAGTCAAATCAGGGCTGGGTTGAGACTGTAGTGGAGACTAGTAACCGCCAGATCACGCTTCGGGATGTAAAGGACGGATACAAGATCCATCGTCTCTGGACGAATGGAGATACCGACAGCAAAGAATACTTCCTCGTTGAGAACCGACAGACTGTCAACAGCGACGAGTTCTTGCCTGGCAAAGGTTTACTCATCTGGCACATTGACGACCGCATCGGATCCAACACAGACGAGAACCATCCTTGGATCAAACTTATGCAGGCTGATGGCTTGGATCAGTTGAAGCAGAACTTTGGCAGAGGAGACGATGGCGATGCCTATCCAGGGTTCACAGACAACCGTAAGTTCGACAGGCTGTCGAATCCCAACAGCAAGTCTTACCAAGGGACTGACACGCTCATCTCTGTGACGAACATACCAATCTCACAGCCAATAATGACGTTTGACATCACTGTCACGAAGAGCGATCAGCCACAGGTGGACAAGTTCAACCCCAGAATGTGGTACCGCCTGAAGAACACGTATCAGCCATCAACCCACTGCCTTGATACCATCAACGACAATGATGTCAACAGCAAGGGTCTGCTTCAGATGGCAGTTGCCGGATCCTTCTCTGGGCAGTACTGGCAATTGAAAGCAAACGAGGATGGGAGCTACTTCCTCCGCACCCTGTTTCTTGGCCCGGATCGCCAGCTTGGCGTGAAGGACGATAGGATAACACCGATTCTCCAAACTGCAAACCCGTCCGCTGTATCCCAATACTGGACGATTGAGGCATGGGATGGTCCAGAGGATGGAACATGGCATCTTGAGGTAAGAGGAACTGCAGTGTCGCGCGGCCATTACTGACTGTCATGACCAGAACGCCTGGACCGAGCAGTCGCGATATCTAGATACCATGGAAGGTGGCCCGAGGGTCGAGATGAACCAGGCAAACGATGGGCGGCCGACTCAGAGGTGGACGATTGAACCTATCCGTGAGATCACAGAGCCCGGCTTTTGATCAAGGTAGTCAGCTGAGCGTTTGAATTTCGTTCCCCGCTGTTGAGCGCCCCAAGTATCATGAATCCACGCGTTTTTGAGGTTCGGCGATACCTTTATGTCAAGCCATGGTGGCGCCGGCGGCGGGAATTGCCCAGTCTGCCGCTTACAGACGTCGCCCGCGCGCTAATTTCGGGGACTTTTGCCCCCGGAGCCGCATCGAGGCAGCCTCGCCATGATCCGCCAGCGGCTTCTCCTTCCCCCAGATTTCTAGCGGGCGCCATGCGTTTAAAACGCGGAGAAGCATGCACCTAACCATGCTTCGCATCATTCTAGGGCGAATCATCAAACACCGAATCCCAATCACGATGTTTACCCCAGAAACCGACCTCAGGGCAGAGATCTCATCGCTCTGCCGACTCGGAGCGTCGCGCGCCCTAACCAAGCCAGTCCAGTCTAAGTATTCCGGCTCTTATCCTCGGCTATGCTCATTGGACAGCAGGCTGTCAACTAACGCCATCCAGCTGGCGCTCCACCTTTCATACCAATCACCGCCCGGTGAGTCCGCAGGAGATTAGAATCCACGAGACCAGTTGACCGCCCGCTGGAAAGCAGCGGCTCTCGACCGAAAATTTGTTTAAGTTGCAGCGCGCCGCAACCTCGACTCCCACCACCACGCCCAAGTGCAACCTTCCCCAGGTCCTGCCTCTTTGACAGCGCCCAAGTGGAGCACCGCAGGCCCCACACTCCCGTCTGCACTGCAACACCGCGGCACCGTCCACAACCCGTGCACTCGGCCCCTCCTGCCACCATGGCGGACCCCAGGGACATCCAGCCCTCATCGGCGCCCCAGCCGCTCTACGAAGACCACGAGCACCACAAAGGCGCCGCGGACAAGATCATCAACGATGCCCGCCTCGCGACCGAGAAAGAGCACAACATGACGCTATGGCAGGGCATTCGGCTCTACCCCAAGGCCATTGGCTGGTCGGTGCTGATCAGCACGTGCATCGTCATGGAGGGCTACGACGTGTGTCTGCTCAACAACTTCTTCGGGTTCCCGCAGTTCAAGGAGAAGTACGGCGAGCAGCTTGCCGACGGGTCGTGGGAGATTCCCGCGCCGTGGCAGGCTGGTCTGAGTAACGGTGTGATTGTGGGCGAGATTATTGGATTGTTTCTCAACGGCTGGATCAGTGAGGCGATTGGGTACAGGTACACCGTCATGGGCTGCTTGTTCCTGATCATCTGCTTCACGACCATCTTCTTCACGGCGCAGACCGTGGTGCATCTCCTGGTTGCTGAGATCCTGTGTGGCATCCCGTGGGGCGTATTCCAAACGCTGACCATTACGTACGCGAGTGAAGTGTGCCCGGTGGCGCTGCGTGGATACTGTAAGTTGCTCCCCTTGGGCTTTAATCGTGGCATGGCTGACGGTTCTAGTGACTACATATGTCAACTTCTGCTGGGGCCTGGGCCAGCTCATCGGCATTGGCGTGATTCGATCTATGGTCGACCGCCAGGACGAGTGGTCGTACCGCATCCCGTATGCTCTGCAGTGGATGTGGCCTGTGCCGCTCATGATTGGTGTTTTCCTGGCTCCGGAGAGCCCCTGGTGGCTCGTCCGCAAGGGCCGTCTCGAAGACGCAAAGAAATCTCTTCTCCGCCTCACCAGCCTGAATCGCGAGACTGACTTCGATGCCGAGGAGACGGTGTCTATGATGGTGCACACGACCGCCCTGGAAGAGAAGATCACCAAGGGCGCTACCTACCTCGACTGCTTCAAGGGCGTTGACCTGCGCCGCACAGAGATTGTCTGCATGGCCTGGGCTATCCAGAACTTGAGTGGTAACGCATTCTCTGGGTACTCGTCGTACTTCTTGCAGCAGGCTGGTCTCGACCCGTCCACATCCTACGACTTCGCCATGGGCCAGTACGGAATCAACATGGCCGGTGTCTTCGGCGCCTGGTTCCTGATGAAGTGCGGTATCGGACGTCGCTCGCTCTACCTCTACGGACTGTGCGGTCTCTGCACGATGCTCTTCATCATGGGCTTCCTCGGACTCGTCCCATCGGACAAGCGCGAGTCGGGCGCCATGGCCACAGGTGTCATCATGCTGGTGTGGGCACTCTTCTACCAGCTCACGGTGGGCACCGTGTGCTACTCGCTGGTCGCCGAGCTCTCGACACGCCGCCTGCAGATCAAAACGGTGGTGCTCGGACGCAACCTGTACAACATCATCGGCATCTTGACGTCGGTGCTGACGCCGTACATGCTCAACCCCGGCGAGTGGAACTGGGGCAACTACGCGGGCTTCTTCTGGGCCGGGTCGTGCTTCCTCAGCGTCGTGTACACGTTCTTCCGGCTGCCGGAGCCCAACGGCCGCAGCTTTGCGGAGCTCGACATGCTGTTTGAGCAGCGCATCCCGGCGCGCAAGTTTGCTAGCACGCAGGTCGATGTGTTTGGCGAGAATGCGCTCGAGGGCACGCATGTGTTTGAGTCGTATGAAGAGAAGGTAGATGCTGTGCACAGGACCGAATCGGTTGTCGGAGCGTAAATGCTAATGTGGTCTCAGGTGGAGGCATGACTGTCATGAGGAGGATGTTATGAGCGATGTATATGATATGCACGAGGTCTGTCACGAACACGGCCATGATGAGTTTGAGCGTTCTGTATCACGCGATAGTCACGAGTTCAATGTAACTTTTTAATTGCAACTGTATGCACGTCTTGCTTGCATGAGATTTAAGTTGGTCGGATAATCGCCGAGAGAGAAGCGGCTGAAGAAGTGTGTGTATGTACGGTAATGTGTGTATGTACGGTAGTGCTGTCATAGCCCCACTTGCGGAGCGAGCCCTCGACGCGCCGACGTCAAGGGCCGGCCGCTGCAACAACAAACAAAGTCGAACGCCGACGAGTGCGCGCAAGCAGCCCCCCCATGGAGCGCCCCGCCCTGCCATGTCCTCCCGCAACCCCGCCACGATGAAGCCGCTGTCGACGGCCGACCGCCGCTCGGCCACTGCGAACTACACCAGCGCGCGACCCCGCGTTGCCTCGGGCTCTGGCGACGGCGACGCGGCCAGGCCCTCGCACCGCAGCACGCGCTCCGGCGCCACGGGGACGGCGGCGGAGCTGAGGGAGCGGCGCACCGAGAAGCGCGAGGTGCGCGAGCGCGAGACGGAGGTGCGGCGCACGCGCAGCCCGCAGAAGCAGTCGGCCGAGCCGCGCAGCGCCCGCAGTCGCGCAGAGAAGCCGGCGCGCGACGACCGCCCGTCCAAGGCGGCGGCGTCGAAGCAGCCCGACGAGCAGCCGCCGCCGTGGGACCCCCCGCGCCCGTCTGGTGCCGCACACGACGGCGCCGCTGGCCACGCGCATCTCCGTCCCCCCGCGCGCGTCGACGGCCCCGCCCGCGCTGCAGCCGCCGCCGCTCGCGCAGCTGTCGCTGGACGCGCAGGAGAAGGCAGTGATCGAGGACCTGCTGTTCGTGTTCATGGGCTTCGAGGGCCAGTACATCCGCTTCGCCGACGCCTACAACCCGCACGACGAGAAGGCCCGCCTGCTGGGCCCGCAGTTCCAGCTGCTGCCCGGCCTGGACCCCAGTCTGACCGACCTGGCCCGCGCCATGCTGCGCACCGCCACCCACTACATTGCCGTCGAGACGTGCGTCGAGGTGCTGAGCCGCGACCAGTACGGCGCCGTCAACCACGCCCTGTGCGCCGCCGTGCGCCGCCTGCTCAAGGACTACCTGACCCTGATCGCCCAGCTGGAGCACCAGTCGCTGACCAACGGCGCCTTCACCCTGCACGTCCTGAACCTGCACATGAAGCAGACGAGCCACATGCTCTTCCAGCTGTACACCACCGCCATCGAGCTGCTCAAGGCGAACGGCATCCTGGAGGACGACAAGGACGACGAGACCGACGACGACACCAACGACTTTGAGAACATCCTCGAGTCGCTGCGCGAGGGCGGCGCCACCGTCAAGAAGATGTGCAAGGGCGGCAGCGTGCTGGGCCTGATCACCAAGCGCCTGGCGTCCATGTCTGGCGATCCTGCCGCGAGGACCCTGCTCACAACACTGCTTCGAGAGGCGAGCAGACCGTACATGGCCATGCTCAACGAGTGGCTGCACCATGGCGGCATCAAGGATCCACACGCCGAGTTTCTGGTCAAGGAGCAGCGCAGCATCAAGCGCGAGCGATTGGATCAGGACTACACAGACGAGTACTGGGAGAAGAGGTACACCATCCGAGACGCACTAGTACCGCCACAGCTGGAGGCCGTCAAGGACAAGGTGCTGCTGGCCGGCAAGTACCTCAACGTTGTGCGCGAATGCGGCGGCGTCGACGTCAGCAAGCGCGTTGAGGACGCGCCGACAAGCTTCGACGACCCACGATTCCTCGACAATGTCAACTCTGCATATGCTTCCGCCAACTCTTCGCTTCTCAATCTCCTCCTCACCACACATCAACTGCCTGCGCGACTACGCTCGCTCAAGCACTACTTCTTCCTCGACCGCTCCGACTTCTTCACCTACTTCCTCGAGATGGGCGAGCTGGAGCTCAAGAAGCCAGCAAAGCACGTCAATGTTGGCAAGCTGCAGTCGCTGCTCGACCTTGCCACTCGACACGCCGGTTCGGTGGCCGTAGAGGACCCCTACAAAGAGGACATCAAGGTCCAGATCAACGACGTCGGCCTGACAAACTGGCTGATGAAGATTGTCAACGTGCAAGGCCTCGACCAGGAAGCCGCGACGTCAATATCAAACTACACCCCCGCGAACACCGACAACATCACAAACGACAAGGACATTACGGGATACCAAGCGCTGGTATTCGACTACAACATGCCCTTCCCGCTGTCGCTCGTCGTCAGCCGCGTGACCCTCACCCGCTACCAGCTGCTCTTCCGCTTCCTGCTCAGCCTGAAGCACCTCGAAACCGACCTGGCCAAGTGCTGGGGCGAGCAAGGCAAGAACTCGATGTGGAAGCACCGCTCCAAGAACCCGCGCATCGAGCAGTGGAAGCGCCGCGCCTGGACGCTGCGCGCCCGCATGATGGTCTTTGTGCAGCAGCTCACCTACTACTGCACCGCCGAGGTCATCGAGCCCAACTGGGTGTCTCTCATGTCGCGCTTGCGCGAAGAGGGCAAGGCGAGCAAGGCCCCCGGTGCCGGCGAGGGCGTCAAGCGCACCGTCGACGAGCTGATGCAAGACCACGTCGACTTCCTCGCGACGTGTCTGAAGGAGTGCATGCTGACCAACAGCAAGCTGCTCAAGGTGCGCCCCCCACATATCCCCCACACGCACCCCTTGACCACTTCCAACTAACCCCCCCCCCCCCCCCGCAGATCAACAACAAAATAATGTCCACCTGCAACATGTTCGCCACCTTCACCTACTCGCTCTCGCGCTACCTGATCACCAGCGACCCGCACCTCGTCGCCTCGGTCAACGCCACCCTGTCCCCCTCCCCGGGCGACGCCACCTCCTCCCGCCACGCCCACGCCGTCTTCGACCCCCACCGCCTCGACAAGATGTTCGACATGCTGACCAAGTACGAGGACAGCTTTACGCGCCATCTGAAGATTCTGCTGGATACGCTGAATTATCTGGCGGCCACGGAGACGGTGGTTTTTCTGCAGCTGTGTGCTAGGTTGGCGAGTGCGGGGGAGGGGTTGGGTGGGCTGGGCGGGCTGGTGGGGGTTGGTGTGTAGTGAGAATCCAGGGAGGTGGAAGTCAAGGGGGCAGACGTCAGATGTCAGATGTTAGATTTTGGATGTTGGAATCGACTAGCGAACGGCGAACGGCGTTTATGCACTCAAAAGGAAAGAGTGTTCAGGCACAGCGTCAATCTGTTTTGTTTTCTGGCTCTGGCGCCCGAAATCAGTCTCATGGAGTCGCCGTTGCGAGGCTGTTGAGTCGCTCGAAGCGCGTTATCAATGCGATATGCAAGTTCCTGCAGGCGAAAACGTGTCGACTCGCGCACTCACTCCTCCTCGTTCATCAGTAATCCCTTCTGCGTGTTCATGTCCACGCACACCCATACCCATCACCCCGCTCAAAGCCTCTAGCTGCCGCGCTCCCCGGTAGTTCTCCGCTCCTGGCACGCGTAGTAGCACACGCCCGCCGCCTCACTGCTACAACACTGCTATACCGCCGCCGTACGCTGATCTATCTCCAACGCTGACGCAAGCGAGTAGGTCCGTGACACCAGCAATTATAATCTAGGCACGAAGTCGACTTTGCAGGCTTGGAGTCGCAGTGGACGGGTCCGTTTCCCAGAGCCTCTGGTTTCAGGTTCTGCGGCGGGGGTGCAGGGGGTTGCGTTGGTAAAGTGCGGGTTGGAAGCGGAGTGAGTGGAGACGATAAACGTTGATGGTGGGCGTTCGTGTTGAGAGTTCATGGTTCTGGGTGCGTGGTATGGAGAGCAGATGGAGGTAGGTCGTGATGCGTACTCGCGGCGCTGGGGATCAGGGGGCGCAGGCGCAAAACGGAGGCGCGGCGACGCGTGGACTCATTAGACTGGCGGGTTTCTGGGTCCTGTCACGTTCTTTTGGGCTGCGTGAAGGACGCTCTGGTGCGCTGGGGTTGGCGGGTGGAGTGGCTCATCTGCCTCGCTGGGTTTTGCCAAAGGGCGAGTCCTCGCTGGTTCAGACTCGGCGGCTGCTAAAGCTGTCTTTGTGTGGCAGCCCTACTTACCGCTTGCTCACGGTGATCCCTCATGCAAAAGGGGAGGAGATCAACCTATTCGGGAGAGGAAATTGTGCTGCTTAGTCTATGTCTATGTGGTCTTCTCTGAAAGTTTTCATTAACGAGGGTATAAAGCACGAGACCCATCGAAATACCGCGCATCACGAGGGAACGAAGACAGCTCACAATCAGATTCTAACAGGCGATGACTACAAGATTCCAATACCCACAGGCAGATTCTGACAGACTACCCGCCCGTGGCTTTGTGTTCAATAGGTAGGCAGGCTAGGCACTACTGCTATCAACTGCCTTCTGTATACCCAGCGGTTGGAGGCGCACGGAAACTTGGTCTGCTAGATAGGGATGTAGTCTACGAGGCGATTCCATATTGCCTGCTCCATGGAGAATGAAGGTTTGTGAGGAGTATGCTGGCGAGGCGAATGCTCGTGTCTTGCTTCCAGCCTCGTTCCTTCTTCTGGGACGTGTACATACGCGGGTCCCGGTGTATGTAGCTGACTGGTTGTCTAGGGCGGCTCTAAGAGGCGTGCTGTTTTTTTCTGGCTAATCGTGGTGCAACCGCCGATCCCGTAGTATGTTACACATGTAGCTGCGCGGCTGAGTACAATTGGTTGGCGTACTGTAACCTCAGCCTGGTTCTGCCCCTCTATCGGTTGTGGAACTTTATCTTTGCGTAGTACAGCAGGCTTGTGGGAAGCACACTAAACTCTCATGCGATAAGTAGCGAGGCACAGCACTTTTATTTCTGTCAGGCCAGCAAGGCTGAGCATGTAGAGGGCATGTATACACGTTGATCACAGCAGCGTCAAGGTGGACTGCTGATTGGCTCAGTGTAGAGCGGGCGTCAGCATTCCAGTTGGAAATAGAAACATCTACTGCCATGACATATGTTTTGGCCTGTTGGCCTTGCCAGAAATAAAGGTGCTGTCAAGTTTTCCGTTTTTGCGATAAATCTCCCGAGCAGCGCCGTCGCATGCAATTTTGCTCAACCGCTATCGATGATTCCAGCTGTAAGGAATTCCTATCTAGTTTGATGTTGAATACTGACGTGTTTAGGCTTCAAGCTAGATGCTCGCCACAAATAATGCCAAAAGGAAGCCACCGTCGGCGTTCGGGCCGCCAGTACCGTATCTGGGGCCCTTGGAAATATGAGATAGCCTCAGTACTTCTCTCCGTGGGACTCAACATCGCCATTGCTGTGTTGTTGGCTCAGTTCGATACTCAGACCGTGCCCGACTGGGGTCAATACTTGAACCTCAACGCGCTGCTTGCTCTCCTGTCTACTTTCCTACGAGCAACTTTGGTGATCATCATCTCGCAGGTTGTATCGCAGAGGAAGTGGATGTGGTTCTCCGATCAAAAGCGTCCATTAGCCGATCTCGAGATATTCGATGCTGGTAGCCGTGGCACTCTGGGAGCAATGAGTCTTATCTTCAAAGTTCTTTGGAGAGACCCCGTTACTGTTATCGCTGGAAGTACTGTTGCAGTCTCTTTCCTGGTCGGACCTTTCGTACAGCAGGCCAGTCGCACGCAGGACTGTTTATTCCCAGCTCTGGAGTTGAACGCTTCCATACCGTACGCTCATAACGTTCCTAGACGCAAGGGCTTCTTTGAATGTGACTTTAGCTCTGGCGAATGTTACGGCGGTGCATTGGATACGTTTGTGTCGCCTGACCTCTATGCAGCCATCATATCTGCTGTGTCGTTACCTTATGGAATGGAGAATCAGATACACGCCGACTGCGCTACAGGCAACTGTACCTTCACACATAACAACGTTTCTTTCATTTCGACACAGATGAGACAGCAGGATCTCAACGAAGACAGCACGCACTCTACCGTGGGAGTGTGTAACAAGTGCACAGACGTCACATCTCTCTTGCAGATGCGCAATATCACGGACTTCACGGTTGAGCATGTCGAGTATTCTCTCCCTACCAGCCCGTGGAGGCTTAATGTAACACCACAGTATGAGGTCGACAGATTCAGAAGTTGGGGTGCACCTGTCACCATCAATTCGTCACGAACCCTTGACTGGATGGGTGACTTACTGAACACTGAAGCGAAAGCTGCCGCGAGATCGGCCTACGTCAACGTCACAGTTCTTGCAACCGACATCCAAGATCGTCCTGCAACTGCTTTAGTCTGCAGTCTATATCCATGTGTACGCACCTACGCCACTTCCGTCACCAAGAGCACCTTTTCCGAGAAATTGGTAGAAATGGAAGTGATGCAATTGGATGTGACGCCATCTCTCACGCGCTCCTCCGACTCGAGTCTAGATCTATGGAACTGGGCGCAAGAAGCTTCTACTCTCGATCGCATGCCGGGGACACCAGACTTCGTAGTCGTAAAATCTCCATGTCAATATCAAGGACACACATTCAGCATCTCCGATGAGCAGTAACGCCGCACTGATCATGATTATATCACGCTCAACCTGCTGGATTTTTCCAAGGACGAATTTCAGGACATGATTCGCAACATCACAGCCCCTAATGCTTGTGTTTACCGTCAAAAGAGATCTTTCGCCAATGCGATTGCTAGTTTACTCATCGAGAACATCTTCACCGGTACATGCACAACACAAAAGAAGTATCGACAATGTGGCAAGGTGATATCAGATCGTAGGACTGATCCGATGGCAGTAACGGGTTGGTTCAGAATACGTACTGAACTCACTTTACAATGACGGTAATACGACGATTCCGCTCATGAACAGCTGGTTTGAGGCATTTGCCACTGCTATGACGAACAGATTCCGGACTGAGTACGGAAGTGCTCACTGGGATAAGAAAAGCTGGGAGATTCAGACTTTGCCTCTGGATACTACCCAAGGAATTGCGTGGAGGGATTCAGTTTGCGTCGCTATGCATTGGCGATGGCTACTCCTGCCCTGGGTGCTAACACTTGTGGCAACTGGCCTCCTAGCGTGGACTCTCCTGTCGGATTGGCAAGAGCGGCATGATCGGCCAGTGTGGAAGGAGAGCATTCTACCGCTCATCCTTTACGGTAGCAGAATTCTGGGGAAAGAACACGAAAGCTCGCCGCCAGACATTCATCAGCAAAATGCGGTAGACGTTGCGGATGAATCCGGCGAGAAAGACGAACGACTTATGGAAATTGATGAAATGACAAACGTCAGTAAGGAGATCGCAGTAAGAATGCAGTGGGCAGATAACTTGGAGACTGAGATTGAGGAAAGTCTCGACGGCTCGACTTCTGTTCTGGAGCAGGATCGATTGTCATTGCGGTCGAGACGTAGCCACGTGATGCAGCAGACAACACCTCAACCGTCAGCAGATTTGGGCGAGTATAGAAGCGTTTCTGACATGGATGATGCGTCAACTGTCGGCTCGGGAAATAGTCGAGTCGAATCGCTTACAACGCTTCAACACAGCCCGAACAGGTAGACAGATGGTGACGCCCGTTATTCCCTGGTGGCAGTCATTGCGGGCTATCGTTCTACGTCTCTTCATCTTCGACGATGCGGACGTCTTCCTCGCGTTATCAAGCGTCTGGAATGCAATTGCCGATGGTTTAATGTAGGGTGCTGTAGTGTATGCGCATCAATATACATACTCTCGCCGTCTAGCACCTTCAAACTCATTGTCATGCTCAAAGAGCTATTATGACAAAGATTTGGGCAGTCACAACTCACGAACCTAGCAGGCAGGCGCCAGACAATAAGTATAAGCAGAAAGCTTTTTCTTGTAGTTTCAAGCTTTAGAATGTTGTATTATGCCTCCCTTCTAGGTTCGTAATTTGTGAGTACTTAAGTCCTGTTGCAATGGCTCTTTGAGTGTAGGACAATCCGTTCTGTAACGCCTTTGCGGACGGCGTCGATGCACTGGGCTGGTGTTGGAGAACATCAAGCCTCAATATGTGTGTGGCGTTCATGGATCAGACCTCAGGCAGCTCAGATACTTTGGAGTATAAGACTCAATGAAAGTTCCCTACCAGCCAGATTCTACCCTGATAGCTTCACAACGCAGCATGTACACACTCGAACAGTCGAGCCAGTAGGAAATATAGGGCGAAAAATACCAGTAGCAGGACAATTGGACCCAATTTATTCCTCTCATCAATCACCGGAAGAGTCGAAGCGCGTGGAATGACCTCTAGCCTGTACTCAACTGCGATTCTCTTTGCTTCCTCCTTGTTGCCAATCATCTCGCACGCTTCTCGCAATATATGTGCGCACACGCGCACGTGACCGTCGAAAACCAAGCCTTCAGGGCGTCCGTATCGTGCTTTACTGTCCTCGAGTGCGCAATGTAGTACATTGAAGGCTTGTGCGTTGACTTCGTCGGTGTTCTCGGCATGGAGCTTTAGTCGTGCAAAAGCCAGGCTGCATTTGAGACCCCACATTCTCAACTCGCTGACTCCTGATCGTCCTGACAACGGTGAGCTAGTGAGCTCTGTGTAAATGTGAATACCCCTTTTGATAGAGATAGTGTCGTCCATTCTGCACAGAACATCAGCCAGGTCTTCGTCTTGCTTCGATAGCCATTCGTATTCGTTTGGAAGTTGCTGTTCCGTTACCGTCCTCGCAGTGAAGAGTAAATCTCTTGCGGTGCAAAGAGCCTGCGTTTTCTCTTTTGGTACTTCGGTTCGTTTCGCTATGGCGACATGATAACGAGCCTTTGCAATGGACTTGGCGATGGCGAGCTTTATCTCAATCGTCTGGGTTGGGAAGTGACGATCGTGGGGGCACATCCATGGCACGGCCCAGTCACAAAGTCCTTGCGTGCAGTTTCGAGATACAATGGGTTTCCCAAGCCTTGCAGTCATGTTGACTTCTCGCAGTCTTTCGATGACTGCTCGAGCTTGTTCCGGCTGTCCGCACTTGCTATGCCAGTTGGCCAAATCCAGTAGGCACCACCATTCTTGCTCATGATTACGTGTTTGCTGCGTTATGGACAATCGATATAAGCGCTCGAGTGCTTCAGCCCCGTCGGAGTGAAGTTTTGGGTCTCGACTTGCAAGCGGGGGGGACGTATAGGCTTTGCAGAGGTAACGTATCAGCTGTGGCCGCCACTCGGATCCCTTGTATACCGTTTTCAAGCATTCGAGTACGCATGCTGCATCCTCGTAGCGACCATCCTCCAGGTACACTTGCGAGAACGTGATGACCGAGCGAGCCATGTTGTAAGAGCACGATAGCTCAGGAGCTTGTAAGCCAATCTGGTTGAAGTATTCCTTGGAAAAGTCCAGAAAGTATTCGAAGTGTTGCAATAAGGGTAGCTTTTGAAAGTACGATGAAGTTCCGACTCCAAAGGTCTCGGCTGATTGCAGCTTGTTGTCGTTGTACTCGTGAAGGATCATGCAAAGAGCGTTGTCTTGGAGTTTCAACAACGCACGAAGACCAAAGTGAGTGAAAGTCCATTGGCGCATCAGTGACTGGATGGTTTTGTGTACTCTGAATGTCTCAGGAGCTGTTCCGGCCACAAGGAAGGAGCAATTCTTTAGCCGTCCGACAAGTTCACGAAGAACGAACTCCTTTGCATACTTTTGTCGTAGGAGTGCGAGATTAATGTTGTCCTTGTCGAGAAACGAGACTTCTCCCAGGAGTTTCAATGCTCCGCTGCTCCAACGACGGGACTCTTTCGAGGTCGGTCCTCCAGACATACCGCGATCAGACAATGGTGCGAAAAAAGAGTTGTTGCGCGTCAGATTGGTGAATACTTTCTCAGGAAGGGCGAGATTCCTACGCGGGGCATCCAAAACGCTGGGAAGCTCATGTGCGGACATGTTGAACTCAGAGAAGTACTTGACTAGGAATCGAACACAAGCTGGTGATGGAAGAGCATCGAGAAGCTCGTCGATTGTGTTCGAATCGTGTACAGGCCAATTGCCGCTGAGCATGTTGAACATTGTGCGCAGATCGCTCGTCGGTAATTGTTCTATGTGGAAACAACATCTCATCATGCCCACCATGCCTTGCGGGAACAGACTGTCTAGATCCGTAAGTACGGCTCTGTCTCTCGTGGTGATGAGTATCTGTCCGCTGAACTTGGGTATGAACTGGACCAGATCCTGAGCGAAATTGTTGTTGTTAAGGTCATCTATTACGACCATCCACGGCCCACTTTCTGCATTGCATAACCAGGTCTGCACGTTCTTGTAGATATCTTCTTGGCTGGATGCGACTAGCCCTATCGCTCGTGCAATGTTGCGTATCGAGTCCTCAAATCGAGCTTTGGTGGCAGCATCAACCCAGAATGTATGCTTCCTGTCTGATTCGAATCGCGGATTCCGAAGCCTCGCGGCATAGTGGTAGGCTAAATGTGATTTACTACCGCACCGCGTTAGCATCGAACGTAGCTTGAAATCTTCAACGTACCCTATTCCGCCCAGTCCCCAGAGTCCAATGCAGTTGGAGGTACCAAACCCTGCATCGATCTGAGCATCGGTCTCAAGGCGCCCATAGAATGGACTCTTCTCAAAGATCTCAGCGCTTGAGCATTTTTCCAAGGTAGATAAGTACGTCCCTGTGTTGACCCGCTTCACGGCTAGTTGTTGTGTCGCTTGAGGCCGGCCATCAGACCATCCATGTTCCTCAAGAATGTCCAGTTGCCAATCTTTCCCCAATTCTCGGGCACGCGTCTGGGGATTGTGAGTATCACTGGAGCCATTCCTATTTTCCTTGGGACGCTGCACGACATTGCGGCGAAAGTAGTCGCGCAACTCTTGCCGCGTCAAGCCGGGGTTTGCTTGCTGATATAGGTCCATGTGAACCTCCCAGACGAAAATCCTCTGTGCTTTCGAGACTAGCATTTCGGATACTAAATGGAGGACCTTTCGAAAATCGGCGTCCACGTTACTTCCAGATTCGATTTGGTCCATCCAGTCTTTGATGACTTGCTGGTTCCCTTTGAACGGGGCATGGTCTGATTGGGAGGAACTAGACCTATCAGCGTTTGCCAGCGAGGAGGCTGCTTGGCGCCGACGTTCCCTAAATTCATGGATGCCTTCGTCTGCCCATCCAAACTTCCACACAGTTGCTAACTCTAGGATTATGCATCCAAGTGACCAGACATCGAAGGGTCGTCCGTGACTTTCCGTGCCGTTCTCGATGTACTCAGGCGGCTGATAGTCGGGGGTGCCGAACCGGTTGTTTGGGCCTTGCGCAGTGCTGCTCTCGGTGTAATACTTCAGGCGTGCCATACCAAAGTCGCAGATCTTCCATGTACCCGGGTGACTGTCAAAGAACAGAATATTACCTGGCTTAAGGTCATGGTGGAAAGCCACCTCCCCATGCTCGTCAGTCCTGTGTATGACCATCACGGCTTCTGTAATATCTCCGATGCTCTTCATCACAAATTTTTGCCTCTCCAACTCATTCTCCAGGGTTGGAGGTGCAGATTTCCTCTCAAACCATCCTTCCATCGTCGAATTCCCATATTGAAAGAACATGTGAAGACATTCAACAGGTTCGTCTCGAGCCCAGGGTCGCTCGCGTCCAGCAAAGAAGCTTGTGTGAAATTTGACGATGTTCCAGTGAGTGCGTGATTTGATCGTCTCGACTTCTTTTCTTGCTGCTGCGCGGGTTGTTCGGTCCAATCTTGCTTCTTTCCATGCCACAAAACTACCCTGCTCTTCCATTAGCCACATAAAATTAGAAATGGAAATGGAGTCATGTGTTCAGACGGACCTCCTCGTAACTGTGATCTTCCTCCAGTTTCAAATGTCCAGGGGCGATCTTGACTTTATACACTTCGCCATACCCCCCTTCTCCAATCGTCACGGGGTCCTCTGCGAAGGGAAATCGGAAGTGTCCGACCGGGAAAATTTCGCAAGCATTCGATCGTAGGACCGGAGGGACGTACCATTGCTTTTCGTAGATCTCTTCTGCATACTCACTCAGATATTTGACAGAGCGAAGGTAGTCCTTGGTACAGTATGGAAGATCTTCTCGATGAGTCCTATGGCCTTCCCAGATACTGTCTGTGACCGGAGTTTCTCCATAGAGTAACGGGATGATGAGTTGTGGCTGGTCAATCAGCTGCAGTATCGTGTAAAGTTTAGGGGTTCGCGATCGCACGTCTTCCTCAAGCTGCTCAAGCGTGAAATTGGGAAAACGATTTTCATCGCCCATGTTTCTCACTGCCTCCCAGTCCTTCTCCAGGCTTTTCTTCAATTTTGAAGGCTTGGACAAGCTGAAAAGCCTGGTGATGAACCCCATGGATATGAACTTTGCGTCACGCTTAGTATTTCCATAACCTGATCGGTCCAGCTCTTGCTTTAGTTCCCACTTGAGATCAGTTAAAGGCGCAGCACCCCCAGGATGAGTCCGTCTCTTCCTCTTCGGCATGGTCGATATGTACTGTTATCGTGGGTGTGTAACAGGGCTATAGAGGATCGCGTGAATTGGCTCGATACGATACAGTTGCGCCAGGTCAACGGAATACCTGGAACATGGATCTTGTCTTCCGTCAGTCGGTAGAAAACCGGAATTGCGGTCGCTTCCTTGCGATGGACTTAATGCTCCAGCAGCGTTGTCTCAGCCTCGCCAGTGTGGATGCCTCAGCCTTGTGAGCAGCCCTCCTGCGGCCAGGAGGTTGTCAGCAAATTAATGGTGCGTCAGCCACCTTCGCCGTGATTGGGTGAAAGATCCAATCCTACTCTTTCCGCAACTATTTGCCCCAGAATACCTGCAGGCAGTGGTTGGGGCCTCCCACGTGCCTCGTATGACATGCAGCGCCCTTTGAGAGCCCGAACGCCGACCGGAGTCCTGATCAGAATGCACAGCTCTCCAGCCCAAGGCTGAGAGATTCTTGCGCATTCTTGTAATGTGGCCAAAAGAAGCCAAGTAACCCCAGTTGCAGGATTGATCCCGCAGTAGAGGACACAGCTTTTTCTTCAAAATCTAATTGGGTGAACTTGATGTGGGGCGTCGACGGTTGTGCTGTCTTTGAAATCGATACGATTATGATGTTGGTTGGCTATGTCAAACCTGAAGGACAATATATGGAAGCTTGGGTATATAACAAAAAATGCAGGCAATTGCCCGCCAACTAGATGCCAGAGAGGGCAGATCGAACGGGACATTAGATGCATTAAGGATGGAGAGCACTGTCCGTATTGGAAGTACTGAAGCATATCCACCAATGTCGCGAAGCTCAGCGGGCATTCCATCCTGTTCCACATGAGCTAAAAGTGCAATGTTCAGATTGAAAGTTAACGTACGTGGACTGGGCAAGGAGGTCTGGAACTCATGCTCAGATAGACGACCCGTTATTGAACGCGCGAGATATCGCTCTCCTTCGCTGTCATCTACATCGGAGACTGTCTCATCAACTCTTGAATCCGCATCGCTGCCAGCTGCCGTGCTTCCGCTTCCTGATCGCTGTTGGCTATTGGCAAGCTGAGAATGCGTCGCAGTGGTTGATGGAAATCTAGCAGGACCATCGGGGAATGGACGCGGTACAATGCGAGGTTCAACATGCTGATGGCTGTGAGATGTATCTGTCAGGAACTGGTACATGACATCAGTCGTCGGGAGGAGACCCACCTTTGCGCGCTGGATCGAACTCCGGTAAGTAGGACCGAGTCGAGTCCAGACGGCAAAGTAGCTTGAATGCCCGAGGCCGCCACCACACATGCTACTGATGGTGATTTCCCAGCCGTGATGTGCTGTGCTCTATGACTCGTCACAGCCTTGATCGTCTGCCACATGGACTTCGCTTCGACAGGGTCGTCGCAGGGTTCGCGCGATGGCTCGCCAGTGCGATCAGGTGCTGAGACCATCTCACAAGAGCAGGCGGAAACTCAATGTTCCAGGTTGGTTTGCACAGGCACAAAGCCTGCTGCTGCTGGAAGCGTTGGAAGGCAGGCGGAGTTAATCAATGCGGCCACCGCGGATGCGACGGCAGGGCGACGTCTTGGCAGAGAGTCCTCCACCTGATCAGAGCCTCATCTCAACACACCATTATCATTCTACCAAGTCGTTTGCATGTGATCACCAATGGTGAGCTGTAGTCTCTGTATGAAGCGCATTACATCAGCACGCCTAGCCTGCATGCGACTTGGGAGTCAAAGGGAGACAAGGCTGAGTGCTGCCACTGGAATTCACAGCTGAGTGGTGTAAGGACGTCGAAGAGACAGGAACATGACCTTTGATTCCTACATGCGAGCTCGGGGTTGTTTGGACTTATGGTCGCACTCGCATATCGTCTTTGTTCACGGAGGTTTGGCGACGCTCTCCGTCATCCAGCGTGACTTCGACTTTCCAATTCTGACCACTCGAAAGGTCGTTCTTTTTGACCTTCCCCTTCCACCATCGTCCTGCGGGTTTTGTCAAATCCCCTCATTGTGCGATCTCTCGAGAGCTTACCGCCATCTAGAACCCACACACTGTCGCCAGTACGATACTTTCCTTCCTTCTGGTATGCATCGGTAGGCGTCTTCGGTCGTGCCATTTTGCTGCTATACTCTCTTAACAAACTCGCCTGGCTGTATTCTTCAATCCAGTTCAAAATGTAAGGCAGGTTGTGACACAGTCTGACGTCGGAAGGCAAGACAGCCCAAAAAGCTGAGGCAAAATCGCGTGGTAGATTCGAGGCAGCCAGGAGAAACAGGCTGAGTGATTATCAAGCTCGGCTGTGCCTTATATCTCTGGCAACTGCAGGGTCAGACGATGCCTTGCACGTAGCTGACTCTGATAGGTCGCACTGCCGCTTCGTCACAAGGCTGAGCAGGGTGTACAGATCCTGCTGAGGACGCGACCCCAAATTTCGCCACTCCTTTACAAGCTCTTCCGTAAATCTCACGCTACCTCTGCGAAAGGGTGCGCTGAGACAAGAAAAGCCAGCTTTTGCGGCGTCCCACGCAATGGAGCCCGTTTCTTCTGTAGCCAGCATTCTGACTTTGCTTGCAGCGGCTGGTTCCACGTGCGACTTTGTCTATAATTTCATGCTGAACATTCGAGAGGTCCCGGAAGAGATTCACTCGCAAGCTATCAAGTTGCGATGTTTGCATCAGTCCATCGCTGCACTTTTGGCTATATATTCGCACAGAGCCATCAGCCCTGATTTGCAGCTGGGACACATCTTCGAAAACAGTTTTCGCGAATTTCTTTTAGAGGTGAAGGATTTGGAGAACAGGATACAGAAGAGCAGCACACTGGTGAAAAGCAGCCGTACCCAGCGTGTGTGGGAACGGCTGACATGGCTTTCGTCAGATCGACAACTTCGCAAGTTCTACAACTCGCTAGATGATTGGGTCCGCATCTTCTCTATGGAAGTGCAGACAACCCAAATGTCAGTAACTGCCCTTATACCCATGGAGAAAGTTTCTGATCGTTTCAGGAAGTTGCAGATCAATGTTCTGGAAATCAGCATACAGAACGCTGTCTCGCCACCTACTCCATACCCGCAGCAACAGCTTTTACCTATTACACAGAGACCCGTCGACAACATCAGGATGAACATCGATACTCAACCTAACACAGCCGTAAACAGCAGTAACGTCTCTATCAATGGCAGGGCAGCACTCTCCAAGAGTCTGATTGCTCATCTGAGTCAACTATCAGAACCCATCGGTCTTCGGATCCGATCTTGGGTCATGCTCAATCTCAAGCTCTGCTCAGCAGACATCCGCATTGGACCTGCTGTAATCAGAACTTGGTCTGGCCAAGGCAAAGCGGTCCTTGAAAGCGCTTCTTGGCGCAAGGGCTTTTATGCGGTCTCCACGATCCAGACGAAGCATCTTGGTAAGAGGCGGGTCTGCTTCACATTCTCGTGCTTTTTCAAAGGATCTGCTCTTTGTCTAAACTCCAAGATCGACATGCATGGGATGCTATGGCCGACGCATCCAGCGTATATAGCGTGCGAGCAAGGAAACTGGAATGCGCTTCGTAAGTTACTCGAATTCAAGCGCGTGAGCCTGCGGGATACATCAGGACTTGGCGATACGCTCCTACATGTAAGTCCTTTGCTCTCGTATTTGAGTGATACGCTAATCTAATTCTAGATTGCTGCGCGGTGTAATCATGTCGAAGTCTTGGAAGGACTTCTGGCTGAAGGTAGCGCAGTGGACGCAGAAAACGATTTTGGCGAGTAAGAAACAGTCACAATACTTGACATCGATGACTTCATCTTACACTACAACAGAACCCCCTTACAAATGGCCGTGAGAGAAGACTGCGGGTACACTATCATAAGTACCCTACTAGAGCATGGCGCTTATCTTGCACATCAAGACAGTACGGGGCGGACTGCACTGCATACCTTCTTCAACGCCACTGTCAGGTCAGTCATCGAGTACCACTACGCCGACGCCGACATTGTCGCCAAAGACTTTCGTGGGATGACTATGGCGCATTACGTCTCTTCAAGCAAGAGTGCCTCATGTGCAGACCTCGATCGTTGCCTCGCTAATGGCTCGCATCTCAATAATTTTGATGATGAAGGCCGTACAATCCTTCATCTCGCGAGTAGAAGAGGCAACATCGGTATCATGTCTCGATTACTGCAAGAAGGCGGTTCGGACCTGTTAGGCGCCGATTACAAAGGGAGGACTGCGCTACACTTCGCAACCGAGAGTGGCCGCAGTTCACGGGCAATACATATGCTCGTGGGCGCTGGACTTGATGTCAACGCGGTCGATCATCGGTCAAGAACTGCACTGCACTATGCTGTCTGTGCAGACAACGTCGCGGCTGTGGAGACGTTGCTAAGCCTAGGAGTGACGGCGAATTTGAATGCAAAGGATATTCATGGCTGGACAGCAATGGATCTAGCCAAAAGGTGCCAACATACTACGGTCATCAATGCCATGATCTCCCGAGGGATACCTTCGTCTACCACGGAATGCGAAGCGCGGCTGACTACAGATCACGACGAGATGGATAGGCCAGGATCGAGGGTTGTGATAAAAAAACACTGGGTGGTGTGCCGTTATCACCAGAGCATAATTTTCGTCTGCTCTTTCATGCTGCTGTATTATCTTGTACTGGTACGGGGGTGTCTTTTCTTGAATCACCGATAACTCATCGCAACTCATAGGCTCTTGAACAACAGTCCAAAAGCCCTATCTACTTCGTTCGTCAGTAGCGACAAGAATTGACAATTAGTAAATCTCGCGACAACATTGTTCATGGCAAATCTACCACATTTCTCGACACCCCAATAGTTCATTGTTGTAATACCTCGTCAATATATAGTCTGCAAATTCACCAGTCTCTGCTATACCTATGCGTGCAAGCTCGAAACCATCAATCCGCGTACATGATCCGTGCGGCACTGCCTCTGTTCAGCATACGCCTCAAAACTATACATTTCATGGGTCTCCGCTTGATCTTACAGTAAGAAAGATTCATGTCTTGTCTGCCGCCTTCTAAGGTTCTATCTCCAACTGTCTGACTCGCAAACAGTCTCTAAACATTGAACACAGGCCTATGCTTGAGATTGAATACCTCCATGCTCATGGGTATTCTGCCTCTTCTCTCCAGCATTCGAAAGCCAAATCGTTCCTGGGCCTGAGCTCCAAAAGTTCGGGAATCATTTCATGCCCTGGGACTGTTTTCCCATGCACTCCTACGCACCAGCTCAAAAGGGGTATATGAAGACTTCGTCGACACATACATATCTTCTGCACCTCTTTCAGCCTACAACTCAACATTGAATACATTACAAGCGTCGACTTAAAGTGATCGAGATTTCACTCTATGTTCTGTCTGCTCGCTCGTTCCCTCTTTCGAAGCACTTAAAACCTGAAAAGATATCTCATGTACTCTTGCGCATCGGCTTGAATACCACCTGAAGGCGATTGATGCCCTCTCCGCTGCCTCCTCTCCAGCATGCATCTCGAAATAAACACCATATGCGAAGTCTTGAAACCGTTGAGGCCACGTCATATGTCTTGTCCGCCTGCTCCAAGGGCCAAAGGCGCCGGATTAAAAACGCCTCCCAATGTACTCAGACGCACCAGTGTAAAAGCCTACAATCCCTTAATTCTACAACCTGTCTGCATCCCGCCTCGATACACAAGACTCGAAAACTGGCCGAACTCCTCTTGATGCGCTGTCCGAAGTGGAGACCTGCCCACTCCCAGACCGCGTTCTGCATAAATCACAAAAGCCATGAGGAGCTTGCTATGCCGTGTGGCGTGAAACACCAATCATTCTCAACGAATGAACTGTCTTTCTCTTGTCTGTCTGCCCACCCCACCTCTCTGCCCGCGACGATCCGACGAAGAAGACCTGTGTGCACCGCGCACTTCATCAGGCCTCGCATCCATGCACTCCACTTCCTACAGTTGTATAAAGGCCCAGCGAGCAGCCATGCGGCTTGCGTAATCCAAAGGTGGATAACGACGAATAATGTGCGGACTGCGTCGAAAGTCTTTCAACCTCAGACTGATTTCCCAAAGACTGAAGAGGTCGTTTGAATGTGCGCGGCACGCCCGAAAATCATGTCAATAGACTATTCATGCGTCTTCTCTCCTTATGTACCTGTTCGAGAAATTGCATGTGCAGACTGCTCTGAAAATCAGATAGTTGCAGAAACATGTCCGGAAAGCAGGGTTAGAGCAAACGATGTGCGCGGCGCTCTGAGCAGCGCTCCTGTGAGCTCTTATGTGTTGCCTGTTCTCAGCACACCACCAGAAAGATATATGAGTGTTCTGATCTGAAATACTTGACAGGTTCTGGCTTGATGTTCTGAAAGTACGGTGTGTGACCGGAATGTGCGTGGTATGCCAGAAAGTGGATCCACTAATATGCATGTGGTGTTTGTTCTCGAAACTGCAGACTGCCGTTAACATGGGTGGACTGCTCCAAAGATTCCAAAGTCAAGTCGGATGTCTCGAAAGCTAGGGCTCTGTTTCGGATGTCGGCGGCGCTCTCATAAAACCCATTACCACTACCCAGGTGTTGCCTGTTCTCGAAAGCCAAACGACTGGTGTGCATGAGCGGACTGTCCAGAAACAAACGCACTTGAACCTGATGTCGGGGGCGCTGAGTTGGAACTGTAGATGCGCGCGGCGCTCTGAGAAGGTGTCTCTTGGTGCCTATGTGTTGCCTGGTCTCGAAAAGCTGATCAAAACGTTTGATGGGCGGACTGCTCTGAAATAGACAAATTCATTCCGCATCGTGCTCGGAAAGCTGGGCGCGTGCGCTAGAGGTGCGCAGTCCTCTGAAATCTACGATCAACAACGCTCGTGTGTTGCCTGTTCTTGAAATTCGCATCCCTACAATTCATGGGTGGACTGTTCCGAAGGTTTTTCCAATTCGAGTCTGATGCTCTGAAATACAAAACTCGGCCATTAATGGGCGCAGTTTGTAATCCTGGTCATTTAGATGTGTGGTCGTCTGTCTGGCCGCGCTATTTGAGTGACCTGTTTGTGCGTGGCTTGCGTACACACAACCTACCTGCCTCCTCGTATATGCTGCTCGGTCTGTTGTTCTCTCTGTCTCTCCCTGTCTCACTTCGCCCCGCTTGAGGTTAGGAAACGTTAAAGTGTTGAAGTGTGACGCGTTGAGATCTGGAAACGTCAACTTTCAGACGGCATGGCTGTCTGTCCCATCCCCTGTTTGAACTGATACTAAAAGGAGCTGTAGAGAATGCATGGGGATACTTGTTGACGTGTTCTTGTGCATGTGGAAGCGAGGAGCCTTGCATTTAGTGTAGGTAGTTCTGTCGCCTTTATCCTATCCGTACGCTTGAGTACCTAAACGGCGCACTACTGCAATCCGAGCATGGCGCGAACCGACACTGTGCTACTTTGGGACTAGCTCCTGGCAAATCCCAACCTCGAGGAAAGATCCACTGTGTATAAATGCTTGAGAACCTTGCACAGGAATCCAGTATGTTCAACGCTTTAAGCACCACAACCTCACTTCTCTGGTGTCTCAGAGCCAAGTCCCAGAACTTGACAGGACAGCCTTTGCCCTAGTACGCGAATGTAAACACACTTCTGTTTCTGACACGGTCAGGCCTGATGCCAAAGCGCTCGACGGTTGTCTGGCGTTTGACAGCCTCCCTGAGGGTAAGCAGCTGGAGTTCTGGAACGCGATGCGGGGTCCTGCGCTGGGGCATGCTCCGTACGTCAACATTGTCGAGAATGCTACGGAACCGGTCGGGATTTCGCAGTGCGATAGTTAAGAGAAGAAGACAACGATGACGGCGAAGTAATCTCGGTCAAAGTCCATTGGCACTCTGCCATACCGGACGTCTACTTCAATCTCAACTAGGCACCTGGTTCGTTCCAAGCGATCGCTCGCGACCGATCGAGACGGGGTTCACGTATGAGCCCCCATGTTCTTACATGCGACTAAACAAAGCTAGCGTGGGCTTCCCCGCGCCCAGTCCCACCTCGCAGCAAGCGTTCAGCCCCATTTCCAATCCTACACCTCGCCTAATAGCGCCTGCATTAGCCTTGAGCCTGAACGCCTCCACTACTAGACCCAAGCCGTCCATCCCCCATGGCAAACGCAACCAAGACCTGCGCCCACTGCGCGAAAACCGCCGAAGCAGCAGGCCTCCCCAACCTACAAGCCTGCGCGCGCTGCAAGACGACTGTATACTGCGACCGCACCTGCCAAAAAGCCGACTACAAGGCCCACAAGCCCGCCTGCGCCGCGCCGCGCGCCTCGCACTCCACTACCTCCTCGGCGCCACTGCGCCCGCTCGAGCACCACGTGCCCGACCCCTTCACCCGGCTCGAGCACGGCACGTTCTTGCACGCGCGCCCTGAGCCCGACACGTTCGCGCTGCTGATCGACGCCTTCCGGATGCGGCAGGCGGACGACTTCGCCTACGAGACCAAGACGACGCCGGGGAGCGTGTACACGGGCGCGGCGACCAGCGCGGCGGCGTTCCGGCAGTTCCTCGCGCGTGCGGCTTCGCGCAAGGGCCTGCTGCCGCCGTGGTGGAGTAAGGAGAAGGAAGAGGCGTGTGTGGTCTTCGGCGGGGGCGGGGCGTGGAGCAATCTCAGTAAGAAGGCGACGAAGCAGGGGGTTGTGCGGCACTACGGGGACGAGAAGGCGCCGATGCAGTTGCGGTTGTTGGCTGAGGCGGTCTATGGCGTGGGTACGATGGGGCAGAGTGGGGCGGCGATGCGGAGGATGATGATGCAGATGGAGAGCGGGGGGAAGGATGGGTATGTGGCGAGTATGTTTGATGTCAGCCAGAGACGTTAGCGGGTGGGGAGTGCGGCGCGGATACAGCATTATGCGGGCATATGCAGGCGCATAGATTAGCACATAGAATAGCACATAGGGCTGAGATATTGAACCGTTTCGCATGGCTTTCCAGTAGTTCGTGCTTCGATTTGAGGTCGAGATACGACACAGTTGAATTCTACTTGCTCCTCGCTCCGACATGACAGGGTATACGGCCATTACAACGACATCACGACTTCTCGAGCACACTGACCTCCCCCTCCGCAGCCCGGAAACTGGCTCGCCGCCTACTGCCTCCATGGGCAGTAGACCTGCTCCCGCTCCGCACCACGCCCTCGCCCTCACCGCGCTCCGCAACCTCCAGCGCCTCGTCGCCCGACGCATCACCCGATACCCCACCCTCATCACCCATACCACCCCCCTGCCCGTGGATCCCCCCCACGCCCTCCATCGTAGCCGCACTCGCAGCCGGCTGATCCAGCACCGCCAGCTCCTCCGCCGCAAACCACCTGGGCATGACCCCCGCCCTTAGCGGAATATACGCGAAAATGCACACGGGGAACCCAATCGCGGCATCGGTCTGGGTGAGCGCAAACGTGACGCCGAAGCCGAGCAGCTCCAGCGCGACGAACGCCCACACGGCGCGGCGGCGCACGCGGGCCAGCGGCGAGGGCGGTGTGAGTGTGGAGTCGGGGTCCGACAGCAAGAAGACTAGCTTCGCGGTGATGCCGTTGGCCTCCAGCGCCTGGATGCCCATGACGAAGAACAGGCCCGCCAGCACGGCTTGCGGGATCAGATGCAGCACTGTAAGGAGCGGGGCGCTCATGGTGGCGAGCGTGAGCAGGCCCTGCGCGAGATTGGATGCGCGCTGCTCGACGACGCGGGGCGGGGTGCCCGGCGCGGCTGCGGTGCAGAGCGAGGCCGTGTGGAAGGGCGCCTGGGGGATGAGTCCGTTGGGGAACGGCACGCCGAGGAGTCCCGCAACCCCTGTGGTGAGGCCCAGCAGGAAAATGTCCCAGTGGAAACCCGCCGGCTTGCGCAGCGGGAACTCGGTGCCCTGCGCGATCAGGCTGGACACGTTGTGGTCGAACCAGAAGAGGATGGTGAGGACTATGGCAAAGGGTAGCGCGAGGAACACATCGGGCGCACCGAGGTCCCAGAAGCGGACGAGCCAGCTGCGGTCGGAGGTGGGGAAGAAGGCGCGCGAGGTGGGCAGCTTGAGGAGCTCGACGTGCGCCATCTTGCCGACGTGCACGAACCCCGTGAAGAAGACGACGGTCAGCGGCGTCCCGTAGTCGTCGATGAACTTGCGCACGGGCCGCGGGAACAGCGCGCTCTGCCCGACCACGCCGCACAGGTACGCCACGCCCGTGACCAGCAGCGCGATCATAACCGACAGGTACGCCGACGCGTCGCTGACCTCCCACTGGCGCGTCAGCACCTGCACGCCCTTCTGGAGGTAGATGCACGCGACGTAGAAGCCGAAGATGTCGCACGAGAAGCGGGTGACGTAGCGCAGGAGGTTGCACGAGTTGAGGGCCGCGAGCACCCAGTGCAGCAGCAGCGCCCAGACGCCGACCCAGCCCATGAAGGCGAAGTAGTCTATGCCGCGCGGCGCCACGATGCCGAACACGGTGTAATTGAACACGGTGATGGGGCCCGTGACGCCGACGATGACGAGCGGCTGGGCGGCGAACAGGCTGAACACGACGCTGCCCAGCACGCTGGCGAGCAGCACCTCGTTGACGCCGAAGCTCGAGTCGGTCTTGGCGAACATGTCGAGCGAGAAGGCGAGCGCGGGGAGGATGTTGGCGAAGTACATGTACACGGTCGCGGGCACGACGCGGTAGTCCCAGGCGTCTGTCCAGTCGCTGGCGTAGAAGGGCGCGCGGCGCTTGATGTCGCGGAGCATGCCGGAGAAGGGTTGCGTTTTGTACCAGGCATTGCTGCTCTTGCTGTCTTCTTTCGCGAAGGGATCCAGGGTGGGAGTCTGGGGGCGTGCAGTGCGAGACTTGAAGGACGATGTGCGGCTGCGGCGCGAGGGTGTGCGGGTGTGCTCAGGGACGGTGATGGAGTCGTCGGGCGGGAGCATGGCGGGCGATGCGGGTTCGAGAACGACAGCGGCGCGTCATGTTAGCTGCTACGGCCTCGATATATGTAGCAATGAGCATTGAGCATCGCCGTACACTAGCCGGCTATACGCTCGACTGGACGTGCTCGGCTGGTGGCAATTAGCGCGACATGACGTTCAGCCTCTGCAGCTGCAGGGTCTGACGCCGCTTGGCAACTTGATCGGTCAACGACACGTCTGTTTACAGGCATCACATAGACAATCCCTCACTCAAACTACAATTTTGCCCGCAGTAGATATCTTGTTCATTGACTGGTGTCGTACCCGGCCGTGCCTTACAAATTGCAATCTCTCCGATTGACGGATCGAGATCGAGAGTGGATCCACCTACACCTTATTTGGACCTCGCGCAGATGCCCGAGCAGAAATCCCGTCTCAAACTCTGGCTTGCGGCTGGGGCACACCGCCCGTCTACCAATTGTAGTGCACCTGTGAGTCGCGTTAGAAATCGCCGATGGCAGATCACAACTCGGCGTGTGCCTAGTCGAGGAGGCATACCGGAGGGTTCTGCGCGCTCTTGTCAGATGAAGCGTTGGAGGCTCCACGGCGGTGACCACGCCCGCGGCCCCGGGTGGAGTTCTCGACATGGCCGCCTCGAGTGTAGCTTCGAGAGCCCCGGTCTGAACGGCCTCGTCCGCTGTTGTAGGCGTCTTGATGACCTTCGGGGGCGTACAAGGTGGACTGCGGACCGCCTCGTCCGCGACCCCTGCCACGGAATACGCCGCGATTACTGCCGTTGGACGGCGTGTCAGGTGTTGCGGGTGCAGGCGCGAGCTTGGGCGGGTCGATCGAGAGAGGGACCGGTGCGCCACCGTCTCCATCAAGCTCGTGGTCGCTCCAGCCTGCCGCCTCGTTGTCCGCCTTCTGCTGGGCCTCCTCCAATGCTGCCGCCAGTCTGGCCGACCTCTCACTGCTCCTCATGCTCTCGAGCTCTGGCGATTCGCGCATACAAGCATCGCGAACGCAGATTGCCAGCATGGCCTGCATAGTGTAAGCGGCATCGTTGCCAGCGTTGTGGAGTCCGTGGCCGGCGATGTCGAACTCGTTCAAGATGGTACCCAGTCTGGTTGGGTTCAGCTCGCGGCGCCAAACGCGGTACATGACGGCCGTGTCCAACGCCTCGAGCAGGTTTTCGAGCTTCAGCGGATCATAGCCAAGGTTCTGGAGATACTTGACGTCACCCAGCGTGTCGTGGCCAAGGAAGATGATGTTGCGCCTCTCGTTGAGATCAAGCCCTCTCATCAGCTCCAGCACGCTCTCAACACCGTTGGAGTGGTGTGCACCGAATGGAGGCGAGAAGCAAGCTGCAACATGTGTAGGCGCTTCGCTCAGAGGAATGACTGTCGATTCGCCAAAATAGAAGCGGTCGGGGCAGCCCTGCACGAACTCCGAGTTCACCAAGTGCATGTGGTCACGGATGCGGAAGTGTCGAGCACGGATCAGACGCCTCCAGTTCTCACCATCGGCACCCGGTGCGACGGTCGCCAGCTCTCTCGTGTCCAGGGTGGTGATACCCACTTCTGTGATCTTGTGATGTGCACGTTCGTAGGACTCGACGTCGACGCATACGAAGACAACGGATTGGTCAAAAGCGAATGGAACAGGGAGTGACTGGGTGTGTTAGACAAGCAGGATGCACGTGGGTAATACGTACCGGATCGATGGCAGGTGGAGGGCTGTTTGGATTCACGCTGTTTGCATCCGCATTGGGTCGCAGACCAAGGTATCGCTGAGCGCGCTTGAACTGGTCTGACAGCGTCTTCTGCTTCAGGATTCGTTCTTGCTGCTTCTTCGCTTTGGTGGCCTTGTTCTTGGCTCTCTGCGCTTCAAAGGACTCTTCCATCAACTGCTTGAAGGCTTCCAGACTGAGGTCGTCAAGTGGGGCTTTCTCTGGCTCTCCCTGCGCGCGGAAGTCATGGTCTGGGGCGTTGCGAATCATGCTGTCGTAGTCTTCGCGAGAGTGCGAGCGTCCAAGATATCGAGGTGTGCAGCGCGGATGATCCGGAAAGCGGCTGACAAGCGCGTCCTCGCGTTGCTGGTCAGTGATGCGGAGGCCAAGCTGGAGGTGGTTGTTGATGTCGCCGAGGAGGGCTTGAACCTGGGTCTCGCAGACGAGGACGAGAGGCTTGGCTTGGTTGTCAATGTCCCAGACGTAGTAGCTGTGGAGGTGAGCAGATGTTGTAAGCAAAGTCACAGATACATACAGGTCCCACTCGCGAGCCCAAAACTTGCCCTGGTCGAAGAAGGCAGAGGCAATGTCCTGCGAGTGCAGTTTGTTGCACCACTTGTACGGATACTTGGACAGGGCGACTATTGGTGAGTAGTGCTGCGTAGCCGAGCCAAGGTCACCACGCTTGAGAGCCGTGGCGGGGAGAGGAGCAGCCAGAGTGGGAGGTGCCGTGGTGGCAGATTTGGATACGGATGCTGGGTTGTAGGAGCTCTCGGCGTCTTTAAGCCAGACGTATCGGCGGTCAGTACTCGGGTCGACGGCGGGCTTTGGGTCAGGCTGTGGGGGGACAGCGACGTGGTGTTTGCTGGGCACGTCGGGGTCAAGGGCGACACCACCTGAGTCTTCGCTGTCGCTGACTATTTGCTCTGGAGGGCGGTCAGGCAGGGCATTCAGGTCTGCTTCGGTGAGCTTGCGCAGACGCGCGAGACGTGCTGCCAAGGCCATGGTGGAGAGTGGACGGTGGTGGGGCTAGGCGAGCGTGATGGGCATTGGGGGAGTAGCAAACGCTGCCGTTTGCTGGGTGAGGAACATGGAAACGTGAGGTGAGGGAGAACATCAAACGCCAGGTCAGCAGCGACATGGGTGCGGCAGAAGATGGAAACAAGTCAGGCAGCGACATGATGGTGAGCGTTGGCCCTGGAGGCAGAAGATGGAAATGCCAGGTCAGGGCGACATGAGTGAGGGAGAACGAACACCAGGCCAGGCAGCGACATAGTGAGGCAGAACATGGAAACAGTAGGTCAGGCAGCAACATGCCCTGGAGTCCTCAAGAAATGGAGATATGAACATGGACGTTGAGGACTACAACGTGACACGGCGACTGCACAGACTCTGCGAGCTACCAATGTGCAGTGCGTGCCTGTCTGGGAAGTGGAGCGAACGTAGCAAACACCACTCACCCGATGCAGTGTTGATCCAGGTTGATCCAGTGTTTCACGCTGCGTGGTCAGGTGACGTGTGCCCACAGGCGTAGGAGGTCTCGCGGTGGACAGCTCCTCAGTCCCCCACGAACAAGAACAAGCGAACAGGCCCCGGCGCAGACCAGCACCAACACCAGCGCGACGCAGGCACCAGCGGGACGTCCCTCAGTCGCTTAGGGCCCGCAATCCGCAGGCGCAATCGGGCTAGCGCGCGGCGCGGCAGCGGCCCCGACACCACCGCATCGCCCTCCTGCTGCTCTCCACCACGCGCACCTCTCGTCCCCGCCCGCCCCCCTCGCCGCCCCGATTTCCCGCTCCGACAGCATCGACGCGTGGCTGGAGGGTCTGACGCGCGCATCGGCCGTCTCTCGCCCCGGACCCGCGCGATGCACCACGGCGTCCGCCATGGCCGACGTTGAAGACGCGCCCGCGCCGGGCTCGCCCGCGCCGGCGCCCAACCCGGACGCGCAGACGACGGTCAACGACTTCCTGGACTACACCGAGTTCTTCCCGTCGGACCTGGTGCGCAGCCTGACGCTGATCGGCGACCTGGACGCGACGTGCGCCGACGCCGTGCAGCAGGTGCACGAGCTGGCCGCGCTGTACTGCCGCCTGCCGCAGCTGCCGGAGCGCGCGCGCCCCGACGCCGCCGCCCTGCGCAAGCAGATGGCCGCGCAGCTGCAGACGGCGCTCAACCAGCGCGAGTACGCCTACGCCGAGGCCGCGCGCCTGTACGAGGTGACGCTGCGCCACTGCCAGCGCTCGCAGATCATCCGCCGCAAGCTGCAGGCCCAGCCCGAGCCGCCGTCGCGCGACCCCACGCCGCCGCCCGTGTCGCCGCAGGCCCTCAAGCGCGCCTACGACCGCCCGCGCCTGCTCGCCTTCGACCGCCCGCACGCCCGCTCGCAGGTGCCGCTGCCGCGCGGCCGCCGCGCCCACAGCCTGTCCGACTCGTCCGACTCGGACGCCCGCCGCGACGAGCGCCCGCGCAAGCTGCCGCCGTACAAGGACCGCCTGCACAAGCCGCGCACCCGCGCGCCGGGCGTCGCCGGCACCAACGTGCACAGCAGCATCGCCGGCATCTCGACGAGCAACGCCCTCGCCAAGCTGACCCCGCCGCCCGCCGACGCGCGCCCGGGCAGCAAGTGGGCCCCGTGGATGAAGCTGACCGAGTACGAGATGGCCGTGCTGCGCAAGCAGATGAAGAAGAACGCCGTGTGGACCCCCAGCCTGACCATGGTCAACCGCGAGCTGGAGCGCAAGCACCGCACCAAGGGCGACTACCAGCGCGAGCGCGCCCGCTGCGAGGCCGCCGGCGAGCCGCTGCTGGACCAGGAGCCCGAGACCCTGCTGCAGATCGCCACCGCCCAGGGCCTCGACGACCCGGCCCTGACCGCCACCGCCAACGCCGCCGACGGCCTCACCGCCCCCGCCGACCCCGCCCCGCCGCGCGACGAGAGCCTCGAGCCCGCCGACAGCCCCCGCGACCTCGACACACGCCGCCAAAAGGCCCGCGGCGGCCTGCGTGCCCTCGAAGACGCCACCAAGACCATCCAGAACGCCGCCGACGGCCTCAAGGAGCTGACCTTCTCCGCGCCCTCCATCACCACCCCGCCCGCCTCGGCCCAGCGAAAGAGGTCGCTGCTGCGGCCCGCCACCGGCAAACGCAAGCGCGACACGCCCCCGCCCGCCGACGGCTCAGCAGAACCCGGCCGGGGTGCAGAAGCCGCCGAGGACGCCGCCGACAACGACACGCTCCCGCAACTCCCCGAGCCCAAGCGCCCACGTCTGCAGCTCATCGCTCCCGCTCCGCCGCCTGACCGCACTCCGTCCACGCCCGCGCCCGCCTCGGCAGAGACTCCAGTGTCCAAGGACCCGCCCACGCCTGTGGACCCACCCTCGCCTGCAGACCCGCCTACTCCCGCAGACCCGCCTACACCGGTGGACCCGCCTACACCGATGGATTCTTCCCCCCTGCCCCAGCCTTCTCCCATCCTCCGGGCCTCCACACCGCCGCCAGAGACGATCAAAAGCTCTGTGCAGGTACCGCTTGCTCCTGCTGGCCCCAGCACGCCCAAAGTCCCCAAGCCCGAGTCTACGCAGTCCAGTCGACAAGCCACGCCTGTCCAGCCATTTCCCGCCGAGCCTCGGAGGTCGTCTCCGATAGTCGCCATACCAGCATCTGACCCGGCACCTGCACAACTCGCCCCCACAGCGCCTTCCACACGGTCGCAGCGCAAGTCCATCACCCCCAAGCACTCCAGCCCACCGCCTGCCGAGCCATCCAGGCCCACGCGGTCCAAGATTCCAGCGCTCCACCGAGCTTCTTCGCCCGAACCGGCGATTGCCTTGCGGCCCCGCTCTTCTCGCAGCCACGTTCCAACGCCGAAGGCTCAGAGCGAAGAGCCCAAGCCCAATGAAGGCCGGCCCGTTCGCGATGTCCGCCGGCACAGCATCTTCAGTCAGTCTGCGCTGACTGCCCCCGGCCCAACACGAGTGAGCTCGCGTAGAAAGCCGCCACCAAAGGGCGAGGTGACCTCTGCCGAGAACGGACAGAAAACGGTGACGCACGTCAAACGATCTCAGGGGAACAAGAACATCAAAAGGAAGAAGCACGAAGGCCAGCCTGAACAGGCCGAAGAAGTCGACTCGGACGAGGAGCGATACTGCATCTGCGACGACGTCAGCTACGGCCAGATGATCTCCTGCGATAACAATGTAAGCTGCTCCGACCTTCCATCGTCCTTCACTAACAGGCGCAGTGCGATAAAGAGTGGTTCCATTTTGAATGTGTCGGCATGACCCAGATGCCCGCCCGCCGTGCCAAGTGGTACTGCCCGGACTGCCGCGAGAAGCTAGGCACCGACGCCTTTGGCAATCCCAAAGTGCCGCCTGCGCTGCCGGGTCGCCGTGGTAACAGGTAGGTTCTCCTCTTCTTCTCCGTCGACGGCATACTGAATTATAGAGGGGCTGGAGTCATTGAGGGCGCATAGGCTGGTAGAGCATGGAATGGGCGGCGCGATGGCGTTCACTTTTCGATACCCTGTTTGCGTATGGGTGGATCAGTATTTGCAGCCGACGGTCGGCAGGGCTCGTACAATGACAGAAATTGTTCATGGTAATGTTTGTACATGCTATCGCATTGGTATCTTTATATCCTAGTTGTACGTTGAAAGAAGCGCCGGCTTACTCAAGATCTGCAAGCTTGACCCCAGCTTTCGGAAGTTTTAAGCGAGGCGCGAAGGAGGGGCGCAGCCGCAGCTCAGCCGCCTCCAGGCGTCGCGCTGACTTCCTTCCTGCTTCCTCCTCTCTGGTGTTTATTTCGTGTTCTTGCGACTGTCTGCTTTCGTGATACCCAGCTTGCTTTACACATCATGACCGTCTCGACGACATTCGTCCTGGGCGCGAAGGACACTTACTTCTTCAACACCCCCACTCACTGGGCGCATCACAACCTTCCGGGGGATATCAATGCTCTCTTCACCAAAACACCGCCCATACGCGACGTGATTGAACTCGCTCTTGGCGTGGATGGCGCCTACTTTGTCAGCTACCGCGACCACGACGGCGGGGTTCTATGCAAGCACTACAACCTCCCCAACCCGCTCGTCGAGTACCTCTACGCGTCGCATCCGGGCGTGATTCGTGATTTGTCTACGCTCAGTATCACGCTGGGGCCCTACGAGTCGTACTATGCTTGGGACAGGACCTCGGCGTCTTGGAGCAACGTCCCAGCGGGTCTCGAGAAGTCGTTGCTCAACCGGCTGGAGAGTCAGGATGCGTGGCGGACCACTTGGAAGGCGGATGGGTATGAAGCGCCTTGTTTTGTCAGCCTGGGTAATGATGGGAGTTACTTCATGCGCACCGTGTCTGGCGGCGGGTGCTGGGACTTCAAACTGCCCAAAGTCGACGCGCGGAACGGGCTGGGCATGGTCGGCGGAGACGGATGGGAGGGAATCCGCGGCACCAACAAGTTTCTCGAGGAGTGCTCAGACTTCACAGGCGTCGCGGTGAGTCGACAAGGCCATCACGTGCCAGACACGCGCTGATCAAAACACCTAGGCTGTGCACTTGATGCCGCCCCAGGCAAACGCCTACGTCCTCATCCTCACCAACGGCAAGACGTTTTCCAACCTGCCCGAGCACACGTGGGCAGACTACGCCAAGATGGCAGATAAGCTGCCCGCGTTCGTCCAGCAAATGGCGCCGTTGCCGCCGATGCCCCAGCAGCGTGTGGTCCCGCAGCCACTTCCCCAGCCCCAGCCCCAGCCGTTTCAAACCTTGCCTCCGAATTACAAGACAAGTCAGCGCGGTCAGGCGGGCTGCTGTCCGTCCATGAATTCAAATGTGCCGCACACGTGCTGTCCGCCGGCTCCAATGATAGCGCGGCCGTGGCCGTTGCCGCCTATCAACGCGCCCCACAGTTGAGGAACTCCGTTTATGGAATCTGGATTCTATGGCTTTTCAGCGCATGCATAGCAGAGACGTTGTCCCAAGTCTCTGTTCGCTGGACCAACACCATCTTGGCGCTTTCAGCCTGCATATATCTTCAGAGATCTTGCCCCTTTTGAAGAATTCTCCTATCCTCATACTCACACCCACCAAGCCACTACGTCTTCCTAAACGAGTAAAGGGGAGATAGATGGATAGAGAAGGGGGATCATGACACGTGATTGTGCACGCAGCGCAGGGTGTGTTGAGGGGTTACTGCGGTTGGTCATCTTTGGAGAAGCAGGCTTGTGTTTGAACAGAGTTTTTTCCGTTTTCGGAGCATGGAGTAAGAACTATCTCCCCGGTATCAGACTGGGGAAGACAGCGCAATGCGGGGAGTCTGTCCACGCATCGACGCTCCATACTTAGATCTTGACCGCGCTTGCGAGTCCATAGCACAAGCCAAACAAGCAACCAGTACAACCCTATAGTCAGAACTAGCGTACCATCCCTTCCGGCCGAGCACATCCGACATGCACATGTCTGCTCTGAGTCTCACAGCGCCTGTCTCACGCAAAGCGGCAACACGCTGCCGTCGCTGATAGGCTGTTCGGAGAGCTTACCGCACTAGCGCAGGGTTGATCGACGCGCGCCCGCGTCCCCACTCCCAACTCCGAGTCCGTCAGCCACACCGCAGACATGGATCTCCGCCCATTATCCGCAAGGAGGCAAGTCCCAATCAACGCGTCCACGACTTCGCTTGTACGACTATGCGTGAGTCGTCGTGCTGGCGACTGAGACGTTGGGCTGCAGAGGCGTCCTCGATTTTGTTGTGAAGATGGCGACGTATTGAGATTGAGCAGAAAACTCTAGGTTTGAAGGGATAGATGCGTGCACGATGTTGTACAGGAGATCGAGCTGTCAAACCACGACGTCGGAATGCCCCACCGCAGCCCGCTTATCTCGAGCAAGCATTCCTCGCGCGTTAAGCTTTCCACGGCTTACACTAGCGATGCCATACTGCAGGTAAGTCAGTACGGAAACTGCAGCCAATCGAAACCAACACGTCTACTGTGCAACCCTCCGACTTTGTGTGTATGGCTCGAGTCGCATCGGGACTCCTACACACCTCCGACGCTACAGGGATGTTCGACAACGGTGAAGGATCAACAGACGCATATCGTCGAACTAGTCGAATGCTCGACACAGATATAAGTACGCCCGCAGTCCCGATTGCATCCTCAAGGCACATATGACCACAAGGCACTCGCCAACCTCAAGGGAAACCTCTAAGATGGCGTCCCACACCGATAAAGAGCTCGTTCCGGGCACGGAGATCATGAACGCCGACGGCAAGGCAGATAAGGCGTTGATTCCGCGCCCGTCCTCCGACCCCCGCGATCCGCTCAACTGGTCAAGGCCGTGGAAGAGTACGTAGTCCGCTATACTTCCCGCTCTCTACTGAGTCCCCCTATTCGTCCCGCTCTACTGACACCCCCAGTGACCGTCGTCGTCAGCCAGGCCCTGTTCACCTGGATCTCCGTCACAGGGGCGCTCTCCATCGCGCCCATGTTCCCGCTGCTGGGCCAGGAGTTCCATCTCGACAACAACCAGCTGGGCATGCTTACAGGAATCACTGTGATTACGCTGGGCGTTGCGAACTTCTTCATCGTGCCGCTGAGCAACATCTTCGGGCGGCGCGCGGTGAGCATCGTCTTCTCAGTGCTGATCCTGCTGTCGTGTGTGTGGCAGGCGCTGGCTACGTCGCACAGGAGTTTGCTGGCTGCGAGGGCTATCAATGGGCTGGTGTGTGCGACGAGTGAGACGATTCCGGTGCAGATGATCGCCGACGTGTTCTTCCTGCACGAGCGTGGGCTCTGGACTGGAGTGTACTTGTGAGTGTGCCGCACTCATCTCGATATCCGTCACTGACAGACACAGCACAAGCTACTTCATGGGCGCCTTCCTCGGCCCCATCATGGCCGGCTCCATCGCCTCCCACCACGGCTGGAACGCGTTTTTCTGGCTCGAGACGGCACTGTCGGGTGTCTCCATCGTCCTCGTCGTCCTCGCCTTCCCCGAGACCCGCTACCACCGCAGCCACAACACCGCGTCCTCCAGCCAATCCTCCCTGCGCATCCACAGCACCACGTCCGAGAACCCATCCGCCAGTGGGCTCGAGAAACAGTCCTCCCACACCGCCCTCGCCGCCCTCGACACAACATCCCACCCCACCGGCCGCCCCTCGCGCTCCCAGTTCGCCCCCTTCCAACGCCCAGACCCGCGCTGGAAAGCCTTCGTCGTGCGCGACACCCTGACGCCGCTGAAATGCCTCTTCAACCCCATCATCCTGTGGGCGGGCCTGATGGTCGCCGGCCCGGCGGACCTACTGCTGTTCTTCAACCTAACCGAGTCGCCCGTGCTCGCCGCGCCGCCGTACAACTTCCGCCCGGACCAGGTCGGGTACACGAACTTCGCGTTCGCGGGGGGCGCGCTGCTGGGCCTCGCGACCGCGGGGCCGCTGTCGGACTGGACGGCCGCGCGCGCCACGCGCCGCAACGCCGGGCTGCGCGAGCCCGAGATGCGGCTCCCAGCCCTGTTTCCCTACGTGCTGCTCACGCTGCTGAGCGCGGTGCTGGGCGGGCTGGCGTACCAGCGCGCGTGGGCGTGGGGGCATGTGGTGGTGTGGGGCTACGGGCTGGCCGGGCTGTCGGTGACCACGGTGCCGACGATTGCGGTCGCGTATGCGATTGACTGCTACAAGCCGATTAGCGGGGAGATTATGGTTGTGGCGACCGTGTGCAAGAACTTCATTGGGTTTTCGTATAGCTACTGGGTGTTTGATGTCGCGCATGCGAGTCACGACGGGTGGGTGACGCCGGCCATGATCATCTTTGCGTGTGTGGCTGCGCCCGCGGTGCTGGCGGTGCCGTTGTACTATGGGATGGGGAAGAGGTTAAGGGCGTGGACGAGGCATTCGGATGTGCATCGGATGGAGGAGTTGATTTAGGGGGGACGAGAAGATTGTGGAGTTGGCAGTGGAGATTGAGACTTCTTTGCGGACAGTGGATAGCACCGTACTCATATCATTCTAAACACACCTCACAGCTTCTCCAGTCTTTGCGCTTCAACGCTTGACGTGCCCAGGAAGATGCTCTTGTCAATCCTCACCGACTCCTTCCACGACACGACGCCATCGGGCTCCGTCTCCTTCAGTCCCTTTGACCGCACCCACCGCCTCGCAATCTCCTGCGCGACAAAGCCCGGGCTGGCCGTGGCGTCGTACAGCAGCACTGCTCCCGCCACGACAGCCTCGAGGTGATCCAGGATCTCCCTTCCGCGGTACAGCAACTCGTCTTTCGTCTTCCCCTCCACCAGCCCCAGAAGCGCCTGCACCCTGTCCCTTACCAGCACAATCTCCCCGTCGAACACCGCGTCGCAGCCGTCCAGCACGCCCCGCACCCACGGCGCAAACACGTTGCGCAGGACATCCCCCCCGCCCAGACGCGCGTCGGTCAGCACGCGCACCACGTCCTCGGCCATGACGCTGACGGTGCCCTCCCAAATGGGATTGACGAGGTTATCGCGGTAGATCTTGGCCACGTTGAGCAGCCCGCCGTCCTCGTTGTTCTCGCAGTACCCCACGCCGCCCAGGCACTCCATGCACTGCCGCAGCCCGTGCACCGACGCCACGGATACCTGCGCCTTGAGGACCGGCAGCAGCAGCCGCAGCAGCAGCGCGATCGCGGCCGGGTCGCGCGGGATGAGGGCCGCGGCTTTCGTGGCTGCGACCACGGCGCTGGGCGTCTGCTCGAGTGCACCCTGCAGCGCGACGCCGAGGAAGGTGAAGTGCGCTGCGGCGTGGTACTTGACTGTCTCGTCGGCCATCCAGCGCAGGTGCGCGGGGTTGTCGTGCAGCAGGCCGCCGCGCACCTTGCGGACCTGGCTGTAGGCGCGGCAGATGGCGAGGCCGCGGGACCAGTTTGCGGCGCTGCCGGCGGCGGTCGTGAGGCGCGTGATGTTGAGGACGGCGGCGATTTCGGCCACGCCCCGGCCTTCGGTGCCGATGAGCCAGGCGCGCGCGCCGCGCAGTTCGAGTTCCGCGGTCGGGAGCGACTTGGTGCCGAGCTTGTTCTTCAGCCGCTGGATGCGGACGCCGTTAAGCTCCGTCTCGGGGGGGGATTCCAGGTTGACTATGTTTGCGGCGGCGGGACGCCCGCCTCGTCGCCGGCGCATGGGCATGTAGAAGGCGCTGATGCCCTTGTCTGTCCGCGCCAGCAGCACAGCCATCTCCGAGTCGGTAGCGCTGCTGAACCACTTGAACCCGTCGATCCGCCACGGCCCCAGCGGCATCCCCACGGCGTCCTCGCTCCGCCCGCTCTCCTCATCGCGCGCCAGCTCCTCACTGCTGAGCCGCGTCGCCAGCGTCTCCGTACCCGACACATCACTCCCCCCGCTGCGCTCCGTCATCCACTGCCCGCTGGTCCACGCATACTTCGGATCGCGGCTCGTCAGCCGCCGGTACGCCTCCTCGAGCACCCGCACCCGCCCGATCTGGTCCGCATCCGCGTCCCCCAATCGCCGCGCCAACAGCGTCGCCGCGCCATCCGTCATGCTCATCGGACACCCCGTCATGGTGCCCGTCACGCTCCACACATGGCCCAGCGCAAACTCGTACACTCTGCGATTCACGCGCGCCGTCTCTTCGGACCGCGCATACGCAACCGCGACCACGCCCTCGGCGATCCCGATCTCCTTCAGCGCGCGCCACCCGCTGGTCGTCCACAGCGCGTCGTCGCGGTTCTCCTGCCCGAAGGTCGTCAGCGGGCGCAGCGCGGGGTGGTTAGTTTCGGCCTCGGTGGCGAGCGCGAGCACGCGCGGGGCGAGCGCGAGGCGCGCCACGCGGTGCAGGTGCTGCGTGACCACTGCTCGTTGCGGGGGCAGATAGAGCTCCAAGATACGGTCCAATACTCTGTCATCAGACAGCGAGGTATTTGGCTCGTTGTGTGCTGCGGCGTCAGGTGACGTGTACTGCGGCGGCAGGGCGGGCAGGGCCTGGAAGAAGCCGGCGGTGGACGAGGACGGAGTCGGCGCCATGGTAAGCTGGGGCTGAACTTCCAGGACGGCTTTCAGCATCTTGGAGGCTGGAGGCTGGGGACGCGGCCATGTTGTGTTGATATGGTGGTGTGATGCAGGTACCCCGACTTGGTGGATCGACCTCGGCTCTACCCCGCAAGCGCTAGCGACTCGAGGGCGACCCTTGTATGGCACTCTGGTTCTCGGTCTGTTGTATGGAAAATATGAAGTACAAGAGGATGCTGCTGCCTACCCGAGGATGCCTGAAATTACTTGGTCTGGCTCATGTGGCTTCTCAATATGCTCTGTGGTGCCTTCACGTGCACCGTCTGATCAGTGACCGCTCACTTCTTCATCACTGCCATTCATCCAGTCGGGAGAGAGACATAGTCTTGGGTATGCATTGTAGCAGCAGACAGCTCAATTCAACGCTACCTACAACGCAAAGCCATCACTACCCCAACCTGATCAAGCCCCCTTGAACAGGTCCTCCAGCATCTTCTTGTCATAGCCCGGCTCCTTCTCCACAATCCCGAGTTCTCTTCTATCTCCGCTCCTGCTATCCGTATCGCGGAACCGTCGTCTCTGGTCACATTGCGGTATCGAGCGGATCAACCTTGCCAGACGCGATTGTCGCTCTTCAGGAGACAACCGCGCACTGCTCCCCGCAGGCGCCGAGGTGGGTGACGCATTGGGTCGTACATTGGCTGCGTTCACCTTCAGCAGCAGACTTTTGATGTGTCGCTGATAAGCACGAATTTCTTCCGTCTGAGACACGATGTTGCTCCTATCTACTGCAGGCTCGTCATCTCGATCCTGCATGGGAATATCACCATCGAGGTCCATGTCGTCGCGCATGGAGGGTGTGGCAGGTACTGTGTGCTGTTCGTCTGGATCCCAGACGGGGATGTCGTCGATGGCCTCATCATGTCGCGGTGAAGGCGGCAATACGGGAGAGTCTGTCTGAATATGGGTAGGCACTATGGCCGGCTCCGGGCTTGGACGCATTGACTGCATGCCCTCGGGCAGCGCTGGTAAACCTTCCTCCATCGAAGCATCTTCAGTTTCAGAAGCAGCATGCTCAAGTGCTATCAGCCGATTCTGTTCGTCCTTCCTATTCAGAGGACCTGTCGATATATCCTTCCCGCTCGCGAGATGCGTCATTGCGCCTTCGTTGGGTATGCCTGTCGATCTTCGCCTTCGGTCTCGTTCTTCCGATGCCGGTTCTATCTTCGCCGCTTGCAACTTCTAGTATGCATCAGGATACTTGTCGTATTGTGGACGGAACTTGATCTTTTGAACTGGCTCGAACGATGGTGAAGTATCGGAGACGCTGGGAGATCTACGGGAATCCTCTGGACAAGGGGGAGCACCGTCGGCACTGTCTGTACGACCTCTGGACGATGCTCTAATCGCAGAGTATTCCTCTTGGGCTTCCTTGCACCGACTCTTGTTCGTCATGTCTTGGTCAGCGTCTTGGTTGTCGAAGCCTGATGGCAGAAAACGCGCCTCAGAGCGTATGGAGTCCGGACCGGCTGGTATCTTCTCATGATGCACCAACTTGCCACCCAGAGACCCGGAACTTTCACGATGTCTGCCGTTGGGTGAGTCGGCGGCGTTATTTGCCTTCTGCAGCCAACCTTTGACTACCTCGCGCCCGGGAATGTTGGAAGCTGGGCTACCCAGTAGTTGACCCCTTATCTGTGCCATCGACGCATCGATTTCCTCGATTCGATTCTCGATACTACAGACTTGTTGCGAAGCGACCCTGTCAGTCGGCAAGACACGGCTTTTAGGGCGGGGGCTACTGGGCGGTGTTGGGGCTGGATCCGACAAGACACGGTTCCTTGGGCGGGGACTATTTGGTGGTTTCTGAGCTGACAAATCCATAACATCTCCAAACTGAGGAAGTCCGGTTTCCGCTTCGCGCTTAGTCAAGCGGTCCAGGATGGGAGGCGACAGATCGGGCGTGTCAGGAAGCACTCCAAAGCGGGATCCTGCCAGACTTCTCGGTCCAGTCATCTTGTCGACACTGCTTTGCTCCCGGAACTTCTTCAAGTCTGCTATCTTTTGCTTTACGCTCATTGGGCGTGGACATTCCTTGTCACATCCCTCCTCTCTACAGGCCTTAGGCAGGTCATCAAGTGTGTACACATCTGTGAGCCGAAAAGACGTTATCGGTTCCGTTCTCAGGGGATTAAGGATCCGGACTCCCCAGTTCTCAAGACCGAGATCGACAAACTCAACTATCCGGTCTCGATTTTCAGGATCGTGTTCAAAGGACTCTGCAATGTCTCGAAACTGATGCCTGGGCCAGCCGTCGATAAAGTCTAGCATCATGTTCACGTCGTCGATGAACTCATTTGCCAGAATGAACTCAGTATCAATGCGATCCTGATTGGCGTTTAGACGGCCTCGCTGCCTGTGCTTGTCTCGCCATTGAGTATTGGGTGAAACCGGTGACCTTCGAATGACATGGCTGAAATCTTCCGTATCCGTTCGTCTGAGGTTAGTAGACTTCGATGTCGAGGTGAATGGATTTTCGTTTCGCTCGTCTTGAATGCACGACCACCGAGGACCGAATGTGGATGTCAGGAATGAACTCGAATTCTCCTCGTCACTAAATACAATGGAATCTCTTCGTGGCGATGGTGTTATTTGTGACTCTATTGACTCCACTGCTTCTGCTGAATGGACGACGGCCGTCAATTGTTCGCGGATGGCCTTTCGCTGTCTCATCGATTTCAAACGAAGCTCATGCAAGATCTCATCGTGTTCGGCTTCCGATTTTGTGCGCGATTTTGTCTGCAAATCCTTGTAGCGCGCAATCTCCTGGTCTTCGCCTTTGGCGGCTTTGAGTTCCTGCCAGCGGGATTCAGCTTCTGAGCCACTTGTCTCCACAGCGGCAGTCTCGTTGGAAGCGTCGCTTAGGCTCGCGATATCAGCCACGGTGGTATCAGAATCGCCTGGAGCATCGATATTCTGCCTCTGGAGAGCGGATTGCCTGCTCTGGAATGTCTTTCGCTCAGAAGAGGTGATCACGGCCATGCTGTTAGAGTCCCTCGGTCAAAGTCAAACTCCTGGAACAATGTCGAAACGAATGTGGCGTTGCGGAAGATATGTAGGTTGAAGATACAATGTTATGTATGTGCGCCAGTGTGATGTTTGTTGGGGATGCATCGCGCAAGGAACGGCGAGTGATCTCTTCCGTGGCTTGTAGGTTGCACTTGCTGGACGGTCAATTATCAAATGAAGTTGCCAGCGACAAGCCTTCCCTACCTGGAGTAAGAGGAACATCACAAAGTGAGACGGCTTCTCTGCGAATTTAACCCAAGAATTCATTGCACCTAATGCGATTATCGGCCGGTGAAAGTTGGCGAGCTTACAACACAGGAACACTGCCTTATGCGTGCAACAACCTTGTCTTCCTTTTGCAATCGTCTTACTCGAACTTCATCTTGTTGATGATGCTCCCAATCCCCTCAACATAGATCTCCACATCATCGCCATCTTTCAAGAATCCCTTCGGCTCCATGAAAAGGCCGACGCCGCTCGGCGTACCGGTCAGGATCGCAGTACCAGCCCTCAGCGTCGTGCCTCGGCTGAGGTGCTGAATGATCTCGCCAATAGTAAATATCATATCGTCTGTGCTCGTCTCCTGCCTCTTCTCTCCGTTGACCTTGGTCCAGTACTTCAGTTTTTGAGGGTCACCAACAACCTCCTTGCTCGCAATGCATGGCCCTATCGGCGCAAACTTATCGAATGACTTTGCGTAACCAAATTGACCACCCGAGACGGTAGCTGGGAGCTGGAAGTTTCGCGCGCTGACGTCATTGCCGACTGTGTAGCCGAGGACGTAGTCTTGCCAATTGCTTTCGGTAGCATTTTTGCAGTCTTTGCCAATGATGATTGTCAGCTCTCCTTCGTAGTCGAGATCACTTTGGCAGTCCTTGTGGATGGGAATGTCATCAAGCGGTCCGGCGAGGGCATCGCTCGGCTTCATGAAGATGGCCGGGTTGGACGGAACGGTGAGCTGGAGTTATCAGCAATAAAGCAGAAAAAATTCCACTTATGGATGACGTACATTGCATTCCTCGGCGTGTTTTCTATAGTTCAAACCCACACATAAGATGATGTTTGTGGTCGGCAGTGGACATAGCAGCTTCGATACTTTGGCTTTGCCACCGTTCTTGCTGAATCCGCTCTTCACGTCCCCTTCTAGCACATAGACCTCCTTTCCTGTGATCTCCCTTGTTGGCGTCTCTTTTGTCAGATCACCGTAATAGGTCTTTCCGTCGTCGGCTTCAAACCGAATCAAGTGCGAAAAGACTGCCATTGCTTGAGTTCTCAATGACGTCGAGAGTAAGCGGTTTGGTGTCGGCTTGAAGCTTCTCAGCGTTCTTTTCGGTGCGACACAGGAGCGTGAATAGAAGAACAGTGGGCGGATGAACATGAGGAATCATTCATTGAGATACAGCTTGATTACGTGGTGTCATATGTGGGGGAGAACTCTGCCCCACGTCCCAGGTGGGGCTAGACGCGGTACCTCCTTGGCCGAAATTTGTGGGGAAGGTCGACCTTTGGACCTACCCTAGCGCGGAACCTCAAGAAGCAGTGTCTCTGGTCTTACGCATGATGCGATACATTTGCGACGCGCTGATCTGACGAAAGACACGTAGAAACGCCTCATGTTCGATCGATAATCGGCCGGGCTGACTGAAGGTTAACGGTATGGCTTTTACGACTATCGCTTCAGCCTTAGCTCAGGCATCTGATTATGCGCGAAGTATGGTCTAGGAATCAGTGCAAGATGTGTTCTCACCTAGCTTGTCAGCCCCCTTGGCGTTGATGAAGCACGGTGTATTACAGTGGAGGTGTCCTAGGAGAGAGCAGCGCCCATTCGCTTATCAACAGGTGCATAGAGTGTGATGGTTTCAGCCTTCATGTTTCATTTCAGTATTTGGTTGGTTGGTTGCAATCGATTCGTGTACCTACAAAAGGAGTGCTTCGAGGCTAATGGAAATCAGGATATCATCCTTCAGCATGTGCTGAGAACAACACGCGAGAAGACACATGCGGTCGCCGGTCTTCGCGCCCCTGACAGGTCTCAGACTCGTTCAACAAGGACACGTCGACGTATCAGTGCAGACGTTAAACAAGAGCCTGCACACTACAATCCCAGGCCGAGACTTGATCATAACTGTACACAGCCGATGCCACAGGAGAAAGCCAGTTTACCTGCAGGTCACAGTAGCTAAGATCTCATCTTTCTCCTAGCCCAAGCTTCGACGTCCATGACTTGGGGAAGGATTGCTTTCGTCATCGCTACATCCCCCGGCTGCTTTCCCTCAGCCAACCACTATAAGGCCAGATCAGCTTCTGCATAGAGCACTCGTATACACAAAACCTACAATAAACATCTGTCGATAGTGGTATGGTGATAACGCGATAACGAGCCACTTGGGTAGCCATATCGTCCAGCCTTTACTCCTCTCGCCTCTCTCCAAAGCCTTGCTCACTTCGTCAACTGTTGCGACATCGCCAGCAATCTCGTAAGTCTTCTCGAAACATTCTTCCCGACCCATCAGGGCTCGTGCAACAGCACTACCGATGTCGTCGCACGCAATCCATTTCTGTTTGCTATTCCTAAACACAGCCTTCATAGCACCCAAGAAGAAAGTACGAGCTAATCCCGCCGGGGGTATAACGTCCATGAACCCGACTGGCCTGATAACGGTCCAATGTATACCGGACTCGTGCAGATATTTCTCGATGGAGTATTTCGAATGGAAGTGTTCAACCTCAGGATCCTCACAACCTGCTACGGATGAATACACAACGTGGCCGACCCCTGCTCGTCTGTTATCACCAAGGTCATGTTTGGAGGGCAACAAGGCGGTATCTCACCTGCGCGCACCGCCGCATCGACAAAGTTCTTGCCTTGTTGGATCTCTCCTTGCACGTCACCAGATCCGCGGAAGTCAGTGACTAGGTATGCAGCGTCGCAGCCTCTCAGTGCGGCTTCAAGTGAAGCACCGTCCTCGAGATCGGCTTGTACGATGTCAATTCCTTGAGACCTCAGCTTTTTGGCGGCCGCTGACTGCGGGGACCTTGTCATGGCACGGATCTTGAGATCTTTACGATCAGCGGCACGCAAGCTTTGCAAGACTGCACCGCCCTGCTGCCCTGTTGAGCCTGTAACTAATACGGTGAGCATGGTCGAGTTGTATAGTGGTTATGATAAGAAGACGTCGAGATGGCTACGGAAATAGAGGGTGCAATGGCGTCGATTATGTCCCTGAAGATAAATATAGTCGGCGATCAAATATCCGCGGCTTTCGGCGTCCACGGCATCCGTGGCCTCGCTCGCGAGAGACGATAGTCCCAGCACGGCACCCATATCCCCATTACCTAAAGCATTATACCGCCACAAAAGAGCCACTTGACTTGATCACGCCATTTTTCACAATCCTAGCTTGGCCAAAGAGAGCCATATCGTAGAGACTGGTACCGGTTGAGTAACACTTGTTGTTGCGCGGAGCCGACGATACCAAGAGCTTGATTACCTGTGCTACATACACTCTTTGAGCGACAGATTACAAATTCCATCCCGAAATTCAGGCAGAAACGTATTTCGGGCTAGCAAGACTGTTCCGTTAATTACAACACGAACGGAAGAATCCCGTGCTAACTTGGAGGCTTAGTCCCGAGAATCCAGGTTACTCCCCATGTTGGGATTATATTCACCACAACGCTTCAACCAAGTCGTTCAACGTAAACCGAGACAAATCAAACGCAGTAATTCGGCCGATGTGTCTAGTCTAGTACGCCGAATTCTAAATGCCTATAGCTAACCATGTCCTTGAGGCGTGACAGAGCTATGAACAGCGGATTGATTGTCTCTAATTACAAGCATAGGCGTTAGAGAGGTTTCCAGTATCAATTTGGAATTGCCATTTCAAGCTTTTGCTGACTTAAAACTGGTGTAGTAAACGTTTTCGTTGTAGCTAGCTTTCACTAGGTGATGAGCGTCAAATTTGTGTCTACAATGTTACGTCTAGCATAATGCCTAAGATCATTTCTAAGATTTATCTAGAAGACTACACTTTCTATAAGTATCTCGATAATCGTTGCAACCTATACGTTTGGATCTGGGTTTTCTAAGATAGTATAAAAGTATGTGAGAAAACCTTCTACAAGGTTTGATCTTCATACGCCTACTCTAGAGAAGTAAGCCATTAAATTTGATGCTATCTCTACCCTCTGGTTGTGTTCGCTGACTAAAGGCCGAAATTCTACTAAGGTACTCTGCTCATTGGACCCTAGGGGATCCATCTATCTGGACACCAGCCCACATTACGGCAGAGCAGCATCCCACACTTTCTCTCCCTCGAAATAAGTACGCAAAACTTGCGCCTCAGCAAATTCGCCCCGACTCAAATCTCTATCCACAACAATAAAATTAGCTTTCTTGCCCACCTCGATACTTCCAATTTCTTTGTCTTTTCCAACGGCCTGCGCGCCATTCAAAGTAAGCATACGCAATGCAAGTTCAGCACCGCTCTGTGTTGAGCCACCACCAATTTGGTCCAGCTTATTGGCCATGTACCTCAGGATGGTAGGTTCAGGTGATGCGCCCCAGTCAGACCCGATGGTGATATGTGCGCCTGCTGTTTGCATCTTGGCGAAGTTCCAATCCATGAGTTCGCTTCCTTGTTCAAGCTCGCTTCCAAAGAATGCGGCAGGGCTCATTTCAGCAGTAACATTCAACTCCGCATATCGCTTGTAGTCTTCTACGATCTTGTTAGAATACAGATCAGTAACAAAATGTGCTTGTATTACATACCTTCGTTGACGCCGCTATTGTGCGCGATTTCGTGTCTAGGGCCGCCGGGATTGGTTTGTCGTGCTGCTTCAATGGCGTCTAATGCCATTCTTGTTGCTCCTTCGCCGGTACAATGGATTTTTACCGTCATTCCAAGTCGATCGTACTCAGCAACTGCCTGAGCAACGTCCTCGACTTGAATGTGCGTGCTGTTGACTTTGCCGTCCGCGTTGAGTGGCGCGTGCGAGAGGAACGGCGGGAGGGGAACACCATCCAAAACAATCTTAACAAAGTCCGGGTGAATGTGACTACTTCTAAATCTCTTCGCTTCTGCGAGGAGGCGGATTGAATCATCCTTACTTTCACGGGACACCCACTCAGGCCCATAAACTATATGCGTATAGATATCGAGTTTCACTGTCCCGTCATTTTCCATTTCGCTGAGTGCGCGCAAGAGCATGGTATTCGAAGATGCCTCTTGGACGCTCGTGATGCCGGATTGATGCGAGGATCGCATCGCACGTTGTAGGGCCCGCTTGATGTGCGGTGTACCCGGACGCGGCAACGCCACTCCAAACTTGTTCATGGCAGTTTCACCCAACTCGCCTGTTAGGCTGCCGTCTGCTCGTCGCAGGAAGATAGACCCTTGCGTGTCAGGCTCGTTGTTCACATCGTATCCGGCCAGCTCCAGTGCGGCCGTATTGAGGAGCGCGCCGTGGCCTGCACCACCATTCACAGCCACTGGGCGATCAGGAAATGCTACATCCAGATATTGGCGATCAACGGTGTTGTTGGGAAAGCCTTCGCTGCTGTAGACTCCAGCCAATATCCAGTTCTGATAGGTGTTGATATATTCGCAGGCGCATTCTCCTTGCTCTACTCTTTCAGCAATATTGAAGCTTGTAACATTTGTACCAATGTTGGCGTCTGATATGAGGGCAAGGCCTGATATCATCAAATGTGAATGTGCATCGTGTATTCCGGGCATGGTGAAGTTGCCTTTAAGATCAACGACGATGAGTTGAGAACGATTAGCTATAGAAGCTACATCCTCTGTTGTTCCAACATGCGTAAAAATTCCGTCAGGTGAGACTATGAAGCCAGATGCCCATGGGTTGGTGCTGTCGACGGTATAGACCGAGCCATTGATATAAGCCACGGAATCGGCTAGCGCCAACGATGAAATGTTAAGAGACATTGATGGATGGTATTCTCGTAAAGGTGGTTGTACTGCAATATGTGTTCAACCCTCCATTCTTTATCTGCATTCATCTTTTACTATATCGGAAAGATTCTCCGGTTCCGCGGGTCTTCAGCCACCTTCATCAATCTGGGGCGGAAACTTTCCAGGAGCTCAAGGATATCATACACAGTAAATTGTCGTGTCTCGGCTTGACTCTGGCTTTAGGATCCTAGCCACAATCTAGGATGTTGAATTGGTAATCGGTACCAAGAAAAATGATGGCCTTATTGATGTTATAGTGCCGGAATGTATCAGCTCACTATATGGATCTTAGCTGTTGACGGCTTAACAAAGACTGGACCAGGTGGAGCAAAGGCATGGCTAGGTATGTCATTCCCCCTCGGCCTGGCTGTGCACATCCTACCTAAGGATAGTAATCACAATTATGGTATCTATCACTAAGCAGGTATGCTGTGACCAAATGACAGGCGTGACAGATAGCGGACATGGTTAAAGTGAGTAGGGGGGATTGTAGATATTTCTAAACAATCATTCGTTTACTGCATAGTACACAATACATAAGTACGACTTCGCTTCCTCAAAGTCGTGATAAAATCAGGCACCAACCATTTCAAAATTCGACCTCTTTCGAATTGCCTTGCGACTTTGTGCCGAGGTAAGATTAGATGATCGTGGTGATATCGCCTTAGCTGGTTTATCATTACTGGGCAGTAACGATGCATCCGAGTGCACACGCTAAGCCGAACGTGGCAGTTTGCACCGCCAAGTCTTCGTAACCCATGTCTTGCGCTAACCCGTCTCGGTGCAGCGGACAAACCTCCGCCAACGTCACCACGATCACGGCCCTGACAACACTCCTAATCAATCTTCCGTTCTACAGCTACTAAAGGCACGATTGGCTAGGTAGCATCCCGTGCGCAACGTCTGCGTGGTCTATGCGGGTAAGGGCGTCGCAGATGTACGGTGCCTGTAAACGAAGTGCCGAAATTGAAGCCGTTGAAGCGGAATAGGTGCGCGAGATAGAATGCGGCGTGTGGGAGCTAAGTGCACAAGAGCAGATTGAGAGGTATGACAAACATATAAGCAACGTAAGATTCCTTTACGCATCGCCTGCCAGGATCAAGGTATCTATGTCAAAATGAAGTTGAGGCAGCGGTGGGGCAATTTTGTGCGCGGAAAAGTTGATGCGGCGAGACAGCAGTGTGGGAATTGTGATCATAAGACTACAAGATCGCTATTCTCGACGAAACTGGATCTAGGAATGAGAAAACAGGTGGCTGCAAGTGACGCTTTGCATTCAGATTCCTCCAGTCCGGCCATCCATTGCCAATTCAGCATACACTCTGGAGTTGATGGGGCCTTCTCTACAATGTGTCATTCTTCGGGGTTTATAGCCATGAGAACCTGGGGTCTATCGTAGCTATTCAACCCCTTCTTGACATTCTCCCAGGCTCGACAAACACGAGTGCCTGTTGATACTTCTTGAGCCAAATACGAATAGACAAATGCACGACAGACCTGACCTATGTGGCTTCTCAGACGGGCAAATATTGCTATGGCCTACGAAAAGGCAGGAGTGATGCGCAGCAAGACATGGGAAGTTGCACAGAACCAGGGCCAAGTTGCAGCAAAATCAACCAGCGACTATATTCCTTTCGCGGATCCTCGAGATGATCCTCCTAGCCGATACCTCAGCTCTCAGAAAGCTGTTGAGGAAATGAGTCGAAACCTGAAGTTGAGTTACTTTTCGGATGCAAGATAGGTTTCTATCACCCAACGGCACCGCAGCCGCCGTGTCAACAATCACGCCTTTCAATGTCTATCACTACAACAAGCGGAATCTCGTCATTGCATACATTATTGCAGTCGGTACAACAGCGTTGGTGCTGGGCCTGCTCGTATCCGCCAGAAATGGTTTTCTAGACAGCACCGCAAATTTCTAAGCTGTTCTGAGTGCGACTATCCGTAACCCGGGGCTAGGAAACTTCATTGAGCGATATAAAACAGGCGATACAGAACTCAACCCTTCTTCGATGGCTGGTAGTCCGGAAATTCTCCAGTTGAAGTTGAAGTGTGGGAGACTACTGGACAACCACATGCCGGACATGGAGAGAAGCGAGGCCGGAGATGTGAACGCAACCAAAATCAAAGCTTTTGGGGGATCAGAACAAGTCTTTTGGCACTGAGGAATACGACACATCCTTTCGTTCCTCAGAATGAATAGAGGGACAAACACGTTTGTCCAGTGCAAGTTTTTGCCCGTTATCTCTTATTTTCCCGCTTTTGCCGAAACTCTCGGCCTCAGTCCTTCATCCCAATCGATGAAAGTCTGGTGCTGATAATCCGGCATACATTTCACTTTCTCCGGTGGCTTTGTCTCCCACTCAATCCTCCCATCATTCCCTTCATTCCCTTCATTCCCAATATGTTTCACCACATACCCCTTGAGCGCCTTGATCTTCTTTGTCGCTTCATCACTATACTCCACATTTACACTCGGCACCACCGCAATTTTACCATATCCATTCGCCCACATATCCTTCGCAAACAGTTTTGGCTCGCCCTGGAAGCACTCGCCCGGTCCACGAGCCCTGAACTTGATGCGCCCGTCTAACAGCGGCTTCGCAGTGAACGAGGTGACGCCGTTCCAGCACGCAAACACCTGGAAGGGCTTAGCAGCAGCAAGCCGAGCGCGCGCCTTATCGTCATTCCAGAAGAGATTCCACGCAAAGTCCCAGCTCCCGTCTTCGGGGATCTTGAAGAATGTATCGCCAGTCATGCCGCGCGCGATCCAGACATCGTAAAATGTTGGATTTTCGCCCACATACGTCCAATCCATGGCACATGTCTGATCAGCGCCCTGCCAATTCCGCTGGTGAAGGAGCTCTAAGATGTCGTCTGTGCAAAGCGCAATGTCGTTAAGGAAGATGATGGTGGTGTCTGGGTCGTAGTGTTCTGGGTAGTTGAGAAGATCCTGCAAGGCAAGGTTCCGCAGGCCTGCGAGGGCCTCAATGCGATCTTTTCCAGCGGCGGTAGGATCGATGTCACTCGTCTGAAAGAAGTACTTCACACCGAGGGCTTGCAAGCGGGGACGAAGTTCGTGCAAGACTTCAAAGGTGCCGTCATCGGATCGGCCTTCCACTATGGACAGCACGCAGTTCTCTGAACCAAGGAACGTGATTGTTTCAACGATGGAACCCAGTAACCGTGGAAGTATGTGAACACATTGATGTAGGTCAAGTGCGAAGAAATACCTGGGCTGCGACGAGACTTCAGATTGGTTTGGTGGGTGTCTCAGGTAAGCATAACGGTCAAGGTTCGGCTGTTGGCACTCCAGACGAGAAAAGTTTGGATCTGATGGATTCAAGATAGCCTGGATATATTCTGGTGCTTGCGCGACCAGAGTATCGTTTGGTTTTCTTGGCAACCCAGTTGGAACTGTTCCGGGCGAAAGGGCGCCACCCGATGTTTCTGGAAACCGTCAGGTTCCTTTCGTTCAATAAAACCGGAAAAAATCAATACATACCCTCTGAAGGTGAGCTGAGGTTCTCAGTGCTGATGTGCTTCGTCTGAAACACACGGTCGCTGTACCGGACGAACCCGAATCCAAGAATGAGAAGGAAGATGGCTGAAAGTAAAGCGATGATTTTAAACAGCGATCGCAAGCTTCTTAAGTTAGCCATGGGCGTAATAGAGGGCTTCAATCGCCAAAAATGTCAAGTGTGAGGGTTCCGAAGTTCCCACAAAGAAACAGCGACATGACCTCGAAGGAGTCGAGGTGACCGCAGACCCGGACGACTGTGCCACATCTAGCGAGCTGCACGGATACTTGCAAGGAACAAACCCACTTGATCCATCCGTTATCTCCAAGAATAATTTCGCTAAACTCGAAGGATCAGCGGGCGCTTAGAGCACGAATCAGAAAGCGGTGTTTGTTCACATTGTATGGGCGCTTTCAGATGGATGAATAGCTGCATGAAGTTGTTGGTAGGAGGCTGCGGCGCGGTTAGGAGAACCAACAGGTGCGCCACGGCTCATGTATTAGGTTTTCCACCCTGCCAGTCAGCTTCGCACACTATCATCATTTATTCTCACGCTCATTTGTACTCAGTGAGATGTTTCTGACCATTGGCCTTCTCATCTTGATCATAGCGACAGCTTCGCGTGCGACAACCTGCGGATACAAGGACGGCAACCCCCAGAGCGCCCGAACAGCTCAGTCTGACTACAGATGCCGCGTAGATACCGCAAACGGATTGTGGGGATTCTGTCCAGCAACTGTGATATCAGCAAGAGATTGCGGTCTAGCCGGAGTATGCGTGGACAGACATTCTTGCACTGATGGTTGTGGCCGTCTATCTGACCGACCGGACATCACCACTTTCTCATGGTCAGTTCTCCCATAGCGTATCAGCCGACGGGATCTAAGAATGAGCAGTGAAAGCTCACAGTTCTGTTCCACTGTGCTACTGATCAATGGCCCTGATCAGTCCTTTGAGTACATTGCTTGCGGAGCAGAAGCTCGAACCGATAGGCTATTTCCGTCTCCGAGCTCCGTCGCAGCAACAACAACACCATCGAGTTTCAGCTCTGTACTCAGCAGCTCTTTGACTAGTCTACCCTCGCGACCGACGACCACGGTCGTAGAAACATCTCCCATACCCACCTCCAGCTCCAGCTCTGCTTTGAACTCCTCAATCGCATCTTCGACACCAGAACCAATCTCTACTACTGCTAAGCAAGAGCCATTGCACCTTGGAGCTATAGTGGGAGGGGCTATTGGGGGCCTTATCGTGATTTGCTTGACCGTTCTCGGAGTCGTACTCATACGACGTAAGCATGGACTTAAGGGACAAGGGACATCGCCCCCAGGCCATACTAATCACGGCTGGAACGAATTCGCAGACGACGCTTCGGGAGATGTTAAGAAGAACAATCACTGGGTGAGTAACCATGGCCCGGTCGAGATGTACAGCGGACATCACGTCAATATGGAACCCGTTGAGCTGGACACCTTGAAACGAGCCAAATGAGAATTACCCCGAAGGAAATACAACTATATCATGTAACAATCACATCTAGAACTCCAGCATTAGACTAATACTACCCAAGTATTCGCGATACAACCTCGTCTGCCGCATTGAACAGCGGGCTGTTGACAGGAGTGGCGAAAGAAATCCGATACGCATGGCCGCTTTCTAGCGGCCTTTGTTGCAGCCACTTCACAACTTCGTAGTATCTACACTATTTTATTGCAGTCGATAAGGTACAGAACTGGGACTAGATATGCTATCACAAGCATACAGACTCTGACAAGAAGACCTAACGCGATCATTGACCCTTTCTGTCTAATCTGTATTTTCTCAAGTGGTTGGTTGACCATACGTGATGATCGAAGGTTTCAGTAACTCTTTCGTTGTTCTCCATCAATTCATCCCACCACAAACACACATCATTGACCGGTTGGACTGGCCCGTCATTCTCCTGGAAGAGCGAGCACCACAAGGTCATGAAGAAAGGGGTCTAGAGAGGCGCCATCTGGACACTAAGATGATTCAGAAGAACGAATGTCTATCGTTGAGACTAGGCCGTCTTTGTTCCATTATACGACCACTGCAACTCGGGCCAAAGTGCCCTTATCTCATCTGTGCCACTCAATACTCCCTCGCCTTTTCCTACAAGGAGGCCTTGGAAACTCCCCACAAGTGTTCGCGTGATGTTGATCATCCGTTCAGCAGTCATAGCACCCTGACCACCCGTTATCCTAAGCCCCTGCTTCATGATAATCAGATCGGAGAAATCGGAGTGGTTTGATCGACCTCCAATATTGATTTCTTTAGCCCAGGCCGACTGTCGAGCATCGAAGTTTGCAAACAGGGGGTCGCCCTTGTGTTGTCCAGAGCTCAACAATAAGTTGGGTATCCGTAGGTCTACCGACGGACTGTTGCCAGAAACCGGGACCCAGAGGCTTCCATCTGTGTTTAGAGCGCCGAGGATCCTATGCTTCTGTTCGTTTGTACGATTGCGTTCGTACAGAATCTGGCTGAGTGCTGCAGAGCCGCCGAGCGAGTGGCCGAAGAATGAAAAATGTGTGGAGTTGAGGGGGATGGATAGGTTCTTTGATATCGTAGGTATGGCATCGAGGACTGCTGATGCGTCCGCCAGACGGTAGTCGTGTACACGCTGCACAAATTTTAACTTCTCCTGCGTATCCGTCTGGTAGTTGAATGGCAAGCCACTCACACCAGTACCATTAGGTAGCTGGATGTACGGTGCCTCATGTGGATGATCCAATGCCACAACTGAGTAGCCTTGAGATGCCATCTCAGAGAGGAGAGCGTGGAATAACCGAGAAGGTGGTCCCGCAAAACCTGGATTGAAGATGAGTGTCGGCAGTTGCAATTTGCTCCATCTTCTTAGAGGGAGGGGCTTCGCCTCGTAAGCTACGGGTGCAGTAATGTTGCCGAAGGTGCCATTTGGAAGTCCGTAGAAGTTATCGTAAAGATTGGACAAGTTGTCCCAGACATACTTTGAGGGCACGGCCTTTTGTTCAGTCGGGTAGTATACGTTGAGTAGGATGAAGGTTCCGGTACCATTGGGTGCTACTGGATCATTCAGGGTGAGCTTGGGAAACACGAATGATTTTGAGCCGACGCTGAACAAGCCCGTTGGAGGTGGAAGAACAAAACTGTGGCAAAGCGCTACGATACCCGCCGCAACTACGAGTATGGGAGTTTGAATTTTCATATTGCTTATATGTAGATCCGAGAATGTCGGCAGCGGATATGTGGTCTTAAGTATCGCAGTCGATATACATGTTCTGAGGAGACGTGGTAGAAATGTTGTCTTGCGTGGAAAGAAAGATTGGTGATTGGATAGGGCCGCCACCAAGCTGACCCGTCATCGAGGACCTTCTACTTTTGAGCAAGGCGCGTGCGGGGTGCGCGTGCAGCGCGTGCCAGTAAAGATTATCTTATCGTCAGCCTTGTAAGCAAGGCAACCCACTAGGCTATGGCCATGCTACCTTTATGTTAGATAAAGATCAATGCCGTCTCACACAACTCATCATTGGTTTGACCTACTTATGTTGCCAGTTGCTCGCCGTTTTCGTTTTCATTGTAAGCGCGACTTCCGTCTCAGTGTGACAGATTTGTCGATTTTCAGCACCGGACGTACTGGGCACAGTTGCTACGTTGATGTCTTGGACTAATTGGACCAGTATGCGCAAATGTCAATTCGTGATCAGGATATATTTTGTAGTACCGAGACTTGTTCTCACATACGACCATAGGACGTTGAAAACAAGTTCTCTTGCCCGACCCGCCGTCTGTCGAGGTACTGTTTTGAGGTGGTTATCGGACTACTGTCATACGTTTCTAGTATCCACGCCCTACTCCGCCTTGCGAACACCCACTGACATGATTAATTAATTGAGGCAAATCTGCTTAGTTACAATATGTGGCAGAAATTACGATCCTGACATGCGTTTTTCACTTGTATACAGCCTACTCCCCAAGACTAGACCTCCTGTCCACCATTGGTCTATAACACGTTTACTGCAACGATGAGAAAGTGCGTGCGTGCGTTCAAACTTAAGCTCTTTAAAAGTCGCTCTTAATAGGGAATGGTACTATATCCCTTGCCTAATAAAGATATTAAGAATACGCTTAACGAATTGGCTCTTAGATTATGTAAGTATATTTTAAGGCCAAGTAAAGTCCTCTTGTACAATCATGTGGTTATGGAACAAGTGAGTGCTAGTCTATGGAAAAATTCTTAGGCTTATGAGACGAGTTTCTTCAAGACGGTGCTACAAAGAAGCACTATCCTCTTGTTTCCTATACCTGCCCGTCCTTATACTTACGGTCCACCTCAAGCTGACGTAGACCTGATGTAGCATCCCTAACTAGCCGTGACCGATATTGCAGCTTCAATGTGTATTGGTTCAAAGGGATAGTTGTGTCAGGCTTCTTTTAAGGCTCGTAAACCCAAAACACATGCCATTCTAGCTAAAGTTTAGCAAGCATAAATCGCCCATTCGATTCTACAAGCTTCACATTTATCTGCTCGGCTCTTATAGTGTGACCAATACTCGAGGAGCCGAACTTGTCCTGTGCTTCCACCCTTGTTTCTTCACTCTCTGGCAATATGAACAGTAGCGGCAGAACGTTGTCCCTCCATAACGGCGCTGAAACACGCCGACTTTTCCACGTCGCACCGACCCAGACGACGAGACTGATTGTCCATAGGACCATGGGTAACGAGAGCCATATCCATTCAACCCTCAAGAATGTAGTGGTTACGAACACTCTCCCGATTGCGACATCAGGCATTCTGGTCCCATTGATTGGTATAGACACATCGCGAATTGTTCTAGTCCTAAAAGTATGGTTAGCACAATAACGTAAAACATATATTGAGAGCTTACATTGCGTTTCCCATAGCGTTAAAGACACACGCAAAGTTGTCATGTGGCGTTTCGCAGGTCTCACGCGTGAATGACGCTGAGAATATCGCTTGGATCTCGTCTTTGTAGAAATATAGCCCCGTACCCGAGTCAGCTTCTTGAACTTGGCCATTAAGGTCTAAAAAGGAATGTCGAGCTGAGTCGTAAGCTTCGAATGTCATACCAAAGGTCTCATTGAACCTGACTCCTTTTCCCTCTCCCCATGGCGGTATGGCGATTAGATCGCCGCTATCATATTTGTCATCGAAGTAATAGGTATCCACAATTTGCTCTTGATATAAACCGCGAATGACTGCAGCATCAATACTGTTAATACAGCGCAGCATGGAGCATTCGGTTCCAATCACCCTGGTGTTATTGCGCACCTTCCTCTGCATTCCCAATTTCTCCAAATCGGCTCTGTTGATGTCGACTCGGAGTGAACGCCATATTGGTGAATCTCTACCAGTGGAGTCGCCCTTGATTCCATCAGTGTTGAGAGCAATCGTGGATAGTGCCCGTTCAACTCTGAAGTACGTGTCCGCTACCGTGTAAAGTGCCGGCGCTGCTGTAAACGTTAAATACGGCGATCCGTCTGGGAAAGAGACGTTGCAGTACTGCGATCGACCTGGCTGGGTAGAATATGCTGTGCAATTACGGTCTAGATGTTCAGTGACATCTACGCATCTTGGACAATACGCTAGGGTAGCGAAGCGATCCCAAGTACAGTTACCTGTTGGACAGATATGTTGTGGATGTAGCGCATTACTACTTGTGCTGCCAAAAATTGCGCTATACATACTGCCTCTTAGAGCAGGGTTCGCACCGCTATCTTTCGAATGTTAGTGGACCATTTCTTATCCTATTGAATGGTTTCCAATACTGACTTGCATTAACGATATTCGGGCCTTTCTCTCGATAAATCGTCGTTCTTGCAGCATATGATATCTGTGTCTCGTCCACTATAGCATCATCCCTAAAATGAATCACGTTCTGGATGAAAGGGTCCACTCCAATACGAAGAATGATTGCAACAGCACCTAATGATGCAAGGTGTCTGAAAGGATTCCTTCAGTAAAGATCTGGCTGAATCAAGGTAGGATGGGCATACCGAGCTCGCAGATGAAGAAGTAGCGCCATTGAGCCAAAAACTCCCCTGCTTGCACTATCAAACAGTTGAATGTCTGCGAGTTTGCGCTCTTTTTCTGAAAACCACACCCATTTCAGCTGGTTGAGTGCATGTGTAACACTGTACAGAGCTCCGATGTTTATAATAGCGCTCAAGATGGAGACCACAGCGTTGAGTGAGATAGGCCAAGTTGGTCGTTGTTCGCCGTCGTACTTGCGAAGGATGATCGCGATAGCGATCAGTCCAGCTGCAGAGCATAGAAGGCCTAGAAGCTCCAATATACAGGTCTCCTGAAAGCTTCGAAACCAGGATAGCTGAAGAAGCGATCGTGGGGAAGACGGACTTTTGGGAGTGTCCTCTACTGCCTTTGGGAGAACTTGGCTTCTTTCCTCCAAACGTATGGCTGGGATCCACCGCCTACCGCTTGAAGCAGTGTCGATAAGGCATCGAGTATCCGTTTCTGCTTGTGAGTACATCGTTGGTGTTGGTGTTTTCCTGCCTCACGCATAAGTGGGATTTTATGGACATTATATCTTCAAGCTTTGGCCAATCGTTGTGTTGTAGCCCCTGCTGAAGATGAGCTGCAATCTGTTCATTTAGGAGGCTAAAATTTTTGGAAGGATCTGTTAATCTAAAGTATGCAAGCCATGAGCAGGAGAGTTGTCCGAGAAAGTGTAGGCAAGGTCCGTGTCATATTCGAAGTATTGTTAGACTTTGTTTATGTACTGACATGTATCAGCAATTTCCATAGGAACTGTCGGAAACATCGTAAGTTTTTATCACATTCACAGTACTTCGGGTATCTCGATCTATTTTACTGTCATGTCAGATGTCTGTGAGCCGTTACTATACCGATAGTTGTTGGTAGCACTGCAACACAAGCAGGCGCAGCTTGAGCCATAAGCAACGTCCCATATTCAGTTTCAAGCTTAATGCGATGTGGCAAGAGTCTACGTCCATCCATATGTATGAATGACACAGAGCGTCTTCCGCGACTGTGGTTGAGCTCGAAAAGTGCAGTCAGCCCCCACACTAAGCGCTTGCGATCAGCCAATATCCTTAACGTGAAATAGCCGAGATTAAGAAAGTTTCAAAAGCCGCCACCAACGCTCGCGAGTGCTGGATTCTATCGTGATTTGTGCCGGTCGGTCCGATGAGCGCGTGGGCTCTTCCTTGGCAGTTACTTCTGTCTGTGTTTACGGGTGAGGGCTAGTTGACTGTATACGGCAAGCCGGAAGACGATGTGGGTATAGCCCAATGCGATGGGTGTTATGCTAAGCTCTAATTCATATACGACCAGATTCAGTGAAATTTTTACATGCGACCATAGGACGTTGAAAACAAGGCTTCCCGTTCGCTCAGCCCGATTTAAGCAAAGTACCGGTGGATTAGTACTCAGGTGGGTGACCACTGGGGAATCCCCACTGTTGTATGTAACGAATCTCTTTTTGCAGCTCTTGGCTCAGCCCTGTGAAGATAAGAATGGAATCATAGGATATAGTACAGCAATGACGCTGAAACCTGCGAAGCGTTACCAGTACCTTTTTGGAGAACAATGGTATGCTCTATGCACGTCTGCTCAATGCGCATCAGGTATGCTTCAATATTAATTAGTCCTTTAGCTTCTATCTACCTCCACAGGGTAAGACGCGCAACAGCCTGGACGGCCAGTAGCAACTACTTGCAGTTTCTACACAGTAGGTGTTTTGTGTAACGGTCAATCTAAGAGTGGTTATACTTTTTTCCATGTTTTTAATCGAGTGGCCATGACGGAGTAAGCGAATTGCTAATTTAAGCCTAGGCGGTCCAGCCATACCTACTATTCCAGCCATGTCCCTACCGCTGCCCCTTCACCAATGTCCCCGCTTTCCCTTCCCGCCCCAAGGATCATAACAGGGGGGTAAGCGTCAGGCTGATACAGTGTGCCAGTGCGGCAGGCATGACCTGTCCGGTCTGGCGTCAACACCTGTGTACGCATCCTGTACATGCGTTGTTTAAAGACTTAGTACAGTCACTCACCAAGTCGTCACTTTGACATTGTCTCATGTTTAGCAGTTTACACCATATCGGCGTGCCCGCGTCAGCCACACCACTTTATCGCCTGTCGACATCACCATGGGTTCCATGATCAAGAATCTTTTGAAAAGGCTGCGCAAATTGCCCGACGGCGAGATCATAAGTGAAGCAGAGTTCAACAATCCTCTAAGTTTCCTACAGCCTTGGGGCTTCACCATCTATCGAACGTACTATGGGCCCGGATCTGATCGGCAATGGGACGAGCTGATCCAGACCATTACCAATGGCGCCAAGGATGCAGTCAGAGGAAACGCAAAATCTACCGATGACCCTGCCATGATTATCAAAGCAGAGAAACTCTTCAATTTAGATACTCGCTCAAATCCTGCAGTTCTAGATGGCTTAACACTAGAAGAAGTGCGGCAGCTTTATCACGATGGAACGGGAGGCCAGCCAATGAACACGGACAGGGACCCATGGCGAATTTTTATGCTAGCAGATACAGAGGTGTTGGCAAACCCTGACCTTGCTATGATCAAATGTGTAGCAGCAGACTACGACGCTGCTGCTTGCGTGCCAAAGAATCCGCGATTTGGCCCACAGCGGTACTTTGGGTGGTTGAGAATGTCTTCAGACCACGTTCTCAAACTATGGTCTGAATTGGAGATATATGTCCTTGAACAAATTGTCAATCATACAGCGGGTGGTCCCAGTGCGTGGTGGGATCCAGATGATGGATGTTGAGCCAGCTTCAAGTCGCAATTTATTGCTTTTATGCTACATGATTGATGCAACGAAGCTGCTTTGCAAATAGAAATTCATTCAACAATCGCAGTATCCGTCATCAAGATATAGCGTGCATAGTAAATGAAAGCATAACTCATGTAGCGGTAGCCTTTAACAGCTAATTCTCACTGGACAGAGGCACAAACAGAATTGCCAATGTAACATGCAATGATAACCTCCACTGCAACTGTAATCTGATGAAAGGAGAATTAGTTTGTATTCTCGCTGGTCACAGCCACTATCCGGCGAGATTGATGTAAGGATATTGGGAGCTCTCACGACCCTAATCCCACTGTGCCGTCAAATCCCCAACATGGCTAGGCATTGCGGGTTGAATAGCCAACAACGCGACAACTATCGTTTTCTAGATCATCGAAGATGTATTGATCTCCAATCTCTTCAGGTCCAACTCGTATGCTTCCATAAAGCTCATGATGTTTTGAGCTCCAGGATCCGAGCTATTCTCCATTGTTTCGCGTAAGAGGTCGATGGCTGCGGTTGCAACAGTATTGACACGGTAAATCGCCCACGTGTAAAGCGCTTTGACCCACTCCGACCAAAATTCCGCGATGGTTGTCTGATCGTCTGGATATGCCGCGTTGTGTGCAGCCTGCAAGGCTCGAAATCGATCGCCAATGTTGTTGATTCTCGCAGTCAATCGACCATTGACGTTAGGCTGGTTCTGATTGTTCAGGTATTTTAGCATGGCGAGAGCCGCTCGTATCTTTCTGATCGCCTTCATAGCATCTGCTTGCGTTCCGCTTGCTGCCACTTCTTCAAGTCGCCTCCTTCAATAAAGTCTTTTCCCAGCACGATCTGTAGCACAAACGGAGCTATTAGCACCCACCTAATATACGGTCATGTAATAAGAGAGAATAAAAATACCTACTTACCGACGTTTTCGTTTGTTGGATTGGCACACGGAGTCCAATAAAATTTGCGTTTTTTGTGACGCTCCCCAGACATTTCATGACCCGTGGGAAGATAAACCTCAACCCTGAATCAACACCTAGGCTGCTCCCACCTAGAAGAGGTGGGGCAGAGACACCTATAGGCATCGTTCGAGTTATTTCGAAGTAAGATGCTGCCACTGCCCCTGTGGTCGCCGTTGCGCCGCTTCGAAGTCTAGCAGAACGAATATTAGTAGTTTGGGTCTTCTAGATTTTACGGAATACACTCATCTGCTGGCGTACGCGTCCTCCACAAATTGATCAATGAGCTAGCCATTCACAAGATGTTCTACTGATCGTATTGTAAGCCAAAGAGGAGACAGGTGAATCGTGGAAGCTCATAGACACATTTGATTATTTTACTCATAGAGCTCGGAAAATAGGGGTATGTCGCGAAAAATCTCACAGAACATACCAAGGCCCTCTGCCTGTGGCGCAGAAGTTGTTACGTACTTATTGTAGCAAAGTATGTTCGAAGAATATCTCTATACGTTTGTATTTTAGTTTATAAATCAAGTGCAGTTTCTAAGAGCTTTAGAGACGTAGCATATTATGTAAGCTACATGCGTAGATATACAAATTCAACTCATGTGTAGCTATCTGTAACTAAAGATCTAGCCTAGGGCCTCTGACGCGCGACAACTTGCAGAGACCTTTGCAACTACCCGAAGGTAAGTTAGATGTTCTATGTAATTATCATCTCAAGAGTGGACTTCTTGATGTTTGTTGTGTTTTTCTCACTCGTTTAAGTCGGGTGGCCATTACGTAGTACGGGGTAAGCGGATTGCTTGTCTGGCTTACCGTGTCCGTGCGCGTAACGCCCGGAGTCGCGTGACGCCCGATCACTAAAACAAGCATCTATCTTTAACGCGTCATAACTCCACAACTATGGCACCTATTAATAATGCGCTTGCAGCAATTAAAGCGCTAGAACTAGGAGAGAAACTTGTATATTAAAAAATTACTAATTAGTTTGGTGTTAATTGCTTAACGCTAGCGCAGAGACACAGGGGTGTTTAGGCACCTCTAGAGGTTAAGAACCTTAACTAGCAGAAGCTTACTCTATAATAAGAGAAGGAGCTTATAACTTATATAAAGGAGCTTACTACTTATTATATACTACCTATAAGGGAGATAATATAGAATTTTGCGTCTTCTATAGCTAAGGAGCATATAAGCAAGAGCTAGGTTACTTAGTTTATTAATAACTACTCTATCTATCTTATCTCTTAATACTTAATAGGTATAGACGCTAATTACTATAACGCTAATTTATATACAAAGTATAAGCTATACTTTAACCTACTATAATGCAAGGTTACTAAATATAAGGTTAAGAGCTGCTATATATATAATATAGATAAAAAGGGGTTTATAATTAGAATTACTACTAGGATAAAATACGTGTTTAGTAGGCAGATATAGGAGAAGAGGGAGGTTAAAGCATTACTTTAAGATAGTAATAGGGCCTAGGTTATACTACTAGCTTATATATATAGTAATAGGACTATACTGCTACTAGGCATCCTCTATAAATCTGCTAATAGTACTATCTAATTAAGCTAGGTAGAGGAAGTATAGCTAGGGGTATATAACGTACTTATTTCCTCCTTACCTACTAGCTAGACTAATAATAATATAGGCCTTGCCTAGCTTTAACAGGTATTTAATTGCTTTACTAAGACTAAGGCGCAGAGGAAGTAGCACCTCCTAATCCTTAATAGCTATAGATCCTATATAACTATAGACTTTATTAACTACTATAATTAGAATAAGATACTCCTAGCTATTCTACCTCCTTACTTAACCTATATACTATAGCTACTTAATATAGTTATGTTTAAGCCTCTCTTAACTGCATACTTAAAGGAGCTTATAATATACCTTTATAATAGCTAGGGACTATTAGTAATTAAGAAGAGTAACTTCTTCTATCTATTCTAGAAGGCCTAGATAAGCATATTTACTTAGGGGTTAATACTTAAGTCTTTTAAGGCAATAGGTATAGCACCTCTTTAACCTAATATTATCCTTTACTACTTTGCTAAGCCTTCTCCCTAGGCCTCTAATGCTAGTAGAAGCTCTTCTTTAACCTACTCTAGCAGAGATTAGCTAAAAATAGAGACCCTACTATGCAAGGTTGCTAAGGATAAGAGTAGTAAGGAGTTAAAGAAGATTAGCTACTTGCTCTACTATATCTTAGTCTAAAACTAGCTACTCTACTATAAGATAGTAGGCCTAAAAGAGGTTTTTAAGACTTAGAAGAAGTATAAGAAGAAGAGCAAAGTTCTTAACTTCTAGGAACCTAAGAACTATTATAGTAGAGCAGTGTTTTACTCTCCTTATAGGGTTAATAAAGCACATTAGTATAAGTAGGTAAAATAATAAGAAGCTAAGGTAGAAGAGGTTAAAAAAGCAGAGATAGCTAAACTTAGGCACGCAAGTAAGCTATATAAAGAGTAAATAGCTTAGGAGAAGCATAAGCAACGTGCAATAGAGAAGGAAGAGAGAGACTATACTAAAGCTAAGAAGGCAGAAGAAGTAGCTAAACGCAAGGCTAAAAAGGAATATTAGAAGCAAGCTTATAATGCCTAGCAAGCTATCTAATTATCCTAAAGAGGTAATAAGACAGCTTTAAAAGCTTCTATAGTTAAACTAAAGCCTACGCGTTATAGTATAGGTGCGCGTAGCTATCTAAAGCTAGCAATGCTGCCTCTACTAACACGCACCTATACTATATATAGCAGCTAAACTGCTATATTATATAGATAGATTATATAAGCAATAACAATTGCATAGCCCTATAGAATACTCTACTAAAAAATCTAATAATAATAGCTATTATACGTGGCTTAATAGCCTTATTTTTATAATGGGCTCAAAGGCCTGGAGCGGGCGTCACGCGACTCCGGGCGTTACGCGCACGGACACGGTAGTCAATCCAGCCATGGTCTAATATTGTTCCGGCCATGTCCCTGGAAAATGACGCTGTGCCTTCATTGATCTCCACACTTTCCCTTCCCGCCCCAGAGTATTCATGTCGCTAGCGCATTCACTCAAGACTATCGGTAGGAGGTACTGGAGCCGCAGCGAACCTCCTGCATCTCCGCGCCCTCGAGCGCCCACTATTACATGTCGAGGTATTACCTGTAAAGTCCTATTCTCGACCAGGCTAAACTGTGACAGGCAGACCTATCAGCCGTGATGAATTATTCAAGTACACGAATGGGCGTTTTTTGGCAAACGAGAAGAAGGCCCTTGACCGCAGATATCTGAATTTTGACATAGATCAACTCTGCGCAGTAGGCGCGTCCACTGGGCAACAATCACCTGTCCGTGCAATTGAAAAGATGGAGGGAGGGTTCAGCAAGGCGCTTCTTCTATGTAAGGAGGATGGAAGCGAAATCATTGCGAAGATGCCGTTCTCCATTGCTGGGCCATCAAAGTACACAACAGCTTCTGAAGTAGCTGTTCTTCAATATTGTAAGGATGCCATGGATACAAATGCGGTGTTGTGCATAAGACTAATTGTAGTAATAGTATATAAGCATACTCGATCAGGTCCCTGTTCCGAAGGTTTTAGCCTGGGATTCTGATCCGTCAAACCCTGTGGGCGCCGAATACATTATGATGGAAAAGGCTCCTGGGATACAGCTATTCAAGATATGGGCCGAAATGAGTGACTGGGATAAACTATGCATTGTGCAGCAGCTAACAAAGCTTGAAGGCCAAATAGCCCGGATCCGCTTCCCTGCCAGCGGAAGTCTTTACCTCTGCGAGTCCATGGGAGACAACGACACATATGTCAGTCTAGGTCGCGAATCGGACCCATCTGGACAGTTCTGCATAGGGCCATCCTGTGAGCGAGGATGGCACCCCCCAGGCATGACAGCGTCTTTGCGTTCTGCTTTCAACCCAGGACCATGTCAGTAGCACATCTTGAAAGATCCTCCCCAGACTGACTTTTCTTGGCAGGGCCTGATTTGTCTTCTTTCGGTATCGCCCTTGTTGAACGGGAGATTGCGCTCCTCAGACAGGAGTTGACGACCGCTACCTATAGCCCACCCCGTGGATCTTTTGATGAACAAATGACTGTTCTTGAGATGACCAAACGAGTAATGTCTGCCTTAAATGAACCCACATTTATCGACCGAGTCTCTGAGCCAGTCTTGTGGCACACTGATCTACACATGGGCAATATCTACGTGTCTGAAGAGGATCCAGCCAAAATTGTCTCTCTTATTGACTGGCAGTCAATTGTGGTCTCACCTTCATTCATTCAAGCACGCTTCCCAGAATTCTTGCCAGTCAATGAAGACTACGCCCTTGGTACTACAGAGTTTCCTAAGCTTCCGCAAAACTACAATGAGATGGACGCGGACAGTAGAGAATATGCAGAGCATAAGCTGAAGGAAGCTAAGCTAGCAAAGGGGTGGGAGCTAAGCAGTGGATCAGAGAACAATCGGGCATACAAAGTTTTGCGAATACCGTCATTCTTACGCGAACTCTTTATCCGAAGCGGGGAGGTCTCAGAAGAAGGCGTAATACCACTTCAGGCCTGTCTTATTGAGCTTTCTAAGACATGGAACGATCTAGGCTTCACAAACCAATGCCTAGTCAATTTCAGCGAAGCTGATATGCAAAGACACGAGCAGCAGTTCAAAGAGTATCGCAGCTATCACGAAGTACACGAACTTGCTAGAAAGATGCTTAGGACTGATGTTGAGGGCTGGATCACGCCCCAGGTCGATTTTGCGGCAAAGCAACAGCAGAACGAAGAGCTGCTCCGAGAGGTCATGCGCAGAAGCGATGAGTACAACAAGTCACCGGAGGAGATTTGTAAAATTTGGCCATACCAGGAAAATTCACAGACTTAATCCTATTCGGGATGAATTTTGCCCCGCCGTTGTTGACGACCGCAGGGCGTTTCTAGCCACCAAGGACGCTTGAAGTAGCAGGAGTATACCTCGCCAGAGGTGGCCTTATCGAGCGATGCATCGGAATCACGCGTGGAAGACGGCTCAAGGGGGCCACGTCCTGCTTGCGCCATAATTTACATCACTGCACAGAACATGCACAAGTAACCACTTGTTATCAAATCACGACGGTACTTAAGACAAGAAAGACCATTCAATTGCTTACATGCCTTGTTCACCAAGCGACAGATGTTCCGTTCGGCTTCAGCGTTCACGATGGTATTCAGTTGGAATCATGCGCAACGGATAGATACATGCTAGTACTGACATAACCCAGTGTGAGCCGAAGTTTGATTGGCGAAGACATGTCCAAATATACTCTTAGTATGAATGACATCTAACCCCAGCCATAAATATAGCAATGCTTGGTAGGTCTGGTAACAATCTTCCAACATGGCCACGAAAGAAATTCTTTGATGTTGAGCACTCTTCAGGCATGTTCATCCAATCTTGGAACTAAATTCCTTCTGGAGCTCAGCGGAAGCTCTTGCGGCTTCATCCTTCTGCTTGTCCTCTGGGACAGTCACGTCGATCTGAGCGCTGGCAATATTTGCATGGGTACCGTTCTTGCTTATGAACTTCTTAATTGCGGTGTTCTTGGCCTGAGAATTTGCTTGGAGGTAGATATTCTTTTTGCCATCTATCACCTCACCAGCGTCAATGCGAAACTGGTGCTCCTTGTTTTCTGTTACGGTGTTGGTTGGAAACAATGCGTTGTCCTGGATTATGGTTCTTGAACAGTTTCGTATAGTGGTCCGATTCAAGAACAAAGCTCTTGAAAGATTTCCAGACTTTAGACATTGAAGGAATGGCGATAAGTGTCGTTGAGTAGATCGCGATAGGAGAAACTAGAAATGGGGTTTTGAACACAAGAACACTAGAGTGAAGATTATACTTCGGAATGATCAGTGTATCGGAAGCTGTTGCTAGAATAACTACACTGAGTAAGACTGATACTTGTATATATATTCGACATTGATACGGCACAGCACTGACTTTTCCTGACCTGAACTAGCTCCCTGCAGGTGCGTGACCAAAACTGACGATGCCCGGTTTCATTAGCTGTGACTATGTACTGACATGCTTTTAAGCGCTAGAGAGGTGCAGTAGTTTGGTCTGAAGCGTTCGCAACCTTGCAGTCCCAAGCGTGAACATCCGTCAGGTTGAAGGTTGGGAAGAATTGATGCACCAATTCTCTGAGACAATTAGACGCCCAGCAGCAATGTGGAGAATCACGGCTTTATACCTAAATACAACTAAGTTTGGTTCATTACAGGAGGCGTATGGACCATTTTGAGTTTTGCGTTGATATTCATTGGGCCAAATGTGTCACATCCGCGCGGTCGGCGTACTGTCTTGGGCTACAGCGCAGGAGCAGCATCTGTGGTTCTCTTAGGTGTCAGCGTCAGCAGGACTTAATGCAGTTTAGTTGTAACGTCACGACAAGCCAAGAAAAGCGCATAGCCGCTGGCCAACCAGTCTGTAGAGAGTCCCCTAAGACCCCCAGCAATGATTTGTAACCTACGATCTGAGAGATTTTAAGCTTGTCTTCCGCGGCGCTACCGTGTCCGTGCGCGTAACGCCCGGAGTCGCGTGACGCCCGCTCCGGGCCTTTAAGCCCATCACAAAAATAAGGCTATTAAGCCACGTACAATAGCTATTATTATTAGATTTTTTAGTAGAGTATTCTATAGGGCTATGCAATTATTATTGCTTATATAATCTATCTATATAATATAGCAGTTTGGCCGCTATGTGTAGTATAGGTGCGTGTTAGTAGAGGCAGCATTGCTAGCTTTAGATAGCTACGCGCACCTATACTATAACGCGTAGGCTTTAGTTTAACTATAGAAGCTTTTAAAGCTGTCTTATTACCTCTTTAGGATAATTAGATAGCTTGCTAGGCATTATAAGCTTGCTTCTAATATTCCTTTTTAGCCTTGCGTTTAGCTACTTCTTCTGCCTTCTTAGCTTTAGTATAGTCTCTCTCTTCCTTCTCTATTGCACGTTGCTTATGCTTCTCCTAAGCTATTTACTCTTTATATAGCTTACTTGCGTGCCTAAGTTTAGCTATCTCTGCTTTTTTAACCTCTTCTACCTTAGCTTCTTATTATTTTACCTACTTATACTAATGTGCTTTATTAACCCTATAAGGAGAGTAAAACACTGCTCTACTATAATAGTTCTTAGGTTCCTAGAAGTTAAGAACTTTGCTCTTCTTCTTATACTTCTTCTAAGTCTTAAAAACCTCTTTTAGGCCTACTATCTTATAGTAGAGTAGCTAGTTTTAGACTAAGATATAGTAGAGCAAGTAGCTAATCTTCTTTAACTCCTTACTACTCTTATCCTTAGCAACCTTGCATAGTAGGGTCTCTATTTTTAGCTAATCTCTACTAGAGTAGGTTAAAGAAGAGCTTCTACTAGTATTAGAGGCCTAGAGAGAAGGCTTAGCAAAGTAGTAAAGGATAATATTAGGTTAAAGAGGTGCTATACCTATTGCCTTAAAAGACTTAAGTATTAACCCCTAAGTAAACATGCTTATCTAGGCCTTCTAGAATAGATAGAAGAAGTTACTCTTCTTAATTACTAATAGTCCCTAGCTATTATAAAGGTATATTATAAGCTCCTTTAAGTATGCAGTTAAGAGAGGCTTAAATATAACTATATTAAGTAGCTATAGTATATAGGTTAAGTAAGGAGGTAGAATAGCTAGGAGTATCTTATTCTAATTATAGTAGTTAATAAAGTCTATAGTTATATAGGATCTATAGCTATTAAAGATTAGAAGGCGCTACTTCCTCTGCGCCTTAGTCTTAGTAAAGCAATTAAACACCTATTAAAGCTAGGCAAGGCCTATATTATTATTAGTCTAGCTAGTAGGTAAGGAGGAAATAAGTACGTTATATACCCCTAGCTATACTTCCTCTACCTAGCTTAATTAGATAGTACTATTAGCAGATTTATAAAGGATGCCTAGTAGCAGTATAGTCCTATTACTATACATATAAGCTAGCAGCATAACCTAGGCCCTATTACTATCTTAAAGTAATGCTTTAACCTCCCCCTTCTCCTATATCTGCCTACTAAACACGTGTTTTATCCTAGTAGTAATTCTAATTATAAACCCCTTTTTATCTATATTATATATATAGCAGCTCTTAACCTTATATTTAGTAACCTTGCATTATAGTAGGTTAAAGTATAGCTTATACTTTATATATAAATTAGCATTATAGTAATTAGCATCTATACCTATTAAGTATTAAGAGATAAGATAGATAGAGTAGTTGTTAATAAACTAAGTAACCTAGCTCTTGCTTATACGCTCCTTAGCTATAGAAGATACAAAATTCTATATTATCTCCCTTATAGGTGGTATATAATAAGCAGTAAGCTCCTTTATATAAGTTATAAGCTCCTCCTCTTATTATAGGGTAAGCTTCTACTAGTTAAGGTTCTTAACCTCTAGAGGTGCCTAAACACCCCTGTGTCTCCGCGCCAGCGTTAAGCAATTAACACTAAACTAATTAGCAATTTTTTAATATACAAGTTTCTCTCCTAGTTCTAGCGCTTCAATTGCTGCAAGCGCATCATTAATAGGTGCCATAGTTGTGGAGTTATGACGCGTTGAAGATAGATGCTTGTTTTAGTAATCAGGCGTCACGCAACTCCGGGCGTTACGCGCACGGACACGGTATCGAGTACAATTGGCCAGAGTATGACCGAACTCTCCAGGCTTGTCCAAAAGCGACCTTCGCGCGTAACTTAGACGCTCGTGAACAGTGGTAGCAAACGCATTTTTATCTTCTGTCTCCTTGACCAATATCATTGGTCGCGGTACAATAAAGAAATTTGATGGTGAATGGCAAGGAGACAACAAGGCCTCCCATTCGCTCAGCCCTATCTAGGCAACGTACTGGTGGATCAGTACCAGGTAGGTGACCAGCCGTTTTATGTATTTCTCGCTGTCTTTACTGGCTTGCGGTCCCAAGATGCTTTAGGTAGGAAACTTGCCTGTCTGGGACAAGTGTGCATTTGTGACTTCCTCGTTGTGTGTTGCCTTCCTTTTGCACCCACTACGAAAACTACAAAAACCGTAATGGGATCCTCTTATTCATGATCGAATTTATTCTTCTCGGGGAAGTGTCGAAACACATTTGGTCGACTAGATTGTTGCGTTACACAAAGCCCGCGCTTCTCTTATCTGGATCCTCAGTCAGCGCCCCTAAGTCGCTCCATCTACGAGCGATCAGCAACTATGGACCAGGTTCTACAAGAAGTGATTGACAGAAACAGCAGCTACACGTCCATTGAAAGCTAGCAGAACATGCTGTTGTTATCCTATGCATTCTACCGCTCCGCTAATAAAGCTAGCGCATAGGCCGAGTGTCTGCAACAACAAAAAAGTCCTGCCGTTCTTAGGTCTTCCGATCCGACAGAAACACCAAGGGATCTTTCCAGCTTAAATGCCGTGATGTGAGCATTTTGTGCATATAGGAGAGTTTTAGTGCTCAGCGTGCTCGTAAGAATTGCATGTTCGCGCAGTCCTTCGTCTGTATCAAACAATGACCACCGTTTGTTCCTCGACCCGCGTCCCTGCTTTGTACATTTTCAATTCTGGTAGCTGGCCGCTCTTCTGCTCATGCTCACGCTCGTGCTCGTGCTTCCACCGCCCATCCTTTCCATTTCCACCAACTCGTTCAGTACGTCTGTAATACTCCATATCATCCCACCACAGCCTTCTGTAGGCCTCTTCCCACGGAGACTCCTTGGCGTGATATCCCCGATCCCACTCTCGTGGTGAAGTAACTCGATGTGGCCAATTGTCTTGGAATCCACATTGGTAAGCGTACCATGCGCACTCATCCCACACGGCATGACCGATGCGTCTATATGTTCCCAGCGCGTCGTCTGTGAGTACTAGCGCCAGGGTGTAGACTTTGAATGGTGCGTGGTTGGGGTGGAATAGCGTGCACGACAAGTCTTTGCTATAGTGACGTTGGGCGATGGCAATAAAGGTGATCTCTTGCGAGGGATCAACGATCTCGTCGGGTTGGAAACACCCACGAACGAAACGGAAGGGTCCAGTGCGCCTTAGTTCGTCCAAGTCCGCGGTACCGTCAGGGCTGGGGTTTTGCTCTGAGAAGAGGAAGTAGTATTTTGGAAGAACAATCCTGTCCTTGAAGATCACGTGCTCGAGGTTTTCACGTCCTGAGGGTATCATATGGGGGACCTGCGCTGCCGCTTCTCGAATGCTGTATGGATAAATGGCGTTCACGTACCCTCTCCGAACATGACCGTGGATTGTGGCTTGACCAGTTTGTCTGTCGACGCTGCCAGACACCCATACATCTCGTATCTCACAGACGCACTCAATGTTAGTCAAGTCCTGTACCTCATACATCACTGGCGCAGTGACAGATGCCCAGGACCAACTTGGAGCAAGAGGTTGCTTATGACGGATGTGCTTATTGCCTTCGATATCAAAGTTGGTAGTTGCGTTCATGATGAACTTGGAATTGTGCGATATGCCCCAAAGAAGGCCAATGTGGAAATAGTCTGACCATAATCCAGCTAAATAGGCATGTTTCGTGTGCCGCGCAAGAGCCTGGCCGACACCAGCAAGAGCAGCCAACCGATCGCTTGGCTGCGTCATGCCTCTGTGTGTGTACTCCATAACGATGGAACGCCAATGCTGGTGCTTCATTTTGGAGGCGAAGTCTTTGATTGCATACTGCCCATCCTCCATGTCTGGGTCGCTGAAAAATTCGGTGGAATCCAAAACACCGCTGCGGACACATTTGTGTGACGAAGAATGGCGTGTATTGCCTGACGTCGGCGTCTTCTCAGAGCCATGTAGGGTGATGCATTCCCACCTGAGCTGCACACTATCGAAGATGAGCATGCGTGGTGACAAGAGTTGTTCTTGGAGGACCCAAGCGCGTCCATACAGCGCTGGATCTCCGCCCCCAACGTCTTTGGGTTGAGGTCGACCGTAAGTGATGAAATGGAGCCTGAAAAGAGTTCCTGAACCTGCCTGCGAGGGTACATCCATGTAAAAGGGAAGGTTCAGCAGCCCATCTCTCTCATGAAAACAACCCACGTCTCCGCCAGGGGCATGAGCAGCCGCTATTGTCAAAAGAGCATACCGGTACACGTCACACATCGTTGCGGCTTCAGCTGCCCAGTCGTTGCTGTCATCCTGTATGATACACATCGAATCAATCCAAATGTAGCGGAATCCCAATGTACGGGTTGTGTGGATGGCATCTCTAAATGTCTTCGACATCTTCTCGGGAGGCACACATTTCCTGTGCTGCTCGTAGTTTTCTTTCACAGTACGGATGATCGATTTCAATCCCCAACAATGACTTAATGCGAGATAAAATCGATCTACTTGGGCTCCAATATCGATTTCGCTCTCGATAAGCCTGACCATGTCGTTACTGACATCCAGCAATCTCGTGGGTAAGAAAGGCGAGGAGCGGCTTGATATTGCGATACGACATCTGTCGTGCGTCTTGACACACGATTTGATCCAGAAAGACGCAAGCTGAAGGGAACCGTCCGAGCCGGTGTGATGGTTGTCCAACCTTGCAGCTTCGTCCAGCATCGTTGCAAGATCACCGGCAGAATGATGAACACTTCCCGAGATCCGCATCGTTGAGGAAGAATTGCTTTTCTCCTGACCCAGTACGCCTATGCAAGAAGCAATTAACCGCCTCGGGATCCGCACTGCAGCGGTCGATGCCTCTCGGAACTCGACTTTGAGGATCGGTAGGGGGGCTCGTGCAGGATCGAGGGCGAGAATAATTTGAAGTGGTTCATCGTGGTCACTAAGAAGTAATGGATGCTCGAAATCTGCAGGTGTATAGTAGACAATACGACATATGCGACAACGTAAGTCAGATGCATTCTTCAAGTCGCGCATACGAGCATGAAGTATGATCTCGTGTGGCGCCCACACAATGTCTTCTGGCCGTTTCGCATCCTCTGGAATCCGAGCTTTTGCTAAAGCCCCGGACCAGAATAACTGGCAGCGATCGCAAAACATCTGAGCGTAGAAGTGCTTGGGGTGAGTGATGAATCGAGGCTGAGGTTAGCGCGCTTACGAAGTAGAGCAGCATCAGACTCTTGGCTGCATATGTCTCTGGTCGCCTTCTCGACATGGTACATGAGGTCGATTGAGAGCATAGAAATTTCTTCCTGTGCATTGGCGATGTCGTACCAGAGATGACTTTAGATGTATGGAAAAACGTCACGAAAACAAGAAAAGAGCAGCCCGCCTCTTATGATTCAATTATTGTTGGCTTCATCACCCGGTCATGGCCACGTCTCCCTGTGTCTCCGCATCGGCAATTGCCCCTGGGTCCAGTCTACTCAGGCATCCTGGGCAGTTGTGCAGCACCATGTGGCTGAACACATCACAGTCGATGCAGAAATGACTCTCACACGACCGACACTCATATCTCGCGCTCTCACTCGCGTGTTGCTCTCCACTTTCATCTTCTTCCGTCCTGCTGTCGCCCTCAGTATGCCCATTAAACATGCTCCCCGTCGTCGGCTGCCTCTCTTTCTTCAGAGCTCGCGCAGCCAGCTCTTGCTTTGAGGGGATCTCAGGGAAGACTGACAGACAGCCCACGCAGTCTTTAGACCTCTTCTCGCGTGCACGCTGCCATGACACAGTTGCCCAATTCCTTAGTGGGAATAGATGGTGATAACTGCGCGCCAGATGCGTCGAGAGTAGAAGTGTGAGCTGGCAGCTCGGACATGTCACAGGAAGAGAGCACACCTTCGCGCTACACCTTGAACACGTATAGCCTCCTAATGTTAGATTGCCATGGCATGCACATATTGTCGGCGAGTCCTCGACCACACGTGAGGGAAATCCCATCATCATCAGCGCTGCACCTTTCTCAGGCTGCTGAGTAGTAGATGCGGTGTCTGATCGGATGACGGGCGGTGTAGTTGTTGCGATCAGAAGCTCTTTGAGCATTTCCTGGTCGGTCGCGATAGTGTACTCGCTCTCGTCTCCAGCATTTGTTCGCGTTACAATTTCCTGGCATATCTTAAGTCGTGCGCCCATGCCTATGACGCTGACTCTAATGCGGTCGCGCACGCAAGATTTGACAGTCTGGTGAATATCCCCGGGATCGAGGGAGAGGAGGGAGCCAAAGACAACTATAACTTCTCGCGTGCCGTGGTTTGGTGTATGATACAAGGTTGCGCGTGCAAGCTCGAGGGCGTTTTGCAGACTGGGCGCGCCCTTTGGCTCCTTGCCCGTCTCTTTACTTCGTAATCCTAAGATCGCTGCTGCGTGCTCTGCTGGATTACCTGAGAGCTCGGAAACTCGAATGCATATGCCATCATGCATGCCGAGAACGCTCATCTGGGAGATCGGATTTTGCTCGAAGAACTCGCGGACGTATTCTTGCGCATAGTTTATCATGGTATAGAAGCGGTTCGGTCGCATGTCCTTCTCCAACATAGCCTCAGACAGGTCCAGTACCAGAACGACGTGCCGTATAATACCACGTTGGAAAGGTTTTGTATCCTTGCGCAATCGTTTGCGCTTGCGCTCCTCTTCTCGTTCCTGCACACTTTGTCCTATGTCTTCGTCGCCAGCAGATACTTTGGTTTTCTCGACCGTCCGCGAATCTTCGGTTTCCCAAGCTTTGCGCGCCGGCTTTGGTGCAGCTTCTCTAGCACCTTGTCTGCCGCCGGCCTGCGGCTGTGCTTGTCTGCTTGAGTTGGCTCGAGAGCCAATATACTCGTCGCCAGAAACCTCATCGCCATCGTAGGAATAGTCTGAGTCGGCCATACGTGCGAGAGCGTGCGTGAAGGTGCGGGAGTGGCTCTGATGGCAGTTCTAGCAGCCACCGCAGATGGATCTGGTGCGCTACGGGCGTGATCGAAGTCGCAATCGGAAGGCAGGCAGGGTTGTGTTGTCTTCCCTGACTGTATTATATTTCGTAGAACGTGCGAAGAGTGAGCTATGGCGAGAACAGGCGCGCAACAAATGAACAACGGAAGATGACGTCGTGGGATTTCATTTGCAGTCCGCCAATAGTTTTCTTTTCAAGGTAGAGCTGCGCGGCACGTTCATATGCGAGCTGAGTTCAACCGAGTCTCATTAAGGCGTTGGAGGTTCCAGTCGCGTGGTAGCTTTGTGAGGCTCGAGCGGTCGGTCGGAGATCTGCCTTGCTGGAAGCGACAGATGCGTGTGCACGTGACAGACAAAGCGCGCTCTCACGTTTTGCATGTGATATTTATATAACTACATACACCGCTCTCTTCTTCCCAGCAAACATTATTTGTATCGTGAACTAGCAGCATGACGCGTGATGCGTCCAAAGACCCCAAATGGTATACGCTATGCTGGGGAAATCATGAAACATTACGCCGTATCTTGAACATCCACCAAATGTCCTTCCATGTCATCAATTATATGTGCCTGAGCCAGCAACTGTTGGCATCGGCCAATCGTCCTCAGTGATACTCGACCAAAAGACCCAGATCAATACCACAGAGAGCAGCGTGAAGAGAGTCTCGAATAAACCTCCGTTGATCTTGCCAGAGCTACCAGTGCATATGTGGACACTGATAACGTATTGAAAGATCTGGCCAATGGCGAAAAGCAGAGCTGCGCCGACGAGATAAACTGTGCACATCGTTAGCAGCTGTCCAATAACCGAGCGTTCGATACTTACGCATTGGCTTGCGCTCTCCAAGAACGCGCAGGACAAGGAACGACTCCAAGCAGAAGAAGACGACTAAGAATACCAGGGGTGCGAGTTGGTAAAGGGTGTAGAGAGCATAGGCCTGGTTCTCATTGTTGAGGGTATCATCCCAGTAGCCTGTCCAGCTAAAGCCGGTGTCGAGAGCAATGTAGCCCGTTCCAACGAAGATGATGACAGCAGATATCATCATCAGGCCGAGTGAAATGGGAGTGCCGTCGTCCAGAATCTGGTAGCCAACCAAACCATTGAGCATGAGGATCCAAGATGTCGCAACAATTGCAGCGATGTGTACACCGACGAATGCCTAGACAGCGGTTAGCTCAAGATCGCCCGTCACAAGAGTGAGCGACGTACGATGCGCACAGAGTTGTTTAAAGGAAAGCCACCAATTGTGAAGATCTCGCAGATGGAGACGATAACGTAGCCAAGCAGGAAAAGCTGCATTTCCCTGTTTCGAGTCAGTACTCACTCGTCGCACACTGCTCAAGATCGCGCACCTTCGTCCAACGGCGGCCTTCTTCCTTTCGGATCTCCAGAGCAGGAAGAAGGTGGTGAGAATTGCGATACCGCAGAGGATTATCGAGCCTGCGACCGTCAGCCATGTTCCAATTGCGCGGTTGCAGGCGACTGACCCAAGTTGTGCAGATTGTCACCACCGCCAACAGAGAAGCCCTGGAGTGTGCAACCTTCCTCCCATCCTCCGCCGTTCCTAGCAGGCGACTGGGCAAAGAGCTGTAGAGGTGTCGCGGTTAGCGGCGCGCGTCAACAAAGGATCAGACCAGGGGTAATGGCGAGCGCAACGTACATAGCATACTGCGACGGTTAGTATCTCATAGGTCAGAGTGGCAGTGATGTCTTACCTGGCAGGGTCGACCAGCTGTTACCTGTGTCGCGACAAAAGTCGTCAAACTTTCCGTATCTCGACATGGCCGGCGACACGCAGCGCAGCCTCGCGTTCAGTGGAATGTGGCAATAGCAGTGATCGTCGTCGTCGGTAATGCGCAGCGATGCTCAGGCAGCGAGTGGAGTGACAGGCCTGACAGGGCAAAGGTAGCGAGGGTGAATTGTGGAGGAGCGGTGCGGGTCGTGAGAGATGATGTGCTGCTGGTCCGCGGTCCACGGTGGCTGGTGCTTGGAGCCGTTTCTTGTTTGAGAGCCAAGGTGGGAGGTTAGAAACCGGCAGGGGTACAATTCGTTGCAACAGCGCTGTCGCAACCACTGCTTGGGGTTATATGAGTCAGCTCTCCGCCTTTTGATGGCTGTTATTTCACACGTAAACCCCCGATTGCTGCTCGCATAAACAAGATTCCCACGCCTCACGCTGTCCATCATCTTTCACGACAAGACGGAAACAACCCAGCGCGCGGGCCGAGCTGGCTGGCAATTAAAGCTGTAGCCAATCACAAGGGCAGGAAGTGCAGCACTAGACGCGTTTCAGAACGATCGGCGCGCTCGCAGGCAGTGTCTGGCGGCAGCCATGCCTTACAGCCGGGTTACGTGCACAACGACTCCACGCTCCATGGCAACAAGCATGATTAATAAGTGGGTACGGCATCATCATTGTCGGTGGTGTCGTTAGGATACCCAAGTCTCTGCCTTTGCGAAACTGCGCACAGCTGGTCGAGCAGCATTTCTGTCCACCTCGTGCCAGCTGCACGTCAGGCCGCACAACGTTCGCATTTGTGCAGCAACGGTTGCCAGCCAGCACCAGCCTCTTCGTCGAGCGCCTAATGCCCTTTCACGCGCCCGTCCTAGCGGAGCATTCGACAGATTCGACAGGTGTTTCTGTGACCATCAATGCGGCCTCTCACTGCAACCAGCCTGTACGAGATGCACCCGCTGAGCTCTGTTTCACTCGTGAGCAGTGGCCGCGTTTCGAGGCTCACACTCGACGTAGCCAACACACAGCCCCCATGCTCGTGTTCCTTGCGCGGTGATCGACATGGTGCGTGCTAAGATCAGTGTTGAAAGTCTCCAACCTTGTTGAATCGCGGCAGTCCTGCCATGCATGTGTTGGTGGAGTTGGGGCAGTCGTGTCGAACGCTAGTAACCGCGATCAGCGAGCCGCGCGAGTCCACTCAAGGGTCTACTGTGTATGTGGAGTTCTCCAAGATGCGCTGGGCGCGCGGGCTGCAATTCTCCAGCGAGGCTGAAGTTGCGGCTTCCTGAGCAGCAGGCCGTGCCATCCTGTTCAAGTACCCTGTTGCAGCGATAGAGATAAGGATTATGCAGCTTCAGCTAGGAATGCTTCCGCGATAGCCTGCAACGCGACATCATCGCACAGCAAGCCGCTCCCGCAAGCTGGCCAACAGCACGCCGCTTTCCCCGGTCCAGCCCGGTCCGAGTAGAGAATCCGCCAAGTCCACGCTCTCAGGGCTCAGGCTGACAGGGTAGCTTGCGTTTCCTGATCACGACGCCGTATCGCGCTCTTTTCAGTCCCACTGCCGTCCAATGTGACCGCCCTTGACCGCTTAAGCCCTAGGCCCACCTTAACCTGCACGTCACTCGCGACCGCCTTTCGACCCTTCTCCAGATAGATCCACTGCTTGGAGTCGGCTGCTCCCTCAGCCTGCAACCTTCACCATTCCTTTCAACTCGGGAAGCAGTCGGAGGCCTGCCAACATCCCTCTCCACAACTTGAGCTCGTCCTCACGGCCCCGTGACGGCGACTCCGCTTATCTGCTTGACAACGATAAGGACAGCGCGCGGTCCTCCTTCGACACACCTTCCTCGCACTCCGACGACCTCTCGCTCTGGAGTGATACCGGCGACCTCGTCGACCAGCTTGCCGCCCAAGAAGACCCGCTTGCCATCCGCTTAGAGCGCCAGCTTCCTCCGCAGCGACGACACCAGAAGCGTGCCCGCTTCGCGTCGCAGGACAGCCTCCACGAAAAGGGCCACAAAGCCCTCAGACTCGAGGACATCGAGATCCCAGACCCAGGTCCACGTACCATCAACAAGGCAGAGAGACTCCTCGCTCGTATCATGGCGCCCAACGATGGGCCCTCCCGTATTCACGGGCTGCACGGGAAGAAGCTCATGTAGGAAAAGCTGTGCACGACGGTCCAAAATTATACTGACGTCGAGCAGCTACTTCACCAGTGTCTTCGTGTCACTGGGTGTATTTCTGTTTGGCTATGACCAGGGAGTCATGTCCGGAATCATCACGTACGCCGCCCCGCATCCCTCCACACACCACAACCATGGCTGATTCAAGCATACAGGGGCATCTACTTCAAGGATTACTTCAACCAGCCCACCGCTGTCGAGCTCGGCAGCATGGTGGCTATCCTGGAAGTCGGTGCTTTCATCTCGTCCCTATTGGTAGGCCGTATTGGAGATCTTCTCGGACGTCGCAGGACCATCATGTACGGTTCAATCGTGTTTGTCGTTGGCGGCGCGCTTCAGACTTTCGCCAATGGCATGCCCATGATGCTTCTAGGCAGAATCATCGCCGGTCTCGGCGTGGGAACACTGTCCACGATAGTACCCGTGTATCAGTCTGAGATCTCGCCGCCCCACAACCGTGGAAAGATGGGCTGCATCGAGTTTACTGGCAACATTGCCGGGTATGCATGCAGTGTCTGGGTCGACTACTTCTGCAGTTACATCAAAAATGACTATGCCTGGAGAATCCCCTTGTTTATGCAATGCGTCATGGGCACTCTGCTGGCTGTGGGCAGTCTGCTCATCTGCGAGTCGCCGAGGTTTGTTACACCCAGACAGCCAACGAATTGCACTGACAGCTAGCAGGTGGCTTCTTGACAATGATCACGACGAGGAGGGGATTGTAGTAATTGCTAACTTGTATGGAAAGGGTGATATTCACAATCCCAAAGCGCGCGATGAATACCGAGAAATCAAGATGAACGTGTTGCTGCAGCGTGCAGAAGGCGAACGCTCATACACGGACATGTTCAAGCGCTACTACAAGCGTGTCTTTATTGCCATGTCCGCTCAAGGCCTCGCGCAACTCAACGGAATCAACGTCATCTCGTACTATGCACCTCTCGTTTTCGAAGAAGCCGGCTGGTATGGGCGCCAGGCGATCCTCATGACTGGTATCAACGCGATCACTTATCTTCTATCAACAATCCCGCCATGGTACATTGTAGACACCTTGGGCCGTCGGAAGATTCTGCTCTCCGGAGCGTTGATGATGATGGTATCGCTATCTGCTATCTCATACTTCATCTTCCTGCAGGCGAGCTGGACACCCAACATGGTCGTCATCTCTGTGATGATTTACAACGCGGCATTCGGATATTCGTGGGGTCCCATCCCGTGGTTGTACCCGCCGGAGATTCTGCCTCTCAGCATTCGTGCAAAGGGTGCCAGTCTGAGTACAGCAACTAACTGGGCCTTCAACTGGCTGGTGGGAGAGATGACACCTATTCTTCAGGAGCGTATTCAATGGCGCTTGTACCTCATCCACGCATTCTTCTGCGCTGCAAGTTTCGTCATTGGTAAGTTTTTCAACGGCTTGTCACAAACGTCGCACTAACGTGGATAGTCTACTTCATCTACCCCGAAACCGCCAACGTCCGCCTCGAAGACATGAACTCTCTCTTTGGAGACGCTACAACACAAGCAGCCACCGAGCAACAGCGAGCAGAAGTCGAATCTTTGATGAGTGGCAGCGGTCGTGGCCGTGGATCCGAGCGCGGCGGCCCTCAGCTCGCTGCGGAAGCTGCTATTCCCGGTCTTGACATTGAGCCACCTGACCTCAAGAACGGCAGGTCTCCCCCTAAGTCCGAGAACGGGGACGGTGTTGGCGGTTGGATTTCGAACATTGTCAACAGAGGCAAGGGAGACAACGACGGCGCAGGTGGCAAGTACAAGCGCGTCGGTCAAGACGAAGATTAGACGATGGCAACACTTCACTGATTGGCATTTTCTGGACATTTTTGCATACTCTGCACACGGTTGCAAGCGACTCGGTTTTATATCCACGAGCCCTGCTCGGCATGTAAGTTTTCGCTGATAGAAAGGGGTGGGGCATTTGTTAGAGGTCAAAGCTGGAAGGCCCGAATTGGCGCGGTATGGATTTGAGTGACGTGAGACGGCGATTCGATTGTCAATAAAAGCTGTTCTGGTCTCATCGTGTTTTGGCTACAGTGCTAGGAGATCTCCAGACGTTTGACATGCTTGACGTGACTGACGTCCGAAGTAGTTTGCAAGACTGCAACAGATGAAAGAACGGAGCCCCTCGCCTGCATCTCGCACAAGGCGTCCATCGCCCCTTTGCAGTCGTCGAACACGAACGCGTGTGTCAGCTTTCACGTGAGGACAGAGTGTCAATAAGCTTCCCCTAACAGCTGCGTGGGCCGAGCTCGGGTTTAGCTTGAACCATTGAAATCTATCTATATCGGGATCAACCCTACGACTGATCTCCCCAGCACCGCAGGGGCCGTCAGACGCAGCTCTTCACCGTGAGCCTTTTTCATGTTTGCAATTCCTTCGGGCCCTTTCTTCTCTTCTACTTGAGTCTGTTGTTCGCCGTAGCAGCAGACGTTACGCAGGCTTGTGAGACAGCCTGAGCCCGCTCTCTGAGTGCTCTTCGCGCTACTTCGTACACCCCTCGCTTTCCAGCTCGTATCAGCCACGAATCCTCTCTGCGTTGCCACACTGCGTGGACGTTGGCGGACACATCTCACGGACACATTTCATACTCTTCTACCAACATGGCGACAGCGCGCACAACAGGCGCCGATGCGCAAGCAGAGGAGCTGCGGCGGAGAAATGTTGCCGGCCAGACAGCAACGCCCGTCGTGAGCCAGGCCCAGATCAAGGAGAAGTCCAAGGAGAAGGTACGCACCAGCAGCACGCCTCAGACGCCGCCCAGCTAACAGTCGCCAGCCATTCGAGCTCATTGCCTTCCTCGACGAGTATGAATTCATCTGGGCCCCGCTCATCTTCACCGCGCTGGCCTTCTTCACGCGCATGTACAAGATTGGTCTTTCGCCAATTGTCACCTGGGACGAGGCTCAGTAAGCAAAATCCACACCATTGCCGGCGCGTTCTGACTAGAAACAGCTTCGGCAAGTTCGGTTCCCACTACCTCAAGCGCGAGTTCTACTTCGATGTCCACCCTCCCCTCGGCAAGATGCTGGTCGGCCTCTCCGGATACCTGGCCGGGTACAACGGATCGTTTGAGTTCAAGTCTGGCGAAACATACCCTGAGGAGCTGAACTACACCTTCATGCGCCTCTTCAACGCCGCGTTCGGCGCCGTCTGCGTTCCATTGGCCTACTTCACCGCGAAGGAGTTGAACTTCCGAAGACCCACCGTCTGGTTCGTCACCCTGGCTGTTCTCTGCGAGAACTCGTACACCACCATCAGCCGCTTTATTCTCCTCGATTCCATGCTGCTCTGCTTCACCTTCACCACCGTCTTCTGCTGGTCCAAGTTCCACCGTCAGCAGCACGATCCCTTCTCTCCCGAGTGGGGTCTGTGGTTGATGATGACCGGCGTCTCCATTGGATGCGTGTGCAGTGTCAAGTGGGTCGGTTTCTTCGTCACTGCGCTGGTTGGTCTCTACACCATTGAGGACCTCTGGAACAAGTTTGGCGACCTCAAGATGCCCAAGGTATGATCACATGCAGTCGCGATCCTCAAAAGCTAACATGAACCAGCTCGAGCTCGTCAGCCACGTTGCGTTCCGCGTCTTCGGCCTCATCCTCATTCCTTTCGCCGTCTACACCTTCTCCTTCTACCTCCACTTCTTGATTCTCGAGAACAGCGGTCCTGGCGACGCCCAGATGAGCTCGCTCTTCCAAGCCAATCTCCGCGGCACCGAAGTCGGCAAGAACAGCCCCCTCGAGATGGCATACGGCTCCCGCGCCACGCTGAAGAACATGGGCTACGGAGGCGGTCTCCTCCACTCCCACGTCCAGACCTACCCCGAAGGTTCGAACCAGCAGCAGATCACTTGCTACCATCACAAGGATGCCAACAACGACTGGTTTTTCTACCCCAACCGTCACGAGGCTCCCTATGACCCTGAGGGTGAGCTTCGCTTCCCTGGCAACGGCGACAGCATCCGTCTTATCCACGCCCAGACCGGTCGCAACCTGCACTCGCATCAGGTCCCTGCCCCGGTCACCAAGGCTGATCACGAAGTCTCCTGCTACGGTAACGTGACTGTTGGCGACACCAAGGATCACTGGGTTATTGAGGTCGTCCGTGATGCCGCTTCGAGGGACTACTCCCGAGTTCGCACACTCACCACTGCCTTCCGTCTCCGCCACAAGGACCTGAACTGCTACCTCCGTGCCGGCAACGTGAATCTGCCACAGTGGGGTTTCAAGCAGATTGAGACTACCTGCACCAAGTCGAACAACCCCCGCGACGTCTACACTCACTGGAACATCGAGAGCCACACTAACGACAAGCTGCCCCCGGGCAACCCCGGTGACTACAAGTCGCCGTTCTTCCAGGACTTCATCCACCTCAACGTTGCCATGATGACGTCCAACAACGCGCTGGTCCCCGACCCCGACAAGCAGGACGATCTCGCGTCCGCTTTCTGGCAGTGGCCTATTCTCCACGTCGGTCTCCGTATGTGCGGCTGGAATGACGACAGTAAGTTTTGTACTGGAAAGATTTTGAGGCTATACTAATTCATCCGCAGTCGTCAAGTACTTCCTCCTTGGAAACCCCTTTGTATACTGGGGCAGCACTGCCAGTCTCGGCGTCTTCGTCCTCATCGTCGCCTGGTACATTGTCCGATGGCAGCGCGGCTACAACGACCTCAAGCAGAGCGAGATCGACCAGATCCACTACGCCGGCATCTACCCCGTCATCGGCTGGGTGTTGCACTACCTCCCCTTCATGGCCATGGGCCGTGTGACCTACGTGCACCACTACTACCCCGCGCTGTGGTTCGCAATCCTGACCATGGGCTTCTGCCTGGACTTCACGACCCGCAACCTCAACAAGCAGGTCCGCTGGGGCATCTTCGCGGCGCTGTACGCCGTCATCATCGGCCTGTACTGGCTCTTCCGCGCCGTGTCGTTCGGCATGGTCGGCCCCAACAAGCAGTGGAGCCACCTCAAGTGGTTCGAGAGCTGGCGCATCACCGACTAGAGGCGCGGCGGAGGCGGTCGCTCCCCGCTTGTCTGCGCCGTGGCGTGCAGTGTAACAAAACCCCCTTTTTTTTCTTGCGTCGCGACTTCAGCCTTTCTTCGCCTCACCGTAGGGATCATGGATAGAGTGCATGTGCGTCTTGGCCGTCGACCTGGCTGTTTAGCAGGGTGTTGGGGTCTGGCATGGGATGGGTTGGTTGGACGGTGCTTTCCTAGTGTTACGAATTCAGCTCACCACATGTTATATGATTGGACTGTGTCGACGGTAGCTCGTGATTCGCACTGTCGACGGTGGCTTGTGATTCGCACTGTTGTCGTGATGTTGTGTTGGAAAGATTCAGCAGGTCGTCTGGGCAGTCCACATATTCCATGATCGGGACTGTGTAGACGGTGAATCGTTGTGATTTCTCTTGTGATGTTGGTGTTGGAAGATCCAGCAGGTCGTTGGACAGTCGCGCGACGTCGAGAATGCAGTGCGTGAGGAAATGGTAGGTTCAAACGACAGTGCGTGCTGGCTCTGATCTGCCACTCGACATCGGTCCGGTATGGATGGCCGACCGGCATTGGCAAAGCGTACATTATGTAGTGTAGTGACTGTTAAACTTTACATTATTGTAGAAGCAGCTAGCGCTTCCCCGGATCTACACCGTACCCTTACACTTACACTTACACTTACAGTGCTCACACTTCCCCTTCACTAAACACTAGCCACTACACCTACAGTAATACACAATATTCACCCGCCACACTCAACCCCCCTCCTCAACAACAGCACGTGAACCCCCCCCCCCCCCAACTCCGCACCCAGACATCAGTCAAACTCCGCTCTGACGTCACACAGTGCTGCAGCTGCGGATCCGAGCCGAGGTCCCCCTCCCCGCGCGCGGCGCGAACGCGTAGTATTGTAGAACGGGCAACGAGTGGGAGGGCGTGGATTGGACGCGCAGCGGTGGCTGGGGGAGACGATCTGCGCGTGCGGGTGCGGGGTGGACTGGGGAGCAAGGGGTTCGGGCGTATTTGTGTGGATAGCGTTGTACAATAGAGTGGTGGAGTGGGATAGTGTGGTGGAGGCGGGGAGGTGGTGTAGAATAGCTAGCTGGGGCGTTGTATTGCGGTTTTTAACTTTGGAGTTTATTTCTCTGTCGCTCTCTCTATCTCGCAATCGTCGTGTCTGCCTCCGTCTTCGACGTCGTCTCGGACTTCATCTCAGACTTCATCTCAGACTTCATCTCCACAACATGGCCACCACCCTCCTCACCCGCCTCGCCCTCAACCCCGCCCTAACAGCCTCCCTCCTATGCCTCCTCACCGCCCGCCCCAGGACAACCCTACAAACCCGCCTCACCACCCTCGTCCCCCCGCTGCGCAACCCCCGCACGCACGCCCGCCTCGCGCGCGCCCTAAAGTGGCTCCTCGCGCTCGGCCTCGCGGCGCGCGCAAACCGCGTGCTCAACGCGCTGGCGCTGAACAACTACCGGCTGCGCGCGGCGACGGCGCGGTGGGCGTGGGACAAAGAAGTGGCCGTGGTGACGGGCGGGTGTAGTGGCATTGGGGCGCTGGTGGTGGCGCGGCTGGCGGCGCGGGGCGTGCGGGTTGCGGTGCTGGATGTGCAGGGGTTGCCGGCGGGGATGGCGGATGGTACGTGGGAGCGCTGCTGGCGGGTGCAGACGCAGACGTAGACGCGGAACTGGCTAACGTGGATAGACCCGCGGATCACGTATTTCGCGTGCGACATCACCAACGCCGACGCCGTGGGGGCCGCGGCCAGCCACATCCGGGCGACGCTGGGCGCGCCGAGCGTGCTGGTGAACAACGCGGGGATTCTTTCCGCGCACACGATTCTCGCGACCAGCCAGGAGGACTTGCGGCGCGTGTTCGCGGTCAATGTGCTGAGCAACTGGACGACGGCGCAGGCGTTTCTGCCGGACATGATTGCGGCGGATAAAGGACATGTGGCGACGGTGGCGAGCACGGCGAGCTATGTGGGCGTGGCGGGCATGGCGGACTACACGGCGTCGAAGGCGGCGGTGCTGAGTTTCCACGAAGGTGCGTGTGGCGCGGGTAGCAGTGGGAGGAAGGCTGGTGAAGACTGACATCTGACATCCACAGGCCTCACGCAGGAACTGCGGCTCTCGTACAACGCGCCGAATGTGCTGACGACGTCGATCCACCCCAACTGGGTGCGCACGCCGCTGCTCGCGCCGGTCGAGGCGGAGCTCAAGAAGCGCGCGGCGATTGTCATGGAGCCCGAGGACGTGGCCGACGCGATTGCCAAGCAGGTGTTTGAGTGTCGGGGCGCGCAGGTGTTTCTGCCGGCGAGCGCGGGGAGGACCAGCCTGATCCGGGCGCTGCCCAACTGGATGCAGGAGAGGATCAGACTGGGGGTGAGCAAGACGCTGACGGATAGCGTGAAGATTGGCGGGATGTAGGACGACAGATTGGCGGATGTAGGAGGACAAGAGAATGCCAGGACTAAGTTCATTTCTTCTCTTTGACTACAGCTCTTATGCCCTGCCTCGCGATCTCGAACTCGATCCCCCTCGCTTCAGTAGGCGGCGCCCAGGGCGCGAAGACAATCTTGAACCAGCGTCGCCATTTGGACACATGCGTCTCTTCCTGCTCGTTCCACTGGTCTTCTCCATTCACGGTGACAACCAGGGGCCCTCTGTTGGCGAACACGGGCTTCTTGATCAGAGCAATGCGGCATGCCAGCTGGTTCGTCCAGACCAGGCCCAGCGACGGCGTCTTGAAAGTGTGCGGAGCTGCGTGTGGAGCGTCGCCCCAGCCAGTAAACCAGCGCTGCTGGTGGTCGAGGGCGAGTGGATCCGGGGACAAGAGGATGCTGTCGTCGGGGACGGGCAATGCTGGGTTCGAGGGCTGCGGCGTGCTGTCGCGCGTGCCTTGGCTGTTAGCAGAGGCGGTGCGCGAGACGGGGTTGGAGCTGGGGGTCGAGGGCGGCCTTGCGAAGCGGTCGGCGACTTGGTTGGCGACGACTACGGCGATGCCTTCGGTGCGGGCCAGCTCGCGCAGCAGGGCGCCGAGCTGCACCAGCTGGCCGCCGCGCTTGGCCATGGAGGCGGCGCCATTGCCGGAGCCCTTCTTGTCGAACTCGGCGCGGTAGTTGGCGGCGACCGAGTCCAGGACAACCAGGCCGACGTTGTGCTTCTGGATGGCGACGGGCAGCTGGTAGCGGAGGATGTGCTCCTGCGACTCGAGGTCGGGCGTCTGGATGGCCAGCACGCGGCCCAGCGACGGGCGTGCGTCGGGCGCGAGGCCGTCGAAGGCGGGGTGGGCGGCCAGCAGCTGGGCCAGGCGGGTGGTGGACAGGACGGCCTCGGTGGAGATGTAGACGGCCGTCTTGGAGAGGCCGCGCGGGGCGGGCAGCTGCACGGCCAGCAGCAGGGTGAGCAGCAGCTGCGTCTTGCCGGCGCCGCTACACGCGTCAGCACGCTCAGTCACTCATTCACGGGCAGCTAGGGCGCACCTCTCGCCTGTCACCTCGACGAGGTAGCCGGGCGGGATGCCACCGCCGAGGGCCGCGTCGAGGTCGTCGTCCAGCGTGCTGACAGCCGTCCACGCCTGCGCATCCCCGGGCGCATCATCGTCGAGGCCGAGCTGGGCGTGCAGGGCGGGCACGACGGCGTCGACGAGCTTGCGCAGCTCGGCGGGCGGCAGCTGGGCGCGGCGCGCGACCTGGGCGGCGTCGAGGGTGAGCAGGTCGTTGGCGGTGATGCGCGCGCGGTCCAGCGACGGCAGCAGGTGCGAGAACGGCCGCGTGTCGAAGTCGGGCAGCACCAGCAGCAGGTCCGTCATGGCTGCGGGCGGGCGCTCATCGGCGCGGCTCTGCGGGCGGCGTGGGAGGCTGCGGAGGCTGCTGAGGCTGCTTAGGCTGCTGAGCTGCTGAGGCTCCAGGCGCGTCGCGTCCGTGGGCTGCCTCTGCCGACACGCCCGGCCCTGCAGACGTCAGAACGCCAGAACGTCAGAACGCCAGCACCCCGCGGCGCTTGGCCCTAGCTCCAGCTCGAGCTCCCCGCACTTCCACGCGCATCTCGCACTCGCGGAGAGCTGCAGCCACTCAGTGCAGCCACTCAGCGCAGCCCTGTTTCTGCTTGCCTCTGCCTCCAGGTCAGTGATCAGGGCCTCGTGCGCCTGCTGCCTCACCTCGCAGAGCTGCACTGCTCTCGCACCAGCGCTGCTCCTCAAAACAGTAGCTGCCCAAGCCTGGCCATGCCTGATTAGCCGGTAGACCCAGTTGGTGACGCTACATCGCGCAACCATCTACGCTTCCTCTCGTCCGACGTCCGCGCTCCTGCCTGCTAATCACCACCACCTCGGCCCTGTCCGTGCGAGCTCCGTATCCTCCTGGCCGAGATAGTCGCTCCGCCCAGCTTTACCGCGATAGTACTGCTTCCCGCCCGTTGGCCCTCGTCGTTGGTTCTTGGAAACGTAGGATACCCTGTAGTAAGTACCTCAAACCACATTAATCACAGCAGCCCGCCTCCTGGTCCATATCGCATCGGCGCTTCTTGACTTGCCCTCATTTAGACCTCGACGCTACCGTGTAAGTTGCAGTTCCTTGCGTCTCCTTGCATGGCTGTGTTGGACCTTAGCTTGTCCGGTCATCCACCACTATGCCGGTCATTTTCCGTGTCAGCGGCCGGCTACATGAGAGCTACTTGGTCACCCTGTCTGCAACGGCCCTTCACATGTCTAGTCCCACGCCGCTCCGCACACCCCAGCTTGTCCCCTTTCGTCCATTTCCTTATAAGATGCTCCCACGCCCACCCATACCGTCTGTTTGCACATGGCTCACCTACCCATGCCCGTCTACTGCCCCCAGGACTGTCACTACTTTTACCGCAGTGCCTTGCGGCTCCTCAACATCAGCACTACCATCTCCCCCCTCTACGCTTGACTGACCATCCACCATGGCAGCCCGCACCTTCACACAGCCCTCTTCTCTAAACGAGTCCTTGGCTGTCTCCACCATGTCCGCCACACAAGAGAATGGCACCGGCCGGTCCATGGAAGCCGCCAAAGACGCCCAGCAAGCCTTCTCGTCTGAAGAAAAGGCACCCTTGGCCAACTCCACAAACCCAAATTCCAAGCCAGGCATCACCTTTGCTTCTCAGGACAAGCTCCCAAAGCTGCCAATCCCAGACCTTGACGCCTCGTGCACCAAGTATCTGGCCGCTCTGAAACCGCTCCAGACGCCCAAAGAACACAGCGACAGCCAGCATGCCGTGGAAGACTTCCTCAAGTCCGACGGCGCTGCGCTGCAGGAGAAGCTGAAGAAGTACGCCAGTGGCAAGGCAAACTACATTGAGCAGTTTTGTAAGTCAATGCTTGCATTTCAACCAACAACTCTGACAATCTCCAGGGTACGATTCCTACCTCAACTTCGACAACCCGGTCGTGCTGAACCTCAACCCCTTCTTCCTGCTCGAGGACGACCCAACACCCGCTCGCAACAACCAAGTCACGCGTGCAGCCTCGCTAGTTGTCTCAGCGCTATCGTTCGTCCGAGCAGTACGTCTGGAAGAGTTGCCGCCCGACACGATCCGTGGCCAGCCGCTATGCATGTACCAGTACTCAAGGCTGTTCGGGACGGCGAGAATTCCCACCGAGAACGGGTGTCAAATTGGACAAGATCCGACATCGAAACACATTGTCGTCATGTGCCACGGCCAGTTCTACTGGTTCGACGTCCTGGACGACAACCACGACCTGATCATGACAGAAAAGGACATCTCTCTCAACCTGCAGTCTATTGTGGAAGATTCGCAAGAAGTCCCCATTCAGGAAGCTGCAAAGGGAGCACTAGGCGTGCTGAGTACAGAAAACCGCAAGGTCTGGTCTGGTCTGCGAGATGTGCTGCATCGAGAGGAGGGCTCGAACAACTCGGACAGTCTGAACATCGTAGACTCGGCACTATTCATCCTGTGTCTGGACTACACAGAACCGCAGAGCGGTGCAGACTTGTGCATGAACATGCTTTGCGGTACCAGCAAGGTCGAGAAAGGCGTACAGGTTGGCACATGTACAAACCGATGGTACGACAAGATGCAGATCATCGTCTGCAAGAACGGAAGCGCCGGTATCAACTTTGAGCACACCGGTGTTGACGGCCATACTGTCCTCCGCTTTGCCTCGGATGTCTACACAGACACCATCCTGCGGTTTGCAAGGACGATCAACGGCAGCGCCCCAAGCCTGTGGGCGACCCAAAGCCCTGACCCTGCAAAGCGAGACCCGGAGAGTTTTGGAGACGTTCAGACCACGCCTCACAAGCTAGAGTGGGACATGGTGCCGGAGCTGAGCACAGCGCTTCGCTTTGCCGAGACGCGACTGGCAGACCTGATTCAGCAGAACGAGTTTGCGACACTGGAGTTCCCGCACTACGGCAAGAACTTCATGACGTCGATGGGCTTCTCGCCTGATGCCTTTGTGCAGATGGCCTTCCAGGCTGCCTACTACGGACTCTACGGCAGGATAGAGTGTGTGTATGAACCAGCAATGACGAAGATGTTCTACCACGGGCGCACGGAAGCCATCCGGTCAGTCACGGAAGAGTCTGTGGACTTTTTGAACACCTTCTGGGGCGAGAACCCAGCAGCCACCAAGATCGAGGCACTGCGCAAAGCATGCCAGAAGCACACGGAGAATACCAAAGTCTGTGCCAAAGCTCAAGGCCCGGATCGCCACATGTACGCTCTGTACTGCATCTGGCAGCGCGCTATTGACGACGACGGTGCCGAAGCAGCAAGCAGCGACGGCTGGGACTCGACACGCCCATCGAGCCCTGAAGGTGTCGCCTCACCCAACCGTAACTCGGTCCTGTCTGAGAACGGCAGCATCTCCAGCTCACCACCTGCACCAGTCCAGCACTCGATGCCTGCACTCTTTGCTGACGGCGGCTGGGACAAGATCAACACCACCATCCTCTCCACGTCCAACTGCGGCAACCCGTCGCTCCGCCAATTCGGCTTTGGCCCGACGTCCGCCGACGGATTCGGCATTGGCTACATCATCAAAGACGGCTCGATTTCCATCTGCGCGTCGTCCAAGCATCGCCAGACCTCGCGCTACATCGAGGCGCTCGAGAGCTACTTCCTGGAAGTGCGCAAACTCCTCCGGCAGATCAAGCGCCGCGGCACCAGCACCGACAAAACCGCGTCGCGCGCCCGCGAAGCAGAAGCCCGACCCGCGGCCGCCCGCTTCAAGAGCCGGGGCCGCAACATCCTGCTCGAGGCGGGCAAGACGCAGACGCCCGCGGAAAGCGTCGCCGACGACGAAGACGACGACGGCCTCGGTGGATGTAGGCCTCCCCTTCCCCCTTCCCCTCCCGCGCTCGACCTGGACGCCGGGTCGAGCCTCCCCACCTCCCCTTTTGTGTCGCTGCCCCCTACGCCCCCGCACTCGCCCCCGTTCAGGCCCCTCACGGCTGTCTTCGTCAGCTCGCCCCGCTCCGCCACAGCTCCTACTGTGCTCAAGACGCGGTCGACGCGCGCCCCCAGCACGACAGTCAAGAGGCCCATGTTTTATGCGTCGTGAGCGTTCACACAGCACCGCATTTCTTGTCGGCGTTTTACATTTTCTGCACGTTGTTCACGTTTCGCCCTCGTTTTCTTCATATTTCATTGCTGATCCCTTTCCCTAGACGGCTTCTTCGACGCCGGCATGCTGCGGCAGGCGCTGCACGCGAACCGCCAGAACCAGGCCGCCGAGCCGGCGGTCGACCGCGACGTGGTGCGCAGGAACGTGGGGCGGCGGCTGCGATTGTCCGAGTACTAGACTGGGTGGTGTGAGGAGGGCACCGCAAGGGGGTGTATATGTGCGGCCAGCCGCGGGCCAAGAATGTATAAACGCTACTACTACTACATATTTAAGATGTTTACTACGTACGGACCCAATGCTTTTCTACCCCGCGCCACAGTGCCGCACAGCGTCACTGTCGCCCTCGCCCTCGCCCTCGCCCTCGCCCCCGCCGTGCCAACAGACCCAGCTGTCGAACAATAAACGTATCAACACACCTCACGACCTGCGCAACCCCACCGCCTCACTCCGCACCCCAACCCTAACCCGCTGCGCCCTGGCCACCATCCCCGTCCTCGCAAGAATCATCTCATTCAACGGCCCCGCGACACCCTTCTCCGTCCCCTCAGACCCTTCCTCCCCCTCGCCATCAGACACCTCGCTCCCGCTCCCGCTCCCATCACTGCCCCCCGCCTCGTCATCCGAGAAACACGAGTGCAGCACCGACGTCCTCCGGCCGCCCGGCACGCCGCCCCGCCCCCGCTCGCGGCGCATGCGGATCCGTAAGGGGGTGGGCGCGGGCTGGCGCGCGCTGGAGACGGGGATGCGCAGCGGCGTCGGCGAGCGGTGGCGCGGGCTGCGGAGGGCGAGGGCGTCATGGGTGGTGTGTTGAGCCTTGGGACGTGACGAGGGCGAGGGCGAGGGCGATGCCGAGCGGGACGACGGCGAGGGAGCGCGGGGTGCAGGACGCAAAGGGGGGCAGGAGGACGACGGGGGAGCGCGGGGCGCGGGACGGGAGGGGGGGCAGGAGACCGTGTCGCGGGGCGCCGAGGGGTGGAGCAGGGTCGAGGGCTTGCGGCCGCGGGGGGACTTGGGCGGGGGCGTGGGCGGCGACGGGTGCAGGAGGGTGCTGTGCTTGCGGGGGGCGGGGGGCGGCGCGGCGGCGGCGGAGGAGGGGGATGGAGGCGCGCGGCGCAGGACGGGCGCCATGGAGCGCTGCAGGTCGCTGATGCCTTCGCTGCGCTCTTTGCGCTGGAGCGCCCGCCCGTACACGCGCTTCGCGGACCACTTCTCGGCGTCGGGTGCCCAGGCTGGCTGCGTCTCTTTCGGCTTCTCCATCTCCTTCTCCTCGTCGCAGATCAGCGCGAACGTGCGCCGCGGGTCCGGGCGCCAGACGTGCTCGTTGTCGGGCAGGATGGGCTGCACCTCAGCGGCGCGGTCGTTGCCGATGCTCTGATGCTCGTAGCTGAGCATTCGCCAGTGGCCGTTGCTGTCTTTGCGGAGGCTGCGTTTGTGCGGCGCGGGCACGCGGGACTTTGGGCTCAGCGAGTCTGCGTCGTCGATGCTGCCGTATCCCGAGTCCGGGCTTGCTGTGCGTGAAGAGCGGGCCGTGTAGCGCATCTTGGAGGTGGGGAAGTTGAATGGGTCATCGAGGCCAGCGAAGACGGGGGCGGGTTTTTTGGGGGCGGAGGTGAAGAAGGACGGCATTGTGGATTGGAGGATGTGAGGATGAGTGCAACCCAGTATAGTGATGAAGTATAATACAGTAGAAAAATAGAAGATACACAGCGCTTAGATGGCGTGGTGTAATGCAGCTCTGTTGTTCGATTGGCTGTGACGTGGCTCCAGTAACGTAATGCAGTAGTGACGTGGATAGAGAGCGTTAATGGCTGCAAGTACAATCGAATGAATGTGTGCGAGATGCAGAATAGCAAACAGCCTCGCAGTACAGTACTCGACCTACTTATCCCCTCCTCCGTCTGTCAAGTTCAACCCCGATGCTGCCCCACCGATCTGCAAGACCGGCGCTTTCGGGACAGCCTTGCATGTCTGCTGCAGGTACGCAGATTGCCACGTAGGGCAATATCCGGACATTTCAGATTCCTTCTGCGTGGTTGGGGGTGGCTCATCGGAGTTGGAAGATGCTCGGGAACCTAACGTTTGGCTACGCGAGTCGACCAGGCCCGAAACCCGAGGCCCCATCATGCCTTCTCGAACACCGAGATCGACAAGACGTCGGCGGTGCCTGGCCGCTTCTCGTATGTCCAAGGCTTAATTTCATTGCGCCGGTGCTTTGGCGAGAGCCAGGCACTCAGAATGCCTCCATCTCGACCGTGACTCTCTGGCCGAACCAGTCCACCAGCTCATCGCCCTTCCTGTCTCCGCTAGTGAAAAAGTCGGTCATGCGCATGTCGTCTCCGTCGTCTTCGACAGGCCAGTCGATGCTGAGCTCTGCTTTCCTCCCGTCAAGCAGCTCCTTCACGGTGCCCCAGCTGAATCGACACTCGTTCCCCCAGCCAAACACAGGGTCCATGTTGGCCTTTAGCCACGCGCTTGTTCGCATGTCGCCCGGATAGCCCGAGCCCCATGCGACCTTGACCTCGCTCCCGCTTTGGCCGTGGGCAGCGGCCTCGGCAGGGGTGCAGTACGGCTCGTAGCACACGTCGAGGGCGGCGTCTCTTGTGACCTTGGCGCAGACGGAGGCAGCACTAACGGAGGGGTACAGGCTGTCTGCCTTGGTTGCGACGGTGATGGAGATGGTGGGCCAGATGCGCTCGAGCTTCCTCTGGTAGACTTCAGGCTTGCCGATGGTGTCGATGTAGATCTCCTTGACGTTCACGCCGCGCGCCAGCACGCCTTTGATGAGGTCGATAGTCGCGTCCATGGCCTGTGCGTTGAGGTTGTACTGGTTTGGCGAGAGCATGTGGGCGGAGATGTCGCGCGCCGACAGCGAGCGCGTCGCCCAGCCGCCGGCGGCGTGAAGGTCTGTGCCGGGTGTGCAGAGGGTGCGCATGAGATTGGAGCGGACTTGCGCCGTGAGGACCTTGGAGTCGTCGAAGTGGTGCGTCTCGGCGAGGAGCGAGTGGTGGAGCGGCAGTGGAAGGTAGAAGAGCGCATATACCATGGGGCCTGCCGAGGGTGAGTCTCGATGCGTGTTGTGACGATGAACTGTGTTTGCATACCTAACACGGGACCTCGCCCGGCCTCGTCAACGCCCAGCACGCACTCGGTCGACATATCGTCTGCGATCTGCTGCGGTATGGGCGAAAAGTGCGAGTATGAATTGCCCGCGAGCACGTCGCTCTTGTAAATCGACGGCGCAATGAAGACGCCGTTGGCTGGCGTCTCTAGCTCCATTTCCGGCATGTCCATCTCTACATCTTCTGTCGTGTCGGCCATGGCTGCAGTTGGTCGTGTTTGTTGTGCGTTTTGTCACGATGCTCCTCGCAAAGCGGTCAGACGCGACGCGACCTCGACGCGTCTCGCCCCACCTTCCGCACGCCCCACACCGTTGGTCGCAGTCTAGCTGGGCCGCGACGAAGCTGTATAAAGCTGTAGACAGGACATTGTGAAAACAGTAAATCAAGTCATTATGGTCCTATGTCGCTCAGTATGCTATGCACATGCCAGAACTTTTGCGCTGAACACAGCCAAAGCCGCTGTCCAGATGCCGTCGTGAAGCTATCCGCATCCCTCCCATAACCACAAGTTGATTGTCAACGCCGTTCGAGAAAATGGGCGTTCCAGCACCATGAATCCCTCAGACGCCAGCTTCCCAACCATGCAAATGCCCGAGATGAATGCTGCATACCATCTACCTGTACATGCATGCGCTCCTCCACCCTGAGCTAGCGTATTTCACGAAATACCCGCTCCAATCGCCCTTCGCAAAATTTCAAAGTGCACGAAAGTGCAAGCTTAATCGACTGTCTGGACGGCGAACAAGCAAGACGCAAATCGGAAATCCCGGCATTTCAGCACAAGATCAGACCCGAGCAAAGCTAGTCCATGTCCGTCGTCGTCTCTCAACCCCGAGAAGCACGCGTCATGTCGTTGCAGCGACTGACAAGAGCTGAGATGCGACGAAGAAGAGGGTTGCCCGGCGTAGTCTCGTTGAGCTCGATGTACTTGGCCGTCAGACGCTGGATCATGACATCCATAATCTTGGGGACAATATCCCTGATCTCGTTGTCCTGGGGCAGTCAGTATGAATCCGTAAACACGTCAGGTAGAAGTTGCTTACATGAGGATTGACGCTCTGCAGAACAGCATCGAGCCAGGCCAACCGCTGCTCCAGGTTGTGCTCCAGTGGCTCAGAAACGACTGCACCGGTCGACAACACGAGCAAGGGACTAACTTGTCGCAGGTAGCCGGGGTTGCAGCGAACGAAGATGGCATCGAACAGCTCTTCAGTATGGGGTGACTGCAGCCACTGCATAGTACCCTGTTCGTAGTTGCCTTGAGTCAGAAGATTGGTAATCGACTCGATTTCCAGTTCCTCCGGTGTCTTCTGCTTTACAGCGGGCGCAGCTTCCTGCCTGGACACAGGTGCCTGCGGGACTGGGGCTGGCTGCGCAATCGATTGCTGTAGCTTGACGATCTGAGCCTGGAGCTCAGCCTGAGTCGCAAACATCGATTGCATTGTCTCGAGGCATGTGTGCACGGTTTCAGTGAGTTGCGTGATCTTCTTTGCGTCTTCTAGTCGCTGAAGTTGAGATTGGCGAAGCTGCTCGCCGATCTGCTGTTCGAAAGTAGTGGTCAGCTTAGCGATGGCCGGAGTGACAACGGATCCAACAGACGCGACCACCATGGGCTCAAAGCCGCTGGTAACCTTCTTGGCAACCTGATCAGACAGCGACTGGAAGATTTGAGGAGACTTGAGGGCCCGAGAAACGGCATCAGGAATTTCCTTAGACAGCTGAGGTCCGAGAGCAGTCTTGAGGTTGTTGCCAATGCTTTGCTCAAGTGTCGAAGACGTCTTTGCGAGCATCTCCGGGAGCAGGACGTTACGCATATTCTCATCGACCATCTCGCGGATTACGCCCTCGACGTTCTCAGTCAAGGTACTGGACACAAGACGAAGAATCGCCTCCTGCTTGGCCCCGTTGGCGGCGTTCAGGACACGTTTGTCTTCGTCGAATCGCTTGTACATGACGTCCAGCTCGCGAGAAAAGCCCTTGGAGATTTCAGACGAGACGACCTGTTCGAGCTTCTTCTCATCAAACTCAACAGGGGCTGCGGTGGGCGCAGGCGCTGCTGCCGACTGCTGCATGTACTTGCCCATGAGTTGCTTGGCCCAACCAGGAACCTCGGTATCAGCAGCCTTCGCGGAAGATGGCTCAGCCACAGGAGTGGGCGCGGCGGCAGCTGGTGTAGGTGCTACAGTCTGTTCAGATGCGGGGGACTTGCTCTGGGCTGGTGCTTGGGCGATCTGCGCGTAAGACGAGGGAGGCGCGCGGGTTGAGGTCGAAGCCTGAGAGGCAGTCTCTGCAGCGGAGCGCTTCTTTTTCTTCTTCTCTGTCTTCTCGGCAGCGCCGCCGTTGAGGGTGGCAGCACGAGCGGCATCTTGTTTACTCTCAATTTTGGCAGGAGTAGCGGCACGCATCGCAGCCTCCGTAGTCATAGTCTGCCTAGTAACATTGCTGCCCTCCTTCTTCACGCTCTCGCGGGCAGAGCGATCAGATACAGATCGAGGAGCGTTGGGGGCGTCGCCAGCGGTTGATGATTCGTCACCGGTGACAGTAGCAGGCGCAGGCGCAGGTGGCTTGAGCAGAGAGATGGAGATGACGCCCTCCTCTTCGGCTTCCTTCGGGTTGAGAGGCTCGCCAATCTCCTTCTTCCAGCCCAGATCACTACGGCGGATACGCAGACAACATACACCCTTAGAGTGCATTGCGTACAACTCAAACAGAGCAGCGTTATCCGGTTCGTCAGCGTCGACAGGTCCAGCAGGCTCGTTGAGCATGTGGAGACTCCTGATCTGACCCTTGGAAGCAAACGAATACTCAGTGATGCTCGTCATGATAGCGGTCGCGTTGACGGGAGGCAATGTGCCCTTGTTTGCAAGACGGGAGATGTACTCGGCCTGGCTCAAAAGGGGCAGGTTGTACCTTGGACAGGATACATGCACGAAGAAGATGGAGTTGCGGGTGGGGTGGGCAACAGCCATGATGCCAGTCTTCGGGTGGAACGAGACGCTGCAAATAGCGTCGGATTCGTTGCCGTGTGGGAGGTTGATTTCTTGCACAGCCTTGCCGAGTCCCAGGTCCCATAGCTGGAACGAGTGGTTCTGCTTCATCCCGACCATGACATAACGAAGCGCGATACCCTTAGTATATGGCTTGTCCTTGTCGAAGAAGAAGACCGAGGTGGGCCATGACTTGGCATTCGGTGTCGTGGTGTGGAACTCGAGCAAAGTCTCGGATACCTCGACGTTCCTAGGCGCATTGCCCGGAATACCGAGTTCCGGGTCAGTAAGCGTGCGAATATCCCAAAAGCGCATGCGCCCAGCCTTGTCGAGGGAAACGATGACAGTATCGTCCTCACTGAAGGTGAAGTCCTTGCCAGCCTTGCCAGTCAGGATCTTCAGCGAGCGTTCCTTGAGGTACTTCTCAGTGTGGCAGATGCGAGACTTCTGGCGGACGTAGCTTGCGGCGACGCGAGGAAAGACTATGTGGATAGACTTGCCGCGGCCGACTGCGAAGAATTCGGGGTGTCGCGATGACGGCTTGGCGCGAGTCTTCAGCTGGCCACCAGACGTGTTGTCATCCTGCGAGGGCGACGGGGGGAGCAGGAGTCCCTGGGAATCGAGGTTCTCGCCGAACTGGTCCTCGCGGCTAGGATCAATGGATGTCCAGAAGACAGTGCCATTGACGCCAATACCGAGGATGCTCTCGAGAGACTGCTGGGTGTCTTCACCGGCACTGCAAACAGCAATGTTGAAGATGCGTTCCTGATGGTTCTCGAAAACCTGGCGGTAACTACCGTTCTCCTGGCGGATGATGCGGAAGCCGCCCTTCTTAGTAAGGGTGTAAACGATGAAGTTTTTGCTCGCAGAGACCAGCGAACGGTCGATCTGATCGAAGTCCTTCTTGATCCTAGCGATATCCATGAAAAGTTCGGGTTGAAAGAAAAGACGTCGAGGAGGCATGTCCTGGACCGTAATGGAGGCAAACGCACGCATGGGGAACCTGTAGACTATTACCGTCTGGTCCTCACCCTTTGCAAGACTCTCTTCAGCCTCAGCGGTCTCCCAATTCTCAACCACATCGGCATCGGCAACCTCAGCTGCCACTTGTCGCAAAGCAGTAGCAAGGGGCTTGGGCACGGATTGCTCAAACTCTTTCTTGATGCTCTCTTTCTCAAGCTCCTTGGTAATCTGAGCAGCAATGTCGACGACGGTCTCTTCAATCTCCTTGACCTCGTCTGCTGTGACGTTATTAAGCTCATGTTTGATCTGAGCAGTAGACTTGCCCTCAGCTTCAGCAAGAGCGTCCTCAATCTGCTGGTTGACCTGCTCGCCCAAGTCGCTCACAGCCTCAGCCACAGTTTCGTGCGAATGGGCGGGGGCTTCTTCAGCGGCAATGGCAGCATCAGTAATGTGCTTGGGCTTCAAAATCTCCATCTTCGGCACAGCCGCCCGGGAAGTCTCGGCGACTGGCGTGCGGTTTCGAGGGCTAGCGGCAGCGAGTTGATCAAAAGGATTGACGTAGGTGAACTTTGGTGCCAGCGACGCGGTCTCATTTTGAGAACGAGGTGCATTGCCTATGCCATCGTTGCCAAAGACATTCAAAGGCGAAGCCGTAGCACTTGCAAAAGGGTCAGCCGCGGACTTCTCCAAAGCTGCAGCAGCCAGGTCTTGTGCCAGGTCATCCACAGCCGTCTCAGGCATGTAGGAGAGAACTGGAGGTGAAAAGGCGGCAGCAGACGCGTGCGATGAGCGGGCGGGCGACTGTGAAGGCTTGGGGTGGTTCAGCAGACGCAAGAGCAGGTCCTGAGGATTCTCAGATGCTGCAGCTGGGGGAGGCGACTGCACGGCAGATGGCGCTGCGGGGACGGAGCCCTGCGAACCCGGCCGGTTGCCCATAAAGCCGGCGACAAAGTCGGAGGCCGAGACAGTGCGACCGTGGGCCGGGGCAACGGGTGGCTGCTGCTGCTGCTGGGGCTGCTGCGAGACACTGCGTTGACCAAGACCCGGGTTGAAGCGCAGCAGGCTCAGCAGGCTAGCCGATTGCTGTTGTGGCGTCTGCTGCGACACGGACCCGGCGCCGTGTTCGGGCGTGGGCGTGTTTGCAGACGACATATTGGGCGACAGGACGTGCGAAGAATGGTGTGGAGCTGGGCCGCTCGGTGCGGGCGAGAAGATGGGCGAAGAGACGGAGGGTTGGTGGTAATGAGGGTGCTGTTGTTGGCTGGAGGGAAGCTGCTGGTGATTGCCACCAGAAGCGCCGCCGCCGTTTAGCCGCTGGAGAAGCTCCTGCAGATCGGCCATGGTGAAGGCGACTTGGGCGATCTGTTTGCGCGTTAGCAAAGTGAAATAAAAGCGTCACGGAGGCAATGACGCGCCGAAGACCTCGAAGTTGCACTCACTTTACTCTGCCCAAAGTTCGCGTGTGGGATGGCCCGAGCCTCTCAAAAAACGCAAAGAAAAGGCGAACAACGTGCTCTGATGCGCAAGATGGCTTCAGGCAAACTTTTGATGGGGAAAAGGAGCTGCAATGTCTGCAGTGAGAAGGCAATGGTTGACGTGCTGTCAATTGGATTGATTAGCTCCATGTCGCTACGGCCGAATCAGGAAAAGCGCCAAGGATCAGCTCCGAGTCCGTCGCTGTCTCCGCTACGAGGCGATCTTAGAATTGATAATTCAGCATGAGCATCCTTTGAGAGCATTGATTCTGGATTTGATATGCGGAACACTCATTGTAGACCAGTGTCTCGGCATAAGCATACTAAAAGCTTACCCATGTAACTCAGTCGGTACACCCTGGCAGCGGACAGGCAAACGGGCTTCGACAAAGCTTCTCTGCAACCCTCAGTAGGCACCCTGAGGCGTGGCGTTCCCCTTCAGCTTCTCACTCCCTGCGTTTTCCAAAGGGATAGCGCTACCACGATCTAACGTTGCGAGCCTGTGGCCTCCACCCAGATCCGTTTCTCTCCTAACATGCTGCTTTTCCCTGCTGTCAACTCCGAGCCACAGCAACTCTGGCCTGCTGTAATGTCCTACAGGATCGGCAAAGTGTCTGAGACCGACCAGCATATCCATCGGCAAATCAGCGTACACAAACCCTTCCTTGTCCGCAGGGATTGGTTTCGTCAGTCGTCTCCCATCAGGAGCATACACAGCGGAGTGTCCACCACCGCTGGCACCAAATAAGGTTCCTTCGGATTTATGGGCGTCCACACCCGTGTTCGTCATAACTGAAGTGGTGTGTAATACAAATGTGCTTGATTCCATCGCATACGTCTGCGAGAGACACGCACAGCCTGTGCAAACTATCAGTACCCTTCTTCGCTTGACATTGAGAAACATCGCACTCACCGTCGGCTGTCATACTAAACAATCCTTGGTTATCATCCGTGTGCGGATGCAGCGGCGGCCAAGCGGCGACGTGGATCTGCTCTCTCAGACTAATCGTGTGGTACTTGAGCAGCGGTTGGATATGTTCCCAACAGCTTAGGGCGCCGACGCGGCCAACACCATCGATCTGGCTCACGTTGTTGAGGCTGGAGCCGCCAGCGTCCCCGTACACAGTGCGCTCCATGTGCGTAGGCTTGAACTTGCGACGCTTCATGACGATGGTGCCGGACGAGGCGATGGTGCATTGCGAAATGTAGAGAGAGTCGTGGTCGTTTTCCGAGAAACCAAGTACGACGGTGATGTTGGCCTTGCGAGCGGCGGCACAGATCTGGTCCATCTCTTTAGAGTTGTAGGACAATGAGTTCTTGATGTATTTGGTTGCCAGTGGGGGGTCTAAAGGGCGGGCCCTGAACGATGGTTAGTAAAACATGTGCAGACTTCCTCCGTAGTTCAATACAAGAATGTCATGTTTGAAGACATGTCAGGAGCTATCTCACCAGATCCATGCTGGATAGCCTGTAATCCAGACTTCAGGAAATGCAATAAGTTGCGCGCCATTGCTCGCTGCCTCCTCGATCAAGCGACATGTCTTGTCCACTGTCGCCTGGAGGTCGAACCACACAGGCTCGTGTTGCGTGACAGCTACTTTGACTGTGGCTGACATGGTAACTGGGTATCAATAAGACAAGCTGAGAAATGTGGTCGTTTACTGGATACTATGAGGACGATGATGCCCTTCGTAGGATGCCGACGAAGGCATGCTGAAGGCTTTATACCATTCGGCACGACCGAGCCCTCGATCGGTCTTAATACTATCAATGAGGAGCTGGAGCACAATGTACAACGGAAAGACTCCGCTTAATTCACGTCAAGGGGTGCCTTGTAGAAAATCGGCATGCTCAAAGGATCGGCATCCTGAAGAAGATGCCGAGACTAACTCTTTTGTCGAGTATACCCAAAGTTGTTTGTGATTAATCCGGTTTTAGACGAACTTGTATAGGTCGCCGTAGATAAACTGCGCTGGTATTCCGCTGTGGATCTACAGTTCCATGAGCTCGCGATTGTTTATCTCCACATTAGCTAATGAGTGATAAGCGGAGAGTGGTGCCGACAGAGCTAGGATCTGGACGTTGCGGGGTAAAGCTAAGCCGAGACAGTCGGTCAAGCATGAAATATCACAGCATTGGGATGTCATCTTGATCTGCTAAACGAGTGTGTGGTGTGCGAGGTCAAACTGTGCATTATCTCTTGGTGTCTGATCATGCAGTATGCCCAGCTCTTGTTCAGCTACTGACGAGTGTGGATTACATATAAGTGATGACGTTACACATTCCTTCCAAGAGCCGACTCGCCCTCAGCAAACTTCTTCTTCTCCTCCAATGTGATCGCTTGCTGGAGCGCAAGATCATCAACCGGAGCTAGATCCTTTGACGTGGCATCTGCGGCTTCCACAGGCACATGGTCCCTCACCACAAGCCACGTTGGGTACACAGACAAGACCAACATGGCCGTAGTCACACCTAGTGGTACTCTTCCTCCTTTCCACTTCTTTGTGTTCAGTCCAAAAGAAACAGCCTGACCAAAACTCTCCTGGCCTCTCAGTACACCTGCAAATCGACTCAATTCAGAGATGTTATCCGTCTTGGTAGCAAGCAGATAGTACAGCCAGTTCTGCAGTGCCTGTCTGGCAAAGTCCCAAAGGATAATCACAAAGAATGCTTCGACAAAGCCGCCATCTTCCCAATCAAAGACTGGGCTGCTTCTGGTGTACTTCTCCTGGATGACCCAACCGTACACCCACGCGACGATGTGTAGAAGGATAACGTAGAAGAAGCCATACGTGATTCGCTTCTTAACAGTGAGGCCTTTGTAGTCGAGGAATTGGGAGATGAGCTGCGACGAAAGGAGAGTGCCGAAGTTGGACACGAAGCCCATCAAAGCGCGAGCGCGCACGCCGAAGTAGTAAGCCTTGAAATTCGAGCTGTACTGATTGAAATAGGCCGCGTAGAATATTGGAAGCAGGAGCAGGACGTCTTTGCGCTTGGAGACGCGCCAAAGCGCCTGAAACTCGGCTTTGAATGATTTTTCTTTCGAGATAACCACCTTGGAGCCGTCGGAGCGCTGGACTTTCTCAGGCGGGGAAAGTGCTAGGGCGAGAGGGCAAGCGACGCACTGGAGGGCGATGAATATCAGGTATATTTGGTAGCCAACCTTGCCCTTCTTCTTTGCAGCCGCGTTGTTGTTGAGAGCGAGCACAATAGCGCCACCGACCAGGGGACCACCCGTCCGGAACCAGAGCCAGATGTTCATGTATTTCCCTCTCTTGCCTGGCTCGGGGTAGCCGAGGGCTACTGCACCTTCAGAAACCCAGAAGAGACCAGCGCTGACACCACAGCAGACCGCGCCAACAAGGACAAGCCATACATTCCCGTATCGGTTCTAACAAGGTCAGCGTTCTGAGGAAGCGAGCTTGAGTGCTCAGAGAGATTGGCTATGCAGAAGAGACGTACATTGGTATACAGACCCGCAGAGTAGATGGGGTAGCCAACCGCACCGAGGAACAGTGTATTAGAAAAGCCGATGCGGTTGGCGATGGGACCACCAAACAAGCAGAAGAAACCCATGATGCCGAACACAAGAGCATTCGCAGCGTTGACCAAGTAAGGATCAAGTGCACCTCCGGCTCCAAGATCGTTCATGGCATTCCACAGACCGGGGGCCAGGAAGCCTACGCCACCAATAACGAATGCGTTGAAAAGCGTCGATCGGTACCATCTTCGCTTTGAGTTGTCGATGGACGGCGCATTCGATACAGGAAGGGAGAAGTCCTCGACTGAAGGCGCCTTGCCAGAATCTTGGGTCGCCATTGCGACCTTAGCAAACGTCAATAATCAACTGCTAGATGTGAGAGGCAAACGCAAAAATGTGGCAGGCACAGCCTTCTATAAGACCATCTCTTGCTCGCCGCACGGTTGCACTCGATTGTTACATTCTTGCATCGCCAAGATGAAGGATGCAAAATCTAGTGCTTGCAACTAACAAAAGAGTCCATCTTTTTGTTGATGTCGACATCGCAGGGTTGCGATTTCGCAAGCAACCGCAGCGGCAGCTTGTTCAGACATGGTAAGAGCTCCACTTTCCAACCTCGTACTACGCCAAGCATGGAAGGTAGTCCTGCATTAAATGCGGGTCGTAGCAAACCAATCCCTTGGTTGTGGTGTCGTGATGGCCTTAGTGCTTGAGAGGCTTGATCAAATGGCGAAGTTCTTGTTGCAACTTGGTCGGCTCCCCATCAAGATGGTACAGCATGCTGCTGCGTTTAAGTAACAGATCGCCACCAATGACTAATTCCAGGGGTCTCTGACTCGTACCAGGCATATTCCCAATTTTAAACTATGTTGAATAGGTAACAACACGCATAGTTACATTACGGCCTCATTCATTCCGAAAGATCTTCAACTTTTACAGTCTCGGTCCAAGTCACGACAAGTAACTGTTGGCCTTCAACCACTCCCTGATCTTAGCCTCATCCCTCTTAGCATACTTCGCGTAGCTTCGAATGGTGTCATCGATAACCTCGAGGCCCTTGTCATAACCACGAGTATCTTTGTCCTTGAAGAAAGCAGCAATCTCATTCGCGACCTTCTCGTCAGCGAATTTGTTCAAACCAAAACGTAAGAAGCGCTCTAGGACCACTAGATTGCCAGATAGAGCAGGGTGAACGGTCTGGCCCCAGTTGTCCCGAATGTATTTCCACACTTCGGGGCGGACCTTGGAGTTGTTCGCCAATGCAATGGTACCAGAGTGCTTGTCCTGTGTGGCAACCTTGTCTGAGAAGATGAACTTCAAGAAATCTTGCGCAAGCTCAGGTGTCTGAACACGACCCATCGAAACTAGACAGATTTCCTTTCCGTCGATAGACGACGTTGAGAGGTACTCGTTCTGGACGGCTTTGTATGCTGCTTCGCCACCATTTTTGATGGCAATGCCGAACACAGCACGGCGGAGAGAGGGGTGGATGGCGGATTTATCCGTTCCAGAGGTGTAAGCTTCGAAGCGCTTCGAAGCTTCCTCAACTGTCGCCTTATGGCCGACTAGGCCCGCCGACAATATGAGCGCTGCGCGGAGCTGGCCAGTGAGGAAACCCTCGCCATCCTTGAAGTCCCATCCGACCTTCTCGACTGCGGGCGTGATGAGCTTGAGGTGATACTTCCTCAAAGCTTCGCTCACATCCTCGCTGCCGGAGAGTACACTGCGGACATTGCCAACGTTGGTGAGGATCTGCGACCAAACAAGATAATCCGATTCATCCTGGAAGCTCTCTACAAGCGCGAGTAGACCAGCGGTAGACCCAAATCCAGCGATCGAGTTGGCGTAAGCATCTCCAATGATTCCGATTTTGTCCTGTACTGAGAGTTCGTGACGGGCTTCACCGAGCTTGACAAGGCGCTCTGGTGGATAGTTCGTTCTGTAGAATCCAGTGAGATTCTTGTTGAGTTGATAGAAGTCACCTTCGACGTTGCGGATGGTCTCTTCCTTCTGAGTCAGAGCGCCTGTCTCATGGACAGATGCAGTAGCAGGCGAGGAACCCGTGTGCAGGCCCAAAGGAATCCACCAGACTGTCGAATCCTCCTCAGGTTTGACATCACCAGCGAGAAGGAAACGCTGTTGGCGAATGCCAATTTGGCCAGACTCCTCAGCGACAGTAACAACAGGGAAACCGATCTTGCGAACCCAGAAATCCATGAAGCTGCTGACGTCCTGACCTGAAGCCTTGCTAAGCGCAGCCCAGAGATCATTAGTGGTAGCGTTCGAGTATTGGTGGGCTTTGAGGTAATCAGCAACACCTTGTAGAAACACCTTCTCACCGAGATGGGCGCTCAGCATTCGGATGACCGAGCTGCCCTTCAGGTAACTGATGTGATCAAAGATCTGATCTACCTCGAGACCATCGTAAACAGGCACTTCAATAGGGTGGGAGGTGCGTAGAGCATCAAGTGCGAAGGCTTGTTGCACGGAATCAGTCTGAGTGCAATGTCAGCAATCGTGGAGGAAAATCACCTCGTGCTCTTGAACGTACAACAAATTGTCCCCATACGTTCCAGTCTGCCTTTTGTTAGTTTTCTTTCGACCCTGCTTGAATATATCTTACCTGGATACAGGTGATCGATAGCGAACCATCCGACCCAAGTGGCAAAACCTTCATTGAGCCAAAGCTCATTCCACCAGTCCATTGTGACGAGGTTGCCAAACCACTGATGAGCAAGCTCGTGAGCAACAACGTATGCGACTCTATTACGGTAACTGTCCGCAGATGTTTCGGGATCGAACAGCACAGCGGTCGTACTAGAGGCGTCATTAGCATTCATGTACTTGATTGTAGCAACCCTGGCACTGACCGATAGGTTATGAGGCCCCAGTTCTCCATAGCACCATGTGACTAGAAGGCCATGTCAGTTAACAGATCACACAACATAGAGCAGGTTTGTGTATTGGCAGCGGTAGTTGCACACACTGGCTGTCCAGACTTACGAATTCGTGGACGGCAAGAAGATCGACCTTAGGAAGCGGGTAGTCGACCTGGAACACCTCTGAGAAGTAGTCCACGATCTTGTGACAATTGTCCAGAGCGAACTCTCCCTGCTTCTTCAGTCCTCGAGTAGTGTAAACCCTCACAGGGAGGCTCTTGCCGTTATACTTGCGCTCGGTGAAAGCCTCAACATACTCAAAGTCGCCAATGGCCCATGCCAAAAGGTATGTCGACATGACGGGTGTAGTCTCGAAGACCACTGTGTGGAAACCCTCGCGCTTGCTCTCTTTTGTCTCCTTCTCAGGCATGTTGCTGAGGGCAACCTGATCCTTGGGAAGCTCAATCTCGACGTCGAAAGTGGCCTTGAGGTTCGGCTCATCAAAGCAGGGGAAGGCTCGGCGGGCATCACACGCCTCGAACTGGGTGCTGTACATGTAATGGAACTCGTCGTCTTTCGCGACGGAAGCGGGGACTTCACCCTTCGGGGTGTACTTCGAGCGATAGAAGCCAGCCATGACCTAGAGAACTGGTCAGTGATGTCTTCGGTTTTTCTAGGCCACATGCTGACGACATACGTTGTTGATAGTTCCTTCGAACTTGACATTCACAGTTACCTCACCCGAGTAGTCGATTTTCTCTCCAAAGTCAAGTGTGACGCGCTGGCGCTTCTCATCGTACGTGATGTCCTTGGCCGACTTGGTAGCATCGCCTGCCTTCAGCTCAGCGCTGTGGACCTTGAGCTGATGAGCATTGAGCACGAGCTCAGAGAAGCCACCATTCTTTGTGATATTGGTGTTGATGCTGACAGTGCCCTTGAAGCTGAACTTGCCACCGAACTCGATGTCGTAGAGAGAGATAGCGTAGTGGGATGGTTTGGCCCTTCAAACTCTTGTTAGTTTTGTTGCATGTAGAGAGCAGTCTGCAACCTACCACGAAGGGAGGATGTCTCGGTCTGACGCCATGTCTGCGAAGCTGCTAGTAACGTCGGTCTGACAATATCTACTCTGGGCGCTCAAGGCAGTTGGTCGAGTGGCTGTAACCCTCGGTCTCAGTCGTAGTTGCACACGTGGGGCACTGTGAAGCTCTGTGGCTCTTGTAGCAGAATACAAGGAACGCTTAGCAGCGGCTGCAGAGCGGTAAGAGGTAGGAATTGGTCTAGGCAAAAGCTTAGTCCAAAGCTGCGGGCGAGAGCCAAGTCTCGAATAGTGAATAAGGGACGCCAGTTTTGAAAGAGGGAAGGGGCGGACGGGGTGAATGGTGGGCGTGAGGTGATTCCGCTCGGGAAGGTGCCGAGCGCGTCGCTGGAGCCGCTCTGTTCACAAAACGTCAACATCCACGCAACACCTCAACAACTACGATGTTGGAGATCATCTCAAGAGCTGAACTGGGCTTTATTTACACCAAGGAATATTTGATCTTAATTGCTGGTCTACATGGCTCAGAATACTCCGTACTGCCAGCATGCGAATACGCGACGCAGGGACCTTGATCTCGCGACCCCTCTTAGCGCGGGGCTCTGCTATCAAGTACTTAAGAAATGAGAACACGAGTAATGGAAAATCATGATTTGTAGACGTTGAGAATTTTCATTCTATTACCAATCCGACTGCCGGACATTTCGGAGCAGAGCAAGATAGTACTGGTGTTTCGGGAACTTGATGTAAGCTCACTCACCTCCGTGATCACGAACAGACATGGCCTTGATTCCGAGTCTGCTCCGTTAACTTCGTGAAGCCCCGTATGTGTGCAAAGGAACAGGTGTGAATATCGTTTGGGGTCCATGAAAGGTGCAAAACGCCGTGCAAATGCATTGAAGCCAAACGCCGGTCATGCAATTACCGAGCACCCTCAGCAAGAACTCTTTCCTGGGAACGGCGGGAGCCTCTCACATTTGCTGACCCCGCCCATCATGCCTTGACTCCGCTATGGTTTGCTAGATGCGAATCAAGACATCCAGACATTGTATCCTCCATTCCTTCCTGCCTAGTAGTCCCTTCACCCACTCATTCATCGCACCTGTACTAGCTTTGCCTCTTACACCATCGACTGCACCCTTGACCAAATGATGTGCGGTATCCGTAGCGGCCTGTGCAAAGACACTGGCTGTCTCGAGCAGCGGTGTTGTCTCATTTAGCGCAAGTCCTGGCGTGTCCGTGAGCGGAGGGTCAAACCACGGCGTGTGGAAGTCGAATAGAGCGACGACAAGGATGAAGAGGAGCAGCGAGCAGTAGACGCAGGGCCGGTTGAGGAAGTACGTTGCGGAAATGAAGAGAACCAGGTAAACTGGTGACGCATTCGTGCGAAGTCTGAGCGCATTAGAACAAGGCAGTTGGGGACGTAGGCCAGCTTACAGGAAAAACAGCACAGGTATCCAGCTGCGAAGGCAAAACATGGTGTTGGAGTTGGTGTCGTGTGCGGATTCTGGCGGGATCAAGTGCGGCGCTGAGATCCAGGAGAGTGCGCACAGGGCGCAGAAGCGAAACAGCGAGTGAACGGGTATTAATACAAGTGCTACGGTTCAAATAGAGAAAGGGTGGCGAAGGCGACGGGTGTGGTGTTCTACCCAGGTGTTGGCTCAGGCCTGTCTAGCAAGCACAATCAACGGTTGAGGCTGGCACGTGTCAGCCACTGCGGACTTCCAGGGATGACGCGCGATTGTCCGTCAACGCTGGCGCAAAGTATGTGCTTCTGAACCCCGGTTTTAGCCTCCAAATCCATTGGTACTGCGATGCTACGTTGTGCTATGTGGCCACATTATGGCCCTAACGCTTGTAGAATATCCTACACATGACTGTCCGTACTCCTCTATCCATGCAGTGGGTACAACGACTGCCTACGATCGTATCATCTTTCAGAGTTCGAGCCAATATCGCTTTCCATAACGCCAGTAGTTGAATAAAGTACATAAAGCTTGCGCGCGCCTTTTGTAGGCTCCCGGCTCAATCGTTGAGCGACGGCCATTTCTTGCGAGCGCTTAAACAGGGAGGTTGAATTTCTTGCCTTGTACAACCCTAGTGTACGTTAGCATTGGTGATCACTCAATTTAGGCGTTTGTAAGTGGGATACTGACTTAGTGTAGTAGATGTAAAAGAAATCTGAGTACAGAACTGTCTGGATGATGCCCGCAATGACCGCAATCGGGTCGTAGAAACGCGGGACATCGAAGAAGTACCTGTAAATCCAGTTGGGGATATACAGAGCTCGGTAAGCGCCCAGCGCAAACAGGTAGTGAGTTGTTATTGTTTCCGCTTCCCCAGTTCTTTGAAGCATGAAGAGCTGTGGCAAGATAGCGACCGACTCAAGCCAGATGGAGAAAGCCCAGAGGATCTATATGCATCTCTTAGTTCCCATTTATCCCAGCTCGATGTTCGAACTTACCTCGGTGAAGGTATATTTGTATGGAAACAGAATCGCCAGCACCGTGCTGATCGCCAGCAAGTACTGTACTTTGAAGGTATCGAGATTCGGATCGTGGGTGGGCTTGAAATCGTTGAGCATCAAGTATACGGTATACGCGGACGTAGAGATGAAGACGATCTTGAAGACGGTATTGTACAGCGCATTGGGGTCGTAGAAAGTCCACAGGAGGTCAATGTATCGACTGAGGTATACGATCAAATACAGAAACTGCGACTTGAACGAGATACCAGCCGCGCTCTGTTGTTGCTTGTCAGACTTTGCGCAATCTGCTTGCCATTCTTACGGGACATACGCTTGAGGTCTTCATCTTGTGCAAGAGAATCAGAATGGATAGTAGATGGGACAAGTCCCCTACACAGCCGTTGTTAGCATGCGCAAGCCCCGTAGGTAAACTTGAACCTACCTAACACCCTGAAAAGGTTCATCATGACGACGCGCCCTAGGTTGGGGTATTACTTGTGAAGAAGCGCAGCTACTCGAGTGTTGGTGAAGATTGGACGTTCTACGCGACGTGGAATAAAATGACACGTTTGGAAGCTGCAAGGCGCTGGGGAACTGCAAGCTGATCCTTGCATGCCAAGAAATAAACAGTTCCCGAGTCCTTGCCGGAAGATCACACGTCACTGCCGCAACACCATGCCAAAAAGGCCACCATTGCCCTCTCAATTATGATGACATCGATAGTCCCTCATCGATCTGAGGAGAGCGGGATGTGACGAAAAGCCACATCGTGATACTTTCATTGGCGCTGGCAGATCTCTGCTATTGACGAAAGAAACGCTGCATCACGATACCGTGCAACAGCACTCTGCGGTAACATGGCGTATATACTCGGCTGGAAAGACATTTTACGTCCTATACGCGACGGGTACCGACATCTCTTTCCATTGCCAGATACAGGACCAACACCAGAAGAACGTCGAAAGCAACGCACCATCGACCGGCTGAAGGGCTTCACTTACTTTGACACCCTGGAGCAGCTGGAGACTTGGACTGATACACATGCTGATCCTCTGCAGCGAGCCAATACGCCGTTGTTAGTGCGTTCGACTAATTCGAAAGAAGGACTAGCAAAAACAAACATCCTCCTTTGCCATGATCACGCAGGCAATTACCATAGTTATGAGGGGACATCGAGCGTAGGCCTGGCAGAGGAAACGTATGCATGTGAATACTTGCAACACATCGATACATTCGTGTATTTCTCTCACAAACTCGTTTGCGTTCCGCCACCAACTTGGACCAATACACTACATCGCAACGGAGTGAAAGCTCTGGGCACGATATTGATCGAACCACAAAGTCCAGACTCTGAGCAACTGTTTCGACATGGCGAAGATGGCTTGTCTTTTCCTCTGGCTACGAAGCTTGCCTCAGTTGCGAAATGCCATGGATTCGATGGATGGCTTGTAAACATCGAGAAGTCGTTTTCAACAACAAGTTGGGACCCCCAGAACCTAGCAGCTTTCCTTCGTCAGCTGAAGTCAGATCTTGGAGCAGAGAGAAGTCTCATCTGGTTAGGCTGGATATCTTCTTGAAGAGCTGCGTTGACCATGATAGGTACGACGCCTTAACGACCTCGAACAAGGTCTCTTATCAGAATGCGCTCAACACACAAAACCTGTTGTTCGCAAAATCTTGCGGCGGTATCCTGACCAACTACTGCTGGAAAGAAAAAAACGCGGCTGACTCAATACATGAAGCCTTGCGAGGAAATGTACCACCACAGCATGTTTACTTCGGCATAGATGTTTGGGCACAGAATGCAACAAAGCTCTCGCAACCACGCATCACGTACCCTGAGTATAGCGGCGGTGGCACTAATACTGGTGTTGCCGTAGCCAAGCTCGCTGAATTAGGCCTCTCGGCTGGCATCTTTGCACCAGCATGGACGTTCGAGCATTTCCCTGGCCACGGAAGAGCAGTGGAGCAGACTGTATGGGACGGAGTAGATCTTCCCAGGGCTACATCCTGCTCATGCGGAGACTGTGAAAAGCGACATCGACCGAACCAAGCAATGCACGTGACTAGCTTTGCAAAACTATCCAATGCCGGCTCGGAAATGTTCTTCTTCACAGACTTTAGCAGAGCTTTTTGCACTCACAGTGACCAGGAAAAGGACAGTCTATTCAGCGGCCATGTGATACATGCCCAACTTGGCTCACAATCAATCTTGCCCTTAAGAGCAGAGTCGCTGGGCATAGCATGCCCATTGCGACACAGAATACAAGACGTTAAAGGGCGATCGGTGTTGATAATTGAGACTCGCAGCTTGCCTTCCCCGTCTATCAAAAACGTTGCGGAGCTCACGAATCACGGCTGGCCAATGCCACTGTTCAAGGTCGACATGCCTGCAGATGGATCGCTGCGACTACGAATCTCCTATCGAGACCTTTCAGAACTACCGCAAAGTGTCCATTTCTACATGAAGATCTCAGGTGTGGTGCACATCATTGCACAATCCGATCAGTCTCGAGTCGACCATCTTCTCGATGTCCAAGTCAAGAGCAATGCTCTTACCCCGATAGCGAATCCTCGTCTGGAGGAACTTGGCTTCTACTCCAAGGCCACTAATGTTGGCACTGAGAGGATCCTTACAGAGGTCGACTACATCTGCATTCAGCCAGGTTCGTCTTGTTTTACTCTATCCCAACCAGTGCTAAATAATGGAAACTCGGTCCAACCAATGTTACCACTGAATACCCCGTCAAAAGAGTTCCACACCATCTTTAATGTTCGGCGTGCAACTCTTGGGGAAGGAGAGGCGCAGCATGTCAGACTCTGTTGGAGCCACACCTCTCACAGATTGCCGGTGCAGGACATTCCATACAGCTCTGTTACCGGACCTTTTTCGTATTTTGCGATTCAGCTTGACGACATGTTTCTGGGAAGAGCGTATGCAGCAGAGCATACGCTTCCAGCTTCGCTCGTAGAACAGTTCGCGGGACGTGATATCTTGGTGGAGATCAAAGGTATAGGCTTCGACGGACACAAGCTTGCGATCAGCAGCATGACTATTCCTTTTTGATTGAATTTCGTCAGATGCTCTCGTGGCTCCTGCAAATGCGAAAGAACAATGGAAATTTCAGACGATCGACATGGACATCCACCCACCTTATGTTTGCAACATGATCCCTTCCGCGTTTGATCACCATCCGGCTCGTCATCCGTCACAATCGTGACTCGATCATTGCAGTGCTGACAGACCTGACACGCTTCATGCGTGACCAGGGGTTCAGCCCTACCTGAAACATGCAATACGCCATCCGTGGTACATCACTCGTCAGCCGAGTCCAACATGTTAGAAACATCGAACGTAGCTGGCCACTTACATGTCCACCACATAGAGTTCCCACCTAGGCTCCCAAGTTACAGAAGATTGCATTGTAGAGAGTCGCGTCGAAATGGGCAAATTTAGAACGAGCAAGAAAATATAGAGCGTGCTAAGGCGCCCTTCAATGCCTTGTCTGCCCCTTCTTCGCGACCCTCGTTCTACTTTCCAAAATCGTTTTCATCTCCCAAGATTCAACGCTGAAAATCTGCGCTGTTGATCCTGAGGTGATCACAGTCCAATATCAAGTTGATCGTCGATAACATCTTCAAAACAGCAACATAGGAGATCACAATGGCCAAAATCAACCCAATGTATCCTGTCCGTGGTGCACAAGCAGTGCTTGCCATCATTGTTCTCGGACTCATGGCATACGGTTCGTCCCTCTGCTCGACGTTCCATGACGATGCTAACACTGCAATAGTTTCCTCGTGGTGGACATCGCACTGGCGCCAGGCTTCTCCAGCTCAAGTCTCTTTTCTCATCTTCGCGTCCGCATGGTCACTCGTTTCTCTCATCCCGATATTCCTCATACCTCTCAAGTTCAGCCACATGCTCTCGTCCGCTGGAATTCGCTGGGGTCTCGTTGCACTTGATGCGCTCACCATGCTTTTCTGGTTCGCTGGTTTCGTGGCTTTGGCTGTGTTTCTGAATGGCAGAATCTGCTTTGGCCAAGTGTGTGATGTTGCGAGAGCAGGAGCGGCGTTTGGAGGCTTGAGCTGGGCGGTAACCGCAGGCGGATTCGGATACGGGACATACCTTGCTGTCACTGCGGAGAAGAGGAGGGTACCAGCGGTGCAAAAGCCAGATGTTGCCATGCATCAGGGCGTGTGAGGTATGGCCTCGATAGAGCTTTGGGATATTGACGTAATGGTCGCGACCTCGAGACACAGCAGACTGACCTGAGAACGTTGGCCATCCGGAATGGTCGAGGGGCTGTTAGTTGCATACTTTTTCGGTGTATTTTGGTTGTAATCAATGCTTAAGTACAAGCAAGAAACCCACGAACGTGGCTTTATCTTTCAATCGTTCGTTCTCAAGGCATGGGTTCTTTCGTGTAGTTTTTCACGAAAGACGATGGATTCGCACCTTATCTCGATGATGAAGACAAGGACTGCGATGGCGCATGTTGGCCAAATTTGGACCAATATGCCATAGGACCCCAAATACCGAACTTTTGAGAACACCGACGGGCCCGAAATCAGGCACATCAATCAACCTGAGGCATGTATGGCTACTCCATCGTACTGTTAGTTCGTACTGTTAGTTGCCTTGTGAAGCCTTTGTGAAACCGGGAATAGTCAGGAGGTCGCTGAAACGGTTGCTGCCACGGACTGTGCCGTTCAGCCATGTCATCAGATTTCCACTTGGTTACATGGAGGTTCGAGAATAACAAATATATATCAGGTTCCAGATGAATGATAAGAAGGTGTTAAAGTCTGCGAAATCATCAATAGCTCGTAGAGAGCACATCGTTGAGGCCGTTCATCATCATTACTCATCTTGGTTAGCGCTGAAACTAGTGCCTGCTGAAACAGAAGTTGTGGCGTTCCTGTCTGAACCCTGCCCAGCCTCCACTTCTGGAACACATGAATGCTCCCACAGTGGCCACACCACATACACTTCAGACTTCGTACGAGCTATTGCCTCGCTGTCACTGTGTCGTCTTGATGCTGGATCAGTAGGAGCTATATATGTCACTTGTTTGACTTACTATAGAGCATCGAGCTAGGGCAATACTTCTTTCAAACACGCCCGCAGCAGGAAGCTTGTCATTGTCAGGAGTTTCCGCGAACCGACGAAAGAAACATTCGTGAAGATTGGCACCCTGCTTGGCGGGGTAAAATCGTTCCCTGGACTAACCAGCTATACGCAGGGGCCGTGAGGGGCGTCTGGCCATGAGTAGCCCCAGTACACCTAATGATACGATATGATACCACATGCGGTCAGACCTTAGCCGCGAAACAAGTACTCAAGATCCCTCACGGCGTTGCACAAACATCTCCTCTTTCCCCCTTTATCTTTGGCTGCACAGTATATGGGGTCTCGCGGTTCTTGTTCTTGACAAGCAATACATAACCCACACCAGATTCGATTCAACACATAGCACAATGCCAAAGACTGTTGTCTTCACAACGATGACCCCGCTACCGGCGGGCATCACTCGGAAGAGCGTCCTCGATATGTACAAGGACCATCTGGCGATGATAGATCTGAACCCGCTTGTGGTCGAGCGCTACAAGTGCAAGCCTCCCAACTACGCACCGACCTCGGAGTACTACGCGACATGGTACACAATTAAAGGTACTTAGTTTGCCTTGAGGATCTACAACTTTGCTGACACGTACAAGACAAGGTCTCTTATCTCCCCGGGGGTCTAGCAACCGGATCGGTTTCATATCATGCCGTCTTCCATGACTTCCCCGATTGTCTAGAAACGCACGTATACGCGCCACTCGGTCTAGATATTCGAGGGAAATGGAGCGTGGGTGGGTCATTGCCAGGAGAGCCTAGAGAGCATGTAGACCACAGCGTCAGTGTCCCACGCGCGGGATTATACATCCGCGAGGAGGTCAAAATGACATGTTCGAAGCTGCTGCTAGGTTTTGTCAAAAAGACATTCAAGGACTCACATTCATACCTGGTCGAGAAGCTGGTCGAAAGAGCGCATATCTTGGAATCTAATTTCGCAAACGAGCGGTTGCAAGCATTGCGAAATGTTGAGCCACGGGAACGTATGGGCCATGGTGATATCTTCATTGCCCCACCACCAGATTATCAGGCTGCACCACCGCCTTACCAAGCTCAAGCTTCCCCTCGCTTCGTATCGCATTCACGAAGCCACAGCGCCAACCCGATCCTGACTCCTGGCCTTTCGTATTCCTCATCTACCGAACGAATTACATCCGTCTCAAGCCTACCAACACCACAGGACCGCCCTTCCTCTTCTTCAGCGTTGAACCTCAAAGCAGCATCAGCCCCAGAGCAGACCCTTTATCTTTTGCCAGCAACGACCTACGATGGTGGCTTATCTTCGAGCTTCACCCGTCCCATTTCGCTTTACCCTGGTGCTGCTTCAAATCCAGCATCCAATCGCGTTGTATCACTGTACTATGAGACGACGGTGGGTGAGCAACCGTCGGATGACGAGTCTGACGAAGAGCCTGGACTTGACTTTAGTCATGTTGTAAGCCCACCGTACATTCCTGAAGTACGCCCCATCTCTTTCAACTTCGCATTTGAACCGAGATCGCCCGGTCCTAAGACCCCAATATCGAACGAAGACCTGCTAGCGGACATAGATGCCGCGATTGACGAAAGCTATGTTTACAATTCGCTGGATACGCACTACGATGCCTTGCCGACACCGAACGCTTTACGGGTTTCGAGTCAGAACGAAACACTTCAAAACAACACTTTTGGGGTTCTACCATCGACCACATACAGTGGTTTGTCTACGCCGTCCGTGGATACCCTGCCCTCGACCACATATATGGCAGCGCCACAAACTCTCGACACGCTGCCATCGACGACGTACTCTGCCGACTCTTTCCTACCATCCACAACATATGCACCTAGATATGAGAGGAAGGACTCGGTTATGCCATATCACATGCACTCCGAATTGCCACCAGTACCGCCGAAGGACGAGAGGTACAGGAGACCCTCGCAGGCCGCTGCCTAGCTGCCTCAAGTCGAGCGGATGTGGCGCACACCATCTGCTTTCCTTTGTACATCATCTTCGAAATTGGATACGAACTGATGTTCGATGTCGAAAGGATTGGTAGAAGGCCCGTGGAGGTTATCATGTAACTAACATGGTCCGCTTACCATCGGATGTTTGCATGTTGCCAGCGCTGATTATACGAGTTTCTTCGTCGCGCGTTTGATTTTATATACCCACATCTCCATCGCGTAACAATGTTCTTTAGTTCATAGATTCATGCGTTATAGATTATATGGATTTGCAAAAGTAGAAATGCTTTAGAGAACATTAAATCATATCTTCGCCACTGATAATAATACCGGTTTCTTACTGCTGCAATATTTGATCATGGTTGAGCTTGGTTGCGTGCGCTTGGTGGGCGCGGAGAAAATTCTCGCACTAAAATACCAACCCCTGATGGGGTTCATTCCATACGAGTCATCTGGCAGATATGACTTGATATCAGATGTCGAGTGCTGATTTTGAAAGGTGTTAATACCACTCTGCACTCTGCATCTCCATCAATATCAAAAGGGCTTGTGGTTTAGTGGTATAATACTCCCTTAGCATCTTGTGGCGTCGATAGAGTCCTAGAGAAACATGGGAGTGGTCCAGGGTTCGATTCCCTGCAAGTCCACATTGTTTTTGCTCTTGTTGTCCTAATATCGTTGCTGTCATGGTGGTGATAGTGCTTGTGGTGGTGGAGGGCGTGCAAGTTAGATTTTGGCGACGCCGAAACTGCAGAACGCCGGATGAGGACTCAAAATTTTCTTTCTGGAGCACATGCTTGCATACCATACCTGCTCCGTTTATTGTTGCAGCGGTGTTGGAATTGTTAGGCATTATTGGGTTTTGGTGGTTGCGTGGATGAATGGATGGATGCGGACCGGTCGTAGACCTAGGTAAGGGGACAGACATTGTCTTTACGTCAACGTACTGTAGCAGCGTCAAAGTATCGTCCAAACATATTGCACTCGGGCAGCCACTTAATTTTATTAGACCTGAACCATTCTTGTTGCAGCCGACAAGCCACAGAACCACTACTGAACAACTCTGTTTAAGCGCACACACACCAACAAGAACGAGACTTAATGAGATTCATGCTGGGTACAGTATATATGAATTCAGTGGATCTTGTCCGGATAAAACAAAGAAGTTCACGCAGCATCGTCCCTTGCAGCGACAGAGTGAGCGAACAGACAACCCACAAAGCGCCTAGTCTACTTTAAGCAGTTCGCCCCAGGAGCAAACAACGGCTATGTGCATACTGTACTCAAGCACGACGGCAATTGTCCTCGTGTCACACAGAATCATGATGGTTGTCGGGTCAATCTATCACCTTCAGCAAAGCGCTCAGATGACCTGAACAAGCATTCCTGAAATCGTCACATTGCAGAAGTCTCGGCCTCAAACGCCTTGCCAATGAAGTCAGAATCGTTCGGTTGCACGTTCTGTCAAAAGTGGTTAGCTTCTATGGTAGTCCGTGATCTGCGAGGCTGGCAAGCGAGAGTACTCGATGGGCACCCATGGACAACAAGATGCAAGCTAGCCAAAGACGTCAGACTAAGACTACGTATAAAGCTGTGTACAGCATGCAGTTTGTCCGCGAGTTTATGCTTCTTTTGCGACTTCCATGGCTCTCTCACTTGAAGATTGCCACATCTGCGGCCCATACCAGAGAAACGGCGGGGCTAGCGCCTTTCAGCCTAGCTCAAGCGCACACCTGCCGCTGCGGGCAGTTGATATTTTCTCTGTTTGCCTGCTGCCCCTCGTCCTCTTCCAAACACTCCACTTCAAGTCAAATATCTGAGATCTCTCGCCTTTGATCTCTTCTACCCATCAGAACCTAACAGTAAGTCGCAGCTCTTGCGCTCCGTGAGCGCACTTTCCGCGGTGCATGCGCATCGCTAACATTCCACAGGTTTATACCACCTCACGAAAAATGGATTACCAAGCTCCTGCTCCTGCTGCCGGTGGCCGTGGCTGCTACAACTGTAAGACTTCCAAACTTCGCTCCGCAACCCCGAAATCTATCTTCGAACAAAAAGCCCCCACTTCACACGATTTGGCGAACTTGACAGCTATGTGCTGTGAATGAGCTCGCTTCGCCAATTGTGGAGCACGGAGGTGTTTTGAGAGTTATAGATGCACGCCACATATCTTTCCTCACACGTCCGTCGATCGCCCTCGCCGCGTTGACAATGTGCAACCAAGAGCAATATACTAACACATCTCAGGTGGCGACAACTCTCACCGCGCTGCTGAGTGCCCCACTAAGGGTACCCCAACCTGCTACAACTGCGGCGAGAAGGGTCATGTCAGCCGTGAGTGCACCCAGCCCCAGGCTGAGAAGACCTGCTACCGCTGCGGTGGCACTGGCCACATCAGCCGTGAGTGCACCCAGGCCGGTGGTGCTCCCGGTGGTCGCGCTGGCGGCCAGGAGTGCTACAAGTGCGGTCAGCAGGGTCACATCGCCCGCAACTGCTCCCAGGGTGGCGGCTCCTACGGTGCCGGCGGCTCCTACGGCGGCCGTGGTGGCTTCGGTGGCGCTCAGGGCGGCCAGGGCGGATACGGAGGTGGTGCTCGCCAGACCACTTGCTACTCTTGCGGCGGCTTCGGCCACATGAGCCGTGACTGCACCCAGGGCCAGAAGTGCTACAACTGCGGTGAGGTCGGTCACCTGTCCCGCGACTGCCCACAAGAGACATCCTCTGAGCGTGTCTGCTACCGCTGCAAGCAGCCCGGCCACGTCCAGAGCGCCTGCCCTAACTAAACGTGTCGACTGCGCCTCGTCGATTACCTTGATCTGGAGTGAGCTTTGATGCAGCCAATCGCAATCACTGCGACGCGGCTGGCATGTTCGATTGTTAGAGATTACCGCCATGATTCACGAGTCATCGACACGATTACGATTTCCTTCTCTGTACATTTTCTCATTCTGCGGCTGGCTGCCGTTTTTCGACGCTTACACGAAAAGCATTTCATCGCCCGGCATGATTGGACTTGGGTCTTTTCAGCACATGACCGAACTTCAAGTGGGTTGGTTATGGAAAAGTCCTGATTCAGGAAGATTTTGCATTCGGTGGATACAATGTGGGTGGAGAGGAGAGCGGATCCTTCGACAGCGAGCAAGGAATGGGAGTAGTGATGGTCCTGCGAACGAATACGACTATGAGAAAGGAGGTTGCTGCTGTTTGGTAGATGCTCCTAAAGCTTCCCGGCAATCGCTGGAGGGCCAAAGAGTGTATGCACCGAACGGTAAATAGACCTTGCTACGTTCATCCTTTCTGGATGCCCTACATACTGTGTGCCTGTTGTTGCTGTGAGGTTTGGGTGACATGTACACCTGCCCGCGCCAAATTAACGCTCTGCTTCACGAACAACATTGTGTTCACCATTGCGCCAAGCCAAACGGACACTAGTCCGTGTTGGTCTCACCTGCGCGCATCCAAACAAACGGTCAACACCACCCTCGACCCCACGATCCTACAACGCGTCGAGTACAATTAGAACGACTGCTCGGCTCGGCCTGCGTGCGTTCGAACGAATATGGCGCCCCAAAGAAAGCGCGACAATCGCGAGAACGCCTTCTTCAATGTTGGCGTACAGGGAAGGTAAACAAACAGGCAATTGTCAGTATGCGCGCAATTGACAACATATGCAGAAAGACTGGGATTACTCTGGAAGAGCGTGCGCGCGACGAACACGGCATCGAGGCTATCTCGGGCATCTTCTCCTCGCCGGAAAAGTCACCGCCGAAGCGTGGGAGTACAGCAACCGGGTCAGAATCGATGGACATACAAGAGAGTGCGTAAACTCGTCTACAACGCTTGCGTGTATACACTAGAAGTGTAGCGGAACTGCGCTGACCTGCCGGCTCACAGGCTCTATTCCAAACTTGACGACTTCTGCTGCGATTCTGCGCAACAACCGCACTCACCTCCCTCCACCCCGCTCGCGATCCCCGATGAAAACTGCTCTTGGGTCTTCCCCACGCCGACAATCCTCCATGGTGCCTCGAGGCAGCTCAATTGGCGCTTCGAGCCCGATCCGCGCGACTTCACAACCAGACGTAGCGAGACGATTGGAGTTCCATGAAGAGGAGGACCCAAATCTTCAGGAGACACCGGCACTAAGCGGCTCCGGACAGCGCCGTGGGAAGCGCAACGACGTTTACGCGCTGGAACGCTCGCCTAGCCGGCCTCGTAGTGCGGTCATGGAAGAAAGTGAGCTCCAAGATGAAATCACCGCAAATAATGACGAAGATGATGATTTACCGACCATGACCGAGATGGAGGAGAGCTTTTTTGTGGATTTTGGGGCTGATGCAGACACGGGCGCAGATGTAGTGGAATCGCTGCTGGAAGAGGAGACTCAGGTAGAAGAGGAACTCGTGCCAGAACCGGTCAAGGAGCTAGCGAAGAGGGGCAGGAAACGAAAGAGCGATCAAGCCGCCGTTGTTCACGAAAGCCCAAAGACAGCCAAGGCGCGAAAACGCGGAGCTGGGGCTACGCAGGCACCAGAGGCAGCAAAGAAACTTAAGAAGACTTCCGCTCCCGCCGCTCCTGCACGACGCTCAAAGCGTGTGTCCGATTTCACAGACCAAGAGTCCAGTGTACACGAGGCAGCAGTCGTTGACGAGTCTCTAACGGTAGACGCGTCTGAACAAATCGAGGAAGTACCGGTCGCCCCCAAACGCCGTGGACGGCCGCCGAAAGTCCAGAAAGATGCTGAGCCTCAGCCCACGGTCCCTACAAAGACAAACAAAAAGGCAACAACGAAGAATCCCGCGAAAGAAAAGGAAGAGCCTGTCTTCAAGAAGCCGTCGAAACCAATGTCAAGGCCAAAGGACATACCAGCACCGAAGGACAAGGCGAATGCAAAGACCCCAGATATAGGAGCCAAAGACGAGGCTGGAAGGCCTGTGGATGCGTACGGGAATCCACTTAGCAAGGCGGATATCGAGCAGATGTCTACAACTTCAGTCAGCTCGCGATTGGGTAGAGGTCGCCACCTCTCGGTATATCGCGAGATGGAGCCTGAGGCAATTGCACATGTAGGACGAACAGGCAGACACCGTGTTGCGCCGATTGATTTCTGGAAGAACGACAGAATCAATTACAATCATGATGGGAGCATGCAAACAATCGTGAAAGCGCCAGCCATGGAGCCTGTCCAACGAGCGGCCACATACAACAAAAAAGGCAAGAAGAAGGCTCTGACCACTGTCGAAGAAGAGGAAGTAGAACTCGACCCTTGGGAAGAGGACGACGGCTTTCTGACGGGCAACTACAAAGACTTCGATACTACGGATGAGTTCGCGTCGCCCGGGCTCGTAGAGGGCGTCATTGCTTGGTCTGAGAAGGGCATCAAGCCCGAACCAGTTGGAGATGGCTCCTTCCAATATGCCAGGATAGGAAACACTGCAACTGACGTAAAGCCCGGGTTCTTCAACTGGGGCATGCTTGACATCCATGCCGACCAGATGAAGCGCTCAAAAAACTCAAGAAGGATGCATATGGTCTTTAACGTCCAGTATGGTACTGTCGAGGTCAGGGTTCACGAGAATGAGTTTACAGTGCATAGGGGTGGAATCTGGCAGGTTCCTCGAGGTAAGTCCGGTAACATGTTGTAAAGACAATGTGCTAATACCAATTTGCAGGCAATACATACAGTATCAAGAATGTTGGCAGCAAAACAGCTCGTATTTTCTTCGCGCAGGCTCGCGAAGCGTCTACAGATAATGAATAGGCTGTCTGTTACGTTGTGTTCAATCAGCAGACAAGACCTTGTTCTTTGCTAAAATGTATCATCGCTTGTGATACCCCATCTTCTCTATCAGATGCTTACTTTTTACTATGCATGCAGGAGCGCTGTTTGTCACCTCCTGGGTCTCACGTTCTGTTATATGTGTTCCCATGTGCAAGTTCCCTAACCACCTCCCTCACTCAGCTAACAATTCTGTCCCCTTTACCGCTTCTTAATGTGAACCCTAACATTGGCTACATAGAGTAATTTCTGCGGTGGAGTGAAACAGTATCGGAAGTACGCACGCCTTGTGCGAACTCAAGCGATCGTTGCACAGGCCGCAAGCCGTCAATGTCACCTGTACGATCATGAAACCCGAGACACAAACATGGGAGGATGTGGACAGCTGCCGCAAAGCCGACCAAGCTTCCGGTGTCTTCGCTGCTGTGCCACAACTGACGAAAATGATATGCTCACATGGAGGAACGCGCACTTCTCAGCCTTACTATCGTCCCAATCAGACGTCACAATGCACCGTTGAGCTCAACAGGTGATCCGCAACCATGTAAGTATGCGCTGGCTGCTGAATGCCTACCTCCGAGCTGCAAGCAGCGCTCTTATATTCACTGTCCTGCACCCAACAAGTGACAACTCGTTTCAGGCGTTCGTGCATCGTCTGTGCCCGACCCCCATTTTAGCGGCATCGCACAGCGCCTGCATGCTGCTTACAGCGTTGACGCACCTGCTGTGCTTCTGATCTCAATGTATGCGTCACGGCCACAGCTTCAGATGCGGTGTCACCAGCGGAAGCGGGAGTGCCCATTAGTGGTGTGCTGCGCGAGGCTGCGGGCGCATGCATGTTCCGGTGTGGCGCCTGCGTTGGGGTGCACTGCCGCTTCCCCAAATGCTGTGTAACCGTGACGGCAGAAGCGACAGGGCAGACGTCAGGGGATGCTGCTGCATTAGGCAGGGATCTTGCAGCGGAAGGTGAGTGGCTAGATAGGCGCGCTGGCTTGCAGGTTTTGGCTTTGTGGCGAATATGGCAATGAAGGTGATACGAACGCTTCCGGGGGTCTTGCATTGGGAATTACACGGTGTACGAGTTTTGAGATGCACCATCTCCACAATCGGCTGTTATCCACTCTGTGAGCGTTAAGCGGTGTGAGGCGGTGTAGAGGCCAGCGGTTCGAGATAAATGTCGTCCGGTGAAGACATCGACTAAAGGCGTCCCCGGAGCACATTTCGTTCAGGAGCTTCGGTAAGGGGATTTTGGGGACTGAACAAGTGTTGTAATATTCGGGTAACCGCAACGAATGCCTAAGCTAGGCTCGCATGGTCTGGATGTTGTGGGCTGAAGTGGTTGGGTGGCGAGGATCACGAGTGGCGGTATGGGCAACTGGTGGTTAATGAGGCGGTGTGTACAGGTGATCTGCTGTCGAACGGATGCTCTTCTCTTTCCTCAGCGATCGTGACTCAAGCAAGTCTTCGACGAAGCTATCATATCTCGTGACTCAGATGATCGGTTTCTTCGAAGTCTTTTACCGTGAATTTTCTTTCCTAGGAGACGAAGAAGGGTTGTGGTCTGCTCGAGGGAACACTCGTTCTCACGTGCGCGAATGCCCAAAGAGGCAATCACCCGTTGCAGTGTAAGCGCAAACCTCTGTCGCACCTGCAGCAGTTTGACACGGGCTTCGCCTTCGGACTCGAATGCCATCCTCTCCACAGCTCTCCACAGTCGAATTGTTGATCGGCCGCCACAAGCAGGTCTCGCCGGCTGTTCCACACAACCAACAATCGAACATGCGGTGACGATCCCCACACGTACCGGAAGACGCCCAGCACCTCTGGCGCGAAGCGTTCGGACTCGTAAATCCTAGCGCCGCTATTTTCCTGGTGGTCATGAACGGCGGTCAACCGAGTCATGCCAGAAAACGACGGACTGCGCTTCGGTCTTTTAGCGGATATTTGGTGTGAACCAGGCCCTGCAATCCACCGAACACATCATCACTGCGTGATGCTTTTTCTGGTGACCCACCGGGTGGATAGGATGCTTCAGGATTTGATGCTAGAAAGGCCGTTCCGGGGAATTCACCGGTCACTTCATCGATGGTTTTATCTGAGGTGGATCTCCTAGAGCTCGTGTTTGAATAATTCTTGTGTCGGTGTGGTTGGCGAGGGCACAGTTCACGCTGAGCAACGAAGCGAGCTGCCTTGCGAGGTCATGGCGTAATGATGGCATTGCGTGGCTCACAATACGAATTGATCGATCGTAAAGGCGGTTCGCGCTGATAGTGATCACCCTTTCAAGGGTGGTTGCCTGTTCACGGAAGTCGAGTTGTTCAAGGCGAATCGCCGCTTTCCGGTCGTGCTGCGGCGCACGTGCCTCTTGCTGCCGGCAGACAACCATCGAGCACTCATGGAATTTCCTTGACCTTCTTCTCCGTTACTAGCTCGGTGTCAGAGCTTCTTTGGGCAGGAAGAAAGCTGGAGGGGTTGCCAGTGTGATCCGGGTCATCAGGGACAGCTCGTGGCATGTGCTCAGACAACGGCGATGTTCGCCCGAGCAGCGATCCCGGCCGATCGAACAAGGACATTGCAGGGCGAAGACGTCCCATGGAATAGACGATTCCGCGACAAGGCGGCCTAGCATAAATCTGTGTCAGATACCATGATTCACGTTGGCGAACAGGTGGTGCACGGAAAGACTTTCTCGAAGCAAAGTGATCGCCGGTGACATTGCGTTTGGCCCATGCAGGGTTGACATGTTTGAACGTGTTCGCAGCCATGCGACCCCGGAAAAAGGATGCAATTCGGACAAATAGCCCCGGTGAGCACGCGTTCGTGTCATGTGTTTTTGCCGGTCTTTCTACTTGCCCTAGAGAAGCATGAATGTCAATGCCGAACATTCGCCAGGGTGAGCACCCGTTCACTGCCACAAAGACCGTCAGGCAAGACCGACGACATCACAACTGTCTTTGCGCAATAAGCGGTCAGTGACAACCGGAGCAAGGCGTCGGAGCAAAGAACGTGCAACGGAGACAGGGATGATCCCAAAACGCCTCCTGACGCCATGTTTCCAGCCTTACGGCCTAACGTTCGAGGATTCCTTCTCGAACGCGTGCTCGAATCGTCTGATCGCCGCACCATGGTATCGATAGGACCGGGCTGCGAACGCTGAAGTCTAGTTAATCTCCTTTTGCGGGGCTTCTGTGCTGTCATGTTTGTACCCGGAAATGGGCACAGGATGACGAACGGTTCAGCCAAGTTCATGCAAGAATGATCGTGACTCAATGAACGGCAGAATGGTGAGGCGTGTGGCTGTGCGAACAGCTCATCAACACCACACTACTTCTAATTCAGGCTCTAGTTGACAGCACGAGTTGCAGACAGCCACGTAGTCGATTCTTGACCGACTGAATGCAAGCCTCCCATGGGTACGTCACTAACAGAAGAATCATCTGGGGTAGACGAGGCGGACGAGCGAGTTGACGATGGACCCGTCGTTCACCGCCACGAGCTGAGACATGGGTGCCTGCTTGGGCAGCGAGTCTGCAAACCTAAGATGTCGATAGAGGGTACTGGAATCGGAGATGAACAAAATGGTATTTTATGTTCGTATCTATGCGCTGGCGCAGCGCGATGCCAGGTCGCCGAAATGCTTCGCTATGCTGAAGAAACAGACAGGCTGATGCTTGGTAGAAAACAAAATATAGAAATCCTCGCCATGCTATGCCGTAATCGTTCTAGAAAATGCTGATAATGTCGTGGAGTAAGACAAGTCCTTCAATCCGATACCCAAATACACAATAGCAGCCACCCTATGTGTGTTTAGAACATACAAGAACAGGCAAGTAATGGTGCTGACCCCAGAAATCCCAGCGCTATGGTGTTCGAAACAAAACAATGTAAAATGAAAGGATGACCGAAGCAAAATGCAAACCTGACCCACGCTAAATGCCACAATCATTGCCGCTCGAGAAATGTGTGTGAAACCCTCTTGACCCATCTATGCTCCCATAATCTTGTTTTCGTTTCCATGTATGTTGTTTGGTGGTGTGCTGAAACGCCAGAACACTACGGTGACTGCTCCAATGTTCCAACTCTTGCCGGTGCCAGCCCGCGCGCCTAGAGATAAGATACTATCGTGAGGTGTCGATTGTTACAGAGCATAGTGTGATCGCCCTTGCTGCAGATGACGTAAGACTCAAGGAGCTACGGGAACTGGTGGCGAAGGCAGTGCAGTTGTAGCTGGACGCTCAAACTCTCCCGACTCTCGTTTGAAGCTCTTGATGCTTCCTGTTGCACTTCGTTGCGACTGTCGATCGGGGCTTCTTCCTCCCTGACTGCGTGTTTCGAAGTCTGCTTGAGTTGGGCCTGCAGCACCGCCTTCCCATCTCTTTTGATACGGCTCGATGTAACTGAAGCCCTCTCTCTTGATGTCTGATCGCATGATTGGAGCTGGCGCTGTTCTTGCACCGCTCACTAGATCTTCCACAGAAGCGGGATGTATTTGTGGCAAGGGCTGGCTAAGCTGAGGTGGAACACTGGATCTTGAAGAGAGTGTATTCGCACGTCGGCGGCTGAATGAGTCATCTCTGCGTCGACCCTGACTCGATCCGCTGTCGGTACGCTGGTGGAACGAGTGGATAGGGCCTTGTTGTTGCGGCGGCGGAGTTGACTGGTATTGCTGCGCGTGTACCGGGGGAGGAGTCGGCATGAGCTGCGCGGCATTCGCGGGAGTAAAGCCATGCGATGTGGGCGCGGGCGTGTGGGCAGGAATAGCGGCTGTTTGCGAAGGAGAGCTGTTCGAGGTCGCGGATGGATGGAGCTGAAAGACTGGAGCATTCGCGCGTGCACTCATCTCTTGCTCGCCCAGCTGCCAATGCATGGACTCGGCCGATCGCCACGGGATACCCATCTCGGTGGCTACCTTCTGCCACATCTGGTCCTTGAAACTGGAAGTTGTTAGCGAGTGATCGATAATGCGACCAAGGAAGCGCGTCTTGATTTTGACTGAGGCGCTGCTTAGGAGCAGAGCGGAGCAGTTTAATCACACTGACTGATAGGCAGCGCAGCAGATGACCAAAATCCGAGGTTACACGGTGTACGTACCGAGCGTAGAGTCTTGCAAGCTTGTTCTTCTTTTCTTCGTCCCAAATGGCTCGCTTCTCCAGATAGTTCTGGTAACGCAATCGACAGGAGATTGAGCTTCTTCCAGGAAGGCGTTTTGCAATGTCGTCCCACTTCATGCCCTGGCCTCGCAGCTCAATGGTAAGATTGTCTTCTTCAGGCGTCCATTTTGACTGCTTCTTAGCTGGGCTTTCATCGGGAAGAGGAGTTTGCGAAGCCTGTCGCTTGATGACCTGGTGTGGGGGTGATCGATTCGAGCCAGGTGGGCCGTGGTGAGCTGGACCCGGACCAGGGGGTCCGGTATAGAGTGGTCGAAATTGAGGATGAGACGAGGGGTCTGAGTGTCGCTGGAGCTCAGAGATGGCTGGAAGAACAGGTCCACCCAGCATTGTGCCTGGAATAGGAGGTGCTGATGTTGGTGCCTGGGCTGAATAACTGGGGTTGGTGCCATAAGGCGAAGATGTCGCATACGACGGAGATCCGCTGGCATATGCAGGCGAGGCTCCATGTGCAGGAGATGTGGCGTATGCTGAAGGGGCTGTCGTGTATGTCCTCGCCGCTGTAGAATTTGATGCGATAGACGCCGAGCTCTTCTTACTCGCCGGCGATTCGGAACCACGGGGCTCAAGGAGGAGGTTGATATCCATTATGACTGAAGAGAGTAGCTTATGGCAAGGCCATGTACTGGTGGGGTTTGACTGGATTAAGGGGCCTGCAGCGCAACGACTCTAGGGAGGAGTAGTCGAGACAGAAGGGACGATGCGGTCACCTTACGATGATTCACGTTTTGAACAAGATCAGGTGTTCCAACGAAATGTGCTAGAGATGGATTTCTCCGTGAAGCAGTGTGACGCTGAGTCCAGAAGTGTGGCAGTGCAGAGACGGCAGCGATGTGCTATTGCTGCTAGAGGGGCGACCAACCAGCGTGGGGGTCGAAATATGATGATACACTGAGTGAGGCCTCGAGGTACGACGATGCTGGGATGGATTGATGATGTGTTGTTGAGTGTCGATGGAGGTGAAGCTGAGTGTTTTGTGAGGTGACGAGACTCAGATACAGCTAGAGGTGCCGATGTAGGCTAAAAGTGACCAGTTGCGAGGTACCCACGAGTGTGCAAGCTCTGAGTGGTCACTTTTCACCACAGGACCCAGGTCGACCAGGCAGGGGCGTGAAACAGACCAACCAATGGCTTTTTAGATGACAGATGCACGTAGCCACCAGTTTTGCATAACAATCGAAGGTAGGGAAATTTCGTGGTGCGAGATGCATGCAGCCTGGCGAGAGTGGAGGATAGGTAGGTACTAGGTAGGGTCGGAGTACTAGGGCATGGATGTTTGAGTAGAGGGAGTTAGCGTCAAGTGTAATACGAAGTCATGCATCCCTTGGGCTTGGAGCCGCCTCACTGCCCATAGCGGTAGGGATCCGGGGGCTTGGGATCAAGATGTACGTTTCTGACTTGACACTGACTACTTCGCGCTACGCGCTACCTCAAGTGGTGCTGGCGGCGCCACTTGTACCCACAGACCACCAAGTGGCAGCACTGTTGATCTGAGGAAGCATGTCTGCCGGGAACTTAGCGAGGCTCGAAAGAAACAATCTGAGGAGCACGCCGACAAACGCAGGTGTAACGAAAAAGCAGATCCTAGGTATCTTCCCGGTCGAGCGTGGGTAATGGCGGTGACGTACCCCCACTTCGACGAACAACGCATCTGGAGATCTGGTTCATCATCCCCTCGTCACTCATTTTCGACTTACCCGTACATGGGTGAGCCCGACCGAAGCCCTTCCTCTCGTCAGGCCTCAACGCGCCCCGAGTTGGGGCTGCGGCGTTTGCATCGCTGGCAGCAACAGGGGAGTCTTCACGACGACCAAAGCATGCTCGAACGGATTGACTAGGAAGGGCAGCGAATCAGGCGCTGAATTTGGCGGTGAACACGTTCAGGGATGTCGGACATCAAGTCAAGGGTCAGTCCGAAAACGCAGAAGCGCGATGACCTGGCGCGGCGAACAAGATCTGCAAGCATCCTTCGTCCGCCGGCAATCTGGCGCCAGAGGCCTCGGTAGCGAACGTATGTTAGCCTCGCGAACGCTGACTTCATTGCGATGCAGACGGTGATGTGTTTATGCTGACATGTTTGAGAGGGTTTGAGACGCGCCCAGGCCTGCATTTGCAGTTCACGCTCGGTAAGGCACTCCACAGTGGGTGTCAATATCCATCTTTGCCAACGGTTGGCGTCACTTCGGGGCAAGAGAGGCGGTGAACTGCGGTGAACTGCCGAGTGATGGCCGTAACATTTAGCTTTCGATGGCGCACCAAAGATGCTGCACATGTGTTCGATGGAGCCTTTGTGTAGCTCCGGGTCAGGCCGTTACGAGGCTAGGCTGGCTTCGTCGACCTGCACTACCGCACCACGTGAGACATGCTCCAGCCGAACCGCGGCGCAGTCAGCTCTGTGCTGTCTTGCATAGGTAGTCCACGTTGTTATGCTTGAGTCTGCTGTTGTCAGGCGATTTGGAGCCATCTCTGAAGCAGTGCTGTGGCCGGTCTCCGCCGCCATGACAGCTCGGACGGCCGCTTGGCCGATTGTTGCATCATACAATGCAAGCAGCCAGGGATCTGTGATGATGTACATGGCGGTGAGTGTTGTCAGAAGCCGACGTTTGATGAATAAGTCGGCCATGACAGGGCTGTCGGACCCAAAAGGCCGAGGTGCATTAGCCGGGTTCGAGCGAACAGTGGTTCTGTGCGCTCTCCACGTCTCAATAAAAGGGCTGACGGCGGAGCGCGCCTTGACACAATGAAGGCCCCCCACCAGGTGTTTTGCAATTTGTGAGCGGCATGACAACGAGAAGCTTTCCAGACCCCGGCCACAGCTGCGGCGTCTCGACAACATCAATTGCTAAATCAGGAGCCACTTTTGGTGGGCAGCTGCTTGCGTGTCACCCTCCCGCTTTGCGACCGGCTGGCTGTGGATGCTTCCTTCGGGTGGTCGACCTAACGCAGACGATCAGTGCTGCCAGTTGGCCATCATCTAGCCGAATGGTTCATCCTGCTGGGTGTGAAGCAAATGCACCCTGCCGCAGTACATTGAACAGGTATTTTGGACTCACACGACTCCTCACTCGACGAAGCGGTGAAGCTTTCTTGTGATTGGCCCATCATCCGCCAAACACCGCAGAGTAGAGCAGAGCCTGGTGTCGAGCGCTTGTATTCGATTCAGGTTCACCACACACACCGGACGTTGGCGGCCCATTACCACCGCCCAGTGGGTCGAAGGAGGGGGAGCATGCAGTTAGCTGCAATGCCGGTAGCATCAGTAGCACCAGACTTGGCTGACGAGCGGATGGTTTCGAGCTAGCATTGGATGAGAGCTCGAGCCGTTGATGGCCTAACACACGGTCGTTAGGCGTCAAGGCCGAAACACACCATCGTGGGCAGTTTCAGCGGATTGACGTGTCGCGCGACAGTGCCAAGGCTTTGGAAAGCAGCGCGTGGGGTTAGCCAGATGATTCTTTTTCATAATCACTGCTGAGCCTCCAGTCAACATTGACCAAAATTCAAACGAACCACAGTCTTGGCATTCGCTTAGTCTTCCCGATTCAGTTGACGCGGCTGATGTATTTTGCGAGTTAATTATGCCGGGGACGCTTCTGCAGATGCGTCTCGATATGGTGAGCTCATAGATTCTCGTCATGCTATGTTTGCGGACTTGTGGGTTCAGTCGTGTTCGCCCACTTGGTGACAGCAGGTGCTGCGCTGGCGCCCTAGCCGCGCCTGCCATTTGAGATTTCTACCGCTACTGGCGCAACAGCTACTGCACTTACACCTCCACGCCAACCACTTCGTGACCTGACTTCGGCCTACCCCACTAGTTTGTCCCTGGCCTCCCGCGACCGATATGTCACTCCAGAGCGCGGCGGACGTGCCGCTGCTAATCAGCTCGCCCAACTCATCCTCCGAACGCCGCATCTCACCATCGTGGAGTATCACTCATCTAAAGAGCCGACTAGAGCCTATCACCGGAGTGCCTGCCAGCAGTCAGCAGCTGTCTCTTCGAGTCGGGTCTCAGGATGTTGTGCCAATCACGGCATTAGATGAAGAGCAGACGCGGCTGGCGGAGTTTCCTCTGCAGCCCTATGCCGAGATAATTGTGAGTGTGTCCAGTTCGCTCTGCCTCAACAGCATCAGCTCGGCAGTCTCCACGCTGCTCAACGGCTGGCCTCTCCCCAGCCGCCACATGTCACATGTCTTCTTTTAGTCGCGCGGACGTTCCTTGTAATGCTAGTGAAGCCTTCGGGTTGACTATCATTCGCTGACGCGACTGCATTCTGAGGTTGATGCCAACATGACTTTGGTCTGCATGGCAAGGAAGCCCCGCAGGACCACTTGTCAGCCTCGAGTGTACGATTGCCTCTGAAGTCATTGTTTATCGAATCTGCTAAAGCGTGGGGCACTGTTTGCAGACATCGAATGGTGTTGGTTCCACGCTGGCGTTGATCATTCTGCGTTTAGCATTGCTTTTTCGTCCTGTGCTATTTGCTGTTGAGACATCGCCTCATTCACGTCGAGGCTGACCCTGCGTGGTTCCTCAATACCCTTTCGGCAAATCGCTTGTTTGTCATCGTGGTTCTGTACTAACAATCCACTCATAGGTCGTCGACACACGCCCGCCCGCGGCCCGAACAGATTTCTCAGATCTATCGGCTGTCGACAAATATGTGATGCCTACGGCAGAGTACGAATCTCGAACTGATAGTGTTCTTGCTTGGAAGAAAGCTCAGAAGCTCGGCCGATTTGATCCAGAGGCACCTAGCATAGAGCAGCAGAAGGTTCTTGCTTCTGAACGCGAGATCGAGGAAAGAGGTAAGCTTCATTTTCTCCTTCTACAAGACAGGATCCTCTCCTCCTTCAATTGCGACTGCCACCACGTTCAACTGCGCGAGTAAGTAAGCATCACACACGTCAAGATGTATTGGGAGTCGCAATCCCTTTGGCGCCGTGATCAAGCTCCAGAAGTGCCATGCTTCAGATGAGGCTCGAAGAAGACAGCTGCATGTGTAAGCGTATGGATGACACTCTCCGCATATCCCGCCACAATCCAATGCAGGAGGTCAAACGATAACTCGTTTCCAATCTCCCTGAGACATAACCTATTGAGAGCGACGTTCCTTGGCCCGAAGGAGATACAACTCTCGTGGGGCTATTTGCTATTCGAGGGCGGCATTTTGTCTCCAGCTCTGCACACGTCCACCTCCTACGCATATATTGGCGGAACAGTAAAGGAAGCGGATTGACTATCTCTGTGTTGCTTCCTGGATTCACCAATTACTCCGAGATTCGCATATGAAATGAAGATCAGCCAGCACGGCCTTCCATTTCCAGATCGCTGTGTGTCATCCATCTTCCCGGGACCAATCGCCGACGTCAGCAACGCCTGTTCCTGGACTCGCCAACATTACTCGTCTTTGCAATCACTACTGCGCGTCCTCACCACTTTGGCGCCAGATCTCAAACCTCAAACGGGAATATCATCTGCAGTGTGATAGATGCGGCATTCTCGTCAATAAATGTGAATGTGGCGGCGCATACGAGCTCCGACCATGCAACCACCAGAGACGCATCAACAAGCCGCCTCATTTCCGCAAGCCCGATGACGAGAAACAGCCCCAGCCGACCCCGGACTTCGCAATCAGACTCTCAGGACATTAAGTTGGACCTGAACCTACTGTTACCCGCTTCCCCGTCTGCGCAACCGCCTCATGAACTCTTCAACCAAGTGGTATCGACGCGTAATCGGTGTGGATACCGTATCCGCGGCCCGTCGCTCTCATGCGAACGACCCACGGCTGTCTATTCCCCCGCAGCGCTTACTTGAACGCCTGGTCTCTCAATCGGGCATGTCACTCTGCATCACAACCTGCCTCGCCTGGCGTACCCACAACCGCCCCTGTACTCAGCCTTGAAGCCTGCAGCTAACCCGTTCCCAGGTCTCACTGTCGGCGGCCGCGTGCGCCTGCTCCCCGAGTCTGATGCGCGAAGGGGCACTGTGAGCTACACTGGCCTTGTTCCAGAGATCCCTGGCATAGGAGCCTGGGTCGGTGTCACACTTGACGAGCCGACAGGCAAGAACGATGGTTCCGTTAAGGGTAAGCGATACTTTGAGTGCGGCAGCAATTGTGGGGTGTTTGTCAGGCCTGAGCGTTGCGAGGCCGGCGACTTTCCTGTTCTTGATGAGTTTGATGAGGACTTGGAAGAGTTGTAGAGCGGCGTGATGCTTGGTCAGTTGGTGCGTCAAAGAGACATTAGTAGTGGCAAAGGACGACCAGTGTACTCATCCCGCTGTTTTCACAATATCTGGGAACATACATATAAAGACGTAGTCACGATGCAAAGCCGGACGGGTGTATTTGAATTGTCGTCCTTGGTGATGCTATCAGACAGTATCAAGCCACGATACTTCTGTATCCACAACTTCCAGCAGCTTCCTTTTCTACTTGAACAACCTAAAAGACGTTCTGGTGTCCGCATCGTCCCGTCCAGCTTCATCATCCGAGTCCTCGCTGTCCGAGTCCTCGCCATCTGCTGCGCTGCGTCCGCCTCTGTACCGGGATGCAATGATGAGATGTTCCAGAAAGTCGTGAATATCAGTCTTCTCAGGACGTCGCGAATAGCGGCTTGCACTCAGCCAGGTCTTGCGCCTGCTCCTCACGAATGTGATTCGCGTAGAGGCCTTGAGCACTCGCCCACCTTTGCTCGGCTCCCTCCTGCGCCGTACCTTGAGCTTGGGACCCGCGAGGAAGCGGGTACGGTCGGCCTCATCTGTGGATCAGTCAACGCGAGACCCGGCCTTGACAGTGCAGGGGCAGGGGGGGAGTCGGGCACGGGCACGGGTACGGTGTGCACAAGACACTCGCTCACCAACCCTCACTCTGGCCCTCCCAGCCAAGGTCAAAACCCTCGTCGCCCTGCTCCTGCTCGCCCCAGTCCATCTTCTCGAGCTCGTTGCGGAAGAAATCCATTTCTTCGCCCAACACACCAGGCTTCGCTCCGAGACTCTCGGGATAGCGTTTGAGATTGAACCAGTGCGTCAGGCTGCGCAGTGCTTGCTCCAGCGGCACACTCTCGTCAACCTCGGCATCCACATCGCTGCCTGCCAGCCAGTCGTCCCTAAGCTCTGGGCGGCAATGCAGATACACAGCGGTGATGACTCGCATATTGGACTGGCGCCACTTGCGGCCACAGTAGGGCACCTGGTTCTTGAAGAGCTTGAGAGTGTACAACCGCAACTGTGGCTGCGGAACTTTCAAGCTCTTGCGAAGGAACTGCGAGGATTTGTAGGATACAAGCATGAGGTTTCGATGGGCCTTGTTCTTGCAAATCTTCTGCATGATGCGCATGTAGTTTATCGAGGTAAAGAACGCGCGCCAGGAAAAGGTGGTGATGGGTTCGGAAGGTAGCTCATTGGTGGGGAAGCCGAGTTCGTCGACCTCGGGAGGTTGGAGTACAGAAGGATGAGACATGGATCCAACACCCGAATCGATTGATTCGTTGCGGGTGAGGCGGATGGGTGGAGGAGCTGCTTCATCGGAGTCTGATTCCCTGTCTGACTTGTCCCCAGTGTTGTCGTTAGCCCTTTCGTCAACTATGTTGCGAGAGTGAGCGCGACAAAAGTTGAAAAAACTAGCATTGTCAGCGAGTGGTAGAGGGGAAAACATCAATGGAACCTACTTCAGCTCTTCCTGCTCGCTCTTGAAGTTAACAATCTTTTCAATCTCTTGCAGTTGCAATAATTTCAGAATTAAGGGAATGTAGCTGGAGTCGACCAGTAGCTGAGTGATGTATTCAAACTTCAAGATGTGTGACACCTTGAACCATTTGAGGATCAGCATAAGTGTGCCGGTAACAGCCTGATCCAAGACTTCCTGAGTTCGCATAGCGTCCAGTTCCTCGTTCGTCGCAGGTGTATTGCTGTGGCCATTCATACCATTAGTCTCAGGCCTCTGCGCTGACATTCCGTTGACATTGTCGTTGTACTGAAAGCCACTCTGCAATCCATTTGCTCCACTCGACTGTGTCACGAGGGCAGTGACGTGTGCTAAGATCGCCTTGATCAGAACTATGACCAGAGACTGCAGACTTGAGAGTGCGTTGCGGTAGAAGTCTTCGACAAGACCCATTCTCTCCTCGATACTCCCAGCGACATGCTTCTTTTTCTCTGGTGAACCTTCCCTGGGCTCGAGTGACAGCTCTTCAACATCGGGGTTATCGTCAGGGCCAGACCAGCCCCGCTCGTACTTCATGAACGCCACACGTTCTTCCCAGAGCTGCTTCATTGCGCGTGTGGCCTTCATACGCGTAGCGAATAGCTCGGCCGCTTCTAAGATGGATGCTGGAATGTCAGACCCCTCCCACTTGCGTCCAACAAGCATATCTTGGAGATCAGTGGAGCCTTTGCCACCCAGGTTGTTACTGGACTCATCAAGTGGTGGATACAGGAAGGGAAACATCTGGTTTGTTTGGTAATTTTGTTTCTTACCGCCCTTTCCGCCCGGTCCAGCTGGTGAAGGTGGAGGCGAGGGTGCAGGAGTCGCAATATGTACGGGTTGATGAAGGATTGAGGTGTTGTTCCCATTTGTATCCCCAAGCCCAGAGCCGAAGACATGATTGCCTGCCACTTTGTTCGGATGATTCCTCAAAGGGGGAAGGATAGAGTTGTTCTCTGGCTCCAGAGGGAACAGCGGTGCGGGTGGGTTGTACGCGGGGTACTTGGAGCTAATCTCTTGTCGGAAAAGATGGTAGTCAAGAGGCGATGCTGTGATGATTGGCTGTCCGCGAGCATCTTCAGCATCGAGATTCTTGTCCCTGAAGGAATCCTTAGCCTTGTCGGCTTCAGAGAGACCGCCAAAACAGACGAGCAATGCTTTCCACAAGAGAAGCGTGACCTTGCTGAGCGGAAGGTGGATCGACTCGTCCCATCGTAGCTTCGAGATGACGTCGATGAGCAACATGAGCAAGCCTGGTTCCTTGAGGTCAAGGACGACGCCTCTGAGGCTCAGATCGTTGTCGGTGACTTCTCGATACCGCGCAACTTCCAATACGACGTAGACAGCAGTCATAGCGCACCATAGCTCACGGCGTTCGGCCTCTTTGCCCTCGTGCTGTTCGTCCTCGGATATGACGCCGCAAGCGCGCATGCTGGAGGTGCGCAGGACGTCTACGACTGTTTGGACGCCGTCGCATGCGGTCAGCAATCTGACGTTGCGCAGTATCAGCTCGAGCTGCTGCCCCGAGCGCTCGTAAGCGGTGCCGGGCGTTCTCTCTTCGCCGTCAGGTTGCTCGTCATGCTGCTCATCAGGCTGCTCATCAGGCTGCTCATCAGGCTGCTCGTCAGGCGCTGTGGCAAGGCCGGCAGTCTCATGCCAGCACCCGAGCAGCACATAGACCAGCGCCTCGAGCCTCTTCAGGCGCTCCGTCGGCTCCTCCTCGCGGATTTCGTGCAGGAGATGGCGGACAAAGGCCGTGTGCTGGGCGTCGGCCGCGCGGGTCCAGTCGAGACTGCCGTCCGTGTACGAGGCGTCGCTGCGGCGGTTGAAGCTGGTCCAGGCGAGGGCAAAGCTGGCCTGCGCCTTCAGCAGCATGGCCTGCTCCTCCACGGCGTACGTGAACCACTCCTCGAGCTGCTCGGCCAGGCTTGATGCATCGTCGTACACAAAAGCATACGGCGTCGCCTCGGCGCGCGGCAGGCCGCCCTGGCTGACCAGCTGGTGCAGCTGGCTGAGCGAGAGCGCGCTGCCCGGCGTCTGGGGCGGCGGCTGTTGCGGCGGCGCGGGCGGCGGTAGGTGTAGCGGCGGCTGCGTGGGCACCGAGTTGCCTCGCGCGAGCCCCGGACGGAGGGGCAGGGCAGGCAGGCCGGCGCGGCCAGCGTCGCGCCCGTCGACGAGCTGCGCGGCGGCGTCGACGGGCGCATGCAGGTCGGCGGGCTCGGCCTCGATGACGGGCTCTGCAGGCGCGGCGGGCTCTGCAGGCTGGACGGGCTCGCTGTTGTCAATGTCGAGCAGGTCGCCCTCGTCGACGCCCGCAGGCACAACGGGCGCCTCCTGCACGTCGTGCTGGTCCGCCATGGTCGCGCGCGGGGTCTTGCGGTGTTGGTGTGTTGGCCGCGGGAGTCTTGCGGGTCTAAGCGTGCCCACCACAGCAGGCGCGTACTTCACCTGTTCATGGTCGGTCGTCAGTCCTTCCTACGCCCGCGTCTTGACTGTCAGCCGTCTGAACGCGACAAGGCCAGGAGGCCAATGCGATCGTGGCGTGCCATGTCCGGGCACGGTGCTGGCCGCGTGTGGAGACGATGCCCCCGCCGTCCGAGGCCATGGAGCATCACAATGCTGCGTCACTGCGTCACCAGCATCACGACAGCTATGCCACGAGCAAAGAACACCGCGTGCACAAGGGCTCGAACACGGTACTAACTGGTAGTGAGCCAGCGTAATTGTCATAGCCACCATCCTAATACTTCGTCACGGCAGCTATGCAACGGGAAAAAACACCGCCATACCCTCTACCGCCGCGAGACGCGTGCAACTGCTTCGCAAATGACCGCCTGATGCTACCTCCACTGGACGTGGCCCACATCTCGTAATGAGTGTTGCTGATGTCGAAGAACGCCGGAAATGAAGCAACCAACAGCCGTGGCAGGCGGGAAAGAGAAAGACCTTCGTCTACTGATAGCCAACGACCAGCAATAAAAGCAGAACCGGAAAACAGACCTCGCCGAACATGACGTGTGAGCAACAAGCCTCGATACTAACCACTCAATCTGCACGTGAAATTACTTGAAACAACCCGCATTCAGAGTCAGCTTGGACCAGTAGCCTCGCCATTGTTTTCTCGCTCCTTGATCTCGTCTGGCACGATGCCCGCATTCTCACAAGCACGCTTGTAGATCTGGGCTTCGTCCCACGCGCGTTGACATTCAGCCTTGAACTTGTCGCAGCTGGCGCTGAGCTCGGTGATGGCCTGTTCCGTCAAGAGCTTTTCTAATGTCCACTTTTCAATATTCTGCTGCTCGTTCTCCTTGAGCTGCGTTATAAACTGCACCGCGCGCTGTAGGATGGAGCCCTTGTTCTTCTCGCAGCCAGGAACGATCTTTGCAAGCTCGTTGATGCCTTCGTTGATCGTCTCACGCCGGCGACGTTCGACTGGATGCTGTTAGTTGGGTGGAACGAACGGTAGTCCCTGGCTGCAATTACCTTCTTTGTGGTTGTCCCTCCTTACTTTGTGCCATTCATCAGAGCCGACAACAGGCTTGTGCGAGGCACTCTGGGGTGGCGAGTCGCTGTTAGCGGGCTGGCCAGGACGACCCGTTTGCGTTGCAGCCTTCAGAGCTTCGAGGCTGAAGTCCTGCATGCTGGTCTGCTGCTGGTGGTCACCGAGGTTGAAAGAATTATCGCTGCCGGTGGCCTGTGTCTGGAACTGGAGTTCTGTCGCCTGGGGCACAGTCATCTGATGGTAAGCCAAAGCTGCGGCCGCAGTGTCGCCCACACTCGACGTGTTGCCGCCGCCATTGTGACTCGACATGTCGAACTGCTGCAGGTCGTCGTTAGCGCCTGCGTTATGGGCAGCGAGATGGAAGGCAGTATCCTGGTCGGTCAGGTCGGCGTTGACCATGTTGGGCGCGGAGCGATTCATGCCCTGGTCGCGCGTGTCGCGTTTGCGTTTGTTGGAGTGGAGGTCCTGGCCCAGTTTGGCGTCAGTGTGGTAGCCAGCAATGTCTGCCATGATCCGCGCCGGCAGTGCAGAAGACGCGGTCGAGAGCTGCTGGAGCGTGCGAGGCGGCAGGGGGTGCAGGCCGGGGGGTGCAGGCCGGGGGAGTGATGGGCAGCAGAGGCGCGGGCGACAAGCGACACGGCACTATGCGGCAGCTGGCTGGCAGTCGCGGGCTGCAACGGCTGCAGAGGCGCGCGGAGAGTCCTGCAGAGCGCCAGAGTTAGCACGGGCGCAGGCAGGTGAGTATGTAAAGCGGTGCGACGCGGCGTCCAGCAGCGCAGGCGACGCGGCGCACTGATTGCCTGTCGCTGTGGGACCACGCTGTCACTCTCGAAGCGGACCGTCGTATCGTGCGAATGTGCGGGTGTCGCGCAGTGCACAAGCCCGTCGTGCGTCGTTTCGTTGCCGTTGACGCGCGCGCCGACCAGTGCGGGACGCGGAGCAACAACACGCCCAGCGACGAGCGGCGGGGGCAGCCACGGCCCAGGGTCGCGCATCCGTCGCGCGCATCGCAGGCACAGCGCGCGCACAGCACAGGCGCATCGCAGGCCATCCCGAGCACCCGTGGTGGTTCGCAGCGCGGCGCCGTCCAGACGACGCGTTGCGGCCGACGTGCAGATATGTGGGACTTACCAGAGCGATCTTGATGTTCGTGCCCGCGCGGATACACGTGAGGCTTGGAAGGTCAGGACGGATCAGGCGTATTAGGCTTCAACATGAACCTCGAAGACGACGAAAAAGGCCCGGATTTCGATGCACGCGTTTCGCAGGACGCAGAAGGCTGCCGTACAGCAATGGACGAGTTCTGCTGGGTGCGACCTTCGATTGTATGGCGAGAGGTGCTTCGGGGGTGGAAGTCACATGAACGACGCTGGGTCACGGGAGGTCTTACTTATGAGTTCACACCAAAATGCCGAGAGGGACCGCGCTAAAATGCAACGAATCAGACGCCTGCGCCACGCCATGCAACTGCTCCCTGCCGCTGCCGCTCGAGCAACCTCCGCACATCGTGGTGTGCTCCTTCACCAGCCTCTGGCAAGCCCTGTTTCTGGTCACCTTCGCCTTGTTTCCTCTCTGGCCGTAACCCATCCCGCACGCTTTGCGCCTCGTCACGGGCAGCGGTGCCGTGCGCCATCCCCGCGGCTGGCCATGCGCAACGCTTCAGACTCATCTGCAGCTGCTGTGCGCCATGCAGACCTTGAAATGGAGCCTTCTTATCTCAAACACTGCTGCCCATAGTCTCTTCCCCACGCTGCACTGAGCCGCCCGGTTGTATTGCACAGATGACACCCTTGCGCACTGCCTAAGCAAGCAGAGGAATCAGCAGACAAGACACATGATGGTGGCATGTGACACACCACTCCCCCACATTCTCACTCGGAGTTGCATCACGAACCGCCTTGTTTCTGTACAACGTGATCTATCTGTGAGCGCGCTTGGCGTAGGGCTGAGGCTGCATGTCTGACGTCTTTCGCAACAACCTAGACTGACCATAGACAAGCACGCCTATTAAGGGTTGGTAGTGGTTGAGACGAGAGGCAGCATGTATCAGACAAACGTCTCGCAACGTGAACCGGTGATTAATCTGCATCATTCTTGCTACTAACCCTTGTGCCCCCGCTGTCTACCTGCAGGTGTACTCATTATACGGGTCGATGTTCTAGGGCCTCACCACAGCTGGGAAGAAGAAGATGGTCAAGGTGACCAGTAGTGGAAGGCTATTGACGAGTTGCCTTGCCATGATACGATAGAATCGACTTCGCGGAAGTGCGCCACATGCAGGGCCCACGTAGTCCCCTCGCAGTCCATTCTTCTGACTGTCCATAGCCGCTTCTAAACCTTCGGGGACACCCACAGCAATCAATCCTAGAGAGGATGCGAACAATGTAAGCCATAGAATCGAGTAGAAACGCGCGGGAAGTTGGTATCGGTTCGTGCGAATGCCGTCTCTTGTGCTCGTCCACAGGCGGCGAATGAGAGTGGTAATTGGAATGCCGCCGACGCGGGCGTAGTGCCAGGGCTTTATCGCGAGATTGGTTTGCTGCCAACGTGGTCAATGAGCTGCAGGATCAAGACATGGTGGGAATAGCCACCCTTGCAGTATCGGACACCTTGCGCACCTTCAGCCACTCCTCGATCGCGGACTCGGTACTCTCGGCAGCGAGATTGAACGGCTGATCGGCAAATGGAGACGGCGGTGGTGCAGTCATTGCGATCTCGGGTCGTACGGGCTGAGGACAGGTATCGGTGAGATGGGCTTGGTCATGTGAGCTTCTTGCGATATGATGCCGCCTGGTGCTTAGCTGGACATGGCATCAGAAAACCGGCGCGGCCGGTTGCAATGGCGGCAGAAGTCCGAGCGTATCAGTTCAGAGATTGCGTGGTGCGCAATCAGACACAGAAAGCGTAAACGATCGGTGAAGGAAGTGGCGATACTTAGTGGCGCGGAAGAAGTGTTCAGGGAGGACATTTTGTTCACTCAACAGCGCCGTACCATTAGCAGGCAATATTTGCACTTGGTCACTTGACGTCATTGTAATTCCAGACAACTTGTTGTTTGGTATTAGTCGTCTCTGAAAATCCATCTCCCACCCTTCTTCTGCGCCTCGAGCCAACGCTCCTGCACGATCCTGACCTCTTGCTCCTTCGCCCTTCCTCTGTCGTCCTCTTGCTCTTGTGTAGTTGGAAAATCGACACGCCAGAAGCCTGGCGGCGTTTGGCGTCGTTCGTAAGCTTCACGGTGTTTACCGTTGTCATTGGCCATTTTCTTTGTGCGCGCCTGCAAGACCAGCTCAGCACGTTCATCTGATGACATCTGCGTTGAGATGACTGTGGTGTATGCGTCGCCAAGATAGTCTTCTAATAATTCCTCTTCCTGTGATGCAGACAGTGAATCTAGTGCTTCAGCTAGGTGGCGGAAGTGGGAGCCACAGCACCGAGGGTTAGTGCAGCCAGGGAGGCACATGCGATCACCGCGTTTGCGGACTGTCTCGGAAAATGCGTAGCTGTAGCCCTGGTTGTAAGCCGGGTTTGGCTTGAAATCATGAACTCTGAGTTCCTTTACCGGCTTCTCGCGAAGACGTGCCTGCTTGCGAGGCGGTGATAGTTTGTGCTTGTGCTTCATAGAACGCTTGTCAGGAGTGTGCATGCTCCAAGTTGGTCGACTCTCGAGCGTCGTATCTTCTTGCTGGCATGCCAAGGCCATTGCTGCAAGCCGTCGAGACCCATCCAAGCCAGAAGGTGACTGTTCTGTCCGAGACGTAGCGATGGGAGAGTAAGGTACCTGCTCCTGCTTCACAGGGTGTGAGCCTGATGTATTTTGGCACTGCAAGCGGCGTTTGGGTGTCTGGGTATCCTTCGCAGCCCGCAACTTTTGCAGGCGCGCTCGAGCAGCGCTAGGGGGTAGTCTCAGCTCGTTCTCGTCCATTGGCGGAGGCAGCTCGCCGGATTCTGCGAGTATTCCATGCTCAGAACGTCGGGCTGTGGCTTGCTTCGACCGCTTGTTTGATGTGACCTCTGGCATCTGTACGACAATATTGGGATCGAGGGGTTGAAGGACCTGTTCGTTGGCGCATTGATCCGGGGGCTCACTGGGAGTCCACATGTCTGCTGCAGCGATCTGAAGCTTATCTTGTTCTCCGAACGATCGGAGACCCGCTCTGTGTTCTCTTTGTAAGACTTGTTGGTTTGTAGCCTGCGAGAACGGGGCGCTGCTAGATCGCTGATTACGAATTGTGCCGCTAGCATTCGAGTACATTATTGTAGTCCTTTGTGAAGGCAAGGCTGCCTCAAGCTTATTTGCTGCGGGATCGTCGAGGTCAATCGTCTCCGTGCGTAAAAGTGTATACACAGACCGTGGTGGGCTGCTCAATGGTTCGTCTTTCACCCGATGGGGCTTTGCAGGCGTGCCGTCTGAAGATCGTCCTGCATGTAGCCCGATTCTAGGTTGCTGAACCCTTTTCCGCTTCAGCGAACGCTCTGATACGACTTGGAGCAGATCATCTTCGTCGTCCACATGCACAGCTTGGCTTCTTCGATTGAGCTGATCAGGCGCTTCATCAACTGTGGTTTGGCTTGAGCTCGGCATTCCGTTGGTTTCGACCTCATATCTGCGCGACCTATCCAGTCTTGTGTTGAAAGAGATGTCGTTGTGTGAAACACCCTCGAGCTCATCGAAGTTCATAGCTACAGGTCCCTTGGGGGTGGCTGCATGATCCGCCGACTGATACCCCTCAGATAGTATTGTGTCGTCGCCAGTCTCGATATTTGTAGCGGGAGTAGGAGATATGCAGCTTTGGTCAACACGCTGGAGTGGCGTTGATTTGCTGTTGACAGATGTCGGACTTGAAGGCATGTGCGGTGGAACTTCTTCTTCGTTCTGAAGAATGACCGAAAGTTTGGATGGCCCTTTCTCAGCTCTGGATGTGCCTTTAGGCTTCGGATGCGGCTTCTGGCGATCAGCATATTGCTGCCATGCGCGTACGCTGTCCTTCATCTCTCTGTTTTTTTGCATCACAGTAGTGTTCTTCCTCTCAAGATATTTGACTTTCTGGGAGAGGTCCTGATATTTCTTGTTCAATTCATCGTACTTCTCGGTTAAATGGCGGTGCTCCTCCTTGGACGCGTCCATTGATGCAGTAGCTGCATCATTGGGGTTCGTCAGTGGTACTGCATCTTTAACTCTTTGCTGAAGTTCAACCTCTAGTCGTTGATTTTCCTCAATAACCTGTGTATTCTTGATAGTCTGTTCGCTGATGTGATTGAACAAAAGTTGCTGGTTCTCATCTCCTTGAGTAATGCTTAGCCAAATACACATAGGTACACGACATACTTACTTCTTTTTAGTTCTTGTTGATGGCCCTCTTCTCCTAACGCATCGTGAGCTTAACATAACGCGTGTGGTGTAGGTTGTGCGCGTACGAATCTTCCACTCTTTCTCGAAGTCTGGCGCGATAACCTCATCGTAAACGCGCGCCCACAGGCTCTTGTTCTTTTCAACCCAGGACGTGAAATCTGACATCCTCATCAAAACTTCATGATCAGAGACAAAGGCTGGATGAGAGAATGTTTCCACTCCGTTAATTTGCTAACGATGTCTGCTGCCTGGCGTCAACGCCTAGAAACGCGCTAACGTGAGCGCGCAGCCACGTGCAAGCCCGCGCACGGTCCAGACGGATGACGATAAGATATGCTCCACTTACTTGCTCCGAGGCCTAATTCGCCTCAGCCTTTCAGAGCACATAGGACGGCCCGGCCATGAAGCGGTCGCGTGAGGAAGAGAATGGAGCTGAGCGCCCAGCAAAGGTACGGCGCGTTTCAAATATTGACAGGCTGTCAAGGCTGAGCGACGAGTTGCTGATACGCATCTTAATGTTCTTGCCTGTGTCGTCTCTCTTGACTTCTCAGAGGTAGGTGAGTACATACAACAACCACTTGGCTCAGACTTTAATAGCGATAGGATATCGAAGAAATACAGTCGCCTCACGGTCGATTCCGAGCTTTGGAAAGCAGCCTATTACCACACATTCGTACGCCCACGCGCATCCCGCATACCCGGCCCCAAGAGTCACGATCGACTACACTACTCGTCACGGTTATCAAAATGGCTAGGTGACGGAGCATTGGTAAAGCAGGGCGCCAACACGAAATGGAAACAACAGTACCGCTTGCGCCACAATTGGTCGCAAGGGAAATGTGCTGTCAGTGAGATCGTTGTGTCTGAGCAGCCACCAGAGCCACCACTGCTAGTCATGATGTCCAACGGTACTATCTTTGCAGCAGATTCGATGAGTGGTCTGAGGGCATGGAGTCTAAAGGGTGAGCGTGAGCTGCTTGCCTCTATTTCACTCGGCGTGCCTGCATCCGAAACCTTGTTGCAACCTGTGTCTATGGCGATCGATTCGAACTCTGGACTTGGAGATGGCAGGAACGAAACAGTCGTACTGAGCTTTGAAGACGGGTCATTTTCGATCTTCGCATTATGCCGGGACCGTAAGACCTTCAGCATTCTGTTTACCCACCCACCTTCGTCGAATGGAATGGTGTCAGCGCTGGCAATGTCATGGCCATATCTTCTTACTATGACAGAGGATCACCTTTTGTCTCTTTATGCCTTTGCTGAAGTGCAAGACACCGCCATCGTACTTGAGCCTCCGCGACTTCTCTACTCATTACGGTCTCACACAGCGTGGCCCCCAGTCTCTTTGTCCTTACGCACGACAGCAACAAGTATGACCGCAGCGATCGCATACTCGTTACCCACATACCTCTCCGGATGGACAGTTGGTGTTCAAGAGCTAAACCTCTCTCACAAGGGCGAACTACTCGGGTCGCGGCTGGCCACTGCAGCCGACGAGCATTCATTTACACTCTCAACTTACCGATCTTCCTCGTCGCTGTCTAGTCGTTCTTCTTCCCCTGGCACTTCGCGTGAGCCATCGCTATTAAGCCCGCCGAGGAATTCCAAACCGACGTCAATGTCATATTCCCATCCATATCTCCTTGTCGCCCATCCGGACAACACTCTTTCCCTCTATCTTGTGAAGTCCACCGACTCTACGCTGTCCATAAGCTCGGGTAATCGCCTCTGGGGCCACACGTCCGCTATCTCGGGTGCGCATGTAGGGATGCGTGGCAAGGCCGTTTCCGTCAGCAGATTTGGCGACGAATTGCGCGTCTGGGATCTAGAAGGCGGCACAGCCTCTTTCGCAAACCGACGACGGTTTCGAGATGGAAAGCTGAGTGTTAGAGTGCAGCCATCGAGAGCTACGGGCAAACTACAAGACAGCCATGATGAGGGTGTTGAAAGTACTTCTGGGCTAAAATTTGCGCTGGATCAAAAGTTCGACGACTCTAGTGTGAACCGGGGCTGGGTAGGATTTGATGAGCACAACGTGCTTGTGCTGAAGGAGAAGAAAGAAGGAGGCCAAGCGCTGGTCGTGTACGACTTCACCTAGAATTCAAGAGTGAAACATGTCTGAGCTCGCCTGGAAGACTACCAATTGTGGATGCAAACACTTTTTTCGACTTATAAGCAATACACACTTTGTAAGAGACCTTGCTCGAGCTAGCTGTATGGGCATTGCAATCAATTGCCGACGCGGGTGTCGGGTTTTTCCACTTCTCCTCGTCGACGCGTATGTATCATCAATCAATCCCTATCTTCTCTATATGTTCACACAGGTTCAGTTCGATTTTGAGACTCAACAACATGGGCGCATGTTCATGTGTACTTTGCTCAATACCTAATACCAGTCATGTCGGCCGCAACCCCCACTCACGAAGGATTTCGCACCAATCATAGTCCGCAACTTCCGGCTGACTTCCGAACCCATCTCTGCATCGAGAAATGCGGCCCGCCTTGCCTTGCTTAGGTGACAGCTACCCCGAAGTTTCGCGCCGCCACGACTCATGTGAGCTGCGATTTGCGGGGGCGAGGTTGCCGAAAGTACAAGGTGTCGGCGTCTGCTTCTCGGCTCTTGAGCTCTTTTTGCGTTGCTTTCCTTCTCCCCTCGAAGAGTCGAAGAGGTTGTTGTAACACTCATAGACGTCTTGGTGCTTTCTTCTGAGCCTTCTCCGGTTTTGTTACTTCCTGCACTACATATCAAGAGCTCCACGAGATGGCTAAGATATTCGATTTTGCTGAGGGTCAGTCACCGCGTTCTCGGAATAATTCAATTGCGAACTGACAGCGCAATAGTTGCGAAGCACAACACAGCGGAGAGCTGTTGGGTTGTCCTTTACGGCGATGTGTACGACGTAACTCGCTTCATTCCCGAACATCCTGGCGGCAGCAAAGTCATTCTTCAGCTCGCTGGCAGCGACGCAACAGAAGAGTATGACCCGATCCACCCGCCAGGCATGCTGGAGGAGAATCTCAAGCCTGAAGACAAGCTCGGCAAGATCAATCCTGATTCTAGGCCCAAGGAAGAACAAACGCCCATAGAGGCGGGAGAAGCCAAGGAGGAAGGGCCTGTGGACTTGGAAAGCATACTTAACATCGACGAAATTGAAGAGGTAGCAACGAAGAACATCCCTTACAAGGGCTGGGCGTACTACTACTCAGCCTCAGACGATCTCACGTCCAAAGCCTTCAACGGTGCCGTTTACCGCCAAATTCTCCTCCGTCCACGCACTTTCGTCGACTGCACATCCTGCGACACATCAACATCCTTCCTTGGACACAACGTCAAGCTGCCAATATATGTATCTCCCGCGGCTATGGCACGTCTTGCACATCAGGACGGCGAGTGGGGCATTGCTCATGCATGCGAGAAGTTCGGCGCTATGCAGCTTATCTCTCAGAATGCCTCCATGACACCTGAACAGATCATCGCGGACGCGACACCTGGGCAAGTCTTTGGCTGGCAACTATACGTACAGAACGAGCGGGCGAAGAGTGAGGCAATCTTAGCACGCATGAACAAGCTCGATCCCATCAAGTTCATTTGCTTGACACTAGACGCGCCGGTGCCCGGTAAGCGCGAGCACGACGAGCGCAGCAAGAACGTAGGGTCGAATCTGTCGGTTCGCGCAGCCGTACAAGAAGACCAAAGTGTCAGTAAGACGTCGACTGAGGCAAAGACACCAAAGCTTGCAGGTGTAGGTCAGAGTCTTTTCTGGGGCACCGCAGCAGACCTCACATGGCGCTCCACACTTCCTTGGCTTGCGAAACATACAAACAAGCCAATAGTCCTCAAAGGCATTCAGACACACGAAGATGCTTACCTGGCATCATGTTACGCGCCACAAGTCAAGGCTATCATCTTGTCGAATCACGGCGGCCGGGCGCTTGATACTGCACCGCCTGCGGTTCACACACTGCTTGAGATAAGGAAATACTGCCCTGAAGTATTCGATCGCATTGAAGTCTGGGTTGACGGTGGCATCAAGCGAGGTACAGACGTTGTAAAGGCGTTGTGCTTGGGCGCGCGAGGCGTGGGTGTTGGTCGGGCGGCGCTGTTCGGCCTGGGCGCTGGAGGTAAGGAGGGGGTTGCAAGGGTTCTCGAGAGTAAGTCACAATTCTGACATTGTGAATTACTAAACTAACAAGATGCAGTCCTGAAAGCAGAGACAGAGACATGTATGCGCCTCCTTGGTGTCGAGAGGGTGGATCAGTTGGGCATGCAACACATCAACACTCGGGCTGTGGAGCGCGATATCTACGACGGGCCGTCGTTTGCAAGGGCAGATGTTGAGAGACTTGCCAAAAACCCTGTGCCAGTGAGGGCGAAACTGTAGTTGACTGGGGTGATTTAATAGCATAGTGTAGTACGATAATTGACCGCATGATTACCTTCGCCTCATCGCATCGTATGGTGGTATAGAAATCATATTCATACAGCCGTCAGGAGCTCATCCAGGGCACCAGGGCATGCTGCAGGCTTCTGAGTGTTTATTCGCATGGTCTGTCATTTGATGTGTAGATATGCTTTTGTAATCATACAGCCTTGCGCCGTCTGAGTCGCTGGTCTGGTTGTAACTATAGACTTAAGTATACACAGTTCAAGAATATCAGGGCACTACAAGTCGGGGGGAATGGGTAACGTTGGACTGTTGGAGGAGGAGGAATTAGTGGTCGCGGTTGGCTAGCGCGAAACGGCGCGTCATTGGAAGCATTGTCACTCGAATACACCACACAACCATGATTGATGTCTGGAATGGAGACATACTCCTCCCAGACGGTGATTATGTCAAAGGTAACTATAGGTGAATAAAGACTTACATTGTACTGACAGCTCGTAGATATTGGCTTTTCAACCCCCAATGACAATACCGCCATTGCGATAACCGCGACGTCGCTTCGTTTCCTCTCCACCGTTGATACCGCAAAGATACCGTTGTATCTCGCTTTAGGGCCCAGTTATGATGTTTGGACAAGCAGTGCAGTATCAGAGGCATGGTTTGAGGCACGATTGCTGAGCCAACCCGCGTCTCCCACGGCGGCACCTGACGATGGCGCTCATGAATGGTGGACACTGGCAAGAGCACAATCGCCGATCGGTATCCTAGTACAAGTTGAGGGTCAGAGAAATGGTGCGCCGCAATCGAGAGTCACGGAGATTCTCTTTTATGGAACAATTGCCGCTGCGTCTACAGTCGAAGGTCCAATCTCGTCACAAGACGCCCCCAACGCTCAGCCCGGGCTCTTACACGAGCTACGTGTGCATGCGCTGCCACTGTCGTCTGACCTCATACATCACACTGCAGCCTCGGCGGCTTCGCCTGCTTCGCCGATAGTGAGCACCGTCCATCAGACTGGGGAAATCGTTGCCCAGTATCTGCATCCTTTACATGGCTTCCGCACGATACCGAAATCGCCCAAACGTAAGCGGGATTTGTTTGAAGAAGCAACAATTGCAAAGAGAAAGGCTAAAAGCAAGGGTGGAGAAAGTGTGGCGGCTGCTGCTGCTCGAACCATGGACTTGCAGCGACCATATACTCACCGCACCTCCATGTCGCTTGAAACTAAAGCATCGGCACTTCCAGACTCTCGACCTTCATCTGCACATGGTACGCTCCCTCGACCAGCGTATCGCCAACTTTCTCGATCACCCAGCATCAGCTCGGACACCAGGCCTGTCAGTCGAAAGGAAGCAGCAGAGGTACACGGAAGGCGCTCGAACCTGTCAAGAGTTGACACAGTTTCTTTGCAGGATCAAGAACCTACTACAGAGTCAAGGAACAAAGAGGCGCTCACAAAGGTCGTCATGGCGGCGATGCGCATGCATGGGCTACAACAGCGGAAGAAAACCAGGTCTCGTCGAGCTTCTCTGGCGCCTGGAATAGGGGAGTCGCAGGGTGTAATCAACGAGTTAACCGCAGAGGATGCTGCAAAAGACGAGGAATTCAAGCTGATCTATCATCAGACTTATAGAGGAGCTGCTTTGGCTTTGGTGTGTACTACCACTGACGTTCCCTGTTGTTCTTTACTGACCATGTACCAGAGAAAACACATGACTGAGAAACCGTTGCACACTCAGCCTGATCGAATGCGTGACCTGGTCGAGCAATTCCTCACTCTTTTTCTCAACGACCCACTCGCACACCCATTATCAAATAACGAAACGACCAATTTAGTCGCCACACCCGGGATCAAGCAGGTTGGAACATTTGGATCGAGTCTCCATGCAAGCCCTTTTGACTTGCCGAGTGGCATGAGGCGGCCGCCGATAGTAAGAGCTCAGACCGATAGTCAGGTCTTTACAGGCTCGCCAGTAAGCAAGAGAAAGTCGGATGATCGCAGACTTGAGCATGTGTGACAAATCGAGGACTAGCAGTTCTTCTACATGATCGATCAAACACAAGATGACCACAGGCGCCAATGAGCGCATTGTCACCCAGAACACACATGTCTGGTGTGATGCGACCGCCGCTCGAAGAGTCTTGAACGACGCGTCGTCTCACAAGCACAGAGCCAGAATGTAATCCGAAGTCATCATAGCGTTACCCGATTACAGATGTGTTGCAGTTTTATATGCTCATTCAATCTTCGCATCGTCGATCAGGCACATGCTCCATCGGAAGGCCAATGTCACAGCTAGCCCTGTGGACAAAGAGACGAACAACCTGAAAATCTAACAGATTCTGTTGTTACGTCGTAGTCTGCAGCATGCCGCTTCATATATTTTGTCCCGAACAAAGCGTATACATTGAGACAGGATCCTTCGAACAGAACACCACAGACTGGACTTCTTGTACTGTACTGTATGCTGATCTGGTCATCAAATCCTACTGCTTCATCAAGCCACATCATCACCATGCTATCGAAGGTCGTCACAATTGGGCTTCTATCCGCCGCTGGGTGTACTGCTCTCTCTTCTAACGAAATACCACCTTACTCTTGGGCTATTCATAACTTCAATGGGATCTGCTGGACAAAGACCTGCCGGGCATGGGACTTTAGTATATCCGGCTCTACTGGTCAATTAGGCCAGCCTGCTTTCGAAGCGTACGATTGTGGTCCGGACAGCCGAATCGATGAGCATCAGCACTGTGAAGGCATGGAGATGAATGTACCTGGTAGTGTGACTGTGCAAATCGAAGACGTAAGTGCTATTGGGGGAATACTGAGCGTGCAGTGTACCTTCTAAGAGTGAGTGTGTTCCGTCACAGGGAAACATGGTTTTAACAGAATGATAGGTCACCTATCAGTTACACGTATTACGGCAACCAATCGGTTATGTTTTGCGGCGATCCAGGTCAGCTCATGTTTCTTCACCCTACCGACTTCATCATCGTGCCGCATGCGGTCTTTGCTGTTGGATTGTAAGACCCAATGATACCACATTATATTGGTCGGAGGGACGTGTCATCTTTGATGCATATTTTTTAGCTAGCTGTCTTGGCCGATGAGGCGGACGCAGGGAAACGTGCGTCACGTTGGATCTCTCAGACAGACGTTGCGGGTATCGTAGTGTAGAGCCCATCAGTTGAAAGCACGTCATTCCCGGCTTCGTGCTGTGCCTGAATACCCGATACACGTTCCTTTCATGAAAACTCTTGCAGGACTTGAGAGCCAGACATTATTTCTTGTTCAGCGTTGCCAACGGAACCTATTGCGTCCCACAAGGGCCGCCATCTCAGATATCTTGACCCAAATACATGTTGACAACTATTCGTTCCTGAAAAGTGGGCTGGGACATGCTCTTTGTGTAAAGGTTTGAAGCAGATATTGCAGATGTGGATCGCCGTCACACTGTTCGCGCTATATCTGCCTCGAGAAGGTAGGTTGTGTGAAGTCGTGGTGAATTGTTGTGGTATCCCGTAGGCTAAGAAGAATGCATAGAGATGTTGTGCATGGCTCTGGAGGCAGTAAAGGGTGACGTGACTGCTTCTGGAAGGCCATGTTCAGCCCTAGGGTACGCCTCGTAATATTCACCGATAGCTAGCCCTTCAATTAGTGTTGGTCGCGTGAATGCAGCAACGAAGTAAGAAACCAACAAAGCTGCCGGCTTTGTTTGTCCTATCCGATCATTGTGATGTATAGCAAAGACAACATGTCAAACTAAGGAGATCTGCACACTAAAAGCCCTCTCTCGTCCAAGCGTCATGAGGAAAGCACAAGGCAGCGCCCAGGAATCGTGCATGTGTCTTGCCGTAGTTCGAACCAAGTGCGGATGGTAGAGGACAACATGGTGCTCCACGATATATAGGAGGCCATTTCCCTCTGATAGTACTTTTGTCTCGTCCTCTGCATCACAGCGTCACAGTGAATCTGATTTTGCTTACAAGTGACCTTCTAACGCATAGATGTTATTAAGGTCTGAACCTCGCTCGAATGGTCCAGCATTACCATTCTGATTTCGCCACTCCTGACAGAGCGCGTCGAGCTCCCTATTACTAGCCGGACTTACGGCAGCGCCAAAATCGCATCAATGGCCGAGATATGGCGTCCACCATGCGGGAAAATGCGTAGCCGACGTTTTGCTGGTCGAAGAGATGGAATGCGCAGGCGCTGCGCGCGCCGCTGATGATCGACCGATACACAATCGTCCCCGACCGCCGAAGAACCGTGTTCCTGCAGCATCTTCGCATCGCACCTTCCCGATCGGTCTACACCCGGCCTTCTTGGCAAACATGAGCTTGTCTCCTCCTTCCTCTCTCTACAAGCGAACTCCTTCCAATTGCGCACCCTGTTCCTTCGCAATCGCCCGCCACTATCACGCACGCCCAGCCTTTGCCCAGGAAGTCTACCGCAATGAAGCAGGTATTGGCGTGGCTTGTGCTTCGTGAGCTTCTTGATTGAGTATGATGAGTGGAACTTCGAGCGAATGATAAGAGGCGATAGATATTGATCCGCTTGGCGGGCGGGGACACGGTCACGATTGCATGCGATTGCGGTGGACCTGGACGCTGGACCCGGGTCTGCAGGGCTTTGTGCAATGAGGAGAGGTTGGCCATGCAACTGGCGCACGGGAGCAGGGTTGCGCAAGCATGTCAGGGCGAGTTGTGGGAGGCGAAGTATAAAGCTCGTGTGCTGCGCATTCCTCTGAGAACCACAGCCGCAGCTTGAACCTTACAGCTTTGTTGCTCGAAAGACAAGATCACCGCCAAAATGAAGGTCACAGTTGCGCTCGCTGCTCTCGCCGCTGCTGCGTCGGCGACCACAGAACTTAGGGGACGTCAAGATGGCCACAACGACAAGCCTTGCAAGAAGAGGCCCGATGTTACTTCAGTGAGATAACTGTCTCCTACAATGATTGTGGATCTATGCTGATACTTGTACAGAGGAAGCTTGAAGCCGACATCACCTCGAAAAAGTTGCTGAGGGGCGCCCAACAGCTTCAGGATTTTGCCTATAGCTACCCAGACCGTAACAGGATCATGGGAGGAAAAGCCCACGTTGACACTGTAAACTGGCTGAAGAAGGAACTGGAGGCTACCGATTACTACGACGTTACCCTCCAGCCATTCTCCAACTATGTAATGCTCGAGGGCGAAATTCGCCAGTTCACGATCGGTGGTCAAGCTATTAACGCGACCCTTTTCGAGTACTCTAATTCAACTACCGGCCTGGTCACTGCGCCCTTGGTTGTTGTAAGCAACTTGGGTTGTGAGGCATCCGATTACCCAGCTTCCTTGGCAGGCAAGATTGCGCTCGTCTCCCGTGGTACCTGCAACTTCGGCTTAAAGTCTGCTCTTGCCGGCGGCGCTGGTGCTATCGGCGCGGTGATTTACAACAACGTTCCCGGCACTGTCTCGGCCACTCTTGGCCCCCCTCCGCGCCCCGAGGGACCTTATGTTGCGACCGTTGGAATCTCTCTGGCGGAGGGTCAGGCATACGTCTCTCAGATCCAGGGCGGTGCGAACGTGACTGCCTCTCTTGATGTCCTGACTAAGGTCGAGGTTATCACCACCAACAACGTCTTGGCCACCAGCAAGTGCGGTGACAAGAACAACCAGCTTGCGCTCGGCGCTCACACAGACTCCGTAGGAGCCGGTCCTGGAATCAACGATGACGGAAGCGGCACTGTCGGTATCTTGAATGTCGCCAAGGCTCTCGCTAAGTACAACGTCAAAAACGCTGTCACCTTCGGCTTCTGGTCGGGAGAGGAGTCTGGTCTTCTTGGTTCCACCTACTTCGTCGAGAACTTGACTCCTGAGGAGGCTATCAAGATTCGTGCCTACCTTAACTTCGACATGATCGCCTCTCCCAACTACGTTCACCAGATCTACGATGGCGATGGCAGTGCCTACGGTCTGTCCGGACCTTCTGGCAGCAGTGAAATTGAGGAGTTCTTCGAGAAGTACTTCACCCGAGTCGGTGTACCATACAACGCCACCGAATTCAACGGACGCTCTGACTATGGTCCTTTCCTAGATGCCAACATCCCTGCCGGAGGTACCACCACTGGTGCTGACGAGGTCAAAACTGTCGAGGAACAGAAGATCTGGGGCGGCACTGCGGGAGCCATACTGGATCCTCAATATCACCAGGCTGGCGATACGGTAGACAACCTCAACCAAGAAGCTTGGCTGTTGCACGCTCGTGGTATTGCCGCTGCCGTTGCGAAGTATGCTACCTCTTGGGAAGGCTTTCCAGCTCGCGCTCCTGTCGGTAACACTACCGCCAAGCGAAGCGTATCTGAGGTCCGCAAGAGCGTTACTGGTGGTAAGCGCTCGCTAAAACTGTACTAGAAGACAGCGAGCCGTTTTTATGATAATGTATAGACGACTATATTGAAGACACTGAATGACTTGCAAGACCTTCATTAAAGTATAAAGCGTGATTCTCCATTCTGCTACGTATAATTGCAAACGTGATGTTGACATCGGCTTGGAGTTCCCCATATGGCTCTCAAGTTGCAGAAGAACGGCGGACAACCAACTCAACACAGAACTTGTAGCTATCATGGTATTCAAAGCTAAAAATTGCTCAAGCATTACTTAAATTGTAGGCAAAAAGGTTTCCTGTAGGTTTTTTGTGCATTCCTCTACGTTACTGTCGTGTGGTAAAATATCTGGCTCACACTAGTCCGCCGTTTCTCCTGCAACGCGAGAGAATGGCTGGCCTCATGTACTTAGTCACAAGGTTCGGCGGGCCACCGATCATGCACAATGAAGTTCACATCCATCCGATCCCCACAAAATCGTCACTCTCGCCCTTGCGTGCCCCTCAAGTTCGCACTGCCAGCACCGACGGCCAGCACTGACGTGCGAAAATAAGGTTTGCGCCTGAGCAGGGCCTGCCACGTTCGCTCGCTTGCCTGCCAGCGCACGTTGCGGGCGTTCGCGATGCGCTGTCACGGGTGCACCTGCAGCAATCATCCGATGACGGACAGCCTTCTCGAAGCATGCCCCGCCTGCGCCGCAGGCTACTGTGCATATTGGGAGTGTGAGGCGAGTTCGATGTGGGAGTACAAGTTTTGCTTTTCCTCGCGTGCCTATGGACTTGCGGGGTCGTGCGAGACATTTCAATAGGCGGCTGAACGCTTCTCAGGCTTGCAGTTCCGAGCAGCGTCCACGTACCAATTGGTGCTCCCAGCAGAGTGTGGCGACTGGCGCTGTCGGAATCACTTCTCGTGCTGGCGGGTGCATGTCCACTGGAAGTGTGGGCTGGCTGCAATGGCGGCAACCGATTCGCAGTGCGGGGAAGCCAACGGAATCAGAAACAAGAGTGGCTGGAACATCGACCTGAAACGAGGCAGGCAAGGCCTAGCGCGGTCTCTTTTGAGATAGCGGTGTAGGATTGCAGATGTGGTTCCTAGCCTAACCGCGTCTGCCATGATAGCCATGGATTGCGCAAGAGTGGGCCACGGACTGTGTTGCCTGTGTGCACTATGCCCAAGAAGTTGGGAGAGGAGATCCGCATCGTGACCACACCTGACTTCTGGTGGAATGTTTACAAGCCTGCTGAGCGTCAGGACATCACGAGAGGCAGTGCACTTGATGCTGGAGGCTGTGGGCCCAGGCCGCTGTTGGAAAGCAGTGCTGTCACAGAACATCTCAACTGAGGATCAAGAAACATGTCGGATCCTCGGGGTTTTGGCCAAAATGGCTGCGCATAGTGGCGGAGCTTTGCTATGTTATGGAGGGGCTTTCTGCCCATCGTTTACCGCGGTTGAATTCGAACCCTGTAAATAGAACCTGAGAATGCCACCACGATACCTACGGTACTCACCTACTGCCGGCATCTGTCGGCGTTCAGGACGAGTAGGTCTGCCCCGCTGCCCGCTCCGGCCGTGGAAATGCGCAAAACTGCTGCCCCTCCCTTACTTTCCAGTCACTGACAGGCGGGAACGGGGAGTGATTGGCCAGACAGTGTGACGATGGATTGAAGCTGCTGCCGAATGACGTGTGAGCCTTGCCAAAAGCCCACTGTTCGGCGGTGCTCACTATCCCTGGAGGGGTCCAGAGGTCTGGACAACTGCTTGTCACCTTGTCACCTTGTCAAGGAGCTTCAGCACCACGGGTATTGCGCACATTGGGCAGCCAGCGGGCCGCATGGAACAGAAGCTTCCCAACTGGTGGGCCGAGGCGCTGCAAACCAACAGTGGCACGGTGGCTAGCAGGAGGCTGACAGGCAGCGCTGAGCTCCGACACGGGACGGTGGGTGAAGAATGGGAACAGCTGGAGAAATCAAAGCGGATGCACGTCTATGTAGATCGACGTGATCGAGGCAGAGGGCGCATGTGCGTTCACGGCCAGGGCACGGGTCGTCATGAAGCACTCCAGCTGCGGATTCCCGTGTGAGGGCTCCGGTAGCGCGTATGCACGGCGCCTTCCCAAAGTGCTCAGGGTCCACGCCGACCATTGAACTTCGCGGCAGCAGGCCGCTCTTTCCTCCCTCCCCACAAGAGCTTGAAGCATACTCGAGGACTGACAGGCGGTGCAACTTGACCTTTCCTTCTGTCGGTCCCTTCCACGAGCCGCGCATATCCAGGTTTGGCTGCTCTGGCGCATAGATCAAGCCTCACCCCGTGCCACCAGGATCCAAGTGAGCCCTCAGCACCGACTCTGCTAGGCCGACGACATCTCGCGTTTGCGCCCGCACCACAAAGTCCACCGAGGGCACCGGCCCTGTGTACGTGTACGAGTAACTCGACTGTGTACGTACGTAGTAGAGCCCCTGTCTGCGCGGGGACACGCTGCTGTGTGCGCTGTTCGGAGGGCAGGCGCGCGTTGCGCAGCTGCAGCACCCCTCCCTCACCGCCCTCAACCCCACACCCCAGATGCGAGGGACAGATACGCTGACCGTGATGCAGTGTATTTCTAGTTGACCATGGCCTTCTCCACCGGCATTGGTGACCGCGGCGGTCTCCGCTCACCTCGCGAGGAGCAGGCATCGTTTGCTGCCCTGGGCCTCACATCCCCTCTGCGCAGCAGCTTTGGCTCCCAGGCCGCCCAGGCCGCCCAGGTCGCCGCCTCTACCTCTGGCGATGTGCGCGGCCAGCTGCACCGGCGCTTCACCACGAACAACATACCGACCCTGAACACCCCGCTGTCGCCGATCGGCCAGCAGCGCAGGCAAGCCGCCGAGCCCCAGGAGTTCACTACTGCGGTACGTCGCGAAGCCCTCTCATTTGGGACCTAGAGCACCGAGGGGCACCAGAACCTTGGACATGTGTTGTGTTCCAGCTTTGCCGTGCATATTGCGTGTGCGACCCTGCATGTGGTCCTGCTCGCTACCGGCAAACACGACGTGAATGAGAGCAAAGGCTGACAAGACCATCAACAGACCTATCACAAGCTTCAGGTGGTAAGCAACAAGTCCCCTTCACTTCGGCAACGCATTCTCTTTTACCTCACGCGCGCCAATCACCTGCCCCGCCAAGACTGCTGCGTTTGATACACATCCGCTCTTGCCTTGCCCTGGCTCTCCTCCACCCACGTTGCGACTTGAGCTTCAGTATTGCTACTGCTATCGCTTGTACATCCGTCCTTGTTTCTTTGGGAGGCCTACATCTCTCGCGGCTTCACATCTCTCCTTCCACAACATTTCCTTACTTAGCCGCCTGTCACGAGAGTCGCAATTATTTCCTTGTTTCAGCACGCGTCCGACGACCGCTGGACTGTGCTAACTGGCCGTCAGCTCGAAAAGAAGAAGCTTGAGTACGAATATTTAAAGGAGCAGCGTAGACGCTTTGAGGCTGAAATGGAGCTCATAGATTTGCAGTCTCGACGCGGCGAGGAAGAGATAACTCGACTTTCTTCTGAAGTCCGTTTCGGCAAGCCCGCAAACAGCCAGCCGACTACTCCACCGGAGTATAGCGATAACGGGTTTCCAAACGCCTTTTCCCGACCGAACCGTTTCAGTATGTCCAGCATTCAGCCCACAAAGGTTACGCCTCGTGGCAGCCGCGCCAACTCTCAGGTGACTTCACCTCCGTCCTCTTTCTTCAACAACAACAACGGCCTGCCATCTCAATCTGTGCCAGGCACTCGCCGCAACTCAGATGAAGAGCACGACGATTTTGACAACGACGACTTCACCCCACTGAGCCCAGCCTCGCGAAAGTAAGGACATCCACTTTCCTTCTTTCACTTGATCGTCTTGTCGTAATGACGTGGAACGTGACACAAGCCCCACGCTCACTTACCACATTCCAACGCCTCAAACTTGTATGCACAGAGTTCATAACTAACAAGCTCTTGTAGGAACAACCGTATGTCCATGCCTGTGACTGGCCTTGACCTCCGTGGCCGTGATAACCTTCCAGATCTGGCTTCCGTTCTTGGTCACATCGATACCACCGGCTATCTCTTTGGTGAAGAAGACAAAGAACATAATCCAACTGCTTCACCGGATCACAAGGCTTATCTCCAGATGAGCAACACGAATGACAAGTTCCCCATTCTTGTCCGTCGTGGCGATGCAGGTAACGGTACGAGCCTTTCTGCCTCTTCCGCCGCGCTTGATTTAGCCCTTGCACAATCCCCCGGCTCGGAGGTCCAGTCTGGTTGGCCAAGCTATCGCACGCATCGTCAGGCCCAACAGTCGCTTCCTGCTAACACATTCCGTAAAGGCTCACAGGCTGAGGAGTATGAGAACAACAACTCCAATGGTCAGACCACGCCCAAAAATCGCCAATCTGTCGAGTTCAACTTCACCAGCCCCTTGAGGGCCGACAATCAGCGCTCCAGCTTCGCTAGTCCAAACAACGGCATGCCAAAGCTGACCCAGTCGTTTTCCACAAGCAATGTCCCTACCCTGAAGAATGGAACTGGAGCTAATAGTAACGGCACAAACGGAAACGTCAATGCCCATGCGGAACAACATTTCAACCAACACAACGCGAACCTTGGCCGCATCCCCCCTCACGCTGTGTCCCATCGCCACAGCCGGGAGCTGTCGACGGGTTTCAAAGAGCAGGAGTATCGCCCTGTCTCTTCCGGCCTACACGCGAGCGCTGCCCCCTTTGGCCCTGCCATCACTTCTGCAGCACCTAGCAATGGGTCTGTCAGCAGCTCTATTGGCTCTCCAACCATGTCGCAGTACTCATCCCCAAATGCCGGCAATGGCCCATACTATGGATATGGCATGAACGTTCTCAACAATGCTATGAGTGGCATGTCCCTTGGCCCCCAGTACGGCGGACCGCCTCCTTACGGCTCCAATGGCGTGTACCCCAACGCCAGCCCGTACTTCAACCCTTACGCTACATACGGACCCAATGGGCGCGTTCAAGACAGCCAAGCTCGCGTCATTCAGAGTCGCCGTCTGCAAAATGATGCCAACCGCTTCATGAACTATGATCTGAAGACTATGCCACGCCACGAGATCTACAGCCTGTGCAAGGACCAGCACGGCTGCCGTTTTCTGCAGAAGAAACTCGAGGAGCACAACACAGAATACCTGCAGATCATCTTTGATGAGACAGCTCCTCATGTCGTTGAGCTCATGACCGATCCCTTTGGCAACTACCTCTGTCAGAAGCTTTTGGAGTTCACCAATGACGAGCAGCGCAATACTCTCGTCCGTAACGCTGCTCCAGCTATGGTCTCTATCGCACTTAATCAGCACGGCACCCGAGCCTTGCAGAAGATGATTGAATTCATCTCCACCGAGGAGCAGACTCGGATTATCATTCAGGCCCTGTCTGGTCAGGTCGTCGATCTCATCCAGGACCTGAATGGCAACCATGTCATTCAGAAGTGTCTTAACCACCTCAAGTCGTCAGAAGCGCAATTCATCTTCGATGCCGTAGGCGAGCACTGTGTCATTGTCGGAACTCACCGTCACGGCTGTTGTGTCCTCCAGCGTTGCATCGACCACGCTTCTGGGTTCCAGAAGGTCGATCTCGTCCGCCAGATCACCGCCCACAGCTTCCATCTTGTGCAGGATCCTTTTGGTAACTACGTTGTTCAGTACATTCTCGATCTGAACGACCCCAACTTCACGACCCCGCTTTGCCTTGGTTTCAAGGGCAAGATTGCCGAGCTTTCTATGCAGAAGTTCAGCTCTAATGTCATCGAGAAGTGCATCCGCTGTGCTGAGATGTCAACCAAAGCTGCTATGATTGAGGAGTTGGTGGACGCTGAGCAACTGGAGAGGCTCATGCGCGACTCTTATGGGAACTACGTCATTCAGACGGCTCTCGAGTTTGCTCCTCCTGAGCTATGCATGCACCTCATCGATGCCATGCGCCCTATTTTGCCTCAGATCCGCCAGACACCTTACGGTCGGCGTATCCAATCCAAGGTTCAGGAACGTGAGGGTCGCCTTGCTGCTTTCACTGGCCGTGCTCCGTCCGGTCACGTCTCTCCGAGCACTGTTTCTGGAGCGCAGACTTCGGAGGCCGGTTCTTCGTACCAGACTCCTATGTACACTGCCTCTGCCAACTATGGCGCCAACATTGCTTCACCTCAACCGCATCGTCAGCCGCACCGCTTGAGCAACCCACCTATGCCTCATCACTTCAACAACTCTGTACACAACCCGGCTTACCAGCAGTACGCCCAGCCTGCTGGTGTGAGTAACTTCTTCTAGCTGAAGGGCCCTAACGACGTTACGACCTGACGAGTTATGGTCACGTGCATGCTCGACATGTTCCGTCACGCTTTATCGACACGCAACATTCTTACACGTCGGCACAAATCTTGGTCGATGTAGGTGAAGGCTGATCATCTTCGAGTTGCGATCTTTTATTATCTTTCGGTCTTGCTTATTGGCATGCTCAGAGCTCTTGCTCTAGCCTTATCCATAGTGCTCGTGCCTGACAGATCGCTTTGTATAGTACGACAACGGCAGCATCTGTGGAGCTTGGTTCGTGATGCATCAACAGGCGCTGCATGGAGCCTTCCTTTCTTTCTTTGCTTGTGTACAACCCTTGCCCATTCTTCCCCTTACCGATTCGCTTCATCTCGATTGTATTCTTTGGCGTCCATGATGCGCAACAAAACGTTCATCAAAGCACGAGCATAGCCGCAACTCGGGTGGCGGTAACTTTCTCATCCACGGCACCCAGAAGGAGTTTTTCATTGCAATGTACCGCACCAACCGTAGATAGTAGTGCTGCCAGGCACCAAAATTGAAAGCATCGAAATCCTTACTCTCTTGTTGCAATATTGTAATCTGGAACCAATGTACTACGATTATTATAGCTTCCGGGCTTTTCTGGTCTGCCTTAACCAGCTGAGATAGCCCCCACATTTGGTCATTCAGTGGCAGTCTGTCACTGATGTCATTACAGTCAACATTCTCCGTGACGTCATCCCGGGATGTACTCTATCGGCTACGCCGCGACTGTACGGCTGTATTTCTCGACTGCAGGATGCTTCGCGGTAGTGTATAACTTGATTTTGAAACGAATGCCATTGACTTCTCCACCGCGTTTCTCAAAGTACATCAAGACAATGACGCTCCCTGGTATCACGAATCCGGCTGTACCATACGGCAGCACCATCGTTGTCACGGGTTGCAGTGGCTTCATCGGCTCGCACGTGGTTGATCAAGTCCTCGCTGCTGGTTACAAAGTACGCGGCACCTCACGCGACGCGAAGAAGAATCAGTGGGTAAAGGCCTATTTCGACAACAAGTATGGCGAAGGTCAATTCGAGCTCATTACGGTGCCAGACCTGACTGAGGAGAAAGCGTTCACGGAAGTAGTGAAAGGTAAACGAGCATGTCTACATGCTATTTCATAGTCCAAGAACAATCCGTTAATCAAGTGAACAGGTGCAGGAGGCTTCATACACGTAGCACACGACATGCGCGGGTCTGGCGACCCAGCAATCGCCATTCCACACGCTGTCAACATGGCTCTCAGTGCCCTCAAAGCATCCTCTGCAGCTGGAATCAGAAGATTCGTATACACGTCTTCCTCCTTCGCGGTAACCCAGCCAAAGCCTGGCGTCAAGTTCACAGTTTCGGAGTCTACGTTCAACGAAGACGCTATTCGCGCTGTCAAAGAGAGAGGCCAGGACGCAGGCGGTCCGACAGTGTACGCAGCAAGTAAAGTCGAAGTTGAACGTGCGATGCAAAAGTGGAAGAAGGAAACTAACGCGCAGATCAACATCAATTGCGTAAACCCGAATGCAAACCTAGGTCCTGTGCTGCAGCCACAGCACCAGGGGTATCCTACCACCGCTGGGTGGGTGAAGAACTTGTGGGACGGCAAGTACGATGCTCTCAAGCAGGTGCCAGAACACTTTATCGATGTTAGAGATGACGCAAAGTTGCACGTAATCGCGCTTGCGCACCCGGATGTTCAAGAGAGGAGATTACTGGGCATGGTCGCGCCTGCGCCGATCGGTCGCATCGTTGACATTCTGAGGGATCTGTATCCGGAGAGGAGTTTCGAGGATTTTGAGGATCAGGGCACGGACGAGATTACGAATGCTGAAAAAAGCAAGGTCGAGGAACTACTGAAGGAGACGTATGGGCATGGCTATACAGGTCTGGAAGAGAGCATCAAGGCTAATGCGCTGGAGCTGAAGTAGAATGCACCTGTAGCACGTAAAAATCGAGTTCACGATTGCGTTTGAAGCAGTCTACATATATCTCTTCTACCACGTGAGGTACTGCCGAACACGAATGTCGATGAACAAACTAAGGTTAAGGGCGCTCGCTCAGCCCAACTTCTCGTCGGCACCACACAATGATGCGAGTGCATTCGTCCCCCTTCGATATCAGTATGGACGAAGTCTCTTTCACCAGGTTCTTCCCAGAGAAAGTGGCCCACCACTGGTTATCAGCCATTGTCATGAGCGCACCCCATACCATGAATATTGCCATTGCGACACTGTCCTGCAACTTGAGTCTTTCGATGAACTCTAAGCCTGCCATGGCAATCCACGGAAAAACTGCATCTTTGTCCAGAATCTTCCGTTCAAGAGCTTCGATGGCATGTTCGAACACGGGTGCAGCACTCGAGTCGGTTTTGCCTGCGTTGAGCCTGCGCAGATCCTCTATGATAGGTGACACCGTCGCATGTGGTAGACTTGGCCACGTGACGTTGAACATGCCGCTCAGGGGCCCTTGCAGTACTTTTCGCTGTGATGTCTCAATGACGAGGCCGAGCCCGCGAATTATGTCGGCAAGTGGAAGGATGGCTTCAGCGTTGAAATTGAATATCTTCTCGTGTCCAACGGGTAGGAAGGGCGACACCATCACGCATACCATGATGAGGACAGAGGTCGCAAATACAGGATCGCACTTCTCGGGCGACAGTGAACCAAGATCAACGCGCAACGCAGCGATGGCTCTGGTCTGATAGCTCATGCCTACACCTGTAAAGTCGTGCGACAAAATCGGATCGTCTGTCTCGCAGGCGATGTGGAATGCTGCCAGTGCAAGGAGAGCCTCCATGAGATGTGAATTCTTCAAGGCCTCCTTGACCAGGTAGTTTTGGAACATGTCTACCAGCTCTGGTGTGAAGTTGGTGGAGGTCTTTGAGCACCAATGATGAAGCAGCTCTAGCTCTCGAATTCGAGCTGCGCTCCACGTAGTCTCATCTGCGCCGCGTTGATGGGTGGTGTTGGCAGCTGGGAGGCTATGACCGATTCCGGCATTCAACGGTGCAGTAGCGTTCATGGGAGGTGTGGCTGGTGTCGTGGTTGGGAGGGGCGTTGACTTGGTTGGAAATCTCGAATATACACATATTTCATCGCGCTGGGTGCAAGAGGAGCAGCGAGGAAGCTTCTCGTCACACTTGACTCGTCTTCTTCTGCATTGGCTGCAACCAAGGCGTGACTTTGTATGTGATCGTCTGGGCGGCATTGATGGATGTAGCAGCCCCCCAACGTGGATAGCAGCATGTGTGTCGACGTCAACGCCGGACTTTCTCACAGCTGGATACTAAATACCTCTTAGGAGAACCCTTGTGTTTTTGCCTCAACGCGTCGTGATAGTTGCAGGTCAACGCCGGAGGTCAGCCGCTAGTATTAGACACGGCGTAGGACCTGCGCCACTCGTGCTACGGGACTCATATGCAATAATCCTGTCGCTATTCTAGCGCAGAGGTGTTGAAGAACATGGGAGAAGTTGGGTGATGCCAAGGAGGAACGATCGAGGAGGCTAGCGGAAATGGGTCGTCTACCAGCGGTGTCGCGCCTTCTCTGGTTGGATGAGTGACGTGCACTCCCGAGGCACGCCATTGTCGACCAGACATCCGCTCTCCTGGTAACATCCACGACTCTGAACAACACGCCGGATAGAAGACTCTACACGCACACTACTCACCGGTTATAGCACTCGATCGAACATATTCGACATGCGCTTTGCTACTCTTGCCGGCCTGACCGCACTCTTCGCTGCCACCACCATGGCTGGGGCTCCCCAGCGATCCGTCATTATCAGCTTTCCCAACGACACGCCCGACCACATTGTAGAGGAGGCCAAGGAGAGCATACGCAAGGCCAAGGGCGTCATCACACATGAGTACAGTTAGTGCATCGTGTAATGCACGTAGACAAGAACGAACTGACGAATGCCTACAGACATCATCAAGGGCTTCGCTGCCCATGCGCCTGCCTCTGCTCTCGAATTTGTAACGACGATGGGCGAGCAGTACAAGGTCGAGATCGAAGAGGACGGCATCGTGACTACTCAAAACGAGGATTAGGCGGTGCTACTCCAGCTTGCATTGTACATCCCTGCACGGAGGCTACAGCTTTACGGGGCACGCCATTCGCTTTTGACGTTTTGGAGTTTGATACGGAGTATGGCGAAGAATATATGACTTTAGGATACCTAATCGCAAACTGATTTCGTTGTGGGCTGGCCTGAATGCTCACACCAATACCTATACCTTCATCATGACTGCATTTCTTCAGGATCCCGCCGCGACTGTAAGCCATATCCGATCCATGCGCCGAAGTTTCCATGAGTTCGGCGGTGTGCGTGTACTGCGTATGCGTGTGTACATGGATGCGTGCATGTGTGAATGTGTGAAGCTCACCACGGTGTTCGATATGCCTGGTGTCGGTGTGGACCCTGCAGCGGCAGGCGCGCGGGTGCGACCCCACCACATTGGGAACCCCCGACCTTTGGTTTTACGAAACACTCAGACTGGCCTCTGTCTCAGCACGATTGCATTCTCATGCACTCGATTTGACCCTCTGTGGACTGTCCGACAGCCGTAACCGTCCATTCTGCCCCAGCTCGCACGATATCGACGTGCACCCCGACGGAAGGCGATCTGTTTAGCGCAATCGCCCGCGCCCACCGCTCATCGATTACCCACGCGTCAACACCACGACGGCGGCTTTTTTGCATGATTGGCTCGCCTGCACAGCATGCATGACTTCTGCTTCTTCTCCTTAGCATCAAAAAGCAGCATACGCGTACATTCTTGTGGCTGGTGAAGCCCTTAGCTCGCCATGGACGACTTCAAGCCCGAGCTGCTTCGAGCGCTGCTCGACTGGGTACGTGATGCGCCAGCCCTTATAGCATCGAATCTCGATTGACACGCACTTGTTAGGTCAATACCTTTAATTTGCCCGGCCGAGCCGGCCGAGTCACTACATGGAACCAGCTCGAAGACGGTCAGATCCTCTGGCAAATCCTCAACGATATCGACAATGAATACTTCGACGAGTCCCTGCCCATATTCGAAGAAAGCAACGACCGCCGCCAGAGCAACAACTGGATACCGAGATGGCAGAATCTGAAGCACATCGAGCGCGCTGTTTCGACGTACATTCGCGAGGAATGCGAGCAGCTGCCGGTCCTTACGAAGCGCATGATACCGGACCTTAAGACGGGAGCGAGGGAGGGCTCGACAATGCTCATGGCGAAATTGACCATGGCTGTCCTACTTGCAGCCTGCTTCTCACCGAAAAGCAACCAGCGCATGCTGCAAGTTATGGCCCAATTAGGCACCAAGACCGCCGAGACAATCGCGGCATCTATCCAGGAGATGCAGGCCTTGGATATGAGAATGTCAGATCTGGGTGTAGACTCTGAATTGACGGTCGAGCCGAGTATTTCCGGCTACAAAACGCCTACACGAGCCGTCTCCGGTCCTGCCACTACGCTCGGGAGAGATGCGGAGCTAGAACAAGAAGCTCAATTAGTTGAAGCAAACAAAGATAGACATGCCTTGAGGCAACATGTTGGCAAGTTACAGAAGGAGTTGGAATCTTCCCGCAATAGGATATCACAGCTTGAGGAGGACCTTGCAGAAGCCACGGTGCACTTGGACAACCGTGCAGCCCAACCCGGACATTCGGATGATGTTGAGCAACTACGGAACGACTTAGCACGCGATCGTCAATACATTGACCAGCTTGAGACAGACCTTGCTCATGCCCGAGATATCCTCGAGAGTCAGAACAGACGTTTGGAGCGCTTCCAGAGCGAAGAAGGTTCTAAACAAGATTTGCGTGACCAACTGCAGGTCTTGAAAGCTGAGCGTGATGAGCTCAGTCAGCGAGCCAAGGCAAACGAGAACCTTAGAAAGAAAATTGAAACCCTCACCAAGGAAACTAAAAACCTTGAACAATTACGCGAGGACTACCAGCAGGCGCGCGAACGGCTACAGCAGCTGGAGGCTATTGAGGAGCGATGCGAGGCGCTGGAAAAAGTGAACAAGGAAAACAGCTCGACGCTCGTCAACTGCGAACAGGCTATTTTTGAAGAAAAGGGCAAGCGTACAAGAATCGAACACGAGAATCTCTTACTCATGAAGCAGCTCGAGCAGACACGAGAGCTTCAGTACAAAGCCGAAGACGCCAAGAATGATCTGGAAGACAAGATTCGAGAGCTTGAGTCCTCAGACCACACCGATCGCGGTGGTAACCTCGAGGAAGAACTCGAGCAAGACGAGGCAGATGCAGAGCTTGATACTTCAAGGGTAGTCGACGGGCGAGTAACTGCCGAAACAATAGCGTTGCAACAGAAGGTCGATATACTCACAGCGCGATTGAAGAGTCTTGAAGCCGAGACGCTCAAGCAAATGTCCGAAAACTTGGGTCTGCGCTCTGACATGATGGCTGAGACAGATGAGGAAAGCCAGAAGCCGTTCTTTGAGCAGAACGAGAAGCTGCAGCTGGCCGAGCATGAGCTGGAAGAACTACACCGAAGACTACGTGAGAAGGACTTACAGATGGCTGAGCTTCGAAACGAGCTCAACAAGAAGTCAGACTTGGACGATGAGGCTAAAGCAAAGGTTGTTTCAGCGGAACACGAGCGTATGCTGGCCTTGCAACAGCGTACGAACCAGAAACTTCGAGACATGGAGCTTGCAAATGAAGAGAAGGCCAGCTTGTTGCGCGCAGCGCTACTCGACCGCGAAAATCTATCACCTGAGCTCCTTGAGCTGAAGAGAGCGGAGACCCTACAGCAGATTCGCGACCAGATTGAGTCAGTTATCGACGCCCCCGCTGAGGCGCAACCGAATGTCTTGGACAAAACATCGTCAGAGATTGCGGAAATTGTCCTCTCGTCAGAGGCAGCGTTCGACAAAGCCAAGAAAGTAAGCATCAGCCAACACTCCCACACCAAACCACCCTCCTCCGCCTTTGACGTAGCGGTGTCGACGATGAAGACACGGCAACGCCTCGACCCATCATACTCTGCCGCTACACTCATATCACCAGCATCACCAGATAAGGGTCGCCCGGAGATGAACAAGTCGTTATCTGAGGTATCGGCTTCGACGACTGGCACGGGACAAACTACATGGGGCCGCATCACACACAAGATCTCTCCTCAGAAGAGACCATCAGCTGTCAGAGCCAGCACTGAGTTCTATTCATCGGTTGGCTCAGACAATGCGGCAAGTTTGTCCCTCGCCTGGCGGCGAAGAAGTATTCTCGATTCCGGCATTGTTTCCCTTTCCTCCCTCGGCGCCCAATCGCAGGATCACCTGCTAATGATCGCTACAGGATCTCCAAGAGCAGATAGCCACAAACAATACTTTGCGGGAACAGTTAGCATCAGCGAAGAAGGAAACGGCGGAGAAAGGCTCGGTACGTACCGAGATTGTCCATACTGCATTTTACACTGACACGTCTTAGGTTGAACTGCAGCAGGAGGTTGAAAACCTTCGCCGCGAGAACAAGCTCATCACCTCCGCATGGTACGACATGACCATGCGTCTGCAAAGCAACACCGTCGTTCTCCAAAGGAGGAGCGAGGCACCCAAGAGCTGGCTGGGCAAGCAGAGGCTAGCAGTGGGAGGATCGAGCAGCCTGGTAAGACATCGACTGTGTTCATCGTACAAAGTAAGGGTAGATGCTAATGTTACAACAGGGACGACGGTAGCACCCTCTTGATCCGGCACGGTCCATGTTTCCGCTCTCTCTGTTCATTGCACGCACGCTCCTCAAAGATGGGTCAATGTAGGAACGACCATAATGGCGCACTGAGAAAGAAACCTTTTACTTTGTTATTATACCCTGTCGGCATTTGCATGTAGCGAGGCGCTTTGTGTCCTAGACGAAGATGGATGGAGACTTCCAGCTCTGGATTCAATTGGAGCGGTTGACACGTTTGAACGGGTAGCTTGCATATGCACTCTAAGATTAATTCTGCATGTCCGTCACCTGTTCTCTACTAGCAACCATTCCGGTATCTTCGACCATCTTCTACCCGGCATCGTCCTCTCTTGCTCACCTCCTCGCGACCAGTAATCGATTATCTCCGTTATGAACTCAACCGCTCGTCCTCTACCCTCTCGATGCTTGCATTCTTGTACCGCCTTACTCGATCCAGAATGCCTGACCTGTCCATCAGATGGAACACATCGAGTCACGTAGGCGATTGCCAGCGACCAAAATAGCGCGATGACCCCCACATCAGATTAAGAATATTGATATAGTCGGGATTTGGATCTGTGCCCATTCTATCGCTTCTGGGGTGATGACTTTTAGAAGTCCTTTGATTCAGAGGAGAACTCAGAGACAGATCGCAAAATCATCTTTTTGGAGAGCGTCCAAATGCGCTTCAGAGAGAAATGATTGGACGGATGTGCAATATAATCTGTGAGAGAGATTTTCATGGGACGTTGAGAATCTGTAAGTGCTAGCTAGTGGCCGGCAGGCAGCGATGTGTGACTGATAATGTCTTGGGAAGTGCATATGTGAATGTCAGGCGAGCACCTACGCTCAGATCTCTGTGCGTGGGATGACATTTCTGCTCCTCTGTCCTAGGAGCATCGCTGTTTTCCATCCCAACCACCCACGTTCACCAGCAGACCGGGCCGGTAAGTCATCAAGAAGACGTCCTCTGACGTCGTAGTACCATACACGCCAGATAAGCAGCACTATGGCAGTCAATGGTAATGCGACTACCCACAGGAGCCAGAAGTCCGGCGAAACGCGAACATGGTACGGCGCAGTGTCGTCTAGCTTTATGAATTGCGTACCGAAGATGGTCGCAATCGTACTGAGTGGGAGAAATATCAAAGTTGTAACTGCAATACTCTTCATGCTCGCACTTTCAGAATGCATGACTCTGCTGTCGGCTACGGTTACCAGGTGGAAGGAGAGCTGTACGATATTCGCCATCCGCTTGTCTAAGCTTGATAGTCGGCGCTGTGTGGAATTGAAGAGAGTCTTCCGATAGTCAAGAGCTTGTCGTGTAAACTCTTGAGCGGAATCGGGATGGTCGCCAATGACTACTCCATGATGATGCCGCAGGCCCGAAAGTGTCGCAAGTGCCGAGTCGCAGTTCTCTTGGAGGTAAGTGATGTGCTTTGCGAGATTATGAAGGCCTGTGAAATGGTCTCGAGGTAACTTTGTAGCTTTTCCTGGTGTCGTTGCTAGATGCAAAGTTTTCTACTGTTGTGTCAACTATGACCCACGGAGACTGACTTCTAGGACAAGACTAACCTTTTCTATGTTACCGAAGACATGAGATATCGCCCATCCAGTCATGTCAAGAACCTTATACATCTCCTCGAATACCACTTCAAGCAGCACGTACGGATCCTGTACTAAGTCGTCACAGATGGCAACATTCTTTAGCTTACGAAATCGGTCTCCCATCGATGCCGTTGCGCCAAAACAAAACAATTCAATTGAGGCGTCAGTAGAAGCCCCAGACATAGTCGCATCACTGCTCGATGTCCTTGAACGAGCAGGTGGCCTCGGAAGCCCTCGTGGTCTCCTAATCTTCAGGACGAACCCTGGCTTGACCCAGCCAAAATCTTCCTGGCTTTGAATTTCATAATTGTCGTTTCCGGGTCGCTGTTTACCGACGATGCTTGCTCCCTCAACAGTGACAGTTTTGCAGAGGAAGTGGAACCATACATAAACTGTACCGTCGATATCTGTTTGCGCTGCAAAAGACCGGGAGATGTTTTGCATACTCTCTGCGATGAAAGCGCTTGGGATCTGGAATTTTTCGAACAGCCTCACCAGCCCATGCACAGTTTCTGGAGCAGGGACGTCTTGTGGAGCGAAACTTGAAATATTAGGACCTTGAACTGCGTTATAACGACAGAACTTACATGACTCGGACTGTTGCTGGGTCCCGCGCCTCTAGTTCGGTGACAGTTCGGACATTACTGATCTCAACTCCATCTTGGCTGCTCTGGGACCATTCAAAGAGATGCAAAGGCAAGTCAGTCCCGTCAGTCTTTGCAAGAACTGACTTTGGGCCACAAGACCTTAGTGCTGTCACCTTGAATGCCTCAAGTGGATTGCGGTCTGCGGTCAGACTTCGAAATGCGGCCATCTGTGCTCTGGATTGAACTATCACTGACAACTTGGTATGGCCGTACTGCACACACAACGCGATGGGCAACAGTACATGATACTGACAGTCGCGCCCCTGCACAGACCACATGTCTTCGATACTCGCGTACCTTTGAGTCAATGCACTGGTGCATGGGGCTGAAGGGACAGGACAGGGCATCATGCCCGAATACCACTAACTCACAGTTGCTTGCCGAAGGCCTGGCCAATCTGTAGAACGGATGTGTTTGTCCTTTCGCTACGCCGCGCGCACCATGCATCAGCCCGACGTATCACCTCCTGCATCGGAGATCGTTGCATGATGCATGCCGTAGCGTGTATCAGTCACCAAAATCTCAGCTCTGGCTCCTAAACCGGTGAACTTCCATATTAACTTGATCACGAATCATCTATTTCAGCCCCTCTCGTGTAACTCGGTGAAGCCTTTGGCGCTTCATAATACCAGGAAAGGAATGTGGCGCAAGGCTGAGAAAGCCAAGACCCCAATCAGCAAGCGCTTCCTGTTGAATCCATGTGCAACACCTTTCAGCCCCCAATCTTCTCCGGAACCGTGGATGCGAGAAAGCGAAGAACATGTGCAAATCAATAGGATGCGACGTGGGGTGCTGATTGGCATTCAGGCACGCCATGCAAGCTTAATCGCCGCATCAATGCTACACACAAGGATCAGCTCGATCTACAGTCGCCTGTGGTATGTAGCTGTGCTTGCCGAAGGATGAGCAAAGCCTTCGACATCGTCCTTATGAATGCGCGACTGCTAGTAACGCAACAGGTCCTTAGGAAAGGCGGGCGGGAACATCAGACGCATACGAGCGGTAGTTGCCGTCGATCGCTTATACATTGCAGTGAAAGATATCAACTTAAGCGCCCAGCGCTAAAAAGAACGTGCTAGAGAGCAAGAACTCTATTTGTGTTGCGCACATGGGCAAGCGATTACTATCCAGCCTTCGGTTCTGCAACTATCAGCCTCGCTAATATTGGCTGCAGGCCGACCAGGGTAAGCCGGACCAGTGTGGCACGCTGTGGGGGCCAATCCGACAGACTTCCGCATTGACAAGAAGGAATGCGACGATAGTTAATTGGTTTACTTCTGTGGCATGAGAAGCTAGATTGTTAGGGGAAAGGTTGATAATCATGGAGACAGGTGATCTGCAAAGGTACAGAGTCCCTGGTTGATAGGAGCAACATGTGTAGGGAAACACCGGAGCCACAGTACTGGAAGAAGTAATTTAAAGCGGTGGAGGACTACTGGATTTGACACTTTCGCCAAAGGGAAACCAGGGTGAGTCATAAGCAATGCAATTAAGCGCTGGGGTTGAAACGAATGGGCACTACCTATCGGCAGTCACTGCCGTAACACCAGCTGATAGTTCATCACCACGCATGTTAAGACTACGGACGATCCTCTCTTTCATCGGTCACTTGTCTCGTCCTAAGGGTACATTGTATCTGATTGCTGAGCATCACTGTTTGCGGTCTGCATGGTATGTCGATTGACTATTCGTTGCAGCCTTTCAGTCTTTGACATATCATAGGCATACACTGCTCATTCTCCACACGGTGGTGGTTACAACCCTAACGGCTCTGCATTCATACAGATCAATCCTAGTTCATCTGTGTGTTGACCGACTCGCAAATCTTGTCATAGACACTGAGACATCTCTAGCATTGGCCAGCACACGGCGGGGGTATCCAACCAAGCTTCCCAAGTCCAGCAGGTGCAACTTTTGCAAATAGTGCAGCCGCACACGGCGGTGCCTTCAATCCCAGTTCCCCTTTTGCACCCAGTCCCATATTTACTCAACCTCAAACTGTTGCGGCGAGCCCAGTCTACAAACCTCAACCCGTTTTCTCTGTTCAGGTATGCATGTCTTGCTCTCCGGTCCGCCTTTCGCTGACATGTAATGTCCAGGAGACGCCCCCAACAGTCCAGTATATTGCCCGGCCAAACCCACTTGCTCAACTCTGCTCCTGTCTTCGGTAAAAGCGGCCACCAACCCAAATATGGTTCGCAACATGGCTCAAGCCTCAATTGAGGAGGTCTCAAGCCACGAGAAGCCGCGTACGCCGGTATGATAATGTAATAGCTTCGGCCATGGTCTTCAATGCTAACATCAGAATTGCAGTATGTTCCAATGCGGATGAGGGGATACAAACATTACTTCGACACATATACGTCCTGGAAATGGCATAGTCCAATGGCGTATCGTAGGGCAGTCCCAAACCCCTTGTCTTACTCGAACTAATGACAATAGGTAAGCCTGGCCTGGGATACCAAAAACTCGCAAAACACCGCCATCGCGATGCGTTCGAGCGCGAGTGGGTGGGCGATTACGACGACCGTGAGTATATCGTTTGTGGAAGCGCATGAACGTATGTAGGGACTGATTATCTCAGGCTATCTCTCATCATGGGACGGCAAGGTCTCCAAGCTGGTCGTTCAAGCTACTGATGATATCTACGACAACGACGTTACATCCACGTATCGTCGTACATTCATCCGAAATATCGCACCGGCATTTCTGAGATTGGCAAACTGGCCATATAATCATGTGGATCCGGACAACAATGATGGAAAGCCCACCAGAGAAGGTAATTTGCACGGCTTGCATCCCGAATCACCAATTAATCGACCACCAGATATGCCCATGCTTTGCCTGAAATGGTTCATCACGTCACTCATCATTCCATTGGTGGTATGTAATCGAGCAACAAAACAGCATATGAAAATACCAAGCTTATCGATGCCCAGATATCCAGCCCCAGCTCCGCGTCGATTCCTCCCCGAAACGGAGGAAATTACGACCCTGTTCCTTACAGATACTATGGATACCCTAAGGTTACGCGCAATGCTATGGAACTCACGGCCCCGAGAGGCAACAGTAGTCTGAACCCGGTCACTGAACGTGTCCTACTCCCTCGATACCTCTGCTTCCTCCGCGAGTTGGGCGAGCCAGCGTTAATCATGAACGTGGAGGACTGGATCGCAAAGTATCAGTCCGATCGCAACTTGTCGTATATCTTCATCGCTTACACCGCGGAGCAGTTTCAGGACAGCGAGGATCTCATGGCGTTGCACCAAATAGCCGATGCAGCCGCTCGTGATGCTGGTGTGCTGGCATATTGGGTTGGCTGCTCTTGTATGCCCGAACCAAACCAATTGCAAGAAGACGTAAGTACACCACTCGTAATAGCTTGAAGCTACTGACACTGTCCAGGTCTATCGGATCTGTGACGTGATCCGAGGTGCTCAGTCTTTGGTCATTGCTGTGGGACAGCCGCCGAACAGCGCGCAAGGCATCAACACCACAGATCTCATGCTGCAGCAGTGGGGCGACCGGATCTGGACATTCCCTGAAGTCCTACTGGCGCCTGCGGGCAAAGACATCAAAGTTTATCTGCGAGGCGGGGACATCGCACGGCCACTACCGATCCCAAAGAACCAGTTTGCTGCCAAAGTGTGGAAGGAAGACGCACACATCGCTCGCCAAGTAGGTCTCCATGTCCGCAGATAGGGACGCGCTGACTCTCAAGCTCATCGATCATTACGAGGGCAATCTCATATTGAGCCAGCTGGAGCTCGTGACTCTGGCACTCGAATGTCTGCACAAGCGTAACACATACCAATACCTTCCTGGCGATTACAGCTATGCGTTGATGGGTCTTGTGCGCATCCGGCCTCGGATTGACCCTACCGATACAGCGTTCCAAGCCTTTGCACGGTAAGTTGTCGAAGCATTTGTCCACGTAGTGTGTACTGAACTCTCCAGTCTCTCCATGGCAAACGGCAGCGACCAGCTTCTGGAGCGTCTGATATGCGTTCTCCCCCGGACTCCCGATCAACCCTGGCATTCCATGGACGACGCCTATGGCGCCAAGCTGTGGGAAATACTGCCCGAGGGAGTCGAGACTGCGGGCATTGGCCACGACGACACCGTCATCCTGGACGGCTGCCGAGCCGCCAACGTGCGCTGGAAGTCGTTCACGCCGGTCGCGAACACGCGTCGAGAATCGTGGGGACGTTGGATTGCAGGCAAGTTACTGCGACTGAGCGGGCTAACCTACGCTATTGGCATCGTCCTCGCGGCCATGCCAAACACCACGGGCGTGCCAGGCTTGACTCCAGTCCAGGGTGCGGGCGTCTTCCTCATCATCTACTCGATCTTCCTATCATTTCTGTCGCCCTGGCTGTTGCGTGTGATCTATCTCGGCAAGTTCTGGGATCAGCAGTGCTGGTTCTTCGGTGTCGAAGGGTACTTGCCCATCGAGGCCATTGAGTCGCAGATCTTCGGCTGCAGACTCGGCCGCTTGCGATGGACACCATATGCCAGCCCGCTGTCGCGACACAAAACCAACGAACACAATGAGTGTGTGGCCGTTGATCCAACGACAGACCCGGACATCAAGGCCCTGGTTGAGCGGTCCAAGCACGCTGGACCCGGGGACCAGAGACTGTTCACTCTCGTCGACACAGGTAAGCTTCGTACCCATCTTGCATCTGGTGCAATCCACTCATAGCTACAGGCAACATGACAGTGACGTTATTCCTCGCCGTCCACCCGCCAACCTGCTTCCTCATGGCGGGATCCGAGGGCGGCATGAAGCGCATCGTGGGCTGCTCGTACGACTGGACGACCTCAACCATGTACCGAGAAACGGTATTACGTATGGAGACCCGGTTTGAAGACAAGATGTCGCGGATTGGCAGAGTCAAGGTCGGGTTTAGGCGTGCGCAGCATCCAGTAGCGCCCCTCGAGCATGTTGGCGAAGCGGCGGGGATGAGGGTGGTGTGAGCTGCCGGTGTGACGCTTGAGTGAGGTAACGAGCAATTCTCTTCAGTCTTACGATATGTCAGCGCATGAGTTCTAGCTGTTTCAATATGGACAGATCAATCTTGTTTCCACTTACTTTCCTGGTGCGGAACTCGTCTCCAATTCTCTGAGTGAGCGCTCATAAAACCATATCTACATCTGACTGGTCTCGCGGTGTACATGCATTCTTCCGAACTAATGAATACACCAGGTATAGCGTTTTTATTTGTTGCTGTGTATCGCAAACTGAAAATCGTTGTACTCGCTTTTGTATGCCGTTGTGCCGTATGCTCAGGGGTTCATATGATACATAATCCTCAGCTTGCATCCCCGTCTGTCTCTCTTCTTCTGTCCTTTCCCACATTTACAATTCATCTCGGACAGCTTCAACATTCAAATCTGGCATAGCCATGAGCTTAACGACCAGACTCGTCCAGCCAGTGAAATGCTGAGTTCTTTGACCCTTGCCAGTCTCAGGGTTATATTGCTCCCAGGCGAATCCCGTCTCTTTCCAGCTTTCGAAGACAGTGTTGACGAGGTTCTTACGCAGGTCAGTGTAGAGCTGCTTGGCACGCTTTTGGTGCGGGCCCTTGGCTTGGGCAACGTTCTGTATACGTCAGTGTATGATAGACATACAGGAGGCACGAAGGCTTACCAGAAGTTGCTGCACGGCCAGATAGTTCATGTTCATCCAGATGGGACCACGCCAGTAGTCCTCGCCTGTGTGGTACAACTCATCGCTCTTGCTCAGGCTCCTCAACCCGTACTCGGACCATAGATGATCTTCATCGCCGATGAGATCAAGGATGGCGCCCAGGTGCTTGCTGTCTTTATCAACGAGGCCTGTCAGGAACGGGAAGAGCGAGATGTAGCCCTTGTGGCACACATGCACGTTCTCTTCGTAGTCGTCAATGGTAGCGTCGCAATACGCCTTCTCTTTGCTGGACCAGTGTAGATCGTCGATGTTGCGGACGATGGCCTCGTCGTATCGAGCAAATTCAGCTGCATCATCACTCTCATCAAGATAGACTGCAATGCGCTTGATGGCGCGTGTCATCATGCCCATCCAACTGATGAGATCGACGTGCAGTTCACCTGGGTGCGGCGGCTGGGCACGCGGATAGTCGTCAAGACCAGAGGTGAGGATGTGTTGAGGTGTGCGTCCCCTCCAGCGATAGCCCTCCTTGGACGAGAAAGCCTCGCGATCATAACTCTTGATGTCGCCCGCCTGAGTTTTGCGGAACCAGAAGTAGTGACGCTTCAGGAGCGGGTACAGCTCGCGAAGATAGTGCAAGGCGGCCTCGCGGTTCGTGAGGTGCACGTTGTATGACTCCTCGTTCTTGTTCTTTGAGTCGGTCTTCTGCGCGTCAAGCTTGTCAAGGAAAGAGCTGACGACCATAAACAGAGTCGGTGGGTTGGCGTAATGAGGGTATTGGACTTGGAACTCAGCAGGGACCTTGCTGCGAGCCTCGGGGCCGAGGATCTGTTCACGACCAATCCAGCCATCGTCGTCCATGAGGTTGAACCAGCTCTTAATGATGTCGAGTGTGGTGTCGACATCCCAGTCAATGACGGGAAGCAGGTGGAAGCCCTCGTCCCAGAGGAAGCCGCGAGGAAAGAAAGGTCGAGAGGGGATGCTGGTGAAGAGCTCATTGGGACCGACCGAGTCAGGCTGGTTTCTGCTGCGCGCTTCGGCGGCTTCCTCCCAGAACCCTTCGCTGTCCTCCTCGTAGGCCTCGTCGTGCGAGCGGTCGACACGAGAATCGCCGTAGAAGTAGCCGATGCCGCCAACGAGGTTCGAAAAGAGCGACTTGGAGAATTCGGTGTAACGATCGTCGAGGAAAGGTGCCTGCGGGCTGAAGGTGTCAGCAAAGCGGGAGGCGAAGCCGGAGCCGACAGCCTTGATCTGGGCGGTGACATCGTCGGAGGTGATGGTGGCCGGGGCCGAGGCAGACGAGAAGATCACGTCGAACTCGAAGGCACCGCTGAAGACCTTTTGGACCATGTGCATGTTGCCGGCGCCCGGGGCGTGCTGGATGGTGTAGATCTGGGCGGGCGGCGGCGGGTTCTCGTCGCCGTACTTGGAGACCAGGGCGTCAATCTGCGTCTTCATGTGGGTGAAGAGCACGGCCTTGAGCTGCCACAGAGCATCATCGGGCACGTTGGCGCTGTGCACGAGGGTTGTGTCCAGCGGCTTCTCGTCGTAGCTGGGGTGGTCGAAGTGCGGGTGGTCGCCGGCACCGGCGGTGACACGCAGCTCGAAGTCGCCCAGGTCGGGCGTCTGGCCATTGAAGACGACATCGCCGGCGATGCCCAGGGCGTCGCGGTCGGGCTGGTCGACAGCCAGATGGCCCAGGCCCTCGAGCGTGTGGTACCAGACGAGAGTGGTGGTCAGGTCGGCGTCGGCGTCGGCACGCGGGGTGCCCTTGATGCGCGCGGCCCAGCTACCGCCGTGGGTGCCGCCTGGGAACTTGACGAAATCGGTGGTGATGTCGACGCGGTTCACCGGGTCGTGGATGGTCTGGCGGCCGCCGCTGCGCACGTCATATTCGTCCCAGCCGTAGCCGTCGAGCTCGTGCTGCTCACATGTGTGGCGGAACGCTGGCAATGCCGTCAGCGGCTGTGCGGCTTCGGGGGGAACTGCACTCACTGTTCTGCACGCTCTGGTAGTCCTCGACGCGCGACCACAGCAGGCCGCCCATGACGCTCTTCGGGATGCGCGGCCGCACGCCAAAGTACAGGTTCGGGCGGTACGGGCCCCAGAGCAAGCTGGCATTGTTGGCGCGGTCCACGTCAGCGACCTGCGCGTGTGCGAGTGCCTGGTGCGGCAGCACCTGCAGCGTCAGGAGACACGCCAGGCCTGTCCAGCGGCTTTGGCGGGAGTTGCGGGCCATTCTCAATCGCGGTGAGGAAGGAGCTCAGAGGGTGCTCAGCAACGAGAGACGTAGCGTTCGGAGGTGCGCCGCGCCGATTGGCCGGCAGCTCGCCCTCAACCTTGCCTGGGCAGCTCACTTCTACTGATATGGCACAGTGCAGCTCACGTCTCACATGACACAATGCAGCCATGTTTGGGGAGTTCATGTCCAATTGCAGCTCACTTCTACTAGCATGGCCAAGTGCTGCCATGTCTGGAGAGTGCCGCCTGTGCCAATACATGTAGTTCGTGCTCATATATTCAGCTTGTCATCTCCCGTGAGAGCAGAGTATAGCTGTCCCAGTGCAGCTCCGTCCCAGCGTAGCATTCATACCAGCGCACCTCTCCCAGTGTGGTGTTCATACCAGTGCACTCTCCTAGTGTGGCATTCGTACCAGTGCACCTCTCCCAGCGCATATCTCGTCCTCGTGCATGATTCATCCTAGTACACGCCCGACCTGGCGCAGTCCCAGATACCTTCTCCAGCACTTTCATCCGTGGCTTGGCGACAGCGGCCGGTTAAATCCTCCCTGTCGGTTCATGTACTGTCTTGCTTCCATCTGCTTGTCCTTTCGGACTCCAAAGTTCTTGTCGTTGCCAGGCACTTTGGTATTCTTTGTGCTTTTGAATCCCGCAAACCCCATCACCTGCGCCATCTCCCACGTCTCGTCGTCCATGCCCTCGGGCCGCGCTCGCTGCTCCTCCATGACCACGTCCTTGGCATCCTCTGTGTCCGACACCTCGGCCTTGATGACTTTGGCCGGCCCTCGCGGCGCGCCGGACGCCGGACCGCGTGGTCCTGCCCCCGAACGTGGTCCTGTGGGAGGGCCGCGGTCGTTGTTGCGCCCACGGTCGCTGCGGTCGCCTCGCCCTCGGTCGCCGCGCTCTCGTTGGTTGTCACGCTCATCTCTTCGAAGCGGCGAACGTGAGCGGTAGCGCCCGCCGTCGCGCCGCCCGCCGCGTTCGCGCTCCTGCCGTGGGCTTCGTGAGCGGTTGCGCCGCTCGCCGCCTGTGTTGCTGCGCTCGTTGTCGCGGTCGCGTCCGCCTCGTGGCTCGCGCTGGCTGTCTCGATTGCGATCGTGGTCGCGTGGTCTTTCGTGATCTGACATTGTGTGGTGTTGTGCGCAGACCAGGTCGTGCGTGATGGGCGCAAGGTGATAATATGGGACCGCTAGCGCTGACTGCCATATGCGGAAGGTTTAGTGAAGCGTCCAACACGGGGCCAAGAGTCTAGCTCAGCCGCGCCGTATGGGCCCCCAGCGGAATGCAGCAGTTCGATTCCCGCCTCGTCACGATTTCTTGACGTCGTGAAGACCCATATCACCGATGCATTACAATCAAGCTTCTAGTTGGTCAATTACTGAAGTACATAATAACTTGGCCCATCTCTTTCATCTAATTGTCCGGTTACATGCGATCCACCAACCCCCAGATGCAGGTTATATAACGGACCACTCCCACTTGTTCGTGCACAGCGTTGTCGCCGTGGTGTCGACCACAAGAAACGACTTCTATGCCTCAGATCTCATCTTCCTCCTCGTCAAAGTCGTCCTCCTCACCCATATCGTAGAGGATTCTACCTCCCTCGCCAGCACCTTCGCCTTTTTGTGCGTCCAAGTAAGGCAGTACGACGCCCTCGCGAGCCTGCTTCTGCTTGTCCGTGAGACCAAGGCTAAATGTTGACTCCATCTCACTGGCAGCAGCATCCACGAGACCCGTGAGCTCTTTGTTGTTGTATCCGGGAACCTGGTCAAGCAACGTGACGAATTCTTGACGCAGGGTGCCAAACGCCATACCGGCCAGGGGCGCGTTGTAGTCTGATACACGTGCGGCCCGGAGGAAGTATGACTCGCTCTCTGGGCGTCCGGACTTGCGGCGGAACTCTGCTTCGATCACGATACCACGGGGATCGTTGGCATGCAGGCACTGCACAATACCCTCCGCACCCTGAAGCAATCCGTGGGTTGGCTCGGGAAGACTGCGTTCCTTGGCGGCTTTGGCGGCGAGAACGTGCGCGAATGACTTGCATGTGACGACTGTGGTGGCCATGTATTTGAACAGCTCGAGTGGCTGCGGTGCGTAAGCCTTGTGTGTGTCTTGATCAGGAATCGTGTCCTGGTGATAGACACCGACGAGCGTCGATGCAAACTCGCCAGCGACGAGGTTGAACAACGCGCCCATGTCGACGTTCTTGACACTGATAAGCTCGTATAGCGAGTCAACAACAACCAGACTCTCCTTTGCCTCGCTCATGGCCTCTCGAAGCTTCTGCAGAATCTCCTCACCAGTCAAGTCGCCGTATGCAGGGACACTGCGGACAGCTGGATGAAACCGCGTTGCTTCAAAAGATACCACCACAACGTTTACGTTGCGCGACAGTGCTCGTCGTACGAATTCGCCGACGAGGGGCATAGCCCGTTGGTTGAGGTCATCAAGAATAAGGGTGAAAGGTGATGCGTTGCTGCGGATGTTGAGGACTCGAGACAAGAGCTGGAGGGAGTGGCGCTGGTATTGTGCAACACTTGCTGGTCGTGCCATGGCGGCTTTGAATGGGCGAGCTTCTGGCTTGCGCTTACGGACCCCGTCGATCTGGTAGTTGGCTTTCTTGATCCAACGGTCGCAGTTTACAACACGGGTGGAAGTTCCCCTTTTGGCGACACGAGACTCTGTGCGAGCTCCGGGCAGTCTCTCTTTGCGCACTTGATGCAGCCAGTCGGGAAGAGAGCTGTCTGCTGGGATGAGATGACGGAGGAGATCGGGAGTCTGGAGAGCTTTGTCCCAGTCGATGTTAGCCATCTTTCCACCCGTATGGTAGAGAATGATGTAGAGATACTGGTTGAGAGGGATATGGGGGCAGAAGGAGTTGTAAAAAGAAAACTCTGAGATAGCGGCACGAAACTTGTGGTGGGAATACTGGCTTGGTCGAAGGTTTACGAATTCAGGACCCTGAGAGGGGGGCTGGGAACCTTGGGGGCTGGCAGGTAGGTGAAAGTGAGTATGAAACATGGCATACCTTGGTTGCTTGACGTGAAGCAGAAGCGTCGTCAATGAGTCGACAGAAAATTCAAGTTCACTGTTGCGACTCTAGATTCAGGTAATTTCATTAGCAGTGGTGTCGAACGCAACCTAATCCTGGACGGTGTCCTGTTCTATTTCTAACTTCACTGGTTTAAGAACGCTGGAAAATCGATGCAACAAATGCGAGAGGTGAATGGCTGTTGTCGTTTTGGGATGGTGCGCGTCACTAGCGCGCTAGTGTCCCGCAGTTGCTCCCCGCAAAACTGCGATCTACGAGGCAGACATCACCAGGCCGTTGCCAGGAGAAGACAAGAGAAACGCAATGCATGCTGCATCTTGCACTGAACTGTCATGACGAGTAACGCTCCTGCAACGAGCACGAAGCCAGCACGACCCAGGTCTCCCCACTTCCCTCCTCACAACGCTCCTCGTGTCTGGTTCATCACAAGAGGAGTTTCGCCCATTGCCATAGCATTAGCGAAGCAAGTGCTCGAGCATGGTGATTATGTCGTGGCAGGTGTAATCCCCACCGAGTTCGAGAAGAGTGAGAGTCAAATCGATGATTTCAAAGCCTTCCTCGAGGAAGTAAAGAGCACGGAGAGATGGCGAGAGCGTCTAAGAGTCGTTGGTTTGGACGCCAGAGTTATCGGACAGTGTCAAGCCGCTGTGGCCGAAGCTGTCGAGGCATTTGGACGTATCGATGTCTTACTTTGCGCGGCTAGTGAAGGTAATGCATGGAACTCTTACGAACGTCCTGGGCTGATGAATGTCGCCATACAGCCGTCATTGGGACTGTTGAAGAACTTGCACAAAGTAGTCGCACTATCAGCCTGGTGGACGAGATCTTCGAGATCAATTTCTTTGCCAACGTGAATATCATCAAAGCCATATTACCTGCGATGAGAGAAAGGAAGAACGGCCATATGATCGTAATCACAGGAATTAGTAAGATTTCCTGACTTCTCTGGGTAACACAACGTTGAACTTTTGTAGCTGGTCACCTCGGAACCCCTGGGCTCGGCATGTATTGCTCATCGCAATGGGCCATTGAAGGCTACTGTGATGTAAGGGAAAGCAGGACTCTGATCTTTCTTTGCTGACTTGATTCAGAGCCTGGCCTATGAAATTGCACCATTCAACGTAAAGATGTCCATCGTTCAGGCCAATATGGAAGTCAACGTGCTCACGAACCGCATCACGTCAGTTCCGCCCATGCCAGAGTATCTCTCAGAGGAAAATCCAGCACCGCTCGCTCGAGAGATCTTCTCTGGTCTGCTCGATAGACTCGATTGTATTGAAAATCCTCGCGCCGCTGAAGATGCGACATCACCTTCTTACAGTACTTCCACGATGAGTCCCGATGGTACTATGGCCGAATCTACTATAGGAGACCTACTGAACGCGGACACAATCACTTCGCTTTATGCGCCATTGCCTTCTTCAATAAAAGGTTCGCTGATTGCAGAAACGGTTCATGCGCTCACCGCTATCGGCGGACACGACAATCCTCCGGCGCGGCACATTGTCGGGTCCGAAGGCGTGACTGCAGTGAAAGAGAAGCTGATGACTACGAGTGAAGAACTCGAAGACTTTATTGAAGTCAGTAATGCTGTTGATATTGCGAAAGATTACCAATCGGCGGAGCCCTCTGCGTTCGATTGAGTGCGACCGAAAGCGCAGTCTTCTGGACACGAGGTTTACTCCAGTACAAACCATGGCCATGCAGAAAAAGTCGATTTTTTTCAGCAGTTGCGGAGCTTGCCAAGGAGTCACAGGCCGCGAGTGAGCTTGCATTTCAACACAGTCTATGTGTCGATATGCGCTCACACCTAAGCTCCTCTACCCAATGAAATGCACGACGCTCGCATCGACCGTATGTATCTTCTTGGACATTCAATAGAAAGGCCTTTTGAATGCCACTATTATGTCTCTCCGCAATCATTATGAAGATGGAGAATCTCCGACCTTTTCTGTCGGCTTCCGCTGCGATTTTTTCGCCACGCCCAAGGGAAAGCTGTGCCTTCACTGCGGCCGCGCCTCGGGAGGTCTCGGAGGCTTCTAGCGCACTGGCTACTATAAACCTGCAAATTCCGGTACAGTTTTCTCACTCCTTCTCGCTCCTTCTTCTGCTATCTTTTTTGTGTGATTCAATCCAGCATCTGAGCCATGCACGCCTCCCGCATCTTCCAAGCCGTTATCGGCCTCCTGGCTGCTACAGTACTCGCCCTTCCGCATGAGCTGATGGTGAACAACGAGTTCGTCCGCGATGTTGGCATTGCCTACAGCGACAGCAACTTCGGGGGCGTTTCAGTCTACCTCATGCAGGACAAGAAGACGTCCAAGTGCCAGACCGACATTGCGTAGGTCCTTTCAATTTGCCCCAAACTGTTGCATTTACTAAGCCCTAAACGTGGTCGCACTTTCCGCTCCGCCCAGATCTGCGTTCCCGCAGCGTGTATTCTTTACAAGGTAAGCGCCTGCTTTCACATGTTGGTCGCATTGGTTACTCATATGCCTCTCAGAGCAACGACTGCACCGCCGACGAAGCTGGCAGTGACATCTATCTTCAAGGTCCTGTTGATGTCAACACCTTTCCGGCGCTTTCCGACACGCCTTGCAACTCGTACATGTGTGGCACTGTCGAAGACATGCAATTGAAGATGGGCGGTACTGCCTCTACTTCCCAAATTCCCGGAGGTGGATACTGGAGCGTTGCTGGTCACTAAGTGGTAGGTTCGTACACTTGTGTACAGCCAAAGCTATGTTGACCTGGTTCAGGCACCGGTCGACGACAGCCTACTCCTGTCTCCACCTCGTTCTTGTGGGTACGCTACACTTCTGGACCGACAAGTAGATTAGACTGGAAGAACAGCGACAGACAGACATCATAGGCCATGGTTGGAAGGCCACAAAAGTTCATGTGTTTTGGATAGAAAAAGGTCACACTGGGGACCGCTAATCTTAATACATTACTGTTTCTCAACAAGTTCGAGGCTATTTGTTCGAAGCATCTTCGTTAACTCGTATGCATGGCTCGCGAGGATTACACATTGTGCATTACGTTCGATGGGGGACAGCATAACCGGAGATGTCTTCACATAGTGAGATCCCGATTACTACGAGGCATAATCTGACAAGAAGATCAAAGGCCATGCCGCCTGTTCGAGTTGGTATCAACGACGCGACATCACCTGCTCTTCTTGCCTTGGACACGAAATTCCTGTCGCTTGCGCCTCTCCTCCCATCGGGCCCAACCGGAGTCGACCAGATCCTCTTGAATAACCAAATCTCTGATACGAAACGCTCGCGCGAGCCAGGTGCTTAGCGCCCATTCAACCCAGCCAGCTCTGCGCAGATAGGTAGTGAAGGCAAACCATACTAGGGCGAAGAGAGCGCCGCAAGCACATCCCACTAGAACCTGCTTCTGAGTGTGGTAGCTCAGGTATATGCGGCTGACGGCGACTGCGGCTGCAGAGGCTAGGGCCAGCAGCGACAGGGCAAAGCGGCCAGCGAAGCTGAACGGGGTGTGCGTCTCAGTCGGATGAGGCACGTGGCGGAACAGCAGGAAGAGGGTCAGGGTGACGGAGAAGAAAGCCACGAACTGGGCATGGGAGGAAGGCATTCCATAGCCCTTGCCGTGCATTTCTACGTTGGTGAGCGTGGCGCCAATGAGCACGGCGGCGGCGAAAGGGCCGTATCTGGGGCCGTACCTCGCGGTCGCTCCTCCTTGAAGTGGCGCTTCAACACCCAATTGAGAGCTTCGCACGCCATCTGGCCGGCAAACATGAGGCCAATCTCCACCTCACGGTTCGACCATATCAGCGTCGCGTAGACGACGCACAGCCCCTGCGGCACGAGGGCCAGCCAGGCGCAGAGGTAGGAGACGCGGTCGGCGGGGTTCTGGCACGGTCAGCGACGCGGCCAGCGGGCAACGGGGGCACACACGTAGTGGACGTGCGTCAGCGACAGCGATGCAAGCGGGGGATTCTCCATGGCGACCGCGGTGCTCGAGGGCGTACGGGGCAGGGCACAGCGACGGCCGCGCCACGACGCTCGCCCGGCGCACGACACACCATGACGGCTGCTCCGCGCTTGGCACCGCCGACCCGCCGCAGCCCCGCCGCAGCCCCGCGGGCCGTCACATCGCGGCCCTGGTGTAGTTGCCACGCCGCTGCGATGACGCCTGCAGCTTAAGAGTCACGGCCGATGGCACGGCTTGAGGGCGCATCGGCCTCTGCTCGATAGTCGCCGCTGTCTGCGCCCTTCTACGCCCGTCCCGTCTGCGCCCGTCTGCGCCCTTGGCTACCTCCGTCATTCTCCGCCGGCCTCTGCCTCCCGTCGCCGTCCGCCACCGCCTGCCGCCCAGCGCCCCATTACTGTTCTGTCGTGCCTTGCCATGGACGACACTTCAGACGAGCGCACCGAAGAGCTCGAAACGCTGCAGTCCATCTACCCCGAGCTCGTTATCGACCCTGCGACACCGTATACCGCGGCGCTCGACCTGCTCGTGGCGCCCACCAAGCCACTGCCCGTCACGTTCACGCCCGCGCAAGACACCCTGCGCCTCGACCACCTTCCCGCCCTGCACGTCGAGCTCCACCTGCCCGCAGAGTACCCGAACAATGGACCGCCGCATATCAACATATCGACTGCCCTGCCATGGCTGCCCGCCAGCGTTGCCCAGAAGCTTGCCGACGACGCCAGATTGCTGTGGGACGAATATGGAGGTGGCATGATCCTGTTCGCCTACATCAGCTCGTTGCAGGAGCAAGCTGAGACGTGCTTTGGCATTACAGAGCTCACGCTACCGGCCTCGATGCAGTACGAGCTGCTGCACTACAGCACCCGCATGAAGCGCGAGCTATTCGATAAAGAGACATTCGATTGCGAGGTTTGTCTTGAGCCGAAGAAGGGCGAGGCTTGCTACCGTATGGAGCGCTGCAGCCACGTCTTCTGCATCCCCTGCTTGCAGGACTACTACAACAACTGCATCACCGAGGGCGCTGTCAACAATGTCAGATGCATGTCTACAGACTGTGGTGGCGGCGGGGGGAAGAAAGAGCGCTTGATATCGCCGAAAGAACTGTTGCGGATACCCATTTCTCGACAGCAAGTGGAGCGTTACGTCAATATCAGACGCAAGAAGAAAATGGAGTCGGACCCCAACATCATCTTCTGTCCAAGACAGTGGTGCCAAGGCGCAATGCGGTCGGACAAGTACCCAAGGGTGACCGATGTCAGCCAAATAGACGACTCGGGCTCCGAGGCAGAAGAGGAAGCAACTCAACCGCGAGTAGATGCTCCCGCAGGTCCAGAGAAACGCTTAGTTGGTGTCAGGGGTATGGATCGCCTGGCTGTTTGTGAAGACTGCACTCTCGCCTTTTGCGTCGTTTGCCTCTCGTCCTGGCACGGTGACTTCGTTCGATGCGAACCCCGTGACGCCAATCAACTAACCGAAGAGGATCAGGCGTCTCTGAACTTCATCATGAAGAATACGTCACCTTGCGCGTACTGTTCTGTTCCCTGTCAGAAATCATTTGGCTGTAAGTTTGCCGTCTCCACTTCTCGTCTCCCCATGGCTGACACTGCCTCAGGTAACCACATGACATGCGCGCAATGCAAAACGCATTTTTGCTATTTGTGTGGCGCCTGGCTGGATCCAGGGCGTCCGTATCAGCACTTCAATGATCCAAGCAACAAGGGTTGTTTTCAGCGACTGATGGATGGTGCTGAGGGGGATATGGCGAACGCCGACATTCAGTTCGGCGGGCGTCGGGGAGCTGAGCAGATAGCCGATTTTTGGGAAGAGGAGGCAATGCGGATACAAATGCGGATTCATGATGAAGATATAGAGTAGTACAGACTATTCCGCGATAGAAAACTAACGCATTTCTATTCGCAGTGCCGGCCCAGGGATTGATTACCCCTTCTGGGGTTTTTTAAATATACCTCAAATCTAGAAAGCTCTTCTCTCTAGGCTCTAGATACGTTTTACTCCATGGAACTATTTCGGTTCCAACGAATCTCTTCTATTCCATCTCACACCTTAACGACACGTCATAATGCTATGGTTCCGATGCCTGTAGGTCATGTAAAAAACTGGAACTACCAAAGACTGTGATCTACAACGGGGTAGCGAAAGATGGGAGTTTGTCGTGGAACCCCCGTCATAGGTCACCCACCGTTCGGAGCTAAGTGACTTGCTTGGTGGCAAAAACGCCACGAAGATTGGCGGTCGATTTGTTCAGGCACTCGATTGCTAAAACTGACGTGAATTACTTTGCTTGTTGAGGATGGAAGAGACGTAGAGAAGAAAATATCGTGCCGTTCGTTGACGCGTTGGGAATAAGAGGGAGCACTGAAGTAAACAATTGGTAAACTCGGATTGGTGCGTTCTTTAGTAGCCATCTAGCATTAAGATTTAGTTGGCATCCTCTGCCATTCCAGATTGTAGTGCGTCAATAATAGTAGAAGGTGTTTATCTGGGCACAACACATACGCTGCTTGACATCTACGAGAGGCACCTGGGCCTCCTTGCGAATTCGCTACTCGACTAAGGACTACATCGTTCACAAGACACATACCTGACATCACTTCGTCATTGTAGTATTTGATGTATGCATATCGATAGCAGCATCAATGGTGAGACTCAAGTGATTGCATGCAAGTGCTGCGTGGTCTTCTGTCGGTAGGCATATACACATGCCGATCGACGCAGATGGGCTATACAGGCCTTATCGTACAGAAACTGTGCAGTAGTATAACTAGTGCAAGTCACACCAGCACTACGACAAGCAACTCGGTCGATGCGCTTTTGGGGTTGCGACGATGCAAATAGAGGAAGTAAAGCGATAGCTGCACAGGGTAGCGCCATTTGTCATCGAGATTACATAATCTGCGCCTGCCAAGACTCGACGTTCCTGAGGTCTGAGCACACTCTTTGCTCGGCTTTTTCACTGCCTCAAAAAGGGAACGCCAATGTATTTCCTCGCTCTGATTCTCCTAGCTTATTCTGAGCTGCGTTTGTGGATGTGGTGTGGCCCGTGGGGATAGCCTTTTCTCTAGTGTGATGTTTAAGCAGCACCTCGGCTAGTTACAAATCAACGAAGATGCGCCAACAGGGGTGGCAATAATTCGCCGGTGTTGGCGCTAATCTCAGTTTCTCAAGTGATAAGGTAAGCGTCGGTTGTTGGGTTTTTGAATGATTAGTATACCACAGTAGGGTGAAAGAGAGAGAGAGAGAAAGAGAGGCAACAAAGATGGTGTATATAAGGGAATTCAGTGCAAACCAGTTTTGTATCCATCAATTCGATTCCTCACACCGATTCCTCACACCACAGCAAAGATGCCTTTCACTGAGTTCGTCATCCCAACATTGAAGACTGATCCGGAGACCGAAGCGACGTTTCTGAGCGAGCTCGCACCCTATCTCATTGAGATCCTCGACACCCATGCCAATCCTCCCAAGGCCAAAAATTTCGGAAAGATTCTCATTGAGAATGGGAAGGATGTGTCAAAGGAGTTCAGACTCAGTGTTGGACTTGGTTCGTTACTTCCTTGTTGCGCAAACTCAGAAAACACAGCATGATGCTAATTCCTCGCCAGAATGGAACGATGATTCACACTTCAACTCCTTTGTCGCATCAGACAACTTTGCGGCCTTCAAAACTAAGGTGATACCGTACTCTGTGGCCCCGCCGGTTCCATAGCTGTACAACACGGATCTCGAGCCGGGCCAGGTTTTTGGAAGTGCGTTGACGGAGGTGTGGCAGGTGAAGCTTGGGGAGGGAGATGCCAAACTAGTGGAGTCGCAGGAGGCGTGGAGAAAGTTTGTTGCTGCTGTTGCAGCTGCAGATGCCCAGAAGGAAGGCACGAAGAGCATTCACGGGCCGAGTCTGAACCTTGAGGAGAGGAGGTGGGTTGGTGTGTTGGGGTGGGACGACAACGAGGTAAGTGAAAAACATCTTTTGGTTTCGGCAGGAGTGTAAGAGCATCTTACTAACTTAGAGACTTTTAGACCCGAGAGAAGGTACTTGCGAGTGCAGCTGTGAAGGAAGCAAAGGAAGGTCTTGACGCACTAGTGTGGAATACGTTTGTTACTACATTCGCACAGTAAATCTAGACTAAGTCAAGTATTAAATTAAATATCTTGAATAACATGGATCCTAGAAACGTTCAAGAGGAGAATAGCGTAGTAGTCAGATAACAAATGTAACCGAAAGAGGATTTATCCCTAGCCTGATTTTATACTTCTATACTGATAAAATTATGTGATATTTCTATACTCTAGAACCAGCGCCTTGTCAACGCGTAATAGCTGGTATAACGTGTAGGCGGCGAAGAAAAGTAATCCATCTTGTTCCTAGAGACTCGTGGTAGGGAGACAGAATCAACAGTGCGAGAACCAGCGTCGTGACTTGTTGGAGCACTGAGAAATGCATGGTCCACGACAACATTGCAAGTGCTGCAAAAGGAACAATAACCAGACACGTAACCACAAAGCGTGTCTGAAGCCCAGTTCTCGATCGCGAAGGAACCGCATGCCATTGCATAACAGCCAAGAGGTTGAGTATACACAATCCGCGCAGAAGCGAGATGCAAACTCCACGATTGATCTCATGCGCCCAGCCTGGACACAGACTGCCGCTGAGCATGTGCACGAACGGTACGCAGCCGAGAAATTGGCGCACATAACCCAGTGTCTGCTTTGGTACTGCAAGCCACGGCATCAATTGCCGCGCCAACGCTCTATAGTGCATAACAAGCCATTCGATTCTCATACACCACGCCGCTGTTGGGCCAGTCTGGTGCGCCATCTCATAATAGCCCGTGTATGAGAGGCGATTGTCCCAGGCTACAGTGTAGCAGCGCTGGAGGGCTGTAGCGGAGGATTTGGCTGGTAAGAGTATAGAGCGGAAGCTCATGACAGCGGTTTCGATCCAGCGGCAAAGTATGCCGGTACGCGATTCGGAAACGAATGTCGGCTGGTAACTTCCATCCATGGAAAGAGGATTGTGGTAGGTTGTCACGGCGCAGGTTGTGAGCTGTGACAAACCATTCACAAGCGTAAGAATTGCTTGGCATGTTACTGAGAGCAGCCTTTCGATCAGCGACGAGAGCCGCCAGAATGGGTAGATGGCGAATACTGTACACAGGAAGATAAACGTGATAGCTCTCCAATTATAAGTCTGGTGTGTCCTTCCTCCCCATATGAAGTTGGCCAATCGAGATGAGGCTATCTCGTGATGATGCGTTGCTCCGTTAGGAACCTGTTTCTGGAACAACAGGTGGTACAGCTGCTGGAACCAGAGCCTGCCACGTTGTTGCGCGTGCTGAAGAGTGTCAAGGGGAGATATCTCAACCCCAAGTGTCCATGCCACGAGACCAGCCACGGCCACTAACAGCATTCCGTAAGTCGGCCAGTATCCCCAAGGAAGATCTTGTATCTGCTCTTTGCCAGTTTCTCCGCGACTAGATCGATGTTGGCTATAACTTTCTTGCGGGACGTTTGCAAAGCTGTTGGGTGTCGTGGCTGTATCCAGACTGCTGGGTGTCGTGGCTGCATTCAGACTGCTGGGTGTCGTGGTTGTATCCAGGCTGCTGGGCGTCTCCGCCCAAACAGGCTCCGACAAGGAAGTAGTAGGTGAAGTCTTGTTGGCGTTGGAAGCGCTGTCTGTATCTAGACTGCTGGGCGTTTCTGCTGGAATAGGCTCTGACAAGGAAGTAGTAGGTGAAGTCTTGTCGATGCTGAAAGCGCTATCTGTGCCTACTGAGTTGTTTGGGCTGACTGATGTGGAGCCGTCATCTTTGGTGGTAATATCTGTGGTTTCAGAACCTGGAGTGGCTGAAGTAAACGTCACCAAGACACTGTTGCTGCTGACGCTGTTGCTGCTGTTGCGTGAGGGTGCCCTGACGGTGGCGTTTCCTAGGCCCGAAGGATCGTATACCGTGCGCAGCTGGTGCGTTTTGGCGTTCAAGGGAGACAGGGTGAGAGGTTTGAGCCATGCTTCTCCCTGCGATGTAAGAGCACATGCACCATAGGCAGTCCATATGCCAGCAGCCCACAGCGGATGCCAGGGCCAGAGCTGGGCGGCGGCGAGGAGTGGAGTCGAGGCCCAGAGAGCGCCTTCAGAAGTGAGTGCGGGAGCTGCGTCCATTGCAGGTAGGAGGCTTGATAGGGCTGGATATGGCGCGTCTACTGTGTGCTGTGCGGGTTTGGTTTACCGGCGTCACGAAAGGTGTAGGAGAGGAGAGCGAAGTAAGAACAGAGCGTAGGAGGGTGGGAAGTTAGCTCTGAATACATATTGAGGAAGGGGGGTTGTTCACTGTGCATTGTCTATTGTGGCTGTTGAGCAAGCGAGGTGAAGGACAAAGAACAATAGCAATGCGCACGGTAGGCTGTCATTGTGGGGCCCTGCGTGCCGTGGCGATCAGGTCCCAGGGCTTGCCGCCGACCTCGTCTGCGGTGCGTGTTTGTAGGACCCAGTCGGGGCCAAAACAGGACGTGTAGTCGTCCCAGTCGGCGTGCGGGCCCAGCCAGACGATGGTGCGGACGCTGTCGGGGCCGTAGCGCGCCAGGTACTCTGTGACGAGGGCAGGGCGGCGCGGATACACGAATAGCCAGGCGGCGGCGTCTGCTGCGAGCGGCTCGAGGAAGCGTGTGCCGTGCACGAGGCGCAGGTGTGTCGCGGGCAGGTGCGTGTTGGGGCTGGGCTGCACCTCGACGCCGACGACGTTGGCGCAGTAGGGCGGCGCGTTAAGGAGGGCTTCCAGCAGGCCGAAGCCGCTGCCGATGGACAGGGCGAGGGCGCGAGGTGGGAGCAGCGAGTGCAGGTGTGCGACGAGCGGGGCGCTGAGAGCGAGACAGCAGCCGGGGTGGACGGCGGCGGTGTCGGTCAGCGTAGGCAGAGCCATGGCGGGAGGCGAGGCAGGCGGACAGAGGCCAGGCAGGAAGACGGCGGCCAGGCAGGGGGACAGAAGCCAGCCAGCGTGGGAGTGCGAGATCACGGCGTGGAGCAGCAGTGCAAGCTACATGGTGCGAGGAGGTTCTGCGCCCGAGACCACTGAGGCTCTGCACCTGAGACCACCGAAGCGCTGCAGGCAGGCCGCGAAGGGCACAGGAGGACCGGCTGCCAGCGCGGTGGGCGAGGCATGAGCACCGCTGTCGGCCAGCGTGGGCGTGAGGACGTCTGCAGCGGCCCTCCACGGCTAGCCGCCCCCGAGGAGGCTCTGCTGCTCTGATCGGCGCCCAAGACCGCGCTGCGCATCATCGTGCAGCGCTCAAGCTGCCCCGCCCCGCCAGAGCTCTGCCGCCAGTTCGCCCCGCCAAAGCTCGCCCTCGAGCTCGCCCCCACAGCTCCAGCTCCCCCAACCACCACGCGCCCAGAGCTCCAGCGCGTGTCGCTCCACCACCACCGCGCCATGGCCCGCTACAACCCTTTCTCCTTCACCCCGGGGCCCGTCAATGTCTTCGCCACGCTCGTCTACGTCGCCCTGTTCGCCGCCCTGCTGGTCGTCCATCTGCGAGTGCCCAACTACCCGTCCAGCCCGCCGCCTGGCACCAACCTCACCGAAGCTTGGGATGATCTGCAACACATCACCCGCCAGTTCCACCCCTACAACAGCCGCGCCAACGACCATGTGCGTCAGTACCTGCTGGCTCGCATCACCGACCTCGTCGCCGCCAAGAACCTGACCGCCCATGACGTTGCCGTCGTCGACGACAACCTATCCAATGCCACCTTCTCGTCCAGCAACACTACCGTCTACTTTGAGGGGACCAATCTCATCGTCGCTATCCGCGGATCCGACGACGACGAGCCGTTCTTTGATCCCAATCAGTCCGCCCTGACCTCCTCCCGCCGTCCCAACAACGGCGGCGTGCTTGTCAACGCCCATTACGACTCTGTGAGCAGCGGCTATGGCGCTACCGACGACGGCGTCGGCGTCGTTTGTGTGCTTCAGCTACTGTCCTATTTCACCGAGCGCGACAATTGGCCCAAGCGATCCATCATTCTCCTGCTGAACAATGGCGAGGAAGATTTCCTGAATGGAGCAAAAGCCTTCATGCGCCATCCCATCTCGAGGGTACCCCATACCTTCCTCAATCTCGAGGGTGCTGGCGCTGGTGGGCGAGCAACCCTGTTCCGCAGCACCGACACCGAGGTCACCAAGCACTATCGCGCATCCAAGCATCCGTTCGGCACCGTCGTCAGTGCCGATGGCTTCAAAAAGGGTCTCATTCGCAGCGAAACCGACTACAAGGTCTTCTATGGCGAACTTGGTCTCCGCGGCCTGGATGTTGCCTTCATGGAGCCCCGTGCTCGTTACCACACCGTCGAAGACTCAACACGTGAGACCTCACTCAAGTCGGTGTGGCACATGCTCTCCGCCTCTATCGCCACTGTGTCTGGCTTGGCATCTGACACCAGTGACGAGTTCAATGGCAGTGAGGATAGACGCGAAGACGCCAAAGTCGACGCTGGCACTGGGAGCGATGCAGTGTGGTTCGATCTGCTTGGCCAAACTTTTGTTGTGTTCCGCCTGCATACACTCTTTGCTCTTTGCGTCACCCTTCTTGTCGTCGCGCCGCTGACGCTTATCGGTCTCACCTTCGGTCTGAGCAAAGCTGATAAGAACTATCTCTTCGCGCGCAAGATTTACGTCCACTCGTCTGATGACGACCAGCCCATCTATCTCCATGGCTGGAAAGGCTTTTTCCGGCTACCCATTGTCTTCATCATTGCCACAGCTGCCGTCGTTGCGCTTGCATACCTTGTAGTGAGAGTAAACCCCCTCATCATCTACAGTAGTCCGTACGCTGTCTGGAGGTATGTCGTTTCCGTGTCAACTCAGCCGTCCTTGAACACTGCTAATGCATGTATAGCATGATGATCTCAACATGGATCTCGTTTGCTTGGTTCTTCTCACGTGGCGCCAGCGCAATGCGCCCGTCTGCTCTCCAACGTATCTATGGTCTGATCTGGCTTTTCGCTGGGAGCTTCATACTTCTTGCTTTCGTTACTGTTCTTGTGAACAACTATCAGCTATCCGGCGGTTACTGGGCTTTGTTCTACTTTGCAGCCGTATTTGCCGCTCTCCTTTTGTCTTATTTGGAGCTTTTCTTCGCACCCAAGAAGTCGGCTTATGCACAGACATTCGATATCATTGAAGAAGATGTTCAGCCTCCTAGTCGACCACTTACCGGAAATAGCGTGTCGCGATCTGAAGATCGCCCTCTTCCTGATGACGAAGCCACCGAGACGACTTCCCTTCTGCGCGGCGATCAGCGAAGCTTTGCCAGGACAAGGCACGATAGTAGGCGTGGATCTTCGGCCGAGGAAGACGAGCCTCGACCATTAGATCTTGGACATCCGTATCCTGGAGAACAAGAGTGGAGCGGAAAGCTACCGAGCTGGATCTGGATCGTGCAATTTCTGCTACTCGTACCTATCACTGTCATTCTAGTTGGTCAGATTGCCCTACTTCTCACATCTGCGCTCTACCAGACGCCTTCGGATGGAAACTCGTCACTCTTCATTTACCTGTCCTTCGCCGCACTTGCTACTCTGCTAATCGCGCCGGCCGGGCCATTCGCTCACCGAATCACGTACCACATCCCCACATTTTTATTCCTGGTTTGCGTGGGAACCGTCATTTACAACCTCGTGGCATTTCCCTTCAGCAGGGAACATCGCTTGAAAGTCTACTTTGTCCAACAAGTCAACCTAGAGACTGGTGTGAACACGGTATCCCTGACCGGCGTGGACGGTTACGTCCAGCAAATCATTGACCAGCTGCCAAGCGCGCGAGGACAGATAGTGAACTGCTCCACACCTGACGTGGTGACGCGCAAAGAGCTGAAGAAATGCGAGTGGGAGGGACTTCCTGCCAAAGTCGTTGCAGATGCATCCCCATTCAGCAATCGCTCGCACTCTGAGAGTTGGCTTGACTACTCGGTTGAGAAGAGCAACAAAACCGGCGCGGCCACTATTCGTGTTGTTGGGCAAAATACACGAGCATGTCGTGTTCTGTTCGATACGTCGATCCGGGATCTGTCGGTAGCCGGGGGTGTCTCAGATCCCCGCTTCAGGCGCACCAGCGAGCACGGCTCCCGCGAGGTGCGTCTGTGGCACCGAGAGTGGTCGCAACCCTGGAATGTGAGCGTTTCATGGAACGCTAAAGAGAATTCAAAGCTTTCTGGAAGGGTCGTCTGTCTTTGGTCGGACGCGAATACAGGCGACATCCCTGCCTTTGATGAGTTACAACACTATCTGCCCGTTTGGGCTGTCCCATCAAAGATTAGCGACGGACTGGTGGAAGGCTACAAGCATTTTGAGATATGAGGCCTGTTATGAGCTTTGGCATCCAGTCGCCCAGGCTGTTACCCATCCTTGTTGTTGCAAATCTTGTCTTGCTACGATATCCTGACTGCAAGCATTTCAGCACGGCGTTTCTAGTCATTTGCTTCTTCAGGCGTCATTTGGTGCTTCATGCGTGTATGTGGTGGGTTCAAATAATGCTTGCTCACATCCTGCTTCTGCCTTCGCGACCCTTTTCATCCACGGCGTTCACGGCTGCAATTTATACCGCAGAGTGTGATGTATGCAGCCTCGCGTGCAACTTAATTGCAACGATCACTACGACTTCTCATGTTTACGAGTAATGCTCAGAGTGATCTACGAACTCCAAGAAAGCACCACAGACCATCGACTTCCTATCTCCTCGATCGCAGCCGCTCCAGTCTTCGTCTGCGCCAGGACAGTTCCTCGTATCAGCGGACAGGCCGTGTTGCATACATACCCCAGATTCCGCGGGTGTCTCCTCCCTCAGGTGCTACCTTCAGCCGCCGGGTGATCACATCACAGTTGCTCTCAGTTTCTGGTAGGTTCTCGTGCAACCCCCTTCCAAATCTCGGTGTGCAATTTGGACGATCACGCAGGAAGAATATTTCTTGAAATTGGCGAGCGGGTACGCAAGTTCAGGTCTTTGTTCAACGCACTTGCAGACCGCCTCAATCAAGACTCGCGCCACCGCTTGGAACATCCCTGAATATCGCGGGAATCGGTCTTCACCGTCTTTGAGCTTGCAGCGGTCCTGCTTCTTATCCACCGATCTTTGAGACTTTGGGTTGCCGGACATCATCAAACGACGACGGCAAGCGCGCTGCGATTTGTTGCAATTGCATTGCCAGTTTCGTGGTTCAGGGGTTCAGCTCGGGTCATTGGCTGGTGGCCACGCTAGTCATGGTGAGCTACGACGTGTTCCAGGGCGTCCTGTATGGGTCAGACAACGACGCTACCGCCAATGGCGAATCACACCACCAGAACTACGCAGCATCATCGGCAATTGAAACCCTTCTGGTGCAGACACGTTCCTTTCTGGTCGAATCGCAAATTGAAGATCCGCTTAGGCGATCACGTTCCCAGTCTCAAAAGGGCGACTCCACATCTATTATAGGGTCCTACGACTCGAAAGACCGTGATGTCGTGCGACTCCAATGGTCCCTCACCGACTTGCAGACCGCAATCAAAGCCAAGGATGTGGATCTGCGCGTTGCTCGGCAAGAACTTCTTAACGCCAAAGATGCGCTTGCAAGATCAATCGCAGACCTTTCAGCCCTGCACAATGACATGAAGGCCATGAAGCAAACTCTTGGAAAGCACCACCAAGCCATCGTTTACCGGAAAGATATCGAACTCTTCGCGCTACGAAAAGGCAACGAGCAAAAGGAAAGATACATGCAAGAGAGGGACGAGCAATATAGCGAGTCGTTCAAGCAGCAACGTGTCACCTTGGAACTGAAGGAAGCCCAGCTCAGTGTACTCAAAGAAAGACTGGCAGCAATGGAGCGTCAAGCCAGCCCAAGATTCGGCAACGACGCTACCTTCGAGGACACTGGCAATGGTGATCGCGCATTGGAGGTTCGCCTTCTACGGATCAAAAAGGGCCCACCATCGCTATCGGGTCCCGAGGAGGACAAGGATGCGACTATTGAACGATTGAGACGCGAGCTTGCTGTCGCAAGTAGAACTGCCGAAGATGTCGTAAACCAACAGGCGGAACTGCAAAGAGCTTGGGACATCAGCAAAAAGATTCAAAATGCTCTCAAAGAGGAGCGGGAACGCCATGACCAGACCAAAGCATTCCTGCAGGAGGCTAGCGTGGAACTGGAGGAAACTCAATCGGGTAGAAAACGAAGCAGAAGTGACCCTTCTAATCGACTTCCCACCATCGAGGAAAACGACCAGAATGAGTTAGAGGCGATGTTTGACACCGCCCAGCAAGACAACTTGCGTCTTCACATGGAAGTCGAAACTCTTGATAAGCGACTCCGCGATGCCAATACTCGCGTTTTCCAGGCAGACCAGGAGATTGAGGCGCTGCGCGAACAATTGCGGCTGGAACACGCCATTAACGAAGACATGGGCGCTGCTCGGCCGACCGTCGTACATCGGGTTCACTTTCAGCGTTTGGAAGGGCAGCTGAACGAGAGCAGAGATGACTTGGCAAGGAAAGAGGCGGAACTGCAAAAGTTAGTGAGCATCTTGGCTGAGAAGGATCATCAGCTTGAGAAACTCCAAGCAGATATGGAAGTCGCTATGAACAACAGCGAGTCTGTACGCTCTGAAGTCGAGCAGCTAAAGCGCTCCGTAGCGGAGCTCAGCGCAGCAAAGGAGAGGCTTGTGCAAGACCGCGAGGATATTGCCTCTGGGCAACGTGTATCCTCGGCCGATTTCACCTCAGCGCGAACCAGTGGTGCGACGCTCATTAATGAACATAGCCCGCCACCACGGCTGACGTCCTCAGATGCTGCCCCACCTGTACCTGTTGCGCCTTTGCTAGGCAGTCCAATCTTGGGTGGCATACAGCCGAGAAATGCGGCACGCAGCCACCGGAGGAATCAAAGCGACTCGCAGGCCCACAACATTATCAGCGCTGCCACCGAAGCCGAGCCGCGTTACGCAAAGAGGAGGAGTGGACTTGGATTACGGGATATGATGAAGCGTATCGTCAAAAAGGACAACAGCATCGATGACATAGTGCGCAGTCCGAAGATCCACGAGTCTAAGTGGGGTGACAACCAGGGCTCATCAGATGTCAACTCTACCTCCAAACCGGTCACAGCGTCTCAACGACAACGTCCTCTATCGCTTTCGTCTCACCCGACTGTGCGTGACAAGGACGAAGAGCCAATGCCACGGCCAATCCCTCGTCCCATCTCAGGCCCGTCAGGCCTAGCAACCCGTCCGCGGACGAGCACAGCACCTACCGCCTCCATGCCCCGCCGATTTCCCAGCAGAAAAGAACTCAACGAACAACACCTGCAGCGACCACGCAGCGCAACGCAGCCCGTAATTCGAACTGAGCCAGCCGCACTACCGAAGGCTGTCCGCCCACCAAATCCAAGACGGAATTCGCAACCAAGATATTACACAAGCCCTGAGGCGATCGCCATGAACAGTAAAGAGGACTTGAGACTGCAAGATGCTAGATCACAGACTGCTGCCTCCACGAAAGGAGTGGACAAACAAGCAAAACACGACTCGGGTTTCGGTGCGATCTCAGACGGCGAGAAGAGCAAGCTCAGACGATTGAGTTGGGGCAACACAACGTAAGTCGAGCCAACGAGCTCAGTGGCAGAAGAAAAGGAAGCTAACATCCGACAGAAATAAACTGAAGCGACGGTCCATGTACTAGAGCGCAGTCAAAGTACCCAGCGTCGACTTTTGGGAGTCGAAGAGGATTTACGGGTGCAGATCACATTTCGGAAGACATTTCGGCCTTGCATGTCTCAGGCGTTCGGTTGGGAGGAGCATTATACACATATCATTACAAGCATAGACCTACATCGAATCCTGGCGAGTTCGCCAGCCTTGCCTTTACTCAATTCACCTCAGTACGCTGACCCACTGCCACTTCGTCTTTGAGGGTAGGCGCTTCCATGTTTCGGTGACGCGTAATATAAACTGACGTACTCCTGACGAGAAATCCTCATGGTCTTGCTTTGAACGTTGACACGTTTCTGCCTGTCAGTGTGGCGATAGGTCTCGTAGCGGTAGGCAAAAGAGTGTGCAGCAAGTTGGGCCAATCGATGCTGTTGAGCCGATTCCTCACTAGAACAAGGTGTGCGCTCAGTCAGAGCTCTGTAATATGTTCAATAGCACGCTACAACAAGAAGCTGGACCTTGCAAAAGAGGATGGTCAGATGTGTGCGTATGCTTGCGCTCCCAGTCCGCTTATCGTTGGTCTCTATTGATTGGCGGCCACGATTCGTTGTCGCTGATGATTGCGACATCCTCTTAAAAAGCCGATGGCGCCAAGCCGAGGGCCGATTACGCACAACTTTAGTGGCTCCCCAGCGAATCAGAAGCTGCTTAAGTACATGGCGTGGCAGACAATTCTAGCGAAGTGTCTGAAATATATAGCTCCTCGTCCTCTCCCGCTCCACCACGGTCACTGTACGAGTCGTCACTTCGACCGGCGCCATGGCTACGATTCAAGAGTCGGAAGTTGGGCCGAACATGCAAGAAACAACACCATTGTTATCGCGCACACAATCAAAAGAGGCAAAGGAGGGTTCACACGGACTCTCCGTACAGTGGCGTCTGATGCTTTGTGCCTTCCTGGTCTCACTCTCCTTTGGCATTACCCAGGTGCCACTCTTATACGTTTTCCGCGTGATGACATGCGATGCATACTACGAGGACCCGCACCACGTCCGCGATCCTGCGGCGAAAGATGTCTGCGCGAAGCATGAGATTGAGGCCAGCACAGCGCGATCTGTTGCTCTTCTCGCCGGATCGACGACCTTGTTTGGCCTGGTCAACCTCATCATTACTGGCTGGACTATCAAGCGTTTAGGCGTTAAGAAGGCACTCGTAATCCAAATATTCTGGCCTGCAGTAAGATTGCTCGTGCAGAACATTGGTGTGTCGAGAGGGTCCAGCACAGGCATCTTGATTGTGCAAGCCAGCCAAATCATCACCATTGTTGGCGGACCCAATGGCTACGTGCTCGCTCTCAACTCGTTCGTTGCAGATGTTGTAGAGCATGAGGATCGCACAGGCGCTCTGGGCCGCCTTCAAGGCTGCATGCTTTTCGGTGCGGCGGTTGGCTTTTTGATTGGAGGACTCGTCGGAGAAGCCTTTGGAGTTATAGCACCGTTCCGCATGACAGTGGTCTTGTTTCTACTCTCGTGTGTTTACGTCACGGTCTGCCTCCCTTCTACACCGCCGCACGAGGAAAAAGACAATCACACGGATCCTGCGCCAAACGGTCTTGGGCGCTTTTTTGGTCCATTAAGAATATTCACCCCTCAAAAGTGGACGCTTGTGGACGGCCGCATGAGTGTACAGTTCGGGGCACTTACACTCGGTCTTGGTGTCTTTCTGGGCATTCTGGCCACCGGCTACATACCTACGCTGCTACAAATGTATGCCACTGACGAATTCGAATTTGGCACCCGGGCCAACGGTTGGCTCATCTTCATGTACTCTTCCTTGCGAGGTTTCTTCCTGGCCTTCGTTTTCCCCCGTATCATCGCATTCGGGAGAAGGTGTATGGAACCAAAAGCTGCTTCTCCAGCCAATCTGGCGGAGACCCAACCACTACTCGGCGGACTACCATCACCGAACGAAGTCGGGCCCGTGGAAAGTGATTCAACATCGATTGCATCCCCACGACCTGAGCAGAAGCAAACATTCGCTTTTGATCTTATGTACGCTAGGTTCAGTCTTCTTCTCGACGGGGCCATGACAGGACTCGCCGTATTCGTCTCACAGGGTTATCAGCTCTTCATCGTAGCAGCGCTTCTTCCTCTCGCAGCTGGGACAGCTGCTGCATCAAAAGGGACAATCCTACAGATGCTTCCCAACAATCAGCGCGTCGATGCGTTGAGCGGAATCACCCTCGTCGAAAACATTGCAAGACTTTCTACCACTGCCGTCTTTGGTCTGGTCTTCGCTGCGCTCGCGGAAGTTGGGAAAATCCCCTTGGTCTTTGTGTGCAATGCTGCTGTGGCATTGCTCGGCTTTACAGTCCTCCTCTTATCGCGATTTCCGCCCACTGGCAGTCGGAGGGCAGAACTTGGGTAATGCTCCCGGTCAAGCTATGCGTCACCCGCCTCATAATCATGGTCATTGCCATAATCGCCGCTCGGCGGGATATGTTTCGTGTATATCAGAAGCGCAGATGTTCAGCACGTGTCTCTAAAGAATTTCAGCACAGGAGCTGAAGTATCGAGAGCTGCTGATCTTTACTTGGTGACCAGCAAAGAGTCTGGTCGGTGGAACTGATACCGAGCCAATCGAGTATGACAGTACAGACTAAGTATTGTCGCCTGGCACCACGGGTTGAATCCATCAATGTGACAGAAGCGACAAGCACGGTCAGGATGAAACCCAAGCGAAGGCTCAACGAAACCGATTGGCCATGCAACTGTGCGATCTGCGGAGGGAGGCAATATATAGATCGAAAGATTTCCATTTCGTAAGGTTTCGGGCCAATATTACATAAGATACTAATGTGCGACGTCAAGTCAAAGAGAGTGAAGAAAGTGAAAGGTCCAGCCCGCCCGCTACGAATATCCAGAAATCAGAGTCTAGAACTTGAAGCGGTCGAAAACATTGCTGCTTCTGATATCCCTCCTCTTGCTACCGCCTGGCAAAGCCGAAGTACAATCAATGAGACCTCTCTGATCTACACCAAGCATACTCATCTTCACCATTGCGTTGACAAAAGCAAGATCCCATGCGCCCTTGCTAAGCGCAAACATGTTGAATGGCAGCTTTGTGAGCGGGTGTTGAGCAACGCTCTTGTCAGAGGGCAGGGTGAAAGGTGCTTTGCCACTCTTAGTCTCGGAGAAGTACTTGTTGTCCCAAGTGCCAACGGTGCTGTCAAGTTCCTGCGGGGAGTCGGGGGCTGTGACACGCTGCTTCGCCGCGGTGTGAGCACCAAGCAGGGCTGCGAGATCGACGGGAGAGAAACCCTTGGATGCTATGTGTTGTTAGAACGAGTGGCAATGCTTTCACGCCATCCATGCTTACCAAAGAGTTTGACAAGGTCACCGCCTTGAGCGAATCCAGAGGGTAGAACACCAAGAGCATTTGCAGTACTGGAGTCCTTCCGACCGACCTTGACAGGAACTGTGGGTCCTCCAGGACACGTCTTCACGCCGTGTGCGGCGGCGAACTGTATGAGGTCGGCCATGCCAACACCAGTGTTGGCTTGTACGTTTTTTAGGTTTCCGCATAGACGCTCAAGGCCTCTATTCTCATTGTTGGAGCATTCGTTGGCAAGAATTAGAGATCCATCGCAGGCGCCGTTGAAGCAATCGTGGAAAGACGAACGGATGGCAGCGCGAGCCGCGTCCGTGCACTGGCCGTCTGCTAGGAATTGCTCAGTGAGCTGGGCAGAGATCTGAGTCCAGACAGCAGGGCACTGCTCTGACGCCTTATTGATGCCAAGGAGTCCAGCAAGAGTCCCGAAAAGCTTTCCAAGCGTACGCTTGGAGACTTCGCCAGCGTTGTGTGCTTCCTCTTTGATATTGAAGGCATTCGCGGTGCTGGAAGCTGCCAGGACAGAGATAAAGATGTTTGAGATATACATTATTTGAGGTGGATAGCGATAGTTGTCTTTGAATGAGAGTAAGAATGTAATGTGTTGAAGTACCAGAGAAGTGAACGACAACGAACTGATGATGTTGACTTAGGAGCAACAATGAACAGCTTTATATCTTCTAGCACTCATGTGTGCTTAAACAGAGTTGCCAAAATTGGAAAAACTGGCGGCCTCACAATAGCAGCGTGGATTCGCAAGCCAGGCACCATGCCAAATGTGTCAAAGATGCTGAAATAGATCTGCCAGGCTAGCATGGTGTAGCAGATGGTGAGGGTTATGGCCCAAGCTCCACGTTCTGTGGAGCACGGAGTCCCTAACGCCTGGGTTGTTCAGATGATCCCACTTACAGACACAACTGTGTCAAAACTGCATTACAACGCAATAGCGATGGCAGTCTGGGTTGGCGGTGCGCGAGAACAACATCTCGGCATCTTCATGGCTGAAGCACCACACACTTGCAGCTGCTATGATGAAATCGGCGCAGTCTGATCAAACATACATCGTAAACGTTGGCCTCAGGATGTAGTGGGTAGGTTTGTTTGGTTCTCCGACATTCCATTGGCTCCCTAAGCGGCGTGCTGGTACCTGAGCGCCACCAACTTAAAACAGAATGCTTCTAAAGAAAGCGTTGAAGATCTTGTTTCGAAATTTGTTAAGTTTGGAGGGCATGGACGCTGAGAAACAACGACTGTTACGGGCGCACGCGATTCCCTGGACCAGCGGACGCTAACAGTAAGCTGGTTGGGGTTTAGCGTATAACCGTGTGTGGACTTGACAGTGGACAGGAGATAATTCGAAGACTTGCGATAGGGCAAAGTCGCGTACATTGGTTTAGCGCAGATCAACTTCGAAAGCACGTTCGGCTCGCATCGTGGATCTGCTGAGGGCGCCACAGTTGCCTGCAGATCCCCGTCGAGGATCGATAAACGCTTTGCGCCGACAGTCCGAGAGCCTAGGCACGCCCGACTGTGAGTGACAGACTGACAAAGTTCTTCTTCCAATAAGCTGGTGGGTATTGGTCGCCGTGTCACGATGTAGATGAAGCAATAGTCTTGGTGCGGTACCGGAGTTCCGAGGGGACCCGCCCGCCGCTACTGGTAGCAGGAACTTGCCTGCCGATTGAAACGCCCATTGCTGCTGGGTGAACCTAGTGAATTCATACATCTGTGTCTTTGTATAAAAGACCAATACACCCGGTCTTTGACAGCCATGACCCTCCACTTGGAAATATTCCCACCACAACCGTTAATCGAGATTGCCGGAGAGCCAACGTCACTAAGATAAGCTCTTGTATGATCTGCCACTACAGAACTGCCAAAGGGATTGTCGCATGCGCTCTGACGTCTCTGGCTACCTAGGTATTGTGAAAGCGATGGGCCTTAAGGTCATGTCAAGCCGAAGACTAGAACGCCAGGAAATTACAAAAAAACAACAATCGCATGTGCAATAATTGATGTCTCAAACCTTTGATCACTTTCCAACTATCTTATCCATCTAATCGATGTAGGATGCTGTGCCCCGCAGGTGTCCGCGTACACCTGCCAAAAAGGGACAGGTGCTGGCCTTCGACATTACCGAATAACTAACAACCGCAGGCTATAAGACGTATATGCCACCTCTGAATTTTCTCCTTGACATCTGTTTTGAACAGACCTTCTCGCAAGCTCTCTTCTACTCCTTTTGGTTGAATTGTTGAACTCTTTGTAAGTATTCAAAATGCCGCTGTCACCAGAAATCCGGAAGTCTATCGAGGATGCTGTTGAGAAGAATTTCAAAGACGAAATTGCGTTTGTCCAAAAGATGGTTCAGTATGGCGGGCAAAGAGGGGAAGAGCATCAAGCTCTCGATGAGCTGTATCGCCAGTATATTTCCCGCGGATACCACACCGTCAAACTTGAGATGGACCACAAAGTTCTGTCTCAACACTCCAGTGCTGGTCGCATCAGCGATACACATTCCCAAGCACCGGTTGTAGTCGGCGTACATAGCCCAAGGTCCATAACGCCTGGAGGAAAGAGCTTGATTCTGAATGGTCACATCGACATTGTGCCCAATGGGCCTAGAGAATTATGGACGCATGATCCCTACTCTGGGATTATCGAAGGAGACTGGTTGTACGGTCGAGGAAGTTGCGACATGCGTGCTGGTGCGGTCGCTAACCTGTATGCTCTGGACGCTTTGCGCGCCATCGGCAAACAACCAGCGTCCAAGGTTATCATCGAATCTGTACCCGAAGAAGAATCTACTGGTAACGGTACGATGGCTACACATCTTGCTGGGTATTCTGCGGATGCAGTGCTCATTCCCGAGCCCACGAACGAAGAGCTTGTGCGTGCAAATGTTGGCGTCATTTGGTTCAAGGTCGCAGTTGCAGGTCGACCGGTACACGTACTGAAAGCTAAAGAAGGTTCCAACGCTATCGAATCAATATGGAAGATCGTGGGCGGGCTGAAGGAGCTGGAGAAAGAGATGAATGACCAGAAGAAAGGAAGGCTGTACTTCGAACACATGGCATCACCTATCAACCTGAACGTTGCCATGATACAAGGCGGAGATTGGTCCAGCTCAGTTCCAGCCTGGTGTACCATCGATTGCCGTGTAGCGCTTTTCCCAGGGGTTGCTGCGCAGGACGTTGCAGATAAGATCGAAAAGAAGATTGCCGAGATATCAGGAACAGATCCGTTCCTGCGCGACTCACCTGCGAAGGTTTCGTGGAACGGATTCTTCGCGGAAGGCTATGTGTTAGAGCCCGGCAGCGAAGCAGAGGAGACGCTCAAAACAGTACATCAGCAAGTGACGGGAGCAGAGCTGGCAAGTATGACGATGCCTGCTTATCTCGACACCCGAATATTTGCTCTGGAGCAGAAGATCCCTGCATTGTGCTATGGGCCAATTGGCGAAGCGCTGCATGGATTTGATGAGAGGGTCAGCATTAGCAGCATAAAACGAGTCACGACTACGATCGCACTATTTATCGCAGAATGGTGTGGATTGGAAGACACGCTGGGCTAAGCTTCCATCTACCTAGGTAGTGAGTCCATGACACAGCTATAGCTGATGAACATATACTCAACCTATAATTTACACCAGTAACGATACGCAATCCTAAAATGTTCTATGTTGGAGTTCAGACGGATCTCTGATAATCTGGTTCTGACGCTTTCGACTACAATGTAGCATTCACGATACCGTGACCAGGAGAATATCTGACCTTGAAATGGCAAGGATGGACGGTGTTTGGCCGTCTGTGATAGGCTTGATGGTTCTATGCTAACATTGCTGAAGTTACCCGATGGGGACTGCATCGATTTCATTTCGGCTTTAACAACATAGCCTTTGACAGCAGCGATGCAACTGCACGACATACCTTTCGTTGGAGTAGCGTCCAGTTTCATACAACTGTTATCTAGCAGTCTCCCGATTTCAGACAGCTTTAGCCGATTGAACCTTGCAGAAGCCGTATCCTCAGGGGTGCAGATGCGAACCTAACTGCTACATAGGCCTCTGTGGATGCGGACACGGACTAGGTAATATCCACGGATCTTGTTTAAGAACATATCGGATGTGCCATCTGGTGGTTTTACTGACGTCAATGTATGCTGCCATGCCATTTAATCTATTTGCGGCATGCAATATCGACACATTACCCGAGTCTTCCACAGCCAAGAATCACAACTTGAGCCTCAAAACGTCGAAAGAAAAAGCAGAAAATGTTATTGTGAACATCAAATACCATCGTCCGAGTCTCGAACTGCGACTGTAAATCAGCATGTGTCAAGGCTCTATGAACGTACTGCTTTCTAGACTGCTAGCTTTGTCTTAGGTCTGCACTCAGATCTGCAAGACACCAAGACCGTGACCAAGGCTTCCAAGTCCCACTATTGAAGTAGCAGCTGATAGGGATTCCTTTACGAAACATTGGCAGGTGCTAAGAGCATAATCTTCCTTCTCGGCGACGGAACATATATCCTAGATCCCGTTAACGACTGAGGCGTGAGTTGTGAAACTTGTCAAGTGATTGATCGTACCATAGAATGGATCTTGAGCCTCATCAAACAGCGGGTACACGGTGTGGAAATCATGTAGGCCAATATGGATATAGATGAGGTGGCTCACAGAAGGATCTGACGATGGTTGTGTCTGAGGGTATAAGTAGGACCAGCAGTTCCCCAAGGTGATCTCTCATCAGACAGGCAAAAACACTTTGAGCAGCACGCCCGACACTTGAGATGCTGTCTACACTCCTTCACGTCGTCGCCTTCGCGGCAGGTATTGCACAGGCTATTCCAAAGCCAACACCAGTGCCAAACGTAGCCACACCCGCTCGTGCGCTTACTACTCCTGTACCTCAGCCAGAAGCTCGCCAGGCGTCCACCAACCCATTCGCCGGCTACTCCTTCTACGCAAATCCATACTACTCGTCCGAGGTGCACACCCTCGCGATACCTTCGCTCCCCGCCTCGCTCAAGCCTGCAGCATCAGCTGTAGCTAAAGTTGGCTCATTCGTATGGCTTGACACACGCGCTAAGATCCCCCAAGTCCTCGAGCCCTTCTTGGCGGATATCAAGGCGAAGAACGATGCTGGTGCTAAGCTGATGGCCACTTTTGTCGTGTATAACCTGCCTGACCGCGATTGTGCTGCTCTGGCTTCAAACGGCGAATTGAAAATCGACGAGGATGGAGCCAACAAGTACAAGACTGAGTACATCGACAAGATTGCGACAATTCTTCAGAAATATCCCGGGGTGAAAATCAACCTTGCTATCGGTGAGTGTCCTCCCCCCACCGAATGTGATTTGACTCGGAATGAATGGCTGACTTTGTACAGAGCCTGACTCGCTCGCCAACATGGTGACCAATATGGGTGTTCAAAAGTGCTCTCGTGCTGCACCCTACTACAAAGACCTGACCGCCTATGCCCTTCGCAAGCTCAACTTTGCAAACGTTGATATGTATCTCGACGGTGGTCACGCTGGGTGGCTCGGGTGGGACGCTAACATCGGCCCTGCGGCCAACTTGTTTGCTGAGGTATACAAAGCCGCAGGATCTCCTCGTGGCGTTCGTGGCATTGTCACCAATGTCTCCAACTACAATGCGTACAGGATCGGTACATGTCCAGCAATCACTAGTCCCAATGCCAATTGTGACGAGGAGCGATACATCAAGGCGTTTGCCCCGCTTTTGCAGGCGCAGGGCTTCCCGGCCCGCTTCATTGTGGACGTTGGACGTTCTGGCAAGCAGCCTACCGCCCAGCAAGCCTGGGGCGATTGGTGTAATGTTCAGGGCGCTGGTTTCGGTCCCCGACCTACCACGAACACTGGCAACTCGCTCGTTGATGCTTTCGTTTGGGTCAAGCCCGGTGGTGAGGTAAGTCGATACGCTGCTCCTTCCTCACATCCAGTGAATTGACACGTTCCAGTCCGATGGCACGTCAGATACCACTGCTATCCGCTACGATGCTTCCTGCGGTCGTGCTTCGGCATTCAAACCGGCTCCCGAGGCTGGTTCGTGGTTCAACGCATACTTCGAGATGCTGCTCAGAAACGCCAACCCTGCTCTTTCTTGAGTACCTTGGGTGGACATTAGCATAGATCGGAAGCAATGCACACAGATCATGGTAACCGCTTGAATCGTGCTTCCAGGACACAATGCGACTTGCAGATAGACACAAGATATCAACCAATGAAATCATGGTGTTGCAAAATGTGCCGTGCGTGGTGGCGTTCGAGTGTGGCAGCAGTGCAACGCGGCTTGGCGGGCCGTCCGCTTGCGCCCTGATGGCGACTGATGCCATTCAATGGGCCTCGCAGACACACCTACACATTTCTCATCCCTGCTGATACTGTGACACTTCCTGAACACCCTAGGATACCCGCGGCGTGTCTTCTGACATAATCGCGCCAGCCGAGCCCTTATCGATACCTCTGCGCCTCGTCAGCGCCGCAGCTACGCCCCATGTATCCTTCACTCCGTCGATAGGCCAGCGGAGAGGGCAATGCAACCCCGAATACCCAGGAAAGAACTGTCGAAGCTGTTCACCTACGTCGCAGCCGCCTGTCTCCTCCTCACATGTTCGCCGACACAGCCCTCGCTGTTCGCAAACGCCGTCGAACCTCCGACTGTCGCCGAACAAGAGCACTTGTCCCAACCTGAGCTGCCGCTCCTTCGCGACATCGACCCCGTGGCTCTAGATGATGTCAGTCCTGGAGAGGAGCAGAGTGGCGGCTATGCGCCAGACTTCGCATACTTTGCGCGGAGTCTTCTCGGACGCCAGGCCGACGAGGTGGGCCAGCTGAAGAATAACGAGAAGTTGGAGAAAGATATTGCGCCCGAAAACACCGTCTACTTTGTGCTGCAGAAGAGTCTCTTGCACGCTCGAGGCAACGCAGAGGACTTCTCAAACGCGCTGGACGCAATGAGCTCGAAAGATAAATTGCAAGAGGAAGGCATATCCACTCACGAGGCGCTGGATTCGGAGAACGCGGGCAATGCATTGCAGACGCGGCAACAACCAACAGAAACGGTTTGGGTGTCCGCAAACACCTGCAACCAACCAATGCCGGGGAACAACGCATCTTCTACAGGAGCGCCTCAATTGATGCTGTATGTGTCAACCTCGGCCGAGAATCAAAGGCCAGGCCCAGCCTCCACCGAGAATCTTGCGACGAATTCAACCGGCATACCCTTTGATAATGGATATGTATCTTTTGAGCTCAATACCACGTCCGACGTCTATATCGGTATCTCTGCGCCGAAGTTGAACGCAAACTGGTTCGGTAGCTGGCATTTCGAAATCGCAGCAAGCACCCTCGGCTCTTATCACAGCTACAATCGAACCAATCCCTTCCTCTTTATGGTCGACACCGACAGCGAATCTACTCTGTTCATCACATATAGTCTCGCTGATTCTAGTGAGGAAAAAGACATTGCAAAATGGAACAATTCGAATCCTTTCGCCATGTACGCCTTTCCAGCAGGGCGTTCACCCGTTACAGGCATGGAGAACTCAGTCTGCGCACTCAAGCAGCAATTCAATTCGACTAACAACATCACTGTCGACACGATGATCACGACTAAATTCGGTTCCGGCTTTCCCAAAAGCCAGTTCAATGTTCACAACCTAAGTAACGCTCAAACATATAATGGATACCTCGTGGTTGAGGGCAACCAGGATACAGTGGACCTGCCTGGTGTTGGTAGGGTGCATGCAGGTGGCAAGGTTTTCCAACAATTCAACTGGACCACAAAAGCAGGTGGGTAGAGCTGACATGCCGATATCCGATCCAAGTTCCAGCTAATCCTGTGACAGATGACTCCTGCCAGGTCCTGACGGATCTCGACTTCTGCGACACCGTCGCCTATGCTGTTCCGTCGTCTCCCGAATTCAAGTACAACGACGACAAGCTAAAAGCATTGTACGATGATCAAGCGAAGGAGTATTATAAGAACTTCACGAATTCGTTGGACCAAACTGCTTGCGATGCCCCGTCAACAGCTCAGTACTCTCTTGCTCGGAACTGCACTAATTGTCGAGAGGACTATAAAGCATGGCTTTGTTCTGTCCTGATCCCGAGATGCGAGGACTGGACCGCCCAGGAAGAATGGCTTCAACCCCGGAACATCAACGCTAACTTATCGGATGGCACTATCCCCTTCGCTAGTAACATGACTGCTGAATTCAACGCGACGATGCGCGATCGGTTTGGTTACAGCAAAAGTCGTAACCCTATGATCGACACATACATCAAACCGGGGCCTTACAAAGAGATGCTCCCATGCGAGGACCTGTGTTTCGACATAGTCCGAAGCTGTCCTGCACAGCTGGAGTTTGCATGCCCCAATTACCCCGCGCGGGCTCTGCAGTACGGCACACGCGACCCAACAGGGGATGTTTTGACGTGCAGTTTTCCTGGTGCTGTCGTCAAGTTGAATGTTCAAAGCAGCGCTAGTTTCTCTAGTGTTGCATCGGGCGGCGTGACACTTGTCGCATCGAGCATCATGGCATTGATTGTCGCATCGTGGTAAGCTGTCCAGAGGCGGCAGACGGCATGGGTATGGCGCAGTATTTGATAGAGCGGGAGTCAATGCATTTCTAGGCGTTTGAAGACGTAAGCGATGTGAGACGTGTTGTAAGCATCCTAGTCACCTACATACAGTACATCGTCATGCTCGGTAGACTCATCGGAAGAACTATTTCCATCCTCATCTACCTATGAAACGTCGTGTTTGTAACGTTGCGAGGCTGCGCCATTCCGCCTCCAGTCTAACCTGCCTTCGATATGCAGGGGATCTGCTAGCTCGCTCCCTCACAGACTCTTGCAAATCCCCGCAAAGCTGTCAGGCATCCTATCGTTCTCTTGATCCTACGATGTAAATTGCCACACCTCGCCACCGCCTACGCATCGACAATCATAGTTTCGCCGGATGAGCTCTCCATTGAGCGTCCGAACCTGCAGTCCCAATTTGCGGCCGTTCGTCGGTCGTGATGGCCAACATTACTGGGCCCCGACCTCCGAGCAGCACCACCACACGCGCAGCCAACGCGCATCGCGTCCACAGTAGCTGCGATCGCTGTCGGAGTAGGAAGACCAAGGTATGAAGTAATGGTGCCGTGACTCGAGGCCAAGACATCATTGACTAGTCGTGCAGTGTATCGACCCCAGTACGTACGCCTCGACTGATTGGTGTTGTCCCTTCGTTGGTGTTGTCCCTTCGGTCGACAAACACTAACGTCTGGCAGTCCCTGGACCGTGTCGTTATTGTGCTCGCACAGGAGCTACATGTACCATTGCTACTCCGCGTAGGAGGCGGCCGTTTTATCATGTGACGGAAGAAGAGTACCAACTGTCCATGAGTATCCTGTCGCGTGTATTCCATGGCCAACAGCTTAACCTCGAATCCTTGCGCAAGATTTCGAAAGCCATCAAAGACGGATCGCTTGTGTTACCAACCTTGAATGCAGAGAACTACATTGAACCTAATCAGTCAACGCCAGAAGATGACGATGACGACGATTCCAGTGCAGATATCACACATGGGTGGTCCGTTGACGGTGACAACCTACACGAGTCATTAGGAAGTATGATGAAGGACTCCAAAAATGTCTTGCGTTACGTTGGCGCACAAAGTGACATACCTTTCAATGGAGCTGTTACGAACCTATGCAAGCCTCCGCAGAAAACAGACATCATTCCACCGGCTAAGCTTGGGGCATACCCACCGAAAGAAAACATTGCCGAGAAGCATGACATATTCTGGCTTCCACCAAAGGAAACGTGTTTTCGCTACGTTAAGAAGTATCGTGAAGAGGTACATTGCATGTATTGGCTCTATCCAGAAGCAAAACTCCTTCAACGGATCGAGGACACATACGCTTGGTATGAGACGACGCAGACACCGTCCACTATTAAGCGCGAGCACAATGACACGCCAACTCCCCATCCAAGAAAGGGCGAAGAGCCTTCAATCTCATGGATCTGTTCACTATATGCCATGTGTGCTATTGGGGCAATACCTCGGAGTACAATTGACAACTCGCCCTCACCCGGACCATACTCGCATTCGGTGGCCAGGACATCGGAGGATTACATGGCGCTAGTCAAGGATCTCAAACCCAAAGTTGAAGACAGCGCAGACATCGATAGTATACGCGCTTTAGCCATATCGGTATGTCAAATGATATTCTAGCATCACAACGCTGATATGACTAGGCTATTGCTCTTGAAAATGCACTATCAAGGACTACAGCGTATCTTTACATTGGAACTTCAATTCAGATAGCGTGGTCACTCGGACTGCATCGAAACCAACTGCCCATATCCGGATCAGAAGAAGAGCGCGAGCGAAACCGCCGCATATGGTGGACATTAACCACTCTCGACCTAGAGATTGGTCTGCGAGGAGGCAGCCCGACTTTGATCGACGAGAGAATATTAGATATCACGACCTCGTTACCTCTCGAACGCATTGGACATGAGCCGGTATGCATACATGCACTCAGATATCACTGTAAAAAGGACATGCGCTCACTGTTGACAGGTCAAACCGGAGTTCCTAGGAGTCTACACGCCACGCAAATGGCTGTCAGCATTCGTTCAACTCGGCGGCTTCAAGCGCGAGATTATCCGCGACATATACACGGAGCGACTGTCAAAATCGATATCTTTCTCAAACGTGTCCGATGTCTTGCTGCGGCTTCGCAAATGGCATGACAATCTGCCAGCACATCTCAAACTCGAGGCGTACGAGACAGCCCCAGAGTTTCACAGGCGCGCAATAATCGTGCTGCATCTGCACTACTGGAGTACCAGGATCCTCATCACGAGGCCATTTCTACTCTACCTCGTTCTGAAGCACACAGAGCTGGATCACAACAGCAAGATTGCACACGAGAAGATGGCCATGGCATCTATCGGTGCGGCACGGAAGAGTGTCGCACTTTTTCAGAACATGATTCGGGATCGTACTATCTCCAGTCTGACAACTTTTGACAGTACAACAGTCCTTCGCTGCATTACCATCTTCATGTGTGCTTTCGTGTACTACCAAACGCCCGATATTAAGCAGGATGCGAACGATTGCATGGATATTGCCAAAAGCATGGAGCAGCTTGGTTTTGCAAGAATGATTGTAGCAGAGGTACCGCTCCACCTAAAAAACCTCCACATGAGCTTACAGCCTGCGTCCGAGCATTCCCAGGAGAATCATGTGGTCGCAAGCAGGGAGCTATGGCCCACGCAGCAATTGACCTCGCTGCAAAACCAGCAGGGGTTCATGTTGGAGGTGGACGACCTCGATGCGCTCGATTCCCGTTCCTTGAACATGGCGTTTGAGATGGATGACGTCTTCCAGCTCTCACATCAATATCGGAGCTTCGATCAAGCATGGCAGTAATATCTGTAGACTAGCAAGACCGACAAGCCCTCGCGGGTGCGCAAACACGAATCGATTTAGACCCTTCAAATGGCGAACGTGTTGTGCATGCTTGAGTGTCCCCAGGAGCTCACGACCGCAATCAACATCTTCTCGTGAAAATGTGACCACGACTTCCAATGCTTCCCCCAAAGGACACTAAGCCCGGTTCGCTCTAGCCTGTCTGCCATCTTCGCATCTCGCACACCTGCTTCTTCGCTCCCAACACCCCAGCATGACTATCGATCGACTGGAAAGCTCCTACGTGCGCAATAGAAAACTACAGCCTTCACCATCCGGGCCGCCTGTACCCCCAAAACAGGACGCGAACGCGAACTCCGTCTTGCTGTCCCAACGGCGCGGTGTTCCGCCCCTGGGTCTGCCTAGGCAATTGAAACCACTCCCGCCCGTCCCAGAATCAGCCCGAAGCGGGTTCAAACCTCTGCCGCGGCCTCCGGCTAGAGTCCGCGTGCGTGCTACGGTACTCTGGGTTGTGGGATTTACTGTTTGGTTTGTGGCAATTGTGGTTATGCTACCGGTGATAATGGAGAAAGAGGCGATGATTGGGGTGAATGCATGGTTAAGAAGATGGTGGTGAGACGGCACGATCACTGCGCAAAACATTACGTCAAACGTTCCTTTGGAACACCTGGGTCATCCACAGAAAGCACCGCCCTAGATTGTAACGCTGTGTTAGAGAGGGAAAGGCAGCACGCAGTCGCATTTGCGAATTGCTCTCTCTATCTGCGAGTGGTCTACAGTTTTGACTCTGACTTCGTGGCATCCACAAGGCTCTTCCGCCCACCGAAGCCGAACAAATACGCGGCGATCTTGCGCATTTGTATCTCCTCACTGCCCTCAGTAATTCGGTACCGGCGATGATGTCTCCAGATGTGCTCGAATGGGTAGTGTCTCGAGTACCCGTTACCGCCATGGACCTGAATGGCGCGATCAGCAGCCTGCGTGCACAATCTATTTGCCCAGTAGTTGCACATGGAGACCTTGTCGCCGATCTTCTTCTCGATTTCGTTGTGTGGCATCGAATCCATCTCCAGTGCTGTCTTACGGATCAGTTGGCGCAGCATCTCGCACTGTGTTGCTAGCTCCACGAGCGGAAACTGGATGCCCTGGTTGTGACTGAGAGGAGTGCCGAAGGGGGCGCGCTCGTTCGCGTATTCGACGGATTGCTGGACACAGTATACGGCTGCCCCGAGGGAGGAGGCGGCTTGACGAATGCGGTTCTCATGGACAAAAGCTTGTGCTACCCCCAAGCCGTTGTGGATGGGACCTAGAGCTGCGCTATCGGGGACCCAGACGTCCTTAATAGAGACGGTGGCATGGTCGGTTGGCATGTTGAGTGTCCTGCATATTGTTAATAACACCCTCTATTCCGGATCCGCTGGCCGCTTACCATTCATATGACTCAGCCTTGAGTCCTGGTGTATCTTTTGGCACAATGAAACAGCTTATTCCTTTGATCTCGCCATCCTTTCCACTCGTCCTTGCGAAAATCGAGCAATGTGTTGCATGGTGCATGCCAGTCTGCCATTTCTTGTGTCCATTCAGCAACCACCCATTGACCCCGTTCCTCTTCTCTGCTACGCCTTTAGTTGACATATGCGTCGCATCACTCCCATGCCCAGGCTCCGTCAAGCCAAACGTCATTCTGAACTCGCCCCTCAGCCGCGCAGGAATAAGCTCTGCCTTTTGCTTCTCGGACCCGAAGTTCATCAGCATGATCACATCCGGGAAATTCCCCACCATGCTGTGTTCATTCTGAAGATCGTTGAATAGGCCGAGTCCCTTAGCAGCCAGATGCTCGCGAATGACAGCCATCCACAGATTGCTCCCGCGCCCGTCTTCGCTATTCTGCCCGCCATATTGCCTGGGCAGCGAAAGGCGGTAGAATCCGGCCTCGTCGGCCAGCCGCCGCGATTCTGAGAGCAAGTCCTCCCATTCTTGGCGTGGCAGACCGCCTGCGTCCCAGTCTGTGCGTGCATGCTCGCGCCTGTGGTCGAAGAAGCGGTTGTTATCATCCTTGTGTTGAAGAGGGAGAATCGTGGTCTCAATGAAGTCATCAAGGTCGGCGAGGTATTTCTTTAGGTCGTCGGGAATTGAGAAGTTCATAGGCGCCGACATTGTGGCGGTTTTGCGGTAACCGTGCAAATGCGCAGCAGTGTTCACGAGGGATGAGGAGGAGATATTTCACAATCCAGGGAGGTTACAGGTGTTTGCCAGCTCCTGTGGCAAGTCCGGTGAGAAATAATTCCAGTCGGTTCGGACATGCTGACGACTCGCCGTGTTTTGTCGAAGACAGCTACAAGTGAGGGTCGTATCTGCGGGGAAAGCACGGACACCTCGGTCGTTGTTCAGCCTTGCGAACGGCAGTTCTCGGTAACTCCTCATCGTCGGTGATTGTTTTACTATTAAGAACAGTATTGTAATGCGCTCCGACTCTGGATGCTTACCTGCAGCGTCGATACCGCTATTGTTCTTCTCCCACGCCCAAGCATGCCCAAGTGTCAACGCAAAAAGATGACACGCGAGTTGGTTCGAGTACGGACCCCTCCCTATAGTCAAGTTAAGAGGATACCTATATCCCCTAAACCACAGTAAGTACATTTGACACTTGGTTAGGTTGAAGCATCTTCATTTGAGGAAGTATGAATCGCCTGGATGTATATCTGCCATTTCCCATGTTGATGTCTCTGCAGCTTATTAATTGCTACAAGGTAGACAAATTCATGTGGAAGTCAGTCATGGGGTACACTACTCCGATGCCTCTTGCTGCCAGTGAATCTATCAGAGCTTTGTCTCTTGTCCCAACAGCGGTATTTGCAAACCATCCACAAGCCTTACGCGCGGTCCCGGAATTCCATTCACATCTTTCCTCTTGGGGAGCTCCCCTATCTTATCCCACAACAAAAGTAGCTGGATATGACCAGGAGTGATACCAATCTGATGCGAACCCCAGTGATATTGCCAGAGCGACAACTTCTCGTTGCGTCCAGGCGACTTCTTAGCATCATAGTAGCACGCAACGTCGCCGAAACACAGAAACACATGCGGAAACCCATCCTACAGACTTGTGAGCAAACGCAACGATGATTGCATATGCAAACTTACGATCGTGTACAACTGGTCGTAGATGTCCGACACGTATGTTGCATTACAGTTCCATGCGTGGTCCCCTGCGCCATACGCGCTATCCGTGTTGCGTTCCTGCGACTCATCGTTGAAGGTGCAGTTGCCCTGTTTGGTTGACAGCGTGTAAGGGAACACGTCGCTCCTCGTGAAGGTACCGCATGCTGTTTTGGTTTCTGTCGAAACGAGCTTGCCGTACTCGCTCAGACAGCCAATCCTGTCACTTGTGGGCGATGCCGTGCGCCAGTCACTCGAATTGAGGACGTAGATGTTGCCGATACCGGTGTAATCTTTCTGAGTGACACCAGCTTGTGTATTGAGTGCGAAGATGAAGAAGACGAGGACGCCGATGAGTGTTTGCATCTTTTTCTTTGAGAGTGTGAGCTAAGCACAAACAACTAGAAAACTCTCGACCGATTGGGGAATGTACGGGACTTTATGTCAGTCTCGGAAGTGTTGTGCTGTAGGCTTACAGTGGCGCCAGTACACAAGGGCGGACGCAGCCCACTGCTATCAGATTGTGTGCCTGGGATGACCCTTTCTCTTCAATCGTGTTGGCACCTTCCTTTCTGCAAATTAAATGAGATAGAGCTCAGGTAGCTTATCACACACGATCTTCTGATTGCCTCTACACCAATCACAGGTCCCAAAACAAAGGAAGAGTGGAGGCCCAACTAAGCAACCTGCCTTGTTATTGCGAAATTCATCTCTCTAAATGGCAGGCGATGCTGACCGGATGGAATGCTGGCCGCATCTGGCGAATCGGCAGACGAATGCGGGTAGCACACAGCTGCGCGTTAGGTACGCTGCGTGTCACAACAATATGGCTGAGCTGAAATAGGATGAAGATTATCTGCCGAGAAACTATAGGTAGGTTTGATATATATGCCGCGTGAAATAATTTGGGTTCGGGTTATTGTCAGTCAGCAAGAAGCAGTGGGTCCGGAGTCGGACATGAGGGGGAAGGTAAGTCTTAACGAGGCTAGCGATCCGTCTTTCGTCTGAACTTGCCATTGGTGACAGGCCGAAATATGATTTCGTTTGACGAAGTGCTACCACAGCTTTTACGCAACGATCACGCAAGGAACTCGCAGCTCAGCGTCAAATGAGTACTAGTAGATCATTGAACATGCGAGTTATCTTTGGCACTTGTGATCAGCCAAAGAGGGATATCATCAGCAACCTAGGTTGGCGCCGCTGTAACAGAAATTGGAAGTGATGTTTGGTATTTGCTTGCTAGACTTTCTGTAATTTGCTACTGAGTGAGTATCAAACGGATACTGACCTGCTTTACAAAGCCCTTACAGAATCAAAGAGTTCTGACAGGGCATTTTTGCACCTTGGTCCAATTGCTGGGACGATGCAGTCACGCGGTTATGAGTCGCATTCTATTCCTTAGCAATGCTTTCAAGAAAACTGGACTGAACACGGATGTTATACTGAGATAATCAAAATGGTTTCCGATCAGACTTGTGGAGACCATTACAGACTCAGGCGCCATATCAAAAAGGTATGTAGCCTCTAAACCCTTCTCGAGGTTTGCTATACCGGATCTTCTCGAAGTATGTACAATCTAAGATTTGTTCCATGCTTAGACAACCTCCGTCGTAGTCGGTATGAAGCTCGATCGTCGATCCTGCGCCGTTGAGCGGGAGTGATACTACACGCGATGTGTTGGAGAGCAATTGTCTTTCGACAAAATGGCCACCGACAACGGCTACGAAGGTCGGTTGAATGAGCCCCAGTAGCATTGATGAGACGAGGCAGCTCGCGCGTGATCTAGATGTCTTTGCCCACGTGAAGGCTCACGTCAGCGCGTTGAGAAGGTGGTTCTCCAGCCGTGACCTCAGAAGCCATGGCGACTTTCAGAGTCAGCGTCCAGTTGGGCAATAAAAGCTTGCGCATGCTCGAGTGTTCCTGGCGTGTTTGATTCAGCTTCTGTTCGTCGGCTGTGTTCCTGTCATTCTGTCAACACACGGCCAGCATCGCCTGGCTTCCTGGGCCTCGATGCTTGATGTCACCTTCTGACCCTTGGTGCTTGAATGTTACGTTCACAATGCGCTTTCTGCACACAAGGAGCAGTCCCTTATTTTGGCATACAATTGTAGAGCCTGTGCTCCACTCAACGGAGGAAGCTTGCAATTCAACTTGCGACACATTGATCGCTTCTTGAGAAGTCGAAGAAATTGGCCAGCGATTGTGGCAGACAGTCAACCAGCGGCTTTGCAGACGCCTGTGTACCGCTGCGCAGATTCTCGCACAGGATTGTCGAGATTCCAGCCCCAAGGGCGGACGCGTTGGTGCCATCACCTTGCGCTAGTGGTCATTTGTGTGCTGATTTGCTGTTGGTTCGATCGGCGACTGCAGCGCGCAGCGCGCAGCGCGCGACGCATCTGGGCTGTGCGGGGACTCGACCTCTCGATTCGCGTGCATGATCCGGTGCAAGTCAGGCCTCGCCCGCTCTTGGTACTGGCTGCGCAATGCAGCCTCAGGATGCGGAGAGTGCGATGGCAGATAAGAGGGGTGGGTGATCGAGAGGCGACTGATTCCAGAGAAGGAAGCTCAACACTATGGAGGCGTGCTGGGCAGCTGAAGCTGCAGCTGCAACTTCAAGCTGTGAGTTTCGAGAAGCAAAACGCGACTGCCACCTCAATGATGACAATGGGATGCGCTGCGACCTTGAAGGTCTCCTTGGGTTGAAGCATGGCGGCATTTATTGTCTCAAATGGAACACAACTGCCGTTGCCGGAATGCCCGCCCATAAAGAGCGATTCGATGCGACTGCTAGATAGCCGAGCCTGATGATTCTGGAACACGCGACGCGCGCGTTCGCACTCGGTTCGGCCCTTTCGGTCGCGTTCGGCCGGGATTTTAGCGAGAGTTCCCGGGCCATCTCCTGTCTTATCAGTCGATCGCCGAGCGTCGACCCGTCAGATCTGCGACCTTTGTGCGAGCTTCGCGGTGACATCTCGCGTCCGCAGCACCTCCGTCCGCGCGCCCGCCATTGACGCCTCTCCCACGCATCCGGGTGTCTAGAATGCTCGGCCACGACCCCACCTGCCTCTATAGTCGCGACAGAGCCGCTGAGCATCCTGGCGACGGCTGGCCGATCGTGTCAGCATGCGTTCCCCAGATTGACGTGCGTTTCTGCTGTTCACCTTTGGGAGCGTGCACGCCGTCGAAGCCGCACAGTCAAAGATCAGACGTCATCTCGAAGGTAGCTGGAGCTTTGAGTCTGTTGCCCCGTAGTAGTAGGTCACGTCGGGATACATTCGGAACATGAGTTCAGAGTTCCAGGATGTAGCTTTTGCCTTTTAGGTTACGTACCGTGCCATGCATTGTCATTGGCCTTGCGGTAGTAGCTGGCAGCCTAAGAGCTAGCGCTATTGACGTATCAGCGGAGCATTTGTATGGATCAAAAGGGTTAGGGCGTGGGAAAGCTCCCCTGGCATGTACTCGTACGCATTGGCGCCATTCGTTGCGACCCCGCACCGACTGCGGTGCGAAGCAATTCCCAAGATGACCGTGTTGTCCGCAGAGGCAGGGACCACTTGCTGCGAGGCACGATTGCTTCACCAAGTGGGGAGTGTTTTCCATGGCTGAGCGGCGAACGGCCCAGGATTTCCACACTTCTCGTGCTGCAAGCAGCACGGGTGGGTACCCTCAGGTATATATAAACCCCTCACAACCCCTCAATTGCACTCACCACCAAACATTCCAATTACATCTTAAACAGGTTCGACGTCACTTCGGACCACATTCGGTATTGAATCCCTGAACCCCCTCTTTTACTCGGATCAGGACGACAGGCTGACAGATCCTGTGTCAGATTCACGTACCGAAGTACCGTTTCTCCGGTCGTGTCTATAAATCTCTCTACGGAGCCTCAATTACTCTCACAACAACTCATTCACAATGGTATTTCTCCGCTCAGCCTCCCGCCTTGCGCGCCCCGCGTCCTCCCTCCTCACAGCTCGTGCTGGACCACGGTTGACATCGGGCGCCGCCTCCCTACGACAACCGAATCAGTTCAGAACGCTAACCGCGACCGCTTCACAACAGGGCAAGGTTCTTCTCGTTCTCTATGATGTAAGTTGTACCACCACTAATGGCTCAGACTTGACGGCTAACAACGTCATAGGGCGGTGTCCACGCTGAGCAGGAGCCCCGTCTTCTCGGTACCACCGAGAACGAGCTCGGTCTGAGGAAATGGATTGAGGAGCAGGGCCACGAGCTCGTCACTACATCCAACAAGGAGGGCGAGAACTCGGAGTTCGACAAGCACCTCGTTGATGCTGAGATTATCATCACCACACCGTACGTCGGAGCTCATTACCCCGCATTGCCGCTAGACCGCCCCGCTTCCACGCGTGAGCTTGTCACCTTGGCGTGCGGCAGCATAGAGCAACAGGGCTGACAAGATTGACAGATTCCACCCCGGTTACCTCACAGCAGAGCGTCTTGCTAAGGCTAAGAACCTGAAGCTTGCGGTCACTGCCGGTATTGGGTCCGACCACGTCGACCTCGATGCTGCCAACAAGACCAACGGCGGCATCACCGTCGCTGAGGTTACTGGCTCCAACGTCGTCTCGGTTGCTGAGCACGTCGTCATGACCATCCTCACACTCGTCCGCAACTTCGTCCCCGCCCACGAGCAGATTGCGCGTGGTGACTGGAACGTTGCTGAGGTGGCAAAGAACGAGTACGATCTCGAGAACAAGGTGGTCGGTACTGTCGCTGTTGGCCGTATCGGCGAGCGTGTCCTCCGCCGCCTCAAGCCCTTCGACTGCAAGGAGCTCCTCTACTTCGACTACCAGCCCCTGCGCCCTGAGGTCGAGAAGGAGATTGGTGCCCGTCGCGTCGAGAACCTCGAGGAGATGCTCGCACAGTGCGATGTGGTCACAATCAACTGCCCTCTCCACGAGAAGACACGCGGTCTGTTCAACAAGGATCTCATTTCCAAGATGAAGAAGGGCTCATGGCTCATCAACACAGCCCGCGGTGCGATTGTTGTCAAGGAGGACGTTGCCGATGCGCTCAAGAGCGGCCACCTCCGCGGATACGGTGGTGATGTCTGGTTCCCGCAGCCCGCGCCCAAGGACCACCCTCTGCGTTACGCGCAGAACCCCTGGGGCGGAGGCAACGCCATGGTTCCTCACATGTCCGGTACGTCGATCGACGCCCAGGAGCGCTACGCCGCCGGCACCAAGGCCATCCTCGACTCGTACTGGTCTGGTCGCCACGATTACCGTCCGGAGGACCTTATTGTACACAAGGGTGAATACGCTACTAAGGCGTACGGTCAGCGCAGCAATGCTGAGCGCACGACTGCCCCGAAATAGGCGATTGCTGTTGGCATGTTGAAACGAATTTTCTTTTCGGAGCGACGAGGTCATGGGTACTCTGAGCTTTGTACAAATCCAATCCATTGAACTTACTTGAACCTGACATGTACTTGACGTGAACGTGAGATACTATACTCTTCGGTGATGTGCTCGTACATGACGCGACTTGATCCGTGCCACACCCAGCCACATCCGAGTTGCGTCTTGGCAGATTTGAAGGATTCAAGTCTTCTTTCGCACAGCCTATAGGCCTTCAGATTATGATTGAATGCCTCCACTTAGCTGTGGGTCGTACTGTTGTAGCTGCAAGTTCTGTGCTGAAGCTGGTCAGCTTGAGGGCCGGTTGTCCGCCGGTTGTCCTGGAAGGTGAGAGCCATGAAGTTGATTCTTGGCTACGTGATGATCAAAGACAGCTAATCGATACAAGTCCGAGCACATGCGTTCCAAAGCAACGACAACAAGGAAGTCAAGAAATATGGGCTGTGGGTACAATCTATGGGTATCAGACAAGGCCCTAGGCAGGCGGGCCAAATAGGTACAGGGAAGTAGAGTAGCTAGCTCAGCGACGACAGGCTCGACCTCGAGTCGTCTCCGTGCTCGTCGTCGCTGTCGTCCTTGAAGCCCTGCTCCAGCTCGCGCCCCAGCCGCCGCTCCTCCTGGACCATGCTGCGGCGCTGGTCCAGGGCCTCGCGGCGCTGGGCGTCGACGGGGTCGAAGCCGACCATGCCCTCGCCCTCCTCGTCGTCGAAGTCGGACGAGTCGTCGTCGTGCAGGTTGACGGCGGGGCGGCGGGTCCAGGTCGAGGGCATGAACAGGGTGTAGAGGGCGTCGGACAGCTTGGTGCGCCACGAGGAGGCGTGGTCGGCCATGGCGGTGGGCACGGGCAGGTACTGCGAGTAGCGCGAGCGGTGGCGGCGCACAAACGGCAGCACGCAGAGGGTGGCGGCGAGGTAGAGCACGAGGGCGATGACGAGCGGCAGCAGCAGGCCCTGGGCGAGTTAGCGGGCGCGGGCCGGCGCAAGGGGCACTTGCCCGCAGGACGTGGGCGACGGCGGCCATGGGCGCGGCGGCGCGGAGAGAGCAGCGAGGGGCAGGCGGGCGGGCAACGAGGAGCGTGTCGGGCTGGCAGGCTGGGTCGCGTATGTCTTATGCGGCACCAGTACTGGCGCGCTGACGCTGACGCTGAGGCGGTGCACCGGGCGGGTGCGCCGGGCTGGTGCGGTCACTGCGGCGGGTGCAGGTGCCGCGGCCAGGGGCTGTCTCAGGAGAAGACGGCCAAGCCAAGGCGCGACGCACCCCACGCCTCGCGGTGGAGCAGGCTTCTGCACGCTCCGTGTGTTCGTGTGTCCAGCGCCCATCACCCAGCACCCAGCACCCTCGCCTGCACGCCGGCCGCCCGACGCCCGCCTGCCGCTGTCCTCCCTCTGCCCGTCCGCCGCGCCGATGCCGCGCCTGCGCCCGCTGCTGAGCTAAGCACTGCTCCCGCGCCTGCTCCTGCACCCGCCCGCCTCGAGCCCCCGAGCCTCGAGCACGCGCGCCCTCGAGCCACGGCGGCACCCGTCCACGCCCACAGCCCGCCCACCGCGCCCGCCGCCGCCGCGCCATGGACAGCAAAGGCCGGCAGTCGTCGACGTCCAAGTTCTTCGGGCGCCGCCACAAGCCCAGCGACACGCGCCCGCCCGACTCGCCGCCCGGCAGCGCCCACGGCTCGCAGTCGTCGCGCCACTCGCACCAGCACTCGAGCAGCCAGGCGTCGGTCGACCGCCCCGTGTCGCTGAGCGCCGAGGGCATCTTCGCCAAGGCCGGCCCCATCAGCATCTTCGACTCGTCGGCCGCCGTTGAGCCGCACCACCTCAACAAGGGCGGCGGCGACTTCCACCAGTACCCCGTCTTCGACCCCTCGGCCATGCCGCACAGCGCCTACGACCGCGCCGCCTCGCGCACCCGCGACGGGCCGTCGCGCCCGCCGCCGCACCAGTCCGCCTCCGCCGCCTCCACCACCACCATGACCTCGCAGGCCGACGGCGACCGCGGCGTCAGCATCCAGCAGTGGGGCGCCCGCGACAGCAGCCGCCACAACCCCGCCGCCTACTACGCCCCCGAGCCCGCCCACCCCCGCGCCTCGTCCGACCAGGCCTCAGTGCACTCGAACGACTCGCGCGCCCGCGGCAGCAGCATCTACTATCCCAAGTCCACCGCCAACTCTCAGTCCACCTTTGCCTCGCTCGGGCTCGACTCGGGCAGCCTGCTCCCCATGGCTGCCTCCACCCCGCGCGACTCGCACCGCACCCTGCTGCACGCCGGCCAGGTCTCGCCCTTTGGCTCCAATGCCACCCTCGGCCAGCGCGGCTTCGACATCGAGCGCCCGCCCGACCACGTCGTCGAGAAGGAGTTCATGAACCTGATGGTCAAGCGCGGCTGGAAGAGCCTGCCCGAGCAGGCCCGCCGCCAGATGGAGGCCTACAAGATCGACAAGAAGTGGACCCTCGTCTACCAGGACAAGCTGGCCGAGCACAAGCACGATGAGAAGAAGCGCCAGACCCAGCGCAACACCGGCGTCTACGGTGGCGGCGCCAACCCCGACATCCTGATCCGCGCCGAGGAGGAGGGCTCGCCCGAGTGGTATGTCAAGAAGGTCATGGACAACTCCATCACCAACAAGCAGATGTCAAGTCTGGAGATCAGCCTGCGCACCCAGCCCATCGCCTGGGTGCGCGGCTTCATCGAGGCCCAGGGCCAGATTGCCCTGACCAACGTCCTGACCAAGATCAACCGCCGCAAGGGCACCGGCCCAGCGCCCCCGCCGAGCACCTTCAACCAAAAGACCGAGAACGACGTCGAGCGCGAATACGAGATTGTCAAGTGCTTGAAGGCCTTGATGAACAACAAGTATGGCGCCGATAACGCCCTGGCCCACCCGTCCATCATCCAGGCCCTCGCAGGCTCCATGATCTCCTCGCGCCTGAACACCAGAAAGCTCGTCTCCGATGTCCTGACCTTCCTGTGCCACTGGGGCGAGGGAGGCGGCCACGAAAAAGTCCTCAACGCACTCGATAACCTCAAGGCCCAGTATGGCGAAAGCGGCCGCTTCGACGCCTGGATGCGCGTTGTCGAAGTCACAGTCGATGGGCGCGGCAAGATGGGATCCATGGTCGGCGCCTCTGACGAAGTCCGCAGCGGTGGCATTGGAGTCGAGAACCTGCTGATGGAATACGCGATCGCGACGCTGTTCTTCATCAACATGATCGTCGACGCCCCGAAACGCGATCTGCAGCTCAGGATGCACATTCGAGCGCAGTTCACCGGCTGTGGTATCAAGCGCATCTTCAAGAAGATGGAGGGCTTCCAGTACGATGTCATCGACAAGCAGATCGAGCAGTACATGGCCAACGAAGCTGTCGACTACGAGGATTTCCTCGAGCGCGAGAACAGCTCCATCGTGGACAGCGTCGACGGAGGCGAGACCAAAGACCTCAACGACCCGTCCCAAATCGCCGATGCCATCAATACCAAGATCGGCGGGACTCGTGCGCAAGACTACTTCTTGTCTGCTATGCAGCATTTACTGCTCATTCGCGACACGGAGAGCGAAGATCGCAACAGAATGTTCCAGCTTGTGGATTCGATGCTGAGCTACGTGGCTATGGACCGCCGACTGCCAGACATGGACCTGAAACAAAGCCTGAACTTTACTGTTCAGTCTTTGCTGGACAAGCTGTATACTGACGGAGAGGCTCGTCAGATCCGAGACGAAGCCAGTGCTGCGCGACAAATCGCCGACTCGGCCATTGCCGAGCGTGACGAGGTCAGAGCCGAACTCGAGTTGGGCGCGGATGGCCTAGTCCAAAAGCTGCAGAAGCAGGTCGCAGAGCAACAGCGCATCATCGATCTCCGTGGCAGGCAGGTCGAGCAAATGAAGGCCGATCTTGCTGAGATGCAACGAATACGGGCACAAGAGCTACAGCGCAATGAGCTGGAAACGCGTGAGCTGTACCTCATGCTAAGAGATGCTCAAGACGTCGCTGCTGCTGCCTCTAAGAAGACTGGCAAGGATGGCCTGGGCGCTACAGATCCAGAGCAGATGCAGGGCATCATGGATCGCGAGCGCTTGATGAACAGGCTCGAGATTCAGCTCCAGCGCGCAAAGACTCAGGCTACGCTCGAAGGGAAGACTCTGCAAATGGTGCAGCCAAGCGAGAAGCTGCGTGAGCTTAGGGAGAAGATGGAGGGTGGGGTGGGCGAGATGCCAGAAGGCTACGGTGAAGGTCTGCAGCCCAACGCTTTTGGATCAGTACGAGCGAAGAGTGGCGTGCCCCGCAGGAAGCCGGTACCTGGTGTGAATGGCGACGACGAGATCATGTACGATGTCAATGACGATGATGAGGATGCCATTATTGAGACGCCGCGCCTTATCCAGATGCACAAGCCAAAGCTCAGCACGTCGACCGCCAACGCCCTCATGGGCGAGATCGCATCCACGGTGCCAAAGTTCGAAGGCGATGAAGCAGCACCGAACGGTGCTCCGGCTGGAGTAATTCCACCACCTCCACCGCCGCCGCCTGGCGCCCTTGGATTCCCCACTGGGCCCGCTGGAATACCTCCTCCACCGCCACCTCCTCCTGGTGCTCTTGGATTCCCTGCCAACATACCTCCGCCGCCACCTATGCCCGGCACTAATGCTAATATCCCTCCTCCGCCTCCACCGCCGCCTCCTGGCAAGCTCGGCTTCGGCGCACCTGGAATCCCACCACCGCCACCAATGCCTGGCGCTCCTCCGATGCCGGGCGACGGCAGCATGCCTCCTCCTCCACCGCCTCCTATGCCAGGTATGAAGCGACCTGGCTTCCTCCCCAAGGGTTTCTCCAACGCCCCAGGGTCCATGGCTATGTCAGGACCTCGCCCGAAGAAAAAGATGAAGGCGCTTCATTGGGACAAAGTCGACTCGCCAAATTCCACTGTATGGGCTACACATGGCCTTACCGCGGAAGAGAAGGAAGAGAAGTACCAAGAATTGTCGAAGAAGGGTGTGCTTGACGAAGTCGAAAAGCTCTTCTTGGCCAAGGAAATCAAGGCTATTGGCAAGAAGGGCTCGAAGAAGGAGGAGAAGAAGCAAGTCATCTCCCGCGATCTGATGCACAATTTCCAAATCAGCATGGCCAAGTTCTCGCAATTTACTGTTGACGACATAGTCCAGATGATCATCCACTGCGACAAGAAGATTCTGGATGATCTTGTGGTCATGGAGTTCCTACAGAAGAACGACTTTTGCGACGTTCCAGACAACACCGCGAAGCTCATGGCGCCATACTCCAAGGACTGGACTGTGCCTAATCCTGCGGAAACCAAGCGCGAACAAGACCCCAACGAACTTACACGGGAGGATCAGATCTACTTGTACACGGCGTTCGAACTTCATTACTACTGGAAGAGTAGGATGAGGGCGCTTGCTCTCACGCGCACGTTCGAGACCGAATACGATGAAATCTCGAACAAGCTTCTCGAGATCTCACGTGTTTCAGATAGTCTACGCAGCTCGTCCAGTCTGATCAGCGTCCTGGGTCTCATTCTGGACATTGGTAACTTCATGAACGACGCAAACAAGCAAGCCAATGGTTTCAAGCTGTCCACGCTGTCTCGTCTGGGTATGCTGAAGGACGACAAGAACGAGTCTACCTTCGCCGATGTGGTTGAACGTATTGTGCGCAATCAATACCCCGGTTGGGAGGGTTTCACCGATGAGATTGGCGGCGTTGTCGCAGCACAGAAAATCAATGTCGAGCAACTCCAGACCGACGCAAAGAAGTACATCGACAACATCAAGAACGTTCAGATGTCGCTCGACGCAGGCAACCTGTCTGACCCCAGCAAGTTCCACCCTGAAGACAAGGTTTCTATCATAGTCCAGCGCAGCATGAAGGAAGCCAGAAGAAAGGCAGAGCAGCTGCAAGTCTTGCTTGAAGACATGCAGAAGAGTTACGACGACATCATGGCATTCTACGGCGAAGACCCTACCGACGACTCGTCCCGCCGCGAGTTCTTTGCGAAGCTGGCCAACTTCGTCCAGGAGTGGAAGGTTCGTTATTCGTTCATACCAGTGCATCTGCATGCTAATCATGTTGTAGAAATCAAAGGAGAAGAATACAGGCCTTGAAGAGCAACATCGCCGCAACGAGATCTCTATGCGCCGCAAGCAGCAGCAACAAGTTGCGTCGCCCACTGCTACCTCGGATGACGGAGCTCCCAAGTCGCCTGCTAGTACCGGAGCCATGGATGATCTGCTCCAGAAACTACGTGCTGCGAAGCCCGAAGCCAGAGATCAGCGTGATCGCCGCCGACGTGCCCGCCTCAAGGACCGCCACCAGGTGCGCGTTGCGTCCGGCCAGCAGATCCCCGAGATCGGTGTCAACGTGGAGGAGGAGGGAGCTGCTGAAGGGGAGGGTGAAGGGGCCGCAGAGAAGATGAACCTGCTCAGCCCGACAAGCGAGACAAACGAATCGGAAACAAGCGTCGGTACGAGTCTTGTCAGTCCTACAACGCCAGGCGCAGATGTCGCAGATCGTGCGGCCGCCATGCTGGAAGGTTTGCAACGTCCGGACAGCGTGAACAAAGACGGTTCTCTGAGCGTACGCCGACGCCGTGAATCCGCGGATAGCGAGCGCGAGAGGAGGAGGCGGAGAAGACAGTTAGCGACGAGCAAAGCAAGCGATGATGGCGGGCTCATGAGCCCGAGCATCCCCGAGGAAAGAGAGATGGATGGCGCGAGTGATGCCGGGGGTAGCACCGCTGGCGACAGACCGGGGACGAGAGATGGGCGAGAAGATGAGCGCCCGGTTACAAGAGGCAGCGACGAGATGCCGACTACACCGACAACGGTCGTTGTACCACCCAGTCCAGAGCAGAAAGGGAGAGAGTTGCCCACGCCACCGCCTGAAGAGGCGTGAAGCGTATGCAATTTGGCATGTTGAGACAGATGTCTGCTGTTTGCGGTAGACGTTCTGAGCGTTGGGGGAATAGAAGGTGTCTGATTTCGCAAATACCCGTTCCGTTGTTGTGGGACATTTTCGATGTATACCTTTAACTTGAACGTTGGGCTAGACTATCTCAGCATTGTTGGCATTGCAGGCCAGGCGTTCAGCGGTTTGCATCGTAGCGCGCATGTGGGAAATGGTTAGGATATCTGCATCGCATACCGCATACACTAATGTTTGTTTCCGCCTGCGCTCCGCTTCTCCCATGCTTGCCGTCCGTCTTTTCCCCTTTGGGCACGGTGAGAGTCTCGCCTGACGCCTTAGCGCCACTTAGGCTACGAGCATGCTGACTACAGCCAGACATGTGTACAAACCATGATCGAAGCACTCCTTTCCTCTCCATCCAAACGCCACAATGCAGGCCTACCGCCCGCCTCGCAACGCTCCCCACCGCACCCTGACCCTCGCCCACCCCGCCCTGGGCTCCATCGAAGGCATTCTCCTGCCCGGCGACAAGGTAGTCCAGTTCCACGCCATCCCCTACGCCACAGTGCCCGCCCGCTTCCAGCACAGCATTCTTCTGCCCAGTCTGCATGGCGCGGGATCATCTTTTACGCACCCCGGGTACGCGTGTCCGCACACGTTCACCATGGACGACGTCCATAGCGGCGGCCTGTATCCGTCCGAGCCGGAGATCGAGAGTGATGAACTGAAGTGCTTGACCGTGACGCTGAGCGTGCCGCTGACGCTGCTGCTGTCGAGCCATGGGGATGGGACTGAGCAGGAGCGACGCAAGGTGCCGGTGATGGTGTACATCCACGGCGGGGCGTTCCACGTTGGCAAGGTGGATGCCGTGCATGATACGGGACCGCTTGTAGCGCAGTCTATAGACGACGAGCAGCCGGTAGTTGTTGCGAGTCTGCAGTACAGGCTCGGCGCTTTTGGGTTTCTTGCCACTCCAGACGGGGTGTGTAATCTAGGACTGCACGACCAGAGGACGGGGCTGCAGTGGATCCAGCGCTTTGTCGGTGGGTTTGGGGGGGACGAAGGGCGAGTGACGCTGTTCGGCGAGAGTGCGGGCGGCTACTCGATTTGCTACCATATGCTCAGCCCTCCGAGTCCGGCGCCGTTGTTCAGCAGGGCGGCCATCATGTCTGGTGTCGTGGGGCCGCTGATGGTTCCCGTGGCGAAGGAGGAGGCAGACACCGCTTTCCACGAGCTCTGCGAGATCCTCGAGATCAAAGAGCGCGGGCACGAGGCACTGACCGTACTCTCCGCCGTGCCAGCACAGCAACTCGTCAAAGCAGGCGATATTTGGGTGGATCGTGGCAACTTCTGGCGCCCCGTCGTCGACCCCTCGTTCTTCGCCCACGACCACATCACCTGGGACACGGTTCCCGCGCTGCTCAGCGCCTGCCCATGGGTCTCTGCGCTGCTGGTTGGCAACACCGCGTGCGAGGGGATCCCCTACCTGTCCGTCGCGCGATCCCTCACTCCTCTCACGTTCCGAGACCACATGCGCGGCGGCCTCAGCCACGAAAGCACTGCCCGCGTGCTGGAAACGTACGGCATCACGCCCGCAACAGATCCCAATCTGTTCGTGCACGCGGCGACGCGCTGGCTCGGCGACGTCATCTTCGACGCACCCATCCACGCGCTCTGCAACCATCTCGCTGTGCACGCAGACAAGAAAGTGTACAGATACCTGTTCGACATTGGAAACCCGTTCATCGGGGCGCCCCATTATAAAGTGCCGCACCATTGGGTAGACGTGTATTTCCTGTTCCGCACGCTGCAGTTCCGGTATCCGAGCGCAAAGTTGAAGCGCTTGAGTGATCAGCATAGTAAGATGTGGGTTGCCTTTGCGAATGGAGAGGCGCCGTGGGCAGAGTATCGGGGTGGAGACGATGGGAGCGGTGGCGCGGTGGTGATGGTTGCGGATGAAGTCGACGGCTGGACAGAGCAGCGTCTCAACGATGACAAGAGAGGAGTTGAGAGGAACTGGACAAGACTTGTCAGGTTGTGGGATGCGTGGGGTGAGAAGAGTGGGGAGAACTGGCTGCCGTTGCGGTTGGCGGAAGTCGTGGGACAGCAGACCAGCTAGAACGCAGTCGTGAACCAAGGGACTCCTGAAGTGTCGCTTAGTGGTGCCTCATGGGGGCTAAAGCTCCGATACAACAGCTTCATCCTTCCAGTGGCGGATGGCCAGTCCGGTGTCTCCGGTGAAGGTGCTAAAGAACGAAGTTGTACACGAAGCCGGCGGTGTGAAGACTGTGACTGTAGTCATGTTTAATGGTTTGGAATAAACAGCTCATGACCTCAAAAGTCGGCAAGACTGAGATCGCGAGGTCAGGACCCGATTTAAAAAAGCGCTGAGGTGATTGTAGATGAACAAGGCAAACGCTATTGGCCTCAAGTGATCTGGGCGTTCATGACACGACATATCAGGTATCCCTCACTCATCCTTGGTAGCGCATGTTGAAGAGTGCTTTGAGGCAAGGCTTACAGAACAGATATGTTGAAGCAGTGTCATCGGACTAGTCAATAACAGATCCAATAGAGTGTACCTTTGCGACTTGTCCTTCTGGCTTCTCTGAACTTTGCTTTCTTGTACAAGACTGTGGTGTTTAGGGCAATGATCACAACATATCTCAATAATGGCCACGGTTTCACACTTCACTAAAGATTGAAGAAAGGGTAAGGCTGAACGGTGATTGTTGCGTTTCGCGTTGTGTAATGCTTATGCGGGAGCTGAGCGAGCGAGTGGAAAATGAATCTTACGAACTGCAGCTACACTGCATCATACCCTTGTACTTGGGTACATCGCCAATGAATCTCTGCTCTTCTTCGGCACTCCAACCCCAGTCTTCAGAGAAAGGACTAAGGGTCAACTTCATGATCTGTGGTATGATCTCTCGCTCACCCTTCTTCTCGACACGATTGATCAACTCGTCGAGGATCCACGATCGGGGAACAAACTGCAAAAATTTAGTACACATCTTCAGGCAATATTAGAATATCTTACGCTGGGATTTACGGCCTTCATGGCCTCCTGTCGCCCCTTGTCATCGTCGCCCCAGTCCTCCTTGACACGACCCGACCACTTCTCAAGCCACTTAGCAATTCGAACCCGCGAATCGGCACCTTCCTTTGGCAAGTTGTCGTTACGGAAGAACATATCTGCAGAGCTCTGTCTACCTTGGTCGGAATCGAGTTTTGATAAGCTCAAGCTTGATAGTCTGCGAAACGCGTGGTGGAAGTCGAGCTCATACGCCTCAAGAAAGTCGAGTAATTCCGAGAACAATGTTTCAAAGTCGCTGTCCTGCTGGGTTTTGAGTCCGAGGCGTGCGGTCATGAGCCGCTTATACTCAGACAAGAAGACAGCCTTGTACTCCTCCCCAGCACGCTCGATGATGCCCTCTGCACGTTTGACGAGGTCGGGCGCGTTTTCCTCGCTTACACCCTTCTCGACGAATTCGGCACTATCAACATTCGAGCCGGCGCCCATCAGCTCACCGAATGCCTCTCCTAGACGGACAAGGTTCCACCAAATAATGGTGGGTTGGTTACGATAGCTGTAGCGTAGCATATGGTCGTCGTGGTTGGGCGTGTAGGCAGGGTCAAAGGTATCTAGGAAGGCGAAAGGCCCGAAGTCGATACTCAGGCCAAGAATCGAAGTGTTGTCTGTGTTAAGTACACCATTCATGAATCCGTACGCTTGCCACTTCGCGACTGTGGCAGCGTTGTTGCGAATGACGGCGCGGTAAAGACGTGTATAGCGGTTCTCCTGTTCCAGATCGGATCCCTCAATTGCATCTTTCGCGACGCCAGTCTTGACTTGAGTATGTGTGATCTTTGCCTCGCCAGCTGGCAGCTTTGAAGGTAACTTATCCCACCCTCCATAGACGTGCTCGGCAGTGTAGTCGGTCAAAGTACGAAGTGTCTCGCGGTCGCCGCGCATGCGCTGGAGGTCAAAAGTACCGAATCGAATCCAGCTCTGCGCGAATCGAGTGACAATAGCTCCTGGTTCGATTCTCTCTCGCATGATCTTCGTGCCATTGTTCAATGTAAGCGCCAGTGCTCTTGTTGATGGAATGCCAATCGCATTGAGGTATTCCGACACGACGAACTCGCGTATGGATGAACGCAAAACAGCCCTCCCATCTGCAAAGCGTGAATATGGTGTACGACCAGCACCTTTGAGCTGAACCTCGTAGCGAACGCCTGTCGACGGATTTGTAGACTCGAATAACGAGATGGCACGTCCATCACCTAACTGGCCCGCCCATTGTCCAAATTGATAGCCGCCGTAGCATTGCGCCCAAGGGTAGATACCCTCATCTGGCTTCTCAGGGTCCCATGTGAGGATTTTGCTACCGGAAACCATCTGTTCAAACTCCTCTGTTTGTGCTTCCTCCTCCTTCAGACCAAGGTCTTGCAGCGCACGTTGGCTAACACCCAGGATCTCGGCATCACCCTGAGAATCCGGCCTCACATAGGTGAAGAGCGCTTCCTTAACCATACGCGGTCCAAGGGTCTGACGGGGCGCATCGTGCGAACTTTTCGGTGTTGGAAAGGCGGCGTCTGGAGGTAAGTTCTGTGTGAATACGTTCGACTTAGGCAGCGACTGTAGTGTATGTTCGCCCTGGGGACGAGGACCATTTAGGTGCGCCATAACTTGGCCAAGGCGATTTGTTGTGTAAAAGTATCTTACTGCGGAGGTTGTTGTGCCGGACGTTAGGGGCTTCGAGATCCCCGAGAGGCGAAGCATGAACTGTCGAAGTATGCAGGTGGATGACAGTCGGTGGAAGGGAGCGGGAAGGAGGGGAAGGCGAGGGATGCCATCTCATCGAGTATCTGTCAGAGTGATGTGCCTGGACCATCACGGAGTGGCGTCATACCGCGGCGAGTTTAGTGTCTGCTTATCGATAGGGTAGCTACAACTGACTCGCGTAAACAACATCTGCCCTGTGAGATCATCGGCCAATCACGACACATTCACCTGCTGAAATTCTCAGGATGAACGGCCAGCACATACCTGGCTTTTATTTTGACAAAGAGAAGGGGAAATACTTCAAGATACAAAGCCAGTCCCAAGCAAGAGGCTTGAACCTTAAGTATTCGACGTCGAACTTGGTCAAGGAGAGGAGAAAAGAGAACATCCAGAAAGCCGTAACAGCAAAGTCGAAGAGAATACAAAGAGAGCGAGTCGTTCGCCGACATGCGCGGAGCTTCATCCAGACCGATCTCGACAGGGAGATAGGCTTCAAGAGGCAGTCAGTCTACATGCGAGATATTTGGCCTGAGGCATGCATGTCTGGCGTGTCTTCTTCGCCTGAACCTGTAACCAGCAGCGACGACCAAGGCGTTATCCGGTTCTTCGATAGAGATCCCGTCTCAAGGACCATCTATGCGGTCTGTGGAGAGAACGGCATTATGAGACGTCACTATCTCGGCAACGACCAAGCGGTCAACTTGCGAAATTACGAATCACGGAAGAAGCTAAAGGCGCTTGATACCAGTTCAAGATATGGCTACTACCCTTGGGATGAGATAGGCCGCACAACTTCAACCGTCTCTTCGCTCCAATATATGCCCAACTCTGGTGCTCTTGCTGTAACGACAATAGGCTCTGACCGACCGCCTATCGTCCATCTCAGCGACCCAGAGCGTGACGGACCGCACATCTATCAGAAGTTCACGCCCAAAGCCTGTGCTGCAATCTTTTGCTCTGCTGCACGACCATATTCATATTCTCCTCCTTCAAGTCATCCTAACAGTGTTGCCGCAAACGACACAGAATGCCTCGCGGTCGGCGCTCAACAATCACTCCTCTTCTTCACGCGCTCGCCATCTGGGACCTGGGACTCACTCACCATCCTCAAAGACCTGCACTCCGATATTCTCGCACTCTCCTGGCTGTCCCACACCACCCTTGCTCTCGGGTGCCGCAACGGCAAAATCCACCTCCACGACACACGCTCAGGCGGCGTCTCGCATGCCCTCACCCACCCCTACGCGATTAGCAGACTTGCGCGTGCCGATGACCCGACTCGACTGATCTGTTCAGGACTGCAAGATACGCTCTACCTATACGATCTGCGTATGCCACGACTCTCCAATGTACGCTTACAAGACGGCAAACCTAATACCAAGAATCACCACTACAACGACGCGTACTTCAAGAGCTTATACCCTGGCGACCGCGACTATAAGCGACGCAAGCAGATGAATCGCCGGGCATTCGGGAAGTGGAGTCAGCCTCTGCTGAGTTTTCCGCATACCAATCTGGATGATTTGGACCTGGATGTCGCCGTTAATGAGCGCCTGGGGCTTATTGCTGCGTGTCAGGATGTGGAGCATTGCGATAAGGCGATCAGGGTGAGCAATATGTGGACGGGGAAGACGGTAAAGGAGTTTGAAGCGCCAAGGATGGAGGGGCAAAAGCCGCAGAAGATACGTAATTTGAAGTGGATGGATGACGGAGACGAAGGCATAAGTCTGTGGTCGACCTGGGGCAGGGGCATTGCTTCATTTGCGTGGTAGAAACGACGTTCGGTAGTCCTAGAGCTCCGCGTCGAGATTTGCATAGATGTCTTTGAGTTCGGCGTCAATCCACACCCCCGACCAAATACTCGCCGACCTCAATGCCCACGCCCCTTCCTAAGCCCCTTGCAAATTCCCAGCCAAACCCTACTCTCCACCGCCCACCAGCTTCGAGTGCGTCGCTTGCGCCGCCCATACCAGTCCGTACCAGGAGTTTCAGGCTTGTCAGAGTGGCGACACTGGTATACAAATCCGCCGTCTGTGGTACGCCATCAACAAGCAACGCCCTGAAGATAGCAAACAAGCGATCCAGTGGAAACGGACTAGGCGTGAGCAAATGCCGAGGAATTCGACGATGTTTGACGCCCCCTTTACTGGTGGCAGACAAGGATGCCGCGCTGGGGGCACGGCGCTTGTTCTTGCGCTTGTCTGTATGCTTCATGAAATACGTGACGTCTGTTCGCGCGGGGTTATAGCTCGCAAGGTATGCGGCAATGAGGAGGTGGGAGGTGTAGAATGGGAGATTCTGGACAATTCCCGGGACGGCTTTGCGAGTTATGGCTTTTCCAACATCGCCATTTTTCTCTGTAGAAACGGATTTGGGGGCAATGATGCGGTCCAGCACAGCCTCCTCACCCTGGAACAGATGGCGCCTGTTGACCATGAGGCGCGAAAAGTCGCGTGTTCCAAACTCGCCCATTACAACCGGCGCGACAAACTGCGGCCATAATCGAAGAGCAGCGGCACGGAAGCTAAGCAGATCCCGCCCGGTGTGCTTGCTGAGGCTGTCGTAAACCGCACCGAGGAAGCGGTTCCACAACCAGGCGTCGTCTTCGGCGGCAAGGTCGGGGGTATAGTCTGGAAACTTGTCTGCAGAGGGCGGTGTAGTGAAGACTTTTGGTGGGCTCTTGCTTAGAATCGTGAGTAGTTGCGGGCGCGTGTAGGATGGGAATGCGATGTAAGGTATGGATGAGGCGTGTCGCAGCGCAGGTGTGATTGCAAGGGTCGTCGTGACGATGAAGGCGAGATTGGGTATCTGAAGTGATCTTGTCAGTACATTACACGCTCCGGGATTGTGTTGAGCGCACCCTTTCGCCCAATCTGCCCAGGGCTGCAATGAGTGTTCCACCGCCCTCTCTCAGCTTGTCGATGGCGTCAAGTACCAGCACAAATCTCCCTCTCCCTTCGAGCATCCTTTGGAGGTTTACACATAGTGCGCTTAGGTTCTCTGTCCGCGCATACGGCCGTCTGTCGACCGTCTCATCGTAAGCCTCTTCGACCGCATCGAGAGACGCTGCGACGATGCGTTCAAGAAGATGCCTTGCGGTTATACATTCGCGTACGTTGATTATTGCATACGGCAGCCGAGTGAGATGGAGGTATGATCGCAAGATAGACGACTTGCCGGTCGCTGTCAGGCCGTGGACGTTAGCAAATGGTGGTAAGGGAAGGTGCTCCTGTTTTGTTAGTCGTGCGATCTCCGAATTGAGGAAAAACATACGGTATACAGGGCAGCTAGATGCTGGATCTGCTGGTCACGGCATGCGAACTCGCCAACCAGCTGTGCAATGATTTCGTCTGGCAGCATGGTTGCGTGTTGGTGTTGATGGCCAAGCGTTAAACATCGCTCGTCATTGACACGCTAAGACGGCGCCAAACACGAAGGCACGTGCAGAAGTACCACACACGCGATCAACAGTGTGAAAGTGGCCGAGAACGTCAAATTCTACTCGTTGCCGATCATTCGTGTATCTATGTCTGGGTATCTCATGCCTTGTAACCCTGCTGTCCCCTGGTTGTAATCGACACAACAGGTAATCCAATGCGCCGTATAATGCTTCATACCCAATACGTTCGTGTCCCTTCCTCATGCCGTTCTAGACATGCAGCGAATCCTTAATGCCGTCGGTTTGTGACTCCAGCCCATCTTCCTTGTACTCCCAGGCCAAGAACTTCCAGTTCAGCTCGCTGGGTCGCCAGAACATGCCATGCTTCAATCCACCCGATAGAGGCGCGCTACCTTCAGCCGAATCAGATGTCATACCACCAGTGAGAGGCATACGCTTTGCGAAGATACAGCGTCGAAACCTTGAGTGCAGAATAGCCATCGAGCACATGACGCAAGGCTCATTGGTCAGGTAGATGTCGAGGTCGACGCACAGGTAGCCGCTCTGATTGATATTGTCCTTGACAAAGTGTTCTCGCTCAAGGTCGGTGAGAGGAATATCGCAGAAGAGCGAACGATCAAGGGTTGCTGGATCAGCACCCGCAGCTCGGAGCCTCTTCTTCGCGACCATGGCGATAGCACGCTGGACAGCGTGGGCCATGACGTTTCCGGTGCCTTTGTGCTGCTCGATATTGCCTGCTGGGGATCTCCAGCGGCAGTCGCCCGCAACAACTATGACCTCCGATGTACCCTTGGTCTGATCGACCACGACGACGCCAAGCGACTCTCCCAGGCACTGCTGAGAGATGCTCTGGCCTGCAGATCGAGCCAGGGTCAGCCATTTGCCTGACTGGTCTTCAATCTCCGCCTGATTGCGTGCAACGAGACTTGGATGTGGGCCGTACGGATTGGTGTTCTTGTACGAGATGGGCCAGTACTGTTCGCTCCATTGCTCAGACTGCTCGGCGGAAATGGGTGCCAGCGATGGGACGGTTACGAAGAAGACCCTCGGTGTGGTCTTGCCGTTGTCGAAGGGAGGGCATTTTCGCAGGAGAGCGAACAGGTCTGCATGCTGGATATGCTTCGTGGGACACAGGAGGAAATAGCGCACTAAATCCATGTTTTTAGTAACGTCCCCAGCAGTAGTGTCATCGTCGACCGTAAGAGTGGACGGAGGAGAAGGGGGAGAGGGCAACAATACAGGGGATGTAGATAATAATGCTGGTGCAGGATCATCCTCATCACCTCTCGGGAGCCTCGCAGGCGGATAGAACTGCTTCTGCAGATGGGCCGGCAGGTACTTGAACTGCACGACACGGCGAAGGTGCGAGATCTCAGACGTCTTGAAGTCGGGAACGGCTGCTTGCACGACACTGCACTGTTAGTATAGATCAATTGGCTGGGTCTGGAGTGAGTTGCTCACTCCTTGACAACGTTGGCATGCTTCGCGGGCACTTCGACCACATAGACGACGTGCGTCTCTAAGCTGGCGCGCACTTCGTCCTTCGTCCGCAGTGGAACGAGACGCCCGGTGAGAGGAGTTGTGCCGCTCATTGCATCGTCCGAAAGCTGCAACCGGGCTATGATATTGTGCTGGTGCGAGTGGTGATTCGCGCGAGTGCTGGCTGTGGAGGAGAAATGCTGCATGCGCGAACAAAAGTCGCAGCCTGCCTCGGTTGGTCGGTGTTGCCCCCAATGGACCACACCTTCCATCTTAGACGCGCCTGCGTTGCCCCCGCACATCAAAGCAGGCGCACAGCATGCGGCCAGCCTGTAGTCAGCAAGCCCGATGCTGGGCCAGCTCGAAGCTCGAAGCTGCGTCTGCAGCAACATGCTCTTTTCGGCGTAGCTGTGCACGGTTCCTCGCTTCGGTCGTGCACACCAGGCGGGCACAGACCGACCACCAGCAATGCTCAAGACCTACCTGCCTCGTAGCATGTGCAGGCTGAGCGGTCAAAACAAGGACGACAAATGCTATTTGCTCCAATCAGAGAAGGGGTGACACATGGCAGCTGTTGCGATAATGGTTGAATCACAAGATCGGTCCGCGCCGTGTGCCTCCAAAGCACCTCCTCCGTGTTACAATTACTGTGACCATGTCAACAACTGGGTAGCGAGGTGCAGCATTTGATGATGTTTCTGTCGACAGCATTAGTCGATAAGCGCAGAATGGAGACAAGTAGCTGTCCCATCATAGCACAAACGCACGCACGGTCGTGGATCGACACTGATGTTGGCTTCATGCAGATCAACTCGACGTCGTTGCATACATAACGTACTTGGCAAGGTACCGGTACATACAGTTGGCCCATAGTCTTCGGCCAATAGCAGCCTCATCAGACATGGTGTTGGAGTATTCACTAACGTCTACCATAGAAGTAATACGTACTGACTATATATAAGATTAATTAACTCTGGTCGTAAGCTCTGAACACGTACAGGTCAGTCGCTTTGTATTGCCGACACCCAGCACTGGGAGCTCCCCTCTACCGATCGAGTTCAGCTCGTCTCCTCGTACGCCACAGATACACAAAGCCCCTCACAACATACTCTCGGGTGCATGAACGTGTCCCCAAGAGACAAGGGTCTGCGGTTTACCAGTCGTAGGCATGGTAGTGGGTTGGCTGTGCAGTGAGTTTAGGGACCCAATTAATACGGCAGACGCATTAAGCAACTTCGAGGACCCTCACTGCAGCCAGGATACAGCCTCCACCTGTCGATCGAGTACTACATTTCCGCCCATTGTTATTTTAGCGCCTCAGAAAGGCTACAATCGCTGAAGTGAGTCGCTGTTAGGACACATCGTTCTTTCTACGCCGAGCCCAGCAATCTACTTGACTGCCAATCTATTGCCGATATCAGCCAGTAGAGTACAAGAATGGGAAGCCTTGCATTCAGTCTGACGCTGTACAATGATATCCACCAAGAAGGCAGCAGTATGACTATGCAGTATCACACTCTAGAAGCGGGGTCAGCGAGCTGAACTACAGACCGATCATGGGCAGCACGGTCGTTGAGAGGATGGGGCACACGATGGAGCAGGCAGTGACACGCTAGGTCTCTCAGACGAGCTATAAAGTCATGACCATCCTCCCGCCAGCTTTTAGGTCAACATCAAATCTTCCACACCACATAAAAGCAAACCCTTCTTCAAAGGCTACTTTCAAACTTAGCACCATGTCTGACTACTCCGGTTCCGGTGTCTACGAGCTGGTTCCCATGAATGCTCAAGATATGAGCCTGAACGTCTGGGGCGGCGCTCAATCACCTGGCACCCAAGTGAAGCTATAGTGCGTCTCGTTCTCCACTACCACACTGTGAATAATCACTCATCAGTATACTTCAGCCCACGCACCGCGAGCGCAAGGAACACCCAGTTCGCCATCGTAGCAGCCGGTGGTACACAGGGCAAAGCCGAGAAAGGCGACCGTGAGTACTTGATCATAGCCTGCAATTCAGGACTATATGTCGCTGCAAACGGTACGTCAAACTATTTCTCCACCTAGCATGTGCTGACGAAGTCATACAAGATGCTATGCAAGTTACGACGGAGCTGCGTTCGCCTCTCGATCTCAGCGTTCGCTGGAAGCTACAGCACGCTGGCAACGGAGCCTTTTAGTGAGTACATGTGCGAAATAACTTGCTTCAGTACTCATGAAAGTACAGCATCAACAACGTAGGTACCGGAAAGCAACTCAATGTCCGCGGAGGTTACAAAGAGTCTGGCACGGAGATCATCACGTACATGCTTACTGAGAATGGCAACGCGCAGTTTGTGCTCAAGGCTCTCTGAGGGAGGATAAACGCGATGGAAATGTGTCAAGCCACAGTACATGATAGTGAAGGCAAAGAATTAAAACAAAGACACTTGTTAGCTGTCGCCTTCTTCGTTCGTCTCAGAATCCACATATACTTCTTAATCGTCGTAAATCCATCACCGTGAGAACTTAGAGTAACAAAAGAGCTCCTGTATCAAAGCTCCATTCCATCAACGCGAGATCACACCCCACTCAATCTCCCATACCCTCATCTGATCAACAAAGACAGGCACACTCGGCGCGCCTACAGGCCACACAATTTGTAGCTCTATGTCCATCTCCGTTGCGTTCGTGAAGACCTGATCGGTGCTAAGGAAAGACCTGGTATCCATACCGTATTTCTGATACTGCGAGCCCTCTCTGCCAAACAGACCGCAAGGGCTTAAGCCGTAGGAAGAAGGCTTTCCTGTACCACATAGTCCTACGCGCCTTTGGATGTCGCTAGTCACGTCGTTACGATATTTCAGAGTAAGCCAGGGGACGGAGTCATCGAGTGAAACATTAACCGGGTGGCCAACCGCGAGAGACACAGTGTACCACTCGTGCGAAGAGTTGAGGTTAGCCATGCGGGTTTGCAGGATAATTGATCGTTCTTCTTCTGTGCCCGGGGACTGTGGTTTGATGGAACTGTGGAAGCTTCAATAAATTTCCGAAAACGGTAGAGAGGGAGCACTTACAGCGCAAAATCACCTTCAAGGGACTGTCTAGTGCGTGTGATCTCGAAATCGCCTGCTGTTGCGAAGAAATCCCAGCCCTCCGTGTCTTCGTCGAAGCCACTATTGCGCAGTGCATGCTGCGTTATATCGGTTGGAGGTGGACCATCAGGGCAAGACTCGGGCGTTGGACAAGTCAGGCCTAGGATGTTGGGTACACCTGTCTCTACAGCAGAAGCGGGCATCAAAGAATCATTCTCTGCTGGATTGCTTGGCCAGATCGATCTCGGAATAACGTCCTCAGAGATGTCATTACTAGACATATCATTGTCTGAAGGCCGGACAATGACCGAGTCCAGATAAAGTGGGACATCAAAGTTGCCGTTATACCACGATAGATATACAGTCAGTGTTTCAGTAGGGTCGTCTGCCTGGAACTGCATGCTCAATGTTGTATAGGTGGAGTTATTGAGACCAGTCAGAGGACAGGGACTGTAGGCAAACCCACAAATAGCCCCATAGCCGAGCAGACTGTCCGCAAGTCGAACGGTATATTTAGGGTCATAGATCGGATCCTGTGCTTCCGCAACGTGGGGGTGCCCAATGGACAGATCGATTATGTAGTTGTTTGATGGTTGCAGATTGGCAAGTGTAGTGGATACTTGAAAATGGTGAGACAATGATCTGCTATCTGGCTTCGGCGTCACCATGCTGTCTCATCTGTTAGACCCGGACGCAGATCTTGCCTTGAACACTCACAGAGCAGCACATCCCTGAAATGCATCGTCGGTGAGTCCTACTTCAAAATCTGACGAAGACAGATTGTAGGCTGAGGCAGTCCATTCAGTCAGTCCCTCCTCGAACCCTCCATTCAGGATGAACGGATTTGCAAGAGGTGTTGAGATGCAGGCAGGAGTGATCGAGCTAGCATTTGTGGCGTTGATTGCTGTAGCAACTTCCAATGCATAGCTAGGTATCGTGCACTTAGCGTTGGTCGAACGGGATTGCGAGCGTTCACTTACGCATCAAGTCTCGCTGACCCGCCACAGAACTCCGTTGAGTTACCGGCACAGCGCATATCGCAACCCTCGTCGGTCGTGATGGCATTATCGTCTAAAGCATTGCCACAAAAGCACTCTCTGCCGTATTCAAGCCCAGCGATGCTATATCCAGCAGTTTTGCAGCTCGAAGTGCATTGCGCCACTGTCATACCATCCTCGCTACTTTGGAACACAGGCAAAGCACGATCATACACATTGTCAACCAGGCAACCGATGCGTGAGGTGGATTCTGGGCCGGGATTTGTGCGTGTGAAATCGAGGACTTCTGCGTAGAATACACTCAGTCGAAAGTTAGAGCCGCATGCTTCATCGGCGGCACCTGGACATTTGAAGTTGCATTCGGAATCATCTTTGACCTCAGAACCAGCGCCAATGACAAGGCCGCAATAGCACTCCTGTCCGTACTCGATGCCTGCGTAGGGATAGCTATTGTCTTTGCAGAAATGAACGCAAGCTTCTTGGGTCATATTTCCAGTTGCTACAAACGATGGTCCGGCAAGCTTCCTTCTCTCATAGTCAGTGTAGCAGCCATGGTACGCCCATCCGGTCGGCAAGTATGCGCCCAAAGATAGAGTGGAAGTTGTAATGCTCATTCTGCCATGAGCCGCCCTGGGAAGAGTTATGGGATAGTGCTGACTCTCCCACAGATGGCAGAATTAGTACTTATCTTACCCACGATGTGCGTGTCTTGTGAGTGGTACACATCTGCCCTTGGAGAGATCGCATTCTTGCGCAACCATGATGACCCTTGCCTTGCGAACATGGCCAGTAGAAGGCTTCCCACCTATTATGCATCGAAAATTGACGCAGATCTTTTATACATAGCCAGTAAGACCAGCCTACTTGTCTCTGATGGTAATCTGGAGTATCGTGTATATTTGTCCTGCGGCTTTGATGAGACCTGAATTCCGCGCAACATGATTCAAAAATGTGAGCCAAATCAATGCATTACAAAACACCACCGAAGTCTGCAGAGACTGGTGTGCTCGATGTGCAGCAATCGAATTCCTGTCAGCGACATTGTCAAGCAGGTACATGAAATTGGGATACCTGGGAAAAAATAAAAGCTTCTCGCCGCGTCGACGCGGAGTTTTGCATTGGCATTCTGAACGCGGAGATGTGGCTTCGGCATCCCTTTTCTCGACCTCGTTCTCGCATAGATGTATTGAAGGTCCCACTTTATGAAGTTGAAGTGTTGCTCACGTCGCGCGCTCCGTACGCGCGTGGCTTGCGTGATGCGGCTGAGATGGTTGGCAAGGCTGGTCGCTTGACCATGCTGGGCCGCACTATACTAAAACAAGCCGAGCCGAGTCGTATGGTGCGCCAAGACTCGGTCCACTTTCAGCGAAGCGGCGAATCAACAGCTGAATTCGGGCCAGACTGGAGCACGACTTCGCGAGCCTCGAGCTACTTTGACAGTATCTGTCAAGTCTGAGATGAGGAGATGCTGAGGCCTGTCTAGGCGCATGGCAACGCATGTTTCTCCCACGCGACGCTGTTGGGCTGACGTGAGGCGCAAGGCTATGGCGCTGTAAGTTCGCTGGCGAGAGGAGGTCGAGATGCTGTGTACCCAGGTCTGGACAAACGATAAGCGCGCCGGGCTTGATAGAGCTTGATAACTGGCAAGAGCGTGCGTGTGGGGAGATAATTGTCTGGTGGCGCCGAATTGGGTGCTGTAACTACCTGGCATGTACCTATCGAATATGGCGTTCCGGGCCTGCGAGTGCGTAAGAATATTGACTCGCAAAGAGATGGTTCACGTCAATCAGGCTGCTTGTCTGAGTACATATACCAGTATAAACTCCCAAGTAAGACACCTCTTGTAGAAAAAAACCCACATCCTTTTCTCCCTGAGTCGAACCTTGGAACTCTTTCTAGCAGCCTTATCTTATATCCGCTATCAGGCCTCCTCACATCACTGGAGAGATGAAGCTGTTCACATACGAAGCTTGGGGTATCCCCTCTACTGGCTCCTTCGACCCATCGAACACATTCGTTACCTCCCACTTCGTCTCCCCTCTCACCCTCGCATGCATTCGCGCCACCCTCTGCGTATACAGCTTCACGACAATCATCGTATCATATAGTTGGCTCGCGAACAACACAGCAAACATTGGCCTGAAGGATGTCAATATCGGCTCGTACACGATCCAGCAAAGCGAGGCTGCTATTGGCCAGTCATTCAGCTTCTTCACCTATCTCACCTTCTGGTCCCTTGGTGTAAGCACATATTTTATACATGGCGTAGCATGGCCTAACTTATCGAACAGTTCTACTTCCTAGTTTCGAGCATGCACACGTTTGTGTTCGCGCTCAAGGAAAGCACATGGCTGCACAATTGGCCCAAGTCGCTCCAGCTGATGCATTCACTTTACTACTCATGCGTCACGAGCATGCCTTTCCTGGTCACAGTTGTGTTTTGGGGGACTATGAACAGTGGATGGCCTTCTGGTCGTTTTGAACAATGGATTAATATCTCAGTCCATGGGTTGAACTCGGTGTTTGCCATAGTCGAGATTCTTTTGCCTGCCACCGAGACGCCACCCATCTCGCACCTCAGCGTGGTGCTACTTATCTTGTCCACGTACCTTGGTCTCGCATATTTGACAAGGTATACGCAGGGTTTCTATGTTTATGAGTGGATGAACCCCGCACATGGCAATGTCAGTATCATCCTACATGTTCTAGGGTATGCTGCTGGTATTACCGCAATTTTCTTCATGGTCTCGGGTGTAATCAGACTAAGGAACATGTTCATTGAAAGATTGAGCGAGGGTAGACAGAAAAATACACAAGAGAAAGGCGAAAGATTGGATGATGTTTCTGATGTCTGGTCGAATGAGATCAGTGTATCGAGGCCTGAGTCGGCAAGGACGAAAGAAGAGTATGTTGTATGAATGGAGACTTTACAGAAGAATATGAACAATGTTGCCACCAATTCAAAGCCTTTCCCCGATGGCTCTAAACCTGTCAATTACAACACGCCGATGGATCCTAGTAGAGGCAAGTCACTTAAATAGAACAAATACGCAGTGCGGCGGATATAGGTATTATCGGACACCACCCAACCTATTTACGGCTACAAATCGGACCATTCAGTAGTTTCACTCTTCGTGAAACAACCAGAGAATGTCTGGAGCACAGGAGATCATGATGTTATGTCGGAAATTTTGCACGTTAGCTCAACTTGATGATCCTCAAGGTGTTTGTCCTCCTTGTATACGTGTTTCCGAAGATTCACAAGCTTCAGTGTCTTACTAATCAGTCAATTGTCCGACAAAAACCCCACACGATCTAGCCAGCATACAAAGTCTGCTTTACACGACAACGTATTATTTCGGCCTCGACCAAGCTGTTGCGTCGGGACCTTCGTACCCATCATGAGCATGGGAGAGCCTCCCGAGGCCTCGGCTAGTCGATTTTCCTTGATCGAGGAGTATGCGCTTGAGTGGCGATGACTTAGGCCTCCCAACGGTGACCAGCTGTCCGTTGTCCGCGCGCACTCTGCAAAGGGACGAGCCTGCTGAGCAGATTACATCTGGCTTCGAGCGCAGTCAACGATTATCAGGTCTTTTGTAATACGTTCAAGGCATGGCATGACATCGCAACGTGGAGTTGGAAGTCCGAAGGACGTAAAAGAGAAGCTCAGGGCAGGTTTTCCATGGGCTCTGGCAAGATCCCTGCCGTAACGGCTGTCAAACAAGTATCGGGGCTGCAAGCGCTTTGACTGGTGACATGTTATCAACACTTCAGACCAAGCTTACAGATCGAGTGGGTGCAGTGACATGTGATTGAGATCCTCGTCGTGACATTTTACTGCTGCCACGCATTCCTCAACAACGATGCTTTCAACTCGCTTGTCATGGCGCAGGAATGTGGCACAGTTATTGGAAGTGTTGGAGGTCGACTTGCTGGTAAACGAGAGGGCTTCCGTAGACGCCGAAGAACCATGGAGATGGAAGTCTCCCGACATGACAACACAAAAGCCCCATCCGCGGACTGAAAGGCCTCCAAGCGGACGCCATGATTCAGGAGACAGCCACGCGACAGAAATGGCTTGTTGACTAGTCCGGCAATCACCTTTTAGTGGCGCGAGTAGGTAGTTGACAGGATGGGGTCGATCTGGGTAAAGTCTTCGCAAAGAAGAAGGTGGAGAGTTGCAAGCGTATGCGTACCTAGTTAGTAGCTATCATCATCATGACCTTCGTTGCGATGCACTGCGATGAGGAGAACGCAGGGGTCGGCCTCGGTTGCTTTGTCGTGTGAACTAGCGCACTCTACTTTCCAAAAATAGGTGGGGCAGTGCTCTTCTTAGCAGATCATTGTCCCGCACATCACTGACACTTGTCTAGCTTACCATTTGTACAATTCCGTTTGTGGTCGGATTGTCATACGGAAGACTTTCAGGATCTTTTAGAAATGGATGTTGCTGAGAAGAGACGGGCTTGTCACCCAGTGCCTCGTGTGAGCAATCTTGGCTCTGCATCAGGCCTCCAACGTGCAAGGTCTCCTCTGAGGTCGCAGCAGATGGTCCGTCTCCGTTCATCTCGTAGCTAACGCATCAAACCCTTTTTGAGCGATGACCCAAGTTTGTGGAGGTCGCGATCCCTTTGGACCCCTGTGTTCACCGCGCAAGGCTAGGACAAAGAGATCCTTTTTGAACAGCATGCGGTGTAGACTCGTCTCCGACGGGCATAAGCATCGTCAGGCCAGCATCTCGCTCGCCTCCACCTCGTTGGAGACCAGGTGCCTACATGAGACTACCAAGAGATTCCGCTTTCAGAATCCACAGTAAGGAGTCCTCTCTTCCGAAGTTTAAAAAGCATCTCTCATCAAGCGCACGCCCCCTGTCCCTGCGCGCAACTACCACTTCCACCGAAGGCGCGCTGCTCGGTCAATCCCGCCCATAAATACTCTCCTACTCTTGCTGAACTTATCGCATGCTCGGATTTGCGGCAGTTCTAGTATCGCTGATCTTCGTCAGGGAGTGTCGTGTGCTCCATAGGTGTTCAGCTTGTTAAATTAGCTGGAGTTCCGCAGTGCATTAGCGCACGCCATACAGCTGCAGCTCCATCTCCACACGACCACACCATTGCTGTTAGAGTTACCTGGCCTGTCTACCCCTGCGTACCCGAAGGCATAGTCACAGCCTCAGTATCCTTCCTGCAATACAACCTTAGCATACTTGAGTATGCTTGCAGACTACCAGCTGCCAACTGTCTCAACAACATTCACTGAGTCTCGTCTTACGAGCTATCGCTAGCGAGCCATACGCGAGCCATACTACTTCAAGGTTACAGTCCAGCCAAATCGACGGCGGCCCTTCCGCAAGAAAGAGAGAGAGTACGATGTCAGATGATAGATCAAGATCAAGGTCCAGAAGCCGAGCTGGAGATGGAACCGAGCTTTGGTTCGACCTGCCTAGTTTTGACACGGATCATCAGCCTGAGCAGTCGGCATATCGCACCACGTCAAGTCGCTTGAGCATGGGCTCGACAACTTCAGTCGCATCACAAACACCAATGTCGGTTCCCGCAATCTCTACGATGCCAGACTTCAATAAGTCGCTACCACTACCTCCATCCGATGCAGAGAGGAAGAGTCGAAGACAGACTACATTGAGATCTTTCCTACGAGGAAGGTCTACAAGCAATCACCTGGATCCATCACATTTGCAGCCAGAGCCATCCTCTCATCATCAACGACATCTCTCCGTTGGAGCTCATCTGAGCGTGGACGTGCACGGTCACTACCAGCAGCAATACTCTCGCAGTATGCCAAATTCACCTCATGGCCACCGCCAAGAATCCATCTCAACATATCCACCGCCTCTTGGTCGTGTTCGCTCAGCAAACCCGGCCTTTCAAGACACGACTCACTATTTGCCTTACGTTGCTCCACAAGAATACGCCCCGCGCCCAAGCTCTCCCGGCGCACCTTTTGACTTGTCTCCTACTAGAGCACGAACTTTTCCAGATACAACAATAAGCAGTCCCACCGCACGCAATAGCGTGTCAAATAGACCGCGGCCACATACGTGGCTGTCTCCAACCGAACCTTTCGCCGATCCATCTCAATTTCATCTCTTTGTAGAAGCGACAACTGGCCTTCCCGACGACTCAGACCCATGGTCACCGAATGGCCCAAATCGACTACAAAGCTCGCTTTTTGCACGCAGACCGAGTAATGGCTCTACTCCTGTTGCGTCTCAGTATATTCCAGCGCCAATACCAGATCGTACACATCAAACTGCAAGCTGGCAAAGCTTTGAGCCGCCACTTACGTCTTCACGATCAGTATCTGCACCCATGCCGAGCGCAATACGTCAAAATACATTCCACACATATCATTCCAATCTCACACCACACATGAACGCTATCAACGCTGAGTTGGAGATGCTGGGCCTCGATGGTGATTCGCCAAACGACGACGAACTCCCAGACTACGCACAGAGTCAAGCCGAGATGAATGAGAAAAAAAGGGTAGAAGCATCAGCTAGGGCACGAGAGTTGGAAGCGAGATGGCGCGGTGCGAGAAGTAGCAGAAGCTGACACGTTCCGGGGAACTCGCCATACTACGTTCCCACGATCGTTTATCTGACCATGGCGTTTATTGCATCAGTCAATCACAAAAGATACCCTCGCTTCATCGTTTCATTTTTGTATTCCCCTGTAGCTTTTTGGATTCTGTACATATTCCTTTCAGAACGAAAATGTACACAGATGCTATCAGATCCTCAGTCTTCCACATCTTCATGCCCAATCATATGAGATTTCCGCTAAGCCCTAAGTTACTCATGGGCGTAGATCGACACTTCTGGTTAATTGCGATCCCGTGAAGTCAGAAGACGGCCGAGACCTAGGTAGTTAGCAGTACGCCTTGCAAAAAGCCTCGAAGTCATGTTATGCGCTCCAATCTTGTTTGCACTATGTGGAACCCCGAAGTCTCCGAGCTATGAAAAGGACTAGCCAGCCACAAGTTCGGGTCGCTTAGACACTGCAGTACCTGCCTTGGTAGATCGCATTGCTAGTAATCTGCTGGTAAGAATTACCCGAACTCGTGTAGATCATTCGGACATGCAAATTCCTCTATATTCGTTATCCGCGATCTACCGAGAGTCTCGTGGATCCAGGATACCTGCGTCCGGCACGATTGCGACCTGACCATTCAGGCAAGATGGATCACCTAGTCATGGGAAGCGGCATGAGAGGAGGCTAATGGTTTTGTGCTAGTAGTCGTGCAGGGATAGAGCACAAGAGTGTTACAGTTGGAGTACAAGAACGCCCATGCTACTACAAGTGCCCGAATAGTGCGATGTGGGGTGGCGGCTAGAAGGCCGAATCAGGCAGGCGCAAAGATGTTCTCTTCTGAGTCTGTCGAGGAGCCATGATCTGCAATGTACAGTGTTTCTATGTTGGGTGCGGCGTGTAAGACAAGCCATGCAGCCACCGCTAGCAAGCGTGAAGGGCAGAATCGCCACTTCGTATTGATACAGAACACAGGAAGATCAACTTCAACAGCATTGAACTCTCAGTGCATTCGCTCCGACCACTGAAAGACCTCGCTGTGACAAGACCAGGGATGTTCCCGTGGCATGCTGGGACATGGTCTCGACGGATGGTAGCCGACAGCGAGGCTGTGCACATGCAGGTGTCAGACGCGGCCCGGAAACAACGTTCCAGCGCAACCGAAAATAGAAACTACAACAGAAAGTTTCTATCCCGATACCACTTGGTGATGTTGCTGATGGATGCTGACGATGCACGTATGATCGCGAGAAATGATGGTGAATCGCATTCTGGACTATTGTTCTGAAATGTTCAAGTACAATGTTCCGGCAACAGACATTACCCCTGCATCTAGTGTGAATGAATGAAAGTTCACCCACAAAACTGCATATGCAGTATCAGATGAATACACGTGAAAGAACATCCTACTTCCATAGTGAGCACCGAATGCGGATAATGAGCACTAGCTTCGTTGAGATGTTAAAATGAAAATCAAGCATTTATCAATATCTATTATCGTTTCCGCTTTGTAGGCATCGGTGAGTAATCATTGTCCCCATCTGTGTCCGCTCTTCTCTTCCGCTCAACGCCGTAGTTCGAAGATTTACGATAAACAGAAATCAAAGGTGCTGCCATTGGTGACGGTCGCTCACCTGCTGTTGAATATGGTGCTTTCTTACCCGAGTTTGTCTTAGTTGATGATAATAAATCACGAATTGTAGAAGGCTCAGGCTGTGAGCGAATCCTAGGAGGTATTGGCAAAATTGACTTTTGTAGCTCCGCTTGTGTGCGTTCCTTATACCAGACCGTCTGCGGTGATCTCTGATCTAGGTGCCAAGATTTGTAGAGGTCTGCGATGTCTTTACGTACCGCGGGTGTATCACAAAATACCACCGACCCTTGTATCTTCAAGTGAGTGATCGGTGGGGCGATAGCTGTCGGACCGTTCTCTGCGATGATGCTCCATGTCTCGCTTCGAAACCACTGCCCAATCCAAGACATGGAGACATCACAATACTCCTTACCACCCTTGTCGTTCTCCGTGTCAGCGTTTGCCCAGATCCTACGCATCAGCAGGTGCGTGCCAGATCTGTTCTTATCCTGTGGATTGATGATGCTGCCAAACATGAAGTTTTCCCAAGCATAGCCCCACTCTGTCTCAGGATAGTCAGGTCGATAGTGAGGCTCTAAGATGTCGCCTCGCCGCATCACGCCGACAGCATGCACTACCTCATGTACGAGTGTGGTAGCTAGAAGAAAATCGTGCCGATATTGGGCGCAGCGGGATGCCTTGACGTACCCATCCGGATCCTCGTAGAACTGAAGGAATTTGTCAGAAACCTCAATCTTAGGTGATACCTTTCCTTGGAACTTCAAACAACAAATGGATGTCAATGCTGGAGTAGCTTCGTCTATAATCGTGCGAGCATAAACTCGTCGTTCGCTCGGGGCGACGAAACTGACGTCTAGATGATCTGCGAGGCATTGTAGGGCTTGACGTACCCCTAAGAGCAGCTGCGCTTGCCTTGGTTGGGATGCGTGTGTGAGAGGATCGAAGAGATACTTTTTCATAGATCTTAGGTCGTGCAACTGGCGTCCATACAGCAAGGGCACAAAAAACTCGAGAAGTCGATCATGCAGGATAAAATGCGATGCCAGCTGCAACGCGAGTCGTAGATGGCAGTTACCCTTGAGCTGATGGAAAATGGGGTGGATGGCATTAGTGAGATTAGCAGAAAGGACCGCATCATCTTCAAGCAATTTGAAACGATCGTTTTTGTTGGCTGCGTTGATGAGGCTGTTGATACCAGGACCGGATGCGGCATCAGCACGCTTCGTGCGTGGGTGCGGATCTAGCATGCTACCTACAGTGAGAACTGTTCGTGAAGACCTATCCTGGAGGTGATCCGAAAGTGTATACATAATGTGATTGACTACATTGTGCGAAATGCTCAACGGCATTGCGGACAAAGAATTGTGGTTGTAGCTGCGACGCATCGTGAAGCCAACGGCAATGACAAAGACATTGTTACTTCCATGGACACACCAGCAGCTTCGAAACAGTGCCGATACAGGCTTCAAAGGCGCAAACAGACCCACCTACGATTGATCTGCACAATGACAGTCGCAAGTTGTGGCCTTCGCCAAGCGCCGCCCACCGGGCGCTGTGGGCTGCATCAAGGAAATCGGGAAATCGGACGCCCAATTGTGTGGCCGAACTGCATATATTAGCATGACTGATACAGCGATCGAGGTAGCAGGTGGAGGAGAGACCACGATGATAAGCCATCACGTGAGTTCGTGCTAGACGAGGCTAGCAGGGATACGCGAGATAGCCTCGCGCGCGCGGTTTGCTGTACTACGTTGCTCACTGCTCACACAATGGATCAGCGATAGCATTTTACCCACAAAGAAGTTGGGCCGCATGAGGTAGGAGTTTGCTCCTGTACTCATCGATTGCCACTCATTTTTTCGCCATTCTCAAATCGACCGCTGTGACTGAATCCCTCGTGTCGTGTTGGATCCTGATAACTTGTAAGAGGTATACCCACTTTTGATCATTTGTGCCTGACAGTCGTGCCACATGTTGCCGCCGTCTTCAGGCGACGCGAATCAAATGGATTGGGATGATTTTGAACAGAGGGCTGGCCGCGCAATTCCTGACCGGCCTCTGGGACCAAGGCGATGCTGGATTGGTGTTCTGCTGCATGACAAAGACCCTCAACAGCCGCTCCATGAGCTCGACTTCCAATGGATGATCGGTCACTCGGTGAGTGCGCCTTGCTCTACTTCCATTCCATCACTTGCCGAGATAGAGAGCTCTTCCTGACGTCCAAAGAAAATTTTGCTCGAAAAGATCTACTAAACATATGAGGAACAGCAAAGAGTTTCGAAATTCTGTTTGATCTCGCGAAATGGAATATTGCCGAAGCACAAGATCCTCAAGGAAATTATGGACGAGGGATCCGGGCTCTTTGTCTTTCGAGCTGTCCACCCTACCACTCCATCGCGGTCTGCCAGCTCATCAGCGCCTTCCCAACAGATATCGCATGAGGCATCGAGTCCGATCGGCGCAACTGGTGCTTCACATCCTGTTCATCGTGTTCCAAATCAACCTCAAGCTAGAAATGGACTGCGTGTATCGATGTCCGACTCAAATCACGTACGGATGTCGCCACAGGTGCCTAATGGAAAAAACATGCCAATAGGCATCATGTCCTCGTCGTCTCAAAATTCTTTGCGTGGAACAGATCGTAATCTTAAAGAGCGGTTCGATCACAATCAAAAGTACTCCGAGCCATCGCGAATACAGACTGCTCCGGTAGCGCCTGTCGTCTCAGCCTCTACTTTCACTTCCTCGGCTGCAGTGCAACCGAACAGTGACGATCCAACTCATGTTGCTGTAGAAACAGAAGCTATCAAGACGGAGCCATTCCAGAACACTCCCTTCATTCAACCGAATGTGGAATCTCCTTCGCAGACTCCAGGTCATACGCCGCCCGCAAGTGCGTCTCAGACAAACAGCATCAGTAGGTCTGATTTTCTTAACAGGGTTGAGGAGGAGCCATCTCAACCGTTTGACGCTGCGGACTTTTTCAATCGTGAACCATCACCAGAGCAGGATCATGGCGGGTACAAGCCTGCAGATGAGCTCATTCGAGGAATCACTAACCAAGAGAATCCGGAGGTACTCGAGGCAGGCGTGCAACGAAGTCTCACAGTGCTAGAGGAATTCAAGCAGGCGTTTTCGACACATGCTGCCTGCATTCCGGACGCTCAAGCCTATGTGGAGTCGATCGACAAGCTAATTCCTCAGGCGAAGCGGAAGCGCACGGTAGTGGGAGTGGTCGGGAACACAGGCGCCGGAAAATCGAGTGTGATCAATGCACTACTTGATGAGGAGCGCCTGGTTCCCACAAATTGTATGCGTGCGTGCACGGCAGTCGTGACAGAGATGTCATGGAATGAAAGCAAGGATCCACTATCGAAGTACCGGGCAGAAGTTCAGTTCATCTCACGAGCAGACTGGGAGAAGGAAGTCACAATGCTGATGAAGGAGTTTCTGACCGAGAATGGTGCTTTACAGCGTGAGGCGTCTGATCCAAGTACCGATGCAGGCATTGCATGGGCCAAGTTTCACGCTGTACATCCGAGGGTTGCTCGAGACGAGCTTAGCAACTGCACGGTGGCTCAACTCATGTCTGACCAAGGACTACATCTGCTTGGAACGACAAAGATGATCAACTGCTCATCACCGCAGCGATTCTATCAAGAGCTGCAAAGGTACGTAGACAGTAAGGAGAAGGTCACGAAGAAGGACAAAAAGGACAAGACTTCAAGGTCTTTCGAGATGGAGTACTGGCCACTGATCAAGGTTGTCAAGATCTATACAAAGGCACCAGCGCTCTCAACAGGCGCTGTCATCGTCGATCTTCCGGGTGTTCATGACTCCAATGCAGCGAGAGCAGCAGTAGCTCAGACCTACATCAAGCAGTGTACTGGCCTGTGGATCGTCGCTCCTATCACTAGAGCAGTAGACGATAAGGCAGCAAAAACGCTACTTGGTGATTCGTTCAAAACACAACTGAAGTATGACGGTGGTTTCTCCAGTGTGACATTCATCTGTTCGAAGACAGACGATATCTCAATCACCGAAGCCATCGACACATTAGAGCTTCATGAAGAAGTGGAGAGTCTGTATGAACAGCAAGACGGGCTTGATAAAGCGATAGTCGAATTGAAAACCCGGATAGAGGATCTCAAGGAGTCTCAGAAAGTGTATCAATTGGCCGGGCGCGAAGCTGCAGATGACATCGAGATCTGGGAAGACCTGAAGGATCAACGTGATGATGGAAAGGAAGTCTATGCGCCGGCCCCTAAAGCTGCCAAACGCAAGAAGGATAGCGCCGCGACAAAGTCTCGGAAGAGACATCAAATGGATGACGAGGACTCAGACACAAACTTTGTTATCGACGATGAGGATGCAGAAGAGACCGAGGACGAAGCCAGTGACGAAGAGGTACAGGCCCCACAAAAGCCCCTAACCGAGGATGAGATCAACAAGAAGCTCAAAGAGCTCAGAGAAACGAAAAAGACCGCTAGGCGTGAGGGACTCGAGATCAATCCTCAAATTGAGGAATTGCGACCTCGTATTCGTGAGGCGCAGACCAAAAGCAAAGCCATCAAGGCAAAAATCAGCGGGATATGCATATCCGGACGCAACGAGTATTCGAAAGAAGCCATACAGAACGACTTTGCTGCCGGTATCAAGGAACTTGATCAAGAGAACGCAGCCGAAGAAGACGAAGACAATTTCAACCCCGATGAGGAGCAGCGAGACTATGATCAGGTTGCCAGAAGCCTACCTGTCTTTTGTGTGAGCAGCCGCGCGTACCAAAAGATGTGCGGACGGTTACAGAAAGACGATACAGTGCCAGGATTCAATACCCCGGAAGAGACTGGAATTCCACAGCTGCAAGCACATTGCAAGAAGCTTACAGAAGCTGGTCGTGTCCAGAACTGCAGGGGTTTTCTATTGAGTGTCTGCCAACTGCTGACAACGTTTACGATTTGGGCGTCCAATGATGGTATCGGGTTGGAGATGACGGAAGACGACAAACAGAGGCAGTTCAAGTACATCAACAGGCGGCTCGAAGAGCTCGAAGACGGCCTGGAGGCATGCATCAAGGCCTGTCTAAACGCGATGAAGCGGGAGATGAACGATCAGATCTTTGACAAGTATCCCGACTTGATTCAAGAGGCTATTGCAGGAGCACCAAGCACGGCCGCCAGGTGGGGCGCCCATCGAGATGAAGGTGGTCTGTTATGGGCCACGTACAAAGCAGTTGTGCGGAGGTTTGGTGTGTACCACTCGGCTGCAGCAGGACATCGTGACTTCAACTCGGAACTGTGAGTTGACTGTATCCGGAGACTGAGTCGATTACTGATAACTTTGTTAGTGTTGAGCCAATAATCAAGAACTTAGCAACCGGGTGGGAGCGTGCGTTTCAGAACCGTTTACCAAAGGCTTTCGCTACATTCATTGCAGACTCGGGCAAGATCCTGCACAAGTTTCACGAGGCTGTTGAAGCGCGCGCACGAGATAATGGGATTGGACTTGCCAGTCTTTCGACACTCAAGACCCAAATCCATACGTACGAGAAGCTATTCGGCGAATTGAACCAGGCGCTCATCCACAGCATGACGGAGATGCAGCGTGAGGCCAACCGCGACTTTGCACCCACCATCTTGGACATAATGCAGACGGCGTACCAAACTTGCGTAGACGAGCACGGCCCTGGCAGCTTCAAGCGAATGAAGGCAGCCATGGGAGAGCATGTGGAGCGCAACCGTCATCACATGTTCAACAAAGCTACCATGACAGTCAAGGGCCATCTCGATGCAATGTGCCGCTCACTCCTGGAGCTGATGGAAGTCCGGGCAGACCGGATTTACATCCAGATGAAGGCCGACTACATGCGCGTTCTCGGCGGCGTCCAGCTTAACCCGGAAGCCGTCAGGCCTCGCGAGGAAAGGACCCTGCGAGGAGATATCATGGAAAGGCCGCGTGATGTCAATTCACAGTTTGAAGCGATTTCAAACGGAGAGCTCGCTCCAGCAGACAAGAGCGTGGTTGAAGAGCACGTGGCGGCAGACGATGAAGAGAGCCTGCCTTTCGCCTCTGCTGCAGGTTCCCCGGACACACCCAACGCAAGCAAAAACCCGTCCACACAGGATGCCCTTATGCAGGACGCCATTATGCAGGACACGCTTATAGAGGACATCACCGGTGCCAGTGATTGAGCAATTCGGCATTGGCGGACGAGGTATTGGATGTTGCTGTTGTCCTGGGACGGCGTTGACGACGGTTATGAAGCTTTTTCTTTTCTTTTGCGGGGTTGGGGAGGTGTTGCATTAGGGCGGCGTTGACAGGGTGAAGATATCAGGGTTCCAACATTGCTACAGAGTTTTTCGAGCGGCATATGGGAGGCTTTGAGATGGCGCACAGCCAGCACACGGCGTTGGTGGTTTTGTTCTACTCTTGTCCTGCAGGTAAACACATGCAATGACGAAACGATGTCATGATGAATTGAGGGCTCGAAGAAGCATGGTCTGAGATGAAAGAGCAGAGCCGTCTTTTCCTATCTAATGATAAAGCCCAATCCGCTAAAACGCCGATGTCGTAAGCCAAAATGCACGCGTCTAGTCGTCCCACTCCTCGTCCAGCTGGTCGATGAGGCGGTTCTCGCTCTCGTCGCGGCGGCCGCGGCCGCGGCTGTCGGCGCCCAGCGAGACACGGCTGTAGCCACGGCGGGAGGGCATGCAGCGGGCGCACGACGAGGTGAGGATGACAAACATGTCCTGGGGGCGTTAGCAGACAGTCGCAGGGTGTGTGTGTATGAATGAAAGGACGCACCGAGAAGAAGCGCCAGATGCCGGCCCACATGGCGTAGTTGGGCAGCTGGCGCCAGCCGCGCTGGTGCATGACGGTGCGCTGGTAGACGCAGCCGCCGACAAAGTAGACGAGCACGGCAATCAGGGCAATGACGCCGAAGACGCCGCCCGGGCTGAGCGTCTGCTCGTCGGCGTGCACGATGCCGCAGGCGTGGCGCGAGCGGCCCTCGAAGAAGTAGGTGCAGTCGTCGACGGCGGCCACGAACGAGATGCTGCTCTTGGCCAGCGGGTCCGACTCGCACAGCAGCGAGATGACGGTCGTCTTGCGGCGCTCGGGCTTGGCGGGCTTCTTGCGGTCGTCGTCGTCGTCGTGCTTCTTGCCGTCCTTGTCCTTGTCCTTGTCCTTGTCCTTGCCGTCGTCGCCGCCGATGATCTCGCGCAGGTCGACGGGCGCGCGCTTCGAGGCCGTCGACGGGCACAGCGAGCCACCCGTGTAGTTGAGGATCAGCTTCCTGCCGCGGAAGATGGGCTCCTCGTTCTCGAGGCTGGGCAGTCAGCGGTGGTTCAGGCACTGGAGCTCATTCCCCTCATTCCCCTACAGAGTCAACTCACCCAATGGCGTACTGGCGGTCGCCGCGCTCGTAAAAGGCGCTGACGTTGCGCCACAGGCCCTTGTCCAGGTCCTGCACGGCGCCCAGCTCCTCGACGACGGGCCCGCAGAAGTTGACGGTGAAGTTGGCGCCGTAGTCGTAGCCGCGGGCGTGCCAGCTGCCCTCGTCGGCGTCCTTCTTCTTGTCGCCCGCCTTGGGCAGCGTCCGGCGCAGCCCGTTGAGGTCGAAGAAGCGTTCCGTCGTCGGCGACACGACGGTGCACGGCTTCAGCGGCCGGTCGCTCGCCGCACGCGCCCCGGCGCCGCTCAGCAGCAGCGCCAGCAGCGAAGTCAGTGCGGGCTTCATCGTGGGGTCGGTAGCGACGGATGGAGAGGTGGGAGCTGCCAGCGCCGCACTGGCAACGTTGCCCGGACCTCTCCCGCGCCGCGCGCATCATCGGCGTCGGTTGCCGCCATCCCTGCCTGTCCCTGTCGCGTCCCGATTGGGCCTGGTCTGCCGCTACTCTACGCGTCATTACGGCTGCGCGCGATCCGGCTTGCGTCCAGCTCGTTCGACGTTGACATAGCTAGCTAGAGAGGTATAATTGTGCGCCGCCAGCTGCACCGCCAGACCGCGACACAGCTTGGTGTTGAGCATTGGACGCGCACTGCAGTTTCTGCGTCTTCTTCTCTCTGCGCCTGCTTTCTCTCTGCATCTTCTTCGCTGCCCCTTTTGGCCATCACCGCCGACATGGCTTCGAAGCGCGTTGCTGACCAGCCCCACGGCTACGAGTTCTTTGGCCCGTACGTTCGCCCTGCCCTCCTCCTCCGTTGCTCGCTCCGCTGACCCACCAGTCCCGGCGCCTTCGTCATCTCCTTCGGCCTGCCTGTCCTGGTCTATGTCTTCACCTTCCTGTGCAACGACGTCTCCGGCTGCCCTGCGCCCGTGCTGCTTGCGCCGTCCGCCTTCAGCTTCGACCAGCTGAAGAAGGAGGTCGGGTGGACTGGCGTCGAGGGCCTGCTCAACACCAATGCCGTCCTGGGCACGCTCGGCTACTACCTGCTCAGCCTGACCCTGCACACCTTCCTGCCCGCCACCCAGGTCGTCGGCACCGAGCTGCGCAGCGGCGGCAAGCTCGACTACCGCTTCAATGGTACGTACAAGACACCTACAACGACGCGTCTCGAACGACACACCTAACATGTCCAGCCTTCAGCTCAGCGCTCTTCACCATGGCCATCTTGGGCGCCGGCACCGTCGTGTACGGCGCCGACTGGTCGGTCTGGACCTTCATCACCGACAACTACGTCGCCATTCTCACCACCAACATCCTGATCTCCTACATCCTGGCCACCTACGTCTACGTCCGCTCCTTCAGCGTCAAGCACCCCAAGGACCCCGATATGCGCGAGCTCGCGGCGGGCGGCCACTCGGGCAACGTGCTGTACGACTGGTTCATCGGCCGCGAGCTGAACCCCCGCGTTGTGCTCCCCATCTTTGGCGAGGTCGACATCAAGGCGTGGTGCGAACTGCGCCCAGGCATGCTCGGCTGGATCATCATGGACCTGGCCTTCATCATGAAGCAGTACCGCAACCACGGCCGTGTCACTGACTCGATTATCCTGGTCACCATTGCACAAGCCGTCTACACCTTCGATGCGCTATACATGGAGCCTGCGATTCTCACCACTATCGATCTGATCGCCGATGGTTTCGGCATGATGCTCTCCTTCGGCGACCTCGTCTGGGTGCCCTTCACATACAGCCTCCAGGCCCGCTACCTCTCCGTCTACCCCGTCGACCTCGGCTTCCAGGGCATTGTCGCAGTCCTCGCCGTCCAGGGCGTTGGCTACTACATCTTCCGCGCCGTCAACAACGAGAAGAACCGCTTCCGCACCAACCCCGACGACCCGCGCGTCAAGCACCTCAAGTACATCGAGACTGCTGCTGGTTCCCGCCTCCTCGTGTCTGGCTGGTGGGGCACCGCGCGCCACATCAATTACCTGGGCGACTGGTTCATGAGCTGGTCGTACGTTCTGCCCACCGCCATGTCCGGTTATGTCATCCGCAATGTCGCCGAGCACCCGATCCAGTCTGCGCAGAGCGATGCCTACTTCTTCAAGAACAGCTACGGAAAATACGTTGTCCCTGACGCTGCAAAGGGCTGGGGCATGATCTTCACCTACTTCTTCATGGTGTACTTTGCCGTGCTGCTCATCCACCGCGAGCGCCGCGACGAGGAGAAGTGCAAGAGGAAGTACGGCAAGGACTGGGACAGGTATGTCGAGCTCGTGCCGTACAGAATCATCCCGTACGTGTACTAGACGGAAGGGAAAGTGAACGCAGCGCTACCAGCGACGATGCTGGTCAAAGACGCGCGTCGCGAGACTGAAAAAACGCAATGCTACCGCGAGACGGTCAAAGACATGCGTTGTTGTAAGACACAGACACTGATGGAATGCTACCGCACGGCCGGTCAAAGACATACATCTGGGACCGGTGGAAGAGGAACTGCAACGCGATCGCGTGACGATTGAAGACGTGCACGAAAAATTAGTACAGATGTAGCGCTATCGTATGCGATTAAAGACGCACATCACCATAATGTATATTGTGAGAATCTACTTCCCTTTCCTATTCGCAGGTGACTAGACGATGCAGCGGGCCATTTTGCCAGATCGGGCCATTGTTCCCTTTACAGACACTCAATCATGCTCGAAACCGCATGTACTGCACTGTTCAATTGATTCGAATGAATACAGCGTGCACAAAGAGACGTTGTCACGCCCAGTGTTGACTTCAAAGGCACATGCTCAATCGAGTCGTGACATGTGAACCCCCGAAGTCGCCGCACGGCGATCCGATGCGTTGTGCCGAGGTGACGCGACCCCAGTTCCTAGCACCTCAATGTAGCACATCATCCCGGCTCCGCTGGAGAGCATCATGCACGATAGTCTTTGCCGCGTCTCTGGGCTGCGCACGCGACACTCATCCCGGAAACAGTCTTGACCCGCGCCCTGATATAGTTGTCTCGGCTCCTGGATGAGCTGAGACCTGCGACTGTCGCCCCACCGGGCACTACAGACGTTCGCCATGGCCGACTCAGTAGGTAGGTGCCGATGCCAAAGCCACGGCGGTAACGACAAACTGGCATCGACCTGACCATGCCCGCACAGATCGAGTCTTTAGCCATGCGCTCAACACAGTAAACAAGATCCGCACGGGGTCGCAGAAGCCCCCCTCCACCACCCGGTTACGGCTGTATGGGCTGTACAAGCAGGCCATGGGTATGCAGCACCCATAGCGACCAAGAAAGAGGCTGACGTGAGCAGAGGGCGACGTTGACGGCATCATGGACCGCCCCGAGGGCAGCGGCGAGCAGGAGCTACGGGCACGGGAGAAGTGGTATGCACGACACCACATCCATGCTGGGATGCCATGTGTATTGAGCCTGGGATATTGACAGCACACAGGGACGCTTGGAAACAGCAGAACAATCTCTCTCGCACTGAGGCAAAGCGCCGCTACATTACCACCCTGATCGACACCATGCACCAGTACGCTTCGCCGTCGCCCGACTCGCGTGAGCTCGTCGCCGAGCTCGAGTTCGTCTGGGACCAGGTCAAATCCAACGTCCCCTCTTCGTCGTCGTCGTCGCCTCTCCAGACCATTGACCAGGTAGGCACAGGCATGTCGGCGTCGTACTCGGCCCTCGAACGCCAACGCGGCTCCAAGGATCCGGACGAGTACTCCGACCAGAACGAGGACCAGCCCCTTCAAATCAAGTCGCCCATGTCGCAGAGCGAGGAAGAGCTGGAAGCTGAGGAAGCCGAGATTGACCGCGACGAATTCGTCGATGCACCAGACTCGCAGTACGCACTGGAAGTCTACCGCCGTGGCGCAATGGACCACAACCTCTCCGAAGCCAACACCCAACCGCCCTCCAAACCCCCTAAATCCCGCCGCCAAACGCCAGCCTCCCGCCCCATCTCTCGCCGTACCATCGAACCCCCTGGCCCCGGCACACCCACTCCTCGCCCACGCATGCGCCACATCATCCCGCAACCCATCCCCCTCCCGCCCTCCTACAATAACGCAAAGCCCGATCCGGACCCCCCCTCCGCCGCAGACCTCAAGTGGCGCAAGCGCATCGAAACCTCCCTCATGAAAATGACCGCCGAAGTCGCCGCGCTCCGCGAGCAGCTCGAGGCTCGCCGCCTGTTCCAGCACCGCGTGCACTACCGCTTTTTCCGCGCGCTGTGGCGTTTCGTATGGGCTGGCGCCAAGCACGTTGCTGTTGATCTGCTCGTGCTGGCGCTGCTACTGGCGTGGATGCGCAGCAAGGGGGATCGGAGGATGGAGGGTGCGGTGCGGGTCTTGCTTGGAGATGCGGTGGCGCAGATCAAGGGCGGGCGGCTGACGGGCGTGGCGATGCCCAAGGTGCCGGCGCTGCCAGCGCTGCCAGCGCTGCCGAAGCTACCGGGTCTGGGACGGAAAGGGTAGTGTGGACGCGAGGGGCTGTTTTCTAGCGCGGCGTTGCGGCTCGTGTTGTACTGTTGATGTTTGGATGTTGTGTTGTATATACGCCAACGCGAGCGCTGTTGTATGAATACATACGTGCATACATACATACATATACTCTCACGTCTCTTCCCCATTCCCCTCCTCGGACAACACAGCCCGGCTGCTGGCTGCTGAATATCCTTTCATATGCACTCACTGCGTTCTCAACTCACAGAGACGTCCAAACAGAGATGCTCACACCGAGAATAAGCACGACTCCTTTCAGACACTCCGAATGCTCAAGACCGCCCAATGCCTTCCAGGAGTACCCAGGCGTGTCAGGCATGACGTCATACAGCCTAACCCTATCTACAGCACCTTCCTCTTCGTCTTCGTCGACCATGAAATCCACTGTCAGCGCCGTCAGCCGTCAGCCAAACCCAGTAAATGCTGCATGGCCTTACAGAAGTACACGTAACATGTAGTCTATTCGAGTCGCGCAGCTAGACTCGGCACGGCTACCCCACCACTACCGGCCCCGGATCTGCATGCTAGCCGCGCGCCACAGCCTCGGTTTCGAGTCGCTATGGGTGGAGAAGTGTTATGTAGTTATGGAGACCGCATGACAGATTACTCTTCTAAGACTCGCACTAGGACGTCGACAATTGGTGCGGCCTTCGGTAGGCAAAGAGTTCCTTATTCGAAGGCGGGGAAGCCAATCACCACTGCGGGTAATACCAAATCTTGATGCTTATGTGGTACTGAGTATATTATATGGAAGGGAGAGCTGGCCGCCACTGAACATCCCCTCTACAGCCAGGACTCCGTGACAAGCTGATCGCTCCGACAACATGGCGACCGCAAAAGTCGCTCCCGCGCCCATCACCGAAGTCCCCATCCCCGTTGCCAACAAAGCAGACGTCGACACCGAGACCCAGCATCTGGCCGTCGAGGAACCGCTCCCCTTCGACCCCAAGGCGCTCAAGGAGAAGTACCTCGCCGAGCGCGACAGGCGCCTGGCTCGCAACGAGGGCGTCGAGCAGTACACGCTCCTCGATGGCAAGCTCACGCGCTACCTGAAGGACCCATGGGTCGAGCCTGGATTCACGCGCACCCCTGTCACGGAGGAGACGCAGGTCGTGATTGTGGGCGGCGGGTACGGGGCGCAGGTCGTAGCGGTGCGCCTGCAGGAGGCGGGGATCACGGACTTTCGGATTGTGGAAAAGGCCGGGGATTTCGGCGGGACGTGGTATGTGTTTCGTGTGCTGTGAGAGTGCGTGGGTTTGGCTGACGTTGCAGGTACTGGAATCGCTACCCAGGTTTGTTGTAGGCGCTGCTGAGTCGGGGGACTGGATGTACTGACGAGGATGCAGGTGCGCAGTGTGATATCGAGTCTTACATTTATATGCCGCTGCTCGAGGAGATTGGGTATATGCCAACGGAGAAGTATGCGAAAGCAAAAGAACTGCTCAGGCACTCGCGGATGATTGGTGAGAAATTCGGTCTGTACTCGAAAGCTTTGTTTCAGACAGAGGTTGACGAGATGCGATGGCACGAGGAGGAGGGCAAGTGGGCCACACACACCTCACGTGGCGACGTGATCAAGTCGCGGTTTATCATCGCTGCGGCAGGACCACTGCACCGACCGAAATTCCCTGGCTTGAAAGGCATTGAGGACTTCCAGGGTCACTCGTTCCATTCATCACGGTGGGACTTCGACTACACTGGAGGCGACCCTTCTGGTAATCTGCACAAGCTGAAGGACAAGCGTGTGGGTATCATTGGGACAGGTGCTACTGCAGTTCAGATTGTCCCACACCTCGGCGAGTGGGCAAAGCACGTGTATGTCTTCCAGCGCACTCCGTCGTCGATTGATGTACGCGAAAACAGGCCTACCGATCAGGAGTGGGTGAAGAACCTGCAGCCCGGGTGGCAGAAGCACCGCATGGACAACTTCGACAGTCTCCTCAACGGTGGCAATGAGCCTGAAGACCTAGTAGGCGACCGCTGGACAGACATCATCCGGTCCCTCCTGACCGCCAAAGGCGACCCGACCGCAGACCCCGCAGCCTTCGCCGCCCAAATCCAGCTCGCCGACTTCAAGAAGATGGAGAGCATCCGCGCCCGCTGCGACTCAGTCGTCCAAGACAAAGAAACCGCCGACGCCCTCAAACCCTGGTACAACCAGTTCTGCAAACGCCCCTGCTTCCACGACGAATACCTGGACACCTTCAACCGGCCCAACGTCACCCTGGTCGATACCCATGGTCAGGGCGTCGACCATCTCACCTCTTCTGGCGTCGTCGCCAATGGTAAGGAGTACGGCCTCGACTGCCTCATCTACGCCACCGGCTTCGAGCTCGCGAACAACTGGTCGCACAAGACCGGCATCGAGATCTACGGCCGCGACAACTGCACCATCTCCCAGAAATGGGCAGACGGCGCGTCTACGCTGCACGGCTGGGCCAGTCGCGGCTTCCCCAACTGCCTGTGGGTCAGCATCGTGCAGGCCGCGTTGACGCCGAACTTCATGCACGTCACTGCGGCGCAGGCGGCGCACTTTGCGTATGTCATTTCCGAGTGTGCCAGGCGCGGTGTCAGGACGGTCGAGCCCACGCAGCGCGCTGAGGAGGAGTGGTGCGATACCATCGTCAAGGGGGCGTCGGTGCGCGCTGACTTCTTTGGCGAGTGTACGCCAGGGTACTATAACAATGAGGGCCAGCCCAGTGCGGCGGCAGCACGGAACGGGACGTATGCGTATGGAAGTCAGGCATTTATTAAGATCCTGGAGGCCTGGAGGGAGAAGGGCGATCTGGAGGGGTTGGAGGTGAAGTACTTCGAGCAGGGGCCGGTAGCTGCCAACTTGTAGATGGATATCATTACTGTTCGTTACGCAACGCTGCTATATCAGATACATATCGCCCATCATTTTATGCCCAACGCCAAACTCCCGCATGCTGTTCAAAACTCACCGACCCGCACTTCGCCCACGAAACTCGGCGTCAAGAAATCCCCCACCTCGCCCTCGTCCGGCGGCGTATTCGGCCCCACACTGCTCATCTTGCGCCGTTTCCCCGCCCCGCGCATCTCGCGCTCGCACTCCAGCTCGTCCCGCAACCGCTCCGCCTCGCTCTCCTTCTCCTTCCACAGCCTTAGCACCGCGCCCCTCTCTTCCTCAATCCGACGCGCCTCGTCCTCCCCCTCCGCCCGAATAAACGCAAGCAGCGCATCGCGCCCCGCCGCCGCCGCGTCCTCGCCCTGCAGACTCGTGCCCGTGGAGCACCCGATCGCGCCGAGCAGCGCGCCAGTGGGCGACAGAATGGGCAGGCCGCCTGGGAGCGTGCAGATGCGCGGGCTGGGCGGGGGGTGGTCTGAGAGCGCCGAGGTGGGCAGGCGGGTCGATGCGGAGGTGGCGGCCATGGCGATGGCGGTGTCGATGGAGGAGAGTTTTGCGCCGTCCAGGCGCGTGAAGGTGAGAAGGTGGGTGTGTGCGTCGACGATGGCGATGCTCATTGCGAGACCGAGGTCGGTGGCGTGGAGCGAGGCGGCTTGGAGGGCTATGGTGGCGCCGGTCTGGGTGAGTGTGGGGAGGGATACGACGGCGGTTGTTATTGTTGCCATGATTGATGTGGCTCCAGTGGGATAGGGTGTTCAGCGGCTAGGCGAAGTGTCGGTTCGCATATGCTGCTGTGAGCCTACGATGGTGGATGAAGAACTCGGAGAAGGCTGAGAATGCACAGCCTAAAGCGAGAAGCAGCAAAGCAGCAGTCATGGAAGTTTGCGGTGTGACACGCGACAGTGGAGGCTGCTGCTCTTGTACCTACTCGTAACAAGCGCTGCCGGGAACCCAGTTCAGATGTGGAGAAAGCGGTCGGTCCAGGACCCAGAATCCGGGGCACAATCACGCATCATATCTAGTACAGGCATTGGATCTTTCGACTCGGATTACTGGGATGTGCTGCAATCTTGAGCTCTCGAATGTGTAGGCCCGGATTCATTGTCCCGAAAGGGAAATTATTGGTACCTTACTGTGGAGAACTTGACAGTTTCGCTTAAGGTGGTCAGGACAGACATCCAGCCTATCGATCGGTACGGGTCCCGTTGGTTCGAGCCAGTAATGGAAATCAGTAGTCGCCCACTCGGATTGCAATGCCGGCGTGGATGTGCGGTGACTGTGGCATGAGAATTTTCTGAGGGAAGGTATCCTATATGCAATGTCAGTGCCGCGTTTTTGACGTTAGCATTTCATTAATTCTGAGACGTGTGCTAGGCTGTGACTAACATCAGCAAAATGTCGCAGTTGTGGTGTAAGGTTCATAGTGGAGATGAAGGTTGTGTCATAGCTGCTAACTCGGAACGGACTGGTCCGAACGTTTGACGACGCAACACGAACATCCAGTCTTCACCGAGTCACTTGAAAGCCTAAAATCTAATCTCACTTTGTGAACCAATCTCTTACATAGGCTCTTTACTTACATCCAGTCGGCTTCATCGCAGCTGTGTGTGGGATCCCAACAAGGGACGCCACTCTGTTTTCCAGCACACTGTCTCTCGTGCAAGGCCCACGCGGATCATTCGGAGGCAGATTACTTCCAAAGCGTGCATTCAGCGAAACACGAAAGAATGGTGCTCGAGACTAAGATAGGTTTTCTTTGGGCTGGCTTTGTCTGATCTCCCTTGTTCTTTCCCCGTTACAGCCTTTGTCCAAAATTCTAATTGACAAGCGAGTTTGATTGCCGTTGTATAACTGGGCTCATCTATCAGTCAAACCTCCAATCTTCCTATTCACCCAGTCAGACCCATTCATAACAGACCTATACAGCTATCAAACCTTTCGAAAACGCACAGCAGCCCATCCTAGGCCAAGAATCATGACGACTACGGCAAACTTCCTACGACAGTCCCCCACTACCAAACTCGACTCCGCCACTCACATCTCGACAGTTTATACCAAAACAGTCTCATACATTACACAGACATCGTATTTTGGAATAGAACGTGCGGCCACAGCGCTACCTCCGGTCACGATATACAAGACGCTCGTCGAGGAGACACTCGTCAGAGACACACACAATGATACCCCACTTCTCTTGTTTTTAGATTCTATTGCGTTCTGGATCATACTTTTCACTATTATAATGTACTTCCTGGGCCTGTCCATTGTGGTCACACCTGTTAGAAATGACGAGCAGGACCCAGAGCCTACGCCTGAACAAGGAAACCCGAACATTTGATCGAAAGTAAGACAATTTCATCTCATTTATGAAGTCCAGTGCAGCAACAACGAACCGAATGCACACATGAGGAAGAGCTTGACGATCGCCAGCATGCTCATCCAGGTAACCCGGCGACGAAGTGCCAAGTCGAATCCTCAGAGACGAATGGAGAAGCCTATGAGTACAGCAGTGAGCAATTACAAGTCCCGCTCAGCGTCGCTTGGATGTTTCCGCCAAATTAGCCGGCCGAAGAAAAGCTGAAGAACAGCTTAGCAGCACGCGTGAAGTTCGTCACCAATGTTAATTTGTGTCTGAAAGGGGTAGACAATGGCGGACCAGACGATAAGGGCGAGTGCCTTAAATACTCAATAATCTTCACAAGCTGTTGCAGTAAATGCGTGATAGATACACTTGAGCTGGAAAAGTGGCAGCGGCACCAATTGTTTTGTGATACGGCTGGATCGAGGGATAGTCAAGGGAAGTATTGGATTTAACTTAGCTCTTCTTTTGGACTGTTTTGTATAGTTTGCGTACGGATGGCGCTTCTTGCGGATTCGGCAGTACAGTAAACTGTATTTACTACTCAGTTCAGGATGAGTTCCGGCGGTACTCGGCGGTGATTCTCAAATGCGCTCAATTTACCCTTTCATGATTTCTCTAATCTGCAGCGTGATGTGAACTTGCAGGTGCTGCGACAGGACGAGCAAAAGCTAAGCCGCTCTGGGACTGGTGCATAGCTGCATAATCTCATGGGCTGTTCAACCTGTTCTTCCAACCTCACATCACGCAAGACATCCTGTTCACATTGTTTATCATCAGTATTGGCATTTAAAACCGTAAACTACGTTTCGGCCGTGTCTCATGTCCCAAATGCGCCATGTCCACTCCCGCGGTACCAAGGCCTGAGAGGTCTTGCCATGGCAGCGCAGCTAGCGGCGGTGCCTGTTACCAAGAGCCAATCCGACCATGATCATCCTTACGACTTTCTCGGCACCATCCTTCACAAGGCCCTCGGTCTGTACAATTGCTTCCTCTAGCGTGAGCGGTCCTCTCATGATGCTTGTGAAGGCTTTGATACCTGCCCCATAGCATCCATCCGCTCCTTCTCCGATGGTTCCAGCTAGCGCAACCACCTGCGCTCCGCGTCGCTTTGCTCGGCGAGCAACCTCTGTCGTCATTTTGCCTTGGGTCGACTGTGAGTCGAGACTTCCCTCGGCAGTGATGACAAAATCCCACTGCTTTTCAAAGACTCGGTCAAACTCGAAGTACTCATTGATGGCATCGCTCCGAGCCCGCAGCCTGGCGCCAAGCATCATCAAGCCCGCACCAAGACCTCCGCTCGCGCCGCTACCAGGGGCGTTCGAAATGTCTCTCCTTAGTGTATCCTGCGCAACCTGGGCGAATCGGTCCAACGCATCCGCGAGCAAGTCCACTTGGTCCGGAGTAGCACCTTTCTGAGGGCCGTACACTCGTGCAACTCCCCTAGGGCCGCAAAGAACGTTCTTGACATTGCACACGGCTTCAATTTGAACTTTGTTGGCTGTCAATGTGTCAGAGTCGTTACGATCAAGTGATCGGAGTTTACTTACCAGCATCTTTGCGCAGTCGAGGATGAACACTGCACCAGCAGATCTTTGCCAGGCGTGACAGTCCCTGACCTCCGCCTGCCTTGGAAAGTTCTGCGCCTTCGGCATCAAGAAGACGAACGCCGAGTGCCTGAAGCATACCCGCGCCGCCATCAGAAGTCCCTGAATCTCCGCAGCCTATGATGATCTTGGTGCATCCGCTATCTAACGCTATCCTGATCAGCTCTCCGACACCATATGTGGTGGTCACCGTTGGGTCGCGTGATTCCTTTGGAACAAGACGAAGCCCAGCAGCTGCAGCCATGTCCAGAACAGCTGTCTTGTTATCTTCATGGACAAACCCCAGATGTGACTGCACAGGCTCGCCAATGGGACCTGTCACGGTCGCATCTACGATTTTGCCGCCGTGAGCCGCCACCAAAGCCCGAGCAAAGCCTTCCCCGCCATCGTGCAGTGGAAGTTTTCGGATTACTACTGATTTCTCGTCTAGAACCTTTCGGCAGCCGGCTTCGATTGCATCCGCTACGTGTTCTGGCCCAAGACTTTCCTTGAAGCCGGAAGGCGCAATCAGGATTCTAAGCGGATGTCCACCCAGAATCTCTGACGTCGGTGTAGGCAGAAGAGTCGATGCCGAAAGTAGGACCTCGTCAATCTGCTGTTGAGGCAGGTTGAAGGTCTTCAAGGTGCGAAGCCTAGGTAGCTTTGGTCGGCTGGCTAGTGTGTCTGGCACCACAGCTGGAGCGCAGCTGTCGGCACCTCCAGGAAGCATGGTGAGCATGGTATGTTGGTTGAAGTAAGATGGATGTTCTGAAAGAAACAGTGATGTTTGAATGCAAGTGAGCGTTGAAGCGTATTGACAGCTTTTCAAGAGTGTAGAAGCGAATGCGGTTCAGAGCTGCTTGCTGATGCTGTCCAGAGTTGAGCACGCGACACTTCTTATATTCATCAAAGACGTTCTCCCGACTCAATTAGCATCCTCCAAAGACCGTCTCAGGCCACACAGCCTGACGATAACGGTACTACCCTGAATGATGCACAATACACCGCCATGGAGACACGCTTGGAGCCTTAGGATGCAGCCAACCATTCGAACCGAAACGTCACTAACTTGCGGTATACCATCCGCTGATGAACTGCTTCCATTCATAGACTCACTGTTGTCGACACAGCCGAGCATTACGACTACTGAGACATAGCCATTCACCAAGGCTGTCTAGATCGCCGTACCTTATCAACAAGCTCTCTATGTCCCACTGATTAAGTCTTGACCCGCAAGTCCGTTTGAATTTCCTTGCAGATCCAAGTCTCTTGACGTTGCTCGGCTAGCCAATCAGGGTTGATCACGTGCATTCACCAAGCGTATTGGCGAATCCAAGTCGTGCAGCGCCCAAGATACTCTTGGCGACACAGCCAGGCTGGTGACGTCTACAAAGAAGGCTGCAAACTAAGATGAAGATCCACATTGCGATACCCGACCGAGATCTATATGTTCTCCCATTGGTTCCAAGGCTCGGGGTACACTTGCTTGCCACGCGAACCGATGATCTTGTTTCTATTCCTGTTCAGTCACAGCCTGAATGCCTGGACGCTACATGTTGCAAGTATGACTTTGAGTCGCGTGGCATCATACGAGATGGCATTGGAGGCTTGACTTAGCTGTCGGGTTGGCTAAGTCAATGCCAGCCTTGTGGAAATAACACAATCAGCCTCTTTGATGATCATTTTCCCAACACTGCCCCATAACCTCAATATTGGCAGAGTAAAAATCTGAATATATGACAACGAAATATCTGCAGACTCCATGCTGGCACTGAGTTTACGGTCGCTTCACTAATGCTCTCTTGTACATTTGTTTCACGAAATTCACGACACTCGTTCAGTATGCGTCTACCCGAGAGGCTTTATGCGAAAGCTTCCATCAGCGACGATGCAAGTCGCCGTGACTCGCATGAGCTGCCGAGATTCTCGTTCGAGGGAGATGACAGGCCGCTGGTCAGCACTGAGCGTCTTTTCAATCAGTGGTCTCAGGATGAGGAGACGGCATACAATCCTGGGTTCAATGCGATAGAAAGTGCACTAAAACTGGAACAAGACATCATTGTAAGTGCAGATGTATATGCATCTATACAAAGGCTGACGCGTACTGCAGATCACCTGGGATGGTCCGAATGATCCTGCGAATCCTCTCAATTGGTCTCAGTCACGCAAGTGGGTCGTCACAATGCTCGGTGCGTCTGCTCACCACAGCTCCTTTGTATGCTGATCATACCGCTGACGCATTAGCAGTGTCAATGTTCACCTTTATCAGTCCTTTTTCTTCAACTATGGTCACTCCAGCATTGCCCGTCATCGCAGATGACTTTGACATACCCGAAGGTTTCATGCGCCAACTTGTCATGACAATTTTCCTCCTTGGTTATGCCCAGGGCCCTTTTGTATTGGCACCACTGAGTGAGATCTATGGACGAGTGACAGTCTTACAGTATGCCAACTTGATATACCTTGTGTTCAACACAGCTTGTGGCTTCGCACAGACTAAAGAACAAATGCTCGCCTTCCGCTTCTTAAGCGGCTTAGGTGGAGCAGCACCCCAAGCAGTAAGTTTATGTTCCACTTCAACACTCACACGCGAATACCTCGTGCACCTACTGACTGGTAACTAGCTTTGTAACGGTGTTCTTGCTGACACCTGGCGTAAAGAAGAACGCGGAAAGGGCCAAGCTATCTATGGCATGCTTACCTGGATCAGTCCTTGTGTAGCTCCCATTTGCGGTGCATACATCTCGCAAGGCGTAAGCTGGCGCTGGATCTTTTGGGCAACGTCCATCTTCACAGTGTTCGTCCAGGTCACCGCGTTCTTCTTTCTTCGCGAAACCTTCGCTCCGGCCATCCTGGCAAAGAAGGCAAAACTCATAAGGAAATCCCTCAAGGGCATCCGCAAAGATGTCGTCGTACGCACGGAGTACGAGACTGGCGATCGTTTTAGCAAAATCCTGCGCAAGCGGCTGATCTTGCCATTCATCATGATGTTCACACATCCGGCGACGCAAGCACCCTCCATATATCGCGCGTACCTCTACGGTGTGATGTACCTCATGCTCTCAACCTTTCCACTGGTCTTTGAAGAAGTCTATGATATGGACATTGGTCCCGCATCTCTTAACTACCTATCCATGTGTGCTGGCTTCATGATTGGGTTGCAGATCTCGCATCCACTCATGGACGGTGTAAGTGCCTACAAGTTGCCGTTCGGAAGTATTTCACTAACACCGTGTAGCTCTATGCTCGTATGAAGACATACTACAATGTCGAAGAAGGTCTCCCCGAATTTCGCGTTCCGCCCATGCTCATCGCCGGCATCCTCTGCCCCATCGGGCTGTTCATATACGGCTGGACCGCGCAAGCACGCGTACACTGGATTGTACCAAACATAGGCTGCGCTATCGTAGCCATTGGCATGATCATTGGTTTCCAGTGCAGCCAGGCGTATACCACGGATGCATACGAGGCGAAGTACGCCGCTTCAGCTGCGGCAGTCGGTGCGTTTATGCGTACGATGTGTGGATTCAGTTTCCCGCTATTTGCAGTGCAGATGTATGAAACTCTAGGCCTAGGATGGGGAAACAGCTTACTGGCTTTCATGACGCTCGGCTTGGCCCTAGCTAGTCCAGTATTGCTGTGGTTTTATGGGCCGAAATTGAGGGCTATGAGCACGAGGGGGTTGCTTTAGATGAGTGAGTAGAGCAGTGTAAACCATGATTTATGACTTATGAGTTTGCCCAGCGAGGAGTTCCGGGCAGCATTATTAGATATGATAGCACTTACCTTCAATAAGCAACACGTCTGTAAATCACAAGACACTTTCCAACAAAACTGCATCGGGCTATTACTTCGCTTCCAGAGACTTTCATCATTTATCTCTCGCAATAGCAGTTTGCTGTTTGACGCCGAGAACGTCATTCTGCACATTTGCCGGTTTCGGCATCCACTCCCCACACCAAAAACCCCACAGCCTCACGCGACTGCGAAATAACGAACGGACCGATCCACTAGCACGAGATTTGACAAGCGTTCTTTCCCTAGTCTGCACCACGGCAAAGCAGCTCGGTAGATACTCGGATAAGTGGTCCCTTCCTTTCCAAATTTCGAATGTATCATTGTCTACATCATCGTGAATATTTTCTTGTCGCTTGACTGTCAATTACAATCGCAGCTTCCATAGGCATTCCTCTCCAATATGCCATACTTGAGCTCACAGCCAAAGATCCTCATCGCAGGCGCTGGGATTGGCGGCCTCACGGCTGCGCTCTCGCTCCATGCAGCAGGTTTCACTGACATCCAACTCTTCGAAGCATCATCAACGCTGACGACACTCGGTGTTGGTATCAACGTGCAACCTTCAGCTGTTCTCATTCTGCGAAATCTCGGCCTGCTGGAGGCTCTGGAGAAGACTGGAATTCAAACGGCAGAGCTGAATTTCTACAACCGACATGGCGATTCTATCCTCAGTGAACCCCGTGGAAAACACGCTGGCTACGCTGTACCTCAGTTCTCGATCCACAGAGGCGAATTCCAGATGCTGCTGCTTAGTGCTGTGAAAGAACGTCTCGGCGAGGAGTCGGTGCATCTCAACCACGCCTTGACTGGCTTCGAGCAGACCGAAAAGAGCATTACAGCGCGATTTTCACAGCGACGAGATAATGCATCCGCCGAGCTATCTGGCATCTCTGGTGACATATTGATCGCAGCTGACGGGATCAACTCGACCGCACGACGTATTCTGTACCCCAACGAGGGTCCACCAAAGTTTTCGGGCCGTATGCTGTGGCGCGGATGTCTGAAACGCGAGCCGTATTTGACTGGCGCAAGTATGGTATGGGCTGGCCATGCGGATCAAAAGTTCATCGCGTACCCTATCTCACAACGTTCAGCAGACGAGGGCAAGAGTCTCGTGAACTGGATTGCGGAATTGCGCATCCGAGGAAAAGACGACGAGGACCTTACTCCGCCAAAGACTGATTGGACAAAGGCCGTCGACAAAAGCGTGTTTGAAGGACCGTTCGAGAGTTGGAAGTGCGGTGGTCTCGAGATGAAGGACTTGATTGATAAGACAGAGAAGGTGTTTGAGTTTCCTATGTCTGATCGTGACCCGGTTGAGAAATGGTCGTTTGGCAGGCTGACATTGTTGGGCGACGCGGCACACGCCATGTACCCCATTGGATCGAACGGCGCGTCACAAGCCATCATTGATGCAGAAACGTTAGCGAAGCATCTCGAAACCCGAACATCGGATGTTGTGGCGGCGCTCAAAGCGTATGAACTCGAGCGACTACCTCCCACAGCGAAGATTGTCATGGCAAACCGTGCGAACGGACCAGACCACGTCTTGCAGATGGCTGAAGAAAGAGCACCAGACGGATTCAAGAACATCTACGACGTTATTCCAAAGGATGAGTTGGAATCGATTGGGACCGCGTATAAAAAGGTTGCTGGATTCGAGATGGAGAGCGTCAATGTCAAGGCAAAGGAAACTGATGGGGAAAGCGAAAGACTGCAGCTCAAAAGCCCCAAGGATTGGATTTAAATGCCGGAATAGAGTTTTGTTCAGGCATGAGTACAGGAGGGATATCCCTCCGACTGATAGCTCGCAGGTATCCATTGGGAGCTTGGCCGGTCCTGAACAGCTGCACTACTCTCCCAGAGCTTCTAAATCGCTGAAAGCATACCGTGCCGGCACAGTGTACCAGCCCAACGTATTTATTCCCCCGTAGAAACTTGTTACAGCAACGCACCAATCGAATGTTGAGCCGCACCACCAACACAAGTCAGTTCTTGCTTAGGGCCGCAAAATGGTACGACAACGAATGGTCGTTGAAAGATGATAAGTAGCAAGCTGTTAAGCAGTCTTGCGAGAGGCCGGTGCATACTTTCCAAACACGAGCTCGCTGGTGCCGGTTTCAAGAGCCAACACAGCGAATTGACCGATGTTGCCAGCAGCATCGTCGCACGCAAACACTCGTCCGTCTGGCAGGTGAAATTACATGGCTTTCAACGTCGTGACTACTACTTAGCCACGTTGGCAATGCGCCTGTTTGAGACTCAACCAGTTGTGCTGTCCTTCCGGCAAAAGATGGCGACGCCCAAAACGGTCGCATGTCAATTTGTGCGACCCGAGCCATGGCGATGACGCAGCTGATAACACAAGGTCGCCCAATTCCCATATGTGGGCTATGCATTTCTTTGACTGACCTCCACTGCGGCCAGTCCTGGCGCTGAGACTATTACAGTTCGGAGTACGAGGACGTATCGCAGACAAAGCAACGTGTGACAAGCCGTTCACCTTGAAAGCCTCCTAATGACACTAACAGTATATGAGTATCGAGCTGCTCCTTGTATTGATACTTGAACTACTTCTGCAAGCTACTTCTCGTGTTGTAAGATCTCACTAGCCCTCGCCTTGATCTTCTGGACACCCAATCTCGCCTCGTTACAGCACACAACATGCCCGACCTCGAATCAATGCGCCGCCGACTATCCAGTATAGCAAAGCCTGTTCCAGAACTCACCACACCCCCATCTCACACGCACCCTGACGCCCGCCTTCTCGACCCAGATTTCTTCAATATCGGCGCGGACGACTTGACATGGTTTCACGAGGTCAACCTTGCCGTTCGCCATGAAATGGCCAAAACCACCGTTGCAAACGACTATATGCACATCCAGCGCGTCACCGTGTCAGCCTGGAATCTATACCAATCTGACGCATCCCAGCCATGGGCGCGCAATATCGATCCGCGCACCATCGTCGTCGCAGCTATGATATCCTCACTCGGTGCACCCAAATACACTGAAGAGCGCGAGCAGAATGAGAAGAAGTGCGGCTGCAGAAGACCAGATAGCCCTGATCTGATGCAGCATATTGAAGATCATCTACTCTTTGGCTTCCTCCGGCGTCTGGACTGTCCACCTGATGTTGCAGGCCCGGCAGCACTAATCGCCAGTCTCGTCAGTTTCTCTCGCGAGGTTGGCGATAAGGAGGAGATTCGCAAACAGTGTGAAGCTTATCCTGCACTAAGGTTTGTCCAGGATGCAGTCAGGTTGGACGACTTAGGGTGTGTAGGGATCGCGAGACTGGGCGCGCAGAACCAGCGGACAGTGCTCGAGATGGTGTATAGGATGGATGTGAGGTTGCTTCATTATATGGGACTGATGAAAACGAAGGGAGGCAGAAAGGAGGCGGAGAGAAGATGGGCGCAAATGATGGAGTTCAGGGAGGGGCTGCTGTGTCAAACTGACTGCTCTATGGGTCTGACGGATGATTAGAAAGTACTATACCAACTCATTGATGCCACAAGATCACTTGGACCTTCCTGTTGAAAAGAGAAATGGTAATTGTTATGAAGTCCGAATGCCGTAGAAGTAGGGGGAATGCATGTGCTGACAATAGGACTTTCTCTGATCTGGTGTATAAGCAGTAGATGGATGCTCTGACATAGCGCAAAGAGTGTGTGTCGTAAAGCCAAAGTCTGGCTGGTAGCGGAAAATTGAGGAGGTCTTCAGTCAAGCTTTGGCGGCGACTTGAGATATTTGTAGTCGGTGGTGTGCGCAAGCGGATAGCTCACGCCCTATCCTTGGTGATCGAGGGTGACTCATCAAAGGGCGATGCACATAGAGATCTTTAGACAGTCCTGCCCTTTAACTGCATTCGCGATCAGGAAGCAAGTTAGACGATAGAGCGAGCTTATACTGAGTGAAGAGCACAACAGCACGGCTGTGTATATGCATACATCTTGGCATAGGGAGGACTGGTGACACCGTGACAGCGCATCCTGGTAGAGCAACCTCTTGGACTTGACATCCACAAAAGAGTCTCAAGGTCTTAGCATTACGACGCCTCGTTCATCTCTCAAATATAAAATTTTTAGTAGCGAGGGATAGAGAATCGACGGGCAGCCATATCGTCCCTGAAGACTGCCCAGATGTGACCACAAGACAGAGAGAAGCCATCGTGATTTTGCAGAGCGAGTAAAGGCTGACAACAGAGCAACGTACCTGTACCTTGTCTCAATCTGACATACCGGTTCATGTAACAAGGGTATAGCAGTGATGGATTCGAACAATGACAGAATTCCTTCACAGTGAGAGACGATGTAGCACCAGCTTCGCAAGCCCGGTGCTCGGTGGTACTTCGGGCTAAAAGGCTGACTCATCATGGTCCAAGCGCCTCGCCTCCCCAGGTACTTAAGCCTGCCGCTCCCCAACCTTTGAAAGTCATACTTGCACGTCTTCCCCACCCCCACCTACAAGTTCCAGTTGCTAACTACATTCAGACCTTCTTTGGATGTCTGGGCTCAAGATTCCGGTTCATCTATCTTGATCAGCTGCATTGCACAGCGCGGACTGGTTGGGGTATGGCTTTCCTTCGGGGACGCCACAGGGGCAATTTTTGCTGGTCGTTCTTGCTACATGCAAGCTTTTTCATTGACTGCCGTTGCTATGAGCTCGGCGTTGAGGAAGAAGACGTTTGTGAAGCTGAGTGAGACGTAGGTAAGTTTCGTGCAATTGTCCTGCCGTGCGCGCAGAGGGACAAGCTTGGAACCTCGCTGTACTATTGTGTGATGCGCAAGCTTAGAGGTTGCGCAAGCTCAAGTCTGCTATATGTAACTATATGTAACTGTGTCAAGCTCGTCCATGGTATCTCTGTTGCCGCTCGTGTTTGTACAGCTCGCAAGCTGCGCGTCACCACGCGTACAGGTGTTTCTTGCGACAAGGCGCAAATCCGAGCTGCACGCTCTGCTTGGTTAAGAGCCGCGCAGTCAGAACCTCTTGCAAGGCTATCTCGAGGCGCCCGTGTATGTAGCAACGAGCTTCGTAGTGTGTATTACTCCCTCACGCTGTGCGTGATCTCAACCTGCCTTGTCTGTACCCTCGCGCCCGCCCTGTGTGTCTGAGACCCTGCCGGTATCCTCAAGCTCGACTCCAGCATCGCTCTCAAGCTCCACGAGCTCTCCTGCACCTTCTCCACCCGCTTTTGCCTCTTCCAGTGCGCGATACTTCCTCCGTTTCTTCTTGTCGCTGCTGGCCTTCTTCTTGCTGATCTCTCTCCCTTTGACCTTTGTTCTAGCCTCGTCGCCGAGCTCAAGCTCCTCTATTCTATCCTGCAACAGCTTTCTTGCGACCTTGCGATTCAGCGCTCGGCTTCGTGTGTCTTGGTACTTGACAACAATGCCCGTTGGAATGTGCTTGAGTTGCACGGCCGATGACGTCTTGTTGATCTTCTGTCCGCCTGGACCAGAGCCCTTGAGGAAGTTCTCTATGATCTCAGATTCGGGGATTACGCGCCGCGGAGGAAGCTGTTTGGAGAGGAGGAGTGCGCTGCTGTGGAAGGCATGGCGGAGAGTGTGGTAGACAGACAGGCGCTGGCGCAGGAGCGCTGTGACAGGCGTGAAGATTGGCATTGCCGTGTTTCTATGTAAATCAATCATGTATGAACATGGTAGGTGCCAACACAGTGTTGCTACAGCAGCTTGTAGACGTATAACTATGGGTTCCGTGAAATGACGCGCCCAATCTGCTCGCGCCTCTTCCCCGGGCCCTTCCGCGAACGCCAAATGTGAAATGACATGACAACGTCCTGTCCCTGAACGCAACCAGACCACGCCTGTAAACGCACGTACATACGAATTGACTCCACGACACGCCCAATCACACAACTACGCTCTTCAGAACCTTCAAACGGCTCGTCGCATGCCCGACTCAGCAACAGTCGCAACCGCGCTTCTTCTCGCCGCCGCCTCCGGTCTCCTGATCGCTGCAATGCTGTACCCGTCCGCCATGCTACGCTGGTTCCAGCGCAAGCGATACCAATATGAAGTCACATTCTCTCTATACATGTTGACTTCGACTGAGAAGTTCATCTTCAGTACGCGCTCTCCGCCTCCATTCACCAAATCGAATACATTACTCTGCTGTCACTCCCCCCCTACACGCTCGCACAAGCAGAACAGGCATAGCAACGCAGAGCCACGATGCTAACATGATTACGCAGACTCGGTGCTCTTCCTCCTCCTCAGCCTGCTCATCATCGCCGCCTCCCTGTACCTTCCCGAACACCTCAGCATCATCGCAAGCCGCATCTTCTATTACTACAGTGGCAACGAGAACGCACACTCGGGTCACACAAACAAACCGATTGGCGCACCAGCGCCGGGTCACGGCGCCGGACTTGCGGGCAATGGAAGGGGGTTTATGGAGCCGTGAGCGTTGCGTTTTGTTAGCGGTTGGACGATCGACACGACTGGATTATGGAACTGTGAGTCCTGCGATTGCTGGGATGTTGGCATCAGGATGGAATCCTTCAGAATTTCGCATGGGAAGGCGTTGGGCATACGGAGTTGATGTGACTGTCAATGAAGGCTCTGGGATGCTGTGACTGCGATAGATACTACCTAATTATAATACTGCACATGAGAGTTTCATGAGACTGTTCTACGGAGTGATGCCCACTCGTGGAACTGTCAAGGTAGAGGATATCATGATATATTGCACTGCGACGTTGGACGCTCTGTCAGTATCCACAAAGGAACGTGTCCCTCACCGAGACAGCCGCTGTGCCGTGCAGAATTTGCTGAATACGAATATATGAGCATTGAAGGTAAACTATGTATCGCAGCTAGAGTATGTTCGCCTCAAAGGACCAGCAGCTGCCACCCAATGCATGTACTTATGCGGAACACGTCTGATAAACCAAGCTCGATACAATGTACACATGTAGTAGAAACGTACTGTCGTAGCGTCGTGAGAACAAGCATAAAGCTCGGACAGAACCGAAAGATAGCGTATACCAGAAGCAATCTAGCACTTGAATGCGCTAGAGCCAGGTCCTAGCCAAAGACTGTCCGAACTGCGCGCTCGAGTGTAAGGGGGTCATAGTCGTCAAGGGTGATGAGAGCCGGGAAGTCGGAAACTGCTTGTTCGTGTACTGCCATCTGAGCACCCTTGCTGATAATGGCCAAGAGAACGACAGGTACCGATACCATCGATGAATCCTTTTCGACCATGCGTGCAATGCCTCGGGCGAACTTGAGTTGCCGCCCAAAGGCCTCCGGGTTGTGACCGAGCACGTTCTCAGTAGCGCAGATGACAACAAGCACAACCCCGCTTGCAGATAAGAAATAAGGATGTAAGTCGGTCATGCCGAGCTCCATGCGGAACGGCACGTGGCGGACTGCCCTCGGGAGCGCCCGTCCGAGCGGCTCAAACGGATCCATGTCCTTGACCAGTGTCGTCGACGGCGAGTGAGGTACTACAGGTGTAAACAGGGTAATGACCTCTGCCTCGTTGAGACTTCTCAGGCGACTCAGTATATGCGAAGGGCACCGAACCAGAACGGCTTTGCCAGCAGTTGGCTGCTGCGAGTCGGCTCTCGGTGAACACCTCAGTTTGTATTCGCCCATTTCGATCGTTTCTTGACTTCAGGTGAGGGAGGCAGCGGCGTGTTGTTGGTTCTCCACGATTGATCAAATAGTTGATCGTAGTCGTTCTTTGTATGTCGTGCTTGAGGCGCTCACGAAGCTTCTTGCCTGAGCGATGTTCTTTGGTGGAAGCCCACAAGACGCTCGAGAGAAGGTTGATGTAGCAGATGTACGACGCCTGATAATACAGGTGCTTTTAGACTGCTTCGTGGCTGAGAAAGGGCCAGGAGACTAATTGTAAGTTGCGAAAAAGTGTGCCGCCGGGAGAAACTGCAGTGATGTGGTGTGAGAAACATTCACAGAGCATCCTGTAGTTATATCCGTCAGTATACCGCTCATCATCCTTTGCGTGCCACAGCATATGAAAACGAGACTGTGGTACAAGAAGTACGCATGCTCTGTGAGAGTTGAAGGGCAGGTATTCGAGTCCGCTAACCAGCAGTCAGCGAACGAACGGCTGCCGTCTCCAGGAAGCCCTGAGCCATCGCTGACACACAACATGAGTAGGCCTGCGGCGTGGGTTACACAGAGGAAGTGTGTGATAGTCTTGAACGGATATTGCTTTGGCCGGTCATGGAACGTTGAGCGAAGCGAAGGTCCTTCTTTACTAGTGTCCTTGCGAGAGGCAGACCAAGTATAGCGTGGCAACTACGAATGGAACTCCTCAGCTCTGCTGAACACCAAAATACGTCGAAATGCCAAATGAGCTGAAAACATCTCCTTCTGTTTGGGATCGAAGACAAGGTCTGCTGCTCATGGCTCAACACCCTCCCCGCCGGCCTGAGCAAGGATCCCTGAGCAAGAGCTGGTCACTGAAAGTGAGCACCCAGCCAGTGACCGAATAAAGATCAGCTGCATCTACCCGCCAGACGCATGGCGTGGTTTACTCTGCGTGTGGCGTACGGGGGTCAGTACGATTTGAGCGGGCTGTGCAGCACCGTTGTCAAATTGAACGCTGACGAACAGGGTATTTGGCCATTCATGGAACCAGAAATGCGCGCTAGCCGATGATGAATATCATTCAATGCTGATTGTGTAACGTGATATATGCGGCGACGGGCATCTGCAATGCATGCTCTGTATCAAGGCGAATCTGCGTGACATCTGCAAGATACTTTGCATGACTGGCGGTGGACAACCCGCGACGGACTAGCCGAGTGCTGTGCTCCGTAGGGGGTGCCAATGCGCAAGACAAATCGTAAAGCGTGTGGTGACATCCGCTCACGATGAACCCTGATCAGATATCCGATGCAATCGAACGGCGACACAGAACGTGGTTTAGCAATGTGTGAGGATGTGAATAACGGCTGGTTGTTGTTGCCTCGCTTATTTAGCGTCCCAGGGGCAGGCGCGATGAAGCTGTAAACACCATGACGACGCGCTCAAGTGACCTGTCACTTTAGGCGGTAATGCGCTCTTTATCAACTGGTGGCGCAATGAAATCATAATGCCATTCATTGCTGGTATGTCATTGCTTCAGCTAAGGCGTACTGATCTAACACCGTAATAGAGGAGCAGCCTTCGCTGGGTGACGCGCTAGAGTCGTTGCATAAGGGCACGTATCATGATCAATGCGCATATGCAAGAGACAGCAGAGCTAACACAGTGCAACAGCATCACAGACTACTCCAAAGCAACGGACCGTCAAAGTCTCTGCGATTGTTGACTACGTCTGTCAACACGCGTTTGCCGATGGTCTCGACGAGGAAGCTCTAGAGACTGTCGTACACATTGCGACAAGGAAGTCAGAATTAGATCAGACGAGTGTTACAACGTTGATCAAAAACCTGTACCCCGCGCAGCAGGTAGCCGGCGATGTGATCGTCACTATAGTAGCCGCACTAGGTCAGGGTAAAGGTAAACCATCACCAGCCACGCAAGACAGCCTCGTAAGGTGGCTCGTGCTCGTACACGAGATCATTGAGGATGCCAACATTCTCTCTAGACTGTATGGTGTCCTATTTGGGATGTTGGACACGATCAGTATCAGGTCTGCAACTACACTAATGATTCTTTGACAGCTCAAGCTGACCCGCACAGAACATCACTGTGCCATCTGCTGTCTTTGATCACACGTAGGAAACATGTGAAACCCTTCAGAATCCAGCAACTGTGCGTTTGACAGACCCAAATGCGGCAATCCGTCCGGCGAGAGTGTGGGCTGACCAGACTCACAGTCTCGATTTGTCCCGCGGCCTTGGAAACGAACCTGCCCTTCAAGGCCTTCTCCGCGTTTACAAGGACTACTACCCAGACATTATTCTTGGAATCGCGTCCACGAACCGGAAGTCGTTCGCACCGGTAAGAATCCGTTCACACTGTGTAATGTTGGACGCAAAGCGGGGATGTTCTGGCAGGGCTGCAGCTTCACGTGTTACACCGTTGATCAGTACTGACGGCATAGCAACCTGACATAGAGTGGCGAACTAGGGTGCGTACAATCCAAGAAGCTCGCACCGCGGCAGCCGACTCCACAATTGGACGGCATGATGGCTTCAAGGTTCTTCGACGCGGACCAAAGCGAACAAAAGCATCGGTGTTGCCCGATGTCCATAGTTATCACTCTGTTGAGGTCGGTTCTTCCAATACCTGCATTCGTCCTCTAATTACTGACATATGACAGAGCTCTGTGACACTAGAAGGTATCGATGGCGTCGAGGCCTTTGTAGGAAAGCTTGACAGGATCGAGCCTCCTGGGCAACTCATCTCTTTTCTCACAGACCCACTTCTGCAGAAATATGTTGAATTGAAGCCGTCACCAGTTTTATCCACGAGAATAGACCTATGGCTCGCGACATGTCTCGAAGAGCAACTCAGTGCTGCAGCTTCGAAGGCCGAGGATACTGCTTTCTTGGCCGAATTGCTTCACGGTCTTTTGCATCATGCACGGTATACTAAGGTGTGTATCATAACAAGTCGATATTGCATTTGCTGACCACTACGCAGGGGCTGCTGTCCATTGTCCCAGCCTTCATGAAAGAGTACCTTGCGGGTTGGAATGGTTACGACCACGTCGATGTTATCCTAGGTCTACTTGCCTACATCCCAGGAGACTCCTTCGAAGATGTTCATGCGGAGTACATCTCTCAAGCAGAGCGCGTGCTGTTGAGTAGCGGCCCATCATCGTACCCTTATCTGGCCAATTTCTACACAGATATGCTGCGTCATCGCATTACCAACCTTGCCGTGCAAGAGCCTGAGCGTCGTCAACCTGCGCTCAGCTCACCTGGGCAGCAGTTTCTGAAAGATTCGGTCTCACATTTCGCAACACTGTCGACTTCTCTGCTTCTGTCTTCATCTTCAGAGATGGAAACTGAAGTCGTTTCCTCCATTCTCGTCTACTGGGAACTGCTTTCCGCATCTTCCAAGCCGCACGTCATCCCGATTTCGCTTCCACCAATGCATCTTGTTTATCATATGATGCAAAGTCCATCGGCTGATGTAGTGTCCCGAATCTGCGGCATCATCGGTAGTTACAAGCAGGCTTTCGACGCGCACCCCAGGCCGGTCAAGTACTACTATCCAAGCGAGGTGACAGACGGGCTCAACTGGTGCTTGCGCGATGTCTACAACCTCTTCTGGGTAGCTCGTGGTCTCGCAGTCGCGGAAAATAAGTCCCTTGGGATGCATTGTACACCGTCACTACGCTCATCGCTTAACGACTATCTAAAAGGTCTGAATCACGAACACGCCATCGGACATGCTTTCAATCTGTCAAACAACGCGTGGCTTGCATCGATGTCTTCTGCAGCATGGCGTGCACTCGAGAATCGAGAGATCAACAAGGAAGGGTATGATCTGGCTAGTATTAAGCGGCATGCAGGCCCTGTAAGTCAGCAGAGCTTGGCATCTCTGAGGGAAGGGGGTGTCAACGTAGAATGGGATGGCGCCAGTGGATACAAAGTGTTTGTACTGAACTGGCTGGCCGAGCGCGGACTGGGAGGGTTGAGGGAGCTAATGTTTGCTACTGTCACGGATCTCAAAGCAGGGCAAGCAAGTAACACATAGCGCAATGAATGGACGTCGAGCATAACAGGCTATCTTCTTGTGTTTGATAAGCCTTCATCAACTCTGCAACATCGCACGTTCGGCAACAACTCACATCAAAATTAGTAAGACGCTCCCAACGATGCTGAAGTCGCATGCAACGCGTCTCATCAGCCACAGAAAGCAAGTATATTTTTGGTGTTGAGCGTGGAATTGTGGCTGAGCAACGTCATGCAAGGTCTCGGTCCCATCCGAAAGCGCCGAGGATGCCGACTTACCCTTTTCACCCTTTCACGCGACATCATCTAATGATCGTCCGGTTGCCCCAAGCTTGCTGGAAGCAAACTTTATACAGGCATGGCAAGACTCACGATCAGGCGTGTTGCAGATCGATGTCCAGTTGTCGTCCAACCAGTACTGGTGTTATGCACGCCCAGACAACAACGCACCGCTGCCACCATATGCCTGTTTGAACTTCCGGCATTACCCTTCTGACATGCCTCGAATCACACTCCGCTAACAAACAAACTTCACATTCAGCAACCCTGCCACAGGCTTTTCTTCGATCCCTGTCAGTTGTTTCGACATGGCGCAGCCGAGTCGCATGACCTCATACCTAAGCTTGTGTGCCAATACCACGCGTCGCGCAAGTCTGGGGAATGAGCATCGGCTTTGCGCTGCGAACACGCTACGGGTAACGGCAGGGGGCGAGACTCTAGACTCGCATCAGCCCAGGTGCATTGCGCAGGGCTATGGACCCTTGTGTGCGTAGTGAACGTGGCTGACGTTGTTGGCTTGACGTTTGCGTCTCTGCTGGAAACCTGTTCGCATAGGTTTGAAGACGTAGGTATATAACTCTCGCAGTCATAAGCAGCAGAAGCAGTATTCCATCCAAACCCACACAGGCAAACACCTCCAAACAGCCTTTCACACTCACATACGCCTCATCATTCTCACACAGGGTTGACGCCATTGAGCAACAGCCGCAATGATCTTCTCACGCCTCCTCTCTATTATCCTGCGCGTCGCTCAATTTGTCTTCGCAACAGTAGTCCTCGGCCTTACAGCATACTTCATGTACGCGCGCGAACGTCGGGGAGTGGGCCCCTTCGGACGCACCATTTTCGCCATTGTGTGGTCTTCACTCTCCATCATAGTTTCCATCGTCTGGATTATCCCCACCAAGTCGTCGATGGCATCGTATGGCTCTGATTTGCGTACGCTACCCTCCCCACCCTTATGCTAACACACCAAGAGATGAACTAACATACATCAGTCTTCACAGCAGGTTGGGCCGCCGTATTCGCTGTGCTAGTCATATGGTTCAACGGCGCTGGATGTGGAAGCGCGTGGGCGTGGAGCGGCCTCAGCTTGAGTCGCAGCAACTATTGCGGTCAGTGGAAGGCGGCGCAGGCGTTCTCCTTCTTGAGCTTGGTTGTCTGGTTTACGACCTTCGTGCTCGGTGTCATTACTTACCACCGAATCAATGAAGGCACTAGGTAAGTGCCATGTCAATTGAAATGTAAACTAGCGCTAACAGTGATACAGACAGGGCTGGGGTCGTCGCTCGCGTGTCTAGACATAGAGTAAAGTGAGAATTGGGGAGTCGATGTTTGTGCCAGGCTGTTTGGAGTCTTGCGTGCTCGCCTGACTTCCAAGTATGGTCCCTGGGTCTCGTTGGTTGATTTGAGTTCGCTTTACGAAGTCAACGATATCTGTTCAGCGATGGACCGTCACACGAGTGATTTCTCGAGATTATGACACCTAATGTTTTGTATACCAATGAGGCAAGCTTGCATTAAGATTTCACTACTATTTGTATGCAAAAGGTGATGTTTATACCAGCCATGACATAGCCCAAAGACAAACACTGCAAATAACTTGGTTGTAGTTGTGGTGGAACGTTGCTGTTTTTCACCTTCCAACAAGACCAACGTTTAGGGTGCGTATTCTTCGACTCCGTTCCTATCGACTCTCACATACTTCTCTTTATCCATACCATGTGTTGCACGTAAATGGCAGGTGTTCTCATAGCGACAGAAGTTGAAGTCACGTTCGTTGGCGCATTGATGGCCCAGATCTACTCGTCGTCAGAATTTATCTTTCTCAGCATCAGGGGCTAACTCACAGCAGTCAACGTCTTCGCAGTACCTATTATTGCAGGCTAAGCTGCGGGCTTTATAACGCAGGGCATTTAGCTCGCCTGGGCTGAGTTTGGGCTCATGCTGGAAATGGCAAAATTTGCCTTGTGCGCATGAACCGCCTAGATGAAAGTTGTTGCACATCTTTTTTCCACTCTTCTTCATACGAGAGTCGAGACTGTCCCCAGAGTTTCGATCGCGAGCCGGCAGTGGCTCGTCAAGTCTTTGTTCTTTCTTGTTGAAATAAGCGTACTTCTTCTTTGCGTTTGCTTTGAGGCCAGTGGTGGGCGCAATCGAGATACTCTTCGTACGCTCGGTAGTGATCTTGCCAACGCTAGCCCAAGTAGAATCCTCACTCGATTCGGTGGCTGACACGGAAGGTGCAGGTGTACTTGGTGAGGGGCTGACTACCGCTGGTAATGCAGACGCTGCGGGAGGCGTTCTGTTTGTCATTGTACGTACTGGTGGTGGAATTGAGGCCGCAGCTACCGCAGAACTGACAGCAGGAGCAGAATCAGGTAAGGGTTCTTTTTTGAAGACATCATCGAAGTTGGCATGTTTGAAGTTCGGCAATTCCGTGAATCCTCTGTACGCTGGGGTAGATTCGAGAAGGGTGATACGGCTCGCTTTAGCTTCATTGTGCTTGAATTGATCGAGGTTTAGGAGATAGCCGGCGTCGTGACAGCCACCAAAAATGATATGGCGGCAAGTGGGGTTGTCACTGAAGGTGCGCAGCATTTCTATCTTGCTATCAGCTCATGAACATTCTCGTTCCAGGCGTTGGACGCACCTTTAATCTTGTGGTCTGCTCGTTCTTTGCCTTGACCGACATCAATAATACTAAATAAAGACTGATTGACGCTGAATCGCTGAGCGAAGGAGCGGAGCTCCTGAGGATGGCGTAGCAACCCAACCTGCTGTAGTTTGAAAGCTAGCTTGTCGAGGCTCAGATAAACCTGAACCATGATTGGCCAGGTCCCAGAGTTGTTGTACAGAGACGATATGTGATTGTGAATAGCACGGTGCAACCGGGACGCAGCTTCTGAGCCACCGTCACCAGCAGCTGCCTGCAGAAGGGCATCTTGGAACTAACGATAGTTAGTGCAGGCTATCGAAGGGTGTGAGAGGTTGCCAGTTGTGAGGATACAGGGTAATTTCACGGTAAGTCGTTTCACATCGATACTAAATGGAGCCTGTCGAAGCGCAGACTGTCGATTGCACTCAGACGAAAACGAGACTAGAAGCTTATACACTTACGATAGCACCATCTCCATCGATAAGCGCGAGGACGAAAGAGCTAGCATCCTGTAAGAGTTAGTCAGTACAGGCATTCGCAGTACGGAATATTGCCGTGAACTGCTAACGAGAGCAATGTATGAGGATCTGGGCTGTGATACGATGACCGATAATCACTCGAAGGTAGAAATACAGTGGAAGTAACGCATGCGATGGGATCGAGTTCGTTCTTACCAGCTTGCGCTCCTGTTCAATCATAGCTCTCTGCGCATCTTCGACTTTACTCTGATAGTTTCTCCTGCTATCCTTTTCACTCAGATAGTCGCTCTTCACATCGGCATGCTCTTGAAGGAGACCTGAGAGCTTCTCAATAAGTTCCTGTGCTTGTTAGTGTAGGCACGCCTACATGTTCCGCATCGGCTGCGCTTACGTTTACGAGATTGTCTCTCGCATGATCAGCTGCTCGAAAACTCTCCATCTGCCTTAGATAGTGGGTTAGATCGTAGTTCGCCATATTGAGGATTCCGACCATGTGGCTAGGCAAGGTCTACAAAGCACACTCTGGCTGTGAAGGTTACTTGCGCGTCTTTACGGTCCACGGACAGAGGCAACAACAGCGCGTGTGCGGGAGCTAAGCGCTAGCTCGTCTAAGAAGGAAGTGGGGTCAGTCACAGATGCCTCTTGATAGAACGTGAAGGCCAGAGGGTGTAGAAAGTATCCTTTAGTATGGCAAACGAGGATCGATACAACTCAACAAGGCGCAGTCATTCTCTGCACGTAGTTGCTGTGGTGCGGGGCACAGGCGGGCGAGCGTATCGCCCGCTGGACGTGGCACACAAAGGGAACGAGAACACTCAGCCCAGCTGCTCATGCAGCATGCGGCGTCCCGATCGTATCAGCGACGCGTACGAAGCACACAAGGGGACCTAGAAGCTTCGCGCAATTCACCGGTCATTTGCTTGCAGCAACATGCTAGACGATGATGCACTGCTTCGACAGCGCTTACTGTACAGGACAATAATGCAATGCTTACCCAAGAACTAACACGCAGCGGATGTGGAGCCAGAGCCTGTGCATGCACATACTGTAAGATAGAGCATGCGTTCATCAAAAGCACCGAAAGAAGGGACGTTTCGCGACTAAGAGCCGTTATTAACGCCGTGCAGCTCTGCTGGAGCTTCCCCACAAAATGACGCTGATCTCATTAGTGCTGCTGACAACACATCACGAAAGCATTCCACACACGAACTACTTACATAAATCGTAGCGGCAATTGAATGACAATTGCCTACAGAACACGATATCCGATCTCGAGCCTCTTCAGAATCCCTTTAATCCTAAGTTCTCGTGACATTGCACCCTTCCTGTGACTACTTATCATGGCTACCAGCAAGAAAGACACCAGCAGCCCTCCATACGAGCTGCTCTATTGGCCTGGCATCCCAGGACGAGGAGAATTCATTCGACTAGCCTTCGAAGCCGCCGGTGTATCTTACAAAGATACCGCTAACGAGACCGAAGATGGTATGTACAAACCATTAGCTCGACACAGTCGACACAGCAACCCACTGCAATAGCTTCCGACTGCATAACACGACTTCGAGCTGACAGGTACAGGCGTCAAAGCAATCGTATCTCTCATCGATCCTTCCTCCACTGGCGCAGACGGCAACCCGCCTGTGTTCGCACCTCCCGCGCTGCGCGTCCCCGGCGAAGGTTTGAACGGCGAACCGCTCCTGCTGTTCCAAACGCCCTCGATCCTGTCATACCTGGGTCCCAAACTGGACCTCGCAGGCGCCAACACGGCGGAGCAGCATTGGATCCTGTCGTACGCGCTGACCGCGCTAGACCTCAATAACGAGGCGCACGACACGCACCACCCTGTTGCAACGGGAAAGTACTATGAGGACCAGAAGGAGGAAAGCCTAAAGAAAGCGGCAGATTTCAGGGAGGCTCGGATTCCAAAGTTTCTGGATTTCTTCGAAAGAGCACTGAAGGGCAATGAGGGGAAGGGGATGGGGAAGTACTTGGTGGGTGAGAAGCTGAGTTATGCGGATACGACACTGTGGCATGTGTTGAGCGGACTGCTGTTTGCTTTTCCGAAGGAGATGGAGGCTAGGAAGGGTGACTTCAAGCTGTTGTTTGGGACCTTCTTTGAGAGTGTGCAGGGGGCAAGTGGGGTTAAGGAGTATTTGGCGAGCGACAGGAGGAAGCCGTTTAGCAACGGCATATTCAGGCATTACCCTGAGCTGGACCGTCAGTAGAGCGGAGAACACTGAGAGTCAAGAGTGACCGTCACAAAAAAAGAACTCAATTGCAGTGGTATCTTGAAAGGGTGCCCATCGCGGGCTCATATCATCTCATTCCATTTTGATGCCGGATACATGATGCATTTCCGAAGCCGTACTCCTGAACCGTATAATGCCCAGGCTAAACAAAACAACCGCCAGCAGCACGTCTAGTACTCAGCAGCGGACTGGGGGAACTCGAAGTTGACGCCCTTGCCGGTGAGGCGCTTGTAGACCTCGGTGTAGGTGTCGAGCCTGTAGTCAACACCACCACGCTCCTTCTCGTCGAGAACGACCTTGAGGATCTTGGAGCCATCCTCACGGGTGCGGAGACGCTTGCCAACAATCTCGACGGGGTAGACGAGGTCGGACAGGATGGCGTCGTGGACAGCGGTGAGAGTCCTGGACTGGGGGCGCTTCTGGGTCTGGCTGGTGCGGGACCTGTTGGAGCGCTTGGGGCGGGGCAAGATGCGGCGGGAGGCAACGATCAGGACGTGGCGGTCAGAGAACTTCTTCTCGAGCTCACGGGTGAGACTGGCATGTGTCAGTGGACGCTCGCCATTTTCCTGAGTACAAAGTCGTGCTTACCGCTGCTGGGCCTTGTGCCAGCCCTGGAGGAGAGGGACGGGGACGAAGATGACAATAGCCTTACGTCCGTGACCAACTTCGATCTAAGAATCCTGGTGTCAGCAAATTGTGCTGCCCAGTGCCCACCGCCTCTTCGATCAAAGTATGGATGTGGGTATGCGTGGAAGGTGTGCGAGCGCTCGATGCGCTTTAGGTGGAGGCTTATCTTACCTCGCGGGCAGAGACGAACTGCAGAGGGCGCAGAGAGCTCTTCAGGTCGGGGACATTGTTCTCGAGGTCAGTCAACGCCTGCGCAATGGTTAGTCCTGCGGTCGCATGCCCATTGACTACGGTAAACTTGCGTTGGCGATGCTGGTCTCGATCTCCGAAGGGCTCTGCCTCGAGGGGCTGTTGGGCGCGATCTTGTTCAGGGCGTTGGCAGACATGTCGGCGGCTGGCGATGTTAGTTGACGGCTGGTCGAAGGAAGCTGCAAAGTTGTTCGATGATCGCAAAATGGACCTAAGCGAGGTGGGTGGATGCTCTTGGCGCTGCTAGCGCAGAAAGCCGGTACGAACGCACTGCACTTGTGCATTGTACGCGGGTGCAACTCCACCCTTGAGCGACTTTCGATATATCCCAAATTCTGTCGATAACCATACATTTGGTTCTATGGTGCATAAAATTCTGCTGTCTCATAAAGGTTGATGACGCATCATTCTAACGGTGAGCTCGCCTACCTACCCGTACGGTTGCGAGCGCCTCACGAAGTCGGTCGTAACGGAAATCACCGCTGTACTTACAAACCCTCTGAAAGATAATGCTGCGTCGTCAGAGGAATCTCAATGCAAGAGAAACAAAAGTGTGACCTTGCTTGATTGAATCAACAACCACTTGTATAGTTCCTACAACTCCGACTCCACAGCCCCAGATTCACGTGAGAACTTTTTACTCATCCTTGAAGCAGTGCATGCACCAGTCCAAGAGATTTAGCACGCACAGTTTGGTACATAGCGCACATCTCAGCGCAGATCGGAAGGCTCGGCCTCACCCTCGCGATAATACATGCATCGAGGCAGGTGGCTATGTCTTGATTACCATACTCTATCACTACGCTGTGTAAAGAAAATCAGTCGGCCGATCACACTAACCAGATCGTCGTCAAAGAGCAATGACGACTTGGTATCGACAGAGATGATACTAACAGCAGCGAGGGATTTGTAACACACGTACAAACACAGCAATGATACGTCTGGAGAGATGTCGTTAGGTCCCACGTTTCTAAGTAGACGGTTCGAGTAGCCACAAAACTGGGCTGAAGCGCTTGAATTGTCTGTCGACGCGACTTGCTTCATGATGCTGGCATACGGAGGCCTCTCGGGGAATCCTATTGTCAGTTCTTTCCATCACCAGCCGCTACATCACAGTAAATCCTCGATTCGTCTCAATTTCTTTTCATTACATCTCTCAGGGAATGGCAGTGTCCAATATAGCATGATTCATGCTACAACGGATGTCTCTCACATGTGCCGTTCGTTTATGTGGACCTATTCAGCACTACTCGTGGTGACGGATAGATTTCCAGGACCATAAAGACGGGTCAATTCTCGTTCCGGGTTCAATTTGATCAAAGGGCAATACTTCCATGTCTTTGAGAATCTACTCAGCTTCCTCCGAATGGCACAACATGACTAAGAGCCTTGAAACCTCGAACTCCCTATCCTAGATTAAGTTCATGATACCTGCAACAAGAATTACGTTCGCAGATCATCCAAATAAACTTTCCCATAAGTTTGAGATGCACCCAATTCAGACGAACAAGCTTGCTTCAATTTTTCAGTCTGACGAATTGCTGAATGTCTTTGGCAGTGGAGATCTCTAGGTTGCATGGCTTTGCAACGGAGTGGCCTGTTTCGGTGTGCGACCCACGAAATACATGATAAGCCAATGCTCAGTCCGCGTATCATTGCAAGTGATTTGTACTTACAACCAGCTTCGTGAGAATGCTAAGAAGCTAGCTACAGCTCAGCAGAACAGATCCATACGTTTAGGAGTAGGTCGAGGTGAAAAACGAACTCGACTATTGTGAATGGGGTGCTGGGAACGATAGGACTTAAGGAGAAGCCGTAGTATTACTGGGTCACAACATGAGGGCGGCAGTCAGGCAATCCTTCCATCACTTAACAGTCTTCCGCCAGGCCTTACTGACCACACGGGATGAAGATGTAGAGTTGTAAGCAATTGCTGCCGTAGCATTGTATATCTAAATCCACGGCCAGCGCAAATATATACAAGAATGCCGGACGTCTTTTCGTTTGAAGTAAAACCCCTTCCAATCCTCTCAGTCATGCAACTCAAACTTGCATACTCCCCCAGATAATTTCCCGCCTAGTATGACCGACTCTCTCAAGCAAATGCTTAGAAAGAGAGGGTGTTACCGGCAGTGCCAACAACGGCAGCCTTGACCTTGGAAGCCTCAAGGAGACCGGAGACGGTGTAGGGAGCCTTGGTGAAAGTGCCCTTGGGGGCTGTGTTCTTGGCGCCACCGAAGTCGTTGCCAGACTCAACAGCGAAGCCACCGTCAGTGGAGTACAGGGCCTTCTTGGAGTTGGAGAAGACGTTGTTCTGGACAAGGAGCTGGGCGCCCTGGCGGGTGTTGATGCCGTCGGAGACGTTCTCGTAGTAGTTGTTGAAGAAGTGGCCGGTACCGAAGCGGAACGAGGGACCGCGCGAGTTGAGGTTCTTCAGGTAGTTGTTGGCGTAGGTGACGGTCAAGTGGCCCTTGTCCTCGGAGCCGTTGGAGTCGGAGTGGCCGATCAGGGACGCCTTCCAGTGGTCGTGCACGTAGGTGTTGGTGACGGTGATGTAGTCGACGGCGTGGGTGATGTCGAGAAGACCATCGTAGTAGTCCTTGTCGTGGTCACGGTCGGACGAAAGATCGAGGTGGTCGACCCAGATGTTCTGGGCCTGAGAACGCTGTCAGTACACGATAGTGAAGTGGGAAGGTTTCGAATCTTACCTTCTGAATGGCGACAGCATCGCCACCAACGACCTTGGTCATAGCGAAGTTACGGAGAATGACGTTCTTGACATCCTTGACAGTGATGGTGAAGTTGTCGAGGACAACCTTGCTGTTCTGTCCGATGACGGACTTGTTGCTGCCAACCTTGACGTTCTCACCGGAACCCTTGATGGGACCAGTGATGAGAACGATAGCGGCAGAGTCGCCTTTGACAGCAGCCTGAAGCTCGGAAAGAGAGGCGACCTTGACAGTCTTACCTCCCTTTCCACCAGTGGTGCCACCGTTGGTGGTAGCGTATCCGACAGTGGCAGCATCCTGAAGGGAAACAGCACGCTTCTCGATCATGCTAGGAGTGGGCGCTGCCAGAGCGGTGATGGCTGTAAGGCCGAGGGAGACGATGGTGCTGAACTTCATTGTGTCGAAGTGTTGACGAGTTCAAGAAAGAGTGACTGAAGATTTGAAGCGAAGGACTGGAGTGTTGGGGTTGGAAAAGAATGGAAGAGCTGGGCTGAAGAATAGCATACCAGCAGAGCAAGCTCTCTTATATAGAGAATACAGCATCCGGACTCCGGCTTGTCATAGAATCCGACGTTCACTCCCAAGTCATACAAGCAATGCCCAGCAATTTCCAGGACTTGTTTCGACTGTTTCCGCACCATCGAAGCTTTGCCAAATTTGGCCACGACAGCGGAGGCCATGCGATTCAAAACGGGGCACATTGCTTAATTTGACCAGGATCCGTAGGAGACGCGGAAAACAGCCAACATCCGTACGAGCCAAGAGGGATATGTTTGAAACGACTAACGAATTTCAGCGAGACCCTCCACTCTTCGCGCTGCCAAGTCAAGGGGCCTCGACGACGAAACGTGACGGTAACTTGAAAGGGCAATGATGAAATTGAGCGGGACTGCTGCGCGCAGGAACAATGTGTGATGTGGAGAACCCATGTCAGACCCAACATCAGATCTTGACATGCCGAGAATCGTCGTCATGCAGCGTATAATGTCGCGATGATTCGGCATGAGATTGGATCCTGATGGAAGTTTGCGCCATTGCAAGCGCCAGATGGCATATTGGTGTTTTGCGATATCTGTAGGTACTTTTCACTCCGTTCTTTGTAGGCATGAACGGATGTGTGCATGCGCATGCGCGTCCTGTCCCAAGATCCTACATGCCTGACTCGGGTGACAGACGCATACATCGTCAACCTGAGAGGGGTCGTTGGTATATGCACGAGAGCCCACTTGACATGCATCTACGCCAACCTCATTTCCAGCAGAGAAGCTCCCCTCAAAGCATCATGTTTGCACAAATGACAGCCGTCCGTCCCTCGTAAAAAAAACAGAGCAAGGGAAGGAAGTTGATTGTAACATTGCGGATCCACACAATGGAGAAAAAGGAGTTGATGTGAGTGGCGAGAGATGAACACGACTGATAGCTAACTGGGTCTATTGAGGCACCTCACTGCGGTCAGCTATTTGTGTCCGCTGTTCCCCTGGAAAATGGGGGGGTGCCAAGACTCTAGGGCGGATGTCGGTGAGAGCGGAACGAAGAAACTGCATCACTCGATTGTAGATTGACAGTAAAACGTCTCTCAGAAGACGTGTCGACTGCGCCGAACAGCCGTTCATATGGCTGTCGGCACAGCCACAGATTATGCCAATATTAAAAGCAGGAAGCCAAGGAGACAAGAAGCTGGGCATTGCAAACGCCAAGTTGATGTTGCCGCAAGGTGAAGCTGAGGGCCTGTGAGCGTGATGCCTGTCACGAAACGGATGCCCACCAGGGTCGACGGGAGCACAGTCCAGGTCAGAACCGAGATTCGTTACTAACGGGACACATGAGGACATGACGATTGCATTCTACACAAATAAGGGATGCCCGCCGTGGCACCATCCGTATCAATGGTGTCTCAACAGCAGAGCGTCGAGATGTAATTTTTCATTCAGATCTGACACTACATGATGTGAGTCGTTTAGAAATACTTATCTGAATTGACTTGGTCGTATTTGGCATCCGAGCAACATTGCATACACAAGCTTCTCGCAATATGACAGACGTCCTTCTGACTGGAAGCGTACCCAGGTACCGAAGGATGGTCGCCTGATGATCGAAATGGGTGTCAGTATCTAGGTACCGGAAGAGATTGGAATCTGCACGACAGTTCGTAGGAGTCATGATGAGGAGTCATGATGAGATATAGAGGCCATAAGATCAAAGGCTATGAAGCCGATTTACTGCTATTTGTTTGATGTAACTGGTAGGCTTGAGCAGTGTGTCGCCTTCAGAACGCTCGATCGGGTAACGTCACGTGCTGACACGCAAATGACATCATTCAGAATCCCGAAACGGCAATCACCTTGGTCGTCGCATTGCAAAGAAGCCAACGAGACGCTTTCCCAAGGCAGCAACAATCTTCGCATAACAGACTCGCACTATAGGATACTTTTTGCGCTTCTTAGAACCATCAAGTACTTCAAATCATTTCTGCTCGACCGCAGACCGCGCGCTTGCATCGATTCCATTTCACGATGCCACCAATCCCAACTTACAAGAACGCGCCCATAAAGGCTGACGGCGTCACGCCTCAGACTGACGATGGCTCCAATCTTGCGCCAACGTCCACCTCGCGATACGTGCCCGCCACTACAACAGTAGATTCCTCTGCACCTCCTGCGCCCCAGCCAGGCGCCCGTCCGACGCCCACCGCTACAGCGCCGCCAAACTCCAACGGGCCTCCACCGCCCCAGCCAGGTTACACGGCAACGCACATCTCGACAGAGACAAGGGTGTACGCACCGCCGCCGCAGTTCACGCAGCCGCCGCCGAGCGACTCGCAGCTCGCTGGGCGCTCGACGGTGACGTCGACAATGGCGAGCAAGCCAGGCCCCACGATGCTGAATTTGGGACCGGTAGCAAGCCCGTTCCAAAACGCGAATGCAGGCGGTGCGGTACCTACACCGACTGCGGTAGAAGGGAGCGAGAGGAGGAGTCTGGAGCACCCTCCCGGATATCAGCAAGCACCCGACAATGCGCCCTATACGCAAGGCGGTGGCATTGGAGGTGGAGACAGGGTGGCAGAGGGTATTGGGGCTCAGGCGTGGAATATGTTGTCCAGGGCTGGTGGAGCGCTGAAGGATGCAGAAGAAGCAGCTTGGAGAGCTGTGAATAGCAAGAAATGATCAGCAAGTGGGGGCGTTGGGCGTTGGCACATAACGAGGTGGTTAGATAGAGACGTATAACATGTCTTATACATCACGTAGAAGAGGAATGATGTTTCTCAAAGGAACTCGAAATCTTTCTATAAACCGCTAGTTTTCCCATGCTCCAAGCGATGGAAAGTGAACACCTAGGAAAGGGGTAAATGGACAAAGCACTGCAAGCCGGATATGACGAGTGATACAGGGCAAAGTAAAGTACAAGGTGTTTTACCACCGGGTCGTGCTTTCCATGACGGGCTTGATATGCTCCATCATTCACCTCTACACACAACTCGTCCCCTCGCGTCGCGATTATCTGCTTCCACCTCGTGAACTCGTTTTGGGGTATCGAAGAAAGGCGGAAGGCGCTTAACCGGATCCACCCTTGTACTTCTTGCCGAAGAGGATGAGCTGGGCCTGGTCGTAGATGGACAGGACACCGGCACCGGCAACACCACGGAGGATGTTGGCACCAGCACCCTTGAACAGGGACTTGACACCCTCGGCGGCGACAATCTGGCGGGCGGCATCCATGGTACCCTTGTACTTGACGGCCTCACCGGAGGTCATCATCATGCGACGACGGATGGTATCAAGGGGGTAAGAAGCGATACCGGCACCGGTGGTGACGGCCCAACCAAGAGCGAAAGAGGCAAGGAAGTTACCCTCGAGGCTACCGGTAAGGAGGACAGGCTTGATCGAGTCGTACATACCGAAGTACAGACCACGGTAGACAACGATACCAGCAACGGAGGGAAGGAAACCACGGTAGAGACCGGCAATACCGTCGGAGGCGAGGGTCTTCTTGTAGACATCTACGAGGCCGTTGAACTGACGGTCACCACCCTTCTTGGCGGACTTGGCGTCGTTGGCGAGACGGGTACGGGCGTAATCGAGGGAGTAGACGAAGAGGAGGGAAGTGGCACCAGCGGCACCACCGGAGGCCAAGTTACCGGCCATCCACTTGGCGTAACCATCACGCTCCTTCTTGTAGGCGAACATGGACTTGTATGTATCGCGGAAAGCGAAGTTCAGGGCCTGGGTGGGGAAGTAACGGATGACGTTGGCGGTGTTACCACGCCAGAGAGAGAGGACACCCTCGTTCTGGGCAGTACGCTTGAAGCACTCGGTGATGCCATCGTACTTGCGGTCGAGACGGCCGGACTTAAGCATCTCATCCTGCGAAAAGTGTCAGAACATAGACTAGCACGCTAATGGAGCTGATGCTTACCTGGTTCTGGATGAGGAGCTTAACACGCTCGATAGGGGCGGCAGCGGTCTTCGAGACGGCGGCGGAAACGCCACCCACTGAGATAGAATTAGCGAAAGAACCATTGATGGATAGGTTGCCAACAAGATCCTATCAAGATAGGGAGCCATTGGCCCTTATCATGATGGGATTTGTTGATGCAGGAATAGAACGTACTCAAGAAGTCGACCACGAAGCCGGCTGAACTTGCATGTTAGCTTTGTTTCTGTATACGTAAAGCCGATTGAGACCACTGTCGACAGCCAGCTGTCATCGTCACAGCACTTGCAAATTCATCGAGGTCATCGAGATCCTGCGAGGGCAGGTGCGATGGATGTCGTTGAGATGAAAATCCGCAAAATACTGATCGGATGCAGCTGCAGCTGAAGATGCTACTCCTGACGGCTGAGAAGGAGCGACTTACGCATGCCGAAGGCGCTCTGCACAGAAGTTAGCATTTGGGTCAATTACGAATCGATTGGGGGTGCGCGCCTTATCCTGGCTCATCTTTTCGATTCTGTCTGGACCGTAAGAGTGGAGAGGGGAATGAAAGGGATGAGGTTGAGGGTTGGGGAAGGGAAGCTATTAAAGCAGTTGGCGATGCAGATTTTCAATGGAGAAGGTGCGCTAACGCTGCCAAGAGCGCTCAGGCCGCCGCTGCTCCGGGACCTCTTCGATGCCTCGGGGCGGCTGTGCGTATTTCCAGAAGAGCACGGAGGGCCGTTTCGCCTTGATCTCTATGTCGAAAAAGCTGCGATTGGGCCAGATAACATGTTGGCATTCAATTGATGATCAACATACTGCCATTGATCACTGTTCTGCTCATCTCAAGGGAGAAACCAGAGGCGTTGCTGTAGCAGCCACAACAGCCGAACCCAGCTGCGCACACACTGCAATCTGGCAGCTGCCGCACCTGTACACAGTAGAACTGTAAACTGGGGCTTCACATGTGTCCAGATGCCTTTTCAAGCTTGAATCCACCCCGAACGCGGTGGGCTTCGCAGCGCGTCTCCTTTTTCCAGGGTCAGCCTTGAGCGCTTTTCCGCTGCCAACAAGGTCGGGCAATCTCGGGAGGGCCGGGCCAATTACATGCGAGGCGATGGAAAATTCGTGGCCCGGGCTCCGTTTGTTGGAAGGACCACGGTTCGCCGTTGCCCAGGTGCTTCTGGATGGAAGGCCACGGCGATGATGTCGTTTCAACGAAGATGCTCCTTCGGAAGCTGTTCGAGCTGAGCAGCCGGCTGCGAGTCTGTACAGACGCACAGCTCTGCGCTATTCGTCACAATATCCTGTGGTTGCGCTGAGCCAACCATCTTTTTATCTTGGAACCGTCTTCCGGCACCCACTGTTTCGATGCACGAACGGCACGTCCGCCAATACACCACACGCGACCAGACGCTCCACCACGCTCGTCATCACCGATAAGCAATGCCACATGTGTCTAGGAAAACTTGCCAACGATAACATTAGAAGGACTCTAGGTCTCCTATGTACTTCCATTGTCTCTGTCAAAACAGCCATTGGGAGTCGTTGCGACCTCAGAAGTGCCGGAGTGCAGGGCAACTGGGACAATCTGTACCTCAGCATGCAACCGCATCCTACCGTCAAGATCAACACGACCGCAGACATGACAGTCAATTAGCTCATCTTGTAGCATCCTTACAGCTCGACTTCGTTGTAAGCATCGTATGCTCGGCAGTAGTATCCTGATATCTTCTTGAAGCGCTGCTCAACCACATTGTTGTCTGCAGTCGGCAATTAAGGCTGTCACTGAAAACTCGTAGCCAGTAAAGCGCCTGCGAGGGGCATTACCACGAACGGACGATCGATTATGGTTTCCAGCGGCTCCCGGCAATCTACTATCGTGTCTCCCTATCACCAAGATTTCCAAAGCGACAGCATGCGCGATGCGAACATACACTCTGTTAAGGAACAAGGGCATGGGATTGTAGAAGCAGAACAACAAGTTCTATGGATAGCGGCTGACCACAGCTTTCGCGGAACATGCTCCTTCTAAAGTCTTCCTCGGGCTCAAAATGTTTGCTCCGAGTCAGTCTCGCAATGCTGCAGTAATGCTCAAAAGAACGAAATTCTGCACGCCAACATGGCGATACAGACAGAGCATTTGAAGATTGGCACAAAGGGTCTCTCACAGTTCGGGGAAAACGGCGGATAAGCGACCTTTAAGCTGACCAACTTCAAGACAGAACTTGCAGCTATCATGATACCCAAAGCTGAAATTTAGTTAACCATTACCTACATTGTAGGCAAAAAAGTATTCTAAGGTGTTTTCTTACGTTTCCCCAACTTCACTGTTGTGTAGTGGAATACTTGGCTCACATCCTTAGGCTGCCTTTTATCCCGCAATGTGAGAGGAAGTGTAGGTATGCACGTACTAACAGCCGAGCTGTGACCGAGCAGTTCACCGGGGTCGCTTGCGCGCCGCTAGCTATCCGGTCTAGCGTGCGCCACGATATCCACCCAGTACGCTACGCTTCCGCATTGATTCGGTTGCGACTGCGGCAGAAGTCCGAGCCTCGAAGTTTCGTGTCATACATGGGTTGGGGTGGAAGTTGTAATTGCAGCGGAGAGCGTATTGGTCGTCACGATATCTCCAACAGGTGTGCATACAGAGCCATGATGTCGGTCTGTCTTTACAGCGACAGCAGTGCCGATACCAGGCTCCTTCAGGGTGTGCGTGTGTTCCGACCACAACATGCTTCCATGAGTCGAGGTATTGCTCGGCAATACTTGCAATCTAACCGAATGAGCTGTATACCAAAACCCCTTGACACACACCCTTGATGGACGTGATCAAATTCGATATACGGAAGTCTACCTCTCAATGGCCTGTCAACTGGGGGCCACTGTCTCCGTTGATTTCAATCGCGTTTGGAGTCAGATTGCACTTCGCCTCAACGCTGGCTTTTGATGTTTACATTCACTATACCTTTGGCGCCCAAAGACCACCCACAATAAAAGAATGCGTAAAGTCGGCTACAATGCAGTGACTCAATCGAATCTCGATCTGGCCGACACAGTTGACCCTGTGTATGGGACCTATCAATGGGCACCTGAAGTCGAAAAAGCGGCCTGCCTAGAACGCCCACCAAGCTTAGATTTGCCTATATATACTACGTGTAGATTCAACAGTGTATGTACCTTTGTCGATTGTCATGATGTGTAAACTTGCGACAACAACTTCTTCCCTAGGCCCAATGTCCTTTGCAGGCAATCTACAGAGTGCATGATACGAACCGACTGGAGTATCGAAACTACTTCTGAGCGTCTTAGTCCTTTCAACAGCCGGGCCTTCTGCTTGAACCGCACAGTCATCGCATCTCATGGACAGCAACGGGCGGACTAGAGGGACAAGAGCCTCAGACTCGACTCCAGTGTTGATCACTTACATTCTGTTCTTAGGTCAGCAAGATCAGAACCAATAACGGCACAATCAAGGCAGACTGCAAGCCGTGAACAATGATATACGTGCACACCAGATGTACTGGGTTCTCTGACTAAGGCATCATCATCTTCAACATCTACTCGCAAGCTGAACTAACCACCCAGGTCTGAAAGCTTGGGGGCCAATGACTTTGTGGCTTTACACCATTTCTACAGAACACATGTTGTGATCGTTCAAGCGTCTCCAAATCGCAAATGTGCAAAATGCATTGAGCTATAGCCACTTGTTGTTCTCTGTTCGGAAAACAGAGGTTTCGACCACTGCCTAAAGCGCATGGCGACAAAAAGATTGAAACCCATTGTGTTCAATAGGAGGCAATGGCAAGGCAATGGCAAGGCAAAAAGAAGATGGTCACTACGAGGGTCGAACTCGCGACCTTGGCGTATCAAGGTATTATCTATTAGCACCACGCTCTAACCAACTGAGCTAAGCGACCTGTACTTCGATGGAATCTCCAAATTTTATGTACAATATATACGATACGTCTTAACCTCCACAGTGTTATCCACCAGCGGTCTGTCTTTCTTACGAAAAGTTCGTTCCCTAACAGCAAACCACCTCTGCTGTCCTAGCGAGTCGTTCTTCTGATCAATGTAGTCATATAAAGTCCCCGTGTACCGACAGCCTTACCAGGCTTATCTAATGCTCTTATCTCGATAACTTCCGGATAGACACCCGCCAGAAAATTTGTTCAGATCAGGCGCGAGCATTCCGTGAGCATGATGGTTGTCGGACCACCAATCCCGAGGCGCGCGATGACGGAGCGCGGGGCTGGAGCTGTCACATCCCTGCGCCCCATGTCTCGCCGCATTTCGCCTTGCGCTGGGCGTGCTTATTGAGCTCCTCCACCTGTTCGCGCTGGTGCATGCCTCAGGTACGATTTCAACTGCGAGGACCCTGTGCGCATTCTGCCCCAACTTCGACACCGCCCCGCCGCATATCGAGTCACTCTACACATACCGCTGCCCCACCACAACGTCCCTCGAGAGCGCAGCTGCTCAAATTCCACACCTCGGTGCTCAGGATGGCTACACAATCCACGCCTAGCGCTGGTGACAGCCTTCGGCTCACCAACCGTCTCAATGAGAGCCGCTCGCCGTACGTACGCGGGCACATGAACAATCCAGTCGCATGGCAGCAGTGGGGACCAGAAGCGCTCGAGCTGGCAAGAAAGTCCAACCGCCTCATCTTCATTAGCATAGGCTATGCCGCCTGCCATTGGTGCCATGTCATGGAACGCGAGTCTTTCGAGAACAACGAGGTCGCCCAGCTGCTCAACGACAACTTCATTCCCATCAAGATTGACCGCGAAGAGCGCCCAGACGTCGACCGTATATACATGAACTATGTCCAGGCGACGACTGGTAGCGGCGGTTGGCCGTTGAATGCCTTCATCACTCCAGACCTGCAGCCTATCTTTGGCGGAACATATTGGCCGGGGCCTGGATCCACGATGGGAGGCGATCATATTGGCTTCGTTGGCATCTTGGAAAAGATTAGGGATGTGTGGCAGAACCAGCGTCAGCGATGTCTCGACTCAGCGAAAGAGATCACCACCCAGCTTAGAGAATTCACAGAGGATGGCAACATTAGTAGGAAGGACGGCGCGGACCACGAGACGCTCGATCTTGACTTGCTCGAAGAAGCCTACCAATACTTTCAGAACAAGTACGATACAGAATGCGCCGGATTTGGAAGCGCGCCCAAGTTCCCAACGCCGTCGAATCTCGCTTTCCTGTTGAAGCTTTCGCAGTACCCACGCGCTGTTGCTGATGTCGTTGGAGTGAAGGAGTGCACACAAGCAAAAGACATGGTCTTGGCCACGCTGGATGCCATGAACAAGGGCGGTATTCATGATCAGATTGGCAACGGTTTTGCACGCTATTCAGTTACGAGAGACTGGAGCTTGCCTCATTTCGAGAAGATGCTATACGACCAGGCGCAGCTTCTGCCCGTATATCTTGATGCCTATCTCATGACCAAGAGTTCTGAGCATCTCTCAGCCGTTCACGATATCGCTACATACCTCACATCGCCACCACTGCACTCGCAGTCTGGCGGGTTTTTCTCTTCCGAGGATGCTGATTCCCTTTACCGACCCTCGGACAAGGAGAAGCGTGAGGGTGCGTTCTACGTATGGACGCTGAACGAATTTCAGGATATACTGGGCGAGCGCAATGCTGAAATTCTAGCGCGTTACTACAATGTCAAGGACGAGGGGAATGTTGCGCCTGAACACGATGCACACGACGAGCTTATCAATCAGAACGTGCTCGAAGTCACTATGACTCCAGAAGAATTGGCGAAGCAGTTTGCTCTGTCAGAAGAGGAGGTAGGGCAGATATTGTCAGAAGGCCGACAGAAGTTGCGAGATCACCGTGAACAGGAGCGCCCACGGCCAGCTCTCGATGACAAGATTGTTGTGTCTTGGAACGGCCTTGCTATTGGGGCTTTGGCACGCACATCTGCCGCACTCTCTTCGTCGGACGCTTCACGATCGCAACGCTACCTCGCCGCTGCCGAACAAGCAGCTGCCTTCATCCGCCGCGAACTTTACAACTCTTCCTCCAAGACTCTGACGCGCGTCTACCGCGAAGGTCCAGGTGAAGCACCCGGGTTTGCCGATGACTACGCGTATCTCATCTCTGGTCTCGTTTCTCTCTATGAAGCGACTTTTGACGAGTCATACCTGCAATGGGCCGATGATCTACAGCAGACACAAATCAAGCTCTTCTGGGACAAGGAGTACCTCGGCTTCTTTTCCACTTCAGAAAACCAACAAGACTTGCTTATGCGATTGAAGGACGGCATGGACAATGCCGAGCCAGGTACCAACGGCGTGAGCGCGCAGAATCTGGACAGATTGGGTGCCTTGCTTGAAGATGAGAGTTACGTCAAGCTCGCTCGAGAGACAGCGAGCGCGTTCGAGGCAGAGGCAATGCAGCATCCCTTCCTGTTCCCAAGCTTGATGGACACAGTGGTGGCTGCAAAATTGGGTGTCAGACACGTTGTGATTACAGGCGAAGGCCAAAGGGTCGAGGAATGGCTAAGGAGGTACCGCGAACGACCTGCTGGCTTGAGCACGATTAGTAGGGTGCGAACACAGGGTGGAGAGTGGTTGAAGCAAAGAAACCAGCTGGTCAGGAGCATGGCCGCCGACAGAGAGGGTGTCATGCTCTGTGAAAACGGCAGCTGCAGGGATGAGCTAGGAATGGATTTGGGCAGTGTCAGTGAGGCAGTACCCGAGTTGAGGTGATGAAGCCGATTGGGTTGTTGAGGATTGCACGCGTTGAACGACAACGATAGCCATTGTCAGATTTACAGTACACTTACATCTTGTGACACCACACTTACTTAGCAAACTGAATAGACGGTTGCAGCTCTTGCGATTCTTACCTAAACTAGCATTTGTACGACGTGGCGCTGGGAATGCTGTGGCAAATTTCCGTTTCAGGCTCGTTGAAGCCCGTTCCACATGACCCTCCTGTGACCCTTCCACATTTGTTCTCGAAGCGTTTCGCCGGCGGCCCGAGGAGGAAAGATGCGCTAAGCGGTCCCTGCATATGACCCCGGCCGCGATAAAGCCCGCTATCGCTCACAGCTAACTTTTTGTTCATCAGTCATCTCTATCAAAGTCCCTCTTTCCTTTACGGTCACCAACGTCTTGACCCCCCTCATCTGTCTTTCCACTTTGAGTTTTACTAAATTCAAGAACCCCACTGTTTGCTCGTAGAAGGCATCCCCGCCTAGCGAATCGAACATAACCCTACCAACCTTCAAAAACGACCTGCATAATTCTTGAAAAGACAGAGACACCACAAAGTGCTCACTGATACGGTCAACACACGAGGGAGTGATATTAAAAGACTAGAGCGTCTTGCCCGCGCCAGCACAACGGCTATTTCGGCGGTGAACATCGCGCAGCGGATTTCGCCACGTAAGCCTACCAGATGGCACAGGCCTTTGTGAATACACCACGCCGGATCCTCTTTCTAGACGCCTACGACTCTTTCTCCAATAACATTGTCGCTCTGATCGAACAGAACACAGATGCTAAAGTTACAAAAGTCTTCATAGATGACGATCGCTTCTCAACCAGTAGGTTGTCGGTTGATCCAACCTTCGCCGAGTATGCGCAAGACTTTGATGCAGTCATTGCAGGCCCTGGTCCTGGATGGGCTGGATGTGACAAAGATGTAGGTCTCATGAAAGAGCTCTGGAATCTTCGCGATGGAGACACTCTGCCAGTTCTAGGGATTTGCCTTGGCTTCCAATCCTTGTGTCTGGCGTTTGGCGCCGATCTCGAGAGACTGGTTGAGCCGAAGCATGGCATTGTAACGGCGGTCCTGCACAAAGGGCAATCGTTGTTCAGAAATGTAAAAGAGCTGCAGGCCACTCAGTACCACTCATTGCAAGTCAAGCTCGGGCATCCAATCCAGACAAACCGAGCAGTGCGTTATCCGGCACAACTATGGGAGTCGACGGAAATGTGTCCTCAACTGGAACCTTTGGCGTGGGACTTCGACAGCGAACACAATGGTGCAGTGCTCATGGGCGTGAAGCACATTCAAAAGCCATTCTGGGGTGTGCAATTTCACCCCGAGTCAGTTTGCACAAATGAAGAAGGAGCGCACATCATTCGGAACTGGTGGGAAGATGCACAATCCTGGCGGCGAAGGAAGATGTTTAGCCACGATGCGGGTAAAGCAACCTTGTCGTCTTCGCATCTGCGACCAATGACATTTGGGGACTTTCGGAGAGATCTTGGATTCTATACGAGCACCTACACCAGGAACGAGCCTGCGAGCCACAACCCACACCCGTCTGAGCTGGCCTCACTAATCGCTTATGGCGACAAGAAGACACTTCCATGCTTGCCCCCGAAAGTCGTGCACTGCGTCACTACTGGAAGTGGTCGACTGACAGTCGAGGACGTCTGCGAAGTATTGAAAATCCCACGGCACGAAGCGATTGTGCTGCAATCCGGCCTTCAGGAGAATCTTGTACCCATGGCAGTCGGTACTGGGCGTTACAGCATCATTGGTCTAATAATCCCTGGGGAGACTCTCCGGTTGCATTACTACGCAGGCAGCCACATCTTGCAGCTCAGAGATGGGAACGATAACGTACATACGCAGTGGAAGGAGAGTGACCCTTGGCCGTTCTTGTCTCATACCTTATCCCGTCTTCGTATCACGAAAGGGCCCGAAACTTCAACCTGGGCTCCTTTTTGGGGTGGTTTCATGGGTTATGCGTCCTACGAAGCAGGGCTGGAAACGATCAACGTTCCTGTTGCAGAGAACGCCGCATACCCGGACATTTGTTTTGCGTACATCACCAGGAGCATTGTGTTTGATCACCAGACCAAGAAACTTTACATACAAAGTATCCGGGGACTCGACGACCATGAATGGATCGAAAAGACACAGAGCCTGATTCACAGCACTGCTGACGCCAAATCTCGAGAATCCACACCAACCTCCACACCGATGCCTAAGCCAGATCCCTTTGAAGAATTAGGTCCCATGTATCAGTACATCAACTCATGCAAAAAAGCTTTTGCAGATCGCGAGACATACTGTGAGCAAGTCCGCTCTTGTCAAGAGAAGATTGCCGACGGTCAGAGTTACGAACTTTGCTTGACGCATCAGAACGAAGTTCGTGCGCGCAAACCGGAAGCCTGCCGCCTTTCCAAATCCGAGGACTGTCAACACTCTTGGAATCTCTACAAGCGACTCGCCGGCCAGAACCCTGCACCTTTCAGTGCTTACATGCGCATGCATAATGTACATATCCTCTCGTCCTCTCCAGAACGCTTTATATCCTGGTCGCGCAACCAGGCTGCACAATGCCGACCCATCAAGGGTACTGTCCAGAAGAAGCCTGGTGTCACAGAAGCACACGCTCACGCTATACTGTCATCTTCCAAAGAGCGTGCGGAGAATCTCATGATCGTCGACTTGACTCGGCACCAGTTACACGGTATCTATGGCTCCGAGAACGTACATGTTAGCCAGTTAATGGAAGTGGAGGAGTACGAGACAGTGTGGCAACTCGTCACCGTTGTCGATGCGATACCTTCAGGCGTTTACAAGGCCACCGCCCCTGAGTTGTGGGAAGACCCTGTCGACGGCTCTTGTGGACATAGAGCGCCCGTGGCGATACCAAATCTCGGTTTTCAGGCCTTCGTTGAGAGTTTGCCACCTGGTAGCATGACTGGCGCACCAAAGAAGCGGTCTTGTGAACTCTTGCAAGAGCAAGAACAGGGCGTCAAGAGGGGCATTTATTCCGGCGTACTGGGCTACTTCGATATCGGTGGTGGAGGCGACTTCAGTGTGGTGATCCGCACGGCGATCAAAACGGACCAAAAATCGTTCCATTCCTCTGCTACTGCGCCCACTCAAGGTACCGACTCCAGTGCCACCTTCCGTGAGCCCCCACGGAGATGGCAGACTACAGATCTTTGGCGTATACCCGCTGGTGGTGCCGTGACCTCTCAGTCTACGCCCGAAGGTGAGTACGAGGAGATGCTCGCCAAGGTTAGGAGCACGTCACGCGCTTTCGCACATATACCACCTCCGCCGCCAAAACCAAAGAAGTCGCGGGTGGAGTTGATCAATCCTGATCATCCAAACTACGAGGCGTTGTGGAACGATACTCTCAGGGGCGAGGACGGAGAGGATATTGACATAGGGTCGACAGATGTCGAAGCTTTATTGAGGCTGTTGCAAGAGACGGTTCAACGCACGCTGGAGCAGGGGATTGCGATTGTGGATGATGAGGAGATAGACGAGGAGGATGAATGATTGGGCTGTCATTGTGATATCGCAGATTACGTCGTGCTTACGAGGATGAGTGTGAAGTGGAAGCGGGGAGTTTAACAAGATACCATAGACTTAGATACACAGAGACGTCAGGTTTCAACACCTCAACAAGCGTATTTCTGAAAAACCTTTTACCTCACAGACTGACGCTCTCCATCCACATGCTCTGTACTTGAGTCCACAGACACTTCTGCACTGTCCCCACCAGACCGGGCAGGGTCCACAGCATCCTCGTGTTCCGCCTTCCGAGCATGTACCCTTCCCCCAAACATTGTCAAAAGCAGAACATCATACGTCGCCTTCAGCGCTCCCGCCGCCACAAACGCAACCCAGAACCTCCCCTTCCCAGCCAGCACTCCCGTGACCCACGGCCCGGCGCTCTGACTCAGCGTTTTCGCAATATTCACAATTCCCATGACCGCTGTGCGCTCCTCGGGCAGCACGACCATGCTCAGGAACGCCGAGCGCGGCGCTTGGTCCATGGAGCTCATCATGCTGCGGCCGATGAGGAGCAGGATTGTCAGGCCGAGCGTGGGCGCGAAGGGGAGCGCGCCGAGGAACAGCGAGGACGGGAGGTGGGTGCACACCATTGCGGGTATCAGACCGAGGCGGCGGGACACCGAGGCCGAGAAGACGTTGCTCAGTGTGGAGAGGAACCTGGGTGTGTCAGTTTGGGAGACGTGATGTGTACACTGCTCGGAGGGCTGCAGTAGCCTAGGTGGTGCAATGGTGTGGAAAAGAATGGAGAGTGACGTACCATGTAGCGCTCATTATGCCGCCTAGTTTCCCTTTTGGTAGTTGAAACTTACGGTCCAGGTAGTAGTTGATTAGTGAGAAGGGGACCATTCCTGAGCCTAGCGAGTCAAGGAAGAAGAGACTGCATAGCTTGAACAGGATCGCCCGGCTCTTGGGAGAGATTGAAGTGAACGGGTTCCATCTCGTCTTCTTGGCTTTGGTCTCGGGGTCTTGAGTAAATCCGTTGCCAGTCGAAGTAGAGAGTGTATTGTTGTCTTGAGAGGGCAATAGAGGCTCTGTTTCTCCCTCTCCGCTGGCTGGTTTGGAGCGCTTCTGATGCTCGCAATCCTGGCTCAGAAAGAGCGTACACACAGCTTTGGTCAAGCCAACGATAGTGTAGATCCAAAAGACTGCGCGGTAGGCATCGAGTTCTGTCCAGCCTTGCCTTGCTGAAAGCGCATCGATGGCCTGACCGCCAACGATCAGACCAGTCGATGTGCCCAGGACGGCGAAGGCAACGTACCATGTGCTGCATCCTATCAGCACAAATGTACGTCAAGACCCTACCTTAGAGATACTGATAAGTAAAGAGATGCGGAACTCACAAAACATCCGCCCTCCCCTCCTCCCCCACAAGCTGTGCAAGCGTACTCTCCTCCACCGCCCGAAACGGGCCAATCTCATTCCCACTCGGACTAATAACCCCCACCACCGCTGCCGCCAACAGCACCTCATACCTACTCTCGAGCGCAAACACGCCCCCCGATACCGCCATCCCCAGCGCCCCTAGCATCAGCGTCCTGCGGCGCCCCAACGCATCCGCAACCAGCGTGAGCAGCAGCGACACCACCACGTCGCCCAGCAGCGTCAGCGTCATGAAGAACCCGATCTGCGCATCCGAGAGCCCCTGTGCGCGCAGGTAGACGGCCAGGATCAGCGCGACGGTGCCGTAAGCGTACATGCGCAGGTAGCGCGTGAGGATCAAAATGTACACGTCTCTCCCCGCGTGGCGCATGGTGTGCAGGCCGAGTTCGCGGACTAGCCATTGGGCGGCTCTGCTCAGTCTGTTTGGGTTGGGGGTTGAATTTGCCATTTTGAAGTTTTGTTGATGCCTAATTTGGAGGTGGAACGCGTAGATGAGGTTGACCCGTCAAGCGACTGGTCGTTTGGCGGAGTGTGTTCAAGAACTGATAACAGTCCCGACAATTGATTCCGAGCTCTTTCATCTATTGTTATGGAAGGGTTCCAGTGTGCGGAGTTTCGCGATTAGTTGCACAGCCATGTTGGTGTATGTAGATCTCGTATTGAGGTTGGAGGCCTTGAGATGTGGAGTCGGCGCTAGACATCAGTCGTCAGTGTGCATACAAGCACCAAGCCATGTACTTAGTGTGCAATCATGGTCCTTGATTCTGGCTTTCGATTAGTTGTAGAGCATCCCAAAACATCACCTGCTCGTTCCGGATGCCAGTATCAAGTTTGAAGATCTGCAAAGTAATTCAAGTAGTCTCATAAGCTACGCAACATGATCTGTAGCCTGTAGGCTATTCAGGGAAGAGCTAAAGACTGTTGACATTGTCCCAGCGGACTGTATTCTAGTCTTCTCGTGCAGTCTACTGTGCATTGCAGACCTGCAAGGGAAGATCAAGCGCCTCAGAGAATGGTTCTCAGCAACACGTCACTTGGCACCATAGTCTAGGAGATGAATATGATATACCAAACTACCAACACCTAACGCAACAATGAGATGGGCGAGAACCGCAATGGCCTAGCAGCCACTGTACAGGTTCTCTCCCGATGCAGAATCCAACAAGAGCCCATTCTAGAACCTGAGATTTCAAAGAAAGTCGCGATTCAAAAGCCGCCATGCAGAGGGACTTGGCACACAAGGGAGAGGTGAGCGGCGTAGTTCGTACTTCGTGGGCCAGTTCGTCGAAAGGAAACCGTGACCATGAGCATTAAGTTACCATATCAAATGTCGCAACCGCACAAAACATCTGCGCCTGAAACTCATATATCGCTCGTCTCGTCTGTATCTTGCGAGCCTGGACGATTGATTCCAAGGCTTCAAACACAACTTCACCTCTCTTCTCCTCGACTCGTCTAGCAGCAGCCGCCGCCGGAGCCGCTCTGCACACCCTGACCCTGCCCGATGGGGACTGTGGGCTTGGTGTTGGCGGTTGTGGTACCCATGCGCTCCTTGATCTGGCGGGCCATGGTCAAGAAAGCCTGCTCGACGTTGGTGGCGCTCTTTGCAGAAGTCTCGAGGAATGGAATGCCGAGGCTGTCTGCGAACTCCTGTTTGGTGTTAGACGGTGCATCTTTGCTGTAACGAAGAAGTGATTATTGACGTACCTTTGCAACGGTGTACTCAACAACCTTCTTGTCCGCCATATCGGACTTGTTGCCGACCAGCAGCTTGTTGACACCCTCGGTGGCGTAGCGGTCGATCTCCTGGAGCCACTGCTTCACGTTGTTGAACGAGTCCATGTCGGTGACATCGTAGACGACGCAGATGCCGTGGGCACCGCGGTAGTACGAGGATGTGATGGTGCGGAAACGCTCCTGACCGGCGGTATCCCACTGTTGCGCTGTCAGCTCCTGCTACTATCTGCTTTATTGCCCTGAAACGTACAATCTGCAGCTTGACGGTCTTGCCGTCGAGTTCGATAGTCCTGATTTTCTGCAGCGTGTTAGTCTGACGCAGGCCGTGGCGCAGCACGCTGGGGCGCACGTACGAAATCGACACCGATAGTGGAGATGTAGCTCTCTGTATATGTGTCGTCGGCGAATCGCAGCAGCAAGCAGGACTTTCCGACACCAGAATCACCGATGAGGAGCAGCTTGAAGAGGTAATCGTATCTGGGAAGGGCCTTGTCAGCGCAGGACGGCGATAGGGGCAACTGCACAGCGCCGGTGCCGTGGCATGCAAGTGAGTACTCTGTAGGCTTGTCGTTAGCACTGCGCCAGACGTGGGCGTCGCATGACGGCACCGCCCGGTTGTGGCGGTGGGCGATGCGCGGAGACTACGTACTACTCGGGGTTCATTTTGGCGGAGTGGTTGGAGTTGCGAGTGGAAAGGGTTGGGGTATCTGTGTAATATGCCGGCAGGGAAGGTGAGAGTTGTGGGGTATCGCAGGGCGCTGGCAGGCGGTGTCAAGTACAAAGGTTGGCTGCAACGTGCAGTTGACGGGAGTGCCTTGGCGCGGCCGAGCGTTGTTCAGCAAGTCACAAGCCGGGTCCGTTGCGGGCGCTGTTTGAAACATCGTATTCACAGCCCGTCTGCTGCCTACTGTACAGCTACAACCGCCTTGGTAGGCTGACCCCAGCGGCATGCGGCGTATGACTCTGCATTTGCAACGGAATCAGACTGTCAGCAGCGGGCATTTGCTGTCGTTGCAGGTGAAGCGACCGCGGTGCAACCTGCCGTCACGTGCTGTTTCGCCCCAGTGCTGCAAGCCTGCCACAACCTGGTGTCATGCTTCATGTGATTATAATGTCAATAGAATGGAGATCTTGATATTACATATCCTTGGACCCTGAACACACTCACTCGTGCACGGTATGCCTAACGCCCTTCAAGGCGACCAGTTCTATCCCTGCAAACGTAGACCTCACGTATAGTACATATAACATCATCATGAACGCTAGTAACAAAATTACATGACCTTGCCAAAAGCAGGAATCAGTGTCTGGGCCAACCAGAAGGAGAAGACAAGCTTGGGCCCAGTCATGAGCAGCTTAGGTGTGAGGCCCTTGAAGAAGGAAGAGAAGCCCTCGTTCTTCATCATGTTGGAGACGATCTTCATGCCGCCCTCGGGGTTCTCGAAGTTCCTGTTCTGAATGCGAGTCTTGATGACGTCGAGAGGAGCGGAGACGACGAGGGAAGCAGTGGCACCGGCAATCGAGGCGACGAAGTTCTGGCCCCAGCTGGCCTTGTTGTAATCCTCCAGCTTGTAAAGGTATTCCTTGGCAGCGGCGGATCCACCGAACAGCTGTTGTATGTCAGTGTAGGCACGTAATGTCTAGAGATGCGCGACATACCGCGAATGATCCAGGAGCGTTACGAGCTGCGGTCCAGCCCCATCCACGGTAGAGACCGAAGCCCTCATCAGCAATGATCCTGAACAGTCCGCGTCCCCTGAAGGCCTCGGGGTTGGTCTGGCGCTTGATCTTGAGGACGTCGAGTGGCAGCAGAACGATCTCACCGATACCGATCAGGGAACCTGCGCTTGCGTGCATGATTGCCTTGCCGTTACCCTTGCCGAATGTCTGGTCGAAGAAGTCACCGTGGTGCCTGGCGAGGTAGTCGCGTGCGAAGGGCTGTCCACCGTACTTGTAGACGCGCTGGAGAATCTGGGTTTTCTTATCAGAGCATGTTCCGTTAGCTTGCAAAGAGCATCATACCTTGTAGGCGGCGGCGTAACCAAGACCCGGGAAGAGGGAGAAGAATCGGCTAGCGACTGAAGCGTTGGCTGCATCCCTGAAGACTACCTTGTTCAAGTGCGACGCCGACTCGATCTTGCCGACATTGCTCATGAGGCGCTTGGCTGTTGTGTCGACGGGGTGGAAGATCATGAGCTCAGCAAGACCCGCACATCCTGTTCACTGTCAGACGCGTTCAAAGATACATACATCATCGCACGCACCTGCACCCAAGAAACGTGCTGTGTTGGACTCTCTCTTGTACTCTGTGGCCGACGACTTGGTTCCAGAGGCGACTTGCGCAACCTTTGCGACCGCTTCGGAGGGTGTGGGCGTCATTGTGAGGGCAAATGAGAGACAATGCAATTAGAAAGACCTAGGAAGCAAACAAGAGACACAACAAATGGGTATCGATGTGCGGGAATTGGGCGACACAGTGCAGGCAGTGGTTGAGCAACAAAAAATCCGCGACGCAGTCCCAGTCGCATGGTACCGCGTCCGAGCTCGGAGGCGTGGGCTGATGCGCTAGCCGCATTGTGGAGATCGCGACTTCTCTGATTTCATACGTGACAATTGCTGTGTATAGCGGTATAGTATTATGATACAAACTTCAACAGTACTTTTTGTCCCGTCCTCAACCTTACGACTCAGGGTTGTAATACTTCCTCCAATCGTGGTCCTGTTTGAAACCCAGAACATCCCGAATCTTCTTGTTGCTCAGCGGCGCCTCCCACTCCTCCAGCTCCCTTGTAATCGGTGTATTCGGACACCACTGCTCAAGAAACTGCCTGGTGGGGAATGTTGCCGTGATGTTGTCGTTCGTCGCATTGAACACCTGGAACCCAAGACCATCCTTCTCGACACCCAGGTGGCATATCTGACCTAGATCTCTAGCGTCGATGTAGCTCCATGCATTCCTCTTTCGGATTTGGGGCTTGCTGATGAACTTGGGAAAGTCGCGCTCGTACTCGTGCGGCTCAATCACATTTCCAATGCGCAGGGCATAGATGTCTGCGTCGAATCTGCGCGCAAGACCTCTTGCCACGCGCTCGCCGCACAGCTTCGAGATGGCATACGAGTCCATTGGGTTCAAGTCCATGTCTTCGGTCAGGGGAAAGCACTGGTAGTCAATGTCTCCCTGGCCAAAACACACTTCGTAAGTAGTCTCGCTACTAGCAATGATGATCTTCCGTACACCCAGCTTGCAGGCGGCTTCAATGACATTGTAGGTTGATGTCACGTTCGCTGCGTAGCATTCGTCATCAGGGACCAGCATGTTCCTGGCATAGGCAGCGAAATGGATGACGGCATCCGGCGGGCTGGGGACATTCTTCTCCTCGTAGCCTTCAAAGTTGAAGTGGGTGGTCAGGGCATTGAACACTTGACCACTTTTTGTCAAGTCAGTCTTCAATGTGAAGACTCCGGCACTTGGGTCGGGAAAGTCGATGAGGTCAAGGTTCAACACTTTGTGTCCCTTCGATAGCAGATATGGGATGACGTGTCGGCCAGCCTTGCCTGAGCCGCCAGTGAAGACAATGCGCTTTCCAGACGACATGTTTTGAAATGCTCTGGTGTATGATGGCCAGATAGAGTGAGCAGATGTGGTAGACGGTAGGGTTCGACGTATGGAATTAAGAAGCATTTGAGTTTTACATATTCTGAATACGAACGGTACTTTATACCTACCAGGCTTTCAAGCCTTGCGGGGTGGTCTCCGTTGCATGGTAATCGATGTTTCCCTAGTACGTCACTATGTCGGCGCATCGTCCGACCCATGTTCGATATTGTAATTCGTCTCCGCGCGCCGGCAATTGCATGTCAGACTAACAGTAGTTCTGACCACCCACAACCTTCCACCCTGATACCTATGGTTGATCATTGCTGTCCGCACCGATGACCACCGGTCTGATGCGGAGATTTTCAAGCTCCGCCCGCACACAGCTCCCGCGATTCACGACCACCTCGCTGACCGCCCCCCGGCTGTTAGGGCTGAAGCAGTACCAGAGGAGCATTACAGACGTCCGGGCGCGACAAGCATCGGTGTCGCGCAGCTGGTTCACGAGCACCACACCATGCGCTTATCCGGAGCTTGACGAGCACGAGCAGAGGCGCCTCAACGAGCGCAATCTGAAGCTCGGGAACAGTATGCAGCTACTGAAAGTCGATGTTAGGCAGGATCGCTGACTGTTCACAGCTATCAGAGTGCTTCGTGACAGTCTACCGAACCTCCTTAACTCGCCGCTGCCCTCGGACATCCTCTCGCCGCAGATCAGCCTCCATCTGTTCCCCTCTACGCACCCTCATCTTCCTACAGTCAGCGGAAAGCTTGCATACACGGCCGCGCTATGGACGGCGCCAGTGGCATGGGGTAGAGTCCCTGTCATTGGCAATGTGAAGCTGAAGGTCTTATCCGAGCGCATGGTCAAGACCGGCTGCGGGCCCACCGCGCCAGCGCACATGCGCAACGAGAAGCTGATCGTCAAATGGCAGACCTGCGGCAAGTCGGACAAGGAGAATAGCAGACACATCAGCGAGACGTTCGAGAGCGTCTCCAACATCGTCCGAGCGTCGCGGCCGTCGGACGAGGAGTTCACTGGCCTGTTTGTGTTCGAGTTCGACGAAGAGGGCCGCATCGTTCATCACACCATCGAACACACCGAAGAGGGCCGCAACTGGGAGATGACCAACAAGTTCATAAGCGTCACGGATTGGCTACTGGGCAGAGCTTGGGGCAGGAGGGCAGAGACGCCTAGCTTGGCTTTTGTGCGCTGCGCGCGGGAGAAGAGCATCAGACATCCTAAGAGCCGATGAGACGAGAAGAACACAACAATATACCCCGCTCCCTGGACAGGCGTCGTCCTTTTGATCATTCAATACTTTGTACATCTACGGCAGCCGCAGCGGCTAGCTTTGCTCCTCACTGTACAAAACGAGTAGTTACGAGGGAATGGTTCTCTGTCAACGTTGACCTGTTACGCATTAACGAAACCACTCACACCTTCTGAGTACTACCAATAGCCGCTATGCAGAGACCCTCAAGACTAACAGCACCTTCTGTGATCTGGCTCAACTATGAAGTCTTCGTTCTCTGCGCTCAAGTTACTCGCAAGACTGTTCAAGTACCATCAGGTCTCGGAAGGTGAGGTGTGTGATATCCACTCGACTTCCTAGCACAGATATACCTAAGCAGGTCTTGACCGATTGTTCGTGAGGCAGGAGGCAGCTCGAGCAAGCTTGCAATCAACATGTCTAGTCTCACGGACTTGACTTGAAGAAGACTGGGATCCAAGGCCTCGGTTCGGTATGACGTGGCGAAGAAGAGCGCATTCGAGTGACTTTCACAAGCCACACGCACGGAACCCGTTCAGTCCTCAGGGAACACTTAGCGCGAAGCTGACCCTTCCATCGGTCGCACAGCCGAAACAGGCCAGCTGCTTGGTTAACAGATGACAGCTGCCGTGCAAGGAGACGATCACAGCCACGGCCGCATTGGGCCAATCACGGACTACCACAGCATCAAGAACCCCTACGTTTAGCTCCCGCGAAGTGACGGCAAGCTGCCGGCTGCTGCTGTCTCGACGACAACACCAGTAATCCCCCTAATCACCTTCCTCCATCTCCAGGCCTTTCCATCCGTGCAGTTGTGTGGTTCGTACTAGCTGTGCCGTGCCGTTTCCGCCAGCCTCCCTATTTCGGGTGCTCCCCGCCTTTACACAGCATACCTACCCTAGAGCTATAGCCTCGCCGCAGGCGCCCGCTCCCATCCACGAGCTCCCGCCCGCAACAACGTCACATCGCGCAGCTATGGCGGACCTCTCAGGCAGCGGCGAGCTGAGTACGTGCCGACAAGAGCGCATGCTAGCTACCATGACGACAGCTAACGGCGCGCAGACCAGCCTGTCCTTAATCTGACGCCCGACGAGAAGCGCGTGTTCCAGCACCTCTTCCAGCAGGCCGACACAGAGAAGCTCGGCGTTATCACAGGCGAGATTGCCGTCAAGTTCTTCGAGCGAACCAAGCTGGCCCCGGCCGTCCTGGGCGAGATATGGCAGATTGCAGACACAGAGAACCGCGGGCTGCTGACCATGGCGGGCTTCTGCCAGGTTCTGCGACTCATCGGGCACTACCAGGCCGGCCGCGACCCGTCGCCAGAGCTGGCGTTCCGGCGTATGTCTGCCTAGTACCTCAGAGAGAGTAGATGCTAACGCATACACAGCTGCCCCCCTCCCTAAATTCGAGGGCCTTAATGTACCGGCCGCACCGCCTGCAGCGCCTCAGGGCTTCTCTCCCCAGAATACCGGGCCAATACAACCTCAAGTCAGCGGCCAGGGGCCCATCCGCGTCCCTCCGCTCACGCCTGTGAAAGCCTCCGAGTACGCTGGCCTCTTCGAGAAGTCGGGCGCCGTCAGTGGCGTGCTTTCTGGTATGTCTGTTCACTGAACTGTGCGACTAGCGACTGACCAAGAACCAGGTGAGAACGCAAAGGAGATCTTCGAGAAGGCGAGGCTACCGAACGAAGTCCTGGGTCGCATCTGGAACCTCTCGGATACGGAACAGCGCGGAGCCCTGAACGTCAACGAGTTCATCATCGCGATGCATCTTCTCGCTTCCTACCGCACAGGAAACCTGAAGGCGCTGCCCAACACCCTGCCCCCAGGGCTATACGAAGCTGCGTCGCGCAGGGGCGGTTTGCCTCCGCCTCCGGGTCGCCCGGATCAAGCCTCCATCCCACGTCAGTTCAGCGGCCAACAGAATGTGCCAAGGACAGCGAGTCCCCTCAGACAACCACCATTCGGCCCACCGCCACCGGTGCAACAGACTAGTAATGACTGGGTCATTGGCGCGCAGGAAAAGGCTTCATATGACAACCTGTTCAAGGGAGTGGACACAATGAGTCGCGGATTCATCACAGGAGAGCAAGCAGTGCGCTTTTTCAGCGATTCTGGATTGCCAGAGGACATCCTCGCGGGCATCTGGGATCTTGCAGACATCAATTCTGAAGGACAACTGTCGCGGGACGAGTTTGCCGTCGCCATGTACCTCATTCGACAGCAGCGAAAGGGCGATCCGCTGCCTCAGACGCTACCCTCGAACCTCATTCCCCCGGGTCTACGAACACGGGCGAACCAACAAGCCCCCGCTGTCGCGCCTCTTCCACCACCATCCAAGTCAGCTACCGAGGATCTCTTTGGCTTGGATGCCTTCTCTGCTCCCGAGCCTACATCGCCACAACGAGTCATGGACACTGGCGGCTCTGCTGCGTTTGGCAAACCGTTCGACAATGACCCGTTCGCGAGCAAGGCTGCGTCCCCAACATCTCCTGGGCCATTCCAGCCGCAACCACGCAACCCTGCCTCGACATTCAAGCCTTTCTTACCTACCTCTTCCTTTGGCCAAACACTTACGACTCAATCGACTGGTCAATCCGGGACCTCACAAAGAAACCAGCCATCGGCAATGGATGACCTTCTGGGTGGCGAGAGTGATCCTGAGATCAACAAGAAGCTTACTCAGGATTCCACTGAGCTGGCTAACATGTCCAACCAGATGACCACACTGAGGAACCAGATGCAGGAGGTGCAGAACAAGAAGGAGGCTACTCAGAGCGACCTCAACAGCGTGACCAACCAACGTCGAGAGCTCGAGGTTCGTTTGACGCAGTTCAAGACAACTTACGAGCAAGAGGTCAAGGCTGTTAAGGCCCTTGAAGACCGCCTTGCGGCTTCGCGCAACGAAACACGCAAGTTACAAACAGATATTGCTATGATTGAAGGCACTTACCAGGACCTCCAAACTCAGCATCGCCAAGTCGGAGGCGCTCTCGAGGCCGATCAGCGTGAGAACGCCAACCTCAAGGAACGCATTCGTCAACTCAATGCTGAAATCGCTCAACTGCGTCCCCAACTGGAGAAGATGAGGACCGACGCACGACAGCAGAAGGGAATGGTGTCGATCAATAAGAAGCAGTTGGCTACTAACGAGGGTGAACGTGACAAGCTCAAGAGCGAGGCCAACGACCTAAGCAGAGCTGCCGATGAACTTACAAGGAGTCCACAGCAGCAGTCGACGCCAGCAGTCGCCAGCCCTGCCGCATCCGTAACCAGCCAGTCTACCAATCCATTCTTCCGCAAGTCGCCTGCCCCAGCTTCAGAGAAGGCCATGTCGCCATCTGGCTTTGGCCAGGGACCGCATAGGGATTTCGACAGCGTCTTCGGCTCCTTCGCCCCAGCACAAAACACTCCACCCCCCGTCTCTTTCCGTGCTGACAGCCAGAGCAATGTGCCCAACTTCTCTGCTCCGTCTGGGCAGTCTGTTCGCTCCTCGGATGGCCCTGATGTTCCCACTCCTTCCACTTCTCCGCCTCTCTCATCCTACCAGGAGTCACCTCGTGGTGTAGAACCACCAGCTGCCCCCGAGTCACGCCAGTTCACCTCGTCTTTCCTGCCTCTCAGACAGGACATTCCCCGATCGGACTCCTTCAGCTCGTCTGTCAAGGTCTCAGCGCCTGCTAGCAGATACGGTGTACCAGGTCAGGAAACACCTACTGTTTCGAAAGCCTCGCCTGCTGGTACTCCTGTGCCTGAGAAGGCTACCTTGGAGCGCAGTGAGACGAATCGCACAGATACTGAGAGGTTCACGTTGGCCCAGCCGTTCTCTTTTGATCGCAACTTCTCCACAGCATCACCCGTTGCCAGCGTGACCAGTGACACTCAACGTTCTACACGAGCCGAGCCTCAACGCCAAGATACCTTCTCCAGCTTTGGTGTTGCTTCTGCTGGATTGCAAGACATACCCGGAGCTTTCCCTCGTGACAATGCCACACCCCTTCAGCAGAATCCCACTGGAGACAGCAGCTTCAGCAATCAGAGCAAGAACACCAACCGTGCTGATCCTTTTGGTAGCACTACCAGCGAAACCTCTCGTGGTGGTGGTAAGGTCGATTTCGACTCCGCCTTTGCCGGTTTTGGATCGACCCGCCCGTCTAATCCCGGTACCAATGGCTCAACAAACGACTCAAGCAAGTTCAATAAGGAGTTTCCACCTATCGAGGATCTGACTCATGATGATGAGAGCGACAGCGACAACGGAGGCTTCGACGACAACTTCACCGCGACATCTCCGCAACAGAAACGTAGCAGCACTGGTCAGCAAGCCTCGCAGCCGCAGACACAGCAACAGCGCCCAGGTACCGCATCGACAGACGAGCTTTATCGATCACCCCCACCACCAACTACTCGACTTGACTCAAACCTCGGTGGTCTGCCTTCTGCGGATGCACAGAAATCGCCTCCAGCCTATGAGTCGACAGTTGGTCAACGCAGTGGCTCGAACCAGTTCCCTCCCGAATTTGGCGGCTTGTTGCCCTCGCGCGACATCCCGAACTCACCTACTACTTCGCAGTCGCCTGACAAGTCCTTCAGCCCAGCTGGTGGTCATGGCGCAGCCCTGTTCGGTGGCCCATCCTCGAAGCCAACAACGACATCGCCCCCTCCGAATGACACGCCGTCATCAACTGTCCCGTCTGATGCTTACCACTCCGCTATGTCGCATGGCACTAGTGAAAACGCCTCGCAGGCTACGAACCAACCCCAGCTACAGAGGTCTGCCTTCAACGACGACTTCGATGCTGGATTCGACGATTTGACCGATGCTAAGGAAGACGACAAGACTGACGACGATTTCATGTTCTCTTCGCACCAGCGTGATGAGCTTGATGAGTTCAACCCTGTCTTTGACTCGCCGGCGGCATCGAAGTCGAACACAATGGCGTCACAGCAGACACCTACCGGCAAACCACGTGGCGATGATAGCTTCAGTGATTTCGAGCACTTGTCACACAGCTTTGGACAGCCCCAGGCGCCGCAGCCCGCTTCTTCCGCCCAGGACTGGGATGCCATCTTCTCCAACCTCGAGTCTTCACAGAACGACAAGCCTGGGCACTCGCAGCAAGCGTCTACAGACTTCAGCAAGTCCATTTTTGACAACCTTGACAGCGAGAATGCCGGTGCTTCATCCTCGAAACAAGGTCATTTGTCTCCCCACTCACCTCAAATGCCTCAGTTGGGCCGAGCAATCAGCAGCGGTACTGAGCACGACGACCCTATCCTGAAGAAACTCACTGGTATGGGCTACAGTCGTGACCAGGCATTGGGTGCTTTGGAGAAGTTTGATTATGATATCAACAAGGTATGTGAAGTCTTGTTTACTGACTGGCGACTTCTTGCTAATCTTAGACAGGCTACAGACTACTTAGTCTCTGGACAGTAGATGTTGTCCTCTCACACATTCGGTGCGACACATAATTTAGCACGACGCAAAGTTTCTTTGGTTATTTGTTGTATGAGTACATCTTTTTGCATGGCTTGCCATACCCTTGAGCGTCCAATATCGTTCTCGCGTTGTGGTATGCATTTGTGGCGACTCGACCGCCAGTGGACTCGGCCTTTCCTTGCATATATTCGCAATAATCAATACTCGTTTCCTTTGTCCAACCAGTTGCACATCATTTTCCACGTAACGCTTCTGCTGCGCCTTGTTGTGGCGTTAGACTGTTCCAAGGCAGGTGTTCGCAGCTGTGCCGCGTGACATTTGCCGGATGCCGGATGCCCCGCCACTCATGGTTTTGGTGGGGATGGATGATGTCGGTACGATGACGCGCATCCAAGCCACGCTGCGCCTGCATAAGCTTGAAGCTCGCCAGTCTCATCATTACCTACTGCTCGTCTGCATTTTGCGATAGGGCTACTCAGTTTCAATTCAAATCATACAGCAAGCATTCGTCTTTCCAGAAATTCGACTCCAATTCCGTAGCTCTATCACTTCAAAATGGCAGACTTCGCGCCGCCGCCAGTCAGTTTCTAAGAGACCTCAATATTGCTGCGCTTACTTACACATCATGCAGGGCCCGCCGCCACCTAAAGTTCCAGAAGGCTGGAAAGCTGTCTGGAACGATCAGTATCACGAATGGTTCTTCGTCAACGTCTACACCAAGCAATCTTCGTGGGAGAAGCCCACTGAACCCGTTTACCCACCTGGTGAAGCTCCACCGCCCGGCGCTCTTCCTATGTATGGAAGCGCGGTAGCCTCCCACCCTACAGGCATGAGTGAAAAGTCGGGTTTCAGCAGCAACAATCCCTACAACAGCCAACAACCGGGTATTAGCGAGGATGAAAAGCTCGCAAGAAAGCTACAGGAAGAAGAGCAAGCACGCGCAGGCCATTATTCAAGCGACGCCAATCGTGGCGCGAGCAACGACTATTACGGTCAGCCTCAGGGTGGCTACGGTGCCAGCGGTCCCAGCGTCGTTGGCGCTCCTCATTCGGGTGGATATCCGGCACCTGGAGGTTATTCGCAGGAGCAACCCTACCAGACTCCCTCTACACCATATCAATCGACACCACAACCGGATCAAAATCGAAGCAAAAGCAAGGGTGGCCTCCTCGGAAAGCTGATAGGAAAGGCCACTGGTGGGAGCTCGCATCATGCACCGCAGTCGTACGGACAGCCGGCTTACGGAGGCGCCGGCCACTATGGGGGACAGGGCATGTATCAGCAGCGTCCAGGGTACGCGATGCCGCCCGGGCGTCGCCCTGGAAAGGGTGGTATCGGCGCGGGTGGTCTGGCGATGGGAGCTGGTGCGGGTCTGCTTGGTGGTGCGATGTTAGGCTCAGCGATGGCCGATGATGGCGACACATACGTTGAAAACAACTATGGTGACGATGGCGGGGATATGGGAGGCGGAGGCTTCGACGACGGTGGTGGTGATTTCGGCGGTGACTTCTAAACTATGTAACATTTTCATTCCTGTTACAGTACTTCGAAGTTTGCACACGTCGTCATGGTGGCACTTTTAGCTTGTTAATGTCTATTCAGTTTACTGCTCGCCTTACCTGTCGCTGTGCTATGTTTGTTGCGAATTACCGCCAATGACGTACCGGCGGGTTAATGCTCCACCAAAACTTATCTTCAACACCAAGTGGCGCCACACTCGCCATCGCAGCTTCCACATAACACTCTATGCTAAGAGCGGCTTCTCGACTTTCAAGCATCATGGCGACTGAACAAACAAAACGTGATATTGTCATCATCGGTGGGTTACCCTCGAAATGCTGGGTGTCATATTAAGTTGTAGCTGATCTGTGACAGGTGGCGGTATCATTGGCTCGACGACAGCATACTACCTCTCACAACATCCAAGCTTCAACAAAGAAAGAGATAGTATCACGCTACTGGAAGCGACGAAAATCGCCGGTGGCGCGTCAGGGAAAGCAGGCGGTCTTCTCGGCCTCTGGGCTTACCCATCATGCATCGTTCCGCTAAGCTATCGTCTGCACAAGGAGCTTGCAGACCAGCATAATGGTGCAGATCGGTGGGGTTATCGCGCCGTGCACTGCGGGCAGATCGATATGTACGGCGTGCTAAAGAAGGAAGATAAGAACGGCGCTGTGAATGGGCGGAGCGAGGATTCCGTAAGCCTCGAGAAGAGGAGTAAAAAAGCGATCGGTTTGTTGCGAGCAGCTGGTGTACCGCCAGATCTAGATTGGATTGCGGCGGATGGGATCAAGAGCTATGATGCCATGGGCACACCAAGCACGACCGCACAAGTGCATCCCTTTCAGTTCACGACATCAATGGCCCAGCTAGCGGAAGAAAATGGCGCAAAAATCATCTACGGCTCAGCAACAGAGATCAAGCAGGAAGCCGACGCTATCCGAGCCGTATCATACAAACCCAGAGACGGCGGCGAAGAACAGACCCTCGACGCAAGCACCATTATCCTCACAGCCGGGCCCTGGACACGCACCATCTGGCCCCAAGCCCCCATCTCCGCCACCCGCGCGCACAGCGTGACGATCCGGCCCACGCGCCCCGTCTCCGCCTACGCGCTCTTCACCTCCATCGATCTCCCGCGCTCGCCCACCTCGAAGCGCGGCGAAACAGTCACACCCGAGATCTACGCGCGCCCCAACCAGGAGGTCTACGCGTGCGGCGAGGGCGACCACCTCATTCCCTTGCCCACCAGCTCCGACCTCGTCCAGGTCGACGACAGGCGGTGCCAGGATGTCATCGACTACGTCTCGACGGTATCTGAGGAGCTGAGGGATGGCGAGGTGACGGCGAGGCAGGCGTGCTATCTGCCAAATGTGACAAGGGGGCAGGGACCGCTGATTGGAGAGACGGGGGTGAAGGGTCTTTTGATCGGTGCTGGGCATACGTGTTGGGGGATACAAAATGCGCCCGGTACGGCCAAGTGTTTGAGTGAGTTGGTGTGGGAAGGGAAGATCAAGAGTGCGAATTTGAGCAGTTTGGATCCTAGGAGGGTGATGTAGGGCTGTTAGATGGCTTATGGTGGATTGAGAGTTGAATTATAGATATGGCATGATGGTACTGGTAGAACAATGCCCCTAAACCACCGAGTCTCTATGTTCAGAAGCTTACAAACGAAAGACAAACTACAGTTCATGAGGCCTGGATGAGGTTAAAAAGTTACGTGCAGCAGCAGATCTGTAGAGACAAGCTATGAGGCTATTGAAGCCATCTACATATCAAGCATAGGTATCCAAGTCACTGAACCGGAAGTTCGGTATAAGTCAACACAAATGCCCCACCATCGGGTCAATGACCAGCGAGCCTGTCGGTTATACAAACCAGCGACGTATTTCCTCAATACACAAACAAACCTACACCTCAAGGCCGCAAGAGTAAGCGACCATGGATATCTTCGCAGCTGATGATGCCTGGCCTATACGGGATGATCAGCCCTTTGAAGGAGCATTCGAAGTGTCAACCGACAAGGGCATAGAGAATGCCGTCGTCCACAGTGTCGATCGACCCTGGTTATTCCGTTATAGTCCCAAGGCCAATTCCAATGGACGAGGTATCCTCATTTTAGGAGGAGGAGGCTACGTTGAGCTTATGGTCGGAAAGGAAGGCGTTAAGATAGCAAGATGGCTAGCGAGTCTCGGGTTCGACGCCTTTGTCCTCGTCCACCGCTTCCCCAACGCAAAATCGGCGCCTCAGGCTCCAGTTGATGACGCGCGACAGGCGTTGAAGGTTATTGTGAGCCATGGATACGCTACAAAAGGCTTGGGCGTCTGCGGACTCTCGTCTGGTGGCCACCTCGGAGCCGCGCTCCTGGCAGATTACCCGAAAACATGGACATCCCCAGAGTCCTCGACAACAATACCAAAATTCGATTTTGCAATCCTGGGATACGGACCAATCTCGACAAACGCAAAAGGCCGCACAATCATACCGAACAAAGCCGCGCTGGCGCCGCCCGAGAAGCAAGAACTCTACGACATCGTACAGCCAGATGTACAAATCAGTACTGCACCGCCAACCTTCATCGTGTACTCAGGGAGCGACCCCGTTGTTCCGGCAGTGAACGCGTACAGACTTGCTGAAGGCATCACCAAGGCCGGCGCGGCGGTGGAGCTCCATGTCTTCGCAGAAGCGCCGCATGGCTTTGCACTTGATACCGTCGACCTGCCAGTGAGCAAGTGGCCTAGCATGTGTGAAGCATGGCTCAAGCAGAATGGATTGTTAGATTTGTAAATGCAATATGTATACAAAAGAGATACGTCGAGGATGGAAGTTACGGAAAGAGTTAGTGTCAACACGACGTCATCGATATCTCGTACCCTCAGAAGCATCGAACGCAAATGCAAAACATCATCTCTGAAGCCGTGTATGACGGCAATGCAATCGCTCGTTCGCCTGTTTGGAAATCTCTCCGTTGTGAAAAGACCACTGCGATCAAAACGACAATTCCTGGTTGCATCTACTTTTGGGACGCGCCACTTGCACGCGTCTTCGATGATGGCAAGCCCCTTAAAGCGCAAAGCAGACCAACCAGCAGCTTCTACCGCAGCCAAAAAGCAGAAAGTAGTAGTACCGGAGTATCATACAGCACCTCAACGGCGCGATGATACTGGTGAGATAGTGTGGCCAGCCCGGCAAGAGCAAATTGAACGAGCGCGAGAGATCATCAGAGAATGGTACGTATCTTCAAAGGACTTGAGGAGTTACTTTGTCTGACGTAGAGCAGTGCTCAAGCACAGAAACCAATAGTCATATTGCCTGACAAGGATGCAGATGGTTTGTCGTCCGGAGCGATTTTGCATCACACGCTCACTTCACTCGGACTTCGGCCTGATCTAATATCTGTATACTTTCCGCCCAAAGGATCGAACGTGCATGATGATACCACTAATCAGGCGCTCACCGAGATAGCCCCATCGTACGTTTTTGTGCTAGACCAAGGAAGTAGAAAAGGTGCTGCACTGCTGGACTTGCCTCACACGTGTCTGCTAGTCGATCACCACTTTGCAGAAGATGGGGGCTTTCCAGAAGGCGCCGAATATGTCACTGCACATGACTGTCCGCCTGTTGCGACTACCTCACTCCTGATCTACCACATCTGCCTGCCCCTGCACCCTGATCTTGACGACAAAATCTCATGGCTCGCAGCAATGGGCACCCATGGCGACCTGGGAACGACACTGAAATGGGAGCCACCATTCCCTGATATGACCGCAACATTTAAGCAGCATACTAAGAAAGCAATCAACGACGCGGTTGGACAAGTCAACGCACCAAGACGATCCGCTGCTTACAATGTCAAAGATGCATGGGATGTTGTCATCAATGCATCAGGTCCAGACGTCATCAGAAAAGCAGAGAAATTGCAAGAGGCTTCGCTGGAAGTGCGTCGCGAGACTGAGCGCTGCACGCACACGGCGCCCAAGTTTTCTGCCGACGGTACCATATGCGTCCTCACGATTTCGTCAGAGGCCCAGATTCACCCCGTCATTGCAACCCGGTGGGCTGGTCATCTCAAGTCCAACAAACTCGAGATTGTCATGTGCGCCAACGAAGGGTATTTAACCGATAAGGTTAATTTCTCATGCCGCGTTGCGAGAGTTGCCCGAGGCCGCGGGGGTGACGAAAAAGTAGACATTATCAAGAGATTGGAGGGCATTGTCAAGGATCACCCAGAGCTGAGGGAAAGACTTGGGCAAAGCTTTGCAAGAGGTCATAAGGAGGCCAGCGGCGGGATTGTTGGAAAGAAGGAGTGGGAGGAGCTGAAGGCCATCATTGGTCTGGACGACAGCATGACGAAGAAGAAGAAACTGGAGAAAGAGAACGGTGTAGTGGGCACTCCGAAAAAACTGCCAGCGCAGAAGAACACTCTTGCGAATTACTTTGCCAAAGCCTGAGTTGGAGTTGGTGAAGGACAAATCACCGCGGAGAGCCGCACTTGGGTCGGGTGACAACGTCGAAGACGGTGCTACAGCTCTTTGGACCGAGTCGACCCAGCTCAATATATCTTCGTCGTACCTGTTCGCCGCCAAGCAAGCTTCACCGTATGTGTGGAGAAGCCCATTTGGGTGTTTTCGCCTTGGCGTTTCAACTAGTTTCATACTGACAGCTTCGCGACCAGGATTCCGGATGAAGAGCACTATCAAAAGATCGCCAATCAGAGCCCGAATCGAGACATTACCCATAAACAATTTAACCCAGTCCTCAGTGCGTCGCTGAATCAGGCAATATCTGGGGAAGCGCCACAATTTTCGGCGAATTATGTGGACGCATGCAGACGAGGCAGTGTTGCCAAGCAGCCTCTGTTACAGCGATCAATCTATGTCAGTAAGATGGCTCGAGGCGCGCACTTCTGGAGATTGGAAGTGACGGTGGGAAGGAATTACGGGCCGGCGAGATTGAGCAGGTCGACGCTGTTTCGAATCACGGTCGTTCAGTGACTGAATAAATACTGCGCAGGTTCGAGCATGTTTGAGTCTGTATCCAGCCCTCACTACATTCATTCGCTTCTTATTCACACACTACTTCCAAGATGAAGACTTCTTTCGTTCTCCTTGCCGCTGTGGCATCTGTCTCTGCCCACTCGACGTGGCAGCAGCTGTGGGTTGGCACGACCGACCAGGCCGGAAAATGCGTCCGCACAGTCAAGGACAACAGTCCCGTTGAGAGCCTGACCTCCGCCGATATGTTCTGCGGTCGTGGCCCGGCGAAGTCGACTGGTGTCTGTGAAGTCGCTGGTACGCCATCCCTCACCACATCCACACAAGCAACAACTAACAGAACCAGCTGGCTCGTCTCTCACTGTTGAGTTGCACGCTCAGCCCAACGACCGCTCTTGCGCGCAGCCGGCCATCGGCGGTGCCCACTACGGCCCCGTCCTGGTCTACATGGCCAAGGTCGCCGACGCGACCACCGCGACCACCGGCTCCTTCTTCAAGGTTGCCGAGGACGGCTACAAGGGCACCACCCCTACCTGGGGCACCGAGATCCTCAACGCCAACTGCGGAAAGCGAGCATTCACCGTGCCCAAGAACATCGCCGCTGGCAACTACCTCGTGCGCGCCGAGGCCATCGCACTGCACGCCGGCGCTGGCTCGCCGCAGCCGTACGTCAGCTGCTTCCAGGTCAAGGTCACTGGTGGCGGAAGCGCGAACCCGGCCGGTGTCAGCTTCCCCGGTGCTTACAAGATCACGTATGTTGATGCCGAATCCGAGTTGACGAGACCCGTGCTAATGATCTCAGTGACCCGCTCTTCACCAAGGCTATCTATGACTCGTCGTTCACGTACACAAGCCCTGGCCCGGCTGTCTACTCTGGTTAGACAGACTTTTTTGGGGTTGAATCCTCTTTGCATATGTACATAGATTAAATTTGCGTCCATTGGAGATGTACATAAAGTTACACCACTACCTCCAAACATGTTTCAACCCCTTGCCATGATTGTGCCATTTCTTCTACTACAACTAGAACTGACCAAGCAAGTGCGATGGTTAGGGATAGACCACAAACGCTCAGAACGTACTGGACACTCGAGCTGGCCTCACGAAGTATTTGACTTGCTAAGCCTCTTTCGTCCATGCCAACATGCACAGGAAAGTCCTGATCAAGATCATCGGTGCTATCAAGCGGATAGCTCTTAACCTGCATAGTCCCTCAAGACAGGGTTCCACGATTTTAACCTCCCAATCTTAGCCTTTAATCAACAAGGGATAATACATAGCTAGAGTTGAAAAGATCCACCATGGTTGGAAGGGTATATGCAAAGCAGCTATAACAACAACACGGGCTCTCGTGCGATAGTGCACTTCGCAGCTTAGGCAATGACCTTCTCAACCACCCACCCCTTCCCAGCCCCTTCCTTCTTCTGCAGCACTTTCCTAATTCCGAGCCCCCAGCCCTGGCTTCCCTTCTCGCCCACGAGTGTCATCTCAACCTCGCACTCCCTGCGCTCTGGCGCACCGCTCGCACGCGGCAACTCCGCAATCTTACCCTTTGGCTTCGAAGTCTGCAGCAGCGGGGTGCCCAGCGCAATGTTGATGAGCTGAGGCCGTGTAACTGGCGTGAGAGGGTGCATGCGCGTCTTTGGTGTCTTCGCGCCGTAGACCGACGATGCAGATGCGCGCTGGAGGTGTGAGTAGATGATGTAGCCCGGCAGCTTTGCTGGCGGTGTACGCGCTAGTAGGGTCGACGGGTGCAGGTACACGTATTTCTCGTTCGGGTCATCACTGCGTGTCTCCGTCGAGGAAAAGAGTGTAACATACGGAACATCAATGGCTGTCTTTGGCTTGCGGGGTAGCTCTGGTGGGACGGGCGCGAGATCTGCACGCATGGCAACTTGGTCGATGAATCCGGCAGCGCATATCTGAGTCAGAAGATTGATGCTCTTTTCTGATGGAGCTGGGAGCTTCGCTTGGTATGTGCCAATGGCTGTTGGACGATGAGTGCGCACGATGCTGGTCAGCTGCTGGCGGAGCTGGCTGGCTTCGTGCATAGCTTTGGCGTTGAGAAACATGTCCTCACAGAAATGCTGTGGGTCACTTTCGTACGCGTAAGCGCAGACGGCGTTGCTGTATTTGATGCAATCGCTTTGCTTTGCGTTTACGCTAAGCTTCGCGAGAGCAGCGTTGTAAGCTTTACGCAGGCGGGAGCGTTCTTCGGCTTCGATATTATCCTGCTCTGTGCGTACGGCATCAGGGTCTCTCGTTGGCTCTCGTAGACCCAGCTTGTTCTCTGGAATGACCGGCTCTGGTACAGATAGCGCAGCCACGAGCGCAATCGTTTCAGCTGTAAGCCCCTGAGCCACACCCATCGCTAGCATACGGGCAAAGCGCGGGTTAAGCGGATACAGAGACAGTTCGTGACCGAGCTTGGTTACTTTACCATCTGGCGACAATGCTCCGAGGCAGGAAAGAAGGCTCTCAGCACGCTGGAGGCTCTCTCGATCTGGGGGTGTGGGAAACGGGAAGTTGACCACAGGTGCTCCCATACTCTTGAGCTGCAGCACCACTCCCTCCAGCGGCGTTCGCAAGATCTCTGGCGCTGAATACTCTTCGAAATCGCGCTCGAAGACGGCAGACGAGTACAAGCGGTAGCAATGACCGGGACCAGTACGGCCAGCACGACCAGCTCTTTGGTTGGCACTGGCTTTGCTTATCCAGCCAACCTCGAAGCTCTGTACGCCAGTGACCAGATCGTACTTCTTTTCCTTTGCCCTGCCACAATCGAACACATAGCGGACACCAGGTATTGTTAAACTTGTTTCCGCGACGTTGGTGGCGAGAACAATCAGCCTTGACCCGTCTGGAGGCTGCTCGAAAACGCGCATTTGCTGGTTGGTTGGCAACTGGGAGTAAAGTGGTAGTACGTGTACGTTCATCACCGTATCCTCTGGCTTTTCTTCGTTGATATCAAACTCTTTGTCCTCCTCATCACCGTCAAGACCCATGATTATCGAGTCTTCAGAATCCGAACCATCATTGTCTTCATCGACATCATTTTGGCCGTATTCAAGGTCCTCGGCCTCTACAGGCGTCTCCGCAGGGTTAATCCTGACTTTGCCCGTCTTGACGTCCTGGCCCTGTGTCGATGGAAAGGCTTGTTTGAGGCGTTTTGCAAGCTGAGAGATCTCACTCTGGCCAGTAAGAAATACTAGCATGGCCCCTGGGGGTAACTTGCGATGACCTCGAACAACCTTGCGGTACATCTCTTCAACGTAATCCCGCTGCGTCTGGCGAGCGAAATGATTTGTGACAGTGTATTGACGGCCTTCGGCTTTCAGCAGCGGAGGCGGCTCGCTTCTGAAAAGACGTTTGTTGTCAGTGAAATCAGAGATCCGGAGAGTTGCCGACATGATGACCAGCTTCAGAGGCTTGACTTTAGAGTCTTCTTTTCCCATCTCAGCTCGTAGATCAACGATCCTACTAAGCATGCCAATGAGAATGTCGGTATTGACGCTGCGCTCGTGTGCTTCATCAATAACGATTGCAGAGTACTTCGACAAAATGAAGTCTTGGGTGATCTCGCGTAAGAGAACACCGTCAGTCATGAACTTGACTGCAGTTTTTGCGTTCGTTGTGGTGTCGAATCGAATCTGATGGGCAACCTTCGAGCCATGGTTACCGAGCTCATCACTGACACGCTTAGACATGCTGACTGCCGCAACTCGACGCGGTTGTGTGACGCCAATCATGCCTGGTGTAGGCCCATTCGGCGCACCATAACCTGCTTCGAAGAGGAATTGTGGTACTTGTGTGGTCTTACCACTACCGGTAGCTCCCCAAACTACTACCACGTCGTTGTTGTGTATTGCCTCCATGATCTTCTGTTCCTCAGCCACAACCGGAAGCTGCAACCTAGCTTCTTGAATCTCAGGTGTTCTCTCGACTGAGACGCTATACGCTTTCCGTGTTGCATCGGTTGCGGTGTTCGTTTCAAGCTCTGCGGGAAGAGGGTCTTGCTCGGGTGCTCTGGGTGTGAAATTGGAAGGCTTTGCTGGTAGTGCGTATTCGAGTTGGTTTGACGGCACGAAGCCAATCTGTTCGTTCCTTTGAGTTGTTGCCCACGCTTTGAAAGCCGACGTCCTCTCTTTCCTGGCGATTTTGCTCTCCTCTTTATCGAGACTACTATCGCTATCGCTGTCGCTGTCTTCCTCCGATTCCTCCTCTTCAGAACCATCTGAATCGTCTGTGTCTGGTGAGCCGTCTGACCCAGAGTCTGTGCCATCCTCCTCTTCGATGTCTGATTCATCAGTTGAGCCTACGGGGTTTGCGCCCTCAACTTCTACCTCCTCTTCGTCAGTAGCTTGATCATCCGAATCGAAACCCTCCCATGCCACCTCTTCCTCGATCACGATAGGCTTTCCTTTCGCCTTTCTGCGTTTCCTGACTTGTATGATAGGTTTGCCCGACTCATCCAACTCGAGGGGGCGCTTCAAACCGCCCCCAAAGAGGCCAAAGCTGCCGACAGACGCCGCTGTAGTGGGTTGGAGGGCTGTGAGTGCGGGTTCCGGCGACCTCGATGGCGATCGTATACGTTTGTGCGACGTAGCAGTGGAGGTCTTTAGCGACTGCCGGGGCAGCCTATGCGCAATTTGAGTCTCGATATCCCTCTCTGAAGCCGAGCCGTCGGGCTCAGGTTCTCTGACGGTGTGTTCCTCGAAGAGAAGTCCTTCGTTCTTCTCTACGTCTACACCAGCTCGTCGCTCGGCCAGTGCCCGTTTCAAAGCCTCGCGCTTGGTATCGCTGCCACTACCTAGTTTCTTGGAGCTCTGGAAGAGACTGGTGTCGACCTTATGCGATTGTAAAGCCAGCTTCTTGAGAAGCTCAAGATTCTCCTCCTTCTTGAGCTTAGTATCGATGTACTTGTCCAGACGCTTTTTCTTCTTGCTGCTCATTTTGCTTTGCGCCTCGCGCACAAGCTCGTCCTTCATCGTACGCCGCCTCTCATCGCGCTCTTTCTGTTCCGCCGGCAATATCTGCTCATGATTGGCCTCAGCAGGCACATCGTTCTGAGCAGTCGCCTTCTGGCGCGCAACAACCTTGTGCTTCCGCTGTCGAGGTACGAACTTCGGCATGTTTTGTCGTGGTCCTATGGCAAAACCTCACTTTGCTGTATAATAATTTTGGCGGGACTGGCACGCTAAAAGGGCACTAGCGCCCGGGCGGTGAGCGCCTCCGCATCACTCCCGAGGGCTCATTGTCCCCACCAACGGTTGGACCCCTCAGGCTTGAAAATGTTGTGAACATCATTCTGCATTGTCGCAATCTCTTTACGCCGAGATCAGCATTACACAATTACCGCTTTATCAGCATGTCGACAGCAACAGGAGAGTACATGGTAGCCCCAGCGCCGTTCCCAGCGCGCTCGAGGTCTGCTTCGTCGAACATTCTTGGCCTGGAAACCACCGTGACGTCTATGTCGTTCACGGACAAGATTCTCGTTACAATTACACAGCAAGGCCGTCTGGCACATTGGGTACGCTCCGCAATTACCTCCTGAATTCGAGGAACTGACCCTGCGGTCGTAGGTGCATGTCCCACTCGATATCTCCGCAACCGACACATCAGCAACCTCGCAATCGTACCTCGACCGCGATGACGAAGATCCTGCATCTGATCTTCTTCCTATGCATCACTTGACTGCAACAACGATATTGGGCGGCACGATACCAGAGCTCGAGGTTCTCGGTCAGACGCTGGCCACGCAGATAGCCTCCGCTATCAAAACTCAAAACGACAGAGAAACGCGGATGGTAGTACTTGGCATGGGGCTGGACAAACGCATGAGTGGTAGAACAGAATTCAGCGAGCTGGTAGGGCTGATGCTAGAGGTGTTGTGAGATGCAGATCTCGAAAAGTCGCCTAGCAAAAGGATCCGATACAACGCTCTTGAGAAGAGCACTCGAGTGCGCACAAGGCCTACGCAACTCGCAGGTCGATTCAACACACTATGAACTGTATGCCTACATATCCTTTTGCCATTTCCCCAAGAAGACTCAAACGCCGCCATCATGCTAACCCATGTCTAGAACCGAAACGCCGACATATGCAGCCATATGATCACTCTACAAGCTTTCACGAAGCTTGTTGATCAGGGTATCCACCGACTCCATATCGTTCGCGTCAAGTTTGCCTGTTGGCTTGAAATCGGCCGGTACGTGGGATAACGCATCATCGAGCGCAGGTTGGAAATTTCTAACCGAAGACGAGAGCGCTGTAATGGCCTTCTTCTTCACTTTTCTCTCGTCGCTCCCTGTCGACATGCGTACCAGTGTCGGAATGGCGCCGAGTACTAGGAGCTGTGTACTGTCAGCGACTCTTCATGTATTCTTCAAAGCAAAAGCATGCTCACCTTCTCCTGGGTCTTGATGTTGTTCTGCACCGCTGTGCCAATGCACCATGCAGCATATCTCCTCAGCTCAGCTTCCTTGTTCTCCAATTGCGCAATCAGAGGTATCCACAGGTTCAACGATTCTAGGTTGTTTGCGTTGTCGAGGTTCTCGATGAGCTGCTCGAAATTGTCGAATGCGGTGATTCGGTCCTCCAGCTCGCACTCGTCTCTCTTGATGACTTCCATGTTGTCCTTCATCATTTGCGCGTCCGATTTGATGTTGCCTCCGAATAGAGCAGCGAGGGCTTCTGAGTTCAACTGCGTTTTTGGAGCCTCTGCGCCCTCGGACACATTGGAGTTCTCGACACCCCACTTGAGAAGCGTGTTCAGATTGGGATCAGCCATCGTGTGTAGTGTTGTAAAGTTTGAATTGGCAGTAGAAAGTGTTATGTTGTTGCAAGATCACTGGTATTTCAGCATCTATAGGAAATTTGGCGGGATGACGCAGATCCGGTGTTGTGCCGACGCTGCGAGAAGATACGACCAGATTCGCGCGCCTTCCATAAGCCTGGCAGCTGTCAGCCAGCTGCAGCGCAATTCTTGAGGAGACCTCGGGTCGATGCTAAGACACACTTTTCTTCACAATAGCCGAGTGAAAAATGTTTTCAATTGAACAATCATCGTGTTCGTCGTATGTAAACGCCGTCACCGTATCGACGCTCGCGGTGCAAGGTCCCGGTGCGTGGTCCCGCGGTCCCGTACGTGCCCCTCACCACGTGACCTGGGCCCATTTTTTCTGGCGGGGATGCTAGGAGTTGGCGGTGAGCATTACGGATGGCTGGGATCGCAATGCTTCTGCAGCTCAGAGGCCAGTGGCGGTCTGGCACGAGCACGCACAGCCGTCGCCCGAGTCGCACGCATTGCCCTGCCATTGCCATCAGCATTCATCAGCGCAGTGAACCGCCAAGCAGTGAAGTCGCTGCCTTGGGGCAGACGTGCGTGTACAAGTGAACCATCCTCACAGTGTGGCGGGAGAGCTTGCGTACACCGTCGGAGCAGAAACTGTGATGCCTAGAAGCAGCGCAATAGGGGTATAAAACGCTCATTGCAGCTTCGCCATGAACAATCGCATGCATTGAACACAGAGAGACGTTGCCTGCACTTCCGTTGGATCTTGCCCGTTTGTGCAAAGCCCCCTTCACCAACCTCGCCGCTCCTTCTGTCTGGGCAAGGCCGGCCCGCTTATTTGAGCGTGGGCACCCACTCGCCTCGCGCACTCTGCAAGACCTTAACCACAACCACCAACGCACCCGTAAGCTTCCCCGACGTCCGTGTTCCTATTCAAGCCCGAGCTGCGGCAACCTGTCCTTCTCTTACTGACTCTTCTCTTCGCAGAGAGTACTTATTGCACTCCGCCCACACAACTCTACCTACTCCTAATCTACCACCTAATCAGTCAACATGGAAGGTAAGCAGCTGAGCCCGCCGCCGGCGTCGCCGCCGGCCACCCCCTGACGATGCGCGTCTGTCTCCATGAGCTCTGCTAACTTGTGCTTCTCACTGCAGAGGAAGTCGCAGCCCTCGTCATCGACAATGGGTGAGATCATACCCCCCGGCGTCGAATCCCGCCATCCCTGTCGTGGAGGGGCTGCCTGCATCGTCGTCGCCCACATCGTCGACGAGCCGCCCTGCGGCAGGATCGCGCGAGCGATAGATATTTGATGAACATACGCTGACAATTGATAGTTCGGGTATGTGCAAGGCCGGTTTCGCCGGTGATGATGCGCCCCGAGCAGTCTTCCGTAAGTCCTCCAACCCGCCACCTGGCAGCAGCACCCGAGCGCTACATTGCGCCCACCCTGCCGTCAGCCAACGCCCGAGAACATTGTCCTGACATTTTGCAGCCTCCATTGTCGGTCGCCCCCGTCACCATGGGTATGACGCCTCCCCGTTAGCTTCTGCCGATCCTGAGCTAACCGCGACGCAGTATCATGATCGGTATGGGACAGAAGGACTCCTACGTCGGTGATGAGGCACAGTCGAAGCGTGGTATCCTGACTCTGCGATACCCCATCGAGCACGGTGTTGTCACCAACTGGGACGACATGGAGAAGATCTGGCACCACACCTTCTACAACGAGCTGCGTGTCGCCCCCGAGGAGCACCCCGTCCTGCTCACCGAGGCTCCCATCAACCCCAAGTCCAACCGTGAGAAGATGACACAGATCGTTTTCGAGACATTCAACGCCCCTGCGTTCTACGTCTCTATCCAGGCTGTCCTGTCTCTGTACGCTTCCGGTCGTACCACCGGTATCGTGCTCGACTCCGGTGACGGTGTTACCCACGTTGTCCCCATCTACGAGGGTTTCGCTCTTCCTCACGCCATCTCCCGTGTCGACATGGCTGGTCGCGATTTGACCGACTACCTCATGAAGATTCTTGCTGAGCGTGGTTACACTTTCTCCACCACCGCCGAGCGCGAAATCGTTCGTGACATCAAGGAGAAGCTCTGCTACGTTGCCCTCGATTTCGAGCAGGAGATCCAGACTGCCAGCCAGAGCTCCAGCCTCGAGAAGTCTTACGAGCTTCCCGACGGTCAGGTCATCACCATTGGCAACGAGCGCTTCCGTGCTCCTGAGGCTCTCTTCCAGCCTTCCGTCCTTGGTCTTGAGAGCGGTGGTATCCACGTTACCACTTTCAACTCCATCATGAAGTGCGATGTCGACGTCAGGAAGGATCTGTACGGCAACATCGTCATGGTATGTGTTCTTGGTGCAAATATAAGATGATTGAGCTGACCCTTCTCAGTCTGGTGGTACCACCATGTACCCCGGTATCTCCGACCGTATGCAGAAGGAGATCACTGCTCTTGCTCCTTCCTCCATGAAGGTCAAGATCATTGCTCCCCCCGAGCGCAAGTACTCCGTCTGGATCGGTGGTTCCATTCTTGCCTCCCTCTCCACCTTCCAGCAGATGTGGATCTCAAAGCAGGAGTACGACGAGAGCGGTCCTTCCATCGTCCACCGCAAGTGCTTCTAAGGTACTGCAACTCCTGCGCCGAAACGATTCCACCGACTGACGATTTTCCTTCCAGCGTCTTCCTGCGTACGATTCTCGAGATTATGGCAAGCCTGATAGCGGAGGCAACGTTGTATTGGCGCTCTGTCACCCCGGGGTTTCATGCATAACAGTTGTTCACAAAAGGGCTAAGCTGGCGAGCGATTGGGTGTTTAAGTTATGGAGCAGCTTGAGCTCATACGCGGAGATGTAATAGGATTTAAGGCTGTAGCTTAGAACCTGGACACTCTCCCACCTTCTCTTACCCAAGTGCTTCGTGACCAAATTGAATGCTTGCATGACCGTGTGCGTTTGTCTTTGTGTACGAGTCGCTCCCCTGCCTTGCACGTCCGGCGAACAGGCGACACGGTCACTTTTTAGTAAACTTTGTCTCAGTGTTCCCTGGTAGTACTGCATGTAACAATCTGTTTGTGAATAGCGGCCCGGACGGCTGAACCTTCTAAGCAAATGCAAGCTGACTGCCGGATCAGGTAAAGCCGCTATCGCTAGCGCTATGTCAACCGTCAGCTTTTAGCGGCCCTGTCTCTGACGCATCCTTTGACACTGATGCTATAAAGTCTCAAATTGCTTCATATTTGTCTTGTAGACTCATGGATTGACCAGCAGCCTCGGCATTGGTTTGACGTTGTACTTCTTTCGTTGAGACGAAGACTCGTTACATGAAAAGCACAATTCTCCATCACCATGTTTTCTAAAGCCAAACAACTGGATGAAGCCGCCGCCACGATTGCCTACGAGACTACGCCTCTGCTTGCCTCCGTGGAACCCGGTCCTGACGCGGAAGTCTTATCAAGCCAAACCACCAGCACAGATGGAGCCGACGCAGACGATGAAGATGCACCACTCCCAAAATTACAAATCTTCCTTCTCTGTTACACTCGTGTCATTGAGCCAATAGCGTTCTTCTCCATATTCCCTTATATCAACTCCATGATTGAACATGTAGGCGGAATCAAGAAAGAAAACGTCGGCTTCTATTCCGGACTCATCGAATCTCTCTTCTCGCTTACACAGATGTGTGTTATGATCTTCTGGGGTAGAGCATCTGACCGTTACGGACGCAAGCCGGTTCTGGTTTTCAGTTTGCTAGGTATTGCGATTGCGACCGCGTTATTCGGCATGAGTCAAAGCATCGCGCAAATGATTGTCACCAGATGTTTCGCAGGTGTCTTCGCGGGTACGGTGGTCACTCTAAGAGCAATGTTTAGCGAGAATAGTACAAAGCATACGCAGGCTAAAGCGTTCGCCTACTTCGCGTTCGCAGGAAACTTGGGGATTCTCATTGGGCCGCTTCTGGGTAGGTCTGGCAATGTGTGTCTGATGTGCTTCGCTGATCTTGACATAGGAGGTGTTTTTGAGAGACCCGCCGAGAAATACCCTCGTGTTTTTGGATACAATTTCTTTCGACATTACCCTTACATACTGCCTGGACTTGTCGTCTCGGGTTTCACACTCTCTGCGGCTCTTACGACGGTCTTGTTTGTGAACGAGGTATGCTTCTCTACTTGTGACCATAGCATCGTTCCTAATAAGTCACCAGACTCTTCATGTTCACAAGAAAATGAAATCTACAGAGGCTCCGATGACAATGAGGCAAATTGTCCAATTCCCTGGCGTAGCACGAGTTATTCTTATTTTTGAGTACATCAGCGTCCTTGCCTTTACATTCACTGCCGTTAATCCTGTCTTCCTCTACACCCCTGTTCGACTCGGCGGGATGGAGTTCTCTCCCGAGCTCATTGCCGCAGTCATCGGCTTCTCAGGCGCGTCACAAGCGGCTTGGCTTCTCCTTGTCTTCCCTGCTTTACACAAACGCATTGGTACTGGTCAGATTTTGCGTCTTGCAGCATGGACCTGGCCTTTCTTTTTTGCGATTAACCCCATCTCCAACACTCTCCTTCGACACGACCAGAGGACTGCATTCTGGGCCATTGCTCCACCCGCTTTGGCAATGGGCAGCGGTGTGGCCATGGCATTCACCGCTATTCAACTCGCGATCAACGATATCTCACCGAGTCATGAAACTTTTGGGACACTGAACGCAATCACGCTTGCCCTCTCGAGCGGATCCAGGGCTGTGGCACCAGCGCTAGCCACAAGTGTATATGCTATTGGTGTCAAATACCACATCTTAGACGGCCACCTGTTTTGGCTGCTCAACATATTACTCGCGTTCGGGCTGGTAGGGCTGTTGAGATTACTACCGGAGAAGGTAGAGGGGAGACCCAAGAAATCGACAAGCCAGATTGAGTAGATCGACACGCATGGACTCAAGAACGAATGAGACAGATCCAACATTCGAGGCTCAATGCTCCTCATGCTCCGTCTCGATATAATACCGTGCTCACAGATATGGTATATTGATCTTTCCAGTTTCCAGTCATACCTCAGCCCCGAATGACTCTTACAACGATTTTGCCTTTCGCCCTTCCCGTTCTTAACTTCTTGTACGCCTCTTGCACTTTTTCGAACTGGAACACATCATCCATTACGGGCTTAACTTTGCCCCCCACTACAAGATCAGCAAGACTTTGGTAGTCCTTGAAATTTGTCGATGCAAAGGCAAAGGAGAAGGGCCGTTGTCCACCTCCGAGCGATTCAGGTACAGCAAACCTGAACGCCAGGTCGTATATGAACCCTAAACTGACCTGCGAGCCAATTTGGACGTATTTTGTACGTGACTTGGTAAAACATGGTGCCTTCCAGTATAGCTCCGCTGGCTCACCAACGTTATCAAGCACAAAATCAAACTGCTTCCCACTCTTCACCAACGTAGCTGTTACGCTTTGCGTGCGATAATCAATCACCTCGTCTGCACCCAAGTCTTTGCACAGCTGCACATTCGCGCCTTGTCCTGAATTAGTACCCTCGTCATAGCGCCTACAATAGTGACGTTCAGCAACTCACCAGAGCACGTCGTGACGACTTCACATCCAAAAGCCTTGGCAATCTGCACCGCAAACGTCCCCGTGCCCCCACTCCCCCCATTGATGAACACACAGTCGCCTTTCTTGACATTTGCAAGAAGACACTGATAAGTCACCAGCCCGCAAACCCCCAGCGTTGCGCCCTCCTCATACGAAATTCCATCGGGCAGCGGCACGGTCCCTGCTGCAGAGCCGATGATGTACTCCCCAAGCGTTCCAAATTGCTGTTTCGGCTCCAGCTTGCCGAACACGCGCTGTCCGACTTTCAGTGAGGATGAGGGACCAGCAACAGCGATGGTGCCTGCGAAATCGAGGCCGGGCGTTGCGGGCTTGGGAATTGCGAGACGGCCTACGAGAGGTAGCTCGGCGAGCTTGTAGTCCACAGGGTTCAGCGATGCGAAGTGCACTTTTATGAGGCATTCGCCTGCGGTCAGGGGACGAGAGGGGAGAGACGCAGCAGTGTTGAGGGTTATTGCAGATTCGAGGGTGGTGGTGCAGGTGCTCCATTGCCAGGCGCGCATCGTTGGAGGAAGGTCTGTGGTCATGGTTGATGAGGTTGGTGTTGCCATGTAAGCACTGCGTTGAGAAAATAGTGACGAGAAAACTTGATGGTAACTTAATATCTATTTGTGTAATCGCGTTTCTCTGCAAGTTCCGATAATCGACGTCGTGAACCCATGGCGTGCAGTCTCGGATCCCCACGCGGAGATGGTAGATCAGGTAGCACGATCCACATCCCGTCAGGTAAGTGTGGTAATACAGCTGACGGTGATAAAGGATACGATGCGCAACCCCTAAGCTTCCTTCGTTGATGTCAACAGCATCGCACTGGCGTGTCGAGGCGCAGGAGCAACGCTTTCATAGGTACGGTGCGCCCTGCAAGAAACAGAGATGATTGGTGTTGCCACTGAGGCCGTAGGCACCTTGACATTAAACCCTCATACTATTCAAAGTAGGGACCGGTGTACGAATCGGATGTAAACCGTGTTGCAGATGCTTAGCGAGTTGTATGGATGTGCACATACGTTCCTGGAGGTGATGGGTGCACGCGCGCCCCACTTGCTCTCGGCCTTTCTTCGCGTTGTCGGAATCAACACCCTGGCGTGTGATCAAGACGGCCGCGGCCTTGAGCTTTTGCATTTCAGTCATTTTGCCTGTCATCTGGCATTGCCGTTCCCTCAAGTTTCAATCGAAGAACGGGCAGGAGCATTTAGCACATTCTTGCAGCCGGACGGCCGCTGATCGCTGCGTGGGACGTGGACCCTTTTTTGGAGAACAGACTGGCGTGCACTCGACGAAGATTATTGTACCGATTGTATCTCCGTCCTAATTTATTGGCAGTTCGCTCAGATATACTTACAACAAGGTTGACATACGTCTCGCGCCGCACGAGTCGCACTCCCACAGTGCCCGCGATACGCCTTTCGAGCCGACATCGTATCTTTACAGATCAAGGGTATGCAACGAACGTCCCACTGGTCGCAATGATACCTGGTCCCCATATTTTGTCGAGTTATGGGGCCCACCCAGTTGGACAGTCATAGTTCTCCCCGGACAAAAGGACGAGCACATCAGTCAGAGCTGATTTCACAAGGTTAATCGCTACCTGACCCAATACACGTCCCTGAAACAGTCAACAGATATCGATGTACGCGTAGCTATCCCGGAGCCGGGTGTCGTGGATTTCTAGAGGGGCGGAGCTGTCAAGCATTCGACAACACATCAAACGGCTGGACTGATCCACTCAACAAGAATGGCATATTCGGATGTCACACTCGGATGCCTGGTATCTACAAACAGATGAGACAAACGGAGCGACATATCGACCTGATCGCATCGTTCGATGTACCAGAGAATGCTGGCATCGAGGATGTCATCGTCCGAGAACTAAAGGGCAATCTGCCGTCACGAACTTGGCTTTTCCGCAACAAGCTAATTCCGCCGATTCTTCGTTACACTGTGGGAGCCGCAATGCTCTCCGAATACATAGAGTGCTCTTCCGCGCCTCGCTTTGCAGATTTAGTCACTTTGCCAATTGTTCTCGCTGTATCTGGTAAAATCATATACTGTTGTTGGATTCCCGCTGGCTGTCCAAACATCTTCGTATGGGCATCAGGATCATGCCTGATCAAATATCTCGTCCCAAAGAGATGGTGGAGTCCGCCTGAACCTCAACACCCTTGGGGTTCACCTGAGCCAATCAACTTAGATGCAAGCGGGCGAAGATTGGAAGAAGGGACGAGGGATGAGCCAAGATGATAAACTATTCGTCAGCGCTCGACACCAATTGGAGCCAATTTCCATACAATTCATCTGCAGCAGAGGGCAGTCTCGACCACATACGCGCACAGATCGACAAGACAGCTCCAAAGCTTCTGCAGCGTAAGGCGTATTTATACTGTCACACAAGCTACACGAGAGGATGTCGCCAACTCCGAGGAAGCTTCTTTGCGCAACATGTGAAGAAGCTGAACTAGTGGTAATCTGAGTGCTTGTCCATACTCATTTGGACCACGGAGCACGGCACACGGATCGTAATGTTACAAATTGGTGACACATTGTGCATTGGAACGTCTCACAAAAAACACAATTGCGGTGTTCCTGTGTTAGGCGTTCCCCGCTTGCTAAAGGAGAACATGGTCGCCGAATCCGCCTCGTAACCCCACTTATTTTGCGGTCAGCCTTGCTGCCTTACCTACAACGTTTTACTCAAAGTCTGTAACACAAGCGGTTGTTATGTCGCCAATATGTGGATCACGGATGCAAGTCCTTTCGCGAGACCGTTCACGAATTAGTTGGTTCACTAACCAGCACTGCCTCTTCGTACACGCCTGCCAAGGGTAAACATTCTCGGGGCCTTTCTGCGCTTGTGAACATATGTCTTTACACTGATCTCTCTTTTAGCAGTACCGAGCCTGTTTGAGCTCTTGCTCATTTTCACCGCAAATATGAATCTGTTGTTGCGCCAGATATGGGCGTTGGTACGCAAGAATTGGCTTCTTGTCTGCGTCCGACGACCAATCTCTACTTTCTTCCGGGCTATAGTTCTGCCACTTGTAATTATCCTTGTCCTGGCATTCAGTAAGAACTTTTTCGCGTCTTCGCAACATTGGGGCTTGTCATCGCCACACGATGTAAGTGTTTCGACATCATTCCAATTGTCGACAAAACGAGCGACTACTAACGCCCCTATAGCTTCGTTCTCTAGAATCAATCCTAGCATCTAATCAAAGACCCAATATCGTTGGATTTGTCGATAATGGCATGAAAGGTGGAGAAGTCTCATCGGTGATCGACGCGCTCTCGCAGAAGGTAGAGGCTGCCGGAAAGACATCCAAAGTTTACAATGACAGCTGGGACCTTGCACTCGAGTGCAGGACAGACAATAAAGGCGCTTCACCTTGCTATGCTGCTGTGGTCTTCATCTCAAGTCCCAGCGAGGGAACGAGCCTTTCGTCGCCAGGTACCTGGAACTACACCATCCGTGGTTCAGGGGGTGGATCTGTGGATATCAGGAGTACCAATAACTTTCCGGAAAGCAATATGTTGCCTTTGCAGCGAGCTTTGGAGGCAGAAATCGTTGCCCAGTCCAAATCAGCGAACAAGACGCAACTTCCTGCCGACCTACAAATAATCAGCTTCACGGACCAGGATCAAGACGCGCTTTCGGACAGTCGAACTGAAACGTACTTGAATCTTGCTGTTTATATGTTTGGTCCTCTGTTCGCATTCACTCTTATGGAGATCGTCTACCACATGACATCGTTTGTATCGCGAGAGCGAGAGCTTGGTAAGTCGACAATTGCCAGAGTGCTGATCTGCTGATATTAATATTGATCTTTCCACAGGCATGTCTGGCTTGATTGATACCATGATACCTGGAGGGTCTAACACTCGGGGTAGGATAGTGCGACAAGTGGCTACTTACATTTCGTTCGCAGCAGTCTACTTTCCTAGCTGGCTGGCTATAGGCATCGTTCTTTCTGCCGTCGTCTTTCCGACCTTCTCTCGAAGTATGCCTCTTGGATTCACGATTCTCTCAGGTCTTGCATTTACCGGATTTTCTTTGTTCGGTGCTTCTTTCTTCAAGAAAGCACAGCTAAGTGGATCGATCATGATAGTGATCACAGTAGTGTTTGCCATTTTGCCCGTCGTACTGTTCGAGCAAAAGTCAGTTACGTGCGGTATACTGAGCTTCCTCTGCCCCTCGGCAAATTTCACCTATTTTATCACCGGTGTCGGAACTTTCGAAGCAGCAGGCAAACCCGTCAGTATGATGCGCCTGGCCACCGAGGGCGACCTTATCAAGAATTGGCGGTTGCCACTGTACATTCACTGGATTTTTCTCATCATACATATTCTTGTCTTCCCAATGCTTGCTTTCGGGGTAGAGCACCTCCTCTTCTCCACAGCTTCCCAGCATCGACTGTTTGCACCGCCAGCTTTGGCCGGTGGCCCAACAGTGACGTTGTCGAGCTTCGGAAAGACGTAAGTCACAACCACTATACATAATGTTCAATATACTGATGAATCTAGATACCAACCTGGGTTCTTCGCTCGACTTTTCAAACGTCGTAAGGCTGTACACGCTGTGACCAGCTTAGATTTCACAGCCTATCCTGGCCAGATACTCTGTCTTCTTGGGCCCAATGGTAGTGGCAAGTCAACAACATTGAACTGCATTGCTGGGTTCCAGAAGGTGTCATCTGGAAACATCACGATCGACTCAACCGGTGGACTTGGTTACGCGCCTCAAAATAACGTGATCTGGTAGGACACCCTGAACAGATAATCCCAATATCTTACTGACAACTAATAGGCCTGAGTTGACTGTTCGAGAGCATGTTCGCATCTTCAGTGATCTCAAATGTCTATCAGAAGTCAATGTAGAAGTCGTGAACGATCTCGTCAAGGGCGTTGACTTGCTCGGAAAACTGCCTGCCAAAGCCAAGACACTGTCGGGAGGGCAGAAGCGCAAGCTTCAACTTGCCATGATGTTCGCAGGTGGTAGTTCCGTTTGTTGCGTGGACGAGGTCTCGACTGGTCTCGATCCCATTTCGAGACGCAGGATTTGGGAGATTTTGTTGGCTGAACGAACCCGACGTACGATCATCATGACAACTCACTTCCTAGATGAGGCCGACTACCTTGCAGATGATATCGCAATCATGTATAAAGGCGCCTTACGAGCCTCCGGTACTTCCGCATCCCTAAAGCAGGCATATGGGAACGGTTATACGATCAAGGTTCCTTCTCAAACCAATATCGATTTCCAGATCTCCGAGCCAGTCGAAACAGAGCACTCTCGACTTCAGACTATCTATCGAGTATCAACCGGTGTGGCTGCGGCGCAGCTTGTCGACAAGTTAGAGCAACTTGGGCTACGCGATTACCAACTCTCTGGACCAACCATGGAAGAATTATTCATGAAGGTCACTGGTGACTCAATCCTTCCTACAGAAGACAAGACAGAAGAAAAAACAGAAGACACGCCCGGCGATAGTGATACAGCCGAGCTCAAAGCACAGCACGTAGCTATAAGCAGTTCTGATGTTGACTATGAGCTGGCAGAAGGACGCCCAATCTCTGCACTTCAACAGTGGTGGGTTTTGTTCTGCAAGAGAGGTTTCATCTTCAAGCGCCGGTGGGTTCCATACTTCGTCGCTGTTGCTTTCGCTCTTGTAGGAGCGGGGGTCGCACCTCTACTGATCAAAAAATACAAAACCCCGATAGTGTGTCCCACGCAAGCGGATCTAGTCAATGACTACACGTACAGAAACGACTTTGGACGGAACTATTACACGAGTAGCAGCTCCTACGAGGGATATGAAGACAGTCGCCCTAAAATTGTTTATGGACCTGCCAGTAGCCTCAACGAGTCGAGGCTCGCTTTGATGGCTGACGTGTATTCTACAAATCACACTCGCAGTAAGTCAATATGTAATTTCGTCCTAGCTACCAGTTCTCTAACCGCTGTTCTAGGCTTCTCATCATACTATCTCTACGGTTATTCAAACAGCACACAAATCCTCGAGCAGATGATATTAGTAGACACGTATGAGGAGTTTTCAAATGCAGTTCGCCAGAACTGGAAAAATCAATCGGCAAAATACAATGTTGGCATCTCTGACTACTCGCCGTGGTCGACGCTTACCGGTGGCTTCTGGATGGGCAGTAATGACTCGGAGCCCTCCGTCTTAGTCAATATTCGTCGCCCGGATGCAGCAAATCAGATGATGAACTTCTACTCGGTCATGGCGAGTGGTATCGGTATCTCCTCGTCCTACTACGAGTTTGCGACAACCAATATCCCAGTCTTGATCGATTTCAACGCTTTGATCTTCATTGTGTACTATGGTCTGATCATGGCATGGTAAGTCCTCGTATTTGAATGACTACCTTGAAACAACTGACATTGATCTCTAGCTATCCTGTCTTCTTCGCTCTGTATCCAACAAACGAACGTATCTCAAACGTCCGATCCATGCAGTATTCCAACGGCATTCGTCCAATTCCACTCTGGCTCTCCCACCTGTCGTTTGATGGTGTCTTTGTCCTTGTTATCAGTGCCGTCGCTACCGCCCTTATCGCTTTCTCAACACCAGTCTGGCACGGCATGGGACTAGTTTTTGTTGTCTTCTTGCTATACGGTATAGCATGTGCTCTCTTCAGCTACATCATCTCGATGTTCGCAAAGAACGCGATCACTGCCTGGTTCATCATGGCTTTGGGTCAAGTCATCATATACTTCGCTTACTTTGGAGGCGTTATCGGCATACAGTCGACGACTCCGTACGAAGACCTGGAGAAGTCTATGAATGCTCTTTATTTCGGTCTTGCTATCGTCTCTCCTGTCGTGAGTCTGGGACGAACACTCTTTATTGGTCTTCAGCAATTCGGACTGATGTGCAACGGCCATTCTGATGGCTCTATCTACATGTACGGCGGACCGATATTGTACTTGGCCATCCAAGTAATTCTCCTCTTTGCACTCCTTCTTTGGTGGGATAGTGGTTTCAAATTGCCAACGGTCCGCTCGCAAACGCCGGTCAACGACGCAGAAGCAACAGAGATGTTCGATACAGATCTCATCAATGAACGCAAACGATTGGCATCTCCCAACACCGATCTTCGCGTCGAGGGTGTATCCAGGAAGTTCGGCAAGAATCAAGCGGTCGACAATGTAACTTTTGGCGTACAGAAATCAGAGATTTTCGCTCTCCTGGGACCAAACGGCGCTGGCAAATCGACAATCATTTCCATGATCCGAGGTGACATCAAGCCGTCCACACCAGGATCCAAAATCGACGTGGCTGGGCATTCCGTCCTATCGTCGCCTGTGGCTGCGCGCGCCAGACTTGGAGTATGTCCACAATTCGACTCTGCTGATGCACTTACTGTCCGAGAGACATTGCGCTTCTTCGCAAAGATAAGAGGTGTGAAAGACATCGATCACAATGTCTCTACCGTCATCAGCGTTTGCGGCATCGAACAGTGGACCAACCAACTTGCCCAGAAGCTGTCCGGTGGCACGAAACGCAAATTGTCCCTCGCTGTAGCCCTAGTGGGGAATCCTCAAGTCCTCATACTCGACGAGCCATCCTCAGCTCTAGATGCAAACGCAAAACGTACTTTATGGCGTTGTCTTCAGACCATCGCCAAGCGCCGCGCTGTCCTTCTCACAACGCACTCCATGGAAGAAGCAGACGCTCTCGCGGACCGAATCGGCATCGTTTCCTCACGGATGCTTGCTCTCAGCGGCCGCGAAGATTTAAAGAAGCGTGCAGGCGACGCGTACCACATTCACATCGTGTCGCGCTCCGCGCCTCGCACGACACCGCAAGAGCTCGAAAGAATGAAAGAGTGGATCTCGTCGACGTTTCCAGCTGCGGTAATTAGCCGTGAGACGCAAGGTGGACAAGTCCGGTTTGAGGTTCCTGTTGAAGGGAACGATATCGCGAGGTTGATCAAGACTGTTGAGGCTGAAAAGGAGAGCTTGGGTGTGGAGTACTATAGTGTGGGTAAGGCAACGCTAGATGAGGTGTTCGAGAAGATTGTAGGCAGACATAGTGATGTGGAAGTACTCTAGCTGCATGTGTAGACATAATTTGAACTTCCACCGTCGTACATTTTTGACGCCCTTCCAAGCCGAACTTCCCCTAGATGCTACGCTCCGCGATGATGCTGTTTTATACTCCATGGCCACTGTTGTAGGACCTTGTAGGTCTGCTTTTGATCAAGTCAATCAGGCATCGAACAACCAAGAATTACCCCTGTGACGGTCCGGAAAAAAGTACGCTACTGCATATGCAGCAAAAGATGTGCAAGGCGGAATGGCAGTGACAAGGCCACTTTGTAGAGAAGACTGCTGTACGAGTGCAACCATGCACATGCTGAGGCTTGCCGTCGCAATTGTAAGAAGAATGTAACTTGAATACGATTAACGAATAGCACTCAAGCGAAGAGAGTGGTCACGTACAGCGAATGATTCGCGACGCGGCGACACTGCATCGTAAAGTAAAGAAGCATGAGGAGTGACCACAGCCCAAGAACCCTGTTCCCACAGATCAGTGATAAGGTTGCCCGCGAGAAGTGGGCCACTCACATCCAAGACCACTTCGGTTCGATAGCCACATCGTTGCGCATCACTAGCCATAACACGCTCGAAATACCCATGGAAGGGCCAATAAGCGTCTCGGTAAAAGCGATGATGTGATGCCCGGCAAGGATCACGGCGAGTACGAAGGCAGCGATTGGCTCACGCCAGTCGTGTGTGTGGTCAGGCTGAGCCGCAACGGGAGTAGCCATCAGACAGAGAAGTAATATGCAGAATGACCACTTTGGGCAGGCAGCATGTGGTATAAATCTCAGATATTTTGGACGTTGTACGGAGAGCGCACGATTGGCCTGTTTGGTTTCATGACTAAAACGTACATGTCGCCCTGCCCTTCGTGTACCAGAAGCCATCCTGTCTTTGGTGTGTTGGTGCTCGATGAATACCTGCTTGGTGTTGTGTGGTATGTAATTCGTCGCAATCTGGTACTTGATGAAGGCCAGGTAATCGAGCTTCGAGAGGTGGACGCAGAGATGGTATGGCAAAGCATCCCTCCTGAAGGATATATGTAGGCTTGTAGAACGCTAAGCAGCAATATGAAGAGACGATCGATAGCAGAGCCGCTTGACCCTTGTCACTCCGCAAAAATGCGAACCGCAGGTATCAGGCAAAAAAGGCAAACCTTTTAGCTCCAAGATCACACAGCGCCACCCGTGAGCATGCAAGGTGTGAACAATCACAGATCTGGGAATCGCTTACCTAAGTCCAGGAGGCTGTGTGATTGATCGCGATCGGCTTCTCATGTGTGCATTGCATTACAGCCTGATGCGTCTACAATCTGCATCGGCGATTGGTTCAATGACCATAGCCAAGCCCAAACAGAACCAAACAGGCATGACTTATAAATTTAAGCCCCAAAGGCTGATAAGTACGTGTCTTCGCTGGTAAAGAAGCGTCGGTGCGTTGTAGGCGCACGTTTAGTGCTGCGTGCAGCCGTCAGTGGTGCGCTCAGGGTATGTATACCCAGCGCAACGGTTCAGCCAATGTCTCAAAGGCACGGATACCTAGCGGCGTTCCTGACCAGTAAAATACGAAAATGATGAGCGCCACACACGCTGGACGGTTGCGCCAGGCAATTGGAAGGGCGCAGCAATAATTTAATGCACTGATTTTGCACGTCTCTCAGCTACGACATTACTGCTCCCCACCCGTCCCAGAGACTACATAACTAACGTAGGTATGGGCCTGCTCCGCGAACATAAATCATCCGTGTCTCATTCTCATGTTTGACCGTCTCGAATGGGACTTTGATTACTACAAGAACAAACCACATCTTGGGTCTTCTTCTTTGAACATGCCCTTCGGAATGTTCTGACTGTTTTTCCGTTATTCATTTGTATGACTTGGCTATTGGACTTCACCCTGGCCCCTTTCTCGACGTGCACGTCGCAAATTTGGGTTTCAAAGGCAAGGAGGGTGAAATTGGTATGTATCTCAGGGTTTCGTTCAATCTCTAATGGGTCCTGATCAGTGTTCCCGGTATCGTCAGGATCTTTCTAGTGGCTGAAAGTGGTGGGCTAAGCAAGAAATTGAGGTACATGTGGACTGTGGTCGATTTTCTTATCTGCTTCGTCAAGAGGAACTCTTAACGCCTTCACCACCTCTGCGAATTCTACATCAGACTTCACCTGTAAGTCAATGCCGCTTGTTGATCTCTAGTGTGTTCAAGTGATTCGAGAGGCATCGCGAGCGCGCCGTGATCCAGCTGCAGATCAGCCTTTGATATCTTCAAGAACATCCCCCACGTCGGTTGCGGGTGTGCTAGAAAGTGCTTTTCGTTTCTAGAACCAAATGTCTTGTAGAATAGTGATAAACTCGGAGTTAAATTCGTCACACTCATATGGTAGGCCATAGAGGTGTGACGTCTCGACACTGAATATGCTTTACTTTGTCGACCTTTGGATACGGTGGCAGGACCGCTTTTAGCAAAAGACTTCGTAGTTTCCTTTCTTGCGACGAATCCACTCGATTCTCAAATGCAGTATGTCGTACATCTAAGCACCGTTAGAACCAAATCGCGTGAGTTTAGTGCGCATTGAATGCTTCAGTCGTGTCTGAAACTGGGCTCTAATGTTGTCATTATGTCTTAGCACAACCAACATCTCATCTTTAACCGCTTGTTCCAGGTTTAATTTAGCCAGAATCATAAGCTTCGACACTGCATCGTGTCGCTTTTCGACGGGTGGATACGGGCTATCAACAGTGTCTCCAAAAAGCAAACGTCTCGCAGCATGGCTCTGTCCATCTTCTCTCTCGGCAGCTAGGCGTTTGTAATTGTCTAGTCTGGCCGAATATTGATGTTGAGCAGCATTGGCCTGTTGATGTTTGTGTCAAGGTATGTGCACTTCGTCAAACAATCTATCAGTCGACACAAAGCTGGATTAATTCAAACTCGAACTAAGTCGTTTAGAACTTAGAGGATGGGTGCCAGTTTCAACCTCTTCGTCGATGCCTTTCGTAGCATCTACGGTTTATTTGTCTTGAACAATCGATTTAAGAGATGGTGAGTGCTGCATGACTACATTTCCACATCCGGTCTACTCATCGACCATGCTCGTAATTTTCTGAGTTGAGTGAAAATTTAATCTCCTCATCTTCCAGAAATTACTTACCCAAACAGAGCTACCTCCTTGCTCGTGGTGATTCCATCGTTCGAGTTAAGACTAGTGTACTTGGTCGTACTAGATGGATGCAAGTGGACCTTCCATCCATAACTTTAGTCTCTGAGAGTTTAAGGGTATTCGTCTGTTCAAGCAAGGCGTATGCGTAATGATGGAGATGTCACATCTCCGATTATAGTTGGCTAACAACTAGGATTGAGCGTTTCTTTACTATCGGCCGAGGAGATACGATACTCGTCAATGTCCGCCTTGCGATCTGCAGAACAACCTTCTTGTATGCTTGCTCTGGGCACAAGAAGTGACCTGCATTGCTCCAACGACAAGGATGCGACGCTACTATCAGATTCTGTACATAAGTGTGCGTCAGTATTTGTGACAAGGCTCCTAGGCACAGTTCCAGTCAGTTTTTAGCTATTTTAATCATCAAAGTTGGTTCGCATGTGATGATCGTTGTAGAGTCCAGGATGAGAACCTAGAATTGAAGCACTCGTAGTTTTTGGCCATGAGCAGTTTGCTTGAATCTGCGGAAATGCTGATCGTGATCCTGGTCCTGAATGTTCTTCTGTGGTTAAAATCGTTGAAGCAGGTCCTTGGAAAGATAGAAGAAACTGTCAACAGGCTCCTTAGAGTTCTCCCTACCTGCACTGAGGTAGGGAAACGCAAGGAAAGTGACATGCAGCCTAGACATCCCGCAGTCATGGCGTGTTAGCCTATCGAATTTGACAATAGCTCCAGGTTGAATGTAGCTACCTTGAGGAGGCCAACGCCCATATTCATCCTGAACATGCCCTAACAGGTAGGGTACGATCGGCTGCTAGTCTGTATGGTAATCTATAGTGATATCGAGCGCGATTCCACAAATACACAAGTCAGCCTCCCGAAAAGCTCTAGTCCTACAGGGTAGAGTAACTTTGAAGTCACTGAAAGTCATTGCCTCTGACAAGACATGGCTGTGACAAGCGTTACTTCGTGCGTGTGAAAATTGCCAGGAAGGACTTAACTTACAGCCAACGTGCTCTAGTGAGAGAACTACCGGGGTCATAGGCTTAAGTAATGGCACAAAGACTCGGATCCTCTCCCTTTTCTAAACAATGATACACAGTTGCAGCTATGTTGACAGATTCATTGGTAAATTGGCCACCATGGTAAGTCGTGTTCCTTCTCAGATTGAAAAACTACTTCGAAGGTTCAGCAAAGAGTTGACGTCTTTATCGGAGGCTTCGTTTACGGGGACCAACATATGCGTCTTGGCATGTCTCGAAACAAGAGTTATCAGAGTTTCATACATTTGGAAGGCGATGATGGAGCGTATTTTACTTCGTTCTCTATTGACGTGAGGCTCCTTCGCGCTCTCTGCAAAACCCCGAACGTCGCCCTTACTGATAGTGACTGCTTAAACTACTGTACGATGCTGATCTTCAAGCTGCGAAGTCATATTTGCATCGTAGACTTAACCCAAGTTGTAGCATAGATATTATGTATTGTCCGCCAGCTTTGAAGGGAGGAGCCATCGGTGATATATTGTTGTGATCTCTTGTATAGTCTTGGGGAGTTACAGGAGATAACAGGAGCTGAATCAAAATCACAGAGTGTCAGATTGGAACTGAGCTGGCACCCGAGAAGAGGTCTAAGGAAGGCTTGAAAGTAGCGTATATTGAGCAAGATTCTGTCTGGTTGCTAAATACCTTCGAAGAAGATGACGAGGACGAGAAGGGCAGAAGAAATAGTAACCAAACTCATTGACCAGGTATGGTCACGAGGTTAGTGCACGAGCATTCTCATGCCTTACAAGACCACATATCAAAACAAAAATCCGCACACCAACCACAACATGTCAACAGTACTCGCCCCATTAGCCTCTTCTCACATGCTCGCCTATGCAACCACAAAAAGTGAGGCCAAACCCCCCACACCTCCCATCCAGACCGCACACCGCACACAAAAGACCGCGACCAGACCGACCACCACGACCACCACCAACAAACAACCAAAAAGCCCGATGTGATCGGCGCCCAAAACAAAATACCACCCCACCCCACCCAACCCCACCAGCAACAAAATGAGGCTGAACTAGCGCGCGACTGAAAACCCCTTCGCGCGTTCACTTCACCGGCCGCTAGCTTGGGTGTCAAGATCGCAGACACGCGACCCACCGCCTGAGATCGGCGCGGCGGACAACTGACTAGGCGGTTGGAGATGCGAGCGCCGCTGACGACGTGTTTCATCTGCTGGCCTTGCGACCCAACGGCTTAGTTGACAGGTACCGTGACGGGACGGCGTGGGAGGGGGATCCTGGGGTGTCGTGGCGGTGGCAGATGCGCGGCAGGGGTAGGCTTAAGAGTGGGGCGGTGTGAGTGAGGCTTATCCTTGTGAGGAGAAACGGTCGCTGCTATGCACGAGTCATGGGTAGGTTTTTGGTCAAGCTTTGGTGGGCGTGGGAGAGATGCATTGTTTAGTGTTTGTATGTACATTCGTGTCGTGTCGCGTGCCTAAAAGCTATGTGGTCATTGTATAACATACCATGCTTTATGTTGTAGCAGCCCCCGTATAGACAAAGCATTAATACAATAGATATGACGCCAGGAAGACCCTAGATGCGTAGATAGATGTGACTAGATGAGAGATGTGACAAAAGAAAATAAGCATAAGAAATTACGCTCCCTGAACCACCAATCCGGGTTCGATAACGCCTAAAATCAGCCGGAAGATGCAGGCCAAATCGTATGTCATGTCGTCATTGCAATCATGCGCGCTTCATGCTCTTGTTTGTTGTTTTGCGTTGTCCAAGTTAATGGCCGACGGGAAGCCATGTTCTCCTTTCGTCCATGCTCCTGGCTGTGCGGCCTCCGGGCGTCAAGGGGATCTCAACACGACGGTGGTCTGCACGCTCACCTTCGCTGTCGTCATCGTAAGCGTCGGACAACCGCGAGAAATAATCTGCCAGTCCGCTTGTGGGTGATGCGATCGACTCATATAGCGGTGGTGGAGTCTCGAGAGGTGGCGGCGGTTCTTCCTCCGAGAACTCTGGTGGCGCAAACGATGGTACACGAAGGAGATGAATGGGACGTTGTACATTATTATCGGCAGGACCACCAATGTGTGCTGCTTGTGGTCGTGCGAGTGTCGGCATGGGTGTTGGTATGGTTGCATCCGAGTTGCCCCTAGAACGACTAATCGAGCTCAGAGTTGGGACCCGACCAGTCGGAGACGTGCGGCGGATAGGAGCATTTGGGCAGCCGCATTCGGGTACTCGTGCGTCATCGAAATACGGCTCAGGTGACGAATATGCCGGTAGCGCTGTATTTGCTTGTGTAGCCTGGCATGAGAGGATGTGGAAGGGCGAGTCGATTGAAATCTCGAAGTGTCGTCTCTTCGTTGGATCAACCGCGTCGGGTTTCGAAAGGCGCATGACCAGCTTTATCCAATGATGTACCTGGATGTTTTGGTACGTGGTATCAAAGTGCAGCCGGGAAGTCTTGTCTTTGTCTCGCATGTTGTGACAGCTTGGCAGTTGTACGTTGAATTCCATCTCTGTGGGTCCGACAATGCCTTCCCCATTCAGATCACCCAGTAGGTTCCCCGGATCTTGTACTTGCACATCCTCGCCTCGTGCAGCTGCAGCTCTTTGATCATATGGTACGCCGCCTCCTGACACAATTCGCATTGTGCTGCCAGGAAATGTACTTGTGGGAGGTCCGTCGGCTCGCTTTTCAAACAGTTGTACTTTGCGGACAGGCTCCATACGGTGGACCCGCTTTTGATTGCAAAAGTACTCAACGTTTTCAGTAACGAATACCTTAATACGATGACATTGTACCTTCGCCAGGGGTGTAAGCTTGAAGGCAATGGGGACCTGGGCACCCAATGGGAAGGACTTTCCAGAGATGACAATGTCATAGTGCAGCTGGTCTTCCCAGCTTCGGCTGATGGCAATGGGCTCGACTTGCTCCAGTGAGCCTTCTGATGGTGTGCGTACCAAGACGATTTCTTTGGTTCCAAGTAGGTTGGTACGGAATGCGCCAGCTCGCTCGACTGTAGCCTCCATCTCATACTTAACGGAGCCGAGGTCGACGTCGATGGTTTCTGGCAAGTGACTATCGAGGGGAAGCTCGAAATTGTACATGTACTCGCCAGCTTGGAACGTCCTGTACCCTTTTTGCGCTATGGATGGTCCTCCTGATGGTGACTCGCCCTTGCCGAAGCTGCGCGAGTGATTGACTTGTAGAGACAGTCTTTTTGCCTCCTTTGATGTGAGGTTGGTAGATGATGTGTTGGGCGAAGAGCCAAGGCCGCCGCCATTTTTGTAAAACTCGACGCGATCTGCCCCAGTGCTGGACTCTGCGGTCGGAAACTGAGCGTTGAAGAAGGGCCACGTGTGGTTCATCAGGATATCAACCTCCTCAAAATCGACCTTCTTGGGAGGAATGCCCTCGGGCCACTTTGTGACAGCTTTGCCTCTGAATTTCAGTGTGATGGCCTTTAGCTTTGTAGGTTTTGTGACCTTCAATATCAGGGAGCCACGAAGCATTGCTGTGTTCCGCTCCGCGTGCTCGGTCTGCTCGAACCCCTGGAGAAACAAAACAGGTTCTGTGAGTGCAATGTTGACGCTGACACCTCCTCCTGAAGCTATCGGCTTCTCTTCTGGCAGTTTGGATATGCTGCTGATCGCGCTTTTCGCCGAAGATCTCCCAGACGAGAGGTGCGAATCTGATAGCGAGGGACGGGACATGTCGAGGTGCGACTGGGCTGACATATGGCCGAAAGAGCCAACCGCGCCAGAGGCTCGTGGTGTTGAACGCATGTCGCTGGGTGCTGTGGAAAGCCTGCTCTCCGGGAAAGAAGCAATCGATGTGCGGTTGCTATTGGCAGACGAGGCAGGTAGGACAATGTTTGTAGGTTCTGAGGGCGAGGCGAACTGTTTGTCGAGCAAATTGCGCAGATAGCGCTTGGCGTTCTCACGGGGGCCCGCCAGTTTTTCTGTGAAGTACGACTTGCTAGTCGTCTCCCGCCTTTGGCGACAGCGGAGGGTTGGGTCGGGTGCGACGTGTGCGATGTGGATGCGGTGCGGTCGACGGGGACGTCCTTGAAAGAGACCACGTCCAATCCGTAAGGGCTCTGGTAAATGTTCTGGGATATAGCGCAGGCGTCCGCGGTCTGAGTAAACGTGACGGTATTCTGTCATGTCGAGAGCGGCGTTAGTGACGCCAATTGGTGGTGGAGCGACAGCAATATGTAGCAGTGGATATGCAGGGTGAACCGGGGCTTATGTAGAAGTGGAAAGCTAATTCAAGACACGGGAAGGGTGTGTGTAACTCAGGAGAATCAAGAGTGTGTTACAAAGGAAGACCCGGTTTGTGCAGGTTAAGGTAACATGGGCAGGTCCCATGTCAACGCTTTAGGAAGGGACAACACGGGTTCAGCACTGGCGAAACAAATCGCCTGAACGCGGTGAAGGGGAAATGAGACAGGGACAGGGACTCACGCGTTGAGAAAAGTCTATTACTATGCGCCTACGTGCATGGCAGGTGTGTAGAGGGATCAGCGAGTGTAGCTAGCAATGACCTGTGGAGCGGTAAGAGAGCCGACGCGGCGGATGCGTCGGGTATGCCTGTCTGGTCGAGATGCGTTGGCGCGTCGAGATGTGCAAAGGGAACGGCGTCAGGACACAGGACGGAAGATACCAGGGAGCGCAGGGGCTTTGGGCTGTCGACGTGGAGAAGCGCTTTGCAAATTCAAGGCGCGGGTGCTGGGCGTGCCGTTTGGATTGCGCCGGGCAAAGGCAGGGAATAACGGTCTGGTGGGCGTAGTTGCTTTTGAAATGACGCCGGCCTACTGGATGGAGAACAGCGGGGTTGCAGGCTCGAGAGGACTGAGGAAATCTGCGGTGAACAATCTCGCGGCGTGTCGGCGAGTAGATATTTGCAAACACTCTACGTTCCTGACGCAGTGCAAGGAGTACGTTCGGCGATAATCCCCGCCGTGGTCTGGATACGATGATATGTCAATCTTTGAAGCATAGATTTGGGGGACGGTGCACTGGTCACTGCGGCGGGCTCGGACGGCCATGACATCAGCTGGGAGTCCAGCACTTGATCAAGACTGACGCGCAACAGGGCTCCGCTGCGAGGCCCCTGTAAAAAGCCCAGCGATCCTATCACGGCTTGCTCGGCAGGGCAAGGTCGCGACGTCAAGCCTCGTATGATGCCCTAAGCCCAAGCGGACTGGAGTCGTTCGAGAGCAGAAGACGCTATGCAGCGACTCGGCAACATGCATGCTGAGTGCTGAGCCACTGCTGAGCAAGACGACGAGCACCGATCAGTGGTGCAAAGCGTAAGGCCAGAGGCAGCCAAGTCAAATGTTCAATCACGGGGGTATTGGCACACCCGCACATGCACGCGAGCGAGGAATCTTGGTTCTTGGGCATCGTGCCTTGCACTCTGCAACGTGCATGCGGCCAGACGATGTGTTTCATCGATCGCAGTTGGCAGAGTTGGCAGGTTGGCCGGCGTCAGCGTCCTGCAGCTCGCAGCCCACTTTGGGACGCGCCGCAAAACAGAAGCAGCCCGAACGCGCAACGATCTACGTTTGGGGTTCTGGATCTGGAGATACTGGAGAGCAGGCTGATCGGCGCACGTTGGCGGGCAGCTCGGAGAGGCGTCGTCATCAAGAGGGGCTCGCGCTGCAGTGGATAACCGGCAGGGAAGACTCTTCGTGGCGCTGCCTCGGATCGCCAGCGGATAAGCAGCAAGATCTGCTCGTATCTGGCACTGGCAGGCCCACACCGAAGCTGGGCAGGGCTGTACCACGGTACTGTAGGATGCGCACGTGATACCCCGCGGAAACACGCGTCGAGCTAACGCGCTCACGACATCGCAACGGCTGCATGTGGCAACACTAACATGGCCGCGACAGATGGACATTATGGTGAGTGAGGCTGGCTGTGCACTGCACGCGACTACGTACTTACACCGCCGTCTAGGGACCGGCCAATTACCCCTTGCGGGCGCCATCCTGTGCTGCACCGCCCTGCCGCATGAGCAGCGTGTAGGTAGAGCGCCCTTCCGCGCTGCACACGACGCTGATCTGCTCCGATAGGCACAACTGTCGTCCATTGGCGCGCAGATGGGCGCGACCATCAAGCTCGACCTCACTTCAGACGTAACCCACCTTGTCGCCGGTAATACCGACAGCGCCAAATACCGCTATGTCGCCAAGCTTCGAGAGGATGTCAAGGTCTTGTCGCCCGCGTGGCTGGAGGCCCTCCGCGATGTGTGGATGGAGGGCGAGGACGACATGGACGTGGCAGGCTTGGAAAAGCAGTATCGTCTGCCTACCTTCTATGGACTCAGAATCTGCCTGACTGGCTTCGACAACCGTACGACACCCCTGCAGATGATTACTGTATCAGAATGCTGACAAGGTGCAGCGGAGCGGCGGAAGTACATTCAAGAAACGGTCGACCAGAACGGCGCCGAATACCATGGCGACCTTACCAAGAACATCACCCACCTCATCGCCGCCGCGCCGACTGGCAAGAAATACGAACATGCGCTCAATTGGCGGATGAAGATTGTCTCTCTGGAGTGGTTCGAGCAGAGTCTCGAGCGGGGCATGGTGCTGGATGAGACCCTCTTCAACCCCACACTGCCAGCGGACGAGCGCGGGATTGATGCATGGATCCGCATTGAGGACCCTTCGCCAGCTCTTGGCAAGAGGCTGCGAGATACTGAACAACCTCAGCCATTGAACCCCAACCGGAGAAAGCTGCGTCGTGCTGCAAGCACCAAGCTAGGGATTCAAGGCGACGCTCTGTGGGCAGAGATCACCACGCCCAGTTTCGATCAGGGCAGGAATGATGAAGACGAGTGGAAAGAGGATAATTTGTTCAAGCACACTACGCCACAACAAGACTCGCCTGCAGTCCTTCACGATGACAAGGCTGCTGATCGAGTTGAGACGAAGGACGCTAATGCGCCTACACCCGCTGCATCCGCCGCACCCGCTCCACAACTATTAGGAGCAGATGACAACGGAGGTATTTTCCAAGGTCGCGTTGTAGTCATACATGGCTTCGATCAAGACAAAGTACGTTGCAGTATGAGGTCGCTTTGCCAAGCTAATATGTCTACCAGACTACCATCCTGCATGAACATCTAGAGAAGAACGGCGCCCATGCACTAAACAGCAATAACCTTGAAGGAATCTCTTCAGAACATCTTACACGTGGTTTCCTCGTGATACCGCATGATGTTGAGGTCGATGTTGTGTCTGGATCTCTTCCGGCACGCGCCGGAACTATTGGGAACCTTGTTACTAACTGGTGGGTTGAGCGTTGTTTGCATGGGAAATGCTTAGTCGACCCCACTACCGACGTCTTAAGTCGACCTTTCGACAAGCTTAGCATCAACGGTAAGCTCTAGCCCCTGTGCAGATCTGGAGTGGTCATGCTGACGTCTGCAGGTTTCTCTGGCCTAACTGTAAACTCAACGGGATTTTCGGGGATTGGGCTCCTGCATGTGACCAAAGCTCTTACATTGATGGGTACGGAAATAAGTCGGTTGTTTGACTCTAAACTGACAAATTTGACAGGTGCAACTTATGACGAGCAGTTGCACGCTAAAACTTCGGTCATGCTCTGCAACAGCCGAAACCCAACTCCACAGAAATTAAAGTTCGCCACGGAGAGGCGCATCCCAGCTGTGCATGCAGAATGGCTATGGGAGTGTTTGCGTACTGGCGCATTACAACCTTTCAGCAATTTTCTGCTGAACACATTTGCACCACGCCAACCTCAGAAGATCATGCCTAACCCGCAAGCGTTTGAGAAGCTGACGGTCGCCCCCCCGAAAGAGGACGACCCAAAGCCTCGTGAGCAGCAAAGGAGGACAGATGCACCGAAAATGGTGACAAAACCCCATCATTCCCGCGCTCGGGGGCCACTGAAACCTCGAGTTCTTGATCTTGCTCTTTCGGCGGAAGGAACACCTGCTTCTACGACTGACCCATTGACCTTACCAGCAGACAGCACTAGCCATGCTCGAGCTTTTGACAATGATGACAATCTTGGGGGGTTTGACGGAAATGCGTCCATGCCACTTCATGATACTGACGCAAACTCAACAAGACGTCCATCAACCTCACTAACAGGGCTTCTCACTAACGACAGGTCGAAAGCTAGGCGCAGAAGCTCTTCGGCTGAGTCCTTGATTAGAGCTGCGCCTGCACCACGTGTCTCGAAGACAGCTCGAGAACCGACGCCTGACTCCGTAATACCAGCACCTTCTGAGCCGCAAGCACAGGTGCCAGCGCCGGTGCCAGAGCTTGACACCGAGCCTCTCGCACAGGAGCCCATCGAAGAAAAAGACTATTCCGATCTGCTCACTAAACTGCGCAATAACAGAAAAGCTGCTCCTACTCCAGAAGACCAAGCCGATGAGAAGCGACGTAGACGCCGCCAACTTGGCCGTGCACCATCTGCGCGCTCAATAGGTTCCGCAGGAGATGCCAGCTCAGGCAACCTGGGTCTGGATGAAGACGAGGACGATGAGACAGTCGTAATCAATGAGTACCAGCCCAGCCAAGTTTTAGGCTGGGATAGTCCCGGGGCGGCCAAGGCAAGAGAGGTAATGATCAAGAAACTAGGCGGCACTTTGAAAGACAAGAACGTCCCGGTAAAAGCCATTGGCGGTGCAATGGACGGGCCAAGCGAGAGCGGCATGACCAGTAGAGCAGGGAGGAAGAGAAGACCTGGTTTCTAAGGCGGTTGTCTGCAAAGCGGTAAGAGGGCTTAATTGTGCACTGCTCGGAAATCCAAGCACACTAAAAAACAACTCCCGCACACGGACATCGTCAAGATGTACCACATAATTACATCAACAATCACCAACTCTTATCATATGTACCACCTACCACAACCGCCCTCAAAGCCCATACGTGACTTTCAGCCTGCGATCTAAGTGCTCCTTCGCAGTCAGCACCTCGTCCCCTTCCCCCTCAAGTCCCAACCTCCGCCGCTGACTCCGCAACTCTTCCCTTCCGGCCTCCCCATCCGCGCCCGCCAAAACCACACTCTCTACCCTCTCCAACCGCGCCTCGTCTAGCGGATGGCAAAAATACGCCATGCTATACCTCTCCCCGCCGCCACTAAACGTAACGCGGTGCACGGTACTCTTCAGCATCCCGCCAGTCCAGAAACTCAGCAGGTCACCGATGTTCACCAGAATCGGCGGGTCTGCGAGCGTCGAGGGCGACGGATTGACCGGCACAGGGACCCAGGTGCGGCGCCCCGGCGAGAAGAGCTCCAGGCCGGGCTGCCCGGGGAGTCGGAAGAGCAGCGTCAGCGAGCCGTAGTCGGAGTGCGCGCCGGCGCGAATCTGGGAGGCGGAAGAAGTGGTGGTAGAGGGGTAGTAGAGCATTCTGAAGATTGTGCCGGAGGGGCCCTGGGATTGGTCGTGGCGCGCGGTGAAGTAGGAGGGATCGGGCGTCTGGAGGGCGGTGCCGAGGAGCGAAAGGATTGAGGTGCAGAGCGTGTGGCATGCGATTTGAAAGCGAAGGATCAAGGGAGAGGAGGTTGAGAGGGGTTGTGGAAGCGGTTGAAGGGCTGGTTGGGGAGGGCCGATGTTGAATGCCTCTTTGGGATCGCCTTGCTGGATAGACGTCAGATCGTCCGTATGTATGGTGCGTTTGATTGTTCAAGTCACCTTTTGTCCTTCTGGATCAAGAGATTCGCCGGCCATCTTCACCCAACCACGGTTGATGCCGCCGGCTTTGTCTGAGTGGATAGCAAATTCTGCCTTTTGTTCTTCTGGCGAATTGAAAAATTCTTTGGACTGTCTAGGTCAATATGAAGTAAGTGGTACTGGTCGCAAGAACTGACAAGTTTGAACATGTCTACTATGTCTTGTGGTGGGATTGCCACCCCATCGTTCTTGATGAACAGGAAGCCATGAGTGGAAGCTGCATCCAGAACTTGGCGAGCTACCTCGTCACTTGGGTTTGAGATGTCGATGACCGGTATGGTCATCTCCTCGGCCTCAAAATGCGGCATCCTGGAGGTTTGTGATGCTACCTGACAATACAACAGTGGGGCTCAATGGAGTGCGCGTTGCGACCGACGAGAGCAACCAGTAGACTTGTCTAGACTGTCTCGTATGACCCCAAGAGCATTCCTAGTCCTGGATGCAGTCAAGGATCAGAAGCTCGTGGCTTGGTCTTTTCTTATCGGCGGCATCCAGTCGCGATGTTCCTGGCCTAGACACGAAAGCGGACAAGTGTCTTGACAGGGTTCAAGCAAGCGGGCGGGAAGCTCTCGTGCTGGGACCGTCAAAAACACCCTGACCATCAACACCCCGCAATTGCTTTGTACGAGCCACTCCTGAGCAGTCTTCCTATCAGGCTCTCAAACCTATCATCTACGAGGCACAGCTACAGTTCCGCCGAGACAACGCCCATCGCTACTACCAAACAATACTTCCGCCCGAAACAGACAGCGCACGCGCCGACCACGATGATCCGCGACTTCGAAGCATGGAACGCCAACATTGGCGAGCTCAGCGAACTGCAGGAGCTCGGTGGCTGCCGTGTCGCTATTGAAGCTGCGCACTACCTCCAGCACCGTATTTTAAGTCACCCTCGCGCGCGGGAACCACTCGTACCTGCACTCGGCGGTCTGCCACTTGGCATGAAGCAGTACATCGAGGAGGACCTGAACACATTTGAGAGCCTACAAATCGAGCCATGGTTCGTCTTCAGCGGCCTAGACATCACAAAACCGGACGACCCATTCCAGCAGAAGCAGCGTGAGGCCGGAGTCAACACCGTGGCCTGGAATCTGTACGACAGCAATCAGGCTGAGGCATCTGTTGCAAAGTTTGGGGAGTCAACATACGTTACACCTGAGGATCTGTTTCGATTCTTGCAGTCAATCTTGATCGAGCGCAAGGTCCACTTCCAGATTGCGCCTTACAGCGCCTGGGCCCAGGTACGACCTCATAGAGCTTGTTGGAAGGGCGCACTAACAGTCTGTAGCTAGCGTATCTTGAGAAGGAAACCCTCGTTCACGCGATATCAGGCGCATCGGAAGTTCTCCTGTTCGAGTGCGACAAAGTCGTAACATCGTGGAATCTTGAAGACAAGACCTTCAGTTGGACGAAGCGTTCAAAGTGCATAGCTGATCTAGAGAGGTTCGCTAGTAGCGGGAGAATCACCGAAGACGTCTTCGTAGATGCGCTCTTACTCGCCGGGACGCCCTTTCTACCCACCCTGCCCAACCTGAGCTCGCCCAACAGAACCGAGCTCCTCAAACCTCATGGCGCAATCAAGATGATCACGATGAGCAGCGGGAGGACAGGATATTCGGTTGTGATCACCAACAAGGATGACCCGAGATTTGGAAACTACGTTGACAGGTATTGCAAGGCACGATTGGCCGTGAAGAACCATCCCATCATCACCACAGAAGGCAAGGTCGAACCCCTAAATGCAAGCCAGATGTCTGCCGATGCGAACCAGTTCTTGGGGCAGCGTCTCTCCGATGAACTACACTATCTGCACTCGCACGGCATCCTCAACTCTCGCCTTCTACAGTGGCGTACATCCTGCGAGATCAACGAGCAGCCCCCAATTGACGGCGGCATGTCACCAGAGTACCAGAAACTCGTCACTACGAAACTTACCCCGTTACGTACGGCAGCTTTGAATCTACTTTCAACGCCGCTCCACCACTGGTACAGGGTCAAGGGTTTGGAGCAGACGTGTTGGTTCACAGACGCTGCAACGGGGAAGGCACAGAAGAAGGAGATCTCGATGAGAGACTTGCCCGAGTATCAGGCCATCGCGGAGACATGGAATGTGCCAGAGGCGACATTCAGGGAAGTCGTATCAAGTAACGAGGGCAGTGGGCCGCTTGGATCTGCTATCTTGGCCTTAACAAGTGACGATTTCGTTGCCAAAACTGTGGCGAAGAAGGACACCAACAATGTAAGTCTGCTTCTGGATACTTTGCCAGGTCATGCTGACATAGCTTAGCTGCTCTCGACGCCAGATGAGATCCTGTACAACTCGCTTTGGCGATTTCTTGCTGTACGCGAGTATGTCGATGCAAAGCACAACCTCACTCCCTGGGGTTTCGTGCTGGCACAGACAATCGCTTCATTGGACGGCAACGCCGAACTTGAAGAGAGTGCCGTACTTGCTGTGGAGCTTCTACGTCTTGAAGATCTGAACGGCGACATCGCTATGTTCCCATACAACGGCGCGCCCATGCGCGGTAATGGTTAGTACATCAAAGAATGTACTGTTTCGATGCCGACTAACGCCATCACAGCAAAGGATCAACATGCAAACATGCTGATCTCCCGTGTCGCTGGGCTTGGTACACTCCAACATAAGCCGATCGGTTTCACAGGTCCACTAAGCCAGCATCTGCTCGGGTACGGGTCGGTTGTGAATCTTGTCCGTCAGACGCTGCGCGATCTTGTTGAGGCTACGTGCACAAATATGTTCCTGACTGGTTGCTGCGATAGGAAAGCCGACCTTTCTCTGCTGATAACAAAGTGAGTTGAACATTACACATACTAAGCGCTCTACTTACATATGTACAGGTTCCCTTTCCTTCTTCCAAACAATTGCGCGCTTGGCATCGGCGTCAAATCCTACCTTGACGAACTTACAAACGACTCAGATCCCACCTCTGCCGAGTCAAAAGCGCGAGTTATTGACACTGTATCCACGCGCTACTTCCCTCAATCGATTGACTTTCAACACGACCTCCGTACAGCATTCGCCTTGTGGGATGCTGTGTTTGCTGGAGTCAAGGCTTCCGGAACTAAGATATCTCAACAGAACAAGACACTGTGGACAGAGACAAACGACTGGCTGCGACAGCGCCGTTAGGTGCGGCGATCGACAACCTTCTGGCTGCACGATGACACACGTCCTAAAACCTCACACGGTATAGGCGCTTTGGCACCAGCCTCCCCGACTCCCTACAGAGGCTTCACCAGCGGCCGAGCATTCTTTAAGGACCAGTTCCTTGAGGCCGCAGACAGACAGGCCCTACCAAGTGTAAACTACGTTGCAAGGCATGCGAAATCAGGGTATCCCGAGATGTTGCATTGACGGGTCCCCAGGGGACGTCCGGGTTCTGGAGACCGATTCGGTTGCGATCAGCTTTTGGTTATCATGGGTGGAAGAAAGAAACTGGATGCAGCTGTAGACGAATGAAGGGAGATGAAGAGAGAATGGGAGTGACAGCTTGCGCCGCTAGAAAAGATCACTGCAAGACCCATCCATGCCTGCCTACTCTCGGGTTCCTTTGCTGACCTCGTGAGACTAGGCAGCATCTTGCACGTGCAGTATGCCAGGCAACTCGCTCACGTGCATCCACGTGCGCCTTTCTGCCTGGCAAAGCTAACAAGTACTTAAAGCCTACATGTTGCCATCACTTTTCTTCCATAAAACTTACCTGATCAGGGTCCGCGAGCACCAGAAGCCGCGCGACCGGCACAGATCGGCTGCATGGTACAATGCGGGACTGGTTTTGTCTGATGGCTCTTCGGGGCCGTCACTGGCGCAATTTTTGCTTGCTTCACATCTTTTTTCATTTCGGAGAGATGTGGAGAGTAATTGAAGTCAGTGTCGTATGTTTAAGGGTATGTTTAGTTCACGGTGATGCAGTTTAGTATACCTTAATAAGGTTGAGGCAGGTGGAGCCGGGACGTCGCGTTCCCGCATCACGCGCTGGAAGTAGTTAGATCAATAATGAACCCCATATCGTTCTACGAACCCTCATTTTCTTACTCTGCACTTTCCCTCGCCAGACTTGGATCAAACCTCGGTCTCCCAAATGAATACAGAACCAGAGCTACCCACATCATGGACCGAGTCCCACAAAGCAGACCCCGGCCGCCTCAGCTTCCTGGACCTCCCTCGGGAGCTGCGTGACCTGATCTACGCCCACACATTCCACGTCCCTGGCGCAATATTCATCTACACAATGAACCCGTACCATCCTTTGCGCACCCTGCGCGCCAAAACTGTGCGGTACAAGCACCACGGCGCCACGGAGCCGCAAAGCGTCTTCCAGTCCATCTCCACGGGCCTCCTGCAATCGTGTCGCCAACTGCACGCCGAAGCCTGCCCCGTCCTGTACGGCGACAACCACTTCCGGCTCTGGTTCCCCGACGACGCGACGCTGGCGCCCGCGTACTGCGGGCTGCTGCGCTCCATCATCATCACCGCCGCCGAGTCGGCGCACCTGCTCTTCGGCTCGCAGGACCTCGACGCCGTGAGCCATGGCTGGAAGCACCGGTTCTGGCCGCGCATCCTGGACAGCTGCGGGAAGATCCTCGCGCAGTTCCCCAACGCGGAGCGCATCTGCGTGCCCATGAAGGCGGGTGCGAAGGCGGGTGCGGAGGGGTGGCGGCCGGCGTTCTTTGCGCTGGGCGGCAAGACGGCGGAGCGCCGGGTCGAGCTGGCCGCTGAGTGGATGCTGGAGCGGAGTCCGCTGGTGAACGAGCGGCTGCGGGACTGTCTGCACTTGGAGCTCGAGCCGCCGCCGGGGACTATTTCGCGTGAGGAGTATGCGGGGTCGAGGTTTGCGCCGGATGAGGAGGAGTGGGATTATTCCGAGTTTGAGCATGCGTTTGAGCTGATGAAGGTGCTGGGTTGAATGGCACTGGTGGATCCTGCTCAGTGCTGTGGTACTGACGATCTCGCTATCTGGAAAGCTGCACTGCCCTCAGCATCGGTGTACAGCCACCTCCATACGCCAGACGGCGTCTCAAGTCTTCTTTGCAGTTTGGACAGCTGCATTGAAGCTTCGCTGCTGCCGCAGACCCTCGAAGCCTAAATCACTGCATTTGGACGGAGCCTGCAGTATCTGATGCGTTCACACGCCTCACTTGTGTGTTTCAGTCTGCGTTCGAGACCCCTACGCCTGGCTCCTCCGCAAACGCGAACACATGTGTAGTTCCGATTTCACAAAGTTCGGTGTTGAAGTTTCCATCCTTCCGGCTCAGAATCATGCTGGGCTCGCGAGGCTATTCGAGGTTGTGTTCATGGTTGCCTCACACGGGATACAGCAGTTTCGCAGCGGCCAGCCCCGACGACGCTGTGCAAGAAACTTGCACACACCATCCTAGACGGGGGGAAGGCACTTGACCATACTTTTGTGACTGTACGTCCGGGGGGGGGGGAGGCTAGGTGTATGAACAACAATACCTTGTCGTCGGTGAGACGGAAAAATTACTGAAGGAATAGAAGACACTTAATCCAAGAACATCTGATTCACCAAGAATTCATACATTGCTTGCGATGATACTCAAAGGGAAGAAACAGTGGTATACGTAATGCTAATAGCTACACCCTCCTCTAAAGTCCCTCGCTTCCACGCCCCAAACGAAGAACACCAACCGGATTCATGACAGGGTATTAAAGAAGGCCACGAAGCGCAAAGCGGAAAGCCCGCAGCCGCAAAGCCAGGGAGCAAGAAAAACTAGAAGAATAGAAAGAATACCAGTCCGAAGACCAGGAGGGGAGGAACCCAAATGCCAAAGCTGACTGCCGCCGCAACATGCCAGGCCCAGCTGACTCTGTCTGTCTTCCTGTCTGTCTGTGTGTGTTTCAACCGAAAATGCGCAAAGATGCGACAAATGTGACCGCCCAAAAGAACCAAGATTTCGTACCACATGACACGTTGCCCCCAACTCAAACCGTGCTGAACGCCAAATCCCTAGGGTATATGTAAAGAAACTTCCTTCTCTTACGACTCATTAATGTAAGAGTCCAAGCGGTAGCCTCACTACCGCTACCTTCCGCCGGCTGTACTCGCCCTGCTCATCTGACTCAATTGGCTCTTCTTGCTCGCTCCGCTGCCATGGCGCTTCATCCGATTATCCATCAACCCGGCCAGGAGCCTGTCGAGCTCACTGCTGAGATTCTGCGCAGCCTTTGTTTCCTCGACATAGAGACCGCTCATCAGCGGGTGGTCCTTGCTGACGGGTACGACGCCGTTGGTGTCGTTGATCATGAGGAGCAGATCGCGGATCTCGCTGCCGTCGTCAAGGTAGGAGCGCAGACTGGCATCAGACCAAGCCGGAAGCGTCGTCGATTCCGAAGAAACGGGAGCGGGTGATATCGAAGGCGAGACGCTGACGTTCAATGGCACAGGAGCAGAGCGTGATGGCGGCGGATTGTGGTTCGCGGTAGGAGAAAGGTGTATGGGCGAAGGTGAAGTACCGGAGCGAGGGGCTGCAACGCTGAGCTTTTGAGGTACGATGGTATCTGGGCTCGCTGCATCCAAGTCTGGAGTTGATACCGGCGAGCCAGTATCTGCACTCGAGTTGTCGCCCGTGAGGCCCGGTGGATGTTGTGCGTCCGACTCCTGGTCCTTATTTGTTGGCTGTGCATCAGCGGCAGAGACATGAACGGGCGACTCGGACAGACGTCCAACAGGCTCGGTTGTTAGCTGTTGCTGTGTCTTGCCCTGCGCTCCAGGATCAGCGAATGGGTCATCGCTATCGTCTGCGCTGGAATCGAAGTCGTCCAATGCTACTCGCTCCTTGGCCTTGCGAACCTTTTCTGGTTTTGGTGCGCTGTCAGTTGTGGTGTTTGACCGGAAAGGATTCTTCGAGTTGATGGCAGCTATGACCCCATGACTATCTGGTGACTTGACCCGATCTTGTACAGCTGGCTGCGTCATTGATTTTTCTTCTTGATCCGGAGAAACAACGCGCATTGTTGACTGAGCTTGCTGTCCTGCAGGACCCATTTCATGTGCGTCGATAGCATCGTCTGGATCCATTGTAGCTTCCATGGGGCTGTCTGTCTTTAAGATACTCTTTGTTTTGATAGGTGAGTCGGTCCTGGCACGGTGCTGCTTCTGGAGTTTGCCCTTGCTCGACTGCCTTGATGGAGCCTGCGCGGTCTGCTCTTCTGACGGTCGTTCAGGGGCAACTTCTGCAGGCTTGGCCGGAGCCGTCTGCGGCGAAGTTTGTTCTGGCTTTTCGATTGCCTTCTTCAAGTCGGCCTCTACTGTATCGATGTCGCTCTTCGAGTCCTTGTCTTTCTTGTCCTTGCGCTTGAACAGGCCACTAAGCATGCCGGATTTCTTGTCCTTCTTCTTCTTGTCGTCTTTGACCTTGTCAGCGAAGCCATTTTTCTCCAAGCTCTCGAGGCTTGGTCCGCGTTCGCGTTCGCGAGAACCCGTTGTAGACGTACTGGAATCGTCACGTAGCAGGTTAGGCGTAAGCGTAATCTTCCGAGTCTCGGTGTTCTCGTCCTTGAAGAACGAGTCGGTATTGCGAAGGGTGCCATTACGTGACACTTTCGGGTCTAGAGGTCGATCGAAGATTTCGTCGCTTGTCCTTGACTTTTCGTCATCTTTCATAGAGTCTTCGGAGGTTCTCGACTCTTCAGAGGAAACCTTCTTGATGCCGCCAAGCTTCAGCGGCTTCACCTCTAGAGATTCGTCTTGTTCAGTTTCAGCGTCTTGTGCAGCTTGTTGCTGTTGCTGCTGCTGTTGCTGTTGCTGCTGAGCTTGCTTCGGCTCTGGCCCACCAAACAATTCACCACCCTCCTCATCGGACGAGTAATCGTAGTCGGATGCTTCGACATAAGTCGGTGCTCCAAACTGCACCGTCTTGGCATTCCGTCTTCTCATGGCCTTCTTTAACGGGTTTTTCGTTTTTTCGGCAGTATCACCAAGCATTGTTGCCGAAAGATCGATGTTCCTGTGCTTGTTTAGACGCGCCAGACGTTCAGTAGGTGTCTCGATGTGTTCTGCTGGTAAGTATCCTATGGCATTGTTTAGCAGCCGATAATCATGAATGGCAAGGATGCCTACCAATGCTGCTGTCCTTGACAACACGGACAAGCCACCAGTAGCTGTTGCTGTCATCGAGCAACACCATCGTGTCACCCTTTGTTGCATTCGCTTGGCCCTCTACAGTCGCGACGAAAGTGTGCAAGGCGTAGACAAATTCGAAATCGATATCCTCTGTTTCTTGTAAGCATTCGCCTCCCCAGCCCGAGTCGATAAATCTGGAATCGAGAGAAAAGAAAACGTCATTGGATGCATCATTGTCGTCATTTGGATCCTCGTCCCAAGTTTCGGCGTCGCTGTCGGTCGTCCAGGAGTCTTCTTCGTCGTCAGGACGCTTGGCTGGAGTCGGGGTTCCGTTAGTACTGCGCGGCACGAGCGCAAGCGATTTAAGAAAAGGATCGTCTGGCAGGTCCAGCGATGGCGGAGGAATAGGCTGTAGCATCTTCCTTGCGTGTTCTTCGTCCAGGTCGGACATCAGCGAGGCCTGCGAATCTTCCCTCGTGTCCAGTAATCTCTGTTCTATGACCTTCAATTGCCTTGCTCGAGGGCTTGATTCTCCGTTTTGGACGGTCGTATCGGTCGTGTGCGAGCCGCTGGTGGACCTTATCCAGGTATACTCACCAGAATGATGCTCCGTTGACTGCGATGTTGGGGGGTGTTGAGAGAAATGAAATGTGGGGTTTGCGAAAGGATGATACGGGGTACTTGAAATACCGTTGAAGCCCGATGCTGAGACACTGAGAGGTCGACCAGCTTTGGCAACCGGCATGGGGAAATGTACGGGTGTAGATATGAAAGGGGAGGAAGAAGCCGAACTCGGTATGACCGGTGACGATTCTGGAGTGATGGACTCTCTTCGCGTCGGCCATACCGAGGGGAAAGAAGGTAGAGAATACCCACCATCGTCAATTGAAGGTGAACTCGAAATCTTGTCGAGCATGTCGTCGTCCATATCCTCCTCCACATCGGCGTCCTGCATATCGTCGTCGTCTTCGTCGTCGTGCATGCCCCCGTTATGCGATTTCTGCACAGTACGGTCATCGTCAGAGCCAGGGTCTTCGCTCAGCGAGTTCCCGGCGGTGTTCCAGGCATTCTGCAGCCGCGCCTCCTCAGCCGAGCGCTCATCTTCGACGGACTGTAGAGAGGCTTGCTGATGAGGGGCAGCAGGGCCGATTCCGAGCGGCGCCGGGTGCTCTGGCTGATTAGAATGGTCTTGTGCGGTTGGCGACGTCTTGTCCTGCAGATCAATCGTATCTGCGCCGGGCCGTTAGTATGCGCGCCTGCAATGGGTGGAAGAATGAGCACTGGCGTACCTGCTCGTATTATTTGTGGTCGCGTCATCCTCGCTCATGTGTGGTCGTGCATCCAGGAGTCGTAGTGTTCGCCGTCGTCGAGGGACCGCCAAGAGGCTGGGGTGCGGCGCAGTCAATGCGAGGGACGACCAGCCAGCGCAGGACGGCGGCGGCGGGTGTCAGTCCAGTCGGCGCAGTAGGAATGTGGTGCAGTAATGAGCGTGGGCGATCAGGCGAGTCTGAGGAGAGCGCATGCGGTGGTCGTGTAAGTAAATGGCGAGGGAGTCGGCGCGGCTGGAGGTTGCGGAGTGCGGAGCGGACGTTTCAACTTCCAAGGGCGCACGGCTAGTTGCTGTGGCACAGATAAGCCACGGCTGGCGGGGGATAGCGATGCGTGCAGCACGGCGACAATCAGGGCAGAGGCGGCGGTGCTTGCTGGGTGTCGTGGTTGCGGTGCTGCGAAGGGGCCGGTCGTTCCAAGATGGTGTTTGGGCTGGCTGGCTGGCATTATTTTAGACGCTTCTGAATACCATCCCCCTGCCGGAGCTGAAACTTAGCGCCTGCTTGTGCCTGTCAGCGCGAGCGCATCACCATCTCTCGCAGCCCCTTTTGCTGCGGCTCGGCCCTTTCTACGCTTGTCTTCACCGTGACCATCGTCTCTTCACTCAAACAGCGCCCATGCTCACGGCCGTTAATGGCCCTTCGTCAGGCCCACCTTCATCTGAAGTGGAGAGCCGTCATTTGCTCGTGTGTACCTGAAGATCCACAGAGCGAGCAACTGCAGCCGAAACAGCACCACACGAGTCATTGCCAGGGGCATTCACAGTCTTTGTCATTACATCCCTGTGCTGTTACCTGTTTCGTGTTGCTGCGAACTTGTGATGGACGCTCTTGGTTTCGCTGTCAAACCTTCCACAATGGGCTTGCCTACGTCATGAGACAACGGACTCGACCAGACAAACCCAAAAATGTCAAATACGCCCCGCTTCTGCGAACAACGACGCAGGTCGCCACTCGTCATATGTAGGCATCCCTGAGTGTCAGGTTCGCACAGACTGCAAGAACAGCTTAATCCAGCATTGGCTTTCACAAAACAAGATAGCAAACACGAAGTAGTGCCGCACGCTGAAGCCATCCATACCAGTACTGAGACTTTGTAGGGTTGGTGTAGCAACCGCCAGGTTCCAATGAGTGTCTTACGGTGACCATCTTTACGTTGTCCAGCTTGCATAGAGCTATAACACCGTGTGTAGCTCTTCTGCCAGTTGAGAAGGCGAAGACATGTTAACAAATACAATACACATGAGATAAGACTACCGTCTGAAACTGTCCCGACATACAATCTCTTAGGATGGTCAATATCAACGAAAGCACCTTCTGTGTCTTCAAGTAAAGACATCAAAACGTTGGTTTACAGGAACGTTTTGCGACTACATGTCTTCAGCAACTCTGCTCAATCTGATTGGACAACCTGTGGTCTCAAAATCTTGACCTGTTGCTCATCGACGGCAAGACCTGGCAGCTAGAAGTTTTCGAGCAGGTTCTGACAATCGAAAGCAGGTCTTCAGCATCGCTAGTCTGTTGAGAAGCTCCGCGTGTGGAATATGAAACAGACAATGTACTCGAAATACAGAGATCTGCGTATATTTACAGGGTGTTTGTGGCGCGGGACCATCTATCCGGTATAATGAGATATGGCGTGTTGTGTACGCGTTCTACGAGGAAAGGGGCAAGATACGCTGTACGAATGCAAAGTAAGCCGAGATGCATTCAGGACCGTAGAGTGCAGTTGTGTAGATGCGCATGAATGCTGGGATGCAACGGAAGACCAAGGAAGCAGTCAATGGAAGGCGACAACACTGAAGATGGCATGGCGCAGCAAGATGGAAATAAGAAATAATCTAGTCCCGGAAGAATGGTAAGAGCGCTCAAAACACAAATTAGACTCTACGATATCCCTCAATAGTATGGTGAACTCTGTTTCTCAAGTGTGTGTGCCTGGAACACTGACAAATAAGACCAGCTCTCCATAGATCTTTGCGCGTCCTCTACACGATGTCATAAGCGCGGTACTGCTCCCAGTACAGATGCGGACTAATGTCCGAATAGTACACAGGCACTGAAAACATACCAACGCGCTGCCACGTCCGGGTCTTCGGACGCGCCTCCAACACCATCACAAACGAAACGTTGAGCACACTGCCGATGAAAATACAGTTCCAGCGCTTTCGGTCCGTATAGCTCTCAAGGAACATAGCGTGGGCTTCGGCATCCGCAGACCATGAGAGACTCGCCCCGAACTTTTTCGTGTTGGCTTTCATTCCGAACTTGACGACCCAGGGTATCTTTCTGTTTTGGGCATTATAGGCGTTTGGTGCTAATCTGACTATCGCGGCCTTGATGTGTAGTATCGGGTACCTGCCTTCCAGAGTTACGTTTGCGAGATCGACGAAATGGAGGTCTGAGTCTAGAAACCCGAATTCTCTTGTATTTAGATCGTTCATGTAGTCAATTCGGCGCGAGGCGGAGCTGAGGCTGTATTCCACCTGTCCTGCCCAGCCAGCCCAGGTCCACGAGGGAAACTCGGTACGGGGTCGCGGTGGTTTACCGTTGTCTTTGTGTATCCACGTTAGGGCATAACTGAAAAACATGTACGGGTTTCCGCCGCGTCGCGAATAGCACATTCCCCAGACTTCGTCGAGGGGATCGTCCTGATTTGCAAAGTCTCGGAGAATTCCGCGGAAGGCGTTGATTGAATCCTCATCGAATCGCAGGTCTCTGGTTGTGTATTCCTCGACAGCGGAAATATACGCTCGAAATGTGTCATCTTGGTAAGGATCGTCTCGACTGAGCACGCTGTACTGCTGTACTTGGCTCTTCCCAAACATTCGAGGGCCAAAGGGGATGGTGCTGAATCCTCCATGGACAATTAGTTTATCGAAGGAATCGTGAGCGCCTTCACAGCCGTGCATGACGTTACACTCGAAGTAGACTTGATCGTCTGTAAATACTAATCGACGACGGCTGAGAAACGCTTCTTGGAATGTCCATCCGCGTGTAGACCAGTGCGACTTAGCGATCGCTATTTGGGGATCTTTGGGACTCCACATTGCTGTTATATTCCCGATCTCGGTGTATAACTGGGGGGAACGAGCTCTACTGCCAACTCCTGGCAGACCATGTGTCTCGTCTACCCCAGCAGCGCCGATGATCGTAAGCTCGGCGTTACGATAGATTGCATCCATCTGACGTATCTGGTCATGCTTCAGATCCGGTCTGTCTTGGTCGATGCAATACCTGTCTACCCACAGGTAGCGGAAGCCGAGAGCTTTGGTAACCTCAATCGAGTCTCGAATGACTGCAGACAGCTTTCGGGGGAGCAATTTGCTCCCATTTAACATTCGAGGTCCCTCAGGAATGGTTCCAGTACTGCCCCAAACGTAGCTCAAAGCGACGTAGGGAGTGTTAGCATCGCATTTGTCGATCGTCAGTGTCGCACAGTCAATGACATTGACTCCCCGTACTGGTAGGGGTTTCATCCCACAAGATGGACGATGCCATGTAAAACAGTGATCTAGCCATGGTTTAATAAAATAAGGATCGAACAGTCGAGGTATCAGTCGTGGGGTGAACATTGGTGGTTTCATCATATCCGTATCCATAACTATAGTCGCGCAGCCCTTGGACATGGCATGCCTCCCGAGATCTCGACCCGCGCTTTTCGAGAAACCTTTAGGACAGAGTACGAGACCTACAGATAGAGGTGGGCCAACCCAAGGCGAAGAGTGTGGACGGGGTCGGGGGAAGGTTATCGCAGCTAATTCCTCGCCCATGCCTTTGACTTCTGAGAATTCTTCCTCAGTCAGTGGTCCTCCGCCTGATTCTATACGAGACGCAGATAGAATTGGGCATAGAGTGCATGTTGAGTCTCCCAGATCCCTGTATCGATTACCGACCTGAACAACAGATGGCCAACAGTTGGACCATGGATCTGGCATCCCGCTCTCGTCAAAGTCGGTGAACGAGCGCATCAGGTCAGGCAGATTGAGACTCCTACAACCATCGCACAAAGCGAACCCATTGAGGCTCACACCGTTGACTCGTACTCTTGGGGATGTGTGCTCCACATGACGTTTTGCGGACGTGGGCTCTGTTCTCCTTTCTTGTGTTTCAATAACCTCGACGCCTAACTCGTCGAACATGGTTGTGAGCTCGCACTCATCGGAGAGTCTCGTATGTCGCTTTCTGCCCTTGCTATTGCTACCGTTCATTGTGTCTTCGCGGGGGTTACCATAAAGAGGGAGTGCTTTGCAATCAGCATCGGATAGAAAGAAGAGTACAGGACAAGCACTGCAGGTCGACTTCCGCGTTACGACCAAATCGTTACTGGCACTCCTGAATGGACAAGATAAGTCTGGACTTTCTACAGGATGGTGGATAGTTGAGAGTGCATGTTGTCAGACTTGCAGCCTGAAGCGGGGCAATTGTGTGGCTGAGCAGGAGCAGAGCTTCATCTCGTTTCCCTGAGGCAGGAACGCTGCATCTTTAACAATTAACCTGATTTACGAACATGTTATAGGAAGAACGATGCACATCATCAGGAACGGTCTGCCTCCAGCCCCAATAGGCTCACCGGAACTCGAGAGGCTCACATGTACTCACAAGGCACGTCTTTCGTCAAGACAAAAGGTGACTGAAGATCATTTGTTGATATCTCACCAAAACGAGAAACTGAAGAGTGAGGATGTTGGACATCGCGAGCAAGCAGCAATATTGTGATGGCAGTGGTAAGGTCAAGACGGTCGAACCTGAAGGCCCACACGTTGAAGCGCCAACCAACAATTCCACGCCAACTTCACCGCACACGTGGGCCAGTCCACCTTCCTCGTTCCACCGGAGACACCAAACCCCCGACACCGGCCAAAGTTATTGACAACTCTCACCGCAGAATATATGAAGTCGCCCGGACGACTCCACCCAATCTTACACTCCGCCAGCTAGGCGCTCCTACCTCCTTCCCAAAGGACTTAGCGGCCGGCACCAGATCAGCATACGGGCGACCACACATGACCTATCAGATAGGCACATGTGCCGAAAGACGTTAATTCCGACGATAAGGCAGATGAAACGACTACCGGACGTAGACGCTGGTGCTGCGCTACGCAGGCTGCGAGTAAGCAGTTGTACCTGCCTGATCGGCACAAGATACCAGGGCCGGTGCGTGGTGATCCTAATATACGCGGTTGCTTGGATGTCTTGCATGCGCGGTGTGGCCAGTCAGAATGCACAACGTGACAAGGTGCGCCGAATAAGAAGCTGTGGAGCGACGTGGACGGTGCAGGATGCGGGCCGCAACGAGGGCGCGCGATAGGGCGAGGGTCCTGGAGGAGCAACATGTCCCTGCGACTAAGACTGCAATGCGGAGAAGACGGATGCTTCAGGAAGGCTGGCGCTCCGAGCAATCAATCAGGCATTTGATCGGCATGGGTCTAGCAACGATGGTCGGAGACGTCCGCGGTGAATGAGAAGCATAAGAGACGACGACGTCCAGGTGGAGGAGAACCAGCCAGTCCAGCCAGCTCAGTCTTTCGCTCTACCATCGCCAGCCTTCCCTCGCTAGCCTCAGCTCCAGCACCGCCCTTACAACCGTCACCATGAAGTTCCTCTCCATCCTCGCTCTGATCGCGCCCCTCGCTTTCGCCCTCCCCACCTCCGTCGTTGAGGCTCCCGTCGAGGACGCTGCCGTCGAGGCCCGCCAGAGCTGCTACTCCAAGTGCGGCTCGGTATGCTACACCGCCGCACAGGTCACCGCTGCCCGCAACGCGGGTGCCAACCACGTCAGGCAAGGCACCCAGGCTGGTAGCTCGACCTACCCCCACGTCTTCAACAACCGCGAGGGCTTCAACTTCCTGAACAACCCCACCTACTACGAGTTCCCCATCAAGACTAGCGGTGTCTACACTGGTGGTATGTATCTCGAATCGCTGTTGATGATAGTGTGCTAACCGTACGTCAGGCTCCCCTGGTGCTGACCGTGTTGTGTTCAACTCTGCTGGAACGCGTTCTGGCGAGATTACGCACACTGGTGCTAGCGGTAACAACTTCGTCAAGTGCACAGGATGGTAGATGCTGTGAGGCCAGTGGCTGGGCTAGGGGATTCGTTATGCCCTAAGCTTGAAGGCGCGACCGTTGATGAGTTTATGATGTTGAGAGATACCTTTTGGAGCGTTGTTAGCAGTCTATGAATCAATTGAGTATGTTGAGATTTGATCCAAGTGTTGTAAAGCTTGAGTTTGTTGCTTGATGTTGGGTACGGTAGCCGCAAGAACATGCTCCACCGCATGACTCGTCACAATGTCAATATTCTCTCAAAGTTTTGCCTTGACCCATTGCTCGAGCACTCCCTGACTTCCAGTCCCTGAGTCGCCTTTATATCCCAACACTCTCTCCATGATCATCTCATCGTGCATTGCTCCCTCTGTAATCACGACGTTCACATGCCCTCCTCTTCTCCTAAACCCAACACTAAACTTCTTTGCAAAAGCCTCGATGCCCTCAATGAGAATCTCATTCTCGCCACCCCAAATCAGCACTTCATCGACGACACCGGCGACGGACTCCCACCATTCTGAACTCGCAAGGACAGGTTCTGAATAGGAGTCGCCAGCGAAAGGTGAAGTTGAGTTCAGGAATGCCGTCGCCCAGCGTGAAAGTGTGCGGGAGTCGAACATATCCCTCTCAGCGTTGCGTACATGCGCTGAGGTGTGGTTCTGCGTCAGACTGCACCAAGGCGAGATAAGCATGGCAGCATGAAGCTTCCCGTTCAGCTTCAGCTCCGCGATTTCGGGATGAGGATGTGCGATATGCGAGAGCAGAGCAAGTGCCAGGTTGGCGCCTGCAGAGTCCCCGGCCACGATGATGTCTGCCGGATTCCGGCCCTCAGTCTCGGTGAGGTGCCGGAAGAGCTCGACAGCTTGCCGCAGTTGGGTTGGGTATGTAGCCTCGGGGGCCAGGTCGTATGCTAGCAAGAGCGCGCTGACATTTGGTCCTAGACCATTCTGCAGATCGTCCAGCCAGAGCATGTGCCCTGCAGTGCAAGGCAGCACATACCCTCCACCATGGAGGTATACGAGGACCTTAGGAGCGTCTTTGTTGCCGAGCCAGTGCGCCTGTGTGCCGCTGGGTAGGGTTATAGATGAAGGTGTGAGTTTGCGAGACGTGCAGTGCTGCAGATAAACAGGCGTAGACGTCGTGCTGCTTAGGTAGCGATCTTGGGCAAGGCTGAGGTTACCGAGGTGTGTGCGGAAAGCGGCGACGGCGATGTCTTTGAAGTAGGTGCTCGCACCGTTGGGGCCTTTGAAGGGAGAAGCGAAGGCACGACCTGTTGCAGCAGCGACTACTCTGTGTTAGATGTGATCATCAACGAACAGCATAGAACACGATGAGATGCAGGAAGACTCACTTGCTTTCAGCACGGCTGAAGCAATGCCGAGCTTGTTCACATCTTGATGGACGAATCTGGAAGGAGCTCCGTTTGGAGGGTCATTGGGAGCCTGGTCCGCCATTGCTCAAGGCGTGTTCGTGAGGATGAAGCTTAAGTAGCTCCATGATCTCGGTCGAGCTATTGCTGGCCCATGCTGACTGACAGATGCATGTCAGCGAAGCGGGGACCCCACATTATCTCGAGACGACCCGAAAGAGTTTCTGCAATGCCGGGAGACGATGCACGAGACTGCAGGAGCTGACGAATTGGCAACAGGATGCGCTTCCTTGCCGCAGCTGGTCATGGCACATCCAGGCTCGCTGCATCGCAGTGGTGGCAGTCCCAGCTTGTTGACGTGTGGCCGACGTGCGGACAGGGTTCCTTCCACTCAACCCCAGTGGTAGGAGCGCCCCACATGGACGGGGCACTAGCCAATCGATCCGAAGCGGCCCTGCTTTGCGATATCATGACTCGTTTTGTATCCCTTCAGCAAAAACGCGAGTCGCACTCGTGCTGCAGGCGCTCCCCCAATCGCGATGGCGGCTCTTCCCCCTAGCGAAGCCAATTCCCCTTCCTCTGCGCCGAAAGAGGACGACAGCCAGGCTGATGTGGGCCAACCCAGCGCCAAAAAGCGACGCACGGCCGCCTCGCGTGGCGTCGCAAATCTCACTCCCGAGCAACTCGCACGCAAACGCGCGAATGACCGCGAGGCGCAGCGTGCCATAAGGGAGCGCACTAAGACGCAGATAGACCGGTTGAACCAGCGCATCCGAGACCTCGAGAGCCAGCAGCCATACCATGACCTGCAGGTGGTGCTGCGCGAGAAGGAGGCCGTCCAGGCTGAGAATGCCGATATAAGGAAGCGCCTGGAGAGCATCGTGGCGACTATCCAGCCCATTCTGCGCGCGACAGGCGGTCTGAATGGTCAGTATGGCCTTGTGCTGCTGCAATTGAGTGCTGATAGAAGCAGAACTGGCCGCTGCTGCAGAGCGCTCGCCGCTGCCCGTTCCGCCACACCACCCGCACCGCGAAGTCCCTCCCGACCCTCGCCAGTTCCACGCCACGCTCGGCGACATCGCCGCAGCCTCACCACAGAACGGCACTCACTCGCCGACTGGCACAGACGTTTCGCGCCAATGGCCATACTCGCAAGATACGCCTGGCAGCCACATGCGCGGCTACGGCCACGACGGCCCAGCGTACGAGCACCGGCCTCCACCTCAGATACAGGAGCCGTATGACGAGCGCATGGGTGTCGACTTCCTCCTGGACCACAACCAGAGGCGGCCCATGGACCCAAACATGCCGTCTCCGCAGCAAACACAGCCGAGCAATGTCTGCAGCAACGGACAGGGGCAGTATGCGCCGAACCTGGTGCCGTATCTCACCCTCCCACGGAACATAGCGCCGACATGTCCGCTGGATGTCATACTGCTGGAGTTCCTCCAAGACCGGCAGAGTCGAGCAGCCGAGGGCGTGCCTGTGAAGACGCTGGTCGGCCCGCTGTACCCCAACTTCACCTCGCTGGTGTACCCAGACCGCAACGTCGATGCGCATCCGCTGTCGAAGCTGTTTACCGATATCTTGCGGACATTTCCAGACATATGTGGCTGGCCTGAGCAGGTGGCTATTGTGTACATTATGTTCCTGGTGATGCGCTGGCAGATCGAGCCTACACAGGAGAACTACGACAGACTACCGCACTGGGTGACACCACGTGCTAGTCAGTTGTTCGCCGCCCATCCGTGCTGGTTCGATCATCTGCCTTGGTAAGATTAAACACTCTCAAATCGGAGCGAAGCTTACACCGTCCAGGCCGCGTCTGCGCGATAGACTCTGCGCCCACCAGCCCTTCATTCCCTTCGACACTTTCTTCATCCCCTTCACCACTACCGTCTCCCTCAATTGGCCCTACGAGGCACGCGACGTGCTCCTCCCCGCCTCCAAAATCCACTCCAACGCCCTCTCCACAAACGCCTCCTCGGTCCACGCCTCCTCGCCCTTCTCCACGCACGTCAACGCCGGCAGCCCCGCCGGCCCGCACACGCCACAGCCGTCCGGCACCCCCGTGCCACTGACGATGAATGCGCTGCCCAAAGAAGACGACCAGTGGCTCATCAACCCCGCGTTCGAGAGCCATCTCAGAGACCTTAACAACTGGTCCCTGGGCCCGAGCTTCAGGGGCATCTTTCCGCAACTTGCGGAGGGGGTGAAGATTAAGCAGGGGAGGTAGCTGTATATACTTGATGGCGCTCAGGCGTTAGTTGTGCATGATGATTTGGGATAGATGGATATATGTTGTATCACTGGGGGGTGTTTGTATATCTTACAGGGTATGGGTGTTGTGGCGCCTCTTGGAGAGTCGGGAGCAGTTCGCTGCATTTGTAATAGCATTGTTGGTGCATAGACTGTGGAATCAGGCTGGCCTATGAACAGGATTATTCGGGGTATTGTCAGCAGGGTGGTTCAGTATACATGGCATGGGAGGATGTAATCAAGTCATATATAATCAAGCCATATCGATTTTTGCTTCCGCCGAGCTTCGAGAGCCCGTATGCACCGTACCATGCAGTATACGTATAATACAACACCCGTTTCGCACTCTAGTCGTAATCATACACCGCCGTCTCATATCGATACCTCATACATGGCCTACCGCCGGCCCAGCTTCCACCGCGCAATCCGCGCCTGGATGTCGTCCCACTCAAAGTCCTTGCGCCGCAGCCCCTCCTGCTCGCCCTCCTGCAGCACCACCGTCGGCGCGCCCGACCCGCGCCCGGCCTCACCCCCAAACACCTGCGCCGCCACGCGCCGCATGTCCTCGACCGTGACGGCCTCGATGTGCGCACACATCTCCGCAACACCGACCTTGCGGCCGTGGACCTGGACCTGGCGCCCCAGGTCCTCGAGCGCGACCATGCGGCTCTCGAGATTCATCAGCAGCGAGGAGCGCAGCTGGTTCTTTGCGCGGCGCAGCTCGGGTTCTTTCAGCGCGGCGTAGCCCGAGGCGTCGCGCAGGCTCGACAGCTCGCGGCACATGACCTCGAGCATCTGGGGCGCGTGCGAGGGCGCGCAGGATGCGCTGATGCCGAACAGCCCGCTGTCGGTGTAGCTGTGGTTGAAGGCCACGCACGACTCGACCCAGAAGTGCTGGTTCAGCACGTTGGTGTACAGCCGCGAGTACATGCCTTTGCCGGGGCCGCCGGCGCTGAAGGAACCGCCGCCGCCGAGGAGGGTCTGCATGGTGGCGAGCGCGTAGATGTCGGGCGAGGAGATGGGGAGGGCTTCGAAGGCGAGGTGGATGTGCGACAGGCGGCGGAGCATGGGGTTGAGCGGCGGGGGGATCGGGGGGAGGGTGAGGAAGCCGCCGGTGTAGTGGGAGGGGGTTGAGGTGTCGATGGGGGGGAAGTTGAGGTCGAAGGAGGAGGTGAGGGAGGCGGAGTCGGCGGCCGAGGTGGAGAAGTTCTTGAGGAAGGGGATCTTGGAGAGGAGCTTCGAGTGCTGCGGGGGCGCGCCGGTCGGGGTCGGGTGGTCGGCGGTGAAGAGCTGCTGCTCCGGGTTCTGGCTGGAGATGGCGCTGTGGTCGTGGGCGCCGACGAGCGACGGCCCGCGGCCCGTGGCCATGTCGCCAAAGTACTGCTCGGTCAGCTTGACGGCCTCGTTGTGGTCGACACCGGCAAAAGCCACGACGATGCGGTCGGGCGTGTAGAACTCCTTGCGGTACGCCTCAACCACGTCGCGGTTGATGTGCGGCAGACGCTCCTTGGGGCACAGCAGCGGGTTGCCCAGGGTGTTGTCCTTGTACGCGGCCATGTGCACCAGCTCGGGCAGGATCAGCTCGGGCTTGCTCCAGATCTCGCCAATCTCGTAGTCGGCCGTCTCGAGCTGCTGCTGCACCTCGTCCTCGGTGATGAGCGGGTCGCGGATGGTCTCGGCCAGCACGCCGACGGTGCTCTCGACGGCCGAGTTGAACGTGGCCGACTGGTACATGAGCGACTCGCGCGACGACGCGCACTGGATGTTGCCGCCCAGCGACTCCATCTTCTCGGCCATCTGGTCGCCGCTGGTGGCGCGCGTCGACTTGAAGGCGAGCCGGTCGACGATGTGGCTGACGCCGCGCAGGGCGTCGTTCTCGTAGCGCGAGCCAGCGTCGACGTAGACGCCGATGCCCGAGAAGTGGCCCGGCAGCGCCTCGGTGGCGACGCGGATGCCGTTGGGGAGGGTTGTGATCTGGTCGAGCTCGACGGGGTCCTGCGCGGGCGGCACTGTCGCCAGCCCCCGTCTGGCGGCGCGTGCGGCAGCGCGCGAGAGCGGCGCCTGCGATGCCCGCGCGATCGGCCGTATTGTCTGGGGCCGCAACATGTCGATGTGGTGATGGTCGGACGCGGCGCCAAAAATTCAAGATGACATGGCGTCACGTGGGGTTGAGCGTGCAGACGTCACGTGCGGGGCAGCTGCCGTAAGCAAGACCGGCGGATCCATGATCCATGGATTGATCATCAAACATGGCAGGGCATCACGTGCGGGGGCGGTGTCCTGCATGCTCAGATGGAGCCGGCGGTCGGTAGCGGCTCCACAGCGCGCCGTGATGCAGCCTTGCTCAGCAGGCGGTGACGGTCAGCAGGCGTGCGGAGACGGTTTCTCGCTGGACGTCACGTCGTCCTGGCCGTCCATCGTGTCTGCGTGCGTGCAGTCGAGGGGAGTGGCGGGAGATTCCCCGAGCCGCCACTGGCATGCTCTGGCCGCTTTCGTGCTGCAGGACTGCAGTCCTGCCACTGCGCCTGTTGACTGCCTGACGTCCCTCTGGCCAGGCCTGTCTGGCGGCCCTGCGTCGTCTGGCGGACTGCATGCGCCGTCTCCTCACCCGCCGCTTGGCCAAGATGCAGGATCCACGATCCAAGATTCCGTTGCCAGTGCCACCTGCTGCGCCGGCCGTGGTCTTCACTCTCGTGCCCTCTCGTGCACTCGTGCTCCGGCTGCAACGCGTGATCTGTGTCACACTGCCCGCACCGCGGCCTTCACCTGAAACTGAAACCTGAGCGCCCGCGCCAGGAGCTGAGCCTGAGGCCTCCACCCGTTCTTCGGTGCCATGTTCACGACCCCAGCCCCGGCCGACACCACCGTTTCCGCGCCCATCTCGCCCGTGTCCCCCTCGCCGCGCTCGACGGGCCTGCAGCGGGGCATCTCCTTCCTGCGCAACTACACCCACGGCCTGCACCTGCACTCGCCAGACGCTGACGGCCCGCCGCCCACCGCCCGCCCGCGCGCCGCCACCCACAGTCACACGCCGCCCGTGTCGCCGTCTGCCCCCAGCCTGCCCGCCCAGCGTCCGCAGCCCGTCCGCCGCCAGACCGCGCCGCTGGACGACGACGCGCGCCCCAGCCTGCCGACGCCGCCCAGCATGACCCGCACCCGCGCAGAGACGGCCGCGCCGCAGCTCACGGTGCGCAACACCACCGGGCCCACGCCGACGTCGACGCCGCGCCCCGACCACGACAGCTCGAGCGACGCCGCCGACGGCCCGTCGCAACGCCACCTGCCCTCGATCCGCTTCATCCCCCACCAAGACCCGCGCGCCGGGCGCCCGTCGCTGCAGTTCCCCACCATCACCCGCACGCTGCCCGACGAGGCTGCCGTTATCCGCGTCGGCCGCTACTCGGAGCGCGACAACGTGCCCGAGGCGCCTGCGAACCTGCCCTCGGCCGCGGCCATCGGCTTCAAGAGCAAGGTCGTCAGCCGCAAGCACTGCGAGCTGTGGTGCAAGGACGGCAGCTGGTACGTCAAGGACGTCAAGAGCTCGTCGGGCACCTTCCTCAACCACATCCGCCTGAGCCAGCCCAACGTCGAGTCGAAGCCCTTCCGCATCAAGGATGGCGACATCATCCAGCTTGGCATCGACTTCCGCGGCGGCGAGGAGATGATCTTCCGCTGCGTCAAGATCCGCGTCGAGTGCAACCGCGGCTGGCAGCAGGGCCTGAATGCTTTCAAGTGCGTGCCCCTTGCCTGCGCTGACTAATTGCTAACAGCCGCAGCAAGCAGACGCACCAGCGTCTGCGCAACCTCACCAAGCCGAGGAAAGACGGCGACACTGCGTCCACACACACGTCTGAGTGCGCTATATGTCTCATGTCCATAGCGGTAGGTCTCGCGTGCTGCGAATACTGCCCTCGCTAATCACGTGCAGCCCTGCCAATCCCTGTTTGTCGCACCCTGCTCGCACGTGTGGCACTACAAGTGCATACGGCCGATTCTGAACGGACCCACGTGGCCCAACTTCCTCTGCCCCAACTGCAGGGCCGTCGCCGATCTCGAGGCTGACGTCGACGACCCGGGCGAGTTCGAGGACTGGGACGAGGAGCCGCAGGCAAACAGCGACTCTGCGCCGGACGCGGAGAACCCCCCGGCAGACCGTCACGTCACGCCACGTGCGTCGGCAGTTCCTCTGAACGGCACAGCAGAAAACGGCACCGACCTCGCAGAACTGCAGCACGCCATCACACGCATCAGCATTAACGAATCGATTCAGCATCCCCAGACTCCGTTCCGGCCTATAGAACCTACAACAGCATCCGTCACCCAGCCCGTGTCCATCGACCGCGGCCCCGGCGCCTTCAACGGCCTCTCGCCGCTGTACCTCGCCGCCCACGACGGCCTGGCGCCCGACCGCGCTCACGACGGACCCATGACGCCGCGCAACGACGCTGGCCCTTTTGTCCTGGACGGTAGCGCCGGCCGCGCGAGCCGCCTGCGCGACGACTCGCCCGACGCGGACGCACCGTCCCTTCCCCCGGTGCGCTTCGACTAGGATCGCAGGCACCTAATTCACGCATGTCATTCGCACGCCGGTCTGCAGGCGGCTTACACGATTTCAAGGGCACGGCGGTGCGCATCTGCATGTTTATCGTAGGGCGAGGAGTAATGTATCCCGTGTACGTATTTGGGGCTGGCGTTTGGACGGCCCGGAGTTGGGGTTGGCATGTTGTTACCATTTTATCATCTGCGCGGCGCGGCGGCGCAGGACGAGCGAAGAGCGGGCATGTAGAGTTGGCATGTTATCTGGCGCGAAGCCACAGTTGATCGTTTGTCATGCATCGTGTGCTCATTTTGTCATGCATGGTACTCGCAACGGCAGCAGCTCATCTCCCTTCTGACCTTGTCTCTCTTTTTGATTCATCTCCCTTCTGACCTCATCTCCCCCCTGAGACCGCCTAGAACATGCCTCCGAATCCCTTCCCCCCCTCCCACTTCTCCCGCCACTCCTCCAGCAGCACAACCACCTCCTCCCGCGCATCCTCGACAATCCCGTCCATCTTGATGTCGTTCCGGTCATACCCAAACGGGTCCTCGAGCTGCACGCCAATGCCCTCGATGCCGTACAGCGTGAACCCGACAATCGCCACGACGGGGACACTGTACCAGCCGTAGCTGTCGACCATGGTGAAGGGCAGAATGGACAGGTACAGGAACAGCACCTGCGAGGCGTGGATCAGATGCGCAATGGGCAGCGGGGTGGTGCGGATGGTTTCCATGCGGCCGTAGGCGTCGACGAGGCTGTTGATCTGCACCGTCAGCTGCGACGACAGCGGCGCGTTGATCCAGCCGCGGTTGTACGCGCGCGTCACGTACGACTCGAGGAGTACGCACAGCTGCAGCGGCAGGCCCAGTCCGCGGTCCTCGTAGCCCATCAGCCCCGGTGGGAGGAGCGAGACGTACTCGTCCTTGCGCGTCGGCGTGCTGCCCGTGCTCTCGAGGGTCGCGGTGGAGGCGAGCAGCGGCGTGGTGAGGTCGGGCCGCGAGCGCTCCAGCGTCGGCGTCGCGGGGCTGCTCAGCGCGCGGTCCACGTAGCTCGGGCGGCGGGAGAGCGGGCGCGAGATGGGGCGGCTGGCGCCGCGGACACCGGGGTACGCGAAGGTGTTTGACGCGGCGAGGGACGCGGGCGGGATGTTGAACTCGGCGCGCAGGTTGTGCTTGATGGCGTACAGGACGGCGACGAGGACGCGCACGGTGCGCTCGGTGTCGCGGCGCTCGTCGGGGGTGGACTTGCCGTGGGCGTCTTGGCTGTTGACGAGCAGGATGCGGGCGAGGTTGCGGACGGCGGTGCCGACGGAAGTCACGCAGTTGCGGCCGGACCAGAAGCGGTCGTACGACGTCGAGTTGCGGAAGACGAGCATCAGGCCCACGACGATGGACAGCGAGGGGATGATGGTGGCCGGGATGCTGATGTGCACGTTGGGGAAGGTGTCGAGGTAGACGATGAGCGCGGTGAAGAGGCAGTGCAGCACCACGGGCACGTAGATGGCGCTGTGGATCGAGCCTTTGGCGAAGCGCAGCACGAGCGGGAGACGCCGCGGTTTCTGGCGGAACGAGTGCGCCAGCGGGTAGGTGGGGATGCGCGAGGGCGCGTGGGCGGTGTCGGGCGTGGTCGACATGGTGGTGGGCGTGAGGTGGTGATGGCTCGCTGTGTGTGATATGGGTGAGCCTTGCTGTGTATGATATGGGCGATGCCTCCGGGGCGTGTCACATCAGTCCAGGCCGAAGGATTGAGCGAGTGCGAGGGTCATTGGAGATAAACAAGGTCGGACCAACACACGAGCGGGGACTCTGGGGTTCACCGTCCAGACTGGCAAGGATCGGCCCGTTTCATCCAGTCGAAGTGGAGGAGATTGATTGGACATGTGACAACCGTCGAATCCTCTTGGTATACGTAGTGGGATGTGGGACATTGCGCGAGAACTGCACGTTGAAACGTTCAAGTCGACGCTGGCGACGCCTCTGGTGGCTCGACGTCTGACGTTGATGGGGTCAAACCAGGGTCCATCACATGCCCGCGGACCCCGGGCGGAACTCTCCCGTCGGAACCTCGGTCGCGCAACGGTTGTCACTGCCGCGAGAAAACAGAAAACACGTCCTCCAGCTCCGCGCATGTTGCTGCTCCCACACCCCCCGTAGACCAACATGGCCGACTCCCCCGCCGCGCACCCGGCCAGCACCACCGTCCCCAGCGCCGACAGCCCTGCTGCGCCCACACCCGCAAACCCCACGCCCTCTCCGCGCCCACACCCCACACCCCTCCAAAAACTGCGCTTCCTCGTCGCCCGCCGCCTCGCCAATGCCGCCCACTCCACCGACCGCACGCTCCTGCGCCTCGCCGCCCTCCTCTCCACGCCCTCGGGCATCGACGTCGCCCTCGGCACAACCGGCTACACGCTGACCCTCCTCGCGGCCCTGGGCCAACGCGTCCTCACCCACCAGCTCACCGCGGCCGCGACCTCGCTCGCCGAAAAAGCGGCCCCGGTCATGCTCCCCGGCGAGTCCCTCGTCGTCCAGCTGCCCGCCCCCGCACACACCACCCTGCTCGCGCAGTCCGTGGCCTCGAGCAACGCCATCGCCGCCGTCATCGCAGACTACCGCATCTTCGTGCGCATGTTCGGTCTTCTCGGACTTTACACGTGGGCTAGGGCTACATGGCGCGCGCCGCTGCCCGCCGATGCAGCGCCGCACGAGCGCGTGCTGCGTGGGACGACGTGGGCCGCGCTCGCGTCGTGCGTCGCCTTCCAGGTGCTGGAGAACGGGGCGTATGCGGCGTCGAAGGGGATGTTGACGGGTGCGGGGTGGAGCGGGGAGGTGGGCAAGCGAAGGGAGACGGTGTGGTGGGTGTGGAGTTCGCGGTTTTGGGCCGCGTATGTGGGGTGTGAGATTTTTAGGTTGGGGGTCGAGAGGGCGTGTTGGGCGCCAAAGGGGAAGATGGAGGGAGAGGGCGATGGTGAGAAGGAGGGCAAGCTACAGGCGGAGCAGGAGAAGAGGGAAGAGAGCAGTAAGAGATGGGCGTGGTGGAAGGATCTGGCTAGCAATGTGGCGTATGCGCCAATGACGCTGCACTGGTCGGTTGAGGAGGGTCTGTTGAGCGAGCTGCAGGTCGGTGCCTTCGGCACGGTAGCCGCTGGTGCGTTGCTGGTTGATGCATGGCGGAAGACGGCATAGTCTTGGTTGAGGGTGACGATATGGAGGTTTTCGTTTTGCAGTGTATGGCTCAAAGATACCACAACATAGAGATAGACAGTCAGGGGTGCAGCATTTGCAGACAAACTTCAGTTTCATTTGGATCGCACCATTCTGATTGCGACTGTATCGAAGTGCCACCAAGTTTAGCCTAGGATATAGACCTTAATGAATTCGATCACACCTCCACGAACAGGCATGATCGGCCTCGATTCTGCCACCCATTGACAAAGCTGCTACATGGTGCCAGTCACTCAGCAAGTCTAGCCTGTCCACACCTCGATTCTGCCACCCATTGACAACACTGCTACATAGTGCCAGTCCAACTCAACCACCTAGCCAGTCCACACCTTCGGGCCGGGCGGCGTGTACGTCGTGCTCTGATCCGCATACGTATTAACAGTGATCCCCGGGTCACTTTGCGCAGCGTATCCAGGAATGGTAGCAAGGAAGTCACTGCCAGGCTGTGCGGTGCCGGAGCCAGTCACCTGGATCTGGGCGCACTCGGCGTAGAACTGGGGGTTCAGCGCCTGGTGCAGGGCGAGCAGCTCGTGGCGCACGAGGTAGTTCCCCGGAGCAAGCGACTTGGGGACTGTGGACTCCCAGTAGAGCTGCTTGAGGACCTTGGCGGTGCCCCAGGATGTGCCGCTGAGAGGGGGCGCGGTCATGCCTTCCTGGTCGATCTGCAGGGGTGTGAGAAGTGTGCGTGGTGGCGAGGTGGTGGACTGACCTTGAACCATTTCTTGCCGCTGCCGTCGCAGCTGGAAAAGGCACCGGCGCATTTGTATAGCCATACCATGACCGGGCCTTGTTCATGCGTCCACTGCGCCCAGATGGCCTTGATCTTGCCACCGGCTGCGACGTTGGCCACCAGGTCTGCTGATGTGCCGCCGTTGCACATGACCTTCTTATCGGTGACGGTTAGGGTCGGGTTGTAGTCGGGCCATTGGCGCTGGATCGTCTTCGGAGATGTAGCTGGAGAGAAGCCTGTGTAACTGGAGGGACATTAGATTTGGTCTAGGTCGCATGCTGGAAGTGCATGAGCTTACCCAGGATAGGTAACACCATCGATGACATAGCTTGTCACCGCGCCATGAGCGGCGACCTGAGCCACGACAAGTGCAGCTGCGGCGTAGACGGTAGAAAAGAGCATGATGAGCTGGTTTGAGAAGCTTGTAATCTGGCGGACTGCTGCTCTGGGCCAAAACCTTCCTTAAGTAGCATCCTCTGCTGGCCAGTTTGGGCCGATGCTTTACCTTGATTAGCACCTCGTGATTGCTTCAGCACGAGAGTTCCCGTCATTCCGGTCCCAGACAGCAGCGATAGTGTTCGTATATTGAGCCGCACTGGAGAGAGTGCCTATGGCACCGGCTAATTACAGCGCAATGTCACCACTTTGAGCTCGTTGCAGGTGAGAATTGCCATAGTAAAAGTGAGGTTAATAAGATCACATCGAGATGCTGCTGATGTGAGACTGAGGTTGGGTCACGGTCACCGCTGCCCTGCGGTGAAGTCAGTCAGCGTTCGTCAGACGTGTGTTCGGAGTATGGCAGTATTCCGAACGACCTCCCTGATGCTTCATATGTTGTGGCGCTCTTTCCTGACATGAATGCGCTATCTCCCAGAAGGTATGGCGTGTCACGTGTGCTGGTGAGTCTAGAGGTGGATGCGTCCGACCTTAGGAGGCTCACCTCAACATACAGCACGTTGACGCCCTTTACGTCACTCGCCTATCCTTCTGACTCACCTAGCTTTTAGGCAATCATCACAAAGGGGGTAATGCCTGAGCTACTTCTTTTGATCAATGCCATCCGCTCAGCAAGCAGTGAGCTTCTCGCCAACATTCTCATCGACAGTCTAAATGACTCGCCCGAACACACCGAAAGAGTGAAAGAGAAACTTCTTCTGCAACAAGGTCAACTACGAAAGATCGTGGAGACGCTGCCAGATGATCAAAGGCCCGTCGTCGCAAAGAATACCCACGACGAGGAGAAGGAAGCTGAAGCAGACGAAGATGGAGCGAACGAAGATGAAGTAGGCGAAGACGAAACAGACAAAGATGAGCAGGAAGACGACAGGGACACCGAGAATGAACGCGAGCAAAACACATCTGATCTCTCGGAGACAGAAGACGCTCCCACACTTCTCGGACAAAAGCGCAAGCGCGGCCCTTACACAAGGCAGCGCTACGAAATATGTCTTAATTGCGAGAAACAGTATGATGTAACATTGAACCGGAAAGATAGTTGCGCCTACCATAGTGGTATGTCTCGATCTGCGTTTCTACACCGATTTACTGATTTTAGTGAAGCTGAGCTCGAGATTTGGGAGGATTCTTACTACTGGCGGGAAGCGATCTGTGAGGGATGGATAGACAGCGACGAGGAGCTCGAGGATACCCCAGAGATGCGAGCCAACCATCCCGGTGGATTTGCGCATCCGTGCTGTTGGGAGTTCGATGAAGGGTGCCAGGTCGCTAGTCACCAGCCGGATAGATCTAAGAGGGTGAGGGAATGATAGTAGTCGACTATCGATGGGGAAACAGACTTGGAAAGACCGACTACAAAGATCACGTTTACATTAGCAATGGGCACCGCAGTACCTCGTAAGTTAGTTCCATTATCTCATGCTCCACTTCCGGCTGTGAATGGCGTGTAATATACGTGAAGTAGCTCCTCCTCGATTTTGCGTCCTTACACGGCTACATGCGCGGTGGGTGCTCGAGTAAGATGCTGATGCCATTTGTGTGATTCCTCTCGGGGCTGAGATAGATGCGGTCAGGTTATGAAGCGATGATGTCGTGTAGAGTGGAGGCCGAATCGGACGTCATTCTTGTTCCGGTAGCTCCGAAGGCGCTACTTCATCTCCACTTCATGCCGCGTCGTCGTAACACCTTCCTCATCCATCTTCCGAATAAGCTTCGTCGATACTACCAAGCTTTTGAGCCAAGGACAATCAAGCTTCGGTTCATCGCTTGTTCATCATAGTGGATATCGCTACAAGGGTGGTAGCGATGCCATTGGTAGATAGAATGACGCAGATACTCTAACATTGACAATCAGCGGCCGACGCACGGCACGGTCTAAGCTTCAATAGGCAGGACAGAGGTGCACTGCCGTCTCAACACGATGTCAGCACTGAATTGCTGTCTTCAGACAAGAACGGTTGAAGGGTTGCAGCATGCCGGCCACTAGTACTTTGACTACAAATTGTCGCTGAGCGCCTTCACAAAGAAATTTCCCTACAGAGTCGATACATCACATCACATTGAGATGCGTGTTTCAAGCTTGTTGTTTCTAAGCCTCAACGGCCTCGCAGTGGGCTCGCCACTTGACTCACACGTAATCCATGAGAAACGAGATGCATTGCCGGTGGCATGGATCAAGCAATCGCGTGCACCAAAGGATACAGTTCTGCCTGTCAGGATTGGTTTGACACAACGTAATCTGGAGCACTCGGATCGATACCTCGACGACATCTCTGATCCAGACTCGCCAAACTTCGGTAAGACGCTCTGGCAATGACGTCCTGTCTCACGCTGATACATGACTCAGGTAAGCATTGGACAGCAGAACAGGTTGCGAATACATTTGCACCGCATCCACATGCCTCAAAGACCACCCTCGAGTGGCTCCAAAGCTCTGGCGTCGATCTGAAGAGAATCAAGCACTCAATCGGTCAGTATTGAAATGCAAATAATATTTCTTGTCGTTGTCTTACGTGTGCCAGGTCGCAACTGGGTCGAATTCTCAGCTACTGTGGAAGAGCTTGAGGCATTGCTGAACACTGAATACCATTACTACCAACACAAAGCGTCCGGTGGATTCCGCATTGCATGCGACCAGTACGGGCTTCCGCAAGGAGTTAGCAAGCATGTTGACTTCGTCATGCCTACTGTTCAGCTTGACGGCCTGCAGCCAGTGGCTCAGTCTAAGGCTGCAATTCAGGCCCCTGTCAACATCACCGGCCTTTTTGGTACCACCAACTGCTCGAGTCTGATCACCATCGATTGCTTGAGAGCTATTTACAACCTTCCTGTCGGCAAGTACAACCACACCGGTAATCAGCTTGGTATTGCAGAGTGGGCAGACTATCTCTACCTCCCGGATCTCAAGACTTTCTTCGAAAACTTTACGAACCCTAAGATCCCGTCTGATGTTGTACCGGAGTTCATATCGATCGATGGTGGGAAGCCTTCTAATCTTTCGCTGGCACAGGAGGAGAAGGTGGTCGAGAGTGCTTTGGACTTCCAGACTGCGTACTCTATCATTTGGCCACAGCAGGCGCGCCTGTATCAGAATGGTGACTCGGTCAATGTTGACTCTGTGGGAACTTTCAACATCTTCTTGGATGCATTGGTACGTAAAGTCAGTCTGATAGCGAGATTACAGACACTGATCTTCAAAGGATGCTTCATACTGCACTTATCAAGGTGGAGATCAGCCGTACGTTGATCCTGCCTACCCAGACCCAAATGATGCGCCAGGTGCCTACACCGGCCCTCTCCAATGTGGCGGCGCACCAGTCAGTAACGTGATTTCGGTCTCGTACGGCCAAATTGAAGGTGCCCTTCCTCAGTTCTACCAAGAGCGTCAGTGCCGCGAGTGGATGAAGCTGGCACTGCAAGGTGTCAGCGTGATCTTTGCGTCTGGAGACTCCGGCGTAGCCAACAGGTACAACTCTGGCTACAACAACAGTTGTATGAACTCAGAGTTCGGCTACGTTGATGAGAAGGGCACACGGTTCTCACCTTCTTTCCCTGCAAACTGTCCTTATGTATGTGCCGTCCAAGTTCTCTTGCTGCATCTTCGTGGTCATATACTGACTTCAACAGATCACTTCTGTCGGCGCTACGACACTCCTCAACTCCTCCATCTACGGTGGCGAGAAAGCTGTAGCTTCGCCCAACGGTCCGCTTTCCTACTACTCTGGAGGCGGTTTCTCCAGCGTCTTCCCACGTCCGGCTTGGCAGTCGAAGGCAGTCGAGAAGTACCTCAGCAAGTACGCACCCAAATACGGCGAGGCCGTGTTCAACTCCTCTGGTCGTGCGTACCCTGATGTCTCGGCTCTGGGTCTTAAGCTTGCGACCGTGTGGCTCAACAAGACCTATGGAATTGGTGGCACATCTGCATCCGCTCCTATCTTCGCTAGCATCATCAACTTGCTGAATGAGGAGAGACTCGAGAAGGGCAAAGGGCCGATTGGTTTCTTGAACCCCATCATCTACAAGCACCCTGAGATGTTCAACGACGTGACGGTTGGTGGAAACCCAGGTTGTGGCACTGAGGGCTTCCCAGCTAGTCCCGGCTGGGATCCTGTGACAGGTCACGGAACGCCTGATTACAACAAGATGAGGAAGGTGTTCTTGGACTTGAAGTAAATGTCGACAGTAGAAACTATCGATATCAGAGAGTTAAGTCGATAGGTTAGATGAAGTCTGTGCATCTTGGGCTCCCCGATGGTCGGATGAATTTTGCGCAAAGCAGCCTGTTGATGCAGCTCCATTTTTCACGCCTCCTTTCTCAAGCCCCTTCAAACTTTTGAGTGCTTCGTCTATAACCCAGTGAGAGTAGACGTATCCGTTTTCTGTCGAAGCACTCGTCGCATCGGGTAATTCCGACAGGGCTTTGATATTGCTGATCCGCTTGTACGACCACATCCCGTTGAGCTTGAACACGGGTGGTAGCTGAAGCGAAGAGGGTAAAGCGGTATACATAGTCCAGGAAAGATTAAGGTATCGAATTTGGTCCCTTCGATGCTGCAAAATGGCGCAGATGAAGGCTAGAAACGTCTCCACCTTCTCGTTGTGGAAGGAGAATATGGGCAGGCTGTAGAGGAGAGCGATTGTCTCCGAATAACTAGTCGGTCCGTTATTAATCTTGGTAACAGATGGCATGATAGCTAAGGCACTCACATCATGCGGCAAGAGCGCAGCATACCAAGGACGCCCATATTCCTCTCACCCTGAGATCCATCGGCTAACACTTTGAAGGCAATCGCTCTTCCTCTACCGCTACCCGTACTCCGCCATCGCACCGCTATCTCCGCATCAGTATCTCCGAGAATGACATATCCCCAGATCTCTGCCCGCAGCTCAGCAGGAAGCCTCATCAAGGGGCTTTGCCGCTGATCAAACGTGTGCTGCTGGCCGGCCCTACTAAACCACCTCGCCTTCCCTGACACCTCAGCTGTAGGTGGATCAAGCGGTAGAGTTAGCCTCCTCTTACGTTTCACGACCTTCGGTGGTGTCAGATCAGCAGTACTTTGCGAAGGTCGACTCGTAGGAGCGGGCTGGAGTATCCGAGCGGCCAAAGATACAGGTGCATTCGCAAGGTTGTCCATGGCTTGTAAAACGTTGTATATTGTACCTGCCATGATTTACGAGCGCTGTGGAGTATGTTGCAGGTCCGGAGCTGTGATCATGGAGGTTGGAAGTGCAGGAGCAGGACTGCGCTCGTATTGCTTACGCGTATGAGGTGTGGCTTAACCAATAAAGTCGCGCTTCTGATTACGGCCCCTGCTAACCTTAAGACAGCTATATCACGAGCGAGTAAGGTTGAGTCGCCATGAAAGATGACTGAGGAAGGGGTCGTGAGAGTCCCGTTGCGTGCTAGCGTCGAGTCGCCCCCGCTTTTTTCTTCACCCATGTTTCCTGCGCAGCATCCATCTTTTGAGCGATCATTGCTTCCCTTGATAGAAGCACAAAATTTTGAATTGCTTGAGGTGCAAGTGCAAGAAGTAGCAGAGAATGTCTGCCAGCCTTGTGCGGATCTGGCACCCAAAGGGGCAAAGTGTCAGCGCTAAAGAGAAGGTGGCTGGAAGGTGATCTTCACCCTGGATCCTAGTACGATCTTACTTTTCGGGGAAGTTTGAACATGGTGTTCTCGCCCTGGACCTCTGGTGCTCCGGTTACGATCATATCAACACCAGCTTTTCAAAGTGTTTACTATGACCGGCCCACGGGTGGACACGTGTGAGGGTTTTGATGAGGTCGCGCAAGCGCCCGACATCGAGACCGCAAACTTCACATATATACGCGGTGGTGCAACAGCCACCGAAAGAGCAGAGCGTGGTACTGCTACCTCCCATGTTGAACCATCGCCCATATCCAGACGAGAGACACTGGGTAAAACCACAATCATCTTCGAGACTCACGATGGCCACCGCTACGTGTTACCGTATCTCCCATGGGAGGTGGGTTTGCGAACGGAATCTTAATCCGACTTTACTGACTACTATGTAGACCACTAAGACACACATCGAAGATATATACAGGGTTCGACGGCGTGAGGCTCTAGCTGAAGCGATCAAGGAGGACAGATTCACCTTATCGACTGAAGGCGGCAATATTATTCTGCCTTCTTTATGGAATCAAGTCGTAGAACCAGCTGCAAGAGTGCAAATTACGCTACCTGTGGATGTTCTAAACTCGGATATCCCTGCATACGACTTCGACGACAGCGCAAGGGGACCTCCACCTCCTCCTCGCCCACGCAGCCCTCCAAGACCGCCTTCAACAAACAGTGAAGGAGATCGAACAGATAGCGATGACGCTAGCAGTGTTGAAGACTTGGAAAGTTCCAGCAGTGAAAGTGAGATAGCTGAGCTCCCTCCTGTCCGCCAGGTTATTACGCCAACGGACGAAGATGGCAATCTCCTTGTATTCAAAGCTACAACTAAGTACTTGAATCGAGGTGCAGCAAATGCCAATAACGCATCCAACAAGCGAGAATCCCAAATTCCTGTCAAAGACGCAGAATGCATCAGCATTGCGAAGGCGGTCTCTACTCAAGGCGATGGTCGAACTTCGTTACAGATATTTCTCCTGCCAGGCCCAAGAACTACTTCAACGCCTCTTGATGAAAGCATACGGTGGTTTCATCTACGCTCCGCACCTTTGGATTTTACCGGCTTCAAGGAGACTTGCCTCAGTATACCCGGGCTTTCCAAACGCCTCCAGGAGATGGTGAAGAAGACTTTCGACAGAGTTGAGAAAGAGAAGCTCAAGGCCTTCCTAGATGGCATGTTCATTGAGCCTGGCACAGTTTTAAGAGGCGACGAGAGCGATCAGAGCGATCCGGAAAGCGTCATCTTCAGCTGTCTTCCCTACTTTGACTTGCAGATACCAGCCAAGAAGGCGCCAAACGCCAACCAGGGCAACCGTTTCTCATCCCGGACACTAATGCAGTCATATTACCCTTACGAGCCCGTGCAAGACAGAGACGTAGAACAAGCGTATCGGAAGTTCGGCAACGAGCATCGCGATGCTCTCGTCCATGTACCAAACCTGTGGACGGTGAATATCGGTTCTAAAATAGTCGCTACTTGCAGCCATGAAGCATTAAGCCATGGCTTCGTCCAGTCCATCAAGCTCATCGCAATTGATGGTGATCGCGCAAAGAACGATAGCAGGAGCAGAAACATCAGATTGACAGATTGGAATGGTCGCAAGTTACTTTACACTGTGAAAGAATGCGCAACGTATATCCAGATGGAACAGAAACTTAGAGAGCTGCGATGGTGCTCAACAGGATCGAATCAAGACAGGAGTCTAAAGTTGACATGGCAGTTGCGAGACAGCCAGGTCAGAGTCACTCCGAGATTATGGGCCAGTATTCTTGGGCAAAAAGACAATATGTTCATTGAACTCAGCCTGGCGAACGACGTAGGGAACATACCTTTAGCTGGCGGGGCTAAGCAGCTTCTTTCACCAATTGCGATAGCCTTAAAGCCGTTCTTCCATTGGCCCCAAAAGCCAGAAACAGAGGACGTCGAGACAAATCTTGTGCTTTCTGATGAACTCAAGAGATCGATCCGGTGCCTGGAGCTCACCGAAAAAGCTATGACTTCGCAGGTACTCAGCAGCTACTATTCCGAGGCCACGGTCGAGGATACGTTCACCTCAATTGAATACTACCGCACTCTCCCTCAGGCGACCGCAGACCAGGTCAAGTCTGGTCTTCGAGCGCTTGAAGCTAGCAAAATTAAGTTGGAAAAGCCGAAGGAAAACAGAGTCGCATGTCACGAAGCTGTCGTTTTCCGCCAGCGTATTGAATTGGTACAGAAAACGTCTGAGCTTTGTAATTGTTTCGACAATACACTGGCACTGTTCGTTGCTGACGTCGACAAGAGCACGATGCTTCGAAAGTCCTGGGCTGCCATGCAGAACATCTGTGAAATGGCAACTACGATTCTTAGACGTGAGCCTCTAAGCTCCGATCCAGAAGAGCTGGCCGATAACGGGCGCACTCGATCGTCTACGACTCAACAGGCGTGGTTCGTCCGCTTGAGCCTCGGCGAAGAAGCGGAATCAGGGCCCCTTCAGAAGCTCACGCGCAGGTTTGAGAAATGCAGGCCTTGCACTACGTCCAAATCGTACAATGACTCGCAGACAGCAATGCGGCATGCACAGCGGCATTTCCGCCACCTGGAGCCTTCGGACTCATCTGTCTTGCCTCTCAAGGACTGTATCGTGACCCGCGATCAGAGAAGACTAGAGGTATTCAATGAAACTCACGTCGCTATCCTGACAAAAGCGTGCAAGAAAGCTCAGCGACTACTCACTGAAGCTAAGGAGCTCGCTCATGGCGTGCTCAATGAAGAAGGGCAGATGTCTGATCTATATACGTTCCCTTGTTCACTCCTCAACGCTCTCCGCCAGCAGCTCGTCTTCTACTTCGCAGTTGAGCGAGCTATGTTCTTCACTGAGAAAAGATTGAAGGATGGTATGGAAGAGGATGAGCTTGTATCCTACTCAGATGATGATCTACTTGCCATCGAGAAATTTGGCAACGGCGTGCAGCAAGCGCTTGCAGTAGCGCGTACTGAACTCTGTTCTATGGTCAAATCTACAAGGCCTCCAGATGTCTTTGAACGCCTGTCTCTCAGCCCAGAATATGTATGTGGCTGGTTCATGCGGAGACTGATTGTGAAACCTCTTTCAAGAAGCTTTGCAGTCAACGATGTACACAGAAAATATGGGTCAGCGATCTCGAGTATGAAACCTCCCGAAAGAAACCTGACAGTCAGCGACATGTACAGAGAATATCTATCAACAATTGTAAGTACACTGAGTCGGAAATCAATTTTCGCGCTGACAAAAGGCAGCAATTCCAAGTAAACCATCGTCCGGGCAAGCGATTACTCCGCTCGATCAACCTCCTTCAAGAGGAGATTGCAGCTCTTTTGGAAGTCAACACCCAGCAGAGCAGGCTCATCTCCAACTACATGAGTGTTCTGGATGACACAACGTTCGAAAAAGATATACCGAGTCGCAGAGCTATGTTTCCTCATGAGCGCATGTTGCTTCAGTCATGCCAGGACAATCTAAGAATGACGGACCAAGAGTATCGTTACATGCTCGCTCGGTGCGGCCCTCTGTCAGACAGCACCAAGCAAAGCCTCGAGATCAACGAAGAGGACCACGGCAAAGCTATCTTGGTGTTTACTGTAGTCACGGTCATCTTCCTCCCACTTTCATTCGTAACCTCGTTTCTCGGCATGAACACGACCGACATCAGGGACATGGGTAGCTCTTCCACGCTCTTCTGGGCAATCGCAATCCCACTCACAGCAGTGACCATGGGCTCTGTCATGTACATTGGCTACAACGGCGACGACCTGCGCGACGCATGCAGCTCTGTGTACCGCACTGTGACAGGGAAGCAAGACCGCAGCATCGGCGCGCGCGGTATCAGCGTCGCCCAACGCAACCTGGCACGCAGATCCGCGGCGGACTCGAAAGGCACACTGGACTTCAGTAGTCTTGCAGATGAAGCCGAGTTTGCCAACCCGCGGCCAGAGGACTACTATCGTAGTACATGGAGGGGTGCACCCCGACCTCCTCCTCCAGAGTACACCCTCGACCCACCGATGATGCGGTGGGAGCCGTATGCAAGCGCTCCAAACCGAGTGATTCCCAAGCCAGCGGGTACAGAAGGATCTTTGGATGACGAATGGTATCAATCCAAACCACTTGCGAGCGGTCGAAGGCACTACGACCACTGTGCCACTGAGATTTTACGTCCTGAACCTGACTACACTGAGACGCGCCAGAATATGGCTGGGTACCGTACAGCTCGCAGATATAGAAGGCCAGAGGTGCGGACGTATAACGAACCCATTGTCATCGAGTACGGGCAAAGAAGAGTACAGGACGATGACGAGTGGTACACAAGTCGCCCCAGGGCGCGAGTCACAGAACAGCACAACACGCCACCGCCACAATACGAATGGACGAGGCAAGGTCACAAACACCAACAAGACAGGCACAGGCGCAGACGCAGACGCAGAAGCCAGGATGAAATGGAAGTGGAGACCGCGTACTAAGACATGTCCTCAATTTATGCTACATCACACCCTTGCGTCTACTCTATTTGGAAGAGATAACATGCAATAGTTTCTGAGTTCTTGAGCCCATACCTGCCAACATCCAGGAAAGGAGGTGATGTAGTGACTTTGTGTGTACAGCTCATGCAACAATGCAAAAAATAATGTAGACCAGTTTATTAATTATTACTACCGCGAGGAATTTATGAAAGCACAATGCCGGAAAACTAGAACCCTCCCTAATGTGCTTTACGCGCTGCGTAATCGTGGTATCATCCAGATAAAAATCATTATCGTGTCCGTTTTTCTACACGCTAGACAACCATCGCAACACACCATGCTCGCAACGCGACTCTCTTAAGCGCGGCCCTGGAACACGGGGTTTTGGTCGCCGAACGTGGTGTTGTACTGGCCGTCACCCTGAACAGGGGCACTGGGGCCGGTGGTGGAGGCAACACCGCCACCGTGACCGTGGCCGGTAGCGCTGTCGAAAGCGTTGTCGACCTGGTTAGCGAACTGACCAGAAGTGGATGTGGGTTGAGTGGCTGAGTGGGAAGTATTGTAAAGTCCCTGACCAGTGCCTCCAAGCTGTTGCTGGTTCAAACCCGAGGGATATGCACCAGACTGTCCGCTAAGGCCAGAACTGGCGGGTCCGCCGCCAATTTGACCAGACTGGTGACCAAGACCTGAGCGGTCAGTCAATCCCTGACCAGCAGCAAACCCAGATCCGGTAGCAGCACCGTCATACTGGGAGTTGCCGAGGCCCGAACCAACACCGGTGCCAGTGGCAGACTGATAGCCTTCAGCGCGGCCGTGGGGCTTCCGGGTGATCTTCGCAACCTGAGGCAAGCTAGAAGTCTCGCGGGCAGAGCCAATTGAGAAGACGGGGCTTTCCCACTTGTCACCCTTCGCAGCCAGCTCCTTGTACTCGGTGGCCTTGGTTGAGATACCACCAGGGAGAGAAATGTTCTTGAAGATCGAGTCGTGCTGAGTGACAGCGACATTGACCTGAGTGTCCTTGGTCCTTTCCTTGAGCTGCTCCTTCTTCTGTTTGCCCTGCATAACACGGGCTTGGGCTGCAGAGGCGTAGCGCTGATACATGTTCGCAAGGTGCTGAGGATCGGGGTTGCGCTTGGCCTCGGCCTCGGCCCGATCGGCCTCCTTCTTAATATCGTAAAGCATGCCGTCGACCTGATTGACAGAGTCCTTGATCTGCTTCTCGAGGACCTTCTGAATGACAGGACGCATGACCTTCAACAACATAGGCTTGAACATGTTGAAGAGCAGCTTGTGGTTGCTCTTCTTGAGCTTGATGGACAAGTTCTGAATATCAGTCTCGACCTTGGTCACCTTGAAGAAGTGGGTCTGAGCGTGCTCGCGGGCCTTGTCAGCAGTCTCCAGCTCAACCTTGAAGCTGAAACCAGAGCCTCCCATGAAGATATCCATGACACCCTTGTCGGTGATGGAAGGGAAACCCTGCTTCTTCTTGATGTAGTAAGAGACATCGCGAAGATCCATCTGCACGCCGGAGACGGAAAGCATGACCTTGTTCTTGTTCTTGTTGGTGATTGACTTGCGTCCCCAACGCCAGTAGTTGTCAGAACCGAATTCCATGACATTGGGAGCAAGGTTGTCACTCTCAATCACCAGGTTCTCCACGATGACATCTACCTGAGGGTCGCTGACCTCGATGCGGGGAATAGGTACATACTGTACGCTCTCGAAGAGACCGGGTAGGATGACATCGGTCAGGTCCTTGACGAGGTGAGGCTTGAACGTGGTCTTGCCATTCTCATCGTTGCCAAGATCAAGGAACAGCTTGTTGACAGATTGAGCAAATTGCCTGTTCTGCTCGTCGGCATCGAACTGCTGTCCGATGAACTTGAACTCGTCGGCAATGCGGTCAGTGTGGCCACGGTAACGACCACGGAGGAGCTCGTGGCCCTGGTCATAGATCTGGTTCCACTCCTCGGTGGATCGGTCCTCCAGAATGTAACCCTGCTGCTGGAGGCACTTGTGAATGTACTGGTTCAAGTGCCTGAACCAAGCCTTGAGTTCTGGGTCTTGCTCAGCATCCTTGTAGATCTGGTTGATGGAGTCGAAGAGGTCGTCGGAGGATGTGCTGTTGGCGAAGCGCTCAAGAAGAGTCTTGATATTTGTTAGCCAATGCTTGTTTTCATTTTGGAAACCTAGAATACGCACCTTGATGTCAGCTTCGGCACGAGTTAGGGCATCGTCTTCTTGATGCGCACCTTGCACGGTTCCGGCACCCTGCTGGCCGAGCTTTTTGCCGTGGCCGGCATATTGCTCGGATAGCCTAAGGAGTGTCTCAATCGCACGCTGGTAATCCTGGTGGCCCTGAACTTCAACGATCATCTTCTTCAGACGCCAGATAGTCTGTTCGCGACGCTCCTGAGGCATCTTGCCCTTAAGGTAGTTGTTGAGTTGATCACGGCGCGCGCGTGCCTTATCCTTATCCTCTTCGGGGATCTGGGCAGCAATCTGCTGTTTGCCCTGCTCGAGCTGCTGCTTGCCCTGCTCGATTCCGGCCTGCGTATTGAGGCCTGTGCTGTTGCCAGTCTGCCCCTCGTGGGCACCGAGCTGAGCGGTGTCACGGGGATCACGAGAGCCGGCCGGGTGAGCAGCCTGGTTCACATCACCAGCGGCCTGCTTGACGTCCTGTTTGCCAATTGGAATCTGCTGCCTCAACGAGCTCTTGATCTTGTCCTTAGAGAACTCAGGGTTCTCGTGCCAGGTGTTCTCTTCGGCGGGTTGATCAATTTGACCGAGGGCATCCTCCGAAGGCCTCACCTTGTTGGCGGTGTTTTGGGCAGCATCACCAGCGATGTCGCGGAGGAGGGTGGAAGCGTCAGAAAGAAGCTTCCTGAATTGGCCGTTAGAGATCAAGAGGGTGCCCAGTGTTCGCAGACCTTCAAGAGCCTCATTGCCGTGCTGCTTAGCTGTGTCTTTGTCGACAGGAGCGCCAGGAAGTGCCTGGTTTCCGCCAGAAATCTGCTCGGCATTCCAGATAAAGTCCTGGAGAAGATTGCCCTCGTTCTTTGTAAGCAGCAAGATCTTGGCCTGCTCAATAACCTTCCTCAGGTCGCCAACAAGTTGCTGGCCTTCTGTTGAAAGCTTCTTGGATGGCGAACTGAGCGCTTTCGACGCAAGTGCCGAGTTCAGTGCAATATCGATCTGCTTGTTGGAAGGAACTTTGCCATTGGCAAATGCTGGTATTTCAGTCAGCGTGATAGTCCCGCACAAAACGTCTTTCAGTTAGGCTACGTACCCTGAGAAATCCCGTAGAGCTGGAGCTTGTTGTTCACATCAGCTTCCTTCTGCTTTACGTCAACCGGTCCTATAATGTGTTAGTATCTAGACTATATGTGCGTAGTAAGCACTCTCAAAAGCGTCCGGCGCGCTTTGGTCGTGCCCGCCTTCGCGGAAGTCCTGCAGATATACTCACTGTTGACCGCCTTTCCTGAAGACATGGTGTACTGCTTGCTGGGTATCAAAAGGGTATCAAATAAACAATTACGAGTGAATCAATGGGAGTGGTTGGTTGAGTAGCGCGGTTGTATGGGGTATCTGGTGTTGGTGTAATGGGAATGAGGCGAGAGAGGAGGAAAGCGCCTTTATTGTTTGGCGTGACACGAGTATCTTCTTTCCCATACGTCATCAGCCGTCACCTCTGTACCATAGCCAAGGCAAGTGCGATTGGCCTAGGCGCACCATCGATTCACGATCCAGCCGCGGGGCATCAAAGAGAGGAGAGCTGGCCCCACCTGGTTCGTTCAATTTCCTGAAAACGAACGTGAACAACCTGTCATGTTTTGTGGAGCTCATGGGTAAGCATCATGAGACACCGTGTAGAACTTTGAGGGATCCTGTACACACTCCAATCGCCCTAGAACATCACCAGAATTGCACAACGCACGCAAGACGTATGCATGGGCCAACAGGGCATCGCTCAATTCTCTCATAATGGGCCTACCATTTCCACTTTGTGCTGTGCGTGACCAACACGAGACACTCCAGGCTCGAAGAGTGCACGCACGACCCCTGGTCTGGATGGCGGGCGATCGGTGGCCGGGATGCTTGAAGATCCATGACGTGTTGCTCATTTCCATGTTTTCAGCCACAGATTCCATCACGTCTTGAAGAATGCCATTACGGTTCTGCAGGAGCGCACCAGCTCCGAGACTCCCGCCGTAAGCTACGATTATCGGAGAACGTCTTAAGTTGCAGCGTCATGATCGTACTTCAAAGAGGGATAAAGCGGAACTATGTTCCAAAGCCATGAAGGCAGCGCGCGAACTGTCTCCGTGGAGACGCGTGTCAGCCACACACCCGGACCGCCAAGCTTGTCTGCCCCACTTCTCGTGCCGCCGGCAGTAGTGTCCCGTAGCGCATCTTCGAATGACGTCTGTCTTGCGAATGGGGTAGTCCTTCACCACTACGGAACGCACCTCGATTGGCGAGCAATTGCCGCGTCGCTCACCACGTGTTCGAAACACGAACACATCACACCGCAGTGCTTTCCTGCTCCCCGCGACCTGGCAGTCTAGAAATCGTCAGGCTGCTGAGTCTGAATTACCAGCTATCCCTGCCCTCAGATCTTCCGCTCTTGGCGATCCTGTGGGCACCTGACGGGAGGCTGAGGGCCTTGGAAAGCAGTGTTGATCTACCGGCGCGCTATACCTATGGACCCGGACCTGGGGTTTTTCTGGAGACCACTATGCGACGGCTTCGACAACTCCAGATGCTCGGGACTGAAGTTACGGGCATTCTGTCTCATCTTCAGCCACAGGTACCTCTAGCTGCGCCACACTATCATGGTGAGCACACCTTTGTGTACGTCGTCTTCTTAGAGTCCTATGACAACACCTGAACGCTCGTCAACGATCGTCACCCTCCTGGACAACAATGGCTACGTACAGTATCATGGGGCCCCAAATGAAGGTAAGAACAATGGGGCATAGCTTTGGGTCTGAAATGGATGTACACAACCACGCTCAAAGCTTGGTTCTCTTACGTTAATGCTTGATGTTGCACTTGTACCTTCCCTCACAGCGAAGGGTCCCATCATGTTACTAATGACTCGAAACCGAATCCAACACACTCTTTTGCTGTCACTTCTGGAGGCTAGCTCGATCATCGGATATATTTGTGCTCAACATGTATACAAATGATCAGTCCAGTCATCTACATGCACAGTACCCGTGAATGATCTAAATCAAGTGATCAGTACGTCAGGCAACACAAGGGAGTGCACAATTCCTGATCCAACGCACAATACCAATCGTTGCACTTGAGGCCGGTACCGCAAGCAGACCTCTAAAACACAAAAGTCACAAATACAGGCATAACTAAAGTTGAGACTGTGCTTTCTTTGCAACGTAGCGGCTTTCTTGATACACAAACATTTGCTCTCACCAGCCATTCAACAATCAAAAGCACAACTCTGCAGAGCACACGCACAGCCGGCGCGTGCTGTAACCGATCCTAATATCGAAAATGAGTACATGCCATCGCTATGCCCGCATAAGACGAACAGACTCCGAGAACAGAAGATCTACGGAGTTCTTACTGCAACAAGCTCGCTTCCACACTAGGAAGAGGCATCTCGAACCAAAAACTTCCTCCAACTAGCCAACAAAGCCAGTGTTGGGGTCACGGAACGTGGCCTCGGACTTCGAAGGAGTTTTGGGCAACTACAAGACCACTATTAGCTTTCTCCATACCATAAGTCGTGTATTGCATGTCAGTGTCTCACCTTGATCCACACGCTGGGCATTCGTGAGCCTGGAGGATGGCGAGGCGCAGGAAGATGGGAACGGGTGGGTGGTGGTCAAGTAGAGAAAGGTCGCGATTGAGGCACATCAGTGTGAAATGCTAGAGAGAAGACAGATCATCGACACAAATGGAGAGCAGCGCAGCGGAGGCCATCGGAGTATTAAGACGTCTGAATGTTTGATTTAAGAGACCCAGGGTATCTTTCGTCTGCGCCTAGCTTCAATGGTGATTCGTACACTGTGTCGCGCCGCTTTCTCGAGAATTGACCCTCTTCTTGTCGTAGGCCCCTAGTCTTAACTCCTGATCGAGCTACGTGGCTTCTAACAAAGACTCGATGTTGATTGTGGTCGCATAGCGTGTTGTCTGTGACTATCCGTTGATCAATGCTCACTTCTTGCCCTTCTTCTTCTTCTTTCCACCCCCTGTCCCTGTTGCTGCTGATACCGGCGCACCGCCCATTTTGGTATCTCCTTGCTCATCAATATTCGGTGTTGCGACACCTGCGTCCTGCGGCGCGCTCAGATCCTCAGGGGCCTCCGGAAGCGCTGCCATTTCGCGCCCTAGCCTTCCTAAGTTACTGACCAGCCTCCCCACTTCCGCGCCCTTTGTTGTCGCATACTGCAAACATGTGCCTGACACAGGGTCGTATGTCTTCAGAACGAAGGTCGCCGTGGCTTCCTGGGTATTCGATTGCGGTGGGGGCGATGATGTCCGTGATGTGTCTGCGGGCTTAGCTGCTTGCTTGGCGGCGTACTTTTCGCGCTTCTTGATCTTCGAGGCTGAGGGTTTGAGGACCGTGTATTTGGATGTGATGCGTGTCTAGAAAGGATCAGCTCTCCTGATTCGCGTCAATGGCAATTCTATGCGTACACTTGTCGGCCTAGCTTTGAGTAGCAACGACGACTGCTCGTACCACTCGGTACTGGTATTGAGGTACGGCATGGTATAGTGTGGGGTGCTCTGGGGTTCGGCGCTGAGTTGTGGTGGGTAATTCGCGGCAACTTTTGGCGGGGTTCGCCGGGATGAACGTCGGCCCGTGGAGTTGTCTCCAAACTCAGAACTGTGAGGTACACGCGACACTCTTCGAGGCACCAGCAGAGTTCATTTTGTGTGTTCTAAGGCAAAAACGGAATCCAGTATTACTACTCTCCTCGAAGCAGGCAGCAGTGGGTCGGGGGCTGAAGAAGAACGTCATCGAACCTTCCATTTTGGTGTGACTCGAACAACTCAATGGCTCTTGCAAATAGGAATATTCCTTTTTCTTACAATATCGGACTTCCTTGAGCGGCAAGAGACTTGTTGCAGATTTTAGTTGGTTTCGTTCCTTCAATCTGACATACTGCGATCGACAATCGCTCATTACTTTGGCCATGACCGAGTCAATCTCATCAAGCCTCAGCCATCTGGACCTCGAGACAGATGCAACAAGCATAAGTAACTGCAGTGCGGGCAATGAAAATGGCAAAGATCTCGAGGCTACTGTTCAGGACCTCATCCATCGGTGCCAAACGTTATACGAGGAAGTGGAAACCTATGTCGAAGCTGTCATTGAGCGTCAGAAGATCACGAGGGTCCACCATCCAGTCGAATACCGGAATCTTCGCAACGATTTCAAGAACGAGCTCGCGTTCCTCAAGAAGATTGTGAACTCTGGTAAGACCGAGGAGAAGGTGCGCCACTTCATCGTTTCCTCGAATCTTACCTACTATGAGGCACTATGGAGCGCCGCGAAACGATCCATCGGCCTACAAGCTTTCCGGAAATACTATTTCTGGGATCGACTCAAAGCACCGGCCGGTAAACGCACACTCAAAGGCCTAAGCCTCGGGAAAGGAGGCATAGGGAAAGGGAAAACAGCAGCGCTGGTGGATATCGTTGCAGACGAAGGCAGGGAGTGGATTCGCGTATCGACTGTTTCAGAGAAAAGGATCATCTTTGACCTCGCGAAATTAGGCTGGGTCAATGACTCCGATTCAGACGAGGACATGCCAGACCCTCGCATAGACAACTGGGAGGACGACGATGATGAAGACCAGGTTGATGTTGTGAGAAACGCGCGAGAGCTCGCACGAGCTGCAAAAGCGAATCCGATACAGGGACGACCACCACAAGTACGCTTTGTGCTCACCCGCATTGTAGCTGGAAAGATGAAAGAAGTTGACGGCATCATTGCGAAAATCAGGGCGACTGGAGCGATCGTGCAGTGTGCTGAAGACATACCTCCGGCGCAACCTTTACAGGCCGTTTTGAACGATCTATTGGTGGACCGAACACGGGCACTGTCTGAGACGCTAAACATCGACTGCACCGTTCTTCTTGCTCTTATTTCTGACATATCTCACAAACCCTGCCCGATCCTGGATTGGTACCCTGTCGAAGTCAAAGCTCAAATCAAAGAAGAAGCTGGCGAGAATCTGTTGCCGACCCATCTATACCCTGCAATTGGCTCACACTCCATGGTATGCACCCAGGAAGCCGCCGACCAGATGAACCTCATCGTCGAGACGCTCGCCACCGATGCCGAAAAGCGGCGCGCACAACTCCTCATCGCGCAAGGCGACTGCGAAGGCCGTACAACCGAAGACCTCATAACAGAATGGGCGTCCATGTCCGATCATCCAGTCCCTGCTGGCTTGAAGCTGCCTATACGCGTCGTCCCGAGCAACATCGACAAAATCGCTGCCCAGCTGCCCGCTGCAGCGCGTAAAGTCCAGGGCGAGATGACCCGGCTGAATGCCGCAATTTTCTTCTACGGCTGGGCTGAGGGCCTCACGACGTTGAGCTCGAATCGCGCGCGAGCTCGCCAGATCGAGCACGCGATTAACCAGCACGGGCTTGAGGACGGCGAGGCCGGTCCGCATATATGGCTCTGCGGCGAGTCGAGAAGTCTGATTGCGAAACATGGCCGCAGAGCGCCGAGGTGAGTGAGCGACCTGCCGTAGACTCTGTACCAGACTGACATGACTGGGTCAGTTTGCATGTGGGAAGGCATTGAAGTGAACACGGCAAAAGGCAACGATCATCCAAAGGGATGGCCAACACAGCACAGCATTAGACGCAGTCTTACATCAATATTCTTTGCCTCATATCATCGCACCAATGTGCACCTCGCAGTAATCTCACGCGTCACGTAAAAAAAACAGGACCCACCACCAAACCCTTCCTCAACCTTGTCAACACGCACCACTCCCCACCACTATTATACTCTTTAATGCGCACTCATACCCACATGACAACAAAAAAGACGACGTTGGCAGGATTCGAACCTACGCTCCCGAAGGAACAAGATTTCTAGTCTTGCGCGATAACCACTCCGCCACAACGCCCGAAGGTTTGATATCCACGGTACAACTGCCCAGACTAGGAGGCGGCTGACTGCCCTCTGCCCGAATCGAACGAGCGATCTTATCATGTCCTGACCGAAGTCATACTAGTGATACGCTTTACCACTAAGCCAAGAGGGCGGATGCTGATTGGTTGATAGAATAAATCCACGGTGAAGGCAATATAAAGCAGGTTCACAAGCTGGCACAAGGGAGCAATTAGTACTGAGGTTGGCGATGGGGGCGTGGCGTGTGCGGAAAGCGGTCAGAAGATTTTTATTTAGCTCTGTATGTACTTCGTAGGGCTGACCCACTTCGCGAGTCTCCAACATTATCTCCGAGTCTCGTTCGCGGCGCGTGAATACTGGCGAGCATCTTTTACAATGCCAACCACGCGGCACCCGCGATGGCACCAATCAGCGCACCGACACTGTTCCGCGTCGCGGCGCCCTCGAACTGCGGTGGACTGCCTCCTCCAGTGGAGTTTCCGTTTGAGGCGTTGAAAGTGGCGCTGTACTCAGCGGACAGAGGAACGGGGCCCTGCAGCGTCTGCTGACCGTTTGCACCGAGGAGCGTGATGTTCTTGACTTGGAGGTCGGTCTGGTAGTCGAACGAGCCGGTCATGCTGAATTCGCCGTTGTCGTACTCGAAGGTAATCTCACTGACACCGGCTTGCTCAATGCTGTCTCCGTCATCCAGGTATAGCGAGCCACTTGCCTGACCAGTGCTGTTAGGCGCGATCCAGATGACAAAGTCCTGCTTGCGCAGCTCGGTAGTGGTGTTTGCGCTCTCTGCACGCAGAGGCAAAATAGCGCCACCGCGGATGTGAAGCGGGATGCTATCGAAACCCACATCTGAGATGTTGATCCAGCTTCCGGTGCCCTGAATCTGCTCGAGTGTCCACCAATCATAGAAGGTGCCGTTGGGCAGGTAGATGCTCACGGCAGTGCTGTTCTCCTCCAGTACAGGCGAGACAAGGATGTCATCGCCGTAGAAAAATTGGTGCTCAATAGTGAAGGTGTTGGCGTCTTCAGGGTAGTGGAACCACAGCGGGTTTAGCATGGGAAGACCGGTCTGAGTCTGGCGGTGGAAGGCTGTGTAGATGTAGTCAAGTAGCCTGTAGCGAATGTTGATCGCATTGCGGGCGGCAGCCTGTGTAAGAGGCCAGCGGTAGAACTCCTGAGAGATTGAAGTATCGCCTGCATGGTTACGCATGAAGGGGTAAAATGCACCGAGGGTGGCCCAGCGGGCACAGACTTATGAGTTGTCAGTATATCAAGAAGAACTGGAGAACAATGTGCTTACGGGTCTCGGTGGTATTGCCTGCAAACCCGCAGATATCGGTACCGACCATGGGCATTTGAAAGATAGAGGCAAAGTTCAAGACACCAGCAATGCTGAAGCGGTATTGCTCCCAAGTGCTGACATTGTCACCGAGCCACTTGCCCACATACTTGCCAAGACCAACAAACTGAATCACGTATTAGCAGTGGATTATTACAGGAACAACGATCTTACTGTAGAGCGAGTGATGAGGAACGGACGGCGCTCAGGGCGGCGTTGCAGCATGGACGCTCTCGAGGCAATAGACATGAGCGAACCCCAGAAGTTGTGCGTATCGTAGTGGTACGAGCCATCATAATTGCGAATATCAGTGTCCATGGTCTTGTTACTGATAGAACCAGCAGCGTTCATGATCTCGTATCCGGGGTTGATGAGATCGCGGCCGGGCAGACCGAGACGAGATGTAGTCCCGTTCGACTGGCGGGAAAGGAGCGAGCGCTTGGGCATTGACAGCTTCGTGTTGAACTCTCGAGATCGGAGTGCCCGCTTGGTAGCATTAGTGTTGGAACCCGGCTGCAAGCTGGCGGGAAAGCCAGGAATGACTCGGCCAGGGCCACCGGGACGGACTGGTGGAGGCTCAGGAGGGTTCTTGGACTCCACAGAGTAGGCCTCAGGGTCTGGGCAAGGATACGGGCAGAAGTTGGCAGGCTCGTTCATGTCGTTCCAGAGGCCGTCGATATCGACACCTGTAGCCGGATCGAAGAACTGCTCGAACTGGCTGTTCCAGTATTCTTGTGTATTGGGATGGAACCAATCAGGGAAGACAGTTGGGCCAGGCCAGACAGCACCGCGATACTCGCTGCCGTTTTCACGGACCTGCCACACGTTCTGCTGAACGCCTTCATTATACACGTCGTTGTCACCAGCCCACACAGCCGAGTTGACCATGACGATGTAGTGCTGTTGGCGCTCGTGGAGGTAGGAAACCACGTCTCGGACTAGCTCCAACGGATACCTTTCCGGGTCCAAAGTGAACAAGCGCCTCAGCTCCATGTAGTCAATGTCAGTCCACATGACTTCCAATGGGATATTAGCTTGTGTGTAGTTGGCCACGACCTCCGCAACTTCCCAAATATCGCGGTATCCATACTTGCATTGGTGGAAACCAAAACCCCAGTAGGGCATCATGGCCGCAGATCCAGACAATGCAGAGTACTGAACGGCGACCTCCTTAGGCGAGGGACCGGACAGAAAATACATATCAATGATACCACCAAGAGTGTTGTACTCGAGAAATTGGCCGTCGGTGTCGTCAATCTTGATGTCCATGCCCTGAGAGCTAGCAAGGAAGACGCCGTGTGTGCCGTTTTCTCCACGGTGGTCAAAGTAAATGGGGTGAGCTCCATACAGGTTGGATCCTCTGGGAGTACCGTAAGCATCACGGTTCCACAGCTGTTGAAGTCAGTGTGCCATACTTTTGCAGTATGTGAAAATTGACTTACAGTGCGAGTGTAGTTGGTAGTGTTCAGGTGGAAATCATCCGTAGACTCTCCCAGCCCATACAGGTTCGGAGAATCAGGCAAGCTCGTTCTGAGACGGAGAAACTGCGACTCGAAAACCAAGCTCGCCGCCGACGTATCGAACAACGTCTCGTTAGTCTCCCTGCGCGAAATGGAAAACGAGAACGGGCTCTCTGTATGTGAGAATACCAACGCCGAGGTTTCAGGATCAAATCCATCATCGCCCTGGGGTCGCGGCCAGACGGAGTCCTGGATCTGGAAAACCTGCTCTGCAGCGTCGTAGATCTTGACGTGGATGCGATTCACTGGGAGCAGTCAGTAATTTGAGAGAGGAGGGTGTTAACAAACGACGAACCAGTCTGGTAATCCACCTCCAACTTCAACTCCGTCAAATCATCACCGTAGACATTGCACGCCGTGCCGGCAAGCGCAAGATCAGCCGTGACTCTACCGCCGTCATCTTGAACGTTACTCGCTGTGTATCCTGGACAGCTATCCAGCGAAGCACTCTGCCTCTTGGCCAACGAAGTAGCCAATGTAGGCAGGGCCGACGCAAGAAGAACAAAACCTTTGCCGATCATATTGACTTTCCTCGCAAGGGCGTGAAGTGATCCTCACGAACAGCGACCGGGGATGGCTTTATACCACAGATTGGAGCAGCAGTATGATGCGGACCGACATAACCTACCCACAACAGCACGGGCGCTCTTTCCCCAAGTACCAAGGCGTTAGAAGCTCTATACTCGGCACTAAGCCTTGCTCCCCGCAATGGGTCGTCATGGTCGCCGGAAGTCAAGGCCTTGGCACCGCGCCGCTACGCATATCAATCAGGTTCCACGGCGGGGTTGACATGCACAATGGGAGGTTGGTGACCCCGGAGCAAGACCCGTTTGGAGCCCATGTGGCCCGTTTGTCATCGATATGTAAAGACAGGACGCGGACTGCTCAGAGCTGGGGAACAAAGGTGGAGTAAACAGGTTCGACGTCCAGATGCGGATGCGTAGCAGGCTTCCGGGACGGGTGGCGATTGGCTCCATCTCGGGCCGTGAGCGGCGCTCATTCGCGGTCCGACATGTGTCGCTTAGCAACGTTTGACGGTTCGGATTTTAAGCAGTAGTCTAGCATGAGCGGAGAGAAAGTCATCATGCCATGCTTCTGTTAGATTTGGGTGGACTGAAGGACAGGCTCTGATGGGACGCGTGACAGAATGCTGGCCGGCTGGGGTGGATGCTACCTGCCTTCTTGAGCATTGAGTGAGGAACGTCGCGGATGCAGTATATTACTATTCTTTGCGCGTCTTGTGATGTGACATTGACATGATTGTTACATTGTTGTACATATCCTACGCTGTCTAGGACCTTTTTTCTACCTTCATCTACTTCTTCCCCACACCGCCACCCTTCTCCATAGCCTGTTTGCGCTTCATCGCCAGCATCTTCTTCATGATCCGATCCTCCCGCTCCTGATCGTACCCCGGTGCACCGCCGGCTAGTCACGCTTGCCTCTGCTGCTTCTGTATCCTGCTCCTCTGCTTGACCATGTGCGTGAACAGGACATACGAGCCCGGAACGTAAATAGCCAGGATAGCCCACAGGGCATATGGAATACGCTCATCAACCAACTTCGCTGCCGGGATAGCCTTGTACACGAGCCAGCACTCGCTCGAGATGCCGAGCGGATACAGGATCATGAAGGTGTTGTAGCGCAGAAACGAGAGTAGTGGGGGCACGCCGAGTCCACTGAGGGTGAAGACGAAGTAGCTGTACCGCACAACCTCAGTGAAGGACCAGGCGAGCAGCATCGTGCTGTAGGCGGGAGAGTGCTGCGTGGTTGCGGGGAAGTTGTATGCGATGCCCCAGACGAGGAGAAAGCGGGATGCGACCTGCATCAGCGTTGTGAGGAGGGGTGCGCGGACGATGCCTTGACGGTGTCAGTTGCTGAAGGAAGGCGGGTAGCCTTCAAGATTGCCCTTCTTGTTGCACTAGTTCAACTTACCGACCAAGCTGTGAAGCACCTCCAGACCCGCAAGACTCTGCACCAGTCTCGTGTACTCTTCCAGCTCTCCGAAAACTTTCCCACTCGCCAGCCCCGCAGCAGCGCTCTGCACATCATTTCGTCCAAAGAAGGCGCCAGCTTTACGCGCGCTCTGTACCTCATGCGCACTGATGGTCACAGTCTTGTAGAGCACACCGGCCCACAGTGCAGCAGACACGGCATTGTAGGCGAGCAAGTATGTGTTTTTGACCGGGGAGGACGCGGGGCGAGGCTTGGAGGGGCGTTGGTCCCTTGTAGTAGCTGGAGCAGCTTGCTTGGGCGGCATTTTCAGTGATGATCGAAAATTAGGGGATTCGAAGGTGTTCGTGTTGTGTTTGTTGATGCGGTTGTGATGCCTGCAAGTTTGGGGACAGATTTGTTGACGGCCGAGGCTGTTCCTGAACTAGGGTCTAACGACGGATAAGTGTGTATGTATAACGCCGTTAAATCCGCGATCGGGGTTCCGTCGATTGATGAGGTCACAGGTTTGATGAGTCGCCATGCACTCAATGTGCGACTGTAATTCAACGGTAGTCACATATCAGGCTAGTTGATGGGATGGACCCGTGTCCTTCTGTTGGCAGAGCCCTGTTGCTTGTGGCGAAGAGCAGGAGCGAGTCAAATCCTGGTATATACACATATATATCTATCAAGATCATTACTATTCACCCTATGGGCATACCCGACCCTGCACCGTACCAAGAGAACAAAGAAAGATTCGCAAACGCCTTGCTGATGCCGTGATGCCTAGGTCAAGCTAGGAGACGGCTGGCTTAACACCATATTATGCAAAATGCAACAAGCCCCAAGCCCAAGTGGTATATATAAGCGATAGGAGAGTCGTTAGAGTGAGGAAATTGAAAGAATAGTTTGCATGTTACAGCATAAAAAGCTGAAACATGGACTTGGAGCTTGCGACCCTCTTGCCGCAGCCTTCGACGACACACTCCTTGAACGGCCTGGTCTTTGGTCCGCCCTCTTTCTCTTTTCCTTTTGCAGAGCGCTTGACTGATCGGTTTGCTGTGCATTCGCCGCAGTAGATCTGTTTGACTGAGTTAGCTTGTTGTCTATTGAGCCGTATTTCATAGCTTACATGACCACATTGCTTAGCAATCCACACCTGCTTCTTAATATCGTCGTCGCCCTTGCACAACTCGCTATCGCAGTTTGGACAGACAAGAACATCATTTTCTTCTGGACTTCTTGTGAAACCTTGTGGTGCTGGAGGTGGCGCGTCATACGTCTGCGGTGGTGGCTCCGGTCGGTTACCATCATAGCCCAGGTCGAAACCCACGACTCCAAAGTTCAGAGTCGGTGCGACAAAGAGTTCAGGGCGTCCCCCTGCGATTCCCATCCTTAGTTGAATGTGATTTCCAGCTCGATTTCGTGGCGGAGGCTGCGGGCCGCCTTGACGCATGTGGTCGGCCAAATGCTGGATGTGGGCGTTGGTACGGTCAATCTCTCCTCGAAGGTGCGCAAAGCTATATCGGTCGTTTCTGTGCGCTCCGATTACCGCCATGACTCGGTTCAATTCTGCGTCTTGTGCAGCACGCTGTCGGATCCGTCTCTCGTCGTTTGTCAGAGGTCGCTCCTGCACAAACTGCACGTCGTCTCCATCCGAGTCGTTATGGCGGCTCGACGGGTCAAGACGACGTGCGGACACAAACTGGATGTCCGGCGAAGACGGCTCGAGAGCGGCGGGTTCGTCTAGTTCCCATGCTTCGTCGCCGTTGTCCAGATTGATGATGCCGGCCATGCCCCGTGGCAGACGGGCAGCGTCGTTGTGCGGCGGGTGACCTGCATGTCCCGGCTGCGATCGCGGTCGGTCGTGATTGTGCATTGGTCGGTTGTTCTGTGGCTGCCAGTTGGGAAAGGGAGCGTCGTCCTCAGTCAAGTCGACAACGTCTTCCGACCCGTACCCCTCCTCCCGCACCTGACGGTTGTATGCCGCAATGTCGTCTCCATCCTCGTCCTCGCCGACCAGCTCGTCGTCCTCGCCATCGCTTATCTCGACCAGATGTCGGTCCTCGGCTGCGTTGTGTCCGTCTGCTCTCGGCTGCCAGCCCGCGGGTCTCCTCATATCGAACCCGTCGCCCTCGAAGCGCGGAAGCTGTGCATACTCCATGTTCTGGGCGATGTGTGCCGTATAGAAAGGGCGCCCTCGTGCACCTTGGTCTGCGGGGCCAGCTGAGGCCTGACGGTCGTCTGCTGGCGTTGGTCGTTCTCGTGAGGCTGAGAAGCGTGCTCGCACCGCATCGGCGTCAGGCGTGCGAGCGGGCTGCCCTGCAGCAGCGTAGTGGTTCGGTTGCGAGGCGGACCCGCGGCGGCTTGCGCTGTGAGAGGGTTCCTGCGGGCGCGGTACCGAGTGCTCGCGGGGAACACCAAGGCTGGTAAAGGGCGTAAGGTTTTCAAAGCTCCAGGCGGGCCCTGCGTTGCCCTCCATCGTGTCATGCGAGCGCTGCACGTCTTCGTTAGCTCACATCCGCTGCTTGCGTTGCCGCCCGCTCCACTTTGTCACACACCTTCTGTCTGTGCGTATACCCAAAGGGCAGATGGTTATCCATGACCTATGACGCCGGCAAGCGACCAGAGTTAAAGTTACGTTGTGTCGCGGCGCTGGCAGCAGAGGTGCGTCGTTGGACGTGCCGAGCCTGAGAGCGCCTGGTGGTGAAGTGAGTGGCAGGTGCCGTGTGATTGACGTCTGGAGGTTGCGCCGCTTCGGTAAACGCCACTTCACGGTCACCACCGTCTTCAACGCTGCGTCCGCTATGAGGCCCTCACGGAGTTGGCGCCCAAGGCTTTGCTTTGCTTTTTTGCCTCCTTGTCACTCTCACCGCATGTGTTTGCTAGGGAGGTCATCGTGATTTTGCCCACGCCTAATAGGGCAGGATAATTATTCCAGGGATGTGCTGCCCGACTATACTCAGAAGGGTCACTGTGTTACATTGCTCCAAGCGCCTCAGCACCCGTCGTAGCCTATCTGAAATGATATGCCAAACATGCAAATCATCTTGCGCTTTTCGGCATCTATGCCATCCAAGACCAATCTTACATCGTCCCCTACACTCAATACCTCTCCAAACGCCGCGCTTGGCTCTCGGCCGACCTCCGCTTGCGAGCTGCATGATGGAATATCCCCTTATCGCTCCCATTGATGTCGTGCTCATGCTGAGCCCAAGATGCTCAACCCACCCTCGGACGTCAGGGCAATCAAGCTGCCAGCATTTGCACCCCAAGCAACGTCCTTGGCGGCAACCGCCTTCCGTACTGGCTCAGACCAGCTCTTTGACGCTTTGGTATATTGCTGCACCGAGATGCTGCCCGAGCCGGCGGTTGCAAGAAATTGGCCGGTGTAATCCCACTTGACGTTCTCAACCGGGCTACCAGCCTCAAGAACCTTGAGAACGCTCTGTTTCCTGATGTCCCAGATAGAGACCTGACTCGATCCCTTCTGAGCGACCGCGAACCAAGTGCCATTCTCCGAGAAGGAGATGGCAGCGACAGGTGCGCCGGTGTCAAGCGTCAGCATGGAAGCGCCAGTCTTGACGTCGAAGATGCGGATCTTGCCGTCTGAGCTACCGACGAAGAAGAGAAGACCATCCACGTGGAAGGTACATGCTGTGATGTCGGCTTCAGTGTAGATCTGAGAGACAGTCTGGAAAGTCGAGAGATCGTAGTATGCGACACGCTTGTCTGCACTCCCCGAAGCCAGAATAGACCCACTAGGGTGCAGAGACAGCGATGTGACGGGGCCAGCGTGCGAGCCCATTTGCGCAATCTCCTTGCCATCTTCGAAGATCTTCACTGTGCCGGCAGCAGTCGCGACGACCGCGCGGGAACCCCACCAGGCGGTGGCAGTGACGGGGCTGTCAGCGTTGAGCACCTGAACCACCTTCTGCTGCGATGTCGAGTAGACACCTGCAACGCCATCTGCGCCGCCGAACAGTGCCAAATCGCCCGACTCGTCGACTACGACGGCGCTGCTTCCGGGGTAGAGAGGCTCGCTCGAGGAGGTGACGTCGAATGCGGAGACGTCCTCGCCAGTAGCCCAGCCTTCGGGCACGGGTCGCTTTCGGCGCGTGGCAAAGAGTCTGTTTCACGTTAGCAGTCTTCCTCCATGTTCAATGGGGAGCACGCACTGTTGCTGTGTCTCATCAATCTTGGCGACGAGCGCCTCGGGCAGCGCCTGGCCGTCGACCTGCATGGCGTCGCCGTTGCTGCCACCTCCACTGATGGTGACGTTCGAGAGCGCTTCCCGTGCCTCGTCTCTCTCGCGCGTCAATCGCGCGACTACGCGTGTTGCCGCATCGTTCTGGTATAGCGCGGTGCTGAGCTCCTGTCGTGTCTGCGCCAGTTGCTGCTTGAGTGTGTGTGTTTCGAGCACAATGGCGTCCCACTCGTTCTGGAAAGCGCTAAGAAGCGCGGGGATCGATGTGAGATTCGGCGGGCGGGGGTTGACGACTTGCGGCGACTTGAGCTCGATAAGATCCTCGACTGCGAGGTCTTCGCCCGTGACGGGGTCGGTGTGGTGTTCGGCGATGTGTGCCTCGATCAGGCGCTTTTCGAAGACATTGCCACTCTTTCGCGACGCGACAGGCTCCCGTGGAGCTTCTCCAGATATGGCGCAGAGCATTGTGACGGGTGGGGTTGTTGTCGCTATCAGTGATGCTCTGAGCCTTGGAGTCGTCGCGAATTCTTAGCAGAAACACGCTAGACGGATGAGGCAAGGCGTTTTCTCCGCAGTGAGATCACTCCAACTTGTATGCGCTCGATGGTCAAAGACAATTGTATTCATAAGCTGCTACTATAGCTCCCATTCCTTCTCCGGACCCTTCTGACTGTTTTTCTCTCCAACATCGAGCGCTACGAGAAACCTGCTCACGCAGTTGTACGCCGCCACCGTTGCCGTGACCTCGACGACTTCTTGCTCGCTAAAATGCTCCTTCAGTGTTGCAAATACTTCGTCAGGTACACTAATATCTAGTGTCATGGCATCTGTGTACGAGAGAACTGCTGCGTGTTTCGCGTCCTGGATTCCATCGTTGACCTGACGAGGAGGGGACTGTAGAACAGCATCCACGTGTTCCGAGGAAACGTTGTCAGCTGCCCGCAGAATTGGGCTGTGAGACTCCCATTCGTACCATGCTTTGTTTAGTACGGCAACACGAGCGATAGCTGTTTCGCGGATCGAGGTCGGCAGGGAGGTCTTGGTCCGAATGGCTCCCAGAAAGGAGTTCCTGGACACAAGTTAAGAACATCTCTTGATACTGATGATGTAAGCACCTACCATCCATCTGCAACCGGAGGAGCGTGAAGCAGTGTCCGATCCAACGCAATCAACCCCTTGGGCCCACGGCGTTCTTTAATTCGTTCGAGGACAGCCTTGTCGGCTTCTTCAGTAAACTCGGGAGGGTCAGGGATGTACGGCAGACGCATGGTGATGATACACAGGGTTTAGGAGTCTTCCAGAAAGCGACTCGAGGGCTGTTGATGATGAGACCGTTCTTAAGCATTCCGCCATCGGACTAACCCGCCATCGGACTATCCCGCCGTTGGCGTTGTCAAAGGCCGTTCACGAGCAGCTGCACCCCACACTTGCGGTTCAACCAATCACCGCACCTCGCTAAACCCTTCACCCCAAAGTGTCGAATCTTCACTGCGGCATTCTCTCCGCCTAGCCCTTCAAACATCAAGCGAAATGCCTGCGCCACAGAAATCCAGAGTTACTGGTATCAGAAATGCCAAGGGCAAGCCCTCGAGATCGAAGGTCGCGAAAGAGCAGCAGCCCAAAGTCGTTGAAGAAAAGAGCCTGGAAACGCGGATCCCGCCAGAGACACAGCAGCTCATTTTGAACATCTTCAGGAATTCGTTCAAAGAAATATTGGAAAGCGATATCCAGCCATTACTACAGGAAGTCAAAGGTCATCTGTTTGATCGCAACTTTAGCGAGGCCTTTGGGAGAGAAGATTATCTTGAGGCGTACGCTGCACGATGGAGTTCAAGTCGAGCATTGGGGTATCTGGGAGTGCTGTGGCGCATGAGAGAGTCACTAGACCTAGTTCAGACCACAAAGGAAGACGATGAAGTCGGAGAGGCTTCGCAAAAGAGCTGGAAAGTGATATGTCTTGGGGGCGGCGCAGGTGCAGAGATTGGCACGCTCGGCGCTCTCCACAGGCTACTGTCAGATGAGCAAGAGGAACGCGGAGAAGGGCAGCCGAAAAACTTCGAAGTAGTTGCTATCGATAGTGCAGCCTGGGGCAATGTTGTCGACCAGCTTGCGACGCAGATTACGATCCCACCCCCGCTGTCGAAGTATGCATCCGCTGCTGTCCAAGCTGCAAACCGCCCGCTTGCCGACCCGTCTGCATTCAAAACAGCCTTCCACCAGCACGATGTTCTGAAGATGGATACCAAGACCCTCTCCGCTGCTCTCGACGGCGCGAACCTAGTCACCTTGATGTTCACATTGAACGAGCTTTATTCGGCCTCCATATCCCTGACCCAGCAATTCCTTCTGCGGATGACCGAGACTCTTGCCCCTGGAGCTATGTTGCTTGTTGTTGATAGTCCCGGGAGCTACTCAACTGTCAGTCTCAATGGCGCTGATAAGAACTACCCAATGCAATGGCTGCTAGACCATACATTGTTAGCAGATACCTCGGGTGGGAAAGCGAAAGAGGAGGTCAGACTATGGGAGAAGGTCCAGGAAGACGATAGCCGGTGGTTCAGGCTGGATGACCGATTGGAGTACCCGATCGAGTTGGAGAATATGCGGATGCAATTGCATCTGTACCGCCGACTTTGATTCGCCAAGTCATTAGAAATCCTGCGTTCGAGGCCACTGCGCATTGGGTATAGAGTCAACGTGTTACAAGCTGTGGTTCTCAGTCGTATAATCTGGGGGACACCCATCGTCCAGGATGGCTAGTGGTGGCCCTCCAAGGGATAGGACAGCACACGGGTGGTAGACCCGTCCTTTGATCTACAAAGAAGCGGTCAACTCAGCGACGATGGAGTGTCGCCAGTCTCGCTTGGCTTTGAACAAGAGTTTGGTTCGGTCAGGTCCGGTCCAACGACGGTCCCGCGACACCTCAGAGCCTCAGGGACCACGAGAAACCTCAGGAAGGCTCTCCTGCTATTGGGCAACTCTGTGACGTTCCAGAAAAATAGTTGTTCTCACCATGCGAGCGTGGCGGGAGACAAAGCCTGTTCAGCGTCCTGATTGGCCGCCCACAAACGCCCACAACTTTAGCGGCAACCACTCTCTGTGCGACATCAGAGATTCACGACTACGCTAAGGGATGTCAGGTCTCCCTTTGCAAAGGGTCGGGGCTGTAATAGGAAAGTGGGATGGTGATATGGTTCGAAGTGTTCTTAAGACAAAGCATTGTTTACCCCTCATCGTTCACGCTACTTCTCCACCACACATCCTCGTCTTACTTTCTGCATTCGAGCATTTGCTGCATCACTTATTTTCGCAAGCTTCGCATTTTCGAAGCATTACTGTCATTTCTGTCGTCAAGCTCCCCACGCTCTTTTGGGAGTCAGCTATCATCTCTTCGCTCGTACACCACGATACAACCCAAAAACAAAACATATCTGAAGGCCTTCAACAAAGCATATACAAAATGTTTGCAGCACCAACTGTGCCTGATGCCCCAGCGGCAGTACCCAGCTCCCCCAGTGGCGACGGCTGGAGTCCTCTCGCAATCATCGGCATCGTCGCCGCTATCATGGTACTCCTCCTCTGCGTTCCCTTAATCGCAATTCTGTTAAGGCGATATGAGCGCAAACGATGCAAAGAATTGGTGAAAGACTCCGGAAGTCGAGGAAGTTCACGAGGAAGTGACGGGCTTAGTCGCCTTGAGGAGGGACAGAGCCTGAGGAGCATCCTTGTGACGAGAGAGCTTCAGAGGGTCAGCTTGAAGCTGAGTAAACCGGAGGAAGCACATGTACAGGGCAGAGGATGGAGTGATACGGAGGTACGAGGAGGTAGATGGCGCGTGTGAGCGCTATGCTTTGCCGACGCGAGAAGGACAGGATACAAATGCAGAGCCTATTGACTAGGCCGGGATGGGTAATACGATTAATGCGGACATGAACGATAGCGATTTCGATCGATGAAATTACTCAATAGATATTCGCCGTCGCGGCACTTCTACCGTTATGTGCTCTCTCCGTTCATCACTTTCCTCACCACCTCCATACAGCACGGATCCATGACCCTGCGCTCCTCCATCTCGCGCTCCTCACAAACCCATCTCACAACACTCTCGTTGTCTCCACCCCCACCCCCTACCACATTCCGCCACACACCCTCCGCCCTTTGTCCCGCCATGAGCGCCTCTTTACAACCCTCATCCTCCAAACACCCCACGATGAGCTTCATCTTTGTCTCCTCACTCACCTCCCCCTCACCAACCCATTCTTCACCCGGCAGCACACCATACTCCTCGTCCAGGCCCCTCTCGGAGAGGTTCACACACACCTCCGTGAGCCTGCTCCGCCCACGGAGCTTCCTCTTCTCCCTCATCCTTGCCTCCGAGCGCCACGTGCCGGGACTCTCGCGCGGCCGGGCCAGGACCGCGCCTTCGGCGTCGAGCACGCCGAGACTACGCAGCTGTGCGTCTGTGGGCAGTCTGCGGAGCTTTTCTGCGCGCCAGTCGTGGCTGGTCAGGTATCGCTGCAGTTTGAGGCGGGAGGTGCAGAGGCGGCGTTCTGCGCGTTGTGATGGTTTTGAGATGTGCTGCTGGTGGGAGAGGACCCCGGTCGAGGGTTGGGAGGTGACCTTTGCCGTCTTGGATTTGCGGCTGCTGCGGCGATGGGAGGCGCGCTCGCTGGAGGAGGCGCTGCGGCTGATGGCGATGTGGGAGAAGGCCAGGCGGGTGGTCGGGGAGTATCGTCCGTGAGACATTGTGGTCTGTAGTAACGAAGAAGCTGATGACGGATAGGACTGTTGTAACAAAGTGCAGTGCTGTGAGCGATCTGAAGATAGGCAAGATCCACGAGGCAATGGCGATGTATAAGTGAACAATCAAGTGCTATTGTTGATGCCAAAGAAGCGAACAATAGGGTGTCCTTGGAAGAGAATCGAAGACGATGCCGTATTGTTGTGGAGAAAGGTTAAGCAGGTGAAAGTGAAGGCCGGCACTTGAGACAGCAAAGACGCCGCACTGACATTGATCTTCAGCACGACTGTTCAATAACTATGTCATCTAGCATAACACTCGCCGATTGCAAATTGGATCTAGGCGTCTAAGCCATCCCTTTCCACCAATCTTCGCACAACCTCCACAACGTCCTTCTCTCTCTGACCCATGGCCTGACCAGGCTCCTTCACCATCTTTTGGAGAACCTGATCCAACATGCCCCTCAATCTTGAAATCAGCACACCGATCCTTGCCCATCCTCTCAGCCTTATCCACTCGTCGACTACCAATCCTCTGCCCAGCGTGTCGACCTGAATCTGTCCAGCAAACATGAGCAGACTGTATGCATTGAACGGCGTAATGTCTCTGATGAAGACCTTGCTAGTCGCCATCTTGTTGAAATAAGCCACGAAGCTAGCATTCGAAGGGAAGGTCTGGCTCGAGAAGAGTGTAGAGCTGGGGTGAACAAAAATGCGACCATTGTCTTGGTTGAAATACTTGATCTCCCTCGCCTCGGGATCTAGTTCAACGGCACCAGCGATACCGGCGGCGAACTTCTTGTCTGGGAGTTGAATACGTGCGATCTGTGGGTTGAAGGAACCGGCCACAAGGGCGCGCAGGAGGGCGTCATTGCCATTTTGGGCATTGTACGCGCCTTGCGTTGACGGGTTGTTCGATGCATAGTTGTATGGTATGAAAGAGATCTCTTTGAGGGAGGAGAGGTACTGGGAGCGGTTGGACTGTATGTCAAACATAGTCTGAAGGTTGAGCTTGTTGTCCTGACACCAGAATTTTAGATCACGGGTTGAGACGCCCTTACTACGGAACGCAGCCCATTGTTCGTATGCGCGAAGGTCGACAAGGAGGTCGCCTTGGTTGGCTGAGAATGAGGCGCGGAGACGATCGAATTCGTTCCTAGTATCTTGATCTCTTTCGCGGGGTGACATGAAAGGACTGCGAGCAGTCAATACCGACGCAATGGTGAGAGCGGCTTCAAGGCAGCCGAACGTTGCACCATAAACGAGAAGCTTGCTCAGACGTAGGTCAGCAGGAATCATAGACATATGACGACCAAGCGCGGTGAGCTCGTTGTCGGTAATGGCGCCCATCTGCGAAAGCAGTTTGACCGCACCTTCCACTGCGGTACTTTCGGGTGGCGTGAGGGCTGAGGCGAGGAAACCGGAGACGTCTTGTACACCCATAGCCTTGATAGACAGGCACATCTGCTCTAAAGGAACACGCCTGATTTCGGGTTCAGGTCGTTCCAGCATCTTAGCCTCAGCGTTGCGTGTGTATAGTTTGTAGCAGTCGCCGGCTCGTACACGACCTGCACGGCCACGACGTTGCTTGCATGCGGCTCTTGATGCCCACGTCTCAGCAAGTCGGACCATGTTGTTTTGTGGATCATAGCTCGTCTCTTTGACACGGCCAGTGTCGATGACCGCGACGATATCCTCGATCGTGATCGAAGTCTCTGCCACGTTGGTTGCTGCAATGACCTTTCTCTTGCCAGCTGGAGGCAGGGGAAAGACGCGTTTCTGGTCAGCAGGCAGAAGCGAAGCATGCAATGGTAAGGCATAAAGATTCGAAAAATTGCTCAAGGCTTGTATCGTTCGATCGATTTCCATGGTACCAGGCAAAAAGATGAGAATGCCGCCATCCTTATCTCCAAGTTGGTGATCGATGTATGCAACAGTTTCGGCGATGAGATCGTAGTTGATGCCAAACCCGATGCTTCGAAGGTTTGCGGAAAAAGACTTCTCCTGTGAGTCATCATCTTCGCCAACATAGCCCCTGAAGCCTGTGAATTGCATGACATCGTCAACGTAGAAGTCTGTCACAGGATGAGTCCGACCAGCAATCTCAACACGGCCCACTGGGCCTACTTGTTTGAAATAAGCCTCAAAGACGTCTGCGTCCAGTGTTGCGCTCATCAAGATAACCTTCAGGTCCTTTCTGGTGCGCAGTATCTGCCGAAGAAGCACAAGCAGGAAGTCGGTATCGAGGCTGCGCTCGTGCACTTCATCAACCACAACATGACTGACATCAGCAAGTGCAGCAACAACATCATCAGCGCCGCCACCGGATGTCTGGAGCCGTCGGAGAAGAACACCAGTAGTGACAAATGTGATCTTGGTCGCACCTGGCTTCTGTTTTGACTCGCCACGGATCGTATAACCGATTTCATCCCCGACTCGGCCACACCTTTCATCAGCAACACGATCGGCAAGACCGAGAGCAGAAATCCTTCGCGGCTGGGTGCAGATGATGTTTGCAACAGCACCTAATTGTCTTTGTATCAAATCATCCAAGACAAACTGCACTGACTGGGTCGATTTGCCAGAACCAGTCTCACCAGAGATGATGGTTACATTGCATCGGTTGACTGTTTGGACAATTTCATCCCTCAACCTCCAAGCTGGCAATGACTGCCGTGCATTCATCATCTTTTGCTGAGCTGGTGTGCCCTGTCTGGCTTGCCAGTCAGCAAGAACCTGTTGACTCGCAGGTGTTGCTGGCTTCCAGTCGATCGGTCTGCGACCTCTATCTTTCCTTCTCTTGTTCTGATTCTGTGGCTCTACAGAATGATCTGCTGCAGCGAGTCCAGATGAGACATCGGCCAGTCGACCTGGATTCTTGAAAATCTCCCCTGCGTTCTGCTGCACCCAATCTATAACGTCGTATATCATCGGCATTCCAATGAAGTTCTCCTCGGCGTGCAGCAACGCTTTTCTAATTATACTGAGCCGGATGTATGCGGGGATAGCAGCTTCAAAAGTGACGATAGGTGCAACAGCCGGATAAGGCCCGAAGGGTTTCCTGGCTTGCAGGATCAGGCGCTTCCCTTGTTGCTTGATGTCAAGCTCAACACGGCACATTGTGGGTGACGGACGAGAGAAAAGCTTATCGTAGATGGCCTCCAACGAAGACATCTCAGTCTCCCAGGCATCGTCTTCTGGTACCTCTTCTGGTTCTTCTGCAATGGCAAGATCCGCCAGCTCCTGCGCAATGTCCTTATCATCATCGTCCGGTCGCAGGAGACGAGCCTGAAGCAAAGCAGCGGCTCTTCTCTCATCTCCGCCTTGACTGTCGTATGCCTCTTCGCAGAGCTCGGTAGAGTAGCCGGCCGCAGCCAGGCGTTTGACTGCGCCCTCTCGTTTGAGATTAGAACTAGCCATGCTGACGCCGGCCACATAGCCTTCGGGCAAACTCCAAGAGGGCAAATCATCTTCCGGAACATGAATCAGCAGCCACTCAAGAATCTCCTCTCGGTCCTTGCAGATGTCGGCAGCCTCTTCAACGTGACTTCGGCGGAAACCAAGGTCAGTGATCTCGTCCTCTAGCCGTATCCGGGTATGTTTATCCATCTGAATGGCATTTGGGTTCCAGAGCGCGTCACGGCGGATGAGACGCTCGACCTGCTGCCTTGTTCTTTTCCCAAGCTCAACCTTCGGTACGCGTTCCCATCCTCTCATCAAGTTCTTTGCAGGTCCAGTCCACGAGCCTTCAGCGTTCGGCATAGACATGCCCGGCTTCAGGTTATGCGCTTTCTTCGCATCCTCCTGCTGCTTCTGTTTCTTTTCTCGCTCCTTCGCAGCGACTGCCTTGGCCTTTTCTCGCTCTGCAAAGCCGAAGAATGGGTCTGCTTCATACATCCAGCCTTTTCCCTCCTTCTCATCTCGTTTCTTGAGCTCTTGAAACTGCCCTTTCCACAAGTCTTTGTACGTAGGAGGCAGCATCATATGCAGGTTCTTCGCGCTTGCGACACGGAAGAGAGCGTAAGCGGCAGCGAAATTGCGCGCTTCGACAGCGGTGGGCTGATGGGCGGATTCTTCGAGCTCGGTCGGGATCTTGATTGGGGGAAGAGTCGTGACTTCCTGCGTCTTCTGGTTTTTCTTCGAGAGAACCACAGCGTATGCGAAATGCTTGTCGCCATCCTTGCGCTATGGAGGTCAGTCAAGAACGTATGATGGTATGTTGTAGTTTCCTACGATTCTGTAGTCAGGCCGGTCCCAATGCTGTTTCTGGAGGTGCTCTGAGAACAGGTTAACAGGCAGCTTGCCTGTCCAAGACGCTCCAGCAATCAGGGTCCTGGTGTCAGGCTTCTTAGGTCCCTCCTCAGCCTGCCCAGCAGTGCCCTTTCCTTTTCCCTTGTCATCATTCTGGGCCGAGCTCTCGCCTTTCTTCTTCTTTGGTTTCCCGTCGCCGAAGACAATCCAGCTATTGTCCTCTTCAGGTGGAGGTGCCTTCTTCGCAGGCTTGCCGCGCGGCGGGTGTGCGTTTTTGGGCATGGTCACGAATCTATGGTATTACTGTTATAATGTCTCCGGCTCCATAGGCAGCGAGTGGGCCAAATAAGTGGAATATGAAGATGAGGGGTCGTGTATGCGTACAAGAACACGCAAGCTAATACTGAAGTCTCAGCCGTTTGAAAAAGAAGGCGCGATCTCACTACGAGCACCTAGCACTCCAAAAATACGGTCGTTCGGTCGCGTAGCCATCTTTTTCGCATCGATCAACTCCGAAGGGGCGGTTCTCATTGAATCTAAGATTCGGAGCTAGTGAACCCTTGTCACGGCTAAACTTGCCCCACGTCATTGCTAGGTAGGCATACGTTCATGGCGATGTCGTGGAAATCGGACCAGCAACCAGTAAACGCCAATCAGAACGTATAGGTTGGATTTCGAATGCTCACAGCATCGAAAGTGATATTACGACTGTCGCGGTCTTGTCGGCCTACCGCCGCCCATATTTCTAAACATAAGCATCAGAAGAGCTACATCATGGCGAAGACCACTCAGGGCAAGAGTATTGTGCCAGAGCAGCACAGAGACCCAATAACTGCAGAAGAGATAGAAGGAACCTCACAACCTCAAGCATCGAATACAACATCCACCACAAAGCGAACCAATGCATGTACGCTTAGTACGTCTCTCCCTCATGGGTCAACCAAAGCTCATGACGCAGTCGCAGAATTAATGTCATCGAAAAAGCCTAAATCCAGCACTGAGCCAGTCGAGTTACCTGCGAAGCCTAAAATGCGAGGATTTGACCCACGCGACGGCTTGGGTATCTACATCGAGCACCCTGAGAAGAACCCTGAGGGCCTCGTCGTAGAGTACGATGACGACTTCGTAGTGATCAAAGACAAGTTTCCGAAAGCAAGGTACGCAATCCCTCTCAGAATGGTATGAGAAGAGCCAAAACATTGACCCAACGAAGCGTACACCTCCTCCTCATCCCGCGCAAACCAGAATACCACTACCAGCACCCCCTGCACTTCCTGTCCAGCAACCCCACCTTCCTCGCCGAAGTACGGAAACGAGTAGAACGCCTCAAACTCCTTGCAGCCTCAGAACTGCGCCGTAAATACGGCCACCACAGCGCCTCCGACGCTCCATACCAGGCGGCCCTCGAAGACCTCATGAGCCAGCTCGACCCACCACAAGCATCTGAGCGCGACGCTCTTCTTCCACCCGGTCGCGACTGGCTGTCCGAAATCAGAGCGGGCGCGCATACACACCCGAGCATGAACCATATGCACGTCCACATCATGAGTCGAGAGATGCATTCGCCATGTTTGAAGCACAAGAAGCACTATTTGAGCTTCCATTCGAGTTTCTTTGTCGAAGTGGATGAGTTTCCGCTCGCGGAGGGCAGTGCGAGGTTCCATCCGGGAAAGTGGCCAAACTGGGACATGAAGTGCTGGAGATGTGAGGAGAATTTCCAGAACAAGTTTGCGAAGCTGAAGGGCCACTTAGAGGAAGAGTTTGAGGCGTGGAAGAAGGAATAATCTAGACGACATTGAGGGCAAGAGAGCAAACTGTAACTATTGAATAGCGCGTTTTAGGTGATACCAGACACAATTCTTTTAATAGCGGCTCTAATATACAACATTTGTCAACTTTTGGTGTCGATATGTGGCATTTAGATTCGTCAAAAATGGTTGTTGACCAGCTATACCTGTTTCAGCAGGCTGGTGCTAGCATCATCAGCTAAATGTCCAACCAACTTGTCCGAACAGAGACCACATCGCGATAGCAGTATCCAAAGGGGCACCCTCCAATCACTGCGCTGTATGCAAGTGTCCAACCAGACAACTGTCCCGCCTCGATCAAAGTCTAAGCCTTCGGCTTGACCTTGGGGGTGCCGCTACGGACGCGCTTGGCCTCAGGGCGCTGCAGGTGAGAAGCGGGGATCCAGCTCTCGTCGTACTTTGCGCTAGAGGTGACAGCAGGGCCATCGGCACCAACAACAGCAATCTGCTCAGCGGGATCGACCTTCTTGGAGCCCTGGGATGACTTCTTGGCACGCTCGCCACCCTTGCCGCGGCCCTTCTTCTGGGGGAAGAAGGTGGTGATCCAGGTGTTGTAGATGAAGTAGACAGTTCCAGCGAAGGCGCCGAGAAGAACAAGGTAAAGGAAGATACTGTAGATGGACGTTAGTCTCTGACTTCTTGCGAGAGTGGCTGGCGCCTGTGGCACTTGAGAAAACCTACATTTGAGGATCGAAGACGCTCGTCGGTCTCTCGACGACGGTCACAGTCTCGTTGTAGGCGGCGACGGTGAAGATGGCGTTCTCAGAGTTCCTTAGAACAGCGTTGAGCTGAAGACGGAGGTCCTGTGGGTGCAGGTCCGTGGTGAAGGTATATGGCACAGTCTCCTCTGCGCCAGCAGGGATCTCGATAGAGTACTTCTGCGACGTGAGGTTGCGCACAATCTGAGACTGGCCATTGACCTCCTTGAGCAACGACCCGCCAACGATGCTCACGCCAATGGGCTTTGGCTCGTTGTTGGAGATGGACAGACGCGCTTCGGTGGCATGTCCATTGACGAGCTTGATACCAAAGATCTCAGACTGGGGGAACGAAGCCGAGATCTTGACGTTCAGATTCGGTGTCTGTGCTTCGGGCACTTCCTTGACGTTCTCAACCTGCGCGCGCCGGGGTCAGTCACTTGATGTCATGGCTCATCGCACACAGACACTTACCTCAACCGCGAAGGCATTGAGGGCTCTCAATGAGAGCAGGAGCAGGGATGAGAGTTTCCAGGCGACCATGATGGATACAGCAGACGGTGGACGGGATGGATGCACAGAGACGAGGAGTGTGGAGGGAAGCACAGCAATTCGAACGTGGCTTCTAGGAACGTCAGAGCGCAGCTCCCAGCTTGGCAGCGGTAGGGATCATCTACCCCACACCAGGACATAGGGCCAATCAGCATGCGTCTCTAGCGCGCAACGAACGCGCGACTAGTCGTCGCCAGCCTTGTGCAACGTGAACTGCATCCTGATTGTTGTTTACAGGATGCGGAAGAGGAGCGTTATCACCGCCTTTGCGGTGGGCTGCAGGTCGATGCCTGTCTGCTTCCTCCCAACAGCACTTTTCACCGCCAGTGTCAAAGCTTGCATGTGCTTGCATGGTCGTACCGTTTGAAGCAGACCCTTTTCACGGCCACTAACAGAAATTGCGAGCTCACATTCACTTCCACCGTTGACCGTTCTCTGTTTTCTGATTCCAGGAAGCCCTTCTCGGCTCAGAGTCCCGTCTCCCGGTTCCCGTCTCCCGTTCCTGTCTTTCGTCTTCTGTCACTTCATTTCTGGAAACTGCTTTCGGGACGTCACATAAATATTCGCACTTTCCCACATTTATTCCCACTCCCAACTTACAACAGAGTCCACCGCCACCACCACAACCGCACATTTGGTAGTCTCCAAGCCAGTGTCTTTCACGTCAAACATGTCGCCCGCCCCATTCCTTGCCGGCCTTGGGCACACGCCCGCGCCGGCTTCAAATGCTGTGACGCGCCCTGACACAGTAGATCCTGAGCACACGACCTTGTATCAACGCTACCAGCTCTTACAACAGTACGACAAGGACAGAAATGACTTCATAAGCGTCAGTGCAATTCAGCCAAACATTGTTCTACAGCTGATCAAGACAGGAACTGCTTATGCGCTATGAGTATCTCAGTCAACAATACCAAACCCTCGCCTCTCAAAGCATGCATAGTGTCGAAGGCGAAGTAGCTTGGAAGACCGAGAAGTCCATGTTACAAAGTGTGGTTCTGCAGTATCAGCGGGCTCTAGTAAGTCACGGTAGCAGCAAAGCGCCATCTACGCTACGCTTAAGAACTTTTACTGAACCCAGCAGTCCGAGAACCCCTTCGTCATGGTCTTGATTGATGGTGACGGCATGATTGTAAGTAGCTGCACTCAAACAAATTCTCCAAGCATTAACAATACTAGTTTCACGACGATTTTCTTCGCGACGGAGAAGCTGGCGGCCGCCGTGCCGCCTCGCAGCTTGACACAGCTGTACGCAGCTGGATCGAGAGTGAGGATAGGGATGTACCCCTCACCTCTCGTATCATCTGCCGAATTTATGCCAATGTCCGCGGCCTTGGAGACGTGTTAGTCAGGACCGGCGCAATCGAAGCAACAGAAGACTTTGAAGACTTTGTGCGAGGGTTTACTCGAGCGAAGACTATGTTTGACTTCATAGATGTTGGCGCCGGGAAAGATCGTGCAGACGAGAAGATCATCGGTAGTTACCATCCCCGTTGCTTCGAGTAACCCAGAGCTGATGCAGGCAACAGAAAACTTTAAGATCTTCTCGCAAGACTATCATTGTCGCCGACTTCTCTTCGGCTGCTCGCATGACAACGGCTACGCCCGAGTGCTTGAAGAGTGCTCAGACAAACCTGAGGTCGTAAGCAAGGTTATCCTGCTCGAAGGCGTGCCTTTCGAGAAGGAGTTGCTACCTCTCCCGTACGGTACGAAAAAGTTTTCCGACGTTTTCCGTGACTCAAAACTTGTTGTCTGGAACAATTCTTATGGCCCAAGTCAGCATCGTCGTGTCTCGGATACAGTGTCTCCATCCCGAAAGGCATACGACATCTCAACTAGGCCCCCAGGCCGTTACCCAGCATCCACGCCACAGGTTATGGACAGCCCCATTCCATCCAGGGCTACTGCCGTTGGCTTACCTCGCACACCTTCATCGTCCACGATAGCATCTGACGGGTTTGTCACTAACAAAGCCGCTCCCCTCATGAACAGCTGGGCAGCAAAGGCAGCTGCGCCTCCGCCCCCGATGTCTGTTGTACCATCATACGAGCCTGCTGACCGTAACGAGGTCATTGCACGCAACCGAGCTGGGCAGCGCATCGATCCACCTTGCAAAGATTATGACAAGACGGAAGTTGACCGCGTCAAGAAACTCAAGTTGTGCAACGTTCACTTTTTAAGACAAGGTGGGTACACCCCTCCAGTGCATCTCTATCTAATAGATTGAATACTTGATACTAAAGCCTCTTTGTAGAATGCCCATACGGTATGCAGTGTACGCATCAGCACAACTATGATCCAGCCCGCAGTGAGATTGCCACTCTCCGTCTCGTTGCGCGCATGTCGCCTTGCATCAACGGCACCGGCTGCCAAGATATCAAGTGCATCTTCGGCCATCGCTGCCCTGCTCCGCCGAATAGGGCAAAGGTTCCCAAAGGAATCAAATCCTGCATCTTCGCCGATGCATGCAAATTTCCCATTGAATTGCATGATATTGACACCAATGTCGTCAAGACGCTTGTCATTCGCTAAGGAGGTGGACGCTGGCATCTCGATGTCGTGAACAGGGTATGATGTGATCAGCGTACCAATAACTCCTTTCCTTGTATATTACAATAATCGAAGTAACACTACATTGATCTTCCAGCTGTCTTTTAAATGTCTATTGAATAGTGCAATCACTTTACGTTTTCTTCGTAGCAAAGGGAGAAAAGGGAGAAAGAACATGGATTGGTCGCCTGATCGATATTTTGCGCGGTTGTGGTGGCGTGCATGATGCAGCTCAGCCGGTCCAGCCATCACATGCTGATTTGCCTCGTGGCCTCAGAAGCAGCGGCTATCCGCATTCTCACAGCCCTCAGCCTACCCTTTTGATAACTAAATACCGTGGCGCAGCTTCATTACAATGGCATCGCAAGGAACATGGATATGGAGCCCGGAAAATAGAAATTTCTATCGCACATCTTATGACGCTGGAAGTACGACTCTGTCGCGCAATCACAGGCCTTCAGCTTACAATACACAGCTGATAATCTCCTGTACGAATGGTTGAAGAGATCTTCTGCAAGCAGCCAGGCAGACCCATCGCAAAACAAGGCAGCCATTAAAACAAAACAATCTGCACCTGAGCCGAGGGAATCTGCCTATTACCGGTACTTAATCTCAGATGAATGGAGAGAAGAAGATAAGCGACGAATAAGGTCTGAAGTAGGATTGAAGGGCTCAAATTCTCCTGTTTTTGACAACGACAAAGACACGCATCGATACGCATGCCCTCAATGCAGCAGAGTATTCACGAAAGTCGAAAGTGTCATCAGGCATATTCGGTAGGTTCTGTCGCAGACTCATTTGTTGATGTATTAACACAACCCAGTACTTACACCGACAATCCACCGTTTGTCTGCCATTGCTCTGAACGGTTTGCACTTCACGAGGACTTGAGGCGGCACGCAAAGGATGCACACATGAGTAGGGATCCAGGAGATCTGAGTGGAAATGCAAGAACCGCTCCAAAGACACACAGTGAAATTCCCCCATGCACATCATGTCGCCAGCGGAAGACCCGATGTGATAGGAAGCGACCAGTGTGCGGATCCTGTGCGTACTGGTCCCGTAGTTGTGTCTACGAGCAGGTCTCTAAGGGGAGCTTAGTCAAGCGACCAACAGGTAGGCTAAGTGCCATTTTTAAGGTGAGAAGGCTGACCTTTTCAAGTAGGAGAGACTGAAGCACTGTCCCTAAGACTAATGACCAAACAGCAGTACGATACCCACACAGTGCAACCAACTGAACTGCCAGCCGATCACTCTCATGATGATTCTACAACAAAGTCGCCTACCAGTCATTCAGAAGGATCTGTATCGCAGCCAGGTCTGCAAGGGCCTCATAAAATTGCTGCCGCCGATTCAGTAAAGGATAATCAAGCATTGACCGGGGCTCATCATGGCACTCAAGACAACGTACTTGATATGAAAGAAGGCGTCTGTATATGTGCACAGCACCAAAGACACTTGTTCGCCAATGAAACCACGAAGACAGTTGTCGGTTACGAAGAGATACATGGGAGACTGCCAATCGCATTGCGATGGGATATTGAATATGTGTCATCCCGACAGAGCTGGACATGTACCCCATTTGAGACCCATAAGACCGTATCCTATCCTCTCACAATTGCTGGCGCACCTGTTGTCTTGCCAGTCGAGCATCGTTGGCCCCCGACTGGGGGTGTGAATCCACCACCAGATCCTAGATCGAGGAGACCGATCGATTGTCGAGCTTCTTTGGATTTCGATACTATTGGAGATTTACAGGAAGTCTTTGAAGGCAGCGTCGGCTTCTACCTCTTAATCAATGGCCTGCTCCAGGTCATTGTGCCCTCGGGCTTCGACACGGCGTGGGCATCTTCTCATCTACCCCACACATTTGGGGGGCTAAGAGTATCGTATATTGAGCAAAGTCTTGAACCTACCATGTTGCCTACTGAAACAGCTACCACAAAGGTGAGGTCATCGCTGGGGTTACGAAGCATGAGCTTGTCTAATCGTTACCTGTTGTCGAACTCTGCGCCATCACTATCCACGAACAGCCTCGAGCTCAATGATTTTATTGAAGCTCGAGGCAAATCGATTCAGAAAGAGCGGTATACTGGCAGAATTGGGCTGAGCGTAGCAAGAGACAATGCTCAATACTTGACCATGTCTTCTCACGTGATTGCAGAGGCTATATTGGCGAAGTCATTGTTCGGCAGAGGTCGTTCGCATCCTGAGCGTCTACAGGATGACTGGAATCTGCATGCAGATATTTGGGCTGGCAACACGAAAGTAAGCAGTAGAGACTGATGTAGAAAGCCTCACTCATATATGAGCTGACAATCGACGCAGATCGGTATCATTGAGAAGACATACGATACCGAAGCTGGCATTTACCCAAATGGTTTCGCTCATGATGTCACGCTTATTAAGCCCATCAGTACAGCCTCGATCCAAAGCGCGAAATCTCCTGTTGCCGGTCTTGGCTGGCTTACTTCGGACGCGTGGTCAGCTCTTCGACAGCAGACATCGACAGTGAGAATACTGTCATCAACAGAGACACACCGCGAAGCGAAGACACTAAAGTGCAATCTGTGCTCTGAAGTGCTTGTTGTTGGCGAGGGGATATTCTTGAATCAAACGACGGTAGCTGGACCAAACCCAGCAAAAGAACATGACAAATCGACATGGACCAAGCTGGTTTCACGCGCTGTACTGTATCGAGTAAACCCAGACTTTGACCCACCAAACGGGTACAGTGGTGTAGCGTTGTATGCTAATGGCCTGAGAGAAGATGGAACTGAAGGTCCAGGGGTTGTAGGATTCCAGAGCTTTGTACAGAGAAGCGGCCAAGTGCAGAATTATGCTATGGAAGGTTCAGCTTTGGAACAAAGGCTCAGCAAAGGAAGGATCGCGTTCTATGGAGCATTCATGGTGCCCGAAGAGCTTCGGAAACACTATACCATCCTATAGGGTACCTATCGATCGAAAGATCCAACCACCTGTGCAATGCCTAGGAAAACCTGTACTATGGTCAAGAGTACAACGACAGTGGCAAACCTTCATTTGTTAGTAAAAATCAGACTTGGAGTGCGAATCACCTACAGAAAAGTCCAGAACTGCATTGTGTCTCTTCGATCACGAAACAATATCCACAAACTCCAGGGTCTTGCTGTCTGGAGATGTTGATCAAGTCGAGCAATACGCGGCCAGAGGTAAGGAAAGTCATCTGGCGTCCAATCATGCTGCGCAGGATTCTCTGAAAGCTTGACAACCAGCGGATCGAATTCGCTTCGTTCGATCTCTGCTCTATACTTCCCTCTTGCGCGTATGCTGGTACTTCGCTCAAACTCTGCAATGGAATATCTGCGGTAACGGTACGCAGAACACGACCAGCACCAGCAGCTCCTTCGAATACCAAACTGTGCGCCTAGTCTGATATGGAGCGACACATCGGACCACGCATTGAACAGCATTGCATATGACTCCTGAACCTCATGGGCGAGCTCTGCTGGGATACCAATGCTAGCCGAGGTGGTGGCGGTGAAAGCACATGGCAAAGAGAACAACTCTAACGTATACTGCCCGCCCGAGTTTACAAGCATCATGTGTCGAGAGATGTTCTGCGTCCATGTGATCTCAACTGCACCTAGAACTTTCAATGTGAACGCGTTGAGTCGAGTAGTTTTGATTGAAAGTGATTCGTGGCCGTTGACGCCTTCATACAGTCGATGCAATGCTGCTAGGTAAGACGTTAGTAATGTGCACTATTAGTGTCAGGCGAAGACATAACTTACGATCTTGATCTTGCACCTCGGATGCTTGAGGATACAAGGTCTGTAATGACGTGTGTGTTTGAAGGGCTGATAGACTAGGCAACTTGGAAAGTAGTGTGATCAGCTTCATCGCAACATCTTCTGCAGTCTCGCATCTTCGGTCCCATCGACCACCTGGAAGCAGTCCACAATCTCGGATCAACCCCGCGACATTGCCTTCATATGGCTCAGATACCAAGATCGAAGGACCCGATCGTGCCCTATAAGCAGTGATGATTCTGCGAGACTGATTGCGCTGCTGTACAAATGAGGTCAACATAGTCGCCCAAGATCCCAAAATGTACATCACAGTATCCTCAACGTGCTCCACTCTTGCAGCCTGACCGTTTTGCGTGTCTAGGAATATTTTGCGATATCCTGATGTTACCAACCTGTCGATGAGGGCTTGTATACTCTCGCCATCTCCTGTCCCATTTGTTGTGGCATCAAAGTGTCCAATGACTTCAATAAAGAGCTCAATCCACTCTTCCAAAGCTCCGTTGCCAACATGGAGCTTGTATATGTAGGTCAGGTAGGGCTCGGCTGTCGCGTCCACAGGGTAATCAAGATAGCCTAACGCATGTGCGAGTCTCGTCCGTAAGACGCAGGAGGAGGACCTATTTAGCGACATTTCAGACCGATGGTGTTGGCAAGCAACCTAGCACAGACGTCAATAAGAAGACTAAAAGCCATTCGGCTGGTAGTTCCTGGAAGGCTGCCATCTCTGCAGAACAGCAAGGCTGAGGGCTGTGCATGTCGAGCGCTTACGGCTGAGGCCCGGAGTTAGTTTAGCCCTAGGAGTCGGAGTACCATAACACCGAGCCGGACACGGCTCGGATCTGATAACGGTGAGTCAATCTGATAAGCACTTGCTCGATGGAGCAGCTTCTTGCAACAGGATGAGCTAGGAGATGGGTTTACGTGATATCTTCCTCCTATACCTGCGTCGCATTCCATCTTTCAGGCAGCAAGGCTAGTTAGTGCATGATGCAAAACCTCCATGCAGCACAACCGGTCAAGCACAATTGCCATATAAAACCGCAGTGCCGTGCAGAGTTCTTGATCTGCAGCAATCCGGCTTCGCGATGTCTTCCAACCACCAGCAGAAGCCTAAGTCCACACCCGTTGAACCTCTTGCATCGGATATAGAGCTCGCAATCATTCAGCCCTCGCAAAATGCACCGTCCAAATTTCTCGACCCTTACCTAGTGACGTTCACTATGCCCGACCTGACCAATCCGAAAGATTGGCCGACCAGCATCAAATGGGCTGTTACCGACGTTCTCAGCGCCACAGGCTTCAACCGTATCATGGTGTCCACTATCATGGCTCCCGCACTGAGCACCATCGCCGCCGAGCTGCACATGTCGCATATCGAGTCTGTCATGGCCCTTTCCATCTATCTTCTTGCCACTGCGTTTGGTCCGCTGGTCATCGGTCCGTTGAGCGAGGTATACGGCAGGCAGAAGATACTGCATGCGAGTAATGTCTGGTTCTTAGTGTGGAACATCGTGTGTGGGTTTGCCAATACCAAGGAGGCACTGATCGCAGCGAGATTTTTGGCTGGCTTTGGGGCGAGTAGCATTTATGCGCTTGCGGGGGGTGTGTTAGGCGATGTCTGGCGACCAGAGCAGAGAGGCAAGAGTCTAGGAATGTACTCACTCATACCGCTGTTGGGAGCTGCAGTGGGTAGGTTCGCCTGATGTCAAATATGTGTACAGCAGACTGACATCTACAGGACCAATCATTGGCGGCTTTATGGCAGGTCGAACCACCTGGAGGTGGATGTTCTGGTCAACGTCGATATTCCAGGCCGTCATGATCGCGGTGTCCTTCAGTGCATTCAAGGAGACGTATGCGCCTACCATTCTAGCTCGACGAGCCAAACAGCTTCGTAAAGACACTGGAGACACCCGATACTACACCGAACACGAGCGCTTGAGCACCGGGAAGCCGGTTCTTGCGATCCTTAGTAAAGCACTTACCCGTCCGCTCCGACTGCTACTCTTCCACCCGATTATCATCATCACAAGTGTCAACCTAGCGTTTGACTATGGTATCCTATATATTGTGCTGACGAGCTTTGCCCAGCTGTGGACGGACTACTATCATCTTTCCGTCGAGACGAGTGGACTGCATTATATTGCACTTGCACTTGGTGAGCTCACCGGCGCCCTGGTTGGAGCACCGATGCTAGACCGTTACTATCGCTGGAAGAAAGCGCAGCATCCTGATGACGATCTGGCACCGGAGCACAGGCTTCTTCTCGTCTTCCCTGGCGCACTGCTGGCATGTGTAGGTCTGTTCATCTACGGCTGGACGGCAGAGCATCGTGTTCATTGGGTTGCAGTTGACCTTGGCGTCTTCATTGCTATGTTCGGATCGCAGGGCGCAGGTATGGCGTGGTCGGCATATCTCATGGACGCTTATTCGGAACATACAAGCAGCGCCAGGGCAGCCACGCAGTTTTCAGCAAGTTTGACTGCGTTTCTCTTCCCACTATTTGTGCCAATCATGTACAAGGCTATGGGTTATGGATGGGGCAACACTGCGATGGCTTTTGCTTCGCTGATCCTCGCAGTGCCGGGACCGATTGCATTGTGGTACTTTGGGGCGGGTCTGAGGATGCGCGCACAATCCACCTACTAGAGAAGGTCAGGCGGTCGAACAGTCGGGATGTTGACTGTCACTAGAAGTGATGATCGTTCGACTTTTGTGAACGAGCTAGTCAGAGTGCAACTTCGAAGCGTCGCGGATGTGTGAAGTGGGAGAATGCTTACAGGAGGGATGTGACCGACCGACCATCGTGTATATGAATGAAACACTGGCCCATTTACAAGCCAATCATAGAATAGATGTTTGAAGTGCGGAGTTTACGAGAGCGAGAGCGACTCACCTCGCACTCGCAAATCGATTACCTCACGCTACCTTGTAGCCACATAGGGTTAGCTCACTTATCGTACACGTACTCGGCTATGATCAGTATACGACGAATGCTCCTTCTTTCCTCCTGACGTCGCACCTGTAATCTACCAACCCCATCTGCGCTCCAGGCTCATACGTCAGCCAGCAATAGCAATGTCTTGATTGGCTACACGCCGGCGTGAAACAGAAGCTTTGAGGCGCTGTGCATACCCGTTCCGCCGGATCGACATGAAATGTTCCGAGAAGGTGTGGCTGCAGTAGTACGCAATGTGCAGGCTTCTAGGATGTCAGATAATTGTAGGCACCAGTACTAAGGTTGTTTTTGCGGAGGCTGGAATGACGGTGTTACGCGTATAGTATACGGACGAGTGCGGAAGGCCTTGGTATGCAGACTGTACAAGTGAATCTTGTTTAAGAAGACCTCGAAGCCGCTTGAATTGAAAACATGCCCAAGTCGTCTCTTCTTTCCCAAACTTCAACCCATCTCGTTCTAAGCTTTTGTCATTGTCATCTTGATCTCTTCTCCGACCCTTCATTCTACACATCATGAAGCAAAGCGTTCTCTTCCTCGCAGCAACTGCCTCCGTCGTGTCCGGCCGACCGCAGTACGGTACACCAAACCCACACGAATGGATCCCAGGCGGAACCAACGACTGTAAGTGTCACCAGGCTGCTACTCCTTCCCGACTCTAACAATCACCCAGTCCGTGGCCCGTGCCCCATGCTCAATACGCTCACGAACCACGGCTTCCTCCCGCGTGACGGGCGCAACTTTACCAGGGACAACGTGATCAAAGGTCTCGGCGATGGGCTAAACTTCGACTCCCAGCTCGCTGGACTGATGTGGGATCAGGCCATCTTCGCCAACCCTGAGCCGAACGCGACGTTCTTCACTCTCGAGCATCTCAACGTGCACAACGTGCTTGAACATGATGCAAGTCTGTCGCGTACCGACGCTGCGTTTGGAAACAACCATGTGTTCAATCAGACGGTCTTTGATACGAGCAAGATGTGGTGGACGGCGGAGACGGTGTCGGCAAAGCAGTTGGCGAATAGCAAGATCTACCGACAACTAGTAAGTAGGTCTGAGAACGACAACTATACCTTCAGTGCTACGACGGAGGAGTTCAGTCTCGGAGAGGTTGCAGCGCCGATTATTGCATTTGGAGATGTTACCGTAGGCACTGTGCCGCGGGAGTTGATCGTGTACTTCTTCGGTAAGTTTTTTCTAGACCTGTCCTGGTCGTGGGCTTCAGCTTGCTAATGCGTGAACAGAAAATGAGCGGCTGCCAGAAGAGCTGGGCTGGTCAAAGAAAAACAACTCGATCACCCTGGAGACCATCTTGGGGGCGACTGCGATTGTTCGTAATGCCACAAATTTGTTGACTGGCGGTGAGGCTGCCGCGGCCCCGCACAAACGGAGGGACCTTCACAGTGGGATTTTCTGAGCATTTAGGTCTGAAGGTGCATGGAGTTCCTAGGTTATGGCAATTGATGTTTATATCGGAGTACTTAGAAGCGAATTTTAAGCATTGTTTTAATATTTCATTGCTTGAGCTACATGGGTATCTTTCGCCTCATTGAGCGAAGCACAAACAAACTTTTTTAGACTGATCAAGACCAGCGCGCCAAGTAGACATCGTAAGTTGATGTCTGGAGCTCACAGGCTCTTGCAAATGAAGTTGCATCTTATTGATTCAATCAGATGTTGCGGATCCGCACCACGGTCCATCGAAGGCGTCCTGCGCCACGACACAAAGCCCGAGAACGCCCGAGAAGCCAATGTAGGCAGGAAGTTGGCGCTGAAGACCTAGTCCCGGGACTGATATCCGATCGTGTAGAATAGAGTTGGGTATTTCCTGAAGTACATGCTCAAAAAGGTGGGCAAATGATGTGGTTGTTTTTGCGAAGTGAAAGCACAAAGCAGTGACAGGTCTCATCTTCTCGAGCTCGAGCTCGCGTCCGATGCAGCAGTGTTCGATCTTTGTGCAGCGCTTTGCGACACTGACGGTGATGCGGCAGCCGAGTGAGATGTAAATCTTGGCGTGGGTGGGCCCGAGGACAGAGGTGATCTGATCGAAGCTGTTGAGATCGACGCCGGTCTCGAAGCAGTGGTCTTGAGAAAGACTCGCGCAGGTGGGAATTGGCTGATTGGAGGCATTGCGGTAGTGCGGATGTTGTTCGGTAGCTCGGTTGTGTGGATGTCAAGAGTCTGTCGTGAGGTGATTGAGCGTGAGCGAGAACGTTTGAAAGTTGGCTGGTGGAGTGATGTAATGGCTTATGTGGAAAACAACCAGAGGCGGAAGCCGTTGATCTTATACTCACAGGTGCACAGGCTTGAAGAGTCACAAGCTTGTTGCCGAGGCGGGGAGTCACACTTGTGACATTGCCGTTTCGGGTAATCAGGCGATGCTCTCGCGAGATCAGGTTCAGCTCGCGGAAAAGTCTCCGGACCGAGCCGGCGACTTGTTTTCGTCAACGTTTAGATTCATGAGGGGTCATATGCAAATGCGCGACTTGATCGCCTCGAGAGGCTATGTATTGGCTCTTGGAGGAGGCCTTCCCTTTGCTCCGAGCAAGTTGGTCGCTGGAATGCTGCACAAGCCCATGTGCCTCCTGCCTCAGGCCGCGCGACCTGAATGTCAGTGCGCGTATCTGACATCGCAGCTAAGGCATATAACTGCGTGACAACTGTGGGTTCCTGGACGTTTGCTGTCGTGCATGTTTGGACAAGGCTCCACAGCGGCCATGGCGAGTCTGGGCGGGGTGTGGGGCGGCGTGCGCAAGCTTCGAGCTAGAGGTTGTAGGGCTCACGAAACTTGGTCGTGGTGTTGAGAATCACCTTGACAAGTAACGTCGATATCTCCCATTCTGAGAGTCCTTGAGTAAGGAATCATGAAGCGCATTGTGTAGCAGCACGCCTGCGAACAGTCAATCGTCCCTCAAGAAGTACTGTCCTTTGATTAATTGGCCTCAAAGCTCTTCCATTCGACGCTATGCCTGTTCCGGAAAGGCTATCCGTGTGAGCTGTTGATTGGATGGCCACTTGAAAGCTGTCCGAGTCTCACTCGCGACACCAGAAGGCTGTCAACGGTATCAGAAACGCGTCTCGACTTGCCCGCCCCATCTGCCAAGCAGCTTCAGATGTTCGTTTCAACACAAGAGCTCTTGCTTGTTCATGCCAGTCCTGCGGGAGTTTCTGATGTGTTCCGGCCGCAGAGCCGCACAGCTTGGCTTTCACATGATACGACTCCTGATGAGACATGCGCGTGGGATGGATTTGGGCTTTTGTCTTGTGTTGCTGTCGTGAGTGATTTGGCGAGAGACAAGACGAGAAGGGTCGCGCGTGGTTAGCGCGCTTTCATCTCAACATGAACGACTAGGCACTTCGACTGTGAATGAAGCAACTGGCCTAGGCGGTATGCATCGGTGTCTGCGACCGTCACAATCCAATTTAGCTGGATTTACTGGGTGTAGGTACGGCGTACACACTCTTGGCTCTGGGCGCAAGCCATTTCCCGCACAGCCTGACAACACAGCCTCGCTGGGCCGCCTCTTCTACAACACAAGTGGACTGCAGGACAAAATCCTGACGAGACATTATGTTTGTTTGTTAGATGCTAACAATGGAATCAATTAGTACCTCATCTAAGCAGTATGCGCGTGCTATCCGTCAAAGGTTCCTCGGCAGCTCAAACAAGGCGCTCTACTCGAATCGACTTTCCGATAACGACATTCGCCTGCTCACAATCTTGCCTTCGCACAACGTCGATGCTCCCATAGTATGCCATTTACGCCAACACGAGGTTTCGACAGCCCCTGCTTACGAAGGACTTTCGTATGTATGGGGCGATCCTAAAGATGTCGTCCCGGTCAGCTGTAACGGAATCAATGTCAAGATCACCAAAAGCCTTCGCACAGCTCTGTGGAGAATACGCGATACCGAGGAGCCACGAATTATATGGGCCGATGCTTTATGTATGAACCAACGCGATGTTGAAGAGAAGAACATCCATGTACCACTCATGGGTCGAGTGTTTTCCAGGGCTACCAACACCGTTATCCACCTAGGCGAAGCAAAGCAAAGCGAAGCACTGGAAGCCAAAGAAGGGCTCGAGGTAATCGCGAATTCCATGGAAGACTTTAGGATACGATCGAATCTACCAGTCGATGACAATCAAGCGTTCTACGAGTCGATAGTGGTGACACTGCCCGAACTGTCGCGTCCTACTTTCTCACCAGACGCTATCAAGAATTTGTTTGGAGCAAAGTGGTTCTCACGCACATGGTGTGTCCAAGAAATCATGCTGGCTCGCGATTCGGCACTCGATTCATACGCAATATACGGCCACGTTCGTGTCCCGTACCGACTTATTGCCAAGGTCTCCCTGTTTCTCATTGTTGCATCAAAGCTCAACATTCCATTTGCTCAAGAGTTAGGCCTCTCGGATTCTGTTGCTGCCATCGAGCTTGAGGAGCGCAGTAATCAGGCAGGTCGAAATTTACTCCAAATCTTGGATGCTTTCTGTGAGCATCAGTCTTCTGACCCACGCGATAAAGTCTATGGACTTCTCGGTATACTTCGCCAACGCTCTGCATACAATCCGGAAGCCATCAGCGTGGACTACTCAAAGTCGGTTGCACAAGTGTATACTGACACGGCTCTTGAGATCCTTCGTACTAATAATAATCTGGAAGTCTTGGACCACGTTGCAAATGCGGAAGATTCTGAGCCCGACACTGAATTCCCGACATGGGTACCAAGATGGGACCTGCCGCGAGGCTGGGTCTTATTTTTAGACGACGACATGGACAGCTTCAGAAGCACATGTTCCGCCGTACTAAGAACCGACAATCAAGTCCCGAATAGCTGGTCGGTGCAGGGTAATCGACTTCTAGTCTCCGGGTGCAGGTATGGCCAGGTCTCCAGTGTTCTGTCCTTAAAAGGTACAGAACAGGAAGCCACAATCTCAGAGCTCTGGAGAGATACACAGGCATCTAGAATGTCTTGCTTCGACAGCCAAGAGGAGCTTTTCGCGATGGCTCGGACTTTTGCAGTCGGCCAAATTAGACACGGCCTCCATTTCGACACAGCCAACGATGAGCAGAAGGAGATGTTCATGGCAGATTTCCTTGCCTTCATTCATCACTTTGTGCCTCGATGCTCGCCTAAATGTCCTGGCGCATCTGAAGACAGCTGCTACACTATCGATGCCAATGGCACGAGACGGGCTGGGTCAGCAGAGAGATACGCCTCCATTTTCCAATATAGCTGCTCAAGACGAAAATTATTCCAAACCACACAAGAGGCATTCGGTGTCGGCCCTGATTACTTGCACGCAGGCGACCTCATCGTGGGACTTATCGGTGGATCCTCCCCTTTCGCTCTCCGACCTCAAGGTGACAACTACCTCATGATTGGCTCTGTATACATAGACATGCTTATGGATGGCAAAGTCTTCAGAAGATTGCTTGATGACGGAATGAAGGAGAGATTCACGCTGATATGAATGACCAGACTTTGACTTAGAGTCCGAGGAGACCTCCAAGGAATATATTCTCGAGTTTACTAGTTTCTAACTTCCATCTACCAGAACTTCTCAAGACGAGGAGCATTCATATCTCGCAGTCCATTTCCCACCTGGTAACCCAGCAAGCGTGACCGGCCCTGCATCAACAGCCTGAACGTCGACTAGGACATCCTCCTGGGTTCCACTTTGCTCCTCTAAGAGCACTTTGCCTACGCAGCCCAGCTCCGGGAGCTTGACCTGACCACTTGTGCCCTGCGGCGCTTCAAACTCCATCGTCCAAGAGCCATCGTCAGCAACCTGTGTCTTCGCGGAGAAGAAACCGACATCCGTGCTGAACCCAGCATCCGCAATCTTCAAATCTCCGAGCGAAGGCGCAATGCGCCACGTCTTGCCTCCAGCGCTGAGAAGCTGGATGCCAGCAATGTAGAAAGTCAGTGAGGATGTCGGCCCGGTCGCCCAACCATGCGCGTGCGAAATTCTTGCGTCGTTCAAGTACGGTGCATAGTGCAGCTCGCCACTCGTCGAATATCCTTCGATGAATGTCGAATTCGTCATGCGCGGATCGTCGAGCATGAAGCCCCACTGCAGCCTCATGAGCTCGATAGCGGCGGTTGTGTTTTCTGCGAGGAAGTGTGTCTGCAATTCAAAGCCGGAGATGAATGGCGAGATGGCATCTGCAGCCTCGAGCGCGGGAGCGCCGTACGGCGTCCACCTCTCATTCAGAGCAGCAGATATACGCTGGACTTGGGTGGAGTTCACGGTCAGGTTTGCGACAACGGCCCATGAATTTCCGTCCTGCGGCATGAGGGTTGTGGTTTCGTTGTCGATATACATGCCAGCTTCTTCATTCCAAAGCAGCTCGTTAGCGGAGCTCTTGATACGCTCAGCGATGGTCGTCCAGTTGGACGTAGAGGAGGTGTCGTTGAGAGCCGCAGCAAGCTCAATGCCGTGGTTGATGGTGTAGTAGAGGATCGCGTTGGCTTCAATGTTGTGCCCGCCCATGCCGAAGCGCAGCCAGTCAGCGGCCGAAGTAACATTCATCAGCCCGGAGGAGTCGATGTAGCCGAGGGACCATGAGAGGGCAAGCTTCCACTTGTCCCAAAGACCCTGCACATACGTGATGTCGCCAGTGTACAGGTAGTGATCGGCAACACCAATGAGTGTATACAGGTGGTACGTAAACGATACGATATTGGGGAACGGTCGCCCGGCATATGGGAGGCGACCGTCCTCTGCCTGAACGTCGAAGAGGGAGTTCAAAGAGTTCTCGATCGAGATCACATCATTGGTAGAAACGACAACACCAGGAACGCCAATAGCCATGTCTACGCTGCTGTCAGTTGCACTTCTCTGATGTGGCGAGCGTGGACTTACCGCCTGCCCACACAAGTCGATCGCGCTTCGCGCCGTCCACCAAACTGGAGGTACCGTTGGTGATTGTGGCGTTGTAATACCACGTGACATTAGTGGCGTCAGAGACTGATGAATTGATTTCGCGAATATGAATCAGAGCATCGCCGTGCTTAGGATCGATAGTGCAGAGCTGATTAGTGTATGCACCAGCATACCAGATGCGGTTCAAAAGCTCGTCTGTGCATAGTAAGTTAACAAATCCCTCATAACAATGCCGCCGACTTACCATCGCAGTGGAAGTATCCAGTGTAGTTTGCGATTGCATCGTCCTCCCAATGCGGCATCGCGGTAAAGTGGACTTCCGCACCCGTGACCTCAACCGTGCCAGTCGAGTTATGCACTAATGTCATATACCTGAAGCCTCCTCTCTCTTTGTCTCTCGGTGCAGTGTACCGCCCTGGCTCTGTGACGTGGAACCAAAGAGTCTCGTCCTTTCCAGCATCAGCGGTTGCATCAGAAGATGCATTTGAAACCCATAACGAGCTCTCGGAGAACGTGACGCCAATGTACTGGGACGAATCCGAGACTGCGCCAATGTTCAAGGACACAACGCCGGCAATGTTGACACCGAAGTCGTAGGAGGTGGCTGCGTCGCCATCGAAGGTCGAACTACCGTTTGACTGCGTGAGGCTTTCGGGGTTGCTGACTGAGCCATTGGTGTTGTGCACCGAGACAGGATTCAGGGTTCGTGATCGAGGTGCCAGGATGTACTGATCATATGGGATGGCGACGGCAGGCGCAAGAAGCGCCGCTGAGGACAGAACCGAGAGTAACTTCATCTTGCGACGAGTCTACTTTTCGAAACGTCTGGTTCCTATTCACTATATACTTGAGTGCCACCGAAGGCCTGCGCGGGGACAAAGTCCCCATCTTCAACTGCCGTACTGAAGATGCGCAAAGCTATCGGACGAGCAGAGACCGAAATGACGTTGTAGAAATGGTCCTAGCGTGACGTCGATCCTGAGATTGTGGGGAAGTGGGGAATGCTTGTTTGCCCGGTGGCGGTAATTGGGCGTAGCTTTTAGCTTGCTGCATCGAATGCAAACTCCTGACCAAATTTTCGGACCTTCTGTCCAGAATCTTCGAGCAACGGTGGAGCATTGCAGCGGAATACTGCGGTTAACAGCCTTCGGCCACTGAGGCGTCAGCTTGCCCTGTCAACATCTGGCACATAGCTGCACCGAGCCCAGCAAAGAAGAAGTGAGGGGTTGTCAAAGAGAAGAAATTTGTCATCGTGTACTGCAAGCTACAGATTGTAAGAATGTAGATCCAAATCGGATCGAGGCAAACACCAAAACACCACCCTAGTTGTGTATACCCTCATCCGAAAGCCCAAGCCAGAACGCCATTGTCATCAACGTAAAATCGTCATTTCCGATTGCTCGCGCAAAACTCGACAGCCATCCCGTGTTCTGAGCTGCATGCCGAATTCGGATTGCTCTTCTTGCAAAGATTCTCCTATCACACAAGTCAGCTTACATCCGCTCAGCTCCGACAAGCCCGTCACATACCTCGTACAAATACGCCTGATCATCGCACCAAGCGCCAGCACCGCATTGGAAACTCAAAGCGTCCTTCGAAGGACCCATCTGGAGTCCAGCCTCATGTCCAGCGCAAGCAGAAGTGTCGCCGTTCCTCAGGCCGTCTTCGCTGCGGCCGAGGCAGTCGATCAGGCTGATGTCGTACCACACTGTCCCGGCTGACACTGCATATTCGATCTGCACGGGCTTGGAGAAGTCGCCCTCCTTCTTGGAGACTTTGAGGTTGACACCCGAGCCCTCGGGTGCGGCTTCGAAGGGCCGGTCGAGCTTCTCGCCGGCGGGGACGTGGCCGAGTTCCTCGACTGTGTTGCCGACGTGCGGCTCAAAGTACAGGTCGTAGTCGCAGAAGTTGTAAATGGTCAGCGTACCTGGGGTGGAGTCCGGCCGCTGGAAGAGGGAGAGCTGCGGGATGTCGACGTCGTCGACGGTCGGCTGGGGAGTGTCTGGCAGTGGCCAGGGAATCTTCCACGGGCATGTCACGGGGATGACCCAAGACTCTACACGAGCAAGTACTGAGTCGACAGCATCAGAGACCATGTCTCCGACCTGTTCGGTCGTGTTCTTGACCGCGTCGAGGACATCGTCGACACCTCGGGTGAGTTGGATGTCTCGATGACGGTGGAAGTGATGTATTCCATGCGGTGTCGCAGAAGCCACAACCACAGAAGAGAGGAGTAAAACAGCTGGCCGCATACTGTTGAGAAACAAAGAACGCCAAGGCGTTGGTGAAGTCCGTTTGAAGGAGTGTAGGAATCGCACAGCGACTCTGTGGAGCAAGTTCCAAGAATGAATGGCTGGAGGAGCGAGTGACAAGCAAAACAACAGCCATAGTCCGAGCCGGCGTTTCCGTCTCTCTTATACAAAGCCCGTCGCCCACCCATTTCGCGATGTTCAGCTTATGGCTGGGGGCCAGACCAGCTCGGGTTGAAACAGGGCGTGTCCGAAGTCCGAAATGTAGGTACGCAGCATCGAGGCACCTTGTCGGGTACAAGGCGAACCAATCGATAAGCTTCGGCAACTACAACGATGTGCGGTACCTGGATGTCTGAGCTGGCTGCCGCCTCGTGGCCTTGGATGCGGTGGGAACTGAGTTCGTCATGCTGATTGGCTGGGTTTGAAATGAGCGCTAAGCGAGTGAGATGACATGGAGGTTGACAACCTTGAAGTTGCAGCATACATGACGTGGATGAAGTTGCAATTTCCACTATCTCTACGAAGAAAGAAAGACACCGCTCAGTGAATGCCACGCTGTCGCCGTGCCGTTCACGGTAGTCGAGCCGAATGGTACACACGTGGCTGCGCAAGCCGCTTGAGCTGTTCACATTCCCCGCAGTCAACAGGTCTGCGTCCTCGACGGCATCATTCCCAGCCGTGAGGGAGATTAGGAGAAAGCATGTTGAGATGAGGTCAAGATGAGCGTCGCAAGGCATGTGCCTCCCAACCAGTGGCACTGCCGCCCTCCAACGACTCGAAACACGCCAGGCACAACACCCCGCTTCAACACTGGCTGTTATGTCTCTCTTCAGCCCTGCGACAAGTTGCCTTGAGGCTACGCTTTGAGCGAGGACCGTCATGCTCTGCACCTGTCTGCTGATGACCGTCTAACTCTACCAGGTCGGCGTATATCTTCTCCCAATCCACAACCTTCTTGTCCTTTTTGCCATCGTTCAGGTAGTTGGCACCGACTACCTGCGAAACAGGTTCTTTGGGCTTCCTCCAATCATTGTACCAACGCTGTAGCTCTTCAGTGATGCTGATCTGATTGGACGCAAAGATAGTCGACAGCCTGAGGAAGTGAGCGCGTTGGATTGTGAGTTCAATCGGTATGACTGCAGTGGCTTCGTCTGAAGTAGCCTGGTCTTTGCGTAAGTGCGGCCGCCCAGCTTGCTCGACGTCTAGAGATGCCTGGAGGTTGTCGCATAGCTTGGTGAGAGACGCTACCTTGGCGACGGCTTCGTTGCGTTCCTGCTTCATCTTCTTTTCTGAGGCCGCACGTGATTGCTTCTCTTGCAGCGCACCCTTCGCTTTCTCCTCTTGCTGTCCTGCTTCCGCCTTTGCGTTACGCACTTTCTTTCCCGCACCCTTCAGCTTGCCCATCTGACCTGCAATCTCGTGTTTGAGTGTCGCAATCTCGCTATTGGCAATGTGGAGATCCTCTCGCAGCAGCTTGTTCTCAGACTTATAGCGGTCTGTCTCATTCTCCAGTTGATTCAGACGCCGCACCACTTCTGCGGGAAGATCAACATCAGCAACGGCCCTCTTGTACACACGTCGCTGCAGGCTCTCATAGGCTTCTTTGTGTTTAGCAGCTTCTACTTGGAGTTGGTCACGCTCTCGCAGCAGCGATTTGATCGTGTCTTCTGCGTAGGTATCGACCCGCATACCGAAGGGTAAGCCGGTGTCGGTCACCGAGTCACCCACGATATCATCATCTGCTAGGCTCACGCCACCGATATCGTCGCTGTCCGACATGATTTCGACTGTCCCGCAGGCACTTTAAGATACAAATGCGAGGCTGCAGCTCCTTCAGTTTGGGAGGTCGCGACTGCCAGTAGTGAAGGGCAGGTCAAGGTCGAAATCCTTCAGCTTCATGTCAGTAAACAAAGCAAATACGACGCACGGGAGTAGCTAACTGTAAAGATGCACGAATAAATTCATAGACGGTGCGTGGCGTGCGTGTTGTTGTGTGCGCTTGCGATATGAGCCGAAGTGGAAAGACCATACCCCACGCGCACGTCCCCGGTGAGAGTGAGAGTGAACATTACTCCAGTTCTGCTCCTCTGTACTGATAACATAGAATTGCTCTAGCAAGAGATTTGATGATCCAGACCGTGTGTCATCCGATGTATACAATGCGAGTGTGATTCGCTGTGGCATACTTCAGCGCTGAGGTGTAGCTCGGTGTAGTGTGGGTGAGGCTCGTTCGTAGCGCATTATCGGTCGCATGAGTGCAAAGATCGTAGTAGATTTCCTGATGCTTCTTCAAGATAGCGTGCGTGGTGTAAGATCAAGCGGTCGATGGTTGGGGATTAGAGGAACACTTAAGTCGAAACGGGAATAAAAACAACACTTTTACCATAGGGCTCAGTTCAAGTTAACAGAAGATCGAGACGACGTTTCTGGCTCTGAGTGGAATCGCATGGTCTCATCTCGGTTCAAAGAACGGTTTGTCGTATCGGAGCAGTTTGTTGTTTGGACTTGCGCTCACTGGAGATTGTTTTGTTGAGGTGATTGAGCAAGCTTCCTGTGCCTTCTTCAGTGAGAGACGACGCAACTCCTAGCTCCACAGCTGCTCTTTGTTATGTGATGATTGATATAATGCTTTCGGGTAAGAGGAGCCTCTAGTACTTGTCAGTACTGACTAAGAAGTGAAGTGAGTTGAGACTGTTCCAGCTGATGCTATGAGAACCTTAGTTTCAGGTACACGGTATGGCACAAGCGTATGACTTCGTTGTTGCTGCTTTGCTGTGAATCCTGTGTTTGTTCTAGAAATAGCAAATACATGCGTGCCCATCTTGATACCCCTACATATATCCTACCGTGACTCCCATTTCGTCTTGACTTCACTGTATCAACTATTAGTCAACACTTTCTCCCCGTCACTCACACGCACTCCAATCAACAACTTCAACAAAACCTCCACCAGAGTTGATAAGTACCCACTCTCATCCACCTCGCCGACGAGCAACCACCACTTCCCACCATGAACCCAACCGCCGCGCCCTTCATCTACAAACCAACCACATCCAGCACCAGCACCCACAACTCCCCCACATACACCCTGCCGAACTTAAACCCCACTGCACCACCACCTCCGCCGCAAGCCACACCCACACCAACCTCCGGCCACCACGCCGCAGTCCTGCATCCCGCGCACAACACAAACCCAGCCCTACACCCCGACACCCCCCGTTCGAACCCCTACCTCACCCCGCCGCCCTCCCCCACCATCCAAGGCATCCGTCTCCCCAACCCAAACCCCCACAAATCCGCATCTACCACCCCACCCCCCGAACCCCACGAACCCCCAACCCACAGCGCTACCCCCGACCTCGCCCGCCTGCGCGCAGACACAGCGCGCCTGCACACGTTGAACGGGGAGGCGCGGCGTGTGCTTGCGGCCAGGCGGGGGGTGTTGCGGGAGTTGGATTGGCGGGTAAGGAGGGGGGGAGGGTGGAGTTTGTTGTGCGTGAGGGGAGGGGGAAGGGGAGGAGTTCTTAGGGGTGGTGAGGGTGTTTATGTCGTGGATGAAGGGTCTCCAGGGATTAGAGGGTAGGGTGTATGTAAACGGAAAGAGACGGTGGGGTGGATCGTGTGTGACTGTCGCGTGCAGCTTGGTCATGGTAGTAGAGGTGAAGTGCAGCGCTAGTTGCCCAGTGTTCCGACTAGCTGCCATCTACATCGGCCACCAATGCACTCTTTCTGACAACGCAGTTCTTTCTATTTTACGATAGATTCCAACTGACCCGAAATGTCTAAACAGCTCACTTCTCACTTGTCATACACTGCTCTCGCCGTCCTGTCCATACCCCCCATCCAGAACTCCAACCCAAACCCACGCCCCCCGGCCAGTACCCACCTGGCCAAGTGACGGCCCTCCACCACTCTCCCAAACCCTAAGTCTCCGGCTCTCCCGTGCCCTTAAGCTTCTTCCCAGCACCCCCCTTCCCACCCTTCTCAGCCGCCGAAACGCGAACACTCGCCAGCGACCCACCACGAGCGCCGCCCGTCGCCGGCAGCGCGGGGAAGTCCTCGCCGTCCTCGCCGTCCTGTCACCGCGTTAGCTACTCCTCAACACCCACAATGCATGATCTACTTACTTCGCATCCCACCGCCAGTCCGCGCCGGCGCCCGCCGCCATCTCGCTGCCCGTTACCATGGCCCGGGCCACCGGCTGCTGTGTTGCGCAGATGTGCCTCCAGCTTCTGCTTCGCGGCGTCAGCGAGACGCCCGGATTCGACATGCCGCAGCGCGATTTCGGCGTCGACGGCTGCGGTCTCGGCCGCGAGGGAGTGCTGCTCGGCCTGCTCGCGGGCGTGCTCGCGCTCGAGAGCGCTCTGGAGGCGGTGCAGACGCTCTGGCTCCGTGGTGTTGGGGAGGACGGGCTGGGGGGCTGGGGGCGGGCACGGAGGGGTGGCGGGCGGGGGCAGGGGCGCGGGGCCGCGTGCTGTGGCCAGGCTGGCGAGGTGCTGCAAGAGCTCGAGGGCGGTGAGCTCGGCGGCTTGTTGCTGGGTGCGGAGCTGGTCGTAGCCTTGTTGGAGCGCGGTGTTGTTGTGTTGCAGCGCCTTGATGTCGGTCTCCAGCATCGATCTGGTCGCTGTCCAGGCCGCCTTCTCGTGGGCCGCTTCGCTGATCTTGGTCTCCAGTTCATGGAGCCTGGTCGTGGCCGCGTCCAGCTTGTGAGCCTTGATCTCCGCTGCGGCAAGGCGTTCAGCCATCGCAGACTGCTCCTCCTTGACGCGCTTCTCAACCCGCTGCTCTACTTTCTGAGAGAACGATCCCTCCAGCCTGCGCTGTTGCTCGTCAAAGGTCTTCTGCTGCAACTCGGCCTCCTTCTGCTGCACCTCGCCCTCCTTCAGCAGCGTCCGATTCTCCGCCGCCAAGCTCGCCGCAAGACGCTGCTGAGCCTGCAGCCTGCGCTCCAGCTCAGCTCTAGCGCCATCAGACGCCAGCAGCTGCGCAGCAAAAGCCTCCATATCCTTGCCGCTCCACTTCAGCGCGCAGCTCTTGCACGGCACCGGCTTCTCAATGGCAAGGTACACGACGCTGTTCGGTAGCGCGAGATACGCATGCATGATCGCGCTGTGGGCTTTGCGAAGACAAGAGATTTGGAGAGCGTCCGTGACGGCGTTGTAGAAGTGCTCGAGGGGTCGCTCTAGGTCTTTGAATTTGGCGTCGTTCACGTCCCAGTGTGTGCTTGCCAGCGACTTGAATTCTGCAAAGGTGCAGATGGCAACTTTTGCAGCATCCGCAGGAGGATCCTGAGTAGATGGGCGCCGGTTGGTTTCTTCGCCGGCCTCCATCTGCGGCATTGGTGTGCTCATCGAGAGGTGAGTTGAGTTGAATCTTGGCCGTCGTACGTTGTTCGAGGGCAAGGTCGTGTTCTGGTGTGTGGATATGAAGTCGAAAAACAGTAGAATCGTAGGTCGAATTGTGTTGATCTGTCAGTGGATTTGAACTTCTGCAGATTGAGCCGGTCGGCTGGGATTTTTTATATCTTCTCTTGAGCTAAGAGGAACAAGACCCCAGGCCACTGCGAACTGATGTCTTGCGGCGAGTGGATTGTCTCAGACCCTCCAAGACGTAAGTCTGGTGTAACTTTAGATGACAAGAGCGGGAAGTGGACATGTCTCAAAGTCAGGGCCACCGCAAAGCTGCTGCTCAGACACGCCATCTCAGCGAAGTCGAACGTAGTCCCAGAGCTTTGCACGTCAGGATTGTTGAAGACATGGGCGGGAATCCGGTGGGCTCGTGTGAAATGGACATGTCTCATCGTCAAAGCCCCCCAGAACTGCAGCTCAGACACCCCATCTCGCGAGGTCGAACGTAGTGCCGGAGCTCTGCACGGCTCCGTGTTATCCAAGACACCGACGAGACATCTGGGCGCTCTAGTCAGCAGCCGGCGAGCAGAACGCTCGCATCTCAGCGCCGGGATGCCAGCGTGCCCGCTCACCGCAATCGACGGGAGAACACTCCACAGAATCTGGAGTGAAGCGCTTGCCCACGCGACCCAAGAGCCCTCCCCCTTTGGCAGTGTACCACGAACCCACGAACCTGTCGAGTGTGATTCCGAGCCGGAGCATCCACTGGATTGGACCCCGACGCCTCTCTTTCTCCGCGGGGCCGCCTGTCTGCACATAAGCAGTCGATGTCAGCGAACGTACTTGTTGGACCTATCCAAATCACCAGCAGCACAGCACAGGCCGCATCGGGGCAGGTGGAGTGGTATATGTATTTCGTTTTTCGCTAGGACATGTGAGTGCCTGTATATTCACCTCGTGCCTTCATACTCTCCTCACGCTTCGATGTATCTCGCGCAGGGCGCTCGTGAGGCGTGCGCGAGGCCGAGGCGCGGTTCCTCACGATTCCTCCGTTGCGACGTGTCGGCTACGCGGTCTCCTCGTGGCACGCAGTATCTCGCGGGCTGCGCTCTCGTCTTGTTGCAGTTCCACCGCACCAGCGCCGCCGACACAGCCACGCCCCAACAGCCACACACCGCCTGATCCGTGTATCCGCATCTTGCACTCTGCTTGCCCCCTCAAAACGGCTTAGCAGCCTTCCGCGCCTCCCCAACCCCAGACACCGGATCCCTAAACTCCCTCCAACTAACCGGAAACATCAGCCTCCCCTCTGCACTCCTCGCCATAACAACCCCAAACTTATTCTCACTCGTGCTAACATAGTAATTACTCTGATCGCCCAAACTGACCACGGTTCCGCGCACCAGATCGCCCACCCGAAACGAGTCTTCCATGCGTATTTTATCCTTCTCCGTGGCCCGGATGTCCTCGCGCCGGATCTGGCCTGCGAACGACTCGCGGCAGACCACGTCGTCGACGACGAGGATCTCGCAGGCTGCGGCGCGGGGGGTTAGGCGCGTGATGAGCGCGAGTACGGTGCTGGATACGGCGGGTAGGAGGGGCGCGCCGCTGCCGGAGCTGGGGCCTAGGATGCCCGGGTCGGCGGTGGGCGGGCGCTGGATGGAGAGGAGGGAGGGCGCGGGAGATGTGGGCGATGTGGGCTTTGGGGTGGAGGTCACGACGGGGCCGCCGATGGAGGCGTAGATTTGCGATTCATGAATGTGTGTGCCTGGCCCCGGGAAGTATTTGTCTGCGCTGCCGAGGAGTTGGCCGGGGAGGGCGAGGGAGGGGACGGCCATGAGGCTGGAGGGATGACGGGTGGTGTTCGAGGTTGTACAGTTTATCGGTAGTTTGCGACAGCAATTAACGTGTTGTGCGGGCGCTGAGGCGTGGATGTAGTGTTGTCACTGTCGTGTTGGTGGTTGTCGCACTGCCGGTGGTGTTCGACAACTTTTTAGTCGCCTAATCTTTACGTCACGCGTACACCTGCCACACAACGCGACGGACGATCTGCAGTTATACTCTGTTAAGACACTACATATGTTGTTACCAATGCTGCCGACGCCAGCACAAAAGCAGCCGCAGTGCGGTGCGTACCAGAAGCGCAGCGCTTCTATTGTAATGGTTCCAGACCCGCCACCGAATCGAACACTCCCCGGCCGTCAACGCCGTTTTGTAACCCAGCATTCAAGCATTGCTCCAGTCGCCGAGTGATGCATCCCACGCAAAAATCATGAAAATCATTCGCCCGTGGAGACGGCGCGGTGCGCAGAGGGGGGGTCCCGCGAGACTGTGTCTCGTGCGCCGGCGCTGCGCTGAGGCGTGACATAGCGCCTGAGCCGGCCGCGCGAGTCCATCTCGAGCCGCAGCCATCTCCGATCAGGCGGTGCACGCTGTTCCGGCGACTAGACGGCCTGGTAGAGGAGTAGCGGCTCGCCGATGTTCTCTATCTCGGGGATGGTGCACTTGAGGTCGAACGCCTTGGACAGGACGATCTTGAAGATCTGGGCGTGTTAGCGTGGTGTGGTGGTTGTAAGAACTGGCGCACCTTTTGCACGTTGATGCTGTGACTTGTGCTGCTGAAGATGAGGCTGGCCTTCATGGCGCGCGCAAAGCGCTTGGCCTGTGTGTGTCAGTCAACGAATGCGGTACGTGCTAGTATATATGTACCTGGTTCGAAATCTCCTCTTGCTCCTCGCGCGGGAAGTTGACAAAGTGGTCGTACTTGGTGCCGACCAGAAACGGGATGGCGGTCTTGTTGAAGCCGCGGCCCTGGCGGTACCATTCCTTAATGGAGTTGAGCGTGCTCTTGCGGGTGAGATCGAACATGAAGAGAATGGCGACGGCGTCGTTGCACACGAGGGGCAACATGTTGACGAACTCGCGCTGGCCGCCGAGGTCCCAGATGGAGAAGGTGATTTCTGTGTTGCGGATGGAGATTGTCTTTTCCATGAAGTTGACGCCTGGCGAGTTAGCAGGTCACGGCATGTTGTAGTATGTGGGGTACGCACCCAAGGTCTGGATGTAGTCCTCGTCCCAGCTGCCCTCGACGTACTTGACCATCAGACTGGTCTTGCCGATCTGGGCGTCGCCGACCATGCCCACCTTGATGACGACGGACGAGTTCTTGGCGGGCTCGGGGGCGGTGGTGCGCGCGTTCTGGTCCTGGTACGAGTTGGAGCGGCCGCCGGCCTCGGACGTCGAGTAGCGGCCCATCTGCGAGCTGGGCCGCGACTGCGACTGCGGGTGCTGTGTGTCCTTGGGGTCGTGGTAGGCGCGCGGGGGCGTGTCGGCGTCGGACGAGTTGAAGCGCGTGCCGTTGTGCGGGTACTGGTAGGCCGTGTCCGAGTACGAGGTCGAGGGCCGTTGGGGCTCGGGGGTGTATGCGCTGGCGGGCGGGTTGCTGGGGTGGAACTGCGGCGGCGGCGACACGTTGGCGGTGACGGTGCTGGCGGTCAGGTCGGCGTCGGGGTCGTCGGCGGGCGGGAGCGCGTCGGGCGCCTCGTGCACGTCGGCGGGGGGCTGCTCGGGCGGGAGGTCCATGGCGGCGGGGTGGAGGAGACGGTGGGCGAGACGTGGAGGGCGGGATCTGGGACGGGCGAGGGATGGACTTCCAATGGCGCGGCAAGGCAGTGGCTGCAGTGGGAGCGGTAGGCGCTGGAGCCCCGCGTCAACGTCAGGGGCACGAACGGCACGCGTCGCGGTGGGACAACAACTGAACAGGGCACGCCGTCGGGGCGCGAGGGAGACCGTGCAGGCTGCGAGGCTCTGCTGACGTCGAGACTGGAGGCGGTAACGCGCTGGCGGTGGGATGCGCCGACTGGGATGCTGGCACTGGCGGGTGGGCCCTGCGACTGCGTCCTACCTAGCGCACAGTGCCGCACACTAGGCGCGCTCCACCCCGCCGAACTTTTTTTGGCCGCGCACCGCATGCGAGCCGCCCGCCGCAGCACACCGCACACCGCACACCCGCACACACAACGCCCACCATGGCCAAGCGACCCGCGGATTCGGACGCGCGCGAGGCGATCAAGAACGGCGACCGGCCCGCCGACGGCGCCGTGAACGCGGCGACACCGGACGGGCTGGACTTTGAGGACGAGTTCGAGGACGAGTTCGAGAGCGAGGACGAGATCCTCGAGGCCGGCGTCGACGGGCGGCCCGACGAGGAGCGCGAGGCCGAGGAGCGCCAGGGTGAGTCTATGCGATACTCGGGGCGCAACAGACCATACTGACCGCCAGACGCCATGGACGTCGACCAGGACACCTTCATCCCCGGCCGCCACAAGCTGTCCGCCGGCGAGACCCTCGCGCCCGACCTGTCGACCTACGAGCTGCTGCACACCCTCGACGCCCCGTGGCCGTGTCTGTCGTGCGACATTGTGCCGGACAGCCTGGGCGCCGACCGCCGCACCTACCCCGCCACGCTCTACGCCGTCGCCGGCACCCAGGCCGCCCAGGGGCGCGAGAAGGAGAACCAGCTGATGGTCATGAAGATGAGCAGCCTGTCGCGCATGGAGCGCGAAGAGGAGGACGAGGACGAGGACGACGAGGACGACGACGCGTCCGACCCCATCCTCGAGACCAAGTCGATCCCGCTCGCCAGCTGCACAAACCGCGTCCGCGCCCACCAGTCGCCGCAGGCCACGTCCGCGCGCCCGCCGACCACCCTCACCGCCGCCATGATGGAGTCGGGCCAGGTGCTCATCCACGACGTCACCCCGCACCTGACCTCGTTCGACACCCCCGGCACCACCATCACCGCCGCCCAGAACAAGCCCGTGTGCACCATCCGCGCCCACAAGGCCACCGAGGGCTACGCGCTCGACTGGTCGCCGCTGGTCCCCGAGGGCCGCCTGCTGACCGGCGACGTCGCCGGCAACATCTTCACCACCACCCGCACCCAGGGCGGCGGCTTCGTCACCGACACCACCCCCTTCACCGGCCACCGCGGCACCGTCGAGGAGCTGCAGTGGTCGCCGTCCGAGAAGCACGTCTTCGCCTCGGCCTCCAACGACGGCTGCGTCAAGATCTGGGACGCCCGCTCCAAGTCGCGCAAGGCCGCCGTGACCATGCAGGTCAGCAACACCGACGTCAACGTGCTGTCGTGGTCGCGCCAGACCGCGCATCTATTAGCCTCTGGCGCCGACGACGGCGAGTGGGCCGTGTGGGACCTGCGCCAGTGGAAGCCGTCGTCGCCGCTCGACGCCGCCCCCAAGGCCGCGCCCGTCGCCAACTTCACCTTCCACAAGGAGCAGATCACATCCGTCGAGTGGCACCCGACCGACGACAGCATCGTGGCCGTGTGCGCCGGCGACAACACCCTCACCCTGTGGGATCTGGCCGTCGAGCTCGACGACGAGGAGAGCCGCGACACCGCCGGCGTGCAGGACGTGCCGCCGCAGCTGCTCTTCGTGCACTACATGGAGCAGATCAAGGAGGCCCACTGGCACCCGCAGCTGCCGGGCACGCTGATGGCCACGGGCGGCTCCGGGTTTGGGTATGGCTCTGTATCGCTACTAGCAGCGCGCGCTAACGCCCCGCAGTGTATTCAAGACTATCAGCGTGTAGCCCGCTGCAATCAGAAAAGTTCCATCGCCAAGCCTATGACCTCAACGCGTGATCACGTTACTTCACCCGCAACCGGCCGCCGCCTGGAATGCGCTAACACCACACGCACGCAGCGCCCCCGTCCCCGACTACCCAGAACCACTCCCACACTAACGCCGCCCTACCGTGAAACCAGCATGTGCCCCCGCCCGTCGCGAACCATAGCGGTCGCCCTCTCGCCGTCGCCGCTCACCGCCGCAGCGCCACCATGTTGACACGCAAAAACATCTCGCAATGTTGACAGGCACCATCACCCCGTACCCCGAGCCTGCGCCGTCCGCGCAGCCCCCGCGCGCACAGCCAGCGCCCGCCACGCACCCAGACGACACGCATATCCTGGCCCTGGCCCAGCACCAGCTGCGCTCGCACCTCGATCCGCGCGCACATCCATACTCAGATCTACATCCACATCCACATGCACACCCACACCCACGCTTACAGACACACTCCAATCCACATCACACCCCAGCGTCGCGGCCGCACCGACATTCGAATCGCAGCGTGCCAGCCGCGCAGCATGCGCAAGGGCATGCGCATGCGTATGCGCACTTCCCCTCCCCGCCGCCCGACGACAACGACGCGGACGCCGCAGATGTCGGCGCCGGCGCGGTGCGGCAGTCGATTGAGCGCGCGTGGGACAGCGGCGTGGAGAGCGGTGCAGACGGTGCGGACGGTGCGGACGGTGCGGATGGTGCGGACGGTGTGGACGGCGCGGACGGCGTTGTGGAGAGTGTTATTGAGAGTGTCGAGGACCACGTCGAGTTCAACGCCAACGCCAGGACTGGAACTGAGACTGGGACGCAGACTGCGAGCGACGACGACGACGACGACGACGACGACGACGGCGTGCGCGGCGAGTGGTGGAGCACGTGTGGCCTGCAGCGCGAGAGCTGGGTGCGGCGGGCGGGTCTGAAGCGGGGTGTCGAGGGGGATCGCAGGGGCGGAGGGAAGCGGGGACGCGCTGGGGGCTAGCTGGGAGCACTGTGGACTGCAGAGCGGAGGTGTCGTGGGCCGTGAGGCGGTGGTTTGCTACTCCAAGTCGTGAAATTATAGCCTGACATGCTCGTCCTTGTATTCGTTTCACGTTTCACCTCCCCGACGCACTCCTACGCCGCCCGCTCAATCGGCCGCGCCTGCGCCCTGGCCTCCGCGGGGAACAGCGGCGTCCCCGCCTCGCCCATCTCGCGAATCCGCTTGATCAGATTACTGCGCGCGTTAGCCATTAGCCTCTCTCACCACATCACCACCCAGCGTCAAAAGCCACATCACATCACAAAGAATGAGAAAACAAGCACTCACTCAACAGGCAACCGCGACGCCTCCTGCTCGCGCCACAGAATCCCCACCGCCTTCTCCCTCCCCTTGCTATGATCCTCAAGGTGCTCCGTGATCAGCGCCCGGCCCCCTTCTTTACTGCACCCGTAGATGCGCTGCGCGCACCCGTCGAAGCCGCACAGCCACGAGTCGCGCGGGCCGTTGGGCGTGTATGTGGGGAGCGGGGTGGACGCGAGCGCGGGGAGGAGGGGGAGTGTGGAGGGCGCTGTGGGGGGGCGGGCGCGCAGGGGGACTGCGGCGGCGGATGGGGCGGGGGAGGCGGAGGCGGTGCGCGGGGGGGACGAGGGCGGGGGGGAGGCGCTGTGTGTGCGTTTGCGTTTTTCGGCGTGGGGCGGGGAGGAGGTGGAGAGTTTGCGTTTGGGCGCGGGGGAGAGGGCGTGGGTGGGTGTGTCGAGGGGCATGTCGTCGGCCGAGTCGGAGTCTGACACGGGGATGGGCGGTTTGGTCTTTCCTTTGCCGGCGCGCTGCACGCTTTTGCCTGTGGAGGATTTCCCGCTCTTGGGGCGTAGCACGGATAGTGTGCCCTTTTGGCTCCTTCTGGGTGCTCGGTGTTGTGGTGTTGTTATGTCATCTTCCTCATCTTCCTCATCTTCCTCGTCGTCTGTGTCTGATGACTCGCTTTCTTCGCCTTGTAACCGCCCTTGGTGCTTTCGCGGTCGCAGTTCCATGCCCTCCGCTCTTCTCTGCTCGGCTGCCGGCAGGCTGTGTCCAGCTCTCAACTCGCCGTAGATTGGCTCTGCTGCGAAAAAGCGAATGTTTCGCCGCCGGGGGTGGTCCATCATGTAGCAGAGGCTCTGCGCGTGCACTAGAAGTATGTTCCGCGCGACCTGTACATCCTCAATCTCGAAACGTCTGATGATCAGCTGGGCTACTCGATCCACTGTGATACTGTTCCGCCCCGCTCGTATCACGCGCTGGTTGACAGCTCTCTGCATGAATGCGAACAGCGTCGCTGCTTCCCACCAGTTGTCGTCTTTCTTTGGCGGTTCGTCTGCCTTAGCCACGACCGCCGAGCCTCTGCTCGTTTGCGCCTTCGCGGATGGGACTGGCGCTGGCGACGTTCTCGTGCGAGATGTCTTGACATCTGTAGGGCGGCCTGCGCTCCGGGCCTTGCATCGTTCAAACTCTTTCTACGCATCGTTAGCACCTTGAATCTCCTCAGTGAGGATGGCCTACAGGATATGTTCGTCTGAAGGTCTGATAGAGCGGAGTGTTGCTCCATCCGATGTCATGTGCCCGCGTCACGAAGCACAACAAAAGGAACTCGCGATGCTTGCGAAATATCCCCTCTGCCTCTACGATATCATTACAGGGGAACCTGGGATCCTCAGCGTACTGCATAGCGTCAGTACACGTTCCGCAACACCTGCCACGCCACTCACTTCCTGGTAGATCAACGCGGCACTCGGTCCGCCACCCCTCTTCCTCGGCTCGTTGTAGATGTCGGTCACGAAGTAGAGCAGTTCCACAGCTTGCACCATGTCGTCGAATATAGCCTTGAAGTGCGCTGCAGGCCGGATCTCGAACCATCCTGCTTCGCCCAGCGCCCAGAAGCCGCAGCTGCCGTCGGTCATCTGGCCGTAGCAATAGCGTGTGACGTTGCGTACTACGATTTCGGTAGGTTTGTAGGGTTTCTTAAGCACTGAACATTATGTCAGAAAGTGAAGCTTGCATGATATCCCGAGCGTACGGTGGTATGAATGCTTCTGAGCTGGTGTCTCCAGACGGCCTTGTACCTTCAGCAGGGTGTCTGGGTACGCCAACAGAAGGCTGGCAGGCTTCCCATTGCTCTCGTATACGACCGACGCATTACTCAGAACAAATTCAGCCCAGTGGAGCTCGTTGAGCGAGGGCTCCATGGGCCTCAGGACGTCGGATTCGAGAATCGGCATGTTGTAGAATCGGTGTGGTGTATCGCATCGTGCGTCAGATCGCGGAGGTGAGTTAGAGCAGTACAGAATCAAGCAGCATCAATAGAAGGCGGTTCGCATGATCTGCCAATGCGGGCGCAATGCGGGCAGTGAGTAGCGCGTCCAGGCCAGCGCGTCGTGATTGGTGGAAGGCTGGCTTACACTATGACGCGCCTAAATCTTACACCTCAGTCATGCACATCAGGACTATGGATCGTGCATGCCGCTGTCTCGGACATATACCGTTGCTTGTTTTACTGAACAGCCTTGGCGAGGATACATGTCGCGGTCTCCACCATGTAAACGTTGTATCTCTCACACCTCACCACGCTGACCAATCGTCAGGAACGCGAATGCTAGCAGACGCAACGGCAAGCCGGCGTCGTGTGAGCCATGCAGACTGAACAAGACCAAGTGTGACCACGCATATCCAAAGTGTGAACGCTGTCGTCAGAGAGGTATCGAGGATCGCTGCTTCTACCACCCAGCACCGCTCACAAAACCGCGCAACGAGCATCCAATCGAAACGCCGAATGAGGCGCGGTCAGGTGAATCAAGACCGCTGAAGAGAAAGTATGAGCGCTGTCCGTCACCAAAGCAGTACTGACCATGCAGACGACCGACGATTCAACCACAGAAATCCCCTAGCACGGGAAGAGATGGAGGCTTCCCCCCTGCGACACCAGTCGAGGAGAAACTTGCAGATGCTGTCCCAGTCGACACGTACAGCCCTGGATATCTCGGGCCTGGCTCTTACGCACTGCTCCTGCCCCAGGATGACGCATCTGAACTGCCTCAAGAACGTGAGGCTTCCACGACAGTGGACACCCCAGAGCACGAATTGACCCATCAATACACCCTGAAAAAGGCTATGAGGCGTGAAGTGGTTACTAGCATTTTGAGTACTTTCCGTCATTACGCATTGATCCAGGAGTTGATCCTGTGGTACAACGCAAGCAACGAAGCTGGTGTGATTCCTGCACAACTCCAAATTGATGCCATCAACGCAATGGGGCCCTTTGTGGAAAAGCACAATCTCCATAAGTCGCCGCCAACTACCCAGCTTGTCGATCAGATTCTGGAGAACTCGAGCAAGCCGCTGTGTGTGAGCCACATCCCGAATCCGCGCGATCTCTGCAAAGCCTGTTCTGGAGACAATGTACGCCTGGAGATGATTGGATTTCTTCTTGCCACGGCGGGGAGATCGCTGACATTCGGATTCTCGCCAGATACCTTCAGTGGCCCTGGCAATCGGGGACTGAGGGCCAGATTTGTGGATGAGTTGCTCAGTGCAAGTACGCAGTGCATCACTATCACCTCGTTGATTGCCACAGTCAACGACATCACGGTGTGGATGTACTACGAAAACTACCTCTTCACCACCATGGTGTGTGGATACTCCGGTAAGCTATCTATACTTACTGATGCTGCCAGGCTGATCATATCTAGGGCCGCCTTCCTGGAGACGCATCAACGACCTAGCAACGCAGATCTACGCGTTGGGGATACACAAAGAGTCAGCATGCACCGATATCCCCATCTGGCTCACCGAGACCCGCCGGCGGATCTTCTGCTCCTCCTACAACCAAGACAAGTCCATCTCCACCTTCCTCGGCCGCCCCATACGCATCAGCAAGCGGCACACCGACATCAAGATGCCCCTCGATCTCCGCGACGACGAAATCACAGGCGACCCCGCCGACCTAGAAGCTGCTATCGCCCGCCTCGACGCCGACGGCTGGAACACGCGCGGCCAGCACCTCCGCGCCTCCTGGATCCGCCTGCGGCACATCGCCTCGCGCCAGCGCGAAGACATCCTCGACTTCTCCCTCACCACCATCGACTCGCGCGTGGAACACGACCTCCTCGACATCTCCGCCCGCATCCGCACCACCTGGGAAAGCCTGCCCTCGCACATGCGCTACTGGAAGACGTGCTGGGACGAGTCGTACCCGTCGAGCGTATGTCTGATGCTCGTCGTCATCCACCTCACGCACTGGTACTCGGAATTCATGGTCCAGAAACTGCTCGACCGCACCCCGCTGCCCGCCAACGCCGCCATGCTGCACGTCAGCATCGACCTGCTCTCGCACACCCTCGCGCTCGGCGCCATCCGCGACCGCACCTACGACACCCACCGCGACTCGCTGAACTGCATCCTGCTGTACGGACTACCCAGCGCGTCGGTGCTCGCCACGGCGCTGCGCGTGCAACATCGCACTGCTGTGCCGCTGCCGTCTGGTGTTAGTAAGGCGGAGATCGTGCGCATGCTCGCGGTGTTGATTAGCCATCTGGATGCCTCGGCGCATTTGGAGAACAGCGGGGCGCGCGCCGGCGAGGCGAATTACAATCTGTGCCGCAAGGCGAGTCGGATTTTCACGCGGGTGATTGACGAGGTTCTGGATACGGGCGTGGGTGAGGTTACACCAGCGAGTAATGAAAGCATGGATTTGGGGATTGAGGGCGAGATGGGGTTGGATTTGTTTGGGGTGCCGGGGTTGGATGGTTATGAAGGGTTGGGGTTTGCGGGGATGGTGGGTGGAACGGGGGTGATGGAGGGGAGTGGGCTGACTGTGGATTGGGGGGCTTTGGGGCAGTGGACCATGTAGGGTACTGGTAATGATGTAATGCGATGTGCTCAAGTTCATGTCGTGGGTTGTTAGAGCTAGAGCATGTGAGCAGCACGACCTTGTCATAATGTTTACTGGCCATCCACACGTACTTCAAACTTATGGACAGATGTGTAGTATTGTACATGTCATTACATTCTTTTCAACCTCGTCAATGCTAACGCCCTTCTAAATCCGAGCCGTGCTAAAGTACATGATATAACAGCATCGAAGCGGAGAGCGGGAGAGATACAAATATTGTACAAAGAATCTCCCTTCATCTTACACCGGGTATTGTCATCCCTCGCTATGCCTTCTCTCTCGTTTCGCCTCCGATCAATCCAGATGCTTAGCCAAGGATACGGGTGACGAGACCAGTGGCGACAGTGCGGCCACCCTCACGCATGTTGAAGCGCTGACCCTGCTCGAGAACGTGGGGCTGGTGGAGCTCGCAGACCATCTCGACGTTGTCACCGGGCATGACAAGCTTGGAGACGTCCTCGGTGCCCTCGGGCCATGTGAGCGCGCAGGACTCGTCAGCAGTTCGGATGAACATCTGAGGCCTGTAGTTGTCGCCAAAGCCGGTGTGGCGGCCACCCTCCTCCTTGCTGAGGACGTACATAGAGACGAGGAACTTCTTGTGTGCCTTGACCTGTCCAGGGACCGAGACAACCATACCACGGCGGACATCCTCACGCTTGATACCACGGAGGAGGAGACCGGAGTTGTCACCGGCACGCGACTCCTCGCAGGACTTCTTGAAGGTCTCGATATCGGTGACCTTGGTCTTGATGGGCGCAGTGCCCTTACCGACGAGCTCGACTTCCTGATCCCTCTTCAGGATACCACGCTCGACACGTCCAGAGACAACAGTACCACGACCGGCGATGGAGAAGACGTCCTCAACGGCCATGAGGAAAGGCTTCTCGGTATCGCGCTGAGGGGTAGGGATCCAGGTGTCGACAGCGGCGAGGAGCTCGTCGATCTTGGTCTCGCCAATCTCGGGCTTGCGGCCCTCCAGAGAGCACAGAGCAGAGCCCATGATGATGGGTGTGTCGTCGCCCTCGAAACCGTAGCTGGAGAGAAGCTCGCGCATCTCCATCTCGACAAGCTCCAACATCTCGGGGTCGTCGACGGCATCGACCTTGTTGACGAAGACGACGATCCTCTGGACACCGACCTGGCGGGCGAGCAGCAGGTGCTCACGGGTCTGGGGCATCTGGCCGTCGGAGGCGGCGACGACGATGATGGCACCGTCCATGTTGGCAGCACCTGTGATCATGTTCTTGATGTAATCGGCGTGACCGGGGCAGTCGACGTGGGCATAGTGGCGGTTGTCGGTCTGGTACTCGATGTGAGCGGTGGAGATGGTGATACCACGCTTGCGCTCCTCAGGCGCCTTGTCGATAGCGCCGTACTCGAGGAACTTGGCGTAGCCCTTCTCGGCCTGACGCTTGGTGATGGCGGCTGTGAGGGTGGTCTATGAGCGATCAGTGTGGGTTCGGCGGGCTCGGGGGCAAAGGAGGCGCTGTACCTTTCCGTGATCGACGTGACCAATGGTACCTGCATTGGTTAGACGGCGATATGCAGTAGAGATGGAACGCAAGCATACCGACGTTGACGTGAGGCTTGTCACGGGTGAAGGCGGCGTAGTTCCTGACGCCGTTCATCCACCTGCTGGTGCCCTGCGCGCCGAGAGCATTCTGGACGGGGTTGATGCCGCGCTGGTACTGGAAGGCGCTGCGCGCAGTGCGCTGGAAGACTCTCGAGAAGCTCGACATTGTGCTTAAAAGAGCGAGGACGCCGGTAATAAGTCACGAAGAATGAAAGAGAGGCGATTGGCAGAGATGGATCGAAGTGGCTGTCATCTGAGAATGCGATGGACTTTTAGTGCGCCTTCCCGCATTGGGCTAGTTACCAGCTCCACGCGCGAGCTCCATAGCGACGACCTTCCCGTGTAGCAGAATCCGATCGCGTGTGTGCTCAGTGGCTGTACATATTACACATTGCTCCTTTGCGCCAGCTGTCCGCCCGGAGTGCATTGAGCGTGTTCGCCTATTCCCGGCCTTCTTCCACTCGCCGTGCTGCGGATACCCGAGGTTCCTGTCGGCGATTGAGTGCTCAAAAAGTTGCATCCAGTACACGAAGCCGCTCCCACCACACACATGTCTCTCTGCGCGTTCGCAAGACGGACTCCCGCGTCGCTGAGCTGGGCTTCGCGGACACATACAGTCACCGCCATGCCTTTGCGCGCAAAGATCACACATCCTTCGTGGATGGCCGGCACACGAAAGGTAAAGCCGCCCAGTCCTGCCCTGGACGATTCTCAAGTCTGACGCTATGTAGTACTCGACGCCGACCGAAGAGGTCGAGGAGCTGGACGAAGAGTCCACACCGCCGGGCGAAGAGCCCATGACGCCGACAAAAACCCTCCTCAAGCATCGAAAGAGCGACAACCCAGATGATGTCATCTTCACCAACAACTACGGAGTGCGCAGCATCCAGCTCAACCGACCGGAGAAGCTCAACTCTCTAGACGGCTCCATGGTTCGCAAGATCATCCCCAGGCTGCAGGAGTGGGCGAAATCAGAGCTCGCAGGCGTGGTTGTCATCAAGGGCACAGGGCGTGCCTTCTGCGCAGGTGGAGACGTTGCGGCGTTGGCAAAGGCTAATCGGAGAGGCCCCAAGGGGCAGAAGGAGAGCTCGGATTACTTTGCCCTGGAATATAAGCTGGATCATCTGATTGCAACATACACGAAGCCGTACGTTGCCATCATGGACGGTATCACAATGGGCGGAGGCGTTGGTCTGTCCATTCACGCTCCTTTCAGGATCGCGACCGAGAACACCCTCTTCGCTATGCCTGAGACCACCATTGGATTTTTCCCTGACGTTGGCGCATCCTTCTTCTTACCGCGCATGGAGGGAGCGCTCGGCACATACCTCGCTCTAACCTCTGAGCAGCTGAGGGGCGTAGACGCCTTCTACCACGGCGTTGCGACCCACTACATCCATTCTTCGACCCTGCAGCAGCTTGAGTCGCGTCTCGCCGAACTGCAGTTCCCTGACTACATGCCCCTGCAGGATCGCTTCAAGATCATCAACGCCACAATCGAGGAATACAGCACTGGTCTCCCCGCCGACAAGCCTGCCATTTCCGGCGAGCTCCGCAAGGCCATCGACCGTATCTTCCACGTTGACCAGCCCAACATCAAGGCTATTCTCGCCTCGCTCGACGAACTCTCCAACGACACCAAGGCCTCCGAGCCCCTGAAGACCTGGGCCAGGAAGACCATCGAGACCATCGAGACTCGCTCTCCAATCTCCGTCGCCGTTACCCTCGAGCAGATGCGCATCGGTCGCCAGTGGTCCATCGCCCAGACATTCCAGAAGGAACACGACATCGCCACGGCATTCATGGCACACCCTGACTTCGTCGAGGGCGTAACCGCAAAGCTCATTCAGAGGAAAAAGGAGCGCCCCGACTGGAAGCCCAACACCCTCAACGAGATCAAGAAGCGCAACGTTCACGCTTTCTTCATCGGCAGAGACGACGGCCAGAAGCTGTCACTCCTTTCTGATACCGATTACACAGAATACCCGCATGCTTGGATTGGGCTGCCGCGCGAAGAGGAGATTATTCGTGAGATGAGCGGAAATAAGGCCGAGGATGCTATTGCGAATCTGCTGGAGAAGTACGATGGCAAGCAGGGTATCAGGGAGAAGGTTGCTGAGGTTATGTCGAGACTCGCCTTGTAGATGTAGATAGACAAGTTTAGTGTGTACGAATAGGAAATAAGACATTTGTGTCGAACTTAAGTTTCGTTTGTTCCTTCTTTTGCTGGGTATCAGTGATGAAGCTCTGACGAAAATGTATATCGGCAACTGGCTGCATACGGCATCGGTGAGGCCAGCACACCTGAACATCTTCGTATATCACACTTCCAGGCCCAATCAGTTGGTGGTGTGCGAGGGGTGTTATCACTTGTCGCCCTTGAATGAAGCGTAAACCTGCAGCGCCCCCTCGACGCTCTGAATGAACCCAAAAAGCAATGTCAGTGTCAATACTACTATGGCAACCCAGAAGGTATACCACTGCACTCCATTCCGTCGATCATACCACCACTGCGATAAGTTCCGCGGCGTCGCCTCATCGAAAACCTGTTTCAGCACCACCAACCGGTCGTGCCAAAACACAAACTTCTCAATCTGCCGATCATCTGTCTTCAAATGCCCACAAAACATCAACTGGTCGTCGACACAAGACTCTGCGGATAGCTGGCGATGCCACTTCCGAACCATCGGATCTGATTGTGGAAACAGTAGAGCGAGCGTGCGCTGCGTCTCCTCGACCAGGCCTGTCGGCAGCAGTGCGCTGCGCAATCAGCTGCGTTCCATCAACGGCCGCTGGGGACCCACCTGTTTGCCTGCCTCTTGAGAAACGCCGCGTGGTGGAACACATAGAGCTGCGTATCGTCATCGACGAGGCGCAGATGGTCAAGCAGGTTCGCGGTAGGCACGATCTCGATGCCGGCGATGCGGTCGAGGTTCCCCACGTTGAAGATGCGCGGCAGCTTGACGCCCTCATGCCCGAGTTCCGGCTTGGTGCCGAAATAGGTCTCGAGACATTGCGTCAGAGAATCGGTTTTCCATTCGAGTTGCTGGTTCCCACTGAAGCCGTATTCAACGTTCGTGCAGTCTACCATGAGCAGCAGGGTTGCTGTAAGATCAATCGCGCGGTTCACGAGCTCATCTTCGTTGTCGTGGGTCCTGGTCAGTTTTTGGCGCAGTTTCTGGCGTATGTGTTCGCGCGATTGCTGCTCGTGGATGAGTGTGGCAATGTCGACGAGGTCTTGGTGGGTGCGGGCCAGGACGTGCCTGCCTCCATCGTGCAGCGCGCGTTCACATTCTTTGTGGTAGAATTTCCAGTACACGTCGGAGATGTTTGGATTAACAAGGGGGCCTGGGATGCTGGACGGTTTCCAGAACGCGTCAATTATGCTACTTTTTGTTTTAGGACACGGAGGCTCGAGGAGCGACGTTGTGAGCGACATTGGTTTGCCAAGAGAACGCGCTCCAAGGGCAGGACCGACGGGAGTTTTCTATACCTAACGACGATCATGTCGCATCTCGAGAACAGGTGCGAGATCCACGCAGATCATTGCCTGCATCCTGCAATCGACTCGTGTTCCTCGTGGCTGTGTCGATGAGTATGCATAGCGATTGGTCAGATGCAGCATGGGTTTGCAGCCCTGCAGGCTGAGGGGCATCGTCAGCCTCAAGCCGCCAGCACAGCCTTCGACCTAAGAGGAGTCTACTAGAGCTCAGCTCGCCCAAGTTGAGCCTGTCTTCACCAGGTCATGATCGTGTCACCTGTTAACACTGGATGTCGATGACGGTAGCGTCCCTCAGCACATTTCCGAACATGAAATCATTGAACAGGATCCGCAGGAGCCGAGTCTCTCGCAGCATCAAAGCAGAACCAGAGGATATTCCGTCGAAATGGCCTTGCCCTCAGACATCCATAGGACGCTTTCTTTCATTGATCGGAGGCAAGTCCTGCTGGGAGGCGATCGGACCTGCACGGTCTATATTCGACTTGCTAGCCCCAGCGATCAAACTCCACCTCGACACATACAGCGAGCCTACATCAGAGTGGGTCAGCTGGTCGATTTATATGGTCGGATCATCCCCTGGAACCGCAGCGCCAACGATCATCTTCTGTTGTGAAAGCGAAAGATATCGAAAAGCGATCAGAAACATGATAAGAGACAGTGGCATTGTTCGCGCACATCCTGGAGTGGATTTAAAACATCTACCGAGAGCCCCAGATTGCAAGCAGCCGCTAGTACAACTATCGTCACGACCCGAAGAAGTGAACTTCGGCAACACTTCGACCACGGAAGGCTCTTCTTATTCTGTGTTTAGCAGCCTTCAACAGCCCACCATCGGCTCACTCTTACTCGTCGCTGACGGCCAGAACCACGGCGTATTCCGGAAAGCCACAAGCGGTGGGGTCATTCATATCAACAACTCGAAGTATGTGATGACTGCTGGTCACGCTTTTGTCAGCCAGCCAGAAGCATCGACAACCAACCTCAACAACCTCGATGATCTAGCCTTCTCGGACAGCGATGAGAGTTGGGACGATTCCAGCAGTGTAAAGTCTGACTCCGCGCTTTCAGACCTAGAATGCGAGTTGGACCTTGACTTGGATTTGTCAGTCGTATCACTCAGTGATATCGATGACAAGATAGATGAAGATTCGAAATCTCTTGGGTTGCACAGCCCATGTTCTCCCTACGGTCATACATTCGTGGGTGAGCTTGCACTATCGTCCCTTGATGGCTCGTCGCCAGAGCTTGACTATGCTCTGATCAGACTACACGGGCAAAGTACAGCGTCGCCGTCTGAAGACTACAAATTGCCACTATGCACGCAACCGAACCACCTGGGAAACGAACTCTCCGCACCAGTTGTTGCTTATACAGCATCTGGAGGCTGCTTGAATGGTATCATAGCGCCCGGGTCGAGCTTTATGCGCACACCGAATGCGTGCAAGTATCAAGAAGTCTATCATGTCGCCCTCGAACAGCCGCTTGCCGACGGCGACTGCGGCTCCTGGGTCTATGATGGGGAGACAAATAAGCTGTATGGCCATATAGTGGCAGGCGCACCAGAGACAGGTCTTGCGTGCGTTGTTCCAGCTTATCAAATCTTTGAAGATATCGAGAAACTCGTACCTCTCCTCAGCCAGCGATGCGAGACACGAGAGAGTACAACAGGTTCGTCACAAGCAGATCAACTCTCACATGACAGTCAAACACGTGGAGACTATGAAAACGTCGGTTCGACGAGTGAGATCCATGAAGGGATCTGGCAAGTCCTTTCGGAACCCGAACCAAAGACTGGTCAACTGCAAAACGGAGCTGCAGCTGGACACACGTTATCGGAAAATCGCACGCACACATCCTTCGAGAAAGCAGCAGCGGTCAGCTTCCAGGCAATTATGAAGAAGGGGAGACTAGAGGCACTGAGAGAGTGGAGAAATCGCATAAAGGATGGTCGACCTCCACCGTTCAGGGAACAACAATACGGCCATTTTCTCGTGCCAGTACCACCGAACGGAATGAATCTCGCGTCTTTGCGGTTTGAAAGACTCCTTCACAGTCTTTCAAATACACCCATAAGATGGGAGGATCCACAACTTCTCGATGAAGCCCTGCAGCACTTGCCACTGGAACTGTTATACGAGGAGGCGGAAAAAGAGGCTGATTCTTTTGAGGCTGTAGCGAGCGATTTGACTTTGAAGCCTTGCTGGAGCTATCAGGACTGTGTCATCAGAGCTCTGATGCGCTGGTTCAAACGGTCGTTCTTTTCATGGGTCAGTAATCCTCCATGTGAAGTCTGCCACGGTCCTACAACTGCTATTGGGCTTGCCGCGCCCACAACAGAGGAAGTATCCCAGGGTGCTCAACAGGTTGAGGTCTACTCTTGCAGGAATGAGGTATCTCATGATACTGTCCGCTTCCCGCGATACCAAGATTCCGCCACCCTTCTTCAAACGCGGAGAGGGCGTGTAGGTGAATGGGCGAATGCGTTTGGCTTGCTGTGTCGCGCTCTAGGCTCTCGCGTTCGATGGGTATGGAATGGGGAAGACCACGTTTGGATCGAAGTATACTCCGCGCACAGGAAGCGCTGGGTCCATGTAGACGTCTGTGAGGAGGCCTGGGACAAGCCACTGATGTACACCGACGGTACTGTTCCACTCCATCCACTTTGCTCAACGCTAACGGAATGTGCAGGATGGCAAAGGCGACTCAGTTACTGCATCGCCTTCTCCACGGAAGGCGCAGTGGACGTCACGTCACGTTACGTGCGGCAAAATAGACTCGCCGCTCTCAGAACACGATGTTCTGAGGCGGAATTGCTGTATGTGCTTGAAGACATCACGACCTTGCGGCGCCAGAATATGAGCAAGGAGCATACGGCAAAACTTGAGAAGGAGTGCAAACGTGAGGCCAAGGCCGTGCTATACGATTTAATCACAAGTCTAGTGCAGGATATGTGCAAAGACTTTGCTACCTATTGGTCTGATGACGCCAATGCTGGATCTAGCGACGGCGCCCGCAGTGACCTTGAGTCCAAGGCTCTGGATGAGAGGGCAGATATGAGCAGTGAGTTGTAACCCTGAGTCTCGTTGGCATGATGCGACTGACCCTGCGCAGGATGGATCCAACCGCGGATGGGGCATTAGTATCAAGAGCACCATAGCTTGGTAACAAGTTCATATGCATCAAAGAACTCAGGAGTCATTACTAAGGGAAGCGCCTAGAGGGCTAGCTGGCGCACGGCTGCAGAAGTGCGGGTAATTAGTCGGTAGCTGGGTCGAACCCTTTGCGTTATCGGACAGTATACATCTTCATGGCTATAATTGGTGATCTGCCCGAGATATGGCACGATTTAAAGGAGGCGGCATATTGAGTACGTTGACGCTCACTACTCGCGTGTAGAGCTTAACCGAACAGCACGCAATTATGCCCCCACATGTCGCAGACACCTACCCCGCAACACCAGCTCTCTATCGAAACAGCAGCATGCGATTGTCAATGAAACGCCTATCGAGATGTGGACGAGTCCAGCCGTAGCCATTAGTATCGCTTGGCGCCACTATTCTTCATGCACGTTGGGTCTCAACCCTGTGATGTTGCGATATTGTCCCATCGATGACATGCGGGTCTTTGTTGATCCCGGACTGTACATATACTAATAAGTGTCGAGACCTGTCGACTTCTACTTCTTGGTGAATATTGCAAACTTGACCCATCATGGCCACAGAAACCGTCACTCTCAACACCAAAAGCACTGATGCGCCAGCACAGTCGCAATACCCACGTGAGCCTCTGAAGCTCAAAGGAGTCCTCGATCAGTACAAGTCCTTTGATGTGACTCCGGTGATCGGTCGCGAATTCAGCGACGTCAACTTGAAGGAGTGGTTGGAAGCACCAAATTCAGATGAGTTGATCAGGGATCTTGCCATCACTAGTACGTGTTGAATTTTACCTCACTCTCAAGGATATTTCTCACGGTCTGTACAGTTTCGCAGCGCGGTGTTGTCTTCTTCCGCAAGCAGGACGACTTGACCAACGATCTCCAGAAGCAACTCGCACAACGTCTAGGTGAGCTCTCGGGCAAGCCAGAGACATCGGGGCTGCACATCCACCCTGTCATAAACGCTGGTCGTCGCCTCGGTGGCGGTGATAACGAGATCAGTGTCATCAGCTCGGAACAGGCAAAGGAAATCTACAAGAACAAGTTCCTGAACTTCGCAGACCGCAAGCAAAGTGCGAAGGGCGGCTGGCATAGCGACATCACATTCGAGAAGATCCCCAGCGACTACGCGCTGCTGAGACTGACCGAGTTGCCTAAGACTGGCGGAGGTGAGTTCGATGTGATCGCCCATGCGATAACTGGCTGATGTAGTTCGCAGACACTCTTTGGGCCTCAGGATACGAGCTGTACGACCGTCTCTCGCCACCATACCAGAAGTTCTTCGAAAGCCTCAATGCCACGTACGCGCAACCCGGTTTCAACCTCGCTGCAAAGGAGAATGGCTTCGATTTATACGACAAGCCTCGCGGCGCCCCTGAGAACGTCGGCAGCGAGCTGATCGCCGAGCACCCTGTGATTCGCACAAATCCGGTGACGGGCTGGAAGTCAGTCTTTGCTGTTGGCCATCACGTTCAGCAGATCAATGGCCTGACCAAGGAGGAGAGCCAGCATGCACTGGAGTGGTTCGTGCAGTTGATCGTGGAGAACCATGACTTGCAGGTTCGCCACAGGTGGCAGAATGAAAATGATCTGGCTATTTGGGATAACAGAAGTGTGTATCACACTGCGACATTCGACATCAAAGGGCAGGGCCCAAGGACTGGACAGCGAGCTGTGAGCTTGGGCGAGAAGCCGTACCTGGACCCGAACAGCAAGTCGAGGAGTGAGGATCTGGGTCTCAACAGTGAGGAAAAGTCGTAGATCGGTACTATGAATGAATTGTATTGGAACTGTATTGATCTGTTTATCGTGGCGCTCGTGATGTTGGTGAAGGGAAAGCACATGTTGTCGTCACGGTTGGCAATCATATCGAGCTCTTTCCATCGGACACCGTTTGCCTTCAGCTGAACAATGCAAGTTGCTCATGGTCGCATCCCACAAACAATTTCATCATACTCTGGACTCCCCTCGTTGTCGTTCACCAAGCCTGAGCCGTGCGTGTACGGTCATGATATTTTCGACAGCTGTGATTGGCTCCCGTTGACGACATATGTACAAACCTCACGACATCCTTCACTGCAACAGAACCACGTTCTGCCACGTTCTGGACTCGTGGAAACAGCGTCTTCAGCTGCTTTTCCTTTTCGCAGAAGTTTGAATGCGACATCGCAGCCAATTCGGCTCCGTTCTCTAAAACCAAGCCGCGGTGCCTGACGCAATTCTCCAGATATTGACGTGCCTGCATGGATCATCGTTATCGCGCACAACTCGAACTAATTACCCCATCGAGAGACTCATAGGATTCGCTCGCCTCCTTTGACATAGTTAGATGCGAGAAGAAACAGTCCACAGTGTATGCTGATCCTCCGCATATTCAACGGCCTGCGGGTCTGCAGAAGCGACTCCCTTCCGGCCGGCACACGACATATGCCATGGTAATCTCAAGCGTTCGGCATGGATGAGGCATTCACTACCGATCAAAGAGCCGGCTTGGACCCAAGGGGCTGGTTGTGGGAGCACTTACCACGAGGTGTATCGTACCGTTGTACCAATCCAACAGTGCGCTCGTCAATTGACATGCAGCCAAGCATGTTCACAAGTCGCCCCGAAGGCCCCTGCTTTTTGTTCCAGTACGTTGCGTCTCTCTGTTACCCGAATCGTCGTCTAGCCCGGTCTCCGGCCAATTACCGTCTGATCAATTCTTATCGGGTACAGGACAGTAAAAATCGTGGCTCTTGGGGCTTGCCCTTGGCAGCACACCTTTGCGTCAACGAAATGTTGTCAGTGGAAGGCACTGTTGCACCATTCTTGGCTGAAGAAATGCTCAAGGGCATCTCCGGTTGTTTATAAGGTCTTGAAGACTTCCGGAGATGTACGCTCCAGGACCCTGGTCATTTGACCCTGCCGAGCTGTTGTTAGCAAAGTTTTACTTAACAACATCCTCATCTTGGTTTCTCGACGACTATGGCTGCGCCTTTAGTCGACCAGAAGCAGGTACCCGCTACCCAGAGCGCGGACTCGGGATCCTCCCAGCTCTCCAAACAGGAGCGACCGGCGCATGGCTCCTATGAGGACCACCCGTTCAATGATCGCGTGACGGCGCAGTACTGGCGGGAAGTTTACGAGAAGGCGGAATATGAGGGACGGCATCGGTTCGATCCGGAATACACGTGGACGGCAGAAGAGGAGAAAAAGCTTGTTCGCAAGGTAATGGTAGTGTCTACACGAAGAGGGGAAAAACTGACACGACAATAGCTTGACTTCAGAATTACACTATGGGCATGGATGATGTTTGTGTCGCTGGATCTGAACCGCAAGAACATCAATCGAGCCATCTCTGACAACATGTTACCCGAACTTGGTATGTACCCGAGAACTGTTCAGAGTAGACCGCGCTAACGACGAGTCAGGCATGAATACCAACGACTTCAATTATGGACAAACCGTGCGCTACCCGACCTTCAAATCGGATTTCCACTAACTCGGGACCAGATCTTCCTCGCCATGTTCCTGTTCGCCGAACTGCCTAGCGGACTGATCAGCAAGAAAGTTGGAGCTGATCGGTAAGCCTGCCACTTGAAGCGATAGAGTGGCGCTAATCGAGGTACTATAGATGGATTCCGACCATTATTTGCGCCTGGTCGATCGTCAGTGCTTCGCAATGTGCAATCACTACCAAGTCGCACTACTTCGCCATCCGCGCGCTCTTGGGCCTTTTGATGGGAGGGTTCATTCCGTGAGTAATTCCTCTCTGCGCAAGATATGATGCAGGGGCTAATTTTGAAACTAGCGATATCGTTCTATGGCTCACATACTTCTTCAAATCCAACGAGCTTCCAACTCGTCTGGCGTGGTTCTGGACAGCACTGAGCTTCTGTAACATCGTCGGATCTCTTCTGGCCGCGGGCATTCTTCAAATGCGAGGTCTACATGGCTGGGGTGGATGGCAATATCTGTGAGTGCCTCTAAGTCATAACCATTGCGCAAGTTAACAATCTCCAGCTTCCTGATCGAGGGTACCCTCACTTTTGTCATCGGTGTCTTCTCCTTCGTGCTGATGCCTGCCGGAGCCACTCAGACTGCAAGCTGGTTCCGCGGTAAGAACGGCTGGTTCAGCGAACACGAGGAGTACATTCTCGTCAACCGCGTGCTGCGCGATGACCCATCCAAGGGCGATATGAACAACAGAACCGGCGTCAGCCCACGCCTCCTGTGGAAGACCATCACCGACTGGGAGCAATGGCCGCTCTACCTCATCGGCCTCATGGCCTACATCCCGCCTTCTCCTCCTTCAACCTACCTCTCCTACATCCTGCGTCAGCTCGGCTTCAGCACCTTCCAAGCCAACATGCTGCTCATCCCCTCGCAATTCCTCTTCGCCGTGCAACTCCTCATCCTGACCTGGGTGTCCAAGAAACTTAGAGAGCGCGCCATCGTCTCCAGCTTATCAAATTTTTGGATCTTCCCATGGCTGTGTGCGCTCGTGACCCTCCCCGCCAACGCAAACCCCTGGGTACGCTACGCACTCCTCAGCGGCCTACTGTCGTACCCCTACTGCCACGCGATCCTGGTCGGCTGGAACGCAGCGAACTCGAACTCGGTACGTACGCGCGCTGTGTCCGCGGCATTCTACAACATGTTTGTCCAGTCGGGCAACATCATCGCGTCGAACATCTACCGCAACGACGACCAGCCGCTGTATCGCCGCGGAAACAAGATCCTGCTCGCGATTTGCTGCGTCAACATCACGCTGTTCTTCGGCGTCAAGGCGTTTTACGTGTGGCGCAACAACGTGCGGGATAGGCTGTGGAATGCGATGACGAAGGAGGAGCAGGATGATTATATTGTTAGTACCAAGGACGAGGGGATGAAGAGGTTGGACTTCAGGTTTGTGCATTAGCTTCACGAGAGAGGTGGGACTCTGCAATGGGGAAAGTAGGAGAGGAGGGCACCTGGTGAGATGACACGAGAAACGAGAAACGAGAAACGAGAAACGAGAAACGAGAAACGAGAAACGAGAAAATAATTGCCTGAATGCTCATGGTACGCGCACAACATACACCCCTTGGTGAGATTTCATTCGAGACTAGAGTAAGCCGTTTGATCATGCTATGGCTGAAAAGTCCATCGTCGTGAATGTTTGCAGCTAATCCTATGTCGTGCGCATATGACCCGAATATTGGCACATACAGTTGCTCAGTCCTTGAAGGTCGTTGAAACGTCTAAGCAAACATGCCTTTGTCATGAACAACACGCTAGACATGTACCTCGTGGCGAGTGAGCATGGACAGAAAGAAGCGAGCTCGCAGGCGAATCACGATGTGAAATCAAAAATGAAGCATTTGGTGTTCATTCGATCATTGATGTCATTTTTGTTGTTTTGCTTTGCCCTACTCATTCATGATATCGTATCATCTACGACCACAACAGCAGATCGGCATAGAAAAGAACTGCTACCTCGCCTCTCCATAGGCACACGATGAACGCGTCAATGCATAAAAGACAGCGAAAGCTGCTGGGGTATCGCAAACTACCGCCCAGAGATCGAGAATACATTGCACCGCACAAGATCAGGCTCGGAGTATCCACTCCAGCCATCACTACTCCCCTTCTCTCTGCTTTCCCTTCCTCGCCAGCGGACGCTACGATGTGCTGCCGGGCGGCCCGCCCATGTTCAGCAGGATGTCCAGCATATCCATGCCGCCCACATCCGGCCCCATGGCTGTCTGGTTGATCTCCGCGCCCCACTGGTCGAGCAGCGGATCCAGCGGCAGCGCCAGCCAGTCCTGGTCGTTGTTCGCGCCGCCCCAGCTGGCGCCGCTGTTGGCCCACTGCGACCACGAGCCGTTGGCGGTGCTGTTCGCATTGCCGTTGGCAGAGCCACCGGGCGTGCCGGGGTGCGGGAACGCGTTGAAGCCCGGCGGGGGCATGATGGAGATGGAGTTTGAGTTTGGGTCGTAGGGCTCGGCGGAGATGCCCCACAGCGACTGCGAGATCGGGGTTGCGCGGCCGCTGAGCGAGGGCGAGCCGGGAACGCTGGTGCCGGTGCCGGTGCCGTTGGTCGGGAAGATGTGCGAGGTCGAGCCCATGTATGAGCCTGCGATGGGGTTAAGGGGGGCAGGGGGCGGCATAAGAGGTGCTTGGAGCGGGGAGCGCGAGCCGGCGCGCGACATGGCGGAGCTGCCGTTCGCAGCGAGGCGGACGAAGCGCGAGCGGATGCGGTGAGTGAGGGTTTCGACAAGGTCGGCGAAGCGGTTGCCGACGTGCACATCGTCGACGATGCTGGTGCGCAGGGCGTCGACAGCGCCCGAGAGGAGCGCGAGCGAGACGGCGACATCTTCCTCGGTTGCGCCTAGTGCGAATGTTTTCAACAGGATAATGGCGACTGACACGATCCGGAAAAACGTTCGCACTGGCGCGTGTCGGAGGTAGTCTCCCGGGTACAAGCCCTCGACGACTACTTTCAAGACATTGCGCGACGCGTCAATGACTTCGTTGATGTAGTGTCGATCGTTGGCGTACCACTTTGTCAGTGTGGAGAAGGGGATCGCACCGCCATCGCCGGGGCCGGGGGCACTGCCATTTGTGCCTGTGGGAGTCCGGGTTGTGGACAGGTTGGCGTGGGTCTGCAGTGGTGTGTTGTGTGTACAGCGCTCGACTACGGCTTGCAGTGCGAGCGAGTTGAGATACACGCGGGTGTATTCGAATTCTATTATGAGTACATGGCGGAGTTGGGTAGGGACTGAGTATTGTTAGTGCTGCGATGGTGGAGAAGGATCAGAAAGAATTACCTTGTGGAGCGCGGTCGAAGCATGTCTTCCACTCCATCAATGGCCCTTGGAAGAACTTAAGCATATCCTCGTACTGCCCTGACTTGAGCAGCTCTCGCGTCTTTCGACGATTCGAGAACAGCTTGAGGTTGCCCATCTCCATCACCTTTGCTATGCGCGTCCAGAAGTCGAGAACGAGATCTTGCACGGCGTGCCGCTCCTGGTGTGCTACAGATTCGAGTGGTAGTCGCTGTCCATCCTGCCCCGCACTGGGGCGCGTGCCGAACTGCATGGGCGGTGCCTTGATGCCGCTCACACGTTGCTGGTATAGTTCATTCGGTGTCGGGCCGCTGACGAAGTTCTCATCGCGCTTGTCAATCTTAGGCAACATGGAGGTCAGACCCAGTCGGCCGCTGGTCTGGGTAACGTATATGATCAACAAGTTCTTGAGGTGGTTTTTCCGTCGAAAATACGACTTCACTGTCGCATGAGACAGGTGGTGATTTGCCTGCTCAAACTCCGTCTCGCTCGTCTCGTCGAACACTCCAATCTCGAAACCGAGCGTCATGGCATTACCGAGGAGCATCCAACACATACGGTCACTTCGCCAGCAGGGTTCCAGCCAGCTGTCTATGCGTTTGTCGCCCACTCCCTTGTACATATCAGCTTTAGGCCCCTTTTCATGGTCGAGATCGTCTGGGAGAACCAGCTCGTCGTCGTCATCACCGGGCGGAAAGTGCAGGGCGCGCGGATGCCATTCGGTCAGTAGCATCAGACTCTCGACTGTGCCCAGCGTCCGAAGGCCCTTGCGGGACAGAGGGTTTACATCAGATCCCGGCTGCTGTCCTGCGCCGCAGAAGCCACCACCAAACTGCTCCTGGCCAAATATCATACGGTCAATCATGCCCTGCAGATACTTCCACAGCTTCTCATGGATCAGATATGCACGTGAGGCTGCGCCGGCGTTGGTGTGGCCGCTAGGCTGTGAGTATCGCGAGGCGATGGTGAGCAGGGTGATGACAAGCATGGGCTCCTCTTTCAGCAGCTTGCCGTGGTAGGCGTGGTCGCGGTAGTCGGGCACAACGATGGGCGTCAGAGGGGACAGGTAGGCATAGAAGTAATCAATGTAAGCAATGGCCTCCTTCGCCGTCAGCCAGCCCGCGCGCACGAAGCGGAACCTCGACCATGCTTGAAGGGCGTCGTTGAAGGCAGCCTCGTTCGGTGGGTCTGGCAGCACGGGCGGCTGCGGCTGCGGCTGCGGAGGCGGCAATGGCTGCGTGATGGCGGGGTCGACATTGTCGACAGCAGCGCGCGAGGTACTCCTGATGTGCGGGGCCGTCACCTGCGGACTGCCGGCAAAGTTGGAGCCCGGCGTGCTGCCCAGATTGGGGCGCTGCATGCTCGAGGTGCTGGTGGTGCGGTGGTGCAGGTCCATGGCGCCATTGCGAGCAGCCTCGAACAGCAGGTTCAGGGCGTCGTGGCCGCTGTAGATCTCGCCCGTCTGCAGGGTGGCGACGGACTCGTTGTTGACCTTGATGTCCTCCTCGCTGTGCTCGACGGGCGCCAGGGACGCCGCTGTGGTCGGGCGTCGCAGCGGCTCATAGCGGCCGACCGAGCCTCCAGGCGTCAGCGGCTGTGAGACATAGGCGGACACGCTGGCGGCCGGCTCGTGGTGGTCGACTTCGTCCGGACGCGAGCGCTTCCTCGCGTTGCGCACCTCGTAGTCGTCCAGCTCGTCGGCCTCATCCTCGCCGTCCTGCTTGCGCTTGCGGCGCGTGGCCGAGAAGAAGCACTCCTTGCTCTCGCGGCGGCAGCGCACGCACGGCGGGTCGTGCGGGTTGTCGACAGGCCCCAGGTCGCAGCGCACCTTGCGGCGACGACATGGAATGCAGGCCTGGTAGGTGCGCGTGTGCGATGCCTGCCCGGGGCGCGGCGGAGAGGCAGACATGTCGCTATGTACTGGATTCGGGTATGTACGCTTTCCAGCGGGTGCAGCCCTCGAGCGTCCTTATATGACGCTACAAATGCCCTGTACGTAACAGCGCCGGTCCGGATTCCTGGGGTAGCCTGTGGGGGAAGGTCGTCGCGTCCACCCCGCGTTTCTGCACAAGCCGTCGCTCAGAGTCTTCCTCGCGCGTGTCTGGTAGACTCTGGCAGCTGGCCGAGCGCTGAGGTGCTGAGCCGCTTGATCACGAGCGGGGGCTCGGGGCTAGCGGCACCTAACCGTTTGGAGGGGCCAACGTCCTATCAGCGCGCCCTGCAGACATTCGAGCGTAGGCTAAAGGGTACATATCAATGTTGCTCCCAACGGCTTGCTCGAGCCTGTCGACTGCACCAGGCAATTGCTCGACGACATGCCACAAAGAGCGTCTTCTCCGCACCGGATGACTGCTTCGTGCAACCTGCATTGGATGCTAATCCTGCAGCACCCAGCTCAAGCTCAATCTGGACAAGCATCAGATCACTAAACAGATTCATAGGCCCACATTGCGGATCAAGGCGGGTCGGGACGACGTGCAGAGGGATATCAGAACATAGATTGGCATGACCAAATGGCAGCGCTACCGACCATCAAATCATCAAACAAGAAACATGAGGGATATACAGAATCGTAGCCCAAAGCGCACGGTACAGAAGAATCCGCCAAGTGCCAGAAGCCTGAGCAGCCCGGATCCAGTGCGATTTACATTACGCTGTGGTGGTGCATGGTGGAGCTTCCGCCGTCTAGTAACGCGGGGGGTCGCGGGGATCACGGGAGTCACGGGGGTCGCGGCTGTACTCGTCGCCGGGCCTGCCGCCTACTTGGCTCCTGCCACTGCCACCGCCGTCGCCGTAGTGCTTCCGCCTCAGAGCCGCGAGCCTCTTCTTCTTAGTGTGCGCATTGATGTATGTACCGATGACAAAACCAACGATGTTGAAGAACGGCACCCACGTGGTTTCGGGCAGGAACTGCTGGGCAAACGCCAGCGAGATGGGGGAGACGATCCAGCTGACCTTCATGACGGGCATGAACCCGGCCTTGACGGTTGCGCGGACCTGGTGGAATGTGCGGGCGCCGGCAATGAGCGCCATGGACGTCAGGTAGACGCTGTTCTGGATGGGCGAGATCTAAAGGCGTCAGCACGACGGACGGGCGCTTACAAACTCGGCGCTTACAATCAGGTTGCTGAAGAGAATCTGCAGGATCTTGGCCTTGACGCTTGTGCGGCCCTGGAACAGCTTCTGCAGCATGCTGATGAGGACGTGCCCGAGAGGCGCGGCTACCAGCGCACCGTAGATGGCCATCTTGGGCACGCGCGAGGTGAAATAGTGGCCGCTCTTGCTCCTGTCGTGGGCGATCCACGACGCGAGGAACTCCTGCAGGCCCGACAGCGTGCCCGAGGTGAGCATCTTAGTGCGCAGCGGGTTGCTCTGCAGCTGCTTGAGATACGCCTGCGCCGCATGTCAGTGTGCAGCCCAGCGCCTCCCAATTGCGCGATACTCACTGCAAGGTATCCGTTGGGGCCGGCACCCTTGGTCAGGGCCTCGCCGACATTGTGCAGGATGTCGTCTTTACCCTTGCCGCTCACGGCGTCGGCGACGGCGGCCGTCGTCTTGGTTGTCTCCTTCTCGAACTTGACCGACATGGCGTCTGGCTGGTATGCGACGGCGCCGGATGGAGATGCGCGTGTCTGGAGGGGAGGCCGGCGGTTGGGGGTGGATCTGGGGAGACGGGGGCACGTCAACCTGCGTTGTTTACAGTCGCTGTCGTCCCAGCCCTCTCGGTCGGATTGCCGTCCCGACTGGCGCTAGCGTGCGCCCGCTCCTGCCAGATCTGACGGCGGAGATTCCGGCAGTCAGCGAAACAGCAGACCTCGGTCCTTGGTTGTGGTGATTCGCTCACGTTACTTCGCGTTTGCAGGGACTCGCAGACCCCAGACGCTCACAGTCAGTGCAGCAACGCAAGCTTCAGCGCAGATGCAGCAGCGAGCGATAATGTGCTGCCCGGCCGAGCGATAGTGGTTGCTCGCAGCGTCGGCAGCCGCCGAGCGGGTGGATACACGCTGCGTGCGACACGGGCGGAAATCCATGCTTTCAGTACCACATCAGGCACGCCTCGAGAGGACGAGTCGCAAGAGAACCGGCATCAGCAAAGTCTTCGTGCTCGCCAGAGTGTCGAGGATGTGATGTGGAAGCCTGCAGTACAAATAGTCGCGACACTCGGGTGCTTAGAGTCCTTTTGGATAACGGTTCCAGACTATCAACCATCTCCTCTCAGTCATACTTACCTGCTCCTGTATCCGCTCTTTATCTTCGCGTGTAACATCCGCTCCATGACCTGCAAAGCTGACTGCCTGTCCGCGAAATACTCCAGAGCATCATGGACCGCGTACCTGCCTCGCAGAACAACCCAATGATGTTAGCTAGGGATTGTTCGACCATGAGGCACGCACCGCTATGCCATCATCGTTGACACGCCACGGTAGGGAGTAGATTGGGTTTGCGCCCGATCGACGGTTTGTACTACACCAGCCATCTCAGCAGACCGAACCGCATGTTCCTGCTGTTGAACTTCAATACTCACGCCGCCTCGTCTGCTGCAGACACTCTCGCATTTCTCATGTCTTGCACGCGTCGTTTTTCCGACATTTTTCTGTCGATATGATTTCGAAAGTCACTTCACGCGTATTGATCCTTCTTGGCGTTGCGGACAGCAAGAGCGACCTATGGCTTTGCGGACTGCAGCATCAGGCGGACACGTAGAAGCACACGAGCATTAGCATTTCATTCATCTCTGTTTGGTACGTTATCGTCTCATGCCAAGCGCCTGCAGGGTCCCCTTTCTCCAGTTCCTCGTCGTTTGCTTCTGATTGTCACCTTCACCTACGCTGCGATCGTCTAATGCGTACACTAAACCGTAGAAGGCGCGTCCGTTCAGCGTCTGCCCGTGGAAGTCTCACCACAGCTCTTCCACCTTTTGGACCTCCGGTCTTTTTCACCTCCCCCCGTCCCGCCATGACGATGAGCACAAAGGTAGATCTGAAAGCCATTAACTACTCGTCCCCGTTAACAAGACTAAGCGCACGACGCCGAAGCGCGGGCGAATGCCCAACTGCACCCATGTCAACATGGATCGTATCTATGGACGAGACCAACAGTGCTACGTTTGTGGGCGAGAGCCATCGATAGGCTTTCTGTACGAGTGCCGCCAGGACTGCAGCTCTCTCTCACTGCACAACTTTCTGGAGGAATCGGAGGACGGCGACACAAAGTCGGCTCTAAGATTGGAGTTGGAGGACATTGGCCTGAGCGAAAGTGTGATTCGCACCGCAGAGCAAGGTTACTACACTACCGCACAGCTTGAGCTACTCAAGTCACAGAAGCAAGACCTACGACAGATCATTGAAGACTCCGTCCAAGGCAGCCAAATTAACGATGTTGTCGCCAGACTTACAGCGTTTGCCTCGACACCCTCAAACAATGATGGCGCCATGAACAGTAGAGCCAAAGATCCCGTCAGTATCTTCATTAAATAGACCCCAGGATCGAAACTAACGCGATACAGTCGGTTGCTTGCGCGTTCAGAGCATGCCACACTTGTCGTCCTTACTACCGCGATCGTGTTTACATCTCCTTCGAAGCTGTGGTGTCAGCTGACTTTCCTCCTCTCTCGAGAGACGAAGCGAAGCACCTACCTACCAAATCTGCAGAAATTTTGCGCTCCATCAAGGGTTCTCAGACGTCTCTATCGACTCAAGTTGGTTATGAAGAATCGCCGCTCACAGCTCGCACCACCATTACGTTTGCTGCCTCCACCGATGCGCCGCACACAGCTTCTACCGCCTCCGACTCGAGCGAGCTGACATTCAAGACCTCACAGACCGATGTCGATGAGCTCCGCGCTCTTCGCAGACCTCGCCGCAGATTCTACAATATCGGCCACAGATCCTCCGGCGAGATAGCGCGTGACTTGTCAAGGATGCCCCAACTGCTATCGCGCCAGGGTCTGAAGACCGCCATGCAAACGATCTTCCATCCAGGTAGAGACTCGAGTTCATCTGGATCCATGATCACACTTCCTGTCCCGCGCACAGGCACAGTTCGCGATTCAGGAGCTACACGAGCAGTTGGCGACTTCGACATCGGCGCATTGCGTCGAGTCAGGCGTCAGAAAGAGCGAAATGAGGTCCGAAACGGCACATACGTGGGAGGCTTTGAAGACGTTGACATTCCCCGAGCTGCAACCCAGCAAGTGGTATCGTCGTGCCCACCTAACAACGAGGGAGAGGGTAGCCGCTCGTCAGACTCTGACTTCTCGGTCTATTCCTGCGTCTCAGAGAGCAGCGAGGTAGCAGCTGAAGGAGGGATGGCGCTCTCGGAGGAAGTAGTTGTCACCCCTGCTTCAAAGACAGCCATCCGTATCCGGACCAGAGCGATGGGTTATGAAGATGACAACTTGGAAGACGGTGTCGGGTTGCAAAGCATCATGGCGCAAGTCTGAATTGGCGCACTAGACAGCTGTAGCGCGAACGCATGGGCGAAGACGACGCGTGGAGTCGCTACGAACGCCAACGACTTAATGGTTTACGCAGACATGCTTCATGAGTCACGATATTTGGGAACACGGCATCTCTGAATACCCAAGATTATTTGCAGTAACACAGCAAACAAAGCATAGTTCAGTCAGTTTCAATCATAGCTAAATTGAAAACAACAAACAATCGTAACACGCACAGTCGGCAGTGATTCAAGTCTACTTGGCTTTGATGGCAGAGTGTCCAACGGAATGTTGACACAGTTAGCATGTGCAAAATTTAGCTGCAGAAAGCTCACGGTGAGCTGGCTAGTGACCTTGATCATTCTTTCATTCCTCAGACTACCAGATATCGCCCAAATTAGACCATTCAGTCTGGCTATCCAAACCCCCAAGTAGGAAAACCCAATCCCAAATTACACAGTAAGGATACCAAGCCAAGTCACCATGAAACGCATATCATCTTGTCCTGAGAAGCAATATTTAACGGCCGGGACCGCCAGGGTAGCCATGAGGCGCGCCGTACTGCTGCTGTCCGGGGTAGCCTCCAGGACCGCCTTGCGGCGGGCGCTGCTGCTGCTGACCTTGCGGCGGATACCCGCCGGGCTGCTGGCCGTAGCCTTGCTGCGGGGGCTGTCCGTACTGGCCTCCCTGGGGCGGCTGGCCGTACTGCTGCTGGCCCGGGGGCGCGCCGTACTGGCCCGGTGGGGGAGCGCCGTACTGGCCACCCTGGGGTGGGCCGCCGTAGCCGCCGGGAGCACCACCGAAGTTGCCGGGGGCGGGGTTGGTCTTCTCGTCCTTGGAGTCGTAAGAGCGGTCGATGGCACCGAGGAGGAGCTTGATAATCCATAGGTCGGGTGTGAGGTCGACGGGAGGGTTGGCGCGAGACATCTCCTCTTGCTCGTTCTCGTAGTCTAAAGCATAGGTTAGCACTGAAGGTAAATGGCTTTGTCAAGTCAAACATACTGGATGTGCAGTCGACCATGGGTCCAATCTGCGGGTCTTCGTCGAGCTTTCCGAGGAACTTCTTCGCCATCTCGTCGTTGCCGACCTGAGCGAACTCAAAAGCGACACCGCCACGGCCATACTGCGGGAACCTCTGTTGCAGGGTGTCGAACGCGTATCTGATGGTATCGAATACGGCATTCTGCGGCTCACCAGCAGGCTGTCCGTCTGTGATGGCAATAACAAGAACGGGCTTCCTGAGCTGGCCTTGCTGAGCCTTGTTGAGCACTATCTCATCAATGACCTTCTTGCGGAGCGAAGTACCCATTGGGGTGAGCCCCTTGAATTGGACACCAGACATGATCTGTTCGATCTGAGCCTCGGTGGCAACGCCATCTTGAAGGGGACCGCCCCGCTGATTGCGCGCACTAGAAAGGTCGGTGTTCATGAAGCGGAGTGAGATACCGTCAGCATCAAAGAGGGTGGCAGCGAAGGAAACGCGCTCCAAGATGAGGCGCAAGTCCTTGATACGCGAGCCTTCCTCCTCGAACTGCATGGATCCACTGTCGTCAATGTACAGGACGATGTCGTAGAGGGCCAACTTCACGATATCGTTGGCAATCTCCTTCTGTATGCGCCAGCGCTGGATGATCTGGTTGATCTTGCCGGCCGCCTGCTGGGCAATTTGGTCGACAACTGGTGAGCCCTGGGGATAGAATGTCTGGAGCCCCTTCTCATTGATGCAGTCTTGGAGCAGCTGCTTGTAGGCCTGGACTTCAGCGGGGCTACCTTGCACCTGCTGCAGCGGAGGAGCACCGCCTTGGGGTCCACCGAAGCCTCCTTGAGGTGGTGGTGGGCCGCCATACTGTTGACCTTGAGGAGGTCCCTATCAAAAGTCAGCGAGTGCTCAATACATGGTTTGTCACTGCAAGCTTGCTTTGCATCGTCGAATGGTGTCCTTTAAATCAAGCAAGAAATCACGTGTGGGGTTACGAACATATTGGCCGTAGGGTTGTTGTCCATATTGCTGGGGAGGCTGGCCGTACTGGGGCTGTTGAGGTTGACCCCACTGGCCTTGCTGCTGCTGTTGTTGATATGGCTGCTGACCGTACTGCTGGGGTGGTGGTTGTTGACCAAATTGTTGGGGAGGTGGCGGCTGACTCCATCGATTCTGTTGTGGTGCTTGACCCGGATATGAGGGAGACATGGGTGACTGTGGAAACCCAGGAGACTGAGGTGGCTGACCAGGCGGTGGTGGAGGCGGTCTGCTATATCCTGCTTGTCCTTGAGGATATGGAGATGAGGGTGTGCCATATGGGGCAGGAATAGGCGGTTGTGCATAAGGTGACTGCGGCGGAGCTTGCGATCCGGGTCGCAAAGGTAGTGGTGGTTGTCCAGGCTGCTGCGCGCCCTGACCATAAGGAGCAGGTGCTTGCCCTGGGTATTGTTGTGGCTGATAGGCGTTGTAGTTGCCTGAGGACGATGCTATCTTCCCGGAGAGCGGCATGATGTTGTGGCTGAAGGTTGTGGCTACAGACCGGTGTGGTGTCCAGGCGGTTGCTTTTCAGGCAGCGGGGTTGGTCCAGAGAGGCCAAAAAACAAGGTGGGGAATAACAAAAAGCTTACGGAAGCCTAGGGTGATGTGGCGCGCGTGATGAAGGATGATGACGATGCAAAGCAAGCGAAAACGGAGTGGAAAGAAGAGCTTACCTGGCCGGGAGGGGCGGCACCTGGATACGCTTGGTACTGCTGTTGTCCGGGCTATCAAATTAGCGGTACTCGCAAACAACTTTTCGCTGCTCAACTTACATAGCCACCGGGTCCGCCTTGCGGCGGAGCGCCGCCTTGGGGAGCGCCCTGGGGAGGGTATCCTGCTGCTGCATTCGCAGCCGCCATCTTTGATGCCACTGTAGCTGCGTCAGCCCCTCCATGCCCCGCAGTCGTCATCGTTGGGCTTCAAGCGAAGAAGCTTTGGCGCACACTCACAACCCATATTGTGCGTAGTTTTTGATGTTCAAGCTGTCAATTATCGTGTTGGAGCTCTAGAGAGGATGCAACTGTGGATCTGAAAGGGGAGGAGGAGTTGGCGGGTAATACAGCTGGTGAGCCTTGCCTCAGGGAGTATAAGGCAGGCAAGCTGGAGCTGGAGATGACAGCATGGCCCACCACAACACAGCCCCTCAGCCCCTCCATCAGCATCAGCACCGCCCTCTCGCCTCGTCACATCGCGCTTTGATTGGCTAGCCGGGGACCGCGTGTCGCTCCACCGTGCGAAGCGTTGGACACCAAGCGCGGAGCTGCCCAAGATTCCATGCCTGCGCCACGTCTGCGTGCCAGGTCACAGCGGGCCCTGTTGCGCGATTCGAGGAACGAGCGGGGCACGATCACACGCATGCCAGCCACAGCAGCAAACGCCTGCAGCAGCCCGCATGTAACATTGAATGACAGTCGTAGCGGCAAAGATCGACAGGTCCCGAGTTCAAAGAGTTTCGGCGCAATCGTGAAATTCGAGAGTATTTTAGAGCGAGAGATGGCTGCAACCGGAACAAAAATTATCAGCGGCATCACAGAACAGCTCAACATAAAATCAAACGAATGCAGCATTAAACAAGGAGGCGCTTTCTCGTTGGCATGGACACGCTTTGAAGAAGGTATTCAGTCGTATTCCTGCAGCTTATTGGCTGGGAAGAAGATGGGTTGGATCCTACAAAAGTGCCAAGCAGCTGGTTGGACGTGTCACTACTCGGGACCTATGTGATCCCTTCACATCTTCGTGCTCTCCAACTGGACTGCCTTCTCCAGCTTCTCGTCGTCGACCGCAGCTGCCGCCTCCTCAATTCCGAGACTGGCTGCAATAGTATACAGCCTGGTCTTCTCCTCGTGCGCAGTGGTATCTCCAAATACAGCATCCATCTCCTCAAGGGATTTACCCTTCGTTTCTGGAATGATAAACCAGGTAAAGGCAAACGCAATCAGCGCAAATGCCGCGAAGAAGAGGTAGGTGCCATAGCCAATCGACTCAATCATGTCAGGTCTGTGTTCGTCAGCATATCTTCAGCATGTATTATGGGAGTACGGACGTGATTAGACCGATAACAAAGTTCGAGGCCCATGTCGACGATGTAGTGAGCGACATGGCCTTCGATCTGTTGCCGAGATTGTAGATCTCGGAAGGCAGAACCCAGCCGATGGGCGCCCAAGAGTATGAGAAGTTGACATCGTAGATGTAGACGAACGCGATACCTGTCCAACCTGCTGCTGGGTGATCTTTGAGGGTATCTCCGTATCCGCCGATGACTCCACCCACAACGACAAGCGAGATGAAAGTTCCTGCAGCACCGCAGAGAAGAAGGGGCTTACGTCCAACTTTGTCAATGAGGAAGAGCGCAGGGAGTGTGGACAGCGTGTTCACGATACCTTAACGTTAATCTGTTAGTATTGTTTGCATTCACACGTAAGGGAGTAGAGATTTACCATAGACTCCGGTTGCTAAAAGGCCACCAGTCTTACCAGTGAGCCCTAGTTGGCCAAAGATGGTCGGGGCGTAGTAGATGATTGCTGTAAATCAGGGGTTAGCTTCTGCCTTTGATACAATCTTTCTAGGGGCTCACCATTGCAGCCAATGAATTGTTGGAAGAACATAACACAGCACCCGATTGCTGTGCGCTTGAATGATGGCCACGTGGAGAAGAGCGTGCTGTAGCCGGCGAGATAGAGTGACACGCCAGATTTGCCGGGGAACTTCTCGCGATTGTACGACTGCTCGAACATGACCTCAGCTTTGACTGAGAGGTACTCTTTCTGCAGTGCTTCATCATCGGGGTTGGCTTGACGAACACGAGCTAGAGCAGCAATTCCAGCCGAATCGTTGTCGCGCATGCAGTAGAACCTTGGGCTTTCCGGGAAGAAAAACATACCGATCCCAAGGACAAGAGCTGGGATGATTTGCAGAGCAAAAGGCACACGCCATGCTGCATCTGACTGACCGGTGCAGCCGTTGGGACCAACGTCGGCGCGAGGATCAAAGGTTCGTGCCGATGCAGTACCGCCAGTGTATGGAATATCGGGTGCGCACCGAGTACCGCCGATGTATTGCGTGCCGAACTCGAGCCAGTAGCTGACAAGGATACCGAGGGTGATTGAGAGTTGCTGAAGCACCACGAGCGTTCCTCTGACGCCAGCGGTTGACACTTCAGACATGTACATCTGTACGATTGTAAGCATTTGGACCATGAACATGGGCATGCTAGCACTTACGGGTACAATCATAGTCAACATGCCGACAGCAAATCCCGCAATACCTCGCCCTGGGCCTAGTCAGCAATGATGGCTAGAAGATTGATTATCAGTTGGCATACCAGCAAAAGCTGTGGCAATATTCATTGCGGCAGCCTGGAGTACGGCGCCTATAACGAATATAACAACAGCGATAATAATCGAGCCTTTGCGACCAAACTTGTCGGCAACAGGGCCATTGATCAAAGAGCCAGCCCAGGCTAGCAGCAGCAGCGTAGACACAAACCAGCCTTTGAAACTACTGTCGAGCGCAACCCGAGGGAAGGATGCAGCAAAGCTCTCCATCGTCAGAACTCCTGACACCACGCCCTGATCGTAACCGAAGAGGAAACCTCCAAGTGATGCAAACTTTGCACATGGTTAGTAATACTCTCCGAACATACGGACGGCTCACTCACTGTCGACAACCCTAGCAGGTATGGGTTTGCGCGCAGCTCCTTATACACTCCCTTTTTCTGTGGGGATGCATCGTGGCCAGCGCCTTCAAGGTGAAGCTCGTTCGACATGTTTTGTGGAGACACTTGCTGAACTTGTGGAGTAACGATCTGATGCTTCCCCAGACGTGGAGAAGAGAGCTCTTATGTACGTCCGGCTGTATACTGCACTGTCACGCATGAAGTCGCGATTCAGAGCATCCGGACCACAGTGGTCCGGCGCAATGAAATGACACAGATTTTGTTGTCTGCATCGGTCCAAGAAACAGTGCTAGTCTTCCCCGCGAAGTAAGCTGATCTTTGCCCGATTGTTACGTTAGTGCGTGGAGAAAGATGGGGCGTTGACGAAGTTACAGGTGGACGACAGAAGTCCGAACCCCACGAGTCGGCGTTTTGTCGCTCAAACAAGAGCTTGAAGCAGTACTGTATTCATCCCCGACTGACATATCCGACCCCGTTTCCTGCATTCGAATTGCCCACCTCCTCATCTCTCACTTCCCCCTTCAAGATGACGCAAAGCTTGGATTCGGGAAGCCTTACCGGACCTACACTCGATCTAGTTAGTCGTATCGAAAGGCTTCTTCAGCGCCAAGCTCTCAACCCTCGCCAGCGGATCCTAGTTGCTCTTGCAGGTGTTCCTGGTTCCGGAAAGTCGACTGTATCGTATGCGTTGCTGCAGGAACTTGTCAGACGAGGTGTCAATGATGTGACAATTGTACCGATGGTGAGCTTCAAGTGTATTACATCGAGAAGGCGCATATTGATATGTACCCCAGGACGGCTTCCATTATACGAAGAAGGTCCTATCCGCGTTTCAAGATCCAGAGAATGCCTTCCAGCGGCGCGGTGCTCCGTTCACGTTTGATGCAAGATCCTTCATAAGTCTGGTCAAGATGCTGAGAACATCACCTGTCACTACAGGCGATGAGCCAGAGCAACCTGTGTATGCGCCCAGCTTCGACCATGCGGTCCAAGACCCGGTAGAGAATGACATCGCCATCTCGTCACGAAGCCGAGTTATCATTGTCGAAGGCAATTACACGCTTTTGAACCAGAAGCCTTGGAATGAGATCACTGGCCTTTGCGACGAAAAGTATGTGTTTGGTATAAGGAACTCCAAAGGGTAGCTGTGGACTAACAAACTCTAGGTGGTTCGTGGACGTCCCTCCAGAGACAGTGAAAAATCGTTTAGCAGCACGTCATCTTGCTGCTGGTATTGAGACTTCGTACGAAGCAGCCGTTCGACGAGCAGAGAGGAACGATATACCGAATGGGGAGATGATACGGTCGCTTCTGATTGAACCCGATGTTACTATTCTCAACTGAAGGTATTTTTTTTTTGGGTCGGATCTTCAAGATCAGAAGCCATTGGAAGTCAAATCCCAGTCAAAGGAGTTGAAGAGCTCGTTCGACTCGACCGACCAAGGAAAGTTGCTCAAGGCATCGCGATCTAATTGAGGAACGTCCTGGAAGATGCCCGAGTCGATGTCATCGATTGTAACGACCTGATCAAGGATGGTGACGCAGCGAGCGGAAAGAGAGTCCTCAACAAGATGATCTCGAAACGTGCTTCTTGCTAAACGAACTGCTTGGTGCCAGACTTGCAGTTCTGAAGATTGCGGGAAACTGATGATGCACAAGCTCATCACCAGCGCTGCGTGGAAGAGGAAATAGCTATACTTATGCGTTAATAGAGCACTGGGCAGAATTCAGACACTTGCACTTACGTGGCATACCAGCCTTCTAATCGCGTTAGTCCCTGTACAGCGTACTGGTGTATGGATGTCACTGTGGCGTTTGCAGCATCTATGCACAGCCGCGTACATTCTTCCTGATTGACCTGAGCTACTGGATCAGGAATTTGACCTCTCTCGGAGATGGCGCGACGAAGCAGGATGTGGCGGAAGACGATAATCTTGAGATTCCAGAATCTCCACCACAGACGCGATTTTGCAAACGTGTACCATCGATGCTGACAGGGGGACTGATGATCTAACTGGAAATAGGCGGGCAAAATATGAGACCATACGTCCATGGAAGCACTGATGGAGAGTGCTGCTTCCGCAGAAAGACCGGGATCAGCGAGTAGCCGGTTCGAGATGTGATTAGTGTGCATGTGCAGATCGCTTTGTGCCTTCAATGCGGAGTAAAGCGTAGGCTCTGTCGATTCAATCGGGAGCTCTGTTGTCTGTGGTGTAAGTGCCTTGACATGATTAGTATTGGACAATAAAAGCGACAATTCTATACATACTTCATCGCTGACGTTGAGAACGGCATGCACGTTCATGGAGTCCTGATCAGGAAGCATGATCGCTCTTCCGAAAGTTGTCGAAGCACCACTATCGAAGATGTATAGCCCCCACCAGACTCTGCGGCGGTTCTCCCGTTCCATGAGGCTAATGTTCCAGTGAGGTAGCTCCCTATGCAGAGCGACACTCAGAGCATTACGTACTGCAAGCCCGAGGAGGTTCCATCCTGTGTTTGGGGCATTACGTTTCTGGCTCAAGTTACTCAATAAGATCAATGCTTGGATCGATGTCATATTGGCCGTCTCAAAAACCGACTCGTGTTGTCCTAAAGTGAGGGCACGGCGATATAGGTAGTCTTCCAGTCCCACTTGGTCTTTATTAAGACACCACGCTCCTAATGCCAAGATTGCATGATACAACATGTCCCAGGACCGTTTGGCTGGGCGCGGCACAATCTCGTGGTACTGTGCTCGGAACGTTGCCTCGTGTACAAAAGGATAGACGCAATGGTACTCCTGAAAGTACGCATCGATCAACGTTGATGCAATTTGAGTTGTCAATGCAGCATGAGAGACCTGCGCAGATGCCAGTACACTGGTGAGAAGTGTAGAGCGTTCGGCATGGCGCTCTTGGGGTTGTGCCTGAGACTGGTGCAGAAAGCCAGCCCAGTCAAGTAAACATCGCAGGAAAACAACACCTGAGGTTGATCCTACAGAGTCTTTAGTATCGCAGGTGGTAGAAGTCGAAGACAACATTACCTAAATAGCCGACACCAGTGGGCTCAACAGAGAGAGCGGCCATGCCATCGGTGAGACGATCAACGTTAGCATCCTCCTCTTGCCAATTGAAACCATCTGCATTGTTCGGTACAGCCTCTGGGATAACTGGATCGTTTGATGCAGCCGGACTTGGTTCACTGTGGGGACTGGACATCAAAGCAGGGCGCAAGACATCAGGCGTAGGTGGCCCCGGGGCAAGAACAGAAGCTTGTGCCAGGTCTGGTGACTTGACCAAGTCGTCAATGTTGACTCCAGGGAGTAGCTGCGATACAACGGCCTCAAGTCCCTGAAGTTTTCTCTCAACACTCGTGAGGTAGCTGTCATTCAATCAGCAGATGGCGTGAGGGTAATCAGAAGTAATGCGTACGCTCTTGTGAGCGGCGATCTGATTATTTTTCCGCTGTAGTGGCATTTCGCACCGCTCTGTGCACATATCCTACAAGTCGGCTGCTCTTTGGAGCACTGTAGAGTCATTAGCCTCCATCGGGTCACATTTCAAGGCACAAGTGGCACTGACCTTCAATTTCTTGTGACGGCATCGGTCACACTGTTTTCTTATCAGCCATCAAGAAATTTCAAGAAAAGATCAAGAGACGCACAGAAAGTGAGTCCCTGGCCTTTCTCTGCTCCATCCATACAAAATAGTAATAGTGAGTGTGGGGTGCAGGACCGATCGTCAGTGGTTTGGGATGGCCGACGGTCTTCCGGACAGCCTAAGCTCGTTCAGGCATCGCCTCTGCCTCACATCATCTTTGGACTTTTGAAGCACAGTACCATTGGACTGTCCCGATAGAGGCTAGAATTTTGTTGGGTAATATAGCTTCTACAATATCTCCTTAACAATTCCAAAACATCGTCAATGCTAGCTGTCACGCCCAGCTTTGCCCAGCATCTGACGGTCATCCGCACAAGCGTCGTCTAGTAGGCATCTTGAAGCGCTCGAGTTGTCTTTGAAGGTCTTACCACAGTGATATGGCTGACGGGAGAACATCGCAATCGGACAGCGAGATGGCTGTGATGGCATATACTAGCCTCCTCCTAGCAAACAGGGGCGTTGATAGTTGGATGTTATGGTTCAGGAGTAATTGCATGGAAGCGGTGGTGGATGTCTCATAGCTCCTTCATTATGTCGTTGACTGCTTTTGCAGCGAAGCGTTTGCGCTCAGCTTCTGGCATACCTTCGCCCATTTCTACGCCAGTTAGTACCAATTGCCTCGATCAGACTGTTGAAGAATACACATACCTTTGATGGCCACCATCTTCCTCATCATGGTCTCCAACTCTTCCACATCTTTGTCATCAAGCTCACCCTCGCTGTCGTCGCCATGTAGTGCATCCTTCATACCAAAAAGCTCTGTATTCATCTCAGCCTCTTCAGCCGCGAAACTACCCTCGAACCCTTCGACCTCCTCATCTAGGTCAGCGCTACTTTCCCATTCACCAGCCTCAAGCGCTTCCCTGATCCTTTGTAGGCCAGTCGCTTCACCAAAATCGTTCTTGCCTTTTGCCTCCGAATCAACGTACTCGAAGCCGTGTTCCATGCACAGCTCCTCCCATTCGTCGCTGGGCTTTTCCAGGTAGGGGGTAGTGGACTGTGGCATTGCAACAGCAAGACAGACTGTTTCGCCTGCATAGCCGCATGCGCGCTCAATCACATCGGATATCGCTTGCATTGTATCTCTTATTACATCGAGATCTTTAGCCTCCACCGGCTTCTTGAAGCAGTAGATCCACCCTCCAAGCACGGTGACCACTTCGCGAGCTTCGGGTTTTGTGAACTCGGTACGCCATTCGGGGACGTCTGTGATCTCATCAAGCCATATTGGCAGGGTGGCTGTGTAGTATTTCGTCTCGAGGCGCCATTCGTGTGACAGGCCTGCGGTGGTCTCTTTGCCTTCGAAGGTGGTGGATTCTGGCGCGGAGCCTGTGAGGTCTGGGGAAATTATCAGTTGCCAGCTTCTTCCAGCACACTAATCAGCATACCTTTAAGGATGCCGAGCACTCCAGACCCTGGCGCACCTACTGCAAGTATGCGCCGTGGGTTCTTGATATCCATGGCGCGTCGTGCAAGGTATGGTCAGGACGCTCCAATGCGGAGTTCGGAGGTCTCGGTGCCCCACTATCATGTGTGAAACTGCGCATCTTTAAGAACACTGTCGATTGTGGCTACAGGAGAATACAGCTTCTTAGGATCAGTCTCACGGAAGCGCTGACAGCAATTACACGAATCTCGCAACCTCGATCGTATCATAGCCAATATATGATTCTTCAACTGGTCCGACATTGCCGTAGGACTTGCTACTTGTTGATTCAGCGCATTTCCTGATCAGGTAGAGCAGATCTCATACCTATCATGATCTTCCTTACGCATGCTCTCCGCGCGGGGTATGTTCTGTCTAGGCTTTTCCTCTATTCAGCATCCTTAACATTCCGACCCTTTCAAGGTCGTCCACCTCGGCCTCCGCTGGCCCTCGCCCTGATGACTGTAGCGCGACCGCGAGCCAGACCAACACCACGGCCTCGTGTTCCTCTTGATCGGAACATAGGTGCGTTTCTGTGGGATGGTTAGCGCCTTGTTGAAAACTTGCATATAAGCTTCCTTACCTCAGCATATCCGGAACGATGAAGTATCGGACATGACTGCCTCTGATGTAGACCTGCTCAAGATGCGACACACGGCCATCGCGCGCGGTCACAGTGATATCCTTCAACTGCACGTTCATGTTGTCTTCGGCTGATGGCTGTTAGCTCTGACCTGTCAATAGCGTGGGTGCTGCAAAGGCGTACCTTCGATGAGCTTGCCACGGTAGACCTCGCCAGAAGTGATTTCGAGCGTGACGATGTGTCCCTGGGAGTCGTCAGCGCAAGTTTCGCTTATAGCGCGCAACATACAGCGGCTTCGTTGAGAAGCTTGATCGGGATACCAATTGTGCTCGTCATGTTGACGGGTTGATTTGCGCGTTTGATTATTGATTCGTACGGTTTCGCAGGTCGTGTGCGTGGTCGAGGTCGAGAGGGTAGCGTTCAAATGATCTCGTGCAGATTTCGGCAGGCGCGTCGGCGGTTGCAGCGACTTTCGATAGGCGCTGAAGCTCGAATCGTAGGGCTTGACACAGCTCGTATTTACGGTACACGTCGAGGAAGCGGACGTGAGTGTGCGGTTTCTTAACGTTGATGCGATGCTCTCGAAAGTTGCGGTCGCACACCTAGCTATACTCGCGCTTGGCTAATCCACTAGCGCGTCTGCCTTATGTAATCCTCCGCCTTTCGCAACCTCCGTCCACAACAGCCGTACTTAATGATGAACATTTCTGGGACACTGAACGTCTTTCGACTGCTGAGAGACCCGACACTCTGTCTTCCACAGCAGACGATATCGACATTCAACCATCTGCCAATACCCCTAACGAAGGCGTTTCCAAAGAAGACAGGTAAAGATGGAGAGAACGAGGTCGAGATCCAGGCGGTAGTTCTTGACAAAGACAACTGCTTTGCTATCCCCCATACTGATGAAGTTCATAAACCTTACAAGGTAGGCCGAGATTCTACCACTTCACTATCTCTCCAGACCTGTCACTGCATCCCTCCACACGTAAGACGTATCCTACCGTTGAGGTCACTCTTGATAGGATTCCCGTCGATATGACATATATATGATTCATCGTTCAGCGCCGGTGTACAAGCGCTTGATGTTTCGAACCTAAATCTAATCTACCGTAGGACCACTTTCAACGCCTCCGCGAAGCGTACCCTGGATCAAAGCTTCTCATTGTTTCCAATACGGCCGGCACCAGCTCAGACCCAGGTCTTAAGCAAGCAGCAGTCCTAGAGGCCAACACTGGTGTCACAGTCCTTCAGCATTCGACCAAGAAGCCCGGCTGCAAAGACGAAGTCATGGCCTACTTTCGAGCGCATCCAGATTCCGGTGTCACGAGGCCTGATCAGATTGCTATCGTTGGTGACCGACTGTCTACTGACATCATGATGGCGAACATGATGGGAAGTTACGGCTTTTGGGTCAGAGATGGTGCGGTGAAGCCAGGTTTTGTGAGTTCGTCCTTTCGCGTGTAACTTCATTACTGATCCCAGATAGCTTGCAAGGATGGAAGACAAATTGCAGGGCTTCCTTTTTCGACGAGGTTACTCGGCACCAGATCCTAGACGCAATAACCATTTCGAATGACGCGCAATTTTTCAGGGCCGACCAATGCGTAATGCATTCTAGTTGTACGATTAGTAGTACGAAGTAGATTGAGGAGAGGCGTCCTTCTTGGGACAGCGCCCTCGGGGAGGTGGTCAGATCGACACCGGCGCGAGAACCAAGGTATCGGGGATTATGTTGAGCATTTTCCCTAGGACTACTTCTACTGTCTGGGGCATTCTTGCGGGTAAACTTATTAAAGTGATCCTTCACGGGACAACCGAGACTCTCTCGACTGGTCTCTCAGCACTGCAAAACGGTTCACAATGTGCCTGGAGTATCAAGAATATGTTCGTAAAACCACTCAATCCTCTGTTGCCATCACACTTAGTCTGAAATGTGTTGCTGTGCCGTGGTGTTGCGGTGGAATTATTGAACGAACTGAAGATAAGCGGAAATGCCAAAACACTCAGTAGCCTATCCTCGTTGTGATAATGGTCAGTCATTGGACAACCCATTTGCACATGTCTTGTTCAGCCAACGTTCAATGCACGTAATGAGAACGTAATTCTCACATTCAGTTTCCGACCCGACTGCTGCATTGCTGCGCTGCTGCGGTCATGCAACATGATGACCACCGACTCGCGGCATTTGAAATGGAGTTGCGAACCCGCTAAGGAAGCCACGGCCCGCGCCTCGTCCGGACAGCTGTTCGAAACTAGCCCATGACGTTGCTCGCACACAGAGATTACGATTGCTCTAACAGTATGGCGTGCACCGAAGTGTGGGGTCAGTATTGTCCCCGAGAGCGGGGACCTGGGTTGGCGACCTGGCAGATCTGCGTGCGGACGTTATCCGGAGCCGGGGGCTGCGAAGGCACGGTGCTGGAGTTTGAGACATCGAGTGACGTTACACAACGCCCAGTGATCGCCGGCTTACGAAGTATGTCTGTCCTGTAGGCTATCTTGCCTTCTACGACCCAAGGCGTATCAAGGCAGACTCGATCATGTGCGATGGTGTAGTGTACCAAGCGAATCCTTTCATTGCTCTCGACTAGACGAGGAAGGTGCCCATCTAACTCCAGTACAGATAGAAATGCAGTAGGATACATGAGGCTAGATGGCCTCCAGTACCTCGTTTGCAGCTCTAGGCCTGATAGCCGCGCCAGACAACCCCTCCAGTGCTCGATAAAGAAAGACACCCGTTTTCTGACGCCTAAGCCGCGGTTGGCAAAGACACGTTCAATGGCTCTGTATGGTGGGATAAAAGTACTCCACGAGCTTGTGCTAACGTGAGGCATTTACGTCGGGCTCAACACCGCAGAGATGGTGCGGATTGTGGCACGGAAGCTGACGGCTATCTCCCTGGCCCCAACCCAAGTGGAGGTCGTACAAAGACAGAGATTAGAGTTTTTGGTTGCTTATGCTCGGGGCCGGCTGCTCAGACGAACGGATGCGCGCAGCGACAAGTTTCAGGTGGAGATGAGAGCCTTGCGGCGCTCAGGCAGCCAGCCAGGCGTCTACTAAATATACGCACGCACAGTGCGACGGCAGTAAGTGGTGGCTGCTTCGTACTTGGACCTGGCCTGCGCGCTGTGCCGAAAATCGTAGGCCTTTGGCGGCTCCCGTACAGAGCAAAGCATCAGCGAGCCAGCCAGCAGCCGCACCCTCCCGTGCGCCGTTGATGAACTGCGGGCCTCCGTTGCTCAGCTGCTGCGCGTGCACACATACCGAGCTGGGCCTGGCCCGAACTCGCTATCCTGTTCCTATTTACTGCTGTCTCCCCCCTTTGCGGCGTGCGATTCGACATTCCCACGCGCACACGTTCTCCTTTGCATCCTCTCAAGCCACGCTGCAGTCCGCCAATCCACGGCGCGCGACAAGCTCCCTTGGGCATCTTGGCCCCATTGGTTGACACACGACTTGCGACAGCGACCACCAAGGGGTCGGCCTGGTTGGAGCTCCAAGGTCGCAGCGGGCGGTACCAAGGCAATTGCGCGCTGCCGACGCACACAGCTACGTCAACGAGCAGGTGCGACTGCGCTTGTTGTGGCATTGCTCGTAATCCCGGAAGTGCGGCGACGCGTTAGCCAGCGGCGGCGACGTCAACCAAGATGCCTGCCCGGCCCTCGTTCACGTCTCGCCTCTCGCTGCCCCAACGCCTCAAGCAGAACAGCAGCACCACCTCCGTCAACAGCACAGCGACCAGCCGCCAAGGCAGCCCCAAAAGAAACATGAGCGACGTCAAGCCCGGCCTTGTGCTGCGGGCGAACGTGCTCAAGGTGCGCGCTGCCGTGCCCCGCGGGGGAGAACGAGCATCCGCTGACAGACGCAGGGCAGGAATCTAGCTGCAAAGGACCGCAATGGCACCTCTGACCCAGTGAGTACTATTACACCCTGAACCACACACACACGTCGAGTTTCCGTGTTCCTGCCGCATCGGCGCTGACGGCAGCTGTGCAGTACCTCGTCGTCTCCCTCGGTGATGCAAAGGAAGCCACCCCGACCATCAACAAGACCCTAAACCCCGAATGGAACACAACGCTCGACATGCCCGTCGTGGGCGAGCAGAGCCTCCTGCTCGAGGCCACGTGCTGGGACAAGGACCGCTTTGGCAAGGACTACATGGGCGAGTTTGACGTCATACTCGAGGACGTCTTTGCGCATGGCCAGCCTGTCGCCGAGCCGCAGTGGTTTCCCCTCACTTCGCGCCGCGGTGGAAAGAAGTCGTCGCAAGTCTCCGGCGACATCCAGGTGCAATTCACCCTCATCGACACGAGCAACCCCACTGCCGTCCCCGAGCAGATCATGCAAAAGTTCCTCGCAATCGCCGGCCAGTCACCCAGCCCTGACGAGTCTGACGAGAGTGGCTTGCTACGCGCCGACAGCGCGGGTACCGACCTCGATGATGACGACGAGAGCGAGAGCTCGAACGAAGCGAACGACGAGTCGAAGAAGGCTGCGAAGCGGGAGAAGCGCCGCAAGAAGCTCAGGATGGCGCGTCTCAGGAAGAAGGCCAAGCAGATCAGCGGCTACGAATACTCCGACAAGTCAGAGGTCGCGGGTGTCTTGTTCCTCGAAGTGACAAACATCACTGATCTGCCGCCCGAGAAGAACGTCACACGGACATCTTTCGACATGGATCCGTTTGTGGTGACATCCCTGGGCAAGAAGACCTACCGCACAAGGACCGTGAGGCACGACCTAAACCCAGTCTACGAGGAGAAACTTGTGTTCCAGGTCCTGCGTCATGAGGTCAACTACTCTGTGAACTTCACAGTCGTTGACAAGGACAAGTTTTCCGGAAACGATTATGTCGGCATGGTCAATTTCCCTCTCGAGAAGGCTCTCTCTGTCGCACCCGAAGCAGACCCGCACACTGGCCTTTACAAGCTCCCAGAGCCTGCAGATTCCCCGGGCCTCCCTGACACCGGGAGGAGGTCACGATTCCGATTGCCTGTTTCGCGTTCGTCATCTTCACATAGCCTTTCTCGCATGGGCAGGCCGTCTCTGAAGAAAGAGCATTCTGCCGGCTCGCTTTCAACGAAGGACTCGAACGGATCCTTGCCACCTGGGCCTACCAGCGCCCCAGCTGTCGACAGCAATGGGAACCTTGCACCCGTACCCGCTATTAATGTTGATCCATCGACCGTGGATGATCAGGACCTGAAGACCTACACTTTGCCACTCGAGATGAAGAACAAGGAGCGGTGGGAGGCGAAGCACACTCCAACAATCTACATCCGTGCCAAGTACCTCCCCTACAGAGCCCTACGACAACAGTTCTGGAGAGCCATGCTTAAGCAGTACGACGCCGACGAAAGTGGTCTCATTGACAAGATTGAGTTGACCACCATGCTCGATACACTCGGTTCCACACTGCATGCTTCGACCATTGACGGCTTCTTCAGTCGGTTCATGGCGAATCACAATGGCGATGAATTGCTCACTTTCGATGAGGCTGTCATCTGCCTGGAGGATCAACTACAAAAGATTGAACAGCTAGAGTCTATAAAGAGTGGGCACGCACCCTTATTCACCCCGGGCACGCAAACACCGGCATCCGGTCAGTTGACCCCAATAAACAAGAACGCATCGAGAACATCTATTCCTGTTCTCGAGACCAACACGCTGGGCGTTGATGGCGAAGAGGGTGAATTCCTCGCCGACGATCTTGCCGATGAAACCGGTGAGGAGCACGTCATTGAAATTCGGGAATGCCCCATCTGCCACCAACCGAAGCTGAACAAGAGAACCGATGCTAACATCATTACTCACATCGCGACATGTGCCAGCCAGGACTGGAAGCAAGTAAACAACATTGTCATGTCGGGTTTCGTCACGTCAAGTCAAGCTCAGCGCAAGTGGTACTCCAAGGTGATCACTAAGATTTCATATGGTGGCTACAAATTGGGTGCCAACTCTGCGAACATCCTCGTCCAAGATCGTCTTACTGGTCAGATCAACGAGGAACGTATGAGTGTGTACGTTCGCCTTGGTATCCGGATGCTCTACAAGGGTCTCAAGGCCAACAACATGGAGAAAAAGCGGATCCGTAAACTACTCAAGTCTCTGAGCATCAAGCAGGGTAAAAAGTACGACGATCCTGCTTCTGCAAAAGAGATCGAATCATTCATTGCGTTCCATCAGCTCGATATGGGAGAGGTGCTCCTCCCCATTTCACAGTTCAAGAACTTCAATGAATTCTTCTACCGAGCTCTAAAGCCAGGAGCGCGTCCTTGCTCAGCTCCAGAGGACCCAAGGGTCATCGTTTCGCCCGCTGATTGCCGCAGTGTTGTCTTCAACACAATCGATCAGGCGCAGTCCATTTGGGTAAAGGGCCGTGAGTTCACAGTCGAGCGTCTTCTTGGCGACGCGTACCCCGAGGATGCCGCACGTTTCCATGGTGGCTCGCTTGGTATCTTCCGACTCGCGCCACAGGACTACCACCGCTTCCATATCCCGGTCGACGGAGTAATGGACGAGCCTAAGACGATTGAAGGAGAGTACTATACAGTCAACCCAATGGCGATTCGTTCAGCTCTCGATGTATATGGCGAGAATGTCCGCGTCATTTGCCCCATCGACTCTGAACGTCACGGCCGCGTCATGGTCATTTGCATTGGTGCGATGATGGTTGGTAGCACAGTCATCACTCGCAAGAAGGGCGATACTGTCAAGCGTGCAGAAGAGTTGGGCTACTTCAAATTCGGTGGAAGTACATTGTTAGTGCTCTTTGAACCTGGGCAGATGCGATATGACGACGACCTTGCCGACAACTCGCGATCTGCACTAGAGACTCTCGTAAGTGACACCCATGAGCTTCACACGCACGGCATTAACGATAACAGGTTCGCGTTGGCATGTCCATTGGCCACAGCCCCGACCGGGCATCACATGTTCCTGACATGCGCAAGAACAACCCAACGCACGAGGAGAAACAGGATGCAAAGCGTCGTATTGAGGGCAGCCTGGCTCCTGCAGGCGTCCCTGGGCCGATGCCTGGCGCTGGAATGACTTAGACGGGAAGCATTGTTATAGCTGCATGTTCAACAGATGCAAGCAGCATGTCTGGATAGCATACAAGTGGATAATTGCATATGGAACGGTGGCCGTTAGGGCTGCCGTTCCCGCGGCGTTTTGTAGCGGCTTTGCCATTGAGCCCGATTAAAGAGGCATCTCAACATGAAATACACCACTTACCAGCATCACTCGCCAGCAGATGTAGCTCGTGCTTGCCCTGCGAGTTGTCGGTGTGGAGTTCGTCACGTGTGGCGCTAGAGTTTGTTTACATCTTGGCAATGTCCGAGGGGAACGAAGTGACGATGCACACGCCCTCAACCCTGCTCCCGCCCGTTGATCGCACCCTTCACTGTAGCTCGAGGATATTCGCATTAACGCCAATCTTTACGACCGCTAATACGGATCTCGGAAACATACCGTCTGACGCGCCTTTACTCCTGTTCGACCGAGTCCGGATTCGTGCGCATGCACGCGCTTTGACGCTACTTGCGCACTCATAATACCGATTCACCTCACCCGCACCGGACTCAATGTCCACCATTTTCGCGCGCTCCCCGCTTGTTACCCTACCTATGGCCGTAAACCGTCCTAGTACGCGACGACGAAGCGCGAAGCAAGCATTCGACGACGATGATGCGCCAGCGCCAAAGAGGGTCAAGGCAGACTCAAACGGAGCTGGCAAGAAGGCCACGACCACCAACACAACAACGAAGAAGGCTGCGAAGATTGCCTACGACGAGAACGACGACGGCTTCCAGTTTTCGCGGCGCACGACGCGAAAGACCACAAAGACGCAAGCCGCGCCATTGCAAGAAAGCATACCTGAGGCCAAGATAGCAAAACCGACGCGACGGAAGGAGGTCTTGCGCTCGTCGCCTGAACCTGCACCTGTGAAAGCACCAACACGGCGGAAAAAGCCAGCCGCGACTGCTGACCCAGAATCCTCGGACACACAAAACCGACGACGCTCTGCGCGCATCTCTGGCGACAAGAATAATCTGGAAATCCGGCCGAAATCCGTGGAACCTCTGCTACCAAAGCGCACCGGCAGGAGAGCGCCTTCTGAGCCGCAAAAGAAGAAGCAGAAGCAGGTCACACCAGCACCAGAAGAGCAACCGGCACACGCGTTTGCAGGTGCGCAGACTCCAAACCAGGATGATGTCAATGCTGCGAAGGAACGTGATCCTAATGCGAAGCGCATTATGCTTCCTTTCGCGGACACACCGGTGATTACGCGAAACAAGGAAATGCGCAAAGGCAACAAGGATGGGCATAGGCGGAGCAGTACAGGGTTACGCGGCAGGAGAGCAAGTTCGCTCATCGATAGCGGCATGTCGAATGGTGAGTACCAAACACTTTGAGGCGTCTTTTGTATAGCACGAGGACACGACTGATCACCACCTAGCTCTTCCACACTCAGCGATCGAGGTTGCGGATTACTACAAGTACATCGAACAAAGCTTACCGGAGCCGCGCCGAATGAAGCAACTGCTTACCTGGTGCGGGTCCCAAGCCTTGCCAGAGAAGCCGTCGGGCGACGTTAAGAACACCAATGCGATAATGGCTGCTCGAGCGATCCAACAAGAACTTATCGACGACTTCGCGAATCGGCCGGAGCTGTCAGATTGGTTCAGCAGAGAAGAGACAGCAGCATCACCAGTCGTCAAGAAGCCAAACCCCGTGAACGAAAAGAACATAATTACACTGCAGGAGTTGGAGGAGGAGGTCAGGCGGTAAGCAACCGTTAATTGGAATGACGATAGAAACACACTGACAATCGAATAGCCTTGAAGAAGAGATGGCTGCTTGGGAAAGCCTGGAGAAGCCGTCTTTTCCGGCAGCTCCTGCAGCGCCCCCATCCAATGCGCCAGCAGTCACATTAGCTGACATCGACACCTCGCTTCTCGATCCAGCGCAAGCTGCGATACTCTCACAACTACAACTTCCGTTCACATCTTCCGAGGAACAGCCACCGTCAGCCTTCAAATTCACGTTCACAACGCCTTCGGCTTTGCAAACACATCTCGACAAGTTAAGCCAATCGCTGGAACCCAACATCGACCTCTTTGCAGACGGCGTAAATAAGATCGAGCAGTACCGTAACACAGCAGAGCGCGTCGCAGACCGTATCCTCGGCACAGCAGCGAAAAGATTGGAGGAGCGCGACCGAGAAGTCAAGGAAAGAGCTGGCGCAGATGGCATCGGCATTGGCGATGTGTTGAGAGGACTGGCGGGTGTTTTGGGAGAGTCGTGAGAGCATAGCAGTCTCAAATTGAGATTGATGCTCATCATTGACACTGGACAGGCAAGAGAGAAACGAGATTCTGCCATCCGCGCCTTCAGAGTGGACACTTCCCAGAGTACTGCCTCAGGGAACGTACACATTCGAACTCGAGGCCGGCTTCCGCGAGTTCTGGACAGCGTGCATGGCTCGCTCACCCTGCAGATTGCGAGACCTCTAGCTGGGACCAAGGCTGCACGGGCGACATGATTGACGCTGAAAGCAGTGGTGCGCTGGACGTGCCAGTCTCGCAGGCACAGGGGTCGGGTTCGCGGCGCAATTGTGAGGACGCATTGGACGAATGGGAGACGACTACGCACACATGGTGCTATACTATCGACTTAAACCTGCAAGTGTGCATATCAAGCGTGGTGTTGGGGGGCATTTGCTCAATGAATCTTCTGTGTTTTAGCGATTACGACAGCTTCTATGTATACATCACACCCAATCGACAGATCTGCAACCTTCAAACCACGCCCTGGTCCCAAGCATGACTCGCACCAGCTCTCACGATTCACACCCTATCACGGCTTCCGCACCACAATCCCATACCACACTTTACACCCAATCCACTTCCCGCCCCTGTGGCCCACGACGCCGCTCTGGATATCGCACTGTTCTACACTCCTCTCCATCGCGCTCACAATCTGTAGTCCACTGTCCTGCGCGGCCTGCACCGTCTCAGCAAGCGTGTACACGTAGCTCTCGCCACGGACCTTGACGCCCTGTGCATTGACGAAGCCAGCTTGCGAACGACTGCCCATTTCCGAGTGCATGTTTGTTAGCAGCGCCACGCCGGCGGGCGCAAGGAGGGATGTGAGAGTGAGGAAGTAAGTGGAGAGGGGAATGTGTTCGAGGACTAGTGTTGAGAGAACGAGAGTCTGGGGTGAGAGTGCGAGACTTGAAGGGGAAAAGACGGTAGCTGGGAAGGGGTCGCATTGCTCGAGGCGTAGGGTTATGTTGCTATTTGAAGGGGCGAGGGCAGAGAGTTTCGAGCGGGCGAGGGCGAGCATGCCTGCGCTGAAGTCCAAGCCCGTGACGGTTACGGTCTTGTCGGCTGGCCACGAGTGAGAGAAGAGACGTGCAGTGTTGCGGCCTGTGCCGCAGCCAAGATCGAGGACAGAAATGCTGGTGCCAGAGGATGCGGCGACTTGATCGAAGAGAGAAGGGAGCAGGGTATTGAGTTCGTCGTCGTCAATCGATTGGAGCATGTTCCCATCTGTGTCATAGACTGTGGCCCACTGATCATAGGCTTCCTGGGTACTGATATGTTGGACCGGTGTACATGTCTCTCGGGGGATGTCTTGGGATGCATGCGGCGTATCTTGATTGAGGTCTTGCGCCAATGGACTTGGTGCTGTGATTTGATTCTTGTAGGTCGCTGCTGCCATGCCAGCGTCCGACGGGTCAGACTCGGTAGTCGAGAAGGAGATGTTTGGGTTGAGATCCACGAGTGAGGTATCAAACGTTGTGTGGACAGATGGTTGGGTCATTTTGCAATGTTTATGTATAGGTAAATGCTCGTTACAGTGGAAACGCTGGCTGCTGTGTAGCAGTTCCCGGAGACGGATGTCGGTGAAGCCGTACCACTTGGATCAGCTTTGATGAAGGCTTAGATTGCGGAAGATTGATGCCTTGACCTTTGAGGCGATTGGAACAGCCTATATAATTACTGCATGCGCCCTCTGTATTCGCGCTTCTTCCAGATTAGGAAATATGTCAAGCAAGTATGCGGGAGCGTGACTCAGACGCGCATATTTGGTCCGCGCTAGAGAACGTGACCACGCGATAACATTCGGTCCCATATTCGCGTCCTGTGTAAAACGATATCGAAATTTGCCCGTCGATTGTGGCCATTCCTGGGATCGCACAGCTCCAGTCCGCACAAAAGGTTGATGCGTGCCCTCCTGCTAGGCTCCAATGTTGTACAGGTAGATTACGTGTCAGACCACCGGAATGCTACTTCTATGTCATCGATCACAAACTATCTGGGAAGTAATTCTTTAGGATGTTGTTTCGATGCGCAATTAGGCGTTGCCGCGACGTTAGTGTTTCGCGCAGGTGCGTGTCTAGCCAGCCCTTGCCGAGGCCATCATCCAGAAGCAGGTGTGTGTACGCAAAGACGCTGGCGTCAAATAAGCCCGGACTCTCTGCACCGAAGAACCACTTATTGTCCCCGAGCAGCGAGTCAAGCGCCGTGAATGCCTCTTCTGCTTGATTGTACAGAGTCTCAGCGTTTATGACTGCGGAGAACTTCAGTAGCTCCTTCTCGGCAGCAAGGCGCAGCTCGCGTGCTGTTGTGAGGCGAACAAGGGGATTGCTCGATGTTGGTAGGATGTAAAGCGGTTCGGCGATGGACGTGAAGTTGTTGGAAAGGTATATGCTGTAGAGCTTGAAGCTATTAGCGGAAGTCTTCCAGAGTATTGGCTGGTGACCTACCCAGGCCCTCCGTATCCGGTGATCAAGAAGTGACAGATATGCTTCATAGCGAAGATCTCCTGATTCTTCCACTGCCGCTTCACTGTTGTTCATGGTCCATCGCTGCAGCTTGCTTGATGGTACTGGCTGTACATGTTTGGTGGTGTCAGGTTGGGTAGGGAGAAGGAATGGCAGCGCACCGCTTGGTGACGCATGATTACTCGAGGAAGCGACGCGGAAATGGATATTGGAAAACTTGAGGTACGCCTAGAAGAAATATGAGCTAGGCTGAAGGGAGTGGACTTTGCGTTATTCCGTACCTGCCATTTTAGACACGCTGGGTTGTATGACGGTGAGCCCTTTACTGCGCCCTCGTTTGTAGTGAATATATGCAGGACAGGTGAGTTGCGCTGGCGTGGCGCGCGTTGTGGTAGATCGTTTGTGGAGTATGTGACAAGTGGGAATCTGTCGAACAATTGTTTGATGGGCGTGGGTACGTTGAAGATGCTACGTGAAGCTGGCCGCTGCGGCCTTCGCTCTGGTGGTGCTTCTGTGCTGTCGTTTTCTTTTGACATCATGGCCTAATGGATGTTTGAAAATGACCTCTGGAGTTGGTGTCGCAAGGGTTGGCGATGCCGCTCGGAGGAGAGCTTGCTCGCCTGCACTTGCCGTTCTTGAGCGGGCCCAGCTAAAACGTCATCTCTCAAGCCTTCTCCACGGCCATCCCACGACATCGCGACTACCTCCAAACATCGATGACTGCATATGCTACTAGTAAACCTGTGCGCTACAAGGCGATCTATGATGCTCTCCATCGGTGTCTCAGGATCAAGACCATCATGGATCGCCTTGTAGCGCACAGGTTTACTAGAACAAGAGGTTCCATGATCTTCAGGATGGAAGGATTGTGTGAGTTATTGGATAGTCTAGACTCGCGAACTTCTGCAAGAACTGCCTGGGAGTCACCACCAAGCTTCTTTCACACCTCACGATTCTTCTCTACTTCCACAGCAGTATCTTGTGCCTCGCTCGCATCAGCTGGCGTGGGATGAGCTGATCTGAGTACCTGTAAGTCCTCAGCAGATTCCACCGGCAATGCGCCGCTGCACAGCGGTATATCGTCCACAATTTCAGTGGGCGATGGCGCAAGCGCTCGCTGCTCAGATCCAGCATCTACGGCAGGTACAGCCTCCTCCACACCTACAGTCACTTCCCTCAAAGTATCATCTGCTATTGATGCGCTCGAACTTGTGCTTGAGCTAGTACTCTCACCGAGATCGTCGGGAACACGCTGCGCGTCTTTCACGTTCGCCACATCGGCCCCTTTCACCTCAATGCTCGACGAGCACGGCCTATCCACTTCTGCGCTAGGTTCCGTCTTGTATGCCTGCCCGTACTTATTGCCAAAGACAGCCATACCGAAAAGCCCGCCCATTCTCTTTTTCGGAAGCGATCGCTTCCAGCTACTGAAGCGAATAGGCTTCCTGCCAGTACCGCCAGCCAGCCAGTACAGAGTTGGTGGAAGCCTGTCTGAAGAGTCTGCCCCGCCACGAAGATGCGCGGATGGTGGTCTGGGGACCTCCGGTAGAGTGAGATGAGGATGCTGATTAGCAAGTGAGTCTGATCGGCGGAATGGAAGTGGTGGGAGACTAAGGGTAGAGAGGCGGGAGGAAATGGACCTTCTTGGGGAGCCAGAGGTTTTGGTGGTGAAGTTGACAGCGGGAGGTAGACCTTGCATGCTTGGTCGATCGGTCCTTGTTGCATGTGCTCCTCTCGACAAATGAGCTGGCAGTGGCGCGCGTCCGTTCATCTTGTGCTGCATTCTTGCAACCCGCTCAGGTGTTACAACTCGCGGTGGAGGAAGATCAGCATCGCTATCAGTGTCGAGGAGGTCGTCAGGGCATGGGCCATGGCAGGTCAGCAGCCATCTTTTGAGCTTGAAGCTAAATGTATTTGTGGATGGCCTGCGCCCACTGCCGCCTCTAAGCCTTGGTGTAGCATCGCCGGAGGGTTTGCCACCTTTGAGCTCAAGTCGCATACCACCGAGCCTTGAACTCTTGGTGTCTTGACTTCCAAAGGTGGTCTCACTGTCTGTAGCATTGACCACTGGTTGTGAATATGTCGCTGCTGAGGTTTGCTGTGGAGAGCGTCTTCTGTAGACTTCACTCCCAGCCAGCACAGTGTCCAAGGATGAAGCTTGGAGATCGATGACCGCTCTTCCGCTCTCTTGAGCCTCTTTTACCACAACCGTTGTAACTTGCGGCCTAGGTGTAGAGGATCGACTTGCAGGATGGAGTGGTTTTCTATCGCCATAGTATACCGTGTTAGAATAGTCTGGTGGCCCACACGCACTTGAGGAGCTTTTCGGGGTGTTGCTTCGATCAATCAGGGGACTTGCTGATCCAGCATGAAGAGCAATTGCATGCCCAGGAATCTCATTTCTATGCACGAACGGGAAGTCCCAAGAATTTGGCAGGGCGCGTAAGTAATGCAATTTTGGACTCGCAGGTCTTATCGTAGTCTCAGTTTTGCTGCTGTTACCAAAAAAGTCGATGTGTTCTAAATCAATAGGAGATGCGTTTCCCAGCCTAGATGGCGGCCTTGAAGCAGCCGTATGATGTTGGCTCACGGGAGAGCCTGATGCGGGTAGCCGAATAATGCCAGGGGGAAGTTTTGAGACTCTTGGTGGATTGCCGATCCTCCTCGTAGCACGTTCTGGCGTCACAGGACGAGGCCCTAGGAGTACCGAGGAACTGCTGTCGGCAAGATGGGCAAGAGGGCTTGGTTCAGCTGCAGAATGTCTCCTTCGGTTGTCGTCCTGCATACAGTCTTCATTGATATGTGAACCTGGACCCCCCGATTTGCAGGCATCACACGGTTCATTAGGCACTATCTTTGGGCCTCGCATACCGCAAAAACTGTAACGTCGTTTCTCAATTCTAGCAAATGAATGATATGACTTAGAGTCGTACGGACACGGCTGTGAAGACTGGGTAATGTCATTGCCTTCGACTTTGGGAACATGCACCGGCCCGCTCTTAGCAATGGTTTTGCCTTTGCTTGTGCGCTTTGAGGCTGAGATTGGTGCTGTTGTCAGGTGCGTCATGGTCTTGGTCCTGGGAGTATACGTAGACGTACGCAGTGCAGGTAGAATGAGTATGACTCCCGGAGAGAACAGTTGTGAAAAAATCTTTGGGTGCTGTGGTGCATGCTCACTGATACTAGATACCGGAAACCTGTGTTGCCTCGATGTTGTCATGCTAAGATTCACGTTCCATTTGCGTCGTGGATAACACGCACGCGGATTCTGTGAATACTTCCAAAGTCCGTGAATGGACAAGACTACGGAAATTGATTGAGGCTTTGGGAGGCGTTCGACCGTAGCCAGGATCTCTTATAGCGCTCATCATCATGACATGTGTGCCTACAAACGCTCGTACACGAATTATAATACCGTCAAACGCTGTTGTTAGGTGCGCTGAGTCGGTTGCGCGAACGACTGTTCTCAAAAATTTGCTGTTCTGCGCGATCGTGGGAGCAGGCTTGTGGAGTTTGGCTCAATGGTTCAGTACCTCAAATGTGGGCGATAGATGAACGAACAGACCTCGGACGTGTCTCCAATCCAACATCGACACCTCTAAACTTCGACGCTACTGGCTGACTTCACAAAGTCTTCTCTTTTTTCAGGTCATTTATGATCATGTAGCGTGAGAGCCCGATCCAGCCCCAACGAAACCAGCGCATCTGACTCTCGTGTGCAGTCGTCATGGCTCTTTGTGCGGTCCTATAAGCGAACGGAGAGCTCACAGACAATAGAGGCGTCGGGAAACTGCCAAGTTCCTTCCTCGCTACAATGGCGGCTATCAGCGTAGCAGGAGCGTCAATCAAGCTTGCGTATTTCCGGAATATTGTAGTGGTGGTCAGTGTGTAGAGCTTGATTGGACATTCCCAACCGTTATGCCTGTGCATGAGCGCCTTCAAAAACGCATGTGCGCCACCGTAAAGCGATATATGGTTTGGATGACCGGAGATGCCATGGGCGTCAAAGGTGACGATGACATCGATGTTGGCCTGTGGAGCGTCCTTGGCTGAAATCGAAGACATTTTTGGGGCAAACGTGCTGGTCAGAAGGTTGGAGATGAGACGAGGATGCCACGTGACGGTCATGGAATCGGGGAAGTTCCTGTAGCACAATCAGATAGTGATGAGATACATGTATGAGGTACTAACTTGTCTTCGACAACGTGAATGTCGTCTTTGCTACCAATACCAAGTTGAAGACCACTCTTAATGAGCTCTTTCTTGCGCGTTTCACCTAGGCCATCCGCATCGCCTGCAGGTTGGCGTCAGCTTGTGTCCGAGCTTACTTCTTTCGTCTTTCTAAACTTACCACTGCTCAAACATAAGATTTTCACGTGATTACCAAGCTCCGGACGCGTCAAAGATAGTAGAACAGGCGCAAAGAACATGGCCTCGTCGTCAGGATGGGCGATGAGTAACAAGATGCGCTTGTTCTGGAGGGTTGGGAAGGACAAGCTCAGGGCGCTTGTGTAAATCCAGAAGCCTATGATAACAAGAGGCACTGAGCCTGCGATGAGCCAATTCATTATGTACCTGGAAATCAGAGCGTCTGTGAAAAGGTTAAGGTATGGGCGGAACTGCACTCGTGAAGGCTTGTTTGTGTATGGAGTGAATGAACGAGATCTGGAGGTGAGGAAGGAGCTTTGGCCACGCCCGTCATTCAGGGTCCCTTTCCGCGGCAGAGCCGCACTGAACATTTGTCCTCTCACACAACACAACAAACAACGTAAACCACGACTCTGCCTACAACATGGCAGCCGGTAACCGCAAAGAACGGCGAGCAAAGGAAGCGAACAAATCGACACCGCACCCTTTCGATCCCTCCATCGAACTTGACGAAGAGAGCGTCAAAAATATCTTGAAGCACCCAGACCGCGCTGGACCGAAGGGCAAGTCGTTATTTGAGCTGGCAGATGAGCGCCAGAGGGAACTTGATGCGAGAAAACCAAAGAGCAAAATCGTTGAGGTCCAAGCAGCCCTGAACGAGCCAGTTGGTGCTGTAGGGGATGCCATTCTCTACGCAGTCTCTATGACCGCACTGCACCTGACGCTCGATGTCATCGTCTACAATCAATACCGCGAAGCCATCCTCTGGAACGAGATCTTCCAGCGTGCTGCTGCTGCGTCACCTATATTCGCCCTTCTGGTATATTTGACTCATCTCGAACAACCAAATCGATTCCCTACCCTACGCAACTTGGCGTTTCTGACAGGCTCTATCGCAGCTGGCTGCTACATCATATGGTCGGCAAACACGAAGGGCTACTTCTACGTAATGAAGGCAGCCCCTCCGGTCGGTGCCCTATGGGTTTGGAGTGTCATCGAGATGAGTCTTCCATATGCTGCAGTCAATGTCGTTGCCGTGGCCGCGTACATCTGGTGGAACGAGTTCAACTTCTTCTAAATCTCAAGAACCCGGGAACCCGCACAGACGAAACCGGTCTAGCACTACTGATAGCGGGTCGCGCTGAAGTCGTTCATGATAGCAGGCAGCCATCATTCCAGGTGCATGGTCGATGTCACAGTTGGCGCGCAGTCCTTTGGACATCGAGGATCGCCGCCTGCTCATCATTGACTGACACGAGTGGAAGCGTGGATTCCAAAGATCGAGACTATCACACGATCTCATTCTTGATCGGGCGCAGCCAGGGTCCTGCACCTGAGTGTGCCTTGCATTGACAGCGATTGGGGCCGTTCACACTCAGCCAGACGGAATAGCGAATGCTAAGCGAATGCTGACCCGAACGAGTGGGGCACTCAAGGATCCCAAGATCGCGACTCATCTTGCACCACCAATCAGCGACCGCGACTTCGGTCTGCCACGAGTGAGCAGAAAAAAACCCCGTCAATGGGATTCTCTGACTTGTTGCCTTGCGCCCTCAATCTCGTGTCGATTATTAGGCGACGTTGGGGCAATTGGCAGCTTTCCGGCCCCAATTGGTGCCTTGCAGCGGGGGCTGAGGCTGAGTATCATGTCAGCCATGGTGCATTTGCCGTATGCGGCATGCTGCGAACTAGTCAACGGAGCTGCAGGACTTAATTAGATCGTGTATTGCTGCTACCAATTGGCCAGTATTTGCAAACGGCCCCCGTAGGCATATATCCTGTCATCACGTCGCGCCTGCCTATAATTTAAGGACTGCTATGAACTCTTCGGCTTCTGCTCACTGTCCAGCAACACGAACCAAAACTTTGTACATACCTATCTATCCAAAACAGCCCTTCAAGGCAGTATTCGACATCCGTACTTGACGCAAGACAAAGCCACATACATTCAGAGTCATTTGGGCCCCCTCACAATGGCTCTACACGAGCAGATGCCGTTGATGAATGAGAAGTACGTGGATATTAGGCATCGGCCTTGGACGTCACGAGGTGTAAAGGAAAGAAACCCGGCGACCAAGAAGCTTACGGTGGTATGCACATCGTTATTGTGCTTATACCTTTCCTGCGCTGCGGTTGTCTCGTTTCGGGGTGCCCTAAAGTCACAACTAAGCACAGCGGCAGGCACATCTATCCCAGTTTCAAGTCTGCAAACGCCTACCGTGGTGTCGAATTACTCTTGCACACCTGAACAATCTTGCTGGCCGTCCGAAGACCAGTGGGCAGCCTTCAACCAGAGTATCGATGGCAATCTGCGGATAACTGTTCCGTGGGCTTCGTCCTGTTATTCAGATCCATCAAGCAAACAATGTCAAGAGATAAGGCGAGGCTACATGGATGGGGTATCTCGTACTGCGCAGTACGGCACCACGGAGTTCCTTGATTGGGAGACATGTGGACAGTCCCACTGTTATCTGGATTCGATGCATCCTTCATCGCCTGTTTCTGGTACATGTGGGCTTGGTAGACTGTCAACATATCATGTTGAAGCTCACACGGCCAATGAAATCAGCAAAACCTTGGATTTTGTTCGCCAACACGGTGTTCGAGTCTCCATCAAGAACACCGGCCACGACTACTTTGGACGATCAAGTGCAGCCAACTCCCTTGGCATCTGGACGCATCATATGAAGGATACAAAATACCACAAAACATTCCAGCCCAAGGGGTGCAAGACGCAGTACAAGAACATCGGGGAGGTAGGTGCGGGCATCCAAGCACAAGAGGCGTGGGAGTTCTTCGAACCCTTAAACATGCTTGTCACAGTTGGTGCTGTCGGATCTGTAGGCATCGCAGGAGGTTTTGGCCAGGGAGGTGGCCACGGACCGCTTGGCCCCACTCATGGCTTGATGGTCGACCAAGCAGTTGAATTCGAGGTCGTCACCGCGGATGGTCAGAAGCGGACAATCAACGAATGTACCGATTCTGACTTATTCTGGGCCATGCGAGGTGGCGGCGGCGGCAACTATGCAGTGCTGACATCGTACAAGTTTCAGCTACATCCTGCTGTGCCGTTGAACGTACACTTCTTCCGGGCCCACTGGCCCAAACCCACGGACATTACCCAATCAAAAGTGCATCGCGACATAGTCAGCGCGCTGGCTTCGAATCAGACAAACTTCTTGCAGAATGGTATTGCTGGCTACAACTTTTTGTTACCAGACCACATGGTATCCCTGCACGTCATGCCCTCAGCGGACACTAAAGCTATCGAGACCGTCACCAAGCAATACCACGAGTTCTTAGCCACATATCCTGGCATTACGGTTCAGAACAATTCATATCACGTCTTCCCCAGATTCTCAGAATGGCACGCCTTCACTGACCAGCCCTGCATCGCGCGCAATGGTCCCGTTGGTCTTGGACTCTCCGAAAGTGGCCGATTTATTCCCAAATCACTCTTCTCAACGCCTTTGGACATTGGTAAACTGACCTCTGCCGTCCTGACCGCTATGCAATTCTCTTATACCAACCGCGGCGGCGGATCTGCACAGCTCTACTCCACAGGTCCCGCAAACCATCCCGACGGCAGCGCGTCTAGCGCACATCCACTTTGGCGCGACAGCCTATGGCACGTCATCATGGGCGGTGGATGGACGGCTGCCACTACCCCTGCGCAGCGCACGCAGCTTCAGAACACCATTAGCGCGTCGATCCAGCCTTTCAAAGCGCTGACACCTGGTGGTGGTTGCTATGTCAATGAGGGAGACTGGATGGAAGAGAACTGGCAGCAGGCATTCTTTGGTGGAAACTATGACAGGCTATTGAGTGTCAAGAGGGAATATGACCCCACGGGGATGTTTCAGTGCTGGAAATGTGTGGGATGGACAGGACATAAGGATCCGATGTACAGTTGCTATGGACAGGGCGACAAGGAACCGCAGGCGAGTATTCCTTTGGGGCCAGTAGGGTGAAGTGGCCTGGTGCAAGCTTTGCTCTGGGTGGACTTTTGTATTTGCGTGGAGTATTGGCGTTTGACTTTCTTCTATTGTGCGCGGGATCTGTATGTAGAACGGACCATGGCTTCAGGCCAACGCCAATTCGGCTTGTACAAATGTATTCTATCTTCCTCGGTCTATCAATCCAGCACCATGCAACAACTTTGCGCAGGAAACCCAGCCTTCAATAGCGAATCTACCAACTGTACCGCGCCAAGATGATATTCGCCGCGACTGTTTTTGTCTTATCTGTGACCTACCAGCTCCTCCCCTCCCCTAACTTATCTAGTTCATCCAGGAGTGTCGAGCGCCTTACAGTATAGCAGGGGTAAGTAATCAATGTAGATCCTTAAATGTTCTACTTCTAGCAGCACCTCTCTGCAAGTAATAGTGAAGCACACCAGACTAAACAATAAGGTGCTAATATTAAAGCTGAAATATTTTGTATACCTCTACAGGCTATGTTTTGTTGACAGCTGGCTGATGTAAGGTCTTGTAACACATTGACTACTTACCCCTGACATACTGTATTCAGCGTCGACTTGCTCGACTTCTCCTCCTCAGCTAGATCTTTAGTCTTTTCCTCGGCTGCCTTCCTCTTCTTCCCCTCCGCCTTCTCCGGCTTCTCCCTCTCGTCTCTTTGGCCTTAGCCAAATTCTCTTCGGCCTTGGCCTTCTTCGCTTCATCCCTCTGCTCTTTTTTGGCCTTGGCCCATTCGGCATTCTGTGCCGAAAGTTCTTCTGCAGTCACAGGATGAGTATACCTACTTAGAGCATGTTCTGGAGGGGTGTCCTCTAAATACCAGACCTTCTTCTAAAGGCCTGGGATGCATCTGATTGGGCAGTCGCAAGGTGCCCTGCTGTCCTAGTGCGGCTTGCGACGGTTGTTCTGCGAAGCAATTCCAGCATAATGTGCCTGTAGCCACATTCCCCTGCATCGTACAGTGGTCGTCTGCAGAAATGCCCGGGTATGCATGACATTTGGAAAAACTCATCGCTTTACTATACCAGTGCAAGATCGAATGCGAATAGTTGCAGTAGAAGCCTATGACAGGTTTCGACGTCGTTGTTCTCCTCTGTTGCGGAATTGCTGCTGGCAGATTTCACAGGACATGACCTCGGAGGCACTCGTCATCTTTCAACTACGCTATGTGTTTGCATTGCATACTGGTCATATGCCGACACTTGCTGCAGCATTAACTTGATAAGTCACAATCATTTAGAGTGTTGCGGAGCATGTCTCTCGGTGAAGTGCTTAGTCACGTTGCTGGAGCTTGTCTGTAACAGTCTATGTGAGGACAATGATGAGGTCATGAATCATATGTGTGTATAGTTCTACCGAGCTATTGAGGTGTTGGGGAATGCCGAAGTACCCGGGATGAGCACGAGCCACTAAGTCACGTGATAGACTAGCTCCGCCAAGCCAACCACACAGATAATCCCACTTGCCCTCGCCCTCCTGCTTCCTTCTTTAGCTCTCTTTGCCTTTTGGCTTAGATCAAGTGTAGTATCTGTTCTTCTAAGTTTAATCGCTTAGATGCCTCTATTGAGGTCTTTCGATTATCCCAGTTTTTCATTTTGGCTGGCAGGTCACTGAGCTTGCTCAAACTTATCAGCACAGTGTCGCCGGTATTGCACTACCTCCGGTGTACGCGAACTTTTCATTGAGACAGCTGGCTTGCCAGTGGCTTGAGGAAGAGCTTTCGATCTTGTGAAGTGGTGTATAAAGGCTGCGAAACTAAACAAGGCACTGCGACGCGTCTGCCAATGTTTACCTCTGAGAAGCAATCTGCCTGAAGGCATTTGAATGACGAGCGAGTCTGCGGCTCGAACAAGAGAGCTCCTGCGTAGGCCGTGAACTTGGAGTGATGCTGCTTGCATCTGCCACAAACGTCTCCTCCAAGTCAAAATGTCGTGCAACTATTGTCTGTCTGCCCTGAAGCCGTGACGTTGCGAGCGAACTGAGCTCAAATTTTCTTTGCTGTTTGCTGGCCCAAACAAACACCAACTTCACTTGTGACGACCCTCGAGCGACGAAAATTCGTTCTACCTGCACAATTACGATGGCATCGCAATCAGGCATGGTCGATCCTGCCATCTTCCAGGACCTCCAGGCGCGTGTCGACGAGGATACAGCTGTCCGCGATGTGAGAAGCCGCCCCGCCAGCTGCACGTGAACACGCACTCATAACGCGACAGGAGCTCAAAGACATCATCCACGCACTCGAGAAGCACAGTAAGACAACATTTATCGATGGAAAGTACCAGCTAATTCATATCAGACCGCAATGTCTCGTTTGTACTGTCGAGAGCGCACTCAACGCCCGTCAACAACCGTAAGCAATCCACCGGACAGATGAGCAAGCGCCTACTCACGAACGTGCAGTTCCTGAGGTCCTCAAGGCGGCAGAAGAGTCAATCAGCACCGTAGTGGAAGATGTATCGAAGCTGTCACAGGCCGCATCAAAGCTGCCATACTACAAGTTCAACACCATGTGGTCTCGTCAGATGCAGAGCGCTGTACGTCATCTCAAGCTGCACACGAACGATCTTGCTCACAATCCACCAGGTAGAAGGCCTTCTCTTCTGGGGCTGGCTGGGTGGCTACAAGTATGATGGAGGCGATATCAAGGCTGGAAGGCTGCTCACCATTGAAGAGCTCGGCGAGATCCTGAAGAGTAGGTGGCCAAAAGCACGACACTAGACACATGGTTAACAACACACAGTCCCGGTCAACCTCAAAGAGCGAGATGAATTCCACCTCACCCTTGAGGAGTACTTGCAGTCTCTCATCTCGCTTGTGGAAGAGCTTGTATGCAACCCGCATAGTCCGATCATAGCCGGTTTGCTGACAATAACACAGACACGTCTGGCACGAAATGCTGTCACGCTTGGTGACTACGAGCGGCCCCTATTGATCAACCAATTCGTCAAGGATCTATTTGCTGGCTTCCAGATTCTCAACCTGAAGAACGATAGTCTGCGCCGCCGTGGCGACGGACTCAAGTACAGAGTCAAGGATGTGGAGGATGTGGTGTATGATCTTTCGCTGAGGAATCTGCTGCCAAAGAAAGAGTAGGCAATTCTATCAAGGAGTGTCTGATGCAGTCGGATCTCGCACGAAGACTGATAGCACCTAATACACTCTTCTCATCTCGGATTGTCATACTCTTCATCTGCCCGAACAAGGATATCGTGAAACCATCGAGGTGCTCGGTGATTGCTCGCGCTAAAAGTCAACCTGCACGGACGGACGGCATCTCCAAAACTTCGGTCTCAACACCAAAACAACGTCGATACGGCCCGGCGCCACTTCCACTCCCTTAACAACCCTCAGTGTCTCTCAAAAATTCCCTGCAGCACTCCGCGACGCTCGCAGTCATCCCACCCAACCCGGCACAATGGCCAGCGCAACCGGCATCCCCGCCGTCCCGGCACCCAAGGCGCCCGCGACACCAATTGAGCCACTGAACACAGACATTGCGCGCATCTACGCGCATGTCCATCCTGTTCTCGTTCTCTCTTTGTATGCGTACAAATTCAATGATCTCGTCGCCAACCCTGCACCGGTGCTCATTAGCACGCTACTCCCTATTGCAGTCCTGCAGGTTGTCTATGTAGCCGTGTGCCTGCCGCCGACAAGCGGTACAGGCTCGACGCCACAGATCAAGAAGCAGAAGGCCGGCGAGAAGAAGAAAGCTGTGCTTAGCAAAGTCGAGAAGGGTATCAACGAGACGGTTGTTGTATGTTGAATCACTTGGTCTGCTACAGATCATGAGAAGACCGTGCTGACACGTTGTATAGCCTGCGTTTCTCTCTCTTCTCCTTACGGCTCTGGCATCGACGCCCCTCCTCACCGCAATACTCGTCCTCTTCGGCGCACCGGTGACAACGCACCAAGCACATACTCTTCTGGCCGGCGCACATATCGCAGTGCTGAGCACTCTACCGCTAGTTTACGTACATGGAGTCAGTGGCGAGACCTGGCGAGAAGCTATTGCGCTCTTGCTACCCATAGACGAGGTTTATGGGGGCCTGATTGGCACTGTGCTGGGTGCTTGGCTGGGCGCCGTGCCTATTCCGTTGGACTGGTGAGTCTTACCTGCAAGTGCAGTTGGTGGATAGGCTAACATGCTGCAGGGACCGCGAATGGCAGAAGTGGCCGGTCACAATTGTCACGGGCGCATATGTCGGATTTGCAATTGGCAAGCTGCTGGGAGGCACACTGCTCAAGGGCAAGAAGATCATGTTTGAGTGACTCTGAGCAGTACCTCGAGTCGGCACTAGATTTGTGTAAATTATTACTAGACAAATACTCGAGCAAACTACAAGTTCGGTGCCTAAAAGTTCAGCTTCTCCACGCGCGATTGCTTTGCGCAATAGATGCTCGAAGGACACAGCTACCGAGTCTAGTAGCCGTCTGCAGCACCCGACAATACCGTCCTAATACAACATTTTACCGAAGCAATTGGGAGCTGTCAGATCTGCCGTTGCGTTGCAGCGTTCGGCTTCCTGCTCCTATAGCCATCCAATGCACGCTAGCGGACACTCCCCGCGATCGACCCGGAGCCGACCCGAGTCGATCTTACACAGCAGTATCATGACTTGACTTCGTGAGACATATATAGAGCGCGTCTGCCACCCGAACGGTGGACTATTCTTACTGTCACACAGAATCGGCTTTTGTTTCAATATCATCAGAGCTCGTCAACAATCTACTGCTTGCTTCATATAGTCTCACCCTAGCCATCTCAGCAGTTGGAATCCACCATGCCGAAGACAGACGTTCTGATAGTAGGGTCAGGCTCTGCAGGTATATTTGCAGCAACTTGGCTCGCGATCTACGGCATCCCCTTCACAATACTTGAACGACGTTCTGGGCCTCTCGAGGTAGGACAAGCTGATGGTGTGCAAGTCCGGACTGTTGAGATCTACGATTCTTTCGGGCTCGCCGAGGATCTGCTAAGAGAGGCTTACCACATCTACGAAGTGTGTTTCTGGGGCACTGACGAGGAGGGTGGCATCAAGAGGAATAGTAGATCAATTGACACGGAGCAGGGATTGAGCCATTTGCCGCACGTTATCTTGAATCAGGCGCGTATGAACGGGCTAATGCTCGGCAAGATGGAGAAGATCATGAGAGAGAAAGGGTCTTGGAATGAGGGAACTGCGAATGGGATTGAGTACGGATGGACTGTGACAGGGATCGATGTCGATCAAGACACTGTTTCCGAGCTGGATGCGCACTGTGTCCGCGTCTCCGCCACCAAAGACTCACAGGTCGAAACCTGGGAAGCGAAGTACGTTTTGGTAAGTCAAGCACAAACCTTTGCCCTGCTTGAGGTACATCGTTGACAAAGATAGGGCTGCGACGGCGCACACTCCACTGTCCGCCGCTCCCTCAATTATCGCATGCTCGGCGACTCGACTGACACTGTCTGGGGCGTCATGGACATTTACCCATTGACTGATTTCCCTGACATCCGTCGCAAATGCACCATTCACTCCTCTTCTGGCAACTTGCTCATTATTCCACGTGAGGGTGGATCGTTAGTCCGCTTCTACATCCAGCTTCCCGCGGGCTCCCAACCCAAGGATGTCACACTCTCGGATCTCCAAAACACCGCAAAGAATATATTCGCACCGTATAGCATGGCCTTCGCTGATACGTTTTGGTGGAGTGCATACTCAATCGGCCAGCGCCTAGCCGACAACTTCCACAAGGACATGCGAATCTTTCTCACCGGCGATGCATGCCACACACACTCACCCAAGGCAGGCCAGGGCATGAACGTCAGTCTGCAGGACGGATACAATCTCGGCTGGAAACTTGGGAGCGTGCTTTCCCGCCTCTCGCCGCCATCTATTCTACCATCGTACGTCTCTGAGCGTAGCAAAACCGCCGCCGATCTGATAGCGTTCGATCGCGAGCTGAGTCGCTTGTTTAGCAGGAAGGAAGAAAAGGTGGGCGAATTCGCGGAGTACTTCACTAAGAGTGGTCGATACATGGCTGGGTTTACAGCACGGTACGAGGACTCCCCAATCTCGAATATGGAACAAAGTAAGGAGGAAGTGGCGACCGGCATCAATGTTGGTATGCGGTTCCCCAACGCGCAGGTGGTACGATTCTGCGATGCGCGGCCCGTGCAGCTGCAGAGCGCGTGTAAGAGTGACGGGCGGTGGAGGGTTGTTGTTTTTGCTGGCGATGTCGTTCAAAACCCTGCAAGCAAGGATAAGATGGAGAGAGTATGTTTTTCTCCTTTTCGCATTGATAGCGCAATACTGACGACGCACAGCTCGCTTCTACGCTTGAAGAGACACTCAAGCGCTTCACGCCATTGGGAAGTCACCTGGACAGCGTCATCGAACCTCTGCTTATTCTAAGCACACGCTTCAGGGATACTGAGCAGCTGCTGATCCCTGATGTCTTCAGCCCGAAGACAGGCAAGTGGGGTATAAAGGACTTGCACAAGACCTATATTGATGATGAGCACTATAATGCTGGACATGGGCAAGCGTACGAAAAGTACGGTGTTGATCCTGAGAAAGGAGCGCTGGTAATCGTACGGCCTGATCAATATGTCGCAAAGACTTTGAGCTTGGAAGATGGAGCGGGTGTGGAGGAGTTCTTCGCAGGATGTCTGCTGGAACAGAACACTCAGGCAAACGGGACAGGTAAACATTGAGCAGCCCTGACAAGTAGTGTTTCTGTACTATCAAGGGCCATAATGCATTGATACTAGCCCAGTGTATTAAAATCGCAAGACAGATGTGCCACCGTGCTTGCGCAGCCCTGTATTGTCGCCAGTCCGCGATGCTACCATTGGTCTGTCCGATGAGCAGAATGCCAAAACTCAACGCCGTAAGCCTTTATTCACTCTCAGGGATCTCCTGCCACTCGAGAAAGTCATCGACGACTTCAATCTCTTCTGTGTTGTCGCCCGATCGCAACCAATGCCTTCCGGGTGAGTGAGACCTTTTCTGCCTACCCTCAACTTCACAACTCTCGACCTCGTATTCACCGTCGCCGCCGCAATATCTTTCGCTTTGTACTCCTGTGTCAAAAATTCAACTTCGTCGCGGAACCACTGTAAACTCGTTCTGCACCCTGTCTCCTTTGAAACGTTCAATTGCCTCGCTTCGATCAGTGTAGCGTCTCCGAAGCAAAGTTGCGTGACCCAGCTATCACGCTCGTGCGTAGCTTTCAAGTGAAGGTGTTGAACATCGATAGCCGACGGAACTAGATAGGTATCATCTCCTAGAAGGTCTGTACTGCGCATTCGTGGGGTAATGGCGTAGAGGTAGAGCGGGCTGTTGAGGAGGAAGATCAGACCGTATTTGGAATGTCAGTAAGGCTCCAGCGGTGGTAGAGAACAGCCTACCAAGAAGCTTCCTGTCGTACTCAGGCTGCGAGTCTTCTGACAGCTGCGATAGCTCGAAGTCGAGGTGTTGGTACAGCGCGACAAGCTGGATGCGAGCCAGGACTCCTGGTGCCAGTCTGAGACGGGCAATATGAGCAATCATCTTTTGATGCAGAGGTTTTTGCCCTATCATCGAGAAAGAAGTGGTGACGGAGGTGTTGGAGAGTGAACGGGCACTTCTCCCACCTTTTGTGATAGGGTGTTTTCACTAATACCTTGGCTTTTTAGGTGAGAGAGCAGGCCGCCCAACATCTGCCTTGTCACTCCCATAACTTCACTTGAAATGTTGAGCCTAAAAAAGGCCTACCTTCCCTCGGCTTGCTACGCGTATCACGAAGATCAAGACAAATGGTATCTGATATAACCAATCCAAATTTGCTCTCATGCATCAAGATCATCAATGATCCCATAATCAATGTGTGTTCGTACCGTGCAAGTAGACATCATTTTATGCCGCTGCACATGTGCATACATGTTCTCGCGCCGTGTTGGGTTCCCTATCTTTATTTGCTCATAATCGTTACTTCAAATCAAGACAGTAGCGCGTATCAAGAACTATGAGCAATACTTCTTCCCCTGTTTCTCATCAAGAAACCCCGCGTCAATAAAAGATTCGTAATTCCAGTATTCGCTCTGTGTTCCCTCGCCCGCGACAGTGACGTTTCCACGAAACTTAGCAGTCCAGTATGAATTTCCCTGGGTAAATTTGTTGTATGCATATAGCCCGGTGTTGACGTTCTTCGCTCGGTTCACGATTCTGTTGTTCGTGCTGGTCTGAATTGACCACTCGCCCACAAACACCGGAAACTTGCCGTCACCAGCGAGCCTCTTTGCGTCTGCACAAAGCAGACTTGTGACGTTGTCAGAATCACTCAGCCGCCCGAAATAGTAGTTGTGCACATCGAACACAATGTTGTCACTCTTGTCAAACGATGGAGACCAGAAAGGCTCGCCCTTGAAGCTGCCCTGTAGCATTACAGGAATCTTACAGTTCACCGCTTCGGCGCGCTGCAAGACTGCTTTGAAATACTTTAACACCCAGGCGCTCCCGGCATCCGAGAGCGCGGCAGGTGTGCCGAACTTGGAGAAATCGGGGTTATCGGCGGGTTCATTGATGGGAGCCAACGAGTACGACTGTGGAGAACCTGATTTTTGGATGAAGTTGAGTGCAGCATCAACGACATCGAGGGACAGATCGAGGTTTTTGGTGCTGTTGAACCATTCCCATTTCCCAACGCGCTGTATTAACGTCAGTGATGAGGAGTGTAGATAAGGGGGCTGAGCTCACTTCGCCAATGTCCAATCCGTTGACGCCACCAGGAAGCGAGTGTAAGTCGAGGACGACATGCATGCCGTACTTCTTAATTGCGTAGTCTGCGACTCGCTTGAAGTATTTCTGCTGATTCCCCGAGTGGTATCCAGCGCCAGGGACATCTATCCAGGCTGCGTATGTTGTAGGGATGCGAATGAGATTTATGCCTCCAGACGCAAGCTTATCGATGTCTTTGCTCGTGATGTATGTTGCATAGCGTTTTTCGAACACAGAATCGCATTGATCGCCGAGCTGGACGCAGCAATTCCACTCATCGACGGTGCCTCTGCAGTGCTGATCCCACCAATACGGGTCAATTGTGGCTTCTTGAGCAAGCCATCCTCCGAGATTGACACCGTTGGCGTGAAACTTTCTCCAGTTCACGTAGTCGCCTCTTTGGGCTGTGGTAGGACTCGCAAGAACCGTGGATGAGAGGCCAAAGAGAGCGGCGTTGAGAACGAATTGGGCTACCATGTTTATGGATCTGGGTATCAAGATTGGTGGCCGATGGACTGCAGCTGCCGTGCTTGCTCTTATACACTTGAAGGTGCAAGCCACCAATGATTCCAATTGGCCAGTATCTTGATCGAATGAACAGCGGTGTCGGTGCACTCGATGCGGAGATTGGGCTAAGAGAAATCATCAAGAAATTGAAGTAGCTAGCTGATAAAAGGAAAAGAGCCGCCTTACTTCGTGAGCGGTATGTCCGAAGCTGGATTGGTGGTGAACAGGATAGTATTCTAACATCGGCTGTACATCCTTGAGTTCGGTGCGATTGGTGCAACCGCTGCGCTACCCCAGAATTCGGCCCCAGAATTGTGAGCCGGCATGGGGAAATACAGGCAAGTGCCGGGGGACGTGCTACCTGCAAGGATGTGCTGCGATGGCGGATCGTAAAGACGGGTTACATGCCTTGTACGAATCGTACATCTTGCATGTGCGATCGCTTTCTTGGGTGCCACAATTGATCATTCTTCGTCACATCGCTGTACAAAAAAGTTCTGCTCGTACATGCCAAACATCAAAATTTCTTGGTCTGTCCCACTGTGGAGTCAATCTCATTGGATTTCGGGTTTAATGAGTCCGACAGTCTTCACGAGGTTTTTGTTACCTGAAGACTGCCCGAAATGGGGCACATCGCAGGGGCTGACCCTTTGGATGCCCTCTGCATGAGTGCTCTGCAAGGGAAGTCTTTACGTCATACCAGCAGCGATGCCTGCGCGTTGTGCATGGTTTGCGATATCCTGTCACCGGAACTGAGGAACGCTAACTTCCGCTTCCTGGACACCTCGGCCAAGGACTGGCGGTTTATCATCATTCCAGGTCGTACAATGCTTCTCAGCAACTGCACTGTCCCCAGATAATTTCTGTTGTTTTCTTCCTCACATCTTCGCGATCGTATACCTCTTCACCTAGACAACCCATTACCCGCAGCACTTCCACCGCTTTGCGCATCGCTGCCAGAACCGATCGGTCTCACGAGTCCTGCTTGCGGTCCAGGTTGTCTCCTCAAGGCTGTAATCACTGGCTCCTCTTCCTTTCTTCCCGCTGCACCTCGACCAGGCGCGCGCCCGCCAGCGCCCTGCACTTCAGCAGCTATCGGACCGCGTCTCAGCAGCTCTTCGAGACCGAGGTCGCGCCACGTAGGCTCCTTCTTCGCTTGTGTCGCGCGCTGAATGCCAAATGCTGCGTGTTGGTCTGGCACAACGTCATCCTCGTCTTCAGGGTTGAGGGGCTGCAGGTGCGGTGGTATGTCAACATTCTCGAATTCAAGTTTAGATGATGTTGAGTTTGTGAAAGACTCGAAAAGATCTGCGTGACGAGAAGCATGCATGTGGAGGTATGTTGCTGATGAATCGCGTGACTGCGCAAGTTTAGTGATGAGTGATCCAGCACTGGGGCAGTGCTGACCATGATGAGCAGATCCGGGAAGACTCTTTCCAAATCGAATGCCGAATCACCAAGACCGATTGAAAGGCGGTTGACGTTGTCTCAGTGAAGAAGTGGGGTCACTACCTTCACCAGGCGGATGTTTGTGTACAGTATCGATAACATTGCAAGTCCGTGCACTTTAAACCGGATCCGGTCAAACTCCACTGCACGCCTTTCTTGATCGAACGATCACGTGTAGCTCGAATTTAGCATTAGTGGTGTCGCGGAAGAGATTACCGATCTCTGCAAATCAGCTTGCCCACTGAGAGCAAAGTCACAAACACGACCCGAGGCGCTATGCCTTACGCAGCAAGATCCTGGGTTCCCTACTGCAGACTAGGTGCTTGGCTCAGGCGATCTAGATTGTAGTGTCGATCGTCGTGCCTTCGAAGAATACGATGTGATGTTTCAAGCCCAGGCAGTTGATCTCACGTGAATGTCTGCTTGCAAGAGAGTCCTTCAGTTCATCGCGCAGCATGGTCTCCTTCGTTGCGGATATGGATCCGGTTGGGATGGAGACCTTTCTCTCACAGTTCGGGATCAAGCGACATCGAAATGCTCAGGGGAAGATCAACTGGACCATCAATGTCATCACTCAGGAAGCAGATGCTCAGACACAATCGGCGTATTTGGATGAACGGCTTGGATTTTGGAAGCTCCACCAGTCTCCGGGGTACGAGCCATTGGACGCAGGCGCAGCAAAAGAAGAAGCAGAAGCACACCGTGAAAACACTTCCCCGCCGGCCGAAACGAAATGGACCCATTCGTTTCCCTCCTCCAGTCATGCCCAAGCGCTGCTCGACTGGGACTGGGGAGCTACTTCACTCGGGCCTCTGGAGACTTGGCCCCGCTCACTGCAGTTGTACACCCAGATGTTGCTCTCGGACTTTCGCCCAGCCACGATATACTGGGGTCCCCGAAGAATCGCCATATACAACGAAGCTTTGATACCCGTCATCGGTGCTTTTCATCCTGCCCTGATGGGCCGGTCTTTTGAAGAAGTTTTGCCGCATTCATGGGAGTATTTTGGTCCGCTGTTTCGCGCCCTTGAGGAAGATGGGCATGGGGTCGCCCGCCATGGACTCGAGCACTCTACCATGCGAAATGGCTACTTAGAAGAATCATGGTGGGATGGTGGGCTCATCGCTCTTAGGGATGATTGTGGCGGATATGGAGGTGCTTACTTCTCTTGGACGGAAGCGACCAGGACAACATTGCGAGACCGACGGACAAGAATGATCAACCAGCTAGGACACTCATCGCTCTCTCCCAATTTCTCGTTCTGGCAGCATGTCCACGACATCCTGGGAAATTACCCCCGCGATATTCCCATGGCAATGATGTACAGCAGCGACGAAGGCCAGCCATCCAACGGGCGGCTACATCGCAGGCACACTATTGGAATTGATGAGGCACATGTTACAGCACCGAGTGAACTTGATGTCAGTGAATCCATGTTAGATCCTTTAGATCTCCTTCCAAGAGCATTGTACTGACTTCACCTCCGATGCAGCTTGCATCGACTGATGAAGATACTGTGCTTATGTCGTTATTGCGTCGTGCACAAGAAATTTCAGCGGATTTTCTCGTCGTCGTAAGTTCACTCTCGTATTTATCAGCATTGTTTCTGACTATAGTGTCTTCATTCCAGGACTTGAGCATTGAAAAATTGTATGCCACGCTCCTGGAAAATATCAACTGGGTAGGTTTCGGCGAGCCAAGTCGACACCTTGCTGTGGTCCCTATAAGAGACAAATTTCTGACCAAGGGTTTCATTATCCTGGGTCTGAATCCTCGCAGAACTTTCGATGAGGATCATAAGCAGTTCGTAACAGAACTAGCACGTCAGCTAAACGAGACCGCGATAAGAGCGACCTTTCGGCAAGACTTACAGAACAGAGAGCAGGTGCTTGCAACAGAATTGAGCGAGAGTGAAAAACGGGCAAGTAGAATGGCTCAAATCGTTCCAGTTGGTATCTACGAGCTAGCTGCTGATGGCGCCTTGCATTGGGCGAACAGACAATTCTTTGAAATAATGGGGGTTCCTCATGGTCAGCGTCAAAAGGAGTCATTTGTTTGGACAGATTACATTCACCCCGAGGACCACGAGCGCGCGAACGAAAAGATGGCCAACTGTCTTCTACAAGGTCTCGATATCTCTGACACTCTGAGACTCAGAAGAAGCTGGCAACCTCCCGGATTGGAACCTGACTCTTCAGATACCTCCGAGCCGTTTTGGGTCATGTACTCTGCTTCGCTTAATCTCAAAGCAGACGGCTCAACCTCCTCCCTCACAGGCTCTATGACGGATATATCTCACCTCAAGTGGGCAGAGCAATTGCAACTTCGGAATGCGGAAACCGCACGGAGAGAAAGGCGCGTACAAGAGGAATTCATCGACATCACGTCACACGAAATGCGCAATCCTTTATCCGCTATCACACAATCCGCTGACGGTATCCTGCTATCGCTTGAAGATGCAAAAGAGGTTGAAGATCCTGTCTCGCTCCAAAGGATCATTGGTCTGAATGCGGAAGCCGCTGAATCAATCCTCTTCTGTGCTGCACATCAGAAACGTATCATCGATGATATACTCACGCTTGGCAAGCTTGACTCGAAGTTGCTGACGATATCGCCGGCCGCATTTTCTTTGCAAGATCTCCTCGATCAAGCTCTGCAAATGTTTAAGGCGGAGTTTGAGGTCAACAAAATACAGGTAAAGACCGTCATTGAGATGGTACCTGTTGATGCAAGGCCGACTGAAAGTACGAATTCGATTTTTTACGGCGATTCTTCCCGACTATTGCAAGTGCTAGTGAATCTGATGACAAACGCCATCAAATTCACCAAGCACCAACCATTGAGGCATATCAGTGTTCGTTGCGGGTGGAGCTCCTCCTCTCCTCCTCCGCATCTTTTCGGCAAAAGCTTCCAGTGGCACTGTACAGATCTTCCGCGGCCAGATCTGACACAAGATCCAGACTATGGGCAAGGTGAACCATCCTACCTGCATTTCGCGATTACGGATAGCGGTGAAGGCATATCACCGGATGCGTTGGAGCGAATTTTTACAAAGTTTGAGCAAGCAGATAGAAGGACCCACACCAAATATGGTGGTTCTGGGCTCGGCCTATACATTTCTCGAGAATTGTCCGAGCTACAAGGTGGCTGTATTGGCATTGAGTCAGCACTTGGTATCGGCAGTACGTTCGCATTCTACACCAAGGTCCGACAACCAGACGCACAAACACCGCTGAATGCCCCAAACTTTCATACAATACCTGGACCAGAAGTTGCCTTGGGAAAACTCGATTTGAGAGGGGAAACGTTGCCGAGGAATTTACAACCTCAAACAAACTACAACATACTTGTTGTCGAAGATAATGTGCTCAACCAGAACGTTCTTGCAAAGCAACTTAGAAGAGCAGGGTGCAGCGTGCAAGTCGGTAATCACGGCGGGGAAGCCGTCGACATCGTGCTTCGGAGACTTGGTCAAGCTACGCAGTATAACACTGTACTACTAGATGACCAATTGCCCTACCTCGACTGCATACTGATGGATTGGGAAATGCCTATCTGTGATGGTATAAAAGCTACCAAAACAATTAGAAGCATCGAGAAAGAGCAGGGCGCAGAGAGGAGTCTCATCATTGGAATCACAGCGAACGTAAGATCGGAGCAGATAGAAAGAGCGCGAGACGCTGGAATGGACGAGGTCGTTCCAAAACCCTTTCGTGTGGCAGAGCTGTTGGCCAAGATACGTGGCTTTGCAGCGCCCTCTTAAACAAGCGATTTTCGATTTGAACATCATTTTCGACTATCCACTATGTAGAGTAGATGTCATACAAGCAGTCATCTGCTCTGAGCTTTGGCCGCAGTGACCCCTAGATAGAAATAGTCTGTCATGGCGTGTGGAGAGCCATCCTTCGGCGAGGCGTCAATGGGTTCAGGACGCGGAAGAAGTCCTACCTTATACATTGGGTGTACTCTACCGAACCTGCAGTGTTCCTGCACCCACATCGTGGATGCCCATGATTGGCTCTTGCCTAGATAATGGTGGACGACGTGTGACTCATCCGTTGGTCCTACATTGCCTACCTAATCGTATCGTACGTGCGCTACGTGGTGAGAACATCCAGCCTGCGATTTATATAATCGTAGAGGAGATGGTTTGCGACATTGGACAATGGATCTGTCGATTCTTGATAGTGGGGATATAACGGGGATTCGGACGTTGGGTATTGATGCTGGCTGACGGAGCACCTGGTTGTCACGCTTTCCCCTTCCTGGTCGCCCTGTCATCCGTCGATCCTACATTAGCTCACCACACGTCTTCCCTTATAATATGTTTGGGAGTCCACACCTCTTCCTTGTCTCCAAAGCTACCGACTATACGGACGGAAATCGACTCGCAGCAATGCCATTATTCTGGCATGTCAGCACCCACCCTACAGCTCTCATCAAATCTATCGGCTTGCCCACCGAGCAGCACAGACACAATGGGTGTCCAGAAATCTTGGCGAGAAGAGCAATGCATCTTTTGAATCCATAGCGGAGTACTGAAGAGTGGTAAAGGTCCGTGTACATCACTGCGCTGAGCTGGATCTTCAACTAACATGCTCCGCAGTTGCCGTATAGGTGTACCAATCGGTTGATCATTGTACCAAGCAACCTCCAACAACATATTGAATCTTGTCACGCCGATTCTTTGTCGACGATTCAATGCCAACTCAATCTTGCAACCACATAGCCGAGGCAGCGCCGCAATTGTCTCCGCAGGGATCCGTTGGCCCCACTGCGTCATCTATCTCACCCTCGCGCCCCCAGCTTTTCCACTCCCCATATTCTCATCTCTCGTCTTTCGCATTCTTAGACAAACAATCGCCAAAATGCTCGAAGGCCGTTGTAACTGCGCCAGTATCAAGGTCTCTATCCCGGAATTGCCCAAGAACTCGGCTATTTGCTACTGGTGCGCGTCCATGAACATAGAGGCGCTGGGAACTGCTCGCTAACTTTGTAGTGCGAATTGCCGCCGACAAGGATCAGGCCCAGGGTCGATTCTCTATGTGTTTGACAAATTGCAGGTAAAGATCGATGATCCCAAGGGCGCGCTTAAGAACTACAAAGACAGCGATACGACGTCTGGAAACACGATCACTCGCCAGTTTTGTGGCAATTGTGGAAGGTGAGTTGAATCATACAGTGGCGTTTGAATCAAATCGACTGACGCTTGGAAAGCCCAGTTGCATCTCTGCTATCTGATGATTCGCCACAAATTTTTGTGAAGGGTGGACTGTTTAGTCACTGTCCCCATCCGAAGCCGAACTATACAGCTTTCCCACAAGACAAGCCTGAGTGGCTCGAAATTGCCAAGATGTAAGGTCGATACGAGGGCGCTGGGAAAAAGGACTCCCTCGAAGACTTCAATGCGCGTGTGCAAAGTGATGGATGCAGGATTCGTCATGGATGCAGATGTACAGAAAAGGTAGCACTTTAGTGTCGTTACCATGCGGGATCACATCTCAGAATCTACCCCATCGAAAGCATCCTCCGGTACTAAACGTATTTCCTGCGATGCAGCCATAAGAGCCTGCATCTGGGTGACCAAGCTTTCTTGTGCCTTCCATTGCTGAATCTTTTTCTCGACGTCTTTGATCTGCTTATTCGACCACGCGATGGGATTGAGTGGAAGTTTTCCTAGGTGGATGCCATTTCCATAATAGGGGAATCCCTCGTGGCCGGGTAGAATGAGATGAGACCTTAAAGCTCTCACAGAATCAGAAATACCGCACAACATGTTGACCATGCGGTCGTAATCAATCGCTAATCTTTGAAGATGCTCGGTTTGAAGAGGAGTCAGGGTAGCCGCGCGACGCAAGAGTAGTATAACCCTAACAGCGTCTGCCTCCACGGGGTCTAGCGTTGATGCTTCTTCGTACCGGGCAGTGACCCCCCACAGCGGACGGAGTAGGCGCAACGACCACTTGATATGCCGGTCAATTTTCTGGTCAGGGTTCAGTGACGCATGCAGTCGCTGTCGTCGTACTGCACGCAAACAGTCTTCGGCATGGCCAAACGTGACTTTGTCCTCGCCCGTTTCTTCCATGAGACGTCTGAGAGCTCTTTCTTGCTTCAAAAAGCGGCGGAGCATTGGCTTCCACTCAACATACACTGCAACCGATGTTGCAAGTGGATTCAGGTCAACGGTCACGTCGAATGTGCGTCTTCCTGGTTCCAGCGGGATTTCCAGATCGAGGACTGCGGTGTCCAGCTGGATCATCCAGATTAACGCACCAAAGCCCTGGCTAGGCCGCTGAGGCTCAAGTTGACTCAGCAGCCTATTTGCGGAGGGCAAATCGCTGTGAAAGTCGTTCCACCATTGATGCCGGTCGCGCCATTGCTTGTCCATCTTAAACGCAGCATGAGATTGACTCCACGGAGGCCCAACGCGCTTTTCTGAAGGCGCGTTCGGTAGTGGTACACCATCTCGTAATGAGTCGAAATCGGCGCGCACAAGATGGAGTTCTTCGTATTCTTCATCCTCTAGATCTTCATTGATGATTGATTCCAGAGGCCCTAGATAACCGACCAACTGTGTTCTTTGGAGGTAATGGAATAGGATCGGTCCGTCAATGGCATCACGGAAGCCGCGACAGACTAGCCGCCAGTCGAGTACATAGGCAACAGGGACAAACTCCAGTATGAGTACGAGTAACTCGGCGGGTAAGTGGGGCATTTCCGACGACTGGGGGCACTGGCTCGCGTCGATTGAATCGAGCAGCGCGTCGACATCCTGTGAGCTCCATTCGATGTTTAGGTGACTCGCAAGCCATGCTGGAATCTTCGTGTCTTGGATGTCAGCCCTGGTGTTTGTCGATGCCATGATGCAATTGTGGAGATGGAAGGACGCGACGAGGAGCTTGACCATGAGTAAGTGGGGCGAGCCACAAGCGTGCAAGTGCCAAAATGTCGCGCCGCCACGTGCTTTTACTCTGCTGACTATCACAACAAGTCCCAGGACTCAAGGCCTCCAGGTCATAAGTGCTCGTTAAAAGTCTCAATTTCTCGTTATCTCCATCTAGTCTGTCGAATCTGGCTCAAAATCATATCCATAGACAATCGCATCGATCTTCTTCCCAGGATAGCTCTTCAACACTCCACACTTCTTCACTCGCCCAATTCTCTCAAAGCCCAATGAATCCCAGATCCTCGTGGATGCAACATTCGTTTCATACACAAGATTGAACACCGAGTACGTGAAACCCTGCGTCTGTCAGTGACCCATGCTCTACAACAGCTTGCAGATACATACCAGCTTAGGCGCCCACTTGAGATATTGCTTTCCAAGCAGCTTTCCCACACCCTTGTTACGTGCCGCAACCGTAACCAAGAACCCGGCGTTGCACACATGGCTGCTGCGCCCGGGGTAATTTGGCTTCGTGTAGAAGCTCCCCAGACACACGGTGCTCCAGTCTGCATCCAGGTCCCTCACCTCTGCAGATGACCCAAAGGTGCCTTCAAGCATCACTGCCCCGAATACGCCGAACCAGTATGGTCCAAAGCCGGATAACGGCAGTGCTTCAAGCATTGGGTAGGTGTCTCCGCCCTCAATCTCGGCGCTGAGCTGCGCGTGCAGGAAAGCGACGAGTGATGAGGGGACCTGGTCGAGTGATGTGAAGGGGATGATTGTTGCGGACGCACCGTTCTTAAGCGTCACGTGTTCTGGAGTGAAAGCGTGGGCTGCTCCGTCCACCTTGTGCAGGATTGGGGGGGAAGTGGGGTCGTCGAGCATGGCGGGCATGGTTGCGGTTGTTGTTGCAATTGATCAATTGGTGAATCGGGGGTCGGCTTGACTCCAGTTTTGAGGCTGATAGGGCGTGTGCATGTACTTCTGCATGGAGGCTACGGATGGCAGGCCGAGTGCTAGTTAGCGCGGGGCTCCGATCTCGCACAAGGTGTGAGCCAAGTATTCCACCACGAAACAGCAAAGTAGGAGCAATGTAGAGAAACTCTATAGAACACTTCTTTACCTACAATGTAGGTAATGCCCAACTAAATGTCAGCCTTGGGTGTTATAATAGCTACAAGTTATGTGTTAGAAATGATTAGCTTGAAGGTCGCTTGACCACCGTCATCCCGTCGGCAAACGCAGTGTTCTTCGTAGGCTACGCCCAACGTCAATTTCTGTGGGAACAACTAAATGAATTGCGGTATTATACCTGTCTGGATATCGTTGGTAGCTGATGGATAGGGTATAATCGAATTAGCAGCTCCGAAACTGATCAAAGGGAACGGAAACCACCCATGTTGAGGACACAGTTACTCTGAATCAATGAAGATGATGTATTTTGGTCTATGATATATATAATTGAACGCTAAATTGCTGCAGAAAGTAGAGTAACACCCTAGTGCCTGGGCGCAAACATCGGCATGCCCTTCATCTCCCTCTTCACGGCTGTCGCGCTGGGAAGGAAGTCGGTGCAGTCGATCAGTCCAACGACCCCATTCGAGCCAAACCTCTCCATGCGCGCCATGGCATCAGCAAACTTGCCGTTCCACTTCCCTGCATTGCCGACAAAGCCCTTGAACTCCTTGCCAACAGTCGCGTGTGCGGCCAACTTGGCATCTGACGGGAGAACAAGAACACCCTTGGGCGGCGCCGTGGTCTCAGAGTAGTACTTAACATCCCAAACGCCTAAAAGGAGTCAGTACAAGGATACAGAAGCAGGTGGTGGTTGTGGCAAGCTTACCTGGAGTGCTGTCTTGCGGTGCTCCAACGTTGGGCGCTGTCTCGTCGAAGTGGAATTGGTTGCTGGTGCTGTGGGCGCCGAGAAGTGCGGCAAGGTCTACTGCATCAAAGCCCTTGTCTTGGAAAAGCTTGAAGAGACTGTCTGCTGAGGCTCTGACGTCTGGGAGCAGACCCGTGGGGGCGCGCGTAGTAGAGTCTGTGCGACCAACATAGGTCTTCACGCGAGGACCGCCAGGGCAAGTGACAATTGCATGGGAGCCGGCGAAGACTGATTGAGTTAGATGAGTAAGACTGGGGACTGGAGGGTTATGTACCAATTACGTCTGCAACGCTGACTTTGTAGTTGTCTGCGACGGACTTCAAGTATTCGGCGATCGGTCGAAGGCCGTTGTTCTCGGGCTGATCCACCTCGTTGGCCAATATCAGGCTACCATCACAACCGCCTGAGGCGCCTAGTGTTTTGTTCCATGCTTGTAAGTGTTAGTGTGTGCGACTAGAGAACGACGAGATGTAGCATACCTCCGCAGTCGTGGAAGACAGCGCGGATGGCCGCGCGTGCATCAGGATTGCATTCCCCGTTGGTCAGGAACTTTGCGGTGAGGTCCTTTGAGATCAACTTCCAGACAGCCGGACAGCTATTGGATGAGCTGCGTGCAAACAACTGCGAGATATCTGGAAAGTTTGGGAGAGAGATGGCAGTCGCGGAGGACGCCAGGAGAAGAAGGTTGGTGAAATGCATGATATCGAACGGGGATCTCTATTTGGTAGTGTAGAAAGAGGAGAAGCGGATGTTCTTCTGATTGTTCGAAGTACTGTTTGGAGATGGAGATGCTGAGATGACTATTGACAGGACATGAAGATATCTTTATATGCTCTCGACATGATCATGGAGGTGCTCCAGATTTGACAACTCACCGTGGAATTGTCCGAGCACATCGCCGTGAATGGCATCTAGACACTCCATGAACTGCAGACTTGGCCATAGCTCTGCGGCTACTTGCTCTAACAAGCAATGCACTCAAGACGAGGCAGAAAGCTTGGCGGTAGAGGATGGGTTAGATAGAATCCGATAGAGTGAGGAATACCAGACAAAAACCACATCGGAGAATAACGGTGGGGATTGCCAAGCGAGTAGCAGGTCGAGACCAGCCACATATTGCTTGTATTGACTTGACTAGGCTTCATTATTTCGAATACCTTGCAGCGTTGGAGTCCTTGGTAAGGTATGGCTCCAGTAGTGTGCTGTAGTGGGAAAGCGAAGCGAACACGCAGCGGCGCTGCGCTGTAGCGTATCCGGTGTACAGTGGCACTGTAACAAGCTATCTCCAGTGCAAGATGCTCCTTTGCCGAATTGAGCTTGGCAGTGGACCAGGAGAGGTAAGGTTGAAAAATACACACGGCGAGGTCAGAGGCTAGATCTCCGGTGAGAACAATGCCATGCCGGTACCTCTAGGGCTTACCAGAAACCACGGGATCCGGGCGGTGGTGAGCCTGGAGGTCGGTTCCGCAACACGTGCGTGTCAGCGGAGATAGACAACTCAGCAGCCTTGCTTGTACAGATGTGTTTAAGCGTAGAGATGGTTCTTTCCGGAGTCGGCGTTGAACAGCCGCGAAGGGTTTGGTTCACGACATTCTAGGGCTGTCTGGTGCCCCGGACTGGGGAATTAGCGAGGCGTGGCGTCGCAGGGCTGAAAGTCAGACCAGATCAATCGAGAGCTGAGCAATGTGATTTGAACGATTGGACAGGCCTAGTTCCGGCAAGGGATACCTACTGTATGGGCTTAGGTTGACCCGCACAACTTAGTCCGGCAACAGAAGCGTCGCGTTCTATCTTCAGCACAGGGTAGGTATGCGAAGACTGCGCAAATTGTCGCTTCAAATGTAGCAATGTCCATTTGTCGAAATAATTGCAACCCTGATAATGATTCTCCATGTCGGCTCTTCCAAGGTGCCATTGTGCTTGTTAAAGCGCCGGCACTGAGAGGTGGTCGCGGCCCGCGTTATAGCAGCATCCCGAGCTTTTTAGTTAATGCAAGGCAGCTGCTCCACGGTACCCCGCCTCTCCGGACTGCAAGTGGGCCTTGCTTAAAATAACATACTTTGCTGAGGCTGAGCGCCTCAATTCGAGATGGACTCATCATCGATGCTGGCGTGCCACTGACACTTCACTAAGTGGAGGATCTTGATGAAGTTGGAGCAGGCGCGGCCATTCCATTGCTACAGCTTCGCCTTGTCGGCCTGGATCTTCTGCAAGCCATCTCTCAGCTCATCGGCCATGCCCGCCTCCCCCGGTTTCCTGCTCTCGCGGCCAACGAAGACATGGATGAACTCGCCAACGGCCTTGACTTCTTCTTCGCCGCGCTCGAAGACACCAATTTCATACGTTACAGAGCTCTTGCCTAGCTTATTCACCCGCAATGCGAGATCGACTACAGCTGGAAACTCAGTGGGGGCAAAATAGTCGCAATGGGAGTGGACGACTAGTCCAATCTGAGACGATGTCGGTGGGTGCAGTGAACAATTTTCGATCAGGTAGGTGTTCACGACAGAGTCGAAGAGATAGTAGTACACGCTGTTGTTGAGGTGGTGGTACATGTCGTTGTCGCTCCTGGCTGGCGTCAGTCGATGTTCACGCCCTGGTGAAAACATCAGCATACCATCTTGTCCGGTACTCCAGATGAAATTTGTAATCGCTGCGGCGACGTGCCTTGAGCGCGCTATGAGCCATACTTTGCCTGACCGGTCAGTCGTATGGAGGTGTGATGCGGTTACATTGGAAGCGCCCGATCGCCATGTCTTATCGATACCGTCGAGCCTCGGCTCATGCATTGCAGGAGGCTGGAAATTTCTCGCAGAGCGCTTCGCCCACCATCGCAGCAGAGCCCCGCGTTTCGCCGTCACGCTGGCTCCTTCCCCGCGCATTCTCGCGTACCTTGCCAGCAAAGGACGTTTGCCCGTTCCGAAAACGTCCATGGCTCTTGTGACTTCGCCCGTGCGCGACAAGTACCCTCCGCTGCCCGACGACGCATTCCCCTTCAAGGAGCCGCCCAAGGTCGCCATCACGCCCTGTGATCCCTGGCCACCACCATACTACCTCCAAGATGGTCTACGCAAGGTGACACCATACCACTACACATACAACACGTTCTGCAAGGAGCGCTGGCGGGGACGCGAAATCCTGGACATCTTCTCGAGCGAGTTCCGCGATCGGCCAACCGAGTACTACGAGAAGGCCATCCAAGACGGGCGCGTGGTGCTGAACGGCAAGCAGGTCCCAAGTACCAGTACCATAGTCAAGAACGGCGACGTCATCTCGCACACGCTGCATCGCCACGAGCCACCATGCACGGCGAGCCCCATTGGCATCGTCCACGAGGATGACGATATCATAGTCATCGACAAGCCTGCGGGTATGCCAGTTCACCCTGCCGGCCGATACAATTTCAACTCGATTATCGAGGTCATGCGGGCCGACCGCGGGTACGGGTGGAATCCCCTGCCGTGCAACAGACTGGACCGCCTAACGAGCGGTATCATGTTTATCGGGAAGCACAAGCAGGCCGCCGAGAACATGAGCGCGCAGATTCGAGGGCGGACTGTGAAGAAAGAATACGTCTGTCGTGTTGTAGGCGAGTTTCCTGAAGGCGAGATCGTGTGTGAAAAACCCATTCTCCAGATCAGTCCCAAGCTTGGCCTCAACGCTGTCCGCGCGAATGGCAGAGAGTCAAGGACTGTCTTCAAGCGCTTGGCTTATTACCCGCCAAAGGACAATGGTGGACCAATAGCGGAGGGTGGAGACAATGCGACCACTGAAGGCCAGCCTTGGAAGAGCCTTCGCGGCTACTCCATCGTGCGCTGCTTTCCTGTCACAGGACGTACCCACCAGCTGCGCGTGCACCTGCAGTACTTGGGCCATCCTATCTCGAACGATCCTATCTACGCGAATCAGCGCGTGTTTGGGCCCTCTCTCGGACGCGGCATGTCGGAAGACGAAGGCGATGAGGACATCATGGCCCGTCTAGCTCGTATGGGGAAGGAAGAGGTCGCTGATGCCGTGGCGTATCATGACGAGATGGTCGATGCATACAACAAACGGAAAGCAGAGAAGCAGACTGGTGAGACCTGCGATGTGTGTGATACCCCACTTTACAGCGACCCAGGTACACATGAGCTGGGTATCTATCTGCACGCGAAAAGATACAGGTGCGAAGAAGGGAAATGGGACTATCAGACAGGATTGCCAGAGTGGGCTCTTCCACCACCAGGCTACGAGGGGCCTACTGAGAGCACCCAGGAGAGCGATCCCTTGACGGTCGACCTGGAAAAGCTGGGAATTGCAGACGAGCAAGTAGAGGAAAAAGCTAAAGCTGCGGCTTGAACCAATCCACATTTGAGATAGACGAAATCTAGATACCCAACTTCGTGCATTCGACTTCATCTATCGACTGCACCATTCAGATGCTACGCCGTGTGACTATGCAGCCCTTTAGAAGGAGCACTCTATTTAGGGCTCACGAGAAGCGCTGTATTCCGAGGACTGCTCGAATTGCCGTATTCGGTAAGAGGGGCAAGGTAAACACCAAACATGCCCCGCAGTCGATGATGCAATTGGATATTCGAGTCAAGGACCACATCTTGCAGAGACAAATGCCGTTTAGCCGCCGTTCGATCTTCAATCTGGATTCTTCACAATCTCTATATATACTAGGTCACCGTGACGTTGCATTGGACCATAAAAGTGTCAGTTCCTTCCCATCTCGGCGTCAATCCTTCGCACTTATCAACATACAACACACAACATGGCTACCGGTATCGCCCTCGTAGGAAGTGGTATCTTCGCCAAAGAGGAGCACCTTCCCGCCATTCTCGCAACACCGCTCCTCAACCTGAAAGCAGTCTACTCGCGCTCTTTGTCTTCCGCGAAAGCCTTGTCGGAGCACCTCTCGGACGTGGATCTGTATAGCGAAGACTCCGAAGGGGCGACATACGACGACCTTTTAAAGCGCTCTGACGTCAAGGCTGTGATCATCGCGTAAGTGTCCAGCTCACAACAAGTCATCTACGATGCTGACTGGCTCAGCCTCCCTATCCTCGTGCAACCAGAATACATCAAGCGCGCACTCTCAGCAGGCAAACATGTGTTGGCTGAGAAGCCCATCGCGAAAGATGTGGCCACCGCCACGGAGCTGATAACCTGGACTTCCGACCCCGCTAACACGAACGCAACCTACTCCGTTGCCGAAAACTTCCGGTATTTGGAGTCTTTCCTGTACGCGTCCGAGCAGCTCAAGTCGCTCGGCCGCATCCTGACCTTCCGGTCACGAGTTTCCGCCTTCGTACAGACCGGCGGCAAGTACTACGAGACCTCGTGGCGCAAGACTCCGGAGTATCAGGGTGGCTTTCTGCTCGATGGCGGTGTTCACTTCGTAGCGGCGACACGACTATTGCTGGAAGGCGGCGGCGAGAAGGTGCAGAAGGCCAGCGCGTTCACTGCACAGCTGCAGCCGCATCTCCCACCTATCGACACTCTACACGCCACATTGCAACTGGGTTCGGGCGCCTCGGGCACATTCTCAGTTTCCTTCGGTACGACCGATACTGGGAGCGAGTACTTCGTTGCCGCGGAGAAGGGCACGGTGACTGTATTAAGGGGCAAGGTCATCGTGACCCAGGACGGGAAGAGCGAAGAGAAGGTGTTTCCCGACGAGGGTAACGGCGTGAAGCAGGAGGTCAAGGCATGGGCTGAAGGGCTAGCACAGGGCAAGCCGAATGCGCGACAGAGTGCTGAAGAGGCGCTGGAGGATCTGAAGTTTTTGGAGGCGGCGCTGCAGAGTGGCGAGAAGGGCGGACAGCCGGTTGAGATCTAGAGCCATGCCCACAGTCAGAGCACGATGTTTTCCAAGTGCGTAAGAGAGATCAGTGTAACACTGTTAAAAAAAGCGCCGTCTCTGGTCTTCGTTACATACAGGCTCTCACGACAGGAGTCAATGAATTAGAGCATTGCAGTACCGGCGGCCCCGACTACTGAATAAGACATGGATTCCATGTTGTTACACTCCGGCGACGCCGTCGGCGGACTTGCCGTCGGCATACCATGCCGCGCCGATTTTGCGGCATCTTACTTCACCACACCACACCGCAGCGCACGCGACATGCCGAGATGAGACAAAAAAAAGGTGGCCTGAGATTAATCATGGGAGCGCAGGATTCGTTGATGTGTGTGCCCTGCAAGGTGAGAACTTGAAGCAAGACTAGGCATTCCAGACACAGTGGCCGCTGACGGCACGGTGAAGCACCGGGTCCTTCTATGCCCTGACGTCGCTGAGCTGAATAATCGTGGGTGGGACTGTAGGGTATGAAAGATAAATAAATACAGTCTCATTCTTCTACAGTATTTCGTGTACCACTCACATCAGGTACCTACTCAAGCACACAAACACAAACCCAACTTGAAGACAATCTTCACACCTCACTCTCACCAACCCTACTGATCCGCCAAACTACTTCTACACCAATAAAAAGTACCAAAAGCACGCTTGATTGGCGAAGAATAGCCACAATGCCGACAGCGACAAGAGCCCGCGCCCTCTTCCGCTCCTTCACCAAACACATCGCCGACGCGCGGCACCATTCGTCCTCGCCCAACCCCACGAGCGTCAAGCCTTACCCGCCACAGTACCGTGTAATGTTCCGTCGAGTTGGGAGAGCAACAGCGTTGTACGTACCCCTGCCCATCTCTACTTGTCTGCTAGCGATATCTTGTGGCTGAGCTAACGAGGATAGTTTTCTGCCCGGGTACTTCGCACTATTGGGATGGCCACTTTTCCCACCGTTGTTGTTCAATGGGCATATGTATGGGCTGGGACGTGAACCGTGGACGCAGGTGTAGGCTGGGCTTATGGGGTAATGGAGATCAGATTAGCTGGTCACACAAATGGGTGCGATTTGTGCTCCTACGTGTAGAAAGGCAGGTGTCTTACTGCCTTCAGAAAATGATATCAGCACTGTATCGGGAGCTCTTCACAGCAGAGTGATGTGAAGCATTGTGCTCTCCAAGAAAACTTGCAGATATGGTTCTTCTTCGTCGCAAAACAGTAAGAACAGACACGCTACGTGTTCTACTCAAGTCTGAAGCGCTTACGTTGTAGACTCTCAAGGTCTAGTGTATTCGTCGCATATCCATAGACGGTATCTGCTGTTTGGCCAATGCCAACACGCCTGTAAACCCCTTCGCGGATCGGTTGCACTATAAGGAAGTACGTGACAAATCCAAGTTTTGGGTGTACGCGTTGGCAGATAATGATTGCTGTCCAATCGGTGGAGCTAGTGTCGTCTACGATTTCATCCAAAGTATCCAAGTATCCAGTACCGATGAAGGCCCCCAGATCGTTTACAATTTCGAGGACTTGCCGTAAGTAGGGAGTACCGTAATCGTGGCTAGCATTAGAGTTGGAGATGCAGTTTGGGGTGAAGTAACTTGCTACCAATTCTATGCAGACACTGTCGCTGGAAGAAGAAATGATGAAGTTGTTGCTGGAAGGTGCTACTACAGATGATCCAGCTATGGTAGCCTCATGTTGCGAATCTGAAGCACGCGAGTCTAGATCATAGATCTGTTTTTTGGGTCCATACGTTGCGACCCAGGACCACGTCGGTGTAAGCGAGGTTTTTCGCTGGTTTGAATCGATAGGATACCACAACAAGCCCGCATGTACGTCTTCTAACCAAATACCGGCCAGGTATGAAAATTGTGTTGCTTCGCCGAACTTTTGTGCAATACCACTGATGGCAACACCAAGGTCTGCACTGTACGAGATTTCCATCGTCGTATAGTAGGCTAATATTCGGTACCACTGCAGCATGAGAACTTCCTGCGTAAGTTTGTTGGGTTTTTTGTTGGAGCTGATAATGTTGTCAAAGGCCAGGCACCTCTTGAGGCTTTCTTGACGCCAGTCGGTCTCGGTCCAAAGTCCAGAGCTTTCCAAGAAGCTTCCCTCCCTTGCAGAAGTTTCGAGACATTCCCAAAACAACTCATTGTGTTCGAAATGAACGATTCGGGTAGACAATAGGCGTTCTTGAAAGGCCCATGCTCGAGTACTGAGTGAAGAATTCTTGAATACCTCCTCCCATGACGGTCGGGCCGGACGAATTTGTAGTCCCGAGCCAAGACGAATTGATGCTCGATAAGGCCGAGGGCGAAGGAAACCGGTTCTTGCATCGGCTGCGCTGAGGCTGGAAAGAACAACGAACGCGTTACGATAGTAATTTCCCATCTGGGCAGCCTCAGCGGCCCAGTCCTCTGTGCTATCCTGGATGATACATAGGGAGTCAACCCAGAGGTACCGAATGCTCAACTTTCTCGTAGCGAATATAGCATCTTGCAGGTTCTGAGACATAGCCTGCAAGTCGATACGATGTAGGAAGTGATCGAGAACTGCTTTCGTAAGTTTCAGAGGTATACCAGCTGCCCCCCAGCAATGACTCAAAGCTGCATAACGCTTGTTTACATCAATTGTAGGATGTTCTACGATCCGGAGCTCCGGAAATGAGCCAATGTCAAGTAATCTGGTCGGCTTTGCTGCCAAATTGATCTGCCGACAAGTCTCATGGTTCTCTTCGCATCCCATGAGCCATTTACCAATTAATTTCCAACAAGGCTCTGTGTTGACATGCGCCTGAATGAGTCGAAATGGTGTAGTAGACAAGACTGATTGTCCTTGGAGTGTGCTATTAGAGAGATATTCAATGAATTTGTGAGAAACTCACTTTGCGCTGTATGAAGCTCATAAAGATGGAGAACGTCGTTGAAATCAGTCACTCGCAACAAGGAGCCCTCTTTTTCGAGGGCCAGATCTGCCGGTTTCGCGGATGACCGTAACGTCTTTGAAAAGATTTCGTCAAAGAAAAACAGACAAAGACCACACTTTCGAGCTGCCGAGATTCGCAAGGTCATTTCACCATAGGTGACAGAAACCGGGCGGCGAAGAACTTCTCGGCACGTGGCACATAGCGTGTCGTTAGCCCAGGGTATCACAAAAGCTGAAGACTCCGACATGGTGGCGCAGACGCAGGGAAATTCAGAGCCACCAGTGCAAGACGTATGTACTCTCAAGAGTCGAAGGGATGATGTAGGTGCGGGGAGGAAGGCTGAGCAAGGAGTGATCACATCAACCCTGCAGCTGCAGAATCATGGCGGCAAGCGACGCACGCAATTGGTACCACGCGAATTCGCCGCAGATCGGTCGTAAATACCATGTACAGTACGTACATGACCTTTTTCGGGGGAGGTATTGGTGCATCCATTATATCAAAAACAAAAACTTAGTTTAGGCTTTAGTTCTTGGAATACGTTCCACTCTATCGTGATCTACTTTCGGCTCTTGGAAATTGTGTCCAATCAGCAGATCATGCGCGTCAATTGTTGTTGCGAGATACCACTCAAAGTTTCCAAGATTCTGCGTCTGTCAGGTACCATGACTGTTTTTGCCAGGAAGGTATGCTGTAGTGATGGTCATTGCATATTGATTAATCCTTCCACTCTTTGAACGCCTTTTGCTTTTCCCTACTATTCCACTGTAGGGTCCTCGAGATACTGTTGATCCAATCCGTCTTTCTCCTTTCCATAGGCAACACACATGGGAAGGGGAATCTGCTCGCACTAATCGTGACGTAGTCGCCAGGCTTGAGCTCGACCCTTTCCCTCCCGTCGAAGCTTGCCCATGAGCTTGTTCGTGCATCGTACGGTACTCCGCAGCGCAAGACTATCGTGTCTGGGAGAATGATGGGCCTGAAGGATAGAGTGTGTGCACAGATGGCCGTGACCAAGATGACCGGGTTGTCAGGGTGACAGAGGGAACCTCCTGCAGCCAGATTGTATGCTGTGGAGCCGGTAGGTGTCGACACGCAGATGCCGTCTGCTTGGACAGTCGTGAAGTGTTCGTCATCGCCGAACAACTCAATCGATGACATGGTCGGATTTGGGCCGCGGTCCACGACTACTTCGTTGAGAATGTTGTAGGTGCCGTCGGGTCGATGTGTATGATGGTCCTCTGCTTCCTCACCAATTAGCTGCTCCACTAGGTCAGATTGTCCCTCATTGTCGCGGGTCTGTGAGCGCATGACAGTCGCCTCGAACCGCAATCGAAGGTTGACAGTGATTCCTTGCTCGAACGCTTGCGAAAGTGTTTCTGGGTAGCGATCGAAATCGAACTTGGTGAGGAAACCCAGCGATCCTAGAGAGAATGCCAGAACCGGTGGTACTACCCGTTGAAACAGCCACGAAGAGTACAGTACGGTTCCGTCCCCACCAAGCTTGTGATGTCAGTACTGACTCACAACTCGTGCTACTATCTACTTACTGCGAGGACGATATCAAAGGTCTGTGGCTTCTGCTGGGCGAGTTCGTTGGTCCAGAACTTCAGGCGCCCTTCGTACGACGAGTTCTTCTCCAGCAGACCTTTCCTGTCGAAGATCTTGTTATCCTCCAGCGTTTCCTCAACGTACACTTTGTAGTCAGGGCTTTTTGTTAGAAGCCATTCGACGGTCTCTCTCGTGTTTTTGATTAAGCCCTCGTCGTGTGCTTTGCCCAGGATGAAGATGTTTTTGACGTGCAGTTTCAGACGGATCTGCGCTAGCTTCTTAGATAGTTCCCTGATTCCAAATGCCATGTCCGATATTTGTTTCTTGGTCAACAATCGTGAGTGTTGTGTTTCCTCAGCGTGTGAGTGAGGATCTTTGTCCATAAGACGCTCCTGAGCAAGCCCTTCGTATGACTGATCATGATGTTGGGTAGGAACGCCATCATGCTTTTCGAGTAGTTCGTGAACTATACACGATGTGGGTCGACGGTCGTTGCCTGGACGAGCGGACATCTTGCCGAAGCTTGAGTGTTGGAGTGGAGGTGCAAGGGAGGCTTTGCGTCGATGTATGTTACCGCCTTCGAAGATGACCTGGGCCTTTTAGTTGGTCGTAGTGGTGTTGGGGATGCGGGGAGGGTACCTCGAGCGCTTCGTCATTGCTAGTCAAACTGTTGGATCTCTTGGAGTCTTGGTCGCAAACTTCATTCTCAGAGTGGAAGTTAGCCTCGACCGCGTCGTCATGACGTTATCTGCGAATACCTCATTGACGAGAACCGCGGCAGAGTCTGTCGCGAACAGCGCATTCGGATCGCAGTAGTCTTTGGTCATTGCCACGATCTCTGACTGAGAAGAGAGCGATTGAGGATGCCAAATGTGGTGTTCTGGTTTGGATGCTGGGAGAAGTGCGCAAAGTTCAAGGCCCAAGCACCAGGCCGGGCGCGACCGTGCTTGACGCGGGGCAGCCAAATACCCCACTAGGTACTTATCAATCACGATCGGCCTGCAAGCCATGCTCACTCATCATTAGCATGGTTGCACGCGAGCAATGATTTGTTGGATCGATTGCTTGCGAAAGCACAGCATTCAAAGGGGCACTTCGACGGATTGCAGCACCTCTTCCACAACGTCGTCGGCCGTCACACCATCGAGTATAGCCTTTACCGCTTCAAGGGAGCTGCCCCACTGCAGACTGCGCTCATTCTCCGGTGCGGTGATGACGATTCGATGAGGATATATCTTGCGGGCTGCAAGAGCTACCATCGATGGCGATATGTAGTCGAGTCCGTGAAGAGGCGCAAGAGCACTGCCGAGGTTAGCAGCTGCGAGCAGGTAGGACAATGCCACTGACCATGCCAGGGTGTTAAAGTGCTGTGTAGCCAACGCTGAGATGCCGCCAGCGACAGCTCGATGGAGCCTCATGAAGACTGATATGTTGTGTAGATACGCACGAACTTCAGAACTGATCTTGACATCAGACATGCGTGTAGTAAATGATGTAAGGTCCTGTTGCGGATTAGTAGATGCATTCCGATTCAAAAGGGCACCTACCTCTGCTGCAAACAAGGCTTTCTGAGGCATGCTTTTTGTAAGACCGAGTGGAGGCGTTCGAACGATAGACGAGATTGATCGATCATCTTCGAGGATGTGCCCCTTCCCGTGCTGTTCCTCCAAATTCGGTAGCCCATCTTCGAAGTAGTGTTTATGGGAAATGAAGAATTGGTCGTTCTGCAGTCGTTTTAGCACCAACCGCTGATCAGATTGAATAACACTCATACGAGATGCATAGTCAAGCGTGTAGGGTCAAGGTCGTTTAATGCAATGAATAGAAAAGGTCTAGGCGCAGCATGAACGGCGGTTCGCGTGAAGTTTCGTTTACCTCTAATAAGCTGCAAGATTTAGAAAGGGTCACAACGAATTGCTTGTGGATGGTACCTCAAGAGCCTGGACTTGAACGTGTGAAGTAGCTCGATCGAGATTCTTTGCAATGACAACATTTGCAATCTTCCCGTTGTCAAGCTGCGTAAAATTGCCAGGCGTGCGCGAACTACGGCGGTCAGGTCGCTTCGGTGATCCAGAGAGTGACGCAAACTGTCGTGAAGGTCAGCTATCAGACATGGTGAAGACACGCGAAAGATATCACCTGGACAGCGCTCGCTTCGCTTTTATTGCCAAAATGCTCTTCTCTTTCATCTTTTACGAGGATGCCACAGCCAAAGTCGTCGAGAGTGGTATGCTCGCTGCACTCCAAGACCGCCCACGTGAGGCCAAAGACATTGCTCGCAATCTGACCGAGTTAGTACTTTGGGGAAAGAATGTGCTTTGTTGCTGACCAGCTTTAGCTCTTCTTCAACGTCATCGAGTAGCTGTCTTTCAGTCTCAATAACGCAGTGCTGCTCAGCTACAAGGCAGACGAGAGCTGCGAGTTCCAGGTCGCTCAAGGTTTGCACCTTCTCAACCAAACGGTCACGCGAGTCTTCCATCGACATACTGCTATCCGGTATATCACTGTTTACATGCTGAGATGTGCGTAATTATTGGATGCAGATTGAACCTTGAATCGTTTGGTGGTTGAGTACGAAGCAAGTCTTGCCATGGAAAGGAGTGTGAGGTTGCGTGGGTTCTAGCGTGACACGGACCACCGACACTCATCCTTCATCACATCGCGTCGACCTCATCTTTCATCATATCATATCTGAGGTATGACAAGCAATGGAATAATGCAAGAGGCTTCAGATTTATAATTATGAATTCAGAACATCCGATTGACACGTCAACAGTGGGCTGATCACCGGACGTGCTCGCCTGGATCTCGAACCACCAGACAAGACGGATTGGGTGTCTCAGTACGGAACAGCTATGTGGTCGTCCATGTACTTAGAAATATCGCCCAAGAAGCACGCTGCGATGATGCTAACGCCTCCAAAAGCGATACTAACGTAGTACACATATTTGTACGCTTCGGCGTATGCCAACTGACCAGCGAAGACCACCATCTCATAGGCACCAGGAACGCCTTTGATTCCGGGAAGTTCTTCCAGAAGCGGTAGCAGCGACGCTCCGGTTATTACTATAGCTTCTTCGATGATCTTGGGAGATGTGATGTTCAACTTGGTCACCATCGTACCGCCAATGTAATGAGTCGCTGCCGGGACGAACTTGGCTGTAAAAAACGTTAGTGACTTCTTCGTCTATGGCAAGAGTCGTACGTACAAATGAAGACATTGTAGTATACACAGTAGCCAATCGAGCCACCGATGACGCGAATAGCCAAAGTGAGTGCTGCAACGGTCGCAATCAGATCATCTGGACAGATGATGGTCGCTGTATAGGTCAGCGAGTTTCGGCAAACGGCCCTAGTGTTCAGACTTACATATAATCGATGCTGGAACGACGATTCCGCCGATGCCAAGTCCAGCCAGGACTAACAGACCCCAGAGTTGATACAAATTGTCAACCCTTCCGATAGATAGAGCACCGCATCCGGCGGTCATAAGTATCGAGGATGCGATCAAAAGCTCCTTGTTGTGGCCCCGAAGTACTGAAAGCAGCCACAGGACGATACAAGCTCCAGCTAGAATAGAGAAACCAACGGGAATGCCGCGAATTCCTACGCCTACTGGGTCATGACCGTATACATTGAAGGCTTGCGTCGGCCAGAACATCAAGATCGAAAAGAAATTGGCGCCCGAGATGAAGGTGATGACCAGAGTCAAACCGAGAATGCGAGGCTCTTGGCGGAGTCTTTTCGGAAACATTGGGTGCTTTGCTCCATAGTTCTCCCATAACACGAAGGCTATGATAAGGACAGCGCCGATGATCAGAGGTGCGAGGACGTGGGCGCTGGACCATGGATATTGGTAGCCACCCCATTGCATGCCGGCCATGAAACAAATCATGCCTCCGGTGGAAAGCAGGCCACCAATATAGTCGATTTCAGCCAGTACTTGCTTTCGGCTCATGCCTAGGCTGTTCACTCGCGGCGGTGGGTGGTAGAATACTACTGTAAGCGCCAGTCCAATGAATGCCCACAAGCCACACCACAGTCCTATCCAGCGCCAACTTGAATGCGATGCAATCAGTTGTGCCCAAAGAACCGAGGGGCAGAAGGGGATGATGGTGAAGATCAACACCGCAACGTACTTGCCGCGTTGACTAGTAGGCGCAAGCTCAGAAGTGACAGCGAGCGCGGTGAGTTCGTTGATTCCAGCGCCAATGCCGGAGAAGACCATTCCGCCAATGAAGACGTTCATCGTCTGGGCTGTAGAGCAAATAATCATGCCCACAATCAGGAAGATGGCACCAACTATTGCGACCCATCGGCGGCCCACGATGTCTGAGATGGAGCCTACGAATGGGCAGACTGCAGCCAAAGACAAGAGATTAGCCAGCACAAACCAGATCCACCGGTCAGTGCCGCCGATGTCTGCGTAGATATACGGAGGTACACCGCCGAATAGATAGACCGGTATCTGGCTTCCTGTCCATACTTCTCAATTGTTAGCTTCCACTAAGGTAAAAGGTCATCTGTGCCCAGGGGCTAGAACTTACAAAAGGCCATAGCGATTAGACTCATGATACGCCTAAACGTCATCGGCGGTTCATGGTCATGGTCTTCGCCGTCACCTTCGGTTCTAACTCCATTCTTCTCATAGTAGTTCGTGTGTCCTGGCACACGCTCGTTGGTGTGGACCTGCTCGACGTGTTCTATCGTAGCTTTCGCCGTTGGCGAGTGTGTCGAATTATCTAAGCAAGACGTCTGATAAGCTTGAGCACGAAACGATAACTAAGATTGGACTTACCAGAACTGCTGCTGCGTTCCGCCATTGTTGCCGCAAAGCCGGAAGCTTGGAAGGCACAGAGCTTGTGGAATTGGCAGGATCGCTTGGAAAGCTTGACTGGAAATCTCGCACTTGGTTCCATACACTTTCTCTTATATTCATAGCATCGTATCCCTGTCGCGGCATTTACGATTGCCTCCCCAGCTTTTGCCGGGGTACATTCGCGGGGTACAAACGCCACCTCCGGGCGTGGCTTGCATTCGAGCTGGCAAAAAGCGGTAATTACGCTCTGGGCCTTGTCTTTGGTTTGCACCGATTGGCGGGCATACAGTGCCCCTGACAACTTACGCAAGCTTTCAGACAAGCTTTTGTCCACGTGAACGAAGGCCCGTGTTGGTGCTTGATCTTCTCCGACACCAACCACAACCAGAGCCTCGGTGTTGCACTAGCGTAAAACTACCCCGCAGTCCGCATCAATTCACGGGCGATGAAGCTTGAATCCACTGTAGTGGAACGCCCTTGCCTGTTCTGCTCGGCAATCGATACCCATGCGATCCAAACGGGGAGGCATGCCCGAATTCCACCCAGCTCATGGGTGCTTGCTGAGAGTTTGATCAAGATATAGACTTCCAACATGTGTTTCAAGCTTTAATTTGCAGCTCTAGTACGCCGCGCCGGCACCATGTACCTACATATAAGCCCGTCGTCACACCCTCCTGTACTGTACTGAACTACTCGGCAGTCGCCCTAGATCTGTCCAAGTGAGTGCATGATGCTAACGAATCTAACAGACCAAACCAAACAAGACTGGAATGGCTAACCTAGTGTCTATGGCCTTTAGACTTCTCGATTCCTCGTGTTTGTTGATAAGAAAACCTCGGAACTGATTGAATCGTTGTCAGTGCGCCAGCAGATGTCCAGTCATAGCACTGACGCCACCCGCGGCATTTGTTCTGCGAAAGGTCGCCATATTGCCATGACTTTGACATCTTGACTTGCCCGGAACTCTCGGATGCTCTATCCAGTGATTTTCTGTCAGTCTAAATACTTTGTGGTAGAAGAGGGTGATTGCGCACGGCACTGATACCAGGGCAGTTGTAAAATCTGACTCGCCATCAATCTGTCATGATCTCGTCGACAAAAACTTTGTCGAAGTAGAGGGAAACTCACTCACGGCCTCCAAATGGATCTAGGATTAGCATGGTACGTAGGTGCTGAAAAACTGACACTTGCAAGATGTTCTAGGGGCCTTTGGTTCTCCAGATGTTCAGATAGATCACTGCCAATGATGATAAGCGCGTCGGATTCGATCAAGTTGAGCAGAAGTCGCATGCTAAAGAGGCGAATCTGGTCTAAGCCGAAGTCACTGAGAAAGAAGAGCCAAGTGAAAGGCCCAGCCCGAGGGAGGAAGAGCTGAGGGCAACGCTGCTAAGCGTCCAAAGTTTCTACACTTATCAAGCAACTGCAGACATAGGCCGATATTGCAAGGTAGACACTGTTGACTGCGTGTTAATGACGCAGTACCAGGATAGCATTGATCTGGTCGAAGATACCTCTAGCGAAGAATGGTCCGAGGATTCAGCTCGACGATCATCGAAGGGACCTCAATGCAGCGAAACTGTCGGAAGACAAGGGACTAGAGAGTGTGAATTTAGAAGGGGCCTGAGTTGATGCAGACACTGACAAGGCTAATCTCCGGAGGTAGAGGCTGATGCTTAGTCAAGGAACATGTTGGAGGCTTGGGCAAGGGCTTGCACTGACGAGGCCGCTGGCAATACGTTCGGCTTTGGCCAGTTCGGCAATCTTTAAGAAGGCAAGCGTAAGCTGTGCATCTCCACTAACTATCTGACGACCTCACCGACACCTATTCAATCAACAATCTGATCCACTTGATCTTGCTATGATATGCAAGAGTTGTGAATGAGCACAGTGAGTAGAAGTCACTGCAAATTACAGTCGTTTGATTGTCTTTGTGGGGATCTTGAAGAATTTCGAGCTCAGCGACTGCCTGCACAGGTGCACACTGAAACGACATGACAAACCTACTTATCAGCAAGACAAAACCCATGATTATGGTGGTGAGATCGCTTCCGGCAAAATCACCCTTCCACCGATCGACAACTACCCGACAAGCGCAACCCTCTCCCTCCAAATAACCACAAATGTTCTCTTCTCCGCCAAATCCCTTCCAGCGCTCCACCCCCACTCCAATAGACCCACCCCCGGCCTCGCCACAACTACACCTCCACCATGCCGAGCAACCCCATCCCCAGACCCTCTTCACCAACCTCCGCGCCCGAATTCTCTTCAGCGACCTCCCACCCTCACTCCCGCTTCCTCGAACTTTACCTACCTTAGGTAGGTACGCCCAACCCACACCTCGCGCACCCGAATTCTCTCCCGCGTCCTTCCACCCCCACTCCCGGCAGAGCAGGCGTACTTCTCTGCCGCGCCGCGCGCGGAATGGATGTTCTATTTGAGCTCAATGTTCGCGGGAAAGGAGAAGTACGGAGACGACGCGGTTCAGGGAGTTGGGTTTGTTGCTTTGCTGAGGCTTGAGTCCCTGGGGGCGCTGAGGAGGGGGTGGTTACGTGCTCTGGGCGAGGGGTTGGGTGGGGTGGTGAGTGATTTCGGGGGGCTGGGGGTGTTGTATGTGGCTATTTGGGGTGTGGTGGCGGAGGTGAGAGCTGCTGAGGGAGAGAACGAGGAAGAAGAGAATGAGGAGGAGAGGGTAGAACGCAGACAGAAGATCAGGGCGTTGAGTGCGAGCTGAGACGTGACGAGTGGGAATAGATGGCAAGATTGGCACTGCGTCCTATCTCCATCGTAGGCTGGCAAACGGTAGATACCATTCGAAGGCGTCGTGTCTGAACTTGTATATTAGGTCTTATGTGTACATGATTAAATAAATTCGTAATCCCGTCACCCTGGTCTCTGGGCTCGACGTCCTCTCAAAGAACCCCGCCATGACGACCAGAGACAGTGTTTCTCCCTCACTCCCTCAACCACACTCTACAACTCCTCCTTATCCTCCTCGTCCTCCCCATCTAACACACTCCTGATAGGATCCTTCTCCGCATTCTCGATACTCTTCAAGAACCTCTCCCCGCTCTTCTCGTCATGCGCAAACAAATGCTCTTTCACCAGCCTGCGCGGCGTCTCGCCCATCCACTGGAACAAGCTGAAGTCCTGGAACTTGTCTGCGCGGAAAATCTCCAGCACCTCGATGTCCTCGTTGTCGGACAGGTTCTCGATGAAGTGGCCCATGTTGCGCGGCACGATCCCCACGTCGCCCGCTTGGTAGTCGAAGGTCCGGGCTGTGCCTTCGGCGGCGAAGATTGTCACCCGCGCGCGGCCCTTGATGAAGAAGGACCATTCGTCGGCGTTGGCTGGGATGGGTTAGTGGGGTGTTCGATTGAAAGAGAGATAGAGAAGCTTACGGTGCCAGTGCATCTCGCGCATCGCGCCGGGCTGGATACTGAGGTGCGCTGCGGCGACGGTCTTGGAGATGGGGAAGTTGGTCGAGTCGGTGATGCGGACCTGGCCGCCTGTGGTGTTGACGGGCTCCTGGTCGAGCATCTTGTGTGTGAACTGCAGCTTCGACTTCTTGTAGCCGGGACTGCTGCTCGGGATCTCCTTCTCGATGCTATCCGGGTTGGAGCCCTGGAAGATGTACTTCTCCTTCTGGGGGATGGCGTTGAAGACCTCAGGGTGGACGCGGAAGTTCTCTGCCAGCACAGACTTGGGCGTGCGGGCTACCCAGTCGGTGAGCAGGAAGGTGGAGTCCTCGGAGAAGTTGCCGTCGTCGAAGACGATGAGAAATTCAGTGCCGTTAGGGGAGAGGCCTTGCAGGGAGTGAGGGTGCCCCGAGGGAAAGTACCACAGGTCGCCCTTGTTCAAATCGTCGACGAAGCTGCCGCCTTCGGTGTCGATGGCGGTGACGCGGACGCTGCCTTCGAGTACGTACGCCCACTCGGCTTCCTTGTGCCAGTGCAGTTCGCGGATCACACCTTCGTCCAGACGCATGTTGACGCCGGCTAGCTCTTTGCTGGTCGAAAGCTCACGAACGGTGGTCTGGCGTGTCCATCCCCCCTCTTCAATACGAATGTGGGAGTCGGCAAACGACCAGCGCATGTTGGCCATGTTGCCGTGGTCAGTGCTAGGGGGCCGGACAAGATCTGGGTTCTGCCTCTCGCGATCCCTGTTACGGGGCCCCAACATAGTCGCACCATCACCATTTCGCTGTGTGATGTTAGTGATGGTCTCGTGACGTAATGTCTTGGTGGTGTTGAGGTCTTCATCAGTGTTCACTTACCCATGGCAGAGGATGCAGCTTGTCGCCTTGTGCATCAATCTTGTCATCGTATGGAGTGCGGGCATCAGGCGTGTACGGATCTGCCACCTTGTGCGGGCCTGCGTGGTGTCGTACATTACCCTGTAATGGCTGTTGTTGGACAGGTACGGCCAACGCACCACAAGCACCCAGGGCAACGATGAAGCTCGACAAATGCATGATGGCTTCTCAATTGAACTCAACTACAGAGCAGCAGTGAAAAGCGGGCAGCTCTGCCTTTTTGACTGCTCGACCGGCAATTGTATACCTGGTGATGACTGAGACTCCATCCCGTCTTTTCCGGGGTTGAGCATCCAATAGCGCTACTTCAAGCTTCACAACAAGGGCTTCTGTGGCTGTCCGCTGTCCGCACCCATCGCTTCCAAAGCTTCCCCGCACCCAATTAATGAATATCATACTTAATCAGTCTCATCAAAGCAACACAACGCGCTGCACAGCCGCTTCCAGCAGGTGCATAGCAGAAGCCCGGACTATCCTGCAATTGCCGGCGCCCGCGGGTGAAGCTTTGTCGCTTTAAAGCTTAAGCTGACGCGTGCCTGTAGATCTACCGTGCAGCACCCGCACAGCCGACATATCAGTGGAGACGCTGTGCGAGAACCTGTTTGCGAGCGTTTGACAGCGCTGTCTAGTCCCAGACACGGCCCGCTACATATGTAACCGCTGGCCGTCGTGCAGCTCCGCCCCCGACGCACTGCACTCCCTCCCCTACCATGCCCGGCACCACACCAAGCGGCGCTGCGCGCGCCGACGAGGAAACCCCGCTGCTCGGCGGCGTCGCGAAAACCTCGGGCCCGACGCGCATCCGTGCCCACTTCACCAATGATGTCAGCCGTAACTGGGCGGACGCGGTGCTGCTGTTTGGCTACATCATCACGGGGCTGCTGGACAGCTCGGCCGTGTTCATCTGGGGCAGTTTCGTCAGCATGCAGACGGGTGAGTCAGCGGAGCGGAAAAAGCAAATATCGCAGGGCTGATGAAACGGGCAGGAAACACTGTTTACCTAGGGCTGGGCATCGTTGCGCCTCACGAGGGCATCAGATGGGTCAAGGCACTCACGTCGATTGTGTCGTTCTGCCTTGGTTCGTTCGTTTTTGCGCGCTTCCACCGCTTCTTCTCGCCCAAGAAGCGCTGGGTGCTTATTGCAAGTTATTCGGCACAGCTGCTGCTGATTGTCCTGGCTGCAGTTATTGTCACCGTCGGCGATGCCGTGAAAGAAGAGCTGCACTGGCAGGTCCTTGTTCCCCTGGCCGCTGTTGCGTTCCAGTCGAGTGGACAAGCGGTGACGTCACGCGCATTGCAGTTCAACGGACTGACTAGTGTTGTTCTGACGAGCAATTACTGCGATTTGTTCTCTGACCCTAAGCTGTTTGCTTTGGACAATGTTGAAAGGAACAGGAGGATTGGTGCTCCCGTGTTGCTGTTGCTGGGTGCCTGTATTGGAGGGCTGTGGGCACACAGCGGTGTCGGCCTTGCTGGAGCACTATGGACTGCGGTAGGATTGAAGCTCCTTATCGTCGTTGCGTGGTTGTTCTGGACAGGAGAGAAGGACGAGGAGTAGTAGCAGTCCCGGTTGGCCAATGCTGTCTCACTTAGCAATATATCTTCAATGCCACAATATCCAGATACTCCTGTTTTCCACTATTAGATAAGGTGGGGCTGTAAATGGAGATACGGGGTGCAGAAGTGGAGGTTTTGAGGAACCACGAGAGGGGAGGGAAGCCATAAATGGGATGAGAGGAAAAAGCATTGAGAGATGTTGACGAGAGGAAGAACTGAAACAGACACGCAGCGAGAACGAGCTCATGCGCCGCTACGTTACACACAATTAAAATATTTACTCTACATACTCTCAACCTAACACGGCAACCCCTTAATCACAGCCTCCACTCGTCCAATAGACCATATACAACACCCTCACTTCCTCTTCTTCGCGCCCTGCTTCTGCGCGCCCGTCGCCTTGACAGCCTCCTTCTCGTGCATGGCCTCAACCGCCTTCGGCGTCTTCGGGCTCTTATCCCCATCAGGATGCGCCTGCAGCGGGCGATTCGCATCCTTCTCCTCGACCTCCTCATCATCACCACCCTGGCCAAACTCATTGACACGGGTGTAATCAACCTTGTACTTCCACGTCTGGAACAGGTAGACGAAGAAGATGACGTCGTCGCGCAGCGTGGCCAGGCGGTGCAGCGTGGGCATCTTGATGGTGAAGGCGAACAGGTCGTCGATGAAGGTGTTGAGGAATTTGTAGGTCATGGCGCGGCCGGGCATGTGGGCGACGGATTGCAGGCGGTAGTTAATGTACAGGCTGGGCACCATCATGAGGAAGCCGTAAGCGTAGACGGAGCCAACGAGCGTGGTGATGATGAAAGAGTACCAGCTCTTGTGCGTGTCGTACATGAGTGAGTAGATGGCGTAGGCGATGAGGAGGGGAACGGCGACCATGTACAGGTACTTGAAGGCGATCTGGTCGTACTCTTCAGTCTTCTTCTCGATCTCAGAAGCGACGTGCTTGTCTTCTAGGACAACAGTGTAGGGGATGAGAGATCCGGGAGCGGTGGCGCGGACGCGGATGTTGGCCGTCTTGGTGATCTTCCAGGCTTCGATAGCGATACCCATACCCTGACCGAACAAGATCATCCAGGAGGTGTTCTCATTGTTGTCGAGGAGGTACAGGAAGATGACGGTCTGCATGAAGACGTTGGCGACGATGGTGCGGACCGAGGTACCGACGTTATCCTTCTTCTTGCGCCAATGCTGGACGTCATTCTTGAACGCAAGCATTTCGAAGATCATGTGGAATACGGAGACGATGGCTGTGATGGCGAGCAGGTACGAGTTGCTGTCAATCAGGATCTCCTTGAACATCTCCATCTCGGACCCGTCGCCACCACCCGGAGTCGACTGGCCAGCAGCAGCGGCGGCGGCCTGACTGCGCAGGTTCTCGTCGACCGAGGCCATCAGGTTGAACTTCCAGTTGGCAAGATTGTTCAGGTTGACGTTCATCGGCAGCGTCGTGACCGTGTCGTTCAGCTCAATCATGTGCTTCTTGAGCTGCCAGAAAGTGTTGGTGTAGAGAATCGGGTAGTACCAGCCATGCTGGCCAGATGCATCGCGCTGGCCGGTTGCTTCAAGCTGCAGATACTTCCTGGGCCCAGGCTGCATCTGTGGGTAGCTGAGCACGCCGGAGTCCGGGATCATGGAGATGGTGAAGTTGGGGTGGTAGTAGTTGCCGATGACCTTGCCCGCCTTCTTCTCGTCCTCTGTCTCGACGGCGTCCTTCTCGGGCATGTCGCTGAGTAGGTTCCTAGTCTTGGAGACCTTCTTCTTGGGCTGATACTGCGTCAATGGGCGGATGAAGTGGTAGGCGCGGGCAGGATCGTAGCCAGGCTGGGTGGGATCCAGCACGGCGCCGCTCTTGCCGACGTAGAAATGCGCGAGCAGGGAGGCATTGTGCTGGACTTCGGTGGGCACGGTAAACTCGACGTGGATCTCGCGGTTCTGCTTGTAGTCGCCGTAGACGAACTTCTTCTCGTCAATCAGCTGCGAGGCCTTGGGCACCGACTTGAGCGCCGGCATCGCCACCGACGGCGATATGTACATGGAGATATCAAGCTCCTCGCCGACCTGCCACATGGGCGCGATGTTCCACGGCACACGACTGTAATCGGCGCCCGCGTCGAGCTGGTGCGGGCGATTCTCCCACGCGGGGATCGAGACGGCCACTCCACCGCTGGGGGCCGCCGAGTGCGCCTGTCCGGGCTGAGCGACAGGCGCAGGAGCTTTCAGGAAGTACTTCATGCCACCCTGGATGAGCAGGAACATGCCAATGCTCTGCGCGGCCGTCCGGAGCATCTGCCCGCCGTGTTAGCTGTGCGGCGCGGAGGGGACGCCGTACATACGCTCTGCCCCGCGGGCTGGCCCTCTGGCTGCTGTACTTCGGCCATGGCTGCTGTGCGATGCGTTGGCGGCTCTCACAAGGTCAATGCAGAGTCAGCGCTGCAGTCGGAGGTCGAGGTCACGGTGGCCCCAAATCCTAGAAGTGCACAGAAGCGTGGAAGCGCGCCACGCCAAGGACCCCACAATTCTCCAGGCCGCCGACTAGCGCGTCTGGTGCCACAGTGCCGCAGGGTCCAGCCAACGAGGCCGCGGCTGGCCACCGGTGACGAAACCGCTGCACCGTCGCGGCGGCGATGAGTCGACGGTGAAGAAAACCCAGACAGCGCGCTGACACTGCGCCAGCACACAGCACAGCATCGGCATCCTTCTCGCCGCACCGCGCCTCGCGTGTACGAATCCCGTGTGACGCCAATTGCTCCGCAAGGGCAGCCTTAGCTCTGCTACCTATAAAACAGCCTCTCCCTCGACAACCAATACTCTCACCGACGACAACAACGCCCACACCTGCAACACCATGGCAGACACAATCCCCACCACCGACGGCACTGCTTCCCCCAAGCCGCCCGTCGTCTGCGTCTTGTAAGACTCGCCCCTCGCTCCACCGCACCCCCACTAACCCCTCCAGCTGCGGCGCCTCCGAAGGCACCTCGCCCGCACACATGGAGTCGGCACGCGCCCTCGCCCGGGCTCTGCACGCGGCAGGCGCGCACCTCGTGTACGGCGGCGGCACCGTGGGGCTGATGGGCGAAGTGGCACGCACGCTTGTCTCGCTGTCGGGCCCCGGCGCAGTGCACGGCATCATCCCGCTGCCGCTGGTGCGCTACGAGCAGAACCACGACCCGGCCGACCCGACCTCGCACTCGATCGACGAGGCCGTGTACGGGCGCACCACCGTCGTGCGCGACATGCACACCCGCAAGCAGATGTTGGCGCGGGAGGTGATGGAGGGCGGGGCCGGCGGCGGATTTGTGGCGCTGAGCGGCGGGTACGGGACGTTTGAGGAGCTGATGGAGGTCACGACGTGGAATCAGCTGGGGATCCACGGGATGCCTGTGGTGGTGTTCAATGTCGAGGGGTACTGGACGGGGCTGATTGAGTGGGTGAAGAATGCCGTGACCAGCGGCTTTGTTGGCGCGACCACAGCGGGCATCATCAAGGAGGCGCTGTCGGCGGAGGAGGTGATGCAGAATCTGAAGGAATACCAGAACGCGCCGGGCCGGTTCAAGCTGACCTGGGACGACAACTAGGCGAAGCTTTGGCGTGCTTGTGGCTTGACTGAATCAGGTCTTCCATGACACTCGGTGTTACGACCCAAGACGCATCTTAGATCTGCATGCTACCATACAAAACATCGACAGTATACGTCACAAAACAATAGAAAATATCACATTTCAAACATTCAGAATGTAATTGCTTTTGATTGGACCGCCGCAAGAATCTTTGCGTGACCCAAATGCCATGGGATCGTGAACTACTACTCGTACAATGCCTACATCGACAAGAAGCCGAGGCCGTGGATAATGCATATGCTGCGCCTCTACTTTTGACCATAATATATCGCGCCATAACGCCATACTGTGCACTTGAGTATAAGGTATACTACTGTTGAGCCTGGGACAATCCAGTGTCTGAGGCAGCGTAATAACCGAAAGTGAAGATAGATCCGCCGTAGACCTGACCATACATGTCATAATGGTCTATCTCGGTACTGTCATCGATCAGCTTGTCATTACCGGGCCTGAAATCCAGGGAGCTGGAAGCCAAAGCCTGGGACAGCGGGCGGCACCGCGACACCCTGCTCTCCTCGCGGAGAGACATGCCGAGGGTCGTGGGCGGGGCGTTGCTCCTGCTTGCGGACCTTTGGCCCATTGTCAAAACCGCCACGGTTGCCGAAGCCGCCGCGACCGGCGCGTCCTCCATCGGTCGGAACACGTCTACTAATTGCTGCATGTTGTTAGATGACAGGCGTCGTGAAGACTGCGCGACGACTTACCTTTCGACGAAACACCTGCTCCAATCTCAATGTCGGGTTCTTCGATCACCATGCTGCCTTCGAGCGGCCGACCGCCTGTCCCACCATGCTCTGCTGTCAAAGCCCACTTGCGGTCGGCATCAGTCAACCGTGAGATTGGGATTACGCTAATGCCAGTGCTGTAGTCGCTGCAGTCTCGAGGACCGAAGCCAACTCCCCAACGTGTCTATTAATGTTAGCAACCTTCTCACATATGATCGGATGGGAATTACCTGGCGAGCTTTCGACTGCGCAACGGGATCTTGCAAACTATCCATGCCCTCCTTCGCAGCAACGGCATCAGGACGAGTCAACATCTTGACAAATGCGTGCCGCTTATCTTGGTTCACAATGCATGTTTGAACCCTACCGAACCGGCTGAAGATGGCCCGGATCTCACCTTCTGTGCCGCCTGCGCCGCCTACGAACAGTGTGCGACTCAATACCCTGATGTGGTCGCGTGGCAAGCTTTGATCCCACTCAATGTAACGAGATTGACCATATACGACGTTTTGAGGTGGACTTGGCTGTCGCCGTTCCGCTGGCGGTGTACGTTGACGATACTCATTACGATCATTGCGACCGCCTCGGGCCTTACCACGACCACGACCACGATCATTGCGGTCCGAGCGATTTGCCGCATTACCATCAACAATTGCGTTGGGATCGTAAGAACCGTACACAGGGCTCTCTCGGCGATTTGGAGGTGATCTACGGCCAGGAGACACACGCTGATGATAGTCAGGTGATCTACTACGGTCTCGCATCTTCGTGTCGTTTTGCTCAAACCGCGGCTGCGAGTTACCGTTGTGCGTCGCGGCTTGCGCCGGTGAATGCACCTGGGGTACCGCTGTAGGCTGTGCTGGTGGCATTGATACCCCTCCATTTTGTGCTACTGCCAAAGCGTTTAGTACCTGTATGGCCTGATCTGGCGCGATGGAACCTGCACTCATAGCCTGCAATATCTGGCTGGCCAGATCGTTCATTCCAGCCGGGGGAGGCGGGGGCATCGCAGGCTGTACACTCGCTGCTGGCGGAGGTGGCGGCACAAAGCCTGGTGGAGGTGGTGGTGGCACCATATTCTGGAGAAAGGGAAGAGCGGGCGCTGCGTTAGTTTGGCCGTTGGGCTGTACAAAGCCGGAAAGAGCTGCAAGTAAGGCACCGGGGTCTTGCGAATTTTGCGGCATGGTTGGAGGCATGGGGACGGCTGTGTGCTGCGCATTAGTCTGAGAATGGGGAGCTGGCGCAGAGTTGTTACCCTTTGGCGGACTTCGCGGCGCCATTGGGGTATCTACACGATGAGGTGTTAGGCGGAGCGGCGAGAGAAAGAAGCGGAGCACCTACGTTGCTGGTTGCCGGTCAACTGCTGCTTGAAAGCTACGAGCATGTCTAGAGGAAACGTCTGGCCACGTTGCCAGATGTCTAAGAGCTTGGTGATCTTCTCCTTTTGGGCGTCAGGTGCATGCTGAACAAGGTCGTTCATTACGGCTGGCAGAACATCCGTCATTCTCTGCACTCCTGCAGCATATGTGCCAGGAGCAGCATTGCGGGACACTACTTGCCCGGCGGCCTTAGCCTTCTCCACCCATTGGCGAGTGACCGAGTCTACTACGTATAATACACCGAGCTTATGTGTCGCGGGACTGTTTTGCAGCTGCTGAAGGATCTTTTGGATTATGGTCGAGTCGGCCTAGAGGTGAGAATAAAGACTTAGTAAATGCGCAGGGATAGCGAAGGCGACTTGCGCCAGAGAGGACTCGACGGCCGGCATACCTGAATATTCTCTACGCAAATCGCAGTAATGGCCTTGACCTTGGTGGGAGTTACGCCGGGTGCCTTCAAGGCCTGGAGGGATTGCAGAAGCGACTCCAGCTCGTTCATTGCTGCCATGCTTAAATTTAGTGTAGCAGACCAGACTGATAAGAGACAATGAAATCCTCGACGGGTATGTGCAGGTAAAATGCAGTGTGGTGAGCAAGCCGGGAAGGCAAAACACGCGACAGTGCTCGGAACTGCAGATCAAGAGCTCTGGTGGAACAGTCTAGGTTGTACGAAGAGTGTAGGAGGACAAGCAGCGGATCGAGTAAGGCGCAATGTAGCAACTGGTTCAGAGAGTCCGGTCGGCGAATGCAGTGGTGGAGTCCAGTTGGGAGCGCAACGCTGTAGGAACTATGCTTCTACGCGACAGCGTTGTGAGAGCAGTTGATTGCGCAATCTTTCACGCGCGACAGGAAATTATCGCAGCTAATCTCCAGAGTCTCAGGAAGCAGTAGGAGTGCAGGCGCGGGCGCTGTCTATGTCAAGCGCGCAGGCGTATTTGGAAGCAGTGGGGAGAGGATGCGTGCCGAGTTTGGAGACGGGAAGCCGCGCTAGCCCTGGCACGTGACGTATGCAGCAAGTTTCCGCCTCCGGGGCTCGCGCTGAGAAGAGCTGGTTACTTGGCCCGCAGATAGTGCTTCTGACCTTGCAGTGGCTTCGTGCGATCGAGGTGCAGCTCAGGCGCAGCTCGTCGGCTCGCCAGACAGCTCACCAGCTCATCAGGTGCAGCGCATTGCGTGCAGCTAGGGTGGCAGCTATATGTTGCTTGGCATTGAGGTCACCCATCTACATAGCCCGAGCTTCATCGGAAGCATTCGAGCTGCAACGATCGTGGCTACGCCTCATTACGGAACTCCGGAGCTCGCACAAGGAAGCAGCCGGAAGTATTGCAGCAGGGGGCGTACACGTTGGTCACTGGTGTGGTGTGCCAACGGCGGGTCAGATTGTTGAGCGCATTCCGTGCATTACGTAGCACGGTTGAGTCCAGCTATCCAAGAGCTGACCATGCACCACACAAGCCGTCCACCATGATGTGCAGTGTAAAGCGCGGTCAATTGAGTAAATGTGTGCCGATGGAGCAAGAATATAAGCAAAGAAGCGGTCTCTTCCGTTCCCTTCGTACGAAAGTGCCGAGGGAAGCGCTGCCAGAAGTGGCTAGGGCGGCCCGGTCCTGATTGATTGATGAGCTTGAGCAGCTCCACCGATATTTTCGCGCCTCTCTTAAAGCCTGCCATCCTCCGCCATCTTGACGTGCAGCCTACCTCCACACCTCATCACCAACAATGGCCTCCGCACTCCGTCTGAGCCAGAGCGCTCTCCGCGCCGCCGCCCCCATGCGGTCCGCTGCCTTCACCGGCGCCCGCGCCTACTCCAGCAAGACCCAGGTATGCGCCGCCGGCATCGCTGCTTGTCCGGTTCATCGCTAACAGGCCCAATTGCAGTCTTTGAAGGAGACCTTCGCCGCCAAGCTGCCCGGTGAGATCGAGAAGATCAAGACCCTCCGCAAGTACGTCCGCCGCTCCGCCCGCCGCGCAGGCAGCCATTGACATTGCATCGCAGGGAGCACGGCAACAAGGTCATTGGCGAGGTCACCCTCGACCAGGTCTACGGTGGTGCCCGTGGCATCAAGTCCCTTGTCTGGGAGGTACGCGCGCCACTCTTCTCAGCTGTATGACAGCCGGCTGACAATGTGCAGGGTTCCGTCCTCGACTCCGAGGAGGGTATCCGCTTCCGCGGCAAGACCATCCCCGAGTGCCAGGAGCTTCTCCCCAAGGCCCCCGGCGGCCAGGAGCCCCTCCCCGAGGGTCTTTTCTGGCTCCTCCTCACCGGCGAGGTTCCCTCTGAGCAGCAGGTCCGCGACCTGTCCGCCGAGTGGGCTGCCCGCTCCGACGTCCCCAAGTTCGTCGAGGAGCTCATCGACCGCTGCCCCAGCGACCTCCACCCCATGGCACAGTTCTCCATCGCCGTCACTGCTCTCGAGCACGAGTCCGAGTTCGCCAAGGCCTATGCCAAGGGCATGCACAAGTCGCAGTACTGGGAGCACACCTTCGAGGACTCGATGAACCTCATTGCCAGGCTCCCCACCATTGCCGCCAAGATCTTCCGCAACATCTACAAGGACGGCAAGGTCGCCCCTGTTCAGAAGGACAAGGACTACTCGTACAACTTGGCCAACCAGCTCGGCTTTGCTGAGAACGCCGACTTCGTCGAGCTGATGCGTCTGTACCTGACCATCCACACCGACCACGAGGGTGGCAACGTCTCCGCCCACACCACCCACCTGGTCGGATCCGCTCTCTCCTCCCCCTACCTCTCCCTGGCTGCCGGCCTCAACGGTCTTGCCGGTCCTCTCCACGGCCTGGCTAACCAGGAGGTGCTCGTCTGGCTCCAGAAGATGAAGAAGGCCATTGGCAACGACCTCAGCGACCAGGCCATCAAGGACTACCTCTGGTCCACCCTCAAGGCCGGCCAGGTCGTTCCCGGCTACGGCCACGCCGTTCTCCGCAAGACTGACCCCCGTTACGTCTCCCAGCGCGAGTTCGCCCAGAAGCACCTGCCCGACGACCCCATGTTCAAGCTCGTCAGCCAGGTCTACAAGATCGCCCCCGGTGTCCTCACCGAGCACGGCAAGACCAAGAACCCGTACCCCAACGTCGACGCCCACTCCGGTGTCCTCCTCCAGTACTACGGCCTCACCGAGCAGAACTACTACACCGTCCTCTTCGGTGTATCGCGTGCTCTCGGTGTGCTTCCCCAGCTCATCATCGACCGTGCCGTCGGTGCGCCCATCGAGCGCCCCAAGTCCTTCTCCACCGAGGCCTACGCCAAGCTGGTCGGCGCCAAGTTGTAAATATATTGTCATGATCTGCGCGGCCGTTAAGGAGCGATATGAGGAGTTTTTTGACATGTCAAAGAGACGCCTATGTACTATCTAGATTGGGTTTGTAGGGTTAGGGATGAGGTGCATTCGGTGTCTTAGCACGCATCACAGCCTTGGATGTCTCTGCTTCAATATAGCTTTTAGTAAACGACTTGCTACAATACCACATCTTCACGTTCGAATCATTTTCAAAAGCCGCTCAAATACCGCGGCTACTGACCGTGCTCTGTATGGCAACGTCAAGATGCGTGTTCGCTGCAATAATTTTTAGCTGAATGCGCCGTCAGCAGGGCCAATGCGCGTGAGATCAACGATAACACATGGGCCATTAGCATGCCAGTGCTGAGCGCGTACACAAACAGATGTTGGCGTGTTGGGGGCCCGAAGCACACCCGCGGGATTGTTGAGTTCTCCACAGGGCACATGCGCGGGTGGGCACCCGAGGTTCCTCGAATGATCGCTCCGGGAGCTCCAAGGAGCAAGAGCAGATGCTGAATCGGTCAGATCCACGGCCGTCAGCGCACGAAAATTACGGTGTGCTCAAGCCCTGCAGATTATCATACAAGAGCCGCACAGCCTCACAGAGACTTGAATTGCGCGCCCGTTGATTCGTCGCAAGCCTCACCGTTTCGAGCTGCTGCCCGCCAAGTTCCCGACACAGCTCTAAGGACCACAGACCAGCTGGCCCGACTGCGACGCTACACTTTGACCGCCCGAGAGCTTGAGCAGCGCGCGCATCACTTTTAGTTTTGCTTATGCCAGCTGCCCGTCTCTTCTCACTCACACTCACTTTCGCGGCGAAGCACCCTTCTGCCTTGGTCCGGCCCATACCTTCGATAAGACAACCCCAGAGATGAGCTCCACACCTCCCACCGGCGTGCCCACCATGGCGGGCGACGGGCCGCCCAGGCTCGAGAAGAAGCCGGTCAAGTTCAGCAACCTGTTGCGTGAGTGCAGCCGAGTGCAGCATCGTGTCGAGAGCTAACGTGTGTGCAGTGGGTGCTGGTCTCAACTTGTTTGAAGTGACGACTCTGGGACAGGTACGAGAGCAATCAGCAGACGTCCACCGCGAAGCGCGCAGCAGCTAACACGGTCGCACAGCCCTTGGAGGTCGTGAAGACCACCATGGCTGCCAATAGGTCTGAGGGCATGGCTGGTGCCATCACCCGCGTCTGGGGACGTGGAGGAGTCTTTGGCTGTGAGTAGCAATTGCCGCTTGCTGACGCGGGACGCCGAGCGCTGACATGGCCGTGAACAGTCTACCAGGGCCTCATCCCCTGGGCTTGGATCGAAGCCTCCACCAAGGGCGCCGTCCTCCTCTTCGTCGCCTCCGAGGCCGAGTACTACGCCAAGTCGTTCGGCGCACCCGACTTCCTCGCTGGTATCTCGGGTGGTATGACAGGTGGTCTGGCGCAGGCCTATGCCACCATGGGTTTCTGCACCTGCATGAAGACGGTCGAGATCACAAAGCACAAGGTCGTGGCCTCCGGCGGCAAGCCTCCAGGCACCATGGAGACATTCATGCAGATCTGGCGCACCGAGGGTCTCCGTGGTATCAACCGTGGTGTCAATGCCGTCGCCGTGCGCCAGGTCACCAACTGGGGCTCCCGCTTCGGTCTGTCCCGTGTTGCTGAGACCGGTATTCGGAGAGTCACTGGCAAGGAGGGCGGCGAGAAGCTGAGTGTGATTGAGAAGATCACCGCTTCCGCCATTGGTGGTGGTTTGAGTGCGTGGAACCAGCCTATTGAGGTTATCCGCGTTGAGTTGCAGTCTAAGACAGTCGACCCCAACCGCCCCAAGAACCTGAATGTCTCATCGGCCGCGAAGTACATCTACTCCAACAACGGTCTCAAGGGCCTGTACCGCGGTGTCACCCCCAGAATCGGTCTCGGTATCTGGCAAACAGTCTGCATGGTGGCTCTCGGCGACGTGTACGTATTCACTGCCATCTCTACATTGGACTGGCTAACAATTCTACAGTGCAAAGGAGGCTGTTGAGAAGCTTACCGGCGACAAGGTTACGGCGAAGCACTAGACGGCGTTTGGTCGCCTGATCTAGCGAAAACATATTCGATACGATCTGATGCGATATCTGAGGCAATATGACTACGCGTTGGTATGGCCATGGGCTACCGCTGCAAAGACCTTGCTTGTCCGTGACTATAGAAGCACGGCATTCATCTTGTTATAGACCAGATTAATACATGACTGGCTGACCTGCCAATGACCTTTCTCCCTCGTCTCTACCATTCCTGATTGATTGACCACACAGACTGTTTTCCAAGCTGAAACATGCTCCCAGCCTGTTCTGCATGTGGAATAAGTGTGCCCAATCAGGCAGTGACAGTCGACGCTAACAGCGTCACGCTCCACTCTCCTCACCCAAGCCTCGCCGGCTTGCAAACAACCGACATCGTCGCACTCCGAGATTACAGTGATGCGGGCACAGGATGTCGAAGAACATTTCGTGTACAGCGACGAGTGTACAATTAGGCTACAAAAGAGTAAGCTGCTCCTTACACCAGCATTATTCATTTGCTTGCGCGCGGTTGGGATTGACAGACATAGTTTCCCGACCGTCATGAACGGCCGCGGATCAAAGCATGGAGGTGTGACCTGACCGCTCTGTCCCGAAGTCACAACTTCTACTTTGTAGCATGCAACGACACCATCCGCGTCTATCAGCCCAAGTTCCCAGATCAGTCGATCCCAGGCGATCCAGCATTGATTCTGCATCCACCCATTTCAGCGCCAGGTCTGACACCTGGGATTGACCACGAAGATTCGCATTCGATCACAAGACTTCATGTAGACTACTTGGGCCAGGACGAAATCATCCTCATTACCTGCGATGACGGTGACGTGATCGGGTATCGTACCGAAGAAATCCAGCGCGTGCTTGATAAGCATCGGGAAGCACCAGATGACGAAGATGAATTCGATATTGAAGAGCCTGTCAGGACTTTTCTGCACCGTAACGTCGGTGCTAGCGCGTGGGGCCTTGCCATCCACCAGGAGGCACGGATGATCGCGATCAGCGCGAACACTGAGAAGGTCACAGTCATTGCCTATGCATTGGCGCAGCCGATGGACTACTCAGACGACGAGGATGCGTCGTCTGACTCTGGACTGAGTAATTGCTCCGATGAAGAGGAGTCGAAGGACTTTCCACAACCGCGGCGGCAAGACCACATCATTACCCTCTCTGCACGCCATAATGTGCCATCAGTCTCGTTCAACAACAGCGGTGATGATCCGTCGGGTCGATGGCTTTCAAGCTGCTCGATCAACGGAGAAGCCTTGATATGGGATCTTCACAACCCAGAGCAGGCTGTTCGGACCATTCGACTCGGGTTCTGTGCAAGCGTCAGAGACCCCACCAAAGCGCCAAAACTCAATCCTGGAACCTGCGCGTGTCTGAGACCCAGCATGGTTCCGCATGCAGTATGGGATACCATGTTTCTCGATGTTGATATCGCCTTTGAAGACCCATCGCTGCAGTTTCCGGCGCTCCCTGTGGACCACCCTTTTCCTCATATCCGGGATGTTAGTGAGTGCAAATCACGGTTCGCCGTGAAGCCGCGTAAGCATCCTCATATGGGAATACCCACCATCGAGGCTTCGTCTGATGACGAATTCAGCAACATGAACATATCTGAGGCTGGGTCCGTAATTTCTGATGATGAAGGATCACAGCTGTCCTCATCCACTGGGTCCACCGACAGTGAATACGTAGATAGCATTGAAGAAGCAGTTATGGAGCTCGACGCGACCGGAGATCCGGTGGATGATCAGCTGTCTCAAGAGCCAGTGGAGTCCTCAGAAGATACGCTTGATAGTTCCGCGAATATCGGGACCGTATCGCATGGTGCACCCTCGACACAAGTCGCCGTAGCTCAGGAACCCGTCAACGCTATCAATCCCTTCGGAGCGTGGTTTCAGCCACTGAACCAGAACACTACCACTATTGTCTGGGACGACGATGAAAGTGATTCAGATGATGGATTGTTTGTACCTTCAACTACACATATTCACATCGCGTTTGCCAATGCGATCCAACCTGCGCGAGCGTACTGCGAGATTGGTACAGCCTTCACCCTGGCAAGACAAGTATGCAGAAGCCACTTTACTTTACTGAGCTACTTCGACTGACAAGCGCAGCCGAAAATCACATCGCCGCTTCTGATAGTGACAAAGGAAGACGTTCATCTCTACCAGCGACCTTTGGACTACATTGGCGATAAATCGGATCCCATTATCACTATTCGACAACCCCTTCACCCAGACAAACGTGAGAACGCATTTCCATTCATTCCCGGATCACACGATCGCCACTGCTACACCACACAAATTCCGGAACTGGGCATCTTCATTGTCGCCTCACCGAATGGACGCGCTGGTATCTTCAGCCTTACAAAATCAGCAAAAAAAAACGCAGGGCCGGCCAATGTACGGCTTTCAGCTAGAGTATGTGCTGCCGTTTTCAAACGATGACAAGAGTAAGATCTGGGACGTCGAAGGTGCGAGATTGATTGGTGTCGCCGCTGGGCCAGTCCAAGGAATGCTGGATCGACCTGACAGATTCAGCAACGAAAACGAACATATCTTCGAGGACGCTGGAAAACCAGGCATGAGGCGGTGGAGATTGATGATGTACTTCACAGATCACACCGTCTTGGCATTCGAGGTTGCAAAGCAAAGAGATGGCGCGATGCCTGGAGTCGGCGAGCTGGTTGTTTGAAAATTCGACGGATCTTCCAGCAGCGTAGGGCAAGAGACGATTATGCATTATATATCTCGCGGCGCACCGGTGTAAACACGAGAAGCTCCGTCTCCATCGATCCATCAATCGCAGTGGCCACCTTCTCGTACACAGTATACAGGATACCGCTACCAAAAGCCAGCCTGCTCACCCGCGACGTGCTTCCGCTCCACAGTCCTCCCACACCCGCCTGTCGCACCGCCCCTCGGAACGCTGCTACCGTCCCAACACCCTGCGCCCGGATCTTCACCACATCAAATGGCTGCGTCACATACACCGCTACCACACCTGCTAAAGCACCCGTCACAAACACCGTTGCTGCATCTTGTGGTATATCCCAACGCCGCGTCATCTCGCGCAGGACGTTGTAACTCCCCATCTTGACACCCTGAGTACCACTCTGCTTCAGCACCGCTGGTATCAACCCACTCCCCATCCCCCGCAGACCGCTCACACGCAGCACATCTTCGCCCTCGATCCGCAAAGTTCTTATCCGCGCCACCGTCTCTCTTGCAACACCCTCGACTGCACCTGCTAGCGCGCCCGCCAGTAGCCCACTTATTGGGGAAAGCTTGCCCGTGTCTGAGCCGAGGTGGCGGCGGAAGAAACTATACGCGGCGAAACGCACGCTCACACTGCACGACGTGCTGCGTACTCGTGGTGCGCAACTGGTGTACATGGCGGCGAGACCGTTGTGGCGCGCGACGTGGGTGAATGTCGTAAGGGGGTTGTGCGTGGTTGGGGGAAGGGGAAGGTGGGAGTGTGAGAGGGATTTGAAGCGAGCAAGGGGGTGTGTCCAGAGAGCTTCTGTGGCGCCTGCTGTTGCGGCTGCGAGGAGGAGGGTGGGGGTTGGGGTTGGGATGGTTGGTGTGGGTGTCAGGGATGACTGTGAGATGCCCGCAAAGGGTGATGAGAGGGTTTGGACGACAGCCATGCTGCGTGTTTTGGAGGCAAACGGGGAGTGCGCTTGTCACTCTTGACATGCGAGTGTATAATGATGGCAATAGCAGCGTTGATGTAGCGTCGAAACACGATATCAAATGCCCGAGAAGCTTGTGAAAGTTGTCAAGTTGTTGTCTACATCTCACATGCTCGCGCTCGCGGTTGTCTTATCACTACATGGGCATGTGAATACTTACACCGGTACACTCTGACTCCCACATGCCAGCGTCACTCGGCCGTGGCCAGCAGGGTGAACACTCGGTCTTGCGGAACCGCCTGAGCTGAGCCGATTCAAGACGCGGGTTACAGACAGCCATGAGCCGCGGGAGCGTGCGCCAGAAGTGTTTCTTGATTCTGGAGTTGTATCACTATGGTCAACTTCATGGATTGATGATCTAGCATACGCTCTGTCGAGATCACTGTTGCAAGGCCCTAAGCCGAAGCAAGTTGCGAGAGAACAGGCAGTCTTGGGCCGCGGGAGTGCGCGCAATAATTGTGATGTTTTACGTGACTTGTTTCTTGGGCCTGAAGATGCACGGCTTGGGTGACTTCGTGAAATGGTTACCGTCACCACGGTTTGCTGTCGCCGCGTCCTACGGCAGGCGCAGCCGAGCCGCTCGAGTATCACGGGAGTCTGAGCCGAGACGTCGTTCCGACATGTTTTGCGACTCGGAGTCCAAATTCGTCTCGCTGATTGCGATTGTCGCGTTGGGCGGGTCGAGTAGTGCAGTGTCTCATTGAAGACTTGGAGACGAGGTTAGAGTTGCGAGTGTGCGCTCCCGCGGGAACGAGTGCACGGGCTTTTCTATTTTCGGCCGTCTTACGGGAGACCCGGGATTCGACTAAAACCTCCTCCTTCCCGCGGCAACACATCGACTGCGTCCCCGATCCTTCATCTCCCTGCGACGGCTTCGAATTGATTTTACATGGACGGCAACACTGATGCCACCACGGCTGGAGATACTCCAGCTGTGGGGCGTGTGCGGAAACGTGCACCTGAGGCGTGCACATTCTGTCGCCGACGAAAGGCGCGTTGCTGACTGTGTGCGAACGAGAGTCACTGACTGACTGCAACAGATCAAATGTAGCACTGAACGCCCAACATGTGCAAACTGCAAAACCCATGGCATGACCTGCAACTATGAACCTATCGATGATGCTGTTCGTGCGCGGACTGCTCGCCCAAGCAAGGTGGCCAGGAGAGAAATCACAACTGAACATGCTGCCACAGCCCCTGAGCCCAGAGCAAAATCTGTGTCTGACGACCTTCACACTCGCTCAAATGTGGACTCCGCAAGCCGGGCGAATAGTGTGTCCCGCATTGTTGTTTCTTCAAACGGTGTGCCCAGCTATCATGGCCGCACGAGTACCTTGTTCGAGGAAAACTATCAAGACCGCTCAACTCCGGAAGCCAACACCAGGATGCCCGAAGAATGGGTCGAGAAAGGACTGATAGCCGAAGCCGCCTGCCAGCGTCAACTAGAAGACGTCAATTTGCGTCTCGGGAAACTCGACTTCGATGGCGTAGAACCAGAGCTCGGCCAGCATCTGTTGTCACTGCACTGGAATCGCCAGCACCACTCGTTTCTCATCACGTATCGCCCGGCGTTCATGCGCGACATGGCATGCAAAGGTCCCAACTTCTCCAAGCTGCTGCTGAATGCCATCTTCTTCAGTGCGTCGAAATTTAGTCCGCGGCGCGAGCTGCGGCGTGACGCAGACGATGTGCGGACTGCTGGCTGGAAGTTCCGCGAACGTGTCAGGGGGCTTTTAGGTGGCGCCTTAGACAAGAGCGATATCACTACCATCCAAGCGTTGCTGATCATGTGCAACTCGTTGTTCGCCTTAGGAGATGAGCGTAGCGCGGCGTGGCTGTACGCTGGCCTGGCCTTTCGTATGATTGTTGACTTGGGTATTCATGTTGATAAGGCGGGGCTGACTACTCATCGCAAGTTCTCAGATGAAGACCTGGAAATCCGAAGACGTGTTTTCTGGGCCGCATTTGGTAAGCTGGGCCTATTGCAAAGTATAATGAAGCACTGACATCGGACACAGTGGTGGATAAGATTCAGAGTCTGTATCAAGGCCGACCAGTCACTCTTAAAGAGGCTGACACGTTGGTACCCATCAAGTTCTTGGACACCTACGAGGAGCTTGAACACTGGACGCCTCAAGCCTATCTGACCCAATCGGACGTAACATATTCTGGGTCGCCAGCGTATAGTATCTCAACCTTCAAACATCTGTGTAAGTTGTCGCTTGTCTTGAGCGATATCCTCAGTACCATCTACACGGAACGCAGTTCAGACAAGAGCTCAGCCGAGCTATCCACCAAATTAGAAAGTATTCATGCTACACTGCAAGCTTGGTATCGAGATCTGCCGGCTCATTTGGCTGACCTAGGGCAACTACCGACAACACCGCCACCAAACGTGTTGAGTCTACTGTAAGTGACGCAAGTGAGCAATTTTATCGTTTTGCTGATTGCGATAGCGCCATGTATCATGTGCTTGTAATCCTTCTGCACCATCCTTTCGTGGCGGACGGACACCTTTACAGTACTTCTCGCAGTATTTCGGTAAACTCGTTGAAATGTTGCGCCACAGCAGCAAACGATATCGTGCACCTTCTCAGAGTCTTCGACAAAGCTTTCAGCGTACGAAGAGCCCCGTATCTCATATCGTATGCTACATATGTTGCTGCCACTATTCACGTTCGCATTGCAGCGAAGCGCGGTCCGGGATCAGACGCTCACAGCAGTCTTGCTGCCTGTCTCGCAGTGTTCCGCGAGAACCAAGAGACCAATCCAGCTGTGCGACGCGCTAATGCCCTTGTTCAAAATCTCATGAAGAGACTCGGCGTACAAATGCACAGTATCGATGATTGTCAGATTCATAAAGACCGCAGCAGCGGTAGCCAGCGCCAATCTCCGGAGGCAGTCTCGAGCGCAGCAACGGGACGCGGCCCCAGCTTGCAAGGGCTCGATCTTGACGGGATCATTCAGAGCTTCGTACGGGAGCAGGAGAATGCGCAAATCACGCAAGTGGGTACGCCGGAACATTCTACAATGAATACGCCGACACTCATGGCGCCGCCACGACCTACAGCAGTAGCCGGCAGCATGCTGGATGCTGCGGGACCCGACGTTAATTCCCTCAACTATGACTACAACGGGCAATGGCTAGCTCATGGTCAGCACCAGATGTATGGAGATGTCTCAGTGCCTGTTGATGATCTCTACTATGGCTTCAATAGCGCAGCTCTAGACAGCATCCCGATCACGCCTTTCCTCGAGTGGAACACAATGTAAACGCCGATTGAATATCCTCGGCGATTTTGATATCGAGATCACCTGAGGTTTAATTGAATGGACTCTGTCGTTCTCGGCATCTAATTGGGTCCGCAAACGGCCCGCAAGCGCGTACCGAGCCAGCTGTGGTACGGAGACTACCAAAGACCTCCGTAGCAGGAGGCGGAGTCAACAAGCGCACCCAGCGTCGAGGCTTGACAAGTACCGCCAAACTTGGGGTGCTTAAAACGACGCAGGTTTGTGGTAGCCGGACTGGGCCAGGAGCGGATATTGAGCCAAGCCTTCGCCAAGCGTGAACAAAGAGGAAGAGACCCCACTCCATCGTCTGGGCCTTAGTGTTAACTACCTCTAAACATATCCAGCTACCAACAGAGTCTCTCGATGTACTACATCAGCCGCAGCTGAACTTTGGTGCTCAGTACCACCCATGTACATCCAAGACGCGCACAGCTCACGTAAAAGCGGCAGGCTTCAAGTCACCAAGTGTATCAGGAAGAACAGACGGCCGAGTAGATCAAGCGAGAAATTACTCTGATTAAGCAAACTAGCAAACAAAAATTACAGATTCCATCCAATCAGAGCCTAAAACGATCATCTCTGAGTCTACACCTCACCGCTCCAAGCGAACGATGGTAACGCCGCAAGACCCAGATCCCTCCGACCATCAGAAGAACGCAGCCGCAAGGCCAACAAGGCCCAGGAAGATGCCGTGACCTTGTTCAATTGCATGGCGATCGGCGGCTCCAGTGAATTCCGCAGCCCCGCCCGACGTCGCCGACGGCGCAACACTGTCGCCCGCTGAAGTCGCAACGCCGCCTGAGGTCGCGCCGCCCGAGCCTGGGGCATCCGTACCGGTACCAGCTGCTCCGACTGAAGTGCTCATGCCACTTGCAACTGCTCCGCCTGGAGTGCTCATATCGGTAGCGACTGCTCCACCTGCAGTGCTCATACCGGTAGCGACCGCTCCGCCTGGAGTACTCATGTCGGTCGGGACTGCTCCGCCTGGAGTGCTCATGCCACTAGCAGCGGCACCCCCAGACGCAGTTCCGCTTGCAGCACTGCCGCCTGGGGGAGGTGCTGGCTTGGACTGTCCTGGAGCTGCAGGTACGCTTGATCCTGCCGGCGGCGGCCTGTGAAAGAACATAGTTAGCGATTGACTTTGAGATGATGGGACTCCACGTACGGTGCGTTTCCACTGGGCCCTGGTGCTGGCGCGGATCCTGAAGGAGCGGGTGCAGACCCAGAAGGCGCAGGTGCAGACCCAGAGGGCGCAGGTGCAGACCCAGAAGGTCCAGGTGGAGATCCGGAAGGTCCTGTGGCTTGTGAGGGCGCACCTGGCACCGGTGCTTTCGGTGATCCAGCAGCAGATGTCTTCGAGTCAGAGGTCACCGGTAGTGCGGTGCCCTTCTCCGGTGCAGGAGATTCTCCTGATGGAACTGGCGCTGCTGTCGGTTTGGGAACTCCCACGGATGTGACCGTGACTGGTGCAGGCGGCACGGCACTTCCTGATGCTTGAGGAGAGGTCGTACCTGGGACTGATGTTGATGAAATATATGGTGAGGGAGAATCAGCTTTCACATCTGTATCACTCACTTCCGGGGCGATCGGGTTGAGAGGAACCGGGCTAGGTTCATCGCTAGATGAATCAGATGACAGAGCAGACGACAGACTGGAGGACAGAGTTAAAGGCGGAGCAGATGCTCCAGCAGAGACTTCAGTGGGCGTAGTACCATCTGATTGAGCTACAGCACCGAACGGTGAAAGGAGCACGAAAGCCAGTAAGAGCGTGGAGTAGATCGGGAGTTTGACAGGGCTGGTTGAAGGCGACATTTTGATATGATAGATAGAATGAGGAGAGTTTGTTTGATCTGTGAGAAACCACGAGCAGCCGCGATCACTTTATACGTGTATCTTCGGTTGCCCAGGCCAAAACGCTCAAACCAAATTTCTTTGAGTAGGCTACTGCAGGTATGTTTACTAAGTCGAGTATAACAGCAACCTCGCTGTTATTGATGCGGATTCAGAGCTGCATCTTCCTTCTTCCTAAAGCTGTACACATCAGCAGCGAGGCTTAACAAACAACGCCCTCAGCTCTCCTCAAGGCTTGGGTAATCCAGTTGCTTGCAGAAAAACATTGCGGGGCGTAAGCAGCCAGTCTAGGAGCCATCCTCTTGGCGCGCTCCAGATTGGATTGTACTTTGGGAGCTTGCCGCGTCAGTACCGAAGTACCTGATATGGACATGACGCTAACCTTGATGATACATATCAGGCGAAGTCGCTTCACTTCACCTGATGCATACACTGATCGATTCGATCAGCTGAAAGATGGTCGTCTCAAACGGGTTCTTGTGAATCCGAATAGGGATCTGGCCATCCATCGAAGGTCACCGACAACGACGGGGCTACAGTGTTGCATATCTAAGTCTGAGTGATCTGCTTGTTTGAGTCTATACTCGCCTGTTTGTGTGATCTTACTCACGCTGTTGAAAGTAGCGTCACCTGCGGACTTTTCAGCCCACACATCTTTCCACATCATGAGTAAGGCAACGAAACCTCCAGTCCCTCTCGCGGTTCAGAATTCAGGGCGCTGGCTGGGGAATGATGGGTCATGGTCAACGTAAGTGCTTAACACAATCTAGACATTCTTTGCCAGGGTACATCATGCGATAGTTCGAGCATGAATGGCTTTTGTCAGAGGTAAAGACATTCCGAGTAAACCCCAAGTACTGAAGTCCATCTCAAGGTTTTTCGTACACGCCGGGACACCGCCACAGCAGTTTCACGTCTTGCCATCATTCGACGGACAAACGATTTACCTGCCAATCGATGAAGACTGCCTGCCAAGCGGGTTCAATATTTCAAATTGCGGCGCATCACGTGGTGTTGAGGTTTTCGAATCAAAACCTGGTGTTGGGTTCCAGAGAAACGCTTCGTCGACTTGGGATGAGATCGGCATCTACAAGGTGAACATGGGTCACAAGTATGGTCTCGCTGGAAACGCTTACTTCGGCTACGATACCGTTGGTCCATCAACAAGTAACGCAGTTGATGTACCCAATCTTGAGAAACAGTCCCTAGGCACCTATTCTAGTGCTGACTACTGGCAAGGTCGATTGGGATTGTCGTTGTTTTCGATGAACTTCACCGACACCGACCGACCTCACTCATTTCTCAGTCGTCTCAAAGAAGAAGGTCACATACCTAGCCTATCCTTCGGCTACCAAGTTGGGGCTCCATACAGACAGACAGGTGTTGCTGGAAGCCTAATTCTTGGTGGATATGATCGGTCCAGGAGATCCGACAATACTCTTTCACTATCATCCTCTCAGGATCTGCTGGTTGGAGTCCAAGGTATTTCAAGTCAATATAGTAACGGAACAACAACCGTTCTACTCGAGGAAGGTTTCATAGCGGTCGTAGATTCTAACGTACCCGAGCTGTGGCTTCCGTCCGTTACCTGCGACCGCATCGCCGCACTGTTCAACCTGACGTACAATGAAGAGACGGACCGTTATCTACAGAGCGATGTCACACGTCGCCTACTACAAGATCATAAATCCATCCTGAGCTTCACACTTGGGCTATCGGTGTCGGGAGGCCAAACGATTCAGATTGAGATACCCCTCCCCGCATTCGACCACCAGGTCTCCTACCCCATATTTGCATCACCGACGAACTACTTCCCTTTGAGGCGAGCTGCAAACGACAGTCAGATCACGCTGGGCCGCACGTTCTTACAGGAGGTTTACATCAGTTCGGACTGGGAAAGAGACGAGTTCAACCTCAGCCAAGCTGTCTTCAGCGCGCCGATGCCCAAGCCCGATATCGTAGCCATTCCACCGAAGAACGACGACACGCTAATCGAAACGTCTAACAAAGGTTCGAAGAAACCCTCCACGGCACTACTCGGTGGCGCCATCGGTGGTGCAATCGCCGCAGTCCTGCTTCTAGGCTGCCTAGTGTGGTATCTCTGCCAGCGCCGTCGGCACCGAGCGAAGACCCAGTTGCCTGTAGAGCCCATGGCGCGACCCGTTGACGAGAAGGCCGAGTATTCGTATTTCGCACCAACAGTTGGGGAGAAGTCATATGCGATGGTGCATATGGATGCGGAGCTAGATGGCGGACCTATAGGGGAGAGGCCTGCGATGTGTGAGCTGGGCGGCGGGTCGGTTGCGAGGGAGAAGGTGCCTCATAGGGCAGAAGCGATGGAGCTTGATGGCGTGGAGCAGGTTTTTGAGCTGCCTTCACAAACCGTGGAACGGTAATTTTGGAGTCGTACACGTTGCTAAGCACTGATGGTGCAGACGTGTGCTAAAATTCAAAATCAATTTGCCGTATTTTGCTAACCCCTGAGTTACGCACTCCCCAGTGATCTACACATTTTCTACTTTACCAACTGGGCTCCGCTTCTGCACTGAATCTATCGCTACTGGTGCCGTGACACGAGCAAAAACACTGACACTTGTGTTTTTGTTTTCTTCCTTTGGTGTTTTGCTCTCCTTGTGTGCAGTGCGCATGTCGCCGATATTGATACCGACATATTTCAATGAACCCCATACCAGAAGCAAAGTCAGCACTATCGTCAAGATCTCTGTACCGACTGTAGAACATTAGCTTGCGCCTATCTCAAATGGCATAATCAGCTGCAGGCTTCTGTGCTTACCAAAAATGCCGCCCATCTTGGCACTATTGTAGACCGAGTCATCCGAGGTTACGTTGACGTTGACGACGAGAGTCTGATTATCCATAGTGACTGCACTTTCCGTAGCGGCTGATAGAGTAGGATTGCGAAGCTTGTCGAATCCCTGGATATCAAGGGCGAATAATGCAGTGAGAAACGCCAAGGGCGTGAAAATGATAGTGACGATGGCGAAGCCAAGAGCAGCGGTGCTGAGGAGCACACTCGCGTGTGAGTCTTGGACACTGGCATACGTACGCTTCAAGTTCAGCATGTCTTGGATACTTGCTCCTATCCGCTCTGCATCTCCATCAATCTTTTGTACTGTGTCTTGATAGAGAGCGAGCTTGCTTTCTGCCTTTTCGACCGTTTTCCAAAGTGAATCTTCGCTTGTTAGATTTGGGTCTCTAGGAACATGCGGCTTCTGTTTCTTGTCTGCTCGTGATGGGTCGTGTTCGAGCAATAGGCTGCCTAAGATCTGTTGTTGCTCTGTGAGAAAATGCCGAATCATCGCAAGTTCACTGCGGACGTCCGCAATGGTGTGGTGAAATTTCTTTTCCTCATCGTAGTTGATGCTGTTGCGTGTCGACGCTTGCATGTAGTCCTGAACCCCAGAGAGTACAGACACTACACGTCTTTCGTAGAGAACGAGCGTGGGCGGGGATTTGACGTCGCTCCCTTGTAGCAACTGTTCTTGACCGAAGTACTCGATGCACGTGGCCATTAGGAGTCCCATCTGAAGCAATGGATTGAGAGTAAGCCTTTCATCCGTTACTTCATATATGTAGATTGGCCGGTCGGCCGTTGTGCTTTTCATTTGCACAAATTTCACATCCCCAAGATCTTGTGTAAAGCTGTAGGCAGTGAGAAGCAACGATTTCTTTCTCCATAGCCATAGTTGCGGTACAATCAGCAAAGGTGAATCATCATCCGGCTCTTCAGATTCGGGTATGCTTTTGTGGCAGATACTTTGGTCTTTGTTTCGGGTCTGAAGATTCTTTCGCTCGAGCCCTGGATAGTATGCCTCATCTAGAGTGCGCTCCACGTGTACATCACAGTCAGCTGAATCTGGCCCAGAAGCTCGAGTTGATAGGTTCCTTCGCAGTTCCTCATACTTGGCACGAACATGTTTGTGTCCTCCGTAACTAGTCAGCCGCAGACATGGGAACTGAGGACGTCAGCAGCGCATTACATGAGGCTCGATAAACTAACCACCACAATGGTCGAACTCGAAGGTAGGCTGTATAACGGATCTGGAGAGTAACTGTGCTCCTTGTATGTGAGCAGAGGATCACCAGGAGCAGCAGCCGAGTTGATGAGCCCGTACTCATCCAGACTCCAGCCAAATTGAATTCCAGGATATTTCTCCAACTTTTGCATTAAAACCTGTAAATATGAGTGAGAATCTAACTCCCAGGTGTAGTAACATACTCGGATCATGATGATCTGCTTTCATCAGTCGTATTTCTGGGCAGTTTCAATTTCAGGACTCACATTTGTAGACGGCACATGAATCCAAGTGGCGGAGTCTAATACCAACATATCTTTCAAAACCAGTTTTTGCCAAATAAGTTCATCGATCCAGCCATGCGTGAAAGAAGGTGCAAGTTGATCTTTGACAACTGTCACAGCAGAGAAGTAATGCTGCGATGGCTCCGTGCACAACAGGAAGGTATCCAACAGGTACCCTATCTGTCTATGCACTTTCTGATATCTTTGACGCATGAACGGCTTCATCTCCACGGAATGTTCCAAATCCTGCATGACTATAGCAGGGATGAACTTGACATTACCCACTACACGGTGGTCCAACAGAAGCCTCAGACTCTCTTCCAGCATGTGCTCTGCAGCTTCGACGGCCAGCGGTTTTTGGCCAACGGTTATATTGGGCATCTTACCAGACGGTGATCTCTTCTGCAATAATTCAAGCGCATCGTAAAGGGTCGAATCCATTGTGTTGTAGAAACCGCAACTCGCATCGCCATCATCGTCAGCGGGAGGAACGGTCCAATCGGGCTCAAGAGTTGTAGCATCCAGAATATATTGGATGTCTCCAATCGACGGTTCATAGTTCGGATCTTTTGCTCGCAATTCAAAATCTTTCCGTATAGCATCAGCTTTGACGATGAATCGATGGGTGCCAGTGAGCGGCGTTGATTGCGGCACGAATGCCCCTACAAAACATTAGCTAAAACGAAGGTGCCGCATGAAGATTTACCGCACTGTTCCGCCCCATCTAGACTGAAATTTGGACCCCGTAAGCTGCGGATGTGAGCTCAAACGGGATCGTACCTATAAATCATTGCAGATACCAGCAGTGTCGTTAGCTCACCGATCAACTTATTCAGCTCAAGATCACTGCAGGTGGGCGGTAGTCATTCTATCAGCCAGAACACAATGTGAATGAGGAAAGGGCAACGAAAATCACGCCAAGTGCCGCCTGTCAGACGCAAACTTCGAGGTGCAGCTCAGCTGCCCAGCTGCCCACCAATAGCAAAGGCTGCCTTGCGCCATGTTGGACTTCATTTTTCAGCAGGCTGTGCAGAATTGGAGCCGAAACGCAGCGATCGGTATCGCGAGCTTTAGCAAGAGGAGAGCCGACGCTCATATGGTCTGGTACGTCGTACAGAAAATAATCGCAATGCAGATGATCGATGAGGGCCTGGATCTGAAGGCACGGGTGGGACTCACCTTCACAAGTTACGGAAACATGTTTCTTTGCGCACATTGATAGATATGTGGCGTCAGAACATTCCGTTTCTCAAATCCGGGCTTCTGACTCCTGATCCTAAAGTATTAGCACATTCGTTAGGTGACATTGGGTAGGTAAGGAAGCACGAGCATCACAAAAAGAGAAGATGGAGGTAGGCGGGGAGTCAACGACACAAAGAGTGGCCTGGTATTACTTGTAATTGATCAATAGTTAACGTGGATGTCGTTTAGATGTCCGCTCCGCGAGTGTCGTGAATGGCATTCGGCACCACCTTCTCTATCTTCGCTGGCAGGCCTTCCTGCAACACCTTCGGCACTTTGGAGTCTCCAGTAGCATGCGATACCTTGCCCGTGTCCTTGTTGCTGTTGGTGTCGTGTGCCGAGTCCGGAACTTGGTGTTCAATACTGGAGGGCACCTGCGGTAGCATGTCAATCATGTGGTGTTACAGCAGGAGCAGCCATCACGCACCTTCTCTTGCACTTTCTGGGGCAGTTGTGACTCTTTAGCGTGCGATACGCCCTGACCCTTCTCGTTCTGCATGACTGAGCTTAGAAGTTGGTAGATGTTATGTGTTGGTTTGGAGACGCTGATATGAATTTGAAAGGGGAGTTTCTAAATTGCGACAGTATTCAAGGGATTGATGTGGTGGTGAATGTAGTCGAGGTAGTATATAAGCAGCCGCACGAAATAGTCGTGACGTGCGGATGAGCCCACCAGCGTTGATGTCACTCCGCGGCTTCAACTTCGCCTACCAAGAAACAGCGTTCCATACCGCATGTACGAAAAAATCAAGAATCTAGCAAGACTCGACTAGTCAGTGCCCCCATCACTCAAATACAACCTACTAATGCTGGAATGGTCGCAATGTTGATCATGTCTACTGCACGAGGCACATCCGAGCAGCAAAATGCTGCATCGGGCAAGAACGATGAATACTCTCATTGGGACTCTTCCTTAGTGAAATATACACGATCAAACAGTCATTTAGTAGTACTCCTACCGCTTGTTGAAAACGACCGTGATGATTTCGATCGTACAAAAGTGTCAAGTGGCTGGTCGGACGTGCTTGGGTGCAGTACCTAGGTACTTCTGTTTTGGGCAGACTCCGACACCCGAAATTAAATGTCGATCATTTACAAAACCTCACGACCGTCCCGAAGTCTGTTCACGACTCACCACAACATGATGTTGTCTTCCATTGGCGTAGCCATCTTAACGCTCGGTAGCTTTGCGGTTGGTAGCGACAATACCACACAGTCCTGCGCTGGCGTAGCAGCGATCAGCTCCAAGTGCAAGTCCCAGCAAACACATCATCAACGAGATGTTTTCTACGTTGGTGGACGTTTGCTCAACACCGGAACCGGTAACCTTACGGTCGACCAACTTTATGTCGAAAAACTTACTCCCTCGGTCGGAGTCACACAACCAAGGCCTCTGGTGTTCTTCCATGGCGGCGCTGTGTCCGGGACGACATGGCTGAACACCCCAGACGGTCGTCAGGGGCTTGCAGGCTTCTTCCTTGAGCAAGGGTATCAAGTATATCTCCTCGACCACACGTCTGTAGGGCGTAGCAGTCAGATGAATACCCGGGATTATGTGCTTTGGAACACAACAACCCAGGAAGGTGTTCAAAGCGGGTTTACGGCCCCAGAATTACTTGCGACTTATCCTCAAGCAAAGCTGCACACCCAATGGCCAGGCTCGGGGCAAATCGGGGATCCCTTCTTTGACACTTTCCGCAAAGGCATCATTCCTTTCACGAGCAACTTCACTTTGGCTGAATTGTCAATGCGTGCTGCTGGTTGCGAATTGCTTTCGCTTATTGGACCTTCCTATCTATTCTCCCATTCGCTCGGAGCTCTATATCCCATCTTGCTTTCAAATGATTGCCCAGAAAACGTCGCAGGCAACATCAACCTAGAACACTCGACCCAACCATTCTGGAACTACGGCCTCACCATTGATTCCGGCAGCGCAACTCGCCCCTGGGGTCTGACCAACACTCCACTAGACTACGAACCTCCGGTGGCAGACCCTTCCGAGCTTCAACAGATTATCGTAGGAAACGACACGCTTGCTCGTCGCAACTGCCATTTGCAAGCCGAACCTGCGCGGAAGCTACCAAAGATCGCAAGCGTTCCATATCTGTGCTTGACCGGAGAAGCCAGTGTGCATGCCACCTATGATCACTGTGTAATCGACTTCTTAGAGCAGGCTGGTGGTAGCCCTGATTGGATCAAGCTTGCTGAACGTAACATAACTGGTAATGGTCATTTCATGCATATTGAAAAAAATAACATGAAAATTGCCATGGTAATCGAGGACTGGATTCAGGGTGGCACCAAGTAGAAATCTCATCTTGACCTTTTCCCTGCTTCTCCCCGTCTTGACCAACCTGTAATGAAGTTTCTCAGCGTTGATTATTGACTAATTGATACGCGTAGGTTCATGCATTATTTGGACATAAGATATCACTTGTAAGTATCCCTATGCGCGACTATACTTGTCTCACACATAAACGTGATGTTGCAGCGTATCTGGATAGTCAATCGGTCATTTCTCGGACGTTCGGTTCCCTTCATACGTCCTGTTCGCATGGTCGAACGTGATTTGCCTACTTTGTAGGAACCACGGGCGTTTGTACCTGCATTAGTTTCACGCTTGGTTCAAGAATCAATGCCGATGTCCCATTAATTCTGCAGAAAGAGTCACACCGTTTGTGATAGTCTCACTCATCAATAATCCCAGCTGGTTATCACGTCTCCACTTTAGTCGACAAGCAGAAGGGCCACTCGCTTGCATTCTCCTCAACATATAGCCCTTCTGTAAGATCTTTAGGTTCCCTTGCCAATTTCTTCTACCAACGACATGCCAAGAGCAGGAGTTTGCGCCCAGCGATCGTCAGGCTGCCATCCTAGCCAACGACATTGAACCGTTTACCCTAAACTCGCTAAACGGCAAGTTTTTCTGGATCTTTGTAGCAATATGAGTACCCCAATGTCCTTCGCCAAGGCATCCGCAGACTTGGCTACGGGTCCAGCCTAGTACTCTCGCGTGTGCAGACATATATAAACATAAAAACCATCGACAACGCCTTGTTTTCAGACCACCCAAAACGAGTTTCCAGTACAATCCCTCCTTACAGATCCTTGAACTGCCACTGTCCTTACGAAACACGTATAATAAAGCGTCAAGATGAGGGTTTCCGCCGTCATCCTTGCACTTGTTGCGGCTGCCTCTGCCCAGGATACCTACACTGCAACAGGTGTAGGATGTGAGCCTCACGACGACCATTGGTGAGATTTTCTTGGGCCAATATCGAACTGGACTGAAATCATATCAGGCACTGCCCAGCTGGTGTTGCCGAGCCTACAACAGCCCCTGCTGCTGCGAGTGTCGACACTGTCTCTGCCACTGCCAGCGGCGTGTGCGAGCCCCACGGTGACCACTGGTAAGATTTGTCGCAGACAGTCAAATGAATTCAAAACACTGACCTCTCAGGCACTGCCCATCAGGCGTAGCTGAGCCCACATTCGCTCCTTCAGCTATCGCTGCCACCACAGTTGCGTCGGGAAGCATCACATCCGTTCCTGCTGCGTCTGCATCTGCTTCTACGTCAGTATCTCACAGTCATGATGAAGATGATCACGACCACGATCATGAGCATTCCGCCACTGCTGCTACCTGCGAGCCTCACGGCGACCACTGGCACTGCCCATCTGGCGTCGCAGAGCCCACCACTGCTCCTGCTCAGACCGTCACTACTTCAAGGGCTACAACAACATTTGCTTCTGTCGCCTCAGGTTCCGCAAATGCGGCAGCCACGCAATTCGACGGCGCCGGATCTGCTGTCAGTGTGGGCCAGCAGGGCATCCTTGCCATTGTCCTGGGTGCTGTCGGTGCTTTCTTCTTGTAGGTCTGCAAGCGCTGAAGTATCACATATAGCACAGCTCTATGCACACTCAAGATCAACGACTTAACATGAAGGTTGCTACGGGAACCCAAAGGAAAGAATTTCTGCGTTCGATACCCTCTTCCAATTTGCTCTATAGAGCAAGATTCAATGTAATATACACTTGACATCTTGTATTCTGATGCGACTGTTTGATTGTTACATTTCTCACGAGCTGTTCGGTTTGAGAGTGGGAGGCGGGATGCAGATGATAGCCAAGCATCTTCACTCTTGGCGCGACCATCATGGTGCTCACGCAACCTTCTCATCTTGCTCACAGTATACCTGTGATCCCACCGTCAAGATATGAGTGTACTTTGTTTTCTGAATTTCTTGATTTGACCATGCTTTCCCTGCTCTACGAAGTAATGAGCTTCCCTGTCGTCCCAACATCCGTTGACGAGGTGTTCAACCGTTGATCAACCATCCGGAGAACGTCAATAGCTAGTAGGGATCTCTACGCCTGCTCGAAGATACCATGGCTCCATGTGTCGACCGTACGGCATGAGTTCGCTCGGAGTCCAAGTAATTGGTGTCTGCCGTGAGGAAGATCTGTGTCTCAGGATGAACTTGCGCAGCTGAGTCGACGACTGGGCCATATGGGCGGCCTCGATCAAAAGGTTCGGCATGTTGTCCTGGTTCGGCATGGTGCGGAATTTGTTACATCCACCAGCAGTTTCGATTAGAGGCCCGTCTTCGTCGTCTGAATCGTAGAGCTCGAAATTTTCGTCGTCGTCGGAGTAGTAGTAGTGCACTGATCCCTCCTCGTCTAGGTCTCTGATCCTAGTCAATAAGTCTTCGTCGGATAAGAAAAACCATTCTGCGTCTGACTTTGAAGATGCAAAGTCCAACTGAAAGTCCACAAGTGCAGGGAAAGCTGGGAAATCGCGAAAGAAGTGAGTACTGATGACGTGCGAGCCTGTGAGATGCAAGATCGTAAGTTGGTAGAGTAGCTAAGTGTCGCATCATTCTGATTGAACTTGCGTCGTCGCCTGATGCATTTGATGTCAGGTTCGTCGGTTCCCGCGCCTCGTCTTGACATTCATCGTGGACTGCTCTGAGCGCAAGAGTAGCCAGGTTGTGAAAGCTCGATGCAACAATGGCGTCCACAAGTCCTACGCAAGTCAGATGCCGTCTCTCGACTTAAACAAAGAACAGAGCAGGTGACTACTTTCTCGATGCTTCATGCGTTACGTCCTGGACTAAAATCATCACAAAAACCCACACTACATTCTTTCAGCCGTGGGAGCTTGTTTGTCACTGCAAACAGGTCTGCCTCGGAAACGTGCGGTATTAGATGCTGCCATTCAAGCTTTGTCACACAGCCCAACTGTGGGATTGGGGATGGTGCGTCGCGTCGGATCGCTTCCCAATCGGCCACTGTTGATGTTCTTGTGTAGAAGCAAAAGCTCGAGCACCGCTGTAGCGTGTCCGTTGCGTCCGCGCAAACGTAGCCTGGATGAGTTTGTTGAGCTGGATAGCTGGATGGGGTTTGATGCGGCGAAGGGGAGGCGGTACACTGTTGTTGTGCTGGGTTGAAACACAGACTGTGGGAATTGACACGGTGCGATGAAGCGTGTGGCTATTGTTCAAATAGAGGTACATATCACGTAACAGGAACAAGGAAGGTGGCAGACATAGACGTCCTCATTATGTGTACAATTCGTATGCATTACACTGAATTGTTATCCTGAGCAGTCTGTGCTTAGCGGAAGTTCAGCTCCAGATCATGCTCGAAAGCGCCGTCGCCCGTGTACTGGTCGAGACCAGAGATCTTGAGTACACCTCCATTGAACGACGTGGTAAGCGCAGAGTAATCGCAGTCGTTGCCGCCCGTTTTGAGCGATGCATGCGCTGGCTGCTCATGAAGGCCAGTAATGGTGATACCGCTTAGCGCCGGGGCAGTGTGGAAGTCACCCTCAGATGTAAAAGAGAGACAATTGTCACTGTATGAGAACTACGCGTTGTGTCAGTCATGCCACGTATTCAAGGGAGTGGAACTACTGACCTGAACTAGTCGAGTCGAGTTCGGGTGCAGACTCTCGCCATCATCGAGATATAGATCACCACTTGCTGCGCCCTTGCTGTCGAGAGCAACCAACAGGCTGTAAGGCGTCTTCCTTGTTTCCGCAGTGGTCAATTTGGGCTCCTGCAGCACAAGAACGGCCCCGCCCCTGACGTGCACATTTATGTGCTCAAGCGGTGCTTGCAGCGTGACATTCTCTCCGGGCTGAGCATCGACTTCGGCAAGTGTGTACCAGTCGTACCACCGTTCGCCGTCGCCAATACCCGGGAACACACCCTGAACAGTCTCGACATTCGGCACCAGCACCGGGGTGACGAGAATCGATGGGCCGAGCACGAACTGGTTGTACGTTTCCCGCAGGGACTCATCGTTGGGGAACTCCCAGGCAAGTGCGCGCATAACCGTCTCGCCCTTGGTGTGAGCGTGGTAGAACAGGGTGTACATGTATCCCAAAAGACTGTAGCGGACTGCCATAGCGCGGCGAGCAGACTCAGCGACCGAAGACCAGCGGTAGGCTTCCTGACCAATGGTGGCCTTGACGTTGTGATTGCGGTAGAATGGGAAGAAGGCACTGAGCTCCATCCAGCGGGAGCAGAGCTGGAAGTCGGTGTTGCGTGCGAATCCACACGTGTCGGCGCCGAACATGGGAATACCCGACATCATCATGGTGAAGGCTTGCGAGATTGAGAGGAACATGCTGCCCCAAGTGCTTGTGTTGTCACCTCCCCAGTGGCTAGTTGTCTTGCCACTGCCAGCGAAGACGCTTCTTCCGACTGTGAATGGTCTCCTGCCGGGGAACAACTCCAGGAGCGAGTAATAAGTTGCATTGGAGATCTGCAGTCCGAACAGATTGTGCATCTCGTACTCAGTTGTATTGTACTGATCGTTGTGTGTCGCATTGGGTGCGATAGAGCTCTTGCCGAGTGCATGTCCGGATTGGACATTGTTGATCACGTATGGTGGATAGTTGAGATTGCGTACTCCAGGTGTAGGCTCGGTACGGCCCTGAGTTGTAGTAGTCGCAACAGGGAGGATTGGAGACGCCGAAAGTGCTGACGACTGTGATGCCGATGCAGCTGCTGCAGAAGCAGCCTCGGTGGCGTTGGAGATGTTGAAGCCTTCTGGATAATTGAAGTCGAAAGTGAGTGGGTCGCCAGGCAGAAGGAAAGGCGGGTGTACAGGGTTGTCAGTCAGTCGACCATTTCCACAGGACCCTGCGCAGAAAGATGCAGCTTCACTTAGATCAATCCAGATTCCATCGAAGGGAGTGCCTTTGTGCCACTGGACGATCTCATTTGTCCACCAAGCCTGAGATGTAGGGAGAAGCCAATCAGCCCAGACCGAGAATCCAGGCCAATTGTTTCCATAGTAGTAGTCACCAGTCGTGGGGTCTCGAATATACGTCTGCAGTGATGAGCCTCTTTCAAAGGGTCCATATTCATCGCTAGCATTGTCGGGGTTGGAAACATAGATATTGCTGTCGATGATGGGCACGTAGTATTGACCGTTGGCATGAAGAGTTTCAATGAAGTTGGTGAACTCAGGCAGCGGATAGGTGACCTCATTGTTGGTGAAGTCGCGGTACAAGTCGTAAATGTCGAGATCATTCCACAAGCACTCAAGGGGAACTTGAGCTTCACGGTAACCATCGACGACACCTTGTACAACAGAGATATTCTCGTAGCCCCAACGGGCTTGATGGTAGCCGAACGTCCAATACATCTTGACACAATCAGCAATGCTTCGAGACTTTTACAGAGATTCCACTAACCTGCATCGCTGGCGTACCAATACAGCCAGTTTGGAATTGGGAGATAGTGGTCAAAGCACTTGACGATCCATCTTCTTTCTGACCACTGAGAAAGTAGAGATCGAAACTCCCACCCAAGGTGCGATAGGTGATCGTGTTTGTGCGCAACAGCCATTCCTGGCCATGGGCTAGAGAACCTTAGTTTTCGTGCAGTTAAAACATACTTATGTAACATACCATTGCGAGCATACATGCCGTGCGCGGTGGTTTCGGGGCCATTTTGCCCGTAGCGCGTCTCTTGATAGAAGGGAATCACACCGTAAACGTTACGGTCGACGGAATTACCGGCATCAACTGCATAGAAGGTCTGCGTGTGGTTCGTGCCTAGGCGGAAGTCATGTACGTTCTCTGCGAGACCATAGACATTGTAATCCTGTTGTGATTGTTAACTGTTGTTTCATCAACAAGAACACTGGCTACTTACGTCGATCATGTTAGTGACGAGTTCAATGAATTGGTCCTCATAAACGATGACATGGCCGTAGGTTGAGAAGATCTCTTCCCCGGAGCACGAGCGTGAGATCCTAAACTGAAAGCTAGGATCGTTTCTCCATTCGAAGGCGAGATCACTGCTGTTGGAACTTGTCTTGCCATCCCACTCTGGCTGATCAACTAAGTCCGGTGAGAGAATATATTGTGTCTTGTTCTCGGCTGCGATGTTCCTGGGATAGATTCGAACATTAAGACGTTCCTTTGCCTGGTACGAAACTTCGAGAGTCAGGTCCGCAATGTCGTTTCCGAAAGCCTGACAATTAGCTCCAGCGATGGTCAAGTCAGCAGTGAAGCCATGGTCGTTCTCGGCCACGTTAGACGCTTTGTAGCCTGGGCATGCTTGAGAGTCTGGCGCGCTGTCATCGTAGATGGTTGGCGTCAAACTCGGCAGAGCATTGATCTGAGGTGAAAGAGTCGGAATGACTCGCTCCGTTCCGGAAGGCGTGAGGCTTTGGGCTTGTTTGGCAATGTCAGGGTCCTGTTTGTGTGTTCACGGCAATACACATACCAATTGCGAATCCGGCAAGAGCGGCTGCCGCAACCGTGACGTTGACAAACCTCATCTTGGTAGTCAAGATGAATTGCTTAGTCTGATGCTTGGTATCTCTTGTACTCGACTACATGCTTGCTATTTAAGCTCCCATGCTCAAGCCGTGGTACCGTAGCAGGTTGCGGGGAACCACAAAAAGCTCGAAGATCGAGCATGTCTACGAAATTACGCGCTGTAGCTGCAGCTCTAGCGGATTCGAATCCGGAGACAGCAGCAGGGCCCCTGTCAGATTTTCAGGTACCATCGCAACGCGGTCCATACACAACGGTAGCCGGTGCTGGTAATTGCGGGGTTGACTAGTAGACTAGAGTACAAATAGAACTTTGACATCACCATTGAAGCACCGAGATTCCTACCGATGCTCGATGAACACATTGCGCAGGAGGGCGCCCGGGGCGTTGGACCGGAGCCTGCTGCGGATGGTCGTTGATTGCAAACGGCGTTAAATCCGGTTTCCGGAATGAACGTTGTTGAATCTAGCTGCAGTGGTGGACGCTGCGAAAGAGGGGAATATCTTACTCATCGCATTTTCACGTACAAAAATCTTGTTTAGGCCATGCAATGAAAGTCAGCAGATCTTGAGATGAGGATGTGGATGTGAGGAACATCGCGTGGCAGCAACTACCTACTTAGACAAGGAGGGCAAAAACGCGCTAAGGTCGCGCTAGCGTGGTGCTGCTGTCCGCTGGTCACTCCCATATGTGATTAGTGACTTGACATCTTAGATCCTACATTGGATAGCCCATTTCAACAGTATGTGCGCAAACCTTTATTCCTGCAGAAATCCTGGGACTCAAGCATCGAGACCAAGCGTCGATGAGAATCCTGTTCTAGCTGTTACTAGCAGAGCAAGGTAATCTCAAATATCGATTCACAGAACCGGCGACGAGTAATAGATCGTTAGGTCACAGCTCCAACAAAAACTTTGCCTTTTGTGGAGTTTGAATTGTGTAGCGTGAATTGTGTAGCGAGCATCGAACATGATTCCTCATATCTCGGCCAGGTTTCCACTATATGTTCACTGATGGATTGTAACTACACTGTAGTGGATCGCTCAAGCAGTGTTCTATGCAGTGTCATGCCGTTATCCCCAGCAATTTGTGACATTCCTTCGTACGTGCGCAACCTTGTGTGGGTGCCTTTTCTGTCAAGGCTGTCACAAGTATCGCTCATTGATGCGACCAGTTGAAAGCTTGAGTGCTCAATCATGCTTATACCTATTTCGAGGTACTCATTAAGAGGCCTTCGAGACTCGATTGCGGTAGGTTTCTAACAATCACTTCATTAGCATCCAGAACTGGAAGAATCATTTCTAACTCATGTCGAGGGTTCCAGCAACGATGCATGTCGCATTCCTTATACCCACGAGCACAGTCGAAAATTTTGTAACGGGAAACCAGAATGTCGCCTCGGTGGACTCGATGGTAGTGTGACGATTAAGTCGGCATTTCGATATTCAGGCATCTTATAGGTGCGTAAGTCTAAGACAGATTCAACGATAGCAGTTTCGCCCAAGCCGATGGCTGTAGAGACTGACGATATGGAATTTGCTCTGAGTAAAATTGAGGTGTTCTTGAGACAATGATTAGGTAGATTGTAGACGATAATATGAAGTGAGAGCTGTTAAGACGGAAAGCTGGTACCAGAGGCGTTTGTGTCTGACCCTGTGGCTGTCTGCAGTGTATTGTAGGGTGCTATGTGACTGCAATAGCGAGTCCATATAATATACTTGTCAATTGTACTATAGTATTTCACGCTGGCACAAAAGTCAGATGTGATAATCGACCCTTGAACACGTGACTGAACACCATTTTTCGAAGGAGGAACTTGGTATACAGGAAGGTTTGCAAGAGTCGGGGCTACGGTGGTTACAAGATCGTACTTGATACTAGAGCTTTCGTTGGCGCCCCGACTGGTGTAAGAAACATGCCTCCCCCTGACATCTCCAATCCATAGTAGGATCTAGAAGCTGTAAAGCTCCACTCGTCTCTTCTGCAATGTGAGAACATTCTAGGGAACTTCGACAGGGAAGAAAGAAGCACATCTCGAGATCGACACCCGAAAGTCCATACGTTTCATATCTCTCCCTATTCGTCTGTGCAGCTAATTTCGAATGGTGTACCAAATTGAATGTATGTTCTGATCAAAATCGGCACACTAGATGTAGGCTCCGTTCCATCTGTCGGGTGCATCAAGGGAATACTATCACACAGGGCCGTTCATTACAGCATTGTTCAGATTCTGCGATTGCTAATAGTATCTCTTGCTCCAACAATGATCTCGCTGCCAACGCGACTCCGACACGAAGAGCGTTTGCGGTGAATTCGATATTTACGTGGTTTTTCATACCTAGATCTGTGTACACATATACAATACACTGGATGTTCAACAATGGACATCAAGATCCATACCACTGATTGGCTTCAAGAAATACTAGGCAATAGGTAGACAGATCGTAGACATTAGATGTGTAACTTGTGAACATGTGAAAGTTGCTTCCTGTGGATCCGCCAAGACATGAGGTCATCGTGACGAACTGAGTACCGAATCCGCTTTTCATAGAAGAGAACCGAGACGGATAAGATGGACAGTGCAGTACGAGACATTATCAAAGTGAAATGATTGTGAAGGACAGTTGATGGACTGATTGTATTCAAATTAAGCTTAATCGTCACAAGCTGCGGCAAGGTAGATGACGGTAAGCTGTCCAGCATCAACAGCGTTCTCGAACAGGAAACTCCATCAATATAATTTGTACGTACAATGTAGGTACATACTACCTGTTTTAAGCTCACAGAATTTCCGAGCCGCCTCTGTGACCTTCTCATGACGAGCTCGTTCGATGCAAGGGTTTAAGCGAGACTGACGTCATTGGCGGCGAGCTCCCCATAACATACAGCTGAGCTCCGTCTCATACCACATCACAACATCGAGCTTCCCTCAGACTCAATTGCACCACTACAGTACCTTTTTTATCACCCCTAATCTCTTACCATATCAACAATCACAATGGGTTGGTTCAGCAGTGACGAGAAGAGTGTCCTTCAGACACACCCGGTCAACCCCGACGTCACCACATCGGCTCGCTCCGGTGCTGAGCAAGACCGCTACGGCGAGCACTTCTCCCAAATCGGTCACCAGGCTGGAGAGAAGATCCGCGAGGGCATCCACGAGATTAACGCCCACGCCCGGGGTAGCGGCGCCGAACAGGATCGCTACGCTCAGCACCTGAGCGTTGGCGAGTCAGGGTACAACGCGGTCAAGAATGAAGCACAGTACGGATATAACAAAGCAAAGGAAGAGGCACAGTATGGATACAACAAGGCAAAGCAAGAGGCACAGTCGGGTTATGATCAGGCAAAATCATATGCCAACAAGGCCCTGCATGCGTCCGGCAGCGGAGCTGAGCAGGATCGCTACGGCGCTCACTTTGGCGGGCAGCTTTTCGATCCCGTTAGGGCAGCTGCTTTGAGCATCATTAGCTCAGGAGGCAACACAAGCAAGGCCGACTACCATTGGTTGGGTCACGACGGTCGTGAGCGGGCCAAGTTCCTGGCTGCGCAGAAGGGCACAACGGGATCTGAACAGGTACGTCAAACATGACTTTCTCAGGTCGCTACAATCTAACTCCTCACAGGACAGATACGGAGCGCACTTCACAGGCTTTGGACAGGCAGCTGCTCAGTCGATCAAGGATGCGTGGAACAACGCCAAGAAATAGTCGACGAATGAATGTGGAAGATATCACTTGGCCAGAAGATTGAAACGATTACGACTATGTATACAATACAAATATTTAATCACAGCACAATGGTTGTTCCCACTTGCACATTACGAAGTTGATTCTTAAACTCATGGCTGACTGAGACAACAGGAGTGACCTTTGCATCCAACCCAGCCGGCACCCGAAGTTCATGACCAATACTTCCATGCCATGAATGAGAAAGGTCCCCTGTCCCTCTGGGCTGCCGTAGTAACGCTAAAAAGAATCTTCCATCGTCTAAGCCTCAACATCAGAGTTTACCACAGAGCCTTCTGCGGCTGGTGGTACATAGACTGAAGCAGTGAGAGTCAGCAACTCACTTTTGCCCTCGATCGTGTTACTGCCTTGCGCTTCCTTCTCGAGATCAAGGCGCAGAGAAGCAGGCTCTGTTTTGTAGTCGCCAATGTCGATCAATGAACAGGTAGAGTCCTCGGAACTGGATTTGTAGTGCCCTTGGGGACCACGTCCACATCTCGCAGCAAAACGTGCATGCTTTCCGCCCAGGGCCTGGGTCGACTGTGAGTTTGTTGCAGAAGAGGTGTAAGCAAAGTCGATGACGTTGATTCCGTGTTCGTGGAGTGCTATGTCTCTGTCAGGCGAAGTTGGGCTAGCATTCCCCTTGATCTGTGTCGCTTTGGGAGCATCTTCATCTGTCACGACCAGACGCTGATGTGCAGTCTCTCGCTTCGGGGTCCAGTCGCCAGTGTAAACAGTTGGACGGAGTACTGTGTCATCTGAACGGGAAGTCTCCTCTATCACTGAAGACGAGGACGACCTGTTGGAGGTTAGATCAATCATTGATTCTGAGATGACAGCAATAATGTGTGTTATAGGAATAAAGCACGATTCTCGGCGACTCACTTCTGGTTGGGCAACGACAATTGAGCAGGTACAAATGTTGACAAGGTTATCCTGCTTCTCTGATGACCTCGACCCCGCTTGGCTGCGAAGCCAGGTTGCCAATGTTCCTGGTCCGAAGAGGGTTCAAGCTCACGTCGCAGCTGGGCCGCCATTGTCTTGTCAGATGTTGGGCTGTATTTTGTTCCGTCCTTCATCTGATGATGATAAGTATCAAGAGATTTTTTGAGTGCAGTAGCATCGGCGATGGCATCGGACTTCGCTTCATCGCTGGAAGGTGTTGGAGCAGCTGCAGTATCATTGTGAGTTGATACCTGATCAGTATCAGACTCCGAGCGTTCCTCGTGTCGCACACGGATTGGCATTTTAGGAATGGTGGTTGTGTTGAGGTCTTGCGATGGTAAACGCTCGAGCCGACGGCGGACGCGATAGCGTATTGGTGAGTTGGAACCCGTCTGAGAATTTAAATTGGCCATTCCCGGGGCCCTTTGCGGGTAGAAAGGTTAAGGTGTAGTAATGTAGAAGGAGTAGATCTTGCTGATAGAACTAGACTGCGAGGGAAGATAGTGAAAGCGTCCATCTGAAGAGGAAGGCTCAACAAATTCTCGAGCATTGTGGACCGCCTTCACTAACTACCTCATGGCTAGTGTGAAGGCATCTCCGAGGAAAATAAATCTTCTGCACGCAACCTCTACCCACACTAAAACCATCATCAACTTCGACAACTTGATTGTCGACTTGTGACGATGTCTTTCAGGAGCCGTGCGCCTGTGACTTTGGCTGTTAAGCCGACACGTCAGCTTCACCGAATGCGCTCGGAAAGCTGTCTGGAGACCATACCTGAACGAACAGTGCCTCGCCCGCGTTCGTTGGGACAGCTATCTCTACCGCCAAATGAGCCTCTCCCTCCGTTGCCTGAACGCTCGCCACTTCAACTTCTCAAAGCACCTGACACTGTTCAATCGCAGTCTTCTTATGCTCACACGGTTGAAGAGCACCCCCGCCTCCCTGCGTCCAACAGCAGTGTCGACTCCGGTTCTGTGTACAGTGAAGATGAAGGGGCAGAGTATGGACGCTCTCCAGGTCGTAATACGTTACTCATGGAAGATATCGAGCTCACCCTGGGTCGCAGCATCAAGCGGACACCCAATCTCGATGATCTGAGTCAGCTGCTAGGCTTCAGAGGTCGTCTGCAAGAGCTGGGTGCCACCTTCAGCCCAGAAGGCCAAATGCTCACCTACGGTAACCCATCTAAGGATGCTGAGCTGGATGAGATGCTTCGTATTGGACCGCTTTACGATGAGCAATGGAACACACACTTCCATGGCAACAGCAACGCTCCAGAAGCAGACAGCAGCCTCGAGCCAGAATTGCGAGTATTTGAAAAAATGCTCCAGAACGAGGGCGTTGCCTTCGACGACCAACACAAGCGTATCGACTACGGTAGCTCTCGCCCAAAGCTGATCTACCTGAGTTTCAAATACGACACAATGTGGAAAGACTGGCAAGACAAGATGACGCAGAGCATGGATCCTGCTCTCCGACCCCTTGGGTATGTATCACTGCCGACAGACCTGGGATGGAACTTCCTCATTGACGGCAACAGTACCGATAGTCTCATCCGCAAAGTGAACGCCCGTTCAAGCCTACCCGCGCACGCCGTTGAGAAGCAGCCAGGCCAACCGGATGGACTGGGCCGCGCGGTTTCAGAGACCATCAGTACGCTACCAGGTTCGCCGCTCCGCGAGGTCGACTCTCATCTGAGTGCACCCACTGAAGTCGTCGAGAAGCAGCCGAAGCTGCGCGACAGCCCAGGTCACACGGTTTCAGAAACCATCGGCACTTGTCCTTCGCCGGTCATTGAGTGCCAGGCCTTACTCAGCGCACAGGAAGTACCACACCCACAAGCCACTGGTTCAGTACGTTCTGCCCATCCTCACGGCCTTGCTACAAGCTCGCCTCCACTGCGACATGGTTCGAGTCCTTTGCACGTGGCGAATACGGCAAGCACGATCATGACCGACGATGAGCTCGAAGCGCTTCGCGATGGCATGTCGAATTCGGCGGAGGCAATGCTGACCGGACGCGGTCGTCAACATGAACACGCAGGTGTGTTGGCGGCGCTGGTGGACGATGAGCGACGGCGTGCTGAGATACGTGAGCGTGCCGACCAGCAGCAGCGCGAGGAGGCACTGGCCGCGAGTGGCGACAAGAAGAAGGGCAAAGGACCGTGGAGCCGGCTCAAGGCTATGATTCGGATGAAGAAGATTAAGGCGCTCTGATTTCGGTATCACAGATGGACATGTGACGCTGAACGCACAATGCATGCGACGGGACTACACGGAAATTGATGGGATGACACGGTCGAAATATGGTTGATGCACTATGTAGCTGAAACGCCAATCACAAGAGCACTGATCATTTTCACTTTGAAAGAATAGCATGTTGCGGTGAAACGTCATTAATCTTGAATGAGTATGCAATGTGTCTCTAAATATGTACAATGAAGACTACAATAGTAATGTAGTGCTGAACGCCGATTCGCTAATGCAAAAGCCCAGTTATTCGTGATGGCCCTAATACACGACTTAGGCGCCAATAGCCTGAGGGTTCCAGAACACGTTGTTGGGATCGACTTTCTTCTTCAGCGTCAACAGCCTGGCGTACAGATCATCGCCATAGTACACCTTGTGCGCTGTCGCAGCATCGTAGCTGGGGTCGACGTAGTTCAAGTACGCGCCGAAGTTGGTCTGGGGCTGCGCCTTGATGATGGCATCGTTGAGGCCGTTGATGAAGTTTGTCGACGAGGTGCTGTATCCATAGTTCTGGAAGACCCACAGGCTGTCACGGTCGTTGTACGCGGCAAAGTTGGTGTCCTTGGAATTAATAGCGGAGCCAGGGCCACCGTACAGGTTGACGATGGTGTAGTACTCGGTCGTGGCACCCTTGATATAGTCGAACCAGGCGTTCAGGCCGTTGGTGGTGAGGCCGGTGGACTCTGGGACGGTGATGGACTTGGCGAAGAAGTTCTCGTGCTCGTCGTAGCCAGACAGGGGCTCCTTGATCTGAGTCTTACCGGAAACAAGGACGAGGTAGTCGTACCAGCTGTAGGCCTTGACGGTGGCAGTGCCGGATGCGGGCATAGTGCGAAGAAGCTCGGGCTTGACCTTGGTGTTGAACTCATCAACGGTACCGAAGTAAGCACCGCTTAAGCTGAACGTGCCGTAGTTGTCCATGTAAACTCCGAACGAGATCTTGTTGTCGATGACCGAGGCGTTCTTAGCAAAGCTCTGGAGGTGGAGCCAGGCGTTGGTGAACGTGGTCTTCGAAGTGTACATGTTGCTGAATGGGAACGCAAAGTAAGTGATGCTTGAGGGCGCAGCCTGAGTCTGGAGGTAGAAATTGGTGACTATGCCGATAGAGTCGGCCGCGCCACGAATACCCCAGTACACATCGGAGTTCTCAGTTGCAGACGCCTTGATGAGCGATCCGTCGGCAAGAACGACATCAGCAGCCACAATCTGGTCCATAGCAAGACCCCAGTGACGAGAAGTGTGACCGTAACCGCCGTGAGTGAAGTGACCACCAATTCCGACGCCAGGGCAAGTTCCGTGAGAGAGTGCCTTCTGTCCTTGGGTGTAGATGCCGTCAGCAAGGTTGCCAAGACGGGTACCGCCGCCGACCTTCGTGATGCCAGTGCTTGTGTCGAGTTCAACCTTCTGGAAAGGCTGGAGGCTGATCATCATTGATCCATCCTTGCCACCAGAGCTGAAACTAGCGTAAGAGTGACCGCCAGACTTGGCCTGAACCTTGATGCCACTTTGAGCGGCGCAAACAACGGCGTCTTGGACATTTTGCTGCGTCTGAGGAAGCACAACGACAGCTGGCTTGTAGCCGAGAGCCAAGTTGTAGGGCTCGACAAGCTCGGTGTACTCGCTGTCTGAGGTCATCTTGTAGGGAACATTCTTGCCGTTCAAGCATTGGAGAACGCCGCCGGTTGCCGATGGTGTCGCTGAAGCAGACACTGTGCTGCTTGGCTTTGCCGAGCTTGTACCTGATGGGTTGTTACTACCGCAGTTTCCATAGCCGGATTGGCAAGTCGATCCGCAATAATCCGAGGTTGAACCACACCAACCGCTACCGCTACAGCAGTTCCCGAAAGCGCTGCCCAAGCATGTAGCGCCGCCGTTGGTGGATCCACAAGTCGCATCGGTGGAGACCTTCTTGGTGGGTGTTGAGGATGGTGCTGTAGACGTACGTGTTGATGTTGCTGGCTTGGTTGACGACTTGGGGGGTGTAGAAGTGCTGCCGGCACAGGTTCCAAACGCGCTGTTGCAACCAGCTTTGCAGTGGGCATCTGACGACCCACACCAGCCATACTGGCTACAGCAGTCTCCATAAGTGCTTCCTTGACAGGTGTATTTGCTCGTTCCACCGCAAGATCCGTCAGTCGAAACCGCAGCGCTGGCCAAGCTCGCGGAGAGCAGGCCCGCTGTTAGGGAGTAGAGGAACTTCATAGTAGCAACCTGAACGAATGGTGGATGCTGCGAAGATCTAGAGTCGCTCAAACGAAAGACAGCGACAGCGAGTGTGCTTCCTTAATAGGCGGACAGGATCGACGTTTAAGTATTGCAAGCTTTCACAGCTCGTACCTGCATGACCTCCTTCTAAACATAACTCGCCACTTGCGCATGCACCTAATATCGCTTTTTCATCTCACGTCCTTGTGTCGATCGCACGTCCGGCTGCCAGTTCGGTCGTAATACGAGCTTACGGCATCCGCAACCCCACAGGTACGCACGAGTCACGCACGAGGATTTGGGAGCGCTGACAGCTCGTGTGCTACAAAGACGCCACTTCGATACCATGGTGCAGGTCAATGTTGCATTTGAGCGGTGTATCCAATGCCGTAGTTCAGGCGCTGTCAGTTGGGTGCGCTATCGATAGCGTGTCCGATGCTCCGAGCTGATGACGAGGGTCCTCGCTTCACTCGCTTTTCTCCGGGACGACCAACGCTTGGGCTCCGGGATGGCTCTGCGTTCAGGCCAGCACCATGACTTGACGAAATTGCTCGTATCTGGTTCCGACGCAAGCTGGTACTGGGCAGCGTGACATCCATACAACATCTTGGCTTACTGTAATAAGGGGCTCAAGCTTTGCTAGGCATGCAACGAGCGCACCACGAGCACTGCCAGTACCGCTGATCAATGCGCTCTTCAGAACAAACCTTGACATCGCCTTTCACCGGACCGAGTGGACATTTGTGGGGATGGTTGGCCCTACATGTGTGGATGAACATTGCTGCCCTCACGCGTGCGATCCCGGCGAATAGGAGAAGGTCAACGTGCTATTTTCGGAAAGCGGGACAAAGAACGACGTCAGCGTCTGATTCGTACACGAGCAAGCCACAGCAATGTCTCGACACAGCACGTGTGCTCAAGTACGATGCTTCGACATGGTGTCACCTCGCACAAACACATTTCATTCGTAGGCATTGCGAGTGACGATAATTGAACGTTTTCACCAAGTCTCGCAGAGTACTGATTCGGATGTGTCTTATTGATCAATGCTCCCATTATTATGTACTGGAGAGCTGTCAATATCTCTGATTATTCGCCTGCATTTGTTGCAAGCTTTCAATAAACGCCGCCCATGTAAGCGAACCGGCCAGTCCTGCTTCAAACAATTATGGGTGCATGAAGCCGTCTCCCTTCATGTGGCAGTTGGTCTTCAGACCAAAAGTGTTCTCGAAGGTCTGCACCTTCTTAACAGCAACGGCCTGAGAGACGTGCACACGGCGAGGCTTGAGCTCAGTGGTGGCTTCGAAGCTACTGCGCTTCTGACCGTAGTTCCCGCCAGCCACGCACTTGCCACCCTGACCCCACCGAGCGTCAGCAGCTGCTGTCCAGATTGCTGTCATGTCGACGGTCATCTCAGGAGTGTAAAAGAGACGGCAGTCGGCTTCCTCGTATACGAACTGCAGGGCGATACCTGCAGTATCGTTCAGAGGCAGGCCATCGCGCACGTTGACACCAGGTGATACGCCACCAGCTGCTCGGTAGAATGGCAGATCGTTCTGGTACTCGACGAGGATTGAGTCATTGACTGCAGGGTTCCATCGGATAGCGCTCAGTGCAGCCTGCTGAATGTACCCAAACTGGTAGTTGTTTACACCCTTGACACCACCAATAGCCTGAATCGCATCCTTGTTGCTGCGACCTCCCATAGCGATTGTCTTGACACCCGCCTGCTTGGTCAGGAACTCGGTGAAAATGGTGCAGGTTGAGGCACAGTATCCATCCGTGACGATGACAATGTTCTCCGGCTTGAACCTGGGGGGTCCCGTGATGTTAGCAAGAGGCCCGTATCCGGTGATGTTGATACCCCCAGAGCTGGCGCTGGTGTAGACATCGGAGAGGTTCCAACGTGAGAGGGTGGTGTACTGGTCTAAACTTGTTAGCATGGGGTCGATTGGGTCACGAAGATTATGCACTCACCTCCGTTGACCTCATTTGGTCCGAATTTCTCAGCCCATGAGGTGAACGGCTCTCCATCGACAGTCATATCCTGGTGGTAATCGAAGTAAGAAGACTGCGCCGACATAAGAGAGCTGTTCGATCCGCGGGGAGCCAGGGAGGCGCGCTTGCTGTACGACTGGCCGATCAAATCTGCCGCTTCGGTGGCGCGGTAGCGGTTGGCGCCGTAAGGGTCAAGATCGGGGAACAACTGCTTGAACAAGTCGTATCCTTGCAGGATAGTTCCACCTCCGTTGGCTTGAAGATCGAGGATGAGCTTGGTCTTGCCATCGGCGAGCGCCTTCGGAATGAACTCCTGCGAGGTCTTCTGGAAAGCAACTTGAGCGACAGAGGTACCAACGAAGTTGGGGACAGATAGCACTGCGACATCCTCGTATCCTGGGGCGTCGATGTAGAAACCATTGATGAGGTTAAGAGGACCGATGGTCGCGGGATCGGGGTACCCGGGTCCTGTAGCACCAGAAGCGGTCGTCGAAACAGCCTCGGGTTCTTGCGAGGCGACCTGAGCGGATACGGCACTGCCGTAGTTGAACCACTCCTTTGCGAGGTCTTCTCCGGTGTTGATGCGGCGGAAATTGTACCTCACACGCGCAAAGTTCGCAATAGTGCGCTCGGTACCGTTGGCAAAGGTAAACGCAGTTGTTGCTCCCGGGAAAACATATCGACCACGGCCACCACCTGTGAACATACCAGTTCCGCTGCCAGACTCACCCAGGCCCACCTGTGCAAGTTCGTAGAAGACGTTGTTGTATAATGCATCACGGTCCTGAAGCGATCCAAACTGGCTCAGGTTCTCCAAGAACTCTGCTGTCTCCATGCCATCGATCTTAACAACAGCCGACGGGGTGTAAGATATATTCTTGTACTGGAGACCGAGAACGTCCTCGAATGCGAAGACTGCAGGCAGTTGCTCACCGTCCTCGGATACAGAAACAAGTGGTACGTTGCGACCCCATGTGAAAATACCACCAACCGACTCTGGTACGTAGGTGAAGTGGCCATCATGCGCACTCTGGATCAAGGTGTAGAGTGCCCACCCGAACGCGTACTCATTGGCGAACTTGCCAGAGTCGACATCGCTGACGATCTTATCGAGACCGCCCATGATGTCGACTGCAGGCTGCACCTTCTCAACATACTCTGCAGGTGGGTCCTTCAGGACGGTGAGCGTGCTCTGCATAACAATGTATGGCTTCAGGGACTCGATGAGGAGCTTAGCGGAAGTGGCATTGAGAGGGACGCTGTTGATGCAATCCCATGCCATGCCAGCAGGCACAAGCTGGCTGATAACTGTTGTACCACTTCCGTACAAAGCCTGTGAGACCTGTGCACATGCGGGACTCGACGAGTTGTCAGCTTGTCGAGTGTGGATGTGCGGTTGAGCCTGGGGAAGCGAGCGTGGTTGGGCAGGAGCCACTGGTGTTGACTGAACGAGCGAGGTGAGGCCCGCCAGGGCGAGAAGAGCGAAGGTCTGCATGACGTTGGTTGACGAACGATGTCAGATCGAGCCGCCGGATGGAATGAATAGCGGATCAAAGATCCTAACGATGGTGGCGGTCTCAGCTGGAATTGAACGAGTGGTTCCAGTCAAAGATGGAGAAGAGGGGTGTCGAAGAGAGGTTCGTTCCGTGCCGACGTCTTTAAGGTCGAGCAGGAAGGTGCAAACGCGGGATCACGTGATGGGTGTCGACAGCCACGTGCTGCTTTCGATCCAACAATTCCAACTCTTTTCACCTAGTCCGGCAAATTTACTCGAAACCGTGACGGTGACAGTGAACTCGGCTTCCAGGTACAAAAATATGGAGCGAGGTAGTGAGTAGTCCTTCGCGTACGACGGGCACGAAGGCTCTTATTATCTAAACAATAGACACTAAGAATTACGGGACCGGATGGATTAACGGGCGTGACGCAACGAGAGACCGTCGAGTACAAATACTGGCACCATCAGGCCAGGTACTTGCGCACCGCTTCGACATTCCCCGTTCTTTGGGTGACGGTGCTTGCCCTAGGCCCGTCAGACCAGGCACAAACGTGCACTCGAGGCGGTGAAACCAATCATGACTATACCTCACCCGCACCGAAGCACCAAAGTGGGACGCACCAGCCCCAGAAAGTGGCAGTTTAGGTGCCGTGGTGAAGCCGTACCGGTACGCTTTCGTCTGGACATCAGTCTTATGCAGGTGGAAAACTCAACAACGACCAACAGGAAGACCGCGGGCAGCCACATTGGCGAGAAGCCGCGAGCTTGCAACATAACCGTGAGCGTTTGCCCTGTGGCAGGCTAGGAGCGCACGGCAATCCTGGAGCGTCGCTCAGCTGCATCGATGTTAGCTGTGCGGGTCTGTCGGGTGGTCAGAAACACTCGAAAAGGAAGAGGCGAGTGCATGCCAAGAACTGGTTGGTTTCACTAGAAGCTTGCTCGCAGATCCTCCCTGCCACCCAGCCTTCCGCTCCACACTCCGCCAAAAGCCATGCACGACGCTTAATCGTGGCTCAACAGCCGCTTGCAGTCTGACGTGCCATCATTAGCTCATGTTTGCGCATGCTTCATCTGGACTTGAACATTCAGCTGCAGAGAGGCAAGCCGTACAACAAGTCCGTGTTTCTCTCTTCTTCATGCGCAATCAGAGGACCCGTATTTAGGACCCCAAATGTGATTGCGATGTTCTCTGACATGCACAACGATCATCGTCACTGGACGTTTCCCGACCTCGTCATCCCCGACATCTGCCCGCGCGAGGCTGATAACACGAGTCGTGACCAAACTATGAGGCCGACTTCCGCTTGAGTGGCTGGGCCCCACTCTGTGTCTTCAGCATGGCAGACAACGCCGTGACATCACGCTCCCTTACTGTGACAACGAGGTCAACGAGGAGTACAACGAGAACACCGCTTGTGAGGTTGGGTTCTCGAGATCTCTTGCCGCTCGTGCGACGGCAACATCAGCAACTTTACGCGTGTTTTAGCCTCGCACGAGTTTGTGCTACACCAGCTTGCCGCAGGGTCTACTGTTAGCGCGAGCACTGCAGGACTCAAGACTCGATGACGACGGTCGAGAACTTCAACAGGAAGGCGCGAGCAACGGCAAGGTTGCTCAGTTTTCTGATAACGTCCCTTATGCGAGCAAAGTCCTTGAAGAAGCTGTCAACAGTGATCGTCAAGCACCCGGTTGCACGCGCATATTTACCCGCTTGGAGCACGAATCACATCGCCAGACACCCGCTTATCACAGTGACATGTTCTGTCTCCCAGACCACCATGGCATCTTGGTCATCCCCAGCACTGAATTTGTCTGCTGAGCATTCCCGTGAGACACCTGCACTGTTTGGAATACTGCATCACACGGAACAAGGCAGAAGCTCACCCAATCGAACACATACATTACATCCACAATGGAGTGAGAGACAGCCTTTCCAGATGAAGGCTGTCTCGATCAAGCATCAAATCTGCGGAAACGGTCTCTCAAAGCAGACCAAACCCACTTCCCCTATCCTATTCTGTTCCCGCCCGGTAATAATGCTGTGAAGTCTGGGATCAGCCTGTCACAACAGCGCCGAAGATCGTAATGCGAATTGACGTATCACAGAATATTGCTACTGTCACAGCACCAGTGCGCACCGTTGCGTTCGAAACGTTTGATCACAAGCACAACAACGGGTCGGGACGGATGGCCACTCCTTCCAGTCGCTCAGCCCACACGCGAGGAGGTCTTTACACTTTCCAGTCACAGCGCTGCGTTGCAAGCACACTGCATACTCAGCCAGACCATTATCTCACAACAAGATACTGGATGGAACGCATAAGGCTTCACGTCAAGTACACGCATGTTGTCCAATTCAGCCCATCCAAATTGTCTTAAACAGTCTAGGGCACAATCTCCAGTTTAGGATCTTTCTCTTCTCATTATTGTAAAAGCCCTTGACTAACATAATTCTCTCCTTGTGCATGCCTATGTTTACGGTAGTAAAAGGCAGGATAGGGTCTAGGTGTCTGAGCCAGGCAAGCCTCAAAAAGGTATCACAACTCACACGACAGTGAGTCCTCGCCGGTACAGTATATATTGCCCTTCCATCCCGAGTCACATGAGATGGGGACCTGACATTGAAAAAGAATGACAATAAGTACGATTTTGGCTGAGGACTCGCTATCAACGTGAGTTGTGATACCTTTTGGTGAGGGACCACGAATTATTGCACCCTGTTGGGGTCTAGCTGTTGCTTACTAAGTGTACACTAAGCTAGTCATGTGACAGCGCGCTAGCGTTGGTGCCTGCTGGACTCCCAGCCACTCTCGAACGCCGTCCTCACCAACACCACGCGACACCTCCATCACCTTTTTTCTACTCGCATGACGACGGCCCTTTACGAAACTCACAGCGCCAGCTGCGGAATCTGTGCCCCTATTACGCGCTCCCTACACGCCTCTGTCCGTCATCCTTGCGAATCTCACAAGGCCTCTGCCGTGCAGTGCACTCAACAGCTCTGTTCGCACGGTTGTTGGTCCACGGCGTCAGGGGGGCGGTTCACGGGCGGGTGGCAGTCGCGTATTACGGTTACAGAGGACGTGGGTGTTACTGCTCAGTCCGAGTCAAGGCTGCTCCAAAGCCTGGGTGGGCGGGTTTTCCGCGCGCTGCTGCAAGCGCCATTGCAAGCGATTGTGCGGCAAGGGGACTTTGTAAGTAGACTATTTTTGTGGAGCTAATAGCGGAATGAATGAAAGTAGAATGAATGCATTGAACGTTGCCGCGCATGGCTTCCCTGTGTTGGCCTATATCACATCTGAGCCACTCTCACTGCCATTCACGCTGCGTATTCAGCACTCTAGCGCGCGGAAGCAGGTGACGCTGATGCTCAGGACGCCCGCTGCGTACTTGTACGGCGCTGATGACGAAGCGGCGTTCGTCGCGCAGTATGATGCCGACAATCTGTTACCAGGAACCCGACATCATGCTGCGACTGCCCACATCCCCAATACGCGTCGCCTTGGAGTTGCACGCAATAACAACGACTGCGAGCTAACGAGGCTTACATTGTGCCTAAAAAAGCCGTGCCCGCTCTGGTGTCCCCTCATGGAAGCATTAACGCCTGCTCCCTCCGAAGACGCAGTCAAGTCCTTCAATGAGCTCGTCGAGTTGGCCAAGGCAACAACAATCCGTATTTACTTCGACCAAGACTGGCTGAGTCCAGAGCAACAGGCACCCCTGTCGTGGCTCCTCAAGGGGAAGAACACATACACTGGCTTTCCAGTCGGCAGGTACTACAGCAAACACTCCAGACGCGCAGACTGGACTGTTTTTCAACCTCTAGCCGAGGCGTTCACGCCGAAGAGGAGAGGTACGTCTAATGTCGACGATATAATGAGGCACTCGCTGACATGCACAGTCTCAGACTTGCCCTCCACGCCGCCGCCATACAAACGTAGAACTACAGACAGGCAGTCGGAGCCTGACGCCATTCTCGACGATGTTGCAAACAAAGCACAGTCGCCCACCGAAATCGCCACCCTCGCCTGCAAACAGCGCAAGTCCAGATCCAGGCCAGGGCGAAAAAGAAACCGACTTCCAGACCAGAGCCATCAGCGCCGTCGTGCAACGGCACCTCCCTGCCTTGGTGGACAGACTCGTGCAACCCGCGATGGACGAGCACCTTACCGCGCGCCTCCCGACGCTCTTCGCACTCCCTCCTACCTTCTCGCCCTCGCTCTCCGACTCTGACGGATCGCAGTCACCTCAAGACCCCTCTGCGTCTGCGGCCGCACTTCCTGTACATAGATACAACTCGACTCCACTTGGCGCTCGACCCCCGCACAACCTCACACCCCTTGGCTTATCCCTGCTCCCTCACCTTCTTGCGCACCTCTCCCCGCAACTTGAAAAGCTGCTCGCCTCCGCACTCCACGGCTCCCTCACCTACCAAGCGAATGCCGCCTCTACAGAACTATCCGAAACCGCTGATGACTACTTATGCGAGCTGAGGCAAGTCTGCGATGACGGCGTGGAGGAGCTGCAGAAGCAGGCGGCGTACGTACTTGACGACGTGAGGGAGAAGGGAGGAGATGCTGAGGACGAGCTTGTTGCGGATGCGAGTGACAGGCTGTGGGCGGAGGGCGATAGGGTGGTCGAGAGTGCTGGAGAGAGGGTCAGGGAGCGGGGCGAGAAGGTGCTGACAAACGTGATGCAAAGGCTAGAAGGGAGACTGAAGCGGGCGAGCGAGTCTGCGTGTGCATGCCAGTGCGTGTGTGGTGCCAACGATGCAGAGGTAAGGAGAACGAGGAGCACAGCATCAAGGTTAAGCGTAGCGAGAAGCGGCAAAGGTGGGTATCACAATCTTGGAGAGCGTTGGAAGGCTGCTGCAAGTAGAGCACGCTAGGAGTTGCTGCATCTGAGCAAGCTGTACTACTTGCTCCTACGACTAATTCATGGTTTGCGTGTGGTGCCACACATGTAGCGTAATCTTGTTGCCTTTCTGCTTGAAATGGGAGCTGTGGTTTGATGGCTGCGTGCAAATGCCGAGCTGAGAAGGCTGCTCAGCACTGGAGGAATGACGTGTCTGCGATATGGCAGTGTGCGCGTTGCTGGACAGGGTCGGGCATGCTCCAGAAGAAGACATCGGTTCGCAATATGTCGATCGAGCGGGCTACGTCAGTCAAGTCCTTCTCTAGACCAACCTTACACTTCCTTGGCAAGTTTCCTGCTAACGATGATCTTGATATGTGGCTTGCTGGGCAGGATCGTCAGACGAAGACAACAAGGCAGGAAATCCACGCCTGCCCGCCTACCCCATCCGCACCGTCTCCAAAGACCCCGGGCACAGCCTGCGGTCCAGGATCTTTCTCTCCTCATTCTCATACAAGCCCTCGACTAACATGATTCTCTCCCAGTGCGTACCCATGTTGCGAACAACGATGTGCGGAAACGTAGCGTGCCAGGGCCCCGAGAGGTCCGGTCTCGCCTCAAATCGTAGGACGTAGTAGTTGTCGTCGATGGCAGTGGTCCAAGCGGACTCACTCTGGAAGAGATCGAAGCGGAGATATACCCCGTCTGCGAGGCTGAACAGGCAAATCAACATGCCGTTGTAGGGTTCTGTTTCGACGACGAGGATGGGCGAGATGTGTGCTTGAAGATGGATGAAATAGATATCAGGTTCGGTGTGGTACCTGAGCGTCTCGTAGTTGGATTTGAAGTCTTCCCAGCTGATTGTATGGCCAGGTACGAGCTCGACGGCCACGCATGGGTCGATGTCTGGGGCCATGTGCGTTTCTAGATCGCGAGGCCAGCTTCTGTTGCCTCCCCAACCCGCCCAGGACCAGCTTGGGAACTCAGTGCAGCGAAGAGAGTTTCCCCCGGTCTGGAAAACCAGGCTTGTTTGTAGCGTGGGCGATGAGTGTTCGGACTCTTCGGCAATGGGCGCTTTCAGAAAGGGCATTCCGCTTAGGTAGCCAAGCTGGAACTTGCGCTCGAATGCTGCGAAGATCCCCGACATTGCATTCAAACTGTCGCTCTGGAAGGACAGGGAGCGTTCTGAAAATTCCGAGATGGCGAGATAGATGTACCCAGGTTTTGCCATTTGTCTATTTTTGGAGAACTCCCATCCAGGGATGCGTATTGTGTTTGCGCCAGCCAGCGTGATCCACTCACAATCCACTGCGTTCTCGCTCTCGAAGTAGAGTTGTCGGTCTGTGAAGTACAGCCGCATCTGCGACAATATGGTCTCCTGATAGGTCCAGCCCCGGCCTGCCCAGACGCTTTTCTTGATCTCTTCTATCTTTGGCGTCCTCTGCAGATAGCCGGCGCCTTGTAAGGAGATGCTGGGGGACTGCTCTCGCGACTTGGACACTCCCGGAAGGCCATACTGGGGATCTATTCCTGCGCAAGCTACAATCGTCAGCGTTGAGTTCTGGAATATGACATCCATCCGCTGTATCTGCCTGCGCCGCTCTTCAGGGTCGTCTTGTGGTATGCAGTACCTGTCTACCCACAGGTATCTGTAGCCCAGCTTTCGACACACCACAATGCTGTCGTTGATCGTCGACGGCACGTTCCATGGAATTATTCCTTTTTCGAGTTTTCCCGGATGAGAACCTGCGGCGACATCGTGTCGAGCGGTCGCCCCCCACACATAACTTAGCGTAAGATACTCAGCACGTAGCGGAAGTCGCCTCAGCGCCCTTGTCTCGCAATCAATCACAAGCAGCTCCATGTCACCACGGCCAACGATCCCATCAGCGATCCCGTCGTTCTGCCCGCCAGCCGCAGCCGCATTCTTCTCCAACCACCCCTGCACCATCCCGAAATCAATCCGCGCTGGCGTCACCGTCCCCGCCGCAAGCTCAACCGGCGTCTGCGCGAATACGATCTTAAACCGCTCCACCCACATCTGACAGCATGGATCTTCGCGCGTGTTCCCCCAGGGCGCAAACACGCGGTTTATCACGCCCGCGCCATCGGGAAACCGCGAGAACCCCTCGCGGTCCAAGGACAACGACTTATCCCGGGCGTGAGCTGCCGGCCGGCCGTTTGGGAGCGTATCACCGATGGAGCGCGCGAGGAAGGTGCAGAAGTCGCAGGCCTGCGACATCCAGGATGAGGGCGGCCCGAGATCGAGGCTGGGAGAGTACGGGATGGTGAAGAAGGTGTGAAAGTCGAAGGCGGCGCAGCGCGGGCAGAGACGCTGCGTATGGAGGCGGATGTGATCGGCAGGCTTGGGGTCTGGGTCGGTGTCTGCCATGAGTGTTGGTGTGCTGGGCTGCAGCGATGGTGAATTGGTGTGATGGATGTTGCAAGTCTTTGTTACACAGCCGTCGTCGATACAAAACTGTCGTTTTCTACACAATTGCCGTAGACAGAGAATCGACGTTGTTACAAGACTGTTCTTTAGATAGAATCGTTGTCGCGACAAAACATGCGCTTTCAAGCTGCAAGATCGTCGTCTTTACAAAGTCGTCAACACGAATCCGCCGCTATCACAAAATCTTTAATATCACAAAGACGTTGTCACAAAACCCGTCGTCGCAAATCCGCGGCTCTTTGAGCCTAAGTAAGATGGAAAAAAGTAAGTACAATCCCCGACCTCAGCTGAATGCGGGGCGCCCCGGGACAGTGAAAGGCGCCACAGCCCCCCGCCACAGCCACAACCACCGAAGCAGCAACCACAACCACAGCCACCCTCGGCACCTGCGCGAGGCTACTTCATAGTAGCCCGAGGCGCCGTGAGCAGATATTGCGAAGCAAATGGTGCCGGCGAGGATCACGACAGTGTGTGTTTCTGGTGCGGCTGCTCTCAGGTGTCTCAGATGGGTCGTGGGGAGCGAGGCAGCGGCATAAGATGGGGTTGGGAAGGGGAATTGGAAGACGCGGAGTGGGATGGACAAACCCGGTACGATGGCGCCTTTCACACACGTACAGCAGCTCCCAGCATCTAGGTAGTCGCTGGGTACGAGGGCGCAGTTGGCTAGCGACTCTCCTACGAGTGGTCCTAACGACATCTAGTAAGGCTATATCAGGCTACTCGGAGACATCCATCACGAACTATCTTGACGAAAAAACCCATTTTACTACCTTCTAAGTGGCCTTCTTCTTTGCCTTGGCCGCTCTCTGCTTCCAAATCCAAACTAACCCAATCCCCAACACGATGGGACCTACCACTGCTGCGGCGATCCAGGCCCGGTTCCTGACCAGTGAGGGCTCAGGCGGCGGTTCCACATACTTGGCCGCAAGTGAATCTGAATAGGCAAATGTATGGTCACGACTGCGATTCAACGGCGGGGGGAGATTGTCGAACAAGTAGCAGTTCTCGTAGCCTGAGCGGAGACCAGCGTCGAACGACAGAGCATTACATGAGACATTGGAATCTAAGCAGCGCTGCCTGCAGGCCTGCAACGTGCGCTCATGAAACGTCCGCAGAGGGCGTACAGCGGTGCTGTTGAGATCGCGATGGTCGCTGCACGAGGTTCTGAAACCCTTGCCGTTGGTAGCGGCGAGGATGTCGTCGTCACACTTGGACTGTGAGAGCTTGACTGCGAGGGCTTCGGCCGAGTGGCCCATAGTACGTGTGAACCAGGATGGCTTTGCTCTGGATTCTGTCTTCAGCTCGCAGTTCAGCCACCCTGATCCGGTCATGTCGGCGATGAAGCTGATGCGTGTACACAGCGGATGGTGCTTGTCGCAGAGTTCTAAACACTCATCCATCGATGTTGTGTGTGTTCGCAACAGGTTCGGTGCGGCGTTGGCGTAGTAAGCTCCGCACAGGATTTTGTATTGACGACCAGATGTCGTATTGTGTGTCGCTAGGTTGCCATATGGACATGCTGTGTCTCTGGGATCCTGTGTGATCTGAGTCTTGAAAGCCAGAAATGAAACCGTTCCGATTTCGGGATTGAGAATCGTCTCCGCAATATCTTTGTTCTTCCGATAGCACTTCTTCGCCGAAGGCAACCATGTCGCGCCCGCACATAGGGGCCATTTGACTGTGCAGATCTCAATACATTCATCGAGACTATCCGCTGCATCTGGTATCGAGTCCAAGTCGTTTCCCGGAAGATTCCTGTCACAATAAACGGTGTAGTTCAGGCCATATCGAGTGGCTACCACCGTCCCGTTGGCGCAGGTAGAGAGAACAGAATTTGCAACAGCTGTGATTCACTGATCAGTACTTCAGCAAATGCGTGGATCCAAGTGACTGACGCAGGCTGGTTGAGCTGCTCATACTTCTGATGTTTCAATAGAACAAGAAGATGACGTCGCAAAGTCTTCACAGCGACCCTCAGCAGGTGTACACCTGTAGATAGATTTTTACACAGCCCAAACACTGCCCCCGAGGCTGAAGGAATTGAACAGGGCCCTGCCCATGGACCCAAAAAGGCCAAGAAATGATTAGGCACCAACGGGCCAGCGCACAAGGCTGAGAACTGGCCGTCTCTGCAGATTCTGTTGTATGGAGGCGCCTGCAGATATCTGTATGCTCTTTATAGCCTCGACGGATGCGCCAAGTTATTGTGGCGTTCAGATCATGCAAGGCCTCACGGTGCGCATGACAGCACAGCCTTGGGCTCGGATACGAGTCAAATACATGGCTGTATCCGCACAACGCTCTTGTTCCATCTGGTGTGTTTGCACATGCCTGCGCACGAGACCTGTCGTCAAACACCCCTTTTGCAGTCACTGCTGTCATGGCAACCCCACAAACAAGTCTGCTCTCAGAAGAGCACGGGGCTGACGCGAGGCAACACCAAAGATCTAGGTTCTGGAGGAGGAACGCAAAGACCTCGAGCCGAGCAAGAGTGCGAGCTATCTTTGACTCGTGCACCAAGCGGGTCAGCACTTCTTTCGCTGTGTGGAGAGAGCGAATTACTGCGCAGTGGCCTGTACGGAAGACCGTCGAGGCATTCAAGAGAGCCAGGAAGTATGTGACGGGGAAATTCCCGGGGTGGAAGCTAGGGGTTGCAGCCGCAATGTTGCTGGCGGGCCTCACTCTGTTGGGGAATCTGATATTCCTAGTGGTCGCGGTGAGCAGAGACAAATGGCGAGCGAACGGCTTGGGGGTCTTGGTGGAGGCCGAGTGTGGTAAGATCGACAACTACAACAAAGCGGCGCATATCTTCATCAACGTTGTCAGTACGGTAAGATCTTCGTAAAGCGATAGGTGGTTGCCAACAGACAACACTGACAATGAGGCAGCTACTCATCACCCAGTCAAATTACTGCATGCAATTACTAGCATCACCAACAAGACATGATGTTGACAAGGCGCATATGAAGAGGCAGTGGGTGGATATAGGAATGCCTAGCGCCAGGAATGTATGGAGAAGGCATGTCAGCGCCTGGCGAGCGGTGTGTTGGGTTCTGCTGGCGCTCAGCAGCGCACCGCTGCACTTACTGCATGTGAGCCTTGACAGCTGTGGAGTTCAGTGCTAACCACTGTTGCAGATGGAATTCTGTGGTGATTTTCTCGCCAAGCGCATACCGTTATCACCAACTCACCGTCACGGAGGGGTTTGTCAAGGGTAAGCCTTTCGATGATTCTCAACTGGTCCTCATGCGTGACTCGGATGAGGGAGAGACGGCACAGTTCCCTGATAATCTCCACTTTGTACAGCAAGAGCTCCCGGGGTACGAACGACTCTCCATCCAAGAATGCAAAAGGAAGTATGCACAGCTCTTCATCCGGGATCGGGGTGATGTCGTCGTCGTAGTGTCGCTGAACGATCAAGGAGCAAATGATTCCATGGTTCTAGGTGCATCTGCCGCTGGATGGGGGTCTTGGCCATATAAATGGCTGTGTCCTAAAGAGCTGAGTCAAAGCTTTGGGTGTTATAGCGGGCTTTTCCGATCTGACAGTGAGTGGCGTCTTGCACAATACGACAGTCCCAAGGTTGAATACTGTCTGAGTAAACGCATGCCGCAAAGGTGCAAGCTGGAGTATGGGTTCTGGATAACCGTCCTCACTATCGGGTCCAACGTTTGTAAGCTGCTGGGCTTCATTGCGACCTGGGTCTTGTTGAAGAGACGCACCCGAAATCCTGATCAAGCAGATGGCGATAACCGGGCCAAGCACGAATTGCTGGTCACAACGGGCGACGCCATAGCATCATTCTTGGAGTCCCCTGATCCAGAGAGTATCGGTATGAGCGTTGTCGAAAAGCGTGATTTTGAACATGGAATTTGGGCTCTGCGCTGGGTGTCTATTGATCCCATGATGTGGCGTAAGCGGTACTCGTGCGCCTGGTTTCGAGCAATAGGGTTAGGGTGGTGGTTGACAGATACGACACTGTAAGGCTCCTTCTACCGTAAGACCGCTTTTCCCGTGCGTACTGATGGGCCTGCAGGTTGTCTGTCATTCCCCTTGTGCCGGGCATCTTCCTCCTGGCGAAGATGACCTGGCTGAAAAACGATCTGCAACTAAACGCCGCTGCGATAAAGCTCCTTGGGCTTGGTAATCCGAGCGGACTCTTCTTGTTCGGTGGTCTCGACCCCACTCTGATCCAGGCGAACGAGTACTCGCCGACAGAGAAAGACATTTTGCGAGACGTCGCCCTCGCAAACAGTCCACAGTTGATGCTGACGATTGCGTACTACATCTGGAACAGCCATCTGACTGTCATGCTTGCTGCCCAAGAGTACGACCGATATGCTGCACCTTCGGAGTCCAAAGTCTCAGCTGGCAAGAAACGTGGACTGCGCGTGTCGGATCCCATCGAAGGGACAAAGCAGCGAGCAACACACTTCTTAACCATTCCACTCAAGTACTGGGTCTGGAACACGGTCTTCCAGGCCACGCTGCATTGGCTCGCCTCGCAGGCCATCTTCTTTGCCCGTGTTGACGTACTGGATCATTGGCTCGAAGTGACAAAGTTTTCAATCAGCCAGGTCGGATATTCTATATTAGGGCTGCTTTGCTTTTTTACTGTATCGTTGGTGGGTTTTTTGGCCGCCCTGTGGACGAGTCTTCGCAGGCTGGAGAATGACATGCCATTGGCAGCAACGTGCAGTGGCGCTTTGAGTGCAGCGTGCCATCCAACTGACCCTTCCTTGCAGCATCATAAGCAGGAGGTGCACTGGGGGATCGAACTAGCAGAAGACATGGCTGAAGAAGCGAGGGAGGATCAAAAAGAAGTCGGCCGCTGTACGTTCACATGTCTTGCAGCAACTTACCCACGTGCAGGGCAGTTATACGCTTGATAGAGAAGTCGGCATTTCCAGCACTTGACCTTTCTTATAGAATCCACGTAACTTAATATCAAGATTCTACTCGATAATATAGCCCAGCTTTGTTCTACTACTGTTGTTGATTTTGGGATCACTACCTAACAACTGAATTTATCCATTGGTTGAGATAGAACAAAACAATTGAGTGAATCGATCAAGTCCCCTACCTTCTCTATAGCGTTGTAACTACTCAAACTTATACCTTGTTTCAAAGCAGGATTAGGCCAATATACAGAGCCGATCGGAGATTGCTACCCTGCTGGTGTGATCGTGCAGGCTGGCGAGCAAGATCATGTGACCTGCACCTTCTCTGTGATCAAGGTACGTGATCAAACAGTGACTTGCTGTAACGACTACTTAGCTGGCCTTTTTTCTCTCCTCTCTGTTTACTTGGGGCAATACACCTCTTGGGTACATAGTAGGGCGAGTCAAAAGGACGCACATGCCTTACTAGCACCAGCCACGCAAGGCCGAGAAGTTGCACACACCTACGATCAGGAGAGAGAGGCTGAGAAGCTCATGGCACAAAGACGAAGAATAATGCGTTTGCGCGACGGATACTAGAATGACATGGTGGTGCAACAACAGCCTCGTTTCCTTTCCTTTCCCTTCCTTTCCTTTGCAATCACATATCCCCTCCCGCCCACCCAAGAACCGACCCTTCCAACACCCCAACACTCCAACACACTACCCTTAACCTACACCACCACCAGCCTAAACCCTCAACTCAAACACCTCCCCAACCCAACTCGCATTCCGCCCCCCCTCGCGCCCCACCCCCTCCTTCGCATCCACCAGCGCCCGATACCGGAACCAGAAATTCAAACACAGCGCGACCGCCAGACCCACCGCGACCACCAGCGGCCCAGCCAGCGCATCAAAGTCCTTCCCACTGCGCTCCCGGATCAAGCGGCTGCGGTACCAGAACACGCCGTACCCCCACGCGAGCGCGAAGACGGCGATGCACGTGTACACGACGGCGAGCGCGCGCGCGACCCCGTTAGCCTCGCCGGCGGCATTGTACAGGCCTAGTGATAAGGAGGCCAGGAGCACGGAGACGTGCTGCCACTTGACAAAGGTGCGCTGGTTGGCGAGCCAGACCTTGGCTTCGACGCGCAGGGGCCCGGAGTCCTTGATCCAGGTGCCCGGGGCGGAGATGCCGGGGGGCAGGGCGGGGCGGCGGCGCTGGCGGGCGGCGTATTTGGAGGTGGAGAAGGAGGGGAAGAGGGAGGCGAGGCCGGCGGGGGCGTGGGGGGAGGCGAGGGGTTCGTCGACGTCGTTGTTGTTGTCGTCGGCGGGGGCGTCGTCGGGCGGCGGGTACGAGGCGGAGAGGCGGGGTGCGGGCGTGGAGTGTGCGGCGCTGCTGGGGGCGAGGCTGGCCCTCTTGGGAGCGGAGCGGGAGGCGGCGGGCGACCCGACGGGCGATGTGATGCCGCGGCGGAACGAGGGGCTGGCGGCGGTGCCGAAGAGCGAGCCGACGGCGAAGTCGTCCTCGGCGGCCTTGCGCTTGCGCTCCTGTTCGTCGTCGAAGGCCTGGCCGGGTTCCTTGCGGATGTCGTCTTCGGCTTCGCTGAGCCAGAAGGGGAACGTGTTGACGTTGTCCTCGAAGAGCTTTGCGACGCCGTGCACGAACTTGGAGAAGCGGGGCGCTTCTTTGACGAGGTGCGAGTGGATGAGGTCCTCGATCCACTCGTACTTCTTCAGGCCCTTGACCTTGATTTCGAGCAGCGCGAAGGGGAACTTGTGGAGCTCGCCCTTTTTGAGGTTCTTAAAGGGGAACTCCATGTTGCCGTTGTCAATGTCGGACCTGTGCCAGTCGTCGGGGTCGCGGCACGGCCTGTCCATGTCCAGCGCATCCTCGCGGATCAGAGCCAGGTTGGTATCCAGCGAGATGCGCACGTTGTTGTTGCCGGGGATCTGAAAGGCGGTGCGGGTGTAGTTGGCACGCAGCACCGGCTGCAGATCCTTCTCGCGAATAAAGCTCTGGATGTCCTCAACCGCCTTCTTGGTGCTGTCGATCTTGGCCTGGTCCTTGTTCGGCCTCCACTCGAGCTTCTCAATCGTCTTCTCCATGTGGTACTTGTCCTCGAGGAACGACTGGATGTACTTGGCCTTGATGGGGAAGCGCACTTCCTCGCTGGCATTGCCCTCCTTGATGACCTTCTTCTCAAACACAATCTCAGGCTTCTCGTTGAGCTGGCCGTACCAGCGCAGACGGAGCGACGAGGCGTCTTCCTGGCCATTGACCTTGTCCGAGTAGAGCGAGAAGTTGGGGTTGTCGAAGTAGATGGATGTGATTGTGGGGTCGCGCTGCGTGCCCTCGGCGATCTTGGCGGACTGGGGGTTGTACACGAGGACGGGCAGACGGCGCAGGATGACCGTCTTGACTTCGAAGAGGTTGTCCATGTGGACCCAGACTACGCAGTTAGCATGCAGACAGCAGTGGAGAGGGCAGACGTACACTTGTGGGAGGTGAAGCCCTCGCCGGCGGTCTGGTCCTCGGAGAAGGACAGGGCCTCCTTGGACTTGCCCTCGAGGCTCTGGCGGACGAACGAGTACAGGGCCGACAGGCGGTACAGCAGCGGCGAGGCATCCTCGGTCTGCAGCGGGTGGCGGGCCAGGCGGGCGTCGATGAAGGGCCGCAGCTTGTACGACTTGCCGCGGAGCTTATCGTGCTTCTTAGTCGCCTTGATGATGGCGGTGAAGTTGATGCGACTGAAGCCCTCGAGTTCCTTGACCTCTTTGGTGACCTTGTCGAGCTCGGCCAGGACGTCCTTCAGCAGCTTCTGGCGCTCGTCCTGGGTGAGCTCCGTGTGCTTCGCGCCGTCGCCCTTGACGGCGTCGGAGAAGAGCCCCTGGCCTTCCTTCTTGTCGTTCTTGTCGTTCTCATCCTTCTTCTCCTCCTTGTCGTTCTTGTCATCCTTCACCCCCACCGCCAACGGCTCGAGCTTCTTCTCGCACGCCGACGTGCGATCGCGCAGCTTCTGCGACACCTCGAGCACAAAGCCATGCACCTTCTCGAGCTGCACGTTGGCCAGCTCGTCGACAAACGCGCTCTCGTCCTCGGCGGTCCAGCTGTCGTCGTCGGCGTTGTCCTTGAGCAGCTTCTTCAGCTTGTCGTAGTCGATGTACTGCGCTTTCCACGGCGCGTAGATGCTCCGCCGGAGCGTGGTGCCGAACTTCATCGTTGGGGTGTGAGCGTGCGAGCCTGGAAGGCGAGCTGGTGGTAGGCGAGCTGGTGGTCTGGAAGGCGAGCGGTATTCTACTATCCAACAACCAGGACCGCTATCGTCTCGTCGCGAGCGATCGAACTGCGAGCCGTCGAGTGTGCGAGTCCCCAAAAGCACTGCTGATTCTCCAACACACCAATTGATCCAAACCCTTCCAAAAAATAAAACACCCTCAATCGCAATCGCAATCGCAATCAGTGACGAAGGAAGCCTCTGCGCGTCGTCGACGACGCAAGCAGGGCACAGCACAGGGCAACAGCAGCGGCACAGCAACGGCTCCACCGCGGCGCCGCAGCGCCTGGCCCGCTTGGCCAATGGGGCATGCACGTGTCAGGCGCGGCGGACGGGACGGGGTTAGCGCCGCGATCCTTACGGGAGCCGCAATGCATGAGGCCATGCAGTGAGAAGCTTGCGTGCTGCACGTTGTGTGTGGTCTCGGATGGTTGTGATCGATGTACATAGAAGTGCTGTATTGGAGGGTACGGGGAGAGCGGCGTCGGACGAGTCGCAACACTGCTGCATGCGAGGTTGGCTGCGATGAGGCAGACTCCAGATGTGCGCGCGCTCGAGAGGTGGTGGACCGCGATTTATCACCGGCTTGTCTTCAGATACAGTGGATGCTTGATGAAGAGGACGAGGGTGGGATTACAACGTTCTACAACACCGCTCAGGACATCTAAACACACCCATCCATCCATCTACACATTCACACATCCATACATACATAAATCATACCCCCCCACCCACCCATCTCACACAAAGTCTACCAACTGTCTAGCAACGCAAACCCCCAAACGCCTACCATGCAATCCCCCCCCTATCCCATTCCATCACATTCAATTCCCCTGCGCCATGACATCAATATACCGCCCCCCCTTCTTCTTCTTCGCCGCAGCGCCTTTCCGCGGCTGCGCCGCGCCCAGCAAATCGTCGATGCTGCTGGCATTGCTCATGCTGGTGCCAGGCCGGGATGGCGGGCCCGAGGCCAGCGGCGGGCGGGCCTGGGCGGGTTTCGGCGGGCCCTCCGAGTCCGAGGGCACGCCGGGGGTGCTGGCGCGCGAGGGGGCGCCCATGGGCGGGGGCATAGAGGAGCTGCGGGCCATGGAGGTAGGGGGGCGGAGGCCGGCGGAGGGCGGGCCGGGGCCGATGGGGGGTGTGCTGCCGGAGGCGCTGCGGATGGCGGCAGGGGGTCCGGCGCGGGGTGGGGGAGGTGTTGCGGCGGGCTTTGTGGTTTCGGTGGCGCCGGCCTTCTTGTTGATCCATTTCTTGAGCTCGGGGTCGTAGACGAAGCTGCTGTCCTCTCCGAGCTTGGCTTTGATGGGTCCTGGGCCCTGTTGTGCCAGGTTCGGGTCTTTCTTAAACCAGCCACCGAACCAGCCCTTCTTGTTGGCAGCAGCCTCCTTGTCGCGCTTGGCATCCTCCTCTGCTGCTTTGCGGAAAGCTTCGTCTGTTGCGCGATCCGCATCTGACTTGCCACTCGACTTGCTACTCGGCTTGCCGCTGCTGATTTTGAGAGCCGAGGCGCGAGCAGCGAGGTCGTCGTCATCGTCGTCGTCCATGATCGACTTCTTCTTCGGCTGTGGAACTTCTTCTTCATCCTCCTCGGGCTCCGGTTCATAGGGCGTGTACGACGGCGTATCCGGCTGATAGCCTGACGATGGCTCATACCCAGTCGAAGGTTGCTCGTCGTTCGTAGGAGCAGGAGCAGGAACAGGATCATCGAAGCTAGCCTGAGGAGACTGGAACCCGCCAAATGCTGGAGAGGAAACAGATTCCTCGGCAGGTGGGGTCGGCATGTAGGAGCTGCCGTATGACAGAGCCGTGTTGGGCTCGGGGCGGAGCGGAGAATATGACTGGGTCTTACCCATCAAACGCTGGCTAGTTGGGCTGAGCATGGCCTGGCCTGGCATGTATGGACTGGACGGCTGCGACGAAGGCATATAGGTGTCGGAGACCGAACGGACAGAATCCATAGACGGTCGCCCCTCAGGCTCGTATCGCGAACGCTGCTGCTCAGATGAGACCCGTGGCGCGTATGAGCTGGAAGCGTTTGAAGGGGCGTATCGTGAATTCGAAGGGGCTGCAGGCTGAACTGGAGGTGCTCCATAGCCGGCGTATGCGCCATACAAGTCTGCACTCGACTGAGAAGGTGTGATGCCCGGGCTGTTACCAGCAATCTTGGCAAAGGGACCAACTTCTGCACCCGCGGACGGGCTACCAGAAGCCTCGTCATCGTCTCCCGCAATAAAGCTGTTGAACTTGGAGAGCAGAGAGCTGCTGACCTTGTCCATGCTTGGCTTCGAGATCCACGAAGACGAGCCGTCCTTTGGAGACTGAGATAAGCGTCGACTCAGTTCGTCCAAGCTTCCGAGGAAGCTGGTGTTGTAGTACAGAGACGTCTTAGTGGTCGCCTTCATGCTCGCAGCGATAGCATCGCAGTACGCCTGTGCCTCCGTCCTGTATCCGTACTCAGCCAGACGCTGGGCGTGCGCAAGCTTGTAGGACTGTAGGTGAGGTAACACGAAAGAACCTGTCGGGGCTGATAGCGACAGAGCAAATTCGTACACCTCAGTCAGCAAGACCGGCTCCATCTCGATTCCGAGCTCAAGCGGGTTTTGCTTGTGGTTTGCACCAACCAGGACGATGTCGGCCTGCGGATCGTCTGGCCCGTTGATGAGTGCTACAGCGCGCGCAAAGATGAAGCAGACGTGGGCAGCCTCAATGCGCTTGTACTGTGCCAGAAGTCGGCCAAGTGACACCAGAGCCGCAGCATCGCCGTCACTTCGGTTGTTCAGGATCAGCGCAACAGTCTCGCGCCATTTGTCGAGGCTCTGCAGCGCGTTTTGTGTGGCGCCCGCACCGTCTGTGCTGACCATTTGGAAGCCAGCACGAGCCGAGGCCGGTACAAGCTCATCAATACAATCCTCGTGGTTGCCTGCGAATACCTCATACAGCACCGCAAGAGCTTGGTTATTCCCGCCGATCTTCTTCACCTCCTTGCGGACGAACTCCTGGACGACTTGCTTCCAAAGGTCCTTGGTCAGAGTGGATGACAGAAGCATGGCGTGGCCCCAGAGTCGCTGGTCGACTGCATGCCAGACTGCCTTCTCGCGATCGCCCTTGGTGAGCAGCTTCTGGAGGTCCTCGATGGCGCGCGGATCAACAGGCTCTGCCTGCAAGGTGTTGGCTCTTGAACGACCGACATGGTCGGCTGTCGTTGAGAAGGAGCCTTCAGCATCTGCTGCATCACCCTCCTCGGGTGCAAACGCCTTCTTGATAGCAGCCTCTGCAGTAGGGCCTTCCAGCCGTCCATCGTTCTCTACCATTACTCTCAACACCTCCCAGAGAAGGTACTTGTCCCCGAAGCGCTTGTGCTCGTCCTCGGTCAGAGAGTGTTCGAACCCAGGTTCTTTCCGTTGGCTTTCAAGAGCTTCGAGCGTGCGGCTGAGCCAGGCAACAACGTCCTTCTTCTTGCCCTTCGATTTGAGTGGACCCGGGAATTTGGTGAAATCCTCCGACTCGGGTAGAATATCCTTGACGCTCTGTATCCTGACCTCGCCGGGGCTGCGCTTGACCATCGGCGCCGAGTTGCCTCCACCATAGCGGGGGATCTCTTTCGGGAACGTAGTAACCACTGTGCCTCCTAGACCCCATGTGAAGATGGGCGTACCTTTCCACTGTTGCAGCGGATCGGCAGCACGTTCATCTGCAGGTTGTATGCTTTCATACTCCAGGCTCAGCGATGCCTGTCTCCGGTGAGGGATACTGTTCATGGGTTTTCGGGCAACCGGCTGCGAGTTGTATGCAGGAGCAGGCGGCGACATTAACCCTGCAATAGAACCCTGATACTCCGACGGTGCAGTCATTGTCCGTGTGATGGGCTTCATGGAGGCTGCTGGTGATAGTGTCTCTGATCGAGGAGGCGATGGCTGGTACTGCGGCGTGTAATTCCCTGCCTTCCTGGGCGAGCCAACGTTGGAAGACGGATGACTCCGTAGAGGTGGCGTGCTAGATCTGGCAGCGGGTGGATGGGACATGGGAGCTGTTGCCCGTTCCTCAACCTCGCTGACACCTTCCAGCGGGCTCCTGAAAGGAGCTCGTGGAGCGTTTTCTAAAGAATGCGACATATGATGGCCTGCAGCAGGATCGAATGACGCTTCTGCCTGCGGGAAATGTTCTTGTTGACGCGGCGAAGGGAACGCAAGTGGGCTAGAGGTTCGCGGCGCATATGGCTGGGAGGCTGGTCGTGGCGGGCCAGCAGGTGGGTCGGATCCGTAACGCGCATGGGCCTGTCCTTGTGCGTTGGGTGGAGCAGGCGAGTACCTCGAAGAAGCACCCGGTGCGGGTGGTGGCGCGGGCGAGTATCGAGCGTTTGCTGGTGCTGCTGATGGAGGCGCGGGAGAGTATCTCGACGATTGTGGGGGAGCCTGCGGTGGGACCGGCAAGCTGTTCGCTCTTGCATTCACCGAAGGTTGCGCGGGAAACATGGGTAGTTGCTCAGGTTGCCTAAAAGGGACTGGACCTGGAGCGCTCCCGGAATCTGGAAGGACTTCGTTACGCAGACCCGACCACGAGGGCGCTCGTTCCTTCGGATGGTATTGCGGTGGGCTCTGAGCAGCTTGCGGCGGTCCATGAGCGGCTTGCGGTGGGCCATGAGCGGCTTGCGGTGGGCCATGAGCAGCCTGTGGAGGTCCGTGGGGAATCTGCGGAGGTCCATGTTGGAGCTGTGGTTGAGCCTGCTCGTGTGGCTGAGGCGTGTAGCGCCCTGACGGCTTCTTCGGCTTCGTAGTCACCGGCAACTCGGCAAAGAAATCCGAAGATGCTGCTCGCGCAGGGACTGCAGGTTTGGGGGGTGCCGCGGGCGGTAGTCCTGTCATAGACTGCATTGACTGATTCGAAGCCGGGGGGGACATGCCTGCAATGGTAGCGCTGGGTGGTGGAAGCGAAGGCCTTGAGAGCCCTGGGCTGGAGACTATGCTACTGCTTCGTGGTGGCGGAGGTGGAGTCGGCTGCGCGGCTGGGACTGTGGGGCGAGGTGCTGCTCGTCTCCGGGTGGTGACAATCTCGTCTGGTAAGTCATAAGGCGATGCATAGCCTCCTTTCGACTTGTCGGCAAAACTCTGTCCTGAACTTGCCATTGCAGGTCGGGCTGGCTGCTGGTGCGAAATGGGCTGGCCAAAGCCGTTGTAGAGAGTGCCTGTAGAAGCTGCAGGCGTCTGTTGAGCGGCTGGGGCCAGGTTGGTGAATTGAGCGGTAGGGGCGTAAGGGTTGACGGGCGGTGCCGGTGCAGCTGCGGCCTGCGCTGGTGCATATCGGTTTGCGGTCCCTGATACAGATCTTGATGCGGGTGCAGGCGGCTGAGCGGGAGCCTCAGGCTCGTCTTCCAAGAAGCCAACGTCGTCGTCCAGTTCCAGTGCGAGGGTATCCTCGGCGTCTGGCAGGAATTCATCATCGAGCTCGAGGTCGTCGAGGTCAAGGTCCCACTCATCTTGGGCTGCTGGCGCGGCCTCTGGGTCATGCGTAACATGGGCCCCGGGTGTCTCGGGCAGTGGCTGCGCGGGCTGAACTGTTTGAGATGCAGCTCCGAAGAAGTCCTCTGCCTGCTCGTCGGTATTGCCCCAGTCGAGCTCGTCTCCAGCATTGCCTCCAACCGAGGTGTTGGCAATCATTTCATCGCCAACAGTGGTCCCTACTGCTTCTGCAGGCGGAGTCTCGAGCGGCAGCTCCTGCGCAAGTGCGCCGAGGTCGAAAGGATCGTCGCCTGAAGCAGCCCAGTCATCTGCAGCAGCTTCGGTGTCCTCAACCAGCGGGACGCTCGCGCTCTCGACGACGGCATCCTCCAGAATGGTGGACTCTCCCTGGTGCTCGTAGTTCTCAGCGGGGCGTTCCTGGGGCGCAGCCTGCGGCGTAGGTTGGAGCGTAGGTTGCGACGTAGGTTGAGGCACAGGTTGAGGCGCAGGTTGCGGGGCAGGCTCTTCGTCAGAAGACTCTTCTTCCTCCTCAGAGCTGTCCTCTTCGGACTCGGATGGCTCGGCTGGACCGCGACCGACGTGGGTGGGAGTCTGGCCATGGATATGGAGGCCGCTTAGGGCATCTGCGGGGGCATTGGCCTGCAGTGGCGTCTCCGGCTGGGGTGGGAAAACGGCGCTCTGGGTGGCGGTCGCTGTTGGCTCGTCATCCTCGTCGTCTTCTGAGTCCTCTTCTTCCTCTTCTTCGTCGTCCTCGGATGTGTCTTCACTCGAGGAGACGGGCGCAGGGGCGGGTGCAGGCGCAGGCGTAGACGCAGGCGCAGGCGCAGGTGCAGGCGGGGTGGAAGCCACAGGAGCCACAGGAGCCACAGCTACGGGTGCAGGCGCAGGTGCAGGCGGGGCTACAGGAGCAGCGGGCGCCACAGCTACAGGCGCGGGCGCGGACACGCTGGCTGGAGCCGGCAGAACCTCTTCCTCATCCTCATCCTCCTCATCATCGTCTTCCTCCTCTTCCTCCTCCTCCTCCTCCTCGGACTCTTCCGCCTCCTCTTCTTCTTCTTCCGACTCTTCCTCCTCGGACTGTGCGGGTATTTGCGGGGCGGGCGGTGGCGGTGCTGCTGCTACTGGCGGTGCTGGTGCGTGTGCTGGAGCCGGGGCTGGTGCTGTCGGTGGGTCTGCTGCTGTCGCTGCTGCTGCGGGCGGTGGTGTTGCTGCCATTGCTGCGGCTGCGGGCGGCTGCTGGGCGTGGGGCCGCAGGGCGGGGTTCCACGACGCCGCCGGGGTCGAGGGCCGCCGGTCGCCGTACGCGTAGGAGAAGTTGGGCCCGTCTTCGTGGTCCATTATGCAAGATTACGGTACGTCAAAGGGTATATGCAAGTACTGCGAGCGTCAGCCCGTGAGCGAGCACACGGCAAAACGGGCGCGGGGCGCTGGTCGGCGGGCGCACTGCAGTCGGCAGCCCGCAAGACGCAGTGGGCGTGGTGGGCGTGGGTGGCGGGCGGACTGCAGGCAGAGGCCCTGACGTCGAGGGCAGCAGGGCGGCGACGTACCTCTACAGAGAAGCGGAACGGCAGGCGCAAGACGTCGCGCGCAACAAGACGTGGCTCCTCGGTCGGCAGGCAGCGCGCAGATCAACAATGGGCCGCGGGGACGGGGGGCATGGCGTGCAATGCGTCGATATCGGATAGGTATGCTATGGTCGCGAAGGGACAGCTGTCGGCCATGCTCGAGTCGCCGTCGATGATACCCTGGCCTCTTCCGCGACTCGCGCCGCCGCGCCTGCGCCACAACCCGCGCCACCCGAGACGTGACGCTGGGCGGCGCCAGGTAGCCATTGTTGTCCCCGGCCTGGAGCTTGCGCGTGCACTGAAATTGCCGTGACGACGCCTGTCTGAGCCTGCTGTCGCAACACTTGTCACCCGTGCCCGCCCACTTGCGCCCGCCCAGCACTCGGAACAAGACATCTGGCCGCCTACACCACCCGTACAACCACCCCGGACTGGCCGCGGACTCCCGAAGACGCCGCCATCTGCCGCGAACAGCCACCCTGCGATCGCATATGGAGAGCACATAGCCGCTGCCTCCACTGCAACGCCCGCGGCGCCTCTGCCGACCACCGCCCTGCCGACCACCTGCCAACACGCCCGCCCGCCTACAGCCCCCATGAGCCATGGCAGCTCCACATGAATACCACCAGCCGAATGCGCCAGACGAAGACTCCGACCTCGAGCTCGACCTCGAAGAGCTCGACCCACTCGCCGCCCGCCCGCGCCCGTCCGTCTCGCCGCCGCGCCGCCCCTCGAAAGAGCAGCGAAAGCCGTACCACGAGCTCGGCGCCCGGATACCGCTCAGGAACCTGCGAGTAGGGCGCTTGCGGGGGAACAGGAGGAAGGAAGAGGCCGAAGAGGAGGATCTCAGAGGCCTGATCGACGACGACGAGAGGGAGAACCGCAACTCGGCCGGCAGCTATGGGCAGTCGGGCGACGACGACTCGCCGCTGCTGCCAGCCAGCACCAACCCCCGCCGAGCCACCCAGCGCAAGCCGAGCGCCCTGTCCAAGCTGAGCGCCGGCCTGCGCCTGCCGAGCTTCCTCTCCAGACAAGACGCCGGCGCCATCCATCTGGGCGAGGACGGCGCAGACAACGATGCCGACGAGGAGCACGACCCTACCACCCAGCGCACCATCTCCGTTGGCGCGCTGCAGACATCACGATTTCCCGCAAATGCCGTTTCCAACGCAAAATATACCCCTTGGAGCTTTCTGCCACGCACCCTGTATAATGAGTTTTCCTTCTTCATCAACATGTACTTCTTGCTTGTAGCAATGTCGCAACTCATCCGGCCTCTGCGCCTCGGCTACCTTTCGACCTATATTGCCCCGCTGGCCTTTGTTATTTGCATAACTCTCGGGAAAGAAGCACTCGACGACATTGCCCGTCGGCGCAGAGACGCAGAAGCCAACTCCGAAGGCTACACCGTCTTGAAGTTCGAGGAGAACGGTGTCGGTGCTGGCGTTGCGCCTGGCCAAACCTCGCGTCGGAGGAACAGACTCAGGAGAAGCAGGAGGGAAGAGAGTCGGCTGGCTGAGATTGAAGATGAGGAGCAGCAGCTGTCGACAGAAGGATTGGCCACATGCACATACACTGAAGTGGTCAAGCCGTCCAAGAACTTGAAGGTTGGCGACGTTGTGAAGCTCGGCAAAGATCAGAGAGTGCCCGCCGACATGGTTGTGCTCAAGAGTCTGGTCGCCGACAACGCAGCTGCATCCGCGACACCTGTCCCTGGTAACGAGGTACCCAAGCTTCTTGATGATGAGGTTGAAGCTGCGCCTCAGAAAGTTGAGAGCGCCGCGTCCACCGGACCCTCAGGCGAAGCTTTCATCCGTACTGATCAACTCGATGGTGAGACCGATTGGAAGTTGCGGTTATCTTCGCCTCTGACGCAGAACCTGCACGTCGGCGAGTACACACGGCTTCGTGTTGTTGCCGGCAAACCAGACAGGAAGGTCAACGAGTTCTACGGCACGGTAGAGCTGCAGCCAAAACGCCAACGACAATACGACCCTCACGACTCCGAAGAGCCGCAGACTCAAGAAACCCAGTCTGCCCCGCTCAACATCGACAACACTATCTGGGCAAACACTGTGGTAGCTTCGAGCTGCAGTCTGCTTGCCGTCGTCGTCTACACCGGTCCCCAGACACGACAAGCCCTCTCCACATCGCCGTCACGTTCGAAAACTGGTCTGCTGGAACTCGAAATCAACGCGCTCACAAAGTGGTTGTGCGTCTTTACATTATCGCTGTCTTTCATCCTCGTAGCACTCGCCGGTTTCCGTGAAATCGACGGCCGTGAATGGTATGTCAACATGATGCGGTTCCTGATCCTCTTCTCTACCATCGTGCCCGTCGGTCTGCGTGTCAATCTCGACATGGGCAAGTCGGTCTATGCGTGGTTTATCGAGCACGACGAAAGTATCAAAGGAACTGTTGTCAGGACAAGTACAATTCCGGAAGATCTCGGTCGGATCGAGTACCTGTTAAGCGACAAGACAGGTACTCTGACCCAAAATGGTACGTTGTCAGCAGTCCTCAATAGAACAAGTCTAATATCACCCAGAGATGGCCATGAAGAAGATCCACGTTGGAACGGTATCGTATGCCAACGAAGCGATGGACGAAGTCTCGACATATGTTCAGCAATGCTTTACGCCCCCTGCCGGCGAGGAGCCTTCCCTCGTCACTCCATCGTCAGCCTACACTGTCCCACTCACCTCAGCCACCCGCACACGCCGAGAAATCGGGTCTCGAGTTCGCGACGTCGTCCTGGCGCTTGCCCTCTGCCACAACGTCACCCCCACTACCGAGGAGGAGAATGGAGAACTCGTTACCACGTACCAGGCTTCGTCGCCCGATGAGATTGCCATCGTCCGCTGGACAGAGGCTGTTGGGCTGAAGCTGCTCCAACGCGATCGAGAATCAATGACGCTCGAGTCGGTCAACAGTGGCAGTGCGGTTGTGCGAGTTCGCATCCTCAACACCTTCCCCTTCACGTCTGAAGGCAAGCGAATGGGCATCGTGGTCAAGTTCTATCACGGACTGGTCGACTCGCCGACCGACGAAGACGGTGAAATCTGGTTCTACCAGAAGGGTGCTGACACTGTTATGACCACTATCGTGGCTGCCAACGACTGGCTCGACGAGGAGACGGCAAACATGGCCCGAGAAGGACTTCGGACTCTCGTCGTTGGGCGGAAGAAGCTTTCGGCTCAGAACTACCAGGACTTCTCGAGCAAGCTCGCTCAAGCATCGATGGCTCTTCACAACCGCGACGCAGGTGTGGCAGACGCCATCAGCGAATACCTCGAGCGCGACCTAGAGCTCCTCGGCGTCACTGGTGTCGAGGACAAGCTGCAGAAAGACGTGAAACCCTCGCTCGAACTCCTCCGCAATGCTGGTATCAAGATCTGGATGTTGACCGGCGACAAAGTCGAGACTGCTCGCTGCGTGGCCGTGAGCTCCAAGCTCGTTGCAAGAGGTCAATACATCCACACCATTGAAAAGAGTACGTCTCCCTGTATCAAAGTCCGACCCCGCTAACACCCGCAGTGAAACGCAAAGACCTCGCGCACTCGTCCCTCGACTTCCTCCGCGGCAAGACTGACGCCTGCCTCCTCATCGACGGCGAGTCCCTCGCCCTCATGCTGACCCACTACCGCTCCGACTTCATCTCGATCGCGGTCCAACTCCCCACCGTCGTCGCGTGCCGCTGCTCGCCCACGCAAAAAGCCGACGTCGCGCGCCTCATCCGCTCATACACCAAGAAACGCGTGTGCTGCATCGGCGACGGCGGCAACGACGTCTCCATGATCCAAGCAGCCGACGTCGGCGTCGGCATCGTCGGCAAAGAAGGCCGCCAGGCCTCGCTCGCCGCCGACTTCAGCATCGACCAGTTCTGCTACCTGGTCAAGCTGCTCGTGTGGCACGGGCGCAACTCGTACAAGCGCAGCGCCAAACTCTCGCAGTTTGTCATCCACCGCGGCCTCATCATCAGCATCTGCCAGACCGTGTACAGCATCGCCACCGCCTTCGAGCCCAACGCGCTCTACAAGGACTGGCTGCTTGTCGGATACTCGACCATCTACACCATGATGCCCGTCTTCTCGCTCGTGCTCGACCGCGACGTCGACGAGAGCCTGGCGAACTTGTACCCGGAGCTCTACGCCGAGCTGAAAACAGGCCGCAGCCTCAGCTACCGCAGCTTCTTCATCTGGGTCGCCGTCAGCATCTACCAGGGCTCCGTGATCCAGGGCCTGTCCCAGCTCCTCGTGGGCGTCGACGTCGATACCTCCCTCACCTTTGCCCGCATGCTGAGCGTCAGTTTCTCCGTCCTCGTGCTCAACGAGCTGGTCATGGTCGCCATGGAGGTGACCACGTGGCACTGGCTGATGGTCGCCAGCATCGTCGGCACAGGGGGGATCTACGTCGCCTCTGTGCCTTTCCTGGGCGGCGGCGGGGTCGTCGCAGACGGGTACTTCGACTTGGATTTCGTGGCCAGCGTGCCGTTTTGGTGGAAGGCTGCGGTGGTGGCGGCGGTTGCGCTGGTGCCGCCGTATGCGGTGAAGATTGTGGGGCGCACGCTGAAGCCGCCGAGTTATCGGAAGGTGCAGGGCGTGTAGAGTCAGTGATCAAGATCAAGGGATGAAGGGGTGGAGGGTTGGGGTGCTGGGGTGTGGTGTGGTGAAGTCGTTTCTGGGCCTTTTGATCGCGTTGCATAGCGTGCGAATTGCATTTCTTTCCTGCCCCCGTGCGTCGGATCCACCGCGATGCTACACAGTGAGCACTCACGTCCACAAGACCTGGCACTGACTGGAACAGCATGAGAGCTTATAATACTGGTATACACCAGCAACACCATCACCATCCAACACCCAACCTAATAGCAGCGAGAGCCGCAAGACAGAGGCAGAGCCCCACGCTGTCTGATATCACACGCTTCAACAAGAGCCGCAAGACACCATCTGCGTCCACGACCGGCGTTGCAATTACAATGATTACTTCGCCAATCATTCGGCTTCCGTGGAGCTTCGTACTGAGGAGAGTAGCAAGGGTGACGTCAGACAAAGGGCGCATGGCTTCGTAAGGAGCCAGTGAGCGTGCCAACGGGAATTCCCTTCTTTCACGCCGTACTCGAGGAGCTCTTACAGCCTTTGCATCCCGCACGCCACGGCACCGATATCACAGAGACAGGAAAGCGCATTACATTCCATCCATCGCCTAGTGGTTTCATGGGCACCCGCTCTGCGCGAGTCAGACAACCATGTATCTACTTATCCACGTTCCCCGATCTCCCCCCGCCCTACCCCCGCCACACCGCCTCCAGCACACACATAAACGTCAACGGATCCGCCTTAACCCCCACAACCTCGAACCTCTCATCCGCACGCTTAAAAACATCCTTCCACGCCCCCGCCGGCCTCTCCTTCGCATTAAATAGCGCCAGCATGCGCATATCCGTCGCCGACCCAAACGCCCGCATCGACAGCGGCACCCCACTCACATCCTCGCTCTTATCACTGGTCCCCACGTAGTCAATGAACAGCACGCGCGCGCCCGGCTTCAGGGCCGGGATCAGCGCGCGCAGGATCGCGAGGGACTCCGCGTCGGCCCAGTCGTGCAGGATCCATTTCAGCATGTAGATGTCGGCGGAAACGGGCTGGGGGTCGAACATGTTGTGCGTCATGAAGGAGATGCGGGGGCGGAGGGCGGGAGGGCAGGTGGAGGCGAAGACGGGGGCGACTTGGGGGAGGTCTTGGACGGTTATGGTGAGGTTCGGGAAGGCGGTGGCGAGGGCGATGTCGTCGTGGCCTGCGGAGCCGCCGATCTGGGGGCGGTGTCAGCGGTGGTTCAGAATACAAGAGAGCGAGAGAGAGAGAGAGAGAGAGGGTGTGTGAGAGGAAGGGAGGGAGGAACACAGGGGTGAGAGAGAGCAAGGAAAGAAACGCACATCCACCACCGTCGCCTCGCCCGCCGCCGCCCAATCCAGCGCCTCCAGCACCAGCGCCTCCGTCTTAAACAAATCCTTGATATACGCCATGAACTTGATGAAATTCCGCTGCCGCCACCCCTTCCTTTCCCCCTCACCATCATTCTCCAGAAACTCCCACGTATTGTCGTACTCGCCCCACGCGCCCCCGGAATGGCACAGCCGGAACGCGGTATCCTTCTGGCTGAGACCCAGCTCCTTCTTGCCGACCGCGAACCGCCGCAGCGCTTCGGGCAGCATCAGCATCGGCGGCGAGGTCTCGTCGACGACCATCTGCACCAGCGCTTGCAGCCCGGTGTCTTGTGCAAGGGCCGCGGAGCGCGAGGTATGCGCCACGGTTGAGGGCGTCGGGCGCGTGAAGTAGCGCATCGTGACCGCGTGGTCGAGCGTGCGCGTCGCGACTTCAAGCGGCAGCGCCGTGTGGGCCGCGACCTGCTCATCAGTCGCCGTACCCTTCAGCGGCACGGCGCCCCAGAAGTCGAACTGGTTGAGTACATTCAGCGTGGCGATATCCGGGACAGCCTGGACTCGTCAGTTCGGCTCGCGCGGCGGGACGGGGGCGCGCGCACCGTGTGGCAGTAGTTGAAGGTGCTCTCGCTGGGGCCCTGGCTGAGGATGTACATATCCTTGAGCGCGTCCTCGAGGTGCTGGCGGACCACGAAGGCGTTGCCGGGCAGCGCGGAGTACTTGATGGGGCTGTCGGCGTCGAGGGTGACGGGCGCGACGCCGCCGGCTTCCAGCTCTTTGGTGAGTTGCTGCGCGTACTCGGTGATTTTGGCTGCGACGCTGAGCAGCGTCTCGGGGGACTTGTGTTCGATGGAGCCCATGGTGACGCTCTGTGCGCGAGTATGCGAAGAGAGATGGTACAGGCAGGATACGGGTGGTTTGCGTGAACCAACGTATACATATATTCACCCCGCTCAACAGCAGCATACCACTCTGCCGCCATCGGACGGTCTAAGACCAATTGCACCAGCAACCGACACCAGCCGATTTCAAACGTTGGTACAGGCGGTCCAGCATCATCTTGCAGTGAAGGTGTGCAGTGCGATTGGTCCGGGCCTGCAGTAGACCAAAACTAATCTGATCATCTTATCAATCTGATAAAACTTTGCACCGGGAGCTGGGCGCCAAGTCAGTGTGTAAAAGTAGCTGCCGTTCTGAGCTGCGCAACCGAGGACGTGATTGTTGGCAATACGAGAAAGAGCGGATCCTGATGTCACTTGACGTGTAAACAAGAGTGCTAAGAATTAGCATGTGCTTGACGGCATTTTTTAAAACTCCTGTGAAAGCTCAGCATGAGTGCGATTTTCCATTAAATTAACTAAATCAAAGCTTCATGCCTCTAAATGGGAGTATAACTTGACGTTTCTATGCAGTGCGGTAAAATTGACGACGATGCGCGCTGAAATGCAAATATGTTTACAAAGATCGGAGCAACCAGCACGCCTTCACGCTTGTGGCGCTGCATGTCTGACATCGCTCCAAATTAACTGCCGGCTCAATGTGTAGGTCGCGGCCGAGCATGCTCCGCGGTCTACTTCTTTTGCCAGGGGAAGCCGCTGAGCCTGGTCTTCTTCGTCTCAGACTCCTCTTTCTGTCTTGCGTCCTCTGCAGCGCGCTCGTCTTTAGTGGGGACGCGTGGCTGGTCGGCAAATCGAATGCCGGGCGCCTTCGGGGGTGCGAGGTTCTGCTTTGCAGCCTGCGAATGCGTGCCACGGCCGGTTTCCATTGGGTCGCCGGTCTCGGGCTCGCCTTCGGAGTCAGACTCCGGAGAGTCTTCGCCTCCAACTCCAAGAGCACCAAGGCGGCGCTTCCGCTCGGCAGCAGTTTCACCTTCGAACCCACCGCTAGAGATCGACTCTTGCTTGCTAGGCGACATCGGACGACGAGCCTGGCTTGCTGGGGGCGACGTTGAACCCGTCAGCGCAGCAAGGCGGCGACGGCGTTCTGCAGGGGTCTCTTCGTCGCTTTCTCTCTCTCCATCTGCCGACGAACCGCCTTGGTTCTGCTCTGCGGCAAGGCGACGTCGGCGCTGTGCTGCAGTCTCCTTGTCCTGGTCTTGTGAGTGACCCGCGAGAGTTTGACGTACGGAGTGGAATGGCACACGCTCTTCGTTGCTGTCAACCAGGGTCAGCCCCTCGGGGCCACGAAGGTGTCCTTCTTTGTGTGCATCTGGAGACTCGACCTTGTGCAGCTGCGCCTCGCCTTCTTCGCCAATGACAGGAGGAATGTTGGCCTCGACTGCAGCCTGTGTCCGGCGATGGTGATCCTTTGCGTCTTGATGCGCCTCTTTCTTGACTGACTCAGGAACGTTGCTATCTTGTATCACCTTGGCGCGATCCTTCGGGTTCAGTTGGCTCATCTGCTGGATGAACTCTGATGTGCTCATCCGTCGACCACCAGCAGTCAGGGTGAAACGAAGGTTGTTGTCGTCGGCCTCATCCTTCTGTTTCTTGGAAGATTCTCCCTCTGGATGGGTTGGAATACCCATATGCGTGCCCATTCGCTTCAGACTTTGCATAGCGCGTCCGGATGTCTCGATCATTGAGGCGCCGCGTGTTGCTCCAGGCCGCTGCTCCTTGGACTCCTTTGGCTTGGCTGGGATGTCGTATTTCTTCAGTACCTCTCCATCTTCGTCCTCGACGATGATGGTGTTGCCGAACTGATACGCTAAAGCCGGACCTCGCTGTCGCTCAGGCTTCTTCTTCTCGATCACATCGCCATTGTCGTCGTGATGGTGCCCGGTGAAACTCTGCATCCGCTTACGCCACGTCTTGTGGGGATGTTCAACAGCCTCCGCTGCTTTCACTGGCGCGTGTTCGGCATCGCCCTCGTGCTCTTTCTGGGATACGCCATGTTCCACGCGCTGTTCCTTCATGAGCCTTCGTGCCTCCAGAATGTCAGATTGTCGTCGCTCCGCTCCATGCTCGCCATGACTGTCTCGGACACCAAGGACATTGCCCTCCTTGTCTTCGATCACCGTCTGATGACCTTCTTGATAGATCTCCTCCTCACGGTCTATGTCCCTACGATCACTATCCTTGAGCTTGCCCTTGCCGTTGGAAGAGCTGTCGCTTGAAGCGGCCAGCTTATCATCAAATGCATCAGTGTCGTCATCTGGCGAGGTTCCATCAGCCTTCTCCTCGTCACGTCTGCTAGGGCGGATTGCGGACTGCGAAATGGGGCCACCAGGACCAAGGCCCGTTTCCCACTTCGATTTTCGTGACCGAGACGTTGGGCGCACAGAGCTTGATCGGCCCTGTTCGTCTTCTTCCCTCTGTCGACGCAAGAAGTTGCCATTGTAACCTGGAGGCGGGAGCAGGCCTGGCCCGGTCTCGCCAAAGTCTCCGTTCTTCTCGTCCATGGAAGACTCCGACATTCGGCGAGACATCTGTGACTTGGACCGTGATTGAATACGTGGAAGGCGCTCCATCCAGCTCGGCCCGTCTTCGTTGGCTTGCGTGTAAGACATCGAGATGGTGAGAGTGTTGATGCGTTTGCCCAGGGTGAAGACAGCGATAGAACTTCCGTGAACGATGATACTGACGATGACCAAGAAACACGTGATGGGCCAAATCATTTCAATAATGTTGGCATGCTCGAAGTCTGGTTCAGGGATGTCAGCCAGAGCCAGAGGAGTAGTGCTTTCGGTCTCAAGCTCAGCCCTCGCAAGAATAGCGACGAAAAGGCCGCCGACTCCGATGGGTCCAAAATGACCAGCGAAAAGAGCCTCACGCCACGTCTTGATGTCCGGGATGATAGGTTTGAGCGCGAGCATGACCGGGATTCGACGGAAGAAAAGGACCAACAATCCAAGTACAACCAGACGCCACGGGCTGAGGCCGAGAATTTCGGGCTCGTTGAACTGCGCCCAGGGGATGATTGCACCGAAGTAGACGAAGAAGGCCAAGTTGATGAGCAAATCGATGACGTTGGACACGTGCGATTCCTCCGTCTTCTCAAGAAACCATCCGTCGTTGGAGAAGCCTACTCCGCAGGCAAAGCCAACAAGAAGGTCGTCCATACCGAGGAGCGAGCCAGAGCCAGCGCACCACAGAGCCAGAACGAAGTAGAACACAAGGAAACTCTCTCGATCGATGAGGTCTCTCTCGTGGGCAGCTCTGATAGCACGACGAGCAATGTACCCAATGACTACGCCATAGATGGCGCCGAAGATACACTCGTAAAGGATGGTATAGCAGAACCAGTGGAGAGCGACCTTCTCGGGGTGGTGCTTGTACCGGATTATGTAGATAGCCAGGTAGACGAAGGGGAACGCCATGCCGTCGTTACATCCAGATTCACAGGAGAGCAAATCTCGCAAATGCTTTGGGACTCGCTTGGCGAACTTGCCCTTACCAACAACCGACGAAGCCAAGACAGGGTCGGTCGCGGTAACGCAAGCAGCAATGCAGAGACTGTCGAGCCAGTTCACATGGGAGCTGAACAGACCCCAGATAAACAGACTCGTGACGAGCCAGCCAAACGTCATGACGGGAATAAGCAGCAACACGACAGACCGCCAGTGCTTCTCCATGTAGGCCTTTGGCAACTCAACACCGACAGCGAAACATTGCACGACCAAGACGATGCGCGAGAACTCCAATGTGATAAAGTCTACGTTGCCCCAGGTTCCTGGGTCGATCAGGTTCGCGGCGTGCGGACCGAAGATGATACCGCACAGCGTCGCGACTGTCGCTTCACCAATGTACAGGCGCTCCTTGATCACCGAGGAGCACAGCATGAACAGGGTGGTAAAGCCGCCCAAGATGATGTACACCAAGTGCGGCTTGTTGATGGAAAGGTGGTCCCACGCCATGGTGTTGGTAGGATCGCGTCGCGGTGCCGGTTAGCCGGCTTGCGGTGGATTTGGGGTGGGTAGTGCCCAGAGGCTGCTCAGGCTTGTGTGAAAGCTTGGAGAGGCTGCAGCACGAACAAGAACGCTGATTTGCGACCGCAGTCAAGGAGCGGTATTCGAAGGGCTGGGGCCGTACTGCTGGGCGCGGCCGGAGGTGGGAGAATGCGAGGCTCGGGTCGGATGCATGTATATGTGCGTGCGTGTCGCCGCTCCAAAGTTGCCCGAGTGGCAGTGACGTCTGGGAGTCGTGGAGACGAGGGCTAGCGGGGATGTGGGGAGGCGTGTCGTGCCTGCGGTGACGGATCAGTGATGCTCGAGAAAGAAGAATGTGAAGAGATCCCAAGCCTGTGGAAGGAAGGGTCTTCAAGGCTTACTAACACTCAAAGCTCAGCTGGGCGCAAAGTCGTTGAAGCTTAGAACCACGAGGCGTACACCGCAGATGTCTGTGGTCGCTTGCAGTAGTGGACCCAAACTTTGGTCTTGACCTAGCCACACCACGTTCTTGGGCTCAATGGCACCGCACTTGAATCTGCAGCCCGTCTGCGCTGCTGCTGTTGCTGTCAACAAAAGTTGGTAGAGCGCAGACAACAAGAGTGTTTCCCGGCCGTTAATCTCTAGTGCAAGCTAAGCCCTTGGCCTTCAGCGTGCCAAGCAGGCCTGACGCAATCTTGCAGTCCGCTCGAGCCGGGAAATCGGCCTGCGTTGGTTACGCTGCCATCTTCAGGCGCAAGGTCCGCGCTGCACATATCTGGCATTGACGTTGGGTTCCTTATCTGCCGCTTATCGGCCTCGGAATCGAGTTGTGCAAGCCTGCGTTCGCATGTTTAGAAACAACGGGCGGACGCCAAATGACGCCGATTGGATCGAGCCAGCCGTCGTCCCACGCCAGAAGACGCCTTCCTTGGCTCGGAAATGTTGCTGTGAATGTGGGGATCCCGCCCATTTGGCTTTTCACGCGCTCTGAGGTTCGTGCTTTTGTCGTCCTGTTCATTGGATGTGTCGGTGAGCACCTCCACACACCGTCTTTTGGTGGCAATATCGCGCTGGCTCACCTGCTATAAGCATTCACGATACGTATATAGCGAAGAGATTTCGAAATCTTTATTGAGTCACACTCCCGACACCAAAGAATACGCAGCCGGACGACAATGCCTTGGTAACACACCCTGCTGCCTCGGAAGTCCCCTCGCAGCGGGGCGGCCAACCATCTCGCTCAATGTTCGGAGGAATAGCACCTCGTATTTCTACATCGGGACTAGTATACCGTCGCGCCCAACGACAGAGCGCTGGGAACCTTGGCTGCAACGACCACGCTCCCGCGGGAGCAACGACTTGTTATTATGGGCGTCGGAAGCAGCTGGCTCACTGCATATTGTACAGCAACACAAGACATCAACAACGCTGCACACCAGACTTTGAGTCTCTGGCTGTGGCTCCAAGGATTGGTCCATGCACCCGTACACTATGTAAGTAACATGCCACCGTTCGGGTGGTGCGTGGTGCAGCCCGATACTCTGCACCGCTCGACCAGAACCGCAACCCCCCACGGGGAAGTTCGAGCATGCAGTGCGGAGACGGCACACGACATGCCGGCACACGCACCTCGAGCCAACAGCACGTGTCCACGAATCCTCGCCATAAAAACGCCTTCGAATGGTCAACCTCCACGAGCCATGACATGCGGGGGCTTCCGAGCAACGCCGGGCACGATACTACGCCACGCAAGCCGGTACTGTTCCATGACTAGGTACGGCTGTCTTTGGCAGAGTGATGGTCACGTGACATCAGCTATCGTTGTGCAGTGACTTCCACAGCTTAAGACATCTTAGATGCCCTCCTCTCCTCCCACCTCTTGCATAAGGAGTGTCTATTCTATGCATAGTTGCTGTATTAACATAAGCTGTTACTGTTAATGTAAGTAAGAGAGCGTAAGTAGAAGAAGCGCAATTAACTAGAGGAGAAAGCATGCTACTTGCATGTCTGCAACACTAAATACTACACCAGGAGACGATGCAGAGCAGTGCCATGACTAGGTACGCCTGTCTCTGGCAGAGTGGTGGGCACGTGACATCAGCCGTCGTTGCACCGTGGCTTCCCCAGCTCGAGATATCTCGGACGCCCTCGTCTCCTCCTGCCTCTTGCATAAAGAGCGTCTAGTCCATGCATAACCGCTGTGTTGACACAAGCTGTCATTGTGGATGTGAGTGAGGAAGCGCGAGTAGAAGCGCAGTCGACCAGGGGAGAGAGCATGCTGCTCGCATGCCTGCAACACTGAATACTAGGCCGGGAGACGATGCAGAGCGGCGAATAGAAGAGTGTGAATTCGATCTCGGCGTGGAGTAATCTATGTATCGGTGATGTGGAGAGGAGAGCGGGGTGTACATGAACGTAAGGTATAGATGAGTATAGGTAGCCCCAACTCAGCAGGGGAATGGGGGGGGGGGGGGGGGGGGGGGTACAGTGCAGTGCGCGCCCTGATCTCTCCACGCATCAGCAACCCAACACCAACGCCGTGGAGCGCACTACCCCCCGCCATCCCACCAGCTCACCGCCTTCCTCTCGCTCCACCCCTCGACCCAAAACGCGCCGCCCCTCCATACCCCGATTCACCGCTTCAGCGTCTTCTGCTTCTCGGCCTCGACCTTGACCTCCTTGACCAACAGGCCCTTGCGCCTACGCACGCGGTCCACATAGCGCTTGGCGACGTTCTCGCGATCGGCGAGCTCGCCCAGATCCTCGAGCTCGTCTTCGGTGAAGGGGACCCAGAAGGGGTCTTCGTCGAGCATTTCGAAGCCGGCGAAGCGCAGCTGGGGGCTTGCGCTGCCGGAGGAGCGCTTGCGGATTTCGTCGGAGAAGCCGAAGGACTCGGCGACGGGGAGCAGCGCGCTGATGGTGAAGGTCTGGTTTCCGGTTGTCGAGGCCGCGGACGTGGACATGGTCTCGGACAGGATCTGGCCGCGGCGGCGCGTGAGCACGGCGTAGACGCGGCCCAGGACGTCGGTCGAGGCCTGGATCTCGCAGCTGTACATGGCAAGCAGCATGCGCGGCGACCAGTCGAGCATGCCGTTGTGAATGCCCGAGCGCACGGCTTTGATGACTTCGCCGGTTAGGCGGTGGTGGTCGGTTTCGGACGCGGTTTCTTCGAGCGTGACTTCTTGGAGGAAGACAGCGAGGCCTTGGACGGGCTCGGCGCAGCAAGGGCCTTGGGCGGTGGCGAGCTGGAAGGCATAGGCTATGGTGGAGGCGAAGGAGCGGGCGTTGGAGGTGCGGTCGGACGTGTCGTCGTCTGCAGTTTCTGTAAGACTGTGGATGGTTAGTGTTGAAGATCATGGCTCAGAGAGTACTTACGCTTTGCTGCATATGCCAGCGCTGTCGATCAAGATATTAGGCCCTCTGTTCCGCGGACCGAATGTCGTGATCTTATCAATGACATCGTCCGTCCAGATATCCTTCTCTTTCTTGGCTTCAGCAAAAGCTGCCTTCAGCTGTGTTTTGAACTCCGCAGGGCTGAGTGTGTGTCCACTCTCGCGCAGCTCGGCCTCTTGCATACCGTCCTGTTCGGCTCCCTCGATCTCAGCAGCCACCTGTTCATCAGATTGCCTGGTCTCGCGAGCCTTCAGTTCAGAGGTCAGCCTCTTGATGGATCCAGAGTTCTTGCTCAGGAACTCGGTGACACTTGGTGGCAGCGGGCGGACCTGCAGGCGGACAGAGACTTGTTTGTTGGCTGTCGCACTGACAACCACGCCGCGTCCTAGCTCTGGGTTCTTCGGAGGGTTCATCTCGGCTGCCGCAACAGTGGACTCTCGGTAAGGAACGATCGGCTCACCAGCTTGGATCTTACACTTGGCAAAGCGCTCCTCGAGATCCTTGAGGCATCGCTCGAGATGCAGTTCACCGGCTGTCAAGATGACATGCTCTCCACTGGGCAACTGCTCGTACTCAGCACAAGGGTCAGACTGGACTAACAGCTTCAAGCCGTTGATCATCTTATCAAGGTCGTAGGGGTTTTCAGGCTCCAACGCTACGCGAACGATAGGTTCAGAGCCCATAGTCACACCAGCGAGGTTGAGGGACCCTGGAAGCTGCGAGCAGAGTGTTCCAGACTTCAGCATGTGGCCTTCAAGACCCCCGATACCGAAGACGACTCCAGCAGGTACGGAATCTAATGCCTCCAGCCCACGGCCCATCATAAGATAGAGCGCAGTGATCTTGACTTTCTTTGGCTCAGGCGCGGCATGTGGGTGTTCTGGTGAGAACTTGGGGCCCAGTACGTACACCTCGTCACCCACGCTAAGCGTGCCAGAGTAGATACGGGCAAAGCCAATGAGATGCTCAGCCTTTTCCTCATCCGGTGCTGTCTCAGTGTTTTCTTCAGTCTCCCCAATAGCGGTCGCACTCTGTGCGTCTGTGACGCTGCTGATATCTGAGCCCTCGCCGTTAGCAGTAGCCTGTTGTCTAGCAAGCTCTGCTCGCTTCTTGCGCCCTAGGTCTCGTGCCTCCTCTGCACTCAATGCGCCAGCCCTTCGCTTGTTCTGTGGCAGCTCGCTTTCCGGGACAGAGAACATCTTGCTGACGTAAGCGACAACAGGGGCTCCTTCAGACTTGTCAGATGCCGTGATTGCGTTTCGGACTTCTGGTGCGACGTGATCAGCGCCAACTGATGTATCGATCAAATCCGGCATCCTCTCTGCCTGAGCCTTGGTGGGCGAAGGGAGGTACTCGGTGACGGAGACCAGCAAGGCGGTCGACAACGGCAGCCAGGAGGCAAAAAGAGCGGTCAGAACGGCACGCGGGTCGCGCGAGCGCAGGACGTGCGGTGGGAGGTTGAGGTTGAGAGACTTTGTAATCTTTTCGACCATGGCGGGATCTCTGATGTGCAGCAAATAAGTATATTGGCTAGAGTACGTACAAAACAAGCAGAAAGAATGAAGATTGAGGAAAGGAAATCCACGCACCCCTTCCCGTTGTTACCTCCCGTAGAAGCTTCGTAGATGGCCCATATGTTCTCCAGCACCAGCTGGACAAACATAGGCTTCAAATGGCGGCCTTTGAGATGCTTGGAGCTGAGTACGCGCTTCGTCTTCGGGTCTAGGAAGTAGTCGCCCCATAGTACCTTTTCAAGCACCGAGCGCTTGATGCCGAGCTTGCGCTCGTAGAGGCTGGCGAACTGCTTTACTGTGAATGCCCAGCCGTCGATGGCGCTGGCGAAGATGACATTGTTCTTCTCAGGCGCGAAGTAGATGTCTTCATCATCTTTCTCCTCGTACTCGGCAGGAGTGCTTGTGGTGTCTACGCTGTCACCGTTTTCTGATACTGTGGACGATGTGGTGTTAGTCTTCTCGGCAGCTGCGGCAGTGAGCCTCTCCTCCATCTTCTCGCGCCACCGGAGGTCGTCCTCCATGCGCTCGCCCTGGTAGAAGCTGCCCATGACGGCGTTTACCTGTTCTACGAGCTTGTTTAGATGTGTGTGTGCGTCAGCGGGGGTCATCTTCCATTCTGTGATTAGCCTGTCCATCTTGTTGATCACGAGCAAAGGCTTCAGCTTCTCTATCCACGTCTGGCGCAGGACGGTGACCGTCTGGCTGCACACGCCCTCTACGGCGTCGACGAGCACGATGGCGCCGTCGCACAGACGGGAGGCGGTGGAGACCTCGTAACTGAAGTCAATGTGGCCGGGCGAGTCGATCAGGTTGATCAGAAACTCCTTCTTCTCAGGCGTTGCGTCGGGGGCCGAGCGGCGCAGCAGCGAGAAGTACAGCGAGATGGCCGACGACTCCATGGTGATGCCGCGCAGCTGCTCATCGGGGCGCGAGTCGAGGTACCTGATCTTGCCGGCCAGCTTGGGCGAGATGATGCCGTTGGTGGCGATGAGGGCGTCGGTGAGCGACGTCTTGCCATGGTCGACGTGGGCGAGGATGCAGATCTGGAGGGGTCAGTATATAGAGAGGACAGTGGTGGCGCGGCGGCGTGGCTGACGTTGCGGACGCCCTCTGCCTGCTGCTGCAGGGTGACGAGCTGGTCGGCGGGGATGGTGGGCATGGCGGGCGGTGCGCCGGGGTGCGCGGTGTGGGCGGTGAATGGGCCGGAAGCAGAGGCGCGCGTGAGCGTGAGCGTGTTTCGGCGGGCCTGGACGCGGCGGTGGTGTGAGATTGCAGGGCGCGGTTGTCGCAGGTGCGGGCGTGTCAAACAGTCTCGTTGGGTTTGGAGTCGAGTGCGAAAGTCCGAGCGCCCCACCTCGCGCAGACGTCACAGCCAAACGGTGCAGCGCCGCTCCACCGCCGCCAGACGGCCGACTCGCGGCTCCCATAGGCCCGGCTGCGAGCATCGCCGCCAGACGGCCAGCACGCAGACCTCACCACTCCAGGCCGCGCATTAAGCGTGCCGCAGATAGAGCGTCCCCGCTGCGGCCGGCGTGCAGCGCGCCCATGCATTGCCCCTGTCGCGCGCCTCGACGATCTGCATCACTTCCATCATAGCAGCCGAAATATAATCTCGCCCAACAACACCCGCGCAGACCCTCGCGCACCTGCGACCAGACCTCGCCCGCCGAACCACACTTCGCGCCAGACGCGCCCACCCTCGACCACACTTGCACCCCTCGCGCTAGCACCGCCGCTGGATGTAGCTGCATTAAAGCCACCGCAGCCATGGCCGAAGGCGCGCAGCACACGCCTGCCAGACCGATCCCCATCGCCCGCGCCCCTGCGCCCATGAGTGCCAGCACGCCTGCGCCCACGAAGCTCACCACGCCCATGAGTGTCACCACGCCCATGAAGCTCAGCATGCCCATGCCCACCACCCCCGCCCAGCCGCGCCTCTCTACCATCCAGACCCAGGCCCAGACCGCCAACATCATGTCGCCCGTCAACCAGAACGGCTGCTTCGAGTTCGACCGCATCATCAAGGCCGGCTCTGTGCTGAAGCGCACACGCAAGACTAGGGTACGCCGCCCCCAGTCCAATATATGCTTCGCTAACCCGCGCAGCAATGGAAGCCCATCTACATCGTCCTGCGCCCCAACTGCCTGTCGCTGTACAAGGACAAGGCCGAGACCAAGCTGCGCCACCAGATCAACCTGTCCGAGATCACTGCCGTGGCGCGCCAGAAGGACTCCAAGAAGAAGATGGACCACGTCTTCGGCATCTTCTCGCCCGCTCGCAACTACCACCTCGGCGCCACCACCGACCGCGACGCCCAGGACTGGGTTGACCTCATCCGTGCAGAGGCCCGCATCGACGAGGAGGAGGGCGAGTTGATCTTGCTCAGTCCCACCGGCACCAAGACCTTCACCGGCTTCGACCGCTCGCCCCGCGCCCACTCCCACACCCTCTCCTCGTCCTCTGAGGCCGAGCCAGCGCCCCCCAGCTCTCTGTCGCCCGGCTCTGTGCCCTCTACTTCTCTGCCCTCCAGCTCTCTGCCGTCCAATTCTCTACCCTCCACCTCGCTCCCCGTCGGCTCGCCCCCGGCTAGCGCCGTGTCACGCGACACCCAGCCGGTGCCCATGCGCAGCGCGCGCCGGCCCTCGCAGGCCCTCAACTACTCTGGCAACGAGCACGGCTCCGTCTCCGACTTCGACTTCTCCGACTCTGCAGCCCCTGCGTCCTCGACCTCGCTCCCTTATTCCAAATCAAACACGCGCAATCCAGTCCCACGCAACCGCAATGTCAGCCAGACCTCGAATTTGAACAGCCCTCCTTCCACCTCCGAGTCTGACCCCGACCGTGTCGTCTTCCACGGGTGGCTGTACGTGCTCAAGTCAAAGGGTGGTGTGCGCCAGTGGAAGAAGGTTTGGGTTGTCCTCCGTCCGAGGTGTCTCGCCTTCTACAAGAACGCCGAAGAGTACTCCGCCCATCTGATCATCCCATTCGAGAGCATCATCGATGCCGTGGACATCGACGGCGTCAGCAAGAGCAAGCAGTACTGCATGCAGGTCATTTCCGAGGAGAAGAACTTCCGTTTCTGCGCGAAGAGCGAGAACGAACTGGCGAAATGGCTGGGCTCGTTCAAGAGCCTGCTTGTGAGGAGGAGAGAGGGCGAAGGCAAGCGGACTGCACAGAGCCAGGCACCACCACCCGTCCTGACAACAACCGCGGCCACGCCCACACTACCCCAAACGCCTGTCCTCCAGCAGAAGCGCGTCTCGATAGCAGAGTCCACCACAACAATCCCAACAATGCAGCCCATGGCCATCAAATGACCCCGGTCGTGCGGTACCTCGCTGCCAAAGCCGGATCTCGGCCGAACCGCGTCTGTACATACCCTGTATTCTCCGTCTCCTTTGTCACCTTAACACCCGCGCCCCGCGCCCTTTCCTTCCTCGTCTCACTGGTCACCCACGAGTCATGACTATCTGGCCTGGCGCCCCCTTGACGGGCGGGCTCCTTAGCATCCCTTGTTGGATAGCTGCATTTACTTCACTTTGTCTTGTTGCCGGCTGATATGCGCTTGTATAGTAGCTGTTTGTAGTACTTTTGTAATCTTGCCCGCGCTGGCGCCGGCGCGGGCTGTGAGAGTGTGGTGGGGCGAGTTTGTACCCATCGCAGAATGTGACAGGATTCTTCATCGACGCCTGAGTTTTCTGTTCCGTCATGGCTAACTTGTGTCTTGATAGGTGCACTCTCTCTATTAACTTTGATATTTCTGCCAACTCAGCACGCTTCTAGCTCAGTCTGTCCAGGTGTAGTGACGGGCTTGGCTGACTTCTGTTTTGTGACAGCTGCGGCAGTTGCTCTTTCCCCATCACCTTCGTATCCCCCCAACCGTCCCGAGCATACTTCTCACTGTCTCACTGTCTCACTGTCTCACTGTATCTGCGACGTTCAAAGCTGCGTTTCGGTCTACTTCATTTCGGCGTTCCACTTTCACTCTCACTTGTGAGACCCCGCACAACCTTGATATAACATTTCCCGACAGACAGACCCCGTCACAACCCATACGCTTTTCCTCCTCAACAATCGAACCATGTGGAATATTTCACGTGCTAACTTTCTCAGTCAAGCTTGCTTCACACTGTTGCAGAGCTGGACCACCACACCCACGTCCCGCGCACCAAGAATGTTGCTCCCGTTGACCTGCGCCTTTTATCGCGAATCGCTCCCTGCACCTGCCGACACTGGGATCGCCTTTGCGCTCCTGTTTCGGTTCGCCGCCGCGCTGCCTGCTTTCATTTACCAATGCCCGACTAATACCGAAGTCAATGCCTTCTATGCCAACGATGTCACGGCATTCAGCCAGCAGCTCGCCACCCTATTCCAGTTCACAGCGAAGCCTCCCATATTCGTGCTTTATGAGCTCAGCAACCTTGTCGTCGAGACACTTGGCGAGCGCTTCCCCTTCCTGGATGATGAAAGCGCGCAAACAGAACGACTATTACTACTAACCCGCAACTTACCAAACAACGCGAAACTGGAGCTCCTACAACAAGACACATGGCAGACCACACTAATATGCCTAAACATCCTAATCGACACCCACCTGCCACTCTTCCGTGCCCGCTGGTCAGACGCAGCCTTCAACTCGTTCGCGACCAGCTTCTCACACACCCTGACATGCAGCGCCACCCTCACGCCCCCGCTCCTCCCCACCCCCGACCTCAATCCCCTCGATTGCATGGACTACTTTCTCTTCGACGTGGCCCCCACCGCCACCGGCCGCGCCGCCCCCACCGCCTCCACCCTCGACTACGACTCGGACTCCTCTGACGACTCGGACATCTTCCTCCCCACCGGCCCCCGCATCCCGCTCTCCGCTTTCTGCCTCCCCATCCCCGCTCACTCCCCCCTCATGGCCGACGCGTGCGCCATCTGCGCCGCGCCCGTGGCCACGCTGCCGCCCGGCGACGAGGCCGCGGTCACCGCCTGCGGCCACGCTTTCCACGCTGAGTGTCTGGCGTCGTGGGTCAATGACGCGGCGGCCGCGAACTCAAATACGTGTCCGGCGTGTCGTGCGGTGATGTGCAAGGCTAGGGAAAGGGTGCTGGTGCATCGGTTTGAGGAGGCGGACGAGCGGGAGATAGAGTTGTTGCGGTATGTGAGGGAGGCGCAGGGATGGGAGCTGGGGGTTGGGAGAAGTCGTTAAATGGGGGGAGTTGTTGAATGGGGTCTAGTGCAAGCACTTCTCTTCATACAGCGTCAGCAAGACACACGCAGACCTTGGTGAACGATGGTGCATACACAACACCTAGAGCTAGCACAGTGTCACGCACATCACCAACACACCAGATTTGCTAACACGAGTCGCACTTGTGTCGCCATTGTTCACTTACGTCCGTTATGGACGCGGTGAATATATTCTACTAGCGGTCTACACCTCTGATACCAGCTTCTTCTCTTAACAGCTCTTACCCCATGTTCTTCGCAACAGCCAGACGTTGTCTTGAGAAGACCTCCGTGATGCACAAGGTTGGCTTTAGATGATGATTCACGCTCACGCGATTACGTGACAGCAGACCCTGCCGCAGCGTCAGGAAGCGCATTATCGGTTTCGCAACAACATACCGTATACGCGTTACCTGGCTTCACCAGTCCCGCAATTTTACAAAACGGATATATCGGCACCCGGCGCCCAGCAGGCTGCATTATCTCAAGCGCAACTGAGAACCACGAAATTTTCGCCGTGCCCTCAAACAATTTCGCTCCACGGAGTAAGTACAACAAAACCTCCCTTCTCGTCTCCCTGTATCAGACCAAAGAAACTCGACTCCCTATGATGGTGTTGTACTTCCACATGCCCTGCACCGCACCGCGAGTCTTATAGACCTGCTCCTTCTTCCCTTCTCCATTCCCACCCGTGGTATCCTCGACGCCCTGCTTCTCTAGATCCTCCACATGCTCGACCCTCCAGGATACGCTCATGCTGCGCAGTTCCGGTCTTGGGATTGACTCTAGCATCATGTGGTAGGGCTGGAAGACCAAGCAGCTCCCGCTGGTGTCCCCGTCGACGTCGAAGATGGCTCGGCGCTCGGCGAGCGCTTTGCTGCGGCCCTCGGGTTCGGTGTTGAGGACGGTGCACAGTGAGGCTAGCAAGTCGCCTTGCTTTAGCACAACGGAGGCCACGTCTGTGTCGCCTTTGGCTTCGGGCTCGTCGGAGGTGTTTTGCGTAAATGACAGGAGATTGCTTAACAGCCAGTGCGTGAGGAGGGTCGACTGATGCCGCCCCGCGTCGAGTGCGTGGTCGCTTTTGCCTCGCGTCTGGGCCCGGGCTTCTATCGAGGCGGCGTCGGCTTGTTGCGGCGTGTTCGCAATATGGCCCACCCAGAAGCCGCCTTTGCTCATGACGCGATCTATGATCCAGCACTGATGGAACCTGTTGTCGTCACTCCGATCGAGTGTAAACATGCCCCCTCTGTTTTCAATACTCAGTCCAGGGGGCAGTTGCAGCACAGTCTCGATTCCTCGTTCGGGCGAGTGTGCTTGCCACCGAGGATTTGATGTCGAGTTCAGGATTGCATCGGCGACCTGGATTTCATCCTGCAAGATCAAGTCCTGTATGATCTCAAACAAGAGATGAGTGGTCCCCAGTCGAACCGTCTCGTGTGGGGTCTTGGCCAGGTTCCTATTCATAGAAGCCCAGGAACTGCCATACTTGTTCCTGAGGTGCTGCATGTCAATATATTGATCCATGTTCCAGATCATTCCGACTAGAGACAGGCCCGAGCTTGACAGACTCATCGTGGAGCCAACACCGAGGGACGCATAGTTTCCATGAGGATTCCAGGATTCGGTGTAGATGTACTTCAACTGCGAGCAGACATCCGTACTCCACGAAAAGTCGGCTTTCTCGGATTCTTCGTTTCCAGGTGAAATTCTAGCTGTAAGTCTGGTCAAAGTGCGATCAAAGATATCTATTCCGAATACTTTACCGAGACCTTTGCCTGCCGGGAAACGGTAGACCTCGGGTGTGATCAATGAAAAGTCTCCATTCGCGAGGCTCAGTGCTATCATGCAGAGACCAAGGCTCTCCTGTGTCTCTTCCATCTTCGCGGTATTCAGCCTGACAGTATACCCACACATGTTGGCGACAATCGCCAGTTTATCGGCCACACATTGGAGATCCCGCAACCTCAGGTAGGTCAGCGCGACGGCTGCATTACACGTCCGTTTCAACCTCGACGTGTTTAGCCTAATCGTCATTGATGCTACACGGCGCGGTTCCTGTGGATGGAAGAGAACGATTCGCTCCAACGTATGCTTGAGCTCAGAAGAGGAAGCATGTGGAACATGCGTGGTGGTTTTCGGGTTGTCTAAGGCGGCAATCTGGCGATTGAGAACAGCGCTGACAGAGCTGAAGCACGATCTTATGCATGAGACTATCACGTCCAAACGAATAGCAATCTCCGAAAGAGACATTTCGTGGCAGACGAGAGTCCAGCTTCTTACATCGACGTTGCGTGAGCGTGGAAAAAGTAAGGTCATGTTACCGCTCGAAACAAAGGCTTCCTACAAGACAAACTATTAGCAGCGGTGACAATCTTATGACCTGACTAGACATGATCACCTGAAGTACCCATGCACGGGTGTTCCACTTGTCGTTGGCAATCAGTGAGACGGCCTCGGTCAGATCCACGAGGTTGAGGCCTCGACGACCATCGAGTCTCGGACGTCCACGCCGTGTGCTCAGGGTATGCGCATGGTTGGCCTCATACGCCAGAAGTAGAGCATTGAGATGTTTTTGTTCGAGGTTTGTGTGCAGTAACGCGATAGAGGTGTGAGCCTCAAGGTATACTAGATCCATTGCCTGAACAGCTAACTCCTTCTCTGAGGGCTTATCCTGCTCTATACACTCCTTGAGGCCATGTAAGTCAAGATTCTGGAGAAAAGACTGGCAAAGCATACCTGGTCGATCCATATCATCCGAAAGCCGTTTTGTCTTGCGAAATCGACAGCTCGATCGATGGTTGCGCTACTAGCACGCATATTGCGGAGCCGGCCATCTTCTTCAATGACCGTGTAGGGTGCTTTTGGAGATCCTCCAAACTCAGTACCTTCTGCTGCCCAACAGTACGACAGAGCAACAAAATGTCGGCATTGAGTCCAAGCCTTTGGGTCAATTCGACGGATTTTGAAGGAGGTGATAGTACCATTGTTGGGGAAAAGAGGAATGTGGCTACAGTGGGCGCAGGTGAGTTCGCAGATATGTACGCACGGATTTGTGTATGCTTTGAGAGCCTTGTCGCGTTCTTCATTGTTGTGTGTCCCTTGGAAATGCGACGTGCACCGGTGGCCAGAAGGAACTGGAGTTCGAAGCTCACACTTTTGACACTGTCCAGTGATGGAAGCGGGGATTGATCGTGTTCCTTCAGATGTTTCATCGGGTTTGTCGGAAGGAATGAATCCTTTTTCATCACAGAAACCGCCGGAATCATCAAAGGTGAGGAAACGAAGATCATGGCTCCAGCGCTCCGCGTGCGCGCGTACAACCTGATGCTTCAGAATCTCATCGATCTCATGCGACAGGTTGATACGAGATGCTTTGATCCCATTGTCCAGTTTTTTGGTATCATCTAACATGATATTCAGGATGGTCGCTGCGAGACGACTCTTCGCTGGGCCGTGTACGCGTGTTCGGTACTTCGTGTCTGGATGGGTTGCGGGACTGAGGTGCAGCCAGTTTCACATGGAATATTCAGCGCTCGAGAACCGGTGAAGATACTGACTGACTTGGCAGATTAGAGGGACCATGTCTGCCTACAGTGTCGTGCGCGTCCTTCCATGTAGGTCGGATGATGTAACTTACCATTGCAGATGGAGTTCGGATAGCCACGAATAGCACTCGTTCATTTGTGCACAATATTACACTGCATATTACCGGTGAGATGATCGGAGTTGTTTTGCTGTTCTTGGGGTCAGCATTGTATCGTAGTGAGTTGCGACTATTGACCAATAGCACAAATGGGCTTAGATCCTACGAGCATGGCCTAAGAATGCTGGTACTGCAATTGGTTCCCCCTCGAGGTGGCACAGCCGAGATGATGTGGCACCTGTGCCCTTCAACAGTCACCGGATGTAAATGATTCTGGATAAGGCATCAATCCACATTTCGAAAATGCGGCCAAGAGTTAGGTACACGTCATGTTAGTAAGATCCTTAAAGAAGATAGAAAGACTAGAGCGGGTCCTGGCTCCATGGTATCTGTAAACTTTCGCAATGACTTCTCGCTGTGTAAGGCCGGTGCCCCCGGATTTCCCCCCTATGACAGGTTGTGTATATCGTTCAGCAGACATAACACCTTCTTACAGAACAACGAATGAATCTGATGACGATGCTGAGCCAGAGGAGGAAGGAGTAAATGTCGAACCTGGAATGCTGGTGGAAAGCAAGGATCTTTATCGCTCTGACCCGCGTGCTGAATGGGCTGTGTGGGCACCCGATGATATTGGAATCGATTCAAAGGAGACGAAAGCTTCAGCCAAGTTCGCACTGATCGTAAAGCGCGAAAAAATACAGGAAGATGATGGCTCGTCAGCACTCAAGGTCCACTCCGTTCAGGTACAAAGCCCTCTCATCAAAGACTCGTTAGGCCCTGTTTTTGCGGGCTACCCAGGAATCAAGACCAGTCTCAAGAGGCTCAGGTTTGCTGCACCGTTTCGAGAGTTCTTTTACAGATGGACGGAATTCGTACAAGCCTCAAGAGACTCACGACAAGATGAAACAAAAGCCGCACACTTCAAACTTCTGTTTGACATTATCTCTACCGAAATCCAGCCTCAAATCGAAGAAGTCAAAGACCTGGTGGCAAATGAAGTCATCAATTTCACTTACCTCTGGGCAATATTCGAACCTGATATGGAAGTATACTCCCTTGTTGATGGACAGCATCGACTTTACCGCATGAAAAGTGCGACTTACGTCGACACACCTAGCGGCAAAAAACTCTTCCAATTGAGTTGTCAGTTTGTCGATACAGATGGCATCGACTTCGGATACAATTCTACGACTCTCTCAATTCGCGAGTTCGCCGATGTCGTTTCTATTGTGAATCTGACTATTGTTCCCGCACATATCAAACCAGGCATCGACTCTATCCGCACCCAACTCACGCAGCGGGGAAAGAGATTCGAAAATTTGAAGGGCTGCCATTACAAGGCCTACTCTGGAGACCAAATTCTAGCTAACCCTTCTCCGTACATCTCACAGAAAGTGAATGTAAGTCTTCTTCGATATACAACCCGACTTTGTACTAACATAACCTCAAGCTCCGCAACGGTCGTATCATGATCGACAATGCTATGTATGATCGGTACAACAAAGGAAATGAGAAATCTCTTCAACCACTGAACAGCCCGAACTCTGCAAGACCAAACGGGTCTTCGGGAATTGGCTTTGACGTCTTTGATGCATTTGATCTTAGCTATCAATACGCCCCACCTGTCTACAATGCCATGAGACAGAGTATGCAGCGAGCCAAGCACCAAGAGGCTCAGATGCAATTTCAAGCTAAACGTAAGTCCTATATATAAAGCAGACCTCAACTCAACTAATCTCGGAAAGATGATTCGGGAACCAGTCTTGCTGAAGAACACTATGCGTTCTGCACATCGATGGTTCGCGGCTTCTGTTTGACATCAAAGAAATGGGGTAGGTTGCCTGTCTAACAACCGTTGATCCACATTCACTGACACAGCTCGGTAATTAGTATCAGTCTACGTTGACAAAGTTGCTGAAATCTCATGGAACGAGGAGGCATTCGAGCGTCTGGTACTTCCTCATGACAACAAACGCTTGATCAAAGCATTTGTCCAAACGCAACTGAATTCGGAAGATGCATTTGACGATGTCATGAGTGGAAAAGGTCAGTGCCGGCATTCTGTTTACCCTTCATGTCTTTAGCTCACCACCGATCAGGCCAGGGTATCATCATGCTGCTCAGCGGCGAACCTGGAACAGGTAAAACCCTCACTGCCGAGTCAGGTAAGTCATGTCCACACTCTTTACAAAAGCCGTATCTTGACAACTGCCCTAGTTGCTGAAGTGATGCGCAGCCCCCTATACTCAATAGGTGCAGGTGAACTCGGCGAGACTGCTGATGAAGTCGAGAACAATCTGCGTCGAGTCCTCGAGGTATCCACAAAATGGGGCGCTGTGCTCCTCCTCGATGAGTGCGATGTCTTCCTCGAACGGCGCTCAGCCAAGTCCATTCAGCGCAACAAATTAGTCTCTGTCTTTCTGCGCCTGCTGGAGTACTACCAAGGCGTCATGTTCTTGACGACGAACCGCATGGAAGCACATGATCCAGCGTTCGAGTCTCGCATTCATCTCACGATCCAGTTCCCGAAACTGAGTTTCGACTCGAGGCTGCATATCTGGAAGACATTTGTGCGACCGAAACAGTCAGAGTCAAAGTACGCAAGCAACATTGACGACGAAGAGTTGGAACACCTTGCGAAGTTGGATTTGAATGGTCGTCAGATCAAGAATGTGGTGAAGACGGCGAGACTCTTAGCTGCAAGTGAGAAAACATCCTTGGAGATGGATCACATTGACGCAGTGTTGATGGTCAAATAGTAGCTCATGAACAGGCCTGCAGTACTAACGTGATTGTCGAGCATGGCCCCATTTTTTGGTTGGCTGGATACATGTCAGCGAACACTGTACATCATATCTTTCACAATGCAACAGAGTACTACACGACCTTTTGTTTTTTGATCCTTAGCGAGTCCGGGTAGTCACAACGTCCCATCCTCGATTTCCGTCTCGATTATTATTCGTCATACTTAAGTAGTAACCCGTTAATGTTGGAGAATATACAGTAAATCTCGAAGCATGTTGCCAAAGTCCTGTATGAAGAATGGTTTATGCTTCACAGGTGACGGGAGTCTTTTAATTAGAAAAAGCCAACACAATATTTACAAGTTCTTAAGTCACTCCACACCAAACCCAATCTTTGCGTTTCCTGGCCTGGTCACCGGTATGCAGACTTTCCATTCCCTTCCTTCTGTCTTCCCACATACGACCGTAGCCGTGCTGCTCAACCGACTCGATCTCAGTGGTGGTGATGCAATATCCTGAATGCTCACTCGTCTACTCCGAGGCCATGGTGATAGCGGTGCTTGTGTTCCGTCACGAGAAAAGGAGATGTTTCGGCTGAACTCGCGGATGCGAGCTGGTGTTGTCGTGGCCACGAGAGATGTCAGGAACGGGAGGTTGGCGAAGACGATGAGAAGTGTAATTTCGTAGATGTAGTAGAAGAGGTACTTTTGCGACATCGACGCCATGATGATGTAGATTCGTCCAAGTGTGCCAAGAATGAGGGTCGAGATACCAGTGACCATAAGAATGGTAAGCAGAAGACGCCGTGGAGTAGGAATGAACGGGATTGGGATAATGAGCACGAGGATAGTCGTCAAGGTGCTTAATACCAAGGATACAATAGCATAGTTGTGGTAGGTCGACTCGTCCAATTGTGTTGGACGGCACCAAGATAGCAACAAAGCCTGTGTTGTGATAAAAAATAGGGCGCACATTGTCGAGACGACTTGAATATAGCGTCTTCGAGCGGTGCTAAATACTACTGGACTTCTCGGGTCAGTAATGCCCGAAGCAAAGTAGAGCTGAAACTTACAAGATCCGCCAGTACAACACTAAGAGACACACTTTGACCAGCCATGTCATCGTGATGTGCAGCACTTCGAGGACAAATCGGTATGTTCTCTGCTTCTCTAATTGTGCTTCGCTCACGGAAACTGTCAGAATAACAGAAGCTGTCAAAGGCAGTAGGAGAAAGATCATAACCCAGTCATCAGCCTGAAGGTGTCTAAATGACTTGAGCATGATGCGTCGGAACATCAATCTTGCAAAGATGATCGAGACTGACAGCGCAAAGAGCGCCCATGATTGAGCCGGAAGGAAGTCCATATCGAGGGTGAGTAGTGATAGGGAGGGGGACAAAATAGTAATACAACGATCAAGAAGCGAACATGATAACGAATAGTGCAGACTAAGATGTGGAGTGCAAGTGAAAAGCAACGACGGGTAGTTATTGCGTTCGCCAACTGTTCCAACATGTGCTGTGTCACCCTAGTATATCAACATGGCTTCCCCATGTCTTAGACAAGCCAGAGCACCGCCCACGCTGTCGATCTTGCATATCTACGCGGGATGGCACCCTTTTGGGCCGAAGAGGGAGGCCTCATCTGCAAGACGTCGCGAGGAAGCGTCACGCTGCATCCGATGTCCAGGGACTGAGATCGCAAAACGAGAACATTGGTAGCAACCTGAAATCATCAACGCGTAGTTGTTGCTCACCGACACTTGGGTAGGGTGCGGACGACAAGGTGAGAAAAGAGGATCGGGCCCGGCACGCTGGAACCACAGCCTAGCGAGGCGGTCTCAGCCCCCACCAATTCACCAATCTATCATCATCACGACGGGAATGGCAGTAAAGGCCGTATCGACGTCGGGTTTAGCTCTGATTGACCCTGATTTACAGCACGGCTTCGCGCTACGACAGGGATTGACGTCTCGCTTCCCACATCAGCTCCTCCCGTCACGCCCACCCGCTGTCGCTTTCGATGGGAGGGACTTCAGGTTGATCTACACGCATGCAGCATCGACATTACTTGTCCTACGACTTAAAGACTTGAATCTTTGGGAAATGTTTGACAAACGTGGGATCGTGAGGATAACGGGTGGTCCCTGGATGACAGAGCCGCGATATGTGGAAAAAAGCAAAGTTGCCCGTACCGGCCACGCCATCAGCCGCACGTATACACACGCCTCCTTCGCCACACCACAGGAGCAGAGCTTACTCGACGACTCACATGAGAGAGACCGGCCATGAAACTTGAGAGTCTATTGAAAGATGTGGTTCGCGACCACTGTGCTGGAACAAGCTCACTCCATGATTCTCCGGCCCGGCCCCACGAGACATCGTGTTTCCCGAACCCTATCCTCAGTACCCATGAGATACCCCACGAATCACTATCGTGCCAAGCTGACACGAGCCGCTCTGCTTGATACGACTGCTCAGGACGCCCTGTCAGGTCAGTATCAGATCAGTACTCTAGATTAGGCACTACCCACTATTGCGAGCAAAAGCTGGCGCCGTGGGGAGAATCGCGAGGCGTCTGATCGGCTCACTTCAGACGCGGCAACTAATGTCGTCAAATCGTGCCATAGGACACTACAATTGTTCTCGAGCTGCAATGATCGGCACGAGCCGCTCGAGGCCAGCATTGTCCACGCACCCCTGCATCTGTGGCGAACACCGCTCGTGCTTCCAAAATCTAGATTGTATCCAGGTGTCGGTGTACGCAAAGCTTAAACGCACACTGGAAGTCCACAAGCGGAGGGCAGTCCTACGGGTTTTCCGACCCCCAGACCATATACCTGCAGCATCGAGATGCAGTGCTACTGCATCTCCGTATTGGAAGTGCTTGCTGCAGCATACGAGACCGAGCACTCGTACCCGTACCTGGTCACAAAATCTCGATTACGCGCGACCCATGTCAGCGCTTCGCAGCTATCGCTCCAGAGAAGGGAATTCAAGTCTCCCTTCGGGCTGAAGTGGCAGGGTATGGCTAGCCTGAAACATGTATGACATCTTTGGCTGCTGAGTGACCGCAAGTCGAAGGTTTATTGAACGAAGAGGGAGGTGATCAGAACGAATATTCTTTGCTCAGACATTACGAATATTTGCAAAAGCTGGGTCGAAGAGCAATCTCTAATGCCGCATTGATCGGCAGACCTGGTACGCGGAACTATTGTACCCGAAGCACTCTTCTTACCGAGCTGCTGTGACCACGCGTGGCCGAGTATCCGGTGGGACGTCGAAGCTATTGAACGCATGGCGAACCGAAGGGAGAAGTATCGGCTAGCTGGGTGGATAAGGTGGTACATCAGCGTGATGTTGAAATAAGTAAAGGCATAAATCGAGACGTTGACGGCAAGATCAAACCGGGGCTTGATTCCAAGGTCTCATGCACGGAAAAAGCAGACGACGAGAAGGATCGAAGCGGTGTGATCGTACATCATTGATGGATTGAAATGAGACATCACGGCATAAGAAAGTTTGTCGCCTTCATGTCCTCAATCTTGCACCTGATGGCACTAGATCAGAGACACAAAGGCACCACCACCCGATTTGAAGAAGGTGGATGATGGCGGGGTTTACTCTCGCTTCTATGTCCACACTGACTCAACGTGAGAAATACGTAACGGCCAGCTCTAGCTAATGTAGAAGCGGATGCAATCAAAGCCTCTCGGACCGGAGTCGTCAACGAAGCATTGATAGCCCATACCCATCTGCAATACCCGCTGCTCATGACGAGCAACAAGAGTCGCATTGAGTGGATTCCCCAGAGGCACTGTATCCCTCGAGCCGTTGTCGATGCCGAAGTCTAGATCGTGACGATCGAGACAAGCAGACATCTACCAATTGATGCACACAGGGAGGCTGCGACCTGTTCCATGACCTACTGGCCGACTGCTGTAGCGCTATCTTCCACGCCAGTGGTCTTGTCTGATACACAGACATGTGGTGATGGTAGAGTGCAGTCACCGACCGATCTTCAACAGAAGCAAGAGAGCAGTGTTGAGAGTATCGGAGAAGAGGCAGAACGGGCAGAGAGCGTCGAACAAACTGCGAACCGAGACTGTCACCTCCATCTCAAATTGGTAATGAAACCGCAAAGCATCGTCCGCAGATTCTTGTCACTAAAACGTGCCAGGGACCTTTCGGCCTGTCAGAGTCGCTCAAGAGCGAACTCAATGTCTGTTGGCTTCTTCCTTCCAGTCTGGATCCTGACGCAAAGAGCTGTTGCTTTCGCTTGGCTCCCGACCTACACAGGCTCCATGTGTAAATTTCGGGGGAACACCCCTATGTGACAAGTCCAGCGTCAACATTATCTGTTGTACGTGTCTCCCTCCTGCGTGTAGCAGTATCGAAAACACGCAACGACAAGAACAAAAGTCGGTCCCCAGCTGGTATGCTGTACGGGACTTGTAGACCAGAGAAAGGTCATTGGGCACAAAACACGTATGAACGTGACGCCACAAATTGCAAGGCCTTAGCCAAGTCATAAAGCAGACTCCTCGCCAACCACGCCAGAGTCCGCGTTGCTCGTGTGTGCCTAACTGACTGCCTTGTAGAGTTGCCTTTCACCTCGAGACCAGGGGTGCGGTTTCGTCGGTATATCGGTGTAATCTAGCATGGCTGTAGGGCGCAGCGAGTTCGCAGGGCAGCGGTGTAAAGTTGGCTCGTCGTGCTTTGTAAGAAGATAATCGGGGATCGCTGACAGCAATATTCCCACTTCTGTAATGTCTGACCTTTTCGACTGCAGAATTCAATCTCCGACCCTTGCCTACAATGACGCTCAACCTTGGCAACGAGCTGACGCTCCAGTTGTATGTGGCCGGCGATCGGTATAGGGTGCGAAGTGGGGGGCGAGTCTTGTTGATTGCAGAATTCATGACTCCGACCCTTCCCTTTAGGCTTACGCAATGTAGCCGTTGGTATTGAGTGCGAAGTGCTGGGCGAGTCGTCTGACCGCAGAATTCATGACGTCCGACCCTTCCCTTTAGGCTTACGCAATGTAGCCGTTGGTATTGAGTGCGAAGTGCTGGGCGAGTCGTCTGACCGCAGAATTCATGACGTCCGACCCTTCCCTTTGGGCTGAAGCAATGTAGCCGTTGGTATTGGGTGCGAAGTGCTAGGCAAATCGTATTCAACTGCAGAATTCATGACTCCAATCCTTCCCTTTGGGCTGAAGCAATGTAGCCGTTGGTATTGGATGCGAAGTGCTAGGCAAATCGTAGTGTGTGGTCTTTGAGACATGGAAGGCTCCTGTGAGGATACCAATGGAATTGCGAGCTTTTCGCTCGATTTGAGCCAACCCATATTTCAGGCTGCTGGCTGCGGGACGTCTCCCGACTTTGTGCAAGGAAAGGACAGTGCCTGCTTGTCGTTCACGGCAAGGAATAGAGCAAGAGCTCCTCCTGTGGCCGGACTGAAGACTTCCACGTCGCTGACTTGGATGTGCTGCTGCACTCCTCGTCCGTGGTCATACTCGATGTGGGGGAGCACCTATCTGTACCGGGGGCCAGACCGGCAGACAGTGCTATGCCCGAGGAGGACTACGCCTCAGATCCATGATCGGCATCCTGAACGCGCCGGGACGCGTCGCGGATACGTCAGGAATGGTGTAGAATGGGGGGTGGTATTGATCAAGAGTGTTCTTGGATCAATTTGGAGGGGTAGGAAATGGTAGTTTTGAAAGGTAGATAAATGTGAGGCGTCTGCATTTGTGGAAAGCAGACGGAAGAAACTTGGCGCAAATTAGAGCAAAGCTGTAGCCTCCAAGGGCATGAGCACGCCAGTCTGGTGCGGTGAGGTGTAGAGTACAAAGATCGAGGGACTCGGGCTTTATAAAGTCTTGGTGGAGACGCGTAACAGAGGAGGTTGGGCGCGTCTGAAATTTACCATAGAGTGGTGCGTGCGCTAGCAGCTGCTAGCGTACCACAAACTGTGGGGCCAGCGCGCGTGCGTCATTGAGGGCGAACATCATCGTTCACAGTTGCATGTGAAGGCGGATCTCGTTCACGGACAGTACAATGGTAAGTTCTGGACGTGCTTGACTGTCACACGGACTGTTCTTGACGTTGTTGCAGCCACCAAAGCGCCGCGCCGCTCCAGCAAAGGCCCGCCCGGCACCAAAGCGCGCCTCGAAGCTTGCCAAAGAGAATGGATTGAACGCAGATCAAGAGGCTGAGATCCGCGAAGCCTTTGGACTCTTTGCTGTACACCATCCCGAGCATGAAGACTCAAAGGAAGGTGTCTTGCGCAAAGATGATGTGCGCAGGTGCTTGATGTATGTTCAGGCCGTGAGGCGCCGAGTAGTGTACAGTACCTGACCAGCTATAGCTCACTGAATCTTGCGCCAGAGAAGTCTGAGATACCTTCAATTCTTGAAACCATCGACCCACTCAACACTGGCTTTGTTGAGTTTGAACCGTTCTTCTCGTATGCTGCCATCGCCATGCACACTAAAGAGGCTGGATCAGACGAGGATATGGAAGACGACGATGACGACTACCGGGCCGAAAGCAACGCAGAGGAAGTCAGTACAGGCTATCAGCTCTTCACTCATGGCGGTTCTGGGCCTATTACACTGGGGCATCTCCGGAGAGTAGCCAAAGAATTGAGGGAGGATGTGCCTGATGAAGTCCTGAGGGATATGATCCTTGAGGCGAATGGTGGCGTGCGAGGCCAGGGCAAGGACGTTGGCGGAGTAACGTTGGAGGAGTTTGAGAGTGTGATGAAGCGGGCTGGACTGTCCTTTGGATGATGGAGGGCTTTCGACTGCGACAACGCCTTGATTCGCTTGGGTTTTCACCATCGAACCTCCCACTCCCGCCCAAACACTTCTCACGGCGAAGTCTCGATACCAAGATGCAGGCTCATTTTCCACACAGTGCTAAGGCAGGTACTCTTGTCAGGTCCAGCTCGAGCTTTCGGCATCGTTCTCCTCTCAAAGTGTCTGAGACGTCACGATTTGGGAGAACAGCAGAAGTTGGGCTGTTGAACCAACTGAGGCGTTGTGAGGAATCTCAACCGAGCCACTAGTGAGTCTGAAAGATGGGCCACAAGAGTCTCAAAGAAAAGCAGTTATACGTAGATATATTCATGTGTAATACGAGTGCAGCTCAATCTAGTAACCTAAAATACTCTGCACCAATCACAGCCATCAGACTGCGGACATCAGCGCTGAAAGTTGTTTGCTTGGCAATTCAGGGATGCTCAACGGCGGAGGGAACACGACGCAAGTGCAACAGAAGGGTGTAACGAATTAAACACCAACCCAGTCATCTTCTCCCTTTCCCATAGGCACTGCAGTATGTCTTTCCCCTTAGTGCGCCCAATTGCACCGTAGCTTAGACTAATCTCGGAATGCAGTGCCGCTCGATGCACGCCGCCTAATCCCCCAGACCCTTTTCTTACTCCCCTAGTGGCATGTCCAGCGGCGTTGAAGCCCCCGGCCAACGACGACCCGGCATTTGGTCCTACCTCAGCTTTACAGGCCCTCGCCGCCGTGTCTCCGTGTCCCTTCCACGTAGCTACAATCCCAACAGCGATCCTCACGAGAAGCCCGACCGCCATTCGCGACACCGCCCAGCGGACTCTATGAGCGACTTCAAGGGCTCCGCGATGTTGAACCAGGGGCAGCGCATGCGGTACCTGAAGACGGGTGGCATTATCGCCTTCGTCTTGCTCGTGCTGTACTTTATTGCGCCACATGACGGTCTATCGAGAGGTGCGTGGAGAACAACACATGTGGAAGCCTAAACTAACCACCACCCATAGGAAGCGTATCTGGCGGCAACACAGCAGCGGGCGGCGCGAAAGCGACATGCACAAAGTCCTACTCGAAGGACAAGCCACTCATCCAATATGCGCTTATGATCGACGCCGGCAGCACAGGCTCTCGCATCCACGTCTACAAGTTCAACAACTGCGGCCCCAGCCCTGAGCTCGAGAGCGAGGTCTTCGAGATGACACCCAAGAAGGAGGGCGGCTCCGGTCTCTCTTCGTACGGCGACGACGCTGAGGGTGCTGCGAAGAGCTTGGACGTGCTCATGGACAAGGCGGTCGCGAGCGTTCCTCCCGAGTACCAGCGCTGCTCGCCCATCGCCGTCAAGGCTACAGCAGGTCTCCGCAAACTCGGCGAGGAGAAGAGCAACAACACACTACGCGCTGTCCGTCACCGCCTGGAGACCGCCTACCCCTTCCCTCTCGTCTCCGAGGAGAATAACGGCGTCGAGGTCATGCCTGGTGAGATGGAGGGCGTCTACGCTTGGATCACTATCAACTATCTCCTCGGCAAGATTGGCGGCCCAGACAAGACACCTACAGCCGCGGTGCTCGACCTTGGTGGCGGTTCCACCCAAATCGTCTTCAACCCTACCTTCCCCGATGTCCCCCGTGGCGGCCTCCCCAGCTCGCTCGCAGAGGGACCCCACAAGTACGCCCTCAACTTCGGCGGCCGCAACTTCGACCTCTACCAGCACTCGTACCTGGGCTACGGCCTGATGGAAGCGCGCAACAACCTGCACAGCGCCATCGTCGACGCGCTGTACCAGCAAAACAAAGACTCGGGCGCCACCGACTACCTCAAGAACCCCATCGTCAACCCCTGCATCGCGCCCGGCATGAGCCGCGAAATCGACGTCAAGCTGCCCGCGGGCCACGCCCTCGGCGCCTCGCTCACCGTCAACATGACCGGCCCCGCCACCGGCGCTCCCACCCAGTGCCGCGGCTGGGCCGAGAAGACCCTGCACAAGGACGACGAGTGCAAGCTCGCCCCCTGCGCGTTCCGCGGCGTGCACCAGCCGCCCTTCGAGCAGACGTTCGCCTCCGAGCCCGTCTACCTGCTGTCCTACTTCTACGACCGCACCCAGGACCTGGGCATGCCCGAGTCGTTTACGCTGCGCGAGCTGCACAGCCTCGCCGACCGCGTGTGCCAGGGCGAGACGGGTTGGGACGCGTTCACGCCCGTCCCCAAGGCCATTGAGGAGCTGCGCGGCCGCCCGGAGTGGTGCCTCGATCTGAACTTCCAGCTCGCGCTGCTCAGGACCGGGTACGGGATGCCGCTGGATCGCGAGGTGCGGATCGCGAAGCAGATCAACAAGAACGAGTTGGGCTGGTGTCTGGGCGCTTCGTGAGTTTCTCCCTTTTTGATGTTCTGATTGATTGCTAACACACGTATAGTCTGCCTCTGCTGGAGAAGGAGTCGGGCTGGCAGTGCAAGATCAAGGAGGTCAACTAAGCGACTTGCCTTGGTCTTCTGTCTTTCAAGGGGTCACGACATGAGTACTGTACTATGGATGTTGGGAAACGTAGGTTGAGCATAGATAGGCGTTCAGGTTCGGGCATTGCTGTTGTCCAGCAGCCCTGTCACTGGGTTGGTTGGCCTCGAGGTTTTGTAGCGTAGAAGGAGCAATCGAAATTGACATTCTGCCCTAAACTCCCATGCCATGCAAAAATTGACTCCAGCTCTCCGTCTACACTCAGCTCAATAGTCTAAAGCTACGTCTTGGGTATCCTGACCTGGCGAAATTGCCATCGCTCCGTTTTAAATGCACTTAAGACCGCGCCAGCATCTCAAAACGATCCTATCTGCCCCTTCGTATACATGGTCTGCCTGCGCTTCGCCCTCTTCTTCTGCTCATGCGTCATGCCCAGCGTATACGCGCCGTTCCTCGTGCCACGAGAACTGATCTTCATCTTCGCGCGCTTCAACTTGAACTTGCCGGCCCACCTCCTGACCTTCCTGATGATGGTCTGATACAGAAGCACCAGGACGGTGACGAACATGACGGGGACGGCGATAATCCAGAAGAACGCATCTGAATTGTGCTGCACGCCGTTGAAGCGCTCGAAGTTCTGCCCAAAGTATCCGACCAAGAAGGTAAGCGGCAGGAAGAAGATGGTTACTGCGGTGAGCACTTTCATCGACTCGTTTTGGAACGCGCCCATCATATTGAAGATAAGGTCAATTAAATTGTCGGCTGCGCGTCGCATCTGGTCCAGCGAGGCTGTGATCATAATGCAGTGGTCCTCCACGTCGCCCAGATATGTGTGCGCCAGGGGAGAGATGGTGATGGAGGACATCGTCTTGCGGGTGGCTAAGTTGGAGTTCTGGTGCTGGATCCAGCTTTGCTGCATAGGATCGGACTTGTGGTCGCGGAGAGCGTTGATGAGAGAGATGATGGGCTGGATCGTGTTGCGCAGGATAGAGAGCTCCGATGTGAGCAGGTAGAGTGAATGTGAGTGGTGGATTTCCGGGTCTTCCAGAACGTCGAGTTCGAGCTCGCCCATGGCGTCTTCGTACGCAGCGACGACAGGGATGGCCAAATCGATGATGGCGTCGATGATGGCCTGTACGATCATGGAGCTGTCGGCGCTGCGGCGCAGGATAGTATCCTGAGTGTTGAGACGTTTAAGAATGAAGGATTCAATGATGTCGGCCGAGTGTTCGAAGAAGGAAATCACGCTGTTGTCTGAGCAGAGAAAGATGCCGACCTGCTCTACGCTGACGGTAAGGTCCTTGTCCGTGAGCGCTGAGTGTTGTTCGAGGTAGAGGATGCGCTCCAAGTTTGGTCCTCCGCGATAGCGCTGAAGAGTGCGAACACCCCCATTGTGCGCTTGTGGCCCCGATAGGCCAGGTGAATCTAGGTCGTCTAGCATGTCATCACGCTTCTCGAGGTTGTGAAGAGTATGCTCTACGTCTTTCGGCTGATTGGAACCTGCTCCTAAGCCGAAGGCATTCTTGACCTTCTTCATCCACGACTTCTTTTTCTTGTTGTGTGCATGTTGTGCAGCTCGAGAACGTGAGTGCGAGCGCGCATGTCTGGGCAGCTCATCGTCCGAGTCTGAATCGCTGTCTGAGTCGTCGGTGACATTTCGCACGAGCTTAGAGAGTGTCAATAGCACTGAAAGCGTTAGTAGGGTGCTAAGAGGCGTAGTTGTTGGAAGCTATGGATCTCGGGTACCGGCAGGCTCGCGCAAAGGGCAGACCACTTACTGAAAGCTTGATCGGAGTACCAGTCGACCTTGGTCCGCTGCTCTCGACCTGTCATCAGATCCTCAATTGCAAGGCGGTGCAATTGCTTGTGAGTAGTGAGCTCACTGATCACGTCGAAGTCCAGCCCGTTGACGTTGACCCAGCGACACTCGACCCAGTCATCCTTGGGTCGCTTGACAAATTCTTGCAGTGTGTCGTTGTCCAGCTGGTACGTCTGTATCCGCTCGGCAGAAAAGTCAACCACGGTGATGTCGCAGGCCTGGCGCAGGTGCGCAAAGCGTGCAGCAGCCTCCTCATCCTTCACATCCACACCAGGCTCGGCACCTGGCTCCTCCCATGTCGCTCGTGTCGGCGACTGGTAGTGACGGACAGTGTTGGAGCGCGTGATGCGGCGGCGCAGGGTGGTGTCGATAGATGAGCGACTGAGGGCGGGCGAGAGGATCTGCTCGATGTTTGGCTGGGCTGCGGTTGCCGTTGTTGAGGTCGCAGACCTGCCGCGGCTTCTGCTCTGGGTCTGCTGGTCCTCGAAATGAGTCTCAAGATGCAGTCTGGGCGACTCTGCCGCGGATGCCCGTCGGCCTTGGGGGACCGACGGAGAGCCTTGGGCAGCAAAGTCTTGGATCTTGGGGCCTAGTGGTGAGGCCATCACGTCTGCGTGGTGTCGGCAGCGCGCGGTGAGACGTCGCAGGCGCTGTCCTGGAGGACTTCAGGGGACCGCCGAACGTCAGAGCGGGAATAAAGATGGGTTTTAGGGGCCATGAGCACGGCGCTGGTGTGGCAGAGACAGACCGTGTACAGACCGTGTCCTATTGATCGGCTGCTGTCAACCCATGTTGTGTACAAACACGGCCTGAAACTTTTCAGCTGGGTGCGCCCGCGGCCACGGTCATCAGCGGTCTAGCACCACCAGCATGAGCACACACTGGTGCCCATCCATTGCCAGGCGTGCGTAGGTAAGCAGGCCCCTGTCCAAAGTTGGCAGCGAGCGCCGATCGCGATCAGCGCATGCAGCAGTTCGCTCGAGGTTCGCTCCGCAGCCGGAGTTTCGGCTCGAGGCCGTGTGCACGTCTCGGCAGTGCTCGCAGGCTCGCAGGCTCTGCATGCGCAGTGCTGGAGAGCAGGTGAGCGGCGATGAGGTGGCAGGCCAGGGTCGCAAGCGAGACGCCGAGAGGCTGCCAGAGGCTGCCAGAGGCTGCACGCCGCACGCGCATTGCATTTCTCAGCACCGGACAGTCATCACCATCATGCACTCGGCCGGCGCAGCAGCGCAGCGATGCTTGGTGAGCGTCAGAATTTGCAGGCGACCAGCTGTCGCGGCGCCCTGCAGGCCACAAGCGCGGCGGCAGACAAAGCAACGGCGCGCGCAGCTGCCCCGGGCGGCGGTGCGGTGCATTTGAAATGAGGTCGAGGCTGCTCCCATTCGCGGGCCAGCTGCTGTGCCGAGATCTCCACTCGCGGGCCATGACCGCTCATCAAACCGCCTCTCCCCCCATTCCCACCACACCAGCCTCATTGAACATACTCTAGCACGCCCATACTCTTACCGCACCCGCCGCCGCGCAGAGAGCCCCAGAGCCGCCCCGCTGCGCCCTGCCCCTGCGGCCCCCTCGACTGAAGCGCCCCCAGCTTGCCACACCACGCTCCTGCCGTGCCTGGGACACCCCTAACGCACAGCAAACACTCCCATCTCGCGTCCGCCCATCACCCTTGCGCCCGCCTCGCCCGTCCGCCGCGCACTGCAGAGACTGCAGAGACTGCAGAGCACCGCAGAGCACCGCCGCCCCAGAGCGTCCGCTGCCTGTCGTCGCCGGCTCTCTTTCACCCGCCTGCTAGTCGCCCACCACATGCGACACTAGCGCTGCACCACCCCACGACTCCTCATCCTCACCTGCCCGCCACGGCCCGCCGCTGCAGCGCCCGCCACCATGCGTGAAGTCAACTTCAGCATCCCCAACGCCAACAAGGCCTCGGTCGGCATCACGACCGCCCTCTACGACCGCCGCGCCCTCGACTGCACCTCGACCCTGCCGCTGATCAACTCGCTCAACCATCTCGCCTATCTGACCACCTCGTCCGCCCGCATCAGGGACATCCTGACCGTCGATGGCGGCATTGAGCGTCTGATATGCATCCTCAAGGAGGGCCGGAGCAAGGACATGATGGACATGTGGAAGTGGAACCTGGCCTTCCAGTGCATCTTCAACATTGGCGTGCGTGGCTCCGAGAACGTCAGGACCCGCGTCGTCGAGGCCGACATGGTGCCCGTCATCGCCACCATCCTCGACAACTACATCAAGGTCGTCGAGAAGTACAGGCAGAGGGCTGAGGCCGAGCTGCACCGCTCTGCACGCCTGGGCGGCTCCAGCCGTCACCACTCGTCGCGTTCGGGCGAGATGGCCTCTGGCTCGGGCCACCGGTCTGAGCGCTCGCGACGCGCTGTGCCTCCTCCCATTGAGATCCCCCAGCTGCCGCCACACACCGGTCTGACCCAGGCCCAGATTCCTGTCCTTGATGCTGCCATGGAGGGGAACCACATACCTGCGTTTGCGTTGAGCTCTCCACCTGAGCGCACCACATTCAACCGCGGCCGTCCATCACACCACCATCACCACACCCATAGGCCACACCACGAGACACGGGCGCCGCTGTTTGGAGCTGCTCCTCGCACCCTTGGCCAGCCTCTGGTGACAGCCATACCGTCTATGGAGACAACAGCTGATGGTTTTGCGCTGCGACCCGTGCGAGATGCTGACCGTCTGCCGTCCATGCTCCCCGCCCTGGCCGGAGAAATCACTTCCCAACCCGAGTCGCCCACCACGCCGAGTGCTCCACTTGTTCGCCAGGCAAGCCCACGTGCGGGCCTCAACCGCACACGCCGCCGCCCGTCGATCCGCCACCAGCTGTCCATGTCTGGAGAGTCTGACCTCGATGCCCAACAGGAGGAGCTGTCTTTGGACGCCGTCGCAGCGGCTGGCCCGGCTGCGAACGAGCCCATTGTTGGTATCCAGCAAGACATCGACCTCTCCGCCATCGTGGACAATGTGGAAATGGAAGCTGGCACAACACCAGTTCCTCTCGCAGCGCCTGCCGACCCTGCGGACGAGAACAACGAGACCTTCAACATCACACACCGACCTGCACTTGACGGCAGCTTGATCAACCCAACTAACACTCCGCCTACTGCCGCTACCATTGCCGGCTTCTCCCCCATGCAGCCCAACATCAACGGCCCGAATGTAAACCCTCCTCCGTCCTGGTACCCTCGCTATGCACAAGACCGTAATGCCACAGCCGGTGTGCTCGCTGCCATGCCCCGTGATGAGGATGTTCTGATGTCGCTGCAGCTGTTGGCGTACGTTTCGAAGTACTGCAACCTGCGGAACTACTTCCAACAGTCCCACCTTGTTCCCAAGCTCAAGATTGGAGATGACTTGCAGCTGCTGGACGGCGAAGTTCCTGTGCCAAAGACCGAGGAAGAAGAAGAAGAGGAGCTGGAGGAGTACGAACTTCCGGACGACTTCAACATCTTCCCACTTGTTGAGCAGTTCACCGTTCGACACCACACATCAGACATGCAGTACTGGGCCAGCGTTGTCATGCGCAACCTTTGTCGCAAGGATGACTCTCGTGGCGGCATCCGTCAGTGCGCATACTACCAGTGCGGTCGTTGGGAAGAGTACACACGTCAATTCGCCAAGTGCCGTCGCTGTCGAAGGACAAAGTACTGTAGCAAAGAGTGCCAGAAGAGCGCGTGGGTGTTCCACCGCCACTGGTGTGTAGCTGCGACCTAGACAGACGACGGTGCTATTTCCTAATCATCTGTTTCCGCACAACATACCGTCACATTGTCATTGGACGTTTATCTATGGCCGCATACTGCATGGCGCTTGTCTCTTCATCATAATCTTTGAGGGTTTCATACTTTTAATGAGCGTCACGACATTGGGATACCACAACAGACTGCTTCTCTTTTATCGAAGGACATGTACGGGAGTTGGCAAGCATATTTGCAAAGAGGAGGATCACACGATGCATTGAGTCACAGGACTCTCACTATACCACATTGTTTTCGCGAGCATTTTTATTGGGCGTTGGAGTAGCTGTAGCTGGTTCAGTGCAATCCAAAAGCATTTGAGCTCCTACTAAACAACCACTCTGCCTGCGCTGAAATTCCGTTTCGTCCGTGCTGTTTTACTTATAGTGTTTGAGTCAGCGGGGCATAGCATAGCGTAGCATAGCATAATAGAAGATCTGTTTCAACCAAAAAAAGACTCTGGCGATCGCCGGCCACGTGGGCGTTCTTTGTCTGCCACGTTCCGAGGTTGGTTGCCGCGGCCGACCCATGCAATTGTGGTCCTCAGCACTTCCAGACGCACGTCTGTGGAGTTTTTCGCCGAGTCCGGGGGTATGGAGTTGACAGCGGCGCCTCTCCGGCCTCGAGGGTTACGTCAGTCGTTCGAGGACGATGGGACCAAAGAGCGGTTCAGCATGCATCACGGGCGACTGCCGAGTTGAGGCGTCCACATTCAGCCGCCGAGCCGTTTGCAAGCTCCGCCCGCAGCACCAGTTCGTATCTGACGATCTGCTCCAGCCTGATGTCTGTCTCCCAGATGAACAAATCTCCAACGCGGAGATCCTGTCCGCGACCGCGTAATCGCTAAGAAAGTCAAGCCGCTAGACTGTCTAGGAGCACCCAGCGCTCGACTCGCCGCGCAAGCCATAGGGCGCTCAGCTCACGACACTCGCTTTCCACGCGTGTGATGTTGGACGACCATGTCCAGCGCCGGAGACTCCAGCGGCGGCGCGCGCAGACGGCGCTCAGCGTCCTACGATGACGACGGATTAACAGCGTCTGCCGCCGAGACACCCGCCCCACCGCATGCGACTGAAGGTACACGAGAGATTGCTGACGACAATGAACCTGCGCGAACCTCGGCCGTCGAAGGCGCTGCTCGACCGACGGCGCCTCGTCTCTCCTCGCAACGAGTGCGCTTCTCGACCGACACCGAACAATATGTGCCTGCGCAAAGGTCGAGTCTGGCACGCAACAGAGCATCGGTCGATGGATTCGCTGAGACCGGGACGGGCTCGGCCACAGGAGAACAACCTGGTGCCCCCAACCTGAGTCTCGACACGCATGGGCTGCAATCCGCGGGACCCGAGGGTTCCGGCAACATTACATCTTCGCAGACATCGCCATTACAACCACTCCCTGTAGGCCAGACCTCGCCGCTCTCATCCAAGTCTCGCAACCGAGGCCTGTCCATGCGGAGTGCTCTCTTTCGAAGGAATTACACAGACCAAGCGCAACCTCCAGCAAGCATTGAGTTGAACGAGAACGTTGGCAGCTCGCAGGGCGAACAAGGGCAGCCGCGAGTATACAACAACAAGGACGCACTAAAGAGTGGGGACACCGTTGTATCCGTCACTCCTGCACAGATTGAATATGTCTCGGAGGCGTCAGGCTTGTCCAAAGCAAAGCTGGGCAAAGGGCCAATTGCCCTACCACAGTACAACAATCCGAGCAAAAGTAAGGGGGCCAAATGGTCATCGTACAAGAAGCAAATCCGCGAATACGCAGTACAGACACGAAAGTTCATACTGCGACAGCATGATATACTGCCCAGCAAAGATGGCAGACACATACTCTTGGATCCCTCCCGGAAGGAACCGCTGATCGACGAACGTACTTCACAACCCTATGTGCAAAACTGGATCCGGTCGACACGATACTCAGCCTGGAACTTTGTCCCGCGTCAACTGGTGGCTCAATTTTCCAAACTCGCCAACTTTTACTTTCTTGTAATTTCTATTCTGCAAATGATACCCGATCTCAGTACTACTGGAAGGTACACCACTATTGTGCCGTTGCTGTTTTTTGTTACTCTCTCCATCGCCAAGGAAGGCTACGATGATTTGAGAAGATACCGACTCGATAAGGCAGAGAATAGGCGGGAGGCAAAGGTCCTGCGAGCAAACGCGTCGCCTTTGCCACCATTTAAGAGCGGTTCGACGGACGACGGAAGTTTGTCCTCTCCCGAACCCGAGGTTTTGGTGTGGGAAATCATCAAGTGGCAGGATATCCAGGTCGGAGATATCGTCAAGCTGGATCGCGACGATGCCGCGCCAGCAGATCTCGCTTTACTGCACTCCAGTGGAGAGAACAGCGTGGCTTTCGTGGAGACCATGGCCCTGGACGGCGAGACCAACTTGAAGAGCAAGCAGACAACGGCATCCATGTCCAAGATCATCAAGACCCAGGAGGACGTACTCAGGACTGAAGCCGAGTTCGTCATTGAGGACCCGAACCGTGACCTGTACAGTTTCGAGGGCCGAGTGAATGTGGGTGGTAGTCAAGCGCCGCTAACATTGAACGAAATCATCTTCCGAGGCAGTATTCTCCGAAACACTCCAGATGCTATTGGACTTGTCATCTATTCTGGCGAGGAGTGCCGCATCCGCATGAATGCCAATAAAAACCCGCGCATCAAGGCTCCTGCACTACAAGGCTTCGTCAATCGTATTGTCATCCTCATCGTCTTCTTCGTCATTCTGCTTTCCGTCTTCAACGCCGTGGCATATAAGATATGGCAGAGTACAGAGCGTAAGCTGTGGTACCTGTCTGGCTCCTCGGTCGCCTTCTTCCCAAGTTTCACATCGTTCATAATCATGTTCAACACCATGATCCCTCTATCGCTATACGTCAGTCTGGAAATCGTGAAACTAGCGCAGATGTTCTTCCTGCACACAGACATCGACATGTGGGATCCAATATCAGACACGCCCTGTGAGCCGCGAACCTCAACCATCAACGAAGAGCTTGGACAGATCAGCTACATTTTCTCCGACAAGACCGGTACTCTCACAGATAACTCGATGAAGTTCCGCAAGATGAGCGTTGGCGGAGTTGCTTGGCTCCATGACGCCGACCTGCCTGACTCGAAGAAGAAGAAGCTGAGGAGCAGACCACGCAAGAAGGGCAAGGAACCGGCGAAGGGCAGAAAAAGAGCGAGCGCTCATCAAGGGACCTTTTGTCTGAAGAGCACGGCATGGCTGCGCTTGCTTCAGACGAACGGACGGGTGCCGAGGAGACGACGAGTGCGAAATGGCAGTCAACGACAAACCCGCATAAGACATGTCGAGAGCTTCTGACCGGCGACATGCTTCGTTACGTTCAGCGAAAACCTCATACTCCCTTTTCAAGGAAGGCACGCATGTTTCTTCTCTCGCTGGCGCTCTGCCACACCTGCCTGCCGGAGGTCCAAGAGGACGGTGAAACACATTTCATGGCTTCGTCCCCTGACGAGCTTGCTCTTGTTCAAGCGGCTCAGGATATGGGTTTCCTTCTCATCAATCGTGATGTGCACACCATTACTCTCAAAATCTTGCCTGCTGGGTCAGGGGGTGAACCGGTTCTCGAGAAGTACGAGGTTCTCGATGTCATTGAGTTCTCCAGCAAACGGAAGAGAATGTCGATTATCCTTCGATTCCCGGACGGGCGGGTGTGCATCATCTGCAAAGGTGCAGACTCAATCGTTTTGCAGCGGCTCAAGCTAGCCGCGCTTGCAAACAAGAAGATGGTCGAGATTGAGCGTATCGCGAATAAAAGAAAGAGTATGGAGGTCCAATCAGCTATTGCCCGTATGAGCGAGCAGATCGAGAGGAAGAGCAGCATCGGTGGCCGCAGGAGTATGTCAGTTGCACAAGCCGCCCGCGCAAGCATGAGCATGGGCAGGCACTCGATCGCTCGAAGCAGCATGGGTGCTCGGCCTTCAATGTCGACAAGAGACGAGGTAGATCAGTGGTTGACAGAGCGGGAGAACGATTTCGGACGTCGTCATATCGAAGAGACTGTATCCCCTGCACTGACGCCCCGCCCATCAGACCTTGGGCGGCTTTCCTCCGTGGCATCATCTGCAAGGAGCTCGATGCAGATGGAGGAGATGGAAGCCATGGTCGACGAGAATGTAGCTGGTGACGATTCGGCCGTGATCGAGCGCTGTCTCCAACACATCAACGAATTCGCCACCGAGGGACTACGAACACTTCTGTATGGGTACCGCTACCTTACCGAGGACGAGTACCAGACTTGGAAGAAGGGCTATCTCGATGCTACAACCAGTCTTGTTGACCGGACGCGACTGATTGAGGAAGCCGGCGACATGATCGAGCAAAATCTGGACCTCTGTGCTGCAACCGCCATCGAAGACAAGCTTCAGCAAGGCGTCCCAGAGGCAATCGACAAACTACGCCGAGCTAAGATCAAGATGTGGATGCTGACAGGCGACAAGCGCGAGACGGCTATCAACATTGGCTACTCGTGTCGCTTGATCAAGGAATACTCAAACGTCACCATTCTTGACCACGAAACCGGTCAGGTTAACGAGATGGCTGCCACAGCCGTCGCTGCTATTACAGAAGGCACAGTAGCGCACTCTGTGGTTGTGGTGGACGGCCAGACCCTCTCGCGGATTACAGAAGATGAGTCACTCCAGGGCCTCTTCTACGAGCTAGCCGTGCTCGCCGACTCAGTCATTTGCTGCCGCGCCTCACCTTCTCAGAAAGCCCTTCTCGTGCATACCATCCGCAAGCGTGTCAAGAAGAGCATCACCCTCGCTATTGGCGACGGTGCTAACGACATCGCCATGATTCAAGAGGCGCACGTTGGTATTGGTATCACCGGCAAAGAAGGACTCCAAGCTGCACGTACTTCCGACTACTCGATCGCACAGTTCAGGTTCCTGACCAAGCTCCTCCTTGTCCACGGTCGGTGGAACTACATCCGCACCTGCAAGTACACCGTCGGCACGTTCTGGAAGGAAATGCTGTTTTACCTCACGCAAGCCCTGTACCAGCGCTCTGTCGGCTACACTGGGACGTCGTTGTACGAGTCGTGGTCGCTTAGTATGTTCAACACGCTCTTCACGTCGCTCCCTGTGATCTTCATGGGCGTATTCGAGAAAGACCTTTCCGCTTCTACGCTCCTCGCCGTCCCGGAACTGTACACCAAGGGCCAGCGTAACGGCGGCTTCAACCTCAAAGTCTACCTAGGTTGGATGTTCATGGCTTCAGGCGAAGCCATGGTTGTGTATTTCTGCATGCTGAGCCTCTTCGGCGAGGCGCTGTTCACAGAAGATAACAGCATCTTCTCCCTCGGCAGCATCACCTACACAGCAGTGGTCTGGATCATCAGCTTGAAGATGCAGTACGTATCTCTCCATCACCCCTCCACTGAAAGTGCTCTAACTCCGCCCCAGGTTCCTCGAAACCCACTCCAAAACCATCACAAACGGCATCGCCATCTTCGTCTCCGTCGGCGGCTGGTTCCTCTGGAACGTCATCCTGTCCTCGACCTATGACCCAGGCAACAAAATCTACTACGTGCGCGACACCTTCCTGCGCGGCTTTGGCGCCAGCCTGACGTGGTGGCTGTGTCTGATCATCATCCTGCTCGCCGTCATCGTGTTCGAGCTCGCCGTCAAGGCGGTGCTGGCGGCCTACTGGCCCTCGGACGAAGACCGCTTCCAGGTCCTCGAGAAGGACCCCGACGTCAAGCGCCGGTTCGAGGAGGCGGCGGCGGACGAGCTGCAGCATGGCTGGGACCGCAAGACGAACAAGCACCGCGATGAGGAGGAGCGTGTGCGCGAGGCGGTGGTGGGGATGAAGCGCTCCGAGGAGCTGCGCAGGGAGAACGAGGTCAAGATGTTGCTGGAGAGCAGAGTGGAGCTTCTGGACGGGGCTGGGGGGAGCGGCGAGCTCGCGCCCTCGGCGCCGGTAGACGTGGATACCACGCTGAGCAAGGGGTACGGGGCGGTGAAGAGGAGTTAAGGGGCGTTGCACCGCGAATCTGCTGTTTTCCGCGTCGTTCATCAAGCGTTGCGTTCCGCGCGCCGATACCGTTCATGTACATTCACTGCGCCAGTATAGTCGCGCTTCTCCTACTCGCTCTCACACGCTCACTCCACCATCCCACATCCCCGCCCGCACTCACCGTGACATCCCCGCTGCTTATCAACCGCTCCACACTCCACACTCCTCACCCCTGACCACAGAGCCCTCTCAGACCACCCGTTTCCAACAGTCCAAGGGCTTCACACACCCCGTCCGCCGCCGCTCCCCCGCGTGCCCCGCGCCGAAGAACGACCACAACCCCGGCGTCTATCATGGTAAACCCAACACAACTCGATCCAACCCTACGACCACGCACCCAAGGCTCCTACGTCACTATACCACACCACACCACACCGCACCATTCGGCGCCACGCCAGACCGTCACACCCCGCCACGCCCCTCCCGCTGAAACATCACCCCTCCCCCCTCCCCCCCTCCCCCGCACGCAGTGTTCCGCGTCGACGTTTGTTGTGTACGTGATGACGTATGGGAGCACGAGGGCATGGAGGCATGGAGGCATGGAGGCATGGAGGCATGGAGGCATGGAGGCATGGAGGCATGGAGGCATGGAGACATGAAGGCATGGAGGCGTACGGACGGGAGTACGGGAGAGCGAGGGCGATCGTGATGGGGGGCGAGTGGGTTGGGGGGCGGGGCGGCGTTTGCATGTGCGGGGGAGGGTGTGCATTGAAGGTGTTTGCGTACATGGGGTAGGGGGTGCTGGGTGGAGGGGTTCGCGGGCTGCTTGGCTCTGGTGTCGGTGTCTACATGGGGTACCAGTGTCTACACGAGACACTCGCATCTACACAACACATCCACCACCACCATTCACCCAGACCGTCTGCGTATGCATCTGCGTATGCATCTGCCTCTGCATCTGCATAACCCGCCACCGTCAGCACGCCACCCCGACGTCACCACGCCCACGCGCCGCCCGTCCTCCCAAGCGCCGACCGCGTTTCAGACCCGCACGCAGTGGCGTGTTTGCGATTAGGTGCGCGCTCGTCCGCGCAGCGCCCGCAGCCATCGAAACCCTAGTCTGCGGGTGACATCTCGTGTCTGGTGCAGGTGCGTATGTATGTATGTGCCGTGGGCGCCGATGTGCAGCTGTGCGCCACGCGGGCGCCGTGTATCAGGCTGATGCTGCGAAGTGGTGTCGGCGTCAGGGGTGGGGACGGGGTAGGTGCAGCGGGGGCGGGTGGCAGGCGGGTGATGGGGGATAAGGTTTGCATGGACAAGGCGTCGAGAGAGACACAGACGAGTTGGTGGAAGGAGAGGGTGGCTTCCGCAGAAGACACAAGGAGTTGGTTCTACTATAGTACTGTGTGGCAATCGCCCCGATCCCACAGGGCGTCTCATAAAAATATTGGCTGTCGTGACAGCGAATCAGCGCCTGCGCGCCAGTCGCCCGGAAATGCAAGTCTATATATCGCTAAAGGAACATGGCAGGAAGGAAAATCGTAGAACAGGCCACCGCCCGCCGCAGCAATGTGCGCGGGGTGACTGCGGCAAGTGTTGGGGTTTCGGGTCGTGCAGACACAGGCACAGAGTTGGCACCCGAGTCTCAACCCGCGTTTAGCACCAGCGCGGCGGAACCGAGCGTCGTGCATGCATGCGGAGGCGCAAAGCCGTCGGGGAGACGGATTTAGGAGTGCATTTCGTATTAGGAGTATTTATAGAATGCGGTGCCTGCAGGGTGTTAGTCAGCTGATTCGGGATGAACTTCACAACAGAGGTGTTGTGGGCTGGTGTAGGACTGACCTCCTGAATGCCGTCTCGAGGCTGATGGCGCTGAGCTCCGAGTCTTCAGGGAGCTCGTTGAGGAGTGGTACGAGGCCGGCGAACTTCTCACCGCCCTTGTAGGCAAGGACGGCTGGGACGCCTTGCTCTTCCATCTCAGCATCGTGGTTGTGCAGCTTGATGAAGCGCACTGTGTCGTTGCGCTGCGCGACTTGGCGCATGTACTCCTCGACCATGTTTGAGATCTCAGACTGTGACATATTAGGCTGGCGCGCTGTTGCTGGCTCGGGTTAGACGTACCTGGTCGTTGTAGATGAAGACCACAACAGTTGTGTCGGACGAGGTCTTTTCAATGGCGTCGAGATAGCCCTCGCCGTCGACGGCAGGCATGCTGCCGTAGATCCTCCGGCTGGGGCTGTTGGTGCGCGACCGTATGCGCTGGCCGGCGTTCTGCAGCTCGCGCAGCCTCGACTCGCGCCATTGCTTCATGAAACCGCTGTCGTTCTCCTCGTCGGATGACAGCTGGTCGGCCTGGTAGGCTGTGACGTTGTACTGCTGCGGCGACGACCCCTTCTTCCATGTGAAGCGTCGCGCCTGCTTCTTGGCCTGCTCAAAGGCCTGCGCATCTGCAATCACACCCTTCGGCCCTGTGTTGGCCTCGGAGCGGATGTGCGAGGGCATGTAGTAGTTGGAGCGCATGTCGGCGGGCAGGTCAAGTTCGTCGTCGGTATCTACAATCTCGTAGCGGTCCTTGTCGGCGCCTTCGGACTCGGGATCAGAGTGGTCGCTGTCGTTGTGTCGGTCTTCTGGATGTCTTTCTTCACGGCCCTTGTCTCGCATAAGCTCGTTGAATTCGTCTTGGGCAGCAGTTGTCATGGTGAAAGAGGGCCGGCCGGGTCGCGGGCGGGCGTGCTATTTGTATGGGTGCTGCGGTGTGGTGAAGCAGGAGTGTCCTTCCAGCATCTAGGGTGCCCGAGTTGGACGACAGGTTAGCGGGGTGCAGGGGTCTATTTTCGAAAAGCAGCCCCGTTTCACCCGTGTGATTGGACACGCAGGTGAGGAAATGCCCGCAAGACTGACGACGACCTTCGGGACCACAGAGGCATTTGCCCGGGCACGGTGCTGCAGCTGCAAGGATCTCCATGGGTGCTACATGTTAGGGCTGAGCTGAGGCACCTGCGCCAGATTGACACGCAACGTCCTCCTTGATCTGCGAAGATTGGCGAGAAGGAGGCACGACTCCTGAAACGAGCTCGCCGGCACGAAACATCGATGCTGTGATTCACCGAATCACGCCGTGGGCGGTTGCCGTCATGGCCACCGCGTGGTCATTTTCGAAACGTCTCTTGCTGCGCGAACTCGGCATCAACCGAGTCGTCACATCATCATCATGCTGTCCGTGTTTTCAGGCGCGTCAAGGCTGCCACGCTCGAGATCTTCGACTGCATATGCCGTGGCTTATTGGAACTGCTTTTTGGGCCAGCGTCTTCATGCAGCCTTCTGCCGAACTGTTCATTTAGCTGAGGGTCTTAGCAGTGGCATTATAAGGCCCAGCTACCCCGGACATTCAATGCTTCCAAACCCCTTCCAGAAGCGCGTTTGCCGTGTCGGGCAGGAGCCAGTGCATGAGTCGACCAGAATACCAGCACAGCCATCTTCCCAACGGCCTGCACTGAGCCGACACCAGCTGCACCGTGCAGGAATGGCACCGCTCTTTGAGCCGATGGAGAGGTTGATCAAGCTGTCTTGGACTGCACGACGGGTCCTGCTCGGTCGCAAATTTGCCGTCTCGGTCGCGAAAGTGGGATGTGCAACGGCTCGCACATTGTTCATCAGAAGCTCTGTTTGTCGTCATTCACTTCAGGTCTGCTGGCAACAAGTCTGTCGCCCCGGCGAGAGGGCCGAGTACGAAGTCGCGTGTTCACAAACATGCCATGACGCTGGTACCCACCGCGTCATGTGTATTAAGTACCGAGAGAGCCGGTGCAATGAACAATCGACTGCTATTTGCCTACATACCCATCCCTCGCATCCAAGCACAGGATCATACATAGAAGTGAAACCCCCCTCCGTCCTTCACCAAACCACCTCAGAAGCCGAAAACGTACATGAAAACCGTCTTGCACAACTCCGGCAATTCGTCTCGCTTTTGAACTGCACACTGAAAAGAAATAAGTCATGTTGAAAATCGGTAACGTGTAAATGAGCTTGATATGGAGGGATGGACAGAGTGGTACTATGAGAACAGCCAGCCCGGATCTCTGAGACGGAAGACGAGTACAGCCCGGTTTTGCGAAGAAGAACATGAGAAAACAGTGGTATGGAAAGGAAAAGTGTCGCAGCACGAGATGGTCCCGGGCGTCTGTCCACCAGATTGACGCAATAGCCGCCGCTTTGAAGCTTCCAAGTGTGGTATATTATGTTGGCCAGCAATGTCGCTAGGTCCAACTTCTCCCGGAGGATGGTGTGTAGTGGGTATGTTAAACAGACAAGTTCGGAATGGGAGTTCGTGGGACGGCCAGATTAGGGATACGTGCATGCGGCCGTGGTCCAACTGTGTATCGTAACATAACGTTGCATGCTTCAACGCCGTTCGCTTATGCCCAAATGCGCAGCTGTAAGAGGTTAGCTGCCCGCAACGAAGAGTAGGTGTGGTGCATAATTACCATGGAGTCCCAGGAACCGGTGCACAAGCTGAGTGCATCGTTGCTGACACCAAGACAGCTGACACGGTTGTCGTGCCCTTGCAGTGTGCCGACGCGCTCGCCACGGAGAACGTCCCATACCTGTGGATCGGTTAGACGATGATTACAAATCTTCACTGGAGCTGCTTACCTTGCACTCGAAGTCGTCGTAGCCAGCGAACAGCAGACGACCGGACACGGAGAATGCAACCGAGGTGATACCGCAGACGGGCTCGGGGATCTAGATGGGGGGTTAGCATACACGAAAATTGCGATGCGGCTGAGAAGGTCATGTGCGTACCTGGTACGAAGCGAGCTCGCGATCAGCGCGGATGTCGAACAGGCGGCAAGAAGCGTCGTCAGAACCTGTGCCAAAGGCGTTACCGTTGGGGAAGAACTGGATGGCGTTGATGTCCGAGTCGTGGGCGGCGAAGGTCTGCACACACTTCTGCTGACGAATGTCCCACAGCTTGGCGAAGGCATCGCAAGCACCAGACACAAACTGGTTGTGGTCAAGGGGGTTGATGCTCAGGCTCATGACGTCGCCGAGATGGTCGGCGAACTCGTGGACCTTGGAGCCGGTCTCCAGATCCCAGAGCACGCAGGTCATGTCGCCGGACGAGGTCAGGATGCGCTTGTCGCTGATGAATCTGCAGCAAGACAGATACCCCGAGTGGCCCGAAAGCTCGCGGGCCACGCGCGTAGGGCCTTCTCGCGCCGACAGGTTGTAGATGGAGCAGATGTTGTCGAGACCACCGCACGCCACGTAGTTGCCGGACGGCGAGTAGGCGCACGTCATGACCCACGACGAGCGCAGCGGGATGGCGTGGACCTTGTTCGTTGTGTAGGCGTCCCAGATGATCAGCTTGCCGTCCTGCGAGGCGGAGACGAGGTGCCGGCGGTCGGTGGACCAGTGCATGGCGTAGATCTTGGCGAGATGGCCCTTGAGGGTGCGCTTCGTCTTCATGGCGAGGCGCGGCAGGGCCTCGACACGGTCGCGGGCGACATCGCGGACTGCAGCGGGTTAGCGGGCATGGAGGAGCACGGAGAGGCACGCAGAGGCACGGAGAGGTAGCGGCGCAGTGCGCGGTGCAGCGTGGGCGGAGACGTACGGGTTGTGTCAGCGAGCTCGTCCTTCTTCCGTTTTATCCTGTCCTTCAGGGCCTCGGCGTCGCGCCGCGCGACCTGGATTTTCTGCTGGATGGATTCTTGGTTCATGTCGGCCATGCTATGCGGGCGGGCTGGGGGCGGTGGTGTGTCGCGGCGGGCGCGCGAGCGAAAGCGGCGAGGCAGGCAAATCCAGGGGGGCTCGCAGCAGCGCAGCTACCGGGGCGCGGAGACGGGCGGGGGCAGCGGCGGCTGGGGCAGCAGGGCGACGGGCGCGCGGTGCAGCTGCAATTGCTGGCGCAGGGAGGGGCGCGAGGAGGGGATGGGCGGCGGAGGGAGTGTGGTGGAGAGGGCTGCAGGTGGTGGACGAAGTGAGGTGCAGGCGTTGGACGCTTGGCCTGGGCCGAGAGACACCAGCTGGGGTCAAAGGACGCTGCGGCGGGAATACCGCAACGATGCTGCGCGGCTGGCGGACAATGCGGGGCTGGGCCGTGGCCGTGTGCGTGCAGTGCGTGCAGTGCGCTCCGTAGCGATAATTGATTCACGCCGCTGCTGTGCTGCTGTGCTGCTGCTGCCCACGAGAACTGCTGTGCCTGCGGCCCTGACGAAGAAGGCGCGCAATCTCCTGCTCGCACTCGCACCTGCTCCTTTCCGCGACCGCGCCCCTGATTCGCCCGCGCCCACCCGCACCCCGGCAAGCGCCAGTTCTGACCTGGACGGGGCCGCTGCTATGCCCGAAGCGCCTCACCACCAGGCGCCGCTCCGAAGTCTATTGTTTTCGCGTGCACGTCGAGAAACGTCCACACGCCACCAATACCGCGCAGCCCAGCACCATGTCCGCCGTGCCTGCTGCTGCCGCGCCGGTGCAGCCCTTTGCCCAGCGCCTGCCCAAGATCGAAGTGAGCGGCTCCAGCCTCCTGCAGTACCAGCACGCCGCACGCCGCACGCTGGGCGGCCGTTCGCAGCACTAACCACCCGCGACTCAGTTGCACGCACACCTCACAGGCAGCATCAGCCGCGACTGCCTGCACGACATCTGGGACGCGAAAATCGCCCAGGATCCCGCATGCACTGTCGAGGACCCTCTGACTGCCATTCCCTCTGACAAGGTTGACTACGACCTCGAGACGTATGGCCCCTCGATCTCTGCTCTGGCGCTGCACGATTCATGTTCTGTCTCCTGTTGCCGTAGCAAGCTAGCACATTTGCTGCCATCCCGAGGCTCATTTCTGATACACGTTCTTGTGGTGCCTTGCATCCTGTCGCAATCACAGCATCTTACTCGCTGTTTCGCCACGGGATTGTAGTCGGCTGCCATGCTGACCAATGCCGCAGCTTCTTCCCATTGTTCTCGTCGTACATCTACAAGCTGTGCAGCGACCTCCCCAGTATAGAGTACGTCGTGCAAGCCAACCAACATGACCTCCATTGACTGGGAAAAGGTACTCCACACGTGCTGTGTTGCGAGAGTTCCAGGCAGACGGCGTCGTCTACCTGGAATTGCGAACAACGCCCAGGGCGATACCTGAGAAAGGCATCACCAAGGACGATTATGTCAGGACCGTTCTGAGCATTCTAAACGCGTGGAACAAAGATGAAGCCAACTCCATGCGAGCCTTTTTGATCCTTTCTGTTGACCGTCGCAACACGGCCGCTCAGGCTGAAGAGGTTGTGGACCTGTGCATCAAGCATCCGTCCGTCGTAGGCATTGACCTCTGCGGTGATCCGGCTAAAGGCGATGTGCAAATCTTCACAGACGCATTTGTCAGAGCGAAATCTGCGGGTCTGAAAATGACGCTGCACTTCGCTGAAGCTGAGATCTCTGCATCTGACACTGAGCTGGAGACGCTGCTGTCGTGGAAGCCAGATCGACTCGGGCATGTCATCCATGTCAAGGATGAGTATTGCAAAGTCATCGAACGAGAGAACATTGGCGTCGAACTGTGTCTGAGCTGCAATGTCCATGCCAGGATGATCACAGGGACCTACAGCGATCACCACTTTGGCATGTGGAGACACACGAACGTTCCAGTTGCCCTTTCTGTACGTCTTCGCCTCCTTACTACGAGCTCCGCTGACGGTCGCACAGACCGACGACGTTGGCGTCTTCTGCAGCCCCCTGTCAAACGAATACGAGCTTGCCGCACAACACTTCAACCTCAGTCGTGCAGAGATACAGAGGCTCTGCGTGGGCGCGGTCGACTCGATCTTCACTGGTGACGTCGAGAAGAATCGTCTTCGGTCAATCTACTCCGGGTGGGACGGATGGACTACCTAAACATGCAAATCAAACGTGAATCGTAGTCGCACCCACGCTTGTCCTATTGAAATGTATTCAAATGTGTCTAGATCTGCGCTGCCATCCTCCGCGCCCATTGATCGCATTGTGTCTGCTGCTCCCCTTGTCTCTGAATGTCTCGCAATCACCCGACAGACGGGCAACCAAGCAAGTTGACGTGCCAAGCAGTTACAGCAAGCCTCCAGTTCTCATGCGAGGGACCTGTTTGGAGCTCGGACAAAGAGCCCCCCAGTGACAGATGTCGGCACTGCAGGCGAGCACGGGAATGCATGTATCGCCACCTGCAATCTGCAGCTCCGTAGTGGCTGGAAGCTAGCTCCGCGTCCGCAGTCCACGGCATCTCGCTCGTCTCCACCGCCCCCTTCGCTTGCAGCTGCGCGCCCAATCTCACTCTGTGTCACCATGGAGCCTGCCCACCGGGTCTGGACACCAGAGCGCGTCCGCGCAGCACGCGAACAGCGCTTCGCGCCTGCTCCCACCATCTGATTGACCTGCTATCTATACGATGTCTTTCGCCACCTCCTTATCGATAAAACGGCCTCATGGTGTAAGTTCACTCTCCGAGTCGTCGTCCGAGCTCTCTCTAATAACCATCCAGCTAGTGGTATGATGTAAGTTACAGCCAATGGCACAGCGCAACGACAAGCGTCTAACAACGTCTAGTCCTGCTTTGGGTTCACTCTCAAGTCTGCAGGAGGCCCCGCGTTCGAATCGCGGTGGGGCCCCGTTTCTTTTTGCTTTTTTTGATGTCGTTGGGTGAAGCAAGGGCGAGGGTGAAGTATGTGTTGCAGTGGTTGGAACAAGATCAATAGGGGTCGAGATGGGATTTGGTGTTGGTTGTTCATTGCCGGCTCTGTCTTTTGATCCTCAAAGTTGCTTCGAGATTGTGATGGAGGCAGGTAGACAAGTGCTGTGTGACTGCATCGTATTCATGATATTAGACACGCCGTGATCGTAAGTGTACAAGCCAAAGCAACCGCGACTCCCAAAACGCCAACCAACGTATACGCCAACACACCAAGACGCCCAGCGCCATCCTGCTCTAACACCGGAAACTAAACATACAAAGAGACTACCGTACACACGCCTCAGTACCGACGGTGGTCGTATGCATCGTACCCGCCATACCCGCCCACCCTGTCATAATCGCTCGTCCGCCTTCCATGCAGCGGCCGCCTCTTCTGCTCCTGCAGATGCTGCAGCGCCTCCGCAATCTCGTCAAGCTGGAACGTGCCCTGCGCCGGCTGCTCCGCGATGTAGCGCGGCTCGCGCTGCGCGTACGCGGGCTCGTGCATCTCGGGCGCGAACGTGTTTGCGCGGGGCAGGCGCGGCGGGAAGCGCGCGGCGTCGAAGGGGTTGTTCTGCGGCGCCTGGACGCTGTTGCGGCGGTGCGCGGCCGGGCGGGTGTTGTACGGGAGGTCGTCGAAGTACGAGTCTCGCGGGCGCGGGTCGTGGGGGTAGTCGTTGGGGGTTGGGTAGGGGGCGCGGCGCGGGCGGGCGTCGACGTCGCCGTAGATGTGGCTGGGGTGTGGGTGGCCGTAACTCTCCTGGCGGTGGGGCAGGTTGCGCGAGCGCAGTTTGGGCGAGTGCTCGACGATGTCGGAGGCGTGGCGGCTGCGGCGCCCGTGGCGCTCGGGCGAGGAGAAGACGCTGTCGTCGGCCGTGTGGACGGACGAGTTGTCGTTGAATGAGACTGTGCCGCTGTGCCGGTCCCAGGAGTTGCCGCGCGACATGGGCTCGGCGGTGAACTTCTCTTTCCTGTAGTCTGGTGATGATGCACCGTGGCTGTCGCGTCGAACGCGCTCGTTTGCGCGTGTCAGCTTCTCAGCCGTAGCGGTGTTCATGTGGATGTGGATGGGTGGAAGCTGCTGTTTGGAGGAGCTGGGAGAGCTGTTCTTCGATGACATCGGGCTGTACTTGCCCATAGGCGGTGGGTCGATGAGGTCTGAGTCGCGGTACCTTCGGTGTGTATCAGGTCGAGCATGGCCTCTGCTGCGACTCCTGACCTTGCTGTGCGACTTGTTGCGTCGAGACTTCTTCGATCGCGAGGACTGCCTTGAGCGGCCACGGTTGTTGGGTTTGCCAACGTGAGCAAACTCACCGTGCTCGACATGACGAATGCGAAAGCGATCAGAAGATGAGTCTCCAGACTCCGATTCCCAGTCATCACTGTCGGTTTCTGACTCAGTAGACATCTCGTCATGGCGACCCCTGTGCTTGGGTTGTCTCTTCGGATCAGAAGTGTTCAAGAATGTTATGTCTGGCTGGCCAGGTCGCATCGCAGGACGCTGAATCGTTTCTGGGAACGAGCCGGGCATGGCCCGAGGTTGTTGCTGTCCATGTGCTGGTGGACGCGGCATGGCATGAGCAGAACCCGGAGGCGGAGGTGGCAGATGTGAAAGAGATGGTGCACCGGGCGGGGGCGGCGGAAGATGCGCCATGCCCGGTGGAGGCGGTGGGGGTGGGGGTGGGGGTGGAGCTTGTCCATGAGGCTGTCCATGAGGCTGTCCGTGAGGTTGTCCGTGAGGTTGTCCGTGAGGTTGCCCATGGGGTTGTCCTGGAGGTGGCGGCATTCGCGCTGGCGGTGCTTGCTGCCCCATAGGCGGCTGAGCTGGATGTGGGAGGTTTCGTGGCGGCTGCGGCATTTCTTGTGCCGCTTGGTTCGGTTGCTGCGGGAATGACTGGTTAGATTGCATAGGTTGAGGCTTCATGGCCATGGGAGTGGGATTCTTCATGGCTGAAGGATCATCATATCCGGATGGTCCAGTCTGAAGGATTACCGAAACACGTTTCAGTTGTCGATGACGACGGTTGATTGTTTTCCACTCTACATCGAGGCTGGCGATGCTCCATTGCAGAGTCCTGTTCTTGTTGAACAGTATGTGATTCTCTTCCTCTACGAGCTCGTTGATCAACCGCCGGCAGTTGGAAGACGATATCTCGTTCAAGACATTCTTGACCGATTTTTTGTTCCTCTGGAACTTCTTCACTTCGTTCTGGAGGTCCTGGGCCTTGATGTGCTGTTGTTCGGCTTCGACGTCTTCCCAGCTTTCAACGCCTTTGGCCTTCTCGAAAGTGAAGAGGGCAAATTGCGGGTCGAAGCTTGATGAAAAGGAGGTCTGAGGGAGCTGCTGGCCTTGCATGGCCCTTTGTTGGCCCATTGCCGGCATCTGTTGTTGCGCCACAGGGCCTTGTCGCTGCTGTCCAATGTTCTGGTGATTGAGAGGCATCTGTGTCGGGTGGGACTGGTGCGGATTTGAGAATTGATGAGCCATGCTGAGATCTAAGGCAGTAATTAAGGCTAAGCAGCAGCAGGTTAAAGAGTCCGAACCTCAGCAAATGTCGAATTTGCTATTGAGGCTGAAGGATCACTAGTGTAATGAAACACAGTTAAAAGGTAGTACTGGAGAACTAAGGCAAAGTGAAGCATTCGAAGGCTCTATATAGACCTACATATATCTTGCCGTGTCACTTTGGGACGTGTACGTTGCCCTCCTGCCAAGGCCATGGTTGCACTATCTCGACGCAGCAGGGGCGAAAGGTCCTTCCGGGACTCGACCTCCAAGTTTACACGCTACTATCTAGCAAACTCTGGCAATATTGATTGGTTGCGAACGAGTCGTTCGCACGCCTCGCTAAGAGATTGGCCATCGAAGGAAGTGACCGGCCGAAGCCACCAGGCTGAGTTTGTTGCGCAAGCAACAGGCAAACCGAGAAGCCGATCTACCGCCCAAGCCACTCAGAATGGAACGCAGAGCCTCAGATGCTCACCGGATGCCTGATGAGTCCTTCAAATCTGTATGCAGCCGAGGCGACGTGCAGCAGAAAGGCTCGAGATGGTTGGTTGGCCACACCCTCGGAGCAGGCTGAGAGATGAGGTGGCCTCGATGGAACGAGCCGTGCATATCGCCGTCTCACTAGATCCGGTGTCGGTATTATTTCAGCGGCAGACCATGGCCTTTCCGGCTGTCAAAGGAGTGTTGGTGCAGGTGGCTGCTGCTGACAGTTCGGTAGAGGCAAGACGAACGGGCGATGGCGCTAGGCACTCTGCACAGGCCTCTCTCTGTCCTGTGATGTGCCTACCATTGACTTCCCGCGTTTGACGCCCTCTCAAGAGCAGGCAACTGATTGCAACAGTTCGGAGCGATCTGAGTTTGCCTTCTTCGATGGGCTCGATGGCTTGCTCTGTACGACGTGCGCATGATCCACCTGCATATATGCTTGCCCTTACGATCGTCAGAGCATCTGGCCTCGTAGGCTATGGACGTTAGGTTTGCCTACCTGCGATGGTAATACTCACGGAGCACAGCGCATGTACGGAAATGCTGTCGTAGGACAACAAAGCATTGTGCTTCGTTTGAAACCCAGCGCATACAATCACGTTGCATTGCGAGGCCAATCGTGCCCTTGTACCGCACAATGCCAGCAAAGTTGAAGGACTCGACTTCGGACTCTCGGGACTGTCCTGAAGCGAGTCACGTCCAGCAATGAGACCTGTGATTGTGCAATGCGCAGTAGCTGCGAACAAGTTCGCAGCGTGCATTGCCGATCTATGCTTGCCCTGCTCTTGTTGCATGGAGTTAACCTACGCCCCGCATCTGCATGTTGTCATGCTCTCCAATGCGCCCCTTCAGACTCAGACCAATAGCGACCGAACCGACGCAGTCACGATCCGGATCAAGAACACAGCCCGCATACATCCAGGTATGAGGACACCGGTCGACTTGCATGCTTTCTGGCTGCCTGCTGCCAACAGTTAGACTCGGATCTTGGCTTTGTTACAACGATTGGTTCTTCTATGATCGTGTGGGTGAAAGCGTTTGTTGATAGGGCCGAAGGAGCGGACCTTTTGTCTTATAGTGAAGGACTGTCCCACCGGACGGGGCGAGCCGCCTTCTTACGTGCCGGTGCCGTACCAGAGTCCTTGACTTAGCGCTGTCCGCTCAAGCCGCTTATACAGCGAATATAGCCATGGTATGTATCAGATATCATCGGAAGCGACACCTTTGGTGCCAGCTGATCCGGAGGCCTCACCTAGGCATTGGGTAGGGTGAATTAGGTTTCTCGTCGTCTATCCTGCATGTTTACGGTCGTAGCCTGGAGTGAGGTGTGGACCGAGCCACCCTGGGTTCCACTGGACCTTTTGATAGAGTACGTTCTGATACAGCCTCTGTGTTTGCCGTATGAAGCGATCTTTACAAAGGCCCTGCGCTCGTTGGCAAATGTTGACATACGTTGACACATGGGTGGGCATGAAAACCAATGCGCTTCTTTCACCCTGTTGGGAAATTGAGTTGGTAAGAGCATTATTGCTCCCGCTCAGTAGATGTTCACAGGATAGCATGACATTCCGATATATTCACTGAGCCGTTGAGGGCATCTAACGCACCCAGGTTCCACCAGCCGTTTGGCACTTTTGTAGGATTCGAAGCATCTCTATCGCAGTCAATGAATCGCAGAACCATTGCTGAGTGGCTCCATTCGACACGAGTGCTCTTTGCTAGCTCGGCTGTTGGAAAGGTTCTATGACTCTTTCATTGTTCAGTGATCCGGAAGTCCCGGCACTGGTGTGTCTGCCTAGCCTCAGCCTTCTCCAAGGTATGAAATTGGAACAAGTGACCCAGGCCAAATGTTGAGCTCCTTTCAATCATGTCCGCAACAGTCTCTCACTAATTTTCAACCAGAACCTTGCCTTCCACGGCCACTGGTCTTTTCCCTCGCATTAACTTCTGCCCGTACCCACGCGTCCCTCCCTATACCAGCTCGTCACAGTCAGCCATCACTATTGACCAGAGACATTGAGGTTATCAAGCAGCAGTCTCGCAGTCCCCATCTCTCCAGATACTGACATGCCCTTGCTGAATTCAGAAAGACGTCAAGAAGCCATTCGGCACATGTCGTACAAGTCTTGACGATGCACACCTTCACGCTGCCGGGGCAGTTAGAAACCCTTGCAAGACTTCGACAAACATAGCCTTGCTACTTATTATGCACCATCACTCAGCCTGATTGAAGTCACTGTTTGCAAACACGAGCTGAGAATTCAGGACAATGCTCTGTCTATCTCTTGTGGATGCTCTCTTCTTTTACAGATCGTTTCCTTCTCATCAGTGTTTCCCCTTTTCTGAATGCTTGATTCTCTTTCAGATACGTATTGATCCACCTCTTGGGCGGATGCTCTCTCTGTTGCATACTCTCGCTTTTCTTGACACCCCTTCCATGTTTTTCGACGGCCCTTATTTGCATTTTATTATTTTGGCGGATACGTGAGCTCCCTTTCAGTTCGTATCCACACGCCTACAGTTATATGCACGTACGGAGGTTCGCAATTTGCAAGATCTATGCACACTTAGTGCTTAGATATATACTTACTTTCATGTGTGCGTGGGTGAAAGCTCTCTGTAATTTTCTCGGCGACATATATTTGTTTAGTGATAATATCTTCCCTCTACGAACCTTGATTGGGCAACTCTAACCTATAAGCCAGTTTTTCTGCTCAAGATTGCTACAGAATTATAACAAAGTGAGTAATAGCAACATTGTTTTTTGGGAGTGGATGCGATGAACCGTATGTTCCAGTGAACAGCGACCCAGGTAATAAAGCCAACTATAATATTTCTTCAATCTATGCGAGCATTCCTTCCACTACAACTTCGCTGGCTTGTAATCTGATAATGGGCTGTAGCACCATGGCACGACTCTTTAGTATGTGACTTGTAGGGGTGTTGGATGTTATTTGCAGTCCGTAGGCACAGGCAAAGTAGTAAGGGATTGTGCAACTTGTCTATATCTTCAAGCCGATATTAACATAAGAACCACCAATACTAGGACATTTGATGGAACTCATATCTCTATTGACGATATATACGACAGTAATGGATTTAGCGGGATTGAACTCAGAGACCGCAAGCCTCAATCAAACCACAGAACGTACCTATTGTGAGCATACTGATTGAGAAATCATCCACAAAAAATGATACCGAGCCAAGGCTTACCGTAATTGCAACATCGTCAAATACACAAATTGGGGTAGCGGACACAAAATTCCGGGCAACATAACTTCCTACTAAGACTATAGCCTCAGCTGAGGTGCGGCAGCTATACACTCTTAGGTAACATTGCCATTGCTGCTATTGATACCCAGTCAGTACTTTAACATCGTGAACAATACCAAATTACAGATCCACTGTCGGGCAATTTGTTGGACTACCCATCTGTTCTTAACCAGTAGTTCACACTAGAACGGAGCATTTGAAGTCTTATAGATCACTACTGCTTGCCTCTGGATATCGCTGCAGTCATGAACATATGGACACGACGTAGCACGTCCGAATCGCGGAAGCGGATAGTTGCTCCGCACATATCATCTCATTTAGTCTCACAGCTTCGAACAGACTTATACTAGCATACTCAGTATGCAGGTAGAAGAGTGCCTTCTCCAGTACCGCCTGGGTGCATTCCCAGGTCTCTGTCCTCAGCCCATCTTGAATAAGGTTAGTTGGGGCGAAGGTTTACTTGCCGTCCTCAGAAACCCGGCCGGCTGCTTGTGTCTGCATCGCGGTCAGTGCTGCCAACTGTCTTCAGGCTACCGACACCCTAGTTAAATATGAATCTGTGCGACCATGGGCATGGAAGGCGGCGCCGAAAGTTTCTGGATCCCTCACCCGAGGAACGTACGCCTGGACATGTGTGGGCGAGAACGGGGGCAGGAGCGTGTCGATCTGCGCGTGCAGGTTGCGTATTTCGTAAATGACCGTGTCACATTGGCGAACGTTTGCGCTGGAGCAACCAGTGCATTCGCATTTGAAGCCCCATTCAGCTGACGGGACGCTAACGATTATTTCCTTGTCGGCAATGTTCTGAGTTGATATAAGTTGGATGGACTGTAGTTTCTTGCCTGAGTCGTCCTTGTTTTTTTGAGTACTGCCCCCAGGCATGTTCAATCAGTCACTTGGTGCTTTCTTGTTGGCGTGTATGCAATCAAATGGAGGTATTCAGTAGTGGTTAGGCTGCTCATTGGCTACGATATTGATGGTTTGAATCCTACAAAAGTGTCAAGTGGCTGGTCGGACGTGCCTGGGTGCAGTCGACATCGCTCACGACAGCTTTAGGAAGGCATGGGAAGGTGGTACGGCTGATATACTTTGCAGCGACGAGCCATTGTGTGGTACTGATACCCCGGTTTTCGAAATTCCAGGCATTCCTTCCCTTTTTTCTGATGTTGCCATCACCGACTGGGGAGCGAAACGCTTTACGCTTGTTTGCGTAACTATAGCGAGTGTCATTCGTGCCAAATGCGTATTGTTGGTATTTACAGATTTGGAGAGAAGTTCACAATATTGTGCATAGTAGTGTTGAGCACAAGAAGCGGTGTATCGGTCAGTATCACTTCACCACTAGGCATACCGGTGGTGGCTAGCGAATCAACCACTGCGTCCGTGACAGGGTTACTGACACGCGAGAGGGGCGTAGGAATATGTATCTGGAGGAAGATGTCCTGCGAAATGGATGCTAGCATGCTCCATGTCTAGACTGGCATTCCAGCGCTATGGTAGGAAAGATAGTCTGACAGTCGTGCCTTGTTGCTAAATGCCTAAAGAAGTTCTGCTCGGTTATATCGCAGGCTTTACGGATGAATGCAAACAGTCTTTCTCCTTGTCACACATTTACAGTGGGCCGCGGCAACAAGTCTTGCACGAGGATTTCTTGGAGTGACAACGATTGCGTTTCATCTGGACAGGGCTCTGATAGATCAATGTGGCTCGACAGGGGGCTCGAGTGAGCACGGCGGTGTGCAAGTCTTAATCCATCTATGTGCGATCTCACAGACTCAGACACAAGGCAGCATGAACAGATCGTCTAAAGAGCCGCGAAAGAGCTGGGCAAGCAATGGTCAATGTAGCTGATGTCAAAGAGTAGAGATGTGGATCACTATGTCGTACCTGCCAAGTCTACCGCCAAAGTGGGGCGTTGCCTGCAACCCAGCCGCCGGCCCTAAGCTGGCTAAGCTCACCTGACAACTCCCACTACGCATCGATAGGATGACGGATTCTTTGACAATAGCTCAGTAATTCGTATCCGGACGACGGTTCTAGAAATAACCTCACATACAAAGGTGACGTCCACCAATCCATATCAGTAGCCGGTATCCGAGCAACACGAGCGCCCAACGCACGCGACAGGCTAGCACCCTCGTACAGCACAAACGTTCTTGGTGGTCCTTGGTGTTTCCGTGCGCTCTGACTGGGCATTATCATGCACGCTATTGGAAGCTTGTGCGATGACCTCAAAGGGGTTCATTCTTTAAATGAGCGTTGGCACTGCTGCTGCTGGAGCAAGTCTGGGGTTTCGCAGTCAATTACACTTTACACTCGCTAACATTCAACGTTCTCTTGTTTCATTACCTTGCTAGTCTGCCAGAGTGAAGATGCTCCGCTCATCGTGCATGCTCGTGCTCGGCTTTGCGGCTGTTGCGTTTGCGCAGGAATCAACTTGTAAGTTCAACGTACTGTCCCGAATTTAGGTTGGAGGCTAATGCACTGCAGACACAGGGCCCATGTTCAACCCTTCAGATGCGGCCTTCTTCGCATCAACCGGTCTGGTGATTCCCACGCAGACCGATCTCCCTGCCATCGCACCTACCGATGCTTTCAGCATGGCCACTACAATCTCTGGCATCATCCTTCCGTCAACACTGTCGCGTTCGTCGGTGACATCATCGCGTTCTGCAAGCAGCTCCGCTTCGTCGAGCGCATCTTCAAGCGCATCGAGGACAGCAAGCAGTACTGTCACGCCTCCAGCTAGCTCAGCATCGTCATCAGGTCCTGCGCAACAGAGTACGGGAGCTGCTGTTGCAAACCGTGTTGGTGTCGTGGGCGCTGTTGCTGGTGGATTGCTTGCTGGGCTGGTACTGGCTTGAAATAATGATGGGATATGACATGTGATACATGGTGTCGGATAACAGCAACATTCACGAAAACTTGGATGCAGGAACGGAGTTAATATTCATGCTGTACATGATCCTAGACACGTGAACAACCCGTGACTTCTTGAGCCAAGACTGCCCAGCTGTTATGAAGGTGATGTTCAATCTTTCGAGCCCTAAATTGTTGTAGAGACCACATTCACGTATATTTGCTAGCTCAGCTGCAGATCGTGTCAACATGAGGGTATATTGGTACTATTGTTTGACTTTTCCTGAACTATGTGAACGCCTCTTGAACGCCGCCCAGATGCATGGTTGTCCTGCCAAGAATTCTACTCCTCCATAGCATCAACCTCAATGATAGCCTCGGTCTTCTTCGAGTAGTACGCCTTGATGTCGATCTTGAAGTCGGCCATCGCAACGCCGAACATCTTCAGCAACGCAGTCTGGTGGCTGTTCATGACCTGGCCCTCCTTGCACACAGTGTAAGGCGAATCCAATGTGACCTTACCCTGGTCCAATCTGGTGGGCATGCCCCACTTCCTGATAGTGGTCTCGACGCTGTGAGGCAGTGCGAGGTCGTCCTCAGCAGGCACCTCACCACCTCTCGAGTAGACGACACCAGCCGGGATTGTGAAGGTGTGGGTGGCGGTGACGCCTGCGCGTGCAAAATCGGTCTGCGAGTACGCAGCGAAGTACTCGAGGACATCGGCAGGCTCGCGGTTCGTGAAGAAGAGACCGACGTTGCCAACAAGGTGCTTGGTGAGCTCGGAGAGGTTTGTGAGGTGCTCCTCAGCGGGCGTTGTGCCCAGGGCCTTGGCCATGACTTTTGTCTTGCCGAAGAAGAATCTGCGCAAATGTTACTAAAGAACTTTGTGCCTTATGATTCGGGACCTAGAATTACCGGCTGTCAGAAAATTCAGCGCGCACTTCCTTCAAGTACGAGTTGCGCATGTTCTCAACAGAGAAGACGAAGATGTGCTCGAAGTTCTCAGCAGCCTCTTGGACATTGGCGAAGAGCTTTTGCGAAAGCTCCTTGCCCTTCTTGTCCGTCTTGGTGAGGTGTACTACTCTGGAACGCTTTGACTTGGGCATTTTGGCGGTATTGTTGTGGTTTTGCAAACTTGTGTGTTTTTCAAGAAAAGTTCTGGGTCGCAAAAAGTTCAAATGCGCGGCGGGACAAGAAGCGACCGCCGACTCTTAAGTTAGCGCAACGCAGCCGCGGCTCAAGCTCCACTTTGGTCGTCACTCTACCTCTGTCAAGCAAGCTTCGAGTTCGCGAATCTACAGAGCGTCCTCAGCATGCTTCGCTCGTGACAGCGACATGTTAGATTTCATGGAGAATGTGCAGAATGCATTCTACGAAGCTTCGCACTGGAACCTCGACAACTCGTATGGCGCGCTGAATACTACGGCACGAGGTAGGTCGTGGTTCAGGTTGCGGCGCAATTGGTACTGACCAAGACAGCACTGCTCGACTTCCAGATCCCCCAAGGCCTGCGACTGCAGATCTCGTCCCTTGCTGCGCCGAACTTCGCGACATCGTACACGCTGGGTAGCGTGGGAGTAGTAGATGGCTCAGTGTCCTACCTGTACTCTTCACTGCCGCTGAGGAAGGAGTTCAAGAGCTCGCACATCGATTTGAAGAGCGTCATACGGGGCTACAAGCATGTGCAAGAGCTGAGACGACCCGATGAGAACTGGTGGTGGGAGCTCTGGCATGCGGGCAAGCGGGTTGACCGCAAGAGTAAGTCGTTCACGACGTGACCAGGGCTTCAGGCTGAGACAAGCAGACACGCTGCTCTATGGACGAGTGTTTCTCCCCCAATCTAGACTCGAAGCTTTGTACTTGCGCCGCCTCACAGCCACTCGACAGCTCAGGATCGCTGCTGTTAGCGACTCGAACCTTAACAACGGGGGAACGATCCTCGCACTGTTGCAGACCGATGTGGGCAAATACAGCACCGAGTACATGTACAGCACTGACTCGGCGCTGATGGGCGTGCGAGGTCTATACAATTTCGGCGCTGACCCTAGAAATGCGCCAACCGAACCGACCGCGGTCGATCAAGTGGAACCAGCCTATGGTCGCTTCAGCGCAGGCGCGGAGCTGTACTATGGCTTATTGAACAAGAGTGGAGGTATAAGCACTGGCTTACGGTTCACGACACTGCCCAACCACCAGGGTTTTCCCTACACTATGACGCTCACACTGAATCCGTTAATGGGCAATCTTTCTTCCACCTACGCGGTTAAAGCTGGATCTAGTCTGGCGCTTTGTTCACGCTTTGACTTCAATTTTTACTCGTACGAAAGCGAGCTTCAGCTTGGTTGCGAATTGTGGCGGCGACGCAGCAGCACTGATGTCGAGTGGGCGGTTAAGAAACTGCGACCAGATTGGCAGCAGCCCACCATCTCTCCCGATGATGATGTCTCTGGCGTGTTGAAAGCCAGGGTTGACCAGGATTGGCGCGTGGGAGTGCTTTGGGAAGGCAGGATTAAAGAACTGCTCTTCACGCTTGGTGCAAGCATAGACCTCAAGAAGCGGGAGCAGATCCTTCGTTGCGTCGGACTCGAGTTGCAATACTCTTCATGAGTCTTGTCAGACTGCGCAAGCCACAACATAGACGACCACATGAATCAATCATACATGCGCGGGATATGCCGCAGTCAAAGTGGCGGTCAATTCGAGCTAGACGAGCAGCGATGACCCTCCTTCTGTAGAGCTTCTGGAAGCGTGTTTTGAGGTCTTTGCGCGTCATAGGCCGTTTCGAAAGAGTCGTGTAGCGCGGGTTGGTGCTTTGAATGGCGCACACGGCTTCTGGGCGAACGTGATGTCCATATGGGCTTTGATCACAGCATAGACGTCCGTGTCCGGAGTTTAACAGTGGTAAGCACGATTGCACTCTGAATCCGACGGCGTGGGATTAAGACATACGAGTAAGTCTAGGTCATGGCTGCTTGTGAGAAGGACGACAAGGGCCATGGTGGTAGGCTACGGGCACGAGAAACGCCAAAGACAACTGCGTGCAGATGATCAAACAGAGACGGGTGCGGGAGAAAGGATATCAACATTAGACTTGAATGGCTGGACGTGCTCGAGGGTGGCAGCGCTTCCGCTCAGTGCCGAGCGACGAGCTGCACTGCAGTGGAGAGTGGATTCTGGGATGCTGGGCTCTTGTTTGTTCGCTTGCAACGTGTTCCGCCGTTCATGCTGCCGTGCCTGGCGACACTGGCGTGAGCCTTGTTGTCGGTCGCAGGGAGCCCGCTGGTACGCCAGATTGACAGCTGTAGGGCGACTAGACGCCGGCCTAGCTTGTTTCCCAAACGGAGACATTTGGGCCGGTGAGATTGCAGTTGACTCGTCTTGACGATGGCGAAGCTCACCAACTTGGGTCTTTTTGGAACGAGTGCCTCAATCTGGGCACGATCACAGGCTGCACGGGCACTGATGCTCGACAGGATCCCTCTCGCTTTCGGCTCACCCGAGCGATCAGCGACGAGGGGCTGTTGAGGACCTGCGACATGCTCACGAAGCCAATGTGGGTCTGCCGCTGGAGTTGCCCAGGTCTGCTGCCCCTTGCGGTGAAGCACACAGAACCGCACGTTGTGCGGCGGATGCCAGTGCGCGTCAGCCGTGCGTCGCAGTCCGCACAATGCGTCGATGACAGCACGAGTTCCGCTGCACGCGGCGCAGAGCTACGGACGGCATTTCGCTGCAGAAATACCGAGGCGCCGCAGCCTGGGAGGTGGATCGTCTCGGTTTCTGGTACGCGTACCTGAGCTTGAATCGCGCCCAGCGAGCTAGTGTCTGCAGCGCTCTTCACGCAACGAAGTGTGTTATGCGGCCGCAACTTCAAACAACCACGGTATGCTGCAGCGCCCGCAAACCAGCAGGCGGCCGTCAGGCTGTCGGCGAGTTGTTTTGCGACAAGGGTGGCCCAGCGTGAACGCCTCCTGAAGAAGAGCTTGGCCGGGGCGCACTTGGGGAGCTTCCACTCAATCGCTCTCGCACGACCAGGGTGTCCGAGTCCGACGCGCCTGGTTGCTCAGCACTGCGGTACCCCTGGCCGTCGCGGACAGCGGCGGACAGCACGCGCGCAGCCTGTCCAAGGCCGCTCACGACGCCCTCCGAAGACACAGATACAGCGCCCGCCGCCGCTGCTTCACGCGTGCCAGACGACGGGGCACCGCAGGCGTGGCAGCCTCGTCCTGAGTCGCAGCACCATGCAAGCGTTCCAGCGTCACCGCCGGTCTTTGGCGCTGGCGTTCAAAACGGCCAGCCGCGGTGCTAAGCTTGCATCCTGACGCCGCGTGTGGATGCGGCCGGTCGCGCTTGGTGGCAGGCGCCAGCCCAAAGCGGCATGGCACCTTTTCCCCCCTACTCGTCTTGCTGATGCCCTTAATCTTAATCTCCCCCTTCCCCCACGACTGTCTTAATCCATCGCCTTCCGGTGTCCGCAACCTCACGTCTGGTGCGATTGCGATCTCTCGTCACGTTCCCTTCTATTGTCGACTTCTGCGAAGTGCCGCCATTCCTTTCGGCCTTTGCCCACATTCATTTCTACTCCACCCATCCTTAGGCCCAGCCTGTCCGCTCCTTAGCTTTCCCCGGCCCCGTTCCACTCCTTCCCGACCCATCATCGCTTTGGACGATCCTACTTCGATACCTGCTCCCTGGCTAGCAGACTTCTTTTCTTGAAGACCACTACGCGCCTGGACGGTAGCTCGAGCCTCGACCCCTACGCCAACTCCTTTGCACTGCGCAACTGGATTGACCGAACGCCTCGTAACGCTCTCATACCTTCGCATTTCCGCCATCTGGACCCATTACTACACGACTCTTCACGAATTGATAGACAGAGGTGCCAGGCTTGACCGCTCCTCCTATATCCCCTTCCCATCTTGAATCACATCGATTTCGATCTTGGTTCACCAACTCACTCAACATGCAGTCCTCCGACGACATGATGGAGTCGACTCCCTCGCCCATTGCCACCGGCGCAGCTACTCCGACACCGTCCTCAAGCTCTGCCGCACGTCGTCCCCCCCGCAAAAGCACCCTCACCCAGCAGCAGAAGAACCAGAAGCGCCAGAGGGCCACCCAGGACCAACTAGTCACCCTAGAGGTCGAATTCAACAAGAACCCCACTCCCACCGCCGTTACCCGCGAGAGGATCGCGTCCGAGATCAACATGACCGAGCGCTCAGTACAAATCTGGTTCCAGAACAGGTGCGCAAAGTCATCCTCAATCTACCATCGACTATACTAACGTGGATACAGGCGAGCCAAGATAAAGAACATTGCTAAGAAGAGCATTGAGAACGGCGACGATTGCAATGACATCCCAGAGTCCATGCGACGATACCTTGCGCTCCAGGCCATGGAGTCTGGCAAGTCGATAGGAAGCAGCTTCCTCGGCCGTGCAGGTGGCATCCCATATGGCAGCGGCATGCTCCTCAACACTGACACCAGCTCCTCGAAAGTCGGTATGTTGAAAATCACACCACTGTTGCCAAGGACATCAACTAACAAGCATCAGTAATCACACACTTTTCCGTCCGCTCCTTGAGCGTCGGTAGCTGGAGAAGGGTTGGCCAGTCTGCTATGGACCTGGTCATCTTCTACTCGCCGGAGAAGTGCTGTATCACCTACTACATCAACAACGACTCAGCTGGTTACAAGATTGAGTATCCCTTCTCATACATCAAGAACATCAGCCTTGACAACGGAGACATGGCCACAAATGCTGAGGGCGCTTCGCAAAGACCAGGAGGTCTCGTTGTGGAACTCAACCGTCCCCCGAACTTTTTCATGGACTCATCTGGCTCAGGTGGCTTCTTCCAATGTGGCGATTTCACCGAAGATCAGCAAGCATCTCAGGTTATGGTTCACCACCTTGGTGGCCACCCTAAGGTGCTGAGCGGTCAGTTGGCGAAACTTGTCTCACTGGAGGCGTTTCAGAACCGCCATAACATGTACGACCCCCATGCCATTGCGGTCTCGGCGCCCGTCTCCCCAATCAACTTCCGCCCTGCCTCGCAACCCAACCATCTGGTCCATCCCCACAGTGGCATGTTTCATGACTCCCACCTCACGCCAGGTCCTTTCCCTCCGCGAGGACACAAGCGCCAGCGTTCTCGCTCCGTGCCTGTGGCGGTTGATTTCTCGATGCTGCGTAACCCTATGCCGTCTTTCATGATCCAGCCCGAGCCATCAGCATACATCCCGAACCCGGAGATTTTTGCTCCCGTTCCTCACTCCTCCTCCGGCCCTATTGGCCCCCACCTCAGCATTGACACATCCGCTGGTTACGGCATGGGTGATTACCGCCAATACCCCATGTCGGCCACAACAGCAAACTCACCGTCTGAATACGGCACACCGTCATTCTACTCATCTGGGCCTCAGAACGATAACATCCCTGCTTCGAATTTTGGTCAGCAGTACAACATCCCGCCGTATGTGCACACACCCATGGGGCCGCCACCGCATTCATCAGCATTGGCATCGCCAATGCCACAACTGAGCCACCATGACCCCATCATTGCCAACCAGTCACCGCCACTCAACTCCTTTGGCCGCGATGGCTCTGCAGATGTATACCCCATGCCTCATGACCAGGGCATGTCAGATGAGACGCTTCACATGACAGACATGTACGCGAAGCAGAACCTGAACCTTCCCTTCCGTTCGCCACTTATGGAAGAGAACGTCGATGACCTTGACATGCAAAATCTGGTCTCTTTCGGTACACTCGACCATTCGGGTCTCTCGCCTGAACACCATCATCAGATGTAATCACAAGGTGATGTTGTGTTTCGGGTCGCTGTCATTTCGCTCGCGTTAATACCCTGTCATTGTTCCGTTGGCGGAAGTGTTGTACCGCTCAGGACTCGGTCTTGAGACAGACGCGAGTGCCTGCTGCAGCCACCTTTGTCGGCCTTATTCATACCTAATGTGTGTTTGCTTTCCCTTACATATTGGCTCAAAGCGCTCGACATATTGCATCTTCTTGTTCGAATTCTTCCTCTTCTGCCTCTTGTCGCTACCGACCTGAGAAAACCATTCAATCCACCTATATTTCACAAATCTTGGTAACGCAAACTGAACGACCACCACACGGGATTGGTTACATTTACGGCGTTGCTTGGGTTTGAGGGATGGAACATATACAGAACGGCGGACTGGTGGATCCTGCGCCACCACCTCTCTCGGTGGTTGTTGGGCCATTGGTCGCGGTGTTGGCGGTTGCTATGCGGTGCATTACGCACTGCGGTTTCATGTTCAATTTTGTCGGAGTTCTTTTGTTGTTACTTTTTCCTTTGTCGCAATTTCATACCCTTTGCCGGTGGAGGAGGATTTGAAGATGCTCGCAATCTTGCTTGCAATCTTGCTTGCAACATCTTCTGGGGGTTTGGAAATGGTCGTAGCCGCTGGGCGTGCTGAAAGCTTGCTTTCTTCGGTTCAAAACAGTTAAATATCTCTGCATCAGAGTCAGCAAAAACATATCATTGCAAACGTACACAACAAGCGCACTGCACGTCGTGAAAGTCTGGATGAAATTGGTCTGGGGAGGCACGACTATCTTATAGACTCGAGATATTCAGTGGAAATTGAGATTGACTCGTATCCAGAAGAGACGGTTTATTGATGACAATCCTAATGTGCAATCACCGGGTTTGCAAGCGAAACGCCATGTCGGTCTACGATTGGCCTGCGTAGAATTACTGAGAGTCAACGATACTGTTTGTGACCAGTTACACTTTGCAATTCGACGTGGGACACGTTGGTCTCATCAGAGGGAGGGAAGTTAGTTTTGGGTTCTCGTCTCCGCGAATACGTTCGTACGAGACGGCTCTGGCCAAGAGAAAAAAAGCGCGCGACTTTTGCTTCAACAAGACAAGTTTTCACACAATGATGCGTACGGCCTACGGCCGGGCGTACTCGGCGCTGGAATCTCAAACGTGAGTACCGTGATACGACAGACAGGCGCCTGGAAACGAGGTCTCACAGCGTTTCGGCCGTGTCACTGTGATTGACGGAGCTTTGATGAGCTGACGCCCAGGATCAGCAGAGGGGTTAGGGCCGTGTCAGGGCGTCAGCGCTTGCTTGTTGCAGCAGTAAGGCTGGCAGCCAGCGGATTCGGGCATCTCGGACGAAAGTGGCAGCTTGGCGAGGGTGCTCGGGGATGAAATTGGAAGCGCCTTGCTCTGGGTGCCATGACGCGGATGCCGACGCGGAGCATCGCCAGCGTTGGTGCGGCATCGAGGTTCTGGGCTGTGGGCGCGATCAGCGAAGCTTCGTCGCTTTGGGCCCAAGTCAGGGGCGCTTTCGCGGTGGCGACGGGCGGGAGCGTGATGGGGCTGCTCAATTCGCGCAGCTATCCATGACAATTTTGCTCCTGAAAAGCGTGAGGCCCCTTCACAACGGTGCAGCCGCTGTTGAGCCTCTTGCACGCGACAGCAGCAATTTCGCACGCCGACCCTTCTCCAGCCCAGTTTGCCCGAGCGCCGCAGCTCCAGCGCCAGCCACCTGCGCCGACGTCAACGCGACGACAGGACTATTCAGGACTGTGATTGGGGCTTGGCGCAACTGAGCCTCCCAAGCTCGCAAGTACTGTGGAGCAGCACAAACGGCTGTGCCAGGCACGCACAACTCCGAGCAGCATATCTGGGGAAGCCACCTGCACTTACAGCTGCTGACCAACGTCGCCCGCATTTTGCAGGATCAATCATCAATCACGTAGGTGGACTCTCTTAGCTTGCTGTCAGTCTGGTAGGGTAAGGGCTCGGAAGGCCGCGGCATGAGGAAACCGGTGCAGCGTGCAGCGTGCAGGGTGCATCCACAATCATAAGTTGCTCGCACCGCGTCCGCCGGCGCCCAACCTCCGTCCGCTGCTCCTTGCCATGTCCACGCCCTCTCCTTAACTGTCTCCCGCCGTCCACTGCCGCCAATTGCTCGCGTCGAGTCCTGTGCTGATCGTTGCCCGCCCACAGTGCCCCTTTCGCACCGCTGCTAGTTCTCGCTGCTGCTCACCGCCCGCCGCAGACTCGAGCCTTCGCCCGCCGCACCCTTCTGCTCAGTCCGCCCCGGGATCGCTGCCATGCCGACCAGAAGCATCAATCCGTTCGCGACTTCCACCTCCATCTCCTCGTCGACCGACGCCCTGAACGAGAAGCGCGACGAGCCACGCCGCGCCTCGTTCACCAAAGGCAACAAGTTCACCGCCCTGTTCGGCGGCGCCTCGCCCAAGGCCCGCACCGACGCTGCTGCGCTGCGCGAAGCCCTCATTGCCCAGCAGCAGGCGCTCCTGAACTCGCCCTCGCCGCAGCAGATCAACACGGCCTCGATATCCCTGCCGTCGATCAGTCTCACCACAGCCACCGGCGAGAAGATGCCCACCGAGCCCAAGACCCTCTTCCAGCCCCTCTCGCCCGAGGAGCAGCGGCGATTGGCACGCCAGCATGCCCAGTTCGGGCCGCTTGGCTCCCACGCGCACCGCTACACGAGCAAGTTCGAGGGCGAGTTCGGCGATCCAGTCGAAGACGAGCCGCCATACTACTTCCTCCTCACAACCTACATCAGCTACCTAATCCTAATAGTATTCGGACACGTGCGCGACTTCTTCGGCAAGCGCTTCCGGCGACAGCACTACAGCCATCTGCAGGAGAAGGATGGCTATGCCCCGCTCAACAGCGACTTTGACAACTTCTACACTCGCCGATTGAAGATCAGGATCAACGACTGCTTCTCGCGACCCACAACAGGCGTGCCGGGGCGCTTCATCACCCTGCTCGACCGCAAGTCGGACGATGGCAACAACACCTTCAAGATGACAGGCACCACAACCGAGACCCTCAATCTGAGCTCCTACAACTACTTGGGATTCGCCCAGTCCGAGGGCCCTTGCGCCGACGCCGCCGAAGTCGCCATCAGGAAGCACGGCATCACAATGGCCAGCCCTCGCGCTGATTCTGGCACATCTGAGCTCACACTCGAGGTCGAGGATCTGATTGCCAAGTTTGTCGGCAAGCCCGCGTCGATGGTCTTCTCCATGGGTTTCGTCACAAACGCCACCACATTCCCCACAATCGTCGGCAAGGGCTGCCTGCTCATCTCAGACGAGCTGAACCACTCGTCCATTCGGTTCGGCGCTCGTCTGTCTGGAGCCATGGTCACTATGTTTAAGCACAATGACATGCGCGATCTCGAGCGCACGCTGCGCGAGGCTATTTCCCAGGGTCAGCCCCGCACGCACCGCCCGTGGAAGAAGATCTTGGTTGCGGTCGAGGGCCTGTACTCTATGGAGGGCACCATGTGCAACCTGCCTGGCATTATCGAGCTGAAGAAGAAGTACAAGTTCTTCCTGTTCGTCGATGAGGCTCACTCCGTTGGTGGTGTTGGTCCCCGCGGACGTGGTGTCTGCGACTACTTCGGCATCTCCCCCAACGAGGTCGACCTTCTCATGGGCACACTCACCAAGTCCTTCGGCGCCAACGGTGGCTACATCGCAGCAGACAAGGCTATCATTGACAAGCTCCGCACCACCAACGCCGCTATGCTCTACGCCGAATCCCCCGCACCGCCCGTCCTCACCCAGATCGCTTCCGCTCTCCGCATCATCAACGGCGAAATCATCCCCGGCCAGGGCGAGGAGCGTCTCCAGCGTCTCAGCTTCAACTCCCGCTACCTCCGCCTCGGGTTGAAGCGTCTCGGATTCATTGTCTACGGCCACGACGACTCGCCCATCATCCCCATCATGCTGTACAACCCGGCTAAGATGCCCGCGTTCAGCCACGAAATGCTCAAGCGCAAGATCTCCGTCGTCGTCGTGGGGTATCCCGCCACGCCTCTTGTGTCTTCTCGCGCACGCTTCTGCGTCAGCGCTGCGCACACCAAGGAGGATCTCGACCGCATGCTCGCCGCTTGCGACGAGGTTGGCGACATCCTCCAGCTCAAGTTCAGCTCGGGTGTTGCCGGCGGCGCCCTGCCTGAAGACCTGGTCGAGAAGACAGGCAAGCTGGGCGAGCCCAAGGAGCTGCAGCCGCCACGGTGGAAGGTCCAGGAGGTGATTCGTCGGGGCGTCGAGGACGTGCAGACGACGCTGCGGTAAACCGCCACACCCACCCCTGTTCGCTGCCTCGTCCTAGAGCACCTTTTGGCTGGCACCGCTTGGTCGCCTCGCATTGTTTCGCTGCCTTGTTAGCATTTCTGGAGTATCAATACCGGCATTTCTTGTTCTGTTCGATACTCATCTTCATACCCTCGCTGTACTACTTCTTCTTCTCCTGCCGCGTCCAGGACGCCCCCTTTTCATTCTCCTTTTTACTTGCGCTCTGAGCGTCACGCGAAATGTGGCGTCTTGGGGTTCTGGTTCACCGAGTACAGCGATGCGGTAATAGTAATATGACGGCTGTGATGGCATGGTTGTATATAGATGACCTTATGATTTTGGTCGGTGGGGAGAATGGAAGATTTACCAAGTGTCTTCGTCTGAGAGCGTCGTGCGTGCTGTTATGCCGTCTACATGCTCCTACCAAACAATACAATCCTCGTACCGAACCTCACACATTACCACCACTATCCAGAGTCTGACCCTCCACGTTCTCACTTCTTCCCAAAGCTACCTCGCCGGCCCCTCCAGCGTGTTCCGCCGACTCACAACGCGCGGATCCCGCTTCCCCATCGTCACCTCCAGCGCCTGAATCAGCCCGCGCTCATCATACCTTACAAACCCCTCCCCCGCATTCCGCCGCCCATACACCCGTATCGCCTCGATCCCCAACCCCCGCAGCGCCTCGCGGTCCACCGCCGGCGTCCCCGGGCCCGCCAGGTGGATCACATGCGTGACATACGCGCTCCACTCGGTCTGCAGCGGCGGCTCCGCGCTCCCCATCGACTGCGTGGCGGCGTTCGCAATCGCGCGCACGAAATCCAGCGCCGTGTGCGGCGCGCCCGCGGGCCCCGTCTCGCGGTCCAGCGTCGCATTCAGAATCAGGATTTTGTGGCGGATCGCGGGGCTGCGCAGCGCGGGGCCGATGCCCTTGAGCACCAGCGAGGGCACGAGGGATGTGTACAGCGAGCCGATGCTGTAGACGACGGCTTGGGCGGCGTGGAGCGCGGCGAGCACCGCCGGGTTCGCGGCCAGGCTGATTTCCTGGCCGTACGGGTTGATGTACCAGAGTCTGTTGATGCGGGCGGGGAGGTCTTCCTCGGCGGCTTTGTCGAAGGCGATGTACTGTTTTCGCAGGGTGGGGAGCGAGCCGGGGAGGTTTGCGTCTTCGATGCGGTCGTGGTGTTCTATTTCGTCGTGCGGGGAGGGGGCGGGGAGGGAGTCGAGGGCGGACGGGGTGGAGGGGTGGGAGATTGAGTTTTGGCCCGTGATGGTGGTGCCGTCGGCGAGGCTGACGGAGATGTGGTGCGTGAAGTTTGTGTTGATGGCGGGCAGGACCGAGGTGTGGCTTGGGACAGAGCAGATGCTGGAGAGGAGGTAGATTGCGGACTCGAAGGAGCCGGTGAATAGGCGGGCGCTGTAAAGTCAGTTGAGAGCTACTAGCTGTGACTTTATGTGATGTTCAATGAATATCTCAGAGGTTCATAGGATGTATATGGAGGATTATGAAACACCGCCACTCACCCCGTCAGAAACAGATTGCCAATACTCGCACCTGAAAAGTCGAACGTGGAAGATGGCCTCAGACGCTTGACAATCTCAAAAGCCACATGATTAAGGATCGACCGTATCAGCTCTTTCTTCGCCGTGGAGATATTGGTCCAGAGGGCGTGCTGTGCCTCCACAATCTGGAGCCATTCTTGCTTTGCAGAAACCTGCTCTTTTGGAAGGCGGTGATTGAAGAAGGCTTTGATGGCTGCTTTCTCGCTGTCGTCATTGTCGGGGTCATCTGGGATTAGGCGCACAAGACGGCCTAGTCGAGGTGAGCATACCCCTTAGTGCTTGTGATGAAGGCATACATACTTCGTACATCACCAATTCCTGACGTTTGTTAGTCAATCGCATTGGCCTGACTCTAGATTTCATTACTTACCTGGGCCACCAAAGACGCGTATGAGTTCAGAGGAACTTCCACCGTTATCACTGATAGGGATTACGTAGCTCAGCGGACACCTCTTATCCTCTCGCACTGTCCCGAAAACGTCGACAAGGTTATTGGCAGCGCTGCCGCCAGAGAAGACAACGATACCTTTGGCCTTGACAGCGCTGTTGGTAGTTGGGGTTGAGGTGCCGCTAGCATTGTTCAGGGTAAGAAGGAAGTCCGGGGCAGAAGCCATGTCGAGGTGGAATATTACAAAGTTGAATAGGACCTCACAGGTCAGTCAGAGTTTGTACTAGGTCATGATATCTTATAATGCAGTTGCGAAGTTACCTAGGTACGTATCATGGTCGCGTGTGGCTAGGAGAAGAGCTAGCACTTCCTAGGGCACATGCCGCACCCTGCTGGATTAGGCAATATCTCGCACTTTGGTAGACAAGAGTCGCAAGCCATGCAGTGATTCCTGGATTCAAAGAAGTTTTTTTGGTATTCTTGGATCTGAGGATTTTGTACAGGGCTCGTCCTCGTCTCGAACGCATGATGAGAGCACAAAAGTAACGCCCTCCCCCACGCCGTCCACATTCTCGCAGCGTGCCATTGAGATTGACAAGGAATGCAGCAGATTCGAATTCAGTTGCGCGTGTGGTGTTTCTTCGCACGTTGCACAGGACGGCCAATGAATGGTCTCCTTTCTCTGATTACCCCTCACACAGCTTCGCATCCTCCGACATGTCTACGACTGCTCGACAGAGGACTCCTCACGCTCCTTCCTCCTTGCTCGCTTCTCGAGCAATATATCGCGGCGGTCGGCCAGGTACCTGAACTGGCGGTGCTCAACGCCCGTCAGCCAGTAGCCGAAGCTGCCGCCAATGCCAGCATAGACGGGGTAGACCCAGAGCGACTCGCGGTTGAAGAGCGGGCGCATCTCAATGCCGAGCTGCCATAGTCGTGTGGCGATGCCTGCGGGGCCGGTTAGCAAGCTTCGCAGAGCAGACCGTGGTGGTCGGATGCCTACCGAGACCGCTCCAGAACAGAACCTTGTGCACCATTGTGGCTGGCGTGCGATGTGTGTGTGCGTATGCGGGTCGGTGGGCTGCAATTGCAGGCGTGTGAGGTGTGACGGCGGTGTTGTGAGGTCGCGATCGCTCCTCGCATCTCGACCGGGGTTGCTCTGGCTGCGCGCAGCGCTCCGGGTGCCAAGGCTTATGTAACACGCAAGGAAGCAGCGGCGACATGATGCGCCAGAGCCATCTTTTGCGTCTGCACCACAGGAAGTAATTTCGATTCACCCGCAACATCATGCGACCCCATCCACTCGCTTGCACATGACCCGCCATCGCTCGAGAGGCCCTTCACCCAGCCACTGCTCCGCGGCCATCTAGCACGAGCAACGTTGACCCCGGCTCGCTGCAGCCCTCCCATTCGCCATGGCAGAAGTTGGTCGCAAACGCGCGCTGGACGGCGACGGCCCTGTCGCGCCTCGCAAGAAGCTTCGACCCTCGGAGCTGCCGCTGTCGCAGGCGCAGCGAACGGCCATCGACAACTTGGCGCATACTTTCCGCAAAAAGGGCCACTATGACAGCATCCGCAAGGACCTGTTGGCGCAGTTCGAGGCCAGTGTACGTGGACACGACGCTATAGCATTACCTAACATGTCTCTAATACCAACCATAGCCTGCGAAAGCGGACCTTCTCGCCGCCCTAGAGGAACTCGTCGACCGCGAGACCGACCGCAATCCCTCGTTGCTCTCAAAGGACCCCAGAGTCGCCGCCACACTGATTGAAGGTGCCGGTGAGCGCAGCGATATCTACGGCAAAATCACGCAGACCGTGAGCACACTGCTCGACAAGTTGATCCAGGAGCAAGGCCTGCCGAAGATGCGCGAACACCGCATCCAGGAAGTTGGTGCTGAAGCTGCAGCCGAGGAGGAGAGGCGTGGGAAAAAGACAGAAGAACAATGGCAAGCAGAGGCTGATGCTCGCCGAGCTGCGAGAGAGTCAAAGCTGGAACAGGAACGTGAGAAGGAGCGCGAGCGAGAGCGGGCAGAGAAAGCGAAGAAGGAGGAGCGAAAGCGCCGCCAAAAAGAAGAAGAGGAAGCTCGTGAGAGGAAACGTCACGAAGAGAAGGAGGAGAGGCGCAAAGCGCGTGAAGCGCAGCAGAAAGAGGACGAAGACCGTCGACGAAAGAAGAGGGAACGTCTTGAGAAAGAGGAGGAGGAAGAGCGCCTGCGTCTTAAGAAGGAGAGGGAAGAACACGAAGCGACCCGTGAGGAGCGCCTCAGGAAAATTCGAGAAGAAGACCGTGAGCGCGAGAAGCGAATCGAGGCTGAATATGCCCAGAGCCGTTCGGGACGCAGTCGAGGTGGTCGCGCGCGCAGCAGGAGTCGCAGTCGAGATCGGGATCGAGGTCGAGACAAAGACAGAGGAGACCGTGAACGGGATCGCGACCGAGAGAGACGCCGCAGCAGAAGTCGCAGCAGATCACGCGAACCCACAAGATCGGTCAAGCCTGAGGATATCAAAGTGGATGATGATCTGGCGCTGCAATTACTGCTACAAGAGAGTGAAGAAATGAAGAAGGCACGACAACGACCTGCACTCGACAGATCTGAGTCGCTCGAACCACCTCTCAAGAAAGCGCAGCCTCCACGAGCACTGGTCCCGCGAGATCCAGTCGCTGCGAGACTTGCAAGGCTGGAGAGCAAACCGCAATCTCCAGTCACCAAATCTCCAAGCAAAGAGCCTCCAACACCGACGACGCCTGCGCCTGTGCCTGCAAGCAAGGACGAGGACACACCCATGGAAGATGCACCACCGCTCGATGAGTCAGCAAAATCAAGATGGGATCGACCTCCACCCATGAAGCCCGAGAAGTCTCGAGGCCGCTCACGGTCACATAGCATAGCTCACAGCGCCATAGCCAGGAAGCGTAGCAGGACTCGCTCGCGATCGCGCGGTAGCCGCTACGACAGACGAGCTTCTAACGCTGAGGACGATCACCGGTCTCGGCGCGACGACAGACGTTCACAGCGACCCCGTGATGATAGTAGAACACGAGATCGAGATGATCGAGAGCACAGACGGCGCAGCCGGTCCAGAGACGCCCACGCCAGTCGCCGCAAGTCTCGAGTGTCACGCAGTCCTGAACGGCGCAGTGACCGCGATCGCAATCGGCGAGCCTCTCGATCACGATCTCGAGACACGCAACGAGCTCGCGAACGTTCTCCAGCTCGAAACCGTCGCCACCGTTCACGCTCAAGGAGTGCCGAGATCATTGACAGATATGTCCCTCGAGGTGGTGAGAAGCGTGATGAAAGCAACGAACGCAAACGTGAGGATAGCCGTGATCGAAAGCGGAGCGATAGTCGCGACCGCAAGCGCGACTCCCGCCGCCACGATGATAGCCGTGATCATCCACGCGGCTATAGGTCTCGCGAGTACGACCGCTGGGAAGCGCGGGATAGTGGCGCACGGGAGAACCGAGACTCGCGAAATACTAGAGATACCGCAGAGCGGGGGAGCCGATTCCAAGACTCAGACCGCTACGTGCCTGGAGGAGCTGGCGCTGATGATAAAACTGCTGAACGTGAAACGAAGCGCGACCGCAAAGAGAAAGAGAAGAGTAGGAGCAGGAGCAGGAGCAGAGACAGGGATAGGGATCGAAATCGAGACCGTGATCGAGAGAGGGACAGGGACAGAGATACGAGACGGCGTCGCAGCCGCTCAAGGAGTCGTGAGCGCGGAAACCGACGACGTCAGTAATGGATGTTTGTTGATGAGGCAAACCATGAGAATATGTATCATACTCCGCATCATGGAGAGGCTGGGCAGCCCAAGACCAGGCTTGCAATTTCCTGCTTTTGGAAGGCAACAGGAGGGTTCTTCAAGCTCGCGATTTGTATTACTACTAAAATACACAATTGTGATAAGGGGATGCTCTAGCTACCTCGAATGTCATCAACATACCAAGGAAAGCCTTTGCGACCTTCAGCGGTTACATCGGATCTCGTCGGTTTGCGAAACCATAACTAAATGGGATACCATGGCATGGGTGTCAGGCAGTATGTCGGATGTCGGATGACGTGCGCCGTGTTCGTTCCCCAGATGACTTGCAGCAGAGGTTATCATGATCGGTCGTGAACAGCCTAGTTGGACTTGGTGTTGACCAGCCTTGTTTACATGCAACATGTTGGCAAGTACATGAGGCACAGTCTGGACCAAACATCTTTTATCTACAATTCAGCCCGAGACACACATGACGTCGAATGGCATGACAAGCACCGCACTCAAGCCACAGTTTCAATGCGAAAATTCTAGGGCTGTCATCTAAGCCTCACCAGACACCTCATCGACATTGACGATCTCTTCCAGAACTCCATCAACCTTAATACGAGGTGCTTGATACTGGCCGCTCATTGGTCCAGTGGTTCTCCGCAAGCGCCGGGGTCCACAAGGTTGGATGACCTGTCACACCTCAGAAACCAACCTCTCGATAACAATTGGTCGCGTCTGCGCCTCACTGCACAACTAGAAGCAGAGTCATGCTACGGCGGGAGCTCCTCGAATCTCTGCTCGTAAAATCGCTAAGATGCCCGACGGATTACAGCGGAGAGCCAACCGGAGCGGAAAGCGGCTCAGCTTGCTGCATGTTGGAGGACGCCCTGACCCTTTATTGTGCTCATGCACAGCTTATGCGCGTTAGATGGGACAGATATTAGCTCTGAGACCCTCCATGGTGCTGAGTTTCTGCATCCCGGTTGTTCAGCTGTACAGCCTCACTCTAACAACAACTCGTAAAGCGTGGCAACGCATACTTTTGTGGTCCTTCAGCCAGCACATTATACGATACTGGCATACAAGTACATTGTAGATCTGCTCTGGCTTTGTTTTGTTTTGTTTTGTTTGAGTGGAGGTGGTTGTACTTCTGGCTAGGTACATCATGGACCCTCGATACAACACGCACCCGCAACGACAGGCGCAGCAAACCCAGCCGCAAGTAACACAACGTCAGCACCAACGGTTTTCATGGCAGGCCCCACTTGAAACAGAAACAACAACACCTGCACAGAGACCGCCTCAATATCAACAAGTACACCCGCAACAGCCGGTAGTCAACACTCACGTAGTCTCACAACACAACAGAGGCTTCTCGTATGCTCCGACACCGATTGAACACAATGGATCAGCATACTACCCACCGTCATCGGAGATTCCGACTAATCCGTCATCTCCGGTCTTTACGCCCATAGACGACCGTCCACAGTCTATGTTCAACGTGCTGAACACTCCAGCACGCAACCAATCACAACATGCTCACGGGCCCGCATCTCACGCTCGTGACGACGACACACTTCTATCGCCGTCATCGCCGGAGGCTCAGACTCTGCCTTTTATGCTGGCCGAGTCTTTGGTGGGGGAACAAGAAGCAACAGCAGCTGTCCAACAGCCCGCACCAGCGCCGCAGTCACCCGTTCAACAGAGCAGACATGCCCGCCAAATGAGCAACTTGACGCCTCTAAACACAAACTTCACACATCCAGCTATGCCCGCAATTCCCCAAAGCCCGCGCTCCGGCTCGGCGCAGCAAACCTCTCCCGGTGCCCTCCCCTACAAAACACCCATCTCGCCCATCCACTCTGGCCCTATTCGCAAGGACACCCCCAACTCCTCCTACAACAGCAACACGCGGCACCAGCCCCTTCCCACCCCGGCCGAACCCTACTCGCCGCACAACTTCTCCTCGCACAACCTCGCCACCCCGCACGCCATCTTCTCCCCCGACGCCGCCCACGGCCCCAACGGCCTCGACTTCGCCCTGCACCAGCCCGGCCAGATCCGCCACCCCAACATGGACCTCGACGCGAGCAAGACGTGGAAACACAGTCTGTGCGCCTGCAGCCCCGACGTCGGGACCTGCTTCACGGGGCTTTTCTGCCCGTGCATCCTGTCCGGGCGCACGGCGTACCGGCTGTCGCAGAAGAGCAAGAAGGCCGACGCGACCGATATGCTGGGGCACAGCAGCACGAACGGGCACTGCGTGGCGATGACGCTGGCGTGCGGTGTCGGCCTGGGCTGGGTGTTTCCCATGCTGCAGCGCTCGCGCATCCGGCACTTGTATAAGATGGAGGGCAGCTGTGGCGACGATTTGGTTAAAGGGTGTTGTTGCTGTTGCTGTGTGAGCGTGCAGAATGAGCGTGAGGTCAAGAGTCGCGAGGAGAGTGCGAATCGTTGGGCAGGGCCGGCAAATCGCGATGTATATACGAGGACTGGGGGGATGGAGTACAGGCCGCAGAATTAAGGGGCGGTGTGGTGAGGGTGGAGAGGGAAGAATGTCTGTACGCTTTGGTTCGGGACTGAGGGGTGTGAATGGTGTGTGAGCATTTCGTTGCTTGGTTCTTAGTCTCGATGATACCCATCAGTAATTTCGTTGCATGTTTGATCCGACTTTTATTCGAGCGGCATTCTGCAGTATTGGATAGTTCTATCTACAGCTTCTTATTTGTCGTATCCACCATGATCCTGGTCAGTCCCCGCCGATTGCTGTTCGAGTTGCGATCAGAAGACCACCATGTCTCTCAGAAGATCTCCTTACGCAGGAAAAGTGTTCTAAGGGGCGTATCTCGCTCAGGGTCATCCGGACTTTGGTTTGGCAATTTTGTACCACGGAAGCCCCTGTTTTTGAGCAACGATTTTTGAACAGGCTTCAACACGCTGAAAAATATTATCTGGTACAAGCTGTGATGAACCATGGGCTTGTGTGAACAGGAACCTGGTTTTTGTAATCAAGTAAAATATCATTGCCGTTATGTTTTGTCTTATATTTCTCATTTCATCAATTCCGTCAAGGCCACTCTGCGACCACACGATCATTGTCTCCCTTGATCGACTAAGAATATTACCTGAACATACCATGTCTCTAACGTCGACTTCTTTCCGTGCAATCGCTTGTGCCTCAAGAATTGGAGGAGCACCTGCTCTCTTCATAGGGGCATCGAGGCTCAGTCGAGCAATTTTTCATTTGCCGAGCCGAAGCAGCTTCTCAAAAGCTGTCCGGCAAGAAGGGCTACAAGCAGGGACGGTGTCACAAAGACTGCTAGCCCATCGAATGCGACAACCGCATCAACTTCAACAGACATTTGCCCGGCAGATGCATCGTCAAAGGCCAAGGAGATTACAGATGGTAGTCTACACATCTCGTGTGCCTGATCAGCCTGAGCGGACAAACTTCTGGGAAGATGCTCATCGGATATTTTGGGAAGAGTTCCATCACATGTTTTGGCCTTGCTTTTTCGGTTTTATTCTTGAGGTACTTTATGGAAGGTTTGTGAAGACTAAACACATTCTAGTAAGATACTAGCTAACTGTAAGGATTTAGTTCTGAGGCTGAATCATCTGGGGAAATGAATAGATCACAAGATGAAAGTGGTAGGTCTTCCAAGTTAGATTCTATGTCACGGTACGGTGCTAACTTGATGTCCATTAGAGAATGACGTTGGCGAAGAACTTGGGGAGTTTGATAGTGAGGACTGGATTTCCCAGCGTTAAATTTTGATTCTATTAGTTTTCTCATGTTCACCCTGTTGGTATGTAGTTATTTGGAAGCCTTAGCAATTAACTTGAGCCTTTCTCCCACTGTAACTCTCCTGGCTTGCGATTCAACACAGGTCGGCTCGATCCACATCTTAATCCAGGCTACGCTCGTAACTATGCAGGACAGACGACAAGAAATCCGACACACGCTCTACGTAAGGCCTCTGCATTAGCTGGCACCAAAGGTGTCGCTTCCGACGATAGCTGCGCCAGACCAAAGCTCAGCCGTCCGACCAATGACAACCTCCTGCACAACCAAAGTCGACTCCAGTATCTATTCTGAGAAATTTGAATGAAGCATTCTCGGTACCTGGATTCCTTATGTGTCAGCTTCCTTCCCTAACATCGAATCAATAAGCGTGTTGCGTGGCTTCATAACTCTGAAAGGGGACGTCATAGCGTGATGCACGTTATTTTGTATCATTGTAGTTGCTCCAGACCAATGTTCATTATCACCTTGCCCAGCAGGATCCCTCCCTCGACACAACGAAACTTCAGAGAGACGTCTGTACATGACAAAGTACGTGAGATTGAGATGTCATCACCCTTAATACACTCGACGAAAGCGAGACTTTTCAGTATGAAAAGCCTGTATCTATTCCTCATTCCCTTTGAAATATAGTTAGTATGAGGCTGCAAGGAGATACGAAAAGCAAAGAAATCCAACAACTGGGATTAGATGTTCGTACTTAGTCGGTGGACAACAGGAACCGAGCTCGGCGGCAGACCACCGTACTCCGTGATAACCATGTCAATGTACTTCGCAGGCGTAACATCGTAGAGAACCTGCAGGTGATGTAGGTTTTTCGATTCCTCAATCCATTTGAGCACATCCGAAGTGTCTGGCTTCTGTTCTTCCGCAGCGGCGGCCTTGTCGTCGTTCTTGCTTGCATTTCTGCTGCTTGGTAGCATGGACTTGAGGGGGAGGAGGTCTCGTCGCTCGGCTTCCGAGAGCAGTTCTTCTGCAGGGGCGACTTCATTGCCGACGATCGAATCCAAGGCAACCTTTTCCGTAAATTTGACCGACTGACATAGGACAATAACAGGTAGGGAGTTCGCACTTGCAAGCATTGATATGCTAGCTGTACCAACGCGGGAATACAAGCGACCGTTGGACATCATGGCGTGCGCGCCAAGGAAAACCTTAGTCGCGTCCTTGATGGCATGCGAGGCGCCAGTGATAAGGTAGTACCGCACCTTTACACCGGCGTTGGCCAGTTTGCGAGCCAATTGCTTGCCTTCGAAGAGCGGCTTGGAGTCGACGACGATGACAGTGAAGGGGGTACCAGCCTTGTGAGCATGGAGAATGGCTTGCTCGACGATAGAGCTAGACGCATATGTGAGGACGACGTCTCCGGGCTCGATCTTTGTTGAGGCGAGATCACAAATGAGTCTGTCGGCTGCTGTAACGCGCTCGCGAATGAAAATGTCGATCTCCTCGAGCAGGTCGCGCTTCGCCTCTGCTTCAGGAGTTGAGGGGTCGATCTTGATGATGATGTCTTTGAGCCATCGGATAGCATTGCCCATGCTGATACTGAGGGGTCTACAGCTCCTCAAATACTCGATCTGCGGACTCAGATGATGACTCGTGAGATGTCGTGCTAAACTGGTCCCCGGCGGTGTCTGATACGATTCAATCACAGCCTTGAAGGAAAGAAGCATTGCGACCATACGGGCAGTACTACCGCAGATTGAGTAGCTGCTGTACTGCAATCCCAGAGAAAGGACTGCCGGGTGTACATCCTTTCCTGCTCCGTTCATTGACTGCTGCTTCGGTTGACTGTACAGATGTCCGAAGAACAGCCCAATACCAGCTTGCCTAGACTCTTTTTTACTTTTTTTTTCTGGTTCACTCTGCATTGGCACGTTGGATTGAGAGGGACGTCTTCTTATGGGCATGGGCCTGGCTTGCTCGCTCTTCGCGCCTTGTTTGGGCTCTTTCGCTTGCTTCTGACCATCTTTTGATGCTCCCTGCTCTTTAGGTGGTCCTCCCGGGCCTTTCTGCTGTGCTCTCCGTGCTTGTTTCTCAGCTTGCTTCTGCTTCTTCAGCTCTGCTGGTGAGATCTTCTTGGGCGCGGCTTCTTCTGCAGGCTTTGTAGTTTTGGCATCTCCATTTGTAGCGGCAGCTGCTGTATCCTGAGGCTGTGAAGCCGGTGCAGCAGAGACAGGCGCTGCCTCTGGTTTCTGGTCAGACATGCTTGTTGTGTTCAGCAACTCGGGTGTCTTTTCCCTATGTGGCGCGTTGAAATCGCACGCTGTGTGCTGATGTAGTGGGGTATAGGCAAGCCCTTTGACAGGAAACGGGTGTCTAGTAGATACTTGTAGCCAAATCGAGTTTGGTGTCGTAATCTAAAGCTTGTCGTCAAAATTGGGCAGCCGTTGTGGATTTTTGAGAAAGTCGTGATATCCATTGACTCAAAGGCCGCATTAGGCCGTAACGAGGCTTGGCAAACACGTCCCACATTTCCTGCCCCGCCACTGCCCGCGTACCAACGTCATCTGGTAGCTCTGACCTAACAGGGTCCAAGGTCCAAACACAAGGCTGCAGCATTCTTACACGTCTCCTGTTTGTAGTCTCGAATGATGATTTGAACTTGCTGCTCACTTCTTCCACGACTTTGCTTCAACTAACTCATCACCATGACTGACAAAACCACCTCCATCACAGATCTCCCGCTCGATATTATCGTCCTCATATTTCCGTATTTGGACGCGAAGAGCTTCCTTTCTCTCTGCAGCACATGCAAGGCCCTCCAGCAACCTTCGATCCGGCTCGACCCAGCCTACTGGAGTTTTGCCACACGCAGTACTTTTCGCGTACCCAACCAACCAGTTGTCCAACATGATGGGTTGCGGTGGCAGAAGTTATATCGACGCATGCTAACTCAGAGTCACGTCTACACTTGGGGTCATAATGGCCATAATCGGCTTGGTCACAGCTTCAGGGAGGCAATACCTGGGGGTTCCATGCTTTTGCCCAGACGACCTTTGCCTAGGAGGCTCAGAGGTCCAGTCAATTGCTCATTTCCTACCGAAATGGAGGACACTCGACAACTGGGCGTCATTGCAGATATGCAGTGTGGGTAAGTGAAAGATATTGAGAGCCGGGTGTGCATAACGGGCTAACGGTCTTCAGTGGCTGGTCGACGACACTTCTCAATGCGGACGGTATACTATACACCGCTGGAATGCTTGATGGTCAAGTTGCCTTATCTTCGAACGAAGGGATGAGACGGCTCACATTTCCTACTGGATTTCAATATTCGATCAACGACCCCGAAGCTCACGAGCCTTCTATCGCCATCCGTCAGTTCTCGGCAGGACGATCACATATACTTGGACTTTCTGACACCGGGAAGATCTGGTCATGGTACAATAGCAAGAATGCTGCACTACAAGTCAAATTCGCCCACGTGGAACTAAATGAGCAAGCTGAAGAAGGCGCACTGGCCAACAAGGGTTTAGCTTTCGGACATGTCAGGCAGGTCGTGGCTGGGTGGAGCCGTAGCTCTGCATATGTTCAAGGTGTAGGCATTATAGTGTGGGACGTGGTTCAACGAGGCTCTCACGATAGCGAGATGGATACCATGCTCGTACTGGAAAATGCCGAGGTGCCGAAATCCGGTTATCGACGTCCCAAGGGGAAAGAGCGGGAGACCAATGATCAGAGCGCTCTTGGTGAAGAAGTCGGAGTGGTTGTCAACCATATAATCTTGGAACACTTTGTCGTTTTCGCTACTGATATCGGCAAAGTGTTTTGCGGCCTCTTCGGTGACAAGAACAGGGTTGATCAAGTCCTGGAGCTAAGCGATTTGAGGAATGAGCACAGTACTGCTATAGATATACAGGGCTCTTTCCGGCGCTTCGCGGTCTTCAAGAATGGCGAGGTCATCACCGCCGATCAAGAGTATCTGCATCAGTGTTGGAATGCTCGGGGGACTAATCTCTCGTTCCGAGGACTCAACAAGATCCCGGCCTTGCAACACAACGACGTCATCTCTGTAGCTTTTGGCGACTACCACTACATTGCACTCCATTCAGATGGCAAAATAACTTCTTACGGTACTGAGTTGCAAGCTTGTGGTGCACTCGGTTTGGGCGAAGAAGGCCCACAAGGTAAAGCCAGGGGTATTGCTTACGACCGTATCAGTCATGAGGGACGCCTACTGTCCCATGCATACACATGTGGACGTCAGGTATGGTTTGACTCAAGAAAGAAAGACTGGATCCAGAGTATCATCCAAAACGCCCCAAATGAAAATGAAGAGGCTCGAGCACGAGCAGATCGGTTTGAAAATGAATTGAACGTTCAGGGGGAGGTCAGCGAGTGGATTGAGCAAGAGAGTCGGGAGTGGGACAAAGATTCCGGGGATGATGGACTTGGTGCATACTTCGCTCTCAGAGTCAGTGCTGCAGGTTGGCACTCGGGTGCTCTGGTGCTGGTAAATGATGAGCTGGCTAGGAAGGAGCCTTCATATTCCTATGATGGCAAATCGTTTCCGCGACTCCAACTCAGCGACGGTACTGAGATGCCTGGGTCTGGGGATCTGGACATCTGGCGACACGGTCGACCAGACTGGCAGCTCGATGCTGTACAGTGATTATGCTCAAGGCCTTTATCATACTGGCGATAAGATAGTAGTCTAGATACAGGATTACCGTATTCAATCCAGCCAGATACCCTACTTTCACAACCTTCTCACAAACCTCATACCCGCCGCCTCCGGCCTTCTCAAGTGAGCACTGACGTTGAAATATTTTTCATCCAACACCAGTGCTTCAACCCGTCGACGCGCCTCTCCCTCGCTTTCCGCACCCTTACTTACAACCTCCACCTTCCAGTCTCGAAGCAGCTCAGCCATGGTCCCAGCAAACTCGACCTGACTGAACTTCTTCGCGGGACATGTCCGCGGCCCAATCAACCACGACGTAAACGCCACGCCCTCGGGCATCTGAAACTTCTCCTCGCCTTTCTCATCAATGACAATGAAGCGCTTGGGATTGAACACCTCGGCATCAGCGCCCCAGCGCGCAGATAGGTGCCCACTGTACTGGTTCATGCCCATCAGGGTGCCTGGTTTCACGGTGATAGTGCGCGGGCCGGACGACGTGGTGAGGTCGATTTGCACGGGGACGGTTGCCGTTTTGACTAACAGCGGCGCGGGAGAGGCGAAGCGCAGGGTCTCGTGCATGAGGGCGCGGGTGCGGACGAGGTGCGGGTAGACGGCGTTGTAGTTGGCGTCCGTGTCGTCGTCGCTGGCGCGGCTGTTGTACAAATCTATTTCTTCGGTGACCCAGGATTGGACTTCGGGGTGGAGTGCGAGGAAGGGTAGTGCAAAGGTGAGGGTTGCGGATATGGTTTCGTAGCCGCCGAGGTTGAAGATGAAGATGTTGCCGTACAGCTCGGAGTTTGTGAGGTAGCCGCGCGGTTTGCCTTCGATGCCGCCGCGCTTCTCAACTTCGTTGGCGTTGACGATAGCTGCGAGGAGAGTCGTTGGGCGGGTTCCGGCGGCTGTAGGTTTGGTGTCGGAGGATTTTTGCATGTGGGCGAGGACCAGCTCTTCCATGTACAGCCTGACCTCTGCAACTGAGGCCTTTAAGCTCCTCAGCACGCCGGGTAGCAAGAAGTCGGGCGCACTGAGCGAATTAAATACCACAGTGAGCAGGATGTGTTTGAGTATGAAACTCATGCTGTCCACGAGACTCATCTTGTGCCCTTTTGGCACAGTAGTGTGCTCGTTCTCCTGACCAAAGGCAATGATAGTGACAACCTGCATCGCCAAAAGATCAAAGCTACTCCTGACACTTCCCAGGCTCCTCTCTTGCTCCTTTTCCAGCACAGCTTTCAACACCTTAGTTTGACGCTTCGACTCTAGCCACACGCCAGCCATTGTGCGCTCGCTGAAGGCCTGTATGGTGATTTTCCTATGGCGCTTCCAGTCCTCGCCTTGCGTGCTCGTCAGGTTCTCACCGAAGAAGGAAAACAGCCGATTCTGACTTTCTGGTACGCGCCAAATATCTTTTGTCTCTTGCCAGACCTTGTTGATCACAGCTGGCTCGCCAGTCACGATGATGTTATCCACAGGGGAGCAGAGAACGAAGTTCTCGCCATACAAATGCAACGAGCGAGACCCATCCTCGATCGGCCAGCCCATATTCGTGTATAGATACCAATTTCCGAGGCCGAGGGGAAGGTACTCAACCCAGGCGAAGAGCGGCCGGAATATCATCCATAGCGGTTCATTGAATGAGACCGGTAGGAGGACAATGGGTAGACCATAACTGCGCGCTTGTATATATTTGTGAATCCACCTACTGATGCGGACACCAAGAAGGAGAAGGGGGAGGAGAGAAAAGGCGGCGAAGAAGGATATCATGGCTCGAGCTACTAGAATACTGCAGAGGGGAGAGCAGCCAGTAAAGTACTGCACGTTTGAGTGCGTTGAGTAAGAGGGGATTACCATACCGATATTAGCGCGCACTTACTGCACCGATGAGCATTTTCGTAGGTTCGAAGGATTCAACGCGGCAGAGAGAAATGTCTGCGATTCGCTCGCTTCACCTGTTTGCAAGGGATATCATCAAATACACCAATGAGTAACTATTGCTGTATCTCCCCTAGTCATTCGTGCATTTTCTAGAAACGCTGTCGGCGATACTCAAGTGCAGTAAGTACTGGTTGCCTGGGCCGCCTAGCGCGTATGTAAGCCTTGGAATTAACTGGGCCAACGGGGGCTCCCTTCGTTTTAATACTCCATACTCAGCTACTTGGCACGTTTGCGGAATCCAGACCATCCTTGTCGTAGCCAGTGAGCCGCAGTACTAGGACTAGATAACTCCGTTGAAGCGTATACACCCCAACGAAGAAGAGCCCTGGCGAGATTGTTGATCCTTCTTGCCTGGTGCTGCATTTTGCAAAGTGGCTGGTCGAACGGCCTGTGTGCAGTACATAACCTCGGCAGCGTGTAGACTCTGACTTGCACAGATGAATAATGTTGATTCAGGACTATACAAATCACGACGAGAGGGACGTTCGTCGCTAGGGGACTAAGATGACAGAGGTGATTTGAGAGACGCAACTCGAGTCGTTCCTTACGCGTCCTTGTCGACGGAGGACTTGCCGCGCTCCTCCTTGTTCTCAGCACCAGGTCGGTCGGTGGAAACAGTGCCCTTAAGCTTAGCAGTCTCAGCGACACCCTCGCCCTTCTTGGACTTGTCATCATCCTCGGAGACGTTCGTAGAGTGGTGAGTCTCGTCGTTCGACAGACCCTGCTGCTTGCCAGACGTTTCGTTGAAGCTCTTGGGCTCCTTGCGCGGGTTGGGCTGTGAAAGTTAGCAATTGTTCGTTATTGCACCATTGAATTGCACTCGCCTTGTCGGACTTGTCGGGGGAAGCAGAGTCATCGTTCTCCTCCTTCTCCTGGCTAGCCTGTGCCTTGGAGTCCTTGTGCTCCTTCTTCTTGTCCTCGGCAGCCTTCTCGCGGGACTCGGAGTGCTTGCCCTCCTCTTGATTATCGGTCTTCTCAGACTCGTCCTTGCTGGAGTCTTCCGCATTGGCATCAGACTTCTCCACCTTGGGTGCGTCAACGTTGGTCTGGTCGCTGGACTCCTCCTCCTGAGCAGGCGCCTCCTCGGCCTCCTCCTCTTCCGTGTGCTTCTCGGCGTGCTCGGCGTGCTCAGCGTGGTCGCCGTGCTCGCCGTGGCTCGTGTCTTGGGTCAGGACAATGTAGAGACCTGCGGCAGTCGAAGCTACAGCTGCGGCCATCCTGTGCGATATTTAGCAAAATGCCGCGGAGCCGCACGCGCAAACAGGATACGGAAGCGCAGGCCGACAAGATCTCATTGTCTCTGGGCAAATTACTGGGAATCGACTCACCATGGGACGTCGCTGCTCTTGGCCTCGCCGTGACCGTGACCGCTGGCATATGTCCTGCGCTGAATGCTCTGGCGAAGAGGCTGGGCGACGCGCACGGCCGGGCGAGCAGCGCGTGCGAGAGAAGACGTGCGAAGGGCGGCGGACCTGAGGAAAGACATGGCGAAGCTGTGGGGGTGTCAATTGACTGCAATAAAGAGCAATTGATGGCAGTGACAAAAGGTTGATAGGTGAGGTTGTGGGATCAGGTCACTTCGGCACGTCATGTCAACGAGAAAAGCACGGGCAGAGACGCTTTAGCCGAATTGGCTTTGGCTGGTTAAGCTTACCGACAGCCTATGGACGGCTTGAAGGCTTTTGGTGCTTGTATGGGGGGCTTGATCGGGCTTCTTTGCTCGAATTCGAACAATTTGGCTCGAGAGAGAGATTTATCGTGGTGGAGAGAGCTTTGACGAGGAAGCTCCAGTCTGAGCAAGCTACGTCACAGCTGTCGCGCTGCTCGGCACGACACTGGACGTGCACCATGGCTGTTCAATGGTGACAGCAGTCTGATGTGAACGGGTTTTGTTCTAATGAGCTTGAGGCAGGGCTTGGAAGCGCCATCGTTGTTGTGTGGAGTCCGTTGGCTTCGTAACCACGTCCGGTGAAGTGAAGACCGTGCGCACGCCTGGAGGCAGAAGGCGGCCGTCAGTCGATCAGCTTCCACAACAATCCTCTTCTGCACCCACCGGTCCCGGCTGCTGTTACTACTTGTGTAGCAGCGTGTTTCCTCACGCACGCGTTTGCAACAACAGCTGCCGCCACCCACCGTCACCACCCCGCCATACCCCACCATCTGCCACGCCCCATCGACGCCGTGCAGACTGCGAGCATCTCACACAACACACGTAGCCACCATGGCGCCCTCGTCGGTACAGCCAAACCCGACTGCCCACAATGTCGCCCAGCTGCTACCGAAGCTCACCGATGCGGACCCCGACTTTCGGTTCATGGCTCTAAGCGACCTGCACGACACGCTCGTCATTGCCCACTCGGGGTTCCTACACCACGATGAAGTGACGTGTGCAAAGACTGTCGACGGTCTGCTTGGTACACTGGTCGACACAAATGGCGAAGTGCAGAACCAAGCAGTCAAGTGCTTAGGGCCATTCGTGAACAAGATCCCGGACAAGATCCTGTGTCCTATGATCGAGAAGCTCTCAAATCTGCGGACCGACAGCGCTGTTGATCAGAGCATACCCTCACTGGCCCTCCGCGAAGTTGTCGTCTCACTCCCACGTCCCGTCCTCGGTGTTGTGCGCACGAAGCCAGTTCTCGACGCATACAGCGCCATCAGTAGGGTGCTCATCCCACGCCTCGTAGGATACCATGTGATCCAGCCAGCGCAGCAAGGCCTCCCCAAGGTACCGCAGGGTATGTTGCAAGTGGACTTGGAGAAGGGCACAGACAGCAACGCCATAGACGTTTTGATCGAGATTGCGCGCTGCTTTGGGCCATTATTGCAGGACGTTGAGGTTCAAGCGCTGCAGAAGATTACATTCGAGATCCTCGAAAATGATCGAGCGAGCTCCATGATGAAGAAGAAGTCGGTCACGGCCATCTCTACGTTAGCAGGATATTTCGCAGATCAGTTGCTGAGCAGCTTCCTGTCTCGCGTCATCGAGCATCTCCGAGACGTCCACTTGGTCCGCAGCAAGCGCAAGCTCTATATCACCATCCTCGGCTCCATGGCAAGGTACGGCATCAACCTCCGCGTACGATATGCGCCACTGACTAAAACAGGTCGATCCCTCGCAAATTCGGTCCTTACCTGACGATGCTAGCACCGTTCATTCTAAGTGCAGTGAGCGAACAAGAACAGGAAGACGATATGGATGTGTCTGACGACGAGGCCGAGCGCGATCCTGAGATAGACGAGGTGCTGGAAGCTGCCCTCATTGCTCTCGAGAGCTTCCTCGCTTCGTGCTCCCAGGACATGCGGATATATACCGACGAGACAATCGCCGCAGCCACACGCTTCCTGAAATACGACCCGAATCTCGCACAAGACGACGACGACGATGAGGATCCCATGGAAAGTGACGAAGAGGACCCTCTCGAGGGCGAGGACTTCGAAGAGGAAGCCGGGTACGACGATGACGAGGACGCCAGCTGGAAGGTCCGTAGATGCGCAGCCAAAGTCCTATACACTTTGATCTCTACTCGAAGCAATGGTGATCTCATGGACGATGGCACGCTCTACAACAAGGTCGCCCCAGCTTTGATCGCACGTTTCAAGGAGCGGGAGGACAACGTGCGTCTCGAAGTTCTCGCAACGCTGTCGAATCTGGTAAAGAAGTCTGGAGATGGGCCTAGCCCAGTCAAGTTCGCCGACGAACACCCTCAAGGCGGGACAATGATGCCACCACCGAGTCGTAAGCGCCGTAGGGGTGGTAGTGACGCAAGCATGCTCGACTTGCACGCAAATTCAGTCTCGATGGGCTATGCTTCCCCTGCTCGTACAGGAACGCCACCAGTCGGTCCTCGTGCTAGTCTTGCGAAGCTTAGCCCTGAAATAGTCAAGGGCGTTGCACAACTTCTCAAGCAGGCAACCTGCCCACCATCGACGAAGCAAGCTTCTATTGTTTTGATCAAGGATATCGTTATCACCCAGCAAGGCGGTCTCGAGGGCTACTTGTCACAGCTATTGGAGCCAGTGGTGGAGGCTTCGAAGACCAGCAGTGGACTCACAAGCAGCGCATCAACGACAGCCAACAGCCTCCGCATTCAGGCCCTGCAACTTGTCGGCGCAATCGCTGATACACATCACGCAAAAGACATACAGCCGTACCTGTCGAGCATCGTCCCCGCACTCCTGAAGGGCGCGACTGAAAAGTACAGCAAACTGTCTATCGAGGCGCTTGCGGCAACTGAGCAGGTCATCAAAGCTCTCACACCCCCACGCTCCGTGGCATCAGGGTCACAAAATCAGCAATACCTGGAGCCCTTGTATGACACACTGGTCAGCCGGATATCAGCGAATGATGCAGATCTAGAGGTCCGACAGAGCGCTATCCACGTCCTTGGGTTGTTGCTTGGCCGGAGCTCTGGTACAGAAGGTCTACTGTCAACGCAAAAGCGAACAGCTGGACTCGAACTTCTGGCTGATCGTCTAAGGAATGAACTTACCCGCCTAGCATCAGTTCGTGCTATCGATTCTATTGCAGCCCATACGAAAGCCCAGAACGAGCTTTCTGCGAAGTGGGTTCAGACTGTTGCTTTGGAACTCGGCGCCCAGCTCCGCAAAGCTAGCCGTGTCCTCCGCGGTGCAAGTCTGAGTGCACTGAGGACCCTAGCGTTGAACGAGCGCTCTAGAGCCCAGCTTGACGGACAAACCAAGACACAGATTGTCAATCTTCTGCTGCCGCTCTTGAATGCCTCTGACCTTCACCTTCTGGGGCCTGCGCTTATCATATTGGCGACCTTTGTTCAGGATGACGCCAATCTGATACTGACACCTGAACTCAACGGCGCACTTTGCCAAGTTGTACAAGGGTCTATCAGCGGCTCTTCTCTTGATGCGCTGTTGAAGCTCGTCCGTACGATTGGAGAGGAGCAAGCTGGTCAAGCTCTGATGAAGTCGCTACTCCAAGATGTCGGCGTTGCCGGTCATCCAGAAGTAGTTGGTAAAGTCATTGGTAACCTTCTTGTATACGGAGGGGCAAGCGTTGGCGTCAAGCTCGACCAATTCGTCATCGAGCTCGAAACAGCTCAAGACGACAAGCGAAAATGTCTTGCACTCGTCGTTCTTGGAGAAGCAGCGCTTCGTCTTGGTAAACAGTCGACGGTGGACCCTAATCTGTTCATCCAGTACTTCTCCGTCAAGTCTGAACAAGTGCCGCTTGCAGCTGCTGTTGCACTTGGTCGGGCCGGTGCTGGAAATGTCAGCCAATATGTCCCTGTCATTCTTTCTACCATGGGCAAGCAATCTGCGCCTCAGTATCTCCTGTTGCATGCCATCAAGGAGATCTTGCAGCAAGAAGATACTGAGTCCGAAATCATCCCATACGCTTCCACACTTTGGCAGAACTTGGTCGCTGCATCGCAGCTTGAAGACAACAAGGCAATTGGTGCAGAGTGTGTTGGCAGACTTACTATTATCGATCCCAAGACGTATCTGCCTCAACTTCAGGTAAGTTTGGATTGTTAGCTACGTGACCATATGCTAATTGGACCAGGGATTTCTCACCGACCGCAAAGCTGCTGTCCGCGGTATGGTCATCTCTGCGCTGCGGTACACGCTTGCCGATACTGATGAAGCCTATGATGAGTACCTTCGGCCAATCGTCGTTCCAATGCTCGTGCAGATGCTCGACGAGGAGGATTTGGACAACCGCCGCTTAGCACTTACCACTTTCAACTCCGCCATGCACAACAAGCCCGAGATCATCCTGCCGGCTCTGGACCTGCTTCTCCCCCTCGCCATGAAAGAGACACATCCCAAACCTGAGTTGATCCGCGTGGTGCAGATGGGACCTTTCAAGCACAATGTCGACGATGGTCTCGAGATCAGGAAGTCCGCATACGAGACATTGTATGCGCTCCTCGAAACCGCATTCGCCCGTCTTGGGCCCATCGAGATATCTGACTGCTTCGAGCGAATCGTTGCTGGCATCACCGACGAGCACGATATTCGGATCCTTTGCAACCTTATGCTGACCAAGCTGATGTCCCTCTCGCCCGAACAAGTGCACTCGCGATTGGAGGCTATCGCATCGAACTTCCGCACCGTCTTGATGGTGAAGCCAAAGGACAATGCGGTTAAGCAGGAAATTGAGAAGATTCAAGAAGGTGGCAAAGGTGTGCTCCGTGTTACTGTGTTGTTGAACAAACGATTGGGTACAGAAGGTACGGTTGGTCAAGACGACCCACAGTCGAGGACATGGGCGCAGTACTGGGATTGGGTGCAAAAGGAGCATGGACAACGCCTCAAGGAGGCTGTCGATGAGTTGAAGGAGCGCGATCGCTAGATTGCTATCGAATGCGTTTAGACGAAAAGTGTGCACAAGAGAATCTGCATAACGCATGAAGTAACGGAAACGTGCAGTTCATGATTTGCCAGTATGGCCTACATAGCGGTCGCATAGCATGGATACTGGACAACACAGCTCACGGGCTTCGGGACCCAATAATATTACGATGCCATACACCTTCTCTTTGCTAACGTTATTTGTCCAGTCATGCCACTAGGTGCCGTTGATTCTGAACGTTACAGATCTACCCTGCCAAGAGCATCAGCCAAGACGCGTCGTAAGCATCAGCTCGACAGAGTGCCTAGACTAAACCGCGTTCTAGATACGATACTGTCCGTCGTTCTAAGAGACGTCGATTTGCGATTCCAATGAGTAAGGCGCCAATGAGATCGCGTCAACTGCTCAGTTCCTAGCGCTCTGCACAGACTCCAGAAGCTGCGCCTCGATCCAACTTCAACGGAAGCAAACGCCGTAAGACGATCAGCAAGTATGACTGCCATTAATCATCAAATCCGAGAGGCAACGAAGGGCCAAGTTGTTTCATTATCCTCGACCGTTCCTTGACTTTGATTGACATCGTTCTTTTGTGATATTGTACTCAATTCTGAGACTTTGACGTGCTGTACCACACCGCGCAACACACCACAGTCGCTCACGATGTACCTGCAAAAATCGCTCGTTTTCCTCGCCGCCGCCGCCGGCATTCACGTCGCCCACGCAGACTTCATGGTGTACACCGAGCCACCCATCCCCACAAGCGCAATCCCCACCTTCCCCAACCCATCCGACGTACGCCCCCTCCCCCCGTCGCGCGAACACCACACTGACCCCCCCAGGCCGCCAGCTGGACCACCTCCGTCTTCCTCAACGCCAACATCGCCTACCGCTCCTTCACCAACGCGCTCGGCGAGCCCTACAAATCCTCCTCAGCATCCGCCGCATCCGAGATCGCCGCCTTCGTCTCCACAGCCTCCAACTACAGCGTCCCTGCTGCCGTCACCGAGAGCGGCACGACGACGTTCTTTGGCGCGCCGACGTGGTACTCGGCGCTGCCGAGCGGCGCGCGCGCGTTCAAGGAACAGCAGGTCAGCGACCAGTTCAGCATTGTCAGGGGCGTGATTGCGGCGCGGCAGACAACGTCTTCGAGTTCGGGGGCGGCGAGTGCGCCGACAGGGTTACCGTTTGTGAGGGCGGAGTTTGGCGCGTTGGCGGCGGTGGCTGCGGCTGCGTTTCTGTAAATAGGTCACGGGCGGTTGGAAGAGCTTGGGTTGTTATGGATGATGTAAATGAACGCAGCAGTGCTGTTTGATGGATATAATTTATGAAGAAGACTACATTTGGCTGACGGTGTGCGAAGGTATAGGACGTTGAGCGAGTTCATATTTGCGGCTATGTCGTCGTGCTGACTGCTGCACCCAGACTGTGCAGCAATTCGCTGGCACCCTGTCTGTCATATTCGTCTATGCTCGTGGTAGCACCCCGAGAACCTCATCGTGCGCCTTTTTGGTTACGATTACAGGCAGCTGTTACTAACCTCACTCCATGTCCCATGCTTGATTTATTCCCCGTAACTAATCCGCCGTATCCCATCGCTGGTCCTCATACTTGTAGTGCTCCGTCAGCGTACCAAGACAGCCATCCGTCACGAAGCCAATGTCCTTAACCTTTACGTTCCACTCAATGGAGTAGATTTTGCCAAAGCGGATGCGCGATGTTCTTGTAAGATAGGCAGAGGCGTCAGCAGCTATTACCTCGATAGGCTCCTTAGTCAAGCCCCTCTCGCATTCTCCTGGGAGGTAGCAACTTTCAGGATCTATACTAGAATTGTACACCAGAGCGTGTTCAGTTGGATCACAGCCACGCCTGAGTGTACCCTGATTGCGGTAGGTCGATATTGCGCAAGCCTGAACAAAGTTTCTGCGCACCGAAACAACAACAAAACGGCGGACTTGTGTATAAACATGTCCTCCAAAACGAACCTCTGTAAGCGCGTCGTTTTCTGGCTGATATTGGGCTATGGCGTCTGCTGCTTCGACAAACAGCATAGAGAAGACCCGTCCAAGCCTGAAAAAAGCCCTCGCCTCAGCACCGGTTCGCATGCGATATGAGGAATCCAACTGTTCGTACCATCCTTGACTTGGGGCTCCCGCGATAAAGTTAGGCTTCCGATGCCGTAATTCGTCTGGCACTGGATCTGCAGGAGCAGCAGTAGTGTTGGCCGATGCAGTGGCACCTATGAAGTAATTCGAACTGTTTTTGGCCCACTCGTAAAGGACATTACTATCCTGACCATAGCCATAGCAGTAGTAGTCATTGTGGTCTGGACTTCATGTCCATCCGCTCGCTCCAGTTTTTGGCCGTGGCACGTTTGTTGGACCGCTGAATGTGGACTACTTTTCATGAGCAGCCTTGTAGCGAGATCTGACCTCCTTTGTAGTGTTGTTCGGGTGACTATTATCCCAAGCCTTAGTCTGTTGTTCAATCGCCACATGGAATATATGCTTATCAACTTTCTTGGCGTTCTCTCGGCTGAGTTCGGTCTCTTTGAGACTCAAGAGATGTTTTAGTTGAGATAATTCGGCCTTGAGCTGCGATAGCTTCTCCGGACTCTTCTCTTCGTCTATTGCCTCTTCCAAATCTTCGATATCGCTTCGCAACGCGGCTCTCTCAGTCGACAGTACAACCAATAACTTATCTGGCTGTGCTAATTTACCTGTGTTCTGCTTCTTTCCTTGCATTTTTGTGTCGCGTTTATGCGACATTGGTTGAGCTGGCTGAGCTGGCTGAGCTTGTTCATGTATATCTCGTGTTTCCTCTTGCGTTTGGGTTGCGACCTGCTGTCGGGCTTCTTCTTTGACTTGCGAAGGCGGATCGATAACAGTGTCTGAAGGGTCATCGTCTAGGTGGGCCTCACTCATATGGATCCTCAGGGCCTCAAGTCTCTCGTCTTCCTCGCCACTGAAAGTCTTTTGGCACACATCGCACATGAATTCTGTTGGTAGAGCTTCGTCCTTAAAGCCGCCAGTATTTAAGGAACGTGATTCACCATCCACGATACTATTGTCTTCAGTATCTGTGTCGGCTCTTAACACCTCAAGTGGTATGGCGGACAGCGAAAGCTCTTGTAGATGTCTCCCAAGATGCCGGCGAAGCTGTATCAAGGACACAAGTCTGGCACCACAGAGAGCGCAATCACCCTCAGTATCCATCTGGGGCATTCGTCGGCGTGCTTTCATGAACTCAACCACTTGCTCTCCGTTCCCAATTCGGGGGTGTTGAACGACGAGGTGTAAGCGAAATGCTTCCTCTGAGCCAAACTCCAAATTGCAATGTTCGATACATTCCCACCGTTGACGATGCTCGGCCAGCTCGTGATCAAACCAATCATTTCGAGACTCATACATTTGATCTGCAACCCGGCAGTCTTCGAACGTACATAGCTTCAGAGTATTAGCAGTGTTCACCGGTCATTGCTTGCACTGAACTTACGTATGGCTGAAGATCTCGGTATAAGTGTTTACGCCAGGCTGCGGTGTTTTTGACAGACGAAAAGCGATAACAGAGTGGACACTCGAAAGGATTACCATCCCGTCCGGCTACTGGCAGCGGTGGAGGATGCAGCTTCGACGCGTCTTGCGTAGAAGACGCATACGACGTCTGCGAGAGTGTATCTCCGTAGGCGGTCATCTCAATCTCAGGGTACGTGATTGGCCATGTCTTCCGATTCAATGGTATGGAAGATGCTACAGTAGACTCTCCTTTTGCCAAAGGGACAGTCGTTTCTTCTGTCGCACGATGCTCGTGTGGATCTAGCTGCGCCTCTGCAATGCCGTGTTCGAGCTTGCTTCGATGACTTTTACGATATTGAAGGTATTGCCGTCGACGAGATATTCCTTTACCAAGGCGCTGTTGGAGGAACTTTTGCGCTAGCTTGAATTTGCTGCATACGTGATCAATATCACGATCTTCGAAATGCGAGATATCGATAAGCCTAGATCCTATGAACTGATCATGAGGTGCCGGATTGCGAATCGCTACTGACAGATGCATCAGGCTGGTGTTGATATCAGCCATGTTTGATACCAGCTGTTCGAGCTCGGTCGTTGATTGTAGGAAGTCTTCATCCCCTGAGCACTCGCTTTGCATATCCGAGGAATCTTCCCAGGGGGGTCGGTTTTTCTTTATAATGTCGACTGTCTCATCAAGAACTCCTATATATTCTCGCAAGAGATCTAAGATCTGGTCTTTTATATGTGATGCCTCACGAAGCCGGTAGTCGAGCGAGCTTCTGCCGAGCTGATGAGCCCCTATGTTGCTAGACCACAGCCGGAAACGCCCAGCCTGGTCAGATATGGAGCCATTCAGAAGCTTCTCTTTGATCTCGACGTTGGCTTCCTCATATGAAGCAGACGCGTGCTTTAACTTTCTAAGGCATTCGCGTACATAATTCGCTATTGTCGAAACGCCGGGAGTGCCTCCATCCATGTCGCAGATGTCCTCGAGCAGGGTTCTGTGATCGAATATGCTCAGTTGCAGAACCGGAGGGTACTACAATCGCTGTCAGCTGTCGAGATAGCGCAGTAAATCAAATCGTGGCCAACCGGACTGGTCTTTGCAATCAGGACGAGTGGCGAGAAGACATGAGTTGAGTAATGATAGAGGTGATAATACCAAAGCATCAGGCTGAGCGGTATGAATGCCACGAGTTGAGGGGTAATAGACTCGGCAATATCATGTCATCAGGCTGAGCTTGTTGCTCCTGCAGAGTGCCCGCACACGTGTCACCCTCTTTTCTGCAGCCCTTCTCGCATCACCAACAACGCTTGTGAAGTCTTCGACAACCGACAGCAAACGGACTCACATCGCGCACTTCTAGCATAACCCCAGTTGTTACCAGCATGGCTTCCGGACTCGAGATCGCAGGAGTTGTATTGGGGGCCTTACCACTAGTCATTGCTGCCCTCGAACATTATGCGACAGGCGTGCAGACATTCAAGCGATATTGGTGCTACAAAGGAGAGTTCAGGTCCTTGCTTGTTCGAATTCGATCGCAACGCACTATATACCTTAACACCATTCAAAGGCTGCTTACAGGGATTGTGCGCGTTGAGCACATGGCGAATCTAATGGAAGATCCAGGCGGAGCCGCCTGGCACGATCAACACTTGAACGACGAACTAGAGAAGCGGCTAGGTAGAGCATACGATGATTATCGTGACAACATGGAAGCCATGAAAAGCGCGTTGAAGACTATGATGAAGAAGTTGGCCTTGAACGCTGAGGGGAAGGTTGGTTGGCCTGTGCGCTGTGACGTTCGAATTCTGACGACAAGCAGGTTCAATGTCCCGATGTCAACACCTTCCATTACGAGTACCAACGGCTAAAATTCAGCCTTAAAAAATCCGCATACGAAGAGCAGATCACGCGTCTCACAACTCACAATGCTACGTTATCAACACTGCTGAAGCAGTCGCTTGATCTGGAACAGTCACGGAAAGCTGTTGCATGTCCGAACTTCAAAGCGTTGCAGAATTATGCGCGCGAATTCTTCCAAATCTTGCGATCTGGAATGCAATGTACAAGCGGCTGCATAGATCATGCAGTCAATCTACGACTCGAAAACCGGAAAGCGAAAGACAGACATGAGGATCTGTCTCCCTTTCGTGTGGTTTTCACGCGTGCATCAAATGAGAAGTGGAAGGAGGCGGACGTTCGATGCTTAGCGGAAGAGATTCAACCCACATCGCCTCCTACTTATGTTCCGATGAGTGGTGCAAGATCCGGTAGCGTCAGGCATACACGATTCAGTCTTCCTGACCCCAACCAGCTGCAAAGTACTACTATCACCGTAACGCAACCACGAACAACACTCAGTGCTGTTGGCACAGCTGGACTGACCTGCATAACAGATCTATGTCAGACAATGCATCGACCACAAACTTTGGCGGCAGATTCGTGCGTTGGGTACTTGCTCGATTCAGCGGACCGAAAACATGGCATTTACCCTCGTCTTCAGAGTCCGGCCTCTACAGCACAGCCGCAATGGTCATCGTACTCGCTGGCTCAGGTGTTGACCGAGCCTTCAATCATCGGCCTACACCTCAGACAAGGTGATAAGCTTGGCATAGCAATGTACTTGTCGTCGAGCATGTTGCAGCTCTACGGAACACCTTGGTTAAATGAGCAGTGGTGCAACAAAGACATCTATTTTGTTCACCAACCTGGACTCAAAATGGCGGAAATCTCTAAGCGACCATACGTCTACCGCGAACTATCAGCCGCAGCCGCCAGCCAAGCAGGCCAGATGCAACTTGCTCCTAGTCTGAAGTCCAGCAAGACATTGTTCAGTCTCGGAACTGTGCTAATTGAGCTCTGGTATGGCAAGCCAATTGAGCAGCTTGCAGCAGAGCGCAATTTTCAAGGCACACATGACTTAGCCTGGTACACAGCAGAGCGGCTGATCCAAACAGATCTTCCGTACGAAGCTGGAGCGCTATACACTGACGTGGTGAAGCGATGTATACGATGCGAATTTGGTCCAGTGAACATAGATCTTAGCGAAGACAGCTTCCAGAAGATTGTGTTCGATAGAGTTGTCGAGCCCCTGGAGACGGCTTTCAAACAATTCAAGGGACTAACTCCTGAATACGCTTGAGTAGAGTTGTTAAGCATCAATGCTCAACTTGGATAGTCAGGAGTTGATTAGACTGCAATCTATCTGTAATCCTGTCTTACTTGCAGACTCTGCACTTCAAGTTATCCCATAACTCCCTTGTATTGTTGAAACTTGAAGCTACCTATGTTCTTGTATACATAACTTTTGTAACTTCCTTTCATTGAAAAATATCATGTACCCAGTATTAGCCATGTGCAGCTACCTGGTCACGAGTAGTAGACCGCTTTTGCGTGTTTTGGCGTTTTTGACTGTAAACCGAGATGTATTGACGGGTATGATGTTGTATTGCTATTGGTTAGCAGATCAAACACTCAACACCGTGACAGCCTTTCGGCTATACTTGCCTTTCTTAGCTCTGATCACTCACAGATCGACCATCATGGTGTTTCAGCCCCACGATATCAACACAACCCATTTTTTTCATCTTCCGAAGCGACTACTTCTATCACTATATTTCAGGCGCAGTTATCATGGGGCGAACGGAGAAGTCCCAGGGCCTTGCACCTCCTGCCATTCGCAAAGACATCCGCGCGAAGCAAGCACGTCATATTATCAACAAAGTTGTACCAGCTATTCTAGCTTCGAACCCGAAAGCCAGGCGAGGCGCTGACACTAGTGAGTTGGTATCTGATCCAGGTCCAGCATCAAGCAAGCAGATCCAAAAGCTTGATGAAGGCGGCGAAGACGCAGCGTACGTTAAGCGCAAAGGTCAAGGACGACGTAAAGCAAAAGGCGGGCAAGATATAGACGAAGAACATTCGACGCCGTCAAGAGGCAAATCCAAAAAGAGTGGGAAACGAGGAAACGATTCGCTTGATGAAAACGTCCCATACCCTGCGAGAAGTCAATCTGTAGGCCCTACGTCACGCACGATCAGAATCGTCACAACAGACAGTCTCACCGCCGCACAAATGCTAGCTTCCGAGCAGTGTAAGAAAAACAAGAAGCCCGAGAATGTCTGTATACTGAATATGGCCTCGCCGTTGCGCCCCGGTGGTGGCGTCCTGAGCGGCGCCACATCGCAAGAAGAATTTCTCTGCGCCCGCACCACACTCCTGCCTTCTCTGAAAGAAGACTACTACCGTCTGCCTGAGTTTGGCGGCATATTTAGCCCCAATGTACTCGTCTTTCGCACCCCTGGTCCCCTTGGCGATGGTGCTGGGGAGTTGGGCGCCGGAGAGAGGTATTGGGTCGACGTGATCAGTGCAGGTATGCTGCGATTTCCTGATTTGGAGGGCGAAGAAGAAGAGGTGAAAAGGCTGGGAAACAAAGACCGGGATGTTGTGGAGAGGAAGATGAAGGCTGTGCTTCGAATTGCTGCGGCGAAGGGTGTGAAGAGGCTTGTTCTTGGAGCGTGGGGCTGTGGCGCGTACGGTAACCCTGTGATTGATGTTGCGCGGGCTTGGAGTCGTGTGCTCACTGGCTCGTCAATAGTGGGTGCGCAGAAAGCTAAGTCTGGCCCAGCTGAAGTCTGGTCGGATCTGGAGGACGTTATATTCGCTATCACCAATCCTAAGACAGCGAACGATTTCGCAAACGCCTTTGACGTTGGTGTTCAGGTCGAGGACGGACCACGTAATCCTGTTGCGAGCGATGAAAATGAGGGTGGAGAGGACACGGTTGCGCAGGAATTGCGATCGAAGATCGAGGAAATGGAAAGTCAAGTCAGCAAAGTATGGAACGCAGATCTAAAGTCAAGACTAGCAACAGTGCTCGAGGGACTCAGAGTACAATTGCGAGAGAGAGAAAGTGGTGAGGTTGAACGCAACCCAGAGATGAGTGGAGACGAGATCGACACTGCTGGGTACGACTCTGATGGAGATATCGATCAACCCGACGCGGACTCTGATGACGTGGGTGGTGTTGTACTTAAGTCGTAGCTTCTAAGTACTTTTTACATTTATGAGTTCTACTGATCACGATCTTACAAGCACATGACCGCCCTGAATGATCATGCAGTATCGTATGAAGGACGTATGCTGCGTGGTGCTAGCACTAAGACATCCTGCATAGGCCCATGATCTAACATGTTAGTCTATTGCAGCGCTGATGGTGTGATTTCTGAATCAGAGGGTAGCAGATACGTACACGATTCGGATCTCTTCAAGAAGCTGACGACATCATAACAAATTTGCATGTCATGTTGATCAGCGACATGATCGATAGTCGTGAGGCTTTCTTGCTGAGAGAATGGCCAATTGGGTGCAGTGTCGGGTCCATGGGGAATTCATTCTTGCCGTCTCACTGTCACTACCGTGCAAGATACGGGGACGCTCGATCGCAACTAAGTTCCAGGTCATCTCACTGGCGCCGATAGATGCATTGACCAGTCAGGGCATCACAATCCATAGGCTCATAGGTCTCGAATCGCTTGGATGTTCCAGACAGATCGGATGCATCCCTCTTGTGGCAAGCTGTTTGGAGATTTGTGTTGCTGGCCGGTTCGCTCTCCGTCGCTTGCGATATACAGTCGCCGCTGAGCTGTTGTTATAGGTTGCCTCAATTTGTTCGTGCCGTGCGTGCCGCGGCCTCCAATATGTCAACTGGACGGTCAGAGCGTTCCGCCTCGGGTTCATGTAGTTGCTTTGATCTCCTGGTGCGCATGTTGATACAAATCAAATCGACATTCTTTGGCTCAGTGGCTTCGTGTGCAAGGGGATCATCACACGATACAAACGAGCGGTGCAGAACTATCAGCACTGTTCGGTCATCACAACATCTACTCGTGTGTGCTGACGGTTGATGAGCAATAACCGAATTCGAGGCGCTCCACTTGACTGCTGATGGTTGCCCGCTTGGGGTAAGGAAACCCTCTTGGTCTCGGATCCCGCATTATCGAGACAACCACATGCGGCGATAGATAATGCTTATGACCTTCCACCATTGTTGGCTGGCGTGCGGTCTGTTATTGGACGTGTCGTACCCTTGTTCTGACCAAGACACTTGGCTATCATCGAAGCAATGCATGCACCATGCTTAAGCAATCCACCAAGTTGTCGCATGTCAAGACTTGAGTGTACTCCAGAACTGGAGTCGTTTGTTGCAGTTAGCAACAGACTGTAAGCCACAATTGTGTCCAGAGGAACCCTACAGCGCCGCCGGATAATGTCGATGGACTGAAGGATGCCGCCTAGTTTGAGCGGCCTCAATGCCCAGACAACGCCGAACGCGAAGAAAATTGGCGGACCAGCCACCCGTCTGTGGTCAGCAAAGAGGCTGAATCTCGAGAATCTGATTGGCAGAAGTCAATGTGGGGCTAGCCACGCACAAGCTCACATCTCTTCTCTGTCGCAATATACTATGTGTATGTTCCCGTTTGTTCGAATCGTGGAGAACCCCATGGGAAAAATGCGGGTATCTGTCATTGACAACGCGGGGTGGAGCCACGGATACTGTCTAGTAAGAAAGTGGCGGTGGCCAGGACCGTCAGCAACGTGGATGATGTTGACAATTGCCACATTTGACCACCAGAGAGACAACGCTGCGTAGTGTGATGAGCGACCTCGGGTACAGAACGACGGTGAGTGCACAGCTGCCGGAGCAGGACAGGCGATGCCCCACTTGCCCCGGCGAGCTAAACATCTGGGGGAGGATTAGGCCCCGCACCTTCCACCAACCGCGCATCTCTCATCATCCCCTCGACCGTCCGCTGGTCACAGCGTCGTAGCAGTTGCCACTATCCCCGCGGCCAATTTGATCTGAGGCTCTAGAGGTTCCATCTTGGCTAAACTATTCAGCCGTAGCTCAATGTCCTTCCAAGTAAACCAGCCTGCTGGACGTTTCCGTGCTTGCAAGTCCTCATGAGTCCTCACGGCTTTCTGGGTTACAAGTCTCAGTTTACGATACGGTTTGCAGGGATTGGGAAACTCGTACTTACTCGGATCGCGGGTCTGACACGTAATATGCAAGCCTCAATGCTTCGATCAAATAAGGAGTGAGGCTCGGCGACAAAGTAACACATACGACCGGCTCATCGCACCGCAAGGCCCGACCTATCAGGCGAAGTGATATTTGACAGGTCTATCTGAGGGGACAGACCATAGACTTTACCCAAAATAATCGGTCTACCGTTGGTATCGAGCGATGGAGCCACAGAGCTGCATTGCAGAATTTAACCGGTCCGCCTAACCGTTCGAATGAAGCTAAGGGTTCCTTGGTGCTAATGTTACTATGAGATGGAACATATATAGGATGAAGCACTCCAACATTGCCAAAGGATCCAGGTCCAGCGACCAGCCCACTTCTGGCAGGAAAACACTGCACGTACCAGCCGTTGTGGAGTTTGACCTATTGACTTCATCGAATATCGCTCCTTCGTTCATCTGGACCTACAACGATAGATCATCATGGCGATTAACAAGTTCAGACCCAAGATGGGCGCTGTTGCAAAAAAGGCTGCCGATGTTGAGGTCGCTCAGGCTGAAGCTCCCCACCTGGCACGAGTTGACTGGAAGTCCGATCCCGGGCTCAGGAAACTTTACCTTTGGGCTTTCATCATTTGCATCGCTTCTGCGACGACAGGTTACGACGGGTAAGCATTCCTTGCCATCATATCAGGCTATCTGTTCTAACAAATAATAGTTCTATGTTGAATAATTTGCGCATTCTCAACCGTTGGACCACCTACTTTGATGATCCTAAGGAGTCTACGCTTGGTCTCCTCACAGCTCTCTATTCGATTGGCTCCATTGCCTCACTTCCTTTTGCCCCTTTCGTTGCTGACAACTTCGGTCGCAAGTCCGCTATCGCCCTTGGTTGCATAATCATGATCGTCGGCGCTGCTATCCAGGCCGCTGCAAAGAATCTGGACTACTTCATGGGTGGACGATTCCTGATGGGGTTCGGAAACTCACTTGCCCAGCTATCATCTCCTCTGCTGCTTACCGAGCTCTGCCACCCTCAGCACCGTGCTCGTGTCACCGCCGTTTACAACTGTCTGTGGAACGTCGGCGCCATCATTTGTACTTGGTTGACGTTCGGTACCAAGCGCATCGAAAGCGACTGGTGCTGGCGTATACCTGCGCTTACCCAGGCGTTTCCCTCCGTCATTCAATTGGCTTTCATCTGGTTCATCCCTGAATCTCCAAGATGGCTGATCTCTAAGGAGAGGAACGAGGAAGCCCTTGCTATTCTCGGCAAGTACCATGCCAACGGCGACATCAACAACCCTACCGTCCAGTTCGAATACGCAGAGATCAAGGAGACTCTCCGTCTCGAATTCATGTACAAAAAGACATCCTCCTATCTTGACTTCTTCAAGACCCGCGGCAACAGGTACCGGCTCATGCTCCTTGCATCTCTCGGTCTTTTCTCGCAATGGTCTGGAAACGGATTGGTTTCTTACTACGCAACCGATGTCTACAAGTCTATCGGTATCACTGACGGCGACACCCAACTTGGCCTGAACGGTGGTCTTACCATTCTTTCGCTGATCGTCTCCGTTTCCTGCGCTCTTCTCTGCGACAGAGTTGGTCGCCGTCCGCTCTTCATTGCTGCTACCGCTTCCATGTGTCTGACCTTCATCATTTGGACGATTTGCTCTTCGCAGCAGGAGGCTAAGCAGAGCAAGGCTGCTGGTCAGGCTGTTATTGCTATGATTTGGATATTCTCTGTGGCATACGCCCTTGCTTGGTCTGGTTTGCTAGTCGCATACACGGTTGAGATCCTGCCTTTCAAGATTCGCGCAAAGGGTCTCATGATCATGAACTTGTTCATTCAAGTTGCTCTGACTATCAACCAATACGTCAACCCTTACGGTTTCCAATATCTCCACCCTACCTGGAAGTTCTACACTATCTACGCTGTAAGCTACCCCTCTTTTCAAAATCGCAGATCACGTACTAATCTGTGTCAGGTCTGGATCTTCCTCGAACTCCTCTTTGTCGTCTTCTTCTACGTCGAGACCAAGGGTCCCACTCTTGAGGAGATTGCTAAGATCTTTGATGGCGATGAGGCTGAGGTCGCATTTGTTGACACCGACAAGGCCGGACAGACCGAATACCTTGAGAAACAGGGCGATGTTCATGTAGATCCCGCCAGGCACTAAGCCCTGTGCAGCAATAATTGTGGATTGGCGATGTTGACCGCGGCATCAGATATTTCAGGTTTACAAACTTTCGCACACGCCCAATTGCAATGTGATACTTCTCACGTATTCCAAGCAGTGTTTCCACGCAGACCAGGAGAAGGGACGATTCTCAGTTCATTGAAAGGCCAAAAGACAAACAAGAAGCTTCAAGCGAATAGCCCAATGTATTTGACATAAACAGTTCAGAATCGTCGAGGCCCACCAAGATTTGAAGTAAATATGTACAAGAAATTCTAGCACCCCACATCTTCGACTATTTACCGCCTGTTGCTGATTATGTATCCAGCCTTCTCACCGACCGCATACATCGTACTCTGAATATGCTGACTTGGCACGAGCGGGATGATCGAGGCATCGACAATAGACAGCTTCTCAACACCATGGAACAGCAGCTCATCAGAGACACAACCACCCAAATTCTCAGGCATCATGGGACAGCTACCGCTAGGGTGACTCAACGTCGGCCACAGAGAGCCGAGTTCGACCACACGATCGATAATCTCGGCATCAGTCTGGTACTGCGCGCCAGGGCTCGTCTCGACGGGGCTGAACTGCGCAATCTCTGGGCGCGCCCAGACCTGGCGAATGTAGCGCACGCATGCAGCCAACATAGACTTGTCGAGTGGGTTGGTCATGGCGTTGTACTGGATCAGAGGGACGCCCTGCGGGTTAGCAGGGTTGATGGTGATGGTACCACGAGACAGAGGCTTTTGTAACGCGACAAGAAGGCCATTGCCGGCTGCGGGGATACCGTATTCGACGATGCCTGCTTTAGAGTTTGCGTAGAGGCCAGCAAGAACCTTGCGCTGGGCAGCCACACCGGCGAGAAGCTTTTTGCTGCCCTTGTAGATGGCAGGCAGATAGGCATCGTTGGCTTGAGTGGTGACCTGGGAAGAGATGTTGGCGTAGCTGGCAGGTGCTACCTCAGGTAGGGGAATGAAGGCAAGTGCGTTGCCCCTTGCTTGTGTCAGGGGTCCAGTCTTATTGACACTGTACTCTTCCCACGCAGAAGCGTTGAAAGCAGAATCAGTAGAGAGGGAAGTGGGGTTGGGTTTGCTCATATTGGAAATGCTGAAGCCCATAGATGTGTAGGGGTGGTCCTGGAAATTGGCGCCAACACCGTCATGTGCGAGCTTCACCTTGATTCCGGCAGCTTCGAGAATGGATTTAGGTCCAATGCCACTAAGCTGCAGCAGTTTTGGCGTGTTGACGGCGCCAGCTGCGAGAATAACCTCTCGCTTAGCATATACAGTCCTGATTTTGCCTGTCTTCTTGTTGGTAACCTTGACTCCGTGAGCAACAAGCCTATCGGTGGTGTTGATATCGAAAACGAGCTCGTTTGCAACAGTCTCGAGCAAAGTAAAGAGGTTCTTGCGATCGGCCACAGTATCGTAGTAGGCCAGACGAGCATGTTGTCTCTCTCCGGTTTTAGGGTTCATCGTGTTGGGGTACCACGAAGTACCCGCGTTGTCGCCGTTGTTACCATCAACAAGTCTGCGCGCACCCTGGCCGTCAAAGGCTGACCAATAGCTCTTGATGTCCGGGTATTGGAAGTCAGATATACCGAGCTTCAAGGGGCCTTTACCATACGCTGCAGCATCCCATGTGATGTTGAACGCATCGACGAGCTCTTGTGGTGGAGGGATGAACTCGGTGCCTGGGTCCGCTTTAGCCGTGTCAGATATCGAATGGAAAGTACGGTTGTTACCTTTCTGGAAGAATGGGTAGAGACCGCTCCATCCCCAGCCCTTATTGCCCAGAGCCTCCCATGCGTCGTAGTCAGCAGCAGAGCCGCGATCATACATCATACCGTTCACAACTTGGCTACATTAGCAATTGTAAGATGGGGTCTGGAAGTTCCTAAATGTACCTGACCCGCCACCAAGTACCTGAGCAACACGAGTGTTCCATGTCCTGTTGTTGAGGGCAGGCTCAGGTTGACAAACGTAGTCGGTCCACAGAAGCGAAGTGTTCAAGGCGTAAGTTGCGCCAAATGGCATGCGAATATTTGGGTTATCATATGCGCCACCTGCCTCGATGACAAGGACGGATTCTGTAGTATCGAATGTTAGGACATCCGAAGCGATGTACATAGGTATGAAGATCGCCACCCACTCTTTGGATCTTCGGTCAAACGATTGGCGACAATCAGACCTGTGACTCCACCTCCTACAACGATGTAGTCGTATGTGTCTGAAACCCTGGCTTCGATCTTGGCTGAAGTGTCAACAGCAAGAGCACTTGCAACCGACAGCTGGAGCGCTATAGCGAAACGAGTGGATGAACGCATCATAAAGTGTGCTAAAATGCACTACACAACAAATAACGAATGACTGAGGACGCAATCGCGGTGGAAGCTATATCCCTATCGGAAGTCACATATATTATAAACGTGGCTGCCACGAGCTCGAATAATCTCCCGGGCACCTGTGAACGCATCATTCGGCACTGGCGCAGAAGGAATCCTCCTGACGTCCGACACGGCTTGCGCGTTCTAGCTGCAGAACATGAAGCCATTTCTACTCGAGTACCTGTACCGCAAGATTGCATAAATGACAGTGCTCCTCCGTGCGGCTCGGCTCTTGCAGGGGTCATGCCGCCTTTTGTACTTACATGCCTACCTAGGTACATAGCGTCCCATGTTGCGATTCGCCAACATCGGAAGACGAGCAGTCGCAAGGAGGGCAACAACGATTCTGTACACATGTAGGCGCTTTGTGCTATGTATACTCTTCGTTGTTGCTGTGTCTTGGTTGCAAGACACGTAAGTCTTCTAGGGCTGTTATTCGCCCCCACAGAAACGGCCCGATTGTGTTCGCAGGTCCTCGGAATTTTGGAAGTCAGGGAACAAAATCCTTCAGGTGTCTGGAGATCAGTCCTAGATGCGGCATAGTTGTGTAAGCTTTCCAAGCTTTCCATCCCGTCTTCCGATCCAGGTACAGTTGTGGCGTGTCATTTCCTAGGTACCAATTGTCTGTGCGCACTCAGGTAATGAGCTTACAACCACGACAGAGCCTGACAGTATGTTGCTGACAAGGGAATGTTCGTGACTTTCACTGGCGTTCTATCTGACAGTTCCAGCTTTCTGTCTTGCCTACCAGAGTCTGTCGCAGAGGTTTGGAAATACCACAACCGAGGTTCAATGTGCCTTACGAGTCAACCTCAGCCGTATCCTGACTCTTGAGGTTCGACCAAGGTCGCGGCCCAGGGACCGCAATGGCGTCTCCGGAGAGAAACCTGGTCTCTCTGCAGCCTACCGTTTCATGTCAAACGCGGGACGTGCCTTCGTTCGTGTTTCCTCCGAACGGTACTGTGGTAGCCGGCATGCATCATGGGTAGATCTATCATTACAGGGAACTCTGTTACCTATCCAAGAGGTATAGTATCATATATGTGTGACAAGATTGCGGTCACTAATTGGCTTAGCATGCTACCCGCTTCAACGTTGCGTACCTACTGTGTATAATCGCTCTTATCGCAATCTAGCGCTTGGTGGGGATTAGCAATTACCCTTGTAGGCTTCTCCACCTACAAAACTCACGCTGGCCACCACAGTAGTCCACAACTAGACAGGATCGGCTTGTCGCCCTCCAGTGTGGCGATGACCCCTAATGGTTCGGTGATGATGGCTCGAATGGGTTCGTTGCGCATGCGAAGAGACTAGATGTGTCAAGAAGCCGTCTTCGATCGCATCCTGGTGACCTGGCTGGACAGAGCTACCCACTTCAGAGGCATCTGATCAGAATCACCTTGATTGAAGATGTAGAAAGGCACTAGGTACGCAAGTCCTTGGGGCAGTAGTTGAGTCGTGCAATGACCTCTATTGTGTACTCGTATTTGACTGTACAGCAGTATGTGCCTACCTCATGTGCCGATGATCGGCGATTTGCTTGGATACAATAGGTACGCGAGGGTCAATGGTTCGGAGAAAGTCTCGCCAAAGATTAAATCATGCGAACCTGTACACGGGCGTGCGCTCTTGGCTACGGAAGCTTGTTTGCAAAAATTACCTGTAGGGATACGTAAGGTGCTAATTTGAGAAGGCTACTTCTCCCGTCGTTCTCATCACTCCGTCCTTCTGGAATTTTGGGTCCACCCAGCTTTCCTACACCTGACCCAGTGTCCGCCTGAGATCGTCCTGGGCAAGCAGACCCTTTATCGAGTGCCCAGGATGGCAGACACGCGACAAGACTGGCCCGATCGCAGACACGAGATCTTGGGATCCACCATCAGCATCGGAGTCTTAAGCACATTGGTGCTGATATGGAGAGTCGTATATGCGATAAAGAACAAACGAAAGTTGTTGTTTTGTGACTATCTTCTGATTTTAGCGGGAGTAAGTAGATCCTTGTATGAACGACGCAGCAATACTAACCTGACATATAGATGATGAATGTGGCGACGATGGGGCTTCGCTTCAGGACCACCGGTCACGCCCAGGGCCGGCACATTGCTGACCCGTCCATCAAGAAACCAGACGACATTATAGCATATAGCTACTATGTATGGGTTGGACAGATCATCAACCTGATGGCAGTCGCTGTCCTGAAATGGTCGATCTGCGCATACCTGCTTGCCCTGAAGTTCTCCAAGGTCTACACGCTCATCGTCTGGGCATCGATTCTGTTGGTCACTGTCTTCAACTTCACAATACCGTGTATCGGTTTACTAAATTGCGTGCCTTTGGAAGCTAATTGGAACCGCGCGGTAAAAGGGCATTGCTGGTACAAAGGCCATTCAGTTTTGACATATGCGCAAGGAGTCACCAATATCGTCACGGATATCGTGTATGTTGTGGCGCCCATCGTATATCTCTCAACCATCCAGCTTGCAAAGCGGACACAATGGAGTCTGAGGATTGTGTTCATGCTGGGTTTAGTGTGAGTCTCAGTTTTCTGATCGAGACCAAAAGCTGACTTGTCCTGCAGCGCCACGGTGTGTTCGATCTTCAAAACCATTGAGCTGAGTGCACTCAAGAAAACAAAAGATCCAACTTGGGATGGTGTCAACTTGACGATTTGGGCTGCGACAGAGCTCTCAGTGGGAATCTTGATCGCAAGTTTGCCGCCTCTGCGCAAGGTCTTCGACAAATTGTTCCGCCAAATCGTGCCGTCAACCTTCCTAACGAAATCGAGGACACCGGGAAGCATACCATTGTACAATGTCAGCAAACCTTACAGCAAACCGATGGGTCGCTCAGCTGCGGAAGATGACGCCGACAGCGAGAAAGACATGCTTCCTGCAAATGTTACCAGTAGTGGAATTACCAAGACGGTAGTGCACGAAGTAACGAGCGCAGAGAGGAACAGTGCTGTGCGAGCGCCTGACAGGACTTACGGTACGTATGGAAAAATGAACGGGTAACCTCTTGTGTCCCTTTATCCTACTGGAAACAACACAACGTTTCGCGGACCTACGTGCCTGGACAGTCGTAGCCTACCTCAAATTCGAGCACATTTGTGTTTTTTCTTTAATTGGTCCCGTGCTGTGTCTCCAATTGCTCGAACACCCAGTATTCTCGAATTGAAGGAAGAACGTAATGTGTTGTGTGCGAGTTGTCCACTTCTGAAACGAAGTGGTTCCTATCACATCGCAGGCAAGCGTCACTAGCAAAGTACACCATACACCATAGGCCTATAACTGCTCATTAACTCATTGAGGGTAGGCTTTGTCTTCTAAAGCCTGCTCGGTTAGGTATCAGAGACTTTAGCAACATAAAAGCCGACTGGTCAACCTACATCTTGAATACAGAAAACATCCTAACGCCTGTGACTATGCTGGGTGCCGAGAACATGCGGGGTATCTCGAAAGGCAGTCGCGGAAAAAACAAAGGTAGTGTGATCGAAACAAAGTGCACACTGCAAGACTTGCGATCTGTCCAGCAGTCAGTCGTGTTGCTGCGCTCTACGCAACAGCTGCCAACATCATCCTGGCGGAAGGGTAAGAGCCGGGTTCAGAGGGCTCCCTGTGTCCTCCTTTAGCAAGGCCTTGACACGGTCAAGCCTGCTCACTGCTTTCTCAAGGCGGTCCAGCCGCCCCATCTTGTCCTTGTCTTTCCTCTCAAGCAACTCTATCCGCTCTTCAAGTTTTGCCCTTGCTCTGCGTTCCTCCGCCACCATCTCGTTAGCCTGAGAGAACAGAGTCACGCTGAGTTCTTCGATTTCTGAGTCCACGGTGCGCACCCTGTCCTCTGCCTTCGCTCTAAGTGCACGCTCGCGTTCGAGTTCATGAAGCAGATCATGGTCCGCTGATGATTTGGTCGCTGGGCCGGGTAGGGGCGGCGGGTTGGTGGAGTTGACAGGCGAGGCCAACCTGCCAGTAAGGAACGAGAAACGAGATTGTGTTCTGGCGTGTGCTGAGCCTGCTGTCGATGGACGACCATTTGAAGAAGGGGAAGCGACCGAGTCCGAGGTATTGTTGCGCGTTGGCCTGTTAATGCCTTGTGGTGTAGATTTTAGCGTACGGATCTGGTCCTCGTAATCGGCGCATTTGTCTGCTGATTGACGCCTTAGTACACTTCGTGACTATCGTTCGCAATTCGCAAACGTACCTGCAGCCGCTGCCTTTTCTCTCAGCATATCTATCTGCGCTTGCAGTTCTTTTATAATATGCTTCGCTTCCTCCACGCCCTCCAAATCAGCGACAATTGTTGTGCCACATGATGGGCAGCTGTGTGAAGTGTTGGTAGATTGGAGAGTACGTGTCGACGGTGCGGGCTCTGAGGGCGGTTGCAACTCGACTGACATGTCTCGACTCCTTTAGCTCTATCTTGGTCGAGGTTCGGTGCCTCAGACTAGGCTACTGACGGTTGGTGTTAAAGGAACGAACAAAATGCGTCGCGCAGAGAGTGCGTCACAGGATGACCTCTCGAGTCTCTAGACCGGGGTTCCGTCACCCCTGTCTGGGATTTAAGATTTGCGCTACTTTGCTAGCGCCCCGCCCCACTCCGAGTCCTCCGATCACACACCTGTGTACAACAGCAAGCTTTCTTTGCAGGGCTCAGAACGACTCTTATGTTACATAGATCTAGTTTCATGCACCGCAACATGAACTATAGAAACCGAATGATTGTAGAGCTGCTTTTCACGGTACGCATCTACACTGAGCAGTCTGCTCCATAACTCATACATGTTGCCAACGACTATACATATACATCAGACTGACTGCGTGAACCAAATCAGGCTCTGAAGTAGAATTAGACCAATCCCTTACCCTGCCGAATAATCTTTGACGTCCACTCGCTCGCCATTTTCTTCAAGGGCTGTATACTAACACATTGCACCCAAACAATCACAGGAAGTCCAACCAATTATCTCTTGTTGATCACCACGTCGAAAACGACGTACCAGTACTCAGACTTCCCTGGGCATCACCCAGTCTGTAGTATCTCTAGTCCTTATTGCCGTACAGTGAACACCCCTTTTCCGGCTACGTTCCAGCGGGTTCCTTTCGAGAAGATGCTTACGACATTCTATGTTCTTTCACACAATGACATAGTGTGAACTATTTAAGAGAATCCACAGATGTCCTGACATGTATGGGTATGCCTCAATTCAGATCCTTACAGAGGTTGAAGCCCACGTATACATGAAAGTAGAGCTCTCGTTCGATTCAGGTTGTGACCACATTATATATCGAATGGCAACAGTATCAAGCTGAGTACTGTGACAACATCTACAAGCGTCTTGCCTGTACGTTCGCCATTAGGTATTTGTTTGTGTCCAACACTCTGTAATCTTAATACCTCCATAAGCATAGCAGTCGATCGTAAAAGCTCGTAGATATGAATGTTCGCTGGCCATTCGCATTCAACCCAAACTGTGAATCGCTTCCATAGTTCATACTCTTGTGTTCCTCAAACTTTGCCACAACCTCGAACCGCCAGTCATCACCGGTACGCACAAGCCTGATGACGCGCGCACCAGCATGCATACAGCTAACAAGGAGTAACAGTTCTTCGGGTGGTTGCATTGCCTCGCTTGAGCTTGCTGCAGCTTGAGTTGGCATCTTCTTGTCCAGAACCTTCAGACGCCACACTCCACCACCTAGGTCCATCTCAGCTCGCACCTGACGGCGACCCACGGTGGGAGCTTCAATCAGACGAATATGATCGTCGTAGCTGCCAGTAACTATCCAACTGCTTCCACTATCTACATGGATTGGCAGGATCGCTGTGACACCAGCGCTGTGGACTTTCTTGTCCGACCATGACATGATCCATGAAGGGGCATAGTTTGCTCCAGAAATCTCTTCTTTGCTTCCAGGATGATCGCGGGGCAGCTCCATGTACTTCAAGGCGCTATCATCACCTCCGGAGTAAATGCCTGTTCCGTCTGGCAGGAAGGCGAGGGTCCATGCTTCAAGCTCATGAAGGCCAACGTCCAAGTGCGATGGATTCTCCAGGTCGACTTTGCCAAGACATACTTTGCCGGTCGAAAGAGTCATGCCAACTGCCGACTGTTCGGGATGCCATGAGAACGCGGTGATCAGCTCGTTCTCGGGAAAGTACTGGAGGGTCTGAAGGAGGACGATTTCGGGAATGTCGTTGGCTGACTCTTGGTCGAGCTGATAGATACCAATAGAGCCTGTCGATGTTGCCACTCCGAAGATGGAGTCTGCGCCCTCCTGGGGAAGGAAGTGTACATCCAAAATTGCGGATGCTGTTGCAATCGTCTGCACAATTTCGCTGACAATAATAAGTTTTGCTTGATGGTATGGCAGAATTTGTTGTAGCAACAACTTACACTGTATCGTCTCTAACACGAACCAATATCAAACTTCCATTACGCTCTTGATTCTTTTGCTGCCCCTCATGCTGCGCAGGATCTGACAATCCTGATCCATCTTCTTTCTCGAGATTATAGGTGCCCACCACAGCATATTGCGAGTCGCGAGACCAGAACTCGATACAGCTCGGCGGCAGATCGAGTGTAAGAGTCAGTAAGGAATCGATTGATGCCATCTTGTTGCTTGGTTGCAGAAAAGTACGGCTCGCATTTTGCGCAACCAGATCCGGCTAGTACATGATTGATTACTAAGCGGTCGTGGCGTGCACGCTCTTGCGTCTACTCCCTCTCCACTCGACTCAGACGTCGACATTGTTGACTGCGAGAATGTGGCATCGAAACGATATCCATCGTCCAATTGACTACACGTCAGCTTTAGTCCCAGACGCCGTCGGGTTGATGCCTTACTAACCCTGGCTCGCCTCAGTTGCAGCCTAAGCTAACAACCGATTCGGAAAGCAGCTGATCGTCAACATACACGCAATCACCTATTAAAGTCGCATGAGAGCGCGTCTCTTTCGTGTTTTTCCAAAATCAAACGTGTCTCACTCTCATTAATTGCTCGCTGATCAATAACTCCCACGAATTCTCAATTGCGGTTAATCAACTTACAATGTCTCAAATTGTGACATCACAGACAACCTTTGCGTCTGGCCGTTACTCGAAGCGTAAGCGGACACAGGTCAACTACCGTATGGAAGAGATGGATGTTGATGAGATGGATGGGGAGTTTGAGGAAGATGTGAAACCGAAGGTTCGCCGACGGCTTCCAGGGCATGCTAGCAGTACTGACCTGATCTCAGAAGCAACGCAAGACTGCATCCAGCAGACCCTTACCGAAGCGCAACATCTTTCCTTTTCTTCAACTGCCTGCAGAGATCCGCAACATGATCTACACATACGCGCTCACTGATCCATCGGGTATCAAATTCGTTGCCGTTCAACGGAACAGGCGCCGTTGCGTCGAGAGAGTCTCGGACAAGACCTTCAACCAAGTATCGAACTACAGGTCTCCCTACCAGTCGAACAAAATCAATAGCGATGCGAATGAGCGAGCCGCATCCCTTGTTCCTTCACTCCTCGCAACAAACAAGCAGATCTATCAAGAAGGTTGTGATATCCTATACGGCAACGAACTTGTCTTCGCTGACACTGTCGCTCTGTATGCATTTATGATTAACCTGGGTCCTGGCAGTGCTTCTCACCTCAGGAAGATGCGACTCACGGGCTGGGGCCGGGGACGTACATCGAAGGCGTATAACAATGCCTGCTTCGCAGTTCTTATCTGGGCTACCAATCTTGAGAAGCTCTACATCGACAGTACTTTCAGTTATTACAGGCTACCAAAGCTTTGTGCTCAGCAGATCTATCGCGATGCGTTTCCCTGGCTGGAAGCTGTCGGCCGCGCCAAAAAGAAGGCCGATGCGGCTCTTGAAGTTCTCGAGGTGGCTGCTGGGAGCCTGCGAGGGGGCTATTACGGTTCTCAGAACGTTACCGACGCAGAGAGACGCAAGACATTCAACGACGAATTGAGAAGGAACCTATACTGGCATCAGAAGTGCGTTATGCCCAAAACGAAAAGAAAGACGAAGGCTTCTAAGGTCAGTGGCAAGCCCTGAGGATCAACAACTTCGACTCAGTTGTTCGTAGGGTAATGGTGGATGGACTTCGCTCCACATCTATCAATCACCAATGTCATCTACATCGCACAGCTGTATTAGACAGGTTTCGATATGGAGTTCACCAATTTCGGCGTTAAGGTCATGGCTGGGCAGCTCGTAGCGTTTATGAATCATGATCGTAGTGTTTTCAACCACCGTAGCTATGTGGATAGATTTATTCAGAATCTTAATTTTACGAATTTACTTTGCCAGTTTAGAGACCTCCAAGCTCAGACGAGGGAATTGCCAAGCATATGTCGACGATCTCGAATCAAGGATCAAATCCTCGAAGCCAAGCGAACATTTGTTGCGAATGTTGACGTATTTATTGACTGCAACTAGCGCTCGCGTTCACATATGCCCCGCCATTCATGTGACAGAGATCTCAGCCACACTTAGCTAAGATCGGCCCACAGCTGCCGAGGACTGCGTCATGTTCAAGCTGCGATTTAGACCACGCGCGCGCGGCCTGCAACTTCTGCAGCGAATGTACCTGGAGCTAGTCGCTGCTGATGCCTACAAGCGACTCCTCAGCCTACACTGTGACATTGCTATCTGCATCGACCTGCCCTCATTTTTCAACAAGCGCGTGTTGATAGGTCTCCGCACTGCTGCAAGGCCTCACGAGCACATCCCAACAGAAGCTTTCGGGCCCCGTGCATTCCGCCTAACGGTGTCAGCGCCGCATTGAAGGTTTGTACGCGTCAAGAGCTGCATATAATCAGGATAATTTCGCCCCGCATCGACCTCGGCGTCTCGTACTTCAGGCACCCACATCAGCGTCCACCCGTCTGTACATAGTCTCCACCGCCACGAGCCATGGCCACCGAAACACATCCCTTTGCCTCTCCGAACGCCATACCCCCTCGCACAAGCTCCACCGGCCAAGTCACGATCGGGCATCCTGCGAGTCCCCGTCAAAGCGTCTTGCGCCCACTCTCAGAGATCGACTGGATGAGCCAAAGCAAGAAGAGCAAGACGTCGCACGCCTCAATAGAGCCGGTCGTTAGCACACAAGCACAGCCGCACTCGCACTCGCAATCACAATCGCATTCACGGTCGGAGCCAATGAACCTCGAAGAAGTCAGCACAAACTACCCCACTCCGCTCTCGCCGCCAGCCGACGCGAAAAATCTGGGCGAAGACCTCATATATGGCAACGGTGCGGCTTGGACGGAGGAGAAGGAGCGCCTTCTCCTTGGGCCCTACGACTACCTCTGGGGTCATCCGGGCAAGGACATTCGGTCGCAATGCATAGCAGCGTTCAATTTGTGGCTGCAGGTCCCACCTGAGCGGCTGGAAACTATAACACGGGTTGTTGGTATGCTACACACAGCGTCTCTGCTGGTCGACGACGTCGAAGACAACTCATTATTACGGCGCGGCATCCCCGTCGCAAACAGTATCTTTGGCGTCGCGCAGACAATCAACTCGGCGAACTATGTTTACTTTAAGGCGCTACAGGACCTGCTGCTCATGGGCAACCCCAAGCTCATCGAGATATTCACCGAGGAGCTGTTGAACCTCCACAGAGGCCAGGGCATGGACCTGTACTGGCGCGACAGCCTGACCTGCCCCAGCGAAGCCGACTACCTCGAAATGGTCGGCAACAAGACGGGCGGCCTCTTTCGGCTCGCCATCAAGCTCATGCAAGCCGAGAGCGCAGTCCAAGTGTACGCACCTCCCCACCCACCCCTTCACATATCAGCTAACCGCCCCCCAGCGACTGCGCCCCGCTCGTCTCCACAATCGGGCTGCTCTTCCAAATCCTCGACGACCACCTCAACCTCTCGCCGACCTCGGGCTACGCCTCGCTCAAAGGCCTGTGCGAAGACCTGACCGAAGGCAAATTCTCCTTCCCCGTGATCCACGCCATCCGCGCCGATCCGGGCAACCAGATCCTGATCAACATCCTGAAGCAGAAGACGACGGACGAGGAAGTTAAGCGCTACGCGTGCAAGTACATGGAGGCCAAGGGCAGCTTCGAGTACTCGAAGCGGGTTATTGATGAGCTGAGGGGGAAGACGGAGGGGCTTGTTAAGGGGATTGAGGAGGGGTTGGGGGATCAAGGGACGCAAGGCGCGGAGGCGCTTAGGAAGATGTTGGGTAGGTTGGTGTTGAGGTGAATTACGTAGTGGAAGGGACAGTAATGTTGGAGTATCCGAGCATTGCATAGCGATGCGCTTAATGATTACGAAGTTACGCTATTACACTACTTTTCCTTTGTCTGGTCGAACTATTGCCAGTTGAGCTGCAGCAGTCGATTGATTGCTTTTAGTGAGCTGCTATGGGGATGCTTCTGAGCTTGCCTTGTCGAAGGGAGACGCCTGTTCAGATGAGGTAGCCGTAGCAACGAGTGCTGCAGCGATGATCGTAGCGCTTAAATCGTAGCACATTGGGGACAGATGTGGCAAACACTCACCAGCGCACTGCGCAGTCTATTTCAAAGTACACATGAAATGATGCAGGGGCGGACAGCACTAGTGAACGCAGTGATACTCTAATGTATTCATGCCAGCCACCCATTATCACGCTGCACAGCAGCATTAAATATTATACAAGTATCAAAGCCCCAAGCCTCACCCCGAATGTACAATCTCACCCAATGCAGAGGGGTCGAAAGGGGTTCACAAAACACCCACTAGAACGAAGCTTTCGAAGAGAAGAATGCAGTGAGAATAATGTATCGAACCTTTTGAGCCTCCGCTAGGCATCCATGCAACCGCAGTAAATCCAAAAACACAAATGAAATGTCTACTCTACCATCGTACGTCGTAAGGAAATATGCCGCGAAAGGCTGGGTATGTGTAAGGGTAAGTATGATGAAAATGGAGATAAGGAGTTAGGCCGTCTGGCTGTGGGCAATCCATGCATCGTGCGCCTCTCGGAGTACTGAAGTTGTTAATAGCCATTTGCCTGGCAGGGTTTGTTGAACTTACTTTGCAGGACATGAGCTTGCGAGGTGGAGGACTCACACGCACACTGCAGGGTCCGGCCGTCGATAAAGTCCAGGACTACACTATTTGGGAGTTCCTGTTGGTCCTGGTCGGGAGGATAAGGAGCTTTGAAATCGGTGAGATGGTAACGCTTGGTAATGCCTCTTGGATTCGATATCGAGGGACCAAGGATAAGGTTGCCAGTGGTGTCGATCTCAACAAAACGACGCTTCCACAACTGATTGCCTGTTAGCACAACTCCGGGCTTCAGCAAGTTGATGGACTTACCAGTGTGTCGGGGAACTGGACGTTGAGATCGCCAACCTGAACAGGTGGTGGCGGTTCCCGCAGTGATGATAAAGAAGTAGAATGCATATCCTGCTCAGGAAGCGCAAGGCTTGTTTGGGAGCTCTTCAACCCCAAGCCCGAAGACATTCGCTTGAACAGCTTGCTCGTTCGCGAATCTTTCTTGCCCTTCTTCTCTTCGCGCTTCTCTTCATCGCCGTCGTGACTGTGGATAGACCTCGTTTCGCTCATTCGGCGGCCGAATGGCCGCCAGCTGCTCTCAGATGAAGAGCGAGGGAGTGCATGGCCCAGATCACGTGATCCCGACGAAGAAGGTGCTCTTGGCGACGTGGTTGACTCAGTCGCAATAGACGAAGCAGTTTTCGCACGAGTTGGGCTTTTGGGAACGAAGGCAGGCTTCTGATGATCAATGATCAAAGGACTCTGGTGGAGGTCCAGTGGCGTGGTTTCGGTAGGCATAGCCAACGTAGGTTGCTTAGTGCGCTCATCTTGAATGATACGAGCGGTGACCTGCACAGTCTCGGGTTGTTCCACTTCCTGTAGGTTGTATACGTTTTGATCCGCTGTGATGGGCGAAGGCTCCAACGTAGGTTTCTTGTCAGGCGTTGGCTGGTTAGACAAGCTTAGGTGCGATGGACTGCCTAATCGCTGAACAGGCGTACCACCAGGAGACCTGTCGATTGGTGATGCTGCGAAGAAATTCGACTTTCGTTGCGCTAAGCTGGATCCAGGCCGCGAACGTGGGGTATCGTGTGGACTTAACGATGCTTGTGAATCGCGTTTAGATTTCTCTGCGAGGGCCTTGATCCTTTGCGCAATACCACCGGATACTTTGACAGAGTTCATCTTCGGTGGCGGGCCCATCTCCTCACTCCTGGTTGATGTGGTCCATGGACCTGACGATTTCCTGACAAGGTGTTCTGGTGATGTACGGGTGGCCTGGTTGAATGATGTCGAAGCTGCCCGCTTAGGCGGTGAAGAAAGCTTAGGCTCAGAAGGCTGTCGAGGAAAAAAAGGCATGATCGGCGACTTGGACACGGACATTGGCTTTGCCTGCCGGACCTCCGCGCTACGAAGCTCTTCCATAAAGGAGTCGTCGGATAGATACTCTGCCTCGGAATTTTCTGCGCTGACCTGTATCGGATCAAGCAATGCCCTGCGCTTATCTTTCGATTGGTACCAGCTTTCTCTCTTAGAGGAGGGCAGAATCATCGACTCCCTGTTGCGGCGCTTAGACGCATTGTCATTTTGCCCAGCGTGCTCGTCAGGGGGCATGTAAATGGTTGACTCGCGGTTAGAGCGGCGTGGGTCTTGAGATTCGGAAGGTATAAGGGATGTTGTGGATTCCCGCTTTGACGTGTCTGACTCAAGTGGGGCATCCGCTGGCGGGGTCGGCAACTGACTAGGTATCTGCATATCTAACGAGGGGACGGGCGTCTTGCTTTCCGGAACAACTGTCGGCGAGCTGTCCACAGATTGCTGCTCGTCTAGAGTATCCCATGTCGTATGTTCTGGAATGTCTGCGGCCTTCTGCGCATCATCCATGCTGGTATTATGATCGTCCTCTGACAGGGATGAGGGCCGGGTGGAAGGGGCAACAGATGATCCTTGCGTTTGCGCAGATACCGGCGAGGACACGGATGCAGCAGAATTGAGATCATCGTTCTCGGTCTGGTTGCTGGTGTAGACCATACCTGAGCTGTCCACTGCCAAAGATGAAGTTGTATCCTCCTCCAGTGAGATCTTTCTGTCTTCAAAATCCTCTCTACTGGGTTCCTTGATGGCGTCCTCTCCGTTGTTCACAGGCAAGGATTTTGCAACACTCGCATCTTCAATCATAGTATTGCTACCAGATTGTGGTGCGTCTGCCGCTGTGCTATCGCTGTCAAGGGATGATGTAGACTCAACAATCTGCGCCGTTGCCTCGCCACTTTCTGTTGTTTCCTCTGTCATCTTGCTCTGTCGGTCTTGTTGAGCCTTCATCTGCTTTTTACGCAGCTCCAATGCTTTCATCAAACGTGTCCGTTCGTGTGTGTTGCTGTTGGACTTGAGTCCGCCACTGTAACCAACAGGCATAGACCGTACACTCGCCGGACCCTTCAGCGAGAAGGTGACAGAAATAGGAGAAATAGGAGTCTCGGGTATAGGAGATGGTGGCGGCAAAGGCAGAGTGGTAGGGACTGCGGGGTTCGAATCGGACCTTGAGTCTTTGAGCTTAGGCTTCTTCGATTCAGCGGCTTTGCGAGCGGCGGAGCGAAGACCAGATGGTAGGGACGACTTTGTTTTCGCGCCGAGTTGAGAACCACTGCCTGAGGTGGAAGGGCGCCTCCCTTCCTGTGAGGCGCGAGGTCGAGGCCCGAGTTTCTCTTTAGGTTTGGTGTACTGGGCGTAGTAGTGCTCGTACAGCTCGTTGTAGTCTGGGCGAGCGGTCTGCGAGGAGGCACGGGGCTCGGCACCACCCTCGAACAGCGAGTCGTTCGTGAACGTCCTCCTCAAGTCGCTGACGTCGTCGGCCTCGGGTGTTCGCGGCCCTTGTGTAACAGTCTCAATCGTGACGTGCGAGATCTCCGGCGCAGGCTTCACGTCGGCCGGCGCAGGTTCGACCACCTTGTCGTCGAGGACAACGGGGACCTGCTCGGTGTGCTGCGACACTACTGAGGCACGCCGCAGAGACTCAGCCTCGTTGCTGGCGGGCTCGAGTATGGTCGGAATGGTGGAGGGCGACGTCGGTCGCTGCAGGGCGGGGGCGTCGTCTCCTGCAGGCTGGCTGGGCGCCTCCGACTCTTCCCTGATCCAGCTCAACTTCTGATGTCTTGCGGACGAGCCACTGGACGAGGAGCTCGAGGGGGCGGCGGTGTGCAGGGTGCAGGCCGAGGTAAGGGCGGCATCGCTAAGCTCTTCGGGGCTGCTGATGGAGAGGACAATGTCGTGCGGCGCGAACTTCTCGGTCACGGTGATGAAGTGGACAGCAACGCGGGCTGTGGGTGGGTGTTAGCGCAGGCCTGACCCGCCAATTTGCGCAGCGCGGGCGGCGCATAGGACAGCCTACCTTGGAGCAGGCGCGAGGTGCCCTCGGGCACGTATTTGACCAAGACCTTGCGGCGGCGGTACAGCAGCAGCCCGTACAGCGGCGACTTGTCTTCGTACTGTGCGACGGCAGCGCGCGCCTCTTGGGCCCCGCCAGTTCCCGTGGTCAGCACGTCGACGGCATCCCTTGCCGTATACTTGAGCAGGAACCTGTACGCGTTACATTAGCACAGCGGCTGGAGATTGCGGAGCTCGGGGGCAGGGCATCGTACCATCCGCCAGCCTCGGCCAGTGCGCCCTGGTACGCCTGTGTGACGGCAATGTCGTCCAGCCCGTTCAGCGACATGGCGAGCGCGCGGGGCCGGGAGCTGCAGCAGGCGCGGGGGCAGCCTGCGGTGCAGAGTGAAGCTGCAGTGTTTGGGCGGACTGCCGGTGGTTGCGCGCGCTGCTAGGCGACGACGCGGCCGTGCGTAGGGGTCAAGGGCTACCGCGAATCCAGGGACCGACGAGTCAAGCAGGGCAACACATGGGCGCTGGGCGCGTCGCGGGTTGGTCACGGCGGTGCACAGCAGCGGCTGGAGGGAGAGCGGGCGTGCGGCATGGGCAGACAGAACAGCAGATGAGCAGCAGATGGGCAGCAGTGCACCGGCCTGCAGCAGAAGGGGGCAGCGATGCGTGCCTGAGCTGCGCGAACTGCTGCAGTGCTTAGTGTTTCAGCGTGCAGACGGGGCCACAGGGCTGGCCCCCTGGTCCTCGTCGGGCCCTGCTCCGCGGCTGCCGTGCCGGCTGCTGACGCTCGACAACTTCATCAACGGCGGCCACGACGGCTATCCGCACGTCGAATGCTGCTACTGCACGCGGCCTCTGGCTACCGGCGTGGACCTGAGCCACAGGACTGCTGCATGGCCGCGTGCGCGAGGAGGTAGCCGTTGCAGCACTCGGCGCGGCCAAGCAAGTCGTCGTGTCACCGCGCAGGTGCTCGGCTGCCGGTCCGTCGCTTTCGCAGACGACGTCCACAGCTGGCCTGCAATGCTCGCGATAGTCGTTGTCAGCCCACCTGCGATAGACGTTGGAGCTGCAGCTGCCGGACAATTCTCTCCTGCCGCCGGACCCTTCGCTCCAGCCAGTCGCAGTGCCGAGCGTGCTTGCCTTCCAGGTTGGCCCTGCCCTGGCTCCCAACTGCAGAACTCTATTATCAAATGCACTACAATTGACTCCATTGCTCGCGCGCCTGCATCCTAATCCAGCATTGTCTATGTGCAATCACTCAGCAATGCCATGCTGCAGGCTCTGCCCTGGCCCTACTGTTAACCTCCAATGGACGCTACAGCCTTGGATATCTCCAAATGTGCCTTCGAGGCTGTTCGGCGCAGGTGTTTCCCTAAAGCTATTGATACGCCAAAGCTCTCCACCCCCTTGCAGCTTGCATTCAACCCACCCCACCAGCCCACTCTCTGCGAACCACTCAAAGCCTCGCCACACTACTCCCAAGTAGTTGTGGAGAGGCTTGTGGCTTGAAAATGCGCGTCGATAACATCGGACGGTAGCGGCCGGTGTTACACCTTTCTTAATGACATCGTCACCCCGCCATCGCGTCGCTGTAGCTTTGACTATCTCACAACAAAACACTCGACGCGTCGGCCTCCGCTTCATAATTTGCACTTATCGATAGAGCACCCTTGCACGTCGCAGACATGACATCACTCCCTGCCATCTCCACTCTGCCACATGCGGCGGACTCGGAGCTGACGACTGTGTTGGATCTGCTTTTTGAGCCTTCTCCCCCGCTCAATGCACTCACCCTGCCCGTGCTGCGATCAACAACGTTTCCTAGCTATGACGTCCTTATCACTGCCGTGAATGCCCAGCTCAAGGCGCTTGCGAGCTCAGATAGTCCTGAGGACGTGAAGAAGCTGTCAGAGATACTGTGCTCGCATCCACGACTTGGCGAGAAGAAGGTCGAGAGCGAGCAAAGCAGGAAAGAACAGGCGCAGCTGCAGCAGGGAGCCGAGGAAGAGAAGGAGAAGCTCGCGAGTCTGAACAGGGAGTACGAGGAAAAGTTCCCCGGGTTGAGATATGTGTAGGTGTTGCTTTACTATATTCATGCATTGTCACTCGCATGTTGACAAAGGCTGACGCTGCTCAGCGTGTTCGTGAATGGTCGTCCCCGCCCCGTCGTCATGGAAAACATGCGCTCCCGCATCGACCGAGGTGATATCAAGGCTGAGCGACAGGAAGCCATCCAAGCCATGTGCGACATAGCACTGGACCGTGCAACGAAGCTGCAGGCATGACTGTCCACGCCCAAGCTATGAAACGCTTGAGGTTGTGACAAGTCTTGAGCTTAGTGTAGGCTGTCGCTGCATGCGCACTCCAATATAGCTGCTGTCGTAGAAATTGAGGAAGGAATGCAGTCGAATATGGTTCCAGCGTGGTCACGAGTACACGCGTATCTGCGAAGAAGAAGACTCAGCTATTTTGAGGCATGTGTGTGCGATTCAAGTGCAGAGTTCATCTAGCCGTAGAGGCGCTCGAGTCACTCAGTAGGAAGAAGGAACCTTGTTTTGCAAACGCCTGGTCTCGCCGTAGAGCTTATACTACCACAGCCACTAGAAACGAGAACAGACCGTCCATTGCCTACGTTGTCACAGTACACGTCCACGAACCTCAGCTCTGCAGATGACCACCGTGATATATATGTTTATCTGCACCTTTGCTATCATTCCTGTTGTCTTCCTGCACCCGGTCCCCAGTCCATACTATCAGCAGCCAGGAAATTAGGCGACATGGAAGCAGGCACAAACTCAGTTTCCACCAGCGGAGCCGGCGCCACTGGTCTCTGCTCCTCGTACGGCACCGGCGCACCCGGGTACTGCACTGCCAGCGGCCCCGCATTGAAGGGCAAAAAATTTGGGCTCGCACCGCCATACTCCACAGCTCTCTGGCCCGCCTTCCCCGCTGTCTTGCTCGCCGCCTCAAGTACCGGGCTCGGCCACGCCGAGTCCGCCGCCTCGTTACTGCTGTCCAGTTTGTCGAGCTCGACGAAGGCGTCGTAGGCAGGCTGCTGCGGCGTTCTGAGCATACTCGTACCCGTGGCTGCGGTGGTGCGGGAGTCGCTCGTCACCACGGATGCGGAGAAGGGGCTGTCGTGGCGGACTTCTTCGTCGGCGTCCCAGGGAAACGAGAACTGGTCGTCTCCGTCTTCGTCGTCGTCGAGATGCGAGTACAGGTCGACGGGGGTGTTGCCTTTAGCGCCGAGGTCTTCAATGTCGAAGGCGTCGTAGTTAGAGAGTCCGAGGGGAGAGGGGAGGTGCGGTTCGTATGTGCGTGTCGAAGACTGGATGCTGGGTGGTGAGAGGGCGTATGCGGCGTTGGGGCTCTTGTAGTCTGTTGCAGCTTCGTGGCTGGGTCCAAGCCAAGGCGGAGAAGAGGATGTGGGAGAAGGGCTCCGGGAGGCGTTCAATGAACCCGGTGATGAGCTTAACGGCGAGCCAGGATTGAGGGAATGACTCGCGTTGCGGATTGCGGTGGATGGGGGTATGGGCTCTGTCGGCAAGTGGACGGGCAAGGTATAGGTATGTATAGCACCGTAGTTGAAGGTCAGACGTGCCATCTCAAGTTGTCGCTGCTCCTTTTCCTGCTCCACAAGTAGGCGCCTGCGTGAGACTGCGTCCCGTGCAGCGACAGCACCGCGCCGGATGCGATTCAAAATGGCGGCTTTCCGAAGCAGGTTGCGCCCCATAGCCTTCTGCTTCGCCCAAACAGCAATCTTAGAACTCCCCCTATCGACAATATTGGTAGCTGGGTGAGAGAATTGAGGCGATAGACGAGAAGTGATCAGGAACAATCTAAGTCTTCGTTTTTTCTTCTGCAAGCATGAATGTTCGCCGTCGATATCTGCTGCTGCTCTGCCACGCTTTTGTGAGTGTACCAAAGATAATCTTGGCATGAAGGCAAGGCTGCTATCAAGTAGCGGTAGATTTGTGAACGGAATGGTAGGCTGTGCTATATCGAGCATAGGAATTGGAGCCTGGAAAAGATCGGTCCCTGGACCACATAAAGTTTTGGTGGGTGTCATCCTCCGTTGCCCAGTTTTGTATGCCGTCTTGAAAGGGAAATATGACTGGGCAAACAACTCGGCATGCTCGCGTAAGTTATTCAAGGAATCTCTGTTCAACGAGTGCCAGTGTGGAGCGAAGTGCCACCGCTGAATACATTCAACGATGATGCCTTGCGCTAGTGTTGCGGCAGATCGTGGACTTGTGTGTGCATTAATCTGCCCAACACGCTCAAGTGTCCTGAGTGGCCTTTCGGGAATTCGCGTCAGGTATCACGAGACCCAGGTGTTCGGAAATCGCGGTGTCGAGGTCCGCGTGCCACGTCTAGAATGGAGGATGATGCCGATATCGCGATTTCTGCATACACCCACGATATAATAAGCTGGCGGTGAGTTTCGAAGAAGCAGGGTGGAAGGGTCACGCAATTGCTCTCAGCGGGAGCTGCGTTGTCTTGAGGAGGCGGTTCATCTGACCCGAAGCTATGGGCACACGCTTGGAAAATGCGGAGAACCATGCATTGTCAGCTCTTCTTTGCGATGTAGCCAATGTTATTGGACAACGTGCGCAGCGATTGTCCGCCATTGCGTCTGGACGCTCTCCATTTGTACCGGCTTGCCCAAGTCGATCTTCCCTCGTCAGGGATGTTTGATGACCCTGCTGAGATCTAGGCGGCGAAGGATTCACTGCACTGTTCCTGTCAAACAACCCAAATCGCGCATGCCTAAACCGCGCATGTGGCAATACTGAACAACAAGATGCCTGTGCGGAGAATGTCTCCAGCTTATCGAAACTGTGAGTGGCGCAGAGTGAGGCTTCAAGGCCAGTAGCTTGTTGTAGATCCCTGTTCACTCCTGCCAGTTGTGTCGATCATCAAGCATCACGAGGTTATGGCCCGTAGCCTAACAAATAACACTTTGCAGATGATTTGCTTCCTCCAGAATCAGTGGATAACTCTGGAGACGATTTGTTATGAGCGACGCACCCAATTGGTTTAATATTCGGGGCAGATCTGAAGAGGCGGAATACGGCGTGATGCGAACAACTGGGTGTCATCCAACCGCAGATAAAATTCTTTGGCCCGCACTCCGCGCTGCACTCCACATCTGACACGCAGAAGTCGGTCCAATGAGTGTTCCCAGACGTGCCAGGCATGAGGCTCAGCGCCACCAAGTATGTGGCAACGTGAGCAGCAAGATTTTCGCGCGAAAAAGCAACCTAGGTACCTCTCTTGTTGCGACACACGGGTGGTCGATGGCGACAGACCGAACGACAAACAACGAGAGTCCTATGAAGTCCGTACTACCTATTTCGCTTGGAGCACGTCAGATGTCTGCTGAGACGATGATTTCGAAGCGGAAAGTGAGACGCTGTAGAAGTTGTTCATTGGGTTGTTGTCCGCCTAAACAGCATTGCTAGAGAATTGCTAGTACATGGTATCTAATTGAATGAAGTCCTTTTCCACGGTCCTCTCATTGTGCGCTGGTCTGTTGCACTCTCAAACGACTCTCCTTTCCATGGATGGGTACTGCTTCGGCCTCCACAGGAACCGTGCGCTCTGTTGAAGCAGCTGCTTCATGCGACGGCGTCTCTATGAGACACCAGCATCCTCTTGCTACTCTATCTAGGTCGTAGACCTACGGAGTGCCTTCAAGCATATGCTGTTTCATAACATGTTTCAAGCTTTTGTATAGCTGCTTCTCGTTGTTGCTGTGCTTCGATGCTGTATTCACAAGCCACCACTATTGTGGTCTCAAATCATCAGGTCTGGATCTGGCTGCCATAAATACAGATCGCGATCTGCGCTAGCCAGTAGGTTTGTCCTGGGATTATAGCCTACAATGGCGGCTCGGCCATGTCCGGGTAGTTTCTCTATGGGCTCCAATATGTTGTTCGATGCTGATGGCTTTGTGATATCCCATACCAGAACCCCGTCTTCGCCGCTACCACCGATCAGGTACTGCCCATCTGGTGTAACACAGACATCGCCTTGTCCAGCAGCAGGGGTGTTGCCATTTGATTTGTGAGAGTTGTGACCCGGATTTGATGTGCCAGGTGTAAGTCGACCCGAAGGGCCCCCTTTGCGATAGCAGAAGTGGGTGATCTCGCCAGAGAAAGCATCAAGGACAAAATGGCCACTATCGTTTGTCGCTACTATCAAGCTCTTGCCGTCGTTGGTGAACTCAATCTTGGTCCACTGACCCTTTCTTCCACCAAGGAACCGTTGCTCGAGTTCCTGCAGGTCGAAAGTTGCGAAGGGGGGCTTGTCGTAATTGCGCACGTCGTACAGCAAGATGGTCTGCGTGTCGGCCGAGGCGATTGCGATGACTGTCGCTGACGGGTCGTAAGTGGCGAGGTAGGGCTTGTGAAGGTTCAGTCGGCCGACGTGGTTGGGTGATTGAAGGTTCCATAGGCGGACTGTGTTATCTGCCGAGCAGGAGATGAATGTGTCGGATGATGGGCAAAGTGCTATCGAGGTCACTGTGTCTTCGTGGCCCTTGAAGTAGCGGATGTACGAGTTGTCGTGTGTGGACAGAAAGCGCAGAGTGTCGTCAACCTTTGTGCTTGCATAGATAATGCTCTGCGCATGGTGTGAGAAGCGTGCCAGATGCACACCGTACTTTTGCGATTTGAGCTCCTTTGCGTGCTTTCCCTCTTTGCAATTGTAAATCTGAAGGGTGTCATCGTCCCGAGCTACAAGGGCAAGCTCGCCGGTATCGTCGAAGTCGAGAGACGTGACGGACGTGCTCGAGCTGCCAGACTTGAATCGCTAATAGTATTTTAGTATGGTGCAACTCTACAGATATGCGTGAAAGGCTCACTCTTGCTGGTCTGAAGCTCGATATGACGTCGCCCACCTTCTGCGTCGGCGGTCCTGCAGGCGGGGGTGGTGGACCCGGCGTTGCTGATCCAGTCACCATGGTGGAGTGTATCTTGCGCAGTATTGGGTGCTCTGTGTGCAATCTTTGTGAAGAGCTCTACAGCATTGTTTCTCTCTAGGGTGGAGCTCAAGTCGCGTCGCGTGTCTTTGGTCAGACGCGCTGAGCTTCAAAATGTTAAGCCGCGGGAGAGCGCAGATCGTTTCGGTGGACCCTGGAGCTTGGCGGGTTGCATCACTGCTCGCTCGCTCCGACCTCGGCCCCAGGAAATCTACGGATTATTCATGCTCAGCTTAGCTCTTGCGACAACACTCCCCAGTTGACACCCACCGTCTAGCGTCAGCAATCTCCACGACTCAAATCAGATCTTGCTCTTCTTCCACCACACCTGCGATTATTGAATAGGCGCTCACACCTCCGAGTGAAAGAGGGCTTCCAGTACGGCTTGGCCGGAACCAGAAACATCCAAAGAATCGTCGGATAAAGGGGCCAGAATGTCAACAACGCTGGGGTATGTGTCGCCTGTATTGTTCGAAGTAATGTGTGAAAATTGACATACTCAGGTCATTTATTGCGGGTGGAATTGCAGCATGCGGTGCGGTAACGGTTACCCACGGATTCGAGACGGTGAAGATCCGGTGCGCACAATCACGCCCTCCGTGCGATAACTCGGCGCTGATAGATGTCTAGATTGCAGCTGCAGGGAGAACTTCAATCAAAAAAAGCTGCACCACGAATGTACAAGGGTGTGTTCCATGGCGTTAAGGTCATTCTGTCGAACGAAGGCCCCAGGGGTCTTCTCCGTGGCATCAACTGCGCCTACGTCTACCAGATGACCCTCAATGGGTGCCGACTAGGTTTCTACGAGCCCCTACGAGCGAACGTCACGAAAGCAATCTATCACGACCCTACAGTACAATCGTTCGGTATCAACATCTTTTCTGGCGCTGCGTCAGGCATTCTCGGAGCCGCCGCTGGCTCGCCCTTCTTCCTAGTCAAGACACGCTTGCAATCGTTTTCGCCATTTTTGCCTGTAGGCACACAGCACAACTACGCAGGCGCCGCCGATGGTATGCGCAAAATCTACAGGAGTGAAGGCATAAAGGGTCTTTACCGTGGGGTGGGACCAGCGATGGTGCGCACAGGTTTCGGCAGCTCGGTACAGCTTCCAACATACTTTTTTGCGAAGAGACGGTTGGTCAAACATCTTGGGATGGAAGAGGGGATGCCACTCCACATTGCTAGTAGTACGGCTAGTGGGTTCGTCGTCTGCTGCGTTATGCATCCTCCGGATACCATCATGTCGCGTATGTACAACCAGACCGGAAATCTGTACAGCTCAGCATTCGACTGCCTGTACCGAACAGTCAAGACAGAAGGCATCATGGCCATGTACAAGGGCTACTTCGCACATCTTGCGCGCATTCTGCCACACACGGTATGTCTTGAAAACCAGTAATCGCAAAGTGCAATGCTGACAACTATCAGATTCTCACCCTCACACTCGCCGAACAGACGAACAAGTACATGCGCAGGGTCGAAGGCAGGCTCGGATTCACAGGAGCCAAGGCCGCCATGTAAAAGTGTGTGGACTTTACATAATGTACAACATTTATTGCATAGCGCGTTGGGGAGCAGGTATAAAAACGGTTTCAATTCGGGTACAGACAAGGTTCTTGATGCGCGCAAGGTCTGCAGCGCTCGGGCATTGGGGGTCAATTACATGATCTTTCAGAGGTTCAAAATTTCAAGTGTGCCCTTTTTACGCATCCTCATCCCACCCATCAGGTAGCCAGCCAATGGGCGTAGGCTTCCACTGACCGACTACCTTCTGCGGCCCTGTTATCTTCTCTTTGGTCTCGCTGGGCTCGCGAACCTGTACGAGTTTGGCAAGTTCCACCATTGGCGGCAGCTCAACTACCTTCTCCTCAGACCCCCCAACCCTCATGACTTTCTCTGTCTCTATCCCTTCAGTCTTATCAATCGCCATCACCTCACCATCCACCTCGCTCCGACTGGCATCCAGAATCGCCCGCCACAGCTCGCTTTCTCCTTCATCCATACTGTCCACAATTTTCTCTGCAAGTCTTAGATTCCACCTCCCTAGCTCTGTCATGCAATCCCCTAGCACCTCTTCCCTCATTGTCCTCTCCTTACTTCCCCTTGCGGCTTGCCAGTCAGCCGATGTGAGTATGTGCGCTGCCCAATCACACATCCCTTCTCTCTCCTCATTTCTTCTATCCGTGGAAGTCATTTCTCTGATAATCGTCTTCAATAACTCTGTGAAGAACGCTGGGCTCAAGGTACTGAATGAGAGGAGCATTGGACTCCAGATCAGGAAGGCGCCAGACATGCTCGATCCGAGCTTCTTGTCGGCGGGCAATAACTGATTCTCGTTTACCAGAAGCCGTATGAGAGCGGCCTGCGCAGTAGACGAGGAGATCGTTGTAGCAGAGGGGCTGAAGCGGAGATTGTACATCGACAGCGCTGTGCTGGCTGCAGTGCACAGATCTGATCTCCTTTTCGCCTTGATCTCTTGTTTTCGCCCTTTAACGTACGTTTTGAGTATGTTCTGCAGCTTTTCGCTCACCCCGCTTTCAACTCCTGTCCCACTGTTATCGGCATCGTGGGCCGAAGGGAGGCCAAATGCTGCTTCAAGCTGGCTCCAGTACCACTCCCACAGCCAGTCGAGGGCTGTCTGCGAGGCGCGCTTGAGCTCGGCCAGAGATGGCATGTGCCGGTGGACGATGCAATGACGCACTTCGAGGAGAGAGGAGGGTGGTTGGAGGGATTTGCCAGGTGGAAACCATGATGGGCGGTCGCGTGTGAGATCAATTTGGGTGTCAAGATAGCCGGTAATGAATCTGCTGGGGTTAGAGAAGATCAAGTAAGTATGCAGACTGTGCTGCCGAATGTAGAGGGGACAGTCGAAGTGGGCGATAGTGGTAGATACAATGGAGACCAAGGACGTCTTGGAACAGGCAGAAATATGGTGTAGAAAAGGTCGGGAACGAGAGAGAATGGGGGCATATCATGTCCACACGTCTTGCTGGGCAGTGACGAGCGAATTATGAGTGTCAACGATGAACGAGGAGGAACAAACAGTGACAGCAGGAGCAACAATGCTGATCCTTAAGACAAGGCGGCGTGATCTGAACTGAACGAAATAAAAATTTCAGAGCCCTACCTTGAAATAGCGATTGCATAGAGCAATGTTGTAGCATTATGTGTTAATGTTCCTGCCTCATCTTGGAGTATTACATCGACAATATCTGCCGTCGATTCTAGCAGCAATGGCACGCTCTCTTTCCTCGCCCGCCACGCCAGGACCTACCTCTCATCAGCCCTTCCTTCCACATCTTCTAGCACTCGTAACCTTATCAGACTAACCTTGTTCACCGCACCCTGTCTTCGATCGACATTGTCATCATGAAGTCGGTATAAGTCTCGCCGAAGCTGGATCAACTCCTGGCTGTTGCGCCACGGCGTAACAATATAGTGCGTGTACGTCTCCATAATAGATGAGCCAGCTCGCAAACGTTGTCTCACTTGGCTTACGACGTGCGGTAGTCGTATCACGGCTGCGATTGGCCAGTGCGATAATTGCAGCCTAACGCCCGTGGGCGGTGTTTTGTTTGCACGTGATGTCTCGCTTCTTGCGAAGAAGGAATAACTTCAGCTTATCGATAGTGAACAGTAAATGTCGGAGGGATGCACCGAACCGCCGTTGCATCAAACTCGGAGCGCGCGGCCTCACTACGCGCCAACAAGTCCCGTCCGTGGAGCTACGCTCGAGCCTTCTGGATGTGCTTCGGCTGGCGTGGCTGGCGTCATTGCGCCCTTCGCTCCAGCGCAAATGAGGCGTCCCGTCGCATTGGGTTTCTGGAACCTTTTGCCCTCGGTGTGAGTGGCTCGCAAATCTTATTTCGGTCGTGCTGCGCTAAGAAAGCGGTCTACCTTAGTCGCCGTGCAGGACCGTGGGACGGAAGCCTGCTCGCGCCGTGCTGGGAAGGTTCTTGGGCGCTGGGAGATGAAGTGTGGACAGGTGCGCTGATGCTGGTGCGCCTCGGTGTAAGGCGCACAAGGTTTCGCTTCGAGCTTGCACTAATTCGCTGCTGCGCGCAGATGCTTGTGTACCAGTCGCTGAATCAGAGGTACGGCGGTGCCCGAGATCGCCTGCAGTGACATGCACGGCCTTAACGGCATTCCGCAAACAGTATACACCCTACGGCGGTGCATCGGTCGTTTTGGTGGTGGTGAGACGCATGCGGCAGAAGTCAAAGATCGTGTTGATAGTTGGGTTTGGCGGCTTGTTCGTACTGCCGGGTTTGCCGTGTCGTCGGCGAGCGTCCGAGTGCTCTGATTCCTTTTGGCATTGCGATTGTCTTGCAGCGGGGACATGTCCGTGAGCATGTTCCGGCTGCTTTTTACGGTTGAGATTGAGTGGAGAGCAGGGAATGACGCCGACACGAGATTAGCTCTCGAGTTTGCGCACGCATGGTACGGTTGTGGAGTGCTGCAGCAACCATGCAAAGTGCTAAAAATTGTTGAAGGAATGTGGAGCATTGTTCGTCCTGGTGTAAACTATGGCAGTTGCAAGGTTAAAAACGGCAAGTGAGTGGTTTGGCTCGTGCCTAGGTTTGTGCTTATTATTGTGTGTTGGTATTGTTACAACTCATCTGACCTCTTATTGAGCGATGCTGTGCCATATAGGCAATGGGTATCTGTGAAAGGTCTATATCCCGAATTGAATCGCTCAAGCGCTCTACTTGGACCTGGATTGTGCCCAAAAATTGATACAATGTGATCAACGCAGCCAGCCATACCCAAGGCCAGCGTCCTGCACTGGCATGTTGGGCTGCTTCAGCTGCTGGAACCACCACTCTTTTGATACTGTCTCATCGTCGTCAAAGAAGAAGCTCTGACCCTCCATGCTGCCGGGCGTTTGTGACTTGACGTGGACTGGAAGTTGCAGTTGCTGGGTCTGCGATCCTGCTACCGGTAGGGGTGGGGAGGGTTCGTCCATGCTACCCTCTGAGCTTGCATCATCTTCTTCATCGTCCTCATCATCCTCATCGTCAGCCTCAGGCGGCTGCCAGGTCTCCTCCAGCTTCAGTCCTTTCCCTGTCGCTTCTTCATGCCCGCCCCAGGTCGACGTCGGGTCAGGTGCGTCGTACAGTCCCATACCCACTAATTCCTTGCCACCGTCTTCGGTGATCATGTGCTCATCGTAGTCCGAAGGGTGTTGGATGGGAAGAAATTCTGCAGATCCGTTCTGCGAGTCTATGACTTGGTTCTTTTGCGCCCACTGTTGTAGATACCAGGGCAAAGGTTCAGCAGAGGGAGTGTTAAGAGCAGAGTGAGCGTAGGACTGTATCTGATTAGGGACACTTTGCCAACTGTAGTCAGATTCGTCCGATCCCCTGTGCGCCCCACATCCGGTAGAATACGTCTGATGGTCTACGTTCGATTCGTATGTAGAGTTCCGTGTAGAAAGAGAATAAAAATCAGATCCATGACCCGAATTTCGAGAAGGTGCGTGCCAGGACCATTCTTGTTGCGAAGGAGATGCTACATATCCAGACAAACGTGGAGCTGCCCACTGGTTTGAAGAGGGGTGCCAGCTCACAGGCCTGCTTGGCTGCGGACGTTCATCTACCTCCTCTTCTGAGTCTTCGATGCCAAACATCATCTTGTAGTGATCGTCCAGTGTCGCATAGAGCTTGGGCTCTGTGGTTGTCTTCCTTCTCTCCATAGTCCTTGGGCTGTTGTGATGGCTCTTTGGCTTTTCGACCCGCGAAGAACGAGATGGTAGTGTTCCAGAGCTTCTGGAACTTCGGCGAGGTAGTTGTGAGTTGTACATGTGGGTAGACATAATGCGTGCGGGTGCGGAGCAGCACAAGATGATGAGAGGTAGATAGGTTGGTGTCGTGGATAGAGACTTATTGAATGCTTTTGCTATCGAGCAGTCGTACACATCGCAGTCACACTTGTCCGTCTTGAGAAGCCCAACAGCGTGGGGGATGTAGGAAGGTATATGGAGTGCCAAGACGTGTGGATGGATTAGGCAGGATATATGGGGAAATTGAGAATGGACAACGTCGCGGCACACGTCCTGGCCTGTACAAGAAATGCCAGGGCTAGGCTAGTGGAAACTCAAGAATTGCTAAAAGAGGAATGGGAGCAGACAAGGAGCGGAAACTTCGATGACTACTTCGTACGGGACTACTAAGGGATAGCTCGGTGAGGGACTGCTGCGTCGACTAGGCCGAGTGGCACGGCTGGAACGATGATCCAAAGCATGGGATGCAGACGACGAAAAGTAACGCGAGGAATGACCAAATCACAGGACAGGGAAGGCATTCGACGAGAGCGGGTACCAATGTATCATGGCGCAACGGAGCAACCGTGCGGCGGAGGTTGGCCGGCTCATCGAGACAGCAAGCAAGGGAAGCTACCGCACCCACAAAGGTGACGGTACAGTACGGTAGTGCGACTAGGCTCCGGAAGGATGAACTTACTGTTGCGATTCAGCTGGGTCCGAGCCAGGGTGCAGTGTCGTGTGCATGGGGCCCTCCAGGCGGTCTGCTAGCTCTGAAGATTCATGTTCAACGAAGGAAGGACAGTGCATGGCGACTTCAGCGTCGGATGCGTCATGTTTTAGCCGCGCCAGCAACGACGCACGATTAGTGGGAGCATGGTGGGCGAGACTGGGGCGGCCGGCCAAGCCGGTCGCACGTAGACGAGATTGCTATTGATGGGATGAGATCGTTGGTGCATTTTTCATCGGATAGCCATAGCCATGCTGCTGGGCGCCGTCGCCTGTCGCCTATCAAGGGGCCGATGAGAAAGTCAAACTTTGGTGGGAGCAAACGCAGCACAGTAGTTCCGGAATTGGAAAAGACTGGGAAGCGAGGTCGACACCCCTGCGTTGCGACGTCTTTCGCGGAAAGCCCGTGCTTCGGACCAATCGTTACTCGCTATCAAGACGTGCATTTCCCCATCACGCCCACATCCCAGCGCCTCCTGCCTGGTTGCGCGTGCCGCCGGCAAACCAAGCTGCTGGCCCATGGTACCCAAGCGCGATCTGGGGTGGGCGCAGTTTCGCCGACGCCATTGGCCACCTTGCAGCCGAACGTCTTCCAGAAATCGACATTCGACCAGCTTACCCCTGCCAGTGCTTACCTGCGACGGGGCCAACGGAACATGACATGGGCCTTCCAGGATGCATGCAGCATCGATATCTGCATCCGCTGAAGTCACACAGCCAACGGGCAGCACCTTAGCGGAAATTGCAGCAATCAGCACATCACATTCACCCGGCTCTGCGCATACGCGCCCATCAGCCTCACCCACAGGCACCTGAAAGTAGTCTGAGCACAGCGGTCTGATCCCGCTTCACCCCTCGAAGGCCCACATATCAACATGGAAGCGTGTGCCGCTGCCGTGGGCGCCCAGGCACCCCCTTATGTGACTGGCTGACCTGGGATTTTCCTGTTTTAGTCAAGCCAGCGATGCACCACCTCACCATTGTTGTGGATCGCTGAGCTCTTGAAACCACACGGAGGCTGCTGACACCGAGCCACCGGCCATACTCGCTCGGAATGCACACACAGCAGACGAAACGAGCACTTCAGCCGAGTCTTGAATCAGGACACGGGACGCAAAACGTCGTCGGGCGGTACCTCTGTGTGTGGATCTCCCACAAGTTGCGACATACACACCAAAGAGCTGATGCAGGCAGCCACCTGTATGTTAACCGTCGCACGCCGTCGCTGCTACAAGTGTTTCGATTCTGATCGCCGCCGTGTGGTGCGCTGCATTCAATAGATTGGGAGTGACGAAAACTTCGCTGCGCCTCAGTGACAAAGCATTTTGTGCACCACTCTTTACGATGCAGGTTGCCGCTATCGTTGACCGATCCTGCCACTACTGGCCTCGGCGACGATGACGGTTGAGAATGATCTTAAGTTTCCCCAAAAAAAAAATAGGCCACCGAGGCGTCCTTAAACGACCCCACGGTGACCAAGCCCGAAACAGCAACACCGTTTTCGATAACGAGAAATCCCCGTGGCGTGGCTTAAGCAGATGCAGCCGAAGCGCCGAAAATCCTGGTAACATCCCGCCTGAATGATCGACAGCGGTCCAACGCGGGCGCAAGGATGATTTTGGCGGTCCAAACGAACCGGATCATGTCAGGGGGCTGGTCTCTTGTCGCCAGAAGGGGGTGTGGGAACCATGCGTATACCTAGCTATGCATGGATGACCTTCATGAATGCGGTCAATTTGCATCACTAACGTTCACCCGGTCACCGCAACGATCTCCGACGCTGTGCCACCATTGAGCTGACGCGTGGCAGTTGACATTATGGTTGCAGAGGTCCATCCTACGCGACTGTGCGTCGGTCAGGAGGAACTGTTGCTGTACAATCAACTCGTAGACTGCGCGACATACATAGGTAGTGACCTCACTTGCTGACAGCATACATACATACATACATACATACATGCCAGCCTCAATCGTTGCTCACGTTGATTCTGGATATCAAGCACCAATGGGAAGGAGAATACCCCGTGCTTGACCATGGCCCGAGTGTCACACTTTCAGATCTAGTCAGCATAAAGGCAGCAGGCCTCGGCCGCTCTTGACTGAAGGCTGTAATGCAGCTGTCCCACCTTGTGCATCACGAGACAAATCGTGTCCAAGTAAGCGCCGGTTTGCCAACCCTTGCACGTCCTGCACTTCGTCCTGCACTTCATTGTGGTTCACTTCTTTAGTGAAAATCGTGAACGGTAACAGATCGTGGCAGCAGACGCTGACTTGCATCTTACCGTGGGCTACCAGTTTGACACAAGCGCAACCAGGCATCACACAAACAAGATCGTTACAATACCGCCCGCAGATATGCAGTAAGCAGCTGTCATAGTGATGTGATGTATTTTGTTAGTTCAATCAATCGAGATTGCGAAGTGCGACCAGCTGTTCCATCTGCAAGGGTCTGTTTTCAGCAGGCGTGTATTAACTCTCAAGCCAGCCCCTGCAAGCCAAGTGCCGCCCATCTCTGACAGCCACCGCCGGCAATCTGCAACACGGGAAAGAACCCTCATGACGTACACTTCACCTTGCCACGAGACGAGTGGGTCCGAACGTGGCGTTGCGTCTGGACGACTGTTGGCAAAAGAAGGACTGTTTGCGGCAGCGCTAGCCAGTAGTAGAACGCGCTCGAATTCGCTTTCCCTTGTGGTCGGATGCATGCCTCCACCACTTGGTTCAGAAGGTTTCTTTTCCTAGTGTGAAGCACCCGAATTCTGCGACTGCATGCCTTCGCATTGTCATGGGCACTTTAACCTTTCATATCATCGATGACTTTTTCTGTCATTGGTTTCATGTCACCATAGCCACGCTCATCTCCGTTCCCAAAACAGCGACATGCTCTTAGGCGGATCTTGAGCAGACAGATAGGCAGGGTGGTGTGGAATCAGCCAGAGAAGCCAGTGGCTACTAGCTTGGATAATGGGTGTTGCCGATCCTAGCCAGGAGCTAACGCTTACAATGGACGTTCTAGACTACGCCTAGGGCAAGGTCAAAACACCGCGAGTTCTTCAAATTCGCGGAATTCACCCTTGATGTAAGGATTAGCTTCGACTTGCGCGATGGGTCTGTTCGACGTTGGAATGGCTTAACCAATCAGTATGGACCGTCGGCCTCCCCTGATTGCTTTGGAGATCGACGTTCACCTGGAACAAGCTTGCTCGCAGCATGTATTCCTTTGTGCATGTGCAAATGTCACCACTGGATGCCTCAAGGGCTGAGGTCGTCACCAACTACCGGGGCCAGTGCAACGGCTAATTAGTCGGCAAACTCGCAGGGAGGCTTGCCCGCCTGCACAAGCTGATGTTTTTTTCGTGGCCCTCAAACACGGGCTCTTGCCAAGGTTGCTGTTTTGGCCGTGACCTGCCATCCTAGGGAACGCACAGCCGACAAACACGACAGTCTTCGCTACGACGTGCATGTCAACAGACGTCTGCAAGTAAGGTGTCACTGCATGCACGCATCGTTATATGCCTCCTCACGATTGCATCCGAGCTCGCTCGATCATTCAATCAGGACTTACCGGTTGCACACCGTGAAAAGCCCACTTGCACAGGCTACCAAGGTAGGTACTCCATCGGCGGCGCCTCCACCCTTGCAGTCAACCGTTCTGCCACAGCAGCAGCCCCGCCAGGATCAAGTGGGATCCAATTTCGTATCCAGGAATGCTTCCTTTCGCCGTGATTGTGATCTGGTGACGCTCAATGCTAGAAATGTCCAACTCCACAGCAACTTGATCACAATGTAATACAAGCTTCGTTTTGTGCCAGTGTAAGTGTGATGCTCTAGCTCAGTCAACAGTCGTAATCAAAGGGCACAATAACAGCAGCGACCGTGATGAAGGCTGATGCTCGGCTGCATGACTACATTGTCCGAGGATCGGATCACCCGAAGTGTCCTTGGCTTGCGCACTGCAATAACATCGCCAGGCGAATACGCAATACTTGACAGGACAAGGTCTCAGTTGCTAGCTTGTGTCCTGTGTCTCAATATGTGCATGGAGGCCACATGCTTCGCCGTTAATATCTCGCTATTTGTCCACGGGAACTCGAACGGCTTACCACACCAACAAACTGACTTAGAGTTTGGCTTTGCTCCGTTTGCAACCAAGGTGCAGCTTACTAGGGGACCTCGTACCTTGTCACGGTCGTCGAAACGACAAATGAGCAGAGCGACAGTGAGCTGCAGGAGCCAACCCAGAACACTTGCCCAAGATTGAGCGCGACTGGCGTCTGACGGAGAAGCTCATCCATCCAATCACCGAGCCTTTGTCGGCCTGAAAACGAATAACCACGTATGACTTGTCTACACAATAATGCCGTTGTGTGCAACCGTAAGAGTTTTTCAGCGCTCCTTCCCCGATCGTCACGTCAAGGGCTCTAACGGAGTCACCTGCATGGTCCTTGCCGTGATATCCCCGCACATTAAGCGCTTACTTTTGGCACAAAGCCCGTGACAGATCTGATCTGCCCGCACATAGCAAGGACACCCATTCTTGTCTAGGAAGCCACAATGGCATGATATGTTCCGGTCGCACGTCTCATGACTGGGCTTGTTCCCTTTGTCATGCATCGGTCACAGCCTCGAAGCACTACGACTCATCCCCACCAGCCACACTTGCTTGACTCTCTGCTCATGGTGCATCGCTGACCTCCCGTTTCAAACAAGGAAGTCCTTGACGCTCGCGACCACTTTACACAACATGCGCAACACAGGGTAGACTTACACCGGTGTATTCCCGCACTTTGTCTCACCTCAGGTCTGTCTTTCGCTTCCCGCCTCTTCCGCTCGGTTCGTTGCTGCCCGATTTGTCTGCAACTCACCGCCGGCCCGCCTGCTTGCATCACTTGCGAAGCTGCATCGGCCGTCGGCGCCTTCACGCTCGCCAAAACCACCCTTCGCATGCTTGTCATGCAGTCGTTCAATTCGCTGCGACAAATGAGTGAAAGATCATTTCCCATCATCGAAAACGTCAGCTTTTGCCTCGACCGTTTTAACCTAACGGTCCTTGCACTCGATTGGCTGTGATATCCTTCGACCGCACCGCTCCACCTGAGCCGCACTAGATGATCGACCACACACACCGAATCTCGCGACCTGTCTCTGGTTGCCTCGCATAAAGGACCATAATGGCCGACGATGGCTGATGACGGGCTGAAGTTGACAGACACAATGCATGCTCCGCTTTGGACATGCTTGAGCCTTAACCATCTGCCTCGAGGCGATGGTAGGCACTAAATCAAGCGTCTCACAATAACAGCTTGACAACAAATCGATCATCTTTCCAGGGCCAAACGAAACACAGCACGAGCCCCACTCCACTCGTGCCTCCGAGGACAACACGCAAATATTACAGGTCATTCTAGGAATTCATCGATGTCAATCCTGGTGTTGTATAACCTTTGCAGCAAAGTGGGTCTCCGCTGCACACCCTAAATGCAAACCAATGCAAGTCAAGAATTTAGGCAAACGGGACCCGTGCCGTTCCCAATCTTCGACGTTGCATCACCAGCTGAAATTTTGGCAAGCCTGAAAAGTAGGTGTGTCGATCATGACGGAGAAATCGTAGTGCGGGGCTGAGGGCTCGACTGCTCCACGGGCGATCATACGATAACAACGAGCATGCGCTTAGTTTTGACTGCAGGCAATCTGACGTCTGGTAGCAGCGCGGGACTGCGGGATGAAGGGGTATGCGTAATGCCTCTGTGATACAATGCACAAAGAGTGAATCACAGGGTCTATTCAAGGTCAAGGATCGACAGGATGCATACCAAAGAGGCCACTGGGAGAATAGACTCGGACAAAGCATGGATGGATTGATCCTCTATTACCGTCGTAATGCTTTTTACTTGCAACTTTTCAAGGTCTCTAGACAGTGCTCGATTTTTTAGTTTTGCACAACATACCACCAAGTTCGTCAAGTGCCCAGGCATATCACGAAGAAGCACTCAGTTTTTGACGCACAGTTGCCCAGATCAGACTTGAATACAGCAACAATTATCTAACATGTCTGCCGCATGTTATGTTCAACGTGAAATCTTATGTTCGTGTGTAGGCAGAGTTACATGTTCGAATACCAGGAAGCGAGCAGATCTGTGCAGTAAAAGCACGAATGGTCCTACACTCAACCTTACATGAACATTGACCATCTACCCATTCACGCTCGCCCTCAAGATACGACACGTGGAGGGGGAGTATTCGGGATGCACTGCATTCCAAAGCTACCGTCTCATCGTAAGCTTGTCGTTTCCTCTGTTTATTCAAGGTCTAGGAGCATGAAACCCATTGTTCGGGGTCCGACGCTACATTCCTCGGGCCCATTCTTCACCAATGGACAGAAGGTACTGAGCACGAGCATTGTGTTGACCTCGCAAACGGAAGGACGAGCAGCGACATTGGTCAAGAGGTAAGCGCGTACTGTCATTACTACTTACCGTCTATCTCCAACAGTTTACGATACTACGACAATCGATCCAGAATGTCTGCAGACTGTTTGGAATGTTGTGAAAAACCAGAGAACGAGTATGTGTATTGGCAACAGACTGATACTTGACTGTTGAGGTATTGTGTGTACTCGTATGCTAGAAGACAGAACATGTTCACTTAAGGGAAATGACACGAAGAACAGTCACGTTTCGCGTTTTGGAACGAGGTGGACACCGAGGAACCTGTATTCTCGCTCGTAGAACTTTCCATCAGTCTTCAACTACGACAGCCCATCAAAAGTTATGAGATAAGGTCTTAACTTGGACGAGGCAGCCCACCTACAACTAACTCTATACTCGCAGTAGCTGCAGCATCTCTACTATTGAGACGAGAGTTATTCGATTTCCAAATCTACTTGGAAGATTGCGAAGACAGTGTTTCGAGATATGGAAGATAGAAGATGGAAAACGGTGTCGCCTAGTGCGCGTGGACCTGCCAAAAACGTCGTACGTCCCCGCCGTATCTTGAATGCCCCATCTCTCAGTCGTATCTTCATTCCGTACCTGTATAATGCCATTCTCTCTCTTCGTTACCTTGAGTTCGCTTTTACACATCAACGCTACTGACAGGCCACCTTGAAAGCTACTAGATACAACAAACAACCCAGAATTCTTGAACCTACCCAAGATCACAAAATGCCCATTCAGGTCGTGCGAATGACAGAAGCCGATATAGATGGGGCAATTGATACAATACAAAAAGCATTTGCAGATGATCCCTACAATAATTGGGTCTACCCTGATCGCTCGAAGGTACGTATTCGCAGATTCTAAGCATGCTCTTTGCACATGAAATCAAAGCAAGGGAACTTATTTAATGCTGAGGGTCTCTCGAAAGAACCTGTACTCCTGCGTCACCGTATCTCAACCACACGTCTGTGCTCACAATTCTCCTAGGTTGATCTCACACGAAACCGCGTCTCGCTCACCCTTCGCTGCCGTTGGGGCATATCCCATGGCCTCTTTTACGTCGCCCGCGATTCTTCAAGCCCCACCAAAATCCTTGGCTGTGCAATGTGGATGCCGCCCCAACCACGATCGCAACCGGAATCGTGGTCCTTATACCTTTCCTACTGGTGGCTCTGGGTGAACCAGATTCGTATGAATACCTGGTATGGTCGAGGTGGGCTTAGCACGCAGCGATACTGGATCTGGAAGGCGCGGCAGGCGGAGGCGCAGAAGGAGCTCTGGACGGCCGAGAAAGGGTATTACTTCTGTAATATTGTGACAGTCTTACCTGAGGCACAGGGTCAGGGTGTTGGGAGGAAGTTGATGGAAGAAGTTCTTCGGAAGGCAGATGAAGAGGGCGTTGATTGTTATTTAGAAAGTTCGAGGAAGGAGCCAAACGTGCCGATATACGAGAAGTTTGGTTTTGAGCTGGCGCGCGAGATGGAGTGCAAGGATGGCGATGCAGAGAAAGATGCAATAACGCTCTACTGCATGCTGAGGAAGCCGAGAGGAACTAGAGACATGCGCTCTTGAAGGGTGTAGTGTAAGTTGGACGACGAACGTGCGGTCATCGCTGGTGAGAGGCAAGCCTCAGTTCCGTATCTTCACAATTCTCTCCCCTCTAGAGTCTGTATCCAGATCTATGATATCCATCCGGTACGACGCGATTTAACAAGCTGGATGTCCGATGTCGAAACTCAGTTCTTCGCTCCAATCCGTGAGGAGGCTCATCTCCCACTCTTCTGCCTTCAGAGGTCCTTCGTCCCAATGAATGCCACTCCACCCTTCGAACACGTTTTGCGCAGCAGCTTCACTGCCTTCAGCGCGAAGCACATGAATGAACGAGTCAACGCTGTTAAAGGCTGCCCTTGTGGTTGCATCTGAATCTGCTAGGACAATGTTACCTACCGCCTCTACCACCTTCTCGACGGCCTCGCCGATCCACCAACCTCTTGGTGCTAGACCTGCAAGTGCAAACCACCATGCAACAAGCACAAGCGCCCTCGGCTCTCTTTGTTTGACAAGCAAGAGAAACTCCGGCATAAGAAATGAGCAGAAGACGAATATGCGGACAAAAAAGTCTGGGTTGAGATGGTAGTAGTATAGACTCAAGAATATTGGGCTGAAGGCTTGCAACACAGGATATATTGTGTTCGCATGCAAGTCAATTGGACCTGAACCTGATTTTGCATGGCTGATCGAGAGTAGAAGATTCATTAAAGGTGGAGGAAGAAAGACTGGAAATGCTTCGGAGTGCTTCAGATAGTACGTTGACGGTGGATTGGGGTAGTCAGGCGTCGTTCCTACTGCGCCGATACGAGAATGCAGGTAACGATCGTCGCTAGAGTGAAAGATGGGTGGTGGAGGTAGTGTTCGCAGTTCTCTGCAGATGAGAGGGTAGACGGAGAGTTTTTCGATTCCTGCTGCCCAGCGTAGAGACGCAAGGATCCGTAGGCCCTCGCTCATCTTCAAGAACGTATCCATCCACGCTAGGTAAGCATCGCTACCTGCAGTTTCCGATTCTGGCGGCGAGATTAGGCTCAGTAGGAGCATGCCAGTGACGAGAACGGATTCGTAGTTCTCTGCGGTGATATTTTGCAGTGCTTTGCTATATTCGGCAAAGGTTTGCTGGCGATGCACTAGTGCGAGTTGTTTGGATTGTTTGGAGGGTGCCAGCATATTGTTGTGGGATGCCGCGATGCTAAGCAGTGCGTACATCAGGTGCGAATGTGAGAGCGAAAGCCGAGGAATGGAGTCTCTATGGAGCGATACCACGGCCTCGTCATCTCGTACCGTAATCGTTTGCCATGTGAAGGTCTTGTAGTGGTGTAGTAGTTCGATATCTGAGTCTGACATAAGACCAGAGCTTGCTGGTATGGCTGGCATTAGGCACGAAAATATCGGTACCGCAGTGTTGTTGAAGTCTATTTCTTCGTCCGAGGTTTGGTCGGAGGGCGTGTTAAAAGTAGCAGTAGATGCTGGCGATGCAGATATTAATTCTGGGAGGTAATCGCAGCTCATTTTACGCAACGAGCAATAGCCACATATCGGTTGGCCTTCATCGCACTGCATGGGATTAGTTCCGTATCCTCAGATATGTTGTCATGTAGTGTCTTCTGCACTAGTTGATACTGCATTAAGTATCCAAACAAGTACCAACACACTCTCCCTATTCAATGTGCTTCCACGATAGAAGTAAACAGTAAGCGTTTAATGGAAGTGTGATTGTTACCTTGACTTTCTTGCGCTTGCATGTAGAGCATCCACCGCGAGACTTGCGATGCGGCTTTTTGCTGACAAACCCTGAGCTGCGGCGAGTCATCTTCGCAAGTGCATGAGAGGTAGGTGTAGGCACTTTCGAATGCTGATGCTATGTTGGTAGAGCGATGGAGCAGCTTTCAGGCGCCCTCAGGCAGTAGCTTACAGCCAATCACTTACGTCATGACGGTGCCTCCTGGCTGTTGCTGTCTTTCTTATGTACTGGAATCACAAGAAGTCCTTTGAGGAATCATTTCTTGGTAGAAGAAAACTGGACCGTCGTCGTCACTGTAACACCATTGTATTGTGCTCTCCCTCCTAAGGCATGTCCGGTGGAGAAGAAGGCACAGCCCAGCTCGGATCCGACTTCCGGAGCCGAGGGCACGACCGAGATCGCGCACACCACCAATCCAGCTCCGACAGCCTTGTATCTGTTAACCTCCAACATGTCGGACATGAGCCGACTAACCTACGCACATACGGAGCACTCACGTCTAAGTGTCAAATGCGGCTTGACAGTGATGCTGTAGCTTATTGTAAGCACTATACCGCTTTATACGATGCGCCCTTGGTATATATGGCGACAAGTCCTTTCTCAGGCGGCCGTCAGCACAGCACAGCTTCAGTCAATTCTATTATAGCCTCAAATTCCTACATAGCGATTTCGGCACCGTTATCACAAGGATGAATATCTCCACCGTCAAACCACCCCCACAGGCTCAAGCTCTTCTGTCAGGCGCCCAGAAAGTCGCTACCTACGAGACAACAGGTGGACTTGTGACCACGCAGTTCGCAGGGCATAACCTCGCTCTCATCTCACCCATCCAGCATGACTCAATCATTCATGACAATGCATGCGGTTCTGGCACCGTCAGCCGGCTAATTCTCTCAAATACCTCAGCACCTGGCAACATTAAGATTTACGCAACAGACATCGACCCGCCCTTCTTGTCAGCATTTCAGTACACGGCAAAGGAGCAGGCCTGGCCTATATCGATCTCCAATCAGAAGAGTGAGGCTCTAAACTTTCCTGATAACACCTTCACGCACTCCCTGACAAACATCGCGATCTTCTTCACTTCGTCCGCTGGCCTCGATGGCGCCAAGGAGATATATCGCACGCTCCAGCCCGGCGGTACCGCTGTGGTGAACTGCTGGGCGTACGTAACCTGGCTCCTTCCTGTGAAAACTGTGCACGACATTATCCGGCCTGGCAAGCCCTTCCCTACACCTGTGATTGCGTGGCACGATAGGCAGCACATTCAGAAGGTGATGCGGGAGGCGGGGTTTCGAGGAGAGGACATGAGAATTGAGAGCAGCGATGCATGGGCAGTGGTGAAGAGGGAGGGGTTGAGGGAGTGGGCAGAAAAGAGCTGGGCGTACTTGGGTGGAATTGCTGGTTGGTTCGAAGAAGACGAGAAGACATGGGATCAAGCTGTTGATAAGTTGGTAGAGCTACTATTAGTCCAGCCAGGGACAATGGTGAACGGAGACGAGGTAAGGATGAAGGCTAGTCAGTGGGTGGTCATCGCGAGGAAGTGAAGCAAAGATGCGGATACCCTGGCAGTCGAAAGGCACGGCAGCTTTCAGGACGAACAAATCAAAGAGATATTTCTTCCGGAGAGTTCTGAGACATGTGGTCTTATCAATAGTACATTATTCTATGAGACATCAGACTTTTGAACTTGGACCAAGCAGGGCCCCCGGCAATGCGTGCTTTTGGATCGTGACGTTTATAGTGTACAAATGCTTTCTAGCATCTAGATGCTTCCCTTTTCTCAATTCAATACAAAACAAGAATCCTTAAATCACACCAACTGGCCTTTACTCTCCTATTGGAGTATTTAGCCCATGACCATACCCTTGAGACCGGACATGTCACCCTCCTTGGCAGCGATCTCAAAGTAGCCGTAGATAATAGTGACAGCAAGCAGGATACCGGTTCCGCTGCCAAGAGCACCGAGAAGATCGCTGCCAACGGAGAGGGCACCAATGCAGGCACCACCAAAAGCGGCAGCAGTGGGAATGACACGCTTGAGCTCCTTGTACATAGACTCCTCACGGTGACCAGCCATAACGAGGCCCTGCTCCTTGAGCTGCTTGGCGACATCGCGGGGAGATGAACCAGACACCTCGATCCAGGTCTTAGAGAAGACAGCGCAGGCAACGAGCATATAGACGATGAAGACAGCTGTCTTCAGAGGGTCGGAGAGCGCCTCAGTGATGCTAAGAGGGGGGGACCTGGATACGTTAGTCATTGATCTTTGGAGGTCTTAGAGTGAAGACGTACATGTAGTAGGCGATTCCAGAGGTAGCGAAAAGCTGAGCAGAGCCCTCCTTGGGTTCCCAAACGCCGAGAAGCTGGACAAGGAGGTTGTCAGAGAAGCGGCTGTACAGCATCTGGCTGATCAGAAAGACGTTGGAGGACAGAGCTGACTGCAGCATGATGGGCATGTTGGAGGTGTAGAACAGGCGGACGGGGTACGAGCCGCGGACACCGCGCTGGCGAGCAGACTTAACGGGGATCTCAACGCGGAAACCCTGGAGGTAGATGACAGCGCCGAAGACAATGACCGTCGAGATCAGGTTCATGACGTTGGGCAGGTTCTGGCGATAGAAAGCCTCGCGAAGAGCGACGGTCTTGTTGGGCCAGGTGAAGAGCAGATGGACCAGGGCAATGATGGCACCCTCGAACTCAGGACCACGACCAGTGTTGATGGTAGTGGGCGAGAATGCCTTCCACATGATCGACTCGCAGATGTTGGTCGCAATGAAGAGCGAAATACCACTGCCAAGACCATAGCCCTTCTGCAGCAGCTCATCGAGGAGGATGACAATCAGACCAGCGATCATGAGCTGGAGAACGAGGAGAACGCAGATACCAGCACCAAGGTCAGAAGGCTGTCCGTAGAGACCAGAGATGACATAGACGACGGCCTGACCGAAGGACAGGAGGATGGCCAGGAGCTTCTGGGCAGTCTGGTAGAGCTCGCGGTCGGACTTGAGGTCGAGATTGACGTCGATGAGGTGGGTGCCAGCGAGGAGCTGGAAGACCATGCCAGAGGAGATGATGGGAGTAATACCCAGCTCCATCAGTGTTCCTCTGTTACTAGCCATCATCATACGTAGCCAGTACAATGGGTCCGATGTGTCAGAGGAGACAATGCCGTACAGCGGCATTTGGCTCATGACCAAGAAGACCAGCAACGTCAGACCGGTCCATACCAGGCGGTTGTTAAAGGGCACCTTGCTCTCGGGGAGCTGGATCTCAGGGACGAGAGGTACGAAGGGTTTGACGAGATCGAGGAACCGGACTGCGCGCGTGTTAGCAAAGGCTCAGTGCATCGAATTGCTTGCTGGTCGTGCGCAGAGCTCTGTGCCCCGGCGCGCGGCCAGCCATTGCGGGCGCTGCACTTACGGCCGCTCATAGTTGCGAGTCTTGAGGCCCAAGCGAAGCGAAAGGAGACAAAAGGAAGTGAAGAAGAAGGGGTCGTGGGCGACGCTCGAGATGGGTGATGGAGAGGGGGTCCAGTGAGCTCTTTCTAGCAACGTGTTCGAGAAGAGGGCGCCAAGAGGTTCCGGGCTCGCTAATATTGCGGAGAGCGACCCCTGGCCTGTCTGCATCTCACCCTTCGCGCATCCACTTATACAAAGGCCAGCTGGCTTATCCTTACGAAACATTCCATCGACTTCCTGCCACTTCCTACAGCGTTGCTGATGGTCATTGCTTCTACGTCTACAAATCCACAAATGGCCCGTGCGTTGTGGAGATGGTCACCTTGCCTGGTGAAGCTGGATAATCATGTAAAGCACGGCCAAGACAATGTAGTGAGCTCAAGAACAGCGAAGACCTCCATGTAGTATGATTGTGCATGGCCGATCGACTGACCGCTCACACTAGTGGTGTCGCGTCCTAGCATGCTGAGGTCATGCACGAACTCGTTACTGAAACATACAAACGAGGATCGAGATAAGAGCCTGCGATACAATGCATCTGAACGACGAGATCTGAGTACCTTGGCTTCCTCCACCCATCGTGCAGAAGCCTGGGTGTGACCTCACCGCGTCAGTCGAACAAGGCATAGTGCACTTTCTGTCATTGGTCAACTCTGCGAATGCGAATTTAGCGCCGATTCCAATGCTATGCGAAATAAGCCCTCAACTCCATGACGGGAACGGGTTCCTCTTGCACTGCCTCTGCAAGCGAGTGCGAGAGGCGCATCTCCAATATGACTTCATTGCAGCATTTCGCATCCGCTATGACTGCCTGCCTCATCAGCAACGAAGACATAAAACGTGCAATACCCTACCACCAAACAGAGTATCACCCTGCTCCACTACAGACCGTGCTGCATGCTCTATTCGTACACACAGCTCATACATATTCGAATTGAATACATTTCTAACTCATCAGCATGGCCAACCCTCCAACCTCGCCAAAGTTCGACTGGAAGATGTACCGCTATGTACCCTCACTACCCGCGGCCATCCTCTTCCTGATTCTGTTCATTGCTTTGACCATGCTCCACGTATACTCTTACATACGACACCGTAAGACAAGTACAATCTACGTAATTCTTGGTGGACTTTGTAAGTTCCCATTCGCGCATCCAAGATGCGACATGACTAACACGAGCGAGGTGAAATCGCAGGCTTTGCCGCGCGTATAGGCAGCCATTACAACAATGCCTCATGGGCGCCCTTCATCATCCAGGGTACTCTGCTCCTCGTCGGACCGCTCTTCTTCGCTGCCACAGTCTACATGATGCTCGGACGCACTATCCGCTACGCCAATGCAGCTTCCATATCGCGAATAAGTCCGAAATGGTGTACACGTGTTTTTGTTGCAGCAGATATTTCAACACTGATCGTCCAAGGCCTTGGTGAGTTTGATGTGCGCAGGCGTGCTAACACGACGTGCTAACACTAGCCAGGTGCAAGTCTGATGGGCACGATGAAGCTCTCGTTTGCTTTAGCAGGCGAGAAAGTTGTCATTGCTGGGCTGGCATTACAAGTTGCTACATTTGTAATTTTCACGGCAGCCGCTGTTGACTTCCACGTGCGCATGAAGAGTGCGTCAAAGACCGCTGACCATACAGACAACGGTGCGTGGCGAAAGATGTTGCACGTCTTGTACACACTCAGTTCCCTTATCTTGTTTCGCTGTATATTCAGACTGATTGAGTACTCCATGGGTAACGCAGCATATCTGATTGCGCATGAGTGGACCTTGTACGTATTCGATGGGGTACCGATGTCGGCAGTGCTGGCATTATTATTCGTATGGCGGCCGAAAGAGGAAAACACAGGCACGGCCATGAAAGGGCGAACATCAAGTGATGGAGAACTCGGTGATGTGGAGAGTCAATAAGAGGAGGTCATAGAGTTGTAGATGAGGGAGTTTGCAGGAATTTGGGAGTAAGACCGGGTTTCAATATATCAATTAGAAACATACACATCATAGTGCATTGCTATAATGGCACATTGTCATCGCCAATAGATATGTTACACTTCAAAAACTCCATTGCCCTCGAAGGCTCTGAGCATACAACCTGATCCCCGTCGCCAGATTGCGTGGTATAGGCGCAAGAGAGTAGTAGCTGTAGTGAGCGTTAAAGTGTGACGGCAAACATTGGCAATTGTTCAACAAACACTCCCATCGATGTGCAATGCGTGACTGATTGCTGTAAGGCGCTGCAGTACAATTGCACCAATCAAGACCATCAAAACCACGATGGAAGCGAAGTACCGTGTAGCGCACGCAACTGTTCCAAATTTGAACAGAGTGGCAGGCGTGACACGACAATTGATGGCACGGTCTGTAGAGGAATATTCGTGATACATTGTTGAGCGCTTCATTGCGAAGCTCAGCATTAATTATATATGTGTTGTTACACAGTTGTTCGGACATCAGTTCGGAACACATCGAGTTAAAACTATAAATGAAAGCCCAAAGCGATGTCTCGGCCGTCGAAAAGGGGTATTCAAAGATTTTCCGGACTGAAAGATGGAGAAGAGGTCAACCTCTGAGACTCAAGGGAAACAATAGAAAACGAAAGTTGGTATGAGAAAAAAGGGCAAAATGAGTGCCGGAACAAAGAGGCGGGCTAGCCGGGTATCAGAATGAAGGTAGCCAAAGAAGAATACTCGTGACAACGCTGCGAAGCAAAACGCCAACGTTAAAGAAAAGGAAACAGTCGATGGAACAGCAGCCGCAATGCTAGCTTTCCCGAGCTTGCGAACCGCTCACATCATTAAAAGCCTTGTTCGACGCTTCTGCACGTTTCGAGGCCGGTAGTCGCCAGGTCCGAGGTAATTCTGGCGTGGAGCTGCAGCCTGCTGACCGTGCCGTTCACAGAATTTTCGCCCGCCAACTTCATAGTAATCCGCACTCAAGGGGATCCTACACGTTGTGCATGTGAAGCATCTGGGATGAAATTTCTCCCGTGCATCTGTCTCCAGGTATTGGCCCTCGATACCTCGATTGCATGTGTTGCAAAGAGATCCATTAAGCTTGTGGTAGTGATGCTCGCAATAGGGTGCGTTCTCGTGTACATAGAACTCCCCGGTCGGGAAGCCGTCGCCACACGTCCGGCAAACGAAACATGACCTGTGGTAGCGTCCTTGCAAGCGGCCCGACGAGTCTTTGACAGACTTGCCAACGATGGGCTCGGAACACCCACGGCAATTGCCTTTGGCTGTAGGCGTAGGACGGCGAGTCTCTTCTCGTCGTGGTCCAGGCTCCGGTCTTCGTCTTGGAGGACTCTGCCCAATGTTCAAAGCAGGATCTATTGGAGAAGCCTGTGCTCGCGGGCGTCTCTCAAAGAAATCTCCCAACTGTATGGCAGGATCCATTGGAGATTCGGGTGCGCTAGGACTTGGGAACCCAGGTGACAAGATCCGTGGAATCGGTTCATGTAGGTTCGGGCGTGTGTAGCTTGCAGGCGGTCGTCGACCCTGAGCCTGAGGAGGTGGGGCCCTTGATTCGACAAACGAATCAGGACTTGCCGTTCTCAGGAATCCGTCCTCCGCGAGATAGTCTGAACGACCGATCCTGGAAACATTGCGCGAGTGCCCTGCCTCGGATCCAGGTGGACTTGAACGAGAGCTAGCAACGCTACGTGTGGTGTAGCTGGCGTATGAGTCATCTGACAAACCCGAATCGGACGGAGTGTGTAAAGCCCCAGATGGCGTGTCAACGCTGTAATCAGGTGCTGGTGGCTGTAATATCCGCTCAGGTCCAGGGCCTCTCGGGACGCCTGTTTCAGATTCTGTCCGACTGGGGATGCGCATGGGAACCTTGTTGTTCGATCGAGGGGCAAAGTCCGACGTCTTATACTCGGCAATGTTCGCTGGAGGCAAATCTTTCTCTGAAGGCCTCCTTGGTCGTGGCGGTGGCTTTCTCCTTTCTTGGCTCTCGTTACGTAGTGGGTATGTCTTCGATCTATCGTCTTGACTCAACTGTCCTGGTCGTTTAGCCTCGTTTTGCAATCGTCCTAGGAAAGCGTCGATGCCCTCACTATCGTCGGCTGCAGCTGGTAAAGGCGGTGGCTGCATCGCCGCAGACGGTCCAGATTTTGTGCGGCTAGACAGGCCGACGCTGCGGTTAGAATATGCAGAAGCACGCGAAGTATTTGACGCCACCGATGTCCGTGATTTTGATCGGCTCCCAACACTACTCACGCTCCCCTTTGTCTCCGATCTCCGGTGCCCAAGTGGCGGCTCCTGCGAGGGCGATCTGGGCACACTAGCTGTGCTCGGGCGTCGACTGTCGAAGGGGCCAGGAGCGATGCTGTCCATGCGTTTCGAGACGTTTTCTCCACCATTCATGCGAGGACTGAGAGGTGCGAAGAGGGGACTAGGCTCCGGATACCGCTGGTTGTACGTGGCATCGAGCCTATCCCGGTCTTGCGATCGCGCACTCTGTGGCGTGGCTGCTCGATTGGTAGGGAATCGAGGAAACGCGGAGTCCATGTTGGAAGAAATGTCCGGCGAGGGCGGCGAGATAGAGGGCGGGATTGGGCTGGTTGCACTTCGGTTCAGGGCGTAGGGAGATTTTGGAGGCGCCAAGGGCAGCGGCGAACGACTTCTAGGATCGCTATAGGCGCTACTCAAAGGCGATACCTCGAGGGGCCGGAATGGTTTATCTAACTTGCTCAGCGACCGTTCATGATCGGTGGAGAGGAACAGTTGTTGTCTTACTAGCTGCTTGTGAGTCGATCCTGGGCGGTGCCGGCATGCGACTCGTAGCTGTCTGGCTTTCATACCTCGTGCTGAATGATGGACCACCAAAGGTGGAAGCACGTTGGAGTGTTGGCGACGTCGGAGCTTGCGAAGAAGTTGTTGATGAGCCTGATATAGATGCGTGAGCCTGAGACAAGATGTTCTTGCGTTCCCTTTACTTACCAGCTGCTGAAAGAGGAGCTGTTGCACACACATGATCGGCCAGTTGCAAGATGTCGATGTCAATCCCACATGATGAGCATTTGATCATCGGCAACCCACTCATGCGATCCATGTCGTGTGCTGATGGTAAGCCTGAAAGGCCAATACGGTGAAGGGTAGGTCGTGCTCTAGCAGGCGAAGCTATCGTTCATCACTCTCGTTGACGTGATGTTTGGCGTTGTTTCCACTGAGTTCGCATGAGAGGAAGGGTGAGAACCAAACGACAGAATCTCGAAGGCGCATGTGGGTGCCGGGAAAAGATCCCTGACTACCTCCAGGGTGTTTGATCTTCGAACACGGCGGGCCCTACTGAATCAGGAGAGGCGACGCGGAATTGGTGTTGGCCTAGCTCTGATCTGAAGACGGCAGCGGAGAAAAGGTTAGCGTGGCACCAGTACCAGCCCGTTTTGAGATTGATCAGCCCCACCAGGGACACTCGCAATGTTGGATGGTGTTCTGCGAAGGTAGTAGTGGACAGGGGACTGACAGTGAGGATGGAGCAAGACTCGGACAAGCCGACCGCACGAAGCTGATAACGGACGACGAGACTGGATTAGCAATTAAAGAACAGAGTTCCGAGAGCCAAAGATACGCATGCACTTCGAGACCATTCTGATGTGCTGCACGTAACCCGCGCGGTCCCTGAATCGTGGCGCTACTCGACTCTCTAGCCAGCGCCATTGATTCGACAGACTAGCTTAGGCGCGCACGGAGCGGCAGCTTGCATATTCGAGTGGTCCCTGAGCGTGGAGCCAGTCGCAACACAGAAGCCATCAAGTGCGATGTGAAACGAATCTCCGTCGGGCTGTCTCAACGATGTCGCAAGCGCCCATGACGGAATCTATTCGATCGTGTGCAACCATCAGATGAGGCTGCACTCGCGTGGCCCCCGAGAACATCGGATGGAGCGGTAAGGCAAGGTGGTATTGCACAGGGCCGTATAAAGGCCTTGTTCGCTAGGTGTCCATGCGCAGGAGAATCGTTCAACTTGGGCACTTGGCCACCTGCTTGATTCGATCCTTCGTGCACGGTTGTTGAGCGCATGGCTTGCTTGTGGAGGGTCGGTCGATACAAGAAATGTTTCTTGACAAACGCTCTTCCTCGTACATGTGGTTGCTGAGACGACAATACTTGGCTTCCTGACGTTTCCTGCAACCCTCGGGTTTCGCAAAGTTTGAAATATGCCACACGGCTCTGACCTCATCGTTTCGGAAACAACGTCCGTCGCACAGACCCGTGGGTCAGCGAGAGCTTTGATATGGTGATGGCCAGGAGCGTGCTGCTACATATAGCCGTGGAGACAGCGGACATTGGCCTGAGGAAATACTCCTCGCCCTACAGAGATCACTTCGCGCATTGCATTGCACTTTCGCAGCACGCTTTCATCCGCTCCGTAACACCGACTGCGTGGCCTCCAGCAGACGTGCCCCAATTCGCGTGTAAGCTGCTGTTGCCTTTAGAGATCATTCTAGCAAGTTGTGACAGGCTCAGTCACCGCCCCGAGGCTTCGCGACTGCCATCGGCCCCTTCTGCGGCTTATAAGACCGCTCACGAAACCCATAGATTGGGTCTTCGCTTGCGTTTTGGTATGGCAGCAAACAGGTGGTCATCGGGGAATATTCCGCGCAAATACAAAGTCGCATGCTTTGGTATTGATGCTAGAAGCATTGAAGTTGCCAGTTGCTGCATGATTATGACTATTCTAGCACTGAATGGAAGAAGTGTGAGGCTTAAGCGATACCTTCACATGCTTGGACCATCAACAGCCAAACTAGAACCTGTGGAGCAACACGCATTGTGGTCCACATGGACACATCCACCGCTCCATTCTCGCAACTACTACTGCGCGCAAGTTCACGCGGGGTACGATGGGCGAACTCGGGTGTCAAAGAGTGGTAGTCGACTACCACGACCCACTATCGCGTCCACGTATGACAGCTGTCAAGGACACCTGTGTCGTCTCCCGTCTTCTCATGTGCTATAGTGTTCTCGCCCAGACGTGCCGCGTACTCGCCATCCCGAGTGCGGCTCAGTCTGCTGCACCGTGAAATTGAGAGTAATAGCGCATGCGGCGCGGAACAGAGGGACGGAAGAACACACGATACCATTGGTCTCCCAGGCTCTGTCACGGGTTGTGGCGGCATGAGATGGCTTGAATTGTGGAGTCAACTGGAAGAAGCGGTGGAGGATGCTGCCCGGCAGCACGCGGACGCGGGTGAATTAGCTTCCTTGCCTATCGATAAGAGCAGGTACGAGGGGGACGTATATAGCACCTCACTTCCCAACAGTACATACCGTCAACCACAAAGAACCAACTGGACAGCCACACTCTTCCCACAAAAGCTCGCTTTTCAATACCTAACCAAAACCAAACCCTGGGCTTGTGAGAGCCCTAACCGCCAAGACGTTCTCCAACCTCTTATCCTCGTAAGTTCCCCGCGCTCCGTAGGAAGGCAGCAATGCCTCGCTGCTGGTCCTTAGTCATTTGATGTTGCCTTGAGCTATAGATGGCTTGCAAAACAGACACCATTTGCTCCTTCAATCCTCAGAACTTTGACCCTACATCCGCTTACCCTGACCTTTTACCGGGATGTCACTAACGACTCATAGCGTCCACAACCCATTCGCCGGCCGACGCACATCTCCCTCTGGGGCAGCGTCGGATCTTGATTTCCGCAGATAATTTCGTTGAGCAAACAAGCCAATAAAAACATCTCAACTTAACGACATGGCACCTCACGCCGAAGGAAACGTCGGCCATGCGGATGGGTTCAATGTGCAGACGGCACCAGCCAAGGATCTCTTTGTCGTCAACTCTCCGAATGTCGAGTATACCGAGGATACCATTAAGACCAGATACACTTACCGCACCACCGACATCACGCAGAACGCGGACGGTAAGTATGTTGCAGCTCCCAAGGAGACTCTCTACGACTTCAAGGTCGATCGTAAGGTCCCCAAGGTTGGTGTGATGCTCGTCGGTCTTGGTGGTAACAATGGAACTACTGTCACCGCTGGTATCATCGCTAATAAGCGCAACTTGGTGTGGGAGACGAAGGAGGGCAAGCGTGCCGCCAACTACTATGGCTCGGTCATCATGAGCTCTACGACAAAGCTTGGCGTCGACAACAAGACTGGCAAAGAGATTCACATCCCCTTCCATGACCTCCTGCCGATGGTTCACCCCAACGACCTCGTTATTGGTGGCTGGGACATCAGCGGTATGAATTTGGCTGATGCCATGGACCGTGCGAAGGTGCTCTCGCCGTCACTGAAGATGCTGGTCCGAAAGGAGATGGCCGCTATGAAGCCGCTACCTAGTATATACTACCCCGACTTCATTGCAGCTAACCAAGAGGAGCGTGCCAACAACGTCCTGGAAGGCACCAAGGCCTCCATGGCTCACGTTGAACAGATCCGTAAGGATATTCGGTGAGTGGATGTACTGTGATGTGGCTGATGACTGGTTGCTAACAATCTGTGTAGGGATTTCAAGGCTGATAATGGTCTCGATAAAGTCATCGTGCAGTGGACCGCCAACACGGAGCGTTATGCCGACATCCTAGAAGGCGTCAATGATACTGCGGACAACCTCATGAAAGCGATTGAGTCTGGTCACGAAGAAGTCTCTCCCTCAACCGTCTTCGCCGTGGCTTCCATCCTCGAGAACGCTCCATTCATCAACGGATCTCCCCAAAACACCTTTGTTCCGGGTGCTATTCAGCTCGCTGAGAAGTACGGCGCCTTCATTGGTGGGGACGACTTCAAGTCTGGCCAGACCAAGATGAAGTCCGCTCTTGTCGACTTCATGATCAACGCCGGTATCAAGCTCACCTCCATTGCAAGCTACAATCACTTGGGCAACAATGACGGCATGAACCTTAGCTCGCAGAAGCAATTCCGCTCGAAGGAGATATCCAAGTCCAATGTTGTTGACGACATGGTCGCTGCCAACAATGTCTTGTACAAGGATGGCGAGCATCCCGATCACTGCGTAGTCATCAAGTACATGCCCGCTGTTGGCGACGACAAGCGTGCTCTTGATGAGTACTACGCGGAAATCTTTCTGGACGGCCACCAGACCATCAGTCTGTTCAATGTCTGTGAAGACTCTCTCCTTGCTTCACCTTTGATCATTGATCTGGTACTTGTCACTGAGATAATGACTCGTGTCCAATGGAAGGCCCACAGCGCCAGTGGCAGCGCTGCTGAGTACTCTGGTTTTCACAGCGTGCTCAGCATTCTGAGCTACATGCTCAAGGCTCCCCTCACCCCTGCTGGTACTCCCGTTGTCAATGCACTTGCCAAGCAGCGCGCGGCTCTCACCAACATTTTTCGCGCATGTGTTGGTCTGGAGCCTGAGAACGATATGACTCTTGAGCATAAGCTATTCTAGGCTACCAGGTGCACTGCAGAGGTAACAAGTTGCCGGAGGTGTCTGCTATCTATTTGAAGTCCTGATCGTCCAACTCTACACACTCTTTACATACTATAGTAAAATTTCAGACTTATACGTCATTCCGGTGCCACCTTGCGACTATCCCAATCGTTATACACCCTTTGTATGGTGTCGCTTCTTCGTAAGTTTGGTCATATGTTGACTGAGGAAGGACCGTTCCTTCCGTCTCAACCTCGCCTCACCTCAAAACTCGTCACACTCAACCATATTATTGCCCCGCCACTGCAGCCTAAAATGCCAGTATCGTCTTGTATTCAGTCGTACTTTGTGTCCTCCCCAACTAAGAACAGTGATGGTTTCACTGCCGACGAAGTGCAGTCAATGAAGCCGGCAGGTGCGCTCGATGTATGGACCGTATGCAGTAGCGTCTCACCTACAAGCCACTCGAACTGACTCCTGCAGCCTACGGCCGACTATGAAGAAGCTGACTTGGGTGCTCTCGAGCCTGGTCCGCGGAACCTGGTGCTGATGGGGCGCGTGGTAAACTTCTACGACGTAGCCAAGCCCAGCAAGCGTCACAAAGCTGCGCAGGGCTATATCAAAATCATGCTCGCCGATGATTCGGGTGTACTCACTGTAAGACTTTGGTATGCAAACACCGAGTACAACCTGCGCCTAGGTCAGCTTATCACTATCTGGACTGTTCACATCTCAAACAGCTCGGAGCACAATGCTCTTGCCCCTAATACTGCGCCATACTTCACCACAATATTCCCGGAAGGCGAGCGACACTGCCACTTTATGGTGCACGAGCACAGCGATAACGGCGCTCGGTTCAAGCGACCGTTCGGTCGCGAGGACTTTAGAACGCTACCTGGTCTCATGACGCTGAGAAGTTTTACTGACGGCGGATATGACGTTGATGAGCCTAAATTGCTCGTCTGCGTGAAGAGTATTGGAGCAAGGAAACGATGTAAATCCTCACTTCTTTGACTGCCAAGGCTCAATCTTCCACAAGCCAGGCAAAATCCTTCGACGACCCCCAGACTCGATTCATGGAGTCCAGTCTAATATGTGCAGATATCAACCGCAACGGTACCACTTCTGAGCTGGTCACCCTGGGTATCTTCGACGATACAGCTGATGCCACACTGACCCTTTACTCTGGTCTTTGCAATACAGCAACTTCCTTGCAGCCATCTCAATCCGTTTTGCTGATTTCAACCCCTGGCTGGCGTATCGAGAGAATAGCTAAACTATCACTCAACGCTAACTCTCGCGTCGACATCGACCCAGACACAGGCGACACTCGACGGTTGCGCGCACTGGCCCAACGACTCACAAAGAAAGAGCACGTCAATCCACCCTTCCCTGCGATCGAAGTATCATGCTTTGAGGGAAGTCCCGTGCGTGCGCTTTACAGCTTTGCTGACATCGATAATGTTGCGTGGGCAAACCCGCTTGAGGAGGTACTAGGCTACGTTTCCTGCATCATCACTTCACTTAATATTGTTGTGCCCTACAAGCGCAACATGCTACTGAGCGCAGAGTGTTGCGGTATCGCAGTCTTTGCGAACGAAACAAGTACAACTTGCAAGCAGTGCGAGAAATTAGTCAAACTGAGACTCAATCCTAGGATCGTGGGTGTTCAGCTCACTCCCGTCTGGATGCCTGCCATCTACTTCCTCACCATCCATCCTCTCATCATATATGATGGATTCAAAGCTGATTCTTCACATGCAGCTTGGTCCGGTTCTTGATGAAACTGGACAAGTAGGCAGCGGAAAGCTCATCATGTCCGATCGTGCATGGGAAGAGCTCCTTGGCCGGACGACATCACAGCTTGTGCACACCGACATCGATGTGCTGCGATATCTCGAACAACGGCTTCTGTTCTTGAGAGTTACGATGGGCTTCGCTTTGAAGCTTGAAGACGAGATCGGGAGGCTTGCTGTCTGGTGCGTGAAGAATTAGAGGCCGCCCAAATTCTTCCCAACGGGGAGCTCCAGAGCTGTTGAACGTGTCAAGTCACGCCGGCTTGGCACCGGGTTATGTTGAATTATGGAGAAGCCGTAGTTTCCCACCGGTAGGCTATCGCCGACAGGCTTTGCGCATCGCATAACGATGTATCGCTGTACCTGCTGGAAGTTTTGCAGGGCGCGGGTAATAATCTGGCAAATGTCCGGCATTTTCGCCTGCTATCGCAAAGAGGCTGAAGCACACATCTCCGTGCCGGCCGCGGCGCCGACACCGCGGCATGATAGACGGAATAATTATCTCGTGTACACAAATCTTTGCTGACAACGCTTTGTAAACCGGACTGGAATGCGTGTGTAAGGGAATGGTCAATTGTCGGCACTGGAGGCGGCTTCGGCGTTTGAAACCGCATGCACCATGTTCTGGGAAAGAGTTTAGTCATGAACAGTCAGGAGAGCCTGGAGGGCAGTTGGGCATGGCGTTTCGTCGAGACCATCCATGTTGACCGCTTATCCAACCTGCAGACGGCTGCGGACAGCTGCGGCAACGCTTTGATACATGTGGTGGGTCGAAGAGCTTTTGCTGGCTTCAAGTATGACGATGCATGCAAGAGTGGAGCCTTACTGACGCAGGCGCGCGACCCCCACGGCTAGCGCCCCTCCCCTCCCAAGCATTGAAAACATCTCCAACACCAGGCCTTCTCCTTCACTTCTGATTCTCACTACTCGCCATCATGTCTAAATATACGGATCTTGACCAAACTGCGATCAACACGATCAGAACTCTCGCCGTACGTTCTTGCCCGCTCACGTTCACTTTTGTTTAGCTACCCCGCCACGCTGTACTTTTTCCCAACAACACCCCAGCTGCATCCACTGCGAAGCTACAAGGCTCAATTACTGACTATGCTTCTCGTATAGGTCGATGCAACTGCACAGGCGAACTCTGGTCACCCGGGTGCCCCTATGGGCATGGCCCCGGTTGCCCACGTCTTGTTCAACAAGTTCATGACTTTCAACCCCAAGAACCCTGACTGGTTGAACCGCGACCGATTCGTCCTCTCGTATGTACCAAAAGCTGCCTCGATGTCTATCAAGGCATCGAAAACCTCTTCCGCGGACATCCGCCCGTATTTGAAGGCGAGATGCTAATTCTGTTCACAGTAACGGACACGGCTGCATGCTCCAGTATGCTCTTCTGCACTTGTTCGGCTACGCAGTCAGCCTTGACGACCTGAAGAACTTCCGTGTAAGTAGAATCGATCCATTTGCAATGAAAAGCCAAAGCTGACAACCGCAGCAAATCGACTCCATTACTCCTGGTCACCCTGAGGCCCACGACACTCCCGGTATCGAAGTCACTACTGGTCCTCTCGGTCAGGGCTTCGCCAATGCCGTCGGTCTTGCAATTGCCGAGAGGCACACCGGCGCTGTTTTCAACAAGCCTGGCTACGAGCTCGTAAACAACTACACATACGCCTTTTTCGGTGATGGTTGCGCTATGGAGGGCATTGCCTCTGAGGCCGCTTCGATGGCTGGTCATCTGCAGCTCGGCAACCTCATCATGATCTATGATGACAACCACATCTCCATTGGTATGCTTGTGATTGTCGCTATCGGACGTTCATAGTGCTAACATAGATTCTAGATGGTGACACCAAGTGCGCTTTCACTGAAGACGTCCTGAAGCGATTCGAGGCCTATGGCTGGCACACACAGCACGTCGAGGACGGCGACAACGATCTCGACAGCATTGAGGCTGCCATCAAGAAGGCCCAGGAGGTCAAGGACAAGCCTTCCGTCATCAAGCTGACTACCACTATTGGTTTTGGCTCCAAGCTCCAGGGTACTGGTGGTGTCCACGGTAACCCCCTGAAGCCTGACGATATCAAGAGCGTGAAGGAGAAGTTCGGTTTCGATCCCGAGAAGACCTTCGTCGTCCCCCAGGAGGTCTACGACCAGTACCACAAGCACGCTGCTGAAGGTGCTGCCGCTGAGCAGGAGTGGAACCAGCTCCTCGAGAAGTACAGCAAGGAATACCCAGACCTGCACAAGGACCTCGTCCGCCGCCAAAGCAAGGACCTTCCTGAAGGCTGGGAGAAGTCTCTCCCCACATACAAGCCTACTGACTCCGCGATCGCTTCCAGGAAGCTGTCCGAGTCTGTCCTCGAGGCTATTCACGGTGTGGTTCCTGAGCTGATCTCCGGTTCTGCCGATTTGACTGGCTCCAACAACACCCGATGGAAGAATGCTGTCGACTTCCAGCCTCCTAACCTGGGCATTGGAGAGTGGTCTGGACGTTACATGAGGTACGGTGTCCGTGAGCACGCCATGGCCGCTGTCATGAACGGTCTGTCCGCCTACGGAACCATCATCCCCGCCGGTGGTACTTTCCTCAACTTCGTTTCCTACGCCGCCGGTGCCGTTCGCCTCTCTGCTCTCTCCCACCAGCGCCTGATCCACGTCGCAACCCACGACTCCATTGGTCTTGGTGAGGATGGTCCCACTCACCAGCCTATCGAAACCCTTGCACACTTCCGTGCTCTGCCCAACTGCATGGTCTGGCGTCCCGCTGACGGTAACGAGACCTCCGCTGCCTACTACATGGCCCTTACTTCTAAGGGCACTCCCTCCATCCTGGCTCTGACACGTCAGAACTTGCCCCAGCTCGAGGGCTCGACTCTCGAGAACGGCATCAAGGGTGGATACGTTGCTCTTGAGAAGGAGGGCGCTGACGTCACACTCGTCTCCACTGGTTCTGAAGTCTCACTCTGTCTCGAGGCTGTCAAGACTCTCGAAGGACAGGGTCTCAAGGCTCGTGTCGTTTCCCTGCCATGCTGGGAGGTATTCGACGCCCAGTCTAAGGAGTACAAGCTCTCTGTCATCCCAGACGGTATTCCCACACTCTCCGTTGAGGTTATGAGCACACTCGGGTGGGAGAAGTACTCGCACGAACAGTTCGGTCTCAACCGATTTGGTGCCTCCGGTCCCTACAAGGAGGTTTACAAGGTATGCACTATTACACCAACCGCAGACACTGAGAAAGAGTTGATTGCTGACACACATTACAGAAGTTCGAGTTCACACCTGAGGGTGTTGCCAAGCGTGCGAAGCTCACAGTCGACTTCTACAAGGATGTCAAGCCTCTCCGCTCGCCCGTCAACCGCGCTTTCCAGCAGCTTATCTAAGTGTGCTCGCACGATGTTGAAGTGCTAGCACTACGAGTTTGGTCTGAACGAATATGAGAAACGACCTGTTTGCGCTTAACGTAGTTCATACGATGAAAACTAGGATGCGCATGGATGTATAGAATTGATTTCCACACTATGAGCCATGATTTCGCTTGCACTCCTGTTTCTCGAATCGCTAGCCCATTCACGTTGGTTTTGTGAAGTGTTGAGGTGATACTTATGTAACTATCGGCGCCACAACAAGTCAGAATTAGCCGATGCCGGAGCTGATATCGGCGAACTCATGATGGATGTATGGCAAACATGATGTTTACGTGTTGATATGAATATATATTGTATGTATTTGACAGGATCATCACATGATCAGTAAATGCCTCCTTGGCCAAGTGGTAAGGCGTCGCACTTGTAATGCGAAGATCGCTCGTTCGATTCGGGTAGGTGGCACATGTCTTGACTTTTTGCTGCTACAGTAGCACTCACAATGCTGAGTTCCAACTCGTACCTGCAATTGCGAGCATTGTTGTACTTACACTTTGCTGCGCGGTGCACTCTGTACAACAATGCACCACTCCCTGGTTCTTTTGCAATGCCCCCTTTTCGCCCGCATAATGGAACTATACATCTCCACATTCAGGATTACGTGGAGCATACAAATGAAAAGCCAGTGGGGAAGGGGACTACATTAAACCGGTCTGCTTACAATTGTTACCGATATGCGCTGGTGTTGCAGACATTTTGCTCTTCTGTCCTTCCCCTTACTCGCATGCGAATCATACTTGATAACTACAACATTCCTACAGTCCCAAGTCCCTGGGTCGCGGTACATTCCTTATAAGCCGGCCCGGCCGCGTACACCACCGTGATTTTCCTGGTGAACAAATGTATGACGATGTGTAGCATCGCTTTGTCACTCCGGAGCACACTGTGCAACTACTTCGTGGCTTCAATCCAAACTGCTTGGCCGCCTCCCTTCCGTAGACTATACACTTGCCTTCTCCAGCAAAGTTTCTTCCATAGCCATCAAACCTCTAGTTTCAAGACACAGGTCTCGCTGTCCCACACTCTCGTCCAACCGTCATCGATCTCCCAATGAACGCTTCAACCACCTCGCTGGTCAGCACTACCTCCTCGTCTTCCGGCCCCAAACCTTACACCTGCGTGCATACATCGGAACACACACATGCCGCCAAGTACACAAGCCGCGTCCACTGTTCCTTCAGGACGCCCCCATCATTCCGGTACCTGCGTCCATTCGCCACGCGCAAAAGCACCAAGCCCAAATTGCGTGAGCGGGAGCGTCATTTGGTTAAGCGCGAGGCCGACTTGATGAGTAGAGAGAGGGAGCTCTTGACGAGGGAAGACGCCGTCACTAAAAGGGAGTGTAGCGTGCGGTCGGCGTTTTTTGAGCTGGCGCAGGGGAAAGTTAAAGAAGCGTGTAATGCTGCGGCAAGAAAGCAGGAGGAGGAAAAGGATAGAGGTGGCGATTCTTGCCGAAGCTGGAGGCGTATGTGGAGGCGAGGTGACGACGAGGAGAAGGGATGGGCAAAGTGGAAGGAAGGGAGGTTTGTTTGAGTGAGGGGAGGAAGGGTGAGACGGATCAAGGTAGTTGGGGCAGCAATAGTACGTATGATTTCACATCGCTCAGCGATGCATTGATTTCGGCTGCGTATGCAAGACGGCCTGCCATGCTCGGGGTATCTCTAGCTCGTAGTTGTACAAAACCGTGTCTAAAATCCAGCAAAAGTATACACAAGAAAAATGCCTGTCGTCAATCTCTAATCTCATCCTCGACGTCCATCACGGAGATTGTCTCCCCACCCAACGCTTATGAACAGATCGTCGCCCTTCCGCGTCGGCGTGAGATGCGGAATCCACACTGGACTCTTGAGTCCGATCATCTGCCCACCCTGGCCACTATCCCTGTTGATATCGGTCTTCTTGATGATACTCAGCGGCCTGACCATGTCCTCTTGTTTGACCACAGGACTGTTGTTGTAGCTATACTGCTCAATTTTGGACTCGGGTGTGCGTTCCCAAGAGTTCGCACTTACAGTACGACTTTGCTGATTCTGGTGTGCGCGCAGCTCGCGGCGCGTAGGCGTGGTGAAAGGGTCTTTAAGCACAAGTTGCTGCTCGAGCTGGACGGCTTCGCGCTTGCCGCGGCGCTTGACAAGGAGGGAGGAGTGCTCGGGCAAGGGTCGGACGTAGAATCTTCCTTGCTCGCGGCTTATGCGTGGTGGGCTTCGAGGAACCAGTTGGTTTGATGCTCTTGGAACTTTGGGGTACTTAAGGCCATGGATGGGGCTTTCGGCCACGGGAGATAGCTTGTTGTCATCGGAAAGCTGCTTATCTTGGTCGTCGTCAGGTGTAGGGTCATTGGGGTCGGCGGTTTCGAAAGACGTCTGGCTCGATGCCGAGTCGCGAAATGTAGGGCGGGTAGAGGTTTTCGATATGGTACGTGAACCACTTGTACTGCTCGGTGATCGCCGCTTTTTGCGCGTCTTGCTTGCCGGCAGAGTGTCTGAATCCTGACGTGGTGTAGTATCACGTTCTGGAAGAGATACTGTACTGAAGTAGTAGTCTGGAATGTCTGCTGCACTCGCGGGTGTGATAGTTGCCGTCGAAGTGGAGGATGATTGTTGAGACTTGGGAGGAGAAATCTGCAATTGAGGGGTTGGTCGCTTTGGAGCTGGTGAACCAGTCGAAGACAAGCCCGTTGGGACGATTCGTTTTGGCAGCGGCCTTTCATGGCGAGTTGGAATATCGAGAAACAGTTCAGAGCGGCGCGCGGTATTGTTCGAGGAGGCGTTCGATGGTGTCGGTGCCTTATACGGTTGTCGAGAGGGCTGAAGACTGCGGATAGGCATGATCGGAACTGGAGGAGTTGGGAGGAGTTTGGAGGAGCGGCGACGAGCGGCGATCTCGTCTTCTTCAAAAACCGTCGCCTCTGTGCGCGTACTGAGTGGTCTGAAATGTTCTTCTGTGACCTTTTGTCTTGGGTGATTGGCTGACTTGGCTGTCTTGGACGGCGCAGGACAACCTTCGAGCTCGGCGCTGATTGCCAGGCCGATCTGCGACATGGGAATGGAAGCCGCACTACCTGAAGTTCCAACACCTGGTCGTACTGCCGTACGATTTGAACCAGCACCTGATAGTCCGAGAGTACTGAAAGGTGACGGCGTAACTAAACGTGGGTACCTAGGTGCGTTACGGGGGACTGTTGGTGGCGGTGGGCCGATAGGGAAACTCGTCGTGGAGGCTGTCGTGTTCTCGACAGGCCTGTAGTGCGAGAAGCGTCTCGATTGCTGCCTTCGACGATCTTCATCTTTCTCGTTCACACTCGTGCTCTTTTGCTCTTTGCGACGTCTCAAAAATACACTCAACGCCATCAGCCCAATAGCAATGATAAAAGCTGCCACAGCTGCCACTGAAAGTCCAGCAATCTGTGCCGGTGTCATCTTAGGGCGATCATTGTTCGAGGCTGGCGCTGCACCTGAGGTGGGTGTCGAAGACGAGGATAGGCTTGATGTTGCAGATGCTGGAGCCGAGATCGAGTCCGCGAATACTGACTGGCTTGAAGAGACTTGTGTCTGGAGTGTCGATCTTATGATGGATGTGATAGTGGCTCGCGAGATTGAAGTAGTGGAAGAGGTTGAGACTCGGGATGTTGTGCTTGGTGTTCGACTAGGAACGACGGTGAGTGCGGTTTTGGTTGGAAGCACAGCGTTCCTCTGACCGAGGCATACATTGTATGCCAAAGCGGCCGTATCAATGCTTGAACAAGAAGCGTACACACATGCCAAAGCCACTTCACCCAACGATTCTCCAATTGAGCTGTAACGAGAGCACAGGCATTGGAGATCTCCTTCAATCGTACATGCCACTGGAAAGCGTTCTGATAAAGAAGTTCGAATACAGGAATGTGCGCAAGAAGGAACGTCCTGCTGAAGCTTGGTGGGAAGCGCGCTTGGTACTGAAGTGACTGTAGATGCAGCGCTATGAGGTGCAGCTGCGATTAGGGATGCCGAGATGATGCATAGCCTTTTGACATGGCTCAGAAGCATAGTTGTACAGAATCTGTATACCCATAAGCTGCATTCTTGGTGGTCTCTTGCGGTTGAGGGTGCACTTACTACGAGAACCAGGAAACCTCGGAAAGTAACATAAGGGAAAGCGCCGAACCTGCGGCGGTGAAAGTAAAGGAAATTGGAGGAGAGTGTCAAGGAAATCCGTCACGCATCACTCGTCTCATTAAGTCGCCCTTCTGCATCCGAAAAGGACTTTGCGGAGGGCTGGTAGGTCGACGATATGTATCTACACCTTGGCTAGGCGCCTGGTCTAGGTTGCGGCCGGGCAACCGCCGAGGCGTTACGATGTGGGTTTTCGATGTCATCGTTGTCCATTATAAGCGCTCGCATGCTGAGCTCTAGAGTTATTCGACAAGCTTTTGCCGGCTTGGTAGTGTTGTCCTGTATTGGCTCCTATTCTGGGCGCGTACCTGGGGCGCCTAACCGGATTGGTCGAGCGTTAGGCGCCGAGTCTCCAGCCTCACCAACCACAGCAGATGTCGATGGTTAATATCTGTATACCTACAGTGCAACAGAACAGAAGCGAGTCTTGGCCTACGTGTTTGTCACAACACCCAGTCAAATTGTTGGGTGCTGTCGTGCACATCGGGCTTACGTCTTCGGCGCATTGTGCGCTGCTGTGCAGCTTTCCGTGTGCGCAGCTCAGGCTTCGGTGATACATGTAGAAGGTAGTACAGTGCTGAAAATAGAACTTCGGTTAGCCAGCACCATTCGCTGTACTGCGTTATACCAGAGGGAACCCTGTGACAAGCGGCTCGCAGTTACAGTCTCAAGCATGCACAAAAGCTCGACAATCACTCGCGTCCACCTTTGCTGCGCTGGCCCGACACCAGCACACAGTACTCATAAGCTTACCGCAAACGTACTGCTTGCATGAGTGTCGAGCTCGAGTCCAAGGGCAGACAAGACCTCAGGACTGTTGTGGCGACTGTTAGCGCCCGCAAAAATTATAGAAAAAAAGTTATCTCAAACACCCTGAACATGTGTAATTGACAAGCTGACCATGTGACGAGTGTCGAACGCAACCAAATCTCACTGTTACTCCAAAAGGGGAGTTTTTTTTTTTGGGGGGGGGGGGGGGGGGCGAAGCTCTCATGTTGCTTGAACAGGGGGCTGTAGGTCGTCAACCCTGACAGTGCGCTTAAGGATTTCCCAGGAAAGACTTGTGACTTGAGGAAAAGAGAGAAGACTACATATCCTTTGGGTGACTTGAGGTGAAATAGCTTGCAAGTAGCTAAAGGCCGCCAAGCTACATTTTGCAATTTCCAATATTACAAGTGCTTATATCACGCCTACTCTGCAACACGAGGGTAAGCACCAGCATTATAGTGCACAAGAGGTAAGCATAGATAGACATAGGTGAGCATACACTGCGGAATGGAGCCGCAATGAGAATGGAACAGTATTCACCCCATAGTCCTGATGCTAATGTGAGCCAGAATGAAGCAGCAAGGATGCATGCTTGACTTTCCAGATGGGAATTTGAAAACCCCTTTGATGCTCATCATGATCGTCGGCACTCGACGTCGCCATCATGATCAACGCACTACAGAGGCCTGTAGACTCGCGACTAATTGACCATAGTTATGCCTTCACTGTCAGTCTCCACGTGCTTGTGGGCGATCGTTCCGCCTCCTGACTCGCAACGGGGGCTTCAGAGCAAGGTTCCGAGGCATAAAGTGGCGAGATGTCGTGACAAGGTCGGGAGGAGCCATAAAGAAGGTTTCAACCGGAGCATTTGCCGTTTGCATAGAAACCGTTGATCCACTTGCTGGCGGAAATGTCAGTTGACATGCAAGATGCGCGGATCGCCTGCGTGTGCTGCGGCAAGCTTTGAAGGTGCTTCTGAGAGCAAAGACATGGCAGACGGATTTCCGGGGCGTCGTACGTCTCGCGAACGGCATCCAAGCTCCTGCAGATCTTCGATGAGGATGCCGTGTGGCCGCGGAGTAGAGGGCAGACACCCGTTGTTCAAAGGCGCAGTGGCTGCGGTGTGGGCAAGAAAGGAGGCTGCAGACGAGGCTGTGTTGTGATTGGCCAATGGTGCGGTAGGCAGCGCGAGTCGAGGAGATGAAGACGCGATGGGGACGGAGGGTTGGCGAGTCACCTGCCGCAGCGTCTTGCCCCATTGCGCACTAAAGCCAATGAAGAGGCAGTCATGGTCGACCAGGGCAGATTGTTCGACGGGCGAGGCGAGAGCTGGGACGGTCAGGCACTACATGGAACGCGCTGCAGTGCTGAAACCGGTCGCGAGGCACAAGCTGCTGGAGACAGAGGGCGGCAGCAAAGACAGCAGCGACAGCAGAGACAGCAGCGCTGAGGCGGGCTTCGCAGCGCAGCGTGCAGACGGCAGCGTGCAGTGGCGAGGCTGGGGCCGTGCAGCCGTGGTTCTGCGTTTCAAATCTCGCATGCGCAGCCCCGGTCATGCCTGTTTACTGGGCCCGGCCCCTAAATTTCTCTGGATGTTCTGGAAGAGCTGCTAGCTGCGTTGAGGCGGGACGGGAGTCGCATCTAGTGGATTCGCATTCGGTAGCACGCAGCGCAGCCATGTCGAGCAGGTGCGACGCAGGCTCTGGGGCCACGGGCGGCGAGCCAGCGAGCGCAGGCCGCGCAGCACACGGTCGGCGGCGTGCGTCCAGCGGTGCAGCGGTGCAGAGCCACGGCGTGCAGGCGGCGGCGGCGAGCGCCAGCACCGCAGCGCTCCAGAAGAGCCCTGGAGGCCCGCCAGTTCGCCCGCCGTGCATGCCAGGCGCCCGAGGCTGCAGAGCAGCTGCACCAGCTGCACCGCGCGGCGCGGCGACGCAGCGACAACGTGAGAGCGCAGGCGCCCAGCGCGGCGTGTCCTGTCATCTCGCGCTGGCAGCTGGCAGGCTCCCGCTCCACCGCGCTGAACGGGCGTGCTGCGCGCCCTCAGACCGCAGGCCTCCATGGCCCGCCCGCCGTAGCGACTGCGCTACGCCTGGCGTTGCCTTCCTTTGCAGCATGGCGCCGCCGTCGCTTTGGGCGTAGCGCGTCCCCTTTCGCCGTGCCCTCAAAGTCGGCGCTGCTGCTATGTTCTGTCGCCGTCGCTCTGCTCAGCTGTCTGTCCCGTATACCGTGCTGCTTGCTGCTTGCTCCAGCGCAGATAGTCCGCTGCCGTGCAACGCCCGTCCGCTGCACCTGTCTCTACTTGCGACACTCGACGATCCGCGAGTTGTCAGCCCCCAGCCGTCTGAGCGTCTCCACCCCCGACCGGCCTTGCAGCTGCCCTGAGACACCTGCCGGAGCGAAGCGAGCCTCGCCTTTCGACCCAGCCATCCCTTCACCTGCCACACCTCCCACGACAGCCCGTCACTCCCTCGCCGGCATCTCGCACCTCGCACTGCAGCCAGGACAGCGTCGAAGCGCGCCTTGAGCCGTGTTCTTTGTAATAATAGGTACGCTGCTAGTCCGCCGCCGTCTTCTGCCATTCGCCTGCCCGCCTGCTGCATCGCTCCTGCATCGCTCCTGCCCGCCAAGGCACGCCGTCTGTATCGAGCAGCCGTGAGCACACCGCATCGCTGTCCGCCCTCACGTCTGCCCTCACCTCACCGCGCCGCCGCTGCACGCCTGCCGCTGAATCCTCGTTAACAGCCCGCCCAGATTTCCGCATTGGCCGGCCTCTCGACGGAACATCGCTAGTACCTTACCCTAATACACCACCTACCGGTCGCCGACCACACTCGCCACCATGGGCTGCGGCATGAGCACAGAGGAGAAGGAGGGGAAGCAGAGGAACGAGGAGATCGAGAACCAGCTCAAGCGCGACAAGATGATGCAGCGCAACGAGATCAAGATGCTGCTGCTCGGTCAGTAGCCGCGCCCACCCCTGCGCCACCCTTCCCTAACAACCTGCAGGTGCTGGTGAATCCGGCAAGTCGACGATTCTCAAGCAAATGAAGCTCATCCACGAGGGCGGTTACTCTCGCGACGAGCGCGAGTCCTTCAAGGAGATCATCTTCAGCAACACTGTCCAGTCGATGCGCGTCATCCTCGAGGCTATGGAGTCGCTGGAGCTGCCGCTCGACGACCAGCGCGCCGAGTACCACGTCCAGACCATCTTCATGCAGCCTGCACAGATCGAAGGCGACAGCCTGCCTCCTGAGGTTGGCAACGCCATCTCGGTCCTGTGGAAGGATGCCGGTGTGCAGCAGTGCTTCCAGCGCTCGCGCGAGTACCAGCTCAACGACTCGGCCAAATAGTGAGCGCCCCCTGAATGGGCTCTTGATGCAATGTAATGCTAATCGATACAGCTACTTCGATTCAATTGATCGAATCGCCGCCCCCGACTACATTCCCAATGACCAGGACGTCCTCCGCTCGCGTGTCAAGACAACCGGTATCACCGAGACCACCTTCATCATCGGTGACCTGACCTACCGCATGTTTGACGTCGGTGGTCAGCGATCTGAGCGAAAGAAGTGGATCCACTGCTTCGAGAACGTCACCACAATCCTCTTCTTGGTCGCTATCTCCGAATACGACCAGCTGTTGTTTGAGGATGAGACTGTCAACCGTATGCAAGAAGCTCTCACACTGTTCGACTCCATTTGCAACTCGAGGTGGTTCGTCAAGACATCGATCATCCTGTTCTTGAACAAGATCGATAGGTTTAAGGAGAAGCTGCCCGTCAGCCCCATGAAGAACTATTTCCCCGACTACGAGGGCGGCCCAGACTACGCCGCCGCTTGCGACTACATCCTCAACCGATTCGTCTCCCTCAACCAGCATGAGACAAAGCAGATCTACACTCACTTTACCTGCGCGACAGACACAATGCAGATCCGATTCGTCATGGCTGCAGTAAACGGTACGTCTCGCCAATCAATTATCATGACCCAGTAACTGACATGCCATAGATATCATTATCCAGGAAAACCTCCGATTGTGCGGTTTGATATAATACATTGGGTTGTTGCGGGAGCAAACAAAACATTTTGAATTTGCCTTGGTTTACGGGTTGCATGCTCTTCATGACGGGCATACCATGTCATTCACCGGCGTTGTGGACATGCTTGATGCCGTGCCTTCACACCAGTTCCACCTTCTTCCGTCGAGTGGCTAGTCCCAGCCCCGGGTCGCTCTTCTTTGATACCCTGCGGGCGGGTTCTGGGGCCGTCACAATAGTGAAGCGGTTCTTTATTCCCTTTCTTCCCTGTAAGACTGGCGAGCAGCTAAAAGCCGCCCAGAAAGGCGTTTGCTTTTCCTAATACTGTTCTTGTCCGTATCTATCTACCCACGTCTGGTGGCGATCTCTAAAGTTTCCTTGCGGTTTTGTAAGACAAAGACAAGCACGTGTGCGAATATGTAGTGAATGATTATCAGTATAAAGACAGTCTTTTCGATTGTGGCACCTTCATAGTCAATCATGAGGGGATCGTGGTACTATTTACTCAGGTGACTTCGCTTGGGCAGCGAGCCTCTACGTGCCTTGCATACTACTCTCAGTATCTGGCCGCAATAGCCCCTTGTGTATTGTAATGGTTTCTTTATGCGCCTCCCGGCAGGAAGGCCAGGATGCAGTCAGCAGGCCACAGACTCTCTCTCCTTCCCGCCGAAGACCGGCAAACGGGCAAAGGAAAGGAAGGACAAAGCAAGGGATGTCACTCCGAGCTAGGGCAGCGTTGCAGACTGGCTTACCGCTGCGAACAGCCGGTCCGAAGAGAGCGCTCAAATCTGCCAGTTGTTTTTTATGCCTACTAAGTGCACTGAGTCGTTGATGGCTCCAGATGCTTGGTAAGACGTCACCCTGGGATTGATGAAGAAGGCGTGAAGGACTGGTGGCGAACGCGGCTAGCGCCGTCGACTTTGGCCGGGGCACGCCACCTCTTGCGTCGCTGACCAAGTAGGATATAAGTCCGGGTAATTAGGCCCAATGAAGGTCTCGACAGCTTTCTTAGCCCCGGCATATTCAACTAATCAACGTACAGAACGTTACACTGTTTCTCTTATTAAAGGTAGACTACTATCATTTGGTGCGATGTCTCCTAGTTTAGTCAGATGGAAAGCTGATATTACTCCTGTACTAGGGCACCTTGCTCGTCAAACAATATCAAGACTAGCCTTGAGAAGCGTATAGTTCAGGTGGATAAGACAAGGATACGTGAGCGTCCAGGCCACGCCAGACAGTTTGGTGTAGATGAAAAGAATGGCGTCTCCCACTATGGCAGACTGACTATCTGCTCTGTTGCAAGACAAGAATAGACAGCTTTATCGTCACTTCTATGACGCTGCACTTGACTTCAATATCCCATGGGCTTTAGTGAGATATAGGACGTGCTAACTCGTTAAGTAGTGCATCTATGTTAACACATACCACTGGAACAGCAAGCTGGCACGTTGGAGTACCCGTTCAAGTCTTGATCAGCCTAATCCATATACCGAGACGACAAAGAAGTATGAAACAGCGTCGTCTACTAACCCTTCATCATTACGAAGAGAAGAAGATCGTAATCAAACATGTCTACCGTTGTCGTCATGTTCGTATTCTGACACACATGTTCAATCACTAGACTTAGTGCATACGTACACTGATTGCAAGCATTCTATCTCAGCTGTTCAGGATATAGAAAGTGCCTTGCTTCTTACGACACCAAAATGCAGTAGACATTAGTCTAGGTACTTATTTAGAACACAGACACTAGTCGAGGTCTCTGGTAGCTGTGTAGACTAAGAGGTTCGTCAGAGACTAGCTCTCTCCTTTGACACAAGAGAGGTCGCATGAGATTGGTCAAGTGTCTTCTCGCTTCCCAACGCAGGATAAGTTTGCCGTCAAACCTGGGGAATTACGGATACGGAACGTCCCGTAGACAGAAAGTTGCCGAACCTGACTAGTCGTACTTGATGCGATATCTCCAGTGTGGAGAGACAAAGCTTGTTAGCGAGTGCGGCTGGAGAAACACTGAGAAGAGCCTGCGGCGAAGAGTGTCGAAATCTCCGTCGAGCTTCCAGCATCTCAATAGCAAGGACTACTGGAACTCTCAACCTCAGTACAATGGCTGGATATGGCTTTGGGTTTGAACGAATATTTTTCTTTATTGTTCTACTAATGCTACACATTGGAAAGCACCCATTGAGTCGTCACGAGGAGCGAAAATGACGCTTTGGTAGAAAATATCGTGTTGACTGGCGCAGATACAACCATGCTGCAAATTGTGCACTTTCGGACATGTCGTGAAGTGAGATATCAAAGTGAATTACACGGACGAGGAGGATTCAAAGAAATACGTACATCTTGACGCAAGCTATCAAGTAGAGCCTTGTCTACATTGCAACGTGACAAAGGTAGACTAAGCTCTTTTCTCTTCACGGTCAGCACCTTGAGACCTGATGAGATACACGCGACCCTAGTTGTCTCGGAACTGGGTTGTCTACGATCATGTATCCCAATCGAGTGATCGGAACTTACTGGCGTACTGCTACAGTATCAAGAATTTCTCTTTTGAGCACAATCACGTACGTGTATATAGGTTCTCTGCTAGTGGATATGCACTCTCGGCAATTGTAACATGACTGTTCTGGTTGACTATCTCGGTGTGACAAAACTCGCCTTTCTTTAGCATTGGTGCTCCCGGGCGGAGATTTCTGGGGGCATGGGGTGACTGAGCCTACAGAAGAATCACAAGATAAGTGCAGTTAATGTTCTAGAAATGTGTATAAATTCAAGTAGCGGTGTATGTATCTACCCTGCTGAAACCAAAGTAAAAAGTAAAAGTCCACTCTAGCCCTCGCCCACATCTACTACCGGTTCCCAAATCTCCAGGCGTCTGCCTCATCCCCCCACATACCCGCGCCATTTCCATCAAAATTGACTCTCTTCTCACACCCCTCGCACTTCAAATACCTCACGCCTTTACATTCGCACCACTCGACCGCCTTCTCTTCTTCTGGGGGGCTCATCATCTTCTCCTCCAACCACCGGGCTAGCCCGTCATCTACACTGCCGATGACCCTCGCAAACTTGACGCCCCTGATCCCGGTAAAGAGTTTCAAGACCGCGGCATTGCACCCGTCGAACATGCTCTGCCAGGCCTTGATCTCGAGGAACTCGGCATTCGAGAACGCGGCTGTGGTTTGTTGCGCGGTGAAGCGTGGATCCGTGTCCAGTCTCACGGTCAATTGCCATCTGCGGATTTTGCTGAGGACGGTGGGGTAAAGAACCGGGTGACTCGTGGTCATGAGATGCGGTAGTGCCGTGAGGAGACTCGGATGCGCATGAAAGATATGCGTCGTGTAGAGTAGATCCTTTGCTTCTTCGTGGATTCGTTTACATGTCGACAGGATGGCTGGATAAGTGGGTGCAGGTGTTGGTATCCGCGACGCATTTGTGAGATCGACCAGCTTGGTTGGTGTATTAGCACATAGAAGATCTTCGTAGATCTGGTTTCGGAGCTCTGCGGGCAGGCGGAAGAAGAGGCTGTCTAATTGGCTGTTCATGGGCTGATCCTGGGGTATGGAGCGCAGTTGGGCATTAGAGATAACGCTGTCTGCGCGTTCGGTTTTGGCGAGTGTTGTTGTAGGTACTTGCGGTGTGTGATGGTGTACGCTGAACAAGGGATGTGTAGATGGAGGGCTTGGAGATTGCTTCTGCTCTGGGTGTACCACGGGGAAATGGGCGCCATGGGCGGCGAGATAGTATGCTGCAGCCATGTTTGTTTATGCTCTGGTGTTTCGTGTCCCAAAGGATTCGATGTTGATATAGTAGCTTCGGTACACTTGCTTCGTTCCAAATGCGGTGCTACTTGGCGGGGACTCTCGGGTGGTGATGTATTGGGTGTTGCGTCCTTCGATGATTCAGGTGTCGATTGTATTGATGGGAATGATGGTCTGATGAAGATCGGACTTGGAGGGTATGTATACATATACCCTACACCGCTCTATAGTTGGTGATGTCGTAGGTCAATCCAAACCGGGTAATGCACCTCGATCGAATGTTGGCGTGACGTTGATTGATTGATCGTTGTGTGTAAGCGTTGGTATTGTTGACTTGAATATTCTCATGTCCAAAGTCCTATATATGGAAGCATTGGCACAACGAGCACGGTTGATGTCACGTTATGACATCGAGCTGAGGTGCTGTTCACGCAACAGGCCAAGCCTATTTCGTCATCGGGCCGATCGGTCGATAACGGAGGTGTGAAGGTCGCGCCACGAATCTTGGTTCGTCAGTCCACCTGCCGCGACCTCATCCCAGGGGACGTGTAACCTTATCGCTGAGCCTCATGCATCGATCTCATCTATGTCAGCCCCATTATGCACGTGTTGGTTACATTCTTCGAGAGCGCCCAGTTGCTCGTCGGCCAGCAACGCCGGCTAGATCAAAAGCGGGGTTATCATAAGGCTTAACATAGACAGTACCTAGGCTAAAGTCATCCTTTGGCCATACCAAAACTACTTCAACATCACTCAAAATCTCCTTGCTCGCTGAATCGCGGCTAGGTGAGCTGTCTGTGGATACGTCTGTTGTCGCACGTTGCGTGTTGAGCGTTGCACGGTTCATGCTCAACAGAACGTGTCTTATCGCAGTGGTGCCGTGGTGTGATGCTCGTCATTATCTCCGAGATTCCTCAGCTGCAGAAAGAAAACCTGCCAAACAATTTTTTCCCCGACCGGTCAATCGAGGCACTTCACATGCCAGCCAGTATTCAACCATGCTGATTCCTTTGATAATTGGTTACATTGTCGTTTCCGACAACATGGCCTGAGAATTCGTCGGTGAATGTTTTTGGTAACACCAAAGTATGATTCTCATCGTACGTATGATGCATGCACATCAAATCATGATAGCCATACCCATTGCCAAGTTCTCTGCTCACGTTTCTGTAGGTATGCCACCTTCGTTGTGATCGTGCTTTCCGTCCTGAACGGATGCTGTCCTGCGCTTCTCCTCACACTACCAGCCCGGCAACACCACCAACCATGGCAGCAACAACAGCCTTCGCATAGATTGCAGAGGTCGGAGCTGCACCCACCACCATGTATATTGTTTGCGTCTGACCGGTTTTCCCGGTCAAGGATCCCATACCGATCGATCCCACACCCGGCAAAGGAGCTTGTGACATAGCTTCGAAGTGGACAGTATGAGTCTTCGGAACCCACGTACGAAGAGTGCCGATGTGAGTCTCAACCCATTGGATGGTCACAAAGTCATCGCCAGTGACGAGTGGAGGCGAAGGCATTGACGGAAGTGCGGGGAAAGGAGACACAAAAGTCGCAGTCAGCGGAGGCGGAGGGTCTGCTTGGATGGCTGGAGGTACGACCGCAGCTGGTGCAGGAGCTGGTACAACAGCAGGAGCAATAGCTGGTGGGGGAACCACTGGGCCAACCGCTGGAACTGCTGGGCTGACTGGTTCAACTGCTGGGAGAGCTGCTGGAGGAACTGCTGCAGGTGGATTTGCTGGTACCAGCGGTACAGCTACAGGGATAGCCGGCGCCCCTATCTCAGCTGGGGGCGCCCCAACTAGCTCAAGGCCTGGCAGTTGACGAAGTCTGGCAACGATATTTAGCCTCAGCTGCAACTTTCGCATGAGCAGTCCAATGACTCACTCGAGACTATCCTTGGTACTTGATGGTCCTGAAGTCTGTGTCGAACTTGAGACTGAGGCGTGTATGGCCGGCGTATGCGGTGCGAGAGCAGAAAGTATGTTGTGTTCTCCAGTAATGCCAGCCGCTAGTACGATGATGGAGAGCACTGCAGCAAAAGGGTACACACGCATGATGTACAAAGATATCGTGCCTGTGATTGGCACCACTTCAAGCGGAGTCAGATTCTTGGTGTAGTGCAGCCAATACGACGCAAAGTATGTATGTTGATGGTTCTCGCGCTGAGAAGGAGATGTTTATCCGAAAGGCTCAGATTCAAAGTTCCAAGCCTGTTTGTCGTCCCACTCGAGATAGAGGTTGGCGTTATGTATTGTTGCCTGACCGATGCTTGTCCCCTGCGTACTAGAAAGCCGATACTCCAACAAACAGCAGACGGAGTACGATGTTGACCAAAATCAGGTAAGTTGTGGTTAAGAAGGAGAAGACTGAGTTTGTGGTCGAGTAATTCTATGGATGAACGCACGAGGAAAGTGCAGTCGCCGCGGCAGAGACAGCAAGCAGCCTCAAGAGCTGCTCCTCACCGTGACGACTTCAATCGTACCTGCCACACCAGACACATTTCAAACAATCCGCATAGACATGTGCAAGATGAGGCAGCGCATACATTTCTCGCGGCCTGCGAGCAAGTGGCTTTGCAGTTCCATCATTCTGGCAAGAGATGTCTGGATCGAACCGAACGGCGGCTTGAAAGCCGATAAAGTACTGCGTACAGAGGGGTAACCTCTCCGGCTGATGGCCCGTAAGTATCAATTGAGAGTTTGGCCAATCTGGAACAGATTCACCTATCTCCTGCAGCTTCTGACCTGCTGAATGCATGTCGCGCCTGAAAACTGTATCAGCCCGACGCTGACTTACCTGTAGTGATATATCTAAACTGCACAACTAAAACCCGAATGCAAGTACGTCGATACACATCTGCATGAGTACCCCCGCTCCTTTACCGTTCAGATGTGACCCATCATACATCGTTGGTACTCACGGACCCCGTATCATTTCATGATGACATGATCTCAGTCATGTAAGCTATCTAGGTAGGACACGGAAAGTCAATAGCCTCGGAATCGTATCATAGCGTGCCATCGAGGTTGGAGGGTTGCAATGGAAGCCTAGACACTATGAAGATATGTCTTGGACTCACATACTTTATTACCAGATAACAATGGCGAGGTAGGAGAGGCGCCGAGCTCCCATTCCACTCTCCAGCCTTACTTTCCTCGCTACCAGAACCGCACCTGCTCCCTTCCCTCCCTTACCTCTCTTACCTCGCAACCGCACTCCCGGTCAAACATACCTTGCATACACCTGCCGTTACCCAGATCTACAATCCCGTGCTTCATTGAATGCACTCGGCTACACATTGGGAAGCTTTGCATCCGCCCTACGATCGCGGTCATGTCAGTGCTACGCCAACGGATTGCGGGAAATTAAGCATTTTCGCCCTCGCCTGCGCTACTCAGCTGGGTAAGGAGTGATACTAGCGTGACGCCGGCGAAGCTTAGCATTTGTCAACAACAGACTAAAAAATGAAGCAGCATAGCAACGGGACATGTTCGACTATCGATTCGAGGCCGGGCCGATGCACGGCAATGTCCGGGGTAGGTACTGAGATGGTCGAGCGAGCATGAGTATGGGAGTTGGTTTGACAGAGTTTGCATGTAGCCGTGATATCGGATTCGTATGGGAGGGGTTTGGTTGCATGAGCAGGATGCGTCGGACCTAAAACAATTGCGCTTCAGCAGAGAGCCATACATTTCGTGTTCAAGACCGCGCCTCATCGTTCGTTGGACGCAGCTCTCTCAGTACCTAGTGTTTAGCTACAGAGACAATGAGCGAGGCCGTGCTAGTAATGCAAGCTAATCAGAGTTTTAGGCGCCCTTCTTGTGAACCTGTAACTTGCAGAACGCACCAGTACTTGCATGAACCACCGCGAAAAAGACCATCACAAGTTGCATTTCCAAGAGGAACATGTGGTAAGAAGCCTTGTCGCCGGTTTTACCTAAGATCCTCCGCGCAATTTGCGAACCATCTCGGGCGGGAAGTTTTTGCTGACTGCAGCGGAAAGGACTCCACCCCACCGGCGTCGAGCCGTCGACAAGTCGAAACGCTTCGACCGTTGAGCTGCACCTGCATTGTTCTCAATCCCTCCACCGATCACCGTCATTGCCTTGTCCAGCACTCAACGCACTACTGACCTCCACAAAGAGAGAACGGGTAGAAATGAAGGGTCTGATAGTTACCGTCTCCACACCGAGCGCAGCGCAGTTGGTGAAGTGAGCGTGCTCGTATCATAGCGACCCCAAAAATACACCTGCGAGACGCATTCCCTCGGATCCGCAGCAGAAAGGCAGAGAAGCTCGACTCCGCTATCACGAGCCTCCACTATCGACGCTCGGACACTCGACTCAGGAGGTCCTCGCACCCCCAAGCCCATCGACGCCTCTGAGTGGCCCGCGCCCCCAGCAAAGCCCGCGGCCATGGCCCCAGCGCGGCGCAAGCTCTCGGCGTGTACCTGCGCTGGCGGTGCATGAACCTACAAGCCGAGCAAGCCGGGAGTCGCCGCAGGGGGGACGCTGTGCCCGTTGTCCGCAGAGTCCATGTAGCAAACAAATGAACAGAGCGCAGCTAAATGAAAGTAAACAGCTGGGACGTCATTGCATTAATCAATCATCGGTGATGATTTGCTCTTGACAGCGGCGCCATACCGCCTCGCTTCCTACATACCGGCCGCTTTGGTCGGGATCACCGATCCTCAGATCGCACGGCGCTTTTGCGAGCGTGACCATCGCGTCTTGTGCTGGCGGAAGGGCCTCCGTGTTTGGCGGAGGGCACACACAATGCGCTGAGCCAGGTTGGCGCCGCGGGCATCCTGCGTCTGTCGCGTGGGCGCTGAGTAAGTTGCCGAGGCCGAGCCTTCTGGACAAGGCTTGGAGTAAGAAATCTCGCTCATTGGTATGCGCCGAATTTGCGGTGTTTGTCAATTGTGTTATTGTTTGCCTTGGTGATGCAGCTATGAAGACCCAATAGCAGTCCCTAGCTCTATTTTATTCTACCAAGAAACGCAGCGTACATATATGATGAGAGCGGCCGTGGGCGGCAGTGCGGGTGGTATCAATCCCAAATCGAAAAATTCATCCTGACCTCCAAAAAACAATCAAGCCTGAGCCCCGTAATATCGATATTGGGGGTCGTATCCGAAGAAAAGTGGGTGCGGCGCTCGCTGGACTGAAGGAAGGTGTAAAAGAGGCTGGCGTACCAAGCCTTGTATCCAAGTCTATATGCACACGAAAAAGAAAGTAAGGACTACGATGGGCAGCAATCGCGCCACTAAATGTGATAGTTGGAAGAGAATGGTCCAGCGAGCAATTGTAGAGGTCGACGCATCCGTGCGGGTAAAGGAGTGTTGGGTAGTCCAAAAAGAAGTGTAATGCAAGATGTCCAGAACGCCGTCGCCTAAGTCATGCGTTCATAATGCCGCATCTCGAAGACTTCTTAAAGAGCCTTGAGAGTGTGGCTGTCGCGATAAAGAAACGTGGGGCCAGTACAGTAACGTTCAGTGGTCTGCTTCATTTACTCCACTACGCTAGTGTCCAGCTGATGAAGGTGACTAGTAAGGGGACTAGTACAGAAATTGCCGGAGCTCCAAAGAGAGTCGCTCCGTTGCTGTAGAGGATTTGGCCCGGTGTCATGCCATCCTCTTGCGAGAAGAAGTATGTCTTTGCTCCATCTGTGCCCTGAGAGGCATCTGGGGGTGACGTTTGCGCGGGAATGGGGCAGACCTTGGCTGGGTCGAATGTGGGGCAGCGTTTCTTGTAGTCGTTCTGCGATCGCTCGGTGTCGGTGGAGTTGAAGTATCCCTTCATGTAAGATATCGTCATGACAGTGTCGGCGGCGGGGGGTCCGGCGGACCAGTTGGGGTCACCGTTGCTCCAGTGGTTGAAGAAAAGACCACCACCCTCGGTAGGGATCTGCTCAGTCATTTGCCAGAGGAATTTACCGTCGACATAGAAGACGACACGGTCTGCGGTCCAGTCAAAGCGGTACTCGTGGAACATGTTGTCTGGCTCGAAAGGTAGCGGCGCGACCTTGTAGGTTGAGGTACCAGCGGCGTCGTTTCCATGGGCCACGGATTCCGGAGACTGGAGGACGAGGTTGACAGCGCCTCCTGTGCTATTGAACTCGTGGGAGAGGAACTCCATGTCGATTTCTTGCGAGTTGTTGTAGTACTGTATACGGTTAGGAGTGACCTGATGTTAACGACGAACGTATCTTACAAAGAAGAAAGCACCACATGTTCCCGATGAGTTCGACAGCTTCATTCCGACGCGGAAGGATCCGAGGAGGATATCATCTCTGACCGAGACAACCTCCGAACCGTTGACGTAGCCATTAGAGTGGTTGCCGCGCACCCAGAGTTCAAGACCAGCATCACCACCGTGATCAGCATCGCCAGACCATTGGCTGCTTTTCTTAAGAGGGTTAGGGACGATGTTGCCCATGCTGAAATCCTTGCCGAAAGCTATCCTCTTGTTGTCAGGAGGCACCGATACATTGTAGACTTGTGGCCGCCATCCGTAATCAGTGATGTTGTTGGTATCCATGTGCAGGAAGTCGTTCTCCATTAATTCTGTAAAGAGTGCATGCTCAGAGTCGGTAGTCTGGTTGAGCGAGTATCCACATTCGCAGGCGGCATCAGCTGTAAGCGCGCATGGTCAGTTTGGTTGGTTCCATGGACAATGACGGCTCGGGTGCTCACGGCGAGGCCTGAGCGAAGGAAGTCCGCCATCTCCCCACAAGTGAGAACTTACCAAAGCGAGACACAGCCAGCAGCAGCCAGGGCAAAGCGCCCTTTGAGAAGTGAAACATTATTATGGCAATTAGAGGGGGTTGCAGTGAGCGACTAGGGTGAGGAGGATTTGGGTGCTGGTGGACAAACCGAACGAGCGCAAAGAGGTTTGTAAAGAGGAGTGCGAGAGCCTTGGTACAAGAGTCGTTAGGCACGGCGCGCTGGGCAGGCACACCAGGGCAGCGGCGGTGCAGGGATCCAGTCTGGTAATTACTGTACGAGCAGCCAGTCACGAGCTAGGCCTGAGCGCTGCCGTTTTCCTCTAGGAGGATCGTCGTGTCAGAGACGCCGAAATCATCATACGGATTTCTGTGGAGAACCTAGAGCCTTGGTGTGCACCAGCGCGGTGGGCGTCACCTGTCACTGCGAGCAGGGCGAGCGCTGCAAGGAAGGCCCGTTGAGATGGCGGAAAGTGAAGACCTCTGGCTAGCTCGCCATCTCCGGTGGCTGGCGTGCCACAGCAGCGCCATTGCCCAGCGACTCGAGGTGCATGATAACAGCGATAGCCCCTCGAGCGAGAGGGATAGGCAATCCCACCAGCACTGCGACCAGAGGACCAACGGTGTCACACGACAGCCGCACCCCTGATTGGCCAGCAGCAAGGGATTGGCAGCTTTGACTAGGGGTGCCCGAGAGCATCCAAGGAACACCCTTGGCTGTCAAATTGGAGACAAGCGGAACCGACAGGCACAAGTTCTGGGGAAGCGATCGAAGGAACACGGCGTTGCAGTCCGAAATGCCTGGTGCAACAGCACAGCACAACGAAAATCCTTTGTCACAGAAGCTGCACACGCGCGGCCTAACGCGGCCTGGTCGGGGTCGCCTGGCCAGCCTCTGCCGCGACCGCTGCAAGTGCAACGGTCTTAGTGCCAGGGCGCATGAGCAGCTCACTGGACAGCTGCATGAAATGCAGGCCCCTCACAAGCGACCCCGGGAAAATTGTACCTCGAAACTAGACACGCAGATTGCTCTTGCGACGAGCGAATCATCATGCCTCATTAGGTAGGTGGCATGAACGTCTTTCGGCAACTCACCTTGTTTGGATGACCTTGGCAACGGCAGCTTTACGCAACGAGCATGGAGAAATTAGGATACACGGTTGCCATTCGTCCAAGCCTCAGGCAGGCCATGATTGGTCTCATGCTCTCCGACAGCAAATACGAGAGGCGTAGAGAGCCCACATCGAAAAGTCCCTTAAAACCCCATCACGAGGCGGTTCATTTGCGCACACCGCCAGCCGCCGTCACGCACATCAAACTCAATGATCAGCGTCGAGGCAGCCTCGTAAATATCGATGCATCGACCAGAAATAATATCGCTATCGATTAAAGAGACAAGCGCGCCATGGGTGCTTCGTTTTCCAGTGCCAAAAATGCAACAATGGTACTGACTAATCTTCGCCTGCGCGCCAGACACGAGCGCCTCCATTGAATATCGAAGCCAAAATGTGACCCAACGCCATCGCCATCATCCAAGATCGATAGATCAAACGCTTCGTGGGGTATCATCACAAGAATCCAGACTCAGAGAGAAGTCTGTCTCACCGTTAGTAACGCGTCTGGAATGTATTGAATCTTCGCGTACCTTGCAATCTTCTCGTCTTCGCGCTCCCGCGGCTCAACGGATAAGCTCATCTCGTACATTTCATGTACATCGCCTGCGGATTGCATATTTGTCAAAATGTAATCTTGCAGATCGGGCACAGGCTGCAGTGGGTACGGCACGTTTTGGTACTGCTGAATATCGCGGATCACCTCGGCAGTTTTCGCGCGCTTGGCAAAATTGATCAGGTTCGTCTTCTTGATCAGTGAAGGAATACCGTCCTCGATGAATGTCAAATCCGTGAGATAGACGCCTGATTGGGTCAGCTGAATTCTGAGTCCTACGGTGCTGTATGCTTACCGAAGAAAGGTATACAAGGTGGGTTCGCCCTGTGAAGTGTATCTCGGTACTCTGCAAAGTTTCTAGTGCTGCCCATGAGCTTACGCATGCTCTCCAGGACACCCATCGACCGTTGGTTTACAGCACTCCATGTTCGGTTCAGTCGGTGAATTGGGGCAGTCCCCAGTGCAGAGATGATCGACGTCAAGGTCGAGAAGTTATTCAGTGATCGACATTTCTGACTCACGTTAGTTAATGAAATGATTGAAAAGCCTTGTGCAAACTCACATCAGCGACATTGACAAAGTGCTTGATAACTATCACTCTGCGTTTGACGTCCTGCTGTGTCAAAATCATCTGAGCCACCCAGTTTGTCAACTGGTTAGAGTGGAGAATCAATGCCTTAACATTCGCGGCGGGATCCGGTTCGCCCGGCGCCAGTTTCTTCTGCCATGTTTTGTTCAAACACTCTGTTGGTCGGATCTTTCCGTAGAGCTTTGATTCGATAATGGTCAGCTGGCGTGCGAACTCCGTAGCATCGATGTCCAGGAATTTCAGCTTCTTCATGTGCTTTGGCAGAATCGGCTGTGGGGTCTGGGCGCTAAGCGTGAGTACGAGGCGTTTTGTTGGCATGTCTGGGCCACGAGAACGCTGCTCGACAGACGTCATTAGGGGGTGGGCACCAGGTGTGCTAGTCGTCGCAACATGGTCCTTAGCGAAGTTGTACACTCTTTGTATCAATATCCGCGCCTCTTCGTCGTTACCCTCCATCCAGTAGTTGTCGAACCAACTCTTGAGAATGTTCACTACACGAAAACGGATAGGCTTCTGCTTCTTGTCTACCCAGGTCTGGTAGTCTTCTTTAGCTAGGCCATGTGGCGGCTGTATACTCCACCTCTTGACAAGCATTTCGAACAGCTCAGAAGCTGTAGTAAACGATCGATACGTGAGAAGGAATGTGTTGTTGAATGCTGGGTCAAGACGATCGTGGCGCGTAAGCTGTTCCACGAGGCCAGCCAGCGTTCCACCGCGTAATTGTGGTGGGGTGACTTTATGATCGTAGGAGATTTCTCCTTCGTGGTCGAGTTTCAGGTACTCTGGAATCTCTTCGACAGCTGTTTGTGGGATGACAGGTACTTCTCCAAAGAAGTCCTTTAGCTTCTTGTTATTCCTTGGAGGTTGTATTGAGTCGATCTTCTCGTCTAGTGCAGTGCCTTCACTGTATGTCTTCGATTGGGGGACATCTTTCAGCAATGGTCTTAGTGTCGCCGAAGGCCCTCGAGCATGCGAAGTCGCGAGCTCAGAGTCAGTGTCGGTGAACCTTCGGTTGTCAGTGCGAAGGGCGATATCTGAGAGGGGAACTGCTTCTGACAGATTCTGCAAGAGTCCATACTGCTGGGCAACAGTGGCTTCTAGGTCGCGAGACACAGCTCGAACGGCGTTGATTCGATCGTCGAGGGAGTCTCCACGCAGTTCGGCCCACTCGTCGCTCAACGGTGCTGCAACTCCCTGACACACTATCACCAGCTCTGAAGCCACATCGTAGACCTTTTGCTTCTGAATACTGAACTCGCTCAGCTGCTGTTCCTGCAGAGTCGCGTTAATCGAAGAGATGTTGATTGATTCGACTGTAGACAACCATGGCCGGCACACTTCCAGAACCTTCCCACCAGCTGTGCAAATATGATCACCGATCATCTGATGCTTTTGGCGTGAAACAACCTTGTCGCGTACCACACATTGTTCATCCAATCGGCGGACAGCAGATACGATAAGCCGTTTGATGTCCTCCAACCGTTCGAGAACGCGAGAATCTAGCTTCACAGTGGGCTCGACAGATGGTTCAAACTCATCGTCCATGAACGATGAAGTCCCGTTGTTGTCGCGCGGATCCAATCCATTGTTATGCCAGTTTCCACCGATGTTGCTACCGACAATGAAGCCGGGCACTAAGCGGGGAATTTCTTCCCCACGCTGTTGGCGAGCTACCTCGACAAAGCCATAGACTCCGTTCAAAACACCGTCGGCCTCTTTCAAGCACTTTGAGTACGAGTCTGGCGGTGGGAAATCGGACGCAGCGATGTGTGAAGAGAGGACCAATTTGGAGAATCTGGACATGGTCTCTCGGAAATGCGGATAAAGGGCCTTGTTGGTTGATATGATGGACGGGTTCCCAGAATGGTTGTCGGTGGTTCCAGAGCCTGCAGCGAGTAGGAGTCGCAAGTGGTCGGATATGTCCTCGGCCCTTTTGACAAATTCAGATCTATCGCTGTTGTTGATGGCCTGCCGGTAGCGCTCCACAGCGCGGCGCATGTCTTCTACCATTCTATTCCATGTCAGAGGCACTGGGTTCACGTCATCGTAGAACTTGCGTGACTGCGCAGAAGCCGAAGACCCTCCATTGGTAGGGCTATTCGCGAACGAGGTGGCTGTGGTACCGATTGGGGGTATGGCGGCGCCTGAAAAGCTTGTGCCATTCGCATCGTACGACCGTGGGGCTAGGCCCTGGTTCATGGACTCCATAGAAGTCGCCGGCGAGACTCCATCAGACAGGCGCTTCCGCCCATATGAGCTCTTGTTGCCGGGTCCCTCCAAGTCGGAGGCAGACGTATCATCGTCGGTGTCGTACATGGTCCCAGAGGCAAGCAGCTCGGCGGGCGGGCGCGACGAGTCGGGTATGAAGACGTTGGTGCGGTCGCGCGGCCCGCTTTCGTTGGCGGCCGGCGACTCCAGGGGCAGTTCCATGGTGCTAACCCCTGTCAGGGTGTTGAAGTAGAACAGGCGGCCGTCGGGCGTCGCCTGGGGGATCCAGAACGCGGCCTCCTCTTCTTTGCTGCTGGCATTGTTGTGGTCGGCGTGGCGTTCGATGGGCAGGAGTGTGTCGTTGGCGCCGACGGACTCGGTGTCGGAGTTGGTGTAGTCGGTGCTGCCGAGCGACTGCGTGTCGTGGTCGTCGGGCGGCTCCAGGCCGTTCCTGTCGTCCTCGGCGCTCTCTGTCGGCCGCTGCACGACGGTGCAGTAATTACTGGGGAACCAGCCGCGCACACCGTTGATCACGCCGTCCCACCATCCGCTCTCCAGCTGCGTGATGACCTGGATAATATCGCCCTGGCGGAAGCTCAAGCTCGTGCGGTCGTCGGCATCGTAGTCATAGAGCGCCTTGACGTACATGCCCCCCGGCGTGATGGTGCCACTGTACCCATTCATGGTGGCGGCGGCAGGCGCGGTGCTTCCGTCTCGTCAGGGCGGGGATGGGAAGGCAGCAACGTCGCGCTGTCGCTGTGACTTCGGGCGCGCCTTCCCTCTGCGGCGCGCGGTACGGGGAGCGACAGCAGCGGGCGAGCAGCGGGCGGTCTGCTGTGGGAGCGCGGTGGACTCCTGGGTGCAGAGGCTCCTCTCGTCTGACGGCTCAGGGAGGGGATGCAATTGGGCTAGAGCGGCATGCGAATTAGAGCCCTCACATTCGCGCCTGACAGAAGCGACGCAGCGAATGAGCCCTCGCAACGGGCGCTGAGCTTCACAAGGATACGTAGATGGGGCACAGTCGGAAGAGAGGAAATGCCACACCAGGGAGCGGGTCGCAGCGCGTCGTGGTGCTGAGCGGTCAAGTAGTCACGTGTTTGGTAGCGGGCATCCAGGTGTCAAGGTGCATCCTCCACATTTGCGTTGGCATTGACACCCGGAATGGCCTTGCTTAGCAACGACACTCTCATTCGCACGTCTGTATGCAAGTCGCTGCCCTGCCGTCCGTGTGCAGCCTCTGCGACCTGCACAACCAACTGGCTAGCTGCGCACTCGCAGACGCAGTACACATGCCGACAAGCTCGAACAGCTACACTGTCATACATTGACTTCAAAGGATCCATCCCAGCTTGCGTCTGGCAACGGCAACAGTCAATATTTCAAGTGCGACCCCACTGTTGCTCAGAGTGCTGAAAGGAACCGTCTGCTTGTGAAGCTGTCTGTTCTTGGCCGCTGGAGGAGGGCGGGGCATCGAAATACCCAGGATACGTCTAGAACACTGCTTGACTCGCTCGACTTCACGGACGCCCACCTTGAAACGAGGCCCAAGGAGATGCCTTCCGGAACTGCACGACTGCCGAAGTGTCAAGGACTGTGCGACAACGTCGCTTATCGATGCTCATCCTCGACGTCTGATGTTCCATGTGCGAGGCTGGTGCGAGTGCCTGCCTGCGACATGAGTGCAGTCGAGTCTGCAGCACTCGGGGCAATGCTGCAATATATCGTTAATGGCTTCGAGTTACCTAGTCTGTGAGTCTCGTCCGCCGAGCCCGATGGCACACTCTAAAGCGCTGCACCTCCGGTGAGTGCGACAGGCCCACCAAACCAGCGCCAATCCATATGCTGCATAGTTTGTCGCGTGGAAGCGGCAGAAGCGTGTCTAACGTCTGCGACACTGGCTCAATGGGTCAAAGTTAGCGTCCAGGTCGACCAACTCCAAAGATTCATTCACATGCATGAGGCAGGTCAAGCAGAAAGAGTCGCGAGACTGTTGAGGCAGCGTGGTTTGACAATAAGTATGGCGCACACGGAAAGCTACATGTCGCACGTGGGGGTGCATCTATTGCAGGCCAGAACTGCATGTCATTGCAGAATAGGCTGTGAGTTAATCACCCAACACACTCTGCTATTCGTTGTTACTAATTTCGCGGCGGTACCGAGCCCACGGCAACGCGGCAGCGATCCGTCGCCATTTCCACAGATTGCATCAGGAGGCCAACGCGGTCCTTTTCTTCTACAGACGTTCTAGCGCGGGGGCTGACGGTGATAAGCAGAGCCCCTCATGAGCAGGGAACACTGAGAGAGGGGTCGGATGATGGTTTGGAGGGGCTTCGAGATGAGCCGGATGAGACTTGCTACCGAATCGTCTGGGTAGCAGACGGTGTGACGGTGAAGACAGCACGTCGATCTCTGGCGATGCCGTTTGGCGACTAGGCTGCGGGTCACTCCATCCAGGGCGACGCACCTAGGGATCCTTACTATGTCGACTTAACGGACATAAAGGCGGGCTGGCGGGGCATTGCAGGTTCGCGATGCTCTCTGACGGTTAGTGATGTCAACCTGTATCGACATGTCATGACGCGAAGAATTGCGTTGTTGATGAGACAGGAGTGCCGGCTGAACCTTGACACGAACACGACTTCTGGCTGATAATTGAGTTTCTGCGGGCGCTGCCATCTGGCAGACTGCAGCTGGTGGGCCGGTACTAAGTAAGTCCAGGGTGGGTCCGGGGAGGAGCGGCTCCCTAGCCCGATGGAATGGATAGACTTCCAGGAACAAGTCCGCGACGATCGCCCTAGTGCTGCTGGGCGTCTTAAAATTGCTCGTAGCTGCGACGTTGTCGGGTGCTGGTGAAAGGTTGACGGCAGCCCTGGCGTCATCAATGCCAGCAAGAAGGGCAGCCCCTTTTCTACGCCGGCGTCATCGAATCGAACGACACGGCCGAGAGGGTGAAACGGTAAGTAGGTATTGCTGACCTGCTATGTCAGTATCGATGCAGCAATACGTGAGGCGGTGAGCGCGCCCATGCATCTGATAGCTGGCAACGTGCAAACTACCACTGCAAGAGGTAAAAGCAGTCTGAGGCTCCTTACCGCTTTTTCTTCACGCTGTGCGACGAGTGGATGACGGGTACCGCCGTTGACAGGTGTGGTGCGGCGCAACCATGTTCGAATCAGACCGTGGGCGAAAAACAACTGGGCCGTGGGCGGCGACGCGCAACAGCGTCCAGCTGGGAGCGAGTCTGGGCCATGCCAGAGAGCACCTGAGATGTGGCAGCGTTCGTGATGGGCGCCGGTGTCCGTGGAAAGCACAGCCTGTGCACCAGATAGAGGGCAATCAGGGCCGGCGCAGCTTGGGCGAGGCTGCACCTGCTGCACCTGCTGCACCTGCTGCACCTGCGTGGGCCGCAGCTGCTGGCCGACCAGCAGCAGCAGCGCAGCCCGCCCAACGAGTGCCTCCTGTATCGTTGCCACGCTGTAAGACGGGTATGACAGGGCCGTTCCAGCTGGCCTAGCGCCTGTTTCCGCGGCGTATTAATTCCACGATCATGGGGTGGCTGGTCGGTCGCGGGCACGCTTCGAGGGGCACTGGCTGCACAGGCCATCTTAGCCTTTTGGCCTCCTCGCCTCCGCCATCGCGCAGCACCTCGCGCCCGACATCCATCCCATCCTCGACCCTATCTTCCCTTGCGCGCGCAGCCCTCTGGAGCCGCCGCCGCCCTGCACCACCGTCCGCCGGCCGCCCCCGGTGCTCCCTCGCCGTTCGCATGCCCTTTCGCGGAATGAGAGACGGACCCGCCAGCTTCACCGCAGCCATCACCACGCCCTAACGCCAACGCCCGCGCGCGCCCGGCCCTCGAGCCATCTCGCCGTCAGACCTGCGAGCAGCCTGCCGCGTGCCGCACATGCCCGCCGCAATGGCCTCCACCGCCGCGCCCGCCGCCGCACGCAAAACCGGCGCGCCGGAGAAGAAGTACAAGTGCCAGTTCTGCAACCGCGCCTTCAGCAGGAGCGAGCACCGCAGCCGCCACGAGCGCTCCCGTAAGTCCTCCCTCCCGTGGCGCCCGTGTCTGATGGAGCTCTGTGTTTGGAGCGCGGGGTAGCTGTTTACTGATGCGGGACGTTGCGCGGTGCGCGCTGCGGGGCCCACGGTGTTGCTGTTGCTAACTGCCCCTCACCAGACACCAAAGAGCGGCCCTTCAAGTGCCTCAAGTGCCGCAGCACCTTTGTGCGCCGCGACCTGCTGCTGCGCCACGACCGCACCGTCCACGCCAAAGACGGCGGTGCGCCGCTGCCCAGCGAGCAGAAGCGCCGCGCCAGCAACAAGGCCCTCGACGCCGCCGCGCCCGCGCCCAAGAGCGCGCTGCCCCTCGATGCCCCGCCGCTCGACCAGCTCGACGCCAGCGAGGACGGCATGGTCGACGTCGACATCGAGACGGCCGCCATGCTGATGACCGACTTCCACCACAAGGCCATGGCCAGCCAGGAGCCCGAGATGGTGCTCGACCACGCCGACCCCGTCATCTCGCCTGCCGGCCCGCAGCACATGGAGCCGTCCGCCGCCCAGGTCCCGTACACGGCGCCCGGCCAGAACATGCTGCCGCAGATGCCCTGGCGCGACTCGATGGTGCCGCAGTCCGAGCCCGAGCCGCAGCAGAAGACCCACTCGTCGTTCCATCCGCACAGCCACCTGGCGCCCATGATGGAGCGCACCATGTCCGGCAACACGGCCCTCGCGCCCACCTTCCCGTCCATGAGCGAGAACAACCTCGGCACCCCCAATCCGCTGTCGCCGTACCCGTCCATGCTCGGCCCGGTCTCGCCCGTCGACTACCGCAAGTCGCCCGGCCCCAGCCAAGCACTGACCATGACGAGCGCGCCCCAGCTCGAGTCCGAGGAGCAGTGCCGCAAGGTCTACGACAACATCAAGCAGTACGACAGCGAGAACGCGCTCCTGGATACGTTCCACCTGCCCAGCCTTAACACGCTGAACCGTCTGCTCAAGACGTACTTCGACCTGTTCCACCACCACCTGCCCTTTCTGCACCCGGCGACGTTCCACCCCACCGAGGTCGCTGCGCCGCTGCTGCTGGCCGTGCTTTCGATCGGCGCTCTCTACATCTTTGACCAGGACCAGGCATACATGCTGCACATTGGCTCCAAGGTACTTGTCAACCAGTTCTTGCAGAACAAGGAGAACTTCAGCTCGCGAAAATGTCCGCTGTGGACCATGCAGAGCACTCTGCTGAACATGCAATTCTCCAGCTGGAGCGGCGACCCAAAGGGTCTCGAGTGGGCTTGCTCTATCAAGAGTCTTCTCGCGAACATGGTTGCAGGTAACCGTTACGAGCTCAAGATCCGCTCTGAAGCCCGTGAAGGTGCTCAGCCGAGTCATCAGGAGTGGATCGAGGACGAGCAGTGCCGCCGTACCTACTACGCCGTGTACATCTTCTTTGGTCTCTTGACATTGACCTACAATCACACACCCGCCATGGGCTTCAATGAGTTTGACACACTGGAGCTGCCGTCTTCAGAGTCTCTCTGGACCATGAGTGGCGAAGATGAGGAGGCATGGCGCGAGGCTCTTGCCGTGTCGAAGATCATCACTTTCCGCCAGGCGCATGACAACCTGTTTCAGGGCGAGACTGCACGTTATAGTGCGTTTGCGACTCGTGTTATGATCAACGCCTTGTTCCTGGAAGTTTGGTACCACAAGCGCAGCCCCGAGGCACTTCAGGATGTTGTTACTGAGTACAAGCTTCGCCTTGCGCTAGAGACTTGGGAGAAGTCACTTGATTTGTGCGAGCCAGAGACCGTCGTGGTTCGTCTGAGCGCGCCTCACAAGGGGCATCCTTTGATCTTCAACGCTATGGCGCTTTACCGTAACACACGAGCTCGACTTGTTGTCGACCTGAAGTCCATCCAAGAGGCCCTTCGCTATCACGACTCTTACGAAGTTGCGGCAGCTATGACTAATGCGCGCGATAAGGTCCAGCGTTCGCAAGAGATGATCAAGGTCATTCAGGAATGCTTTGACTGCATCGAGGTAGCAGCAGTGCAAGGCATCCGTTGGGTCGCACGCACCTCTGCTACCAACTGGAGCATTGAGCACCCGCTCGCAGGCATGGATCTTGTGGTGATTCTCACACTCTGGCTGTACCGTCTGGAACACGACGAAGAGCCCGCAAATGAAGAAGAGCTGGCCATGTACAACAAGTTGCGTAACTTGTTCGACGATGACTCGGTCGATGTTTACGGCGCTAAGCTGAGCTCTACCGTTGCACGGTTATGGGGCAGCATGATTGACGAAGTGGTTGTATGGGGGTAAGTTCGTTCTTTTCCAGCCGCGAAGCATCATACTAACGAGCGGCAGAATCACCAAACTCATGGGCGAAGCCTTCAAACTCCACTCGCAAGCGCTTGTAGGCTACGAGGACGCAATGTCCTCGAGGTCTGGATCAGCCTCGCCATTGGCGTCCGGCGCCGTGCAAGTCCTTGAGATGCAAATGGCTTACTAGCCACATGATGACATATCCTTCTATTTTTTCCGTTTCTTTGCTAGATTGCAGCAGTCCTCTTCTCATCTCGTCATCTCTCTGCATTCGGGAGGCATGGCATGGAGTTCGGTGTCATTTTATTGTTTTCTCTCTTCAGATCGAAGTAACACGGCGCATTGGGGCGATCTGGTCCAGAGTTACACACTCGAGCTCAGGCTCATTTCGTTCTGGCATCCCTCTAATATCTTTCCTCTCGCTCATACCCTTTGGCTTTCTGGACCGGTTCTGAGGCTGGCCCCAAGTGCGTTTCGGTTCAAATCGGTCTGCCTGCGAGCAGCGTCGGCTGCATTCCGATAATACTTGTTCTTATATTCGTATTTCGTATCTGTTACGGCTGGGTTTCCTTCTGCATATACCATACGCACCTGCTTATTGTCTTCGCGGCGACGGAGGAGGAGGGTACTTAGGTAGTAGATTGATGACGCAGGAGTGAAGGCGTGCGTTTTCATGTCAGGACTTTCGTGTATAAAAATTGTTCTCTGAGAAACATCATGTGAATGTGCAACATGATCTGTGGCTCTTCCGGTGCGTGACTTGAAATGTTGTGCCTTGAAAGGGTCCTCAAGGTTGTGAAAAATTCTAGAGTACTGTGCAGGCAGCCTTCAATAATCGAAGCAGCATGTGAGGTAGAAGATAACGAGTATGATACGGTCATTAGATAGATAACCTTGTTGTCAATTTGTGGAGGTATTTGTGCCCATGTCCAACGGTCACTTCCTCATGCGCGCCAGAGTGCGGACCGCTGCAAATGCCAAGACGCTAAATTTCGATTTTCGCAAAAAGTTGAGTGGAGCTGCGCACAGCACAGCATCAGCTTGCAACCATCCTGTCGCTTGCTCCCCATTCCTCCCACGCACTACATACCCATCTTGTCACAGTTATAGAGTTTGTCGAATTCACAATGGCCAAGGAAATCGAAGAGAAGAAGCTGAAGAAGGAGAAGAAGGACAAGAAGGAAAAGAAAGAGAAGCGTGCGGAGACTGACGGTGTCTCGAAGCCTAAGAAGGAGAAGAAGGACAAGAAGAGCAAGGATGTCACAGATGCTCTCTCGGCCGCAATTGAGGAGCCTGAGGTCTCCATGATGGAGATTGACAGCGGTGTTGCTGCAGAGGGTGACGAGCCCTCCGGCGCACTTGTCCCCTTCGCCTTCCCTCTCGCAGACAACGACAAGGAGGTCAAGAAGATCCTCAAGACTGTCAAGAAGTGTACGTCCCACTCCTTCTCCTAGCATACGCAGTTGCGCGTCCAAACGGCTTACTGACGTTTCCAATAGCCGCAAAGACCAAGACTCTCCGCCGTGGTGTCAAGGAAGTCGTCAAGGCTCTCCGCAAGTCGCAAGGCTCTGGAAACACCGCCGACATTAACGACCCGTCTGCCATCGTCGTCATCGCCGCCGACATCTCGCCTATGGATGTTATCTCGCACATCCCCGTCCTGTGCGAAGACCACGGCATTCCTTACATCTACATCAAGTCGCGCGCACAGCTTGGAGAGGCCAGCGCAACGAAGAGGCCCACCTCCGTGGTCATGGTTGCAAAGGCCGGGTCAGGCAAGAAGGCTAAGGACGTCAAGGACGACGACACAAAGGAATTCGAGGAGGCATATGGCGAGCTGCAGAAGCTGGTTTCCAAGGCGGCAAAGACGGTGCGCAAGTAAGCGCTGCGACAGGAGCATGTGATGCGTGTAGCATTTCCTGATGCATGGCTGCATGTTGGATTCTTACTGTGCAAAATGGGAGAGGCGTACGGCGTTACGACCAAATCTACTGGGCATTACGTCCCGGTGTTGTTTATCATCTTCTGAGTGTGGGCGTATGTCAAATATCATGAACAAACGACTCAATCAACGCAATGAAACGTCCAAACTTATACTGACCTTCAAGTTGGGTACCATGTAACTAATCCTCAGTGCGTACTGAGAGCGCACATATCGCACAGTCATACAGAGGGATCGACCTACAACATGGAAAACAAGAGAACAAGTCCCACGTGCACGCTCAGCCGTGAAGCGACCCGCGCCGCTTATGGCAAGGCACCATCTCCAGGCAGCGCGACCGCCCTTCTCTCAATCGGCCCCACTTATGAGTCCTGTATTTATTAGCAAGATACCAACAAACTCTCAAACAACCTTACAACTCGAACCTCACCCAGTCAAGTCCGTTGCCTAGTTACTGCAACAGCAGCGGAAATGGCAACATCAAAGGCTTCTGCGATGTGCAACAACACCATCGAAGGAGACACGCAGCTCAAAATCGAGATCTACGATATCACGACTGCAGACGAGCTGATTGACCAAGTTCTTGCCCTGGGCGAGCAAGCATCAAGAATCTCAAGTGTCTTCATCGACATGACGAGATACTACGAGACCCTCGACGAGGCCGAAGAGTTAGCTGATGCTGCAAGAAAGCAACTAGAAATCTCGGCTACCAACAAAGACACCAGTTCTTCGCCACTGGCAAGGACGTCTGTTACTGTCACTGATGCATCCACGCTCTGTGGCCCCATCATCACTCTCCTCGACTTGATCAAAACCTACAATGGACGCCTCACGTCTTTCACCTGGCCGGCACCGTTGTTACTATATCGAGTTTTCACACGCCCGCAGAGCTTCTGGACCGCATTGTACGCCCACGCGCCGACCCTCGTGACACTGCACCTGGACTTCTTCTGCCACGAAGTGCACACCCTCGGCCCCCTGCCTCCCAACACAGCTTTCCCGCTCCTCAAGACATTGCAACTAGACACCAGCAGCGCGCACGCATGGAATGGATGTAACGGAAGCACCATTGACGCCCTCTTGCACGCAAGCCCACACCTCGAGTCTCTGCGCTTCGAATGGCCACTGGGCGATCTGGAACACTGCCAGCTCACGAACATATCATGGGCGTGGACGTTCCCTGATCTCACACACCTGCACGTGTGCGGTCTTAACATCGAGCACAATCACAATGCATACAACGACTTCCTCGTGCGCCACCCTGGTCTGACGAGCCTTGAGGAGCGCGTTGACGGCCCTTACGACGACGAGGGTGGCAAGCTAGACGCGCGACTGCCTGCCTCAGCGCTCCCGAATCTGCATACTCTGATTAAGGCCGGCGGAAGTACGCACCCGCTCACCGACTACTTCGATACCGCGGCAAACCGCCCGATACACTCTCTCACGCTGCATGTGGGGAGCTTCTCGGGTATCGAGCAGTGCCTGCCAGATATCGTAGCGTGTACTCCCGCGCAGACAGGTTTGCGCTCGCTCGCTTTCCGGGGTGCAATCGACCGCTGGCGGGACAGCATCGAGGCTTTGGACAGCAGTAGCGATGACAGAACCGAGACTCCGGCCGAGCGGCAGATACGCAAAGAGAAATGGGCAAAGAATAGAGAAGAGCGGAAGAAGCGCAGACCGCTTACGATCTTGAAGAAGGTGTTGCCGAGTTTGTTGGGTCTGGAGGAACTGGATATCGAGATGGATAGTAGCCATCCTTCGTGTGAGTCTTCGGGTACGTGGGTATGCCCTGAGCCGATGAGTGAGGTGGATCTTCGTAATGTTATGGGTGCGCTGACTGAGGGGAATGCGAGGAATCTCAGGATCCTGCGCATGAGGGATACGCGTGCGAAGCCTTTGCAGCAGCTGGGCGAGGTGTTGCGTGAGAGCGAGGTAGTAACGGGGAGTCTGCAGGTTGTCGAGTGGTGTGGTGAGGAGAAGAGTGTACTTCGCGTGTCACAGATTGAATAGAGCATGAGATTACCGAGATCTAAACACAAGGACAGAAGTTACCAGAAAGACTAGATACGTCTAACCAGGAGCTGCGGAACGGGAACAGAACCTCCTATTTTAGCCCGTGATAACCCGAAAAATTAGGAAGAGAAGGCTTATGGGATGCCAAATTGTTTTCAGCGCCGTATACCACGTTAGCCACGCCGCAGTCCAGCTCTCGATCTTCGCTTCACCACCACAACGAAGAAGCTTGCAACAATGACCCCCAAACCACCCAAGCCGACTGCAAACCAAAATGAAGAGCGTAGCCCTTCGAGCCGGATCCGATCTGCACGTTCATCTGAGGCCCACATACCATGTGACACATTCCCGTCCCGTAGGCCCCCAAACGCAGCATCTGTGGTATACCTATCGATGCTCCCCGCGAAACCCAGGCCAGCAGAGATACTATAGTTGACGAGAGTACTCACAAGACTAGCCGCCACGCCCTGTTTCTCCTTAGGCAGCGCAGTGGACATCAGCATGTTCGCCGCCGGGTAGCTGAGATTCATTGCCCCGGGCATGATGAGCACGGATACAAATGTCTGGGCCCAGTAGGTCTGATGCAGCGGCATGGTGGCCAGGAGCAGAGCGCCTACCGCGAAGAAGATCATAGAGAGGAGCATGACGTACGCTACGCCCAGGCGTTGTATAAGCCAGACAGTAGAGAAAGCGAAGAGAATACCAGTGATGGCCACGGGTGATGTTTGGGCGGATGTTAGGAGAGCGGATTGTCCGCGTAGGAGCTCGAGGAAGAGGTACAGATTGTATGCCCATATGCTGTCTCGGGTAAGCTGTGGATGGTGGAAATGAACACATGAACTGACCCGTGTGATGCCCAGCCTACCACAATGCAGCTCAATGCGAAGACCGCGTCTCGAGAAAGGCCACGAATCGGTACCAGAGGGTCGGTAACCTTCAGCTCCACGACTATGAACGCAATCAGCAATAAGCTGCCAACAGCCAAAAGAGCTCCGATGTACGGCGTGGACCAAAGCACTAGAGGAGCCTGATTCAACGCCATATTGACGAGGATCAATCCAGTGACGCCTGTGAATGTACCCCAGTAATCAAAGCTCGGTTTCTCGGATCTCAGTTCGTTCTCCCGCGTAAAGTCTGTTGGCAACACAAGGTAAGCAACACCCATGACGATGAGAGCGACGAAAGACAAGACCCAAAAATTGCATGGCCACCACCAGTGCTCAGCAATCAAAGCCGAGAAGACTGCACCTAAGGCTGCACCAAGTGGTCCGCAGGCGCCGAAGCATGCAAATCCAATCATACGCTTCTCGCCCGCAGGCAAAGTGCGCCCAATTAAAGCAACAGCGTTCGGGATTAACAAAGCAGGACCTGCGATGGTCAGAACATGACTGAGCCGTTTGTGTTGCACTTACCAATGCCCTGAAGCGCGCGCAATGTGCTGAAGACAATGCTGCCCCATGCATAAGCGAATCCTGTTATCAGACTGAACACAGAGAACCACAGCCAACCAAGGAGATAGATCCTTTTGTGTCCATACATATCGCCTAATCGACCTGCTTTGGTGTCAGTGCCAATACAGCGTGTGTCATGAGGCGAGCTCACCAGCTGGTAGTATGAACGTCCCAACACTCATACTATATGCAGCTGAGAACCAGCTCAATTCGCCAGGATTTGGTACGTTGAAGTAGTGGGCGAGCAAGACGACTGGAGCTACAGTTTGGTTCATAGCGCTCAGAGACAGCAGCTGAGAGACGCAAGTGACGGAGATGAACGCGATGAGCTGAATCGTGTTCATTGAGAACTCGGAGGCTGGCTCAGGTCTGATGTCTCGCTCAACTTTTGAGAGACCTGTGTGGTTACTATTGGTTGACGCCTTCTGCGACGACAAGTTGCTCTCCACATCGGATTGTGGCACGTAGTGAGGTGACTGTGGGACGACAGGAAGGCGCTCGCGCTCCTTCATATGGGTAGCGATCGCTCTGGCTGGTTTCTGCATTGTGAGTGTGTGATTGACTGGGTGATCCGAACGTTTTTAGTAAGCTGAAATAGAGTCTGGACACTAGATGACTATCACTGGCATCGCAAATACAGCGGGGAGTGCTTTGGCGCCGCATCAAATACCTTTGAATCAGCAAGATTACGCATCGTATCCACCCTGGAAGCTCGGTAGGGTACCAACCTTGAAGGGTCTGCGGCCAAAGCCGAAAATGTATACGTATCTGTGCATATGATGCAACGGTCAGCCACCAAAGGTAATGTCAGATCCAAAGGACAGTTCAGGGCAGGTATAATCAGCGAGCCGTAAGCAGTACAGACAAGAGCATCTACAACAAGGTCAACGGTGTCTGCATTGGATCAGATCAAGTCGGAGATCGTCAGCTGTATTGGAATCTAGGAGCAGCCAATACCTCGGAATCGTGGTTAGTCTGAAGTACTGACTGCCGTGTGAGAGATACCTTCAGACAGTCCCCTTTAGTCTCGGACTCGTGTTCAGTGGTGAGGAACAAAGATGCTCCATTCATGAACTAGGACCCTGAGGCGGGAGTGGTACCCAACCCCCACGTTTATTAGGTTCCGCTACAGTATTGGACTGTTGTAAGCCACACCGGAAATATCTGCAGTTGTCCAGCGACGAAGATGTGAAATTGATCTGCGTTGCTGCATTGGTATCTCGCAGGCATGCACGTCGGGTGTAAATCTATACCCTTGTCAAAAGGCTTTGGTTGGTCCGGATCGGGGCAGCCACAACGGCGGGTATGTAAGACGGAACGATCTGGGACCTGCACCGGGTAACAAGTGTTGATACTCGAAAGCTGATCCTTGCATGCCGCGGGGGAGCACAGTATGAGAGGTAGATCGACCGTCAAACGTTCCGGATTGCCGATGTTGGTTCAAACTCAGAGGCTACTTACTGCACCAGGGTACGTACAGTATAATTGGCTATTTGGCAGTTTGTAGGATCCAAACCTGCTTCATTGCAGCCAACAAGCCGCAGAACTATGATTGTATAACTCCAGTCGAGTGTATACAGTTTAACGAGAGAGTCTTACCTGATGCTCTATTTTGACAAGTGGCTGGTTGGACGTGCCTGTTCAAGACGGTTGTGGTGGAGACCAGGGAAAAGAAGGGGAGCCGATATGCATCTGGTACCAAAGCGGCTTAGTCCAGCTGACACAGGCAGTTACCAGACTCGCCTCTTCCAGCAACACCCCACGGCCACAAATACAGAAGGTTCACTGCACTGATTATTGGATTATTTTTATGCAGAGCTAGCTGATAACTAGCTTGCATACGCCCCTTGCACTGCATGCATGTGAAGTCTAGGGCGGACATGAACGAGAAAGGATGCAGTACAGGGCCAGGCGATACGTGAACCATCCGCACGAATGAAGCACATTGCCTTAATACAGTATGCAGTTTCAGCCCAGAACACATCGTACGATGAGAACGTGCAAGTGCAGACAGACCTCTGACGTATGCGGCTCTAGCTGGGTAGCTCCAACCCCGCAGATACCTTTCACATGACCAAGGAGGTACTCACAGCTCACCGCGCACGATACGAAACGTTCTACATCTGAAACATCCGGCCACCGCGATACAGCTTTACAAAGGCGTCGAGAATGCTTTTCGTACTCCTCGTTACTGTTTCGACCCTCGCCACTGCAGCGCTCCTCCCTTCAGCCCCCCGCTCCGCCTTCTCTGATGCGAGCCTTCTGAATGACAGGTGCACATTCATACTCTGGCACCATCAGCAATCGTCATTAGATTATATTCAATTGAATACGATCGTTGACCATGCGAACAGCATGACTATCGACGTGGCTTCACATCGCCCAGCTACAGCGTTTAATAGCTACACCCGGCTTGATCAAAAGCGTATTTTTGCAGTGGCGGGGTTACTGGACGATAAAAGGCTGACTATTGCGTCTGGTGAGGGTGACGTCCTGAAGTTCGAAGTTGGTGAGGTAAAGTGGAATACAGAAGGAATGCATGGAAGGCATGGTGAAAACGGGAAACGAGCAGAGGCCTGGTGTGATGCGGGGAAATGGGAAGGTAGTTCTGACAGAAGGGTAAGTCGTGTGTTGTCTTATGGTGGAAACTGTTGCAGTCCGCTGATATGATCCAGAAGCGAATACTGAGTTGCGCATTCCCTTGCGAGCGAATAGCCGTCGCGGATCTAGGGAGCGAAAAGTACGGTCAGGCACGCAAAGAAGGAAGTCAAGCCAGGATTGGCTTGGTGTGAGCTCGTTCACTTCAGCCACGTACATTTCGCCGACAGGATCATGGCTGAGGACTGCTTTGTCGAATCGCTTGTTGTCTCAAGTTCTAGTAATGTAGAACCAAGCCTTGAAGTCTCGAAAACGTGTCTTCTGTCAATCTGAGCACCTTCCGAACTCTGCGTGTGGTGGCCCTCAAATGTGGCGAACGACCAAGCCCTCTGTGGGCGTCTGTGCAAGAAGAACGCATGCTATATTCCGACACGTCCCTCTTCCCTCCGAAATGGGTATCAGCATATTGTTGAAGGCTGAACAACTTACTCTGATTTCGCAGTCAGGAATATACTACTGTAGCATTAGTCCTATCGAGTCCTTACAGCACGTGCTTGTGAACTTTGTGAGGAGCATGCGATGGGTGCCAGATATACAGCGTTAAATTCCAAGTCTCTCTATACCGTGCCATACTGTACAACGCGCTTTTCGTGTACCAAACTCATTATGCTGAAGGAACCCACTCTCGACATTGCTGTATGTCATTCGCTTACGGCCTGACGACGCGGAGACCATCCTTAGCGGGCGATGCAGCACGCTTGAACGACTGTAGAGGGTTAGTGACTGCCAATAGAGTCTCTGGCTATGTGGACTGACGTTGTCGCACTCCTCCCACGCACGTCCAGCACCGAAACCAAGACCGACTGTCGCGGGCCACGCGCGGCGCTTGAAGAGGAGGACAGAGAAGACGATACCGAAGGACAGACCGAGGCCAGAGCGGATGAGCATCGAGGAGAGGCAGCGGTCCCACTGCGCATTACTGTTAGCTGTTTGTTCCTACGCATGTGACAGCTTATCGCGTAAGTCTTCTGGAGCTGCAATCGGGGCCTCCGGCCCCCATCATAGCTAACAAATCCCTGAAAGCAGCCTCCAAGGTTCGTAACGGATGCAGTCGCATGTCTACGCGGTCATATGTACCTTCTCGTTGAGGAGACCCTCGCTCAATGGGCGGGTGGTGCGCGGGATGGGCGCGATAGGCTGAGAAGGAGTGTCGGACATGGTTGCGGCGCGTGCGGGAGCAATTGAGCGTCTGGGGGTATCTGGCGACGGCGGTAGAGGTAGTGATGCGCGGGCTGCGGTGCTGTTGATGCCGGTGCAGCTCAGCGGAGTTTGACGTCGGCCGCCGGCTTGGCAAGGGCAGCTGGCAGCTGCGGCCGGGCCTGTCTCCACAAAATTTAATTCTATGCTAGAACCGCTGCGCCGGCTTTCTCTTGACCAACACAACGAGAAACAGGCGCAGAAATGGCGCCAAAACAAACAGTAAGACTCCCAGACTCTCTCTGCTTTGCAGATCCATGCTAAAATCTTGTAGACCTCTGAAAATGGGCCTGCGCCAACCCGCCCGCGCCTGCAAGCTATCAACCAGAACTTCTCTGATGTAAACGAGCAAGTCGAACAGGCTGCACAGATTATCGGCCTCCCGGACTACTGGACAACTATAAAAGGCGATCACAGAGCCGGAATCACAAAATCTCTAGTCAGAGCACGAGCAGAATGGGTTTTGCGCTGGGCTCTTGACAAATTGAAGGACGAGTCTACAGTCGGGAGGACAGCAAGAGGCACCACTTCCCTGTGGAAGCTTCTGGATTGGATGATACATGTCTTGCCTGTCTCCCGCAGCGCACCGCACCTACGAGACGCCGCATTTCCTGCCATCCTCGAGCGAACCCTGATCGAACACTTCGATCCACGCCAGACCACGCCTGCGTCCGATGATGTCGCCATGACCGATGCCTCTGGATCAAGCGACACAGTTGGCGAGACTAGCAAACCGTCCAAGAAGCGAAAGCGTGGAGCAGCTGGCGCAGATGGCTCCGCTGGGCAGGCTACGCTTGGGGCCGCTGAGCTCCAGAAGCTGTTCCTTACGACCAGGACCGTCATTGAATCCATCACCAGCTTGAGCAACGCCCAAGGCCCGAGTGAGGATACAGTTCAGGCTGAACTCATGAAGGTTGCGTTGAGAACAGAGAGCGCACAAGCTGCCAGCATTTTGAAAAACTGGCTCATGACTGTGGAGACGCTGCTTGCCTTGGCCCCTTCAGCTCCAGGCGAACAGCATTTGACCGAAATCATGGACTTGTCTCTGGTCATAGAGATCTGGGAGCTGCGAACTGCTGCAGCAAACGACGATTCCAGTACATCTGCCGACGAGTTCTCCACAGAGTGTCTAGTACCGGCTCTGACGCTTCTTGATACCCTGAAAGCGCTGCGCTCCATACATCCGGACCAGTCTGTTGCGTCTTCTACTGATCGCGCAACACAGATCATCGAGAAGCTCTTGGCAAGACATTTGTTTGCACCAGCGAGAGCTGCTTTCCTCGCGGATACCGACAAGGCCACAGAAGGCATCAGCAAGTACCGGGAAGCCACATTACTTGTTGGTAACCTAGGACCGTTGCGCGCAAAGCTTCTCCAGGCAGCTCAAATCGAGGACGACGGCGAACTAGTACCAGCTCACCTAGCAGCACTGTCAGGCGCGGCATCCCAGCTCTTGAGTCTTGCCATCCGGGTTTCGCCATCCAAGACTCCAAGGAGTAAGCTTGCCGAGAAGCCATGGATTGAGGCCGTCTTCATAGCCCTGGTAGAATGTGCAGGATGCTCGCTTACAACACCACCAACCTTTGCAACACCGAGAACCGCTATCGAGGTGCTTGTCCATGCTGTTGGTATTCTTCGTGCGCACAGCGTGAGTGTCAAATCCGACATCTTAAAAGATCTGTTCTGGTATCATTCAGGTATCAAATACCCGATTGGCAAAGACAGGCAGATGCACTGGTCGTTGGTAGCTGCCCTGATCGAGCTCGACCCAAGCGTCTTCGTAACAGAGCCAAAGAGCCTAGCAGGACCTTCGAAGGCGCAACAAACCGATCTTGCACAGGTCATCTTTGAAGAGCTCTCGAAGGTCCAATTCGAAGGACATGGCTTTACCGACAACCTTGATCCAATTACAAGTGAGAAGCACCCACAAAAAGGCCAGACCCAGCCTCGGATTGGGAAAACCACCGTATTGGATCGCATAATTGTTCCACTCATGTCTGGGTTTGCCACAAACCGGAACCTGCTTGGTTTCATCCGCCGTTGGGATGAGCAATTGGTCAGGGCCTACAGGCATGAGAACCGAAAGGCTCTCAAAGAGTGCAAAGACCTGATTTGGGAAGACCGTTCAATCAGCCAGGCTTTAGCGCAGCGCCTTGAGCAATCCCTTACCCAGGGTCAAATCGCAAACCTGCTACAAGAACACGCCCAACGTATGGATGATCTTGGCCGCGCCTTGAGTACAGAGGCAGAGCAAGATGTCAAAGTTAAGAAGCTCGCTGCCTACAAGAAAGCCGCGAGCACTGCAGTGATTGTACCGGCTATCTTACAGTCTATTACATCTGACGAGATCATCGGAGCGGTAAAATCACAGATGCGCTCGCTACTGCAGGAGTTTTCGACTTGGGTTCAGGATGACCGCTACAGCCCTCACACCCGACTGTCACTTTCGTGGCTCACGTTGTGTCAGCTTCTATCGAAACTCTGGCCACTCGAGTTGCACAGCTCAGTGGAGCAACAGGAAGAACTACTCTCGCCGTTGATCGAGCAATCTCTCAACGATGTTTCAGCGCCTCCCAGCAAACGCGTCGACTCCCCCACGCGAGCAGCAGCCATGTTGTTCTTGCTCGACACATGTGACCACCTTCAGACCTTGCCCGGCTCCGAGGATCTCATCTGGCCCAGTCTGGACAAAATCCTCCAAATTCTCTCGACTGGTAGTCTGGACTCAGCGGAACACGTTAAGATGATTGGGTTTTTCTGTGCCGACTTTGTTCAACTCTTCGGACGTTTGAGTGCTGAACGATCGCAACGCTCACTGCAGCAGTTGTTAGTAGTTGTGTCAAGTATGCGTGACGACGCCAGTCTTGTTGCCATTCGGTCACTTTCTCAAGTCATCTTCGAACAGGGAGCTTCAACCTTACAGGACCTGTATCTTGCAGCGCTACTCAAGTTCGTTGAAAGCAATGACAGCCGTACGCAAAGTCTGGCGATCACGTCATTGTACTTCGTTCGGCCCTCTGCCATCTCTCGAGAGAAGCGCGAGGCAGTCCTGGACTCACTCACCGAGATGGCTATCACAGGGTCGCAGAATGCAGCGGCAGTGCTGAGCATTATGGTACAACTTATGGAAACCTCTAACGCAACCGCCAAGGTTTCTAGCGATGGTGCTGTCCTCTTTGAAATAGCTCAACAGGTACAAGATTCAGATCAAGCGTCATCCGCCACTCTGTACTTGCTTCAACAACTCGTACAGTTGACTCTTGGTCAAGTTGTTCTCAACCAAACCCAGTCACAGAACATGATCTACCTCGGCAAGTTCAAAGGGAAGCTCGACTCGATCACAAGCAAGAGTAAGCAGTGTTCTGCAGCCAATCTGGCTATCCTGCGTGCTGTTGGCGCTGTCCAGAAGCAGAACATGTTACTTCAGCCGAAGCAGTTTATATCGGTGCTCAAGGCAAGCCTGACCAGTGATTCGTCGACATCCACGTCGGCGTCGCTTCAAGACGTCATCGAAGCATTTAATGAGATTCCTACTGCCGCTCTGGTGGAATCCAAGCTTCTGGACTCTACCCAGAGCTGGCTGCGTACTTGGATCAGCGACAATGCAGACCTGGAGTCGTATATGATCACAGGCGGCCAAGGTCCTCGCGAACTGGCTGAGTATGTTGCACGTTTGCATACAATCGTTGCAAAGTACAAGCTTTACCCTAACACGCAGTGGATTGTCAAGTTCACGCTTAGTTGTCTTCGCGAGCGAGTCGCGGAACAGTGCAAGATCACCACAATAAGTACGATGAAGGATGTCTTTGCTCGACTTCCGGTTTTCGAAAAGCTGGACCTCGTTCATACTCTCACGCATCCGGTCGATTCTCTCGACCTTGCATCGTCGTATCGCCTTCTCACCACCCTGGTTTCAACTTTTGAGGACCGCCACGAGTCAAATGTTGAGCTGAGGAATAACCAACTGGCCTTGTTGCCAAAACTCTGTGATCTGCTGATCCGCTCTCCAGATCATGCATCCTTCAACGCACTGCTGTCCAGCATCAATACGATCCTCTCGAATTCGCCGTCGCTTGTGACCCAACACGGCATCGAGACCATAATTTCAGCGCTATCTATGCTGAGCTCTCGATCCAGCCCGCAGTTGCCCGCAGCACATGCTCCGGCCATCCACGCACGCCTTTGCGAAACCACACGCCTTATCCTACTCCTTCACCGCGGACGTCTGGGTGGCCGCCTGCACATCCTTTTGCCGCTCTTGCAGAACCTGCTCTTCCTGCTTTTCACACCCCACTCTGGCCGCGGCGCTCTGCCTTCGTGGCTGAGGGGCGACAAAGTCGGAGCGTTGACAGATGCCAACGGTGCACAGTACGCCCGAGTCCTCGCGACACTGTGCAACCCACCTCAATCAAGCATCCAGAAGACTCACACCAGCGGTACGACAAGCAAGACACTAAATGACCCGGTCAAAGCCGCACGAGAGAAGACCAGTGCCTATTTGTACCCTCTACTTTCGAGCTACTCTCGCTTTCAACTCAGCGGGCGCATTGAAGCGAACGTGCGGGAGAAGCTCATGCCGGGTATCTGGGAGGTGGTTGGCACCGCCAGTCTGAGTCGCGATGGATTGGACGCCATGTTTGCGGGCTTGGGTAGGAGCGAGCGCGATGTCTGGCGGAGCGTGTGGGGCGAGTGGGAGAGTGTACATGGGCGGAAGGATCTCCTTAGTGGCGATACTGTGTGAGCATATAAATGACGATAGCGCCATGTGGAACTGTCGCACCAATGAATTGTTCAAGATGGAAGTGTGCCTATTTTGTCTAAGCTATTCTGTATATGTACTAAAGCTTGCATTGCCTTCCTCGTCGGCTTTGACAATGGCGCTGCGGTATGACCATGTGAGGGATGATAGCAGCACACAGCGGCATTCGGATGATATAAGCGTAGTTGGCATCATCGGAGAATGTCGAGCCAGACAGGACAACAGACAATAGTAGTCGAGGATGAATATGAGCCACCCCTTTGCAATTATCTCGCAGAGTAGTTCTAATCTGAACACATGACGTCGAATTGGAAGCATTCAATCAGCAGAGGTTGCTTCTTATCGGAGGGTGGGATTCTTTTGGTTGTGTTCTGCTTATCGAGTGAGGCTGTTCGCGAGGTCTCGCAGGGTCAGGTGAGAAACAAACGTGTTAGAACATAGGTGACCTAGAAATAGCAGTACTGGCTTAATACAAACCTTGGGGAATTGTGCAGCTTGTTGCGTAGTGTGGTCCTTGTGCGTCACTGATCAGAAGTTTGCGAGGCAAAGTGCGACTTCTTCACGACGCAAACCCAAAGGTGGAGCGCTGCACCCAAAGATTCACGAGTTTTACTCAAAGCTCCCTGACATGCTTCTGACCCTGTAGCGATGCTGCAGCGACAGCGCCTGAGCAGGAGCTGAGCTCTCTGCTTGCACGTGAAGATTGCTTATCTGGGTCTCGCAGCCACAAGATTCTGCAGGAGCTTTAGAGCACTGCAACTCCTCCAGAGATCAGCAGTGCATCCCACTCGAGCGGTGCTACTTGGGCCGGCGCAGGAAACAGTGAAAAGCCTACTGCTTGCGCTAGGCACGGCGGTAGGCAGAAAGCTGCGCTAGGGGATACGGGAGAAGCAAATCTGCATCGTACGGACGCTTCTGGACCGTATTTGTTACGATCTATGGTTCGTATGTACATGGTAAAGGCTGACTTCAGAGCGTGTTCTTATCTAGTTACTGTAAGAGAGTGCGTTAATGACGCCGAAATAGAGGCATAGGTAGAGAAGACCATATTCCTGTTATGAAAATCTCATTTGTATGGGCTGGACTCTGGGTGGGTGGGTGGTTGTTGCAGGACAATCATGCCAGTTTCTTCAACAACTTATCGAAGCGCGCGTGGAGAAAATTCTGATTTCCAAGACCACAGGCAACGGGATTGTACGGGAGAAGGGCGTTGTGCACTTGCGCGGCCAAGTGCCATTGTCTTTGCCGAACTATCGGACGATGAGTTCAAGCCTCAGAAATGCGCCCGCTGAGATGGAGAGAGGTCGTGATATATGAGGCCGTCGGATTTACTCGATCACATCGAGTAAAGAGGGTCATGTATTAGCTGATTGGCTGTCGGGCGCGCCGCTGAGCTTCCCCACATCAACCGACATCGTTCTTTATCTCCCGTCTAGCTGCCGCTAGGCCTCAAATAGTGTGGCTTGCTGGGCGGACTACCAAGCGAAGCCATGCAACTGGAGATGCGACTTCGCGGCCACACTACAGCTGCCGGCGTGTGATAGAAAGATTTCCGGAACTCGGGACCCTCTTTGACGTATTCCTATCGAGTCAGATTTCGGCGGGGAGAAATGCCATCTTGCTTCCTATCACGGAGATGGTATCGCAGGACTTTGCGAAAGTTGGAGTTTTCTGCTTAGCGGCACGCGATACCGTTGCGATGCGGCTGCGTCATTCGCTGTTGCCCTCCTCCAAGGAACGCCAACCGCGTTCTGGTCGCCTGACTACACGCATTTGGTCTACAGTGTGGGTTCAGCATGAGAGTAGTTCTATCGTAGCACCCGCGTGTGGGTGCTGGTGGCGTTAGCGAGTTTCTTGTGCATGCGATCACCCACGGGCGCTAAGGATCTTCCTTATCAGTGCCCTGGGGTAGAGGAGCCATCCTCCACGGTAGCCATTTGCGTCCCTGGATCGGAGTGCACCCACGTCTCCGGTCGAGAATTATAAGTATCTATGGATGCCCCATAATGCAGGTCAGATCAAGAGGTCACTCGAACGCAAGTTCAGCCTCGTCCTTCACAACACTTGCTCAATCCTCCGAGCGAATCATAATCAGCTGCTAGCACCCAGCCTTCATATACCCGACTTGGCTCTCTCTATCTACCAATTGGCGACTGCATCGCACATCAGCCACCTGTCCATCGAAAAGCTTTACGAAGCTCAACCGCGATAACCATTAGCTCCACGTCATACTGACTGGGGTTGAGATTCCTACCCCAATAAGGGAGTCCACATCGGCGACGGTGACCTCACTCTGGATTATCCAAAACATCGAGTTTATCATAAATCTTCTATCACAATGGCGGCAACAACAGCAAAGAAGTCGAAGATCGCCCACTATGCGCAAAGGTTCGCGGTGGAGAGCGAGGAAGGTCTCACTACTGCACAGCTTATGCTGTACAACCACGATCTCGCACCCGTCGAGCCTGAGCGCCGCCAGTGGGGTATGCATCACCAGGAACATTTAATGTATGGCCATTGCTAACATTCATCAGGCGCATGGAATTTCGTCGGCTTCTGGGTTGCCGATTCCTTCAACATCAACACATGGATGATCTCCGGTTCTAACATCGCTGACGGTCTCTCCTGGTGGCAATCCTGGATCTGCGTTTGGCTCGGCTATTCGATTGCTGCGTGCTTTGTCTGCCTGACGGGTCGAATTGGTGCTACCTACCACATCTCGTTTCCCGTTGTCAACCGTTCGTCGTTCGGTATTTGGGGAGCACTTTGGCCAGTGTTCAACCGTGCAGCTATGGCTTGCATCTGGTACGGTGTACAAGGCTGGATTGGAGGCACCTGTGTCTACCTCATGATTCGATCTATCTGGAACAACTGGAGAGATGAGGATGCGACTGGCGGTGTCCCGAACGGCATCGAAGGCTCTGGTACCTCCACTGTCCACTTTGTTTCGTTCTTCTTCTTCTGGCTCGGATCTCTCCCGTTTCTCTGGCCCGCTGTCCACAAAATTCGCCACCTGTTCACCGTCAAGGCCTACGTCGTCCCTACCGCAGGCGTTGCCTTCTTCATCTGGGCCATCGTTCGCGCCAAGGGTATTGGTCCTATTGTGCACCAACCCGGCACGGTATCTGGCTCTGCACTTGGCTGGCTTATGGTCCGTGGTATCATGTCTGCCATTGCTAACTTCGCTACCTTGATCGTGAACGACCCTGACTTTGCCCGTTTCGCACGCAAGCCCTCCGATGCCTTCCTTCCTCAGCTGATCACTATTCCCGTCGGATTTGCCATCACATCCTTCATCGGTATTATCGTTTCGTCCTCGTCTACCGTCATTTTCGGTGGCGATCCTATCTGGAACCCTCTCAACCTCCTCGAAGCCTTCCTCGAGGAAGGTGGCAGCGCTCAACGCTTCGGTGTGTTCGTGATCGCCGCAGCATTCTCGCTCGCGCAACTCGGTACCAACATCGCTGCAAACTCCATCTCGGCCGGCACAGATATGACTGCGCTGCTCCCACGTTGGATCTCTATTCGTCGCGGTTCCTACGTCTGCGCCTTGGTCGGCCTTGTCATGTGTCCATGGAACTTGCTCAGTGACACCAACAGCTTCACCACCTACCTCAGCGCGTACTCTGTGTTCTTGTCTTCCATCGCAGGCGTCATGATCTGCGACTACTACATCGTCCGTAAGGGATACCTGCAAATCAAGGACCTGTACTCAGGCAAGAAGACCGGACCATATTACTACACATTCGGTTTCCACTGGCGCGGTTATGCCGCCTACATCGCTGGTATCATGATCAATGTCGTAGGATTTGCTGGCGCAATTGGTCGCGACGTCCCCCTTGGAGCGCGTCGCATCTACGATCTCAACTTCTTCGCCGGATTCTTGGTCGCTAGCGTTGTGTACTGGAGTCTGTGCAAGATCAGCCCGATCCCCGCAACCAGCGATGTATGGTGTGAGGTCGGCGAGGAAATCATGGATATCTCTGTTGCATACTCGGACAGTGAGCACGACAAGTACGATGAGGAAGCGCTGAATGGCGGCAAGGGTGCATCTGCGAAGATTGGAGAGGCGGAGGCGTCTTCTCACTCGAAGATCTAAGCTTGCGTCTAGAGCATGTTATTAGATACCTGTCTTTGTTCACGGCATACCCGACAACGGGTATCACGATGTTGTCGTGAACAATGTGTGATTTTTGTTAGATCATGAGATACCAATCGCTATTTTACTTATTCACGTTTGCAACAACATGCCTTGGACAACGTTTTGTGCAATCTCACGTGTCGTCTCTCCTTCAGATTGTCTGGTGTTGCGTATTTATAGGTAGGTCAACGCGTATTTCGGATGTGGCAGATGACGATACACGTGCACGCAGTTCACTAACGTCGTGATTATCGTTGGGCACCAGATCTTTGGATCCAGATAACGCGTTCCATGGGCAGCGTGATGCAGGGTACTGGCCGTGGGGGCAGATGTGAACCCGGTGACACTCTGCAATTATACAATTTCGTATAAATGATGATCTCCAGATTCAGGTGTTATTTGAAAGTCTCTAAAAGGTCTTTCTGCTGCAATCATAGCAAAAGCAAATATCTGATGCAGGGCTGCTTTCCTGGCAGTATCCACGGACCCCTTAAATCTGCGGGCTTTGTGTTCGTTGCTGCTGGCCTTCGCTGGTGGCAGCGGCCTTTTGACCTTCGCAAGACAAGGTAATTTGATAGAATCAGGTAACAACACCTTTGAATTTAACAAGAAAAAGCATTGTCACAGCCAAAACCAACTATCCCGATTCGTTTTTATTGGCCTTACGCGTCTGTCTCGCGAAAGCACGTGATTCCATATATTCCACGAGTTCTCATTGGTCAATTGCAGGTGGCTTTGCAAGGAGGTAGTCGCCCAGTCAACCCCTCAAATCTACGCGTTTCGACATCTCAACACTTCACACTTGGGCGCTTTCTGTTTCTCTATCAAACCTCTCACTTGCACTTTACTTTCCCGCTGTGATACCTACCTATTCAAGATGGTCTCCTCAAAGACCACAGAGAAATTCCGCTTCGTCGATCTCCCCCAGAGAGATTCGAGATAAAATCTACCGCATCTCGCTGTGTACCTTCGGCCCTCGACCGACCACAATAACCCCTCCGTTCGACGCAGCAACCAATAGCCAATTCATGAACGAGATCGCCCATGTTGACCATACCATCGATACACCTATCCTCTGTGTTTCGAAGCAGATCCACCGAGAAGCATATGATGCCATGGTCAAAACGAATCGCTTTGTCCGTGTTACAACTTCAGGTGGATTCCCCTTGCGTCTCCTTCTTAACCACCTTCGCGTCCCTGTAATCACCGAGGACCCAGACCTTGTTGAGAATTTCAAAGGTTTCGTCCTATCGGTTACTTTGACGTGCCCAAAGGACGCAGAGAGTTGGGCTCGAGACTCGCCAATTTCGACTGAGCCATGTAGCTTCATAATGCTGGGCCGTGATATGGATGTCTTCTGTGACATCCTGATGGATGGGGACACATACCTACCGGGATTTGGCACCAAAGTTAGCTTGAAGCTCGCAGTGGCTCCAGGCAGCATCCTGATACCCTCACCGTACAAGAGCCCAATATCGGAGTTCTTCTCCGAAACAACCCAAAAAGCTCTACTGCAGCCCTTTCGCAACCGTCTCCGCGGATTCAAGAAAGCCAAGGTCCGCGGTCTCGTCTCCCGCACTATTGCTGAAGCTGTCGAGGAGGAGATAGCTCGAGATACCGCCTCAGACACAGAAGCAGTGCTGTCCAAATACGAGAACCTCAAGGACGAAGCTCAAAGCCTGCACAGGTTGAAGCAAACGGAGGAAGCATGCATGATATGGCTCGACGCCGCGCTTGAGATTGAACAACTTGCGGAGGGAAGCTCTTGGCCAGCGCTCACTGAGCAAGGCGGTGTACCCTTCGTTGCTCGCCTCGCTGAAATCTACTTCCTCATGAAGCTCAACATTGCACATGTCAAGATCACTTCAATGCAGAGAGGGGAGCCATTTGCATATATCTTAGTTGACGACGCTCTCAAAATGGCAGCGAAGGCGATGCAACCTGGGCACTGGATGCCAGATTTCCGCTGGCGACCGTCAGATGTCCACAAGGCAAAATTATTCTACCGACAAGCGATCAACTTCAGGCTGCAGGGACAGCCGACGACCATTGATGTCGCAGTGCGAGCAATTGACGCAGCTCATCGGCTTCTTCCTGAAGATTCTGGCATTAAGAAGGAGCGGGATTTGATATCCATTTGGAAGGCTTCGATGGAGTAGATGTCGCTTGGACATGTACCTTGACTGCGGTACAAATGACGATCACCGAGATGAAGGCGAGAACGACAGGAGTATTAAAGATGGGAGAGACAAAGCAGGAGGTGCTGTAGTCCTGAATGCTACGCCGTTAGTCAGACAGAACTGAAAGACTTCGAGAATTGCGGACTGTTGGGTATGCGTTGGAGCTCGCAGCGTAAACATGAATGCTGCGGTCGACTACAAGTTTGGCGCATCAACGTCTGTGTAGGAAAATGTAGAATTGAACACGACAGCTCATCGTTCTTCTCATCAGACTAGTATCTGATTCGCATATGATCGTTACATATAGAATCGCTCCACTATCGATCTCTCCTTACCTGTCTCATCAACTTCGCCTGCCCACGCTGACGGCACAAAGTATACACAGAAGCCTCCATTAGCGTCCATGTTTCCATCAACGATGGTACTGTAGAACCTGCTGTGCTCCACTGGCCATCCAGTGTGTGGATCCAGCTCCATCTCTTCCATCTCGATCACCCGATGAGTGACAAGAAGAAGTTGTTCCGCATCCCACAAGCCCTCACGAGGCGGCCGTCGTGCGAGCAACGCGACAGCTTTGCGGCGGGTCGCTGGGCACCGGCAACGTGTCGCGGTGTGGAACAGCGGTGGAATGATCGATATATCGAATGTGAACTTGGCAGCTTGAGTGGTATTGACCTCCATGGCGTCCATGATAATCTTTGCATGACGGATGAGTGCCCGAAAACAGTGGAGGTATCTATCGTATGGAACCTGTAGCGTGCTTGCCGCACATCCGATGTACGTCGTCAAGGCGTAAAGTGCCACTTTGAGAGCGCTAAGTGACACCAAGTCGTCTTCTGACCACACTTGACTGTCTTCGGCGACTTGAACTCTTTCAAACCAAATTCGGTGGCACTCGATAAGCCGGGCCTGTTTTTCTTGCCGCTCTTCATCAAAAGCCATCTTCTGCATCTTCCTCATAGCTGTCTGACGCAAGAACATGACCGTAGCATTTCGTAGTTCTCGCGACGAACGCTCAGCCTCTTGTAAGGAGAAAGGTAGTCGGATGAAGCGGTCGGGGTTTGGATACGGTACATCAAGGTGCTCCTCTGTTGCAACGCCAAACAACTGCGCTGTCGCAACGCCACGCTGGAACATTGGTAGCAGGATGTCTTCTATTAAACCCACCGGGCCTTCGGTGTACGTTGAATCTTCGAGCGGTGAATCCACTCTGCGTTGCTGCTGCCATTCGCGAATAAGACTAAGCCCATTGGTCATATGAGTGAATCCGGTGCAGTAGTTCCCTCGTAGAAATTCGATACAAACGAACAGCAAGCAAGTGACAAGGCCAATCTCTGGCGAGTAAGAAGGTTCGGCCATGCGGCTTACAAGCTTCCTCACAGCCTGATTGTAATGATGTAGGAAAACGTTGTTTCCGTTTACGACCTGGAACTTGGAACGAGCATGCTTCAGGCTGCCTGACTCTGTTTGGTTCAGATAGCCGAGTGCAATGACTGCATGCCGGACCGCTGGCTCCGCATGGGCCATCTGCAGTGAGGTTTTGGACCAAAAGTCTCTGTCGAATCGACCTGAGAGCGAGGGTACAGCGCATTGGTGATAGAACTCCAGGTATCTGATACTATCGCCGGATTCAGATAACACTGACATGACAGGCCGGGCTATCTTCACTGGCTCCCTCGGGGTGAAGACCTGAATCTGGAAGGCGTCCTTGGGCTTGGAATAGCCGTCACATTTGCGGCCTGTGCTCGTGCATCTGGTCGGGTCCGTCAGCCGTTACTTCAATACCAATACGCCTGAATCGACCTATTCTAGGTCGTACATCTTGGGCTGTTCATACCTTGAACAACTAGGCTTTGCTTCGTCGCATTTGACTCGTCTGATCCTGCACACTATGGTAAGCTATTGTTGTTGGCATGAAACTAGTAGGAATCAGAGCGCGAGTGCACTCACTTGCAGGTGAAGCACCCTGTTCTCACTTTGGGGCTTCGTCTACGGTTTTCGATAGGCACTGCGACAACCGACATTCTGGGCAGTGTGCACACGTTGTGTCGTGTCGGGAAGGGAGGATGACATGGTTACGATCTACGCGGTACTGTGAACGCCTGATGGAGGCGCAAGGTATAGCGAACCGGCTGTGGGGAAAGACGCATTGCAGTGCGCTTGTCTATGTTGAGACGACTATCTCTCTAGCGTCGCGAATCAACACGTGCAAAGTGCGAGCGAACCAATCAGAACACCGCTCCGCATCTTCACGTTAACCTCGTACGGGTGGAGCTCGGAGACAGTGGTGTGGCTGATCCTGACAAGCCTTTCAAACTTATTCATCATGCCAATAGATCTTGTTTTGAGCAGAGATTATGCTACTAACTGCTTCGTGCAGAGCTGTAATTCTAGAGTTGAGTACCGTATTCTCTGGTGCTCAAGGCATGTGGCGTTGCATTTGTAGAGTGGCGTGGCTTAGTTAGGCCGATGGACGGAGAAAGAAAGATCGCGAGGTGTGAATTCAACAAGGTGAGGTTGCAGTTGTAGTGAGAATGCTGCAGAAATGAAGGGAAAGAGGGCCGGCCATTGGGTGTTGACTTAAGGCAAAGTAGTTCAGTGGGCCAAGCTGAGGTGAATCCAGGTGCTTGCGACAGCAGATTACCCAAGTGGATTGAGCGACATGAGGTGAAAGCAAAAGACAGAGTACGGAACATGAAATGACTCGATGGTAAACAGAAGAGAGCATCGTTGAGCCTCAGGCTACCACATTCATCACGTTTTGCACGACACGGATTCCCTAGATTGACGCTGCCTTTCATCTACGTCAGCAGCTTCTTCTCGGTGTTTAGTGACAACGATTGGCCCAATGGATAGTCACAATGAAATGTAGCCCTACCAGGGCGACTGTGAGGCACACCAGGCTACCCGTTCCTATTCTGGCGGAGTCTCTGGTGATCTGTGAAGGCAGCTTGCGATGCAGGCGTGGTGTTGAGGCTGGTGTGGTGGTGCTCTAGAAAGATACGAGACGGTTTATAAATTTAGAGCCTGTAGGGTCCCGCTAGTACGGGCGTTGGTTGGCGGCACCTGCTCCCCTGAGACTTTGAAACTCCCTGACAACCAACACCGAGCGCTCCACAGACAAGACCCACGACCCACGAACCCCACGCGCGTGCACTCCCTGCCCTGTTTGCGCATCCGTTCACTACCAACACTCGCTCCTGACCGCCTCGACCGTCGCGCCGACTCTCGCGCCTCGCACTCGTCGCGCCTGCCGGCTGTTGCTGTTCCGTGCTCCGTACACAGCCTCGCCTCGCTGCACAGGCAAACATCGAAGACCACTCTACCCACCAGCCTACCGCCTTCCACCATGGGCTTTGGCGACTTCAGCACGCTATGCGCAAAGGCGTCGATACCGTTGTGCGCCCTCGTGGGCCACCAGGAAATAAATGGCGGCGCCGGCATCCAAACAAAGTGCTACGCCCGCACTATTGAGATTGCAAACACGCTCATCTTCCAAGCCGCGAATGACTTCATGCACATTCTGGCTCTGGTAATGACTGTCATTATGATCTTCCACGTCCGTTCCAAGTTCACCGCTGTTGGTATGCTGTGCCCTGCCGCCTGTGCCCTGAAGGAGGCAAAATACTGACATGTGCATGCAGGTCGCAAAGAGATCACGTCCTTTTTCTACATCTATTTCCTCCTGACTATCGTATCGCTTATCCTTGACGCCGGTGTCGCTGCCCCCGGCTCTGCTGCCTATCCCTACTTCGCAGCAGTGCAGAACGGGCTCGTCTCCGCTCTCTGCACCAGCTTGTTGATCAACGGATTCGTCGGTTTCCAGCTGTACGAAGACGGCACAACTTTGTCTGTCTGGCTGTTGCGCTTGACCTCTCTGGCTATGTTCATCGTCGGCGGTGCTATCTCTCTCCTCACCTTCAAGAACTGGGCTGGCCTCGATGCCAAAAACCCCATCGGCATCTTCGTCATCACCTACCTCGTCAACGCCATATTCCTCTTCGTCTACCTCGTCTGCCAGATCATCCTCGTTGTCGGCACTCTAGAGGACCGCTGGCCTATGGGCGACATCGTGTTTGGCGTATTCTTCTTCGTCATTGGACAAGTAATACTGTATGTCTTTGGCGACACCATCTGCGACGGAGTACAGCATTATCTCGATGGGTTGTTCTTTGCGACCATTTGCAACTTGCTCGCAGTCATGATGGTTTACAAGGTTCGTACCCCCAGTCTCCACTCATGCTCCAAGCGTTCGCCTCCCGCTAACATCTAAAAATAGTACTGGGACTCGATCACCCGCGAAGACCTTGAGTTCTCTGTTGGCGTTAAGCAGCACAATTGGGAAGTCAAAGAGCTTCTGCCAGAGGAGGACAAGCGCGGTACCGTTTATCAGGAGTCCGAATACGCGTCTTCGGTTTATCAACAACCGTACCCTCGACACTCGCAGTACTCCAACCTGGGTCACTAAGCGACTGTCGTTGGCTTACTTCTAACGTTACCTTTTGAATTATTAAGCGATTTTTTAGCATGATGCGGAGTTTGCGGCGCATTTGGGCCTGAGTGCTAGACTCATAATTTGCGGCAAGAGGAGGGAGTGTGAATAATGTTGTTTGGATCAGCGGGAACATGAGGAATCCAGCAAACCCGGAATTCGGACCCAGTGCAAGACCACATTTGGACACGCGCTTCGTGCTTTCCTACGGCCAAACCTTGACGACTACCATATCTTACATAGTACATTAATTGTTGATCAACTGCGAATACGCAGGTACCACATTAGACATCCAGATTCAAATGACACGCAATATTTTCGTGACAAGCGCAAGTTAGAATACAGACGCTGCCGTTTACTTTCAAGAATGTCACACGTACAGCTTATGCATTGTGTGCCTCGAGACGAGTCGTCCCTTCCTCCTACGATAAGCGGGCAAATCGCCTGTTCCAATCCGAAGTCCCACTTCTTAAGCCATAGTTGTGAGCAAGAAGCCGGTTACTACAGGTACTTATGTCTGAGTCTCGTGCCGAGTTTGTGGCATGCTGAATCGGACCCGGCGCCGGAGCGAGTGCTAGGTACAATCCGTCATCAGCCCCCGGGATTTCCGTTTCAGGCAATGCCGGCGCAAACACACAGCAACACGTCTGCGAGGTCAGTCCGACTTGACCTGTTGCAGTCCATCCAGGACACGCCGTAGGATTTCTGGGGTATGGCTTCCTTTGTGGAGTGGACACGGGCCAACAATACACGCATGCTGAGTGATCCAGGCGTCTTCTGGTGCGTGGCTGATGGCGCGCCGGAGCTCGATGAGGGGTGACAAGCGGGGTCCGCGACTTGGGTAAATCGAGCGGGGGAAGATTTATAGACACGGCCTTTCGGCCGCGAATGCGAAGATGGGTACGTCTCTTGGGTCTTTCTGATTGCCCAGTGTGTTGTACAATACTCTCCCGTCTCGCACCTCGAGCAATTGGGTCCTTGCAAGCGTACTGCAGCTCCGTTGTACCCTATCTAAGTATTGAATAAACAAGTAAACATACAACAGCCGTTCTGGCACAATCTTTGCTGACGAGCGCGAAGTACTTGGAGCGCAATATCGCTACACTCGGTCGCAACACTGTGGTTCATCGTTGGAGCGAGTCCAGCCTCTTTCATCCACCGCAAATATGTCGCGAAAGCACTTCTTTCCCAACCCCGAGGGCGTGGTAGTCCACATGCTGCACTCCCTCGTCAAACGAAACTCCTTCATGGGCCTTGACGTGACGAATCGCGTCGTCTACAATACTGCGCATCCCCCAAATCAGGTCACCATCATTTCTGGAGGTGGTTCGGGTCACGAGCCTGCATGGTCTGGTTTTGTAGGCGATGGCATGCTGTCTGCTGCTGTCTGTGGTGATATCTTTGCATCACCCAGCACAAAACAGATCATGGCCGGTATCAGGAATGTACCATCGAACGAAGGAGTCATTCTGTGCATCACGAATTACACCGGTGACATGCTGCACTTTGGTCTGGCGCGAGAGAAAGGACAGGCGTTGGGATACAAAGTTGATGTCATTTGCATGGCTGAGGATGCTGCGTTGGGGCGAGAGAAGAGCGGAAAGGTTGGGAGACGAGGCTTGGCCGGTAATCTGCTTGGTAAGTACCAAATCGATCGTCGCTACGATTTTACTGATCGTCACAGTGATCAAGCTGTCAGGAGCAGCAAGTCAGAAAGGATGGGCTTTCCAGCGAGTGCGGAAAATTGGAGAACTAGGCAACTCACAATTGGTAACTATTGGCGCAAGTTTGGACCACTGCCACGTGCCGGGACGAGAGGCGTTCGAATCCGTACCAGATGATTCATATGTGGTAGGGATGGGTATTCACAACGAACCGGTAAGATCTCTTCTATTCCGAATCATCCATCTTTTGCTAATCGAGATAGGGTCTTCGAACAGTAACGCCCATGCCAGCACCCGAAGACATCATCAAAGAAATGCTAAGATACCTGCTCGATCCCAAAGACTCCGACCGCGCTTTCGTACCCTTCTCGTCCTCCGATTCTATCGTCATGCTAGTCAACAACTTCGGCGGTCTTTCGAATCTCGAGTTCGACGCTATGGTCAACATTGCTCTCCAAGTTCTCGAGTCAGATTATAAGCTCAAGCCTGTGCGCATCTACGCCGGTGTTCTTGAAACGTCACTCAACGGCCAAGGGTTTTCAATCACCTTGGGCAACATGTCTGGCATGGCGAAGGGCATGGAGCTGACGGACGAGGAAGTGATCGAGCTTCTTGATGCACCTACAAATGCCCCGGCATGGCCAAAGAACGGCTACCGGCCCACAAATTACAGCAAGGAGACGGAAGAGCTTCGCAATAAGGCTAATGCCGAGTACGAGAACCAAGCTGGCCGCGATAAAGGCCCTGCGACTCCACCCTCCCTCATCCCAGCTCTCAGGAAAGCTTGCAACGACGCACTAGCCGCGGAGCCTAAGATCACACAATACGATCTACAGATGGGCGATGGAGACTGCGGTGAAGCCGTAGCTGGCGTGTGTAAGAACATCCTAACGAATCTCGACTCGGTAGAGAAGAACCCCCCAGCCGTCCTTGCACTCCTCGAGAGCGTAGGCGAGAACGTCGAAGACGTAGGCGGCTCGCTCGGCGCCATTCTCTCGATTTTGGTCACTGCCTTCACCAACGCGCTTTCCACCGCTACGCTGCAATCCAATGCCCCTCTCTCCCTTGATACCGTGGCAAAGGCGGCAGCGCTCGCGCTCGAGAACCTCAAGAACTACACTTCTGCTCGGGAGGGCGATAGAACCGTAATGGATGTGCTCATTCCCTTCATCAATACTTTGGCCGAGACACAGGATCTTGGTAAGAGCGTGCAGGTGGCTGAGCAGAAAGCACAGGATACCGCGCTGATGAAGGCGAAGTTTGGGCGTGCGACGTATATTGGTGATGGGATGGGTGAGGACAGGAGTAAGATCCCGGATCCGGGAGCGTATGCTGCTGGTGTTTGGTTGAAGGGGTTGGCAGACGGGTTTCAGGGCGCATAGAGTGCACATTTGATGCTAAGTAGTTGCGAAGTTGTTGTTATGAACAGACAGAGTCTAATGATGATAAAAATACATACATAGACCCGTCAACGATGGGTATACGATCGCACTTCTCCTGTATCGCCACTGACTAGGTTTAGTAACATATGCTCGATAGATCAAACGCACGCGCAATCCTCATGAACTCCCACCCTGCTCTTGTGCCTTCATCGCGGTCTGTTTCTGCTTCTCTCGTTCTTCTATGCCAATGTTGACATTGAAATGCGAGCTCCGAATATTCGCGTACATCTCTCCTGCCGTCTGACCATGCACTGGCTTCAGCCATTTTCCAGTGACAACTGTTTCCAGATCATCCGAGTTAATAACCACTGGGCCATAAGCGCGCAGCACAAACACAATACTGAACCTGTACCTCTTCTCTCCGTCTTTGCCGCCCTTCGCATCCCCGTACGACACGACTCTATGCCCACCCGCGGGATACCTCCCGTTACTCAAGACTTCTAGTTGTCTACCTGCGAGCAAGCTTGCACCGTGCATCCCGCTCTTCTTCACCTCTCTCTCAACCTCAAACCACTTCTCTCCATCCCATACTTCAAGTCCAGGAACATCCCCTACAACAGCACTCAAGAGCCCCAAATCGGCATGCGGCTCCGCCACCTCCTTCGCCTCCCACCCCTCATACCTAAACAGCCTCAACATCGACGCTGTCTTCTGGTCTTCTCGCTGCTGCATCTTCCCACACGGGCCAACAAACCGCTTCAGCCCTTTCGTCGCATCATGCGGCTCGGGCAGGTCCAGCGAGACTGCGATGCGGCCCAGCGAGTCCTCGAGATACGCGCCCATGAGATCCCAGTACCTTTTCGCAGGCTCGCGCAGGATCTCCGGGCAGTACTCCAGCGTGCGCAGGGTGATGAATTCTTTCTCGCCGGGGATGCTGGACCAGCCTTCTTCGGACCCGAGTCTGTGCTTCCATTGCGCTTTCTCTGCGGCGGGCTGCGCGAAGAAGGCTTGCGAGGCCGCGAAGAGGGCTTCGTAGGCGGTTTGCAGAGGGTGCGGACCGGAGAGTGATGGGTAGCCAGAGGGGTCTGGTTGGGGGAAGGTGACGGTCGTCCAGCCGAGGTTTGAGAGGGCTTGTTGATGTTCAGGGAGGACGAGAGGCAGGGGGGAGTTGATGAGTGGCGGTCTTGTGTCTGTAGGACCGGTTTCTGGTTCCTTGTTGCTGAGACTTTCTTTGCTCTTATGCCCACGCAGACGTGAGATGAACTTTGTGAGGGATAATGAACGCGAAGACGAGGTCGCGGGGGCTGTGGCTGCCATTCTAGAGATTCAAGTCGCTATAGTAGACAATGTCAAAAGCTACACACGAATCGTTTGGGTAGATTTCAGGTCAATTCTATTTTCAAGTGTTTGGTGTTCTGGATGGTAAGTATGGATGAGGCTGACGACGTCAGCGGGCTGAGCCACACTTAGTGTCCCCATCTTGCACACCGGTGAGCATATTAGGAACAACCAGAAGGCTTGAGCAAGGACATGAAGGGTCTTAGTATTTCTGTCTGCTAATTAACTGCATATACCTGCTTGGTTAGCGCCGATGATACTTACATTATAATCACGTGACTTGATTTATACAACGCCTTACTGTTCGCGTTTTATGGCCTTCGGCTTCGACCACACAATAGTCTCCCTATCTCTTGACCATTGATGCAACACAGGTTTGACCTTGACTACATGTCCACCTTCATCTGCATTCACTCCAAACTCCATGCCCTCTCTGTAAGCCCCTTCACTGCCAAGGATTTTCAAGGGTGTCATCACTTCCAACCGGCACAACGCAATGCCAACGTCACCCATACAAGCGATGAGCTTCCCGGCCGGGCGACCCGTTTCAACTGGTGCTCCCGTCTCATCAAGCCGTTTGATGTCTGCCATTGGATTGGTCCCTAACACCGAAGATGAATGATCACCCGGGACATCCAGCTGCACAGGCAGTATCCGCTTTCGGACGACGCCGCGGTGCTTGGTTCGAATCGTGAGCTCCTGGCCAATGTAACAGCCTTTCTTGAAATCGATGCCTTCAGATATATCCATGTTGGCGTCCATCGGCAATGTACTGTCTCTTTGGATCTCTTGTGGTCCTTCGGCAATTCCTTGTGTATAGCGCTGCAAGTGATACTGCCGCCCGTCGCATATGTCCGATTTGTCTTCGATGAAGTTGTTGTCCGGTTTCGCAAGTATTCTCCACAGAGTGTGATCGCCGCGTGGATCACACAGAGTTGTCTCCACTGCCTGCTTATTGACGCGATCGAAGGCCGGGCCCCACGCAGCCCATACGCCCAGCTCGTCTTCTGGAACCACCTCGATGCGAACTTTGGTTCTGAAGTTATGGATCTTCAGGTGCTTTCTCAGCGATTCAACCTCCGACTCGTCCACTTCAATGTAGCAACTCCAGTCGCCCTGCTCTGCCAGCAGCTCAGGGTATACCCATACAAAGACGTCCCATTGCACGCGACCTTTTGAATTGAGGAAGGCAGCGTAGAACGACTGACTACGTTCGGCGCGGACGTCGTTCGTGATCAGGCCCTGCAGGAGCTTGACTGTGGCGCTCCCGCGGAGAGATATGAGGCGGCGGTGCGGAAGACGCGCGATGCCCGAGTCTTTGGGTTGCAGCGCATTGTTCGCTGTCGAATAAGAATGAGCACTCGTGCTACGAAAGGGCGTGGCGCACACTGTTCGTTCGTGTCTCGGTGACAAGTATCGCGGTCGGATAGGTTGCTGCTCTCGCTTCGGCGTCCGACAGGCAAATGAAGCAGTGCTAATTGCACGCGTTGTCGAAGAACGCACGCTGCGACAGGTGCCGAGGGAGCAATGCGAAAAGGAACGTACAAACACCGAAGTGCTTGGTGCCGCCATGTTATGATCTTGAAGGAATGTGACGGTCCAATATGGAGCTCTGAGAGACAGTCAAGTTGTGGCGTCAAGATTTATAATCGATAAGCAAGTTGCCTCGGACTACTTCGTCATACCGACCACATAGACTGAGTTTAATGTCTGACCCATTTAATCGTTGCGCTCCTTACTATCTATACATATGGATCAAAATAGATATACGCGCCAAACGTGCCCAGTCATAGTCGATATAGAGCCTTACAACAAGCCGCCTGCCAAACGCCAAACCCTAACATCAATGCCTTTCAAAATTCCTGCTGATGAACCAACAACTAATCGTTCTTTCGGCTTTGACTTGCGCTACTTGTCAATCTTGCGTTCTCGTCATCACTCCCTTTCGGACTTGCTGGCTCCAAGTCATCCTCATCGTCGCTCCACTTGTCGTCTTCCCCAACGGCAAAGATGGTGTCACCATCAAGAGATTCCCTAGGCGGGTGGATAGGCTTCTGCGCCTGAGGAGCAGGCAGTGGCGAAGCATCACGTGCTGCGTCGCGCTGCGGTCGCACTGGATCGTACGAAGGCGGGTGGGCTGAAGGCCCATCTTCCTCGTCAAGAGAATCGCGGATGGAGGCAATTTCGAAGCCATCGTCATCTTGCGCAATCTGATTATATGTCAGTACTGTCGTAGCCCACAGGGTTTTCATGCCTACCTCATCACTCATGGCGAACCTCCTGTTGTTAGCAGTCGGCCTCCACATGTATGCAACGAAGCAAACATCAGCCAGGTAGACTAGGTTTAGCCAGCCGTCCAAGACGAACCATCGGGTCTGCCAATGCGTTGGCGCAAAGTCTGGAGTGGATGCGCCGGCGAATGTAAAGCTGTTGATAAAGAAGAAACCGAAGATGACTACAATGCTGGTCAAGATGCACCACCAGAGCCTCTTGTACATAGTAGCCTTGACGTGTTGTTTGCGTTCCATGAGATCCTTCATAGTAAGATTGAGAGAGTTCAAGGTCCAGATGTAAAATGCGGTCAACGTGGCAGACAGGGGCAGGATTACAAGCAGGACAAGAGGTCCAGCATCATCAGGGCGGACAGTGAGCGAAGCGACGGCGTATATGACACCGAAGACAAAGTGAGCCACAGCCAGCCAACGAACGATGGTCATGGTCTTGCCGAGCGAGGGCTTGACAACTCCGTAGCCCATGCAGACAATGAGCAGCAGGAAAAACGAGAACGAGTTGCGGAATGCGTTCAGTACAGCAACGACGACCATAAGCACCTTGGATCCAATGTTATTGCCATGGCGATTCTGGTAATCGTAGAAGCCCCAAGTCATGAGCATTTCGACCACCAGAAAGACGAGAATGGCTGTGATGTAGTTCTGGACAGCCAGAATGTCGTGTCTGTTCTGGTAGTACAGGAAACCCCAGAACAGCAGGACGACAAAGTAGACGATCGTTATGCCTCCGTAGAAGGGGAGCTTCGCGATTTGCGCCGCTGGAAGCTCGCCATACGCGTTGCGGAACGTGATGATTGCTTCGTATTCGACATCTTTGCTGTACGCCGCAGTTGCGACACAATAGTATCCTGTCTTAATCGATACCTTTCGCTCTGCGCTGGCGACGGGATAGTTGATCGGCTTAGGGTCGTTGAGATGGACAGCTTCGGTTCGAATGTGCATATTGGAGACGGTGTCGGCGTCGTCAGCGAGGATCCATTCGCCCTTGTGGGTCCCGTTACAGAGCTTCGCGTCGATGGCGTCGTCGTTGCAGATGTAGGAGCGCTGGAGCAGATTAGTACGGACAAGCATACAAGCTCAGAGGTGTACCTACATCGTCGACAGGCATTTCAGACGGCTTGCCCAGCAGCAGCGAGTCCTTCCATTCCCATATGACTAGGCCTACTGTTGGGTCTTCAATCCCCTTGTTCTGGTCCTCCCCGTTCTTCAAGAATTTAACGAGGATGAATGGCTCGACCTTCCCTCCCCACGACTTCTTGCTGTACATGCCGGAGCATTTCTGAGGCTGGTCGCGGGTCAACGTGACATCGATCGCTGCTACTGCTGTGATGGTGGACAGCAGCAGCAGCCCCATGCTGTGCAGCCATTGCTGCTTCATCTTGTGGCTTGAGGCCAGCTGGCGCAGCGCGTAGGCGATCGTTCGATGTGCAGTAGAGCGAGTACACTTCGCCGTGTAAACTTTTCAGGAATCCAGAGGCTTTGTTCCGTGGGAATACAGAAGCCTGGTGCAGAAGTTACGGGTTATGTTTAGCTGCGCGACATCACTTGGTCCCCGGCACCGCGGGAGCTCCAGGGCACTAGCGTAGCGTACATACAGGGAAGCGCGCTGTGGCGCAGCCGGCAGGTCGGCCTGGAGTCGTGGTGGCCCACACCACCGATCACCATACTTCGTAATACACGGGGATCAAGCACATTAGCAATGCCGGGCAAAACTACAACTGGATCCGATGGAGAGATCTGCAGAAGATGCAAGGAGCAACCTTCTGTGCTTGTGGTGCGCTCAGAACCTGTCTGCCAGTGAGTTTCGCCTTCTGAGTGACTAATCCATGCTGAAATTTTGTGCAGGCAATGTTTTGCCCGCTACGTACATACCAAGGCTATCAAACGACTGGAGAGCTTTCGTGTCAGCTTTCATTCTGATGAAGAACGCAAGGTGTTGCTACCGTTATCTTTTGGCGTCTCGTCGACTACTCTTCTCCACATTCTGGACCTGCATTTGAAGACCCAAATGAGCAAGACCGGTCGCACAGGCTTTGCTCTTACCGTAGTTGCCATCGGAAATGCTGAAGGAACTCTGCCCACAGAACAGCTGCTCGAGAGGATACGTAGTCAATATCCCGACTACGAATATGCAGTTTTGCCACTGCACGATGTATTTCGTGCAATTCCCGGCGATGACCCTCTGCGAGATCTGGTCCCCAACTCGGCAGAAGGGGACGTTACTGATTACCAAGGGCAGTTGACTCGCTTGATAAATTCATTGACTTCAGCAACGGCTCGCGCAGACATTCTATCGACGCTTAGAACTAGACTGATCGTCGAGCATGCAAAGTCAACAGGATGCCAGAGCATTCTTTGGGGTGACAGTACTACCACACTCGCGGAGAAGACCCTTGCCGAAACTTGCAAGGGCCGAGGGTTTTCCTTGCCATGGCAGGTATCCGATGGGAAGTCACCCTTTGATGTGTACTTCCACTATCCGCTTCGCGACGTGCTCAAGAAGGAGCTTGTATCCTACACAGAACTCTCAGAACCTGGATTGGGACCGCTGGTTCACGAACATTCCCCTGGCGCAACACAAGCATCTACAAGTTCGAAGAATACCACAATCGACGATCTCATGAAGCAGTACTTCGAGTCGGTAGAAGAAAATTTTCCAAGTATCGTCTCGAACGTGGTACGCACCTCAGGCAAGCTGCAGGTTCCTACAGGTGTAGATTCCGATCCGCGTTGCAGTCTGTGTAACATGCCTGTATCAGGCGGCCGATTTGGGATTCATGGCTGGGGCGGGTATCAACAAGATGGTGTCGAGACATCTCCCGCAAATGGCAAAAACATCTGTTATGGATGCACTCGATCACTGCCTCAGTCCGCTACAAGCACTGTCAGCCATTAAAGGACTACGACGAGTGGGTCGTCAATTGCATGCGTGCAGTTTGTCATCCTGTCATCCTATGACATACCGACTCTTGAAAAATTAGTTGCTGAACATTAGTGGAAAGTCGATGTTCCACTCTTCCTAAGATTCGTGCCTTTTGTTGAGCTGCATACATACATCAGTCCCATCGGACGGACTTGAAATGCACTTCTCGGGCGAGGATCATGTGTCTGCCAGCAACATCTCCCGAGGTCCTTATGACGAATTGGTCTCCAGCACTGAGTGGATGAAATTTCGTACTGGCATGACTGGTCAATTCTAGCAGCGGCTTTTCCGAACCACTTGCTGCATAAGATACCGATTTCTTTGTCGATCCGCCAAAAGGACAGTTGGTACAATCTCCAGCATTCCACCACTCACGGGAGACACCATACTAGTCACTGTGATAAGTATAATTGTTTGCCAAATGGACATCTGTTTTAGACTTGCAGGCACTTCACGCAGAGGCGCGGAGTGTGAAAGCCAGCGCGTAGTTATCTAGGCTGTTGCAGGACACAAAGAATAGAATATGTGGAAGGGGTCTTTTACAAGCGGGTCGTAGTATATTTTACGAAGAAATTGATAGCACTTGCGAGAGACAAAGAGTCGGCCATACGACTGCAGATTAGAGTGAAGAGGTATTTGCGGGGTTCAATGACGAGCTGCAAAGATGATACGAGTACTTTATGCGGGACTGCCACCGAATCATAGCCCTGCCTTTCATGTCCTCGACAATAAGCAATACGAAATCAAAGGTATCAAACAGTAGTAGTGACTCCAATCTCATATCATACCAGCACAATCAGGTAGAAATCTTCTGGCCGAACGAACTCCTTGCCAACACTCCCCTGAAACGCTTGCCAAAAACATACGCCGGAATCGTCATCGCACAAACGCTCGCATTTATCAATGTGATTGCTACGAACACCTTCATAGGGCCAATGCTCGCCATCACTCCGTTGGCATAGGTCGTTGCAACGAAGGTGAGTACCGCTTTCGTGAAGTTGATTGTGACGAACGCCTGATTAGCATCTTTGGGATGGCAGTCAATCACGTATGTCAAGCTTGCTGTACTCGCGAACGGAACACTAAAAGAGTGGACCGACATAAACGCCACGAGCTGGTATATCGAATCGCCCCGCTGGGCACTGATGCCGAAGCCAAGGAATCCGATGGTTGCGAAGATGACTGCAGGGAGCATGAGCGTGAGACGGAACTCGGGCTCGAAGATACCGTTGTTCCTGCGTGCCATGAACTTGGCGATGGCATCGGCTGCCCAGCCAGACAGCGGTGAGCCGATCAGCCCGACAACGAGGAGAGGAAGGTTGGTGAGTCCGATTTGGGCTGGGCCGAGAGAGTAAGGTGGTGCGGAGAAGATGGAGACAGAGAGAACGGAGATGGTGAGGAGCCAGGTGAAGTACGTGCCGTATACAACAGTACTGAATAGTACAGCAGGGTATGCGATCAGCGGTACTGGCTTCCACACATTCCTCCAGAAGGACTCAGTAGAGAGACGGCCGCGGAAAAGCGCGAGTTGCTGGCGGTATGTCTCCTTGTCTTCGGTAAAATCGGACCAAATGGACCCCTTTTCTTCTGGCTCTAGTTCTTTCTGCGAACCGGGTCGGACGCCATAGTATGTTGTTTCGACGACAAGAAAGTACATGGCGGCGAGAATCGGAATGAAGATCAAAGCAGAGATACCAAAGGTCGCTTCGAATGAGATCTTCTCGATGATGACACCTGCGATCGTCTGGCCGAGAAGCACTCCGCTGGCTAGCATGCAGCCCCAGATACTGATACGTGCGCCTCGCTGATGGACATAGTACATGTCTGATACCGTTGAGGTGACGAGCGTTTCAAGCGGCGCAGAAGCAATTCCTTGGATCACTCGCATTACTGCAAGCGATGCGAATGAGGTCGTGAAGTATCCCCAAATATTCGTGGCAAGCAATAAAACGGTAGAAACGATGAAAAATGGCCGTTTACCGTAGATGTTGGCGCCGGCTGCAGTGAAGAAGGTTGTGAAACCGATCCAGAAGGCAAGAAATCCAATGACCAGACTTGCTACCATATCGATGCTGACATGGTACTTGAGAGCAATCAAATGTAGACCCGGGGTGACCATGGGGCCAAGGGAAGTCGTCACTCCAGAGCTGAAGGCTAGAACGACCATGATGACTTCTTTGCGCATTTTAGGCCAGTTCAACGGATCGTTGGGACTGTCGGACGGCTGTGGCTGGAGAATGATGTCGCCATCACGCTTCAGTTCTGAACTATCAACGGACGGATCTTCTTTCCAGCAAGATATCAGTCTTTGCCCGCGATACGATGTTGGAGGTCCACATACCAGCTACTGCTGAAGCCCCGATGGTGGACGTTCCCGGAGGAGCGGCCATGTGCCGGTCTTCTAGCACACCTAAACCCATCCTGTAGAATTTGACTGAGAAGACAAATAAAATGAATGTTTGGCTACCAAAAAAAGGTCTGCCAGCAGACTCAAATTACAAAGAAGAAGTGAGTGTATGTAAACGCTAAGAGCAAGAACGATGTTCAAGACCAGCTTGACATGAACAGAACAGAAGGCTATGCACTCATTTTAATGATGCCTTAAGGCATGTACAATCGTACCGTACAGCCAAGTGGGGTGATATCCCCGAAACCCCAGATGAAGCGGCGTCTGCACTCAATGCGGGTGAGGCATACCACGAAACCTCATTCTGCCTAGCACGACCAATATCTGCATCAGCTCAGAACGTCTGATGTTATGACAGGGGATTGATTCGCGTGGCATGATACTCGGTACTGATTGACAAGGGAGCAACTGCCGCTCGAGGCATTGTAGGTTTCAATCCTCGGCGTCGGCGATTTCGAAACCTGGAAACCTCAGGAAGACGCGTGGAGCCCTACGTTGCTCCAAACGCTGTGATTTCTTTTACTGATCAGCTGCCGTATCTATTAGGCAATTGTTTCATTGGGTTGTACAAATGCTTGTGACCTTCGGACGACTTAGTGCCTGCATCATCGTAGTTCGTCCGGTACTTAGCGATCGTGGAGACTGTGGAGACCACAAGTACCAGTAGTAGTATCGTGTTTACCTGTGCAATCCAAGCTGTAGTATCTGCAGTGCAAGTGCTAGGGAGGGTCGGTTGTTGTCCATGCTAGTTCGTCGCTCCTACCCCGCCACCACCGCATTAACAGTACTGTCATTAAATCTTCCATCTTACGCTTTCTCTCTTGACCATTTCATAACTCTATCTGAAGACATGGGCAGTTTGCATCCGGCAGTTGATGACTTTTGCAACTCTACAACGCGAACACTATGTTATTTGCATACTGAAGTGTACGACGGCTGAGGGAAGACGTAAGCAACCATTTGAGCAATGGCATCATCTAGCCAAGATCTTGCTGTGAAGATCTTTGATGTCGTGGAACCTACACCAATCAGCGATTCGTGTGTACGTGCTTGGCAACAATGGATTGCCTGATCTGGAAACCGCGGTGTGGTCACTAGGTATATAAGCTGAGCTCGAAGAGAAGGTAGAGAGTGGCATCCAGCAATAGAGACGCGTTTTGAACTCCTTCGTTATGGAATTGCCTCAGCCTTTCTCAGTGATAGTTCATCCCCTCAGATCGCCAACGGAGCCCCATGCTTACTCATGCGCCTACGAGCGCGGCAATACATCGTCTCGAAATGCTCTTGTATATATCGGAGGTCTTACAGGCGGGCTACATACAGCTGTGGAACTTATGCACCATTTGTTGCTGGCTCTTGAGGATGCCGAGTTAGGATATTCGATATGGGAATCTCGCATGCGCAGCTCGTACGCCGGGTGGGGCTACTCGAGTCTCGAGAACGATGCTGAAGACATCGCTGCGCTCGTAAATTATTTGATCGGTCTCGGCAAGAAAAGAGTTGTGCTGTTGGGCTCCTCGACTGGTAAAAGTCTCCTATACATGAAGCCGCCTGAATCTTCCAGACATGTCCCTAGAGACTTCTACTACATGCGGCTCGAAGAAAACACTACTTAATGGAATCAACAGGTTGTCAGGGTTGTATGAAGTACATAAAGGCGCTCGAGAAAGGCGCCCCCAAGGTTGACGCATACATACTACAAGCACCAACCTCAGATCGAGAGACAGCGAAGATGTTGATGCCGCCTGACTTCTACCGCCGTACGCTTGAGTTTAGCAAAGACCTCATTGGTATAGGTAATGCAGACGGAATCATGCCTAGAGACTTGATCCCTGACGTCTTCACCTCGCCGATATCAGCATATCGCTGGCACTCGCTGATTGCGAAAGGGTATTGCCAACGTCAACAATGTCCTGACTGTGACTGACAACTAACAGAGGGGACGATGATTACTTCTCGGATGACGTTGACGATACCGTGCTCGCGAAGACGTTTGGCCACATTAACAAGCCAACTCTCATCATGCCCTCGGAGAACGATGAGATGATGCCACCCTTTTTTTCCAAACGGGAACTGCTTCGCAAATGGATACAAGCATCACCAAAAAGAATAGTAAGCCAGCTTTCAGATGTCGTGCCGCAGGCAGATCATACTTTGTCTTCGACGGAGTCGCGGCGGTGGTTTGCTGATCGCGTCGTGCGTTTCTTGGGCTCTTTGGAAGGCGGATACGCTCAGTGATTTCTGAAATCTCTACGGCAATGAGAGGGGGTCATAAAACTTCTCGGAACATCTGAATAAACGTAAGTGTACTGGTGGTGAGAAGAAGGTAAGAGGTAGCCGAGGTTACACATTGAGGGAAGTGTACGTCATCCGTTCCTGGAACATCAAGCTCCACTGTCTAGACATCACACAATCAGGTTCTTCCTTAGCATATCAATCCAAATATTCTAGCTCAGTTTCGTAGTGTATCTTCATACATCTAGCATTCCTAACTACCTAATGCTGGTTCAAACAAGCGCGCTGGCACAAACAACATCCATCAATAACCAATTGCTATACCAAAGTCTCCCAGTCTTTGTGTCCTTGTATCCCTTCATAAAGGGCACAATCTCATCCAGTCTTTGTAGTTGCATCAAACCAAGACAATGGTTGTCTTTTTGATATCTTGTAAAGCTTCTGCGTATGCATCATGGTTGCAACTTTCGTCGTGGTGAGATGCCACGCACAGAAATTGCCGTTTGTTCGACACCGCACCCAATACTCAGCCACAATGAGTATGTATATAGTGCTCATATATGCCGAAATGAGCGCGTGGTAATTCTCCAACCCAGCCACTCAATACCGTCTCCTCACAGTACATATACAGCCTTGCGCTCTCATCGTCACCAAAAATATAAATTCCAGTAGCGACACGAAAACCACGCTTTAGTACCCAGCCAAAGACATCATGTGTAGCATCAAAGCAACCTGCTATTCAACTTGTGGCTGCGTCAAAAACTTCATCCCTGGAAGCATTGCGCGCTGCACTTACTACCAGCGGCGAATGCGTAGCAAGTGCAATGGACATCTTGACCACATTTATACGGTCGCCCATGAAGGCGGCGTGTGTAGGCTACATGCAGACTTGGGCGAGCAACCATCACCTGGACACGCGAGATCAGTGATGAGGGTGATGGAGTGAACGAAGGGCTTCAGGTATGGATAAAATGCATTCGTGCAGTATTGGGAGTCAGATGGTTGAGATGAGTAATATATCCACAGACGGAATGGCTCTCTATGGAGTAGTGACGGGGATTTAACTGTTATACAAGGCCCTGCGTCGACGTCGTTGCTGCCCGGGGAAGATGTGACATGTATTGGCTGCGGTGATGGTTAAAAATTACTGTAGCCTAAGAACGGGTGATAGGCGTGCCCTTCAATCCTGGTTGTTTTACAGAATCATACACAGATAGAGAAGTCTTTCAATACACCATGATGAGCACGGAATTCTCACATCGCGCTGTCACAAAGTCTCTGTACATTAACGTTGTTCTAACCTTTCTAAGCACAAAAAACTGTACCATACGAAGACTCCATTCAAGAATACCAATACTAGCCACAACCATGTGCATCGAACGAGCCGATTACTACAAACAATGCAGCCATCCTGTGATGAACGCCAACTACCTCTGGATCACATGTCGTGATCTGCGTGGAACACAGCACCGTAACACCCGGCAGTGCACTGCATACAAATTCGAGAAGCGTTTCCGGGTGATGGGTGCGTGTCCGGCTTGCAGAAGGGCGGGTTTGAGGAACGACGAGGGGTACGAGACCAAATAAGTGCCAGAGACTGTGCAAAAAGGGATGACGCTCAACTCTTCGGGAAGATCAGATCAAGCATTGGGTGATGTAGGAATGAAGAAGAAGTAGGAACTTAATGTGATGTTCACACTAGCAGAGCTAGCTAGGAGGTATTTAGCCACTCGTAGGTTACCTTCATCTGTAACAGAACATCATTTCGTCTTGTGCCTATTCTTTACCTTGAATATGTTTCCAGTAGCCACTCTGGAGGTCGCAGCTAGGACTGTGAGCAACCTCGCAAGATGAGGCTCGGTTGCTATCTACAGCGCATTGTGACCGATTCTGATCATTATGACGTCAACCCTGCTTATGAATATCAACTGATTTTCTCAAGTTGACGGATACAACAACAACGAAGCATCTGAGACCTGTTCTTCTGAACTACCGAATCAAGAGTACACATGTCAGACAAAGCCTGCCACAACATGGACTCGCTGCCAGTTACCAACAATACAGCTGGCGAGCCCGAGAGTTTGATGAACAAGACCCTCGAAACTGGGGCAGCTGCCGTTCAGGTAGCGCGCCTCGTCACTATGCGTCGCCAGGTTGATGCTGATCACAGGTAGAATTTTGAGCCTGTACAGAGAATCTGCGCACATCTGAACGCTTTCCACGCATACGCAGACGATCCAAAGCGAAATGCCGTCGAGACAAACCATTACTGCGCGCATTTGAACGACGATGTGCGGCAGTGCATCTTGTACGATTCGCCTGTGCAGCCAGCGCGTATTATCGGCATTGGTAAGTTCACATACCCTTGCTCTTGATAGCTCTATGTGTCATTTCCGTGTTAATGTTTAAGGCAGAATATATGATTAAACCGCATCTATACGAGACCTTGGATGAAGAAGAGCAGAAGCTGTGGCATTCGCATGTATTCGAGGTCAAGTCCGGGATGCTGATTATGCCGAAGCCCAAAGCGGTGCCAGAGGCTGCGTGGGAGCTCGCTGAAAATAAGGAGATGGAGGAAGTCGTCCATCTCTATGGCAAGATCTATCATCTCTGGCAGACTGACAGAGGGGACAAGCTACCGCTTGGCCCGCCTCAGCTCATGACAAGCTATACATCAGCTGATCAGATGCCGAACTTCGAGGAAGTTCTCGATGACCGAGATAAGCGGTTTGGAACGGACTACAAACGCAAGAAAGAAGTGCGCAAGTATATCGAGGTCCCGGACATTCATCCAAATTCTGATGCCACATGGGCGAAGGGAGGCCTGGGACACAATGAATGAGAGGAGCCGCATTTGATGTCGCGTTGTCGTTGGCGAGCAGTACACGGTCCTAGTCAACGAATCAAGACGATGCAAGCCTCAGACACCTTGCTTCTCGTTGACCTCTTGAATCCCAGCTGCCTCTTTTGTCTTGTCCTGACCCATGAGTTTGCCGAGTAGATTCTTCTCTTTTGTGTTGTTGCTGTCGCCGTCGCCGTCGCCCATCTCGCTGTCGCTGTCACTGCTGCTTTCCGAGCTGTGGTCAGCGTCTTTCACCTTCAGCACGCCAAGACCGAGGTTCTGGATTATGGTTAGTACGTGATCACTGGCGAAAGCAGAAGCTGTTGTCGTACCATCTCAATGTACTGTTGATCTTCCTCTCCGTCGACGGCGTCGATCTCGCGTTTTTTAAGGGTTCCCCGCATGCGATCCGCCTCGAGCTCTTCGTTGGCGGCCTTCAACTTGGGCAGGAAGTCTTTTAGGAATGTTCTGATATCTGGGCCAAGTTCCTCTTCGTCCAATTTGTATGTGGGCTTCTGTCCTCTGTTCGCCCTGAGGTTCTCGACCTCTGGTTCTTTCAAAGCCGTGGGTGCCATCTTGGTGCCATCGTCTTCATCGTCTTCGCTTGAGCTCAAGTCGCTCGGCTCCTCGCTCGATTCAGACAGCTCGCTGCTTTCGTCGCCCGAATGTAACCCGCTAGTATCGGCAGACTCGACAGGCGGACTCGGGGTTTTGCCTGTAGGGCGTAATGTGCTGTGTTCAGGGCTATTTTCGCGAGAAGTTTTTGCGCGCTTGCGGCGGTGTGCGAGCGGTGGAACAGCAGGGGACGTCATTGTAGCGGCAGCGGTGCGAGTGACTCCAAAGGATGCGTGCAGCACAGTGGTCCTGCGGAGGTAGTGGTTCCCGGATTGTCTCGGGCTTTGGTGGGAGAGAGACGGCAGACTTGTCAAATTTGGGGAGGTGCGGGCGAATCATAGTAACGCCGCGGGGGTCTCAGATGCGGGCCAGAACTCGAATGCAACCCACGACGTCACATGAGAGAACACCTTCAGGCGCGCAAATCGTAGAAATCTTGAATTGCGCTCGGCGTCTCTAGCATTTGACGCCTGGGGTCCACGATCCAAGATGTCAGACAGGCCCAATGGGCGGCCCGCCGCCGAATGGTCCCCGCCAAGGGCGACGCCACTGGTGGCCGGCGGCCTGCGCCTTCTGCGGGCCTCAGGCGTGGCCTGCTTCTGTTGGTGTCAGCAGGGGTCGTGAAACGGCGCACTGAAACGCCAGATCGAGCGGCTGCACTTCCGTTGCTGACTTGTTCATAGGCTAGAGGCCTTTAATAGGAGTGCGGCTGGCCAAGTCTTACGCACCTCACCTTGTTATCAACGTGCTACCAACGTCCTCTTCTTCATCCCCTTGTGTGTCTGGGTGCCCTTTGCTGCGTTACTTCACGACCTTCTGCGGGGCAAACAAGCCGTCAAAAACGCTGCGACCGAGAACAACGCCGTGATATCCGCTCACTTCGGTATGTACACATTCCGCTGCAACAGCGTCCTTTGCTTTTATCCTCCTTTCCATCATTTGTCAATCCTATTTCGAAGATGCCCACCATCAGACTGCCAATGTGGATGATGAGTCTGCCCATCAGGCGCCCTAAAGTCTGGCATCTGATATTCACGTTCGACACCCACGACGAACACTGCTCCAAGACTTATGGCCATGTGAACATCTATAAGAGCGATTTCCGTATCCAACCTGATCTGTCACGATCTCTTGGAAAGATCAACGCTCACGTCCGCCCTTCACCCAACGCCAGCATTCACCTTCACCAACGTCACACCCAGCCTCCTGCAGAACATTGATAACAATAGCAAGCTCTGCTATTCTGCGTATTGTTTTCTGTATGCGGTATCGGGAGGTTGGGTGCTCAAATATCTCTTCTCTCTCATCAAGCCGTCACTCCACCACTTTTGTCTGCCATCGTACCAATTCTACTTTGCATTTACAATCCTCACCATGGCTGAAGCCATTCGCTTGATTGCCATGCTTAGAGCATCTGCAACTAGCAGCGCTAACTTTGACAAGCCCCTTCAACTCGATAACCCGACCTACTCGCTCGAGTCAGATACCAGAGGTGGCTTGCAACACGTTCTCCATCTCCTGAGATCTTCTGCCCCAAGGAACATCACAAGTGTCCATCCACACGCTCGGCCTGTTGAGACTACCAGTGACCTTCTGAACGACCTTGCCATTGCCACCTGCAAACGAATCTTTGCAGCCTGTCTAGACGTCAACAAGCTCCAGATCATTGCTCTCAGCATTTCCACGTCGCCTTCCGCTTCCGAAATGGCTAGCCGCTTTCCGGTGCTCAGCACCTCCGACCTCCCTCCAGCATCAGCTTCTGAGCAGTCAGCCACCGCATCGCCAGCACGTGGATCTGCTATGCTGAACTCCATCTTCAAGTCCGTGCGCGTTCCAGAGTTTCGCTTCCGATGGATGTTCTGGGCAGAGAAGGGTCAGCAAAGCGGTCCCAAGGACAAGTCGTCACAGTCAGAAGAATACGCCTCACGGCCGAAGCCGCTCGGAGAACAAATAATCAGCGTCAAGGAGTTCTACCAGCACTTCAACAACATCCCAGTTGAGAGTCTCAAGCTACGAGACTCGATTCATCTATTCCACTTGGGTGTCAAGCCAGTGTGGGAAGACCCCCGAAACGCAAAAGGAGGCGCGTGGTACTTCAAGGTCACCAAGGAAGTTGCGCCGCAGTTTTGGCATGAGCTCTGCTTGCTTGCAGTTGGTGACGTTTTGCAGGGCGCCGTTGAGACCAAACGTGCTTGTAAGTGATCTACCACGCAGATATGCGTGCCCTACTGACGATTCACAGCATTCAACGATGACATTTGCGGCCTCTCGTACTCGGTCCGCTGGAACGCGGTTCAGATCGCTGTTTGGAACCGCGATGCAGACAACGAGACAGGACGAGAGAAGCTGCTCAAGGTCATCCTAGAGAAGCTATCGCCCGAGCTTCAGCCCAAGAAGGAGGACAGCTACTGGTACAAGGCGCACAACGAGCACAAGGGTTTCATCACCGAGGAGGCGAAGGCTTAAGGTACCCATCTTCTGACAATCTGCGTTCATACATCTGCTTGGCTTCGTCCAAGGTGCATACGGAGGACACTCTTCTACCTGATCATTACTTGCGATCACCATGTCTATACATTAGCGGAGCATAAGCAATGCATATTCCCGACCAATAAATCTTTACAGGACTTCTTTTGCACTTATACTGTCAGTTTTACTGAATCGATTTTCTATAGAGTGTAGTAACAATATCACCCGCTCTCAAGTTTCAGAAAAAACAGCAGATAAGACCCTAACCTTACCAACTTTACAGCATACTTAACTTGTAGCTATTATAATACCTAAAGTTAGGATTTAGCTAATTGTTACCTGTATTGTAGGTAAAAGAGTATTCTATAGAATTTTTTAGGATTTTCCCTACCTTACTGTCGTGTGGTGTACTTGACTTAACCTCTCAGTTCGCCGTTTATTCTGCAACGTGAGAGACCCGTTAGGACTATTTTCGTTGTGGTCGCCGCAGAGTGGTGGGCAGCGAATGAGAGGCACTTGGTCCGTGCTCGATGACAGCTCCTTCCCTTCCGAACATCAACGCCATCGAACTCGCCGCATCGCAAAAGACCACCGCATCCGTACACCCACACCGCCATGGCCGCCTTTCCGAGCTCGATATTCCGCTTCGTCGTCCCCGGCGCCATCGCGTTTTCTGTTGCGCAGTCGTCCCTGTACGATGTCAAGGGCGGCACACGCGCCGTCATCTTCGACCGTCTGTCGGGAGTGAAGGAGCAGGTCGTGAACGAGGGCACGCATTTCCTGGTTCCGTGGCTGCAGCGCGCTATTGTATTCGACGTCCGCACACGGCCGAGGAACATCAGCACCACCACTGGATCCAAGGATATGCAGATGGTGACGCTCACGCTGAGGGTGCTGCATCGCCCCGAGGTCAAGCAGCTGCCTAAGATCTACCAAGTGCGTCTTTGTGCAAGGATCCGTGCAGAACCGCATTGCTGTTCTGGGCGGGTTTAATGGGTATCCAAGCTAACAACGCGCAGAACCTGGGTCTCGACTACGACGAGCGTGTTCTGCCGTCAATCGGTAACGAAGTTCTCAAGGCCATTGTCGCACAGTTCGACGCCGCCGAGCTCATCACCCAGCGTGAGGCTGTCTCGAACAAGATCCGTGCCGACCTCCTCAAGCGCGCTGGCGAATTCAACATTGCTCTCGAGGACGTTTCCATCACACACATGACCTTCGGCAAGGAGTTTACCAAGGCCGTCGAGGAGAAGCAGATCGCCCAGCAAGAGGCCGAGCGTGCGCGATTCGTCGTCGAGAAGGCCGAGCAGGAGAGGCAAGCCAACGTCATTCGCGCTGAGGGTGAGGCCGAGGCCGCCGACACAATTTCAAAGGCCGTGGCAAAGAGTGGCGATGGTCTCATCATGATCCGAAGAATCGAAACACAGAAGGATATTGCGCAGATGCTGGCCAGGAATCCCAACGTCTCGTACCTGCCTGGTGGCTCGGGTTCGGATGGCGGCAAGACAGGCGGCAGCTTCTTGCTTGGCCTGAGGAATTAGAGCAGTGAGTCTGCTCCGGATGTGGACGATGGATATCGGCATGATGCATGATCAGTGGCTCTGAGCTTGGAGGCGCTGATGCTGTACTATATTGACTGTGGACATACCAACAGTACGACTTCTCTGTAGCGCAAAAAAATAGTCTCCTCTTTCGCCCAAATATTGTCAGTGTGTCAGTCCCAAATGCACTGAGACCAGTAGAGAGATTGTATTGTAAATTGCTAATGGCCTTTAGACACCTGCGCGTCCTAACTACAGCATCTCTGTTGACCAAACGCTGCTTCCTAGCTACTTCAATTCGTTTTGTAGAGCACGGGCTAACAGTGATTCCTGATATGTAGTGTGTGATTGTGCTAGACTTTGGCAATCTACAAACAATAGTCGGGTCTCTTCTCTATCTAGCAACTCCTCCCTGATTGTCCTCTACAAGTTGCCTTCCTCCTGAGTCGCAACTAGGCTGTCCTGGCCTTCAGTCCCTTAGGCTTGGTCGTCTTTGGCTTTGTCGTCTTAGGCTTGGTCGTCTTAGGTTTGGATGTCTTAGGCTTGGATTTGATCGGCTTTGGGGATGGTGTTGGCTTCGCTTTGACTGGACAAGCAGCGGGAGCCCTCCCATCAAGATCATCGCGCTTTTGCCTGACGTTGGACCCTACCCATGGACCCTTCTTCCAGTTAACTCGCGGGTAATCAGATTTCAACGTCTCTGCTTCGGGCCTGGGGTAGCATTTTCCGCAGACTTTCATCTTGTCGAGCATGGCGAACGGTATAGCAACTTGAAGGTAGTGCTCCAATTTGGCGAAGCGTAGCGTAGAGGCTGGAGAGAACTTGTCGTTTGACATAATGCTGATGTAGGCGTTGACGTTGGAATCGCTGAAGCGAGTACATTGCTTCAACTTGGGATCTTCCGTAAACCAGACTTTGTTCGCGGCTTTAAGTTGGGTGGTATCCGCATAAGCGACACACCAGCTGCGTGGAAGTCAGTAAAAGGGCTGACTAAACTGCTGAGCTACATCAGACTCAAAGTGTAAGAAAACGTACTGAGTTTCTGTGCCGTCACCAGCCCAGTCGCCGAAGCCGTCACTGAAGTAAATAACTCCATTACCCAGATCTTTGCCATGAGGTTTTGCTTGAGGAAATGTCTTTGCTGTATTTACCGTGTCGGCAATATCCTGTAGAGTAAAGTGTTAGTTAACGATGTATTGTCAGCGGCGCCAAGAATGAATCTGGTGTTGAAAGTTAAAGCGAGGGAATGATTTATGACGCAGTTGTGAGATATCAGCTAAAAGGGCTACCACGTCGTACCTTTGTCATCACAGTGCGATATCCAATGATTTCACCAGGACAATTGATATCACCAGGCTTAGACAGTTTGCTTCCACGTCCTTGAAGGGTGTAATCGACTGGTGTCGCTGCGACAAGGCCCATTGTGGCAAGTACAGCAAACATTGATTTTGAATGCATCTTAGTGGTTCGTTGGAGGAAGAATATAAAACTGATAGGTGGAGAAGTTGACAAGAGATCAGAGCAACACACACAGACCGGCTGTGACGGAAGAGAATGAGCGGTTGAAAGCCGTGAAGGTAGCGAAGGTAATTTAAAAAGATAGAAAATGAGTGCAAGGTTCGAGTCTGAGAGAATGTGAGGGAATGACTGGACTGGAAACTCTACAGTGATTGTTGACAGGCAATAAATACTCGAGTTGAGGTATTCTTCGCCCCATCTCCCTTGTAGAAGCATGAGGCGTGAACGAACAAGGGGTTGTCTAGTTCCGTGGAAGTCCGTTCAGCTCTAATCTGCCTTGTCTGCTCGAGAGAGGTCGAAGGAAGCGTGTTCACACAGATCCGGTCCTGTTGTAGCTAGTATCTGCCTATCCTAGCTGGTGTGGACCCAAAAGTACCTTGACTTTTGGCCTCATACTCGAAGTGTGAGGCTGACACGGATGTAATAAGTAGGACCGAACAGGCAACCATTAAAGTCCGTAAGAGTAGACTAAGAATCCATACGCCAGTTGCCGTGCTGCAGATGGTGGCAGCGTAGCAAATGCCAAACAGCTAGACTACGCCGTACGGTGTCTAACCCAATCTGGTCATTCGTGCAGCTCCGCTAGCTTGCTACGCCCCTCGAGCACATATTGTATCTCCGCAACCAACCCCGTCGCTATTTGTAGTCACAGCCTCGACTACTTATTACTTACCTCCGATCTGCTGCCTAGCAACAGTGCTTCCACCTCGACGCAATTTGTCCTGCATTCCTCCACGGCCCATCATCATTAACATGGAAACCAAGTCAGACGACGCTAAGGAACAACTGCTAGCCTTACTCTGTAGGGGTGAGGATCCATGGGTCTGGGGAGGGGATGCTCATAATTGTCGGGTCCGTTTTGAAAGGAACGGCATAGGTGGAGTGAGTTTAATTCTTCCACCGCGCACACTTGCTGTCACCAGTTGCTAATGCACTCCAGCTGAATTGTGGAGAAAACCAACGTAGTTGGATCAGCTCTGAGTTCAATTGGGTTCTCTTGACAGAGCCAGTGAGGGCTGACACTGGCATCTGGACTTTTACCATTGAGATGACCCTCACCACCCGCTTTAGCTCAGAATACCACGAGACCAACCACTGGTTCAAAGGCGCAGCGCTACAAGACTATCTACAAAAGCCCCCGCCTCCGAGCGAAGCTCCATTCTCATGGGCGCCGCTGTACAGCGCCGCCTTCCTTCCCAAGCAGTTTACCCTGACGCTTTCGCGTGGCACTTTTATCGAGCCTTTTCACGAATTCGTTAAGCCTCCATATCCTCTCTTTCAACGTTATCGCTTTGCGCCCACCCGCTACTCTTACAAGATCTCATTTGACAAGTCGCCATATCCGCCACCTGAGGAATGGGATAAGTCATTCGAGAATAATGTTCTAGGGGCGAGCATGAATTACCATCGCTACTGGGAGATGAAAGATTTCGTTTGGGGGCGCAAGGACAAAACGTGGGCGCAGACTCTAGATCTGGGATGGTGGTTGAGCCCGTCCGTTGGTGACGGCTATTGGAGAGGTCGGGAGAGACATCCAATCTGGGATGAGTACTTTGCTTTCCTGGGAAAGTCAAAGAAGTAGCTAGATGAGAATAACACTTATTCGCTTACCTTTGTAGGCACTGTCAAACAGCGTTACAGACCTTACTAGCGACTATGTCCCATGTGGTGAATGTACATGCATCAACAACGGTAGAAACAGTCTTGTCCAAGACATCCAAATTGAACATGCACGCATTCCATCTACTGCACCCACATCAACATGCTCTCTTCAATCGCCGCATCCATGTCAGACTCCGCGGAGTAACAATCCATCGGCCAATAAGAAGCTTCCCGGACCCACGTCGATATGCACCGCAGCGGATCACCGTTTCGTAAACCCATCGCGAAGCTTACTCGTGCCAGCACCATCCGCGTTGTTCACGATCCTATCGTAAATCTCAGCCTATGGCGAGTGCGTGCCAGAAGCATTCTCGGATGGCATGCCCGAGCGAGGCACTCGATTCCTGCGCACCACGGACGCTATACAGTGGAGTCGCGTGGGATGCGTGCGTCTTGCTGCAGAGGGCATGGGATTGTAATAATTGCCAGGCCTCCCTTTTGCGGCCGCCGCGCGCTTACAAATATCCTTCACCGCCGCACCCAACGTGCGTGGCTGATTCAACGCCCTACCATCCCAGTATCCGAATCCATTCGATCGGCATTTGTAGACATTGAATTCTCACTGGGCAGCTCGTGTTGTCGTCGCTCGCTCCCACGCTGCCTCCCAGCCTCAAAACACTGGCTCTCGACTCGCCTCCTGTGTCGCCTCGCTCAACGTCGCTTATCTCCTGCCCACGGATTTGTCTGCCATGACGTATATCAATCCGCGCGACTCCCGCGTATCCTCGCCCGACCTTACACCCACAGAGCCCTTGATCTTCACGGGGGGGTGCCATTGCAAGAAAGTTACGTACACGGTGCGTCTCGCATGCAAATCCGAGGCACGGACGACGATTTGCCATTGCGAGAGCTGCAAGAAGACGTTTGGGGGCGTGTTTGGGGTGACGGTGAAGATTCCGCTTACGGGACTGAAGATGACTGATGGAAAGACTGTAGTACGTTGGCTGCGACCCATGCATATGTGCTGCAGTAGAAGATGTTGGACGTGAGGTTAGATGGGTAGAACTGACGGGTGCAGGTTTATAAGTCTGACAATGGGTCGGGTACTTATTCGTACAGAGAGTTCTGCAATGAGTGCGGGAGTACGATATGTACTTATGAAGTGCGTGACAGACCTTGTCTTGGGCGTATTATGTGATGTGCTGACTGCTTATAGGAGCAAGCTAAGGGGCACTTTCGCCTCATGGCATTGGGATCACTTGACGATCCAGCTGCGTTCGAACCGACCGGCGAGTTTTACTGCTCGCAGCGAGAAGTGTGGTTGCCTGAGGTACCCGGGAAATCTCAGTTTTGGAAGCGTTGAGAGCAGTTGGGTTATAGTTAGACTATGCGCATAGCGATCAAAGTAATGAATCATCCGGCTCATAAGTAGCCTTATCCAAGCTGCTTGATGGCGTCCGGTGCGTACTCATTGGTATAAAACATCTTATGGGGGTGCTGACGAACAGTAGCAGACACTTCATTGCAGTGTGTGTACGTAGATATAGCGGGCATACACAGCTTGCTGTGCGGGAGATCACTGACAGTGATATCTCAATTTGACTGAGGTCGTTCCTTGACAACAGTGTTGTATACTATGTTCTTTAGTCATTGTTATCATCTAGTTTCCACAAAGAAACTTGTCTGATGCCATTGGGTTGCAAAGGATCTTTGAGGAAGCCGCTCATTAGGAGAGGCTGTTCATCAAATTCTCACCTGTCTGCTAAGTTCATGTCGCAAGCGAGTAGTAAGAGGATCCGGAACAGAGACCTGGATAACTGTTGGACTCGAATCAACGAGCTATGTTCAACGGTAGGACCAAGCCAGATTTCGGACTACTATACCAAATCGTATTCAAGCAAACATCCTGGGCGTGTTGTGGGCACGCTTCTGACCGCTAACAGCTCACCAAAGTCACTGGATACTATCACAGCGTGTCAAGAACCTTTACGGGGGGCCGCCGCTCCTCGCCTAAGCAGATTATGTGACGATACAGAAACAAAGGAAGGGTGGCTGACCACGCAGAGTGCATCCTTCTACCGCTAATTGAGGTGCCATCAAGCGGTGAGATGCGACAGTATCGCCACCGTTACACTGAACGGTGGCCGCGGGCGGTTGGCATTGACCACACATTGCCTGAAGACAGAAAACGGAACACATCAACGATTCAAGCCTTGCTTCATGTTCTCTACAGTCATGCGTCTGTGGCTTGCAAAGAGCTGCGCCGAGTTGGAGAAACCAGTCGCCCAAGGCGTGCATGGCCTCGGTGCCCCAGGGTGCCGATCGAGACGAAACAACGTCCGCGCATTCCTTGTCACAAAGTTCTTGTCACAAATAAGCTCTCGGAAGGTTTGCAGTCACGCAAACTGCCGGGAACTTTTCTCGGGTACTGAGGCCCTAGCTAGAGACGCGTTTGAGGCATGCGGGCGATGAGGCATGGCGTGGGTTGATGCAAACAGAACAAGCAAGAAGGCCAAGCTAGAACTTACCTCTCTACCGGTATTGTAAGTCCGGGGAGGCCGAGGAGGTTGTTGGTTTTCACAAGTCGATGTCAATGTTAACGGGGAGTGCCATTGTGGATCTGTACATCACTTGTCCCATCCAAATGATGCGGAAGAAATCTCCGACGAGTTACTGTTGCGATCGAGCCTTGCCCGACCTGCTTCTTGAATCATGAAAATATCATGTTGACGCAGTGCCGTCTGCTTCGAAAATTTCCTCGACCTTCCATGACATGCGTTACAGGTGCCAGCCTAAGGGAGTCCCAGACGCGCAGTTGCATCAAGTCGTTGGCGTGAGTCTCGCCCATCACGCGAGTCGACATCAACAACGCGTATTCGAGGTTTGTAAACATCTCTCATACGGAACCAATCCGATGGTGGGGATCCGCAGGCGTGATTCGGCTCTGTGCGGGTTAGGTACGAGACGTCAACTACGTTCCAGGCTGTTTCGGATCGCTGAGGCACTACCTAGGCATCCATGTGAAGATCTGTTACTCAGGTTCGGCGGGGTCACAGGTTTTCAGAATTGTTTCGACACGAAACTGCATGAAGAACCGCACCGGATGTAGAAGGATGGCCTCTCCAAGGCAGCGACCTGGTCACGGGCATGACGGCGGAGAGTGACGGCATAGACGGCGACTCGGAACGTCTGGAAGCAAGCAGAGTGCGCCTGGGAGAACGCCGTGTGATGCGCGGACTGCTGCGCCTCAGCTCTCGAAAGGACCGATCAAGTTCCTTGTCGGACAGTGATGATGATAGGGCGGGTTGAGGACGTTGAGAGTTGCCTTTCTGCCTGATTTTGAGATGGGTGGCTCAGCCACACGTCTCGACCAATCAAAACAAGCGTGGCAACAGAATGGGGCTTGTGTTCAATTGCACGCCCTGAAGCTCAGTCACCGGCTGTGTTTACCCAGACCTAGCCTTGCAACACCAGCATGCCATCATGTATAGATATGACTCTTGCACCAAGGGGGGAGGTATTTGCAATATCGTTCGCTCGCTTTTGCATTTTTGGAAGCCTCCACGATGGCGAACTGTCCACGCAAGCCAACGAATGCTCTCATCACCTTCCAGGTGCTTCACTTCGTCAGTCAACTGCGCCGACGTGTCAAGCCACGTGTGCAAAGGGGCTTCGATGGTGATCCTCAGCTTGGCAACACGTTCCCCATTGACCGCCGGGCGACGAGGCACTGTGCTGGGTTGTCCCGACTTAGGTCCCGCGACGCGAAGCAGCCGCAGCACATCGCCAACCGCATTTGCAAGTACCGCAAGAACAACCAGAAGCCGATTAGGCCGGCACTCAGGCTTCGTGCGTCGGGCGTAGATGTATCCGAGCGCTCAAACAAGTCTGGAGAAGACATGCAACAGTACGTCGAAAGAAGCTTCCGTTTGGTTTCATCCACTAAGCTCCCGCGTAGTATGCTTAGCTCTGTTGACAACCTTCTCGGTCCTACTGGCAAGGCCCTATCAACGATTGCGAGCAACGATGAGCGTTTCCTAGAACAGCGTAATTCGCCGATCTTCGAGTGCAAGTCCCTGGACGATCTTGTGCAATTGTTGATGAGCACTTACGAGGCCATTCAAACCCTGTTGTATTGTCGTTCGCAGTTCAGTGACAGCTTTCTCGCAGCACAAGGTCAAGACTTTGGGCTCGATGTGGATGAGACGTTTGTTGCGAACTACGAGCATTTACTGCTGCAGCTTCAGACGGAACTCATCGACGCACTAAAGCGCAAAGCGCTGCATGAGCTTCTGCACCCAACAGGAGGGCACAACAAAAAGCAACGCAAGCTTCTGAGTTGGTTCAATGAATTCGCTGAGAAGCCGCGCCCACTCAGCGCATCCTTCCCATGGACCATCAAGCCGTCATTGGCTGTATTGTGGGGTGTAAGCTCAACTCAGACCTCACTACCAATACGTCGGGGCATGTGCTAACGTAAAGTGACCCAGGTCTGCTGGATGTTCTACAACGCTCCCGGCAATGCATCTGTGGACGACGGTCACGAAGGTGGCAACCATCGCGTTCCAGGCACTCGTATGCTTCAACACGTTGATGTTCCATGGACCGCTCCACAATCGTCTGAATGTGAGTTTCGCACGATGTGTTCGCTGTGTTCGCTGCGTTTCAGTTGCTAAACTTGTCAGATTTCAACTTCGGCTTGCAGTTGATTGGCTCACAGCCGCAACCTGAGGTGCAACAACAAACTGGCGACAACATAGCAGTGGGCCGCCAGAGTGATGTGTCCCATGCATCACGAAACGCGGATACCTGGTCGCCCGATTGGAATCATTTGGAATCTAGGCATCCAAGCCTTACAGAATCCCAGCCCGTGCCGATTGGTTCGCTGCCTGCTGCGCAGCCCCAATTCCCAGGTAAGACTAGCGAGCTTTCGAAGTGACTCCGAATGCCCACCAGAGCAGAGTTTCAGCCTACAGTAAACTACAGCTAACGTTGGGCCAGGGCAGAGTACTTATTATCGGGTCGCCCCCCAGCAGTACCCCATATATTTCGATAATAATTATTTGCCGCAAGATCCAGGCGCCGTAGCAATTACGGCCTTTCCGCAGCTTAGCCCCGACAATCTTGACCAAAGCTCTTGGCAACTTCCGTACTCTTCTTTGCCACAGCACAGTCCGCGTCATCTGATAAACTCTACACAGTGTCCAAGCATTCGAGTCACAGGGACAGCGGGAACGGGCAGTGAGGTAGTTGCTCCGCCACAATCCGAATTCGCGGCCTGGTCAAATTATATATCATCCTACGCCTCAGGCCCGCCACGCAACAACGACCACTCAAACTTCAACCTCTTCACCATGGGAAACACCTTGCCACCAGTTGACGCATCGTCGATACAACTCCCACGCATTAATCTTAAGCACGAACGCTCGCATTCCATCAATTCAAACTCAGATTTACCAACTCCAGTCAGCATGGCCGGTGGAGCTCTCCCATCACCTATTGGTGATCAACACAGAACGACCATGTCGAGCCCTCAAACTCACACAAGACAACCCTCCGAAGAATTCTCCTCGCAAGATGAACATGACGGGCCGCTGAGGAAAAATCACTCATACAAACGTGCCGAAGAGCCACCGCGTAATGACGACGCAAAGATGATTTGCAAACACCAGGAATGTTCAGGACTGACATTCGATCGCAAGTGCGAGTGGAGGTAAGTTTGATACCAACGTTACATCTAAGCATCCCCCTGACCTCTCCACAGCAAACACATGGACAAGCATGACCGACCCTACAAGTGTCTCGTCCGAGGATGCGAGAAGCTGCAAGGATTCACCTACAGCGGCGGGCTCCTGCGGCACGAACGTGAAGTGCACAAGATGCACGGCGGCACCAAGAAGTCGCTGTTCTGCCCCTTCACAGATTGCAAGCGCAGCTCCGGCGCCGGCTTCACACGGAAGGAGAACCTTGCCGAGCACATCCGCCGCGTGCACCGTCGCACAAGCATGTCAGCGGACATGCATGGCCTGGTGATCCGCCGTGACATCCTCGAGCGCTCGCCCACCGTCGAGAGCCGCCAGGCCTCCGAGTCGCCCTATGTCCGCAACTTGGAGTACCGCGGCAGCGAGGAGCCCGCTCTCAAGCGCAAGCGTGTCACTGATTCGGTGCTGTCGGATCGCGCTGACGAGGACTTGCGCGGGGAGATCAAGCGCCTGCGTTACGAGAATGAGGAGAAGGACGCGCGGTTACGGCAGCTCGAGCAGGCCGTCATGGCGCTGCAGCAGAGTCGCAGGTAACACTTTCCTTTGATTCATCTCGCACCGCTGCCTCACGCCGATTATTGGAGGTAATTTCTATTTGTCATCACACAGCAGCACTCTTGCAGGCGTACGGTTTAATGTCTTTCCTATTCTCCATCTCCAACTTGCATAGCACGGACACTGGCATTCGGACTTCTCACAGTCACCCATTTACATTGCGCACCCCACCCTCTTCTCCTCTGGCAGGATGACGCTCGTTGTACATATTACTGAGCGTCTGACTGCTCTTAAAACTATTTGTATTTATTGTCAGCATGGCTGGAACATGCGCTCACGCGATGACGGGAGCCCCGGGACCACGATGCTACACCAGCGCGTATCCACGGCCGTCCCCACCACTCTGTATCATAACGTAGTCGTAATCAGGCGCGAAATACACGCAGTAAAAACCCCTCACCTGTGCACCACACCCCAGCTTTCCCCCTCGTCGTCCGAGTCCGCCGTGCGCCCTCACCTGCTGCCCGAGTGAGGTCCCAATAACGTTCCGCCCCCACCGCGCACTCCGCCTCGGTGCCTGACGCCCAACGCCCGCCTGCCTGACCGGCCTCGCTGCTGCGCGTCATCTGCGGGCCTCAGCCAGCCCCCCCGATCGCCTGTCCACGGCTACGCCCACACGGGCAAGAGGTGTGCATGCATGTCAGATCTGCGAACGGCGCATCGTGCGCGCTCCGGCCGGGCCGCGCGCGCGCTGCGTAAGCAAGGCGCCGGTGTCCGGGCGTCCGCGGGGGCCGCCGGCTACGGTGCTAAGGCCGTGAATAGTAATTACTGAGGTTTTTGCGGATGGCGGGCGGAGGAGTGGCGAGGGCGGAGCGAGTGTGTGAGTCACAGGTGAGTGGGTGTTGCCTCAGGTGGCGGTGCGGGTGATAGGTGGAGCGTGGGCATGTGACAGCGTGTTAGCGCGGCGCGACGACGCGTTGGTGCCTGTTGTGCCGTGTTGAGGAATTGGTGGTGGGCGAGGGCGGTGGATGGTGGGTAGGGGGGGTTAGGGGGTGTGGCGGGTGTGGCGTTGCTGCCTTGGGGAAGTACGAGGGCGGTGGTGTGTGCAGTGGTGGAGCGAAATGGAATTCAGGATTGTTGGGCGGGTGCGGTGTAGGTTACATTTGGGGACATGGGAGCCGTGGCTGCTGCGTGGGTGCATATGTGGCTTTCGGTGGTCTGGGAGTGGTGACATTTCTACAAGACTATTTGACATAAGACAACAATACAGAGTCGCCACTGGCAATCCAAATCTCCGTACTTCTAGAAGCAACGCCCAAGCACGTTGAAGCACTAGATTAAGAACAAGGAAGCACCCTCTCGGTTTGCCCCAACTGTTTCCCAGGTCCTGACAAGATTTGGCTTACGGCGTATAACACTCTAACTGGAATAGCTGCCCGTGCAATCCCAACAACCCCATGTGCAGAGTTCAGTAGCGTACGGACATCCCTCCGCACAGCATCAAGAAAGAGTTTAAAATACGCGCTGGCCGTGCCGTGTTAGCCAGCGCAGAACGTCGATGCGGTGGCAGGCTGCTGTCACGACACCGCCCCAGTATGACCGATCTATCTAAGGGTCTCGATCGCAGGAGGCTCACAGGAAGGATGTCAACCAAACGTAAGTCTGAGTCATGAGGAGGGTATTTGTGACGCATGCAGGCGGCGAGGATGCCGTGCAGCGCGCCAGTGAGTGAGGGGAGATGGGTTTGCATCCGGTGATCCGCCAGGCAGCATCGTCGTGATCGCGAGGACTCACGAATGGAGGCCGGCTGTTGTCCAGACGTAGTGGTTGTCACCGGGTCAGCTGAAGATGGTGCTCCTGGCTGCGTTTGGTGATGATGGAGTCAGCAAGAGGTGGTTAGTTACGTGAGAAATGATCCTGCCAGATGAGAAAGGTGATGTGATAACAAAGCTTTGTTGCAGGCCTTTGAAGTACATGGGATTCATATCTCAAGTACACGTATCGTAACCAGCACCGGGTATATGTGCGCTGACGTTGCATCAGCATTGCGAAACAATGGCTGTAGAGGAGCCTACAACCTCACAGCTCACGCTTTCGGCTGCTGGGCTTTCGGCTCGAGCTGCTCTTTGGCCTCCTTGGCCGCCATCTCGCGTGCCGTCTTTCTGAATCCTTCGATCTTGTCATCAATAATGGCAATTTCTACCTCGAACTTCAGGAGCCTCTCTTGCAGCATCTCTTCGTAGCGCTCGTCGGTCAGGGCCTCCATGGGGCTCCACTTCATCTCTGCGATGCGGTCCATGAAATTCTTCTTCTTCTCCCCCTTGGCGGCCAGACGCGCTTCTTCCTTGACTTCTTCGGTATTTTTGGTGTCGAGGAAGTCGTATCCCTGTTGGCCTAGGAAGCCCCAGAGGCCAAACATGAAAGTCCCTGGAATGGCATTTCGTGGCCCACGGAAGAGCAGACCAAGACTGAGACCAGTGAATGCGCCGGCCATAGTGGAAGCACGGACCTTGTCCGAGTGGGTGGGCGTCAGGTCATTGCGAGGGCCCAGAGGCAGCCCGCGAGTGGCCTTCCACCAGTTCTGCAGGCCATCTGGGTTGAGGATAGCGCTGCGAGCGGTCCAGAAGGTGCTGCCCAGGGCAAAGCACTGGATGCCAGAGGCAATGGTAAACAGAACGGGAGTCTGTGAGCGCAGTGTTCCAGAGACGGCGCCAATTGCAGTTCCGGGTATGGCTGGAGGATTTAGAAAGTGACTGAGAAAAGGCTGACAGGGTGACTGAGCGGGAGAAGACGAGGGATGAGAAGGGGGAAGAGATGGTGAGGCGTGAGGAGGGAGAGAAGGAGATGGCGAGGCGTGAGGAGAGAGAATAAGAAGACGAGGCGTGAGGAGGGAAGAATGAGATGGCAAAGCATGAGGCTACTGTTCTCACGCAGATGGCACGGCGAAACTTTCTCCTCACGTCTCGTCACGGGAAAGTGCAGCACAAGGGAACTCAGAAAACAATGCACATACCGGTGAGCCCGCCAATGCCCGCGGCGTCCCTGATCACATGCAGCGGGTGGGTGAGCTGGGCGGGGTCGTGCGACGGCATGGCTGTCCCATGGACGTGCAGTCGAGAGTCGCAGTCGCGGTCTCGGGTCGGGGCTCGGGTCGCATGTGAGTGATGTAAGGACGCACGGACGCACCCAAAATTGCAGAACGCACTTGCGAATTCCGGGCAGCACTTGGTGGATCTGAGCCGCGCCCCAACGACACCACCACCACGCACGACGACCCGAGAGCAGACCCCGCTCTCCCTCACACACACACACACACATAGCGCGCGGACACGACTGCGCGTTGACGGCACCGCAATCATGGGTACGCCCCCCCGCGGGCCGCGCAGGCTGGGCGGCGGCTTTTTTGCCCCGCTCGGTGCGGCCCCAACGTGGAGGCAGCACGGCTGACGGACGGTGCAGCGCCCAAGAACAAGAAGGCGGAGAAGATGTCGCTGGGAGACTTCCTCGGCGACCAGTGTAGGCGCCCCCCGCCGCCCGCCGCGCGCCGCGACTGACGAGAGCAGCTCTAGGCTCGTGGGCCGACGAGATGGAGGACGCGCCCATGCCCCGTGAGTGTCCCCCGCCCCGCGCTTCCCCCCGCCATACTGACTCCCGCAGGCGCAGGTACCCTTCCCGACCGCCGGTAGTCCGCCGGCCCGCCCGCGGGCGACTCTCGACTGCATGCTGACCCGGCTAGGTGGCTTTGGCGGCGCCAGCTACGGCGGCGACCGGCCCTCATACGGCGGTGGCAGCGGCTTCAGTGCCCGCACCGACAGCTTTGGTGCGTGCGCCCGTCCCTGCGAGTCTATCTGCGAGTCTGTGTTGGCTAACCCGTCCCAGCCGAGCGCGGCTTCGCGACCCGCGAGGAGCTGCCCCTCCCCTCCAAGCCCCCGTACACGGCCCATCTGGGCAACCTGTCCTTCGACGCCACTGAGGGCGACGTCAACGACTTCTTCGGCGACTGCGAGGTCACCAACGTGCGCATCGTCGAGGACAAGCTCGACCGCAAGCCCAAGGGCTTCGGCTACGTCGAGTTCGGCTCGCTCGACGGCCTGAAGAAGGCGCTCGACCTGTCCGGCTCGCAGTTCCAGGGCCGCAATGTGCGCGTCAGCGTCGCCGAGCCCCGTACGTATCGCGCTGCCTATGAGACGCTGTAGCTGACCTGTCGCAGCCAAGGACCGCCCCGAGGCACGCGACATTTCCGACTGGTCTCGCAAGGGGCCCCTCCCCGACCTGCCCGGCCAGCGCTCCGGCCCTGCCCGTGGCTTCGGCGGCGGCCGCAACTTCGACGCCGCCTCGGACGCCGGCAGTGACCGTGGCGAGCGCAGACGCCCGGCCTTCGAGGGCGACGGCAAGCCGCGCGACTTCGGCAACTGGGAGCGCCGCGGCCCCCTCTCGCCCTCTGCAGAGGGTCCCCGCGAGGGCGGCAGGCGCTTCGACGGCCCCCGCGAGCCCCGTGAAGGCGGATTCCGCGAGAGGCAGTCGCCCGCCTGGGGCGAGGGCCGTCCCGAGGGCGAGCGTGCCCCCCGCCGCGAGTTCCAGCCCGCCGAAGGCAGGCCACAGGTCGAGAGGCAGCCCACTGCCGCAGACCAGGACAGCCAGTGGAGGTCGAAGATGCGCCCCGACGCTGCGTCTCCCACCGGCACCCCTGACGCCAGCACGCCCTCGTCGCCCGCGCCTCTGCCCAGCCGCCCTAGGCTGAACCTCGCAAAGCGCACCGTGTCTGAGGCCCCTACCGCCTCGGCCGCAACTCCCTCGGACAAGCCGAACCCCTTCGGTGCTGCCCGTCCTATCGACACAGCTGCCCGCGACAAGGAGGTCGAGGAGAGGCAGAAGCAGGCCGCACAGCAGAAGAAGGAGGCAGACGACAAGGCCCGCGAGGAGAAGAAGGCCAAGGAGGTTGCCGCCAAGGAGACCGCTGCTGCGAAGCCGGCCGAAGAGTCCACTGGCGACAATGTTCCTAAGGCAGTCGACAACCCCGAGGCCAAGATTGAGGACGAGTCTGCCAACGGTGAGATCGTCGGCGACAAGGCCGTCAAGCCCGAGGAGCCGGTTGTGGCCCCCAAGGACGGTGGATCGTGGAGGCGCAAGTCCAGCACGCCCGCGGCCCCTGCGTCCACAACTGAGGCCGTGGAAGAGGATGGCTGGAGCACCGTCACCAAGGCGCCCAAGACCACCCGCAACAACCGTCGCGGCGGCGCTCCTGCCCGTGCCATTGCCTCGTAAGCCATCATCTGCAGGCATGTGGTGACTGGTGGTTGTTCCTATTGCGTTCTCCAAATAGCGACGTCGCGCATTTCACCGGCGTGGCGGAGTCTTCAAGGGTTTTGATCTGTTCATTCTGGGCAGCTGTGTTTGCTGGCAGTCTTGGAGTGCACTCGTGTCTTGCCTTCGAAGCAATGCAAGGCGTTTGTGCGCTGGTGAGGCCAATCGCTTTCGCTGCGCCTTTACCGGTCATGTCGCTCACGATACCCGAGCGTGCCATCACTCCGTTTTCCTTCCGTCCTCTAAAAGTTACGGTCTCTCATCAGCATTTTGCCGCCCATCTAGGCTTCGAAATCTTGGGCTGCCATCTTCTCGAATCCTTCGCCGAACACCAAAACTGGGACGTGTCCCACTCCGCTTACGAGGTCAATGTCATGACGATAATGTATCTTTCCATAGACGACATGAGTGCTTGGGCATGTATTTATTGCAGGTTAGATTGGCGGTTGAATTCTCCACTTAACTCCAGCCCCGACTTGTGAGCATGTGATCTGTTAAGTCTTGTAATGCAACAGTGTCGACACGTCCGCAAACATATTTGTGGAGGTGAGATGGGACGTTGATGATCGCCGTTGACGTCGATCACTCCCGAGTGGCTGACAGGGTAGCCCTGTTCCCGCCCCTCATACGTCACGTCCGACCTCGATATCTTGCTTTGGCTTGTGGAACCTCGAGAACGTCGTCCGTTGAGAATTTCAATTGAATCCACGTTGCATAGTGAGTGGAACGTATCCTACTGCATTCTGATTAAAATCTGCCAATCCATCCCCAGCATTCCAAAGAAAGCAAGGTACAGCCTTGATCTACCTGCAATTCACAGCGAGCCTTGAGACACTTCAGCAGCTATCTAGCCACACCACTCGCTGGAACTCAAGCTATGTCGTCGAAAACACAACCGGCCGGTCCTGCAACGGCGGCAGCGAAACAGACGCGTTCTCGCAAAGCAGCCAACCCGGATGCTGCAGCTACAGGCCGAGCTGGCTCAGCGGGCGGCGTAATGCTCGAGAGGGAGGCTGTTAAGAAGACATCCACGTCGACTCCATCCACAGTCCAGAAAGCCACTCCAAGCCAGCCCAAAGCTACCCCAAGCCAGCCCAAAGCCGCCGCAAGCCAACCCAAGCCCACTCCATCCACAGCCCCCAAACCCACCACAGCTCAACCGAAAGACGCCCCTCCGAAGCGTAAGCCGCGAAAGCTCAACAAGGAACCTACATCCACGCCCACGCCCTCGGCCGCTGCAAAAGACCCCCCCTTCCCCTCGGCCGCCGAACTCGAAGCCCTCAAAGCCCGCGTCCGCGGCCTCGAAGCCCGCGTCGAGGACCTGTACAAAGCGGCCCCGGCCCCCTCGGCAGCGACGCCGGCGGCGACACCGCGCTCACCCCGTCGCCGCGGCAAGAGCCGGAAGACGTCCAGCGCGACGACGACGGCGACGCTGGGCACGCTGAGAGATGAGAGGGAGAGGGAGCAGAGCGGGGCGGTGGACGAGGACGCCGACGCCGACGCCGATGCGTATGCAGACGCAGACGCAGACGCCGAGCTAGGCCGTCTCGAAGACGAACTCGCAGTAGCGCGGCGCGCGCTGGCTCTCTCGCAGCCACCGCTCCGCCACGCCAACGCCGACGCCGACGTCGAGGACATACCGCGCGACCGCGGCCCCGCCGTGGGCGCGCCCGACCGCCTCGTCACGCTCAGCGGCAGCTACCGCATCCCGCTCCCCGCGTCGCTGAACCCGGCCGACGTGGCCACGATCCAGAGCGGGGTTGCCGCGGCGCGCGACGTGGCGCGGTCGTTTATGGAGCAGCGGCGGGCGAGCGCGGATAGGGCTTCTACTTCTGCTTCTGGTGGTGGAGGGGCGAAGACGGGGCGGGCGAGTGCGAGGAGCCAGGAGGGCGGGGTGGAGGCGGGTGAGGGACAGGCGGGGAGGCAGGGCTGGGGCGAGTGGATTGGCGGGTATAGCATGGCGATTAGCCGTGCGGTGAAGAGTATTGAGCACGAGGCGGCTATGGAGGCGCAGAGGCCGGGGCAGGCGAGGACGGGGACGGGGGGAGCGGCGCGGAAGAAGAGGCCCGCGGCGAAGACGGTGATTAGCGGGGAGCAGATCCAGGGGCTGATGAGCTGAGTACGGTGCAGACGTGTACGATAAGTGGGTTAGTAGCACATAGCATGACAGGCGTTTGCGAGCAAAGTCTTCCGTGTTGATTGCTCTACAGTCTGCGGCGCGTGTACGCCCAGTACGCCTTTGCGGGGAGCTTCCAGTCGTTCTTGCGCAGCCCGGGGTCGAACAGGTCGAAGTTTGCCTGCTGCAGGCGGTCGAGCCACGACTGCGTCGCCACGCTCGCCACGAACACGCCAAACGCCTGCTCGACCTCCGCCAGCTGCTGCTCCTTCCCCGCGCCCAGCTGCTCGGCGCCATAGCTATGCTCGCCGTCGTGCTGGTGCTCGAAGTCGTGTCCCAGACTGCCCTCGGCGCGCAGCTTGGCCAACATGTCGCGCGCGGTGATCAGGTGGTCGTTTGCGCGCGTCGCGACCGCGAAGACGGCGTCTTGGAGTCCCGGCGCCGCGCCGCCCATGCGGAAGACGTCTTCCTCCTTGACGTTTGCCTCTGCCATGACGTCGAGCGGGAGCAGCACGGCGCCCTGTGTTGGGCCCGACTGACCTGTGATATGGCCTGCGGTGCCGGCGGGCGCGGGCTGCGGGAAGGCGACGAGCGGGACGCCGCGCAGCACAGCGGCGATACCGGTCGCTTTGCCAATGTGCGAGGCGATGTGGTCGGTGGTGATGCTGGCCTGGGGCAGGGCGCTGAGCGTGAGGTACATGAGGGTCGAGTACGTGTTCTCGGCGTAGGACTCGAGGGCCTGCAAGGTGGGATACGGCGGGTTGGCGAGGTGCTGCTCGCGCGTGTTGATGATGCGGTGGAACCAGTTCTTGCTCAGGCGACTGCGGCCGTCGGTGCGCGTGTGCAGGGACTCGGCGGCGTGGGCGAGCAGGATGGCGACGGGCTCCTTGGGCGGCGAGCCGGCGAGCGCCTTGGTGACGGCGTCGCGCCAGAACTGCATGCGCATCATGCCAATGGTGGGCGTGCTGGTGGTATCGGCGACGCGGGCGACGTCGACGTTGAAGGCGCGGATGGCGAGGTAGGCATCGCGCGAGGCGTGGGGGATGAAGGACTGGAGGATGTGCGAGGGCGTGTCGTAGGTGCGGACGAGGTGTGCGCAGTAGGCCCGGGCCTTGTCGACCTCAGCTTGGGACGGCCGCGGGGCGTCGGTGAAGCATTGCGACTGCCGTGTTTGTATGCGCCGTCGCTGTGGTGTGGAGACGGAGTAGATGCGCCGGACGGGTGCTGCGCGGAGCTTTGCAGTTTGCATTGAGGAGTGAGACTACAATCAGCCGCGAGGAAAGAAAGGCGCTCAATTCTGGAGGCGCTCAATTCTGGCGGCGCAACAATACTGCAAACAGCGTACTAATACAGACAGACTTCGTAATCTGCAAAGTGTAGACGACAATTCGCCGATGACGCCGTCATGCAGATCGCTCTAGCGCGAAAGCGCGTCGCGTGGCGAGTCGCGTAAAGTGCAGCTATATCCGGGCACTTGTTGTCGGATGGTTCTGGGGCGACCAACTTGCGATACCCATGGAGAGCCCTCATCCAGACGAGCGGCCACCAAAGAAGCGCCGTTTCTTCGAGGAAGACTCGTCGCCAGAGCAGTCGCGGTCCAGGTCGAAGCACAAGAAACCACCGCCACAGTCCCTGCCACAAGCTCCTTCGAGACCAGACGAAAGCGATGGCGGTAATGAGGCTGCAGATTTGGGCGGGTTCGATGTGGCAATGCTACAGGCTGTTGTTGGCGAGCTTCCATATGCGACCCTGCAGAAGCTGAAGGACGTCAGCAGCAGCAATGTCGAGCGAGGTGGGTAGAGTTACAAGACCGACCCCAGATAGCGAGCTAATGCTCACAGCAATCAACCTGTATCTCGACGGCTCGTGGGCCTCTGCGTCTCTTCCTGTGCCTGCCCCAATCTTCCAACCGCGTTCCCAGGCTGTCCAGACGACTATCGCGAGCTCGTTCAAGCGCACCGAGTCCGAAGGCTCCACTGCATCCCAAGGCTCCGGCAACTCGACACCCATGGCGCCGGTACTCAGAGATATGCCGTCGAAGCGGTACATCGGGTCTTTTGGAGTCGTAGGCTGGGCGACGACAAGCGGGACTGGACTGCTCAAGCATAACGAGAAGGTCACCATTGAACGCTTCAAGATGCAGCCGAAATCCAAGAAGCGCGTCGTCGCTCTCAAGAAGCAGGATGTTGTCGTCCGCTTCACAAACGAAAGAGGTCAAGAAGTGGGAAGACTTGAAAACGACTCTGCAGCCTGGGTGTCAGCCTTGGTCGACCAAAAGGTCTGCTCGTTTGAAGGGAGCTGCGTGTACGTGCCGGATAGGATACGAACAAGCGATACAATATATTTACAACTCCATGCGTTTTTCCTGCGCAGCGCTTTCGATGCCCGGAAGTTTACCAAGCCAGAAGACAACCGGGAAGTGAGCATATTCGAGGAAAAGGAGACGTCGGACGAGCGTGATCTGCGGATGCGTCAGGTCGGTCTTGTCAAGCTCTTTGAGTCTATCAACCTGCATCCGTCACGCCAGAACGAGCACACAGAGAAGCATAAGCGGCAGGGTCTGTTGCAAGCAGCCGAGAGTGCCGAAAAGAAGGACGAGAAGCCAAAGGTTAATGGCACAGACGGTACCTCCTCGCCGCCAGGTGATGAAGCTGAGGAAGGTGCCGAGCTCGAACAAGACCAGCTGGACTCGTTGTACAAGAAAGCGCAATCTTTTGATTTCAACACACCCACTATGGAGCCTGCGAGCACGTTCGTCATGAATCTTCGAAAGTACCAGAAACAAGCTCTGCACTGGATGATAGGGAAAGAAAAGGACGAATCGCTTGCTAACAAGGAAGTATCCATGCACCCTCTGTGGGAGGAGTATCAGTGGCCTGGCAAAGATGCGGACAACAAAGACCTGCCCGTGATTGAGGGCCAACCTATGTTCTACGTCAACCCGTACTCCGGCGAACTTTCGCTCGAGTTCCCGAAGCAGGAGCAGAATTGTCTTGGTGGTATCTTGGCTGATGAGATGGGTCTCGGTAAGACCATTGAGATGATGAGCTTGATCCACACACACAGGAACCTTCCAGACCAGTATGAGCAAGGGACTACACCCAAAGTTCTTCCGCGCCTGCAGAAGAGCAGTGCAGCCGTTGAGCCGGCCCCATACACCACGCTCGTTATTGCCCCAATGTCATTGCTTGCCCAATGGCACAGCGAAGCTGAAAAGGCATCCAAGGACGGCACATTGAAAGCCATGGTCTACTACGGCGCCGAAAAAGCCGTCAACCTCCAGAAGCTATGCTGCGCATCCAATGGAGCCAACGCTCCGAACGTGATCATTACCAGTTACGGCACGGTGCTATCCGAGTTCAATCAAGTTGCTGCTCAAGATGGCAACCGAGGCTCCCACGGCGGTATCTTCTCGCTGGACTACTTCCGGATCATCTTGGACGAAGCGCACTACATCAAGAACAGGCAGTCGAAGACAGCAAAGGCGTGCTACGAGCTCAGTGCGCGACATCGATGGGTACTCACTGGCACGCCCATCGTCAACCGTCTGGAAGATTTATTCAGTCTGGTGCGCTTCCTCAAGGTAGAACCGTGGAGTAACTTCTCGTTCTGGAAGACGTTCATCACAGTTCCATTCGAGGCAGGTGAATTCATCCGCGCTCTCGATGTTGTCCAGACTGTGCTGGAGCCGCTGGTCCTGCGTCGAACAAAGGACATGAAAACGCCTGATGGAGAGGCCCTGGTGCCTTTGCCGGCGAAGATCATCGATGTCGAGCACATTGTTTTGTCGCAGGATGAGCAAGATGTGTACGATCACATCTACCTGCGAGCAAAGAACGTCTTAACGAAGAACGCCGAGTCGGGCATGCTGCTCAAAAACTACACTACCATCTTTGCTCAGATCCTGCGTCTTCGACAGTCATGTTGTCACCCTGTCTTGACCCGTAAAGCTAATCTCGTCGCTGACGAGCTGGAGGGCAACATGGCGTCTGATCTTGCGAACGGCTTAGCTGACGACATGGACCTGTCCAGTCTGATCGAGCGCTTCACAGCCGACAGCGACCAAGACGTCAACAAATTTGGCGCGCACGTTCTCAAGCAGATCCAAGACGAAGCCAACGCCGAATGCCCTCTCTGCTTCGAAGAGCCAATGGTCGACCAAGCTGTCACTGGCTGCTGGCACTCCGCCTGTAAGAATTGCCTACTCGAATACATCAACCACCAGCGCGACAAAGGCGAAGTCCCGCGCTGCTTCAACTGCCGCGAGCCCATCAACGCGCGCGACATTTTCGAAGTCGTCCGCTACTCCCACATCGTCGACGAACCCACACACGCCTTTACGCCCGACGCACCCCCCGCCACCCAAACCCCCCGCATCTCCCTGCGCCGCATCGGCCTCTCCGGCAGCGCCAAAACCCAAGCCCTCCTCTCCCACCTCAAGAAAAACCTCCTCGCCGACCCGTCCGCCAAAACAGTCGTCTTCTCGCAATTCACCTCCTTCCTCGACCTCATCGAGCCCGCCCTGGCCCGCGACCACATCCCGTTCGTGCGCCTCGACGGCTCGATGCCGCAGAAGGTGCGCGCAAACGTGCTCGCGTCCTTCGCGGCCGCGCACAAACCCACGGTGCTGCTGCTCTCGCTGCGCGCCGGCGGCGTCGGACTCAATCTGACGTGCGCGCGCTACGTGTTCATGATGGATCCGTGGTGGAGTTTTGCAGTCGAGGCGCAGGCTATTGACCGCGTGCATCGGATGGGTCAGGAGAGCGAGGTCCGGGTGGTGAGGTTCGTGGTGCAGGGCAGTATTGAGGAGAAGATGTTAAGGATTCAGGAGAGGAAGATGTTCATGTAAGTTTTCTGTCTGTGAGGGGGGTCTGGGGGTGTGGGAACGTTACTAACGAGGATAGTGCGAGTTCGCTGGGTATGATGAGTGAGGACGAGAAGAGGGTGCAGAGGATCGAGGATATTAAGGAGTTGTTGAGTTAGTGTGGGGGTGGAGGGGTATGGGTTCGTGGACTGGAGAGTCTTACTGGCATGCCTTGGGCTCTGCGTTACTTATCATCGTAGACATGAGCATATAGAGGGCATTGCCTGGTACGCGTTACAAGCTCTATGTAACAACACTCCGGGTCTACAGATAGGAGATCGTATCATGTCGTGCAACCGAGCATGTAATCACTATGGTTCGGGACCTGAGCAGACTAGAATCCGAAGATATCAAAGTGGAATGCTTCATGCAGACTCCCAACAATCCAGACCCGGGTGTTGGAGACGTGTATTGCATGTGTACAGCAAGCGCAGAGTAGATTGCGACGGATATCTGTATGTATCGCACAAACAAGCAACACCAACCAGCAAGCTTACAGCCCAAGAATCTTCCTGAAATCCGGCAACCCACTCCCATCGCTCGGCCCCAGATAACCCATACGTGAGATCGGTGACATCGCTACCGTCTGTAGAGTGAGGCTCTAGGCTCGAATCGCACATCGGTCACCAAGCTTTGCGGCTAACGCTTCGCACCGTGGCTCGGCATTGATCCGGTGTGGACACCGAACTGATGTCACAGATGTTCTTCTTAATGCGTACATCGTATCGATGCAGCGCCATAAGCTATGCAGTGTTGCGCTGTGCTTACGCCTCCAGCCTGCAGCCGGGTTATACAAACCTGCATATAGCTGATGCACAATCTTGAAGCATGCGTAATCCGATATCAATGCTTTGATTACAATCGACACTCAATGTTTCCACCTCTTTCATTTGCAGCAAGGAGGTCGTTATGCTGTCGCTCTCCAGATCTCCGAGTGTTGTCAAATCTCCACTAACAGTGGGCATGGTCCTTGTATAGGGCGCAGGAGAACTGTACTCTACCAATGACTTGAATAGAATTTCATATTTAGAGTGATACACAGCAAGATATGACTGTCCGGAGGTAGTTCAGTACCGCACTTGCTGACCTGCGAATAATCTGTTCTCTCCAAACTTTGGTGTTTTTCTGTTCACAGAGTCGTGCATGTCGGCAAAATAGCCGACTCGGAGGCTCTGTTTGGTGATGCACAGCACCTTGGATAAATTACACGATGTGGTGATAGGTCTCAAGGGTGTACTGAAGTATGGCAAGCGTACCTGACTAGTGGGGCGGTGACGTGTGTTGCCGAGCGTGCCCCGCGATCTCACCGAGGCTCAGCGGGAAGAAGTTTACAGCTGCAGGCGCTTCCAACAGTCATTCCTTCCGCAGTCAGTCCATCATGGCTTCAGCAACAGAAACAGATCTTCAGACTTCATCGCAGCCCACGCCACAGGGCCTCGACACCTCGGCAAGCACGCAATTCGCGACCGTAAACATCGGCACGCGCAATTCCGCACTTGCGCTGGTTCAGGCCAATGCAGTCAGGCAGTCTTTGAAAGATGCTAACCCGGGTCGCACGTTCGAGATCAAGCCTGTCATGGTGCAGGGAGACAGGGATAAGATCACGCCGCTGCAGCAGCTGAGTCAGGGCGAGAATGCAAAGAGCTTGTGGACGGGCGAGCTAGAGAGCATGCTAGAGAACGGCGACCTGGATATCATTGTCCATTGCTTGAAGGGTATGGCTATTCGGGCTATGTGCTGAATCCACAGCTGATAATAGTAGACATGCCTACTCACCTGCCCGACAACCTGCAACTCGGCGCCATTCTTGAGCGTGAGGATCCCAGCGACGCACTCATCATCTCGCCCCGTCTGCCCAAAGAAACGACGCTTGCCACACTGCCTCAGGGCGCCACTATTGGCACGTCTTCTGTTCGCCGTGCCGCTCAGCTCCGAAAGCTCTACCCACACTTGAAGTTCGCTGATCTGCGAGGCAACGTTGGTACCAGGTTGGCCAAGCTGGATGCCGAAGACTCGCAATACTCTGCTATCATCCTCGCGACAGCAGGGTTGAACCGCATAGGCTTCTCGAATCGAATCTCCCAGAAGCTCACAAGCGCCACAGGTGGTATGCTGTACGCAGTAGGGCAAGGCGCTTTGGGCATCGAGATCAGGAAGGATGATGAAATCATGCAGGAGATGCTCAGCAAGATCAGATGCGAGCGAACAACACGTGCTTGTGGCGCCGAGCGCGCACTTCTGCGCACACTTGAGGGCGGCTGCAGTGTACCAATTGGTGTTGAGACATCATGGCGCGGAGGTAAGGGCCTGGCAGTCGGCACACAGCCCGCGAAGGACTACGACAAGCACGGCGCTGCTCTTGAGGCTTCGGAGCCAGATCTCGACGAGCAAGAGCTCGTGCTCAAGACGCTCGTCGTTAGTGTTGATGGCACTGAGTCTGTCGAGTACGAGGCAGCGCAGAAAGTCCGATCTGTGGAGGAGGCCGATGCTTTCGGGCAAGAGATTGCAAGGGTCTTGATCGAGAAGGGCGCTGGCAAGATCCTGGAAAAGATCAAGGTCGAGAAGCAGTGGGGAGCGAAGAAGCAGCTGGAAGCTATGGGTGTTGCACCAGCCACAGCATAGATGACCAAGAAGCCGTGAATTCACCCGGCACAGCACAAACAATACGATACCAAAACGCGAACATTTGACACAACGTGCGAGTTCCGCCGCCTGAACGGCCCGACTTGGCCCTAATTCATGCAGGAACCCGATGCAATACCGGAAGTTCGAATGGTGAACACGCTCACAGATCTCATGTACGACATAAGGGATATCAAAGGATACACGCTTCGATGTAACTACTGCATCTTGATGTTGCAACAAACTCTATCTTCAACATTACGATCAGCGATATTGACAGGAAGGCATGTGAGCAGGTCTTCCCGTGTATCAAAGCTGTAACAAAATGCTTACACTTGTCAGAGGCGGCACCTCCGCAAAGTGAAAACACACCGTGGTCCTGTCTGAGTGCGGTGTGTGTGCGCTCAAGAATGCCATTGGCAGGAATCGGTCCTTCTCCGCCAAACATGTCACAGGTGATACATATGTACAGTTCGAGGATCTGCCGAGAGCGGCCTGGCGTTGCGTCTGACATTAAATGCGGTTTCGAGATTATTGGGGATAACGCGGAGGCTCTTAAACTGCACCCAGGTATGTCCAAGAGTCAGTTGGCAAACTGCAGGTTTTATCCAGGCCTTTGCTCACTGAGATCTTTACGCTTGAACGGAGTAACTTAGTTGCAGTTCTATATCTTATTGACTTTGATGAAGATGGGCTGGATAGTACGGAAGTGCAAAGTGGCTGGTCAGATGTGTCTAGGTGCAGTAATCACGATACAAAGAAACACCCTGGATTGAGTTGCACAAGATTGACTGGTCATTTTCACATAACTTGTGCAGACTGCAATTGCTCAACGACGTGATCATCAATCAGTGCTGCCGTACTATGATGTATCTCCATTCATTGATCTCGCTTCTAGGTCCCGAGGTCGAGTTGTAGTGAAGTGGTATGCGCGACACTTTCCCACTAGGCTGTTCAAGGCGCGTATGATATTCTGCTGCATCCAGGTACGTATGGCCAGCCACTTGATACTCTTCTAGGATCCAAGCCATGCCAATCATAGCCCACAAACTGCATAGCTACTACTAACTAAATCCGTTGAAGTGCATCCATGCACCCTACCCGAAGGCAGTAGGTGCGAGACTTAGAGGAACACGGTAAAGACGACGGCAAGTGTTGACACGAGAATTAAAGGTATGGTTTGCGCAGTAAGGCCTTGGGCGGCGCTAGTTCCCTGCTGGACTTGGCTTGCAGTGGTTCCATCTGAGTCCGAAGCTGGATCGAGTCAGTGTCAAGCTACATGTTCTGTAATTCTAGACTAACCGTCGTTGTTCTGCTGCTTTTGCTGGGCACAGAATGCTGTCAGTGTGGTGTTGGACTGCATCTCTTGCAGCTTTGTTGACGCTTTCTCAATCTTTGCCTTCAGTTTCGCGATACCTGTATCGTTCAAGCCCTTCTTCTGCTCGAGGGCAGCCATGGCAGTTTCATTGCCAGCCAGCGCCGCTAGCTTTGTCAATTTCTTCATCTTCTTGCACTGGCTAACGCTCTTCTGTTCAGCGTTCACAACAGCGCATTCGCTGACTAGTGTTGCGTTGGACTGCATTGACTGCAGCTCTGTGGTGACATTTGCAGCTTTTGCTTTGATGGCATCCACTTCAGTAGTCGTGAGCTTGCCTTCTGCAACCAATGCGTCTAGCTTGGTCTGGTTGGCTGCGACTTGAGAGAACACGCTGAGTCCGCGCATCTTCTTGCACGATTTCTTGAGGGCGCGCTCGGCATTGTTGGAATCTGTGCTATTGCCATCGCCATTCCGACGTACTTCAAGGGCTGAGTATCCATTGCTAGGCCAGGCGTAAGATGACACAGTGAAAGAAAGAAAGAGAGCGAGAAGGAAGCCAAAAGATCGCATCTTGAATGTTTGATGCAGTATCGGACCTGCCGTATGGTAAAAAAGATGTCGATGATGAAAGGTATCGCCTGCGATGGATGCTATTCGGTTTAATACCGCTTTGCTGCACTTGACAGTTGACAGGTCGTTACCTCTAAATACCTAGGTACCTAGCCGCCGAACATGCCTGTTCGTCAACACGCACGCGGCCTCACCGCAGTTGAAACTTGACAGAAACGCCCTTTATGCGACCATGAAGACATGGTAGGCACACACTTACGACTCCGCTGACGAGTCAAACACGAGGCCCCAGAAAGTTGCCGTCAAGTCTCCAGACAGGGTCAAGCGCTGTAATTAGTGAATCAAGCATCAACAAGCCTGGTGTTCATAGGCGCCACTCGTCATTCTTTACAACCTCACGGCCAGTCAAACGGTTGGGCTGCGATAGCTGCCGACGTCAATGTTTCACTTGCCGTCAGGATCCTGGCAGAGCATTGACCTACGTGTCTTGTCCGGAACTTACTTTTGACGTGCGTAATGCTTGAAAGCGCCCGTCCGACAGGCCCGTACTGATTCGTGGCATGAATGTACATGGACCGTACAACGCTTATTGCAGAACGGCCACTTCGACACCTTGGTAGGATCAGAACGCTCTTCATCGTAGCTGATAAGCCGCAGAGCACTAAACAATTCTGTTTAAGCACATAATTCTGACAGGAAAGAGCCCTTCTTGCCAAGGGGCTGATCGGACGTACATGGGTGAAGTACCGTTTTCAGGGTGGCGAAAGCTAATACCCTGCTAAGGTATGGTCGCGGCTCACCAGAGTGAAGAAGATGAAGACCTCTTGGAGTGAGGTCTGACTCTTTGAACTTCGGTTGAGGGAAAGTGGTTCCAGGAGCGCCTCCTTCTGTCTTGGAAGAAGGTTGTACTGACGGGGAATAAGTTCCGGGTGAACGCAGCCCATGCCACGGTCGATTGGATTGCAGCTGGCTCTTTTCTCCAATCCTTTCCTTCGATACTACGTGACTTGTATTGAACTTCTATCCTCAAGGCATTCCGATTTCTTCTCTACCTCAGATAGAGCTAGTTCACTCAGCCGATGACGTCACATCTTGACTTACGTCAGCTCCCCACGAACGTGGGCTTCAGGCTCAAACACCTCCTTGAACATAGCAGCCCAGCAACAGGCTAGAGCTGAATATGAGCTGAATATGAGCAAGTATGTTGCGGTTTACAGTCTATACCGTGAACCCCCGCTTACTCACATAGATGACAGATGCCTACAACTGTTTCACGGCAACCAAAGAATTACATCTTCCAGGAATTAGCACTCTCCATGGCTATCTCAGGGATCGGATTGAGCTTGCCATCGTCCGACGTGGCCTTTCTACTGTGCCTGGTCATAGAAAGCTTTACTGATCGTTGTTCAAGCGGTGTACGGTGCGTTTCTGGTGCTCAATGACGGTTGAACATTTTCACTTTGTTAAAGCTGACTACAGATCCCATGCAGATGACCGTTTCTCTGACATAGACTTCGAATTTGGAGACAGCGCTTGGTCGCATCTTGAAGAGGCAGATCAACCAATATGAATCTCTATTTTCCAAGAAATTACTGCACTCAAAGCATCTGACTTGGTCTTTGGGAATGCAAGAATGCTTTGCATATCTGACTTAACACGGGATCCTTGAACAAAAAGTCTTTTAACAGGAATACAGGAAAACTCTCTTGTGTTTTGCGCAAGAGTCTCTTTGACCTCAAAGGACGGGTACAACATTGACGCCATCTGTGTTGTTGACCAAACCGAAAGACCGCCGTTATCGAACGCTGAAGCCTCTATCCTGACTGGTGGTTATAGTAACGCTCAGTACATCTCAAGCGATCAAAGAAGATCGGAGAGTGAGCAACGATCTGACATCGGCGCGCACCATAACTCTCAATGCCCAAACTGGAACCAGTCAAAGCTCTTCGAATACTCTTTGTCGACGATGATTCTCTCAATTTTAGGTTGCTTGGGTCATTCTTTAAAAGGAATGGTTACCGCAACATAGAAAAAGCAAGGTTGGCAAGGAGGCGACCGAGACTGTACAGAACAGCAGTCAAGGCTTCGACGTCATCTTCATGGTATGCTTTCATTTGAGGATATTGATAGATTTATTTTGAACCGAAGTCATTGCCTGCAATGGATGGGTTTGAAGCAACACGACTGATCAGAAAGATGGAAGTTGGCTACGAGAGTACTTCTGTCGCTAAGAAGTCAGTCATTTTAGCCCTGACTGATCTTGCAAGTCAAGAAGATGAAGACGAAGCCTTCAGCGCTGGTGTTGATCTCTTTCTCACAAAGCCGGTGCAATTCTCAAATTTATTTAGTCTGCTTGCTCAGCACAAAGAAGGTACTCTTCAGAGGGGTTAGCGGTGCTTGTGAGAGGAGCATACGTTCCGAAGTAGCTTACAAGTCCTTTCGCGTTGATAAAAGACATGTTATCAGGTACCCAGGAGGATCGCAGTGGGACACAAACCATTGGCACTTGATTCGTCTTCACCAATTCACATAATCACCGAGGTATTGACGGGCGGCACATGCAGATAGTCAAAGTAATCAAACATTGTATCAAATTGTCAGAGCATATTACACGAGAAAAGAGATTGAAATTGCTATCGAGATGCGGAGTACATAGACTGTCCATACCTCAAGCCCAACCCGAGTAACATCTGCGATACCTTGAACAACAGGAAGCCAATGGACTTTGTAATCACAATTATCCTCGTGGAGTTTGACGCGAATGTCGTTGTCCGCACTTGATGGCCACACGCAGTTGCATCCTGGCCACATGCACCTACGATGAGTAGCGCCCTCTCCGTAACGAAAATGAGCCTTGAAGTGCCTGATATGCTTACTCCTGTCCTGTTCGAGTAGTGGTGCTGGTTCTCCGTCGATGTGGTCACATAGAAGGCACTCGAACTCCTGTTTGTTGTGCTGCCCATCCGTACAGAATCGGACGAATGATCTCAACTCAACGCATCCGGTGTAGCGTATGAACAACTCCATCTCTTTAAGCGATAGCCAGTACACAACCTTGCCACTACAAGGTCAGTCACAAGTCAAATATCGGATGCTGAACTTACTGGTGAACATTCTTAGTGCGCTGGCCACTCGTTGGGAACCAGAGGGTCTGTATCCAGTCGGCATGAACCTGCGGAAGACAATTGGCCACCAGATACCGAAGCAGTGATTCAGAATGAAAACCCTTGTTGTCTTGTGAATATGACAGGCTGTCGTGTCCCTTCATCCAGGCATTACCGAAGAAGTCGTAAGTGAAGGGTTTTCTCTGGAAGGTTGCAGGGTTAAAGTACCGCTGGACAAGGCGATCAGTATACTCAGTGCTCTGAACTGTTTGATTCGGAACAAGAAAGAGTGGACGATATGTGAGAGTACTCGCAAGGCCAAACGACGCCTTGAGATGTCCGTTGAGTGAATCACAATCAATTCCAAGGTCTGATACAGTCGGCTCCAGCTGCCCGAATGTACTCGTCTCATTCTTGATACGCTTGGTGGCGAGACTCATCATATCCAGCTGCCCAAAGGCGTTGGTATTGTCCCTGGTACGCTTGGTGGGGACACTTGTCAACCCCAGCTGTCTGTAGGTTTCCACTGTGGTCTTTGCAAGTCTGGTAGGCTGTACCCTAGTACCATCGTTGACATGAGCTACACGCTCGGTGGGAATGGGTGACAGGGAAGGCTTGATCGAGGACATAGCTTCACCAGGTCGAACCCGGTCTTGATTTATCGGCAGACGGTCCACTGGCAGAGGACGCAGCTCCACCAGACGACAATGTGGACTGCAGGTCTTCTGGAAACAACCCTCCGCCAGGGATCTGAGCATTCATCAAAGTAGCGACGGCGAAGGTTGCAAACCATATAGTCGCAGAGATGCTGTTCATGCTTGTCGTGGCTGGCAATGCACTAAAGTCAACATTGTGTCGCGGAGGTTTCGAGAACAACAGAGACAGTGCAGCAGCGAGAGCCTGATCGTGGTCGTTACATTGCTGAGGTGCGTCTATGCGAAGAAGCTCTATAAAGCGAATCACTTCAAGTCGGTGCGTTTGGCTCTCTCTTGCGATACTGCTCGTCAAGGCGTCGAATCGTATCGTATGCTTTCGAGGAGTACTTTGGGAAACGGATGGCTTCCAGGACTGCCACGTCTACGAAATGTACTCGCATGCATTATTCTTGATCGACGGGTAGATCATGCGATGATGAATGATGTCGCACACCCTGTGCACATACCAACTGAGCATGGTGACGAAGGCTCGATCTTTCAATAGTGACCTACACAATGTCAGCCAGTTGGTCAATGGGCGTTGAGCAGTAGCCTCACCTGACATCGACTATCGCACAGCCTCGGCCAATGGACGAAGCGATCACATCAGAGGTCAACTTTTCCCGCCAAAAGGCGAATCGCTCCAGTCGGTTAAGCTTGGCCAGCGGTCGCACCTTGTATGTTAGCAGGTCGTCAGCGTCGTCAGCGTGAACATCTGGCCTGAGCAAAGGGACGATGGTGCGGTTCCTCAAAGGCGCGCAGAAATCTCTCATCTGCTGCGCTTTGGCTTTAATCTCGCTGTCTCCCGCGCTGAGGGTCGATATCGTCGTCACGGCCTCGTCGTATGCGATCGCGTAAGCGTTCCGCACTTGTGTTTGAACTGTCCGGATAGCGGCGCGGAGGAACAAAACCCTCTTCCGTCGATCGTCTCTCTCTTCTCGAGTGAGATTCAGAGGTTTGAACTGCTCCAGGGCGCGCGCCTCGACATCCAGGTTCGTGATCAGCGTCACGTAGGTGTTTTCGTAGACTTCACCGTCTACCCAGGCGTAGAACTCTTGAATCCGCCCTACCAGGACCACTGATTGTCGACATAGCATCGTCGTGCGCTCTGCTATATGCATTCCTCACCTCAGTCTGGATGGTCTGGATGGTCGCGCGCAGGCTCAGGACCTTCCTGTTCCTCTCGTCAATCTCTTCCTGGGTCAGCCCCGGAGGCTGAAACTGTTCAATGGCGCGTGCCTCAAGCTCATGGTTCGTGATCAATGTCACATACCAATTTTCGTTCACCTCACCGTCCACCCAAGTGTGGATCTTACGGATGGCAGCACGAAGAAACAGAGTCTTCCATTTGTGGTCATCCAGCTGTTCTGGAACCTTTTCCGCTCTCAAGCCGTGACCGGCACCAGGCGATGGATGCCAATCGGCAGACGAGAGCGATCTTGGTGGTATCCAGTCGGCGGACGAGGACGGTCTTGGTGGTGTCCATTACCAGAGCCGTGACCGCCACGATAAGGCAGATGAGGGCGTTGTTGGTCGTGCTCGTAGAACACAGGAGGGCCGCTTGGCTCGAAGCCAGTGGGCGGACGGGGGCTGTGGTACCCATTGTTATATCGTGAGCGCTACCCGTGTCTCATTTCGTTATCGTCCCACTCGCGCTTACGCTTCATGCGAGACTGTCGGTCGGCGTTGGGCTGGCTCTCCTCACGTCTGCGCTGGGCACAACGCTCCTGCCTCTCGTCGTCGATCCTCTTGTTCTCTTTGGTCCTCTTGAGTTTTTCGAGGCGACGACGCTCACTGAGGTTCTCTCCCTTCAGACTACGATCACGAACCTCTTCATTGTTCGCCATGCATATAGAGGCATGATCTTGTCCCCAACGACACTTATTGTCATTGCAAGTGTGGCCTGTTTTGAGCGCAATGCAAGTTGGTCGTATGTGCAGCACGGGCAAGTCAAAGCCCTTGGAAGCGTGTTCGTAGCCCTCCAGGCAAGGACTGTCGCTTTTATCCGTGAAATTTGCTAGATACTGTGGACAGATGTGATGTTTGTAGCGATTCAGCTTACGACCTGAAGCGTCGAGCTCACGGCACCGACCGCTCCTCCTGTAGTTGAGTGAATCCGGGCACATAGAGCTGAGAAGTTCATCTTTGGGCTTTTCTAAGTGTTCAGACCATTCTGCTGTAGGTTGACAAGGGGCAAATCTCTTCGGAGGGGCAAGCGTTTGCAGAGGCGGTGACTTAGCACCACCTGCAAGAGCGCCGCCGACTGCCGTGGCTGCACTTGGTGTGGCAGCGGGTGCCCGCCACGGTTGTCGTCGTCCCAAGGTGAGTCTACTGGCTGCAGACCGACGGAGGCACGACCATCGGTAACGATCACCTGCTGTTGGCGGACGTGCAGGTAAGTTGTGGCCCCGGCCGAAGGCCTCGAATACTGTGTCCCGCCACTCGGCCTTTGTCTCGACGTCTACCTGTCTGGATGTAAACAATGCCTTACCGGGTGGACAGTAAGTACAAAAGCGATATCTCAGCGACTTCGACATTATTGATGTGACTCTATAGTGTCAGCAGATACGTCAACCTGAAGCTTGTTGTACACGTACCGAACATGCGAGTCGACCATTGACCGATCGACAGGCCAGTCACATTGCGTGACCTGATTTCACATACCCCCAGTTGGTGGGATCTACCCTTTGCTGCTTTGTCTGATCCCTCGCCATCTGTGGCTACGAGACGCCACGGAATTGGAAACTGTTGGGGAGCTTGACTCTCCAGGTTCATTCCATAGTGTTTGAACCGCGCAAGCAAGACCACGAAAAGCGTCGCCACGGCGTCGTTGCAGCCGTCATGCTGCTCTTCGAACTCGAACTTCATCTTTATCCCTCTCTTTACGGGTTTAGGGACCTCGTGATACGAGAAGTTGGTTATCTCGTGATAGCTTTTGTTGAAAATCGGCTGCTCACCGATGATGGCTTCTGTCATCCTAGCCAGGGATGGATTCGAGTTGCTGATCGAGTCTGTCGCGTTGAATACTCGACGGGCGCTTACTGCCACGTTCACCTTCGGAAACTCGGACGACCCAGGGAGTGGAATTTCTTGAAACAGTCAGTTTGTGGCATTCAAAATAGGACAGAATACGGACCACCCAGGCGTGAATCTTACGGATGGCAGCACGAAGAGACAGGATCTTCCTCCTACGGCCATCCAGCTCTTTTGGGTGAGGTTTGGGTGCTCAAACTTCTCAGTTCTGCGCACCTCGATGTCAAAGTTTGTGAATGCTACCTCGTAATCGTTTTCGCTGTCCAACCAGACTTGGAGTAACCTGTTGGACCGTAATGCCCTCAGTGAAGCTACTTTGATTAGAAGAGACACCGGATTTTCGAGCTGTACTTACGTGATCGGCGATGTCGCTGTACTTGCGGTTTCGCTTGTGTTATATCACTCATTCGGCCTACTACAGCATCCTGGTAACCTGTCTGGAGACTGCCGTGTGCCAATTGGACAACTCGACCGATCATACTCACATCTCTGTTGGACCTTGGGGTGTTGATTGGCGGCGCTGTGAAGAGAATAGCGTCCTTTGCTGACTCCATCTTTGGCCTTGATGATAACAAGACAGTCGGGGGTATCCTGATGGGGTATCTGATGGGTTGTTGGGATCGGTTCGCAATGCTTGATAGAAGCCTGCAAGCTTCTGTCGGAGGTAGGTTGTTGTTGGAAAGAAGTTGCAGGTTGAGGTTGAGGGAAGGTCGCAAGTTTGCCCGATATGTATATATATATATCGCTGCCTCCTCAGCTTAGCGCTGAGTAGCGGCTTACGTACTCTATACTCTCTTACCTGGAGGCCCACTGCGCGAGCGGGCCCCCGTTGCTGTGCCTTGGGTGTTGGTGAAGGCGGCAAGCTGGTGAGAGAGGGCTGCTTAAAGAGCGCTGGCTACGCTAACTAGTGCTAGCGTTGCACGTGGCGCAGCAGGCCTTGAAGTTTTACTCACCGTAAAGTTCGACCACGCTCAACAATTGAGCTTGCGGGCGTCTATCATCACCGATGGAAGCTTTGGACGCTCACTAATGGACGATGCGGCTGAGGAATCCATACACTGGTAAGAAAGCAAGAACTGCTGCCTTACCATAGAACGCCAAAGGTCGCGTGAATGTGAAGGAGTAATACTTAGGCTGTGTGTGAGAGACGCATTACTCAATGATGAGCGGTGAACGCCCGCAAAGTTCACGCGCAATTCCGTGTTTGTCAAACATCTGTCTTTTCCCTTGGCCTGATTTCATCTTTTCGTGAGTGTATGCCTCGCAAGAAGATCAGCCTTAGTACCCGCTCCCGAGATGCCCGTGCGTCTGCTGGGAGACTCGCCTCAGCATATCTAATGATCATCCGTGTACTTCTAGGCTCGTTGTCGGCGGCTACTGTAGATTGACTATTGTTACCAACTCTGACTATGGCCTTGTCTTGGGGCCACAACTTGCCTCCAAGCAGCCATGCACTTCCTCTTGTCAGGGCCGACCTACGACAGCACTAGACAAGCAGAATAATTGTTCTTTCTAGGACTCTTTCTTATTCAGGCGTGCGCGCTTGACCGGAGTTTTTCAGCTGCAACCGTCCGGCTTAATGATTGCGAAAAGGCTAAATTCAACCCTACAAAAGTACCATGTGGCTGGTGAGGTGCGCATGGGAGCAACATATATGTTTGATCCTTGTTCACCAGTTGCAGTGCAAGAATGGCTATGATCAGGCTGAAATCGGGACATCAGTTGCTCAGTGCTGGCAGCAAACCGGTGATTTTGATCGTACCTCTGAGCAATTCCGAGGATGGTGCACAAGATCGCGATCGTCGGGATTTTAAAGCTCGAGACTGCTTACTGTACTTGTTCGCAGCGAGTGGGGGTCAATAGTTGTCGTTTTGAAAGCACGTGTGCCAACTTACCCCAAGCACCAGGTGAGCCTATCAAGACCATAATCGTCACCTCTCGCCACCAACTCTGTGCTCGTACCCGCCTTTTCCCACGCACCAATAAAGTTGCGAACCCGTACTGCAGTAGTGGCACGGCCCCGCACTTACCGATCGAGGAATTACAGGGTCTCCACACCCTCAGCTTGCGTTGCTGGGCTCGCTTGGCTAGCCTTGTGTGATCGCGAGGCGTTCCTGCGTGAGCGACACCGTGGCGCGACAGCAGAAAGCTGAAGGAAAGCTTGAAGGCACGACGGACTCGTATTCCTATGTGATGTTATGTTTTCGCATTGATTCACGCACGCGGCCGTCCTACGACCTCACGAGTTGCGCGCTTTGCGCCCGCTGACTTTGCAACGTAACAATCACAAGGCTGAGGTTCAAGTTGGAACAGCGGCCCGAGTGTGGGGCGCACTAGGCTGGACTATTGATCAATGCGCGAAGAAGGTGCATCGCAGCCATTCCTTGCATGATAAGCAGCAGGTTGCATGCATGGCGTTGGGGCTGGAAAGAGCTGACGGTTCTGGCGCGCGGCGATGTATTCGTATCGAGACCAGCCGAACGATTGACGCAAGATGTGAGAGCACTTCCAAAAGACAGGCGCAGAACGAGGAGCCGATTTATCATTAGGTATCAATTACTTAGTCAACGTCTCATTACAACATTAGCAGCACCGGGATGCTTTCGCTTAAACTAGAACAAGCCCAGGCCAATGCCTGCAGCTCCAATCAGCCAACCTGCGATGGCCGTTGGCAATGGTGCGCCACCAGTGTAGTCCAGGATGCTGGAACTAGGGCGGATGCCAGATGCTGTACCGTCCGAAAACGTGGTCGTCCGGCTGGACGTACGAGTGGATGATATAGATGGTGGCGGAGGTGTCAAAGACGAAGTCTCTACTTCGCTTGAGCTGCTCTCTTCGGAGGTGGCTGGCGACTCCGAAGATGAGGATGAGACTGGTGATGATGACTCGGGCGCTGTTGAAGACGACGAGGGAGCAGCAGAGGACGGCACTGAAGCTACAGAGGATGGGACCGAAGCTACTGAGGAGTCAGCGGCGCTGCTCGAAATCGGCTCGACACTTGACGAAGGGATAGCAGAACTGATGGGCGCAGAAGGCTGACTCGAGGGCGGCTGTGAAGACTCACTTGGAGATGGCTCCGGAGTCGCACTGCTCTGCTCTTGGGTGGCACTGCTGGGCGCGGGAGTCTCGCTGCTTGGTTCTACTGTGGAACTAGGAGACGTAGACAGAGGTGGAGAGGGAGCATTACTCGAGCTAGATGGCTGGGGGGTGGCTGAGCTCGATGTCGCGACAGCCGTCGAACTCGGTATCGTCGACTCCTCTGGGTCGGTAACAGCAGCCTCGGCTGTCGGAACACGAGTCACTACCGTGGTGAGCTGATCAATTGTACTGACAACAGTCGTGGGTAGGTTGGTCTTAGTATCTTTGTTGGTGATGCCCCCTACAAGAGGATCACAGGCACTTGGCCCAATCGATGATCCGAGTTGTGCCAGCACAGTCGGCAGGCTGTTCAAGTATTCCACAACTGTTGGTGCCACAAACCTCGTGTCTGGGATATCGCTCTCTGGTAGAATAAGAGATGCGTAGTTCGTAGGCGCCGGTAGCGTCAAGGTTGAAACCTCAGTGACACACTGCGATCCGATAGTCTCCACCGAGGAATGACTGAAGATCTCATACGCAGCGTACGTTGTAGGCCAGTATAAGGTGACATCCTGGTACGTCCAAGTCAGAGTTGGGCTGGAGGCGGGCGCCGTTTCAGTACGAGTGCTGGTGCTCACGTCCCTTCCATCATCATCCGTGAAGATAGATACCGTGACAAGGGGACGAGTCACGGTAGAGACTATCACGGTTCCAGGGTATTCCAGACGAGTTGCCTGGACATCTATTTGGCAACCGCTTGAGCATGGGGTTGGAGAGGAGCTCGCGCTGGAGGAGCTCACGCTGGAGGAGCTCGCGCTTGGTGTTAACGTCTGCAAGATAGTTGTGGGTACTATCTGAGTTGTAGTGATGAAAATTGACGAGAGGATAATAGACACGACAGTCGAGGCTGGGATTTGGCTGGTAATAATCTGCGTCGATCCTTCCTGGGTTAGGGTACTTATGGTGACTGATCCGGGAAGAGTTATAGTAGACAGGAAGCTTGAAGTCACCGTGCTTGCCGGGAGTGTGATCAAAGATGTCTCAGTCGATCCGGGCGCGGTTGAGACAACAGTGATCGTAGATGGAGGAGCAACGGAAGTACTAGTTATGGTTGACAATATTGTCGTTGGCGGGAGCTGGACTGTTACAAGCTGTGTAGATACTGGCAGTGTAGATGTGACTACAGTAGTCGACGGTGGGAGCACGATTGTGGACAAGGATGTCGAGATGGACAGCGAAGTGCTCGTCACCGTTCGCTCGAGAGTGCTCGTTACGATTGATATTTCAACACGAGTAATTGTGGGGCCATCAATAGTTTGCGTCTGCGTTGGGCCTGACACGGTTACAGGGACTGTAGTCCGTACAACATCAGTTACTGTTCGTTCTATTTCAGTGGAAATAGTTGAAGTGATGTATGAGGTCACAGTAGAAGCGGGCAGGGTTACCACGCTTCCAGAAAGCGTGACTGTGGATGCCGGCTCCGTAGTGGTCGTCGGAATATAGATCGTGCTTATAGACGTCTCGGTAATGACGCGTTCTGTACTAATGTACGATGTCTGGATGCTCAGCTCCGTGGTACGTTCTGTTACAGGGTAAGAGACCGTCAACGTCGTTACTGAAGTTATCAGCACAGGAAACGAGGTCGTGATATAGGAGGTGTATGTAGTTTCAGGCCCTGGAATTTCAGTGGTAATCGTCTCGGTGCTGTAAGATGTTGTTGTACTTGTGCGAACTTGGGTTTCAGTGGTGTATTGCGTTTGGATACTGAGCTGGGTCTCCACACTCAATTGAGTCTCCACACTCAGCTGGGTCTCCACACTCAGTTGGGTCTCCACGCTCAGTTGGGTCTCAATTGACACTACGGTAACTTCGACTGTCTTCAAGGAAGTTGGTCCCTCAACAGTATACGGGAAGCTTGTCGTGGTAGTAGTGGGCACGAATGAAGTTATTACAGATGTAATCCAAGACGTATAGGTTGTCCCTGGTTCTGTGACTGTTGTCAAGTACCAAGAGGTAATGTATGATGTTAACCAGGTTGAGTAGGTCGCGGTGCTGATTGAGATCTCAGTTTCCCGTATCGTCGGACCTGGAACTGATACCTCTCGCGTTGAGACCTCGGTTTCTCGTATCGTTGGGCCTGGAACTGAGATTTCTCGCGTTGAAGTTTCAGTGATATAGCTCGTCAGCGTCGAAGTCAGTACGGTGCTGATGTAGGTGGTTCGCCACTCCGTTATGGTTTGGTTTACTGTCACTGGATAACTCGTGGTAATATATTCGGTGATGTAGCTCTTGTACGTGGTGGTCGAGACGCTGATATAGGTCGACCAGTCTGCGATTGCATCAGTCAGTCTTCGTTTGGCGGTCTTCTGGAAATAATTACTAACCTGTGGTGTGGAAAGTCGACACATCTGTTGTGTGGAAGGTTGAGACATCTGTGGTGTGCCATGTTTCGATGGCTGTGGTAGGCAAAAGCTATATATAGTTTTGGTCAGCGACTGAAATGAGGCTTTCAAGTCCCCACAGTTGAAGATAACAACAGTATTAACTATGCCAGCATTGAAAAGAAGATTGTTGGATCTCGAGCAGAGTCGACTGAGTCGGCCGACCTGCTGAACGGCACAGAGAAGCCTTGTAGCAAATCTCCGAATTGGGTTGCGCGGCTAATTTCATGACAGGGACTTGGGAAAGTGAAAACATACGCTGATGATCGTCGTAGTATATGTGGTAGTCTCCGTAGGACCCGGAACCGTGGTGTATACGTCTTTCGAAGTGGTCACAGTTTGTGTTGTAGTACAAGTCTGGCAAAGTCAGCGCGAGTGAGGGGCCCAAATTCCAGCTTTGACATACCGTCGTTGACGTCAGGGTACTTGTGCAAGTCTAAAAGCAAATTAGTGAGCGTTCATGAGGGAAGAGAGACTCGCAAGCCCATACCGTGGTTTCCGTGACAGTGAAATTTTGTCCAGGCACCGGAGGTCCAGTGATAGTGATGTAGATTGAGTCAGTTTTGGTTGTCGTCTGTAAATGTCAGTTTGCGGCCTCGTGTGTATGGCTCTAAAAGTTTACCTCTGTCTGAGTGATGTTGAAACCTGGCGCTGTGGTAGTCTGAGATGGGTCAGCGTGTTAAAGACCGATGAATCTTGATTGAGCGCGAGTCGACGAGAAACCGAGTTTATAAGACCAATGGGGGCTACTCAGCCTCCAAAAGGCTATCTTGTGAGATGTAATCGAGCAGCAAACTTGAGAAGAAGGCTCAAACCCGACATCCCCAAGATAGTAGAATGGTGTCACTTACCACTGTGCAAGTAGTTGTAGATGTAGATGTCGTGGTGTCGTGAAGAGTTGTGGTTTCGTGGAGAGTTGTGGTCTCGTAGCAGGTAGTAGTGATTGTTTCCTTTGGTTGCGTGATGGTTAAGGTATACGGCTTGTCTTTCCACACTGTCCGAGTTGTCGTCACAGCTTGACACGTCGGATGTCCGTACCCGCCTCCGCCTGCCACCGAGAACAGCGGTTCTTCTGTTGACGACGGAGTTGGTGGCTCCTTTTGCGCCTGGACAGTCTGATTGTCCTGGGCTGCAGCAACCCCAGCAATGGCCAGAAGAAACAGAAGGCCGTACATCTTGGAAGCGAGTGACTGTTATGCCGGCAGAGTAAATGCACCAGCGTCAAACTGCGAGCATTAGACATGCACGTGAGGCGACTTGCAGAAATGTGGAGGAATTCCACACACAGGGCGCCCTGGCTCTGTGGAGAGATTGGGAACAAAGCACAGGTAATTTCATTGTGAAAGCACGCAGTTGAGAAACTGTCATGGTGGAAATGGTTTGATCCGGTACCAAGGGGTTGCGCAAGGGTTTAACAGAGACATTCACGTACCTCAAGAGTAACGATAGGCTGAAAACTGAAGCTTGAAGAAGAGACAGGCGTGTGTGCAGCAGCCCGTGACTATAAAAGAAGGATGACAACAGCAGGTTCCTCAACTTACAGTAGCGTGTCATCGAGCCGACAGGGCTGTACTCCGAGCTTCAACGACAATCCTGTCTAGACAGCAGGTCTCGGGCAAAAGTCATGCAAGCAGTAGGCCTTGGCTGCTCGCCGTTTGACAGCCTTGGACTAGGGCCACAGCAAGTCGAGAGAGGCGAGACATTACTTCTAGACCTAATCAAGGCAAAGACGTGACCACCGTAAGGTTCCATTGAGCACCGCCGGCGGTTGGAGGGCGCAAGAGGCGGAGGAGGTACGGCCAAGAAAGATGCCATATGTGGTGCAAAATGCGGGCGTAAGACTCGGCTCCTTTGCGCGAACACGGTTGGACGAAAGTAAGACTGTGTGCACACTATCCAAATCAGTGATCTAGATATTGCTTATACACCCCACGCCCATGGCAATTGCTGACGTCGACGGCAATAGGCTGATCGGGGCTAGAGACTTGCCTGCATTGTGCTAGATTGCTGCAGGTCGCTGGTGAGTGTATAGGTTAGCGCAAGGCAGGATGCTGACGGAGGGCGACAGGACCTGCGCGGTATATTGGGGGCGAAGTATTGGTGAGGTTTAACAACATCACTGCACTGATATGCGCCAAACTTTTTGTGCTCCGCAACAAACCACCATATGCTGTGCAGCACATCAAGAAGCAACGAGTGGCTCTATTAAAGTCATGAACGTGCAATTCAGCGAGCGTACGAGTACGGAGCCGTTACGGAGCCTATCCCGGCACCTGCTGATCGAGGCGGCCGCTAGCCTTTCCTGGGCATAGCTGGTAATGCTTGCCGGCCCGCCTTTGTCTATCCTCCTTCCTTAGCCACCTCACTATCGCTGCAACCCTTCCTGCAGCCCGGTACACATCCTTTCAGACTGGTCTGGGCACAAAACGCCAGGTTCCAGCCCTGTGTGTTTCTCCTCCAATGATCCGCCCTACAACCGATTCACGCATTTTGCGATCCCTCACCGGTGGATCTGTGCCAGTTATTTGTCGGGACCTCGACGACTGGCATGCATGGAGTCGTCGTACTGGTGCTATGAGTGTACCCCGCTCATGGTGCGAGGTATGCTTTAAAGAATACAGTTGGGATTAACATCCTCCAGCACCCGGCTGGTCCTGTCTCTTGGATATTGCGACGCTGACGTGCAGCAAGGCCGCGGCCCTGCGAACCCACCACCAGTCCAGCCTGGCATTGATGCTACGTGTGGATCTTTGTATCAGCCGACCTATCAACACTAGCTAGCCCCTCCGTGATTTGCAACCTTCCTTGTCCTTTACCCTTGTTATTGCCTCCTTGCCCTGCGATTCTTCTGTCTTCGCTGTGTCAGGATCTTCACGATGCACCTTCGGAAGCGCGTCGACACGATTGCTTTACCTCCTCCGCCAATCTCTGTAGCCCCTAGCGGAGATTTCGATGGCAATGATGGGCGATGGTCGAGTTTCTTCATCAATGTCGCTTCCGATACCCAAGGGTTAAATGGCCAGAATTTCAAGGTCCTCATCTCTACTTCCTCTTCGCTGACTTTACTACCTGCACGGACGGAGTGGTGCAACTCAAAGTGCGCAGCGGAACGAGGCGTGGCTTTGTACAATAATGAGCAGGTTCTGGGAGTGCAACTGTCGGGGCAGTGGGCAGACGCAGGCATCTATGAGGTGCCTTTACCTTACTGGTACCCTAAAGAGGCCATCTCGACGGGCAATGGTACACTGGGAGGCAGTTGGGGCAAGACAAACATCGGACTCGAAAGGAGCTCACCGTCAAGTCTTGTCATAGCGGAACGTTACGCCGTAAAGTACATCTTCGAAGACTTCTTCATGGGCTCGTTTGGACTAGCGGTAGGCGCAGTTGGCCCTAGCCAAGGTTCTATCCCTACGTTCTTGACGCAGATGGAGGACGACGGCCAGATAGCAAGCTCTTCGTTTGGCTACACTGCCGGCGCTTGGTACCGTAAGTATGCTTTCCAATATCTTACCTAGGCTTTGACGCCTATACCTTGTGTAGGGTAAGTTCAATTGTAAATTGACACCCTCAATGAGCATGAGACTTCTCGATAGCCATGCAACGCGAGACCATCCATTGATTGTGATCTGCTGCAGATGAAGGCCACCGACGCTTTTTCTAACACTTTCCAGGAAACAACGGTCTTGGAGAACCCGGGAGTCTTGTTCTCGGCGGCTACGATCAGTCCCGCATGAGTGATCACGCAAGTCTTTCCGTTCGGATGCCAGATGAAATGAACAACACCCTCGTTGTTGGAGTGTCTTCTGTTACTTATACGCCCGACCCACGAGTCGAGGTGAACACCATTTCCTATACTTCGCTGTGCAGCACTGGTGTTTTCCGTGCGACTATCGACTCGATTCTGCCGTACCTGATTCTGCCAGACTGTATATGCGACAAGTTCCAGGAACATTTCGGTCTGACATATGACGAGGATCAGAACGTATACTTTGTGAACAATACAATGCACGAAAAAAACTTGCGACAAAATGCCACGATTGATCTCAAAGTCGTAGGAGGATTGTCGGACTCTGCCGAGTACACGACAATCAAGCTTGGATATCCAGCTTTCGACCACCAGCTGAGTTCTATCACCGGGGAGAACGCCACGAACTACTTTCCTATTCAAAGGTCCAGAAATGGAGTGTTTGTACTGGGACGTACATTTCTACAAGAGGCATACATCATCGTCGACTACGAGCGTTTCAACTTCACAGTTGCCCCAGCTTATTATTCGGACCCGATGCCGAGTGAAACGCTCAAAGTCATCTACAATACGTCTTATACTCCTTACTTGAGCACACCAGACTCTAGTGGAGGACTCGCACCTGGTGCCATTGCTGGAACCGTTGTTGGTATCGTTGTTGCATTTGCCATCGCTGGTATCATTGCCTTTTGCTGGTGGAAAAAACGGAAGAGCAAGGCGCAAGCTGCCCAGAAGCCTTACGAAACCTCACAGATTGATCCTACCCTGGCAGGACAAGAGATTAAATACCGACGTGTATCTGAGTTGACCGGATCTGATCTTCCAAGCTCGCCCAAAACCCCAGTCACCGGATACTACTCGGCGGACCATAAGTCTATTCCTCCAATCAGTGAGATGTCTCCCGAAAGCCCGCCAGTTGAACTGTATAGTCCTCCACTAGAGAGTGCGAGCGATATTGGTAGCGGCGGCAATCGCGACTACTTCGCCGCCGGGAAGCCCCATAGGCGGGACGCACAGAGGGATCGTACCTCATCGGGTCCCAACACCCCTGGCACACCCATTGCAGAGTTACCAGGTGACGAAGGCCAGTTTTATACCCCCGGAACACAATTCGATGCAGTGAGCCCCCTCAACAGCCCACTACAAAGCCGTGGTCCCAGCGACACGTCGTTATCCACCAACATCGATGAACGGCTTGCAGACAACAGGAAGGGTGCAGCGAGACCTGTGCATCCTACGGAAACAGTCGCTGCTGACGAGGAGTTAGGCCCAAAGAACGAGACACAGGATACAGTCACTACAGAAGTTGGGGCTCAACGACGACCTTCGCACCAACGGGGGCTCAGTGATACCACAATTGCGAGTGATAGCACAGCTGTTTCTCAACCGACGCCCGAAGAACAAGAGCGCTGGGCCAAGGAGGCTAGACGGCCGCTTTCGGAATGAGCTGGTGTGAGACATTTCGGTGGCTTCTGTCGTTAAACTCTGTTTCAATTGGTCTTTTGCTGTCGGCAAAGGTGGTACATATTGATCCCCTCGGGGACTTTTGCACAGTTGCTTTCTATTTGATACCCACTTGTACACTCTTTAGAATGAATTGTAATATCATGTGAACTACTTCCAAGGGCGTTCTGGCGACGGCATTGGTGGAGCACCATTTCAGCCCCATGAGCGATGGCTGCGCAGCTGAGCATCCATCGCTTACCCTTCAGCTGTGGCTCTTAGGCTGAGATGTCGCAACTTTAGAACGTGCACTAGATTTAGTCAAGTTGAGCGTAAGACGGGCAGTCCTTAAGGCCCAGACAATATGCAGTACAAGCAAGCTGCACTGGCGCTGTCGAGATTTTTAGCCACGCGGAGAAGCTAGGTACAGAGCTACATACCGTGAATCGATGTATCTTTATGTAACAATACAGCAGCCTTAGAGTCCGAAATAGAAATGCATCTGTTCAAGTATATCTGATCGTTCGCAGCAAGTCTGAGCCCCTCGCGGATGCGTACCAATATCTTTGCTTAGTGGACAGCTCTGCAACTGGTAGATTTCCACCTTGACCTTGTTCATAGACGATTGTAGCCAATTGTAAATCCTTGCCGTGCCTCTATTTTCTTCATGGTCGGAGAGGTCTGCATGAACATGGTCCATCCTCGGACATCTCCACTACCCGAGAACCTCGCTTCGTCGTATCTTATCTACGTAATACTACGCGACTATACATACACGCGAATGGCTGCAAACTTGGGCTGTACTGGCTAAGTAATCGATAGGTCTGGACCAAGGCAAAGGTGTGTAGCGCAGGGGTATCCCGTGTGAGGTAGCATGGGATTGCGTAAGGCGACATCATCAATGGCGTTGCAATCAATACTCAAGCCAAGTCTTGGTCTTAACACTTCGAGTCAGCAAAGAGGCTGGGATGTGCTGACAGCCAACCTCGAAGGCAGAGAAGTAAGCACACGGCTCGAACCGGGTAAATGGCGGTCGGTGAGGGCCGTTGCCGTGTTCGCAACCGTACATGCACGTGGAATATGTGCAACTGCACCGAGATTGGACAGCTGCAAGTTTCCGGTTGTATTTGGCGGGAGTTTGTTTTTTTAACATTAAAATACTTCAAGTCACGTGATGCTCACGCTTACCGTCCCAAATACCGATCAGCCTTATTTTGATGCATTGAGCAGAAGGGATTTTGGAATCCTATATTTCCTTGGGTTGTGTTGCAACGTTCTTTTCGATAATGACACTCTACTCGATTAATGTCCAAGCTGGCACCCTAAAGTTTTGCAGTCCATTGATGTGATCAGGTTGCTGGCTGTATCTCGGTGCAATCTTGCAGTGCAAGGTGGACCGGTAGAAAGTTTTTCTATGATGCTTCCCGCTGCTGCAGGTGTGCTGTAGCCTCGAATTCGTTTTTGTGGTCATGCTCCGTCGGTTGATTTTGAGCACTTGCTGCGTCAGACATTGGAGACAGATACGATGCACTCGTCATCTGAGGCGCATACGAGGGAGGCACCTGACTGGTTAGATGAGCTGCAGGGCCAGTACGATCCAATGTAGATACTGGTCTGTGTTCTTTCGCGTCTGAAGAGTCTCGAGAAGGCTGGCGGAAAGGAACAGTTTGTAGTGTTTGCTGTGCATATGCTGGGACCAGCGGCCCCTGTGGCCGTGCAAGACCTCCGGGGAATCGACATAAGTCTTGGAAAAGGCTCCAGGTGGGACTCGCCTCTAGGAACGAAAGTGGCCATTGCATCACTGGTAGCCAGCTTTGATCGACACTATCGTAGCAGGCTTTCATGAGCCGGTGGCCCCATCCATCCATGAACCAATATCGAGGCTCAGCAGCGAACAGCATAGTAGCATAGTACATCAAAACTACAAGCGAGCCTGGGTGGCGTTGCTGCACACCAACAAGGAAGCTACCATCGAGATGCAACGGCCAGAAGAACAAGAATCGGAGTTCACGGTTGTCTACCCGCGGAGGACTTGCGAGCTTGAGCACAGGCTCAAAGTCATTGATAACTCTCAGTAAGTTGGTGCGTTCTTGTTCTGAGAGTCCCTGCTTTGTCTCAACGAATGAAACGAGTTGTGGCAAGTGCTGTATCAATTCTTGGAGCAAGGGTTGTGAAGGGGTAGACTCCAGTGGATCGCGAAACATTGGAGCAAGGAACGACTCAAGTACGTTCTCGTGCGCGAGTGCTAGAACGTTACCCATACCTTGCATGAGCGAGAAGATATTCAAGATGCCATCAATGGCAGACGGTGGCGACGGTATGTCGGCACAGCTAGCCTCGAATCCAGTCGAAGCAAACACTCCCAGCGTAAGAAGGGTTGATGTGGCAAGAATAGCCGGCGTTTCCTCTGGGACTATGTTCTGAAGTTTCGGTCGCATGCCTTTGATGGCAAGATCCTGATGGTGAATCCCTAAGGTATAGTACTCCCTGCGTCTATCAGGAAGCTTCGATGCTTTGTGAAGTGCCGCGAACGCTAGGATCTCGTGCATCAAGAAGGTATGCGTCACAGCGAACTTTGGTGCTTCCACCCTCCAGGTGTGTCGCATGTCGTCTCGTTGTGATAATTCGTCGTAAGCCTCAATGGTCCAGTGATGCCTGAATCAAATTAGTGTCGTCTTTCGAACACAATAGAAGAGCACGAACATTAACTCTATATCCCGGACCCAGAGATTTGACTGATCAGTCGAAGGTTTGTGGACAAAGGGTCTCAGAAATGGAAATTGATCTGACTGCGAATTTGGAGAACTCCCGTCAGAGGCGCCATCCCCAGGCAGAGCATGGTCGATGAGCAAAGAGGGTGACGATGTAGATGAATCCTGTAAGTCTCTCAGCCACATATCGCATAGTATGATTGCACGAACTTACAGTTCTGTTACGCTCATCTGAAAGCTTGTCTCGTTTTGGAACGACGCTACCACTGCTCGTCGCTGCGGACGGAGGCGGGTCCGTGATAAGACTGCATTGAACGCCGTGCCTTGCACAATTAGTGCAAGGTTTGAGCTCGTCACACTGTCGAGTCGTCAGTCTATACTTTTGTTGATGATCAACGAACGCGCGTGGGGCAGCTAGCCAAATTACGCACCTTCACGTGGCGGGTCTTGCACTGTCGGCATCCCAACCGGCTTTTTTTGTGGCCTAGGCGCGGCATTGAGGTTTCACTGACCAGTGAGGTTACGCTTAAGGTCGCTCTCCCGCAATCTGGCTAGGTCACCCTCGATGCAGCCACGCGATGCTGTCGTTGGAAAGCGAATGCGAGGCGGGGTGGAAAGGCACAGTGGGTCGATAATTGTTCTTGTAAGGGTGGCATGACGCTATTCCCTGTACACAGCTGGTTTTCACAAAGAAAGGATCATGATCGGTTTCAAACTGGCGGCAGGGATGGGAGATACATTGTGTTCTGACCCTGTACGCAACACGTTTGACGTTGTTCAAAGAGTAAATTCGTCCACAAAGGAGGCTGCCGAGGCCCCAGCTTACTAAGATTCCTGTGGCTTGAGCCGCCAGCAATGCCGCCAATCGCAGCGCGTGCCTGCATCGCCGTTACGTGTGGCGCGTCTATAGCCTACAAGCACCACGTTATTGCGCCTGAGGTACGAGCTTTAGCTCCATTCATGCAACTTGTATCGCGTTTTAGTGACAGCGGCCTTGCCCCGCCTGCAGGTATCCGCTCACAGCGCTAACAGTCAACCACAGTGTAAAGCATCGATTCAACGCTGACACATCCCCCAGAGTCGGCCACAAACCAATGTCTGATGACAGCGATTTCGGTAGGACTCAGTTGAGCCCTGCAATCTTGCCCGCAGATCTTCGAATGGACCCTTTACTGTTAATACTTCTTCTTACCAACATTGGGTGCCCGGGTACCTAACACAGAGTCGAGCGCGGCTCCTTCAACCATGGAACTCAAGTGTCTTGCGGATGTGGTACAACCATATTGTATGTACAAGACTTTTTTACTATGGTGCGCTTTCAGAACCTCAAATTTGGTTCACAGTCGCCCCAAATCGTGAACCATCTAATGTCCATTGAGGCGTATATTTATTCAATCACTGTGTACTCCCCTTTTCAATTGCAATCATCAGGTATATCATCACTGTCATCAAGAAAAGAGAAATAGCGTACGACACCCTCTCATAAGCTACATTGTCATCCAACAATATCAGCCTCTCAGAAGCTACAATGTCATCAAACAATATATATCAGACTCTGGATGCGTTACCCTCGTCGGAACATATGAGTACAATCCCACTAGATCTCATGACTCCCCCGAAATTTGAAACAGACCTGCTAGCTGCACAGGAAAAAGTGCACTCTCTTCCTTTCAACCTTGCCCACCTAGAGACCAAGTTGGGCACAAAAGCTATTTTCACCCCCGATCTTCTCCAAGAGATCAAGAACAACAAAGCTACCATCTGTTCTGAGATGCGGAAGGCCCCACATTTTCGAACGTTATCCAAGATTGATCACACAACCCGCTTTGGAAAGTACAAAGTTTGGGAAGAAGACGAGGATGACGATGACTGCAATCATGTTACCATTCGACTGATGACACGAGTGGAACTGCATCCTGACTTCCAGTTCGATTACTGGAAGTATTCGAAGATAAATCGTATACTCCGGGTGACTAATCATCTGCAAGGCGAGAAGAGCTGGGTACCTGTACCGTACGGTTTCACGTTGGAAAGCATGGCATGGGACGACGAGCATGAGAACAAGAAGGTTATGCAAGAATACCGCGCCGCCCTTTGGAAAACTATGCAGCTTTGGCTCAAGAGCAGCTCCCGCGGGAAGATCATTCAGACGACAGACAAGATTGCTGCGCAACATAAGTCAATTACCAAAGTCGTTTGTTTTGGCCTAGGCGCTTTGAGCCGAGACAAAGTCTGGTACCAGTCTGCGGTACAGCACATGACGGCTTTCACCATTGCCAAATGCCTGGAACGAGCATATAGAAAGGAAGGTGCCCACGTTCAGCCCGTCGACATCATTTTCCAGGATCCGTGCTATACACGGAAAGACCATGAGCTTCTCCGCACAATGTATCCGGGCGGTAGAGTCTCCTTCGCCTCCGACCCAGATGGCCTGCTCGCGATCGATTCGAACACAATCGTGCTGACCGCTTTCCTTCCCGTTGCCTACCCTTTGATGCAGGTAATGGCTGACATGTTCCATGGCAGAAAAGGAGAGGGTCCAGCAGCTATTATATGCGATGACATGGCCCTTGATCTTGACCAAGAGTTGTACACTCTTAGAGATCGGGCATCTCCGGCAGTTGCTAGGTTTCTGACGCAAGAGTACACTGCGTCGGATTTCAAGGAGCATGTCCTTGAACCGGAGTTGTTTGAGGATCTGTATGGTGCGGAAGGTAGATATCGGAAGTATTGGCTTTCAAGGATGCGATTTCACACAAGAAAGTGAACACCGAGGTAGTTAGGTTGAGATAGAGTCAACATTTTCATCATTTGCTCATTGACAATCGAGTAGTTCCAGACTTCTCCTTGTACATGGTTATCGCTTGCTCTTTGAGCGTTCATCTTCTTAGTTGAGATAATGGACTTCGAAAAGGCTACGAAGAGCTTCATGATCTCTTCTTAAGCGTTAGGAGAGGTATGAAGCATGAATAATACGCTACCTAGGTAGGCGCTGGATGAGAACCCTTGCCGAGTCATGTGCTAGCGCGATTGGACCCTTGCTTGACACGCGACCTCGGGAAGTGGCGGTCGTCATCGTTCACGAACATTCTAGCCGTCGTCACCACCGCTGCCTGCAACGAACACTACAAAGCTTCGTGGATCCGTGTAACATTCAGTGTAATAACCAGACATACGCGCTTTCTTCCATCACACGCAAGGTCGCATTCGCTTGTATCCCGGACCAAATCGCGCGGTCAAACACGAAGCCGTTACGATGGATGTGCAACTGTACGTGTATGACCTCTCACAGGTAGGCTCCCGACAAAGGCTCAGAACAGCGTACAGATGGCAGTTGACGCTAATTTAATAAGGGTCTTGCACGTAATATGTCACGACAGTTTCTCGGAATCCAGATAGACGCCGTGTACCACACATCGATCGTCTTCGAGGGGATCGAATATTATTACGGTGGAGGCATACAGACATGTCGAGCTGGTACTACACACCATGGTCGACCGATGGAAGTTATCAAGCTAGGACAGACATCGTTGCCGCTGGAGGTCATACTGGAGTATCTCGAATCGTTGAAGACCATATACACAGCAGAGGTATGTCTCATTTTGGTATATTGCGGAGAATCTCTTTGACACCCACAGGCATACGACTTGTTCCTGCACAACTGCAATAACTTTTCGAACGACTTTGCTATGTTTCTCGTTGGCAAGGGCATACCAGCGCACATCACTAGTCTGCCTCAGGACGTCCTCAATACACCTTTCGGTCAGATGCTCAAGCCGCAACTTGATGCTATGATGCGTCCTATCACGCAAGCACCCACTCCTCAGCCTATGCAGCCCGTTGCACCGGCGCGCTCGTCAGTTGCTGCAAGCATGACCAATGGTGCAACTAACGGATCTGCCATCGCGACCGAAACAGGACGAGTCAACAACGTCACCACGATCAAGGAGGTCGACAGGCTACTGTCGCTGGCCAAAGACCGCGGTGCCATTATATTTTTCACGAGTGCAACTTGCGGTCCCTGCAAACTGGTCTACCAGCCTTATGACGATCTTGCTGCAGAAGCAGGCTCGAAATGTCTTTTCCTCAAAATAGACTTTACCCGTGCAGACGCCTCTATCAACACACGCTACCCGAATGTTAGAGCAACGCCGACGTTCATCACTTACAGCAAAGGAGCTAAGCGAGATGAGTGGAGTGGTGCGGATCCTCGACAGCTACGCAGTAACGTAGAGTCGTTGCTGAATGCCACTTTCCCGCCACACCCGCATCTTTCGCAGAGCACGCCAAACCTGCTACGCCAAAGTCAGCGACCGATCGTATTCTCAAAGATTCCACCACTCGAGAAGCTGGTTGCAAAGATGGGCGGCGCTGGCAAAGATACTGCAGTAGCTTCGATAGTCTCGTTCATCAACACTCGCGAGAAGTCAGGAGCGATTGAGGCGCCCTTGACACATCTGCCGCATTTTGCAAGCTTCCTGAGGAATAGCACAACCCAACTGTCTTCGGACTTACTGTTTACAGCATACGATCTCCTCAGGGTCGCGCTCACAGATGTTCGTGTCGCTGGGTTCTTTGCGGAAGAACACAAAGGTGCCATCGGTACACCAGCAACAATTCACCATCTCCTTCAACACGTGGAAGAATTGGGCGAATCGGCGCCTTACCCACTGCGTCTTACGACCCTGCACCTTGCATGCAATCTCTTCAACTCTCCACTCTTCGTACCTCACGTGCTCGCAGCACCACTATCTTCGACTCTTATCTCTATTCTCACGACATCTCTTCTCGACGACAAACGCCCAGCACTCAAGGCCTCAGCACTCAGCCTCGCTATGAACCTTGCGTCCTCAAACCATCAGATCCGTATGAAGAAACACGGCGGCAATGTTGCGCACACACTCTCCTCTGCGTCCGAGCTTGAGGAATCAGAGCAGACCGAACTTCTGGCTTCTCTACTTGAGACTCTAGGTGCCGAAGAGGAGTGGACCGAGAACAAGAAGATGGCGCTCATTGCAACGGGTTGGCTTGCCTACGGTGCTGATACGGATGGTGAACTCAGGGACCTTTGGCGCGTCATGGACGCTGCAGGGACCGTGAGTAACATCAAGGCTGTTGCTACTGAAGACAAGTTGCTTGTGAAGGAAGTGCAGAAGCTTTTAGAGGCGTAGATCATTGAAGCTTAGATATATACCCCTGCATTGTATAGACTAATTTGTATTTCAGCGCCGTGGTCTCCTTTCCTCGCATTCTTCGTCCAACAGGAGTCCTCAGAATCACGTTCTCAAGCGACATGGAAAAGGACACACCGCCCACTTGCTCAATCCCCACGGATGGGCCAGGCCACCATGTTGCTCCAGCATCAGTCTACGATCTCCTATCTCCTAACCAACATACGCGTCTCACCAACGTCTCCCTCAAACGCCTCTGAGCAAATCAAACACCAGTCTTGCGCCCACTCCCCGCAATCCACACACCCTGTTCTATCCCACGCCCCCATGACGTCAGCGGAGCGGCTCACCCGACCCACTGCAGCACTCCATTCAAAACTCCATACACAACCCCTCTACGCGTCACTGAAGTGTCTCACCCCTCGCCCTCCACCCTGGTGTGCAACACCGCACCGCAGCGCGTCTCCGGTCCTTCACCACGCCGCCGCCGCGCTAGTCTCAGCCGCGTCCCACAGCGGCCCCGTCCCAGCCTTGCCTCAACCCACTTTCTAACCCCCCTGCTGTCGTCGCGATGGGCATCCCCTACTCGCGCGAAATCAACGCCGCGTTCTCGCAGGTCACCCCGCTGGTGGCCGCGGGCTACACGCTGCTGCGCACGACGAAGAACATCTCGCTGCTGCTGGCGGCGATCCAGGTGCTGACTGTGATCCTACTCGGCCTGATTCTGGCCGTGCTGGTGGGGATCCTGGTGTGCGTGAATCCGGATCTGGAGGTGCGTGTGCTGTCTGCTTCTTATTTTATATTCGGGTTTCCTCGCGCATGGCTTTCGGCTTTCGGTTTCACGCTCACTCCAGTGATTACACTGACAACCCCGCCAGGAAGAGAGGCAGCAGCTTATTACCCCCTGGCTGCGGTACTACGCGCACATCACGCTGTTTGGCGTCTTCAAGACGCTTGCCACGGTGGCGCTGGTGGTGGGCGCGGTGGCGTATGCGGGGTGGCGGCTTGTGCTGTTTGAGCGGTGGGTCGAGGACGTCGAGTTCGAGGCAAATGTAGATGCGAATGCGGCGCTGGAGGATCTTGGGGAGGGGGAAGCTGGGAAGAAGGGGAAGAAGGGGAAGGGGAAGAAGAGTGAGGCGGAGAAGGTGGTTGAGGAGCAGGGGAAGTGAATGTGTGGAAACGTGAGGTGGTTGGATTATTCTAGACTGGGAAGCGGGCGTCTTGAAGGCACGACAGTACGGCGAAGAAAACATGTGACGACCACACGATGGTTATCCAATCTGCACCGGACTCCTTACCCCCTCGAGCAACAACAGCGCAAACAACCCCCCGACCACCGGCCTCGCCTTGAAATCAATATCCGGCGGTTGCGACCCATCGTTTGTCTGATACAGATCCGAGAACGGCCTACTCGACTCCGTCTCGCCGACCCACCGCGCTGAGTCCTTGATAAACATGTCTCGCGTTTCCTCGCTCGCCACCGCTGCGCAGAACATCTCCCAGTCAGACTTTGCGTAGTACCGATTCCGCGTATCAAGCGGAACGCCGAAGTTCTCCTTCACCGTGGGGTAGAACGCGGACTGCATATCGTAGACGCTCTGGGGCACGAGGTTCGTGCCCACAAGGCGATCGTTGAAGAGATTGTACAGCAGGCCCCAGGTGGATGCGTTACCGTAGTTGAGAATGGTATGAGGAGGGGATGTATCGGTGTTGATGCCTAGCGTCTGCCATTTTGCGATGTAGTCATGTGCGACTGTGGAGAAAGTCTGTGAGTCGGCGGGCTGGCCGATGAGAGAAGAGATGTGCGACATTGCTTCGATGGCGATGATGCCTTTGAGGGCGAGGTTTGTCTGGTTGGCTAGGTGGCCGGCGAAGTCGTCGGTTGAGAGCTGGTGGGCAGGGTAGAGACTGTGTTCGACCAGATATTCTGCCCACTGCTTGAGAATCGGGTAGTGCTGCTTGATGTAGTCGATGTTTCCGGAATGCTGGACGTAGGCCAGGACCATGATGATCATGTTTCCACTTTCTTCCAGTGGCATGAATTCCTCAAAACCGTCTGTGTGGCCAGTAGCGTTCGGATAATGTGTTCCAAGGTCATGAATAGCCCATTTGTTAGGATAGTGGCCACTTTCTTGATTCTCAAAGTGCGGGTCCAGCAGTAGCCTGATCAGATCTGGATTTAAGTAGAAGAAGATAGGCGATGCAGGGTATATCACATCCACAGTCTGAGTATTGCCATTTGAAGATATCTCCTTTAGGAAAAGGTAGTGCTTCTCACCAGTGCCGACAAGCTGAGTCGCCCCAAATGCCTGTCGGGCGGCCAGAGTGGTCAGAACTGCATAGTCTTTCCCAGCAGCCGTGATCGAATCTTCCAAAACTTGTGCGTCTAAGTCGGACGAAATCTTCCTGTACTCGGAATAGTCCTTCTGAAAGAACACGAGGGCTTCAAGATCATCCGCGAAATAATTCCTCCACAGTGATGGGAGATTGACCAGTCCGTCCGCTCCCAGGAACTGTACTGCCTCATTTTGACATAATCCTAGCGAGAACAGAGTTGAGACTGGGGAATTGCCCACGGTTTTGATATCGACGGCGTATCCAAAGACCGGCCAGCTGCTGTTGATAGCACGAAAATTGGTATCATTCGAGCTCGCCAACTGGCCAGACGCCACAAAGCCACCCCGGACATCATCATCCGTACCAGATTGGTATGTCAGACCATTACGCGCATCAGTCGCGTAGTACTAAGAAGATGTCAGCAGTGATGGCTTCTGCAGAACCACTGATGACTGACAAAATTTCCCCATTCTGCTTGGTCCTTGTTCTCCACGAATGGCTGTTGCTCTTGCCTCGACAATCTGTGGTATACCACATCTTCCTTCAGGCCAAAATCCCAAGTGGCCACCGCACCAACATCGCCAGAGATCCACTCTGTCCCAGACTATCAGCATGCTCCAAATCAACGTGCCAGGGGCAGTCAAGCTTACCGGCACTGATGTCAGTATAGATCTGTACTTCGTGCAATCCGCCGTCCAAAGACCAGACCTCAACATCCATATACGAGAACACTAAAGACTGCCGCTTGAGATCCCGCGGGGTAAGCGGCGACAGAAAAGTAACGTTCAGCGCCACCTTTTCCCCGATTTCGAGCGTAAACACGCTCTTGCTGGCCGTATACTCACACCCCGTCTGCTTCGCTACCGGCAGTTCCAATTTCGGCATCCCCATCCACGTATATGTCGCGCCGTCGACGCGCACCAGGCCCGTCCACCCGAGCGTCTGGCCCCTGTGGTGGTCAGTACTGCTTTAAGGCGCTGGGGGGAACGGACGCGTAGAACTGCGGCCACTGACCCGCAAGATAGCCACCGTTGCCACCATTGATGCCCGCCGGGAGCCAGGCGCTTAGGTACGGGGACTTGACAGCGAGGGGGATGGAAGGGGGACGCACGGGGGTGAATGTGGACTGCGCGGCGGCGCAGAGGAGATAAGTTAACGTTGTTAAGAATGAATAATACATTGTACGCATACGGATATTCGATCGCGAGAAAAGGATCAGTGTTGGGGCACGCAGCCGGTGTGGTGCCTACTTACTTATTGCGATCGCATGCCATCTCAATGACACCGGGCCCGTACGATGCCCGGAAGGCGCCCCATGACAGCACCAACTTGCGCTGTTCACTTCTTCCCCAGGAAACTTCACCAGGAAGGCGCGTCCAAACGACGTGTCGACAACCGCCACTGCGTCGTTCACTCTTGCGCCACCTCAGTCTCTTGGCGCTCGAAAAGGAGTAGCCGCATGACCATCTGGAGCAGTATCAAACGACGAGCAGTATGTTGGCAGCCAAGCAGCTCTCGCTGCTGTGCGCACGACTAAAGATATTAGGGCGTAGCGTTGGTAGAAGCGCAGGTGGCTGGATGCGGACTGTGGGTGCGCGTTGACAGGTGCGTTTGACAGATTTTTGCACGACGATGGGCGCGTGATTGGGCCGCGGAGTGGGATGAGTCGGTTGTTGAGATGGTGTGTTGTGCAGGCCGTCAGCGGGCATTTGCGGGTGTGTGCGTGGTGGGAGCTGTGTTGGATCATGGGGATTGGTGGTGTTGTGGCTTGCGAGTGGTTGTGCTAATGTTGGCAGTGCTGGCTGATTGTAATCGCAGGCTAGACGAAGGTGTTGTATGGAGTTGAGGTCGCGAACGGGACGAGGCGCGCGAGGCTGCAGTGAGTTACGCTATCGTTGAGATGCATGACAGTGACGAACGGGTGGGGAAGGTGCACAAGGCTAAGATGTGGGGATGACACTGGTCATTGACGCACAGGAGACGAGACATGGCCTAAGTAAAGCACTTCGTTGATAAGGGAGAGACTATTGTAACACTCAAACATGACTTTTGACACTCTAGTATTAGTCGCAACTGCAGTCTGCACTGCTCACTATGCTCTAGTACAATGAACGCGAAACGCTTGCATGCGTATCCCAAGGAACCAATTGAGCAAAAATCGAACAACAATAGACTACCGCCCAATGACTGAGTGGGGCGAAACAGGGTATCCATAAAGTAGCAAACAAAGTGCTGAGAGGTAAAAATGCGATGATGAGAGAAGCAGAAAAGTGAGAGGGGTATCGTGTCCAGCATCATCAATCCGATCTGTATAGGTCGTGTAGGTCAAGGAAGGGCGCATGCCCTTCAATCCTTGGGGGTCCAAGAGCGCGACACGCCCTCGTACTGATCAGCGCAGTCGCGCAGAAAGCAGCAGTCGAGAATGTCAGAGACGGTCCAGCGTTGCTCGGCATCCATGTTCAGGCAGCCCTTCAACAGGGTGAGCGCCTCCTCGGCGCCACCGTCCTGCAACGCCGTCGCAGTGCGCACGAGCTCCTGATCCCACTCGCCGTTCAAAATTTTCGTGGTGGTCTTTGCGTCTAGGCCCTCGTTGAAAGGGAGAGTCGCGGTGAGCAGCGCGTAGAGCACGACGCCGAACGCCCAAATGTCGGCCGCGGGGGAAAACATGACAGCTCCAGTGCTGCTGAATAGCTCGGGTGCTGCGTACTGTAGACTGCCCTGCACCGATGTGCTAGTGTCGGCGGGACCGATGTTCGGGTTTTGTCCACTGGAATGCGGCTCGGGGCCTTCGCGATCGTCTCGCACGATGAAATCTGCCATGCCGAAGTCGCACAGGAGTACATCGCCACCCGCGGTCGCGGCGTCGGGTGCAGTCATATCGAGAAGGCAGTTTTCGAGTTTGACGTCGCGATGAACCACGCACACGTCGTTATGCAAATAGCGCAACGCAGAAGCCAACTGATAGGCGTAACGCTTCACCAGCTGCTTTGAAAGTCCGACCTTTTGTTGTCGCCGTGTGTCGCGTATCAAATCAAACAGTGTGCCGCCTTTGTTTAATTTCGTAATACAGAACGTGGCATAGTCGGTGGTGTAGACTTTGATGAGGGGGAGAATATATGGATGGCGCAGGAAGCGCCACATTTCCACCTCATGGTCGAACTGGCTTTGTAGCGCTTCGTTCTCGAACTCAGATTTGTTACTCTGCTGCTTCCGTACAATCTTGACAGCGTCAACCACCGGCTTCCCGTTCTCCATGCTCGTAACCTCTTTGACGATGCTAAACCCACCGTAACCAATCTGCTTGCCAATGATGTACTCGTTATCGTAGCCAAGACCCTGGCCCTCGTCGTCTGGCTGCGGCTCTCTCAGCGGTGCCTCTGAAGCCTTGTAGCGTGCAAGGAAAGAGGCGGCGGGAGACATGGAGGAAAGGGAGCGACCCGAGCGGCCGGAAGACCGCCGACTGGCTCGCCTCAGACTGCCGTCTTCGCTGATCTCCGTTCGGAAGCTTCTATTCCTGGTCGGACCGCGGCTCATGGGTGAGAACAGCGGGAATTCCAACGGCGAGCTAGTGGAGGGTAGTGGAGACAGCATGTACTCGTTGCGAGCATCGATTGGCGTTCGCGCCTCTTCAAGCGGCGAGGCGGTGGCTTCAGAAGTAAGGGACGCGACCTGGTCGTTGTACTCAGGGTCTGTGGCCATCTCGTCGACGGTGGTCTGGAGCAATGGGTAGCGTCCATGGGCGGTTGCTTGGCGCGACAGAGCCCGGCGCGAGTTGAAGGGCATCTCGAGGTAGTCGCCCTCCGAGTAGCTGCCCTCTTCGGGCGTGTAGGACGGCGACTGTCGCGCGCTCGGCTTGGGCACAGGAACCTCCAGACCGACGACATCGCCCGTGTCGAGCTGGACCTCATTGTCGAAGCTGATGGACGTCTTGCGCCGGCGAAACAAGTCCTCGATGGTCCTCTCATTGCTGACGGTGCGCCCCAGCGAGCGGCCCACGCCGCCCTCATAGGCGGCTATGTGGCCATGGGAGCCGTTGTGGTGACGGGTCTTGAAGGGGCCATCGGTGATCTTGTGGCCCTCGACATGCTCGAGGTCATCCTGCGACTGCGCATGGATGGAGTCTGGGCGCGGGATCGAATCAAAAGTCGAAGAGACGCGCTTGTGGGGCGCCGAGGTATCGAGCTTGAGCTTCTGGAAAATGTGTGAGGATGGCTGCGGGGCCATTAAAACGGTGCACTGTGGTGGATGCAAACCTCAAAGCAGCCGCGGCGCCAGTGTATTAATATTCAGGCCGTGGGGTCGCGCTGAAGGGCAGAGACGGGAGAACACGGAGGGCGAATGAAGGGATTGTCAATATGAATGTGTCCAAGAACAGCGGATGCCTGTTGTGGTTGCGCGGTAGCGTGCTGGAATTTGCGCGGGCGACACAACACCACGGATGCCTGCGGGGGCGTGCGGCAGGTTGAGGGCGGAGAGGGAGCGCGGCGGGCAATTGGAGCGGACGTGCAAGGGCCCAGTGTATGGCCGTTGCAGCGCAGGGCGGTGGGCGGGCAACCTTCTTAACTTTTGGCTGTGCAGTCGAGCGTCCCACTGCAATCCCACGCGCCGGTCGCCTCGGCGCTCGCCGGAGAGGGGAAGGCTGCCGGGGGGAGGCATAGCGTCACACAAGATCGCCCGCGCTCTGGCAAATGGGGCGAGCGCCTGGGGTAAGCTGGTGCATCTGCGCGCTGCGAGTGGACAGCAGTGGGCATGGCAGTGGCAGCGGGCAGCGAGCAGCGAGACAGCCTTGGGCACGGCGCGTCGGCGTACAAATGCTTGTTACGCGCTGCGGCCGGCGGCGAGGCGAGGCGAGTGCGCGTCGAGAGGCACTGCACTGGCTGCGCTGACGGCACTGCACTGACGGCACTGCACTGCACTGACAGCCCCCGCGCTGCACGGTGCGGCTCTCGCGATGCCTCCGCCTGGTGCGCCCATCTGAGGCGCGCGGTGATACAGGCTCGGCGACAGCGGGCGTGGGGTCGCCAGAGGCAGCGGGGGACGCCGCGCATGCAGGGCCGTCGACCGGCACGCACTAAGCAGACGCTCAGTGCCACGGCGACGAGACACGGCGCTGTGGCGACGAGACAGGGCACCATGGCGGACGCTTGCACCGCAGCGGGATGGGAGGCGCGCATGATGCGAGCGTGATGGAGGCAATCGAGGCAGCGTTGCCCGGGCGGCACCACCGTGGTCGCAGCGTCGCAGCGTCGCAGCCCGCGTCCATGCCGGAGGTGTTCACGCGGACAGCGGCGCCCAAGGGAACTCTGCTCTGTCCTGGCGGCGGCGCGCATACTGTACTGTACACAGTCCAGTCTACTACTTACATAGATAGCACATGCGTCCCTGCTAGCCCAGGACCCTTCCGCTCTGTTTCCCGCCCAGCGCGCCCACTTTTCCATGTGACACTCCAGCGTATCGGACGAGCTTTCCCAGCTAGCGAGTGGAGAGCTGCCGCCGTGCGTTGGACAACCGCCCAGCACGGGCGCTCAACACCACACCCACCGCGATAGCCCAGCACTCCCAGCTCGTCGCCGCGCGCCCCCCAGCTGCCCGCGCCCGGCCTGCCATTCCATCCCGCCCATCGCCGCCCATCGTCGCCCCTTTCCCCCGGGCAGCCTCCATCCAGGCACGGCACCATGGGCGTCTCCCAGTTCTTCTCGCAGCTGTGCGCCTCCTGCTGCGGCGGTACGCATCGCCCGCCCGTCGCCCATCTCGCGCATGACTAATCGCCCGCAGGCCGCAGCAAGGACAGCATCTACGACCCCGTGCTGGCCGACAGCGAGCGCGAAGCCGTCGCCGACCTCCTGGGCTTCCTTGAAAATGTACGGCCCCCGCTCTGCCTGCACGCCTCATACTGACCGCCCAGCGCGCCGAGACCGATTTCTTCTCCGGCGAGCCCCTCCGCGCATTGTCAACCCTTGTATATTCAGACAACATCGATTTGCAGCGCTCGGCCAGCCTGACCTTTGCCGAGATCACGGAGCGAGGTACCGCGCCTGCCGCCCGTCTGCACGCACCAGTCTGACCACACGCAGATGTCCGCGAAGTCGACCGCGACACGCTGGAGCCGATCCTCTTCCTGCTCCAGAACCCCGACCTCGAGGTCCAGCGCGCCGCCAGTGCCGCCCTGGGCAACCTGGCCGTGAACAGTACGTCACCACCCACCACTCCCAGCCATCGCTAATGCCCCGCAGCCGAGAACAAGGTTGCCATTGTCGCACTGGGCGGCCTTGCACCCCTCATCAAGCAGATGAACTCGCCCAACGTCGAGGTGCAGTGCAATGCCGTCGGCTGCATCACCAACCTCGCCACCCACGAGGATAACAAGGCCAAGATTGCGCGCTCAGGCGCCCTGCAGCCTCTCACGCGCCTGGCCAAGTCCAGGGACATGCGCGTGCAGAGAAACGCCACCGGCGCGCTGCTGAACATGACACATTCTGGTACGCTTCCGTGTGTTGCTGCTAGAGGGCAGACGCTAACAGTTCCAGATGACAACCGTCAACAGCTCGTCAACGCCGGCGCAATCCCCGTGCTCGTCCAGCTGCTCTCTTCCTCGGACGTCGACGTCCAGTACTACTGCACAACAGCGCTCAGTAACATCGCCGTCGACGCCAGCAACCGCGCAAAGCTCGCCCAGACCGAGGGCCGTCTCGTACAATCGCTGGTGCACTTGATGGAGTCCTCGTCGCCCAAGGTGCAGTGTCAGGCTGCCCTCGCCCTGCGCAACTTGGCTTCAGACGAACGCTACCAGCTCGACATTGTTCGCGCACGTGGTCTGCCGTCCCTGCTCCGCCTCCTGCAGTCGTCCTATCTCCCCCTCATCCTTTCCGCCGTTGCATGTATACGAAACATCTCCATCCACCCCGCAAACGAATCGCCCATCATCGAGGCGGGTTTCCTGCGTCCTCTTGTTGATCTCCTCGGCTCCACCGAGAACGATGAGATCCAATGCCACGCCATCTCGACTCTGCGTAATCTTGCCGCAAGCTCGGACAAGAACAAGCAGCTCGTGCTGGAGGCCGGCGCCGTGCAAAAGTGCAAGCAGTTGGTCTTGAATGTGCGATTGCCGGTACAGTCTGAGATGACTGCAGCAATTGCCGTCCTTGCGCTGAGTGAAGAGCTGAAGCCTCACCTGCTCAATCTTGGTGTCTTTGATGTGCTTATTCCGCTCACCGAGTCGGAAAGCATTGAGGTCCAGGGCAACAGTGCTGCTGCGCTGGGTAACCTGTCTTCTAAAGGTAAGGAATTTCACAATCGCCCTTCGATCCCAGCTAACAGGCACAGTGGGCGATTACACCATTTTCATCCAAAACTGGACCGAACCTGCTGGTGGCATCCACGGCTACCTCCGCCGCTTCCTCGCCAGCGGCGACCCTACATTCCAACACATCGCCATCTGGACGCTGCTGCAGCTTCTGGAGTCCGAAGACGCCCGACTTTCGGAGCGCATCTCCAAGTCGGACGAGATCATCCACATGGTCACCGAGATCTCCGAGCGCAACATCGAATCCGATGACGAAGACAACGAAGACGGCGAGGGCGAGGTTGTCACGCTAGCCCGCAGATGTCTTGAGCTGCTGGGCAACAATCCCAAGGCTCTTATCGAGGGTTAGATGCGGCCACATCTTCGGTCCGGCTTCATTGATTGTATCTTTGCCCATGTTTACTTTGTCTTTTGTTTTGCTGATGCGTTCATGTTGGATGCTGCTCTGTAGAGCAGCTCATGGAAGAAGTTTTCACGGCTGGCGTTCCGGGAGCAAACTATTTCCAACATTTCTAGCGCGCATGGGAGGAGCATGACGTTTACTTATTGGCATACCATCTTTGTTAGCACCGCTGCTTGATCAAGAATAGCTTTGTGGCTCGAGATACTTTAATTGTTAGCCTGGATGAGGAGCAGAGCATGCTGCTCGTGGTGTATCGTGGACGAATCAAAATGAGGTACCGCTGCTGATCTTGCCGTGCTGTTGTTTATCGTGCACTGTTTCACAAGATAGCGCGTCCCCCATGTGACGTCGCGTTGACTTTGCCTTATCGATAAGCCTTGCCAAAATGTTTGCTAATCGTTGCCGAGTCACCTTGCATTCGCGACAACAGGACCCTGACGAACAATGCCACCAAAACCTCGGGGAAGAGCGAGTACGCGAGCGCGCGCGGGTGGGAGAGGGGGCGCCACTGCAGGACGAGCTGTTGAAAACCCCAGCGAAGCTGTACAGACCACGACCCCGCCGACTTTCGATGCGCCTGCTGCAAGTGAGACTGCAGATGCTGTTGTAACTGAGGAAGATAACAATGTTGATACGAAGCCACCTTCGCCCACCGGCAACGAGTCTACGCCGAACGATACGTCCTCTGCGACGGCAACACCACAAGATGGCGCAGAAGCCTCCACTCGTCCTCCTGTGCAGCGGCTCGGTGGACTAAAAAGCGCGGAACCGACTTCGAGGTCTTCGTCCCCTTCTGTGAAGCGCGGCACTACTAAGTCTGGCAAGAAGACAGTCCCAAAGCCCATGTTCACGGCCCGCAGAAGCAAGGAAGAGCGGGCAGCACTTGAGAAGGAACAGCTGGAGAGAGAAAAGATCAGACACCGGGATCAAGAAAAAGAGGCTGCTTTCCAGGCTAGAAGAAAAGAGAGGGAGGCTGCAAAGGAAGCTACTAGATCTACTCGGGGGCGCGGTGGCTATAGCAGTGCTATGAGCGGTCCGTTCTCGCTTGGAAGCTCGAAAGAAGGTAGGCAGTGTTGTTATTTCATTACGAATCTTGCTGACGGGTGCACCAGACCGGAAAACAAACCACCGCAACTTCTCTGGATTCGGGGCTGGGTCGGGATCACGAGCGGTGCGCGTCAAGAACGAGGGCGACGAGAGCGGACCCAGCAGATCAGGCGGTTACGGTGGGGGCGGAGGAGGTGGAGGTGGAGGCAGCTCCGGTATCAAAAGAGAGGATGGCGGTGTTGTTGAGTCTTCTGAGGACGAAGAGGATCAGGAATTCCCTCGGAGAGACATCGATCTTATCGAGATTTCTGACGATGAAGACGGGGCGGATGTTAATGATCGGCCTTCAAGATCAGCGCTGCCTATTCGTATCACGCGAAAGGAACATCAAGAGAAGGCATTGGCATTGAACACAGATGCTAGTGCGGAGACGGCTCCAAAAAGCGCATCAGAGGCTACAGGGACAACTGGCGGTAGGTCTGGTGGAGCACGGTCAGGCCAGGGCGGCCGTAAGGGCAAGGGCAAGGCGAGCGACTTGGAAATCACCGGAGTGCGCAAGCCCTTCAAGGGTGTATGGCAAGATGCGGAAGATTCAGATGTCCAAGTCAAATCAGAGCAGACCAGCGACGACGAGCAGATGGCCGACGCAGAGCAAGTAGGCCTCGACGCCGACCAAACAGAAGCCCCGCATCAAGAAACGCCCGCGAAAGAAGAGCCACAGTCACCAACTACAGAACGAAAGGGCAAGAGTCGCACCAAGAGCGTGGCAGAACCCGTTCTCCAGACCGACGAGGATCGAGCAGAATGGTCGCGCTTCCTCGAAAATCGCAAACACATTCGCGCCGAGCTCGGCCCAGAAGACACAGATGCTGTCGATGCAGCAGGAGACACAGCTATGGCAGACGGCGCACCTGCAGCACCAAAACCCACCGTGCGAGACAACAACGTCTACCTCTTCCAGATCCCACCCCTCATGCCCGAACTCATCGAGCCCGGCGTCAAGAAAGACATGCCCGACGTTGCAGAGGCATCAGCACCCGCACAACTCAAGAAAGAAGCTCCCAAGATCAAGGTCGAGGAAGGCTTCTCCGATCCCGCCGCCAAGCCAGCTCAAGGGCCTCGCTTCGCGAGCGGTCTCGTGGGCAAGCTGCGCGTGCGGCAGTCAGGACGCACGACATTGGACTGGGGTGGTACCAGCTACGAGCTGGCGCCTGGTAATAAAGCGAGCTTCTTGCAGGAGGTCGTCAGCATCCACCTCGTCCCCGAGAAGGACCGCGTGGTGCCCGAGGACGCGGGCGAGGCGGTGTCGTTTGGGCGCGTCAAGGGCAAGTTTGTCGTCACGCCCGACTGGGGGGAGATGCTTGGATGAGGCCGCATGTGTGAAACTTCTCCTGAAGGGCGGTGACGTGAACGCGTTGGGAGCGCAGCGACTGGCTACGTACGACGAGAGACATGTTAATGCATTCCGCCAAGCGCGACGCCGGCATGGGGCCCCTCGCCAACTGCTCACCGCGTCCCAACACTGCATCCCACGCTGCAGCGCATTGAAATTGCCCGTGTCTTGTTGACAGCTTTCGTATCGCCTGATGTGTGTCTCCGTAGTCCCGCCCCCCGGATCGCCGCCCCCGATTCGCTCCCTCCTGCCCCTCCCCCGCAAAGCTTGGTGCGCGCGCCACTCACAGCCCGCGCTCGACGCCGGCCGTGCGGCGCCCTACGCCCGTTCCAGCCCGCGCGCCCAGATCCGACCTCACGATGTTACTGTTTGTCACGGCGACAGGGAGAAACCGTGCCGTTGCGGCGGGCTGACGGCGCTGACGCCGGGGGGCTAGGCAGCGCGCGAGTTTGCTTAAAGACGGTCGCGGCGCTGCATGCGTCCTGGCCAGCGATTCCATCTTTTGACGTTACCTTTTGCGCTCTTTAGCCGACTTGCTTCGTCGATTCAGTTTTGCATCCGCTCGGTCCGGATCACTCCACACGAGAAGAGGGGTTGTGAGCGGGGATACAGTGTATATACAAAGCAGCGGATGTCGGCCATGATTGAGTGCGCGTTCATCAACAGCGTGATTACCACCGACAGCGGCCGTGATCTCGCGTCGAGAGGTGCGAGCACAGAGACCATCAAGACATGCGCGCAGCACGATACTATGGGAAAGAGGATATCAGAATTGAGGATGATGTGGCTGAGGCCCAGTGCGGCGCGGGACAAGTCCGGGTACGGTGCTCACTTCCACACAAAGCTGTGCGGCAACTAACGCCTCCAGGTCGCCCCCGCGTACGTAGGCATCTGCGGCAGCGATCTCCACGAGTATATCGGCGGCCCGACCTTCGCGCCCACAACCCCCCACCCGCTGACCCACGACTCCATCCCGATCACCCTCGGCCACGAGTTCTCCGGCGTCATCACCGAACTCGGCCCCGACGTGACCGCCTTCACGCTCGGCCAGCACTGCGTCGTCCAGCCCACGCTCTCCTGCACCACGTGCCCGCCCTGCCTCGCCGGCGCCGAAAACGTCTGCCACGGCGGCGGCTTCATCGGGCTGTCCGGCGGCGGCGGCGGGCTGAGCGACCACGTCGTCGTGGCCGCGTCTGCGATCGTCCCGCTGCCCACCACCATCCCGCTCGACGTCGGCGCGCTCGTCGAGCCGCTCGCCGTCGCCTGGCACGCCGTGGCCGCCGCACCAGTCACCCCGGACAGCACCGCGCTGGTGCTGGGCGGCGGCCCCATCGGGCTCGCGATCGTGCAGTGTCTGCGCGCGCAGGGCGTGCGGAGCATCGTGCTCAGCGAGCCGTCGGGCGCGCGGCAGCGGTTCGCGCGCGCGCTCGGCGCACACCACGTGCTGGACCCGCGGGGCGCGGATGTCGTGGCCGAGACGCGGGCGCTCAGCGGCGGCGGCGGGGGCGCGGACGTGGTGTTTGACTGCGCGGGGGTAGCGGCGAGTCTGGACGCTGCGTGCAAGGCTGTGCGCGCCCGGGGCACGATTGTGAATGTGGCGATTTGGGAGAAACCCGTGCCGTGGAGTCCGAATTCGCTGGTGTGGAATGAGGCGCGGTTTACGGCGGTGTTGGGGTATCGGAGGGCGGATTTCGAGGCCGTGGTGGACGGGTTGACTAAAGGGACGCTGAAGCCTGAGGCGATGATTACGAGTAAGATCGCGCTGGATGATCTGGTTAAGGAGGGGTTCGAGAAGCTTATTCATGATAAGGAGAATCATGTTAAGATTCTGGTGGATATGGGTATGCTGAATCGTACGGATTCGGCGGTGCATTGATGGCGTTGGGGTCGGGGGAGTGTTTTAGAAGGAGCAGTTTCCTGAAAGCAGTAGTCGCGGCATAGGAGTTTCCAAATCTCCACACATAGACAAATCTAAACGCCAAAAATCAGCCGCGGACGTTCCTCATACCCTGACCATCCAGAAGTTGACGTGCGAACACCATATAATCGCTGGCTCACGTCTCTAGCCATCAAGTCTGTCAAATCCTGGACTCTCTCTGGACATTTTGCATCTAGCAGTTTTCCTCTATAACATTGGTCTGCTCAGACTACCATGCGTCGTCCCAGTTGTTGATCTGGCTATCGTTGACTGGATGAAACAGTGCGGACTGAAAGTACTGTGCAGATTTTAGTGTTAACTGTAGGGCCGAATCATACAAGAGTTATTCCAGGCCTAAGCCCTGGTCCCCTTGGATCTGGCTTGTCCAACTCGCCAGTGTAGTTGCGACCTCATCTCCGGATAGTGAGTCTAAGGATCCACCACCTCGACATCAAACCCCAAGACACTCAACTGCGCTTACTCGGCGCAAGACCCAGACGCAGCGCCACCGCCTTCGACAGTAGTTAGCATCAACTTCCCTCAGAAGATCCCCGGAAAAAACTGCACCATCGCCACCTCCACCTGCTCCCCCAGCTTCTCGACGACGTCCTCGCCCCGCCCCACCGCCGCCCTCACAACCGCATGCGAGAACCCATGGCCATTCGCAAACACGCAAACGCCCACGAGGCCCTTCCCCGTCGTCATAGCCGCCCAGTTCTTCGTCGCCATCGAGACGTCCGATGGCTCGATGCGCTTGCCGTAGCTGGCTTGCTGGTGGCGGATCAGGAAGGCGATGTTCTCTGCGCGCGTTAGCGTTAGCGGGGTGGATGGAGTGAGGTGTTGCTGTGGTGTTGTGGGGCAGGCTGTGGTGCGGTGGGAGTACGTACCGCAGAGGATCAGCGCCTTGGCTTCGGCGGCGGGCGTGAGGTTGGTGGCGCAGAAGGGCGCGAGGAGGTCGTAGATGCGCTGTTCGAGCGTCTCGTGGGAGAGTCCTGGTGGGCCTTCGGGGCCTTGTGGTCCGGGTGGACCTTGAAGACCGGGTGGATCTGGGGCGGGGACGTAGACGGGGGTGGAGGTAGGCCGCGGAAGGATGGGGGGAATCGGGGCGGCGTGCGTGGACATTTTGGGCATGGTGTTGGGTGGAGAGGAATTGTTCTGCGTGTAGAAGACGGAGTACATGGGCGGCGGTGCGGAAGGTGGGTGAGGGAGTAAAGGAAAGGTGAAATGGATTGTGGGTGCGGCGGGATTGTCACGGGGTTTGACTTTCACTTCATGGTGGGGCACTTGTCAAACGGTTGCCTTGAATCTTGCTTGCCTTTTGGACTGTCTGCTGACTAGATGTGCGCCAGCGAGAGTAGAACCTTGCGCGTCTACTTGACTTCTTTGAGTGCTTCAAACATCAACGTGTTCACTTTGTCATCCAAATCCAGGATCACCATTCCAAAGCTGGTTTCTGCGCTGACGATGGTGACGAAGCTATTTTTGTCCGTATCGTGCACAACAATTGCAATCTTGACCTCTTTGATATTGTATTTCTCATCTCTGCGTACTGCAATGGGCACGGCGACGTCTTCCGGCTTGAACTTTGCGCTGTGGATGCGGATGAGGAAGCAGATGTTTTCTGTCGTGGTTTATCAGAAGCTGTTCCTAACAAAGTCTATACCGCCATGTGGACCTACCGACTAAACTGAGGATATTAGCTCCGCTCTCATCATCTTCGTCGTGCTTCTTGATGATCTTGTATAGGTGTTTCTGAAGTGGCGTCATTGCGTGTTGGCTGATTCGAGAAGGTGAGTGGGAAGTGTCAAGCTTGCAGTAGAAACAACCGTAGAAGTGTTTATATTTACCCTGCCTAGCGCAAAGCTTTGGGTTCCATAAATCTTCTTTCACCGTGAAAACACGGACCACCAACATGTTGGACGTAGGTTCGATTCGTACAGCTATGAAGTTAGACTAGGTGCTCTGCAATGACCCCGCATACTAAAGAGACCATAATTCTGACACCCCCATTCCCTCCGGTGACTTTCTAGCTTGGTTGACAGCTTGGGTGACAGTTCTGGGACCCCTCCGCATCCAAGATATCCTTGATGGCTGCATCGACTTCCTCTGCCAAGGACACAATCAAGGTCTTCCCATGCTGCTGGCCGCTAACTTCAGCCTGGACAATGACAGTGAATTTTCCCGCCCCAATGTGGACTAGGACGACGGCTCTCTGGCCATTTGGTCGGCTTGGTCTGCGGATATCAATGATAGGGACTGATATCTTGGCTGGATTGATATCTGGACCGTACTTAAACTTCACAAGGAAAGCTATGTTGCCTAGTTGTAGTTGTTGTCAGTATGCGTCTATGACACTTCACCGGCTTGACTGACCCGCCATCGTCCACATAGTAGGGGCAGGGAGATTTCCACGAAGGTCGACAATGCAGTCGTAGATGTGCTGTCGGATATCGTGCAGGCCGGTAGTGCGAGAGGTCGTAATGAAAGCTGTCTAAGTTCCAGTTTCAGAAGTGAAGCAACTTTGAGTGGTGATGTCCGTATAGAAATGTTTAAGAACGATGGAGCACACAGTCAGCTCGAATCATGGCCTCCTTATGAGCTAGCTCTAACAAAGCTCATGATAACTAGTGATACTGGCAATCAACTGTAACATCTGTGTTCTTTAAGCGCGAACACTCACAAACTTGAAGGCAATCGTTGCTCCACGCTTACACAATCGTCTCGTCTCCAATCTAACTCTGGTTTGATTGTACACTAGTGATATACATTTTGTATGCAACATTCTTCGTGATCATTCTGGTAGTGTCTGTATGCGATGCGAACGAAAATGTATGCGAAATATGTTAACAATGCTGTGTTTGTTCTTGGTCATGCATGCTTCCTGCAGGAAGCTGTCTTAGTTGTGAAGTTGTACTTGCAAGAAAATCATCACCTATCCGTCTTTTCAAAACCGTGTTTGTTCGTATTTAGATAGTCTGATACGATGCTGAGGATAGTGCGGGTTGGAATTACGCTTGAGCGTACACTGTCTGACAGGGCGGCCTCCTCAGAGTAAAATGTGGGACCTCGTGTGTAGAGAGAACTCATAGCCTATTTTCAGCAGCTATGATGTGACTACTCACCTCTATGCAAGCTATTCGTCGTGCATGTAGCAAAAGCGTGGGTATTCAGAGCAACAATGACATTGTAGACAACAGCGTAGTGCACTCACTGTTTTGAGTCTTTCGTTGGCCCTACTGCCTCGTTTCACTCACAATGCTCTGGCCATCCTTCAATAAAAGTTATTTCAAGTTGCATTATTCCCAGTGAAACAAACTACTGAGTATCTCCACCATGCTCAAACGAGTCGCCTCTTTCGTCCGTCGCCACGTCCTCCAAGTGTACCACATCGCTGTTTGGCGTCGACACAAGCTTTCTAGTACGGATTTTGCGAGATGCGAGATCGTCCGCCGCATCTGCCCACGTCTCTTCGCTCTCACAGACTCTGCGATAGAGTGTCTGCGGCCGCAGGATGTCGGCTCACTGCACTGTGTACTGCACAAATTTGTTGGCATAGTGGCTAATTTCATGCTTCAGAATCCAAGCCACGCCCAGGTGCACGCCTTGGCCGCAGAGCTCACACAGTACATCAACTCACGCTATCCGAGCGTTGAGATCTGTACCATGACTGTAATGGAGCTGGTGGATCTTACTTACAGGCTTGTGCGTACTGAGTATCGCGAAGTTCTAGAGTCTGCAGCAGCTTTAGCGAACCTACGCAGCCCAGATTACACTTATGAGCAGTTATACCAGGTGCAAGACATTAACAACGAGATCACGCATGACATTAGCACGACATGTTTCTACGCGTCGTGGGAGACATTCCTTAAGTATTCGACGAAGGAAATGGTCGCCTTTACTCGCGGATATCAACAGGAGGATAGTAATGCTAACGACGGCATCCCGTCGCCCGAGGGCCCATCAACCGAGTTCGAAATCGATGACACAGAAGCAGAGTACAAAGGTATCGGTAAAAGAATCGAGCCGTGGAACTTCTGTCGAATTCCTTACTCGATACCAGAGGACGCACAATGCTCTGTTTGCATGACTGAGGTCAAAGTGCGAAATCGGGACGAGAAGTACGTACAAACAAAGTGCGGCCATATCTTCCATCAGCTGTGCCTGGACACGTGGGTCAACGATTCAGGCATGAAGGCGTCAAACACATGTCCCTCGTGCCGTACGGTGTTGTGTATGCCTCGTGAACGACTGCATGCATCCGTCGAGGTCCCTATGACGGGTCAATTCGACAACAGGGATGGCATGTCAGCTTTTGGTGGCTTGAGCATCTGATCTGATAATACGGGACCCGTGATTCAAGTCTCGTATGTAACATGGGTGAAGATGCCTCCGAACACGAAGCGTTTTCTGTCACTGATCATGACTGTATTTTTGGTTTGACATAGTCGGGGCAGATTAGAAGATGCTGGACATACTTCGCCCGAACACGCTGCTGAAATGCAGAGAGCTGATGGTTATTTGAGGCGCTGGGCGTTTTCGGATACGTCATCGGCAGTGCCTTCGATAAGAGACTTCATGAATTTTGGTAATTCAACTAATGTCAATCCCTACGTGCCGGGACACACGGTGTAACGGGACAGGTTTGCACTCCGGACCTTCGGAGTCTCCTGTTTGCACATTTACAGGCCTGTGATGGATATGCAGCGTTCTTCGGTCTACTCTTCACCCGTCTATCAGCCTCCGGGAACGAGTGCTGCCATGCTGGCTCTGCTGTCGATCGTTCTGTCAACGCCGTTAATCGACCTTTCATCGATACCCCCCTGTTCATTCACGACCTAAGGGACCTCTGTGAGAATCGGACGGTCTGAGAGGAAGCCAAGTTGAGGAAGATTGTATCCCTGGGCCCTAGAAGCTCTTTTGACTTAAGAAGTGTGTAGTCCGGCAGTTTCGCCGGTTGGGAGCGAAGTTTGCAAAATGCGACCCAGCGGGTCGGGACGCGCTAGCTTCGCTTACCATGTAGTGGCTTGCATTAGGGTACAGAGATGCAGCTGTAAGATATCGTACTGAATTAGACGCTATACCCACCACAGATTGGCTGCTGAGACAATTGTGGCGCAGGTTGGCGGCTTTCTAGCGTTGTCACATGTCTTGACCTGATTCCCCACTTTTCCTGCATGCCATTTTGTGCGAAACAGCAAGATCATGAAACTTAGCAACAGTTAATTCTCTTCAAACTCTGCAAGTCTTTGTGCCACAGCATGTTGCTTGTAGTCCCTGGACGTCATCTGTACAGCAGAAATATAAAAACCAGGACACACAAGATGAGATGAGATTCAGACAATGCCTATACTCTCCTGCGAACAGATGTGAGTGTGTAGGTCAATACTGCAGCTCCACACTCTGCCCGACCCCACGCCCATACCGACTGTGCTTCCGCACACCGCAGAGCATGACGGTCGATACTCCGATGGTATCCACAACACCTTCCTGTCGTCATGCTTGACCCATATGCTGTCGGAGCTAAGGCTTGTGCCTGAATACAGAGGGCATTCAGGCTCCACAACAGCTACCTCGCTAGAAGTTCCTGAACTGTGTATGGCGATGTGACCTATCTCAGTATGAAGAGAAGAGCTGGTAGAATCAAAGGATATGCTGTGGAGAGTCCTGCCGATGTTAATCGTCTGCAGACACGCCCCGCTGCTCGCATCCCACACCTTGACGGTCTTGTCGTATGACGCTGACGCCAGCTTGGTCGAGTCGTGCGAGAAGGCTACAGAGGTGACACCACTGCTATGGCCCTTAAGCGTCTGCAGACACGCCCCGCTGCTCGCATCCCACACCTTGACGGTCTTGTCGTCTGAAGCCGACGCCAGCTTGGTCAAGTCGTGCGAGAAGGCTACAGAGGTGACACCACTGCTATGGCCCTCGAGCGTCTGCAGACACGCCCCGCTGCTCGCATCCCACACCTTGACGGTGTTGTCGTGTGACGCCGACGCCAGCTTGGTCGAGTCGTGCGAGAAGGCTACAGAGGTGACAGCATCGCTATGGCCCTTGAGCGTCTGCAGACACGCCCCGCTGCTCGCATCCCACACCTTGACGGTCTTGTCGTATGACGCTGACGCCAGCTTGGTCGAGTCGTGCGAGAAGGCTACAGAGGTGACAGCACTGCTATGGCCCTCGAGCGTCTGCAGACACGCCCCGCTGCTCGCATCCCACACCTTGACGGTGTTGTCCCATGACGCCGACGCCAGCTTGGTCGAGTCGTGCGAGAAGGCTACAGAGGTGACAGCATCGCTATGGCCCTTGAGCGTCTGCAGACACGCCCCGCTGCTCGCATCCCACACCTTGACGGTCTTGTCGTATGACGCTGACGCCAGCTTGGTCGAGTCGTGCGAGAAGGCTACAGAGGTGACCCAATCGCTATGGCCCTCGAGCGTCTGCAGACACGCCCCGCTGCTCGCATCCCACACCTTGACGGTCTTGTCGTATGACGCTGACGCCAGCTTGGTCGAGTCGTGCGAGAAGGCTACAGAGGTGACAGCACTGCTATGGCCCTCGAGCGTCTGCAGACACGCCCCGCTGCTCGCATCCCACACCTTGACGGTGTTGTCCCATGACGCCGACGCCAGCTTGGTCGAGTCGTGCGAGAAGGCTACAGAGGTGACACCACTGCTATGGCCCTTGAGCGTCTGCAGACACGCCCCGCTGCTCGCATCCCACACCTTGACGGTCTTGTCGTATGACGCTGACGCCAGCTTGGTCGAGTCGTGCGAGAAGGCTACAGAGGTGACAGCACTGCTATGGCCCTCGAGCGTCTGCAGACACGCCCCGCTGCTCGCATCCCACACCTTGACGGTCTTGTCGTGTGACGCCGACGCCAGCTTGGTCGAGTCGTGCGAGAAGGCTACAGAGGTGACCCAATCGCTATGGCCCTTGAGCGTCTGCAGACACGCCCCGCTGCTCGCATCCCACACCTTGACGGTCTTGTCGTATGACGCTGACGCCAGCTTGGTCGAGTCGTGCGAGAAGGCTACAGAGGTGACCCAATCGCTATGGCCCTCGAGCGTCTGCAGACACGCCCCGCTGCTCGCATCCCACACCTTGACGGTCTTGTCGTCTGAAGCCGACGCCAGCTTGGTCGAGTCGTGCGAGAAGGCTACAGAGGTGACAGCACTGCTATGGCCCTCGAGCGTCTGCAGACACGCCCCGCTGCTCGCATCCCACACCTTGACGGTGTTGTCGTGTGACGCCGACGCCAGCTTGGTCGAGTCGTGCGAGAAGGCTACAGAGGTGACAGCATCGCTATGGCCCTCGAGCGTCTGCAGACACGCACTCCAGCTGCTGCTCATCGCTGGCTTGACGGTGATTTCTTTTGGCTCTTCGTGTCGGAACAGCTTTCTGATTGCGCTCCCAGACGGACTGAAAAGTAGCGCGGATGAATACAGCTGGAGAGGGAAGCTTTCGATTGGCCCTTTGTGATACATGATGAATCGGTGCGCGTCTTGGACAAGCTTAGTCAGCTCATTCGCGTCTCGCATCTCCTGGTATCGTTAGCATCTATATGAAGTGATTATACGGTATAGGTTTGTTATCTAAGCATGCTATACCTTGACTAGTGAGCATAGTTTCGCTATTGAAACTACTCCCTTTCCTATACTTCTGCACAGACTGAGCCCTTCTAGCCAGTAGAGATACTTCCTCCTTATAAACTTATTGATGGCGCTTGTGACTTGCAGGTTACCACTACTGTCCGCCCAGGACTCAGGCTTCGAGTCGTACAGATGGTCGATCCAGTAAACGCACGGGTAGCGTAAGGCTGCAAGCGGGTCTGGCTTGGGCGGCCGAACGTCTTCAATAGCAAATCCCAATGCTTCTAGGCTATAAATATCCTTTTGCAATGTCCGGGACAAGATCGCGAGCGACCTCAAGAAGATCACGTGATGAGCATTTTTAGCAACATGCGGAAAGATCTCGTCATATGCCTGCGCAAAGAGATAGTCTTGCGCGGACTGGTGTACAAAGTAGACGGTGTCTTCCCGCAGACTAAGGAATGACCCACAAAGGCTGATGATCTCCCGTACCTCTGCTTCGTCGGCCATGTCTTCGAGCGGCTCAGCAAGGGCTACTAGCTCCTCCAGCGTGATTGGTCGATACACAAGCGCGGCTAAAGCTAGTACCTGCTTGCAAAGTTCAGCGTCATCTGACACGCTGATCTGCTGCATCATCCGCTCGTACAGCGCGTTCAAGCCTGGCGGGAAGGTGTCCAGCTTCTTTAGAACGTTCCGTCTCGCTGTTGCTTGAAGCTCCTGACACACTAACGCTACCCACAGGAAGGTGCCATCTGCACTTGCAGTCAATCTCTCCAAAACCGTGTCTTGCGTCTGCCGGTCGTACTTCTTCTGCTTCGCCAGCTGAGACACCTTGTGCTGAATGAAGGCGCCGACGGCCGCCGATACAGACTCTGCGTTCAGCTCAAGGCTCAACCTGACCTTGTGCCCAGCTTGCTCCAGCTGCTCTTCGATCTCTGGCCAGTTGCGGCTCGACATGATCCACTTGACGCGCTGCGACGCAGAAGACTGCTTTGCAACGAAGTGAAGCAGTTTCGGCCGATCAGTGACACACTCGTCTAGCGCATCAATGATCAGGTATGTAGCTCTTAGCTGTGGATCTCGTAGCACGTCTGTGAAGATCTCTGTCAAGGCAACCCAGGCATTCGCATCCTCAAACAAGGCTTTGCCTGTGTGATCGTGCTTCTTACGGACATGCGATACAAGTGACGGTTGCTGGCTTACCAGCATGTACAACAGCCCTCGCAGCACGGCCGTGGCGCTGTTGATGCGCGAGTCTGTTGCTTGGCAGAAGAAGTAGGCTAGAAGGGCAGTCTTAGGCAGTGAGCTATGTAGCCTGTCTATAATGCCGCATAGGAGCATTGTCTTTCCCTTGCCAGGATCACCTTTCACCCACAGTAGTTGGTTGCGTTCGTCGTGTTGCCATTCCTGGTACGTGGCATTGTCAAGAACCCAGTGGTAGGAGTCAGCTAGCAGTCCGCCTTTGGTCTCCTCGATGCGCTTCTTGTCGTCGCGCGGATCTGTGCTGCGTATGCCTTGGACACAGGTTTTGCACCTATCGATCTCGTCCATCAGACGTCTGAACGCACTTGCCGCCCCTTCGCTATACGCCGGCGCTATCTCAACATCAAAGATACCCGATAGTGAGTACCACACATCTTCTTCGCGCTTGGTCTCCCGGTCACCTTTCCACCGCAGCCGCTCGTCGACACTGAACAGGGAAAGAGGGGCTCCGTTGAGCGCATCGAGTGAGATACTGGTGATTTTGTAGATCAACAGCTTGAGCGATATCTTGTCACCAAGCATCTCCCACTCTTGAGAGAAGAACTCGACAGTGGTTGGGGCAAGCAGCTCTTGAAGCGTCCAGCCGCGCGTGAACCATCGACTTAACCTGAAAGCAGGTTCCCAAGTAAATTTGCCGAGCTTGTCGCCAGGTTTTCTCTCCTCTGCGGATACATCCGATAGATACACATAGCATCTTGTCGCGTTCTGGTACCAGCGAAACATGGACCGGATAGCGTAAGAGAGCTCAGCCTTATCCGTCTTGTCGATGCAGCATGTGTCCACCCAGAAGTATTGTAAGCCATCTCGCTGTGCTTGTTGTCCGCAGAAGCGAATCTTCTTGTAGCCACGCTTGGCCTTGCTATCGCCTGTCACAAGGTCTGCAAAGGTCACCTCCTCCGCATCTGCTTCCCACGTGTGTGAAAGTATCGCATAAGGCGGTATTGCGCGATCGTCGAAGCTGACGATACCGAGCTCGCCATGTCCGTCGTAGTGCAAAAGACGCATCGATTCGTGTGGATGTGTGACAGGCGCATACGGTGAGAAGGAGACGCGAGAGGCTCAACGCGGCAGCCTGGTAGGACGAGAGCGCGGCGGCTGGCTCTCTAAGACAAGCTTACGAAGAAGGGTACAAATAGCTACAAAGCCCCTGGTAGCTACACAGTTGAAACCGCGATCTCAATGTTGCAGGCTGAAGCTGGTGTTTTGGATTATGTTCTGAGTTCTGTGAGGATGCTCAAACAGTCTGGAGGCGGGGGCAGACGCGGCTGATTGCACTCATGCAGGCCCAGCACAGCCCCGACGAGTCGCATCTTTGCGATGGCCACGCCCCTATTGCGATGCACTTCTCATCATCCAGCATCTACAGACTCGACTGAGTCGCACTGACCTTGTTTGCTACAGTTGCGAGGTGGCAGGCTGCGGATGGCGATGAGCGCGTCAAGACGCCTCTGGGCAGGGCGGCTCAGCGCTGGGATTAAGGCCGCTGTGCAGCAACGAGGCTGGGGAATCATTCGGAGACACCGCCAGAAAGCCGCCAACCTGCGCCACAATTGTCTCAGCAGCCAATCTGTGGTGGGTATAGCGTCTAATTCAGTACGATATCTTACAGCTGCATCTCTGTACCCTAATGCAAGCCACTACATGGTAAGCGAAGCTAGCGCGTCCCGACCCGCTGGGTCGCATTTTGCAAACTTCGCTCCCAACCGGCGAAACTGCCGGACTACACACTTCTTAAGTCAAAAGAGCTTCTAGGGCCCAGGGATACAATCTTCCTCAACTTGGCTTCCTCTCAGACCGTCCGATTCTCACAGAGGTCCCTTAGGTCGTGAATGAACAGGGGGGTATCGATGAAAGGTCGATTAACGGCGTTGACAGAACGATCGACAGCAGAGCCAGCATGGCAGCACTCGTTCCCGGAGGCTGATAGACGGGTGAAGAGTAGACCGAAGAACGCTGCATATCCATCACAGGCCTGTAAATGTGCAAACAGGAGACTCCGAAGGTCCGGAGTGCAAACCTGTCCCGTTACACCGTGTGTCCCGGCACGCAGGGATTGACATTAGCAGTTTGAGACGACCAGTCGCCCCCTCTTGAATGTGTGGAATGTGAGGTATTTTGTGTTGATAGCCCCTGTAGTTTTTGCAACTGCTCCATGTAAGGTACTGCCCATTCATGAAAGCTGGCAAAGTTATGGGGGTTTGAAATTACGATGAGTGTACAAAGGGTACAGCGAAGTATCGTGGTGTCGAATGGAGAATTTGCGATCACTAGCAAGTCTCGAAGATCAGATCCCGACTACACTTCTCCACGCTATCAGTGACGCGTCGATCGACAACCTTCGGAATAATTGCAGTGTGGAGGGCTGCCAAGCTTCGCCCGGCCTTGCCTTCCGAAGGACCTCTCGGAGTAGACTCGCTTTCTTGTGAACTCCATCGTGATCCCGAAGATACTCTGGCTCGTTCCTCGATCCTCATGTGTTGCCATTAATGATGAGGTCAGATATGTGCTTGGTTGACGAAAGCCACGCGGATCTCCGCAGGGTACTCATCCATCATGATGCCTCGCAGCGTCATCTGTCTCGGTGTGCAATCTCATCACGCCAGGATCACGATCTCTTTCTCCACAATGCCATGCTTGGGCAGCAAATCCCATCATATTAACGGCTCACGCCATACTACGATGCCTTGCTCGTCATGGTGTGACTCGGATATACTTGTCAAACAGGGCCGACTCTCTCCCGCAGAGCCGCACCACCACATACCCTAAATAGGCAAGTACTTCCTGCCTCTCAGCCTCCGCCTTCAGCCTCCTTCTTCAGCCTCGATATCCAGGCATGCAATTCTGGTTCCGCTGCGGCGCCTCGTGCCCGATCACACGCATCTGACTTGTCGCCAGACCCTGGTCCTAGCGTCCATCTTCACGCCATCTGGATCCCAGACCCCTGTTTCTCTTTGTCATAGACGCGCAACGGGCGCAAAGTGTGGACGAGAAAACGCGAATGCATCGAGTAAACGCGTGCTCTAGTCGTCGGCTTTCTTCCCGATGTCCCTGCTTGTGCAGGTGCCAGGTTGCGTTTGTGCTGGCGTGTCAGGGGGGATGTGGGTCTCTTAGGTCCCGCAGCAAGTTCGAGATCTCTTCTAGCGACGGGTATGCACGGACAGGGCTGGCTGCTTGCTACACAGGCGTCCAAAAAGGTGGGCTGGAAAGAAATTTCTAGTGTTTGTGGGATGCGGCTTGGCAGCCGTTTGCGGCGAGCTATGAGCTCTCAGTAGATTTTGTGGCGCTGTCTGGTGATGTGGAAGTGTTTTGCGGCGGTGAGTGTGGTTGAATGCAGGGGCGAATGGCGTGAGCTTGTGTCAATGTTGCGCATTCTGACGCTGAGATGATGCAAAAGTCAGAAGTATGACTGCTATTCCAGCGTCACGAATGAGATGTGAAGACTGAGATTGAGATGCAATTTCACAGCTGAGCTGCTTTGTATTACTATGTAGAGTAGCGATAAAGAACTTTTTTGAAAATGCAAAACGCCAGTGGTATGCCATACAGAGGAGCTCATGTAGGCTCAACTCGACCGCACCCAAAACTCCTACCAAACAATGCTGTAAAGGCCCTATTGGGGCATGCAAATGGGTATATCCTACACTGTCCACCAGAAACTCAAAGTTGAATCGCCAATCGACGTGGAAAGGAAAATCGTGAAGTACGCTCAGATCGCCAAAAGTTGGCAGTAATGAAGTCGTTGTGATGAAGGGTATAATGCTCAGCTTTCTAGGCTGAATGAGGCCGATCGAGAAGTTGTGGCGCTGTTGATTTCGGGAAACTGGACCTCAACATCGTCCACATAGGTAGGTGGGCTAGCAGGTACATCCTCGTAGACAGGGGGCTGCTCCTCGTCCCAAGCGATGCCCATACCCGAGCGTTCGGTGAGGACAAGGTGGAACTGAGTGCGGAGAACGCGTGCGGCACCGGTGGGTGTAGCCTGGCTGAGCTTCTTAAGTGGCGCCCACTCCTCAGCCACAACCATTTCAATGATGAGATTGTGCTTGACGCTCATGCCGCTCTGGCTGTCCATGTCGCAAAGTGGCTTCAAGCCAACGTTGCAGGCAGCGTTGAACTCAACGTCAATCTCACCGCGTTCGAAGTCAGTCTTCCAGCCAGTCTTGACCTCCTCGCTTGCGATGGCACGAACATCCTCGTGGAGGACACCCTTGCCCTCGCCTCCAACCTTGCCAATGTGCTTGGAACAGGCGGGCGCAATGAACTTCTGGGTCTCCTCAATTCGCCAGTTGAGCTTCCTGAGCCTCCAGCGAGTCTGCGAGTCGGCCTTGTTCTGGACAATGCCAGAGAGACGCATCTCGATGGGGAAGTCGCCAATCGGATGAATGACCGGAGGTAGCTTGACCGAAGCAGTCAGGTTCGTGGGCGGGAAGATGCGGATGGAATGCTTTTCATTTCCAGGGAAGATCGCGCGCCTGATGTCGACAGCGCGCTTGTAGGTGATTTTGTCGCCCTTTGAGGTGGTTGCGACAGCGGAGAGGTAGTAATCGAGGGTGGCAAGGCTGCCATGGGTGGTGGCTGGCAGGTGACCTGGAAGGAGGTGGCTGAACGGGTAGGAGTGCTGACCATTGCGCAACGATGTTGGATGTGTCAAGAAATCCCAAGTGTGGATCTCAGTAGTCTGATTGGCGCAGTCGCTGCAGTGCTGGGCGACAGGCTTCTTAGTGGTGACGATTGCGAGAAGCTTCATCTCGAACTTCTCGATTGTGATGTGGGGCTCATGCACGTTGAGCAGGAGCTGACCAGTAAAAATAGCGCCAGCTGAGTTCTGTGGGTTGTTGTAGAACACGACTGGCGGCGACTCCACGCTCATGTTCATCGATGCGGCCACATGGGGATCGAGCTTAGGGCTGGACTTTGGAGTGCCCTTGGGAGTGCCCTTGGGCGTCTTTTTTGCGCCGTCATGGCTGTGATGACGCACAAATGGAAGACGGGCCATGATGAGATTCTCTTGTGACCTGCTCTTCTCCTCAACCGGTGGTGCGTAAGAGTAGACAGGAGGAAACAGTGGCTGTGGTGTGTGACTGTCGAGCTTGGGCAACGGTGAAGGCGCTACCCTGGCAAGGGATTGCAGCAAGCGGCCTGGCATGGCTTGAGCGAAAACTCTGGGGTGCAGCTGAGACCTGGTTGCGCTGCAGGTGAGTGGATGATTGTCCAATGACGTTGTGGCTTGGGTCCGGGGAGCGAATGCAGCGATGTATACTGTGGCGCTACGCTTCAAGAGTTGATTTTGTGCGAATTGAGTTGGTGTGTAAGGTGTTGCGGCAGGAACATAGTCTGGGGAAGGGTCGATCTTAAGAGAGGTAGTCTTCTGGGGAAGGCAAGTCTTTATAAAGAAGTCGTCAAAACTATTTTGACTTTTTACCTGAGAGAAATTCCATGACTGGATGCTCAAGCGCCTTTCGCATGATGCCATCGGGAACGAAGATCCAAGCTTTCAGCGTAAAGACGCTAGACTGCGTGCAGCAGGCACACCCCTGTGCTCCATGCAATTTTTGGGTCAGGAGGCATTTGCGCACGGCCTGCCGCTCCCTCGTGATCGTCTTCTGAAGCGGCGCCGCACCTGTCGTGCTTGCGCTGAGTTTGAACGTCAAAGCGTGACAGAGCGCTGTGCCAGCCCAGTGCGTGGTCGGGCTGGCTGCGTTGTCAAGCAAGCTGACCGCTCGCCCAAGAACCTCAACATCCAGCAAGAACAACTCATCACGCAATGACTGTTTCGACGTTTTCGTCTAGAGCCATATTCAATGCCCGGCGAACACGCGCTGTTGGCCGACGGATTGTCCTCCAGCCCACCTCGCATCATACTAACCTCATGTCTCCACCAAGGGACGACATCTGGGGTACTCATCTTCCAGAATCACGGCACGCTCAGGTGCCGCCTGACACCATTCGTGGATTGAGTTGTGGACGATGCAACTCATTTCTTGGAACACGGCACCCCGCAATTTGGCGTTTGTGATGCTCTCGAAATGGTCGAATATGAAGCATCTCCGTGGAAGTCGCCGTCTGGAGTGACCTCCCCTCATTCATTGTGTGCCCCAAGGGCGCATTTCGTCACCGCCGGGATGACCGCCTGACTTGCTCCCAGCAGCCTCTGACGACCCTTGCACGTCCACCGCTCTCGACTGACATGCCCAATTGACAATTGTGCAGCACCAGCAACACGCAGTCATGCTCTGACTGAGCATCGCGATTTGCGCCAAGGCGCCGGCGTTATGTAATGCTAGGAAAATTCTGCAGGGTTCGTCAACCAAGCAAGTCGAGCCCGTGGCATGAGACAGCTCCACCTGCTCCCAAGACCCGAGCAGTTTCTTTACACATTCTGGTAGCCCGACCCAGTGCCTTACCTGTTTGACCAGTTGTCGTGTCAGAGTCACTGAGGAGCCCACATGTTGAGGCTCTAGACTTCACTGCAACATCGCCGCCTTACCCGATTGCGTAACAAAGTATTCCGGTTTTACTCCGAACACCCCGGAGTACCTGAGTACCTCCAGCAACTGCCCGAGTGGGAATGCAGGCCCGAGAGTACGCGCTCGCCAGAATACTCCTTTCAAAGAGACCGAATCTCAACACCAAGCCAATGGTCTCACGATACTTCGCTTATTCCCGAGGCTGTCAATCGGCTCCGTTGGGCGTGGTCGCGAGAATTGGAAACCGTAGACCCAAAGACTTCGCCTCCCGATTAGGAAGTTGGCCTGCACGTCAAACGAGTCATCCATGGAGATCGTAAACCATTACCATGTGCTCTTGACCCCTGATCCAAGTCCGAACTTGCATCCATAATCCCGTCGGATAACTGCATTGTTCGTGATCGAACTGTCGCAGTACCTATGCCACGCGTTGCCTCAGAATCATCACGTCGGGACTTTGCGTGCTCTGGCGTCATCTCTTCGTACTTACGGTGTGCCATACACATCTCCCAAGATATCACCCCATCTCAACGTATTGTTTCAAATCGTGGCAGCAGGTCCTGCGGGATGGCTTCCGGTGAACGTTATTGCCGTGTCGTCGCGCCTCCCGTCAGCCTTCTTGCCCTGCATTACCTCGATCGATACTCGGCTGCGAATTATAACTCTACGGGCCGACTCGGCTAGGTGTCTTTCTCATCACGCGGCGTCTCTTATGGAGCATGGCCGTCCAGACTGCCACGCCCCTTGAAATGCCTCTCCTTCTGCTGCGAAGCTGAGAGCAACGGCTCCACTCCCCGCACTCGCTGGCACCCGTATAACCTCACTCACGCTCTTCGATCTCAAGTTGGCTCGATACACGGGTTCCAGACCGACTACATGTGTCGACAGGGTGCACGGAGTCGTTAATTTAGATGTGCACACTTCGACAACAATGCCCCTTCTCAAGTTGTGCTGACTCTGTATGCATAGTAATGACACATGCTTGTAAACCTTAACGATCAAGTAGCGACACCTGACCTATTACTGAAGGTTTGCACATTCCTTGTCAACTTACCATGACGCTCCGACAACGGAGAGAAGTATTGTCTGCCCCGGATGCTCCCACAACACAACGATGAACTCTGCATCCGGTGGCCATCAGCATACGAGCCCAGGAGTCCTGAAATCGGGCGAGTACAGCGTGTATACACGACATGTAGACTACGAATAAGCTGCACCCGCTGACCCATCACGCTGTGTTCCACGCTACAGTGCGGATACACTTGCGGGTACTCGTTTGTACCCGTCCTTGCACATCTTGCGGAGTTGGCGACGCTCCACTTGATGATGTGTGCTATACTAGCGCGAGAAGGATGTGTAAAAGGTTTTTGTACGGAGGGGTAGGGCACAGCGAACGCCTGACAGACCGGTGAGCGATGATCAGATTGCGTATCATGCAAATCAGTCGCTCGCAAGAGCGATCCAGCCACAAGACAACGTGTATCTCTCTAGAGGTGAGTCGTTTTATATTCACAAATATCACATGAGACTGCGTAACTTCGTTTTGCGGTAGATGCAGCAATTCATTTGACCGTGCTATCTACCTGGTGGTTCACCGCTCTTTCCCCTCCTGGACCCGCACGCTCAGTAAAGAGCATGTCGTGGACCTAATCGAGGTATCGCGTTACCCATCCATTGTGACATCGTAGTGCGGAGCCGTCAGCAAAGACGTTGCGCTTACTCCTCGTCATCCTCAGCCTCGTCGTTGACGACGTTGAAGAAGCGGAGCTCGTAAACACCCTTGGAGGTGGAGACGACGCGGAGCCAGTCACGGAGCTGCTGCTTCTTGAGGAACTTCTTGGTGCTGCGCCATCGTTAGCAATTGCCCTGTCGCGGAAGTCTGGTGCGCTGCGCATGCGCCGCAGATAGACGTACAGGTACTTCAGGTAGCGGCCGGAGAACTCCTGGTGAGCAATGACCTCGATCTTGCCATCGCCCTGCTGGGAGATCTGGATGACCTCGCCGAGGTTACCGGTGCGGCCCTCGACCTTGATGCGGTCGTGAAGGAACTTCTCGAAAGCCTGGATGTCGAAGATCTTGTCGTTGACGGGCTGGCTGCAGTTGATGACGAACTTCTTCGTGACCTTCTGGGCCTTCTTGCCGGATGCCTTCTACATTGCCGTATTAGCCTACTGTTCTGCACATCGTGGAAGATGTGTGTGATGCGCGATCACAGACAGCAAAGCGGTGTACGTACGGTGCTGGGTGCCATTTTTGATGTGGGGGAGAGCGCAAAGAAGTGGTTATCCTGCGTTGAGCGTGTGAGGTGTTGAGAATGAGGTTGATGCCGACGAAAATTACGATCGTGCGCGCTAGCGATGCCAAGATTTTGCCCGCTCTCATTGGTGTGCGCGGGCTTACCTCTTCCAGCCCCTGTCAGTGTAGAGGTGCCCTCACGTATCTGTGTTTTATACATCGTGCATGCAGTCATTAAGGTCTTCAATCACCCTTTGTTCGATCTGCTTGTACTTAAAGACTATATTCCCAGGGATGCCCAAACCATGGACCTTTTGGCGCGACATTCCCTCCCTATCCAAGGTTGTCCGGTTGCCTCTGCGTCCATGGCCCAATTGCACCGCTCGCTACAGCTACGATCAAAGCCAAAGCAGTCAAGACGATCATCAAATGTTCTTTTCGACAACGCCATGTTCCGAGCAGCCGCCTCCGGGCCCAACAGTCTGATCCAGGTTTGTTCACGATATCTGTCAAAGCCAGCAGCCGCATACCCCAATAATGGTATTGTGGCGCATAGTCATCATCATACGAGTAATCGGAGATGTCTAAGCTCAGATCGCCGATGTTGAAACCTGCTTCTACAGCCAGCTGGCGGCTAGGTCCATCGTTCCATTTGTAAAGGACATGGCACAAGGTCCAGAGAAGCTCCAGCGCTAGTTGGCGCGGAACAATATGTCTAGGTGTCAAGAATTGGTAAGAAGGCTCCGCATCTTGAGCGAGTGTACTCACTTGGTCGCGAGTCCATGGCGGACTTGATACGAAAGATGCTCTTTCAAGAACCCGGCTTGATGGAAGATGTAGACACGTCGTACCGTCGTTGTGGAGTCCTCCACAAGATGTAAGCGAGGATCGTTCGTGTTGACAATCTCGAAGCCACACTCCTGTAGCCGCTTGGCAGACAAACTTCTGGAGACCACTTGTGCTTCTTCATTTGTCAGAGTCTTCCCGATCGGTAAGGCGGCTCCCCAGACCTCGCAAGCTGCCTGGCTTTTCTTCCAGATCACGGGAGTCAGTATTGGATATCGGACATAGAAGTGATTTCTCTCGGCGCAAGGTAGCATGGAAATGATGCTATATGCGAGATTCACTGCTCGATTCCTGTCAGACTCCGTTGTCTGGGCATAACTACTTCGGCCGAAATACTCTGACATAAGAACTTCTCGGGTCAGCTCGGGCCGTTCCACGATGAACCGTATAAGCTGCTGCAAGTCCCCATGATCCCGCAGTAACGGCAAAGAACAAAACCAGTCCTCGGATGTGTATCGGTACGTGGCATGCTGGTAGAATTCGCTGAAGGAGCTCAGTGAGGGTCGCAACATCCACCTACAGTCGATCGTCGCACATTCCCCACGATTTGCGCACTCGACACAATCTTGCCAACCCCATAGGCATTGATAAAGCTGTCCGATAATATTTTCGGTTGGATCTCGAAGCGGGAAAAACTCGGCAAAAGATATAGCGTCGCGAGCGACCGCCATGACAGAGAATGATCTCTCAAAATGCGGGACACACGAAACCTAGATCATTCGTTATCTGTTCTCTTTCAGGCAGTACTACCCAAGGCACACTGGAGTCTGACAGTCGCATGCTGTTCATCGGTCTGGGGTGCTAAGGAACGAATCACAACTCAGCTCAGCCTGATCAAGCTTCTTGAAGGACCTCGATACGTGTCTCTGGCCATTCAGCGCATGCCATGTTGCTGATCACTTGACCGGTGGTTTGCCTCAGGCTTTCTTGCCCATGATTGGGTGACATCTTTCGCGATTCTACGACTTTCACGTAGGAAATCTGTGCTACTGAGTTTCATCATTGTGCTCGGCCTGCCAGAGCTCCCATTCCTTTTGCTATTTTTCGACAGATGTAAACATTTCCACCATGACGTGTGGGAACAGTTAGTGATACAAACGGTAGTACAATGGATCCTCTCTATGCCCCCAAACCCAGAGTGGACTCCCTCTACCCGTCGATTCGCTCTTCAGGAACAACTGTCCGGAGTGCTGTGAGGCAAAGTCAGGCAGCTACAAAAGTCTTCCCAATCCCAGGCAAAGAAGTGCTTCGATTCTGGATGCCACCGGATCCTCGACACAGAAGGCACTACTCTTCGACCTTATCAGCAATTCAAGCACATCTCCATGCGGCGGTGGCCCCGTTTCTGCCAGATGGGCAGGTGCCATCGGACAAGTTGGTTTTTCAACCCATGATGATCGGTAAGAACGAGCAAGACGCTAAACTCCACATGGCGGTGCTCTGCGAGCCCAGCCTAGCCACGATCCTCGAAGAGGCTTTCACGCATCCGACCGTTCAAACATATCTCGGTATACCTAATTCGAACGAGTGTTTGGGATACACGGTTATTCCAGAGCCACACGAAGAGGTCAATGCTCAACTTGCCATTGATGTTTTTAGCCAAACACGCTACGATACCATACACAACACATATTGCGGCGCACCGCTTCTCTTGAAACACCGCAATACAATTGAAGCGACAGATTGCATTCGTCAAGCTACGTTTGGTGGTATCATCAAAGTGATATATGCGCATGGCGAGATTTGCTTCTACGGCATGACAGCGGGCCACGTTACGAACGCAGTCCGACAGCACCGTCACCAGTTGTCAGTAAGCTCACCGACTGACACGGACCTTTCCAAAGATCCATTCAGCATGGGTGCCTGGCTTTCAAATGACGATTCACTTGGCAGTCCCCTCGATCCCGAGACGCTCCCTGGAGTCAAAGCTCAACGAACGAAGCTGTCTCACGACTGGTGTATTTTCAAAAGCGGATCACCTCGACGCAACAGAGTTGTGCAGTTACGTGAGTATGAATCTCTACCAGGCGTTGGCGATAGCTCGGAAGAACGCGATCATCCAATTCTTATCGCCGAGAGGCCAAGCTTCAACGATGATGCTTCCGACCCTGTGCTAGTACTAGGTGCTGCTGCTGGCACCCGCCGTGGAATCTTATCTGGTCTACCGGCTAGTATATTCATGGCCAGTTGTCAGGCTTTCGTGTCGGTCTACGTGCTGCAGATGAGTGGCGATCACAGTTAGTTTGACGTTTTCACAGCATCACCAGGCCGCTAACCTCCACAGAAGTCGTCAAAGGCGATTCAGGTGCGTGGATTGTACATGCCGCAGGACCAGCGATGTATGGACACGTTGTGGCAACTAACATGTTCGGCGAAGCCTACGTCGTACCGGCTAATGATGCATTCGAAAACATCAGAGAGTGTTTGGGTGCCGTTTCTGTCACACTGCCAACCACGACTGATCTGTCTTTTGGTCCAACTGCTCGACTTTTGCCCACACTCACGGCCCACCATGACCAGTCCGAACAGCTGGATTTTCCGAAATCACATGGGCTACTGTACAGAACCAAAAGATGGAGTGCTTCGTTCTCAAAGTATCGATCAGTCAGTGATAGGCCTTTTCTGGAAATCGCCAAGGCACTCCACACAAACAGAAGTATCCTCGAGACTTTTCTTCTTGCAGTAGATGGGCCCAATCCCCTTTGGAAGGTCAAGCACGAGCAGGCTTTCCTCGAAGATCCTAAGCAGCATGTGTCTTCGTCGCATATGGTGCACTTGGATGAAAGACACAGCGATATTTCTGATCGATCTACGAAATGGATCAATGTCAATGAGATTTGCTCCCACCTGAAACGACCAGAGAGTTGGGGTTACGACGTGAGCCGAGGTCACTATCGCCGGTTGATGTAAGCAAACACACTCGGTACATGATCTCCTCACTGATTGATGATCAAGTTTTGTACCAACACTTGATGAACAGTGTGTTTCTGCCCTGGTAGAGAACGCAACATATCATGAAGCTGAGGTACTTCGTCGTGCAGTTCGAATGCACGCCTCATCTTCAACTCGTATTCAAGTACATGTTCCTGTAAGTCAGATCCAAACTTTCTGTATGATGCCTTACATCAATTAATCCAACGGTGTAGAGGAACGGGTTTCAATGCTTTCAGCTTACTCTCCACCTACCATATCTCACACTTGAAAGCAGCGGGAGCTTCTGTGCTGATAATCTGCGCACAAATAGTGAGCCCCTCAGAACTGACTACTCGCTGCATGATGGATCCATAACAGTTGTCATCAGCGGGTTTTGTGATCAGTCGTGGTACGGATACGCCTTTGGATCTATGAACAGATCAGACGACACCGAAGAGTACCTATACGATTCTGGTGATTTTGCCGATGTAGATGAGTCCACTTCCGATAAGGGGAGCCAGTCCGAAGATTTCTTCGAACCAGACTTCTTCGCAACGGACGGGCGTGAGCCGTTTGCAATCTCGCCAGATACAATATGGGATCCCAGGGTATATTTCCTTCAAACAATACGATTTAGGCTTGAGATCACAGTTCAAGCCAACGAGTATCTTGTTAGAAAATTGGAAGACTGCTTAGAGGCGGGGGTAAGTCATTGCCATGCTTCCTCACTTCTCCTGTGTCTCACCGTTGACATGAACTAGAAGACCAAGACGTCCAAAACGCCGTCTCTGTCAGGATCTCTTGAATCAATACTGGTTATGATGAAGCTCCTCAGTCGTGTTAGAGATCAGTTTCAAGAAGCCAATCAAGTCTGGAATCGCTTCAGCGCCAGCGATGGAGACATTATGTACTTCGTCGACCTGAGTGTCCATGACGTTTGCTCGGTTTTGCATGAGATTGAGGAAAGTTTTGATAGAATGAAATGTTTAGAATTACAGGTGGAACGCTTGGTTCAAAAGTCTGAGATCGATATACACAATGTAAGTAAGGATATACAAGTAATGTGAACGTAACACTAACAAGTCTCGCAGCTTCGGCTCCAGATGGCAGATGAGAACAACAGGCTGAGCTGGGAGGGCAATGTTTTAAGTCGCACCAAGACTAAGATCGATGTACAGGCGACCGAGAATGCAGCCAGATCTGCGGCTCGCTCTTCAGCTGCTGCTGAAGAAACAAGCAGAACAACTCGCGTCAATATTCAGCTGTTCATGGTAAGCTTTCATCCGCTCCTACTACAAGACACTGTTAACCCTTCAGATTACGGCCTCTATTGTGATTGCGCTACAATACTTTTGTTCCGATCGAGCACTGTTCTCTTTCGAGCGAAATACCCAAACATTCTTCATCAGTATAGCGGTCTTGATACCGTCTTTACTCCTGTTGACATATCTGTTGCGTGCTATAGATGTGCTGCGAGACGTCATCCTTTCTCGTCTGTCTGGTCAAATTGCAACCACCTCACACAGTTCGTTCGACTGGGATTGTTCGGCAAGAGCATCGGATGAAAAGAATCTACATGAAAAGCATGGAAAGCTTGTATAGTTTGCCGGACTTCTTGCTCTTGATATCACTTTGTGGCTCAAGCATAATCCAGACCATGAATATGAGTGAATGATAGAAACGCGTAAATTGCTCATATAGAGTGCAATATAACCTTGGGAGATAGGAAAGTGTCATCAGTCTGTTTAAGGGGGGAATCTCAGTTCATTACTCCTAACATCGAGGTGGATCCTACCTAGGCAGTCTTGACTGGAGTGTCTCGTTGCCCTACATAATGGGTTTGACCCGCGCTTTACCCTGAGTGCTACGTCATCCTTCATGATTTCGCCTATACGATAGTTCGCTTTTATTCTACGCATGGAGTCGTTGGAGTAACGATCTCGATTTCGCGCGAATGGATGGACTTAGCAGCACTGCAGAAGAGACACACATAGAGCTCATACACTACAGCGTTGTGCATTACTACTCTCTTTAACCAGACAAGCTTAAAGCAAATTTTCGCGAACTAATACTCGGGCACGATGATGGTGAAAGCGGGGATCTGAACGTTACACCAGACAAGCAGACCACACCTTGTATGCTCTCCGATATTTTATCGACATGAAGACGTCTGTTCAGGCAGAGAAGCCACGTCTCGCTACCGTGTCCGTGCACCGAACGCCCGGAGTCACCGAACGCCCGGTGCACCACATTTACTCAATATTTAAACGCGTAATAACTCAACACCATGACAGGCCTACAAGCTGCGCTTGCAGAAATTAGTAATTTAAAGCCAGGCAATAAACTTGTGTATACAAATATTGCAGAAAAACATAGTATATCACACACTACGTTGTCGCGCGCACATCGTGGTGTGCAGGTCCCTTGGCACGTCAAGTATTCCAACAACCAAAAACTCAACAACCAACAGGAATCTAACCTACTTAAGTATATAGAAAGACTTACTATACGTCACTTACCACCTACAAGGACTATAGTGCAGAATTTCGCGTCTACTGTTGCGCAGGGACGCGTCTCCAAGAGCTAGGTTACACGCTTCCTACACCGTCACTCCAACCAGATCACCTCTCAATAGACGTCAGCTATGGACTCTAGTCACCACAACGCTGAGTCTGAGTACAAGTATAAGCTATACTTTGACCTACTACAACAAAAGATCACCAAGTACAATATTGAGCCAGCACATACATACAATATAGATAAAAAAGGCTTCGCAATTAGGCTGCTAGGAAGGACAAAGCACATCTTCAGTAGGCGTCAGTATAAGAAGAAGGAGGTTAGGCAGGCTCGTCAAGATAGCTCACGTGAGTAGGTAAGCTTATTGGCAGCAGTCTGTGCGGATAGTACTGCACTGCCTCCAGGCATCATATTTGCGTCAAAAAACTCCACAATCCAGAGCCATTAGGTAGCTAATATCAAGGCAGGAACCCACTCAATTCACGTGGCTTCTTCGCCTACAGGCTAGACAAACAACAATATTAGGTTAGCCTAGCTTGAACAGGTGTTTAACCGTTATACAAAGGCAAAGGCGCGCCAAAGTTACAGGCTTTTGATAGTAGATGGCCATGGGAGTCACCTGACGCAAGACTTCATCAACTACTGCGATCGGAATCAGATTATACTAGCTGTATTACCACCTCACAGTACCCAGACGCTGCAGCCGTTAGACGTTGTCTGCTTCAAGCCACTCTCCTCCGCCTACGCCTCTAAGCTTAATAACTACCTCCAGAAGTCTCAAGGCCTATCCCCATTAACAAAAGGTAACTTCTTCCACCTATTCTGGCCTGCCTAGGTGCACACGTTCAAGGAAAAGCTTATACTAAACTCCTTCACTGCTACAGGGATAAGCCCGTTAAACCCCAACGTTATACTCAATAGATTCCGCCACACAACACCTACCAACTCAGGCTCAGTTACCTCTGCTTCTACAGCTTATTCTGCAGAGGACTAGCTAAAAGCTTATACTACACTACGCGCAGAGGTAAAGAATCCTCGCAGTGTAGGTGCGCGGAAGCTTAGCCAAACTATCCACCATCTATCAACCTAGGTAGAGCTCCTTCACAGCAAACTAGACAGCTTACGGAAGAAGCTATACCTAAAACAGAAGCGTCAGAAGCAACCCAGCAGGCAGTTAGACTTGCAGCAGCACCAGGAGTATCATGGCGGAGCAATGGTGTGGTCTCCTCGAGCTATCCAGGAAGCGCGCGTTCATATAGCAGTTACTGAGCAAGAGAAGAAGGAGGAAGAGCTAAGAAAGGCAGAGATAAAGGAGTTAGCAGCTGCTAATAAGCTGTACAAGGACAAGATTGCACAAGAGAAGCGTGAGAAGACTGTACAAGAGAAGGAAGAGCGTGCAAGGATGAAGGCAGAGGAACGTCAAGCAATAGACGCCCAGAAGGCTGCCAGAACTGCTACTAAACAGGCTTATGACTCTATAAAATCCCTACAACAGTCCTAAAGAGGCAAGTCCACAACCTCAAAAGCTTCTGCAGTTAAACAGAAGCCTGCGCGTCGTAGTGTTAGTGCGCGTAGTCACCTAAAACCTGCAACGCCTCCTCCACCAGCTCGCACTCATACAACCCGCAGCAGTCGCACCGCCACTCTATATAAGTAATATTTATAGAGGAACTTTATCACATAGGTCTATAGAACACTCCACCAAGATATCTTATAATAATAACTATTATATGTGGCTCTACAGCCTCATTTTTGTAGTAGGCTTGCAGGCCCGGAGCGGGCGTTCGGTGACTCCGGGCGTTCGGTGCACGGACACGGTACAGAAGACAGGGACTAACGAGTCAAAATTTGAGCTAGCAGCTGCACAAAAATGTCACGTGGAAGGTACGTCAATTACAAGGGTGCAACCTTAGATATTCAAAACCTTATGAGAAGACTCAGTCTTTATAGCTTTCCAGTCGTATAGAAGGTGTTACCATTAGCTGCACATATACTGTATGCGTTAGCCCAAGATCTGATAGCGGGCCAAGACCGGGTGAGCACGGGCGCGGCGCGCCCCTACTGTTAGTTAGGTATACATTGTATCCGAATTTTAGGGCTCACATGTCAAGGATTCGTCGTATTATACATCAAACGATACCAGATTCTACCATCACCAGCAACCGGCAGGCCTATGTTCAGTTGCCTACCTATAGTGATCTCACAATATATTAATGAGCCACCACCTGTGAACGCCACGTAGCTTAGGCCAAGACGGCTACGCGGCATATGCTCAATGGATAGATTGGAAGCTGCAACAGTGTCTGCAGTATCACACCTGACTTATCACCAATCAGAAACCAAGCGACCGGTTTACACCGACGAATTGGGACGCCAGGCTGCGAAGCGCTGAGCACACTATAAATGATACGTACACAGCTTTGGTCTGCGCTTTGCAATCAGTCTTGAAACCCCCATTATTTATTGATCTACTAGCTCCCATAACATAGACTCTGCTCCCACAAGAGAAAGAATCTGTGACCTTTCTGCTTCTAATTATGGCCACTGTCATTAAGCCTCGACCGAACGGCGACTATACTGTTGGCTGGATCTGCGCTCTTCAGATCGAACTTGTTGCCGCACGCGTATTCCTCGACGAGATTCACGTCGGGACTCCCCAGTATCTGGGGAAAAATGACAACAACACGTATCTTCTTGGGGATGCGGAAGGGCACAACGTTGTCGTCGCGGCTTTACCTGCTGGTATGTATGGAACGAACTCTGCCGCCAGCGTTGCACGCGATATGCTTCGATCCTTCGAGAATGTCCGCATTGGATTAATGGTTGGAATCGGAGGAGGCGCTCCTTCATCCGAATACAATATCCATTTGGGCGATGTTGTCGTCAGCGTGCCCCAGAACATTGGCCACGGTGGAAGCAGCGGCGTTTTGCAGTACAAATTCGGAAAGAACATCCAAGACGAAGATTTTCAGTTTACAGGCCATCTCGACAAGCCCCCCCAAATCTTACTCGCGGCAGTCACGAGCTTGAAAGCAATGTTCATGGTTAATGGGAACCGCATCGATGAGCGTGTAAAGATTGTCCTAGAGAATAATCCACGCTTGGTCAAGAAGTTCTCTCGACCACCTGCAGAAAGCGACCGACTATATGTTGCCGATTACACTCACCCAAAATCACACGATAGAATGAATTTACGCGAAAGCTGCGATACTACCTGCGGCACTGACAAATCCCATGTTGTCGATCGGAATAGGTGGGCAGATCGGGATGACGAGACGATGATATACGAAGGTATCATCGCTTCTGCGGATCAACTGGTGAAAAATGCGAGGGATCGGGATGATCTGTCAAGGAAGCATGGAGTTCTTTGTTTTGAGATGGAAGCAGCAGGATTGATGAACAATTTCCCTTGCCTAGTAGTCCGGGGAATCTGCGATTATTCAGATTCGCACAAGAATGACGCATGGCATGGATACGCTGCCTTGTCCGCAGCTGCGTACGCAAAGCAGCTACTCTCTCAGATTGCTCCCAGCTTGATTGAATCGCAACCAAAGCTGATCGACTCCCTAAATATGAGTTAGTCCACTCGAGAATTTTAATGAAGCTTCTGAACGATAAAACTAACCAGGCCTTGGCAGTCGAAAAGTCCATTGAGGTAGTTCAAAACACGACTTCTGCTACACATCAAACAATCACCAACATGGATACCTCAAGGAAATATTCAAAGCTCAAGAAGTGGCTCCGCCCTTTCGACGGTTCTGTGTATCACAACGAAGCACAGAAACAACGCCACCGCGGGTCAGGCAAATGGCTCATTGCAGATCTTAGGTTTAAAGAATGGCTTAAAGAACCTCACACATTTCTGTGGCTATTTGGCCTTCCTGGCTCCGGCAAGACTATCCTCAGCTCAACAATTATAGAGCATATCAGGGGACATACGACTAACGCGTGCCTCTATTTTTATATCACGTTCCAAAGGAGAGAGACGCTGTCGCTGGACGTCTTGTTGCAAACCCTCGTTTGGCAGCTGTCCTCTCAGCACAAGTCAGCAGCGCGTATACTCAAGAAGCTCCATACAGAATGCCAAGGCGAACCAGGGGAAAATGTGCGGACACCAAAGACCAACGAACTTGTAAAGACATTCGAACAGATGCTGCGGCTAGAACATGAGACTTGGATAGTCATAGACGCATTAGACGAATGTCTCGCCGAAGGAAAGCGGGGAGACTTCAAAAGCCTGATGAATTGGTTAAAAGACATTGTTCTCGCGAGACACAGTAATTTACATCTTCTGGTCACCAGTCGCGACGAAAACGAGATTAGAGCCAGCCTCGTAGCCATAAGTGGTCCTCGAACTTTCATAAGCATCGAGGGACAGGGTCTTGACAGTGATATCAGGGACTATATCTGGACAAGAGTCTGGCGGAGTCACGAACTACAAAGATGGGAAACCAGTTCGGACAAGGAGAACGATGTGCGAGAGATGATTCAATCGAAGCTACTTGATCAAGCTGGTGGAATGTAAGTCATTGTATATAAATTAAAAAGTTAAAAATCCACACTAATGATGCATGCAGGTTTCGATACATTGCATTGCAGATGGATGCGCTTGAGGAGTGTCCTAACCTCAAAAATGTGCGCACAATTCTGAAGAACCTGCCAGACAGTATAAACGACGCCTATTCTAGAATCATGGTGAGGGTTTTCAATCGGTTCAGAGATGATGCAATTCGGATTCTTCGGCTGTTAATCTATAGCGCAAGGCCTTTGAGAGTGAATGAATTGATCGACGCTATTGCTGTACAGCCGGATGAGAGCCCGCCATTTGAGACGGAAAATCGGACCAGGAGACCGACTGAGATCGCCCGATGCTGCTCCAGTTTAATCAAACTTGTCAACCCCAATGAGTCTCATGATGAGGGAGCTTTGGAACTTCACTTAAGTCATTTCACTGTACAAGAGTATTTGGTCACAAGCGAGGAGTACCGTGGTTACTTCCAAGAAACGCCCTCACGGGTCTCAATCGCAAACATTTGTATGTCCTATCTTCGGGGTATGGACCGTCAACTCGGTGAATGGAAGCAAATTGAGGGCTGCATGGGGAAAACCCTGGAGGAAAAGCAAGCCGAGATCGAAGCTTCCTTTCCGTTTAGTAAATACAGTTCTGAGAGCTGGATCTCAAACGCCATTTCAGCCATGGAGGACGACGAGTCCATCTTCGACAAGACTATGGAATTTCTCCTTGATTCCAACTCCCACTATCTCGACTACTGGATCACCACTACTGGCGGCTATGGAAGCGAAGCTTGCTGCTGGATATTTCGGCATGCTTGCAGCGCTGGTATGAGCGTGCGTGGTCTAAAGGCTCTTCTCAAAGATAAGTCCTTCGCAGAATTTGACTTGCGTGAAGAGGATCATCACTATGACTTTTTGAATATAGCATGTGAAAGAGGCGATGTAGAAATGGCGCGGTTTCTCCTTAGAAAAGGCGTCGTTGCTAGCCCAAGCCACCTTCTAGGCAAGATCAAAGATGAAGAGATTGTGCGAGTATTACTTGCAACTGGTGGCATTGATGGAGATCCTCAATACGAAAATTGGGCGTTCATCAATGCATGCATGTCTGGACATTTGGCAGTCGTAAAGATGCTTATCGAACACAATAGCTCGTACATCAACACCATTGACAGAGACTACGGGCCCCCTTTATGGGTTGCGTGTGAACGTGGACATGAGGACGTGGCTCTGCTACTACTGGAAAACGATGCCGATCCATACGGTACCGATCTATATGGCGATACCTATGACGAACCTTTACTAGACGTCATCTTCAGTAAAGGCTTGAAGAAAGTTCTCGCAGAAGTTATCAAGATGTATCCGAAACTAGCGAAGAGGGAGGACTTCGCATTCGTTGCCGAGGCCGGCAAGCACGAGTTAATCGAGATTTTATGGAATAATGGATGCTTCCGGAGAAAACACCTGAGCGAAGCACTTTGGTATGCTGCGAAAAACAACAGAGAAGACGCGGTGCGCTTGTTGCTGCGACTAGGTGCAGACGGTCGAATTGCAAGGAGAGAACAAAACGACGAAGAGTTTCGGACCCCACTCCAAATGGCACAGGCGCTTGGATGCATGGGAGTCACGTCAGTGCTGATGTATGCGGAAGGAACATACGATTCTGCGAGTGAGAGTAGTGGAGAAGATTGAATTTGCCGTCTACGGTTGTATCATAGATGTATGAGTAGTTTTAGTTCGAGATGGCGACATATCGGCGTCCATGCAGATATAGAGTTCTCTTAACCTCTAAGCAAACCCTTTGGCAAACTGATGAACTTGAATGCTCCGTCTTTTCTTTCACCGGCTGTCATCGATCAGCTACAGGTGCCCCCGCATTCACACTTTAAAAATGTAGCGGTGTGTTCCCCTGTGGGTCACGCATCTGTAAAAGTGGAAGCTAGGAAAAAAGGCTGATTGGATGCTAATAAAAGAGGCAAGGCTCACGGCAGGAAAACAGAGAGCGCGAGCGGCCCTTCTGCAGTTGCAACGGAACGGTAAGTATACACACCCGGCTGCAAGTGCAGTTGTCTTACACAGCGGACACACCAGTACTCGAATACATTTTGAAATGAAGCGGACTTGACATGAATTCTACTTCAATACTACATATTCTTTCGCCTTTCTTACAACCTGGCTGTGCCTGCAACACCAATCTCCTACCCGGCTGCCATGGCTTCTTCTCAGCAAACGGCCAGCCACACAAAGGAGGCCAGCTGCGCAGACACGCCGTCCACTCATCAGTATCTCCAAGGATTTTAGTTTGAAGAACTCAAGTCGAGAACTACTAGGCTAATGTACTCGAATCATACGCTTTCCTAGCCTGGATTCAATCCAAAGCCTTCAATATCGCATCCTGGACATGAAGCTAGAAATGTTGCATGATGCTACGAAGACACTTGATGTGTGATCTGACTGCAGAAGAAAGCCAGATCGCCCTAGAGCTGATCATATGATTCATAAGGCTTATGATCCGTGGTCAAAATAATATTAGGGCTGTTTTCGTTTCAGTTCATGCCTTTACCTACGAATATATTGGCAGAAGAAGACTGTAGCAGAGACGCGTAAACACAACAAACTTTCAGGAAGAGAAGACCCATAGCTCACTTCCGGCAAGCAGGCAAGCTGGCTGGACGTATAATGCATACATTTGCAACGCTACGAATTCGCGGGCAAATCTGGGGATGACTGTTGCGTGCAAGAAATTTATTGGCGAGGGCGAATCGTATCTCTGTCCACAACAGTACAGACCCCTCTCCTCCAGAACCAGACTTGGAAATCCTCGCTGCCCAATACCTCGCCACGATGCCATTCTGACTCCCATCCACGCTCAAGAAAGGAAGGAGGAACCGCCGCTCCAGCCCATCTTGAGAAAAGGCCCAAGACTAGCAATCGCCAACCATCCCAGCTTACCCTACCAGTTGAATTAAGCCATACAGAGTCCGAACACAGTCCAAACGTGATCTCCAAATTCTCTCCAGGGTCCCACGGTGCGCGATTTCCTAGCGGATACTCGTTCAAAACCCGCCTACCCCCAACCTGCCTCCCTAAACATTCTTCTGCAACTAATCTTGCACCTGCATCTGGATACCTCCATGAGCTCCACACGTCGCCAACCGCAATGAGTGGTGACGAGCGAAAGGATGAGTCGGAACGCCGGCGCATGGCGCCAAACTCGCTGCCATATCTGAGCGACCAGTACGGCTCAGCACAGCCGCAGTCTGCCCCGTTCGACGCCTTCGCAGCAGGCGCATTCGATTTCGGGCTCGAAACCCCGTCGCAGTCGTCGGAGGAGGGCTTCCAGACAATCGACCCGGCTCTGTTGGCCCACGGGGGCTCCCAGCTCTCCTCCCACGGTTCCTGGTCCGCTACCACGCCGCCGGATACAGTGTCAGGGAGCACCGCGCTCGCGGGCGCCAGCTCGTCGAGTGCTCCTGAGGCTGTGGAGGAGGACTTCAGTGGGTTGGCCGAGATGCTGAGCGGCTACACTGCGGGTGTCGGGGTACCTATGGGCACGGGTGAGCTGGAAGTGTTGGAGGATGTGAGGAATGGAGGAATGAAGGATATGGCTACGGGGTAAGTTTATTCCCTTACTATTGACTTACCCTTGACCTACCCTTACTCTTACCCTTACTCTTACCCTACTCTTACCCTACTCTGACCCTACTATTACCCTATCCTTACCGTTCCCTCAATCCCTCAACCATGGTCACACCGCAAGTTCAAGCACACTGACAGCTCTACAGGGCTTTCATGACCCAAGCCACGTATGTGCCGGCGAATAGAAGGAAGAGAACCCGCGCGTACTTACCCCCTTTCTCGTAGTGACTCAAAAGGTCATACTGACGATCTTGCAGAGTGCCCTTGGCCCAGAACAGCGTGCATGGGTCACGTACTCAGACCCAGCCCGCCGTCGGGTACGCAGCGCAACCCGCCGTGAACGGGTTGCCCCTGAGTACCGCATACAACTTCACGCCGCCGACCGCCTTCCCGGGCCAGAGCAGCGCGTATACGTCACCGTACCCTGGGACAAGCGGGTACGTTACCCTCCTGCCACTAACACCCTCCCCCTCACCGTCTGTGATGACGAGAAGAAGACGCTGACCATTCGTAGTCTCCGCGCGCAGTACACTGGGCCGTACATGCCCGCCCAGTACCCCCAGTACCCTCCTGCGCAGTACGCCCCTGCGCAATACGCCCCTGCGCAATACGCCCCTGCGCAGTACGCCCCTGCACAGTATCCCGCTGTGCAGCATCCCCCCGCCCAACTCTCCCCGCGCGAGTTCATCCCCGCGGCACTGACCCACCTCGCGCCCCAGCCAGCGACGAAGCAGTGCGCCACGTGCAACGAGACGTTCATCGAGGCGCGGAACTTTGAGTATGCGTGTGTGCGACACAAGGGTATGTCTCCCCCCTCCATCTCCCACCTGCCCACCTCTATCTGCCCATCTATACCTGCCTACCTCCCGCCCCTCCCTGACTCCCTCCGCATAAGACTTCGGCAGCATCTAACACCCTCCAGCACCCCACACAGCGCCTGACCCCAAAAGCGGGCTCTGGAGAGAATGCGACCCGCGCACCCACAACACGCCCATGAATCGTGTCCGCTTCGCGGACCACTTCATTTGGCCGTGCTGCGGGCGCCGGACGGGCGCGGCCGGGTGTATGAGTGATTTCCATGTGCCTGTGCAGGTGGAGCAGAGAGGTGGTGGGGGCCAGGGTCAGAGTCTGGGGCAGGTGATGGGGATGGGGCAGGGGCATGTGATGGGGCAGATGATGGGGCAGGGAATGGTTGCTTGGAGTGGGCTTCAGGGGCTGGGGCAAGAGCTGGGTCAGGGGCAGAAGGGGAAGAGGAAGAGGGGTGCGGAGGGGGTTGCGGAGAAGGAGGCGATCAGGGGCCGGCTGGGACGTGCGGCGAGTTTGCCGCGTGCGACTGGCGTGCCGGACGCCGCTGGACTGCAGGGTGTAGCTGGTGTGCCGGGCGCTGCTGGACTGGAAGCTGCTGGACCCAACGCGTTCGATCTGTCCGGTGCTGGTCTGAACGAGTTCGCCTTGTCCGGTGCCGGACTGAACGACCTCGACTTCTCGGGCACCGGTCTGCCCGGCTTCGATCTGGGCTTCAGCCTAAACGGCACTGCCGGTCTGGACGGCACTGCCGGTCTGGACGGCGCTGCCGGTCTCGCAGGCATCAGTTCAGACCTGCTCGACTGGCCGAATATGCTCTAACGCGAACGAGTCCAGCCTCCTCCTCCTCCGGCGTTTCGGCATGGTTGTGCTTCACCCATGTACAGTGCTGCGGTGCTGGACTCCTCAGGATCAAGAGCCTTGAGGCTTTTCCTTCTGGGTGGGATTCCTCGCCGCTGGTGGATATGTGGTCGCGCAGCGTATCATGCTGTGTCTGGGTCGAGAGGTATTTCTTTTTGGATATTTTTTTTGGGTGTTTTGGTGTGGGAATGGTAGAGTGAAGGCGTGCTGAGCTAGGTATTTCCGGATGTCGCTCTGCTAATGTGATGTTGTAGTTATACGGCGAGGTCGCTTTAGAGGCGATACTTTTGCCTCCTGATTACAAGGGATTTTCTAAGGGCGAGTGTTTCCACAGGATTCGGGCTTTGACTTGAACGGGAAGGAGATAGTTGGATTTCCAGAACCTTATGAAGACGAAACGGTGGCGGAATCGGCAGTCCTAAAGACCTCGGACTCGAACAAGAATCCTGGAAACCCATGTAATCATGACGAGTCGACAGCAAACAACCAGTCTAGATAGCCACTCAGTTAGGCAGTCAATACCCCCCTCACCCAACCAACACCCTCTTCTTCACCGCCAGCCCCTGCCACTCCCGCATGCTTACCAGCTTCTCGTCCCACCCCTCCACGCTCGCCCTTGCCCCCCTCCGCACCCCCGCCCCCACAACCCGCAGCCCCGAACCCCGGAAAACACAGAACCCCACGCGCTCATACGCCGCCCCGCGCACTGCGAGCACCCACACCGCGGTGAAGTGCCGCGACTTGTCCATCTTGCGCTCGCTCAGGAACAGCGCGCCTAAGAGTGGAGTATCCAGGGGTATCTCGCCGGGGAAGCGGCTCCAGTGCACAGGGAAGAAGATCTCGCTGCGGTCGGGCAGGGTGACGGCGACGTGCAGACCGTCGATGTAGTCCGGATCAGGGGGCGAGGGCCAGGTGACGTGCACGGGGGCGAGGGGGAGCGTGTACACGGTCACGTCGAGACGGTGGGTTCCCGGGGGCGTGAGGCAGAAGCGCGGGATAGTCTCAGCGGGGGTGGCGGGTGATGCGAGGACGTCGGTAGACGCAACAGCGTCGGTTTTCTCGAGGTTGTGCACGGTGAAGTGCGCGCCGATGTGGATCTGCCGCGGCCACGGGTAGTAGAAGATGCGGCCCGCCCAGCCGAGGAAGGACCACGAGGGGAACTCGGGGCGGCGCCGGCACGGCGCGTAGTGGTACCACTGGAGGAGGAATTCGGTGGACAGGGGCTCGCCGGGAGGGAGGCGGCCGTTTGAGGTGTGCGGGGCGGCGGTGGTGTCGAAGTTGATATCTGTTTCGCAGAGCGGGATGCCCCAGAGATGGTGGACAGGCATTTCGGCGGTCCTTTGGGCAGTCAGGGCGCCGGTGATGGCGTCGAGGGCATCAGCGTCAACGGAAAGCTGTCGCGCACTGTAGGCTTCCAGGTTGCGAGTTAGCGGCGCGAGGCGGAAGGTCCAGGTACTGACTTCGGTGTAGGGTTTGGAGGGAGCCGCACGCTTCTCGGGGCGCGGGAGAAAGCGCTGGCCGCCAGTGGCGTTGCAGATGTAGTGAACGCCCCTGTTTGTGAAGAAGAGGCGCTTGTGTGAGAGGTAGCCCTCTTGGTAGGTCCATCCTCGTGTTGCCCATCTCGATGTCGCTATACTCGCCATTGGGTTTAGGGGCCGGAGTATTACGGTCAAGCGCTTGATCGTTTCGTGGATGAAAGGAACTGCTTCCTTGGGGGTCGTGATCCCCGGCAGCCCGTACGACGGGTCTTCACCGACAGAAGCAACGATAGTAAGCTGCGCCGACGAGTAGATCTTGCCCATATTCGCGATCTGTATTGCCTTCTCTTCCGCATTCTTCTGATCAATGCACTTTGTACGTCAGCATCAGATGTGCCACGGTACCTCATGGGTGGAGTCTGACGTCGACGAGATAAACCGGAAAATACTCACATATCTATCGACCCAGAGATACCGAAAGCCGAGCGATCGGCACAGCTTTATACTGTCGCCAATAGTAGCAGGCAGATTCTCAAGCGCACCCCTTTCATTGAGGCGAGACTCATCAGGCGTCGGACCCCAAACATACGACAGAGCCACATAGCTATACCCCGCGGTGCCACGTCCTTTGGTCGTCGACGCCGCCACAACGATCTGCGTATCGCAATCGATCAGCCTGAAGCCCGGCAGCTCTCCCAGCACATCGGGCGCACACCCAGTGTGAGCCTGTTCACATGCACGCATATCAGCCTTGACGAGCCCATAGTCTATCTCCCGGATATTCGCATACTCAGCAGCGAACGTCTTCTCACCGCCTGCGACATCGTCGAGCGTGACGGCGAAGGCGGACACCATCGATTCCATCTGGATCGAGACCATGGACGATCCGTCGTGCACGCACTCCAGCTGGCCGGGCGTGGCTAGACTATGCACGGCCAGGGCTCTCGCGAGGAGGCGGCAGAAGCGACATGGCGAGGCAGTGAGCGCGGCTCTGGAGTCGCTGATGGTGGTGGCCATGTCGAAGACCTCTAGGCGGAGGCGCTCGCCGGGCACTTTGAGGAGCATGGGGAAATGCTTCTCGATGATGTACGCCATTTCGTCCCAGTTGATGGCGGCGCAGCGCTTGCAGAGTCCATCTTCGTCCAGCTCTATTCGGTCGGTCGTTGCCATATCGGCGCTCCCGTCTGATGATGCTAGAGATGCCAGCCGTGCTTAGCCGAGTTCTTTGGCCAAGCTGTGGTCTTGAGACGACTGGGGTGCCGGTGAACTGCGGGGCCTCCCCTATTCCAAGCTGTGTCAGGGAATACGAACTATGTCTGGTCGGGTGAGAAGTGCATGAAGGAGTTGCGATGTCTGCACCTGCCTGGACCTGCAGGAGCAGTCTAGCTACTTCGGGGAAGCCTCATGCAGCTTATGCATGAGGCTGTCAGGTTCAGACGGACGACGCACTCAGAGTACAGACAGCAAGGAGACTTGGTAGATACAGTGCAAACTTGCACTGTCCAGAGTAGAATTCAACGTGGGTATCTCAAAAGCAAAAACACCGCTCCACAATACCTAGCTATGCAACATGCGCGCGTCAGACAGCCTCTTTCGCGGCCTCGGCAGCCTCGCTCCTCCGGATCTGCTCTTCCAGGCGCTTCTTCTCGGCGTTCTTCAGCCGCATCATGGTGACTTCCTCCAGGCTCGGGGTTTTGGGGCTGAAGGAGAACTTGGGGGTGCCGAGGGGCGTTGCGCCGAGGTTGGAGCCGACGGAGGCGCGGAATGATTTTGCGGGCGCGGGAGTGGTGGGAGTCGATGGGGCGGGGGCGGCGAATGGCGGTGTCGATGCGGATGTAGACGCGGACGCGCCGTTGCGGGTGGAGGACAGGTCGGGCTCGCCGTTTGCCCAGGCCACAGAGTCGAGGGCGGGGTGGTCGGCCTTTGCGTCGGAGACGGCGGCGTGGGCGTGGTCGAGGCGGCCGTAGACGACAAAGACCATGGCGACGAGCTTGCGGTGCTTCTCGCCCTCCAGCTTCAGCTTCTTGTCCTTGCCCATGATGATGCTGTCGATCTTGCCGTACTTGTCGAACATGGAGCGCAGCGTGTCGCGGTCCCAGGCCGCCGTGTCGCCCTCGCGGTGGAAGCGGATCTTGACGGTGCGGTCCAGCTCGGCCGAGTCGCCCGGCCTCGAGGGCTGCATTACCGGGCTCTTGACGGGCTCGGCGGCCGCCTGCTCGTCCTGGCGCGCCTTGTCCTTGCGGTCCTGGGCCTCCTTGCGCCGCCGCTTCCCGTCCTCTGCCAGGCGCTGGATCTCCTGCTCCCGCTTTTCCGCCTCGCTCATGTCGGCCGCGCGTTTCCGCTTCAGACTCGCGCCAAAGTCTGCGCTCTCCCGCTCGCGCCGCTCGAGCTCCTCCTTCATCTTGCGCCGGTTCCCGCTGAGCAGCTCATCCTGGAACACCTTCTCGCGCCGCCGCGAGCGCGCGCGGTCGTATTCGCCTTTGAGCTTGGGATCGATCAGGATGTCGCGCGCCCATCCCAGCGCAATGAAGCGGTCGGCGGCATCCTTGTTGTCGGGGTTCTTGTCGGGATGGTACCGGATCGAGGCTTTGCGGTAGGCGCGCTTGATGACTGATTCCTCCGCATCAAACGGCACGGCGAGCAGCTCGTAGTAGTCCTCGGTGGTCGAGCGCGCAAGCTCTTCGAGGTCCTTGTTGTCGCCCATGGCGGTGCTGTGAAGTGGCGGTCACTCTGCAGGGACGGCAGCGCGACGTCGAATTTCGAGGCGATCTATGGAGCGGCAGTCGCACTGTCTGCGGTGTTGTGAAGGTTTGCGGTGAGCTGTACAGTGTTGGCAGACAATTCACAGCGATCGCCCGCTAGCGCCCGTTGCCGTTCCCGGGCTTGGCGTCGTCACAAGGTCGAAAAACACGGAAGCTCTCCTTCACCCTCTCCATGTCAATTGCGTCCACGCTCCGCCGCACCATGACCTCGCCGCCGACGGAACGCGCCGCCGCTGGCCGGAAGGTGCTCGAGGGCGTCTTCGCCATCAACAAGCCGCAATGGGCGTCGTCGGCCGGCGTGCTGCGCGACCTGCAGACCGAGTTCGCAACGGCGGAGCTCTTCCAGCCGTGGTTCGAGGCCACGCGCCGCCAGATGCTGATCTCCGGGTCCAAGAAGAAGCACATGGACCAGCTGAAGGTCAAGCTCGGCCACGGCGGCACCCTCGACCCCATGGCCACGGGCGTGCTGGTCGTCGGCGTCGGCAAGGGCACCAAGGAGCTCGGCAAGTTCCTCGAGTGCACCAAGAGCTACGAGTGCACCGTCCTGTTCGGCGCCGCCACCGACAGCTATGATGCCGTGGGCAAGATCGTCAGCAGGGCCGACTATGCGCACGTCACGCGTGAGCTGGTCGAGGAGAAGCTGGCCGCCTTCCGCGGCGACATCATGCAGAAGCCCAGCATCTTCTCCGCGCTGAAAGTCGACGGCAAGAAGATGTACGAGTACGCGCGGGAAGGGAAGGACATCCCCGCCGTCCCCGCGCGGCCCGTGACCGTCGAGAAGCTCGAGCTGGTCGAGTGGCTGGAGCCCGGCACCCACGAGTACGCCTGGCCCAGCGAGGAGCTTGATGAGGCAGGCAAAGCCGGCGCAGAGAAGCTGCTCGGCATCCGCGCTTCAGACGCCGCCCAGCACCAGCGCAACGCAAAGCGCGGCCGCTCGCCCGCCAGCACCTCGGACCAGCAGTCCAAGAAGCCGCGCACTGAGTCTGAGCCTGCCCCGTCCGCCTCTGAACCTGCCGCTGCCACCGCCACCTCCGACCCCGCCCCGTCCGCCGAGTCCCACGCCCCCCAAATCCCCACCGAAATCGCCCAACACGTGTCCCCCTCCCGCGCCTCCGCCGCCCCCTCCGACCCCCTCGGCGGCGCAACCCACCCGCTGACCGCCGACGTCCCCGAGCCGCCCGTGCCTTTGGAGAAACAACCCGCGACCAGCGTCGAGCAAGCGCTCGCCGTCGACCGCGACTACACGACCGCCGGCCGCACCACGCTCCCCGCCCCCGCCGACCCCAGCGCCGCCGACGCGCCGCGCCCGCCCGCCGCCCGCCTGCGCATGACCGTCACCAGCGGCTTCTACGTGCGCTCGCTGTGCCACGACCTCGGGCTCGCGTGCGGCTCGCTGGCGCTGATGAGCACGCTGGTGCGCAGCCGGCAGGGCGCGTACGAGCTGCGCGGCGCCGACGTGCTGGAGTACGACGACCTAGGTAAAGGGAGCGGCGTGTGGCAGCCAAAGGTCACGGGCATGCTGGAGCGGTTTATGGAGCGCGAGGGCTGGGTCGCGGAGGAGGTCGAGGCGGACGAGGAGTGGGAGGCGCGGAAGAAGGAGGTGCTGGAGGCGCGGAGGGAGGGGGATCGCGGGAGGAGTTACAAGGGCGGGAGGGGGAAGTATAGGGGGGGTGGTGGCGGTGGGGGGAGGTATAGTAAGGGGATGGATGGGGGGAGGGAGTGAGGCGTGGCAAGGCGATTTGATACCCTGAGTGCACAAGTGGAATGAGAAGTTTACAACAACCGTGTGGATGCGTGTGTGTATATACAAGAAACCCAAAACACCGGCAATGCCGCTCAACGCCCTCAACCCAACACCCTTCGCGTCACCTCACCGCACACTCGCCCTCGAGCTGCGCCTCGAATCAAACCCCCTCGCCTCTCCGCCCGCCAACCCTCCCTGCCCCCCGTCCACCCCCGTATACCCCCCAGCCACGCCCTCCTCCTCGTCCCTCCGCTCCTCGCGATTAATAAACAGGAAACTCACCACCATGATCGCCGCCCCGACCCAGTACAGCCACGACGCATACTGCGCATCCAGCACCATCTGACCCACCAGACTGAGCGGGATCGTCAGGCTCAGCCCGACGGAGACGACCAGCGGCGAGGTGAGCAGCATGGCGTACGCCCAGCAGAAATCGCTGACGAGCGAGGACGCGCTGTTGACGAGCACGATGGTCAGGATCTTGTTTGTCGGGGGTAGTTCAAAGGTCTCGACGCGGGTGAGATGCAGCACGACGAGCCCCGGCCAGAGCAGGAGCACGTTGGCGAGCCCGACGAGCCCGAAGAACAGCGGCATGTTGACGCGCGACTCGCTGCCGATGCGCTTCTTCATCAGCACGGCGTAGAAGCCGTACAGCACGGCGGAGCCAAACGCCATGGCGTCGCCGAGCGCGAGTTCGCGCGGCGCCTTGTGCGGGAACGAGCCGCGGTCCGCGTCGGACTGGCCCGAGGCGTCGATGGAGGAGATGAGCGCGACGCCCGCGAGCGAGGCCGCGACGCCGACGAGCTTGCGCAGCGTGAAGCGCTCGACGCGCAGCAGCGCGCCGCACAGGAGCGTCCAGATAGACGACGTCGAGGCCAGGATCGTGCTAGATGCCACGGTGGTGTGGGCTAGACACGCGGCCGCGAAGTAGTTGGCCAGGAACCACAGGATGCAGAACTCGAGCGCGAGCTTGGCCGTCTCGTGCAGCGTGAGGCCCGCGTCCGGGTGCAGTTCCTGCGGGTCGTGGACGGAGCCGTGGGTCGAGGAGCCCAGGAGCAGCTCGGCGCCCTCGGGATCGGAAGCCTTGCTGGGGCGGCGCGCGGGGGTCTCGTGGTCGCGCAGGAGCGTCCATTTGCCGGCGCGGCGGTGGACGAAGGAGCGCAGGGTTGCGGCGAGGGGCTGCGGGGCGGTGGTGGAGCGGCGCTCGGCCCAGAGGTGGTGCAGCGCCATGGGAATCAGTGGGATGAGGAAGAAGGCGGTGTTTACATAAGTGACGAAGTAGGGCTTGTCGTAGGACGAGTCTGCGAAGATGGTCTGGTGGGTCAGTCGCGGTGTCGGCATCAGAAGCGGCGGTACGTACACTGGCTAGGAAGTTCGAGGCGGTCCACAGGAAGACGGTGGCGAGCAGCAGCGCGATGCCAATGGCGTGTCGGACCCTGCTGTGTGGCTTCTTGCCCTCGTCCCACACGCTCACGTCGCTCGCCGGCGAGCGTACGGGGCTCTCGAGGAAATCATCGTCGTATAGGAAGCGGCTGTCGTTGGACGTAGTGCTACTGCGCGGGCTGAGCGGCGTCGCCGGCGTAGGCTCAACCTCCTCCTCGCGGCGCGGAATCATTATGAATAGGTGGGCTAAAGAGTGTCAAGGAGGGCGCTCGGCGTCAGTATCGGCGTTGAACGGGATCACGGCCGGGAGTCGGGTATCGAAGTGCAGTAGGGGGCCCATGGGACGGCCGTGTCGAGGGAGAGCCAGAGGCTGTCAGCTGCTGCTGCGACTGCGTGAGGATGCAGCGTGACCGCGAATGTTAAGACGAGGCGTGGTTAGAGATGCGCAATAGTTCAGGGTCGCGTGTCTCAGATTAAAGGATAGCGCCGGATGTCGGTGCTCAGCCACAGCTAACGTCATGTCCGCGCGAACGGCTCTGCACGCGCCACCAAGGCTGAGACTTGTCGCAATTCACGCCATTCAATATGTACTACCCGCGCTTCCAGAGGTGGGGCTAAGCAAAAATGGCCTCACGTCGAGGCGCAATACACCGTACACCAGACTCCGCGGAACAACACTGCCGATTCGAGGGTATAGCCGCCCTCAAGAACGATGCCTCCTAGCTCGTGCCCACTAGCACGCGCAGCCGCCCTCGTTGCCCTTCAGGTCGATAGGGATCGTCTCGGGGAAGTCGTTGCTGAAGTCGCCCACGTCCTCCTGTGCAAGCGCCTGCCGTGCGATGACTGTTTGGTGTTAGTGGGGCGCGCAATCCACCTCGCCAGCACGTACCTTCGAATGCCTGCTCGACGTTGATAGCGTCCTTTGCGCTGGTCTCGAAGTAGGGGATGCCGCCTTTCGACTGGCAGAAGGTCATGGCGCGCTTCGACGAAATCTAGCGAGTCAGCATCGCTCCTTCATAGACATGATATTGCTTACCATCCTCTTGCTCTCGTCCACGTCGATCTTGTTGCCAATGACAACCTGCACGAGTCAGTCATGCGCTTTCATCTTGACAAGGAACATACAAATGGGAAGCTCTCAGGGTCCATGGGGCTAGCCTGGACCAAGAACTCGTCCCTCCAGCTGTCCAGTGTGTCGAAACTCTTCGAGTTGTTGACGTCGTACACCAGCACGCAGCAGTCGGCGCCTCGGTAGAACGCGACACCCAGCGACTGGAAGCGCTCCTGTCCAGCGGTGTCCCAGAGCTGCAGCTTGTCAGTCCTCGAGCTATGGCATGGGACGTGCGCGACCAACCTGCATCGTTACAAGCCTGTCATCCACCATGACTTCCTTGGTGAGGAAGTCGGCGCCTATTGTCGCCTTGTAGCTCGCGCTGAACTTCTTGTTGACCTGTGTCTTGGGTGAGCTAATGCTTCCCGCGTGTGTCGTGCGATCTATTTGCGCTGGCTGCGAGGCGTACATATTGGTTCATCAAGCTGGTCTTGCCGACACCGCTATCACCGAGGATAATGACCTGCATACGTCAGCGGGGCACACCCTCTGGTGCGAGTCGAAGCTACCTTGAGGAGAACCTTCTTCCTGGACGCCATTGTGTGCGTGGGAGTGTTGGTGGGAGGGTGGAGAAATGGTGCGCCGCAAGACGATCGAGGTTCGGCGATGACGATGCGAGGCGTGGAGCGTGACCGGCTGGGACCTAGGCAACGAAGCTGCTGCAACGATACTGAACAGATCTGGATACTGTGCACGAAGCCGAATAACCTGTAACGTCTATAATCGGAACGGCGCCAAAGAGATATGCCGAGCTGGGTTGTCTGAACGGACGTCCCAGATGTTGATGTCAGTTGGCCAGCCTCGCTGCCAAGCCCGCGCTAGCTTGGTGACATGCATGTTCCTTCGCGGCTCGCAGCCCTGGCAACCAGCAGCGATATCGTGTCGCGTGCAGACCTTCATGCTGTACTTTATCGGACAGGGTCTCGGGTTTTGTACGAACATGCCTGTCTACCCTGTGGGTCGCACTGCAAGCTGTTTGGGTTACCCCGCACGTCACTCTTGAGCCATTTCTCTTATCGTAGTCATTGCATTTCGGATATTCAAGTGATATGTCATAGATGAGGAAGAGACTGCAATCGAGGCCTCCAAAACACAAGAAGCAGATACCTAAGAAGCATGTCTGATCTTCACGCTCTCACGACTATCTCATAGCGTCCCGGCTTCAACGCGATCCTCCTCCCTTTCTGTGTCGCCTTACCCTGCGACGTCTGCACCCGCGTGACATCGGCCTCGCTCTCCTCACGTGGCAGCAGCAGATACCCAGTCGTGCTCGTCGGCACGGTGACCTTCATCGCCACACCGCCATCCGCACTCTTCGTATACTCGACCTCGATCTTGCCATACGGACAATCAACATCGCCCTTGACATGCCCAAACTCTGACTTCAGCGGCGGCTTAACAGTCCACGTGCGGTACGCCTGCGTCTCGCACTTGACGCCCAGCACCGCCTCGTAGAACCACTCGTACACGGTGCCCAGCATGTCGTGGCACTTGCTGCGGCACGCGTCCTGCCAGAACTCGTTGAGCGTTGTTTCGCCGCGGCGCAGGAATCGCATGTAACTGGGGTGCTCCTCTTGACGCGCCATGGTGAGCACGATGTCCGGGCGGTCGACGTCGGCGAGCGTGTTCCACAGGTACTTGAGCCCGATCTCGCCGGCTTGGATGCGGTGGCCGGAGGCGTCGCAGTCGGCGAGGAAGGCGGCTTGGACGTCGGCGATGTGAGCGGCGGGGACGAGGTCGAATTGCAGCGCGAAGGCCTGCGCGACCATGTTCCTATCCAAGACGCCTGGGGTGTCGCGCGAGGTGTAGAAGGCGTAGGGGTACTTCTCCTTGTCTGTTATGAGCAGGTTGGTGTTGTATGCGGCGTAGATGCGGTCGGCCCAAGCCTTGAAGCGTTCTTCTTGGTCTGGCTTGTGCAGCTCGGCGGCCATGTGCTGGATGTTGCGCAGGCAGCGGTAGTAGATCGCTGTCTCGATATTGGCCTGGTTGTTTCCGAACGCAATGTCGCGGCCCCAGTCTCCCAGGCCGTGCTCGATCAGCCCGCCGTCACGTTCCTTGGTCGCGATGTACTCCATGTAACGCACGCACGGGTCGAACAGCTTTGTGTAGACGTGTGTGCTGCCGTAGTAGAAACGCAGTAACTCGGGCAGCAGCGCGACGGCGCCGCCCCACGTGATTGTATCGTGCAGAGGCCCGCACATGTATCGGATCTCGGGCGCCATGGTCGGGCATAGGCCGTTCGGTTCTTGTGTGTCGACGATGTCGTCAAGGATCTTGCTGTACAACGCCTCCATGTCGCGGATGTATTGAGTGGCGGGCGCGAGAAGATGCGTTACTTCGAGCCAGCCGAACTTCTCGATCTGCGGGCAGTCGGTGTGGTAGCTGAAGAGGTTTGAAACGAAGGACCAGTAACACATGTTGAGCAGCTGGTTGCAGTCTTCTTTGTCCGTCGTCATGGTGCCGAGGCGCCGGGCTGCGGAGGAGATGTGGCGACTCTCGAGGGAGAGGATGGTGGGGAGGCCGTTGGGGTTGTCAGATTCGAGCGCCACGCCCTCGACCTGGATGTAACGCGCAGCTGTGAAGCAGAAATCAGGCTCCCAAGTTTCGACGCCTGTTCCCGCGAGAGTGAACTTGCAGAACACATCCGTCTCGAAGGCCTTAAACAGGGGGTCCGGCATCAGCACTTTGCCATCGTCTCCGACCGTCTCTGAGAAGCGGATGATCACCTCGGAGCCTGCAGGTCCTTGGACGTGGACTTTGATCATGGTGGTCATATTTTGGCCCATGTCGAAGCCAACAACGCCAGGCTCGAGTGTCTTCTGTGTCTTCGGCTTGTACGTCTCATGAAGGACGACTGGCGGCTGATTCTGGTACTTCAGCTTGCCCCTTGGCCCAGTGACTGGCGTTGCCTTCTTCCATTTCTCATCCTCTGCAAAGCCGGGTGCGTCCCATCCGTGTGGGTAGGCACGAAGGTCTTTGGTCTCAGACGAGTAGATGTTTGCCAGTGTGGTTGCACTCTTGCGAATGCTCCAGTCAGGACCCGTAGTGATGGTCTCACGACTTCCGTCTTCGTAGAAGAGATGCAACTCGGCGAAGAAGCACAACTCGTTGCCATATCGAACATAGGTGTTGTCTTCATAGCAGGGCCAGAAGAAACGGTCAGCGCCTTGATCTCCGGCATAGAAGCCATTGCCGACATGGGCGCCTAGCACATTCTCGCCCTGCTTCAGGATGTCCGAGACATCGTATGCAGTGAACTGGACCGTGCGGTGGTAGTTTGTCCAGCCAGGGTCAAGCTTGTGGCCGTTTGCCGCCGAGGGGTCGCCATTACAGACGAAATTGAAGTGGCCGAGACCACTCGCGAATACAATAGCACGGGTCGGCTTACGGTCTAGATTGATCGCTTTGCGTACGTAGACTGGCTTGTCACCATTGTCGCCGATCCACACCCCTTTCCATCGATTGGCCTCGTCCTCGAACCAGCTGCGGAAGATCAGACTAGTGTGAGGCATATATGTTTGATTCATGCTGTAGGGAGGGAGCAGGCCACTGGACCTTGGGTAAGCGGTGAAAAACTCATTGGTGGCGCTCTGTACGGTAACGCCATCCTGGTCCCAGACGGTCACCCTCCAATAATGGAAGGTTGCTGATTGAAAGCCGCCATCGGGAGCGCAGAGAATGTTGCGCTGTTGATCTCCGTTGACTTTGGTGGAATCCCAGCAAAGAGTATCAAAGGATCTTGATGTTGATACTTCAAGGTGGTACGCTGTCTGCTGAGCATCTGCGAGTTCTGATTGCAGGACCCAGTAGAAGCGGACGCTGTCGGTGTCGATACCCAGAACCTCGTGGAAGGCATGAATGCCGCAACGCGTGACCTGAAAAGCCATATTGTGATGCAAATTCAAGGCGATGTTGCAAGAGAGTCAGATGAAAACAAACTGCAGATGTTCTGTGGAGTGTGGAGTGTGAAGTGTGGAGCTCAGTCTTGGCGAAGTGTAACCTGGTAGTTGGTGAGGCGTGCGGAGAACACGCACTATCACTCCACGAGAAAAGATGGTGGCACTTCGCACTGTGTTCTACCGACTTTCTCGCTACAAGTACGACCGCCGTCGTTGACGCCTTCTCGGTATATGCGATATTTGCAACCTGAGGTAATTCGAGTCTCGACAAACGCCAGACGCCACACGGTAGCGCGCCAAGGCCATGATTTTCGTCGACTGTACAGCTTGTGTTGCACCACGAAAGAGCCGCGATGTCATTCGGGGTGTCCTGTACCGAAGCCAACCCAAACCACAGGCTTGTCTATCTGCCGTGGAGGCTCTCCGATCAGAGGAATGTGGGGAAGTTTACCGAAGATTAGGCGCCACTCCACACAGTGCATAAGTTCTCGCGCTAACGAGCCGAGCTCATCAGCGGGGATCTAACCAGAACCGGCAGCCTGGACTATCATCAGTTCGGTCGTGTCTGCCCCGCTAACTCCTGGGGTATGGGGCTCGGAGACAGATGTCGCAAGCCCAGTCCTTGGTAACTGGGGAAAGGGTTCACCCATAATGTGCTGGGGTGGAGATACATAAGTGTTGGTCTCCCCTTGTCGAAAGGATCATCATCAACATCTCTTCACTGCGACAAGATGGGTCTCGCCACCACCGTCTTCTCTGCGGTCTTCCTCGCCACTGGAGGTTTCCTCTTTGGCTATGATTCAGGTATCATTACCTCCACGATCGCTCTTCCAACCTTTGAGGAATACTTTCGCAATCCCAATGACAGCACTGTTGGCGGCATTGTGTCCGCCTTCCAAGGCGGAGCCATTGCTGGAACCATCTTCAACATGCTCTTCGCCCACAAGCTGGGTCGTCGTTGGACTATCGCGATCGGCGCTTTGGTGTCGATTTTTGGTAGCGCTCTTCAGGCTGGAGCCATAAACATGGCTATGCTCATTGTTGGCCGCTTCATCGGAGGTGTTGCGGTTGGTCAGCTTACATCCACCATCCCTTTGTATGCTGCAGAGTTATCAGAAGCCAAGTACCGTGGTGTCCTCTCTGGTCTCTTGCAGTGGATGTTGAGCTGGGGTTTCCTCATCGCTCAGTGGCTGGGCTACGGCTGTTCATTCAACTCTACTCAGTTCTCTTGTGAGTTTTTTTCAGCTTCTGGCTGTGTTTCCAGCACTGACAACCATTAGGGCGCTTCCCGCTTGCCTTCCAGTGTGTACCTGGTCTTATCCTCATCGCCGGTATTTTCTTCCTCCAGGAATCACCGCGATGGCTTATGGAGAGGGATCGCCACGAGGAGGCCATGGCCTCACTCCAGAAGCTCCGCAGCGGCTATGACTCCGAAATCATCGACCTCGAGTATCGCGAGATCCGAGACGTTATTGCAGCAGACAGGGCCCTGGGCAACGTCACTGTGCTCTCCATCATTACCAAAGCCTCTTGGCGCAAGAGGCTGCTTCTTGGATGCGGTATTCAGGCGTTTGGTCCTCTCTCTGGAATCAACGTTATCAACTACTACGGCCCGCGCATTTACGAGATTCTCGGTATCTCTACACGCGAATCCCTCCTGATTATTGGCATCAGCGGAGCCTTATCTATCGTTTGGTGCTCAATTGGTCTCGCCCTTCTGGACAAGTTGGGCAGAATCAAGCCTCTGCTCATCTCTGCTGCTGGTCTTGCCGCTGCTCTGCTTGTCAATGCTGTACAGGGCCAGTACTTGGATCCCAGCAACAGTAATCAACTTCGTAGCATGGTTGCCATGAACTTCGTGTTCTCACTGTTCTACACTCCTCTCGGTATCATTTCCTGGGTGTACCCCGCCGAAGTAAGTACCAACCAGAAGGAGTAAATTACACAGAAACTAATCAGTTCCCCAGATTTTCCCTGTTGAGGTCCGCTCCCTCGGTAACGCGATCACCACCTTCACCAACTGGGCCGTCAACCTCATCTTCGCCCAGTTCTCTCCTCAGGCGCTCAGCTCCCTCGAGTTCAAATACTTTTACGTTTTCTTTGTCTTCAACGTCATTGCATTCCTGAGCTATTGGTTCTTCTTCCCAGAGACCAAGGGCAGGACTCTTGAGCAGATGGACGAGCTATTCGGTGATCAGCTTGTGCCCCACGCCATGCAGGATCCTGCAGCAGCGGCTGCCGCGATGGAGAAGGACGAGAAGCTTCACGCTGAGGTGCGCAGCGAGAGCGTTGTTTAAGCGGAGGATGGATACATCATCGACTATGGGTTATGATTCAGGAAGCAGGCGCATGATGGTGGCTCAGATATGAGTTCGACAGATACTCAGAATTATCAATATCATTGTACCATGCACACAACGCTTTTCTTCAATTCTGACACACATGACCGTTACTAAGATTAGTTGAGTAACTGCGAACTTACACAACACTGCTCTTGCAAAACTCTAATGTCATTCCATGCGAACCCGTTCGCATGCTGATGAATCCTTCGGCCTTGAGAAATACCGAGTGCTCTCCTCGGCTTTCTCACTGTTCGCGACGACACCGTTGTACGAAACAAGCATTCGACGAAGCTTACTTTGCAAGCAAATCCATGCCCCACCTTCGCCGGACGCTACAGATAACGCGTCTAAGCTAACCCCTATCCTACCTAAAGCCCTCTACTTGGTACCTAGTTCACTCACGTGATACTGCAGACATCGGTCATTGTCCCCGCTGTTACCCGCTCGCTACTGCATCCGGCGAAAGATGAGTTTTTATGAGTTTCACATGTCGGGGTGGAGAGCTAATCGATGCCAGTGATTGAGCAGCCGCTCGGTATAGCATTACCAAACGTAAAATCAGGGGTGTGTGAAAACTGACACTCGCTTGACACAGCGGCGCACTTTCCTCGTGATGATCCTTCGTACCGTCGTACAACCACTCCGAAGTGCCCACCTTAGTTAAGCGCCAACAGGTGAGACCACGCTGTTATGCATAGCGGTCTTTAGTTTCTGGGGTTTTCAGCACACGTGCTTGCGATGCTCGGTGACAATCCAACAGTTGACCGAAGGCGTTGGCATCGATGACGCGCCATCGGTGCAAGTAGTGGTGGCGGTGCCAGGTACCGTCTGGCCTTGCAGTGCATCTCATACGTGCTGACTATCATAATCCCAAATTCTGGACTGCGTGTCTCCGAATGGCTGTTCACAAAATGTTCGCGTCATTCCAAGGTGACCAACGTCTTGGGGCCCTGGGTGGCAATACCAAGACTCCAATGAGAACCCTGACCATATTCTCCAACAAAGCTGTCAGCTACATGCAAATGAGCGCGGTTCTGGCTGGGTCTCGCTACCTAGCTGATCTGGATGTCGGTGTATCTACAAGCGGACCATGATGGTTTTCGCTTCTGATTGAGCCAGAGAAAGTCTGTCGGGGCTCACTAGACATCTAGATCCACTACAGAACCCACCCACTTCCCTCGGGCTGCTGCATGGTGCCGGCGCGGCATACACACAGTAGTCGGAACCTACCGGAGCACGTAGCGCTGTTGAACATTGGCCGACCTTGCGGGTGTGTGCATCCGTACCACCACCAACACCATGCATCGCCTGGCGAGTCCGCCATGATGGATTCTGCACTCCGCAATACGCTACGGTAGTACACATGTCATGCTGTAGTACGAGCAGGGCCAGACATATGCAGCTGCAAGACCAACGCTCCGATCATATCGGACATGGATTGGAAAGCTATTGGCACATCTGACCAGCACTGACTAGCAAATCGGGTCAACAAACACCGATCCAAGGAAGCTAGATTCATGCTCACGATTTGCCTACCAGAGATTTACTCCTGGCTTGCTCAATGGGCCATGGTGCCAGTGATCCGAGACAGTGTGGGGATCAGAAGTGTTGGGCCAGAAGGGATTTCAACGCGATGGAACAGAAACCGGCCTTGTGGGGAAGAGGCTCAAGCTGTGGGTTCGTTGCCTTCATAGCAGAGACGCGTGACCACGGTGACGGCCATCTGGGGGTGACAATGTTCGACAGGAGAACATCGTGATCGTGTATCGTTCGCAGAAAGACATTCGCAACTGCTGACTGAGACTCGTAGTCAACAAGATTGGCTGCTAGACGAAGCATGTCCGCAGGTACTCGAAAAGTCTAGGCGAAGGGCCATTGCTAGATACAGCTTGTTTTGGCTTCTCTGCCGATTGCTCAATGGCTACAACGTGACTGAGGTCCTGCTAACGGCATCGCAACTAACACAAGTTGTCCTTAAGCTACGTGACAACTCGCAGTCGGCGTGATTTTAGTCTCGACATCTGATCCAGCAGGAATTGTGCTCAACAGCTGGACTCCTGGAGCAGTGGGTCTAGTTGAGGGACCATGCCTGCAGCCTCGGGCCATCAATCACACGAGACTGGACTCTCCCAACACGTTCTCTAGACCAGAGCCGAGCTTCGCATCTAGCCATGTGAAGAGCAGGGCTCAAGAACTTAGTGGTATAGGTGTCGCTCACTCTATCGTCATGCTGGCCTAGATCCCAGGGAGTGGGAAGGCTGAGCTTCAGTCGAGTCGAATCGTGCTCAATCTTGTGGCCATGGATTCCACGCCTAGATCGCTCAACCAGACAGAGAAAGGAGAAAGAACATGTGAGGTCCCTGCCACTGGTATCGCAATAGCTTGAGTTCATTTTCGAAAATTGTCCACTCTCGTTCCCTATGTTGCAATGTGCTGTAACCGTTTAGAAGAAGTCGCTGTTGCCTACCGCTCCAGTCTTTGCCACTGAAGCGGTTTCGTTAAGACTCATCATCTCATCATCATCGCACGAGACTCCCATGTCGATGGCTCGATTTGACAAAGACTCGAGACTGCGATTCATCAGATCAACAATCTACGTCGTATGCTAAAGTCGCTACTAACTGTAGCAAGCGGCACTGGATAGCCCACACTGGCGGTGTGGTGAGGAGATCGCGGCTGGCGGCGGGTTCTTTTTCGCACAACAAGATACAGCACTGTGGGCTACATCTGTACGCGATGAACTCTTCGAGGCGTAGATACATCACCGTTTCTCTATGAACCCGGTTTACGTTTTAATCACTTTAACTATATCAAAGGGCGTCCAAATTGCCACTGACACAACTGCAAGGCTAGAAACGCAGAATCAGTGGCATCAACGGTCAGTGCCCCTATTGGTGCAACTGCGCTTGAGTGGAGTTATCGAGTCGTAATCTTAATGTCCACTGGCTATGTTGAAGATAATCTGATCCTTTGAAGTTGCCAAAAGGCAACGAACACGTTTCAAGGCGCAGAATGACTTGTCAAATGTTTTTGGCGGCAAAGGCCGTGTGCAGTATTGGTGCCCGCCAACATGTACGGACCGCCCTACCCATACAATAAAGATGCCGCGAACATCTCGAGTTGATTCTGAATATACGATCTTACGTTCAATAGGAGTGTAGCATGGAGAGTGGCTACCAATGGTGCTGCTTTTACGTGTAGTTGTGGAGGTCCGCAATTTTGGACATGACAGTACCAATAACGGCATTGTGGCCAGAAACTCAAGCTGGACGTTAGAAATTACAATTGATCGGGGGCGTGTTCCACACATATTTGGAGTCTATCGCCTCGAAACACGATACACTCATTATCTGGGGGCCATGAAGCTGCGCTGTTCAATTGGGCTTTCGGGTTCACCATGAGATAGATAAGCAAGTGTGGTTCTTTAAACCATCCGAGATTCAAAGGCGCAGTTGATACCGACAAGATCTTGTTCACTCGAAGGAAACAGTACCCATGCATGGTGGAGGCTGATAGCACCAGAGGTAGTATAAGGAACTCGGGAAAATAAATCTAGCAGACGGCTGCACTGCCATTCCGTCTTACGTGTACCAATTATTGACAGCACGTGTTTACCAGTGTAGACTGAGATAGACTTCAGTGTTGCGACAATGATAGCCAGACATTTCTCACATAGCTGCAGGGAGGGTTTCTGTCTATCCGGACCACTCTTCATGGACTTGCGCACGCGAAACACTATCACATTGAAGACCATAGAGTAGGTTATCCTGTTTGAGAGAACGCAAACAGAGCCCCCTGAGAAACTCTTACTAGGCTGAGGACACAAACACGAAGTCGTTGCAGCCATCTTACCTTCACGAGACCCCAAACGGAGTAGGCCCGAAGCAGGTTGCAATACCTTACAAACATAAAGTCTAGACTCGCAAAGACCGGATAAAGCATCAGCCATCTCTACATGGCCCGTCAGCCATGAACCATTGTTTGTGCATGAATCGGAGGCATCGGGTTGTTTGACCGTCGTCATCCCGGGCCACGTCACTTAGATTGACACGGTTGACATGCGCGTGCTGAAGTCGCTTGTTAACCCACTTCGGTACTAGTTGACAAGACATTTATACGAATCCAAGAAGACGTTAACTGTCGCTGCCACTACGCTACATGCGGCCGTTGTGAGGGTGGCATAAGAAACAAATCAAGGTGATGCCGCCGCGATGGACTCGCAAAACGGCCGAGAGAGATCGAGCATGTTTCGGCGATTGCAGATAATAAGATCGAGATCCTTGCAGAATAGTCCGGCGGAGGACCAGTTCGTTGTTGCTTTGCAGTTCGGGCAGCGCGAAAGTCATTCGATCGTGGTCCGGGTACCTGCAGTATTGGCAATTAGCGAGAGACGCATAACCACATCGAGTCAAGCCCGTACGGCAGCATGGTAGACGAGCCGAGATTGAAGTTGACCATGCGTGCTTGAAGAATTGCCGTAAAATTCTGGGGTGCGCCAAACGTCGCATGTTTCAGTTTCTGCGAACATCAATCTTGATCGTGCCTCCAATCACCAAACGCAATCAATCGCGAACAGATAGTTGTTTTGTTGACGATGGTGAGCTGTTTCGGCGCCTATGGTGTATTGGTCTGGATTGGCTCTTCTGTGTGCTACAAGGTGAGGCTGAAAGCAAGTACTGTGTATGGATCGATCGTTACTATCATGTACCTAGCCCTAAACGCCTCGTAAAAAAGATTCCCGCTTAGTCGTTATGCCAACGCGGCAACGGTAGCACCTATGCACGATCATGAGCTGGCCATAACGCCAGAATATTTACAAGGTGAAAACCCAGAACCGAAAAATGAGGTCATCACTCAGTGACCGTTGTAGCCGTTGTTCTTTGGCTTCTTGTGGTGGTCCTCAAGCTTGCTGCCAAGTACTGCGCCTGCTAGAGCACCCAAAATGCCGTGGCCTCCTGCCTTGTTTCCACCAAAGTAGCCGGCGGCACCGCCACCCAGGGCTCCCATAAGCCCGCGGTCGCCCTCTTGCTGCATAGCGGGGTCGCTGGAGCCGTACTGCTGCTGCTGCCCAGGCTGACCGTATGCGTTCTGGCCCTGTGGGTACTGGTCCTGACCATAAGGTCCCTGCTGGGGGAACTGGTTCTGAGGTTGCGAGCCAGGGTAGCCTCCCTGCTGTTGCTGGCCATATTGCCTGGTAGTATCGTTAGAAAATGTTGTTTCGAAACACGGAACAGTGGCTTTTTGCGACACCTACCCTTGTTGCTGGTTGTGTTCACCATACTGTCCTACTTGCTGGCCATGTTGAAAGCCGCCTTGCGCAGGGGGGCCGTACTGCGAGTTGTAGCCTTGCTGCTCTCCGTAGCCCTGCTGACCGTATTGCTGTTGAGGTTGCTGGTAGCCTTGCTGCTGGTAGCCGCCCTGGTCATACCCGCCCTGCTGAGGGTAAGGGCTGTGGCCCTGAGGCGGGTATTGCTGCTGCTGGCCGTAGCCCTGGTTGTATTGATCGTATCCAGACATGATATTTTGTGTTATGGGCTGGGTGTGGATATTAGCCAAGAGGTGTGGTCTTGATCTTATGCGTTCTGTAAGGCGGGGTAGCTGGAAGGATGTGGGCGATTGACGTAAGACGTGAATTGGTGGGGGAAAGAACGAACGAACACAGGAACATCACTCGACTTTATCAGTGCTCAGCTCTCTTACTAACGACATCCTGATCCGCTCAGACGACCTTACAAACCCACTCTTTGCTGAGGGGCTGAGCAGCCAACGAAGATTCGAGCTCTGCTCAGCCCTAAGCCACGCCATAGGACGAACATCAGCTCGACCGGCTGTGACGGCCGCTTTGGTCATAGCCATAGACCAGCACAGCCGTACGATCCGAGCTGCTCAGCGCTCTGGGCTGTCGCTCCAATTTCTGGCCGTGCTGACGGACGTGCGAGATCGCTGCTAAAGCCGACATGCTTCGTGGGTTTTCTTCTGTGCTTTCGTCCGGAGGATCCGACTCTCTAGGTGTATAGGAGGCTGCAACGTCTGCAGACTATCGACCCGTTGGCGGTGATTTCGGCCGATTTGCACCGCCATTACGCGCGGAAAGGCTGTGGGGCTGGGCGTGTTGAGGCGCAGCAATATTGACGAATGTGGCTACATCATCAAATCGGCGTCACGAGGTTGCACGGCTGCACGGTACCTTTAGCGCACCAACAATCCTCCGAGTCTGCAATAATGTGCGTCTTATGCGGGGACAATTGAGGATGCGCAAGCACACGACAGCTCGAACGACCTCACACCGAGCCCAATCATGGCAGAGCTTTTGCAGGTCTCACGATGCCGCCCCTGTGGCGCCTGATCTGCACCATGGGCCATCAAGCGTGCCGGATGCGGGCGTTGAAACGCGACCACCATGACTTGAGACGACTCCAAGACGAGCTCACGAGACCCGCTTTATATCTTTGCTTCATATCGGCGCTGTATATTACCCCTTTTAGATGTATTAGCTGCTTCCTGGTCCCCTCAAATTGCCTCTTAGAGCTATAGACGTTGCTAAATATGCTCCTCTGCCTCTAGGGGCTCGTTCACATCTCGGCTCGATCCTCAAACCGACATGGGTTCACACGGGTCCTGATGCTAGCGTCATTCATGCACTCTCTCAAATGCACCCCTCGCGCTGTCGCATGAACATGTCTCAACCAGAGCGTTCGCCCAGCCTTCCGCTGTACCTCTGCTGACTTGCTTCCTTTCTGTCTTTCGTTCCGCAGGCGGTGCTTTTGCTAATATCTTACTCCATACTTTCATTCACTCAAACGTTCTTTTCAAACCACCCTGGTGGCGGTCCTAGCAGGCTCTTGACTGTACACTCCCTCCATACGCTCGAACTCTCCACCACTAGTCGATTGCAGATGTTGTTTGGTGCAGCTGTTGAGCGGCAGGAAAACTGAGTGGGGTTTACCCTAATCGACCTATCGTGAATCGCGCAAGATGAGCTCGCCGAACCGACGCAGATGGATAGAAAAGGTGGAATATGTGGTTGTGGAGAGAGATGGTTTCGCGAGGGAGGAGTCGTTGGAGGACATCAATGCGACACCAACACCTACCATCGAACAAATCGCGCGATCATATGTGAAGAAACAACAAACCAGTGAGGCGGACGATAGCGACGATGAGGACGGAAAAACAACGACTTCCACAACGGCTAGACCAACATCCGGAGGCCCACCACCGGTACGACTAGATTCGGTGTCTTCAGATGGATCAAGGTACTGACGGTAGCAGCTACTCATCACCATGACATTATCGCAAGCTCAGGCTACCGTGGGCGCCTTGGCTGAGAACGAGCCCATGGAGACCGTCGTCGTGTCCCTACAACCACCTCCAAGGCCTGAGCACGGAGGCGGAGGCAGTGGGCGCATATCTCAGTCGACAGAACATCTTCTCATCGCTGCTGGCTCTATTGGTGGGTCGCAAAGATACTATAACCTGCGATGGTCACTAATCGAGATCAGGTGCTACAATCATTGTCGTGATGGTTGTACTGGCTATCTATACGATGCGTAGACGGGGACTAACATTCTCTGACGTGGTCAAACAAGGCAAGAGCCAGGTCAGGCGCCGTGGTGGGGGAACCGGCTCCAAATATGACTGGGACAACAAGCAGAATCTTGAGGAGCGATACTCCTTGCGGAATGATGCAGTATATCCCCCGCCTCCAGTTGCTAGGGGTAGCTCTCGATCTGGCTCACGCTCGTCGCAAACTCGCGTACAGCCTCTGGCCCGCAGTGACAGGTATGCTCATCTCACTTTAACTTCCGAACCGCAGCTCACCGTTCTTAGCTTCCGCAAGGGTTCGTCCGATATGTCGCAACAAAGCTTCCTTCTCGAAGATCCGCCATCACGCATGAACTCTCACAAGCGCAACAGTGCAACGCCATCATCTCCTATTCTTGGACCGCAAGGCTCGCGTGGAAGCGAATCCACGCACAACACGAGATCTATGGACGACGACGACGAGTACATGCAACAACAAGCAGCTTCTCGACAGCCGGCAGCCCCAACATTCAAACAGTTCATGTCGAATCGCCCATCCATTTCGCAACGGCCAGGTCTCGGCGGCATGAACAGCAGATTCAGCTGGACGAACTCGCAAGCACCACAAACGCCCCACGATCCAAAAGGTGACCGAATGAGCCAGCCTTTGGGACGTGACAGCTTCATGACGAACCGATCATCAGTGCCCCGTTTCCGCACCATCAACTCGTGGGTCAATCAGCAGTCGACCCGCGTCGAAGAACAAAAGCTTAGGGAGCAATATCGCATGACGCAAAGTTCTACGTACTCGGAAGACACATATGGCGACCAGGTTCCCGAGATGCCTCCTGTGCCCAAGACCTATAGGCAGACTGGCGGTCTTGCCGGGAAGGACATCAAGCACCAACGCCATGAGACCAATACCTCGGTCGGTACAGCGCCTGTCTTCAAACAGCATCCAGGCACAGAGGTGCGATTCAGCACACGAAGTACCGTACCTTCTGAGATTCTCGACATGGGTCGGAAGAACTCAGTGCTCAGGTGACAGCCTCCACGATAGGCTAATTTTCCTTTCAGCGTTTCTTTAAGTACCCTATCAGCATTTCAGCGTATCAGGAAGGACATTGACTCAGACACGCCTGAGGAGCGTACCGAGACACGAGGGACGATATCAAGCTTGTGTACGCTATTGGAATTTTTGACATATCACGTTTGCAGCAACTTGTGTAATTATTGCCGTCATTGTGTATATTGTTGTCAAGTTAGCAAAACCATTTTACCTACTTAATGCTAGTCTGAACATCACTTGTCCCACGATCAGCCCGCTCTGTAATGATCTTGAGCGAATGCTTCCCGTCTTCATTGACTAAGCTGGGTCACCCCGGCTGCGCGTCATCAACGTCGTGCGTCTAGAGGCGATAGACCTCGACGGAACACGACCGACGGTTTCCGTCAAACGTCAACGATCACAGCCACTATGGACTTACGGGATGAAGGCTTCTCCGATCATTAGCCCGAGTTCGCATTCGCGGGTTGTGCCATAAACGTTGTGGCTCATCCTCGTGTTCGGATTCGCTGCTCGCGTCATGCTAGCGCGCGCCTGAGATGATCGTACCTGACGATACGCTCCACGTTCGAGGTTTCAGACAAGTGTTTCGAGGTTCGTCGCGTTCCGATGTGCCGAAAGGCGGATGTGCGGTGGCCTCGCCGGGTCACCCATCAGGTAACATCGGCAAATTTGTACCAAGAGGCTTATTGGTGTGAATACTGTCTTGCAATGGTCTGCAGGTGAGTGAATGTCCCAGTACGGTTAGCGTCTTCGCGGATATGAATTCTCCGCGGCTATCAATCGTGTGCATAGACGTTTGCACTTCACCTCTTCCGCCAGGGAGGTCATTCAGCAGACACAACTCTCACAAGAAATGACCACATCCGCCAAACAGTACAGTCGTGTCGATTGTTTTCCCCGATGTCGGTGCATCTGGTCGATCGACGGCGTCCTTGGAGGGTACCTTGTTGATCCAAGCCTAAGGTCGACCATCTACGGCTGCATTGAGCCCGTTGAGCCACCCTGGTAAGAATGCAATATATGTGTGGACGTAAGTCGTCTTAAGTCCATGGATTTGAAGATCAGCCAGGGTATCGACTCCTTTCAGACCAGCCATCACATCCTGGAAAACAATGCCGAGACCCCCGATGTCAGACTTTGTATACCGCTTGGACTCAGTCAAAGAAGCAAGTTCCGACGCGCATGTACGAAGACTACCACGTCCTAGTCCCACTGTTATATCGCTGGAATTATACGACGGATCAAACCTGCCCAGATACGCGGTGTTTCTGGAGATCAGGATTGCCTGAGCTTGGATCCTGTCGTGTCCAATCTGACCATGGGTCAGATAGCTAATCGCGGTAGCCAAGCATCCGAAGACAGATCCAAGAGTACGTGGTGCTGGACACGGTTAGAGTATGCCTCCAGGCTCACCTCGGGAAGTGGATCCATAACGAAGCAAACCGAATTGTATCTTAAGCAGCTACCGACGAACCCGATGATTTGTTGATGGTTGACACGACCAAAAACCTGATTTGGCAACATTTACCTCATATTTCTGCATCCCTGTCCCGCGTCCTGCAACTGTTTGCGTCACGCCTGCAGTTTCTTGCTTGGTTGATGGGACGAAAAGATCCACGTTCGATCTCAACAACGCCGAAGGAAACCTGTTAGCATTTGACGTGCGCATGCTCAACATTCCCGATATTAATAGACTGTGGCGAAATCAATCCCCGGGCGCCACGAAAGGCCTTCTTGTCAGTGGGTACGGATTGAATCAATACCCGTCTGCGAGCTGTAGTAAGATCGGAAGAAAGATCCAAGCCGCTAATGTTCCCAAGTAAAATGTATGTATGCGGAGTGTTTCTTTGAAGCAACTTAATGGCGAGTCTCACTATCAGTATGTGGTTTGGCACTCCTGTCGTGGATCAACTCAGACAACGTTTTTGTCGAGCTGGCTTGCTTTTTGAGCCTTTCCAATTCATGCAGTAGAGCCGTACTAACATATACTAAAGGTATTTTAACAGTGGTAACGGATGTAAGTAAATTACTGTAGCACAGCTGATTGTGAGTGGTTTATAGTTGACGGCGCTATGTTGTGCACTTTGTAAGAAGCCGAAGAAGCCGGATCACGAAGCCGCCACGAAACGTTCTCTCAGCTTCATCGTCTGTCTTGTCGTGATTAAAGTCATCGTCAGTTGCACTGGAGTGCTTACTGCGACAATTGATCAGTTTCGGTGAAACACAATGGTGAGATGTATACCTCAGCTGAACCATTCAGTCACTTTCCGTGACGTTATCCACCATTGCTACTCTCTATACTCAAGAAAAGCCTGCGCACCATAGTTGCAAAGCTTACAAACGCTTGCCTTGGGACGTCCCAACATGACTTGTGTGAAATCGGGGACGGACGAAATTTAGTGCATTTCGTGTACAGGAGGTATAAAGCTGCTAGAGTGCCCCATAACCTTGCCATAGGACGACCACACTAGTTCAACAAAGCATCTCCACTCATGGCATCAGTCACTCTCACCAAAGGCTTCAGGGCCAACCATATTGGTCTTCGGGTGGCGAACCTGGAAAGGTCAATCGAGTTTTATTCTGGCGTTCTTGGAATGAAGGAATTATATCGAATGCCCTTGGATACCGTCACGGTCGCCTTTCTGGGCTATGACGACTCCGAGGACTCGGCTGCACCTCTTTTTGCACGACAAGGTGTATTGGAACTTGTTTGCGCGAAGGTAAGATGGGATCTCAGCGAACTTGTACCAAGTGTGGTCGATGTTGACCCATAGACACAGAATCCAAAAGGAGCACTCAAGAATTCACAGGACCATCCTGACTCCCATTTTGTCAAACTTGGTTTTACTGTGCCCGACCTAGAATTGGCCGTGAAGCACCTCAAGAGCCACGATATCAAGTTTGTCAAAGAGGCCGGCACAGCCGACCACTCAGGGGTTGCCGCATCGTTTTTGGGATGTGAAGCACCCGGTAAAGGATTTGACAAGTCACTGTGGGAAGCTGTTGTACCTATTCCATTCGTTCAAGATCCGGACGGCTATCTTATCGAGATCATTCCTTATTGAGTAGCGCGGCCCATAATCGGTTGCCATCGTTTAATTTTTGAACTATTTCGAGCGAGCTTAATTAACTATTATCTGTAATTCTTGCTGGAGCTACTTACTAATTCGGAGTTTCTACCTAGGTTGAGTCTATCTACGTATAAAATACATACATGTTTTTACCGTTTCTAGGACCAGCCTCTGTGTTTACTCTGTACCGCGATGATAATGCACAAACCCGCCCCTGAGCCCAGATTCGCTATTCTAGGCTGCTTTACTGGCCTTCAATCTATGTACTGCCAGGGTCCTCTTGCCAGATCTCGTAAGCCTCGAGACCACCGACATCCCCAGTCTATGAGCTTTAGCCAGTACACCTGGACTCAAAGCCTGCCGAGATTCAACATCTCGACACCGCCTCATGCGGAACATCTCAATCATTAAACCAGGCCCAAAGCTGGTGGCTACTACATCATCTCGCCCTTTCCCCATTCTCCTCAACTCATCCAGGACGATGAGGACTGTTGGACTTGAAGAATTTCCGTTCTTCTGGTACACATCGAGGGATGCTCGAATGTGCTCGTCGGTGAGATTCATTGCCTGCTGCGCGCCTTTAAGGATCGAGAGACCGCCCGGATGCACAGCCCAATCGAAAGTCGTTGAGTCGAGGGGTCCATTGTCCGATTTGCAGATCTGGTCAAACATGCGGCTTATAGCACCGACTGTGGCTTTTGGCACCTCCTTGGTAATGGTAGCTATCATGCCAGTCGGGCTAACGGAATACGACATGTGATCTTCCGTACCAGGAATCAGTGCACTGGCCCACTCCTGCAGCTCGTACACCGGTTTCTGCTCGTTCGTCATGGCTAGTCCGTTGCAAACTACCAACGCCGCCGAACCATCTGAGAACAGAGCTGGGGCGATGTGTAGATTCTCGTTGTCTTTGCAAGCAGCCTGCAGCTCTGCTCTCAAGAACAGACTGCAGAGCTCAGTTGCGAAGACCAAAATTCGAGCTGGTTTTGATCTTGACGACGCGGCTGCAGCAAGATTTGCAGCCTCTCTTAGAGCAGAGAGACCGCCAGCACAGCCGACACCGTTTATCAGTGTTCTTTGCACACTGGAAGGTAGCTGGAGCTTCTGGTTGACGAAGAGGTCATATCCTGGGCTACCTTGATCGGTACAGGTGACTGCCACAACATGTGTAATGTCTCCGGTCGCAACGCGTGCCTCCTCCATTGCTTTATTGCATGCTGCTACGGTGAGGTCCACACCCGTTGTTCGAAAAACTTGGGACAGCTCGTCGATAGTTGGAGGTGTTGCATCATCCTTGGTCCATGTGCTGTAGTCGAATATTGTTGGGCGGGAGATGATTCTTGTGTTGCGACTTATATGTAATAACCTCTGGAACCTAATCATACGTCAGCATTTCACAGCCACAGAAGAGTCTTGATGAGGATGAGTTCACTTACCCTGGCGATGTGATGTGCGCAGGAACCAACCGCGTGATGAGAGCTGCGAACTGCTCTTGTGTCTGTGAATGAGGAGGGTACTCATGAGCCAGACCTGTGATGTACACAGAATTCCCCTGGTCGACTGCCATAGTAAATGCTGTACAATACAAACTATTTGAGCCAATGATAAACAATGTTTGAAGGTTCTTCGAGTAAGACTGTTGTAATTGGAGTTCAAACAGCACAAAATCAAACTTCATATACGTTGGACCAAGTCATGCTAGTGTCTGGAGGAATTGTGCCATGGGCGAGTGTTCATGGCGGATAGGTGGCTGAGTGGTATGACTGGTGAGGGTAAGGGCGGAGGGTGGAGGAAAACGTTCGACGGTCCGGTTCTCTAGGCTACAATTCGCTTGTCAACGCCATGAGAGGTATCAAGCGTGGTGAGGTCGTTCGGGAGACAGTCGAAAGGGAATAGTGGAACATACAAATGATTCATACCCTTGTACTCGACCCTCGGTCAGCAAAGATTAATCTTTCTTGCCATTTGGCACTCATCGGCCCACGGGACTAAAAGATGGCAGTGAAGACTACGTCCAATGATAGTCTGAAACAGCATGCGACCGGGAGGCCGCATATAGAAAGACATACACAGCCATCTCTTTACAGCCATCGAGCTGGCCAAGCTGAGTCCTAGGATAGACGAACCGTGCTTACCGTAGTCGTCTCGAACATCAAAGCTGTCGTCGATTTCGCGTTTCTCAAAGTATGATGACACATTGTTCACCGCGCGTCCGACCTGGATTTCGACCGCCCTCCGGGACGAGTGTTAAGGTCCCTAGTACGAAGAGTTCCAGTTGAGGCCTCCAGGTAATTGCTGCTGACTAGAATGCCTGGCTAGTAGAATTTTCAAGTCTACGAGCGTCCTAGCTGGCAAGACTGATGCGCTGGGGGGAGAAAATGTGTCATAATCTTTTGGCTAGATCAAGTGGCTTCAGATTCCGAAGCTGTTCTCAGCCTCCACACCTGCGCCAAGCGCGTGCACTGTATTTGAAGTTTGGCGACTACAGGGCTTCGATTAACAGACACATGGCGGTGGGTCTTATTCGTCAAGCTTTGATACGAAGTGTGCTGAAAGAGTCGTTGACCAAAAGAAGACATTGGTCTGACTTCTAAGGCTGCAAGGTGTATGTGGCCAGAAGAAGGCATTGCTCTGACTTGAATAATGGTGGGGGTCATGTGTGGAGACCACATGCGTGCATGATGACTAAGGCGAACGACGGTGAAGTCAATGATCGTATCCTCATTGGCGTCCCGGTCAAGGCCTGAAATTTACGCAGATGCCTGATTACAGTTCATCTGCCTCAAATGGCGTGCATCGTCTTGGTCATTGGTGGGGCCACTGCACCCTCATCCTCCAGGAATGAAGTTGTTGCCTCTCAGGCGTGCTACCCTGCAAGGCGCAGGTAGCGCGCCTGAAAATGGCATCTCGTGTGTATGGGGGCGGCGATTTTGTTATGGCTCATCGCGCGTGCCTGCGATGTAGGGTGTTGATGCGGCTCTGCAGCCTGCAGGGCTGAGGCTTACACCGAGCTAGGGTATGTCGTGGAAAACCTACCAAATAGGATAAGTTAAAAGTACTAGTGGTGGCTCTGCCTATCAAATGACTCTTCAGGAATAGATTTCGCTGACAATACATTGATCCGGGGGTGGCGTGCCGTGTCTTACACCGAGGCCTCCAAGCTACCCCATTGGGACTAGTGCGCGAGAACTGTTCGCGAAAACAGTTCATTGGAGCATAGTGCTCACGTGCTGTCTGCGAAGTAACTCTCGGCGCAGCATTAGGTCTGGAACAGTGCACAGTGATTTATAAGAGCCGCCTTGATGATCTTGCAAGGTCTTGCAGTTATACAATGGGAGCGCAAAATAACAATCATGCGAAGGTGTATCAAGCATCGCAGCCTACGTACTAGTAAGTGACGTTAACTCAAACAACTAATAGACACTAATTGATGAATGGTAGCGGTCACGGAGGTGCCTCACGATCTGAAAGAGAACAGTTGATCTCTAGGATGTACTCGTGCCTACCTTGGGAGCTTCGCCACCACATTCATACCTTCTGTGTTCAAAGCTCTTATGACAATGAGATCATCGTCCGCTACGGAAGCAAGGGAAAGCCTATGCTACTTGTACGACGGTCGGTCGGCCCGGGTCCATACCAATGGACCGAGGATCCTATCATTCTGCAATTTGGCCCAGATAAAATCGGACCGGAAGCATCCGCAGACCTTCTTACGACGTATTACGGAAGCCGTACTTTCAAGTTCGCTCACCAGGAGCTCGGATGCATACAATCGTTCCTTGAGACGGACAGCTCTGGGTTGGGTATACGTCCGGCCGACCATCTCCGCCACTTGCACTTGCAAATCCAGCCCTTCATGTGCGTTCAAATAGAGGAGCCCGAGTTAAGGCGAAGCGAAGAGGCAAGGTGCTGTCGAGCTCTGGAATCTCTTACAGCTCTTAGAGCCCCCCGAACAACAATTGCTGTTCATGTAGATCTGACACAGGGCGTTTCTTTCGAAGAAGAGTTTGGGGAATTGTCGGATGATGCTGCGGCATTCGTCTTTCGGATCCTAGAGATCGTTAAGAATTTGCGGGTGACAGGACTGAACATAGAAGTGATCTTGGAAGGGGCGTGGGATGAAAGGAGTGGGACAAAGCTGTGTAGCAGTTCGACACCATCGCTTGATGATTGTGCGATGACAATGAAGATCGCTTCTCGGTAGATCTGCTTTTTGGTTGATTGAAACTGAGATTACTGAGGCTTGACACCTCTCCGTGGTTATCGAAAACACACGCACGATGTTCTATTGAACTGGACTAGCAAAGATGTACGGTTCTTGTCCCATTTGCATGACGCCTTCGGACCGATTTAAGGACTGGCGGCCAGCCACGTGCTGAGATTGAAAAACTGCTAGAGTCTCACAGTGACGCTTGGTTCCGCTAGACTCGGTGCGAAGAGAATTTTTGGAGGATCTCCGATGACTTATCGCTTGGCTCATCCTATGAGAAGCTACAGTACTCGGAGCAATGAGGTGTCCAGTATCCGAGTGGCCATCCTGGGCGCCATCGATTTGTCGTCGGATTGTGATCTAGGTACGAATGCAACTAGCCCATAGAGATGGCTGTGAGGGCTGCATTCCCAGACAATTCCAGTGGTGGGATCAAGTATAGGTGGTATGGCTTTGAATTAGTTCGATCGATCTCTGCTATGGCTCGAAGGCTCAGTCTCCCGTGAGATCAATGTAGTCAGCTACTGCCATGTCCGCTGGCTGAGCTTCTGCCTTCTTCGGCATGTCTCTTCGAGGACTTGACGAAAAGTGGTATAGGCGAGCAGCACGTATCTTATCAGCTTCGCTCGCAACGGCAGAATGTTTCACGAGTGCAACACTAGCTTTGTCCTGGGCCGCATGACTTGCGATAGGCTCTGCCCAGTCGAGATCGAGTCGTTGTCGACTGATTTGTGGCGTGTATGGTTTGCTGGACATGCCTGGAGTTGTCCGTTCGACTGGCGATTTATGGCCCAGGTGTGGTGATTGCATGCTTAAACGTAAGGCGCGAGCCAAATCGTCGCTTTCGTTCTCTGATGATTCTGGTGAACCAAGATCGACTATGTTCGATACTGTCACCCCTAATGACTCTCGCAACGACGCCGATTTCTTGAGGTGACGTGCAGGGGGAACACGTAGAACCATATCATCGTCATCGTCGTTGAGATTCGACAGATCAATAACATCGAGAGATTTGCCTGTCCCTTGTTGTTGTGTATGCAGCATTGACGTTGTGGAATGATGGAGTTTGTTGACACGTTTGCTTTTGAACTGCGCCGTCTCAGTCTGCGGCGAGGACGTCGCGAATGCTGCTTGTCGCGGTCGCTGGCCCGCGCCCTCACTCGTCTGAGCAACGCGGGTTGCTTCAACTGCCTGTCTGCCTTCTTGTATTCTCTGTCTCTTCTGTGTAGGAACTAGTGCCCCGTCGTCAAAGTTGTCAACATCCAACTGCTCTTTTCGTTTAGAAGATCTATGTTTGGCAGCTGCCGGTGGTGGGTCGAGAGCTTCAGAGGGGAGAACTCGCTGTAACCAGAACGCCGGGAAGTAATCGCACTCGACCCGATGGTTTGGGTCAAAAGGCACATCTCTTTTGCCGTCCCACATTCCCTCGCGCTCTCCCCCTTCCAAGTCCTGCCTTTTCAGTGTGGTGACGCCGAAAGGAGAAAACGTGATCTTGCGCTCTAAGGAGCGCAACGCCATAACCTCCTCGCTTTGGCTTGCGCGCTGCTTCGTAAGCTTAATGTCATGCACGACTTCCTTTGGACAGGAGCTCTCTCTCTGCACCAACGACTGAGTGAGTAGCACTGGACCAACCCAGTTCATGTATAACCTTCCCCAAATGTTGAAGCGGCTACTCGTAACTTCGAGTAAATTCAGCTCGTCAATCGGCCGCGGGATGTCCAGATTTAGCGACTTCTTCGCCATCAACAGCTCATCATCTGTGACCTTCGGCCTATAGTACTTCTGCAGTATCTTGAAGTCGGGGAACCTGGCAGGGACGGTCAAATGCCGTGCACGAGGCCGTGACGAAAGGAAAGCAGCCAGGCGGAAGCTCCAGTCCGTGCAGTCTTTCTGGTTACGGCACAAACACAACGAGTGCGCGAGGCTCCCTTCTTTTACAGCGCTCAAAGCTGTTTCTGCCCCGCATCCAGGTAAGCCAGCTTCGTGGTAATCGCCACCAGCAAGCATAGCAAACAAGACCAAGCCTTCGCGATCCAGCTTGAGCCTGTCCTCCATATCCTTCGCTCGAACTACGCGAACGTACTTTTCGTGTTTCTTCGTATTTTCTTTACCGCGGTCTTTGTTCCCTGCCTCTTTTGCACGTCGATCATCATGAAGCCAAAGGCTGCAGCCGAACATCAGGCAATCGGAGTCCTGGGACCACACAGCGTCAACGCGACCCAGTATCTGCAAGCGAGCACACTCAGCCTCCGCTTCCGCGGGTGCTTCTTGATAAGGGATCCCAAAACAGCGCAGTAGCTGTTTCAGCAAACGAACTTGGTCATAGTCAATCTTTCGTCCGCCATGCCTGCCACGTTTGGCTGGAACTCCGGGGCCGTCAAAGACAAATATGAGCTGTATATTGAGGGTAAGGAGTTTGCAGATCCGGTAAAATATTGCCTTCTCGATGCCCTGGAAGGCAGGCTCATTGGAGGCTGTTGTTATCAGCACAGCGAACCTCAGGGTTCGCAAAAACGTACAAGTTCGGATAGCATAAGCTTGCGGTACCGTCAAGTTGTTGAATCGCCAGTCAGCTTCGTCGACTGCGATTCTAAGGGGTCTGCCATATCGTTTGTAATGTTCTTCCGCGAGTTGAGCAACAGGCTTGACTTCTTCAAATTTATGTATAGTGTCCCACAACCTTGGCAAGGTCAGTACACTTTAGAGAACCCAACGAGGAACTATGAGTACTTCGGGAGACCCATAACGCATGTCACACGGAACAGTTGTGAGCGGAATCGCGTAGACTTTCCGAGCAGGTCAGGGGCACTCGACCTCCGGCCTTGTAGCTCGCTCAAGAAACAAGACTGCTGTTATCGCAGTTTCTCTTATCGTGATATCAAAACATTGAAAGACTTTTCGACATGGAGTAGGCTATGGAAGGGGTGGTACGTTGATGTTCCAAAAAGCGGCGGGGTGCTAGCGCGTTAGGGTGACTTGGCATTCTCGAATAGGTAGCGACACTTGCACTCCTTCGTTCTCAAGTCTTCAACGTTCAACTTGCACACACTGTGCCATATATTCGCTGTACTAGAACGAACAATCCCAGCTGACCGATGCGTCCAGCTGATCAAAGCCGTGCCACGTCTCAGCTTCAAGGTAGGAACTCATCTCCTTGAACTTCTCCTCTCGTTTTTGTTTTAGGGCATTTCCCAGGATGGTTGCGGCCGACAATGCCATATCAGACTTCCGCCCCAAATACCACAAGGCTTGTATGCAATTGTCTGCCTGATCAAATACAGTGTCACCCCCAGTGGCACAGTCTATAGAGAACGGTTGCTCAGTCTCAAGCAAAATCACCCCAGCTTTTGCGAACGCACGAATCAACACTGCAGTCCACGGCTCTGTCAGTAAGGCTCCCTGGCTAACGGCGAAATGAAAGTCTGGAGATTGAGAAAATGTCGCGTTTTCCCGCGGGCACGAACACCGGGCAAGATTTGAAAGAGCCTGGCAGTTGGCCCTGCGAAAGCAAGCGACGGAATCAGTCGAAGCACGAAGCATTTGTTGTGATTCCAACCCGAAATCAGAATCGTCCACAAGCTCAATGAGGTCGGCCAAAAGCAGTGTAGCAAGATGCCAATGTCCTGTCAAACAGACATACCACGATTGAATACGAGGCGGCAACGTGTCATGGAATTGAACGCAATCTCGGATGAACGGAGCATAAAGCTTATCCCAATGGTCGCATACAGTGAGTGCGGCTTTGATGGAGCGTTCGACTTTCTCACCATGGCAGTTACGAGAAAGGAGGGTCTGAATTCGTGTGACTTTGCGGAAGAGAAGGACTTTTACTGGAGCTGCGTCGCAAAGAAGAGCAGCAGCCTCGTTGAATGAGCACGGCCATCGTACAAGGTTTTGATGCAGTCGAGACCGCTGGTGAGCAAAGAGGTGCAGGTCCCAGACGCCTTCAGTACTTCTCGGCACCACTGATCCCACATCTCGCGGTTGGTCTGCTACCGTCCTTGGCTCGATCGCGTAGACATTGCTATCTTCGTCTGACAGGACGAGTGGTCGTTTGTGCATCGCTGAGGACAGAGTGTCCAACATGACTCCAAGCCAGAACAGCAGGTCGATCGTAGCGCGGTCGGCAGCATCAACAGAATTGGCAGCCGGTTTGTATTGACGGCTACGTTTGTTGACTCGGGGCTTGAGTGCGGGTGAGCTGGCACACATCGTCATACGCGACCTGAGTGCGTGTATAAGTCGGACACCCTTCTCCAAGTGGACGGGGGCGTCTTCAGCCTCGATAGCGAGGTTGAGCTTTGACATCAGGTCCTCGCACTCTTCCATTTCAGTATCACCAACATATGAAGCCGGCTCTTCCGAGTCACTAGCCGTTGCAAGCTCGCTATCGGGATCATGCGGGCATTGCGTCAGCGAGAAAACTATTTGTGCGAGCACCAATCTGAACGACTCGATGTCTCCGGCATCTCGTAACGCCACACGCGCCTCCTTCCAAGCAGTGATCTGAAGTTTCCTGTCGAACTCGACGCCACTGCCCGATGAGTCGTTGGTCTCACCTGAGAAGACTCCCGGGTCAGGGCCATGATCGAAAGGATATTTGGCTCTGCTCCGTCCTGATGACTGGGCCCACTGCGTGGCAAACGAGAAGATCGCCGAATTGAGAGCTTTGCTGACGGTTTTGTCCTCTTGAAAGGTTAGCTGTCGCCCTCTGATAGAGGAGGCCAACCGGTCGAGTCGGAAGACGCGATGATACATGCGATTCCAATCAGGCCCGCCATCTTCTGCCAACGAGATATCTGCTTTTGCGCTGTAGGGGCAAGTCCGCTCGGTTAGCCAGCACGAGAGAGCATTTTCGAAGCTGTCGTGATATATCTTCAGCAGCCCTTCTTTCAGAAACGCTTTGTTTGCAGACGTCACAAACTCGGCTGCAAAGGATATCGCTGGACATGGAAGCGCACCATTTGAGAGCGACACCGACGGGCTTCGGCGCCTCCGTTTTCTGCTCGTGCGCATAACAGCGCCGTCCATCTTTGGTCCTGTCTCGCCGCCGCTCTCCACGTCGCCGTGAGTTGGGGGCTCTTTTTCTCCTTCTGTTACGTGTTCCATACTCTTACGCGGAGAGTCGAGAGATGAAACCGGCACAGAACTACCTGTTGACGGACTGGCATCACCGTCAAATACATCGCTGAATCTTTCAAGCCCAGTTCTTGCCGGAATGTTCAGCCAATCGTACCATAGGCTATGCTCAGGTGGATAGGCGGCCACCGAGGCCGGTTCCGTTTGAAGATCCGGAATACCCGGGAAGTCACCAAAATTAACCCCTAGCTGGACTGGGCTCACTGTATTCCCGCTCCCATCGCTGTCGGATTGACGTGAACTTTTTTCTTGTTGCGTCTGCCTCGATGATCCTTTGGTGTTGCGTGGGACCGCAGAACTACTTGTCCGGCGGCGTTTTGCCGGTGGGGCGTTACTTGGAGGAGGCTGTGTCGCCTGCAACACTCTCTGCGAGCGAAGCCATTCGAACGTACAACTCTTTTTCGTTTTCTCACAATTTCCGCACGCGGCTAGAGTTCCATAGACATCTGGACGGTCAATTGGGTGCCATGTCGCCCTCAGAGCGATTGCAGCTCACCACTGTAATGGAAGACACTCGGATGGTCTCCGGAGTTGCTTGCGTCCAGTAATGAATCTTCCAGTATTGCGGCATCGCATGCTCGCTTGCCTCTCCGACACTGGTCGCAGCACCGATTCTGTTTTCTATTCGTTTTCGACGGTTTCGGGGCATTCATCGCCGGAGGCGTGGGCGATGTCCATGCATAATCAAGGAACGACTTTGGCTGTACATCAACAAAATTCATAGTTTACACCGGACAAAACGTCGGAAATAGGAAAAGAAGAGAGAGCAGTGTACAGAAGGGCGAAAATAGCTTCCACGCCGCTGACACTTCCCGTGCACAACCCCGCGCGATCAGCTTGCAGGGTTAAGTCTTGGTGGCCAATGTCCTGATTGGGATTTGCGGGGAAAGCTAATGCGCCCCTAGGCACATCTTCCACGCATTCGACGGCTCTTCACGCGGTGATACGATGATGATTCGACACCGATTGGCCTCCTTGAGGTCGACCGTCAAGGCAGATTGGACTTCACATGCGGTCTTCACCAATTGTCCGTGCGCCTTATCTTCTCACTCCCGGGAACAGGTGGGTTCAAACCTTAAGCTCCGTATGCGGCCAGCAATCTTAAGCCATGGATTGACCAGGCTGATAACGCAGCTCGACACCGCCTGTCTGATGTTCTTCTTCGACGCCCTGGAGATGATAAGAAGAACACGCCACAATTAGCTATGAACAGTGCACAGTTCCGCCGATGTACACGCCGATTCGATAATACACAGGACGTCTGCCCATATGAGATCAAGCACCGAGAGCTTGATAAACTTGCCCTTCGACGTTGAACCACAAACCAAGCACCTTCGCATCTGCAAAAGGTAGGATCTGGGTGCACACGATGCCACCAACGCCCTTTTCTCGGTCAGCCCACCACCAGCAGTTTGGGAGTCCAGCCCAGAAACCAGTGCTCTTTGATCTTCCGGTTGGGCCTCCGTTCGATAGCATGAACGTCAGTCCCCAGCCCTGAGGCGGATTGCCTTCGACCGGGTAGATCTCAGGAACAGGGTTGGTGAGGTCGGGCTTAGCAGCTGCTATACCTTGACGAGCGAAATCGGGGAATTTTTCGATCTGATTAGTGAACATCGTGTCTACTGTGGACTTTTCCAGAAGTTTTGCACCGGTTGTGGGCGAGGTGCCATCGTTCAAGAGCGTGGCGATGATCTCTGTTCGTGGTCAGCGAGCTTGCTCCGAGGATACCGAACATCGGACGACTTACGCGCGTAGTCCGAAGGCTTTGCGAAACAGCCTGCTCCGCCACTGTTCAGGACGTCTTTAACATCTGAAGCCTCTACGACCAACGGCTTGCGCAGCAGGTGGTCGCGAGGGACAAGTGTACCATCTTTGTTGCGATGGTTCATGTGTGCAAGCTGCTTCTTCATTTCGGCAGTCGGAAACATCGAGATATTCTTCAGGCCCAGAGGCTCAAAGATGTTCTTGTGGCAGTAGTCGTTCAAAGACATACCTGTCACACGCTCGAGAGCAAGACCAGCATAGTCGATGTTGAGACCGTACTCCCAGCCTTCACCCGGCTGGAATACCAATGGCTGCAGAATGTCTTTGATGTGGCCAGAAAACTCATCGAATCCGATGGGATGAGAAAAGTCCCGGAGCTGTTCATTGAAGAATGTGTAACCAAAGCCAGCTGATTTGATCAGATACTGAACTGATTGAGCGGACAACTGCTCTCACATACCGGTGTGGCTAAGCAGCATGCGAAGCGTAATCTTCTTATTCTTCGGCACCAGCTTCCCATCCTTCTGCAGAACCCGCAGTTCCCTGAACTCCGGGATCAGCTGCTCGATCTCGTCTCCATCGTCGAGGTGCAGTTTCCCCTGCTCGACCAGCTGCATGCACGCCAGCCCCGCAATCATCTTCGTACACGACGCGATCCAAAACACGTTCTCCAGCGTCATGGGATCAGCCGCCCCGACGCCCCTCTGGCCAGCAGCGTGTGCGAACAGCTCTTTCCCATCTCTGCCCACGACCACGATGCTGGCGCCCGGGATATCAGATTTCGGGTCGGCGCAGGCCTCGTCCACGGCCGCTCTGAGGCTGTTGACGACCTCCTCGGATAGCGTCATTTCCACGGGATTTTAAAAATGAACAGACGTTCAAGGTGATCTTTAAATGGTTTGCTGTGCTTAATAGGGTGCTCAAGTGTACATCCCACGGCTTCACCACTGGCGGAACGCGTTCCGCCACCCGTGAGGGGTCCCCTGCCCGCGACCCCGCAGGATCCGGCCCCGCATGGAGAGAGCACGTTGCTCCGCACAGCCGGGGATGTCAGGGGGATGTCAGAGGAAAGGGCAGGCCAGCCGTGAGAGCACGAGCTTGCTCGCCAATAAAGGCAATTTGCTCTGGGCCCCGCACGACTCCAAGAAGTAGTTCAACTGCACCGAACCTGCTTTGCTCAATTGCCCCCTTTCGATGACAACGCAAGCACGTACTAGTGGTACATTGTAGACACCGAGACGCCAGAAATATGGCAACGACCTCCGCCACGTGCGCATTCCCGAGAAACCCTAAAAGCACACTACTGTACTATACATGCTTCCTAGTCTGACCTAACACGCAACAGCACGACGACACCCCGAGCAACCCTAGACTAGGTAGCCGACGTCAGACTGCTGTAGTGTGAACCCTATTCCCCACGTGCTGTACACAGTATGTACGAAGTACAGTACAGTTTGTGTACAGCCCTTGTGTACTGTACGGCCCAAAGCAACAGCCCGCTCAACGCCATGGCACTACGTACCTCAACACCGACGGGTTTGTAGTTGTAGGTATACTTATGCAATGCGATGCCACCTCGCGCCGGTACTGCATGTACGCCAGCATCACGCGATAGCAGAAAAGCCATATCGATGTCGAGATCGAGGTCGAGGTCGAGGAAATGCATCACCGGGCGGACACAGCAGCCATGTCCGGGCAGCTGAGGGAGCTCGGGGGGTTCGTGACACTATTTTTTTTTTGGCTGGACTGTTTAGCAAAGTATCTATGGTTCAGAGAAGTGGTGCCGTGGTGCTGCGTGAACTGAGGCTCGCTCGTCTCCTTCTGTTCGTAGTGTGCTGTGATGTAATCGTACCGTGATATGATCGCAGAGCTACTGCGATATGAGCGTAGGGATAAGCGGCAGCGTCAACATCACAGCTTGAACGGCACAGGCCTAGATACAGAGCATGTGGACAAGCGATATCGCTGCGATGAGGCAGAATACGCAAGGTGATAGTCGAGGCAGTGTGTGTGCGTGCAAGATACGATTCGGGCACGGCTGCGCCGTGCGTGCGTATACATACGTGCCTATCGCGTGGGATAGCGGCGTACTACAAGTCTCCAGCGGCATGTCTCCAGCGTGTCTGGCGTCCCCTATCCTTCGAACCCCTCCTTTCTCTCTGTCTCGCGGTGTCTCTCCCCACGGTCTGCTTTCGCGCCAGAGCTAGAATGCTGCTGCATTGCATCTCACCATCTCCCCCTTCGTTCCATCTCGCCATCTCGCCATCTCTCCCCCTGTGCACCAAAAACCACCAATCCACCCCAAGAACCCTCGATTCCCTCACGAAGCGAACAAACAAGCGCACCCGCCGCGAAAGAACAAGACAAGAACCCAAAACGCCAGGTAAATGATTTTTGCAGGGTTGTGGGCGCCAGACTCCGGGAAAAATCAATGGGTGTGCACCGCGGTGCTGGAGCACGCTGCTAAGCACGCTGTTGCTGCTGCTGCTACAGCCACAGCCAAGCTAGAGCAGCCCGCTGAGCGCGTCGCTAGAAAGCTGCCACGGCAGAAGTCAGGCTAGAGCACACCCCCCGGCAGCGGGGTCCCGCGGTTCTGGCTGTCCCAGCCAAAGCCGCTGTTCGGCGGGACTGCGCGCACATCGTTGCCGCCGACGGTGCTGACGTGGCCCTGCTCGGGCGCGGCGTGCTTGCGCAGCATGAACATGGGCTTGCGGCCCTCCTTGTCGAGCTGCTTGAACAGGATGAGCGGGCGCTCGTTGAGGCCCAGACAGCGCTCCTGGTCGCCGTGCACAATGTAGAGGGCGTACTGGCGCCAGTCGGCGGTGATGTTGTACTTCTTCAGGGCGACGGGCAGCACCTTGTGGCACGGGTCGTCGATGGAGACGCGGAAGGACTTGAAGATCTCGACCTGGGGGTTCGACGAGGGCGCCTGCTGCGAGCTGGACGAGGGCTGCATGGTGTTGGTGCTGGAGCCGCCGGACAGCGGCGGGTCGCGGTCACGGTCGTCGGGCGAGGGCGTCGGGGCGGCGCGGCCCATGGAGCGCGAGGTGGGCAGGCCCGGGGTGGCGCGCGGGTCGCGGCTGACGGCGACCTGGTCGGCGTAGGCCCAGCTCTGGGTGGCGTCGTGGTCCTGGTGGGTGCGCGGGATCTCGGGGCGGGTGTACTGGGTGCGGCCGACGTTGTAGGCGGGCGAGGTGGGCGAGGGCTGGGGGACGGCGCTGGGGGACATTTGCGGGCCGGGGCCGAGCGAGGCTGTGAGGTGTGAGGAGGCGGCGACGGCGGCGGCGGAGGGGTCCAGCGACGAGTGGTCGACGAGGGCGCGGTGCTCCTGGATGGTGGGGGACGGGTTCTTCGGGGCGGAGCCGAGGAACAGCTTCTTGGTGGAGAACTTACGGGACAGGCTGCTGCCGGTGCGCAGGTCGGCCGTCTGCGGCGGCGAGGCGACGTGGTCGTGCGGCGGCAGGGTGGGCAGGGTCTGCTGCTGCTCCTTGAGCATGCGCACCAGCGGCAGGACCTCCTCGCGCAGGCGCTTGTTCTCGTCGATGACGCGGGTCAGGTCCTCGCGCAGGTGGCGCAGCTCGGCCTCGGCGGTGTGGATGCGCTCGTCGCGGGCCTGCACGACGCGGATGACCTTGGCGAAGTCGTCCTGGGTCGGCGGGGCCTCGAGGGCGCTGGTGTCGGCGGCTGGGCGGGTTAGCGGGGGCAGAGGCGGGCGGGCGGCGGGGGGCGGGGCGTACACAGCGGCACGTAGTCGTCGGGCTCGACGGGCACGTTCTGCTTGACCTTGACGTCGTAGACGGCCTTGAGGATGGTCAGGCGGTGGCCGACGCTGGCGACGCCCATCTCCTTGAGCTCGGCGTGCTGCAGCGACACGAGCACGTCGCCGGCAATGCCCTCGTCTGGGGGGGTTAGCGGGTGTCAAGTAGGCGGCCCGCAACGCAGGCGGGCTGCACTTGTGGATAGTATGGAGTATTTACCGACAAACGTGTCGCAGTACTGCTCCAGCCCCAGGTCGCTCACGTAGTCGGCGACCTGCTCGGGGCTCCAGTCCATGATCAGGCCGCCCGGGCTGCTGCGGCTGTCCCTGCTGTGGGTGAAGGTGGTCGGCGTGTGCTCGGTGCTCAGCGGGCCCGAGCTGGTGGGCGAGCTCTCGTACTCGACGGGCGCCGCGTCGCGCTGCTGCCACGCCGAGCGCTCGAACTCGTCGTCGGCGTCCGAGTCCTCGTGGTACTTGGACATGTTGGTGTAGGCCATGCTGGCCGGGCCGCGCGGGCTGGGGCGCCGGGCGCTGGCCACGACCGCCGGGCGGGCTGCCGCTGCGCGCCGGGGGGCGGGCGCGCGTGTGCGAGGGCGCCGGTGGTGCTGCGCGTGGGCCCGTCGAGGGGCAGAGTCGCGGTGGGCGCAGGCCGGGCGGCGGGCGACGTGCGGGCGGCGGGCAGGCGGGCGCGGCGGCAGGCGTCAGCGCTCGAGGACACAATGGCCGGCGGCGGCTGCAGGCAGGGCGGACGTGGTCGAGGGCCGCGCGGGCGACGCTGCAGGGCGAGGGCGATGGCAGGGCGGCGGGCTCGGGGAGCTGGTGCTGGTGCTGGTGCGGCTGGCTGTCCTGGCTGTCCCTCCCGAAGCGCGGCCAGTGCCCTCTCCAAGCCCACCCATGCCAGCCCATGCCGGCAAGGCGGCTAGCAGAGCACCGATGCGGGAAAGTCCGAGCGCTGATGTTCATTGAGCCAATACCGCCGCCGCCCTGCTGTGCCCAATCCCGCCAACCTTGCTGCATGTGCCGCCGAATATACTGAAAACCGCGGCCCGTTGCACACAGCCTCGCCGCGCCTGCATTGCAGTGTCCGCCTGCATTGCTGCCTGCGCCTGCATTTCGCCAGACTCGCCCCCAGCGGCCGCCAGCACCATCACGGGACCCGCGCATCTGCATCCGCAAACGTCGCGCCCCAGCACCAGCGTTGCAGCCGCCCCTCGAAACCGGCGAACCGCTGCCCCCGACGCCGTGATCGCCCCAGCACGTGCTCCTGAACCAACCTGCACGCCCACCGTTCGCCCGCCCAAACCGTCGCTTGCCCGACTGCACCGACGTCCTGGCCGGCTGATCCCCCTGGCCCTGGCCCTGGCCTCCCCGCCGACCGCCGCGCGTCGAGACCGGCCCTTCACCACCGCACCACTGCGCGTACCTGCCAAGTGTTGGGATCGTCAGGTCTGAAGATCGGCAGTCTCGAAATCGGCAGTCTCAAGATCGTCAAGTCTCGAGATCCTTAAGTCTCAGCATCATCAAAACTCAACATCATCCAAACCCAACATCTTCGCATCCCACCACCCTCGCATCCCACCACCGTCAACCCTCACCACCACCCACCATGCCAACCCTCACACCCCCCCAAGCCGCCGCCCTCCCCGCCAACCTACGGAACAGCATCTACTCCTCCCTCCTCAGCTCCGGCTCGATCCGCACCATCGAATCCACTTTAACGCAACTGCTCCAATCCACGGGTTTCCAGGCCGCCCTGCGCGCCTACATCACCGACCTGTTCCGCACGGGCCAGGCGACGACGGCGAACGAGGCGTTTGGCCTGGCCATGGGGCGCGTGAGGGAGTGTATGGCTGAGGGCGCGGAGGGGGCGAATGGTGGGGAGAGGAACGGGAGTGGGGATGGGGAGGAGGGCGCGTTGAGGGTGCCGGATGAGGTTGTCAAGGAGGGGTGTAAGGTTGTGAGGAGAGAGCTGGAGAGGGTCGTTGTTATTGAGATGGATTAGGGGAGAAGGGGTGATTTTGATGTCTCTTCTTGATATCTGCATGAAACGACAGCGATGATACCACAGGCCAGCAATCACATGACAGGCCAGCAACAACAACACAACCATCACATAATCACAAAAAACTATTCGTAAACATACAATCATTCGGCATGCAGAGCATACCGCCTCGTCATGCGCCAATTAGAGCTCTATCTATTCCATGTGAATATGTGAGAGATGAATCCGCCAAGATGACCCTGTCTGTCATCCATAACACTCGTAACCCAAAATCCCTTAGTTGTACAGATCCTCGTCCTCGCCAGCGTTGCCAAACGTCTGCTCATCCGCAGCCTGCTCGCCATCGGGGAAGCGGAAGAAGCTCGAGCCGCCCGAGTTCTTCATCGACTGTGCAAACGCCTCGTAGCGGCGGATCTCAACATCTGTGACGGAGCGGCGGGCAGAGCGCATCGCCTCCTCGAAGTGGGCCTTGGTGAGCTCCGGCACCGAGTCCTCCTCCTCCAGCATGTCGACGTCCTCGCCGGCAGCAGCAGCCGCCTTGCGACGCTCAATGTCGGCAGCAATCGACTGCTTGATAGCGAGCTTGACAGCGCGCTGTGTGACAAAGCCAAGATCGGCACCGGAGAAGCCGTGTGTGTTGGAGGCGATGAAGTCGATGTTGATGTCCGACGCAACAGGGGTCTTGCGAAGCTGTGCCTTCAGGATGCTGACACGGGAAGCCTGGTCGGGCAGGGGAACGTAGACAAGGGTGTCGAGACGTCCAGGACGGCACAGCGCGTTGTCGAGCTGCTCCGGTCGGTTGGTGGCACCAATGACGAAGACGTTCTTCTTCGATGTCATGCCGTCCATCTCAGTAAGCAGCTGGTTGACCACACGGTCGGAAGCACCGCCAGCATCGCCCTGGGAACCACCACGAGACTTGGCAATCGAGTCGAGCTCGTCAAGGAAAACGACGCAGGGTGCGGCGGCGCGGGCCTTGTCGAAGATGTCACGGATGTTGCTCTCAGACTCACCGAACCACATGGAGAGCAGCTCGGGCCCCTTGACGGAGATGAAGTTGGCAGCGCACTCGTTGGCAACAGCCTTGGCGAGCAGCGTCTTACCAGTACCGGGAGGACCGTAGAACAGCACACCACGCGAAGGCGACATGCCGAACTTGAGGAACTTCTCGGGGTGGTCGACGGGGGTACTGTACGGACTCGATGAGCTCGCGCTTGACCTCCTCGAGACCACCAATATCCTCCCATCGGACGTTGGGGACCTCGACAACTGCGACCTCGCGGAGAGCGGAGGGGTTGGAGATGCCGAGAGCGAAGCGGAAGTTCTCCATCGTAACACCGAGAGAGTCGAGCACCTCGGCGTCGATTGTGTCCTCGTCCAAGTCAATCAGATCCATCTTCTCACGAATCTGCTGCATGGCAGCCTCGGAGCAGAGCGAGGCCAAATCGGAACCGACGTAGCCGTGAGTCTCGGCGGCAATAACCTGGAGGTCGACGTCGTCGCCGAGCTTCATGTTCTTGGTGTGGATCTGCATGATCTCAAGACGGCCAGTTGGGTCAGGGATGCCAATGTCGACCTCACGATCGAAGCGGCCGAAACGACGCAGCGCAGGGTCGATCGAGTTGGGACGGTTGGTGGCGGCCATGACGACGACGTTGGAGCGTGCCTTCATGCCGTCCATGAGGGTGAGCAGCTGCGAGACGACACGACGCTCGACCTCACCGTTGGTCTTGTCACGCTTGGGGGCGATCGAGTCGATCTCGTCGATGAAGATGATCGCGGGCGAGTTCTTCTCGGCCTCCTCGAAGGCCTTGCGCAGGTTGGACTCAGACTCTCCAGCCATCTTCGACATGATCTCGGGACCGTTGATCAGGAAGAAGAAAGCACCGGTCTCGTTGGCCACAGCGCGAGCCATGAGCGTCTTACCGGTACCCGGAGGACCGTACATGAGGATACCGCGGGGCGGCTTGATACCGATCGACTTGAAGAGCTGGGGATGCCTTAGCGGCAGCTCAACAAGCTCACGGATCTGTGCCATCTGCTTGCGGCAGCCGCCGATGTCGTCGTACCCGACCTCGTTGAGGTTGCCCTCCTCGTCCTCGCGCTGGATCGGCTCGCCCTCGCAGTGGATGACGGTATCTTGTGCAACGATACCGAACTCTGGGGGGTCGACCTCTACAACCTTGAACTCCACTTGTCGCATACCACCGCGGGCGGTGAATGTGTCGCCCTGTCGTACTGGCCGGTAGGCTTCGCGGAAGTATGGGGCGAGGAAAACGTCGAATAATGAGCCAGTGATGCCCTCGACTGTGTCTGCAATAGGAAGAACCGCGATGCGCTTGGCCTGGCGAGTAGTCAGTACTGAGCTCAGTAAGAGGCTGGAGTGAACACACATATTTGATGTCTGGGCATGGGTGGATGGTGATAACGTCACCGTGCTTGACGCGCAGGTTGTGGCGGACAACACGGTTTATCCGTGCTGAGCCATCATCGAGGTCGTCATCTGCCAGCACGATCAAGACTGTGTCCTTGCGCTTCTTGCCCTTGACAAGGACGGTGTCGCCACGGAAGAGCTGGAGTGTCTCCATGGTGTTGTTCGAGAGGGCAATAATTGAGTTGTCATCGTTGACGGCGTCGGTGACACTGCGAGGTCAGTCTGGGCACGCTGTGCGAGCTTGCAAGGGAGCGCTTACATGAGGGAGTTGGGCTTCTTCTTCTTCTTGAGGATGGCTGTTGCGATCTCATCGTCCTGTGGCGGGTCAGTATTAGTGATCTCAGTAGTGTGTTGAGTGGCACGTACGCCCTTGGGCTCAGCGCCGGAGGGGTCCCTGGTATTCTATTAGCAGCTGCTCTCACTCGAATATTTCGGTGGCAAGCAAACTCACTTGGACAGGTCCGGCTTGCGGGCGGGTTCAGCGGACATTGTGGTACTTTATGTAGATGTTTGCAGCGGTGGAATAGGTGTACTGGGCGAAAGGTGCTACCGGGAGCTGCTGCGCGGTAGAGTTGACGGGGGGTGTGTGGCGGGAGATGGGGGTGATGGGTGGAGTGCAGGCGGGCGTGGTAGTTTAAGTAGAAGCTCGGGTCAGGTCGGTGACGGTGAATAGCTCCAGGTTGCCTCAGCGCGTGTGGGTCCGCAGCCAAGCCATGTTAGCGCGCCTTCCCGCAACACCAAATGGAACCCTTTGGAAACCCGCGGTCGGCTTCACTAATCCAGTCACTGCATCATGGAAGCCAGCCGAGCCCGGAATCAACACCGTGTCCATTTGCTGCCTGCTGCTTGCCGAATGAAGCAAATCACTGAAGATGCTTATTCGTATCACTTTGACGCTGCTGTGGAGCTGGCGCTGTCGACGCGTTTGCTCCGGTGCCTCCTCGCCTCACAGCGCCACTGCTGCTCAGAACAGCCTAGCGTCAGCATCACTATCGGTTGCGGCTCTATGCAATTAGGATCAGCTTAACGCCGTTGGATGTACTGTGGTTTTCAGTGACAAGTCTGTGCCCAAGTATGGTTGGACACCGAAGATTCCACGAACAAATCAGATGTGAGTGTAGGGTTCGCAGGCGGAGATCCCAACTACGCGTCTTCCCTCTATACAGACCATGCCATGGCTGGAAGTACCCAACAACCTTCTTTTTTGTTTCATTTAGACGCTTTGAAATCAAGCAAAAGTGATTCCGAAATCTAATCTGAATATTTCAAGTTTGGTTCAGGTCTACAAACCTCTCCTCCCTGCTTCAAACTTCGAACTATCTCATCACACATCTATTGCCAAGTCTCTCACCTACCAACTAACAATTCTCGCGCCACCATGCTTCACAATCTCTCACCCCTCAGCTCGCGCTAGAGCCAAAACTGAATTTTGTTTTTCCACTCAGCATATTTGATGGATGGCGATGGGGAGGACGGTATTACGGTATGGACTCATGCATGAGGACGGCTATGCTTGAATTCGAATGCAATCTGGTGTATAGTGTACATAGTCGCATACACATACTGGCAAGCAAAGCGCTATCATTCAGACGTAGCTTCGTTCGAATACCGCGTCGCAGACACATATCACATCGCCAGTGATAATTATATGAAAGTCGTACTAGTATTGTCTGCGTACCAGACACCCGCCGGGCGCTATGTACCTAAAATTCCACCAAGCCAATCCCTGGCCCCAAACGCCATATTCCCAATACAACGCAATACCATGCGTGCTCACTTACGCCCGCGCCTAGCGACGTCCTCCAAGAAGCCCAGCAAAAAAGTCTTGTCGACGGGACTCTTCGCATCATTCGTCGCCGCGTCGCCCAACCGCGCAACCCCAGACAACTCCTGGGGCTGGACGCTGTGCACGCCCTGCGGGGGCTGTCCCGGCACCGACTCGCCGATGCTCGAGATGCGACTGCGCGCGAGATCGGTGGGTGTTCCGGTGCGGCTGCCCTGCTGCAGCGGGCTGACTGGGCTCGCGATGCCGGACATTGCTGTCTTCGGAGTGGGCGGGTTTGGTGTCCTATTGAACGAGAGTGGGCTGTGGGACTGCTGGATGGGTGCACGGTGGGAGAGCTGAGGAGAGGGCTTGTTGAAGAGACCGAGGAGAGCGGTGCGCTGGTCTGAGGCTGTGGACTCGCGGCGGTCGAAGGTGGCGGGCTGCGCGGCGAGGGTCGCCGGTGACGCAGTTGACGGCGCTCGAGGGGCCTGGGCGAGATGCGCATGTGGCTGTGGTGAGGGGCTCTTGAACAGGTTCAGCAGACTCTGCGTTTGTGCTGGAGGCGCATCGCCAGAGACAGGCTGCGCTGCGAGTTCTGGCTGAGCTGGTTGGACCTGAGGCGAAGCGCTCTTGAACATGGCAAGTAGGTTGTCGGCTTGGGCTGGTCGTGCAGCTCCCGTCTGAGGAGAAGGAGCTCCTGGCTGAGGAGAAGGGCTTTTGAACATGTCCAGTAAACTCTGCGCTTGGGCTGTGGGTGCTGGTGCAAAGGCAGAGCGCTCAGTTGCAGGCTGGGGCGAGGGGTTCTTGAACATGCTCAGTAGACTCTGAGCCTGTGCAGTAGGAGGAGGGAGTGGAGAACCCTGCTGGGGTCGCTTCAGAACGTGCGGCTGGAATGCCGGCGCAGGTGCTGTACGTATATCTCCATGCGTCTGCTGGGCGTGCTTGGAGGCAGCAATGACAGTTATGTCTGAACTGTTACTGGCAATTGGTGCCTGGCTTGCTGGAGATGCGCCTCGAGAGTGGCTATGAATCGAGGGCTGCTTGCGTTTCCGTACTGTGTCGAAGTCTGGTGCGTTGACAGGTCCACTGACAGTGGCTGAGGTGAGTCCAGGTTTGGGATCTTGTGTGAAAAGATCAAGCAGACTCTGGTTGGGAGCTTTGACTGGTTGCGCCTGCATAAAGCCTGGTGTCAACGGCTGCGCTGAAAGTTCGGCCGGCTCAGCAGATGCAGGAGACTTTGCCGGCGGGGTTGCACTGAACAGGGTGAGTAGTGAGTCTTGGTGGACAGTCCGCGGCTTTGGCTGTGGCTGACTAAGTGGAGGAGACTGGTACGTAGGCGGGCTGACCATATACGGAGGCGATACAAGCTCGTGCGGTGGATGCTGCGGATGCGGCTGCTGTAATCTGGGCGTGTTGTACTGAGTTTGCTGCAGCGAGGGTTGCGTCTGCGGCGGTGTTGGCTTCTCGTCGTCGATCTTGAAGGAGTTGAGCAGCCCAAGAGTGTGTGCGTTGAGCTTCGGTGTCGGTAGACCAGACGCGGCTGGGACTTCTGGCCCTCTCCCAGGGGCACCCGTAAACAAGCCATGTTGAGGTGGCGCTTGGCCAAATTCTTGCTGATGGAAGTGCTGGGCAGGCGGTGGAGGTTGCATGAACCGGGGTGGCAAGTGCAGCGGCATATCCTGAGGGTGCTGTCCTTGAAAATGGATGTTATGATGCGATGGGAATGGAAACGAGGGCGGAGGGCCCATTGGCAGCGGGCGGTTTTGGCCGTGCTGGGGACCATTTCGACCGTGCGGACTATCTGGAGGATACAGTGGGGTGTGCAAGATCTGATCGAATGGTGTCTGCGGTAATGTGTTTGAAGGACCTCCAAACGCGCTGTTTCCTTGCAGCATGGATAGCAGTGGAAGTTCCCGAGGCTGACCGCTTGGCACTTCCACTGGGGGCGAGGGTGCTGATAGGCCTCTACCTACGCTCAACAACTTCTTGAGCTCTGCCGCTGGATCTACAGGTTGCTGAGGCTGTCCTGCCAACTCTTGAGGCTGGCTCTGGCCCAGCCGCGCGACAAGATTGGCGAAGCTGTCATCGAGCGGCTGTGCGGGGCCCTGTGGCATGCTCTCGCCGTACGCTTCAGCTTGCAAGTCCTCGTCGTCTGTAATCGCCGGCGGCAATGGTACGTGTTGTCCAGACCGAGCTTTTTGCTTATCGAGCTTGTGCTGGAGCTTGATCCACGCCCTGAGCGGCCCAAGGAACGGCGCGACCATGTAGAAGCTGCTCTCTTTAATCTGGTCCTGGCCGGTGCCCTGCTGCTGTGCCTGGTTCTTCCGCCTCACGGTGGGCAGGTCCGTCAACTTGTACCAGTCGATCTTGGAGATCTCCTTCCTTGTCCTGGGCTCGAAGTACGTGTCCATGGGCACACCGCGGAAGACGTACAGCATCATACTCTGTTCGCGCATCGTCACGGTAATGCTCTTCATCTGCTCCTCGGGCAAGACCAGACCGGCCTCCTTCACGTCGTATCCTGTCTCTTCCCAGACCTCTCGTGCTGCACAGTCCAGGTCGTTCTCTTCCTTGTTGATCTTGCCGCGTGGGAAGCTCCACTTTGCACCCTTCTTCCAGCCCTTGACCAGCACGGCGTGAGTCATGTCCTGGTTCAGCATGATGGCGCCGCGGACGGGCACACGCGTCTTGTAGGCGAGGAATTGGTCGTAGGCCTGCTGGTGCAGCTCGGCCGAGTACGCCGAGAACAGCGGGCAGTGCTGGAACATGAGCTGCGAGAACTTGCGCAGGTGCATCGACGGCAGGCTGTGGGGGTCCAGCGGGCGGATGAAGTCTTCGTAGAACCATTGTGCTTCTTCAATCTGGAAGCAGATTCGTTCGACCGAGAGCAGCTCCTCCTGCGGTAGGTTTACGATAAATCGGACGCAGAGGTCGTCGAGCCAGTCAACGAGCGTCATCTTGGTGAGTGTGGTCATATTGGCCGGTGTCGCGCAGCATGCTCTGCGCAGCTGTCAGTCGCGCGGGGAAATCGGCGGGCAGACGCGTCGGGCTGCAGCGGGAAGGTCGCGGGTCGGCTGCAAGAGTTTGTGGATCGTCGTGCACTGCCGCACGGAAAGAATGTGGAAGAATGTGGTGCACGCGTGTGAGGGTTCTAGAAGCAGACGGTCGTTGGTTAACCACCAGCGACCAACGATGCAGCGTCGAGCTTGACGTGCAGTGGCTGTGCAACACCACAACACAACGCCACAGCTAGTCGATCGCTACCGAGCTGGCAGACGGGCTAGAAACACCATCACGTCACAGCCTGTCGCGCCTTTGGAATCAGGGCAGGCCAGCCAGCACACCGCCGAAGCCCACTTGCTTAAGAGCCTGTCGAGCCTGCCCTTGACCCGTTTGTAGCACCTCGCCTGATTGCCAGCTCATAGCCCTCATTGTCTGCGATCGCACTTGTCGACTATTCATAGGCAGCGACGCGCCCGTTTCAGAATTTCTGAGGGGAAAGCCGCCGTCCAACCAGCTCGCACCCGCCTTTGTGAGACAGCCGCCGCGCATCGCATTGTCAACGCATCGCCAAAGGCCCCAAAGAAATCCACGCCATATAAGGCGTTTCTGCACGTCTCCTCTGCGACTTTATCGACAGCCAAGAACCCCTTTCTCTGCAATCCCGCGCATTCCTCACCACTCCCATCAACACCACCGCAACCATGGCGCAACTCGTGGCAAAGTATGCGGCGAAGAAGATGCTCGCAGGCGAAATGAGCAAGTACGCCAACAAGGCCGCTGCTGGCCCATATGTAAGTCGGCTCCACTCCATTGCGCACCGCCGCAACCCCGCTGACCGCCAATCAGGACCCTTTCTACGAGGAGATTCCCCACCCCAGGAAGCCCGGCAAGACGAAGAAAGTCAAGAAGCAGATTCCCGCCTACATCCCCGAGCAGGAGGCCAACATCCTGGCCAAAGCCCGCAAAACTGCCTACAGACTCGATTTCGCCCTGTTCAGTTTCATGGGCATGCGCTTCGGCTGGTCGTCCGTGATTGGCCTGGTGCCTGCCATCGGTGACGCCGCAGATGCCCTGCTCGCACTCAACCTCATCATGCGAATGCGCAAGGTCTCATGCGGCCTGCCCAACGCCGTGCTGTTCATGATGATGTTCAACCTGGCGCTCGACTTCGTCGTCGGCCTCGTGCCGTTCATTGGCGATTTGGCCGATGCCGCCATCAAGTGCAACGGCAAGAACGTCCGCCTGCTGGAGGAGCACCTCGACAAGGTGTACATGCCCGACGAGCTGAAGTCTAAGAACTCGAAGCTGCCGAGGGAGAGCCGCCCGCGTCCTGCGTCTGTCTATATTGATGTTTCAGACGAAGAGGATGGCCGTCACGCTGCCTACGATGATCGCCACGACGATGTGCGCCAGCCTCAGCGCGCGTACTCTGGGCGTAGGGATAGAATTCCTGATGAGGAGATGGGCCGTGTTGACCGCCACGACACCCGGCGCAGCAAGCGATAGTGCTATTTCTTTTGTTTGTGTATATATTCCGATTGTATAGACAGTCATTCCCTTATCCTCATGCCACAGTACAGCCTTCAGCGCTTCTGGTTTGCCGGTTGGCCCCACAGATACCCATCGAGATTCCATTGTCATAGTTAATCATTGTAATACCACCTCATCATCATCATTTCTTGTATCTTTAATACTGTTTCAGGGCTATTCGTTTATAAGAAGTCTCCGTTTATATCCAAACCAACTCCAATCGACATGATTCCACGATAACGAGCCTGTGTTCCTACCGTATTTGGCAATCACAAGATCCCCCCCTCAAGATAACAGAAACATCAACGCCTTCTCCCATCGCAGCTCTGCCCTCGATATGAATTGCGTTGTTTCTTTTATTATAGACAGGGGGCATAGAGAAGTTTGAGGGCCTCTAGGGTTAATTGTGGCTCTCGCTGTACAAGGGTCTATGTACGTGACAGAATGGCCCGAGGGTGATGTGTATTAGTGACAAGGCATTAATGCCGACTACTCCCGCAAACTTAGGGATGCCACCAGCCCACCACCACATTTCCTGAGGTTCTCCTCACTCTGGCTCACTCCATGATTGATCAGCGTGATAACGTTCGGACAGACGAGGTTACTTACTGATCGTCATGAGCCTCCAAGCGGTGTCCATGACGATCACCCACACGGAAGCCCAGAAGCCGTCGGTATACCGCTCGACTGACAGTGATAGACTTTCCAGCGTTCCAGCTGGTACATTAGTTGCAACGATACAGCTCTACGGCTGGCAAATGCTGTGCGAAATCACCGACTTACATTAAATCAAGGTTCAGCACTGCGGCTTGTAGGACGTACAAGCCTGGTGGAAGATTTAGAACATTGGCTAGGGCAAGGTACATATCATCAGTCAGTGCAAGATACAGCTATATCAGCCAGTAAGACACAGCTCAATTGATTAGTGCGAATTTCAGCTCATCGACCGGGGTAAAATTCAGCTCATAGGCTGGTACATGATTGATCGAAACATAGATCGAGTCTGCCTTTCCAAGCTATGACGATATCAGGATGCAGTTTGACCGGGTCAGAGAGAGAAAGGTCTTGAACTGCAGTTGGCTGCTGGCAAGTTTGACGACGATGCCAAACAAGCCAGGTCGCGAGATGTACTCAGACTCAACTCAGCGCTGAGCATTGTACCGCTTCGTGGTCTGTCAACAAAGGGACTGCAGATCTCTCCGTGACCGCCAGCCAGCATATGCAGCATTCATGAGTGCACTTTAATGAGTTTCCATATATTACCTGATTCCCTTATAATTATCACGCTCACGGTGAGGCGTGGATCTTGAAAAGGTGTACGGTATCGCAGATGAGGAGAACGTTGACTCTCAATTGAAATGACACACATATTCAGTTCAAAGCAGTGATGAATACAGTATAGGCAACACTCGGAATACTGCAAGTAAAGACTGGTGCTGGTGAAGTCTAGGGTGTCGTTCCTGACTTGGCAATTTAGCGTCGGAGCCTCATCGCACGCGCCCTTTGGACCCACATCGCGCTCCACCAAGCAACCGTAGGGGACGAGCTCCAACATGGCCGGCATCATTCCCATACACTCCCACTATTACACCCGCGAAACTCCTCGATCACCGCCAGCGCGCCCGCCACAAGGCGCACCTGTCACACCCCTTGCGCATACACCCCACATACAGCAGCAATCGCACCACAACACACAAGCACGAAGCGCAACGATGAGCGGGACACCAACCCAGGGTACCGGCCTGCGGTACCCTTCGAACAAGAAGAGCATTTACGACCGCAACCTGAATAGGAGCAAGAATGCGGAGCTTAGCAGGGCGGCCTTTGCGTACCTGTTCATCGAGATGATTGCATACGCGCAAAGAGGGGTCTCGAACGTGGGGGATCTGGAGCAAAAGTATGTGCATTTTGGCTTGCAGAGATGCAGATGTGTCCGTGAATTCGCTAACGACGTGAACAGACTCAACACACAAGGTTATCCAATCGGTCTGCGACTCCTCGACCTCCTGCTATCTCGTTCCTCCAATCCACTCGCAAGCATACGACCGACCCGAATCCTCCCACTCCTCCAGTTCATCGCGCAGACATTATATCGGCACCTTTTCGGGCGGCCCGCAGATGCGTTGGAGAAGTCGAGTACAGAACCCGGGCAATACATGCTTTTCGACAACGAACCCATGGTCAATCAATACATATCGCTGCCGAGAGAGCTTAGCAGTCTGAATTGCGCGGCCTTTGTAGCCGGCGTGATAGAAGGAGTATGCGATGGCGCAGGATTCCCGACAGAGGGAGTCACAGCGCATAGCGTAGGCGAACAGGACCAGGCAAAAGACGCGAAGGCGATGTGGCCAGACAAGACAGTGTTCCTGATCAAGTTCAAGCCAGAGGTGCTGGAGAGAGAGGAGATACTTGGAAGAGGCGGCGGCTAAAGCGTATGTTCGACGTGGAATTGTTCCACCGAGAGCGCTACGGGTGCATACACGTCTACAAGCATAGCGAGGCGTTATCATGCAAGACTATTTTATTCGCATCTGCAATGCACCAAACCACTTTTTGTGCGTGCAGTTTCGTAAAACCTAGCCAGATCTCTTTCTTTCCAGCTCACCATGACCTCATAGACTTCAGGAGCTACTACAACCCAGCGAACGCTTGCAAATCTGGACTTCGCGGTGGGAGATGGCTCACCTGAGGCAGCATGATCTATTCACGGCACAACGGGCTGATCAAAGCTAGAGCGCCTGCAGGTACCCAATAGTCTGTATGCGTGTGATTGGCCAGCGATCCAGCCAACCCATCCTGCCTCTACATTTTATCATGCAGCTTGTCATGGGACTCTTGATATACCTTCGACGGATCATTTCTTCCTCGGCTCCGGCCAGCAATATTGTGGCGCTTGTGCTCCGATGCAGCCGTGCCATGCACTACATGCGCATCTGCTCTGTTGCTTCCCTCAACGATTCATCTTGGAAAGCGTAAGCATGAACTAGACGCCTGCGGTACTTACTGCATGCAAGTTCAGCTCCGCTATGTTTTGTGGCGTTAGTCCATCAAGGAGGCACAAAATCCGTGACGAGTTGAGACATGCACATATAACCAACGTCATGGGTCGTCCTAATCACATCTCCCTGACCTGAGCCTCCCGTAACACCAATCATCATGCCCAAGTTCGCTCTCTTTCTCACTCTCTTTGCAGCTGTGGTGCAGTCAAGTCCAACGCCAGACGTCATTGAACAAAGCTATGCTAAAGGCAAGCTGCCTGAAGAGCTCTGCAAAAAGGTTCACGTCGTCGTCAAAGCACTCAAGGCCCACAAGGCCATATCTTTCTGCTCCTCCTATCTAAGTATCCCTGCGGTAACATCTACTTCTGCAGTGTATGTCCTACTCAAGCTTCCAGTGGCGACAAAACTCATGAAGTCTTAGTACAGCAACCAGTGTAATCACCGTCGAAGTGACTGCGACCACCACTGCACCTACGAGTGTCACCACAACCACTTCAGTAGTGTACGTATATTAGATGCTCGAAAAAAAAATCCACTGACCGCCAATTGAAGAACAGTGCCTGGCACGACTTCGTACGTGTTCCAACCTGGCAACTCACCAGCTCCTGGTACGCACAGACGAGATCGTCTTATACCAGAACGCAAAGAACAACCTGAAAAGCCCGACTATCTCAACGTGTTTGGCAATGACATTATCTCGGCTGGCTGTGGATGCTTGGACATCCCAATAAAGACCATCGTGGTTAGTGAAACAGCAACGGCGACGTCTACTGCTACTGTAAGCCATACCCCGTTCAGGTCTGTACGAAGTACTTTAACACTTTTGAAGATCACGGAAACGATAGCATCAACCCCTCTTGCTACATCTACGACTACAAGCACAGAAACAAGCTCTGATAGGATAATCACACTGTACCGTGAGTCTTTCTTAGGCCATAAGCACTGTACCAGCTGACCTCTTACAGCATGTGCAACACCACTCCCTACACTCATTTCGACTCTCCCGTATGGAGATGCTGTCTCATCAAACGACCTTGGTATCCAGAATACGCGGTTTGACCTCAACGATGCCAGAGGTGCGAGTGCCGAAGCTTGCTGTAACACATGCTATTTTGGTATACCCAATTGCATCCAAGCTTTCTTCTACTCGTATCAAGGCTGCGTAGTGCAACAAGCTTTCAACCAGGGCAGTGGTGTGGGAGTGTCAGTCTCGTGTCCCAGTGGTCTGTTTTCCGGATTGACATACACGCTGGACACGAGTCCTGCTTTCAGGAGTACGGGCGACTTTGCCGGGCCTTGCGGCGTTCAATATAATAATTTCTAAAGTCGCTTGCCATGTATAAGTTCGAGGAAATGGTAGAGGGAGAAGTGGGGCAACGTTGGATGACAAATGCTGATTGGCCGAGACTGAACTTTTGCTCAGCTCGGAGAATCTTCTACAACATCACGCAATTTTCCTCGGAGTACAACAAAACCAAAGTATTCACTCCTAAATCATATACACGGAACAGCTCAACATAAATACTCGCTCATAAAGGTCACCACTTCATACCGACATCCTCATCCAGAAAGCTACTACCACTAGAGGTTGAACGTACAGTCAAAAGTCAGACAACATGCCGACAGAAGTGACACAATCTTTGCACTTCCGCACCCTCCTGTCAGGTCACACCTACTTGATCGCGGACTTCTATGCAACATGGTGTCCACCCTGCAAGCAAATCGCGCCCATCTACAATCAGCTCAGCACCACGCACTCTGCGCCTGGCAAATTCGCATTCGTCAAAGTTAATGTCGACGAAGCAAGAGAGATTTCAGCGCAGTACGGCATTCAGGCTATGCCAACATTTCTGCTATTCAAGGACGGCAAGCAGATCGAAGAGATCAAGGGCGCAGATCCGAGAAAACTAACCAGCGCGATTGAGAGCGCAAGCGCAGACTTGAAGAGGAGTGGTGGTGCGGCACCAAAGGCGCAGGAGGAGAAGAAATCCGTGACAGAGGACAAGCCTGCTGAGAAGAAAGCGAGCAACGATGATGGGCTGAGCATGCTGGAGAGGCTTATGCAGAAGAACAAGAAGTAGAAAGCGTCCGCGAAGATCAGAGCTAGAACCTGTTATTGATACCCATTGCAAACGAATTATACATTTCCATTTATCTCGATATTATGATATGCATGTAAAGCTGTATTTGGATGCATGGTCGTCCCTCGCATGTGCCAGCCCGAAACCTTGAACCCTGGACAGATCGCAACCCAAGAGAGTACATGAAGGCAGCATCTTGACTTGCACTCTGAGCAGCTTAGCGACCTAGGATCAAGGCTGCCTTTTCGTATTGACTGGGTACTTGCTTCGTTCCACGTTGGATTTGTCAGTGAAACAGCTCTTGAAAGAGGCCACGTCTGCCAAGGATTCCGCCACCTGCGGCTATCTCGAAACAGCTTCCTTTCAATCCCAACCTTCGATATATCTCAGACCTCACTTGCAATTGAGGACTGCAGTACTCCATCATCATGCTTTTCAACCGTATTCTCCCAGCGGTCGTCGCGCTGCTCCCCGCTATTGCCTCCGCGTCCGCGCCCGCGTCGTCCGTTATCGACCTCACACCCAAGAACTTCGATGAAGTTGTCTTGAAGTCGGGCAAGCCTGCCCTTGTCGAGTTCTTCGCCCCGTGGTGCGGTCACTGCAAGAACCTTGCCCCTGTCTACGAGGAGCTTGCCACCGGTTTCCAGCACGCCGCTGGCAAGGTCTCGGTCGCAAAGGTCGATGCGGATGAGCACAAGTCCCTAGGCAAGCGCTTCGGCGTCACTGGGTTCCCCACACTGAAGTGGTTCGATGGAAAGAGCGATAAGCCCGAGGACTACAAGGGCGGCCGTGACATCGAGAGCTTGACCAAGTTCATTACCGAGAAGACCGCTGTCAAGCCCAAGGTCAAGGGCAAGCTTCCTAGCGCTGTCACATTCCTCGACGACCAGAGCTTCAAGCAGAAGGTTGGAAAGGACCAGGATGTTCTCGTTGCTTTCACCGCTCCCTGGTGCGGACGTACGTTCAGCCATTTGTCTTCGTTAACAACATGTTTACTAATCGTCTCTAGACTGCAAGACCCTCGCCCCCATCTGGGAGGCTCTCGCCACCACCTTCGTCAACGAGCCCAATGTCCTGATCGCCAAGGTTGATGCCGAAGCCGAGAACGCAAAGGCTCTTGCTAAGGAGCAGGGGGTCTCCTCATACCCCACAATTAAGTTCTTCAAGAAGGGCTCCCTTGAGCCCACTCCTTACGAGGGTGGCCGTTCCGAGGAAGCTTTCGTCTCATACCTCAACAAGAACTCCGGTACCCACCGCGCTGTTGGCGGTGGTCTCGATGCCACCGGTGGCACTATCGAGGCTTTTGACACTGTGATCGAGAAGTTCAAGAGCGCTTACGGCGATGGTGTCGAGGAGGCCACAGCTCTTGCAGCTACCTTGAAGGACAAGTACGCCCAGTACTACGTCAAGGTCTTCCAGAAGGCCGGCGCCAACAAGGAGTACGCTCAGAAGGAGTCCAAGCGCCTGCAGGGCTTGATCAGCAAGGGCAACCTTGCCCCGGAGAAGCTCGATGACTTGATTAGCAGGAGCAACATCCTGCAGAAGTTCTTGGGCACTGATGACAAGAGCGAGTTGTAGGGAAACAGCTGTAAATTGGTCACAACGGGGCCAAGATCAATGTGTGCCAAACAGGAGCGAGATGTACTCCACAAGAGCAAGATGTGCTCCAAACAAGAGCGAGTTATAGCGACGACGTTCCTTGAGACTGGATCTGTAATGAACGTAGGAGACTCTTGGCTCACACATGACACGATAATGATTGAGCGTAAAGATATAGGATTATGATATCAATACAAAAGCATTCTGTACAACTCCAAACGCCTGTCCATGCTGTGTGTCCATGCTGTGAAATAATGTGAAGATGCGTCTCACGATCCACCAGCATTGCCGCCCGACCTCAGGCAGAAGCTGACGTAGTACTGGACAGTCATATTCCTCCAGACTGACCATCCTGACGCAACACCACCACCTATATCCTCCGGCTCAGAGACGAAGGACTTCGCCGCGCCGTGGACCTTTGCGGGACTGCAGGTACAGGAGACGTGTACGCCAGCGATGCCTACTTGCTAGCGCCCGACCCCTTGCCATCTCCTGCCTGGATCTGCGCCTCCAGATTATCCAGTCGACGGGACATGTCATCCACTTCGCGAAGAATAAGAACTCGAGTACACAATGCACGCAAATGAATAACTTACTCTTGGACAGCAGATCGCTGCTGATGGTAGTGAACTTCGTATTCAGCTGGTTCAGCAAATCGTCGACGACAGCCGCGAGCTCAGCCGAGCTGTCGGTACTGGTGTTGAAACCTGGTGACTGGGGCGTGTCAGTGGAGCCCAGGAGGTGAACATGTGTAAGCGTACCAATGCCTCGTTGGGCGTGGATGGCTGTTTTTGAGGGGAAGCCATTATGTTGCTATGGTTGGGTCGCTGCAAGCAGGGCGATTTGTCTCAGTTGTTGAGTATCTGCCGTCAGGAAGACCGTAACGAGGCTGCTAGCATCAACCAATACGAGGCAGGTGTACGAGTGAAGGTAGGCCCGCACGTGGACGGCGGGCCGCGGCTTCTTTCCTTATCGATAGGCGGTGAGGAACAGGGAAGGCGCTAATGGTTTTCTGCGCCAAGAGTTCGATAATTTTGGGCATCTTCGGAGCTTGGACATTTGAACTCGCAACAAACCCGCGAATCGAAAGCTGCCGCCACAGATTCAGACGAAATGGCCAAAGCAAGTCTCAAGAAGATCCTGGACGCCAGGCAGGGGCGCAACATCCCCCTCGAGAAGCAGCGCAAGCAAGAAAAGGCTGCCGACAAGCGCAAGGCGAAGAATGCGCCAGAGGTAGATGATGAGGAGGCTGGGGGTGTGCCGCTGGATGAGGTCGAGGTCAAGGTCAATGGAAAGGCAAAGGACTCTAAGAACTCGAAGAAGGCGACCAAGGCAACCAAGGCAGTTGAGAAGGAAGCAGAGTGGGAGACCGAGGGCAGCGAGAACGAGGACGACAGCGATGACGACGACGACGACATGGAGGAGCGCCCAGCTTTCGACCTATCGCGCCTGGAGGACAGCGAGAGCGACGTCAGTGGCGATGAGGAGGTGGATGATGATGACGACGAGGAGGACGAGGAGGACGAGGAGGCAGAAGACATCCCGCTGTCCGACATCGAGTCCCTGGCCTCGGAGGACAAGGGTGATATCATTCCCCACCAGCGCCTCACGATCAACAACACTGCCGCTCTTACTGCTGCCTTGAAGCGCATTGAGCTCCCATACTCGAAGCTCGCCTTCTCAGAGTACCAGTCCGTTACCACGTCCGAGCCCGTCGAGATCGCCGACATCGATGATGACCTAAACCGCGAGCTCGCATTCTACAAGCAGTGTCTATCGTCCGTCAAGGATGCACGAGGCAGGCTGAAGAAGGAAGGTGCTGCCTTTTCGCGACCAGCAGACTACTTTGCTGAGATGGTCAAGAGCGACGAGCACATGGGCAAGATCAAGCAGAAGCTGATCGACGAGGCTGCTGGCAAGAAGGCGTCTGCTGAGGCACGTAAGCAGAGAGATCTGAAGAAGTTCGGAAAGCAGGTTCAGGTCGCGAAGATGCAGGAGCGCGCAAAGGAGAAGAGGGATACCATCGAGCAGATTAACGTGCTGAAGAGGAGTAAGTTGCATATCCCTCGCTCGCAAAGAACCCCAATCTAATACCAAGCAGAACGTCAGGGCGCAGACATTACCAAGACCAATGAGGAGGACCTCTTCGATATTGGCCTTGAAGCCGACGATTCCAAGCCCGATCGCCGTGAGGCACGTGCCGGTGGAAACAAGCGCCACAAGAAGGATGAGAAGTTCGGATTTGGCGGCAAGAAGCGACACGCCAAGAGCAACACTGCTGAGTCTACCAACGATGCACGCGGTTATTCGTCGAGAAAGATGAAGGGCAAGCCTACTGGCGCAAAGGCAAGGCCTGGCAAGGCGAGGAGAGCAAACAAGCACTAGACGGACGATGTTGTAGGATGAAGACGTGAGAGCATGCACATGGCGCTATGGCGTTCTTTGAAGAGATAAAAGTATAGGCACACCTAACTGCACGATGGGAGGCCGTTAGAGTTATTTCATGATAACAATACGTACGGTCATGTACCATCCATGATTCTCCATGTTGACGTACAGGACCTCTGCAGGGCTCGATTCTGTTTCGAAGCCAATTACTTTCCTGTTCATCGTGGAGCACCGCCTATCCACTAATCTGTCTCGAGTTCGATTTCACCTTGCTCACTCCTCCACATCACCTCAAAATCGCCATCCTACCCCAGCGCCCTCCGCATCCGCGCTCTCCCTCGCCTTCCTCATCGTCTCATCCTCATAGTGCACCTTGACCTCCCACCTCTTCGCAACCCCCATCGCAAGCAGCACTCCCCCACCATCATCATTGCCCCAATCCTCGATCTTCCTCACCGAACCCTCCCCTCCAGTCATGAAATCCATCGCAGCCCCCGCCGCAGCCTTCGCGTCCTTGCGATCCACAAAGCTGCCGACAAGCGTGCTCGTCGCCGCCACACCCTTCGCAACACCGAGCTTCATCTTCGCGCCGATCCCGGAGAACGTGTGGATCAGCGGACCGTGGCGCGTGACAGTGTACACGGGCGCTGGCAGCACCTCCCGAACCCTCGCGTTTGCCTCGCGCAGCACCTCGAGCACTGTGTAGGTGTCGCGCTGGCCCTCGATGACGAACGTCGTGAAGCCCTGGGTCGCGAAATCGGGGTTGAGTTGACTTGTGCCCCATACGTCGGCCGCGGAGTACTCCAGCGCTTCGAGCTTGTCAAGTGCGGAAGGGCTGTCAGATGCGAGCTCTGTGATTTTGGGGAGTAGGGATGAGAAGTTAGTCACTGGGCCGTGGATCTCGTATGAGTCGGTGTGCGGCGTGATGACGGCAAGGTAGAGAACTGAGGTGGGAGAGAGGACGAGTGGGCGGAAATCGTCAACTGGCTTTGTGTATTTGTAGGGTTGATCGTTGCTGGAGGAGGGGGGAGAGCCGTGGAAGAAGACATCGCTGTTGTCCATGGTGGAGCTGTGCCTTATTGAATTGAAATGTGGTGCTCGAGGTGGAGAAGTAAAAGAGAGAAATAAAAGACCGGTTGTACTTAAGTAAGAGGGCCTGTTGCCTTGAACTAAGGTGCAAACGGCCGTACTTTCACTTCGAATCGCGGTGATAGAGCGTCTTTAGAGTTTCGTCTTTAGAGTTTCGTGGATGACCTTGGCTACATCTCCTAAGCCTTATCATAGACTGGAGTAATAACAAACAATATCTGGCACTGCTCTAATCAGCCAGCAATCATGTAACGCAAAAGTCGAGCTATCAAGTGTGAGCTTGTTGTTGTGCATCGCGTTTGTGCTGTGAGGTTGAATCACCATTTCCTCAGAGCGTGAAGTGTATGAGATTGATGTGCTTTCATTATTTCATGTTCTCGTATGATCTAAATCTACTCCGTGTAGTTCTCGTTCTTAAGAACGAACCTGAACCTTGGCTTGCCAGCTTCAAAGTCAACAACCGCCTGGTTAGCCTCCTTCAGGGGGTAAACCTGTGTCCAGGGCTTGATGTTCTTCTCCGCAACAAGGTTCAGCATCTCAACGATCTCGGAAGGAGAACCGATGGCTGAACCAGTGATGTGGATAGCCTTCTGGATGAGCGCAAAGGCTGGGAAAGCGGGCAGCGGGTCCTCAGGTGCACCGACCTGGACGAAGGTGCCGCGGAAACTGAGGAGGTTGAGGTAACCGGCCAAAGGCATCTTGTCGGAAGAAACGGTGGAGACGATCAGGTCAAGGGAACCACTGTTCTTGCCCTGGTCCCAGCCCTCATCACCGGTAGCGATGAAGTTATCAGCACCAAGTGCTTTGGCGTCCTCCTCCTTGGAATGCGTGCGTGAGATGACAGTCACGCTCTTTGCGCCGAGTGCCTTTGCGAATAGGACACCGAAGTGACCAAGCCCTCCGAGACCAAGGATACCAACGTTCTTGCCCTTCGCATTGTATGTCTTCAGTGGGCTGTAAGCGGTGATTCCACCGCACATGATGGGCGCGGCGTGCTCGCTGGAGATCCCCTCAGGAATCTTGAATACGAAGTGGCCGGGCGTCCGGTTGTAGTTTGCGTATCCACCATAGGTCTTGTCATTTGTGCCGGGGAAAAAGGCGCCGTATGTAGGGGCCATACCGTTGCTGCAATGGTTCTCAAGGCCGTCAGAGCATTGTTGGCAGTCAGGTTTCAGGCAGGATGCTGCTTGCGCGCCAACACCGACGCGATCGCCCTCCTTGATGTGCTTGACATTCTTTCCAACCTTGACAGCCTTGCCAATGATCTCGTGGCCGACAACGCAAGGGTACGGGGTGGGGTACCAGCCGGAGCGGAGAGTGTGGATGTCTGAACCGCAGACACCGCAGTGAGAAATCTTGATATCGACGTCGTCATCGGTGAACGTCTTTGGTGTGTACTCCTCCCACTTCATGTTGCCCTCAGCAGACTTGGAGTCGTGGCCGCACCATCCTTCAAATTTGTAGTCGGTCATCGTGCTGGTGTGGTATGTTGTTGTGAATTTTTGGGAAGAGATGATGGGATGCAGCGGTGTAGTTTGAACTCGTGCCACATTCAGGCGCGCATGGCTCTCTTATATGTACTGTGTTTCCTGGCGTCACGTACCTCCGTCCGTTTTGACCGATAAATATCGGGCTCCATACTTGTCCATGACGCGCTATCATGTCTAGGCTCATTAACGACGGCATTGTGGAACTACACTTAGCCATGGGTATAGCCTAGTGGGGCTAGACCGCCCCGAGTGCAAAAAGTATCCGGTTGACGAACGGATTTAGTGTAGGTCCGTGTCATCAACGAAGAAGGAGGCTCAACGAGTCAACGCAGGAGATACAGGATGACCATGCACTGACTTTATACTTCGCGTATCTCCATCTAGGTACTCTTCGTCTGAATGTAAGACTTTGGGTACTCATTGTAGCGTCGGGATCGATTACGTCGTTATCAACGCACTAACGTATGAAAGCAGTCGAACGCCGAGTCCAGAGGGGAGTCGGCCATGCTTCGGTCTGCGGGTGCATCTCCTGAATGTCGGTAAGAGGTACTGGGTTCAGTGGGCTGTAATGTGTACAATTGGGGCTCAACCGCAGAGCATTGCTGTAGAATGCGCCACAAGATTTCCAGGCACTCCGGAGATACCGGATTTAGGGCCAATCAAGGCTGCTTCGCAACCTGAGGCATCCTGAGCCTTGCACTGAGTAGGCACTTGTGAGTCTCGGATCTCAGTCTTTCTAGCCCCACTTGATATGTGAAGTACCATGCCAACAGCTTTGAGCGTGAGATCATTACATGGATTTAGGGGTTAACGTACGTCATTGGTGTACAAGAGCCCCGCCTCAACGCTAATGCATGTCGATGACCCGACGTATAGCCGGTGCATCTCCTACCTTGGTATTGATGGTGGTTCGCCGGATGTGTACTCAAGCGCACCAAATAGGTATTAAAGAGTTATGTTGTACTGTTGCCATGCTCGATTGGTTCGATCTCGAGGTACCGTGCAATTGAGCACTCTGATCCGTGTCGAATGGCGCTCAGAGTTGTTAGCCTTAGGACTTCACGCTGCCCCACGATGTCAGCCGGTTGCAGTACGTTCTCAACATGCCGTACGGAGTTTGGAGTTTGGAGTTTGGAGTTTAGAGTTTGTAGATCAAGAATCGGAGGCATACAAGAGGGCCGTTCCCCTCTGCTCTACTCGATTAAACCCACGCACCCTTTCTTCGATTTGCACACACTCAAACCACCAACATGGTCAAGACATTCCAGTTCCAAGACCGTACAGTCAACTACCCAGGCTTTGGTGCCATGGGCCTCAGCTTTGGTCTGGGAACCAACCTCACACCGGAGCAGGCCGAGCCCATTCTCCTCAGGGCCATTGAGCTGGGTTGCACCTTCTGGGACACTGCAGTAGTCTACGCAGCTGGCATCAATGAGAAGCTGCTTGGCGATTTCATCAGGAAGCACAATGTCCGTGACAAAGTCTTCCTCGCCTCGAAATGCGGTTTGCAGTGCTTCGACGGCAAATCAGGCGTCACGAACTCCGCTAGCCACATCAAGGAGTACATTGAAGGCACAATTGAGCGACTCGGCTTCACGCCCGACCTGTACTACCTACACCGTATCGACCCTAACACGCCACTCTCAGAGTCCATCCCGGCGCTTGATGAGATTCGCAAGGCGGGCAAAACAAAGTACATCGGTCTGTCTGAGTGCTCAGCAGCGACTCTGCGCAAGGCCCACGCGATCGCCAAGATCGACGCTGTGCAAGCCGAATACTCTGCCTTTGAGACACTGCATGAAACTGACGGTCTTATCGATGCGGCAAAAGAACTCGGCGTTGCGTATGTTGCTTACAGCCCTCTGGGCCACGGGTGGCTGGTCGACAACTTCGACTACGCCTCGCCTGACGATTTTGCCCCAGACGACTTTCGCCGGACTGTGCCGAAGTTTCAGGGCGAGAACTTCTACAAGAACAAGGCCATCGTCGAGGAGATCAAGGCTTTGGCGCAAAAGAAGGGCTGCACAACACCGCAGATTGCGCTAGCTTGGGTAGCAGCGCAAGGTATGATGGCAATTCCAGGAACAACCAAGAAGACCAGACTAGAAGAGAACTGGGCGAGTCGCGACGTAGAATTGACAGAGGACGAGAAGAAGGAGATGAGGAGGATTGTGGACGCAGCAAAGCCCACCGGGAACAGGTACTCGGAGATGCATCAGACTATGGTTGGGCATTAAGCACTGTAATTATTGCATAGTGTAATGATGAGACGAATACACTATGATGATGACGGCAAAGGAAGAAATGGTCCACGTGACGACTTCGGCGCGCCCGGCGATACGTGATGTCAGGTTGGGCGCAGCTGAAAACTCGAAGATATGAAGAAGGCCAGCGAGGCGGTGACAAGCAAGGGCCTGGTGGTCAGAGACGATGAGCTGTCACTGCGTTGAGCCCATGACCATCTGCAAAGGTCGTTCCCGCACCCGCGCGGCAGCGAAAGTGGGGCGTTTGCCATGGCAACGCAGCTATCAGCGGTTGTTTATCTCGATTTCAGCTCAGCCAGCGCTCTCCCGCACGGCCATTCCTAGACAGGGCCAACGCGCAATTTCACGGCCCATTCAGCCCAAAATAATCTCCTTCTCCGCATTTCCAACTCTTAGCTGCATGCGCCTTCGAGTCCCCTTGCTGTGTGCGACTCACCCTTCAACCTTATCTCCAAGTGACGGCTACCGACTGCATCACCAGCCTGCCAGAACATACGGCGCGATCCAGCCAAGCACCCGATCCCGCTTCGCGACACAGTACACTACATTCCAAGATGGAGGCGCTGCTTTCACTGTCCTTTGACAACATCGCGTCAAAGGACACAGCCAAGATTCGCAAAGGGCTGCGCCAGATCGAGGGCATGCTCGCGCACATCTGCCTCGACGGCAGCAAAACAAAGCCGGCCAGAGACGGACATCGACGGAATCAATCGGCGGTTACTGCCAGCGAGCAAGAGGAGCCAAAGAAGCTTGGAGAGCTGTCCGACGACCCTGCGTTTCGAGAGTTCTTCAGACTACAGGATGGATTTGAGTGGAATGGTGCGCATTATCTGCGAAACAATACAACAGACTCGCGCTGACCATACGACAGTCACCACCCGTGTCGCAGATTGCCTGGAACGAATACTCGGCATGGGCAGCAGTAAGAGTAATACCTTCAACCTGACCACGTGTAACTTGGCTAACAACATCCAGATGGCCAGAACGACTTGCTCATCCTGGCATCGCTGGCGAATCTCCAAGGCCTACTTCTCCTGCATCCACCGTCGCGCATCCTCTTCGGTCGCGAAGTATACATGAACCTCCTCCTCGATCTTCTCGACCCGTACAACTGCCCAGCTATTCAATCACAGTCGATTCTCGTCCTCGTCACAGCTCTGCTCGCCACACCGCAGAACACCCGCGTATTCGAACAGATGGACGGCCTGCTTACCATCACCAGTCTGCAGAGCGACGAGGAGACAACACAGAACGTCAAGCTCACAGTATTAGAGTTCTTGTACTTCTATCTACTGCCAGAGGCACCGCCGCCGTCGAGGAAGCTTGCCGGCGCATTTGAGAGAGAGAGACGAGGGAGTACGGACAGCTCGAAAAGTATTGCAAACAAGAACACACGGTCGCAAGAAGAGAAGCAGCGCATGCTGGGCAAATACATCGCCAACGTCGACTGCTTGTTCGAGGATTTGCAAGACTCAGACCCCTTCGCCAGTGTAAGGGTATGAAGACTGTTCATTGGTCGCCATTTCATTTGTACATCTACTTATCCTGTCCTCACTTCTTGTTACTAATTGCTGGTCAACCGCCGCAATCTCGTCCTTTCTTTAGATCCAGCAAGCAAGGCGTTGGAGGGGCGCTCAGCGAGAACATACCGAGCACTATACATCTCCTAGCACATCATCGTGCATTGTTATTTTCGGCGGAAGCGTTTCCACAGCATCAGCATACTTGGGGGCGCATACTCACACGCAAAATTTCTTTTGTAATATAACAGGGAGCTAGCACTACCCGTCTCCATTCTTCGGCTAGGATGCCACAGCTCTGTTTTGAGCGCGAAATTGAATCTTGTTTATGCATCTTGGACATTGGTCGCAGAATTGACAACACACGCGACCCTGCAAGGGTGAGCATGCGACGGTGATGTGATGTCGGAGCAATCGGCACAGCGATTGGCCGGCTACTCGGGAGTAAGGTTCTGAAAGTGGAATGTAGACGTCAAGGTCATGGTGACATCTTCTATCCGAAATTCTTGACAGGGCGGCTGGCTAATCGGCACTCAAACATTGGCAAATTGTCGGACAAAGAAAAGGAAACAAATCAGGAAGATGCTAACGAGAGGCATCAGGATAAAGATTCGATCCGCTGTCAGCATAAGCTCTGGCAGCCAATGTGACGTCCCAACGTCGGATACACAGACCCTGCAGCCCTATCGTACAGCCGTATCCATTCTCTTCACAAGCGAGATGCGACGTTGACTGCCAAATACAGCAGGCGCTTGGAGATCCGTCAGAAACAACGTGATTCGTACAACTGGCACACGAGCCTGTACGACAGCGACAAGTCGGCTTGCGATTAGAATGCCAACCCGGATGACCGCGTTCTCAAACCTCCGACAAAGCGTAGTTTGCAAATCAACGGATGTAATCCTCTACTAGCGCCGGCAGCGACTGGAAGCCAGACTCGTTCGGGCGTAGCGTTTAGCGTTGACTGATGTCGCGTGCCCTGTGCTGAGCGTAGATTCTGACAGCTAAACCGCAGCTGAATACGGCCAATGGCGAGTAGGCGCCGTCTTTGTTCACAAACCTGCTTCAGGTGACAGGAGCGCCTTGGGCAAAGTTGCGTGCAAGAAGAGCGTGAAAACTTTTGGCAGTGACAGTGTGACACCATGTTGGAATGTATGATGACCTCGCCTGAAAAGGTAGGCAGTCTCGCGCCTATCGGATCTCGGCTGCTTCGCGTTCCAGCACACCGATATACGCGGTGCAGCTTCGTCCGGGTAGTCATGACAAGACCGACTAGCACTTGCCTTGTCTTGGTACTATTATCAAGCTTTTGGTCCGCCAGCGTCCGCTGACTTCAAGATGTTGCCGAAGTCCTGTCATTTTCTTGCTAGTCTCGCTGTTGAATACTTTACTTTCTTCTGACACTTTCCTCCGTTGCAACTTTCCTCGACATCTCGCTAGTGTTTCTTCACACCGGATTGTGTACGTCAGATACCGCTAAGAGCTCGACAACAGAAGAGGCGCGGATAACTAGCCTTCCTGGCTACTTCGTATTGCCTACAACTACGAATTAGGCTGCATTCCTAGCACTTTGCCAACGCCACCATGGGCATCGGCGCGGTCGCGGAACCGCTAGTTGTAGTGACCTTGCTCTTCGGAGGTACATGGGTTAATCGCAACAAAGAATACAAGCTGTTTGGCCGTGGGAGAGACCACGCTTCCTCACCACGATCATCTTCACCAGACTCCGAGTCAGGACGTTCCTCACATTCAACCGACTCACTCCTGGCCGGCGTGGACGAGGTTCCAAAATGGCGAACACGAGAGCTAAAAATCTTCGGTTACCGGACTGAAGTCACCTCGCCAAATTCGCGAAGGTTCAAGGACTACTTCCTCAGCCGACTGCTAAGGAAATTCCCGTTTCTCGTAGAAGCATGGTACTGGGCTCTGATCTACTGGGTATGCTTCTTCGTCCCATGTACACTCTCCGCACTGACGCTCACAATCTCAGGTCTACCAACTTGGCCGCGCCTTCAGCGCCGTAACAATGGTTGAAGGCACAGTCAATGTTGCGCGTCGTCACGCTCTGCAAGTGATTCACCTCGAGCAACGCCTCAACATCTTCCACGAACTCGACATCCAGAAGTGGTTTCTTCAACACCCCCTACTTCTCCACTGGACAAACCGGACATACAGCTTCATCCACATCCCTGGCACCATCCTCTTCCTCGTTTTCCTCTTCTTCTACACAACCATGCAAAACCGCATCGATCTACCATCCCACCACCAACGCAACCACAAATCCTCAAGCCCAATCCGCCAACCCTACAGCAGCATCGCCGGACCCAAACTCTACGAAGCGCGCCGCCGCACAATGGCAACCTGCAACCTCATCGCCTTCATCGTCTTCACACTGTGGCCCTGCATGCCACCCCGTCTCCTCTCCGACCTGAACGTGCCCGGCGACATCGGCAAAGAAGCGCGCAGCTACGGCTTCGTCGACACCGTGCACGGCGCCGAAGGCGAAAGCTCCGTGTGGACGCAGAACAAGTTCTGCAACCAGTACGCCGCCATGCCGTCGCTGCACTTCGGCTACAGCCTGCTCGTCGGCCTGACGATTGTGTTTCTGCCGCTCGCGCCACAGCACCAGCGCGGCAGCGTGCTGAGCGTGCGCACGCCGTTCGCAGGGAAGACGATGAGGTTGAGGCTGCCGAGTGTACGCCGGCTGGCGTGTCTGGCGGTTGGTGTGGCGTATCCGGCGATCATCCTCGTTGCTATTGTGGCGACGGCGAATCACTTCATCTTGGATGCGGTGGCGGGCGCGATGGTGTGCGGGCTCGCGTGGAACGGTAATCGAGTGTTGCTGAATTTGCTGCCGCTGGAAGACTACTTCTTGTGGTGTGTTAGGATCGACAAGCCGGAGAGGCGGGCGGTATTGTTCGAGGATGATGATGACGAGAGGGTGGTGAAGAAGGGTGTTGTTATTCGATGAAGCGATGCGGTAATGATGAGAGCCAGAGTAATGATCAGCGGCGGTAGTGGAGGGAGGACGTAATGCGACTTGCGGAAGCAAGACTGACGGCTGCACGATACCCTATGAGCTCTTTATGTTTTCGTATTTATGTAAGCTTGGAAACGGCAATTGGTTTTACTATGTTCATGAATACCATCACCCTGTATGCATATGTGGTAGTGACGCAAATCAAATACGAACTTTAAATGAGCCAGGGATGTTCAACTGTTCAGTTTATCATAGCAAACAGAAGGGACGAATCCGGAAGTCATCAAATTCTACTAAATCATGGCCTGTATCCCAAACTAGATATCTAGCCTACATCTGTCCATGCCACTCTCTCCACCACTCATACACAGCAATGCCTCCCGCCGTCTGCACATTCAAGCTCCGCGTGACACCCACCGTCCTGATCTCCACACAGCGGTCGATAACGCTCAGCACCTCAGGCGTAATACCGCTCTTCTCAGCCCCGAGCACAAGCACGCAGCGTCTGGGAAGCGTGCCGATATCCTTTGCTCCCTCAGCGTCTTCGTCACCTAGTATACCACTGCGGTCTGTCTGCTCAATGCCAACCACTTCGTAACCCTTCCTTTTCATGCTCGTGATGTAGTTTGGCACATTCGCTTCTCTCAGTTCCTTGATGGGAAGATGCTTCTCAGACGTCACGCTGGTAGCTTTGAAGTCTTTGTGGGTCGTCTTCTTGATGTCGTTGATGTAGAGCGTTTCCAGACCGAAAGACTCGGAGATACGCGAGAGACCGCCTAGGTTGGTGGGATTGTCGATGAGCGAGGCGACCAAGATCACGGAAGCTGGCTGCTTGTCTTGTAGGTGAGGTGCACCCGCAGCTGGAAGAAGCGAGTTGAAGTCGAAACCAGACTTGGTCTGGAAGAAATTGGACTTGACACCGTCTTCATCCAGGACATATTCTACTGGCCTGGGGTTGACAGGAATATCAACTTGAGCCCTGGGGGTGCCTAAGTTGATGCGTGCTGAATGCACGACTGTATCGTTGCTGGCCTTGGAGAGGGATATGAAGTCTTCATGAGCAACGCGCATCGGCTCGGGAGCCTCAAGGTACAAATATTGGCCCTGGAAAATCTCAGTGAGTGTGAAATCAGCAACAGCATCAATTCTGAGTGTCCTGATAGACCATGCTGGAGCCTTGAACTTTTCGGTTTGGCGAATATGCGTGTTCAGGACCGCGAAGCCGGGGTTTGAAGTGATGTTTGTCCAGCCCTTCTGCTCCGCGAGCTCGAAGATCATCGGAAAAGAGAGATGGGCTTCATGCCTGACGTGCACTTTTTGGCTGGCCGAGAAAGGAATAAGCTGGATCACGAGGTTCAGCGCAAATTCTTCCGAGTCCAGGAAGGGCGCCGTGAGAACTGCCAGCCTCATCAGAGAGGCTATGTGGTTTGGACTGGTCTCATCGAGATGAGCGAGGTCTTTCGGGATGCGGCCGGCTCTGCTCGGATACTGGAAATAAATACGGGTAATGATCCATTCGAGGACGAAGCGGTAGCGCGGCCATTGTTCCACAGTAAGGGCATGCATGAATTTGTCAAGGTATGCGTCCGCGTCAGCCTCTGAGACACAGTGTTCAACGAGTACAAGCATAGCTTGCAGTTGGAACACGTCCTTCCATTTGGCGATAACAGGTACAGAACCTCTCTGGCCGGCCCATGGCTCGAGTATTTGATCGAAAATGCGTTTTGCGACGTGCTTCTGCTCTTCTGGAAAACGGTTCAGGAAGTTGATCCAGGAGGCGTACGCGTGCCACTCGCGCTGCCCATAGTACGAAGCGTAGCTGCGGTGGGGTATGTAGTGTTGAAGTTTGGCTGCAGCAATCACCTCGAACTGGAACTCCACCTTTGCGGCTGGAGGATGGTTCACAAACCGAAGTATAACCTCTTCGTAGGGAAGAGCCTCGATTATAGATGGATGTGACAAAGCAGCTTCGCACAAGGAGGTCGCGAAACTCGCAAGGAGATACGACCTTCCCTCGGAAAGTTGTCGCAAGGTTGTTACCACCTTTGTTAAAAGGGCATGCATGTCGTTTCTTGAGGCGTCTCCCGAAGCATTCGTATATCCTCGCAGGCAAACCTTGATGCAGGTTGGATGGAATAGCAACGTTGGCAGATGCACGGCAACAGACCTGGTGAACTCTCGGCGGTCGGCTTCTTCCCACATGGCATCCAGAGCAGTGTAGAGCTCATCCGAATCAATCGAGGAGAGCTCCGCCTTGTTCAGGTACGCTACAAGCTGATTGCATGCAGTAGCGTAAGCAGTGCCCTGGATGTATGTATGTTTGGTGTCTTGCAGTATCTGTAAGAAACTTGAGAGAGACGTCAACTTTCCATCTGACGCTGCTGCGACTCGCAGTTCGGACACACTATCAGGTCTGCTGAGCTCTTCCACTCTGGCAGGTAGTGCGATATATCCGGGGACCGAGTCCAAGTTTAGAGAGGGGTCAGCATATTCACACAGACGCCTGCAGTACACTTTGCACAAGTCGCTTGCAATCTCTGGGAGGCCAGTGATTCTCGAGACACGCAGCAGGACGCCTATTGTTCGCTCTGTGAGCTGTGTCGACCCTGGTACATTAACGTCAGTAATCAGTCCATTCGGTCGCCACAAAGCAGACAAGCGAGAGTTGATTCGATGCTCTGGATGACTCTGGTTTTGCGTGACTTACCCCCTTCTTGAGCAGCTTCGTCGAAGCCTCTGATCAGCCCTTCCATCAGATAAAGGGGCGACATTTGGAACATTCTGCCTCCCGCATCAAGGACGAAGTTCAATACCGAAACAAGCAGCTCTTCACGGTACGCAGAATCTGAAAACACCGACCCAGCGAAGCGAGCCATGAGTTGAGCTAGCGCGGCGCCGTGAACGCACTTGGTGTTGGCGCGGGTGGCCTTTAGTGTGGAAGCAAACAGACTGCCCTGAGTGGCCCATGGCAGGAAGCCCTTGATGAGAAAGCTGGTATGTTCCTTCAAGGACTCTTGGTCCTTCGCAAGAGGATCTTCACTGCCGCTTACGAAGCCAAAGTACCAATTCCCGACGATCTTGCGGGTGCTCTCTTGGACTTGAGGATCTAGTCCCGAGGAAAGTAATGTGGTTGCCATGGAGGCAGTGACGACCGAGTGACCGAAGAGTGCTGACAGCTCGGAAAGGCAAGCTTCGATCTGATTTGCATAGCGGTCGAGTACAATCGTCTCATAGAGAATGAGGTAACGATCGTAAGCCTTGATGTAGATGTCTCGTTTGTCAACTTGAAGACGCATAGTGGGCGTGTTGATGTCTCTTCGTGCAGCCAGCAAAGAAGCCCGAACTATTCCAAGACAGTATTTGCGCTGATCAGCGAATCCAGTGAGCAGTCCCACCCTTATTCTAGCCCAGTATAGGTCCTCATATACGCCTTCTGGATCGAAGCCTTCTGTGGCTGCCTGAGAGATCCATTGGAACCAGACCTTGAACAAGTTGCTCGACTTGTTCTCGAATTGTGCTGGAGGGAGAAGTTTGAAACAATTCCATAGAGAATCATTGACAACTGGCTGGGACAGAACAAACTGCCCAGATGCAGTGTCCAATTCTGTCCATGGCGCTTCAGTCCCAGGGCTAGCGACGTGGATTGGTGTTTGACGACGAAGACTTGAAAGGGACAGGAGAGCCGACGCTGCGTCAAGTGCAGCTTCGGTCAAGCCCTCGGTTCCGACGAAAGACAGTAGTAGCCCGAGCAGATGAGGGCTAAGGACATGTAAGCTGTCTGGCGGCAACCAGAATGAGCATTTGAGGAATGTTATGAATGCCGCTGTCCGTCGTGTGTGCTCCTCTACAGACACGTTCGACTCCGTATGTTCAGATCCTTTCGGGATATCTGCGATGGCGTGCTCTAGATTCTCATTTATTGTCGCGAAGAGCAAGACAGCGAACGATGCGTTTTTGGTGCATGCTTCGGCGAGCTGGTAAAGGTGCTCCTGGTCCTGCCTTTCGTCCAAGAGCCGACGTAACAGAAGATCTCTAAGCTTCTCGTGGGGCTCGCTAGATTGGCCGGGCTTGACTTGAGGCAAGAGTCGCACGCAAAGCCTCAATGCATTGAGCTGCAAGTGTGTCGTCGAAGCCTCTAGCTTTGCCCAGTTGAGCTCGAATGCTTTGAGCTTCAGCTCGTCACTCATATACAAGATGGTGTCGTCCATGTCCAAAATCGCAGCAGGATATGCTAGTTAGATAAGCGAATGCATTCCGAGGTCATGTTCGAGGCATGGTGCGAAGCGTCAGTCTAATTTTGCATCGACAGCTCGACGTTGCCATGTGGGAAATTTTCTGCCCAGCAGCTCGCGGAATGCGAGCTCGCCCAGGAAAGAGGTTCTCACGACCCTGCATCGTGGCGACTTCACATCCGACAGCACTGCGCATCAAGAGTTTCATCCCCAACCGCCGGCACTGCGTCCTCTCTGCAGTCGTGTCGGGCTCTGATTGATGGTGCGGGCGCCAAGCAGTGACGTCGCTTATCTGCTCCACAGCAACGGGACGCGCCCGCAGTGTTTACGTTTTGCTGGTTCGGGGTAGAGCTGGGCCGTGCGGGCCCCATCGCTGCTGCCGGTGGAGCGCCCATGCACCTGCTTTATATCGCCCGGGCGCAGCAGTCACTGGGCGAACTTTACCTACTGTTGGACGACATACTGGACCGCCGAATGTATTCCAGCTTCCACAACACGACCGCTTCGGCGCCCTCGATGCGCGCGCCTGTCGCGGACATGTACGCGACCATGGCCCCGCCCGCGCAAGATGACCCCGGCAATATCAAGGTGGTGGTGCGATGCAGGACCTTTCTGAAGCGAGGCGCGTCTTGTCGGTATAGACTTTGCTGTATTCTAGACTAATGCGCCGCAGAGACGGATAAGGGCACCAAATGCCTGATTCGCATGGACCCAGCGACTGAGAAGACGACATTGCTTGCTCCCGAGATCGGACCAGAAGATCAGCGCAGATCGCTCGTCGAAGACAAAGAGTTCACGTTCGACCGCTCCTTCTGGTCGCATGATGTAGACGACCCACACTATGCCACGCAGGAGGATGTTTACAAGTCCTTCGGCGAAGAGTTTCTCGACCACAACTTCGGCGGCTACCACACATGCATCTTCGCATACGGCCAGACGGGCTCGGGCAAGAGTTACACCATGATGGGCACGGATGACAACCCTGGTCTAATCCGTCGCACCTGCGAAGAGCTGTTTGATCGCATCCAGCACGAGCCGAAGCCAGACACAACCTACCACGTCCAAGTCTCGTACTTCGAAGTGTACAACGAACACGTCCGCGATCTACTTGTGGCCTCTACTATCCCGCCCGTCTACCTCAAGATCCGCGAAAGCCCAAAGGACGGTGTTTACGTTCAGGGACTGCGAGAGGAGGAAGTCAAGAACTATGCAGAGATTGCTGAGCATCTGCGCAAGGGTGACAACGTACGTGTGGTTGCTTCCACACAGCGTGCAGTGCTAACAGACCTGTACAGAGCCGGACGGTGGCAGCTACCAAGATGAACGACACATCGTCCCGCTCACATGCGGTGTTCACGATTCGTCTAAAGCAGATCACTCACTCCATCACGTCCGACGAGACGATTGAACGCACAGCCCGCATGCGCCTTGTCGATTTAGCTGGATCGGAGCGCGCCAAGTCTACACAAGCCACCGGCCAGCAGCTGAAGGAGGGTGGTCAGATCAACAAGTCGCTCAGTACGCTGGGCCGTGTCATCAATGCGCTTGCAGCTCGTGGACAGGAAACCAAGAGCAGGAAGCCGCGACAGATTATCCCATATCGTGACTCCGTCCTGACATGGCTGTTGAGGGACTCGCTTGGAGGCAACTCCAAGACCGCCATGGTCGCATGTATTGCACCATCCGATTACGAGGAGACGCTGTCTACACTGCGTTACGCAGACCAGGCCAAGCGCATCCGTACGCGCGCCTCTGTTAACCAAGACTGCATGTCTGCCGCACAACGCGACGCCCAGATCGCCGAGATGTCAGAGCAGATCCGTAGCCTGCAGATCAGCGTCAACGCAGCCAGTTTACGCAAGAGGGAAGAGGCGACAGAACTGGAAGAGTACCAGCGGCAGGTGTCGATGATGCACAGGCTGATGGAGGAGAACCGCCAGGTGTCGGCCGCGAAGATCAAGGCTCTCACATCCGAAGTGGAAGAGCTCCGCCCGATCAACGTCCAACTTCATGCCGAGATTGATAGCCTGCGCCGCCATCTGGCTCTTGCTGTGGGAGAGCTCAAGAACCCCATCGTGCTGCCTCCACCAAGGTCCATTGGCACGCCAGACTTTGAACGTGACGACTGGATGGAGGGCGACGCAAGAGATGCATCTGATGCAGAGGACAGCGAAAATGACTCGGACTCTGGCTTCGATGAAGGCGACCAGCAGGACGAACTGGCGCAGGAGCTGCATGACGAGGCTCAGGCTTTCTTGAACGATCTTGGAATGTTCCGCAAGAAGGTCGGTACTGACGTAGACCGATTCGATGTTCGAGAGGCCCTCGCGCACGCCATTGGGTACGACCAAGGTGGACGTTAAGATTGAAGGGAGATGGACTGAGCCTGGGCTGGGAACTGGCTACGATTACATGCAGCGATGGCGTTGGAGGTTGGATAGTTTTAACAGGTACGTAGTTATGTAGCTTCAACAATAGAGATACCCCATTATTTTAGATTATAATTGTCAGACATGCAGGTACCGGCAGGATGGTGTGGCTGATGTGCAAGCTTGAGCACAGACGGCGGCTGACCTCACTCCCGGTCGCGTCTCCACGACGCTCAGCAGCGCAGACGGCCATGATAAGCAGGTGACCATGTCGAAGCCAACCGCCAACTGGGAGAAGGTCGGCGACAAGTTCTACCGCAAGATCCAGCTGTACACGGCTGTCTTCGATCAGGACCTTGAGCTCGAGAACTACAACGTGGTGGGGGCTCCGTACAGCGGTGCAGTAGGTAGGTACGCAACAATGCGCCCGGGCATCCAGCACAGGCATTTTCTGACTCTCCACAGCCATCTATCGCGATGAAGACAAGCTGCACACGTACAGAGGGCCCGGCCCTGCTCGGTCAAGCATCGACGTGTACAGCTGCGCCGGCAAGCTCATTCGGAGCATCAACGTACGCTGGCGCATCCAACCCGCAGACGCATAGTGACTGACGTCTGCACAGTGGGACAAAGGCACGATCAAAGGCCTTGGATGGTCAGAGGACGAGAAGCTGCTTGTTGTGACCGAGGACGGCACGGTGCGCTGCTACTACGATCTGCAGGGCGACTTCGCACCCTTCACGCTGGGCCATGTACGCGCTGCCATCTTTCTCCTCTTGCACAAACTCACAGTCACAGGACTCGGACCAACACGGCGTCGTCTCCTGTCGCTTCTACAACACGGGCTTTGTCGCGCTGCTTGGCAACAACCACCTCATCTCCGTCGCCTCGTACGCCGAACCGCGCCCCAAGCTGCTTGCCATACCACCCACCGAGCCCGTCGTGTCCTGGAGCATCATACCGCCCGCGTACTCGCTGTCGCGCTCGGTCGAGGTCATCCTTGCCATTGGCAGCACCCTGTATGTCGTCGATGCAACCGAGGCCGAGGACCGCAACTTCGACGCCGGCCCCTTCAGACACATCAGCGTCAGCCCGCGCGGCGAGTTCCTCGCTTTCTACACAGACGATGGAAAGGTCTGGGTCGTGAGTGGCGATTGGAGCGAGAAGCTCAGCGAGTATGACAGCCGCGTCAAGACAGTACCCAAGGATATGCAATGGTGTGGCTCTAACGCTGTTGCGCTGGCCTGGGAAGACGAGGTGCATTTGATTGGCCCGAAAAGCGCTGCTACCAAGTTCTACTACGACACATGGGTGCATCTGTTGCCAGACGTTGATGGCATACGGCTGCTCACCAACGACGTTTGCGAGTTTATCCAGAAGGTGCCTGATGAGACAGTTGAGGTGTTTCGTCTGGGGTCTGACTCGCCAGCTGCGAACTTGCTCGAAGCGTCGTCGCTGCTGGAGCAGAAGAGCCCTAAGGCGGACGACCTGATCCAGCTGATCCGGCCGAATCTGGCTGATGCGGTGGATGCTTGTATCAAAGCCGCCGCGCACGAATACAACATCCACTGGCAAAAGTCGCTCCTGAAGGCGGCCTCATACGGGAAGTCGGTTTTGGATCTCTACTCGTCGGATGACTTCGTTGACACCTGCGACACCCTTCGAGTCCTGAATGCTGTGCGGTTCTACGAGGTCGGTCTACCTATAAGCTATGATCAGTACCGGCGGATGACACCTGAAAAACTCGTTGAGCGCCTCACCAACCGCAATGAATACCTCCTTGCCCTGCGTGTGGCCGACTACTTGCAGCTCCCAGTGAGCCACATCTACGGTCATTGGGCTCAGCAGAAGGTCCGCGTGTCGACTGATCCTGAAGAAGAGATCTGCGAAATCATCGTCAAGAAGCTTGCCGGCAAACCCGGTGTCTCTTTCGAAGAGATCGCCCGCGCCGCCTACGACGAAGGCCGCATTAGACTTGCAACCTCGCTCCTGGACCACGAGCCCCGCGCGGGCAAGCAAGTCCCACTTCTCCTCAGCATGAAAGAAGACACCATCGCACTAGACAAAGCCATCGAGTCCGGCGACACAGACCTCATCTTCCACGTGCTGCTGCACCTGCGCAAGAAACTGCCCCTCGCATCCTTCTTCCGCGTCATAAACTCCCGCCCCGTCGCCACCGCCCTCGTCGAGTCCTCCGCACGCGACCAAGACACCGACCTCCTGAAAGACCTCTACTACCAAGACGACCGACGCCTCGACGGCTCCGCGCTCCTCCTCTCCGCGGCCCTCACCCAGCCCTCCCTCCCCCAGTCCCTCGACAAACTCAAACTCGCCTCCAAGTACCTCGCCGACTCCCGCGACGCCCCCGCTGTCTTCACACGCTCCTCCATCGACGACGCTCAGAAGCTGCTGCATATGCAGACGCAGTTCGAGAAGGACCTGGCCCACACCCGCGACATCCCGAACCAGCCCAGCCCGGGCGCGGACCTCGTCGGCTTGTCTGCCAACGACACCGTGTTCAATCTCATCAAGCTCGGCCACACCAAGCGCGCGCAGAAAGTGGTCAACGAGTTCAAGATCCCCGAGAAAACGTTCACCTGGATCCGGCTGCGTGCCCTCGTCGCGGCGCGGCTGTGGGTCGAGATCGAGGAGTGGGCAAAGCACAAGAAGAGCCCGATTGGGTGGGAGCCGTTCTTCAATGAGGTGCTGGCGGCCGGGAATGCGCGTGTCGCGTCGGTGTTTGTGCCCAAGTGCACGAGCCTGACTGTCGGAGAGCGCGTGGATATGTGGGTCAAGTGCGGATTGCTGGTGAAGGCAGGAGAGGAGGCGCACAAGGTGAAGGATAGGGAGATGCTGCTGAGTCTGAGGGATAAGGCGAGTGGGAGTGCGGCCGTGGAGATCGAGCGGTTGTTGGGGATGCTGCCGCAGGGGAGGAGGTAAGACCATGTTCTTTCGTCAATGCACTCGAATCAAACAACAAATGCATTGTTCATTACTCAGCCGTGGAGGCTACATAAGACTACTGTTGGAGTTCAGTGAAATTGTGGTTGTGAACATTAGATCCTGATAAGAAAATGTTCAGCTTTCCAGTCACAACTGTAGAAGATGAAACCAGCGTTCTCGGTCGTTGCATTCAGATTGACGCAGATCTTACAACAGACTGAGGTCTATGGTGCGTCCACATCCTGTCTGCATTGTCTGACCCCCAGGCTAACACCCCGCTCGATTGAGATGTCCCGTTCGTAGCCTGGAAATGGAAGGATTGATTGAAACTCATGTTTCTCGGATAGACGCGTCTTGTTGCCAAACTAAGGGACCAGTCTCCAGCAGGCCTTCGTAGAAACATGCATAGACTGCAGCTGCGCATGCATACATATGCATGAATCCACCCCGGATCGTTTCAAGAGTTGTAGCAAGGATCTCAGGAAACTATTTGGTCTCACCGTGAGCCATTCCAACCACTTTTAGCAGTCGAGTAAGCGTTGCAGTCGGCTGGTGGTCCCGCGATGGCACCAGCACTACGTCACATGACCGGTTAGCTTGTCTTGGCGCACTCTGATATTAGGAGCGTCACGGTGGCTCGACTTCCTTTCTTTGGCCCCATACTACGTGAGTAGACCAACCATATTGTTCATTCGTGTAACTAATCAACAAATCAGAATGGACTCGCCCAACGCCGGAGCCCGCTCAAGCGGCAACGGCACCTCTCAAAGACCGGAAGGTCACAAAGGTGAGTCTCTCTACTGCGGTTCTATGGAGACAGAAGCTAATCTGAAAGCATCCAAAGCAACCACAGCAACCACAGCATCCACAGCACGAGGTCCCGCAGGTCAGTTTCCCGAATCCAAAGGACAATTGCGTGCTAACATAAGGACACAAGCAGACCCAACACCTCCACAGCAGTTCAGGCGGGAACCACCTCAGGGTAAGCATCGCTCTTACTAGGTCGTGAAACAGTGCTGACAGTCTCTAGGTTGGAGCTGCCTTGACCTCGAGGATCGTGGCGACTGCAAGGACTTCCTCCTTAATCTCAACATGCGGATCGACGCATGGCATCGTGGTGAGGCAGATCAGCCTGCAAATGTCAGTCGAGGTCGTGCCAATTATCTGGTCTCCGAGTACGAGGACATCGCTAATCTCTGGCGCGCAACTCTGCAACACTGGGACGCAGTGAGGTCTCAGAAGCTGGCTCAGGCGCTATCTTCGACCGGTCTCGGCGCTGCAGCACCTCAATAGCAGCCGCCAAAGATCGCTGCAGCTCCCAGCAAGTTGCATCCTGCCGTTCCTCTGCCTCCTTCGCCGGGTGGTAATGCTCCGACTCAGCAGCGCCAGCCTCAGCGCCAGCCTCAGCCTCAGCCTCAACATGAGCCCTCCCAGAACAAGGACACTGCGGCCTCGGGGCAGACTCCTGCCTGAGGACCAGGCATTGGCGGTTCTAGGCATGCAGGCAGCCTGTTGCGCAACAAGTCTCGGAGCAACTAACTTCTGCACAAGAAGCTTCTGCCACTTCCACGGCTTCGGTGCGGCCACCAGCTTCGGCACAACAAGCCTCTGCACCCCCCGCGGGTTCGATGCGGCCATCAGCAATCAGCCGCAACTGTCGTAGTGTACCTGATCTGTGGGAAGCTTCCGAAAACTCCCACGCTCCTCCTAACCAGAGGCCTGGTGGTGCAGCGCCTTGGTAGCCATAGAAGCAGAAGCCCCCCAGGGACTACGTCCATCCCTCTGGACAAGGGCCTTTCAGAGACAAGTCGGCTCTCAGTCTTGTCGCGAGTGAGTGGCTCTGCCTGCATGGTCATGTATGGGCCGGGGCGGCGAGGATGTGAACATGCCAATAACCCCGACGCATGTAACTACAACCACGATGTCACGACCGAGCAATTGACTTGGGTCATCTCAAACCGCAACGTCCACCCAGATGTGGTATACGAGATGATCCGCAACTTCAATGCTCACGCACCAGCAGGTGTGGCCCAGCTCACGTACGTGCCGGACCATGTCAAGCCTGGACTTGGTCCTTTTTTGGCTCCGACACCTCAGCCTGGCGAAGTCAATGAGACGAGGTTCCCGAAGGTTCAACCTGGACCTTCGGTCGATCCGCGTCTTCGATCGCGCCCTCCACCCTCAGCCGACAACGCCTCCACAACACCGATAAACCCTCCCAAAGGCAAAGTTGTGATGGGTGCAAGCGCCTGGCTCGGTGATCCAGTGGCTCTTCAGCAAAAGTTGCGCTACGGAGATTACATGGCAGCCGCTTCTGCACCTGTACCTACTCACAGGCCAGAGCTCAAAGAGACCTTCGGTGGAGGCAAGGAGACGGTTCACGCTTCCATCCCCCGTCCAGCATCCGAGATCTCGGATGAGAAGGAGAAGAAAGTCGCACTGCTTCGACGTCTCGAAAGGGAAACGACACAGGCTGACTCTTCTGAGGATAAGGAGTAGATTGTTCCTGTCTCTTCGTTTTTTTTTGTTCAAGATCTCTCAGTTTGAGATTATATCTTGTATGTACTGCCCAATGCGGCAGGTTTCTCTAGACCTTGTACTGCCCCTTGTGGTAGACTCTTCCAAAGCTTGTACTGCCCCTTGTGGTAGAATGTTCCAAAGCTTGTACTGCCCCTTGTGGTAGATTCTTCCAAAGCCTGTACTGCCCCTTGTGGTAGACTCTTCCATTGTACTGCCTCTTACGGTGTATTCTTTTGTTATTTATGATGCCTCCAATGGTATACTCTCTGCCCTATGTGGCACTCTTCGCGCTGCCTAAGATGGCGATCTAAGGTGTGGATACTGTTGACGTACGACTGAAGGGTCTTGCCAGACAGGGCCGGAGAAGACACACAGAGAGTGCGGAAAACGCGCGTCCTGAGCGTCCAGAACTGGAGGGTTGGGCTGGTGTACAGGACGCCATTCTCAAAAACGACGCAGAGCTAAGAGGAAGGGCCACACTTGAAGAGTAGAAGAATGCAAAGCATGTGACTTTCCATGTCACCCACAAGCGGACGGTATCTCTTCAGTGATTCTCGCAAGGTTTGTCGGTCTCGGAGGAGCCAGTATGGTTGGCGGCAGTGGACTCGAGTTTTAAAAATACTTCAGTATGTGCATCGAAAGTCACCTATATCTGAAACCTGAAGGGTTCAACACTCGTTTGAAGATGAGTCCACACGTGCATGACATATTGGTATAAGAAGAGAGGGTCAGACTTCAAGACAGAGAACCTGGGAACAGTTTTGTAGTGAGTATCGGAATTACGAGGTTCCCTTCTATTGGATTGAAGCACATTTGAGTCTCGCCATAAGAAGAGATACAAGCGCAAGGCAGCGGTCAGCCCTAGCACGCTCTTCTACGTTACATAAGCTCATGCTCAATTAACCCGCAAACTATCTGAAGTCAAACATACCCAGTAAAACCGAAGTTACCAGAGAACTTATTCGAGGTCAAGGGGATTTGAAAATCGACTGCTTCGACCAATTCATATAGTTGCGACGACGTTCAGAGTATGCTCAACTTGTATTATAGTCAATTTATGTCTCGCTGAGTGCAGCACCGGGAAGATGTGCATAGCGGTAATAACGTTCCCATCAATCGACAGCCATAGATCACGGCCGCGCCAGCTATCTCGTACACGTCCCCTGAATCGTATCGCCCTTAAATCCCGCGTAGGCCTTGACTCTGCCTGCCTTCCTCTCCATCAGTTATAATGCCACGAAGTTTTGATCGACACAGTATTGTTCAAACATGGACGTATACCGCCAAGTACCGCCGCAGCTGCCCAACAGCACCAACGTCCAGCGTCTGTTCGCAAGCCCCCGACTCAACATGCTGAAACAAACCAGACAGCTCCGTCATCGGCATCTCGCAGCACGGGCAAAAATACAGCTCGAGGTAGGCGCTAATATCATCGGACCTAAGCATCGCATCCCGGTGATTGATGTCCACAAACTCGCGCCAGCGACTGCAATTGGCAGCCAGTCTGTCGAGGTCGGCGCAGTCGATGTCGCTGCAGCAGCCGGATTCGAGATGGAGGATCTAGGGAACTTAATCAGGGTGCAGGAGCAGAGTGGGATAGACGTACCATGCCGCCGTACGTTGTGAACAAGCGGTCGCACATCAGACATTCGTACTCGGGGCGATGGGAGCTGTCAGAAGACGCGCTCTCAGTGGCATACCCTTCATCGTTGCACCTAGTGGCCTTGCGATGCACGCGCGAATCGTGCTAGTCGTTTGTCAGCATCATCCCAGCAATCCACTCCACTCACTGACCACCATCCGCTTAAGCAGGCTGTCAAAGTGCACCTCACACTCTGTACACACATGACACTTCTCAACATGCTGCCAGAATTCGCGAGAATTATACTCCCAGTGTTCTCCCGTGCCGTCATCGCAGCCCTGGCAGACCGACCGGCACTTCGTCGCGCGGCAGTGTGCCAGCAGATCATCCCATCCGTCGGCATCGAAGCCACACTTTGGACACTCCCAGTGGCGCCGCGAGTCGGCGATGTGCTTTTCAAGACCGCGTTCAGTCTTGAAGCCGCGGGCGCAGCGGTGGCAGTATCTAGGGTGGTCAGTGAGGCTGGGCGGCGGCGGTGGGGCCTTACGCTGCTGCTCGGGTGCGGGCTGGTGGGCGGGGGATGTAGAAGTCGTGACGAGGCATGGCGGGTTGTGTAGTCAGTGTACGGTGCAGAAGCTGGCGTCGAGTGGGTGAGAGAGGGAAGAAGGTGTTGTGGCTGGAGTGGGGCGAGGTGAGGTGAGAATGGTAAACAAGCAGGAAGGCAGTCGCGGACGACGACATGCACAGACTGCTACGTTCACGTTCACTCTGACCTCTAAAGAGACAATCAGTTCAATCCAACACAAGGCCCGGGTTCGGGGAGTGAGACCTACTATGCTCTTCATCATACGATCACCGAGGCCACCACCACAGCCCTGCCGTTCTCACAAGAGTCATCTTCATAGCAACTTTGGAGCAGGTAAGTTCAGCTATAAACGTCTTCACGGCACTATGCAGGCTGCTTGGAAGAACGAGTTGCGGGTGTGTACGCACTCACCTATGTGTACGCGCAGACGTTCTAGCCACCAACCAGCACCCAACTCTCCACCACCGAGCCAGAACTCTTCGAGGCCACCCGCATAGCTCTGACATGCTCGCACCAACCATCGTCGTGGCAGCGTTGAAGCAAGCCGCTCCAGCCAGGACCGCCTTCACTGCACTGGGAACACCAAGCTGTGGGAGTTGAATAAGCATAAATGCTTCGTATTATTGAGTTACTAGCACACCTGCGCCGTAAGACCGTGTACAGACATATACATGTGATTCCTATTGACATCCACATCCCTTCATCTCAACATGACCACACACCCTCCCCACCCACCGCCTACTCCCCTCTTCTCACCCTCTTACTTCTCCCTAGTTATATACGCCGCACCATGCAGAGAACGTGGGGTATCTCGAAAAGACCGTGACGAGCTTGCGCTCTATATGCTGATGCTAAAAAATCTCAACGCGAATTAGACTCGAAAAAATAATGCCGGGGGACCGAAGCCAATGCAACCGCTAAAACAATTTTCCGTGGTCCCGGGGCGGCTTTGTACAGGAAGGATGGTGGTGGAGGGTGAGGGAGTGTGGTATGGGGTGTGTTGACACAGTGTTCGTGCCGGGGAGAGGAACTGTAAGAGCGGTTCGCGGTCTAGAAGAACACCGCGAACGCGCCCAGCCCCGCAATCCCCGCGAGCGCCGCGTTCTGCCGCCCTGCAGCGCCAGACTGCACGCTCGGCTTCCCCTGAGCGTTGGTGGGAGACGGCTCGTCGCCGCCAGATCCGCCGTCAGCAACGTCCGTGGGGTCGACGTACGTAGTGCTGGTCAGCGTCTGGGCGCGGCCCTGGCCGTCCGTGGTCGTGATCAGGCGGATGCTGGACACGCGGCCGCCGGCGGGGGTGTACGTCGTCAGCATGGTGCTGCCGGCGGCGTCGGTGGTGGTCAGGACCTCGCCGCGGGTGGGCGCGTAGTTGGCGGCGGACGTGATGGCGACGGAGCTGCCGCGGGAGTCGGTCGTGGTGCGGATGATGGCCGGGCGGGCTTCTTGCGTGGTCACGGCGACGGTGCTGCCGGCGTCGTTGGTGGTGGTGCGGACGACGGTTACCTGCACTGAGGCGGTGACTTCAGACAGGACCTCGCTGGTTTGGACGACGGTGACGCCGGCAGTGTTGGTTGTGGTGACTTCCACGGGGATCAGAACGGGGCGGCTGGAGGGCTCGCTGGGGGTGGATGTCGCGGGCGGGTCGGCGCTGGAGGGCTGCGGTGTGTTGGCGGGCGTGCTGGACGGGGCGTCGGACGACGGCAGGACAGACTGCGCGCTGCTCTGCGGCAGGTCGGGGGTCTGGCTGGGCTGGGCGGAGGTGGTGCCGTTGGCGGGCGCCTGGCGCTTCTTCAGGTCCTGGACAGCGGCGACGATGAGCTTAGTGGCCAGAGCCGGGCTGGTGTCGTGCACGCGCTCGACGCCGCGGCGGTGCGACTCGAAGACGCCGGCCTTGAACTTGCCCAGCGAGTTGAGCGCGGCCTGCAGCGACTCCTCGGGCAGTGCATTGAGCAGGTCCTGGAAGGCCTCGTGGGCGTTGGCGTAGATGGCGTTGGCTGTATCTAGGGCCTGCGTCTGCGTCGACGGCTGCTCGGCCACGGCGCCCAGCAGCGGCAGTGCCAGCAGTGTGAAGAGGAAGGAGCGCATCGCGGGCGTGTGAGCGAAGGTGTGGAATTGGTCTCGCGACTGCAATTCCTGTTAGCACGGCGTCATGAGTGATCGCCCCGCCGGTATAGCGAGTGTAAGGACATATTGCCGCTTCAGGCAGCTGTCTGGCGCGGAGCAGCGTGCTGGGGTGCGATCAAGGCGGAATGCTTACACGAGATGACCAGGTAGGATCCGGACGGCTGGTAGTACGCCACGCGCAATTTAGACGACGTGGACCGGCGAATAGCAGCAATTCGATCAACGACAGCAGATTAACACAAACGAGTGTGCTTAACGTAAACGGCAGCGACAGTGCAGGTCAGAGCTGGAGAGAAAAGGTCAGCAAGGGAGGTCAGGCAATGGCGCCGTCAAGGCCTTTTGATACCTGCGACAGCAGCCGATACGGGCAGCGTTGAACGCCCGCCGCTCCCAGCCCGCGCTCAGGCCGTGTCTAGCTCCGCATTCTAGTGCTGAGACTCAATGGCGATCCTCGCGGCGAATTGAGCCTCTGCTCGAGCCCGCCGAGCCATCCATACTGCCGAGCTCGTCGACGCTGCTGCACGAGACAGACCATCGCTGCCAGCACACCACCACTGTCTGCGGCCGGCGGTCTGAAACCGCCCAAGGTGTCAAGACGACTGTCACTCTCGCAACGCAGCATCCGGAGCTCACTGCCTCATCCCTGCCGCAGCGTCATCAGTGGATCGCGTCTCTGGCCCGGTAGTGCACCATCAGTTGTTGAGCCACGAACGGCGAACGGTGACTCTAGTCTCCATTCACACACTACCATCAACACGCAGACTCCACTCCACCTCTCCACAGCACACGTAGAACCCATCGCCCCAGTTGTCGACGCACATCATGTTCACCCCTCACCTCATTCCTCTCTCAGACTCCCTCCCTCCTCCCTTTCCCAACCTCTCGCCCTCCATCTCGCCTCCTCTCGCACTCCTCGCACCACACCCCTACACGGCGGCCAAAAATAGCCCCCGGCGCGCTACCCGAGCATGCATCTGCGCCACCCTATCACGCCGCTCGCTACGCCGCACTAGCGAGGCATCCGAGCGAGCCAGCGAGCTTGCGAGCTGCCTAGGGAACCTCGAGCCACTCGCAGCGGCCAAGACGTAAAACCAAGGCCTCACTCGCCACGACACCACACACGGCACGGGCCCGGCAGAGGCGAGCGAGCCCGTCACCTGTTCTGCTGCATAGTCAGCATCAACCGTGCAATAGCGAACGTGTAATAGTAGAGTGCTAATGCGCGCTTAATACTCCCCGTAGAGACGTACTGCTGCAGAACAATAACCAGGTACCCTGCTGACACGCCGACTGCTCAGCAAGCCTCATCACTGCATACCTGCTCGCCGCAACAGCGCGGTAGTATCCATCGCCGAGTATGTCCTGTATGCAGTAACCCAGCCCATCAGCCCTGCCCGCAAAACCCCCGTACCAAAACAGTCCGCTCAGGTACGTACCGCTGCGAAGCAACGCGACCCGGACGATCAGCGCCGATCCCGCACCACCCACACCACACACCGAGCTGAACGTGCAGCGGAGCGGAGATGCTCTGCTCTGCGCTGCTCTGCACTGCTCATACTGTATGTGTGCGTGTGTACACGACTAGGCAGGAACGGGTACATGGACGCCCGGCCCGGCTGCTCGGGTGCGTGGAGCTGGTAGTGCTTACGCTTGATTACTGCGTGCGTCTCGCGTCTCTGGAGGAGCGCGGAGCACGTGGACCGCGGACACGGCGCTGAGGCTGCGGGTTGCGGGCTGTGGTGCGGTGCTCAGGGGACTGGTTTGGAGGGGCGTCTGGTATGAGAGAGACAGGCTGTGTGCGAGGCTCGATCGTCAGCGTGGAACGTATGCTAGTGTGTTCCGACAGGCTTCAGTATCGTCTGGGGTTGATGTCGGCAGGGATGGTAAGACTGGCCAGCAGACAGTGAGACTTGAGTATGTGTGGGTATTTCTATTCTACAGAGACTCGGCCGATGAAGCCGGCTCGCATCGCATCCCATTCGCGCCCCAGAACCGTAGAACCATAGAACGGAAGAATGGCCGAAACCTGGACGCCTCGAGTATATGCCGCCCATGCTGTGCTGTGTTGCGCTCGCTATGCAGACTCCCCTCCCTCTTCCTCTCCCCCTCACCTCTCCGGCTCCTCGCCTTCCTCCCCTTACATACCGACCTACCTCACCTTGGTAGCAATAAAGTACTCCACGCTCTCCCCCGCCCAACTCACACAGTCCGTCCCGCTCTCAAACCGCTCCTCCTCAAACAACCCCGCAATACTCTGTTCGCCCCTGACCCCGCCCCTGCCCCCCGCGCCAAAGCTCTCCAGACTAACCACGCGGGCCCCGATCTTCAAGTCCAGGAACTTCTGCAGCAGCGCATTGTTCAGCGCCTCGCCAAACACCTTGTTGTTGACGAGCACGACGTCGGCGCGCGCAAGCACCTTGTCGATGGCCGGGCTCTCGAGGAAACTGCCGTGCAGCAGCGTCATCGGGCCCGTGGCTATGTGCCACAGGCGGGCGCGGGCGCGCAGCTCGGCGGCCTGCTGGGACGCGAGCGCGGCGGCGAGCGGCATGATCTCGATGCCGTACGAGGCCGCGCCGGTCTGCAGCGCGGACTGCAGCACGACGTTGCCGACGCCGGAGCCCAGGTCCACGAATGTGTGGTGCGACGCGAGGCGTGTCTGGGCGAACACGCGGTGGATGAAGATCGGGAGCAGCTCGCCGTAGGTGGTCTCCTTGCCCTTGACGCGGCGCAGCTTGTGGGATTGGGGGGACACGATGCGGGAGTATGTTTGCTGGGTCATGTGCTTGACGAGGGAGAGGGGCAGCGCGGGGAGCGCGTCGAGGGTGCGGGCGATGGAGCCGTCGGCGACTTTGGCGCGGACCAGGGCGTTGAAGCGGGATAGCTCGAGGGCGTAGTCGGTGAAGGAGCCGCTGGCGGCGGCGCGCTTGAGGATGCGGACGGGGCCGGTGACGTCGGAGGAGAGTTCGGCGGAGAGGTCGGCGGGCAGGTAGTGCGCAATGATTTCCTCGATGCTGAACTGGATGTCGCCGAGCGGGTTGTATTCGGACGAGTCGGTTGGGACTTTGGCTTCGAACGACTCGGGCGGCAGCGGGCTGGGGTACTGCAGCTCGAGGATGGGGTGTTTGTTTGGCCCGGGCCAGGCAGGGCGGTAGTTTTTCGCGAACTCGCCTCTTGTCATGAGCAGGCCGTGTGTGAGGCTGCCGCGCCGCAGACGGTCGCCGCCTGTCCCTGTGTGCCCGTCTGTTCCGTTTTTCTGCCCATCTGTTCCATTCTTCTGCCCGTTGGCTGCACTCTTCTGCCCGTCTGCTCCATTTTTCAGCCCGTTCGCCGCGCCCTTCAGCCCGCCCGCCGCACTCCTCTCCGCGTCCCACCGTATCCGTATGCGCCGGTTCGGGTCGGGCTCGAGCTGGCGATTGCTGCTGGCGGGCTCAATACTACTGCTCTTCAGGCGCTTGCTCGCGCCCGCGACGGCGAGGCGGTCGCTATCCGCATCGCTCTCGGAGTCGCTGCTGGCCCACAGCGGCGGCGTGCTGGGCGACACCTTGCGCTTGCGGATGTTGGAGACGGCGGGCGACTCGCGCGCAGGCCGCGGGCGCTGCGCCGCCGACGAGAGCTGGTAGCGGGTCGCCGACGGGCGCGCGGCGCTGCTGGGCCGCGACGGGGTGTGCGGGGCCGGCGGCGCGACTTTCTTCAGGATGGTGACGGTGCGCGTCTTGATCTTGGGCTTGCCGTCGAACATGGCGGGCTGGCGAGGGGGAGCGTCGCTCGTGTGCGGGGCGCGAGCGGGAGGGTCGCGGTGCCGGAGGTGCGGTGCATGTGGCGGAGGAATCGAGCCGGCGGTGTCAGGTCAAGGTGCCGGGGGACGGCGAGTTCAGTGCCTGTAGGGCAGTGCCAGTCAAGTCAGGGCCAGTCGGGCAGTGTCAGTGTCAGTGCCAGGTAGCAGCGGTATCAGACGAGCAGGCTGTCCGCAAAAGAAAACCAAAACCAAGGCCAGCGCCCCGTATCCCGAGCGTCTCCCGTCGCCCTCAAACCACGCGCTCACGCAGGCAACCACTTGGAACCTGCGCCCCAACGCCGGAGAAAAGCAGCCCTGCAGCCTGATTCGCCGCTCCTTGCCCTGCGCAGCGCAGGGATCCCGAGCCAACAGCTTGGCGTCCCCGTTGCGTGGTCGCGATCCTGCTCGCGTGCGTACGGGATATTTCCCGATCTGAGGACGAACATGTGAATTGGGGTCATTGAGATGGTAATATCAGCCGACTCGACTCGCTGAGTCCTGAAGGGTTTTGGCTGCTGCAGTTTGTTTTCGATGGAGAGGTCTCGTGACCTGCTTACGAGCGCAGATGTGACAGACGTCTGTGTCATGCAGTTCAGCATGCAGTTGTATACGCGTGTAACTCTGTATATGTTCCTATCCTATAAGACCTCCTTGATGATTCTACATGAGTATCAGTAAGGGTATGTAACAACACACATCAACAAGGAGCTACCTAGGCCGAGCATAACGTTCAAGGATGCACACAAGCAGTACCACATCTACACCCAGCATCCAGACCTCGGGCCCGCATGCTATTCGAGAACGCCATATATACGAGTGAGTAGTGAGTGACGAAACAGAGATTTGATGGATACAGTGAGGTTTGAAGCCAACAGCGAGGCTAAAAGCTCTGAATCGAGGTTTGCCTACACGTGCCACGGCTCAACACAACAAACACTTCTTCGTAGCGTGCAGACGCATCGATACTACCTACCAAGCTTCTTCAGCATGAACATCCACAAACGCAGTCTCTCACTACAAACACAGTCTTTCAATACAAACACAGTCTCACACTACAAACACAGTTCCACACTCCCTGCCCACGCAACAGCCCACCCACGCACCAACCAAGTCAACAAATACTTCGGAACCGCTCCGAAATGAACCGTTTTCTCGATTCGTACGCGCCCTCGATCTGGAGATTACGTTCAACGGCGGGCACGCTAGGGGGATCTCGCTAGCGATATGCGTACAAATTCTGCGAAACTCTGTTGTGGGTGGAGGCGCTTGCTATGTACCTAGCAACGGAGAATTCGGCATGGGGGGGCGGGATAAGGTTTGGTGGGCTGGGATGGGGTTATGACCGGGGTGTGTATAGGTGTATAGGTGTGTCTGTATACAGCGCACGAGCACAAACAAATAGCACAACGCCTGCATGTCAACTCCAGTCATGTTCAAGTTTTGATAAAGTCTACACGTCTACACATCTAGACCCCTATTTCCCAATCGTCCCAAACAACCGATCCCCGATATCGCCCAACCCAGGCTTAATCATCCCCCGCTCGTCAATCCCCTCGTCGCACCCACCAACCCACACCTCGACGCCCTCCCACTCGCCACACGCGCGCGCCAGCCCGTCCCTTGTCGCCAGCACCGCAATCAGCAGGACGCGCTTCACGCCGTGCTCGCGCAGCGTCTCGATGGCAGCGGCCGCGGTCGCGCCCGTGGCGATGACCGGGTCGACGACGATGGCGAGGTCGGCGGGGCCGGGGGCCGTGTTGGAGGCCGAGGGTGCCGCGTGGTAGGGGAGGTTGTTGTAGTATTCGACGGGCTGCAGGGTGGTTTTCTCGCGGTAGAGACCGAGGTGGTGGACGGGGACGGGGGCGGGGAGGAGTGAGGAGAGGGCGGCGACCATGGAGAGGCCGGAGCGCAGGATGGGGACGAGCGAGATGGCGGTTGGGGCCGGGGTGGTGGTGGTTGTGGGGTAGGGGTAGCCGAGGGGGGAGGAGTCCTGGGGGTGTTAGTGGGGGGTGTGAGAGATGTGTACAATAGACGCACGTTGGGGCCGGGCTGCGCGGTCAGAGTCGCACCCAGAGCCTCATAGCCGATCATCAGGGCAATCTCGTGCACCAGCGTCTGCACATCGCGGGACCCTGAGGAGGCGGAGCGCAGCTGTGAGAGCTTGGCCTGCAAGCATGGGTGGGTGGAAACGTGGGCGTTGGCGGGGAGAGACATGGTCACGGGAAGGGAAGTGACGGACGGTTGGTGGACAGATTGAAGGCGGCTGTAGCCAGCTATATTGCAGTCTGCGGCGGCGTAGACGCGTGCAGGTACACGTAGAGGGCAGGTGACGATAAAGCTACCCCACTGCTATCAGCAGCGAGCGGCCGGCTCCGCGGGGTGCGAGGCGCGCTGCGGTTACTGGCCGTCGGCGGGGGCACACGCGAGCGCGCATGGGTTTTCCCTGCACGTGTCGACGCGCCGGCGGTATGCCCTGTGCGAGACCCGTTTGGGCCAGCGGTCGCAATGCGGCGGGCCAATTCTCCGCTGCTACCACAACAGAGTTTCGCAGAATCAGTAACCGCTAGCGGCATTCCCCTAACGTCCCGCCGGTGAACGCAATCTCCAAATCGAGGGCGCGTACTAATCGAGAAAGCGCCCGCCGACGCCCACCATGTCCGCGGGCTCTGCGAGTCTGCAACACTGATACGAGCGGCGGTCTGTCACGGGAGCGATACCATGGCCGACGCCGACGACGAGCCCTCGCGGCGCGAGTCGCACTTCAACGAGCAGCGCGCCAGCCTGCGCTCCGACACGTCCCACAGCGAGTCCAACCCCGACCGGTCACGACACCACAGCCTGCGCGAGCAGCGCCAGAGCCTGCCCCGCACTGCAGAGCACGCTGCCCCGGACCGTGCCGACAGCGAGACCCTGCCGACGCCTGCGAGCCCGTCGCTCGCGCCCAGGACCCGCCCGGAGACGACAGCACGTCGGGAGGCACGGCGGGAAGCAGCACGCCGCGAGAAGGAGGACCGCCGCAGCAAACACTCCAGCACGGGGCACGACTCGGCGACCTCGACGTCCAAGGCGCGTCCGCGCACCGCCTCCAAGGGCCGCAACATCGACGACCTGCTGTACGCCGCGTCGCTGGACAACCTCGACTTCCTGTCGTCGCCGCCCGACGTCCCCACCGACCGCGAGCAGTACTGGCGCGCGACGCTGGAGAATGATGCGAGCACCGCGAGCAACCTGCAGCGCACCGCCCGCCCCGCGGAGCCGCGCACCCCCACCAAGCAGCGCTCCCGCCGGCCGTCCATCTTCTCGCGCTCCAACCCCAGCTCCTCGCCGCAGTCCCAGAACATCACCGCCCTGCCCACCATGGCCGACGCCCGCCACGCCTCCCCCGCCGACCGCTACCACCAGTCCTTCGCCACCCCGCGCGCCCGCCGCCTCGCCCGCGCCCTGACCGAGCTCTACACCGTGTCCTTCCTGATCTTCTTCGCCGTCTGGGGCACGCTGGCGCGCCTCGGCCTGCAGGCCCTGACCTCGTACCCCGGCGCGCCCGTCCTGTTCAGCGAGCTCTGGGCCAACGTCGCCGGCTCCGCCATCATGGGCTTCCTGGCCGAAGACACCGCGCTCTTCCGCGAAGAATGGGGCGGCGCCGCGCCTGCTGCCCTGCCCGCCGACCGCCCGGCCTCGCCCACCCCGGACCCCGAAAAGCACCACCCCGTGTCCCGCGCCGCGCACGCAAAGGTCAAGAAGACGATCCCCCTGTACATCGGCCTGACCACCGGCTTCTGCGGCTGCTTCACCTCCTTCTCGAGCTTCGCCCGCGACGCCTTCCTCGCGCTCGCAAACGACCTCCCCCCCACCGCGCCCCGCGCCACCGGCGACTCCGCCATGGCCCTCCTCGCCGTGCTCCTCACAACCACCGCACTGTGCCTCGCCGCGCTGAAAACAGGCGCCCATCTCGCCGCTCTCATGCGCCCATACACCCCCGCCCTGCCCTTCCGCGCCTCCCGCCGCCTGCTCGACCCGCTCTTCACCCTGCTCGGCCCCGGCTGCTGGCTCGCCGCCGCCCTGCTGTCCGCGTACCCCCCGCACCCCCCCTGGCGCGCCAACGCCCTGTTCGCATGCGTCTTCGCGCCCCTCGGCTGCCTAGCGCGCTACTACGCCTCGCTGCACCTCAACCCGCTCCTCTCCTCCTTCCCGCTCGGCACCTTCGCGTGCAACGTTTTCGGCACGGGCGTGCTAGGCACCGCATACGATCTGCAGCGCGTGCGCATCGGGGGCGTGGTCGGCGGGAGCGTGGTCGGGTGCCAGGTGCTGCAGGGCGTGCAGGACGGGTTCTGCGGGGGGCTGACGACGGTGTCGACGTGGGTGCTGGAGCTGGATGGGTTGAGGCGCGGGAGGGCGTATGGGTATGGGCTTGGGAGTGTGGGCGCGGGGGTCGGTGTGTTGGTTGTGGTTATGGGGAGTGTGAGGTGGGGGGTTGGCTGGGAGGCGGTCGTGTGCGGAGCATAGGTGTAGGTGTGTGTGTAGGTGTGAGGGGTGTGTGGATGTGAATGGGGGGAGATTTAATGATTGATGTAATGAGGGACGTGTAATGGCTAATGAGCGGGATTGTATATATCTCGGTAGAGTGTAATCTGGTAGTGTGTATATTTCGGTAGTGTATGACTTGGTAGTGTGAATAGGTAATAATATCAGAACATGCATCGCATTACCATCTCACATACAACTTCGCTGCGCTTCAGTCTTACAGCACAGCATGCCATTGTGAGAGTTCAAGAGCTGTCCTACCTGGATGGTGATCAAAGGCGGGATACTTACTACCTACCTACCCCCGCCCCACCTACCGTGCCCGCGCGCCAAAGAAACGTAGAATACAAAGTGCATCACCAGCGCCGTACTGTGCTATTTCGTGCCGTGCCGTGCCATGCCGTGCCGCCGTGCCATGCCTACCCTGCCATGCCTACCCTGCCATGTCTACCACCCACCGTTACAGTACACTGCTCACCCCTGAAGTCGTTGGTTTCGACTCTGGAACCTCGCTGCTGCGTGAGCCATGCGAGCACACACCCCTCAAGGCGCCAGCAAGAGAAGCGAGCCATCTGCGCGAGTAAACAGCTTACCCTCCAAAGCGAAGCGTTTCATTCATCTTACCCTCGCGACGAAAGGCCAATACGAAAAGGGAGGTAACCTTGACAAACCCGTGCGCCGGGGGGGCTAGTACCGTCTGCGCGTGCTGCGGTCATCGTAGCTGTCGCCGTCGTACGCGCGCTTGCGCGAGTCGTCGCGGCCGCCGTAGCTGTCGCGGCCTCCGCTGCCGCGGTCGCGGTCGCTGTGGCGGTCGCGGCCCAGGGGCTCGTTGTTGGCGCCGCTGGAGCCGCGGTCGCCTCCGCCGCGTCTGTCTCCGCCGCCGTAGCGATCGCCGCCGCGGTCGCCGCCACGGTCGCCGCCGTAGCCTCCGCCGCCGCCGCCGAATCCGCCTCGTGGCCCGCGAGGACCGGCAGGGGCGCCGTCGGGGGCGGCGTAGCCGTTGGAGCCTTGGTAGCCGATGCCGCCACGGCCGCCTCCGTAACCGCCGCCGCCGCCGCGTCCGCCGCCGAAGCCCCCTCGGAAACCACCTCGATCGCCGCCGCCACCGAAGCCCCCGCGACCGCCTCCTCGACCCCCAAAGCCACCGCCAAAGCCTCCTCGACCTCCAAAGCCACCGGGGCCGGCGGGCGCACCGAAGCCGCCTGCAGGACCCGGGCGCGCGGCAGGGCCCTTGGTGTAGCCGCGGCCTCCCAGGCCTCCGCCGTAGCGACGAGGACGCCAGCCCGAGACGGTGCGGCCACGCTCGACGTCGACGAGCACGCGGCGGTCCTTGATCTTGATGCCGTCCGTCTCCTTGTAGGCGGCCTTCATGTCCTTCTCGCGCTCGTACACGATGAAGGCGTAGCCACGCTTCCGCTTCTTGGGCGGCGCGTCGGGCGGCGCGGTTGTGTCCTCGACGATGCGGATGCGCTCAATGGGTCCGTAGCGGCCGAACTCGCGCTCGAGGTCGTCGGAGGTCGCGCCGTACGCGAGACGCGAGACGAACAGCGTCTTGAAGGCGTCGCCTTGCACCTTGGGGTCTTCGCTGGGCTTGTCTGTATGGTGTCAGCATATGCGGGTGGGCGAGGCCGGATCAACACGCACACTCATGAATACCCTCGGTCAGCAGCTTCTCCTGCTTCTCCTTTTTCTCAATCTTCTTGCGGTCGCGCTTCTGCAGCCAGCTGTCCGTCGGCACGTAGCCGTCATTGTCCTTGTACTCGCGCATTGCCTGCAGGTACTGCCCGACGCCGCCAATCTTGGGCGTGCAGCGCTTCTCCGGCGCGTGGTCGATGGGCTCGACCCAGCGCAGCGGCGGGCGCGGGGCGAACAGGTTCAGCAGCATCGGCGGAAGCTGGTACGTCATCTTGAATGCAGGGCTGGATGCGCTCCAGCTGCGGTGTTGGGGTGGGGTGGAGGTGGTGGATGCGGAGCGCAGACGGCGAAGTTGCGCGTCGGGTTCAGGCAGATTCGCGCACGTGACTCGAGTTTTCGCTCGACTGCAACACCACGGCGCACCGCACCAGCCATCGACCGCCAACATGCCTCTCGCAGCGACCCGGACGGTCGCAAAGGCCCAGGTGCGCTCGCCGACCCCCGTCCACGCACATCTACTAACCCCCGCAGAATGGCGTCGGCGCCTTCATCCTCCAGTGCAAACGGCTCGAATTCCACTACTGCAACTGGTGGGGATCCTCGCGCGGCATGAACGCCTTCATCAAAGCCTCGCTGCCGACATTCGCGCAGCGCAACCCCGCGATCGAGTTCTCCGTCAGTCCGCGGCCGCGCAAGCACCCCGTCATCATCGCACACTACATCAACGGCGCCACACGGTCCATCTGCGTCAAGAACCTGCTGAACGAGGGCGTGCGCGAGAAGGCCGAGATGCTGCGCGACAGCAACGGCGAGAAGAACAGGAAGCAGGGCAAGCCCGTCACCAGCATCAACGAGAGCGTGAGGGGTATCTGGTCGCCGTTCCACGGGGCGAAGATCAAGATCTGAGCATGGCGAGACGGTTGGGAAGAGCCAATGCAGCATCTTCTGGACCACCGGTTGTACGAATATCTGGCATGGACTGGCGTATTTGGATTAGACATGTACAAATGTACGAATACTGTCAGCATAAATGCACACACTACACGCACGCAAGAGGTTCAGATTGTGCGTTCACTTTTGTTCATTATCAGGTAGCTCATGTCATGATATCCAACTACAGTCTCGGCGCGCCGCCATGGATTCACGCAGAGTTGGCGTTGATGATGTCGACGAACGCGGGCTTGAGCGACGCACCACCGACCAGGAAGCCGTCAATGTCGGCCTGCTTGGCAAGCTCGCTGCAGTTCTTCTCGTTGACGCTGCCGCCGTACAGGATGCGCGTCTTCTCGGCCGCCTCGGCGGAGACCTCCTTCTTCAGCCACTCGCGGAGCGCGGCGTGGACGTCCTGCGCCTGCTGGGTGGTGGCGACCTTGCCGGTGCCGATGGCCCTGGTTTTTATTAGCTATGCAGTTGGGAATGTCAAGAAGACTCACCAGATGGGCTCGTAGGCGATGACGATCTTGCTCCAGTCGCTGACCTTGTCCGCGACGGCCTTGAGCTGCTTGGTGACGACGTCGACAGTGGTGCCGGCCTCCCTCTCCTCGAGGCTCTCGCCGCAGCAGAGAATAACGCTGATGCCGCCGTCGAGCGCAGCCTTGGTCTTGCTGGCAACGAAAGCGTCGTCCTCCTTCAGGATGGTGCGGCGCTCAGAGTGGCCGAGGATGGTCCATGTGATGCCGCTGTCCTTGAGCTGCTCGGCGGAGATCTCGCCGGTGAAAGCGCCGTTGGGCTTGTCGTAGACGTTCTGGGACGCTACCTCGATGCCCTTGCGCAGGTGCTCGCGGGTGAGGAGCAGGTAGAGCGCAGGGGGGGCGATGACGACCTCTGTCAGCTGTCAGTGCTGTCTTGCTGTGCATGTCCACGCTACTCACCAGCGTTGGGGTCGAGCTTGGCGTCGTTCAGGTTCTGGACAATCTTCTTGATGGACTCAATAGAGCCGTTCCTGTCGTTCGATCAGCTTCTGCACCAGGAATCGAGCGCCTTGCCAACGTACATCTTGAAGTTGCCACCGATGAAGAATTGACGTGCCATCTTGGATGCTGATGTGTGTATAGGTATGGAAAAGGGTATAAGGGGGTATCAAAGTGTGCAAAATGAGGTTGAAGGAGTAGCGGTGGTGCAATGCGTTGTTGAGCTCTGCGCAGACTACCTAAATGTTTCCGCTGGCGGGGTCGGTGGTGGGGCAAGTGACGAAGTGCTCGAGCTTCCACCAGCCCTCCGAAGCTGCCCGAAAGCCTGCTATGCTCGGCATTGAAAACACTGGAGACGCGGAGCTCGTATGAGTTGTTTGGAATGCGAAAGAAAGTCACCCGAGGCGATGGACTTCGTTGAATGTGCCACTAGCAGTTTTGGTACGGTCGTCATGAGCAAAGGTCCGTCTACCGTACCTGTAGCTGAACAGACTCATCTAGGAAATTCGCCTTCTCTATCCTAGAGCCGCCAGTTCCACACCCCATGAAAATCTATTGAGGCTCTGCCAAAATCCTCCCATAACGTCACTCGCAAGGATCCAACCCATTCGAAGCAACAAAGTGGATCTCCGCTCCGACACACTAGCTCAGCCCTACCAACACCCCCCGAAGTCCACCACCAAAGTTGTGACCAAACCACCCACCCCGAGCAAAATGCCCTCCAACCCACCGCCCGTCTACGGCCTCGCCGTCACCCCCCTAACCCAATGCACCCACTGGCACACCCCGCTCGACATAATCGCCATCAAGCACTTCTGCTGCCAGAAATTCTACGCCTGCATCAGCTGCCACGACGCCCTCGAGACGCACAAGTCGGGTGTGTGGCCGGCGAGTCAGCGCGAGCAAGAAGCAGTGCTGTGTGGAGCGTGCAAGCACGTGCTCAGCGTGGCGGAGTATATGGGGTGTGGGAGTCGGTGTACGAGGTGTGGCGAGGGGTTTAATCCGGGGTGTAAGAATCATTGGGATTTGTATTTTGAGCTTGGGGAGGGTGAGGTAGGGTCTTGTGGGAGGGGTTAGGGATTGGGCGGTGGTGGTGAAGGAACTTGAAGGGAGATCATTGGTGAAGTTGTGCAGATCGGGTCGGGCTTTGCCGGTGTTGTATATGTACTCTCGAGTCGAGTGTTATCTGACGAGACGATTAGGCTGGTTCTTCTACTTCGATCTTGATTTTCGGTTCAGCTTTGGTCTTGTGCTCTCCAATGAACACCTTCTGCTTGACGACAGGTGTGGTGTCGAACTTCAATGCTCCAGGAACCTATGGATTTACGCTGGGATCGATCCTGGCCTTACCTCTGGACCTGTCTCTCAGACTTATCCGTGACACCTTCTCGATCTCTTCGCGCTTGAGCTGTTTGCTTCTCGACCGCTGCTATATTGTGGGACGCCGCCTTTTCCTTGCCTCTTCGCGCTCGTCTTCTTCGCACTGGCTCTCTTCTTGTTATTTGCGAAGCCTCCAACAATTTCTCCTCCATGCTCCATTCAATCATGGCATGCTGTAGAGTAGTCTTCTACGTTTCGTCACTCCTCTACTAGGATAGCTCTGCCAGTCACGAAGTTTTCGGTGGTGCCTGCAGCAACAAAGTATGCGTGGTCTGAGCGCTCACTCTCTGCGCGTTTCTTTAAGACGTTGATCCCGCTTGTATATGATCAAGTTCTCGGTGACGTTGTTGGGTTTTGTGCAAAAGGCCCAAGAGGAAATTCTTCTTTATGGTCGAAGCCAGCGCTGCTCTTCTTGGAATTTCCCCAAGTCTACACATCTTGAGTTACCACCGGTATGATGGAAATGCATTAGTACTAGCCATAGCATCTATCGAAAACGCATTAGGTGGGTTGTTGATTGAGGTGTGATCAGAATGTTGGGCGACGAGGGCTGGCTGACGGAAAAGGGTGTTCGTTTCAAGAGGAAGAAGCAAATGCACAGTAAGTCACAAACAGCACTCAATGATCCTGGCCAATGCGTCGCTGACAGTGCATGGCTGTGTGTTGGGTATCAAACTATGGATCTTGTAGTGGTATGCGATCATTTCCAGTAAGTATGCGACCAACTCGTCGAGCCGTTTACCCATTGTAATCTCCTACCTGGATCATCGTACGACTTCGGCTACTTGTACACAAGCACCATGAGAGTTGCATCGATTAGATGAGCAGCTCATTCGAGGAGACAACCAACCCCGCTGGTGTCAACTGTGTAAATATCGGCAAATTTGACTGTGACCTGGAGACTCGACAAAACCAAACAAGGCTGCCAACCGTGATCTCGCTCCGTGCACGGGTCATCAATTTTGCCCGAGCCGTGGTGGTAGGTTGTTGATTGTTCCATCTTGATATTAAAGTGTTTGGCATATATAAGCGCATATCAGCCACATTAACCCAACAAGGATGCCTTCAAGGTGGGGTGCAAGCTATGACATTGAGCGGATAATCACCAGGATAAAAACAAGCAAGCAAGATAAACACAATCTAACAAATAGATTGAGCAGAATATTAACAAGAAGCCATGCAACTCTCTACCTCTCAAAAGCCACCGGTATCAGCGAAAAGAATATGGACAAAAGCCCCGCATGGCCTTCAAAATCAGTGAACAAAGTATTGACAAGAAGCCCTTCAACATCAGAGAGCAACAACTCCAAAGTCGCCATGGCCCTTTCCGTCAGTCAACGTCTAGTTCGCCGCAGTCCACAGAGCGGGGCCGGGGTAGGGGTAGCTGGTGGCGCCGGTGTAGATGTTGAACATAACACCGGGGTCATTCCTCTTGTACAGGCTTGTGCCAGCAACACCGGCAGTGGGGGCAACAGTGCCACTTCCGGTAACCCTAAGGTTCAAGCACTAATCAAAAGATGTCAGCAAGTCTACTCAGATCCAAGTCAAGGACGTGAAGGGCGTACCTGGGGGTACATCTGGGCGCCGTTGTCGCTCTGGCCGCTGTGCAGGGCAATGATCTCGTGGCGGATGACGTAGTTACCGGCGCGAAGGTTGCGGGGGATGACGGTGGAGGAGGTGAAGTTGCTGCGGATCATGTTGTCGGTGACCCAGGTGTTTGTGCTGGGGGTGACCAGGCCGGACTGGGAGATCTTGGACCAGCGGAGCGCGCCGGGGGTAAGGGTGGTGCAGTCGCCTGTGTGGGTGTCAGTATGCCGTTGTCTTTGTACTCGCGGGATACTCACCGTTGCAAGGCGCGATGTAGTTAATGATAGGGCCCTTGTGGCTTTCGGGCCAGGTGTTCCAGTAGAAGTTGACCGTAGAGCCGGCGGCAGCGGTGGCGTAAAGACGTCCAGCTATCGCGCTCTTGTGGCAGTTGATGTCGGCAGTGCCCATAGCTGCGGGCTCGACGAAGCCGTTGTCCTGGTTCAAGGAGTCCCAACCACTGGTCTGGGGCCTCGAGTTGGCAGGAGAGTAGAACCACACGGGGTCGGAGCCTTTAGCCCAGGCGCTGCCAGAGTTGATATCCCTGACGAAGCCGTGGGCAGACACAGTGTCGAGGAGAGTGGCGACAACGCCAACGAGGAGAGCTGCGGAAAGCATGTTGAAGTAGGTAGTGAGAGTTGGATGTTGAAGTGAATGGACTGGAATGGAAATGAATGAAGATGATGATTTGAAAAAGCGACGATGTTCTTGTCTTATATACTTTCACACCTTGTCGCTGTGGATGCTCCTGATACAACAGACAGTCTACGGAGTTCGTGTTTCCGCATCGTCATCTATCTCCAAGCCTCTAAGAAGTTGGCGTACCTTGCCCGGCGGCGGTACAATACCAATACTACTGGTCAATACGGCGCGGCCTGTCTTGTCATTCTTGGTGGTGGCTCTCAAGATGCCAAGAAATGCGAATGCAGTAACGCAGTCAGTCGTGGTCGTGACACAAACGGATTCAAATGAAACAGATATTACCGAGTCCGCTTAGACCGGCTAGATGCTTCCCCGGCAAAGTGCCGGAGGCTGACGTGCAGATCGCGACATAGTGTCGGATATACAGTTAATCTATTTCCATCGGCATCTTTTGACAACGGGCCGTTAGCGAACAACCCTTAATCACCTTCACGGCGACACAGAGTAGATCGTCTGCGTGCACCGGTCACCTGGGCATGTTCCAAGGCTTTTGATAGTCTACAGTCGTTATGCACTGTTATTGTGGTGGCCTGAGTTCTACATCTGCGCCTCTGCGGACGAAACAAAATGTTTCATTGGCGCATTGGGTTACCATATTCTCGCGATCTGCACCCGTATACCGCAATCTCGCTTTGACCTAGAGCCGAGTTTTGTGTTGCTGAGAATATGGGGGAGTCTAGATCCAGAAGCTCCCTCAGGGCTCAGGTGAATGAACAGACTCCGTTGCGTGCACCGTTGAAGATCCGAAGACTCTCCTCGAAGTGAAGTGATGAGCAGTTCGATTTCCTCATCCGAATGTTTGGAGAGGTTTGTGCTGGGGGCGTGATTGGGATTTATTGCCAATGCCACGGCCTTGTGTCAAGTTATGAAGCCGGCGAGAAGAGGAAGTATTCAAAAGCGTCACCTACTGTTGTGATGTTACAATAGCGCCTTTAAAGAAGACGTGAGATCAATTGCGCACATTGATGATGACTCCCCAATCGTGACAACTTGCTCAATATGTGCTCAACTATACAGCAAAGGATAAACATGAAGGTCAAGTGTGCATGGATTTGAGGAGTGGGATCAGTACGAGTGTGAGTGTACTAGGACGCATGAGGACGGGTGTCAACAACCGAAAGGGTTAGTGAGAGGTCCATGATTTAATTCCACCGTTTAAAATCCCCATTGGGATTTCTAGGGAAGTGGTAAAGCGTGAAACAATGTTGTCAGGTAATCGTTCCGAGCAGCCCAAAAATTCCCGAACGAACGAATAGAAATAGAGTGCTACTAAAGTGGTAATCATGGACCAAGTGGGGCATGGTCTAGCGCGCGGTTCGCGTGCTGCTACTGTCTTTTGCCAAGTAGCCTGATGTCTGTACTTCTTACATCGGCACGACCATTTTGAAGTTGACTTTTTGAATCCTGCATGGCTTGGTACTGATCCAAGTTTTTGGGGAAACTGTTTGGACTGTTTTTCTAGCAGCCTCGAGGCCTCCCTCACAATTTACTTTCTTATGATTGCTTTGCAGGATCTTTTCGCAGATCTCCAAACCAACTCTTTCCTGACAAGCGATCCCCCACAAGATCGCCGCAGAGGCGGGGCTTAGAAGTGACTCGCGCTCATCAAGCCTGGCAACTACTTCATGCAGCTCCATGAAAGCCCACGACATGCCAATGAGAATATCCCGCTGCGTTAGCCATTGCATGGATAAAGCCCGCATCCACCTGGAGAAAGCGACTGAATGTGCGTTGCACATAGCTACGACTTCCTGCAGATTAGTTGGCATTTGAATGTCCGCCCGGCTGCAAATCTCCAGCCCTATTTCGACAACACCGACTGATCTGCCCTCATTAGTGCGGTGTACTTCGTCTATACCTTGACCCTCGACATCAAAATCGCTTTGTGCGCGCAAGACTCGAACGATAGCAGAGTCAAAAGCATCTGCGCGTACCGATACAGAAGGTAGGGTCTCGAGAAGGGTCGGTGACGTGAACCACAATGGAAGGAAGTTGCGAGGTGCCGAAGGGCCAATACTGAATTCGGCACAGAGCTGCCAGGTTTCTTCATCGAGTGTGGGCATTGAGACATTAGAAGTCGAGACGACAGAGTCATCTGCAAGAACAGTCAAGCCCCGAGAAGCTTCTGCTGAAGGAACTTTGGGCGATCGTCTGGTGAATTCGTAGTAGATCCTAGGATTTGGCTGCTCGGATGATTCAAGCTCATCGATGCAAGCTTCCACAACCTCTACTTCAGTCTGGGTGAAGCTACCAAACATCTTGCCCTCCCAGTACAGTTCTTTGACAAGTTTGCTCTTCTCGCTCTTGCCCCTGACAACCCAAGGCTTGCAGTTGCCCAAGTCCTGAAGGAAGTCGCTCTACCATTGATCATCAGCAAAAGCATTAGCAAGCCAACCTACTAAAGAATGACGCCTAATCTTCAGAAGACTGCCGCAATGAATCTTGTGTGCTACGAATGCTTCAGCAGAGAAGATTTTTGGAAGTGCAGCTTCTGTCTTAGTGCGAGAAGAAGGTCCTTTTGTCTGCAATCTCAGCGAAGGACTCTCAGGGGTTGTTGGTAAGCCTTCTGTAAGGATAGATCAAACCTGTACTCGTTTCTATGTAATACGTGCAGCTTCGTGTCCTTCATCTCACTCAGTAAGCTCGATGTAGTTGGGGACTGCAGCCAAGGCCTCGCCTACGCGGCTGTGCCGGATGAAGCCAAGAAGGCTGGAATAGATTTGATCATCAGCATACATTGCCTCAAGCGTAGGCGGTAAGGATCTGCCAATGTATGCAGACGGTGGCGCAGCTTTTGGACTCGACATGTCGCTCAGGATTGTTGAAGGTGGGGTAAAGATGCTTTCGAAGAAGGGCGTGATCATTGTATACACTGGAGTCGCGATCCCGACCGCAGATCCTGGTCACGACGCGTTCTTCGAGCAACTGAAGACTGTTAAGGTTGCTGAATCGGTCGAGTACACAGTACTGCACCCAGATATGTGGCCTGAAGAGATCGGACGCGGCGCGTATGCAGACGTTGGTAGAATACAGGTCGTTGGGGCCGTGTTGCGGAGATGTTGAGCACGCATGAAGCGAGTGGGGCAAGGCACAAACAATCTTCCGTCCGCCTGTGCGACAACCACCTTGGCCCCCTGATCCTCTTTCCACCTACTCAAGAGCGTCTACACGACCAGGGCCCATGAGACAGCTACTGGGGACCTATATTCTAGAGCGACCCAGGTATTGGGGTTGTTGTTCCTAGGTGTTTAGTTCACATGCATAGTGACGAGGGAACAAGACATGTCTCATCTCGACTCGAATGCATGCTTGCTGTATGGTGGGACAACATCTGACATCCCTTCGTAACCGGGCACAGAAGCCGACTAGTAGATCCATCGCATATCAAGATCAAAGAGCGTAAATGAGCCGCCGGTGCCTGAGTACTAATCACTAACTTCTCAGCTTAGCCAGCATAACCATTCAGTGTTTCGTCAAAAACGATAAGTAACACCACTCTCACAGACATAGTTGGCAAAACATGCTCGCACCTGAGGCGGCGACATCGGATCTCGTCAAGCGACCAAAACGCATTCCAGTGCATCTACCATCGACTCCACATGTCCTATCGGAGATGGCATGGCTTGGGAAAGTTTAATGCTTTGAATGTCAAGATGAGTGCATTCCTGGACATTGCGTTTCAGGAAGTCGTCAGCAGCGAATCAGGTTTCTCTCAGAAAGCTATATAAAACTTGCTCCCTGCGAGCATTATTTTCTGTGTCGTAATTCCACGACTACCATTAAGATGCTCGTCATACTAAGCTTCAGCAGGCTCTTGCCCTTCGTTTGGTCATTTTTGTCCTTCACAGCTGCACAAAGTAATATGTGCGGTACCCTTGGCTACCATGAGCAGACCAAGTCATCTTACTTTATGGGCAACTTCTTCCACAATGGTATAACGTCAACGCTCGGTTTATGTGCCGCATACTGCAAGAAGGACGCGAGATGTAAAACCTTTCGCTACTCATATTGGAGCGACGCGGATGCGCAGTATTGCGAATTCTTCAGCACGACAGTGTAAGTACTTCAGGACATACAAGGGTCCAGACTGAAATGACAGTTCAGCGCATTGAATTTCACGGTTGATCGAACGTCGCCGTACTCATATTACGATATCGGCTGCTCTTTCCCTCCTTTTGAAGAAACCCGCACGGTAACCACTACCACGACTACCACCTCATATGTTCGTATTACACCCACTCTGTTCAGACTGTCACTTACATCGCCACGATCGTTTCAACGACACCAGCATGGACGACCACGTTGACCGTCACCAATGCTGGAGCCACATCGACCTCGATTTCTATACAGAACGTCACGGCGCCAACAAAAACAGTCACCTCTACCACCTCAACCACTCAAACTATTTCTTCCACCACGACACGTACCGTAACTGCGCCAATTAGAATAGTCAGCGTTACGACGCGGCTTACCTTAACGCGCACTCTTCCAGCATCAACAAAGACAATACTGTGCCCGAAGACTAGGGTGGGCTGATTCACGGCCACCTTCACTCGGGCTCACTTATGTCAGTGACGAACTGTCAGATGTCTGTGAGTACAGTGAAGGTATAGTAACTTGGAAGATAAGAGACTGACTGTTATGCAGCGCTTCCGAGGTTTTGCTGGGAAAAGGGCTCAAACGCTGCAAGAGGTTGCCTGCATCGCGTGGCTCGCTGTCATGGCGAAGATTTTGGTGGGATATTCCCAATACGCGCAAAACCTCCTCTCCTACCATAGGGCAGAATTTAGTAGTAGGGGGCAGTGTATCCTTACAGTGCTAACTAAAATGTGGGATGTCTCCAAAGTAGACTCCCACCTTTGCGCGTCACCTAGCGCGACACCGGATCGCGCTCCGGAGAGGCGCAGTCGCGACTACATCGCCCAAACTTTGCGTATGACGCCATGGCTTTGTACGCCTGACTTACTTAGCACTACACAGCCAACCCGATTACTCGAAATGATATGGGCTAAGCACAGAAAGGTTTCGGTGACAGATGGTGAGCAGGCGAAGGGTGAGGTCCGAGACAAGCTTTACGATATGCGGAGAACCTTGCAATCCGCCTTGGATCCGCCTTCGTCATGCTGCGATCCCGGTGAGTGTCAGCGGTAATAAAGCAAACACGAAAGTGCGCCGCGCGCCAGTACGAAGTCGTTCAGCGATATATATATCAGGGTCTCCAAGTTATTGGCATGATTCAGTCCTGGAGTATACCACCTCAGTTCCACACACACGACCCTAACAATAATTCATCATGTCCGAATATCAAAAGCCCGTCAAACAACATGTCAACGCCTCAGACACAGATCAGACCACACAAAGTTTAGCCCCTGCGTATACAGAGCCGTAGACACCCCAGTCTTCATCGCCCAGCCAAAGCTGACAAAAGCAGCAACCCCCCACCAGCCTACACCGCCGATGCTGCGACCCGCGATCTACTTTCGATGCGCGAAGGCGACCCAGAGGAGAAAATCGATGTTCCCTTCGTGTACAGTCATGACAAGAAATCGCTCAAAGACTATCTTGCGTTCCGCAACGTAGGCACTGTAACGCGCCGTATTGTGCCGCGGCCCATGACGCGCAGGCTGTACAACGAGCGTTATGCGCATGACGCCGAGGGCAACCTCGTAGGTACGGGGGTCATGGCGCCGGATGCTGGGCTTGTGTTCATACCCAGCAAGGGGACGGAGCAGGATCTCCTGGACCAGGTCAGTCGGATGGCGCATTCGAGGAAGAACCACGATCCCAGTGACTTTGCCTTCCAAGATGGGCATGGAATGGCGCCCATTGGAGGTGGCTGGGGTGTGTCCTAAGAAGCTGATCGATCTGTGGTGGCAGAGGAGTTTAGGTCTGGATATAGAGTGTAGTGAGGATCGCAATGTTCAATTTCCTCGTTCGTTCAACTGATCCGTTATCCTTCTTGGTTGTAACATACTGGCGAAACCCGCAAGATCGGCTTTGGTCCTGAGCTCGTCTGCGTTCTCCCCGGTGGGAGAAATGTGCGCGGCCTAGCGGCAGGTGTAATGCTCTCGTTGTGAAGGCGAAAGCGGTGGTCTCTGAGATAGTGTTCTTGTGACGAAAGCACTGTATCCTCAAGACTTGATCCATCCGACTCTTTTAATAGGCCAATCCAACCACGGTCTATGCTCACGGGGCATCAAGTCCCAGATACCGCTCATTACGTGGTGTGTCCATCCTTGCATATACCAGAATTGCTCCAGGACGCGGATCAAAACTACGAAATGTGCGTAGATAATCATCGGAATTGGGTCGCGCTGCTGCAGGCGCTCAAGAAAGTCGTCTGACATCCGGAAAAGCCACCCGAAGGCCACATGGTACTCTCCGTCAACACCTTTGTATCGATTATCATACATCTCCCTAAGAATGTCGACGGCATTCAAGTCATCTTCATGACTGGGAGTGTCCTTTGTCAAAAAATCCACATGCTTCCGTAGATCGTCAAGTTGCTTCTCATACTCTTCAGGTGCCTCCTGAGCTGGTAAGGGGCGACCCTTGGCTTTTGTTGCAGGGGCATGAGTTTTGACGAACTGCGGGCGTTCAATGCTCGCAAGTGTTGTTCTTATACCACGGAACATCATCAGCCAGTCCGATCTCTGGTCCCGTCCAAAAGCGAGGTATTCACCAGGTTGCGGACCACGACCCCAGCTGATGAAGCAGATCATTTGTACAGCGACGAGCACGGCATCGCAGTTGCTTGGACTCAAATTAGCAATGCTCGGTGTTACCAACACAAGCGCGCGCTCGTAGTGGTGGTCGGCTGTAGCAGTATATTGCTCACGTTGACTGGGTCGACAGTGCGCCAGATGCAGCGCGGTAAGTGCAAGCATCAGGTGCAAGACGTAAGGGTTTTCAAAGCCTATTTCGGCCATCTGGGTCTGCCAAGTAGTGCCTGAAGTCATCCAAGGTGAGACCGAGAAGCATGTCGAAGTTGTGTAGTGGTAGGTAAGCTCGATCTCAGATAGTGGCAATCCCTCGGAACTGGCGTGGTTGCCGCTGCTAGCAAGTGACGGCGAGCCTGCTGGAGGGCTTATAAAGTCACAGATAACCTGTCGACGTTTGCAATTCCCACATTCTGGCTTCTTCTCGTCACACTAGAGGGGTCAGCACTGATCCAGTTTCCTTTCAAGTTGTACAGAGAGGCTGCTATCATCTCATTGCTCAAGACCGAAGAACTCCAACATAAGTTCATGTTTGCAAACTGTCCAAATACCACATCTTTCTGACATGTTCAAGCATACCACTATGCAAGGGGTATACAGTTGGGCGTACCTTAATGCGGCGAGTCTTGCAGTTCTTGCAGCCAGCGCGCGATTTGCGATGTGAGCGTCTCGTGATCTTCCTCTCATTATGCCCGTCCTGTTCATTCGCGGACGGCGAGGCTGTATTAGAATGTGCTAAAGACAAAGGCGAGTCTTGTTGCATGTTTGATGATGATTCGGTGGACGAAACGGTGTGCTGGACAGGGAGTGCGTATTTGAAGCGAGGAAAGAGCGCGAACACGAACGCGCGGCTGTCGTCTTCCCAAGCGCCGTGACCACGCCGGATCTTCGTGCACCAACTACACCCTTTCTCTGTTTCGCAAGCCCTGCCTGAATCAAAAGATAAATTCCTGGTCTAAAATTGGTCAAACCAGGTAAGGAAAGAGATCTCTTTAGCAGGCACTGGCACTCAGCCACGGATGCAGTTCGGTGTTCGCGCACGTGCATGACTCGCGAATACGCAAATCCTCGTTTTCTCTTTCAATACGACAGTAGTCGTGGCAGAGTTTGGTGACAGTGAGGTCAGGGTGCATAGACTGAGACTACTAATTGCTATTTCTGGTAGTTCGTGACAGATATAACCCCTCAACCCCTCACCTGGCTTCCGTCCGACACATTCTGCAGATTGCACCCACTTTGCACTTCCCAGGCTCATCTCTACATCAAACTACAATGGGCAAACCTACACAACCTGAAGCACCAGCTGCTACTTCCAACGATACGGCTTCTTTATCCTCGTCAGCGAAAAACGCCATGCCTGCCGGCGCGCCGCCGCCCATGCCTCCACCTCCTTACTTCAAAACACAATTCATCGATCCGAGCTCTTTCAAATCCGCTGTCAACGACAAGCTCGACCAACCCCTTTTGTCGCTATTTCGCCTTAGTGTACGGATACTCCAGCTCATTTTCGCGTTGGCCTCAGGCATATCCTATGCTATTGAGTTGTCGCACGGCAATGGACGCGGCGAAGCATCAGGGAGCTTCGTATTCTCGCAAGTTGCGTTTGGCGCTACAATCGTCATGCTCATCATCAACGGCTTGACTGTGCGGTACTATCGCATCTCATGGATTTTTGACTGGATCCTCACGGTATTCTGGTTTGCAGTGTTTGCCGTTTTCTTCAAGGTCTATATGGGAGATGCCATGACGCAAGCGTATGAGGGAGTCAATCTCGGACGTATGAAACGAGCTGTCTGGTGTGATCTCATAAATGCGCTGCTGTGGTCGGGGAGTGCACTCTTCTCCACAACGATGTGTTGCTCCGGCATGAAGGCGTCTATCAAAGGGAAGATTCAGAACAGAAGACAGAGGAAGGAGAAGGTGAAGATGATGCAGACGCTAGGCCAGATGGAGACAGGAACTATTCAGACATAACAGTACCTAGAAGCCAACATGTAACGTTCAGCACTTCGTAGGTATATCACCAGCTGCATAATTAAGCAACTCTCTCAAGCAATTTTTTTGTCGACTCGGATTCGCCTTCAGCCACGAACTTATCACCGTCCGGGTAATATGACGGGCAATCACAGCGATGACCCTGCCGGGTGTATTCGCTACCGCGATCGTATGAGTACTAACGTTGACGATGGTTGCCGCAGGAGGGCTGTGTGCGGGCCAAGCGACAGGGGCGGCTCCCACCTCGGCGGCTTTGCGACTCTTCTGCACCGGTGGGAACCTCCCTTTCCACTTCCTGCACCCCGTGGCCGAAACACGATCAGGAAGGATCGATACAGCACTAGCTTCTTCGCCGCATGCTGTCGTGAACCTAACGCCTCGATGCAGGGCAGGACTGGGCTTACAGACGATGGTGTACCGAGGTGAGTGTGACCGGTAGGGCTGACGCGCCCACGAATTAGCTGACACCCCACCAAAGGCAAGCCATCATCAGGTGCGTAGGCCTTTCAAGTCTCGCGCGATACTCCGCCATGACTGACTTTTGTTCAAGCGTGTGGAGAATGTAGAAAACGTAGAAGCAGGGTATGTTGAGATCTCATTATGCAGTTGACTCGCCGTGCATCTAGCTTATCATTCATCGTAGTGTGATCAAGCCACACCCTGTGGACAATGCGTCAAGGCTGGGCGCACATGCCCAGGATATCGCAATGCAGTCGATCTCTTGTTTCACGACGAGAGCGCAAAGTTCGCCAGGAAGAATAAAGGCCAGTCCTCTAGATCAACAGCAACAACGACACAGAAGAAAGAGGACGCACTGCAGAAGGTTCCACCCGTCAACCTCACCAATATTGTGATATATCAGCCATGGGAAGACCTGGGTGTTCACTTCTTCATGTCGAACTACGTCGGCACAGACCCTGATGTATCACAGCTGCATTACTTCCCCAATTTCTACGCGACGTCGGGTTACACTACTACTTCGTCACTGAAAAGCGCGATCGTTGCCAGTGGGTTGGCGGGCTATGCCAGAGTTGCTCGCCGTCCTGATCTGATCGAGCGGTCAACTAGGACGTATGTTTCCGCTATACGAGACATCAACACTGCATTGTCCAATCCTAAGGATGCCGTTGACGATACCACCCTCATGTCGATCTTGATGGCAGCGATGTGGGAGACTATGTTGGTTTCGCCAGAGTCGGGTATGCACAATGTCAGCAGACATCTTGAGGGTGCGATGTCCGTTGCGTACCTGAGTCTACAGCGGCGACCGCCAAGTGACGTTTTCAAGGCGTTGCTTACCACTTTGGTTCAGAGTGTAATTATGAACTGCTGGATTCAACATGTACCCTTGTCGCCTAGCTACAAGCAGATCAGACCCTTTGTACCGGACAAGATCAATCCGCATTCAGTCCATGCAAGACTTGTCGATGTACTATCGCGAGTGATCGAGTTACGAGATGATCTCAAGCAAGGGCCATATCAAAGCCCAGATACGATTATCCAGCGAGCTCTGAGACTTGACAGCGAGTTGAAAACGTTTATTAACGAGATGCCGAGCCACACGTTGTTCGAAAAGTGCTGGATGCCGACAACACAGGCAACCGAAGTACAGCAACTGGCATACAACTCGATGTTCCATGGTAAGCCCTTGATGCTCTCATTCTGCAGACGCGTGAACACTCGCTGACCTGGAAAAGTCTATCCACAACAATTCGCTGGCCATCTCTGGAACAACGTTCGATCTTCTCGCATACACCTGCACCAGCTCATCCATCAGCAATGCTCTATGCTACTGTCTCTCGGCATTGGAAGCGCGCACACCAATTTGCATCTACAAAGATCAGCGTCTGAATCCGTTACCATTGTCCTTGCCGAAGAGATATGTGCAACCATCCCACAGTTGCTCACATACTCCGACTATCTCCATCAATTCGTGGAGTCGACCGACATCACGCTACCAACCCGCCCACGATCACGAAATCGAAGCGACGCAACTATGACATCTGGCTTCTCAGAACCCACAGACTCAGCGCATGAAGATTCTAGCTCTAATGTCTCATCACCAAGTCCCTCCAACGCATCGAGTCCGCACTCTACATCCACCCATTCCTCGTATTCATCCAGCAAAGATACTTCCAGGACCTACACAGCAAAAGTCCCTCTCTTTACTCCTGGCGCGCTCGACCCCGCAAGTGCTTTTCACCTGTTACTGAAGCTGCACAACCTCCTGGTTATCCCCTGGCTACCTTTCAGCATGCAGTCCTGGGTCCAAGGCCGAATCTCCTGGATCGAGACCAACTCCGATCCCTACAGTGCTGGGCGCATGCTAGACATGGTGCGCAAGCGGCCTTGCGATGGCTTTCCCGTTAGCGACGCACCAGGCCAGGTACCCCTGGGAGGAATCTGCAACACGGTCGCGCTCACATCGGCCGACCAGCGGCTCTGGTTTCTAGCGCACAGCTGGCTGTTCGTGGGCATCGATTGGAACGCGGACTCCTACTCTGAAGCAAGTCGCCCCCGCATCTGCCCCCTCGCAGTGCCCCGTCTCAGTCCTCTCGCACTGTCTCTCGCACTGCCTGGCTCGACTAACGGCAACAGCAATCCGCCACCGATCCCGCAGCAACCGAGCACTCAGCGCAGCAAGCCACAGCCCACGAAGATCTCCCCGGCGACAACACCGTGCCATCGCCCCCGGGCAACGAGGCGACAGAGGCAAGGACGTCCAAATTCTTGAAGTGCATGTGGTAGCAGGACCTGACTGGAGCAGCAGCAGAGGAACATGAGACGCCGGGTGCAAAGAACGACGACGCAGACGAAGACGGATGAGTCCATTGACGAGTTGCGGCATGATGCAAAGTTGGTGTGGAGAAAGCCGCACTGGACGTTTGGATGAAGGGTGCTGTTAGGCGTACGCGATATAGGCACGAAGACTGCCCAATCGCAGACGGAGTCTTAATGCAAGACTAGAGTACCAAGCAAGAAACATAACAGTGAATGATAAATTGTTTTACAATTTCACAAGTTGGATGTTGACATTCCCTGATCAACGCTGTTCCAGCGCCTTGCCGCGAAGCACTTTCGCAAGCAGGCTGTGATCGAACGCCCGCTATGTAAAACGCCTGAGTGCCAACTACTATTGTTGGCATGCATTCATGATGGTCAAGTTGACAAAAGCATCAGTCCTTCGTGAGATCCAGTTGTCTCTGTTCCCACGCGTCCAGCGCCTTCTGCAACCTGGCCTTCGCCTTCTCCCCGCCATCCGTGAGACCCTTCTTCTTGTTCTCCCGCAATAGTGTCCATACATAAGCCTTGGGCACTTCGTCAAGCCTCTTACCCTTGAAGCCGCCCTTCTCAAATGTATAGCTATCCACTTCAGACTCGTAGAGACCCTTGGGGTATAAGTCCACAAAAGCTTGCCGCATCTTAGGATCGTTGTGGTACTCGTCCGAGTTGAAGATGGCGCGTAGGTACGATATGGGCAAGCTGTCCATGCGACGGCCGCGATATCTGCCGAAGGTGAAGCAGTAGTTGTTCGGACGTCGCGCCGCGTATGCTTGTGGTTGGACTGCAGTAGTGGAGGCGAAGCCAATGCCGTAGCGCGAGGGCTCAGCCATGGACGTGTCGCGGGTTTGTTCAATAAGAGAGAACTCTGAGAGCGGAACAGTCAGGGAGAAAGGCGGGGGCGGCGTGGTGTTGATACCGTAGCGGCCGAGGGCGCCTAGGTGGTAGGTCCCTTTGACTGGGTAGGAGAGCACTTCGCCGGTCTGGACAGATGTGTAAGGCTGGCGTGACTGAGGATCGATCTCTGCAGGGACAGACATCGTGCCGTCTTTGTATAGTGAGAGAGCTGCGATGGCTTCGGCAGTCGTGAACATGACAGCCCTAGAAGGGACACGATGAGGCTGTGCAGGATTCCACCGTGTAGTTCTGTCCTTGCTCTGTTGAGCGGTCTCCAATGCGCCTGCCCGGCCCGTCATGTTGGCGTTACTACCATTGATAGGCTGCCAAGGCAAAGGACCGGGCCTCTCGACCTGGTTGAGTGTTCTCATAGTTGCATCAGCGACCGCAGCGTCTGCCTTGTCCACCTCTTCCAGACCGTCCTCATCGAACTTTAGTTCCGCCGTTCGCCGCTCAGCTGGCGCAACAGGTATCCTTGCCTTGCCCCTCCGATTCGAGCTTAACGTATATCGTGAATCGGTATCATCGTCGGAGTGCTGTGAAGCGACAGGCTGGGATCGTTGCGTGGGTTCGTCGTCACTCGAATCGCTGCTTGTTAAGTCCACCCCTGCAGGCTTTCGTGTACTAGCGAGATCCGCACGAGTTTTCTCGATTATTGAGCTATTCTTGCCTTGGGCTCTTTCCTTGCGTGTTTTGTGTGTTGCCTTGGCTGTCAAAAGCCCGTTTGCCTGTCTTGATGGCGACGCCAACGGTGGCACTGCTGGTGCTGAACTTGAAGGCACAATCTTCGCAGTGCTTTTCACCTTCTTTCGGCGCTTAGCCAAAGGCTGGCTGAGCGGCTGCGTGGTGTTTGTTGTTTCTGGCGTTGCAGTGTCGTTCTTTCGTCGTCGTCGTTTCACGCGTGTGAAAGGCGGCAACTGGATTGGCACAAAGAAGTCTTTTGATTGTCGGCGTGTCGTCACCATGGTGATCGCGACTACAGTGCTGGCGTTCTGCAGGCAGCCGTGAACGACTGACTGTAGCGCAGGGAAGCTGTGGAAAGATGATGCTGTGTTTGTGAACTTTTGGAGTTGGCGCTAACGCCAAAAAGTCTAAGGCAGTCGCGACCGCACGTGCCGGTCCGATGGCCTAAGGATGCACCTTCCCCTGCCGGCCAGTCTTCTCGTTAAAGTCTGCCAGAGCCTCTTTCAAGCCAGGCCATGAGTTGATGACAGTCGGCATGCCCTCGAGGGTCTTTAGGTAGTTCTCATCGACATCGCCGAGGCGTTTACCCTTGAAGGCACCCTTAGGAAACTTGTACTTCTCACACGCTGAACCACCACCACGTGTTCGTCTTGGAGCTTGGACTGGTGCCTGTGCTGGTGGTTGTTGATTCGTCGCTGTCTGCCGCAGTCCTGGACGGTGATGATCGAATGCCTCCTGCAAGCCTGGGTGCCTGCCATCAAAGACAAACGACTGTCCGCCAATGGTGCGCAGATAGTCCTCTGGTACATCTGAAATATGGCTATTCTTGTACTTGCCCCAGTCAAAGACGTAGTCTTTCACAAAGTCATGGTCTGGGAGTCGTGGAGCAGGAATTGCTGGTTTGTTTATGGCTGCTCGTTGTCCTCTCGGGAAGTCCGAAACATACGTGGACGATCTTGTTGAGTAGTTGCCAGCATTGCTAGGACCATACGCATGTGGCCCCTCCGTAAATGTGATGTGCGTGTTCTGCGTGAAGCTGTAGCTGTTACCGTGGCTGTGAAAGGCTTCGATATCGACCTCTATGATCTGTCCGCTCGCATCAAATCTACCCATCTTTCTTGCGGCCAAAGGGAAGCCGGCCTGGTGCAAGGTATCGTAGATAGATATTGCTTCCAGCGCAGTGAACATGACCTCGGCCCTCCTCGGTCTCCCGCTTTGTGGTCGGACCTCTCCCAGGTTGATCATCATGTCGTCTGCGCTGTCGTCGGTGTCGAGGTCGCTCATCGAATCGTCCATGTCAGAGCCATCGTCGGTAAGCTCACCTTCTTCGAGCTCCGAGTCGTCCGAGTCTTCCGAGTCGTCCAGCGCGATTGGATTGAACGAACTGCCACCACGCGCTCGAGTGCTGTTATGCAGGGCCCCGAATTGGTTCCCGCTTCTCTGGGCCTCGACAAACGACCTGAATTCTTCTGCACCACCATGACTGCTTTGTTCCCGTGTCGGGCGACCTCCAAAATTTCCTCCTCGGCCTCCACGCCCTCGACCGCGGCCTCGCTGTGGCTTGCCTCGCGCTGGCATTTTGGATTTCGGTATAGGAGGTGGAGGCGCTGGTTTGGCAGCTACACCGCGCTGCGCAGCGACGCGTGCGCGCCGCTTTTGGCAGGGCCGTGGCATGACGCGACCTTTGACAACCTGCATGAGTGAGTGTTGAGACTCGAGCCGACGCTTGAGGCTCAAGTGCGGAACGGAGTGTGGGTCCGGACAAGCGACCCTGGAATGCGAAGGCCTCCGCTGCGTTCCTCCACATCTACCATCATCGACCTTGACGAGCGATCAATCGACGGCAGATACCGCAAGTCACCGGTTCCAGCGTTGCGATCAGCAAGTGAAGCTCGATACACATTGGTCCGGTACAAGAAGGCTCGACTCCATGCACGTCAATTCACAAACTCGACCACCTAAAAGACAGGGGCGCACCAATAAAAGACATTTCGTCCGTACTTGTACACCCCACACGCAGTGTTTCGAGCGCCTCCAAAGACGGTAGATCTGCTGTCATTCATCGCGAGTATTGTTTATAAATCAGTTCACAACCTTGGTATGAGGAAAACTCATATTGAACTTCAATCATCATGCTTTCTAACCCTAAGAACTTGGTTTAGCTTGTTCTAAGCTCTTTCTCTCTTTCATCTGCATCTGTTTGCGCAGCGTACAGTACCTTGCATGCTGTGTTTTCTTTGCGGCAAGCAAATCGTTTTCAGGAAATAATAGACGAGCGCAGCCGCATTAACGTTAATACGCCACCACTACGCCTCCTTTAGTATCCAATATGGCCTTAAGGTTCACATTATTCGGGGCTCGGTGCTATGCATGCACACTGTCGGTATCGCTACTGCCGGTGGCGCAAAGGGTTCGCGTAAATGACACCGCTAAGCCATCTAGACTACGAGCTGAGTGTTGTGACAGGAGCTAAATGATGATAAGCTCAGCCTCACCAACAGGATACATGATTCGGGAGTCAGTAGTCTGCTTTCGGCCATGGGTATACACTGACCTGACTCCAATGGGCTGATCGCGTGGCATCTCTGAGCCTCTTTGGTGGCTTCTCCCGCTCCTAGTCTGCCCGTCTACTTAACCTGAGCCTTTGCCCGTTCTATTCAGCCTTTCAGCACGTATCTCCTGTCTCTCAAAGGCTTTCTATACCGGGTCGTATACTACGCAAGATGCACACCTCAACTTCCTTGCTGGCTCTCGTCCTTCCTGTTTTGGCATCAGCAGCTGGTACCTGCACCAGTTCTGGCTCTATAGCATGGCCCCCCGTCGGTGACTGTGCGACCCCAGGGAAATTCGACACAGCTGTCCAGAACTGTAGAGCTTGTTGCATGAACGATCAGCCTTGCTTTACTACATGCCTGAAAGCTGCTGGGATTGGTAGACGCAGCACCGCCGATGAGACATTCTCGGGCTTTGTCCCAGACGCCCGAGGGCTGGGAAGGCGGGCTGTGGACCTGACCTGTGATGTGAATGAGGGCTGTTACAAGTTCACCGATGGCAGCTTGTTGTGCTTGAGCTTAGGAACGGGTATGTTGCACCGCATGAGCCACAAGAGAAGACAAATGTCGGGCTGACAACCAATTTTTTAGGGAAGTACCACGACGACGTAGGAGGGAATGGCGATTACTATTCTGGCGTATACACGGGCCCAGATGGAAAAGTGCAAACTGGCACTTCGACGGCGACGGCGACGGCTACGGGAAACACACAATTACCTTCATCCACGGCGCAAGGAACTAGGTCGGCGAATGTGGCTCAGACTACATCAGCGGGAGCTGCGAGTGCAGCTACAAGCTCTGCTGCTGCGCCTGCCAGCACTGGCGCTGCGCCTGCGATGGCCCGAGCAGTCAACCATGGTCTTACAAACGCCGGAATTCTAGGTCTCGTAGTTGGGCTTGCTCTATAGAGCTTGCGCAGTGTTTTGGCCGGACATGTTTTGAATATGTGCCGCATCACTCCATCTTGGTATGTGACTAGAACGAATAATGAAGATTCCGAACTATAAAACAGGCGATCTTTCCTGCACTGATCTCATCAAACATCTTCATTGAAGCTACAGAAAGGGATGCTCGATCAATGCTTCCAATTGATCAGTCTCTTCCTGTGAAAAAACGTTTTAGTTTCTGCGCCACACCAGGTCCCCGGCTTGACTTACCGTCGTCACTGACCCAATTCCCATTACTAGTCCATCGCTGCACTATATCCATCACGTCTGCGTTCCCAGTCTGTTCAGCCTCGCTCCGAAGATACGCAGCATCATCAGCGTCCCCATCCACACCCCTGTCCACGAAGAACTTGATCACATCGACTCGTTCGCATACCACCGCTTGCCGCATCGCCTGCGTCGACAGAGTAACACCCTTTTCTATCATGGTCTCAATCACGCCAAGTGTCTGGCCGCCCAGGATCGCATTGCACAATGTCCGGGGGAAGTAGCCAGCCTCGAGATCGGCATCATGCTCGATTAGGAAACGGAGCAGGGGTGTAATCTTCTCCGGTGGCTGTTCGCACGCCTTGGTGACGAATGTGTCTGTATGGTTGTCCCATTCGAAAGAGACAATGGTGCGATCATAATCGTAAACCGCTTGGAGAATGTCCAGGTTCGGATGGCGCACTAATGCTTCGATTGTTTCACCGGTGAACTGGACCTTAGTTTTGGAGTAGGTTTTTAGGATGAGAGACACCACGTCAAGCTGCCCGTTTGTGATTGCGGCTGCAAGCATGGAGTTGGCAGGCGGTGGTCCATCGGCGGAGGGTGTGTAGACTGGTTCTGAGTCTTCGACGCTATTTACTTTGAACAGTTGTTGCAAAGCTTGCACATCTCCCGAGGTGCATGCATTAATCATTTCCTGCTGCTGCGATGACATTGTGCCGTGTGGATATTATTCTGGGTGATGTGCTTCCTAGTTGATACTTGGGTAGTTGGAAGAAGACGGCGTGATGTAGCTCGGCACGATATTGATAGCAAGTTGTTCGAGCGGATTGTTGGCAAGGCGCTAACACGATTGTCAAGCGATATCCTTTAATCCTAAAGTCTTGTATTGGTGATGTCTGAGGAGGACTTCTCATTAGCTATAACTAGGTGGTAGGTGCGGGGCGCGCATGGGTGGATCCTGTCCGCGCCCCGAAAGGCTGCCAGTTCCCTTCAGGCCCCCACAGTCCGAACAACACGGATACCGACAAAGTCCGTCGGCATCCAATCCGCTGCCGCCTATCCGTCTCTGCACCGGTCATCAAACCCACCGAGCTTCAACGGGCTCGCATATGCGTAGCACCCTCCCGGGCTGGATTGCCGGTCCACGTTCCACTACGATGTAGTCCTGGTTCTTTTCGCATCTACTCGCCATTTGGTATTACGCAGATGTGAGTTGATGCAGATAAAACTCACAAGTGCTAGCTACGGAAGACTCTGTGATCCAATGAAGGCATTTGATGGTTCTATCACTGGGTATTTTGAGCACCGAATCGTCAACAGCCAGTTACTCAGTTGTCAGTTGCAAGGTCTTGCAAATTATGTTTCCACTGGAAATTCTAGCCCTGTCAATATTAATACGGAGATGAGTTTTCTGACACGAAGGTGTATTGAGCAGATGCCTGAAGATCTTGGGACCGGAACACCGACTTTTCACAACGCAGCTACTCGAATCTGGTCTGTATACCGATCTTCTATACGCAGGATGAGCTACTGAACGGACTCGTGCTGACCTGAGTTCCTGTAATTCCACCAAATGTCCAAGGGTAACGAGCATATAAACAAGCGACTTTACTCTCAACATGGTATCAATCAACACTCTTTCACCAACTCAGCAGCGCAAGCAGGACTTTACCGGCTGTACACTCACTTATCTTTGCTTTCTGTTACCGTAAACTAACATAAAATACCTTTGCGCCACATACATTTACTCACTCTTTCCAAACTTCTCAACATGTCAACCTATATCTTGGTTATCACACTTGGACTCTTCACTAGCAATGCCTTAGCAGGCTGCATTCCTTCCAAGCTGGCACCCTGTGAGGTCGGCGTGCAATGGCTGAATAAATGCCCCAAAGGAATTCCCAAGAAATGGGCATGTCTGGATCCCAAGATTGATTTCCCAACCGTTGATTGCATTGCGGCGGACATTGAAGCCTGCGGGACCCTAGCAGCGAACCCAGCTCTCTTCTACTCGTTCGGCGCCACCACTATCGAAGTGCGTACGAAGATCCGCGACACGCTGACCCCCCGCCCCGTAATGTTCAATGACGCGCTGCCGAAAGACTGGGACAATAAGATCAGTGCAGAGCCCCGCTTCGGCCTCACCCAAGGCAAGATAGCAGACCCAGGATTCCAGAAGCGATACGATGCATACGTGAATCGCTTCTCAGCGGCCATGGCAAAAGCGGCAAAGGGGGAAGTCATAATCGTGACCCAGACGCGAACCTCACGCAACCAAGGCGAAGGCGCATACTCAAAACCGGATCCGCAGACGCCCGCAGAGAACAGATGGCGCGTGTACGAGTTCCCGATCGCGCAGCGAAATCCGAAGGTGACGAGCGTGGTCAGCTACGCACTCCAAGAGAACCCCCTTAAGAAGGTCGTCGACTTCCAGCCTAATGGCGCAAAGGGAGAGCTTTTGCCAATGCCTTCCTTCCCAAACCCTCCCAAGCCAGTTTCCCCTCAGCAGCCTGCTACACCCCCTGCTTCTACCCCGACCCCTCGACCTGCCACTCCCGGCTCCCCGAAGCCTAGACCCAGCACCCCCAAACCCGCTCCGGTTTCCCCAAAGCCCAAGCCCAGCCCTCCCAAGCCCGCTCCTGCGCCCCCCAAGAAGCCTGTTAAGAAGCCTACACGCAAGACACGCGCGGCTCGGCGCGCAGAGATGCTGAGGGATTCGCGAATGTGAGGGCTGCGCTACAGTATCACAAGGGAAACAATGCTCGAGCTCACGTCTGATGTTTTCCGGGATTCAGGTATGCCAACACCACCAATATCATATGCAACGAAGATGGAAAATGAGGGATGGAAGACGGAGGATGTAGTTAAAGTCGTGCACGCGTCGATACGTTGCAGTTTCAGTTTTAGCAAATCAGAAAAGTCTGCTGTTATCCAAATTTCTTATATGTATCATGTTATCGATGTGCATATGCTGCATCAGGCAATCTGTCCCCCAAGTCTCCAGTGTCGGGCATAGTATTTCTGCCCCTCACAATGCTATGTCCTGTCTCGGACATTCTTTGCGTCATCACTGACACCATCCGAAACAACGACCTCTTCTTTGCACCATTAAAACAAATCCATTATGTGTACCTTCACGTCCTTGATACTGACTCCCAACTGCAGGTCTTCTGCGGCGCCAAAGCATGGTTAGACTTCAGATCGACTCGAATACACCGCAACATCCTCCTATCAGCAGTATCCTCCCAATACGACGATTGTTGCAAAGTCCATGCGAGCATTACATCACTACAAATCTGGTAGAGCGACATAACATCGTCGGGGGAGACATCGAACCTTCGAAGAACCCACAAGCACGTCCAGTATCCCCTGATGTCTCGTACACTGCGTCAGCAGAGTCGACAAATCACACAAAGACGATAAGCCATACCAAACGCATAATCTTGACGCTTTCCCAATGTTTTTTGTCGTTTTAAAGCGGCTTCTCCGACAACCAGCTGGTACTGCCCTGATCAGCATCAGGCAAGCCTCCCATCAGATCACAATGAATGCAATAGTATATCTTCTACCGCATTATGGGCCAAATTTGCGTCCAGGCTCCAATATCTTGAAGGGACAAGACTTCCAGTCGCAGGTATCCTGTGACGATCAGCTCTGCTAGTAGCCCCAATCGAAGGTTTCTAACTTACCTGGTAGACTTTTGTACCCCACCAGCTGAAGTGATCCGAGGCCTTTGACCAGAAAACAGCAAAAAAGATGATGACTGCCGCTATAGCGATGGAACTGTCGAGGGCTGTGCTGAGCACAAATACATATCGTTTCCACCACACCGTGTACTTTCGCTTGATGAGAACTCCAGCCGCGAGACCAACAATAGTCCAACTGCCATAATTTGTGCCAGAAGCAGGGGGCAGGAAGTTCAGACCACCAAGCAGTAATGGTACGTGTGCATGCCTCCAGAAACTATTCGGGAAGCGCCGTTTCAGTCCGTATACAACGACAGGGAGCACAAGACCCAGAATAAAGAAGTAAAGTAAGCTGTGGTAAGTCGAATCTGTAGAAAAGAAGCGGCGCGGCCCAACAGCGCCCCAGATGGTGCTAGTGTTAAAGTGGGTACGTGAAAAGGGACAGGTAAAGCCGTTCACAGCTTCCTTGGTACACACGCCGCTGATGTTGGTGAGTGCCCAGTTCAGAACGCCGACTTGCGCAAGGGTTGCAACGCAGATGGCTACTAGCTGGACAATGAAGAGCTGTCGTGGGGGAATCTAGGCACCAGTCAACAACAGTGACTTGGAGATAACGCAAACTCGACTTACTCCACAGTAGAGCCCCAATTTGAAGTCCTGCGAGAATTGCAAAGCTTTGATCCCGGAAATGTAGCCAAGATTGAAAAACCAGATATTCGCCAGAACGCGACCTTCCCAAATGTATCCCGCAATGATCCTGCAGAAGACATCTATGTTTATTCTGAGGTTCGTTGTACCGTAGATAATACCTAGCTGACCTGAACTCAGTAGGAATACGTAGCGGTGGCCTTTCAGACATGACTTACCGGTACAAAAAAGACAGTGGAAACAGCAAACGCTAAAAGCACACCGTACCAGGGCAGCTGCACTTTCCAATACTCGCAACAAAAGATGGCAAGAAATAAAGATACTGTGGCTGTTACCCAGTACCACCAAATTGGAGTCTCCAAGACTGAGCTTCCAGTCGTTTTCTGATTTGTTGCTCTTTTCCGGTGAGCATGCTTGATTTTGGAGACGGCGTCCCAGATCTGGTTCCTCTTCTCGAGCAGAAGCCAGATGAAGAGGGACACAATGGTGGCGAAAGCAAGGCCAAACTGATTCAAGGCATAAGTAACGGGCAGGTATATCTGTTGTTAGTCAGCTATGAGATGGTGAAGAAGTCTTCAGGGTTGCTGACCGATGAATACTCTTGATATCTAACAGAATCAAGCTGGTACCCGTCATGCTTGTTGATGACCCGGCTGATATTGTACGCTTTCCCCGTATTGTCGTAGACTAAATTACTCTGGATGGGTAGATATGCCGAATTCCATACGTTGGTGTAGTAGAGCGCAGGCGAAACCAAGAGCAGCCAAGACATTCGCGATGGCCCAGCTAGGCACGACCAAAGGTGAGCCGATATAGGCAATTTGCGACCCTGGACCCCACAGTTAGATTGGATTCGCATGAAGTTAGCAGCAATGTCATTGCAATAGATTTTGCCATGTTTTGACATGACGTGCACATAAATAGGAGTCAGACTTACAATCGAATGTCACCGGAAGTAGACCGAGTCCACTATTCATGCCGAATATTTGGTTCACTACGGCGTTGTTGGGTGCAGCCCAACATACAAAGGTAAAGTAGCTCAGAGCAGGAAATATAAAGTCGGGAAACCAATACCAACAGAAGGAGATTGAGAATGCAATGAGAAAGAACGAGTATCTCGACATCCGATATCTGTGCCTGAGACGATGTCAGATGTTGCAATGTGGTACAACTGAACGACTTACACAGATTCCGGCTTGTCTTTGGACGAGTGAAGAGCATCGTTGAGTGCCGTATTTGCAAAGACGCCGGGCCACAGCATAGATGACGGGTCAACAACGATAGACTTGCAGATACCCGCAATGGAAAAGCCGTATAGTACGGTGGCTAACGTGATCATGAGTTCGAATCCCCAACCAGTCTCATAGCCGAAGAAGACGCGCTGCTCCGTAAGTACATCGGCACTCAGTCGGGTCAAGAAGCTCAAATTAGCCATGACATATATAAGGATGTTTTCCTGCGAACTGGTGTTAGGCCTTAGTGTGAGTCAGAACAGACAAACATACCTTCTGATTGAAGGGACCCGGATTCAGTCTCAGTTTCCAGCCCAGAATGGACAAGGTCCACTCAGGAATTACCCTTTCCCAGATCTTGCCCACCGGGAAGGCAAGAAACTGAACAGCTGACTGAGTGAGAGATATTGATGGAAAACGCAGTGTGTATAGGGTGTTGAGGCTGCATCCAAGCAATGTGAACGCGATGCCAATCACCCACATGCGGAGTGTCAAGCCAGGCATGGCAGGATCATCCGCTTCCATATGTATACCTGCTGCTGAAAGTATCCCACTGACATCATCACCATTGATTCCACTGTTTGCTTTGCCGTGTGAGCTTTATTCACGTACAGAAGGATAAAATGTACATACACTCATCGTCTACATTGCTGGAACTCTCATTAACCACTCGTTCGAGTTTATTTTCGAGCAGCATCCTTACACCAAAAGAGTTCTGCTTAGGAAGATAGCGATCAATCGGATAGATTGATAAGATTATCGTGCTGAAGCTTATTGTATATAAGCCTTGATCGCTTGTTCGGCATGCTATTCGCTTTGCCGTATCATGTACACAACTGGTTTCAGGTTGACAAAACACGACATGTCAGTTGGCCAAGTTCTTGTCCATCGGCAGCAAACAGCACGTTTTGGACGCTTCGAAAGGCAGCCCCTAAAGGCCCAACATAGCTTGTGTATATGGCGCACTCATCTTCCCACGATTCTTGTAAGAATAGAACCACCATGATTTTGAGCGAGGCCTCGAGTCCAAGTCTTTCGGGCCCTCCGCTACCAGAAAATGGATACTGGCGAATGCTTCGGAATGAGTTCCACAGAGAGCGATGCTTTCCAAAGAGAGATTTCAGCTCGACTCCAGACAAAGACTCTGAGGGACCCATGGTAACGATGTGGTCCAGGTGGTTTGTCGTAGCTGCATCGAAGCAAAGCGTCTTTATTGCATTCGTATTATTTTGGTCGGACTGGACACATACATCGTGTATATGTAAAAAGAGTGCGGCTAACGGATGCAAGGAGGTATTTGTCCACGTGCGGCCTCGCAATATCGCCCAGACTGTGCGGGCAACATGTACCATATACGGATCATTCGGTTTGCTGAAGAAGCGCAACGAGACTTTCACCGTGTCAACCGGGCCAAATGCTCGGGTAGGACAGCAGATCCAGGTAGGCCAGAGCTCGTTGTCAACAACCATCACGTCAAGTGAATATGTCAATCTGAGCCGGTTCAAGCGGTCCTGCGTTTCAGCTCTGAGCTGAGAGCTGGTGCCGAGTAGTCCGAAAGCATTGTACGTTCGAAGGGACAGGATTGGCAATCTCAACGCGCCTTGCCCCACGGCATCTTCCCTTGACTGCACATCATGTGCTGGATCATGTGGAGGATCTTTGCAGGATAGAATGACATAGTCGATGATCTGGTCTCGAATCTCACGAGGTAAAGATGATAGTGAGTGCATCGAGGCGCGTGTTGGCGTTCAGGTTCGGCAGCCCACACCGAAAACCGCGCTAGGTTAACACTAGTTACCTAAATTTCAAGCTACGTCATCGCACTCATCGTCACAATGAATACAGTCTCCAACACTTAATCAGCGTTCCTCGTTATCCCATCTTCATTGAGTATATCGCCAGCCGAGGATGGTTGCTACCTGGGCAACATGTTGCCATTTTGCGCACGAATTGAAAGAGTCCCTCGAGCCGATGAGTTTATTAGCTTTATCTGAGCTGTGTTGTGAAGCATTGTATCACTGGAGGTTCAAGCCATGGCGGCCTTTATTCCATTGTTCATTCTATCTCTTATCACGTCGGACCAGGGTCTCAGACTGCAGCGCGTCATGGTTTCTTGCACCCATGTCTTTGCATTGTGTGTCGCCTCGAACGCAAACTGTGCACTGTAAACCACGATCCAGAACGTACATTGTACGGTTATCAAGAAGTCACTTTCCATGTCCACCTCGACATGATGATGGTGATGATTCTTACCAAAGTTCCATTGCAACAAATACGGGGCTGCACACGCAACCACAAGGCGAGAGAGAAAAGTGCCATTCACAACACACGCCCGTTTCATAAAGCGCGAGATCATCTCCAATTGATATCAACTCTGGAATTGGTCAACATATACGCAGAGAAGGCTACACAATCTGCATCATCGTCCGTCTTGGTAAATGAAGCACAACCGGATCCAAATAGTCACCGTCCTGCAAAGTGAGTTTGGTATAGAAAGTGTTTTGTAGGCGTCACTGCACATTGTAGACTCGGATTTGATCGCGCCGCAACGGAGCGACATTGACAAATGGTCTTAGTGAGTAAGCCGACGGCAACGATGATTTTAGGGTCATTGGTATCTCTGAGAGGGGTTCACTGTCAATCGATTCAGTTCAACGGGCACACATTGAGGTATTTTCTTATCATTCCAATAGTTCCATTCGTAATTTGGGGTAGAGCACATAACTGATCATAGAGCCCACTAAGGCCTAGGGACAAAATCCCAAAAAAGAAAAGAGATATGGATCGAAGAACTCCCAGCGTTTCGATTCGATATCCTCATACCTATAGGGCTGTAGCATCGGCTCCCATAACAAAGGAAACATGCTATTGCCGTTGACCAACACATGAAACGAGACGTTGGCATAACCAGAGGTCGTTGTTGCCACCAAAAGCCACCGTCTGTGCATGCGTAATCAAGCAAGAATATCAGCCAAGAAGGGCAGCGGACAGAACCCAAACATCCACAAGCACCATAGCTTGTACATCTTGCGATCTAGCTGATCGTCTCCCTTACCATAGGCCTGGAAAGCGATTGCCAATAGAGTGCCGCCAGTCAGCATAGGCAAGAGAGCAGTCAACCAACCGCCAGTGAAGAAACCCAAGGGAACATAGACCGACCAAAACGCCACGGTCACGAAAACTGTCCACAGCGCCGGCTTTCGACCAAGCTCAGTGACCAGTGTGCGACGTCCACGGGCCTTGTCACCAGCCTCGTCACGAAATTCTTGAGTCTGGATGGTCGTCAAGAGGATGCCTGCGGCGACGATGGCTGTCCACTTCCAGGCATCATAGCTCATGCGACACTCGGGACCGATGGCAATGGTCAGTGCCCCACCGAAGTAACAGGAGAATCCGGCACCACAGAACAGGTTTCGGATAACGCCAGACTTATTGCCACCACCATAGTCATTGTATGTGGTGATGAGGAACACGTACACGATGAAGATGGGCATGATGTTGAGCGAGTAGCTTAGAGTCATGGCTAGAAGGCTCGCGATAGCCAACAGCTTGTCTGCCTGCTCGGAAGTCATTCGACCAGAGGGAATAGGTCGCCATGGCTTGTTGATGGAGTCTTCCGCCACAGAGCTGACGCCACGCTGATTCTGCACGCAGAATTGGAGGATGACAAGCCATAGCCATAGAGAGACTTGAGGAATGCGTACCAGAACGGACAGAGCCGATTGATCTGGCAGATTCAGAGTGGCACCTGAGAGGGCAGCAAAGACGGCGAAGGCTGTGCCTGGAATGACGGTGTCAATGATTTGATCACCAGTGAATAGAAGAAAAGTCTGAGCATAGAAGCAGACAATGGCACCGAACTCGTCGAGAGAATTCTGGTAGCGCAGGAGCGCTTTCGAGCCGTGGCTCACCAGCTTCGGTGGGTACGGCATCCTCGATGGCTGTGTTCTTGAGATAACAAGTGTGCGTTGATGAACAAATTGCCGGGACTCTCTTGAATCAGATGTAATGTCTGCTCTTCTTCAAGTTGAGCTGTGGACGATGGTCCTGAGAACGGCCAAAACTGACTAGAACTTTATATGATCTGGAGGGGCCTCTTTGTTGCTTCACTAAGCGCGCTCACTGTGTTACTACTAGCGCAATATACAACAGGGTTACACGTTCCATCGAAGTGAAAAGCCGTGAACAGGGTGAGCGATCCCCACACAGTGTGCCCAGGTATGCATGGTGACGATTGATGATGCAGGCGGGCTAAAAGGCTTGCGTGAGTCGAGACTCATCGTATCGAGGCACTGCATCAATCCTACTACGCAGGTGGATGCCTTGGATCCATATCAGCACCGGCTCAACGCCAGTCTCGAAGTCTAGGTTTGAGAGTGCGGACGCCCTGTTAGACCTTGGTTATCAACGAAAGATTGTTGACTCAGGCAAGGACGCCCAATTAACGAAATGTATCGGACATCACAATTTTTCATTTTTTTACTTAGGACTGGTGAAGTGTAGTTTGTCTCTGTAGTCCCTCGTCGAACACACGATCTTGCCAAGGCGGCGTCAAAACCGCCTCGGCCGCATGTAACGTGTGTTGATCAGGCACTCAGCCAACCGGGGCAGACGAGTGGGAATGGGAACTTGGGGAGGTGATTTCTGATTTGTCTATAAACGCAAAAGTGGGGCTGTTGAGGCTTAGCGGCAGAGCTGATTGGCTGAAATCCGGGCGCGGCTGCTGTGAAGACGAAGGGATGAGCCCCTTGATGAGCGATTTGGCCAATTATGAGCTAAGAGCGCGGTAAGCTCATCTTAAGCGGCGAAGACCCACACCTGGACACCTGAGCATGCCTACTAGCTACTCATGAAGCTACCTCGAGTCATGTTGTTCACTTGTTCACAGTCTGCAAACGAACATTCCAGTTATGGCAGACACTTCCGTAGCTATGTCTACATTCTATCACAAATCTTGGATCATCTATCACAGGTCTGGTCCCAAGCTGACTGTGATATATTGACTCCCGACGCGGATGAGCAGTGAACTACCGCATCCTTTCCATTGATCGGTGAACTAGTATCGGAGACCCCGTCTGCGGCACAGCAGCTACATTGTAAGCTACACATACTAAATTGTGCTTCCAGATTTCAGCTGCATGTTACGTGCAATGCCCTAGATACGTTAGACATGGTCACACGTGGCGGATCGATACACACGATGGGTTGAAATTTGGCTCGAGATACCTCGCGATGGCATCTATAATCGGTATAGTTATATCTAGTATTTAGATCTATGGTACTTCCGTGATTTGTGGGTTATCTGCTCATCTGGGATGAAAGTTGGTCAAGCCACGAACGTAATTCAACCGGTGTTCCGGCATCACTTGAATCCTATGGACGGATCCACCCCTAAGAGCTTCAAATCAAGTTTCACAAACAGAACAACATCGGAGTAATGTTCAGCTGACGTTTAACGTTGTCTTTTGGGCTCTATTCTTGTCGCGACACAATGATCGTTGAATTGGCCCAGTTTACTTTCCGAGCTGTATCAGATACCTTGGAACTAAGAGTGACATTAACGAGTGAAGGGCTGATATCAGTAGTCTTCAGCCCAACAATGTTGGAGGAGCCCACTTGTGGTTCAGGAACTAGGATGACCCCTGGATACGCTGTCATATCTCCTGCAAGATGTCATACACTAATCTTGGTGCCTCTTATGTAAAAATCTTGTTATTGCAGTGGATATCGATATCGGGTTACCAAGGCGCACATTGCCGCCTTCACCGAGTTCGTGGCTAGCCACATATCAGCAACGTATGCACCCCTGTGCATCAATGCGGCAACTGCTGAGGTAAAAGAATACTGGTAAAGTAATATATCGAAAAATCGTGTTACATATCGTTGGGAGGATTGTGAGAGGAGCATAAAACAAGTTCAACAGTGTGATGGCAACCAGTAGCAGCTCATGTTTGAGCATCTTCACTACTTCACACAAATGTCTTTGAATATTGTTGTTTAGACTTTAGCTCATTATAGCTCAGACTTACTTGTGCTTGAGTGTTGTTCGCCAGGAGGATGCACCTAATGTGACGTGCAAAACGACTTATCTAACACCTCCCTGTCTTCGACCAGTGCCCAATCCGCTCGTGAGCCCCAAAGTTCCTAGATAAATAGTAACTCAACCCATTTGAGATACGTGATTTTCAGCTGAAATGCTCCAAAAGATCCCCACATGCTCATGCTTGAGCAGGTTTTGCAGGTCTAATGACCGCGAGTGCCGTGGCAAGAAAGTGCTACACAGGCTATCGTAGCCTACCGAGTAGATGTCTATTACCGGCGCCAGTGAGGAATCCAAGTTCACATTCATTCATGTATTCTATGAGCTCAATGTGATCTAGCCTATCCAAATCAGTCGTGGTGGGCTGAAGTGCCATCGCGGTATGTTCCAATAGGGTAGAGATACCGATGACGCTCAAACGGACGCTGTCATCATCGCAGTAAACTCTATCAAGTTCACTTAAGAGTACAGTGCTAGATGAAGCGAAAGTTGGAAACAGAGCAGCAGGTAGGACAAAGCTCCTACTTTGGGACTGTTGAGGCAGCTACTAGAAGTTGAGTATATCTGTATGAGACCGGGTGAAGAGGATACATAATAAGAGAGAGAGAGAGAGAAAGAGATTAATTTGGTAAATGAAGTACTTGAGCCAAGCGAAAGCAGTGGAAGAAGGGCAGTGATGGTTTGTTTTTCCCGGGTAGGCATCCCATCGGGAAACTACTCGGCCAAGTGACTCCGTAACGACCTCGAAGTTGATCAAGACACACGACATATTGCGATTGTCAGACTTGTGCTGCTGTCTTTGTGATTAGGGTATGGAGTGCTTGTAAGGAATGAATACACGAAACGAACGGCCAGTGGCAGTCGGCAGATGCGAGACAACCAAATCGTTCAACAAGCAACGATTCGAGATCACAGTAATCTTAGAAGACTTTGATAGAAAGTGTTTCCAGAACACAAAACAAATACCATTAATACAAAAACTTACACTATCGGTCGCAGAGTACTAAGCCGCATGCATCACTGCAACTACTCTTTGGGTTCCTCATTCTTGTCCTCAGACCGGATCTTGAAGCGGTCAGTCTTTTCATCAGCCCAGTGAGGCCGTGCGTCGAAGCCGAACTGCAGAATCTCGGGTCGCTGGTAATGACCAGCGGCATCAATCCAGACTTTCACCGCACCAAGTTGCGTGAAGTCTACTTCGCCTTGCACGATCTTTTCCTCACCACCTGCGTGAGGCCCAGCAATGAAATTACAGAATGGGGCTATGATCGATGACCAACCACCTCCTGCCTTGACAAGGTCTTGTGGTCCCAAATTCTCTTCCATCCAGCTGAGACACGTCTCATCGACGTAGTTGGATGCAGTTATGACAAAGACTTGCGCAGTAAGGGCATGCATTTTCATGAGAGCCTCAATTTGTGCATCAGCAACCTGTTCAAAACCTGCCATTGTGGAAAGCGCCGGCCATGCTCCCGCGTGAATGTGCTGATTCTGCATAATCAGCGCCTGCCGAGCGCCATTCATGGTATGCTCCCAGCAGGCGAGACCGCCGAGATTGTATCCAAGTGACAGGGGCCAGTTGCGCAGAGAACTGCCGTTGCCCTGGGCCCAGATATAGCGCTCAACATAAGTCGGCTGCAGCTTCCGGTGAACCCCTAGGATGGTGCCATCGTTGTCGACAATGACTTGCGAGTTGAACAAAGTATATCCGTTTGCAACGCGTTCAGAGATGCCAAGGTTAATAGCAACTCCAGTACGACGGCACGCATCTTGAATCGCACCAATGTCCTCTCCGTTGGGTTCCACCACGACGGATTCCTCAGCGTATTTAGCCAAAGCATTGACTTGCTTCAGAGGGGCGTAGCACTCGGCCCAGTACTGTGGTCTCGATTAGCGCGTGGCAGTTTGGGGAAGTCGTGTACTCACAGGATAGCCAGGAATGAACGTTTCGGGAAAAACAAGCAGCTTGACATCTCCTCGAGCAGCCTCTTCTATCAGGGCAATTGTCTTTCTGATAGTTGCGGCCTTGTTCATGAACACTGGTGCAGCATGAGCAGCAGCCACCTTGAATTTAGTTTCTTTTGCCGCCATTGCGTCCGCGCTGCAGTTGATGACGTGTGAGACAGTCGCGCAACGGGAACGGTGAGGTTTCACTCTGAAGAGGAAGAAGCATGCTACATGAGTACAAGCGAGTGAGGGGTCGAAGCTGCCCACCTATACCCCACTTATTCCTGCTATACTACTAGCCGATCCCCAGAACGGAGCTAGGCCGCCTGATGGGAGCTCCCAAACGGGCGACCCAAAGTGCCACCACCCCATCACGCAACATGTGTTTTGTTCCGAACCGACGAATGCCTGTATATTTGATGTGCGAGGTGACACGAAAAGCGGGCCTTTGAGCTCAGCACCAATGCTTGTAGTCATGTCTTCCGATCCGCAGCTTTGGTCGTGCTTCCCTTGCGTCACCAAAGATGATCCCCTCCTTGCGCTCCTACGACTTTGTTCGTAGCCTTCAATGACCTATTGCTACTATGGCCGTCAACTATTTCGCAAACCCACCACCCGGTCTAGACTTGACTGAGTCCCGAACTGCTTCCAACAATGCCGTTGGGATTATTCTCTTCGTTTTGTCGGTTATCTTTGTCGGGCTACGACTACTGACGAGACTGCGGTTGAAGCGCGAGAAACTTGGTCTGGATGACTATTTCATGTTTCTTGGGTTAGCACTCAATGCAGGAAATCTGGCATGTTGCGTAGCTGGTCAGCCACTTGCACCGACATCTGGTAGTCTGTGAGTATAGCTGATCGTTGCTTTAGGTGGATTCTACGGCCTAGGGAAGCATATATGGTCCCTTGATGCCTATCAAATGCGACAAATAACTATCGTAGGTATCTCACGTGGCTTTCCAGACATTCTTTTGACGATTATTGCAGATCACATTCGCCTATGTTTTCATCTACGCGTGGAGCGTTTGCATGATTAAATTCTCGATTCTTGCCCTTTACCATCGCATCTTTGGTATGACTTGGATGGGCTGGTTCTGTGTTACACTTACCGCAGGTTATTTAATCACTAATCATATTGTACTGCCTTTGTACACAAAACCAATCGATTACTACTGGAATCAGTGGAACGAAGGCGCCGAGGGTGTTGTTCAGGTAGATGAAGCAAAGGTCAGTAACAATACTTACCACCATATTTGTACTAGCTGACATGATTCAAGTTCTATCTTGGCGTTGGAATAATCAACCTGTTTGGTGACATCTGCATCTTGACTGTCCCCATCTCGAGCGTTGTACGACTGCGCCTTGCAAGGACACAGAAGATCGCGATATCGTTGATCTTCCTGCTTGGAAGCTTGTGCGCTGACCAAGTCTACATGAAATAAATTCCACTTTGCTGACAATACTAGTGTGTGCTTTGCCTCCATGTACCGAATTATCACCATTACCCGACTAGTCAGCTCGCCAGACATCAGCTGGGCCAAGAGTGATGTCTTCATTTGGTCCTCGGTAGAACCCTCAGTCGGCATCATATCAGGCTGTCTACCAACTCTTCGGCCGTTGATGCTGTACATCCTGCAGTCGTGGTTCAACTTCGTACCCTCCGACCGATCTTCTAGCGGCAAAGGAGCGCACTCGATTACCCTGAATCCCATCGAAACCATTGGAAAAAAACGGACGCGCAAAGTCTCAGAACATGATACTCTTGGCGAATCCCTGTTTACGGAACTCAACGATGATGGAGCTGTGGAAGGAGAGAGACAGGGACAGCATTCAAGAGCTTGGAGGCCAGATGAGGATGAGATGTGTCTTACGACAACTACTGTACATGGACGCAGTGATAGCAGATCTGCGACTGAGCGCACTTCACCGGTGGACATGGACGGTGGGGGGATTAATGTGACGAAGGAGTTTGAGTGGGACGTAGCGACGCGGACTGCTTATTGTTGGAATGGTAAGTAGTATTGGGTTCGAGCAGCTGACGTGTAAAATATAAGGAAGGAGGATGATTGCAAAGATTCGATTCTCAATCTCAACGCATCATCATTGTCAAGATGATCATAGTGGGGTAATTTATAATGCGTTTCCAAGGTAGCTATAGCACGCAGACCAGCACGTGTCCCAAGGGACAGTCAATGGAGCAGTCAATGGAGCAGTCAATGGAGCAGTCAACAGAGCCCCTGCCCACCCTCAAGACGAAGATCAACACTGCTCTTGAAGCTGATACGTCACGAATGTCCCGGAGCGTTGGGTTGGACACAGGCAGATACACGGGCAGTGGTGCGAGGATCGGGCGGTTCGAGGATCGGGCGGCTTGTGCGCGGACACGTATGCGTGCACAGCACACGCACGCGAGATTCCGTGGCGACGGGTTGGTTACGTGGCGACACGAGCCAGGCGGAAACGTGGGCGATCCGATCTGATGCTGTGTGAGGGGATGACGAGGTACAGAGGGTGATGCCTGCGTGCACCAGTACACAGAATGCATGGAGACAATGGAATGGAACTTAGAACCCATAAAGAAGTGAGAGGAACAGAGAAAATCATTCTTTTAGCGACTAGATATGCAACGCCGCCCAATGCAACCCTCCCTTCCACACCTAAACACAACACTACTCGTCATCCTTACCAGCCCGCTCGGCCTTCCACTGATCCTCAAGCGCCTTAACCCGCTCGACCCCCTTCGCATTCCCATTCCCACTCTCCCACTCCGCCCACTTCTTAAACACAGCGACGCCGCGCTTCCCCTTACCACCACCAGCCTTAGCAGCGCGCTCGTACAGCGCGCGCACCGCCTCAGCCGAGCCGTGGCTGCGCTCCAGGTCGATGTAGACATCCCACACGTCGCCCTTCTTGGGGAACGTGCTGACGAGGCCCTCGAAGATGGTGCGGCCGCGCTCGGGGTCGCCATTCGCGCTCTTGAACTCGAGCGCGGCGAATTTTTGCGTAAGATAGCGGTGCTGTGCGCTGGGAACTGATTGCGTGGCGCGCTGCAGGAGGGCGCGGGCGCGTGGTGGAGAGGGAGGGGTGAGGACATCCATTAGGAAGGTTGCATGGCCGAGCCAGAAGGCGGGGTCGGTGGTGAAGGACTTCTTCTTTGTCATGGATTGGTAAAGGGAGTCTGCTTTCTGCGGGGTTGTTAGTGTGGTGTATATGTAAAGGGGAAGGGGGCTTACGTCGAGCTTGCCGGAGGAGATGTAAATCTTGAGCATGCGCTCGTGCATCTCGCGATCATCCTGCTGCTGACATGCTTCTTTGAAGGTTGACTCTGTGACTTCATCGCCAGCGTGCTCGTTCTCCAAGTGAAGCAATGCTGTCCAAACATTCAACTTCTCCTGGTCTTCACGGGCGTTGATGGTGGCGAGAGCTCGGCGGGCAATTTGGCGCGCTTTCTCGATCTCGTTCAGCTCGCGCTGGAACACCATGTAGCGTACCCAGAGCTCAGAGCTGTTGGGCTGACCAAGAAGTAGTCGCTCGTAGTCTGCGACAGACTGAGGGCCGTACGCGTCGAGGTCGCCGGTGCGGTCTTCCTTGATACTGGCTTTCTTGCTCTTCTTCTTCTTTTTGGGCTCGTCATCAGATTCGGAGTCAGAAGCAGCCTTCTTCTCATCAAAGTCGAGGTTCGCTCCAGTCCAGTCAAAACCAGATGCGCTCAAACCAGGGCCTGATGCCTTGGCTGGTTCTGCGTCTGAGTCGTCATCAGAACCTTCCTCAACGTCATCCTCATCTTCGCTGTCTGCGCTCTTGACACTCCTCATGTCGACATCATCTTCGAGCTCGATACCTCCATCTTCCATCTCCGAGTCGTCATCAGCCTCGACATCGGATGCATCATCCATCTCTTCGTCCTCGTCACTCTCGCCCTTAATCTCAGAGTACTTCAGTGTGAAACCAATCTTCCTCTTCTTGGGATCGACACTCAAAACCTTGGCCTTGACAACGTCATCCTTCTTATACATCTCCTTCACCTTCTCCTTATCGACCTTCGTGTCGGCAAGCTGCGAGATATGACAGAGTCCACTGACGTTGTTCGAGCCGTCGATGAGGAGGAAGACACCGTAGTCCTCGACGTGACGGACCTTAGCAGTTACAATCTGGCCGACTTCAAGATCAGCCCACCCGATAGGTTCAGTGTACTCGCCCTGAATGACCGAGGTCTTCAAGCTCAGTTGAGGGTTGCGCATGTTCTCTTTGTTCGAGATGACCTTGCCGGTGACGAGTTGGTCAACCTGGAATGCGGCCTTCCAGTCCTTGATGTATGCATCGGAAAGCTCACTGACACGAACATAAGCTTCAACCTTTGGCCCGAGGCGCACGTAGATGCCGTTATCTGCGACCTGCTTGATGAAACCGCGCACAACTTGGCTGACTTTGAGGTCGGACCTGTCCTGAATCACAGGGTCCTTGATAGGCAGGGAGGGACTGATGACCTTCGAAGGCCTGGCTGACAGGCCAAGCTTCTTGTTGGAGTGGTCAATATCGACGACACATACGCGAATGACGTCGCCAATCTTGAACTCCGAGGGCTTAGCCTGGTCGTAATCATCGGCCAATTGCTCAAGGTAAATGGGTGCGGCGATGCTCTCGTTGACATGGACAACGATGGATGTATCGTGTGTCTTGGTGACACGAGCCGGCAGGACGTAGCCGACCTTCAGGTCCTTAAGAGTGACCTTGTTTCCAGTGACGGAAGACGTTGCTGTCAGATCCAAACGCCCAGCAGCGACATCCACGGACTTGACGCGGACCTTGAGGGCAGAGCCAACAGGGAAGTTGGTCTCGATAGCAGACAACTTCTCCAGGTCATCTGTCAGGTCGAGGAAGTCGATACGCCCGCGAACATTGGCTGAGATGTTGACCCAAACAAAGCGGTCTGCAATGTTGTTGACAAAGGCCACAAACGTGGCATCCGTTGAGATTTTATCAAGGCTGAGGACATCAGCCTCGGTGGCAAGCTTCGCTTTTCTCGCGGTCAATTCGTATGTCGGTGTCTTGTTGCTCGATCGATGTGTGATAGGAAGGAAGCGGTGGTTGCGCGCGTCGTGTCGGCCGAGAATCTTCGCCTTGATCGTGTCGTTCATTTTGAATTGCGCCAACGGGTTCTTCTTGTCCTTGATATCATCCCACGATTCGAAAATCTCGGCAACCGAGATGCGGCCTTGCACATTCTCACCAAACGCAACGTTCAGTTGCGTGTTCTTGATCGACCTGATGCGAACGTTTGCGGTGACACCGAACTTGATGTCAGTTGTAGATGTGATCTTGGGATCGACCGGGTCTATCAAAGCCTCGCCAACGATCTCGGTGACCTTGGAGGTACTGTCCATGTCGACGTCGGCATCTGTCTTCATCGACAACCAGAAGAGCTCCTTGGACTCGTCGACGTGTGTGACCTTGGCGGTGATGGATTGATCCTTACGCAGACCAAAATTCGGCGATCGAAGCATCTCGTCAGTGAGTTGAGACTTGAAGACGGCACCGCTGATGTTGTTGCCAAGCTCAACGAATACCTTCTCTGGCAGAATGCCCCGCACAAACCCGTGAACGGTCGCGCCAGCCTTGATGTCTGCAAAGCTGGTCGTGAGCTTGCCTGACTGCGCAGCCTTGCGGAGACTGGGCTTGTTTGAGACTGTGACGTTCTTGGACTTGTACTGCTTGCTGAGAATGACAAGATCCTCCAAAACACCACCAACACGAATCTTCTTCATTGTGGAAATGTCCTTCTTCTCAGAGCCATCAGTCAGGTGACCAATGCGGAGCAGGGCCTTGACACCGTTGCCAATGTCGAGTGTCGCCAGCTCGTCGGTCTTGTCAACGACTGTGCCCTTTGTGATGTCACCTGGGTTCAGCACGTTGAAGGCAGCCTCCTTGTTGGTGTCGACAGCGGCGGGGTCCTTGCAAGAGACGAGCAACTGGCGCTCCTCTGGATCAACCGAAAGAACACGTACATTGACGACCTGTCCCTTTGTGAAATGTCGGCCAGCATCCTCAATGTATGCTTCGCTCATTTCAGCGACAGGAAGCCAGGCCTTGATATCGCCATAGAAGCGAACAGTGGCACCGTTGCGGCGTACATCAACGAGGATACCAGGTCCAGTCGACCCCTTCTTAATCTTTGCATAGTCTATCCAAGGCTCGACATCCGAGTTGACAAGCGACTTCTTGAGGGTGAGCTGGATTTGATGTCTTGCTGGGTCGGTGTACAGAACACGTGCGGTGACCGGAACACCTTCCCTGAACTTGCGCTCCGGGTGCTGGAGCTTGACATCTGCAAGATGGAGTTCTGACACAAGTCCGGTGATGCCTTCCGAGAGATTGACAAGGACCGCGGTAGCGCCCTTCTTGTCAGCAATCAGCTTGTGAACCTTGCCCTTCACAACCTGACCAGCCTTGATGTCTTCAATACGGAGGAAAGCTTGGTCGAGGACCTTCTTCTCCAGCGACAACTGGAAAAGCCCGTCCATAGCATTGTAGCCGATAACACGGGCACGGTGCTTCGTATCAAGCTTGAAAGCACCCGCATCATCTGAGAGCACATCTACGCGGTCATCTGAAAGACGAGACACATGGGCAAAGCCAATGACATCGCGGACGCCCAACTCAAAGAACGCACCCAGACCGGATGCTACCTTGATGACCTTGGCTTCCTCAACGATTGTGGAGACTGGGAGAAACTCGAGTGGTGTCTTACGCTCCTTTGGCTTTCCGGACATGCGCGAGGACAGTGAGACGACATGCTCGATCAGCGAGATGCCGACCTTTGCGGGTTCGGCATCCGGGCAAGTGAACAGGATTCTCGCCTTGACTTTTGTGCCAATCTTGTGCTTCTGCGATACGTCTGCGCCCCTCTCGGTAGCACCAGAGTGATAGGCATCGGCGGTTGCATCGACCAGACCCAGGATCTTGCCAGTGAGCGTGCTCGATGTGTTATCAGCAACGAGGACATCGACGGCGGTACCAGGAAGGAAAACATCGATGGTGGGCGCATCAGTGAAGGTGTTGCCCTTAGTCAAGTTGCCAGCCTTGGCCTGGTCGGCCGAAAGCTTGACGATCTTTCCATCCGAGTTGAGGCCGGTCACAAGGCACATGAAGACAGCACCCTCCTGTACCTTGGAGTGCTGCACCTTTGCGCCAAGCTCGCCCTTGGGCAAGAATCCCTTGACCTTCGTGTCCTCCAGCCCAAGGTCCATGACGAGACCGTGGTCTTCGTTGCTCAGAACTGACGCCTGGATCATCAGGTTGGTCGGAATTTTGCGCTTCGGTACGCCCTTGTTGACGAGCTTGGGGTCGATGGACAGCTCCAGTCTTTTCCGTGCTCGCGCTGTATCGTCTGTTGTAGATGTGACGACAGCTCTCAGATACTGGCCAACAAAGAACATGTCCTTCAGATCGACGTCCTCGAATTCCTCCTCGTCCTCGCCCTTCTCCTCCTCTTCCTCCTTCAAGAGGTTTTCGAGTCTCTCGTTGAGTTTATCGGACACGGCGGTGAGGGGCACGTAGCCAACGAGGTTGTTCGGCAGCGCAAGTACGATGTCTTGGTGGGTGATATCGGTGACCTGCCCGAGGATCATTGTACCAGGCGATAGCTTCTTGTAATTGAGACCCTCAACTTTGATGACGTCGTCCTTCTCATCATCACCGTTTGACTTCTTGCCCTTCTTCGCTGGCCACTTCTTTGCTTTCTTGGCGGCCTTGCCCTCGTCCTCTGAGCCCATGTCGGCAAACTCGTTGTCGTCGCCTCCACTGCGTTTTGCGCCCGTCTGCTCGAAAAGCACATCTTGGTTCGCCTTGATCTGAATCTGCTTGTGTTCGAGTGGTGTCAAGACGCTAGCACCACCACGGGGAAACGATGATTCTTCATCCTTGAAGACGCTGGCCTTCGGGGCTGCCCTCTCGGTCTTGTCAGGCTTCGACTGTGCGAGCGACTCTGTGGCGCCGTCTGATTTGCGCGGGCGCTTCGATGAGCGGTCGCTGGATGCGCCCTTCTCTTTCTTCGCAGGCGCACTCGAGGCGTCTGCTTTTCTTTTTACGGCTCCCATTTTGGTGTTGTGGAGCTATTCAAAGCTTGAAGCAGCAGCTTTGCGCGCCTCTGCCAAAAGTTCGAACTTCGAAAAGTTAAAAGTGGGGCATGGACTAACCTCTTATGGTTAGACCAATTGGGATTCGAGCGTGCGTCGAGCAGGGGAACGTCAAGAGGTAAATTCATGATAGTGGCACGGTTTTCAGGTCGAGTTTACTGTCACAAAGGTTCCGAAAGCGCAGGCGGTGAGATTTCGCAGTCTCTGGAAATCCGAACGTGACGCCGGCACGAAATTCGTGTTCTGATTGCGTCGGGCTCGCCACTTAACGCGAGCGCGGTCGACGCGAGACGTGACGCGCTGGTGGGCCAGGCGAGCCAGCCTCCGCCCTCTCCTGCTGCTATATCTTCATCCTCCTTCCGTCCCATGTCTCGTTCTCACCTTGGGCTCTGCAAGCTGCGCGTTTGCGGGTCGCAGCTCAATTGATCTACAATTCTCAGTATATAAATGTACCACATCTAATTGCCTCGACACCCACCATGTCCTCGCCGTGCGCCCCTCGAGTCGCGTTCCAAGAGCCCACGCCTGAGGTCTTCTGCTCTTCACCACCTGCACCCACAGCCGCACGCAAGCAAAGGAGACCGCCGCCGATTACTCCGAAACGCTTTACACGCTTTTTCACGCCACGCAACTCGAGCCATGGGTCGTCACGCGCCTCGCTCTCCAGCTCCGGGCGGCAACTACAGGACATCACACGTGGTGCTGCCAACCGCGGCCGTGTTCTGCGAAGCACTCCACGCAAAACCGTGAATTTTGTCGATATCGAGGTTACTCAAACACGAACACCGTCGTCGAGCGCCCGCAAACGGAAGAATCCTTACCTCTCGCCTGAAAGCTCCCCGGCACAACTCCAATCCTCGCCCTCAAAGCGGTCACGATACGTCACACCAGAGCCGGTGGAGGTATTTGAAGATGAGCTGGAGATCGAGGAGCAGCCTGTCTTTGCTGTACCAATCCGTCGTTTAGGTGCGCTGGGAGGAACATCACGAAGACTGCAGCGGTCGTTCGGTGGCATCATGGGCGTAGGGCGGGGGTTCAGACGAGACCACTGCACATCGTGGCAGCAGCAGACGGCCGACTTCTACAGCAGCTCAGATGACGTGCACTCTCTGTCACAAGATGCACCACCCTTTTGCACAGCTAGCTGCAACACCAACTCGCTCATGGCCATTGGTGATGAGGATGGTTATATTCATCTGGTCGACTCCGAGGGCGACTTCTCAAAAGCACACATATCATGGCAAGCACACTCCAATGCCGTCATGGATGTTCAATTCTCATCCGACGACTCATATCTGGCTGCCGGCTCTGGGGATCAAACAGCACAGATCGTCGATGTACGGACACAGCAGACTTTGAGCGTGCTTGCAAAGCACAAGTCATCTGTAAAGCAAGTTCGCTTCCAGCCTGGCGATGACAAGATAGTAGCGACCTCCAGTCGGGATGGCGCGGTTCAGATCTGGGATCTGCGATGCAAAGGTGGAGACCTTACTGTACATTCAGCATGGGGGTCGGATGCTCCATATGCCAGTGTTGTACGAACACTATCAGCAGCACATGCTGATCTTGGTCTACCATCTAGCACAACCACACGGGTCGCTTCCAATGGCAAGGCAGAAAACATTGGCAGAAGAAACGACGTCTCTGTCACTGCACTAACTTTCCTCCCCGAAGGCCGCCAACACCTTCTCCTGACAGCCTCAGATGCCTCTACATGCGTGAAGCTCTGGGACATTCGTGGCCGATATTCCTTGAGGGGACCTGCCATACCCATCGCTACGACAAGACATCCCGAGTCGCACAACAAACATCGTCACTTTGCCATCAACTCCCTCACCCTCAGTGGTGACGCTTCACGCCTCTACGCACTGAGCAAGGATAACACCGTCTATGCCTACTCGACGAACCACCTCATACTCGGTACTGCTCCAGAGCTCTCCATCTCGTCATCTCAGAGACAGAAGTACTGCCAGGTAGGCCAAGAAGGTCTGGGTCCGATCTACGGTTTCCGCCACTCCAAATTTCACGCCGGTTCCTTCTACGTCAAAGCCTCACTGCGCAAAGCCTTCGACGACAAGCCCGAGATGCTAGCCGTTGGCAGCACAGACGGCTGCCCTGTGCTGTTTCCCACCGACGAGTCATTCCTCAAGCGTGAGAAGCGCCGCGCAGACGACGAAGCAGACGAGCTCCCAGACATCACCCCGCGCTCCATTCTCAGATCGTCGTTGTCCCGCGCCTCGAGCAATCGCTCGCAGGACACCATTCCTATCTACGAGCATGGCACGCCGCTGGTTCGCGGCCATGACGCCGAGGTCACTAGTGTGTCGTGGGCGAAAAACGGTAGCTTGATCAGTGTCAGCGATGATCACCGTGTGCGCCGGTGGGTAGAGGGTAGCCAGGCAAGGGAGCTGCGGACTGGTGGAGAAGGCGAGGGCAAGAGGTGGCAGTGTGGGTGGGCAGACGTGAGTGAGGCATACGATGACGAGGATTAGATTGGCGCTATTATACCCCCATATTGTTCTTTTACGAAGCGTCACGAATCGAGGATACCTCTTTCAACGTTGCCCTTTCCGTGCTGTGTTGCTCTTTCCTCTGCTGACAACGTGAGATTAGGCGGATGTTTGCTTGGCGCTGAGGTGGGGTGCGTCTCCCTTGATTGACGACAGCCTTGCTTGCCCTTTCAACACCCCTGAAAACCAGAACGGTCCAATCTTCCATCGAAGATACACCCACTTCAAACGCCCAGAGAAGGGCCGTTGCACTTTGACTACCCCTTTGGGCTCCCCACTTGAAGCCAGTCAGCAACAAGGCTCGAATACGACCCAGTCAGGCTTCTATATCAATCACGCTCAACCTTTCCAGGAATCTTGGCCTCGGGAGATCTTTTCGTATTTGCTGCAACTTCCAGGGCTGTGAAGCATTATGTACGAACCGCTGCCAACAAAGACTTCCACTCGTCTTCTGTCCCTCGCACCATTGGACAGCGAGGATGCACCGCTTTGTGGCAGCCTGGCAGTTGTGGATCTCCACGATGAAGCTGACTTCCGCGCCCTATCATACACCTGGGGTGATCCAATAAACCCACCGGACCCCGACGCTCCCGTCGTACAGGACGCGTTGATGTTTTGTGGCGGCAAGGAGATTCGCATCACGAGCAACCTGGATGCTGCGCTACGAACGATTCTACGTCGTCGAGAGGAAGATATTTGTAACGACCTTCCTCTCTGGGTAGATGCACTTTGCATTAATCAGAATGACATCAAGGAACGTAGCTCGCAAGTCGGCATCATGAACCAGATTTACAGCAGAGCATCTTTGGTCATTGCATGGCTTGGCCCTGCTGACGAAATCAGCGATGTAGCTATACCACAAATTCTGACGTGGCCTAAAGGTGAAGAGCCGGAATGGACGCATGGCATGTATGAATTTCTAGGGTTTTTTGGAAGACAATACTTCCGTCGCTGCTGGATTCTCCAAGAAGTTATACTGTCCCAACAGATTTGCTTCCTATGTGGATCCGAAGTGCTCCAATTCTCGGACCTTTCGACAGCGTCCAGCATCTTTCTTAGAAGAGCGCGAGAAAGGGAAATAGACAAGCGTGGGATTGTCTGGCACCTTGTTGATCATGTACTCGGAAGAATCCCAGCTCTTTATAATGGCCGAGAGTCAATGCGGCTTCTACCTACACTGCGCAAGGAGTTGACAAACTTTTCGCGGCTTCTAGAGTTAGTCCGTCTGAACGACTGTGCCGATCCGAGAGATAAGGTTTACTCCATATTGAGCCTGTTACCTCTGCAGTCGGACGGATCGGCTCGTATGACACCTGACTACACCAAGAGTGTTTTTGAAGTCTACAGTGAAGCAACAAGGCTGTGGATATCAGAAGAGCGGTCTTTAGACATCTTGGCTTGGGTGGTGGCCCCTTCCGAACGCCATTTTGCAGATCATCCTACATGGGTCGCTGAGCTGTATCGGATCAGCTGGACGGTTGATGTTCGAAGGATCAGTGCCTCACATAGAGCGCAGCGAACGGTTTTTCTAGCACGCGACCCGTCAGCGCCAATCACGGTGTGTTCAGGAAACTCCCGCGTTCTCGGTATATGGGGCGTTGACATCGATCGGGTCCTTGAATTTGCATCTCCGCCATCGTGGCGTGATTCAGAGACATGGCTCGACCCCATGTGGTTAACAGTGTCTGCTACCTCTGATCATCTGGACGACGCTCATTATTTTTCACATGTAATGCAGACGCAAATCTGTATGGCATTAATCCTTCACCTACACAGGCTTTATTGGGAAGATCAACTGTTTGCCTCTTCCTCCCACTCGACTACATTATCCTCAATAGTGGCTAATCTAGCCCACCTCAGAAACAACTACCCTGGCACCTTCATCCCTTCTGATGGTGAATTCCAGGAAATTGCCACCGTTAGCTGTCGGTGTGACGGTAACATTCTCGAGGCAGCAAAAAGCGTACAAGAGCCAATGACTTTCTCCACGATGTGTCCTTACGTCGTGAAGTTAGAGCAATATTTCCGTGAGAATCCTGGCCCCGAGTTGCCTGATATCACCGCTGCTGAGCGAGACGCGGCTTTGGAACAGCACCGAAGTATTCTCCGAGAAACTTTGGCAAAAACATCAACAGGCAGATTCGTATTGGTTCCCCTCAGCTCAGAGCTTGGTGATTCGGTCTTTATCCTACGAGGTGCAAGCATCCCTTTCGTCCTTCGAAAGGTACCCCCAGAACACCCAATGTCAGGCGATGAGCCTCGCTGGGAAGTTGTTGGCGAGGCGCGAGTGCATGGGGGTATTGTTGAAAAGGAATTATCGGAGATTGAGTGCCTTGTTGGTCCGGTGCACCTTGTCTGAGTGGCACGTGGGCAGCCGAATCGTCATCCGGAGAACCCGGAAACGCCGAATCGTGCAGTGTAGGATTGGAGTTTGAACAATACTTGGGTGGTTACAGTCGATAAGTCGGCTTCTGGACAGGTCAAAACTCAGAATCCCGCTGTCTCGGGCTCGAAGACCATCATGCTTTGAGGAATCGGGAGTCTAAAGATTCAAGATGGAATGGATTAAGCTAACATGATTTCGTCTGTTGTATTGTCCACATGCGCCTTCAACAACATAAACTAGTTGGACTCAGTATACCCAGCACACCATCAAACCTCCCTCATCACACTACGTCATCGAAGACCTTTGTGTTTGGCTCGCATACGAGGTCCGGCGGCGGCAGCTCTCCAGTCTCCATGTACCTGATTAAGTGCTCCGACGTACAATTCGACTTAGTGCCAATCACGCCGTGCTGGTTTGTGTTAGCGCTTCATTCAGCAAAATAGTGTATGGAGTACGACGACATACCCCGACAGCGTTCTGATAGAACGATCCCGCACCGGGGAAGAACTCGATCATGGAGTCCAAGCTTGATGTGACAGGATCGATCGTGTTACTGACGAAAAGAATGGGGTTAACTGTCGTAACCTCTTTGTAAGCTGCAATTAATTAGTATTGTGCAGAGTAGTGTGAGAGCCAAGAACACCTACCCGAGAGCTTCTGCGACGCCGGCGGACTAAACTGGTGGTTGTGGCAGTACAGCGTAATAACGCGCGCCCACGCTCCACCAATATAACTCGAAACCCCCTCCAACTTGCCGATATACTCGCCGTACGCAGCGGCAGATGAGATGTTGTATCGCCCATCCATATCGTTGCACGCGGTGGCGAACTTGCTCAACACGAGACTGTACGCCGGCACGGGGCCGTCGCAGTCCGCGGCGCGAATTACTCCCTTGGAGGAGAGCCCCGCGAGCGTAGTGCCCACACCAACCTCGAGCTCTGCCAGCGCTGAGGCGAGCGCAGGGGAGCGCGCGTACGGGCTGTACGAGGCCCACATGATCAGGTTGCGCAGGTCCATGTGTGTGAGCACGGCTGGCAGAGCTCCGGGGCTTGGGTCAGAGTGTGGCAGGGGGTTTTCTTCGAGGTTGCGCAGGATGGTGTCGAGGCGCTGGAGGATGGCGCCCGGGTTGGTGTCGTTGGCATAGAAGGCACATTTGCTGCCGGCCTCGAAGCAGTGCGATGCAAAACCGCGCACGGCATCGTCGGCTTGGTTGACACTTTGGATCCAGGCACCGTCGTAGTAGTCAGAGGGGTCCATGATGCCGTCGATGATCATTCTGCCGACGCGATCGGGGAAGAGTTGGGCGAATGTGGTGCCGAGGATGGAGCCGTAGGATACACCAAAGAAGTTCAGTTTGGCTGATTCTGGATCCTCTCCGCGACTCTCCGCTACCAGCTCGGTGAAGCGTAGCATATCGCGGGCGACAGCAGGGGTGTTGACGTAGTTCGTATCATTGGAGAGCCTCTGCGCAGCAAAGTCGCCATAGGCACCCGCGTGGACCCATGCCCGATTGACGGCTGCCGGGCTTTTGTAGTCGTACTCATCGGCCATCCGCAGCACGTAGTCGTCGCGTGCGGCTGGTGTGTCGATTAGGGGATCGACGTTTGGGCCGCTGTTGTTGACGCTACGGGGGTCCATACCGATGAGGTTGTACTTTGTTCCAAGTAGCCCGATCCATGCTGTGGGATTGAGAATTGTATAGACACCACTACCTCCAGGGCCGCCCGGGTTTATAATGATGTCTCCCAGTGCAGGCTGGGTAGATGCCTCAAGTCTTAGAAAAGCGACGTTTGTGGTTCCAATTTCAGGCTGGTCGTAATCTAGGGGAACTTCGAGGTTGAGGCAAGTGTAGTCTCCTCCGAGACATGTTGTCCACTGTGCATCCTTTGTTATTGGAACATCTGCGAAACTGTCCACGCTACCATTGGTAGTCGAGTTGTTCTGGCGAATTGCGAGTGGGCCCGCCGCAACTAACGTTGCAAGACTGGAAGCTGAGAAGATGTGTTTCATATTGCTTGGATGTTCTCTGTGCGACAGATTGCAAGCTGATGAGGTACTGTGAGTTGATGGCAGACTATCAGTCGCATGCGTCCTTCTTTAATAGCCATTGTCCCCAAGCTGCGAATTGAGAAGTTTTCCAATTTTGGCAGTAGATGTAGAGGCTGAGTTGCTGTATTACACCTTTGGCGTTGTTTTGCGAGTTTCTTTGATCTGACAGGCCAATGTTGGTTCTGAGATGCCGCTTATGGCTTGCTTGGCCAGCGTGCATTCCATGTTGGGCTTAGTGCAGAAGCATGTTCAAGTAAGCAGAGTGTGATGATCTGCATATTGTGGTGGGCAAATCTCAGGCAAGCACTCTCGGGAGCCATGAGGCTGTGTCTCCGCTCTTGGCAACCTTGGCCATGCTTTTACCTATCTGGCGATTTCATCGCAGAGAAAGAGTTGGATATCATGGATCTGCCAAGACGATGGGTTCGTCATCTCGAGCTCCATTCGGGACCGGAGTGGCTGGTACGCCGCGAATGAACGGCGCAAAGACAACTTGGCTTCTGCGTTGGGATGGTTGCCGTAAGTCCCCATGTATTGAATTAGAAGAGGAGTCCTGCAATGGCCGCTGGTGGCTGCATATGTGAGCTGCAACTAAGTTTCGAGGCTGGCATGTAACGACGTGAATGCTATGAGCTACGTCACGCCGATTGACATTGACAACAATGGTTCTTGGTCGTCTCCACCGTGCTTCTTCAACGATCTACGTGTCAGCAGTGATGTCGGTCTTCCCAGAGATCTGTTTGAGCGGTTCATTTTCTGGGACCGTACAGTAAGCAGTTTTAAAGCCTGACCTTCCAGTTGCACTTACGTCCCCTCCATGTGCAGTTGCAAACCAGATCGATTGGCCTTCCCCTTCTCCGATCCTCTTTTTGACCTGCTCGTAAGCTCTAACCTCGGGTTGCCGACCCCAATATCATCACAAGTGCAAACGTATCCATCTCCGATAGCAATATACTCATTCTAAAAGTACCGTTGCACTCGCTCCCGGTCACCGACGATGCACTCCTTAGCACCAGACCTGACGGTACAACTTCTGTACCCTTGTATGAAGTACTCCACATACTTCTCACTTGCTACACTTCTAGGCTCTGGCACGCCAGCGAAATGCAAGTCTCGAAAGATGATCGCTTGAAATACTTGTGCGAAGGGCACATATTGGCCTAGGAGGGGAATGTATGTATATTCGCGCTCAGCATTTTCGAGCCACGCATAGCCTTTAAGGCGGTGGAGACATCGTAAGGCTTGAGGGCGGAGTCGAGCCGTGAGGCGATCACGTCGTTGAAGTGATCGTGCAAGAAGGGTGTCGGAAACGATGTGCTTGGGCGACATGACCTTGCGATTGACTGTCACAAGACTATGAAGGTGTCACATTAAAGTAGTTCTGCTGCTGTCAGTACTCTGAAGAGGGGATGCACGGCATTGTGGTGCTCCAACATGCACGCCCTGTTGTGAATATTGTCGATTTGCGGATGACGTCACATATAGCGAGGAAGGCAAGAGATGCTATCGAACTCATCTGTTTGTACAAAAATCGTGGGGCATGGTTTCTGGGAAATCTGAGAGTCGTTTAGACATAGACGATATCGGCCGTGTACGCTGTTGAGGACTGTCGCCACAATGGGTGGGTTTTCCCAATCGGGACACTTTGGCTTGAACCGCGCCATGCCAAATTCGGCATGCTCTTCGACGAACAAGCCTCGAATGGGCGGGGTCATGGTCCGATGCGATTTTGCAACATGGATGTGTCAGTGATAGTTGATAGGCGATCAGAGGGGTAACGGCTGAGCACGAACTCCTCAGAAACTCCTGATAGTGGTATGCCAAGTCGATGAAAATGAGACCACAGTGCAAGGAGGGTAGATGTTACGAAGAATATCTCTAAAATTGTTCATGAATAAAGTCGCTACAATGAGTGGCATATGCCAAAAGAGGTCGAGGCCCCATGCTAACATCCAAACTCCGTCATATGCTTCATAGATTGATCACTTTACCAAGCCAGCTCGCTCTTGTCGTTATCGTTACCACACGCCAGCCCCTCGCAGAAGTCAACATCTTCGTTGCTGATCGCCGAATTGCCGTCCTTCTCTAGTGCCTGTTTGGCTGGCCAGATCTGCTTGCCAGCCGCCTTCTCTCGCTTTGCGTGCTCCATGACGATCTCACGGCAACGCTTCTGGAAGAAAAGGGGACCCTTCTCCATGTGTGGGTGCAGCTCCCCGTTGATGAAGACTCCGGCATTGATGTTCTTCTGTGCACGCTCGCAGAGAACCTTGTCCTCCGCCATGACACGCTTGTAGACAATGTTGAGACGGTCGAACTCCTCACGCGTGCTGTTGCGGTTCTTCCAGACTTCGTAGTACATGACGCAATGGTTGGGGCCAGTGGGCATGAACTTCTGCATGAACATGAAGTGAGGGCTGTGTGATGTTAGTTGCTGTTGGACAGTCGATATTCTAGTCGTGCTTACCTGACTGTGTAAGAGGAATAAGGGAAGAGATATGTGGAGCAGATGTTAAGACCTTGCTGGACCTGGTCTGGGTTGCTCTTAGGATCATGATCGATGTGATCCGCCGAACACTGGACATCGTATGTCTCCAGGTTGGCGATAGCAGGCAGATCGGGGTGTGTTGTCTTGCAGTGATAGCATTCGTTGAAGTTGTCCGCAAGAATCTTCCAGTTGAAGTCACCTTCTAAGGTGTAGGAGTGGTCGTAGTCAAAATCATCGAAGTTGAATTGCTTGAACCGCTCCTGCTGATCGGTACCCTCAAATTGCTCGTCCCACGAGACCTCCGGAACCTTGTTTGAGTCCATGTTGACATAGATAAAGCCGTTGGGATCCATGTGCACGTGAATGGGGAAGAGTCCATTCTTGGCCTTGTCGAAGCTGTCAAGCTCCTGGTAGCCGGGGGCCTTTGCCAGCTTGCCGTTGAGTCCATATGACCATCCATGGTACTTGCACGAGAGAATCTTGGAGTTACCCTGGTCCTGCTCAACAACAGGGTATGCGCGGTGTCTGCAAACATTGTGGAAAGCGTGAATCTCGCCGTTGCGGTCCTTGGATACGACGAAGTCGTAGTTGGCACAGTTGTAGCGGAGCCAATCACCAGGCTTCTGAAGACGTGACTTGTGTGTAAGAATCAACCATCGGCGAGAGAAAATGGCACGTCGCTCCAGTTGGTACATCTCCTCTGATGTGTACCAGTTCCCTGGCAGGGCACGAACGGCTCCATTCTCTGCTGGTGGAGACGTTGGGGCAGCAGCACCACCAAGCCCGATGTAGCTCAGGAAGGATCCAACCATTGTGAAGTAGATGTAGGCGAAACTGAGCTTGATAGTATGAAGTAATGTTGACAAGCTGAGAAAGGCCTTGTTCTGTAGGGATGACATTGGCAGTGGTGATTATATGTCTTGTGGTAGCTGAGACATTGATATATGATATATGATACAGCAGTGACGACTCCTCACCCTTATCGAGTAAATAGATTCCTACCCCATATGGGGAAGGGGAATCCATTCACTGTGTGGACGGCTGGCCAGTGAGTAGCGCCAACGTAATCGGACTGCAAGCAGCCGTCATGCGCCACGTTTGACTGCGTCGTGGGAGGGCTATCTGCGACCGCTAGTTTACCATCGTGATCAAAAGTTGTCGAATCAGAGGCGATCCAGACAGTGAGTCCGGGGTCAGCCATGGCGTTCGGATGGCGCTGGCCCAACTCAATCAAAGAATCCACATGCGACTAATGCAACAGTCATCGTGATAAAAAGCGAGACTGGTCTGGTTGATTGCCCCTCCCATTGGCACGGACCTGGTATCGACGCTCATGGATCTGATGTCCATTTTCGGAAGGACGGTACCAAAAAGCTTCGGCCACCTTATCAGCCACAACGACTACGGGTCAATTGCGGTGATTCTGGAATTTCTATCTCTGTTATCGATCTATTGATACAGCCTCGATCTTGAGGCGTGTATCCGACCATTGGCACTTACCACACAGCGGAACCGCTGCGGAGCTACATCTGCGAGATTGAGGTAATAAAGGAGAACTCAGAGACCTGAGCCGCAGCCTAACCTTGACTTGGCAGAATCCGTTATGAATAGAATACAATCTGCCCCAGGATTGGTGCGAATAGCCTCAGGCTTCAATTGCCGTGGCAGCGCTATCGCTCTGTCAGTTCAGTCTAGAAGTGACTTACTAGTTGATGATCTTGCGCCTCGCTGCTCGCCCATACCCCACGTTACACTCTACTGCTGTCCTCGGAGTGTTCGGAGTAAAGATGTGTCTGGTTGCAATAGGCTAGAAGTGACAAATCGGTCTGCAAGGAGTTGTGCACACGTTCGATAAGGCTCGTATGACTGCGTCGGACCTATTGAAACAACGCCGATCGTTCTCATGATCATGAAGGACGACATACAAGATAGCTGCGATGGGAGCTTTGAGATCCGCGTTCGCGGGGTGTTCCAGGCGGTAAAGGAGGTTCCGGCTTCACCAGGGCTTTGTTGGGAAGTGCAGTACTGCGACACAAGCACCAACCGGATTTGGTGAAATCATCAAGACGACGGTCGTTGAAGGTCTCATAATTCTCACTAATCCGAAAGGTTACCGTTCTGCAGAGCTTGTCGCTGGGATGCGTGTCGCAAAGGTAGGCCTCGAGGCACAGGTTGCAGTGGGAGTCCGCACACGTTAGTCGCATAGGGATACGGTTGGTGAGCGACAGCGATTGAACAGCCAGCAGAGTTTTGCATGTGTGTATGCATGAATGTCGCCAATGTCGATTGCATTGTTCATTGCTGGCGTCTCTATGAAGAGACAGACAGGGGTTGCTACGAAGGAGCTGTGTTACACAGCGTGAGACTGACCGTTGAGACAATCCATTCCTTGGTGATGGCTTGGGATCCAACATGGAGGCGGCAAAAGGTGTGGAGGAGCAGGACCGCAGACGCGAAGCGGGGTTGTCGCGAGTTATGAAGCGTTTCGAGACCTATTTCGCGAACGCGTCCGTCTAGTCTCGATTTGGCATTCGGGACCCTACGTCCACGCTTGGACGACTTCCCCACCAATGTCGTAAGAACCGCATGCGGGGTGTGGATTTATCGTCCTTAGCACTGCGGTTCCATGTCCACCATGGGAAAGCTTTCGCAATTCTGAACGTCTTATCCACGCTTAGTTGCGGCGTTCAAGTTGCGAAGTGCGGCGAGATGGGTCGTTATCTCGAGCTGCAGCCCTCTTAAGAAGCCAGTGCTGGCTGCCTCGTTAGTAAATTATACCTTTATTTACTTTTCCAAAATGTCGACTTCGCAGCGTGTTGTCATCATCGGCGCTGGCATCGTTGGCACCAATCTTGCTGACGAGCTGGTCTCGAGAGGATGGAACAACATCACTGTCATCGAGCAGGGCCCACTGAGCATGCCAGGAGGCTCGACATCACACGCGCCAGGTTTAGTCTTCCAAACAAACCCATCAAAGACGATGACTCTGTTCGCCAAGTACACTATGGAGAAATTGCAGTCTCTCCAAAAAGACGGCCAAAGTTGCTTCAACCAATTGGGAGGTCTCGAGATCGCAACAACACCAGAACGCCTTCAAGAGCTCAAACGCAAGCACGGATATGCCCAGTCCTGGGGCATCGAAGCAACGTTGATCAGTCCAGAGGAGTGCCACGCCAAGTACCCGGGTCTGAACAAGAGCATGATTTTAGGTGGCCTACACATCCCAAGCGACGGTCTGGCATTAGCGGCCCGTGCCACACAGCTGCTCATCGAGAGTACAAGCAAAGCGGGTGTCCGATACCTTGAACACACCGTAGTCACGGGCATCGAACAAGCCAACGGCCACGTGACAGGGGTCACCACAAACAAGGGCAGTGTGCCTGCAGACATTGTTGTGTCTTGCGCCGGCTTCTGGGGGGTGGAGATTGGTAAGATGATCGGGCTGAAAGTCCCACTTCTCCCACTCGGCCACCAATACGTCAAGACAACACCTGTACCGGGTCTTGTGGGTCGCGAAGTCAACAAGAACATTAATGCAATGAATGCCGAATACCCCATCCTGCGACACCAGGACCAGGATCTGTACTACCGCGAACACGGAGACCAGTATGGTATTGGGTACTATGGGCATCGACCAATGCCCGTCAATGCCGCGTCCCTGGGTGTGACACCAGAGAAGGTCGATGATAAGAACATGCCATCGCGGCTTGACTTCACACCCGAAGACTTTGAACCGGCGTGGAAGGCAACACAAGAGCTGCTGCCTGCCCTCAGGGAGACCGAGATTGCGGATGGATTTAACGGAGTCTTCTCTTTCACACCAGATGGCGGGTCGGTCGTCGGCCAAGCGCCCAACCTCGATGGCTTCTATGTCGCCGAGGCTGTCTGGGTAACGCACTCTGCCGGTGTTGCTCGAGCTGTAGCGGAGGTGCTCACCGAAGGCCGCTCCAAGATCGACATTGCTGAGCTAGAGATAACTCGATTTGAGGAAGTCCAGCTTAGCCCGGAGTATGTCAGCGAGACCTCGCAGCAGAACTTTGTGGAAATCTACGATATTATCCACCCATTGGCACCCAAGGAACTGATGCGCAACCTGCGTGTCAGCCCGTTCCATGCCCGGCAAAGTGAGCAAGGTGCATTCTTCCTCGAGGTTGGAGGATGGGAACGCCCGCACTGGTATGAAGCCAACGCTGAGCTCGTCCGGTCGCTTCCCGATGAATGGAAGCCGGTCGACCGCGATGCCTGGTCTTCCAAGTTTTACTCGCCGATTGCTGCAGCAGAAGCATGGAAGACGCGCAACGCCGTCGCCATGTATGACATGACTACATTCCATCGTTTCGAGGTCTACGGTCCTGCAGCTGTCGATCTACTGCAGCGCCTCACGACCAGCGATGTAACCAAGGCCCCTGGCACCATCACTCACACGCTGCTCCTCAACACACATGGTGGCGTTCTGAGCGACATCTTTGTGTCGAGACTCGAAGGAGATGTATTCCAGATCGGCGCCAACACTGCTACCGATCTTGCTTATCTCGCACGAGAGGCCCGCCAGCAATCAAAGATAACACCGGGCCAGTGGGTACAGGTGCGCGACGTGACTGGAGGCACTTGCTGTCTCGGCCTCTGGGGTCCTCGAGCTCGCGATGTGATCAAGGGTATCAGTCCAGATGATTTCTCCAACAAAGGATTGCCCTACATGGGCGTTAAGAAGCTGGGGTTAGCCGGCATCCCAGTCACAATGTTCCGCAAATCGTTCGTCGGAGAACATGGCTGGGAGATCCAGACTACACCGGAGTTCGGTCAGCGTCTGTGGGATCTTTTGTGGCAAGCCGGTAAGCCTCACGGACTTGTGGCTGCTGGCCGTGCTGCTTTCAATGGTCTGCGTTTAGAAAAAGGCATCCGAGCTTCTGGTTCAGACTTCTCGTCAGAATACAACCCCTACGAAGCTGGTATCACCTATGCCGTCCAAAGAGACAAGACATCAGACTTTGTCGGGAAGGCGGCGCTCGAAGCTGCATCGAGACGCACACCAACTAAGCGACTAAGATGCCTGACAGTTGACGATGGGCGCTCCATGGTATTGGGTAAAGAGCCGGTGTTCCGCGACGGAAAGATTGCTGGCTATGTTACGAATGCTGCCTTTGGATACACCGTTCGCAAGCCAGTTGCATTCGCCTGGCTACCGAAGGACATCAACGAGGGTGATTCGGTTGAGATCGAGTACTTCAGCCAGAAGATCAAGGCCACCGTCGTATCAGACCCGCTGTACGACCCGCAAAGTCGACGCTTATATGATGACGGTCCCTCGGAGAAGCCGGAGCTGCAAAAGCGATTAAAAGCGCTTCTGTAATGGCGATGTTTTGTAGATAGCAACGAATTACGACTGGAGGGGCATTAGAGAAATGGCGTTCAGCATTTGTGCCGGTGGGATTGCATGGTTCAGTCTACAATATAATCCAATGTTTTGAACTTGATACGTTTACCTCTGAAGAAGCTGTGATCGTGAAGGCGCCCTGTTGTCGCGCCTGCGGATCCGCATGCTGACTAATCGCTATCGATAACCGCCGGGTAACCGCGTTGATGTCATCGTCTCGCGGCTTCTATGTATGTCAGCAACAACACCTTGAACTTCACTCATGAGCTTCTTCACTGCTGCAATCAGACGCGCACCATTCCGATCATTTCGTTTACCAGTCACAGGTGTGAGTTGTCAATTGTATTTTCCGAATGACTGTGAGCTGACCACACGCAGTTATCCATATCACGCGCCATGCATATCCAATCAATTCCCATGTGTATGAGTACCCTGCTGGAGTATAAATCACTTGTTGCTGACAAAACTGTAGGGGAGGGCTCGGGTAACAACTATGCCTATCTTGTTTCAGACGACAAGACACGTGAAGCCGTGATCATCGACCCAGCCCATGCAGAGGAGTACGTCAGCCATTGCGGATTGGTAAAGCTAGCATGTCATTGCTCACATCTGTAGGGTTCTTCCAGTTCTCGAGAAGGAAACAAAAGGTGGTCTCAAGTTGACAAAGATCATCAACACCCACCAGTACGTATATCTGCTACTTCTTCGAAACAAGTACTGACACATCAACAGCCATCATGACCACGCAGGGGGAAACAAGGAGATCGTAAGCAGTATGCGACATCCTCATCGGTTCCTGTCTAATCTATCGTAGCTCAAGCACCACAAACTCCCAATCATTGGCGGTCGCGACTGCACCCTTGTCAACAAGACTCCCACCCATAATGAGACGTTCCATATCGGCTCCATCGAGGTCACCGCTCTTCACACACCATGTCACACACAGGACAGCATTTGCTTCTACTTCAAGGATGGGGAGGACAAGGCCGTCTTCACCGGTGACACCATGTTCATCGGCGGGTGCGGTCGCTTCTTCGAAGGCACAGCGGAGGAGATGCACAAGGCCCTGAACCAGACTTTAGCCGCACTGCCCGACGACACAAAGGTGTTCCCTGGCCATGAGTACACCAAGGGCAATGTTAAGTTCGCGAAGACCGTGGCAAAGGACAACGAAGCAGTCAAGAAGCTCGATGCCTACTCTCAGGCGAACAAAGAGACCCAAGGCAAATTCACTATCGGCGATGAGAAGGTGCGTATATGCGAGTCATGTGATCCTGCTACTGCGGACTGACACACCCAGAAACACAACGTCTTCATGCTTTACGCAGACCCCGAAATCCAGAAGGCTGTTGGGCAAACCGAGCCTGTTGAAGTTGTCCGCACTTTGCGCGCACTGAAGGACAAGTCGTAGGACGACTATTCATGTAAAGGAACCGACCTGACGGAGTACCGTCGATCTCAAGTAAAGAATTATCACTTTTTCGACACCCATGCATTCATTGAGCTCGTGCGCGCCAGAGATACCGCCGACAGACAAGCTGCCGAGCTGGCGTCAGTCCTCTCTTCTTTCTACGCCCCGCAAGTCTACTTCTACCACTCCACCGGCACGTTCGCAACAGCGTACGGCCAGCAAGTTGGCAAGCATCCCATTCTGACCTACGGTCAAACGGCCTTCGAAACTGAGCTCGACGCACTGAGGGAGAGGTTCTGGCCGTCTAAACGAAAAGAGCGTGCGGCTCTCAAGGCCAAGGCAAAGGAGCTGAAGGCGAAAGAGGACCGCGAGAAGACTACAAGCTGGAGAGTCAAGACGTGGCCGAAGAGGATTGGGAGACGGGTCCGCAGGCATCTCACGCATTTCTTCAAACATGGTAAGTTCGCGGAGAAGCAGGTCGCGCCGTATGTATCGCCGTTCGCTAAACTTGATGGGATGGGGTACGAGGAGATGCTGAAGCGCAGTGCACGGTAGCGTGAGGGCTCGGGACAGCAGAGCGATAGATCAAATTCTAAATTATATGCATCGCTTCATAAATGCGTTGTTCGTACATGCATCTCCTCACTCCACTTCAGCATCGACAATCATCTCAACATCTCGTCCATCCCCAACGGCTTGCTGCGAACCACCCGGCGTCTCACTCCTCTGTGTCCCGGCCAAACTTTCACTCTGCATTGTCTCCGCCAAACTCCCTTCCCCGTCCTCTCCTCTCCACCCCATCCCCGCCCACGCTCCCGCCGTCCGCATAACCATCTCAAACCCCAACTCCGGATGAAACCACCTCTCGCGCCTCATACTCGTGCGCTCGCCGCCCTCGACCGCCAACCGCGCCGCCCGCGTCGTGCGCCCGCGCCGCCGCCCGCCCTCGCTCAGCAAATTGCCCAGCCGCACCCGCCGCGTCTCGAGCACCTGCTCGTGCGCCACGATGCTGCGTACGTACGGCGCGATGTCCAGCGTGATGAGCGCAAAGGGGCGGTCGAGCGAGGTTGCGATCAGAGTGTCGGGGGTGTGGGTCGAGGGGGCGATGGCGAGGATGTCGAGGGCGGCGGAGAAGGTGGAGCGGGTGAGGGGCGGAGCTTGGGGGGAGATTTTGTGACGGAGGATTTGGGCGGTGTGGGATTGCTCGGGGTGGTGTGGTGTGAGGTCCGGGAAGGCGCGGTGGCAGAGCAGGTGTGTTGTTGTTGCGAGGGCGGTGTCGGTGTTGTGGAAGTCGGTTTTGGGATCCGCTTGGAGGAGGGGTGCGTCGATTGTGTAGCTGAGGCGTTCTTTGGGGGATATTAGAGGGAGGGTAGGGTCCATAGGTTGGTCATGCATGTGGTTGTATGAGGGAAGGTCGATGCGGGAGTATATGTCTGCGGCGCTGAGAGCGTCGGAGAGGCTCGCCAAACGGTCCAGTTTGTCGAGGTTGGAAAGCTGGGTGATTTGGTCGGTAGCGGTAGAGTCATTGCGAGGCTGATCCGCTGCACTCCAGGCTACCCTCCAGTTCGTTGGGCTGATGCCCCAGTCATTCCAGCCCTCTGTCAGCAACTCTTCTTCCTTGTTGAATATGACGTTGTCTCTGGCTTCCAAAACGTTGTGTGACAGCCAGCCCATGCCAGACTGGTATGTGTCCTCGCTTGCAACCCGGAGCGAACGACCATTTGCATCCACATCCTTACCAGGCGGCCAACGCTGGTACATCCATTCCAAGCCTCCCTTCTTGTCGCCCACTGACATTTGGCACCAAAAGTTCAGCTCTGTAATACTAGCTCGAAGATCGTGATCCTTTGAGATATAAAGGTCGCTGATAGCTTGTCGCTGTAGAATGTGTCCCTCTCTACCAGCTAATGCAACTAAGTAGTCGGTCGCGAGGTCCACGGGAGGTTGAGTCAGACGCAGTACGGCCGCCAATGGTAGAGCTTGAGAGGGGATTTGTAGCTCGTCGGTGCAAGTGATTACGATCGGCCGCTTAGATTGCGCAGCAAGCTTTATGATGTGTGCCCAAAAGTTCTGATCTTCATCAAAAAGAATGTCTGCCTCTTCGATCAGGATCAGTGACTGCTTTTGTGACTTGCGCGATGTTCCTGTCATTGGTAACATGGCTTGAGCAGCAGGAATTGTCCTCATCTTTGCGGGTGATTTTACTACAGCCGGAACTTTCGGCTTCGGTTTAGGCTGTGGTTGCGCCGCAGGCTTTGCTGTGAAGAATGATTTCATCGTGCCTTGCCTTCCACTGTCGAGATCTTTCTGAAATGCGTTTTCACGCTCATTGTCCGTGTCGTTGTCCACGGTAACAGCAGTGGGCTTTGGTTTGACTGGCACGTCGCCTCGCTGATGGTTGACCAGATGATTGGCGGTCATGTCACCAACCTTGTCTTGGATATCTTTCCCAGAACGACGGACACCTGAATGAATTTCGAACACCTCAAAATCTAGCTCTTTTGCCACGGCATGAACTGTTGCACTCTTTCCACATCCATGAGGCCCGCTGAGCAGAACCACATTTTTGTTTCTCGTCCAACGTGGACGTCTCACGGAAGGCTGCTGCGAGGTGAACACATTGCTCGATTCGAGTTCAATCATATCCTCGTCTTCCTCCTCTTCGTCTGAAAAGACTATGAATTCATATGCGGCCGTTTTTCGTTTCTTCTTCGGTGGCCTCTTGGTGTCCGTCGGAGCACCAGCTTTCGAAGGATCGCCTACAGCCATGACTGTCAAATTTTTTAGCCAATCTTTGAGTGTAGCTGCTTCTCTGCCCGGTTGGAGTACGTGGTCTGCTCGTCCTGGCCTGTATTTTTGTGCCCACGCCTGAGACTCGCATTTGCCTTCATCGAAAGGCGTGAGCGTGTGCTCGATTTCGTCAAATAGCGTGCTGATGGCTGGGTGTGTTTTGGCAAACAGCCTCTGTGCCAGAGTCTCGACCGGTGCTTGTATATGTGCACGGACCATTCGTTGGATGTCGATTCCCGTAGTCAGTACGCGTATCGGTAGACGTACGTCCTCGGAAGGAGTGAAATGATGGCTGCCAGCGATGGATGACATCTCGGAGTTTTTCGGCAGCTGCTCCGCCAGTCTCGTAATGATCTCTTCCTCCGTGGACAAGACATAAGCATTGCTCTTAAGCTTCGCAGGCTTCAATGACATGTCTGTAATTAGCGATTTGAGTGGCGGTTCTTGCGCACCATCGTGTGCGAGATTGCGCACATGCGCTGTCTCCCTAGAGGGCCACGAGGGCTCGACCAATCCGGATTGTTTAGCAAGCCGAGCAGTTTTCGAGGCCATGCCGAATGATGGCACGTCTTCGTCATCCTGCTCCTTTCTTGTTTCTGCTCTCAGCTTTCCTGGAGTACACGCACTGACCCTAGGGATGACAGGGCGACGTTCAGCTTCCTGCTTCGCGGGCTCTTCTACCTTTTTCTGGCCAACCTTGCCTGTGAAAAAGGGATGAGAAGTCTTCGGCGGACCAGCGGGCTTTGGAGGTGCAATCGACACCTTCTTTGAAGTCTTGCCACTATTAAGAATAGCATCGATCTTTTGGCCAAGAGCTAACTTTGATGGCTTATCTGAGCCATACCTAATGATGGTGACGGTAGAGGAGAAATTGGTATTCTTTGTCGCCTTCCGTGGACGACCCCTTCGTTTCGGTAATATTGACGCTGGTTCAACCTTCTTCGGAGGACTCGACACGAGCTTGCCGGTCTTTGTGACTTTAATCTGCTTCTTTGGAGTAACTTTGGCAGGCAGATTCTCGGTAAATTCTACTGGCGCGTCTCCGTTGCCGGTATCTGCGACATGGATGGGGTCCGGTGGCGTGGCAGACTGCGACAAATTCTCTGCTGGTTGAGGGAGCGAAGACTCCGGCACAGCCTCTTCATTTATATGTTGAGCGATAGGGGGTGTAGATCCCGGCGTCTCTCCTTTTGGTGTACTTGCAACCATGACGTCCACCATAACGTTGTCTACCACATCTTGAGTCCCTGTGGTTTCGGCTTCAGCCTGCAATTGCTGATACAGATCTAGCGGCGGGCACTTTGCAACCTGGTCGGCGTCTGTCGCATTCGTCATGTGTTCCGGCGAGTCTGTCTTTCTTCGTTTCCGTCGATCCAGGTTTAGATCTTCTTCTAATGTTGGCTCGTCGGCATTAGCCTTCACGTCCGCTTCATTCGACTGAACAGCTGGTCGTCGCGCAAAAGTTTCGAGCGACGGCTGGTCCTTTGAATGCACTATCTTCCTCGTGCGCTTCTTTCGCGGCTTCGCAGCCGTCGGACTGGTGTCCTGCACGCTGTAGTCCTGATCATCGTTTGGGTCGGTGCTGTTCGTGTCGGCGTTGTTCGCAGGCGGCTCTGCTGTCTCATTTTCTGTCTGGTATCAGTATCATTTTCGAAGCCTGATATAGGGAGCGCACTTGAAGTCTTGGTGAAGAAGGGATGCACGTTCCTGGAATCCTCAATATGCATGGCAGTGTGCACTGCAGTAAGAGCCATTGACTTGGGCAACAATCACCGCGTCATATTAAGGCAATAAAAGCGAGCAAAGTGGTGGGTGATGCACGCAGGGTCAATCTGCAGGGGCAGGAGTGAGGAGACAGGAGCTGAGGCGTGACGTGAACGTTCTCGGTCTACCTAACGACACGGTCCATGGACGATGATGATGCACGCGACGCGTCTGGAGCTAACCCTGCAGAGCTAAAGTGTTTCCGCCGCAGTGAGCCACAGATGAGCCACAGATGAGCCACCGCTAACAAGACCCACTTTTATTTTCATCTCGAAAGTTGCGGGCGCGACAGTGCAGCGGCTCGAGAAGACCTCGCACAGCAAACAATCGGCCTCGCAACCACAATGTCGTCCGACAAGGAAATCGGCGCGCCGTTTACTCTGGCCTCGCTGTCAAAGCCCGTGAGCTCCACGCACGGCCGCATCCACGCAACTGGCGTTTGCAGCCTCAGCGGCATCAAGAAGAGGAAGCGCACAGAAATTGTTGTTGGCGTGGAGGGCGAATGTATCAGCATCTACAGCGTATGATGATCTCTCGGTCATTTCAAGACTTTTCTAACCTATTTCCAGCTGCAAAACCCACAGCTCGTCACTTCATATGCGCTCCCGCCCAGCGCATCTTTCACAGCCGCCCCATATTCGACATACCGCAAGGGCTCGTCCAAGACACCCGCTCACCGCTTCACCTACGCCTCTGTTATCGAGTCCACTGCGGGCGCAAAGTCACAGCTCGTCTGCTTCCACGAGACCATCCTCGGCGACAATGCAGAGACTGCGAAGACCTCGTACACGCCCTCGAATGGCTCGCGCGTCTCCACCATCGAGTCGCTTCCTGTCGCAGGTAGCGGTTCGAGCAAGGGTTCGGTTCATGACGTGCTTGCGACATTTGAGAACGGGGACGTCATCTGCTTGTCTGCAGATTTGTCAACCGTCCGCTGGATCGCGAACTTGAAGGCAGCGGGTTCGCAGAAGAGCGAGGATTTCAAGATTGAAAATGTCACCCTTTCGACTGCCCGTAACGTGACAAGAGGCCTACTGCGTAGTAGAGAGGATATCGCAGCTTTGCTGAGCTCCGAATCAAACAGCGCTTCTGACCTCTTGGAACTCACCCAAATTCTTTGCGTAATTGGCCAAAACGCGAACGGATCTAGGGTTCTGCAGCTGTTGCAGGTGCAGCCTCGGAACGCCGACCTGCCTTCAACTCAGATCCAGCCTCTGAAGCACCTGCTGTCCATCAGTCTACCGAAGCCTTCAAGCATACTGCTTCGCACAGACTCGACTGCCACATACTCCCTCCATGCTACCAGCGGCGCCCTGCACATTTTGGTCGATGGTGGCATCATCTCCTACGATCTCTCAGGGACAGTACCAAACATCAACTCTGAGCTTCTACTCAACGAAGCCAAGATCGACTCTTTCTTGCGCATCTCTCAAGATGTTGTCTTTGCGACAGCTCCAGGCTCATGCCATGCGTTCGATGTCAAATATAATTCCCTGCAGGCCTATTTACCGCTGGCTACTACTCTCTCTTCTGACGATGCAGCATCCAAGAAGCGAAAGCACGCTCAGCCAGATACTGAGACAGCAGCTACACCACATTTGGTAGCATACTACGCAGAACTTGGCCTTGTCGTAGCCGTACGCGACGACGAACTCCTCGGCATGCAGTATGGCGGCACTAACGCGCGAAAGCGCGTTAAGACTGAAGGCACCTTACTCATCGACGCGCTGGGCAAAGGCCTTGCCAAGCCAAAGGCTGGTGCAGAATCAGCCAAGTGGTTAGACAGGAAAGAGAAGCTAGACCGTTACGCTTCAAAAAGCAAGATTGCTAAGTTCGAGGGTGTTCTCGCTTCATGCTTGGGTATCCCATTGGAGAAGAAGACAGACGCACAGACCAAACAAGAGAACGAGGTACAGGGCGGGCCTTTGACCAATGGAGTAGGCCCGAGCATACCGAAAGAGGATGCTAAGGTCGTTGAGCAGGCCGACGATGAGGCTGCCGAGGATCAATTGAGGAAGTGGAACATTCCTTCGGCTATTCCGGAGTCGCAACGGCAATTACACCGTCAACACGCTCTGTATGCGCTCAGCAAGATCTTCGTTTTCGAAGGAACCACACTGAAGGTCGCGTTCTTCCCACCCAACGTCTTCCAGTGGCTGCTACAGATCGGCCACCTGACCAAGGAATCCATCCGCCGGGCGCTCCTGGATGAAACTCCTGAGTCCGCTCATGTCGTACCCAAGATTACAGATGGCGATATCGTGAAAGCTATCGTGGCTTTTGACCCAGAACTTCACCTCCTCTCCGCCGTGCTCAACCACAAGCATTTCCTACCGATCGGTGAAGTCGTCGAAGCCATTCGCCTCCTTACGCAAAGTCTCGATGACAAGCCTTCAACATCCGAGGACACTACCAAACTGCTCACTAATGGCACTGTCTCAGCAGAATCGGACATGGACGTCGACGTTGAGCTGGACGCTGCGACAACAGAAGTCGACCACGCCCTAACTGTTCTGTCCAACGGCGTCTCCATCCGCAGCAACACTCTGCGCCCCGCGCTCACCCGCCTGCACACCTTCCCCGCGCCCCTCATCGGCCCAACACTGCGCTCCGCCCTGCCACGACGAGACCTCGAGTCGCTGATCCGTCTACTGCACTTCGAGCTCAAGAACGGCGGCTGGTCCTCGCAATACGACTTCATCGACCCCGAAGCCTCCAACGACGACAGCCCAGACGACCATGCGGTGACCATCATCGCCTCGCTCCTATCTAGCGTCCTTGACGCCATCGGCGCAGGGGCCTGGCTAGCCGCAGTCGGCAGCCCGGCAGATGCCGACTCCGGCAAGGACATCATCGATGCCCTCCACGCCGATTGCTCAGAGGCCCTCAACGGCTTCTGGGAAGCGCGCTACATGCGCGGCTTGCTCGGCGAGTTTCTGCGCTACGCGGCCAACGCGCCGAAGTCGCAGAAGCCGTCTACCAAGAGCCTAGAGAACCAGGGCAAGCCATTTGCTGTTGCAGGTGTCAAGGAGGATGACTTGCCAATGCTGCCGCTTGGTGGGCGTGGTGACATGGGGATTGAGAAGACGAAGCAGGGTAAGGGCGGCAGGCGCGAGGAGAGGAGCAAGCGCGAGATTGGTATGCTTATCAGCAAGAAGGTGCCGAAGTACAGTTTCGAGAGGATTGTGGTCTGATTGGGCGTTGAGACTTTGCTTGCATATGTAAATAGCGAATCGATGACCGGCATCCGGCCTTTGCTGTTGACGTTTGTCTTGCTTGATTTCTGGCACAGCCTTCCAGTGTTGACTTTCGAAAGTTGCGATTAAAAAGCTTGCACACGCGTTGTATATTCCTGACCGCCTATATCTTGAGGCTCGACAATACCAACAAAGACTTTTGGTCCGATTAGTAATCTCACATATTGGAGCGTATATGCTCGACAGGAATTATGTGCTTCCACTTTGCGGCTCATTGGCTGCGAGAAGCGATTGGAGTCCACAAACTCTGTGGTGCGATTGGCTCATTGTGCATCGACTCGTTCCTTTCTTCAGCCTCGTACAACCTTATTTCTTCTTCCGTCTACATCGACTGCAAATTCAACCTTGGCGCTACCATCGTACGTCTCGCATTTCCAGTTGGTTTGTAATCGCACATACTACTACACCACTATTTAAATCCACTACCTATTAGCCCCGCGAAAACAGCCAATCACCAGCAAGTACCCCGTACCTGCCTGCGGCAGTGCCTCACTCGATCGCCGGCTAACCTACCATCTCGCCGAGATCAGCTTTCCCGCAATGCGTTTCGACTCTTCTACCCGACCGTGCCACAGCGGTGAAGACCCTGGAAAAGGAAATGTGTGGACTGACATGACGTCTTCTTGACCCCTACCGGCAATAGCGCACACAACATCTGCAACACGCCCGCAACACGTCGAAGCCTCGGGAATGGACGGCCAATGTGTTTGATTTGTAAGTGCAATTGTTCGGGGACAGTTAAAGGGAGCTGCTTGGAGTCCCTATTTCTTCAATAATCACATTTTTAGTTGCAATTATCGTTTTTAAGTCACTATACCCCATTAGACCACCCAACTTTTACATTCAATTCACAACCACAAAAAATGGCGCCATCAGTGAGATACGAGTCCGACTCCAAGGATGCCTCCCCTCTGGGCCAGCCTCTCAAGTTCGAGTTCTCGGGGCAGACAGCACCTAACCGTTTCCTGAAGGGAGCTATGACTGAGCGTATCTCCAGCTGGGACCCCGAGAACCTCGAGGCGCGCGGTGTACCTTCCAAGAACCTCATCAACTTGTATAGGAGATGGGGCGAGGGCGGTATTGGCCTCATCCTGTCCGGCAACATCATGATTGAGTACGATCATCTCGAAGCCGCCGGCAACCCCATCATCCCTCGCGGGTCCGAGTTCTCGGGTGAGCGCTTCGAGGCGTTCAAGGAGATGGCCACAGAAGCAACCAAGCATGGCTCTCTGTTTGTCGGCCAGGTTTCCCACCCAGGACGACAGGTCGAGTCGCGAATCCAGAAGAACCCTGTTTCTGCCAGTGACATCCAACTCAAGGGCGACGTCATGGGCATGACCTTCGAGCAGCCCCGCGCCGCAACTGACGAGGACATCGCCAACATCATTGAGGGCTTCGCCCACGCTGCCGAGTACCTCGAGAAGGCCGGCTACAGCGGCATCCAGTTGCACGGCGCCCACGGCTACCTGATCGCCCAATTCCTCTCCCCCACCACCAACCACCGCACCGACAAATACGGCGGCTCGATTGAAAACCGCGCCCGCCTCATCGTTGAAATCACAAACGCAATCCGCGCCCGCGTCTCCCCCTCCTTCATCGTCGGCATCAAGCTCAACTCGGTCGAGTTCCAGGACAAGGGCTTCAACCCGGACGAAGCCAAGCAGATCTGCTCGATCCTGGAAGCCAACGGCTTCGACTTCGTCGAGCTGTCCGGCGGCACGTACGAGAAGCTCGCGTTCGGGCACCAGCGCGAGAGCACGCGCAAGCGCGAGGGCTTCTTCCTGGAGTTCGCCGAGACTATTGTGCCCGTGCTGTCCAAGACCAAGACATACATCACCGGCGGCTTCAAGACGGTCGGCGCCATGGTGAGCGCGCTCGACACGGTGGACGGCGTTGGGCTCGCTCGCCCGCTCGCCCAGGAGCCGCGCTTGTGCAAGGATATCCTCGAGGGCCGCGTCGCGGGCGCGATCAAGCAGGCCATCGACGACAATGACTTCGGTATGACGAATGTGGCCGCCGGCACGCAGATGCGCCAGGTCGGGAAGGACCAGGAGCCGATTGATCTCAGTCGGCAGGAGAACTTGGATGCGTTTAAGAAGGATATGGGCGCGTGGGGGGCGAAGATGGCGCAGGACAAGGAGCTGCGGCACTATGGGTACATTGATCTTGAGACTGCGCAGGCGGTGCCGTATGGTGCTGCGGCGTAGAGTGTTGGAGGTGTAGATGTAGAAGTAGATTCTAGACACGAGTAATGAGACATGAGGTCGTTTCAAGTATCTCGCAGATTCACACATGAAAGTGGAGAATTGTCTTTCGCGACGTGGTTGTGATTAATCCCAGACACTCGTTTGCAGATGGCTGTGGTCTGCCCACTGTACCTGCTCAGCAAGGAACAGTCCGCTGCAAAGTGACTACTTGAGCTCCAGGCCATTCAGGATTCTCAGTCACCCTCCTCAACCGAGCTGCTCAAGCTGCTCATGGCCATGACAAACACCAACAAAGCGACCAGCGGGTAAAAGATCATATCTCATCAGTCCCAAGACCGGGTATCTAACTCTTCCTCCCTCACAACATCTCATCCCCCCCGTCCACCACCGCACCCTCCTGCACCGCCGCCCCCTGCACCTCCGGCACCTCCGCCATCCCCACATCCCCCACCGCACCCCCCTCCACCTCACTCCTCACCTTCTTCCCCTTCTTCGCCTTCACCTTCTTCCCCTCCACCCCCTCCTCCTCCCCCTCCTCAACATCCTCCCACTCATTAATATCCTCCCACCCCTTAGCCCGCCCCTTAATCGCCGCCGCCTTGACAATACTCTTCTCGCGCTTCAGCGCCCACTTATCCATATCATCTGCAGCGCGCTCCATGGCTTTCTCGGCGCGCACGCGCTGCGCGCGCGTTGTTTTGGCGGGCTTCTTGCGGATGCCGCTGGGCGCGCTGAGGACGTGGTGCGCGGGTGTCGGTTTGGCGGGTTTCGCGGGGGTGCTGGTCGGTGAGGTGGGCTTGGGGAGTGGGATCGAGGGCGAGGCGGCGCGGCGCGCGGCGCGGGAGTGCGGGGTGACTTCTGCAGGGGGGTTAGAGGGGGAAGGAAGTGGTTTTGGGAGGGGGGGAGGGTACGCTTCTTCTTGAGTTTGGCGGTTTTGGCCATTGTGAGGTGCGGTGTGGGAGGTGTGGGAGGTGTGGTTTGGGGTGGTTTGGTGTGGTTCGGTAGGCAGGCTGCGGCTGTCACGCGTGTAGTGGCTCGTGGGGTCAAGAGAATTGGAAAATTCAGTGGTGAACAGCGGTACTGCGCTGTTGTCCCAGAGTTGCAAAGACCCCTCCGACACCACTGAGACTTTTTTGTGGGGCGTAGGGCTGGCGGCTGGCGGCAGCGGACCCTTGCGCCATCACAAGCTTTGCGCCCACCCTTCACCGCGCGCCGCCCTCGCTTCGTCTCTCCCACACCACCGGCGCTGTCTTCATGTTGGAAGCCGACGCTTCGCCTCTGTGTTTGCTGTGTCTCATGCGCTGGCCCGAGGGTTGAGCCGCTCTTTGTCTCATTCCGCCTGCTGTCCCTTAAATATTGGAGCCCTTCTCCACCCACCCACCCACCCAGCACGCCTGCTAGCAGTGAGCATGAGCCACAACGACTACCTGACGTTCGAAGAATTCAACCGCCGCTCGGCCACGCCGCACGCCCACACCACCCCCGCCGCCGTCGGCATCGCTGTCATCGCCGGCGTCGCAACCCTCCTCAAATTCCTCGACTTCCTAGGCTACCCGGTCTGGTTCTGGACGCGCCAGCTCGCCCACAAGATGGCTCTTGAACTCGTGCGCGCCGTGTCGCCCGCGCCGTCGCTCGACTCCGTGGCCAGCGACGACTCCACGCAGAGCGGCGGCATGATGGGGAGCCTGTTTGGCATGGGCGCGAGCGCGCTGTCCAAGGGCGTGCGCGGCGTCACCAGCGCCCTGTCACGCGGCCCCAGCGACGTGCCGCCCGGCCTGGGCAACTACGACAACTCGTGCTACCAGAACAGCGTCATCCAGGGCCTGGCCTCGCTGCCTTCACTGCGCGACTACCTCGAGAAGACGGCCGCCGAGCACGCGGCGCTCGCGAGCGACTCCACCAACGGCGCCCTGCTCGAGATGATCAGCCAGCTCAACGACCCCGAGAAGCGCGGCCAGCACTTTTGGGTCCGCGGGAAGCTCAAGTCGATGAGCACCTTTACGCAGCAAGACGCGCAGGAGTATTATTCGAGGATCCTCGACGAGTTGGACAAAGAGGTCAAGAAGGCCACCAGCAGTAAGAGACGCACATCTGTCTCGTGGATTGAGACCGCGAAGAGCCTTAGCTTACCAGAACCAGGCGACAAGGAGAAGAGCGACAAGGGCGTGGTTGACGAGAAGAGCGAAGCGCCGGAAGCGCCAAAAGCCTCTCCCATTCCGCTGGAAGGCTCGCTCGCACAGCGTGTTGGCTGCACCACGTGTGGCTACTCCGAGGGCCTGTCGCTCATCCCCTTCAATTGCATCACAGTGTCGCTCGGGCGGTCCCGAGCCGGGTACGACGTTCGCGAGTTACTCGACGAGCACACCCATCTCGAATACATCGAAGGCGTCGAGTGCTCCAAGTGCACACTACTAAAGCTGAAGAGCACGCTCGCGCCGCTAGCAGCGAAAATGGGCCCCGATTCGCCCTTTGCTGCACGCCTACGGGCTGTCCAGGAAGCCCTTGACGACGAGGACCTGAAGGACACCACTCTGACAAAGACACTCAACATCCCAAAGAAGAACTGGGTCAAGAGCGAGAAGTCGAAGCAAGTCGTCGTCGCCAGAGCGCCGAAGTCGCTCGTCCTCCACATCAACCGCAGCATCTTCGACGAGGAGACATACTCGCAGTACAAGAACAACGCCGGCGTCGCGTACCCAGCAGTCCTGGATCTGGGCAAGTGGTGTCTGGGCGCGCAGCCGAGCGGCTCGCAGAAACCCGATCTCGACCCCAAGACCGAGGAGTGGCCGCGCGACCCGACGGAGTCTATGCTCGCCGGCGCGGACCTGTCTGCGCCCTCGCCCTTCCAGTACAAGCTACGCGCTGCCGTCACTCACTTTGGCACCCACGGCAATGGTCACTATGTCTGCTACCGGTCGCATCCAAAGCCCGTCCGCAAGGCGCCAGAAGAGACAAAAGAGACTGCAGAAAACGACGAAGACGCAGAGGTCGCTGATGAGGCCGCCGAGGACGTAATTGAGGAGGAGCAACAGCAAGAAGAAGAGGAAGAGGAGCAAGTGAAGGAGGAAGACCCCGCCCCCCTCGAAGAGCAATGGTGGCGCTTCAGCGACGACACCGTCTACGCCATCTCCGAACGCGAAGCGCACCAGGGCAACGTCTTCATGCTGTTCTACGAGCGCATCGACGCCGACTGCTCCCCCGCCCCGCCGCCCCAAACATCCGAAACACCAACCCTCACCGCCGACGCCGAAACGGAAGCACTCGAACCCGTTGAGCTCCCGCTCCAGCCCGCATCCCCCCTCATCCCCCCCGAGTCCGCACCCGCAGCTCCACACGCCCAACAAACGCCCCCCGCAGCATCCGCGTCCGCCCCCGCGCCCCGCGACCCCAGCGAATCAAGCGATCCAGACCCGGACTCCGACGACGCCGAACCCACAACCACCGGCGCCGCCTCCACCGCCCCGCGCGCCTCCACCCTGCCCCAGCTGTCGCCACACACCATGCGCACAGCCGGCAACGCCGCGGCGCGCGGGCAGGGGAGTCGCGCGAGTCTGCCGCTTGTTAGTGCGTCGTAGGCGTGTTTTGGGGGTCGTAGACGAGAAAGAAAGAAAGAGAGAGAGTTCGATGGCGTTGAAGGAAAAAGCGAGAACAGAGGAACAGAGGCAGAGGCCCCGCGATTCAGCGAATATACATTGTTGCCCGCGCGACTGCGGTTGCTGGGTGTGAGTGATGCGGCCTGGCTTGGCTTGTGGGGTTTTGGGTGCCTGTTTGCCCGGTGCGCTGGGTCAGGCGGCGTCGGCATCGGCGTTGGCGTTGGCGTTGGTTGGTTTTTGGGGGTGCTTGGGTGGAATGTCAACTGATATACGAGACGGGATGGGTGGGCGGGATCGTGGCGTGTTCTGCGTGTCGTTTTGTGCGTAGTTTGCGAATGTGGATTATTGTTCGAAATGTGCGGGTTTTGTGGAGTGGTGGTGTGGTGTAGACTGTAGTGTATCTTGTCGTACTCCACTGTGAGTGCGAATGCACGTGCAATAGCAATACGGGTGTTGGGACCTCAAAATTAAATATGCTACTGTGCAGCCGCGCGCTGCGTGAATCCTGCATGCTCTACTCCTCTGCTCCGGCACCCTCCTGCGTACCTCGCCACACTCCCCTACTCCACCTTACTCCTCGCGCCCCCACTCCCCTGGCTCGCACCCTTAACCAGCGTCTCCGCCGACGTATTCCCACTCCCCGTACTCACCACATGGAACGAGAAATCCAGCTCGCCGACGAGTTTCCGCACCGCCCTATCACGTGTTAGCATTAACCCTCCCTACCAAGAAGCCTAGATCGACGGAGTGCACGACTTACTTCAACAGTTTCTCGATATCCATACTAATGCACTGCGTACTAATCGCCATGACCGCAAACGCCGCATACCCGGGCTCCGCAATATGCCTCAGCGACAGGATATCCGCGTCGACGGCCTGCAGCTGCCGCGACAGGTGGTAGTTCTGGGGTGCCTTGAGGTACGGCGGCAAGGGCTGGCCGTTCTGGATCGCCGAGGAGAGCAGCGAGAGAAGTGTTGTGATCTCGTGGCTCGTCACGTTGGCGTCCGCGGTCACGCGGCGGAAGTCCGTGAACCACTGCGGACTGGCCTGCAGGGGGTCGGGGGAGGGCGCCGCGGCGGAGGGCGAGGGGGGGTCCGAGGACGGGTTGAGGACCGGGTGGGTGAAGGCCTGCGACGCGTAGCCGAGCAGCGCGGTGTAGTTCACGATGTTGTTCACGAGGCCGATGATAGCGGCGTAGTCGTCTGCGGGAAAGCGGCCGCCGAGCGGGAACTCGAACTTCACGAAGCTGGAGTGCATTTTGAGGGCCTGCAGGGTGAGCATTTGCTTTGCGAAGACCTTGTTGCGGGCCTTGTTGAGCATGAAGCCGGGTGAGGTCTTGTCGTTTTCCTCGTCGCCTGTGTCGCCGCGGATGCGGGCGAGCATCTGCTCGTGCATGATGGAGTAGAAGTTTGCGCTGAGGTAGAGCGCGCCGCCGAGTTTCTGGCGCAGCGCCGAGTGCTCGGTGATCGGGAAGGGGAAGACGGTCCAGAAGAAGGCGACAGCTAGACCGCCGACGACGGTGGCGAGGCGGTAGGGCCCAAGTTGGTAGATGGGGTATGCGGGCTGGCCGGTTGTGGTTGCGGCTTGGACGCCGATCTTGCGGACTTGCAGTTCGTAGCCTACAATCATGGTGACTGTGACGACGCTGATCATGCCGACAATCACGAGGTCCATGCGCTTGAGCGGGATGTAGAAGCCGATAGCAACGAAGAGCCACACGAGGGGGATGATGCCGCCTGTTTGTTCGTTTGGGATGTACCAACACAGCCAGGCCACGAGCATGGCGACCGCAGTGCCGGCGATTCGGAGGATAAACTGGAAGATTGCCTGACCAGCGGTTGGTGTCATAGAGATAGCGACCATAATCATGGCCCACACCAAGCGCTGCTCGACGAAGAAGACTTGCGTGTCGCGCAGGAAGGCAATGACGCCAATCGACATAGTCGCGCACGCAGCACGGAACCCAAAGGCCGACTCAGAGGAGCGAAAGAAGCCCGCACACGCGCGGACCGCGTCACCGAACTTCTCCCAGGCATTCCTAGGAGGCAGATGCTCGGGGTCCTTTTTGCTCTTGTATGCCTCGCCCATGAAGATGGTAGTGTTGTTTCGATCGAAGCCGGCAATGGTAGTCTCATCATCGTGATTCGAGTCTTGAGGCGCGAAGATGCTACTGAGCCATTTTTTCAGACGTCTGCCACCAGGATTGATGACCTTGTTCTTAGCTGTTGCCTGATCGTGCTCATCGGCGAATTTGACGAACGCGATGATGGCGCGGTTGACCGAGTTAAGAAGGAAGATGACGTAGAGAAGGATGTAGAGTTGTCTTTGGTCGCGTTTTCGTGTAGTAATGCTGGGAAGGCGTTTGAGTGTCTCCTCATCAATCTGATCTGGACGTGAGAAGTAGTCGGCGCTGAGTTTGATGCCCTTGCTTTCAATCCAGTGACGAAGCGTGGGCTCCTTCGTGCTGTAGAAGATATTGGCCTGCTTCTCCATGTACTCAGCGAAGTTTTTGTCGCCAGGCTTCACCGTGTCGCCCTTCGCTTCTGTGTCGTCCTGGTTCTGGCCCTTCTTCTTCTTAGGGGTTTTTACGAACTGCATTCTGAGCATAATGTGGGTGAGGCCTTCATCCATCACTTGCATAATGTGATCGAAGGGTTCGTGGACGTACGAAAACAGCTCGTTCCACTCGCCAATGGTCTTTTGGCGCATGCTGTCGTCGTGCTCAGATATGTTCTCGTCGTTCCAGTGGTTGATCTCCTTTGCCCGTTTGAACAAATCCATGACGGAGCCAAGACCGAGGATGGGCATCATGATCGCTCGCAAGTGCTTGAACATGGCTTCCAGATCATCTGGCGTGAGCTTGCCATACGCGACCTCCCTCTTAGCGAACGCAAGATCGGCAGTAAGCTTTCCGTGCAACTCCTGCAGAGCTCCGATCGTCTTCTCTACTGCGACAACCTCGGGCCTGGCCTTTGGCTTGCCGTCCTTGTCTGCATCATCACCACTCTCGGCGCCGGAAATCGGCACCGGCCCAAACATATCCGAACCTTCCAGGGTATGGATGTAGTTTCTGTGCGCTCCAATTGCTGCCTTCAGTAGCGCAAGATACCCAGTCATCTCCTTCCCCACGACCGTCCGGCAGGTGACTGGGAAGATCAGAAGGCTTACAGCGGTAGCGATAGCGAACCCAGCAAGGAAAGTCACGAGCAGACGCTTGATGAACGATTCACACTGCGCGGGTGTCGTAAAAAGAAATCCAGACGTCGCTGCAACATTGACAAATATCGAGTAAAGGATCGTCGGAAACGCCAGTTGGGGGAACTTCGCCTTGAGCGTGTTGACAATATAGATCTGGAAGAACAGCCACACACCAAGGACCGATGACTGCGAGGCGTTGTATCTTGCTGGCGGGGCGCCAGCCACCGTTGTGTGCTCGCGCGCCTTGACAGCAGACCACACCATCAACAACGCAACAGCTGCGCCAACGCAGGTGCTGAGGATGTTCATAGTCATCGTCTGGATGAACTTGGCTCTTGGCATGATGCAGAAGCCGAGAATTGAGACAATGGCCATGAGATATCCCAGGGTCGTGAACTCCCGCGCCACCATGTCGGCCTCGTACATGGCAAGCGCTATCGTCGGTGGGAGCGCAGCTTTGGCCATCATTATGAGCGTCCCGGCATCGAGTCCCAGCTTGTCCCATTTCTTTTTGAATTTCCCAGGCTCTTTCTTCTTCTTTTCCTCCTCTTTCGCATCGTCTACGGCCGGGGTGCTTTGCTGGTAGTGGTTGGTGTTCTCACGTGCCGCATCCGTCCCAGTCGCGCCTGTTTCTTCCTCATCCGGCAGCTTCCCATCGTGCTGGTTAGCCATGTTGTGGTGTTCTCGGTACCCTTCAAACTGACAAGAGACCGTTCAGTCTGGCGACACGTCGATTTGGACGCTTGAAACGTGAAGAGAATGCATGAAGCCGTTTAATTGAGGAAACCTCAACAAGCGTGCGTTCAAAAGGTCCGACGCTCCGCTGTCTAATTGACCCCGGCGTCTTTCCGGCAGGGCCATGACGTCGATCGCTGTCATCTCACTGGACAAGCATCCTGCCGAGACGCTATCTATCGCTTAGCGTGTATGCAGCTGCGGAGGTCGGCTCCTGTGCTTGCACCGCAGGCCCAACGTCAATGGCAAGGCGTTGTCAGCATCTTGCAAACTCGTGCTCATGTCTAGCTGAGCCTGTTTCCACTGCCTCGTACGACCGTTGTGTCTCAATGCTTAGGGCTAGTGAGGAGAACTCCAATTTTGTCATCGTATCGCTGTGGAGATCGCGCTTGGAGTCCGCCCTCGACCCCCTTTTCTACAATTCTACACATGAAGCAGATTCATTATGCAATAGTACGACGATCGATTCGTATCCTGAAGAATGAGGCCGGAGTGGCTAGTACCAAGAAGAATTCGGGATCTACACAACCAAGTCGGTTTGTTCTTGTGATTTGAGTATATGCTGCAAGCTAAACCATGTTCATATGTGGGCGTCTCATACAAGAGTCCACAAAATGCACAAGCCGTATTCTTACTATCGTTTCGAGGTTCAGCCCACGTCCTACCGGGTGCCTAGCAGCGAGTCCCTCAGCAACAAGTAAGGACTAAAAGAAAGCAAAGAAAGTATCTAGTCTATCAAGAAAATCGCAGGTCCAGATACATCCTTTGCCACTTCGACAAGCCGTGACCAAACGTACTACCAAAGCTACTCAGTGCACAGCGGCGAACACAGCCCTGGGTACTGAACGTGACCGCATCTCGACTCCCGCGCACAAGCACCACCGCACTCAACACGGCAGACACGCCTAGTACACGGACTCTGATCACCAGAACTGCACGCCGCACTTCCCGCACCACTCCACGACCAACCGCGAAACAGCTCGTCAGCATCCACGCACGACGTTTGCCCGCTATCCGCGTTCAGACGCGCACGGCAGCGAGGCTGAACATCGTTCCAGGCTTGCCAACACCCGTCCGGGTGCTCAGGCACCTCGAAATCAGGCACCTCCCACGCGGCCATCGGCGCTCCACCACCGTTATCAGGGCAGGCGAGGTCTGGTAGATCGATGCGAATCAGCTCGTCATTCACGGGGTCCGGGGTCTGGATGCCGAGGTACTCGCGGACGTCGAGGATGTGCATGATCTGGAAGACGGGGTCGTGCTTTACAGCGTCGTGAAACTGGGAGATGAGGCTTTGGTGTATCTGGGGGAGCATGGTGCCGGGGGGGAAGTGGTAGGTTGTTGTGCTCTGGGGGGTTGTGAGGAGGATGAGAGAGGTGCGGGGGAAGAAGTAGAAGGCGTGCGCTTGGATGGTTGGAGGTGGTAGAGAGGTTCTGGGCGCTTGGGGTGAGTCGAAGTTGTCTTGGGCTGGGGTTCTGTGGGTAGGTGAGCTGCGTTGATGTGAGCTGTGACTTATCTTTGTGCCGGCGTCTATGTTGCAGCATGCTGATAGCTCGCTAGAACCAGACATCGTCATATCAGTGTAGGTTGACTCCCCGTCACTCGCTCCAGACTCCATTGCTGCATCGTGTTTCTGCGAACTGGGCAACTGGGCTTGGAGATTCCTCGCCTCAGTCCACGCAGCGATCCGATCAGACTGCACTTCCCTGAGCTCTTCCTCGAGCCTCGCCTGTACATCCACAAGCCAAGCCACATCTTCGGCAAGACTATCATTCGTATCCCGCACCTCTCTGACTTGGTGCTCGAGGTAGCTATTCCGCATCTGCAATAGGCCGGCGAGTTGCATCCAAGCCTCTGTACATGGGGGCGGCGCGGTGTCACCACCTGTTTCTACACTCTGTCGGAGGAGGTCGTCGTAGAGACGCTCAAAGTTTTCTGCGAAGCTGCTGCGCCTGTGCTCGTAATCGCTCGAGGTGTCACATCCTCCACCTCTTAGCACGGGTATCGTGCTAAGCTGCACTTGTGGAGAGATTGTCTCTCCGATGCTCTTAAATGGAACGCCACACTCTGTCACTGTGGGTTCCAAGATGTCGTCTTTGAGCATACAATTGTCGCAGCTTGCAGTGCACTTCGGCGGACGTTGTGCTCCGCCGCGTGCTTCCGTCCGGACGTCTGCTGTGTCATCCAAATACTCGTGTGGCTTTGGAACAGACTGGTCAGTGGCCAAGGTCATCTCCGTTGCCGAATTTTTTTCACCACACCCCATCTCATCAACCCCAGAACAGCTCCTCTCCCTCCTCGCCCCCTCAAACATCCCATCCAATAGCCCCCCAAAAGCCTCCGCCAACCGGCTCATCCCCACACTAAACGCATACGTCTCCGGCAGCCCCAACTTCCCATACACCGCCAGTGCGCCCTCGATATTCTCCGAGATACCAAGCACAAGGCGGTGCTCGTAGTCTGTGATCGACAGCACGGGACGCTTGTAGGCCTCGAGCATGCACACTGTAGTGCAGAGGACAGCATAGTTGGCTTCTATGCTGCCAGGACTGTGAGTGAGCGCTGAGAGAAGGAAGAGAATTTGATGGGCTAGAATTTCGAGGGCAGCGAGGGGGGGTGGAGCGCGTGGGGCGAGGTCGCGGGTGACGGGGGCGGTGGCTGCGACGTTGGCTTTGCTGAGAAGACTCTCCTCGTGGAGTAGATTACAGTGCTTGTTGCACGGTGCACTACCATTCTCATCGTGAGATTCATGGGCAAGACAGAGCCTCAGAAACGCCTGGTCCAGATACGGCCCCAGCAGCTCCCTCAACTCATCCGGTGTATCGTGCCACAAATCAAGCAGCCCGGTCACTCGAACCATATTCTTCCCCATATTGGCGAGTGAATCGCGCTCATTATCGCTCTCGCTATGCTCGACCGCGCCGTCGGCGTAGGCATTCATGTCGTGCACCAGACTCACGCCAAGAGCGCGGACGGCATCGAGAGTCTGCTTGCCGGAGCCGAGCCACGAGACGAGAGTGTCTGTTTGCTGGCTTAGGGTCTCAATATTGACGGTGGGGATCAGACTAGTCTTGGTGGAAGGTTGAGGTGAGGAACGTGTCTCTGTGTGCAGATGGTTGGGCGTCTTGGGCTCTTCGGGTACAGGTTCCGACCCGATTGCATTCTCATCATCGAACTTGTCGAGACCATAAGTCGTGATGCCTTCTTCGATCTTCTCCCTGTCTTTATCGACACCAGTCCGTCCCTGCTCCATCCCATTCCCCATTTCCCGAGGCCCAGCAACACAATCCTCCAGCATCACAGCTGTTCGCCGAGAACTTTCGCACCTGTGACCCTGGTCGTCCAGGAGGTATGTGTCCATCTTCAAAGACCGGCGTAGCGTCAGGGGGGGCGTGGTGGTTGGAGTTGAATCGGTGATACTGAAGTTCCCAGGAAACTGCCACCCGTCAAGGAGCCACAAAGCGAGTCAATCAATTGACCTAGCTTTAGCAAATCTTCAGAGATGGTCACTTGCCCAGAATCCGTTACTGGAGAATCTATCGAGTTCTCAGTTTACGTGCACAACGATTTATACCTTAGACGTGGAGCCGGGCGTGAAGCCACACCGCAGTGACCGGCGCCCGCGAATTCAAGTAGCCCCGTCGTCTCGCAAACATGCTTTGAGCGACGTCCAAACGCCGCCACATCGTGGCTATGCGTTGACGGCCAGCAGCTCTGTGTGTTAGCATCAAACGCGGCGGCAGACAGAACATTCTTGCGAACATGAAGCAAGCGCAAAGAGCACGGAGACTGTGATGGTAGGAAGAAGTATTGTCTAGTATAGTGTAATATCACCGTGCTATGTATGCATCGTATATGTGTCGTGTCGTAAAGGCCGTGTGAACAGTCCGCTCTAGGAAAAGATACCTGGGTATACCGTGCGCAATCGAACGCCGCAGGAAGAGAGAAGGAAAGAAAGAAGAAGGGAGGAAAATAAAGTAGAAGAAGATATCGCTGGAAGTCGTTACCAAATCATGCTGTCACAAGACTGCAACAGCCACCCGATATTGATAACACCATGCATAGAACTTTTAGTGGGAGACGATCTCCTTCGCAGCACTTGAGCGACCACGCTCAATCTGCTCGACAGACATCTTCGAAGAGCCGGCCTCCGAAGTTTTCGTAGCGGCAATGAGGGCTTCGCGGTGGTCTCTGGCCATCTGTCGCATGGCAGCCTTGTCCTTCTCGTACTCGATGCTGCCATTACGCTTTGGACTAGCGCGGCGCGAAGCCGGCTGACTGTGCGTGGCCGAAGTCGTGTGGGAGGCCATGCGGATACTGCCGGGCCGTGTGCTAGAAACGCTGGGGCCGTCTCTGGTGCTGCCCGCGCGAGACGGGATGTAGAACTCGGAGCTGCGCGACTCCTGGCTCGCTCTGTCTGCGTCGCGCTCGAAGGACGACTGGCGTGAGTTGCTGCGGGAGTTGTTGCGTGAGCCGGCGAAGTTCGGATCGTCGCCCTTCAGCATCGGTCGGAATTGGCCTGTGCGCTGGCTGATGCACCACAGCTTGTAGGGACCGGGGATGAAAGTGCCTTCCTGGTCCCAGCAGTGCACCCAGGCAACGCCGTCATCGAGACGGAAGAACCCAACTTCGGTGTTCCTGCCCTTCTCGTTCTGGATAGTGCCATATCTCTTGCGGGCCTTGTAGTCATCCTCGAGCACATAGCGCTTTATGACACGTGACCAGTGGACAGAGACCGGACGAGAAAGCTTTTCGTACTCCTTAGGGGGATCCTGGGCTGCCTGTACTGGCCCTCCGTTGGCGGTTGTCTCTGGAAGATCATGTGCAGCTTCCTTCACTTTTGCGATCAAGTACCAGCCTCGACCTGGGATATACTCGTAGAGTCCTGGTGTGGGTTCCGCCCAGTGCTCGGTCTTCCGAATGGATCGTTCTTGCGTTTTGTTATCTCGGAACCATTTGTGTGGCGAGAAGAGTTTTTGCGTGGCCAAAAACAAATTCGGTGACATTGTGAAGTGGAAGTTGATGTGGTGGACTTGGACGGTTTTTCAAGAAACCGGTCAGCTCCAAGTGGAGTGGCTGTGGAGAAAGCAGTGGGGTGGCGTGCTTTGGACGGTGAAATGTTGCTGCGGCAGGGCAAGTGCGTGAGATGTCCGAATATAGTAATTTTTTTCACAGGACCTGAGTGATCAGGAGGCGCAATTCCTTGGTCGAATGTTCGATCGTCCGGATGGCGAATTCGTGGTCCGAGTGGCCGATGGTCGCCGATCCTGCGTGCAAAGCACGAGAGCAGTCCAGGAAAAGGCTGAGCGACCTTTTGTACGCTGTTCACCGATATTGTTGAAAGGAGTCTCGAGCTGCAGGTGTCAAGCTATTTAATGGACGGGAGCTAAAATAGTTTCAGGCTTGTGAGGAAAGATTTTCCCAGCGAAGGAAGGAAATTATCAGGGCGCTTCGACCGTTCCAAAGAACAAAGTAGTGCAGAAAGTGGGTCGGGTCGTCGACTCTTAGGTTCGGTGTTGGTGCAGGTAGGTAGTTCGCGTCGACATGGGGCTTACCGTGAGCTTCACATATGGGCGAAAGGCACAATCTGCTGCTCAGCATTCGTCATCACGCACCGCCTGATCAGCTTATCTCGGGCCCACGCTCCGGTTTCTTCCAGCTCTTGCTCTCACATATCGCGCGCATACTGCTGTTCTCGCGGTTCTTGCAAACAGTGCCTGCCCACAGCAGCCCCACTCGGGCCAATCAGGGCGCTCATCTCGCCCCGTGCGAGCACAGCACCAGATAAGCCGCCTAGTGTAGGACAATGATAAGGTAGGTGCTTGCGAGTGAAACTGCAGCAACGCAGTGTCAGGCACAGTGACAAGCATGGCGGTGTGGCAGCGAGCGGACGGCCAAGTCTCGAGTAGATGCGGGTGTTGAAGCGATGGTGGAGCTGTGCCTGACTAGTTAGCTGGCGGAGTGGTGCAAGCGCATCCGTAAGCGAGCCTGACGCCGAAACACTCCGCAGCTATGTGTGGACTCTGTGGAGTTCATGAACGATGTGTTGTCAACACTCCCTCGCTCTAAGCCAGGAAACAGGAATTTGTCTGATTGGACAGCGTCGTTGTATCTGCCCTCTCGTCATCCAGGTATAGTCACAAGCAGACGTCATTGTTCTGCCGTTCTCCCAGCGTGGCTCAGCGCCTCGTAATTCGCATCGTGTGCGTTCCGCTGATTCCGGCTTGGATACCCCGAATAGACACACGTATCTGTGCGGTAAGCATCAGTGCACACGTTTCACGGATGCGCACCGCAGCCGTAGCTGGAGCCGCAACGGCTTTACTCGAGTCCTAGCCCGCCTGATTAAAGTGCGGTGAGATGGTAGCCCTGGGCAGGATCGGGCGGATAGACGCTGACGATCGGCCACTTGTCAATGCGTGCACATCTCCAAGGGATCTGACAGCAACCCGACGAGCAAGATCGATTACTTGCGTAGCCTTCCATCCCTGCATAATAGATTCGGCGGCCGGTCTGAACCTGAACTCTGTCGAGCAATCCAATCTAACGGGAGAAGTTTATGGCAGACATGGCCGGACGCTGGTTCGTGCACCTGATTCTCTCAAGGGGACCGTCTTCGGGCGTGAGAGATCGCTGGATTGCGTACACGAGCCTCTGCAACAGGGACACCTGCAGAGACCAGCAACCTTAGAGTCCCCCGGCCACCTGGGTCCACCCACCAGCCGACAAGCGGAATCCCAGCCTGCATCGCACTCCCACGTGTCCACCAAAAGCAAGTCCCAACCCCAGAAGTGCAGTATACCCACCTGCTGATGGACAGACATGACGAGCACCCAAGCCGTCTGCTTGACCCGCTCCAACCCAACCTCTTCGCCACCCACCCTCACACAGCTCCGGCATGCAAGCACATACATACATGCAGCCCGGCTCACCTGCAGCAAGAACCAACGCCCGCTGCACGGCGCTGCTCGCAACAAACACAGCGCTTGGCGCAGCCTGCATCTGCACCTCATGGCGCAACGAGCAGCTGCAGCGTGCATCCAGCCGCAAGTAAACCACCCTGCAAAGTGACATTCTCAGGGTCTTTCATCAAAGTCTATTCCGACCAAGAAGGTAGGCCGTTTGCCCTGCGGCATGCACGATCCGTGTGGCAGACCGTGTAGTAGCCAGATCATGTAGTATGCAAACCATATAGTATACAAACCATATAGTAGCCAGACCATGGAGTAGCCAGACCCCAAAGTAGCCAGACCCTGAAATAGCCAGACCCTTAAGTAGCCAGACCGTGTACCAGATGCTGCAAGGTCGTGTCGTGACTATAGCGAGACGCAGGGTGGCGAGCAAGTTCGAGGCTCTGGATGCTGCTTTACTGGCCGGCTCAGTTGCGCCGCTCGGGATGGCGACAGACATGCATGCCCGTCTCGGTCGTGGCGAGTTACTGTTTTTGGCACCGCGGCATGTGTAGAGAGAGCTGCATGGTGTTGACGAAGAGGATGTAAACGGCACGGATGGTGTATTCCGTGTTATCCAAGGTGATGCCTGGATGGACCGCTCGACTGTTAAGACACAGTGTGGATATGTATGTTTCTATAAGTAATTAGAGTATGTGGGAAGGGAATCTATATTGATGCTCAGGATGGGGGTTTGATGTTAGCAGCATACCTGTGAGACAAGTATGACAGCACAGAACATCAAATGTACTTATGTGTACATGTATATATAGATGCATCTCTCTGTTTGCCGTTGTACTTGACAGGCACGTGAGCACATCAGCAGACTAACTAGTGTTTCACAGAAGTGAAGATAGCCTTACCACGTGCTTCGATCATTAGCGATGCAACTTTAGGGATATGGTGTAGATACGACTCACTGCCCCCCGCCTGTGCGGTGCAAATACTCCAGGAGGCCGACCAAGATCTATTCATACTCTAACACTACCTGCTGTACTTCACCACAGCCACTGCAAGACGGTACAGATGGGGCGTCCATCCAGGAGCTTGACACCAGAACTATCTCTCTAGAGCTTGTAATATTGCCTTGCCCTTGTACCGTTCATCTCCAGGGCTTTGTTTGGGGAGCAGAGAGAACAGAACCAGGAAGCCACACCCCAGCCAGACCAGCAGAGCAACACAATCTGGGTTACAGCAGCGCCATCAGTGCATCAGCCATCACGACCCACGTCCTGACCTCCAGTACCCTACCAGCCCAGGCATCAAGGTGTGAGGCACGTGCGTAGGTTCTCTGTGATACCAAGGTGTCTCCACGAAACCACGTCAGCCAAACAAACGTCCCTGGGTACTAACAGAGTGCACGTATTCCCGCCTCATGGGGTGGCTAGTGCATATCTAGGTAGGACAAGAAAGTCGTTCTGATGTGTGATCATGTGATTTCGGTCAGTGGCGGAATCATATATGGGTTCTGTTGTATACCCTGGTGTAGATTACCGTATTAATTCTCTACAATACACTGCCCAGGGTGGTGATCTTACATCAGCGCGACTTGTACCATGTTGTACCCTATACCGCATACTGTACAAACAACAATGGATAGCTCATTACTGTGTGTCTACCTGGGACAGGAGGGTGCATGTATATGGCACGTGACATGTATTGATGTGGAGAGGAGAGACGCTAGGAATAGCGTGAAGAGTAAGTGGTAGGTAGGTAGGTGAGCAGCTGAGTGAACAGTAGTGAACAGAACTGGTTAACAGGAAACAAGGAAGGGGAGGGGAGGGGAGGGAGACAGGAAGCAGTATTCCAGACGAATGAGGTTTTCCCGTCTCTCATGGCATGTGAGATCGTTGTCTGCACGGAGGAGTGGCCTGGTGTTCATAGCGTGCGAGCAGTCGCTGCATAAGAGATTTTGGCGCACAGGCTGTGTACTGGTGGTCAGGCATGGCTGGCCGTTCGAAGAGCAGCCGCTGGATACCCGGCGTACCAGATCCGTCTGCTTGTCGTCGACTTCAAATCGTGTCACATCACAACAAAACCCCGTAATGGCTCATATTCATTTCATTTTCCTCTTTGCCTCCGCCGCTCCCCTCACCCGCGGCCCAAGGCGCCATGACACCCGCGCGTGCACATCATACCGTGTGGTGCATATCACGCGTATCAGCAGCGCCAGGTCGAAAAAAGCCTTCCCATTGAGGTGGTAACGTAATCAGAGAGACGCCTTGCATGCCGCCCAGTGGAAACCCTTCGCTACACTCTACATCTACGACTCGGTCTTGACGCGGGCCTGGCCGTTGGTGACCTTGACGCCGATCTGCTTGGCGCGTGCGATGATGTCGATGCGCTTGCGGGCGGAAACGGCGTGGGCGATCTCGGCGGCGAAGGTGGTGTTGTGCATGAGGAGGAGGTCGACGTCGGCAACTGAGCGTGTTAGTTAGGGCTGGAAACGCGAGGAATGCGTCGGCGTACCGTTGTTGACGACGAAGGCCTTGTGGCCGGAGGGCATCAGGTGACGGGTCTTCTTGTTGGATCCGTAACCGATCTGGTCGCAATTGTCAGCCCAAGTTCCAATTCTCACTGTATTCCACCGCGTTGCTCGTCCGGTGGTGTGGTGTTCCGTACCTTGGGCATAGCAGCCTGGCCCTTGAACCGCCTGCGGACGCGGTTGTCGATACCCTTGGGCTTGCGCCACGAGGGGTCGACGCCTGTTCCAAGTCAACGCCTATCCCATTCCTCCAATTCCTAGGATAACATACGCATAAAGCGGTCCGACTGGTGGCGGTTGAAGCGCTTCGTGTCTGCATCGGGTCAGTATGCGAAATTTGCGGTTCGGGTGCGTGGGTGCGGCATACGCTTCTTGACGATCGGGACATGCTTCTTAGCGGCGGCCATCTGGGGCAATCAGTATTCGAGCGGTAGGCGGGCGGTATTTGGTGTGGGCGACGTACTTTGAATGCTGTGAGGTTAGTCTTGGACGGTCGGAAATCGTAGAAGCAAAATGTGCGGTCTCGAAATGCGTGGTGGGCAGGCCAAGCCAAGCTTGCGCTAGTGCAATAAGCGAGAACTTCGAGCGGCGACCAACACCAACACACCATCTCGCCGAGATCGTCATGATGGGCGAACGCCATTGTCAGGCAGGGATTCAGACTTCGGGTTCTTCATAACCTTGCGTTGTCACTTGTAGCAGTCTTTGCAATGCAGCGGCTGCAGATGAAGATATTACGCAGATCAAAGCCAACCTACGATTGCAGATATCAACTTGTATCTCAACGGCTTAAGAGATGGGTGCATGTTGGCAATCTGCGGTTGGCTGTAATATGACTGTGCAGCATCTTCATCTGCGGGCAGTAAACTACAAACTGCTCGTGAAAATGCGCAGCTCAGCATGACGCTCGTCCACGAGATCGTCGAAACAGCAGAGCAAGAACCTACGAACAAAGAGTAGTGACAACAAACGAGAAGTCCAGAATTCAAGGGGGATCCTCGCGAGGCGCCGACGAAGGAGTGTTCGACAATGCCTGCTGGCTCGACTCTGTCTCAATGTTTCAAGGCGTGGTGCTGAGCTATGCATTTTCATATGTAACAGTCTACAGACGAAGATACTGCACAGACATATCGTAGTCAACTGCACGCCGTGAGACCGATTATACAAGACATAGCACTGCGCATCTCACCTCTACAATAACAGTCTAGCAGTAACCTTCTAATATACAAGGTTCCACATGATCCACGTATTCCTCGTTCCCATACGTACTGTACAAACCACAGCGCTACACTTATTCTCTTCAAATACACCAGCTGGACACACACATATCACACATCCCTATCGTAGCCCAGCCACACCTTGTAGACTACACATACTCCCTTGTATTCCACGCCCTCTTGATGAAGTATACGAACTATACTTCATGATGCCTCAGTAAGCTGGAAAGCATCCATCTTCATTGCTGAGGACGCAAGTGTCATGCAGAAAATAGGCCACAATATATGCTGTATGTCCAAGCGGTGACCTGTTCGTCGCTTGGATCAATAGTACCAACAGGGCTCGAACAGATCGCCATTCACTCTCGCAGTCGCTGCCTACTGCAGCCAAGATTCACGCACGAGCATTCACCGCGCCCATGGCTACACAAGTTCACCGCAGCTTCTATCGCCTCACGCTCTACTTGCAGTTGACATCGCTGCCGCAATTGACTCCACGCCCGTTGCCGGGAATACGAAATCGCAATGGCGAAGCGCAAGAACACAGACACAGCTGCGGCAACGCCAGCCAAGAAGGTCAAAACACAGAAAGAGAGTAAGTCCAGATTCGTAATAGTCTACACATCGCGAGTTGCGATGAGGTGAGGTCAAGGTGGATGGCGCCGAAAGTCGGTCAGCCTTGTCGCTGGCGGAGGAGGGGCACCATTGGTGGGGTCGGTCTACTGCTGCCTCGTAAATGCCGTCACTCTTCTCACGACCCTGTCTCGACTGGAGCTTAGCATAGCTTCTGCTTCGCCTTGCCAATATTTTGCGCCGGAATCTTCTTGCTTGCTTTTATTTTCCGTTCGGCACGCTGAACCCCTCGGCGCACTTCCCTCGAGCCTGCTTGCAGATCAACACCAAAAGAGAAGGATACACGAGTCGCTGACACAACATGCCTCCAGCGTACACAACGCAGCAGAAGGCTGCGATCAGCCAGTTCATGAGCTTTACACAGATGGATCGCACCGCTGCGGTACGGGTGCTCAAGAGCCACGGGTGGGATGCCCAGAACGCCGTTAACGCGTAAGTCCTCGTCTCGTTTACCTCTTTCCCTCAGTGTTTGCGCCCCTTGCATCGCGCCCCGAATGTGCGACCACAACCGACCGCCGACTTACCGCATTGGACCGACGACGATGCTCGCGCACCCTCGATGTTGAGAGTTGGGAGGGCAGGGACACATCATGGCGTGGGGAAAGCACGAGGTATCGGGCGCATTGGGCGCGCATTCCTGGCACATCTTGAGAACAGCGGGCCGCGTGAACGTTCTTGTCCGAACGCAGTGGCCATGCCTTCTGCATGGTCCGCAAACAACACCATGCCGCCTTCCATACAGGCCAACATGTTGGCCTGTTTGATAAACTTGGGCGACACCGCGCCTCTTCGAACACTACACTTCGTCCGCACCTCTCAAGCCACGTTCCTACCACCATAAATCATAATAGCCGGTCATGTTTGGTGCCTCCGAAGACCGTGCCAGGCAGCTCGCGGGTCGACAGCGCTGGAAGCGCATCGCCTCCACCGGTTCAAACAGCACCCATCGATCCGTCAGCTCCTCAAGCAAACTGAGCCAACTATCTCATTCCGAGGCATTGTCTATTCTCGAGCAGAACATTCGACAGTCTACTACAATCCTCGAATTCGACGCACCCACAAACCACGGTTCTCATGATGACCGACACGGTTATGGGAGACCCCAATCGCTCGCACAGTACACTGCTGCGCTCGATGTGGAGGAAGCCTTGTCGCATATGATGGCCAAGAATCAACATCCGCGTATGCAGCAGCAACGGCTTCAAGCCGAACACTTGAGCCAGGTGTTATATAACGATACAACCGTCAATAATGTCCTTCTCCCATCTTTGAGCTGCTCTGTGCTTCCTAGTCAGACTAAGCAATACGGCATCCTTGGATGGGCAGCGAGCATACTGCACCAGTCCCGTCCCGTTACCGAGCCAGTGTCGCAGACAACCGCGCGGGATGATCAGCAGATCACGGTGACAGGGTCGGAGTCTACGAACCGCTCGGTCATCAGAGACTTTACGCCCGCACCTCAAATTGTGTCATTGCGAGGCGGTGGATGCCCAGACGCGAACTATTTCATCACCAAGGTGCAGGAACATCCATACTATCAACTGCCATACAACACCGGCGACGCGTATAGACTTTTCGTGGATTCCTTGTCTTCTGATATGCGTGCGGCTTTCATTAAGGATTTCAGCCAGCTCAGGGCGATAAGCGGTCCAGCCAACTTCGTTCGACTGCTATTCATTCAAAAGCTCGATACTCAGCAACGAGATCTTTTCTGGAATGCTATATGGGAGCGAATGAGGCTGTTGATCGGCACCAGTTCTTCTGAGAAGACCCAATCCAGTCTCGAACTGGCGCAAATCTACGAGACGTCTCTGGAGGGTGACGCGTATCCGTCCGTCAGTCTACAGTGCATGATATATGCCATACTGCGACCAGACATCCTCCCGCATGTGATAACGGATGGGTAGACTACCCTACCTGTTGCTCCCATTACGCGTTTCCTTCATTGCGGCGCCATGTACTACAGACTTTGCTAACAGATCGCTCATAGCTACTACAGCGGCGGAGGAGGCAGTTCGAACGCCGCTGCTAACAAGGCGACGCTCAACAAGCTCTTCGACAAGTACCGCGAGGATGCAGCTGGGGAGCCGGATCTGATCGGCGTTGACGGCACAATGAGCTATCTCCAGCAGCTGGAAGTAGACCTCGAGGGCATGGACTCTCTCGCCGCGCTCGAGATTATCCAGGCTCCTACTATGGGCGAGATCACTCGAGACGGCTTCGTCAACGGCTGGCTGGAGCGCGAGTGAGTCATCCGTCACTTGTCTCAGGACGCTACTAATTCTGCCAGATGTGAAACGGTCGACAAGCAGAAAGCCTACATCAAGAATCTCAAGACGCAGCTAGCGACTGATAAGACAGTCTTTACGCGCGTCTACAAGTACACATTCTTCCTCGCCAAAACCGCTCAACAGAAAGCCGTCGCCCTTGACGCCGCCACGGCGTACTGGGATCTCCTCTTTGCGTCCCCCCTCTCCGCAGTCCAGTGGTCGTGTCCCACGACCCCGTGGCTCGCCTGGTGGAAAGAGTTCCTCGAGCACTCGTGGAAAAAGAGCGTCAACAAGGACATGTGGAATGAGACGCTCAAATTTGCGCAACTAACGCTCGAGGATGAACAGATGGGATTTTGGTCGGAAGAGGCATCCTGGCCGTCGGTTGTGGATGATTTCGTTGAGTGGGTCAGGGTGGAGAAGAGGGGTGGGGGGAAGGAGGGGGAGGCAGGTGAGGGCGAGATGGTGTATTGATGTGCGCTGCCGGGAGTCGAGTACAGTGAAGAGTGTCTGGCGCCACATGTGGGTTCACGGGAGCATTACATACCCCGCCTGTCTCGAAGGCGCGTTTAGGAGATATCGGTGCATCTTAGCAAAGTAGCGTAGAGCGTAGCTCAACATGGCATTATGGAATACCAAGTACGGACGTCACATGCCATCAAACGATCGAGAGTGATCACAGATATAAAATTGGCTCTAACGTACCATGCTTCGTGCGTACTGCGTTAGACACAACGAACGACCCATAATGATGAGGGTATATACTTCTCACGTCCCAAATCCTAGATGCTTATGGAAATGCACAAAGCGGAGGTGATGAACTCCTTCTCCCTGAGGCAAACCTCATTAGCCTGCTGCGCCGGTGCTGCTAGAGCCCTGGACCCGACGTCGCTCTACGTACAAGCACACGGCACGCAAAAGCACTTGGGTCTTCACTTCCCGCAAACTGACCTCACTCCCACAACTAACCCCAAGCCCTTCAAGTAAAGTAGCGTAGCTTGCAGCGAACTCCAGAGATCTCAAGGTAGCCGTACTGCTGGGCATTGAAGGTGCACATATCATCAACATTGTATATCAAACTTGACATTGCGTGCTGGGTATCATATCCTATGCTCTACGACTTACTTTTCGAGTTCGCGTTGGCATTCGCGTCCTGCTTCTTCGCCGCCATAAGCTCCCTATACGTATCAATGATGGTCTTGCGCTCAGCGCCCAACTCCTCGCGCTTCCGCAGACTGCCCACCGCATTGGGCACGTTGTTCACCACCACCTTGGCGCCGTTCTTCACCTTGAAGATCTCGCGCGGCACCTTGGTGAACGTCGGCGGCGCAGACACCACGTCGTGCAGGCCCTTGCGCTGCTCGCGCTTGCGCGCCAGCGCCTCCCACTCGTCCTCGCTGTGGCCGTCCACCTCGCCCACCAGCTTCTGCCGCTTCGCTGCCTTGGGCTTCTTGCCGTTGGCGCGCAGGCCGGGCTGCGCGGGCTCCTCGGACTTGTCTTCCCAGATCAGCGCCTGTTCGTCGCGCTCTTCCTCGGCGAGTTCGGCTTCCTCGGCTTCTTTGTCGCGGATCCGCGCTTCTTCTTCGCGCCATCCGGCTTGCAGCTTCTTGAGGCGCTTTTCGTGTTTCGTCACGCGGTGGTCGGGGGCGCCGGCGAGTTTCTTGCCTGTTTTGACGATGCCGGCGAGGGGCAGGGCGGCGTCGACGCGCGCGCTGTACTCGGCCATGGACTCGCCGGGTTGGATTTTGGGAATCTGCTTTGCGGCGGCGGTGGCGTTGGCTTTGGTCATGGAGGGCTTCTTGTCGTCGTCCGAGTCGGCGTCCGGATTGGCGGCTTGCTGCGCGGCGCGCTTCGCGGCAGCCTTCTGCTTCTTGGAGAGCACAAGGCCGTCGTCGAGCGCAGAGCGCTTTTTGTTGGCGCCGACGCCGGCTTGCGAGAAGGCCATCAGCCGCTGGAACGCTTTTGGTGTGTCATCCTGCCCGTAGCCCTCGACGTGTGCGAGCTTTCGCTTCTTCGTCTTTGCGCTGGTGTTTGCAGTCTTGCCCTTGCCGACCGGAAGAGGTGCAGCACGAGATGTGGGTGGGAGGTCGAAGCTGTGAGTCGTCAGTGACAAAGACCGGGTGTGCAAATGCAGGTCGAAACATACTCTGGAGCATCGCCTGCTCTGCGTTTGTGTTTGTGCGGCATTTTACGGTTATATGGTGGGAAGTCCAGATGGAGATTCGCCGTGTCGCAAAACTTCCACAAATTGTTGCAGGGGTCGGAGTTAATATTTCCACTGGAGTTTAACTCCGAGAGACGTCACGTGAGTGCTTCTTTCACCCCACCTTCTCCATCGACCATGGTATCAAAGCCACAGAAGGCATGTCCTTTCAGCGCCGACAATCCAATCCCACTGCGCCTAAAGGATCAGCTCGCCAACTATTACCTAGAGCAGATATCGTTCGCTGCCAGATACGGTGCCCATCCGCAGTGGCTGACTCCTCCTGCGCTGATGGCCCTGCTGTCTCCTTGTGGGGTCTGGCTTTCGTTGTCGTGACTGGCCTCTTTGCCGGCTATGAGCTTACCTACTCTAGTCTCATGCGGAGCTTTGGGGGCAGCATACCCAGGCGCATCTTGGCGGATACACAAGCTAGCGTGTTACGATGGAGCTTGTTTTTGGGCCGCGAGGCCCCGCATCCCGTGATGCTCGGACTGGCCCGCAGCTGAACGACTCATCATTCCATGAATGATGTTGACCCTCCAGCAGTCCGGAAGAATTGGCTGTGAGCCGTGTACGATTGCCTTACAGAAACGGCAGACTCCTTCAGAGCCGCTTTCCTTGGAACCGTCCAGACTTAGCCCAAAAGCGCAGTTCATCACAGGTATAAGAGGCTGCATACCCTTGGGAGCCGAACTTGGTGTGTAGATCAAGAGTCTCATATGCGGCAATACTCCGATTCCCGAAGAAGCAAGCACATGGATTCCGCATTGCCGACACAGCTGAGTCTGTCATTCGGGCATGCACGTAGTCAAATAGAGACTCGCAGCTTGTCAGCTAAGTATTGATTGGATCTCAACAAGTTCGAAATCCTGCGCATTGGCTTGTGGATATGTGCTGTACATTGTGGTGTGGAGGACGAGATGCCTTGCGGGTGTTGTGGTTGACATTTGGTGCAGTAGCTGAAAAAGCGGCCCATTTACGCCTCACTCCTCAGCCGGACTCTCGTCCTTCCTTTTGTCGCACGCACACACTGTGCCTCGCAGCACCTTCTTACGCAACATACGGATCTAGATGAGGTCGTCCATCGTTCTCCTCGCTCTCCTCGACTGATTCCGAAGATGTCGAAGATAAAGCACCTGGTTTCTAAAAAGCCTGCTGCCGTGCCTCCACACGTACCAGAGCGAATTTTCGACCCGGAGAAGGATCTCAAAGATATCCTCGTTGATTTCCAATCGGACTACGAGTCAATTGCAAACGTCAGGCTCGACCGAAACAGATCATTTGAAGCAATTCGAGATGATATGGAGAAATCTTTGGACGAACATCGCGTGGAGAATTGCCAACGCTCCAAAAAGGTCCTCCGCAACATTGGAACGTGCCTCATGAAATTCGGAGAAATTGCTGCTGGTGGCGCCAGTATTGCATTTCCAGCAACCACGCCGTGCTGGAATGTTGTCAATGTCATTGTCAAGTCAATACAGCAGAATCAGGAGGTTCTCGATGGTTTCATTTATCTGATGGAACGTTCATCAGCCTTCCTCGGGCGTTTGAATGATCATCTGGCAGAGCACCCCGACAACACAGGAGATATTCTTCCAAAATCTCTACGGGAACCCGCATATCGGATACTGCATCTCTTCCTCGGCACGTTGATGGCATCATATCTGGTGTTTCAGCGAGGTACATGGTCAAGCCTCAAGAGGTACATGAAAATCGTTCTATTCAACGAAGATCACGGAGTCGCCGAGAAGCTCACAGACATGGAAGAATCAATACGCGATTTCGTGGAGACCCAAATAAACCAAATTCTGATTGACGTAAGGGGAATTGCACGCTACTGTACAAGTTTGGAGGAGATTAAGAAGAATGAGAAGGAAGTCCTAGACTACGTTCGTGAGATATTCAGCCATACTGGAGAAATGGCAAACGTCCTTCAACAGATGAAAGAAACATCTGAGCGTCTCGCGAACGAGAAACAAAACGCTGAGAACCTTTCCAAGATTCGTAGGAGCTTCAGCTTGGGTTCTGGGGATGATGAGTCGTGGAAGAAGCGTCATGACGAAGTCGGCAGAGTCAATGTCCCCCTCACTGGACAGTGGCTCCGATCAGAATATCAATTCGAAGAGTGGTCAGATACTGCTAATCAAAACACCAAGGTACTGATGCTGCAAGCTGAACCTGGTTATGGGAAAACACACCTCATCTACAGTGTCATCCAGCATTTGCGCACGAGGTACAACAACGACAATCAGAGTTCGGCGCCTGTTCATATCGCATACTACTACTTCAACGATGAGAAGGATGAAAGTCTTGAGCGATGCGTTGGATCCATCATCTATCAATTCGCAAAGACGGACAATCGTTACGCTACAGCTGTTGCTGCTGCATTCAAGAAGGAGACGAATGTGATCAAGGCCCAAGAGCGGTGGACCAATCTGGTGTCTGGACAAGCACCTGCGATGAAAGGGACTTATTTTGTCTGCATTGATGGATATGATCCTCGAGTCCGATCTGTTCTTTCTGACAGCACAATCAACGATATGGCAGGTTGCTCATCTACCTTGGCATCTAAAGGTATCTCCCTTCGCCTCATGATCGCAGGTACAGAGAACATATTACCAGATGCCAGTAAATCTCAGCCAGGAATTGGTCAAATCTCATTAGATGCCGGCAGGTCGCAGGATCTGAGTGTCGTTCTTCAAGACAATATCGATCGTACAATCGCAGCGAGGCCTGAGTTCAAGGAGGTTCTGAATGATTCGAACGTCAAGAAATTGATCACCGACGTGAAGGATTACAGTCTCCTAAACATGAAAATGGCCCAGATCAGCATGTGTAATTCAGAGGAGGAAGTTCAGGCTGTCATCGATACAACCGGAACGACGTGGAACAGCCTGTTGAGAGACAAGATTCATACTCTTTACAGGTCGCTGACTCCTGCTCAAACTGATACCCTCAACGAGATCCTTAAATGGATCGTCGGGACGCAAAAGACGAGGAATAGGTCATACATTGCGGTCGATATACTAGAGGGCGTGCTTCTCCTCAAGCTCAATCAAAAGATGTTTCTGAACGCCATCATATCCAGGATCTATCCGAGGTTGCTGAAAGTCGATGAACAGGATGATGTTCTCCTCAGATCCGATGATTACTTTGAGATTCTATGCACGAAAGACAAAGAACGCCTCGAATCTGAGATTACCGTGCCCGAGATCGAGATGTGCAGCCGCATAGTTGCTCACGCATGCGGACCTATAGACTTTGCTCGATTCTCGTTTGAGAAGTTCTTCAAGGAGCTAATTGGAAACCAGAAATCAGAAGTCCTGGTGGAAGCAAACGACGCTCAAATCGCCATCCTGACTTCATGTGTAAATGTCTTTCAGGCACCCCTCCAGGACGCCCTCGAACCCTTGGAAGACTATTCTGCGTACTGGTTTTATGAACACTTGAAGACTTTGATGGACGGCATCGACCCCCATTATCTTGAAAACCGCCACATTGCCGAGATTGGCTCTAGGCTCGTAGATCTGTTTTACGAACCGGACTGCATTAACAGATGGTTCAAAGATAACAGAATCGCATCTCTAAGAGCTGACTGGATTGACAAAGATTCTTTCATTGATGCATTGTTGAGCTTCTGGAGGAGCTCCTACGCCGTCAAAGGGGTTACAAGCACAGACGAGAGAACGGACGAAAAGCATGTTTGGGCTATGTCCTTCTTGGCCGAGTCCGGAGACAAGATCCAGGTCCTGGAGAAGATATCCGTGCAGTTGGCGATCCGCTGGTTTAATTGTGAAGAACAATTTGAGGAGGAAACTCTGTGGTTCCCGTGGGCATTTTTCAAGAAGGTACAGTTCTGGGTTTCCTGACCGTAAAGCTTACTGACACTCGGAATGATAGATCACACACCAATTCATTGAGGATGATCAACCATCATTGCAGCAAGTTGATGACTTCATTCAGTGGGCTGTGAACAGCACCAAGCTAGACCCCACTACTCCAGTATGGTTGTTCTGCAAAGGAAAAACCTTCGTCCAGTTCGATTATGACCAAAGAGGAGCAGAACTGCTCAGAGAAGCCATAGTGAACTCAAGTGATAACAGATGGCTCTATCTCGAAGCATTGTATGTCCACCGAAGGCTTGAAGACTACCAATCGTCTCTCGATTATGCTCGCAAATTGAAGTCTCTGTATGAGACCCTTCAGGACAGTGACGAGTACAGGGAAATATATGTAACCGAGGTTCTGCTGCCGCAGATCGAAGATCACATGAAACTAAAAGAGTGGGGTTCTGCCGCTCAATGCTGCAGAGAGTTCATGCACAGCAATCCATGGAGTGCTAGTGGCAGTTATGTGTTAGATGGGGTGCCCAACAACACTCTGGACACTCTGGAGAAGCTGTTTGAGTGTCTGCATCGGATGAATGATCACGGCGCTATCATCGACCAGCTAGAAGCGTGGCGAACACTCACGGATGATGAAGGACTTCTTTATTGGTTTGAGCTCGTCGCTGATAGCACCAAGGTCCAACAATATGTCATTGCTGCAGCAAAGCATACGGACAAGGTGAACACTGTTCACAAGATGATACTGCAAGTTCAAAAGGCAACCGAGTCGAAAGCCTTACTAGGATCCCTCCGGTACTTCGAGGCAGCTCTTCTGATCTTCGGTAGTAAAGTAGACACGCGATACAGCGAAGGTATAGTAATCTGGGAGCAGATTATGGAGCCACGTTCCCGGATGCAGATATCGGAGCTGACGGTGGAGCGGACAGCGCATGCTTTATCCACAGTCCTTCTGGACAACGCTCTTCTTGAACCGTCGAAGCCTGCACCACATCAAACTTCAGGGGGGTTTTCACGAAGATTGCTTAGGCTTCGCCAGAATGATCTTGGAAACGACGTCTTCTTCGACAATCCACACATCTGTTTGATCAGATTGCATGCGGCGCGCAAAGACATGAGCGCAGCACGCAGAGAAGCCAAAGAACGACTATTCACGGTTTTTAACGACTGGCCCGATGAAACTTATGATGGCTCGCTTGCAACACGTTTCTTGGGATTGGCGAAGACCTTGACCGTTCTTGATGATGACGAAAATGCTATTGCAGCATGGCAAGCGCTCAAACCACGAACAGAGGTTGTTGATCCTGAATCAGATTCGAATGAAACTCCTCCAACATACCTGGATGATAGGTTCAATTTCACCTGCGACGGATGCGGTGCCCACCGGGTCGGTTTCGTCGAATGTTGGGTATGCAAACATTGCCCCGACCTGCAGCTTTGCATACAGTGCGAACAAGACCTTCGACAGGATCATCTACCACCTACCATCTGTAACAAGGATCACACCTTGCTTTACCTTCCGCCCATTAATCTGGACGCAGTGAAAGAATTATCACCCGATCAGACACTGTGTGGTGGACGTGGAGTGTCGAGAGCCGAATGGATCGCCAACCTCCGCGACAAGTACGAAGTACAGCAGGATCAGATCGAGATGTGGATGCAGGAGAAGGCACGGCGAATGAGAGCAGCAAGATTTCTTATTCAGTTCCTTAAGTGGCGTATGAGGGCCCGCAAAAAGAAGAACGCCTCGGAGATAATCTCTGCCTAAGCCAGTGAGCCAGAACCAGACATGTTCATTCGGATCGAGGCAATTCATCTTGACATTAGCCATCTTTTATGAAATCAAGAATGCTACCTCTGATTGACACAGCAGCTGTTCCAATCTTAGTCTGTAGGCTTCCGTGCTATAGCTTTAGCTACCAGCTGCTTTGCTTGTACTTATAGCAGTCATTTGTGGTGCTGTAATAGTGAATAACGTTTCTCGAAACGCAGCAAAAATATAAGGCAGCAGTATCGTTAGCAATCAACTAGCTAAGTGCTCATCTACTAAGTACGTTAATCAAATAAGGGTAAGCCCGCAGGAGGCCTCGCTCTCAGCCTTCGAAAGCCGCATGTGAGCCAGGTTTCAACAATACTGCTCATCTAACAACGCGTTGGCACCATTGACTTACGATCGCTGGACTGCAACAGCCGTGCTGATAGCAACGAGCAAGGGTCTCGAAGAACACTTGGGCCTGATCTGCCAAACTTCGAGATGCAGAAGTGCGCTTTCTTTTTGGCATGGCACATAGCATCAAGTCGATAGCCGTCCTACGCAGCAGCACGTCGTGGACTGTTTCATCTGCCCTGTTTCCGTCTGTTGCAGTCACATTTACAGTAGCGTTCAGACCTACCGGTAGCTGGGCCGACACGGAAATCTAAACCGTCCTTACTAAGAACATGCTACACAGCTTCCCTGGAACTAGGACTAGGTTGATAGTCAGGGTCAGCGGCGGAGCATCTACTTTGGGAAACAGCTTCCGTCTAGGAACCGTAGGAAACACTTGTGAGTAAGTACCGTTCCAGACCAGGCTTCCTGAACCAACCACCTGCGGTCTTACGCACTGCTACTTGTGGCAGTGCTCAACATCTTGTTATCCGCGATTTAACCAAAGAAATTATCCTCGTAAAGTCATGAAGAGGAGGGAGTTGCTGCAAGACTTGACCTTTGGTGCGCGAGTCGTGGCCGCGCTCGCTTCGCGAGCCACGGAGAAACCGTCTCGAGGGTCCTCTCCCCGCAAAGCCTAGACCATCACAACAGTTGAGATGGCGTGGGTGGTGCTTGGGAGATGCGGGGAGCCGCATATCCTATCAAAGCGCTACATATGGCAGAGAGAACACCAGCATTCTATCGCAAACGTTTGTGAAAGTGTCGTTTGGCATTGTTTGGATTGGGCTCGCTCGTGACTACCGTATCCGTCAAGAACAATCAATCCCTGTGTCGTGATTGCCCCCACGAGAACACCAATAGCTAAGCAGGTAACACCAAAAGTTTGCGAGCGTAGACCAACTTGTTTTGATCGCGCTACATATCTGCGAACGGAGGCTTTTGCTTCGAGGTCGCGTTGCTGATCGCTCATAATCTGCCTGCATGACACCATCGCTGCTCACATTCTTCACTCCTAGCAGCGGACCGCCCTGGACCTCTGCAAACCACACGCCGGCAATCCTCCTCGTGTTGCGCCTGAGGCTGTCACTCAACCGCCACTCCTGGTAGCGCGATTGTTGGATCTATTGCACCAATCAGACCGTCTGCTGCGGCTACGTGCATCAACGTAGCCCATTGCGACAAGCTCGCACCCACCACGAGGGCGAGAGCATCGACCGCCGGCATCGATCACCTGGGCGGCAGGCTCGTTGTACCTAGTGAGAAGATAAATCGAGCAATCGCCGAACTGCTCATCAACGACGGAACTGACGGCGTGTGAAACAAACACAAATCACACACACGACACTGGCGTGCGCGACTTATCTGTCGAGCAATTGCGGACAGCGGACCGTTCAATTCAGCGCTACCACTTTCTCGGTTGGGAATAGACCCGGGGTCAGGATCGTGTAAGTCTGGATCGTCCCCTCAGAACTGTGGCGCCGCTCGAGTTTCGTTTCGGAAGGTGTCCGAGATCGCGTCCAGCTGTAGAAGGTCCCAGTCGGAGCCCCATATACAGCTGCCCGGCCCTCGAATTTGGTGTTGCGACTTCGACGACCTCTTTCTTGAAGTTAGCTTGGCACTTGGATCTCTCATCTCCTCGTGCGTCTTGTCAGGGTCCGATCTGCTGCAGGGGTCGAGATCGTTACAAATCTGGCAGCTATGGCTTCCGACAGCGCCGAACTGCGTGTGGCGTGTCCCAGTGCGCAACCTCTCTTGCGCAATCACATCACATCCGACTTCGATATCTCACCAGCAAAAAGTCCTGTTCCTGGCAAGCAACTCTCGAGTGTCACAGAACGCGCTTTGGAGGATGGCGACATCTCAGATCTCGATAGCGAGGCGTCACTAGGATCCCACCCCACGTTCTGGGGCCGTTGCTTGATGGCAGTTCGGAGGAGACGGCCATCTCTCGCAAGAGTCGACTATGAGAGTGGAAGATTACCGGCTTTCGAGAAGAGGAGGAGAGCAAAGAAGTATGTGTGGAGAAAGAGACACGGCGCTTGGGGATGTCTGGGGATGATGGGCTTCGTTGTGTTCTTCTTGTAAGTTGTCTCTGTGTTCCGCGGGCTGCCGCGTGTACGCTATACGCAGCCATGGCAGTCTCACCTTGGCAGTTCAGCGGGGTTGGATGAACAGCATGCTAACTATCCCAGTGGCTGTGTGCATATCGTTAATGTGTCCCTGGGGTATCTCCCGCTGATCCACGATGACCCTGCATTTGCCTTGGATTGGACCCAGCCTGATCAAGCCTCAGCGGACATGGCATCACACCTGGTGGACATCACCAAGGGTGTCACCCCAATCCCCTGTCATTCTCACAATGACTACTGGCGCCGTGTGCCTCTGTACGATGCACTCCGCTGGGGCTGCACTGGTGTTGAAGCCGACGTCTGGCTATTCGACGAGGACCTCTTTGTCGGCCACAACACCCACTCCCTGACCAAAGACCACACCTTCCAAAATATGTACGTCGACCCGCTAGTCAAGATGCTCGACCAAAAGAACGAAAACACCACGTTCCTCTCCGCGGATGAACTCAACTCCACCACCAAGCTCGGCGTCTTCGACACAGCGCCCCAGCAAACCCTCGTCCTGCTCGTCGACTTCAAAAACAACGGCTCGCGAATCTTCCCCTACGTGTCGGCCCAGATCTCCGCCTTCCGCGAAAAGGGCTACCTGACCTACTACAACGGCGCCGAAACGATCCAGGGCCCCATCACCGTCGTCGCCACCGGCAACGCCCCCTTCGACGCCATCATCGCAAACACCACCTACCGCGACATCTTCTTCGACGCGCCCCTCGACCGCCTCGCCGCCCCCGCCACCACCCCCGAGGACCAAACCCAGTACGACGACCCCCCCGCGCCCGCATCTTCTGGCCAGGGCGCCGTCGGCACGTCCCCGGACTCCCAGTTCGACGCGACTAATTCCTTCTACGCCAGCACCAACTTCAAGAAGTCCATCGGCCGCGTCTGGTGGGGCCGCGTGAGCGCTAAGCAGCACGAGAAGATCGCGGCGCAGGTTGCCGGCGCGCATGCACGGGGCTTGAAAGTGCGGTATTGGAATGCGCCCAAGTGGCCGGTTGCGCTGCGGAATAAAGTGTGGTGGGAGTTGGTGGGCACCGGTGTGGATTATCTGAATGGGGATGATTTGGGGGGCATGGTGGGTGGGGATTGGAGGGGGAGGAGGCACTGGGGGTGGTTTGAGTAGAGCGTGATGATTGGACGTTACGAGCATATGAGGCGTTTGGGGGTTTGTTACACCCGGTATTCGTTCGGGCGGCGTTGGGAGACGGGGAACAGGATTAGCATGATATATGATATCACTCCACGTGCAATGACACGGTTACATCTCATCACTTCAAGTGCCTGTTTCAATTCGGAACTCGTTCATTTCGCGGCCCCTCCGTTCTCACACCCCTCTCCTACGTCTACGCAATATACGCATACAACCCATCCTCCTCCCGCTCCAAAAACTCCTTCTCAATCAGTCTCTCAATATTCCGCTTAATCCCACCCACCTCCAACGTGCCCCTCGTCCTCGTCGCCTTAATCGTCTCCGCCACAAGCTCCGCATGACTAATCCTCTTCCGCGCCTTCAGGATCCGCACAATCGCGGCTTGCGTCTCGTAGTTCCGGTCCGCCGCGATGCGCTCGTGGGTTTCTTTGTTCTCGGCGGGCGTTTCGCGGAGTTGTACGGTGTTGATTTTTATGCGGTACTGTGGGGTGGTGAAGGAGGCGTTGAGGGTGAATGTGTCTGTGGCGGAGATGTCGCGGGATTTGGGGTGTTTGGTTAGCGGGCGCAGTTTGGCGCAGGCGAGGGATTGGAGGGTGCGGTTTAGTTCTGCGGGGGCTGTTTGGGGGTTAGCGGGGGTTTACGAAGGGGGTGTTTGGGGGGGAGGGGGGGCGTACGTAGACCGGTGGCGGTTTGCAGGGTGGCGTAGTCGATGTGTTCGTCCAGGGGTTTGTTGTTGAAGAGCAGCAGCACGATGGCTTGGAACGAGGAGACGACGAGTTCCTTGTTGCCCTTTGGGAAGGCGGCTTTGAGCTGGCAGTGGGCGAGGGAGTGTTTGAGTTCGAGCTTGCGGCCCGAGTGCTTGGATTTGTAGTGTGCCTCGAAGTTGTCGATGGCGGTCTTGATCTGCGGCGGGATGATGACGGGGACGGTGGGGTAGGCGGGCCAGGAGGCGGCGGACAGGATGTTGACGTTGAGGTCGACGCTTTGCTTTTGGCCGCGCTCTTCGCAGATCATCTTGTAGGCAGACAGCTCTTCGCGCGAGAGCTCGATGTCGCGGAACATTTGCTCGAGGTTGGCGGTGAAGCCTGCACCGCACTCTGCACACAATCAGTACGGTTTGAAGAGCGACGAGAAAATGCTTACCTGTCTTGAGTCTTGACAGCATACTCCTCTCGGCATCTGCACTAGCACTCCTGCCCATCAGCAGACGTCTTGCCAAATCCTTCTTGTAGAAGGCCTCAAAGACTGCTTTCCCGTGCACAAATCGGAAGAGATCCAGTACTTGATCCAGCTGACTGTTGACCTCGGTGTCCTCGTCATAGATTGTCTCCTCGTTGTCTTCTTCCGCCTCTGCCACTTGCACTTTGATCGACGTCCTTCGACTGAGCTGTGCAGGAATAGCCTTCGCGCCTCCACGCAGCAGCATGTCTACATACTTGGCGATCATCTCGCCCGTCTTGGAGTTGTCTGTGCCCCAACTTGCGTTGGTCTTCTTGGTCTTGTTCATGAAGGCCTCAAAAGACTCGCGCAGCCCGTGGCCAATCTCATCGTTGCGATGGAAGGACACCTTCCAGAAAGTGTCTAGTTGCCTTTTGAGGGTCAAGAGCTGAATCACCATGTTATCCTGCTCCTTCTCGTTGAAGACAATGGCTGTGCCTTCGTCATCGATCCACTTCACAAAGGCTGGCCGCAGCTTGTTGCCCAGTCTCCGTCGCTCGAGCAGAGAGTACAGCAGTTCAAGATCCTCAACGGAGTTCGCCTCCAGTAGGTCTGCAAACTCGTCCTGGTTGGTGAGTCGCTCCTCTTTCCTCGAGATGAGGTGGTCCTCCAACAGCGTGAGGAGATCGCGCTTCGTTGTGTTTGGCAGCAGGTACATATCCGCGCGCTGAATCTCACGGTCCATCAGCGCCCGGGCGCTACGAACATACTCCGGGAGTGATTTCTGCTCGCTCTCTGTATCGGCCCACTTCATGACGTATTCCTGGCTGAGCTCCAGCAGCCGCGGCTCGAAATGCGCCGTGTAAACGTGCATGTCGTGGAACATCTCCACCGTCTTCTTGAAGATACCGCTGTCGAGATCGCCGCCCGTTCGGTCGGCAGCAACCAGATCGCAGGCGCCGTCGACGATGCGGGGGTTGAGCTTTGCGTGCTCGAAGATGATGGAGCGGAACAGGCTGATGGAGATCTCGCGCAGGGACTCGTGTCGCGGGAGCAAGTAGGAGCGGTCGAGGTAACAGAAGATCCAGTCGAGGTACTGCACCTGTTCGTGCCATGTACTCCACGCCTGCAGCGTGGCGCGCAAGACGTCGACATTGGTGCGGGCCAGGCTGTCTTTGACCCTGGTCTTGAGCGCACCCCCAACGTACTCCTTGCACTTCTTGGTGAGCCGCTCCTTGACGTCGCGCGCCATGTTCTGTCGGCAGAGGTTCTCGACGCCGCGGTACAGCTCCTCCAGACTGAAGTCGATCTCGCCCTGCTTGAAGATGGTGTCCAGCGCCGCATCGATCTTCTGCCATGTCTGCTCGAGGAAGGCCTTGGGGTCGACCTTGCGCGTCGGCCTGAAGTTCTTCACCATCAAGCGCTTGGGGCCGGTGTTGGCGCCCATGTTCGGGGCCGTCTTGCGAATGACGCCGTTGCGAGGCTTCGCGGGGCTGTTGTCCGGACTCGAGGTCATGTCGACGACCTCTTTGCCGTTTGGCACGCTCGCCCGCTTGCTGGGGAAGCTGTACATCTCGGCGGTGCTCATGATGCTCGCGGTGACGGGTGTGGCGGCTTCCCGGGGGGAGCTCTCTCGGCGGGTGCGTTTGTTCGTGGGGGAGAGTGGCGCGGTGGCGGCTGAATTCGGCTTCTGCTGGGCAGTGAAGGACAGTTTCTGCTGGGTGGACACCGAGTGCTTCCGTTTCAGCGTGCCTGAGTCGGCGGAGGACATTGAACTGTGCGTTGGCGTGCGGAGCTGTGAGGGCCGCACGTTGATGAAGCTCGGCTGCTAGGATGACGCGCTGCGCTAGTGCAGTAGCTGCATGCTGCGATAATGATGTCGACGTCGATATGATAGTGTCCGCAAGCAAGCAGCAGCACTGGAGTTCCGGAAGAGGATATCTTGATCACGAAGTACGCACACGCTCCTTGTACCCACGCGTCACTGCAGTCCTTCTGTGTGACAGGCGTTCACTGCGCTCCTCACACCGGAGATAACGGCAATAATCCAGCATCCAAGCATGCGACATGGTATGAGTAGACGATGCAAAGGCACGGCACGGCACGGCATCGGAAGGATGAACATCTTGATTCTCATCGTACAAAAAGTAAAGCTCCACACACTAGAGACCGGTATCGTGAAAACGCCGCAGCGCCCGCTGGAGGAGCTGCTCGGTGCCCTCCCGCAATGCGAAAGTGACAGAAGGTGACAACAGAAATGGCACGCTCGATATATCATGCCCCGCATACCGCGGACTCAGTCGCCGAGGATGCTCTCCTCGTCTGCTTCCTCCGGCGCATGCTCCTCAGCATCGCCGTTGACCTGCTCCTCCTGGTCCGGATCCGCCATCTCCTCGTCCTCGATCTCGTCACCTGCTACCTCGTTCTCCTCTTCCTCCTCGTCGTCGCTGTCGATGATGATCTCCTTACTCTTTCCAGGTTTCGCGGCCGGCTTAGCAGGGGCCTTCCTCGGCTTCTTGACGAACTTCTGTGCATCGAGATGGCCAACCACCTCCTTCCATGTCAGGGTCAGCTTCGCCTTGTTCCTCTCCAGACGCGTCTTCACCGCCTCGCCGCCCTCTGCGCCAAAGCTGCCGACTAGACACGCGTGTACGAGGCGGCCGCCGTACTCACAGAGGCGTTCTTCGGCGATGAGGAGGCGGACTTGCTTGTCCTCTTGTGTGCGTGTGCTCTCTGACTCCTCATCATCAGATTCGGGTTCGTCATCAGGGTCGACAGGGTCATCGTCCACATCCGGCTCCTCAAGACGCTTGTTCGCGAGCTTGGCGAGGTTGTTCTCCATCGCCGTGAGGACCTGCATCAAGAATTTGGCGGTTGGGGTATCGATGTCTTGCGCTAATGCCTCCCAGTCGTCGCTCGAGTCATCTTCGTGTGCTTTCGAAGCCCGTCCTTGCACCTTCTTGGGCGTGCGGTTGAGACCCGCCTTCTTGGCTTTCAGCGAGCGGAACATGTTGTAGCTATCAAGAAGGAGATTGGCGGCTTCGAGACGCACGTCGTCGGCGCCCTTGCGGTTCTCAATTATGGTCATCAGTGATGTGACACAAGCATCTCGCCTCTCAACCAAGGTTGTGAGATCGTCGTCCGGCATGCTGGTGCCAGCTTCAATATGGTCCAAGCACTCTTTGCATTTCCAGGCAAAGTATGTGAGCAGGACTGACATGGCGTGGCGAACAAGAACGTCCTCGGCCTCGTTCGTCTCTTCGTCCAGATCGTCCGACGGTAAGCCACGATCTAGGATTTGTAGGACAGATGCGATTGGCGGCGAATCCAGTACAGCCTTCTTCGACTTGGCCCTCGATTTCGCAGGCGCAACAATCTGGTCCAGTACCGCTGCGTCTGAGACCTTACTCAACTGAGCTATCTTCAGGACAATGTTCGAGACGCCAACGAGGATATTCTGCTCAAGGTTGCCACGCGCTGAGAAGTCTTTGTCTCGCCGTAACGCATCGAACGTGTTGATGAGGTCGTCCCAGAGAGCTTGGATCTTGAGGTGAATCACCTCCTTGAGTTCCTCATTCTCTTGCGCGTGCAACATTGACCCAACAGCTTCAATCAGAACACGCTCGTTGTGATGTGTCAGGAACTGCTTGTTGATGTCATCAAGCAGTGCGGCCAACGCTGTGTTCTGGCGCAACTCGTCGAAGACCTCCAGACTTAACTCCCGCTCAAGACGAAGACACAATGCCGCTGCCTCAGGAAGCGCGCCGAACTTCTTCAGCAGGTCAGGAATGAGCAGTGTAAGCTTTCTTGCCATCTCTGCTTGCTCTTCTTGGCCATTGTCGCGTTGGGTTTTAGTCTTTTTCTTGTCTGTTTGTGCGTCGGCCAGGCGTTGCAGTCGAAGGCGCACGATTGCATTCAGGACATCCAAAAGTGCGGTCTCGTGCTTCTCCTCGAGCTTGCAGTTCTGTCGTAGCATGGCTTCCGTATCTTCACCGGCGTCCTGTTCAGTCTGCGTGTGGTCATAGAGCAAGTAGCCTGCCAGTACTTCCCACGACCTGATCTCAGGTATGGTCTCATACAGCGCCTGGGCAGCCAACGAGTATCTCGACTCAACGCCAGCCGTCACTAGACCCATCTGTGCACTGGTGTGTGAAATCCGCTCGATCTGGGTTGGCAGCTCTTCTTCGTCCTCGTCGTATGAGAGGAGCTGGTCAACGAGACATTTCAGCTTCAGCCATTCTAAGCGCGGGTTTTGATATTCCTCGTCCTCGTCATCGGGCGATCCTAATGCCTCATCAAGAGCTTCTTGACCGCCCATGTCGTCGACAATAGCTTCGTATGCAGCGTTGACATTCTCAGCGAAGAAGCCAACGACAGACTTGCGCACCTTCGCGTCAGCATCGAAGATGAGCTTGCCGACAGAATCGATGTCGTCAGGCTCGAGAAAACCAGCCTCACGTAGAACGTCCAGTAGGTCGACCGCTGCAGCACGTACGTTGTTCTCTGCGTCGCGAGTCGCGATCTCGACAATTCGAGGCCGGAAGCGCTCTGTGAAAGTCTTCAGCCCAGCAAGCTTGTCTTCGTCGTTGAACAGCCTCGCCAGCTGGTGCAGCACTTCGACTCGTGTTGGTGAGTTGGGGTCTGACAATACCCATCCCAGGTAGCGCAGATGGCTGCCATCGAAGAACTTGTCTGGGTATGCAATGATCCAGTCTGCCAGCGCGCCAACGCAGTCAACTCGGATGTGAGGGTCTACGTCGCGGTATCGGTGGACGTACACAAGACTGAACCAGTCGTTGAGTGCGCTGTCCACAGACTCTAGCTTTGCGCTGTATTCCTCAACCTCTTTGTTGGCCGCAGAAACGCGAGCCTTGTTGACTCGAGTCTTCTTCGCTTCGGACTCGCTCTGGCGGATCTTCTTCGCGGTGTTCTCCACAATGTCTGCTGCGACCGAGGCAAGCGCTGTCGTGATCGCTAACGCCGCGACGGTGGCTGTGTGGCGGAAGGGCCGGTTGGCGCTCGAGGACATTGCGCCGACCCAGACGGCGATGTTCTCTAGCAATTCCTGGTTCTCGTACATGAGCCCCGACTGCGCGATGCTCTGGACGAGCGTGAGGAAGAAGCGGTGCAGCGCGTTCCTGAAGGCCTGGCCGCCCCCGTCCTTCGCCTTAGCGATCAGCGGGTACTCGGTCACGTCCTGCGCCTGGTATTCGTCCTGAAGCTCTGCCACGCGGCTCGGCGCGTTGTCCGGGTCGGCAACGTCGTCCTCGTCGATGCGGAGACCGCACCCAGCCGCGCGCAGCACGAAGTTGACGATCTCAGCAACCGCCTTCGCCTCGTGGTCGTTGAAGCGCGTAACCCATCGTGCCGCAACATCCTCAGGGCGGTCGCCGCTGCCAAACACATCGACTGTAGCGCGTCAGCTGATCTGCTCAGTGGCCCACATGCCTCTGCCTACCGTAGAGTCCTTCCGTCTCGTCTCCCGCCAGAACGCTCTTGCGAACGGGTGCTTTGCGCGGCCTGCTAGGCCTCTTGGGCGCGCCCGTCGCGGGGCGCATCGCCAATGTCACGCTCTTCCCGTTCGTCTTGGCCTTCTTGGGCGCGGGCCGCTTCGCAGGCGCTTTGCCCTTGGTCTTGCGCCGCCGCTCCCGCAGCTCCTCCTCGTCGGGCTCGCCGTCGGAGCTCTCATCCTCTTCTTCGGAGCTCTGCTCGTCGGCATCGCCGCTGTCATTCTCGTCGCCGCGCTTTCTTTTCGAGGAGCCGTTTGGGCTCGTGCCGGGCGTGAACTTTTCGGGCTTCTTCGTTACGCGTCCGGACTTGCGTCGCGCGCTCGACGAGGTGGCTTCGCCCGTGTCAGACGCCGCAGCTGCCGCGCTCATGATGATTGCGCGCTCTGGATGGGCGATTTTGGCAGAGAGTCGGTGCAGCTGGAAGGCACGCGTCAAGGTCAATGCCCGTTGTGGTGATGCGGCCGCGGGGACGTTGGACGCGTTGCCTGCCCGCGACCATTAAGGTTTGGTCCTAGCTCCCCAGGCGCCATAACAAGCGTCATTGCCTCGCTCGTGCAATTCACCCCAATGCGAACGGCTTTGTTCCAATCACAGTCTCAAGCTTTGTCGAGTTCTGATGAAAACAACGGCAATCGCCAGTATGCTTGTCCACCAGGCTTACAGTCAAGATCCTACCTACACACAGACCTAAGCTATATGCCGCTGTCCGTCTGTACCACCCTGTCATCTTCTCTGCTGAGTGAGCGATCCCGACCAAACACGGCTCCGATGTTGCACGTGTAGATGGTCCATCATGATCATATGTCGACTGGTCATCTTATGATGGTAATTCCAGTTTGATGTGATGAATTCGGTTTGTCTTATGGGCTGTTCTTCTTGGCATTATAAGTATATCATGTCCAAGATGCAGAAGAATACAAAATCTTGACCTCTGCTTTCCTAAAAGGATTGTATCCACAGCATCATAATGGTCCCTTATTGACAGTCTCCTTGAGTTACCCACCAACCCAGTTCATCCCAACGAACCTCAGCGTGATGGGTCTGTTGCACGGGCACATTTACATTTCACATTGAGCACCAAAACGTGCAGAAAATCAATATGGCGGCGTCAACGCTGTTCCGTGCAGCTATCCGCACGGATCGACGCGGGGAGATTTGGAGTATGTTATGTATCTGACGACTGCGTGTTTCAAGACGTGGTTGTATGGAATGCTTCGTTGGTGCTTGGCTTGGTTCTGGGATGCTTGCACCGAAGGGTGTTGATGATGGGCTTGCCCGATTGTTTGCATACGCAAGAAGTAGAAAGCGACGGAAACGCGTACGATAATTGCATTCGACAGAGGAGTGTACTGGAGTTGCACGTCCGCCCACAGATGCATGGAGCGACGAGAGAACTGAAGGTCACGTGACAACGCCGAGATCACTGGTATGATAGATCCAAGAACCGACCCCTCCCCCAATAACCCAGCATCTAAACACCAGCATTACTAATCAGCAGCAACCACTCCCCCAGCCCAAGTGCCAATTTCATCAGCCCACGACGCCTGCAAACCGCCGTGCCAACCGCCGTGCCAACCGCCGTGATACTCGCCGCCCATCGAGCTGGCGCGCTGGATCAGCAGTCCAGACGCAGCTCCGGGGGCGCACCGGCCGCTTGGCCGGGGGCGGGGAGAAGGTGGTCTGAGGCGGACGGCGAGACTTGTCGCTTGACCGGAGTGGACGAATGGCGTGGTGCTGGGGAGGTGTCTGGGCGATGCAATTACAGTACGGCTACACGCAGTATCTACCAGGTAGAGGTTGGGTCAGGTGACTACGGCTCGGTCGGACTGCAGTGGTTTTGTTTGAGCACACGACCACACAGGAACCACAGTATACTTATATGTATAGCATGGATTCTTCTGCGGGCACGACGTCGTTGTGTTATGCAACGGCGATCTGCGTACCAAGCTCACTGACTGCTGTCGAGGCCGGCGACAGAGCTTGTTTCGTTACCGCGGGCGCGGGCGCCGGGTGCGAGGGCGACGGAACTCTATTGCGGGCTGCCAACGCCTCGCAGCGCCGGGATTGCGTGAGCATCAAAATCAAATACTTACCTGCACTGGTACATGTTGGTCACGTCTACAAACCGGTATCTGCAGTCATGTGTGAGTGTGTACTTGGTTGTCCTAGTCGTCGGATGCAAGTCCCGGCGCGCTGTTTCGCGTGCAGACAAACACCGTGTGGACTATTGTTGGACTATTGTGTGGACTACTGTGAGTGGAGGCAGGTCCGGAGCGCTGCATGCCGCTTTAGCCGTCCCCGTCTGGAGAGGCGGAGAACATGAGTTCGAACACGGAGCGGGCGTGCAGCGCACTGGCCTGTTTGCGCGATGTTTGGAGTTGCCAGCGGCTGAGACTGGCGGGAGCGCACCCGAGGCCTAGCTGCTGGGGATGGGCGTGGTGTTGCTGGTGCCGAGCGTGCTGTGCTGTGCTGAGCGTGCTGATGGACCGGCCGGTCGAGGCTGGCTGCGACAAGCTCATTGCGTTGGGCTGGGTGAGCTTCGCTCGGCTGCATGTCTCGGCGCGGTCACCGTGCAGAATCCTCTCCAAACTGCAGAGCTGCAGCAGTGCAGCGTGGGCGAGGGTCCAGCGCAGCGCAGACTGGCACGCCAGTGTCATGCTGTCGCAGTGTCATCCATGTGCGTGCGACGCTTGACGGCAGGCGTGGTTCTGTTTCAAGCGTGTGGTAGCGCGGCGGCCGGGCTAAACAGAACAGGCGGCCAGGCGCTGCGCGAATCTCATGCGGGAGCAGAGCATGAAGCCGCCGTGGCCTCCAGTGCCTCCTTTTCTGAAGCAGCGCTGCAGACAGGCTCCAGGGCTGCTCGTCGCGCCGGCACCTGCAGGGCCCGAATTCGTCCGGGGCTCCAGACGACAGCCCACCCCGGCCAGCCGCAGCACAGCATTGAGCAGCCCACCGCGTGGCCGCATGTTGTGGAGTGGCAGCGTCGCAGTGGCCGTGGATGTAGCTATTTACTATGTGCCTGTAGTGTACGTGCCTGCAGTGTGTGTGTACTGTATGTGTCTCCCACGACGCGACCAATGCGCCGTCGCGACGTCTGCTGCGTGGAAGTGTCTCGGCTCGGACGCCCCGGTTTCGAGCAGGCCCGATGGCGCACGGCTGGCACCTGCCGCTTCGAACCCAAGCACCCAAGCATCGCCCAGGCCCGCAGACTCGCCTTGGACGCCGCCGCCGCTTGCCCTCCACGACTCCCACCGCCGCACTCGCCCTCACGCCGACCGCTGCGCACCCGCCCTCGCCTTGCACCGCCTGCACGCCCGCACACCCATGGGACCCCGAACGCAGGCACCGCCCGCCGCTGCCTCTCTATAGCCCGCCGCCATGCGCGAGGCCGTGGGCGTGCCGTGGACAGGGGCGACGCCCGTCCTGGAGGCGCGCGACTCCAGCAGGCCCTACGTGAGTGCGCCCGCAACCCGCGACCCGCGACCCGCCCGCGACCCGCCCCGACTGTCGACTGACCGCTGCAGCACTGTCCGTCGTACAAACTGCCCGAGTACGGCGTCATCGAAATCAGCCCCGGCAACACCATCACCCTCACCACCAACGCCATCTTCCGCCCGCAATGCACCTCCGCCTCGCAGAGCGCCGACGGCGACGGCACCGGCCAGGTCCTCAGCGTCGCCGACATCCGCGACCCCTTCCACGCCTCCATCACCCCGCAGGCCTACGCGACCGGCGCCGCCACCGTTATCGCCTGGATGCTCGTCATCATGTTGATCATCACCCCGCGCACCTTCTTTGTCGGCAACGCCTCTGGACGCTCCGGCCTGATGGGGCGCCGTGGTATGATTAGCGGCGCAACCGGCGGGGGGAGCATCATCGGCGTGGGCAGCCGCCCGTGGCTGCAGAAGGTCGCCGCCCTGACCGTCGCCATCTCGCTGACCCTGGCCACGGCCGACACCTTCAAGATCGCCGGCCGCCAGTACGCCGAGGGCTTCATCGACGCCATGGAGCTGCGCGACCAGGTCGTGTCGGGCATGGAGATCAAGGTGTCGCGCATCATCTCGGACGTGTTTCTGTGGCTGGCACAGGTGCAGACGCTGATCCGCCTGTTCCCCCGCCACAAAGAGAAGGTCATCATCAAGTGGGTCGGATTCGCCCTCATCCTCCTCGACATCACCTTCAGCTCGCTCAACAGCTTCGGCCCCTACGACAACAGCTCGCGCCCCGCCCACTTCGACACCGCCATCCCCGCCCTCAGCTACCTCTTCCAGCTGTCGCTCAGCATGCTGTACGCCGCCTGGGTCCTCTACTACGCCATCACCAAGCGACGCTACGCCTTCTACCACTCCATGATGTGGAACATGAGCGTCGTCGCCCTACTATCAATCATCGCCATTCTAACCCCTGTTGTGTTCTTCATCACCGATATCGCCAACTACACCATCGCCGGCTGGGGAGACTATTTCCGTTGGGTCGGAGCAGCCGCTGCCAGTGTCATTGTCTGGGAATGGGTAGAGCGCATTGAGGCGCTAGAAAGAGAAGAGAGAAAAGACGGCATTCTAGGCAGGGAGGTGTACGACGGAGACGACATGCTCGACGACACGCCATCGACATCCAGAACATCCAAATGGCCGTACTCAAAGCGGGATTCTCAGAATGAAAAGCAAGGAGGAGGCAGTGGTGGACTCGGCAATTTCAGCCTCAGTGCTTTCGCCTCAGGGCAAAGCGGCCGCGTTGGCGAGCTTGCCCAGAGACTGGGACGGAAGATGACCGAGTCGCCGCGGGCAGAAGCGCGCAAGAAGCGCACTATCCACGTTCCTGCACCACCGCCAGTACACCGACGCTCCGAGTCCGCCCGTCGAGGCGAACGCAGCTCAAGCGCGTATGTGCGTGTGCAAAGCCCAGTGCTTGCTCCGGCTGTCCCTGTAGTTGCTTCGCCAGTCAGCCGGACAGACACCACCAGCGCAGACTCGACAGTCTACACCGTGCGATACCATCCCATCAACGAAACACCACCAATTCAGCAACCCACGTCATTCGAAGACAGGTTGACGCCAGAAGCAGCAAACGCACAACAGCCGTCCAAGCCCCAACCCAGGGAAAACACAACGCAACCCGCAAACACCAGCGATCCCGAGAAGGGTGCTGCAGAGTCGGACACACCTGCCAGCAATACCAGATGGAACTGGCAGACCATCCCAAACCCATTCGCGAGGAGAGGACGTGCACCACCGCAAGAGCTGCAGAGGGGGCAGGTCATCGAACCGCTCGCGGTCGACGAGGTGCACGCCAATATTCCGCCCCGCCATTACAGCGGACTGGCTCTCTCGGACCGCCTTGGCACGTTCGCTGCACAGCAAGGCGAGAGGTTCAGGTCGAAGAAGCAGGCCAGCAAACACGACATGAACTTGCCGGTGACCATCATCCCCGCGCAGCCACGTGGTCAGACCTGGTCTCCTGATTTCCATCAGCGGCAGCAGCAGCAGCAGCAGCAGCAGCAGCAGGATGGGCAACAGGGTGAGGTGTCGGCGGTTGCTGGTATCCAGATCGCACGGATACCCACGACGATCGACGAGCAATCCGACCTGCCTTCACCAGCACACTCTGACCAGACAGTCGGCTCGAGCGAAGTGGTGCATCCTTCTACTTCTGCAAACTCGAATCGCATTGCGCGCAGACGCTACACCCCGCAGGCTGGCGGGCTCACCGCACATCCCCCCGTTTCGCCGGCCAGCCTGGCAGAGGAGGTGCAAAGCCCCACACCGCTGCTGGACAACGCTGCTCCACAGGGATCGGCATCTCAGCAGCACACCAACCACGACGGGTAGCGTGGCGTGAGTGACGATATCCACTTCTTTGTTCATATTCTCGATGCACTTCCAGCGTCGATCTTGTATACCCCATGTTTTTCAACGGCGCACTGGCGGCACGGTGACACGACAGCATTCGCATAGGTTTGGCACATTGGATTCAAAAAGCCGGCGGCTACTGGGAACCCATACGGAAGGGTTAGATATTCTTTGGATACCCGCCGTTGTTTTGACACTCGGCTTCACACTTAGGTTCAGGAGCGATGCGGCGCGCAATTGTTGTGTTAGGATGTCTCAGGCGAGCGATGTGAGATGGCACTATTATGTTACTAGCAATGAATCAGACGTTAAATACTAGACCAGTTTGGTTCTGTGCATGCAACGGGTCAAGGCGTGCGATAAAGACGACTGATACCAGCCACTTCCTGGTCCATGCTCCCTAGCCGCGGGACACTGCCTTGGAGCTGGTGCATGTCGACATAGCTCATGCACATGCTATCGTCCCCTTCAGCGCCTTTCGCCTGGTCTGTCGCGCTCTAGACTGCTTCGCTGCCTCTGCTTATAGGTTGTTGATTGATTGGAAGAATTGCGCGCGCAGACAGCCACCATGTCGCTGTTCGGCGATGACGACGAGGTGCCGGCGCGCTCCAAGGCGACCGGCCTCTTCGACGACGACCAGAAGCCCGCAGCCAAGTCCGGCAGCGGGCTCTTCGACGACGGCTTCGACAGCAACGACTCGCCGTGGGCGTTTCCCGCGGCGAAGAAAGGCGACCGCGGGTCGCTGGTCAAGTCGCTGCTCCCAGCGGCGGACGTGCCCGACGCCTACATCGACGCCTTCGACGCTCTGCTCGACGCCGGGGACCGCACCGGCAATGGCATCAGTGTTGACGGCGCGCGGAAGCTGCTGGCGAGCAGCGGGATCCCGGGCGACACGCAGTCCAAGATCCTCGAGATCGTGGCGCAGCCCGACCAGGACGCCGCCGGGCTCGGTAGGAACGAGTTTAACGTGCTGTTTGCACTGGTCGGCCTCGCGCAGGAGGGCGATGATGTCACGCTGGACAGCGTCGACGAGCGCAAGCGGAACCTGCCCAAGCCGACTGTCACGCTGCCCACGACCGCGAAGCCAGACCCGCCCGCGCCCGCACCGCAAGACCCGCCACCGCAACCCGCCATGCCGCACCGCCTGTCCGAGCAGCAGTTGCCGAGCCCGGGCAGGAATCGCGCGTCGTTCCGCAAGCAGTCGTTTGGCGACCCCGAGGCCGATCCCTGGGGCAGTCCGGACCTGCACAAAGGGCACAATCACAACAGCTATACGGCAGTGCCGCCGCAGTCGAACGGCACACACCCGCCCCCGACCGTGCGCACGACGAGCCAGTTCACCACACAATCCACCTCCGACCAGAGAGCACCACAGGCTGCAGCGCCGCCCAGCTCTCTGCCCAGCGATGGCGGCTGGGGCGGCTACAACGGGGCCACCGGCCAGCCGTTCGCCACGCCCAACCTCGATGCGGGCGGCTTCCAGGACGCGCCAGCCGGCAACGGCCCCAGCCACGCATCTCGCCTGAGCGGGTCGCTGGGACGCCTGCCCAGCGGACCTGGCAACGAGGAGATCATCACCATCACAGCCATTGCCGAGAAGGAGGGCCTGTTCATGTTCCAGCACCGCAACTATGAGGTGGGCAGCAACCGCCGCGCGAACAAGGTCGTCCGCCGGTACAGCGACTTCGTGTGGCTGTTGGACTGCCTGCACAAGCGCTTCCCGTTCCGCCAATTGCCTCTGTTGCCGCCGAAGAGAGTAGGCAGTAAGTGTTGTCCCTGTGCCACCATGATAATTATTGAGAGTCCTTAGTCAACGGCAACCCTATAGCCGCGGATGCGAGCTTTCTTGAGAAACGGAGAAAGGGCCTGGTGCGCTTCACCACGACGCTGGTCCGCCACCCCGTCCTCTCCCAAGAGCAACTCGTCGTCATGTTCCTCACAGTGCCTACAGTAAGCCTGCCAATTCGATTCGATCACTCTCGCTGACAAGCACAGGAACTGTCTGTCTGGCGCAAACAAGCCAACCTCTCCGTGCAAGAAGAATTCACCGGCAAAACCCTCCCCCCGGACCTCGAAGACTCGCTGCCCAAAACCCTCCCCGAGCTCAGCGAAACCGTGCGCTCGGGCGTCCGCCGCAGCGCAGAGAACTACATCAACCTGTGCACCATGATGGAGCGCCTCACGCGCCGCAACGACGGCCTGGCCGCAGAATACTCCCGCTTCGCCGCCGCCCTCACATCCCTCGCTGATATCTCCGCCGACACGTACGCCGTCGACACCAACGACGTGCCCCTCCTCAACGAGGGGCTGGCGGCTACCGCCCGCCACCTCGACGCCTCCAAGCAGCTGCTCGAGGACGAGGCGCGCGCCTGGGACCTGGGTGTGCTGGAGGATCTCAAGCGCCAGCGCGACACGCTGGTCAGCATGCGGGATCTGTTCGACCGCAGGGATAAGTTCGCGCGCGACAATATTCCCGCGCTGGAGCGGCGGATTGCGGGGAATGAGGCCAAGCTGGTGGGGATTCGGAATAAGCCCGCCGAGCTGGTGAAGCCGGGTGAGGCGGAGAAGGTTGAGGATGCTATTTCCAAGGTACTTATCCCTCCCTATCCCAATCCCCAATCCATCCTCCCCGTTAAGCACGCACCCGCTGACCCGTATCGCGCAGGACAAAGAATCCATAGTCCACCAACACGCCCGCGGCGTCTTCATCCAAGAGTGCATCCGCGACGAGCTCCTCACGTTCCACAAGAGCATGTACCACGTCTCCCGCCTGCACCAGGAGTACAGCCAGGAGCGTGTCAAGTATGCCGAGCTGCAGGCGGATAATTGGCGCGCGCTGGTTGAGGGCGTGGAGAGTATGCCGGGGGGGGAGTAGGGTGGCTTCCAGGGAACAGGGTGGAGGGGGTGAGGGGATGGGGAGGGGGGAGGAATAAGGGGAGGGAAGGGGGATAAGAGGGGGGAGTGCGGCTCTAGCATGATGGGGCACCTGACAGCCTGGGAGTTGTGAGTTGTGAGTTGTTGTGACGCACGATCTGTATATTTCTATGAGCATCTGGGGCGCGTGTCGGAGGGTACGGTACATAGCCGCTGGTTTTGTTGTGTTTGAGACGCATGTATGCACGGAAGTCTGGTGTGTTTTTCAAGCTCGTGTCTGTGTGTTTTGCAAGCTCGTGTCTGTGGTCGTGCTGTGGTCATGCTGTGATGGTTTGGGGGTTTGGTGTACGGGGTTCGCCTCGCTCTCCATGGGCTGGGACAGCCTTGGCCTGCTGGGGAACCTTTGGGCCAGCCTGATTGTGAAGCAGACAGAGGGTGTGGGGACGGACAAGCGTGAACTCAGTCTTGGTCTTGGTCTTGATCTTGATTTCGATAGTGGAATGGAATGGTATCGTAACGCCGCCGATGCAATCTAAGCCCACAACACGCACACGCACACGCACACGCCCAGCGCCCCTCCAACCCATCTCTACCTGCACCCACACCCACCTCCCCACCTCCCACCTCCCCACCTCCCACCTCCCATCTAAAACAAACTCCACCCCGCGCCCTTCCGCCCCCCCCTCTCCCTCTCCCTCTCCCGACTCCCCGCCCTCTTCTCCCTAGCCTCCAACTGCCTCAACCCCTCGACCTCCTTAAGCACCCTCTCGAGCCCCTCCTTTCTCCTCACAACATCCAAATGCCTTCTAATCTTCGGATCCTCACGCGCAAACCGCTCGATCTCGTCACGGGACAACCCACGGCCGAGGCGCACATCCAGCTCGCGCGGGAGCTGGTAGTAGAACTTCGAGAGCAGTTCGGCGTCGAGGAAGAGGTCGGCGGTGGTGGTGAGTTTTGCGGCGACGGCGTCGAGGAAGATCTCGGGGCAGGTGTATTTCGCGGTGGGGGAGGCGCAGGGGCGGGATTTTAGGGCGCTGAGGCGGAGGGTGAGGAGGGCGATGCGGTCGCGGAGGAAGACGGCTTCGCGGCCTGCGAGATAGTTAGTGAGGAATAGCAGACGAGGAGGGGGGGGGGGAGGGATGAAATATACCTCGGTCAAGCAGCGCCTGGCTGTAGCCGCCGGCGCCGCCGGAGCCGTCGCCCTCGAGCACGACGGCGCCGCTGCGCACGCGGTCGATGAACGACATGACGTCCTTTACTTTCTTGCGGCCGCCGACGGCGTCGTCGAGGCGGCGGGCCGCGGCCTCGGCGGTCTTGAGCTCCTCCTTGAGCACGGCGGTGACGTTTGTGCGGCCGCGCGCCCACTCGGCGTCGTCGAGGTCGATGCGGTATTTGTACGGCTTGATGCAGATTTCCAGCTCGTCGGAGATGTCGTAGGAGAGGTCTTTGAGGATGGCGGTCGAGGCCTCGGTGATGGCTTGGCGCGCGAAGGGGTGTGCGGCGAAGCGCGAGGTGCTGATCAGGTACTCGACGTTGCGCTGGAGGGCGGTGGCGACGACGCTGGTGGCGAGGCGGCCGACGCCGAGCTTGGTGAGGGCGGCGCTGGAGCTGTCGAGCTTGATCTTCCAGATCGAGTCTTCGCCTTCGGGGTCGGCTTTTGCGAGGCTGCTGAGCGGGTCGGTTTCGGGGAGCGGCGGGCTGAGATCGTCGAAGGGCCGGTTCCAGTAGCGCTGTGCGAGGAGATTGAGGACCTGCTGGTCGAGCTCGTGCTTGAGGAGTTCGCGCACCTCGCGGCGGCCAAAGGACTCGGTGAAGCCGCGGAAGGAGTGCTTGAAGGAGTCGAGCGATTCCGCGAGATAGGACTCGGCGCTCAATGGGCGCTCGTTGTACTGAACCTTGAACTCGTACGTCGCTTCAGCTAGCTCGCGCTGGATGGCCTCGCTGGTGGTCTTCAGACTGGCTGCCATGGTGTGTTCAAGAACATGCATCAGCTTCTTCTTGAGGCTTTTTGTGCCAATGTCGAGCTGTGCTTCGGGTGCAAACTCGGCATGCGAGCTGAAGTAGGCGTTCTCGTTCTTCGCAATGGCGGTCTGGATGTTGCCGCTGCCTCGCTGGAACAGCTTGCCGCCGCCTGCCCCGGCTGGCACACGGCAGACGACGCCGACATAGCCCAGTCGCAGGGCGTACTTCTTGTCGCTGAGCAGGCTGACAGCGCGTTCGGGGTCAACAAGATCCATCTTCGTGATGACACCAATAGTCCGCTCGCCACGCGGGTCGACCTTCCTCGATGCTCGCAGGGCGGTGCTGTTTGCCAAATCCACGTCGGCGGCCGAGATGGCGAGGATGACGTTGGGCGCCCTGATGTACTTCTCACACAGCTGGGAGATGCGCTCCTTCAGCTCAGGTGGCTGATCCCGCCCCACGACTTGTATGTAGCCGGGCAGGTCGATCAGGGAGAGATCTGGTACGTTGGGCGAGTAGATTCGCAGCTGGATGGGGTCGTCAGAAACGCAGTCGGACGCAGGTACGGCCAGGTTCAGATCGGTCAGTGTCCTCTGGATCTGGCTGAAGTCGGTGACCTTGCCGAGGCCCAGCGCAGGGAACTCTCCATACTCGGCTTGCGCGTCGGGCGTGTTGACGAGAGTCAGCTCGATGGGGCGGCGCGTGACCATGTTGTGGCCCTTGGGGAGGAACTCGTGTCCGACGATGGCCTCCAGTACTGAGCTCTTCCCAGAGGACTGCGAGCCGATGACGACGATGGACGGCAGCGTCAGCGAGTCCGACTGGCCGACCGTCTGCAGCAGCCCTCTGATCTCGATCATCTTCTTGGTGAGCATCATCATCTGCTCGTCCCTGGCGATCTTCTCGGCCTCGTTCGCGTTGGTGTCGTCCTCCTGCGAAGATCCAAATGCAGCCGCTGTCGAGGCACCAGCAGCAGCAGTGCCCGCGCCGCCGCTCTTCTTAGGTTCTTCAGGGCCTTGGCCGCCGCCGCCTCCTGCGCCGCCGGACTCGTCTCCAGCCAGCAGCTTCTGCAGCCACTCAGGGTATTCGGCCTTCTCCAAGTTCTCCTTTGTATTGCGCCAGCCCTGGTCAATCTGGCCGAAGAAGCTGTTTGCCGAGTCGAGCGCGCCGCCCGCGACGTTGCCCACGCCATCCTTCGCGCGACCAAAGAGATCGATGGCAAAGCTGCCGGCCTCTGTTGGGTGTTAGCGTAGCCTTACTTCAGAGTATCTTGTACGTACGGCCGGCCTGGTACTGGATATACGAGACGCCTGCAATCACAGCGCCCCCAGCAGCGGCTCCAGCGGTCGCGAACTTGGTGACCAGCTTGGGTATGACACGTGCAAAGGAGATGGAGCGTGTGGCGGGCAGGTTGTGCAGTGCGTAGCTGCCGAGCGGCCACGGGCGCCGTTTGATCAGGCGCAGGCCCGCTTCATTGCGTAGGAGACCACCGGCGGGGAGCGAGTGCGTCGTGTACCGGCGTGGCGTGTGCAGTGCGGTCCGGCGCGCGAGCGTTGCGAGGCGTGCAGAGACGAGCCTGCCGCTCATGATGGAAACGTGTGCTGTTTGTCGGACGCGAGGGTCATAGGACTTGCGATACCTGTCGCGCGACGTTGGCGAGTGCTGGCTGCGATGCCTGGTGTTGCGGCGAATGTTCGTCACTCCCGCTTGGGCGAGCCAGGGCCATCCCACGTGGGATAGGGCTGACATCACCGCATGTACAACACCATGACGGGCGTGTGCATTTACATTGTTTGTGACTGTTCTATGGGTATCATCGTCTATTTCAAACACAGCAGTGCCCGCTCGCCAAATGCATGCAACACTGAGCTGTCTTCTTTGATCATGTCCCGCAGCCAGTTGCGCGACCCTTCTACCTCCGTGCTGCCGAACTTGACCAGCACGAAGTCCCGCACATTCGCAGCACTCCAGACAACACCATCCTTGCGTTCTCTCTCCAGCCGCTCTGCACGCCACTGCTCCCTTCGAGACGGCTTGGTCTGCACCGCATCGCCCCAGTTTCTTCCGCCAATCCGGGGCAGCGCCTCAAACTCATCCAGAAAGAACTTGGCCACCGCTGCAAACACAGGTCCTCTGATGATCAGTGTGCCAAAGACGGAGAACCCATCCATGCGAGAAGAGAGACGCATGTCTGTTTGCCCATGCTTGTCCAAGATCAGATTGTCGCGCAGCAGTAACCGTTTTCTGCCTGAGGCCTCTATCGTCCACACTTCGTTCCGGCTCTTGTACTCGTAGATGTCCCAGTTCTCGCCTCTCGCTGAGCGTCCGCTGGTAACCCAGTCGCAGACACACAGACTCCCTTCACCGCTGTTCAAGTGATATAGTTGTGACTGTGAAAAGGCTGTATGTGCAAAGGGCTGCACTGGATCTGGTAGATACAGCAATGCGGACCCGTGCTTCAGGTGGACGTTCATGTGTTGGTGGGATACTACTTGAGGGTCTTCTGTCTTGAAGATCTTGGTCGAGCCTTGGGTAAGCAAAAGAAGCCGGGTCTTATGGTCCATCTGCACGTCGAGATCTATGCTGTCTCCGGCAACGATTCCACCTCCATAGGTCAGAAGGTATACCGTGTGAACCAGACGTGGCGTGTCTGCCTTAGGGGTGTAATCCGGCGGAGGCAAAGGCACTGGGGCAATCAACTTCAGCGGATACTGGTAAGACACCGCCTTGAGGGTCGGCATATCCGGTGGTAGGATTTCCAGAATAATAGAGCCATGACCGGGTTTTGACGTAGAACTGGCGAAAGGAGATATGAAAGACATTGCGGGCAGTTCTTTTATTGACAGTTGACCATCTTTGTACCCTCTGTAGAAATGAGCTATTACCAAACAGCAGCTCTACGAAATCGAAAGTATCATGTGAGAAGACACATCGTGCAAGACGAGTCGGTACGCACAGCACGAGTAAGTGAAGGTAGCGCCTGCCTTATCGACGGTTGCGATAACGCCAAGCGAGCTGGAACTTTTCTACCCCTCCTCATTGCCCGCCTCAGTCCTTCGCTTCCGTATCCACCTTTGTGCATGCAGCGCGCGCCAAAATTTCTCGATTTCGTTATGCACAAACTCTGAAGCCGCCTCCAGGAATCGAACTCGCGAACGTTCTCATGCCGCTACAATCACAGTAGCTGAGCGATTGCCACGATGGCGAAAGGCGTCGATGAGCTTGTCAACCACATCCTCTCGGAAGTCGCCCTCACCGGCGTGCAAGGTATGCATGACTCGTGCCCTTATTTCCGCGTTTCTGTTGTCGTTCCCCAAGTCCGTCGCATTGATCTTCTCCTACACCATATTCACATGCTCCCAACACCGAGTTTAGTGATTGTGTAACACGATGGCCCCGCTATCGCCCGATGTGGCGTTCGAGTCCCCATCAAAGCATTTAATTGCACAAATGCACATCTAACTGTCTGATTGTAGGAGCTGGCAGCGTCGACTTCAAGCGGTTCGTGCAATCTTTCTACAATAAGTCACAAGGCGAAGGTGAATCTCAGAACCCCCTGCAACCCGGCCTGCTGGGCTCTGCATTACATGAGAAAGTCTGGCACTGGGTGATCGGCCATGCCGACATTCGCATCTCGCACCATGGAAAAGAGTGCCAATATACTCTCGCTGAATTCGAAGCGGCGGAAAGACCTGATGCAGACCCGACGAGTATCCCGCCTGTAGCTCAGCCCACCGAATACAGCAGTACAGTGGTTCAAGCGCCAGGTCCTGCAAAGTCTCTCCTAGCACTCCGGAACTCCGTACGACAGCGTTTGGCCAAAGAAGGGCTCGGCCTGGATGCGGATACTGCACGCAAAAGCTTGAGTCTCCAAAATCCCTCGGCATCACAAGAAGTAGCATCGGGAAGGCAGCTCAACGCCAACTCATCACCGTACATTGCTCGTGCACCTCGTGTTTCTCCGACTACATCAAATGAAACTGTTCCAATCTTCGATGACCCTCAAACGAGCTCCACTGCACCACGCCTGTTTGCAAGTCAGAGCCGCATCTGGCAAGCACTGACTGGACATGGAATTGATCTCAAGAAGGTCCCAACGATGGAGTTTGTCCTTTTGTCTCTCATAGCATCGCACGGAGAAGCGGGAGTTACGCAGCCAGATTTGACAGTTATGAGCGGCCAAGACAAGCGCTCCGTGCCACACCGAACCGATGAGCTTTGTCGTAAGGGTTACATTGAGAAACGACCTATCCAATTTGGCAAGCTGCGAACCAGTCTGTGTGTCCACAAGAAGTATGTGTCAGACGATCACTTCCTAACCTCTGGAAAGGTTGAAGACGTGTTTCAGCACAAAACGTTCGTTTTGTCTGGCTTTGTGCACCTGCTCTATAACTCGCTGAAAGACGCTGGGGTCGTTCCGACAAGAGACATTCGGAAGCGTTTGGTGGGTACCATTTCGTCTACTTATGGGATTTTCTAACGCAAAGCAGAACGTACCGATGGCAACTTGGAACAAGCGAGCTGTGCAGGGTGCACTCATTCGCCTCGATCAAACAGGTATGGTCAAGCGATTCAGAGCTCGTCGTAAGGATGCCGAGGAGACCTGGCTCACTTGTATTGAAGTGCTGCGAGAACCTCGACCTGAAGATCACGAGAATTTGAAGTTTCGACGTCAGGCTACTGCCGATGAAGCTGATGAGGAGCAGTCCGACGAGGAAGTCGACGGCGATACACTGATGAGAGATCTTGAGGTGGAAATGCTCAACATTGACTCCCAGGAGGCAGATGGTGACAAAGAAGATGCTGGGCGTGTGCCACCCCAGTGGGTACCGGAGCGCCTGCTCTCTAACACACTATACGAGGTTATTGCAATGGGCGGTCCAGAGGGCTGGGACTCTGGGGTACTGCGCGACCGGATCGTGGGAAGATTCTGGCGGCGTCCCATGGAGTCCTACCTTACCCGTTTGACAGATGACTGGGAAGCTACGCAGCCGGCGCATCTTCGACACCTTGCGCTCATTCGAGACACACGTAACACTCAAGAGAAGAAGTTTGTGCATTATGTATACCGCACACACGGGAACTTCCAAAAAGCTGCAGATGCGGGCGAGGTCATCTGGGCGGGAGTCAGCAAGCCTGCACCAAAGCAATCGGCTGCCGCTAAGGGGGGTCGGCCAAAGCCGACCGGGCCCAGGAAAGAGCCTATTGATGCGTGGGGATTCCGCACACTCAACCCAAAGGACTTCCTCCGTGATGATGGGTCAGCATCACTCTCCGACTGTCGTGCGGCTATCGTTCATGGTCGAAAGTACGGTCCGCGATGGGACAATTCGTTTGTTGAGGACATTGGCTACAAGAAGATCGAAACCCCCAAAACGGGAGTCCGGTGGACAAACGATGCGTCTCGTTCGAAGCCAAAGTCTCAATCTAGGTTAACCTTCTCATCGCTCGACTCGCCCAGCAGTTCCAAAACCCCAACACGGCAATGGCCCACTGCCGATGTGGCTACCGACGGTGAGGGTGTAACACCAATTGGTCCGGCAAGAGTCATGGGTCTACCAAAGCGAAAATGCGAATCTGGCCTACTCACCATCGAGCAGAGAATTGCATTGGGATTGAAGGCAAAAGGCCGTCTCAGCAAGTTTGTTGAAGATCAGATCCGAGAACATCGCAAGCACACAGGAGTACTAACATCGATTCCCGACTCGATCGAGCTTGAAAGACCAACTGCACCACCCGCACCTCCAAAGCTTGGCCCGCTCATGACTAAAGACGAGCGAATTGCAGCAGGTCTACCACCCCGCGGACGCCTAGGCCAGAAAATGGAAGATCAGATTCGCGAACAGCGTGGCCTTCCAAAGAGCGTTGAAAAAGTGAAGAAGCCGAAGAGGAACAGGCCGGCCAATGAGCCAGCATTGTTAAGCAAAGAACAGAGAATCAAATTGGGCATTATACCCCACGGTCGTCTCCCTCAATCGCTGATGGAGGGGCTGCGGGAGGAGCGCGATCTTGAAATTTCTCTAGAGCATTCTAAGGTTATTCCCGCATATTTGAACGCCATTAAAGAGAAAAAGCCAAAAGCGGAGATCACGCGTCGGATCGATGAAGTCAGGGTGCGGACAGTGCAGCAGTACGACTCCGAAGGAGAGTTGAATCAGGCTGATGTTGGCACACCTGCTCTAGAAGACGACGATGCGTTAATGGAGGTCGAGTCGAGAGCAGACACATCAAGTTTCGAAAAGCGAAAAGCCGACGACGATACGGTCTTGTCGCAGTCCCCTAAACGATTACGCGTTGAGCAGGACGCATTGACTGAAGAGGCCGACACCACTATCCCGACACCACCGTCAACAGCATCTGCTGATGTTAACGAGCCGGCCGAAGAACAGGCCCAGCCAGATCTTTCGACGACGATTGATATAGGGGACGAGGCTGAGCTTATTGGGTCAGGTACTCCACATCAGACCAGTGGCGAAGTCACCGAACCGTCTCGTCAAGTCCAGACTGAAGCGGAGGCGAAAATCGATCTAATCAAAGAAAAGTACAAGAATCGATCTACCACCGGCCTCTACCTAGATCCCTTCGCAAAACGCTCGATTGGACAAGGTCGACCGCGCAATGCCTTCTTTGCAACCTTCCGGCTGAGCAAGCTTGCGTCCTTTGATTGGTTTACGCAAGATCCGATCACAGCATTGAAAGGTAGAAAGCAGAAATTGCCTCGCAGCAGCATCGCGGCTCCGGTTGCCAATCACGACATCGATCCGGGCGAGCAAAGAGCAGTAATCACCACTGGAGATACCATTTCAACTGAGCCACAGATAGCTATGGATTCATCTGAGACCGAGGTCAATGCTGCACCCAGCGTAGCTGACGACTTGTCAGACGCGCGTGTTGCAGGTCAGGTTTCCGTTGACCTCGATATCGGAGAGCCTCTCGATGGACTAGTTCCCAGTCAATCGCCCGGATCTACCGGTACGACGCCAGCTGCTGGACGCACCGATTCGAGCATGGAATCATCTCAAGATGACGCTCAGCCGGTACAGCAACAGACACGTCCAGAATCTGGTTGGAATGCCATCAACAAGCCATTGAGACCTATCAATACATACGAGGATCCCTATACGCCATCGGAGCCCACAGACGTTATACTTGCGCAAGCAACTTCAGAGAGCACAGAGGATGCCAATATCCAGGGCGTCTGTGGCCCAATTACTGAAGAGGACATGGTGAATCAGAATGCCAGAAAACTTGCAGCAAACATGGGCACTAAGACGGGTGGTGGAAGTCAAAAGATGTTTCGTCATCAGATCATACTGCAGATCATCGAACTCTGCGACGGTGTCTATCCCATGCATGGAGAAATCGGACGACCATTTAATACATTATGGAAGAGACAGTACCCCAACATCGCCCCACCAAATTCGAGTACCGTACTATCCAACCTCAGGGACATGATAGCGGATCCAAGCAACGGGCTGAAGAAGCTCAGCTTCCTCATAAGGCTTCGACAGAGCGCCGGCTTGAAGAAGAGAGATATGGTGGTGTACCAAAAGTTGACGCCTACAAGCCCGCAGGTAACAAGACTGGCGTACCAAATGGCGAATTACTCGAGCACCAAAGCACACCAGTACTATCCTGAAGAAATTCGTCACTTGGTGTCTGACGAGTCTTTCTATGTGCCAATGCCGATCGCACCCAAGGATGCCACTGTCACCTTGGAACGTCTCAACCCTAGTTTGCAGCACAAGATCAAAGAGGCTAATCTCGAGAGGCGGAGACGTTACTACTATAAGCAGAAAGATGAAGAATCTGCTCGTGATGCTCAGAATGCAGCAGTGGAGGTTTCTCTCAAGCAGAGAGCAGCGAAAGATGGACAGCCACGCGCCAAGCGAGCACGTCTTGCAAGTCTTAACGACAAGAACAAGCGGTATCGTCGGGCTCCAGTATCGAAGACAGCTGCAGCTCCTACGGAACCAGAGCTTGAGGCAAGTGTTCCCGCGGAGGGTCCGATCGACGGTGAACCTGAGCCCGATCAGGATTTGACGTCGAAGCAGCCTTCAGTGGCTCCTGCTGTCCACCATGACGGATCATCAGCGCCGACGATACCAAACCAGCATCCCAACGTGGTTCAAAGGCGTGCGCTATTCCATTACCACGTGTCTACGCTCAGCGCGCCCATTGTACGCTTTTATGCAACAAATGGTACCTTCTCAACAGAATTCGGTCTCGTTCGTCGATACGACATGCTCGGTGTGCTGCCATCAGCGATGGCTATCCCGGAGATAGCTATCAAGGAGAGGGGTAAGAAGCGTGTCAGAATTGTCGAACCTCCATCTCGGCGTCCTAGCAAGAAGGCTCGTGTTGACGTGGCTGATCCTAAACCTGCCAACCCAGTGGATCGTATCATCAGTCCCGTCGAAGAGAGCGAAAGCGATGACTCTTCTTCTACATTGTCGTCTTCAGATGATGACGATGATGACATTCCCCTTATGCAGCTGAGCAAGATACAAGCCAAAGCCATGGCAAAGGCGAAGGCGAAGGCAGAGGCAAAGGAGAAGGCGAAGGCCAAAGCCAAAGCCAGAGTCAAAGACAAGATGAGGCAGCGGCACAGTAAGAACGATCCTCTTCCAACCCTTCTCGAGCGTCTCACAGGTCTCACTGGAGATGCCAATGAACCGGAATTTCGCCCACCAAAGCCAAAGAAGCACAGATCTTACCAGGACTGGAGCGAGAGGAAGAAGGCTCAGCTCAACAAGCTTCACCGAGGACACAAGTACCCAGAGAGTCACGATCCCGTTGACAGATTTAAGAAACTCTTTTGTTCGTTGGTCATTGCATCTTCCATGGCTGGAGGCACTGGCGTTGTTGATTGGAACATTGTTGAGAAGGTGCACGTTTCCAATGGCTTCGACCTCGCGAAGACCAAGGCTCTTTGGGCGTGGACGCAAACAAACATGACTACCCAGATTGCCGAACTAACAGCTGACTTCGAGGATCGCTACCTGGACGCCTACGAGAACAATCAGATTGCGGCCATCGAAGATCCCTCAACGTACGACTGGGCGAACCTCGTGAGATGGGCTATGCATAACTGCGTCTACCCTGAACTATCCTTACCCGTGTACCGGGAGGCGCTTCAGCAGTTCATCGTTGATCTTTCAAGCTTTGAAATTCTGGACAGACCCAAATGGTACCGTGAGAAGACGGCAGATCGAGTCCGCACACAGCTTCAGCTACAGTATCCTTATACTGCACCTTTGCACAGGAAGGATACGCCTCGATCCGCGGATAGCGAAACGAACCTAAAGGCTCGCTCATGGATTCGCGCAAACACGGCGACCCCGCAGTCTCTCTACGACAGCAAGACAGCTCATGAGAAACTCAGGTCACTGGGCGATCCAGTGCTTGTGAAGGTAGTGGGTCAGTACGTGGATCGACAAATGCTGCGAATGCGTAAGTTCAAGCGTCTTCTACCTGGTAGAAACTACACCTTTACAGCGAGGCTTGCGAAGAAGTATGGGCGCATATTCGAGCTCAGTGACTTCATGGCTGCTGTCAAGATCAAGAAGGCCATGGACGTCGCTTTCACTCAAGAAGACCCCGAGAAATGCTTCTATTCCGTCTCCCGCTCCGAACCCGACGGTGCCATTATGGCCATCATGTCGTTGCTCAGTCAAGGCAAAGTCAGGTTCACTCCACAGGTCCCAGCCGTCAATAATGAGTTCGGCGCTCCATTGCCACGATTATCCGTCTGGGGGTTTATGGAAGGCGACTACGTTCACCGAGGTATTGACAGGCAGCGTATGTTCTGGGACGTGCATGTAGTTCCTACGGAAACTTATGATTACGGCAATCCACTGCAACCAGAGACTGCACCACCCAAAGATGACGCAAGCAGTCCTTTGATCTGGTCACCACTCCCACCTCCACCACTGCCCGGCAAGCATGATTCAAACGCTTTACTCCCGATCTGGAGCAGCATGGATGGGCAGCACGTCACCTGGCCATGGTGGTACCGGATCTTGAACCTTGTGCTACAGCCTCTCATTTTCCAGCCAGGAGCCACAGTTGAAGACATTCACGCGAACTGCGATGAGTACACGACGGAGATCTTCGAGATCGAACTTGTGCTGCAATGGCTCATCTCTGTTAATGCAGTCAAGAAGATCATTGGCGGCGGGTACATCACGCTCCCAGGAGTATGGGCAGCGTTTGGCGACGTCTTGCATGACATGGAGAACGACTGGCTGAACGAACACCTCAAACGTAAATCCGAGAAACACGAGAAGCAGGAATGGCGCGACAAGTACAATCTGCGATTCTCTACTCTACAAGGCCGCGACGGTCAGCAACCTTCGGGTGATGGCTCCGACGAGTCTGATATGCCAACGGACGATGAGCGCGAGGAATTGACGAGCACAAGCATGGCGTTCATGCGCCACCCAAAGGGGCAGTATGGTATTGTGCGTGAGCAGATCGCTATGGCGGCACCTCAAAAGGCAGAGGCGACGCAGCCAGCATTACAGTCGGCTGCCGCCCTTGAGCCTGACGCGAGCGTAAATCCAGCATCGGAAGTCAACAGTGTTTCAGACGACGCTGAGATGCGAGACGCGGATGGCGATGGCGAAATGGATGCAGATGCAGATGTAGACGCAGACGCAGACGTAGATGCAGACACAGGTGTAGACGCAGGTGCAGAAATCGACACGCAGGTCTAACCGAATGCACGTACGGTTAACGTGTCTCGCATGAGCAGAGCCAAGAGATTACTAATGATAGAGTATATATCAGGTTAGCTATGTATGATAGACAATATCAATAGAGTGTGCATACTTCACCTGGATGCTTTTCACACTACACATGATTGTCATGTCTCAAGTTCAGACTACTTTGTAATTGTAGATTCTGACTAAATGTCTCGCTCCTGGGCTCGTTCGACCAATACTACCATGAGGCTTTATGGAACATGACACACCAACGACTAACAAAGGAGTAGCACAGTCAAGCAGTCGGCCAGATGGGGAGGAGCTAGCAGATTCAAAGATGTAATAAAATGCAAATCCCCTAAAAGATAGCAATTGCACCTGGCGGGCTTCCAATACCCCCCTTTACATGCAGCGGAGCGCTCGTGAGGAAGAACGCTGTGATCATCGATTAGCGTTCCTTCTGCAAAATGCGTTTATAGTGCTCTATACTTACTGTATCGCTTCATTTCCTTGCACTTCTCACTCAACTTCTCCAGATCCCACATCTCTCCAATCGGCATCCCCCAATGCACCTAACCCCGTTAGCCGCATCCCACAAACCACACCAACGCAACTCACAAGAATCCACTCGTGCAAACACCACCCATCCGTGAACTTGGGCGGCCACGCCTCAAACGCCACCGTGTCGCCCACCAGCGCCGCAAGATGCCGATCGTACAGCCACCGCACCGTCTCCTCGCTCGCCTGCACCCCGATCGCCACGCTGTGGTCGCGCGTTCCTGACTTGCGCTCGTCTTCGCTGGCCTCGTTGTGCCACCGCACGTAGCCGCTGCGGATCATCAGGATGTCGCCTTGCAGCAGCGAGGTGCCCTGCCAGGCGAGCGTGGCGGCGATTTCCGAGATGGTGATTTCGTGGCGCGAGACGGCGAGCGGCGGGGCGCCGTGGTGCTGCTCGTACCAGCTGCGCGCGTTAGCGGGTCAACATGCCGGGGGGAAGGGGTGGGTGTGGGCACGCACGTCACCCAGTCGCACAGCACGCCGCGGCCGACGATGCCGCCGCGCTCGCACCAGTTGTGCGTGCCGTTGCGGTCCGAGTGGGTGGCTTCCGCGTGCGTCAGGCCGTTGTAGTAGCATCCGCTCGCCTGGTGGGCGAAGTGCTTGAGGCTGTCCCACTGGGAGCCGGACTGGGTGTTGATGTAGACCTCGTCGTCCATGGCCTTCCAGTCGGTAAAGTCCGAGAAGTTGATTTTCTTCTGGTGGAACTCCTTGCGGCTGAAGCCGGGGAACTGGACGTTGTGCAGCGGCCAGTCGAGCTGGATGTGCTCGCCGGTGTGGATTTCTTTGGCGGCGGATTGTACGACGGCGGCGGTTAGGAGGTTGACGGCTGGTGGACGTTAGATGTGTTGGATGTCGTTGAGCTGGGTGTGGACGAACATCCGACTTCATCCTTTTTGCCATCTTTGTCGAAGAAGCCCCATATCGAGCCCTGAGGCATGCCTTCGACCTTTGGCAGCTCATCGAAAGCTGGAAACTTGTATTCGGACCCCATGGCAGCTCTTGTTAAATCTGATAGACTTTCCCGAGTGTTCTGAATCAATTGTGCGATCTCGTGCTTTTCTTCCCTGTCATATCGCCTTTATGCTTCTCCTACACGTAGTTTTGATCCTTATAGCTATTCATTTTCCCCACTATTCCCGGCGGCAACGGCTACAACCCCGCATCGTTGTAACCTGCCCGTTGTGCGGAGCTGTTCCTCGTTGGTGGCAGCGCGTCTCCGGATGACGTCGGGAAGCCAGTGTAGGGGTCGCCAATGGCAGGCGCCGGGTCGTGTTTGTCGACGTCCTATGATCGCTTCCGACGAGTGCAGCGCTGTTTCGATGGAGTAATCATCTCGACCGGTCGTACGGCTGGCATCGTCTGCCCCGCATCAACAATTTTGATTGGATGTATTTTGCGGAGTATTTCCCTGCTGTTGCGCAAGTAAATGTGATGGGGTGGAGGCATTGGAGTTGCAGGTGGAGAGTCATGGTGAGTCGGTCCGATAGCAGGCTTACCGGGTGGCCGATGGTATACAGCTAAATAGTCGAGCCTTCATATCTATATGTCATGAGGGGAATTGAATCATAATGCAACATAATATCATGTTGGGAGCAGTGTATTTACATATGGTATTAAGTATTCCCTGCATGGGCTCTGCTTCCCGAATTCGTCCTAGATCCATCACGCTGGCTATGACGTGATATTCTCTATGCCTTCTCTTGTCCTTCGATGTACAGCTCGTACTCATAGCTGGAGAAGAGGAAGGGCGCAACTCCCTTCAGATCGTTCTCAAATAGCGGCATGCTCGCGTAGTACTAATGTTGTTAGCCTGATCCCATTCTGTCTTTTCATCTTGAATACTAACCTCAAATGAGCCGTTAGAGCTCAAGCTGCCAGTCTGGACGGTCCATTCTAACATAAGCGCGCCATCTTCCTTGCGTGGCTCTGCGAAGGTCTCTGTCATGAGCTCATAACCGCTAAGCGCAGCTGTGATATACTTCTTGTCCTTGAGGTATCCGTGTCGGACACCCTTGAACAGACCATACACGAACATGGATGATCCAGAGCTCTCGATGTAGTTTCCAGAGCGGCCCTCAAGTCCAGGATCCATGATATTGTACCATCCCTTGTACTTCTTGTCCTGCGCGGCCACAATGGCGTCAGCTACGGACTGCAGGTACTTGATGAGGCGCGCACGGCCTGGGTGCGATTCGGGGAAGTAGTCCAGAGTGTCGACAAGGGCCATGATGTACCATCCAACTGCACGACCCCAGACGTGAGGAGCGATACCAGTCTCAGGATCAGCCCAGATAGCCTTCTTGCTCCAATCAAAGCCGTGAACCGGGAGACCGTTGGTGCGCTCGCGATCAGCTAAAGTTCCGGCATCGATAACGTCGAACTGCAGGGCGATGTCATCCCAGGCTGTGTTGTTCTCCGGCTGGAACTCGTATGTCCAGCGGGCGTAAAAGACGTCGAGCATGTAGATGCCGTCAAGCCACATCTGGTCGATGTATACAGGGTAGCGGTGGTAGAATCCGCCTTGTGGCGTACGGAAAGAGCGGTCAATCTGATCCTTGAGGCTGTCGGCCGCGATCTTGTAGATCTCATCTCCGCCCGTAAGATTGTACATATCCAGGAAAGTGTGGCCAAAACGGATGTCATCGATGGAGTTGCTGTTGTTGTGAAGGAGGATCTCGCCGTTCCATGCAGGATACAGCACAGTATCCGCATGGCGTTTAACGTAGTCACGGTACTTGTCGTCACCCGTCCTATCGTATGCAAGAAGCACACCGGAGAGATAAGCTGACACTGTGTAGGCAAATGTTGGTTCCACGCCATGTTTGATTTGCGAATCAGCCATCCATGTCAGGTACCGTGGCTTGCCGTTGAATTTTCCAGGCTTGATCTTCTCCTGAGGTGAAATCTTGAACCAGCCATTGGGCAAAGTGATCTTGGCCGATGCTATCGCAGCGCTGGCCAGCACAATGTTGGCAATGAGGAAAGACTTCATGATGAGGGATTGGAATAGATCCAAGGCGAAGTAAGGAGAACATTAAATGTGAGCAAGATGCCTTTTATAAGGTCCTGGCCTCTCGTACGGACGGAGTACTGCACTGATGCTGCATTATCGCTGCACTTCGGTCAATCTTGCTGTTGCTCCTCACGCTGGCCAAGCATATCTTCATCATGTTTAGCGACTTTGCAAATACCTCAACTGCTTGGAAGTTCAAAAGAGGCAGACTATCGTGATGTTGATCCACTTCACTTGACTATGATTGGACACATCCGAGCTTGGCCCGGAGTATTTCTACCAATATACCAAGCTACAAATCGAATCTATCTGCTAGGCACGGGTGAAGCCTGGAGTACTTTTCCGAACGTTCATCTCCGGATCTGCACGTTACACATGCTGGGGTGCATTGGACGGAAGAACTTCGCGGGGTTGCGGGGTGACTTGGCACCTCGGAGATCGTATAGCGAGCTGGCAGTGATCGTCCCACTTGCTACATACGTCGATGAGGCTGCATAGATAGTACCGGCCAGAATGAAGTGAGGGCCGAATGGGTGAGTAAGGGGCCTTTCTGCGCACGTAGCGTAGTATTTACACCGAGTTTAAATCAGAAGCGGTGGAATCCTTCCAAGCTCGTGACCGAGTCCTGACTTGGCACAATAGGCGGTGATACTGTAACTTCGCGCAACGTCTGTCAGAGCTGCTGTGGTGGCTGCGTCTGTACTTAAAGATTCAGCATGATGCAGATCGACGCGTCGGCCGCGCTTTTGGTCGCGTTTCGGTCAGTTAGCCAGGTACACGGACTCAGTGTAGGTTAAGAAGAAATGCGAAGGCAGCGATGCGTCCAACTCACGATATATGTATTGAGGTTGAACATGAACGACTCACTGTGTGGGCCTTTCCTTCCGCTTGAGCCGTTCCAGGCCAAGTGGCCGCCTCTCCCGTGATCTCTGGCGTCATCATCTCCCCGCAACACCAGCCTCCAACCTAACAACATCTTTACCGCCGTTCCACAATCCTTAACCACAGCCACAGCCTGAGCCACAGTTGCCATGTCAAGCCTGGTTTCCGGAATTTCGAAACTCAACCCCTTCGCTGGGTCGTCTAAAGTCGACGATGAAGACAAGGGCGAGGTAATCGATGCCAAGACAGTCGCTGGCGGCGGCCACGCATCGCGTGAATCACACATCACGAAGGATCGGCTGCGCGTCAGCAGAGCGATCAGAGAGGTGTTGTACAAAGAAAACGTTCTGTCGAAAGGAGACGCCGGCGTTGACCAGGAGCAACCCACCACTGCTTTGAGGGAATTGCTTGACAAGAGCCACATCAGGGTTCCGCCCGAAGTCCTCGACCGCAATTATCCACTGCCAGAGTATTACATCAGCTCAAGCCACAACACCTATCTCATGGCTCACCAGCTGTATGGATCGTCTAATGCTTCAGCATATGAGATTGCTTTGGGGACCGGTTCTCGCTGTGTGGAGATTGATGCCTGGGTAAGATACAATGTAGTGAAAGTAATTGATGCGGCTCACCCAGGTAGGATGACGACAACAATCCGGACGAACCAAAAGTCACCCACGGCTACACATTAGTCTCAAACATCCCTTTCCGTACAGTCTGCGAGACTATTCGCGACGTGGTCGATCGGGAAGTTGCTAATGAGAAGAACGCTGCACCGATTATGATATCCCTTGAGAATCACTGCGGTGCCCATGGTCAGATGAGACTTGCGTGGATTATGCGAGAAGTTTTCGGGCAGCGTTTACTCAGCAAGGCTGTGCGCGAGAAAGGCCACCTCGAGCAGGAAGGTTCGGGCAATCACGTTACTCTGGCAGAGCTTAGGAATAAGATCGTTGTCATTGTGGAGTACCACCTGCCAGACGAACAAGAAAGCAGTAGCGACAGCGATAGCTCCGAGGACGAGGAAGCGAAGAAAGCGCACCAGCAGTACAACAAGCAGAAGCAGGAGTGCCCTCAGGGCATCATTGTTCCAGAACTGGCTGAGATCGGCGTGTACGCGCAGTCTGTCAAACCAGTGAACAACTCCTGGTTCGAGTCAAACCTAGAAAATGCGCCTCATCATCAGCTTATTAACGTTTCGGAATCTGGATTGAAGAAACACCTGCTGGGAAATAGCCCCAAGGTTGCTCGACACAACGCCCATCATCTCATGCGTGTCTACCCAAAAGGGACTCGGATATCGTCCAAGAATCTTCAGCCAGTCCCATTCTGGGGCATTGGCGCACAGATCTGTGCCCTGAACTGGCAGACCTTCGGCTCCAGTATGCAAATCAACGAGGCTCTCTTTGCTGGTTCGGATGGGTACGTTCTGAAGCCTGCAGCTCTGCGCGCCGGAGGCAACGGCAACGTCCTCAATGGCAGACGGAAGAGACTTCGTTTGAACATCGTCGGTGCCAGCGACGTGCCTTTGCCGGAAGATCGCGAGCACGGTGACATCAAACCATATGTTACATGCACACTGGTTCATCCAAACGACCTAAACAACATGCCACCAAAGCGCAAGACTGCTGGCTACAAGCCTTCGAAGATGGCAACGCTCATGCACAAAGAGACCTCTCCCGCTAATGATCCTATTTGGAATGAGGAGCTCGAATGGGAATATGACGACAGTGAGATGGTTTTCTTACGCCTCTTGATCAAGAGCGACGATAGCTTCTCACGCAACCCCGTCTTCGCCGTGGCGGCTGTGAGGTTGATGTATGTTGTCCCTGGGTGGAGCTTCCTTCGTATGTTCGATCTTGGAGGCCATGAGACCACATGTACGTTGCTTGTCAAGTTCCACTTCGAGGATATCTAGGAGACTGCGAAGGAGAGTAAGCACAACGGCCGCAGGCGCAATCAGAAACGACACCATAAACTTGACAGATGGCGAGGAACCTTATGTGGCAAAGAAGGCTGTCTTTAATAGCGCATAAGGAATTATAATGCTTCGACGGGGAGGTGTGTCTTCAAAACCAAACAAGTTGTCTAGACAATGAGTGCTTCTGGCAGGATTTGACCTGCTTTCTTGAGGTCAATGAAACAAGTCGATGGCATGGATTCGTCACATGCATGGCATGTTCGTGTCTTTTATAGACCGGCTCGGCTGATAAGGGAACCCGTGCGGTGGAGATAAGACACCTGTGATCAACACATGAGGACGGTCTAGTCTCGATTACACTGTACTCGCCCGTATTTGTGGACCCGCGACACGTAGTCATACGACATGCTACAGGCGTTAGAGAGAATGAATAGTTCTGAGGCACTAAGGTAATCCAGGAAAGCACAAAGGTATTGTCATGATTTACTGTAGTAGGAAGTCTTCACTCTTACACAACGCACAATTGCTTTGGAAACGCATTTCACACGGTATAAGAAGCTATTGTGACAGAACGAACAAGCTCGCTTGTAGGTGTTTAAGGCCGCTCACCCCTCACTAGCGTTGCTGGCAGCTTGACCAGGCGACACTCAGCCGCAACATTGCAGGGGTTTCGTAAGCGCCATTACCAAAGGCGGAGTTCCGCCAAACACTCATTACAAACTACCACGAATACGCAAGTACCTTTGTGCACTTCTAGAAACAATCTTGAAAACCTCATAGCGTATATAAGTTAGAACAGTAGTGCTCACTATGTTTTTCCAAACTCAGAGACAGCATCTCCATCATGTCGTATCCTAAAAGCACCCGCTCGTGGCGTCGCACCACAACTCCATACCCTTTGTCAATTGCTCTTTCCACCGACACGCTCCCAGAAACTTTGGGACCCCACGATGTTGTGCTCCGCATCCACGCAGTCTCGCTTAACTATCGCGACGTAGCTATGCTGCGTGAAGGCGCCTACCCACTCCCAGTCGCCATCGGTGGTATCTGCGCATCCGATGCTGCTGCGGAAGTAGTGGCTGTAGGCAGCAAAATCAGCAAGTTTCAGATTGGTGACCATGTGGCGCCAACAATTGATTTGACAACTCTCACGGGAGAAGAGCGAGATGCTCGCCCGTTTGCGCTTGGCGGTGATGGCCCTGGTGTTCTGACTGAGTATGCGATCTTCGAGGAGAAGCACTTGGTGAAGCTGCCGAGCTCTCTATCGTGGGAAGAAGTGGGTAGCACTGTTGTGTACTATCGAAGGGTGTTGCTGAATTATTGTAGGCGTCTACAATTCCAGTCGCTGGTCTGACAGCTTGGGCGGCGCTAGGTCGCCTGCAAGGCTTGATCAAGGGCTCGTCTGCTCTGCTGCAGGGTAATAGTCGCTTCGATTTACATGTCGCTCAGACTACTGATGCCGAACAGGTACCGGAGGTGTCAGTATGTTTGCGCTCAAGCTCTGCCTTGCTGCGGGAATCCGCCCTATCATCACATCTTCTTCAGACGAAAAACTCGAGAAACTACGACAGCTTGACTCAAGCATTGGACTCATCAACTACAAGACCCATTCGGATGTTGTTGCAGAAGTCCTTCGACTCACTGAGGGCAAAGGAGTGGACTATGTCATCAACAACATCGGGGTATCGTCCATTCCCGATGATATCAAGGTCCTGCGGACCAGAGGTGGTAGAATCGCTCTCATAGGCTTCTTGGGAGGATTCGAGGCCGACTGGCCACCAAGCTTACTTATGAATTTGATACTGAAGGAAGCTCATATTGCGTAAGTCAGCCTGACAGTTCCGGTCTCGAAACTACTGACCATAGCTTAGCGGAATCTTGGGTGGTTCCAGGGCCGACTTTGAAGCTTTGAATGCGTTTTTGACGGAGAAAGACGTGCGTCTTGATTTGCTTGTTGATAAGACGTTCTCATTTGATGATGCAAAGGCTGCCACTGAGTATCTCTCATCAGGCAAGCATGCTGGAAAAGTGGTAATCAAACTATGAAGTGTACCTGAGCAGACTCGGGAGTCTGTTGGCATGCCCCAGGTGTTCTGGTGTGGGAATGTAGTTTGAAGCGCATTTCTGGAGCTGAATCTTTACCGTATCCGCCACCATGCTTGCATTTGGAATGCTTTACGAGCCGACCTCTCCAGTGATGTGTTTGTAGGAGGCTGCGACGGATTGCCTTAAAATAACAGAGACGATAGATTACATAAGAACGCACGGGCCATCCGGTCATTCTCGATCTTTGCAGTCTCTCCTCGCGTCGTTACGGAAGAGCACACTATTTCGACGCTCTTGCGACAGACCGCTTATTAGCAATCTGGATGATTCATGAGACTGCTGAGCGTCATTGAAGGACCAAAACCGTGGCGCAGCCTCATTAGGGCGACTCTCTCAATACGAGCGTCTTGCGCTGCACCGATCAAGCCCAGATTAGCAATGGACTTGTCAACAGAGCAGACTGAGCGCGTTCGTATGTCGTTGCGAACGAGCTGTGCGGGTCTGGCTGACGAACTCCATAGAAAGGCTCTGTACATCATGATACACATGCGACGCCACCAAACTTCATCCAGAAGGAGCACTGGCGGTACCAGAGCATGAGGCGAGCTGAGCTCGAAAGCGATCCTGACGTTTTCGATTTGAGCAAGCATAGTGGTTTTACACCAGAGCAGAAGGAAATATGGCGCCCTGCCGGTTTCATTCCAGCCTCAAGAATCACAGCTGCGTGTCAAGCTTATGCAGGCGGGCAGCCACTATCTGAGGCTGTTGAGGATGCCCCTATCTTTGAGCATCGAGATTTTCCAGGACTCCAGGTCGTATCTGGTCTTTTGCCTCCAGAGACTCAAGTCCTGTTCACATCTTGCCTCATGCATCGAGATCTTGCGGATCCAAGTCACAAGATCAATTTGCAAGCAGACTATGAGATTCGCTACCCACCAAAGCCAAGCTCTGAATCAATGCGGTTCGACAACAGCTTCTTCTTGCGGGATAGATCGGCAGCAGAAGATGTCCTAGTGCCCAGAACTCCGGACAAACAAAAGTCTCTCAATAACGAGCAGTTTCTGTACACCAAATTACGTTGGCTTACACTTGGAGAACAGTACGATTGGCCAACAAGGAGTTATGCGAAGCATGCCACACCGTTTCCAGGTGATCTCTCGAAACTAGTCACTGGCTTATTCCCACACATCTACCCAGAGTCTGGAGTAGTACTGATGTACGGCGCAAAGGACTTCATGCCTGTTCATCGCGACGTAAGCGAGCAGTGCCAACGTGCGCTCGCTAGCTTTAGTGTTGGCTGCGATGGCATTTTCATCATGGCTAGAGGGGAAGATGATGGCGGTGGGGAGAACACGCCGCGGACCGTTGCTATTAGGGTTCGGAGTGGTGATTGCGTACATCTCACTGGTAACGCCAGGTGGGCTTGGCATGCTATGGCGCGAACTATCCCGTCAACCTGCCCTTCTTACCTGGCTAACTGGCCTGTAGGTACCCCTGGTGCGACATCGGCAGAAGAGAAAGCTTTCAAGAAGTGGAGAGGGTACATGGGCACGAAACGCATCAATGTCAGTTGTCGCCAGGTTTGGGACTGAGATCGCTCAAGCGTGGCGCGGAGATACGCACTGCTTTGCTTGAAGGTGCCTCTGACCACCAGACATACGCATGATTACTCCATCTTCACTCTGAACAAGGGTATATACTTCTGCACCTTTCACAAAAAGCACATTGCAAGTGACGTTTTGGTTGGATGCTCTACGGTTTTCAATGGGGCCCTGCAAGTGGTCGATCTTCGGTGCAGCCAGGCTCAGAAAGCCCTCACTGACACATACAATCGATACAATCAAGCGAGGCTCAAATCATATCAATTTTGTGTGCCATTTTGTTGATCTGGCTCCAATCTACTTTAGCATTTCGAGCGACGTGGGCACCTGTAATGGTTTTCTGGGTGAAATCTGGGTGTGTCGGCTTGTTACCATACTTGCCTCGGCTGCAACTAACCACGGCTATCGTGCATTCACAAATCGTGGTGCGGATATTGTGCGATCATGCGGGGTCCCGCGGCATAAGCAGGTGATCTTGTTGCGATTCTAGTACGCCTCGGGTTCGCTTTGCGTGAAGAAGTTATGTCCCACACCCATGCTGCAGCTCCGTGGAGAAATGACATCAACCGATCAGAAAGCTATCCTGATAGGTAGCCTCTTGCTATGGTCCTCGGTACTTAGCTGACTTGTCGTCTGCTATGCCATGTCAAGATGGTTCCTTTCGGATATTCGCTTCCCAGAAGGTCCGAGGCGGCTGATTCTGGCTAGCTAAAATGTTAGTCGCTTCACGGGTCACTCAGCACTAGCATGAGTGGGTCTGACGGGAGTGCTACATGGATGAGGTGCGCGGAGCGGAGAGATGATCATCCCCACCCCCTCACGCCTTGAGTCTATTGTACAATTGTATGTACTTAAGTGTATGATCGGCACATGGGGGTTCAAAAAGGTGGACAATTGCGCAAGTAGCGCATTTCCCAAAAGGTCCACTTTGTTGGAACACTGCATCAAGGCCTCCTCATTGAGAATAAAACTATCCGGTTCGACGTGCAGAGCCAGTTGCCGGCGTAACCAAAGAACAGCTGTTTCCGGATCCTCGGTTGTCCGCGAGGCTGGCATGCGCATTTCCACGGTTCCGTCGTACAAGCAGCTGACGCTGAGCCATTATTTGCGCTCTGATATCTATCGTACATCAACGACCGCCTTAATAAAAGCATTCAAACTTTTAACGACTGTTACACCAAGCAGCCACTTTTCAAGATACGCGAAGGAAGCGCAGCGATTGTTTGCCGTGACCCGCTGTGTTGATCCAACCGTGGATGACGTTGGCACCTCCGCGACTGCAGGTACGACCATCGCCCGAATTCCGATGATTTGCCATAACTCCGCAGCCTAGAGCTGCCCCAGCCTCAATTGTTTCATCACATATCTAATTCATTGGAGAACTGCTTTTGAGTTCGCGCTACGGTCTGCGATGGCCAGGCCAGAGACTTTCAGCCGTAGCGGCAGCGGGAACCAACAAACGTGGTGCTCAGCCTTTCTCAACTAGCGTCCCAAAGGTACTTCCGGTTGCCTTTCCATGACTCAAGCAACTCGATTCCCATTGCAAGAACTTCTCTACTAGAAGTTGGATAAAGTTTATCCGTTGCTTCTCGTTCCAAGTCGCACGCACAACGCGGCTCGTATAGCTGCTAGTATATACACCGCTCCTGCCCAAAAAGACAAAAGTGCCTTGGATGGCTGTCACTGTCACTTTTCTGGTACGCTAGAGCTGACCTCCATAATCGTGCAATTCGAGATCGGAGACGGCTCCGGACCGCACTGGACCTCGACAGTGACCATGGCGCAAGCACGTGAGACTCACACCAGTCCATGCGCGAACCATGCTTTCGCTGAACTAAGTAATAAGCTTCATCGGGCGCTGCAAGCCACATTCGAACGTCTAACAGTAGTTCAATGCCGTTGCCATTTTTGATCTGCGATTCTCAGCAGCTTGACCCAGTCGGCACCTACCCCTTCGGCTGGATTGGCTCACTATATTCAACTTACTGCTCCATTGACTTTTGGTTGCCGATGTGACAAGTCGCTGTTGACACGTACCGGCCTATCTACGTCCCAGTCCCGTGGACGAACTTTTCCGGCATTTGTTTTGCGCTCGTTTGGTATGGGTTCAGACTCGGACCATGGTACACCGACAACGCCTTGCTCTGCACTGTTATATTTTGTATAAGGGACGGCTCGTTGTCCCTAGCCTATATCGCATGTTTTGTGCCCTTGAATCGTTCTTTGTAACATCTTGGCTATCAAGATGCTGTCGAGTTGTGCGGTTCTGTTCGGCCTCATGCTTTTAATATCGACAACAATGGCAGACTCAAACATCACTCCGGCCACCACAGTGGTTTCCATGCTAGGCATGATACCACAATGTTCAGTGAGCACTTTGCGTTCTCCACCTCCACCCGGACCTGATTATCTGACACTTCCTAGGTACCGTGTGTTCTGGAAGACCTTTTCACATCGGGTGGTTGTCCGATGACAACAGCAAAAGATCTGGCTGCCTGTGCCTGTGCAAATATCACAATTCAAGCATCATTGTCTACATGTGTCCAGAAGTCTTGTGGCTTTCAAGATCAAAATGGTCAGTAGCCATTCACACTCGCTCACAGCACAAGCTGACATGATACAGAGGTAGTTGCTTTTGCTAGCAATCTCTGCGAGGCATACCCCAAAGAATCTCGAGCCCATGAACTGAAAACAATCTCCATCGGCACTATTGCAATCGCCGCTGCATTTCTGCTCTTGCGCCTGTACTCCAGATGGCTGAAGACACGGCGACTTTGGTGTGACGACGCTTATGCAATTCTCGCCGCTGTACGTGTAATCTTGTCCTCTGCTACTCTCAAAAATACTGACAATAAACAGGTTCTTTTGATCACAGTCTCGGTCATCATCCTTGAGATGTCTTTAAAAGGATTCGGTCTCCACTACTGGAATGTACCAACCACAAATGCCGTCATACTTCTCAAGCTCTTCTATGTATGTCAGATGCTGTACGTCGCAGTTCAGATTGTTTCGAAGATCGCCATTCTTGCGCTGTACTCTCGCTTATTCCCGGATCACATCAAGTGGTTCAGGTGGAGTGTACGCGGTATGTTCGCATTCATGGTACGTGCAACAGTGGCGGCATTGCTCAAGCGGTATACTAATTCAAAACAGATTATTCACGGTCTAGTTTTCTTGCTTCTTGTCGTTTTCCAGTGTTTGCCTATCAGTGCTATCTGGGATAAGACAGTCACCAGCGCGAAATGCCTTCCGGTATCTGCGGCCATTGGGTTCACTGGCGCGGGTTTGAGCATTTTGGAAGACATTATCATACTACTTCTTCCTCTTCCTGTGGTGTGGAAGTTGCAAATGAACCTCAGAAAGAAGATTGGTGTTATCTTCTTGATCAGCGTAGGGTCTTTGTACGTCGCCCCAGATGCTCCTTCTATCAGCTACTTATACAAGGCAGTGCACTCATCACCAGCATCGTCCGACTCAAGTATCTGGTCAAGTACTCGAATTCTTTTGACTCGACATGGGACAATGTTGATGTTATCAAATGGTCTCTTATCGAAATCCTATCTGCATGCATCTGCGGTAACCTGTTGCCCCTCCGCCCGCTCCTCGAGGAGATCACGCCATCTCTCCGCTCGATGTACAGCTGGTATTCCGATCGCAGATCTTCCCAAAAGTCATCCGAAAAATCTTCAGGCGAACTTGGTCGGTCCGATGGTTCGAACAAGCCAAAGTTTCTTCCTACGTTTCACTTTACTCGCGTGTCGAAATGGGACTGGAATAATACGACATCATCAGACCAGAACGCGATACTTCACCCTCGTACTCCCACGCCGGCATATTTCACAGACGGGTCCAACAATTTTGAGGAAGACTTTGTGCAGGATCTACCAGTCCGGAACACACCCACAGCCTTTATGGAATCGCAGAAAATGGAATCAATGGTCACGTCATCCCAGATGACTATGGGCACTGACGGGAAGTCAAGCCGAAGCAGCCAGACGGATCTCATGCCGCCTTCGAGAGATCGAGAAAATCGTATCTCGGGGCCATGGAGTCGTGCATTCGCGCTTCTTGACCGACGTTAATTTTTAATGATATTCTCTCACGGCCAAACAATTCTACGACCTCTTTAGATTATGGAATCACTAATCCCAATCGTTTCATGCACATCCGATACCAAGTCGAAGTTTGCGTGAGCTGTCCAAGATAAGATTGCTGTTGGATACATCCACTGTCGAAAAATGCGCAGCAGGTGTTGTTTTACATGCGGCAAGCGTGTACGTACGCGTTGCGCAAGTTAAATTGTGGCGTTACTAGAATGGAATGGGACGATCAGAACACTGACCATTAACATTACGGACTACTACGTATTCAAATGAAAGGTGACAAGGAATCTCTTGCAAAACAATTGATAAGATTTTGCGCACAGGAACACCGCCAGCGATCGAGGTATCGTCTTCACCATCATCGACTTGAACCTGACACTATTAATGGGGTACCTCGGTTGACATGTATGTCTATGGGGTTAATGCTGAACATATACTACAATCGTCCATGGACCATATGTTGTGTCGCTTGACTCGAGCATTGCAGGTCCAAACCAGGGGGATAATGAAGTCGCAAGGTAAGTGGTCCCGGGAGTGTTTCCCATGTGATCGACACCTTTTAAAAAGTTGCCATATGTGGCATGTTCACGCTGTGCTAATACGGTTGTCTAGGCCCAAAGAAGCTCTAGTTGGCATTTCTCGACGTCACGCTCGGCGTGCCAGACCGAGCCATTGATATAGAAGATGGTACGCCGCAGAGCAACAACCAAATGAGCCACGATATCTTCTCTAAACCAACAACGGAGACGGGTCGCCGTTATCGTGGAATTGACTCAAAAAAATAGCAGAATTATCAAAGAGACACAAAGTCGGGTGCTGCTCGTATCGCACACATGTCACGTCGCCGCAAGCATCGCGATGTCATGCTGACGATCTCATCAAGAGGGGAAAGTTACACGGCTATCACGATGCACAAACAAACAAGCTCCATAAGTCATCGCCAACCCGCCTCAGACAAGGAGGCTCTTCAAGCTACCCGAAAGCCCATCTCGGCTCCGATTAGATCGAAGTCGCTAGCTCCAATCTTCACAACAGCCCTGTGTGACAACGTACCGATTGCCCAGCATCGGATGACCTGAACCATGCTGCAATACACATTCACGGAGGCCACTCTCAAACTAGTGTCAGACCATTTCCATGGTCCATCAAAGCAGGTTATTATTGGGTACACCGGATTATGACATCTATACGTCTTTTGGTATCATATAGCATGCTTGATCCTTATCTTGACAAACATATCGTTGCTGACCTCTAACGCACACGCGTTTCTCAATGAGTGCGTGCCCATTCGCGATACCAATCCAAGCAGTCTGCGTTTGCGACACTGGCCGACGTCTTCACGTTCAACCCGCAAAGTATTTGCTTGACTGCACCCTCGACCCTGTTTGTGGTTAGCAAAACGTACAGTAATCGGTGGAAGGAAACCCACTTCTTCCCGTTCGTTGTTACCGGGATCTCTGGGCATTCCTCGACAACAGCTGGAACGTGCCTTGCACTCAGTGAGTTCTTGACCGCAGTCTTGATGTTCAGCACCAGCTCGTCGGAGACACGATGCCCCTCTGCCATCTTCAAAAAAAGGACTACAGTTTCATCGGCGTCTGTTTCCCTTCTCCGCCCGATACATAGAGCATCCGAGACTTCTTCGCCGAAGTGCTCAAGTACGACGTTGTATATCTCTGCTGAGCCGAAGCGCACACCAGCCGGTTTCAAGATACCATCACTCCGCCCTAGCATCCAAACACCGCCAGTCTTGGGGTTGAAGCGCACAAAGTCGCCATGATGCCAGATCGGCTGGCCCTTCTTGTTGGTGAACTTGTCGAAATACGAGCCCTGATACTTCTTTGCGCCCTCTCCACCCCAGAATGCAACAGGCTGGCAGATGAACGGCTTCGTGCACACAAGGTCGCCTGGTTCGCCGCTCGATGATATGTCTTCTCCAGTGTAGTCAAACGCCGCGATCGCCATACCAAGTCCGGCGGCTTGAATTTCTCCTTCGTATACTGGTATGAGAGGGTTTGGTGCACCGAAGAGAGATATAATATCTGTGCCACCCGTGATGCTGCCAAGGTTGATTGTAGAAGGGAAGGCAGAGTAAACGTAGGAGAATGTGGATGGGGCAAGTGGGGAGCCAGTTGAATAGATTGCTTCCAGCTTGCTCAAAGCCAGACCAGCAGCCTTAGGGTCTACTGACTTCTGTTCGAGGACTGAGAGGTACTTTGCAGATGTGCCGAAGTGAGTGATACCGTACTCCTCGATCAGACGGTGCATGGCAAGATCGTCCGGTACAGATGTTGAAGGGTTGCTGCTATCAACATAGCGAAAAGGTGACCCATCGTACAACACCAAAGTAGCCCCAGAGGCGAGTCCGGACACGAGCCAATGCCACATCATCCATGTACAAGTGGTAAAATAAAAGAGGCGCGAGGAGGGGGTGATCGAGGAGTGAATAATGTGCTCCTTTTTGTGTTGGAGAAGTGTACCGATGGCTCCATGGACTATGCACTTCGGTGCACCGGTTGTACCACTCGAGTAGAGGATATAGACAGGATGATCAGGATTGAGCTGCTTGAAGCTCAACTCCGGATTCTTCGATAGATTTGTGAAAGACGCATAATCATAAGCTTTACCTGTTGGCATCTTGATGGAAGTAGGGTCAACATGTACCGAAGATACGGTAGGGAAGACCACGACCGCCTGAAGGGAGGGCAACCCAGCTGAGATCTCATTGACCTTGGGTAGCACCGGATGACTACGACCATTGTAGAAAGCAGCATTGTCCGCAAACAGTATCACCGGCTCGATCTGTCGTAGCCGTTCCAATACAGCGTGTACACCTGTGTCTGGGCTGACTGCTGTCCAGATGCCTCCAAGCGAGGTCGCGGCTAGCATAGCAACGAGCGCGTTGGTGTGATTTGCGACGTAACCAGCGACTCGATCGCCTTCTTGTAGTCCTAAGGCTTTCATGCCTGCCTGGCATTGCCTGACTCTTTCTCTGAGCTCCTTCCATGTCACTGTCTCACGTGTGGTCTCAGTCACAGCGATGACAGCCGGCCCCTCTGGGTCGACTTCTTGTGTAGGGAAGAGGAGGTTCTCGGCGAAGTTTAACGTTGCGCTCTCAAAGAACGCTGGGCGAGGAAACATGGGCGCGTCCGGATCCACTGCCTAACACTCGGTCAGCGTATGCAGCCAGCTCGGCGATCTGATCACTGACTCTTGCTGCTCTCCCTTGAGCCCTAACGCCAACAAAGTCCCAAACACTCTGCCAAAAATGATCTATGTTGTCAATACTCCATTGGTGCAGATCGGCATAGTTTGACAGCTGTAGGCTGTGCTTCTTGTTCACTGTCTTGAGGTATTGATACATGGGAGTGCTCTCGGGCGAGGAATGCCTCCACAGAAGTTTCGCACCCATTGATGAGCCATTGGTCCCGTTCGTACCATTCATTGTGTAGTATGACAATCGAAAGTAGTATTACAGAACAGAATGTCGGTGTACAAGGGAAGCGCGCGGCGTTATTAAAAGTTGCGGCTATCACAGGACTTTGTTGACTTTTCGGAACGCGGAGGGGTTCCGCAACCCCAATGCCTCGGGCACTAACGTGATTCGGCTGTGGCTCAGAAGTGGACCCACTTCCAAAAGTCCTAATTCGCTTGCCTTCGTTGTGTCGACGTATTCGCAGCTCTTTACCATATCTAGGCATCGTTGTTCTATCCTCCCACTCGCTCAAGACGTTCCTGTCGACAATCGAAGATTGACACAATACAAGCTTCGACAGGCTAATATTGTTTGATCAAACTGAGCATTGCAACTACTATCGTGGAGCATAGAAAGTCCATTTGGAAAGTAACGACTACTCAAAGACCTTCTTCCATACCCACAAGCTACGGCTGTTACAGTAGTGCTTCAATCCCTCAATACCCCACTCCATGCCGATGCCTGACTCTTTGTGACCTCCAAAGGGAATTTTTGGAGAAACGTCGAAGCTGGACATGCAATGTTAGCATATTGTGGCGTTAATAAGCAGGATACTTACTGTGAGTTGACCCAGACACTACCTGCCGACAGCTGTCTCGCCATACGTTCAGCGCGCTTCACATCCTTGGCCCACACTGATGCTCCGAGGCCAACCTTCAATGCGTTTGCGCGGTCGATCACGTCTTCCTCGTCGGACCACTTCAACAAAGGCACGATGGGGCCGAAAGGCTCCTCTTGAACGATGCGGGAGTCTTCTGGTGGGTTGTCGATGATCGCTGGAGTGATGAAGTAGCCGTGCTCAAATTGTCCGGCAGATCCAGACAGCGCAGTCTTCCAATTGCTCCTCTCGATCTCATCGTACAGGTCCTTGACCTTGTCATATCTATCGATATCAGTATACCGACTCAAGCTGATATTTCTACCTCGACTTACTGCATCTTGTTCTGCACAGGTCCAACAACAACACCCTCCTCAGTGCCTGCGCCAGTCTTGATGTTGCCTTTTGTAAATTCCACCATCTTGTCCCTGAACTCATCGTAGATCTTCTCGTGGATGTAGATCCTCTTAGTGAGCATACAGATCTGTCCCGAGTTCAAGAAGCTCATCATTGCAATCTTTGGCAGGCACTTGTCGATATCCACATCCTCGCAGATGACGGCTGCGTCATTACCACCGAGCTCAAGCACATATCGCTTCAGAGTCTTCGCACAGCTTGCTGCGACCAGCTTGCCAGTTGCGCTTGAACCAGTGAAGGCGATCTTGTCAATACCAGGGTGCTCCGTGATCCAAGGTCCAAGGCTGTCGTCTCCGGAGAGAACTTGCACGACACCTGGCGGGAAGACTTGCGCGGCCAGCTCGCCCAGCTTGAGGTCGCAGTAAGGTGTGTAGGGCGAGGGCTTCATGATGAAGGTATTACCGGTGATAAGCGCCGGGCCGACCTTGCCCAAGCCGAGCAGAATGGGCCAGTTCCAGGGCACTATGCCGGCGCAAACCCCAATGGGTGGATAGGTGGAGTATATTGTTTTCTCTTCGTCTTCTTCGAGGACTTCGTCTGTAACTTCCATGGTCGCGAATGTGCGGAGCCATTGCAGAGCACAGTCTAATTCAGTGTGAGATAGGGAGAGCGGTTTGCCTTGCTCTGTGGTGAGCAGCTTCTCCAGCTGATCACGATTGGCTTCAATCAGATCTGCGTACTTGAGAAGCAATTCGGCTCTCTCGGAGAAGGTTGTTGCGCTCCATGACTTGAATGCTGTTCTGGCATTCTTGACGGCTGCGTCTAGATCCTCCTTCCGAGCGACGGGAACTTCGTAGAGAGCTTCCCCGGTCGCAGGGTTGATGGAATGGCGAGTCTCAGGAGTTGGGACAATCTCATTGTTGATAATATTGCCTTTGTAGGTCTACTTGCTATTTAGTGAATGTTTTGAAGTGCTGACGAGATTTGATGCTTACTTCGATGTCGAGCGTCGATGCCATTGTGTTGGCGAGTCTGAAACCTCCGCAGGAATTTGTTATATCTTCTCGTCTGTAAGTTGCACGAGATATGCAGGTCTAAACTAGTCGTTGGAAGAACGATGCGTCCACGGCTTTTGTAGCAGAGTTGGGGGTGGATTGAAAGTGGGGGCTTACTCGTGCGGGGTTCAGCTGTCAGCGACGGGAACCTAACAAACAACTTGACATGTGTTCACAACACACGAGGCATACTGCATCCTGTGGTGAAGTTCGTTTATACTAGGCCCCTTTGAGAGATTCGGGCCTAGCATGTGGTAGACACTTCTATAGCATCTCGTCAGCGTTCAACACAGCCAGTTACAAGCCTACACTGTCAGTATGATCGGTACGAGATTTCTCCGTAAGCGAATTTACATAATTGAGCTTCTCCAAACGATGCGTTAGCTACATGTTGTCAAGCTCAGTCAGCAAGCTTACAGAGGATTGGCTTCGTTTCTCAGCGGGTATCGTAGCGGGAATTGCTGCAGCGGATGTGCAGCGGATATTCGACCTTCTCGATTATAACATCATCCCTCTTTCGTAATAGTGAATAGTTATGCGAACAACAATTAGCAGACAAGCTATTGGTGTGTTTTATTAAGTAAGTCATGGTTCGGTTAGTTATCAGTACTGATGATCAGTACCTCTGATGAAACAATACTCGAGCAGGATCAACTACGTATGTCTTAGATCAACAGAGTACACAGCGATATCATAAGGGTTTCAAGTCACCATCAACTACAAAAATGTCATCCGAAAGTGGTTTAACGTTGTTCAATTCAATGTAGTACATAATTATGATGCTGCGATAAAGCACCTTTCGCTCATACTGTGAAAGCAAAACGTTTATTTGTCGCCAGTGTCGTGGATCGCGTTGGGAACAGCGCGCTCAACAGACTCAGGAAGAATCTCCTGGATCTTCTTGGGGACAATAGAGGCGTCACCGCCATCCTTTGCGTGGGTCTGGGAGGTGGACTGATCAGCCTTGCCGCCAGTTGGGTGAACCTAAGAGCACCGTTAATCTCCAGGTCCAATCGTTGTATCAAACGCGGCACATACGGAGTCGGGCAGAGCCTCCTCGAGAGCAGAGGGAGCCTGCTCCTGAATCTTTCCGGGTACTGCGGATTCGCCGGTGGCGTGGGACTTGCCCTGTCCGTAGCTGTTGGTGGAAGACATTCTGATAGAGTTGCGTAGAATCGGTGATGTTCGAACGATAACTCTTGAGGAAGCGCGGAATTTGAGTGCTGCAGAAGACATGATGAATGGATGGATCTTATAGAAAACGAGGAGGCACTGTTTATGTACGGTCACGCATGTGTGAGCGCGTCATAGCCTCACGTACAAGATCTCGTCATTGCGACTGACCGTGAGCTCATGTGGCGGCGTACCAACCCGCGTCCTCAAAAGAGGCTCTAAAGTGGCCGTAACGAAGGGGTGGGTTGGACGGCCTTCAGCCTGCAATGATGCGGTCATCTCATAAACAAAGGGTCACAGCTTGAGAGCGTCCGCGGCGTGATCATAAGCGCAAGGCAACCACTTTGCACCAAATCAACGCAATAGATGTCGACATCTGCAGCGAAATAAGCTCAACGTCTCTGAGGTGTGGCGCTGATACCGTCGTCGGAGGAATCGAACGTGTTGTTTGTCGGAGGGATCGGAGCCCCGGATCCCGAGAGCGCGACGCTTGCGACGCACGAACGTGACGCGAACATCTACTTCGGTGCGCCAACCCTTGCTTCGACCGATGCCATCGTATTCTAATACTTGAGATCTTAGACTGACAGACTATCGGAATACGATACCTCAAGGTTCCAGCTCTTGCGGCACCGGCCGGTTCGTCCGTGATTACTAGTACATATTCTACACACTACTTTCTATCTCGACATCATCAGCATCCATCGATTACAAGCCCTGGGCGTTTAGTGTCAGCTTTAACGCGTCGGGTTCCTGCGCTGCGCGCCAGCTTTGAGCTCAAGCCACGCTTATCGCACCAATACACTCATAAAGTCCCCTAGGTTTGGTCTTTACGCCTCTCTTTTCGGACGAGGCTTCCTTTTCGTGATAAGTCAATTGAATGGATCAGAACCATTCGAACCCGTCAGACCAAGCACCGTCATGATATTCTCCTACCTGCAAATGGAACTGCCAGGAGCGAAGTCAGTGCCATTTCCCACGTCCTTGCAGCAGAGCAGAGTTGGCCACAACCAAATATTAGATGGCGAACGGACTAGCAAGAGGCTTATGGAGGCTGTCACGGAGCTCAGCTTGGTTCGCTCGCCAGCACATATTTTGTTTGCTGGCATCCTGCTCTCATACTAAAGGTTGTTTGAGCCCAAGCTGATTAGCAAGAATACAGTAAGATTGTGATGCGGGCTCTGGATGGCCGAGCAATGCCATCTGGCACTACCAGCACGGCTTCATAGCCCCCCGGTGGCCCATGAATATCTTTGTGGCCTGGAAAAGGTAAAGAGAAATGTACTTGGATAGCTGTTCTGATCAAGCAGGCAGAGGGAATTTCCCTTGAGAAAGTACCGGCCATACAAATAGCTCCATCTTATTATCTGGCGTCCTCTTGGCCTTCAAAGAAACGAAATAAGTACTGTGTAGACTATGAGCCGATATGTGTAGCCGACAGTGTAGATTTGTACACTAGGAGGACAATGGCCCGAATTATAGCGACTAGTTCCTGGATGCTATGCGCAGATGCAAGGCGCTGACCGAGCCAGGATCTTAACAGGAATAGTTATGCCCCAAAGCTCTCATCTCCCATAAGTGGCAGGGATCGAGTCAGTTGCGCATCTGCCGGGGCGCGTTTTGACCCCTCTGCCAAGATGCTTCCCCAGAATTCCCCGCATCAAGGATCAGCATGCGAAAAGTCTTCCTACGAGGGAGCTCCGGTCGTACAACTGATCGAACATCAAAAAGTTCTCCACCTCTACTTGACTTTTCTTATTAAGACAATCCTACGATTCTTCTTGGTTTGTATAGGATTCCAGTTCAAGTAATCTCCTATTTCTACCTCATAGTATAGGGTATGCCTTTACTCTTATTACAGTCACTCGTGCAGCAGGATCAGTTTGGTCAACCACTGATCGACGTATGTACTGATTAGCAATAGCTCCGGTACAACCTCGGAAAGGGTGTAGCCGTTGGACTTGTACAACCACAGCGGGAGGCTTTCGCGACTGATTACACCGAGGGGCATTGCGTCCTGACAAGATGAGATCATTTGTTGTATATTCAGAAGATGGATATAAAACTTTGAGCATGGCGCGTCTTGTAAGCAACCAAGTGCTTTCCGTCATCGATTAATGCAACATGTCGGTCTCTATTTCATCAGTTCTGCTCGAACACCACCGGCAGGCTTTTGGCATTGCTGAAGCCTCGCCTCGCATCTCTTGGAAGTTCGAAGGGAATGCTATCGATTGGGAACAGACCGGTTACGAGATTGAGATCACTCGCGATGGAGTACCCCGGATCTTTGGTGCAAATTCCTCAACGTCGACACTTGTCTCTTGGCCAGACGAACCTCTCTTAAGCACAGAATCAGCTACAGTCAGAGCTCGAGCTTATGGCAGTGGAGCAGATACTGACTGGTCGGATGTTGTTTCAGTAGAAGCTGCATTACTGGATGGAGACTGGGCTGGGGCAGTGCCCATTGCTGCTGACCGAGAGACTGAAGTCAACGCTCCTCACAAACCCGTTCTTTTTCGGAAAGATTTCAATATCAACTCCACTATCGTGTCTGCACGACTCTACATTACTGGCCTTGGTATATACGAAGCGCACATCAATGGTCAAAGAGTCGGCGATCATGTGCTTACACCTGGATATATGTCGTACCAGTTCAGGCACACATACGATACCTACGATGTGACTGATCTCCTAGAAAGCGGGGAGAACGCTATTGGAGTTGGTCTTGGAGAAGGATGGTGGTCAGGTACGCCGTCTCATAATGGGAACAGCCTTGGAAAGACGTTACTAACTTGAGACAGGACGCTGGGGATTTCAAAATCAGCGAAATCTCTACGGAGATACTCTTGGAGTACTTGCACTGTTGACCATCACCGATGAAGACGGTACCAAGCAGACAATCAAGTCCGACTTGTCGTGGCACGCTACTGCCGATGGCCCAACTGTCGCATCAGAGCTTTACAACGGCGAAATCTACGATTCAAGGCTCGAGATCGACGGGTGGTCTGAACCATCCTTTGATAGCAGTGAATGGCTCGGCGTAAAGCAGCTACCACCATTGAAGGGAATGCTCACGACTCTAGACGGCCCACCAATGCGAAGGGTACAAACGGTGGAACCTCAGAGGGTGTTTCAATCTCCTACCGGCAAAACGCTGGTCGACTTTGGCCAGAACCTTGTTGGTTGGCTGCATTTCTCGAACATCGAAGGACCTTCTGGCACCAACATAACCATCCGACACGCAGAAGTCTTGGACGAGGGCGAGATCGGCATGAGACCCCTGCGCACTGCAAATGCTCAAGACAGCTTCATCTTAAACGGCAAGGGCAACCAGACCTGGGAGCCATCCTTCACATACCACGGGTTTCGCTTCATCGAGGTCAACAATTGGCCGAACTCTACAGCCCTCGACGCTGATCACATAAAGGCAGTGGTTGTGCATAGCGATATGGAAAGGACAGGCTATTTCGAATGCTCTGACAGCCTTCTAAACCGATTCCACGAAAATGTCAGATGGAGCATGATCGGCAACTTTCTCAGTGTGCCTACCGACTGCCCGCAACGTGACGAACGACTGGGCTGGACTGGAGATGCACATGCTTTCATGCCGACAGCCAATTATCTCTACGATGCCTCAGGCTTCTGGCGCAGCTGGCTCAAGGACGTATGGTCAGAGGCCAGTATTGGTGGACTCAACGTAACCCCACACATCGTACCAGGGGTCGCAATCAACTTCGGAGACGGAACTGATGCCTCTAGGGTGCCTACTGCCATCTGGGGAGACGTTATTGTCGGCAATCCATGGGCGCTTTACCGCACTACTGGCGACAAGCGCATGCTCGAAGAACAGTACCCGGGAGCGCAGGCCTGGATCGATTCAGGTATCTCGCGGAACGAGCAAGGTCTCTGGAACCGAAGTACTTTCCAGTACGCAGACTGGCTGGACCCCTTATCTCCGCCTGACGACCCTTCAAACGCTACCACACACAAACACCTAGTCGCTGACTCCTACCTCATTCAGATGACACGCCTCCTCTCTTACATGAGCAGCGCCCTCGACAAGACCTCAGAGGCAGAAAAGTACGCGTCTGATCGCCAAAACTTGATCTCGGCATTCTATGACGCCTGGATCGAGCCTTATGATGGCTTGATCGCAAACGTAACCCAAACTGCGCTGACACTCGGCATCCGCTTCGACATCTTCGACGAAGCCACGCGCCCCCAAGCTGCCTCAACCCTGAACTCCATCATCTCCAACAACTCCTTCCTCGTAGGAACGGGCTTCGCAGGCACTCAGCAGCTGGGCTTCGCTCTGTCGAGCATAAACAGCACTGCCACGTTCTACAAGATGCTGCTCCAGACCAAGGTACCCTCGTGGCTGTACCAAGTGGCCATGAACGGCACCACGACGTGGGAGCGCTGGGACTCGATGATGCCCAACGGCAGCATCAACGCGGGCGAGATGACGAGCTTCAATCACTATGCGTTCGGCAGCGTGGCCGACTGGATGCATTCCAAGATCGGAGGACTCGCGCCAGGCGAGCCGGGATGGAAGACTACGCTTGTGGCGCCGGAGCCGGGAGGCAATATCAGGAGCGCTAACGCGACGTATTTGAGTCCGTATGGAGTGGTAAGGAGTACGTGGAATGTGACGAGCGCGGGCTTTGCATTGGAGGTGCAGGTCCCGCCGAACGCAGGGGCTGATGTTGTGCTGCCGGACGGGAAGAATCAGACGGTGAGAGTGGGGAGTGGCATCCACAATTTCGCACTAGAGGGGTACGTTCTGCCTGAGTAAGCATATAGGCAGCTACAGAATAGTGACAAACGATTCACGAAGTCCTTCATCATTCAAGCTTTACTCGCAGTGATCAGTACACGGATGATGAGAGTCAAATTGTCAATGGCTACAAAAGCAATGCGACAGATGAAAATTGCTAGTTCTTATCAGTCATAGGTTTGATATTCTCTTGAAGATAGACTGCATCACATCGACCGAGCCGTTCAACTGGCCACAGCCTTGCACTTCTTACAGACTGTCACTCTCTCATTCCGCCCCCCTGACGGCCCTACGCTTCTAGTAGCAACCTCAAACTCCTGGCTCCCACAACGCGTGCACTGTTCCTGCTCGGTGTGCGCTACTTCCTCGCCGGCCTCGCTCATCTCGCTAGTCAGACGACTAACTTGACTGAGCTGGCTGACCTGGCTTCCGCGTGCATCTAACGCCGGTCTTTGACTCTTGTTACTGTCGCCTTTGCTTGTCCAAAAAAACCAACTTTGGCCGTTGATGACAGCAAGTGGGTTGACGATTGAAGGGTGCTTGGCAAGATCTAGTTGCTCCGATGTCTCCGATGGCTCCGATGGCTCCGATGGCACCTCGGATGATGGAGATGGCTCTGGGATGTTTATTTGTGGTGGTGTTGAGACCTCGGAGTGTGTTCTACTTTGCACAGGTGCAAGATCTACAGACAGAGAGGTCTTTGGCGTTCCCGTAGGTCCAGAATTTGTGGTGTCATGTGATACTACGGGCTTCAGGGATGGTGAGTCAGGTGCTCGTGCTGAGCTTAGACTCAGTGCTGCTATGGATTTGCGAGGTGAGACGCTGCGACCGCTCTTTCGACGTAAGGGTCCTGTTGAGTCAACGCTACCATGCGAAATGCCTTGCCTCCATGTCATGATGCGATCATTAGGAGGTTGAGTCGATACACTGTTTCGTCTCGACCGACTAGTGCGTGAGAGGATACTGCTCGGGCGCCCCATCTTGGACGAGGTCTCCCAGGTCTCTCTGAGCCGTACGCGCTTATCATGAGCACAATCTTGTCTGAAAACCTTCAACGACCCCTTGTAGTCGGTTGTGATGATGATATTACCGCCTGGGTGATCACAGCGACTAAGATACGCTGGGCTTTCGTTCGTTCTGGGGAACAAGCTCTGAGTTGGAGTCGGCGTCGGTTGTACTGAACCAGCTTCCGTTGGGACTCGGGAGGACCGGGCAGACTCATCTCTGGACACAAGTGTGATAGGTGGTGGGTTGCACATGTCGTAGATCGGATCCTCTGATGCACTGAGGAGCTGCCTTGTCTGCAGTGGAGCAAATACTGTGCAGGTCGTGATGGAATCGTGAGCCTCGAACATCTCGACAGGCCGTTGGTCTTTCTTGTCGCCCTCCGGAGAGGTCGTCGACCAGATATACGCCTTGCGATCTTCGCTACCACATATTATGTGTCCTGAGCCGTCGACAAATCCTGCTCGTATTTGACTGCAGTTGTTCTCGTGGCCTTTGAACTTCATGTCTAGACTTTTGTCCTTCATATTATATATTCGCAGTCGAGAGTCGTTGCTCGAGACAAGTAGTTTGACCTCGCCGGTCTCAGAGCCAGGAGGCCAGTATGTTGCTTGAAGCCCAGTGATCTTACTGCCCTTTGCATTTTGCCCTCTTGTTGATTTCACGTGTAACTGTGCCTGCCATTTAAGACCTTCTGTGTCATAGAAGTTGCAGAGACCACTCAGTGTTCCTGCGATGCATGTCTTACCATCAGGACTGAACGTTACAGCGGTGATCATGTCGGGACTTGAGGCTGTGTACGCGACACTCTTGTCTGGAATGCTCCACAGACGAAGCTTGGAGTCGAGCGAACCGGCAAGGAAGAACCGATCATCTAAAGGATGAAATTGAATGGACGGCACAAAGTCTGAGTGTTTGAAGGTGCACAAGTTATCTTCACGAGTGACGTGCCACAGACGTACGGTCTTATCCATCGACGAAGATAACAGGAAGTTATTCTGGTGGTGTTAGCACTGGGTTTCACAACCTATTTCTCCTGGGCACATACCTTGCTCCAACTCAGATCCAAGATAGTTGCTGTATGACCACTGTACTCTCGGTAGGGCTTTTGCTGAAAGACTGGGGCACTGAGATGTTTAGCCTCGCAAGCAGGATCGCTCTCGTCCGTCTCGTGGGCTCTTCGCTCCTCTGCACTCGATAGAACAGCCCATACCCGGACGACTCGATCTTGTCCACCAGCGGCAAGATATCTCCCGTCCTTACTAAACTCTGTGGCCCATATGGGATTTTTGCTGGCCGCTGATCCTGACTGAGGGGCTGGATTCGACCCGGCAACTGGGGCACTGTTTTTGCCGGCGCCTGAGCGAAGCTCTTGTGCTAGGAACACACGGTCGAACTCCTTCTTTATCTTGAACTTGGTCCGTACTTTGATGTATGCTGGAGGCTGCGGGTATCGTGGGCTGAAGCCAATATTATCGACGTATAGCTGTGCATCCATGCCCTCAGGTCGATGGTCGCCAAAATCCGAGCCATTGTCGCTTGCGCCATCGAGGGTGCTCTTCTTTTTGTTCCCAATGAAGCGGCTCAGAAACGAGACCCCCTTCCTGCATTACGGTCAGATACGGTGTTCGTACCAAAGCTTAGCCTCGATGCTGCGCAAGGCAAGGTAGTTGACAGGCCAACCAAGTCAGCCTGAGAACGATGCGCCAACACGATATACGACACTATACGGCATACGCGCTAGAACGGCAACCTGGCACATCCACTTTCGCGGTCAACCTTGGTATAGGGTCACTTACTTTTTGTCCGCTTTTGTACTCGCACTCATGTCGCGCGGCGATTCACCACTGTGCTTCTTGTCTGGAGTTGCATCTTGAAGCGAAGTCTGCGAATGCGCTGCATAAGACTCTGTGTTCTGAGCTCGCAACTTCTGGATGGCGGTAGACGTAGTTGTTCTCCTCAGGATTTGCTGTGTACAACATACGCGGTCAGCCTCCTAGTGTGCCTCGCCGTGCGCATGACTTGATGGGTACATACTTGCGAAAGTGGATCTATGGACGCTTCAGGCTCGTCGCGACCATCACCGTCTTGTACGTCGTTTGAATGCGCCGGTGAGCCAGGGCTACAAACGTTTGCGACAAGCTTGCCATTGGTGACTACAGACTTGAGAATAAGCGTTCGTCTTGGGTGAAATACAGATTTGTCCTGGTGCTCACCCTCTCCCTTGTTGGTGTGCTTTGCTGCGTCGCGTCTGTCCTGTGGACTTCCAGCGCGGGTGTGTGGGTCTGTCACCTTGAATTTGGGCAATAGATCGGACATAGTTCGCGCGGTTTCATGGATATGCTAATCGTAGAAAGCGTTCGTCTGCCTCGACTATGTACGTGTGCGCAGCAACGGACTGTAGAAGAACAACCGTGGCAAGGGCCTGCGCTGCAATCAACCAAAGTTGGGAGGCCTCACTCTGGTAGCACAAAGTTTGGTTCTCGCGGAATGGCCGGATATCGTGGTAAACAAGGCTATCGATAGACCTCGTATGCACACCACAACGCGTGCCTCTCAATTAAGCAGACGGCAGTCCGAAGCTGGAGACAGGCCTGACCGGTCAGTGTAGATTGCAAGTCGTAGCTGCGGCAGCGGCACGACTTAACTGTAGGTAAGCAGCCCATTCGCCTAGTGCTTGTCGCCTTCCTCCCACGATCACAGCCTCGGGCTTCAGCGCACTAGTGACGTCACAAATCATCAATACCTCGACATCACATCGAGACAGTTTGCATGCGCTGCACGATAACTATGGCCAGGGGCGTGGATTGTCAGACATGTGTGCATTCGCAGTGAAGCATCACATGTCACGAGACACGCGAAATGCTTCGGGCCTTCTTGATGCTTCGCTGGTCAAGCTCATGTGTAGCGTCTTAGTGCAGAAGATCTGCACCTATAATCCGAAAGCTCGTAGTGACAGTGCATGGGAAATAAACTATGTGTTATTGAATAATTGTATTTGATCATTATCTTAAAACCATGGACTATCGTTGTGCGAAACTGTAGCGTTTTGAATACATCGCTCGTGAAAACCACCGACGCCAGCACTCCGGAGTGCAAAAAGAGGTATCAAAAGGAGGAATGTGAAGCCGCCAAGGAGGACATGCACCCAGTCCTAATCCTACAACGCAGAGAGGAATCAATATGCAAATGGAGGTAATCCAGTACCCCATGCCCAGACTCCAAGAAGTATACAGCGCGAGATTGTGGCAATATGGCAAGTAAGCAAAAGGTAAGAGGGCGAGGCATCTAGAAGTCTTCCTCGAAGTTGAAGTCTCCTGATGTACCCTGCTCCTCTGCAGGCGGCGATGAGCCTTCTTTCTGCTCCTGCTTCTTTGTGCTAGCCATGACACCAGCCTTCTGGTAGTCGCCGACGCGCTTCTCGAAGAAGTTTGTCTTGCCGGCGAGCGAGATGTTCTCCATGAAGTCGAAGGGGTTGGTGGCGTTGTAGTACTTGGGGTTGCCAAGGGCCAAAAGCAGACGGTCGGCGACGAATTCAATGTACTGGCACATGAGGGTGGCGTTCATGCCGAGGAGTGCGCAGGGAAGAGCATCCGACAGGAACTCCTGCTCAATTGTGACGGCCTCAGTGATGATGGCCTCGACAGCCTCCTTGCTTGGGCGGTTGTTGAGGAGAGAGAAGAGCAGGCAGGCGAAATCTGTGTGCATGCCCTCATCGCGAGAGATGAGTTCGTTGGAGAATGTGAGACCGGGCATGAGGCCGCGCTTCTTCAACCAGAAGATGGAAGCGAAGGAGCCACTGAAGAAGATACCTTCGACAGCGGCAAAGGCAACGAGACGGTTGGCGAAAGTGGAGTTCTTGTCGGAAATCCATCGCAGGGCCCAGTCGGCCTTCTTGCGGATGCAAGGAACTAGAGCGTGTTAGTCTGAGCATTGTGAAGGCTGCAGTGTATAGACTTACTGTTGTCAATCGCGTTGAACAGATATGTGCGCTGCTTGGGCTCGCTGATGTATGTGTCGATGAGAAGAGAGTAGGTCTCGGCGTGGACATTCTCCATCATGATCTGGAAGCCGTAGAAGCATCGTGCCTCAGGGATTTGTACCTCGCCGGAGAAGCGCTCGACAAGGTTCTCGTTGACGATGCCATCGGAGGCAGCGAAGAAAGCAAGGACGTGGGAGATGAAGAAGCGCTCGTCGTCGTTGAGACGCTTGTTCCAGTCGTGGAGATCCTTGGAGAGATCAATCTCTTCGGCAGTCCAGAAGGAAGCCTCGGCCTTCTTGTACATTTGCCAGACCTGTGAAGGATGGTATTAGTCTGGGTCCGTGTGAAAGCCAATTGACGCGTGTTGGAACGCGTTGGACGCGTCGTAGACTTACATCATGGTACCTGATAGGGAAAAGGACAAAGCGCTGAGGGTTCTCTTGTAGAATAGGCTCGTCCGACTCCTCAGGCTTGATGGTAGCAGCAACAGAGTGGAACTTCTTCTCGACCTCGTCTGCTGTCTCGTCTTCCAGGTCAGGAATACCGACAATGGGCTTGTAGGTGTTCTCCTTGTCTGCAGACGAGAAGTCAAGCTTCTTTGCTGGTGAATCAGACATCTTGAGTGTGTTAATTGCCGAAGCAACCTGCGTGCGCGTTAGTAAAGACGCGTCGACAAAATATTGTTCGAGTTACGCGTACCTGCTTGGATGGTGTGGACTGGAGGGCCGACATTGCGTAGAAAACGATAATTTGTGCAGCGCTGTGATGTATGTGACAAAGCGACCGAAATGTCTAGAGTACACGCGGTAGTAGGAAGGCGAGTGCTGAAGCTGTTGATGTCGAGTATCTGGGTTGAGAACCGCGTCTCCTTAAGAAGCGGAATCTAGGATGGCACACGTGATGCCGTGACGAAGGCGTAAAAACGCGACAGACAAGGGTGGGGCTCGGCTTCAGGCTGGGCCGCTATGACGAGTAGAAACACCACAGCTGCCTGGTGATTCCGATTGCATGCTGCTTTAGTATCAACATCGCAAGTCTATCAAGTTCACTGCGAGCATTTCAACGAACCCCAATTTATGCCCTTGACTGCTTTTCTATCACCTCAATTCCCAGAATGAAGCTGTTCAGTCGCGACACCCCAGCCACGGGTCGCGTTGAACCGTGCAGACGCGTTTCTCCACGAACGCGCTTTGGCCGTCCACAACACTGGCCACCCCAAGCACGTTCTGTTCCGCCTTGCGTTAGTCCGGCCTGTGGCGGCTGATTCAGGGCTTGGAAATGCGCAATTTGGGCTCCATTGACCGCACCATCCGCTGCATTGTGCACCCTCTGTCGGGTCCGCGCAATCTTCGGATCTGATAAAGATTGATCTTTGTCACTGATGCCCCACAGCGGAGACCCATCACATGCATTTGAGGGTGACCATGCTCCGAACGCGTTTGTAGACGCGTATGGAGCTCGGAAGCTCAGGCTGTTGAGACCAGCTCTTTGTGTCACAACAGTCTTTGCGCGGATCAAGGACGCGCTTTGACAGCCTCCAGGGTCGTGACAGCGACTTGGCATACTCAAAGGACCTGTAATACGCATCTGCCTTGGGTTGTGACTTTGCATAGGCAGCCAGTAAAGGGTCATGACACGATCTGTTGTGCAAGATCTTTGCTTCGTCATCTTGACCTGTACATGTTTACCCTCTACTGTAGGTTCTTGCTTACGCGTAAAGCTATGGGGACTCAAACGCCGGGTCCGGGTAAATCTTCAGGCGTTAATCTACTATATAGGCATCAATAGCTTACATTGCTTGAGGTATGCAAATCTCGTTCCTCTTCACAGGAGGTTTCATGTGCACAACAGACCGGGTGTGCGGCGCGTCACTGAGGCTTAACTGGAGTGGCGGTCGGTCACCCCGCCATTGATTGGGCAATGAACACAAACCAGGGTCGGTCCTCCTTCGCTCGCTGCTGGGCATTCTAAGACGAACTACTTTTCTCATCAGGCCTGATCATCGATGCTCCAGATTACAACAGAGTTCTCCATATCCAAAAATACTATTGCAGCTCTTTCGAACCTCGAAATCTGACTCGAGTCTGTTCGCTACCATGCCAAGCGCCCCCCCGTATCCGCTGCGGCTGAGCCCGCGCAGTGCAGCCTTGTCCAGCACTGCTCTTCACTGCGCTGAACTCTCCACTGGATTGGAATGATATACACTTGATTCAAGCAACATGTCGCAATACAACCACATGCCCCCGCCGGGAGCATACGTCCCACCGAATCAGAGTCAGCACACGCCTCCACCACAAGGCTATGGTGCCCAACACCAGCAACAGGGTTACCAGCAACCGCAAGGTGCGACGGCAGGCCAGCCGTCAACGCAAGGATATGGTCAGCCTAGTCAGCCGTACAAAGGCAGTGGGGGATCCTTTGGCCAGATGATGAACCAGGCGGTCACGACCAGCAAGCCAATGCTGAACAAGCTGAGTAAGACCATAAGCTCAAAGCTAGGGAGCAAGCCGTCCACAGCAGGGACCCCGCAGCATCTACAAAGCTACCAGAACTACCAACAACACACCAGCCAACAGGCTCAGACTCATACACAGCCACAGAGCCAGGCGTTCAATCCCCACGCGCAACAAACGCAGCACCAGCCGCAAGCACCGAATGCTTATCCTCCGCAACAAGCACCTCCGCAGCAGCCGAACTATAGCCAAGGACAAAGCAATCACTTTGCGCAACAAACAACACCGACGACGCAGACGCCGTATGCCCAAGCTATCCCATCGTCGCAATCTCAACAGACAAGCTACAACCATGCTCAGTTCACTCAGGGGGGCAACACAGTTGGAGAGCAACAAGTCCAAGGAGGGCAATACCACCAAGAGCCGATGAACCATGCTCAGACGCAGGGACAGTATCAGCAACAACCTGTACAGGCTCAGTACACAGGTCAACAGGTAGGGGTTGTAGGAGGCTCTCAGCACTTTCAACAGTCGAATCCGCAATCACCCCAAATACCTGCTGTCTCACCACAGTCGCCAGCCCCACAACAAGCACCATGGCAGAACTCTCAACTTGGTTCGGAGCAACCTCCAGTCCCCAATCATCCGCAGCAGCCGCCAGCCACCACCGCTCATACACCATCGTACTTTCCAAGCATGAATGCACAGGCCCATTCGAACAGCAGCCAACAGTGGATGCCCTTGTCTCCTGTAGGCTCTGAAGGCCCTCAGCACCAGCTTCCACAAGGCTCGATCAGCTCCCCTCCCCCGCCAGCGCATAGCATATCGCCCGTAATGCCAAGTGTCTCGCCACATCAATCCCAAAGTTCGACTCCTGCCCCACCACCCGTCGCTGCCAATCCCGGGCCGCCCACAGCTTTTATCGCCGAGTTGCCGGCTGATTTGGGCAGCTTGAGAATTGCTGAGACAAAGCCTGTGCAGACTAACTCAGCATCGGTCCCTGGACAAACGTCACCGTACCAGGCCTATCAGTCATCGCCTGCACAGGCGCCATCATCTCCAGGCTTTACCATTGCCCGCCGAGCAGTGAGCATAAGCAATGCACCATTTGCTGACCCATGGCGGTTCGCTGATCCTCTGACCGAGCTTCCTACGCGAGAGTTCTACGTCATTGCCGACTTGCTCTTCGAGGCGATGGATAGGAAGTTTGAGCCACACAATACGGGAATGCTGGAAGCTAGCAAGATATTGAGGAGCTGGGTCGATCTAACGGACGAGGTTTTGCAGCTGTTTTCTTACCGCTGTTACAGCGCTTTCGGCAAGCTCTGGAGTCTACAAGGGATTCCACATGTTATGGTGCCCTACCAGCCATCGCTGATGCCAATATGGAACTTCGACCGGCACTCACATGCTCAGGAGCTAAAGCTTTCGTCTGTTCTTACGCATGCGGCGGTTGGTACTACATACATGCCGGCATTGAACCGCGCTGGGTGGTACAAGCTTTTCTTTCTTGAAATGATGCACGGTCCGGACAATATCAACAAGCTGCTGTCGGCGCTCTGTTCCGAGACCTATAAGCCAAGAGTCCTTCACCATCCGGACCTCACCAAACGAGACAAAGCAGAGGCCCCTGCTCTCCAGGCTCGGGCTACTGAGATTCAGAACGCGGCTATCAACCAGGTTTGCAATGAGATCAAAGCTGCGATGCTAGCTGAACCAGATGTCTGAGCGCCATCTGGAAGGACTGAATTTCGGTACTACATTTGTGAGGTGATCGCGAAGGTTGTTTTGGTCTTGGACCTCTTGGCCTGCGCACTCCATATACCACGTTTAGCATTAGCAATTAATCTGTATTGATGGGTTTCAATCGATGCCACCTCCTGATTGCGTGCATATGTAGTGCATGCTTAGGCTGGACACGCCGTCCTAGCGGCAGGTACAAGTGGCGGGGACTAGCGTCCCGACGCGTGTATCGTCCCGTCTTATGATGAATATCAAACCGCTACGCGTTATTGAGTTCAACGAAGACAACGTGTTGAGGGCTCCCTCCTTACTCATTTGTGTAGCTTTGGACACGAGGCATCTAGTCTGGCCCAACATGGCCTGTGACTCTCCGCAAAGATAACGATTTGCAATCTCCGTCGCCAGGGCAGGGGTCCTGGCATTCGGGTGGCTGTGCACCTGCCCAAATGCAGCGCTCGATCTGCAGGCACGACAGGTTTTTGGCGGCAGGGTCCCTTCCTTGCTTGCTGTTTGTGTTGCACAACAAAACCGCCGGTTGCGCATGCCAACCTCTTCTTGAATTCTCCAGCCATTCTCTCTACTACAGCTTATCAACATCGATTTCCCGCAGCACTGTGCCGATACTTCCATCTCAACTATTCTGCGGCACTGTAACAGTCACGCATTTGTCGCTAGTGCTATCGAAGATCATACACGACATCTCCTTGTACGGGACGCGCTCGGACATCCGCTCTCACGATGCGCACTTCAAGCATCCTCGCTCCGCTTTTCTTCGCCGCCTCATCCCTGGCTCAGGCCGTTGAAGAGGGCATCGAGCCATCCACCCCTGCACCAGCTGGATGCCTGCGAACTGTCGAGGGGAATTTCACAATCGGCGTAGAGAACTTCTTTGCACCAAGATCTAAGCGCGAAACCGCCCAACAGGTACGAAGCATGATGCAGCCGCGCATGCAGTGCTGACTTCAATACTACAGGCTGCCGATGGAGCGCTCCTCTGCACACTCGAGGATGGCATTCTCCGTGATCAGTACAGCCGTACTGGTTCTGTTGTAGCTAACCGCCAGTTCCAATTCGACGGCCCACCACAGGCTGGTGCTATCTACACTGGAGGTTTCGCGGTATGCGAAAATGGATCCCTTGCCATCGGTGGCTCGACAAGATGGTGGCGATGCATGAGTGGTGCATTTGGCAACCTATACGACGAGACTATCGGCGACCAGTGCACTGAAATCAGGATTGTTGTCGATCTGCTCAACGACCCTTCGCCTTCCAGCTCGGCTGTCCCATCAACCAGCGCCTCAATCAGTTCGAGACCTACCGGAGGGGCAAGTATCACTTCGTCATCCTCCACAGCTGCTTCGCCTTCGGGCGCTTCGAGTGCTGTGAGCAACGGCACCTCGTCAGCTTCTGCAGGCTCTACCTCAGGAACTGCTACAACATCGGTCTCTTCTACCGGGTCGTCGAGCGCCTCTGTGACAGAGTCTGCATCCGGAACCTCGTCGGCGACTGCGGGTGGTGCGGCCCCTCCTGCGGAAGGCGGTGCTGCTACATTCATCAGCACACAAGGGACCGTTCTCGGAGCGCTGTTGACGGTGTTCGGTGCTGCCCTGATCCTGTAAGCTGCAACAGCGTACAAACGATCCAGGACCGCCCATTGCACAGGAGTTCGGCGTTTTGTTTCCGGATAGCATCACTTGTACAACATTCTGCATCAGAGCACGAATGATTTCACGACACGACTCTTGCCCAGCGATTTGTTCAATCCTTTGCGATACCACGTACCCGTCCATTCTACCACACTTGCATATACCAACTGGAAGATCGCTGCGTTGTGGAGTTCTCACGTGTAGCCGCATTATATTCACCAGAGAGGTGGTCATCACAGGGTGTAAGCTGCTTCAGCCTTCGCTCGTCCACTGTATAGAAACACACTAGTATTCACATTAGTAATGATAATTCAGACACACATCAAAGACGCCTTCAGTTCTACATCAATCATGCACATATCACAACGAAGACGATCCCCACCTTCTACGCGGACAGCTTTGATGATATCATACCATCAGGCCGCACGAACTACCTAGGCATGGTTTTTAACGGTCCTTCTTGGACTCTGCCAAGAAAATAAAATAAACATCTCAGACCCGAAAAAGTAATTCTCGCGGCACCTTAAGTAATGATTGTCAGCTGTCGAACCACTACGATGCAGTCTATATAATAGTCGCCCAGTGTTTGACGCCTCCGATTTGGGAACGCTAGGAAGACCACGGACCTGCCTCCGCCATTCCTTTTCTGGGCGCATCACCCAACTCGGATGATCGCCCTGATCGTGACAATCGATGCGGATATACGGCAGTAGGGACTTACTGGCCTCGTTAGCACGCTTTCACATCAGACCCTAGAACGAAGAAACAATAGTGGGATCTTAGTCATAACGGGCAAGATCTGGCTGTAGCTTTATAAGGTTCCGGGGTGTGCGGGAGTCCTGCGCTATTAGACGACGCCTCTAGATCACGCCTCAGGTACCGTTGTTTCAACGACGTCTGTGGCTGTGGTTGCCTTTAGGGACGCCCCTTTGGCTGTCTTTGTGGATGCTGTCTGATACGAAAATGATCTGGTGCTGGTTGTCAACACGCTGACATGAGCACAGCAGAAGGCTCGAACGATTTGAGTGCTGCAAGGGCTTCTAGCCAAACCATCAGGCGCTGTGTAGGTGGCAGCGTGCAGGAGTTCCGTGGAGCTAGTATACGATTATCGATCTTGGCGCAGGTACCAGACCGGAGCACACTGCGCGAGGCGATCATTCCTTGACAGGCACCAAACTTTCGACGTGGTGCATGCTGCCCAGAAAATGTCAGCCAATATAGCTTCACCGAATTCCTGGAAGAGAAAGAGGACATATATAAGAGAGCAGGTCGAATTGAGACGACGTCTTGACCTTAGCTCACCATCTTCGTAGCCAAGGTGCAGAACCAAGATGCGTAATTATCTAACTTCGATTCCTTTGTTCGCCCTACTTGTCTCTTCTATCCCAGTTGCAGAGCACGACAAAAGGCAGAATGCTGAATTCGACTATGTGATCATCGGTGTACGTCGTCATCACCATTCGGCCAGACCCGCGTATTAACGTCTCACCAGGGCGGTACAGCTGGTCTCACACTCGCCAACCGATTGTCTGAAGACAGCACTGTTCAAGTCGCTGTGATCGAGGCCGGCACCTTTTATCAGGTTGCCAACCCAGCCCTGTCCTCTACCCCAGCTGGAGATGTCATCTGGGCAGGTTCTAGCCCTGCAGACCAAAATCTTCTGGTCGACTGGAACTTCATCACCACGCCTCAAGCAGGTGCCAACAACAGGCGGGTCAAGTATTCCCGCGGCAAATGCTTGGGTGGAAGGTATGCTCTACTAGTCTTCTCTGTGTCGTGTCCACTAACCTAGGCAGCTCGGCTCGTAACTTCATGATCTACCAGCGTGGAGATCGGGGCTCCTACCAGAAGTGGGCAGATGAGGTCGGGGATGACTCCTACACGTTCGATAACCTCCTGCCCTACTTCAAGAAGTCTGTCAAATTCACTCCACCCAACACCCGCCTGCGTGCCGCCAATGCTTCGGCTGAGTACCGCGCAAGTGCCTTCGATGCGAATGGTGGTCCTTTGGATGTCTCGTACGCCAACTATGCAGGTCCATTTTCAAGCTACATGGAGGGAGGCATGAACGGGATTGGTATCCCAACCAGGGACGACTTCAACTCGGGAGATCTTCTTGGAGCTCAGTACTGCAGCTCAACCATCACACCCGGTAACCAGAAGCGAGCATCGAGCCAGACGACTTTCCTTGAAGCTGCGAAGAACCGCCCAAACCTCAAGGTCTACACCCTGACTCAAGCCAAGAAGATCATCTTCAACAGCGAGAAACGGGCCACTGGCGTCCAGATCCCCGGATTGTTCGGCTCAACTTCTGTCCTGACCGCCAGGAAAGAAGTCATCCTCTCAGCCGGTGCCTTCCAGTCCCCTCAGCTACTCATGGTCTCCGGCGTCGGTCCCGCCGAGCAACTGAACAAGTTCAGCATCCCCGTTATCGCCGACCGCCGCGGCGTAGGCAAGAACATGCAGGACCACATCTTCTTCGGCCCCACGTACCGCTACAAAGTCGAAACCTTCACCAAACTCGCAAACGACCTGCTCTACGTCGGCGCCCAGTTCGCCTTCGACTACAGCATCTTCAAGCGCGGGCCCCTCACAAACCCCGTATGCGACTATCTCGGCTGGGAGAAGGCGCCCAGGGACCTGCTTTCGCCCGCCGCCGCCGCAGTGCTGGACCAGTTCCCCGCGTCGTGGCCGGACATCGAGTACCTCTCTGCGCCCGGCTACATCGGCGCCTTCTCCAACCTGCTCGCCACCCAGCCCAAAGACGGCTTCCAGTACGCGTCGATCCTGGGCGCCCTCGTGGCCCCGCTGTCCCGCGGCTCCGTAACCCTGACCTCCGCCTCCGTCGACCAGCTCCCCGCCATCGACCCGGGCTGGCTCACCGACCCGACCGACCAGTCCGTCGCGATCGCAATCTACAAGCGCGTGCGCCAGGCCTTCGCCACGGATGCCATGAAGCGCGGGCTCGCAGATACGAGGGAATACTTCCCGGGCCCGGGTGTGCAGTCCGACGCGCAGATTCTGAGCACGATTCGCAACACGCTGATGACGGTGTGGCATGCGAGTTGCACGTGCAAGATGGGGAAGACGGATGATCCGGATGCGGTGGTGGATAGCAGGGCGAGGGTTATCGGGGTGCAGGGGCTGAGGGTCGTGGATGCGAGTTCGTTTGCGCTGTTGCCGCCGGGGCATCCGCAGTCGACGGTTTATGCGCTTGCGGAGAAGATTGCTGATGATATTAAGAATGGACGTTAAACTAGGTTTTGGGGATTTCGGATTTGGACAGGAGAGGATGAAGTTCGATTCTTAGTATATTTTATCTTTGCAAATGTATCACTGTTGACAGAAAAACACTATAAGAAAATGAAGTTTAAGTCTTGGAGTATTGTATTTTCGAATTTGTATTGCAGAACATCATGGAATGGGTATCATTTGACGAGGACAGAACGATGTGGAAATGCATCAAGAGCGGCTAGACCTCTTGTCTGGCCTTCTCTTCCGCTGCTGCGGCCGCCGCAGCTCTACGCTCCATCTCTCGCAAACAAGGCGCCTCGACCAGCTTTCCAAAGCACAGATTCTTCACTGTCCCAGCAGCCACTACACCCCAAAGTAACATGACACTGACTGCGAAGACAGTGCCCAAAATCCTGAAGAACGCCGACGGCAGCTCTTCTCCAATCGTGATCGTCGACATGGTGAACACGCCGACTGGGAAAGTAAAGCCCCACCATCCCATGTTGAAAGGAAACCTGCTTCGGCTGATGGACGCAATGGCGAAGAACAGCCACACCAGCCCAAAGCCCCAGAGGATCATAGCCACCGCCCAGCCGAGAACATACAGGATCTCGCCGGACATCGAGTGCAGCATCCCCGTCTCGGGGAAGCGCTTCGCGGCTTGGATACCGAGCTGCATCACCGCATACCCGCCCTGACCCATCGGCCCCAGCGGAAGAAAGACGCTGACAATCACCTCCTGCGGCGGCAGCTTATGAATCGCCAGACGGTGGAAGTACATGGTCAGCACCACCATGGCGAGCGGCACGCCAACGCCCCACAGCACATAGCTCGTAACAATCGTAACAACCGCATGGTGCGGATCCGGCAGCACCGCGGCCACGACGCCGCCCGACGCCGCTGCAACAATCGGCGCGACAATGGGCAGCAGCCACGCCGCCGTCATCGTCTCGTGGCGCGTCGTGTGCGTCGTCATCATCTGGAACGGCAGCCACAGACAGCACGCCAGCGACACGGCAACGTCGATCCACCACAAGCCCCACGCGACGTAGGGCGCGCGGCCGCCCCACGCGGGGACGCACAACGCAACGAAGAGGTTGATCAGCGTCGCGAAGCCCATGGGCAGCGTGCCGAGGAACAGCGACTGCACGGGGTGCTGCAGCATGAGGGTCCAGGTGGCGGGGTACAGCGTGTAGCGCAGGATGCTGATGGCGAAGATGAGCGCGAATAAAACGATGTTCAGGACGAAGAAGACGGTGCTGAGGATGTTGAGGGGCGTGTGGAATGAGGGATAGAGTGTGGATAGCGCGTGGAAGAGGATGCCGACGATGCCGGTGCCCATTGTTACGGCGAACTGGTGGTTGTTAGACGGGATGCGAGGAGGTGCTTGGGAGGCGTACCCATGATGGCGTGAAGTTTTGTACTATGCGGCGCCAGCCGCGACGGTCGGCTGGAATGAGCCATGCGGGTAAGCCTTCAGTGCTTGAACATGCCAGTTGCTGTCGAAGTTGGCACGGTGTAAGTTGACGAGGCTGGTTTGGACATGTTGCCTCGACGGCAGTGTCGTTTGAGCGCGAGCGGGCTGCTGCCAGCTGGCAGGGCGTCGCCATGACTGTGAATGATGGAAGGTATCAGGCGGTTTTTGAAGTTGGCGAAAAGAAGTAGCTGTCGTAGTTGAGTTCGAGTTCAAGGTCTGATATTGAAGGAAGACACGCGGACTGGAGGCAGCTGCAGAAGTGAAGGCAAAATGAAAGTGAAATCGATCTATACTTATTCTACCGCTCAGCTTCTGAACAGTCACAAAGCTTCTACATTTGCCACGATTCCATCACCCTTCGGCCAGCTCGGCTCACGATTCTGAAGCTTCTACAGCGTATTTGCCCGGACCGTCGGCGACAGTCCGAAATGCCTCACAAGACACGGTCAGTGTCACAGTCATCCGGTTTCTCTCACGTAAAACGTTGCTAAGTAGTCGGCGACGCATTCCTTGCTAAGCAGGAAGATTGTAGGAAGATCTGGGGCTGCTGTAGACGCATGATTGCGTGATCGCTAAGGCGCATCCAGCGGGCCTAGGCTGCTTTGGGTGTGCGATTAGATCTCGGAGCCGAGGCCTCGGGTTTTGGACAACACCATCTAACACTACCATCTAAGAGTAGATCGCAACGGAGCTTGTTCATGGGAACTCCAATGGATACTTTTATTGATAACTGGGGAGCTTACACATACGACTGCAGTCAGATCCTTTCTGCTTAAAGATCGAAGTAGCTTCAGGCGTGACTGTGTATCGTATCTGAAATTGCCTGCAGATAAGTGCGAACGCTGCAGACGACTCTTCGGGCCTGGATATTCATATCAAACAGGTCTGCAGCTCCCGGTACCACTGGCTCTGTGATGAACTATATAATTCTCGGACCCCTGCACTCTTACCTGGCAAGTGATGAGGCTGTCCGAGACGACCGGCCACAGGTCTACAAATCCTCCAGGGAAAAGGCAAATGGTCTACACTTTTACTCGACCTCAGGCTTGGCAATATCCAAACCATCAATGACGCGCCAGAAACTTGCCTCAGCTGAGGTGAAGGCAGCTGTGTTACCGTATTAGGAAACTACCGCATTAGGAAGGTATGCTTTACCGTCGATTGCTGGCGTTCACTTTGCCCGTGGAGAGCTTGGCGCACCTTACTAGCGCGGTGTCGAGACGGCGCGATTACCTCGCTTAGCCCGCACCCGAGGATCGGCCGGCTGCAATATTGAATCTCATACCGCAACCTCACCACCGTGAACGCCCCAGCCCACGCACGCCCGCTAACCCGTCTCCGACAGCCAACTTTTGTCAGTACGCCCGCGGCCTGCTGCTACGGAAATCCCAACTGACTGGCCGCTGCAGCGTCACCGAAAACTCCCAATCCACACATCATGTCTCACGAGTCGGTCTGGTACTCCCGCCCTAGGACCTACGGCAAGGGCTCCCGCGAGTGGTACGTTGCGACGAGAGCGCGGAACTGCGACTGCAGCGCGACGGGCGAGCAGCGCGCAGGAAGCGCAGGCAATAGAAGGACTCGGCTGACATGACACAGCCGCGTGTGCACCCACCCCGCCGGTCTGATCCGCAAGTACGGCCTCAACATCTGCCGTCAGTGCTTCCGCGAGAAGGCCGCCGACATTGGCTTCGTCAAGGTACGCCTCCACCACTATTGCAGGCCCCCGCGCTGCACGCCCCGCGCACGCACACACCTGCTAACACGCCCCAGCACCGTTAAATGTATCCACGATTCCACGACCGGAGGAACGCGGCGCAACGGCGCGAGGATCCCCGCCACGACGCGGCCCGCGCTCGCACGAGCAGACTATGACGGGCGCGTCGTATGGGGATGGACGCGGGCGGTTCGGGGTCTTGTGAGAGGCGCCGGGCGCCGGAGGCGTCGTGTGGCTGCTAGAACAAAATGACATCCTGATACCAATGCAAGGGTGCTGGCTGTGACTCGAACGTGCTATGTGCCGTGGCGTGAAGAGGGGTGGGTGTGGTGATGTGCAGTGGATGCTGATGAGGTGCTTGGGATGCTAATAAGGTGCATAGGATGATGAGGTGCTTGGGATGCTAATACGGCGCATAGGTTGACGCGGTAGATGCGCGGTGCCGGGGCCGGGTGTGCTATAAACTGGCCCCAGCCATCACGGTGCTCGACGCATACACTCGGGTGCTCACTCGTGCAGGACCACTATACCCTCGCCCAATCACGCTGGGCTTGCCGGACTCGATGCTTCTGTGCTTGCCGGAATTGACGCATCTGTGCTTGCCAGGACCCGGGATTCTGACTGCAGTGAACTGCATGGTTGATAGCTGCAGATGCCAGGCTTGCAACCAAACCAGACAACAGCTGTTTGGCCAGTTCGGGATCATAGGACACGGAATGGGTTGATCACGGGAGGCGGATTCACATCTCGGTTTTACATTGCAGTGATCTGGTTACGTCGGCACTCATTGTCTGTCTCGCACATCTCAAGTCATCTTTCTATATCCTCCCTCTCACCCGTCTATCCCACCCCCCATCCCCGTCCCCCCCACACACACTCCCCATGAACACCCCCCACGCACCTACAGCGCCCACCTCCCAAACCACTCCAGAATCAACGGCGTAGCATCCCACGTCGTCGGCCCACCGCGCAGCGTCTCAAACGGCTCGCCCTGGTTCTTCACACTGGGCCAGCCGTGCCCAAACCCGTCGATCGCACGATGCACCACCGCGTCGACACCCCCACACGTCCACGTGCTCTCCTGCACAGTCCCGGCCTCCGCCTCACGCACCCGCGGCGCCCCGCACCCGTTCCGCGCCGCCCACGAGCCAACCCACTCCGGCACGGGAATACTCGCCGGCGGCGGCACGTTGGTCCCGTTATACGCGACCACCGCGTCCGCGCGCCCATGCATATTCAGATACGGCAACTTCCTCCCGCCGAGAGCGGGCTGACACGCGCCCTCGAACAGCGGCGCGGGCGTGCTGGCGTCCGGGTAGAAGGCACCCGCCACGGTGGCGAAGGCCGCGAAGCGCGTGTTGAGCACGGGATCGCACATCAGCAGCCCGGTCAGGCCGCCGCCGTTGGACAGGCCGGCGGCGTAGAGGCGCGAGGGGTCTAGGCATAGGGTTGAGGTTAGGTGGTCGAGGAGCTCGGTGGCGAAGAGGCGGTCGTCGATCTGGGAGGCGGGGGGCGCGAGGGGGTCGCCGAGCCACTGGACCTGCCGAGGGGGTTAGTTCTGCGGCGGAGGAGTCTGGGGAGCGGTGTGTGCGGGCTGGCGCGAGCCCGTTGGGATGATGCGGACTGCTGCGCCTCGAGACCCGCGAGGAAGGGATAGGGTACGTACACCGGGCTCCTGCACATCCAGCCCCTGCGGATACACCACCACCGCCTCAGTATTCCACGCGGGATCCGAAAACCCACTAATCCTTTCCATGCTCCACGCCGGCTGGCTCTGCCCGTGGAACGCCACGATCAGCGGCGCCGGCTCGTCGTTGCTCGCGTTGTACCCCGCCGGCAGGTGCAGGATGTACTCGCGCTGCGTGGTCGTGCCGATGACGGAGCGCGACGCCAGCGTGAGGTTGTGCGTTGAGGTGCCGGGCGCCAGGTTCGGGGGCAGTGGGGTGCGGCAGCCGGAGGCGGCGAGCGCGGTGGGGAGCGCCAGGAGGGCGAGCGCGGTGGGGAGCGCCAGGAGGGCGAGCGCGGGGGACTTCATTGTGCAGGGGAATTAGATGGTGGGAGAGTGGGTGGTGGCGTGGGAGCAGAGGGGGTTATATAGCGCGGCCATGTGTGCGCAGAGCATTGCCTGCCGTCAGTCTGTCCGAGACAGGCCGCGCGAACGGGGTTGCGAGAATTGGGGTACGAGGGCGCGGTGGTGTTGCGGCTGGGCTGGTGTGTGCATTGCGCCGGCGGAGATGAAGGCCGGTGAAACGGGCCGGGGCGGAAGAAACGTGCGGTGGAAAGCTTCTGGACGGACGAAGCTTGCTCAGCGGCGGCGGCTCGGGGGCGCGAAGACGAGAGGCGGGAAATGAGAGTGCTGGGGCTGTGCTCGCGGTGTGTGGGCATGCAGTGCGGTGGTGTTTTCATGTGTTCTATAGTTAGCGTGCGTTTGAGTGAATGTTTCTCCAACTAGAACACACGCCCAACCAGCTGGTCCTTGGTCTCGCCAATGCCGTATCCCAGTGATCGCCTGAGGATCAAAGTGCCCCTGTGTCATGGTCACCTCCTCCCCCACCCGCGCTTGAAATCGTTAACAGCCTCGACCGCAAACTGAACCTGATCCTTATACAACCGGTGCAGCTTGCGAATCTCGCCCTTGCTCTCCATCTCGTCGACGATCTTGCGCGCCTCCTTCTCCCGGCGGCGGTCGCTCTTCTTGTCGCGCTTGACCAGCTTCTCCGGCGTCAAGTGTCCGTTGCTCTGCAGCCAGTCCTTGACCCAGTCGTTGAGGTGGTAGCGCCAGTGGTGCAGCGTGTGCGCGACCTGCGCGTTGGCCTTGCATGTGCTGCCTAGCGTGAACGTCTTAGAGGCGGGCGGGATGCGGTCGCCGCGGAAGTCGCGCGTGGGCTTCTCGCCGTTGAGGTTGGTTTCGCTGGCGCTGAGCGAGCTGTCCGAGTCGGAGTTGGAGTCGGAGTCGGAGCCGGCAGAGTCAAGCGGCTCGAGCGACTCGGGGTTGTAGGGCGTGCCGGTCAGCGACAGCTCGAAGGTGGCGGGGTGGTTCTTGCGGTTGCATGCTTCGCAGTGGTCGCTTAGGAGTTCTCTGCGTACGCCGCCAATGTCGTTGATGAAGAGATCGGGCCGCGCGTTGATAGCTCGCGTGAAGTCGGACGTCCAGGCTGCTGAGGTGAATTTCGATGACGCGAGACCTTTGACTTCGTCGCCGAGTTTGCGGAAGGTGAGCTCGTAGATCTCGTCGTTGGGGTTGAAGCCGGGGTGGATCTTCTTCATGACCATCCACTCGACAGCGTACTTGAACAGATCCTTTGGTTTCGCGCGTGACATGCTGCTGAACTGCATGGGCAGCTGCGCCTGGTCGTCGTCCGGCTCGCCAATGACAGCGTCTGGGTCGTCGTCGATGAAGCCCGTGTCGTCTTCGTCTTCCTGGAACATGTCTAAGGCATTGGCTTCCCGGTCATCGTCCTCGTCGTCATCTTCGACCGAGCTCTCGGGGTCTCCCACTTCATCGCTGTCTGGCTCCTCCTTGATGATCTCAAGCTCAGAGCCCGAGTCGGACTCAGACTCGACAACGACGCGCGGTTTGCGGGCCGGAGTGGAGGGAGGCTCCTGGGTGCTGCCAGCACGCCGTCTCTTGAGCGCTTCGAGGGCCTCCTGCCGCTTGTTCTTAGGCCGGTCCTGTGTACTCCGCAGTCCGGACGGCGGCGAAGAGCGTAGGAATGCCAGCTCCTCCTTCAGCTCCTCCTGCTCCTCGGCGTCGCTGTCAGCTCCACTGCCGTTTTCTTCCTCTCCCTCGTCTGGAGTTATCTGCTGTGACGTGTCCTCGTCGTCGTCTGGTGCAGCCGGTCGCTTCGTGAGTCTGCGCCGTACGCTCCGCGGTGGTGCAGGCTCCTCCTCGCTCTCCGTCGCCTCTCCCCGCCCAACCCTCCGTCGTTTTCCGGGGACTCTCAGCTCCTCGTCGTCCTCAGACTCAGCCTGCCGCGCCCGCTTCCGCTGTACAACCGTGACCGTGCCCTCATCGCTGCTCTCTGCGCGCTGGCGCTTCCGACTCCCTCGTTTCGGCCTCGTCTTCGGCTTTTCCTCCTCGCTCTGCGACTCGTCGCTCTCCTCGCTCTCTGACTGCTTTCCCCGGCCCCCTCGCCCCGCTCTCTTCGGCTTCTCCTCCTCGCTCTCTGACTGCTTTCCCCGGCCCCCTCGCCCCGCTCTCTTCGGCTTCTCCTCTTCGCTCTGCGACTCCCCGCTCTCCTCCTCCTCACTCGCCCCCCCAACCCCAAACACCCCATCACTCCGCGCCCTCACCGGCAACCCCTGCAACCCCTCCTGCAGCTCATCCTCACTCGACTCACTCCCCCGCCTCAGCCTCCCCTTGGGCGCGATATTGCGCACATCGATTTTCGTCTGCCTTTTGCTCGCGCGCGCGCTTTTCTTCGGCGCGGTGGTTGTAGCCGGCGCAGTTGGTTTCGCGGTGGGCGAGAACGAGAGTTTGGTTTGGCGCTTGGGGGTGGTGCGTTTGCGCGGCATGGCTGCTCGCGCGGTGGAGCGCAGACTGTGAGCGCTGCGGTGTTGTGGTGGATTGCGTGGGCGTGTGGATTTGGTGTGAGTTTGCGAGGTCGGGACGCGGGTAAGAGGGGAGTGCAACAGGCACCAAGTAATAGAGATGTGCAAAAGGCCAAGGGCCAAAAGCTCAAAGCGCAAAGAATGGGTGCTGCGGCCAAGCAGCGCGACGGCGGGGAGAAATCGTCACGGCGTCAGGGTCCAGGCGCGTGCGCGAAAGCAGGTGACCTTGAATTGGTGCTCACCAGGACTTCGCGAGGGAACCTTGACACCTTAGCTCACTTTTCCGTCTCTGTTTTAATGTATCGATTCCATGATTTCAATGATTTCAATGATCTCATACAGCCCTGATGGCCACTGATAAGCCGCAGTCCGACCTAAACGCCAATGGATGATGCAAGTCCGCAGCCCATCCGCACGCACCCAGACAGCCATCCGCCCGCCTCCCGAAGCCTGGAAAACAACACCCACACCTTTACCTCCAGCAACCCTCCCCAGAACACCCCCCTAGTCCTCCCAAGCCTCCAATCCCCACCCCCGCCCCCCCTCCCCAACCCACAACCTCCACGTCCCAAACACAATCCCCTCATACAACTCCCCCCCCGCCCGCCTCGCCTTCGCATGCCACTCGCCCCTCCCCCCCCTCCTCGCCTCCTCCCTCCCCGCCCAAAAACACGTCGCCAGATTCCTCCTATCGCCGCCTAAATCCGCCTTGCCGAACCAATACTTCAACAACCCGCCGCTCTCGCACGCCTCGCGGTGGGATTCGAAGTCCAGCGTGTGGAGGAGGGGTTGGGATGCTGTGGGGTGCAGGGTGGAGTGGAAGGTTACGACGTAGAAGGAGGACGCGGGGAAGGGGAGACGCGTTGTGGTGATGAGGGAGCGTAGGGTGGAGAATACGATAGGGAAGTTTAAGGCCTCGGTGTATGGCGCGGTTGCGTAGTCGGGGCGCGCGGGGGCGAGGGTCGTGAGGGCGAGGGCGAGGAGGAGCGAGGGTGTTGAAAGAGATGAAAGGTCGAGGTAGTGGCCTGGGACGTTGTAGGGGGAGGAGATGAGCGAGGTCGAGTAGGTGGTTGGGTCGGCGGGGTCCGGGGTGGTGTGCGCGGGGGGGAGCTGGAGCGAGGCTGCGGCGGAGAAGCGCAGGAGGTCGTAGTCTTGGGTTATGAGGGCTGGGTTGAGGACGAGTGTGGCGGGGTGGCCTGGGGGGAGGAGTTCGGGGTTCTGGTCTTCTTGGGTTTCGTGGGTTTCCTGGACTTCCTGGATTTCCTGGACTTCTTGGGCTTCCTGGTTCTCCTTGACTTCGGTGGTGACACCCGCTTTCAAAGGCCGTACATCCGCAGTATCGAGTCCACGATACTCAGGCAGCGGTAAATCCCTCGAAGGCGCCATGTCGTCGTCTCTAACCTCGTAGTCTGGAGTCACTGTTTGTATCTCTCCGTATCTCTGCGTACCACAAAACCCCTTCTCCACGCTCACCTCGCAGCTCTTGCTCGACCGGCTCTTCGCAGTGCAGTAAACAAAGTCCGAGGTATGCTTAGTCCAGGTCAAATGTTTCTTCTTCGTGAGTAGCGATTTGAGGTTCAAGTTCCAGCGTTCCTGAGCTCTCGTTTTGCCCTCGTTTTGTGCGCGACCATAAGTGACATGCGCGAAAGCACGCCGAATCACGCAATCCGCAACGCCATCTTGCGCCTTTGGCCGCGCACATTGGTGCCGACGGCGCAGACGGCGGTGCTATGCGTTGAAACACACTCCCCACTCACCGCCAGTTAGTCTACACGCTGTTCTCGAGTGCTCAGTGAATGGTGCGTTGCTTGTCGGTCGGTGGGCTGACGGCTGCGATGCTGCTGATTGGTTACCTGAAGGGTGGAGAGTGGGTTGTGTCTCATAATCATCTGTGGAAAGAATCGCGGATGTGCGCACTGTGTAGCATTCACAGAAGGTAAGGCGATATCGTTATACGTTGTCGTTCGAAGTGAATACCTTGTGACTGACTCTGTGTGGTGTTCTGCGGACCTGGACAACAACCGCAGACTTCAACAACACGAGAAGCGGACCTCCGCCATGAAACGCCGAGACACAGGAGTCGCTGTGCGTGATCGCAGGACTTCACGCGAATCGGCAACAGATGATTGAAAGACGGAGATCAAATTCCGTTCAAATGGGTATCACGGTAAAAACACCCCAAGCCATCCTATCCACACCCCTCCCACCACCCCCCACCAACCCCACCAAACCCCTGAACCCCCGTACAACCACTCCACCACGCTCACGACATAATCTTCGTAAACGCCAGCCTATGCAGGCGCTGGTACCCCATCGGCGCATCCTCCGCAACCGGCACCTCGTACCCATACTCCTCGATACAACAGTCGAAGGGCCGGTTGTCGAGCCTGTTATCGCCCGGCGGCAGCGGGAGATCGCAACTGCGGGCGCGCAGCTGGTCCTTCAGCTCGGCGAGGTTGCCCCAGAGGATGAAGAGCCGCTCGCGTAGCTGTGCGAGGGCGGGCGGGTCGGCGGTCAGGCTGGGTGTGTCAGTGCGGGCGGGGCGGGGGAAGGGACGGGACTCACTCTCGTGCGTGAGGCAGGCCGAGGTACTGCGCCGAGTCGTTGTTGACGAGGACGCGGAGTTGCTGCGGGACGGTGTCGCGCGGGACGTGTGCGTCTTCGAGGAGCAGCACGAAGCCCCATTCCCAGCGGTCCTTCTTGGAGCAGGGCGTCCAGTTGGGGTCGTGCAGGGAGTGCGTGAAGTACTCTAGCTCCGGCGGGAAGAAGTCGACTGCGCGGACACGGGCTCGGTGCTTGCTGTTGACAAAGGGCAGGGTGAGCGGGTTGTGTTTTGTGGCGGTCTTTGTCTGCAAGAAAGGGTTGTTGATGATCTCAGATATCGTAGAGCACTGTTTTTCAGGGAATCCGGCGCGGACTGACATGTTAGCTACGTACTGAGCCCAGTTGTGATGACCTACTGTTCCGATTGACTCCACTGCGCTCAGCTTCCCAGCCCTCTTCCTTCTCCTCAATCGCTTTGAGCTCAGCCTCTTTCTGCTGACGTTGTCTCTGTCTTTTCTCGGCCTTCCTCCGTGCAGATGCTTTTGCAGACGCCTTTTTGGGGACATTGGCGAGGTGGACGGTCCGCTGGGTCAAACGTTGCTGCTCGTAAGCGTGTTTGCGCTGCTTTATAGCTTCTATCGCCGCAGTGTCCGAGAGCTTGCGCACGTCAACCTGGTCCGGTTTTTTTTGGTCTTTGTGCATTGAGCCTTCGAGCACGTTGCGTGGGGAGAACTTGGTGTACACATTCTTCAAAAAGACAAAGTCGCCGTTCTTAAGATGGTCCCGCGCCCACGCAGCGTGAGCATCGTAGAGTCGCACCTCCAGCGTCACTTGCCCAAACGGGCCGGGCCACTCGCGCTTGAAGACCATGTCAGGATCTCGGTCTGGGTCTGCGTACAGGTAGAGAAGCTTGTTGGTCGTGTAGTCTGTGACCTTGAGCTCGACGGTGCCATAGTTGGAGTAGTAGATGTTCAAGACCTCGGCTTTGATGTCGGAGTACTTGTCGAACGTCAGGTCCTGGATCAGAGCTTCCTTGCGCTTGCTGGTGCTCAGCGAAGCGGTAGAAGCATGCTCCTGGAGGGCCCGGGCGGAGCTGGATGACGAATGTTTCAAGGCCAGAACGGCTCTTTCCTCTGCTGCGGAGGGTTCTCTCGCGCCAACGGTGGCTTCGTAGGGCAGATGGTTTCTCCCCCCCAGCATGTAGGCCTGGCTGAACTCGGGCACGGGGATCTTGGCTGCGGGGAAGACGAGCACGGCGCTGGCAGGGTTGCTCACGCAGTCACTGCGGGTATTCCATACACTCAGCTTGAAGTTGCGCAGAATGACCACGTCGCCGGGGCCGGCAATCTTGGGCAGACTGGCCTGGGACGGCTTGAAGACGCGACAGCTCAGGCTGGAGCTGCCGCCAACGGAGCCGGCAGAGAAGTCGTCCTGGATGGTAAAGTTCAGGGCCCAGTCTGTGCCTCTGGTCCTGCTTGGATGCTGCAGGTCCACGACGACGCCCAGCAGGTTGAGGCCCGGGACTCCCGGCCGGACGTCCTTGACGGCGGTGAAGCCAGGCAGGCCCGACATGGCGGCGGCTCGATTGTCATCAGACGCGTGAAAGACTGCACCCGCCGCAAACGCACAATGGACTGCTCTGCGCTGCGGTCACATGCGTGGCGCTGGGCACAAAGGCGCTGCTGCGAATGGCGGCGCTAGCGTCGGGCGCGCTTTGCCGTTTCGGCGGCCGCCTTTTCACCTTGCCCCACGCAGCGGACGACGAAAGTGCCTTTTAATCTCCTGCAAACAAACACTGCCACTGCTGCCTCCCACGCAGACTCTCCCGCCGTCACACCCGTCGCCGCAGACATGGCTGACAAGTACATCCCCGAGCACCGCCGCACGACGTTCAAGGCGAAGAGCGCCTTCAAGCCTGACGAGCTCCGCCGCCGCCGCGAGGAGCAGCAGGTCGAGATCCGCCGGGCGAAGCGCGAGGAGAACCTCGCAAAGCGCCGCGGCATTGGCGGCGGCGCCGACCGGCCCGGCGCCTCGCTGGGCGCTGCGCCAGACAGCGACGACGAGGGCGGCAACATCGAGGGGCAGGTGTGTATGACCCCCGCCACGGCGGCGCTGTGCTAACGCGCCCAGCTCAACGAGGAGCTGCCGCAGATGGTCAAGGGCGTCTTCTCGGAGCAGATCGACGAGCAGATCCAGGCCACGACCAAGTTCCGCAAGCTGCTGTCCAAGGAGCGCAACCCGCCCATCGAGCGCGTCATCGAGACGGGCGTCGTGAGCCGCTTCGTCGAGTTCCTGCGCTCGCCCCACACGCTCGTGCAGTTCGAGGCCGCCTGGGCCCTGACCAACATCGCCTCGGGCTCGGCCCAGCAGACGCAGGTGGTCATCGAGGCCGGCGCCGTGCCCATCTTCGTCGAGCTGCTCAGCAGCCACGAGCCGGATGTGCGCGAGCAGGCCGTGTGGGCCCTGGGCAACATCGCCGGCGACAGCCCCGCCTGCCGCGACTTTGTGCTTGCGGCTGGTGCCCTGCGCCCGCTGCTGGCCCTGCTGGGCGACAGCCGCAAGCTGAGCATGCTGCGCAACGCCACCTGGACCCTCAGCAACTTCTGCCGTGGCAAGACGCCGCAGCCCGACTGGCAGACAGTAGGTTTTCCTGTCATGCACTGCCATACACCCCCACTAACGTCCCCAGATCCAGCCCGCCCTGCCCGTGCTCGCCAAGCTCGTCTACTCGCTCGACGACGAGGTCCTCATCGACGCCTGCTGGGCCATCTCCTACCTGTCCGACGGCTCCAACGACAAGATCCAGGCCGTCATCGAGGCCGGCATCCCGCGCCGCCTCGTCGAGCTGCTGATGCACGCCTCCACCTCGGTCCAGACCCCTGCGCTGCGCTCCGTCGGCAACATCGTTACGGGCGATGACGTCCAGACCCAGGTCATCATCAACTGCGGCGCCCTGCCCGCCCTGCTCTCGCTGCTCAGCTCCACCAAGGACGGCATCCGCAAGGAGGCCTGCTGGACCATCTCCAACGTCACCGCCGGCAACTCCACCCAGATCCAGGCCGTCGTCGACGCCAACATCATCCCCCCGCTGATCCACCTGCTGCAGAACGGCGACTTCAAGACCCGCAAGGAGGCCTGCTGGGCCATCTCCAACGCCACCAGCGGTGGTCTGCAGAAGCCCGCCCAGATCCGCTACCTCGTCCAGAGCGGCTGCATCAAGCCGCTGTGCGACCTGCTCGCCTGCCCCGACAACAAGATCATCCAGGTCGCTCTTGACGGGCTTGAGAACATCCTCAAGGTCGGCGAGATGGACAAGGAGGCTGCCGCCGACGGCGCCGGCGAGCAGATCAACCGCTACGCCCTCTTCATCGAGGAGGTCGGCGGCATGGAGAAGATCCACGAGTGCCAGAACAACGCCAACGAGGAGATCTACATGAAGGCCTACAACATCATCGAGAAGTACTTCTCCGACGAGGAGGGCGACGCCGAGAACATGGCCGAGACCAACCCCGCCGTCAACCAGGAGGGCCACTTCGGCTTCGGCGCCGGCAACCAGGCGCAGCAGCCGCAGCAGAACTTCAACTTCGCCAACGGCGGCGACTCGATGGACATGTGAGCGGCTGAGTCACTTCACCCCTGCCCGTCCACGCACGTCTGAGTGCTCCCCTGCGCAAGCGAGCCGTAAGAGTTGCCCTGTCAGGCCAGTCTGCCAGAGCCCAACTAGATGACGATCACGCACGATTGATACACGACTTTTGGAAAGTTACGAGAAACGCGCCCACGGGAGTCGGCCATTCGTCGCAATACCCAGTCTCCCCTTCCTCCCCTCTGTTTTTACACAGCATCGAAAGATTCACCGTCTTGTAACCCCACCATGTTTACTATCCGCATCATATCCCAGGCGTTGCGATTTGCTTATCTCTATTGTAAGGTCGATGGGCAAGAATGGTCAGGTTGGCTGGGTCTGTCTGGCGGCTGCACCGCAAGCGAACAGATAACTAAGAGGCACAGCCTGCGTGCCCAACATGTGTAGCAGCTATCCGCTGTGTGATACCGAATGCATCGGTTTTGAAAGTCTTGTCATGTGCATCGTGGTGTTTGTGATTGGCTGTGTGTCAGCACGTGAGGACCCACGTCATCGGCCATGGTAGGCACCCCGCAAGTCGCCCCGGTGCTAGACTTTGACGTCGGGTGTGTCGCGTGAGCTTGGCTTTGTGTATATTGTTTGTGAGCTCTCCTGCAGCAGCTTGACGCAATGTTTGTACTTTGATAAACAGATTTGCACCATGTCTTGGTCCGATGGCGCCATACCGCCCTGACTCCTGACTCTACAGAATGCAGTGTTCGATACATGCCCACACTACCCACGTTATCTCCCAGTATCTACAGTCCCCAGCATACACAGCACCTAGAGGTGACCACGCACCTAGAGGTGATTAAGCACCACCACCATGTGTCGGTTTATGGTCAGCCATCCGCAAGCACGACAGTGGCCCAGACTCACAAGCCGCAGGTGTACAAGGGCAAGGACGAGATCCTCCTCTCGGAGCTGATCCTCAACCCCTCACACTCGATCCTCACCCAGTCCTTCGACTCGCGCCTGCGCCTCGTAAGCCCTCTCCCACCCTCCCCTCCCGCCCAACTCACACCCCCACAGGACCGCCGCCGCCCGCACAACGGCGACGGCTTCGGCATCGGCTACTACACATCCCCCTCGCTCGGCCCCGAACCCTGCGTCTTCACCTCCACGATCCCGGCCTGGAACTGCATCAACCTGTCGCGGCTCGCGTCGAAAACCACCTCCTCGCTGCTCTTCGCCCACGTGCGCGCGACCACCGAGGGCAACCTGAGCGAGCAGAACTGCCACCCCTTCGCGTACAAGCGGCTGCTGTTCATGCACAACGGGGGCGTCGGGTGCTTCAAGCAAATCAAGCGGCGGCTCGCGCTGAGTCTGGGCGAGCAGTGGTTCACCCTCGTGCAGGGCTCGACGGACTCGGAGTGGGCGTTTGCGCTGTTCCTGGACGCGCTGGATAAGGCGGGTGTGTCGCCCGACGCCGACCCGGGGCCGGGCGGGTTCGGGCACGCGGTGCTGCGGCGCGCGATCTTGGTGACGATTGAGCGCATCAACGGGTTCATCCGCGACGTGGTGGGCGAGGCGAATATGGGGAATGAGGATAGTAGGAGTCTGCTGAATTTCGCGGTTACGGATGGCGAGAGCGTGGTGTGCACGCGCTACGTCAGCTCGGCGACGGACGAGGCTGCGAGTCTGTTTTTCTCCAGCGGGACGAGCTGGAAGCAGCAGGACGCGCCAGGGACGGATGTCGAGGCCGGGGAGCGCAACTACGTGATGGAGCGGCGCGACAAGGGGTCGGACATCGTGCTTGTGGCCAGCGAGCCGCTGACATTTGAGCGCGGTGTGTAGCCCCCATCAGCCCTTCATCAGCCTTTCAACATCTCGACGTACCCCGCTAATACCATCTAGATAACTGGGTAACAGTCCCCACAAACAGCACCCTCACCATATCCGCCCAAACCGTCATGATCCACCCCATCATCGACGCCTTCTACTCCCCCAACCCCGCCCACGCGCGCTCCGCCGGCTTCGCGCAGGCCAAAGGGCAGACGGTTACGGGGCCTGATAAGCGCGTGTTGGTTGAGAAGACGGTGGAGAGCGGACTGGGCAGCGGGCTGGGCAGCGGGCTGGGTAGTGGGCTGGGGAGTCCGGGGTGTTCGAGGGGGGTAGGGGGGGTGGAGGATGTGGTTGGGGGTGCGATAAGGAGGTTGAGGGTGGAGTGAGGGCGGAGCGGATAGGGAGGCGAGAGCGAGAGCGAGGGCGAGAGTGGAGGGAGGGCGGAGCGATGAGCGGAGCGATGAGCGGAGCGATGAGGGACGGGAACAGCAGTGACGATGAGTGATGATGGGGGGTGACGAGGGGAGGTGTTCCATACCCGTCCCGTCCGCCCCCTCGCATCTGCACTTTTTGTTGTTTTGCAGCGAAATAGAAGGGTTAGGGTAGAATGGCAGCTACGGAATACCAAAGTACCAGAATGTAAGAAAAAAACAAAACAATATCAATATCAATATGGTAGATTCTGAATACGTCTCCCGCGAGCATCGTAAGAGGATTTTGAAGGGAAAGCAAGGACCCGTTGAGGACGTGGTGTGATGTGATGGGATGTGATAGTGAGATAGTAGTAGTGAGATAATGTGATGGTAGGATAGTAGGCATGGTAGGATTCAAACACATACCGTTGCTCAGCGAGTGCTGGTACGTTGTGGGTCGGCGTTGGTGAGCGTTGGTGATTGTTTGCTGCTCACTGCCCACTATTTGCTGTTCACTGTTTGCTGCTCACTGTCCACTGTCCACTGTCCACTGTCCACGCCCCTTTCCTTCCTACCCTTTATTGTCTTTGTCTCGCGTCTGCTTTCGTCTGCTTTCGTCTGCTTTGATAGCTAAGTGTTTAAGGTCGTGGTGGTGATGAGGGTAGGTAGGGAGTAGCGGGTAGATGGAGATGGGTAGATGGAGATGGGTAGATGGAGATGGGTAGATGGAGATGGGTAGATGGAGATGGATAGGTGGAGATGGATAGATGGTCATCGGTGAGCAATGACAGCAGTACATAAAGCAACGAGCAGAGCGCAGAACGAGACGGCACGATGACAGGATGCACGCTCGCGGGTAGCACAACGTGTCGGCACGTCAGCGTTGAGCTTCGTCGGTACTGCCTCAGTCCCAGTGTCTATATTAGTATTGAGGCGACGGCGTGGCACGGGGGGATCCCGCGGCCTCAAACACCACGGCATAGTGCACCCCATCACGGAGTAGTTGTGCTGCACGCATACAACGCCCCTGGACACTGACGAGCGTTTCGGGAGCACGGCGCGAAACAACACAGCACATGGATTAACTACAAAGGACCACAAACGAGAGTCTGATACGCACATGCACACGCACAATTTCTCGACCGCCCGCACAGCCTGCGTTTCTCACTGGCACAGCGTCGCCACGCTCGTGTACTGCTTGCCTACCGCTGCGGCACCGCGCTGCATCGCGCTCTGCCCAGGCACCGCAGCCACCGTGTCGTGTCGTGTCTCCGGGCCGTGGGGGCGAGGCAGAGACACAAGCGCGTCGAAGCCGACGCGCTGCTGTTGCAAAAAGAACACGGAGGGGTGCCATAACGACCGGGACCCGGCGCCGCGACTCGACGATCAGGGCGGCACGGCACGAAAGCGGAGAAGGCAGCAACAACCGTACTCAAATCCATCAATCCCCTCAGGCCTTGGGCCCCTCCTCACCCCCCGCTTCCCCCGCCGCCTCCTCCAGCGCAGACGTCTTGTACACCGCCTTCCCCTTCGCCGAACGCCCCTTGTTCGTCGTGAGCATGTTCTTGTACTCGGCATCCGCCTTCTTCTTATCGACCACCTCGTACGACTTGTCCATCAGCCCGCCGTAGCGCTTAATCACGCTGTCGCAGAAATCGAGCCACGCGGCGTCGAGAATCGCGCGGCCGGATGCTTTCTCGTCGGCGGTCAGGCAGCTGTACTCCAGACTCCAACGCGCGAGCTGCTTCCAGCCGAAGAGCGTCATACTCGGGGCGCCGACCATGATCTGGTAGAATTCGTGGGGCATGGTGTTGCTGGGGGTGTTAGTTTGGGATATAGCAAGGGGGGGGGGGGGATGCGTACCCGAAGAGAGAGGGGTTGTCGCTGTTGACGGTGCAGGGAATACCTGCAGCTAGGAGCTCAGGGAATGGGTGTTCTTTTATGTTGCGGCACAGGTGCAGCAGTTCGTTTGAGATGGGGCACAGCTCGACGCAGATACCAGACCCGGGTTTATCGGCTTGCCGCTTGTAGTACTTCTCGACCAGATAGGGGTGCTTCATCAGCGCGAAGCCGTGGCCGATGCGCTTGGATCCAAGTAGGGCCGCGTCGTACAGATTCGAGTTCTTTGGGTCACTGGAGCCGCCGGTGTCGAGGAGTGTCTCGCCGGCGTGGAACAGGAAAGGAATTTCGATATTTTTGCTGTCGCAGGTCTTCTTGAAAGCAAGCAGCTCGACTCGATAGAAACCGATGTGGTTCGGGCGATCTTCTGCACCCACAAGATCGAATCCTGGGCTGTCAGCGAGAGTCTGCGCCAAACCTTATTAAAACTTACCGCATATAAGATCGGGAAACTGCAACTTCAGCTCAATACATTGCTTCATTTCCTCCTGCATCATCTTCTTCGGTATAGATCGTGGTGTGCAGTATATGATCTTCAGGCCGAAGGGGAACTTATCCAACATGTTCTCTTTCTTAAGCTCCTGCTTCTTTTCCTCGACTGCTGCAAGAATAAGTTTCATCTGTTCAGCATTCGTAATTGGGGTCCGGCCGTCATCACTTGGGATGGACTTGTCAAGCAACATAGGCCTGAGCTCAGCGTACATGACCTTTTCTTTGATCATTCGGTCAATGGCGTTACCGATGTACCACTTGTATACACTTTCGTAATTGAGTAGGCCTTTAAAGCATCGTGTTGCTTGATTGAACCTGGCCCAGACTCTGTCAAGTGGTTAGCACAACGACTTCTAACGATGCATTTATAACTTGCCCGTTCACAGTCTGGTCAGGCCCATAGGCTTCTGTTTCGCTAAGGACCATTTTCGACTTCAGCCATACTTCTGCGCGGTTCAATTTGACAGCAGGAGATGCTCCACAACACCGCGCGTCATCTTCGGGCTCTGGGGGTTGATGGAACACCGGCTCGTCGTGATTGTCATGGTGGCCTTCCGAGAAGTGCTCATCGAAGCCAGTTTGAAAGTCACTCCATTTCATCCATACTTTGAACTTCATTTCTTCCTGTCTCCAATTGGTAGCAGTTCCAGGATAATCGGGTTTGAAAATGTCGACTCCTTCTTGGACCTGCTCAGGATCCATAACATTGAAGACGATCTCTGTCTCTTGGAGGTCTTCTTCTTTCAGCAATGGCCGAATACTGCGAATGTACATAGTGGGCATATAACGGGCCTTGTACAGCAACTGCTCAGGATGCAGTTCAGAGTTGAAGTGCAAGTGCAGAAGCGCGCCTTTGGGTACGAGATTGGCAATCTCAAACAGCTTGCTTCTCTCATTGATGCGTTTCTTGTTCGTGAGAAATTGCCCTCCCATGTCGAGCGTGTTCTTGCCAGGGATTGCTTCGGACGGCAGATTCCCAAAGACGAATTCACGCTCATAATTCCGAACAGCTTGTACTATAGCGGCAGCTTTGATCTCTTTCTGGTATGACTCGGATGCTGGATCTGGTCTTGCGCTACGATCCCAGGCGTTCTTGTCCTCCGCATCCAGAAGTTCCTCATGACGAGTTAAGTACTTTTTGTTACTCTCATCGTCTTCTAGCGCAGCATCGAACTCGGCCCTAGCTGATGCCTTGTGGGACTCTACGTCCCCTGAATTTACCTCCATGACAGGTATCATGGGAACCGGTTTGCGGTTGTTTGCTAAAGGGCTTAACGCTCTTCGCTTCTTCCTTGGAGAGTCAGCTACCATCGCGATCGGCTTGTTAGGGTCGTCTGAAGACCTGCGCCTCTCACGTACAGGTCTGGATGAAGTCAGCGTCTTGGCAGAAGTATTGATAGAACGCGCGGCTTCGCGGCGGAGTGGAAGAACTTACAAGGTTGGAATACAACTTTTCCACCACGGCGTGTGGGATTTCTCAGAGTCACTGGGAAGTTTGGAATCAGCGGGCATGTCGTTACCGGTATGTCATGCCGGTGAAGCAGGCTTCGATTGTGTAGATCCAATCGCCGGATGCACGTTACACAAGTATATGCTATTGCGACCTTGACCGGTCTGACAGCGACTCAGTGACAACTTCAGATGATGATCGGTGTTGACTCCTGAATGTTCACGAATCTACCCTTTCCGTGTGGCTGTGGCCCAGACCGAGATTTTGCAAATGAAGTCTACCCAGGCGAAGTGTAAGGCGGTTCAATCTTAGCCCACTTCGATACGCTGTTCGGCCTAGTGGAGAGTCAGTACGATTCTCAGAAATGATCGTTGTTGTAAGAGTAAGAGGCGGCAGGACTGCGGGGACTGCGCCTTCCCTAGTGTTCCATGATATGTAGTAAGGCTGATTTGAATCACAAGACTGGAGCCTGGCAGCGTGACTCTGCTGGCAGACAGCTGTCGCAACTTGCAGCAAACAATGTGAATACAGATGACATTGATTTCAGACCTTGCGTATCATCAAGAAGATGTCTTGCGACCGTTCAAGACAACAAACACAATACTAGCAACAAACAGCAAGGCCGTCGCGTGCTTGCCATTAGGCTGGGAAGGAAATCGCACCCACGTACATCAACACACTTATTTCGTGGCCGTTTGCTCCTTCTCTTGGTACTTAAAGTCCATGCGACGATAATTCTGAAGTGTTCTCGGGCACACTTAGGCCGTGCGCATACCTGATGATACTTGTTGTTTCACGTGTCGCCAGCCTGGCGCGTGCAGCCGCGATGTTGTTCGGTCAATCGACGGCGATCAGGAAGCTTGAGCTGCTCCACAGTCGAGGCGCAGCGTTTCAATACACGCGGGAGGTCACAACGACGAGCGGGTCTGTGTCAAAGATGATGTTTGATGTGAAATGCTAAGCCGGACACCCTCGTGTCTGCTCGAAGAGGCTGTGCAGCGCCAAATCCTGGGGCCTGGCGATGTCAGCCTTCCTGCCCCTCACTTCAAATCTCAGCCTGAGGCACTCAGACGGTCCAATGAACGCCGCCGCAGGCTTTCACCATCGAGGCTGTGAAGCGCCCCAATTCCCGTGCTTCGCGAATGGGGCTGGAGCACCTGATTGCCGCTCACCGGACCAGCTCTGGATTCTGCTTGGTTTTTGGTGTTCTCTCTATGATGCACCCAGGGGATGGTAACGACGTACAGCGGCCTTTTGGCCCCCAATTCTGGATATTGTTGAGCTACCCACACCACTGATCTGCGCCCATGCATTCGTAACCTCTCGTTTGAGCCTCATCTGGGCATTTGGTGGTTTGCCGCTATATAGGATACCCAGCCACATCCGTGCAGCGCGTATCCACCCGTGTTTCTCTCCCGCACCGTTCTGCCCTGAGTCTTCTTCCAGTATCGGCCCTGTACTCATAGTCTGCCTAAGCCGTCGCGTACCAGGATGCATTGGCTCCAGACTGAGGACGATGGCACTTACAGCTTACAGTCGCTTCAACTGGACATCGTTGGTTTTCTTGCTATTCTCGGTGAGGGTTCCGTGCTCGCCAACGCCCAGGTGTCTACACTCTCAAAATGGATCTTCCTTCCACGATTGATCCCAGCTCCCCAAGCCCTCATGCGCCCGACGCGGCCGCTAGACCTCGAGCCTGTTCGTGGTGATGTGTCGGGTGTGTGGTCAGGCAATGATAGGGACCATGTCAATCATATTGGCAACATTATTTGGTGAGTGATCCCTGCTTCACGATACTAGCGCTGTCAGACCTTCGGTCCCAAACTACACGCTCGTAAAGTTTAGGCATCTTGATCAGTGAGAGTTGAGGCGGGCTATGGCACTAACAAGCATGAAGCGATTCCAACAATTTACCACGACACTCCGTTCGAGTTGTGACTATCGCACGCGTCACTGATGATCCTATCAAGGCCAAGCCTTACGGGCCTCTTACCTATGTTGCAATACTTGGCTTCGCACTTTCAGCAATGCTATTGGGATTGTCCATATATCTACGTGACGGCATGTCTATTATTGCAACCGCACTCCTTTCGTTCTTATCCAGTCTCATTGGCTTGGGCAATTTCTGGTACCTCCGACTCCCGAAACGCAAGCCCGCAGAAGAAAAGCCAGAAGTAACGCGAAAATGGACTTTTTACCCGTCAAAAAGTAAGAAAAGAAATAAGAACATTGAGATGAAAGACCGCAAGATCAACTCGGCTGAAGAGGGAACGGGAGCCAAGATGGAGGACAAGGTGCCTGATGGCGATGTTGTCATCAGATACCCGAAAGGTAATTTCCTAATCGTGCGCTGCCATGAGGATGTGGCGCGTGAGCTATACTTCGCACCAGAAGAGATCGAATACCTTATCGAAGATGCTTGGATATATCGCCTCCTTAGCCTTGTCGGCACCATGATGCTCATGGGCGGGGTCATTTGTCTCGCCAACGCCAGGATCGAAAGCCAACTCGCATGGGCCGGTTCCTACATGTTGCTTGGATCTGCTTACTGGATTGTTGCTGCGCTTCCTGGTAAAGTGCACTGGGACACATCATGCTACAAGGTGACGTCCGAGGCACTGTCGGATTACGAGATGCATACAAAAGGACGCTTTCTCTCCTCCATCAGGAAAGAATATCCCTACTCAAAAAGCAAATCATTCACGGAGGCTCTGTGGAAAGCAATCGTGGCTAGCAAGGACGCAACATGGGTTCGCAGAGGCGACCATTGCCCGGAAACGAAAGCCTGGGACGACTGGCTATCCGAGGCAAAGAACTGCAGCCGGGACTATTCAATGCTGGAGGAGAAAGAAAAGAAAGAACACGAAAGGAAGAACGGTTTGACTATTTGGGAGATCCCTCCTTGGAATCCATCGGTGTATTTCCAGTCCTTGATGAGGGCTGAAGACCAGAGAAAGGAGCAAGCGAAGAAAGAGCGAGCGGCGCAAAGTGTACGAGCGACCAGCGTTAGGCGAGAAGCTATAGGTGCTGTGGATTCTGCATAGCGTAGCATTGGATTGGACATGACATTACGATTGCGACATACGGCACGGATTACGGTTGGATATGGACACGCACTACGCATAGCATCTTTGAGCGATCTCGACTTGTTGTACAGCTAGCATCTATTTGTTTTTGCCCTGCAGCGCGCATCATGTATCATCACATATATCACTACTGCAAGCGTCCGGAGCTTTAAGCTTGAGCTCTTGACTTCTCCCTCTTCGGGCGGGTCCCCTGGCTACCTTACAAGAATTCCTTCTCGTGATATCAGCACAGTGTCGTGTATGACGCGGAATGTAGCTCGACCAAGGGCATCACATGAGCATCCAAGTCCGTGCAAGGCAGACAGCTCATCGACACTGGCCTCCAGAAGCATATTGAGAGCGTAACGCCATCTTGCATCGCCACTCAAGTAGCGCTTTTCCACCGTTGCTCGTACTCCACCTTCTTTCGTACAACCTCCCTCAGCCACTTCTCCAGATTCTGGCTCTGCACAGCCCCATCGATCTCCATACTATCGCCAAGACTCACACCACCCTGGCCTTCCTCCTTACAGCACACCTCCTCAGCCATCTCGCAGGCCTCCTCCCACTCATCGTAGCTAAACTTGCCGTCGCTCTCGTTCAGCAACATCCGCCTATCCCCACTGAACGCAAAAACATGTGTCGACCTGATTGGCTTGGCGCGCAGCAACTCGTTCGCGGTGGGACTCAACAGCGGTGTCGAGTTCTTCATTGTTGAGGAAGGGTATGCAACAAGGACGCTCGTTAGCGTTGTGGAGAGTGGTATCGAGGCAGACAGTAGAGCCAAGAAGGCTGTGTGGAGTAGATGTGGGAGGACTGTGAGGCTGGTGTTTACGCCCGTCGTTGTGTCTTCTTCTGGCAAGCTGCGTACTTGTAGTGTGATTTGAACGAGAGTGCGGGGAATCTGGCGCGTGAGGATTATGGAGCGTAGGGTGTTGTGAAGTAGGGTTTCGAGGTGGCGTTCGCGCGGTGCTGGGAGTTGTCAGGTGGGTTTTGCTGTGGCCGTGACAGGTAATGCTTACTTCCAACACCCGCAGAAGGCCTTACATTGACCTCCAGTGTGGCCTCTTCTGGCTGTTCGTCGCGGCGCTGCACTTCGATTGGACCATTGACCGCGCCAATAATGGAGTAGCCGTTGTATGTGTATGTGGCAGAGCCATCAGCGCGGTTTAGATGTGTGAGAACGACTTCTGGCGCGACCATTTTGTACGTTTTGTGTATTGTCTTGTGTTTCGCGCTCAATCGCGAAAATGAGATCACCACCAAATGCGACCAGGATCCAAAAATTGGGTGGGGCAGCAAGCTCGGGGCAGCAAAGGGCAGGAGCGCTGGGGCCGAGGTGCTGGATGCTGCATCACCACCAGCGCGCCAGCCTCCATAATCATTGCTAACGCGACTCAATTTTACGCTCTTAAGACTTCATTAGAATCGCTGAATTCCTCTTACAGCATATATTGCGTCAGTACTGTTGAATAATACACATCATGGCAGGCCCCTCGCGCGGCGCAACGAAGCGTCTCATGACCGAGCTCCAGACCTACCAGAAGGATCCAAATGACGAGCTTCTTGACCTCGGGCCAGCAGATGAAGACATGATGCACTGGAGAGCAGTTCTGAAAGGCGTAGAAGGCACAGCATACGAAGGTATACCCACCCCAGATTCTGCTCAGCGCACTACTGCAAAGAGACTCGAACACCTATTCTGACTTAACACAGGCGGTACATGGCTTCTCGACATCCATATCCCTCCTTCCTACCCCAACTCCCCTCCTACCGTGCGCTTCGTGACGCCCATCTGCCACCCAAATGTCGACTTCAAGACCGGCGAGATCTGCCTCGATCTGCTCAAGACGAGCTGGACTCCTGCGTACACCATCGCGACGACCATGACGAGCATACATCAGCTATTGACCAGTGCCGAGCCGGATAGTCCGCTGAATGTGGATATCGCGCAGCTATTCAGGCAAGGCGATTATGTGGGCGCCGAGGCGCTCATCAGATTCTACACTCAGACGGAGAGATATACTGGGAGGGGTAGGTAATCGAGGGCCAATGTGGATTGGCATGGCGAATTTCAATCTGGGCTTACGCAAGTACATGTGATCCCACTTGCAAGGCATCAAGTTGGTCTTGCGCAGTGCTCAAGAGAAGCACTAGGTCGGAGAACCTGATCTTGAGTATGGAGGAATCGAGTCGGCAGCCTGAGACGGTGTTCTGTCACGACATGATTGTTATTTGAGTTGTGCGCATTGTAAGCGTATATGATATCACAAAGCTTCACTGAAGGGTTGAGACTCATGGACATGTGACATGGTCGTGCAACTCGATTCGAGAGCATGAGCGGTGTCGAAACGAAACACAAGACTACTCGGACCACTTCTATTTGCTCTATTACTCACAAGCCGCTTCGCCAGCCTACGCGCGAGGCTGGCTGAGTAGAGACACGTTCCTTCTTGTCTACGCCAGCCTACAGTTCTGGCGCAAGGCACCCTCGTTTCGGTACACTTGTCGCACGACCAATGCCAGATAGACAGCCTTGTTCTCGATCGACGCACTTCACACTTCTGTGTAGTCGTACGCTATGATCGCCTTCTGCCATCTAGACTTCAGCCTCATTATTCGGGCGGGAGCTAGTCACCTGCAGGTATTGGCGCTATGGCCAGCTCCCAGGCGGGCGCCAGCCCCGGCTCTGTCTCCAAGCTCTGGGCTTCGATTACAGGACGGAATGGCACGATTCCGGAGTTCTAATATTGGGAGAGTGTGGGAGGGGCGTCGCGGTGAATTCGGGTAGATTGATATGTCAGGCGCTAATATTGGCATGTATGGTTCAACGCAAAGTCATGTCCATGGCACATCCCTTTGTCCGCAGCCAGCCACACAAAACTAAGATAGAGTGGTTCAATACATGCATGACTTTTGTCTGTGCTGCATGGTTGTGATGTCTGTAGCATGCCAGATCGCGCAGTGACGCATCCTGAATGACTGCATGCCTGTCCCCACCCACAATCCACTACCTCAGCTACTAAGTGGACCGCCACCACTAAGCTTGATTACTACTGCTTGGTTTCGACTCGCACTCATCAGCATTATGCTAAGCGGTCCTGCGTCATGTTCGAACCGTTGATGTCCACCGAGTTCATGCAAACAAAGCATGTGTCGTAAGGGTCCGCAAGAGGGATCGAGGTGTGGACTCTTGTACGTGGCATTGAGATAATATATTTGAAATCCGAGATCATTAGGGTTCAGCCGCCGGTCACGTTCCAGTGTGATCGTCGCCAGCCGTTCGTCGACGTTGTCATGGTACCGTAGAGAACAGCCTCGCCCTGCGGAGTTCCACTTTTCGGGACGAGACTGGTGTAGGATGTGGAGTGTCGTCCTTCAACAGTTGTAACAGGTGTTCCAGAAGATTCACACCGATGTGAAGGAGCTGGCAGAGGGTAGTACATAGGATCGTACGGTCCTGGCAACGCTTGTGGTGGTGATATCCATGGATGAACTGGCTTCTCGGTCTTTTCAAGAATTTCCTGCTTGAGAGAATATAAGCGACTGTTGTGATCGCTTTCCCATTGATTCTGACACATCGCAGAGTCTTGTCTCTCAAGCGTTGGCTTAGAAAATGGCTTCTCTGGAGAATCCACTTTAGTGCCGACATTCCGGCTCTTTTTTTGTAAAAGGTAGGCGACGGCACACGACGCGACAACTACAGTGGTAAGAACGACCAGCTGAAGTAGCCGGCTCTCTTTAGATTTCGAGACAAGTTCTCCAGCATATTGATATGCCGTAGTATTATGAAGAGGTGGCATGGTGACAGGTAGAACAAAAAATAATGGAAAGCTTAGAAGCTTTAGTACAATTGAGCGCTTAGGCAAGACGATGTCGTGAGCTGCAGACATCCGAAGCTGTTCACCAGTCAATATGGTGTGCAGGAGGGAATACGCCATATTCATAGAACTTACATGGAAGCACGGGAGGGCCGTTGGCATAAGCACTAAGGTGGAACACTCAGTTTGTGTCAGTGAATAATAAAGCGTGCGTATTCCTGGTCTTAAGATCGGCGCAGGGATACTGTGGTTGATATATTGAAAACGGATTCCATGTCAAGAAGGAGCAGAGCGCCGGCTCCAGTATATGAAGCTACGACAACAGTTTGGTGGCACCCTAGCCATCGGTCTAAGAATGTACCCGCAGCTACCACGGCGGACCATTAGCAGAAACAGGGCCTCCATCGTAGTACACTCGTGCTGATGACGGCGAGGTAGTTTGCGTTGCTATGATCGACAGGCAAAGATTCGTGTTCCTCAGCTGCAACGACTCGCGCCCTTAGTAGCATTGCAGCCGTAGCCTACTAGGGTAGGCAAGGTGTGGTCGGTTTCAGCAGCTTAACCAGTACCCGTAAGTCTTGGTAGCGCGATGGGGAGCGTGTTCAGCTGAAGACCGCGCGATGGCGTCGAATGTGGCTTGAGTGGACACAGGGCACAGACCAATTTGTCTAGGACGTCCTGGTTCACAACTGCCAACGGCGAGCTGGCTTCAGCGCATCTAGCGGAACAACCATCCGCCACTAATCATCATTTTCCGATCTGGAGAGCCTGAAAACTTGTATCTTCGCTTCCTGGGACGCGTGACGCATCGGTATCGACAGCCTCAGCTTCTCAGTGGGCGCCAACCGAGCCTTCCGCACACGCATTGCTCACGGAGGGGCACGTCTCGAGGGTTCGAATGATTTCGAAATCTACACTTCGACCATAACACGCATGAGATACGGTGAGCATTGAGCGCTTCCGCATGTCATTTCCCTTTGTGCGAGGATTTCGCCGTAAAGACAGGTTTGGTTCAGAGCTTCTACAAGGCTATGCTTCCCACATGAATTTCCTCGCACTGCAACTCCAGTACATACGCGAAAATGGCTTGCGTGGCTGCCTTGTTCCAAGCTCATTGATCCCGCGACCAAGATTACCCTCGGAGCAGGTCAAGTCCACGTGAGCCTGGTGTCGCGATTCCAAGTCGGATCGTACCTGGAGGTGCAGGGGCTAGCGAAATCCGACATCTTTAGCGACCGTTGGCGATCAGTTGGGCCTGGATACCGAATCATGGACGCTGCAAGCTGGGAGCCTCGCCAGCGACTCCAAGTTGGCTTTGCTGATGGCACGCCGCCTTCGCAAAAGACGATTTCTGGTTCGTTGGACGCAAATAACGTGCGCCTATCTCACCAACGAGCTTTTATCCACATTGCGTTCGTTTCGCGATCAGAGCTACGATCGCTCAATTGGACCCTATTCACCTCGTCTGCGAGCTAGCTCGGGGCAAAGACTCTCAAGTCAGGAGTACGGGCTTCGCGATAATTTGCCTCCACGGGCTCACCGAGACGAGTAAACGTGGGACCCTGGGCCTTCACCTCGATGACCTATCGAGCCTCTCGACGAGAAGCAAGTCTTCCCGAGCGATCTTCATGCTCATTTCCCAATTTTTCTGCGCATGTCAATCATTTCTCGATACGCGTAAACACCATGCCGCTAAATACGTCCTTCCCCGGACGATCCGGACACGCCGCTCATAAGGCTGATATCTTAGATCTAGGGACCACAATTCTGCCGTCACGTGCTTAGAGGAGCTTGTCTTCAGGCTCCTCAGCCTAGTCCGATGAGCAAGGGCTGGACCTGTACAACATCGCTCTATTGGTATAGCGATGGATGGGTACATTAAAGGTCGACTCCCTACATCTCCAGGCACCCAGACTGTTGGTCGTCAGCTCAAGCGACCCGCTCTCTCATGTCAGGGACGGCGACTCCGTGACATACATCACGTGAGTCGCCACATACACTCCAAGATCTACTTTCCACATCCGGTAATTAATCTTGCTTTTCTGGTGCACGCCTTAAAACCATCGATCGCCTCGAGCTAAACTCTTTCTTCGCGAAGAACAATTTCCCACGATTCGAGTCTGAATCGTTGCATGAAGGAATCGGAATTGGTGCACAGCCACAACTAGTCCTGGTAGGTACGTGGCGGTCATCGTCAGCATAGCACCTCACTCTGTCCCCAGTGCTCGGGTGTCGCACAGGACCGGTCAGGTTCCTAGCGCTGCTGGGTGGATTCACCGGTTGCAAGTGCTGCGCCTTGCTGATGGGTGATGATGCCGCTGATGCAGTGGTGCCGAACAACGGGCATAAGTGCTGCCTGGAAAGTCGCATATAATCTTATAGTCAATATTTAGTGATGATGCGAGCACATCCGGGACTCCCGTCTGTCCACGTGCTGAGTGTTGGCACATGGAGTTAGTACCGGCGGACCTGTATTCGAGGCTGTATTACATCTCCAGACTACCTTGTTACTACATACGGAACGCGTTGTATGCTAAGATGGTACGCGATCACACAACCAATGCTAAGTCATCTCCGGGAATAGAATTCACTCACGCATTACATAACGTCCTATGTGAAGTTGAAGTTACTGAAGCCAGCCACATCCATCGGAAGCCCGAAATGAGCACTTCTAATGCTCTACCTGGACTTCCCCAGCCGGTGTCACGCTACCCCATCGCAGTGACAAATAATGAGACTCTAGTTTAGGAAATCCTGTGGCAGCGCGTAGCAAACGTACAGCGCTACTACAGACCAACACTGTAAAACACTACCACAAACCACTATCAAAGGGATCAACTCGTCGTCAGCGTCTTGCATGGCACCGACGAGCTACAACTACACCGAGAGTCTGCGACCATTAGTCTTTGGCGCGCAGGGACTGACCACCAGGAAGTGAGCACCAGGACTATCTCGCGGGAAGAGTGGGTGCCGCTGCTTGACGCATGGCCCCGTTTCGTTGCTGAACAACCCAGCAGTGTGGTCGTCGCTTGTACATGTACACACACTGCCTCACGACTGCTCACGGCGATAATGGGGTGCTGTGTATGGTGGACGGTAAACAGTGAACAGTGAACAGCAAACCGTAAACGGTAAACAGCAAACAGTAAATGGTGAACGGTAAACGGTAAACAGTAAACGGTAAACAGCAAACCGTCCCCCCCCCCCCCCCCCCCCCCCCCCCAAACTACACCACCATCCACCATCTCGACCTCAAAACCCGCGCTCAGAGTCCCAGCACATCGCCCCCCGTCTCCTCCCCTTCTCACCCGCCCACTTGCGCCGCGCACACCCACGCCTTCCCTCGTTGTCGCGCAGTGCCTCCACGGACCGCGCGCCATCGGGCCCCACGCACTGCCGCTCGGCCAGGATACGGACCTTTTTACCGCAGCGCGGCTCCGCGGGGCCCACGACCGGAGGTCCCGGGCGCTCGAGGGTATGGCCGGCCAGCGCACCGACGCGCTGGCGGCGGAAGGCGACGAGGTCGAGGAGCGCGATGCGGGGCCGTGTACACGCTCGAACTCCACATCCGCCTCCAAACCCCCCTTGCGCGTCCATATCCCACTGCTGCGTCCTGCTGCGCGCGCAGGCTCCGTCACGCTCGCCTTCTGCACTGCATTCGCCGTCCGCGACGAGCACGCACGCGTCGCCTACTGCCCACCGGATGCCCGCTGCGTCGACGACTAGCACGCCCTGGGTCACGAGCGCCGGTATCAGGGACTCGGGGAGGTGTATCAGGGCGTTGCGGCGCGCTTCAAGGTAGTGTGCGTGCGGGGGCCAGTGCCAGGGCGTGGGTAGGGGGCGGAGGGAGGCCAGGAGCTCGGCGGGGTCGAGGGCGAGGGCGAGGGCGAGGGTGTGCGGGATGGAGGGGAGGAGAGCGGAGAGGTGGGTTAGGGTTGCTGCGTCGGTGTCTGCGGTGGTGAGGGGGGGTTCGGGCGGGGAGTCAAGGAGCGTGGTATCAAGGCTGGTGTGTTGTGCGGTGCTGAGATGCGGCGTGCGCGTGACGTGCAGCGCCTGGCGCCACCACGAGTGGACTGCGTTCGGGCGGCGGGCGAGGAACGTGCTGATGGGCGAATGGGGGTCGTCGCGCGGGGCGTAGAAGTGCAGTGCGCAGGAGGTGCGGGGCTGGAGGAGCGTGATGGTGCGTTCGGGGTCGTGGTAGAGACAGTGCAGTTCGCCGTCGGAGCAGGCTTCGAGGTCGAGGAAGCGCATGCCGAGACACAGACGAGTCGGGGGATGCACGTGGGGATATGGGGGGCATGGTGGGGTGGTTTGGAGGGTATTTGTGGATTGGGAGGTGATGGAAGAACTACAGCCATCACCTTTGGACCTTGCTGCCACGTTGACCCTTTCACACCGTGATTGTGGTGTCGCCCGTCAGCGCTGTCAGTTGGTCGACACTAGGCTCTGTGACTCTGTCGTCCAGCGCATAATCCCTGACCCACACGCCTGTCTCGCCTTCTTTACTCCTCCACCCGGCGCCTCTATGCCTCAGCAACCCCACCATCTCTTCAACGTCGTCAGTCAGTGTCTTGCTCGTACAGTCCCTACTCCTGAACTCTGCACCGTCGCCGAAGTCGAAGACGCCCAGGTAGCTAGCAATGACCTTGTAACTCTCATTCCACTCGAGCCAGATGTCGCTGGACTGAGCTCTACCCATGCCTGTGCGATACGAGGGGCCCAGCAGGTCGTTTTCAGGTCCAGGTGCCAGTTGAAAAGTGACGTTCCGCAGCGTGGGTATGCGGTGAAGAGCGCGTATGATGCTTGTGACGTTCGTTGCGAAGGGAAACACACCAGTGAAGCTGAAGGATGTGATGTTGCAACACGATTCGACCTCCTTAGCCAGGCGCATAAGAAGCAGGTAGAGGATCTTGGGGGACTGCTTGAGGTGGTATTCGTACGTGCTGTACGCAGTGATGGAGGATCCTTCGTTATATGCAATGTGTGACCATGGTCGGCGGTGAATGAGCGCCGAATCCCAAGGCCGGCAATCCGACTTCATGTGTTCGAGTCTCGGAGATTCCTGAGTCAGCTCGATGTAGTGCATTTTCATTTCGAAGGCCCATGTGTCGGAGCTCTGCATCTGCGTGTCGAGAAGGCCGGCAAGAGTCGCTGGAGGAGCGGCTACAACGACACGGCTCGGTTCGAGACAGGTGAAGATCTGCTCCCATATCTCGGCGACTGCTCGAGCCAAGGGGGCATCGGCCGTGGAAACATGGCGGAGCCCGTACTCTATATCGGTATGCACTACTATGCTCTTTATGTGCTGCTTGAGCTGGTACTTCGAAACAACGCGGCTGAAGTCTGTGAAATTGCTGTTGATATGCGGTAACCACAAGATTGTTGGCGATGATTTCAGAAACTCGTCACCGTCCTGGATCTTACACAGGTTGATAAGAATGTCGTCGAACGACGGATCAAAAGCGAAGGCAGAGCTGCTCTTGAACTTGCTGCGCATCTTGGTGTAGATCATGAACTCGTGGTTGCTCAGTGTAGATAGCTGGCCCTGCATGTTTTCGATGAGTCGAGCATCCAGTGGGACCCATTGCGGCTTTGGATCGAGAGACACCCTGACGGTCTTGAACAAGATCGGAACAACGACCTTTCTCAAACGCCATGATACTCGGGACAAGTCTTTCAGAGGAGTGCAGTCTGAGTTCGTCAGCTCCGCTGAGGGTTCGTGGGCGAATTTGGCAATTGATGGGGCTTCGATGTCGAGGTGTGTTGCGATCTGGATTAAAAGCTCATTAGGAAGTGTGTGTAAGCCGATGGGCTGATTGTCTGTCATTATCAATAATTACACGAATAATGAAAGATTTCAAGTGGTATTAAAGTGCGTGTCTTAAGGTGTGAGGTGATCTTTGGACTGCGGGGATGGAGTTGATGAGGTGGAGTTGAGATGAGCTAGGATGGAGCTGCGATACGTCATCCCTGCAGCAATCTATCACTGGTCACTACATGTTAGTATTATTGAAAACACCTATTGCAAATGCAGGCGGATTAGAGAGTAATATATCGATACAATCTATCGTTGATACTTAGACCGATACTAACATCGATAATAGGGTATCTTCGCCATTGTCAATGCTCATGTTGAGCTATTCATCTCTTAACAGAGAGAACAAGCACAACCCGCACTACATCGACTCACTAGAACCCAGCCCTTACAGCACCCTCCAACCACGCAACACCCGCCATAACGCCATCCACAATCCTCACTCTCCGCCCCTCCTCCTCCCCCAGCTCCTCAACACACGCCTCCCTCACCATCTGATCCATCCCCGCCATCCCCGCACACCCCAAACAAACCGCCCCTACACTCCCCTTCCTCAGCAGCCGTTTAACCGCATCCTTCATCTTCTGCCTCACCTCCTCCGCCGGCGCATCATGCAAATCCGTCGCATTCAGCCCCGTGGTCTCGACGCCTGCAAACCGCTTCCCCGCATCCTCTCCCGTGCCGAGGAATTGCACCGTAGCTTCTGTGAGAATGTCCTCCCACACCTTGCCCGTGCTGACGATGCCGAACTTCTCGTCCGGGTGGATCGCCTGCAGACTCGCGCCCACACTCGCCTCGAAGATGCCGGTGACGGGCTTGCGGGATGCTTTGATCGCGGGCTCCTCTTTCAGCAGCGGCACGAGGGGGTGCTGCGAGTAGCAGGCGACGAGGAAGGCGTCGTAGCGGTCGAGCAGCGGGCGCAGGGTGGGCAGGCAGTGTTTCACGGACTCGCGGGCGTCGTCTTCGTTGTTGATGCTCTTGACGCCGTCGGGGGCGGTGAAGTAGGCGTGCGTTGTCTAGCTGGGATTAGTTGCGTGGACGCGGTGGTGAGCGGTGTTGATTAACGTCTGAGAACTGCAGGGCGTCGACCAGTGGCTTGAGGCCATCGGTCATCGACACCGTCGAGTTGGGGTTGATGATCAGGATGGAGCGCATCTTGCTGTACCGGGGGTTTCGGCCTTGTCGGTATTCACCCATGAGGTTTATCTGGAGCTTTGCTGTGCATTGTGACGCTACCCCCGCCATATGGACATTTTACGCGTGATGGGAAAATTAGTGGAGATTAGGCTAGGTGGCTGCGACCAGGGTTTTGTTTTACGCGACGGCGATGACATCATACGCGCCTACGCGCCGGCACGACCAGTTTCAACATCTATTGCTTGATGGCCTAGATGCGGCCATATGAGGCTGTTACTTGCAGATGTCGTAATGTCTCATAAGATCATCAAGAGATTGTCAAGTCACGAGCGGCTAGGGAATTAATATGTCGAAGTTGATGGGTTGGTATAAACTACAGAGTATGAGGGAGTTGATGCTAATGCACGTCTTCTCATGATGAAAGACATCATGATACTGAGCATGATTGAGGCGTACTCGGTCACACGAGGATGACGGTAGCCCTGCCCATGGCGCTCCAATATCAAGCGGTATCCCATGCGAACGCCCTCGCTGGTGGCATTATCGCGAAGTGTGAGAGGAAGGAAACTATTCCTGTAAGCAGATGCCGTGCAGCACGGAACAGCGGCAACTTACAAGTCGTAACATCGTCAAGAATAGATCCCGCTTAGCGGAAGCAGGAGAAGCGACCGCAAGAGATCCTGAAGGGAGCCCGACGGACACCATGCCTGTCAGCGACAACACCACCGCCTGGAATATGTGTTAGCTGCCGAGTTATCCAGGCAAGCATTCAAGAAGTGTACTAACCGCCGTGCCTTCCGCCCCACTGCTTAGTCCAGAGAAGACCCATGATTGCTGGTTGTTGATTTGTTGGTTGTTGGTGAAGGATTCTTGTAGCTTTGGAGGCTCGTAATGTAACTTTGAGGAATGCTTTGCTCGTGATGCAGACAGAGAGTGATTGGGATGCGTTAAATAGGGAGTCGTTGCGGTGAGCTGGACCACCAAAGCAGGGTAAACAAGTCGACGCCTGTGACGTAGGCCAATCTGGGAAAGCTTGGCCAATGACCTCGTTCTTAACATGACCCGTCCCGCACAGCCACCGCTTGCGAGACGAGTTGCAACTCGAATCGGTTCTAGAGCTGCCGCTTCACCACTTCTGGATCTATAATGCTACCTAATCGGCAATCTCTTGTTTGCGTGGAGGTTTGCGCCACAGCACTGCGGGATGATCCCTTTAACTCAGCACATAAGTAGGCCCGATGCAGTAGATCGTGAAGCACCATTGCGACATCTGGGGCTGTGACATGCAGCGCGAAGTGGGTTGTGGCTTTGGTAGTTTGTGGATGCTTGGTGAGATAACAAGCCAACGCACTGTCCGTAGCAAACTTCTCCACGGTATCGTCCAGCCTCGTGAAGACATGGCCGTTGCGAAGAGCAACATGGTTGCTAAGAGCAACGTGGCATGGCGTGTTCAAAGGCACACGAATGAGTGGGCACAGGTTTCTATTGATGCTCTCTTTACGCGCGGGACAAGGTCTTGGACAATTGCTTGTGCTCACCACGTGTAATCTGTTCGATTGTGTCCTCGTGCTACAGCGGTGGCTGTGATACTGGATAGAGTGTTTTTTACATGACCAAAATGCTGACTGCTTGAGGTTTTTGTGGTTCGTTATACAAAACTTGCTGCTGGTAAGGGGAGTTGTACGCGCCCCAGACCCAGATCCTGTTCCTATATTGTACATTTCCATGCAGATGGAGCGACTCGGCGCGCCAATATCTCGAGCCTCGTGTCAGTGAGAGACTCTTTACTGATACATCTCTTGTATCCTCTCTTCTCCAGCTATTGTACATGGGCTGCAGCGTCTTCTGGCGGCTTATCGGCCGGGCAGACCACCCTGTGCCATGGCAGCGTTCTGCTCCTGGAACCTGTCACCCAGACGCTGCGAGGCCTTCATGTGCTTGTCGACGCATCGCATGACGCAGCCCTCTTCGCGCGAGGTGAGCGACTTGCTCTCAAAGCCGTTGACGCAGGAGTCGAAGCATTGCTGGACGAGGTTGGAGTACATCTGCACGGATTAGCGGCGATTGGAATATCGGTGCGTGCATCCATCTCAATGCACACGCAGGAGACGACTACGCACGTTCATGAATTCCTTCATCTGCTTCTTCTCCATGCGGTTCTGGAGCTCGCGCTGCTCGGACTGGGAGAGCCTGCGCGTCAATTAGCCTCGCACACACGTGCAGCTGGGAAGTGGGTGCATACTGATCCATGGCGGGTGTGCGTGTGCGATGTAGATGGAACGGAGATTTGGGTGTGTCAGGACACGCGGCGTCGATGCGGTTGATGGTATGACGTGCGGCGCTGGGTATTTTTCGTGAAGCTCTGGGGGCGCATAGGCCGCCTGACGGCTGCACCTTCCCCGACCCGTCCCCAAGCAGCTGCAGACGGAAGGAGCGCCTCGATCCAGAACGCTGACTCCAGGCTTTCCCGCGCTCATGGATCGTTGCACAGTGGGCCAGCAGCTTCTCATTTCCGGTGACGCTTGTACCGGTACCTTTCAGCGCCAAGCGCAGCCTCTTATTGGTATTGGGCCGAGTAATGAGCAGCGACAGCAGCTCTCTTAATCCAGCTCTGCTGCGTCTGCGTCTGCATCTGCGTCTGCTGCCACTGCTGCTGCTGCTGCTGATCGCGCGCTGCCCCAGCCCTGGCCTCTGACGCTGCGCAGTTTGCGTGTCAGACGACGTGGTGCCGTCTTTCCTGGTTTTGAATCAATCAGCCACCAGAGGAGCGCCGCCAAGTGCCCGTCCAGCATCCCCAGCGCGCACCCATCGCCGCGATCATTGCCCTCTGCAGCCCAGCCCTGCTCTTGACGTCGCCGCCGCCCGTTGCCCGGCGCAGACAGCCTCTCGCTGCGACCCGCTCCCTGCCTGCTGCCTGACACCCTCGCGGCCAGTCGCATCGACCCCTAACCGCTGCCACTACCACGTCGCGCTGTCCCACGGCGCCCGTAGTGTACCAGCTCGCGCGCCTGCACGCTGCACCCACGCGCCGCACAGCTCTCGCACCCACGCACCGCTCGCACCCACGCACCGCCCGCGCCCAGCGCCCGCTGCCGTCGCGCTGCCCAGCTCCGCGCACCCGTCCTCGCGCAGCACACGGCGAGCCCCGCAGGCCTGCCATTCTTCCGCTCGCTACGCTGCGACGTCACAGTGGCCCCGTCGCTCTGCCGCCAGCCCGCCCACTCTGCGGGCCCACCGCACTCTGCGACTCCGCAACACGCAGCGATCACTTGCAGCCCGCCCGCCCGCGCCTGAAGCGCCGCGACCCTCAGCCCGCCCGCCATGCCTGCTGCGACCCAGCACCACCCTCACACGCCGCGCGTGCGCAACGGCGACCCGCAGCCCGCGCCGCTGTCCGCGAACGAGCCCGTGTCCGCGAAGCGCGACCTGACGTCGTGGTGGAAGACCTTCAGCAAGCGCGCCGTGAAGAAAGAGGAAGAGCACAAAGGTAACGCGCCTTTCCACGCTCCATGCTGCTTGCGCGCTCGACCGCGCCGACCTGCGCTGTCGCCAGCCGCGCCCGCGGACGCGCTCTGGGCAAGGCTGAGTCCTGTCCTGCCTGGGCGCGCACGCAGCCCTCCGATCCACGTCACGTTGCACTCATACTGACCTCTCGCAGCAGAAGCCGTGCCACAGGGCATCTTCGGCGTGCCTCTCATCACAAGCATACCCTACGCAAACGTAGCGATATCCTTGTTCAACGAGCACGGCGAGAGCTACATCTACGGCTACGTGCCCATCGTGGTCGCCAAATGCGGCGTCTTCTTGAAAGAGAAAGGTCAGTCATGTTGCGCATGCTTGCTTGCTTGCTCACGCTAACGCCTCCTAGCGACTGACGTCGAGGGCATCTTCCGCTTGGCAGGCTCAGAGAAGAGGATCAAGGAGCTCAAGATCTCGTTCGACACCCCGCCGCGGTACGGCAAAGGGCTGGACTGGACAGGCTACACAGTGCACGATGCAGCCAACATCCTGCGCAGATACTTCAACCACCTGCCAGAACCCATCATCCCCCTCGACAACTACGACAGCTTCCGCCAGCCACTGCGAAACCATCAAGCCGAGGCCGTGGGCCCAATTGAGGGCCAGTCACCGTCAGTTGGAGGCTTCGACCCAAACGCAGCTGTACGCAACTACCAGCATTCGATCAAGAGCTTGCCCTCCCTGAACCGCCAACTGCTGCTGTATATCCTGGACCTACTCGCAGTCTTTGCTGCCAAGGCCGATGTCAATAAGATGACAACATCCAATCTGGCAGCAATTTTCCAGCCCGGAATAATATCCCACCCGCAGCACGACATGTCCCCACAGGACTACAGGCTGAATCAGGACGTGTTGATCTTCCTCATTGACAACCAAGACCATTTCCTGATTGGTATGGAGGGCACCGCTGTCGACGCAGGCACTGTCAAGCAGATTGAGAGCGGCCCGAATACACCACAAGCACGAACTCCGACGACGCCTGGAAGAAATAATTCGGGCATCAACCGCTCGGCCTCCACGTCCTCGAGTGCGGGTGCCGACAGTCTGCGCAGATATGGTGGTGTGCGCAGGAATGTCTCGACTTCTTCCAAGCGTTCACGTCACTCTGGGGCCGTACCCAGCCCTGTCACTCCAGGCTTTGTCACGCCACCCGCATCTGGTGTGCATAGAAGCAACACTCTGCCAACGAAACGATCTCCAGCTATAAACAGCCCTCGCTTCGCCAATCGGCCTCAGGGGCCATCGACACCTACCGTAGAAGACGGCAAGGCTTTGCTGCCACCAACCACGATTGAGTCTGCAGCAACAAGCATTCCTCAACCTGGAGCCCAAAGTGAGACGGGAATTGCGTCAGCACCCGAGACACTACCAGTCAGCTTACCCGCTGAGCCTGTCCCTGAGCAAGCCACTCCAAAGCGTGCAATGACGCTTCCCCCAGGAAAGATTGAGCTCCCCAAACCTGCTTTTGCCCAAGTCTCGCAGCAATCTAAGCCATTGGCGGACACCCCTGCTTTGGATTCTATTCCCGGGGCGTTCCCGCCGTCAACGCCAGGTGTTGTGCCGCCAAGCGAGGTTAACACTCCAATCGAAGCCCCTGCCCCTACCCCTGCCTCTGTTCAGGCTGCGCACGTGTTGCATCCGCCGCCCGCCCAAGGCACGGGACGTCGTAGTCCCCATCTGACTCCAACCCGCGAACGCTCCGAGTTCATAGAAGCACCAGTCGATTCCGGTCCACCAGCCGAATTCACTCCAACGACTCGCACCTTCACTCAAATCTTGGGAAAGGTGTCCCCGTCCCCTGGGGATTTGAATCATGGAAAGGATAAGGACGGACGCAAGCCGAATAAGTTACAGAAGAAGAGACTTGTCTCCGGCCAGCTTCCCAGCGCGCACAGCTCCACCACGTCCTTAACTGGACCAATTTCCAGTCTCGATGCCATCAGCGTTGCTCCTGCGCCTGTTTCTCCTCTTTACCCACCGCAAGCTCCGTTTGCGTCTCAATCGCATGCCAGCGGGTCCAAAGAAGCGCTTCCCCAGGCGAGCAACGAGACGTTTTCTTCGCGCCACTCGGGCACCACGTTGAAGCCTAGTATGTCCCCATCGGCTTCCTTCAGATCTCATTCGACGGCGACCGAATACTCGGAAGCCGAGTTGAATGAAGAGCCACCACTTGTAAAGGACGAGAAGGAAAAGGCAGGGGACAGGCGAAGCTTCTGGAAAGGACACAAGCGTGGTGAGAGTAGGGCAACACCGACGGCAAGCCAGACTGACTTGCATGGCTCACTCCCTGGTGGCGACAAGAGTATGAGCTCTTTCGGGAGCAGTTCAGGTTGGGCTACTGGCGGCCGTCGAAGCGGGCAGTTCGACTCCGTTCAGGGGTCAGAGTCAACGATGGTGTTTGGCAGCCCGCCAGATGGCGATCGTTCGTCTGATAAAAAGGGCACCTTTGACTGGTTTCATAAGATGAGGCACGAGCACCGAGACCGAGCCGACAAGAGGGAGCGAGCCAAGAGCCCTCCTGGCAGCATGAGCAATATGCCTCTCCCACAAAATCTGATGAGGCCTCGCGACAATCTCCCGACGAGGGATCGATCTGCCGATGCCCCAAGGTCCCTGAGCACAACATCCAACGATGCCACGCCGATGGGAAGTAGCGCTATTGCGCGGACCACATCACCGCCGCCTGAGATGAGGCAGCAAGTGCACTCGGCGGCGAGTCCTCAGTCGCAGCAGTCTGTGGATGGTATAGTCGGTCCTCCGGCTGCCACGGCCAACCCTGTTCCGGTAGCAATACCTGAAGAGCCAGTCGCGCAAGCGTCGCCCCCACCGCTGAAGCACGAGGACTCGGCGACAACAATCCAGCCGGTGACTGCAGCACAGTCCACGACAGGACAATCAGCAGCGACAACACAGCCAGCGTCGACAGCACAACCGGCGACGACAAAACCAGCGACGACAATACAGCCAGTGACCCGATCAGCCCGGCCTGCCACAGAGCCCTCATCGCCCATAATCCAGCAGCCCGTGCCCTTCGCCCCCATCAGCCAAGTCCTGCAGTCCAGCCAAGACGAGCCCAAGACCCCGACCACCACCGCCCACCCCGTCCTGCACGCGCCCTCGCCCGCCATCGCCGAGATCCTGGCCGCCCCCGCCCGCAGCTTCACCCGCTCGCCCGACCGCGCCACGCCGTCGCCGTCGCGCTCGCCGCCGCCCAACCCCACCCATTGAGGTCTTGAATGTCTGTATAGTAGAGCGCCGCACTGCTCCCGCGCTTGGCTCGCGCGGGGGTTTTTTTTTGGATACCTTGTTGCGACGGCGTGGTCGTTTTGGATACGCCAGTGGGGATGTGTTGGGGACGATGCACCAGGCGTATTTACGTCTGGGTGCGGAGGGGAATGGGGTTGGTTGCATGTAGTGAGCGTTGGACGGCGATTTGGTGCATGTCTCGAGATGTATAGCGGGACTGTGATGGGGGAGTAGGGAGTCGTAGTAGTAGTACGAGCAGTAGGAGCAGTAGTAGTAGTAGTAGTAGTCGTAATTATAATCTCTTTAATACCGTCGACACGTCTCGTCTCGTCTCGTCTCGTCTCGTGTTGCGCTGTATCGTGCCCTGCACGCGTCCTCCGTTGTCTGCGCGCCTGCTGCTCGTGTCGCATCTCAGCCTCGATCCAAGCCTTCAGTGTCCTTGCGTCTCCGACATTTTTTCTCACGAAAGGTCTTCCTGTTATCTACTAAATCTGCTCAGTGGGTTGGCGAGTACCGCCACAACGCCCGTCCGGGCGCGGGGACATCCTGCGTGTGCGTCCGCGACTGCGGACGCAGGAAGGCACGGACTGCCACCGCGTCTTATGCCATCACTCGGGCTCTGTGTTGCCGGGTTAGTCTAGTGTAGGCATCTTCTAGGTATCTATAGATAGGCAGGCCTCTTCTTATCTCTACCTAGCTTAAGGTCAATAACATTATGACTGTTCTATAACCTCTATAAGTAGCTGCCTAGGTAAGTACCTAATAGAGCAGTACTATAGGTATAGAGAAGTCTAGTCTTTGTACCTGTTATTAATACCTACTTATAATAGGTAGGTACCCCGCACTACTATTATGTATAGAGTCTAGCCCTCCCCTGTGTCCTACACACACGCATCCTATAGCTATCTGGCTAGTTGGGATGCGTGGGTACCTATCTCGTGACTGTGATAGTGTAAGATACCAAGGTAGGGGGTGGTCAGCACATATCGTCAGGCACCGATAGAGTGGACGTGGAAAGCATTGGAGGAGTGCTGTCGCAGTGCCGTCGCAGACCGAACTATCTAGCACTGCACCAGCGACACCCATAAGCGCGCACAGCTAAGCACAGCTAAGCACAGATTGAAGTAAATCGTGAAATTCGTATCATGGTATCGTAATCTAGTAAGGACAGTTCCCCGCCACCTCAGCAATATATACAACCCCCCCCCCCCCCTTTCCTTTTTTTAAACCATCTACAACGCACCCCTCCTCCTGCGCCTTGTCGTCGCAGTCCCCGCGCGCTCCGCGCTCTTGCCATTGAGATCAGACACACACTGCAGCCTTGTCGGCCTGTTCAGCGTACCCGTGTACGCCCACCTGCCCGGGCCGCCACTGACCAGCATGTTAATGTTCTGGTTCCCGTTGACGACGAGCGTCATCTTCTTGTTATCGCCGTTGCGCACGTTGGAGCTGCACGCCACGCTGATGGTGCCGGACTTACGGCTCTCCCACGTGTACTGGTCGACGACGACGACGTCGGCGGCCGTGGGCGAGATCTTGACGGGCACGGTGACGGTGCTGAGCGCGGTGGCGTTGGATTTCAGCGCCACGGTGAGGGTGAAGTTGAAGGTTGTTTCGGTGGTGACTTTGGGCGCTGTGAAGGAGGCGGTGGCGGAGGTGGGGTTGGTGAGAGAGATTGCGGGCGAGGCCGGCGAGGTCTGGGTCCACTTGAAGGTGAGTTGGTCGGCGGTCAGCTTGGCCTCGGTGTTGGAGCCGGAGAGGGTGAGGAGCGCGGCGGAGCGCTGGACGGCGGCGAATTGGGCTGCTGCGGCGATGGGCAGGGTCTGGGCTGTGGTGGGTGTGTCGGGATTGGTAGGGTTGGTAGGGTTGGTAGGGTTAGTGGGGTTGGTAGGGTCGGTAGGGTTGTTCGCTGGGATGTCGCTGGCGCTGCACTGCTTTTTGGCTGCGGGCTTGTTGGCGCCAGGGTATGGGTCTAGTGGGCCGAACTGCTGGTCGTCGAGGAAGTCACCCTGGTTGAGGGCGGAGATGTCGTTGAAGATGAGCGGCGGGGGGAAAGTTCCGGGGACGTCGACCTCGGGGAAGATCCACTCGCCGACGGCAACGACGAACTGACCGGCCTTGATGCCGTTCTTGGTCTCAGTGACGGGGGTGTTGGTCGTGACGAGATAGTCGCGGGTGTATGGTGTGACGGTGCCGATACGGGCCTCCCACTTGCAACGCGTCTCTTGCCTTGGAGTGGCACTACCGATGCGGCGGTAGGTCTCAGCACCAGTGCATGGGTCGACGTCGATGGCGGAGATGGTGACTTGGGCATTGCTGCAGCTTGAAAGGAAACCGATGACACGGATATCAGCGACCTCCACGTTGGCAGCGGTATCTTGAACACCAACGAGCATGTCCTCGACGCGAATGTAGTTGGGGACGGTGTCGGAGGCTTGAGTGGTGACCTGGACGTTGATGCAAGTCACACTGTGGGCCAAGATCTCGCCTCCGTTCCTCAATCCAGCGTACTCGATGAAATCGCCAGCCTTCAAAGGGACCATGGTGAGTGGGTCAGGAGCGTTGAAGTTAGACTGTCCAGCCGGGCGATTGGAGTCCTTGCAAGTCTCTGCGTTACCCGAGTGCTGAATGCACATAGGGAATCCGGAGAAGGACGAGACAGATGGGTTCTCGGTGTCCATGATGAAGAAGGGCTGGGATGTCACCTTAGGTGCAAACGCACCCTCGGGGTCGTTGATCCTGACCCTCGGTCCACCAGCAATCTGGATGACACCGTTGTTGATTGAATCGATGTATCCCTGGCTGCCCTCAAGTCCGAACCTGGCCGCAACCTGAACCTGTCCAGCAATGGGAACACCACCGACGATGTTGCCAGTGACGGTTGTCTCGAAGCCTCCAGCTCCTGCTGTGCACAGCTTCGGGAAGGGAGCATATACGACGGGGAACTGGACGATCAGGTTCTTTGGGACAGTAATCGTGAACTCGTTAACATTGATGGTACCACCAGAATTGTACTCGGTGCCTCCAACTTTGCAACTGTTGCTATGTTAGTTAATTCGGGGGAAGGGTAGCGTTTAGACTCACTCATCGAGAGATCCTGTGACCTGGAAGGGGATAATGTTGGGGATATTCTGAGCGAAGCCGACCGAAGCCAGCGAGAAGAGAGAAGCCAGCTGTGTAAGACGAGGCATTTTGATGAGTGTGTTGAGAGTGCTGTGATGAGACATGAGAAGGGAACGCAAGGGATTCTTATATCTTCACTGCGCAGCTTCTTTCTCGCATTTCTCCGCGTTCTGGTCCCCACGATGAGGCCTACACCAGGTCCATTCATGATCTAGCTGGACCATACTGCCTCGTGTAGGACGTCCAGATGCCAGCTGCTCAGATTCCAACGGGTAGAGTAACCTCAATCGACTAGGCCAGCGAAGTCAAGCGAGCCCTACAGCTAGACTTTGCTTACAAAAATCGTCGACTCACGCCCGCGTCCGCCATCAATACTTCCAAGCATTTTAACGAGGCTTGCAGGGCTTCAGCCACCCGAAGAGGTCAATGTCCTTCGACAGCGAGCCCGTAGTGGCAGGGCTGGCCCCGATGCGGCAACTCGAAGACTCGCTACAATCGGTCAAGCTTCTCGTCCATGGGCTTAAGACCAGCGTGTGTCCGCACAGACTAGTCTCGACACCTTGGCGCTGCTTGTCTGTCCCCGGATTGAGATCCACTCGGGAGCGGCTGAGCGCCGCCAAGCAGCCTCGCGATTGCTCAGGACCTAAGCACAAATGCCGGCAACGTGGAGAACCAGCCCGGTACAGTCTGGTACCAGAAGACCATGGAAATTCCAAAGGGCTAGATGGTATTTCTTGTCGCCGCTTTTCTCTGGCACCGGTGTGCACACGACCGTTGAGCCGCTCACCATCCAGACATCGACCGCCGTGACAAAACACCAGCGAAGACTCGGCGTAGGCGAATGGTCTGACCACAATACCAGCTGTAGATAATTCACTCGCCGACGTGCATTCCGCTCCTGTACGGCGGCCTATTCTGAGATGCTCGGCTGCAGGCCCGTCCGGCTGATCACGCTTAGACTTCGAGCTTAAGTTGACCCCCGCAAGGCCGATCAGGCTGTCAGCATCATGAATCTTGGCCGCATCCCATTCGCTCGCTCAAGGCTCACGGCATGGCAAAGCGAAGCAGCCATCGCGCGTCGGGTCCAGAGCATCTTCAGCTGAAAACTCCGTAAGTATAAACTCTTGGCGACCTGTCGGTATCTGGAGCGAGGTGCCCTGCCGACGGTAGAGCGGCGGGTGGCGACCTTAATAGACTCCCAGAAGGATTAGACAATGGCACTGCAAACGCGCCGCTTCAGAACCGTATCGTGGTAGCGTGGGCTCGAACAGGAAAGCCAGGGAAATGGATGATGCTTTGGGGATGGACGATGCTGCCGCTTTTGCGGGGTGTCGCTTATCTGGCGATGGACCAGGCTGAAGCCATGGCACGTGTCGATCACGACGCCTTCCAGCCTCGACGGTGGCTTGTCTTGGCCACAGCCGTCATGTTTGTTCGAAATGCCATGTACATACCATTTCAATGTAGCGCATTCTGACTTTGCGACTCTGCGCCTCGGCGTCGTCCTGCAGACCATGGCTTCACGCAGTCTGGTACCCAGCCCGGTAGCCCAGGGCGGTGACAAACTTGAGGCCTCTCGTGGCTGCGGCTGCACCTCCTGCTGGCCATATGGAACGGCAGTCGAGTTTCTGCGACGTCCACGCGCACACCAAAGAATGCCGCGTGTAGTGCGAGACAAGTTCCCGTGTATTCAGCTGGGATTCAACGGCCACTGTCCCAATCTACAACGCCGCAGATCTCACACCTAAGTCCAACTTCCGGGAACACAAGTACCTGGACACTCACGAGCCGCTGATCCCAGCGATCTGGCGCAACGGGCTACCAAACCTACCACAGTACCTATCCCGCCCAGCAAAACCTCGCCTAATCGGAGTCGTGACGTCCAGGCACGTCTCGCCCCGATGCCGAACGAGCAGAACATGAGGGGCACAGTCCCTTGGCACTGAGAAGACTGTAGGTATCGAATTGCCCTTGGATATGTATCTGTACTGCATCAGTCGCCGAGGCTTCGCTACACCAGACCAAACCAAACACATCCGATCTAGTAACTCCCTTCCCTAATCGGCGAGATATTACAGATATCAGTCTACGCCGTAGAGTCCCGCACATAGGAGGGTAACAAACGTACACATGAGATGTGATTTTTGTCAAGCGTTTAGTTTGCCTACTTAAACAGTATGTAGATGTAGTTTAGCTGGATGTCGCTCTCTGACCCCAAACGACAACGCATGGAAAATACACGCCTTCTCTTGGCTTTAGCGTTTCGAACAACTCATCTTGTAATTCTTTTCTCCTTGCTCGGTTTTCTTCTCCCGGGAGTAGACGCTGGATGGGTGCAACCCAGCTTGTAGGGAAAAGGTCTCTAGCAAAAGCAGACCAGAGCTGCGCCTCAGGCTTGTCGGAAGGGCTCAGTTTGTACACCTTACCCTGGACATTCTCAAGACCCGCGTTGCGCGCTAGGCTTTGAAAGAAGTCCAGGCCTGTGGGATCGTTCGACGGCCAAAACATCCCTGGGTGCATGAGCTGGAGCCATTGCCAGTCGCGAGATATCTCCACATCATTGCTGTCCCGCCAAGTAGCGCGAATGCTCTCGTGCAATTCGAGGAATCCACCTGGAGCTAGCAGAGTCGAGATACTTTTCACGTGCTCCGACCAGTCGTTGACTCCAGCAGCCATAAATCTACTGTAAATGTAGTCTGCTGATCCTGGCGCCAACCGTGGGTCATTGGCGATCAACTTGTGAATGTCGCCTTGGATGAATGTGACGTTGTCGGGCTTGTTGTCGATATCGATGTCGGAAAGATCGACGCCATAGACAGTTGCACTTGGAAACCTTTTGGCCAGGAGAAGTGTCATAGATGCATTGACTCCACAACCCAGATCAAAGATTTTGGTAGGGTCTGATTTCGCGGACAGGGGGGCGTGGATAGGTTCATCGTGCATGAAGGCGACAATTGCTTCGTGCTGCTTGCGGAGCCGATGACGTTCAGTAGCACTGGCCTTTATTAGTGCGCGTCAACAAAAGAGGATGGAACGTACTCGTTTGGCAGGAAATACTTCGACGAGGATTCGCTGTGGAAGGTAGGCTCAGATTGCCTAGCCAGCCGGTTGGAATTCATCTTGCAAGGCGGTAATCCTCGCGCGAGTGTATCAAGTTTTGTGGAGAACAGGACTGTTGGGATAGTTGCCAGGCGGAAAGAAGTAGGTGGATTTTATGTAACCCAAGAGCCGTAGACTGCATAAATGTAGCATGAGTCTCAGTAAATCGCTAGCTTCTACATGCAACTTATCCGAATCGCATTTTCATCATGTAAAACCCCTTCCTGGTGTACACTAACGCTTTATAGAAGTAGCATGTTACTCTGAATCGTAACTATAACTAAATTATAGAGCCGTGAATCATTGACAGCCAGTGCTGCCCAAAGAGAGTGTAGAATCGGTGAGCAATGCCACCCAAACTACTCGACACTGTTGTTCCACAACAACTTAAGTACGATCCACACGACTTTAGCTCCTCCCCTACGGCCCGTCTTCTGCGGTCCGTCTTCTGCGGTCTGTCTCCCTGCGGTCCGTCTCCCGCGGTCCAGAGCTGTACCAAGACTTCGTAAAGTCACGTAGGCAATTTAGATACATGAATTTTACACGTAGCAAAGCTCAACAGCTCATCACATGACCTGTGACCTGATCCTGTTGGCATGAAGCTTAGCACAGTACGCGAAATTGTATCATCGTCAACACCGGCCAGTGAGCACAGATGACAAGTAGTGCCTCTAGATTGGCATCAATACCGAGCAGTTAGACCCTCGGCAAATACAAAGAGAGCTACCAAGTGCACGTATAAGCGCTGATTTGCTGCTTCACAGAAGACTCAACAGGTACCAGTCAGTGCCTTCTCAGAACAGCCCTCATGTTTCCCCAAATTCAGTATCTCGACCTATCGTCGATAATTGTCGTGGTCTTTACACTCATAGTAGCGACGTATCTTTTTAAGGTTTACTCACACCCTTTGAGAGATATTCCTGGACCTTTTCTGGCGCAGTTCACCAACCTTCGTTTCCTGTACCATGCTTGGAAGGGGGATCTTCATCTAGATCATGTGCGATGCCATCAGAAATACGGTTGTCTACGTTGCCCGGCTATCTGAGCGAAGGGGTACAGTGAGCTGATACTTTTATAGGACCAGTGTACCGCTGCGCCCCGAACAGAGTAGTGTTCAACAGCCTCACTGCCGCCAATGGTGCGTGTCTCAGTCCCCCAGTCAATCTACTAATCGCTTACTACCTAACTATCAGCGATTTACTCCACCGATCGCAGTATTCGTAAAAGTGACGGTTACTCATCACATCCTTGGACACGGCAGGAAACTCCTAGTCTGTTCAACTGTGTTGACTCCGTTTGGGCAATCCGAAAGAAGAAGACGTTACGCCCGGCCACGTCACAATCCGCGTTAGACTTGCATCACGCGAGTGTGGATGAAAACGCAGAGGTCTTGGTCAATATGTTCAGGGATGGGCAGCAGCAAGATCTGAGTGAGATTGGTGGGTTTGACTTTTTGACACATGGGAACTGAAACAAAGTCTGACGGTCTGCTAATTCGTTCTCAGGTTTTCACTACGCCCTAGACGTCATCTCTCAGTCAGTGTTTGGCGAAAGCTTCAACACGCTGCAGGATCCGACCAATCGCTGGATGACAGCCTCTCTCGAACGCGGCAATCGACACATGTATCTGCAACTAGCATGGCCTACTCTGTTCCATGTCCTCGGACTATTCATGCGAGTAGAGCTTCTAAGCTATCCGCAGTTCTTCAAGGAAAGCAAAATGTTTCTCACTCTGTGCGAGAACTGTATCAAGCAGGGCAAAGCAAAGCTGAAAAGCTCAATTTACCAATTGATGAAAGCCGAGCTGCCGGATGATGTCACTAACGAAGAGCTCGATGTTGACGTTTACTCATTCATGCGAGGCGGTATTTATTCCCTTGCCGAATGCTCTCTGAAACGCGTTTGACTGATGTTTGTACTAGGCGGAGATATGGTAGCAGTGACGATTGCTGCTGCGTTTTTCTATATTCGACAGAATCCACAGATCTTACGAGATCTTCAGCACGAGATCCGCACAGTTTTTGGCTCGGAAACGCCAACCAGTGGCCCAAAATTGGACAGCTGCACGTATCTACGCGCCTGTATTGATGAAGCTCTGCGTATGGCACCTCCGGGTCCTGGAGTTTTCTGGAGAACCTCTTCTTCCCCCCGCGTCATCGACGGAATCAGCCTCCCTGCCGGAACCGAATTCGGAGTCTGTATCTACGCCCTGCACTACAACGACTCAATCTTTGATGAGCCAGAGCGATACAGACCGGAGCGGATGATCAAACAGAATGCTACTGCGACCAGCGCTCGAGAAGGACTGATCGCATTTCTCCGAGGTTTCAGGGCATGTCCAGCGCAGAAGTTAGCATATGCCACTATATCACTACCCATTGCTAGACTTCTGTGGGATTTTGACCTGAATTCTATAGAGCAAGCGTCAAATACAAAGGCACAGCACAACAAATTGTTTCCGCAGGTTGATGTATTTGGCTCAAACATCTCAGGACCGGTTATATCCTTCAAACCAAAGAATAGGGAAGAGACGAGATAGGCAGATCTTCGAAAAACGTTATTTAACACAAGAACCAGTGGAGGCAAGTTATCTATGTCCAAATAGCAGTTAAAATAAAAGCTTACTGGTTCTACTCAAACCAGTGAGCAGTGCTTGCTAAGATGTGGGCCCGAAGATTGTATCCCTGACCCTACGCTCTGACACTATGGATGTTATGTAAAACCTATCTGGGCAGTACCTACTAGCCAGTTGTTATCATGCCTGGGGCCAGGGCAGCGGCGCTTGATCGAGCACACCCTGTGGCACCGAACCGACGCTACCACTTTAGGACGAATTGACGGCTTACTGTTCTGTGCTTTTATCTGTATCTTCTTGCTACATTATATGTGCTGCACGGAAATTTTCGACATGAGCTCTGTTTTCCCCCTTCGGCGCATGGCGTATCACGTTGCGGCGGTTGTCGTTCACCCTATCAGCAAATTATCTCTTGGCCATTTACATACCGTACTGCGTTTACATAGCTTGTTAGCTTTGAGGTAATTGTGACAATCTCGAATCACCAAACCCAGCCTTAGGCACGACGTCATCCGCTTTTTGTCAACGCAAGTGCCGCACAGCAATGCCGAAGAGCGCACCTTGCTGCCCTCTTACATCACCTTTCAGTAACGGCAAAGCGTCTATTTGATTTGTGCAAGGCGGTAAACAACCTTGGGATATAGACTCTGGAGCCAGGGTCGCGTACAGGCCGCGATTCAATCACAACGGGTCTGTATGGTCAAGGATTGGCAGTGAGAGACAAACGCTAGCCTTTTAGTACTTTTTTCTTTCCGCTTCGACTTTGGTCAATAATCATTGTTTTACATATTGTCAGGCCGTACCTAGGTAGCCTTTGAAATTATGTCCTACAATAACAGTACTGAAATGATCACTGTCCCGTATCGGTGTACATGTGCTTAGACCTCGTCAAAACCCATTTCCACCCACGTCTGCTCCACTTGCTTCTTCAATTCGTCAGGGTAGCTTGTTCGATATCCTACTGTACTAAAGGCCGCACGGGAACCGTGCTCGTACTCCATCTGCAATACACAATCATTAATTACTTTCCCACCTTGTTTTCCCTTGCCTTTCGGGCCTCTGCCATGGCTCATGTACGGTGTCATCGGGAAGCTTGGAACATCCTCGAAAATTTCCTCATCTACACCAGGACGACAGCGCGTAGCGAGCGCCCAAGTTAGTGATTCGAAGGAGTACACATCAACGTCTTTGCCGACAAGAATGAGACGATTAATGAGCATGCATGGCTTGCTGTTGAACAGATGGCTGCCACTCATACGACGGAACTCTGATGCCGTAGTACCGAGACTGCAGAGAGCATCTGTGTCGATTTTGAGAGCACACCAAGTCCCATAGCTTTCAAGCGGTACACATGCAGAGAGAACTGGTAGCCCAATCTCCCGGCAGAGCGCAAGTATCTCAACAGAGGCTAATGCGGCGGTCGTATGCTATAATATCGTTGTCGTTCATTAGTGACACTTTCTTGGCTGCAGAGTTGTGGTGTGAATAAGAGTATCTCACTTACCGATTCATCGCAAGATAACCCTGGCACTGAAATAGGCAGTATGGGATCATCCCTATACGTAATCATGTCCACATGGAACAGTGGATGTTGTTGCTTATTTCCTTCAAACACCACGGCGAGTGCATCGCCGAATGGACCCTCGTCGCCCATTTCCGTCAATGACATCGTCCCCTCAAAGACTATCTCACTGCTTGCTGGTACAAGTAGATTGCTGAGCTCACACTTCACCAAGTCTAGCGGCTGTCCGACCAGTGCTCCGGTAAATTCAGCTTCCGAAATTCCTTCCGGTAGGGGAAGTCCAGCGACAAAGTTGGCAGCTGGTGGTACACCGAATGCCAATGCCCAGGGGATCTTTGTATGACCTTGTGCAAGCCATTCGTTTCTGATGACAGAGACGTGCTGCCCACCGCCTACAAGACAGACTAAGTGCTTGCTGTCATGGACCATTCCTCGAAAGATAGACCAATTGCTCCATCGCCCGTCCGGTGTTTGAAGGATGTGGACCCCATACGTTTGAAGATACTTGCCTCCGTCACCCATATGCAGCTTTGGGGCAGGTAACTTGTGCAGATCCACCATGTCGCCTGTAAGTATATTTGCTTTGCAAGGCCCCGTGGGTAACAGCCGGGGCGGTTGTGCAGGAGCACTTGCACCACTAGCAAGTCGCAACGAAATCTCTTCCCAGCTTGCAGTGGATTTCAATCCAAAAGTCCGTGCGATTCGGCCATATCGATCTTTTGCCGAGCTTCGCAGAGAGGCAGCATTGCCAAACATGCGAAACAACCCCCCAGGCTCAGCGCCCTTTATGTTATTGAACAAGGGTGCTTTGCCCTTGACTTCGGCCACCCTTCGTACAATAGCAGCAGCCTCTAGATGCGGGTTAATCTCGCGGTCAATCTCCACTAAATCACCATCATGACGTAGCGTTTCGATGAATTGACGGAAATCTGTTTGTGCTGCTTCAACACGAGGAATCCTAGTATGGATCGAGCGCCACTGAAAACGGCTGGCTGTATGCGAGCGTTGGCAGAGTCTTGCCTGAAAGAAGAATGGGGGCATCGTGTTGAGTTTGTTACTTGGAGAGCATTCTAGTGTAGATGGTGGAAAATATATTCGCTGCAGAAAGAGTACTTTCATCAGCGGCAATGCTGAGACCCCTTTAAGAATGGATAACGAGGTAATCAGGGGGCAAGACGGGACCAATGGCACACCAAACAGACTGCTCTATTCTGCGGGGATGCTACAGGTCTCCTGTGGCCAGGTCTCCCACCTACTAGATGCGATTGCACGAAGTAGAGTCGGACACATCACAACTTCATCGTTTTGATCTAGAACGCTAAAGTGCAAAGCTTCTGCAAGGAGGGAGCACGGATCTATATGAACAACAAAGTACTGCATAGCGGGTTCTAGAAGTATTTAATGACTAGCACAATAATTGACAGACCTAATTAGTCGCTCTCGGACCGATGTTACTTATGTCCTCCTCCTTTGGTGCATTCCCCTCGTACGCTAGAAATTGAGATCGGGCCGCATCCGAGGGAGCAGTGCTGGTGCTTCTATCACCTTCCTAAGCTAGACTGGCTGAACATTCTAGATGAGACTTATTCACTGTAAGATGCTGCGTGCTGATGGATGATCATCAAGCAGAGGTGCGGAGTTTCCCGATGCCGACTAGGTAAGTAGACCGCCGTGACACTTTTGTGGCGACCGACAACACCGCGGTCATGCTCACGCAACACAAGCTTTATCGATTGGCAACCTCTCATAACTTCTACCCTTCTGCACGACTTCGATGGTTCGCATCTTCCACTCGCTGTCTACTTCCTACACCATCTCATGGCACTGACTCCCCTCCCCACGATCACACATGCGTATCGTACATGCCCGCACGCCCTCGCAGAGTCGTTGTGGGTATCACAGGCGCTACTGGGACCGTTTACGCGATTCGCATACTCCAGATCTTGAAGGAGCTGAATATCGAAACCCACCTTGTCATTTCCAAGTGGGCCCACGCGACTCTCAAGTATGAAACCTCGCTGGGAGCGGCTGAGATCACTGAACTCGCCACCAAATCATACAATGCCCGCGACGTGTCTGCCGCTCCGGCCTCCGGCTCATTCCAGCACGACGGAATGATTATTGTCCCCTGTAGCATGAAAACTCTTGCGGCAGTACGGTGTGGGCTAGGCGAAGACTTGATCGCGCGTGCGGCCGATGTCAGCCTCAAAGAAGGCCGGAAGCTAGTGCTTGTCGTGCGAGAAACTCCTCTGAACGATATTCATCTAGACAACATGTTCACATTGCGGCGGGCAGGCGCCGTGATCTTCCCACCTGTGCCTGCCTTCTATACGCAGCCACAGAGTCTGAATGATGTCATCGATCAGAGCGTGGGGAGAATGCTGGATTCTATGGGCATATTTACTGATATAGCTCCGAGGTGGGAAGGATTCGAAAGAGGCAGGACAGTGAAAGGCCAAGCTAAACGGACGCCTTAGGCTAGGGTAGTCATTGCTACAACAAGGTCTTTGACCTATTCGTATGCTTGTTTGTGAGGTACTTTAAATTTAGATTGAAACTCAGTAGGAAAAACGCCAAGGAGTTTCCTTACCATTGATCATCTGCGGTGACCTGTTTGTTCTCGTGGCGATGTCCTGTTAATTATTTCTTATTTACTGTTAATGTTAGTACAACACACGAAGGTACACGTGCGGTGCTTTTAAGAAACTAAAAAGGGGCTTTATACCGTGCAAAAAATACTGCATTGGGAAAGATTCACCGCAAATTTAGGTAATACCTAACGCTAAGGTATGTTACCTAAATTTACGGTGTATTTTACCTAAAACAACCTATCTTTTATGTGGAAAACACTGGGGCGCGGTGTTGAAGACACCACACACCAGTGTTAAAGACACCGTAATCCAGTGTTCTTTTACCCATCTCTGTACCATAGTGACAGCAAGTCTAGTATACATTGGTTGCAGTTCACTCTAGTTTTATAACAACACTCTTACACTCCAGGTACTCTGAAAGGCTATGTCCAAGACCTTCACGACCCTGACCGGAGCATTTGTAGCCACCAAAAGGCATATCTTGAGGGCTTGTCGGGCTTGTGCAATTGACTGCCACAAACCCGGACTCAAACGCTTTTGCCACGCGAAGCGCGCGGCTGAGGTCTTTCGTATACACGGAAGCGTACAGGCCGTATTCTGTAGCATTCGCCTTTTCGATGGCTTCTGATTCCGTCTTGAATGTATTGATGTTAACAAACGGGCCGAAAATCTCTTCCTTTTGCGTCTTAGCGTCCTCTCTGACATGGCAATAGGCGGTGGGTTCAATGAAGTAGCCGCCGTCCCCGGTTTCGTGCGAGGCTCTGCCCCCGGTGAGGAGCGTGCCGGTCGTCTCAGATCGCGCAGCAGCGATGTACGCTTTGATGCGCTCGAACTGTATTTGGTCTGCCTGCGGGCCCATCTCCGTGCTCGCGAGCATCGGATCACCCTTCTGCGCCGCGGAGAACAATTCCACAAATGCTGACATGAAGGACTCTGCGATGGACTCTTGCACGTAGATCCTAGTACCGGCCATGCAGGTCTGACCAGAATTGAACAGTACGGATCTGGCTGTATCAGCCGCGACTATGTCAACATCGGCGTCGTCGAAGATTAGTGTCGGCGATTTGCCCCCTAACTCGAGAATAACCTTCTTCAGATTAGATGATGTAGCGGCCGTCTGAACTGCTCGGCCCGTCACGGACGATCCCGTGAAGTTAATTACGCGAATGTCCATGTGCGATGCAAGTGTTGTCCCGCAGGGAGTGCCATGGCCACTCAGGACATTGATGACCCCAGGGGGAAACCCCGCTCGATGAGCTAGTGACGCCAGCTTGGCAGACTTGAGAAATTGTCAGTACGTGCTACCATTGACAGCGGAAAACTGATAGGGTAAGGGCTCTTTACACTCAACGGCGCTTTCTCGCTCGATTTCAGGACAACGGTGCAGCCAGCGGCCAGAGCAGGGGCGACCCTCGACGCCCACATTGCTACCGGTATATTCCAAGGGATGATGATTGCAACAGGTCCGAATGGTTGCCTGAAGGTCATGTTCACATACCCCGGCGTATTAAGACTGGTCATTCCCTGTGCTTCCCAACCGGCTTCGGCGTAGTGGTCCATTTGCGCGGCAGCATAAGTCGCATCAAAGTAAGTCGACACTGGCCGACCCATGGACAAAGCATCTAGCTGAGCAAGCTCATGTTCTGCCTCTCTGATAAGCTTCGCCATTCTCTTCATGAATGCTGCTCGGGTAGGAACATCGAAGTTCGACCAGGCTGGAAATGCGGCCTTGGCAGCAGCTACGGCACGATTGGTATCATCAACCGAAGCCTCACTGACGTCTGCGATATGGTTGTGAGAATAGGGCGATTTGAGGGGAAAAGTCTTCCCATCGCTAGAGCATGAGAAGACGCCGTTGATGTAGTGACGGGATTCAATATTGTTAGGATGCACCGTCTGAGCCATGTCGATGTTTGATGGGGTGATAGTGAATGTCGTTCTGATTTCACCTGGATTAAGCAACCGGCGCACATGTTATATAGAATTCATGGCGACAACCTATCTTAGTAGACAGATGTCAGAAGAAGCAGAGAGCCCGACATGCCCAACTGACAGGCCAGAATCTGACAAGCTGCATATCAACACGCTTGGCTGCGAGGAGATGGCTAGTGCAGTATCGTGGCTAACGTACTCAATTCTTTTACGTCTAGCGCTAGTGGACAGCGATTACACAACAGCGATTACACAACAGTGATTGCATATGAGCCTCTTTTTTTTAGGCTTTGGTACTATTGGATGTTCATATATCCTCGGTCCGTACCTTTACCTTTCCAACCATTCATTCGGACTACAGAGGACTAGCCTTGAGATACTGAAAACTACTGGTTCCTCCACCACCTCGTCATTTTGATCATATATTGCGATCCAGCAACGGCTATTGACAGCCACCAGGGCCAGTACGCCGAGATCGAGAGCACGCTGTTCCTTGGCGGCTCAGCACTGGACATGTCGAGCAAGAGTTACGACTTCATCGTCGTAGGGTGTGAGTCTACTCACCAGTGTTCGCCTTCGATGGCCTTTCGATACCAGCTCCTAACACCAGTCAGCGGGTCCGGCGGGCGCCTGCGTGGCGTCGCGTCTCGCGTCTCACAAGTCCCACCCCGCTGTTCTCCTAATCGAAGCCGGCATAGCCAGAGACGTCTCCAATGCCAATATACTAGCCGAACGGTGGTCAGCTGCGTCGCAGTTTCCCAATAGTGTGGAGAAGCACACCACCGAAGCTCAGACGTGGCTGGACAATCGGTCTATCGACTACAGCCGCGGCAAGGTCTTGGGGGGAAGCAGTGCCATTAACATGTGTGCGTACACCGTGGGGCCGAAGGACGACTATGATCGCTGGGCGAGGATCATGGATGATGCTAGTTTTGGCTGGGAGAATGCGGTCCGGATCCGCAAAGAGAAGATAGAGACATATCATGGAGAGCGCGAGGAAGAGTTCAGGGGCTACACACCGCTGGATACGAGCATGTATGGCACGCAGGGGGTGCTTTCTGTATCGCTCCCGCGCGTTTGGGAGACCTCGATGGTCGCACAGTTAGATGCTGCAGAAGCGTCCGGGCTGGGCTTCAGTCGCGACATCAACAGTGGCAATCCACTGGGGATGGCGAGCGTGCCTTCAACAGCAAAGAACGGGCTGAGAGTCACGGCTGCGAAGGCATACCTGGAAGACGCACCTGAGAACTTGGTGATTCTGACGGAGACACAGGTTGTCAAGATTCTAATGGAAGGGAAAAGAGCCGTCGGGGTTCAGGTCGCGGGTGGCGAGGAACGTAAGTGCTCAGTGCAGAGAACAAACGCGATAAACACTGACACGATGCTCGCCACAGACCACGCATCGAAGGAAGTCATTCTCTCAGCAGGTGCAGTCGAGACCCCCAAGCTCCTCATGCTGTCCGGCATCGGCGACGCAACAGAGCTCGCAGAACACGGCATCGAGTCATCACACCATCTCCCCGGGGTAGGGAAATGTCTCCAGGACCACCTGTGCGCTGCCTTCTGCTGGAAGCAGAAAACAGCCAGCCTCACCTGGGCGCAGCATTTCTCAGACCCGGACACTGTCAAACAAGCACACGCCGAGTTCCGCGAGCACGGCACAGGCCCGCTGAGTGTGTTCTTCCAGGGCCTCACAATGGGCTTCTTCAAGGCCGACGAAGTGCTGCACACACCAGAATTCTCAAGCCTCGACGCCGCCGTGAAAGAACACCTGCGGAAACCCACCGTGCCGATCTGGGAGCTGAGCAGCCGTACGCCCCCCTCCCCTGCTCCTGAACCCCCGCAGCTGACCGCGCAGACATCCCGCCCTGCACACCCGCCGCCCTCGCCGCCCCGCAGCACGAATACCTAACCTGCTTCGTCTTCCTGCACAACCCGCAGTCGCGCGGCCAGGTCACCCTGCGATCTGCATCCCCCACGACCCCGCCGCGCATCGACCCGCGCTTCTTCTCTCACCCGTTCGACCGTGTGTGTGCAGTCGCAGCCACGAAGCGGGCACTGGCGTTCGTCAGACATGCGTCCATGGCGGCCGGTATTGACGTTGCAGTTGACGCGCCTGCGAGCGAGCGGGACGAGGATGTGCTGGCGTACTGGCGGGCGCGGGCGGCTAGCACGTGGCATCCGGCGTGTACGGTGAGGATGGGGGGTGATGAGGATGAGGGGGCTTGTGTAGGCCGCGACTTCCGGGTCAGAGGCTTGCAGGGTCTGCGGGTGGTGGATCTGAGTGTGCTGCCGTTTCTTCTGAATTGCCATCCGGTGAGTGTGGCCTACCTTGTGGGGGAAATTGCGGCAGAGAAGATTATAGCAGAATATTATACTTAGATAGAATGTTATATAATATAGCTATACCGGTGCTTGTCGATATACCTTATGCTGACTACCCCCTACCTTGGTACAGTATACTGTCACAGTCACGAGTCAGGTACCCACACACCCTAATTGGCTGGATAGCTATAGGATGCGTGTGTGTAAGATGTAGGGGAGGGCTAGACTCTATATACAATAGTACCTAGGTAGTGCAGGGTACCTGTAATGGGTACAAAGACTAGACTGCTCTATACCTACAGTACTGCTCTATCAGGTACCTACCTAGGCAGCCACTTACAGAGGTTACAGAACAGTTGCAACGTTACTAACCTTAGGCTAGGTAGAGATAAGAAGAGGCTTGCCTGTCTATAGATACCTAACTAGGTAGGTACTTAGGAGATACCTAGGAGATGCCTATTACCTTCGCCTTAGAAGACATTATATGCAGGACGCTCTCTAATAGCAGAGCTTCCGTATAATGTACTAAACTAGGGGGTGGTCCGCACATATCAGTAAGCATTATATAGTAATTAGACCGTCTAAGTAAGCAGACTATTCTTACAAGCTATCAAGCTCTCCATAAGTAGTAACTTAATATGACCCTACCCATAGCAAATGTTAGCAATTACTAACACCTACCATATTCACTCTATAAATCGTACTCTCGTGTCGCAGCAACGCCGGAGCACGAAGGGAGAAAGAGAACAAAAAGGACAGCCCCCCTTACCGTCTCTACCCTACAATCCACCACCACAACCTACCATCCACCTACCCTACCACAGCCTCCTGACGCTGACGCTGACGTGCAACAAAAAAGCACACAAAGGACACAAAGAGGCGTTGGCTCTCCTGCTCTGCTATGCTCTGCTCTGCGGGGCGGAGTGGAGTGGAGTGGAGTGAAATGGAGTTGAGTTGAATAAAGTAGAGTAGAGTGGAGTGGAGTGGAATAGAATAGAGGGGGTGGGCCGTACGAGCGGACTGCGGTGACGCGTTGGGTTGCGGATATGTATATGTATATCTACATCTACATCATCTACATCTGCATCTACATCTCTACCTCCATCTCCATCTCCATTTCCATCTCCATCTCCATCTCCATCTCCATCTCCATCTCCATCTATCACGAGACAGCAGTGCGGTGCGGTGCGGTGCAATGCGGTGCAATGCGGTGCAATGCGATGCGTGTGTATCCATCCACCACACAGGCCAGGCGTGCACTACTACACCCGCCTATTCATTATTCTTGCTTACAACACTCACTTACTCACTCACGCCAACAAGATTTCTATTTTTAGATTTGGATTGTATTCTGTGTTTTTGTCTTGATTTACTCGATTATCGTATCCCCGACTCCTCCCTTCCCCACACCATGTCTCCATCCCAAGCCCACCCCATGCCGCCACGCCTGAACGCCTGTGTGCATCCACTCAACGCCTGTGCATCCACTCCGTAATATAGAACCCCCAACCCAAACCTAGAACCCCGAAACCCCAAAACCCCAAAACCCAAAAACTTAGAAAACAAGGAACTAACAAAGTAGAAAACAGGGGGAGAGCAGTACACCAGAGCGGTCAGCGCTTGACCACGCTCCGGCGCAGAGGCTCGCCATGCAAAGGTGTGCAAAACGCAACGCTGGTGGATGCTCGCTTACTCGCTTACTCGCTTGGGGGGATGGGTGTCGTGATGTATGTGCGTGTGTTTGTGTCGTTGTGGGTATGTGTTGTATGTGTTGTATGTCGTGGTATCGTGTGTGTCTTGCGTCTCTCTTACTTTGAAGAGGTCACCTCTTCTCCCTTCTCTCTTCTCTCATATCTCTCAGTTTCTCTGGCCTCGTCGCATCTCTGCTCGTCTTGTCTCGACACCCGCCATGCCGACCGGGCAGCCGCCAGACACGGCATCGGCATCAGCGCCTCACCGACCCCGCCCACTTAGCCACGCAGCCAGACCGCGATCCCAGGCAGAAAACCGCGTTCCATCCCAGACCGCAATCTCAGATCCCATTCCGCGAGATCCTCGTACAATAGCCACATTGCCCCACACCCGGCACCGGCAAAACGCGGCGCAAAAAAACGCAGCCAGCCGATGTGCGTTTTTTTCTGCAGAGCGCCTGCACGGGCCTGCAAGGGCCTCACAGCCTGCAAGGTACGACAGCAGCCACGGAGCCAGGCTCCGCAACGCACGCAGACCGCCGGACACGTGATGGTGGGTGGTGAGGTGTCAGGGAAAAATTTGCCACCGAGGGAGAGGCCGGGGCCGGGGTCTGTGCGCTGGGAGGTGTGCCGAGGAGTGTGTACGATAGCGTGGATGAGTATGAGTGTCGTGTGATTGCTGGTGTGCTGCGGTCGTCGCGATGCGGTGCGATGCAGCACTCCCTGCGAAGCACGCAGCATCGCAGCATCCAGCGTCATCACCCCGCTGCGAAATCCTGCTGGCTGGCAGGATGCGCTCGGAGAATACGCGGGGTTCCACACGCTCCGCGACCGGAAACGCATGTCTCACGATCAGCGCAAGGATTCGTAGCAGCGCCAGGATGGCTGCCGGGATGCGGCGCCGTCGACGTCAAATCACGGGCGTTCTGAGTCGTGAACGCGACGAGGGTCTGCTGCGCGGGTGCCCGACCGAATGATAGCGGGTGGGGAGCAGACAAAAGAGTCGGTAATGTATCCGGGTGCTGTGATCGGGCCTATATCGTTTTCCGGATCGAGTTTCCGGATTGACGGCTGTAGTCCGGCGGCGGTGCTGCGGGTCGACGTTGCTGCGTCGCGGTGCATTATCCCGAGGCCCTGCAGCCGCACAACGATGCAGGATGCAGGCTGTTTGTCTGTCAGGCGACTCACACCGGCACGCCGACCCAGCGCGCCGGCACACCGCCCTCCTGCGCGGCGCTCTTCGCGCCCAGCTTGCGCGGCGGCAGCCAGATGCGCGCCTTGCCGACGGCCTTGGCGTCCAGCTTGCCGCACCGGCGCATGTTCATCTCCAGCACGATGACGCGCAGGAAGTCGCTGTTCTCGCGGGGTTCGCGCTGGCGCACCGTCGGGGTCGGCGACTGCAGGCGGCCCGCCTCGGACAGCGGGTCGGCGGACTTGCTGCGGCGGCGCGAGGTGGCGCGGCCGCGGCGGTCGTACGTCTGCATCGGGATCATGGGCGCGGAGGTGTCGGCGTCGGAGTCGAGGGTGAGGGCGTCGTGGAGGTGCATGGACAGCTCGGTGGGCGAGATGGGGGCGGGGGTTGGGTTGAGGTAGCGGCGCAGGGCGGGCGAGGGGAGGCCTTCGAGGTGCTTGGGGCGCATTTCGCTTGTGAAGCGCGGCGAGAGGATGGAGCGCGTGAGGAGGTCCTCGGGGGGCACGCTCGGGGCGGTGAAGTTGGAGAAGGACTTTGCGGCTTCTTTGAGCGCCTGGAAGGAGGCTGTGAGGTTGGATTTGAACGACTTGAAGCGCTCGTTGGAGGGCGAGATGGTGATGAGGTCTGCGGCATTCTCTTCGGTGAGCTCCTCCGGCGCCTCGACGTTGAAGTGGAGCAGCGGGTGGTCCAGGACGCAGTCTTCCTTGGGCGGTGACGAGTAGATTCTCTCCCTGCGAGAAACCGACTCGGGCGTGCTGATGTTGTCCCACTGCGAGGCGTACGAGGAGGCATCGTAGTCCAGCGAGGGCGGCAGCGTCGACAGCGAGTCGCTGGAGATGGACCTCGAGGCGCCGAAGCGGCCCTTCTCCTGCTCCAGGCTCGGCAGGCTGCCGCCATAGTCCGACTCAGACTCGTCGACGCGGCCCAGCAGCACGTCCAGCGGCGACATGGACCACGACGGCGGCGTCTCCACGTGATCCTGCTTCCACTCCTGGATGAGCTCGTCCATGGAGATGCGCCTGTCCGAGGCGGGGCGCTTGCGGCGGCGGTGCGACTGGCGGGCGGGGATTGCGGTGACGGCCAGCAGCGCGGCGACGGCGGGCGGGAGAGTGTCCGAGTGGTGGCTCTGGGTGGACGAGGCTGGGCGGCTCTGGCCCTTGACACGTACAGACGGCGTCGAGGTCGGGCGTGTGGGCGTCCGCGGCGGGATCACAACCGGGCTGGAGTGCTTCAGCATGGCGTCGGCGGCGGTCGAGGCAGCGGGCTCGCATGCGGGATTGGTGGTGCGCGGAGCAAGCGGCGGGCGTGTTGTCCGTGAGCGCATCTTGTCGGCAGGCGTGCTGCGCGGCGAGGGCGGCGAGGCGTGCATATATGGAAAGGCCCTTGGCGAGATCATGGTGCAAGTCCCTGTGGGCGTTTTCCCGTGACTAACGTGCTGCGAGGCCCAGCACGGCTAGAGGGCGGTGACGTTGGTCGGATGCGCGTCGGGATGGATTCCTTTACGTTATTGCTGCGGCGGGATTGGATGGCCGACAAGGGGAGCGTCAAACACGCAGGGTCAGGGCCCGCCGAAGGTCCCCGGGCACGCGACAGCGACCGTAGCAGCGGGAGAGAAGCAGACAGCGAGGACGGTGCGAGGGAGAGTGCTGCACTGTTACAACTGTGTAGAGAGAGGGAGGAGGACAGCAGCGAGGCATGCAGACGGCGCTGGCATGCGCGATAAGGCAAGGCAGCACCTCAATCAAGGGTTATCAGTGCTGGACGCGCTGCGTAATAACGGCCAGTCGCGTGGGCCAACCTTCCTATCGAGCACAAGAGCCCACCGGCATCAGCGCTGCATGCGACCATGTCACGGCGCAGCCTGCCACGCTCAGGACGCTGCCAGGCACTGCTGCGCCGGAGCCTCTCTCTGCTGCCCAGCCACTCTCCACGTTGGGCAGCGCACTCTGAAACCCTGAAGCGCTGTGCGTTGCTGCCGGTCAGGTGCGTCAGCAGCCGCTGCGCCGCGGGGACCGCCGCGGAGGACGTCGAGCATTCCGACCGCCTGTGCGCGACCCTCCGCGATTCGATTCGCGACGCCATCAGCCCTGCCCCACGCATGGAAGCTCCTTAGAAGCCTCGCTGGGGCGGTGAGGGCAAGGCGCCCAGCAATCCCCAGCCGCGGTGTCCAGCGCAGCAAGCAGTACCCAGCACAGCAGTACATCAGTCCGCCGCACGCTGCCTTACCAAAAACTCTCGGTGCTCACGCGTTGGCAACACCTCGCGATAAGCCGCCACGCGCACCACCACGCCTCGCAATGACCGCATAACATACCGCAGAGGCGCCCGTAGTGCGAGCTAGCATCTGGGGCCGCGGCCTGTCAGCTGGCGATTCCTTATCGCAGGCTGCAGCTCTGTCGCGCATGCGCTAAGGCGTATCTTTACCCCAACCGGCTGTGGGGTGCATGCGCGCGATGCCCCAAGGGACCCGCGGTGCGTATTGGGGGGTGTGGCTGGCGACCTGGAAGCTGGTTTTGTTGCGGCTGCAGACCATGCTTGGCTTGCGTGCGATCGGCCAGCACAAGTCAACACGCATATCTACACGTTGCACCTCTCCACACGGCGCGCGCTGAGCTGCTCTGCCAGCCTCTCGCACACGGCTTTGCAACTCTGTCCTCGCCCTCCCCACCTTCCGCTTCAGTCCAAGATCTCCCTTAGCCCGGAAGAAGAAGGTCGGGCGGTGCCAGCAGCCTCAATAGGAAGGCCACGGCTGCGCGCCTCACGGTGCTGCGAAATAAGGGTCCAGGCAGCGGTTTAGTATCATCATGGCTTTAGTATCATGGCATTTAGTTTCGCATTCTCTGCGGCCCTCGGCTCAGCCATAATCATACACGTCGATCCTGCTCGCGAGCATTACCGTATGCATCCCGCGCCGCCGCTACACAAACAAACAAAGCGCATATCAGCACAAGTACCCAAAATCCAATGCACCGCCCAGACGCCGTCGACTCGCACAAATGCTGCAAGGACCAAACCCGCAAGATAGACAGAAACACTGAAAACGTGACTCTCAAATCTTTCGCCACCCCCGAGGTGCAGGGGCTTCTTGTGGGTACATGCATAAGTGACATGCAGTATACCATGTCGACCTCGTACGTGGCGACTATCGCCGCCAGATGCGTTTCGTATAAAGAGATGAGTCGAAGTGAAAATTTTCAGACAGCCACCCCGACGAGCGTTACAGCGAAACAAGGTAAGACTGCTGCACGCCGTCGAATGACATGCCAGATAGCCGACATGTGGTGGTGCCGACTGTCAAAGGATTCCCGCGAAATGCGCCGAGCGGGAATGTCGAGAATTTTGTTTGGAATGTCGAAAAATGTCAGCCCAGCGACGCTTCAATACACGCTACCATCGTCTGTCCAGCCGGCTTCGCTGCAGCGCACCATGCGACCGTCCTGATCCATCGTCGTGCTGCCATCGGCCACATTGCGGATGCCTCTGACCTTCTTGCCTTGGATTGGGCGCGGCGTGGCTGCGTGATCAGGCGTGGGACGCTTCACCTGGCTGCGACGGTAGGTCTGGAAGTCGACATCACTCTCAGGCGCATCGTCAGACTGTTCACTGAAGGTTTCCCAGTTTTCGGACGCTGCCTGCCCAGAGCCTGTTGATGACGCCTGCGAGATGTGCCGACTGCTGTCTGATGACGACAGAGAATGATTCGGCGCGTGCGCTTGCGACGATACAGGGTAGCCAGGTCGCATAGTTTGGCTGAATCGGTCATTGTACGGATCCTCTGGCGGTATGCTACGAACGATACTCTCGCTGCGCTCACCGCGATTGAACTCGAACCGATTTCGGGGCGTCTCAGCAGGGTCCGGGGGAATAAACAGGTCTTTCATACGTGGGGGTGGGGCCATCGGAGGACCCATCCTTCGCATCGTCGACGACTGCGAGTCAGCTCTCGAGTGCAATGACGACGCTGTGGAGAGTATCGAGTCACCTCGCGAGTGGGTTGAATGCGTCGATTCAGCTCGGGACAGTGTGGAGTCGGTTCGATGAAGAGTGCCAGGCCGTCGCTCGGGCGAACCCATGACTTTTGGTGCAGCGCGTGTTGGTAGCTTGGAGGGACTCTTCGAGCCAGACGCCGCAGAGACCGACTGCGCAAAAGGATTGCCTCGCATGGTGCTCGCGCCAAAGTTGACTGATACAGGCGTCTTGACCCGGCTGGGTGGCTCATGCATTGTCTGGCGATGGTTTGTTTGCCCGTGAGTCGTCTGCCCGTGAATCGTGCCAGCGCGAGGGCGAGCGAAAGAATTGGACTTGGTGAGTGTCCCCTGTTTTGAGGGCATGTTCGTGCTGGACGTGCTCGCGCTGGACGGTGTCTTCGACCGCGGTCGAGGCTGAGAAGCAGCGTAGAGTTCGTCCAGGTACCGTTCGCCATGAACAAGGAACGGCCGACCCCACTCGTCTTCGTAGGCTTCGAGCGTCGCTCTGAGCTCTGCCTCAACCTTGGGCAACTCCTTTGCAATGCGTTTGCGCATCTTCTCCTCGCGCAGCAGCTTTCCAGGATCTCTCTTCTCGCCCTTCTGACCTCGGCCCATCAGTCGAGAGGCGTCCTGGCTGGATTGCTGGAGATCAGAGCGCTCCTTGATGAGCTCGCGGTGCCGGTCGATCTTTGAAAGAATAGGCAGGCGTTGTTCCTTGAGCGATTCCAGGCGTGAGATCTCCGCCTCGTGTGCAGACAAAAGTGCATCGCTGCAGACTTCAGAGAAGGCAGGGGTAAAGTCTAGCATCTCTTCCTCCGAGAAGTACAGTGCATCCCATAGCTCTTGTAGTTTTAGACGCGCCTCTTCGACAAAAATGTGCAGATTTTGGCGCTTGAGCTCATTCAGCCTCGAAAGCTCGTCCTCGAATTCGTTGACTGTGCGCAGACCGCAACCGCGGTTGCTGGCGAGAAAGTGCTTCTGCTCGCTGGGATCCACACTGAGACGCTCCCACAGTTCTTCGATAGTCGCTCGCAGCTGCGCAATGCGCCGTTCCCGACCATGCTTCTCCTCAATCAGACGCTCCTTCCTGGTCTTGAGCACGCCCAAGTCTTCTGCGTGCAGACCCAGCTGCTCTGGCGCATCGCGGTGGTTCTCGACGATTGCCGAGTCTGTTTGCGCCTGTGGTGTGCCGAGCTCAGCCCAGAGCTGGATAATCTCCTGGCACAGAACCTGAACCTGGCTGCGGCGCTTTGTGTATTCCTCGTATACGCGGGTAAATTCAGCATCCAGCTTGGCTGTGTAAGAGGCTGATATGTCGAAGGAGGGTGGGATAGTCCCATCTGGCGCCGTGGGGGGCAGCTTGATCTTGACGAAGTCGGGCTCGAGGTGCGACGCGTACGACTCGAGCGCCTCAGCAAGTTCTGCGCATGTCAGCATAGCCAACGAATAGAAAAACACGTGACCTACTCTGCACGTTCTCGGAGCGCTCGCGGTGCTGCTTCGCGAGTGTGTTGTACTTGGCCTTGAGCGCCTTCAGACAGCGCGTCAACGGGAACGTGACCTGCGGCTCGTCGTCGTCGTATTTAGCGCTGCTCCTGCTGTCGCTCATCGAGGCCTCCATCTGCTTGATCGTCTTGATCAGGCGATGCGCCTCTTCGGTCATCTCGTGCTTCTCATTGGTGACGGTGCGCAGCTGGCCGTGGAGGGTTTCCGACAGCGCAGAGAAGAGCTGGCCCAGTTAGCTGCTGCCGGCGCATGCACAAACAACGCGTACCTCTGCCTCGCGCGAGTCGCGCTCATGGCCGGGCACGCCAATCTCGTCGAACAGGCCGTGCAGCTGGCCGATGATGGTGGTGACCTGCTGGGCGAGGTAGCCGGTGTCCATGGTGGCTGCTCCTGCCGGCGGCGTCGCTGGTCGCGTCGTTGGTCGCGTTGTTGGCCACCGATGGTCGCGTATGCACTGTGACTGACAGCAGTGGGGCAGGCTCGGCGGGGATCGCGAGAGGCCGAACGTCAAACGTCGATGCGCAGCGGGGGAGCGGGACGCAAGCGAGGAATGGGCCGTCGCAAGAGCTGCAGTTAACGAGAGGATTTGCGCCGACCACGCTCACGACACCCGCAGTATGGATATGTGGTCGTGACAAGAATGCGAGCCAGGAGTGATGCAATCGTGAACATGGCGATGGCCGGCCTATGGTCTGTCTGTGGCTGGCGCGGCTATTTTTGGTGCCGTGTTGATCGCCGTTGCCCCGGCGATGGCCCGCCCGTCAACAGAAAGCACCGTTTCATCCACATCATCTCCGCACCACTCGCAGCGCAGCCAGCGTTCAACAGACAAAAACCTGGTTGTACCGCAGGGATGTAGAGTGTAGCGCGCAAGGGCTGTATGGGGCCGAATCACATGCAGCGCTGCCGGCTGCCCGCGCAAACATGCTGCTCCTTCAGGACCGTCTGGAAGGCAACTGCACGGCCATCACATTTGTAAATGCCATCCCCGCGCCATCGCAAAGGCGTTGCTCTTGCGTGTGCAGTTCGCATCGGCTGATCTCCCGATCGTCCTCTTTTCTCCGGCCGTCACGCACCAACCACTTACTGACCCGCTGCACTTGTGCCCGCTCCTCACGTTCGCAGCCAAAGTGGGGAGGCGGCTGTTGGGCGACCGCGTCTCCTAGCAACCCCCGCGACCTTGCTTCGAGCGAGCTGAAGAAACTTGGTCAACCCGACCGCGTGCATGCTTAGACAACTTTGGCTTGTACAAACACGGTGATCTGCCGTGGCTTCAGGGTCGAGGTAGGCGGATATATGCGGTTGTGGTGATCGTCAACGAGGAGAAGTGTTTGTTTGGCTCAGCAGGACGTCACAGCTGATACCCTGGACGAGCGGATCTGTCACTCGCTTTTCTTGGCTGCATGTATATGACAGTAAATAATGATCTTCAATATGATCATCTGTATTCGTGAACCGTCACAATAATCAAATCTAGTCTGTGTTCGCAATGCAAAGGTCTCAACACACGCACTTGCACCTTGATAAAGTTGGACGCTCTCAAATGTCGGCGTGGAAATCAGAAATCTACCGTATACCTAATGTGAGGATTGTGTCCATGATATCACATCCACATATATGTCGCTCGTGTGTTGACCTGTTAGACCGATAGTGGTTTGGGCAGCGCTAGGTATCAACCATCGCGGCGAGCTAAGCGAGCCACCAGTTGTTAGCTCCACCACAAACACCTGCTGCGGGGTTGTATTGATGTGAGAACCTCACCTGCTGTTTTCTCTACTGCCGACTCCTCGATGGACTTGCAATATCTCTTGTTCTACCGACCGAATCTTCATCAATCCAGTACAAACTGGCCTAATGGCCCAATGGCAAGGCGCTTGACTACGATTCGTTCTGAAATCAAGAGATTCCAGGTTCGACCCCTGGTTAGGTCACACGAGAAGATTTCTTTTTTGTCGTTTTGCCCTTTAGTTGGCATAGAGTAAAGGAATAATATTACGCTCTAGAGTAACATAAATCTCTGTTTTTCTTTTTGATAGAACACACATGTGTATAGATTTACAAAAGCTCTTTACATCTTACTAATTACTATCTGCTCCTGAGACAAATACTACAAGCACGGTGGCATACCTGGAATATTATGGTAAGCTTCAAGCCGATAGTAGGAGATAAGGCAAGACTTACGTTGCGCCAGCAACAACCAGCTCAATAGTTCTAGCCTTCGTTGTTGCTGCAAGAACTGAGAGGTAGAGCAGTGTAGACACCATGACTACCGCCAGCCGTACTAAAGAATTATGCGTCACACTACAGATAACCACCGGCGAGAGGAGTAGACATGTGATCAAAAGTAGGAGGATGGTTCGGGCAATTCGTCGAATTCGAGTTCCAGAGTACAAATACACATTTGGATTGTCGGAGAGATTGTGCTGATGATTCTGACGATGTGATCAGCCGCAGTCTCGAGGGCCTTGATCATACTAACGTTACGGAACCCATGCCAGAGCCAGACCATTGTACGCTCCACCCAGCTCTCTAGTCTCAACACAGGATTGTCTGCGGGCGATGCTAGACTTGCAAGATCTTTTGTATGAGAAAGATACATGGTCTCGTCACGAGGGATGCACCCGGTTGCGCTCAGCCAGTTCTGTAAGCTCGTTATGTCTTTTGACTCAGCAGCCGACGAATCAAACAGGCTGCGTGTATTTTTTAAGAATGTATCTTTTGGTAGTCAGGCTTCGCTATCGACTACTTTGTGACAGCCTTTATCTTACCATAATCTAATAACTTCTCTTCAAGCTCTAACAGCACAGCCAGGCGCTCGTCGTTCTTGTCAGATCGACTTGAGCCTAGGAAGAGTGGACATTGCTCATGTTTATCAATGTTGTCAAGCTTCGCCTCGAGTACAGAGAGTCTTTCTTGCTTGAGGAGGAGTATCCGGGCGCGAATTCTATCAAAGCGGCGGCACAGGAAGAATGGTCCGTAGGCCGAGATAAGAGCTGAGAACTGTGGATACCCAGCCCGGAAATCTTCAACTTGACGCAGTGAGTAATCGAAGTTCAGGAATAAAGTGCATCCATACCCTTTTCGGTTACGTCAACGTTCGTACTTGAAGCCATCGACGAGTGCTGCCTACAAAAAGATATTCAGGATTGCGATCACTGAAAAGTGTAAAGGTAGTCTTGCAAGTGATTGAGTACAGTATGCAGCGGTCAGCAGTCTCTCTATTGCTTTGGTAAGGGGAAGTCTAAGCCACAATCCGGTGAGTACATCGAAGGTACGCTTTACATAGCCCTGTTGCATGCTGACTGCGTGCATTAGTTACCGTGCACGTGCACCCAACGAGCCAAGTCAGCCAACGAGCCACTACAATATAGAGCTGCGATTTCAAAAATGAGGCTATAGAGCCACCCACAAAAGCTATAATCGCGAGATTTCTTGGTGTATTGATAAATAGATGTATGCGAAACTTTCTAGCTACTCAGCTAATCTTTTAGGTGCATGTATTGATCGTGTGCGCGTCTTCTGGGGCGGCTTCTGGGGTGCCGTGGGTGCAGCGTCTGCCTGACTTGCTGCACCCACAACACGGCGACGCTTTGGTGGATTTTTTGTAGCACTGTGTGAGGCTTTTCGCTTACGCTTATTAAGTGTATCGTGAGCTTTTTGTGCGGTTGCAGCATCGCGTTGCTGCTTTTTGAGTGCTCGTTGAGCAGCGAGCTCTTGAGCCTGTGCTTTTTTGGCCTCACGACGCTCCTCAGCAGCACGTTGTCGAGCTACCTTTGCTTCAAGAGCAAGCTGCTTTTGAAGTAACTTTGAAGCCTCTCTTGCCTCTTTATCGAGAGCTTTTTGGAGTTGTAGCTGCTTAGCGTTATCCTGTTTTATACGCTCACGATAGCGAGCTTCGCGGAGCTTTCTTGGAGACCAGAGGACTGCACCACCATGGTACTCCTCGCGCTGTTGAAGGTCTATAGTCTTGCTGTTATTGGTGCGCTTTCCTCTTACGTTAAGCGCTTCTTGTAGGCCTTGGTTCTTGTGGTGGAGTAGCTCGTTTTGTACTTGTAGAGAGATTAACGAATCCTCCAGCTGTTTGGCTTCAACTTTCGACTTATCAGGCACCGCAGCATTGTAGATTTTTCGCAGCTCTCTCTAGCTATCGCCGTCACCATGGTGCTCAAGTTGTGAAGCCGTAGCTTGTTGTGAAGTGCGATTGTTGAAGCGTTTTAGTACAACGTCTCCGTCCATTAGCCACACGCCTGTAGCTTGAAAACTCTTCTCTATAAGCTCTGGCCGCATTGTAGAGCTCCACGCTGGCTAGAAGTTCTCAAAGAAGTCGCGTTTTGTAATCCTTGTGATGCCTTGCGATTGGTAGAGGTGGCGATCAAGGTTCTGAGTGTAGTACTTCGCGAGAGGTCCAAAGAGCACGACGTTAAGTGGCTGCAAACTGTGGGTTGAGTGAGGTGGAAAGATGGCCAAGAGTATACGATTGCTGTCGCAAAAGTCTATAAAGTCAGTTGTAACGTGACTGCCGTGGCCATCAAGGATGAGAAGCCTGTAACTCCGTCGCGCTTTCTGCTTCGTAAAGCGCTCAAATACCTGCTCAAGCCAGGCCAATCCTATATTGTTGTTGCTCCAACCTGACTCTGAGTGAGACAAGAAAACCTCGTGTTTGCCAACCTCTATAGCGTCGACCCAACCTGATTGAATCCCAGAGACGCCCTGGTAAATGAGAGCTGGCGGCAGTGACACTCCAGAAGCGCATACGCAAGCTATAAGCGTAATCCATTCACGGTTACCATCTTGTATAGCCACCTTAGGCCCACAAGAGGCCTTTAAGAAGATTCTTTTGCCAGCTTTTGCAACACCAACGTGGAAGCCCTTCTCGTCCATATTGTACGTATTCTTAACGTCAACGCCGTGCTCTTGCATCTTTGAGTGTAGCAATTCAAAGTACAGCTTGTACTTAAATGGTGAGTCAGCTTTATGCCTCTCGTGATCGATTCTGGAGCTCCATTTGATAGTAAGCTCGTCGGCGTGGCGATAGAGAAACCGAGTAACCCAGCTGTAGGAAACCTCCCATTTCATAATTATTGAAGCGAAGTTTTGTACCATCTCGCGCGTTGGTGGCAAGCCTCACCTTGTGCATCTTTCTATGTATAATACAAGTTCGTGCTCCTGTTGTGGGTTGAGTAACTGTCGCTCGCGCGCCTCAACGCTGCAGGCGTGCTGTGATCCCTTGTGCCTCCGCGACAGCGTCGTGCGATCAACACCGAACTGTTTTGCAATTTGGCGATACAAGAATTTATCTCCAGCTTCACGCGATTCCAAATAATTAATCGCTTCTTGAATTAGATCCATGGTGGTGGAGTTATGACGCGTCAAAGTTGAGACGGATCATGATGTTCTCCAAAACGCGTGGCTCGTTGGCCGACCTGGCTCGTTGGGTGCACGTGCACGGTAGCGCGCGCGTACATGCGCGAGCTTTCCTTAAGCTTCCAATGACCCAACTCCACGCAAGACGCCAGATAGCGGGGCTACGCCGGGTATTTGTAGGCTAACAAGGCTGACGCAGATAATGCTATTTCCAAAAATTTATCTTGCCTCCCTCTCCTTCCATTGAGAACACCGGACTTCTGGCATTGATACGATCCAACTGGTGCGGTTGAAAGCGACAGAATGAGTACTGCTGAAGAGCAAGTATGCCACAATCTCTGCTCAACTCCTCAGCCTGACTGCTAATTCAGGTCTGAGAGTTCAAATGTCGTTTTCACAGGCGAGGGACGTCCATGTGTCACGGCTGCAAAGGTAAAAGTCACCCATCGTAATGCCATGTTGCAGGGTAGAGCCTAATGCCGATTCAGCCGAGCACCTTCCGCGTGAAGGACAAAGTGGTTCTTGTCAGTCAAACTGGATCACGTCTGGGGCCCTATTGGATTGCAGAGGTCCTTGGGCCTGGGGTATATACTCTATGCTTTGAAAACGGGCAGCCTGCCGAGGAAGGGGAAAGGATCTACGAGGTCAGTTTGGAGGCTGCACCGTAAGGTGGTTCAGAAATGTGATGTTTGATAAGCTGTTGTCTAAGTCTTATGACTTCTAAAACACATAATCTGCCATATAAAAGAACAGAGACACGATGGACACACGGATTCTCATGTCGTGAGGCTGATGAGCAGCTAATTATAGCCTAATCGACCGGTCAGTATTTACGCGAAGTCATAAGGGCTAGATCAACCCAGCCTGCAAAGGATTGCGCTCTTCAAACACTCCAACATTTTTCTCACATTTGGGTTGCACTGCGCGTGCTGAGCAACACCGCTCGTTCCTACAATGACAGACTGTGAAAAAAAGTTCAACCACTATGCACTCCTCATCGGCATTGACGCTTATAAAGAGAAACCCCTCAAGGGCTGTGTGCAAGATGTTCGTGCGATCAAGGACCTCATTGATCGCACGCCCAACGCCAGTACGATCTGGAAGTGTTTGATGACGGCGCCCTTGCCCACAGCATGTGCTAGCTCAACCAACAGTCTGGAACTCCTGCCCACGTATGACAATGTGAAGCGAGAGCTTGATCGAATATATTCGCGTGGAGAGAGGGGCAATTCGGTCTACATTCACTACTCCGGACATGGCACTGCGATGAGCCCACCTTTTCCTTCCGAGCCGCACCGCATCCATTCGAATCTATCCACTGGAGATCTGGCCCTTAATTTACTTGAGGACTGTCAGGGCGGCATTCGCTATCTGCGTGGTATTGAACTCGGCAACGTCATCGCTAGGATGGCTGCAAAAGGCCTTCGAGTAACACTTGTGCTGGACTGTTGCTTTTCTGGAAGTGTTATGCGGCATTCATCATTGGCTCGGTTCTTGGATTACAGTCATAATGTCGATGCGAAATATCCGGCGGTATTGGCAGAAACGACAGATCCAGAGCGCCGGTATGGCAGTAGAGCCGTACGACAATGTCCACTTGTCAAACCAGAGAACTTCACAGTTCTTGCAGCGTGCGGGCCGACGGAGCTTGCAGGCGAGTTGGAAGTGGATAACAAAAACTACGGAGTGTTATCGTACTTATTAATCGAAACTTTCCGCAAGCTGGGCGGCTTTGGAGGAGGACACCGGATTATCTATCAGTATCTTTGCGCGTTGTTCCAGGCCAACCGAGCTAAGTTCACCTTCAGTCAATACCCCATGTTTTATGGGAACCGAAATTCATTCTTCCTGGGACAAGTCAGCCTTCTTATTGGTGCCTCTCCAATTTTGGTCTCTGGTAGCATCAAGAATGGATTTGTGCTAAACGCCGGTAAGGCTCATGGTATTTGTGAAGGCGATAGCTTTCTCGTGCACTCGACCCCAGGACGTGCCAAATCTGAGAGCACAAATTATTCCATCGCTTCATTTAGAGCCACTGCGGTCCGTATCGAGGCGTTGATATCTCATCTTGAGCTCCATTCACAACCCGCCTCCGGAGCAGCAGAATTGTTCGCAACTACGTTGACGCGCAACATGCTGAAAGAATACCGGATCCAGATCCAGGGCGAGATCCTACCTCTCAAAGGAAGGGAAGACGTGTTGAGCAGGTTTCCAACCCTTGATATTTCTCACGACAGCCACGAGAACGAGGTTAAGCTACCCTCTTTCACAATTCAGAAGCTGGGAGATACCTCTCTTGAGATACAGAATCTCTATACACAGAGAACTCAATCCTTACAGTTTGACCTACCAAACATGAGCTTTAGACTCGCAGAGCTGCTAGATCACTTGGCCAGATTCGAGATGATGAGGCGTCTCGTCAATTTGGAGTCGGTATATCTCTCAGAGCATTTTGGAGAGACATTCGACATCCAGTTCACTCGTCCCGACAATGTGAAGGTCAGACCAGGATGTCTAAAGACAGGCGACTTTCAGACCGTTTGCACGCATGCAGAATGCCTCATAACTGTGAATGAGGGTGATTCAGTATATCTAGAAGTCAGAAACAAAGAGAACGATATCCAGAACTGTCTCTGTCTTCATGTCTATGCCATGACATCCACTGGTAAGATCCAAAACATCTTTGGAAATGACTATGAAGTCGTTCCACCCCCAGGTGCAAACAATACCAGTCACTTCGGTCTCGGGGGCAGTGGTCTTTGGAAAAAGCGGTTGGGTTTTCAGATACCACAAGGGTTGGAAGTTTGTGATGATATCATCAAGATCTTCATAACCACACGGCCAACCTCTTTTTGGTCTTTGGAGCTTCCTAAAATTGGTGCTGTTATGGAGAGAGGTAGTGATAAAAGCGGCAAGACTAGGAACAGCTATGGACTCCCTGTTGACTGGATCGCAACAAGCCTGCGCGTCCGAACACAAGCGGAGACAATTTGAGAAAGCACACCGATGCCTTGCATATTTATGTACTGAGAAAATCTACATCGCTCTTTGCCATACCAGACGCTCTTCACACTCCAAAGTGCACGTACGGAACCCAATGTAGAGGTTCTGGTGTCTGGGTGTCACTATCATCAGCGTAGACATCCCTCGGAAGTCTAGAATCCGAACAAGTAGTCTCGTTGACAACTGGGTGGGCCGTAACATATTTCCTCGTCATCTTCGCCCTGTTGTAGCTTCCATCTAAAGCTGCATGAGACGATCTGAGCCACTCGCTTTGAAGTTGAAAAGCGGCTTTGTGAAGTCCAAGGCAAACAGACTCGTCAGTCAGTCCTTCCCGTAGTATCTCTTCATAGGTCTCCCCAGCCATGTGGAGGCACCTTTCATCGTTCACAGCCCATAGAGTGCCTATCACGTGACGGAATCCAGCTAGCTGACATGCGCTTACTAAGTGGAGGCTCTCGTCAAACAATTGTTGGACTCGAATCTCACTAGTGCCGCATGCAGACAGGTAGGCAAGGAAAGGTTTCTGCTCCCGAAGGTCAAGTCGTAGCAGATCTGCTACCGTGAGTGGATCTGTCTGCCAGTCATCTAGCAGAAGATTGCTTTGCGAGGGATCTTCAAAATGGGTTTCACCGTGGCCTGCAAAGTGGAAGATGCTACTCTGTTGTAGTTCCACTAAGACTTCCCTCTTGCGTGGCTGGTTCATGACGGGAGCTCCTTCCATAGATTTGCAAAGGTTGCGCACGAGATCTGCTTCTTCGCCTGCAAACTGCAACGCCCCTTGATGTGGTGTAATTGGCATGGCAACTACGAGAGCACGCTCTGGCTTTGCTGAAATCGTCCTAGAACGATCCTGTTGGCGAGCATTGATGATTGATCGCAGGGAAGAGTTGTAAGAAGACATAACTCGGGAAAGAACGGTGCATGTGGAATCTTGTGTCAGTTTTCCGGCGGCATGCAAAGGAAATTTGCTCAACAGACCGGTGGGAATCCACCACATCCGTGGCCAATGCCCATCGACGGGTTTGTTGAATCCCAGGTCATCAAGAACCGGACAAGTCACAGTTTCCCAAAGCCAGTTAAGTATCTCTGACGTTCCAAGCGCTCCCGTTTCTGCTGCTTTTCTGATGTCTTGAAGTGTAAGCGCAGGTAAGGGTAGAACTCGTATTTGGTGTTGTTCGACTAGCAGCGCGTCGCATCGGTGTCTGCTGACGTTTATGACGGCAATGGGGCCTCTAATAGCCGCTTCTCTCAGCTTGCTGGATTCGAGCGGCTTCAGAAAACCTTCAAAACCAGGTTCAGCTCTGATTTCCGTAATGACATTGTCCATCTCTGTACCGGCATAGTAACGTTGATCTGACTGTTCAGCAGGGGCAGTGGGAGGAAAATCGCCGAATGGGATCGCAGCCATTGCGGAGTCAGTCTGAAGCTGATCACGGAGCCGTACGAAACGGTCAGCCAGTTTGGGATGTGCTCTTTGTAACTCTATTGTGTCGGTCCGCATATCATAAAGAGACGCAGCCAGTACTCCGCGTCCCTCCTCGAGAAGCTCAAGAGCGGTGTCGGGCGACTCCTCTGCTTGAAGTGCTATAGCGGCTGCGTCACAAGCCAAGCCTGAGATGCTGCGCAGCAGATGCTGCTTGTCCGCGTTATCTAGCGATTTGCCGGTCAGTCGGGGAGCGAGGCCCACAACTTCTTTCGCAATCCTGGATGCATCATCCCAGTACTTAAAGTGTGCCAAAGCAGTGAGAAGTTCAATGCCACTTTCAATACGCAGAGTAGTTGAGGTGTTGACATTGTTCAGCGTGGAAAGAAAGCATGTCATTGCTTCCTTCATGTCATCCCAGCTGTGAGTGGCCACCGATCTTGTACCTAAGATTACTCCAAGATTGAACGTCAACCGCGTCTCTTCAGGTTGCCCCTCCGTATCCGCCGAGTCTTTGAGGGCTGCTCGAGCACATTCGATCGCTTCCTGGAGATCCTCCAAGTTCTCCGAGTTACGATACCTTCGCTGCAAGTCGAGTGCGAGATTTCCGAGATAGATAGCGCGCCTCGGACTCTTGGTTGGGGTCAAATCCAGAGCCTTCCTAGTCACGGAGGTGGATTCTTCCAGGTAGATCGTCTCGCCTGTCTTGCGATACATGCTGTTGAGAAGTCTACCAAGATTACTCAAGGTGGCAGCACGTCCGTCATTCGAGATTGAAGCCATAAGCACCCGACGAAGCAGCTCGATCGCTTCCTCCATGTTGCATAACGACTTTTCCCTCGAGTACATCTCAGATAGACTACCCGATAAATTGAGCATCCAGTTGACGCGTTGAGGTTCGTTTTTTGACGAAGCGTTTATGCCTTGACGAAAGAGATCTATGGAAGCTTTGAGATCTTCAGTCGCTCGTATTTCCAGGTATCTATGGAGAAGGCAAAGGCCGAGGTGGCTCGTCCACCTCGGCCAGTGTTGATGAGATTGAGGTATCGTTGGTAACCCTTCGCGTGTGAGTCTGATGGCTTCTTCAAGATCGATCGTATGACCCGTTCGTGTGTGCCGATTGAGAAGCCGAATGCTGAGGTTGATAAGGTGAGTCGAACGTTCTCCATGATCATTCGAATGAGATGCAAGCGCCTGCCGCGACATCTCGACAGCCTCATCGATATCACCAGTATCCTCTAGACCCAGAAACGTTGACCTTGCTTGGAGCGCGTTTCCGAGGTTACAAAAAGCTGTGCTACGATCTGGATGATTGGAAGGGGTTGCTTCGAGTGCTTGTCTAGCCACTTCGATCGCCATGTCGATGTCTTCCATCTTTCCCAGAAGATGAAACCTTTCTTTGAGCCTATTGGCCAGGCCCGCCAATAATCTAACCCAGTGTGGGTGTTCGCTTGAACTAATGTCGACTGCTCTCTGGGCGTGTTTGATTGATTCCTGGAGATCAGGGAAATCTCTCTTCTGCTCATATCGATCGCGCAACCTGTCGGCAAGATTGCTCATAGCCTTCACTTTATCGTTGTGTTCTGTGCTCTCGGAAAGTGCTAGTCGAGCCATTTGGATCGATTCTTCCAAATCGGCTTCGTTTTGCTCAGCCACAAACCGACGAGCCAGGCCAGTTCCAAGATGCGTGAGCATTAGAAGCCGATCTGGATTTTCGTGCGGGGTAATCTCGATTGCTTCACGGAGAAGCTGAATTGACTCGTTCAGATCAGCTATACGTTTGCTCTCCTCATGCCGGATTTGCAGTCTGATCCCAAGATTGAACATCCATCCAGCACGACTTGAGTAGCTTCCAGGGTCCAGAGAGGCCAGTGCGATCGCCTGACGAGAGATGGATATGGAATCATCCATATCTTGCAATAACTTTATCGCGTAGTACTTGTCATGCAGACTATCGCTGAGATCAATGAGTGTGTTGACACGGTGTGGATTGCCTTCGCTCAGCAGATCGAGGCTTTGTCTCTGGGTTTCAATGCATTCCTCGAGGTCCTTGAACGAACTAGAGGTTTCATAACGCGCACGAAGGTTATATGCCACCTCCAGTAGCCGCTCTAATTGTTTGGGATGCTCTTGGCCTCCAGCCGCAAGCGCTAGCTTGAGCAGTCGTATGCTTTCATCTTGATTGCAGGTTGAGATCATCTTGATGATACGTTCGTCCAGATATGCCATCATGCGAGCGGTATCGCTGGCCTGTATGGCGCTGCTGGTAGATCTTCCAGGACGTAATGCTTCTTCGAAGTCATCGAGCATACAGTCGAGATCGCTGGCTACTTGGCTGTGTACATATCGCTCGCCAAGCCAGATTCCATGACGGATGCGTCTGGTAGAAAGATCAGGACTGTCAGGAGGGCTGATTGCGATTGTCGCTTCGATAATCTCGATTGTGTGATTGAGGTCGTCGATTGATTTTCGTTGCTCAAACCGTTTCCCAAGACACAGGGCTAGGTCATCTGTCCATTTCATCCGTGGGACGTTCTCCGATGTAGCAGACTCGATTGCGGTGCTGTAAAGCTCTATTGCGCGATTCAGATCTAGGGGCGACGGAGATAAGTCGTACCGCATGCTCAGAGCTTGGGCAAGCAATCCGGACCATACAGTACGGTTTGAATGATGCGTAGGAGTGTTATCGACGGCTTCGCTGTACGCATGAACGGCTTGATGCAGATGATCGACCAGTCGACCATGCTCGAAGCGCCTTACGAGGACGTTGCCAAGGTTGCCCGAACAGGTGGCTCTACTTAAAGTGAGACCCCGTGAAGTATCGACCGCCAGTCTAGATATATCCACAGCAAAGTCCAGTTCATCTACCGACTGAGTAACATCGTGGCGTTCCAGAAGCCAGATTCCGAGATCATTCAGCCATTCTACTAGGAACTCCATTCCAGGATCAGCCATCCTCATTAAGACTTTGGTTGTGGCCACTGCCTGTGATATCCTTTCTGTGTCAGGTTGCTCCTTGCAGTCGCGCCACATGTCATTTGCGTCTCCCCATTGTTGTAGCATGTGAAGAGACATCTGGATGGCAGTAAAGCCCTGTTGACCCGTTCTAGTTACGCCACCTGTCAGCCATAGCCTTTGCTTCATACACCGCAAATAGGAGGTAGGTTACATACCGTAGTTCTGGAACGATGATCGTTATGCTTTGACCTGCTTCTGTATGGGACAACAACCTTGACGTCAGCATATCGAGGATCTGAACCCGCCGTCCGCGATCAGGGTGCACCGCTTGAGTAACGGCTATCCAGTCCTCCGCATGACGAATAGCCTTTTCCATGTACTCAGTCGATGAGGTTTTGGAGAAGAGAAAAAGATTTGCAAGAATATAAATCTCAATAGACTCATCGTCTGTAGGCTCTTCGTATGCAGCCGCATATCCCAAGAGATCTTCCTCGTCGTCGAATCCTTCAAGTGTAGACACACGTTCAGGATCAAATAAAGAGTTGTCCATGGTGTTCAAAGGGTGCGTGTTGATGCCAGATGCCAGCGAGGAGAGGCCAGTGGATCTTGTATCAGCGTATCTGTCGTGTGTGTAGAGGGCTTAGCTATGGCTGACTGTATCTGGCGCTTAACCGTGGGTGGTTAGCCTTCGCCGCTGTGTGGAATCACATGTTGCCCTGTTGCCTCCCGCCCATGCTGGAACTGATCGAGACCGGTCAGCCTGACGGTGCGGGGCCTGGCTCAGCCTTATTGGCTGTCAAAAGCATCGCAGCGTTCGGCATCCACATGGAAAGGCAGAGTTCCAGAATGGGTCTCTGACATTTCTTGTTAAACAAAAATAATTCCGATGATGGCGAAGCAGTCAGTATGGCGGAGCGAAAAGCGAAGTCAACCTCCAGGTTGCTTGCTGGAACCCCTGCACATCCAGGGCGCTTGCAACCCTGTAACCGAGCGGTAAGAAGATTACATAGAGGCAGCGTTATTATTTTAGTATTGTTAAGAAATCTTCCAGTAGCAAAGTAGATACATCCTCTATGGCACCTATAATTCGTTCTGACCCTCAAGATAGTAAATCTCCGCTAACAATTTGTGCTCTGCGACCGGTTTGTCTCCTGCATAAAGCGGATCATGTTCCAGCTGATCCATCACATGATTCTCGGCCATGTTTCGTTGCTCCGTATCCCATTGTCCCCACCAATCCCAAAACCTTCTATGCGCCTGATGTACTTCCTGCGTAAGGTGATCTAGACGCTGCTTGTTTTTGGTAACTAGAACTTCAACTTGCCCATGCGCTGTGTCACCCTTGCCATGACCGGTTCCAAGCAAATGTGTCGTGTATTGCTCAGGCTGATCGAACCATGCATCACAATCAGTGACTGTGCAGCCGAAAGGCTTATAGCGTCCAAGAAAATAGTGTTGTTCCACAGCGGCCGCCCGGTGATATTCAGCAGCAAAACGCTGACCAGCCGTCCTAAAGAATAATGTCCTGGCTTTTATGAACTCTCCCACACGCCCACGATGGGGCTTCTGCGGTGGAATAACAATCTTCACGGGAGCCTTTCTATGCTTTTCGCGTCTTGGTTCAGTTTCTGTAATCATGTTCCTGTTACCGGTTCGCAATAGCCACAACACCCTCTTCCTTCGCCGACCAACAGCCTCTTCAGCTGTTTCGGTTGTATGAAAAAACACGTCAAGACCTTGAGGACAGAACTGAACGATCTTAAGAAAACAGTCGGTCATCACGTCCTTATCAGGAAAGGACCGTCCGTCTCTGGTGAACATGACTCGTTTGGCTAGGGGACAAAAGCGCTGTACAGTGCACCAGAAGTTTTTGAGATATGATTCAGTCTGCTCGTTGACAAATCTTGACCGTTCCTCATCAGAATCAAACGTCATTTCCGTCACGTCGGGTGACAAGTCCCTGGAGTTCAGACATGCACAATGGATGTCAAGCTGCTCAATATTGGCCAGGAAGGAAGGTTCGTATATGGAGTCAGAAAGGAGCTGGGACTGGAGCAAGTCGTCCATTTCAAGACGGTACCAGGTTGTCCAATCAGAGAAGAAGAGTTTTCTGGATTCGACACGTAGGCAGCGCGTTGTGTGCATAAGTTGAAATAGTGTGGGTGCATCGCACTGCTGCAGGACGCGCAGCTGCAGCTCCGCTGGCAGTTCTGAATATTGGTGGAAAGATCCTTCGCTTCTTGTTGTCAAGTGCCTTGGGGAGACGTGTTGATCAAAGTACTCAAAGAATTGTCCGTAGGAAGTCGTACAAACAGTAAAGTCGAGAGGGTGTCGCCAATACCCCTCCTCAATCACGCGCGAGGACATTATCGTTTCTCGTGGGGACAATAACCAAACGCAAGGCTGGCGTTGGGCTCTAGAGGCTGCGGTGCTGCTCGCCAGCTGTCGCGCGGAAGTCTGAGGCGCGACCCGGACATTGCGAAGTACGAAGGGGCTCGTATTTTTTGGCCGATCAGCGAGCGCATACAATTTAGTGCTAGTTTGGTAAGATCCTCACCAAAACTAACGCCAAAACATAAGCTTCTTTCTACTGCACAGGCTGCTATATATAATAAATAATTTTATAAAGCTATAGCATAGTAGCGCTACTTCTACTTTACCTTATAAAGTACTTTTTATAGGGTGTAGGGTACCTGTTCTGTTATAGAGTTGCTGCAAGTGCATTTCTTACCTTATTTTGGTGAGGCTTTGGATCGGTGATCGGCCAAAAAAAACGAGCCCCTTCGTAGTGGTCCCCGAACTCCGTGGCGCGGCGCTAGCGTGTGCGCGGCCCACTCACGTGCTATGATACCTCACATCTAATAATCGGACTTTACGGACTCAGCTTCATTGTAATCTAGAATCTGCCAAGAGATTTACTCAGCTCTGCAACGTAGTTTCCAGTGTACATATTATGAAATATCTACTGTTGAGAGACTTCAAAAAACGAAGTCTACCTAACATGTTGGTTGACGATATTCCGAACGTTCTCGGCTACGTGAGTACCTACCTAGAGCAAAGCGAGCGGCGCTATGGACAATCCTCCCCTATGGACCTCTGTTGGGCTCAGCTCTTAAAAGGGTATGTTGGAGTTATCCCTGCATCGTCCATGTTCTGTTTACAGCCGGGGAAAATGTTACCCTGGGAGCAGGGCGGCATTTCCTTGTCTTTAGGCATGTCTTTAACTCTGCCCCAAGCTGCAATCTTGGATCCAGCCGGAAACATGGTGTTACCCTTAGGTATGGCGCCAGCCTCAATTGCGTACATCATCGCGACATCCTCAGCATGGTACTTCGAACCTGTGCCATCCCATTCGCGAAATTCCCAAATTTCTTCCCACAGAGTTGGCGCATTAGCTTTAGCAAAGCTTTCCGCTTTCGTAGAACCTGTTCCACGTGCAGGACTTCCTATAAAAACTCCCTTTCCAGGAACAAACAAAGCTGCAATAACAATTCCACCAGCACTCTTTTTCTTTGACATAACCTCATCAAAGGCAGACTTGGCGATAGCTAGTAATTCACTGTTGGTGATTGTGTTGCCTGTCATCAGTCGCATGCCACGCCAGGTGTTCACGCCCCACTCACCACCATCGGCCATTTCTTCGGGATCACATCCACTGCCATAATCTGATGATGGTCTACCGGAGCTTCCAGCCCTGCGGAGGAGCTTGGAGATGAGGCCTCGGACAACCTTCGTAGGGTTTTTCTTGCCCTCTTTGGTCTTACTGCTACCATCCCCCTTTCCTTTGCCTGGCTTAGATTTACATGCTTTTCCAGCAGGCGGGGTCTTGACGGGTTTCGGTACTGCTGGAGTCGGTTTTGCAGGGGTCGGCTTTGGCTTTGGCTTCGAATTCGGCTTTGGCTTCGAATTCGGCTTTGAGGGATTTGCCTTGGTTGTTCTTCTCTTTACCGATGCTCCAAGCTCTCTGGTTTCGTTGCTTAAAGAGCCCAGATGCACCTCGACTATCAGCCCATTGGTAGCAAGACGACCACCTCCTGCATTCTTGGCAGCAACACACGCTTCGATAATAGACTGCAAGTTCGCTATGCAATCATCCTTACTAAAGGTATCTTCAGTATTAGTGCGGCTGAAGATGGTGGACCCAAACTGTCTCTGTAACGACTTCTCGATGTTGTTGCCGCAGACTTCGTCAATAGTATTAGCAAATCCATTTCTTTCAGCCACAGAGACCATGCGAGGTTTGTAGTGCAGTATCTCGGAGTTGCACACAATATCTGCTAGAGCTGAGTTGAATATTGCTACCAGAGCGGTTATAGTTGCAGTAGTCCTCATTTCGAAAGAATAAACGACTGTTATTGGAAGGAGGTAAGGAAGAAAGGGATATTGTGATGAACGACTACCAGAGTCGTGCTGAAGTGATTTGAAAAGACTGTGATGAGTTTGTGAGTTTTCCAATGTGATTATACATCGATATATATACTAGCATAAGCTCGTGCATGTCCTTCATTGCCCGTGCTCCGGACTCCGTCGCTCAGCTCTCCCATTGTTTCGTCGGACACCACCCGGTGGAGTTTCGACCCACCTGTGGTTCTCCGTGAGGCACAGCTTCAGCTAGCCTTAAACATCATTGACATCTATTTAGGCAAGTGGCAAGTGGTGACCAAAGGTCCTTCTGTTAAAGCTACGGGCTCGATGTTTTGATACTTGCTGAGTTGATCCCTAACCATTTGTCTGCGATGTCTTTTCGGGGTGCAAGCTTTAAATTCAGGCACCATCCGCCGACGCGCGGAACTCCGGGTTGCTTCGCTACCTATCACCATTGTCCTACACCATCGTCCTACAAAACTCGATGCGAGATATGGAATACACTTCTTGTGGTTAGATTGCTACAAAACGCCCAGACAGGAATATGCTCTTTTCCGCCCTCTTAGCTGGGTAAAATGATCTGTTTTTCGACTCAGCTGCAGGCTCTGGATGAATGGCTGGTTATGATATGTATTTAATGATAGTGATATATTATATCATATTCCATCACATGCTAGTTTCTTACTTTCGCCGTTCAGCTGTTTTACTGCGCGTCACATGGCTGTGTATTTTTTGACACTCGCGAGACGGACCAATATCTTGAATGGGCTCCATACTTCATTATTGTCATCATATATCTACACCTATATCCGCACAATGTCAACCCTACTCCGCTCCCACAGCTTATGCGCCACGGCCACGCCGCGCTGCCTCTCCTCATCCGTGACGCGCGCCGGCTGGACGACGATGCGCGCGTATGTGCCTGCAGCGCGGCGCTTGGCGAGTGTGCCAGGGTTGATGACTATGACGGACTCGACGACCTGAGCTATTAGTTAGCATGCAATACTGCCTTTCATGGGAGCACGTACCTTAACAGTGCCCTGCAGCGCACTCGGCGTGATCAGGATGTCGGGGCGCACGTTCAGCATCTCGCCGAGCTTGAGATACGACACGTCGAGCGGGGTGCCAATGGGCAGGAACGGGGACGGTTCGTCCACATCCTCTCCCTCTTGACCCGCGACGAGTTTCGCCGGCACATCAACGGGCTTGATGTACTTGCTCCTAGCCAGCGGCGGAAACACGGGCAGGAAACTGCGCTGCTCGAGCACACTCCGTGCGCCGCGCTCGTAGAAATTTGTGCCTCGCGCGCTGCCCCCGCTGATCTCCTCTTGTCGCAGCATGGAGAAAATGTCGACGGAGCTCATGCCCACCGTGATCTCGTTCATGGACAGTGTCATGGGGTTGGTGACGCACTGGACCATCTTGCCCGCGGCGCCGAGCGCGAGATCGCGCTTCGTGAACTTGTCCTGCGGGAAGGCGGCGGCGTGATGGTGGGCGTCGCGCAGGCTGGGGACGAGGATGATGTTGCACGTGGGGTTGCGGGCGGCGAAGGCTTGAATTGGAGTGGAGATGTGGTGGCGGAAGAGGTCGGTGAGGGTTGCCTGGTCAGGATGCGCGTTGGGGGGCGCATCAAAGTCGCCGGTACGAATTTGCGGATGCTCGGCGTCGAGGAAGGGGCCGAGTAGGATGATGGTGTCTGCGTAGGCGGTGGCGGCGTTGTCGAGGAACGTGTGGAGGGGTGCGAAGTCAAGGTTTTGGTCGGTGGTGTAGGGGCCGGCTGCTACCATCATGGTCAGTGGACGGGCGTTGTCCGGGTCGGAGTTGGGTGTGTCGAGGTAGCGTGTGCTGACTGCGTCTAGTTCTTCAGGATTCGTGGCTGGGGGGTTTAGGAGTGGAAGGGAGAGTATTTCAGACACAACGAAGACGTCGCCGTTGGCGTTAACGCCGCGTAGAGCGACGATTTGCCCAGGGAAGAAGTTGTAGGAGGGTAGGCTGTCGACCTTCAGTGGCACTCGATGCCCTGAGCCCATACGCCGCGAGCCTTCCAGCACGAGAGATGCTGTGTTGAGCTTCCCCTCACTTGTGTCGCTTGCTATGCGTCCGACTGCGATGATCTGATTTGGCGATTGCAAGCTCGGATTCCCAAAAGCGCTGTCGTCCAAATCCATTGACTCTTGAATGAGCTGGCGGAACTCGTCTATCCTGTCGTCGAGAACCTCTGACGCTTCAGACAGCTTCATGGTCATTGTGCGGTACGAGAATTTGGACATGTCTGTGTTCGCCTTCAGCTTCATTCGTGGCGCGGTCGGCGCTTCAAGAGGAGGTTCTGGGAGAGCAATGTCGCTGCTCATGAACTGCTCGGTGATCTCGTTCGCGTTCGCACGGGAAGCGAAATCAAATGTCCTGCATACGTCAGATACAGTTTGAGACCCTCAATTGAGTGATTCCTACGGTCCAGCAGAAGTATCGCCCTTCGGTGTGAGACCTCCGGCCGGCGAGCTCATGAGATGCGCCTTGTTCGCTCGTCCGTTCGGTGTGTCGAAGTTGCCCTTGCGCTTCGCTGCGCCGCCGTTTGCGCGAGGTGTGTTCGGTACTAGGCCTTCAATCATATCAAACATGTCGCCGCCCTTCGCTCGTGGTGTTGGGCGCTCCCTCTTGATCTCAGTCCTCTGCTGTGCTTTCCCTCGACTCTCGCGTTCCAGTGTGTCTTGGAGGGTCTTCTTGAAGTCTCGCACCGACTTCAGCTCCATCCTCTCTCCCTCTGCGCCCATTTTCATGCTGTATGCCTGCCATTTGAAGTCTAACTCTTCTGCAGATATTGAGTACAGGCGCATCATCGTCTGTAGCTCTGTGAGCACGTCAGAAGGAAGTTCATGATCTTTCGTGGCGCAGTAGCGCTCAAAACGCTCGGTAAGCTCGGTGGTCGCGTCGTCCATAATTATTCGTATGTGTAGGGAATGGTGAAGACGTCAGAGCGGTTTGCGCGCGATAGATCAGACGCGTCGACGCGTCGAGTTAAAGTGGTGGTGCTAGCACGATTGCAGCTAGCGTGGTGGATGCGATGCAGGGTCCGGGAAAGTTATCTGATCGATGATCGCCCAACTCCTATCGCGGAGTTCCTCAACAGCCTTGTTCCTGTACTACCACGCGTGTTTGAGAAGTTCTATACCCCTCACAGTCCTTCAAGATGACCACAATGGGCCCAATCGCCGAGCCCGTAGCTGGCACCACACCTCCGTCTCCTGCGGCTCTCACCGCCGACCAGCAGGCCAAGTACGACCAATTGCTTACTGAGGTACGAGCCTGGGAGTCGCTGCCAGTCTCCTCTGCCAAAGATGCCGAATCCACACCCCTCGACGACAACGACCGCATGTGGCTGACCCGCGAATGCCTCCTTCGCTACCTCCGCGCCACGAAATGGACCCTCGCACAATCCTCCATACGTCTCCGCTCCACAGCAGTTTGGCGCCGCGAGTTCGGCACCGAGAAGCTCACAGCTTCATACATCTCCCCCGAGAACGAGAAGGGCAAGCAGGTCCAGCTCGGTTACGACAACTCAGGGCGACCCTGCCTGTACCTCCTGCCGCAGAACCAGAACACTAAGCCTGGGCCCCGACAAGTCGAGCACCTGGTGTACATGCTCGAGCGCACGATCGACCTGCACCCGCCCGGCCAGGAGAGCCTTGCGCTGCTGATCGACTTCAGCAACACATCCTCCGGCGGCACACCAGGTCTCGGCATAGCGAAGCAGGTGCTCGACATCCTGCAGAACCACTACCCCGAGCGCCTCGGCCGGGCGCTGCTCACGCACCTGCCGTGGTACGTCACGCTGTTCCTTAAGGCGATCAACCCCTTCATCGACCCCGTCACGAAGGAGAAGATCAAGTACAACGAGCCGCTCACCGACCACGTCCCTGCGTCGCAGCTGATGAAGGCGTCGGGCGGTGAGATCGACTTCAAGTACGACCACAGCCTGTACTGGCCAGCGCTGGAGAAACTCGCTGGCGAGAGGAGAGCACAGAGGGTCGCGAAGTGGGAGAAGGCCGGTAAGCTGATCGGCGAGAGCGAGATCTACCTCTGGGGCGGGGCTGAGGGCAGTGTCGGCAGCGGACAAGCTGCAGAGGCCATTGGTACGGCGGTCACTGCTGACGCCGCACTTGATGCTGCTCCTGCGCCTGTTGCTGCCGGGCCTGCCCCTGTTGCTCCTGCTGGTGCACCCTCCGCTACTGAGCCCGCACCCCTCAGCAACGCTGCCGTCGTCGCGCCGCCGGTCCACGCACCCGGTGCCAACGGTGATGCGGCGCTTGCTGAGGGCGTAGCGAAGCTGGATGTCAACGGCGAGGCTAGGCCTGTGGCCTGAGCGTAATAGTTATTGAGCGTTGCATTTGAGCGATATGCTGCATTAGACATAGAATATCAAAGATGTACTTGGTTGGCAATATGTTTTGACGTTCAGACACAGTCTTTTCGGTCATAGTAATGATGACGTCGTTGCTGTTGTACTTTACTTCTGTGTGCGTTGTGTCAAGATCGATGATATTTTCTGTTTGACTTTGCACCACTCTACTGGCACCAAGTAGGATCTGCGTCCAACTTGACACTAGAGTAAAGTCTGGACTGTGTGCTCCGGCCCATCAGACTGTTGAATGCGGCCAGGGGTGCTCGGTGAAAGTTTGCAAGAAGATGCGAGCTATGATGCTTTTCAGTTGCTAAATGCTTGGTGAAACGGCGACAATGCGTGCGTCTATTCAGTCTATGGAAACACCTAAACCATGGCGTTCGGATTGCGCTCATGTCAGGTAGCGCAGCACATGCACATCATAACCCAATGCTTCTTGATCGGAAAATACTATTTGTCAGACACGTGTTCCCAATTCCCTTTCCATACAAGAAGGGAACGCTGTACTCTACACGAGGTACTGGATTGTATAGTCGGGGCCGTCGGCAGTCCTTCGCTGGGCCTCCAAAACCGCTTCAGGCGCTTCTGCATTTCCGATCAGGCTGGGGAGGTGCTCATTGGTGTGTTCCAAAGCGGTACCAACTTTAGTAAAGCAGCCGGGGAGTTCAGAATGAGGCCTGGCCAGTATGTAATGGCAACCTCGATGCCGTTTAATTAGAATGCATAACATGCTGCGTGAGATGACTCCGTCCTTTGACTTCCATCCACGGAACTCTTTACGATTCCACTCCCTGTCGTCTAGGCGCGCGAAAGCCGTGTAGCTCTTCTCGTCTCGAGCGTCGATGCCGTATTGGATTCCCTGGTACGTACCTCTACTTTCAATTGCGAGATCTACCCATCGTGTCCAGGCCGTCACCTCAAGTTTTATACAAGACGGAAGAGCATTTAGTTGCAGACGGATGTGCGTGGATGACGACGGTGTTGCGCCGTGCTTATCTGGTGCACGAAATACAACCTCGCTCCCAAACCGAGACGTCCAGGACCATGATGGTCGATTTGGCACTGGTCTGGCCTCGGCAGTTGTCGAGTTGGTGCGAACAGTCCACAGGAGACCCTCGAGTTCGTCTAAGCAAATGCCCTCGACAAAAGTCTTCTTCAATCGTTGTTCGTAGACTGATACAAGACCAGCGATTGCAGGCAGGATGTCACTTATGAACGTCAGTTGCCGTCTGCTATATAGTTCGATGGCCCTGTAATAGAGCCACATTGGTTGGTAAAGCATGCTGTTTGTATGGATCCAATTCTGAATATTCATTATGCTCTCGTCATCAAGAAGGTTCCGTGGTTTAAGATAGTCCATTAGTACAGGGCGGCCCCGTTGTTCAGGAAGAGGCGAGGTCTCTGAAAGACACTCATCCAAGCATTGCCATTTGATCTGGGACGCTGTGAAAATGAGCGACCGGCGTGATAGGAGCTGCTCTTGGAATACCCAGCCACGAGAGTAAAGAGGTAGGTGACTGAGGGGTTGAAAAGGCTGTTTCACGAAGATCACCGTCTCGTAGTCGGCAGAGTTGGGCTCAAGTTCGAGCCGAAGGGTAACTTTGATGGGACGTGTAACTCCAGGACCTCGCTCGTGGTCCAACCCAGTATCAGCTTCATCGCCTGCTGCAGCGAACAGCGTAAGGCTGGAGCCCGAGTAGATATCTTGCATCGCGGCGACTTGATCCTGGAGTTCAATCGCACAGTCTTGCGTTATGCATAGAGCATCTATCCATAGGTATGAGTACCCGAGCTCCCGAGTTACTTTGATCGCATCAGTGAATGTGCGTGGCATCTGATCAAGCGGTATTTGCTGTTGGAGATCACTTTGGTTTGCAGAAGTCATCTTGTACCTTACTGTAGAACCCCATTTGTAACTCAGGGTCGCATATTGTGCTACCCTTCCTGATCCACGAACAAGTCGGGTAGATTGATCTTCACTGGCAATCTCGATTATCCATAGAGGCAAGGTCGCCGTGGAATTACATTTAGGATGATGTGTGGAGCAGTGGTGCATCCACCGCTTCGCAAGAAGTAGGTTTTGTGGAGACATCAGACGGGAGTCTGTACTACAAGCTTCTTCCAGTTCTGAGAAAATTTCTGTCCGCCACGTAAGTCGAGGAGTGTCAAGTTGAGCCACAGAATTTCCGTACGAGGAGTTGAAGGAACGAACAACCACAATGTAGCAAAACTGCGTCCATAACGGAACGTCAATGACCACGTCCTGAGCAAATGGGAGGTACGCCCAAGCGAAAAGAGTTCTGGTCCCTCGACCTCTATTCGAGTTGGCCCAAAGCTAGCTTGCTGCTGCATTGCACAGGCGATCTGTTCCTCGCTGTAGCGAGACTGCCGATTGTCGAACATGGTAGGCGGGAGAAACCAAGAAACCATACATGCTTTACTGATACATCGGCACAGATCGCAATGCTTCGCAGAATCATGTACAAGACCAAGTGTCGCATAGTGACTGTACACCAGTATATCCGGGTCTTCCTCTAAACGCCGAAGGGTTATGTTTAAGCATTTTTCGCAAAGCATCGTAAAAAGATAGGGGTGTCGAGGAGGCAAATCCGCAGGCCGGTGTGAAGTCGAAACGCCTGTCATCTAGGCAACAAGGCTGTGCTGACATGTCACGTGGAATATGCACGACTGCAGCTGCTCCCACCTGAAACAACATTCGGAACCGGTCAGCGACACGCCGCTCATCAAATCGAGCCGCGTACTCATGCCCATGGTAACCACAAGTCCGAGAATCGCGTTATCTGCCACCAGATGTTATTGGCTCGATCTTGAGGCTCAGCTTCACAACGCCTGTTGATTCGTGGAGAAGAGCAGCGTTACCCACGTGATTCTTGGAATGAGTATAATTGGGCCAGACACAAGGAGCAACACGACAGCCGCCTCATGATCCTCACAAACGCCTTTTCAGCGCCTCAGGACAACTGCCAAGGCCATTGGAACTGGTCAGCCGTACCAGTACGCCGATCTCAATGTAAGCCGCGTACAACCGGACAAGACACAGGGAAGCAACACACCAACCACACAACCCACAAAGCGCCCCAGAACAGCTTCACAGGGTCATCCACAGCAGCAAAGAGCAAAAACAGCGCTCTGAGATTCAAACTTTTTGCATTCATCGTGTCCCCACCCCGAAGTCTAGAAAGCGCGGTCTACGAAAACATATTACTGCGCCCCTGCTTCAGCGTGGAAGAATCCTCATACTGTTTCTCATTAGCAACGTGCTCGTTTCTCCAACCAAGACAAGGGGAGCAGTGCAACTTACCTGCAAAAACCCAGTAACGTCGACCAAAACCGTCCAGCAGTCGACGAGATCCGCAAGATCCTGCTGTGTCTCCACCTTCTCGCCGCCGCCGACATTGACGCTGCGCTTGAAGACCGCGACCATGCTGTGTCTGTTCTCCTTAAGAAACTCGCGGGCCTGGAAGACGGACTGGTCGTTCTGGCGGCCCCTTGCGATGACGGCTGCGTTGACGACGCGCAGGACGGCGAGCATGAGCTCGTAGTACTTCTTGAGGGCGTTGGGGTTGTCGAACTCGAGCCCGATGTCTGGGTCGACGGCGAAGATCTGCGAGTCGCGGACGGCAGGGAATAGGCCGGCGTTGAGCACGTAGGCGGCGCCGAGGCGCGACTGGGAGATGCGCAGGAGCAGGGCGAGACTGGCGTCGTAGTAGGACAGGAGGCTGGATACTTGGGGCGCGGCGGCGGCGCGGAGTTCCTCGGGGATGTGCTTGATGTTGTCGACGAGGACGCCCATGAAGTTGAGCGATACGAAGGTTTCGAGTACGTACTTTGACTGCTGGCGGGTGGCGACTGCAACGAGGGCGTTCAGTAGTAGGAGAGCGGAGATTTTGCACGTCCCTTGTCCACTGTATGCGTCATCACAAACGATCTCGAGAAGGTGGCTGCCGCCATTCTTAATGGCATTGAGCGTGTGGCGACCCAGCGGAGAGTTGAGTGTTGCCTTCTCGAATGTGCCGTTGATGTACCTGAAACAAATCTGGTAGCAGTACTCACGTAGCTCGGGCGTAGAGATCGAGCTGTAGACACCCGTAAGGGCTGCGCGGAAGAGCTGGCTCAAACGGTCGTTTGAGAAGTCACCCGTCTTGTCGAATGCCGTCGATGTGAAGTCAACCTTCTGAATGAGTGCTTCGGCTAAGCCAGCAAGCTGCAGAGCAGTGAAGACGTCGGCATTGTACGATTGTTCCAGCTTCGGTAGAATGACCTGAAGTGTCTGCAGGATGAAAGAAGCCCTTGCTCCATCCTCGAACTCGCAGCTGTGCACGGTCACCATGAGGACTTGTACCCATGACTGCAGGATGTCCTTGTGGTAGCGTGTCAACTGAGCTCGACGATTCCAATCAGCGAAGACGGCTAACAACAACTCGGCTTCTTGCGCTAGCTCTGCTTCTTGGAACTCATCTTCGATGAGTCCATCTTTCTTCCAGAACTTCATCTTCAGCAGGATGACCTGCTGAAGTAACGGCAACGAGTACAACAGATCCCCATCCTTCTCCTCCTGACATGAGGCAAGATTGACGCCTTCGAAGAACCGATGTTGATCCGGCAAAGTGCGTTCTGGGTACACAAATTCGATAAAGTCAAACAGATCGAATATGTTAGGGTTTGGCGTTGGATCCTCGCCAGGCCGAACGGTGGTACCGAGAAGCAAGGACTGTATCCTCGACTTCATTGAAGGTAAGCTCTGCTTGATAGTCAAACGAAGTTCGCGCGATTCGTAGTCCAAGAAAGCAGCTCGCCGCTGAAGGAAGCTTTGCAACGCAAGCGCTGGAGATCCTGAAAAGAACTCGGAGTAGTCGCCAGTAGCGAGAAGCTCCAGGCCCTGCACGAGAGACAAGCCTTCCCAGGAGATGTCAACGTTGATTGGTGTCAGGCGCGGTGCCTCGATGAACAGGAGTTCGTTGTCTCGCAGCTCATCCATGACGATCGCACTGGTCAATGGTGAACGCCACAGCTTTTGAAGGACGTCCCAGCAGCGGGTCTTGAGCTCGGATCTCCAGGCCACGAATTGTTCCCCGTCGTTGTCAGGGTACTCGACCGCTAGAAGGAGGATAGCATGGAACAGGGCCTTGCCCTGTGACCACAGACTGTCTTCGGCAATGCGAACAGTGCTGCTTTCACACGAGAAGCCAAGCAAGATATGGGCGATCGTCGGTCTGGTGGACACTGCCGCAAGGCAGCTATTCAGGAATTCAAGCACTCGAAGCTTGACGACGTATCCAGATGCTTCCTCACCGGCTTCAAGTTCTTCCGCACTGAACCGCATCAAGCCATGCAAGGATCGGCCAATCCTCTCTGCTTCATTGTCTCGTTCCAGGACACCGACGATTTTGCTGCGGCCAGATCGTTGTCCGAAACCAGCTGGTGATACAGCAAGCTTCCTTGACGATGCTAGCTTCTGTAAAAGTTGTAGGGAAGCAATAGTCAATGCTTCATGACCGGTACCACAATACAGGCCGAGGTCAACCACGATCTGGAGGTTGTTCAAAATTGCATCTTCAAAAGACGCAAGTGAAACATTGGAGACCGGAGATCCCTGCGTCGACGATTGCTGCTTCAGTGTAGGCCTGACTATATCAAGGTAGGTGGCCTGCAACTTCATGACCTGATCCATGACTTCGATACTCAGCATGAGTGTTTGTATGAGAGGCGAATCTGATGGAGCAGCGTCAACTTCGCTGACATCATGGTGTGAAGCTGAAAAAAGAGCTTTGAGTACCTTGTCATTGAATATCCATTCCATGACACGGGTGTAAGGGTGCATTGCGATGTATGCAGCGAGAGAAGAAGAGTCGATGACAGAGTCAACGGGTATGCTGGACTTGTTGGCAAAGACAACGAGGTTCTCGTTGAAGGTGGAGAGACATGTTACGATGAAACGCAAACATGTGCACCTCATGACGTTACGCTGCAACGGGTCAAGGACCTCCTGCGAACGCTCCGCGAAAACTTGTTGCATAACGAAGTCAATATAGCCCTCAATTCCTGGCATGCGGCGTGACGATCCAAGAGTTTCAGGAAACGGCAAGCCGTCATTTAGCCCTTCGCTCTCTGGATAAGGCTCAATGAGGCTGTGAAGCAGTCGCACGAAAGCAATTGCCTCATCGTACCCATCAGCTAAGGTGGGCCAGAAGTCCTCTCGTGGTGTCGATACGAGGGCATTGCTTGGTTTTGAGGCGACGTAGAAGCCACTAACTGTCCAGTCGTCTAGAGTGTTCCAGATGACACTGGCGCGGTGGACATCTTTGCCCACCAACAAAGCTGATAGCGCATCGTATGCCGCTGCCCTTAACCCACTCTCGACTTTGTCTGTGCATAAGCCGAAGCAGATACCCAGATAGTTGTACTCTTTCAAGTCAAGGATCCATTGGCGCGCAGCAAAACTGTTTCTGCAAAGATGAGCTAGAAGACGCAGATAGCTTTCTAGCATGGTTGCACTTTCAGGTTCGACAATCTGGTCGGCTGGCGTTTGCGATTGTGCAAATATACCGACCTGGGTCGCCTTCTTCGGCTCGTGGATATCACGGTCAAACTCCACGAGCTCGTTGAAGATGTGTGTATAACTCAAAGAACTCGTGCGTCGTATCTTTCCAGATGCCGAAGCACCCTCTTCAAGCAGGAATTTGTGTGCACAATCTGCGTTCTCCTGGTCGGTCGAGATTGCCCGCAGCATTTCGCAGAACATGGCAATACGAGGAGTTGGCTGTCTCTTGGCTGCCCATTGCAGGAATCCGTAGAGATTGCTTTCCTTGTCGTTCCAAAAGTCACCGGCCGCATCGGGGAAACCGTCGAAGGCGTATGCTACGATGACCATAAATCTCTCTAGATGCAATGGGTACTCCCCGGTCGACCGCTGGAACTGCAGTTGGAGCCGTCTCCGTTGGTCATCCTCCTCGACTTTCAGCTTTCGCAGCGTATCTGGCATATGCGTAATGAAGGAGTCGACGAATGTTTGCAGTTGTTCCATCAGGAGTACCTTGAAAAACTCCTCAGGCTGTGTGGTCTCAGAACTGAGCATAGCGGTGTCCTGCAGGAGCGTCGATAGCATACTTGTCTTCTGTGGGTCGTACCATCTAGTTGGCCGCACATCCTGACTGACAGACAGCATGAAGTGGAAGGCACCATCGTTAAGAGTTCGAATGAATTGGTCGGAGCGAGTCTCGGCCTCAGCCTTGAGATCGACACCCCGTATGGCAGGGTCACGGTCGTTGGGGTCCACGTAGCGGCCACTGTACTCGGCTAACCACCATGCCAAGGTCGCCGCATGGAGGTTCCTCAGTGCCCAGCTGGGGCTGTCGAGTTCGGCCATCAGTGAGTCGTGGAGGGCGCGCGCGTCCCGCAGCATAACATTACTTTCGATGGCAGTCCAGCCCGTCAATCGGATGATCATGGGCACGTAGTGTATCGTAATGATGTCGTGGCGTTCGAGAGTCTTTGCCTTGGCCAGCAGCGCCTTATAGTTGTCGACGTTCACATAGCCAGCCTTGATCATGTGCGTGCAGATGGCAGATAGATTCTCATGCTGTCTCGTCAGGCTCTGACGCTGGAAGTCCATGATCTCAACAAAGCCTGGCAGGGGCACCTGTCCAACCACTTGGGTGCTCTGGACGCGTTCCATGATCTGCTGCAGCCACTTCTCGACGTTGGACATGCCCGTCAAGCACTTGTTCCAGTATCCATACGCATTGACCAGGTTCGCTCCACCGTCCACGCCCAGTATGATCTGCACGGCTTTCTGCAGCGTGGACAGACCTTCAATCTCCGTCTCTCCGCCATCTCCGTTGTCCAGTGTGGTCTTGGTCAGAATGCGCAGGCAGAGGAGAATGTACTCGCGGCGGCGGTGGAAGCGAATGACGGCCGTCTGTAGCTGCGTGCGGTCCAGCTCCTGCGCCTCGGTCGCAGCGCCCATGAAGAGCGCGGCGGCATCGACTTCGTCCAGGTCCAGCGCGTCGGCCAGCTCAAGCGTCTGCTGCTTGAAGTCGTCGTTGACCTCGTACTCATTGTCGTCGATGGTGATCTTGCCGGCCGACAGCAGCCGCCTGCTTGCATCGCTCTTGGGCTTCTTGTCCAGCAGCGTCTTGAACTCCTCCAGATGCGCCTCCAGGTTCAGCACCAGCCGCTCGAGCACGGGCAGCTGCAGGTCGATGTGGGCGCAGAGGTCGCGGTGCAGGCCCTGGAGGGCGGCGAGGCTGTCTTCGTCAGCCATGGGAGAGTCGCGGGGAGGCACTGCGCATCGTGCGCCGGCGGCGTGGACAGGCAATTGTGCGGTGGAGCGCGACCAGAGGCGTGTTTGGGCCGTGTTTTCCTGTCCCCAGCTCGAACTTTCGCGGCACGCGGGTGGAGCTTGGACGCGACTGCCTTCTTGGCGGCGACCGTCACGGCAAGCACCCCCGTCGCAGCTCCGCAGCAGCAGCACCACGAGCGTTGCTGCGCAAAGCTGGCCGCCGTGTTTCGCAATTGCAGAGCTTCACAAAGTCATGTGCCGCTCGTGAACAGACTGTTTCCGCGCTTCTTCACTGCTGGCGATGCGCACCTTCCGTCAAACTGACTTTCAAACGGTAGAGAATTGTGAGCGCCCAAAATGGGCGGGAAGAAGGAGGTAGTACATGCCAACAATATACAGGAGGCGACGAGTGAGTGGTCAGAAATCTCCACCTCGACCATTGTACTCACTGCTGCAGTCCTCATCCAAGACAAGAACGTCCAAACCCGAGCACAGGGCTTGAAGGACCTCGCCCGCATCATCCAGCTCAACCGTGGGAGGCCCAACTTGGAGGCGCTTGGGAACAAGGCCTATGCGTCACTATGCGACACATTGTTTCAGTATTTAAGGGACGAGCGCGCAAAAGTCATACAAAGCAAGTCCCCGTCGCCGCAAGCAGCGCGGAATCTCACATTATGTGCAACGGCCCTACGCCACGTCATGGACTCTGGCGTACGGACGATCAAAACCTCGACAGTAGAGCTCTTCATAAAGACCATCCAGGAAGTGGCGCCAAGCAGAGACAATCTACGTCTCAAGCCGTTTCTCGAAGAGATACCCAAGCCGCTGCGATCACTGCTTGAGTATCAACCACATGTCGAGCGTCTCTCGCTGAACGGTTGGAATGCAGCGGTTGACTTCTGCATCGATGCTTTGGCTGGCTCATCAATAGAGGCTGAAGCCGAAGCGTCTGGAAGCTGGGGTACCAGTGTTTCCAGCCGCGGTCGCACTCCCGTCGGCTCAAATGAGCAATCAATCGTGAAAGATAGCTTTCGTGAGCTTACGGTACGAAAAAAACCGGCGGCTGACGAAATTTCTCTGGCCGCCGCTGAAGAATTCATTCATTGTCTGCTTGCGCTCGTCAAGGCGGCTAATGCACCAGTTCTTGACAAAGCCGAAGCGGTTCTGACAGCTCTTTCTTACTTCCTGAAGCGAAGGACTGGTCGTGGCAAAGTGGCAACAGCCGCTCTAGCAGGCATCAATGCCATTTTGACTCGAACGGCCTTACAAAAGCTTGACCTGTCGAAACGCATCATCAAAGAACTGCTACCCTCGATGAAAATTATGTGGTCTGAGCCGGCGCTTCGTGACGAAATGCTGATTACTTTGACATACACGGAACCTCATCTCTCGAGCCTTGTAGCTGACCTTGATGATACCACAACATGTCTCGATCTTGAAGCAGTACTAGACACGATGTACGCAGACTATCGAACGAGGAAGGAGACTATGCATCAATACCTCGAGGAAGATCACCTTTGCTTTCGCTATCCGAGTGCGACGAACGCAGGCTCTCATCCACTTAGCACTCCGGCATTTTCGATGGAAACCGAGCACCTAAAGTCTGAGGGTCTTTGGGCGACTGTGTGCACGATTGCACGCTTCTCGTTGATGCTTGATAGAAGGAAACGAAAAGTGGCACACAATCGCGAAGCCGACGGGGAAAGTGTCCCCAAGCGCGCCCGTATCAATCTATTGTTTGATGAGTACACCCGACATCTGGCGGAGCCGCGCTCCAATGCCAGACGAGCTGCTCTGCAAGTTATCGCATTTTCAGTACAAGAAGGGCCCGTCGATAAAGACACACTCCAGTCATTGATTGACAGGCTCACTCTATGCATGGCCGACGAGAATGCGACACATTCTACATGGGCGATGATCGCTTTGACTGCGTAAGCCATGCATAAGCTCGCTTGGTTCTCTGCTAACAAACTGTAGTGCTGCGTTCCAGAAGACCGCCCAGCATCATGCGCTTCTGCCTTTCTGGGTGTCTGTATGGCAAAGTGCATCTCGGTCTGTGGCTTCTCCTTCATTGTCTCGCACTGCATGTCATCTTATGGATGTCCTGCTCAACCTTGAAATTGTGCCCTTCACCGATGTTTCCGACAACATTCAATCCATGCTCCTCTCCATCGAATTGGCTGGCCCATATCTACTCACAGAATCGAGCGCCTCCTTGCTGACCACTATCATGCGCGAGCGTATGAAGGAGAACCCAACTCAGTTCAATCAAACCGCTGCGAAAATCATTAGCTGGGTTTTTATCAAGTGGACACCCAGTAAGTATTTCGCCCTGGTGATGGAAACAACTGACTCACAGCGATAGGCCTTTGGTCCGAAAGATCGTACGCTGCTACAAATGCAAACCATTGCACTGCTCGAGACGTCTTGCAGTTGCTGTACGCTGCTTTGGACCTGTTACCAAGCCTCCCCGACCCATCGCCTTCTCTTGTCCTCGGAGCCGTCTCCCGGGCCAGAGTATGGAACGCTCGCTATCACGCACTTGCGCATTATCTTCTTTTGCTCGGTACCGATGAGGCGTATCTCACACAATTGCCCGAGCGGCATAGCCCATCACACCTGCCTGATACAAAACACCAACCTTCAAATATAGAAATCAGAATTTTGGAATACTGCTTGTCAGAAGTAGACAAGACGAGAGAGCGCTGGAAGGAAGCCTCCCAGTCAGACATCCAGAATGTCACATCAGATATGATGCGGATCATCACCAACCTCTGCATCATCGCACAAGCGTTCACCAGCCTTGGTAATCCCAAGGATCGTCGAGTAGAAGCTCTCGAGTCATCCATTGAGAGACTTGTGCGCACGTTTGTCGGCACATTATCGAAACCACAGACAGAGCAGTACAAGATCGACGCTGTACTTGAGACATGTGCTAGAAGCCTCCCTGATCTGAGCTTATGCGGCGCACTCAATAAGACTGTTTTCAAGCAGACAGGGGTCGAAGTTATTTCACGCCATCTTTCCGAGGCTCTTGACATTCGTATCGAGGTCAAGCATTCAATCAACGCCGTAGAAGATGATTTCATGGACATCGATGATGGCGATGATTCCCAAATGACCTCCAATATGGGAAGCCTCGACAGCTTTGTGCCGCGATACGCTGAACAAGCCGAGACAGATATCCTCGCCCTACGCGCGTCAACTTTATCGTACCTTCATCTCATCGAGGCAATTACAAACAGTACGGATCAAACCGATGGCCAGATTCCCCACAGCTTTGTGAGATATCTTACATCTTTAAGTGAGAACGATTTGCTGCGCTCTCGCCAATTTGTTCGGTCCCTTCTCCACAGCGGCTTCAAACTTTCGCGGACTGACTGTTCAGACTTGCTTGAACGACTCAGTGATGCCCTCGTGGCACCTCGTGCGCGCGAGTACAATACTTCCGAGGTAGCTAACGGCATGTTGGTGGAATTCCTCATCGGCACTGCTCTTGTTTGGGGCCCAGACGAAGACGAATCTGAAGCCGAGTCTCTCTATAACACCGTCGAGGATATGTATGATTATTTTGTCGAGGGATTGGAAGATATGGGGGTCAGACGATCAACATATCTCCAAGAAACCATTGCAGATCTCTTGCACGGTCTACTCAAGCACTATCCAAACTTCGGGCGCGACTCCAACCTACCATCCGTCAGAACCAGCCTTTTCAGACTGCTTGCCGAGGGCGAGATTACCGTCAAATACCATATTGCTGAACGTTTGCCGTCAATGTTCGGACACTTCGTGTTGGCTGATCATACCAAGGTCCTTCAAGACGTCGACAGTAGCCTCCCTGGCGAAGGTGACGGTCTGGAAGGGATCTCTCTTCAACTACTTGTCTTGTCAAATCTGGCATCACGATGGTATACGCTACTACGTTCAAGTATCTATCGTATCTTTGCGACAGCTGGGTCCGTCGAACAAGCTGCTCGACACGCTCAACGTTGCATTTCTAGTGTCGCGGAGGCCAGGAATATCGCAAACTCGCAGCAATTGTTCCAGCTTTTTGCCCCACAAATTCTTTTTACGTGGCTGGACCGAGGCAATAAGCTCGAATCCATACCGTTCTTGACATTTGGTTATACCTCTTTGGCAGACCTAATCCGAGATGTCGAGGCGGAAACTGTGGGCCAAGCAATGATGTTTGGCCGAAAAGAGGAAGTCGAGTACCTGGCGGGGCTGTTAAACACTTCTAAGACGGATCTACTCTGCAAAAATATCGGCAAAGCAGCAGCCTACACGATCTCATGGGACATCTGCAGAGGCTGCGCGCAGAATAACACAGAACCTAGCTATGCCGATCTCCTCAAGGAATTTGTGAGTAGTGAGAAGTATTTCGATCTTGTTCAAAAGCAGTTCCCGCAGGTTCTTGCCTGCATACTGCAGACAATCGATCGAGAGGACCGCTTGGGAAAGTCATTCGAAAAGAAGCCTGCTTTCACACCAGCAGCGGAAATTTTGACTGAGATGCTCAACATCAGCCACTCGTCACAGGATCTTGATGCTCCAACCGAGCCGTCCTTCAACGCTTATTATCTACCAGACCAGCTTGAACGGCTTTGTCGACGAACAGGTGACGACCCTGTTGGGTTTTGGAATCCAAATACGTTCACCTACGTAATGCGCACTTTGTTGGACCGTATCCATCCTGCGCTCGGTTCCCTATACGCTCGATCCATAATACGCAAGATCCGAGTTGTAATCGCTCTTGCCGGACCCGTCGCTTACGAAGGCTACCCACTACAGATGACCTTGCAGTCGCTACGTCCATTCCTCACCGATGTTCATTGCGCAGAGGACACCGTAGGCATTATGCAATATCTCTTCGATCGTGGTTTCCAATACCTCAAGCAGCACCTGAATTTCGTAACCGGCATTGGGGTTTCGATACTGGTGTCCATTCGAGTCTTCCTCGGCACCGCACAGGACAGCACCACACAGCAGTCACAACACGTTGCAACCATGACGACAGCCAATAGATTCCATACATGGCTTACGGAGAACCTAAAGACTCTCTCTGAAGCCATCTCACTGAGCGAAAGGCCATCAGTCGTCAGGGCGTTCAAGTTCATCACTACTGCTGCGTCGAAGGTGCGAGCGGAAGGTAACTCATCTCGCGGGAGTGAGGAGAGTACGCTTCTCGTAGAGATCCTGAACGATGTGAGAACCGGTCGCAAATTACTGAACAAAACATCTCGCGAGGTTGCACTGAATCTGCTTTGCCAAAATTTCCAACTGGCAGCCACAGCTCGAGATGATGTGCTCGGCAAAGATCAGGACGCTGTTGAATATGCCGGACTTGTCTGGGAATCATGTCGAAGGCCCAATGTGGGTGAAGGCTACCTGCTATGGGCTGCACGAGTTCTTGGACGAGCATTTAGTGCACAAGGTATAGTTAAACAAGCAGTGACTGCATCACGCCGCCGGGTATCTGCCATCCAATCCTCGAGAGCTCCTTTGGGCGAAAATTCGAAAGAGACCATTATCAAGGAAGTGGTCGACCTCTTTTATAGCGACGAGCGTCGCGAGGTCAGCTTGGCTGAGAATGCTATCAGACATCTGATCGCCCATGTGCCAAAGAGCGATCAACAGTATGAGACCAACGTTTACAGTGCAATACCAGAGGCCATAGGCCGCGCGCTCGTACTCTACATTCCGGACCATTCAATGTCAACGCTCATTGCGTCCAGCGAAGCTCCGGAGTTTGCAGCTACTCCAACAGAAGACAAGACCGTAGCTGTGTGGGTCAGAGATCTTGCCGTATCACTCTGCGCTGTTGCATCCGAAGATTCAATTCTCGGAGCTTTGCCTGCTCTTCTCCACGGCATCGAGCATATGGCAGAGAGACTGTTTCCTTACATCCTCCATCTTGTGCTATTAGCCGAGTACGAAGAGGAGCGCAGCGTCCGAAATGCCATTTCAACGGCTGCCATGGCTTGGTTTCACGATTGCAGTCCTAAGAGAGAACCTTATGTACGTATCATCTTACAAGCTATCTTGTATCTACGGACACAACCAGTTCCCAAAGAAGTTACTCGAGTGGATCGAGACCTGTGGTTGGAAATCGACTACCTTGCGGCATCACGAGCTGCTACCTCTTGTGCGATGTACAGGAGTGCATTGTTGTTTGCAGAGACATCTTCAAGTCATCCTGTGATCAAAACCACTTCAAGAAGGTCATCGGTGGTAATGCCACCCCCAAAGCTACCGGCAGAGCTGCAGCTTGTCATCTACAAGAACCTGGACGAACCCGACTCATTCTACGGCATTGACAGAGGCTCAGGTCTCTCAGCTGTCTTGGACCGTCTCGATTATGAGGAAGACAGTATCAAAAGCCTTATTTTCCGTGGTGCTCGACTTGATAGCCAGATGCGTCGCCGCAACGAGCTTGAACTTTCCGACACGCGCGGTACAGTCAGGTCCCTTATCATGCTCAATATGAACAGCGTTACGCATTCGATACTCCCGACTGATCGTTTTCGCGACACAGGCGATGAGGCCGTAGAAAGTACACTCCACACTGCTCGTAAGTTAGGACAATGGGACATCAAAGCGCCTGAGACGAACCATAGCGAGTCCGCAACGCTGTTCAAGGCATTTCAAGGTCTTCATATGGCTAAGACGCCCACACAAGCACAAGAGGACTTGAACCAACAGATGATCGCAACAATGAACTTCCTCACCGGCAGGATCAGTTCTTCAGTTCCGACGAAAAGCCGTCTACGAACCCTGGCGGCGTTAACGGAAGCGGACGAGGTGCTCCGAGCCGACAACCCGGAGTACTTGCTTGACGTTTGGGATGGTATGAAGGCTCGAGAGAGATGGATGGGAGCTGGAGAGTAAGTACAAGCTGCGCATATAATCTATGGAGAACTGATGAGCGCTCCAGATATACTGATGTTCGTCAATTGCTGTCTTGTCGCGAGACTCTATTCAATGTTTTGAGTACGAACAGCGTTCTAGTTGAGTCGTTGCACACACGCACTGCAACCATACGCAACATGGAAGTCGAAGCTCTGGTCTCCTCCTCTTCGATCAGCAGACGACATGGCGCAATCCAAGATTCCTTGGCCAGCGTAACTTACCTGTCCGACATCGTGCAAGAGTGCAAGAGCGTGGGTCTGGACATCGAAGCTACAGCTCAGCATGAAGTGGCAAACGTTCTCTGGGAACAAGGCGAGACCGACACTTCTATACGTATGCGTCAAAACCTAATTAGCCACGCAAGCTTCGATTCACATATGGTGGAACTGACCTTACCGGTACTACTTGCAAAATTGGTATGCACACGATGATCTTTGCGATAATTAGATACTGACGTGTTCAAGGGTCATCATCTCGCCGAAGCCCGACTTGCAAAGCCAGATGCGATCATGCAAGAGTATCTTGAGCCAGCTATTCGCGAACTGAGGGGTCAAGAACAAGGCGTAGGCCCAGGACAGGTGTTTCACGAATTCGCACTGTTCTGCGATAAGCAGTTGCAAAACCCAGACGCAGCGGCAGATTTAGAACGCATCAAGACTGTCATGGACCGAAAGTTACAAGAACACCAGGACTTTCTCAAACTTGCGAAGAGCGATAAGAGCAAAAGCATGCGAGAGACATATCAACGCAGTGCGCGCCGCGCAAAGACCTGGTATGACCTCGACAACACCGAGTACGAGCGCATGCGCAAGGGTCGCGAGCAATTTCTGCGACAGTGTCTCGAAAATTACCTTCTTTCTCTGGCGGCGAGTGACGAGTATAACAATGACGCTCTTCGCGTCTTCGCCCTCTGGATTGAATATGCTGACACCGAACTCGCGAATGAAGCCGTAAAACTGTACTTGAGCAAGGTCCCCAGTGGCAAGTTTGCTCTGCTCATGAATCAGCTATCGTCTCGATTGCAGAACGAGAGCACACCATTTCAGAAGCTTCTGTTGGGATTGGTCTACCGGATCTGCACCGAGCACCCGTATCACGGCATGCATCAGATTTTTGCGATACAGATGAAGGTGGGGCCGATCACAAGGGAGGATGTTGCACGCTCCAAAGATGAGTCAGCAAGGTCCCGCCAAAAGGCTGCGATAGATTTAGCCAACCATCTCCGGACGGACCCGCGATCGAGATCTTACTGGAGCTCGATCTACCAGTCCAATGAGATTTATCACAACCTGGCTATGTTCAAGAGTGAGAAAGAGAGCACGCAACAAGGACGTGAGCTGCCACTCGATCGCTACAAAGAATCGAAGGAGCTGGCCAGTATTGTGCCGAAACTGAATGTCCCACCAGCCACGCTACAAGTCGAAGTCCGACCGAACATGGATTACACAGATCTGCCAAGGATTCAAAGGTTTAAGTCTACCATGAGTATCGCAAACGGTCTCAGTGCACCGAAGGTCATCACAGCGATTGGTACAGACGGTAAACCGTACAAGCAATTGGTAAGCTCACCGATGGAATGTGTTGATGCTTCTGCTTACCTTTGCAGTTCAAATCGGGCAATGATGACCTTCGTCAAGATGCAATCATGGAACAGGTGTTCGATCAAGTGTCTCGACTTCTGAAAAACCATACAGCCACACGCATTCGAAACATTGGTATCCGAACTTACAAAGTTCTTCCACTTTCCACCCGTTCTGGGCTGATGGAATTTGTACCGAACACACTACCACTGCACTCCTGGGTCATGCCCGCTCACGAAAAGTACTTTCCAAACGACCATAAGTCGGACAGATGTCGGAAGGAGATCGGTGCATGCCAGTCTGACTCTCTCAGCACACGCGTCAAAGTTTGGAAAAAGGTAACCGAAAACTTCCACCCTGTCATGCGTTACTTCCTACTCGAGCGATTTGAGGATCCAGACGAATGGTTCGAACGTCGCTTAGCGTACACCCGCTCGACAGCTGCGATTTCCATTCTCGGACACGTTCTCGGTCTCGGCGATCGTCACTGTCACAACATTCTGCTTGACGAGAAGTCGGGGGAAGTGGTACACATCGATCTCGGCGTTTCGTTCGAGGCGGGTCGTGTCTTACCTATCCCTGAAGTCGTACCCTTTCGCCTCACTCGCGACCTCGTTGATGCAATGGGCTACACTAAAACTGAAGGAGTGTTCCGCCGCTGCTGTGAGTTCACCATGGATACTCTTCGCGAGGAGCGCGAGTCCATCATGACGCTGCTCAACGTCTTGCGATATGACCCTCTTGTCAACTGGAGCGTTACACCGACCAAAGCGAAGCGGATGCAAGAAGGCGACCCAACCAATACCACCCGTGGACAGAGTGTTGCGCCAGGTGGCACTCCAGCACCCCCTGGCTCGGCTCTCGAACAGGCAGAAGCCGTGCACGAGAGTCTGAAGAAGAAGGAGAGAGAGGAACAGGCTGGTGAAGCAGGCAGAGCATTGAGTGTAGTCGAAAAGAAACTCAGCAAGACTCTAAGCACGAAGGCTACGGTCAACGAACTGATCCAGCAGGCGACGGATGAGAAGAATCTGGCAGTCTTGTACATGGGATGGGCTAGTTATGCCTAATGCCGCAGACGATGTTACGTTTCAATGAGGTATTTTGGATCAGGACAAGTAGCGCATAGCCGTTGAAATATACATAAACTCAACTCAACAGCCACAGTGACAGGTCGTTCTAGGCATTTTCGGCCCTTGCTGCATTAGGAAGGTCGCACTTGTTACTTCGTTAAATCGACCAATCATGAAAGCTCATCTTAAAACGCAGGATCGAAGGACCCGTTAACGGCCCGTTCACGAGCCGCAGTACAAGACTTTTGTAAGGCGTACCGTTAATATGGAGATTATTCGTATAGCTCCTTGGTGCCTAATTTTCCGGCCATGAGGTGATATAAATACATCGAACTTGGTCTCCCTTCCGCGCTGTTGTGTGCATTCAAGACCAATTCCCACATCCTCAACAACACCAAGCTCCAACATGCGTTTCTCCGTCCTCACATTCGCAGGCCTCGCTGCCGCAGCGCCGTCTCTGCTCGCCCGCCAGTCGAGCCACTCTTTCAACCTCACAGGCGCCTCCTGGGACGCCACAATCACCACCACCTCCGGACGCCCGGGCTACACTATCCGTGATCTCGTCGTCGGTTTCCACAGCCCGCTCACCGAGCAGGTTGCCAAGGGAGCGTGCCACTACAGCTTCGTCCCCCAGGGCTTCAGCCCGCCTGCCGTGACAGACACGTGCGATGCTGGTCTGGCATACACCTGGGAATGTACGTGTCCATCCTCACACTTCCCTCCCCCGAGCCTCTGAAAAGAGGAAATGACGGGCGGAGAAAATAATCGAGACAAGCCACTGACCATAGCAGCGTCCACACTCACTCTCACCCACAAGGTCCCCATGGGCAACGAGACCGTGACTCTGCACGGCACCGGCACCCTTACCAGCAGCTGCAAGACCGACGGCGTGGGCAGCGGCAGCACGTGCGTGGCGACCGGTAAGGTCGAGTTGAGCCACTACTGCCGCCTGGATCCCGTGGTTGTGGGGTGTTACCCGGTGGATGGAAACCCGTGTGGAACCTTCTGCGAGAACTGAGGCATTGTGATGATGTAAGAGCTGTTTTGCACACGCTGTCTCAAGGCAGTCGAGTCGCATGCAGGCTTGCAGGTTTTGATTGATGAAAAGATATCACAAGTACTGTTTTAAATATAATGTATGAATTATGCCATCGCTCTGCTTGATCCTTGTGGGATTGAACTGACATAGCCGCCGTCCAAAGTATGACGACTTCGCTGACAGTTGTGTTGAACACAGGGACTATTGATTGATAGTTCTGGGCTAGCGTTCGTGCTGGTCAGCCTCTCGTAGTATTAAACATAGGATATATACTTCGTGAACTAGACATTCCAAGTGGGACTTGACCGATTTAAAGGGCATTCGTTGGTTTTCGCAAACGGATGGGACTGCCGGACTCCGTCGGATCACGTGTCCTGTCAGCAATGAGATTGCAATTCGAAGCGGCGGTGCGTTCATTGTGAGTCTGTTGGTGAGAGCTTACATGATCCTTCGAGGTGTCGGTGACATCGGGTTATTTCATGGGACAGCTGTAAGTTTTCCTTTGGAGTACATTTGTATAATTTCAAACTACTTTTACGCCCACGAGAAATGCTCAGAGTGGAGATAAACTCCCCCAGACTTCGATCCTTTGAGAATGTCAATATTTTCTTTGGCAACCGCATTCCGTACGTCATTCTGCATCGTTGTGGGCCCACAGACATACACGCTCAGCGAAAGGCCTTCTAGCGCAGCTGCTTCGCCTTCTTGATGAACCATAAGGGGCAGATCCGGTCTGCCGGAAAGCTCTTTGCTCGACGTGGCAGTTCGATCTGCCTTGGGTTCAACTTTGATGTTGTCTGAAGATGACGAGGAATCTCTAGCTTCGTCTGCGGACCGCACTCCAGTGGTAGCATTTTCGGCTTCGCCCGTCAGATGTACCTCGATGGCGATGTTGGGTAACTGAAGTGATAATGAGTACTTGGCCAGGAGCTCATTGACCGAGTCCAGGAACCAGCTGCGACTACTAAGGTCTCGCGTTGCAAGGACAACACGCAGCTTCTGGTGAATTTGGTTGCTCTCGAGATCCGCTTTTTCAATCTCCTGATGGGCGGTAAGATCACGGCTAGCAGATTGCTGCCTGCAGAAGAGCTCGAGAAGCGGCAAGATCCACTCAGAGCCGGATCCACCAGCGACGACGAGTAAACGATCTGCTTCATTGAATCTCTGAACGTTGATACCTCCGTACGGACCATCCACAAGTACAGGTACCGCGGTGTTCTGATTCTTTGAAGCATAATCTTGTAGCTTGCGTGTCAAGCCGTGCGAAGGGCGGATGTAGAACACAAGCCCAGAGCCTTCCTTTCCATCTAGCTCAGGAAGTGAGCAGATGGTGAAAGGATGAGACGAGAACGCTTGCAAGCCGAAGCTCGTGAAGCGGAGAAAGCAGTGTTGACCTGGCTTCCAGAGCATGTTGACTGATGGGATGGTGAGACGAATAAAGCCGTTGTTCTCAATGTGTATGTGAGCCTTCTGTGTAAAACCGTACTCGAAGGCGGTTCGAAGCCATGGATAAATGAAGCAAGGCACATATACGGCAGCTGTTGCAATAAAATAGTGCCTGTAGACAGTAAGCATCTAGCGAATACAGGGACAAGTTCTGTCCAAGCCGGACATACCAAGACGTGAGTGTGTAATCACAGTGCCAGAAAAAAACTATGATAAACACGACGACAGCAAAGAAGTGGGTTGCTTTGAAAAACTCGTAGCCGAAGCGCCTGTGATCTGTTAGTAAAACAATTAGATTGCTGGAAGCGCCAGGAAACATACCTAATCACGCTGTGAGATGCGAAAGTCAACCAGGCTTGGAAAACAAGTGCAACGATACCGGTCCAGTAGAACAAGGTGCTCATCATGGTCACCTCCATCACCATGTCATGGAAATGGGTGTGAGCGACGATGAATGGGAAGGTGTGCATCAACGCAAGAACAAAAAAAGCATAAGCGGTCCATCGATGGAATACTTGTATCCTCTCATGTGAAACTCCCGTAGTAAGCGTGATCCAGTTCGCCTTACTTGCAGTTGCACTGCGAAAAATTAGTTGGGAGTAACTAGGAACGTCGAGGAACGTACAAGACAAATGGCATGCATGCTAAAGCCATCCAGCCCGATCTTGTTCCCAATGGCGGCGAGCCACCAAAGTCCTCACTTGGCCAATAGTAAGGCTGTGGTATCAAGTCCATGCCTAGAAACATCAATCGTGAGCCCTGTTCTATGGATTGAGGATAGCTTTATGGCTTACAGAAGAAGTAAACTGTACCAGCAAATCCCAAGAGCAGTAGCCCAATGGGCGCTGAGTTCCAATTTAGCGCTTTGATATGATACCCACGGTAAGACAGGTACCGAATAATTGCGACAAACTTCTGCCAAACCGGAGGGCCTCGAAATCTGCGATATTCGAGGATATAAGACGATACGATATGTCCGATGATGAAGATGCCAAGGGTACTCATGAAGAAAGCCACCGTCGGTAATGCGTAGACGTAATCGGCAATGTACCTAGGGTGCCAGTGTCAGTGTATCACAGAGATGCACGATGAATTTGTGCTACCAGAAGTGCCATCGATGCATATAGTAGTTGCATTGCTCTTCAGTGAATCCATCACAAGTAAAATCGCGACTTCCCGTCAGCTGGAGTGGATATGTGAGCCAGCTCGCCATGAAGTAGTCTTCGACTTGGGTTGAAATGCAGGGAAAAGTGTTCTGCTCTGGAAAGAGCGCCAAAGAAAAGTGTTGTGGATTGGCAGCATAGACCTGGGAAATGTGGGAACCTTGAAATAAGACTTGCCCAAGAGCTGCAGGTCACCTTAAGCTTCATGAACCGAGAGCTTGAGTGTGGATCAACAGCTGCAACGCAACAGCGACTCGGAAGCCTAGCTTCCAGCGCCAAAGCGAGAAACGAGCATGATTCTTTGGCGCAACCAATTGGACTTGCATAATCGACGGAACTCGTGGAGAATGTGATGTTCCACATTGTACCTAATGCAGTTTGACCTAATCCGAGTACGGCCGAAACGAGCTGAGCGAGATTGAGCAAGTTAACGCACTCACTCACCGAGCGCCTGTCATCCGTTGTTATGGCTGGAAGACAACTCACCTGAAGTCTTGAACCGTCGCATCCCTCGGTCCCTAGCCTACCATCTCGTGCAGGTCCAGCAACTCCTTAACATACTTCGCTACCAGGCCTGTCTCCCCACCGGTTCACCATGGACATGTCTATGACTATGGCGATGTCAGCCACGGCAACAGAAGCGATGTCGATGCCCTCGTCAACGTCGTCGTCCTCGATGACGATGATGGGTGCCGACTCGATGGCAATGACCTTTTTCGTGTCCACATCGACACCGCTCTGGTCAACGTCGTTCACGCCTCATAACACTGGACAGTACGCAGGAATCTGTATCTTTCTCATTGTGCTGGCTGCAACGTTTCGACTGTTGATGGCACTTCGAGCCAACTTCTTGGCAATCCTTGCCGCTGTCAAGCAGAACCGGTACAGCGGCCTGATACAAGCACATGCAGTGGAGGGTAAGGCAGCGGCTCGATCCTGGAAAGCAGACGAGGTAGTGATGATGGCGGGACTGGATGTTATAGTTGCCGGCGTGAGCTACTTGCTGTAAGTACATCTGATTGTATGCAATGCGCTGCCTTGGCTAAGCATGGTACAGGATGCTCGCAGTGATGACTTTCAACATCGGATATTTCCTTTCGGTCCTTGGTGGTGTGTTTCTTGGGAGTCTGGTCTGTGGTCGCTTTGTTGGAAGCTCTAGTTCTCACTGAACTCTGCTTGTGACCGACACTATTGTCACTTGGCAGGTCTATATGACCGACGATTGTCCTGCAACTTCTAGCCTTTTGGCGGCATCTCATGAGGCGTCTCGGTCAGTCTGTTGGCCCAGGCACACCTCGGGCTCTGACAGTTCAAAGCAGGGAACCACTTAGTTTAATATATGGGTTGCATCTCTATAGCTCAAGACCTATCATATCCAAGATATTCTATACTCCATACCAATGCTCTCTCGAAGATACCTACACGAGAAAGTCAATTCTTCGCAACGTGGAACCTTGAAACAAGATATTAGGGTTCAGCGCGTTCCAGATCCGACCACAGATGAAATGCCCTTCACTGAACCAAGGAGAAGGCAATCGTGCATGTGCGAAGCTGGGCACCCTGGATCCCGGGCTACTGCCAAAAGGTGCAAATAGGGACCGCACTGACCATTACTAACGTCTTGAACCTGTTGTCGGATCGCGAAGTAAAGTCTGCGTTCGTCAAAGTGTGTAGATTTGAGACCAGTACATGGGATGTGCGTTCCTGCCACCTGTAATCGCTACTAAAAAATAATCTGGATTAAGAGTCCGGAAAGTTTTGTTCGTGTGTCTGCCCTGACATATTTTAGGGCGCAGAGTCGATGTCATGGTGCAGGCCGAAGAGACAAACGAACAAGGTAAGCGAACCATAAGGAAGTCTGAGAAGAAGCTACGCTCATGGTTGTGATACTACAGTGCAAAAGTAGTGCGAGGTTCGGACCGCGGAACGAGATAAGCTGAGTGGCTCACTCACGAAGTTTTCGAATGACAGCCCTTCGAAACAGATCCCTTGGAGGCAGCCTGATTCTCGTGCAATTCCGCCGAGCCTCGCTCCATTCTGATCATGAGCTTTTACCAACACAACTGGTATCTCTTCTTAATGGGTTTCTGACGTTTTCCCAATCTTCACAACAATAAGAATAGATAGGTATAACTGACCAAGCGTTATTTGAATCTTAGCCCCAGGTGATATGGTTCTGCCCTCGGTATGTGGGAGATGCTATTCTACTAGCGATAGACCAGAAGGGTCGACATTATTAAACAGATTGGATATTCGGCATTCTACATGGAGTACTAATGACTAGCACTGAGAGTTCTCCCGAAAGCAGTCTCAAGGCAAACCTTTAGACCTCCAGGTACCTGGTGGTTGTGAAAATTCTCGTAGCCCTGAGCTACGTTTTCGAAGTCATCTAATCACACCGATTAGACAATTAAACACAACATGTATTACAGTTGTCTGTTTTCGCTGACCTTTGTGTCCAAACAGGAACGAGGGATCGTATTTGCCCTCAGTAACCAGATCTAGAAGAAATGGGAAGTACTGAAAGTTTGAGCGTTAGATGTTAGCAATTGCAAGAACCTCAAGTGTGTTTTAGGTAATGCGCACCCACCTTTTCAGCGTAGAGCTGCCCTCCGCGCAGGGTAATTGCCTTTTCCATCAACATTCCAATAGGGAAGTTGTTGGTTGAATAAAAAAAGTCGCCAATCAGAGCGACATTTCCTCCCTTACGCGTTGCTTTAATCACCTCGCTCACAGTGTCCGAGCTATCGCCCTCGAGGCCCAGAGATTTCATAGTCGCGTGAGCAATCGAGTTTGTACTTCTGAATCCACTTGCTTCGATACCGCGGTCCAGACCATGTGGCTCGCGGGACAAGATGTACTCTGCCGGGTCGCCGTGTTCGTTTAAATCGACGGGAATCATGCCGAATGACGCTGCGATACTGAGGCGATGGGTATCCTTATCGACCGCGTAAACCTTTCGCGCTCCACGCAGCTTCGCCAAGCGCTGGATTGAAAGACCGATTGCGCCGCAGCCCCATACGCCAACGACATCATTTTGACCTACTTCTGCCAGCTCGCAGCCGTGCCAGGCGGTAGGTGTCACATCCGCAAGACCGAGCAGCTTTTCAGCTGGCGTCTCCTTTGGAGCTTTGACACATACCAAATCTGCGTTGGGGACGCGACAGTATTCCGCTTGGTTGCCAGGGTATCCTCCAGTGACCATGGAATAGCCGAAGATGCCTGACAGCCGATGTCCGTACATCTGTTCCATCTCCTTGGATGGGTTGGTCCGATCGCAAAGAGAGTACTCTTTGCGCTCGCAGTAGAAGCACTCGCCACAAGCAATGACCGGCAAGATGATCACCCGGTCCCCAGCTTTTAGCTTGTTGACCTCAGGGCCGACATCCTCGACGATACCGATGGCTTCATGGCCCATGATCAAGCCTTTCTCCATCACTTGGTTCATGTCGCCAGCGTACATGTGCAGATCCGAGCCGCATATGGTGCAATGAGTGATGTGTACAATGACATCTTTAGGCGCGGTGATAGTGGGTTTAGGGACAGTGTCCAGTTTGATCGACTTTTTACCGGTCCAGACAGCTGCCTTCATCTTCTCAGTAGGATGCGGCTTGTACGCCGTTGTGCGAATCGGTCTTCAAGCCGTGTCAAAATGCTTCTTTGTATACCCTTGGCTGTGATTCACTTACTCCGAAACTTCTGTCATGATCAAAGTTTGAGATTAAAAGGCCTGTGGTGTTAAGCAATGTTATTGGTGTTGGGGCACGAAGCTGCTTTCTCTTCGTTATTTAGGAAAGTCTGTCTAGGATAGTAAAGATGATAGGGTTGGAGTTGCTGATTTACTGATTCAAAGGCATCTCACATTAAATGTACAGCATAATTCGTGTCCGCCCTTGAAAACGTTTATCTCACTCTTGTGTCACTATGATCCGTCTGGCAAGCCATTACCATGATTATAATAATGTTTACTAAATGCATGCACAAGATATGATGACATCGAATATGCCTAATTGTTATAGATCATGCTCATCCTGACGTCTCGTCTAGCCTAAAATATTCGGAAACTTTGCAGGGGACCCATGAACAAGCGAGATTCGCCTACCACTTCCAAGAACAAACGATCACCATCATCATGTGAGTGTTATGAAGAGGAGTGACTAATCTGAGAGGAGATGTTCGCTCACCTGGGAAATTCATAGGGTCCCAAGTATAGAGTAGATCTCGTATATCATTTCAAACGTCATGAAGCAAGCAGCCCAGTTCCTACATATCATCTTATGTACGCTGACGGTATTTCCAACAATGAAACTTCCCTAAGGGAGTACCTTCTCGATGAGATAAAGCCGTTACGCGATTAAAGGTGAACAATAGACCTGAACCATACCTCACTTGGACTTTGGAGACCGTGTTCGTACAAATAGATCACTTGTCCGTTCAATTCGTAGCCACTAGTATCAATCTGTCAAATGGTATTGCTACAAGTGATCTCAGTTGACCGCTGCCGAACATTTTCCGATAGTTCCCTCCCACGGCTTAAGATCGATCGTGTGTCCCGCACCAATTCTGTGGTCACTGAGCGGATAATTGCCGATGATCCATTCCTTTACAGTGTGGTTCCCAAAGCCGGACCACTCCAGGTGGTTACCAGTGAAGTTAGTAATGGTGATCCAGCTTTCCTCCGCCGAAAAGCGTCGGAACGCTACTACATCTTTGTTCTTTGAGTCTAGGATCTCAAATCCTCCGTAAACAAAGACGTCCTTGTGAGTCTTGCGCAGCTCTATGCAACGTTTCCAGTAAGATAAGACAGACTGTGGGTTCTCAGCTTGTGCCTGAACATTGACATAATGGTAATCATCATTGACTCTCATCCACGGCTTGACACCTTCTTTACAGAATCCAGCATTCGAGGAAGCGTCCCACTGCATCGGAGTTCGTGTGTGATCACGAGCTTTGAGTTGGATGAGCCTTCGCGCATAGTCCAGTTTCCGATAGTTGTTGGCGTATTGGTGACTGGCGCTATTTCGCGTCGATGAGTCAGAACAGTACCACAATCCCTAGGAACATACACTTACGCTCTCCAATACCTCTGAGTCTCAATATCCTTGTACTCCGTGATTGGCCAATCTGGGGGAATGTTGCGCATTCCTAATTCTTCGCCTTGGTATATATACTCAGTCCCCCCAAGCGTCGTGTGTTTGGTGCAAATCATTTTAGCAGCCTTTTCGCGCCATTCATCGCTATCATCAGCAAATCTTGAAATGGATCTTGGTGAGTCATGATTCTCGCAAAAGATTGCGTTCCATCCATCCTTCTCAATCATCAAAAGTTGAGTTCGCTCATGGATTCTTGCCATGTCAGAAGCACTCCACTCTTGATATGACCATTTTGAATGGCCAGGTTGGTTGTCCAGGTTCAACAGCTCGAATAAGAAGATCATGTTCAGGGATCCCTGTAATCCAACAGTGCGGATGATCTCATCCTCGTCGTTTATGAAAGGCATCTCTCCAACTGTGATGGTGTCGTAATTGTCAAGTACCTGTCGCATCTCATGAAGGAACTCATCCATCCGCGGCCCATTGGCAAAATATTCACCGCCTGGTTGATAATCCTGGCCTGGTATCACCGTTTTGGCATCCGGGAAACTCTGGACCTTAGAAATGTGATCTATGACATCCATGCGAAAGCCAGAGACTCCCCGATCCAACCAAAAACGCATAATATCATGCACAGCCTCTCGGACATCTTCACTTTCCCAGTTGAGATCTGGCTGCTCCCGCGAAAATATGGACAGATAGTATTCTTGGCTTTTTTGGTCCCATTCCCAGGCTGATTCGGTCGTGTCCAAGGTGCGGCACCAGTTGTTAGGAGGATGGATGTTACCATCGAGGTCCTTCTTGCCCTTCCTCCAGATGTACCAGTCTCTCTTCAGACTGTTAGTGCCTGACCTTGACTCGAGAAACCAGTCGTGCTGTCAATACATGAGCACTCAAGTTAGGCTGATTGATCACTTATAATATACCTGGTCCGAAGTGTGGTTCACCACAAGATCCATCATGAGCTTCATATCCCGTTGCCGGAGCTCCGAAATCAGCTCATCAACGTCCGCCAAGGTACCATACTTTGGGTCGATGTCCTTGTAGTCAGAAATATCGTATCCCATATCTATCTGGGGGCTTTTGTAGACTGCTGGAGGCTTAGAAAGTATCTCTCCTACGAAATGGAGACGGCCTACTTGGAGATGTCCAGATTACATCAACTTCATCCATTTTATTAGCATATTATGCGATCGAGTCTGGTGGTACTTGCCCCCAAGTGTTTTCAAGTAGTTCAGTGACTCTGTAATACCGCGCACATCACCATGACCATCGTGGTTTGTGTCGCGGAAAGAGGCAGGATAGATCTAAGATACTTTTAGTTTCTGTAAGAAAGGAGAGCTACTTGCAAGAAGTTACTTGATAAACTACACTTTCCTTCCACCAAAGTCGCTTGCTTTTGACTACACCAGGCTTTGCCATATCAATGGAGAGATTGCTGCTCCCACTGAATCGTCTGTTCTGGTGGACAACGCTCGGAAAATGAGGGCGGAGCAGACAAGGACGCCAAAAAGAAGTTTTTTGTGTAGTAAAATGTCTGCGTAGGTGTCTCATAGAGAGTGAGATTACCTGGGCGAGAACGTGGAGTACCTTCGTTCTACGGCTTCGGGCTGGCTAATATACGTCTGTCAACTCGAGGATAGGCTGACGTCGATATGATATAAAGAATCGTGTGATAAATCACCAACGTCACAAATGAATAGGCGTTTGTATGGAGATTTTTTGATTGGCAGCTGAAGGGATCAGATAATCAGATGATGATGTGGCCTGCCAAGAATATAATCATGATGAAGAGCTTCGCCAGTACTAACCTGGTTGCTCATTGCTTTGTAACGGATCTCGCTTCAGTAATATGTGGCGTTATGAACGTAGACCTTGCAGGATATCAGAATCATTCATGTTTGGTAGTGATCGGTACTTCTCACCAACACGTATTAACAAATGTCGAAAATTTTCGTTAAACGCAAGTTGATTAATTCATTCCATGCTCAAGTTGACCAACGCTCACGAGATTGCATGCTTCTAGCCCGCCCGTAATGGTAGATCTATCAACCATCTTTCAAGTTCCCTTTCGTCAATATCCCAGAGCCACTTCTGCGTCACGCTCCGCACCTTGTCTGAAAGCCTCTCGTACTCATCTTTATCACTCATCCGCCTGTTCAAAGTCTTCTTCCATGGCTGGGTGTCTTGCCTAGGTACAATATATTCCCCCTCTTCGTCAAGTTCTCCTTGGATAGGGACAACGGGAATGACATGATCAAGTCCGAGCATAGCCTCAGTAAGTGCGCCTGCATCGGATGAAATGACTGGGATGCCGCGGAGGTGGGCTTCGATGACTACAATTCCCCACGCTTCAAACCAGAGAGAGGGAACCAGGAGCACTTTGATATCTCGCCATGCCTCTTCCATGTCTGTGCAAGATGACCGTATTCTAAAGATTGATGATTAGGCCTATGTTATTCTTACTTGGTTAGAAGAAAGTTACTTACGTGAGGTTGCGCAGTGTTGTCAATTCTTCACCAACTCTGTCGTCAAAGCCCCAGCTCTTGTAGACCAAGAATTCGTGCTGAGGACACATCTTCGCCAGACTGGCAAGAATCTGAGAACCTTTGACTTTACAAGGATTAATCATACCGACAAATCTTTTGTTCCAATTGTGGAGGTGGATCGGCATTCCGTGCGTTCTCTCATCTAGATATGTCCAAGGATGGTGCACAAGGAACTTTGTAGCCAGCCGCCCATGCGTCAAAGCGTATGTTTTAATAGCATTGGAAACGCTCCATACACCGTCAAGCTCTTGAAGGAGCTTAGACTCGCATGGCGAGCTTACGTGACCAGGCATACCGCCGAAAAAGGGACCAAAGGGCAGTTGTTCCGCAGTATGTATGACGGCAATGCGGCAAGCTTTGAGATTAGGTAGCTCTAGAGCCGAGGTGGCTTGCATGGAGAGACCATCGTTGAAGATGATGTGTGTCGGCGCGAATCGTATGGTTTCTTGTTGCAAGAAAAGGACGTAGTCATGTAGCCGTGCTGATAGTCGTCTTTCCTAATCCAGAGGGAAAAGCAGTATTAGTTCATGATGCCACTCTTGAGTGATTAGTGCATACCTCGATATACGCTGCTGTTTCCTTGGATATCACGTTGTGGATATCTATCTTCCCACCGAAGGCTTCGTCGAAGGCTTCTTTGTCCAATGCTACGATCTGAACACCATCTTCCAAAGCCAGATAATCTACATTGACGTCAATTCCAGGCTGTCCATGCTCATCTCGCAGATGCAGCCGCTTCGAACAATGTTCCGGATCCCGATCCCCATACCTGGCCAAGGTCTGAACATAAGTATCCACCTCACCACGATGGGGGTAACATAGTTGGCGGACAGAGTGGCCGCGGGAAGCCAAAAAACGTAGGAAACACAGGTTTGCTTTATAACCGCCAGATGAGGAGAATAAACCCTTTGCAGTTTGAATGAGGAAGACTTTCAAGCGATTGCCGTTAGAATCACAAACCGAGGCACTCGAAGAGTTTTCGTATGAGTAGGAGGGAGCTGATGACGGAAATAGGTGAATGATCGGGTCAGAATCTGTTGTTGCTATGCGAGATCCTACCATTTTAACGTAGCAGTATGGGTTCTTGCAGTGTAGAAGAGTGGCAGATTATTGCGGTAATGGTAAACACCAGGGGCCTAGGAGCTTTTAATTTTGAGATGCGACAACCACACCAATCCGATTTCTGCGAAGAGCAAATATCACAAAAATGTCAGAATTCGTAATAGCAGGCCCTTGAATCAATAAGATCAATACCGTTGGCCCTTGGCTCAGATCTCTCTGCTGCAAATCATACTTCGTGACCCGTTTCCGACGACCGGTATCGTAATTAAGAATAGAATCCTAGGTCCCGCGGAATAGCGGTGGGGGAAGTCTCCTAGCTGAATGCGAAGAGCCTCATTGCTTCAGACATGGGAAGTGTACTACAGTCACAACGTACAACTCTCACTCTATTGTTCCTAGAAGATTCGGATGGGCGCTGTTTGGCATCTGATGCACACCTATGTACACACTATTTGAGCAAATTCTTTACAAGCATGCCTTGAAGGTATTCCCACTGCAGCCCTGGGAGTCGGACTTAGGCGAAGTTTGAAGACAACGACTGTCCTATCAATTACCTGACTCAAAATGCATTTATTACGAGCAACATCACTCATTGTCATCAGATCTGACTTGCCATACAACGGGTGGAGCCCCATTAGCCGGTCGCGACAGCAGGTAAATTCCTTGCTAGGCCATACAACTCTTCAGTCTGCAACAGGCTTCACAAGTGAATCAAAGAAGTACTTTCGATCTGCCCAGATTGCCTGCCGCGGCTGTCACGTACAAAATTATTTCCATAACCCAGTTCAGCAGCCGAGTGAGTTCGGCCCGCATCACGGTAGTGACAGTTGTCCGTCCAAATTGTGTTGCCGCGTCCTAGAATACGCTGGCTGTCAAAAACGGGCGCATGAGCCGTTGTCAGACATGCGCATAGTATTACGGTACTGGTAGCGCGCCGCGGGGCTTCGTGATATTCCGCTTTCAGGTTGGCGCCACGGGCCCTCACGATGTTTCGCATCGACACGGAACATCCGAATTGCGAAGCAACCGTCTGTAGATCTCGTTAAACACCCATGCACATCTTGGAAAGTTCGACGAGGCGGCACACCTTCCGAATGGCTCATAACCCTGCAAGCATGAGGCGCTACAGCCCCGTTACCGCTGTTGCCAATGGACACCATATGTCTTCGGCGCCGTAACGGTATTTCTTGTAAGGCTGTAGAGTCACGATATCGTCATTCTGGCATCCTGTCACATTCCGTTGTTCAGGATTGGAAGGTCGCACAAAGAAATCGCCAAGTTTTACCCCAAGCGTACTAAGCCAAGGCTCAGCGGGGTTCATGATTTGCCCGGAAAATATCACCGGGAATCCAATGACATTGTCCTTAACCCATGTTCACGATCTCCCATGCTTACCTAGGTATGCAAGACTTACATAGTAGCTGTTCCGCGGCTCCTAGGATTGCGTGAGCTCGTATTCAGGTCCAACATATGTCTCAGTCTGCATGCAGATGCATCTTCTTGCATACGATCGAGATCCAGGGTTCGAAGAAGCACTCTTTGCGCGCTTACAAGTAAAAATTGGTTCAAGATATGCCACTTATCAATCGCAATCCTCTAATCATTACTTAGGTGGCTTACATGTCGCACAGACGCACACTCTAGCTAACCAGGTAGCCCCGGTACATTGAGGATCAGCTACTACGTACGATGGTACCAATCATCATGTATCCTAGGTTTTTTCTCTGAATACAACAAGCCAATCGCTTGCCAAAAGCGGCATTGCCGAGAGCTGCATGTCCAGATATATCTCATGGTAGAATTTTACATACTGGACCTTTCGTATCTTATCAAATAGTTGTCCTGGTCAGGCTCATGGTGTGTCAATCGCTTGACCCCTGAATCTCAGTATCACTGTCCCAATTTTCGATCTTATAGAAATCTCCGGAGTCCCTCTCGCCACTTGCATCTTACCGAATCCGCACCAAGCCTTCTAGAAGTACAAAACTGATTCAAAGGGGAACGGCTCCAACTCACTGTTAGTGATATCTCTGCTTGAATTGTTGAGTGAGTCTTGCAATAGCTCTGTGGGCATGCTGCTGGATAGATCGTCTAACATTCCCATGCAGCGATTGGGCACAATAATTCGAGTACGATGGAATCCACCACACTGCACCATCCCGGGTGGGCAGCGGCCCCTTCTTCCGCCTCAAGTGATCCTTTTTCACAATATCAGCATGATAAATACGAAGACGTTTACAGTGTCCTAGACCAGACCACGGGCCTCCCTCACCTGCTCAATCCAAACTCGCTTTCTACAACCGATGCCTCGAAACACAATGCGCAAACAACTTTCGCAACTACCCGTGGCGAATTGACTCAAGTGGGCTCTACTTCTGCAGATGAAATTTCGCAGGAAACTTTGTGGCCTTGGGAACAATTGCAATTGGACGCTTTACAACAAGAAGATCGGCCACTCTTTGGTCAAGATACATTGCAGTCAATCTGGACAGATGTCGAGTCGAGTATAGAAGCTCCATATGAACTGGTGAAAGCTGGTGACAACAGCACCACACGACCAATGATCAATAATGACTTTGCGAAACGTAGGCGTGGCAGACCCAGACTATACCCTTCGCCCACCGGACTAAATGACTTCGATGTCACTTCAGATACAGTTCCAGAATTACGCAAGTCTCAACTCGAAAAGAATCGCCTCGCGGCCGAGAAATGTCGACGGCGCAGGAAAGAGTACATTGCTGGGCTTCTGGCAGAAGCGTCAACAGCATCCTCTAAGAACGAAGCCCTAAAGGCAGAGGTAGCCTCTCTACGTGAGGAGCTGCTAAACATCAAAAATGAAATTCTGCGCCATGCTGGATGCGGATCCCCTATCATTGATGGATATATTGCTAGAACTGCAGGAACTCAGCTCAATGCCGAGGCCACATCCAGAGTACTGCCACGCCGGGACTCAGGTCAGGAATCAAGCGATGGACGATCGGACGTTACTCCAAAAGATCCTGCAACTGAAAAAGAGTCTGCAGCACTTTCTAACCTAGATAAACCGAGCTTCAACATGAGCAAATATGTATACGATGTCGACGTGTTCGAGCTCCTTGACGAGTTTGTGCACACGGGGGAAGATAACTGAGGGGAATCTTGAAGGATCAATCGAGAGTGAAGTTTTCCGGTGTTCGGGAGATCATCGAATGAAGACTTTTCAAACCAGAAATATGGAGATAAGTGACTTGAGAGTGATTGAGTCTGTATGAGCCCGCCTCTTACTTCAGTGGGCCTTTGCCCTGGTTCCCAACTGTCGGAAGGCTGTAACCGCCGCCACTGGCTTTCAATCCCTCGATTGCGCCACCTTTCTCGTGTTCAGGGAATGGTGCAGTCTTCTCGGCACGAGCAACCTGTGAAGTCTGCAATCGTTGTAAGAATCAAGAAATGATGTGTAGCTGGGGTGTGTCATGGGCACCTCTCTAGGCCCTGCTCCGTGCAAGATGTCATGTTCTGCCTCCTTGAAAGGACCATTGTCGGAACTTCCGTCTCCCTGTCGAGGCATGTTGGTCGAGGTAGCTTGTAAAAGGTCCTTTCGTGAAAATAGAGTTTGTTTGTACCGCGGTAGAAGTTCCTGGGCTTGAACGTGCAAGAGAGGGAAGTGCGAGCGCAGACCTAATAAGATTTTGGATGCGGATGAGTTGACGTAGGTATGACAATTAGGTCTATCGTTACGATTGATACGCAATTTTGGACATTATGTGACATAATTTACTATCAGCGTACCTCGTCTCGACTGCCCTGTATCAGCTGTTTAAACCCACCGAATTTGTGAACTGTGATGCGCATTAATCTTCCCTGACGCATGTCTACGTTTTGCCACAATGAGAGCGGCAATCGTGGCTGGGTTCTAATGATTGTTCATTCTGATCGTGATTATCCAAGTTATCGCGCGGGAGGGGCATAAGGCAGCTATTGATTGAGAGAACGTCATCTTGAAACATGTATTCCGTACCCGGACAGGTCTTACAACAAGATCGGTAGAACACGGAAATTTATTAAAGACTTTGTATAGGCTCCGGTAAGATCATTGCGCGAGCGTTCTCGAGTCCTTGGATTAGTGTACCAAATGGGACCAAATGCAATGCACCATGGCAAGCAACCAAATCGTTGTAACAAACGCCATTGTCAAGCTGCCTGCTCCTTATAGATGCTCCACCGTGTTGTAAACAGGGTATTGTACATTCATCGATTGTGTCTTTTCACAGCTCTTTCACCTCGTCAATCTGAAGTCAGCCTTTCCTGTGATGTCCTTGATCTCCTCAAACTTCGTGCCCATCTTGACGATCGAGTACCGGATTAATCGAGGATCGAGCGACATGGTCTTTCGCAGGGAATGTTGTGTGCGCGCACTCGAGTCGAAGCGCATGATGAAGTGGTGGCCATAGTGGTGAGTCGACTGCAACTTCTTCGCGGCCTTCGGCAGGAGGAAAGTGCCCCAGTTCGAGACGCCGCGCACGACACCGTTCCGCTCGAGAACCATCTTGCCGGCGGTTTTGGCGATTCTGCACGTCTTGTATTAGCACAGGTCCCTGTATTCTGCGCCGGAATGGCAATGGTAATGCATACTCTTTTACTTCAGAGAGGTGGCCAGGCCGTACCTGCCGCTGTCAGCATGCCATCATGACTGGCGATCGTGTCGCAATGCTATACATACCACTCCGATCATCTCGTACAACATCTTGACCTCGTTGTTGGTGTTGCCGTTGCGGTCGTGCTTTCCCTCGCGAAAAGTGGTCGCTTTCGGAAAACGTTCGCGCGCGACTTCCCAATCGCCAGCTCCGCCAATCTAGCGCGCCTTGGCACGGTCATTATCGCAGTGGCAGCTCCCCGAAGCTTCGTGGATTCTGTAATTGATTCTCCCACGCACAGGATTATTCACAAAATGGCTTCCCGATTTGCTGTCGCTCGCGCTGCGCGACAATTGACCTCAGCTGCTGCGAAGAGGCCGAGCGCCTTTGTCTGCCAGCAGTGGAAGCAGTCCGCTCAGGCACCGCGGCTATTCACGGTGTCTGCCCAATGTATGCATTTCGAGCTCTGCAAGAGCAATTGCGCAGAGAACTGAGGAGGCTGACCTCGAGAAGTAAAGGAGAAGAAGTACACTGAAGACCACGAATGGATTGAGGCGTCCGCTGATGGCAAGACATGTACGTCCAGATGCTCCGCCAGCTCTGTCATCTTGCGACGCAACTGCACGATCACACATAGCAAAGCTCTATGAATACTGACGCCAGTGGTAGACACTCTTGGTATCTCTGAATACGCTGCGAAAGCTCTCGGCGACGTCGTATACATCGAACTTCCCCAGGTAGATCTCGAGGTCGGAGAGGGTGACGCAATTGGCGCTGTCGAGTCCGTCAAGTCTGCTTCAGACATTCTCACACCTGTGAGCGGGACCGTCGCAGAGGTCAATTCGGCACTTGAGGAAAAGCCGGGCAGCATCAACAAGGACCCAGAGGGCAATGGTTGGATCGCCAAGATCACTGTGTCAGAGGAACCTGCTGGCAAGCTGATGAGCGAGGTTGAGTACAAAGAATTCACAGAGGAGCCGTAAGCAAACGCAGAACCATGTAACTCTACGAAGTGAACAACGAAGCAATGTCATTGGCCGCATCGACTATTTACAAGCATCAGTCCGTATGACGGCCTCAAGATTGCTGACCCATAAGAAGACCCATAAGAAGACCCATGTGCATCTAGTCTACACATACTTCGCCTGCCATCCTAGCAAACGGGACACGCTAGCAATACGACACGTCCACGTTGGTCGGCAAGCATCAACAACGCAAATTCTGGAGTTGTGGCTACTACTGACTCATCGAAATGCGCAAAGGATATAGCAAAGTTAGTCACCACGTCGAAGCATGATGCGACGCATAAGCAGCCAGTCCCATTGAAGGGCGCAAGATTAATGAGCTCGACTTTGTCGTGGCTCGTTGACCTGAACTTGTATCCCAAGAGCACAAGCCTCCCAACACAGATCCGTCTCAAATGCGACATGCAACATAGGTCAAAGAATGTCACTGGTGCCCAGAGACGGATCATGCGATCACCACTAGGTGTGCTTGTAAGTAAGGTCGTAGAGCCGGGACGCGCAGTCCGTGATGGAACGCTACCTGAGGCTGAAGCAAACGTCGCCCCACCTTTCCCCGCCAAGGGTCTCAATGGTCCTGAAACCACACGCGAAACTGACCATCGCCAGCCCCACACCAAGATGGTCTTCGGCCGTTGCACGATCGCCCAGCTGTGCCCAGCTGTCTTCCGGATTGTGGCTTGATTTCGCCGAGGCCAGTTTCAAACAAGCTTTCATCACCGCCGGTCAAGCCTTTGAGAGCTATGCACCGACCTGCAAAGGGCACTGGACAAGCAATTGAGACGCCTTATCTCGAACATGTAGCAAGCTTATGAAACTGGAGCTCCCGTTCTCCCGTAGCGGAGGCGGGGTCAATGCTCTTGGTATAACAATACAAGTTGCCTCCATGTGAGCTTGGAATGGAACCAGATTATCTACTCAAAATGCCGTTTATCAACTCGAAAGGTGCGTCAACGCTTGGTCACACATTCAGGTAAGTCACTGTGAAGTCGTCAGACTTCGCGAATATACAGCTGACGATATCTAGGAATTTCGACCAGACAATCATCACAGTCAAGGTTGGAGTGAAAGATGACCAGGAGCCATTCAGTTGCCACAAGGAGTTGCTGCGCCGGTGCTCGACGCATTTCGATCAACGCCTAAGCGACAATAGACCTTCACCTTATAAAAGCTCGGGTTCATCACTTGAGCTTGAGGATGTGAGCCCTGATGTCTTCGATGCTTTCATGATGTGGCTATACACCGGCTTCATCCCACACCATCTCATTGAGGGCGGTAAAGAAGTCCATCCACCTACACATGCTATCGGTACGAACGGAATGGATGGCACGACACCATACCAACAAGAAAGCGAGGACGTTGACACAGCATCCTGGGGTATCAGTCTTGAAAACGACGACGTAGCCAGTCCAACTTCGAGCGGGAAAGCTCCCAGCGTTTCCGAGGCAGTAAGCGCCGAGAAACTTTCTGGTGACAACAGCGACGCCGAGAAGCCACTGCCTACACCGCCAGTCCGAAATCCAGCAGAGAAACCCGAGATTCCCAAAGAGACCCTTTGCCCCTGCTGTTCGCGTCCATACAAATGGCGCGGCCTCGAAGGCTTCTTGGAACGTCGCTTCATCGCACTATACACATTCGCACATCGCTATTCAATCCCAGCGCTTCGCCGTGCGGTGCTCCTTGCATGGCAGACGAATGATGAGATCCTGCAATCCATGCCAGACCACAGTAACGTCATTGCGGCGTACGCAGACTTACCACCCGATTCACCTCTCTGCCGATATTTTCTTGACATGTATACTGTGTATTGGAACCCCGACAAAGACAACGAATTCTCCATTCCACTGCGGAGCCAGTTGCCGCAGGCGTTCCTGTTCGAGCTGGTGACGGTGCTAGCCAAAGGTGAGAGGCCAAAGACAGAGAAAGAATGGTGCGAATTCCATGAGCACGAAAGTGAAGAAGAGAGGAAGGCTTGCTGCGAGGGGCTGGGCAAAGATCCGGTAGCAGGAAAGGCGCTACGGAGGATCAGAGACAGCAAGGGGTGGAAGGGTTTGGTGTTGAAAAAGGGGAAGCGTTGAACAGATCAAGTGAGTAGATTTGTAGTTAGCGAGTCGTTTCACAGTACAAGTCCATTTCTCTCTCTCAAATCGTTGCCCAATCATCCATCTCTATAGAACTTGGACTGTGTGACATATCTGTTATTGTTGAACCGAGCGCTGGCTTCTACAGCCGTTGCACAATCAATTCCACACATAGCATACCACTCTTGATACATGGCCAAGAACGTTTCGTTCCATGCACAGATAGATGAAACCCCGGTGAATCGACTTTAGTATTGGTAAGTCCAACGCCAGGCCAGTAACCTTATGAGGTAGCAAGCTAACACGACCAGTCTTTGTTGTGGGCTCAGATAGCATACGGTAGGCAAAGTTCGGCTGGAGCATTGAGAGCTGTCATGATCATGCTAGGCCGAACACCATGAAGTGATAAGCAAAATAGCCTCAGAGATAGAAGGTTTTTACAGTCGATGGATACAAGAAGGTCAATCCGGTTCCTGCTGCTTGGCCATTGGCTATGCGGATTGTGGTTTTGTGCGTGGTATGAGTGATGTCTAGTGCATTGGAGGCGACCCGGCCGTACTACTGTGACGAAATGTGCCTCCATTGAACTACGTGAACTGATTGATGTGTAAAGAGAAGTCTGATCGGCCGAATGGATCCATATACAAGTGCGTATCTATTGCCGCATTGAACTGAAACTCCACTTAGCTTTCAACATCACTCAAAATATGTGCTGCGATAAGAGGCTAACAATAGCATAGTAAGATTTTAGAGATAAACAGGGTATATGATACTCAAGGGAATTTCGCAAATCGAACGCAGCTGTAGCCGGAGACTTAATGGCATGACCAGACTGATCTGAGGCTTTCAGCCACTCTCTTGTTTCTGCACACAGCAGCACACAGGACTCTCTTCGACACCTGAATGTTTCAAACTGTGGACTGTAAAGGACTGAATGTCGTCGGGTCCGGATGAAAATTACTTTCACGCCCTTCAGATCTTGAAGGTCTGCTATCCACCGAGGTCTGATATGATGCTTTTCTTGGTTGCGACCCTGGTTCCCAGGAAGTATCGAAGCTCGGCCGAGAGATTGACTTCTCGCTTGGTGCAGATTTCCAGGATGAGAAGCTCATGCTCGATCGGATAGAAGACCAAAAGGGGCTCTTCATGAGCACATTTGTCCAGAAAGCAGACATGGCGGGCACACAGCTGACCATGATTGTGCCAAAGATCTCGGCAAAACTAGACATGACTTAGCATGCGTAGGGTATAATGTAGTGAGAGCTCTTACGTGATGATGACGATCTTTCCTCCGTTCCATGTTGGATCTTTCCCGTCAAACACCTTGACTCGGAAGGCCAAGCACGCTGCACTCAAGACAACGAGGCTGCAATTACAAGTTAGTCGAGCAAAACAACCCTCAGTGCGCATGACCACTTACACAAGCCCAGTTAAAAACAGGAACACAAGACCGATCTTCTTTGCGGGACCCAGCTGTAGCTTCAGGATGACCGGAAAGGGGACGATGAAGATGAACAAATCAGCTGCGAGAGAGAAAACACCGATCATAACCGCAGACCATGCTGAACTCGAGCATCGCTGGAATGACGTGCCGTCCCAAGCTTCGCCCTTTCTGGGAATGCAGTACACTACAGCGATAATGATATTGGATCCGTAGAAGAGTGCCATAAGGAAGATGCAGGCGTACGAGGTGATTCTTAGCCATCTCACAACTGAGAATAAGCGGATGTAGAGAGCAAGAATGGCGGATTTAGCTGCCCATAGAGTAGGAGCTGCAATAATCTGTATGGACGCTTGGATCTTTGCCATTACTGTTAGTGTCTCGTCGGGTTGTTGCGACTGCAGCTTACCTGTATGTAAGACACCGTCAACACACTGAGTGGAACATCCCAAGCATGTGTCGATGATCCTCTTAGAGACACTGAGCATTTGTTAGCAAGTGTAGTGGCCGTTAGAGCAACTTGATGTATTACATTCGTGGTACAAAACCCAGTAGGCCATACCTCCGAGCTGAGCAACAATGCATAGGTCTGCACGATGAGTAAGCGAAGGGACACACGATATGATGCAGGAAGAACGTAGATCAACACATTCTTGAGCCGAGCCGAGCTCTAGTTTGCGAGGATCATGATAGACTTATACATACAGTCATCCAGGCAGAGCTTCTTTGAAAGCTTGATGTTCATAGCCAATCGAAACACGAGCATAATGCCACTCATGATCATCAACGTAACTCCAACGCCCAGACCAGCGGAGTACAAGGAAGGTGGGTTGACGAAATTTGGCGGATCGCCATTGGGATTTGGCATCAAGGGGACCCTGGAAAGGTCTGTGCCAGGTGGGATAGCATCCATGACTGATGATGAATTGACAAGGTTTGGATGCTGCCGTTGAAGTTTGCAGGAGTACGGGTGCTGCTGTAATCCAGTGAGATCTCTGCTCAATGGTTGCGCAAACCATATATACACCGGTCAGAAAGGCGCTCGGTCTGACAGTTCGTAGATGAACACCGAATGTAGTTAGACCCGGGTACTTGTGAGCACTAGTCAAGTAACGCGCTGACGGACAAAAATAGTGACAGTTGTCATTTATCCATCCGAAGGAATCTGGCTGCCAGCAATCGAATAGATACACTGATAGCACTTTTCAACATTTGTCCGTGTAGCGTTCGACATATCAATCTTTAGTCTCATGGGGTTTTCTGTAACCATCATGTCTGGATTGCGCGCTCGACAGAATCCGACAGTACCTATTATGTATTCGTTACTCAATTCAAGGTATGGCGATGGGCTTTCTAGCTGGTATCATGCGGTTAAGCTCCGAATAGTTGTCCAGAAACTTGCGTTGAAGCCCGCACTCTATTTCCTCGGTGGTGCCTATATCCGTGTGCAGGTACAACGGTACTTCGGCAGAAGGCTTGAGTGTTTCGCGTTTGGCTGGTACGATGTCCAAGGTATTTCTGCAGGTGATTGGACTGCATTGACCCCACGGACTCCGATACACTCAGCTGTGGGATTTGATGCAGGTGGTTGTCTCCAATTAGGATGGCGGGGCGGGGTCGGCGCTGTGCCACCCGCCGTGCCTCATAGACCCACAGCTTGGCGCCATACACCTGTATCTTCCGCAGCCCTGCACTTCTTTGCAATCCCCCAACTCCATCAATTCCTCTGATTTAATTGTCTCAACATCTTCAACCTCAACTTTGGGAAGCACCCTCAGACCTTAGCTGCTTTTCGCAATGTTCGAGCATTTCGAGCTCCGTCACTTTCCCCCACTCTTCATCGCAACCACCACAGCTTTCGGCGGCACAATGCCGCTCTGGAATCCCGAAAAGGCCATTCTGACCTTTGGTTTCCCTCAAAACATCGCAAGCTCTAGACCTGCTCATCCGGTCATGGCGGTTGGCTCGGCCCGCATCACCTGCACAGGCATTGCGCTATGGGCGCTTTACCTCAAGGGTCATCTTGAAGCAATGGATATCGTTCTCGCGTCATTGGGGTGGCTTGCACTGGTTGATGGGTATATTGTACTGCAAGAGAGTGGGCGAGGAAAGGCAACTTTCCGGTTCCTGAGCGCTGCAGTGGTCGCGATTTGGGGCATGCTGGGGATGACTGCTGGGAGATGATGAGACGGGCTTCTAGCGGACAACAACTTGTGAGATACCATGAGCATAGAAAATGGAATGCTGCGTCTTATTGGATTCTGATCCTGCGTTTTCACACAGGCTCAGCGCGCCTCGCTGACCGAACAGCGGCAACGCAGCCTTCTTATCACCCGAGCATGTTTCAGCCTCTCGCTTTGCCGCTTCTCAGTGAATTGTGGTGCCCCAGAGGTGAGGCCTAAGAACGTTATGAACGTAGTATCGGTCCCATGGTGGAGTTCGAATTCAATTCTGTTTGATAATTTGTCAACCTTTCGCCATCCTGGCGTTACACTAGACCCCACAGGTCAGTACCTTCTGGAGTAAGACCATACTGAACACGCTTGGATACGAGACCGACGCTATACTGAAAGTATTCAGCCTTTGTATGTTCAGAAGCTTCAGGGAAGAGAGATTTGACAAGTCGGAAGAGCGAATGGTGGATGGCTAGCGAATTAAACTTGCTCACAGGTCTGATAGTGACAAACAAGTACATCACCCATTGGTCGTAATCTGACTCGTCTAGTATGTCCAGTGGTTCGCCCAAATCGCCCATTGTACCGAAGGTGATACCTGCATATATGATCAGTGATCCCTCATTCTTCTCGCAGCATCCTTATGACATGGAACTACTGATAATGGCTACTCACAGTTAAAACAGTGCACCATGTCCCTCCCTGTTCCAAGAGATCTACCAGTTTATCAACGTACTTGGCAAATAGCCGCACCTGTAACCTCAGCGTTTGAGGAGTTGGACCCGTCAGACAATACCATGTAAATAGATATAGAGGCTGGCGTTGATTGATGCGGATGACGTCTTCGGAAAGTCACCTAGGCACGTGAGTAATAACGAAACTAACCAATAGCGTGACCCAAAATACATTTCATAGTGGTGTTGCAGTCGCCATGCGCCACTCTACAAAGGCTCAACAATTCTGTTTCACGTCGGTGTTTGTTTAAACTTTGCCCAAGTGTCAAGATTAAAGCAGAACTAAGATAAAGAGTGAAAGAGCGTATACGCGTCCAACCATTGACCAGCAGCCGCGTTTGTACTATATCAAGCCCACCAGGTCCAATGTGTCCATCAGATGCCTTTCGTCCAGGAATTGAGCCTCCGGCTTCCAGATTCCGAGCACGAGTCCAGCGCGCCCGCAGTTTATGAGCATCTTCTGTTCGCTGGGTAATCAACGACCGTGAACGTGTTGAAGTGATTCGGATGCGAGATGAGACTTTGCTTGCCCCGTCATTGGTACGAGCTGTTAGCGCCGCCGCCGGCCTGCGATACTTATACGGGGAGGTGCTGACGTGCATGCGCACTTGCTGCCATTGTTCCGATATCCGTGGCGCTGGTAGGTAATCATTAACCAAACTGCGGAATCGCAGAAATCGCGTATAAGATACACGACAGGGGGTGTTCGCTTGTAAAACACATCTCTGGGGTTTGATGCGGGGAGTGGGCCTGCGGACAGCACCATCTGATGTGGGGCTGGCGCGACTAGGCCAACTTAAGGTTCTACCGTCTTACACCTCCCACGTTTCCCTTCGACAGTCTCTCAGACCGCCGACGACCCCTTCCTATGAGCGCCTAGCTTTTATATCAAGGTAAATATCGCCAGTATGTCTGGAAGTGGTGTAAGGGCCGGTAGCAGCAAGCGATCGCGCCACACATGCCTGAACTGCCGGTGAGTTCCGTTTACCCGTGTTCCTCGCGCACATGTCTGTTCCCTCTCACGTATGGTTGGTCATAGGGAACGCATCTTCGTACATCTGACAACTAGGATAGAAGGAAAAAGGTGAAATGTCATGGCGAGCAACCCTCATGCAGCTTCTGCGCCCGACTCCTTCAGAAGTGTGTCTATCCGAACCAAGGCTGGACAACAATGGCCCACCGGTCGTCAATCTTTGGTGATCCTGAGGCAGAAAACGAGATCTACGTATAATACTGCGTCCCCATCGAGAGTGCATCAGCTAAACTTTGGGAAGGCCGATTTTGCTCTTAGCACGCCGCGCATTGAACCGCAATTAAGCAGCGCCTCAAGGTATCGTAACCTTTTTCGTACAGTGAATGACCTATGACTGATACAGTTTGTTCATTACAGGGAGATCAATACAGCTGAAATGGTGCCGCCGATAGACTGGCAACTCCTCGCGGATATTCCGCAGATACTCTCTGTTGGCCAACCATCTCACACCCTGGCCGAAGGCCAAGTCACGTAAGCTTGAAAAATCTTTATTTGACCGGTCTGACAGCTTTTATATGAGCAGCGCGTCGACCGCTCTTCCACCAAGTCACGTCTTGCACGCAACCGTGGACCTCTATTTCGAGCTTTGCCACAATCAACCATACTGTTTTTTTCACGAAGCAACGTTCAGGTTTCAATTGTTTAACGGCCAGCTGCCACAGTACCTGCTTTTGGCTGTGCTCGCAATGTCCCGACGATTCTCGCACGATCCGTTCTACGAGAACAATGGTCTCCATTCGAGCGAGAGATATGCTTCAGAAGCTTGGAGTGAGGTTGTTCGACAAGCGTTCGATTCTGAAAGCGGGCTCAATCATCGCTTGGTTCAAGCAGCCACTATGCTAGCGATCTACGATTTTACAGGTACGGGGTAATATCTCCCAAGAGACACAGTACAGCTAATGGAAGTAGCATGCAAGCATGGAACCGCCTGGATCAAGATAGGGGTCGCAGTTAGTCTTGCACAGGCTTTGAGGATGATGACAGAACCCTCCCCTACATTGCCTTTCTCCACTCAGGAGGAACTCCGCCGTACTTTATGGTCCATATTCCTCCTCGATAAAATGGCGACTTGCGGTAGGGACCGACCATCGCTATTCTTGGATCGAACTATCGACCTGCAGCTGCCCTGCAATGAAGACTCCTTCACGACCTCGACGCCCGAAAAGGTCGTCACTTTAGAAAATCTGCCCCATCTTGATGACTCAGAAATGGAAAGTCTAAGGTCATTTGCACCATCAATAGGTCTTGCATCTATCCTGAGTCAAAGCGCAAGCTATGCTTTCGAACACAATAAGAGCGCCGGTCAGCAGCCGCCATGGGTTCATACGTCTGAGTATCAATCCATTTGTTCCCGGCTCACACGCTTTGAGACGTTCTTTGACTGCTATGGAGATATGCAGGAGCACATTTTAAACAACGAACACACGAGCCACAGAGGTACCAAACAGGTCACTGAGTCCGACATCTTTGCTTTTGTCCTGTATCATCTCTGCTACTGTTTACTACATCACCCATTTTTGCTTCGACGTCGATTAGAGAGATGTGGAACCAGAGCTCCTGTTAGCTTTCTTACCCAAGCACTCGAAAGTTGTTCGAGCCATGCCCAAGAACTCACACGGACTTTGGCAAACGCAAGATACGCAGGATACCGAGTGTCAGCAACGTTCTTCAGCTACAGTTTACTTGTAGCCGGCTCGATACACAGCTTGTTTCAACATTCTCCTAACGCCGTCACTGGTTCGAGATCGCTGGAAGCTTTGCAGAATTGTATGACACACATTACCGAAAAGGCCAGATACTGGAAAAGCTCACTTCGAATGGTGCGTAGATACACACTCACTCTGTTTCCGAGAACTGACCCAAAGATACTTGCAGGCGAGGGCACTTTCGCAGTTCTCTCTTGACTCGGCTCGCTACGCTTTCTTGATCGAATCCTCTGCCCAGATCATGTCCCTAGAACCTGCAGATATCGAACAGCTTTACGCTCTCTGTGATTACGGGACGATGTCTATGCCCTCAAGTGATGGTTTGTCTGATACAGGCACGAAAGATGCTGGAATACCCGGACTCATGCATGCTGCACTCATGGGGGAAAGAAGTCCGACTGTGGCATATGAAGAATATGGCGGTCATATTGATGGTATCATACCGCAGATGTTTGGCCACCACGATGCCAGTACTATGATGGACAACTTTTACTCCGCCCTCGGTGGACCCAATGGACTCAACGATGCTACAGCTGGTCCGTAAGGGCTTCAAGTGCGAGGATGTTCTAATTGCTTACACCTTTCACCCTCCAAAGCTGAAAGTCGGTCTCAACTAGTAAGGTGCAGCGAGAAAGAAATGCAAAGGCAGTTTTTTCACTTGTTCGACATGCACTTTGCAACCTTCACAGCTGCTGTCTCTCTTGCAGGAGTCTGTTCCGCTTGGACCCGCACTGGAGATGGGAGATGGGTTGCAAACAACGTTTACCATAATATTGGAGCAGGTATATGGTCTTCCTACTTTCAAGCAGTTCAGTTCGGACTCTTGCTGATACATTCGTAGTCAACGCGCAAGAACCATGCACGATAATGAACACGATGACCTACTTACACAACAATGAGAAGTGTGCTTACTGGCAAGATGATCGCGGTAACATGTTCCATGGCAGTACGTATTTGTATCTTAATGCCCTTATCCATTACGCTCACCTAGTACATAGGCTGTCGCCTTCTTAAATTCTCCTCTACAGTTACATGCGTCTAGCCAGAGCCTTACTAGTTTACAAAATCGTTTGAAGTGAGCTCACTTGATTCTCAGTCCAAACATATGGATGTTGTAACTGGGAAGTAAAGAATGCACGTAAACATAGTGGGACGGAGAATGAGAGAACAAGGAGGGGTAGTGATAGAAAGGTGTTTGCCGGACCAGCCAAATGGGATCTTCCTCATCTTTTCGAATCATTGAAATTGAACAAATACCCGTCTTCCATTTTGGACATCTAAGCACGATATTCATGTCTTGGGGGGGGGGGGGGGGGGGGTTGATTCTCAGTCCAAAGGCTTCGAGTTTGCAATGTGAGGAAGTAGACGGTTTGTTGACAGGAAACCTCCATTAAAGAAGGTAGAGGAGAGGAGATGTGTGCTGTCCACTGTCTAAGTTATGAAACGTTGAATTTCTCAAACCCAGAGCAAGATACGTCTTTCAGGGAGCTTGAATTTCACATCATATAACCTACTTTGTGGACATTTCAAATGGTGTGCAAGTCTTGAAAGTTGGGAGACGGAATAGGCAGGAATGTATAGAGAGGATTCGTGAAGTACAGCAATGAGGAGTGAAGGTGCGATTACCCCTGTAGCTCTAGACTCTGATCTTTTTAAGTTCGTGGCAATGGTCATGACAGCCTACTGGTTTAATCTGCAGATATGAAAAGCTCCCCCTCAATATTGAATTCCAGACCTTTGTCCACGGAAGATATAGTTCGCGGAAATGGACATCTGAAGGAAGTGCAGCATACACAGAACAGACATGCGAGAAGAGAGGCAAGTCTCCGGGAAAAGTGTGAAACATCAATGGTGTACGATGAGAATAAATCTGAGAAATCAAATAGAAGACCTATCGCTGATGTCGACTATCTCTTTTCCACATAAATGTCTACATCTTCGTTTTGTGAAACGTATTCATTCTTTTTGAGCATTGGGCCAAGTGTGGGAGAAAGAAATGACCGAAGGGCGAGACCCTAAGATGTAGTTGCGCTCTTCGCCAAACTACTAGCGTCTTATAGGTCATTCTCGAGCATTGGCATAGCAAGTATTAATGTCTGCTGTTGATTTTGAGGCATGACATCCAGCCTCTGAGTTCTATGTGCGGACTTCGGGCTGTCTCTTCTCATCTTGTAGGAAAAACAAGAAGAAAGGGAAAGAAATTTCAGATATAGATTGATAGCGTATTAATTTGCGCTGCTGGCAAATTTCCTACTCCCGAGAAGCAGGATATGAGACACACACCCCAGCGGTTGGGAGTATTCCAGGCATTCACAGCCAAGGGACCGGTCTTGAACACACCTTTCAAGTTCTTTGATTCATAATGAGAAGTAACTGCGGGCGCAACAGACAGAGCAAACGAAGAGAGAGGAAAGATTCGATGATATGTTGTCACTTTCGTCGAATCTGTGGGAGTCAGACATTTATCATACACTGGCATCTTTGAACACCTCTTCAGGCCGGCCGTTTTTTTTACGAGACTTAGAGTAAAGACAAGAGAAAGAAAAAAGAACACACGACCGAAAGTAAGTCAAATCTCCACGCGCCGTAGCATCGATGGAACATGCTTTTTCGGAACCAATCTAGATCAGGCCATACATACTTTCTCGGAATCAACTTCCAACGGCTACCTTGTCGGAAACTTGTTTTCTAGACTCCAATTCGATTGTTTAGGTCTGATTATCTGAATCGGGAGATGAGAACAAGATGTCTGTGCACCTGTGAGGTAAGGGAACGCATTCCCACACTCTGAGACACAAGACATGCCTTTGTTGTCCCATGGCTCCAAGCTCCTCGGGTTGAGGCATCAGGTTTTTATCTCAATTATTCGAATTTCAACGCAGACGAATAGTGTGAGTATACGATATCGTGGCATACAAACATCTGTGGTAAGTCGAAACACGTAAATAGAGGACTCAGACACGGGAGTGGATCACACCATTATAGTTCATTTTCCATCATTCTATTTCGAGAACTCAGAGGCGTTGAGACGTTATAGGTAGAATTGTACACATTCGCAGAGAGAACACTTTTATAGATTCCTGAATGAGAAAGCTCCAGATAAGAGAACATCAGCAGGCTGTTTCAAAGTATCAGACATCTGAGCTGTCGCATGCTGCTTTGTGATTCAGCGTTCTGAAAGTCAAGTATGCCGAGGGAAAATTGAAATGCAGTAAAGAGAGATAGGAGACAGAAAGTGGAGAGGAAACAAGAACGAGCTTTATGCCGTCAGTGGGACATAGGTCTGGGAAGCTAAGACAAAAGACATGTTACTTTGTGTTGGTTTTCAATAATAGGCTTCCAACACACATGTTTCAACTCCTTCTTTTTAATCCCTCTCTTTGAAAGGTTGAGAATGGGGACAAGTGTATTTGACCTCCGCACACCGCAAGTTACATGCGTTCCATTGGCACGGAAAAATGCACGTATCGAATTCCTGCTGTTTATTTCAGGACACGAGTGGCTCATGGTTATGTGTGGTGTCTAGATCTCCAGATGTTCAGAAATGTGATAAAAAACACAGGAGGGGGCGAGAAAGCAATAGAGAGAAGTGAAAAGAGTTTTTATTGCATCACGCAAGAAGTCACGCAGCGCAAGATGCCAAAGACTTCGTGTCGAGCACGATCTTAATCCGCTTAGTTAGCGGCGCTTTATACCGGTTGCGAATGCACTACTGGACCACGGGCAAGAAGACATTTCCCCTCACAGCATGTAGCGCTTGGTAGGACGTTAGCTGAAGCGTATCGAGTGACGTGCAAGGACTCCTTCAGCGATAGCAACTCCCAGAGGGCGCACTAAATTCGCTCAGACTTCGCAGCAGCCTTGACTCTGCCAGATCCGTGTCACCAGGCACGCGGGCGCCGCTCGAACAGAAGTCTCAGAAATTACTGCACCCTGTTGGAGTAAGGATTTCAACATCTTTCCAACCCACGGCATCATCTGGTCATCTTACTATCGGGTCTGGGTTCCCGGTCGTATATCCTGGTTCGGAACAGGAAGCTCAGCAGTCGAGGTGTCTGACGAGGACAGTTCGGATAGCTTAGGGGCCGCAGGAAGCTCATAAGTCTCGTTCGATGTTGGCGCTTCATGCCTGTAGATCTTGGCTTCTAGCTGCTTGGGTGGCACATGTCCATGCCCATTACCATTCATGTCTACTCCGGGTAACTCCAAAGGCACGTTGCTGGCGTTTGCGGCTCTCTTTCGTCGCAGCCAGAAGAAAATGCAGAGCACTGCAAGTCCAAGCACAGCGACGGGTATCCCTACCCCGAGGCCAATCTTTGCACCTGTACTGAGGCCTCCTGAGTCGGAGCTCTGTTGCGCGTCGCTGCTGGTTGTGGAACTGCTCGATGAGGGACTGTTAGATGAGGGACTGCTAGATGAGGGACCGCTCGATGAGGTACCGCTCAATGAAGGACTGCTCAATAGCTCTCCAGGTGTAACGGTCGCTGTTTCTAGTATAGTTTTCTCTATAAAGACAGTGGATATGGATTGTTTAGACGGTGTGCCAGACTGCACCAGGTCGGGGATTTTGGCGTATGCAACAGGTGCGGCGGCGCTGAATGTCAGCTCCTCCATACTGCAACAGGTCGTGTTGATGTTGTCCGTCTTTGGCCATTTGAAAAGGCTAACGCCAACAATGGCGCAGCACCAAGAGTCTCGTCCTGGACACTGCATGGCAAGGCCCGTATTTCTATCAGGTTCTGGACAAGGCAGGTCAGTCTCCACACTCGGTATAAATCGTAGATCTGACATTCTGAACTCACCAATTGTCCCGCAATATTTGGGACATGCTGGGTCCTGCCAGGTCTTGTCTGTGCAACCATCTCGAATGTAATAATTTCTCTTGTTAATCCATTCCGCCTTCGCACAGAAGCCATTTGTTAGACAAGTGTCACCGACCGCGCAGCATGTTGAGTGGAGACCAGCAGCTACGGCAGTCAAATTACACGGTAGGTGCGACTTGTCATCCCATGTTGTTTTCGCGCCTTTGGTATTGTAACATGGCCAGTCGAGGCCATTTGTGTCAGTTTCGGCCATTGACACGAGGAATGTAGATTGGAGGACACGAAATCGTCAAGCAAGCGATCGCGCAAACAGGGCTACCATTTTTTCGCAGTCATTGCGTCTCTCTTGTAATTGTGGCCGTGACAGCATGTAAGGCATCCTGCCTAGTCTTCTCGCACATTGCAACAATTGCAGGATTGTTGCAGGATTCCGTAGCAGTTGCAGGAGTCCGTACGACGTCCATGCTTACTGCTTCAGCCTTAACAAGGCTATTTCTGCGCTGTTGCCGTGTGCTTAGCGCGCCACCAATGAGAAGCGACATTGCCAAGCCACTTGGCTGCCTCGTGTTTGTCCAATATTGGTTTCCTGGTTCCCGGCTGTGGGCTCCGTTCATGATCTCGATGATTTCATCGGCAGCGATGCTTTTTTAGGCAGTATGCCGCGATGTGAGGACTACTCTCATTGAACTCGTTGCTTCCAGAACGATACCGAGACCAGATTTCCGGATTTTCAAGTTGCGCGCCCTTTCTCAACGTGCAGCTAAACCTGAATCAGAGTTGTCCATCGATGCGTCGTTCTTTCGAGATCGCATCCCGCTGCCAGGCCAATCCTCCAATCAATCGCGGTATCTGGCGCCAGCCAACATCTACATAGCTCTCGATATTCATGACGTCAGTAGAAGAAAAGTTCGGACACAAGAACGGAACACGCACAGCTGCTCTTCATCCATTTCTTACATGAGCATTGTCGGATATGTGCTCTTCGCCTTTCACTTGAATGGTAAGTCTTCTGGAGCAGAACCTTGCAGATAAGTTAGCGTACCTTCAGCATAACGGAGAGAAAGAAATGTATGCGTTCTCCGAGGACTCGGGGGCAGACACATGAGCCTGTCGTTCGCTTCTTCCAAGACATAGACTTTGCAGACATGTATTTTCTAAGCTTGGATATTGCAACTTAAAAATACTGACACAGAGAGGAGGAGAGACAGAACGTCATAGCGCAAGTGCGGATACCGCCTGTCTATCTATTAGGTCCTAGAGCTAGGAAAAGCATGTATCATGTGCGTTCCTATATATTAGCCTTATCTAACTGTTAGGCTCAAGCAGCATAGAGATAAACGTTATTAAGTTAAATAAAACACATCCTCTACTTTAACTTCTATAATATAAGATACTAGAATACATAGTAGGGAGGTGGATGACGCAGATCAGGGGCCAAGCGCATTATTCCATTCGGTACTGGTTTTACTCCAGAGATCACTATGTTTGTGGGTACCCAGTCTCAAAGTGACTCTGATAAACATCAGGCCGCAACTTCCATCGCGTTCAAAGTCTTGCTTTGACTCTATTCCTCCATTCTATCTTCTTGAGAATAGCCCTTTGTATTTTGCCGCTCGAGGTTCTGGGAAGAAAACCTCTTGTCACGAATTCTATCTTCCGGGGGTATTTGTATGGAGCAGCATACTTCTTGCAAAAACCCTGTAGCTGTTCTCTGAGATTGTTCTGGTCAGCATCTTTGAACTCTGCTGTTAGAACGACGAAGGCTTTGACAACCTCGCCCCTTGTATCGTCTGGAGAAGATACTATCACGGATTCAGCAACGGCCGGATGCATATTTAGTGTCGATTCCACCTCGAACGGGCCTTGTATGTGATCAGTTCTTCTTGTGACCATGCATGAAGAGTATACGAACGCACCTATTCGGTAACCAGAGGTGTTGATGACATCATCCGCCCGGCCCACAAACCAGATATAGCCGTCCTCATCACGATATGCCTTATCGCCGGTCAAGTACCATGTCTTGACCTCTCCGTTCGTTGTATAAGTTTTTTCCTCTCGGTGGACCGTGGTTCCACTTTCAACGTACCCATCGAAGATCCCGAAGAAGTCGCTTTTATCTTTCCCAGCACTCAATAAGACTGCCATATCACCTTCCTCCCCATCAGCTGTGTCGGCTCCAGTGGAAGTTATAACGTGCAGGGGTACACCTGGTGCGGGCTTTCCCATGGATCCTGGCCGAATTATGGATCCTTTGAGGTTACCACACAGCAAAATTGTTTCAGTCTGACCATAACCCTCGTGTATTTCCAGCCCAGTCATCTGCTGCCATCGCCTAGTGACCTCGGCGTCAAGTGCCTCGCCGGCAGCTGTGCAGTGTACTAACGCCTTCGGACGGTTCTGCTTGAAGTGTTCTTGTGTTTGTGTTGAAACCAAGTGTCGGAAAACGAGGGGCGCGGCGCAAAGCGTGGTAATTGGATATCGGTGCAAGATATCGATCGTTCGTTGGGGTCTGAAAGCCTGACGATCATCGTATACAAAGAGTGATGCGCCGCAATTCCAAGCTGCAAAGAAAGACCACGCAGCCTTTCCCCAACCTAGAAGTCGCAGGGTCAGCATCAAGTCTTACTTCTTGTAGTTCTCAGCAAAGGTATCCCATACCCTGTTCTGCAGTATTCCAAAGAACTCTACCTGGAGCTAGCTGGTACCAGTACTTGCCGGTGTTTACGTTTGCTATGCCACATCAGTACCATTGAATAGCGGAAAACTCTAAGTTCTTACCAAGAGGGTAAGAGATTTGGTTGTGGCCCACCATCTTGGGTGGTCCCGATGTCCCTGAAGTGAAATAGATCAAAGCCGGACGAGACCAGTGTCTCTGCATTGCTTGGAACTTCGCGTCTGCAGAAATCGTCTCCAGCGAGGAGTAGAGCGAGATAGCTTGATTACTTGGACCATCCCCAACTTGGATGACTTTCTCAACTGTTGGGCAGACTTGTTGGATAGACAAGAATTTCGCAACACTGACTGCATCCCCGATGAATACCTTGGCTGCGCTTTTGACGCATCTGTACTGTATGTCTTTCTCGGTGCACAAAGTTGTTGCAGGAGAAAGAACGATTCCACTGCGAAGGGCTCCAATTGCTATTTCCCACCTTCAACAAATCAGCAAATCCTCACAGGAGACGTTGTGCAAACCAACCATGCAGGTACTCGGGGAAGAATCATAATCATCGTATCGCCCTCTTTCAAGCCCCATTGCTCAAACAAGACAGCGATACGGTGCGATTGGCGTGCAAAATATTCAAAGCTCATAGTCTTTGTGCAGCTCTCATCTTGCGACACCCACTGCATGGCTTGTAGATTGCCTGGCTGGGCTGCCCAATAGTCGATGACATTGACTGCGAAATTGAAGAATTCTGGTCTTTGGGAAGCCATCGCGGGAAAAAGAAAGCAACAAGGTTGCTTGTCATAAGAATCGGATTCGACTGAGTAACTATAGTAGCTCTATAGGTAGTACTCTTACAACCTTTCCGTATTTCCAGCTCCAAGGCTACATACCTATCGAGATTCAATGTTTAGTTTCTGCGGTCATTCCTCTAGTCGCGGCATACAGCAGCCTCGGTTGCGTACTCTGCCTTTCTGGACCCGAGGGATGTTGCTTGAGACTTTGGGGGAAACTAGCTACCCCAGATGTTGCACGTGGTAGGTGTGTGGGGACGGGCTTGGCGCGGGCTTGGCGCGAGCAGTGGCGCGTTATTGCCGAACTCGGCATCTCACGAAAGATGATGCACAATTAGGGATGTTGTGAGCGAGGGAATAGTCCATCAGACTGCAAACTTACGCGTCTTGACTCTGTATCATTCTATCCACCAGATCATCAGCACGTTGTACTCCAGCCAGACACTTGAAAACATCCTTTACACCTGCCGCAAATCCGTTCAACTCTCGTTGCATTGGTTTCTAGCTGCCTACATCGCTGCCTTGGATAGCAAATCTTGGCTCTCGCCTCGCGATGGAGCGACCAACATATGACCTTGTAAATATCGATTTGGAAGACTCGGGTCGAATCGCGATCGTAAAATACAATCGGCCCAAGTCAGGAAATTCTCTCCATCCGGACCTCCTCTCACAGATGTTGTCTGCCATAAAGTGGGCAGACAGTCAGCCTGGAGTACAGATCATTGTTCAGACAGGCGAAGGCAAATTCTTTTGTTCCGGGATGGACTTGATGGACACGCAGGGGCACATGTCGTTCGCTCTGGGTTCCGACTTCCACCAACTGAACAAGACCATCATCTCTTCCCAGAAGCTGCTCATAGCTGCTGTCAACGGCCCAGCTGCTGGCTATGGCGTGAGTAGTCTTGCACTCTTTGACCTTGTCTATAGCGTGCCTAATGCTTACTTCTTCACGCCTTTTGTTAAATGGGGAATGGCTACTGAAGGAGCCTCGAGCTACACGCTCCCTAGAATTATGGGGTATCAGAAAGCCGCCGCGCTCTGTTTGGCTGGGGAGAGGATTACCGCTAAGGAAGCAGAGGCATTGCACTTGGTGACCAAAGTTTTGCACAAGGAAGGAGAGTCGTTTCTACGCGCAGTGATTGATATTGCACGTCAGATTCTAAAATCGCCGCCGGGGGCTATACGAACAACGAAGATGCTCATGAAGCAGCCAATCCTTCAGCATCTGCTTGATGCAAACGATCGTGAGTGTGCAGTCATCCACAAGGAGAGATATGGTTCAGCGGAGTACGAAGCGGCGGTCGGTCAGTTCAGAGCTGAGCAAGAGCACAAACGTCAGTTCAGGGGAAAGCTCTAGATTACGAGTTGCTTGCTTGTTAGGCCCATCTTAATAGAGATTCTCAAGCTTACTATAGTAAACTCCTCTTCCTTACAAGGATTGGCTATATAGTTCTGAAGCGACGTGGTAGTTGTGAGCTCAGACACGTGAACAACAGTCCATAGATACTTAAGGTGTCAAGATATGTCAAGATCTGGAAGTCACTTGAATAATCACTTGAATTGATCGCGCGTAGTTGAATACAATAAGTCCATTGAAGCTAATGACAGAGGATCGATAGCAGTCGCGGTCAAATTTGGGACCCTTTTGATATAAGAGTTGAAGACTTGAGCAAGACCATGTTCTATCATCATACCTGCTCACTCCCAGCATCAAAGTTATACTACCTGCGCGCCACTAGCATAAGTACATTCGAAGTCCTCCGCACTGAAGTCCGGGCTTTTGCCTTTAAACGTTGGTTTCTTTGGATACGGGCAGAGGAGGTTTGTGCGCCTGCGTGGGTCGGTGCCTATCAGGGATTCAGGTGCTGTACCCTTCTCTACCCAGGCAACAAGAGCATCGAAGGTTCCTTCAGGTAGTCCACCAATTCCACCCATACAATGTTCAACGCCTGGCGCTTCAAACAGGCGGTAGTAATCGTGAACACGGGTGTCTTTTTGAGCGACCGCGTCGTAGTACCTGCGAGAGCCGTGGTAAGGAATGAGCTCATCCGCCTGGATCAGCAATGTTAGTCAAGGGGCTCGAAAATTCTTTGGGGATGTGTACTCACAAGCCCATGGAATGTCAATAGCTTTCCCCCAGCCTCTCGGAAGTTAGTAAGGTCTGGCGATTTGGTACCCATGATAGACGTGTACTCATTGACGCTCGAACGAAATGCGTTGACGTAATCTTCCCGCGTCATCTTATTAACGTCAAAGTCAGGGTCTTTTGCTGCAAAAAGCCGAATCCAGTCAGTGAAAAGTGTGTTTCGGTCAAGCGTACAGGTTCCGTTTGCTGAGCACGTGGTTCCCAGTATCACGGTTACGTTGGAAGTGTATCCAGCGCCGGGCCAAAGAAGGGTGCCATTGGCTGTACGCAAACCATGCCATACTGCATCCATGGCAGCAGCAGCAGCGCTTGAGATGTTAGCAGGGCCCGGTGGTGACGCGGAGCTGCAGTTTGCGGGACTTCCGACCAAGGTGTATGGGTCGAAGAAGCAGGCATCCGGATCTGATATGATGCCATCAATGAGACCATCCAGACCATCACAAGCTGCTGTAACAGCTCGTCTGAGAGTCTGATACTCGCAGGGGTACGGTTGTTCACCAATCTCTCTCAGAACCTGTTGCGGGAACGCGGATGTCATGAAGAATTCGGCGTAATTGATCGCGGGAGCTGCTGCTGCAATGCCGTCAAACACATCCGGATATCTTTGAGCAAACATGTAGCCCTGCCTTCCACCTTGAGAACACCCATTCCAGTAGGACTGTGAAGCGGCTTTGCCGTAAAAGCTGTCAATGACAGCCTTTGTAGCCAGAGCTCCATCGTTGAGTGCTTTAGCAGCGAAATTTTGAAGTGTCAGGTAGTCGACATTTCCTGGACTTATAAGTGCCCAGTCTTCTGAGCTATATGGATCATCGGTCGGTACCCCTGCATCGACCGTCGACGTGACGTAGCCTCCACCGACAGCACCCTTCATTGATCCAAAGGAACTAACATCGCCACCCGCGACCCAACCGCCACCACCGACCATTTGGAGACGTCCATTCCAGGCGGAAGGAAGGGGAAGCCAGATCTGGGTATGCAGAGTATCGTGTTGGCCTGGATGGGTGTGTGTCAGGGTAACATTACAAAAGTCGACAGGTTGAACCCCAACAGGTCCGTGGTTGAGGTATGTATCAGAAGCGCCAGCAGGCAATGAGTAGTTTTGTACCAGGGATGCTTCAACGGACAGAAACTCTGCGCCAAATACAGTAGGAAGAGGTATAGCGCTGGGCGTACAATTGGCAGACGAAAACGAGAGAGCCATCTTTGATGGTTTCAGGGACGCGATTGAGCAGTTGGTGTTTCAAAAATCGAGACTGAGTCGAATAGATATATATATCACTTTTGGATGACCTCAAAATCCCTTTAATTCACTCGAAGGATAGCCTAGCGTCATGTTTGTCGACGCACAGAGAGGTTCACGGACCGAGGCGAGGCTAAAGCTGAAGTCGCGCAACACATAGCTAACGACGTTCATAGTTAATGTTGATCACCTATTCAAGTACCCTGGTCGCTACCGAGGTTAATATCAGCCTAACGTGACTACTGCTAGCAAACAACACTAAGCCCAGATTCCAGCTGATTAAGTCGTATGAGTCCCTCTGGAGAGAAAAATGCAAAGCGTGAATGGGTATCAAGCAGAGCCGGGCCCATCGCGCCACTTGAAAGGGCGGAATGTCAACATAGGGTTTTAGTCCACGCGAATGACAAGTCACAAGCGATGGACAAAAATAGAGGTAGCACCTATAGCATGCTCTGTTTCGTCCGTAGCATTTTGGCCATGGACCTCTTGATGCACAGAAACCTCTGGGGGGCTAACAACACCACTTTGCCAAGCCCGTGCCGAGCCTGAATCCCGTCCCCACATCCCGTGCCCACTGTCCGTGTTTGGTGGCGCGCTCTAATTGCGCGATAAGGTTAGAATACGGGGGGTCTAGGGTGTACGCACAAGCTGGTTCATGGTCAGCCGTTCTGTCAGGTCATGATGCCATAATGTTGAAAAGAGCCCCCAGACACGCTCTATGTAACAGAATCATACGCAGGAAGAATTGTCAACTGGTATTCAGAAACTTCTGTGATGTTCCAATGATTCTAGTACGTGTTCCGATGTTCCAATAGTACCGCCTCTCATTGGTCAGTTGCCAATGCCGTCCCCACCCTTTAGGCTATCCCGCTAGACTCCGTGAGAATACTCACCTATGTACCGTGTAGTCATTCCAGGCCGACTGAACACCGCGTTGCGGTTGACAGAAGCTTCATGGTCAGCCGAACTTGAGGGTTAGCTTGCGCCACAATTCCGCTTCATCGGCTACCCCAGATGTTCTCATCCCGGATTGCTCCACCCCCGCAATGTTATGCATTTGAGACTACGGAAGCTAAAGGGATGCTCTTGGTAGAAGGATTGTTGACATACTTGCATATCCGTCAGAGCTGCGAAAGAACGCGAGTACTTGAGTCGCGCTCATCCTTCTTAAACGGACATCCAGGTATCTTCACACGGGAGCACTCACTTCTCTCCTCAATCATTAGTGAGAACAACAACGCATAGAGTGTGCCCGACGACATGACTGCAAGCAGTGCCTCGAATCTTGAAAAAGATCCCAAGCCAGCCATCGAACACCTCGAAGATGGCCCTTCCTTCTCTGAGCAGGAAACCCGCAAACTCCTTCGAAAACTCGACTGGGCCATCCTACCTATTGTTGCAGTCATGTACCTTCTCTCCTTTCTGGATCGTTCCAACATCGGTAATGCCAGACTAGCTGGATTGGAGGCAGATCTAGGCATGACAGGATGGAATTATGCTGTAACTCTCCCTCTCCTCTCGAAAGGTTGGTCACCACTGACAGATTTGCGACTTTAGACCGCAGTAGCTGTGTTCTTTCCCTTCTACATCATCTCAGAAGTACCCTCTAACCTTGCTATGAAACGTTTTCGGCCCTCTATCTGGATTCCCTCGATCATGGTTACCTGGGGCGTCGTAACGACGCTCATGGGGATTGTGGATAGCTTTGGTGGCCTCTTGGGAGCGCGTATGGCGCTAGGCCTTGCTGAAGGTGGTCTCTTCCCTGGCGTGGCCTGGTAGTAAGATCACCCCTGCCGTCTACGTAGCGGAAATGCTGACGAAATCCAGCATCACTATGTGGTATCGCCGTCATGAATGCGGGCTTAGGATATCCATTTTCTTCTCCGCTGCCACGATTGCCGGTGCGTTTGGAGGTCTCCTTGCACGTGGAATTATGGAGATGGATGGCATTGCTGGCGTACCGGGATGGGGATGGATCTTCATCCTCGAAGGAATCCTGACTGTGCTCGTTGGTATGCATTCTTACCCTCTCCACCCTACACTTCGAGGGAACTGACTCTTGAAACAGCCTGCATCGCCTATGTGGTTCTCAACGACTTCCCTGACACTGCAAAATTCCTTAATCCCCGCGAGAAGGCAGAGGTAATTCGCCGTCTCCGCGAAGACACCACGGCGCTATCCGACGACTACCGCCCCGTTTTCGTCAAAGATGCCTTCACAGACTGGAAGATTTGGGTCAACTGCCTCATTGCTCTGTCGAATTTCCTGCCGCTTTACTCCGTCTCCATCTTCCTGCCAACCATCATCCGCAGCATGGGCCACTCGAATGAAAAAGCTCAATTGATGTCTGTACCACCTTACATCCTGGCTTGCATCGCTACCGTAGGAGCTGGCTTTGTGACCGATAGACACCACAGGCGTGGCATTTACATCATAGGAATTGCCTCAGTTGCGTAAGTCTTTCCTTTGCGCGAGTGACTGCATTGCTCGTATTCAGCTGTGGCGATTGACACACATAGCATTGTCGGCTTCATAATTCTCATCACGGTGCAAAACAACGCAGTCAAATACTTCGCCTGCTTCTTGGTCGTGACGGGCATCTACGCCAACGTGCCGCAGCTTGCCTCATGGAACAGTAACAACATCGGAGGCTCTGTCAAGCGCGGTGTCGGCGTCGCTATGCAAATTGGCTCGGTATGGTTCACTCCCCTCCTGCCCTCACGTTCCCTTCCAAGGTTCTTTTGTCCCTACTCTTCTACGTTCTTATCTCTCACGTGGTACTAATACCCTTCAAGGGCAATGTTGGCGGCGCAGTCGCTGGCTTCATCTTCCAAGCCAAAGACGCCCCGCACTACCGCACTGGTCACGGTATCCTGATCGCGATGTGCTCGTTGACCGTCCTCCTCGCAACAGGGATGACGCTGTACTTGCAGAAGGAGAACACAAGACGCGATGCGCAGTACAAGGCCCCAGCCGAATACACGCAAGCAGAAATGGAACTAGAGTCTCAGAAGGGCGACAATGCGACATTCTTCCGATACACGATCTAAAATGGCTTACCGTAACCGTGCCAGGAAGACAGCGCAGACGCTAGTGCAGATCCTGTCTTCCTAAGGCTCCTTATTAGTCAATAATAGTGGATTTCTCGTATATAGCGTGTCTTAGACGTATCTCTAGCGCGAACCCTCTAGACCCAACGCGCCGCGAGATCAACTGCATCGTTGTCAGCCCCTATCTATTTTTCGGTGGTGTTGGGAGATTTTTAGTTGCGGAAGTGTGGTCCAACCTCTGGCAGCGCTGCTCTGACCTTACGAGTTGTTCTGTAGGCGGAATTGGTCTGCTAGGAGTAATTACAATTAACACATGCATAGGCACTCCGCGATGTTTTTACCTGAGCTCCCAAATGAGCTCCTTCAACAGATTTGTGAGGTCTTAAAAACTCCTCAGGACATCTTGTCATTCAGTCAATCGAGTCGCGCTCTGTGTCGACTGACTGAGGATCATATGTATCGCGTCGATGCGCAGGAAAGAAATAGCTCAGCGCTGCTATGGGCTGCGGCTCATGGGCGACTTCGGACAGCCGAAAAAGCTCTCAAGGCCTTGCAGGGAACTGGGAGGTCGACCGAATCAGAATCAGATGATTCTGATTTGGAATTATATGATTCAGAATCAGGCTCTGAGGCGGACGCCAACACGACTACTGAGCCTGCGCCCAACCCAGTTGGCATTGCCTTAGTAAACGCCGCAGAAAACGGCCACACTTCCCTAGTCAGGCTTCTCATCGAGCATGGTGCGGAGCTGGACTGGAGAGACCCTAAAAGGAAGCAGAGCGCTATGGAAGCAGCGTGTACCAAAGGCCACATCGGAATCGTCAACCTCTTGATCGAGTTAGGCGCAGATCCTTCCTGGGGGCACAGAAACCGGCCTTATCCAATACAATGCGCCGCGATGATGGGCCACACAGACATTGTAGAATCACTCATCGACGCTGGTGCGAGCGCGGATACCTGCACTGGAAGGCCGGAGGGCGGCTCCTTTCCTCCTTTGCAGCTTGCCGTAAGGGGGGATCATGAGGAGACTGCGAGATCTCTGATATTCAAAGGCGCCAAGATCAACCTCCGGATTGGCCGGATGCATACAGCACTTGAAGAAGCCGTCAGGAACGATCGTGTGTGGGCTGTCAAAATGCTACTTGCCTCGGGTGCGATGGTCTTTGCTCCTGCTTCGGTGTCGGTTCGCTGCCCTGCACTCCAGATGGCGAGGAGGCCGGGTCGCGAAGAGATGTACAAGCTCTTGAGAGACCAACCCGTCTATCTCTGGCCTTCGGGTGGCCGATGTCTGGCTCAGGACGGGAGCATAGCAGCCAGAAGAGCGGAGGATCTTCGATCTCAAGAAGGGATACCATCACATCTACGTAGATCAGAGCGTATTCTATATAGACTAGTAAATAGGTAGAAGTTAAGTCAAGGTTGAATAGACTATTAAACGCTTGCGCGAGTGCGGGTACACAGGCGGCGCGCCCGCGGAGTCGACCGGCGCGAGCACCTCCCAGCTGGCCCTCCGCAGCCCAGCTGCGACCAGGGCGGCGTCGACAGGATAGGCGGCCAGCCCCGCCCCAGCCCTGCTGGAGCGCCGGAACATGGCCTGGTGCTCCTTGCGCAGGTGCTGGTAGTCGAAGACAATGTGCACGGCGGTGGCGCGGGCGAGATGCGCAAGCTGCCGGAACGCGGGCTCGCAGCCCGGCCGGGGGCTGATCGAGGGCACGTCGAGGCACCAGAGCGGACACGGCCGGTCGAGGGCCAGCCATTTCAACACTGACCAATTCTGCCGTGAAGCATATCGTGTGCAACTTGGCCCATTACGGAGGCCCGGCTCGAGCAAGGCACCCCTAGTCACCCACCACTACTCTCTAGATGCAGTCCTGTTTAAGGGCAATTCAGGCGCTCTAATCAGGGCTAACAAGACAGCAAAGACCAATTATGTCGTTGCCATCAAGAAGAGGCATCGTAACGGCACCGAGAATCCTGGACACGCTCAACGCAATACGACAACCTCCGTTGCAATCACCAAATTTGCTGAAGACTCAGTATCCAGCACCGACCGTGTTGTACACCTGATCGACTGTTCTTGCGAACCAGGTTATGAGTATCTTATGTACCCATTCATCGATGTCACTCTGACTGACATCATATATAACGGAGGGCGCACAGAGCATTAAAGTAACACAGAGCTACATGCAAGACATGCTTTAAGCAGCGGAGTTCCTTCACACCAACGACTACATTTCTGGCAGCTTGGAACCTCGAAAGATCGGAGTGCGCAAGGGTCACGCTGTTTTGCTTGCAGTTCACTCGGCCATCGCCTGCCCTCGAGGCCATTGTTGGCAGTAATATAGCTGACTACACGGCCCCAGAGCGGGAGTGGACGAAGTATAGCTCTGCTGCGGACATCTGGTCGATTGCGGTAAGAAGTCGGATGCGCTTGGCAACAAAGCCGACTAGTGTTATTGTCTCTTATCTTGAGCGAGGGATAAATGTCCTTCTCCAGTCACAAGTCCTCGATGTCAGCAGTCCTTGCGCTCTATACGAGACAGGTCATCCACCATTCAACCGCCCGAGATCCCTCCAGTACAGGGGTGTCGGGTGAGTTTGTAGGAGATTGCGGACTTTGATTGTAGCTCCGTAACGGCAGGTTCGGTCCCAATGCTCTTGTGCTGTGTCTCTCTGAGTGGGAGGATCAGCCACGATTAAGGCATGTGCAAGTGCAGAGCTGGTGGTTGCGCGAACGGACGATAGCTGTGGCTTGGGACACGCATTCCAGAGTTCAGGAAGAGCGTCTCCATCAACCTATTCGAGGAGAACGTAGTGACTGATTTCTTGAAGGGGAGAGAACTCGAGACTTCCCAACTTGTCCAAGACCCCGACTTCCCTTCCCCACCACCCACTCCATCTGATTCCATCAATTCTTCCACCGCAACAACACTATCGATGGAGAAATGCTCGAACCTCCATTCGAAGGATATACGATTGCCACTGAGAAGCTCCACCAAAACCAAAACCAAAACCTGAGCCTGCTCTGCTTCCAGTCCGCGCCACCGACCGCCTGGGCCACGATTTTGCCACTGAGCGCATTCCGAGCGCACGACTGCTACCTCGCTCTCGAGCTACGCCTTCGGCCTCGTTGGACCTTGACTGGCTGCAAACGTTGGTAGTTCTTGCTGTAGAGTGCTGCCTCTATTAAATTTTGGGGCAGTGGAGATGGTTTCGGCCCGGCAATTAGTTTGCTGCTGGGGTGTTGATGTCTTACCGCTCCGCTCGAGCCGACACTTGGAGGCCCTTGAGAATGGTGATGCGGGATAACGGTGGCGGGAACAGTTACGAGGGCTGCTGAGAGGGAGACTCAATCGCGGTGGGTCTGGACGCTCGGTGTCTGCCGGGAGGTGTGAGCAACGATGCCTCTCACTCTTGACATGCGTCACACCAATCTTCAAGATGCACCACCAATCCTCGACATGCGCCACCAATCCTCGACGTTTCATATCACCGTAGAGCCGACCATCTGATTCCTGTTGGTGAAGCATTGGCGACTGATACTACAATTTCGAGTGTCATACACCAACTATCTCAGATCACCAAGGCGTAGGCTACACGACCGCGAAACAAAAGAGACATATGAGCGTCTGACATAGCGGTACAACATGCGAAGGCGTAATAAGGCTGACGCTCGGGTGTGGTCAAAAATATGATATTACGGATCTCGATGAGGATCGCTGGACATTCATGAACATCCTAGTGACACCGGGAGATTCAAGGCCGACTGAAGAAGTGTAACAATAGTCTAACCAAGAGGGCAGTCCCAGACCTGCGAGACACTCTGCTCCATTTCTGCACCCCGCGTGTCTGTGCTCACCACCTCCCTTCCCTCTCCTCTGGCGGAGTCTTCACAGCCGGCAGTTCCGCCACAGCACCTTGTTCCTGCAGCCGCGGCGGCGGCGGCGGCCGGTACGCGACATACTGCTGCGGTACTTCATGCGGCCGCGCCCGCATCCCCGTGGGCTCCTGCGCATCGATGCCCGCTGCAGAGAAATAATTCGTGCATTGGAGCTCACTCCGCACGTTCCACGGCTTTGCAGCTCGCCCATCGGCTTCGGAGAGAGGCTGCCCGGCGATCTCTGGCATAGGTGGCGTGGTCAAAGGCCCAGGTCTCTTCTCGTCGTCGTGGATGCCCGCGCTCTCGACCACGGAGGGATTGGGCTGTTTGCGCTTCCGGCGGCGGAGACAGATGAATGCTAGAAGGGCTATGAGCACGAGGGCTACGGCTCCGACGCCGACGCCAATGCCGATTTTCGCGCGCGAGGCGAGGCCGCTGCTAGAGGAATCAGGTGTTGAGGATGGACCTCGGGAGGTGGAACTGGACGTCGCTGCCCCCGTGTTGGCGGCGTCTGTCGCAGTACCAGTCCCGCGCGAGGGCAGATTGGAGCCAGTCTGTGTCGGCGTCCCATTGCTTGAAAACGGGGCGGGGGCAGCACTCGTCAGTCCGCTGGCTCCAGTGGGTTGATTCGAATTGCCCGTTGGACTTGGATCCGAAGACGCGAGCGGGGTAGGGTCCCCCGAGGGTGAGTGGCCCGCTTGGAATACGATGCTCTGTCCTGTACTCTGGGGCAGCGATGCGAATTGCGCAAGGCTGTCTGCGTCACTGAAGGCGACGGTTGTCTTGGCGGCGTCCGTGCAGCTGCAGAAGGAGCCTGGCTGAAGCGTGGTTGGGTCGTCCTTTTGCGAGCACGGCGCCCATTCGCCGTCGCTATTGTCGCACAGCGTGAGCGCAATCCACGGCTGGTCTGCAGCGGTCAGCGACATCTGTAGCGCTCTGAGTCTGGACGTGGACATCACCCACCAATGCCATGCTTGTCTGGGCACCTTGCGTCGGTGTACTCTGGATCTGTACAGCCAGCCATATACGTCAGAAAACTCCCGTATCCGCTACCGTGGACGCCAAAACACGCATTATCCGCCAAGCAATTGTCGCCTGCGCCGCAGCATGTCTGGTGGCCGAAGGCATCGTTGCCGCAGGGGATGAAGCTGCCGTCGAGCTTGTTACCGACCGAAGAGTAGCATGTGCCGTTGCTCACGAGTATGGTGGAGTCGCCCATGGTCGATTACCCAACGCACCGATGTGGCGATGTCGTTGAAGAAGACGGGTCGAGCCGTTGCGAGAGGCTGCGAAAGATGGGAAATGCGCATGATAGCAACGTAGGGGAATTCCAGAGAATGACGTCGCAATGTCGTCTTGCAGTTTGCTCTGAGCCGTCTTCCAGGATATCATGGTGTCGCTTGTTTGCGCCTGTCGAACCCCTGTTGTATAGCCGGGGTCTCAATACTCGTCGAGATCAGCATCTGCTTTTGAATAAGTCTCGCTAAACCGACTGAGAATGAGAGGGAAGAGGTACCTGCAGGTCTGTGAGGCAGGGTGCGCTGTATATGTGCTCAACGTGATAGGTGCCTCAAAGGCTAATCAATCACCCTCTACTGTTTTTCTGCGCGAGCACCACAGTTAACGTACCGCACAACACATCTTAGTCGCATCGTGCGAGAAAGCATGGCAAGCCGTGATAAGTCCTGAGCGTTGCTGGCGAGCCTGGAAGAATATTGTGTACGAAAACAAGACCAAGACCTACCTACCTACCTACCTACTCAGGTATAGCGACATAGAACACACCCCCTATTCCAAAACTAAACCCTTTAGGGAAATTGCGACCGCCACTTAGGCTAACCCTAGGAACACTAAAACTATCTTCCCTTCGTTCTATAAGCAACCCTTTTAGCACCTTTGTCCTGCCTATATAATTAATTTATCTATAGAAATAGCCTATTTCTTAGGCCTTCTCTTTTATTATATTACTACTAATATAAGCATCTACTATTAAAGTAATACCTAATATAAACTACTATTCTAATAATATTAGAGAATATCTTATAAGATATAGTCTTCTTATAAATAAGCTAGAGCTAGTTATTATCTACTATTTCTATAAGTTTTTACTTAGAGATTCTCTAAACGCTATTATAAACTACCTTACTAAGAAGTATAATATACCTAAGTTAACTATAAAAGAGCTTAAGTATATATTATAACTCTATATATTCTTAGAACTAGAAGCCTTATACCTCTACCTAGATAGATCTACTCTATATTTATATCTTTAAGTATAGCCTAGTATTTATAATAATATAGGTAATAAGATTCTCTAATATAGTTTTAATTCTACTATAAGATATATAGGAGCACTAGAAAAGTTAATAACTAGGGAGAATCTTATTTCTATAAGTCTTATATAAAGAATACTTAAAAACTATCTATTCTAGAACTACTATAAGCTTACCTTTTATACTTATAAGTCTTAGTTAGCTATAGATAGATAAGAAATAGTAATAGAGGTAAGTTAGAACTAAGTTAGAGGGGAGTTAGAGGTTATTTAAGTTAGGTAGTATCTTATTTATAAGATTTAAGATTTTAGTAGTTAATTCTTATAGTATTACCTATAAGTACTACTCTATAAAAACTACTAGTAATAAAGTACTAAGTTACTACTTATCTAAGAATTATAGAGTAAAGTAGAAATTATTAATATAGCTTTATAACTATATAGTTAGTAGTCTATTATTATAAAGCTAGAGTTAGTATAGTATAGCTAGAAACTAGAGTATAAAGCTAGATTACCTAATTACTTAGACTCTTACTACTAATCCTTTTCTATTTAGACCCTATATAATTTAATTTAACGCTAGTAGGACCCCTATATTAGACCCTATATAATTTATATATCTTTTTAAATTATATAGGCCCTAACTCCTATAGGATCTTAATATAACTATATAACAAGGTGCAAAATAGCTTTACGCACATTTTGCACTCTTTAGAATTGCTGCGCAACTATTATATTAATAGAAACTTAATAGCGTAGTTGTTAAGCGCGCATATTAATATTCTAACTCTTCTACCCTAAGCAAGGATGCCTTTAGGTGCAACACACCTAGATAAATAATATTATAATATAATAATAGTATATACTTACTATTACTCTATAGCATTACTATCTTGCATAATATAAAGCTAGACGCCTAGCTAAGTAGCTATATAGTTTTATTCTATTTATATGCCCTACTACTCTTACTTTTCTATATAAACTCTAACAGCCCTATAGGATTATAAATAGAAGCACAAGCATCTAACATTAACCTTGTTTAGCTTAAACGCATAGCTCTATAAGCATAGCTAGTTAGATATATATAGCTATATTAAAGCCTTTTAGTCCTGCCTTAAGCATCTTCCTTGCACTCTACTAGATCCTGCTATAGGTCTATGCAACATGCTGCTATATAGTATCTGCAAGGACATAGTTGCGTTACTCTAAAGATATACTATCCTAGCCTAGTGTTAAATAACAGGCTAAGGCTTTAAATAGTTGCCTCTAATGCTAGTAGCCTGCTAATAGCTGCCTACCTATCTAATCTATAATTTTAGAAGAAGCTATAGTTACTAATACTGCAGTAGGCAGCAGATCCTTTATATATAGGAGACTAAAGTTATATATACTAAGTAAAGTAGTCTAAATAAAATAGAGTCTAGCGTATATTACTGCAGCATAAGCCTGCTTACTAGCAACGCCCTATAACTAGTCTTAGGCAGTCTATACTATATAGCATAGAACTTAAGCTAGAACTATAGTCCTATTAGCTATAGTTATAGAGTAGTGCATAGAAAAGGTAGTAATAAGAAAGCTGCTAGAAACCTCTATATATAGTAACAATCTAAACTAAATAGAAAGTTAAAGTTTAGAACTAGTAATTAGTTTATTAGTAAAGCGTGCTAACATGCTTATAAAGATGCGGCTAGCTAGTATAAGCATGCCTTTTAGGCGTTAGAACAGACTACAGCATTACTCTAGAGGAACTGTCTCTAAAACATAGATAAGGAAGGTAACACTCTAGGAAGCTAGCTTGCTAGTTACTAAGGCTAGTTGCTTATAGATATTACTATTAGTAACGCTATCCTTAATAAGATAGACATACTATACTAAAGTGCTAGTTAGTGCAATAGTAAGGCTATAGCTTGCAAGATAAGTAGGTGCATTAATAGTAAGAAAGCCCGATATGCTATCTAGCCTAACTACTAATCTACTGCCTACTATCTATTTAGCTAGAGTAGTAATCCTACCTCCTGCACAGCTAAGGTCTAGAACATATTTGCCTAGCTTTAGCTAGGCTATCTATATAGCGCAAAGGGCATCTAGAGATTAATTATAACTAATATAGTTAGCCTTTCTAACAAGAGGCTTATAGGTAGCGCAAACCTAGGCTAGCATAAAGAAATAGACTATAGCGCTAGTCTGTTAGAGGAACAGCAGAGAAACTAGTAGGAGAAGCAGAAGGAAGAAAAGAGATAAAAGGAGAGCTATATTTAATTACTATAATAATATATATATATATATAGTATATAATTAGAAGACTATAGAGTATAAAGCTTAAGTTATATTATAAAGATAAGTAAGCAGGCACTATATAATATATATAAGGGCAGAAGAATAATAATATTATCTACTATTATTATAGAGCCTATCTATCTATATCCTAACCCTACTAAGTAGTAGGCAGGTTAGCAAAGAGTAGAAGTATAAGAAGGGAAAGCCTGCTCTATACAACTAATAAAGAGTATATACCTTAGCATAATATTAGCGCTTAGCCTGTTGCTATATAAACAACTATATTATAATATATGCTATTGCTATAAGACTAAATAGCTAGTGCAGGTAGAGCCCTACTAGATGCGAAGCGTAGTGCGCTAGAACTACTGCTGCTTTTTAGCATTATTAAGGGTAGGTATACCTATAATACCTAGCTACATAACTGCAGCATTAAGGGTCTAGATAAGGATGCTATAGAAGCGCATCTTATTAATATAGATAGGGTAATAAGAGGCGCGCTATATGCTAGTAAAGAATGCATGCTAGTTAGGCAGCTTACTATAGATAGGGTTAAAGATTATGCAGAAGTAGCGCTGCTAGAGAGCTGCATAGGTAGTATTAAGGAAGTTATTAAGCATATCCTAGACGCACTAAGCTAGTAAGGCAGGTAGCAGTAGAGGGAAGAGGTCTAGAATACTAGTACTAATAAGAGCTTAGTAAGCCTAAGTGCGCTACATAGTCTATATATAGTATAATAGGACCTAGACGCGGCTAGTAGAGGAGTCGCGCTAGGCATATAGGCGGATAGCAGTCTTAATATTAGTATTTTAGGAGTTGTCCTTAACTCTAAGTATAGCGCCTAGAAAGATAATATTACTAGCTATAGTATTAATAATGCTAGTAGGCAGAGTAGGTAGTAGAGCAGAAGAGGTCTTAAACAGGTTAAGGAGAGTAATAGCAGACGCAAGCTAATAGATAGCAGTATTAGCAGCCTAGGAAGAGCGCGCAAGAGTAGTTATAGTATGCTATAAAGGGTTAGTAGGATATAAGGCAGCGCGTAGCAAAGTAGACAGCACGCACTTACTAAAAGTAGGTAGTTAGAGTAGAGAGTTAGTAAGATAGGAAGGAGAGAGAGAAACAGCGTTAGAGAAAGTTAAGTACTGCAAAAAGTAGGCAGCAGTTAATTAAAGTAGGGCAGTAGAAGAGAGCAAGTAAAAGAGTAAAGGCACTCTAGCCTATAGCATAAACTAATAACTAGCTGCAATATAAGATAGTAGATAAGAGTTCTCCTTACTATAGCATAGTTAAGAGCATCTTAGGAGAAGGAAGTATTATTAAGTAGACCTAGTCTAGGCTAGATTATTAAGTTAGCATAGTAGCACGGCTTTAAATAGCTTAGGCAGTATTATTTAGCGCAGAGGAGTAGCTAGTGCGCGCTAGGAGCAGACTAGCAGTTACGCAATCTAAACGCGCCTATCTACTGCCCTACCCTTATTAGCGCTGTCCTCCTTGCTATTCTCCTTACTATCCTTCTTACTATCTTCTACCTCTTCTATGCTATAGAGTGCCTAGGGAGGCTTAATCTTAATACTAAGCGCTATCTTCCCTCTAATCTCGCCTCTAGTAATGCTGTCTAGGCCTAACTACTTATTAAACTGCTTAGCTACAACGCAGACATCTAGACGCTCCTTCTTTACTAGCTTAATAAAGACATTAATGCCCTATAAGTAGATATCCTGCTTAATTTAGCTCTTATATATTATATCCTCTAGCATAACTAGTAGCACGCCCTAGCCTAGACCTTTAGCAATATAGTACTACTTAACTACTCTAGCAGTATAATCTCTAAAGCTATTACGCTTGCGCTTAGAGGGATTAGGATTTAAGTTAATAAGTAGCATAAGCGTGTCTATAGCCTCTATCTAGTATTAGCTCTTGCTAAACTAACTTCTCTTATTATTGCTAATAAGGCTATTACTATATTTAATCTGCTCTAGCTTATTAGTTAGCACCTTGCCTAGCAGCGCCTGCACCTACCTATACTTAATATATACTAACTTTATTACTTTATTATAGATATTATACCGCTCCTAGGCAGTGCAGAATATCCTTGCTGCGCTATTTTACTGCAAGGACTCTGCTAAAGACAAGTGCGCGTGCTGCACTTGCAAAAAGCTAGCATTATAGTGCGCTACTACTCTACTACTGCTGCTAAAGAGCTCTCTACGCTTTTACTAGACCTGTAGGAAGTGCGCAGCATGCTATTAGAATAAAGGACTCCTAAGCGCGCGCGCCTTAGCTAGGAAGTTATAAGCCTTAAGGTAGGGTATCCTAACAGCATTATAGAAGTCGGTCCTCCTCTAGTGCCTATCTATAGCGTTCTGCTTAAAGAGCTATAATACTATAGCTTAATCCTTAACTAGTATAGCAATATAAGCGCTAAGTTCCTTATTAGTTGCTTTTACATTAGGCGCTACAAGACCTAGGTTAAGCCTGCGCTTAATTAGCATAGCTTTATAGTCCTTAATGCGCCTCTGCTTAGTATTACGGTTTCTATTAGTAACTATAGTAATTATGCGCTATTCCTCTACTAGCTACTTATCTAGCTATGCCTCTAACTTGCTAGCTGCTTCTAATAGTTAAGGGCTTACTATAGGCATTTTAAGCGCCTCTATATAAGCACGCTTTAGCAACAAGGCCTATATAGTAGGTGCTAGTTGCTTTATATATTAAGATATAGGCGCTAGAGATAACTTCTACACAGACAGCAGCTCTATAATGCCCTCCTCTATAAGCAACTAAGCCGCGTAGATAAGGCAGTCCTAGCTATTATTAGAGAGAGCATTATTAGTAAGTATCTTGCGCAGCAGCTAGACAGCTAATAGAATAGAGTAGGTAATAAAGATAGGCTTATAGACGCTAGTATTAGCAGGATTAAGGATTAGCTACCCTGCGCTATGCAGATAGGCATCTAGATTGCGCTGCAAGCGTTATATAGACGCCTAGTAGAAAAACAGCTTCTTATACTTTTTATTTAGCGGCTTATACCTATACTTACTAGCAAAAGCAGCCTCGCTAGCAGGAGGAAAGCTCTAAGCACTGCTATTAAATCGCTTAGCAGCTTTATATAGCGCAGTAGACTAATATATGCTAGATAGGTATATTATACTAGCTAGCTATAGAGTTATAAAGATAATATGCAAGGTATAGAGAAGAGGCCCCTAAGATCTAGACAGCCTATCTATAAAAGTTAGGCTGCGCATAGATATATAACAGTATATACTAACTAGCGTTAATAGACCTAGAAAAGTAATTAATACAAAATAATACCTTAAATAAGCACGCGTTAATTACTAGCAGCATCTATATAGATTCTATTAATAAGAGCATACTAATATATACCTATAGAGTTATTTAGTAGCATATTTACCTATCTGCCTACGCACTATATAGCTATCTACAAGAGCTACTAGCAAGGTATGCTATTATTACAGCTAGCCTTATACCTAGATAGCAGTTACTAGAAGCTTACTATTATATTATAGAGAGCGATTGCATCTATAGCCTAAGCGCTTATAGAATAGGCAGTATGTCTAGAGGATATTATATACCTGCTATTAGGAGCGCAACTACTATATTATCTACTACTATATAAAGATAGACTTAAGTATAGAGTAGAGCGGTGCAGGCACATTATGCGCAGATTGCAGAATATATAGAACTACTACAGAAAAGAGCATAGATAGAGCAACCTGCGCAAGAGAGGGCGGCCCTACCTAGGCGCATAACCTCTAGTAGGTAGCTAGATATAGATAGTAGGCGTGTAGTGCTAGAAGTTCTAGCCTACTAGACAGCTTAGTTAGCTATTTAAGGTAGAAAAGCCTTATAATAAGGACGCGCAAGAAGTTGCTAATAAAGAAGGCAGCCTACAGCGCGCCCTTAAGATAGTATTTACTTAGAGCACTATAGCAATAGAAAAGGCCTGCAAGGATACGTATACTTAGATTAAGCTAGATAATAACCGCTTTATCTAGCACTAATAGCTATAGAGAACCTAATAGGCGCGCTACTTAGCTAGCTTTAACTGCACATAGCTATAGCAATAGCTCTATAGGCTAGGTAAAGGAGAATAGGCGCTTACTAAAGTGTGCTAGGCTATAGAGATAGTAATCTAGAAGGCTTAGCAAGTATTATTACCTAAAGTAGTAGGACTGCTAGCTATAACCTTTATTAAGCGCTATAAGGTAGGGGCAGCAGATAATAAGAAGCTATTTAACTTGCTCTAGATAGGGAGAATAATAATAAAGTATAGCAGGTACTAGGTATTAATTATCTGCTATATATAGCATACCTATAAACTGCTAGATGCTATAATAAATATAGAGAGCGTAGTAGATAATATTAGCTGCCTTACTTTAGAGATAGATAGCAAATTAATATTAACGCGTACTAGCAAGATAAAGCTATAATATTGCCTTATAGCTAGGTAGACATACATTCTATAGAAGATTTAGCAGGTCTTGCTTATAGCCTTGCAGGATAGAAGGAATAGTAATAGTAATAGCAACAGCAATAGCTACTACTAGAATAGCAAAACAGAGCTTAATAGTGCAAGCGAGCTAGATAAATAGAGGGAGGAAGAGCTAGAACGCTATATCCTTGCATTCCTTATCTTACTACTTAACTACTAACTAGAAGATAACTACTATAAGAGCGCCCTTATTAGCGTAATAGCTATGCTAGGTGTTAATTAGGACTGCAGCTAGAAGAGCCCTCTTATATATATAATAACACTATTAGCAGTTATTACTATATCTAAGATGCTAGTGCTATATAGCGCTATACAAGCCTAGAAGAAGCAGATTATAGAGATTTAGGAGATAGAAGGGTAGTCTTAAGAGGATATAGAGGACTAGGCGCAGAGCTACGTTGCGCTAGTATAGGAGATAGTTACTAGCTTTATAACGCTTACTGCATTTAGTAGTAAGCCTATACCTATAGACTAGGTGCTGCAGCTATAAGCTTATAGCAAGAAGATCTATAGCAATACTAATATAGCTAGCGTTATCTAATAGGTAGGGGATATAATTATATATAGCTATATGCAGTATAGCATACTTTAGCTACGCTCTATAGTCTATAGTCTTATAGAGACAATGCAGAAAGAGCTACACTAAGAGCTACTACTCCTTAATATAGATAAAACTAGCTAGCTTATAGATAGTATAACTATACTTCTAGCTATTAAGTAAGATAAGGTAGTAGATAACTCTGCAGAGCTGCGTGCTAGGTAGAACTTCCTGCAGGACCTGCGCAATATATTTAGAGGTATAGAGGGAGGGAGCTAGTTATTATAACACATAACTAAGGAGAAGAGACTTTATAAGGCTTTTATTAATTATAAAGCTAGTAACCTAACTTCTAGTAGAAGGGACGTTATATAGATAGTAAAATAGGTATAGTAGTATAAGAAAGCTATATAATAGTTCTGCAAATACCTGCTAGTAGCAGTATATATAACTAGTAGGTAGCTAGCACATAGAATAGAGCTAGTAATAGTTATATATAAGAATATGCCTAATAGGCAGAGCTAGGGCGTCTTTATTAAGGATAGGCTAATAGTATATATAACTATATACTATAAGGGAATTAGGCATACTAGGATAGCTAAAGTTATTTATCGCTACCTGCTAAAGGAGGTAGGTAAGCTGCTATTCTACTACCTATAGATAGTGCTTCCCTTCTAGCAGAAGCTAGAGCGCGCATCTAGAAGGGCTATTAACGCAGAGCCTAGTCCCTTCCTATAGGAGCTAATTAGGGAAGAGTAGTAGACTAGCCTGCAGTAGAAGAAGAAATAATAACTCTAGCAGCTGCCTAATATAAGAGAGTATAGTAGAGAGGAGAGTAGTATAGAGGAAGATAGGACTAGAACCGGCCTAGAGGAGAAGCCTATGCCTATAGGAGCAGCTAGCAGAACAGAATAATAGGGGACTAACTAGATTCGGTAAGTAATTAAGCGCGTATCTCTGCGCTAGTTAAAAATAAAGATTAATATCTAGATCTAGAGGTATAACAGTAAGGCTATTATGCGTTAGTATATTAAGAATAAACGCATTCTAAAAACGCTAGAGTAGAGAGATAATAAGGCGGACTAGGAAGCTAAAGATAATCCTTTTAACTTATAGTCTAGGCACAGATCTAGAACAGCTAGACAGATATATAGTCGCCCTATAGATAAGTCTCTATTTAGCATTTAAGTATAGTAGCTTACCTTTTATAGGGTTAGTATTGCATAGCACAAGTTTCTCTAGTTTAATTTAACGCTAAGTA